ATTCCTGTGCTTAAATAGTGCTGTTTCCCCAGTTATTCAGAATGACAGACCTCTCAACCTCCTTCAGATCCTCGACCTAGATCAACGGCCCGGACGACAAATATGTATCGGCAATGATCGCCGCAGACAATGGGCTGGTCCTGGGCTATCCCGGTGGTGCTGCTCGAAAGATCATTCGCTGGTCATTCGAGAAACAGGGGCTCTATCACCCGCTCAACAGGCCGAATCCTGTTACAACAAGAGGACCCCCGCCAGCGGTCGACGTATATATCAATGATGGCCGGGACGGCGAGTATGACTACATCTCCAATTTCGGCGACGCACCTTGGGTCTGGAATCGCCATTCTCCAGACGGCGTCCCAGCTAATCAGCCACCCGTTCCCGGCGCTACTAATTACTGTTATGTCGCCGTTAAGAATCGCGGAATCCAGGATGTAGGTACCGCGCAGGTCCGCGTGGATGTGGCTACTGTCCCATCGCCGATGTGGCCTGCGGACTTCGCAATCGCTGGCAGCGTGCAGAATATCAATGGACCTATTCTTGCAAACAAAGGGAATACTATCACGGCTGGGCCTTTCCAATGGATTCCCGCCCCACCAGCATTAGTTGATAGATATACCTTACTAGCCTCTGTTAGTGCTACAGGGGACATTGCATCTACTGATCAAACAAGTGGCTTGCAGTGTGCACTTGGACCAACAGATATCCATAATCTGGTTCCGTTTGACAATAATCTGGCGATACGGCATATTTGGGCGTGATATTGTCCCAGAAAACAACAATATCTGCCACCGAAGACGAAAGAGGGCAGATTGAAACAAATACCTAAAAAGTCTGATTCTTGCGTCAATTCGAAAGTCACAGTTGATACGATATGCTCGACCCATTCCTGAGTTTATTGGAGCAGGGCGTTGAGGGACCATGGCACACAAAATATGCGTTGACAACGTGGTAATTTCTTCTCATTGGGTTGCGCTCATTGGATAGCTTAAATGTGGGAAAAAAAAGAGAATAAACTAAAATATGTCCAGTACTGACTGGACTAATGGACCGATGAACCTCTGTAGTAGTGTGGGTTAAGCTCGCCTGGTAGATGTTCGTTGAGTATCCATTGTAAAACTGGCCAAATAGCAACTCGACATACATAGGTATATGCCATGTGGTAAGGGCCATGGAATTTCCTACATACACACTCCAGTTTACGTTTCAGGCGTTGCAGCTTAACACACATCTTAGCCTTGAACCCGCTTTTAAAACCATTAATAGGTTTCTACATATTGTAATTAATGATTTGCTGCATCTGTTCTCCATGCTTTGCGACAATGGGCTCTATTGGTCCCACTGACTCGTTGGATCTCCCCACCTCATTCCTCATGCCAACGCCATGGCATAAATACATCTCCATTCTTGCTGTTGGTTACGGGATGTGGCGCCAGGTCTGTTTTTGTGACCTTTCCAACGATCAGCTAAATAAATGACTCATACCGGACGATCTGACCGCCGTTGAGCAGACGTTTCTTATGATGAATACGGATGTGAATTGTACGAGTCCCCTTCCTCTCATCAACATCCTCCACCAAATTCGAGGGGCATCTAATGGGTCGCTCGGCCTGTGACTGGAGGGATAGTCTCAAGGTCGACATTGCTCGCCTGTACGATGTCCCGATTTTCTCATGCCAGGCCCAACCATAGACAGCCATTACCAAGGACAACGGGTTTATCTCTCGTATTATATCCCTCTATTTTACCTGGAGCATTCTCCTCTTTGATTTTTTTTTAATAGGGCCGCTTCCTTCAAGACCTATAGTCTGGAAAGAGAGACTCACTTTTGTTCCCCCCTTCTCGTTAATGCAATTCTTGCGCATGCGTGTGTAAGTCCCTGTTGGGTGACGATATAGGGTGTTAACAGTGAACGAACTGCTACTCGGACTACTCCGAGTCCTTTGTAGCCTCTGGTAATATTTATACCAGGGGCGAGCAATTTTGGCAAGAGGCAGTGCGGCCACTTGATAAAGATATTACAAGAATCTATACTGTGTTATTTATCATATACTCTGGGTCTCTATACCTATATTTCCGTTTAGACTTCCCACTCATCCACTTATATACTGAGGCGAAAAAATCCCGCTAGTGGCTGGAGGCGCGGTAGGGTATTGAAGAGCTGGGGTTCGAAACGGGGCGTTGTACCAGGGTTGGTTCAATCCCTGTAGCTGGCCGTAACAGCCTGTGCTGGAAGGGTGGTTGCTTGCTGCTGTGGGGGGAAATGGGTTAATAATGTATTAAGCGGTGGGGAAGGGGAGTATGGTCGCACCCTGGCCTGCTCCGAAGGATGACGTGAATGGAGACAGCAGTCCAGGACAAGAGCAACAATCTCAAGGAAAAGCACGAGAGCAAAACTCCACCACGCCCAAGGAAGCCTTAAAGCCTCCACCACTAGCAAGAGGTGGTCGGACGAAGTTATTACGCTAATAGGAGACGAAGAGATAAAGCGGGCACTAGGCAAAGATCTATTTTATCTGACTCACAAGCTTAGTGTACTATTAATCTAGGATATCATCGCGGCTTTTACACGCAGCGCCCACCTTGCTACTTTTACAAGTGTTAATGTGATGAAGGTTTATAGTGTATATAGGTACCTTATCCACTAATTCCTTAGCCCTGTCATGAACCACTGCATGGATTACTATAAGGGTATTCTTAAGAAGTTACTATGTGAGGTGCTTACTATAATCTAGGCTGCTATAGCTACGGGAATGCTGCTATTCCTGCGTATAAATGTAATAGACTGGTTAGAGATAGCTACAACTATAGGTCAAAAGTCTGTGCACACCCTAAAATATATAGTTCACCCACCAACTCCAAATATCGATAATTCAACAACCACAACGAATTAAGACTTCCTAATACATGCAAATTAAAGCTATTTAATATTTCGTGTACCAGCCGCGCGCTCGAATTACTACCTCTATCCAGCAAGGCATGGAATCGATTAAACCATAAATCAAGGCCTGGGGGATGGCCCACCAAGCTTCTTAAATAGCTTCATGGAAGTTCTTCAAGTAAGTCTAAGCCCTTCCTTCCTAAAAAAGAAAGGGATGAAGCTTTAGAAGAGTCCTCTTTAGAATATTCAAGACGTGCTCGATCGGGTTTAAATCTAGTGAATATAGAGGCCATTTAAAAACCTAAATCACATGAGATTTAAACCACTCCTACGTCCTCTCTGCTGTATGAATCCAGGCGTTATCTTGCTAGAATATAAAGCCAGGCTTGTAGTTTTTAATAAGACCTTCCTCGAGCGCCTAGATGTAACTATTCGCGCTATATCCCTATTTTTTAGCCTTAGGGTCCCTCTCTATGACCACTAACTTTGACCGGCCACCACGCTAGATAGAAGCCCAAACCATCTGCGATATAGGCTTCCCATGAACCTCAAGATTCACTAGATCCTCCCTAAAGCCCTCTTTTTGATAGCGAAAGATAAATTAGACTCCATGGGAGGCCTTCCATTAGACGCTGTATTTATTAGAGAAGGCCCAGCGCTTCTAAAGCTTATATTTCCACTATAACTTTACAAATTTATATCGTTTCTTCGCTAATTCTTTTAATAAAGGTATTCTCTTCTTTGACTTCCACTTCCTAATATAGTATCGCTTCAGAACCCGCTTAATTATTAAGATAGAGAGAGAATTAGGTATGCTAGTAGCAAGGGCCCTCTAGCTTAATATTAGAAATCTACATACTATCTAGTATATATATCTTGTAGTTAATTAGCTAACCTTTAATAGCCTTCCTATTCTAGGCCTAGTTTCGAGTGTTTTAGTGGTAATCTAGCGGTTTTTAGTATTATACACCACGCGCCTGGAAACGCGAAACTCAGTCGTGATTTTCGTCGGCGATTTACCAGCGGCCAGGGCGTATATAATAGCTGCGCGAGTTTCCTTTGATAGTTCACCTCCAGGCCTTCAATTTCCACTTATTTAAGTGCCAAAAGCTCTAATTTTAGTGGAGTTGTTACTGGTTGAAGTTGTTATCGAAGTTTAGAAGTTCCACGGTCGCGGGAAGTGTGCACAAACTTTTGACCCACGTTGTACTATTTCAGTGGTAACAGGAAGCTGGGATATAAAGGCATCTATGCGCCTTACTATAGTACTTCTAAGATAGTATTAATCTGCTAGATTTAAGTTCTAGGGGTGGTTATAGGGCTTAGTAGATCTAGCTATACTCCAAGTATTAGGTTTTACTTGCTAGGAAGATCTGCGGGGTGATTTAGGTAGTAGGGCTTGAGTTATTAGTGAGGGCTATAAGGTTAATTATAGAGACTAAGGCTACAAGGGATATTACATAGGGGGTAGATATTGCCTCTAGTAAAAAGGAGAGGGGTAAATTAGCTAGAGAGAAAAGGCCCCAAGGCTAATATTATTCTTATTACCCGCCAGTTCCTCCGAGAACCCAATTAACCGACCCCTACGGTAGCCTTCGGAGGTCGCGCCTTAGCGCGACCCCGCCAGCCAAACGGTCAGGTCAGCCATCCAGTCAACTTTTTGAATAATTCGTGTATTCAACTTCAACGCGCGATATCTCAACAACAACATGGGCAAATTTAATGCGGACACAGAGAAACGAATTACTAAAGCTATTTACGCGATGTAATTTCAGAAAAAACTAAATATCTTAAAAACTACGCGAGAATTTCGCGTAAATTAAACAACACTCTAATCTTAATAGCAGGGCCGACCCTCGCTCAAAAATCAACCACTAACCAACCTTAAGCTTAACGAGGCTCAGGATAAGGCTTTATGTTGATATCTAGAGACCTTAGAGACTTATTAAGTGAAGCCTTTAAAGCAAATAATCAAGGCAGTAGCTAATACAATCCTAAAAGTGAGCTATACTAATTCCACGACCCCCCCTCCTATGGTTGGACCTAAATAGCTACAACAGTGGCTTATATAGCATCCCTAGTTTAAAAGATAATAATTTCGAGTAATTAAATTAGATCGCAAGCAGGCGGAAGATTAATAGCTTATAAAATAGTGGTTTCATGAGCTAGAGAACCTTATTATCAACTACGGTATCGCGCTAGAGGATATATAGAACTTTAATGAGACGGGCTTCTAGATTAGTATTAGAAAGAACTAATAGGTCATTACACGAGATATAAAGACTAAAAAGCCATATATTGGCATTAATTCCGAGCGAGAATACGTGACTGTTGTGGAGGTAGTTAATTTAGTTAGTTAACACGCGCCTCTACTTATTATCTGCGCGGGTTACTGTATTCTAAAGGGCTGGTTTGATTATACTAAAATTAAGGGCGGCTACCACGTTAGAGTCACTAATACGGGCTATATTAATGATTAACTTACATATTAATGGATACAGTGATTCTGGCGCGATACTAAGGAATACTAGAAGGGGAAATATCAGCTCCTTATCTATAATAGCTTTAGATCACACTATATAAAGGAATTCGTTGAATTCTATAAGAAATAGGATATCAAGCTATTCTTTCTACCTCTATATATAAGTTATTTCCTATAGCCGCTTGATATTAGTGTATTCCATGCCTTTAAATATTAGTATTCTAAATTCGTCGTTAATGTAACATATTCGGGCTGTACGAATATTAATAAGGTTAAATTTTTCCACGCGCTTGGGGGAATTTGCTATAAAACTCTTAAGAAACGCACTATCCAGCATGGATTTCATGATACTAGTATATAGCCTTTTAATCCTAACATTGTTCTATGGAATCTACTAGAGTTTACACGCGTGACCCCCCCAAACGATCTAACTACTTTAGATAATTTAACAGGTAGTATACTAAAAACTATAGCATAATTTCATTCTCTTAGTAAGAGACTTCAAGCTTTATAGGACCTACAGCTTAATGCTACATAGACCTATCTNACCCCTACTACTTATTAATAGAGAAGAGGAATATAAAGTTAAATATATCCTAGCTATATAATATAGGAAGATAGAATAAGGATACTATAATAAAGCACTAGTAAAATAGGTAGGGTAGGTATATAAGATATAGATAAAACTAGATTTTATCTAGGACTATATAGCACTAGATATCTTTAAGAAGTAATATAGCCCTATTTAAGAGGTAATTTAGTACTAACTTAATAATAATAACCATGTTATTATACCCCTTATAAGGTTTAGACCAGGAGGGGGGTATTATCACGGGCCAGTGCCTAATACCAGGCACAGGCTAGCGCCCGCACACGTGACCATGGTATATTAATAGGAAGAACGTGACTAGAGAACTTCTCTTTCTTCAAGCTTTTCGTACACAGTTCGTGGCCTAGCTAGATTGAATATAAATCCGGCTTCAGCCCTTCACACCTGAGTAAGTCAATCCACTGTCAGGGCTTAGGTCAAAACGATCCCAAGGTTTAGGAAGGCTTGAGAGGTCAACCTTCCGTAACAAGGACCTTGAAATATATTATAATAATAGCTCTATAATTAATTTATTAAGCAAGGAGATAATAATAGTATATACTAAGCTATAACACGTTAACGTACACCGCGCCTGGCTATGTTAAGAGGTTTAATAATATTACTTACAAGTCACCTGGGTTCCCTCATGATCTATGCCTGTGGACGGACTTACCAAGGCTCTCCTAAAACCACTACACTAAGAATTTGTTAAGATGTTAAATATGGTTAATATCTCAAGCCTTATCCCATCCTAATTAGGAACCTCTAACCACTGAGGGGGTGTGTTGGCCGGTGTAAGGATCCTATCCCGCTGCTTAACAAAACCATACGGCCAAAAAGGCACTATAGAAGACCGCCAGGTCTTCTAGCAGTGGAACTATATAGTAAGNTATAAAGACTAAAAAGCCATATATTGGCATTAATTCCGAGCGAGAATACGTGACTGTTGTGGAGGTAGTTAATTTAGTTAGTTAACACGCGCCTCTACTTATTATCTGCGCGGGTTACTGTATTCTAAAGGGCTGGTTTGATTATACTAAAATTAAGGGCGGCTACCACGTTAGAGTCACTAATACGGGCTATATTAATGATTAACTTACATATTAATGGATACAGTGATTCTGGCGCGATACTAAGGAATACTAGAAGGGGAAATATCAGCTCCTTATCTATAATAGCTTTAGATCACACTATATAAAGGAATTCGTTGAATTCTATAAGAAATAGGATATCAAGCTATTCTTTCTACCTCTATATATAAGTTATTTCCTATAGCCGCTTGATATTAGTGTATTCCATGCCTTTAAATATTAGTATTCTAAATTCGTCGTTAATGTAACATATTCGGGCTGTACGAATATTAATAAGGTTAAATTTTTCCACGCGCTTGGGGGAATTTGCTATAAAACTCTTAAGAAACGCACTATCCAGCATGGATTTCATGATACTAGTATATAGCCTTTTAATCCTAACATTGTTCTATGGAATCTACTAGAGTTTACACGCGTGACCCCCCCAAACGATCTAACTACTTTAGATAATTTAACAGGTAGTATACTAAAAACTATAGCATAATTTCATTCTCTTAGTAAGAGACTTCAAGCTTTATAGGACCTACAGCTTAATGCTACATAGACCTATCTAGAAACCCTTATTCGTGGTAGTGAGCAACTTGCTGCATACGCGGAAAGTTTAGAGGTGGAAGTTAAGCGCTATATATAAGAAGCTAGAGATCGCGCAGATCGAATTACTACTTCTAAGCGTCATTTACGCAAAGGAGGCATTATTTCTAGTAATAAGGTTAATAATATAAAGAGGATCGAGTTGAAAATTGACGAGGAGAAGGAAAATAAGAGGTGGAGGGTCAGATATCACGGCGTAATGGTTAATCTTATGGACGATCTTATTAGGCGAGGAATAGTCGTAAAGAGGCAGCGACGATCTAGGCAGGTAGTAGAAGAGTAGAGCTTTCATTTTTATGTATTTTTAAACGATTTGCTTTCACATTCGTTGAGATATTGGACTTTGAATAGCTTCAACCTAAAAAGTTGACCGGATGGCTGACCTGACCGTTTGGCTGGCGGGGTCGCGCTAAGGCGCGACCTCCGAAGGCTACCGTAGGGGTCGGTTAGGTGTTTGCAGCGGCGAACAAGTTGGATGTGCCTGTCTCACTGTCTTGTCAGTTTGCGGGAGGTCTGTAGTGACGATAATGCAGCCGGTGATTTGTGGAAATTCCTGAACTACTTGATTCTGAGTCATGAGGGCCTGTTATTTCCCCGCTGATGATTACACCAACCATGCGTTTGTCCGTAGCAGTTTTATAATGAACATCCCGCTATACCAAAAAGGTGTTATAACGACCAATTCGACAGGGTCATGAATATTCAATCAGAGTAGACTATTTCAGGCCAACATCTTACTGCATTTCTTGTACTCCGCTCGAGCTTGAGAATGAAGATTTCAACGCCACAGAGGTATCACCGACCACAACAGCGTTCTCGCTCCATATACCTTATTCCCCCGGAGTGGGTTGCAATTAGGAGCATCGTGAGCCTTGGCTGCCCCTCACCACGCGGATGACGATCCATACAATGACAACCGACAATCGATGCACGCCCAAAGTTTCGGGAACGGGCCTGGCACCGAAAGTTGTCCCCGGGTGCCCGAGTGCGATGTGGTAGCAGCAAGGATAATAATGGCCGGCGAAGCATCTATCTCATGAAGGCAAAAGTGGGTTGCTGGGCACATCGAGAGCCAAGGGCATTCTGACTCTGGCCTCCTGGGTGAAAGAGCCCAGCCTACCCTGTCTGGACGAAGTTGAACCCAGAATTTCCGGTTTGGGCATTATGGCCGACGGCCAGACGAACTGCTAGACGTGTGGACTGTTTTGTCACGGTGCATGGCGTATTTGAGGCAGAAGCTGGGGCAGCCAGCCTTTCGCTGAGATTGACGGCAGGTCGACAGCGATTCAACAAGGGCTCTCGGGACTTTAGGCGAATATCTCCTTAAGCATTGGCCGCCTTCTGCTTTTGCATGAGCAGCTGAGACTCAATGATGGCCCGGGAGAGAGGGAATGGTGATGAATTAGGCAAGAATCCTCCCTGCTGATTGGTGGCTGTGAGCCCAAGTGAGCGAGGCTGCCAGTTGGAAGGATTTCATCCCAGCTTTAGTGGATGCCAACTAAGGCAGCGTCATCAACAGTTACATCAGATTGCAATTTTATAGGGGTTCAATCGCCTGTATTTTTTGTCTCTTCGAGTTGTTGGTACGGAGGCCTCTACTCAGCCTCACTTGGCTATTCCCTGTTCTTGGGCTATGTAATCGTGCAGGCTCCTGCTTAGTCTCTCTAAACCAGACTCTCATCGTAGTCAAGAAATTTGACTCAGCGTCAGCTTTCGCTAGCGAATGGCAGCCATCGTCAGCTACCTAACCAGCTCACCAAGATGCGGAGTTATCCTTCAGCCCCACTTCCAAAGCGCAAAATGCTGCTTCAAAACCCCATTTCTCGACAGCCCCCTTTCACCTTTATCACCGTGTGGTATTCTCATGACCCATCATGACTTCCCACCTGATGCTTGCCGAGGCAAAGTCTTCACACACATCTTGTTCTGGGAAGACAAGCAAGCCAACCATAATGTCCCCATTACCATCCTCACCTGCTACCACCACCATCTGCCACATCAACGGCGACGAAGACCTTTACGGGATCGGCGTCCGCACCGGCATCTACGCGCAGTGGGTCGCAACCCTCCTATCGCGAACGCTCCGGGTCCCAGAAGAAATCACCGCATCGGACGACGCGAATCTCTGCTTCCAGCTCGCACTCACCGCCGTCCTGCTCTTCGTCCTCACGGGCCGCAAGGAGCCCTTTATGCCCGTCGAGGCCCTCATAGCCCTCCCACTCTGCTTTGGCGGCTTCGCCGCCGCGTCTGCGCCGTTCTCGCTCCCGACGACGGCGGCGGCGGCGGCGGCGGCACCGTGTCGGCAGGCGACGAGCCTGGTGAGGTTTCTGTGCTCGTTGCACCTGTTTGGGATTCTGGCGGGGGTTAGTTGTTGGTTTTGGTGGTATGGGATAGAGCACGGGCATAACGTGGCGGGTGACCAGTGTCCGTATTATACCTTTCTCTTCGCCAAGGTCAAGGTTTCAGACTCCCTAATTGGATTCTATCGGTTCCTGGCTGTCGTCGGCTGTGTGGTGTTTGCGGGAATCGAGGCAGTTCTCCTAGTGATGATGGTACATGTGGTATCGCGGTGTTCACGGCACGAGCTCGCCACCTACCTTCTCAATGCCCAGATGCCAATTATGCCAAAGCCTTCTTCTACCACTACGGGCGCTACAGCCTGCCTGCAGGCGCCGTGGGCTAGCAGAATCATGGCTCTGCTGTGCCTGGTGATTATGGCGGTTATGGTGATGGTTGTTGAGTTCACGATCAGCTGGAATGGAGTGAACGGAATCAATGACTTGAAAGCGGCCGGCCAGGCTCTGCCCCTTGCTGTCGGCATTGCTGGGGTGGTGAGGGTTCTCTATCGGGGTTTGAAGTCAAGGGTTGGGGTGGGATCTGGCCATGGAGGTGGGCTAGTAGATGAGCTGGATCTTGCCTTGGCATGATCCGACTGAAATTATTATTGGTGTATTCGAACTAGAAAGACACGAATATAGTACTAAGAGGAGCAAACACCTGGTTAGATTCAGGTTTCTGATTCACTTCATGAAGGGGTTGATGAGGCTGTTAATGAAAGATAGCGCGTCATCCAAAGGCAAGTCTCTCCCCATCCTGGCCCGAAACACCTCCTGAGCTTCCTTCATTGATGCGTCACCTTGATCCGTAAGTCCCTGCTTCAACTGCAGCATCCCAGTCGTGATAAGGGATCGAACGAGCAATATACCGAATTCCGACTTGACATGTCGTAACTTTTGTACAGACTCCCTGTAATACTGACTATATCATGAATAAGCGGGTTGACTTTTTTCTTCATCTAGGATGGGCAGTAAGCCCACTGCACTCATGCAAGGGCGGGCGTACCTTGCTTTTGCGAAATCTTGCGCATATTCTGCGATGCAGCCCAGCTTATACTGTGAGCACGCCGTCAGGTGGTGGCTGTTTCCGAAATATCTCATCCGAATCGTCAAGGCCCTTTGGTGTTCGATGCGCGCTTTCTCCACGTCTCCGAGGGCCAGCCAGATATTACCCATGCAGTAGAATATGCGCGTTTCCATTGCACTGGGAAGTTGACGAATCTGTGGTCAGCTTGAGGGTCCTACCACGCATGATAACCTAGAGCAAAAGAAAAGAAATGAAAAAAAAAAGCCATTTCTTACATGACGTGGTTGTCCTCGAACTTGCCCTCTGACCCATGCACAATTTCCTGACTCCTCTCCAGGGCCTTGCGAGCCTCCTCCGGCTGCCCAGCGGCAAGGTAAGAGATCCCAAGGTTATGATAGGACATTGCCAGCATCTGAAGCTGAGAGGAAGGATCGCGCGAGCGAATCTCAATTGACGTCTTGTTCAGCCGCTGCGCTTCCTCGACGCGTCCAAAGCCCACGGCAGCAGCAGCAACCCTCATGTAGGAGTTTGCAATTTGCGGATGGCTCGCATCCATCAGGCCGTCGGCGACGGCGCTTTCACGGAGCCTCAGCGCTTCCTTGAGGCTGTTGTAGCCCAGTTCGTTGTCGCACTGCTCGATTGCCGCGCCGCCGATTGTGGTCCATGAATTAGCCAGCAGCAGGCGCGACTCCTGGGTGCTTTTTTCACAGATTTCTTTGCACGTTCGTGCTAGCTGTAGTGCGCGAGCGAAGAACCCTCTTTCGTAGAGGTACCTAGATAGATAAGGCTATGGTCAGTAAACGCATGTTTTGTGTGCTTGAATGAGGAGTCTGACCAGGAGCAGTGATAGAGGAGTTCCGCAAACTCAATGGGTTGAGGCAGTTGAACAGGATGGAGCCGAAATTTTTGCTCGAGAGAGACAATGTGTAGGTAGTATGCCTCGCACGCATCCCATGAGCCGGACATCAAGGCTCCTTGCTCGGATTGGCGCGGGAAGGAGGCATGGATGTACCGCGTCACGGCTTGGAACGTTCTTGTACGTTTTTCGATTGTCATGGCATCGAGCACGGCCTCTTGAACCAGTCGGTGTACGGAAAGAACCCCATTATGGCGGTGCACAAACGAGTATAGTCGCAGACCCCCAAAGGATGCCAAAAAGTCGCGATCGACAGCGGCTGAGAGAGTACCGTTGACGGAGCTGCCAGAGACGCCGAGAACCAGATTCTCAGCCACTGAGTCGGGGTCAAAGAAGGCGAGGATATCCAGCAACTGTGATGACGCCGGCCGCAGCTTGGACAGACTCATGGCCCAGACCTTACGGAGCACGGATTCGTCGGTATCAACGGGGTCTTTTAGCTGAAGAAGATCCTTGGATGATTGGAACACCGCAAAGGCTTCGGTCAGGCTGCTCTGGTGCTGTCGTACAAACCCCGCGACGGCAACGAGGACAAGTGGGAGCCCGTCTGCTAGGTCTGAAAGACTACGTGCAGCGTTGGTCTCTTCCGCGCTACTACTGTCGTCTTTCATGGCCAGAATGCTCTTCAATAGGCCAGTCCCTTCGGCCAAGCTCATTTTCTCCAGTTTCCTCATGCTCTCTGCCTGGACCAAGCGGTCGCCAACGTCGGGATTCCTGCTGGTAACGATAACGACCCCGTTCATCATTGTAGGCCAGTACGCCGCGAGCAAGGCCTGGCTTTCGACGTTGTCGAATACAATGAGCCATCGAGCTAATCACCGTAATAGTTAACTATACGCATCGCAATGCGAAAGAGCGCAGACAGGGACGGAGCTCTGGACTACTCACTATTCTCCCTCAACCAGTTTTGGAAAAACAACGCGGCATTCGCCTGGGTTTTGTCCGCTGGGAGCTGCAATAGCATGGACAAGTTGTGAGCCACTTCTGTTCTCAACTTCTCCTCGGTGTCCGCTGCGAACCAGAAGATCCAGTTGAACTCGTCTTTGTGGAGATAGACGTAGTGACAGGCGATCTCCGTCTTGCCAACTCCCCCGAGGCCGTAAAGCAGCACCCCGCCGCGTCGCGTGGAGCCTTGATTGCTACTAATAGTGGAGGGTGTGCGGTCGTTCATGAACCGAATGACATCCTCCCGTCCAGAGAAATCAGGGTTCTCCGCCCGACTCATAGATGTAAACCCCGAGGTGCTCGGCATCCACGATGATTTGGTGTACCGGCGTCGAAGGTCCTCGTCATTCACGTTTTTCGTGACACGCTTGACCAGTGTTCTCAATCTCTGAATGTAATCGTCAAGACTCGTCTCGAGCTGCTCGCTAGGCGGCGCGAAAAAAGAATCTAAGGCGGTTAGAGCCAACGGGACCGCCCGACCGCGCCAGTTATGCATGGAATAGACCCATACTTACGTCTATTGAGGAGTGAAATGGCGTGACTGCAGAAAAGAATCGTCACGACCAAGCAGTCTCGGATAGATTGGCAGACAGCCTTGCTGTCGGAGAATTGCTCGACATAGAAGTCGAAGTTTGTGGTCATTTTTAGTATCTCATGTATTCTGGAGATCACAATCTCAAGGGCCTTTTTATCTTTTGCTGCCAACTATACTCAGTGAGTAGAGTCCGAATATCAATTTGGCAAGGGAAGAAGGATGTTCTTCATGGAAAATTGTCCAGAGAAGGAAGACATTTTGTATGTACTTCTAGCTTGACACTCTCTCAACATACCTCAATAATAACCGGTATACTGTTCCTGAGAAGTGGGAATACCTCGGGGTTGCATGGTGCGAGGATGCTGAGGATTTTGGTGAGCGGCTGCACAAACGGGATGAGGTGGTCGCATTTGGCCAGAAACTTGGACTTGCGGCTGTCCTGTTGTGATATTGTGTTTGATAATAATGTGGAGACCACCTGCTCGAGAGACTCGATGGTATCCGTCATGATGCGGCTCGAGATCTGGGGGCCAACCTGTTTGCTGAACGTGCGGCTGACATCTTGCCAGGTGATCTGTTGCCTATTTTTTTTTGTCGCAAGTTCAGCACAGAAATCAAAGTTCAGGCAGTGTAGAGAGAGTCTACAGACCTGTCGTTCAAGGTAATATTCACCGTAGATCTCTAGCAGAAGAAGAGGAGGCGGAAGAAATTTAGCCTTGAATAGTGGCCGCGAGGATTCATAATGCATTGCATTGTTGGGGCAGGGCGCAAGCAACAAAAAACACACCTGTGGAGTCGAATTCTGGGAACTATTCTGGGCCTTTGCAGGCTTTGAAGACGAGGGCCTGCTATGGCAGAGACACATCAAGCATCCTCGTGGCTTGGATGCCATCTTGTCTCATCAGAGCAGAATGCGTGCCTACTCTAATGTGATACCTACCACCAGTCAAAGTAATGAATGCACTGGCTTTTATCCAGGAGAGTGGTGTAAGACTGTGCGGTGTGTTTTTTTAAAACCATTCCCACAAACAGGCGTAGTAAGTTCCATGTAATACCTAGATGAATACGGGGTTCAGCCGTAAGATTGCGATGCAGCCTCCCCTCTCTGCGAGGGATGATCCCGGCAGGTGAAACCAATAGTTTTCCATCCCGCCACACCGCATCAGAGGGACTACTTCCTCTCTCTCACTTCCGGATAGATACGTGGAGCAAAAACGTGATGTGTTGTATCCGCTTGAGCTCGAGTGTCCTCGGAGATGAGTGAGTCCAGCAAACTGCGCTGGCAATCTCAGCCTGACGCCCCCAGCCTCCCCCGCTTCCTCAACGATGAGTTTGATTGGATGGACTCGACTGGTTGCTCAACAGGAGATACATATTAGACGAGAGGAGAGGATGCCCTTCAGGACATGCAGGAAGTTCAGTTGAGCCAGCCCTTGGGGAGGATAAGCATCTTCCTACTCCTCCAGCCAAGTTGCAAATTCCAAGCTCCCAAGCCATACTTTCTACAAGATCTCCCATTTCTATCAATCACGTCCCGCCCTGCCAGCGAGCAATGCCTGAAGCAATAAGTAGGATCCAGATCTAGATTCCAGTTTTTTGTTTTCCTTTGCTAATGAAGATCCATCTTCAAAGCTCAACCGTCCTCCAACGGCGGCAAGGACCAGCCGTGGAAACTCTTCTGGCCCCCCACGGCCTCTGCCGATACCAACACCGACACCAACACCGGTGCAGATGAGAAGCCCTGGCTGAACTGGAAGCCCGATCCGAACAAGCCCGACGAGAAACCCTGGATTCAATGGGTCAACGACGAGAAATTCAACGGCGCCCGGGGACGGCAGCAGGAACGGAAGCGCAGCGGCGGCGGCGATGCCGCTCTTCGCATTCCCTGTCCTAGAGGTACGGTTGCTGAGGGTGGCTAATCAGGGGGAAAGGGCAAAGGGCCTCCCGCCGAGGCCTTGGATATGTAAACGGAGGAGATATGGAATGCATCATAGGTGTCTGCGGATAATCGCTACCTTTGATATGAAATTTGTGACTGAATAAGATAAGGTCTTCTGGGTATCATGTTTTTAGGACTAGCAAGGTCATTATAATGCAGCTCTTGGGTGCTGAACTTGTGAAACATTGCAAGGACGGACCTTTCACCTGTGGCATGCTTATCTGGCTGCCTATAGATGAGAGCAACTTGGAGGAAGTCGTTGTGGAAAACATCATGGACACGCCCAAACAATGCAATTCTTGCATCAGTGTCCTCCTGGGTCAGTGTAGCATTTGGAAGGTGGATAACGGTAGTCGGCTACAGTCATGATAATGATGCTGCTATTAATACCTACTCACCTGAAATGGATGTTAATCCCCATCATTTCATCTTGACTGTAGTGGCCGTCTCACCTGTGCACTAAAGTGAATGTACTAAGATCCATGCCTAGGATGGGTCACGGAGGTAGCTACTCCGTAGCAATGGTGGTAATGAGCATATTCCATGGTGGGGAGGTTTCTCACGCTGTCAGGCATTACTAAGAAAAGGCGCCAACTACCAAGCCAGAAAAGGAACGCGAGAGCTGGAATGAGAAATATCCTTGCATCTCAGCTGACGCATGAAGCAGGCAGGAGAGGTGGGCAGGTGACAGACGCATCCTCAACTTGCAAGTCGCCTCTCCTGTCGGGAGGACCAGGGTCCAGATATAAGTGCGCGTAACTCGGGAAATAGAAAACAGCCAACCTATCAACTATGCAGGACCTCTCAGTGAGTAGTAGCACAGTGCCCCCTACAAGGGTGGATCCCCCGCACGCCAAGCCGTAGCCTTGCGTACGAATTGGTCCTATTGGGGAGCTCAGACCTCCCCCTTGGTCAGTGAGCAAACTGCACAAGATTCTATTACGAGCTAGATATGTATATCGTGCGTCCAAGGCGGCTCTGTTGAAACTCACCAGAGATACGTTGTAATTTTCATTACCTTGCTGCTGACTTCCCCCAATGGCAATCATACCATACCTCCAGCTGCAGGGTAAGTGATTGCCTTAAGACGGGCCGATATGCGCTCTCTCTTGGAGGAGCTTTGACTTTTGTCCCTGCCATCTCGGACACGCAATTATGGACGACAAACTGAAGAAAACCGATGGTAAGCCCAAGAAAAAGAACAAAAAGAAAGCCCTTCCCCGGCTGACTCCCTAGATACAGTAATAACCAAGCTCTATTACCTGACACCTCTCGAGGAATACAAGACGACCAAGCCGTACTATGTGAACTGGCCAGTGGATGATATATCCGGAGCCAGGCAGACGAATCTGTCACACACCGCGTACGAGGATATCAAGATTGAAGATATCCGGGGCGCCGAATCGTCGCTCTGCATCGACGTTGAAGGGTTCCAGCTGGCGAAGCATGCAACCCACATGCGGAATGAAGAGTTTGAAAAGGATATTATCGTCCGACAAAAGTACTATCCGGAAATCAGAGAATTTGTAAAGGAAACCCTCAACGCTTCGCGCGTGTTTATTTTCGAGCATACGGTATGTCCGGTAAACTGATGAACATATTGATATACACGAGCTGAGAATGAGGATTTGCGTGTCAGCATCGGCTTCAGGTCCCAAATGTCAAAGGCTGCGGCTGCTCACGGAAGAGGAAGCCACTTGTCAGTGCCCATATCGGTTCGTATCCTGCTCCGGAAAAGGATCTCATACGAAAGTGGGCCTCTTTCTAACCTCGACTAGATCAAACAGCCGACTCGGCTGCTCGAAGGGTTCGATACCACCTTGGGGAGGATGCAGATCACCTACTTCGAGGAAGGTTCCAGGTGGTGAAGTATTGCTCCCTGTCCCTGGGGTGGCACTCTGCGATGTCTTCATCCTCATATACTCTTGATCTCATCTTTGCTGATTCGGGTCAGTGTATGGCGCCCTTTGTTCGGGCCCCTCAAGGATTACCCACTGACTCTCGGCGATGCGAGAACGTTCGACATTGATCGGGACGGTGTTCCAACGGATCTCGTTTTCCCACACTATGTGGGCGAATCTCTGAACCTCTTCTATCACCCGGGTCATCGGTGGCTGTACGCCAGCGAGCAGCAGCGTGATGAAGTCTGGATCTTCAAGTGCTTTGATAGCGCAGATAATGTCGCAAAGGGTATGTTCGGAAATACTAGTAACCTTGAACAGCCACTACAGGTGAAGTCACTCTGGCTGATACTAGGAATAATCCATCAATAGCCGCCCCGCACTGTTCATTTGACATCCAAAACGGCGAACTTACTGAAAGACCGCGAGAAAGTATTGAAGTTCGAATGCTGGTTTTTTACGCCGAGTGATGGTTTTTTGCTGGGGTATGACGATCTACATCTATTGCTTCGCTTCTCCCACTTCCAGGTTTAAATTTTTTTCTTTTATCAGCCATTGGGATGGATGGAAAGATGAATGGTCTTTCATGTTATCAATTCATGCTCAGTCTCCTCCAGCACCTGTTTGATTAGATCAAGGGACGGCCGCGAGATACCATTTATCTTCTCCGTGGGTCCCGAGGACGCGCAGGCTGCTCCCGAATTACCGCATATATCCGTGCCAGCAACAAGAACACTCACGCCACTTCTGGTCCAAGCAGCCAGGGCTATGTCCTCATCTCACACACGGTAGGAGAGAAAGTGAGGTAATATATAGTTAAGTTAGCGCTAGCCGTAATACCTTAATCTAGGTTCGAGCTTTTAACGTGGTCTTTACCCCCTAAAATGCCAACGATTTACCATTGCTATTCTTCTAATGATGGTCGCTTTTTTTGATCATAGCTATGGCAAGTAGCCAGGGTATTATGTGCTTATTCTCTAGCCCCGTAGCCTTTCGCGGGGTTTAGCTATGCAATTAATAGTAGATAAGAGGAGAGCGAAAGAGCAAAATCACCTAAGATGATATCCTTTTCCACTACCTAATAATCCGTCCAGCTAACTGGGCTATAAACCAGGGGTCAGTCAACAATCAAGTACAACCATTAGCACGGCTACTAAAGCAGACATCGCCCCGCTCATATCTATCACCATGCCCCTGGCAGGAATATCGTCTAACCGCTCGTTTGCCATTGGGAGGGGCTTCGGCCACCTTGGGATTACAGTTCACAAAAGTGGTGTGGAGGAAACCGAACCGGAGATCGTATGAAGACCAGCTCATGCAGCAAGTCTGACTGCCACGCTCCTCGCAGCGGCTGCGGGGCACCTTGCCAGCGCCAATGTTCACCGAACAGGCCGTGCCAGAGATACACTGGAAGAACGCGTAGCACAAGGCCCAGGTAATTGGGTGCCTTTCGCTCAGGGAATACCAATCGATGCGCTTGGCGAGACGAGTCGTCGTAGTGTTTCCGGCGACGGCCTGGAGAAGGCCCTGCATGTCGGCGACCATGTTGGGGTCGTTTTCGTCGAATCTTCGCGCCTATGCCGCCTCCGTTAGCAGCCGGGCTTTGTCTTCGTCTGTGTCCCCTGTGTGTGAGCCTAGGGCGCTCAGCCAAGACCTGGTGTCCGCGTTGTAGTTGGTGAAGTAGGTGTTGATGTCGAAGGGGCTGAGGTCGCCCTTGGCATTGGGGAAGTAGTCGGCCGCTGTGAGTGAGACAATGAAGGAAGAGGCAGCGAGGTCCTGGTCGGCAGCAGGGGCAGGAGCAAGATCAATATCAGTCATAGCAGCGCCAATAGCCAGCTCGGGGATAAGGGCGAGGAGAAGAAAGCTCAGGATCATAAAGGGTGAGTTGGAAACTGGATGTTCTATGAAGGAAATATAGACAGGACGCTCAGTGTGCGACCACTCCACCGTGGATATGGCCAGAAAAGGTTAATAGAAAAGGCTCACTGCGTGACCACAGCCTTCGTTGTGTGCATTGCGCCTTGCACTGACTGCGGTCAGAGCCAAAGCATGCATCTCAAGCACACCAAATACTGAATGTCATTTTGGGCGTCAATACTCGGGGATCTTAAGTAATCAACAGGAGGACTGTGAAGAGGCTGATGACACCCGGGCATCTTGGTAGTGCAAGTCTTGTTCTAGTGTGAACTACCAAGCCTCCTTGGCCCCGAGCCTACACGGCCAACGTCATTTCCCCGCATAACCTGCGTATGATGATATGTCAGTCCGACCTGTACGACGATCAGACATATTCCGCACTCTCCAGTCAATCCTGCTCTCTACTACTGGATACCCAACTAAATCAGCTGAAGTCAGCATGTCGCGATAGGCCAGCACGGCTGGTTCAGCTAGTCGGGCGTATGACATCCATGCTGCGTTGCATGTGGGCGTGGCTTCTACCAACGAGATTGGCTGGAATGCACGAAGAGAAGCCAAGTAATCCCCTTGCTATCAGCTTACTGTTGCCAAGAGCAAATAAGTCTCGCATCAAGCATAAACAAGCTTCAGCCTTGTCATTGGGCGTTGGGCATGGGGACTGAATGTAATGCGTGCAATTTAACTATAGGCCAATCAGGTTACACGTAGGTAGCTGTGTGAGCTTTTTTCTTGGGGAGCGAACCTTGTAGGTTGCATCGTTTAGAATTCAACACCCCTTTCGCAGGACGATCGATGGTGGATACGTGCACCAGCGCAGTCTGCGCTGGCGTTGAAGCGGGTTATTGAGATTCCTGCGGTGCTTTGGCTGTTGAGTTTTCTCTGGTTGTATGCTCTGCTTCCAATGTTGATTTTCAAATGATGCACCATATTTACTTCGATGTCTGCGTTGTGCTGGAGGGTGCGGATTATATGCAGGGCTTATTTTGAACGTTGGCGGCCGGGGAGGCCTATATCGGACGGCAACGTCAGTATTCTCCGACAAACCACCATCGGAGAATCAGAACCCGCCGAACGTCATGGTATCTCGCTCAGTCGCTGATCTCAAACATCTTCTACGTCCTCTCTGGGCGATCATGTGTCAACTTGTGGACCTAAATCTGGCAAACGAGTGGACTTATCACAGCCTTATTTTTGGACGGAGCCGAGGAGCTTTTGTAGCGACTGCGGAAGCTGACCCACGCCTTAGCGCCGCAGCGGTCATAATTCGGTCCAACCAATATCATGAGCATTGGCTCAATCTTAATGGCTTATAGGACTTTACCCCGTTTCATGGCACTAGCTTAATAATTCGCTAGCAAGGCAAGAACCAAAGCTAGCACCAGTCTATTCTATGTATGGTAACGAATTAAAGCTGTTCCCCAGCAGGCAGAAAGAAGTGGCATAGTCCACAAGCATTGGTGGATGCCATTCTGTTTAATTGGGTCGAGGGCTGGGACCAGCCCTTCCCGGACTTTGCTGCTAAGCCTGTGTGTCGTTTCGAGGCTTTGCTGGCGTATGTTAATGAGAATTCGGTGCCCAAGGAGTTGTTTGGCAGATGAAGGAGCCTCCCGTGGGGTATCCTGTTCAGCCGGATCCTTCTGCTGCTCCGTTGTTGCCTACCAGAGTACCAGAAGTGTAGACATCTGGCTCGAATTGTATACGCGCTATGGGTGCCCGAGCTGGTTTGGCTTTTAGTGCGGGTAGTTCCACTTGTGAGACTACATACAATTCTAACCCTATCCTCCCTGGGCTGTGGTGGGAAGCCACTGTAGCAGTGGCCAGAGACCCTTGAATAAGTTGAAGTTTCGTATGGGGCTGTTGTGGGTGGCTACTGCGTGCAGGCTGTGACCTAATAGATATCAATTGTTGTTCTGTACAATGTACTTTTACATAATGCAGGCTTCCTGGGTTAGTAGCTTAACAGCTCAAATCTTGAGACACATTTTTCTTTTCAACAGAGGGTTAAGCCCTTGTATGTCATATTTAGAACGCCTTTGTCCCTATTCTACTTATATCGGGGATTTGACTAAACCTCTTCTTAAAATAGTGTCTTGACTGTAGTCTAAACAGGCATCCCTCCAACCAGCTCTATCTATATTATAGTCTCGCCGCCTGCTCCCCAGCAACATACTCCTTCCAGACCTGCTCGATATCATTCTTATAGATCCAGTCCATCTTGCCGCCTGCAACGAACCCAAGCCCTGCTACCCTCGTCTTGATAATGCTCTCAAAGTCGGAGTCTCCTTCCTTCCTAGTTCCTTGTGAATGTTTCTCTCGACTAGCCAGGAAATCATACCTAGAAACAGAGAGATGTAAATTAGTACCGTCATGCAGAGAGGATGGGGTAGATTTAGTTGGGCCAGTCAACGCACATGCGCTCATAATACGGCCCCCGAATCCGCTGGAAGATCCGCAGTGCATTCCTAACCGTTTGTGCTTTATCAATATCCCCGTTCCCACTTCTCGGAAACTCGCTCTCCAACGCCCGTGCCAGAATCCACCCATCCTCCATCGCAAATGCAGCCCCGGACCCGAATGCGCCCGAGAGCGGATGGCTCGCATCTCCGATCAGGGCTACTTTGTCCCACGCGGTGATTTCCGGCAGACAGGGGCCCGCGACCATTGCGAACTCTCGCCATGAGCCCTCTGGGACAGCTCGGAGGACGGCTTGGATGCGGGGGTCGTACTCCTGAGCATACATTAGCATTCAGACAAGATTCAGACAAAGCAGGGTTTCTCTAGATAGCTAATCACATACCCCCGTCCTAGAAAGAACCTTCTCATTCGTCACGGGAATTGCCCACGTCGCCGCCCTATCGGGGGAGATAGGTTCATTGTAAGACCGGACAGTGACCTCGAAGAGCCGGGGCTCGTCCTGGTCCTCGGACTCGTCATCCACTGGCGCGAAGTAGATATGCCCGTTCAAGCCGTGCCACCACCCATTCTCAGCGGGGAAGTCCTTCACATGAGCGATTGAGGAGAGCGGGATTAGAACACGGAATGCGGTGTTTCCTATACGTACAATGTTATCGGCTTGATCTCCAGGTCTCAGGTGTGGGGTGTTCGTACCTGTTACATGGAGATGGTGGTCCGGGAATAAGGTCCGGCGGACGATCTATAAAACAGATGAGTACATAAACCTTTCAAGCACTGGAGGGGTTGGTTCACCGAGCGAATCCCATCAGCCCCAACCACAAAATCCACCGTCGTCTTTGTACCATCCTTGAACCGCAGCTGGACCCCCTCCCCCTCCCCCTCCCCCAGATCCCGAATCTCAACCAACTTTTTCCCAAACTGGATAATCCCCTCGGGGACCTTCTCCAGCAGCGCCGCCTGCAACCGCGTCCGTCGAGCCCTGATGGACGCGAACCGTAGATCCTCCTCCACATGTTTCTGCCCATGTTCATTTGCATCAACCAGATTCGCATCGGTACGAACAACCTCCCCCGTCCTCCCATTCCGCTGCCACGAAGTTCCGAGTCTTCCGCCCCTCACCCCCTCCGCGGCACCCAGTAAATTCAATACATTCCACGCATTGCGCCCAATGCTGATCCCCGCGCCGACCTCGCGCGGTTCGGGCGCTTGTTCGTACAGTGTCACCGTGACGAACGGGAGATGCGATAGAGCGATTGCGGTGCCGAGGCCGCCGGGGCCGCCGCCGATGATTGCCACCGAGATAGACGGAGACGGGGTCATTGCTGGATTTGGCTGGTTCCCTTGGAAGATTTTGAACTTGGACTTGGCGGCTGCGCGGATCGTAGGTGCTTATCTAGGCCCGCGGATATTGCCTGATTATCAGCGCGGGGTTGTGGATTGCATTCCAGGTTGCGTTGGAGGTGAGAGGATACGCCATTCTGTGGGTTTATGAGGAAATACCCACTACCACTAGGTAGGGCGTACTAGTAGGAGTGTTGGCAATCGCAGGAAATGATTGGCTGGACTATCAAATATGCGATAACTGATCCAATGAGGGCTGAGCTGCTGTTGATTGCGACATAGTGTGGTTTAGAAGGCATTGATAAGCAAGGCGCGAGGGAGTTTAGGGAGGACCGTGGATCAAAACCTCACCTCGCTTGCTAACCTCTTCTCCTTATCAACAATCATCCTATCATTCTTGTAGCGCCCATGTACACGTTCCATTGTCGCATTGAATGGGAAGCAGAGTGGTCATCGTTGGCCTCTGCTGTTGCAGTCAAATGGCAGGCGAGAAAGAAAGAAACATCAAACGAAAGCACAAGACAGACAAATCATCATCCGCACTGACACCCAACATCGGAATCTTCCTTGGATCACCTTCACGGACACCAAAAACCGCGTCTAGCACGTCCGAGCCGAAATCCTCGATGGCGAGGCTGGGGGCAGCTTTTTCTAGTATACTCCGTATGAGACCTGTGACCTCGGCGTATTCGTCCTCTTGAGCCGGGGTTGCTTCCTGCTGTATGTGCTTATGATACCCTTCGCCGAGGCGCTTGTGAGCTTTCTGGCCGGTTTGTAGGTGGGTGAGAGCCTTGCTTCCGGCCATCTTGATAACGGATGAAGTAGGATAATGAATGGAAGCTTCGGAGACTGAATTGTAGGTGAGGCCAATAGTGGTCTCAAGAATGAGGATAGATTCAGCGTAAAAATCATATCGAGTGAGATCTAATGAGATTATTGCAGAAGGTGGACGAGCCGCAGGAGAGCATTTTTATAGATAGAGTTCAAGCGGTCCAGCTTGAGTCACCAAATGCGTTTAGGGCTTTTCCCCCCTTTTTACTCGAGCGATGTCTTCCATATTCAATTATCTTGATTACCAGGGTCCACCCGTTGAGTTAAGGCCATGTATCAAGAAATAGATTCCCCGTTTCATCCTGATAAAGTGCCCAAGACTCGACTGCAGATATGTAGCCCTACCCGAAGCTCCCCTCCTCACCTCTCAAATCTAACCCAGATCACCGCACATACCGAAAAGCAATATTATCCCGATCCGTCGTATCTAAAAACGCCAGGAGGGGATCATCCCCATTGACAATACCCTCGCCACCCATAATCTCATCCCGTTTCGCGTTCTGCCAGCCGTAGTAGAACCTGCAAAATCCCCGTCAGCACACTCGCGAAAAGGAGAAAAGAGAACCCCGCCAGATCCTGACCGATAGATGAAAAAAAAAGGAATGGATTGGATAAACATACCAAAGACAAAGATAACTCCCGACACTGACAGCAAAAAGCGAGAGCGTCGCAATCTGTCCATCGGGGTACCCCCTCTCCGCCTGATCGCCTTTATACGCCCAGGGCCCGCTGAACCCGCCCAGCGCGGACATCATGGTGATGGTGCCCATGACGACAGTCTTCTTGCTGTGGCCGGCGATGTTGGCTGCTAGGAGGGAGTAGTGTTGCACGAGGGAGCCGTAAAATGTTGTGCTCTATACAAAAATAGTCTTTAGCAAGAGTTCTGGGATCGCAAGGGGAAGAAAATGGGGGAGCACGTACCAGGTACATTCCAGCGAGCAACCCGGAGCGGTTATCGCGGGGCATCTTCCATAAGATGAGGTTGCCCATTAGGGAGGGCAGGATGAATGCGATGGCGAGGGGGATCCGGCGTTGCGGGAAGCGGGTTCCTAGGATGCTATCAAGGCTTATTAGTTCCTGAAGTATCTCACATCGTTCTAATGGAATAAATGGGTGAGACGTACCCAGCCAGAGTTATCGATACAACTGCCACAGCAGAAGCAGGAAGCGAGAGGACCAGCGCGCGAGACTGCGAGTAGCCAAAGGACGTCAAGAGGTAGCCACCGAAACTATATACAAACACACCTGTTAGCCAAAACAAAAACATCCCCACTGTACCGGCTTTACTCCACTGGTTAGAACAAAAGAAAGGGGGAGAAAGAGCCTACCTCCCAACAGCCACATTTGAAAAGGCAAACGAAAACGAAAAAACACACAGCAACCAAACCTGCGGATCCCTAAACGCACCCAGCCCCTGCCTCCACTTGACCTTCCTTGTATGAATCCCCGTCTTATTCCCCATAAGCCTACAGACCGCAATCTGGCGTTCCCTAGGCGTGAGGAACCACGCTTTCATGGGCGTTGCGGGGATCACGAGGAATGCGACGACGCCGACGAAGAGCGCGCACGATCCTAGGATCACGTAGATCCATTTCCAACGGCTTTCGGCGTAGATTCCCGCGAGCTTGAGCGCGCCGAAGTTTATTCCTGTGCCCACGAGGGAGCCCAGGGCGTTGCCGGCTATTATTATTCCGATTCGGAGGGGTTGTTCGGTTGTTTTCCACCTGTGCTCACTCACTGCATTAGAGGTTTTTTTTTTTTTTTTTTTTTTTTTTTTTTTTTTTTTTTTTTTTTTTTTTTTTTTTGGCTTGACGGAGTGGAGGAGAAAGTTAGGGCTGGTGCGTACCACATTACTGTGATGATTATGGCAAGTGGCTGAACAATCTGGCTGAAGCCGTAGAAGAACCTGGTAGGCTGTGTCAGCATGGTATTGAGTCCTCCTACGGATAGTATACATACCTAAGGGCCATAATCTGGCTAAAGTTCTCACAGACAATAGTCAGAATCGCCAAAACACCAATATACACCACGATAACACCATAGACCCTTCCAGCGGGGAGAAGCTGCGCTGGGAAGAGAAGGAGGTATTGGCCCTAATTGATCAATCAGCTACACGCCCTCATTGGCCACATGGAACTTGAAGGGAATAGAAATGGCGACGGTACTCACAGCAGCACCCCCCAATGACGTGATCCCTGCCGTAAGCTGATACTTGCTTGTATCAATCTCAATCCCGCCTTCAACAAGCTTAAACGCAAACAGCTTCATATCCTCCGCTAGGCCGAACAGCGCTGCGAAGCCGTATGCCTGACCATCTGCGTAGCCGATGAGTGAGCCGATGAAGAGCTGTACTTCCCATCAGCAAACAACGAATTTCTTCAGGTCGTAACATGAGGTCGCAGGTAAAGCTGGATTGGTTGCATACCATCGGCACCATAATGAAATCAATCTTCCGCAAAACACGCGCCTCCTCTTCCTCCGTCCAGGTATCTCCCTGGCTATCGAGCGCCATCTGGAGGGCATCGTCGGCCTCGGCTTTGTTGATCAGAGGGACCTTGTTGTCCGACATGGCAGCGTGGTGCTCCGTATCCGGGGAGACCTCCAAGTATTCGGATTCAGTTTTGTCAGCCATGGCGCGACCACGAGGTGCAAGGCTTTCGTTGAGTACAATGTGTAAGGGTTAGGACATCCTGGGGTATATGTGGTATGTGGAGAAGCAGTGTGCTTAAATAGGACTCGATCCGACAGGACTCTTATTCGGGCAATACATGCCGGCCAATTTCCGGGGAAAGTTCAAACGATGGTGAAATTGATTGTTTCAGGGTGGTCAATGCCGAAGCTCTGGGCAGTGGTGCGGGGGAGGCAATCCCGGCGTCCGGTGACCGGCCACCGGGGCCAGTCGGCAGTGCGCGAGGAAGAACTGCGCCGGTGGATTAGGGTTCGTCAGGCGATGATGAGCCTAGGCTACAGCTCCGTCACAGGTACTTGAGTCTCACTAGTACGTTTCACCACTTCCATCACAGCGCCGAACCCTCACAGATTCATAAATAGCTGATCTCCTGCAATTCGGTCCAAGAGATAACTTCTGTTTCAGACCCTGTCCGCTTGAAACATGGCAGAGGCAAATACAGTGCACCAAGTCGTCGTACCCGCTCCGGCCCCGATGGGTAAGGAAACGATCCTTCTGAGTGAGGGATGGCAGTACAAAGCGAGCGACAGCGAAACATGGTCCGACGCCCAGCCTCTTCCGACATCTGTTCATCTCGATCTTCTGGCCGACGGCAGCATCCCTGATCCATTTTACGGCAAGAACGAGGAGCTCGTGCAGTGGGTGGCGACCAAAACATGGATCTACAAGAAAGAGTTTCGGGTCCCCGTCGAATTGTTGCGCGATAGCGGCCAGAACATCGGCCTCGTCTTTGAGGGACTGGATACATATGCGACCGCCACACTAGATGGAGAGACGATTCTCGAAGCCAGTAATATGTTCCTGGGTCATCGGGTTGATATCACGTCGCTTGTCGCCAACGGTGAAGAAAGAGTGCACACTCTCCAAATTACATTCCATAATGCGGACGAAAGGGCTGGCGAGGAGGTCAAGGCCCATCCAGAACATAGCTGGTTTAGTTTCCACTTTGGGCAGCAGCGACTGGCTGTGAGGAAAGCACAATATCACTTTGTACGTTTCCCTCTTAAGGGCTGCAATAAGCGCTGACCATAACAAGGGCTGGGACTGGGGTCCAGTCCTCAGAGATAGTGGACCTTGGAAGCCAATCTATCTTGAAGTATATCAGGCGCGAATTGTCGACCTTTCAATCAAGACACGCTTGACACCGGACAACAAAGAAGCAACACTCGACGTCGCGCTTGATATAGAAGGCAAGGCGGGATATGCAAGAATTAATATCGAGAGCGAGGGATCCATTGTCGAATCTCGTACGATCGACTTGACCAGCTCCACGAAATCAACAACGATCCGAATCCGCAATCCCAGCCTGTGGTGGCCATGGACCCTCGGCGCACAGAACCTCTACACCGCAAGAGCCACGCTCTTCGCCAGTAAAGACAGCACCACCGAGCACGACACCAAAGTGAAAAGATTCGGCATCCGCAACATCGAGCTCGTCCAGCAACCCCTCCACGGCCAGGACGGAACCAGCTTCTTCTTCCGCGTCAACGGGGTCTGCATCTTCGCCACAGGTTCGTGCTGGATCCCACTGGATTCATTCGTCACTCGCGGGACGTCCGAGAGATATCGCCGCTGGATCAAGCTGGCCAAGGATACGAACCAGGTTATGCTGCGCGTATGGGGCGGTGGGATCTACGAGCATGATGCCTTTTTCGACGCGTGCGACGAGCTGGGACTGCTGGTTTGGCATGATTTCATGTTCGCCTGTGGAATTTACCCGGCATATTCGGCTTTCGAAGAGAGTGTTACCACGGAAGTGCGGCAGAATCTCGTTCGTCTGCGACATCATCCTTCTATTGCGTTGTGGTGTGGGAATAACGAGGACTATGCAATTGCATATATCGCGCAGATGCTCCGTGGTGTCGCCAAATATGACCCCTCTGAAATGGATGTCGAGAGGATCAGGCAGTCGGGTATGCCTGCGCGGTTATTTTACGAGATTCGCCTGCCGGAACTATGCAAAGAGCTCATCCCTGATGTTCCGTACTGGCCAGGCTCACCGTACGGAGGAGCTTTCTGCAATGATACGACGGTTGGTGACATTCACCAGTGGCATGTTTGGCATCTGGACAAGAAGCCCTACCAGGACTATCCGCGACTCAGCGGGAGGATGGTCACGGAATTCGGCCTGCAGGCAATTCCGCATTGGAAGACCGTGAAGCAATATTATTATACAGGCGACAAGAGCCCATCGCTGGATGATGATACAGACTACACTGCAGACGACTTCATGTTATACCACAACAAGGCTGAAAAGGGCCCTGCAGACATAGAAAAGTACTGCACGGATAATATTCCATTCGACCGGAGCCTCCGCGGCTACATGTATTGCTCGCAATTGATTCAGTCCGAAGGCCTCGGAACAGCTCTGCGTGGCTGGCGCCGTCTCTGGAAAGGTGAAGGCCGAGAATACTGCGGTGGTGCGCTGGTGTGGCAGTTGAACGACTGCTATCCGGTATCCTCCTGGGCAATAGCCGACTGTGACCTGCGGCCGAAAATGTCATACTGGACAGTCAAGCGCGAGAATCAGCCGGTCACAGCTGGTCTCGTCCGCAACCTGAGAGAAGACGGCTCACTGGAGGTGGAGGCTTGGGCGTGCAACATGACGCTTCACGCGCTTCCTGTCAACTATCGAGTTCGCGCGTGGAACGTGCGCACAGGACAGACGTGTTGGACTCACTCTGTATTAGCCACGGTCGAGCTCCCCCCGAATCAGAGTACTGAACTCTGGACGGTTCAGCTGGATGCTGCTCTAGGGGTCGAGAGCAACTGGAGTGAGCTTGTGTTTGCTGTATACCTTTTCTCCGCCGACGAAGAAGCTTCCGCCAGTGATGAAAGCGCAGCCGACCGTATGCTTGCACGACATGTGAATTTCCACGAACCGCTAAAAGAGGTCCCATTTGGCATGCAGGAAAACAGGGTCACAGCCAAGCTGATTGAGGAGGAAGGGAGAACATTCCTTGAGCTGTGCTCCTCGGTCCCAACCAAAGGAGTGTACTGCGATTTTGAGGATGACAACTCGGTGGAGTGGGTAGATAACTGCGTGGATATCGTGCCCGGAGAAGCTAGCAAGCTATATATGACAGGGTTGAAGAATGAGCCAGGAAACTCGGTCAGGGTATACTGGCTCGGGGAGACAAGTTGGCAAAGTCAAGTTATTACCTTAGCATAATGATGGTTTAAAGTTCGTTTGCATTCGAGTTTAGCAAGCTGGAATACATGTTGAATAAATCGGGTAATTGACCATGAAATGAGTCAATGAAATCATTCGTGCTAAACTCGGCCGGCCAGTGATCATTCAGGTCGAGTGGAATCGGCACTTCCTGCACGGCTCGCAGATCCTCTTCGAATCCCATTGTTCCTTGTCGCGTACCAGTCGCGAACGTCTGGTCGCCACTGCAATCAATGGCCGTAGTCGAGTTTCGCAAATGGGATAGAATACACTCTCCATATAAGTGGGGTAAGGCATTGTTTGGTCCTGACACTTCTATCATCAGATGTGCTACCTGTTCGGCCTTGGCTAGTTTGGTCCTCAAGGCAGAATTGTTCGGAGACATGTTATATGCATACACTAGATGCAGACAACATAGGGCCATCATTGTAAATCCATAGTCGGGTGTATAGCGCAAGAACTCCCTAGCCACCGGCTTCATGCCGAGGATGGAGTCGCAACAATTACTTGCGGCGTCAGCCGATTTCAAGACGCAGTCTAGAAATGGGGCAAGCTCTGGAGATGACAGGATTGTTGGCGAAAAGCTAGGTCGCCCAGGCTTTTCCCGTAGCTGGTGCGAGATGATGGGCGCCGCGAAGGAAATCATGTTGAAGCGAGTTAGGAGGCCCATGAAGGGAGTGACAGAGCTGGCGATATGAGGCTCACCGGTCCTAGTGCTGGTTTTGTGCATGCCGTTGGACTGCAACCAGGTGGAGCGCCACTCCTGTAGCATTTCTTCTGTACTCTTTAGAAGCTCTTGCAAGGACCCAATGTCCTTTGTGTTGGAGGGCATACACCACCATTCTCCAAGGTCCTTGTCGCGGAGAGCGGCTTGATCCCACATGCGATGAAGAGCAGCCTCTGCTAGAATTCTCCAGACACTTTGGGAAGGCTCCATGTGCAGTAAAAGGTCTACCGTTGAGGTGATCGTAGAATCATCGTGTATTGTAGGAGGGGTCCTCGTGATCACGGAGTGGTGGCGAGACTTGACAAATAGCCAAAGCCAGTAGAATGTGCGCCGATATGCCTGCGACGCGGTTGCATTGGACGAGTCTTCGCGGGCTAGCTCTCTAAGATGCCCTATGGAGTGGTGAAGGGACTGCTGCATCGCGCAGGCCTCGACTGCAGACTTTACAGCCCATATGCTCAGCTGCCTCTTTTGTGTCTTGCTGGATTGTATAGCAACTTCCGGATACGCATACAGAACGGCCAGCGCTTGTAACAGAGTCCAATTTTCTTCTGTTTTATTGTCGCGAATATAATTAGCTTGTTCAATCAACCTCAGAATGTGTGTGAACAGCGACCTCCGTGCCGAATCGTAGCCGAGGGCGAATGTGGAAGCGACAAAAGCCATGGCATATGCGAGTGGTTGCCGTCGCTCAAGTATCGTCGTTGGATCATCCATCGGTTCTAACGAGAGTACGGGGACGTAAAAGAGGAGTCTCTCCAGAAAGCTAACACGGATGACTTGGTTAAGCGAATCGATTGTGCTGGCTATACGGTCAGGACTCACAACTCGACAAGATCGCGAATGACAGGCGGAGAGACATGGTCTGCGTCTGCACTAGGTATGGAGGCATGATCGTCAAAAGAATCATTGCGTTCTGGCACCGATTTCGCAGCGATTGAGAGCGGAGACGAAGAGAAAATTGACGGCAGGCCCAAGGGCTCTTGATTTATTGAGTATTCTCTTCCAGTCTCGGACGGGCTACGGTCATATAGTTGCCGGCCCACGGATGCATGCGAGCTGCTAGAGACTGGCGAGGCCAGAGCGTGCTGGGTATTGCGATAGTCTTGGATTTGGGATGAGGACGGTCGCCTCTGGTTACGGTTTGGTAGACGGACGACGCATTCGCGATTGTGTTTGAGGCAGCGCCGGCATGGAGGACTTCCTCCACCAACGCACCTCATCTGTCAAATGTCAACCAGGCCGGCGACTCACTGAAACAAAGGTCTAACGTACCTTCAGTCTCCTGCATGACATGCAAGCAACAGCGGCTGGCTGCCGGGGGTTGTAGTCCATTCTGGCGAACACCTTGATGAACGAGGCAGGGATAGGGAAAGAACGGCCCGGGGTGAGTTTTTGTTGTCGGGAGTAACACCACTAGAGCTTTCTGGACGGAAATAGCATCAGAGAACGCCGACAATGACTTTCGGACAGCTCGCTTCAAAAGTGACCTGACCAGCACCCACTGCGCTAGGCATTACCCCGCAGAAGCAATAGGCTCTCATCGCAGCTGGAGTGGGCTAAAATTCCGACGGGACGGTACGGCCGGCTATAGTGAGCAAGCTATAGGGTCGGCTGACCGAGGCAATGACAGGGAGCCTGCTGACCAGACCCTTGGGCAAATCAGGTCAAGATCGAGGTGTTTGCTCCGAGGGTCTGGTACTGGCCGGGGGCACAAAGGCCACTCAGAGTCCGCATTAAGCGATGCGCTGGGAGATGCCAACACGATGTCAAAGGACCGGTCACCGGTCTAACCGGCTGCCGGTCGTATTTTCCCTGACGCTCCCACTTGACATGGAGATGTTCCCTCCGCTTATCCGATGGACTGATTTGACTGGGGTTATTATTAGGCAGTTCCGAATCGAGCCAAAAGGAGCAGTATTTGCACGGCCTTCGATCTCCGGTCGATCTTACAGACGCCAAGCAAGATATACGCTCTGAAAACGTGTGATGCCTCGAAAAGACTACAGCACCGTGACGCTTTCTGACAGGATAACATTCATACTTGGTTTGTTGAGTGTCGTCCCTGTCACCCTGACTACAAGTATCGTCCGACGGTTGTGGAAATCAAGCGACTATAACCTGAAAGATGACATCTTCCTAGCCCTGGTACGACGGTAGGACTTACATCTTATATCTTCACACTTTTGAGGCCCGTATGCTGATCGGTAACTCAATCAAGCCTGGGCCTAGTCCCGCTACCAATCCGGCGCAAACTCGGCTTCTCAATCGACGTCACGACCATTCGCAGCTCGCCGCGTTTCGAAGCCGCTAGCCCCGAGATATGCACAAGGATATCACTCCCAGACTTCGAAGGCTACTGGATCTGCAGAGGATGTATCCACGGACCTCAAAGACGCCCTTCTGACTGCGACGTGACGATTCTATGGCTTCATGGCGGCGCCTATATCTCCGGCAACGCCATGGCCGCAGCCGTTTCCCTACTACGCATCGCAGAGACTGCAGCGGAGCAGGACATCTCAGTCAATGTCTTCTCACTGGAGTATTCACTCGCACCCGAGGCCAACTTCCAGACACAGTTGGATGAGGTAACAGCCGCTTATAGATTCTTGGTTGAAGACCAGCACATCGATCCAGACCGGATCATGGTATTCGGAGAGTCGGCTGGTGGTCATCTGGCTTTATCGCTTGCGTACAATATTCGGCGACAATGTATGCGACGGCCTGGGAAACTCGTCTTGATATCTCCCTGGGTGAACCTTCTAAACTCAGGGGCCACCTTCGCAACTAACAGGCACAAGGACAGCCTCGACAAGAGCGATCTGGACAGATGCGTCGGCCGGCTCTTCGGACGACCCAATGGTATGCTCAAGTTCGCCGAGTATCTCAATTTCGCGTCACCCCTGTCAGCAACGAAGGGCGAGGACGGGGATTTGCATTGGTCGCAGGTCTTGCCGCCGACATGGGTGACAGTCGGTGGAAACGATGTATTCCTCTCGGATGTGTCTGATTTCGTGGAGAATGCTAGGGGCGACGGGGTTGATGTTGACTTTCGAGTAGAGCGTGGGAAACCGCATGGATGGTTCGGATATCGAGATGCGGTGCAGGTGAAGGATTATTTGGAGGTGTTGCCGACGGATGATGCGAGTTTCTTCTTGAAGAGTAGCGAGGAGCTTGCAATGGTAGTATTGGGCCATGTTCGTGATTATGCTGAGACCCCTTTATGAGAACTCATTATTATATTGAGTTGATGATTTGATGCGCATTGTTTCTCTGTGGAACGTAAGCGAGTGAGAGCATAACGCCTACTTCTGAGCGGCACCCTCCTAAGATATCAAAGTCATTCTTAGATCTATAATTGAATATGGTACAGCAGGGGTATCATCGTTCCTCTCCTCGGAGAGGGGAGAATAGTCAGGACTGAGGTTGAGATAAGCTCACGCTCTCCATCCCTGAACAAAGTCATGAAGCCGATCAATAACGACACCGAAAATCGCATTCGCACTGTCGCCAATCAGCTGCTCAAAGTGCCGAATAGCCTCCTCTTCACTCATCTCAAGATGGAACCTCTCCTTGACCTTTAGCACGGCTTTATCCGGCTCGACCCGGATATCCGGGATATTAGCATCAACCATGAGACTGAACAGATTGAGGATAAGATTCGCCGACTTGCGAAGCGTTGTATACGCTGTGAAACAGTACTGCTTGAACTGGAGATACAACGGCGATGTGGTCCCGCCCATTCCTTCAACCATCTCCTTGCACAGTTTCATCATCGGCGCGAAGGGCTTCGGGTCCCGGCCTAGGATGAAGCCGAAATCTGCGTGGAAGAAGTGGCCGTCTGGCGCGAGGAGGAGGTTCTCGAGGTGCCTGTCTCCAACGCCGAGGAGGTACGTGATGACGCAGTATCCGGCGCAGGACTTGATGTATGTGTCCATTGTCTCCTTGCGGACGCCAAGAGGCTCGCTTTCGTCCGGGTTGTTGGCCTTGAGGTAGGCGAGGACAGTCTTGTATTTGGCGGAGACGGCGGAGAGGGATGTTGAGGGGATAAATTGCATGGCGCCTGCGGTGGCGTTTGTAGCCAGGATGCGGTATGGGGTGAGTTTGAGGTCGAGGTTTTCCTTTTGCAGGAGTCGGTCCATTAGGATGATGATTTGAATGACCAGCTGGTCTTGCCGGAGGTCGTCACCGACTTTGAATAGAATCGGGTATTCTCGACCTTCGGCTGTTTTAAACGTTATGAGGAGAGGTGATAAGGAAGACTTGAACACGTTGGATTCATCGGGGAAGCAGCCCGTAACTAGGACATCCGGGTCCAAGGGAAGAGGAAGTGGCGGGTCAAAATGGAGGAGATCATTCTTGGGGTCTTTCAGGAACTTTTTGAGTTTCTCAATCTTCAGAGGGCGGTTCTCTCGCGCGAAGCGGATGTCTTTGGATATTTTTGAAAGCACAGTGATGAGTTCGCCTTGGCGGAGCAGCGTCTTTCTAAATTCTGGATGAATCTGCTCCAACTCTGTCATGAAGTAGTACTCGACCCGAGCAAAAAGTCTGCGATGGGAAGACAGCGTCCCCGGGCCAGCATCATCGCACTCGACCATCAGGTACCAATGGAGGTAGTTACCTAGTTTGAAGTTGTTGGCTGCGCGGGTGATGAGAAAGTTGGCCAGAGACGAGTCGTGGGCTGTGATTTCAGGATCTCCATGAATGTTATCTTCGTATTTCAACGCCTGAACGAGTTGCAGCAAATACAAAAGTAGCTCATCGTCGTCTGCCTTGCGGAGGCGCTCGACAGCATACGAGCGAACGGCAGCGTTGTCAAATGTGGGTCCGAGGAGCTCGAGAGCATCATCAACGTCAATATCTGTCCACTTGGGTAGTATTCCAACCGCTTGCTGGGCTTCGCTATCGTCTCGCCAGTTCACTGATTTGACAAACTTGGTGAGAGCGTTCTTCTCTCGCGTGAGGTAGTAGCGGAACCGCCATACAAGATCCTTTTCCTCGGCGGTAAGATCTTGCGTAGGTTCCTTTTTCATTATCCTGTCGAGCTCATCCCGGATCTTACGGTTCGGCTTGAGATCACGGTCCATGAACCCAGTCCGATGGCTACGTATGAGCCTGCGATGTTTGTCTTCACAAGGATTCCCCGTTTGGCCCACTTCAGGATCATAGATTCGTATAACCCCTTCGCCGTCGGCTCCTTCGATTCCCGGGCCGAAGCGGACCTCTGGCATGGGTTTAAGAGCTGGATCCATATTCCCAGGTGCGTTTTGCGCGTATGATGAAATCGGCGGCGGTGGATATTCATGGTCGGACCATACAATAGGATGGTCAAATCGTGGGAACTCGACATAAAGAATGAAATTTTCGTCGTCGATTTGTTCTTCGCCCTCCTCGTCTTCTTCACCGCTAGGGTTCCGTTCTTTGTTGGCCTTTAAGAGAACCGCCCGCTTCCTCGCAGCTTCTTCGGCATTAAGCTTGAGTTTCTCTAGCTGGCGGAATACCATCTGGTCCATCCAATCAATCCGAGGTATTTCGCCCATCTCGTGTTTCTTGATCAGAACCTCCACTCGTTCCAGCTCGAGCTCTTCAGTAGAAGAGCCCAGCGGGTCAGGTTTGTTCCCTTTTCGCCGTTTCGGAGGAGGGCTCGATGGTGTCGACGTCGCCGAGAAGCCATCAGCGGCTTTGTGTCGGTAGACCTTGCACTTTTGCCTCCCAGTCTTCAGCTTTCCATCTTCATCGAACAGAGGTATCGTTGTCCCACCAAACGGAATATAGTGGCCGTCCGCGCCCTCGCCGCCAAACGGCGATAGATCCCAGATCGTGATTGCGAGCTGACATTTCAGAGGAGCATCTTTGATCGACATAGGCAGCTGCAGCCATTCATTCCAAGCTCTGGCGACTTTGAACGCTTTGTATGCAGTTTGCAACGGTACCCCGAGGGGCTTGGATTCCGACCATAGCTGAACCGTGACGAAGAGGTCTGATAGCGGATTCTGGGAGGAGCCAATGTGTCGCAATTCTGGCTGGTTTAAAAGGACCGAGAACGGGAGCTGTTTTTGCTTTCCTTCTAGAGAGCCGCTGCAATTGTCAGTCAAGCTCTCATAAACCGATGATTTGACAATCATCAGGAAACAATGCGGAGAAAGATTGGGCGTACATTTTGACGTATACGGGGAAATCCACCTGGGTGGACACCGCAAAAGTAAAGGCCTCCATCCTAGGCCCCAAGCATCACAGCTTGTCTACCCTTATAGCATGATCGAGCTGATATCGTGCAAGGTGGGTGTCTGCGGTCAGTGCTGTCGGAGTTGGAGCTCTCCCTCCACTTAGCGGTCCAGCCGGAGATGACGCGGGGAACAGCAGCCATCACGTGATTTTCATTAAGAACGCGTCCAGGCGCGCACTTTGGGCCATGAATTTCCAGACCAACAGCAGAGGGTATCCGCGCAGCAAATTGACTTTGACGCTTTTGGCAGATCATAGTCTGTTAAACAAGTCTCCTTTTTTTATTTTCTTTGTTGAGATAACCTTGATTCTTTGTTTGAATAAACCCCCTTGAAAAGCGCGCATTTCCACGTTCATCAAAGAAATCAGCCTCGCGAGTATGGCGCGCAGCCTGGAAGTCAACTCAAATTCCCCTCAGCGCCAGTCGCCGGGCTCTCCCTCCGATAAAGAGAACCTGGGAAACTCTGCCAGCAGCAAACGCAGAAATCAGTCTCTCGACATGTCTTCCTCGAGCAGTAACACGAAACGCCAACGGCTACGCGAAAGGGCTTCCAATGTGGGCAGCCAATCGCTACCGTCACGAAAATACAGCAATCAGTTTTATGACCCCGATCAAGATGAGAAGGAGCGGCGACGTATACGCAAGGGTCTTCGAGACCTCACTCGAGACCTGAATGGTAATCTGGCCATCGTGATTTTGCTAAAAAGAAGATGCTGACGATTGTACACCGAGCAGATTCCAGAAGCGAGTATATGCAAGCGGGTAACACCGGAATCTACGACACCATCCAGAAGGCGAATGAATACTTCCAAGACGTCAAGCAAACCTCCGACGCGACCATCGATTCCCGCCTTCTCGTGAACGCTGCGGATTTATCCTACAAGAAGACTGCGGCGTTGGTTCTGGGCGACTCCAGCGCGGGCATCGATGTCGACGAGTTCGTCTCGAAATGTATATCGTTCATGCGCGCAGGTCGCGAAGACCCGGATGCTGTCATGACTAGCACGCAGCGTCGCCGTGCTCCTCGAAGAACCCAGACCCAGGCGGACCCCGATGATAGCGATGAGGAGGATCAAGGGGATGGACTGAACTGGGACTGGCTCGGGCGAGCTGCCTGCTTCCGCCACAACTCGCGACCGGCTCTTTCTGGGTTTCTTTTGGGCCCGCTGTCAGTGCAGAAGCGTACACGGCAAATCGCTCAGCGAAGAGCAAGAGAACGCATCGACCCGTCCCAGGCTGTTCGCCCACAAGAGCTCCGTGAGGAGGATCTGGACAAACAAGAAACGTCCAACCTTACAGCCATGTGCACCAGCATTAACAAGCTGTTAGCCCAGACGGCGGCTCATGCTGAAGCCACTGTTACCAAGATATTGGAAGAGTTGCAAGATCCGCCAGAAGATGTAGTGCATGAAATCATGGCCAAGCATCATATTGCCGACGATGGCGGCGTTCCATTGTTTGACTTTTGCATCAATCCCAAATCATTTGGCCAGTCCGTCGAGAATCTATTCTACCTAAGCTTCCTGGTCAGAGATGGGACAGTTGGTATTTCCACGGACAGCAGAGGCTTGCCAACGTTGCGTACGATTCCGTCTCCTTTTTCCAACCTTATTGCACCTGTATTGAACACTTGCTGATATAATCGCGTTCACAGATCCCTCCAAACCTGTGGCGCCCAGCGAAGCCCAGCGACAGGGCATTGTGAAGCGCCAATCTGTTTTTAGCCTCGACTTTGATACTTGGCATGACCTGATTGAGGCGTATGACATTCAAAAATGCATTATTCCTGAGCGGCAGGAGGAACAACACGATACAGGGCGAGGATGGTATAGCTAGAGCATTATCGCTCTCTTGTTTTTCTCAAGGGTTTTGGTGCTTCGGTGTTTGCGATTTGATTGACGGTAGCTGCGATAAACCTATACCCCCTTTGGCTGGAATCTTGAACGTTCTGCTTTTACGCGACAAATTATCTTTCGTTTCGTGTTGATACTTTCCCACATGAGTTAATGGCACTATACTTGCTTACACATTTACTATCCCTGAAACAGCTGTCATGTCCGTGGGTGCTGTCGTGTTCCCACTCCAGCCCACTCTTCCCGCTGCCAGAAGCCATTGACGTCAGCGAATCGCTCAACCCTCTTACCAAAGCACGGGGCCCAGACCTCGAAGCTGCAGAATTGTCATCGCCCAGAACACAAGGGACCATCCTGTGAATCCTGTCTATTCATTTGTTTGTCATCCAACACCCTGGCTAGCTGACGCAGCATTACTGTTTAGCTAGTTATCTCCTGGCGGCTCCAGTACGGCCGTTGCTTGAGCCGAGGCGAATCGCTTTCAACATCCGAGCTCGCTCACGCGATCTGAGCGCGCAGTACAAAAAGTTGATAAGAGCTTGCGATAAATCGCCCTCCGACCGACAAGTTCGTCGCGACTTCAAATCCCAGGCAATTCACTCATCGAGACCGTTGATCAACCATGGCACCCCTCTTCCCTTCGAATCCGGATGATGTTATGGTGATCCGGAATGTTACTTCAGATGTCGTGACCTTGAGCCTTCCGTTTGCGCGATTCGGGCGCTTCAAGTTCGGTGGCCGAGGAACACTAGGTTGGTTTTGCTGATCGCAGTCAAGCATCACTAGACTAACTGTGTCGCAGTGCGCATGTCCTCCGGCTCAATCGCCGTCTTCTCCCCCGTCAACCTCACACCCGCCGTGCGGGAGGCCGTTGCAGGTCTCGGCGGACGAGTCAAGTACATCGCAGCGCTAGACCTCGAGCACCACTTGCACTTAACCTCGTGGAAGAACGCGTTCCCCGACGCAGAGATCATCGCCCCCGAGGGGCTCTGGGAGAAGAGACAATCCGTCCCCGAGTTCAAAGACACCCCTTTCAAGCACATCCTCCGCGAAGCAAACAAGGACCGCCCGTGGTCGATCTCGGAAGAGTTCGACAAGGAGTTTAACATTGAATATGTATATGGACATGGGTCCAAGGAGATCGTGTTCCTGCATAAACCCTCGTTGACGCTAATTGAGGCGGACTTGCTCTTCAATCTGCCCGCCCGCGAGCAGTACTCTAAGACTGGGGTTGATGCGACGTCGGGAATCTGGACGAAGATCGTGAAGCCGCTGCTGTCGACGAGTGCGCCGGCTAAGTGGCAGAAGAGGTTCGTGTGGTATGCTCTGGCGAAGGATAAAAAGGCGTTTGGGGAGTCGATTCAGAGGATCGACAAGTGGGAGTTCAATCGGTTGATTCCGTGCCATGGGGATGTGATTGAGAGTGGTGCAAAGGGAGTATTCAAGACGGTGTTTGAGTGGTTCTTGTGATCAGTAGTGGTGTAATGAGTTGTTGATATTTCTGCCAAGGGGTGTGGTTGAAAAGGCGCAAAGCGACTGATATCTAAGGGTGTGGTTGAGAGGTCCTTGCAAGAAGTCCTGGTGTTATGAGGCTCTTGATATCCGGTGCGTTGACAAGCTTGATTTGCGTGACAAGCTTGATTTGTGTGACATTCGCCTACAAAATGGCTTCTGCCCTAATGTGTATGTACTACTTCTTGTTTGTGTACTATTATGGTCGCCCAACGGACTCGGGAGGGTCTAATTGATATACAATCCCCACTGTGGCTCAGCTGCGATTCATGTTCGGATACGCAGCTACAGTGAAGCGTTTTCCAAGTCAATCCATTTGTCGGTAGACGCTGTTAATGCACTTGCAACGTGCATAGTGGACCAAAAGGGTAAGCGCATGCTGATCCCTGTCTGAAGAAAATGGGATTATGTTGCGACAACCTCAAGAGATTCAGCCTTCAACTCAACGCTCTCAATGACGACGATCCAAGCTGAATGGCGGCCTCGATTGTCAGCGGTCACCAGACAAAAACACGGCTCGGAGAATAATCGACAAACGCAAGAATCAGGGCTATTCAGCCAGTCGAGTCGCTTGTGTTCATGACGACCATTCGCGCAAAACAAGCTGCGGACGCACCAGAGTGACGTATCACCAAAGTTTACCAGGCAGAAGAATTGACCACACCATATTCCTGGTCAATCAGTTTCCCAGTCTGGGTTGGTGAGCTTCGCCTCCAGCTCGAGGCGTTGGGCAGAGAGACTGGACGAGCTTGCAGGACACCAATCGGCTCCCACCAGTCGACGTCATGGCCATTGACTGATCACGTTCACAACACAAGAGTTGTCTATACCTGAGGTAAGGGGCATCGATTCGAGAAGAGCCCAGGATACAATGACGATTGAGTTCTGATTTATTTAAAGACGTCCAGCGACACTCCCCTTCTCCTCCAGTGTCCACCCCAGTTTTCTTTTCCACTCTCCACGAAATAAGCTTCTGTCAGACACCGCTAGCCTGAGGCATTGCCTTGACGATCTAGTCTAGAAAGTCCACTCTACCCCAGTTCTGCTCCACCACCATGCCTGTCGTCTCCAGACTCGTGTCGATTATTCTCCGCATCGCCGAGATTGCCTTTGCTGCGGTATGCTATCCCTTGATCCAATCACTATGCCAACCAACCCTTCCGAACTAATTGTACCATAGGTCGTTGCCGGTATCTTCGGCTGGTTCCTCCACGAATTCGACGACGTCGACGTGTGGCCCAAGCCTCGCTGGATCTATACCGAAGTCATAGCCGGTATATCCATACTGTTCGGCCTAATATGGCTGATCCCGTTCTCGTCGGGATTCTTCACCTGGCCGCGTATGCACTCATCCCCAGCGGACATGTATCCAAAAACTAACGTAGACAGTTGACCTGCTTATCTCGTTTGCCTGGTTTGCCGCATTCGGAATCCAAGTCCATGCCAACAACAGGCTCAACTGCGGTAGCATCTGGGCCTGGGGCCGTATCACGGATGACTCGTACTGTGGCCGCTGGAAGGCTGGTCAGGCATTCAGCTTCCTTTCCGCTATCGTCTGGATTGTCTCTGCGCTTGTGGTAAGTGGTCCCCGGACTATCTTGTGCGAGTTCCAATGCTGATGCTTGCCTTAGGGTATCTGGTTTACCTTCCGTGTCAGGAGACACGCGACCGACCGATAGTATGTCACTAGTCCCCGATAAATGAATCCATCTAGTGCTAACTGTTACAGCAGTGGGCGCGGCTACCGTGTTTAAACAGTTTAATGCTGTATGACAGGCTTCAGGCTCCCGACTCCGTATGCTGTGCCCGTTCCACGAAGTACATGCTTGAGGCGATTTTAATGGAGGTTACGACTCGTTATCTTTACGAAGCTCATTTGTCTATTGATATAATACCCTTTACGTTGAAATCAACTTAATTCAAGCTTTATCTAATCCAAATCTAATATTTCATTTGGTTCCAATACACATAGAGTGGGCGGGTAGCCTTAATATATATCTTCAAGGGGAGAAACCAGATCCCTCCAAATTGGCTGAATTTCTTAGCTTCTTTTCCTTCAGCATCCTGGCGCTTAACCCAATTATTGTCCAGAGTTTTGTTTACCATATCTTATTCCAGAACTAATGTTGTCTTGTAGATGTCGAATCTCACCATTTACGCTGACTAAACACATCTTGGGGCCAGCAACATCGCCCGATCTTTTCTTTCTGACACGTCGATGGAGCGATAACAATGCCCTCACAGCGGTCCAGCTCCTCATCCTTTGAGAGACTGCCTCGACAGCCAGAAGAGTACTTGCTGAAATCCCAAGATGATTCCAGCAACAGCCAATCGGTAGCGGAAGATGCTCGGGACAGCTTCGACCCCGCGCCCGCCGACCGCGAACAGAGCACGAGCGAGCCTCTGCTCCCAACATCTTCTTACCGACCCGCGCAGGAGCCGACAAGGCGATTCACCTGCACTGCTTCCGGTATCTGGGACTGGATCTGTGGCCCGGAGCCGCCGCACAAGTACCGGATCAACCCCTGGCTTGCGCGATGGCAGACCGCGCCGGACCGGCTCATTGAGCGCTATTTTCCTGGTAAGAAGTCGAAAGTCGCACTTCTTCTGGCTGCGCTTCTAGTATGGGGTGTTGTATTCATCTCCATTTTGCATGCGAGCGTTACTGGGCAGGAGATTCCAGGCCATGGAAGTCCGGTTAAGCTCTCTTGTTGGAGTAGACTTTGGTAGGACCCCAGGTTCAGGCTCGGGCCGATTTGAGCTAATCTATACTTCAGGTCTAATTCCACAAATTGCGGTCTTGATGGTGACTACTGTCGGCCCTTTGACCAGGAAACGCTCGCGTTCCGTTGCCCTGCGGCTTGCTCGGGGTTTATGGTCCTGGAACCGTACTTTGTAGGCCCGCTGGAAATCAACTACCAGAGCCTTGTCATTGGAGGCGCTCCTCAATCCGAGTCCGAGATGGGAATTTATCGGGGAGATTCGTCTATCTGCCAAGCGGCAATTCATGCGGGACTCCTCGATGACAGCAAAGGTGGCTGTGGCATTCTGCGCCGAACGGGCGAGCAGGGAAGTTTTCGGGCAGTGGACAGGAATGGCATTTCGAGCGTCGAGTTTCCCTCAAACTTTCCGCTATCGTTTACATTCGACACTGGCGAGTCGCTGAAGGATGGCAGCCTGAAGTGCCAGGACCTCCGCTGGCCACTCTTTACCTTTTCCGTCATTGTCTCAACGCTTTTCTCCCTTGTGGTCACATCCCCAGCCGGGTTCTACTCTGCTATTTTCTTCATCGTCTACTTCCAGGTCGCCCTCTCTTCCGATCCGCCCTACTCCCCGGATTACTACGAGATTGTCTCGACAGCTCTCGGTCGCTTTCTCCCCTGTGCCTTTGTCGGCTTTGCAATCTACTACTTTGCCGTTCGCCACACACTCAAAGACCTGGACGCCCACTGGGACAAGACCGTCCTCTGGCTCGGCCCCTGCTGGGTCGGCGCCCTCAACACCGACACCTTTGACAAAATCCCCATATCCCGGCTCACCCCACACGACCTCCAACAACAACCCGGCGCCATTCCCGCCCTCATCATCATCATCCTCATCCTCCTCACCGTAGTCATTACGCAAGCCCTCGCCTTCCGCAACGAGGGCCGCCTCCCCAAGATGCTCGCCGTATACGGCACCCTCGTCGCCGGCGTCCTTGCCCTCCTCGCCGTGCCAAACATGAACCTCCGCATCCACCACTACATCCTCGCCCTCCTCTTCCTCCCGGGGACGACGCTGCAAACCAGACCCAGCCTCCTCTACCAGGGCCTCCTGATGGGCCTGTTCATCAACGGGATCGCCCGCTGGGGGTTTGACTCTATCCTCCAGACCTCCGCTGCGCTGCTAGACGGCGCACAGCTCGGCTCGCTCCTCCCGGAAATCACAACCTCGCTCATCACATTCAACTCAGACACCTCGCTATCCTTCTCCTTTGAATCCCTCTCCATTCCGCAGGAAGTCGACGGCCTAAGCGTGCTGATCAACGACGTCGAGCGGTACCATGCCTTCCGCTCCGACGGCGCCGAAGACGTAAAGATACCCAATTGGAACTGGACGAGAGTGAGGAGTGGCGAGCCGGAGTACTTTCGTTTTGGATATATCAAGGAGAATGCCCTAGGTGGGTTTTGGTATCAGGATTTCACGGACCCGGTTACGTGGGTCGGGGATGGGGCGTGGAATGGCACGTCGGCTTGAATTTTTTTTTTTTTGGCTGAAATTATGGATTTCTAGTTGGTTGAGTTTGGAAAGATCTGATTTATATTATAGGCTAAATATGTGGCTGTACAGACTTGATTTTCTAGAATCAATGAGACTTTCCCTATTTAGATGAGGCTGCTTTGATAAGAGCGCTTAGGGGTTACTTACCAAGTGTAAGCGGCGAGGTTGGATCGGTGGTGGTTGCCAGTCAGTCTTCACCCGCGGCGAGGTCCTAGCAAGCAATGAGATGTTGAGCTACATAGGATGTATGAAAGAGGAAGGAGAAGCTATATACTAATTAATTTAGAAATAAATTACTAGGGATTAGGAAGACTAGTAATTCCTAGAGGTCTTTATATATATAGTAATACTAAGAGAGTTATTTAGGATTTAGCTAAAAGGGGTTAGGCCTAATTAGGTTGGATCCTAAGTGGCAGTCACATGGCCTCCTATCAGGACTGCCTGAGGCACCCACTGTGACAATTTATTTATATTATTAAGAAGGGCGGATTATAAGGTGGTAAACACCAAAATTTCGTTTTTGTAGATTTGTCCCGATAGGCCTCCGTAGATGACCACCGACTGTAAGGTCCGGACGTCGAAATCATCTTGAGCCCTCCTTCAATATGCTTAACTCGTCCCGGAGCAAATTCATACTCACTTAAATGACCATTTGCAACAGGCCACCCCATTAAGAGACTCACACCGGCCATAGGGCTCCAAGATTTAGGCCTTGATAAAGTGTTGACAGTTGCGCGGAATATGTCTGCACCTACATACCTGGTAGAGCGAATTTTTAGGCATGCTGGCAGGCAACAACTTTATCTTTAGACATTCATGCCGCCAGTCCTTTTAGTTTCAAGAATATAGGGCAAGGGGTTTAAGATTCAATGTAAATGGAATTCTTTTTCACGTTGGACTAGATCAAATAGATAGAGAGATTCTCAACCAGCCTTGCAGTCTTAGTCCTCTCATGCATCGTAAGGGCATGCTTTCCATTGCTAAGCCCCACTCGAAGGCGTCAAACTCCCGGCCCCTTCGACAGACGTAACCTGCTCTCCTTCCAAGTCAATGATTCGCAAGATTAGTCTATAAACTTGCCCAAATAACCTAGCCCTCATACTTTTGATGCCTCTACCCTTGGATTATCCAACCAAAAATTCACGTTCGCTTCTACCACACAAACGTCAGGAGCAAATACAGGAAAAATCATATCATTGCACCTGCAAAGGTCTAGTGGTACTTACTGTAGGCCTTGTGACTGCTAGCAAGGCTGAGAAAGTCGAAAAGAAATGCAGGAATGGGTATTGCAGGGAAGAGCCTGCGTGGAAACCCATGGAATCATCAACATATCTTGCTTTACCAAGTGGCGGCTTATATTTACTATCTACGCGCGCTGTGTATCTACAGAACAGGCTGCATTCATCACAAAGGGAAAAAAAAAAAAAAACATTGATTCCCCAGGAATCTCCAACCGCCGCCCGGGCCGAAAGCGCCTGGAACCAACGCATCCAGATGCCAACGCCACAAACCGCGGATCGACCGCGCCGCCCAGCTACGCGATCCGGGTTCGATATTGTTGTGATATGCGCACTTACTCTGGAGGCTGATGCTGTTGGAGCTGCCCTGGATGTCATCTGGGATAATGATGACGATCCCGCGCCGCCCTTTCTCAAGGCTCCGCACGACCCAAACACTTACTGCACCGGCGCGATTGGCCGCCACAACGTCGTCCTCGCGTATATGCCGGGCATGGGAAAAGTTAACGCGGCCCTTGTCGCGGCCAACTGCCGGCTCAGCTTCCCCAATATCCGGCTTGCCTTGGTCGTCGGCGTCTGCGGCGTCGCCCCTTACACCCCCGGTGGCAGTGAGGAGATTCTTCTGGGCGACGTGATTATCAGTACCGGGGTTGTGCAATACGATATTGGGCGGCGTCTGCCCGATGGGTTCCATCGGAAGGATACGCTGCTGGATACGCTGGGAAGGCCGAATCTCGAGATCCGCGGCCTACTTGCGAAGTTGCAGGGTATCGAGGAGCGAAGGCAACTTGGCGCCGCGATGTCTACTTGTCTCGAGGATCTGCAGACCAAGCCGCCGCTTTCAGCGGGATACCCAGGTGCAATCTATGATGTGCTTTTCGAGGCGACATATCTCCATGCCGGGGAGAAGATGTCGTGCGAGGAATCAGGGTGTGATGGGACCCTTGTTCAACGCAAGCGTCTCGAGTATCGCACGTCTAGCGACCCGCCGGGGGTACATTTCGGGCTTGTCGCGTCCGGCGATACGGTGGTCAAGTGTGGGGCTGATCGCGACCGTCTCGCAGCAACCGAGGGTGTGATTGCATTCGAGATGGAGAGCGCCGGGGTTTGGGATCTCTTCCCCTGCGTCGTGATCAAGGGCGCCTGTGACTACGCGGATAGCCACAAGTCCAAGGTCTGGCAGCGCTATGCAGCAGCTACTGCGGCTGCTTGTTTGAAGGTGTTTTTGGGCCATTGGAGGCCCGCCGTACCTGCAGGTGTGTTTTTGTGTGTGTGTTTGGAATATACATGGCATCCTCCTTCTTGAACTTCGCACTCACATTTACATGACGCAGGACTGAACCCTGCACAGCCTGCTGGTCCGTTTTGTAGGTTCTTCGCAATGCCAACCTATTTCCTCTCTACATAGACCTATTCTCACGCTCTTCGCAGTCATCGTCCCATACCCCAAAAACAAAGCCTTCGTAGGCCGCCGTCCGTTCCTCGACAAACTCCGAGAAACAGTTCTAGTATCTTCACCACCGAGACTGGCAATCTTCGGCCTCGGCGGGATCGGGTCTGTGGACGGTTTTTCGTTTTTCAGCATCACCCCGTCCGTATTCATGTGTGCCGTATTCTCTAACGAGCCTCTCTCAGGAAAACCCAGATCGCGATCGAGCACGCATATTGGCTCCAGGAGAATTGCCCGGATATCTCCGTCTTCTGGGTCCACGCGGGCACTGAAGAACGGTTCCGCGACGGGTACGCGCGTATCGCAGAGGAGTGCCACATCCCAGGGACTCACGATCCCGAAGCCGACCTGCTGCAGATAGTGAAAACGTGGCTTGAAAGAAATCATCCACACCGCTGGCTGCTGATACTCGACAGTGCGGACGATGCGCAGATGCTCTACCCTTCACAGGGCACCTCAACTACCCTGGATGCGCTATGTCGCAGTGGACGTGGCGGCTTAGCAGCATACATCCCGGAAAGCCCGCGGGGCTCGGTCCTCGTCACAACGCGCAACAAGCAGGTTGCGGTCCGGCTCACGAAGAACCAGTCTATCATCGAGCTGCGGCGGATGAATAAAATCGAGGCGGATGAATTGCTTCGCACAACGCTAGACGGGATCGAGCAGGAGGCGGACAACAGGCAGGGCTCGCCTCTCGCGGCTCGACTGGAGTATCTCCCCCTCGCACTCGTCCAGGCAGCCGCATACATCCGGATGAACTCAATGAGCGTCGATAGGTACCTCGAGCTGCTCGACAATAGCGAAGACAGTCTGGTCGAGTTGCTGAATAAGAACTTTGACGCCGTGGGCCGAGACCCGGACACGCCGCACGCGGTGGCGGCGACGTGGATGCTTTCCTTCCAGAAGATCGAGCAGCAGAGTCCACTTGCGGGCGAGGTTCTCTCGCTCTTATGTTTCTTTGACCGGCAAGCGATCCCTATGGAGTTTGTCTACCACTGTCAACAGCAGCAGCAAGATCGTGGGTATCAAACAGCGATCCGAGTTGAAGAGGCGGTAGGACTACTCAAGGCGTTTTCATTCATCACAAGCGAGACAGACCCGAATAGGCTTGCCGTTCACCGGCTGGTGCAGTTGGTTACGCGACGGTGGCTCGTGCACAGGGGCACAGCCGCTCGATTTGCGCAGCTGGCGCTGCGGACGGTCTCGGATCTGTATCCGTACGGCAGCTATGAGACGCGCGTGCTGTGCAGTGCCTACCTCCCACATGCCTTTGCGGTTCTTAGGTTTGTTGAAGAGGCGAATGCGCGGTCGAATGTCTCGAGGTCGGGGATCGGGTCCTGGCTCGTGGAGCGATTTACAGTGGCTACCTCACGGATTGCCTCTCTTTCAGTCCGTCTAGCGCCTTTGATTTCTCGGGGCTTGGAGGAGAAATTGGCCCAAACCTGGGCGGCTATTCCTCGTGAGTGGCGGGACGAGTCATCCACTACTCAATCGACTCTTTGCCACAATGCGGCTGGGTTCTGTCTGTACCAGGGACGCTTTGGGGATGCTGAGGCGCTCCAGCTGCAAGCCTTGAAGCTGCGGAGGGAGATTCTCGGCGAGGAGAATCTTTCCACGCTGGATAGCCAGTCCAACTTAGCTTCGACGTACGCACGGCAAGGCCGATGGGCAGAAGCTGCGGCGCTGCTTCAGCAATTAATTGCGGTTGAGCACCGGGTTCTGGGAGCGGAGGACCCCAGCACGCTGACGAGCATGGACAATCTAGCATCCGCGTACTGGAATCTGGGACAGTGGAGCATGGCTGAAGACCTTAATATGCAGGTGGTTGCGATTAGAAAGCGAGTCCTCGGCGAGGAGCACCTGGAAACCCTTACTAGCATGGCTAATCTCGCCTCGATCTACTGGGACCAGGGGCGGTGCGGCGAGGCGGAAGCCCTCGAGGTACAAGTGATGGAAACCAGAAGGCGGATCCTTGGGGACGTGCACCCGTCAACTTTGACAAGCATGGCCAATCTCGCCTCGACTTATTGGAGTCAGGGACGATGCGAGGACGCAGAAGCGCTGGAAGTGCGGGTGGTGGAGGTGAGGAAAAAGGTGCTCGGTGCGGAGCATCCAGACACGCTTACCAGCATGGCTAATCTAGCAACCACATATTCCGACCAGGAGAGGTGGAAGGAGGCCGAAGAACTGGAGGCACAGGTACTAGAAACACGGAAGAAGACACTGGGCGACCAGCACCCCTCGACTCTGACAAGCATGGCGAATCTCGCGTCGACGTACTGGGAGCAGGGCTGGTGGGCAGAGGCGGAGCAGCTGGAAAAGTACGTGTTCAAGACCAGAAAGCTCGTGCTGGGCGAGATCCATCCAGATACTCTCACCAGTATGGCCAACTTGTCTCAGACTTGGAGAAGCCAGGGCCGCTTTAAGGAGGCAACGGGCTTGATGCGAGAATGTTTCGGGCTGAGGAAACAGCTTCTCGGCGCCGACCATGCAGATACCCAGTCATGCTCGGCAAGCCTAAGCGACTGGCAGGGGGATAGCGATGTTACGGCGCAGGATCTGACCGACTCCTGATTCGCTGTTCATCGGTTCACTCGTCAGCCATTGCCTCGTATCTCAGGCTTGGTGAAGGAATCCGGCTCGATCTTGTCAACGCGGCTAGATGTTTATTGAGTAAGATTGGTCCGAATCATGCAAGTAAAGGCACACGGATGACGTGGAGCTGCCCGTTGCTCTCTCTGATTCTCTCTGTTGCCTCGAGGTCGTGCGTATTGGGGCTTCCTCTGGGCTTACCCGAGGACAGCGTTGCCTCCTATCCTGCTTTGCATCTACGCCCCCTGCATGACTGCCCAAGGCGGCTTTGAATAAGCAGTCAGCACTGACAGAACAAAACCGAGCACAGAAGGAGCTGTTGCCATACTTTTCCGTTTCACTTTTCTTTCACTTTTGGTAACCTCAAACAGCCGCTCTACTCTGCTAAGGCTAAGCTCTTCCCATCATCATTCCCAAGCCATGGAAACCAAATTTAGGCCCTTGTGAGTAGCTACCACATTGCTGCAAGACCTCTAGTCAATGAACTAGGCCATTCTAACTACAATGCAGCCAGGCCGCCCTCGAAGACTACTACTCCGCAGACAAGAGCTATCGCGCCTTGTACGAGAATCCCCACGGCTATCCTCCAGGATTGGAAATACCCAATCCTTGCTCTGGTGAAATCGGTATTTCTCCGCCATTCAAAAATACCCTTAGCCCTTTAAGCGAACTTGCCGATCGTATCCGCGAAGAATATACCAAAGAGGTTTCCAAGGAAGACACCAGGCTACAGCTTGAGGAATTCGCTGGTCACGTCTGGAATCTCTGTAACAGGGAAGTCGACTTCGATCTAGAGGGCGAGACGGTACCCCATACCCAGTTTCTTGGGGCGGGTGATAAGATCCTCAAACATATTGCAAAGCTCTTCTTTGACAACGTCGTTGATCGCGTCGCTGCGGAATATAGGCATCTGGTTTTCACGGAGGGCACCGAGCTCGAGCTTGAGTTCCTTGGTTACTGCGCCACTTTGGGGGTTGATTGCTGGTACGGTCTATACACCGACCAGCTCTGCAACATTTCCCGCGTCTGCGGTGACGAAGCGCCTGCTCGTATCCTCAAACAGAATAGAAATCACGCGTTCGAGTGGCACTTCAACTTCCGCAGAGACATCATCTCTGCCGCGCAGAGAGGCTTCGAATCGCTCCCCGACGAGGCTACCTATTTGGAGGAACTCTTTGCAGACGTCATCTGGATCGGTGACTGTCCGGATATTGGCCACGGCGAGAAACTCCTCTATACCGGAGTGGTCAACTACCGCTTTCTAGGCCGCGCCATTGATCGTGCCTTTGACAAAGGTATCCATCAGCTCCCCGAGAGAGCCGCCAATTGCCTCTTCTGGATACCCACCGGCGACGCCGCCAAAGGCTTGGGCACTAGCGCTGTTCCTGGTCCTTTTGCTGCGCATCATCCCTGGTGCGGGCTTGACAAGGCCGGCGCTCCCGACGGCGCTGAATTCCTCAAGCCTTTCAATACTGCGCTAGCCTATTAATCATGGATAGGCCGAGCCACAACCAGGTATGTAGACATCTTTTTCCTTCATGCAGCTGAGATCAAAGAAGAAGGGGTATCACGTACTAACATTCCTCCGCCCTAGGCCAGCCCAACGCAGGACGTGACCAAGGGCTCCAGCTCAACTTTGCAATTTTCTTCGGATTCTTTAACGGTCGATCGCAACTCGTTTATTATCGTCAATTCGTCACGGGAGAGGGAGCAAACCGAAAACCAAAAACAAAAACAAAAAAACCCTTAGCGACGGATAGGCACCTTTTCGTGGTGCTAGGGATACCTTTGGGGGGATTGAAACCTATGCAAAAGGTTCTTCCCAAAGGAGCGAGGACCTATCCTACACTCGTTTGGCATATATCACCGTTTGTTTTTGTATTATTTTGTTTCAGCTAGCAATGAAGCTTTCTCAAGTAGGTGTGCTTTGGCATGATAAAGACAGTAGGAATACTTCTACCTCAGCCCGAGCGACTTCCGCCGCTCGCTTACATTCGATGCCCTGTAGACGCCAAATGTCTACACCGGAGGGAGCGGCCTGATTCAAAATTTCCTGCACTTCAGAAGAGGCCATTGTTCACTAGCGGTAGGAGTTTTTGTCGTGGATCGGAGAGGACTCGAGGCTTCTCCGGCCGCTTGCCAGTTTCGTGCGGAACCAAGCTTCGCGTATAAGGTCCGCCTAGTCTATCAGCGCTTTATATTATAGAGGAACCCTGAATAGTACCTTGCTCTCATAGTCGTTCTCTTGGCTACTGGGGCTCCGAGACGAGCGGAAGGATACAATTAGATAGCCGTCGGTAGACCAAAAGCTACAAACTGCTGCCACAGAGGGTAGAGAGTGTAGAAGACAAGTTCTGATATGTATATCACCTGAGAAACCCTGAAGCATTTATTGTATAAACCTTGCTAAAACATATGTACAAGAAATAGCTGCTGACCGTGAGTACTTCTGGTAATTTTGCAGTCTAAGCCGAAGCTCTACTAACCCATGTCGTGGTGATGAGAGAGAAGAGTTTATATGTGTTCCTAGGCCATTGCGCGAGTGCTGATGGTGTGCACTGCTGTCAAACCCCTGCGTCTCGAGGTTGGCTGGGTCCAGCTATGTACCAGTCTCGCGCGTCAAAGCGCAAATAATTATTGCTCTCTTGCAGATTGCAAACGGGTGGTTTTCTACCGCCTCCAGGACAAGGATGGAAGGCTACCTTGTAGGTGGCGTCCAGGTCCGGAGAGCTCCGTTGCTTGCTTGTTATCCGCGCACCAATTAAGGTACAAAAATTTGGCTGCCATCCATCTCTTGATAACCTTGTAGAAACCAGGGATCTATAAAGTCACCAGCGCTTTGAGATCCTAGAGACCAGAATAGCCTGCACTGTCTGCAAGTACAAAGAAAAGCCTATCAAGGAGAAAGGATGCGGGGTGGAGGACGGATGTTAGTCCCACTTCCCCTCTCGCGCTTTCTTCCCAATTCAGACAGCTTACACGCAGGAGATAGATTACTACTGCCATTTAAAGCCTCAGGAGTCGTCAGGCGCAACACGACTCTGGAGCCCCGCACCTCCCTTTGAACATGTTGGCGTGCTAACCGAGTAGGGCTTCAACAAGTGGAATAGATGCCAGCTTCATTGGATATCTATTGTTATGACGTACCTGTCGCACAGACGACGCACCTGCGGCGTCTGGAATCACTCATGTCGTCAGACATTATGCCGGACAAGGGCCGTCAGAGTCGGAGAATATTGTAGACACTCAGTGCGGCTGGCCATGGAGCATCGAGAGAATACGATGCCATCCTACATACAGAAATAGACTCGTCGAGTTGCCAGGGCCCCCAAAATGCGTTTAGAGAACCCATCTGTAACGAGGATGTGTTGTAAGGGCTCGCCGCCTTACTATGGAATAGCCACAGTGCACCATTTTCTTTTCCCTTTTCCTCTCCGCAGAAGATGGGCTCGGTCGTCCTGTGCTCCTTGGCTCTTCTGATGTTGATAATAGTCTATATCCGCTCGGTTGGAAAGCACTATGAGTGTGGGTAAGCTGAGCACTACTAGGTAGGGCTTAGGCATTACTGCTGCCACTAAGCTCGCTCATAGGGTGATCAGTAGTCACGGTAGTGGCACCACCGTGGCTTCCCTGGCAGGGGAGACTCTGTAATGACTGACCCAGTCCAATTAGTGGATGAACGCGGTCCTGTTCGAGGGGTGCGGTATTGGCAGCAGATGGTGGCCCGCAGATTTAAGCAGTGTCATCTTGTCGGTTCTAGTTATATCCCTGATTATTGCCATTGAACTGAGGCGAACGAGGAAAGGTTTTACGATACTTTTAGTCATACTAGTAGCTATCTCATACTCACTACTATGTAGGGCTTGGTTATACATATTGAATAACCCTCGGTCTCGCTCCCATTGCTTCCCAATTTCTCATAGCATCCATACAAGACCACACTCACCCAATCAGTACACATACCGAACCTCAAACTTGGAGACCTTCTCCCTGATCAGACTCCGCGCCATCGTCGGGCTGTCTAGGAATATCCACTCAGCCGAATCCCAGGCGCAGGCATCTATATCCACGCCATTAATCCGCCCGCGGCATCCCACCCGCGTGAACCGACGAGTCTTCAGATCCCAAACATCTGCCCCGACGACAACCGTGTTAGTACGGTTTTCGGAGGGAATCAGAGACAGAGAGCGATCCGAATGCGCATTCGCATCCCAGTCCCACCAGTCCTCCCGCGCAAACCAATGCCCCACGGGGCGCCCATAGCGGAACGACCGCACCAGTCTCATATAGGACTCCCGCGTGCCCAGGACAACAAACAGGACTTCCGGCCGGAAGGTCAGCCAGAATAACGCGAGCCAGGTCCCGCTCGCGCGCTGCGGAAGCTGGTGTGTCGCGATGGCAATGTGCTTGAACGTCTTCGCCTGCTGCTGAGGCCGCGGCGCAATGAGCCACGGCGTAGCAGAGATATCCTCAAGGAAGAAAACAACGTCGCGGTTGGGGTTGCTGGCGCGGAAGAATTTTCTCGGGCGGTAGTGTGTACTCGACGCCTTTGGCTTGCGATCCCAGGGCCGCACTCCGTCTCGCTGGCCCTGGTGCCGCGCCCAGGATAGAGTTGTGCGGTAGGCCTCGCGGTTTACGGCTAGCAGTGGGGTCGTGTAGCCCGTTAGGGTGGGGCTCAGGGGGATGATTCGGGGTTCGTTGTATGAGAGGGATAGGTGTGCTTCCCAGATTTGGATGCGGAGCTCTGGGGGGAGGAGGGGGAAGAGGGGGAAGGAGGGTTTAAACTTGGGCTTGGATTTGGCTGTTGGTTGGCTCGGCATGGCTTGCGGATATGCAGATGGATATGGTTGGAATTGAACAGTGAATTGGATCGTGGAGAGACGACTTGGAGGGGGCTCTCAGCTGCAAGTTGTATTGCTTGTGAGGGGTGGGCAGTCATAGCTGGTATGGAGATGCATGACCCTGAAGACGATTCAGGCCATCTCTGCTATTGGAGGCGATGATGGGCTGACCCCAAGGCAGATGAACTCTAACCCTAACCCATCGCGACGGAATGGATGGGCGGGACCTGTCCACGGGTCTTACTTCTTATCAGTACTGTAGGACCTATCCAGAGCTTTCATAAGAGCTTAGTAGTCGTCGTAAATAATATATTTCCTAGAAACTATCACGGTACTAAATGCTAAGCGTCGAAGTTTTGAATAATCCAGTTATGATAAGCTCGCGCGAGAATATAGACACCAGAAATAAAAAGGCTGGAGGATTAGTGGATGATAGCATAGAGATAAGAGATAGGAGGAGGTTCAGTGTGGGATCTGGCCAACATTGTTCGAGCACTTGGGTATGCTGCTTCCGCACAGGTTAAAGAGGTATTGTCTCGCGTCTAGTTGTTGTTTTGGTTGTTCAGGATCCGCAGGATAGCCAAGAACAGGTTAAGGATGTCAAGGTACAGCGAGATGGATGCCGCAATCTCCTCCTCGACGTGGTAATGGCGCATGATAAGCTGCGTATCCACCAGAATATAGCCAGAGAAGATCAGAGCCGCCAGGCCGCCGTAGACAAGGTTGGTCGTGCTGCCAAACGGAACAAACGCACCCACAAACCCAAAGAGGATCAAGAACCAGAGCGATCCAGCAAGATACGGCATCCAGCTTGTGAAATCGTACTTTGTCTGGCAGGCGAAGAGTGTCAGGCCGACGAACAATCCCAGCGTCAGGATGAGCGCCTGGACCACAATCTCGGACTCGTAGAACGAGGTCACGACGCTAATGGAGTAGGCTTCGAGGAGGGTGAATCCGGAGAGGAAAAGCAAGTTTGTCGGGTAACTCTTGCGCTTCCAGTATGTAACGAGGAGGAAGCCGAGGGCGCCGAAAACGGATACCATCATGACCCAGAAATGGCTCTGGATCCAGGTGCGGTAGCTGGGGCTGAAGAAGGAGATGGAGCTCATGACGGTTGTGAGGAGGAGCTGGACCGTCCTAGTTGAGAGATGACTGTTAGTGATATCCTCGGCCTGAAGTTCTGCGCGGCGCAGAGTACTCACAGGATAGCGTAGACCTTGCGGATGAACTGCATCCGAATTGGCAGGGTTGCCTCCGCGATAGTGCCTCCAAACTACAGCAGTCAGTACATTTATCTCAGGATACACGTCTGGCGTGATGGCTCACCTTAAAGTCATCCGGAACGTTGTCATCTTCGCTGCGCGGCTCTGGCGCGGTAGCCTGGTAAGAAGGCGGGGTTTGGGTGTACTGCTGGTCTTCAAACGAGTCCCGCTGGGGAACGTGGTCATATCTCGCGTTTGCCGCCATCTTGGAATCGGAGAGTAGTATACCGAGCCAAAAAGTAATGTCTTGTTGACGATGGAGATGCCACGAGGAATGAGCAGCGCGGCGAGAAAGAGGAGGCGGCTCTGGGCTCTGGGGCGATGCTCCGATGACACCATGTGACGTTGACACCACGTGACTCTGATAAGACTGTCACATGACCAAAAACACATGCATATGACGAGCGGAAACAACTGGAACATACTACGTACTTCCTTCTGGGCTCTATGCCTGCAGGTGATCTTGATCAATCTCCGGTACGAGGCATTGAAGTCCTTGGCTGCTCTACTCTCAGCCAGCGCAATACCTTCCCACATTCACACTGAAGGTCTCTTCCCCTGAACATCATCTCGTTGGTGTGTACTTTCCTCCTAGACACGGAGATTTTTGAGCGATGACAGGAATCAAAAGGCCTAATACTTCCGGGAACAATGGGACATTCCACATCCAGATTTACCTAATGATACAAATTGACACTACTCTCTACCTACTGCGCCCAGACAGCATACGGCGCTACGCTGCGGGCTTTAGAGACTGGACAGGCAATGAGGGCATGTGGGTACGCACCAATTACGACACAGAGCACAAAGCAGCGCACACAGCGCTCTGGAATACAGTACTTGGAGATATCTCAAGTTATAGGTCCCGACTCGCTAGTCCTTGAGGACAATTCGCTCTTTGACAACACAGATATCGCTAGGGTTCTTGAACTATTCCCGGAGCTTGTAACAAACTACTGCCCACCGGAGGACGCGCGCGTGGCGTGAGAAGTAACTGACTGATTTCTCTTAGGTAGTGCATGAGTGTGGAGATGAAGAATGAGGTCTCTGGGCCGGAAGAACAGGGCCTGGGATCGACTCCAGAGGAAATATGTCGCAAGTACTGCAACTATCATGCTGCTTGGGTGGTGGGTCATTTGTTCATCGAGGACGCCGATGCTCAGCGCGGCGAAGGGGTTCTATATGTGTTTATAGACGACCAAGGGTTGTGGTGTAGCAAAAGAGAGTCCATTCGGACGAAGTTGACAACTTCGATGGGGTTTCGGCTGAGGGGCATTGGAGCGAGGATTGGTGTGATCTAACTGAGGAGATTGAAAAGACCAATGTTCCTGGGGGGTCGCGAGGACCTCCTTACAGGAGATCCTGACGCAGATAGCACAAGCAGCAAGTCATCGGTGCGATGTAAATAGTGTCAAGGCCGCCTTTCATGACACTGAACTGCTCGTCCTAAGGGGAAGGAAGAAGAGGAAGCAGAGGAGTAACATCTCGGGGGTTGAGGGGCCACGCAATAGCTGCTCATTGGCACTCCAACACCTTGTCATAGCTAGTCCGTTATACCAATCTCCTTATTGTCTTCAGGGACATCCAAGGCCGCCCTTACCGCCTCCTCTTCCTACATTAAAGGTGGCAATCCCTCGGCCATGACGGTTGCTCACTCGATTCCGGCTGTACTTGAGACTCACAAGTATTGCTCTGAGGTGTTTCCCACTCCATTGCATCACGGCCATCGGAAATCCGCCTCCGAGGTTTCACAGTTAGGGTTAGAGTTTATAGGCCCCAAGGCTTGTCTGTCATGCGATCTTAGGGGCTCTCCAATGGCGGATAAAGTTCCCGAAACATGATTATTACTGACTTTAGTAGCTGATGATCTGACATGAACCTTCTTGGAGGTCATCACACCGGAGCTCTAGTTGTCGTCCCCTCACAGCTCAATGCAAATTGATCCGTCAGAGCCCCCTGTCCCGCTCTGCGCCGTCGATATAGCATCCTCGACTCAGAAAGCACTGCAAACTCACCGAGAATGGAAGACCCACCCACAGCCACACGCCCATTCAAATTCCCCTCCTGCCCACGTCTCCCCGCCGAGATCCGCCCCCGGATCTGGGAAACTAATTTGGATGCCTCGCCCAGCGAGCCTATATTAGCCACCGTGGCCTTGTCGGACGTGCCCCAGCCCCCCATCCTCTGCACATCTCCTCTGCTGGCCGTGAACCACGAAGCCCGGTGCGCAGCTCTATCATGGGCTCCCACACACCGCCAGCGCCATAAGCACGAGCAACACCAGCAATATGATTTGAGAGAGGGATACGGGTACCAATACGGACACGAACTCAAGAAAAAGTTGAGGATAAAACAATTCAAAATGGAAGAGTTCCAACTTGAACGTCATCCTGGCTCCTTCTTCCGCCCCGCCAGTGCAGAAGTCGACGTGCACTTTTGCCCTCCCTGCTCCCAAACCTGCTCCAGTGGCATGTTCGTCGTCGGGAGCTTGATGCACAGCACTTACGGGAATGCAGAGAGATACAACGGGCACAGCATCGGTGGCTAGTACATAACCGGCCAGTACCGGGAGCCTCACCACCGCCAGAGCCGGAGCCAGAACCAGAACCAGAAGTGCCGGGGCTGGGGGTACGTTTTTCATCGTCGTGGGACCAGCACATCAAGCATGTCGCCATCTCGGCGAATCAGCTCGCTCCGTGTCTTCATGATGGGGGGCTCGCGGAGCTCTGGAAGCAGTTTCGCATGGAGGTTTTGTTAGTTCTTCTTCCACTTGGAGGCGACGAAGAGGAGCTGTATTGTACCCGTTCGCGCACAATAGGGCCGTACTACGTTGGTAGCGGAAAGTATGTGTCGGACCTGTTCCTGCCGTATAGACTCGGTTGCGGGGTGCAGCGTTGGTTCGTTCAGGACCAGGGCTCTCGGTCTCAGTGTCAGCCTCCACTTCGACACCGGCATCACACTCAATCTATATCTGAAATCAGGAAGAAGATAATAGAGGACGAGCAGTTGCGAGGGGTGGTGGCTTCATCTGTCTAGAATCCGGAGACCCGTCGCTTCTCCTGGTTGGGGCAAGATGGCCCGGGGATAGATTACCATGCGAGGATCGCGGCCTAGAGGTTATTTCTGCAGAGTCCGATTCTAGCGGAGACGCTGGTCCTAGCGAAGGTTACGAGGTTTGAGGTTCGGTATGTTTATTGATTTGACCTAGTGGGCTGCACACAGTCACCTCACTCTGCCACCTGCTTGAGGAATTGTTTGAGCGCCGACGAGGTGGACAGATTGGGAAGAGAGCATTCCTCTTTTTTACCTCCTTAGGTGGCGGCCTTGGTATTTTGCTTGATGTATGTCTTTTGTTGCTAGATAGGTTGTAAATAGCAGCATTTACTTACGGGGAATGACTTTTTATTGTTATTCAAGAGAGTCCAGGGACTCCATATGAAACGGTGGTATCAGACAAAAACACGGCGCCTTAGTCTGGTATATAACTATACACCACTACCCCAGCTCTTACCAAGTATATCATGTTACCTTGATTGACAGAGCACATGGCAAGCCTGCACACGACAGGAGCCGACCACAAGAATAGGAAAAATAGGAAAAGAGCAGGTTGTATCTTGTACCTGGCTACAGAATACTCACCATCTGCGAGTACTCATGATTGATTCCATGTTTAGAACCCACAAATTCTATACTCATTGTAAACGCCCATACAGAATCCACCTACTTATATCTAGCCCCTTCTAACTATACCTCGACCTCACCAACTTCGTCGTCGACGCCCCATCCTCGTCAACATGCACAGTGATGTCCGTCTTAACCGTAACCCCCTGTACACCCCGACCTGCCCCCTCAATACCACCGCTACTCCTCCCATCCTCAATCCCATCATTATCACTCCCCCCACTCCCACTCCCACTCCCAACCCTCCCCCGACCACGCCCCCGCATCCCCTCTTCGCCCTTATCCGCAAAAACAGTCATAACCACCGACCCCTGATTCTGCGTATGACTGCCGCCATCAAGATCCAGTCCGCGTCCGTGGCTGTGACCGTGGCTATGGCTCTGTCCATATCCGTTTGCGGGATTGCCTCCGCCGCCGGAAGACCAGTATCCCCACTTGGCGGGTTTCTTGGAATCGAAGACGACGCGGACGAAGAGGCGGATTATGGGGCCGCAGGTTGCGAGGAGGATGCTGTAGTTTTCGATTTTGACCCAGAGGATGAAGGTGATTATGTTGTCTGTTGTAGTTGAGGAGATGGGGCCGTTTAGTGGGATTTCGGTGGAGAACGGAGGGGGGAGAGTTAGGGCAACATCTTACGCGTGAAGTCATTCCGTTCGCCCAATGATTTCAATAACTGCCAGAGACAATCACCGTGTTAGTATGACCAGCCCATCTTTTCAAACTCGAATTGAGACAGGAATCAAATCAAGAACGTACATAAGTCTTAACAATAGAAGCACACCCCGACAGCGCCAGTGGCCCACTAAGTATGATCGTCTGCCAGATGCGTCTATTCCTCGCCTGTCTCGGCATGCGCTTGAACCGACTTATGAAAGAGCTGCCGTGGCCGGAGGGCGCGGCGTCGGTGGCGCGGATGCTGAACTGCCAGAGCTGCATTGCGGAGAGGATTGTAAGGGCGAAGTCGACCGTTGTGTTGAAGCCTATTGCGTTGTATTTTTTCACTGGTTAGTATTTCTGGAAGATCGTTGGGAAGAGGGCTTGTGTAGGTGGCTGTGTTTCGTACCTCCTTGCACGAATCCGATCGTCGTCTGGACATTGGGCGATTGACATGTTACTGAGCCATCGCTTGGCGTGCCGTCCCACATGTAATGGAAATATGCGGTTCTATCAACCTGTTTCCGGGAAATTGAGGTGGCGTTAGAGACGGAGTCAAGAGATATGAGAAGACGAAAGGTAAAGAAAAAGCTGACCATACCAATCGATATGGATTTGGCCCACACTGCAGCACAATCTGCAGAATTGTGACGGAGTTCGCAACAATCTGAACAACCATGCCCACGAGAATGATGATCCGTATATGTTTGTCCGCACTGCTGAAGCATGTATACAGGAACCAGGTCATTCCGCAGCGGGAGAACATGGAGGCGGCCACGGCTGGAGCTATTAGTGTCTTTCTTTTGAGGAAATAAAGCGTTAAAAGCAGAGGAAAAGAGAGAGCAATACCCAGTGGCTGAGAGATAAAGTCATATTTCATAGCGAGGATGCGTTCCTGATCTTTTAAAAACCACACGTGTCGACCAAGGCCCCAGTCGAGACTGCCTGCGTTAACACCAAAGTCACTTATGATGAGAAAGGGAGGATGATGCCAGATACCTTTTCTGTATATACACGATATGAGAAATATCAAATGCGTATCCAGTCAAGAATAATAAATCCTCTGCTCCCCATATCCGCATCGGGGAGCTGACTTTGGGGAGAATATAGCTGGCCCATGCTTTGACGACATATCTGAAGATTAGAGTAACTGATACAACGGCTGTGAGAGCCTGTACAAGGTTAACTAAAGCAGCCGAGGAGAGAGAGGTGATACTCACCCAGCAGGCATTGACAAAGGGGACACCTGGGGTTACTTAGCAAGAGGTAGAGATGGAAGCGTGCGCGGTGTACTATACCATAGGTCGCATCCTCCTCTTGAGAGGACATTATTACCGTGCCAGTCGGGGGATTGAAGAATGACACAAAGTGACTCGTCTGTCGAGGGGAGAGGTACTGATGTATCATCAACTAAGCTGCGGGTTGAGCTACGAAAAACTTTGTTATGACCACTGATCCCGCCTCTAAGACGGCAATTTCGAACCAACAGGGCTCAACAATCAGAGACAAGGGTGGTGTGATAGCATGTTCCGCAACTGTGATCCAAATTCATCATTAGTCACGACTGACGAGTTGGGAATTGATCCATATCCCTTGCTCGCCCCCTTGCCGAGACGGGCTGGCGGTCGACCGCGTAGAACAGTGTATGGCTTCTAGCCATCCGAAATTTGAGTCTGCTCAAGCGTGTCGGGTTAAACGAGTTAATCCGATATTTGCGTAGGCTTCGTCTTGGGGAACATGTCCCTGGCCTAGGCATTACGGAACAAAAGAGGGATTGGGATCGATATCGTGGGATGAAAGACAAATCGTCCGTAAGCTAAGGATATAAGACCCACCGCGATGGATCTTGGAAGATATCGTCCGTAAAATGATTCAAGGTCGCTTGTGTGGTAATGATTCACTGGCATTAAATTGGGACAGGGGTCTAAACAAGACTGCTCGGTGGTCCGGCTGGGCATTCTGGGCTCCGCCACTAGGGCTGGGCATTTGGTGGAGCCCGTCGTGCATCAGGTTGCATGCACTGGGAGAGGCAAAGTTCAATGGGTTGACTGTCCTTGGATCAGATGGCATGAAGCGTGGTGTCCACGAGTTCTCAGCTTCGCCATACATTGTAGGCCCACGAGGCAAGGAGGTATGACCCAGATGCGAAGAGATCCGGGTAAATTAGTCAACCCAGCAGTACGTACGGCATTAATATGCAATCCCTGTCAGGCCGCGCGGGCTTCGCATCCTTGTTTCTAACAAGAATAGCTTAGCCCTTGGCAGTGGGGGCGGGAATCGCGGGATGATCATCCTTGACTCGTTGATTTACCTCGACTGGAGTGTGCGCGATCGAAGGATCAAAGCTAATTCCCACTCTGAGAATCATTGGATACTGTCCTTACTCCTAAATTCCACCACCCCCTCTCCGAGTTCCGGATACGCCTCAAAAGTAACCGTGAGATTAGCGAGTGCCGCCATGCGACGCCATTCCGTGCCCGTCCTTTCTCGCCCGCCGTAAAGAACAGCCATGCTTGAGTGCATCTTGGCGTAATTTACGTTCTTCGAGAACTCGTGCACAAGCAGCCGCGAGTGCGGAGCCATAGCTTCGGATACCTTTTGCATCAACCGTGCTGCATCGAGGTCAGGCAGATTGTGCAGGATATGCGCAAGGTGGTAGACGAGTGCCCCGCGCACAGGCTGTGGGCTGTCCTCCTCTTTGTAGTTCCAGCCGATCATGGTGATCCCGGGTACATCACCGAGATCGTCGTTGAACTCCTCCACCACGAGATCAGAGGATTGGAACTGTGGGTATGCCTCCTGGATTTCCAGAAGGAGTTCACCACGGCCGCCACCAATATCCACCATGGTGGTCGACGTGGACGGGCCAGCCTCCTTGACAACCGAGGCAAGGTCATAACCCAGCGCATGCAGCCGGTCGGGGGTCTTTCTCGGCTTGAAAAACTTGCCCACCATGAAAGTGTTGAAACTCTCCATGCGGCCTTCCGCGGCCATGATCGAGTATGTGTGCTGGTTTGTGTATTCCTCCCTGCCCATCATTTTGTAGGCATACTGCATTGGTGTGTCGCACTCTTTGAACGGATAGGCAAAGTTCTCGGCCTTGAGCTTCGGCATGAGAAAGGCCGCTGCCAGAAGAGCTTCGGTCGTACTGCTCAAGTTAGCACCGCCCCTATCTATCGAAGTCCGCGGGCGAAATAGAAGGATCTCACAAATGAACCGCTCCATGAACAGCCGAAGGAGATTCTGCGAGATGGCGGGTGAGAGCGTTTGCACTATACAAATCCACTCCGGCAAGGTCCACCAGACCCAGGCCACTCATGGCATAGAGGGTATCCTCTGTAATCAGGTCAGTGTTGACTAGTGCTGGAGGACCGTCGCAGACTTACGAATCAAAACAACGGCTGGTCGGATTCCGTATCCGTCATGATTAGTTCCGATGCTCCTGAACGGACGAGGCACGGCACTTACACGGGACAGGGGTCGCGCCATTGCCAAGGGTAGCCTTGTAGGCGTCGAGTACATCCTCACCTGTGGCGGGCTTGTTGATGTCAGAGAGGAGACGGAACAAATGAAAGTGCGCAGCAACCGGCACAAAACCCAGGGCAGCGGGCTGGGTTTAGTCAGTAATGAGCATATTTCTCGGGAAGCAGGGATTGATTTTACCGAAGTCAGAGTTTTGGCCAAGAGAGCGCCAGTCGCGGGAGTGACTGAAGACATGGTCAAGGTGACTCGAACAAAAGCTCGGAGAGTTAGCCACCTGGGAATCCTGCAATAAGTACCTCTGCCAGTGGGGGCTGCTAAGTTACTCTTCAAGTTGCTGCTGGCGCCGTCTCCTCGCTTCCCGCAAACCCTATTCTCGCCCGGTCCCTGCTAGCCTTTCATAGTGCCATTTAACAAATACTCATGCCATTCGTTGCGACGCCTTTCGGTACGGCCCCTGTTGCCATGAAACCATCGCGTGGAAGGCCACGCTATCCTGTCCAGGGTCGATTCGAGTCTCGACCAGGATGGAGAGAAGATTCATTTATCTGCGGGGCAAACATATCTTGCACGACTTTTGCCATATGCTAGAATCCTTGCGCCCTCAGAAATACCTTTTCGTCTCCCTGAATCTCCATGTCTGCAGCACTCAATCCGTGAGCACTCGACCCTTGCATTCAATACCACAATGAGTGAGACCGGTTTAGAAACTGCAGCCATGCAGGAAAAAGGCTCAGAACTGCAAACCACTGAGCTCCCGCCTTCTACCTCATCGAGCGAGAATGAGGAAAGTAGAAGTCCTCGCAATTGGAGCCCCTGGAAGAAGCGTCTTCTGTTCTGCTCGCTGATGTCCAGTTCGATTCTTTGCGATGGGTGCGCTCCTATACTCCCTCTTCCATTGCTGCTACTCTTCCTAACTTTGTCACAGCGCAATGACATGGGGATCGACATTGATTGTCGACCAGGCCCTGGAATGGCATATCACCGTTGACAAATCGGCCACCAGCATGAACTATGGGATACTGCTGCAGGGAATCGGTGGTCTGATTGCGATCCCGCTGATTGAGGCCTACGGACGCCTGCCCCTCTGGCTCTGGCCGCAAGTCATCACTACATTCATGGTCCTCGGCGCAACCCTGTCCAAAAACTATGACACTTTTACTACATTTCGATCTCTTCAAGGCGTCTTCGGGACTGTTCCGCAAGTTGTCGGCCTGCCTATAATCCATGATATGTATGACCCGAAAGGTGTGTGTGCTTAAACTCCGGTATAGCAGGCCGTTGCTGACGTTTCTAGATTGGCCATATATGATCAACATATGGTAAGCGCTTACCTACATCTCTTCCGGCCTGGTCTAACTCGCACAGGGCGAGTACCTTTTTGATAGGCCCCTTCTTCGGCCCAGCTTTAGCCGGTTACATCGGCGCCGGAACCGACTGGGTGATCTCCTTCGGCATCCTCACCCTCTTCTACGGGCTATCCACCATCTTGGTTCTATTATTCGGATATGAGACCTACTTCATCAAGGGCCAAGAATGCCAGCGCAACACACGCCTCCAGTCCTTCTTCGGCATCAAAACTCATAACCTCCCGACCCTCTCGACAATCGCGTACTGGTCCAAGACTCTGGTGGTCTATATCTTCAAGTTTCCCTTGCTTCTAACCGGCATCGCGACAATGGTTAACTTTTGCTGGCCTATCGGTACGCCTCCTTCCTTCTGACCTCACAAAGTCGATTCAATCTAACGGAAGCAGGCATCACGGTAACAGTCTCTACATTCGTCGCACAGCCCCCATACCTATTCGACACGATCGAATCATCCTCTCTCCGCTGGGCACCCATTATCGGCGGCCTCTCTGGTTGGACCCCTCTTTCTCTTCTTTACCTACCCCATATCCCAACTCAAAAACAAAAACATCAACCTAACAACACAACAGGCTACGCATTCGGCCACTGGTTCAACGGCTGGATCTACCGCTCGCGCCAGAAGACCTGGTACCCGGAGTACCGGCTGCTGGGCGCGTACTTTGCAATCGGGACGATGGCCTGTGGTCTTCTGACCTACGGACTCACACTGCACTACCAGAAGCACTGGGCGGGTCTTGCGTTTGGGTGGCTCATGGTTGTTGCGGGGATGATTGCTTCGACTGTGTAGGTTCCCTCAGCACCGTTTTCTTCATTCTCTAGACTATCTCTCCTTTCCTCGCTTTCTTGGCTTGATGTTTTACCCGGTACTAATATTCATATTCTTATAGATCAATAACAGCCTACGCCCTCGAAAAATACCCGGACCAATCGACCGTCGTTTCAGCAATCATAAACGGATGGCGCACGGCAAGCGGGTTCTCCGTCGGATACTTCCAGCCCTCATGGATTGCGCGTAACGGGGTTGCGGCTGTCTTTGGGACGCAGACTGCGGTTGTTGTCGCCGTGTTGGTTTTGACCGTTACGCCGGTTATTCTCGTTGAGGGGAGGAGGGCGAAGGCGAAGATGGGGGTGACTGGTGCTGAGGGTGGGGTTTTGTAGGAAGTGGTTGGGCGAAGGGTACTAGGGGATAGAGTAAAGGGGTGGTGTGTACTTATATGTTGTTCGAACGGGTTGAGGATTTTGTGTATAGGGTGGGATTATAATATATCAAAGGAATGCAAGCCTTGAGAGTTCTTACGGGACTTGTCCTCCAGGCGAGACATGTTGGAATTTGCGATGTTCTCGTGGATGGATGTGTTCATATGGGCATCGTTTGAGAAGCTGGGCCATTCTCTACGCTTCACTGGATGAGGCTATGTCATCAATCCACCTACAATGCGGCAAATATCCGAATTCAGTAGTCGGCCCGCCTTCCCATTCAAGGATGCCGACTTTGCCGCCGCAGATCCCCCACAGTATAAAGTCGGAGGGCCTGGAGTCTTGAAGAAATGGGAAACCAAGAAATTCAGCTTCTTCTTAGAGTCCACATACCATGTCACTATCAAGATTTCTCTCGAGGTCCTCCGCCCGGGCGGCTTCCACATCCTCTACCGCCCAACTCACCAAAGCTGCTGGTGATATCTCTTCAGTCTTTCCGTCGTTAAGAAAAGACTACAAACCGGAGCCATTACCGCCTCGATTTAAGGAGTTGAAAGAGCGAGTTTTCCGAAAAAATGAGGATGCGTTGAAGAAGAGTTGGGAGCGATTACTCCCAAGCTTGGAGGAAGAGGTGCACAAGATCAAATCTAAAGGGAGCGATGTAAGCATTTTTGTATTAATTGTTTCGAGGCAGATGCTGATATTATTCTCCAGATTATCCCTTCTGTTGAGTATGCTGATGTCATTTCCGGCAATGTGTCTTCAGATATTCTGGCCGAGATCCGTCATCGAGGATCTGTAGTGGTCAGAAATGTGCTTCCGCGGAATGAAGCACGAAGCTACAAAGAGCAGATAGAGGAATACGTGGCTGCAAATCAGGAGCGAGTCAAAGCTTTCCCTCCTGACTCACCGGCAGTCTTTGAATTGTACTGGACACCTTCGCAGGCACGTGCACGAGCCCATGCCAACCTGCTGGAGACACAGCGCTTCCTGCAGACTCTCTGGCACTCGTCAGATCCGAAGACACGCATTTCAACGCGGAATCCCCTTACATACGCAGATCGTCTGCGAATTCGCCAGCCAGGTGACGGCAAGTTCACACTCGGTCCGCATATAGATGGCGGCAGCCTCGAGAGATGGGAAGATGAGGAGTATTCGAAAGTGTACGCCAAGATCCTTGAAGGCAAGTGGGAAGAGTATGACCCCTGGGATGCGAAGCATAGGGTCACTGCAAAGATGGACCTCTATAACGGTGCTGGAGCCTGCTCCATGCTGAGATTCTTCCAAGGTTGGCTCTCGATGTCCAAGACAGCTCCAGGTGAAGGGTCATTACACGTCTGTCCTATGATTGTCCACAGTACAGCATACACGATGTTGAGGCCGTTTTTCGATGTCGAGACTCTGCAACCAGCTCTCGACGCGACATTCCCTGGTTCCGTCCCAGGGGCTTGTCAAGAGTACAACCCAGTGACTCACCCACATCTTGAGCTCGAGACAACCATGGTGTCCGTGCCAGAAGTTGCTCCTGGTGATTACGTGGCTTGGCACTGCGACTCGCTGCACAGTGTCGACAAGGAGCACCGAGGCAAGGGTGACTCGAGCGTGCTATACATCCCTGCCACGCCCATGTGCGACATGAATGTTGACTACCTGCTTAAACAGCGGCGAGCGGCACTGGATTACTCTCCGCCATGGGATTTCCCTGGAGCTGGCGGACCCGGAGAAATCGGGTTCAAGGGCGCTCTGGACTGGAACTCAATCAATAAGGAAGGACAGCGAGCAATGGGATTGGGCGAGCAGCCGTGGAAGATCACAGACGATATGACTGAAGGCGAGAGGAAAGTTGTTGAGGCCGCAAACAAGGCGTGCTTTGGGAGAGTCTAGTATGACGCAAGTTGGACCAAATTGGTGTCTTAGCTTCGGATTTTGGACTGTAGGCCATAAGAAATACGTGTAGTACTAGTGAAATAAAAAAACATACAAAACAAAACGAAATCCTCAATAATTTAGATGATGGCTGAGTGATAAAAGGAAGAACGAGGCTAGAACCAAAAAGTCAGGTTCCAAAGCTCGGCGGCGGCCGTCAGGGACAGCTTCTCCCCACCGACTGACGTGCTGCTCGCGACTTTCACTTCCCTCAACACCCCTCAATGCCCGCCACGACGCAGCTCTAATTATGTGGGCGAAGCTTCTTCAGGCAACGGCACTTTTAGCCGCCGTTCCTTCGACGCTCGCTATCTACCCCGACGAGGTTGGCCACGTCGATTTCCACCATGCGCTGCTAGGTGTCCCTTCGTCAAAATCCACCTTCTTCCACCGACCGTCCGCTTCCTCAAGCGCTGCCCTCCTCTACACGCTCTCCGAAAAGTCGCTTCTTGGCGCTGTCAATCCGAAAGATGGCTCGCTACTGTGGAGGCAGAATCTCACTCGTCCCGCCCGATTGTCCGACCGTGATGCCGAAGGCTTATTACGTGCGTCTGATGGAACAAATGCGGTGGTTAGCGCGTTAGGAGACTACGTCTCTGCCTGGAGCGCTCTGGACGGAAAGCTTTTATGGGAAAACTGGTCTCCGGGTATGCAAATTGTGGATATTGAGCTCCTGGAGCTGCAGGATGCGAGCGTTGCTCCGTCGACCAGGGATGCGATTGCACTTTCTGGGGGTCAAGCGGGCTCGGTCAAGAGACTTGATGGACAAACAGGAGAGATCAAGTGGGAGCGACATGATGAAAGGTTAGCTAATCTGCTACCTATAACTTCTGGTGCACGAGAGCTGATGAATCTAGCGGCGACGTTCCCTTCCAAGTGTCATCCTCCTCGACCGACGTCTTTTACATCTCCCTACAACCGGCGCTACTGAAAGGCTACAAGATCCGGGTGACCGCTTTGGATCCGCTCACTGGCCGACAAACCCGTCAGCAGATCCTCAATTCCGAAAGCGACGTTTCCGGTCCCGAGTCGGTCCTCTTCGTGGGCGCCAACAATGCGTTCCCTATAATCGCCTGGGCGGATAAGTCGCACAAGACGCTGAAGGTTAATGTTATCGGTACCAAGCAGGTGACCACAGTGAACATCGAGAACACCCACGGAGACGATATCAAGTCCATCCAAATCCACGCCCCCAGGGCTCTCAACGCGCAGCCACACTTCCTGGTGCAGTACGAGACGGCGTCTGGCTCCTGGGCTGAGGTGTACCATGTCGACCTCACGTCTTCCACAGTGTCCAAAGCTTACAACCTCCCGTATCTACCAGGATGGTCTGTTTTCAGTACTGGCACCAAGGACGCGAATGTCTACTTCACCCGGATCACCGATTCCGAGACCTATGTTGTTTCATCCGCTTCTCACGGTATTCTCGGAAGATGGATTCAGCCTCGCCCATTGGATCGCGCTCTCCATGCAGTTTCAGATTTGGCTGTAAAGGGCGACTCTGTGGCTGCCCGCTCGGCTATTGTCTTGGAATCCGGCGATTGGCAGTTGATCCAGAATGGCGCAGTCACATGGACTAGGCCCGAAGCCTTGTCTGGTGCTTTGGCTGCTAGCTGGGCTGATACGGACAGCCAGAGGGATCTGGCCCACGAGCTTGAGGTTGAAGGCCACGAAAGCATTGTTGGGGCTTACATCCACCGTGTGAAGCGCCACATCAAGGACCTCCAGTATCTTCCAGACTGGCTCAAGGAGCTGCCAAAGCGTGTTCTCACCAGTCTGTTTGCGGATGAGGTCTCTAACCTGGATAGTTTTGGTGTTTCCAAGCCTGTTATTGTCGCTACGCAGAACGGCCGTGTCTATGCCCTTGACAGCGGCAACCACGGCCGGGTATCCTGGAGTGTCAAAGCCGCGGAAGCTGATTCGTGGAATGTCAAGGCGATCTTGACGCAACCTGGATTCGCGACTGTTTACGCTGATGACGGCAGCTCTGTCACTCTGAACGTCACCACCGGCGATATCACTCAACGCAGCCCGGCCACAGGGAAAATCCGCTCAATTGCTGTCCTCAACGATGGCACTTCCCAAAGCACCATCGGAATCAACGAGAACGGAGAGCCCGTGGGATTCTTTGATCGCCCTGGATTCTTCGTGACTCAGGGCGCGGATGGAAGGGTTCTCGGCTGGAGCACTAAGGACTCCCAGTCACCAGTATGGGAGTTCTTGCCCGCACCCGGCGAGAAGATTATCCAGGCCACTGCCCGACCCTCTCATGATCCTGTCGCATCAATCGGCAAGGTTCTGGGCAACCGCTCGGTTCTGTACAAGTATCTCACCCCGAACGCGGCTCTCGTCACAGCCGTCGGCGAGTCCTCTGCCACCTTTTACCTCCTAGACGGAGTCACCGGCCAAATCCTCCACACTAGCACACACAAGGGAGTCGACACCGCACAGCCCATCGCATCGACCATCTCAGAAAACTGGTTCGCATACTCCTTCTACGCCGAAGGCTCCGACCCTTCCGACGCTAGAGGCTACCAACTCGTCGTCTCGGAGATGTACGAATCCCCAATCCCTAACGACCGCGGCCCACTAGGCTCAGCAACCAACTACTCATCCTTCACCGACCTGCCCCTCCCGCACGTCATCTCTCAAGCCTTCATAATTCCTGAACCCATCTCCCACATGGCCGTCACCCAAACGCGCCAGGGCATCACAACCCGCCAACTCATCGTCGTCCTTCCCGAATCCAACGCCATTGTCGGTATTCCCCGTCCAGTCCTCGACCCGCGCCGTCCCATCGGCCGAGACCCGACTTCCACCGAAGCCGAAGAGGGCCTCGTGAAATACGTCCCGTCTCTCGACTTTGACGGCAGGTGGTACCTTAGCCACTCACGCCAGGTCGCAGGCATCGAGACCGTCCTGTCCGCACCTACGCTCCTCGAAAGTACGAGTCTCGTCTTCGCTTTTGGAAATGATATCTTTGCTACGCGGGTGACACCTAGCCAGGCGTTCGACATCCTGGGTAAGGGCTTCTCGAAGCTGCAGCTGCTTATGACGATTGTCGCATTGGCGATTGGTGTTTCGATTTTGGCGCCTATGGTATGCACCTTTCCCCTTCTTCCTCGTTTCACTCTCATTCGCTTCACTGAATCGTTGCTAACGTTAATGTTCCCCAGGCCCGCAAGAAGAAAATCGACACGCTTTGGAAGGCGAGGTAGAGATGACGCGGAAAGGAATATAGAAGGGTTCAGCTGTAGTACACTGTGTATCATGTCTGTCTAGCTTAGTTCGCTATCATAAATCCAAGGTATGAAGGATGTTTTCAATTCATCTCCAGGTTCCACACTATCCAATAGGCACTTTTGGGACATGTCAACTGCAAGCCTGGAAGAAAACTTGCAATAAGGCAGTCGCGTACAAAGATGTGTTATAACAAGATGGTGTTACTGGGGTTGCCAACTGGTGACTACGATTCCCAGCAACCCTGGAGCTATCATTCCGAACCAGCCCTTGCGCCTGAAGTTTCTAACACCTGACCCAGTCTGAAGCCTTAAGCATAACACAGTAAACCGTGTCACGTGCTGGTGTGATCCTCGCTCTTCGTCGTGCGACGCGCCACCAGGCTACTCAACATCTCCAACGTAGATGCCCCCTGAGTCTCAAAGACAGCGAGATCAACGGCAAACTCCTTTACAATCCAATTGCGCAGTTCAATCGCTAGAAGTGAGTCCACCCCGAGCATCTGCAATGGCCGGTCCCGCTCAACAGTCTGTGCTATCCTGCATGCTTGTCAGGGACTTGGCTAGCTTCTGAATGATTGCCCCGGCCACAATTTCCACCGCTTGCTCGGACGATGTCGCTGCCGCCAGCCGCTCGCTGTTCGTCGCAACGTGCTCGCTGCTTCTCATCCCACCAGCAGCAACCGCCGCCTGTCGCCGCTTGCCAGCGAGCATCAGCGGCTGCAGCATGGGCTGCCGGCTGTAGCTGATGCTCTCAAGTCCATCGCCACCGCCGCCGCCTACTCCTAGGCCAATGCAGATCTGACACTGGTGCGGTGCTTGTACGGGCAGTGCCGGGTTGCAGTAGTAGTCCAGCATGCCGTGATATCTTGCCCGGGTAATTGGCTCCAGGGCCCCGTAGGCGAGCACGCGGCGGAGGAGGTTGGGGTCTTTTGCTAGGATCCCATCGTCGACCAGCGCCCCCAGGTCGATCGCAATCGTCTTTTCACCTTGTGATGGGCGGTATCGCGCAAAGGCATCTTCATATGTGTTCCCTGCGTCGTAGTTCGCTTGGCCCTTTTTTCCGGCAAGGCCTGACGCTGATGAAAGGAGGATGAAGAAGTCCATTCGCTTGGGGAGGATAGTATGGAGGTTCCAAGAGCCCACGGCCTTGCAATCGACCGCGTCTTTCCAGTCGTCGTACTCCAGATTTGCAGAAAGACGGTCCCGGCCATTTCAGATTAGAAACACACACACACACACACACACACACACACAAGTGTCGTGTAAGTCAGTTGACATATGGGCAGATAGTGCATTGCTTACTCTGGCTATTATTGACATTTGAACGACACCCTTGATGGGTGGCATCTGCGATGCTAGTCTACCAAGGGTCTCTTGCATCACACTCAACTGGGTCACATCGCAGGCTGGCGTTTCGACTCAAACTCCCCGTGCTCTCAGATCGGTGACCAACTCCAGGGCAGCGCCTGTTCGAGGGCCACGTCGCGAAAGCAAGATAAGATTTATCGCACCGCGCTCAACCATCCATCGAGCCGTGGCACGACCAGTACCTCCGAGCCCGCCGGCCAGGACAAATGTCGCATGAGCGTCCATATAAAAGCTCGGCCGTATTTTGAGGGTCGCCTACGTAAAGATGTCAGCTATGAGGATTTGCGCCGCTGCAAACGGTATGCCTATCTGTACCTGCGACTCGGGTGTCACTTGGAGCACAAACTTGCCCATGCTGGTGCCCATCTGCACCATGCGAAGAACCTTTTCAACTTCGCCGGCGTCATAGACGTGCAATGACTCGACTGGACGAAGTTCACCTCGGGAAAACATCTCTACCAGCTTTCGGAGATTGCTAGAGCTCCGGGAAGGGTGCTCGGACAGCAACAGCGACCCGTCAAAGACAATAAACGACATATTTCTCCCCAACGCGTACATCGGTAGCTTTGAATTGTACTCGATGTCCTTTCTCCCAATCTCGATAAATCGACCATTGGGTGCAAGACACTCCATGGAAGCTAGCAGACCGTCCCCAGTCAGCGAGTTCAAAACCACATCGACGCCGCGGCCCCGTGTTGCGCGCTTAATACCGTGGACGAAACTGGCGTCCCGGCTGTAGAAGATCCGCTCGTCAGGAATCCCGTACTGTTTAGTGAGGAACTCTCTCTTTGCCACCGACCCCACCGTAGCGAATACAGTCGCGCCGTGCAGTTGCGCAATCTGAATGGCTGCCTGCCCCGTGCCGCCAGCAGCAGCGTGTACCAAGATGGTTTCGTCCTTCTGGGTGCGCGCCAGGTGGTGGACGGCCTCCCAGGCCGTGGCAAACTGAACGGGTATGGCGGCTCCAGTGGTAAAGGGCATGTCATCTGGTATACCCAGCGCAACCTTGCCGCGGGCAAACGTTCTGAATGTCGAGCCGGCGGCGAGAACGACCCGGTCCCCTGGCTGGAACAGCGTATCGGGACCCGCACGCGTAACGACACCTGCGCACTCCTGGCCCATGGGGCCGTCGGAGATCTGGCCTAGCGCAATCAGGGCGTCTTGGAAGTTGATCCCAATGGCATGTGTCTGGATCTCAACCTCGTCTGGTGCCAGAGGCGCGCGGGCAGCTGCGTCATCTGTGAATTCAAGGGAGTCCAGTATACCCACTGAGCCTACTGTCAGCTCCAGCGGCGGACAATCCTTGATCAGTTTTGGGCCCGAGCTGTGCGGTTTTGATCGCCCCATGAGCTCGTGGGTGACTGCTGCATCGAAGGCAGCGCGGGGGACATGTAGAGATCCGTTCAACTCGATGTACTCAATGTGCAAGAAGATTGTCTGGTTCAAGTTGATGGAAAGTCGAAATGTTTCTTGAAGGCGAGACACGGGCGGGAGAAGGGCTTCTGGGCACATACGCTCTGGTAGAAGTCAGTCTTAGTCGGGCGAGGCCATGGGCTATGTGTATGTCCAGCGTGCTGGGCTTCCAGTACTGTAGACCGGAAGAACACTGGGCTGGTCAAGGGCAGCCGCCCACGATGCAACCTCCCAAGCCAGAAGTAAAGCCAGCAATTGAGAATCAAAAAGAAAAGAAAAAGGTATAAGAAGAGAAAAGAGAAAGACAAGTCGATAAACGACACTTTCCGGATCATCGCCGCAGCAGGAACCAAGACGACTGTCTGGTGGCTGATGGCAACGAGCCCCATGCGCTCGTCAAAGACAACGACCTCGAGATCCATCCGCCCATCAGCAATCCGCTTGCACACGGTCCGGAGGTACAGCCACCGCACTCCGTTGGCTGGAAGCTTCTGCTTGACCTCCGTACACAGCATCACGGTGGCATTGAATCGGAAGGGCCATGTCGACTACGAACTGGAGCATTTCTTCGGTCCAGCGCGCGTCGTCGTTGCTGTCGAGGGGTCGAGAACCCTGTGGGAGACAATCTAAGCCCGGCTCAGCCCATTGTTCGAGGAAGCTGATCTCGGCGGGCCAGGTTCTAGGGACATGAGTCTTTGCGTAGGAGTGGCCGCGACGGAATCCGTCAGGGTAGAAGGGGCAGTGGTAGGAGGCCCAATTCGGATCACTGTCTGTTGCGAGCTTTGCGAGGTCCACTTGACGGGGTTCGGGGGCGAGGCGCCAGCCCGTTTGAAGCGTGATGCCTTTTGTGGATAGATCGGTGGTGCTGGTGATGACCATACATTATCGATATCTATAGACCCCTTTTTTCTCTTGGATAGCTCTGTTTACTTACGTTAATTCGGCAGAACAGGCGATCTTATCCTCCTGGAATAATTCGACGCGGAGAGTGGACATCACTTTGCCAATATTAACTTCACGCAGTGTCATTGTGATGGCGCTTGTAGGGAACACTGGGCGATAGAATTGGACGACGCTGGAATAAAGGTCGACCTGGTCTTTCAATTTGGGGCGATGAGACGCATAGTGGAGGGCGTAATTGGCCATGGCGCAGGCTACGTGGCCACCAACACTAACTACCATGCAGTTAACCAAGCTGAACACCAGGAGGCAATGACTGGGGAAGAGAGCAGCTACCGGAGCCGAACGCAACGTCCGAGGAGAGCTGCACGGAGATTCGGGGCGTGCAAGAGGGAGCCAAGTCGAAGTCCAGCGCTTGGGACAGACTGGTTTGAAGGAAGGCTGTCATTCTTGTCTGAGCACTGGCTCTTGCGTGAGAGAAAGAGGGGATGATGGAAAGTGGCCAAGATTAGTTTTCTCGACAACGTAGTATGGACGTGAAAGATTGACAAGCCACTCACTGATTTCCTCAGGGAAAACGAGATATCTGCTAGGTAGAGGATCTTTATGCTCATCACTCCAATACTACGTGCAGCTTCAAGCACCTGTAAAAACCCTCTGGTCATCGCTTCTGCCGCACGATGCAAACGCAATGCTTGGCTGCCTCAAAGAGCTTCTGGCAGTTGACGGACGACTTCGAGCCGCCGAGTAGGCGTCATGGCCGCAGCCGTGCACCATACCTCCGTTGCCGGGTGGTTACAGGAGGAGATAAAGACCGGGCAAGGTTTCTGGTACCTAAGCCGTAGTCTATACTCAAAGCTTCCAGATACCACTCACCAGATATGCTTCTTTGTATGAGATGTGGGTAAGCATTAGCACCAGCACAGATGTTACGGGCGTCGATCATTCCGAGGCCTCAAAGTCACTATGCACCTGCCCGTTTGTCCCCAAGAAACCTCCAACGCAATTGCAGCGACCAAGGGTGCCAACTCAAGACCGTAAGCCCGGCTCAAGTCAGCAGGACTTTGTAGAACATGCTTGTAAAGTCAAACATATAGGACTTGCGTTCTTGGCTGTGTCCAACACGACAAACGAAGGCGTCAGCTCACGAAAAGGCTCGTAGGTAAGGAGATGCCTACGGGCGGTTCCCCTATACGCGTCGGCGAGATCATCAGAGACTACTAGTAAGACTCTATGCTGCGCAGTAAAGTCTAAATAGAATAGATGTTTAGAGCGAATAAATCAGTGTCTAGGGTGCGGCCCATGGCTCCTTCCTCAAAACTGTGGATGAAGTCCCTAATTTAAGAAAGATATGGGACGTTCTGGATGCATTAATCAATGTACTTAACTGTCCTCCAAACAAACTAAAGTTGTTTAGCGGTGGAATCCATTTAGCTGATGCAAACAGACGCTAGTAACTATAGTACTAAGTGAGTACAAGACAAACCGCAAGATCGAACAAGACAGTAGTCTACAAATAACTCCCTAGACAGATAAAGCCTGAGAGGACCTGAATTAGATGCAATAAACGAACCGAACCAGTTCAAGAAACAAGAGAAACTGAAGAAGAATCGGAGATGTGTCTGGGTATGTATTGTGTATATATGCATGCACGCAAGCTATGACGAAAGCTTGAAGTGCGGATAGCGCAAAACCGAAAAGAGGCGGAGAGAAAGTAAAGTGTTAAGATAGACAGGCGAGGCAGTCATCTGAGTAGTGGTACTATGTATATGTTGATTATTTATTAGTATAGTTTTATGCTTTTGGCGCTTTTTCAAGCGGACACCGTCTGGGCAGGTGGTGATGTCGTCGTGCCGTTTTCAATTGTCTTCTCTTCGATGATTGGGGCGGGCACCTCTTCGGTTGCAGTGGTGGTAGACTCAGCGGCCGGGGTTTTCGTGCCTTCGGTCTTCTCCGCTTCTGATGGCTGAGAGGCGGGCTGTGCAATCTTGGACTTTGGTACAGGGACGTTGGTCTGTCTGCTCTTTCCGTTTTCCTTGCCGATGATCTCAACGTGATCGCCCTTGAAAAGGACGGGTCCTTTGATGAAGCTAGGCTTGGTCTGGCCCTCGGTCGGTGCGGTTTCAAGGGCGCCGACGATTTCCCGGGCGGGTTCATCGAGGTTGGGCATGTCGCCCCATTGCCAGTCGAGTTCGCCGCCGTATTGCTTGGGAATACTGGAGGGGTCCATGAAGGAGGTGAGGGTAGGCTGGACTTCTGAGGCACCGAGGATAAAGATCTTGGAGGTAGTGACGGGGTCGAACCAGCGCTTGATCCAGCCCCATACGGTTGGGAAGAATGCGGGAGCACCGATGATCTAGCCAGTTAGCACTGAACTTATTGGGTAGGGACTGGAATGACCTACGAAAATGCGGTCCAGAGTTTCCGGATAATGAGCAGTCGCAAGTACACTAGCGTCCTGCATGTGCCCCTTGAGGTTCCAGAACTGCTTCAGACCAACACCGCTGACATCTACAATATTCGTCGAGGTGACAATAGGCGTCTCTGGGTTTGGGCGAGGTAATTGCGAGCACAGCGGCATGACGAAGTTGAGCAGGTTCTCATACAGCGCAAACAAGCGAAGAAGGCGCTGAGGGACCGTAGAGGACTTGTGTGTCTCGGCCGTCGCCTCGGGATCGGTCATGGTGGCATTATACACGGCCATGTTCTTGCTGTTCAGGTGCTTGATTTCAAACACATATACCGGGATTCCGCGGCGGTCTCGACGGCCGGTCCATTGCGGATACTATATCCACGAGATTATATTTTAGAGTGTGAACCCGCAGCAAGACAATCGTAGCGGCACAACCTACCATTCTCCGGGCTGCATCGTAGGATTCCACCTCGATGTTCTCGTACAGCGCCTCGATGGCGTTCTCCTTCCGCCAGTCCTCTGTATCCTTGAACTGGCCCCAAGCCCCATTCACGTCGAATCTGCGCGCGCGTAGGAACCGCCTGTAACACTGTCAGCTTCGAACTCCGCCAAAACAACAGAAACCCATTGTAAATAAGCAGACATACAGCATCGTCGCGTCATCATGGCTCGGCTTCTCCCCCTCGCCACCAGGCTTATAGTATCCCTCCTTCTCACAAAACTCCTTGAACTCCTTCAGCTTTCCCTCCTGCTCGTCGGTAAGGTGGTGTAAATGGCCCGCGAGCCAGGCATCACTCGCGGCCTGAGAAGCCGACGCCACGGGATCGTTCTTCGGATCGGCGGCGGTGGCGCTGGCGGAATCGCTTTCCGCCTGGCTGTGATGCGATTTAGTCCTCCACAAAGGCATGGTTGTGTTTGGTTTTTCGAGCTCCAAGACGTTGGACAGTTCGGAGGTAAGGGAGGAAACAAAAAAAAAGTGAGCGAGGGACTGGTGTTGGGCGCTGGTTGGCTCGGCGTCAGCTCAGCTGGGCTGAATGAAGGATTGATTAGTAGTAGTTCCTGGCGTTCCGGCGTTTGTCGATCGGGCTCGTCTGCAACGCGTTTTCGCCTGGGTTTTCAGCGATTGAGTGATGTGCCAGGAAGGAGTAGCGAGAGACTTAAACAGGAAGAAAGCGAATTGAAAAAATTGGAAGGCGAAGAAAGGGAATTCGGCAAATCGATCGAGACTCCCGATACTCCGATTGAAGGAGCATTATTTTTCTTGGGAATGCACGGCTGAGTCAGCATACGATCCACAGTTATGCATGCTTAGGAGCTATACAAAAGGTTCTACCGCCTCATTTTACAATGATTATACAATTATAGCCTGGATCGAAATGCCTCCAAAATAACAATCTTTTGGGTTCCATAGATGCGAAAAGTTCACAATGCTGTACGATAATGGATACAGGGTGGGGTGTGTTCTAGGAAAAGATTTAATCCTCAGTGAGATCGCCATATTCCCACATTCCCCGACGCTCATGCTTAGCCTCATCTTCCAGAGTGCGCAGGTTCGAGAGAGTCTCGCCAGCAGCGCGCTCCCATGCCTTTAGCTTCTTAGGAACCATAGCCAATCCCTCTCGGACGATCTCAGCGTTGATACTCTGATCAAGGTTCTTTGACTCAGACGGGTCAAGCAGGGTAACGTGTAGCGTTCCCTCGGTTGAGACAAAGTCCACATTGGCAACAAGTTCACGGCTATATGTCTGCTCTTCGAGGAAAGAGACTGCGTCTGCGAGATAGTCGGCGGAGACGGGGAATTGGAGGAGTGAAAGGACAGCATCGGCAGCCTGGGGACGGAGTTTCTGGACGGAGAACTGGGGCTGGCTGAGAGGTCGCAGACGAGACCAAGGGAGGACTTCGGAGTTACCAAAGTCGATGTAGACAACCTCCGCCTGCTGCTTCTCGCGGTCGTTGCGGCGAACCTTGGCACGGTACCATTCGCCGTCTTCAGTGAACTTGGCAGCAACGAAGTCGCCAGCCTTGGGAGGTCCGGGGAGTGGTGTATCGTTTGACTTGTTGAGGTGGAATGAGCGGAACGCGCTCATCAGCTCTGTGAGTGCCGAGGTGCCGGTACCGATCTGCTGAAGCTTAACGCGAGCGGTAGCGGGGTCAACATAGGTGACCATCACGTCACGGTAATCCTTGCGACGTGGAGCGGTATCATTCTCAGGAGCACTGCTGCTGACAACCTCGTCTTCAGCTTCCTCGGCTTCCTTGCTAGGATCCCAGTCATGCCACAACCCCTTGCGGGCTTCTTTCGCCCGTTGTTCAGCGGCATAATATTCCGTAGCGTGGCCGGACTGCTCGGCGGAGTAGGCATGCACAGTAGCGAACCCTTCTTCGAGAAGAACCTTGGTGAAGTTCTCCTTGTTCACGTATAGAGTGCCGATGAATCCACCGACCTTGTCAATAGTCTCAACATCGATCTCAACATCACGCTGCATGCAACGTCTGTTCGCCAGGTCGTGTGCCTCCTGACCGAAGGGCTCGGAAGCCTCACCAGGGTTACGGGCGGATCGAGGAGCACGAATTCCAGAGAGGACTAATGTCAACTTGGCATTCTCGCGAGGGACGAGCACTGTGAATCGAGATGCGGACTTGACAAAGTCCACAACAGCTGGCACCCGCTTTTGGCGCTGGAGGATCGACACCTCCATCTTGGCCTTTTGAAGACTTTCTGAATAATCTTGGTACTGCTTGGTCTTAGGAGGCTTAGATGACCACATGCCCTTGCCGTCCTTTTGAGCTTCGGCTTCGGCGATCAACAGGTCGTCGTAGTCGGGAGACCGGTCCGTGTCGTCCTGTCGGTGGCGGATAACTGAAGCATAACCCGCTTCCACCAGGGCGAGGGCCACATTAGTGTTTCCTTGGATCACAGTAGCGACTTCCCGCTCTTCGAACCCTTCCGTAGCAGGTTTCTTGCCATTGATGGTGACCTTGACGTGCTTTCCAATGAGCTTCTTGCGCAGGAACTCCTTCGCATCAGCTCCGAAAGGTGCTTGTTCAGGGGCGGACGGCTTGGGCTGACGGATACTGGCCAAGCTGATCTTCTTCTCCTGGCCGGCCTTATTCCGAATGAAGATGGTGTCTGCGTTGAGCACACGGCTAACAATGACATCCAGCTCGGCCCCGCCAGCAGGACCCTTGGACGCGACATTGGTAAACAGACCCTTGCGACCATCTCTAGCGACCTTCTCAGCACGGCGGAAGGCGGCCATCTCAGCGCCAAGGATAGGCGAGTGGTGATCGTGGCAGCGGGCAAGGCCAGCTTCCAGCAGGAACTTGGCGATGTTTCCGTTGGGATGCAGAACGGTAGCAATCAGCTGGCCCTGTGGGGTGACGCCCAGCAGGGTGACCTGGACCTTGCGCTGCAGGATTCTGGATTCAGCAAACTGTTGGGCCTCCTCGCCGTAGGGCTCGGCAGGCTGCTCCTTTCCGTCAGCACCAACCCGCTTGGTTGCAGGAGCGCGGATGCCGCCAACCGCAACGACAACCTGCAGGTGTTCGTCATCGGCGAGAAGCAGTCTGAGAACGAGACGGTCTCCGGTCAAGACTCTTTCAACGATACCCTCAAGGTGCTTGTCCTTCCATTCCTCCACCAGAGCTTTGCCGTCGGCGAGCTCGTAGCTGGTGTCGATGCGGCCACTCTCGGTAGCGGCCCAAACGCCCTTGCCTTCGGTTCTGGCGTGATCCTCCAGTGCCCGGAGGCGCTCGAGCATGGCAACGGTCTCTTCTGTGTCGTCACTTCGCTTGCCGGCTTCCTCGCGGACACGGCTCCATCCTTCCTGGACGCTGATCTCCGGCAGTGTCACCTCGAAGCTAGGGAGTTTGATCTTGCCATATTCGCGCTGCGAGGTGGGGACGGTATACAGAGTCTGGAACTGGACCACCTTGCCGACAAGTAGCTCGCGGAGGAATTCGCGGGATTGGAAGGCATAAGCCTGCGGAGAAGAAAAGTCAGCAAGATTCAAGCGCAAATTGAAGCGAAAAGTGAGCGTCTTATAACACAGGGGCAAACAATTAAAGAAAATGCACAAGGTGTTGATGTGCAAAAGCTCAAAAAGGCCAGCTATCCAGATCCATTGAACAGCTCTCACAGCCCGCAGGTAAAGGAAAGCTCACCTCATCTCCTTCTCTTCGCAGTCTCGGCGCTGAGACGTATGCAAGACTCAAAACACGCTCTTGTCCAGGGTTGGTAACATGCGAAAGGACAACAGTGTCGCCAGATAGAACTGACTTCACGCGAGCTTCCAGAGGCATTGCTGGCGGTTGGAGACAAAGACAAACAATCAGAAAAGCAATTGACCGACGAAAAGTTTGTAAGGAGAAAGAAGTCCAAACGAAAGGAAGGGAAAGGGGGGTTTAGGGGAAGTAAGACAAGAAAGACAGGGTGAATTGATTGTTGGTAAAGGCGATGGGAACACCGAGCGGAAACGTGGTTCAAACTGGCGGAGCTGTGGCGGACTCCTGACTCTGTGGGGGAGTCTGGCCGCACATGAGCCTCTCCGTAGTCCTACAGCAACCAGGGGTCTACTTTACGATCGCTATATTTACTACTTCTACGATGACCATAGGGGTTCATGATAATGCCATTCAATTTAAAGTGGCTAACTTGCAGCACCTTACATTTTTCAACGAAGGCAAGAGCATGTGCAGGGCATTTTGATTATGGACTATTCATCCTCCACATCATCAATTGATCATCATATCATCAGTTCTTAAGGGAGCATTTAAGCAGCAATGCCGATGACACCTGCGACAGCTATCAGTATCTCCTTTCAGAAGGAGTTGTGAATGAAACTCACCGCAAGCAGGGCGAGGACCAGCGTTACCGGTCTTCTTGGACTCCTCGTTGCCGCCACGGCCGAGGTCATCAGTACCAGCGTGGACGACAAGGGTGCGCTGTCTTGCATTAGCACGCTCACTTATAATTCGGGGACGTGAATACATACGCCCAGAACACTCTCGGCACCGAAGAGCTTCACAAGGGGGTCGGGCTTGGAGCCGACGGCGTTACCCTCAGCATCGGTGCGGAAGTTGCCCAGGTCACCAACGTGGCGGACCTCATCCTCGGGAGCACCATGGGTCTTGCCGAAGGGGTTGAAGTGGGGGCCTGCAGAGGTGCAGCCGTTGGTGTTGTCACCAAACTGGTGGATATGGAAGCCACGCTCAGCGTTGGCGTCGTGGCCGGTGATGTTCCATGAGACGGTGGTCTGGGCGTTCTCGTCGGCCTGCTCGAAGGTGACGGTGCCGGTGATCTTGGAATCACCACGGAGGACAGCAACTAGAGGATTGAGTCAGCATGTTACACACATTCGACTGCTGGAAGTAGCAAGAGCATGCGAGATCGCCACTGGAGACTTTGGATCCAGATCAGATCCGGGGTGTTCCTGAGCTCAGACCCAGCGACCGGGGCTAAAGGACAGGCGAGCTAGCCGGAGCTTTCATCATCCTGAGCTTATACCAACGCCTCGCAGGACAAAGAGGCGATGATAGGCTGCCAGCTCAGGGCAGAGCTCGAAAGGTGCTCAAATCTGCTCACACAAGGTCCTCCGGCCACGGTCGATCGTGGATCCGGCCAGGACCAAAGCCAATGACAGGGCGAGATTGAAACACAGACGAGGGTGACATACCAGCCTTGACCATTTTGACGGATTTCTGGAGATGAGATTTTAAACTTGGAAGAGGAGATGTGAAGAAGGGTACAGATGGAGATGGATGATGGGTGGGTGAAATAAGAAGAGTGGAAAGGCAGGGAACTTAACGGGGGAGCGAAAGGAAGAAGAGAGACGAGGGGTAAGCCGACGAGTGCGACTGGATAGGCTGAGGATACCTAAGGTGTTCGACGAGCTTCGAACCTCTTGCACAGCGCGATTCCTGCCAGTCACCTTGCAGTGCTGTTCCCCTCTTCGTGGTTTTCGTGAAGCACCCCACCCTTGCGGGACGTCGGAATGACGTTTTCGGTGCACCTGAGGAGAGCTCTCATTGGGATTCCTAAGCAACACATTCCAGACTTGCTGGGCTGGTCCCTCGATCGCCCTTTTCTGTATCTGACATTTGGAGTTTCCAATTGCCTTTCTCTCGAGTCTTAGCCCCTGTCTCCCGGAGTAACCGCGTCATCCTTAAAAGTGGCAGCCCCTCGAGCTATCCATCTGACTGAACCCCACCATAGCATTCCCTCGGAGTTAGTGGGTTGACCGAGCAGCGACAACACATCTCTGCGTCTAATAATTCTCTTCTATCTCGGTTTTAATGCTTATGCGTAGTTCGTGCACTGTACTACTTCAGCCACAATTATTCTGGATTGAGGTTGCAATTGCTGTTAAACCAACTGGCCCAGCTGTACAACTTCGAACGGAGCAGTTCCCCTCCCGAATCCCACTCCCGCGATCGCACGCAATTCCCGTCTCCAATCCCCGAATTGCTCCAATACAGTGCCAGAAAAAAAGTGAATGATAATAAATAACTTGTAGAAGACGTCGTATTCCGTAATTCATATCTCTAAGCAAATTTTTGCAAGTCGCCAATTTTTACACAAAACGAAATGGGTCTCATCAGGCAGCCAGCGCCATTCTTCTTACATCTAAGCCTGGACCTTCTGCTTGAGGATGTCCTTGAGGGTGACGGCGTCAGCCGCGAACTTGGAGATACCCTCACGCAGCTTCTCGACGGCCATGGCCTCCTCGTTGAAGTCGAAGCGGAACAGAGCCTCATCCTTGAGGTAGCTGCGCTTGGCGATGTCGAGGCTGGCGGCGGCGGAAGCATCGAGCTTCTTTGGGACGGGCTTGGTGGAGTTGTACAGCTCCTCGAGAAGACCGGGCTATGATATATTAGTACTTTACAATTTTAAGAAGACAATCGGGGTTACATACGGAGATGGTCAGGTAGTCGCAACCAGCCAGCTCAGTGATTTCACCGCTGTTACGGAAAGAGGCACCCATGACGATGGTCTTGTAGCCGTACTTCTTGTAGTAGTTGTAGATGGCCTGGACGGACTTGACACCGGGGTCCTCCTCAGGGGTGTAGTCGCGCTTGTGAGCGGCCTTGTACCAATCCAGGATACGGCCGACGAAGGGGGAGATGAGGAAAGCACCGGCCTCAGCAGCAGCAATGGCCTGGACGAGAGAGAACATGAGGGTCAGGTTGCAGTTGATGCCGTGCTGAGACTGCAGGATGTGAGCGGCCTGGATACCCTCCCAGGTGGAGGCGATCTTGATGAGAATGCGGTCCTTGGAGATACCAGCCTCCTCGTACAGCTGTTCAAATTAGCATTGTTCGGGAAATTTTGAGTCGCTTTCACATTCACATACCTTGATGATGTGCAGAGCCTTATCAACGGAGGCCTTGGTGTCGAAAGACCAGCGAGCATCAACCTCGGTGGAAACCTTTCCGGGGATAATGTCGAGAATCTTCGTGCCGAACTCGACGAGCAGGTAGTCGAGGGCGGCGTCGACCTGAGCGTCAACATCACCGCCCTGCTTCTTACCCTTCTCAACGGCAGCGTCGATCAGGCTGGCATATTCGGGCTTCTTGGAAGCAGCGAGGATGAGGGAGGGGTTGGTGGTAGCATCCTGGGGCTTGTACTTGTCAATGGTGGCAAAGTCACCGGAGTCGCAAACGACAACCTAATAGAGAGGATATGGTTAGCAAGGGCGTCATTTGAAGAGAATGCAAGAGCTGCGTTCAAGGGAGGGGTAGCTTACGGTGCCAGTGGCCTTGAGCTGTTCAAGAGAAGAAGACATTGTGAAGAGGGAAGAGAGATTGATGGATTCGAGATGAAGATGGGATGACAATTGAGTAGAGGCAAAAAGTAGAAGAGGAGAAGGATGGAAGTTCTTAAGTAAACTTAAAAAGGAGGACGTGGCGATGGCAGTTCCGGCGTTGAGTTCAGTTGTTTTCGTGGTTGAGAGGGTTGGACTGGTGGGGCTGCTGGCGGGCTTATGACGCTATGCGCCAGACTCCGGAGGGGTAACTAATTTGCATCTAAGGCCTGACTAAGGATTTACCACCTCCCCTCCTTCTTATCGAGCCCTTACACAATATGACACCAGTATCGCCCTGAAGCTATTCGCTGGCTGGATCAGCTTGTTCAGCAAAAATTGCAGTTCCCGACCCTCGTCCTCGCATCTCATACTTTCCCCCACGGAGCATCATCATCGCTCACTGCTCAGTCAGATATTTCCCCGGAGCTCCTCACCCACCTGCTTCATTCGGCCCAGTGTGCTCCGACCATGCATTGGCCGATCCACTCCACAGACATGCAGCAATCCAGGGCCTTTCTCTTCACCGGAATCAGGAGTCCGTGGCGGCTGCTCGTTTCGTGATTAGGCTATATTAGCCTCACCGTTCCTCGCATCGAGCCCCGTCTTTAGAGTAGATCACGCGCTTCTATTTAGGAGCCTTGTGCTCCGTTTGGATCACCTGGCACCGTTTCAGCGGTCCCGAAGTGTGTCTAGATGCTCGAATCTTAATAAACCTTGACTTTTGTAGCCTCCCTTTTTAGGAATAGATAACCACCTGCCATCTATCTGACCAGTAATGGTTTATAACAACGGAACGCTCAATCCAATGAACATGACAAAAAAGCAAACCCATATGCTCCGAGGATATACACGATCTCTATAATAATGATGCTTCTTCAACGTACGCCACTGGTCCCACAGTCTAGATCTTAAGGTCATCGACGCTGGACACAGCTCCATTCATACTATTATGATATTAGCACTCCTGCCGTTTGAGGATATTCACAGATCACCAAAACTTACCACTCGTCCCATCTCATCCCCAGTATACACCACCTGCGGAAGGGCAAGGATACAGCTAATCCCTGCTGTAATGTTTGCCCCGTTGTCGCGGTTGTTGTCAATGTGATGGAGTTGCCGAATCAACTCCAACTCGAATCGGCCATTGCGCATGATCTTGCTCCAGATCTACGAATATTAGCAGCGCGATCAACAGTGAGCAGCATGCTTTTGCTAGACTTACATTGACGACACCTCTCCGATGGCCCGTGAAGAGAAGGTCTCGCTCCTGCCACTCATCGCCCACTCCTTCGTAGAAGACGCAGGCTAGTGTCTTATCATCTGTCGAGTCGCAGACAGTCTGCTCCAGTAACAGAGCACCGTTCAGAGTGTACAAACTGAGGCGGTTCCCTCGACAAACCGCTATCTCCCCCGTCACATCGTTTATCCGAGCACACTGCGTATGTTAGTGGTCTAGTCTTACTGATTGAGGGGTGTAGGCTTACATCGACTGGCCCCTTAGCTGGAAGTTCTCGAACAAAGCATTGTCGGTTCAGGTCCCAAAGCATAAGCTGACCGTCCAGAGACGCTGACAGCAAAGTACTAAAGGACCGTGATACCGCGAGAGTAGCCACTGATGAACGATGTCCGAACAACGATCCTGCAGGCTGCAAGTCTACCGACTTGGCTGTTGCCGTGAAAGTCCATATGGAGATGGTGCAATCGGTTCCTGCAGTGACTAATGTTCGAGAATCCGCAAAGGCTGCGCAGGACAGTTGGCCGACGTGAAGGTGCTCAAAGTGGCCAAGTAGCTATGCGTGGTTAGTGGTATGGTATACAGCTGGCATGAGAATAGCGGCATACCTTTCGGTTGTCGGAGGAGTAGAATCTAACGCTGCCATCAAAGAACCCCCACTCCATATACTTGTCATAGGTTGGGGGTATATTGAGTCTTAGCGCAGCAGTACACAACAGCCGGTCGTGTTTCATGGACAAAGATGAGACTCGCTCTCCGATATCTAGAACGTCTCAGTACACGAAAGGAGGTGAAACCCAAGTGGGAAACCTACCAAGCAATGAAAGAGGTAGCTGAGTGAGCGACTCAGCAAGTGAATCCAACCGTGGAGTCTTGTGTTTATGCGCCTCGTTTTGCGGGTGAGATCGATTGAAAATTTGATGCGGTGTTTGCCCAAAATTATGGATAATGCCAATTGTGGCCAGCCGCTCTACAGGGTCGTCAATGGATTCGATATCCTTGGCTCCTTGGTATGAAAGGTGATGGAAGACATTGACTGCTTCAATAGCTGCCTCGCCTTTTTGCTTGCATCCAAACACCAGATCAATCCAATGGTGCAGATTTCTTGTCACATAGGGGCTCTCTAGCGCCTCGCGATTCTTCGCGATAAAGATCTTGGGATCGCCCTTCGCCCAGGGCGGCAGCTCCACCGAGTCGATCGCGGTGTCCATGTTCTGAAGGAATCCAAAATCATACTTGTTGGAGTTGACCAAGAACTCGGGAAGGTAGAAGAATTCAGGAATCAGCTCCCTCACATCGGACATGTTCCCCCGCGACGCGGACTCCCAAGCCTTGCCGACGGAATAGAAAAGACGATCCGCGTGATCGAATGTACCTCCTTGCAGCAGGAGATATGCCTTTACAAACGGCTGAAGGCGAATCAGGTAAGAGCTCACAATCATCGCTGAGGAGTAATGTGTGCCATAATGGAACGGCGGAGAATCGCCATCGCCCATTTCGGCAAATGCTTGGTACCGTTCTCTGAGTTCGGCCTCTCGCTCTGGCGTTTGACAGCCCATCGGCTTGGACAGATCACGGAAGCTCTTCGGGTTCGTCAGATCGAGTTCCTGGCTGGTATAGTCGGCAATGACCCAGGGGAAAACAGGGTACTGTGTCAGATCGTTGAACGTCCTGCCTGCAAGGGTGTTGATCAACATGAGATAGTGAAAGTTCGAGATCTCCCCTTTGACCCATTTACGAGTCGCTGGGTATACCGGCGAGTGACCAAAGACGCTGGCGAACTTTGACCCTAGGGATTGTGGCGCATCATCGGAGCTTCGGAGGGCTTCAAACCGCCAAATGTCTTCTGGTCGCGAGTGTCCAGCGTTTCCTGTCACTTGTGGAGCCTTGTTGGCAAGCTGGCTACACAAGCTATCCCGAGCCTTGGATGAAATCAAGGTCAAAAGATAGCTGCTTCCATCTGTAAAGAAAATTTCGAGGGCGACATCACGGAAAAGGAATCGCCTCTTGGAGACACTGACTAGATCCGTCCATTTCCAGCTCCTAGTCTCATATTCTTGAGGCTTGCGCTCACTGGCTTCTCTGCCAGCGATCATTCGAACATAAGGGTCGCGCTCATCAGAGGGTGCCTGGGAAACATTGACGATTTCACCATCAGCACGTTGGAAGAAATTGTCCAGGATATAAATATGATCCTTGCCCTGGATTAGAAGCCCTTCATTGGCCTCTAGTCCAACAATTCGAGACACATTGCAGAGATTCTCGACTTGATCACCACGGTGTAGACTCCTCATGACTTTTCTGTTCTTATCCTCGTAGTCTTCGAGGTCCGCCTTGGGATCATCAATCATCTCGAAACTCTCTTCCAGAGAGCTGCTATTTTGCCCAGGATTTTGAGAATTGTCGTCCGACCTCTCATCGTCCATAGGTACAGGGTTCAGAGAGATGGGTTCTGTAGAAGACGAGGCCCTTGTCGTGTCCACTTTAGGAGCGGGTGGTTCTGACGCCTTGCGCTTGGGCTGATAGTCCTGCCTCTCCCCGGAGTCGTCCGGTACTATACGAAGTCGCATACGGCTTCGACCCTCTGTCTGGTCAAGCCGCCATTTCCTTTCCTTATCCTCAGCAAGAATACCGCCGTGCCGCCGCAGGTCCAAGGTCAGGCGGAAGAATACATTCCACATGAACGTGTAACTGTCCTGTTGGTCTTGCAGAGCTCTTTGATACTTCAGAAACTCGGAGGCTGATATGTTTGAGATCCAATGGGGAAACGTGGCCTCGTGTCTTCGAGTCACTTCATCGCCGGTCTTATCTAGTTGACTTAGCTGTTTAAGCTTGTCATGACGCTTAGACATTCGAGTGCGTGAAGAGTTCTCGGCATTCGTACTCTGCTCCTGGATGAAGTCTTCCCAGTCCTTGGCGATGGTTCCCAAGAATAAAGCATTGAGGTCGTCTGCCTTGTCATCTATCCACTGCAAAAATGAGGTATCATCCATGCCCGCAAGAGCTTCGAAGCCGCGGGTGAGACGTTCCTGGAGTGGAGCTGCAGCATGGCTCAAGATTGCGAACAGCTCGGCTGGCTTTTGTACCATGATGATCCTGAAAAGACCTGCAGCAGCCAGGCGCACATCCTGGTTGTTGTCAGTCAATTTAATGTATAGCAGGTAGCATAGCAATTGGAGGTAATCTGCCTGCGACTCGCCCGCCTGCAAGAGCACCACCTGCCAATAAGACAACCGGTTCAAGAACAACAATGCATCTGGACCTTGAACTTCGGAGAGCTGAACCAAAACGACCCTGAACACGTTCATTCGAATCGTAGCAATCACCTGGCTGCATAGTCTTATGCTCTTTTGACGCGATATCTCCGGCCGCTGCAGATACTCTAAAATCGTACCGGCAAACTCAAGAGTGGTAATGGCACCATCCACAAACCAGCCTTCTAGTGCTGCTTCAACTAGGTGCGTTGTAAAGCGCCCTAGATTGGTGAGCACCCGTGGTTCCGACAGAAACTCGGTCTTCGAGAGTACAACTCTTTTCAGGGTTGAAAGGAAGCTTTTCAGCACCCAGGAGTTGAAATATGCTTGATGTTCTAGGAAACCCGGCGGCGTCTTGGAGAACAGACCAAGGCCGGAGAAGTCCTTTCGCTCGAGCAGCTGTTCCGAAAGTATTGACAAGGCCAGGCCTAAAATACGTGAAATGAACGGATGTTGCGTGCTTCCATCGATCTCAATACTCCCTGCGGGCAAGGCCTGACGAATCCGTAAGGGAGGGCGCGAGTTCCTCCCTTGTTCAGATGACACTAGGATAAATGAAGATGTACGAGCGAGGGTCCCGCTACTCGCATCACGAATTTGAGAATTTTCGACATTTGTTGTCCGCAGGTCACTGGTGCTTCTTGTCTGAGAAGCGCTAGCGGAATTCTGGTCATCGAGACCCAGACCGTTGACTCGGTAGGCTAATTCGATATCAGCACTCACCGAGTCCGAGCCGACAACGACCGTAAACAGCACCGAGAACAATTGCTGGATGTACTCTGGCTGCACAGCGAATTCGCGAAAGCCCGGTGACTTCACATGTAGATCGGCGAGAAATTCAATAACCGTCGCCAAAAGCAACGATTGCTGGTCTGTTGTCGCAACGGGCACATGTTGCCCCATGCCAGGCTTGGCAGTTTGCACAAGGTCTAGGCCATATGTATCCTCATTCGTCAGGACTGATTTTCTCAGGGCGCTTCGCATCATTTCCACGATCACCGGAAACATTTCGGGAAAACAGACTCGAACCTCATCCTGCTTGAATAGGTCCGAGAAAGAGGCTTGCTCGAACGGTTTGCCGGCCATCATCGCACCAATGTCGACCCCGAAGAGTATGGAGAAGCAGATGGGCCACATGGCGGGTATAGTCCACCATCGTCTAAGACAGCCTCGCATAATGACGTATCCACCGTTTTTTTCGCTAAATCTTGTGTTGTAACTGCTACCGCTAACCACAAGGACACGAGCGAGTATCCTAGCTGCCAGGACAACAATCTCCGGTTCGTCCTCGCTCATCAAATATAGGAGCCACTGTAATAGCGTTAGTCAAGAGCGCTAAAGCAAGTTGTCACACTAAACGCACCTTGTTGGTCACCGTTTTGGCAAATTTTTTTATCAAGGCCAGGTCATGAGTGTCGCAGAGAAGGGAGCAATACATGCGAAGCATTTCTACCGCAACTGCAGTGGTTGACATGCTGCCCGCTATGTCAGGAGTTCCTGCGCGTTGCGCCGGATCTTTGGAGAATCTAATGCTCTTTTTCTTCTGTAACCCAGTGGGGTCTTTGCGCTTGTGCAGAGAGTACGTGATGAAAAGAGCCAGAGAACGAAGAAGATCAGCTGACAAACAATTCTCCATCAAGGAGCTAAAGGCCAGAGTAAAAAGTCGCAGGATTTCTGGGGTGAAGCCTCCGCCTTTCAAAGCCTCGAGTAATTTTTTGTTAACACCTAATCAGTGTTAGCCGGTCTTACAAATCTACCAGCCTTGATGACTTACGCATTCGTGCAAGGCGCTTCGCATTGAATCGGCGAAACTGACTCCCACTTGCCATTACACAGAATTGTGAGTAGTACAGCTCCACGAGAGCCATTTCACCATGTCTCCATATGTCCAGGTCCACAAGCAGCACTCTATAGGCCAGGGGATTCGTGATGATCGACCGGTTTGGTTGCTCGAAATCATAACCGACAAACTTCAATGTCAAGCGAAGAAGGTTGAGGGATAGGGCAGATCGCTGTTCAGGGCTAGAGCAGACAGTGGTCACCTTGGTTGAAGAGGGAGAGCTTCCCCATCCCCACCCAAGCTTCTCACGTATCAAGGCCGCAAGAATTCCATAGGCATTTTCCTTCTCCATTGCTTCGCTATTACGCCAGCTGTCTTGAACCGCTTCGTACAATGCTTCAACGGCGAGCAGGAGAGTTTCCGCAGAAGTGGCCGCGTTGATCAAACTAAGATGTATCGCCGCACAACCACCAATTCGCCAACTCATATCATCGAGGGAGTGTGGTAAGGTAACCACAGGGTCGCCTGTCAAAATACCAACACCGTGTGTTTGGGTAAGGGCGTCATTGATTGCAGGACTTGCGCCGTTAACAGCAAGTGCATTCCCTCCAGCTTTCGTCAATTGATGAAGGTGCTTTGCTGCTTGTTTTGAGAGTGACTTGATAAGCTGGGATTCGTCCGTGGTATTATTGTCATCGTCGTCCAGGATGGCCCATGAGGAGACATTAATCAGAATGGCGCTTTCGCGAACCAGGGTACTAGCTTTTCGGCGAATGGCAGTGACAATATCAGATTGTTCCTCTTTACCGGGGTGCAAGTGCTCATTACGGAGATTTAGAGTTGCTGAAGCTCTGTATGTCTGAAAAGACCCGAGACAATCCTGGAAATTGCCATAGTATCGGGGGCCGAGGTTGTAGAAGACTGAGATCATGTCGTCACTGTAGGCGTCCCCAAAAAGTATAGCATTTGCTAGAGACCATCGAGAAGTTGATACCCCTTTTCCAATTCTCATTGCCAGATCTTGAGGGGTACCTAGGAAGGCTTGAACTCGCGGCGAACGATTCGAGGCAGTGACCGCAGGCATACACGGATACTCAATTCTTAGTTGTTCAACAAATTCTCCGTCTATGAAAAGGGATGCTCGAGAGTGATGTGATGGCGGTTTAGGCTTCTTGTGGACGACGCAGATATGGTACCACCTATTCTGTTCAAATCTCTGACACTTGAACCGTACGCTTGGACGTGATCCCTTTATGGATGTCTGCAGTATGAAGTTGCGAGTGTCTTTTTCCAGATAAGCTAAAAGGAAGCATGTCTGGCTCGAATCAAATGCACCAAATATAGTCGTATGAGTGTTAGAGTCGAATTGGTCAAAGCGGGCCCAGACTGCAAGGGTGTACCCAGAAGATGCGGTAGGAGGGAATGAACGACCAAGGGTTGAGAACTCCAAGGAGCAATATCCATGTTGAGAGAGATCGAATTGGATAAGTGGAGGTTCCTTGGAACATTTGAGCACATTGACAAGGAACCGCAGGGCGGCAGGGTATTTGTGAGCTTTCTTGTAGAGGTAGATGGCATCATTCATGTGCCTGATTCCTTGGATGCATAGCAATTGTGCGAATTCCTGGTAAAGCATTTGCTCTGGTTCTGGGCAATCCTCACTGAACAAAAGCGGGAGAGCAAGGCTGAGAGCCCCTGTATTATTCAAGGTCATCAAGTTTCGCTGCGATTGCGATGCAAGTCGACATAGGCATGCTGGTATTGCTAGTTTCTGAACAGTTTGGTCAGACTTCACCCAGAAGGATTGTTTAAGCCATACTCGAAGCAGCGGACCGAGAATCTCGGGTGCTTCGATAGTCTCAGAAGGTCCTATATACCGTTCAACTTCCCTTTTGACAGCATCGGGGGTAATCTCGGATTTGTCCGCTCCTTGAAGCTTCGTCCTGAGCGTTGTGAAAACATCTACAACGGTTTCTTGACACAGCGCTGCGGCAAGAATGCTACCACAAAAATATTCCACATCTCCTTGAACCGTGTTAATTTTCAGAGCGATTATGGCGAAAGCTTCCTCCAAAGCTGTTTGGCCCCCACCAGGTATCCGACTCGCAAAGTGCCTCTTGTTCCCTAGGTGGTCCCTAAGGCATTCGGCAAGGACCGTCAGACCATCTTTGTACACAGCCAACAGACCTCGTCTCTCTTCCTTCGGGTGCGCATTCGGGCTGTATATCTCGGAGAGCTTCCGGAGGAGATTTAGAAGTGTCTGGAAGCCGTTTAGATGACGGAATGACTCTTTAGCATCTTGAGGACGGTCGGTATCGATGAGTGTGTGGCGAAGTCGCAGCAAGCACTCTGTGGCTGAAGCCGAAAGGTTCAAGTTGGTTGCATATTCGCTGCAGATAGCCTTTAGCTCATCGATGACTGGGACTAGCTCGGCAGATGGACGTTGTTTAGTAGGCGAAGAAATGACCCGGTTCATGGCGCTGCTGGAACTCCCCGGCTACCTACCTGATGGCCAACGACCATCAGACATAGACATTCAATTCGACTCGTTGTTGGGACAGTCTTCATTGGCAGGCGTTGTAGCAGTTGGCAGGGTAGGAATCGTGTCGTCTCGTGAGCAGGTGAAGAGCGGGCGGGACAGAGGATCTGCGTTCGAATAGGATCAGCAATTGAACCTTCGCGTGGAATCAGTAAAAAGTGGTCAGAAGATTGAGCGTCCGACTCACCCCAACAGCACTCGATCGTCAAGTTGTCGAAATTTACACACCAACGATCGGGGCTGTGTCGCTGGAGCTACAGGCTGAAGCACCGATGTTTCGAGATTATCAGGTGACGGGCGGATCCATCCCACTCAAAGCTCAAGCGCCTACTGGCGGCAGGCCTATCGATAAGGGCTTATCGCTGGGGTTCCCCAAGCTCCAACTCCAATCTCGTAAGGATCTTGACAGGCAGAAAAGGGCTTGTTCAAGATCATAATGAGTTTTTAGAATGTAGGAATCAGAACGTATCGTCAACTTGGTGCTCACGGAAACCCGTGATCTATAGTTATTAGCATTGTATGACTCTAGAATCAAGTAATAGTGACTGCATAGTGACTATATATATCACATCCTCGACATCATTCCAAATTACGTCCTTGACTCTGGTAGCATCATGTATCTGCTTGGATATGTTTATAGCGAGAGGCTTAGAGCATAATCATAGTACCTTCCTTAGCTCAGCTACAATTAGATAGTGTAAACAACTGGGAGTTTCACTGTTTCATTCGATAAGCTCCATGTGCGATGTACTATCAAGTGACCAAAGATAACACCCACTACCAGAGCAGCGGTTACGCAAACAGTCGAAATAGATAAGCCAATGCACGCGGGAAACATAAGAAAGCACGTCTCGATCCAACTTTATCATCCCAAATGCTCTACATGGCCTGCGCAAGAATTCCGCCGGCCTTGAACTCAAACTCGGACTCAGTGTTAGCATGGGCCTTGTAGCCACCACTGGCGACGATGTCACTGTAGTTAGAGGAGCCACCGCCGTTCCAGGCAAGAAGCTAGCGAGATATGTTAGCCCAGTTCGTATCACGTTTGATGGGGAGATACATACGTTAGGGGTGTCAGCGGGGATATCAGTGAGGATGCCCTCAGTGGCAATGGAGATGATGTCCTTCTTCAGCTTCTCGGGAGTAAGCTCAACGGCAAAAGCACTCTCCTTGGAAGGCTGAAGGGAAACAAAGTACGCCAGGAGACCAGCAATGTGAGGAGAGGCCATGGAGGTACCAGAGATGGTGTTGACAGCGTGCTTGCTACCAATCCAGGTAGAAAGAATGTTGAGGCCGGGAGCAAAGATGTCAGTGCACTTTCCGTAGTTGGAGAAGTAAGCGCGCTCATCACCGAGAGTCGAAGCTCCGACAGTGACGGCCTTCTCAGCAGCAGCGGGAGAGTAGCTGCAGGCATCGGCGTTGTCATTACCAGCGGCAACAGCAAAGTGAACACCAGCCTCAACACCGGCATTGACAGCATCCTCGAGGGTCTTGGACTTGCCACCGCCGAGACTCATGTTGGCAACACTGCCCTTGAAGCCCTTGCCGCCCTTCTTGGCCTTCTTGATGTGAGATTCAACGGCCCACTCAACACCCTGGACAACATCTGCCATAGTACCGGAACCGCTCGACCTCAGGACCTTGACAGCGTAGAGGTTGGCCTTCTTCGAGACACCGTACTTTGTGCCACCGATGGTGCCTGAGCAGTGGGTTCCGTGTCCGTTGCCGTCAAGATCCTCGTCGTTGGTGGGGATTGTCTTGCCCCAGGTAGCACGGCCACCGAAATCCTCATGCTCGATATTGATACCAGTATCAATTGTGTAGACATCAACGCCCTCGCCACCTTCAGAGGCGTAGAGGTACTTGTTAAAGGTACCGAAGGAGAGTCTGTCCCGGTGAGAGATACGAGCCAGACCCCAGGGGGCGTTCTTCTCTACGGCAGAGTCCTCGAGAGTGTGGACTTCAGAGTTGCGCTCGATGTACTCGACCTATTTCAACCGGCCGTTAGATATGCTCTCGAATGCCGATTCTGAGGTTCACTTACGTCAGGGTGCTTGCGGATCTCCTCGATCGTGTCTTCATGGAAGTGACCGGAGTATCCCATCAGGGACCCAGCAATATTGAACGTACCCTTGAGACCCTCAAAGAGCTCATCGCCAAATCCAAATTCCAGGCCGAGGAACCGCTTCTTCAGATCCGATCGCCCGGACTGTTGGCTGTGGATGTCCTGCACCCAGCTTTGGTGAACCGACGCTGCATCGGAATCGACGTGCTTCTTAAAAACAACAATATAGGAGTCTGGAATCTCTTTGGCGTTTGTCGATGAGAGGATGGGGGCAGCTCCGTTGTGGATGGACTCGACGGCAACCGGAGAGGCCGCCGCGAGGAGAGGAAGCAAGGCAACGCCGAGGAAGCCTTTCATGATGGGCGGTGCGATAAGGATGAACCAGAACACAAGGACAAAAACAGAAGAAAGAGAGTGTAACAGTAGTAGAGAAATGAGATTCAAGTAGAGATGATGATGAGATGAGGATGAGGAGAGGGATGAGGAGGAGGTTGGAGGAGGAAGGAGAGGAGATACCCGAGCTCTTTATCAGCTGCAACAAGGCGATCCACACCTGGGCGATGATGCAACCGGGTTACGGTAATTTACGCGCCAGGTGACCTGACAACAAGGCTTTTGACTGGTGGTGGATCCGCCGAGAGGGGAAAAGTGGGACACCTGGGGTAAGTTACATACCGCCCATGCCTATCAGTAACAGCAATGGCGGCAGTGCGTGTCCCCATCACGCCTGATAAGCCGAGCATAGCATCAACAGATTGTGGCGGAGTGCTAGGGACTTACCAAAGGGCCGCTGCGTATCATGACAGTAAGTATGCTTGGGAGCTAATAATGGATCTTTGTTACTAGGCTCGGTTCGAGACGATGCCTGTGTATGCCTTCCTGAAGCTGTTGACAGAGGGCCAAACCACGTGCGGAGAACACTGATCCTTGGGGCGCTCGGGGTGACTCAACATCACCAAGCTCCAGGCACCAGGAGCCGGAGGAACTTGGTGAACAGTTCCTCCACCAGAACAGCTTAGCGTGACGAGGCAAAACCTGGTCACTTGGCCAGCTTCCTTTCCCTGACAACCGAGCCGATGCTGATTGCTGACGGGTCGCTGATCTTGCTTCATTCTTCCCAGTTCCAGTTGACCTTGTGTCCCGGGTTCGTCACCGAGCTTAATCGAGCCGTTGTCCCTGAGCTATCGGCCTCCCTTGCAGCAACCACCGCTTTCTTCCAATCATGCAACTTTGAAGTTTGGCCATCACGTCTTATCTCCTGAGCTGAACTAAGCAGAGCAGATTGCTCAAAATTTGGCGTCAGAAGGACCCTTGGGCGAACCGAGATGTCAACCCTGGAAGCGAAGGGAATTGGAATCTTTCTGAGACTTAGTAGTCTCTTCCACGCCTTTTACCCAGGGACTCTGCACACTATCTCCAGTAGTACTACGGAGTACTGTCCTTCCCCTCGGTGCACGTGAGCAGAACCCACTACCACTTAGTACAACCGAAGTACAGCATCAACAACACTAAGCAGGGCACATAGAGCAAACAACCGTCCCACCATTCCTGATCTCTGCATCATTTGACGCTATTCCAAACATTGTTTGATAATCAGCATTTAATGGATCCCGAATGAGTCTCATCTGGCAATGTGGCTACTTCCTGGATTATCTGAGCTTTGACAACATATCTACTTGTGACGTAGGGCTCTATTTGTCCCTCCAGTCCATGTGCTACCCCGTACATTTGCAACAAGATCTAACTATGATGCTTTGCAGAGTATCCATGTACAGCTCAGAACATATAAGGTCTGACCACCAGCTACTCCGTAGTGAAGCTGTTCAACCCAAAGGGACCATTTGGCCAGTTTCAGTGACCATTCCTTCCTCGCCTTTGCTCGATCATAAATTTAAGTTGCAGGAATCGAATCGGCGAGTGCCCGATTTCGAGGGCGTCGTGATCTGGCAGTCTTCCAGGAGCTTTCCCTACAAACCCGCCAAACCTCTTTGGTTGTTCACACAGTAGTTGCCGCCTCTTGTGGGGAGCTCTCCAAGGCCCTCTCTCTGGACACTCCGCTGTATGGTCACCCCCTTTGGCCTCCTTCTGTTCGTCCGAGAGGCTCTGTGCAATGGGTGTCCGGATTATATGCTTGAGATCAAATAGTCTGCCTCAAAGAGATGGATGCCCATTCACGTGACTCGTGTATGTACCACTAGTGCAGATCTTCCGGGGGCATCCGAGAACCGACGCGCGACCAAGTCCACGATGGATCCACGCGGATTTCACAGCCGATCTAGATTTCTGCGTTCCAAGCTTTAAAAGCCCGAGGTTTGCTTGATCTGGGGCTCGGAAGGCAATGGATAACTGTCTGGCCTGTCACCAACGAATCATGGATAGTATTGCGTTCACTGATTCCATCAAGCCCTACCCGCGAGAGGTAATGTGGTGATATCACAGCCGCCATTTCACGATCTTACATCGTCATACACTACGCACTGCGCGGTGCCAATGGCAAAAATTGAGCTTTGCGGCTCGAGTTGAGGATGAGAATGCTCGGCACTGCGATATTATTCGCCTGGCAGCTTCTTTTTCTAGTCACTAGAGCTTCTATTGGCTTTCTTGGAAGCATGTCGTGATGCAAGACTCAACTCGAGCTTTCGCACAATGGGATGAGGTTTCCGTAGCTCCCTACGTTTTGTGCAATTGCATCATGTCGTTTTATCTACGTCGTTCTGACGGAAGGAAATCTCACCCGGTCTCCATGGTTCTTCTTTAAGGTGGTTCTCTCACCCTGTTGAGCTGAGGAGAAAAAAAATCTGTTACTACCTCTGCCGTGACAGCCTCATAAACTCTCCACTTACCACACAAAAACACTCCCAGCCCTATTCCAATCACCATGCGCGTGTTCAAGTTCCTGAGCGGCCTGCTGCTTGCAGGAGCTGCAGTTGCCCAGAACGCCACCGGCAGCTGTACGGCTAGCTCTGCTGACACCGAAGTCGTGAGATATGCGTGGGCCTTGCAATCTTTGCTCGAGAGATACTACGGCTCCCAGCCTCTCAACCAGACTTTCCTAAGCGATGCCACCAACAGTACGACGGCCGAGTATTCCCAGAACCTCCAGGGCATCCAGCGCCAGAACCGCCTCGGCCTCCGTGCTGTGCAGCTCATCGCAGCCAAGACCGGAAACTTTTCCAGACCGACTTGCAACTTCACATTCCCCAATGCCACCAGCGGCGAGGACTACGTGAAGAATGCCCTCAAGCTCGAGACCAACGTCGCGAGCGCCCTCATCGGCGCGACAGGATATACTCAGTCTCCCGAGGTCTCCTTCCTGCTTGCTAGGCTAGCTGCCCAGCATACCGCCGACGCAACCTGGCTCGCCACTCAGCAGAAGGGTCTTATTTTTCCGACAAACATTTCCTCCCTGGCGCCGGCGTACAACCCGTCGTACGTTCTCGGCTCGGGCAACCAGACCGGCAGACTCGGCCAGTACCTCAGGGGCTGTGTGAGCGCTCCGTCGTCTCCTTGTCATGAGACCTTCTTCATTGGGCCTCTCATTGGCAGTTCTGGCAACCGGACATCTGCAACCGAGGGGTCGACTAGCTCTGCGTCTGTCTCGCCAACTGCCCGTGCACTGCGCTGGGGTCATTAAACTGGCCGCTACCGCGCTTCTCGCCTCTGCTAAGAACGGAGTGGGCAATGTTATAGTAATTCCGGGTCTTATCCTGAGCTACAGGGTTCATTCCGAAGTGTACGGTGTTTAATTTTGATATATGTATGTTATCTAATTGAAGGTGTAATGATGTATCAAGACGGACGCGCGTAGTGTATCCATCGAAATGTATTGTTTCTATCAGAATCCTCTTAATCTAGCTTTTAGCCAGTGGATTGTGGTTTGGAGCCCCCCGTGCAGTTCACAGGAGATGGAGCAATCTGTTCCCCAATACGATGGTACAGCCCAACAAACCAGACGTCTATCCTACAGGTAGGCAACACCAAGTCCGTAAGGCAGTGTACGTTCAAGTGCAAGTCCAGCCAAAGTCAAACTCCCATACTAATACATTCAGAAAGGAGAACAACACAGCCAAAAAATCTAGCCGAGAGCCCATATCATAATTCATAACGCACCAGCATCAGCATCAGCAACATCCACCCGTCCCCATCTCGTTCAAATCTCTTAACATCCACCACCACCACCACCACCACCTCCATCTCCTCCTCCACCTCCACCACCACCATCACCGCCACCTCCGCCATCCCCTCCCCAGAATCCGGAAACCCCGGAGGTACCCCCTCTGCGCTTCTTAGCGGGCTTCTGGTAATATCTGCTGTGGTAGCCGCTATGGTAGCCGGGGTTGTAGTTGTAGCGCATTTGCGGCGCGGGCGCGTAGACGTCGTAGCCGTATTTGCGGTTCTTGCTCGAGTCGCGGAAACACATTATTACCCAAGTTGTGTCTGGTAGATCTTTTTTTGTGTTGTTTGGTTGTATTTCGTTGGTGGAGAATGTTGGTTCGTAGAGATAGAGATTTGGTTTGAGATAAGGTGGGATAGATAGAGCGTAGAGGGAGTAAATGAATAGTCTTTGGCCAGAGAAGGATCGTATGAAGTTTCTTGTCTTGATCGATCGCTTTGTGTGGTGATGAAAGCTATCTCTGTTCCAGGGAAATAGAGCAATATATACTGCAAAATTCTCCAACCCTGCCTGCCCTCCATCATCGCAACATGTATTCTAAAATAAGTAAAAGTAAAACGAATCAAAACCGAGCAAGCTTTCTGCTTTCTCATTAATTCACCACCACCTCGAATGCAGCCTAGAGACAGGGCCGGGTCGTAAGACCATTTCCGGTTTAGGAATAACTCAGCGCTCCTGGATCAGCACTCGCTGGCTGGCGGTGGCGGCTGAGCCTTGCTCGTTAGCTAAGTTATGTTGCCCCAGGCGTGGCTATGCGGGCCTGGTGCAGACGCAGTGGGGTCGATGATCGATCAGATGAGCCTCGTTATACCCCGGTCCCTGGCTTTTATCACGTGTTGTGATAAGGAATGGAAGTACCTGTGTAGACATACGATGTAGGCGCAAAATGCCAACGTCATTGACACGCGCCAGAAACCGGGGTAGTTAATATTTTGAGTGGCGCCTAACAACAAGGCTCACCACCCTCGCCTGCACGACGATCCTCCCTTGGCCACCACGCCCGGGGCAACACAACTACGTAGATGACAAGGTACAATGCAGGGCCAGCAAAATAGCCGGCGCCTAATGTCACCAAAACTGGAAGTGACCCTAATGTCAAAGCTTGTAGGGCTTGGTTTGCTTTACTTATTTTAGAATAATGCGATGCCTTCAAGAACGATATGTAGTTGATTTGGAGGAGTATATAAGTGGTTTCCTCGATCCCAACCGATTGAGGGAGAGATCCTCAGTTACAAGACAAGAAGATCAAATCAAGAAGCCACATGTGCGCTTTCCTCTATTCTGTTCTAAGAAAACAATCTTATACCAGTTGTTTTTACAGATGAAATAAATATCCACAATGTGTTTCCACGACTGGGCCACAAATATGACAACAAGGACAGCAATAACTACACCCCCGCGGCGCAAATGCGCTATAAGACCAGCATACCCAGCGACCATAGCAGCAGTGATTCCTATTCCTCCCAGGGCCCTGCCCAGAAACCTCCCAAGCAACGAAACGCAAAGGGCATTTTGTTTGGGATCACCTACGGGTTTTCTGGCTGGCAAGCAAATAGAGGAGGCGGCGGGTTCAGTGGTGGTTTTCAAGAAACGGTACAGGTTTGAAAACGAAGGAGCAAGAAGGACAAAGGCATTTATGGGATGTTGATGCGTTATGGAGTATTGTATACTGTCATGTTCTGGGTAGATGCCTTTGCCCCTACTAGGTGGCCCTATGGTTCGCTCAGTCGTAGCTGGATATAGCTTTGAGATTGAATGAACTTTAGCAAGCAGGAAAAAAGGCGGAGCGCAGCTTATAGTAGGGGCAACAAACAGAAGGGAAGTCGTGGACGGAGGAAGAAGAAAAGAAGATTAGGAGGAGCCACAAGACGCGAGGCTTCCCTATTTTGATGTCGGCAATCTAACTTTTAGGTTCACGAGTGGCATGATAAATCCTCTCCGATGGCAATCTTTGAATTGAAATCAAGTTATCTAGCTTTCGTTACTTTGACATACCAGCTACTCGAAATTATTACTGCCTCCAGCAACAGGGACATCCTACATTTATCCTTCATGGCATACATTATTACGCGAGCGGAATGTCCTCCGTGAAGGCCTCCTGCGTAGACCAGGCATAAGCTCATTCTGGGGCGTTTGTCCATGAATGGCATGCAAAGAGACTTCGGTAGCGCTGAGGAAGCTTGAAGATGCAGGTGGCGGCATATAGCCATTGCCCGTTCCGGTTGGCGCACGCATAGATGTACGGCCCGAGCTCGTATGTGGATGGTGCCCAGATCCCAGAAGAGCATGCTGCTGCGCATGTGCTGATCTGTAGCCGTGAAGGCCCTGCGAAGATATCATCGCATTATTAGGATAAGCCTCCTGCTCAGTACTCGAGTGAACGTAGGGCTCCATCCCGGCAAAGGCAAGATCATAGCCGTCTAACCTAAGGATATACCCCTCATCATGCTGCTGGAGATGCCCATGCCCATCTCGCTCCTCCTCATCCGTATTCTCCTTATTCTCCTCCGGCGAGAGGAACCGGTCTGGCGATGACGCCCAAGTCCCCTCTCTGTCACCATCACCATCCATGTTCGTATCCATATCCATATCCATCGCCATAGTTATATCATGTGTATCCTCGTAGATGACGAATGACGTTTGGGCGCTGGATGTGCCTCGCGAGGACGAGGTCTGCGATGGAACCGCGGCCGGAAAAAATGGGCCTTCGGGGAAATATATGAATGGTGCCTGCGGACGATGGTGCATCAGGTCTTGAATCGGGTAGTGCGGGGGGTTGCCATTGTCGTTCGAGGCATCGGTTTCGTCGTTGTTATTGTCAATGTCCATGTCAACATCAAGACCCATGTAACTACTTGGACACAGCGCAGGTGTACCGTTCTCCTCGCCGCGAGACCACACGCCCGAACTCGAAGAGCCCACCCCCTGCGACGAGTCAAGAACACTCGGAAACGAAGCCCTCTTCGAAACACCACCTCCGTTATCAGGCCCAGTTACATCCACCGCAGATACACCCTCCGCAACTTGATCCTTGCAACCCTCCACCTGAAGCGAGCCCTTCCTCCCCAGTACCGGAACCGATAGTGAAGTGCGGACTCGTTTCCTTGGCGGAAGGGCGAGATGTAGTTCTCCGTCTCGCTGTCGGTCTCGAGGTCGATGTCCATGTGGGTCGCCATCGTTCGGGGTACTGTGATTGTTGTCACGGTGTTTATTGTCGGACTGGTAGTTGTGAGGATGCTGGATGGTAGTTGCGGAAGTAGTATCCTTTCTGTTACCGTCGCGGCTACCAGTACCAGCTCTGTCGCCGTCATCGTCATAGGCAGCTTCAGACGCGGAACGCTTTCCTGGACGGAGCTTGAAGGTTGGGCGTGGTGGACCACGGATCTATAAAGTTATTTAGTAAACAAACTTTTTGTTGACAATAAAGGTTCGGCTCATTGAAGCCTGTATCTGGGAAGAAGGACTCACGATCGGGTCTATGTCTAGACAGAGCTGGAGGTCGATCTCGTCCATCATACTTCGTGCTGTGGGGTAGTGCATTGCATTGTTAGATCGCCTGAGACGAGGATGTGGGGTTAGATCGGAGATGGAGAAGGAAGTGTGCATATTTCCCTAGTTGGTGAGTGCATGTGTTTCGAGTGCGGGTGTGGTGATGAGGCAGATTGTAGAGGCTGGGGAGTGGGTGAGCAGATTTGCTGGCTTGTCTGCGTGAGCCCATGCATTCAACAAACCACTTACACCGGGAGCCTGCAAGCCTCTCACGAGCCTGGGTATGATGGAAGAATGGCAAGAGTATACAGTGTTGATGAAACAGAGATGGGAAACGAGCTGAAGGACAAGATGAGGATTGGAATGGCAGGCTACGGAGTAGTAGATGATAAAGGTTGAGAATATTTACTTAGAGGAGCAACACCCGCTTAGCTATCCTATGCAAGGTCCCGCCACCACACTTGGGCAGTCTACAAGAAACAGCACTCTGTCCGCAATAGATTGATTGGGGTTTATCTCGGCCTAGATAAAGACGAACTTTCGCAAAAATCCGCGTACATGACCTGAGATATCGACAATCGCTATTACTCTCACATGGGTTCTGGATGTGGATGGTTCCCTGGTTCAGCGGCACATTAAGAACAATATACAGACTTGGCGTGCGCCTCCAATCCTCAGACGTCGGAAAGGCAAGTTGATGAGCTCTCATTCGCCCCTACATCGTACGGCCGTGCCTTATCTAAACTGTCTCGGTCCTACCATGCCACCGCCCCTCGCATCGCCTCCGCCAACCTGTCCAAACATATCGAGCAAGTGCCTAGACGACGGTGGGGGTCCCTGGAGACCTGGGTTCCCATCAAATGGACCCATTAGGTTCTCTCCGCCGTGCGGCATAGGTGGGAAACCGGAAGGTGGGGGACCGTTCATAAATCCGGGAGGTGGTATCATTCCGGGCGGAGGACCACGCGGGAACGGCTGGCGATCGTTGATAGGCAGGTTTCCATGTAGCGGCATAACGTTGGGAATATAGTTAGGGTTGACGCCTCTGTTCGGAGTTGGAATCCCAGGGGGAGCTAGAGGACCGGGAGGACCAGCTTGCTGTGGCGGAGGCAGATGGCCTCCCCAGCCTGGAGGCGGCATGTGCTCGAAGCCAGGAGGACGTTGGATGCCCATACCAGGTGGTGCTTGTCCTTGTGGACCGCGACCACCACCAGGAGTCACTGGAACCTGGGCCGCTTGCGGGAAGGGAACTTCATCAAAGTATCCCAATGGTGGCCCGTTCCTTCGTCGAAGCTGCTCAACATCAGATCTCTGCATAGTAGCAATAGCAGGGTCATCCAGGAAGTTGGGTCCCTTCATAGCAGGACCAGGATGCCCAATTCCAGGAGGGTGTGGCATTGCATCCGGAATATTCATTAATCCAGGAGTTGGGCCAGCGCTTTGTGGCTGGTGCTGAGGACCTTGGCCTTGGCCACTACCAGGACTAACCCTGACCTGTTGCATCAATCGGAGCAAATGCTCACGGTCTCGTGGCTGGGGTTCCTGGCTATACATGTTTTCCTTTAGGCCTGGCTCTGGGCCACGGGATGGCGTGTCCTGGAAAGGCATTTGCATTAGTTCCGGGCGCTGACCCTGTTCCCGCAAAGGAGACGCCACTGGGCTTCGAGTTTGTTCGGCTGGAACCATCGAAGGCTGGCGATTGGCTTGGATATTGATCTGAGCTGGGTCATTATGCGGCGTAGCATTGTGCGACTTGCCTCCGCCAAGCATTTGTAAGATGCGCTGGAACCCCTCCTGATCCGCATCGGTGGACGAGGGATTGATGGGCATTGGGGGAGGAGCAGGCGACTTGGAACTGATTGGCGATTCGGGCTCTTTGCCAGGGCTTCCCAGCGGAGGACTGAAAAGACCAGCAAAGCGAGAAGATTTGCCAGGCTTTCCTAAGAATGCCGCAGCCTCCTTCTTGATGGCCGGCTCTGCCGGAAGAGGCACACCCATATCTTGGGCATGCTTTGCGTCACCCAAAAGGCCAAAAAAGCGCTCCATTGTCGAGTGCTGAAGAGCAGCGCCGCTAGGACTAAAGATCTCGCCATCGGTAGGCCTGCTCTCCGAGTTCTGTACAGGTTCGGGAATCTGCTCGATATGTGATTCCTTCTTCTCTTCCGGTGGAGGCTGGGAAGATCCGGCTTTCATCTTCTCCTTCCAGCGCTCGAAATCTTCTTGTGTATGGACTCTACGAGATTCATCCCGGTCCGTTGAATCCAGCCACTCTGGCTCTTGTTCCAACTTGCCTCCTCGGTTCCAGTCACGATCAGCACCTTGTCTGTCACGGCGCCAGTCACGGCTGCGGAGCGAAGCCTTCTCCTCTTCCGTGTCAGGTGCTTCCTGTGTGCTGTCATCGCGGAACCAACTGCCTTCGTGTCTAGCGCGCCCTGGTGGAACCTCTCGCCGAGTGAAGAAGCGCCCGTCTTTATCTTTCGCGGCACGGTCAGAGTTGGGGTCGCGCGGGTCACGAGTCTCCCATCGGTCGAACTCTCCGTTGCGTCGTGGTTTTCTTTCTTGTTCATCGGGGCCTAGAGTGCGGCGTGGGCGGCCGTTATTCCAATCTTCCTTCTCCCCGCGTCGGTTATTAAACGTTCCCATCTTGCCATCGCGACCCGCAAAGTCTCGGTCTCCACTATCTCGTTCTTTGAAGAACTTGTCTCGGAGGTTGAAATTACTGTTTTTGGGGTCATCCGACTCGCCTTGCCTCAAAGGCCGTTCCGTAGCGTCAATAGATCCTTTACCGGGTATGCGAGAGGCGGAAGCGAAGGCAGTCTTAGGCGGTCCGAGTATGATATCCTCTGCGCAGAGTTAGAATCATATTTTCCAACGAGGCTCGATCCAATCGTCGACAGCCAGCTCTCACCTGAAGCGGAGTTGCGGGAGATATGACGGGTCTCGAAAAGGCTTGGCCTCCGACCCGACGGTTCGGCATTATTGCTGGATTTTCTTTGTGTTGTCGGATCGGGGAGTGGGCTATACAACAATTGACAGTCAGTAATCGGCGCTCATAACATGAGATTTATAATGAGCAAAGCGTTGTAGAGAGCTCTGTACCCCATCCAATCTTCTACCGGAGGCAGATTAGCTGGCCTCGTGACCAGTGGCGATGAGCGCAGCCATAGCAGCTCATCAATATCGTAGCGTCGCGCCATCGCTATGGCAGAGTGTTATGTGTTATTCCCAGGCTCTCACGAATTTTTCATTGGATCCGACCGCTTGAGACGCTGGGAGAGGAGTTGTTATTGCCAGTCGCTAGCTGTGCGTCGGAGCTGCGGCGACGAAGGCGGAGGAAAGACAATTGGAGGGGAGGTGAAGGCAGGTAAGGTGATAAATGATGATCGGACGGTGTAGCGACGGGAAAGGATTGCCAAAATCAAGTGCTAAGACTCGTGGTGCAAGGGGAAAGTGGTCGCTTGGTCGGGAAAAGTCAGGTCGGAGGTTGAGGTGCGGATGAGGGGCAGGAGATTGCCGAGCTGGCAGCAGGCGAGAGGAGAGGGAAGAATCTGGGGGGAGAGGTGTTTCTAGCGATTTGCAATGAAGAGAAATTGTATAACAGTGAAGCTTTGGAGGACCGGGTTGAGTAGGGATGGGAGGAAAGCAAAAGGTCGGTCGGTGGGTGAGCAATGCAGGTTGTTGAAGTCTGAAGTTTCGCACTTCTCAAAAGGGAGAGAAAACGGCCAACAGCACAACAGCGCCCACCACCGGGTCCACGTAGGCCACACAACAGTGCTCCATGTTACAGTGCCAGCATCACGAACCGCATGGAAAAGCGCTGGAATTGATTATCCGTTGGGAATAGAAGCATATAATCCACGTAAATCCAGAGAAACCTATGTGGACATTTTGCAAGGCCAACAATACCAACTATGCTCTGGCTAAGAATGCTATATGGGTATAATATCCAGTATCTCTTCCATTGACATCTACACAGTGATGTGTTCAACAGCGCGTGACACTGCCCCTCCACTCCACGTCTCCGCCCGGTCGCGGTCCGAAGATTCATATAACGACTGCGCCATGACCGTGAGAACCGAGGCGTCTCTGCCAGTCACCTCTGGGAGCTGACACTGTATCCAGCTGATGATCCCCGCTCGCGTGATAAGCGTTGTGCTCCCTTGGACTTGGACCGCCCGGTAGACAAGGTGCAGCACTTTTCTCTTCGCGGAGAAGCCGGCGCTCGGGGACTCGTAGAAGGCCAGTACTCGCTCGAAAACGTTGGCTCGGCGGTAGATTTCCATATCCTATATGTGTTAGATTAAGAACTTCTGACCAGGGGTTACGGATAACGAACTCTTTCCGTGCGGAGGCCCTTTCTGAGCAGATCCAGTAACCAGCTGATTTCCTCGAAATATCCGTCGTCCAATTCCGGCTCATGCAGGAAGATCTTATCGATCCAGTACGAGGGAATCTTCTCTACCTCCCATGAAGGGGCCTTTTGGAGGAACTTGTTGACCTTTCCGTAGAGCTTATGCATAGGATCCAAGAGAACAGAGAGACAGTTGGCAGCACACTCGCCTACGATCCAAGGCACAGGCGAGTCGAGTCCGATCTGTTTCACTGTTTCGAGCAGTTCTCCTGAAAGAGTATAGGCGGTTCGCCATTCAGGGTAGCTGGATTCCTATTATGGGGTTAGCACAGCAATAATTGGTAAACCCGAGAAAGGTTACCTTCAGCTTCGACATGAAGCGCGATATACTCGGCAGCGCCTGGCGTCGAACCTCTTCGTGCTCAGAGCACAAGCAAAGGAAGAGTTCTGAAATTCGGCCCTGTTCCAAAGAAACCTCCAACTCCTTCTGCTCCCATCGGTAGAGTTCATTGTGAGTAGTACCCTCGACAGGTAGAGCGCCAAACATCTCTTCAAGATCCACCTCGTATTTGTCTTTCTTCGAGTCCGAGACAGTCTGCTTGGATGCTTCAGAATCCTTCATCTCAACATCCTGCTCGACCTCCTCAACGCCCTTCAAAGCCTTCTTCACTCGCGATCTAAGCTTCTTGTCCTCCGTGGCATCGACCAAAGCATCACGAGCAGCCTTCAAACCTCGCAGATCCTCACCTGCCGAGCCAAGCTTCGCAAGCAAGCTAGCCACATATTCAGCGACAGCCCTCTCAGCGCTTGCATTTCCAGCTTTGAAGATGAACGGCCACTGTTCGACTGTAGCCGCCACAAGAGGACTGAGTGATTGGGTTGATTCAAACAGAGATCCGAGTAGATCGTAATAATGGACAGGCTTTTTCACTATTCGGCACGCGCAGTTATCGAAGAAGGCGAGCTGATGCTGGAGTGTTTCGGAATCTGATGAGTCGAAGCTTGACAAAAGCGCGGAGAAAGACGAGGGGAGAATGACGGAGGATTCAGCAAGGACATTTTTGAGGAGATTGTTGGTCTCGCTGAGTGATTCCTTGGAGGCGGCATTGATGCAGACCTTCAAAATGGATGTGAAAGCGGAGAGTTTCATGGATCCTGCTAGCGAATTAGATATGACTACTAAATCAGAATTCGGGGTATATTTACCAGGTTGTTGCCACCAACGCAGAGACGCTGACTGTTGAGCAATCTTGAGGATATTCTGCAGTTGGCTGAGCAAGAGCTCAGTGTCATCCGCATCAAGATTCCCCTCATCCAGCCGCTTCAGCAGATCAACAAGAACCAGCGAAACGTCGAAACTCTCCTCAAGAGCAGCATCCGGGATGACTTCGTAGAAGCAAGCAAGCATCTCCATGACCGCATCTTGCTGCTGCAGGTCGTCCTTGGCTGTTCTTCGGAACAGAGTCAAAACATCCTTGACCAAGGGGCATCGGTGACAGAACTCCACGACCAACTTGTCCGCAGCCTGCGTCCAGAGTGATTGGCTGACTCCGTGATCGGCGCGGAAGATTTTGAGGACTGCCCGCAGTTTAGTGAATGAAAGTGACAGGATCCTGACGGCGAAGAGCGTGATAATCTCCGCGTTCATATTCAGGCAGCGAGACAGAACCTTCTGTGTAAGCGGACGGGGTAGGATGCTCTCGATGACCACCGAGACTGGCGGTGGCATGGCGGGTAGCTTGTCCTTCCATCCGCAGTTCCTGAGAACAGGCAGGGTAACCGTCGAGAAAAGGACAGTAGACTCTGCCAACCACGCCGGCGTCGGTTTCGGATCGGCCATGAACATGGACTTTTTGGTAAAATAGTCAGCGACCAGCTCCGGCGCTGCTTTGAAGATCGCTAGCAAGAGCTCAATCTGGAGACTGTCGGAGTCGGGCCGAAGGACCTGAATTAGGTAGGACAGAATTCCGTTCCGGATAGGCACGGACTCTCGGTACTTGTCCACATAAACCGCAGAGTCGAGTCCCAGGTCGATAGATGCCTCATCGTCCGCAGGAAGCGACTCGGGGTCACTTCCATTGGGATACCAGCCTGTTTCAGAGAGCAAGACTCCATGCTCGGTTTTGGTGCAGACGGTCATGAGGATTTTATGGATCTCGTCAGCAAGTGACACATCAGTTGTGTTTTCCTGCTCAGATTCCCGGTCATAGCCGTAGAGAGTGACGAGCCGCTCCAGGTTATATCGGCTGAAGAACTTCGTCTTCGTGGTCCGTGGAAGAGCACTGTCCTGAATAACGTCCCTCTCAATCGCCCTCACAACGTCGATGACAATATCTCGCGGATCTTTCCTTAGATGCTCAAGGAACGCCTTCATCACCTTCTGCTGCTCAATGATATCGGTCTTATTGGAGGCATTCTGGAACCTCAGATTCGCCAGGACATATCGCTGGGCATTCCGCCGCAGCGTCGATGCCCCTGAATCCTCAGCCGCCTCTTCCAGCTGCGCCTTATTCGGCGTCAGGAAGACATCAATGCGCTTGAATGTAATATGCCGCACAAGATAAAGCTGTCGAGCAAGAGCCCCGCCATCGAAACTGACAATCTCCGTCAAAAGACGCAGACACGGCGAGACCAGGTGCTCCTTAACTTTATTCGCAGTCAGCCCGCGATTAAAGAGCCGAAGCTGGTCCTTTGCCAGCAGATGCTTGCACAGGGCGATTCCGAACTCCCGGAATTCGAGATGGCTCGAGACGGTTTTGATGAAGAGCGCAAGCACAGAGGGGACATTGGTCAGTAATGCTTCAGTATTATTGCTGTCTGCGAAATTCCATGTCTGGATCAGGTCTGGGAAGCAGATTGCTTCTTCATTGCTGGGGGAGATTTGAGAGTCGCAGTAGGCCTTGAGGATGCGGAGTTTTTTGGCCTTCTCGCCCTCGTCTTCTGTTTGGCTTATTGAGTTGAGGAACTCTTTAAATTTGCGTACGCCTGGTTCGGAGGTTAGTAGGGTCATTTATGATTTCACGATAAGCTCACCCTGCTTTGCTTCTACGGGGTTTTGTTGGAACACCAAGAGGGCGCGTAGCTGCGTATGTGATGTTATGGATGATTCGCTCGACTCTTGCGGAGTGTCAATCTTTCTCCGCTTAGCTCCGCGATTATCGTGCGACATTGTGACTTTGAATATGATAAGATTATGTTGCTATGCTATGGCTCGAAGCCATCCGTAGAATAATTTGGGATCGGCGCAGCAAAAATCTACCTGTCCTCTTTCGGTAGTTTTCCAATGCCGCCTTAATAAGTCTTGAGGATCAACGATTTTCCAGCCCCGCACTCTCGCCGCTATAAGATGGCTCCATGTTAAAGAAACGCCCAGGTACAAGATCAATGTGCACATTTCCTGTTTTTGTTCGAATCATCCTTAAATCCCATAAATCGCATATATCTCAGTCCCGAATGATGAATCAAGATCCGGCAAATAACACCAAATAATCAAGATTCGTCGTTTGCTTCGTGATTTGCCCTCTCGCTGGCCATGATCTTCAGTGGCACCAGCTTCTTCCTGTCCCTCTTTTTGGACTTCACCCTCAGTTGGCCCTTCTGGTTTTCTTGAACGTCGGCGAACAATTTCAGGAGAGCAATGACAGAGTCTCGATTCTTCAGGACAGCGTCCCCCATGCTCCCCTTAATCTCCTCCGTCTTGGACGCCTGTAGCTTGAGCATTTGCTCGTCGATAGATCCCTTGACTACCATTTTCACGCATTCGACGGTCTGCGTCTGCCCTTGTCGAAGCAACCGGCAGAATGCCTGGTTCTGAATCGCCTCGTTCCACCAAAGGTCAACCAAAATACACTTATGCGCTGCCGTCATGTCGAGCCCTATTCCCCCAGCGCGAAGACTGACAATCAGAATAGTAATATCATCCTTCGTCTTGAATTCGTCTAGGTATTTGTGGCGTGTCGCTATTGCGACTTTGCCAGTCAACTGAAGATGAGTTAGTCGGAGCGCTGTATACACTATATGCCAATGGGATGTACATACGCAGCGATTTTCCCATTTTTCTTTTGTGCACATATCCGCTATGATTTGGGTCATGTCGGTGAACTGGCTAAATATCACAATCTTAGCCGCCGGGTTCTCGCTCTTCCATTCCTGGAGTATGTCTTTGATGCCAGCAATTTTTGCGGCGGGCATCCTTGTGGTATCGACCTGCATCCAGTCCTGAACCGCAATATCGTCTTCATCCTCGGGTTTTGCTGTGCTCCTACTCAGCTGTGCTCAAATCAACTCTGGGATATATGGAGTTCCCTTGGTTCTGCCTACCTTTCTTCTTGGCTTTCGCTTTTTCACTTGTCATGGCCTGTCTCCTCGCTTTTCGCTCGGCCGGTGTAACTGGTTGCTCTGGTCGCTCTGGTTCTTTTGCTGCATCAAAGCAGCAACGAGTTGCAGACTCTATTGGAAGCGTGCACTTGAGGCACACGAGCTGAGCTTGTTCCGGACTTTGGGGCTCCTGGCTCTGTGTTTCCACTCTTTCGGTGTTGATAGAGATTTGAGTGAAGCATTCCTCACACCATAGGTGCATACATGAGGTGATGACAGGTTTGTCTGGTGGTGAGCCGCACTTCGCGCATCCGCCCCTATCGAATGCCTCATCCCACTGTTGGTCCACATGAAGTTTCTTCATGAACCTTGAATACTCTCCAATGAGATGGATGTTGTCGTAGAACATGGGGTTGTCCACGGGACTCTGCTGTTCCTGTGCTTGTGTTTGGGCCTGATTCTGCTGGATCAGGTCCTTGTACCGATGCTGGGTCTTCTCGATAAACTCGACGATCTGGGCAGAGGCGTCCGCCGGATCAGCACCTCCTTCTCGTGTAAGCTTTTTGAGTTGCCCCAACAAAGTTCCCCGTAGGAGCTCCTTCAGAAGCTGCTGCACCGTTAGGGGGTGGCTACAGAACATTCGTAACCGTAAAAACAAGGTAAGGCATTGCCTGCATTGCTGCTCTTTGAAGCGGGATACGTCCCCAAGCGCTGTGCATTCCTTAGTCAGTATAAATGCCAACACAATTAGGTTCCAAATACGTGGGTTGCCAACCGTTGATACTATCTATGAAGAAGTGTTCGATCGCCTCATAGATCAGCCATTCCGCTTCTGAAAACTCGACCTCAACACTTCGTTCTTTGATGTCAGGGAGCTGAATAATTGGAAGAGAGAACAATCGGCTGCCATGGGTGCGGCGCATCATGAACGCTCTTAGGAGGTTTGTAAGGCGCTTTTCACCGGCTGCATCCTGAGAACCATCAATACCAAGGTCAAAGTATCCAGGCCAATGTTCTCACAGTGCAATAGTATGAGATGAAGTCTTCATACTCGCCAAGCTTGGGGACGCCAATGAAGGAAAGGAGAGGAAAGAACTCCTCCGTGTGGCTGGAACCACAGTATTAGCTTGTTTATCCCAAGTCTCCGTCATTGAGAACAACTTACTTGTGGATTGGAGTTCCGGACAAAATCCATTTGTGGCGGCCAGTCAAGCCGCGAACAGCAAGTGACACGCTTGAGTCTCTGTTCTTGATCATGTGGGCTTCTGTAGAATCAAGTCAGTAATGAGCCAAGAATGGGGTGCAAAAGCAAAGAAACTCGCCGTCTAGGACGATTCGAAGGAACTTGATTTTATGCAAGGGGCCGCAGTTCTCCTCGTATATCTGTTTCCAATGCTGTTCAAGCTGCCGCGGATCGGAAAGCTCTTTGGGGGGCTTGAAAACTGGGTACGAGCGGCGTATCTCATCGTAAGTCGTTATACTAGATTGTGTAAGTATGGCCCATATGCCTTTTTATCGACAACGCTTACATGATTTGATAGCTTTCGAGTTCCTTCTTGACATCCAATGATTCAAATCTGGAGCCTGCGCGCCACTGAATGACTCTGCCAAGGGCTTCACTATCACAGTGAATGCGAATTTGGTCCATCCTAGAGAAGAGTAAGCTATGGTGATGCCTGCCACGTATAGTCGCAACTCACCAATGCTTGCATAAGTGTGATGGCACGACAAGCAAAGTGGTTTTCACCGCGTCGTCTGGATCTGAGGGAGCTCCGTCGATAATGTTGACTACAACCACCATTAGAGTCGATTTTAGAGAATGTTGCCAAAAGGGAAACCTGCCCAAAGCCTGAAGACTCTTGCCGATACCCATCACGTCACCCAGTATACCACCTCGTGGCTCTTCAGGAGAGTTCTCTCGGTCACGCTTTCTGTATTAGCTCGACTGCTGGTAGAAAGCGAGAAGCTACTCACCATAAACGCGCAGCCCAAAACCTATGACTGTGTTAGTCGATGTTTTTTAAGGCAGGGAATAATGCTTCCTACCTGGTAATTAAACATGCTGGTCTTAACTCCTTTCATCTTCCAGCCACCTTGTTTATCGGACAAGACTCTGTGGTTGAACTTCCTCAGAGCCTCCTTCAGTTTATGTCCGTCACTTCTCGCCTCTTCCTGATCTGCGGCGGGAATAGCGGCAATCATCTGGAATACTGCCTGGTCTCTAGTCCCTGCAGTAAAGGTCTCAGGCGCTGCAAGCGTGGCACTATCATGGGCCTCTTGAATGACATTCGCTCGAAGATTCAAGAGAACGTCGGGTTCATCATCCGGGGTCTTCTTCTTCTCTTTTTTCCTGCTGGGTTCCGCATCTTTTTTGCCCTTCGTGGGAGCAGCCTTGCGCTTTGTACCCCGTCCCCCGGGTTGCTGGGTCTTACCTTTCGCCTTTCGTCGGATGGGTTCAAATCCCACTGCCATGCTTTTCCTCTTTTCTTCCGCAGTTATCTTGTTTTGGGCCTTTCTCTTTCTCGTAGGTCGGGCAGGAGTAGCCACAGGCTCAGCATTGTTTCCGCTAGATGGCTCTGTCGATGCTGAAGCTTCTGGTTCATCATTTTGACGAACGAACATCTCATCCTCAGATTCTTGGGCCTCGGCCTCAGCCTCCTCTTCAGCCTCCTTTTCCTTTTCCTTCTCCTGAAGGTGCTTCTGACTCTCAGACCTTTTATTACGGATCTCCAGCCGTCTCTTTGCTTTTGTGTAACGAACTTCGTCGGCAGGGGTCGGGTTTTGGAGCTGCTTATACCATTCCTCAACGGATTTCCATCTAGAAAGTGTAAGTAGCCTGCAAATATGACTATAGCCAATCACTCACTCTTTCAATTCGGCTTGATCTGCAGCTTCTCGGGCTGCCATTTCTTCATCTTCCTCTTCGTTTGCCCCCTGGTCTACTTCTGCTTGTTCCGCTTCTCCATAGTTGAACGTTCCAACAGCTGAGCCTGGGTAGTTATCTGGAAGCGTGTCCTGAAGATTGAATGTTTCGTCCGTAGCCTGCCCATCAATCCCGGCTAAGTGAGGTAGGGGAGGTACAATGCCGACACCGTTGTCGACGGCTGGGATTACCGAAGAATGAACCTGGCTGGTTGGGTCTATAGTCAAGGTAGTCAGTTTCCGGACAAGACTGGGAAGTAGAGTTGTCACTCACCAGGTATCTGTACGAAAGCGACGCGAGCTCGTGAAAATGCCTCTTTGGCGTATGCTGGATTCTTCCGCGCTAGGGCTGCGGCCAGCGAAGCGGCGTCTGGCTCCAGATTCTGGATAGGTTGTACGTCCATGTTGGGAGGTCGTGGTGACCGTAAGCCTGAGGCGTTGCTTGTTTGGGTGACGAGATGTGGAGGTCAGAGAAGGGTAGTGAGAGGAGACGAGGACAGACGAGCTGGCAGAAGATTGGAAAGGTGTGGTGAGTAGTGAGAAAGAAAGAGAGGGAAGAATATTGGAAAGTCGTAGTAGGCGATGTAAAAGAGGAAAGTGGCAGGGGAGGAAGAGGAGACTGAGATCGAGCTTGTAGGAGAGGAGGGATAAACTGGGACAGTCCTCGAGGGGAGCTGTGGCCTGGGGGGCTCGGCTGATGTCAAGGAGATGAGTGGAGAAGGAAGAAAGGGGACGGAGGAATAAAGATAGGGAGGCAGTATTTATAGTCGAGGATCCGGGGTAATGTGAGATACGAGAAGAGAAAACGTATTGCCAGCGGACTGTGGGCTGAAGCGACGAGGTTGTAGGAGGAACTGGGGGGTGATCGAACGATTTGATGTTTTTATAGTGAGGTGAGATGGGAGATGAGAGCACAGCTGAGACCAGAGGAACAGTATTGTGAGCATGCGTAGCCTCAAAGTCAAGCCGCAGAGGAAGAGAACATGCATGAAGTGAGCCGACCTCGAAGGAAAGGGAGCATGGAGTCATGAGGAATGATCTCTGGAGCGGGTCCCTCTCAGTGCAGCACATGGAGAAACTATAGATGATAGATCTCACTTGCGAGATAAGCTTAAATTAAGCTCAGCTCTGACAATTCAAAATGCCCTCGTTTCGAGGTCTAGAATCGTTGCCATCTCTCAGTCCGAAGTGACAGACTTGTGAGAGCACGTAGCATTTCCATCTGACCTATTGAGCACAATGAGCCCTGAGGGGACTCTTTCAAGTGTACCTCAGCTAAAATGACCTCTGCGATCCCACTAGCTGTCATGATATGACTTGAGAGGTTGAGGAGCGTATGAAGGGCTATGTAGGTCCGGCCCATGTACTTCATAGAGCCTGGGATTCTTCGTTTTGTACGCGTGCTTTTCTCGCCAAGTTCATAGGGGTACTGTATTGGCGTTTGAAGAGGCCTGCAAACACAGGGAAATGCTCTGCCTAAGCCGTGACTGGGTCGAATGGAGAATCTGGCTAATCGTCAGCTCCAGGCAGTGGCCACTCTACAACGGTGCTCAAGGGCGACGCGGCAGAAGACGGATGAAGCGGCTCGTCGATTGACGGCACCTTCCATCCCCTCACCCTCACCCTCATTGTTGAGGAGAGGCAATATGCGAGGGCGAGGTATTGATGTCCTACGATCAGAGCGTAGCTTTCTCAATAATGACCATAAAAGAAGTTATATTCATGCAATAAATAATCTTCAAACTATCCACACATACACACTGATGTACATATCTATTCAACCGGCGTAAAATACCTCTTAAATCGATCAATCTTCGTCAACCGCAACTCAACAATCACCCCATGACAACGCATCAACAGGCTTGGGAACTTGACAGTCCAGAAGTTCAGGTAGCCCTCAGGCAGCCCACCAACGTGGGCCTTCAGATGCTCCGGCATGTCATTGTAGTGGTTGCGCTTGTTGCGCAACGCTCGCAGGAGATCAAGCATCTTGGAGCCTGTGTACTTGCGCTGCTTGCCGAGGTTGTCCTTGAAATCCTTCGGTAGCAGTTTTAGGAAGTCCATATCCGGGCCGATGACATCTTCGGCGACGGACTCGAGGCACAGAAGAGCGTCAGATGGCGGGTCTCTCGGCTCAAACTCGAAATGGTCCGAAACGTCACAGAGAAAGCTGAGGCGGTCTGAGGGGTTCCAGAAGAAGGGATGGGTCAAGACGGCGCTTGCGTCGGGACTAGAAGGATTAGCATATCATAACTGAAAGAGGATGAAAGAAAACATACCGTTTACGTGGATCAAGCGACAGCATTGAGCGGATCAGATCATCAGCCTCAAACGCATATTCGCCAAGGAGCCGCAACTCATCAAGGTTAAAATTCCCCTTGACGATGTTGGCCTCGCGCATGAACTTGCCATTCTTGTCAAAGGGATGGCAGCCTCGAGTGAGCACATAATAAAACACGCAACCCAGAGAGAATATGTCGATCGCTCGGGTAGCTCGTCGATTGGTCTGAGGGTCCACAACTGCTGGCTCGGAGGATTCGGTATGCTGAGACTCGGAGCCCATCATTGCCGGTTCCTTGTCATCGTCCACAAGCAGTTCAGGAGCCCTCCAACCAGACGTACCAGCCGCATGAGCCGTGGTTGCCCGGAATGAGCTTTGGTTATCTTCCAGCTTCTTGCAAAGGCCAAAGTCTGAGATAAGAAGGCGGAGACCCCGGGTACCGGTGCGGCCGCGGGGAGTAGCAACCAGAATGTTCTGAGGTTTGAGATCGCGATGCACGATTTTCAACGAGTGAAGGTACCGTACACCGGCGACAATCTGGCGAAGGATGTCCGGCATGTCCAAGCCTCCTTGGACCAATTGGGGATGATCACCTGGGCGCTCCACTACATCCTGCAGAGAACCAGGACACAGCTCCAACGCGATGTAGAAGAATCCAGCTGCCTGCTCCCGGCAATAGTATCGAATCACGTTATTGTGGTCATCGCTTTCTTGAAGAAGTCCAACTTCATGGGAGGCAATGTCATAGAATTCAACCAACATACGCTTGACTGCAACATCGCGTCCATCGAATGAGCCTCGGTACACGACAGTTCCGTGGCTTCCATGACCGAGAACGTGTGTTGTGAAAACTTTCAAGCGACCTATCTGGATGACGCCATCCATCTCAATGACCTCGTTGGAAGCAGTACGGGTCAATGCCAGCCCGGCTGTAGGCTGCAATCCATTTTCAGCGTGATCGGAGTCCTCTTTGACACTGTCTTCAGATTTCTTAGATCCACGTTTGTGGCTCTTGCCGCCGCGACGGCCACGGGGACGTTTCTTCTTAGCAGGTTTGTCTGCATCTTGTAGCGAGAGCTCCTCCACGTCATCGTCGCCATCTGGGTCTCGCGAGGGCTCGCGGATGCGAACCCTGGGGGTACTGTCAGGCACGAGAGAGTTCCGGTTTTTACTCGGTTTTGGAGTCATATCTCCGTCATTTTGAGGCTCATCCTCTACGTTGATATCGACCGTCACATTTTTCACAGAACGAACTGTGCTAGGCTCTCGTTTTAAACCATGTGAGTCGAGAATTGGTGTCGATGGAGTAGACAGCGGCCCTTGCCCATACGCGGAGATGATGTTTTTAAGGTCCATCTTTTGCTTGGCGAGCTCTTTTAGGTTGTGAGTGTTGGACCAGATAAATGTACCAAAGACGAGAAGGATTAGTACGACGAAAATGTCGACCGCATTGTCCCATCCTTTGCGGATAATTGCACTGTGGCGCAAGGCCGGTGGCAGAGCCAGCTCTGACGGGCTACGGATGATTTCCCTCGGAGTATCGTTGGAATAATCAGCAGATGGCGAGCCTGATATGCTAGGGATATGACGACGAGGCATCCTTGGGCTGTTGAGAGAGTGGACGCCTGCGAGCGCATCCCTTTGCTGGCTCGGCGTCAAGCTCATCAGAGGCTCTCCACGGCGAAAGTAGTCTTTCTCATAGTACTGGGCTACCTTGGCTCTGCCAGTGACAAGTGGGTATGTGTCTTCGGACATGGCATACCAGCCGCCCCCTTCAGTGCAGTCAATGAATACGCGGTCATTGCGTTCGTCAAGGGAGCCGTAGTCTGGATCGGGAGGTTGCTGTGGTTGGGAGAGAAGAATGAGAGGCTTGGGTCCGTCGGTCTTGTCAACACTGATTGGGCGAGCAACGTCGAAAACGCGTACCACGGGGGATGAGAACCGTTGGGTGTATCGAGGGCGCTCCATATGAGAATGATCGAAGCCCAGAACCACTCCATCATGCATACTATATATATGGCTCTGGTCCATTGTTTGTATATACTGGCTCTGTAAATCCATATCGCGGTTATTGGTCGTCCATTCGGAGTACTTTAGGGTACAAATCGGATCTCCGGTCTCGGTGTTTTGGATAGCCACGGCATACTCGACTCGACCTAACACCAAAGTCCCCGAAGGGGACTCACAATCCTCTGGATCGGCATCCAGATCATCAACCTTGCGGCACTCCGGTCCCGAAGGAATCGGACCCCGCGAGCTAAACACTCGCAAAATAGAACCAGTCCGAGCATCAATGGTATATAGTGTGGTTTCTTTGCGAGCGGTATAGGTAACGGCAGGATCGGTTCCGGAGTAAGGTGTCTCGTCCACAAGGTCCTTGACGGTCAAACCGAGCTGCTGCAGGCCCGCATGCGGGTCAGGACTGAAGATATAGAGACTGCCATCCTGGCTAGGCTCAACTATCCAGATGAAATCATCTTCAGGTTGAGTACTGTCAAAGCTCGAGCGATTCGCTCGATGGTATATGCTCTCGACCATGGGGCTACTGGGAACCTCGAGGGCCCAGCGGGGAGCTCCAGTTTTGCGGTCTCGAGCGTGAATGGTACCATCGACGGTCGCCAGCAGAACAAAGTCCTCAACCTCCCAGTCCTGAAGCGACCGCGCATGCAGCTGCGGTGCAAGGCCGGCAGAGGCACTGCTGGCCTGGGCGGGAGGGGCTCGAACGGCGCGGCCGGAGCCCGCCAGAGCCAGGGTTGCTAGGGCGCTCGCATCGTTGGACTTCACGTTCAACGCGGAGGGAGGGGAATGGTATACGGGAACGTGACCCGTCGGTCTTAGGGGGACGGATACGGCGGAGGGAACATCGTGGTGTTCATGCAGCTGCTGCGGAGCGACAAGAACAGGGATCAGAAGGAGTGCGACGCTGGCGGGAAGGGTCGACCGGGCACCAGGCAGCCGCCACCGCATGCTGAAGGGCTAGCAACGTGGGCCAGATGGGAGAATATCACGACGGACCACGGCGGGGTGGAGGGAATCGGTTCATCAGATAAGATGTCGAGAGAGTTTCAAGCGGTTATCGAGGGAATATATATGGGGGCTGGTTATGTCCAGAGGTGACTGGGAGGAGGACGGAGGGAATGTCCACAGAGCCTGGGAATGTGGTTTTGGTAGGTATCTCGTGGGGTCGAACCAATGGATCCGAGGGCCGTCGTCCAATCGGGGGATCTGTCGAGAACAACGAGAAAATGGCCGGGGCTGTGGAGTTATGACCGAATGGAAACGCAAGCAGTGGAGAGAGAGGTCGTCAGAGAGCAAAAGAGAGCGAATATCGAACAGCAGCGATGAAGAGGAAAGGAGGAGGCAGGGAGTGAGATTGAAATTTGGATTGAAACGATTGTGTGCTCTGCTCCTGGCCAAGGGGCTCGACAAGAATCACGGGCCAACTGCCATCTGCCATCTGAATGGAGGGTTCCAGAATGGATTCCCGCGGCTGACTCAGCCCGTCCTCTCCTGTTTCAGTGGATGGCGAGTCGGGCCTTGCCATTTGGAGCTAGCTCGCTGTCATCTCTGTTGATCGGCTTCACACGAGAGCATCACTCGACAAAGTACGCTGATACGATCAAGATGACTTCAATTGGTAGATTTATATAGACACATGGGCACAGTATTCAATGCCTCACCATCAATCCAAGAGATACTTCTCAACAAACCCCGCAATCTGCTCATACCTGCCCAATCATCGTTAGCTTTCTGGCAAGCAGCCTCGAGGAATCGAGGACGACCCTTGAACCTTGGAAGACTGGAACTTACCCACGAATAAACTCCCTCGCGCTCTCTTCCCCCTTCAAATCAGCCCTTGCTCCCATCCACCCATGCCACATATTCTCATATGTCTCAACAAACCCTCCAATCCCGTTTGCAGCAATGATCTCCTTGTACGCCTGCACCACATCCGCCGGCTCCTCGTTTGAAGCCAGGACAGCGTGCGGAGTCGTCAGTTTCTCTGCGTCGGCTTTATCCATGAGCCTGTTGTTTGAACAGAACAATATCAGCATTGTCCCAGCCTTCTTGTAAAGGAAGACAAGGTACGTACCCGGGATGAACCTGCACCGTACCCCCGAACCCACACCCCCCATCCTTCCCCGAAGCCAGCGCAAGCACCTTCCCACCCCAACAAAGCCCATACGCACCCCACCTCGTTACCCCAGGAAAAACCTCCTTGTACTCCCTCAGCAAATCCGGCATCCCCTTCGCAGCCTCCGTCCAGTTCGCCTTGCGTATCACAAAGTCCATCAGCAGCCCGTGGCGCTCTATAGTGTCCGTAGGAAACCACTCCGGCTTTGCGCCCTCGCCGTTGAAGAAGTCGGGGATTAGGACTAGGGCATTGAGGCGCGTAGCGAGGATGTCGGCGCCCTGTGTTGTTTGTGGGGTGTTTCCGAAGATATCGTAGATTCCGAGTAGGGCTGTTGTGGCGGTGCGGGGGCCTGTTATGTCTTTTTATGGGGTTAGTTAGTTTGGGTCTTTGGTTATGAGTAGAGTGGTTAAGGGGGAAGTTTGTAGATGAATACATACATGTACTAAGCCCAAGTCTACCGATGACAGATGATTCTCCCTTGGGCGTATACCCTTCGGCGATAACAGGTGGGGTGGTCCGGCAGGTTTCGCAGGTCCTTCTTGCTGAAAGGCAGGGATATGCTGTATATCTGAGATGGAATAGTGTGAGACGAAAGGTCTTATTTGCACGAAGCAGGAAGGAAGATGTAATAACCAGCGAATGCTTTCTTGTATACTAGTAAGACGCCGGGAGCGGGGCGTGACCGGCTTTAGAGGCGTTTCGCTCATCATGTCTGCCGTAAGTACGTACCCCATAATAGCTCTTTAGACGGTGATCAAAGGCTAAGCCACGAGGTAATCTCTGGGCTTTGGGGCTGGAGCCGGTCGAGGAGAGTGCCAGGTAGGTATCTCCCGGTGCCGAACCCATACGTATACGAGAACGCCTAGCCTGTGAAAGTCATCCAAGAACCAGATCGCGACACTAAGCCAAAGCAGTCTCGTATTTACAGGGGGGTATTACCGTCCTCGGCTTATAGAGTGGTGCACTAGATGGCAAGTGATTATGCATGCTGCACATCAAAAAGCATAATTAGACCCATACAGCTTTTCCAGCAGCTAGTACTATTCATCCATCATAGCCAAGCAAACTACCCGAATCATACATCATTCAAGCCCTAACCTAGACACACTTTAAACCTTCTCCTCGCGAATCTCAGTATGGACTGTGCCCGCCTTGTTCTCTCCCGGATCATCAAGCTGCTTGTGGACGGCGGCAGCGACTTCGTTGGCCTTTTCTTTGCCCTCGAACACTGCATTCGATTGTTAGTTTCTGAGTGCCCGGGTGGTGTATCATGCGGATACTCACAGAAAGACAACTCCTCGAGAGTACGGCCCTGGGTCTCCGGGAAGAAGAAGAAGATGATCACGACCTCAAAGGCCAGCCAGCAGGAGTAGACAATCAGCCAGCGCCACTGGATGCGCTCAAGGCCGATGGGGTTCACATAGGTGGCGAAGAAACTGGCTCCACGGCTGTAGAACTGGAACCACGAGATACCGCGGGAACGACCGAAGTAGGGGAAGAGCTCGACGAGGTAGGCTGGGTGTTGTCAGTGGAATGGTTTCAGAAAACTGGGAGAACTTGGACATACTGTAGGTCAGAGCGTTGTATCCCAGATTGTAGGCGGGTGAGTAGAGGAAGATGAAGAAAATGGTCAAAATGGCTGCCGCCCTGGCCTCTGTGGTCATGAATCTCTCCATCGAGATCGTCCAGGCGATGTAGACGCAGAGCAAGGACGAGGCGCAAAGGAGGTACATCTTCCGACGTGGGAAGCGTGGCACAGTCAGGGCCAGGGCCGTTCCACAGATAAGTCCCCAGCAGGCGATGCCGATGTTGATCTTCGACTTGACGACGCTGTCCGTGATGTTCACCATGTCAAGCAAGTCGCTCAGATAGTACCTGAAGTTGTTAGTACTCAGACTACACGTCCGTATCCATTAGCACTTACGAGATCAAGGTGTTTCCAGACCACTGGGTGAACAAGCCAAGGCAGGCAGAGATGAAAAGACGACGTCGCATACCCGCGGTGCGGAACATGTCCGCCCAGGATTGCTTAGACTCCTCGAGTTCAAGTTTGATTGTTCGCTCAATCTGAGCGATTTCTGCTTTGACGATGACAGAGTCGCGGTCGCCTTCGGCGTGGTATTTGGTAAGAATGGCAACGGCTTCATCTGTTCTGTCCTTACTGACCAAGTAACGGGGGCTCTCGGGAAGGAGCAGGACTGTGCAGACTTGTACCATGGCCGGCGCAATTTGGAGAAGGGAAGGAATTCTCCAGGCCCAGTTTGTATCGATTGTAACCGTGCCCAAGCCCACCGAGGCAGCAATGATCTGGCCGATAAAGTAGGAGGAGTTGAAGAGCGAGGTGAGAATGGCACGTTCCTTGGGATATCCCAGTTCTCCGAGCAGCGATGAACCGGCAACAATGCAGAAGGGAATGCCGAAACCGAGGACGATACGAGCGACGCAGTACATGCCGACTAGATAAATTAGCTTCGTTGTCTCAAGATCGACTTATTTACGTACCGCCGTTGGAAAATCCCTGGAGCAAAGCACCAACGAGACTGACGCAGGAGCCGAACATGATGGTCCACCGACGGCCGAAGCGCTGGTTAACCCATGGGACGAATGGAAGCGAGAGAATTGCACCAAGAGAGTACGCGGCCCCGAGGAAACCCTTGAGCTCGCTGGGAATCACATATTCTGGGAGGCCGTCGTCGTTGATTTCGCCCGTCGGGTCGCCAAAATCTGCGGGATGCCAATCAGTATGTGGGAGGGCAGCCACACAAGGAGTTGAACAAACATTTGTTCCATGTGTACACGATCTGGACGGTGTTGATGATCTGAGAATCAAATCCAGAGGTAATCTCGATACCCATGCAGGCTGGGAAAAGAATCAGGTACAGGAGTCGCAGATTCGGCTTCTTGTACCAAGGCGTGCGATCATTGGCGATCAGAGTCTCGAGGATGGGCTCCGCGAGATCCTCCTCGCGCTGCTTACCCACGGCAACCATGGTGAATTGATGAAGAGCAAGTGAGTGGCACGATGGAGAGTAGAAGAGTGAAAGGCCGATGCTCTGGAAGTGGAGGCATGTCCATCGGGCGACATGCTCGATTATATACCCGAGGATAGTTTATACGCAGCTCATGTCTCAAACTCGCCTTCAGCCGAGTACGTTGAAGCAAGAATGCATTGGTGCAACAATGTTTAGCCCTCATCAAATGAGAAACCGTTGGCGGGTAAAATCCCCGTCAGAAACCTGCAGGAGTTGGCTCGAAGCGAGAGGACCGGCTTGCCTCCTTGATGGATACGGCAGGCATGAAGCTTCCCCGTGGGGTTGGTCAACTTGGCCTCCCCTTCACACAGGCCGGCGGACCAACCCGGGTCGTTGACCAAGGAAGGGTCTAAGCCCGCAAGGCCTGCCTCGAGCGGAACAGGAGGGTCGCTTTGGGTTTAGGTGCCGAGCGTTTGGGCTCGCGTGAAGGCTGGATAAACGTGCCATTTAGCCTGGGTCGGGGAGACTCCGCGGGGCCCGTTCAGGCGGCGGCGGTTCCATCGCGGTTGTGGTTCAAATGGGGAGAGTTCGCTCTGGGGGAGGCTGTAGCAGCATCCAACACGCCACGGAGGATACAAGCTTGCGAGTAAGCGGAATCCTTTTGGCTGAAATGGAGTCTTGGGAGAGGCCTGAGAGGAGAGGAGAGCGTGGACATTGGAGACGGGCAGCCAACGGGAGATGAGCCCGCGAGCGGGGCACGAAAAACAACCTTCCAAGACCCCTCACCACCACTACCACACCACACCACCTTCGCAGGGCAGCTTCTTATTCTCACGGCTAAGGTATACTCAGCAAGATGTCGCACTCTCACTCGCACACACACTCTCACGACAACATTGCCGACCATGGCCACTCGCACGAGATCCTCGATGGCCCGGGCTCGTACATCAACCGTGAAATGCCCCTGATTGAGGGGCGTGACTGGAAGGATCGCGCTTTCACCATTGGCATCGGAGGGTACGCGAGCTGTCTCTGTTTCACTTCGCTTTCTCAATTCTAATGCGAACAGACCCGTCGGCTCAGGGAAGACAGCCCTCATGCTCGCCCTCTCCCGCGCCCTCCGAGACGAATACAACATTGCCGCCGTGACCAACGACATCTTTACCCGGTAGCCTCTCCTTTTCTTTCATACCAGCAATACCAGTTCTAATGGAGACAAAACAGCGAAGACGCCGAATTCCTCACCCGCAATAAAGCCCTCCCCGCCGACCGCATCCGCGCAATCGAAACAGGCGGCTGCCCGCACGCGGCCGTCCGCGAGGACATCAGCGCAAACCTGCTCGCCCTGCAACAACTCCAAAAGCAATTCCAGACCGACCTCCTCCTCATCGAGTCCGGAGGCGACAACCTCGCCGCCAACTACTCACGCGAGCTCGCGGACTACATCATCTATGTTATTGATGTGGCTGGGGGTGACAAGGTGCCGCGCAAGGGCGGACCGGGCATTACGGGGTCGGACCTGCTCGTTGTGAACAAGATTGATCTTGCCGAGGCTGTCGGGGCGGATCTGGCTGTTATGGAGCGCGATGCCGCGAAGATGCGTGAGGGCGGGCCGACGGTGTTTGCCGTCGTCAAGCATGGCAAGGGGATGGATCATATTGTCAATCTGATCTTGAGCGCTTGGAAGGCGAGCGGTGCTTATGAGCTTAGTCTGCAGCGGTGGAAGGAGGGGGCACCGAGAGGGTCAGGAAGCGTCGAAGCTTAGGTATCTCTCCACCTGAACAATATTAAACATTAAAACAGCACTATGTACATGCCGACATTTATACACCACCCCGCTTTTAAGGAAAAGTCCCCATACGATCAAAGTCACTTCAAGCAAGAACAGAGACCTCACGCATCATACCGATAACAATACTCCGCAGACTGAGCATCCATAAGCTCCCCAATCTTCCTCGGCCGATCCAAAATCCCAAACTCAATAACCGTCTCCGTCGTAACCAGCGGCTCCCCGGGCGGGTTATTGATAACAGCCGTCCCATTCAAAGCAAACACCCTGTCAACACCATTCCCCTGCCAAAGCGCCCACATCCGATCCACCATCCCATGATGCAGCATAAACACGGGATCCTGCGGACTCGCAAACACATCCGCCATGGTCGGTCCCACGGTATCATGCCCACCGCCATGCGCCCCCATTACCCCGGACGTACTCGGGTCAAGAACAGCCAAGAACCCATCGATATCCGGCGCGTTCAGCAACATATCAACAGTCGTCGCATTATTATAGCTCGCCAGAACAGCCGGCTGCAGATTCCGCTGCAGGCAGCGCGGGTTGTACTCGTAGGCGTTGGGCGGGAGTGGTGCGTACGGAAACGCCTGCAGGAAGCTGAATGGGCCCATGTGTACGGGGAAGTCAACAAAGGGGCCGTCGGTCACGCAGCCGCCGCCGCGGCCTTCGGGGAAGCCGAGGATGGTGGGGTCGCGGAGTAGTTGCTCGGTTACGTCGTAGGTGCCGTCGCCGGAGAGGGAGGTGTCGATGTTGGGGTCTTCGGATGAGGAGGGGGCGAAGATCGGGTTGTCGTATAGGGTTGGGGTTTTGGTCCAGTCCCAGTAGCTATCCTCGTTGTTAGTATTTGGACTGGAGATGTGGAAGGAAGACGCACGGAACGCTACCCTGGTACCCGCACTCATCGCGCAGGACTGTTTCCCAGAGGTGGATGTAGTGACGGTGCCAGGGGAGGAGGACGCCGTTCTTGTGGATGACGGTTGTGTAGTTGATGTGGGTGCTGTCCCGGTTAGCTTTCCTCTATAGCTATTCTGCTGGCTGAGTAGCGTACGCAACAAAGTCATCCAACCGGTCCCGAACACCGGGATACTCCTCGTTTGGAAGAACAGAGGGGAGACCGCGCAGACACCAGACCGCGTCGATGTAGCCCTGTTGCTCGGTTACGGAGAGGGCTCCCCTGTTTCGGTTAGCTAGGTCCGTACAAGTAGACCATAAGCCGGGCTTGCGAGCGCGACATACCATTCTTTGCGTATTAGTGCTCGGTCTCTGGTGCACTGCTGAGCTCGTTCCTCATCCTGGATTTGGGGTAGGGCTGCTGGTGCCGCTGAAACAGCAGCCACCAGGGCTGCGAGGACGAAAGTAAGATGCATCTTCCTGAACTGCTGCGTCTGGCGTGGTTGTTGATGCGTGTTGTGATTGTTGTGATTGTTGATAGTGAGTATATGGAACGACGAGCAGCCAGGTTTTATAGTTATCATGAGCTCTTGTCGAACATAGTTGAATGACGATGGGCTAGGTTCAAAAAGATACGCAAGCAAGGGACTCCATTAACAGGTCTATCCAAATAGTAAATGCAATAGGAACATATAGTTGACAAGATTGACACAATTGACAGGGTTGACATCGGTAATTGTATCCGCACGGCTCAGGTTCGGACCATAATAAATGGCCGGATTGGGTCACCTATTCCGGCCAAGTATTTTGGTACATCGCTCCCCCTAAGCCACGACTGACGAGAACAGGTCCGGCTCTTCGCATAGCACGCTTCCGACGGGCACTGGGTCCTTGGAAGAGTGTTCGCCCGGTTGGAGCAAAGCGTTGCGGCCCGTGCACATTGGTCCTCTACCATAGGTTCATCAGTATTTACGCTCGTACTCTGGACTCGATTGAGTTTAGAATGGGGAAGAAGCGGGGACCCACGCGAAGAACCGGCATTTCTTGGTAATGGCCACTGTATACACTTCACTATTGTCAAATTAGAACCTTCGCTCTTCCATCAATCTGGATACTCAGGGTGCGGTGACGACGCACTACTCATCGATCCCGAAGCAATCATCCATCGGGACAATCACACCGCGACTTGTCTCTTCCGTCTCCAGACCGATCTATCCAAGAGTATGACCGCAATTAGCTTTGCCTCGACGCCTCCGCTATGTGGATATGACAGGTTCGATCGTGGCGTTTGTGCTTACCGTAGTCGTCTTGGTGGCTGTGGAGGTGCAGGCGATGAGGAAGAGGAGGCTGAGGGAAAGCTTGATGGCGCGCATCTTGATAACAACGTTCTTGGTGAGATTATATCGGTGCGGTTTGGCTCTTGCAATTGAGTCTCGCGATGTTGATAATATTGGTGAAGGATAAGGACAGGTGTTGCGAACAGAGATTGAAGACGACTCACATCCCTTGCTTGATGGGCGCATTCCTCCAGAATTACTCCGTACATCAAACGAAGGGGGGTGAGATTGCAAGGGATGCACTCTAATACGAACCATGATGGCTGCCATATATCCGGCTCAGAAAATAAGACTCTTGTTGCATCAGATTCACGCGTGGTATTGCATCAGCTTACATCTCGGCAGGCATTAGTTCTCCTTGCATATGTGCTCAGTTCCAGACAGTTAGAGGCGGCTGAGAGGTCATTCGGCTAACAGTTGAACTCCTGTAAGCGAAGAAACAATGGATGCATTCGGGTTCTGTTGGTTAGCAGCGCGGCTGAGCCCCCGAAGACGGGGAAGTTGGGAACCATGTGGCATGTCATTGCCATAGCATCAAGTTGTTTTAGCCATACGCCTGTTTCATAACAATCTAGAGCAATCCAAAGCGCCATCATTCTTAGAAGTCGTCTAAAGCATTTCATTGTCCACCTCATCATCGACTTCATCATCCTCCAAAGGCGTAATCCCATCCTCAATCATCTGCTTGCTCACCTTCTCAATCTCACCCATGACCCTCAAGATGTTCCCTCCAATGACCCCGGCGACATCCTTGACACTAACTCCCCGCCTCAGCAGCTCCGCTATTAGATCCGGATACTTGCTGACATCCTCCAGTCCTTTGATCGTTCTTTCCATCCCATCGAAGTCCGACCCTAAACCAACGTACTGATACCCGATAAGCTCGCCTACATGCTGAATATGATCCGCAACATCACTCAGTGTCGCCCTCGCAGGATCATCACAGCGTGTATATTCCGGAAGGAATGTAATCATAATTATACCATCGTTCTCAGCAAGCTGGTGGAGGACATTATCCGGTACGTTCCGAGGATGGGGGCAGATGGCGTAAGCGGAGGAGTGAGAGAAGATCACGGGAGCCTTGGAGGTATCAAGGGCATCGTGCATTGTCTTTGCAGAGACATGTGCGAGGTCAACAGCCATACCGAGGCGGTTCATCTCGAGGACCATTGCCCGGCCCGCGGCTGAGAGGCCATTATGCCGTGGGGTGCTGGGGGTTGCGCTGTCGGCGTACTTGTTGTGGCAGGCGTGCGTCAGGGTTGTGTAGCGAACGCCGAGGGAGTGATATAGGCGGAGGGTGGCTGGGCTGTGGCCGATCTGGTGCAGGCCCTCAACGCCAAGGAAGCTGGCTATCTTGGAAGGGGAGGTCTCGAAGGTGTGTCGGAAGGCGGTGGTATCAGGGACGAGCTCGAGGTGCTCTGGGTAAAGCTCGGCGAGCCGGCGAACAAGGTCGATTTGTTGAAGGGTGTCATGGACGTAGGCGTAGTCTGGTTCCGGGTCGGTGTCGTTACTGAGTTGCTGTTAGTCCTCCCCGCTGGTCTTGGAGTCTAGGCGCTGTACCAATCTATATAAACGCTCCAGAATTGGCCTCGAACTCGGCCCTGGGCTAGGCGGGGAAAGTCGACATGGTAGGGTAGTGAGATTTGGTCGGAAAAGTTGCTCTGGTAGATGTGGTTGTGGTAGTACTTGCGTAGGAAGAAGGGAAAGTCATTGTGTCCGTCTCGAGCCCTGAGTGTCAGCAATCATCACATAGAGATATCAATTGTCATTACCTGTCAGTGGCTGCAGACTCAATACCTCCTCAACCGGATCCCGAGCAGTGCCGCAAGTCTGTAGACGAGTGAGGCCAAACCATGCGATCAGACTAACCGCGACCACACCAAAGACGCGTCGCTTCCAGCCGGCCGGCTGGGCAGGAGCTGCAGAAGCAGCGGAAGTATGCTGAGGAAGTTCAGACGCCGTTTTCTCCATCGCGGATAAACTTGAGTTCGAAGTGGAGGAGTCAGGCGTCCCGTTGGTGATCAACGTCCGTCGGGCTGGATGGGTCTGGCATCGGCTTCGGCTTATCGCACATGACGGCCCTTAACCCGATGCGGGGACCACCAACAATCCCACGTTCCAGGCCTGGTTCGCCTGATCGCATGCGATCTTGCGTGAAATGTTCCACAGAGAGAATGCATGAGGCCTCTTGCAGAAACCAGCTGGCAATCAGCTATTGGACAATTTGTCGGGAGTAGGCCGTTTGCCATCCACCATACAGAGTATGTCCGTTGCCGTGTTGAAAACAATGCTTCGAGCTGCAAATGCACCGCAACCAGAATGGCAGTCGCACAGCTTGAACTTGATGATAATCGGTGTAAATCGAAGATATGAGCCAGGATGCTGCGATGGAGAAAAATTGGCAAATTTTACTTTCGCCTTGTCCTTGTCGTGGGCCTATCGCGTGATATTCCTTGCACATGAGAGAGCGAGATATATATATCTTGGACCCTTAGTAGTACCACACAAGTGCGAACTGCAACTCTACGCCAATCAAGTATCAACTTTCAAGGGATTCACCTCTCGAAGACGGCCTAGTACGGCATAAAGGAAAGAAAAGGCCGTTAGTTTCATCAAGAGGAAGAAGACAACAAGTGAACAGAGAAGTAGAAGGGGCTCACAGGCGCCTAGTACATAGTTTAAATATCCGAAACACAAAGCTATAGTCTTGTTAGCTTGGTTGTATATAAGTCCGGGTGAAGAAGCTCAACATTTGAGAACATGAGATAGAAGAACAGGCAAATGCGATTGCGAATGGGAGAGATATATCGAGACCGTAGGGTTAGGTCCCGTAGGCAATCTCGAAAACTATACGCATACGCAGGTCCGCCAAGGGCGTAGGAAGACTGTAGCTTGACTCTGTCTAGATTCTGCTTGTGTGATAATTTGATCCCATGTCTCTCTGGCCCGTCGCGCATGTCTGGAAATTTTTCATTTTTATGCCCCTGAGCCTTCACTCTTCATGCCCCTTTGATATTCGTGCCTTCATCCTGTAACAATGGGCGAGACTTTGCTTAACTTCCAGCATCATAACCTCGGATGTATGTCTGTATGTACTCCGTCCAACTCAGCTTAGCCACTCGAAGGCAACTGAAGGGCTGAAAAGGCGTCTGTTCAACACGCACGAACTTCTGACTTTGTGGAAGTCAGCCACGAAGTAAACACATCACAATTCACAGCCACAGTTGGAGCGCTTGGTGTGGGGTGTGGCGCATGATCGAGGAAATTTCGACCGAGCTGAAATATACTAGAACCTTGGCATTTGGTCATGAGTTCTTGATGAAAGAACGATGATCCAAGCCTTCTTTCTCTTGAGATAGCAAGAAGAGCAGTTCGCTTGAGGCATCGGGCAGAAAATCAACCTACCCTACAAGGTACAAGAACGAACCACGAAGTGTTCTCTGAAGTCCAGAGTGAGCAAGACGTAGAGAACGCACCGAGGTTCCCCCGAACTTCGAAGCCCGAGGGATTCATGGTACTGATGATCAGGATCAGCACAAACAAGTACTTCAAGTGGACGCAGGATCAAGCGTCCAAGACTCCAGCGTTCAGCATTTTGAGTTGGAAAATCCAGGTTCTGATCAAAACCCACGCTCGCCTTGAGCCGTGCAGACTTGTACTGTAAGCTTGATTTGAACCATGTTGATATGCGGTCGTGTTATTGCTTATCGGAGTAGACAACAGATCATTGTGGGGATAGTGCAACGAATACATCATCGTTGGAGTGGTCAACCGTGAGAAGGATGGCCTGACTCAGAGAAATACCCTGTTTCATCAGAGGTCTTGGGGTATTCTCGATAGGATGGCTTGTTCTGGACAACTCGAAGCGTATCGCCAGGATCAAGGAGCAGTCATGTGATTGTTACATCACCGTCCCGAAACGTCGCATTATCCTCCAATCTCCAACTGCCCCAGTCCAACGAGTGACGAACAGACGACGTTCAAGCGTTGCATTCCCCTTGACCTCTCTAATTTTGGGCACCTGTGCTGCATATGTTGCAATGAAAAGCAGATTTCCGCGCGACGAGGCATGAGATCACAGCCAAGGGGGAAAATTTTGCCACATGGATGCAAAGCAGCAGCAAAATAGCACAGCTTTAGCATGGAGCTAAAGCCCCGTAGACTGGCGCTAAGAGCCGATCTATTTAAACCTTGACGCTTCGGGTTTGTGCTCAATTTTGAGCTGAAGCCTCAACATCAAAAATGTGCAGAAGTTTATCACAAGTATATTCTGCTGTAGACCCTGTACAGTAGATTGGCGTTCGAAGTTGCTCGGACGGCTTCAACGTAGTACCTGTCCATGATTCAAGGTACACGGGCCTGCATCCCGAGCAGGTACAGTAGTTGGACGAGTCATGATGAAATGGCGTGGCTGAAACGCAGGTTGACCGAATCGGCGATCGCGTCTCGGCTGGATCGACCCAGACTGTGAAGCTGCAAACCCGATCACCAGAGTTTTGGGCTCTCGTCGTCATCAACTTCCAGCGTGTCAATCCAATGACACTTCGAGTCTCTGACTGGCAGCAGCAGACGCTCATTCCACTCTTTTAACGCCGCGATCGTCCCAATGGGAGCGTAAGGCTTGCTTTTTCCTGGTGTTGATTTGTTTTTTCCCCCCTACGTGGACGAGGACCGCACTCACAGCTGGCACGTTGCCCCTCTCCAGCTCTCGCTTCTTTTTCTTTTTTTGTTGCCGATCTCGATCACATTCTTTCCTGGGGTTTTGCCCATCATTTCTTGTCATAAACTTCTTCATCTGCTCTCGCGGCATTCTTCTTGCCCTGGGCGATCGACCTCTCCTGCGGCTCGGCAACCCTGAGTCTGCTTCTGTTTTGAACCCAAACTATCTCTAGACTCGAATAGTGCTCGACATATCGAGCAAACAAGAGTCATCATGGCGGTAGGTCGAATTGGCTTGACACTGCGATCCCATCTTCTGACGTTGACAGGACAACGACAACCCCCAAGATGCATCCAATTCCGCGTCCAGTCTCGTCGTCACGTTAATTCCTGCTTTGGCGGTCGCAGTCGCCATGGTTGCGCTTTTCGTGATTCTGCGACGCAGCGAGCGCCGAATGTATATGCCACGAACTTACCTCGGAGTCTTGCGAGAATCGGAGCGCACGCCTCCTTCGTCAACAGGCCTTGTTAACTGGCTTCGGGATATGTACAAGCTGCCCGACGAATATGTCTTGCTACACCACTCCATGGACGCCTACCTTTTGCTCCGCTTCCTCAAGATTGTTACCGTGATCTGTTTCGTGGGCTGCTTGATCACCTGGCCTGTCCTTTTCCCCTTGAACGCAACGGGAGGTAATGGAATGAAGCAATTGGACATTCTGAGTTTCTCCAACGTGTCTGACCAGAATTATGCCTATTTATTCGGACACGCGCTTATCGCGTGGATCTTCGTCGGTAAGTTTGCGTCTGGTTTTACGGTGTGGACTTTGACCTGATCTTGTATAGGGTTTGTTTTCTTCACTGTCACCCGCGAAAGTCTTTTCTACATCAACCTGCGCCAGGCTTACTCCCTCTCTCGCGCATATGCGAGCCGTCTTTCATCCCGCACCGTGCTCTTCACCTCCGTTCCTCAAGATTACCTGAGCCGCGAGAAGATTACGCGCATGTTCGGCGCAAACAAAGTGAAGAACGTGTGGCTCACGACAGACACGGCCGAGTTGTCAGATATGGTTGACGAGCGCGAGAAGGCCGCTATGAAGCTAGAGGCAGCCGAAACGAAGCTGATTCGGAAGGCCAATGGTGCGCGTCTCAAGAAGATTAAGAAGGGAGGGAATGCCGAGGATCCTGCTGTCTCTGAAAACACCACCGAAGACGATGGCGAGTCTGGCTCTGTTGCAGCCCGGTGGGTCAAACCGACCGACCGCCCTACGCATCGCCTCAAGCCGGTTATCGGAAAGAAGGTCGATACCATCAACTGGGCCAGGTCAGAAATCGAGCGTCTTAACCCCGAGATCGAGAAGCTCCAAGGCAGCCACAGGGCAGGCGAGGTGGATCTCGTGTCCTCAGTCTTTGTCGAATTTTATGAGCAGGCAGATGCACAGGCCGCCTACCAATCAGTTGCACACAACCTTCCTCTGCATATGGCACCACGGTACATTGGTCTTGAGCCGACTCAAATTATCTGGTCCAACTTGCGAATCAAGTGGTGGGAGCGCATCGTTCGCTATGCAGCATCGATTGCTTTCGTCTGCGCGCTGGTTATTTTCTGGGCGATCCCAACAGCCTTTGTCGGTTCTCTTTCCAACATCAACAACTTGACTGACATGGTTCCTTTCCTGAGGTTCATCGATGATGTGCCCAGTTGGATCAAGGGAGCGATTACTGGTCTCCTTCCCACCATTCTCATGGCCGTGCTAATGGCTCTATTGCCTATTGTCCTTCGATGTGAGTTCAACAGTAGAAATCACCTTGTTGTCTGACGTCAAGCTAACGAGTTTCACAGTGATGGCAAAGATTGGCGGAGCTCCTAGCTTGGCGGCCGTGGAACTGACGACCCAGAACTTCTATTTCCTCTTCCAGGTGGTCCAGGTCTTCCTGGTTGTTACACTCGCTTCCTCAGCCACGAGCGTCGTGACCAAAATCATTGACGATCCTACAAGCGCTGCATCTCTGCTCGCCAACAAGCTGCCTACTGCCTCGAACTTCTACATTTCGTATATTGTTCTACAGGGATTGTCATTCAGCTCCGGTGCCCTCCTGCAGATAGTTGGCTTGATTCTAGGAAAGGTGCTTGGTCGCATCCTGGACAACACTCCTCGGAAGATGTACAGCCGCTGGTCAAACCTTTCTGGTCTGGGCTGGGGAACAGTATACCCCATCTTCACTCTCTTGGCTGTCATTGGTGCGTATCAACAGATCCAGGTTTTGACCTGACTCCAGGCTAACCTTCTCCAGCCATCACCTATTCGTGCATTGCGCCTCTGGTACTGGGATTTGCGTCCATTGGCTTGTACCTCTTCTACTTTGCCTACCGCTACAACCTGCTCTACGTCTCCAACGCCAACATCGACACCCAGGGCAAGAACTTTGCCCGAGGCCTCCAACACATCACCGTGGGCTGCTACCTACTCGTAGGCTGCTTGATTGGTCTGTTTGCGATAGCAACCGGCGCTGCCCGCATCGCCCTGGGGCCTCTCGTCCTCATGATCATTCTCCTCATCTTCATGATCATCTACCATGTCTCTCTTAACCAGGCCCTCGACCCTCTCATCAACTACCTCCCCAAGAACCTCGAGGCCGAAGAGGAGGCTCTCCTCTCCCGCGAAGCAACCTTCGCCTCCACCGCCAACGGCGACGAGCACGACGGCATCGCAGCAACAAGCTCCGCCGCCAACGGCCACGACAACGGCCGCGGCACGAGCGTCGGCAACGTGGACTCCGCCGAGAAGGGTCTGACACAGACGGCCCCAGTCCAGCCCAAGGTCAACTTTTTCGCCAAGTATCTCCGCCCCGACAAGTACGCCAGCTACGAGCAGCTCCGTCGCTGGGTGCCTAGCGGGGCCGAGGCCACGACCTATGCGCCCGAAGTCGAGGAAAACGCATACTACCACCCGTGCATCAGCGCACAGCCTCCGCTCCTCTGGATCCCGCGCGACGAAATGGGCATCAGTAGGCAGGAAGTCCGGCACACGGGCCGTGTCATCCCCATCACAGACGAGGACGCCTGGCTCGACGAGAAGAACCATATCGTCTGGAACGTCGACAAGGGCGTCCCGCCGATTTTCGAGGAGAAGGTCTACTACTAGATCAGCCATCCGCGCTAAATCATTTCATTCCGTTGAAGACCGTCTATTGAAGCGCGATCGGCTGGCTCAGTGCAGTTGGATCCCCATGAACTGTTTATAACACGCAAGACGAGATGTTTCTCTTTCTAGCACTTTCTGTTTCACTACTATTTCTCTTTTCCTTCCGAGCTTTGCTTTTCATGCTATATTCGATACCTTGATACCCGGGAATCAGTGATGGTTGATGTATACATACCCCCATGTCATCTGCCATCTACGATGGGATATGCGATTGCATTTTAGTTGGTGGGATAGGATATACTGCCTTTATATCTTGATTGGAGATCTAGTAATAAATAATAATACCAAACATGCCAAACCGAGCTTGCGAAACTTCCAAGTTGTTTCTGAGTGACAGTAGAGGAAAACACAGACTCATGTTGATGTGACGCTGGAAAAGGGTTAATCTGAGTTCCGAAATAGTTTGCATAGGCCACGCCTGATCTGAGTACAATAGATAATAAATAGGTAAGCTATATATGCCCGCGATAATGCATCCGCCGAATCAGCCACAGCAATGGGTATCTTTTCCTTTCCTCAGTCCTTTCACCACACATCCTTTCTACACTACCCCGAGAACCTGCACATGGCAGTCCACATTTCTACTTCAGGCTTCCTCCTCTACCCGAGAGGCAGGTTTCACTTCCCTCTCAAAGGCATCCACGCTCTTCATCGGACTCATCAGCATGAGGAAACTGAGTAGAGTCTCGTTATACTGGAACTGGAGGTCCGGACGCAGCTGTTTATGGATTTTGAGTAGCTCCCCCGTTGACCAACCCCGTTCGGAGTCCTTCAGGTCTTTATCGCAATTTTCCTCAAGCAGGAGCCAGATGAAAGTCTCGCAGGCTGGACGCCGATCCAGTTCGTGCTTCTTCACGGTATGTAGGAGGTGGTTGAGGAAGCGGCCGGTTTGGCCGGAGGAGTCTTGGTAGTCCCACAGTGCAGCTGTGATGTAGATGAGGGCTGCGGTGCGGGTCAGTTCCTGCGTGGGGACATTGCGCACGACGTAGATACGGGAATCGTGGGGTACGCGGGAGGGGTGAGGCCCGCTGGAGAGGAGGGAGAAGAGGGGGCCTCCGATCTGGAAGGCGCTGCGGCGCTGTGGGACGTTGCTGAAGTATTCCTCCGTGTTGTGAGATTTCATGAGGCCTTCTGCTGCGCGGAGGAATGTGACAAGCCATTCTTGGCCGTCTTGCCAGCCGATAGGGGTTGCGGGGGGAGGAGGCACCATTACGTAGCGGACGTAGTGGAGAAAGACTTCGGCGAGGCCGTTGGAGCGTGGGCGTGTGCGCAGGATTTGCACGGCGCGGTCTTCATATTTCATTGCCTGCTCCTTCGAGCCGAAGCGGTCTTCGTGTAAAGCTAGGCCAGCGATGGCCATTGCGAGACTGTCGCTGTCGATCTTCATGCGGCCGTTCATAGCGTCTTCGATGCCTTTTGTGGCGTAGGAAAGGTGGTGGTTGATTTCAGGGGTGTTGCTGTGGTTATATAATTGAGACTTCCATCGAGCGCAATATGAGAGTATGACCGCTTGGAAGGTTAATGGATGGTTCATGGAGATCTTGAAGACGCTGTCTTTGAGGTATTTGTTTTGACCAGACCAATAGGTCAGTTTATTCGTCCAGTAGTCCGCCAGCGCCATGTCGGCCGGGGAGGTGGTGGGTAGGCTGTTGAATGAGTCCTTTCGCGAAGCGTCCAGTATAGTGGTTGGTGACGGCACATGAGGAGGGGTTTTGGGAGGGAGGTAGGCAGGTTTCGGTTGTGAGGAGCTAGGACTTTGGATCTCTGGCTAGAAGCGAGCCCTTATCAGTGAACAGATTCAATCGCAGGTTTCTGAGGAAGGAAAGTGAAGAAGATGTTGCAATGACTTGACCTACTGCGTTCAAGATGGATGATGTGCGATGTCGGCGGCTTGGTGAAGGCACGGGATCGTGTGGTCCGTTCTCTGTCCTCTCTTGTACCTCTGGCTGCTTCTGCTCCCATGAGAGGTGCGGCAGTAGGCCATTGGTTCTTCTATCGCTGCCATTGCGCGAATGTGTATGCCGCTGCTGTTTGCGCTTCTCCTGAACATGGTGCCGCATGACATGTGCGCGTTTCTCACGGGAGGACGAGGTCGAGTCGACGAAGTAGAAGGACCGGCTCTTTGCCGGTTCATCGCGCTTTTGCCGCTTGAACTTGAGGTTCTGGAGGTCTTCGCTGGCGCTCCCTGGGGAAATGAGATGTTAGGGAAATCATGACTGGACGGTGAGTATGAAAGAGTGAATGCTCGGTGACCAACGGCGTAGATGAGACTCAGAGGGCGTGGCACGTGGTTCAGAGACGGCCTCGATGGGAATGGGATCAGCCGAGAGACACCTGTTTGCGGCCATTACGGCGGGGGCAGGCGATTGACGGGGTAGCCAGGTGGATTGGGGGTGGGAGAGGCCGTCAGGACTTCATATTCGGGGGATCGCTGGGGGTCGCTAAACAGGGAGAAAGGTCGCTGGAAGAGGGTTCAAGGGCCCTCCCTCTGGGGAAGCAGGCGCTTCGCTTATCTGTCTCTGCATTCCTCCGCCTAGGGACGACGAGTCGACGGACAGTAGCGCTGGCCTGACGAGTGGGGGTCGCAAAAACGACACCTCAGAGGCCTTCATTCGCAAACAATTTCCACTAGATTTATTGGATAATTCGTCCCTTTTTGTCCGCTTGGACCTTGTCTGCGGGGCCCTGAACCGGCCTAGCGCGTGCCCATCTTCTGCCAGCCACGGTCCGTGCGCTGGGCCCTGCTGACATAAGCTGCTGAAAACCACTTTACGCGTCGGTGCGGATTTACACCGTCGCCGACGCGTTTCGTGTCACACACGCGTTCCCCCTTGCGAAGAATTCATTGGCTTTGGACGGCCAGGGCCGCAGCAAAACACTCGGCTCCAATTTGGGAGAGAAGCCACCACAAGACGACGTCAACCCTCTCACCACCGCAATTCCCGACTTGAACAGCAGAAAACTCGCTCGGCCTCTTCACGGCCCCCTTTCGCCATGTCCTCCCTTTTCGACGCTGTCATCCAGTCCGAGCTGGGCTCAACCGCTGGCTCTCGCGATGGCCGAACCCTCCATTCAGATAACTTCCCCAGCAGTTCACGAGCGCAACCGCTTTCAGAGAGCAATGCTCCTATGAGCGATGCCAATGCCTTTCCTGACGATCAAGTCGCCGAGTCCAATGGGTCGACCGTGACCCGGCTGCGGAATCCCTATGTCGCTGGACCCCCGCCAGTGCCTGACTTGGCCGGTGAAAAGGTACAGCAGGCCTTTGAGGAACTGCTGGAGAGTTATCAAGAGGACGCTGCACCTACATCGCACCCACCACCATCTTCAGCGCCCATGAGCGATAAATACTACGTTGCCCAGATCCATGGAATGGCCAAATGGGAGTTGTCCACACTGTATGTTGACTTTACGCACCTGACCTCGCTGGACAACCCGATTCTGGCAGACGCAATTGCGAATCAATACTACCGCTTCCAGCCGTTCTTGGTGAAGGCGCTGCACAACCTGATTGCCAAGTACGAGCCCGAATACTTTGTTTCCCACCGGCAAGCAACCACTAGCGTTTCCTCACAAGCCGGCACATCCTTGATGGCCGGCCACTCGAGTGTTTCAGACGATCCCAAGTTGGCGAAGACGATCCGTGAAAAGACTCGGCACCAGCAGACGGACAAGCTATTCTCCATTGCATTCTACAATCTACCTCTTGTTTCCAGACTGCGACAACTCCGCACATCGCAGATTGGAAAACTTCTTTCAGTCTCTGGTACCGTCACACGAACATCTGAAATCCGCCCAGAACTCTCCCTTGGAACCTTCCTCTGCCAGGCTTGCAGGTCGGTTTGCTCCAACATTGAACAGACTTTCCGTTACACAGAGCCCACGCAATGCCCCAACAGCACCTGCGGTAACCGTTTTGGGTGGCACCTGGACATCGGAAAGAGTACCTTTGTCGACTGGCAGAAGGTCAAGCTGCAGGAATCTTCGCATGAGATTCCGACAGGTAGCATGCCCCGCACCATGGATGTGATTCTCCGCGGCGAGATGGTCGATCGTGTCAAGGCCGGCGAACGGTCCATCTTCACTGGTACACTAATTGTGATTCCCGATGTTAGCCAGCTCGGGCTTCCAGGTGTGCGTCCCGAGGCTGTGCGCGATAACAGCGCCTTCCGCAGCAGCGATGTCGGCGGCGGTGGTGTCAGTGGTCTCAAGTCCCTTGGTGTGAGGGATCTTACCTACAGATTGGCCTTCTTGGCGTGCATGGTCACTCCTGATACGACGACCCCGGGCCAACAATCGAACCAGCAACTTAGTGGCCAATCGCACAGAATCCTCGGTTCATTAAATCAGAACCCCGACCCTGAGCCCGATGATGATAAGGCACAAGAGGCGTTCCTCCAGAGCTTGAGTCCCTCGGAGGTGAACGATTTGAAGAGCATGGTTCATTCTGAGTATATCTACTCGCGGTTGGTAGACTCGATTGCCCCTATGATTTACGGACATCGGCAAATCAAGAAGGGGTTGCTTCTGCAGTTGGTTGGAGGTGTGGCCAAGACGACATCGCAAGAGAGCTTGCAGCTTCGTGGTGACATCAACATTTGCATTGTTGGTGATCCGTCAACAAGCAAGAGTCAATTCCTCAAGTAAGTATCCCTCACTACGCAAGCTTAACGTAAATGCTTACAATATTTCAGGTATATCTGCTCTTTACATCCCCGCGCTGTTTACACCAGTGGTAAGGCTTCGTCTGCTGCTGGTTTGACAGCCTCAGTCGTGAAGGATGCCGAAACCGGCGAGTTTACAATCGAAGCTGGTGCTCTGATGTTGGCTGTATGTATCCCAACCTCAAACACACCTAGACAGCAAGCTAACATGAACAGAACGGCGGCGGCATCTGCGCCATCGACGAATTCGACAAAATGGACATCAGCGACCAAGTCGCAATCCACGAAGCCATGGAACAGCAAACAATCTCGATCGCCAAAGCCGGCATCCACACAACGCTCAACGCGCGCGCCTCGATCCTCGCCGCCGCAAACCCCATCGGCGGCCGCTACGACCCCAAGACCACCCTCCGCGGCAACCTCAACTTCAGCGCCCCGATCATGAGCAGATTCGACCTGTTCTTCGTCATCCGCGACGAGCCCAACGAGGAAGTCGACCGCAACCTCGCCGACCACATCGTCAATGTCCACATGAACCGCGACGAGGCCGTCGAGCCCGAGTTCAGCACCGAGCAGCTGCAGCGGTATATTCGCTTCGCGCGCACGTTCCGGCCTGTCTTCCGCGAGGAAGCCAAGACGCTCCTCGTTGAAAAGTACAAGGAGCTCCGTGCGAATGATGCCCAGGGTGGCATGGGTCGCTCCTCGTACCGTATCACCGTCCGCCAACTGGAATCGCTCATCCGTCTCTCCGAGGCGATCGCCAAGGTCAACTGCGTCGAGGAAGTCGTCCCCAAATTCGTCCGCGAAGCCTACGACCTCCTCCGACAGAGTATCGTCACCGTCGAAAAGGACGACGTCGAAGTCGACGATGAGGAAGACGCCGCAGGCGGCGCCGACGAAGATGACCACGAAATGGCCGACCGCGACAGGGACGGCGATAGCCCCATGCGCGAGGAACAGCCGGATCAGCAGCAGCAGCAGCAGCGCGCCAAGACGAAGATCACATACGACAAGTACATGAGGATTCTGAACCTTGTTGTGCGTCGGATCCGGGAAGACGAGGCGCAGGCCGGCGAGGGTGTGGAGCAGGAGGATCTGCTCGTCTGGTACCTGGAGCAGATTGAGGCGGAGCTGAATAACGAGGAGGATCTGCAGCGCGAGCGTGGGCTTGCTGTTAAGGTTCTGAAGCGCATGGTTAAGGTATGCTCTCACCACCTACCCACCTCCCCGCATAAGATTCACATTTGAACACAATCAATCTAACCCTTTCGTTCCAGGACAACATCCTAATGCCAATCCACGGCGAAGGCCTCGTCGACGACGGCAGCGAGACACAGACGCAACGAACCGTCTACGTCCTGCACCCCAACTGCGCCATTGATGAGGAGTAATCTGCCCACTACATACATACATATGTACGTAGTGCAGAAGAGAGCGGTCCAGAAGTGTATGGTGCGCATGGAGTTGGTCAGGCGGGCATGGATGCAAGTGGTTACGAGTGATGATACGTCTTATTTTCTCACATTCAAATGATCTGTGGATTCTGGTGGTGTCATGTCATAGATATATCATATGTGCGGGACTGGGTGCATGGGATTTTGGTAGCAAGTGTTATTTGCTTTTCAGTACAGTAATAAGATTTCTTGTCGAAGGCTGATGATTCAACGAAGACGAGAAGACGTCGGTCTATGGTACAGAATGTAAGAGGTAGTGAAGTTAGACGCAGGAAAGAAGCTAAAAGACTGCTGAAATGCGGTAAGAAGTATAAAAAAGGTGACTTAAACTCAATTCAATCCGGCTAAAACATGCGAATGCTGGATATCATTAAAAAAAAAACAATTCCGACCATAAATATGCAGAAGATGCGCCTGTGCTATGCCCGTGATGTTCAAAGTGGTGTTGAATGCCCGCCCCCTTGGATCCGTCACCCAGTGTCCTATGCGAAGGGGAGACGTAGCACCTCACTTCTTCCCAAGAGGCTCCTCATCGCTGCCCGTATCATCATCATCCTGTTCCTCATAGTCATCCGAGTCAATCTCCTCCTGATCGCTCCCACTGCCACCGAACATATCGTCATCGACATCGCTCTCAGCCCAGAAATCCGAGTCGTCGTCCTTGATCTTCGGCGCAGTCATGGATGTGCTCTCGTGCGTCGGCATCTCGTACCCGTCGGGGATATCGGCCTTTGATGCCTCCACGCACTTGCGTACGGTTTCCTTGTATTCCTCGGGCGACTTTCGTAGAAGAACGCCAGCGTCGACATTGGCGGGGGACGAGACCTCCGCGTCGTCGAGGAGGGAGAGGATAGAGATCAGGACGGATTCGACGCGTTGCGCGGGCGACCAGCGCTCGGAGGCGAGTTCTCCGGACATTGCGTCTTCGCCGGGCGAGTGGAGGATGGAGATGCAGAGCTTGCCGTCTGGGTAGATGTTTGGGTGGTAGAGAGGGCGGAGGAAGCGGAATTCTAGAAAGCAGGGATTGTGTTAGTGAATCTGTGTTACTGTATCTACTCGGGAAGGGATGTGTGCATACTTGGTGGCGAGTATGGGTAGTTTGAGGGGAACGCCATGGCTGCCTTGAAGTAGCCGCCGTAGTATAGAGAATCGGGGTTGAGGACGATAAGCCCGATGGTCCAGTTGAAGATGTCCTCGTTTTGGAGCTGCAGAAGAATTGATCAGTCTCGGGTTTGTCGTGTCGCGTGGGCGGTGCGAGGAACTTACCTCAATATTGACCCATTGCTCCTTGGCTAGCGCCTTGAACTCGTTCATCAAGATGCGTTCAGCCATGGCGAAGGTGACGCGATAACTGAAGGGGTCCGAGGGGCAGATCTCGAGGCGCTTATGAGTGAAGGGCAACAGAAGCTTGAAGGTTGTTGTGTTGCGTGGAGGGGCGAGCAAGAGAGAAAGACAAACAGAAAGGAGTGAGAAAGCAAGGACAAGGGAGGGGCGGTGGCCGCGTGTGATTCAAAGAGTTCAAGTTCTTGCCTGACGCCATCCCATTTATTCCCTGAGGCGATCGTGGCGATGATCCGACAACGGAAGGTCCCGGACTGAGCTGTGGTGGCGCTGGAAAAATCGGCTGCCTTAGTCACACACGCACAGCCCTGTGATCTCTCTTCTTCCTCTACTACTACTAGATTCTAGATTCCAGATACACACTCTCAGTTGCTCGACTTTTCTCTTTGGCAGTGTCTGCCCCAATCTCGAGGTCAACTGCCTTCCAGTCCAGGCTCTCAAGCTTATCTGCTCCGAGCCGCTACCCACAAGGCACAAAGCGGGGGGATAAGCCTGTCCAAGTGGAGATCTCATGCAGCAAGTCCCATCTGGAATATGATCGCGATCTGGCATTTTACAGAGGAAAGTCACTGAGTCTTGAGCAAGCTCAAAAGGTTACTGTTCTGCTTGCCTTGTGTGTTATCATGAATAACCTTACTGGGAGTGTTACGAGGTACCATCAAGCGACTAGTTCAAACACGGTTTGTCCGTATGACCCCTTGGAAGATACTAGTACTACTCATGTGGAAACCCTGATGATTCGATTCATCGCTCGAAGAGGTCTCTTAATCCACCACAGTTACCAAAAATGCGTCGTCCTGGAGGGGTAAACTACCACTTGACGCTATGAAGACCGATTCTGTCCATTGATTATAAGAGTTACGATTGGCTTGTAGCTCACAAGAGATACCGCCTTGTTCCCTGCTTGAATGTCCTTGCTGACGGCGTCCATGGCGCTGTAGAGCCTGTAAAGGGCGCTGTCTCGAAAGGGGGACCCTGAAGAGTGCGGGGAGGGACTTTGAGCTTGCAGGACTGGCTTCAAGTCGAGCATTCGACTGGACCACAGCACGCATAGTTCGGAAACGTGATGAGGCTATCCGCGTCCAAAGAAAATCTGCCATCAAAGATCACGTGCTGAGAAGAGGCAGATGATCTTTGGACGCGAATATGCTCATCCCGAACTGCTTGAGTTGGCTTTGCAGTGAGGGAGAAAACACCATACCATCGCAGCCAAACACACATTATAGCTCTGGTGCTTAACATTGAGTGACCTTCTTGTCGTCATGACTGTATTGCGACGCTGTTAGAGACTGGGAGTCATAAATAGCGACCCTCGCGGTCGATCGAGCAGTCTTGGGGGTGGAGACGGGTAGAAGAGGAGAGGGGAAGGAAGGAAGATACAGAGTCGGTCGACAAGCAAAAGAAGCTGAGTTCAAGCGACTGTTAAGTAATTCACTCTGATTGATTCGTGGAGTCCTGTCGCCCAAGTCTCGCGCGATGCTTCACCAAATCGAGACGGAGCGAAGGAGCAAAGACCTGGCTTAGTTGGTGTGGTGTGACCGCCAGGAGCAATGCAGGAATGCAAGGACGACCTGGAATTGGTGTGTCACTCAGAGATAACTTGACCGTATTTTCGGAGAAGCAGCCTTATCAACCACACGTTGGGAACAGTATCCTCCGTAGAGCTCGTCCGCAAGTTCCGCAACGGTCGCGGCAGATCGCAGACGCAAGAGTGTTCGAGGCCCCGTCAGGATAAGTATTTTGAAGGAGTATGGAGCATCCAGCCTCCAAACCATGGCAATCTTCTCTGGAAGAGGGCATGCCCCGACGGGTACTTGCTTTTAGTTTTCCCCGTTGGGGAATCTCGTATAGATGAGTGGCGCTTAAAGATAGATTGGAGACTTAGTAATGGAATTGAGTATGTAGTACAAACACCTGCGCGCAAGGACTGACTCACAGGAGGGTACGAGCGCACCCAGCCAGGCGGAGTGCCTTGCGCAAGACCTCCCCCGATAAACGTATTCGCTGCGATACGGGGACTCGATCTGGGTAAGATTGCAGTGGATGAGGAGGAGCTCTGGTGCAGCTGGTGAGCTGCTGGGGGCGGTGGCCGCTCCACTCTGGATGGCGTTCTGTCCCACTTTTGCCGAAGTTCCAGTTCTTCCTCTCCTTCCCTTCTTTTCGTCATCTTGCTTCCTGCTTGCAACTTTTGCCTTGTCCATTGTTCGAGCGCTATTCTTTGGTGCATCATTGTCGGATTCTCCCAAAGCTAGACGATTTATTCTGTATCTGTATCTATTCCGGCATCTCCGCAATTCTGTCATGCTTCGCTCGCCCCTCGTCACGAACTAAGGACGCGAGCTGCTGACCCGAAAAGTCTGTTCTCGCCTCCCCTCACCTTTCCGGCAGCGCGTGCTGTCTGAAGCTGAAGAGAGGGGAGTTTCAGTGCAGGACTTTCGCGTCTGCGACTGTATTTGCGTGTGCATCAATTCGAAATGATCCCGCAATGCGCCGGCCCGATCTGGGCTATAGATGATCTCTCTCGTTGCTTTCAACGCAGGTGCGTTTGACTCATGGCTTGGGTGAATAGCTGAGCATCAAGACGGAATGATAACATCATTGAATTCTAGATATCTCCAAGAAATCCTCCCGCTTACCGCATGCGCTATTTCCCTCCTCATTATCTTGTCCCGTGTTGCATATCAATTCGCCTTTACCCGAAAGAGCGTCTCGTATAAACTGCTACCGAGCGACGATGCTGGATGCGCGCAAGATACAAGAGCTACGGAGGAGGACCTAGCAGAGGAGTCGGATCCAATGCTCTCCAAGGCGGCGCGTCTTGAATCAACACATTTTGAACTGGATCGTCCCCGCGGCGAGATCGCTTTCGTTGTATTGGAGGCGGCAGGGCTGATTGGGCAAGTCGCCATATTTATAACTGTTCTGTACACAGATGCTTGGGGCCACGATGGTCGTCTTCCGGCCGTGGCTCGCCTGATATCCTGGAGTTACATACTATTCTTGGTTCTGGTCCGACTGCTCCTTTCAGTCCGCCAGCTACATTCATCTGCAAGACTCTGGGACCATACATTTGCCCTATATGGGTTACAATGGTTGTTCACTGTATTTGTTTTCCGGTCTTCCGTCATTTACCCGACATCAAGACGTGCTTTGACTTTCTCTGCTCTTGAATTCTCCTTGTCCAGCTTCCTGGTGATCCTGTCCGTGACCACCCGTAGAGGAAATAAACCGGTCCTCGTTCCGCACGAAGAAGGCTTACACCCAGCAAAGCACCCGGTTGCGAGCTTGCTCTCCCTAGCGACCTTTTCCTGGCTGGACCCGCTTATCTGGAAGGGCTATAAGCAGTCACTTGAACTGGAAGATGTCTGGAATTTAACAGCATCACAGAAGGCTTCCACAGTCTTGGAGGACTTTCGATGCAGGCAGTATAAAGGCCCGTTAGTATGGAAGCTCCTACGCTACTTTTCCGGCACGATCTTGATTCAGGGCTTATGGACTATGTTTTCCAACCTCTTCACCTACCTACCCACACTTCTGCTCAAAGCGATCCTTGAGTATGTCGAAAACCCGAGGTCCACCACGCCGAACGCTGCATGGCTATATGCTGCGCTTCTTTTCTGTTCGGGCGCTATCCAGGGTATAGCCGATGGACAAGCTCTTTGGATCGGGCGCAGAATGGGCGTGAAGCTCCGTGCTATCATCATCGGCGAAATCTATGCCAAGGCGCTGAGACGCAAAGCCGGTCCGTCTGTTGAGGCGGCCAAAAAGTCAGACGAGGAGAAACTCGTGGACAAAAAGAAGAAGAGAATCCTTTCGTTCGGCCGTAAGAAGAAGCAGGGCACGAGTGACCCCGAGGGCGACACCGCCAATAAGAAAAAGACCGACGAGACCGAGGACTCATCTGCCAACATTGGAACCATTATCAACTTGATGGCAATTGATTCTTTCAAGGTCAGCGAGGTGGGAGCGTACCTGCACTTCCTCTGGGCTAGCGTGCCGGTGCAAATCGTCATTGCAGTCACGCTTCTATACCGGCTCCTAGGCTTCAGCTCGTTTGCCGGTATTGTCATCATGGTTTTGATGCTCCCTGTCAATCTGATTATTGCCAAGAGCTTCTCGAAGCTACAGGCCCAGATTTTGAAGGGGACCGATGCCCGTATCCATTCCACAAACGAGATCCTCCAAAACATCCGGATCATCAAGTATTTCGCTTGGGAACAACGCTTCCAGGATATCGTTGACGAGAAGAGAAAGGCGGAACTGAAAGCCCTCCGCTACCGCTACATTCTTTGGTCGACTGCAGCAACGGTTTGGTACGGGACACCGATTCTCATCACCTTCGCTTCGTTCTTCCTCTATACAGTGGTGGAGAAGAAGAGATTGACGCCTTCTATCGCCTTCCCCGCTCTATCGATGTTTTCTTTACTCCGCATTCCCTTGGATCAGCTCGCCGATATGGTGGCTCACGTCCAAGAGTCCAAGGTTTCACTGGATCGTGTCGACAAGTATCTCAACGAGGACGAGACGGACAAGTACAAGCAACTATCCGATGATGATACCTTGGAACCCAGGATTGCACTTGACAAAGCCACCTTGTCCTGGGGCACCGCGAAGAAGACCGAGTCAGGCGAGCAGGAAGAGACTTTCCGCCTGATTAACATTGACGTGGAATTTTTGATTGGGAAATTGAACATCATTGCTGGTCAGACAGGTTCGGGAAAGACATCGTTGCTGATGGCACTTTTGGGAGAAATGAAGCTATTGGAAGGGAATGTTCATCTGCCAGGCGGCACAGCAAACCGCGCTGAATTGCCAGTCGACTCTCGCACAGGCCTCGTTGAAAGTGTTGCCTATTGCGCTCAGGAAGCTTGGCTTGTCAATGACACGATCAAAGAGAACATCACCTTTGCCTCTCCCTTTGACCAGAATCGCTACGATGCTGTGATCAAAGCTTGTGCATTGGAGCGTGACTTGGAAATCCTCGATGCCGGTGATGAGACTCTTGTAGGTGAAAAGGGTATTGGTCTTTCCGGTGGACAGAAGCAGAGAATCTCTCTGGCTCGCGCGATCTACAGCAGGGCCCGCCATTTGCTTTTGGACGACTGCTTGAGTGCTGTTGATTCCCACACCGCAAAACACATCTTCAGGGAAGCTCTGACTGGCCCTCTGATGTTGAACCGGACATGCATTCTTGTTACCCACAACATTGCCTTGACCGCTCCTTACGCCGACTATATTGTCGCGATTGAGAACGGAAAGATCACTTTCAAAGGCCGACCTGATGAACCCGGCGCTTCGAAGGCTCTGGGTGAGGACCTTACTAAATCACGACCGGGCTCGCGGGCCAGCTCACACCCTCCACGATCGCGCCGGCCTTCGGACGCGGCTGATGCAAATGCCGAGGAAGCTCACACCAACGGCGCCGCCAACGGCAAGCCGATCAAGAAGCCGCAAAGGGCCAAGACTAACCTGCTCGAGAGCAAAGCTACTGGTAGTATCAAGTGGCCAATCATCCAGATGTATCTTCAGTCGATGGGTCGTTGGTATTACTGGATTGCCGCCGTTCTTGTCTTCACTATTCAGCAGCTAGGCTCCGTGTCGACTAGTATCTGGATTCGACAATGGGCGAATTCGTACAGTACTGATCGGGTCGACATTGACAATGAGGGGACGTACGCCGCGATGACGCACTTCAAGTTTCCCTCGTTCAACGCACTCACAGTTCCACGCACTACTGTCATGGCACCCCAGCTTGGCACCCAGGCCACGAACTCGGACAACGAGGTCAATGTTGTGTACTACCTAGGCGTCTATGCGCTGCTGGGAATTCTATACATCAGTATCTCCGCAACCAGAGAAGGTGTTCTTTTCTGGGGTTCATTGCATGCGTCGCGTGGCATCCACAAACGGCTGCTCAACACGGTCATGCACGCTAAATTCCGCTTCTTCGATTCCACGCCCCTCGGTCAATTGATGAACAGGTTCTCCAAGGACATTGAGGCTATCGATCAGGAAGTCGCACCTGTTGCGATTGGTATGCTACACAGTTTGGCGTCCGTTATTATGATTGTTATTTTGATCTCAATCATTACCCCGGGATTCCTGATCGCTGCTATCTTTATTGGTATGGTCTACTTCGCCTTGGGCGCCGTCTACTTGAATGCCTCGCGCGACATGAAGCGTCTAGAGTCCGTCCAGCGCAGTCCGCTGTACCAGCAGTTTGGTGAAACATTGAACGGCATTGTCACTATCCGTGCCTATGGAGATGGACCGAGGTTTATTGTCGACAACCACCGGCGCATCAACTCATACAACCGGCCTCACATTTACCTGTGGGCTGCCAACAGATGGCTTGCCTTCCGCGTGGATATCACTGGAGCTTTGGTGTCTTTCTTGACGGCGACATTTATCCTGGCGAACATTGGAAGAATTGATGCAGGTGCTGCCGGTCTCTCACTGACATACGCCGTTACGTTTAACGAGAACGTCCTGTGGCTGGTTCGACTTTACTCCGAGGTTCAACAGAGCATGAATTCCGTTGAGCGAGTGAAGGAGTACTTGGAAGTCGAACAAGAGGCACCGCCCGTCATCGCTGACTCGCGACCGCCTGCAAACTGGCCCAGCAAGGGAGCGGTCACGTTCATCAACTATTCCACCCGGTACCGGCCCGAACTCGATCCGGTTCTGCGTGAGGTCTCGTTCAAGATTGAGCCTGGCGAGAAAGTTGGAATTGTCGGTCGTACCGGTGCCGGAAAGAGCTCTCTTGCCCTTGCTTTGTTCCGTGGATTGGAAGCAGAAACTGGACAGATCATTATCGACGGCGTGGACATTGGCAGCATTGGCTTGAAGGACCTGAGAGAAGCCATCACCATCGTCCCTCAGGACCCCACGCTCTTCACCGGAACAATCAGGAGTAACCTCGATCCATTCGGCCTCTTCACCGACGAGCAGATCCTAACTGCGATTCGTCGGGTGCACCTGATCGGGTCAGGAACCTCCGGCACCGCAACGCCGGTGACAGCCAGTACATTGACCATCACCGAGCAAGGCGCCGCAACACCCAACTCCGAAGCCAACGTCACCGCCAGCACCATCCTCGACAACAAAAACATCTTCCATAACCTGGAAAGCCCCGTTTCCGAATCCGGCTCCAACCTCTCCCAGGGCCAGCGACAGCTCCTCTGCCTCGCCCGCGCCCTCCTCAAGAACCCAAAGGTTCTCATGATGGACGAAGCCACCGCCTCAATCGACTACACGACCGACGCGAAGATCCAAGAAACCCTCCGCGAACTCCGCGACAACACCATCATCACGATTGCGCATCGCCTCCAGACTATCATCGACTACGATAAAGTCCTCGTCCTCGACCACGGCCGCGTCGTCGAATACGATCATCCGTGGATGCTGGTTACCAAGGAAGGCGGCCTGTTCCGCAGCATGTGCGAGAACAGCGGGAACATGGAGACGCTGCTCGAAGGCGCGAGGAAGGCGTGGGAGGCCAAGCGCCTCGTCGATGATTCATAGACTACTACAGCTGTTGCTGCATTGCTCGCTTACATCGAACTGATCTTTCCCTTTCGAGTTCTCTCCAACTAACTTATCCGATATGTTTTATTATCGCTACGTGTAATTATTGTTATCCGTGGACCTTTTCCTTTCACGTCCGTCGCCGTATCTGTACCTATTGCTTGATTTGTGGAAAAAGTTTGGTACATATTGGGGATAAGATACATTCTTCGCTTCTTCATTCGTTGGCGTTTGGGTTCGTTGGCTCTTTGTCGTCTGCCGTTATTTACTACATACAGTACTAGTAGTCAATGGACTTGTTAGACTTATTCCCCTCCCTCTTCTACAAAGTCGTACGTCCTAGTGGGGACTGGGGAATGGGGATGAGGAGGACAGTCACGTGCACCACAAACCCTGGCCGGCGCCCGCAGTGATTGGCCGCGTTGCCAACTATGCACAGCAATGTTTACACCGACTGCAGCTCGGTCGCCAAAGGAGGATCGAGATAAGATTTGCCGTGGTCGACGTCCGTCTGGAATCCAGAGTGAGTGCCAGCGTGAAGCTTTTCTCGCGATTGATCACATGCTCTCTGGAGCAGCAGCAGCAAGAACAGCAGGGCTTTTGCTGTCTGTGCTGTGCTTGATAGACACCAGATACGCAGACGGCAGACGGCAGACAGGCATCGGGGCCGCGCAAAAGGTTAACTGACATCTCACCTACCAGATCATCCAATGGAGAAATGACGAATGACAAATGGCAGATCCAGAAGAGTAGATCTTCCACTGCAACGACGGGCCTGGACGTCCTCCGCAGATGGCCGTGGCTACGATCACATCCATGTCCTTGACAATGACATGACCATCCCCGAGCTTTCCACGGACATGAAGGGGACAGACAGATGAAAGTGAAAGCGGGGGAATGGCATGAGATGAGGGCGTCTTGCTGCCTACGTATGGGCGATGATGATAAGGGCGCGCTTTGACGTTCAAGAAACAGGCGTTCTGGATCTTCCAGAACAATTTCACTGGCTCGGTGCTCTACGAGGGAATTGGGGTTGCCTATGGGCGAGCGAGTGGCTGGCTGTCACAGGTGGCGAGCAGCCTTGTTTCTTCCTCTCTCTTCCTTCCTTTTCTTCCCCTGTTGTGCTGCGAAGCTCAGAGGTTAATGATCCTGGATGGCTGGTGAGATTCCAATGAGCATCGGTAGAGGATGGAAAGAGGGACGAATGCTCGTAGAACCCTGAGGGACTGTGCTGTAACCTGTGTTGCTTGGAAATCTCCTTCCCTGTTCCACGTCTGTCAGCCAGCCATAGAAAGCAGATTTCGTCTCGGATTGAGTTGGCGGTTGACATTCTTTACCACGATGAGAGATAGCACGAACCACGACTTGGCCATGGCCAAGCGTGAGTTCGAATACGACTCACCGGGAGGAAGCGATCCAGTTCGCTGTCAATAATTCATGCAGGCCGCTGCTCAGGAGGGGGGCGAGGAGCGGACGAGTCGTCAACCGGACCACAGCGCGGCCGGTGTATCTTTCGGATTCGGGCAACCCTGACTGGCACTGTGCAGGTACATAAATAGGACGGGGCTTTTCAATCTTTCAATAGTGAGGATGCGAATCGGAGACATTGCCTGCCTATTTTAAACTCTCGAGGCCCATCGATTCTCTGGTTATGGTTTTGTTGGGTAATCCCGTCCTCGACGCGAAGCTCACACCACAAGCGGGGAGGAAGCAGAATACCGGTTGGTCTGGTACTATGGCTGTGGGCCGTGAAGACAGACAGGCCACTCTGGCCTTTTGGTCGTCGTCAGTACTTGCTGGCCATGACCAGGCGCCATTCCTGTCGGCTTCACCAGTCGCACAGGATCCGTCATTGCCACTGCCCCAGCCATCCCAACGGCCGATGTTGTTTGTCACTGAAAGGGATGATCCATGGACGAGTATAGTCCAAGATACTCGCACGCCAACCACATTTTGGATGAGCATAAGGCTCGATGTCGGATTTTCCTTCTCGGACAAGGCCGGATAGCACATCTGGGCGGCACTGAACCTGCCAAAGCCGAGATCAGCGTAGATTTCCTCCTCGGGGTTGCACGGCAGAGACAGTAAAGTAAAACCAACAGAGGTTTTAGGCTGGAGAGGGAGTCTGTGCGTGTGCGTCTCTATCAATTTCAGCGACGGGCCACCAATAATACAAGGCTATGCCCTATCATAGTTTCCCTCTGGCTTCATTTCTTTGCGATTACGAAGCGGGGAAGAGGGATCTGAAGGATCTGAAGGGACGAGACAGGTAGACGGGTGGGTCTTGTTTAGAATCACGCTTCTGGTAGGACGAAGGTGCTCGTCGCTGTCGGGAGTTGGCTTATAATTTGCGGACGAGGGGCGTGGGTGGCTTGGGAGTGGACATGGTCGACGCCCTATCATTACTGTTCTGCCTTGCTGAGGGCAGAACATGACGAGAGCACAATCTCAAGTGACTGAGTGACTGGCAAGTCTGCTTGACTCATGTACCTACCCGATTTCCTGTATCCTGCGCAAAAGGTGCAATAGAGACTGGACAGCAGACAGGCAGGCAGGCAGCGCACAGTCGCCCCTCACCATCGACAGTGGCAACAAGAGCACAGACTCGCTCACTGATCCTCCTTCTGTGACTCTCCTGGTCAATTGATGGGTAAGACGAAAGCTTACGATGCGGTCTTGCACATGCTTTCGCCCAGATCTGCCTCAACGGCGAAGAACGATACGCGCAATCGCGCACACAGCGAGAGACGTCCATCCAACCATCCAACCACCAAATGCTGCACCTGCAAGCCGAGGACCCAGTTGTGTGCATGACAAGAGGGCTCAGACTCAGACTGGCGTGGTTCTTTTCACAATGTGTCTGGCTAATCTCTCACCCAGCACTCGAGGGCGTGTGCGTCGTCGACTGACTGGCACTCGCTGCTGACAGCATATACCTGGATTCATTGTATCTGCTAGCCTCTACCCAAGCTGTGCAAACCCCAGACGTAAGCGCAAGCTCTGGATCTATATACTCGGGTCATTGATCCTCTCGGTTTGTTCAAGGGAGGGTTTCTGCGTTTGCTCTGCTCTGTCGCTGCCAGTGACGATATGGACCCAACATCGTAAGTCATGACTGCCCCCCGCTCTAGAGGCAAAGAACTGAGTACCAGGGGATATACAAGCTCCAAACGACCTCCTAAGCTGCGATCAGCTTGTAACGAGTGCCATGCGGCCAAGGTATGTCTGCTGATCGTCTCTCCGACCGACGAGTGTCTCATCTGCCGCAGGTCCGCTGCTCCGGCGAGAAAACCGGCTGTCAACGATGTGGAAACCTCCATCTCAAATGCGCCTTTTCGATCTCACGGATAGGCAAAGTCCCCGGAAAACGAAGCAAAGCCAACCGCGTTGCTGCTGCGGCGGCGTCGACCTCTGCGCCCATCTCGACGGTGTCTTCGTCCATCACCACTCCAGTCATGTCTCCTCCACTCCTAACTCCAGCTCACTCTTACGAGAGTCCTCGAAGCTTTGGTGGGCGGAATGTACCAATGCCTGCGACATCGTATCCCTTTCCACAGGAGTACCCACCGAGCACGCTTCCACATGCGACTCAGGGCTACTTTCAGTCCACTCCGGAAGACGTCGCCAACTACAGCAACCTCTGCTGGACAACGGAGCTTGACCAGCTGGGTGGACCGGGTCTCTTGAGCCCAGACTGGGAGATTGATGCCGACGACCCGGTTCCTGTCGCAAACACAGCACCGGCATCATATCCGAACCTTCACCCCGTTGAGAGAAGCATATCCAAGGCGGACGCATCTCCCACAGAGTTTATGCCTTCTCCTCAGTGCACGAGTTATCTTCACCTAATCAATGGCATCGAACTGAGCATTCAACATGCCAGTCACTGCAGATCACGGGGCAGTGAAAATGCACAGCCCTCGGTGCTGGACTCAATCCTCGGTGCCAGCCAGAGATACCTCACGCCACTCCTACAGATCACCGAGAGCCCTGCCTTTACACATACCTATAGCGAGGAGCACCTACTCTTCTCCGTTGCCTTGGACAAGATCATATATCTCTTCAGCCTCGGCTACGGAGAGCTCCAGCGTCGGATGGAGATACACGAGGGAATGAGCATGGGCTGCAACGCACCTGCCGACCGATGGTTCCGCTCTGGACCGTACGGTGTCGACTTTATCGACCAGTTGGCACTCTACCGGAGGGTATTTGTGGAAGAGATGAAGCGGGCGAGGCTTTGCTTGGGAAGGTTGATCGACATCATGGGGCCGACCACAACCGGAAGACACGAAGGTCTATGCGAGGACATGAAGCGGAGGTTGGATGGACTGATGGAGGAACTCGAGAGGGACCATGGCCTTCACATGTCGATATAGTTGTTGACCTGATGTTGAGCTTTGAGACTGTTGAAATGGTGATCAGATTGACTGGCTGCTGCTGTACTTCGTTCCTTGTCTTGCTTGATTCACTTGTCTCTTGTCTGTTGCAACTCTTCACCCTGTCAATTTCCCAGCTCACATATATACACCTGTTTCTCTTTTGATCTCTCCTGTTCTAACCTTGAGCAATCTTGACCTCTTCAGCCTCTCCAATTTGCATGATATCTTCAACCTAAGCCGAAGTTGACCAATAATTTCCATCATCAGGGCAAGGTCGCACATACCTCTGACACATACATGAAGCCCCCTGTTCTCTTCATGTCCAAGCAGTGGAAAAGCCGCGCTGGCTCACACCAAAGACATCCCGTGCCCTGAACGAAAGACGTGACCTGAAAGTTGGCAAGCTCCTTGCTTCGCCTATCATCACCTGCTAGATGCACTTGCATACTACACACGACATACATACGTAGTAGCAAGTCCAGTCGTACCCGTCGGCAGATTATATACATCTAGCGAAAGGCCTACTGACCGTTTTGTTCGTGAGTGCATCGCTTAAGGACCGCTCGAACACGCCCTAGCTACGCTCATGTTCCAGCATCGATGGACCTGCTGCAAATCTAGAACGAGCCTTTGTGCAGAGCCCTTCAGAGACGATCCCTCTTAGATTTCATGGCGAGGAACAACAGCCAACCCGCTCTGGAAGGCGCCCACCACAGGCGCCTGCTGGCAGTCTCTGCCTAGCAACCGGATTATTCCTCTTGCACCTAGGCACGGCCAGCAATAGACCCAGTCAGTTGGGCATAATGTGGGACGATTCTTGATAACCGATGGGATGGGGGGACATGATGTATCAAAGATTCATCCTTCAAGGCCACGCCATGGGATCCAGATGTTAAATCGTCTTACGCCTGCTTCTATAAAGAGTGGGCCGGGCCAACACTCACCTCGCAGGATGATGACCCCGTTTGAGATCCCGGGTAGTGATGACGGCACAGAAGTTGTCATCGACGCCTGCTCGGTGCGTGGCGAGACTTGGTGCACGGCTAATTTGTCTCAGTATGTCGAAGGAGGTACCGAAGACAGAGGCCATGGACGTTGATGATCCATTCTATCATGGCTGTCGGAACAAGGCTCTCCAAGCCCTTCACTGCAATGGAAGTTCAAGTGTATGTATCGCCCAATGTACCATTGCACCTGGCTTAACTAACATTCTGGCTAGACAGAGGCGGTTATGCTGGGAAACGCGCCTGATCTCTCAATCCTCGACCCTCCCCTCTCGTACGACGGCACGCCGGCTTTCAGAAAGAAGAACGGAACATGTCGGCCTCTGGGTAAACGATATCATCGCCGGCATAAGAAGCGGAGACAAGGCTATGTCTCGCGTTCGACAGTCCATGGCGCAACGGAACGCACATGGTCTGTGGGGCATGATGTGGCATATTTATCAACCAAACGACATGCCGGGGGTCGGTCTTGATGTCCCGGGTTAGGGTTTATGCGCCTAGTTGGTCCAAGCATGAAACGGGTTGGATGGACACCTGGGGTAACAATAATCTCTAACGCGTCTGGCTTATTTCCCTTTCAAGGCCACTTTGATCGTCATGGAGACCAGTCGGGTTATCATCAACAATCCCAACGAGACCACCCTGCGTGCTCTTGCTCCGCACGCCCTTTTTGGATCTCGGTCGCTAGCTGCGTCAATGCGTGCTTCTCCTGCCCTCGCCACCCCAGGAACTATCCTGGGACCAAAGATGCATCTGATGGAGGTGTCCTAGATATAGGCTATAACCCCCAGGGCAACTCAAAGGCTGCCCATGCTCTTCGCCAAATCAAATGGTGCTTTGGCTTTGACTACGTCTGGACCGAAGACGGTCGGAGGTACAACGCGGGAAGCAAATGGTACACGGAGCTCTTGGTATGGTGACGCGAGGCAGTGGGTTCTCAACTGGCAGCTAGAAAGAGCCACACTGATCATGTCAGCTTTTGTGACGAGTGTCATACCTGTACTGGGAGGTCCGGCACTCAGCAGTGCGGTACCTCGATAGAATCGACTCTGGCGGGGGCGGGTGGAAGGGAGGGCAAGATTACTTGCCTCTCCAGAAACGGCGTTCTGATGGGCCTTGCTTGCTGTTGGCAATTCAAGCATGTCCTGCACGATTCTTGATGAATCCGCGAACGTTCCATCAGGGAGTTGGAAGCTAGTGGCAGGTCGGTCTTCCTGCCTGGCGATATGCCAAGAACACAACGCAGATGATATCTCGAGGGCGAGCTCTTGTTCTTCAGAGAAGGGGTGGTGCAGAGGCCCACAAAAAGCATTTATTGGGCATTCTTAGGCTACACTTCATTCTCCTCTGTTTACGCTTTTCGGAAGGTGCGCGACGTTGTCGGCCAACCCGCATCTAATTCGCAGTGTTGCGCACGAGCTCGAATATTGCATAACCTTGGACACCATCATCATTGTTATTATCACGGCTATGTAGCAGGGTGCTAGGCTACCATAGCCCGTAACGACCACTACAACAGGGCTGGTGCCTTCAATCTATGCTCATATTCGAAGCCAGGATATGGTACCATCACTCAGCCGTTGTTGCTACTGCTATCACTGGCTCTCTCTATTATCTTGATGCTCACCGTCTCCGAGCAGATAAGCAGATCATCCGAAATACATTTTATGATTCCCTGGACAGAATTGACAGCCACAATGTGGCCACATCTTACTCTTCATCATACAAGTGCGCATCTTAGCATGGCAGAAATGCCCGAGGTTTCCAAGCATATTTTCAACACATCAAAGCTCAATTCGAACTAGGAACGTTGTGACCAGTCGGCTTTTACTCTTGTATATTTGCAATTGCCAGATGCATGGGCGTAGATATAGATTCCTGTGACAACGGCGTCGGGGCACCTCGATTTCCCCCAGGTTACTCGCCCTGACTTGTCCCTGCTTCCCTGACGAAGGTCCTGACTGAGACGATAGTAATCATGGCTTTTCGTGGCGGATGATAATCAATCTACTCTTATTAAGAGAAAGCTGGCGACTGCTGGAACGAAAAAAAATAATAAAAAAAAAATATAAAAAAAAAGCCCGGGATTCGGAGATGATTGCCTGATGCGTTGCCCTCGCTTTTTCTCTGAGCGAGACTCAGGCCGGGCCTGTCGTTCGAGCCCTGCCCGGCTGTACAAGAAACATCAAGCAACTCTCTACGCGACCAAAACATGTTCTCGGTGGGCGGGGGGGCAATGGGAGCAGCAGTCTACGTAGAGCGCACTGTCGCGACTCATCGGACGGCGACTCCGTACACGCTGCCCAGTCTAGAATATTCAGGAACAAATAACCTGGGGAACGGCCAAGGTCTGGAGCCCAAGCAAGCCGCTGTTCCGGTGGGGGCCCCCACGTTGGCGAGCATTACCTATGCCGTTCATACAACGGACTAAATATGACGACGACTTGAACGTGTATACAAGTGATGCCGGGCGTCGTATCCCTTGTGTGTGGTTCTGGTCCTGCCTTATATATTTGCAACCATCACCAACAATCCGCCAAAAGACCCCTGGCCACCGTGTGCAAACCTGTACCCGACAGAGAGAACAGATTCCGACGAATCTTTGAAGTCTTAGCGCACACGTAGAGGCATACGGAGACATTTCTCGTCCTTGGCTGCCGGAACCCATGGTCAACAGACCACTCGACGACCGGGATTTCGGCAGTGATATCAGTGGAGTAAGGCGAATGACGCAGGATATATCACCAGACGGCATTCCTGAATCGTTGCGCGGATACTAGTACGTCGGTCCGCAACTGCATTCACCAAGCGTCGGTTATTGGACAAAGTCTTTCTTGCGCAAAACTGCGATGGTATAATCAACGACAAGACTATACTGGTACCCTCTTAGTGCGTGTGTTCAGTCATAAGTTTCTCCTCTGTCTGGGTTAGTTAAGGCTACGTTGACTACCTGCGAAATGCCCTTGTAACATTATTGTTCACGACTCAAATTAGAGACATGTGGGATACATAACCTGGCTATGCAGTAGCACATGGCTTAGATCTTGGGTGTCAACAGCGTCGTATATCTATCCTCTCTAATCCATCCCGACAATAAAAGCATCCATGATCGCGCTCGTCCGGCGGAGTGCCGGAAACGGAAACATCCCCGTAGGCGACTATGTCGCCGCTCGCTCAAGGACAATCTTCGATTTAGTCATCGTCACGGGTATCGATCAAAGACGCAGCTAGGTTAAAGCCTCACCTCAAGAATGGAAGTCGTAGGACTGAAAGACCAGGGAACGCTTGTCCGCACTATAACCAGCCTAGATGAGACCCAAGAACTATCTGGAAGAGCCGATTACTGTATCAGCTATGGGGACACAAGCCAGCGCGAGACCCATTTGGCCGGCGTTGAGATCAAGAGAACGAGGGGCTACGTACGGGTGCGCGCATGCCATACCCAGCTGCTCGGCTGTATGAGGCACGAACCGCGTAGTCGGCTGAAGCGGACTACTGCATTTGATATCATAAGCCTACCACTGCGCCCAAGAAGCCCGCCAATGCCCTCATGACGGCCATCGAAAATGCCGTAAATTCGCTGGACACACTCGGTGCGGCTGTAAAGGGGGCCAACGAAGGGGGCCCTGGTGACAATCAGTTTACACGTTTTGAGCTCACAGCCCACATCCAACCACATGAGCGTCTTTGGCTGTCGGAAGCTAGATGAACAGAGCCAAGTAGTCCCAAAAAACCCCGAGTCCTAACCCTAAGAAAGGCCGTGCATTTCTTCTGGGTTCCCGAGACAGGGACGGGGTCTGGCTTTGGCTACTGCAGTTACACATTCATATATTACTGAAGCTATTAGGGCCCATTAACCATGGCTGTCCAGTATCCAAAGCGCCTTTATGACTGGGTTTAGTTCATGCCCTCTATCTTCCAGTCAGTCGACTCGACACTTGAAAGATCCTCTCGCATACATCCACCCCCACGGACGCCCTTTCGGTTATAACCTTCCGAGCGCGCTTTGGGGCAGTGGTCACTGACTCGTTCAACCAGACACTGCGGAACAACTAAAAGCTTGCCTGAAAATGCCGGTCGGAGCCTAGTGCACTAAGGTTAGCGAACATGGCCACATTGAGGCGGGTGGGGTCGTCTCCCTCAGTTGAGAGGAACGTGAGACATGGTGCTCTAGAAAAAAAAAAAAATTCAACTCAATCACACAGTCTCTGCGACTAGCTATCATGCCAACCAGAATCCACAATTCTATTCAAGGCTGGGTTACAAGCGAGATAGGGACGTGGTGCTGGCTGAGATCGATGCACCACGCGCTTCGCGTATCAGCGGACCCAGACTTGATCAATCCTCGATGTGCAACGCCCTAGGCAGAGTGAGCCTTATCCTTTGCAAACCGGATCTTTCCACGGAGTGAGAGGCTCCTGTTCAGTAATCGCACGCCAGAGAACTATTTTCAAAAATAGGTGTTTCTATCACTACTAGCAGAATGGGCACGACGCTACCAATTGCAATCATTGTCCACGGTGCTATGTCTAATTCCTCCAGCAGGAGAAGAGCCGAGGGCTCTTTTCCCCTTTAGGTCTGGTTCTGGGCTTGTCCCTCGAAGGCACATGGCTACGATCTCCGCCGGTGTGTGTGGCATTCCTGGCTAGTATATGGACTTCATTACATGCTATGGGATCCAACCACTGCCTATCAAAATATCTCACTGGGTAAGGGGTACTCTGAGCAGCACCAGACGAACCGAAAATCCTTATCGCTAAAGAACCAAGAAGGCCCCACGGGCTCAAATCTGCGTCACGCTATTAGAGCTGGGTGGGGGAGCTGTCATGGCACGCTGGGGCGAGTTAGGCCTGAGGAGCATCTTGGCCAGGAAGCGCTCGAAGAGTCCCGTCAGGCATATTGCAGAGGTCGTTATAGCTTCGAGCAAAGGACACAAGAAATCTCAAGCGGGCCTTGTACGCAAACAAAGAGGAACAGGTGCGGTATTAATTGGCTAGAGGCTCTGAAAGTCGGGAGAGATCATGGACCGACTTCCGCCAAGAATATAACCCGGCCTCCATCAACGCAGCTAAGTATATGCTATGCCTCCCTCAGTTTTCGACCCTTGCAACAACCATTGGGCTGTTGTGGAGGCCAGCCAGGATACTCAATGAGAGCGAGTGTCGTCCGTACCACCTCTCTTGCAAAGTTCGGTAAGAACAAGAAGGCTCAAAGACGTCCATATAGTCTAGAACCAGCCGTTGCCTTTGAGTTCTGGAAAAGGAGCGGGTCAATTTCCTGCTGCATTGACGAGCATAGATCAGCTGGGTACATCAAACAACCACCTTCCTTCCGGCTCCAGTGCAGCATACAGACACTTCACGACGGAGGAAACAATAATTAATGGGCTTGCCGCATGGGCGTTCAAGAGAGACGGTGACTCGGCCAATTCCCTTATACCGAGCTTGTTTCACTCATCAATTATACCGAATTTGGAGGTTAAGGCTCTACTATTTGAGTATCCCACGATCTATGTACAATGCGAAGGAGTCAAGCCCTTGAACAAACCCGGCTTCTATTGTGAAACTTCTCATGCGAACGGGAATCCTATAGCAGTCGAGTAGTACTGCCGTAGAGGGAGCTGCGAGTATCTGCACCGTCGCGCATTTATGGTGGCTACTAGCCCAAGTAAGGGGCCTTACCTATTGTCTGCTGCACGACTTGCAAGAAGGGCCGGCTGGGGTACGAGGAGTATCTAGGGGAATGGTTTTGGATCCATGGATATATGGTTGAAAGCTTTGATGTAACTAGTCGCCTATTTTTGTTTCGAGGGGTGTTGACTGGCTGGTGGTTGAGGCGATTGGGGTCGAGCGAGGAGTACAAGGACACGAACATTAATCTTAAGAAGACCAACAAGGGATGGAGATAAGAGAACCAATGAAATGCACCTTCAAAGTATGAGTTCGAGTCGTGGAATGTTGGTGAGCTGGCCAAGAAATCATCTACCGATCTGGTTCAGGGACTGCTCGACGCGCCACACACGTAATCCATCCACTCTTTAGAAAGAGGTTAATCAAGAAATAACTCCAAGGCGTTGGGTTTAGCGTCGTCCAAGATATACCATGGACTCCCAGTTACATCGTCGCGGTACCTGCGCGTGGCATTTCCGCACCCGGCGATCCGGATGCGGCGAGCCCTAACTCGGAGCACCCGACGTCAACCCGACCGATCAAGATAGACATCAATAAACGACAGGGCCAGCTTTCCTCATCTCCAACATGCAAAAAGCGACCATGAGATGACTGTCTTCCCCTCGCCAGAGTTCGAGTCGACCACCGCGATATCGACGATGATCGCCCCCTCCCGGCGCCTCCGCCTGCTCACCCTCCTAACCCTCTCCCCCCTCCTCCTCGTCCTCCTTTACCTCAACCCGCTCTACGGACGCCAGTCCACGAATCCAGGAGAATGGCTCCCGCATCGCAAAACAGCCTCCCTCTCGCTCCCAAGCACCTCCCGCCAAATAACAAAGGTCTCCATGCTCTACGGAAAGAAGAACTCGCTGTATGAGCGCGCGCTGCAGAGCCATCGAAGACACGCAGAGAGATGGGGGTATGGGATGGAGGTGCTGAGGAGCGATATCTCGGAAGGGTTCTGGAATAAGCCAGCCTATTTGCTTGAGATTGTTATTCGGGAGTTGAGCAAGGGGTATGCAGACGGGGAGAGGGTCGAGTGGTTGATGTATGTCCTGACACTCCCCTCAGCTTCCTTGATGCTTGCTATAAAAAAAAGGATGGAAAGGCAAAGCTGACAATCGACAGGTGGGTAGACGCCGACTCCGCCGTCCTGAACCCCGCGATTCCCCTGGAAATCTTCCTCCCGCCCAATGACCTCGGCGACATCCACCTAGTCGCAACAAAAGACCACAAGGGTCTCAACACCGGAATCTTCTTTTTACGCGTACACCCCTGGGCTATAAACCTCTTAGCCGAAACCCTCGCCTTCCCAGCCTACAACCCATCCATCGACCTCGACATCCAAGTCGACCAATCCGCCATGGAGCGCGTCCTCAACGGGAGCAGATACCGCGATCACGTCACCTACCTCCCGCGCACCTGGATAAACGCGTACGAGTGGGCTCATGCATATGAAGGCGAACATGGAAATTATCTTGTTCATTTTCCTGGACTCGGCAAGCAGCGCTGGCCGCATATGGAGCGGTGGTTGGATATTATTGAACGGACGCCGGAGCGGTGGGAGGTTCCTGTTGATCAGACGGGGTATTTGGTTGATACCGAGGCGTTTTGGTATCGGGTGGGTAAGGCCAAGGGGATTATAGATGAATACGCGAAGGTGAAGGCTGAGGCTGCGAGGAAGGGGGCGAGCCCGTTGTCTACGAGTTCGAGGGAGAGGGAGGAGGGGATGGAGAAGGCTGTGGAGGAGTTGAGGAAGGTGCTGAGGGAAGCGCCGTTTGAGGCGCAGTTGTTGCAGCAGAGGATTGAGGATTGGAATGTAGTATCCAAGATGGAGTAGTTCTAGATTGAGTTCTTTTCGTGCACTGGACGGGGTTGAGGTAGTATTTGCGGCGTGGTTGCACTCTCCTCTCTGTCCCGATCCGGCGTTGACATCAAGACTCGGCGTTTTTTGTTTCGGCGATTTTCTACTTGATAAAAATGTACCTAGACATCCCTAGAATTCTCAAGAGACTCGAGAATCCCCAACGCAACTATGCAGCCAAGCTTCATCATCGGCAATCTGCCCTCTTTCCTGATTATCCTGGGCTTCGCGTACTTTCTGACGGTACCAACCCTAACCCCGAACCACATGCAGATTCAATGACCTTCACCTAACAAACGCAGCTCGCCCAACGTGTCCGAAAGAACCCTCTCTCCTCGCTCCCGGGGCCCCGAATCACAAAATGGACCGACCTGGTTCTGAAATACTACACCGTCCTCGGCCAGCGCCCGCGATACGTCCACGCTCTGCATGAGAAATACGGTAGCAATCTACCCTCTTCACATCTTATATACATAGAGACGTGAAGTAGTGTATACTAATAATCATTAGGCCCCCTCGTCCGCGTCTCCCCCACCGAAATCGACATAAGCGACATCCCCGCGGCGCGCGAAATCCACCGCATCGCCAGCCCCTTCCTCAAGGCCCCCTGGTACCGTCTCCTCAACCGCAAAGACGGCGAGAGCGTCTTTTCAACGACGGATCCAGAGTACCACCGCCGCCACCGCCGACTGTTGTCATCCCCACTCTCCGACTCGAATTTACGGAGTGTCATGGAACCGCTCGTCCGCTCGCGCATCGACCTGGCCATCGAGAAAATCCGCAGCGAAGCCTCTTCCCGCCGCGGCGTCGCAGACATCTACAAGTGGTTCTTCTTCATGGCGACGGACATCATAGGCGAATTGAGTTTCGGCGATTCGTTCCGGATGCTGGAGATTGGGACGAAGAACCAGTACATCGCGGACCTGGAGACCGTCGCGAAGATTGGCGGGATCCGCGCGACGTTTCCGTTCGTCATGGCGGTTGCGGGGATCCTGCCCCTGTCGATCTTCAGGGAGGTTGTTGAGAGCACGGATCGGATTGTTAGCTATGCGATGCAGAGCGTTGAGCGGTACAAGGCGCACTTGGCGCTGAACCCGGATGAGGCGGGGAGGAAGCCGACGCTTTTTACGAAGCTTTATGGGGCGAGCCAGGGAGAAAGTCAGAAGAATGGAGAGGAGTGCTTGAGTGATCGGGAGATTCGAAACGATGCGCAGTCGTTTATTATTGCGGGGAGTGATACCACGGCGAATACGTTGACGTATCTTGTCTGGTCGGTGCTTAGGGATGAGAATATCCAGAGGAAGCTTGTGGCTGAGCTTGAGAAGAGTCTTGGAGGTACGGAGAAGGAGCTTTCGGATTCCGAGCTGAGAGAGCTGCCCTATCTCAATCAGGTTATTAGCGAGGCGCTGCGGCTGTATCCAGCTGTCCCGTCGGCTTTGCCTCGCGTTGTCCCTGAGAAGGGGAGTACGCTCGCTGGGTACTGGCTGCCTGGTGGAGCGACGGTCACGACGCAGTTGTACTCGCTGCATAGGGATGCCGAGACCTTTGATGATCCCGAGAGGCAAGACCTTCACCAGGATCAGTATACTAATCAAGCTAACTATGAAACTAGATTCGACCCCTCCCGCTGGGAATCGCCCAGCAAAGAGATGAAGGACGCCTTTATGCCATTCGGTGCCGGATCGCGCAGTATGCCCACGCACACAATACCTCCTGTTGGCGAGCCCTAGCTAACTATGTCTCACAGACTGCGTCGGAATCCACCTCGCACGCATGGAGCTGCGTCTTGCAACGGCCTCGTTCTTCCGTGCTTTTCCGACAGCTACTGTCTCGACGAAAGAGAACATGAGCGACGCAGATATGGAGCAGACGCTGCATTTCCTGCTCTCGCCCAAGGGGAAGAGGTGCCTGGTGGAGGTTTGATCTAGTTAGTAGAGGGTTATCGTTTCAATCAATCGTTAATAAATCAAGATCCATAATACACAGCAGCCTAATATCAATATGGAACTGATAGTTGCGAGCATCGTATTTCTGTGTCTAATCGCGTAGGCGCCCTACCGCGTTTGTGCCCCAACAGTCCATCAGGTATACTAGGAAGGGCAATGACCAATCTATATCTAGCAGGACCACCATTGCCGGTAGTTTCTATGAATCAAATAATCCAGTGAGGCCTTTTCATGTATTTCGAACTCAAAGCGACAGGGAACGAGCGACCTCGCGGTGATCCTAGGCTTTCCTGAATCGAAGAAATGAAACGGCGCAGAGGTGCGTAGTCGGTCAAACGAGGGGTAACTACTTTCGTACATAGCAGAAAGTAGATTCAGTAAATGGCAGGGAAGGTGCAACCTGAGCCTCGGATCCGTCTTTTCCTAATACGTAACAGGAAGGAGCGGTTGGTGGCCGCACCTTCCTCGTACAGTTGTCTGGTTGAACACAGAAGGAGCGACCCAGCCACGGGTGGCGTACCTTCCTGATTCGTAAGAAGAAGTAACAATCGAGGGTCACACCTTTCTTGAACAGTGGGTGACTTTCATAAGGCGCGACCTAACCCCTTTCAGGGCGCGCCTGCCTCGTACACTTACCCAGTCAAGCAGGGAAGGAGCGGCGCGGCTAAGAGCATAAACAGCAAGGGAAAGAACGACCTGGACCGCTGAGCGCCGTGTTGTGCCTTCCTTATGCACCAAAGCAATTGATATGGAAGGCACGACCCAGCCTAAGGGCAACAGAGATGAGCTATCCATATCGGAAAAGCTTGAACTCTGGATGTGAACACTGACCGTTTCCCCTGTTTATTCCCCATGCAGTAGGGGAATCGGACATGGTCACTCCGGCCATATATCAACCCTCATACGGCAAGAAGTGGTCTGGCCTCGAGACAATCCCCGTTCTAGAAGGCATTAGTTCCAGGTGCAGGAGACTGTAAACCTGATCACACCTTCCGTTTCAGTGAGTTTTGAGTAGCTCTTTCTTTTGATAAAGAAAAAAAATAAGGAAGGTGCGACCCTACCAGAGGCCCCGGGTAACTGCGGTACCTGCCTAAAGCGGAGCAGGAAGGGACGAAGACCACGTCGGCGGTCGCTCTTTCCTTGTACACCTGCCGAATAAGACACATACACGCCCCTTCCCGTCTGAAACTTCGACAGATTAAAAGAAGGAACTACCGGCCTCTTGATCATGGTGCAGTCATTCGTTGCTTTAAAATACGCATTGGTAGTCCAAGGCAGAGTCACGCATTGCTTGCCACATCTAGAACAGGGTTAATACAAGAAGCAATATGTAGGTCCATCTTTCCAAGTTCTTACCCGCCCAAACGCTAGTTCCTGATGAAAGTCAGTTGGCAACTTGAAGGAGAAACAGGTATCTTGACTGTTCACTTTGCCCTTCCAATGCAGTATGGTAAATCCTAACCCCTCCGTGGGAGGTAGGCCGCTTCTTCCCTACTTAGTTGTGGCGACATGATATCCAAGGAAGGAACAAACCACGGTCGTACCTCCCCCCTATCCCTATCTGGTTGGTCGTCCCTTCCTCGTTAAATAATTTAATGTAAGAGGAAGGCACGACCATTCAGCGTCCCTTCCTATTACAAACCAGGAAGGTGCATCTCTCGACCCCGTGGTTCCCAGGTCGCGCCTTCCCTGTCTGTCAAATCCTGCTCGGTAAGGAAGGAGCGGCGGCCCCAGCCAACACCTTCCAGAATAGTCATCTCTTGTTACTTGGATTTGACGCCGGCTAGTGGCCAGGCGTAGTGAGATCTCTTATGGAAGTTTAGGTTAGGATTTTACACATTAAAGGGGCGGCCACCACGGTTTCTGTCGAGATTAATGACTCCTATGCTAGGTTGCGAGGCCGGTGGGCATGGGATAAGGAAGATTAATACAAGCGGGGATACAAAGTACAAAACAATCTTTAGCAGGATGTCTTTAAACTGGAAAATGCTATAGAGAGCCCGGGAGTATTAGGGCTTTCTTCAGATGTGCTATAGATCCATGTGGATCCCGCAGATGCGTACGAAAAAGGCTTAGCGGCAGATCGCACCCCCACCGACGAGAAATCCGCTCATCTTTGATCCAACCTCAACAGTCAAGTCACCAGAACACAAAGACGAGACGGCAACCATGGCGCCCACACCCGACCGCGTCGCAAGCATAATGCTCTCATGGCACGCCCTCGAGCTCGTCTCGTGCAAAACCCTCCAAACCCTCTGGGCGGGCTACGGCAAGATCTGCGCGATAACCGCGCGTGCAAGGACCGACGAAGCAGCGGCGCATCTCGACGCGCTGTGCGGGGTTGAGTCTGGAAAGGAGGGGAGCACGTACCCGCTCATCTTGAAATACATCTCGCCGCCACGGAACAGCGGCGGGAGTGAAGATGAGGGGCATCTACGGAAGATGCTAAGCTACGAAGTCGAGCAGTACTTTTACAGCGACGTTGTCCCGCTGCTAGGCGACGACATCGCCGTCGCCAAGTGTCTCGCGTCCACGCGGGATATGGATGGGGAAGAGGGGGAAGAGGAACTTGAGGGTCTCATGGCGACGATTATGGTTGACCTCCGGCCCAAGTACCCCGTTGCGGGCGGGAAGAGGAGTGTGCTTAGCAAGGTGCAGGTGCGTGGGGCGTTGGACTGGTTGGCGGGGTTTCATGGGCGGTCTTGGAGTTTGTTACCGGATTCTTTGGAGGAGTGTGTTTTGCCGCCGCTGGAGGAGGCGAAGAGGAGGGGTGATGGTGCAGAGGTTGAAGGTGCGTTGTGGTTGAATGGCGGGTATACGTACCTTGCGACGAGGCGGAGCGAATATGCTTCCCTTGTGGAGGACACGTACTCGGAGTGGTCGGACGCTTTGTGCAGGCCTTTGGAGGGGTCTGGACTATCTGTAGCCGAGATGGCGGCGGTGTTTCTGACGCCATGCGGGAGGCCAATTGAGTCGTATATCCATGGCGACGTCAAGTCTGAGAACCTGTTTACCACAGAAAACGGGGATGAAGTGGCCTTTTTTGATTTCCAGTATGTCGGTCTGGGGTTGGGGGTTTGTGACCTCGCCAAACTGTTTACTTGCTCGGTTCCGTTGCATATGCTTGTTGAAGGCGACGAACCTCTGTCTGAGCAACTGGAGATGGGTAATGGGGAGAAGGACCTTTTGAGGTACTACCGCATGAGTCTCCTCCAAGATGATGGAGGCGAGCTTTACCCATGGGAAATGTTTAAGCGACATTGGGAAACGGCACTGGTAGACTGGTGCAGGTTCCAGGCATCATGGGGCTTCTGGGGGAATACAGGATGGCTCGAGGCTCGTGTGAGATCGATTCTTCCGGATCAGGGGTGGAGGGACTGGCTGCAACAGGAAATCAGCGACCGAATCCTGGGGGATAAAGCATAATATGATAGAACAAAGACACTAGAATAGACGACAGACGGGAATTGCAGTGGTCACGTGGGGGTTGAAGTATAAAGTTGGGCGCCTCCAACTCTATTCCTTCGCAAATGACGATATGGACACTGTTACTTCAATCGGCATCTCTCACAGCCCATTGACAGCCTCATTTCATTCTAGCCATTGCAGCAATGCCGCCAAAAGACCTAGGAAAAGCGTATGGACCTGGCCGACCATATATCACCCGCAATCAAGCACTGATCATACTATCCTCTCCAGCACGCTCGCAGGTGGAATGCTCAACCTCACCGTTGGACCCTCCGACACCCCTTTTGACGTCCACCTTGAACTCCTCTGCGACTGCTCCCCGTACTTCAACGACCGCCTCGCGGACCGATTCCACAACCCGCTCACCGAGGAGCTCCGCTTCCCCAACGACGACCCGGGCGCCTTTGCCGATTTCATCCTCTGGGCGTACACAGGCACACTCGACATCAGCGTAAACAATGATAGCGGTAACGGTAACGGCAACTGTAGCAGCAAAGATGGCAATAGCAGTGGCGCCGAACCAGACCTTATCCTCCACCTATTCCGCGTGTGGACACTTGCCGCGCGGTTCCTCGTTCCGCAATTGCGGCAGCTGGCCATGTCGCGATGTGAAGTGGAGATGAATGTCGATCCTGAGCGTTTGGCTTCGTGTAGTGCTGTCCGGTTTGCGTACATGGAGTCAACAAGACCTCCGCCTCCGACGACGACCACGTCAACGTCAATGGCTACTTCGACCCTGCGCAAGTTTGTAATTGGGGTCTGGGCGCAGGGCGCGGGTCGTCGGACGCTTTCCGATCTTACGCATGAGCTTCCAGGGGAGTTTGTGCGGGATGTGAATAATGCAGTCACCTCTGGTCGGAAGGATACCCCGAGATTCGATGTATTTCCCCCACCCAAAGCGAGTTTGAAGATGATACGCTAACGTCCATCCGTCGCAGCGTGACCGCACACCAACGCAAAAGGACTTGGGCATCAAAGAACCTGCCCGGATGGCAGCACCACAGGTACTAGCCCACAGACCGAGAATGGGGCATCCAACCCGGCGGCGAACGACTGTACACATTCTGCTGGCTTGCATGCACTGAATCAACGAAGAGGCCACGTTTTGAACTATCCAGCATATAGTGCGACTGCACTCCCTCGTATCTGCTCATTCCGCATCTGTTTCCAATCTCCGCAGCTTGGCCATCACCCAAGCCAGCAAATCCAACGCGAGAGCTCCCACTGGAACTATTACCCTAGCTCCAATGGCTGTCTTAGGGCATCACCAGTTTTTATATGCAAACCTGGGGTTCTCACCCAATCAAGGTAGCCAAGAGGAATATGAAAAAAAAAAAGAAAAGAAAAGAAAAGAAAATGACTAGGTAGATGTCTAGATGAGTTTGGGTGCCGTGCCAGGGCAAAGGGTTAGAGAAAGAAGAGGTATGTGAAGTGATGAGATACGTATAAGAATGGTATGCGTTTTTGCCGTCCTACACCTCAAACGAAACATTTGCGTTTTCTCTGTTACCCTCTACCATGTCCCCCTCCCTCGCACACCTCCTCACATTGCCTCCACTGCGAGGAGAGCCTCTTTCGCCTCGAGAATACTCAGATAAACACCTATAGATCCCGTTGTTAGATTCCCCTACCATGAACTCTCCCCGCCACCTCAAAGGGAAACGCGAGCAAAAAGAGAAGCAAAGTGTACACACCAGAGAGCGGCCACCTCTCCCCAAGAAACCCCAACAACCACCCGAACGCCTCAATCTTCTCCCGAACCACCGCGGACGGATCCCCCCTCCCAATCGTCATAAGCGCCGACGATGCGTGGTACACCACGCTCGCGAGGAAAAACGTACACTGGCCCCGGAGGAGGAGGAGGGGGAGCTGGGTCTCGGATCCCTGCTTGAGGAACAGGGCGATTCGGTACAGCGTGTCGAAGGCGTTGCGGGTTTCGCTGAAGGTATGGCGTTCTGCGTCCTCGGTGGATTGGACGGCCACTTGGCTCCAGTGGTGTTCCTGGAGGAGGAGGATGCCGCTGGTCATTTTTACCATGTCATTATCGATGAACTTTTTTTTACTATGTTTTTTGCTTCTTCTCTTAGACTTGGGAGGGACAGGCCTACCTGAACGAAACAAGGCTCTGGCAGCAAAACGCCAGTTTACCAATTGTGGCTTCGACTTCGTTGGCGCGGACTAGGACGTCGAGGGTTCGGCATAGCTGCGCCGTGTCCATGGGCCGACTGATACTAGTATTGGCATGGCTGTGGCTGTGGGTGTTGGGTGCGATGGGACTCGACCGTATGGTTACAAGGACTTGGCTTATCAGGTACGTTGCCTGAGCGAGGCGTCGGAACTGGCCTATTTTGTATGTGAATGCTTGGGATATGATATTTGCGTCCTCTGGAACCGCGGTCTAGGTATTGTTAGATATGGGCAGGTCGATTGAATACGCGATGCGCTGACCGCGTCATAGAACTTTTCATCATCTACTGGGAGAAAGTCTTCAAAGGCGGGGTCTTCGGTCGCGAGGCTTCGAGTAGGGTCTGCGATATTAAGGAATCTATTCTGTAGTTAGTTAACCGTGATAAGCTGTTGATGGTAATAGGGAAAGATGTCCAGAAAAGACCAACCGGTCCAGGATCAAAACTCCCCACCAGACCCTACGCCTCTCCTCAATGTCCATCCACGAGGCTGCGTCCGTACCCCTAGTACCCCCGCCCATCCTATCTTTATTGACCTTGTCGAGGCCCATGGCGATCCCATACCGGGCACACGCCCCAACAGTCAGATACGCAGCGGGATAGATCGCGTCACCAATTTCAAAGACGGCAATCAGCACTGCAGCCTGCAGGACCTGAAGACACAACCCCTCGGTGCTCTCGACCTCGGCGTAGAACCGTTTAACCAGTCGATACAGCGAAGTCCTCTCCGTATCACCATCCCCATCGCCATCCCCATCATCCCGCCGCGAAACTGGCAGACAGCAAAGCTTCATGCACAGCGCCAGCAGCGCAGACGGCCGCCGAGTCGCGGAGAGCGGATTCAGCACAGCGGCCAGATGCCGCCGGGGACTGACGATCGACATCCACGACCGTGTCAGCTGGAAGAACTCGGCCGTCGTCTCCCGCATCTGCTGGCGATCACCCAGGTGCGCGGCGATTTCGGGGGGGATATCTAGATCAAGGCGCGGGATGTCCAGGGAAGCTTCACGGAAGAGGCTAGGTGCGAGGAAGGCTATCGCCGTAGCTCTCGCGAATGAAGAGGGGATTAAGGGTGACTGCGAGGAGGGGCGCAACGGGATGCTCGCCGGAACAGGAATGGACTCAGCTCCAATGGTCCATTCGATTCCGGGAGTATTCTCGATCGGTGATGCGAATCGTTGTCCGCGTCGCTGCGGATAAGCGCACTTTGAGCCTTTGCGGAGGCACAATTGGCATGCGGGCATGCGCTTGTCGCAACGGCGCTTACTACGGCGGCAGGAAAAGCAAGAGCCTGTTGCGAGGGTCGTCATTATTGGTCGATACCGGCCGCTACCTAGAACTATTGGGAAGCAGATGGGCCAGGAAGAATCTCGGCTGGAGGGCAGCTGCCTGATGAATGAAACTTAGAGTCTCTGCTGGGTCTGCGCGGCAGGTGGAGGTTTTTGGACTGATTCCGGGACTTGCGGGGGTTGTCCAGGCTTATTAATTCATATTTGAATAGTATTGCTAACCAAGACCCCAAATGCCCGCAGAATTCCCGCAATGTCCGCCAATTCCCGCACTCCCGCAACCCACCGCGTGGTGATTGTTGGATCATCGAGACATGAAAACCATCATGCTCTCCTTACACTGTTGCATTTGGATTTATGGATAATCCAGTAGTCTTCCGATTCAGCTATTACAAATTGCCTGACATGACAAATCCTACTGGCAACCGCGGTAGAGATCAGATATATAAGATGTATATGGTTGAGGGTAGAATGGTCTCAACAACAGAGATACAGCTTAGATCTCTATAGTATCGCCATGTCGGACAGAAAGCTCATTCTAGTCATTGGAGGAACCGGCGCCCAGGGCAGCCCAGTCGTCAAGGGTACGCAACACCCCAACCCTAGCCCAGCCTCAGCCTCTAATCCAACCCTCTCCCTGAACCTCTCCCTTGAACAACGTGCCCTACTAACGTATGTACACCCACAGCCCTCGCAATAAGCACCCGCTACGCCGTCCGCGTCCTCACCCGCAACCCCTCCTCCCCGCAGGCGCAAGCCCTCGCCGCGCTCCCCAACGTAACCTTCCTCCAAGGCAGCCAGGAAAACCAAGCGGACCTCCACGCGGCCCTGCGCGGCGTCTACGGCGCCTGGGTGAATTTCGACGGCTTCACCATCGGAGAGAAAAACGAGCTCTTCTATGGCATCCGCGCGTACGAGATTGCGCGGCACGAGGGCGTGCAGCACTATGTCTTTGCAAACTCGGACTTTGCGCTCCGCAAGGCCGGCTGGGATGAGCGGTACCGAAACCATAATGATGCAAAGGGGCGGGTGGGCGATTTCATCCTCGGCCATGGGCAGGCGGGGGGCATGAAGACGTCGCTGCTGACGACGGGGCCGTACATGGATATGCTTTTTGACGGGCTGTTTGTTCCCGAGGAGCGCGGGGGTGGATTTGTCTGGGAGAATCCGGCTGGTAAGAGCTGAATCCATCTTGTGCTTGATGTGATCATTTTAGCTGATAACCATACCCCCCGCTAGCCGACGGCAAAATCCCCCTCATCGCCCTCGACGACGTGGGCGCCTACAGCCTCTGGCTCTTCGACAACCCGGACCAGGCAGCCGGCCTGAACCTCGAAGTCGCAACCGACCAGGTCACCTTTTCCGAAATCGCCGAAACCTTCACCCGCGTGACCGGCAAACCGGGAATCCACAAACGCATCCCGCTCGACGAGTACCTCCACAAGGCCGAACCGTACCCGGGCGCATACTCCAACTGGACCGTGCCGCTCACCGTCCCGCGCGACGAGGCGTTTGTCTCCTGGCGCGAGAATTTTTCGGCCTGGTGGCGGTACTGGGGTGAGGGCAAGGGGTCGACGCGCGATATGGCGCTGCTGGATCGGGTTTATCCGGGGAGGATCAGGAGTTTGGAGGAGTGGATGAGGGCCAAGGGGTATGATGGGAAGGCGAGGGCAGTGTTGAAGGATATTCATGATTTTAGGACCATGTCTACAGTTTGAGGGGTGAGGATTTTGTATTTGATATAGTGTGTGATTCTATGCAATGACAACTCGCTACTCTAGTATTCATATCTAGTAACTGTTCAGACGTCATCGAAGGAACTTGATGTTTCGATAAAATGTCAGGACATGGGTATGAAACTATAAAACCTAGTCTGCATATTCCACAAGATATTCAAGTAGTAGATGTAGACCCAATATACTTCTGTTTCACATGTTTCGCAAACATTCTCTTTTACAAGTATCATATTTCAACACGCACGACTCTGAGCAAGGTAATATAATAACAGGCAAAGATAATTCTTATTCAAAAAGGAGTCAGCCACTACTATCCCCTCCAACCTCTCCAACAGCCTGCCGCCGCCCACGCTCATAAACCAGCTCCACCAACCCCTTATCATCAAAGCCCACAAACCCCTTCAGAATCGAATCAAACACCTTGCGCGGCCCAAACGCGTTGAGAAACCACACGAGAAACGCATTCGTCCCCTTCCAGATATAGCTCGCCCCGCCACCCCCACCGCGAACCAGCACCCTGTCCACAACCTCCCTTGCAAAGACCTCCGCCGCAACCGACACCCGCGCAGCATGCTCAATCCGCCCCTTGAGCTTCCCCTCGACATCCGCATACAGACTCGCGGGCCCGAACTCGATCTTCTCCGCGGAGCGCAGCTTCGTCGCAACTTCGCCCATGAAGACCGTTACGACGCGGATGCCCAGCGGGGCGAGCTCGAGGCGCAGCGTATCCGAGTACGCGGAGACGCCGGCCTTGGAGGCGTTGTAGGCCGCGGCAAAGGGGAGGGGGATCCGGGAGACGATGGAGGCGACGTTGACAATCGTGGGTGGTGTGTTGTTGAGGGGTTTAGAGGTCGGAGTGTGCACTGCGGCGAGGAGCAGCGGGATAAAGGCCGTCACCATGTCGAACAGGCCAAAGACGTTGGCGTCGAACATTGCGCGGACGCGCGCCGGGTCTGCTTCTATTGCTGGGGCTTCGTACACTGTTTCCATCCGTTATCTTGATTAGTTCAACGAGTACCCGAGAGGGAAGGTGATTTGCTCGACCTGATGCGCAGGCGAATTTATATAGGAGGGGAGGACGCACTTGAGCCCGCGTTATTATACAGCATGTCCAGCGTGCCGCCTGTGCGCTGGGAGATCTCGGCCTTTACAGCGGCGATGCTCTCTGGATCGGTCACGTCCAGCGCTAGCGTTTCAATGCCGCTCTCTGCGAGGTTTGTGATGGACTTGAGAGAACGGGCTGTTGCAAAGACCCGGAGGCCTCGAGCGGCAAACTCGAGCGCGAGCGCGTTTCCGGCTCCGCCCTGTGAGCATCTATTTGTATAGTTAGTAATTGTAAGCTATGGCCGGGGCCCGTCGTCGTGCGTCTGTTTTGCATCTTCGGTGGCCTAGTGGCCTCTGATAGAATCACCTGATATACATACCCTGTAATCAGGACGGACCGCTTGGAGGCAGACATGGACGTAGCGAGTGAAGGGATAGAGTTGCTCAAGGTCAAGTTTAGATGGAGACGGTGTGTAAACTCAAGAGAAAGACAACTCAAGTCAAGCAAGAGGCCATTGGCATTTTATTTTGCTATTTATCATCATGGCCCAGCACGTTGGCCGGTGTCTACTATGAGAAACGCATCCAGCCGCGCCGGATTGCCGGGATTAATAATCCTCAGGGCTATCGAGTATGATCATCAGGATAAGCGTTGTGATCAACAAACGAGGCCCGGCGCCCTTGAGGCTCGCGAACATTGCGGGCAATTCAGGTGCGGGAACTCTCCGACATTTTGGATCCAAACAAGGTGTGCTTATCAATCCCTGGAACAGACCTCGGTAGTCAAGAGTCGAAGAGCAGATTAGTGAGCAGCCTACCTGGCATTCGACTGTACATCAAAGTGCAGGCTTCCAAAAAAAAGGAAATCCCTCATCTAATCATCTAGACTAATCAAGGTATCCAGTAGAGTTGGAGGATCCATTGGTGTCGTGTGGTCTAGAGCTGGGCTTCTGAACCGAGGTCTATATTTGCATTATATGATACAGAGCACCCCTTTTCTACACCTTGCCTGGGCTCGGTTACCGTAGCCGTAGCCTAGACCCAACATATCTGCGTATTACTCATAGAAAATATAGGCTTGAGATTAGGATTTGCATTGGGTACTCTTGGCCTTGATGCTTATATTCACCAACCTTTTCCCAACTCCCTCCCCCGAACAATACTACTGAATTCCATCTTATCCCAAGCACACCAGACTAGGGTGGACTTGCCCTACCCACAAAACGCGCCTCCCTCGCTGATAATCGTCATCAATAGCCACCTGCCATCCATCCGAAGCGATAGATAGCGGCTGATGAGAGATTTGGCGCAATTAACTTCATGTTACCGGAAAATAAAAAGAAAAGAAAGAAAAGAAAAGAAAACCCTTCACGTTCTTTCTATACCGTGAATAGCCGGCAGAGCAGCAGGCCATAATTTCCATTTCCGTAGTAATAACAAGGCTAGTGGTATTATCGTTGCATCTTAGGAGACTCTTATATACGATCTAGGTGGCAGTAGTAGTGGTGATTACGGGGCAGGGTAAGAAGCGGAGTAGTTGCCCGTAGGCTATCGGGATGGTTGGACTGGGTTATGGGGAGTGGATGGATAATGGGATAGAGGATTCTCAAACGGTTCCTTGCGGGCTTGGTTCGGTGTTGTCAGGTGCTGGATTTTGCTATGCTGTGATGTTTCGTTGACGGAAGGCAGGTGGGTGGGGAGCGGACTATACCTACTCATTATATAAGTTCTTATTGAAAGTTGATTTTAAACTTCTATTGGATAGGGTAATAAGTAGTAGTTGAGGCTTTTTTAGCGTTCATCAGATAATACCTTAGCATACACTAAAGGTTGTGATTATCCAGCTTCCAAGACCGAATGCGTCAAGACTGGTAGGTCTATATGAAAGAGTGTAGAGGTATATTGAACATAGATCAGAGACCACTGTTCACCTCCACGGTTCAAAACGCTGGATCCAGTGGGACATCGCAATGAAGATGAGTTGAGTGAAGCGACTTTGAACATCTGCATTGGTCGGGTTGACCTTTGATACATGGAGTGCTTGGATCAATACCGGAGCATTGTGGGTATGCTTGATCATAGCGCATAGTGGAAATTTCGGTCTATTGCTCTATTCCCCTGAGGTAGATACCTAGTAGTAGGCACATACAGGTTTTTCTTGCCCACAGCCACGCTATTACATTGAGTTCCTTGAGTTCTCCCATTGGAAACAGACTCTTCATATGCACCGTCTTATCAAGTGATGCTGACCTCCATCAGGGACTGATATGCCCAAGTCGATCGGAAGACATGCTTTCTCAACTCAGAAACGCCAAGTCAGTCAATACAAGGATGACAGCGTAAGTTTTTCGAATCCAGTCCACCATTCATCCAATGTCCAGCATAGCCGCCAGCGGAACGTTCACCGATCAACGTCATGATACATGAAAAGAACGAGGGGCCCCAGACGCGAGCGGTGGTCGACCTGACCAGACGGACTGATCCATTCTGCAAGGACCGGCTAGATTAGATTAGATTTCATCGGTCCGCTTCGGTCTATGAGGATTCCGGTGCGGGCCTTTCCTTGGAAGCCTGGAGAATCGTTCATACCCACAGCGAAAACAGGTACGATTCGCCCAGGCGTGGAAAGCCTGCTTAGCAAATTGTTTGTAATAGCGCTTGCATGGATGCTGGTAGACCTAGACTCTGGTTCGACTCCTTTTCCACTGCCGATCGTTTTGCCGTCAACTATACGATTGGTTATTGTGTACGTTCGTTGCAAAATTGATATCGGGCAGGCCACGGAGAAGGCATGGATTAGACTCCTGCAATCTGTGCCTGGGGGGCCTTATTACAAGGTCATGCCCTGATTCGACGGAATAAAGTGTGAAGAAATCAACCCACATCCGGAGATTAAGCAACGCCAGGCTCAGCCACGACCCCGCAGCCAACTTGAAGCCCGAAACAAGCAGGATTGCATTTGCTATAACTCGATCATGAAAGCATTCCGAATCATAAAACAGGGTAGAAAGGGATGGATATCAAGACACCGCATATGTGTGTTTGTGAATAAAGCGTAGATCACCCGATCAAGCTTGACTGATCTACAAGCGACGATTTGCGGGTCGACATTCGATAGCATTCGTCGGCTGCGAGCAGATTGTCCGGGACCTGAAGAATCCTGCAGGTTACGTACATGCTGGGGGCTGCGACGCGCAAGTGCCACTAACTAGCGGAGGCAGTCCGAGGCACCATTCTAGTTCCGGGGATAGTCTTGTGTTGGTTTCTGCTACTCGAGTCATGCCAGCGTAAACGTATCCACTAGTTTCCTCATGGTCTGCGAGCTCTCTCTCAATCTTTCGCGACGTCTGTGCGAGATGGTGATATAAAGATGCACCATCCACTTTGAGGGCCTTTATTCTTGACTCTCGAGTCTAGCAGCCACACTTTGCTCATTATATCGCAGGACTTACCATGCATCGTCCATCCGCCCTTCTCACCCTCACGAGCGCTGCCCTAGCGGCGGCCCAGGGCTACTCGACCGAGTGCTCAGACATCACCCTGAACGGCGATTGGCTCGTCGCTACGTGTCCCACGGGCAATGGCGATGAAATCGCCAGTAGTGTCTACTTGCCCAGCAAGATCGGCAACAACAACGGAAATCTAGAGGTATGCTAGGCTGCTCTTGTTATGATGTGCAGTAGGGTGCTAATGAGTACAGTGGTCTACAGGGTAACCCCAAAAGATAACCCTATGTATGATGAACGAACAAGCTCTAACTAGTAACTCGATAGCGGCGCATACCACCAGTCCTGCGAAGACTGCGCTCTCTCGGATGCCGCAAACCTGTCGTGCAGTTGTCGAATTGCATCCCTGCCCAGGTACCAAGAGACTAGCATAAACCTCGGTGAGACCAGACCCGATCCTGACGCAATCCCTACTAACCCCACTCCAGAAACCTACATAGCAAACTACGAAGGCCACCTCCTCTCAAACCAAACCGGCCCCATCACAACTATCCCAGAGGACTCTACAGTCCCCGTGCCCTCGGACTTTGACGTCCTGGTGAAACTTGGCGGGCTAAACAACACCTGCACTTCTCTCGGCGCAACACTGGGCTACCAACTGCTCACCGACTGCTACTATCTGAACCTGGGTGGTGACATCACCTGGCCGACTGCGACCTCGGAGAACAACAACGGGTGGGAGATTAGTGCGTTTGAGGATCGTGAGTGTGCGGGCGAGCCCGAGGTTGTATTTACACAGGAGAATCAGGGCGAGTGCTTTAACCCGGATCCGGCTGTTAGGGCTTTCTCGTGGAAGCCGTTGTGGAATGCGGATTATTAGGATGTCTGTCTGGGCATAGAGTGTTAGAGGCGAGGGATAAGTTTCGCTACGCCTGTATCTCTGTAGCTTGGACCCAGAAGGAAGGCACGTTTGGGAAAAGAATCTGCGGGTTTGAGCGAAGCAGCGAGTACCACCATCTGCTGCGTTGGGTACGGCGAACACCCCTCGGTACGAAGTGTTGATGAGCCAATGAATCATTATTCTTGCGTATTTTGATGATGCAACAACTACTCCCATCATCCCGAAGTGGTATCAGCGTACTTGAATCCACAATGTAGGGCACCACTTACTAGGTTATGCAGTGCGCGTAGCACAGAGCTCTCAAATCCCATCATCATTGGCAGTCATAGGGTTCGACATGGGTTGTACCTCGACGGACGTAAGCAGGTACCCTGGCTCCCTCCAGCATGTATCTGAGACCGAGACTGCCAAAGTAGCTCACCAAAGGCCGCAGCTAGATATCAGCACGGTGGCTGCTGGTGGTTTCCCGGGAAATTTGCTCCGAAACCCCAGAAACTATCGTTGATCCCCCAATCAACCCCGTTTAGCTCTCGGTCTTTTGTCTTCACTTTATGGGCATTGCAGAGCAAATGGACACACGCTGCAGAACAACTCTGTCTCAATCAACATCAAAAAGCGTATCGACTATTCATGCTGACTATTCTCACCATCCGGTGGTCTTGTCGCGAATGCATCGCATATCTCATGCCACCTTGGCATGAGATGTGCCGTCGCGTATCAGAGTAAGAAATCGGACAACACACTACGACCGGGCGACGTTATCGTGTCAAATCACCCGGCCGCTGGAGGGTCTCATCTTCCCAATGTGACGGTCATCACCCCATTATCGGCGATCATAACGACGAAGTCCGTGCTGTTCTGGGTCGCTTCCCGTGGCCAACATGCGAGTATTGGTGGTATAGTGGCTGGACCTATGCCGCCTCACTCGAAGGAAACCTGGCAGGAGGGTGCATCTTTCATCGCGTTCAAGCTGGTAAGAGAGGGCCTATGCAACGTGCGAGGGTTAGTGGAGATCACCATACGCAGACCAGCGATATTTTGCGGATGCACCGGGACGAGGACTTGGTCGGATAACGTGAGTGACCCTAAGGCCCAGGTCGCCGCGAACCGAAAGGGCATCAAATTCATCCGAGGGTCGATTCGGGACTATTGGCTGCACACAACTCAGGTAGGGTTTCTCAATGGTAATGGTATCAATGCTAATGAAAGAAATACATGCGCGGAACCCAGGACAGCGCCGAATAAAGTGTCGATCCTGCTTCGAGAAGTTCACGATATGCAAACCGTCGGCTACACGAACGACGGCTCGAAGCTCTCACTGCGGGGCAAAATTAACAAGGGAGCGGGTCAGCAACCTTCGACTGTACAGGACCGCTCGCGAGGTATACGGTAACCTCAACGCACCAAGAGCCATTATCTTTAGTGCGGTCGTCTGTCCTGTGGTCTCTGATCAATAGTAACATCCCACTCCACCAGGGCCGTCTTGCTCCAATCGGAAGCCATTCTCTCCGAAGGCACAATCCTTTCTCCATCTACTGACGCTGCAACAGTCGGTGGAAACGTCGAGGCCTCACAACGTGTGATTGATCAGGTCCTGCAAAGTTTGCAAGCTAGCGGTGCGAGTCAAGAAACCTACAATAACCTTGCCTATGGGTATGGAGGGCAGCTAGTCGATGGTGTCCCTGAGCCTGGCTTTGGGTAATGTACGGTTCGAGCACCCTTCTCTCCTCCTCCTCCTTCTCAACAAATCTTATCAACGAGCAAAGACAATCGCTGAATGTGCCGGGGCGGCCCAACCTTGGGACGGTCAATTTGGTCTGCACCTCCACATGACTAACACACGAATCACCGATCCCAAGTCCCTTAAGCGCCGATACCCGTGCATCCTCCACGAGTTCTCAATTCGTACCGGCTCCGGTGGCGCGGGCTTGCATCATGGCGGCGATAGCGTCGTGCGCGATATTTAGTTCCGGAGAGACGTCAATGTCTCTGTGTTGAGTGAGCGCCGGGCCGTTGCGCCGTATGGGATGTGTGGTGGTGAGCCAGGGCAATGTGGTAAGAACGTGTGGGTTTGGCATGTCGAGCATGGAGAGAGGGAGATGTCACTGAGAGGCAAGAATAGACGTTGGATGAAGAATGGAGGTCGGATCATCATTCGTAAGTTATGGGTTCGTCCGGTTGATTTCGTCACTGACCGGATGCTGCAGGGTTCCCTGGTGGTGGTGGTATGGGAAGGCGCAGTAGAAGGGACACTGGGTACGTACTAGGTCTCTGGCTTCTCCGTTTATTGTGTTGGAAAGCATTCCTGTCAGTGGCACTTGGTTACTTACTCCTTTGGCTGCATATGCCCTGTCTCGATCAGGTCAGCTGTCCTGCATCAGATCTCAGCATCTCTTGTTATGCCGAATAGAGCACATACGGACAAGGTCCTCAGATGCTATTCCACAGTAGGAGTCGCCATGTCCGGCACAGGAGAAAGAAACAAAAACAAGGCTGCTTGAGCGTTGTCATGTGACTGCTGCCCTGCTGTCTCAGATCTCTCTTGTCCTCCATCCTCCTCAAGTGTTACTCTCAAACTTTCGTTCCTCTTCATCCGTCAACCTTTCTTTCATTCCGGTGCCTTCCTCTCCTTCGCAGTACTGGAGTTGCTCATCAAGCAGCTGCTTTCCCCCCGCGAACAACATTCACCATGAGCAGTCCACAGAGGCTCCAGCGCCCGCGCGGTATCCTTAGTCTTCCACTCGAGATCCTGCACCAAATCTTCAGCTATTTCGAAAAGCCGCAAGAGATCTACACCGTGGCTACAGGCTCGTATGTGGTTGAAAATACCGAAGAATTGCATGAAAAGGTCCAGATTGAAAACAATCGCCGACAATCTATAAAAGCAGCACGACTTGTGTGCCGTCTATTCAATGAAGTTGCATCTCCTCTACTTCATGTGTGCCTTGGACTGGGACTGGATCAGGAGTCAGTGGACTTCGTCGAGCACCTCTCTACGCGTCCTTCGCTCGCAAAGGGACTTCGCCATGTTTCGCTTTGGCTAGATTACTGGCCTAGAAAACTTGCGCTGGATCTACGACAGTTCGCGATGATCCACCAAGGTTACTTTCAGCAGAGATGCGATTTACTCCGCCGTTTGCTCTCCACTCCGCTCAATATCAATCCAGTGTCAAAGCAACAACTCCACTTCTACGAAGAAGTACTCGAAGCTTGGGACGCCTATTTTGACACTTCAAACTACAATGTGATGCCACGAAATCTCTTCAGTTACCAACAATGCTTGCTGAACGGCTACGAAAATTATCAACAACGACACAGAGAACAGTCTCGGCTACTAGCGGAAGGGAGTTTTATTCAGAAAATTACCGCTTCTCTAGTGCGGATGCCGCACTTTAACTCCTTACTGCTGAGCGAGTTCAACCGGCTTTCTAGGGACTACAGCCCAAGCCCAGGAGAAGAATGGTGCGGCATAGATTGGCTGGGTCAATATCTGAGAGTTCCTTTGAGGTGGGAGAGAATTGAAGAGCTGCATGCAGAGCTAGTCCCAGTCAAGATCCTCGTCGACTTACCAGTCGCTCTGCATAGGGCAGGGGTGAAACTGACAGAGCTTGATGTGAGTTGTTTCCCTATAAATCGGGGCTTTCATTTACTACAGCCAACTGGGGAAGGCTCGCGGAATGCTAGCTCCTGGGATGACCTCTCCACTTCGTGTCGCGAGCTCAAGAAGTTCTATTTTGCGCCATACGAACCAGGGTATATTCAAGGATCTATCCCACTTGAGGTTCTTTCCGCTGACACCCGTGCAACCATTAATACGTTTGTCTCGGCTATCCTCTCCGGCCAGTGCCTACAGAGTCTACACCTCGATCTGCTAGCCCTGGATGACTCTGGCCCTCCGCGAAACAACTCAGACACCTTCGGTGAGGCACTTGCTACAGCTCAATGGTCCTGCCTTAAACGCCTTATGCTGAGCGGCCTCACGATAAATCAAGAAGTCTTGGGAAAAATGTGTACTGCATTACCCGATAATTTGGAGCAGTTCGCTATGCGCTTCATCAACTTAAAGAGTGGGGTCTGGTCTGGAGCGCTAGACATACTCCGCGACAAGCTCGCAGCCAGGTGCATGCAACAAAGCTGCGAAGTCGACATCTCTGGAGGAGAAATTGGATGGCAGGAGGTGTGGGAAGTTAACTTTGCTTGGGCAGAAACCCACAGTCGGTGGCTTGAGTCATGGGGGTTCATCGGCCAAAAGCTAATTACCGACCAGTTATTTGAGAGATATGTTAGCAGTGCCGGCGTGGGGAAAATCCGTTGAGGGGTGATATGAAACAGATTCTAGACGAAGGGCCCCGCTAGCTGTACTGGTATCCCAGCATTGGTCGTAGTCAGCTAGCATGCGGGAATGACTGCTCACATCATGTTCCAAATGTACAATGTACTACCTCATATCAGCCTTTTAATTGACATCTTGAACTCTATGGTTTGCGACCTCCGCGCCCCATGTTGCTTCGACTCCAGCTAGGTTACATATCCAAATGCTGATAGCAATTTCATCGCAGGAACCATTGACAGTCAAGATGTAGGAACAATAAGCTGATGCCCGTACTGAGACACTATCCTTGGAGGCGTCTGTAACTACCACTACATATGTCAACTAGGGATCTGAATACCAACTAGATTCGAGAAAATGGGTCTTCCAGCTGCCCTGCTACCATACCTTCCATACATTCCTACCAGCACATGGGCTACTCCTCGCATGCCGCCTCTGGAATTTCGAGGAGAAATTGCAGTATCAAGTAAATCACAGTCTGTTACAGGTGCGAATGGATACAAATGCTGTGCAAATGAATCCCAGTGAAAGAATCCTCTTTGTTGGTGATATCCCAGAGCAAATTTCCTAGCGCCATTACGTCCAATCTCTAGCCCAGGCCAATCGCGTCGTATTTCCTAATGACTGGCAAAACGGACCGACATTCTCCCATCGCATCCGCCGGGAGGACCGTGCTTAGTGTTGACTTTCCCCTCATCCATGGATCCCCTCTCCTATTACCTACTCTCCTCCTGTTACCAAGCCAAGAGAAAAGAGGAAAGAACGCTGGACGCCGCTAACAGCACACTCCCGATTACGCCATATTGTAAGCTCATCTTATGACATGACAACTCGATTGTGAGACCTTTCCGACCCAGTTGAGTGAGAGAACAAGGCTTATCGCAGAGCCCCAACCGAGCCTCGTGTTTCACTGCGTGGTATGCTAGATTTTTGCAAGATGCAGCGTTTGTCCTGATGCGCGCAATGAGTGGCATTAAACACTACTAGCAATGGCTTCTGTAAGTTCCATATCTCTCTAGAACAAATTTCAGTGCTAATCCTACGCCTAGCGTACCACTAGAACCATTCCGATTCACGCATCCATGCATCATTTCAGAAATGCCGGCTATCAAAAGGCTTCCACCCGAGTCTTACTCGGTGGGATGGGTCTGCGCTCTATCATTGGAATTGACAGCGGCGAAGGCTATGTTAGATGAAACCCACGCCACTCCCAGGCAGCCCTCGACCGATGTCAATACCTATACAGTGGGCGCAATCTCCGGGCATAATGTGGTAATTGCTCCTCTTCCAATTGGAGTCTATGGGACTACATCAGCATCATTTGTTACCGCCTCATTACTGGCTACATTTCCTTTCATTCGATTTGTCCTCATGGTCGGCATTGGCGGAGGCGTACCGAGGAAAGACGTCGATATTCGACTCGGCGATGTGGTTGTCAGCAAACCGACTGGGGCGCATTGCGGGGTTATTCAGTATGACTACGGCAAAACCGTCAGGGACGGCCGTTTTGAACGGACGGGTAGTTTGAACAAACCGCCTCCTTCTCTTCTGACTGCGCTCGCTGAATTGCAGTCCAGGCATCTGGCTGGAGAGGGCCGCATTGCACATATTCTCGAGACGGCAACGCAGGACACAAAGCTATCCCTTCTTCTAAGACGGCCCGGTTCTCGGAGCGACTTGTTGTTTGAAGCGGACTACGATCATGCTCGAGATGGCGAGTCTTGCGACCAGTGCGATCCGCGCCGGCTTGTGCAAAGGGAGGAGCGCAGCAGCCAAGTGCCGACCGTGCATTATGGTCTCATCGCATCAGGCAATCAGGTTATGAAACATGGACGCACTCGGGATCGTGTGGCGAATGAAACTGGCATCCTTTGCTTTGAGATGGAGGCAGCTGGCTTGATGGATCATGTTCCCTGTTTGGTCATTCGAGGAATCTGTGACTATTCCGACTCTCACAAGATGAAGGAGTGGCAGGGTTACGCAGCGGCTACAGCTGCTGCTTATACAAAGGAGTTGCTGTCGGTGGTCCCTGTGGTGAGCTCTTCGGATAGCGGCTCGCTGGGCCAGGCCGAAACCCCTTACATCGAGTATATCTACAATCTACCCTCTCGACCTCTGTCGGCCCGCCCTTTGATTCCTCATATACAGCGAGAGGCTATTCATGCTCACTCTGGTTTACACCGTGAGCAAGAGAACGCGAACGGTCTCCTTACGCTGCTATCCCACGCGCATCCTGCACAGGGCCCGTCTATCGTGACTACCCCCTTTCAACACTCGCAGACCAATAAGCTTCTGCAGTGGACACTTGAAGCCACGGAAACACTGCCTCCCTCCTCACATCCCACCCAATCGCTGACGCGACTCAAAAAGACGGCGGCGCAGTCCACCCAGGATCATGGCGCCAGCACGTCGCTTCAAGAGCTCCTACAAGCTAAATCACTGTCCCATTCGCAACATGCAGCAGCCACAATATCAAGTCCGCATGGCAAGAGCCCGCAGGAACGCCTTCGGCGCTTCCTCACGCCCCACCACCACCCCCAGCCTTCACAGTCTCAACCGGTTCAATCATTAATACGGCCCGAGATCAAAGCCCGGCTTTCCAGACAGGCGCGCGACACTCTCCACACCAATCTCGAGCGAGTGCTGCAGGAATCTGCGGGGCACTTCAAGCCAGAGGATGCCTTGAACCTTGGCGTTCTCTTTCTGGAGCAGGGGGACGCCGTCGAGGCGGAGCGGAAACTTCAAGAGGCTCTAGCAGGGTTTGAGGACGCGCAGCTCCCAGTGGACGACAATAAAGCGGCACTCCAAGCAGTCGAGAATCTGGGAGTTGCATACATGCACCAGGATAAATGGACGGACGCGGAGAGCGCATTCTCTCGAGCGTTGAGCGGCTTCGAGAGGATCTTTAGCGCAGACCACGAGTCGACCGCCCGCGTCCTCAACCACATGGGCATGCTATATCTAAAACAAGGCAGGTTCACAGAAGCGGAGGCTTCGTTCGAACGAGCGCTCAGATCCGAGGACTCGTCGCGTATCCAGCGCGCGTCGACATACCGCACCCTCAGCAACGTGGGCATCCTCTACTGCACACAGGGCAAATGGGACGACGCGGAAAAGATCTTCCAAAGCGCCCTGCACGGCCTCGAAACAGCCTGCCACACGAGGCGGAGCACAGACGCATCAATCCTCCGCACGGTAAATTGCCTGGGCATTCTGTACTGGAACCAGGGCAAGCGCGCCCAGGCCCGAGAGATGTACATCCGGGCGCTGGAGGGCTACGAGGACCTCCTGGGCCGCGAGCACATCGTGACCCTCCGGACAGTGAACTGCCTGGGGATCCTATCGTGGAACCAGGGCAACCGCGCCGAGGCCGAGAGGCTGTTCCTGCGCGCCCACCGGGGGCTCGGGAAAGCGCTAGGACCCGACCACACCTCGACCCTGCACATCACCAACAATCTCGGGATCCTGTACTGGAGCCAGGGGATGTTGCGCGAGGCGCGCGGGATGTACGAGCGTGCGAAGCGCGGTCTCGCTGAGCGACTGGGTCGCAGCCACCCGGCCACACTATGCGTGGTTAACAACCTCGCGAATCTCCACGTGAGCGACGCCAACCTCGACGAGGCCGAGGAGCTCTACCAGCGTGCGCTGACGGGGTTGGAGAAAGTGCTTGGTCCGCACCATATCTCGACGGCGCATGTGGCTGTGAACTTGGGCAACCTGTATCTGAATCAGGGCAGGCTAAAGGACGCAGAGGAAATGTGCGCGAGGGCACAGACTACTGCAGGGGATCTGCCGACTCGGCCTATGCATGAGATGATCAATGCGGCTTTTGCTCTGATAGACTATTGAGACGAGTCTCATGCTTGTTCAGGGTTGCTCGTTCTTTGAGATTTCCAGCTCTTGATGATTACTGCACGTTTCTGGCTCGTACCTGTCCATGTGGCTGCTGCTCGCGCACCATTGCTGTCTCCTTCCTGTTAAACAAGACGCCTTGGTTATATTGTTTAGAGCTATACCAAAGAATCTCATCCAGGTCAAGCAGACAATGAATTAGTCATGGTTGAACACACATACCGTGACCAAATTGCCGAGTCTCATATTCGAACCAGTCAGTTGCATCCCTGCGTGCGCGAATCCTGTCGGAAACCAAATCTGATCCCAGAGTTCGTGCAGTGACATCAGGATCTCGCTACCAGCAATGACGAACGCCAAATATGACTCGTATAATTTCGTCCTTGCCACCGGGCCGGGATAGGGATGGCTTCGATTCGGCGCTGTTCGGCTCGATCTGATCTGATCTTGGAATCAGGTCCTGGTTGGCCTTGGCACTGAGAATCCGTTTGGCGAGAAATATGCGGATAATGAGGATACCTGCCCGATTGGTTGTACACGCAGCTGATTATTTCAAATTCTGGAAAGCAACATCTATTCGTTCCCGCTGGGAGTCTTCAATTTCAGTCCCTGTCCTGTCCTTGTACCATCCCCGCGGGACGGACCCAAAGCCTCGAGCCTTGAGCGGAGGCAAATGTGACTCGTCACTTTTGCAATCTACACTTTATGCGTTCGAGATTACGAGAGACACTAGATGAAACTCGCTTATGCGCCTCTTCAGATACCGAGCGCAGGTTTTTGAACTCCTGTAGTGCTTCGGCACGCAATATGTACGTTATCGGTACTTCGTGTCATCGCGATGGAGGGATCAGGATCCATAGATGCTCATCTGACCAAAAACCATCATCCACGCTCCAGCATCCAACCGACGCAGCACCCACTTTCTACGCACCCATAGCCCTGGGGCTTGAGCTACGCAGGAATCTCTACCTTTCCAGTCTGGGCCGCCACCGTCGCGTCTCCCTCGCCCTTCAGCTCGTCGCGCAGTCTGCGAGCGCGCTCGTTTCGGCTCTCGCTTGCGGGGTCGAAGTATGCTTTTCGATGATCAGTCTCGTTCTTGTACCTTTCATGGCCCTGCATTTGCCCCCACATCGCCTCTTCCGTCTTGAAGATCGGGATGGTTCGAATTTATAGGGAGAGGGAGAGGGAGAGGGGGACTTACGCTTCTCGCCAAAGACCGTCGTCCGGATTCCCCTTCTTTTGCCTTCATATGTGCCTGGGATGACGCGGTGGAGGGTGCATCTAAGTATGGATAGTTAGTACGATTCACACTTGCAGTACGCCGCACTCTTAGATGAAGAAAATGGAGGGGATGGGTGGATACCGATTATCCCACATGGCCACACTGCCCACCTCCCACTTCCACCGCACAGCATGGTCATCCGCCGAGTGGATATGGTACGCGAGGAAGTCGAGCGTCTTGTCTGCGGCAGCATACACATTAGCAACCAACCACGAGCCTTGATACCGCCGCTCAAATCCAATCATAGATGACAGAAGGGATAGGGTTGGTTAGTAGTGTTCCTAGAAAACCTACCAGACTCGACCTTCTTCAACTCGGCAAACCCCGTAACGAACCCGGGGTTCACATTCAGTGCTTTCAGGCCCGTGACCGGGTGTGTGCGGACGGCCGGGTGGTGCGTGTCGATGGGCGGGCGGTTGGGGCCTACGCCCCAGAGGTCGATTATCGTGTCGTCTGGTCATACATCTGTGTATTAGGGCTGCTTCTCGCTTTTGCTCTCGTGATAGGGTAGGAAGAGGAGGGGTCTTCGGGATGTAGCGTACACTGCAGCCGCGACGTATGCACGGCGTGCAACCCGTCGAGGAACTTCTTGTACGCGTCGCTGAGGGCGTCGTAGAGGCCGTATTGGGAGACCTGTCCTCCGTCAGGTCTTTGATGGCACGTGGACTACGATTGTGTGTGAGGGTTATTATCAGTGAACGGAACGTACCCAGGCTGTGTCCCCGCCGACTTTGGGGTGTTCTTCCATTCGGAGGAGGGAATATGAGGGTGCTGCAGGCGTGCTTGTTAACATCTCCATCCGCATCACCGACTATGGGGCGGGAAAGGGCAAGTATGAGTGAGGGACCACATACGGTTAATCTCGAACGAGGTGTCTGCGTGAAAGTCGCCGCTTGGCTAGACGCTGTTAGAGACTCGTCTCATCTTTGTACGTGGCTGGAATGAGTGTAGTGTTTACCCATGGTGTATACTTGAGGATCTCGCGGTGATCTTCGCGGCTTCCGTGGATGTTCACGTACTGCCAGAGATGTCAGACAGTATATCTCCGTGATCATAATTGCTGGGTTTACCTTCTGGTCCTATGAGATTGTCAGTATTGTAGATCACGTAGCCTAACCTCCGTAAGAGACAAGGGAAAAGAAAAGACTAACCTTTTGCGCTGGATGCCTATCCAAGATGCCTATCCCACGCCACTCATCAGCACATGTGTACTCTCCTCCACCACTTCATCCACCTCATCAATCCAAACCAAACCCACCACAAACAAGGAGCTAGAGGGGGGGCGCAAATACACACCGAAATGCTCAAAAACCCTAACCTGCCCCTGCGTATCCAAATCCTGCCCCCGAAAAAACACCACGCCGCGCTCCGTCACCAGCGCCGCAAGCTCATCGAGCTGCGTCCCCGAGAGCTCTGAGATTTGCACGCCCTCGAGGACCGTCCCGATGCTCTCGGTGAGGTCGACGCGGGTTGCGACGGAGAACAGGGCCTTCTTCTCCGGGTCTGCAAAGTGCGCCCGATCGCGTGGTGGTGTTATCTCTTCGCGCAGAGGCTCGGGGGGAGTGTGCGCGAGGATTTTGGGGTTGAAGTGCGGGTGGAGTGTTATTGGGGTTTGCGAGTCCGGGGAGATGTGCGAGCGGGATTGGAGGTTGGCCATTTTGTTCCTGGGTGGTTTCTCTTGTCTTTTCCGTTTGTGGGCGTGGGATAATTGCGTCAATCGTCGACGAGATTGTGCAGTTGGAGACAGCCACCTTTGGTTCTATCCATGAGAGAGGCAGCAGACAGTGTGCCGAGTCCCGGTCAGAGTTCGCATCCTCCAGGGAAGAAATGTTGTTGATTTGTAAACAGACGAGCGAGCGACTTCAGCCTCCAAACCCAACGCCCTAGCGACTGGAATGGTTGATATTGGATGTTGCACTCATGTCGGCGCCTAAACCCGACAGTCTGGAACCTATATTTTGCTATCTCCGACGGAGCAAGGATTTCGGCGTTTAGCCTTGAGCACGCCTTTCAACTTGGATATGAACTTGATGAATGCAAGAACAAGTCCAAGTCACTATATATACCGGACTATAATAGTGGGTATTTGTCGTCGAGTCGATGTTGGCCCATTACTGGACTTGAGAGTACGCCATTGAATGAGTATACATCGAGTGCAGTGAAAATATATAGTCATCCCAGGATATATATAATGCTTAGCAAATGGCGTGCATGAACAGTTTACTACGTCCAGGATATACTTACAGAGTACTATGAACTTAATCAACTTCCACTGCAAGGAATATTCTCGTTGGCAGGCTCAGGCACATGGCTCGCAGCAATAAATCCACCGAAGACGCAAACAATTACATTCAGGCGAAATACTCCGACGAGAACACGAAACATTGAATGGAAATGACCTCGGATTGCAGCATCTATCAGAAACACGTTTGAAACCCTTCAGAGGACATCTCGAGCGTCTCGTCCAACCTCCCTCAATATAATTTCCACCTCCAACAGAGAACCAGACAGGCAAAGTGGAAAACGCATTTCCGAGCCCTCAGCAAAACCACAGCGGAGTCGAAGCGGGATCTCCAGTGCTCCACGAACCCCGCCCCAAGTCCACCACATTCCACTCGTTAAAGCCCGGGCGAGCTCTGTGCGCCTATCAGCGCCCTGCACGGCCGGGTCACTCGCCGACTCGGGGAGTGTGCTGGCTCCACTGGGGCATCCTGAAGATTTCCCAGGTTGAGTCTGGGATTCTGGGATTCTGGGATCTTGCCGAGATTACACGGCGTATTCGTACTTCTGCTGCTACTGGAGAAGAAGAGGAGTGCTGCAGAATGCAATCCTGCAGTGCACGAGAAAATGAGGATAAAGAGATGCTTTTGCATTATGTGCGAGTTAGCGAATGGATGTATGTACGGTATGGATTGCCATGTCCTGGAAATCGAAAACCAAATGTAGACCAGGTATGACGGTTGCTGAGTATAGATCAATAGATAGGGATGGTATAATAATATGTGTAGAGAAGATGCTGCGCAGATAGATAAACCAGAAAATAGACTCCCGCCAACGCCACGCTCAGTTCAATGATACGCTCGTGAATAATGAGAGAAAAGAACGACCCGCTGATGATACCTGATGAGAACCAAACGAAAATGATAATGAATGATGAGTTGCGATGGAACCCAATATCCGGGAATTTTGTTGGAGTGCAAGTTGGAATGGAGATGAGAAGTGGCCATGCCATGAAATGTGTGGAGATGGGCCGCTAACGGCGAAGCCGGTTGACTCGGAATGCCGTAAGATCAATAGACTCGACCGATTCTTGGTCGTCATCTACCTCGATCGTTCCCTCGTTCGAGGCTGGCCGCTTCAAGGACTGTGACGATGGCCGTGGCTGTAACTTTACCTGGGGCTCTGCAGCTTCAGGCGCACTCTCAGCTTCTTTCTCGGCAAGTTCGTCTTTCTTCTGCTTCTGAAGGTGCTGTACCTCGTCTGTGGCGAGCTTGAGCAGCACCGTAAACCGTTCTTTGACGCTGTTCAGTTCCGACGCACAGGCTCCCGCACGCAGGAAATGATACGCCGCCGTCTCGCAAAAGCCGTGGGCGAGCTCCAAATGTTTATCTGCCATTTCAAAAGGGGGTTGCCGTTGTGTCGGAGGCGGCGGCTGAGCTCTAGACCGCGAAATGCGGATGCTAGCCATGAGCTGGTCCTCGGGTGCAGCATTCGGGTCGATCATGGGTGGGTTGCGAGCGTGAAAGTTCCTCGTGGCGGACCGTGAGCCAGCAGCCAAAGGCAGCTGAGACATCTTCCCCTTTCGAAGGTTATTCCTCGCCGTACCAATATTGCGGACCAACTCCTCCAGGGACTTTTGTGTGTGTCCGTCGTAGTGTATTATAAGGTTATGCCGCGTGCTGATGACAGCGGGCCCATCCGTTGTTGAATCCAGAGAAGACGCATCCCCATCGTCGCCACCCCTCCGACGCTGACCCCCGGACCGGACGGAATCTGTGCGAATCGAGCAGACCGAGCTGTTTCGTCGTCGACGGATCTTCAGCGGCGTAGCAGAGTGCTTCTTGAAGGCCTCGGCGAACTCGGCATGTTTTTCAGCGGTGTGTGCAGTGAGATCGGACAATTTGGTTAACCAGGTGGGGAGATTGTCGGCGAGATAGGAGAAGGCGCCCAAGGCGTCCATCTGGCCAGAGACCATACTCTAGTGGTGAGGGGGGAATAAAACGGTGGGTTATCTGTAGGAAATCGAAGGTTGAGGTGAATATTTCAATCGTTTCGTCGTGGAATCATCAATTCGATGGGGTTGTACACTGGCGTTGGTTATGCTGGGGCTGTAGCCAGCCTAGGCGAGTTCCATGGATCAGGAGCAAGGACGACCGTGGATGAGTATCGTATGTCGAGGACCTGGCGTCGGAAACACAAAAGAAAGTTTCCAAACGATCGTGAATTCAGAAGCGTGATCCCCAGAATAAAAAAAGAAAGAGAGGGGAAGGGGAAGTGAGAAGGGAACAGAGGGAAATTTGGGTTGGACGGCAGACGGGACGGAGCGAGAACGACAGACAGACGGACAGGCTGGAGAGAGAGAGAACCTGCCAGAGAGTCTGAAAAGCCAAGACCTCAAAAAGTACTGCTGCTCTTCAGGAGGCGGTGCCCGCTCTCCAGCTTAGCTGCAGCCGGACCGTATCTTACACCACGCTAGCCGTATCCATCAGCTGTCACTTGAGATTGCCGCAGTCTGTTGGCTGGGGACAGTCCGAGCCCCTTGCAAGCCGTACCGGGATGTTAAATTACATCCAAAGATACCGCCAAAGTCTTTCTTTCCCCAATGGGCATGAGCAGGGAAAAGTCCCCTCCGGCCTAAACTCTCAGGCATCAGCATCGCTGCGCTGTCCTGCTGCAAGTTGACGCTATGGCCAGTCGTGGTCGAGATCTGTACAACATCCCAGTGTCAATTCAACCACGCATGCCATTCTCCAAACAATCCCATTCATTCCGCCTCATCCCTGTCAGCAGCACCAAAACAGCGGTGAGTTAGTTGGCTGCATGCATGAATTGACGACGGTCGAAAAAGCTGCTCGACGACTGCATGCAAGGAAAAAAGTCCCGGCCTCGACGCTAATTCTGGCCATCTCTCCTGGAAGTGTCAATTCCGAGAGAGGGGGTCGGATCAGTCTCTCGTCGCTTCCGCCCCGTCTTGTTCGGTTGGCCATCCATGTTTACGGTTAGGTGGGCTGCGATTCCTTTGTTTTGCAGGGTAACACCGACCAGGGCGCTCAATCTGCCACAAGGGACGAGAGGTCCACAACTTCTGATTATCAGTGTTTCTGGAAGCCTCGATTAAAGATTTCATCTATTCAACACGGCTGCTCAGGAGTGGCATGCTGACTGCTCGCTCACTCGCTTCCTCAATAAGGATCGCCTCAACTCGCCGACTTGACCCAAGCGCCTAGTTTCTTTGTCCCCTCGTTTACGCTAACCACTTCTCGATCCTTCCGCTCCACCATGAGATGACATGACGGCGGCGGCAGCGATGCGGGAACGTGAGATGATTAATGGTCAATGATGTGCCCTCCTCAAGCCTCCCCAGCAAGCCCGCCTTACCCGAACCAGACATGACACGTAACGGTCGACAAGCATCTGCCACCGGGCAACCTGCTCGCTGGCAACCATCTGGCCCTATCATTGGAGGCATTACCGACGACTTCTGAGGTCTCAGACAGCGGCCGGGGTTAATTCAAGCTCGAATCCATCGTCTCCCCACGCAACGTCGCATGTCGCAGCTGGAGCACGGGAGGCACCGATCGCCTCGTGCCCGCCAGTGGCCAGCGGCCAGCCGGCTCGCTGGCAGGTTTCCGCGGTAGATCACAGCGGGCGTTTCTTGCTTGACTTGCCTTGATGACAGGAGTTTCGTCCAATTACCCAAGAGGCTTTGAAGTGGCTTGCAATAGTGGTGAACAGGGCTGCCGGCGCCGGAACTCAACTCAGCAACGAGTCTCGCCATTTTGACTCGTCGACATTGAACAACGGAGCCGGAGACCAATTCCGGTTGATACGCCGTTGATCCAAAAACCATGATGCTGCTCTCTTCCTCCAGCTGTCCAGATAGATTGATGATGCTGATCTGTGTCTTACAGCGTAAAGCATACATACTACTATTGTCTCTCCTGCAGGCTGCACATGACCAAATCCGTCGAGGACGCTGCTGCATTGTTCTTACAGGGTTGCCAATCCAGTAAAGATTGCGACTGCGACGGTTCCAAGCCGCTCCGCTCCAATGTGACGGAAATTGCGTAATGGCCTGATCCCGCCCCCGACCGACGTCCCTTTCATTCCCATTCCTGGCTACGTTAGGGAGTTGAGATGAACTTGTCCCATTGATTCTGCATGGTAAGAAAAAGCCATACCCTTGTTAGGAAATCCCCAAGACTTCTCTTTCCGGGATTCAGGGATAGAACTTTGGTGGTGAGTCTTAGCTATGGTTCACAGGAAAGGAATGAATAGTCAAGATTGCAATGCCTTCTCCACGGCCCTAGGTCTTTCATCTAGATAGCTCTGGACCGTTGATACTCATACCCTCGGGATGCCGAGCCATGTCTTTGACATTTGCCCGTTTGCGCCTTTCGAGCCATGCCTTGAACTTCAAGATTTGTGCGCTCCATGCTTTGGAACTGTTGACAATAATACCTCTTGCTCTTCCATTTCGCGCCATTCAACCACTCGCATTCGTGCCTTTCAGCCCTCAGACCATACCATTCGATCCTCGACACTGGTGCTGATCAATCATCGATCTTTATGCCGTCGAACCTTTAAGAGTCTTGTCTTTGCTCCTTCAAAATTTATGCACGTACGGAGTACACACTGCACGGGGTTGCAGCATTATCAGCATTACCATATACAAGAGAAGCAAAGTTACCATTAAAACTGAGCAGGGTAGGATCAGGTCATGACATAAGAATATCAATTAGCCTATCTCAGTGAGGCCCTTCTTCCAGGTTTGCGAACTCGACCATCTCATATAACACCATCAACAGTCAACATCGTGTCTCATACCCCATTATGGCTTGCGCTTTTCCTTCTTGGGATGACCCGGTTCTGACTTCTCTGGCGAGCCTGATGGCTTGCGTTTCGCAGCCCGCGGTGGCTGCGACTGGCTGCGTGGTGGTTGACGTGACTGACTGCGTGACTGGCTTCGTGTCAACACCCTTTCTCTCTGCGCTATAGCAGATCCTGCACGTGGACGTTGAGATGGGCGACTCTGTTGAGTTTCTACAGACGGAACGGCTGGACCGGAGGGGTCGTGTTGCTCGGATCCCAGGGTAGAGGGTGCTTCGCCTGCATGATCATGGTCAGCTTCCCCAGCCCTGCCGAGACTTTCATCTATCCGGGCATCTGAGCGTGCTCACTCTGCTGCCGAATTGTTCTCCCCTGTTGCCTCAACCGAACTATCGTGTCTAGGGCAGGTCCTATGGGGCTCCCAGGCGCCATCGCCGACTATGGTCCCCAGTACTTTATCAGCCCCGCGCATGACACGTGGTGGGGTAACTGACCTGGCCGATATCGAGAGGGCTGGGTTCTTCACGCGGTCGCCCCGCCTGCTGCCGACTTTCTCCCCGGACCCGTCTCAGAGCCTCCTCATGCGCCTCTTGCATAACCCGTTCGAGAACATGCTGAACCGTCTCTCGCAGAGCTTCACCGGTCTGGAACGCCTGGCATATTTGCTCTGCTGCGAGCTGAGGCACTCTCGTAGCCGTGCTGGGGCTCGGATGGCTCGGTCGCGGTATCGGCGACGGCTCGTGCCGCTCAGATGCTGAACTTGCACTAGGGCTTAGAGGAGCTGGACCCTGGGGTTCGGGGCTCTGCAGCTCGGAACTTTCAATGTCAGAGCTCTGGTCCTGTGAAATCTGTGACAGAGGACTCTGGGACGACGCATCGACAGGTGTTGGCCTCGGCGCCATGGGCTGTGAAGGGGGAGGCAGAGCTGCTCCCCAATCAGGTTCAGCAAGTTACCATTCCCGCACCAACAACCCAGGACTACTCACCTTGCAGCTCCGCCAACTCCTCCAAAAGGCCAGGCGGCGGGGTCGGCGTCGGCGACTTGGACGTGAACCGTATATCGCTGGCGGTGCTCGTGAGTGAAGAGACGGCGGCGTCCTCTAGGTTCCGAACACGAGGTGATGGCGATTGCTCTCCGATATCTTGGAGGGGGTCGGGAGATCCGTCGCCATGGTGTGGAGACCTGGGCTCATCGGGAGACTGGGAGTCCATATTGCTGTAAGATAACGAAGTTCGTACGGCCAAATGATATCAAGGTAAGCAATGTCGATGAGTGTCGATGAGTCCAAAATAGAGGTGCAGATCCAAAACGTGTTCCTAAAAGTCGAAAGGGCGAGTCTTTTCAAAGATAGAAGGAGTAACCATCGCGCTTGTTACCTAAATGGATTCATCCTTGGTAGATTGTTCTTTCCACTTTCACTTCTTGATAGTATACACCGGGCAGTAGTATATCCCCTCACGGCCATAATTCAGTCTCTTCCCACTTGCCCCCACTCTCATCCTCAACAAACGTCCACCTCGTCCGCCGCACATCTTCCGGATTCGAGAGATCCAACCTCTCTACCTCCTCGGGCAGAATAACCAATACCCGAAAGTTCTCTCTTGCAGCCGGATCCTGCAAGTCCTCAACCTTCTGATTCAACTTCCACTGCGGATTAGACGGGTTCTGGGATCGAGGCGTGCCAGGGGTTGGGTTTTTGTATGAGCCTAAGTACCATTAGCCCTCCGTTCCCAAGAAGATACCATCTGCACTAACGAGGGACGCAAGGGGAAGAAAGCGAAAAAGAAAACACACCTCGCATAGCAGGCGTATGCGACGCAAAATACGTCGTAACCTGCCTCTCCCACTCCCACTTCTTGACCTCCTCCGAGATCGACTCCCTATTAGCACCCTCAACAACCCTCATCCTCCGGAAAATCCTCTGGCGCACCCCCTCCTCCCCAGCTCCATCGCCCCCAATCGTAACCCCCTTCCCCCGAACCCTCCACTGAGTCATAACCCCCTCCTCAAACCAAAACACGCCCTCGACAGCCTCCTCCCCTCCCTCACCACCTCTACTATCCCCACTAGCACCCGACCCAGCAATCTGCCCAACCTTGCCCATCCGCCTATCCGTCGTAATCGCAAAGAGCTCACTCTCGTACACCTCGGGATTCAGGCCAATCCCCTGCGCCTTGAGCGCGTCGAGCGCAGACTGGTGCAGCGACGACGCGGGTTTGGGGAAGAAGCCGCGGAATTCGACGGTGCGGGCGCGCGGGACGGGTGGTTTGGCTGGGTTGTTGCTGTGCGCGATTGTGGAGAGGGTGAAGGAGGAGGCAGAGGATTTTTCGAGGCCGGACAGGAAGAGGGCGCGCCAGGGGGCGGCGGCTGGGGGTTGAGGGGGCATTGTTGTGGTTGTTGTAGAGGTGCTGTTGTGGTGTGGGGTTGAGGGGTTGGAGTTTGGAAGATTGGATGCTGAGGGATAGGGTGGTGATTTGGGTTTGTTGGAGATTCGAGGTCACTAGAGAATCTCTGATATATAGCCAGGGCTTAGTGTAGCTTCTGGAGCAATTGCGAAACCAATGTCGGAGGAATTGAGGTCGGTGATGGCGTTGACTTGGAGACTTGGAGTCACGCCAGAATGACGTTCGCACGTGCGGTTATCTTATCGCAAAAAAAAAAAAATCCATCGTTTGTGAGAGGATTTGCACGAAATAGCTGGGGATACATATCTACAAGTCTAACGACGGCCTGTTGATCATCGAGAGCTGGATTAAACACGGTATAAGCAAGACGGAAGCATAAACCCAGATCTGACTCTTTATATTTCGATGCAAACTCAACGCCTATGAGCAATGGTAACACGGCCATATACATCCCAGACCGTCTCAAATCAAATCGAACGAAAGGATCCCCAGTACCAGTAGAACAATATATGCAGATACAGCCGGAAATCAAATGTTAACACCCATAACATGTGGTCACATCACATCTGCATCGCATCTCCCTCCCCATCCACATCCAGATCCGCACCCCCGGGTATCCGCCCTTCATTAAGCTCCCTTTCCAACCGCGTAATCTCCGCGAGACTCTTCGCCTCGCGAATCATCTTTTCGATCCTCTTTCTCTCCTTGTCCGTCAACTTCACCCGCAGACCCTTGTCGGCCGGTGCGCGGTCCGTCGTGCCGGCGGCGCCTGATGGGACGTCGAAAGTGCGCGACTTGACGCCGAGGATCTTGGATGCGAGCGCGGAGGGTTCCTCGGCTGTTCCGAAGAGCTCGGTTGCTTTGGCGCGCTCGGCGTCTTTTACTTTTTGGTAGTCGAGGAAGCGGACGCTGGGGATGCGCCAGATTATCCAGAGGCGGTAGTACTAGATAGCAAGTCGAGTCAGCTTTACGCGAGCTCCATGTGGAAATAAAATATAAAGGGTATGGGATAAATGGGCGCGCGTACCTCCTTTCGCGTAACTGGGTTCTCGAGCAGTGTCAAATGCGTCAACCGCGTGAGGTTCCGGAGCGGATCCAGATCCGCCAACTCGGCGATGTTATTCTGCGTCAGAACAAGCGTCGTCAATCCAGGTATCGAAGTAGCGATAGTCGGCTGAATCTGTCGGACGCGATTCCGCGCGAGAAGAAGCATGCGGAGACGAGGGAAGAAGGGGAAATTCGAGAGGGAGGAGATATCGTTGTCTGTGAAGTCGATTGCATCTTGGTCCTGCACCACCAAAGATCAGTACAAACCCATCCATCCATGCACTTCCAACCAAAGACCCTAGAACCAGAGTAGGTGACGCGGGAAGCGAAGCGGAGCGGAGCGGCGGCCTACCTTTGCAATACCCAAATTCTCAATCGAAGGTATTTTGTGCCCTAGACAACCCCAACGACAAAGGTCGATATCAATCCAGCTCATGTAAAAGTGTAGTATCTGTCCTTTTCAGGCTCAGTGTGTGGAACGCACCTCGTAGATCTAGCTCGCGATCCTTGAGCGGGTTGATGTAGGAGAGGGAGTTTTGGATCAGCTCGACGGTCAAGCGCATGGTGGCGGTTCGCTATCGCGGGCGCATATATCGAAGGGGGTATTATGAGTCGTAATCGACGGTCTGGCCAGCGAGATAGGTGGGTATGAGGTGCAATTGCCGTTGCGGAAATGTCGATGAAGCTGGAGTTGTCCGTTGGATTTCTCAAAGCTCCTTGCAGGTTTTGCCAGGCGGTGAGTGGCTTACCTAAGTCATCCGGCTCAGTTTTTGTCACGTGCTCATATGCTGGAAGTAATTAGGGCAAAAATCTGTCATAACAAGAGCATGCTATAGTTGAGGTAGGATGACTGCTTTTGCGCCCGCTTTTAGGCTGCTATATTACATAGAGTACTGTAGCGGAGTTACAGTCTTGCGGATAATCTTTCTACAATGGTCAGTCACATACTTTTAGCCATCGAGTATGGAGTACAAAGGGACGGCCTCATCTAGAGCCAGCTAGTCTGAATTAACAGCAAAGAGGGCCCTAGCAAAGACAACTCAAGCACTGACTACGTAGGTAGTGTCTTAAAGGTTATATTTATAATACTTGTCCCTTGTTTGGCCCAAGGCCATTTGGATTCAAGTACCAAAATAAAAACTGCAATGTAAGTAGTACACATACACATGGACAGACAATCAGACAGCAATTGCTTGGTTACTCTCTCTCTTTGCATTGTTACCATGATTCTGGTTATTTGGTGCGGTTATTGCACCTTTATGCTAAAACTAAGAATACAAGCGTGATGCCTCAGACCACCAGCCTGTATTGATAATTAACATAGAGTCTGCACTTGATGCCAAGGATGTCAGCTCTGACCATATATTTCCTATTTGGCAGTACTATGCGCTTGCATAGTCTAAATAGACCTTCGCGTCGGCCTCCTAACCGCTACCTTGATCTAGGCCAGAAATATTGAGACACTTCGAAACTCAGAGCTACCTCATAATCATGATACTCCCCAACTCCCCACTCTCCTCCTTACCCTCGTCATCATGATCAACGCCACCCCAGTCAAACGCGACGACTGGGACTTGTCAGACATCAACATCATCCCTGGCTGCCCAGGTCTCAGCACCCCCGGAGCTTAAACCAAGGGTAGCGGAATTTGTAACGCCCCCAGACCCCACCCCCAGCCGCAACCCCAAAACAACCCGTCATATCGGATCCAAGAGGCATACAGACCCCTAACTACGAGATAATGCTAGGCGTGGATCATGACACGTATCTCCATGAAGTCTGCCACCAGTTGCAGGACGGAAGAAACCAATGCTACCATGACTGCTATCGCGGCGTTTCGATTCCCTGCGCCGCTTCCCAGGGGGAAGCTGCCGCTCCGGGCTCTGGTGGGCCGAGTACACTAAAGCCAAGGCCGACTACTAGCAATGGGAGCGAATGAAGTTTAAGGCGGCGCTTGGGTACCGGCTGGGGAAAGTGGTAGAACGTGGCTTGGGTTGAAATATCTACAGGGCCTTAAGGAGTGAGAGGGGATGTACGTGCAATTTATGTTTACACGAGGAAATAGGAAGGTTCAACACCTATACCTATACCTTGACCATAACCACTGTAGAACTATGTTAAAAATATGTAGGCTTCGTAGAAAGACTAGAGCAAGGTACCCTAGGCAACTGCGTCGAGGCGCCTAAAGCGCTCGAGAATGAAGACGCCGAAAGAAGAGGCTCACTGCGCTCCGCTCCACAAATCTAAGACCCCGTAAAGAGCTCGGGATCCCGCAATCTCAAGCCTGGTTACAGAGGTGGTCGACCAGCCAAGTATGCCTAGCCAACATCGTAACCCGCATTGGGGCCTATTACCTGCTCCCCTTCCTCTTCTGAAGGGGGGTCCCTAGCGGACGCTAATAGGTGCGGGATAAGTTGAGCCAGGGTGTAACTCCTTTAGGTGCTTTTTGGGTAATTTTTCCACTGCACCTGAACACAGGCACGCTCATCGCCCCCACTTGCAAGATTTTAAGAGAATTACCCTCTAGCTAAAATAATACATAGCAAATTCTTAATAATAGCTTGCAAAGTCTTGATGGTTACTTTGTGAACTACACGTCAACACTTCAACCAATCTCGATACCAGCCAAGGCTACTCAGCCAGCGTTGGGGTATCTATTTGGGGCTGGATCGTCTTACCCGGTCGGGTAGTACAGTGCGCTTTGGTATAATCCGGAAAACTATAAAAACCCTCACCCATCAAGCTTTACTCATACTAAATTGCCCATTAGAATATTATTACTCTCTCGAGTCTCCAGTCTCTATTCTACAACAACCACCAACAATGCTCTCCACAATTCCCCTTCTCTTCACGCTCACCCTCCTGTCTGCTACGGCGACTGCCGCTCCAACCCCACAAAGCGCTGAACAGGGCGAGCCCATTATCATGGGGAAGAACTGTACGCCCCCACCCTCATCTCCATTACCCTCTTTATCTTTCTCCCCGTCGCGGACTCAACGAACTCGCCTTGAACGAAGCTAACTGAAACCCAAAAAAAAGGCCCAGATCGTGAATCGCTATGCCACGAGCTCTGCCACACCTACACACAGACCAGTCGTGATATATGCTACGACAGCTGCTACACTGACTATGCGATTGACTGTGGTGATGTGTATGAAACGGATGCACAGGCGCCCAATAGGCCGGAGCCGAGTCCGCCCCAGGATGGTCCGGCGTCTGATCCTTAGTGGCGGCTGCTGGGGTGGCCAGTATGTTCCAATGCGTTGGCGGGCGTGACAATGTACTTTAGGTGCAGTAGAGACAGCGCGATGGCGGGAGAAGAAAGATGGGAAGAGGGGAGACTAATGGCTGTGTGGGTTATTGTGTGATTGTGCTCTGTTCTTTTCTATGGCCTTTTTGCGAGATTGTGTTGATATGTGTTGCCTTTTTAAACGTGGGTTGAGGAGGGACGTATGTTGTAAGTGCGAATAAAGGATGTATTATCTTTAACTTAGGGTTGGCCCGGGGCATTTGCTTAGAGACATGGTACTTACTTGGTAGATGCGGACTAGAATGATCCTTTACGTGATAGGACGACTGATGCTCGTTACTTATGGCTGTACTCGTGGTTGGAAGCAAAAAAATCTATCTACTTAAAAAATAATATGAGGCGTATATCTCTACGAGTAATCCTGTTTTAAGGCAGAAGATTTGCATGCATACATGTACAAGATGACTTTATGAACAAACGTAATGATTATGATAAGTCCAGTCTAAGAGCCCAAGAAAATTTATCTTACGGATTTAAGTTTAAGACTTATTAGACCTCAAGCCCCTTCAGCCTTCGCGTCCTCCTCAGCCTGGCTCTAGCCATGCGCGCCATTTGCGACTCTTGGTAAAAAGTAGACATGACAGGTACGAAGCTACACTCGAAGCTAGATGGGAGATTTTCAAACAGGTAAAGAAAAACCCCGAGACACTTATGGCAAGTCTATAATGGATGGCAGGCTACCGACACGAAATACAGTTATTTACGGGAGCAGCTGATTATGCGTTGTCCAGCGCCCACAGTAGAAGCACTTGCGATTTTGCGATGAAGAGACAGATTGATTGCTAGCACTAGGGATAAAAGAGACATACTCCTAGATCCATTTCTACTACATCTGTAGTATGATTATGTATACTGCCTTTGTCAGTGGTGCGATGGGGATATTGCTGCGCATAATAAAAGTCTGGCTAGATTAATACAACATCAGTGTCTGATTAATATTGGACATCATGCCATACATGGTCATGTTGCCTCACAAGTATATAAGTACCTACAGTCGTAGATGGTAATGGATATTCACCCATTACCTTCTGCAGCCTGCTCTATGAGTCCAAATTTCCTCTATCAAACCAATCTCATCGCAGAACACCTCAGGCTGTGCTTAATTCCACAGTTCACATAAACTATGACAAGCCAAATAGCTCCTAGCTTCCCCTTCGCGCGTTAGTCTGTTATCAATTTGAATTCCACTCATGTCGGCCACTGCGAATTCCTGATCAAGCTGAGCTCATACTGCGTGCCAGGTACCCTATATCACTATTAAATATTAGATGACTAGATATAGTAACTAAATGGCCCTGCTTTTATTTAGCATGCTAGAACATAGGCCTCCGTACCCATGTGCACTTCCATGTCCACTTTGCTTCCCCATGGTTAGTGGACCCCAGAGTCTCCAAGGGCCCCGGAAGCTGCGGCTCGCTTCCGCTGCCCTGTGTGTCTACAAGGAGTTTGCTCGCCCGGAGAAAGAATCTCTCTCAACATACATATGTAGTCGGGTCCGTGAGTAGCGCCGATCTCAATAATTGTCCTCAGGATTGTACGCTAATTAGTTGAAAAGAGATAAAGCACAGAAACTCCACTCTTGCCCTTTGTGTGGGAAAGAGTTCACAGGAAGTGATGTTCGTCAACCCCATGAGCAAATCCACAAGATGCCGGGGTCAGGCCCTATGACCTCATTGTCACAGCATCAAATGTAATTACAAACACTCCAGCCAGCGCAAGGCGGTTTAGAGGCAGGTTTTCTTAGTGTTGTCCCCGGCATTAGTAGCTCCGCTACACATCACCCTACTACTAATTGGACCAGAGTGTGAACGTTAGGCGCTCTTTACTGACACCACAGCCCACAGATCGTGAGCGAATATCCACGGCGTTAGGGCCCCTATGATGACCAGCTTCTGCATGGGATGCACCAGCTGTTCTTTTTTGGGAGTTCTTTTGACTATCATCTCATGTCTGCTTTGCTGGACCCAAGCCCAGGGTCATTACACGTAGTCGACCCTCCTACTTTCCCTGTTAAGAGCGGACTTCACGATACTGCGCATTGCGGGACATGAATTAAACCCATATCACATCTCGTTAGGTAGAGCCTGTCACATACGACCACAGGGTGTGGAGAACAGGGCTTCCCGTCCGCTCAGCCGTACTTAAGCCACACGCCGGTAGGTTAGTAGTATGGTGGGTGACCACATGCGAATCCCTACTGTTGTATGTTTTTGCATTTTTTCTCCTTTTTGGTGGGTATTTGCCAGGTTGTGTCGGGCTGTAGATCTGCAGCGCCAAGCTTGGTATCACGAAGGGGGTTTTCTCTAGCTCTACTACGCCGGATTATCGCGGGGAGGGTTCTTTGTTTTTCCTTTTTTTTTTTGCTCTTTGTTCGCCCTGCTTTCCTCCGTACTCGAATATCTGTTCTGCTATAACCTGGCTCTACTTGCCATTTTATAGCGTACGAATTACGTAGGTCGCATCCCATCCCAGGATTTGAGTTATGGTGCTAGGCAGAGTAGCTCCAAAGATCGCGCTGTGTTAAGATTATATAACGCGCGGTAGGCCGAGCTCTAGTTGCAGAATTACCATGATACACAATAATATCACACGCTTCAATGCAAATTGGCAATCTGTTCACAGTGTCCGGGTATCACACTGACAATCACGCTGCAGGGACCGTCGATCTGGGGTTTCTATGCCGCCGTGGCCCCGAATACAAGGTTTGACCAAGCCACTCGGATACCCTGGCTCTGGTCCACAAACACCGCTTTGATCAGCATCGTGGGTGTTTTCATGTCTTTGGAATTGCTTATGGGTTGCCTTTTCTTCATGATTTCCCCTCTTTTTGTGAGCGTCAGCGACGATCTTGCCCCAGAAATCCGGGGAAGGGGCGTCTGTTCGGCCGGTGAGTCACTCCGCTGGCCTATCCACGTAAACACAACTGGGAGACGGAGAGGCAATATGTAGATCGCCATCCAACTCTCCGCTCCAGGAGTGGAAATAGTGTGACTGCATGACGAACGTGCAGAAATCTTTACAGTTGTTCTGAACCCGGTGAGCAGGGGACACAGATGCTGATGGGGCATCGACGGCTATAAATTCCCATCGTCTTCCCACACCAAGGAGTCTCGCTCACCAGAGTCAGAGATTCACAGAACCGAGCCCCAAGCATACCATCCAACGAGCCCAACAAAATGAAGTTCTCAATTATCCTTCAACCTCTGCTGCTCGCCGCCGTGGCCAACGCCCAGGGCTGGTGTGCTATTGCTCTGAACCAATGCATCCAGGACAATAACAACCTCACTCAGGCAGTTAACGACTTGCAGTCTGAGCTGGACAGCCATCTCGCATACAGGCCCATTAATTGTGAGTTTTCATGGGCAACGAGAGCTTCCTAGTACAACCGTGCATGCGAGCTAACCAGTATCCCTTCTGCAATTTAGGCCCCGGGGACAACACCCAGCTTCGCGCCGGCGAAGACCAGATCTGGCGCGTGCGCTGCGGAAGCAGTATGTGTTCCCTTCCTGCAATGCCCCCGTCCCTCTCTCTCTTTTTTTTTCCCCCTTCATTCCCTTCCCTCCTTCGTCTCATTTATTCCAAAGGACCAACTAGGTCTCCCACATTGCTAACATACATCCACCATCCCTAGCCAGCGGCCGCGCCCCCGACTACACCCGTACGACTAGTGACATGTACGACTGCTTAGAGGCGTGTGATGAGACTACTCAGTGCTCTAGCGGGGCGTACAATCCGTCTACCCAGGAATGCAGACTCTGGGATACCACTGACCCCGGCTGGTCCAACAGTGCGGACTTTGATGGGTTCTTCCATATTGGGCGTGTTAACTAGAGCGAGTTCACGGCTTGTATGTACGCTCTGCGAATATCCACCGGGTGCGCAATTGTGGATGGGGTGTCGGGCTAATAGCTTGAGGCAAGTGTTTCGAAGATGGGACGAGCACGAGAACCGTGCTATGTGCGTTTTGGATGATTTAAGCGCAGTAGGAAATTGAAAATGCATCAGACTTTTCTGTCTTGGGTTAAATAACCTAATTACCACCATCGTAATGTCCCACTGAGATATAGTGTGATTATCATACCTGCGTAGGATATAGGGCCCGGTTATGAACTTCCTATTGCTCTCCCCTTCTCTCGGAGTAAAACCGCCGACACCATCGCAAACTCCAATCTTCCTACCACCAATACCAGGTCCTTGTAGTCTTTGTACGCATCATGTTCTTCTGCATCTGGGAAATCCCACAGAAGCTCCTCTAGGAGTGTTTTGCGATTAAGACCACTAATAATAGTGGGCTAAGCGCGGGATTTTAGGAAGGCATGTATCCTACCTATCACTTAATCATAATAAATGCTTGGATAAAGAATATACCTGTCCCAAGGCGTGTACTTGTAGAGAGGGACTTAATGGCTTAGATATATTAGTTTAGCCCAGTGCCACTACTCCTGCTATTTAATAGTGTGGTTGTAAGGATTAACGCGAAGCAGCTGCGCTTATATAAATAGTAGTGGCCTAAGGCTTAGTATACTAGACAGGATTCCAAGCAGGAGGCTGAGAAGGTGATAGTGGAAGTGGTAAGAAATACTATAGAAGCAAAGTATTAGCATGTTAGGTTTACCTGTGAGTTATAAGCTACAGATTTAGGGGAGATTAACCACACAGTGGATCTCGGGTCAATGGACAGGGCGGTTAGATATTTATACAAGTATCCTGAGCTGCCTCAGGGAGAGGAGGCGCCTACACTGAAGCATTTCATTAGGGCTTGAACCAAGTATATACGATCTTCTGGCCGCCGCTCTTTACAGTGCTACTCCACCAGGCGATTCCTATGATGCAGTGTTCTATCTCCTCCCGGACACCATTTGAGAGGAAAGTGCTTTGCCGCGCTGTAACACAGGCATATCTAATACTATTTGAGATAGAAATCTGAGTTAAGATCATAGTGTAGTCTTTCCAGTAACGTCGGGGGCGGCCTTCATTTGCACCAAGACCCAGCACCAGTACCCAGTACGCGCCCTCCTGGACCTTGCCTTGCGCTCTGCATTGTCATATTTGTTTGAGTCAGCGAGTAGGGGCACCCATCTTACCTTATAGTAGCTCCTCGTTTCGAAAGCGCGCAAGGCTGGCCATTTCATCTTCGCAAATTTTCAGCATAGATACCCTCCAAAGGGCGATCAGAATGCTCAAAGAGAGCCTTAATCAGATAGGCTTCTTATGAAGATTCTTGGTCCCAAGTCGAAGGAACAACGGCTGATAAGCCTATATATTAACTTGAAGCAGAATAAGGCCAAAGAAGCTACTTATAATACTTCCTAAAAATTAAAGTATTCCTCAAGCACGTGCCTAGTTACGCAGCTGTTATGGAAGTCTTTATATAGGTGCAACTATATATTATTATCTAATTAAGAGCCCTAGTAAATTACGCTTATAGTAGAGTACTATATCCATATCCCAAGCAGTGGTCCGAAGCCACTAATTACTTATAATTAGGCGAAAATTAAGTTCCAACCTCCATTCTCCAACCTTTCCAAAGCCTCAAGCGCGGCAGGCGAGACAATTAGGGACAAAACAATCTAGCTAGGTCTTTTATCTCAGGCCAGCCGCGGCGTGGCCCTGCGTTGGAGAACCATACCTGGGTGCCTAGGAGGAATTAGACACTCATGGAGAAACCAGAGGATTGCTTACCTGGAGGACTGGTGATATCCTCCATTGACACATCCATATGAACCTTGACCTCCATTTTCTCTGCGCTAGAAAAGTCGGCGGGGGTATGTGGAGAATTCCCCTACGACGAGAAGTTATATACCTGGTGGGGGAGTTGAGCGAGTGATTTGATTTCCTGCAGCCCGCACATTCTAGATCACACATTTCTTACTTCGTCCGGCCTAGACCTGAGAGAACTCACGAGATAACATAGTGTCACATTGCATTGTTGAAAGGTTCATTTTCCAAATGTGGGCGCCAGCTGAGTCTGCCAGTTGTCTCCGAGGTACTTGTCGCGGTGTACATCGGCCCGACTAGACGTCACCGGTGATCGACAGGCTGATCAGCGACTAGTTACGAAGTACGAAATGCTGTAAATAACTCGAGGATAGACGGAAACCGTAGAATACCCCAAAAGCTTGTCACCAACAAAGTGTGGGACTTATTCTGGGGTGTGGTAGTGCTCGTACATTCTCAAGCCTGCACGCTCTACCAAAATGTTGGATAGAACTTGGCTGGAGAACTGATCCCTAGCCAAGACAAGGCAAACTTAGAGTTGCATGGTGGAAAGTTCAAGTTTGGACTCGGACTAGGGATGGCTTGTAGGCCCTATCGTGACCAGGAGACCTGATGGTGTGACAGCCTCTGGCAAATACCCCCGACCGACCCTACCAAGGTGCATCCAAATCACAACTACGGAGTAGTTCGAGGGCAAGACTCGCCTCGCCAGGACTAGCTAGGCCTTGGAGAAACCCTGAATTGGCGAACCAAGGGAGGGAAATGGTGGCTCAAGATAACCCCTTGCGTCGGCAACAAGTGCCAGCCGGGTTTGGAATAAGGGGCGACCTCAGGTTCCTGAGCGATAAACTTACTTGAATATAGATGGTACTGGACCACAAAGCTACCTGGCTGATGGTGGCTGGGGGGTTGCCCTCGCTGAAGGGAAATGAGGAAGAAACCGGGGTTAATCTGGTGGCACCTACACGGTGTCCAGGGAAGCTACGACCCACCTCTACTTCATCGCGCCTTCCTTCTCAAAAGGCTATTGGGGGCGACCGGAAAAGGAATGTGCGAGGTTGCCCTGAGAGACGCCACGCGGCCGTACTTTCCTTACCTGTGCTGCTCGACTGAACCCCGTCCAGAGACCGGGTTCGATGCGGGATATCGCCGAGGATAAGCAGTTGCATCTGGAGTTACAGAATGGATCGACAATGAACACCTTGCAGATCGCCGATGAAGGACTGTTGATCCCCACGTTGAACGTGGACTCTGCTCTGATCGACATCCCGGGGTACAGTAGCAGGTATCCGAATAGGGTCTGCCGAACCAGGTATTTTGAACACCGCGGGGTAATTTTGACAAAACTTCCCTACCACTTATTGGGGTCTGTCGAACCTTTGATCGACGTTTGACCGTCCCCAACATAGCAGTGATGGCAACAAATCACAAGGCGAATTCGTGTCCAATGTCTGCCTCGTCTCTCAGCCACGTCAACAACCCCGCCACTTCAAGCCGGTTGTTATTCCATCAACCAACCCCGCAGACCATCCGCGTTCTGGAATCGACAATTTGGACAAACCCCGTCGATCTCGTCTTTCGTCTAGTTCGGATCTGTACACAATGATCGCCAAGAATGACGCCTATACCGTCGCCTGGATTTGCGCCCTGCCGGTGGAAGTAACCGCAGCAAAGGTTATGCTGGACGAGATCCACACTCCGCCTCACCCAGAAAGACCAGGATCTGATCAGAATGCTTATACGCTCGGCCGTCTGGGCAATCACCATGTGGTAATCGCTTGCTTGCCATTTGGAGTCTATGGAACCACCTCAGCGACAGCAATCCTATCCCGCATGCAGGCGACGTTTCCCCGCCTTTCTTTTGCCTTGATGGTCGGCATAGGAGGCGGCGTACCCGGAAATAGCCAAGGTGCTGATGTTCGTCTTGGAGATGTGGTTATCGGTACGCCGACGGCAACATCTCCAGGTGTTGTCCAGTATGACTATGGGAAAGCCATCGATGGGCGGTTGCTGCGAACGGGGGTGTTGAATAAACCTCCGGGTTATCTGCTGACAGCAGTTTCTCAGATTGAGAGTGACTCGCTTCGTGGTAAGCGACCTGTCGCGGCGCTTATCTCTAGCGTACTTGAAGAATATCCACAGATGAAGGCCCGATTCTCCCGCCCAGACACGGACTGGCTCTTCGATTCTACGTACCAGCATCGTCAATCTACCGATGACGATTCGGATGGAACTTGCAGAGCATGTCATCCGGGGGAACGAGTTGCTCGCTTGCCCAGAACAAGCGACGAGCCTCTTGTCCACCATGGCGTCATCGCCTCAGGAAACCAGGTGATCAAAGATGCCGGGAAGCGAGACTCTCTTGCTCACGAGCTTGGCATTCTCTGCTTCGAGATGGAAGCTGCTGGGCTTATGGATCAGATCCCCTCTCTCGTCATTAGGGGAATTTGTGATTATTGTGATAGTCACAAGAACAAGCAGTGGCACGGATATGCCGCGCTCGCGGCTTCGACATACGCCAAAGTCTTGTTATCCGAAGTCCCAGCTCTCCAACAGCAGAATAAAGGCTTAAACGCTCCTGTGCAGCCTCTGTGGATGGTGCCGTTTGCTAGGAACCCCCGCTTTGCTGGCCGCGAGGAGGAGATGGCTATCCTTGAAGAGTTCATCTCTTCACGAGCTGAGCCCAGAAAGTTCTCAATAACTGGCCTGGGCGGAGTGGGTAAGACACAGATTGCACTTGAGCTCGCCTACCGGCTGCGGGATAAGGACGCTAACTGGTCTGTATTCTGGATACCCTGCACCAGCAGGTCAAACATCGACCACGCCTTTCTCCGGATTGCGGGTCTTGTGGGGATAGGGGATATAAATCATCCCAGCGAGGCGACAAATCGAGTGCAGGACTACTACAGCCGTTCGACCGCAGGGAAATGGCTCATGATCTTTGACAACGCAGACGACACTGACATGTGGATAAAGACCGAGCGGGAGCCTGGCCCGACCCTGAAAAGCTTGCTTCCGCGAAGTGAACAAGGATATATCGTCTTCACAACGCGAAGCCATAAACTCGCGGTCAAATTAACATCGACAAATGTAATGCGCGTCCAGCAGCTGAATCAGGACTCCGCCGTTGAAGTCCTGAGAAGATCTTTAATCCAAAAGAGGTTTACTTATGAGACCTCGATTACACTGCTTGAGCATTTGACGTTTTTGCCGCTTGCAATCGCTCAGGCAGCAGCGTACATCAATGAAAACGGAATGGAGTTGTCGGACTATACCAGCCTTCTCCAGCAGCGCGAGTCGGAGTCTCTAGAGCTACTGTGCGAGGATTTCGAAGACGAAGGGCGCTACGACGATGTACCTAATCCTGTCGGCGCCACATGGCTTGTCTCCTTCCAGCAAATACAGAAGCAAAATCAGCTAGCCGCCGAGTACCTGTCTCTAATGGCGTCTGTGTCTCCCACCGATATCCCACCGTGTCTTTTGCCGGAAGCGGGATCACAGAAACTCCACCACGATGCCATTGGCCTACTGAAGGCGTATTCATTTATTACTCAAGACACCGAGAACAAATTTTTGAGCCTCCATCAGCTCGTACACCTTTCCGCACGCAGTTGGTTACGCAGCCAAGGGAAGTTTTACTCCTTTGCTGGAATGGCCACGAGGCAGTTGAACAAGGCATTTGACCAGACCCCTCGCACGGACCAGACTTTGTGGCGAGAACTACTGCCCCACTTATTGGCTGTAGTTGAAGAGGAGGAGACCGAGATGGAAAAGCGGGTGGGCGAAGAGTATCTTACGCTCTTGGATAATATCGGGATCTGCCTATATAACAACAAGCTGTATGAGAGAGCCGAGCGAATTGTCTCTAGAGTTGTGGAGCTACGAGGGACAAGGCATGGTGTCGCGAACCCAGATACTCTGACGAGTATGGATACTTTGGCCGGACTCTGGCTCAACCAAGAACGATGGAGCGCCGCGGAACAACTGGCCAGCACGGTCCTTGAAAAACGAAAACACCTACTGGGCCATGAAAATCGGGATACGTTGAGGAGTATGAACACCTTGTCAGTTATCTACCTGGGCCAGAAACGATATGCAGAAGCAGAGAGCCTGTGTAAAGAGGTTCTCGATATCCGGACACGTAACCTCGAGCCAGAGCACCCAGATGTGCTCCGCAACATGAGCAACCTCGCCTCGATCTATCATGAGCAGAAGCGCTGGGATGAAGCGGAGAAGATAGGACGCGACGTTATAAAGCTCCGCGAAAGAGTATTGGGTCCGAAGCATCCTTCAACTCTCACCAGCGGGCTCATTTTGGTGCACGTGTATGCAGACCAGCAGCGGTGGGAAGAAGCCGAGAATCTGCAAAGACAGGTGCTGAGCTCCCAAACAGAGGTTTTGGGCCTCGCTCATCCTAGTACACTCGGAAGTATGTCTAGATTGGCGCGGATATGTTGGAACCGGAGGAAATTTCGCAATGCTGTCGGTCTCATGGCTGATTGTGCTGGACTGATGGAGAAGCATTTCGGCAGCGATCACAAACGGGCGATATTTGCTAGGAAAACTCTGGATAAGTGGCAGATGCAAGTCGCTGAGATAGACGAGGAGGAGCGGCAATTGCTGGAGGAAATGCTGCGGGACTGAGCAATATTCTACGTTATGCTCCAGGAGATACTGAAGGATATTAGGATATTCAATACTCTCGCACGTTTGGTCTCGTAAAATCGGTCGCATGCAGACACCATGTGTGCAACAATCCAAACAGTCATGGAAAGACGATGCCCCGGGGATGGGCAGAGATATCCCATGCAGCGTCCTTTCGAATTACAGCTTAGGAGCCACCACGTACTCCTCAAACCTGTGCAACTTCTGTGCTCCGAATCAAGATACGCTACCTGATCAGAATAAAACAAAAAGCCGGCCATATCTGAACCACACGTTTGGCTTCGGCATCTCTTCCGATGCGAAGCGTGCGGGTGCCCGGGATTCAGTCGCTGGTCAACGCGCCTACAACTGACACTTGCCACAAAGTACATCAACCGCCTGTTGACGTTGCACCGTTTGTCCACAGTAGCATATCTGAGATCAAAATGCCCTATCACATACAAAGATTTCACTATTATACACTGCCACCAGGCTGCTAACAAGGTGGCCAGTTGAGACAAGTACATAACCTGTGGAGGCTGAGTGCTGGTTATTGCATGCGGGAGCAGTCATATGGCTGCTGAAGCTGGGGTGTAGTTTTCAGAATAGGGAACAGAGATGTTCTATGGGACCTAAAATGGAGCCACGATCATCTATTGATGAGGCAAATCTTTTTCACCCCCGATGTTTGATTTTGCAAGTCAAGGTGTGTTTCGAGGCATAATTTGATGCTATTGTTGCGATGTTATCCTGAATAGATGGAAAATGTCGGAGAGGAACTATCGTCATGTATAACTAATTGGAGCTACCTACTTTTCTAATTTAGTCTCCTTAGGAGAGGCTCTTTTGTGTACTAGGCCACTTCCTTCCCCTTGAGCGCTATTTGGAGAGAATCTAAAAGAGGAAGCCGCTGATCGGGATCTTGATTAGGGGAATGCCGAACAATACGTCACACAGAGAGGGGTATCGACTTGAACACGAAGTGCCCATGTGAAGGCCATCAATCATCCTTTTTCTCCCTCTCCAAACCAGTCCTGCAGCGATGTCATTCCCAGCACCCGCAATCTATCCAAGCCTCCGAGACAAAACGGTGGTGATTTCAGGCGGCGCGAGCGGGATCGGAGCCGCAACAGTAATACTTTTCGCTCTGCAGGGGAGCCAGGTGATCTTCCTCGATATTTGCAAGCAGGAGGCAGCGAAGGCGATCGAACATGTCATCTCGCACGCCAGCGACGGCGAGCAGCACCACTACCCCCCTGTGAAACGGCCCATCTTCTACCACTGCGACCTCACCGACCTCGCCGCCCTCCAGAGCACAGCAGCACGCATCCTCGACGAGCACGGGCCCGTCCACGTCCTCGTCAACAACGCGGCCGCGACCGGTAGCAGCGCGCGCTTGCCCACCGAGGCTGTCACCCCGAGCGACTGGGACTTTGGCGTCAACGTGAACCTGCGCCATGTATTCTTCCTCTCGCAGGCGTTTATCCCCGCGATGAAAAGTGCCGGCGGAGGGAGTATCGTGAATCTGGGCTCCATCTCCTGGCGGATCCCAGCGGCGGATGGCCAGGCCGTGTACGCGGCGTGCAAGGCGGCGATTATGGGGCTGACACGCGTGCAGAGCAAGGAGGTTGGGGGCGCGAATATCCGCATCAATAGTGTGATGCCGGGTGCGATTGCGACGCAGAGGCAGAGGGAGGAGGTCCTCACGCCCGAGTATCGCGCCGAGGTGTTTGCGGCGCAGAGTCTGAAGAGGGATCTGGTGCCTGAGGATGTGGCCAAGGTTATTGTGTTTCTGGGGAGTGACGAGGCGAGTGGGGTCACGGGGAGTACGTATGTTGTTGATGGGGGGTGGGTTAGTGATCCGTGATGGTTGTCGGGAGCAGACATTGGGCACGGAAGGTGGTGACAGGTATGAATCATGAAGAAGACAGCATAGCAGCCATGTGGGTTTCAAATGAAAGAAAATCAATCTGGACAGACATCGAACTAAACCTCCTCACCAGGGTAAAACCATCGCCATCCCCGCGAGAATAGAAACAGCCATCACACCACCAAGCCCCATAATCTGCCCCCATGAACCTTCACCCGTAGGATACCTCATCGACCGCGCCGCATTCCCGGTCTCAGTCTCGGTAGGTTCATCAGACCCAGACGTAGACGTCGATCCAGCACCAGAAGTAGAATAACCACTCCCATTCGGCTGTACAAAGTAAATCGGGGCCGCCTGCGAGATAGGAATCCAATCCGCCCGCTCGTCCGAGGCGAAGCTCGTCGTCGTAATAGTACCGGACTGGGTGACTGGGCTTGCTGGGAGGAAGAACTCGCCGCTTGTTGTCGTTCCACCAATCACGAATGTTGTTGAAGTGCTCTCGAGGTCATAACCTGGAAGTTCGGTCGCGCAGCCCGTGCTGAAGGTTTGGGATGGTAATGTGGAGTAGCAGCCGCCATTTGGGCCCACGGTCGCCGAGCTGGATTGATTGTTAGAGATTCGCGGCAAAACATAGTTAGGGGTATATAGGGAAATCGGCATATGAGAAGGCCATACCTCGGACAGCACGCAACCATGGTCTCACCCTCATCAAGAATCGCACCAAGCGCATCGTAGAGACTCGGCGAGTACGGCACCTCATCATAATAATCATCACTATCGCCAACCATAACCGTAAACACCCCCCGCGAAGCAATCGGCCCATCGCTCGCGCGCGCAAGCGCACCGATCGACTTCCACCCTGTCGGACACGCAACGCCCGGCGAGAAGTATGGCTCCAGCAGGCGGTTCTTCAATATGGCGGACTTTTGCTCGTCCGTGCCTGGGTAGGGCCCGCAATCGTTGTTGTAGCATTGCGTGCCCCAAGAGCCCAGGTCTGGGTACTGCGTTTGGGCGAGGACGGCGGTTGTCGTGGTGCATGAGGACGGGGGTATGTAGGTGGTGAAGACCGGGCCCCAGTTTGTGAGCGTCCAGCCGAGGGTTGCTGTTGCTGACATGTTGGTTAATTGAAAGGGTCAGTTGGATACTGGCAAGAACAGATTTACGCGCTGAATATGGTGGAGCGTGGGAGGGGAGGTGGGATAATTTTATAGCCTGAAGCGCCGGCTAGTCTTGTTGCAGTGTGTACGCCGGCCAGACGGACCCTTGCCCCCTGCACTAGCCCCCAACCGTCGCTCTTCCGTTGCCGAGTGCCGAGAAAATCTCGATGATCAAGGGAGCACTCTTTATGAAGTTATAGCATTTATTATGATTAAGAAAAGAAGTGCGTTAAGCTCTTGTTTACACTTCTTAGCGCAGAAATTGCCAACTCGGATCGTGGGCTTGCTGAGGCGTCCATAGGGCTATAGGAGTCAGTGCCTGCAAGTTGTTGAACCTTACGTAGAAGAAGAGCCCCGTCTTTAATCCTTCTTTAGTTCCTATCCCTAAATCATCTACTCCGTGCTGTATCTCTTTAATCTCGTCATCACCCTGGCTGAATCCGATCTGATATAGCTAATAATCAAGATGTCTTGTAACACCACCTAATACCCCCTAATTCCTCCCCTGCTAGGATCGCCTCCCTGTCGAATAGTCTCTGGTCATGCGCAGTACGCACCATGATGGATCCGAACAGACAGAAAGCCCAACAGCAGACAGAGCTAACTGGTATGAAACCCAACGATTCTTGAACCACTCATCCAACAAGTACGTGATCGAACAGCACATGCGCCTAATCCATGAGTATATGCAGCTAGACGAGTTCCCCAAGAAATAGCACCCGACCAACTAATATCATTATTACTGCAGCACCAGCCCCTCCTCCACACCCAGTTGCGAGCTACGATGTCACCGAACGGATATCAGTATTTTGGCTCGGTGCACCTCAAACAATGCCGACAGGGAAGCTAATTCCATGGAGACAAGCCACATAGAAACTGCCCAGCGACAGTTATGGGGGTGGGGTACCATATTCCCCACTTGCTAAGATGCAATGTGATTTCCTATACTTCAAGGTGTAAAGGCATGTTGATCGTGAAATACATTCAGCATGGTTATGACGCACGCCATTTCCGAAGCGAAATTTATCGGACGAGGCAATCGCGCCAAACGAGAAAGTTCCATGCTCGGTATGATCAATGTAAATGCGTTTTTGCTGGCCAAAGTTCCCAAGGAGAAGAAAGATCGAACAGGAGGTACCGGAGGCAAAGCTGTGAGGCTGACACTCGTGAGCGCCCCGCCCCTTCTGATGTAACATGGCTCCAATCACGATCACAGCCCAAGAATATGTAAACTTTAATATGTGATCAAACCTGCATGGCACACGACTAATTTGTCTTTGCCGCTTTTTGCTGTATGGCATGGGCTCCTCAACCATACTGCTAGCGGATCCAGCTGGGGCTTAAAGAGTGAATCAGCCGCATGGCCTATATTATGGAAAAGAAAATTTTTGCCTAAGGGAGTAACGCCTGCATACCAAGCCCCTGATTATGGGGCGCCATAAAAAGTGTTGGATTTAATGGTATAAAACTTCTTTTACACGGAGCACAGGCCAGAGGCTGATTATGTTTGTTATTAACTAAAAATAAAAACATTTAACAAGGCTAGAGTAAATGATATATGTTTGCATTGCGCTTTTATTTTATCAGATACTCTCTCCTGATAATATGCTTATGTATTCTATTTAGCGGCGATAGAAAGCATACATAAGAACCAAACTCTATGTCTAGCACCACCTCACCCAAAAATATGCGGCAGGCTCAAGACCACGGGACTGAGTAATAAAGATTCTTACATGCATGAGAGCTGTTTACGACACTAACCATAGAAGTATGATTAGCACAAGGCTTTTTATTTTGCTTTTTACTTTTTTTTCTCGCCGCCTGGCCCAAAATGTTCATGTAGATTTACGCACAGACGCTTTCATGCATGATGCAAGGTTTAATCCTACATTTGCTCTCAGGCATTCATTCATCCACGTCACTTTTGTTTTAGACAAGGCTGTTCTACACTGCCCATGTTTGCAGCCTTACACCTGATAATCCTCGAGGGAGAAGAGACATTCTTCTACATGCCACTTATGATTACGCCTAGCTCCTAACATATAATGCAATAGCGTTTCCCGGGAGAGGAGGGGTTCCAAAACCAGATCCGGCACTATAAACTCAATGGCAGAGGCCCTTGGCACAGTGGCAGCTTGTGATCAGCTGCTTGGGAGCTTTGTTTCTCTTTACAGCCAACTAAGGCAAGCCTACAGCATTATGAGACACGCCAGGAAGGAAATCAAAGAGGTCAAAGACCGTGTTCACATTTTAAAACGTCTATGGAAGATCTTTGCCCAAACGATGGACAAAGTGCGCGAAAGCGACGAATTATCGGTTGATTTCAAAGACTACCGCAGCCTCGATAAGAATCTGAAAAAACAATGCGAAGGAGTCGTCGACAGGATCAATTCAATTCTCCGGATTTTCCGCCCAGTTTTGTCCAGAAAGACTGGATCAGCATGGGAGGAGCTTCGTGTTCGACTAGATTGGTTTTTACGAGACAGGAAGGAGCTGGGCCTGCTCTGTACGAATATGGATCTTCTCACACGGTACATGGATATTTTCATTGGCTTGGTAAAACTACATATTATACAACAAGTCTTTAAGAGAACCAAGTCTCTTGAAGCCAAGATTCTGATGTAAGTCTGTGTATTATTGCGGTGATTGATTGTTAACGAGGTTTTTCAGGGGGACGCAGCAGGAATCCGTCGCTATCCTGCTAAATATCGCGCGCAATATAGAGAAAAATCAAGCAGTCACCTTTCAATTGCAAACCGAGATTCGGCATGAAATGAGAAGAATATTTAGAAAGAAGGTGACTGAAATAGAGAAAGGCGAGTCCGAGTCGGATTCGAGCCAAGGCTCATCCCAGTGCCTATCGTCCCCGAAACCACCGCCCTCTAGCCCTCCGACAATCTCCTCACGTCGAACACCTAGCCCCGGGGGCCGTACAGAGAACATATATATGTCGGAAAACAAGACAGAACCGCTGGACACGATGGCAGTTCCAAATGACGTTCGGCTCGACTGGTGTGACAGTTTTCCCGTTTCGGGATCTGGGGTCTACGTTAGTTTTGCCGAGGGGCCTTTTCGGGAGCAGTCAACCCCTGCGATAGATCCGTCTGGCGAACCAATTGACCAACAGGGCGAGGTGAGCCCGGAAAGTGGGAGGGCCGGTGAAGGCATATATGTACCAACAGCTTTGTTTGGCCCACCGAAACCCCAACACCGCAGACCTCGCGCACGAGCATCAAACACCAGTTTGAACTAGAACTCACATACTTGTCACTACCACTAAGCCACATCTGTTGACAAGCAGGGTTTGAATGAACAAGTTGCTCCATCCACAATATCCGTGACCGCTCCATCAGATAGCCTGCTACTCTGATCCGGAATGGTCCTGAGAGGCCAGAAGACTGATTGACGCCCTTTTTCTTAAAGCAACAACATTCCGGTCCGTCCCTACCAACTCTGTATAGGTTTAATACTACGTTGGAGTTGGCCCATAACAGTAACTTCAAAAGCACTAGTGTGTTTATAATCCATTAGCCTATATCTTTTGCCTTTATCTACCGATATAGTATCTATTTCTTCCTAACTCCTAAATACATCAGGTATAAAGTTGACCATGGTCCGTCAATTATTGTTTAAGCATTGAATCAAAGTATCATCACTAGCTATTCCAATAGCTTTCAGAGGTCAAAGTCCATGTCTTGTCTCATAGTCAATATATGTTTAATCTTGCAAGTGATCACGTTTACCATGTGCAAAGGTAGGGAAGAAAATATATACAGTCAGTAACCGACGTTTTCTAGCTTCTGCACGGCATTTTCCAGCGCCCTGATCGCCTCCTCTAAGTAAGGGAGCTCTATCTCTTCCCCGGAGGCGCAGCGCTCCAGGAGGCTGTAACCCCTCTCGTATCGGTCAGCCTCGTTTTGGAAATACAGGTAGCTGGTGGCCATCCGCAGCCGGAACCGTCCATGCAGGGGCCCGTCATCGTCCTCTCCAAACGCGGACCCGGGGAGGGCAGCCAGTCCACATTCTCGTATCAGCCACGCTGAAAGATCGGCACTGGTGGAGATTCCGAGCTTATGTAGCTGCGCGACATATGGTGAAAAGGACGGGTAGACGTAAAAGGCACCACCGGGCTCGCTAACATCTAATCCGAGTCCCTTGAGCGCAGAATAGAGCCTCCTAGTACAGTATCGATGCAAGGCAGTCACAGATTTGCGGTAGCTGCGCATTGCCTCGCCCGTGGAAAAGGCCTTGACGGATGCCAATTGAGCCGGTGCGGAGGCTGCGGACCAGCATTCGGAAGCATATGCGAGGACTGTCTTGCGGATCGTTTCGCCTTTTGGGGAAGAGGGGAAAATGGCATACCCCACCCGCCAGCCACCGGCCGAGTACGTCTGTTTCCAAGCTGTCAGAGATAACAATCAGTCAAATGATGGGTGCCCAGCTACCTTGGAAAGCCCGCCGGTAAGGATCACAGTTTCGGAATCATCGGCGTTGCGGTCAAACGCGCTTATCCTTTTCTGAGCATCATCGAAGCAAATATCGGAATAGATCTCGTCTGTGATCAGAGTTATCGCCTTTGATTTGCAGAATTCTTTGATAGTTTGAACACAATTCGCGGAAAAGACGTGTCCTGTCGGATTTGATGGGCTGTTGATCAACATAATGCGAGGGACGCATCCTTCTGAGATTGCTTTCTGGTAGGCAGAGAGAAGGGATGATTCTGCCATAACGATAAGGTCTGTCAATATTGGTGAATGTACCTCGTTCGGGGCAACTGACCGGTAATACTGTGGCGATCGACAGGGTCCGTCTCGATCCAGAACAGCTTTTTCCCGGCATGCAGCACTTGCGGCTCATAACTGACCCACGAGGGGCGAGGAAGTAAGACAGCGCCGTCTAGTATATCAAACAAGGCAAAAAGTAGGGGCTTTGACCCGGGAGCAACGACGACCTGATCAGGACTGATCTCAACACCTAGACGATCCGAGTTGAAGTTCGCAATAGACTGGCCTTGGGCATCAGCACATCTTCTGGAAACTTCGAATTAATGACTGATTGAGAAGAACAAACCTCTCGCAAAGCCTCTACGCCGCCTACCGGCATATAGCTTGTTTCATTGGATGCGTCCCGATGGGCCTGAAGGACGTCTTGCTGGATGGGAAATGTGGCCTCGCCAAAGCCCAAATGGATGACATGTTTGCCTTCTGCGCGAGCCTTCAAGACTAGTTCATTGATCTCCAGGGTGGGAGAAATACGCAATTTTGCAGAGATCGAGTTCACAACATCAGCCATAGTGAATAATAGTCTTTCGTATATGGTCACAATTAAGATGGAGAGTACGAATACTGTCCTTTTACCTTTTATATAGCGGCGGTACTGGGCTTCCCGTCGATTATCTCGGCGCAACGGTGCTAGAAAGCCGAGAGAGCCGAGATTGGCGAATCAGTGATACACTTGTTGCCAGAGTTCCATGTCTCCTAGAGACTCAAAACACATTTCTTTTGCGTAATGATATGTTGTTGTTCCCTGCGAAACGCCGAGGCACCGAAACGCCGAAGTGGAGATTGATGTTATAATTCTTTACCTGTGAGCTGCTATGTTGTGGTAGGATTTAACGAAGAAAAATATAGTAATAAAAGAGTAAATACATGTCACCTTTAACAGTTAGTGAAGATATAATGGATGGACAACGAACAGGCCTCTTTCTAATTAATACACCGCAACTCCCAGGCAGTACACCCCGCAAAGCGAAATGTCAGATCATGATATACCATTCTCCAGTTCTTCGACATATCGCCTCGTTATTATGTTGGTCGTGATGTCCATATTACGGAAACCGACAAACCTGGTCTTCCGGATCAATTTAAACGACACAAACCAAGCCACAAAAACCAATATCCCAACGTAACTAACGACGAAATCTACGGGATCGAACTCGTGCACAAAACTAGAGAAACCTAATAGGTTTACAACGTTAGTATAGATAGCCACCACGTATTTTCGCGGTGTGTACTTACCACTAGTGAAAATTATTACCACGGTGAAGAATAGAGTCACTTGGGCCCTCGCCTTTTGGAAATGGCCCGAGAAGGGCAGGTTTTCCCGGCTAATTTCCTGGACCGTCATGCCCTGGTGGAAAAACAGATAGGTTACCAAGATGCTGACCCAGTTTAGTAATCCTAGAATCGTGGAAAGAGATACGAGGTATCCAAAAACCACGGCGCTTCCTGAATTGATGTTCAGCAATGCAAGAAGGAAGAATGCTGAGGCTACTGCCACAGCAAAGATAGGAATGGACCCTTTGGTAAATTTAAACAAAGACGGCGCATAACTGTCCTTCGCCAGGCCATATAGAGTACGGGACGCAACATAAATATCTGTTCCCTCTCAGTCAGCGGGTTATCAAAAGTCGATATGTCTTGACACGGACCTGTATTCGCCGCGCTAAGGACAAAGACCAGCAGGCAGCCGTTGATGATATGAGGAAGGACTGAAATTCCGGAATCGACTATCGCGACAACAAAAGGAGAGGCGCCTTTGTATTATATGTCAGTGTAAATGTCTCTTTTTGCGGGAGGAAGAAGCGGAAGTAGACGTTACCTGCGCCAGTGTCCGCTTTGGTAGCGTCGATCAAGCGAGTATTCGAAGAGGATACAACCAACCCCAGACAGAAGACACCCCCAACATAGAAAAACGTAATGCGCCAGAACGTCGCATTGATGGCCTTGGGGATCGTTTTCCATGGCTGGGCTGCCTCTCCAAACGTCATGCCCACCATCTCCGTGCCCATATATGCAAATGCTGCATTTGTTACAGAAGCCCAGAAACCAAGGAAGCGCCCTGTAGAACCTGTTTCAAGGTACTCGTTAAAGGCACCGGGGTTTTTCCAGTACCTGAATCCGATACGTCCTTGAGGGCTACCCCCTAAATCGATGACTAGACAGAGAATCATCAACCCGACAATAGTGACTGTCTTGATGCATGCTGCAACAAATTCAGTCTCACCGAAATACTGGACAGGCATGAACTGTGCAAAAGACACCCCCAGTCAGCATCTCCGTCCCATGCAAAAAGGGGAGTAGGTCAAACATTAATTATGATAATAATGACAGCAAATGAAACAACCCAGACAGCAACGTTGATATCAGGGAGCCAGTATTGCATCACTATCCCCGAAGCTGTGAGATTGTTGGCCAGGAGCACCACATATTTGAGAAAATAGTTCATCCCGGTAGCGAATCTCATATTGCAACGTCAGTACAACCGGGACGACATCCTATAGACGGCAAACGTACCCAAATGCCGGATCCACCAGGCGAGAGGCATATCCGCCAAAGCCCTGGTCCATGGGCATGAAAACGGCCATTTCACCAAGAGCAGACATGATGTTGAGCACCAAGAGGCCAACAAAGGAATATGCTATAAGCATGCTGGCAGGGCCACCTCGCGACAGCGCCGTTCCACTGCTGATTAAAAGGCCTGTTCCGATGGCACCGGCAATGGAAAACATCCCGACGTGTCGAGATTTGAGCCCCCTCTTGAGCGACGATTCGCCATTCCCAACATTGTGGGCAGTATGCAGAGCGACTTCGACGTCAAGATCGGCGGGCAAGCGGTTGGGTGGTGCATTAGATTTCTCATTGGAAGGCATTTTGAATCAGCATTTACTTTGGCAGTCAAGTTTGGTTACCCTAGAAGGAGATGCTCATGGTTTAAATATATAGCATGGACCGCCCCGCCCCCACAGTCTTGTTTACTGGAATATTGAAAGATGGGGCGCTTTTTAGTTGCCCACCTGCCTTGCTATATGTATCTTATCAATTGGACCATTGGGATCTTCCAGTAGGGAAACAGCTTAGAGTTCGCCAGTCGGTGTTTCGGCGTTTCAATCTGGATATTCCTCCATAACAGCGTGCTAACATTTCTCGAATCCAACCAAGCCAGCAGTGCTGGCAGCAGGTATACAGTCGTAACTGAATCGTCAAGAGATGCATGTCAAACCAGATTCAAGAAAGTTAACTAAATTCACATAGGAAAGAATCGCGTAGTATAGAATATCACGTGATGGCCTGACTGGCTCGGCGTTGCAAACGCCGAGTTTTATCGCCGGCTTTACAAGTTGACTACTGCCTTGTCTGTATCTGCCAGGACAAACGAAGGATCCCCCACTTTGAGGCATTCTGAGAGATTAGCCAACAGCTTCTCTCTAATGCAGTCCCGCCGGGGACCCCGCAAGGCGTGTGCCCTTTGCCACGAGCGCAAAATCAAGGTAAGAGCCGTGATTGGGATCAAGTCTACTTTGACTAACACCCCAGTGTGATGGAGCTGCACCAAGTTGTAGGAACTGTTTGCGAGCGCAGGCTCCTTGCCGACCGCATGAGCGGCGCCGCCGGCTCACAGCTCGCACAACAGAGCGAAGTCCAAGCCAACCTCCCTCGGTTTCACCCCCGGCAGCGGTGGAGAGGCTCGCTTGGTTGGAAAATGAACTCCTGCGGGTTTGGGGTCTGGATGTTCGCCAGGTGAACACTGGCACTGCATTTGACTCTCTCCAACGTTGCCAACATCTCTTACGCGCTCAGCTTGCTCCTCGTTCGCAAAACGCCGGTGCTGAAGCCCCGACATCGCAGAGTGAAGGGGACCCATCCGAGACGTCTCCTGAGGTGGACCCGAGCATTCCCCTTTTGGTCTTCAACGCCACTGGTGAAGCTCGGTATCTGGGTGCATCGAGTGGCTCCATTTTCGCCAGATTTATTGCAAATACTGCCAGATCGGTTTTACCACAGGGGGCTACAGGGCCCGGCCTTCAACCACATGTATATGAACCTTCGCCTGTCAACCGCTCTGCTGTCTTCAGTTCCACAAACTGGAGAAAATCAGCAACATTTCCTTTCCTCTTACGATGTTATCTAAAGTGGGTTCACAGCTGCTATCCTTTGTTTCTGGCTCAGGATATTACGGCGCTCGAGTCCATGAGCTATTCAGAGGAGCCCCCTCGGGAAAGCGGGGACACGACTATCATTTTTTATCTTATCATGGCGATAGGTGCGGTTCATGCCGAACAGAAGCATCTTCTCGATCACTTCCAGGGGGATGCGGGGCTGCGGCAGTATCAAAATGACGCCTCGACTCGTGGGGTCTCATCGGAGGCATTCTACCGAAAGGCTATCGGAGTGCTTGCGTCTGAACCATCGAACTTGACTCCCCGTATCTCCTTGGTGCAGATTCTTATTCTGATATCGATCTATGCCTCCCACCGCCCATCTGACAATGAGCAATGGCATATTGTGGGAATGGCCATGCGTGTATGTCTTGTAACACTGTCAAGTGACGGCCGAGAAACAAACTGATCAAATTGAAAGATAGCAATAGAGCTAGGCTTACATCGGCACAACAAGGCCTGGAAGTTCACCGTGGATGAGCTTGAACTTCGGCGTCGAGTATTCTGGACGACCTACGCCATCGAAATCACGGTGGCGTTCAATCTAGGTCGTCCGGCTAGTATATCTTTTCAAGATGCCGATGCGCCTTTCCCCCAGAATTCGCAGGAAACTGCTCTCTCAATTCACCATATCAAACACCGGCAGATTCAAGAACAAATGCTGTGCTTGATCTATCGAAGCAGATCACACAATGCAGTCGCAATCTCGGGGCTCGATAACTCGATTTCGAATATAGAAAGCCTTCAAAAAAGCCTAGACGAATGGCACGCGGAGCTACATGAGCTGTATTGCCAGTCAAGCTCGCCCTACCCCGTGGAGTACTGGGATCGACTTTACTACTCAACCTCTGCCGCACTTTCTCGACCGACCACTGTCGTTCCCCGACCTGGACCCGCGCTTCAGAAAAGGTGCTTTCTCTCGTCGTACCAGGTGATTGAAATCCATGAAACCCTTATTAGGAATTTCCGACTTCCTTACTCCTGGATGTTGCTGCAAGGTCTTGTATTCTCAGTCATCTCGATGATCGTCACAATGAGAACAAATACCACGGTATTATCCAGGGAGTTCGGTGCGGACAGGTTTCTAGACATTCTGACCAGAGGCGTGCGCAATTTCCACGTTGTCCTGGCTGTAATGAGAGAAAGGTGGACCGGTCTGGCGATCCGACATCTAGAAGAGTTACTCGACAAGGTATGCCAAGATACTTTGACATGTACGATTAATATCCTGGCGAAGCAATTATCTGGAAGAGCATCTTCCCTGCAGTCATCAGGGCATCCTGGCCTTTTGTCCGAGAATCCGCCTCCCTCCTGCCCGGACGCAAGGGGAGTTGAGCCAGTAGCTACAAGTGGCATGTCCAATGGTCAACGTCCTCCGAATGAAGAACAGTCTCCTCGCGGTCTGCTGGGCGAGGGAGCGTACCAAGAAACGAACACTCAATTCCAGCCAGCTATCGACTCGGGGTTTGCAGAATTTTATCCGGGGGAGGACTGGTGGGCTGTTGATAACTTGTTCGAACCGGACGAACTCAGAACCTTCTTTGATTTTTTCCCAATCGAGCCATATGGAATATGATGGATGCAGGATAGATTGCACCACTAAGAATGGATATGTTGAATCGATCACCCCGTTTCAACCGTCTGCAGGAGAGAGAGCTACAGCAAACAGAACCAAAGTCCAATTGAGACACGGTCGAGGTTTGCGCTTCTCGTTACATGAATAGGCATACCAACGAGGTTCATCGTCACTATAGTGATTGAGCCAGTTGTCCCTCGACTTGACGTTACTAAACATAGGGGTACTATTACCCCCTGGAGCTCCAACCAGATAGCCATTCACGATCTTCCAAGGATGGCCTCAGCTCTCCCTGAAAGTCGGATCGCGCCCTTCACCCTGTGCCTGGTGGTCTCACGTTAGTCTCGGTATAATGGCTGGCCATGGTCCCATGAAGCGCGGCGCTCGATTTGTTCCTCGGAGTGTCCGTTTCCGCAGCCTCTATGCGCTGTATGAGCTTACCGTCCTGTAGCGCCTTGGTCAGGAAGTCCAGTGGATCGTCATCACCCTAGAATGGTCCTTCGCCTGTGTACTTTGATTCGAATGTAGATGCCTTGGGTAATCCTCGATCTGGGCTCAGTTTTGCAGCGCTAGTATGATAATGTGGTAACTTCACTGCGTAGCATCCCGGAATAAAAAACAGTAAAGAGAGTTCAAGAGGTGTCGAGTCCTTGGGAAGGGAGGATCCTCACTTGGAGAAATGTCAGATCAACAATACAGGGCACGCTTCTAACTTGATAAGGTTTAGAGGGGTGTGAATGTAGCAACTCACTAAGATGAAGCTCATATAAATCATCTGATAATGTTTGAATTCGGTCCTGCTAACTAAAGCCTAAGCAGCGATATTCTGACCTATTTAGTCTAATCGTACATGCAGCTGTATTAAAAGATGTATAAGCCCCGACCAAGCACCAGCAACAGTGGGAAAGACGGACGCCCGCAACGGCACAGCCATGGAGAAAATCAGAGAAAACCAAAAAGTACTCCTGAGCACAATTCGAGAAGCAATAATGGCTACAGCCCGAGGCTCAGCTAAACGAGCAATGATGGCGGAAAAGTCAAAAGGTCAACAGACTCCAGAGGCTGGCCTCGATCAATAACACCAGAACCGAACCTAAACTCCGGAGGGTATGCGATAAATAGTTGTCATATGAGACATTAGCATTATTCATGTACGAGGGGTGTCGTGCTAGGCGACTTGTGAGAGTGTGAGCGCGATGGACTGGCTGCTCGGGATCGTCGGCCGTTTGTTGTTGGACCTAGTGCGAGGGGAGTCAAGTGCTCCCTACTCTCCGTTCTCACAACTAGGCCAGCTCGGTCAATCGCAGAAATGCCTGGTGCAGCCGTGATTCCAAGTCCAATCGTTGCCGAAGAGGAATTGTCGTGATCGAACTTCAGGCGCGAGGGACTGCTATGGCCCCAACTAGATGCCCGCTTCGGGGGCAAGAAAGCGGCGGTGTCGCTATCGGAAACCGGGTCAAACGACGATCGGCTAGAATCTGAGCCTCCGAGCTCGATATCCTGGATGCCCTCTTCGAGGATACGTTCGTACGACGGACTGCGTTGGCCGAAGAACGATGGCTTCACGGCCCCAGAGGCCTTGCGCTTTCTTTGCGGCAAATGCGATCCGCGTCCGCGTTTGAACAGATTGCTGATCTTGTGGTATAGCCTGAGCCGGCGGCTGCGACCGCAGAGGAAAAATGTGGCGAGAATTATTATGAAGATGAAAAGGATGAAGCCTGGGATTCGCCGTGACGAGCTCCCATCGAAGAGCGTGTCTTGCCAGGTTTCTTCGTGGAGAGTCTCAGGATTCGGAAGTAGTTGAGCGCTGGGGTACTGGAAATCGCTGGGAACACCAGCAACATTGCTGCCGAAGCCAACGGGAAGGGCTTCTTCGGTTTGCACGGGGACCTCTGAGGCGGCGTACAGAACGATTTTGCCGAGCGTCCAACTCACTTCTGTCGAGTCGATTTTGTTGACCGCTTGGAAGGGGTCTAGGAAGCCTTTGTTGTGCCCGTGAGCAAGAACCTCCTTGGTTCCATTAATGCTAGATGATGACGTGGGTTCAAGTCCGACACGTGGTACTCCAATACCATCGTGCAACACATTGATAATCCAGGAGGCTTTGAAGCAAACCTCATAGGCCAGCTCGCGATCTAGCTTCTTTCCCCATTTGTGTTCAGAGATTCCTTGTTCGATCGAGTCCCAGTCCTGCGAGCAAAACTCCTGAACGCGATGCTGGTAAGTGTTGAAATCATATGCCTTATCCGTGTGACCCATTTCGAAGACTTCGTGTGTGGTATGCCAATATTCACTGATGCCGACGAAGTGATTCACGTCAAAGTCGATAGCTGGGACATGGATTCCGTGTAGCAAACAAGGTTGGTCGAGACATGGCGCGTCCTTGTCGAGTAAAGGGTACGTCCCGCGCAAGCATTCATCGAACTTTCCGGTGCCCAAAAGGTATTGTTCAGCTTCCCCTTCAAGCGGCTTGCCGTCCAAGGTTGTTCGAAGCCCCGCGGGAAGGCATGGGTCAGGGTATTCCTTCACCTTGTCTGTACCAAACGCACTCTGCAGGGCGGCCAGATACCGCTTGCGGGCCTCGCGCACTCCGAATTCCAACCACGAAGTCACAAAAACGCGATGTTCCTGCGTCGAGCCATCGATGTTGCGTAACCGAAGTAAGGTCAAATCGTTTGCATGCTTCTCACTCTCAGTCGCGTTGGGAGCAAATGCAATCTGAGACGACGCGCCACCCATGTCGAGGAATCCGTAGGTATGGTGGTTTTTGCCATGATCGTGCTCATCAGGCGAGTTGAAGCTTCCGAGCAGGTAGTTCGTAGCAATCCACCCATACAACCCTTCCGTGACACCGGGAATAACCTGAATATGGACGTTGCAATCGGGCAGAGAGAAGTCGAAGTTCTCCCGAGCATAAGAGCAGATGTGGTCCAGTAATAACTTTTGTTTCACGTCCTCCACAAGTCGCATTCCTGCAGTGGCGAGCAAGAAAATGGGCGTCTCCTTGATAGCATCTTCGGGTATGATGTCGCGAGCAAATTCGAGGAGTTCCGCCAGATGTTCGGGTCCGATTTCTTCGGGTCGATCGGCGAAGGTTGAAACTCCTAGAGAAATCGTTAAAATGTTGCCGCACTGAACAGACCCGAGATCTTTTCCTAACATACCAGGATGAATCTTCTTCACCCAACTCGACTTAGTCTTGATCTCCGGTAGCGACTTGAGGTCATGTTTGTTACGTTCTTTGAGCGCGACGGCGTTGTCGAGCCACCGATAGACATGAACTCGCGTCCCCTAGACGAGTCAGATTATGTTTCAAATTACCCTCAATAACAACTCACAGATGATCCCGCATCTAGGACAACTCCGTAGTGCCCTGGAAAGAGTCGATCATTAGTCTAGATCCGCAGCGGACCTTGAAGGGGGCGGATAGCGTACATTTACCCATCAGGATCGAGGTGTGTGTAGATTCGACAGCGAAACTAGATAATTAACATGGCAACAGGAAGGCTAGACGCGACGAGCGAGCACGGAGCCGGAGGAGGTGCGATCGAGCGAGGAGGGTTTGCGAATCCGGGGTTGGGTGGTCGATAAGGATAAAGGTACGAGCAGGGGAGATGTCAACAGAGCGACAACCAAGCTGAAGTCGAGACAATGGCAGCGTCGAAGAAACGAGTGGCTTCGCGAACGAAGAGAGGGAACCGAAAGGGTCCAGCTGAAACGACAGGAGGGTGGGTGAGGGAGGGGAAGGGGGAGAAAGCAAGAGGCAGGGAGAGTGACGAATGTGAGGCCAGACTTGGAGGGAGAAAATCACAGTGGAACGGTCGATAAGACGGGAACGGATGGCGACAGTTGCAGCAGAGGACGCGACAGCCCGCAGATCCAAGACCGCCACTAGTCCCGTTCGGATCAGGCCCATGGAATGTCACCGGTCTCGACCTTCTGTGGCACGCAGGACAACACTGTCAACTTCTGGAATGCTGCGGCTAATTGACTCGATAAATGCAACTATCACAAGCCACGAACAGCTCACAATCCAATTTTTCGAGAAAGGGTCCCTCTGTCAAAGTGGGATCTCAGGGTCAGACCCTTATATTAATAGGCCTGGATGACGCAAGCCCCCCTTGGCCTGCGTGCCAACATGCAGCTGATGATTGGTTGGCCGCCCAGTGGTGGCTCCAATGTCTCTGCCAAGCTAAAAATGATAAGACACAAAATCATATGGGGCCAGATGCATGCACGAGGAAGATCTTCAGGGCTCCGCGACGTCCACAGGGATGACCTCACGGTATCTACGGAAACGATGCAAGTGCCGCATAAAAGGTAGATTATTGCTAAATTATAGTTTGTCACCCGTCGCTAACCGACAAGCAACCTCATAACTTGATTCCTCGATCTCGAAAGGAATAACCGGAGTTAAGGGCGAGAAGGAAAGTTCTAGGCGGTCTTGATCTCCGACGCCGTTTGTTGCACCTCTTCCGACGGTGCTTGCGACACCCCCATCAAGGGTGAACTCCTGATGCCCTCGAGCACAGACCAGTCTCCGACCTGCTCATCCACAAAGAAAGATGCATCCAAACCAACAAGCTCGGCCTCCTCCGAAACCCGGACTCCAACGTATGGGATATACTTCATGATCATTAGGATCACGGCGGTCATGACGAAGGAGTAGGCAGAGATGGCACAGATCTCAGCGAGCTGCTTGCCAACCTGAACCCCTTCGCCGTTGATGGCCCCAGGGATGAGGGAGCCGCCATCCAAGGCGGAGATGTACTGGTCCGCAAAGATACCGGTGAGGAATGAGCCAACCATACCACCGAGACCATGCAGCTTGAAGACATCCATTCCCTCGTCGACGCGCATCCAGTCATTGATGTTCTTGCACAGCGAACACACGACAGCAGTGAGGAATCCTATCAGAGCGGCCAACCAGACGGTGACACACCCAGCTGCGGGGGTGATACCGACAAGGCCGGCAATAGCTCCTTCACAGGCTCCAACAAGAGAGAACTTGCCCTTGTTACGGATCATGTCAACGAGAACCCAGCCGAGGATACCGGTTGATGCTGCAACATTGGTGTTCATAACGGCCATGTAGCCACGAACGCTAGCGCTAAGCGTGGAGCCACCCTACATTCAAGTCAGTGGGGGAACTTGCAAGGATGTTTATATTTGGAACATACGTTGAACCCGAGCCAGCCGGTCCAGATGAAGATGGTGCCCAGGAAAACAAGGGTGGTGTTGTGGGGGCGTTTCATGGAAGGTTCACCATAGCCCTTGCGCTTTCCAAGGACGACGGCATACGCGAGCGAGGCGCATCCCGAGGCGATATGGACTGGGCCACCTCCGGCAAAGTCAATGGATGGGAGATTATATAGCCATCCTTGAGCACTCCAGGTCCACCGAGCGAGAGGGCAGTATACAATGGTTTCCCAAACGAAGGCGAATATGAGGGATGAGAAAATGTTGCCTCGTTCAAAGGCGCCACCGATAACAATCATCACCTATATCAATGAGTATAACGGTGTGGAAAGTTCTGACATGCCACTTACTGTGCAGGACCCGAACAGAAGCTGGAACATGCAGAACAAAATCTCGGGAAGAACGGCTGAGCCCGGAGACGGGGCTGCCAGAACATCCATGAGGCCAAAGTTCTTCAGTGTCCCAATGTATGGACCGCCGTCTCTCGAATAGGTCAGGGAATATCCCCAGAATATCCATTGGAATGTGGTACTGCTTGCTTATTAGTGCTATGACCTTTTTTGCTGCAAGGATATGACCCTTACACCGCGAGTATCAGGAATGCCTGAAACATGAATGCCATTGCAGACTTTCTCCTCGTGAGGCCGCTATATAGGAAACCGATACCAGGCAGGATGAAGAAGACGATGAAGGTACAGACGACGATATAAATCGAGTGAAACTCGTGTCCCGCAAACGGCGCGTTCACATCGATCTGAGTCGCATCGCCGCCGTCCGGCATCGACGGTTCATATTCCGGCTGTACAAGCAGAAGAGTTAACCAATTTTTTCGAGCTCGAGCATGGGAAGAGACATACAGTTGACATGATGATAATGGGCTTCTCAGAATACCTGGATCGAGAGATCTGCGATTGACGAAGTGCCCGGTGCCCACCCTTCTAGATGTGTATGAGAGATCTGCTCAGAGATCCCCGCGACGAGCGGACTCGATCGCGTTTTATCCTTTGTCTCACATCGTCCATGTCTCGCAAACTGGGTCCATCCGATGAGTATCGCCCCTCTTCTGCGACTATTAGCGGGCCAAGAGTGCGCAAGAGTTGTTATCTCGCGAGGCCAAGAGTCCACCCAGCCATGTAATATACCTTCTTGGGCATGTGGAAGCAAGTAAGTGCTTATCAGCCAGCACCGACATCGTAGTGCCAAGGGGGAGATCCAGGAGCTGGTGGTCCCTGATAAGATAAAGCTCAACCAACCCCCAATGAGACTCCAGAGTTTCGCGATAGCCAGCAACCCCGGGAAAACACAACCATCTGGGGTTTAGCGTAATATTGTAAGGCTGGTGTTGTGTTTGGTGTCAACGTCCATGCTTCTGGCCGAGGTTAAGCATAATTGGGGAGAGATAGCGCGTTCGGTTGCCCTCATTGGACCGTGCTCCTTACAGAGAAACCAAATCGGCTCCATTGCGCGACTCCCTATTCGACTGGGAACGATTGTTTCCTGTAGCATCAGCACTTTCCGGCGATCTGGATGGACGAGGAGAGCAAAAGTAGAGAAAACAGACCCAACCAGGAGCAGTGCATGCCGAGGGCGCACTTGGCGTGCCTGAGTCCGGAGCAAAGGCTTCCTCGTGGAGAGGATGATAACTCGATGGCCAATGCAGCCTCTCAGCTGTGCTGTTACAAAGGTTCGTTGCCAGAGGATGGCGAAGAAGGTTCCGGTTGCGGGGCCATGTGTTTGCAGTTCAACCCGCCTGTGTTGTCTTCCGAGTCTTTCATGAGCTGCATTAACAATCAACGCAAGAGGCGAGACTACTACTCGCACTCCACGATAAGGATCAGTGTTTCGAGTTATGGTCTATCTACCCCGGCTCGTATAGAGGACCGCGCGACTACTCGGTCTATCTTGGCCAACTCTGTGTCAAGCGTCCTGCTCCAAGGGGGACGGCATCTAGACGCGGCTCCTCTCGAGCTCTGTTCAAAAACCTACATCATGGCAGTTTGCTTAGCATCTTGTGTTGGCGAATCCTTTGATAACCAGGTCAACATGAGTCAAGCGACGACGTAACGATGAACAGTTATCTCAGGCCAAGAGATCTCTGCCTGGAGGCAGATTTCAACTTATCGGAAATAAGCCCCGGGGCTCTCTTGACATGGTCGTAGCCCCGGATGGAGATGAGCCTTAAGAGCTGGCGCCTTCCTGGAACAAGCCTAGAATAGCAGTAAAGGGAGTCGAGTCAGTGTGTCCGCACTCCTCATTCATAAGGCTCTGGGTCCGCCTGTGCCATATCGACTCATGCGCTATGGTCCAGGTTTCTCTAGACTCTATCTGATAGCTTTACCGGTGCGTCCGACAGTACACCCTTGTTAAAGCAGTGGTTCATCTCTGAATAGTGGCCATTCGATCATGGTATTCTCATCCTTCAAAATCGTTCTCTGATCAAGCTCAAATCTTTCTAACTTCCAAAAATCTCTTCGTGGACGGAGGACGGACCCGGCAGCGAGGGCACCTGCTGACGATCCAGCCTGCTTTACAACCATCATGATCTATATGTAGCTATACAGACTTGATTTTCTAGAATCAACGTAACTTTCCCTATTTATATAAGGCCACTTTAATAATAGTGCTTCGGGGTTACTAAGAATTCCTTATTCCTTATTCCTAGTTAAGACTGAGTAAGTGCTTAGGTCCTACTTAGGGTCACTCTGAGTAATGGGATGTGGTATCAAGAGGCGGGCTGTTTGTTCTTTGATAGCAGCCGGTTGTCAGCAGGCGTATCCAGTTATTAGGGAGGTGATTCATGGGCTACTGGAAATATCTATGAATTCTCAGCCACAATAGTTGCGGTTGAGATGCTACCTGTAATCAAGGACCAGCCTCAAAATCTACTACACGAGAATATATGTCAGCCAGCGTGATGCCTGAGGCAACCTTATGCCCCAGGCATCAAGTGTGTGACTGATTTTCGAGGCAGCCTGATCGATTCACGTAATCCTCTTTTTGCCTCAGGCAGCTAGCATCTAGGGTTTAACGAGGCAGGCGCGAGGCTCTGCCAGGTGCGAAGATGCAGCTCCCCCTCATCTCTCGTCATCAGAGAACTCACGCTTTCAACATCTTTGCCTCATCAATTCAAATTCGAGAATTAATGGATCCCAAACTCGACTTATGTACGTGACTCTAGTCCTTCGTTTCTATGGTCTACAAGGATGGAGCTCTGTCACGAGAGCTACACCGTAGCATGGATCTGCGCCTTGCCGCTCGAGATGACGGCAGCGAAGGTTATGTTAGATACAGTTCATCCTCCCTTATCTCAGCCGGAGACCGACCATAACAATTACACGCTAGGAAGCATCGCTAGCCATAACATAGCTATAGCGTGCCTTCCATCAGGCGTGTATGGGACCACATCAGCCGCAATTGTGCTCGCCCAAATGCTACCAACATTTCCATCTCTCCGCTTTGCATTAATGGTTGGCATCGGAGGTGGAGTGCCGAATCCTGGGAGTACAGATATTCGCCTTGGCGATGTGATCGTCAGCGTTCCAACCGCTGCCTCCGGCGGGGTCATCCAATATGACTTTGGAAAGACACTTCACGATGGACGCCTACAGCGCACCGGCTCACTCAATAAGCCTCCGCAATACTTGCTTACGGCAGTCGCCAAGGTACGCAGTGACCGTATGACCGGGGACGCCTCGATCGAAGCAAAGATACTAGAAGCGACCAAGAAGCACCAAAATATGGACGAGAAATTTTTGCGCCCATCCAATGACAGGCTATTCACAGCCATCTATGATCACAGCGGCGAGATGGCTGACTGTTCTTCGTGTGACCACGCTAAGTTGGTACACCGCTTGGAACGACAATCCGATGAGCCACGGGTTCATTATGGGCTAATCGCATCTGGAAATCAAGTTATAAAGAGTGCCATTATACGAGACTCCATCGCGCGAGAGTTAGGTATCCTCTGTTTCGAAATGGAGGCAGCCGGGCTGATGGACCAATTGCCGTGCCTTGTGATACGGGTCGTCTGCGATTATTGCGACTCGCATAAAAACAAAGAATGGCAACCTTACGCTGCTCTTACAGCTGCAGCATACGCGGCACAGCTACTAGGCATTGTTCCTAGCCGGAAGAATGATCAGACTCAGTCAGCTGGAAGTAAGTGGCCCTCGAGCTAATTAGAGCTTTGTATTTACCGCTCTTAGGAACCGACTTCACTGCGGAAGAAAAGGCATGTATGCGGGATTTATTCGTAACAGACCCGGTTGCCGACAGAAATGCACTCCGGCGGAGGAAAGGAAACCGCTCTCCCGGAACGTTCAACTGGCTCCTAGAAGCTGATGCATTGAAGACCTGGCTTGGGGCACCGAAGGACACTTCTCAAGAAGATTCTGATATCCTCTGGCTCTATGGGAACCCCGGAGCTGGAAAGTCGACCGCTGCCATTACATTGACAGAACAACTTCCCATGCACCCTGACTTTATCAATGGTGCAAAGAGACTCGCTTACTTCTTCTGCGATTCTAGCTCCGAGAAACAGCGAACAGCAGTCGATGTCTTACGAGGGCTGCTCTATCAGCTAATTACACAACACAAAGCCTTGATAAAGTACTTGCTTCCAAAATATGCAGTGATGGGGAAGCAGATCTTCTCGTCATTCGATGCCCTATGGCTGGTTATAGCAGAAATGGCGGCCTGTGAGACGGATACCCAAATCTACTGCATTATCGACGCATTGGACGAGTGCGAGCCAAATTCGCAAACTGTCTTACTCGAGCAAATTTACAGAAAGTTCAACAATTTCGATGATCTGGACTATGTCTTACAAGCAAAGATGCGGATCTTGATTACAAGCCGGCCGTACCATGAAATCCGTCAGGTGCTAGGCTCTTTCATGTGCAAAGATCTAGCTTCCTTCTCAGAAATTGCAACGGACTTGGAGTTGATGATTCAGGAGAAAGTCGGCATAGATATTCCAAGGCAGTTGCCACAGAGATATCCTTAATGCTCCAGTACAAGGCAGAAGGTACGTTCCTTTGGGTAGGAATTGCGTGCGAAGAGTTGATGCGGGTGCAATCCATGAGAGCAGTCAAGACCCTACAAGCTCTGCCGCGCGGATTAAGCGCTCTTTACCAAACCCTTCTGAGCACAGCCATGTCATCAGGGGATGAGGACGACCGAGATTTTATCGTCAAGATCCTAACTTGGGTGGCCTATTCGCAGAGACCATTGACTCTGGACGAACTATCTGAAGCCTGTGAGCTATTCCCCGAAGAAGATGAAGAAACCCGTTGTGTTTTCACTCGAGATACCATTGACCTATGCCGTCTGATGGTAATCGTTCAGGATGAGCATGTCCTGCTCTTGCATACCTCTGTCAAGGATTTTCTCGTGAACAGTACCAAGGAAATCGATTTCCTAGAGGCAAATTCTGCTCTCTCCTATCGATGCATCAACAGGCTCATTCAGAGCTACGGCTCAAACGTCGCAGCTGGAGATGCGCAATTCAACCGAGGATTTCTGAAATATGCTGTTATGTACTGGCCACGCCATGCGCAGCTTGCGGGAAGCAAATTTGGTATCAGACAAGATCAGGCATACTTTTTCCAGAACCATTGGAAGAACTGGCTTCGAAGTTATCAGGCTGCGAGCCCATCTCGCAGTGGATTCGATGCGAGTTTCTCAGCCTTTCATGCTGCGGTTCATTGGTCACTGCCCCAACTTCTGTCATCAAGTATCGAAAATCCAGAGCAGAATTTTCTTGATTTGTTTACAGTTCATGGACTTGCTGCATATGTGGATGCTAACTTCAAAGATTCCGAAGGGGTAACACCCTTACAAGAAGCTATGAGGCATCACGAAACTGAAATCATCTGCCTATTTCTGTCGAAGCTACCACCCGGGTACATTCTAGAGGCAAGTCTGGTTGAAGAAGTGGCTAGAGACATGCAGTGTGGCATTGAAATCATGCAACTCCTCAAACAGTATGGAACACACATACAAGTCACCGAAGGCGTTGTTATGGCAGCAGCAGAGAACGATAGCGATGGAGGAGAGATTATCGCATTGCTCATCATGCAACAAACTTACCCATTTCCGGTCACGGAGAAGGTCCTATCGCTTATTATGAACCGTTTTGGCAAGCCGATGGTGACCCTGCTTCTTGAACATCGGGGGGAGCAGATTCAATTCACAGAGGCGATGCTGGCATCAATGGTTGTGCAGTTGGACTCGACAGTGACAACACTTCTCCTCAACCGGTGCGGACATCGGTGTCTCATCCCGAAAAGGGCCGTCAGTTCGATATTGACATTCTTCGATGGGAAAGTGGCATCCCTGCTTTTTGAGAAACAAGGGGAGCAGATTGAAATTACCGAAGATACTCTCGTGGCTGCAGCGAGCAATGCGGCACATGGGCATGAAATTATGAAGATTCTGATAAGCCAGAAATATGATCGGCACAGAATAACCGGGCGTGTATTCGAGGCAGCCGCTTGTAATCAGACCAGTGGACAGGATATCTTGACTCTGCTTTTTAGGTACGGGGAGGGCCAGGTTCAAATCTCCCAAAACGATGTTTGCCTGATTATGGAGTATTTCGACGCGAACATGGTCGCGCTTCTTTTTGCAAAATGTGGACACCAAATTCCTGTCACTGAAGACGTGATCGTAGCCGCAGCAAAGAATTACTTTGATATCGAAAGAGTCATGACCCATGTTATTGATCGCTGGGGCGATCAAATTCAGATCACAAGACAGCTGGTGCAAATCTTGCTCCGCAAATGCCAACGCATGCTACAGGGACTACTGGATTTCCAGAAGCAAAACAGCCCGGACGACAACCATCATCTAAGAAGGAAGATCATATTAGCAGCCTTGTTACATTTGTACGGTATTTTGCCGGACTCAAACTTTGATAAAGCAGTCAAGCCCTTGGATCCGGCACTGGAGTTTCTCGAATCATCTATATACCAGGTTTGCAGCATGAAAACTGTACCGGACTACGTGCCTACCCCCGCTATCTTACTGCTTATTCGAAAATGTGAGTTTGAGGTCATCAGTTACATACTCGCACTGTGTGAGTATCGGGTTCTGGTTACTCACGATTTGGCTACTGCACTGGCGGAGAAAGGAGCACTTGGAGTAACCATCATGATGTTACTGCTCCGACCAGACTCCCTCCATGTGAGGTTCGATACTGCTAGTCTTCTGGTAATATGCCGGAGATTTGACCCTCAAATTCTCGCTCTCCTAAGGAGCAAGGGAGTTCTCATCCAGTCTCCCTCGGTAATGATCGCAGCAGCTGCAGGCAACTGGACCAGTGGGAAAGGCATGGCACATGCTCTGTGCGAGGTGAACGGCCAACGCTTGGAATTGACAGACGCTGTGGCACTATCAGCTATCGGCAACTGGAGAAGTGGGGAGGAATTCCTTACAACTCTGCTCCAACAGCCTTGGGGTCGCATTCGACTCACGAAAACATTCACGATGGTAGTCTGCCGACATTGTAGTCAGACTCTTGTATCTTTGTTGATAGGTCGATTGGCTGATGGTTTATTCAAGATAGCTATGGGCGCGCTGGCGACATTATGCGAACGATTTGATGCCCGTCTCATTGCCAAGTTACTCAACAAATGTCACGGACTTTTCACAATTTCAGAAGACATACTTGAGTCTGCTGCGCTGAACTGGAGATACGGGGACGAGGTCATCGCACTGTTGATTCAGACAGCAGATCCACGGACTCCAATCACAGAGGAGACAATGGTGGCCGCAGCAAGCAACTGGTACTGCGGAGCGAAGATCTTGGATGTCTTACTCTCCAGAAGGGAGAATGTACCGATTACACAGCGTGTTTGCCGGGCAGCAGTGTCAAATTACTACTGCGGGGAGGCTGTCCTCAAGTCACTTCTGAAACAACCTTGCGACCATCATATTTTCATCACTGAGGGGATATTAATGGCCGCAGCGAAGAATTCTCAGTGTGGTCTCAAAATCCTGCAGCTCTTGCATGACCATTTTGGTCGGATCCCAATCACCGAGAATTTGTTTCATGCCGCAAGAACAGGACCCGATCAGTTTGGGGCATTAGCAATCTGTGATCTTCTCTTCAGTTGGACGGGGGAGCATTGAATTGAATTGAGTTGTCTGACCTACGTGCCAATGAATGGGGGCTATTCGGTTCTTGGTCTGGTACTAGTACTGCTGCGGTCCCGAGCTTTGGTGGAATATTGGCAACCAGGATCATTTAGGCTGCGCTCCTTGGTATCCGGGGATACTGGGGAGGGAAGAACTGAGAGTTGAGTTGAGTGAGTTGGATAGGCGGTGGTTGTTGGTGCGCAGACTGGGAGTGGAACCCATTCTTCTTACTATACTAGTTGTCTGAAAGAGTGAGCCCAAGGTCATCCTTTGGGTCATTGTCTTCCCTCTACTATAGTGACCATAATAACACCCCTCCTTCTCTTCACCCCTGTCTCAGTTAAAGGCGACATAGTAACAGCATTCACCCCCTCCCCCTCAAAGACTAACACTCAGCTCCTCTGGTTCAACATCCTCCGCTCAATCTAACTCCCCTACTCTACCGACCTCCATACATTTCTTCCCCTCTCCTTAGCGCAGTCCGAGCAACACTCAGATCCAAATCAACCCCCATCAGCAAAAATATCATCTTCCCATACCTCCCCTCCACTTGATATCCCCACGGCCTCACACACACGAATACTCAAATCTCACAAAGAACCAAGATCCACGCACCCTCTCACCAAAATGGTCATGAACTGGAACTCTGAAGCAGACGCCAAGGTATGCATCCCTTACCACATCTCACTTCCCGGATCCCTGCCCATCCTCTTACCTACTTTGTTCTAACTTCCGATGCTCTCATTAACAATGTACATCAATCACCAGCTCTTCCAAGGCGTCCTTAACTTGCTGAGAGACTCCAAAATCAAGCTTGACTACGAGTATCTCGCGGGGTTTATGGGACCAGGTTCGTTTCCCCCTCTGAAGACGACCTGTCGCCTCTACTACATCCACCCACCCCTTTTCTTCGTTTATTCCTCGTACCTCATTCGCAATCTTGGTCATTTCACGCACAGCACTAACAGCCATCTGGAAACAGACTGTCTCCCCGGCGCCGTGCAGAACCGCATCGTCCGCCTCAAGCGCATGGCCGAGAAGGGCCCGAGCAACGACGATTCTGCATCCGGCGAGAATGTCGACGAGAAGACTGAGGGCGCTGGTTCTGAGGGTCAGGCACAGGCGTCGCCTGCCAAGCGCAAGGGTGGAAGGCCCAGGGGGGTCAAGGGGTCTCTGGCGAAGAAGGTCAAGGCTACAGCGAAGGCGAAGGTTGAGGTCGAGGAGGAGGACGATGAGGAGATGTAGGTGGACGGGGATGGAGAGGTTGATGGTGATGCTGTCGCTTGATTGATGCATGCCCCCTATGTTATGTGTTGTTCTCTTTCTTTTCAAAAAGTGGCGAGGTTCGTTCGCTGAGGTCGGCCTTCGTCCGGCGCTTCGGGGATGCGCGTACATATCACTGGATGCATTGCGCTGCGTTGATTCGGAGTTTGGTTTTGTTTCGCTTCTTTTCTTTTCTTCTACTTCCAGGATACTGGCAACAGCGGGATATGCGGAGTTTATGGATGCCGCTGCCACTGCGATCTGCTGTTTCTGTTTTCTTTACCATGGGAGAGATTTTGCTAGACCTTTAAGGGCCATGAGATGACACCTCTGGATGTGATCTCCATTATCTACGTGGATATGCCATTGCAGAATCGATGAATACCATTCAATTGCTCGATGAAAATATGCTATAACCGCCTATCTCTCGAATAAAATACATCCCAAGTAAACCCCAGTAAATGCCCCTATAAAGAAAAAAGAAAAAGGAGAACAGAACCTGTAAACCCCAAAGCAAACCCAGTACGGCCCATTGTTCCACCTCCATTTCATAGTTCTCGACTAGAAAGAAACAACCCCACAAACCCACCCCTTAGTAGAAATCATCTTCCATGCCCGGTTCGGGCTTGATGAACGGCATGTCCAGAGTCTCCTGGCTATCTACCTCAGCACCGACCCCGGGAAACATTTCTCTCTCATTGTTGAATTCCACCTTGACACCCTGCTCCTGTTCGTCGTCGTCCATGTCGACATCGCCAGTATCCTCCTCGTCGCGCTCCTCATCCTGGACTTCCTCTTTGATCGCTGCCTTTCCTTTTCCCTTTGAATTCGCACTCCTCCCCTTCGCCGCCGTAGCACCCTTCCCTTTGGGCGCAGCCCGGGTCTTCTGCACGCCAGCACCAGTACCTCCAGCAGCACCAGCACCGGCCTTCTTCCGTGGCTTCCCAACAGGAACTCCATCGTCGGCCGTGCGCTTGGCGCTCATGCCGAAGGTGATCTTGTTATCACCGCCGAGGCTCTTCCGGTACTTGCTCAGATGCTCCTTTAGGGCTTTCGGGGTTGGCTTATCGTCGCCGGCTGGTGGGGTGTTAGTTAATCTGGTTGGTTGGTTGAACGAGGAAGGGGTTAAATGGGGTTGAAGTGAGATTGGTAGAGAAGGGGGTATGCGTGTAGTGGTGCAATGGTGGATGTCGAACATGTAGCAGATGAATCTGGATGCTGGGGAAAGGAGAGCACGTACGCCACGCGGCAGCAACACCATCAAGGTCGATGTGGAAGGATTGAGTTTTAAAAATGGTATTCCAAAGCTTTGAGGTGTTAGCTTGCCTGTTTATCAGTTACCTACTTGTCACTTCCCTGACCCACATCTTCCGATACGGATAGATCTGTGGGCCAGCGAGATGACGAGTATATTTCAAAGAACGGAAGAGGGATGGTAGGGGCTTGTGTACACACAATCTCTTTGTTGTCTTCGGTCCAGCGCATCTTTGCGTCTATGGAGTATTATGATAGGTGGTACTAGGTAAGGCTGATTGAAGGTGTGGGTGATGGATGGTGGTTTGTAGACGAGGCTGCTGTTCCTGATGGAGATATGATTTGATGTTGAGATCGAGGGAGGTGTAGTCGAGAGAAGGATGGAGGAGAGAGAGAGGAAGAGCAGTCAAGGAAGGTTAAATAGGGAGGCAGAGGATAGGAGGAGCTGTGTTTCTCAAGGTCTAAGCGGGAAGTGAGAGGCAGGGAGACTCGTGTTGCTGGGTAAATGTGTTATGGTGGGAAGATTGGTTCGAGTCTTGGGCGGGCTTGAGTAGAGGGTTGGGAGGCTCGTTTCACAGGTATTGTGAGGTTGTTTCTTGTAGGTGGAAGTCAGACAGCGATGGCTCAAGAGAGCCTCTCAAGGACAAGGCAGCGACCTCTCAGGGGAAGCTTGGGATCGAATGGGCCAAGGCGAAGCAGGACAAGGACACTGCTGCTTTACAGTGCTACGAAAGTAATGTGAAAAGGTCCTGACAGACCCATCCAGTGTCTGGACAGGCCTGAAATTCCCAGCCTCTACCTTAAGCCTACCTTCCTAGGAGTAAGTTTTACTCTCTCTAGACAAGGCACCGGATTCTGAGACTCCAAGGCGGGTCAGGGCTGTGTGGCCGGGTCTGTGAGGAGTTTTGTGCCTGGGGCACGTCACCATACCACAGGTCTGGTATATAAGACCGGTCCGGTGCAGTATTGATCTCTTTTGACGCCTATAGGCTGAGCGGTCTCATGGTGTCGGCGGCCTACGAGGTCTAACTCCCTGCTCCATTACGGAGCCATCCAAGAGGGGTGATGCAAATGAAGAAAAGGTGACTATGAGTCTGTCTGGAGTTCGTGAATAGCTCTAGCCGCAAAGCAAAGACGTCACGCCTATACCAAAAATTGAGAACTCGAACGCCATGCAAGGAAAAAATGTATTGAGCGGTATATAATACATCGACGAAGGACAGGGATGGGTATAGACAAAAGACAGAGACAATTAAGAATAGTAATCTCATAACTTTGAAGCAGTAGGAGATATAGCCTTGCGGCGGGGTAGCCGTGTGGAGAGATCGCTGTCGCCTGCGGGATCGCGGTTTTCCGTGGTTTCGAATAGTGTTCGGCCGACCTTGTCTGACATGGTAAGAACTCTGGAGGAAACAGTCGCGCCATCCCGGCGGTTTTTGCTGGATGGTGTTAGCTGTTGTCATACTGAGAGGAGGAAAGACTTGCCCTTCGCGTCTTGACTGGGCGATGAGCTCCATAAAGTCCCAGAGGCGGCCTTCGGGAAGAAGTTTTCCGGTTTTTGAATCCCGCTGTGGTGTCCATTCCGGGGCGAGTCGCATTTTCGCGGGCGTGCGCGCCTCTTTGCTCTTGGCAATGATGATAATCCCTTCTTCCGCGAATCGCTCGTATGAGTTCTTGAGGGCTTCTTTGTTGACGGCTTCAAAGTACGAGAGGTCGCCTTGGTGGTAGAGTGTTTTGCCAAGCTGATCTCGTCAGCCTTTGTCTAGTGCATATGCTCGTGGACTTACCAGCTGTGCATTGTTCTGAGCCTTGCTTAGATCAATCCATGCGTCTTTCGGTCCGTCCAGAGGGGGCGTGAGCCCGAGAAGAGATACTGTACCCAGCCACGACGCTTCGATGAATGGCCAGATAAGGAAGCAGTAAAAGTCGTAGTTCTCCCGTCCGCATAGGCGTTCATGGTCGCTGAGCTCGACAAATAATGGAGCTCCAGCAGCATCCCTCGTGACCGTGATGACTTTGTCCTTTTCAAGCATCCGCAGAGTGTTTTCCAAGTTTGTGGTCAACCCATCAGGTGGGAAGATGAATTCGCCACGGAAAAGCTGTTCATGTAAGTAACAGACAGAGAGGTGTAAGAAGCTGGCATACCTGGGAGAGGAAGGTGACATGCTGAAGAAGATCGCCGAAAGAAATCCGCTGGTGAGAAGGGCCACCGCCCTGCTTGACCCTGGTGTACATCGCTGCAGATACGAGTGCCTCGGTGATGAATAGATGGATCGTCATGTTACGGTAGAAGGAGAGCTGGAAGCGATCCACCGCGTAATACGTAGGCTCAACTAGGCCAGTAACCTCGCCGACGATCTTCGGTCCCAAGACATCAAGTGCTCGATCGACGACCACCTCAGTCGGATACCGATAAAAGTGGGCGACCCGTCCACCTTTTGCTCGCACACGGTCACAGAGCCACTCCACTCGGCGAACAAGTTCAGCCTTGCCAACGCCACGCCCACGGAGAGTCAACAGAACCGTTCCGACGAGAGCTGTAGGCATCATCACCGAAACGTCGTTGATATCCGAAAGTACCCTGTAACCTAATGATCTCAGGAGGCGACCCTTGTCGGCTTGGCCAAGTTTGAGTCCTTTCTTCAATTGTAGCTGTCCGGGCATTCGAGATAGCCGCTGCGTTATGAACTCTCGCAGACTCCATGGTTCATGGAACCGAACATCTACTCGGCCGAGTTTCAGGGACAAAACGGACGAAGAAGAGATGAAGTCGGCCAAATTTTCCTTCCGTTTAGGCTGACCCAGAAGCTCGCTAATGTAAGATCTGGACGATGTTAGCATTGCCTCGGCGGCAGGAAGTGGCAGCGTACTCAGTCTCAATGACTTTGTCGTATTGTGTGCTGACAGGGCAGATGATGGTATCTTCCACGCGACCAGAGAGCAAGCTGTCAACAATAAAGCTAAGAATACCAAACTTTGGCGACAGTAGCTTTCCAGTTCGTGAGCGGCCACCTTCAATAAAACACTCAAAGTTGTAGCCTTGCTGAAGGATCGTGTCTATGTAAGCCTGAACGACGGTGTTGTATAGTGGGTCATTGCCGAAGCTGCGCCGAATCCACATGGCGCCGGCATGCTGCAAGAAGGCGCCGACTAGTGGGATGTTTAGGTTATCGCCAGCGACAACAACTGGCAGGGCGATTCCTAATCGATAGCAAATGATTTGGAGCGAAACGTAGTCGACATGCGACTTGTGGCACGGCAGGAAAACGATGGACTGCTTCTTCTTGGCCGCCTCCTCCGCCACGGCCCGTAACCGCAACACTTCTTGGCTAGAGACGTGGATACCTGAAAGGATCAGCATCTTGATGAACAATACGACGCCAAGGAAGCTCACCCTGATGATAAGCTCTGGTGAGAAGCTGCGTCGCGAGGTAGTACGCGCCGCGAATGAACCTCTTGCTCTCCATCTTGCAAATCATGTTATCCAGCATCTGGTCGACGACTTCCTTCAGGTTATTCTCCAGCTCACTGCGTCGCTGTGTTCGATTCCGAGCAAACGGGCCGGTCTTGACCTGTAAGAGGCCCTCCTTCTCCTCGACGACCAGTCGCGCTTCCGCAAGCTCCTTGACCTTGCCCTGTAGTATAGGACTAGCGAGAATATGCGACTTGATCTGCTCCGTAAACCCCGAATAGTATATAGGCTGTCCGATCACATCGTCATAGGCGCGCCACCCAGTTCCCGACATCATATGCAAGCTCACTTCGCGCAGGAAATCAAACGGGTTCTCGCGAAAGCGCGCCATGTTGTGGACGAGATTGCGCTCTGTGATCCCTCCATCTTGAGGCTCCGGTCCTCCAGTATATCCGCTAGGGTGTATCGTAACCTGGTCGCCGACGATCTCGAGATCCGGGGCGGATTCGCCCACGGGCGACTTCCCCGACGCCATCGTATCGTAGGTATGGTTGTTGCCGAGGGGTTGCGAAAGTGGGGGGGGCGTGAAGGGGGTAGCTCAGGACGAGGATGCTGGGAGAGTATGCTCAGAAGCGGCAGTCATGGGAAGTGGAAGAGGTCATAACATAATGGAAAAGAACCAAGACCCTCTCCGCAGCCGATGCTAAAATCCCAACAAAACCGCAGCGATCGTCGGCGGCCGTTGTTTGCCCCAGACTCTCGCTCCTTTCGCCCCGACCTACCTCGGATGCGCATCACGTGAGGTGACATCGTAGCCGCGGTCTCACGGCCGTGACTGCCTTGACTGCCTTGTCCATCAGGCATTCTATGCTGCGTTCCACGCTGAAGCTGCTGGCACGCAAGATTCAGCTTGACGAGTTTCTGTTTACGATGGCTATGTATTATTGAGTTGTTATCCTGTCTCTCATCCTCTTCATGGCCTGTTGTGCTCTCACTCGAATCCGTGGTACGATCTGAATTTCGTCACTACTGCGGGACAGGATCTGGTTACTCCGCAGCAAACCGAGCGAGCTCCAGACAAGGATCGCCTTCCCAGCTATCACCATGTTCCGGCGAGCAACGCAATTACACGGTGCGACATCTCCCTGTTCACAATCGGATCGTTCTAATGGACTACTCCTAGTTGCCTCGTCGCTCTTCAGACACCCCGCAGCCGTCCCCTCACGCCACTACTCCTTCCAAGTCTTCCGTGATGTCCCTCCTCTCCGAAAATTACGGCGCGGCCTCCTGCTGTCGAATCGGACGGTAGGCCTCGTGCCTACGATGGGAGCTCTGCATGACGGTCACTTGTCTCTAATTCGCCAGGCCGCGTCCGAAAACACAGACGTCTTCGTCAGCATCTTTGTCAACCCAACTCAATTCGGCGTGAACGAAGATCTCTCCAGCTATCCGCGAACATGGGATGCCGACGTCGCAAAGCTAGAACAGTTGAACGATGAACTCAAGGGAGATGGCAATGGGCGCATCACAGCCATTCTGGCTCCCACGGTGAAGACAATGTATCCGACTCTCCCACCAACCTCAGAAATAGACGGCGACGGCTCGTTTGTGATCATTACGCCGATCTCGAAGAAACTTGAAGGTGCATCGCGACCTGTCTTCTTCAGAGGTGTCGCCACCGTCTGCATGAAGTTGTTCAACATTGTCGGCGCCGAGCGAGTTTATTTCGGACAGAAGGACGTGCAGCAGACCGTCGTCATCAAGCGAATGGTCAAGGACTTCCACATTGATACTGAGGTGAAAATTGGTCCGACAATGCGCGAGGCCGACGGGTTGGCCATGAGCTCGCGGAATGTATACCTGGGCACACGCAGGCGTAATGTCGGTCTCGTTCTCTTCAGGGCGCTAAAAGCTGCCGAAAGCGAATACCAGTCTGGAAAACTCGCCCGCAAGGATATATTGGGTCCTGCCAACGACATCACACGGCATGTCTTGACGGAGCAGCAGTCCCTGTCACCTTCTGAGCGTGCCAAGTTTGAAGTTGATTACATTTCCCTCGCTGATCCGGATACGCTTGAGGAGGTGGAAACTGTTGATCCGGCGAAGGGGGCTATTCTCAGTGGTGCTATAAAGATGGCTCCGCTAGAGGTGACCAATGCCGGCGAAGACTGTGGCCTTGGAGATGGAAAGGTTCCAGTCCGGTTAATCGACAATTTGATCCTACAGCCTGTCGGTTAATTAAATAGGGAAAAGGTACATACGATTACCATGACATATTACCTGTATATATCTTGCTGTTGGAAAATTATCCTGAAAGCCTGCACTATATATAATTAGCGGCTTGATGAATCTCAAACCACATAAACCTTCAAATAAGGCAGCAAATAGCATAAATGCAACTTGCATGATTCCCAACGACCTCAAATCCTTTCCAAGGACAGTCTTATTCTCCAATTACTCCAGCATCGCCGCTGTAACCCCCCCTTCCCAAAAAAGAAATAGGGCATACATCGAGGGCTCGGCGAAACATCGGCCCGCGAAAATTTCCCATCCAACTCCCGCTACATCAACTCCCGCCTGCAAACCAAAGCCAACCACAACACAAAATCCACAAGAGCAGCCCCGCTGCCAAATCACTCACCATGGCAGACGACGGCATGCTCCTCAATTTCGCCCTCCCGAGCACGATCATCGCGCCCGAGGCCAAGATCAAAGGCGGGACATGGCGCGACAGACTAAGCGTGAAGAAGATTGCTGAGCACCGGAAGAATAATCCCAAGAAGGATGGAGAGGAGAAGACTGGGACTGGAGGTGATGGACCGCGGAATCCGAATCGCATCGAGGTTCCGGGGGATCGGCCGGCGAAGAGGCAGAGAGTTGATGGTGGTGGGAAAGGAGAAGGATTTCAAGGACGACAACAAGGACAGGGTCGGGGTCCAAAGAGACTCGGTAACGGACAAGTAGTCTCATCGCTCTTCTCCAAGAACCCGCGCCCGCGAAACGCAGTCGAAGACACCGACAAAAAGGGAGAAGAAATCGAAGATGCGAAACCCACAAACGCCCCGCTAATCGACGGACTTGATACATTTACGAATCTCGGATTATCCGCGACGCTCGGCGCACATCTGCTCACGAAACTCGAACTCAAGGCGCCCACCGCGATCCAAAAGGCGTCCATCTCGCAGCTCCTGAAAGAGGAATCCGATGCGTTTATCCAGGCTGAGACGGGTTCCGGAAAGACACTTGCGTACCTGCTTCCGCTCGTGCAGCGGATTATGGATCTTTCCAAGGCGAAGAAGGAGGGGGATGAGAGGGGGGAATTGAATGTTCATCGGGACAGTGGATTGTTTGCGATTATACTTGCGCCGACGAGAGAATTGTGTAAGCAGATTTCTGTTGTGCTTGAGGGGCTACTGCGCTGCGCGCATTGGATCGTCGCGGGAACGGTGATTGGAGGAGAGAAGAAGAAATCAGAGAAAGCGCGGCTGCGGAAAGGGCTGAATATCCTCGTCGCAACGCCCGGACGGTTAGCGGATCATCTGGAAAACACACAGGCGCTCGACGTGAGCAACGTGCGGTGGCTCGTCCTCGACGAAGGAGATAGGTTGATGGAGCTGGGGTTCGAGCAGGAGCTTCAGGGAATCATCAGCAAGCTCGATGCGCGCCAGCGACCAAGTCGGATTCCCGGTGTTCCGACGAAACGCGCGACGATTCTGTGCTCGGCTACGCTGAAGATGAACGTACAGAAGCTTGGCGAGATCAGTTTGAAGGATGCGGTTCATATCAAGGCCGATCCAGAGGATGAGGGTGGGGAGAAAAAGGATGGTGACGATGAAGATGCGGCGTTTAGAGTGCCCGCGCAGCTTAAGCAGTCTTATGCTATTGTTGCGTCGAAGCTGAGACTCGTCACGCTTACGGCCTACATGAAGCGAACGTTTATGCGAAAGGGCTCCGTCATGAAAGCGATTATATTCGTCTCGTGCGCGGACTCGGTCAACTTCCACTTTGAAGTCTTTACGCGAAAACTCCAAGCACAAGTGGGCGCTGAAGAGAAACAAGACTCCTCCTCCAGCGACGAAGACACAAATAAAAAAGAAAAAGAAGAAGAAAAACCAACCCCGGCCTCAATCGCCGGAACAATCGCCCCCGCAACCGCCTTCTCCAACCCCTCCAACGCCGTAACAATGTTCAAGCTGCACGGCTCTCTCCCGCAACACGTCCGCACATCAACCCTCCAATCCTTCGCAAAGAACCGCGACCCCTCCGTCCTAATCTGCACAGACGTCGCCTCGCGCGGCCTCGACTTGCCAAACGTCGACCTCGTCGTCGAATACGACCCGGCCTTTAGCGCAGACGAGCACCTCCACCGAATCGGACGTACCGCACGTCTCGGCCGCGACGGCCGCGCACACATCTTCCTCCTTCCGGGATGTGAAGAGAACTACGTCGAGATCCTAAAGCGCGGATACCGTGATGGCGGGAAGGCGTTGACACGAACAACGGCAGACGAGATGCTGAAGCGAGGATTCGGTGGGAATGTAGAGTCCCAGAATCGAGACTGGGACGACAAGGCGTCGGACTGGCAGCTGGAGCTCGAGCGGTGGACGCTCGAGAACCCAGAGTATCTCGAGATGGCGCGGCGCGCGTACCAGTCGCATATCCGGGCGTATGCGACGCATGTCGCGAATGAGCGGCATATCTTTAATATCAAGGAACTGCACCTAGGTCATTTGGCGAAGAGCTTTGCGCTCCGCGACCGGCCGGGCAAGATCAATGTCCCCGGTCTGCGGCCCGGAAAGGAAGAGTCGAAGAGGGACTTCAAGGCGGAGCGGAAATCAGTCGGTGGTGGGAAGAAGAGGAAGGCCGGTGCTGGTTATGGTGGTCGCGACGACGACGACGATGTCCCCTCTGCGACGACAGACACGACCCTCGCGGCGCAGAAGATGCGGGCGAAGATGAGGGAGCAAATGGCTGGCGCGAGCGAGTTCAATTTGGCGTAGTCGTCCTCGTCCTCCTGAAAAAAAGGGAATTCTGCGAAAAATAATTTGTCCGCATCTGCATTTGCATACCTGTAAATAGATAGCTTAGCGCTTCACGTCATGACTCAATAGATATCCCACAATGAGATCTTTCCGTCTTTCGAGCCGGCGGCTAGCCAGTGCGTATTCTGAACTTTGTCGCTTCGCTGTCGCTGGACCTGCGCGAGGGTATATTCCTTCTCGTCGCGGCGGGTGACTGTCCCCTCCTCCTCATCCGTAACTTCAGAGCCAGAGGGTCTCCCAGCTCCGTCTCCCGCCTCCCCAGTTGAAGTCTCTGTCGAAGCCAAACCCGTACCCGCACCTGCACCCGCACCCGGACTCGCAACACTACCAAACGCAACACAATAACACCCCTCCTTATGCCACTTGAGCACAGCAAGCTCCCTCATCGTCTTGGCCGAGTAAACGCGTACCCGCGAGTCCCACCCCGCCGTCGCGAAGATCTTCCCGTCATCGCGGATGCGTAGACCCTGTTGTCCCGCGTGTTTCGTATGGACACTCTTCGAGGGCGTCTCGCTGGACAATGACCCCGACGCTGCCATTCCAAACCTCGGGAGTGGATGTTTGATCAGCAGCGCGTCCGCGGACGAGGAGAGGAAGTACTCCCCCGAGGGCGCGACGTCGATTGATAGCACGGGCTGTGAATGGGGGTGTGAGGCGTAAAGTTTCTCCCATTTCCAGGTGCTTGATCCGCTATTTCCCTTTGCGCCGCTGCCAAGGTCCTGTCGAGCGAGTGCCCCGCGACACCCGAAGAGCATAACGTGCCCATCCTCATAGGCCGCAGCAACATAGAGATCATTCGATGATGACGACGGAGAAGAAGCTGAGCTGAGTAAATGCACAGCCATAACCATCCCAGTTTTTACAGCAGGATCTGTAGGAATCGTACAGATTCTGCGCTCGGCGGGGAGATGGAAGAGGTCGATTGCGCCGGAGTCTAGGGCGTTGGGGACGGCGAGGAGGGCTAACGTGGGTGGAGTTTCGGTGTTATCGGTACCTTTTTCATCTTCATTTTTGATTGAAGATGATTCAGGTTTGGGAGGAGTGGTGCCGTTGAGAGAGAGCATAGAGAACGCGCAGAAATTCAGCGCGTTGACGGGGAGCGAGTGGATGAGCCATGGCTGGGATGCGCTTGCTGTATCCTTTCCCTCCGCGTCGACAGGGAGTGTCTTCTGCAAGATTTCCTCATCCTGCACTCGAAACCTCCACACGCGGAGTTTATGGTCTCTCCCATGTCTGTGCACTGTTAGTAATTATCCCCATCTATTCGTAAAACTATTGAGGCAGTAACATACGTAAAAACCTCCGTCACCCGCCCATCCCCAAGTGCAAACCCCTTGACCTCAAGAACAGCCCCCTCATGAGCCTTCCATACCGCTACAGGCCGCTTGAAGATGAGATCCCAGACGACGATCCAGCCGTCGGCGTCGCCAGAGACGAGGCGCAGGTTTTTGTGGAAGATTTGGAGCGCGTGTATTGGGGTTGCGTGGCCGCGGAGGATGTACGTGGGGGTTGCGGGGGGGAGGGTAGATGTGCTCATTTGAAAGGTTGATGGAGGGGTGATGGGGGGAGAGGGGGGAGTGGAATGGGATGGTTGGTTGTGGTGTTGTAGATGGATGCGAAGAGCAAGCGGGAGATGTTCATATTGTGGTGGGCGAGATTTCTTGGCGTTCGCGGCTCTTTGACGTAGAGAGTAACATGTACTCCGTACAGAACGATATTCAGAACTCTTTTAATTTCATCTCTCAAAATTGCTAGTCAATCTATAATGCTTTTTTAAAAACAACCCAGGGTATATTATCCAATGCAAAACGCCACTGCAAGCCATTGCTCCACCATGCATAGTAGACAGAATGAACCTTAGAGTTCGTGGAAAGAGGTGAAATGAGGATCGAGGTACGGATTTACCATCGCGTCGTCAAAAGTCAGAGCAGGATCAGTGGTGTCGTGTTGAGCTTCAGCACTAGTAAAGCTGTGACCTGTGTCGGGTGGGTCCAGAGCCATGGAGGCATCCGGAGCCGATTGATGACCGTGATAAGGAGCCCATCCCCAGCCCTCTACAAGGCTATCCTTGGTTTGTTGGGTTTTCAGTCCAGTTTCATGCGTGATTTTATCAAGGATCCGGAGGACTTCCTCCTGCGCTTCTCTGTCGACCAAGCATTCCGCGGCAACTGCGAGTAACTGGGTCGAGAAGATGGGAATCCCACTGAAAAATTAGCCAAGCGTCAAATATCGTCATTATCAGGGAACATACTGGTCCTTTTCGCTCGAAACAATACCGCAAACCTGATAAGCGTGATACTGCAGGGCTTGCTGCTCAGGAGTATGCTCAGAAGGGGCCGGATCCGCCTTTATGAGAAGAATCCGAGCGATATGATAAAACAGTTGAGCAAATGCAGCGCAACGGCCGAGAAGCCTATCATGCGTGAGTATGAGCTGTATCTTGGTGAAGGATTCAAGTACCATATCTGAGGAAACACAGTGTGATAGCCCGCCTGCCAGGACTGCAGCTCGCCAAGTGGAAGCATAGATTTTGGGACTAGGGTCTTCCATCTTTCACACCATCCGTTGTAGATACTCCATTGTTGGAGTTTCTGGTTGACCTCGTTGACACTCGAGTTTTGGGCCGATTGCAAAGAAGCTACCCAAAAGCTTGCTACTTTGGCGCAGATGTATATCATACGTTGAGCCCAGGTTTCTTCGTTTCCGGTAATAGCAGGCTGAACTTGAGAGAAATTCATATCAATACTCCAGGTATCGGGATCCCACGTCAGATTCCGGTGCGATGTCAAACAGTCGAGAAGCTCCATGACAATGCTTGTCCAGGAACACGCTCTGCCGAGGCCTTGTGAGTGAGTACTCCATTGGCAATCTCGAATCAACGGTCTTGCAGTCTTCTCTGCCCGGGGATGCTGCGTGCTGTTGAGCGGGCCAAAGACCAACGTTTCAGCAACTTCAATGACTATTGCGGTTGCCGCGCACAGGGTAGAGTCACGAAGCGGGTCCGACAGGGATTCCGATAGCAGTTGCACTGCATTGTTATAAAGACGCATGCCGTCATCCGAGGAGCTCCCCGCACAGGCAGCAAACGCAGCATATAGCATGGGCTCCTCAAGCGCATGCAGAGGCAGGATACGGGTAAACTTGAAAGATCAGACATACACTACTTGGTCCAGCAATGGCGACTCACATGCTTCATATCATCTAGAACATCCATCCACGGGCCGATTTTCTCAACAAATACCTGCATCAGGGACACTTCTGTTGGATCCTTGAAAGATAGATGCCGGTCGGCAGCGGGCCTTGAGGATTTGAATAGCGGAACTGCCGCACTCTCAGAAACTCCAGCTGTTTGGCCATGAATTTCCATTAGAGGCTCCTGCTCAGGCGAGGGATACCTTTCGAAGCCACCCACGTACTCCGAGGCTATGGTTCTCGAGTCATCTCGGAATGTTACACGGCTGGCGGCGGGCGGCTGAAGGTACGTCGGAGGCGCCACGACCTGGGTGTCGACGAAATTCAAGCGAACACCGCGCCTGCATATCCTGCCTGATTTCCGACAGTTTTGACACTGACCGAGCGCCTCGTCGCATTTGAGATGGCGATCCCGACAGGTGAAGCAGCCGGTGCGGACGCGCCGCTGTTTCTTCACAGGGGCGTCGCTTTCACGGTCGGCATCGCTTGCTGACATGCGAGCGGCCAACAGGGCATTGTTCAGATTCGCGCCATCCGAGTCCGACGCAAGGAAGGCAGGGCTGTCGGTACTGGTACCAGGCTCCATCCTGAGCTCAATCGTTGTGGCCTTGTGGGACTGCCATGACACCTGGGCTCAACGGATCCGGCAGAGCGTTGCTGCAGCTCAGTAAAATTGGCAGGACTGACTACCAGCATGAGATCGGTGTGCTGCTGTCATGTAGCACAAGACGAACCATCAACAGCCTGTTGATGAATGGGAGATTTTCGAGCTCCAAGGGCGCAAAAGGCCGCGGGCGCTAAACCCAGTCGGGCAAGCAGCCGTGTGAGGAGCCGATCTCGGAATCTGCACCTTCTCGCGATCATCACGAAAAGATTCCCGTGAATGGACAGGAATGCCGACCGTGTGGCGAATAGAGCGCTGGATCTGACAGCGGCTGAGGCTGAGCGGAGGTCTGAGCTCAGGGCTCTTCCTCCTGATCAAGCACTCGGCAAACTGCGAAAGCCAGGTTCGAGTTGGAGTCATGACTTGCAGAGGGGAAGGTGGGCCTGGACAGGAGAAAAGAGCGTGCTGCGTGGGAGATATTGCGCATCTTTTTCTCTTCCCCCAAGCTGTTGGTAGCGTGCATTAGTGTCTTCTGCACGCCCTAAAATCTCATTGAAGCAGTTTTTCACGCGCCTCGCGAGGTTACCCTAGGTGATTTGCAACTTGACTCACTCCTGACCCCCGACTTCTTATCAGATTGAGGCCCCCACTTCCCCCGTCTTCCGCTTTTTTTCGTCTCCGAACGTCGAGTCTTCTCTTGGGATTTTGACATTCTTTCAGTGTTAGAAGCATTTGTTTTCCTCGAGTATGACTGTGTCGCAGCCCCTAGATGATCAGCGACAGGCTGCCACCGAGTCCACTCCTCTGCTAAAGGACGCGTCGCGTGGCCAGCAGTACACGGGCAAAGCCGGTGAAACCACTTCCACTGTCGATGCTAGTAGTTCATCGTGCGACGAAGACGCGCCTCTCCTTGGTCTGTCGGCTGTGACTGTCGCCCAGCCAGAGGTTGACGCCGGCCTTGAGCGAGTTCTCTCTGCAGCCTCGGCGAACAGGCACCTCCACCACGATGCGGAGGCTGGAGCTCGTACTGAGGAAATCTCAGACTACGCTGACCGGTTCATCAATGTGACGCCCACAAGATTCTGGCTCATTTTCGGTGGTGTTCTGTTCGGGTACATTATTGGATTCTTCGACTCGACCTTGATGGCCTCGAGTCATCCTGTGATCACGTCTCACTTTCACGCCTCCAACTCCGCCTCGTGGCTGTCGACTGCGTTCCTATTGACATCAACCGCGTTCATGCCGCTTTTTGGACGTGTTTCAGACACATTTGGTAGGAGGCCTGTCTACCTGTTCTCGATCGTCGTCTTCTTCCTCACCACGGCATGGTGTGCCGCAGCGCGGAGCATCGGAAGCTTCATTGCTGCGCGCGCCTTTTGCGGACTTGGAGCTGGGGGTGTATTTTCCATGGGCATGATTCTGTCCAGCGATCTCGTCCGCATCGAGTACCGTGGCATTTACCAATCCTACATCAACCTCTGCCTCGGGGCAGGTGGCTGCCTGGGCATCGCGTTCGGCGGATACCTCTGCGATCATGTCGGATGGAGAGGCGCGTTCCTCGTGCAACTGCCGTTCATCTTCATCTACTTCCTCGTCGCAGTCTGGACCACTCCCGCCGAGCTCGGCATACAGAAGCAAGCATCAGGCAGGATGACCTTTTCTCAGCTCCTCAAGAGCATCGACCTGGTAGGTTCGGCGCTCCTGGTCATCGCGGTCACTGCATTGATCATGGGACTCAATCTGGGCGGTAATGTCTTTCGCTGGTCTCACCCCCTTGTCGTGTCGTCCTTGGTTCTGTCTGTTGTCCTAGGTGTGATTTTCGTCCTGTACGAAAGACGCGTGGAACGAGCAGTCATGCCAATTGAGCTGTTGGCGCAGAACCCGCGGGCCTTTCTCATCTTTGGAAACTTCTTCGGAGCGCTCTCAATGAACACCGTCCTCTTCAACGCCCCGCTGTACTTCCAAGCAGTCAAGCTAGCCACTCCGACGGAATCAGGCCTCAACTTGTTAGGAGGTACCCTGGCCGCCACCGTCTCTAGTGTCTCAACCGGCTTCATCATCACCTGGTCAAGACGCCTCAAGCCGACAACCGTCATCGGCGACATCTTCCTCATTCTCGGAGGATTGGCCGCGAGCGCACTTGGCGTCTCCACCCCCGGGATCATCGCCGTGATTGGCGTCTCCCTTACGAGTCTCGGAATGGGCTTCGCCAATCCAACGGTAACGGTCGCCGTCCTCGCCACAAGCGAAACAGACGAGCAAGCCGTGGCAACGACGACGCTCGGACTGTTTAGGAATCTCGGATCCGTCATGGGCGTGGCCATTAGCAGCTGGATTTTCCAAAACAGCCTGATATACCATCTGGAGGACAAGGTGACTGGCGCCGACAAGGACGCTATCGTCCAACTGGTCCGCAAGTCTGTTCAAGCGATTGTGGACCTTGATCCCCTGCACCAGAGCCAGGGTACGACCCCCTTCCCTCATACTCTCATAGTCAGCGTTCACTAACAACATTGCCCTAGTCATCGCCTCTTACGGCGCTGCTCTCCGCTTGACATTCCTCTCAGCGGCTGTCTGGGCGTCTCTTACACTTCTGTTGCATGTCGGACTTCGTCTTCCGCGTCTCGGGCGTAAAGCGTGAGCTAAGCTGAGCTAGCCCAATCCTTCATCAAAGACCCTTGCTTAAACTGTAAGTCCGCCTCCAGCGCATGGCGATTTCTCCATTCTATATTACTATTTTACCTCAGACTGTATACAGTGTGCATTCTAGCGCCTCGTGTTACATAAAAGTTACGTGTTTGGACATAGGCATTAGCCATAAGCCAATATGAATATACCTTCGGCCCAGAACGATATGGGACGGTATTCGGAGATAACGATGAAAGGAAAGTATACGTCTTTATATAGAAACCTAGTAGCGAAGAAGCAGAAGTGTTGAATACATCCCTCGTAATAACAAGACTACAGAGAATATCCATTGCTTTTTGTTCACTAGGGCTCTATGAGCATATTTCCAAGTTCACTGGTACCTGGTAATGTCTAATATTACTCATTGAAAGTAGACGGAGGAAGAGTAGCGAGGACGAATAATGGATGGTAAAAGGTGAGCAGGACCGAGACTCTGAGGCTGATGGAGGAGTGCTTACACCGCTGGATTGTCTTTCTTTGTCTCCCACTTCCAATGCAGCAGGGAGAGGGGGGTAAGCGGTTACACGCTTACCTGCAGGCCAGATTGAAATAATACAACTCAGCCGCTTTCGACAGTGCCACCCCGCGCTTAGAATCATCTCATCGCACCCTTAAGCATCCCAATCACCCATCTAACCATCCCATGAGTCAATCAATCTTCCTTGACTTCAGTCGAGGCTCTCATTCTTGCTATCATGACGTACGCCACCGAAGGCAGCGTGATGGCCCTTGGGCTGCTCTTTTCTGTTCTCGGAACTGCTGTAGTGGTGACTAGACTAGTCGTCCAGCACCGCCGGGCAGGCGCGCAGGCAGACGACTGGTTTGTCCTAGCAGCGTGGGTAGGTTTGTTTCGAGCCCACAAGTGGCATTCACCCTCGCTAACTCTGGCGATTACTGTAGGTCTTCCTAATAGCCTTGTGCAGCCTGATGATTGCTGGCTCCGCAACCCATACATTTGGCAGCCACTCTCCTCCAGGACTCGGTCCTGCATTCTACTTCTATGAAGATGCTCAGTTAAGACTCACACGAAAAGTGCAGAGCCCCAATGGTTTACCACACATCGCAAACAAGGGCTTGCTAATGGTGCCTGATAGCTACAATACTCGTTTGACATCCTTTCGGTCTGGGCTTTGGGCTGTCTAAAACTGTCCATCCTTTTGTCCTACCGGCGACTGTTCCCCATTGGCAGGGCAAAGCTTATCAACTCGGCTCTGCTTCTTGCCACTGTGGTTTGGACAGTCACTTTTACGATCGCCTTGATTGTGCAATGCGGCTCCCACTTGGGGTCTCGCTTCCGGTCGCTCCAACAGATCGAAGCAAACTGTGCCAATGTCTTTGTGATGTCAATTGCGCTGGTTGCAACCGATGTGGCTGTTGACCTGATTATACTGGTTATTCCGATCTTCATGGTGTGCCTCCCAGGCAGGCCCACTCACTGGCCCTTGGCCATGCTAGGCTAATCGACTATCCCCCAGGTCTTTCCCCTGCAGATGCCCCTGAAGAAGAGACTGGGCGTAATTGCTATTCTCATGCTCGGCATGTCGTGAGTACAGCCAACCACCATCGCAATCCTTGATGATCACAGGTTCCTGAGACTCGGGGTGGCAGAGCAACAGCTTGCGGGATCGCTCGCCTGGGCTTGTTCGCTGCCCTTCTAGGTCCAACCCGTAAGTCCAAAGGAAGTTTTCTTCTTTCCACCTATCTCGCCTCATTGCCCCAATGCGGCCGTACACAATCGTTTGTCTCTTCCATCGCTTTTTGCTAACCAAGCGCTGCAAAAACCCAGTATTCTCAAACCCCACCGTCGCCGGCTTTCCAACACACGACGACACAGGTTCATTTCCCGGTGAGATGACGTATAACAATCGCTAACCTCTTGGTACAGGTATTGTCAGCAGCCATATATTTTGGAGCATGCTCGAAGTAGGCATTGCCAGCATTGCCGTCAGCCTGCCGGTCCTCTACAGCCTGCGGCGCCGGTGGTCGCTGCGGGGTGTATACCGATATTTCCAGTCGCTCGTTTCGCTTACAAGGCGGTCCGGAACCCCTGGCGCCAGGCACAGCGACCAGGAAATGATCATCATGCCGCATGATCACACTCACCCTGTTGGCCAGGGACTCGGGGACAACAGGCGCGGCTGGGATGTCCAGATATCCCGGTCGGTTACGCACAGTCTCGAATCGAGGGATCAGTATGGCTCGGAGATTGAACTTGTTCCTGCTACTACTGCCGCAAAGCCGGTCAAGTCTCATGGAACGCAGGCGGAGTGGTAGTCATCGGTCAACGTTGATGCTCGGGCGGCCCAGAGGAGACCAGGAGGGAGTGGTTGTTGGTGCTGCAATGATTTCGTGTGCAAAACGAGGCTTTGCTTTTTTCTTTTCTTTTCTTTTTTTTCCTGTTTGTGGATTCCCAATCAAGCGCCTATCATTTGTTCCATGTAGGCGCCGACACGTATCCCCTCTGGATCACTTGGCTCATCGCGGTGGGATTCTTATCCTGCCATAATTTACACAGGCAACTCATCTGAATATCCTCGTCGGAATAGCGAGGATCTTTGGACGCCTTGTTCTCGGCTCGCCGCAGCAGGTTCAAGATAGCCGGACAATGGAGCCAGCCAAACGATGAAAAGAAAAGCAAAATAAAAACACCCAAAGCTGCGCTTCGGGGTCTCACAACAGTCCGGCGCTATCCCGCGCCCTCGGTCAGTATTCCAAGACTGAGTATCAAGCAGGCGATGGCTTGGCCATCTACTTTGATTCGACTGGTCGGGTTAGGCCAGGAGCAATGTTGGTCCAACCCAGGCTTTACGCTGCTTCCTCTGTCTGGGTCCTTGAAGCCTTGCGCTTCGGTGAGCCTCAACCCCGTTTGCCGTCCCCTCGGTTGCCTGCACCGGCGATCACCCGTGGAGGTCCGTGAACGCTAAGCTTCCCAACAGACTCGAGGCTGGATTGTTCCGTGAACTAGCCAACTCACCGAAACCAAGCCCCCTCCCTTCCATGTGCCTCTCAGTAGGCCAACCGGAAGTCCCAGGATTAGATTTCTCATTCGGTGATTGTCAGCACATTATAGTCTGGGCCCGGGGCTGTACTAGCCCAATATCCTCCAGAATACCAACAGCTCCAGGCAGTCCTTGCTTCGACCGTATGCAGGCGTGCGTGTTCGCCTTGCCGCCCGCGGATCATCCGCCCAGGCTCGCATTCCCATAGATTTCTGTCAATATATAAAGGCCAATCGAACGCGGGTTGCATTCGTCGCCCAGCAACGCAACAAACTAACTTCTCTACCTCACTCAAAGCTCCACCCAGATACCTACGGCGCAACGCAAACAAGCCCACAAGACACTTTGTCCACGATTCTCAACATGCAATTGACCAATGTTCTCAATCTGCTACTTCTCAGCCTCGTCGGCTTCGCTATCGCTGTTCCTGTTCGCCGAGTCCGATGCTCCCGCTGAGGAAACTACTGCCAGATGTCGACGCCAAAGCAATTGGGCCTCGAAGATATCCATCGTGGCTGGTTCTCATCAATTGCATTATTGTCTGGTATTCGCAACCCCCCCAATCCGATCCGTTTTCCTTTCCCAAGTTATGTGCTGAATGGTTTACCCCCCTGTCTCCCTCAAATACTACCTCGAATAGTCGGCCTGCTGGAGACTGCTATCTCATAACCTTTTTTTTTTTTTCCGCCGCGCCTACTACGACCCTGCCCACGAAACCACTCCAACCCAACCGAGACGGCGGACTAGGACACCGCGATTGACCGCGCTCCACACGTCGGCCACTGCTTCGAGTACCTGCGCCCAAGTCTCATCTGCACCGTAGGCTCGACCCTCGAATCCGCAGACCAACGCGCAAAGATACAGGACTCTGGTATAGGGAGACCACAAGAACAGCCGACTAACCTGCCGCAGTACGTCAAAAAACAGTGCTGTAGATGTGCGTGTATGGTATTCCCTGAACTGCTTCCCGCAAGGTCTTCCGGACGATTTTCTACATGCGTAATTAGAATTGAACATAACCCATGAATCCGAGGGATCGTACATGCTCTCCGGCCATCCGTGACTCTTCCCCCAGTCTCGGTCGATGGCTATGATTCCCTTGGGACGGCCGAATCTGCTCCCAAAGCTCGTCGGCTCGGGTCTGGTTCTCCGGCGAGCTGGATCCTGTCGTTCAGCGGAATTGCTTCTGGGCTGCGTCTGGCTTGAAGTCTGGCACGTCTAGGAGTCAGCTCGTTTTTTTTTTTTCTTTGCTTTTGACCTCGTTTGGGGGATCTTGGGATGGAAACGTACTATCCGCTAGATGGCGAGAATCTGTCGATGGTATTTCACGGGAATCATGCCGCCCGTATCCTCCTAGATAGGAGACATAAGTTGTTGACAAGGAGAATCCGAATCACGGCTAGTCATGGCACCGCCGATTTTCCGCTTCGCAACTGCTTGCCCTGGGCCTTCAGGGTCGATGCTTGGGACTCTTGCTCATCACCGGAAAGAGGAGCATATCTGAGAGTCATAACTGCTGTGTAGGTATAGTATGATATCAACAGACTGCTATTCGAGAGGATGGGCAATATTTGCTGGACAAGCCGGCACTCACACGGGAAGTATACAGACGCTTACACGGGAAGTACGTCTGTGTACTATACCAGCTCCCATATTGCTCATAAGCGCCCTTGAGGCGTAGAGACTTGTGCAACCCACACTTGCATACGCCTCCTCTCCTACGTCAGCTGACTGTTGCAGACTAGACTGTGATTCATACACGTCATCTGTGGTGTGATAAGTCCGCCTAGTGCGCATCTAACGAGCCATGAATTTCCGATATCGTGATAGACAGGTAACAGACTGGCGTGGCAAGCCTGGTACAGCCATCAGGACCCCGGCGGCTGGTTGAGCTGGGTCAAAAAGTCTGCCTCCAGGTCGCCTGCATAGAAGCCCAAATTGTGGGCAAACTCGGGTTCAAATCTTTGACAGTTAATACGAAGTATCAGAGAAAGATGACAGTATATATATACCTTGTATTTGGGATTGTAGTCACGAGCTCCTCAAACAACTCGTCAAATGCATCAGTGTCGCCCAGGAGGGCTGGGGATTGAGAGGATGGAGCCAAGTTCGTTGGAATGGAGGAGGAGGGCGTGGGATACGGCGCCTTTGTAACACCTGCATTTGATGCGCGAGCCGGGTCTTTGGGCCTTGTGTTGGAAAGCAAGAATGCTGACTCGTCTAGCGTTGTAATTTGTGCTGCTGAAAAGGCTGCAGTCTTGCTTCTCTCATCGTTTGTCACTGGACCAACCGGGGTTACGGCCTGGCCGTCGCTTGAGGGCACGTCATTGCCCTGGACCCAAGCTTGGTACTCCGACAGCCGGCTTTTTATGGAGAGCATGGCAGGATACTCGGTGCATGTACTCAGGGTTTCGAGAGAAAGCTGGCATTGCAGGGCGAATACACCAAGAAGAGGTGAAGACCTTGCTGTACCTGTCATCTTGACGTAGTCTGCAAGTAGATCAAGCACACCATGGCATGTCGCAACCGTCAGCTCTGCCAAGCCCGGACCCTTTGAGTCGAAACGACGGAGCGCAGAGAGAAGTGTGAATGCACCGGTCAGATGGAGTGTCACAAGGGGTGGCGTGGCGGTGTCTAAACCACGATAGGGATACAGACTCTCGGTGGCGTTTCGCGATTCTTGAGCCTCAGACAAGATGCCGTGTCTAGCTGGGATATCCAGAGGGCAGTATAGAGCCCGGGATGAGAGCAGTGCAAAGCGTGAGAGCTGGTTCAGGATGCTCAGCGAGCGCAAGGGGCCTTTTGGTGCGCTTCTCGGCTGCATCGGATCGCCCTGTGTCCGGAGATTCCAACTGTCCCACTCCTCCATGCCATCTTCGTCTACTTGCTTCAATGCGCTGTGTTCTGCAAAAGACAGGCTAGGTGCCCTATTCATCAAGGATGAAGTCACGCAGTCCAAGAAGGAACACGCATGGAACGTATTCACGAAACGGCCCTGTTCCTGCTGAGAGTGTTGCATCACAACTAGCATTCTGACAGTTTGCCCTAACAAGACCCATGCTGATTGTATTTCTCCCTTGCCCAGGTAGAATAGGACAAGAATAACAAGTGTTTGAACATCTCCTAACGCCCAGGTCTTCGAGGCCGCTAATACTTCTTGCTGGATCGAGGACAGAACGTAACCAGGGTCCGGGATCGAGTCGCCGTCTCGACCACTGATAAATATAGCATATGCAACTACCGCCCAGAGAAGACGATGGGAATGGCCAGGCGATGAAGAGTCCGTAGAATAGGTATACATGGTACGAAGCAAGTCGCGGCGCTCGATAACTGGAAGCCACGAGTGTGTGTGGATGTAGTACATATCAATCAGGTCGGCTGTGTCAGGCGGAAGGGATAAATCTCGAAGCTTTTGTGACCTAGTTGAAGGCGCAACTGGAAGAGGATGAAGTGAATGAATATCATGAGAGGTAGTGTCTGGGGCTGCGACGGGGGCAGGTAGATTGCTTGAGATGTCGTGTGATCCGTGGTCCTCCCATTCCTCATCATCCAGTACACAATCCCCATCAGCCAGAGCACTGTCTCTCGGACTAGGGTAAGCCAGGGTCGAGATTTGGCTGGCCACTTTCGATTTCCGCCACGTCTCGAGGGCGAGGCTCCGGTCCGTCTGCGAGTCGCGCAGCAATTTGAGCAGAGTGGCCTGGCTGTCAGGAATGTGCTGAAAGACCAGACCGAGCGCGACTTCCAGCCCCCTCACATAACCAGTAGGCAATCCACGGCGGCCACCTCCATTCTCATAAGAGCAGGTGCGACCCGCAGCCCTACAGATCTTGCACACCGGCTGCTCCCCGTCACACTTGGACTTGCGCCGTCGACACTGATCGCAGGCGCGGCATATCCGTTGACGTTTCGATGGTCGAGGGCTCGACATGATGGCCCACGGTTCATATGGTGCATTTATCCATGATGTATTGCTCGTTGCAGAATGCGGAGTGCGAAACCTGGGGCAGTGGAGCACGTCACGTGGTAGGGTATACGCTTAGCCGACGCTGACCCAGAGAAAGAGGACGAGAACGAAGGTGAAGAACGTGTACAGCTCGCCAAAACCACATCATGTATCACCAGGTAACCGCCATGTATGGGGCATGCACTTCAGAAGGCCACTCAGACTCTTCAGACGTCCCCGATGAGTCCGCTGGCTTCTCTCGACGCTACTGTGTAGACGCAACGCTTGTGCTGATTGGATTCCATGGAGCGGGTAAGAAGACACTGGGCATTATCGCCTCGGTAGCTCTGCGTCGCCGGTTTGTCGACTTTGACGCCGTCTTTCGACAACAGGTCAACTTGTCACCTCATGACTATATCGCCGCGAACGGGCTGGCGCGGTATCGCACCGTCGAGGCAGAGGTCTCGCAAAGGCTGCTAGAAACTTGCGACAAGGGTTGCGTGATTGTCGGTCTTGGAGGAGCGGCGAGTCAGCAGCAGCGAGACCTCCTCAGGACATTCGCACGCACTCATCCAGTGGTCTACGTACGGAGAGGCGAAGCCGACCTTCGACAGTTCATCACGGCCAGCCAGGAAAGGTTCGAGCGCTTCATGAGAGCCGGAGACGCGTTTTTCCAAGCATGCTCGAATTTTGAATTCTTCAACCTGACACTGGGCGATGTCCAGCAGATGCAGGGTCAGGGGCTTCCTTCGAGCCTCAAGCTCAAAGAGGCTGAACGGGTCTTTGTGCGATTTCTCCATCATGTCTATGGACGACCGCATTGTACACTCCTCTCTCCCGACGCATTTTCTCCATCTCAGACATTGGCCATGCAAGTACCTCTCTGGTGGCTAGACTCGGACGAACATCTCGACTCGCTGGACGCTGGGGCTGACGCGCTGAATCTTATTGTCGATGCCGAAGAACTGAATTCTGCCAACATCCAAAGCCGACTGGCACGGGGTGTCGCTTTGCTCAGAATGCATTCGCGGGTGCCGATTATTGTGGACATACGGCCGCCGGGCGATTCCGACACCCAGTATCCTCGGGTCCTGGAGATGGCGCTCCGTCTGGCTCCAGACGCAGTGACCTGTTCGATAACGTCAGCGAAAGACCTCATTCAGAGAGTAATTACGACCAAGGGCTGCTCAAGAGCGATAGCTACGTACCACGAGCACATACCGTTAGGCTGGGACAGCCGGCCTTCAGAGGTGTATAATCTGCCCAAGAAAGCCGAGGATCTGGGGTTCGAATGTCTCCGTCTGACAGGGGAATCCGGTGTCTCCCAGGATAACCTGGCCTGCGTCGGCTTGCGACAGAGCCTCGCCCCAAGAACCAAGACACTGCTCAGCATGTACAACACAGGGCCCTTGGGACGCACCTCGGTGTGCCTAAATCCAGTCCTTTCTCCGGTAGTCCTCCCAGACAGTGGAATTATAGGCGTCACACTGCCCGAGGTCCAGAGAGCACTTACTGCATGTTTCATGAATCCCGCAAAGCGGTTTACCATTGTCGGCCAGGCCGTCCAGAACAGTCTGTCCCCCGCTATGCACAATGCAGCATACGCTGCATGTGGGCTCCCACATTATTACGATTTCTATAAACCGACCCGCCTTCCTCAAGTTCAGGCCCTTCTCGAAGATCCGGGCTACGGGGGCCTGGCCGTCTCGCTACCGTACAAGAGCGCGATCCTACCATTCCTCGACCAAATCAGCCCGGACGCAAGGGATATCAATGCCGTGAATACCGTCGTGATCCAACGCCAGTACGAACCGAGCGGTGCCGAAGTCACTATACGCAAAGGGTACAACACGGACTACATCGGCGTTCGGCACTGCATACAGAAGCACCTCTCCCCAGCCAACGCGATCCGAGACGGCACGACGGCGTTGGTTATCGGAGCTGGAGGAATGGCGCGTGCTGCGATATATGCCTGCTATGAGCTTGGGGTCCGGCGAATCTGCATCTACAACCGGACGGTTGAGAATGCCGAGGCCCTCGCGGAGTACTACCACGAGTGGGCTGACAGACAGAAGGTGAAGCTTCGCATTGAAGTTATCCGCTGCGTGAGCGATCGTTGGCCGGCAGACTTTCGTCTGCCTAGTATTGTTGTATCCTGTCTTCCTGGGCAGGACGTGGATAGTGCGTCCCCGGTTGATCTACGCATATCTAAGGACTGGCTGCAGAGCACGACTGGGGGTGTCTTCGTAGAGGTATGTATTCTCGACAAGCCTGCCTATTATTCTGCTAATAATATAGGTCGCATACGGCCCATGCAAGACTTTGCTCCTCGAGCAGGTACTCGAACACAGGTCGACAGGCTGGATTGTGGTGGACGGACTCAGTCTGCTGGTCGAGCAGGGCATTGCGCAGTATGAACTATTTACAAAGCGGCCAGCACCAGTGCATGTAATGAGGCGGGTTATACACGAAGAAGCAAGACAACGGGAGTATATCCATGGTTGATCACAATACTACCGAATGCATATGGATCTCGGCTAAGGATTATGCCGATGCCCATAAACTCCTCGGTGCACCCCGCATCTCTTGATTTCCAGAAGAGATCAGTACTCGCAAGACACAGACACATCTAAGAGCCACTCACTCACTGACATTGTCATCTCAAAGTCAACATGGCAACCCCAACCTACCAACCGGCCATAATGAGCGCCTCGCTCGGCCGCGCCTGGGCCCACGACCTCGCCCACAAAATTGCCTGCGCCTCTGCAGCTGGCTTCAAAGGGATCGAGATCTTTTACGAAGACCTAGAATACCACGCCCGCTCTCTCGGCAACCTGCCCCAAACGGCCTCGCCCTCCGACGACGCCCTCCTAACCGCAGCATCAGACATCCACACCCTCTGCACAACCCACAACCTCACCATACTCGGCCTCCAACCCTTCCTCTTCTACGAAGGCCTAAAAGACCGAACCCAGCACGCGAAACTAATCACAAAAATGAACCTCTGGCTCCGCCTCGCGCACGCCCTCCACACAAACACCATCCAAATCCCGGCAAACTTCCTCCCCGCCTCGGAACTCATCACCGACGATAACATGGATACACTCGTCGCAGACCTGCAACAGATTGCGGACCTCGGCGCCGCACAGAACCCACCGATCCGCTTTGCATACGAGAATCTCTGCTGGAGTACCCTCGTTGATACACCCGCAAAGCTCTGGAATGTGGTTTCGAGGGTCGACCGGCCGAACTTCGGCATGTGTCTCGATACATTCAACATCGCGGGCCGGATCTGGGCGGACCCTGCCGCTGAGAGCGGCAAGACGGAGAATGCAGATGCGGAGCTCAAAGAAGCCCTCGAGCGCATGGTCGCTGAGATCGACGTGGCAAAGGTCTTCTATATCCAGGTTGTCGATGCGGAGCGTATGGAGACGCCGTTGGTACCGGGCCATGAGTTTTATGTCGAGGGGCAGCCGGCGCGGATGAGTTGGTCGAGGAATGCGAGGACGTTCATGTACGAGGTTGACCGCGGGGCGTACTTGCCTGTTGAGGAGGTTGCGAGGGCAATTATACATGGGCTTGGGTACGAGGGGTTTGTGTCGATGGAGTTGTTTTCTCGGACGATGGCGGAGGAGGGAGAGCATGTGAGTGGGGAGCATGCTGCGAGGGGGATTCGGGCGTGGGAGACATTTGCAGAGAGGCTACAACTAAATCAATAAACTAGGCAGCCCAGCCTGAGTAGTAAGTCATACGAGGAATGAACTTCAATGCTGTGCAAGTAATTAATCACATATCAATATCCTTCCCATCCAACCACTCCTTGGCCAACCGATACAACAAATCATGCTTCTCCCCATTCACCGTCCCTACATGCCTCCGATGTCCCGGCATATCCCTCAACACCTTAACCCCCATGGTCAACTCCTGACAGTACGCAAGACACTTGTACCCCTCCGGATACTCCTCGAGCTTCTGCACATCGATCTCGGGAAACCGCCCCGGGACAACGGGGATGAGCTTATCCTTCTCATACCAATGCCGCACGAACCGTGCCCCCCAGACCCCATCCACCTTTTCGAAAAAGAAACAGAATCGGCAGTCCGCCTCGGCGTCGACTTCGATCCCGTCGATCGTGAACCGCTGTGTGATTGTCGCTTTGAGTTTCGTCACGGCGCGCATCGCGCCCCTTTCTGTTTTGGGCTCGGCAATGTCCGTCGTGACCCCGTGGCATCGGTGCATGATGAACGCGCCCCCGTCCATGCCGGCCTGTGAGGCTGCAATAAAGTCCCGGTAGTGCACGCGGCCCGACCAGGTTGTGTAGACGACTGCGTCGTCGTGGAAGAGCGAGGTGAAGTTTTCCCATTCGCAGGCGTCGCTTTCGAAGACCATCAGCTGGTGAATCTTTTTCCAAATATAATTGGGATGAGCAAAGGGGGTATCCGGCCTTGACTTACCGGTAGCACGGCCACCCCTCGGCCAACTCGCGGAGCTTGGCGCGCTCGAGGACGAGCTTGTCCGGGCCGTTGTTGCGGACTGCGTTGGTGGGCCGGGTCCCAGCGGGGAGGGAGTGGAGGTCTGGCATGTTGGTTGGCTGGGTGGCTGGTTCTTTTCTTGTTTCTTTGTTTGTTTGTCTCCTGGATAGGTTTGTTGCTGGTGGTGTATTCTGATGGTTCGCATCTACATATGTATAAATGTAGCGGCGGCTAAGCTCAATGCCGACGGCCAACCATACCCACCTACCACGGCACAGCCCACAGCCATCCATGGGATACTACTAGGGCACGGTACTAGGTCCCCGGATTTATCATCGACCACGAGGATAAAGTGTAGATATACAATGAAAAGATAAAGTAACTCCTAATTAATAACCGTACTCTCCTCGGCAGCCTGCAAAAGCACCCGCCACGCCCCCTCGCGATCCATCTGCGCAACAGCCTCCTCCCCAGCCCACAGCCGCCACTGCTCTTCAATCTGGTACCCGATGACATGCGTGCCCTCGACGACTGGCCATCCTAGCCGCTCTGCGAGCCGCAGCATCCTTGTTCGTCGTGGCTTGAAGCACATGTCTAGTACGACGCCTTTCTTCCTTCCAGCAGTGGTAGTGGCCGTTGCGGTAGAAATGGCGGTCTCCCCTCTCTCCAAAAACCACTCCAAAACTTCAGCAACAACCCTCTCCGCCTCTGTTTTGGGCTCGAAATCGGGGACCGTCCCGACAATGTAATACGGCTTCTGCACGACGCACCGCTCCGCCTCCTCCACACTGCGAACGTGGATTATTTCAGGGCCAGAACCAGCAGGATCTTCTGCAAGGCTGCTGCCGCCCCGGGCCCGCGCACGCGCCTGGACATCGCGAACCAAATCACGCACTTCTCCCTCGTCCCGATTCACCACGTAGATCGTCCGACAATGCAGATGCCGACTAAGCGCATAAACCGCCGCGCGACTTGCGCCCCCGGCGCCAATGATCAGGCCTGCGCCCGGCGCAGCTGCCGTCGGGCGCGCCGCCTCATCGCCCGCTTCAAGAAGACAGCCCTTGATCCCGCGCCAGTCGGTGTTTGTCCCGCGAAGGAGGCGGCGCGCGCCCGGTTCATTCTTTGCGTCCGTGTCGGTGTGGGTATACGCGTATGTATAGTGGACATTATTGCACGCCCCGATCTCCGTAGTAAGCTCATCGAGCTCGTCAAGGTGCGGGATGATCGTGTTCTTGTAGGGCATTGTGACGACGAGGCCGGCTGTGCGCGGGTCGCGCGCGAGGGCGAGGACGTCGGCGAGGGTCGGGCACTCGGTCGCGTGGAAGGTCCAGGGGAGCCCGAGGGATTTGGCGATGGAGGTGTGCATTGCGGGCGCGATGGAGTGGGTTACGCCGATGCCGACGAGGTGCAGGGTTTTTGGCTCTTGCGGGGGAGGAGTCATCTCTGTTCTGTTCTGTTCTGTTCTGTTCGTAGGGTGGCTGGATTGGGAATTGGGGTGGTCTTTGCTCTGGATTGTTGTTTGCGATGTTGGTATTATTCTTGTGAGAGGGGATATCTATGTAACTTACATGGGATGTGGATCGTCGGGTATATTCTTAGCCTACAATGGGTGGACATCACCCCCAAGTATCGATCAGAAATGTGTAGGGTAACTAGATTCTCCGGTATCCGTATCTATTTCCAGTAAAGATTCCTATAGTAGGTATCAACAACAGTCCTCGCGTATCCAAGGCTAAATCCATCCCCGAGGCACTCGAATATGACCCTCCCTTGCCCAAGTGTGCTCTCTACCAAGGTATACAGAAACGCCCACCACGAAAAGTCATCATACGAACCAAACACGAGACGGAAGCACCACACGGAACCATGGCGACAGCGACAGAGCCCTCCCCTTCTCCCTCCACCCTTACCCAAACGCCGCCCTCCAAGCAATTCTACATATTCGGCCGCACCCTCTCGTCCAGCATCTCCCCCACGATCCACAACACGGCCTTTCGCCACCACAACCTGCCCTACACATACAGTATCCACGAAAGCGAAACAATGGGCGATGTCGCACACCTCATCCGCGACAATCCCACATTCGGCGGCGCCAGTGTGACGATGCCGCATAAGCTGCAGGCCTATACAGTCTGCGACAGACTGAGTGAGACGGCGAGGGTAATCGGGGCAGTTAATACGCTGGTCGTATCCGAGATCGAGGATGCGGTTGCGGAGGCCGGGGGGAAGAAGAAGAAGCGCGTCATTACCGGTGATAACACGGATTGGTCCGGGCTGTATGCGATTCTGGCGAGGTATTTTGCTGCCACAGGCACCGCTGCAGCTCCCGCTACCGCTACCGTTACCGCTACCCCTGTACAACCCTCGACGCGTGCGTCTGCCCCTGCGCCGCGAGGGACAATCGGCCTCGTCATCGGCGCAGGCGGCGCCTCGCGCGCAGCGCTTTATGCCATGTACAAAGCAGGCGTGTCGACCATCTACCTCATCAACCGAACACGCGCAACAGCGGAGAAAGTCCAGGCGGATTTCCGCGCGCTATTTCCAATCAACATCGTCGCTGACCTGGGGGATCTTCCGCGTGCGCCGGATGTCGTTATCGGGACTGTTCCTGCGGAGACGACGACCGAGGGGCAGTTTGCTTTGCTGTTTCGTGCTGAGGCTGAGACGGGCAAGCCGAAGAAAGGGTTGTGCATTGATATGTCGTACAAGCCGGCGCAGACGCCATTGTTGAATGCTGCAAAGGGGAGTCGGGTGTGGGTGACTGTGAACGGGGTGGAGGTTTTGCTTGCGCAGGGGTTTGAGCAGTATCGGCTTTGGACGGGGATGGAGGCGCCGAAGGACAAGGTTATTCAGGTGGTGACGGAGAAGATGGGGGAGAGTGCTCGTGTGGATAGGGGGTCCTTTGGGATGCTGTAATGGGTGATCTATAGGCTATAAGGGTTAGGGTTTGATGCAGTGGTTGGTGGCCGTTCCTTTAAATGCCGGGCAGCCGATTATCCACCCGCAGTCGATGCAACATGCATACTCCGTACTACATAGCCTATTTAAGCGCGGCGTCAGAAATCTTTCAGCCTCAGTGGAGTCTCTAGAGAACGATCTTGGTTCTGGGCGAGACAATAGACGTGCTGCGGATGTGGCGAGCGATGTCTCAAGCAATTTCTAATCAACGACTAATTCATAAATCGCCTCTATACAACCGCGCTTTCGTGCTTACTGAAGCTATTCCAGCTAGCTATCGTGCCAAGTGCAGGTGCATGTGCCAAAGTCCGCATCAACATTGACAAAACTCGCGAGGGCCCGAAACTCCAAACAAGGCCCCAAGTGCCCAGGGGGCGCTAGCGGCGTTCCGTCCGCGTGTAGAGACTCGGCATGGCTCGCCTTACAAGACCCAACATGCCAAGTGCATTGTGAACATTGTTAGTGGATACTGGATGTGAACAAGGTGTCAAATGCCAACTGTTCTCTCTACTTCTCCAGGGCTGGGCGGTGCGGCTGAGGGATGCGCCTCGCCTTGCTGAGTATATAACTCTCGCTCAATGGCCCGCTTGCCGCATTCGAGAAGCACTTCTTGTAACCCAAAATTTACTCGCGATGGTACCAGACGCCATACCGACTTTCATTGCGTATGGCCTCGGCCTCTACCTTGCCTACTTTGCTATTAACGCTATATACCGGGTAACCCTCCACCCCCTCGCCCATATCCCCGGCCCACGCCTGGCGAGCACCACCTATCTATACGAATGGTACCACGATATCTACCATATCGGGCGGCTGCCCTGGAAACTGAGGGAGTTGCATGAGAAATACGGTATGCTATGAATCTCATCCTAGCCGCCGAGCATGCTTCTAATCCTGCAAGGCCCCATCATCCGAATCACCCCCGACGAAGTCCACATCAAAGACCCCGACTTCGCCGCAACCCTCTACAGCCGCAGCAACGGACGCACCGACAAACCCGACCGCGCCGCAGAGATGTTCGGCCCATTTCCCGCGGTATGATTCTCATCCCTACACTTCATCTACAAGCCCTACCTAATACCTCTCCTGAAAATACGTACAGGCAATAAGCACAGCGCCCCACGACCACCACCGCCTCCGCCGGAGCGCGCTCAACCCGTTCTTCTCGCGCAAGTCCGTCGCCGAGCTCGTCCCCGCCATGGCGCACGCCATTGATATCCTCTGCCAGAGTCTGCAGGATGCGTGCAAGACGGGCGAGCTCGTGAACCTCAAGTACATCTATGCCTCTGTCACGTCGGATATCATTGATGGGTATTGCTTTGCGAGGCAGCCGACGAAAGTCCTACAGAGGGATTTCGGGCAGAAGTTTTTTGATGATATTGATAGTTTCTTGGAAGTTAGTCTCTTGGTATGTTTGCGCCACCTGGCCTTTGTTGTATACCGTGTGGATGGGTACGTTGCTGACCATATGGTGGGTAGAACTTTCATATTCCGACGATTATGAGGATTAGTTTTGCGCTTCCGGTATGCTACCTCTTCGTCTATGTCTGGTTGGCTGCTAACTGTGATTTAGGACTCGATCAACAAGCTCCTCGCCCCGGCCATGGCGGCCATGCTCGACTTTCGAGAGGTGCAGGCATCTTGCTCATATACACCAAAACAGGCAACAATAGTTAACGAAGCATATAACAGGACCTTAGCCGCCAAGTTGATGCAATCCGCCACGGACGGGACAAAGCCTACGAGGGTATCGGTCACCGCACGGTCCTCCATGAGCTCCTCGGTAGCTCGCTTCCCCCGGCTGAGTTGAAGACGCCCAGACTACGTGATGAGGCATTCTCTCTCATGGTTGCGGGGTCTGGAACTACGTACGTTATTTCTTTACACACTCTGCGGCAACATAGCATACATAGCCAAGCTATAAAAAGCAGCCCCAAGCTGCATGCCGTATGCTGATAACTGTCTAGGGCATACACCCTTCGCTCAACAACCTACCACATCGCCTCAAACCCGTCAATCCGCGCACGCCTCCACGCAGAACTCGCCTCCGCAATCCCGGACCCATCCCAGCCCCCATCCCTAGCCACCCTCGAAAAACTCCCCTACCTAACCGCCGTGATAAACGAAGGCCTCCGCCTCTCCGAACCAGTCACGCACCGCCTCCCGCGCATCCTCCACGACAAGCCCCTAGCCTACGGATCCTACACGCTCCCCCCGGGCACAACAATCAGTATGACGGGCTCGCTCACGCACCAAGACGGCTCGATCTTCCCGGACCCGCACACATTCGACCCGGGGCGGTGGCTGGTGGGCTCCGAGGAGGAGCGGAAACGGCTCGAGTGGTACCTAGTGCCGTTTAGTCGGGGGCCGCGGATCTGTCTGGGGATGAATCTGGCCATGGCGGAGCTGTATCTGATTCTGGCGATGGTGTTTCGGCGGTTTGGGTTTGATACGCGGCGCGTGCGGAGGGAGCGGGATGTCGATGTGAGTTTTAGTTTTGTGATTGCGGCGCAGGCGAGGGAGTCGCCCGGGTTGGAGGTTACCGTTCACAGTGTTGAGTAGTGGACCCGGTTTAGGAGGGCTGTGGAATATGGCAGGGAATGAATCGGTGGTAATTCTATTAGATTGGAATGCAGCTGATTGATTCTTCTGAGGTTCTCTTCGTAGTGACTCTTTTCCTTACCCCAATACCAGGCTCATGTCAGCCTGACTTTGTCTTGATGATGTAAATTGATCCAAGTCCGTTACGGCTACTGCGTCACTAGTACCTGAACTGAAGCGATCGTTGTACTATTGGTATATGCCAAGAGAGAGGATTACTGCGGATGGAAAGCACAAAAGGGCTGGGACCTGAGAGGAGTGCTCCTGCCGCTTGGGGTTCGGCCAACGAAAAGGGAAGCCGCAACTGTGACCCTGGAGGAAGGAACGACCCAGAGACAAGGTACGATCCAAAGGAAGGTACGGCCAGAGAAAGTGTCATCAAAGGGAAGGTGCGACCCAACCCATACTGAGTAGACCGATCCTGTCCATCGTTTCACCTCTGCTGGTTTTCAGATACCATACCGTGTAAGATGGGAGCAAAAGAGCATCGACCCTTGGCCGGTCTCCTTACCCGAAAAATGACGCCGTTATCACAGCATCAACACACTCAGTGGGTCCCCTTTGTCAAACAAAGTTGCATAAAAGGCTGCAGGTGATCACTTGTGCGACTCGGGAAACCTCGATCGGGAAATCGAGAGTCTAGGATTCGTCGCGTCTCTTACCCGGAGGATGCAGATCACTTTCTCCACTGTGGATTCGCGAACCGATGACCGTCGTCTTTGCTTTGTCGATGCGAGTCCTAACGTTGTACATCGATGTACAACGTACTCCGGAAGTGTGAGCCGCGATTCTGTCATAGTTTGTTGGGTTTGTGCATAGTAGGCTATCTTCTTCTTTACCTAAAGGAAGTTCCGAGGGAGCCAACCGTCGAGCAACTATTTTGAATCTACACGGAACAGCACCGCTACTCGAAACTCTTGTTCAAATCAATAGATTGCCCAGGTATTTCATTCTCTAGGAATTATGACCATGGAGAAACCAGCAGACACTAGCGGCGACATCCTCCACTCGCTCCAAGACACCCCCTACGCCTGCTCATCGGTCGAAGAGCTATGCGGAGGATCGGGAAATGCAACATACAGAGGAAAGCTCTCCAAGTCATTGCACGATGGAGCCGACACCGTGATAATAAAGCACTGCGAGGAGACCTGCCCCAAAGTGCCACATCTAGCACTATCCACGAACCGATGTGTATGCCATCTCTACCAGCTTCCAGTCCTCGTAACTAGTATGGACGTCTGACAACTATTGTCGTACAGATAACAGAGCGAGAAATACTCACCGCGATCCAAGAATCACCGGCGGGCAGAGTAAGCCACAAGGACGTCGTCGTCAAATGTCCCCGAATACACCATTACATACCGCACGAGAAAACTCTGATATTGGAGGACTTTCCACACGATAGCACTCTGCATGATTGGCTCTCAAACACGGATGCTGATCGTGATGCCACGACACTAGCAGCACTAGGTGAAGCGCTAGGAACCTGGCTCATGCGATTCCACGTGTGGTCGGAGAGCGCGGCAGGGAGCTTGTCAGGCGCTGTCCTGGCAAATACCAACTCAACTGGTAAAGATCTAAACCGCACGAAACTACAGGCAGTCAAGAGGCAATGCGACGATAAAAAGGTGCGAGATTACGCGGCGGATTTGTTGTCCTCAGCGCCGAAACCCGGTGATGTTGTGGTTCATGGGGAGTTTTCTACCAGGAAGTAAGCACCCTTCATCAAGCAATTGTCCTTCTTCCAGTCCTGACAGTACCTGAAGCATTCTTATCCAATCCTCCTTAAACAATCCGGACAGACCCCCAAATTGCTCTCTGGCAATCATCGGCTGGGAAACGGCTTGCTACGACCTCTTTACGCGCGATGTGGCCAGCATGATTGCTGGCCTCTACATGCAAAAACACTTCAGTGGCAGCGAGAGCGCGATGACAGTCCTCCAAGCTTTTGTCGCTAATTATCCAGCCCTAAGTGAAGAAGAGGCGTATAGGACGGTGGCGCAGGTTGGCGAGAACCTCTTCCACTGGGGTGCGTATGCTCCTGAGACGCACACAGAGGAGCAGGTGCAGACCATTGTGGAGTATGGAAAGGCGCTGATTATCATGGGTATGGAGGAGGACCGGGAGGGGGTTTTGGGAACGTTCTTAAGATGCTTACTGGAACCTGCTGCTCGGTTGGATGTATAGTTAGATAACAGTCTATTTACGTGGTCATATCGTTCAGTGAGTACTACGCTAGCGGACAAACATACTCAATACTCTGTCCAAATCCCTGGTTCAACCCTGTTCAAAACATCCAGTATCTCCCCCCAAACCTTCTCCTGCACCCTCTTCATCCCCGGCCCAGTCACAATCTCCCCTGGCCTAGTGCACTCCTGGTTAGGAAAGCCATTCTCAGACAACAGACACAAGTTAAGACAAAGAAAGGGAACACTCACTCCCGAACAACCAAGTCCTCAATCCAACCCCCATGACTCTCTACCCCACTCACAACAGCATCAATAATAGTCTTACTCCCCTCCGCCACCCTCCTTGCCGTAAGCCACTGCACGACCTTGATGATCCAGGGAATCCCCTCCTCCCTCGAGAGCAAATTCGACTTGCAGAATCCCGGCGCGACGCAGTTGACAATCACAGCAGGGTCCCCGTTCTCGCCCCGGGGGGCAAGACGCGCGATCTCGCGCGTGATGTAGATATCTAGCAATTTCGTCACTGCGTAGCGCTCCGTGGGGCCACCTAGGCCTTGGGATTCCGCCCATGTCTCATGGTCGTTGAGGGCGGCGAGGATGTTTTCAGAGTCTCGCTCGGTAAAGTGCGCGGATCTGTGGATATCGCTGGCTAGTATCGTGAGATGAGGTTTCCAGTCTGGCTCTTCCTCTGAGGCGGATTTCCCCCTCGACTTTAGTAGCAGTGGCACCAACTCCAACGCGAGCCATGTAGTTGAGAGAACATTCACCTGCAAGGATCTCTCCCATCCATCCACTGTGGTTCCCCAATGCACACTTGCAAGGCCCGCGTTCATCACGGCACTATCAAGGCTTCCGTCTTCCTCGTATACATATCTCTTCGCCTTCGCGACGAAACTCCTCACACTGTCAAATGACTCGAGATCAAGTTCCCAGACAAGTATGCATATCTCGCCCTTCTTCTCTTTGTCGACGAGATCTGGAGTAGATAAGAGCTGCGTCTTGGCTTCGAGACCCTTCGAGACAGAGCGCACGGCGAGGATCAGTGTGCTTGCGCCGAGGGAGAGGGCGTGCTGGGCCGTTGCAAAGCCGAGACCCGTGTTTGAGCCGGTTATGAGGAGTGTTCTTCCATGAAGGGAGTTGGGGGATGGGAGAGGTAGAGGGCTTGAGAAGAAGGAGCCCATGATAAGGGAATCGGTATTGCGCAAGGAGCAGAGAGGGTGGGTGCGATCCTTGTAGGATGCTTAGTGATCTGTAAAGTAAGTACTAAGTATGCAAAGTACATGAGAAGAGAAATGGAAGGAATAGTGATGTGTCCACAGCACGGTTTATATAGGAGCCAGAAGGCTCCGTTCTGTGGATAGCACAATCCATCAGCGGTGCCTAGACCGTAGTAAGAGCGAGAGCAGCGAGTACGTCCTACAAATCAGAGCTCGCGAAAACCCCCGGGCTCCGTATACTTGGCATCGATTCCGGAGCTATGGTCCCGGAGGTAAGATCGCACTAGGGCTTTTCCAGATCGGAACGACGGGAGGCTGTTAACTCCGTCGAGGCGCATGCCCGTTAATGTATAGGATTTGATATGCTTCGCTTGTTCCTTAGTGCCTAATCAAGTGCTTCGGCATCTCTTTGTATGAATATGCGATTTCTGAATATGTATATACGTCAGCTTGGCGGCGAGCGAGGGTGCGTGAAGACAGATATCTATAAACGGTACTTGAAGTTGAGGGAGGTCAGGGCAGCAAAGTACATAATTGTTGGTCAAAAAGACCGAGGTCTTTCCTTTATGGATTCTGAAACGGCCCCATGCATCTATAAAGGGAGGAACATATCCAACAGTGTGAACTCGGGACCCCACAGCTGGCCGGAGCCGAGTCGTGGTTGACTAACCGTGAGTGTTATCCGAGGGCGACCCCGCCTGATAAGGACCATCTTGATTCATCCCCTCATGCTTGTGTTCCTTAGCCTAGACTGCTGTACAACTTGCCAGCGAATTATCTGCTCATCTCGAGCTCACATTTGAACCACTCAGAGCCCGTCGGCCATTCTCCGTCTACCTCTTTGGAAACCAAGATCAATACTTGCCGTGACTCACAATGACCCCGCCCCTCCGCATCGCAGTCCTGGAATGCGACACGCCGCTCGAACAGACAAATGCCAAATACGGTCCGGGGTACCACGGCGTCTTCAAGAAGCTCTTACTCGATAGCGCGCAGGCCCTAAACCAGCCGGAGAAACTCGATCCGCAGTCTGGTCTCGATATCAGTCGGTTCGATGTTGTTACGGCGCAGGAGTATCCCGATTTGGAGGATATTGACGCGGTGCTTTTGACGGGGTCGAGTTAGTATCCTCCCTTTATCTATATTTTCTCTACTCTATTCTATTTGATTGGTGCTGGTGCTGGTGTTGTTATTATCATTATCGGACGAGAACTAACGCGCCCAGAACACAACTCCTTCGAGGACCACCCGTGGATCCTCAAGCTCGTCGACTTTACAAAGAGAGCCATCGAGCACCCTCGCGTGAAGATCCTGGGCATCTGCTTCGGACACCAGATTCTCGGCCGCGCGCTGGGCGTCGAGGTCGGTCGGAACAATGCCGGATGGGAGATTGCCGTCTGCGACGTTGATTTGACGGAGAAGGGGAAGGAATTATTTGGGGTTGAGACTCTTGTATGACCCCTACTGTTTGATCTTTGTTTTGTATACCGAAGGTTTTGAGGATAATGTCATGCTGACCCGGGCAGAAAATCCAACAAATGCACCGCGACATCGTCTTCTCGTACCCGCCCGACACCATCCCGCTGGGTAGCTCGCCCCGCTGCGAGGTGCAGGGGATGTACCGGGCTGGGAAGTTTATTACAGTGCAGGGCCATCCGGAATTCAGAGGGGATATTGTGACTGAGGTCGTGACTGCTCGGGCTAAAGTGGGCGTTTTTAGTGAAGAGCAGGCGGCGGATGCGCTGAGGCGGGCGAACAATCGACATGATGGGCTTGCTATCGGTGTTGCGTTTCTGAAGTTTTTAATCGAGTAGGTTAGAATGTTCTTATGTTCTAGACTTGCATTGAGAGGCAGGCACATTGCATGCATACTCTACCCGCGCTGGAACGAGTATCATGTCTCATTGAGAAAGTGGTATCACGATATACGAAAAGAAACAGCCGCAGCACGACAAATACCCATCCATCTAACCATTGGCGCTCGGATCCTCCCTCTCTAAGAACGTCGGATCATTATCAATCTTCCTCTCAAACTTCGTCCACCAGTCCTGAAACGCCTTGAGCGGGACAACCTCCTGCCCACGCCCCGACGGATCCGACGACCCCGAAAAGCTCGCTAGGAAGTTGAACGCATTCCCGATGATCCGCTGCGCGAGCACCTTGGTCGTGATCGCCTTTTGCTGCGGCGTCACGGGCACAAGCTCGTTTCCCGTGATCGTACCAGACGAAGTACTAGCTTCCAGCGCGGCCAGCTGCGGCGCAACGACCTGCACGGGCTCAATCGATATCCCGAGCGTCACGACGGGACTGCTATTCCCCGACCCGCCATCCAGCATCTGGTCCCCAGTTTGCGTCTCTGTGGGTTGCGGCGGCGAGACTTTGATTATAGACGAGGGTTTCTCGTTTGCGAGGGCGCCGATGAAGCGGAAATCCGAGCCCGGGAACTGGATGTAGATTGCGGCCGCTGTGTCCGGGGGGAGGACTGTGCCGGGGAGGAAGAAGACGACGAGTTCGGAGAAGTACGGGGTGAGTGGGAAGTTGAAGGCGAATTTCGTCGCTTGCCCGTTTGGTTGCGCGTCGACGGCGACGATGTCTGTTAGGCACGGGCGGCCTGGGAGGATCACGGAGAACATGGAGGCGGCGGGTGGGGAATGATCCCACTCGTGATGTTATTAGTAGTGGTGTTTTATAGACATTCGCTGGTTTGGTATATGTTGAAGATTGTATATGGGTGTAGACAGTAGTATTATTAAAGAACAATCGCTATCTCATGCATTTTCAGAGCCTGGAGCGGTGCAATGCTCCGTGGTTCGTGGAGCTTCTGGTCGTTTGATGGAACCTCGCAGAAGAAAAAGAATCAGTGACGAAACCATGCATCATGCATTGCCCTTATCGATAAGGGCTACTACAGCGGGTAGTCTGTGCCAGTATGGCAGAATGTCACATGCCCGCGCCTTCCTCATTTGGATGCAATACAACAACCCGCTAGCCATCGCTCGCTCTCGTCGCGCAGCATGGCTACTTCTCACTTTCCTACCTCTCAGTTCTCGTCGGAACACTTTGTCGAAAGCTGTGGGGCGATTATTTGACCTGTCGCATGAGATCAAACACGTCTGCTTGATCCAGTACCAGAACGACGGATGGCTCCTGCCAGAAGGCCGGCGAAACTTCGGCGAGTCTCGTCATGCCGCAGCTCTACGGGAAGTCGGGGAAGAGACACGCTACAAGTGTCGTGTCTATCCTATCTCAATGTTGACCGGCGCTCCACAACCGGATGACCCCGAAGATGTGCCCGACATGGCGCGGTTGTTGCCGGACTTCAGCGAGCCTCTTATGCTTACCGTCCGGAGTTGGACGCGGGAACTGATGTCAGAGTTATTTGGTGGTACATTGCCGTGGCTGACGGCGGGCTTGACCGGAGCAGAGTCGACTACTCCTAGGATTTTCCCGCGGAGTTCTTTACCCGTGAGGAAGCTCTACAGAGGTTGACGTTTCTGACTGATCGCCAGATTCTATCCAAAGCCATGATGATACTGGAACAAAGTCCGAGATTTGTTCGTATATAACGCTATCGCACAAGTTTGCTTGTGCGGAATTCGCCTATCCCTGTTGTCGTCCAAGGGCGTTCAATCTTCATATTCAAGTAAGATATCCATCACTCTTGTGTGACTTTTGCACGCCGCTACCGACAGAGGGGTGTAGTTACTGGCGCCCTCTGGCGTGTCCGGCGCTATTCCATTCTCTTAAAGGAGCTGGACGGCCTGTTCATTGTCGCTTGCTACCGCGAGGTACAGAGGGCTCTTATTCTCGTCATCCCTAAGTGTTGGGTCGCCGCCATGATCCAAAAGAGCTTGAAACACTAGACGTACACTATTAGAGTGGGGAAACTGTATGCGCCGAGCGAGCCCGACCTGATGAACAGGAGTCCGCCCCAAGCGACCTCTCCTGTTCGCGTCAGCTCAACTCTCGAGCAGGACTCTGGCAATTTGAGGGTTACACATCCAAACTGCGGTTGCAAGCGGAGTCTCTCCATACACGGAAAAATCGACTTTTGCGCCTCGTGCAATCAAAGTCTGGACAACATCTAAATGGCTGCACCTGACCGCTCTATGAAGTGGGGTCCAACCTGAGGCATCAAGTTGGTCTGGATCAACACCGAGAGATAGAATATAAATCACCATATCGGAATGGCCCATGGCCGCAACCTCAGGGAGACAGAACGCTAAACTGTCGTCTTGCCCAAACTCATGCTCAACGAGATATCGAACGACATCTATACCTTTCCATAGCACAGCCTCTCGGATCACATTTAGGTCAATTCCTCCATCGATCCGTATGTTTGCGCCTTTTGCGATCAGAGCCTGAACAAACTCTAGAGATCCTGCCTCCAAGCATAATACATTGGTGATAGGTCTGTGTATGCGACTCGTGAATGGGCGTCGATCTTGTTATGACTGAGCAAGAGTCTAAAGGTAGAAGTGCGTCTCCCTTCAATAGCCAGCGAAAGGGGTGTGCCGGCCCCTGGGACAAAAACATTCGGATCTGCGCCCTTATCCAGGAAGAGTTCAAGGATACCGTCGTATCCTTTTGCCGCCGCTATGCTGATTAGTGGCAAGTCACCGAAACAAGGTCTGCTCCGAACCATCCATTCTTCCTCTTCCGCCGGTAGCGAAGGAGGATCGATGGTGGCACCTTGCTCTAGGCATATGTGGACCGTGGATTCCATGTTGTTGGTCACGGCCCATCGTAGGGCAGAGGCGTTGCCGTGTCGGATGTTGTCGCGGTACAGGATGTAGTTGATGCATCCATAGATCTCTCGGTTGGTGCGGGCCAGGGCGTTTTGATCGGGTTCGCTCAGGTGATCGTTAACCTTGAGAAGGAGCTCGCATGGTAGGTCGCCGAGCGATGTGGGCTTTTTGTGCTGCATCGTGGAAGTTTTATTGATGCTGCTGGACCTGTGACGGAGTGGATAAAGGTGCAGAAGCGAGGTTGGAGGGAGAGAACAAAATGAGAGAGGCCGCCACTTTCTCATGACGCACTGCGTGACCAGACACCAACCGCATGGTCTGAAATTGCACAGCATTGCGTGTATTTGTCCTGCTCGGCTGCTACTGGCTGGGCTGGTCGACGGGGAGGCAAAACCGAAAGATATCCCGGCCTGAACAGGGTTCAAACAGGCCGGAAATCAACCTGGGCCTCACCGATGCAGAATATGAGCGGATCGGATGCATCAAGGGGTCCCTTTCCGGCAATACACTCCAAACAAATATTGGCCTGGCCTGCATGGCAACGGTCCTCATATTGGTATACGAACCCACCGCATCCTCCACAGAGCATGTGCAAGTGAACATACAGGTCCCAGCGCGTCCGAGTGCGAGGCTCGTCAGCCCAGCGACGAGTTGAGTGCGGCGTTTTTATCGGGATTCGCTTGATTTCCTGCTTAGGTAGATCGCCCATCTGTTCTATATCAAGACCGATTTTCGGTTGGTGGTGGAGGAGGCCCCAGATCTGATGGGGCTCCTCGCGTTGATGAAGCGCTGGGCAGGCGAGAAGCTGGGTTGATACTGAGCGCGCAGTACGATCTGCCGTGGTTGCTGTATCCGCGGACCAGCTGCCGCTTGCGAGAAGCAGCTCGACAACTTTCACGTAGCAGCCGAGCACTGCGTAGAAGAGAGGTGTTCGTTTTTGCTTGTCTGGGATGTCTGTTGCATGACCATTCTCGACGAGGGCAAATACGACATCTGCGAAGCCCCGTTGGGCCGATATAGCTAGCGGTGTCCGGCCCTGCTCGTCTGTGATGTACGGGTCCGCACCGTACTCCAGCAGCATCTTTGCTATTTGTGCGTGGCCGTTGAGCGCAGACAGGATCAACGGCGTGCAGCCGAATTCATAACATCTGTTGGGGTCGACGCCTCGTTCGAGGAGTCCCCTGGCGAGTCTCTCATTGCCATTCCTGACTGCCCATGCTAATGGAGTGAGTGCGGTGCAATGAGCAACAGGGTCCGGGGTTGCGCCTTTTTCGAGCAGCCGTTCTGCCATACGACCGTGATCATACAAAGCCGCTACGACAAGCGGGCTGAATCCGTCTGTGACTGTTGGATTTGGATTTGCGCCTGCGTCAAGTAGGAGACTGACCGTATCCTCAAGGCCATGATGTACAGCATGCACCAGAGATGTATGATTCCAGTACAAAACATCATATTGAGACTCATCTTTTCCCTGACCCAACCAGCTCGGAATACATTCGGGATTAGCCCCGGCTTCTATCAATTGCTGCGCAATCCCTGGAGCCCGCTTCTCAATGGCCACCGCCAGAGGCGAATACTGGTCTTCTCGCTGGTTCGAAGACGCCCCCTCACTTAAGAGAAAGGAAATCATTTCAGTTCGCCCGCGTCTGATTGCCTCTAATAGCGGCGTGGAACCCGGGCCACCAGAGTACAAGTTCGCCCCCGCTTGCAGTAGCAGTTTAGCAGCGGGCGCATTATTGGCTTCGACAGCACGATCAAGCAGGGTACACTCATGATCATCCGTCTGCTGCAGAAGCATCCTCGGCGCTCGATGAAGGAGCACCTCGAGCGTCTCCCTCCCCGAATCTCGTCTGCGCAGCGTCTCAGCTAGAGGCAGTGTATTTTCCAACCTGGCTCCTTTCTCGAGTAACAGAGCCGTGATCTTCGTACGGGAATAGATCGCCGCAGCCGTCAACGGCGGCCAGTCGCGCTCGCCCCCATTGTTTGGATCAGCTCCCTGCTCAAGTAAAAGCGCAGCGATAGAATCGCGTCCGAACTCAATACACTGGAGTAGAGGCGTCATTTCGGAATCGCGATGCGAGCATTCGATATCTGCTCCGTGGCGAATCAACACCCGGACGATTCCTTCCTTGTCATGGCTGATTGCCTGGAATTGCAGGCCCAAGGCGTGGACTGCAATCAGCGGAAGTCCTGCGTCGAGGAGTTTCTGCAATGTGTCCTTGCGGCCGTGCTTTATTGTCCATTTTGCTGTCGGGGCTGGCCAGAGTTGGACCGCCGTCTGGTAGAGAGGTTCGTTCCAAAGATTGTAGAAGCAGCGACATGTTCTGAGGAGAGCATTTCTGTCGCGTTGCGTGTCGATGCTGGTGTATATGGCCTGAAGAATGTCATAAGGGAGGTTTTCGAGCGACATGGCTCGAATTGTTTGCGGGACACTATCATCTGCGGACATTTGACTATGCAATGGAGTGGTCGAGACGTGGAAATTTGACAACGGCCGATGTGCTGTACACTCTTCTTATATCTCGCAGTGTCGCACATGTTCGTCCGTTTGTACTCAATTGTGGAGCATGGAGGCGTTGACTGGGCCAGTCGGCATCCCCCGCTGACGCCCGACGCTACCTCGCTCAGCCGCTCAGCCCCCGACTATCCCCTCTCAATGCAATCCACCGCCTCTCGTTGACCGCAGTTTAAACGCGCAAGGGGCCAGGCGCGAGGTCTTGACAGGAGAGGAAACGGGATCTCGATGGATGCTACAACCGGGAACGATGATCATCATGGATTCACTTGGCTCCGAAGCCACCGTGGGAAGTATAAACACGGGTGCTTACAGAAGTCCCACGCAGAATATAGGACAGCGTGGAGTTATTCGATCTATCGCGGTCAGATGTGGCCCTCACGCACAATCGACTAGTTCAATCGCACACGACGTAATCCGATCCAGATACCGTGGCCAGCCATCCTCCTGCGGCTGTGTCTCCCCCTGGTAACTCTCGACTCTCAACGAGATCAAGTCTGGACACTGCGACTGGACGACACTCCGCAGTTCCCTCAGCTGCTCGATGAGATTCTGGTCATTTTTCGCCGCGAATTGTTCAATCAATAGGGACTCCAGCGACGGCGGCAGGAGATCAAACGGCATCTTCCCATCTCTTCCGAGAATATTCGCACCCCTCACCCTCAGCCGCTTCAGCACTTTAAAGTCCTTGAACGAGCCGATAAACTCTGACTCGAGAGGATGCCCATACCCAGAAGCCCACGCATCATAACCGATCGTCAGCTCCTCCAGCCAGTCCTTGTGCTTGCACAGCGAACCGTAGAACCTCCTCGGCGCCAACCACCCAAAACCCCCACCGAGCTCGCCATGCTCATAAGCAAACGAAACCAGCCTCCGACACGCACGGATGAGATCTGGAAACCCCTTTTCACTGTTACTGTCGCGGAGCGTGATGTGCGTGACGTCGGAGAACCCTTCGTTGCCGGGGTACCGCCGGAAATAGCCCTCGGGGTCATCTTCGTACTCAGGATACGGCTGGTAGTCCTCCTCGTAGTAGTAGTAGCCCTCGTCCTTTGGAGGACCGTCTCCGCGGAGGTCATTCTCGTCTTCCGGTCGCCCGTCGGTGATGCACACCCCGTTGAATTCGCGGAGCGAGGGCAGTCGGAAGAAGGGGAGGATGTATGAGGAGGGGACGCCGTTCTCGGTATCGCACCAGCGTGCGCTGAGCGTTCGCAATCGCGACAAGTTGAAGGGGGGCTCCTGACCGTCTGGGCCGACGAGCGTCACCGCCGAGACCAGTTTCCGGATGTAGAACGACCCATACGAGAAGGTAAGACTCAGCTCTTCGACCCCCGGCACGAGCGAAAGGGCAAGCGCAACCCAGAGATCGATCTCGTTTCCCTCCTTCAGCGACGCTTCCCACTTTGCGACCGTCGTATCTGCATTTTCATTTGCATTATTGTTCGTGTCCTTCTTCTTCTTCGTCGCGTCAGATGGGTACACCAGGGCAGAAACGAGCCTCTCAAGAATCGGCCGGATAACCCCGCCGTCGTATTTCACGTGTTCTTCCACCGGAACATCGGAAGGCTCATGGGACACACTGGGCTCGAACTGTAGGATGCGAACTGCGCGTGCACATTCTGGGTTCGTCGCTAGGACGTGCGTGAGGCGGGTGAGTTGGTAGTGCGACTCGTCGTCTAGGCGTAGTGATGTAAACGCATGTGTATAGAGAAGGGCGTAGAGGGCTCGTGTCGTCGAGGCGAGGTTCAAGATGTCTTTTTGGTTCCCGAGGTAGGATGTTATCATGAAGAGGAGCTCAGCGGGGAGCGAGGTCAGGGCGGCCATGATTGAGCCGTGCCAGTGTCTGTGTTGGCGTTGGATTGGAATTGAGATGGGACCTGGGAATGAGATTCAGGTGACGTACATAATTCCCGGCTTCCCCAGGGTCGTCTTTACTTTATACTCGATGGGTCGCTCTGCCGCTGGCTCCAGATGACCGGGCCAAGCCGCGAAGGAGCGAGCGTATTCACTTCAGGCAGTCATACCTAGATTCTAGGCTCCGACTCTAGGATCCAAGCAAGGCCCTGATGCTTAGGCTTGAGTTTGAGCGTAAAACTGCTTGCCGGAATGTCTACAAGATAAACTAGGGCAACTATGCCCAGTATAAGTATACCTGTGGAAATCCTAATAGTTCTCGACTAAGCACACACAGCGGCAAGAATAATGTGTGTAGTATGGAGTATAATCCAAAGTCAAGACCAAGATTAACAGCTGAAAATGCACGCAGTTCAGAGCAAGATATATCAAAGACCAGTCAGCTTCCCCTCGTTCGCAGTCAGGTACGCTCAATCAGCTAGAGCCCTAACCATGGACGACGAGTGGATACGGAAACAGACGGGCATCAATGCAGAATCACACCCACAATCAAGCCAGGCGGCTGCTGAAGGATTGGCCGCCGCGACAAATAGCCCCTTGGTGCTCACTCGGCAACTTCATTCGCAGGACAGACTTTGTCTCCGCCACAGTTGGTGCAGTTTCTGGAAACGAAGATCTGTTAGCGTGAGACCCTTGCACAGATTATGGTATTTGAATGTGCAAACGTGCCCATAATAGTTGATTTCCACTTGGATATTGCAGATGAAGCACCACCAGGGATATCCGGAGGGCATTGTGGCGTCCTTGGATTCTGTTAGTATCGGTGTGGTATCGATTGATTCGTTATAAATTGGATAGGAGTTGGTGGTAACGAACAATATGAGGGGAGGGCCTTACTATAATAGTTGTGACTGGGAAATAGATAACAAGGCGGGATATAAATGGGTTCGATGGTGGAAACGTCTCAAGCTGCGCATCTAACGTTAAACTAAGAAACCACGGAACTGCTGGGTCTTTTATCCCGACTCTGAAGCTCAGCCTTGTCGCGAACATGCTTACAGCCTTGCGCTCAGATGCATGTATCCCGGAGACACCCGAGATCACGCATATCTTGCTCAGAGCCACATTCTACTATTTGCTGCCTCATAGTCAGCATTCGAGCCTGATCTTGGCATCCAGAAGCCTCGCCGTGGGGGTTACACAAATTACGTTATTCAGCCTTGCGTCTAACCCCAGGAGGAATCAGGCGTGCAACTGACGAGGTTTCTCCGGAATCCGTGGGCATTATTATAACCCGCCAAGTAAAAGAGTACTATGCAATTTTGGTCAACCAATTCACATCTTCTACCGCGGGCGAAATTCGGGTAAATGCAGTGATCAGATTAGTCAAGCCAAGATCCGGACCCGCTCGAGTACATCCATGGCACCCACCACGTGTGGCCACGAGTCATTCCATCCAATTCATGAATCCATATTTCCGTCATAAATATAAACCCAGCAACATCTGCTACCTACCTACCGTAGCCGCTTCTATTTCCTCACTCCAACATCAACCACCGCCCCCTCCCCCCTGAACATCATCTATTCCGGCCTAAACACCAAGAGACAAATAATCCCGCACCAATGGCAACAACAAAGTCCGCAGTCCGCATAGAACCCATAACAACGGCTGGTGACTTCGCCCGCTTCTTCGACATCACAGCCCTGACATTCGGCCACCAGATCCACGACGGGATCTGGTCCGCCTTCAATCCAGGCTGGGACACGCCGGCTGGTCGGGAGGACGGGATCGCGCGGCTCGTCGGGCGGTGGTCATCGACTACGACGGATCGAGATAGGCGGCCGAATACGGTTTTTCTCAAGGCCGTTGTTCCCGGCGGATCCAGTGGGGAGGGAGAGGAGGAGATCGCCGGCGTAGCGATCTGGGTACAGGCGAGTAATGTCCCCGGATACGGCGACAAGCCGGCTACGGATCTCGGGGAGGCGATGGACCTCGAGGCTCTCTACCCGGATAATCCCACCGAGCAGCGATATCTCCGCCAGCTTGACGCCTCGCTGCACGGCCGCCGAGTCGAACTCGTCTCTGAAATCGCTACGACCGGCTCGCCCGCCCTCATGGTCCTCGACCTCTGCACTGTCGACCCGGCATTCCAGCGCCGCGGGATCGCGAAGAAGCTCGTGCAGTGGGGGCTTGATGAGGCGAAGCGCCGCGGGGGGTTGGAGGCTGTCACTGAGGCGTCGGCGATGGGGAGGCATGTTTATGGGCAGCTGGGGTTTGTGCAGGAGGGTGGGGAGATGGAGGCGAGGGTTGATGAGGAGTTTCGGGGGAGAGCGTGGCCGTCGAATGTTTTTATGCGGACGGGGAGGGTGCAGTGATTTGTGGAAATGGTGGGGGGGTTGGGTCCATAGAAGGGGGTGTATTGGGTCTTTTGCGAGGAAGAATCCCACGCAAGGCTCGCATATGTTAGATTTGCTGGGGAATCCTTTACACCTCTTTCCTCGCCACATGCTCAATTATTTGTTGTATTTGACCAGAATAGAATAGAGGGAGGAGAGGGAAGAGAGGGAAGAGAGGGAGCTGAATCACGTATAAAGTGGAGAATATGCGGTGGTGAGGCAAGCATATCTACTTTAACCGGAGAAAAGCTACAGTGTCATTCTTTAAAAATTATCTATGAGCATATCATGTCAGATGCTGGACCAGGGCAGACTGGTTGCAGCAAATGCTTAAGACAGGGCATTGAGCGTACCTGGTTGGCCCGTATAGCTCTCTGCCTTCAGGATGGGTGGGTTGCACTGATTACCGTTCGATCTTCGCGCCCACGACACCAGACCTACACAGTCCAGATCCCCTCCGCTTCAATTCCCGTTGTATAGTCTAGATCGCAGGCCATGGTTTCAGAAAAGCGGGACGTGTCAAGGGGCAGGTTGTGGTAACTCGTGGACCTATTGAGGTTTAGTCCCCAAGCGTAGTTGAAGTTCGTTTAAAATTGGAATATATGGAGATTATGCGTTGAATAGACTACTGGAGAAAATCCTCGGCTTATTAGCCTTGCATCCCAAGCGCACGCAGAAATATCCGGCCTCAGCTCGGGCTATCTCTGTCCGAGCTGGGGTAAATCGAGCTGCAGCCGCCCCTATGATCACTTCTTTAAATCCTCTATCGAGTAAACCACAATAATTCTACCCCAGATAACCTTTCTATCCAAGCACTGAAGTAAAAGGCAACATAATGTCCCGCCAAATCCACCAACCAATCCACCCCACCATCCGCCCCCTCCTCAATCCCGAATACATTGCCTTCCACGACGCCCACTTCCAATACGTTATCCCCGACGAGGAACAAACATGGGATCCCTCCGCACGCACAGCACCACGACCCTGGCCATCTACCACACTCGCACATACGCCGGTCGGCAGCATACAGGATATACCCCTAACCAACTTCCCCATCCGAAGCTTCACACCCACTGCGCCGAAACCACCCGGCGGATACCCCGTCTTCATCTGGTTCCACGGCGGCGGGTGGGCGGTTGGTGGGCTTGACGACGGGAATGACCTGTGCACGATGGCATGTGAGACAGCAAAGTGTGTGGTTGTCACCGTCGGGTATAGGCTTGCGCCTGAGAATCCATATCCGGCTGCCGTGGAGGATGCAGTCGCCGCGTTGCAGTGGGTCGCTAGTCCCGAGGGATCGAGTACTCTTAACATCGACCCCTCGCGAATCGCAATCGGGGGCACGTCAGCCGGCGGGAATCTCGCTGCTGTTCTATCACTAAAAGCTACGGCACTCTCCCCTCCCGTCGCCATCCGTGCGCAGATCCTCGTCGTCCCCGTCATCGACAACACGGCTACCGTTGAGACCATCTGGGCGGCGAACCAGCATGCGCCTTTACTCACGCCCGCGCGCATGGAGTGGTATCGAGCCATGTACCTCCCCAACGCATCCGACGCACGGAACTGGGACGCATCGCCGAATCTTGCGCCGGTGGGATTGTTAGCGAAGAGCCCGAGGACGTGGATTGCGGTTGCGGGGCAGGATTTGGTTGCGCTGGAGGCGATGCTGTTTGCAGAGCAGCTGGAAAGGGCGTGGAAAGAAGAAGGAGTTCAGGGACGGGATGTCACAGTGAAGGTTTATGAAGGGGGCACGCATTCGATTTTGGCTATGGCTGGTAGGTATACTTGATCCCTTGAGTTGCGTTGGCTAATAAGTGAGCAGGAGTTCTGAGCCAGGGGGCACAACTACTGAGGGATTGCGCTGGGCAGGTGGCCCAGGCGTTTGAGGGAGCATAGTTGAGGGTGTTAGATACTCTACTAGTACTGGTCATGGGATGTGGTTGTCAACGCAACAACCGCTCATCGTTCCTTGAGTGGTGCATGCATATTCTGAAGTCGGAGGAAGGCGCGCTGGTCGCTCTTGCCTATTACACCATGGAGAAGTAAATCCAGCTAAGGAAGGAGCAACCGACGCTGGTCAATCTCTACGGTAGGAACGACCAGTCCCGGTGCCTCCCACTTCAGGATGCGACGATTCGAGATACTGGTATACCACCGGCTGTAGCTTTGTTACTGTAAACACTTGGAGGAAAGAGGCTGCCGTTTTGCGCTTTGCTTCGTGAGGTAGGTGTAGGGGTGTGGGGTTGCGGTTGCGGTTGGTCAGTGCTCGTGATCTGACCCTCGTGTAGTAGTCTGGCCGAGGTCGGATTCCTGACCGATACTCCTTAAATCATTAGGAGTTGTTGACGGACACTTTATACCCTAGCCTCGGTGGTCAATGAAACTCATCCCTCAACCCTCCGCGGACCTGAAATCTCCCCACTGACAAAGACCACAAGAACAGCCGCATGCCTAAACAAAGTCAGCATAACCATTCAAGCCCAAACAGGGATAAAGAGCATACGCAGCTGTCGCGGGAAAAATCTCCGCCCTGCGCGCATTCGTCATGAGCCCAACACTTAGGCAAAGTCGGCTGTAAACGCGGCAATTAGGGCAAGTCACGGCGTCGTCGTCAACGAGATATAGTCCGACAACAGACCCGATGAGCAAGAATGAGGCCACGCATATGCTTATCACGGCCACTGCGACTGAGATGGGTGTTTCCTTGAAGCGGCCTATGTGGTTGAGGCCGTTGCGAGAGAGTTCTTGCTATAGAGGGTTAGTCATTGTTATACCGCATATCAAGCCTAGGGCTCGTTTACCGTTTATGGCCAGTGCCTTCTTAGAAGATTAGATAGATCGTCGCCTTCTGGTAACGAGTTGAACGCCACTAGATCATCTGGATTATCCAAGGCGGTCTTTGCTATTCCTCCGAGGACAGGATAGGGCTTCTGAAATCAGTGCTTGTACGTATCAAGGACGCGGCTATTTGGATGCTTTAGTTTGACAATCTCGCTTTGCAAAAGGAGTGCTTTATCTATAACTGTATGGTCAGCCACGTCGTATTGTAGAGCGCTCTCGGGAAGGAACAACGCACGATACCTCCTTAACCACACCACGCAACCGCAAAATCAACTCCATACGCGCCTGTGCATCCTGATTCCCACCCTCAAACTGCTCTCTTAATGTCTCCCATGTCCTTGCTGCATCTTTTACCTCCATATCATCGCTTGCAGCGTCCATTTTATCCAGCTCGTTGAGTCTCTTCTCAAGGCCCAGCATCTCGCACTGTAGGTAAAGTATATTCCGAGCCGAGAGCTCGCAGAACCCGCGGTAGATGAGGGACTCGCTGTCTTGGTCGAGAGCAATCCATCTCGCGACATTGGCAAAGCCTTCCTTCGGCGAGGAGGACTCGGGTGGGTGTGATCGATTTGCGACCCCGTTCGTAGAGGTATCCCCGCACGACGGTTTTTCGAGATGTTTGCGAATGTGGGACTTGGAATAAATGATAAAGTCAGATTTCGCCAGAGGGAGACTCACAGTGGCAGTTATCAAGATTCCCGATTGAAGGGGATGCTTGATGAGAGAGGCTGCGGAGGAAACGGCAACTCGTAGCGAGCGAACACGAAAGGACGAGGATATAGCACAGGGAGCCTTTTCAGTTCTCAGCAGTGCCCGACGTGGCAGTGCAGGTGCTGGTGGAATCTGTAAAACTCTGCCTCCCCGCTCAGTGGTTTGGGAAGCACAATATTCGACCATCTCCAGTCTTTCCAGTCAAATTGTCCGATCGATGCCACGCTGCTCTATCCCGAACTCGCCCTCGGTACCACGCGAATTCCCACCAAACGTACATATGCAATGCCCTGCATTGGATGTGAGTTATTTGTTATTGTTTGAGTCAAGCCTCGTCGACGTTGAAATGGGTTCCTGATGACTTTCAGGCCCTTGGTTGCCGAAGAACAGCCTACTTCGTCCACTTTCCTATCATAGACCGTTCGATGGCGCGGTAATGGACTCCTATTGCCGTTACCTTTGTTCCATGAAGAGCCGCTGTGAGGCAGCTCCATCGATGAAAAGTCATGCAGAGGGCATTTCGTTGATGAGGAAATGTTCGAAGGCTTTTGAACTATTTATGGGCTATGCTAAAGCCACAGCAACCTGCGAAGAACACTATGAATATATGATGGATTGCCTTTGCACATACCTTGCTATAGTCTACGCCCGCATCTATATATTTTATAGTCTCGGTCTCGAGAAGGAAGATTTTGTTAAGCTTGGTTTGATTCCTGCAGGGGCTACTGAACACGCACGCTTTTTTGTATACCCTTTAATTCAATTTACCTTACCGGATGAATCCTCGGAGGAGCGCCTTCCAGGAATGCGGGCACTAAGGCGCCTTTCGTTCAAGCTTTTCCTGCCAGGACTCCTCAGTCTCTACCCCGTTGACTTTTGGAACCTATCGGTCTCGCCAAGAGAACTCGAGGAGCAAGGCAAAATACTTCATCGTGTGCTCAGTTTGGAGTGGTACAGCAGGACAGAAGTATAATGTCATGAATTATCCAAGTTTTCCACTGCGTCGACGCGGTACTTTGTGCAGGGCAAGGTTGGGAGCCGCCCAGTGGAAGCTCTACCGGATACCGGCGCCGATATGTGCCTCATATCGCAGAACCTAGCCTCAGAACTCAGCCTTAGACCTATTTTCGGCACCAGGAAGAAGATAAGCCTCGCCAACAGGAAATCCGTCAAGTCGCCGGGCATGGTGAAGCTACCATGGACTTTTGCAGGAGAATCCGACACAAACACTCTCAACTGCTGGATTCTCCCGCGCTGCGTCCATGGCATTATTCTAGGTCGTGACTTTCTCAACGCCACGCAGACATTAACGACGTTCAAGTGGCGCATCACGTCCGAAGCTGTCATCGACCGGGGAGCCTCCGTCTGCAACTCGTCGGAGGACAAGGCCAGCAAATGCAGGGATATTTCAATGGCCAGCTCACGACGGCATTTCCTGACACGGGTACAGATGTCATGCTCGTTTCGAGAGCGTATGCTGAAAATCTCGGAGCCAAAATAGATGATGACCCCGCCGGGTTTCTTCAGATTGAATTTGCCGATGGGACAACTGCCTGGACTACTGGCATTGTTTGAAATGTGTCATGGAGGATCGCGACGACGGAGGTTTATTGCGACTTCTACGTCCTCGATGATCTCTACGTCGACGTCGTTCTGACCAACCATTACTTGTTCGAGTTCAACATGTTCACGGAATGCGATCATTTCTTTCTCGAGGTTGGATTAGAAGATGAGCAGGAGTTCTGGAAGCTCTGCAACGTCCGGCTCATCGGTCAGTATGGGCAACGGCTAGATGTGCTAGAAGAAGAGTACCTGCAGGACTGTGAGTGTTATCCCTTTCGAGCGGTTAAAACTTACTCATGGCTTCACTTTAGTGACTTCTCTTGATGCGTTCGATCGCGAAAGGATCCAAAGAGAGTTGGCGAGGCGAGATAGGATACGAGATGAGATCGCATCTCTACCAGAGGACCAACGGGTGGCTGCAAGATTGTCCGAGAGTGAGAGGCAGAGTCGATGGGAAGCGTTGAGGCGAGTACATCGAGACAGGTGGAGCACAAGAACGGGAGCGACGACCCAGCCAAATGCCACTGCCGATAAGCGGAAGTCTCGGTGGAGGAGGCTTCGAGTACTGCTCGCCTCGGCATAGACGATGATGTTAGGGTAGAACCTGAAGTGTCCTGGTTGTGGTGAGAACATCAAGGACTTTAGCGAAGGGGGATTTGTGCCGGTGATCTGGTCATGGTTATTTATTGCCTTTTCGCTTGAGGAGCGAAATCTCGGGTTATATCTCTGACATTTCAGGCCACAGTCAGTTTGGAACAGCAGAACACGACATGCAATTTATCTTCTATGTATTGATTCTCCAACTGAAATGCGGACATCTACAACGAAAGTCTCCCACGCAAGGCCTGAACCAACTGCAGCAGAGAAAACGAAGCATTCCCAACGGGAAGCGCCGCCAACCGTTCCCTGAAAAGTTTCAAAAGAGTCGGCAAGAAAACCTGCGTCTGCGGGAAAGCCTTGATAATGACGAGGTAAAGCCCAGTGGTAAAAGTAGCAGCAGACGCAAACGCAGACAGGAGACCCAGGTACGAAAGAACCTCAACCCCGGGCTTCTTGAAGAGATACTTCTTCCGGTCTCCGAGACGGGTCTTGCCCTTGAGGCTGGGGATGTATTTGAAGTCAAAGACGGTCTCCTTGCCTAGGCCGTCTTTCTCGTCCATTAGGTGCTTCCAGAAGAATTTTTTGCGGGACTGCGTCGATCTTTCGTTAGTACGTTCTGAATTTGCGGACAGGATAGGAGTGCATACCTCGATAATATGCCTATCGACGGCGGGAATCAAAGGCAGCGTCTTGGCCTGGACCTGGACCCAGAAGCAGTATCCCCACATGAGTACCTTGTAGTACAAATTCGTCTTGGGGATATGCAACTCGTCAGACAGCTGGTCGCCGTTCAGCAATCTCGTCAACGCATCCATATACTCCAGCGAGGCATATATCGGCGCCGTATTCTCCAGTCCGATAGCAATGTTCCTGGCGAGGATCCGCCCTGTATCCGTCGGCTCGAACTCATTAACAAGAAGCGACTCCGAGACAATCTTCGCCTTTGCCGCGCTCTCAAACGGTTCCGTCGGGGCACCCATATAGTACCCAACCAAGCGCCACAGCGCGATGTAGTCTTCTTCTTCCTGCGGAGTCAGGTATACTCCCTGGCGAGGGAGTCCGAGCCAGATTACTGTGCTGCTAAAGGTATTGATTGTCGCAAAGGAGTCGAGGTCGTTGATGGGCAGGCCGTAGCGGTCGACGTCGTAGTAGGTCGGGTCTTGCTCGACTAGGCTCATGATCTTGCGGCGAACGGCGGAGTGGAGAAGGCGCACGCGGACGGAGGCCATGTGGCCCTCGCCACCTGGTTTCATGGCCGCAGCGCTGTTGTTGACCTGCACCGTGTGTTGGACGGTTTCGAGGAGTCGGCGGCGGACGACCTTTGCGCCGAAGCCGCCGGTTCTTGATAGGGTTTCACCGACGCGAATGGCGCCCCTGAGATCCGTAAGCTGGGTTTCTTAAGATAAAGGAGACGGAGCATCATACATTCCACCGAGAAGACTCACGAACGTAAGCTACACGTTGATGTCAGGATAGCCGTTTCATAAAAGCCAAGGCAAACGAGGACCAGACATACTGCATTCGTAATCGGAATCAGATATCGCCAAAACAAATCCTGTCCTCGTTCAATCTGCCCCCAGTCGACCCACTCCGGCACCGTGTTGATTTGCGTCCATAGCTCATCAAGCTTCGGGTCACTGGCGTGGTTATCCCGAAGCAAGGCATACCGATCCCGCTTCGAGGGGTCGTTAGCCGGTGCCGGTAACGCATCTATGACTGCGTTGGCCTCGTCGGCGAGGGTATCGCAGGTTCGAATCCAAGGCTCAAGCTCGCTAGCGGGCCGATGCTTGTCGGTCCACTCAAAGCTGTAGTCCCAGTAATGATACTCGACCCTGTTGCCTTTCTTGCCGTTTGACGATACCGACATTGTGAAACTATAAGCCGGGATTCAGTTTAAGAAGTCCTATAGTGTAGGATCAACCTTCATGTCGACAGCGCGAAGATCAGATATATACTGCAAATGAGGCCACAGTTGCAGACAATCTACACCCGCGGTCCGGGGTCCGGCCAAGTGAACCATCAGGATATCAGGAATCGTGACAAGATAATCAGTCCGCGATGATTTGCAATTCTTAGACGTATTGGCTGGCGATCCTGTGTGGAGGTAATTCGCATGTGAATCGGCATCGGGGTCATACCGACTGAGTCAGTCCGGGCCAAGCACGATCGATCCTCCGGCAACCTCATTTTCTTGTATCGACGCAGACATTGTGCAGGACTTATGTAACCAATGCAAGAGCTCTGAGCTAAGCAGAAGCCTCGGGTCTAAACATATATCCCGTCACATGTGCGGGTTACCGACTCCTCAGGGCTCGCAGACCGAAGGACTCGAGGGACCTGAAAAAGAGAATGTCACACTTAGATGTGTTTTCAAAGCTCTTGTGATCTCTTTAACAAGAGCTATAGGTGCTAGTATTATGAGATTTGAGTATCCAGGGAATAAAATGCAAGGAAGACGTTGGCAGAACTCTCAGTTAGGGCTCGCCTTGCAATTGGGCTCTCGAGTCGGACAACGGCCCTTTTGCCATGAGGGACGATGCCTTAGGGCTTGACATATCCTGTGACATGGATATGGAGCTGGATTGTTTTTGTCCGGTCATTAATGAAGCAACCGGAACCGAGTGGTCGTGTGTGCTCTCATCACCTAGCGGCCCACATCGCAAGTCGCTTTCTCGGTCCTCGTTCGGATGGTTATGGACTTGGCGAGTGGTCTCAGTCACTTCACTTGTCCTCCCACCTCGGACGCGCCGAAAGATAAACATCAGCGCACCAGCCTTCGCAGCCCACTCACCCGACGGTGCAGCCGAGCGACACTGGTCAAACGGTAAAACTACGTTGCCATCCTATCTGACGCATGTTGATTGGTCAATTGAGCCAATACAGGAGTCGGCACGCGCGATAGTGGGAGTAGAATCAAAGCTGCGACCAGCCTGGCTGTACCATTGGCCTGGAGCTCAACAATTTTGATCGAGGCGCGAGTGGCTGACGAGCAAGTCAATAGCTTTTGCACCCAATACGTTTCTGGATCAAGGACCAGAGTATCAGAAGCCTCGATTAGGTGAGGAGCCCCATGATCATTCCCGCTTTTGATTCCCACCGTCGACATATTCACAACCTCATATCTTCCAAATCTCTGCGTCCCGACTTCTAAGGATAAGCATCAGGATCTGTTACACCGTGCTTGTTCGCAAGCGCACTCCACTTACCAAGCATGGTAAAATTATCACTCGTCACGTCGCCAGTCGCATTGTAAAAGTAATCTGGAAGCGGCAGAAAATCACCAGTCGGGGGCCCAAAACGATTTCGTTCAGGCGCGGGATGTATTGAGGGCAGGGCGGCAGGCTACTAGTCAAGTTGTACTTTGCGCCAAGGTGGGCTTCTCCTGGATCTTTTCCAACGGTCAAGTTGAAAAGAATGGCAGAAAACAGGTTGGTAAACGCGGCAGCGCGGTAGGCCGTAGCGTATAGTTGAGGATCACCCTGCTTATCCCTGATCAATAAACGGTCAATCCTCCGACAAGTTCGCCATACCTCTGTGATCGACTAGGAGATACTGCTCCCGACTCCCAACAGGGAGTTCGTACAGGATATGGTTGAATTCGATGGTGAGGTTGGAGTCCACACATTCTGTAACCAGTTCGATCCACAGAATATCCTCCTGCCACTCGAGGCCCAGCCCTACGTCGGCAGGCACCACAGTGTGGTTCCGAAACCCAACGCCGCCGTTGATCGTGTCCAGCACCAAGCCCTCCACGAGCCCAATTTCGTTATTCAGAATCAATGATTGCAATGTAGCGACCTTCCCGACTGTGTATGCAGAGTTGTTCTGGTACGGCATATAGTTGGAATAGTTGATATACCCTAGACCAGTCATTTCGCGTTGATAGAATCGAAATCGCATGTCGAATATGCTGGGACTGTCGTTCCGGCGGTACCACTAGTAAATACCTCAGACACGTTCCCCGGTATCCTCAGGTCAACAAGGTCGGTGCTTGCCTTGAAATTGGTCCAGATGCCGGAATCATCCCGCCATGCCTGATACCCACCGTCAACCCCAGGGCAACTAAAAGGTTGCGGACTCGACTGTAGTTATATGCTGCTCTACCAAAAGTACCCTAGCTCCCTGGGCCTACGTCGCGAGCATATTCCCACGTCACACTTTGTGTATCGCCAACACCGAGTTCTTCGGAAAGCCCCAGTGGCGTTGAGATACCGACAATGATCAGTAGAGTTGTGCCGATAGTTGTCAGCGAAGATAGCGCCACCAACCGGGTCCGAACATCTTTGGCAAGAGTATGATCTGACTGTAGAAATGTGGCCAAAAGGAACTCTGAATCGAACGCGCAACAGCCGTCCTTGACCCCTGTGAGCAAGACGAAGTAACAACGGAGCCAATGTACACTACCAAGTTGCAGCACTTTCTCTATCTCTCAACAGTCCAACTATGACAAGAACTATTGCCAAGGGGAAGGTAACCTGGACTAGTATATGTCAGCTCTAGCGCCTTCAAGTACTTAAGTTATTAAAGCGTACAGAGTATAATCGCGGCATTGATCATAGCCGACACTTCTCCTACAGTGGCGCCGGGCATTTTGACGCGTTAAGACGTGGGTGACGCCAGTGAACTTTGCGAGCCTGGCATACAAGCAGAGCACCCTTGTGGGGATGACACACTGATTTATCTTCCACTCTGGCGCCGAACGGGTGGTCAACGTTGTTGAGAGCCAAATCTCCGTCCATCCTTGCGCCTGACTCAAAACCCTGAACAATTGGTTAGGCTTGCACACACCCTTGCGGCTCCGCGCTCTCCACATCGTATTCTATATATTCGACTTCTCCTAGCGTGCTGGGCAGGCTCGGCGTGGACCAAGTTCGATTTTCGGACGAGGCTCTGCAAGGTGTCTGGAGGCCAATGCTGCACTGCTACCCTTGAATGCAACAGTACCGGGTATTAGCCCTTTAAAGGAGCTCGATATATCATCCCTCGATGGGTGAAGGCTGCATCGACTGGCAACATGGACATCATCTCTGCTCCATCGCAATCAGCGTGAGGCGGTCATGGTTTTATGGGCCGAAGTATATCCGCAGTGGTTCGGTTGCACAGTGCGTGATTATAACTGTGCAAGTATATTCTTGGACAGTGTTGTTGAACGGTTCCAGCAACATATTTGGAGATGCTGAGTGAGTCGGGAGCTGGAGGTGACTTCTCGTTCGGATGAGAGACAAGAGTGTGATCAGCGGCCTTAAGAGGCCTTTCCCGATCAGGAATAGTCCAGTGCCGCTGGAGTCTGCGAAAATCAGGCACCGTTGCGGAGACCTCGCTATCAGATCTCAACATAGCGACAGGAACATCTAGGAACCTGGCTGGAAATACTCCAAAATGGCAAAGTCCAACCTCGATCTTGTTCAAGAGTGCGATAGGTTTGTTCATCTATCCACAGTTCAACACGCAAACAGCGATTTTTAACCGAGTATAGATTCCCGTACTATCAAGATGACCCCGCAGCCTATACAACTCACATGAAGAACTACCATTCCTTCCGAGTAAAAGGCTACGACTTGGTGCTGGGGTACATTCTCAACGAAGTCGTGGATCGCTTCGACTGGCCCAAGGAGTTCTGGACCATCGATCCCGCAGAAAGAACCGTCACCCTGCTCGGCTCAACACCGGCAGAGCGAAACCAGGCTGTAGCCCAAACCCTCGCCACAGCGGTCAAGCAGAACCGCTTTGAAGTGCTACGCGGATGGCGCAACGAACTGTACCCGGTCTTTGGACCTGACGGGGAGTTCCTCCTGGAGATGGAGCGGTGTGCAAGTCCACTTTTCGGAATCGTCTCGTACGGTATTCATGCGACTGCGTACGTTGAGGATGAGAATGGCTTGCGGCTTTGGGTGCCTCGTCGGTCGAAGACGAAACAGACTTATCCTAGCATGCTGGATAATACCGTTGCTGGCGGAATGAGTACCGGGGAGAGGCCGTATGAATGTCTTGTTCGCGAAGCCATGGAGGAGGCATCCTTGCCGGAGGATGTGGTCCGAGCGAATGCTCGAGCTGCAGGCTGCGTGTCGTATACATATGTGCGGGATAACCGTGCTGGTGGTGAGACAGACCTGGTACAGCCGGAGGTGGAATATGTTTACGATATCAAACTCAGTGCAGACGTCATTCCAAAGCCGAATGATTCAGAGGTTGAAGAGTTCTGCCTGCTTACGGTCGAAGAGACGAAGGAAGCATTGGCCAGGGGAGAATTCAAACCCAACTGTGCTGTTGTTTTGATCGATTTCTTCATCCGCCACGGACTCTTGACGCCCGAGAACGAGAAGGATTTCCTGGAGATCTTAACGAAGATACATCGTCGATTGGAGTTCCCCACTGCGTCGCATGTGACTCGATAGATCCGAGTAATTATACTTCCAAGTATATTTTGTTCTATTTGATAGACCCAATGCCAAATAACGCCGACGCTGCAACAAAATCACTTCAACAGGCGAAAACGCAGACTTTTCTCTCTCGAGTTGAGGAATGCCACGGTATTTCCATTATAGTATCATTTAACCCAGTTCCGCTCCCTATTTCTTGAGGAGCAGGTACACGTAATCGATCCGCAGGGGCGCAAGTTTCTTGTAAGGACCTTCCAGGTAAAGCAACAGTCCGCCGAAGGAAACAAAGACGGCCCTACACAAAGAAAGGTTAGATCTCGGCAGACAGATGATGATGTCCGCTCGGCCCTGACTCACATGTTTCCAGAGGTCGATCCCTCCTCGAAGCGATAGACCTTTCCATGGCAAACATAGTCGTAGTCGTTCGCAAGAGTCTGCTCGCCCATTCCGACTTCCCTCCAGCCAGTCTTTGCGCCGCTGTCCTCCTTTCCATCTAGCGAAAGCGTCGAAGCGAGAGCCATCGAAAGCGACTCTCCGACGGTACACGGGTAGAGCTCTGAGTTGACATCGAGAGTGAATGTGGTAAGGGAATCGGATGAGGTGCACGTCAAGCGAGAGACGCGGTCGTATTTCTGGCTGTTGATCCCGGTGATTGTGAAGGTGTCTTCGAAGAGTAATGGGTCGGACATGGTCACGATAGACGGTGCAGCTGGTATAAAAGTCGCTAATAAGATCGCGATGCGACAAGTGAATTGTCCGTTGAGTGAGGGTAAAGAGCGAGGTGGTGTGTTCGAATATGAGCGCACGAGAATTGGAGAATCTTGACGGACGGAGATGGAGAGCTTTTTTCTGCTTGGATTTTAGCGTTCCGCCGCCGCCTTTGTTTCTGGAAGCTGCCCCGCCGCAAATCTTCAAAAGTTGTTTCTGGTTGACAACAGCTTCAAGATCACTTTATTACGCAAGATGTCCTTTCGCAAGAGAAATATCGGTGTATCAAGCGGTGTTGATCGCACACCTGTCCAAAATTCATCTATACAGCCACGAACCGCTACACAATCGCCGCCGCCAACCCCCGGCGTCCGCCCCTCTCCCGATGATGGACGCCCAACAACTTCAACCGGTTCACCGTCGCTAGATAACCTTTTGGCCGGTCATGGGGGATTGGCAATAGGGAAGCTACTTCTACTGGAAGAGAATGGAACTACCGACTTTGCAGGCGCTTTGCTCCGGTACTATGCGGCGGAAGGTGTTGTGCAAGACCAAAAAGTTCATGTCATTGGGATGCCCGAGCAATGGGGCAGAAGTCTCCCGGGGTTGATAGGGCCGGCGGAGAAGGCAGATGAAGAGTCAGATAGGCGGAAAAGTGAGCGCATGAAGATTGCCTGGAGGTATGAACGTCTTGGCGAATTCGGCGCGGGCGTCGCAGGCGCAAGAGGTATGTTGAGAGCTACGGATTGTTAGACTATCCTTATACTAACTGGCTTAGCCCCAGCAGGAGGCACGGGAGATCAGGTCCCATCCACAGATAGTAGCCAGGCGACACAACCAGCGTTTTGCCATGCGTTCGATCTCACGAAACGTCTCACCCACCCTTCGATAGGCAACATGACGTACATACCGATCAGGCCGTCCAACGAACCCTTGCTTGTCTCGATTCAGAAGAAGCTCGAAGCCGCCATTGCCTCAAGTCCACCAAATACGGTCCATCGCATTGTCATTCCTTCTTTCCTCAATCCCACATTATATCCACCCGAAGTCAGCCAGCCGGAGAATGTTCTGCCATTTCTCCACTCCTTGAGAGCTCTAATGAGCCAACCCGCATCGCGCATAACCGCCATGGTCACACTCCCACTTTCACTCTTTCCGCGTTCTTCGGGGTTGGTGCGGTGGATGGAGATCCTAAGCGACGGGGTCATCGAGCTGTGCCCTTTCCCACATTCAGCGGACGCCCTCTCAACATCAGGAGCTGCGACGTCTCACGAAGAACCACCTCAAGGGATGCTAAAGACGCATCGACTTCCAGTATTACACGAGCGCGGCGGCGGAAGCGACCAGAATATCGGACAGGATTGGGCGTTCACGCTTAGCAGGAGGAAGTTCGAGATCAAACCGTTCAGCCTGCCGCCTGCTGAGGGGGATCAGGAGGCTCAAGATAATGCGCGGTCCGACAAAATGCCGAAAAAGGCGGATCTCGAGTTCTAGAGCGCTAATCGTGCTATATTGAAGAAATTCGAAAGAAACACGTCCATGCTCATTCTTCGTGATCTGACTCTATCAGCATGTTGTCCATCTCGATCTGCTCGGACATGGCGGATCCAGGGTTGGCCATCGTGCGAAGATACTCCCGTCCGTAGGAGTCAAGCCCCGGCCTTGCGTATCTCACGAAGCGAGAGTGAAACCGACTCCCTAGACAGGAGGAGAAAGCAAGCCATGCTTTACGGTGTTAGCCGGGCAAATCACCCACAAACGGGGCAGGTAGTTAGCAACCTATGAATAATAGCAAAGGCGTGAAGAACACCAGAAAGAGCAGTAGGAAGAAATTCATCATCAATCGACTATCGCAATGCCACAGAGTCCGTCTTGTGAGTTATCGACAGATTCTCGACTTCTCAACGTTAACAGTTCTCTGCTCCAGCCGTAACTAGCGAGCGAGCTCGACTTGGACTAGCGCGGTCCCCACCACGCGTGCACTTTTTGTTTAAAAAGCTCCTCTTCCCAACCAAATTCCTGCCTATTCATTACACCTCTCGAAACACTGCGAAGCACATTTGCTCTCGCTATCTGCCACGGATTTGCTGGCCGAATCCGAAACGGCATTTCGTGCCATGTACTCTCGTTCTTAATGGTAAGTTCAAACCACATTTTTTTTCGCTTTGCGCAACGATCGAATGATTATATAACTACTATAATCTGTCAATCCCCTGAAGCTCGCTTTAATCTCATAAAAAGAGCACATGTGATTGAGAAACGTATTGAGAATGACTCGATCTATGTCTTGCCGCCATTTCATTTGACATGCCTTGTTTTAAGCATAGCGCTAACAATGTGTCTGTCGCAGTAGTGAATTCGTGAACCTTGATCTGCAAAATGAATACCAACCCAGAATTACCAGTCCCGATATCGTACATCGCGGGTAATTACTTTGTCTTCTCCGTTGATGTCGCAACATTCCTCAGACGCGAGCATCATATATGCGGTGTTCTGGCCGGAACCCTACCCCAGGTACCACAACAGAATGTCTTCACGGGTCTGCCGCTGGAGTTGATGCCGGAAGAAGCAAGACTCCTAGTTGAGAAAGGCGTAGCTTGCATTGTAGACGAGGCCAGCTTCCAGAAGCAAGGAATGCGATCCCTCTTGGAAGGCGACCGCAAGAAGTATCTCCAAGATCTAGAATCCCAAGGCCTCGAGACCATGCAAATGCAACTGCGCCGAAAAGAGCGGCAGAGGGACGCTTCGCTGAAGAAGATCGAGGAAAAGAAGGCTGCCAAGGCGAAGAAGGCTGAAGCGAAGCAGGACACAAGCGACGCTCCTGCGGCTGCGGCTGCGGCTGCGGAGGATTCAGTTGTTTCATTCTTTGCAGACAGTGAGCCTTCTAGTCACCTTCCCTCGCGACGTTCCTCGACGCTGGGGACCGTTGAACCCATGGGCATCACCCCACCCGTATCGCATCCTCTTCTCCCCCAGCAGCCGCCTGCCGAACACCTTCTACCGCTCCCTCAAGTACAATCCTCCTATCCACTCTTCGCTCACTTGCACTCTAAGGGATACTTCCTTTGCCCGGGACTCCGGTTCGGCTGCCAGTACCTTGCATATCCAGGCGATCCGTTGCGGTTCCACTCCCACTTCTTGGTTGTCTCGACTGAATGGGATGAGCAGCTTGACTTGATGACTGTCATTTCTGGCGGCCGTTTGGGCACAGGTGTCAAGAAAGGATTCCTTATCGGCGGCGCTGACAAGAGCGCTGAGGAATCAAGCGGTTCAGGAAGTAATGTTAGAACGTTCAGTATTGAGTGGGCAGGGATGTGATTCAGATGCGCGCACGGTCATCTTTGCTTCACCATCCAACTCCAACGGCACAGCACCCACGGATGGCTACTGCCTCTCTTCGCAGGCAACCCCTGGTACAGGCTCCATCGCTTCGCCGTGCGTCTGCTGTCAGATACAGCTCATCCGGCTGACAGCACCCAGGCTAATCCACGACAATATGGCTTCGTTCCGGCCGTCGTTCTATTGGCATTAAACACGATACACGATTGGCAGTCAACGTTGACAGTGTCATTCATTGGTCTTGGTCTACCTCAAAACGAGGATACATGCCATGTCAGAAATAGCGTGCCACGTGCCATATGATATGATCCGGGACTGAATAGCGCAAGTCCTCCACTTTTCCAAGGACAGGTCAATATCAATGAAACTAAAAAATAGTCCCGGTGGAACATTGTCCCCATATGTAGTTATAGCGTAGCGTGGCTGTAGCTGTGCGCCTAACATGGACATCTGAGCATGATATCGTTGTCGCACATTCCAATGCTCGCTGAGGGCTTGCTTGCGGTTTCTCATAGCGAGTCATGACCGCGTTTAGAGGTTGCGAGAGGCACAATGTGTTTTGGAGCTTTGCAGCGGCATTGCTCGATAACGAGGGCTCTGGTGTGCTTCTGCGGTGCGGCGCAGCGGCTTGGTCAAACCTGTCCTGCGAGTGATCCTAGTAGGAGCAAAAGATACCGCGAAAACCTTGACGATGAGAAGTTGCAGCCTCAAAGGTAATCCACGTTGCGCCACTTGAACTTCTTGTTCGCTCTGTCCACCGGTCGATTCTCAAACTGACTGCCATGGAGTTCGAAAACGAGTTCCTTGGTTTCTTCATCTGCCTCTGTGCCGTCTGTCGCATCCTTGCTCTCCTCCGTAGCTGTCGCCTGCGGTAACGGCACAGTAAATCGAAACACCGTCTGTTCCTTGGGAACAGCTATAAGCAAGAAGTCAGCATCAGACTTGGCAGCCCCAGAAAAGACCCGGAAGAGGCGAGCAGACTCACTTTTGACCTCATCCTTCTCCGTAACAACCACAAACGTAAACTTCGTATCGCGAACCACAATCCCCTTTATCCCAACCCTCCCCGCGCACCGACTCCTAACAACTTCCACCTCTGCCCCATGGAAATCCGCACTGACCAGCTTACTCCCATGCGAAAGCGCCGACACCAACGGCCTCGGCCCCTGCTGCTGCCCCTTCTGCTGGTTCTGACCCGGATTCTGTGCCCTCCAAGCCCCGGGTCCCAGATCTAGTATCTCACACATATAAGCCACCCACATACGGTTCAGCTCTCTGAAGATCGCATACTTGCACTCCTCCTTGGGGAGATCGTAGAGACCGGACTTTCGCTTCTCGCGCGCGCTGAGCGGTTTCGGTTTTTGGTGGCGGAGGAAATATTCCTTCTTGCGGATGCGGTGCTGACGGCGACGCGAGCGGTTGTCGGCGGGGGTTGGGGATGTTGCGCGTAGGTAGAGCGGTTTTTGCTTGATGCGTTCTGTGAAGAGGGTGTCGGTAGTATCGGGGGAGTGCGCGCGGGAGAGGAGGGTTTGTGCGATGTGGGGTTTTGAGGAGGACATTTTGTTTACTTGTAGACAGTTCGAGGTAAGCGTTAAGTCTTAAGGACGTTGCGTGGCGATGGACCGTGGTCAGTTCCGAAGTTGGTGGGTTGTGAGAGTTGGGACTTCGCCGCGGAATTTGTAGCCGCCCTCCCAATCAGGAAATTTGCTATCTCCGGCGTTACTCCGAGGGTCAGGATCACCACAAACACCTAATCATTCTTCTAAGTACTGTACAGAGAAGATCTCTCATGCAACTGGTTTGGCTATCCTGGCTTGCTAGTAGAATTTTTACTGCAATCAGTCGGGTTTGGATTCATAGCTCAAGAGAGTGTTTATGTTTGTACCTGAATCGGCATGGTATATCAAGACACAAAATGATAGAAGTTGCGCGAACTGGAAACAATATGACCAGCTACTCGTAAGAGATGTACTGTACTATCAGAAGATGTAACGTCGCGTGGTTGACTGCCCCTCGGCTCTAGCATTTCCCCGCACCAGGTCGAACTATATATCCGGGGCTCCCTCGAGTACTAAGCCTTCAGAAATCTGCAGAGTCAACAACACAAAGATGGCGCCGAATACAAACCCCGATACTACATTTGCGGGACTTCCACCTTTTCCAGAGGACGTCCCGACTGCCCCTCTACTCCGTCTCTCTCTGAAGAAGCTCGCTGAGCGAGACAAAGGAGAGATTCAGAGGCTGAATGCTGCTTGCGAAGACCTCGGGTTCTTCTATTTGGACCTCCAGGAAGCGAGCCTAGTGCCAGATATACTCCATGATGTCGACGAGTTATTCCAGTTAGGTTCTCGACTTTTCGAGCTGCCCCTAGAGGAGAAGCAGAAGTACGATCTCAGCAGCCAGAACTCGTACTTCGGTTACAAGGCACAAGGAGCGGCCGTTGTCGATCGTCAAGGGAACCTAGATAGAAACGAGTTCTATAATGTTAGCTTCTCCCTTCTTATTTGTTGTTTTTTGCTATACTCACCTTCCTCTTTTCAGGTTTCGAAAGACGATATCATGGGCGTTTCGGAACCCCTACCAGCTCCGGAGATCGTCAATAAAAATCGCAAGACACTCAATACCTTCATGACGAGCTCTCACTCCATTGTAACGCTCATCCTTGACCTTTTGAACGAGAGCCTGGGGCTGCCAGGATCTACCCTCACCAACCTCCACCGTCTTCGGGCTGTAAGCGGCGATCAAGTGCGTTTCGTCAAGGCGCCTCCTCAGCCCGTCGATGACCGTCGCACCGCTCTAGGCGAGCACACGGATTTTGGAAGTGTCACGATCCTTTTCAACCGTCTGGGAGGCTTGCAGGTTCTCCCACCAGGCGCAGATGCAGACTGGGTGTATGTACGCCCGTTAGCCGGTCACGCCATTGTCAATCTTGGAGACGCAATGGTGAAGTTCACAAATGGGCTGCTTCGGTCGAATATTCATCGTGTTGTTTCCCCTCCTGGGAAGCAGGCAAGCTGCACAAGGTACAGTCTGGTATATTTCGCGCGGCCAGAGGACGATGTTCCCTTGAGACGGTTGGAGGGTTCTTCTCGGATTCCTGCGCTGGACGAGGGTTTTGTGGAAGAAGACATCAACAGTAAAGACTGGATTATTCGCCGTGCTCTGGGTCGGAGGGTCAACGTACCTGGGATCGATTATGAGAAGTCAGCGGGGACGGAGGTTCTGAGTAGGAGGTTGAAAGCGTAGTCACCATTTCATTCATTTCAAGTTTGCTATATTTACCGAAGCAGAATATTAAGCCCGAACTGAGGCTTCTTAATTTCTGGGTATTGGCAGAAAGGTGTAAAGGATGCTGCCTGCACGTGAAGGGAGAGTCAACTTGAATGGAAGTCTGTCTCCATAGTCTTCCTCCTCTGCCTTTTGCCATCTTCTCAGTTCATCTTGCCTTCACTCCCGCTTTCAGTTCTCAATTCGCTTCATCTCTTTACTTCTGAATCACAGATAAGGAGCTTTTTGAGACCTCGTTGATAACATGCTCTGGTCTGATGAGGATCTAGTGTTCCTCGCTTTTCCATCAACACCTCGCTGCAACACATGTTTCATGTCCGCAGCCCTGAATGTCTACCCAGTCCAATTGCAGGTGCGGCAACACATATCGAATCAGGCTTGTGTTATAGTGGTCAAGTGAGCCGTAATGAAGATGAATTTTCTGTGTTTTTTTTTCGCTTCTTAACTTCAAGTCGTCACCTCGCTTCTTCCCTCAAGTTTGTATCACAGCCCTACCATACTACGAGTCGTACATCGAGTGAAGACCATCATGGCGCCCAATTACATCATTATCGACAGCGACAGTGACAGCGATAGTTCGGCTTTGAGCAGTCCTCGTGCTTGGGCTACCCCTCCGAGAACGCCTATACATTGGTCGGATTCCGTCGCGACTACTCCAGAGAGCATTGGTAAGGCCTCTACCGCAAGACTTCCATGAATAGACTCTGATGACTTCAGCCTCTTCCTCTTCCTACGTCCAATCCCAGCGGGATTTGGTACCCGTTCGGATTAGAAGACCTTCTCTTCAGTTGCCAGCCCCACGCACGCAGGCCGACAATCTCAAAGACATCAACTGGAGGAGATCAATCTTTCTCAAAGCCAATCAGAATCTCATTAAACCCCTTGTCGGAAACAGCCTTCGTGATAATCTCGCCAGCACTTTGGACTGCAGTGACTTGAAACCCGTTCCCTATGTTCTTGGTTCTCAACCTCAAAGGCAAGTGAAACTACTGAGCCCCCTTATGGCACGGCGCCAAACTAATGTACCTTTCCAATAGACTTCGAGCGAGTCTGAAGCAGTACCAGCTCGAAGGATTCTCGTGGCTTTTATACCTAAAGAATAATGGCGTGGGCGGCATACTGGGCGACGACATGGGCTTGGGAAAAACACTCCAAACCCTCACAGTCTTTCAGCACATGAAAGATCACGAGGCTTATAGGGATCACAAATTCCTTGTGGTGTGTCCATTGAGTGTTTTAACGACTTGGGTGACCGAGATTGCCAGATGGACGACAGATATTGCTGCCCTGGCATACCACGGAAGTGGTAAAGAGAGGGAAGCGTTCCGAAGGCGATTCAGGCAAAACATAGGACAACCAATTGACGTTTTAATCACGTCCTACGAGACACTTTGCAGCGATATGTTTTTCTTCCAATCTATGACTTGGAGCTATATTGTTCTAGACGAAGGACACCGGATCAAAAACAGTCAAGCCAAGCGGACACAAGGAGTGTACAAGCTCCAGGCTGAGTATAAGCTAGTTCTAACAGGGTATGTACATGCCACCGGCTCACTACGCAGATTGACTAACATATACCTCATAAAAGTACACCTATTCAAAACAACCTGACGGAGCTCTGGTCAATTCTCCATTGGCTCTACCCAGAGATTTTTGTTCCGTCCACGACACAGAGCTTTGATGAAGCATTCTCCTTGACGAAAGGTGCCTGTGACAACGACTTTCTTGACAGCCTGACCAAGTTTCTGCCTCTCGTGATGCTCAGAAGGACGAAAAGCTCGGCTCACATTGGTCTGAATATTCCCGACAAAAAGGAGACTATAATATCAGTCCCGCTTACTGATCTGCAGCTCGCCTGGTATCACGAGATTTTGACTGGCGGGAAGGATTTGGTCACTCCAGGCCCAACCAGTGGACTGGTGAGAGCAACCAACACCTTCCAAGGGTCAAGTTCAGCACAAGATATCGAAGGACTCATTGATCTAGCAATGGATGATTGGGAGACACAAGGAGCAACTGGCTCCAAGAAGAAAAGTCGAATTACTACCAACGTTCTCATGGAACTACGGAAGGTGAGGCTGGCGGTTGCTGAATATCTGAGGTTGTGTACTAACATTCCAAGGTATCAATACATCCATACCTTCTAGCAGATGCTATACCTGAGGATTACAACCTCGGCGAGCACATCATTCAAACATCGGGGAAGTTTATCGTCCTGCAAAAGATGATTCGCCAGTTTGTGGTTACTGAGAAGAAAAAAATAATCATCTTCTCTGGTTTTGATCAAGCGTTGAACCTATGCGAGGATCTCCTTCAAATGGAGAAGTTGCATGCTCCCTTCAGCCATGTCCGTCTCGATGGAGGCACCACGAATGTTTGGAGAAAACTTTCCCTGTTCCTCTTCGCGAATGATCCACTGTGCAAGGTGTTTCTTCTTTCCATCCGAGCAGGCGGAGAGGGATTGAACCTCGTCAGCTCCTCTACGGTTATATTTATCGACGACGACTGGAATCCTCAAATTATGAGGCAGGCAGAGGCTAGAGTGCATCGACTTGGTCAGATGGAGCCGGTACAGATCTTCCGGCTGCATGCGAGGGGGACTGTTGAGGAACAGATGCGCCGCCGGTTAACCAAGAAAGCATACTTGGCAGATCAGGTCATGAAAGCTCCTCTGCGAGATAGTAGGTATTCGCCCATGGACCTAGACTCCGACTATTCTGAAGAACTAGGCTTGGCTCCTCGCAACACCATGGTGCACGATGCCCTCAGTGTCAAAGAGCTGGCTAATTTGGACTTGAGCTCTATCCTGCATTGCTGTACTATTGATGAGGAGAACGCCTTTGAAATGTCAAGGGCCGAGAAGAAGGAATGGCTGGAGCGTGCGGAGAGAGTGAAAACAAACATCTTCAACGGGGAGCAGATTGATACCAGCTCAAGAGGTTATTCTGTGTACAAAGAGACCATAATCGGCGTGTCGAGGGCCAGCCGGCGAATTGGAAAGTCGAGAGTTGTGATGGTGGGGGAGTGGGAAGTCTCTAGGGATAGCGTTGAAGCAGCCTTGAAACTGAACAGCCCAACCAAACCAGAGCCGAAGCCCAAGGCAGCGTCAAATGCAGGAAAATCCAATGATACAGTGAGTACATCCTTCTCTTTAATTAACAGCGTCTAATATATACAGACCTGCTTTCTCTGCCGCCAGGCCGGGCCGATAGACTGTGAGATATGTCCTCGAGCCTTCCATAAAGCGTGTCTAGATGTCCAAGATGACCTTGACTATACCCCAAAGCGCAACACTCTTATATGCCCCCAGCACAAATGTTGCGGATGCGGAAAGCCGGCATCCCAGGTTGGAAGACTCCTTTTTGCCTGTCTTAATTGTCCTCGTGCGTACTGCGAACATTGCCTTGATTGGAAAAAGACAACCTATATTGGCAATGACCCCAAGGGAGAGAGCTGCGGATACTTCCCTACCAGCGCGTACTATATCATCTGTTTTGCTTGCCGCGCCCCCGCACAGAAGAGGCAGTTGGATGACATGGATATTGACACTTCGAAGCGCCCAAAGCACTACTGACGTGCCTCTGAGCTGTCCTGCAGATAGTACTGTACCTAGGCGAACAATAGGATACTAATAACAATGACACCGTCAGTTTCACAGAAAGACGCCCGAATCCAACAGAGTCTAACAACCATTCCATTTCCTGCAGCAGAAACGTCGGAAGTCTACCTACCCTCCTCGAGCCCCAATAACCCGATCACCGGAACAGCTCCGGTGGCAACATAGTAAGACATCCCGACTGGGATCCATCAAATGCAGGACCTGCAGCAGCATGAGCGCATAGAGTTCCCTGCCAATGACAACTTCCCCTTCTTATGCAGTGCAACCAACACTTGACCTCGCCTTGCCACTCGGTTGAATCTTGAGTTTGCTGGGGTTCACTGTAGACGTGGCGATCTGGATCCTCGATGCGGTTTTGATAGAGCGAGGAATATAGGCGACGGATGAGGCGGTTAACTTGTTGGAGATCCTTGCATAGGGGGATTGGTAGCCTATGCTATACCGGAGTACGCTTCGCATATCCTACTCTTGGAAATTGGGTAGGAAATCTTCATGTGAGACATGGCATGGGGTTATTGGCAGCATCCAGAGATCAGAACTCACCTCTTTGCCACCCACCCACACACGCACACACACACAACGTACACACAGAGCTTCCCCGAAACCAAGAATCGAACCAACCCAACCCGACTCCATCTCATTCGCTCCCACCTAACCGGAAACTCTCCCAGCAAGCAAAACCTGACCAGCACCGCTTACGCATGACATCAACCTGCATTCGCAGCCCTCCCTCTTCCCCCTTCAAAGTTCGAGTCCTCCTCCATCCCCTCTTCCGAAATCCCACTCCGAGCCGCTCGAACTTTCGCGCTGTGTAACCCTAACATCCTGGTCAAACGAGAGGACTTACCTAAAAGGGTTATAGAAGGGACTGTACAGTCATGCCGTGAGACGTTTCTGTTGATTCCATCGAGTCTTTCAAGGCATGCGTCTCTATCCCCGCTCGCTCGGTGCAACTGGGCTTGGGCTTGGGCTTAAGCTTGGGTCGCGCTGCGCTGCCACCTCTTGAGAGCGTGGGTGGGTGTGTTGAATCCGGGCCGGAGATTTCCCTTCCTTATGCAAGGGGGCGAGGCGGAGCGGCATTCCATGGAGAATTGGAAATTCGATTTTATTTTCTGTGCGTCCGTTGCAGGTACAAGAATAGATAGATACTGGGATGGGGTTATCGTGGACTGTTATGTCGTACCTAGGTAAAATACAACAATATCCGGCTTGGATCCATCATGTCCCAAGGAATGTATGAAGGATACCATGGACGAGGCGGCGGTCCGGTCCGTGGGTATCCATGGTACGATACTTCGGGTCTCGACCACATCTATACATTCTGCTATACAATGGGAAGGGAGCATAAACAATGTTTAGAAGGTGTTTATGCCCCTTATGCAGAGCCCAGGTGTCTATCTTGGTCTCACAGCTCCGAGTAAAGTAGGCCCGGCCGAAAGATAGGAGGTCGGTCAATTGTCCAACTCCACATATCTCCCGAAGGGCCGAAGGAGTGAAGTAAGGAGCATAAATTGGGGACTCCGGGGGGAGCATGGGCCATGCGGATGAACTCCTTTCCCTTGGGTAGTGAGTGGTACACCGACACAGCCAAGAGTCTGCGATGTGAGACTCAACCTTGGTAAGCGGATGACTCCTGAGCTGCTAAGCTCCTTGTACCGGAGTTGTTCACCAAAATAGACTTAGAGTAGGAGGAAGCAATGAAGATCATCGTCAATCCTTCTCCGCAGCATCCGGCAAAACGCAACTGTTACCCTAAGGACACACTAAGCCAGCGGATCTTGGTATCGACAGATAACCGCTGTCCCGACTCCCTCAGTGTACAATTGATTGACTCGAGAGAGGAATAAGGCTACAATAGCCTCGCTGGCTGCTGAGTGGCTACCTAATCTTATTGAGTTTTGTGCCAGTGCAGACCCAAGAATATAGCCCGAATCCTGGCCTGATCCTGAGTTCCTGGCGAGACACGGGCATATTCGGATAGAGAAGAATGGCCGGGGTTGAGGAATGAAGAATAACGGGTCCAACGTTTATGAGAATCAACGGCTTTATCCACAGTTCCACTTTCCGTTTGTGTGGTCTGTCCTGGCCCAGAATTGAGGTGACGATAAGATCTTTTTGGTGTCGTCGTGTGTAGTCGTACCGTCAACCGTCTTTGAGATATCATGCCATTCATTCATGCATCGCTGATCATTTGTAGTCCCTAGTAGTGTCAAATCAGGTCCCCGAATCCCCGGCCCTGGCACCGGCACCACCGGCAGCAGGCCTGCCGACCTGGCGCTACCAATCCCTACCAGCACTGAGTACTCAGAGTACGTACCTCTCATCCAGAAGGGCGGGGAAACCACCTTGCACCTCATCAACCAAGCAAGGGCTACTCGAGACGTCAAGCCGTCAGCCATCTAAATCGGACCGTCTTCGCCCGCCTCGCGCGCCGTTAATCTATTCCACCCAATCAATCATTAACCCCTCGCCAACCCCTGCCGCAATCTGAGGTATTTGGAATTGAACGATTGGCGCGGAGAATTTTAAGATTTCCTTTCGTCAGAGATGGTGATGATGGCGTCTCGCGGCGATCCTGTCCAGGAAGTGCGATGATTTCGATTTGTATGGTGTCGTGACTTCATTAATCAAGAACGTCTAATTTCGAGGGGGTGCCAAGGCCAGTCGAGGCATCTCGGGCCCGAGATTCGGCCTCAAGTTTGAAGAATGGGGGATGGAGAATGGAATTGATTCTGCTCCATGAGGCTTGAAGGGTGGAGTTTGCGATGGAATCTGTCAAGACTATGGGTCTCAAAGATAGGAAGATGGAAACTCAGCTTACACAGAAAACAGCAGAGAACTACGGCTGAGCCAATCATCTCCTTCCTATTTCCCTGCAACGACTTGGAACGACGGAGTTGATCAGGCCAGGGACCATGCCTTGAAACTCAATAACAAATTGAATAATTCATGAGACTCAAGATGAAATATGGATATATTAAACATGGATGAATTATGAAAAATACCCCTCTGAAGTCTCAACTCTTCCTCAGACCAAGCCTGCAACGGAAAAAGAACCAGGAATCGAATCTAAAAAGTACGCACGAAGGCTCCTGTCAGTAACTGTCAGAGTCAGTCGGCCAGTGTCATCCAACGGCCGGAATCTCGATCTAACCGTCTCTGGTCACGCCATGCCACGCCAACGCCACGGTTATACTCGTTATGTTCAGGTATGCTTGAGAAGACGCCGTCCCACTGGACACGGCGCCACATCGGTTCCATTCTGCATTCCAGTCCAGTCCCATTCGGGGTCAAGTAGTACTAGTATGGGACCTATGGGTCAATGGTATTCGAGCGGGGCGGGGCGGGTCGTCTCGCTGTGGGGACTGTCAACTTGTCAAGCCAACTGTCAAGTTGGCCTTGGATTCAACTGTCAGATGTCAGTCGGTTGAACAAGGTTCGATGGCTGGCTCGAGCCTCGCTCGGACTCGGTCGGTTGCGAGTCGCGCGCGGCTTGCACTGCACTGCAGACTGTGGCTTGATAAGCCATGGGCCATGGCAAAAGCCGTTGGAGTTGACGTGTGATGTATCGAGTTTAATCGTCCGAAATCGAACACTCGCAGCCGAAGCAGAACCTTATGTTGCTTGCAAGCTTGCTTGGTGCGTCGGCGCTTGGACTATCTACTATCTTGATTCCTGGATCTGAAATAAGGTTGTTCACCGCTGGTTGAGGGGATCTGTCACATATGTAGCTCTACAAGACCGAGCCGAGTTGGGGAAGGTCGAGGAGACGCATGTAGACATATGTGGGGGAGTGAGTGAATGAGTGAATAGTGAGTAAGCTGGCGCCTACGCTTGCTTGCAAATTCAGGTCATAATCGTGCTAGGAGGAGAGTTCTGCTCCGTCGGTATAAACAAATGCTGTCTGTGACAAGTCTGTCACTGTGCTAGTAAATAGAGAAGAGATGCGATCGATCTCGCCCACCAAGGGCGCTCGTCTATCCCTGTGGCCAATTGCCCCTCCCCTAAATAACCTTGATGCTGGCGAGCCTCTCCTCCACTCGTCTCACTATCTCGGGGTCTGGCTCCGGCTTTTGCTTTTTCGGCCTGGTTCCTTGTTAGTACCACGAAAAGACAAGTGTCAGTTTTCAAAAGAAAGGGTAAGCGTACGGGTCTCGGATCGTTTCTGGGCCCTTTGCGTGTCCGCAACTGGAGCAATTCTTCTCGCCCGACCGGTAGACGGTCGAGCAGATGTGACATGTGTAGCGTACACGCTGGCGAGGCCGTTTCCAGGTCCGTGCTGGTGGTTCGACAGGGGGTTCTGCATCACCAGGATAACCGTCGGGGTATTTGTGTAACTTGGGCCTGGACAAGGCAAAAAAGAATAAGGTCAGCACACATCTCGTTTCGTTTCAGAATCTTGCCAGGAAAAACGTACGGATCGCGGGGACAAATCTTGCACCGGATATGCTTGCAGCTGCTGCATTCCGTGGCGTGGGCAGCAAAGACCGTATTACAGCGGTGACACGTCCGTCGCACTCGCTGGCGGACGGGCTTGCGGATGAGATCCTGCCCGCCTGTTCGCGAGGGAATCGTGAGCGGGGGTTCCTTTTGCTTCGGTTGCACGGCTTCCGTCTTTTGGGCGATGATGGTCTGGAGCGCCGACCCTGCCTGCTCCTTCTTGTCCTTGGGTTTCGCGGGCGGGTGTCGCGGGCACTTCTTGCAACGGACGTGCTGGCAGTTCACGCAGACCTTGTCGGGGCCAAAGGTCGTCTGGCAGCGGTGGCAGGTACGGCGAACGCGCATGCGGATGCTCTTGGTGACACGCTGGACGGGGACATCGCTGACGGCCTTCCACTCTCCAGGTTCGAGTGTCAATCCGTACTTGGCGAAAAGAACACGAGCCTTTTCCTCCTGGATCGCTCCCCAATTGGTCAGCACGGTCGGCTCGGTGGTTTCGGCGGCAGCAGGTTTAGCGGGCTTGGACTCAGCACTATGTTGGTTAGTATGTTGACAGAGGGCAGTAGAGGAAGAGCCGTACGCAGCAGCTGCCTTGCTGGACTCGGGTTGGGCAGACGACGGAGTCTCTTTCGCAGTCTTCGTAGTAGTCTTAGTGGTCGTAGACGCAGATGCAGAAGCCTTGGTCGACGAACTCCTCCTCAAAACGGTTCTCATGCGACTAATCACCTTAGACAAGCCATCCTGCTTCGCCTCACCAGACTGAGAAGGTTGTGAAGTCGACATTGGTTTGATTAATCAGATCTTTTTGGGATAAATGTGTTGTGGTCGTCGAGGTCTCATAAGCGCTCAAGTGTAGAATATATACGGTCGAACAGGTATCTCCAGTATCCTTGTCGTTCAAAATCGGTCCTCACACGAAGCGTCAGCTCACAACACCACTACCATGTCGAGCGCCCGATCAAGCAAATCCAAAGTCACAACGGTCGGAAATCCAAAAAGGCGAGAATCAGCGACAGATAAATCCACCGCCGAGTGCTGGAGTCGAAAAGCAGGTGGACGACGCACAGTCGAGTAGTGCACAGCGATGTGGCAGGTCGCACGGGGTTGTTGTACCAGAACCAGACAGTTGGGAGACCCGACCAGACGGTGTGGGAGCGCGAGAAAAAAAGGACCAGCAGCGGAGTTGGGGCCCGCACAGGCAGGGAACCAGCTCGGGCGCGAAGGCACGGGTGATTGGTCAAAGAGCGGTCAGACCAGAATCCAAGTGGATCAGTGCGTCTGAGTGTGCAGCGAGTGTTGGAGACGGCCTCTGTGCCTCCTGGAGCCCTGTGAGTTGTGTGGGTGGGTGGTGGGTGTCGTGGCAAGACTCGAGAGGAGAGCAAAAGGGAGAGACGGGGGAAAGGGCGATAGTAATAGGCCCAGTATTACGACGATGATTATGGCGAGCAGCGGGAGCCGAGAGATAAATAGAAGCCGAACAAAGTTTCTCAAGTCCTTAGGGAGTGCATAACAAGCGGATAATGGATACAATTCCTTTGAATAAACCGCCATATTCCTGCTGGCCAGTCAAGCGGCTGGACAGGAACCTGGGGTTGAGCCATGGAAGACGGTATCGCGTGTACCAGCGCTGTAAGGCATCCACGGCTGGAGACAAAAAAGCAACTCTAACTTTGACCAACTCTTCTAGTCCCGGGCCTGCTGCTCGAACCGGAATGGCCTTTCTTGTCAAACCAGGTGCTGCTTTAGGTTCCGCCAGCTGATCCTCGGCCAGATTAAGATAGAACCCTGCCTATCTTGATATGAAGACCAACGGAGCCATTGTCTGCGCCGGTTGGCTGAGGGCTGCAGTTGAAATCTCAAATAGCTGCCGTTGACTCAATCGTCAAGCGGAGAGTCATCAACTATCCAACAATTCAATTGTATCAAGCCGCCCTACCCCTGTCAAGCTCAGCCATCCCCCGGTAGATGCCATTCCAGACGTATTAATATTGGCGAGAATCATAATACCAGGCGTTGCATCCTGCGCGCATCTCGAGGTTAGCCAGACGCCTCCAGCAGCCTCCCATCTGCCCATCGCCATCGGGTTTACAGGGTTCAGTCCCCGCGCGCCTAGTATCAAAGATCCCCGAGTATCCCTGCCAAAAAGTGGGAAATCGGCGACCACGGCTTGGGTAGTTGCGCGCTGGATTCGTCTCCCTGTTGCCATTGGGATGGTAAATCTGCCCTCAGGTTATCTTTGCTCTCGCCATACTCTTAGGGACTATCATCAGTGGAACCACGAACCGCCTGGGGCCGCTGGTTTCTAAGTGACTGAAACGCAACTGTCCCGGCTTAGCCCATGCATGATGCACAACACGAATAATAGCGGCCGGCTTACGGAGTCGCCGTCACGCAATCAGAGCAAGCGGGCAACGGCTTCATGCATCCTGCTGCAGGCTAGCCCAAAGGATCCGTGGGAATGACGGTCGAGTTGTCGCCTGAGTCGCGACTAGAAAACCCATGGAATGCCCAAAGCTGTCAAAGTACGGATGTCGGAAGTACAATTGTCGGTTGTTAGATTCGTATCTACGGTGAAAGATCGCATCTGTATTGCTTCATTCTGCAGCCTCGACGATGCATCAGTAGATGGGTTGAACTTCCCCACCAGTTGTCATCACACCCTCGCCTGACGCGAAGGTACCAACGCCGTGCGACCATCCCCGACTATCAATTGAAAAGGCCGCGTTCGTCCTTGAATCGTACCATACGACTATAGTAGTACTATGACGGCACCATCACAACCCCCATCTACCGAGACGTGGCTTTAACGGAAGAATTTCGATTCTCGAAGCGAAGCAAAGTCTCAGCTTCGCACTGCACCGCATCGCATCGCATTGCCACGCCACTCCATGTCCTCGCTCATTATTCGCCGTCATGGAGCAGTTCGTCAACCTGGCTCAGCGACAGGGGTAGACAGTTCATCCCGTCGTATCGCCATCGCATCTCGTCTCCACGGGTGGAGCACCCGAAGCGAAGACATGGTCAGTGCCATCGCACATCACTGATATAATTGGACTTTTAATCTCCAGAGTCTCGCCAACGGGACGCTGTCGCACTCGGGTTGGGCGGGCGTGCGCGAACGCCGTCGTCAGGAGATGCAAGGGAGGGTGGCAGTGAGGCCGCTGACTGGGCAGCGAGCCGGTGACGCCCTTTTGACTCCTGCTGGATGATGGAGACGACGAAAGAGCGCAGGCGCGGGCGCACTGTGCAGACTGCAGAGAACATGCAAAATGCAGAATGCGACCGCAATGGATGAACTCGTCGCCCGACTGCCAGAGGATTTAACCTCGAGTCCAATCACAGGCTCACAGCTGAAGCAACCACACCACACAACGGCGCCTGCTGAGACCCAGTAACCTGGAGGATGGCAGGTGGACGGGAACGCGGCCCCGGGATGACACCGTCACTCTAACTAACTCTAGTAGTGAGGAGTGCCACTGGGCCAGATTCGGATTTTGTGAGACAAATTCGCAGGGGCTTACCACACCACCGGCCAGCCAGTCGGCCGCGACGCCCTCGTCCCTCGTGGCACAGACTCACCATCCCAGTTGAGGAGAATCCGGTGCCATCCTGGGCTGGCCTTGTCTGCCGCACCAGCCATTGTGGGGGGGCGTAATGCGCTAGTAACCGCTGTCATATGGAAGGTTCGGCTGCCTTGGATTTTAGGTTTGGGATTTGAATTGGGTGGCTATTTACGGTTGGCAGTGAGTCTATCAAGGGTTAATAACGGTCCGTCCCTCCAATGCCTCCACTGGTTCTGATCATCATCTTGGTCAAGAGTGAATTCATAGAAGTAACTCTACACGGGTCAATCTCATCTGGATGCTCCAGAGGATGCCTAGGCTTTTTCTCAACGTCCGGACTTCTATCCTTTGTGCATAACCATGGCTGCAGCAGGGGATCTAGATGCCCGTTTCTTTTCTCCTACGACCCCTCTTATTATCCCCGCCAAGCGGCAACAGGATCACAATGAAGTTGGAGAAGCACCTCTCACGTCTGCTCTTGAGCCTTGACTCTGACTCCAGTTCTAAATCGCTTTGGCTTGGCTTGAACTCCATTATTGCCGCCTCTCATTGATGAGAAATCGACTTCGACAAACGCTGTGAGACGTCTATACATCACTGGCCATCCAACTATCTTATTAGCGCTCCTACACATTTACGAACCTCAACTTTTCTGAAAGTCATGGACTCGCCAAAAATGGAGGCTGTCGCTATGGTTTCGCACAAGCGTCGGAGGCCATGTATAGTAGGTCTCGTTGAACCAGGTGTCACTCCAAGCACTCACCAACGAGTATATCAAACACATCTCAACATTAGCGTACTCTGTATGCCTGGCACGCATATTACACCTGCTGGACTGTAGTAGTTTCCAGTGCTCATGTTCAAATGTTTCGCTTGTTGGAGAGAGTACGAGCTCGAGTAGTCAAGGGGGCGGTCTCCTTCCGTAGATTCACTCTCCTGTGGTCAGCAACATGAATATGACTTAGGCGACCCTGGAAGTACGCTCTGTTGTCAAAAGCTGAGTGACGCATAAAAGCATATATATTCGGTTGCTGCTAGTTGTGGCGAGTCTCGGGGTATATATCTCGGCTGTGCCTGTGGGGCTTCCATCGTTATATATGTTGTTGGCCTGCGTTTGGAATTTAGCTGTTTCAACTGGCGAACCTCAAGATAGCACTGCCTGGACCTCGCGGGCAGCATTTGACCATCGTCCTTTTTAGTATCGATGGTCGAAGAAAGGTCTTGGAAGCACTTCTATCTTTCCATTGCTGCCGTAGTCTTCTCGGAGTGGACCATTCCACCTTATTTGTGAGCCGCGTGCAGCTAAGAAATCGACAACCTCATAACAATGTCATAAGAATGGCAATCGTGCATTATGTATATAGACGCCAATGCAGCACGGTTGTAAGCAAAGATTACCCATGTAAGCGCCAATCCGAGACTCAGGATATTATTTGTCGCCCATCATATCAACATAGCATTCCCGTTTCAGTAAAACATATCAAGCGATCAATCCTCACTTTGCAGCTTCGCCTCGATACCCGTGATATCCTCATCAGTCTCGACCTCAATCACCCGATTGACCTCGGCCGAGTTCCGCATGAGTTCCACAGCACCAGCGTACATCATCCGCTGCGACGGATTGCAGTTCTCGGGGAGCCAGTATAGCATCACGTAGGGGACCGCGAGACGGCCGGAGCCCTGCACGGTGTGAGCATCCATCCATATAATCGAGCAGGTGCGCGTAGTCGAGCTTTTGCGCGTGAAGAAACGAGCAGGTGGTTATGCACATACCAGTGTCAGAGGATAGCTGAGGAGGATAAACCGTGGAGACGACTCTGGGAGCTCGTCCGCTAGGTCCTCCATCTTCGTGTAGACCTCGCCATCTTCGGGTCGGATTTCTTGGCTTTTGCTGTCGATGATGTCTGGCGATAATTGTCAGCTTGGGATTCCCCCACTCCTCAAATGCGTTGAAGGTCGCCATATTCGCACGGTATGCGCGGCCGGTCCTTGGTGGGGGTGCGTACAAATCACGGCTTGCGGTTCTTTGGCGCGGGAAGTCCCCAGGCGGAACTTGCGGAGCTTCTCTCTTGTCTCCGGGGAGAAAGCATATAACCGCGATTCAGAGGCCTGCAGCGCTTGACCGGAGAGGTGTCGTCGTTAGCGAGATGTTTCGCTGATGTATTGGGTGAGCGGTGCGGGGCAGACACTCACCATCTTTGTCTGTGTTTTGAGTCGTGGATATGAGGTAGCTATGGACAGTTAAACGTCAAGCCTCTCTGTCTCGCGCTCGATATCGTAGCTGGGGTATCAAAAACGAATAGACAGTGTAGTCGACCAGAGTGTGATTGCGAACGCGAAGTTGGCTCTCGCACCCTTCCGTCGGACTTGGCAGCCGAAGGGTTGACTGACTGACGGGGTCCTCTTCTCCCCGCCCGCATTAATCGCGCTCCATCTCTCCTCTTCTTCTCTCTCACTTATCCCCCTATGTTCGCTCGACTCACGCAGCTCACTAGGCACCTCTACCGACCGCCGTTCACCCGCCCATCCGCGCCGCACGTCTCCTCCGCTACCCCCTTTTCCGCGTCGCGTGGGCTCGCTTCGAAAATGACATCATCTGTCCCCGGTCAGAACAAGATGATCCAGACGGCGGCAGCCTTGATCATTGGTGATGAGGTGCTTGGTGGGAAGGTGAGGGATTGCCGGATTTATTGGGATGGATAGAGACGGTTCGCGCAGTGCAGTACAATGGAATGCAATGCTAATCAGGCTGCATCCATTAGACGGTTGACACAAACTCCGCTTTCTTCGCCAAGTTCTGCTTCTCCCTCGGAATTCAGCTTAAGCGCATAGAGGTCATTGCCGACGATGAAGACGAGATTATCGAGGCCGTGCGCCGCATGAGCAACAACTACGACTTTGTCGTGACGAGCGGAGGAATCGGCCCAACGTCTGCACCCACCACCCCCTTCCCTTCTCCCCAAAACCCAGTTCAGGACTGACAATTGATACCCTCTATAGTCACGACGATATAACCTACACCTCCATCGCAAAAGCCTTCAACCTCCCGCTAAAGCTCCACGAACCCGCCTTCGAGCGCATGAAGCGCCTCTCAAAACCCCACCCCAACCAACCCCCACTCGACTGGGACAAGCCCTCCCCAACACTAACCGCCAAACTGCGCATGGTCGAGATACCACACGACGAGAACCTCCCGCTGGAATCCCAAGCCATCTTCGTCGCAGAGGACATGTGGGTGCCCATCGCCGTCGTCAACGGGAACGTGCACATCCTCCCCGGTGTCCCGCGGCTCTTCGAGCGGCTTCTCGAAAACTTGCGTCCGCTCTTACTGCCGAGACTGGTCAACCCCGAGGGAAAGGGCATTTATCGGTACTTGTTTAGCACGCCGCTGCCGGAGAGTGCGGTTGCGCCGTATTTGACGGAGTTGGCAGGGAGGACGGAGAGTCGGGGAGTTAAGGTTGGGAGTTATCCAAGGTGGCAGAAGAAGCGGAATACGGTTACGCTTGTTGGGACAGATAAGGAGTTTTTGGATTCGTTGGTCGAGGAGGTGGAGAAGAATGTGCAGGGGAAGAGGGTTTCGCAGGAGGACGAGCTGGATACGGCGTCGGATAACGAGGAGTTTAGCCAGTAAGGTTGGTTCAGATGGAAGATATAGGGCTTGCATTCTAGACATTTTATGCGGTTTTGTAACATCATGGATTGAGGTTTAGATCTTTCAGATTGGAGAATTGATGTTGGACCAATGCTAGCCTCTCGAGACAATGATATAGATCGTTCTGTGGTGTTTGACTGGACTGGTATGATCTGCGGTAGACACCCCTCGATGGAGGAAACCATGGTAATGGTAGCTATCTCTTAATCACGGACAGCCATCATGATGTCCCAAAGGCCTGGGTTATCATTGGGGGAAAAAATTGCGGATGAAACTACATCACAGGGTGGATCAGTGACTGACTGCCGGAGCCTGCTAGCCAGCGTAGGAAAAGACCTTGTCCAGCAAAGAAGCGATTGCGCAGGTAGTGCGGAGCACCTACGTAGAGCAATCGAAGAAGCAGAAAATATAGATTCCTGAGATACAATCGAGTAGATGACTGAGATGCAGACCAGCAACAGAATATTAACAATATGGAGAATGAGATGCAAGGCCTGGCCTGCATGTTACCTATATCAAGAGTCCAGCAGTATGACAAAACAGAGAAGACAATAAAAGAGTCCTAGGATCCAGACGCGAAACCATGGCAACAGAATGTACGTATATAATTACACACAAATCTATTGGCACGCTTCGGCATTCTTCCTCGCACTCTGTCGAGGAAAACCTGCAGAACTAAATCTTTCCAGAGTAGTAGTAATAGTAAAGATAAGAGTATGGTAAATAAAATAAGATCAAACAGAGAACCAGAGGGGGAATCGAACATTCGTGGAGGCGATGACGCGGCATGATGGTAGGTAGGTAAAAAGCGAAGCGAGTCATCGTGTAAATGATAGCGAGCCTCGAGTGATGTGGTATCCAAAAATAAAGTCACAACCCGCAACCCCTTCGACAAGCGCCACATATCTCGTGTGGTGGTCCCTTTTTCCTGTCGTTAATCTCTCTTCTCCAAAGTCGCGGGTTCCTTGTCTATGTGAAAATCCGTGCTGTCGTCTCGTCGCTCAACTTGTGTGCTTTGCATCCATCCTTTTCAAACCCAGCGTAGCGCCCTACCCAATTACATAACAATACACTTTCCGCAGCACCCGGCGCTCTCACCGGGCTCGCTGACGTCCATCTTGCCCTCTGGGGCGCGGGCTCCGAAGGCACCTGAGCCGGATGGGTGGGATGACATCTCCTTGTTGTACCGGCGGATCTCGCGGACGAGGTCGTAGAATGCGTTTTCGACGTTGATGCGGGACTTGGCGGAGGTTTCGATAAACTTGCACCCGAACTGCCGTGCGAGAGCCTCACCCTCTGCAAAGAGTCAATTGTCAGCGAAGTGTCCGGTCAGCGAATGCGAGCAAGTCAACGCCTACCTTGTTCCGTCACCACTCGCTCCCTCTCGAGATCGCACTTGTTGCCGACGACGATGATGGGGAAGTAGTCCTTGTCCTTCACCCGGAGAATCTGTTGTTGGAATGTCATGATTTCCTCGAACGATTGGCGCGACGTTATCGAGTAAACCAGAAGGAAACCCTCGCCCGTCCGCATGTATTGTTCTCGCATGGCTGAGTATTCCTCCTGACCGGCGGTATCTAAGACGTCCAACAGCGCGACTTCATCGTCGATGACGCACTGCTTGCGGTATGAATCTGTTGCAGGGGTTCCCTGATGAGCGACATGTCCGGCACCGGTGTAGAGTGAAGCTGCAAACCTTCGATTGTCGGGTCATATTCGTCCACAAAGTGGCTCTGGATCAATTGAATCGTCAAGCATGACTTTCCGACTCCACCACCACCGACGACGACCAATTTATATTCTCGTAGAAACTAGAACGCAGAGTGTATGAGCAGCAGATCCGATGACGGCGCCTGTTGAGAGAGAGTGGCGGTTCATGACGTTGAAAGAACCGGGTGTCGGAAGGGGGAAAGGAGGTGTGAGGCACGGGCGAGCGAAGGAAAGGGCGGATAATCAGGCACCATACCTTTGAAGCCATTGTGAAGGGATTTGACTCAAGGATCTACCTGAGTGGAAAAAGGATGGGGTTTTGAAAAGGTTGATCGAAGCTATCTCTGAGCTCAGCAGCGACAGCGGGTCGAAGAGGAGCAACACCACACAATTTTCTTTTGCAGAAAGGGTCGAAGAGTCGGGGCCCAGCAAGTCGGGAGTTTCGCGCGAAATCAGGATGCGCCTAAAAGGCAGGCCACAGCAACGGCGGGTCCAGTGACTAGGCCAAGCTTAAAGAAGCAGACGGGGGGTGGGTGAAGGAGGATCAGGGGGGTTCGTGGAACTTTGCGGAATTGGAGGTGAACCAGACGCAAGTTGCTTGGCTTCCCTGTCGAATCTGCAAGGATGTCGCTTCCGATGGTCAAGAAACGGTCAACGTCGACGAACACCTTCGAGAAAACCAAATGGAAGCAGCAGGGCGAAGGGGAAAGGGAGAGGGAGAGAACAGAGTGGAGATGGGGAGGGGAAAGGGGATGATTAAGGAGAGAGTGAACAGTCCAGCCTCTCTTGATGGAGGTGGGGATAGGAGCACACTGCACGATGTCTCAACTTATTGGCTGGAGACCACCGCCCTCTCCAGAGTACGATCCGATCGTCTTCGCGAATTGATAGTGCCACGGTCCATCTACAGGAAAAAACAAAATTCGCGCTCAACACGTTCATGGCTTGAAGAACATTGTCAATAGTGGACAGCCTGTCTTGCCCGGCGCGTAATGTTTAAAAATTGGGTGTGTGGCAGTTGACCAAAATATCTGCTTGGTCAGGCAAGGTTGCTCCAGATTAATCCGACAAGGCATTGGCTGCTCAGAGATATACCATCTCATGATTCTTGCGAGATCTTTTCCGGACGGTTATCCGATGATAGATAGCATTTCATCTTGCAAATCTCGGTGGTGAGGACAAAGACGCAAAAGCAAATATGCTCCCGCCCCCAAGGCTGGAAAAAGGGGCCACCCAGACATTCCAATCAAACAGTCCAAATCTCAGTCTTGACTCTATAGACTCCTGATTTCCCTTCTTTTGCCTTTCTGAGGACAAGATCCCTTCGTTTAAGAAACTCTGAAGAAATCATCTCGCATTTATACAGTTAGTTATGCCATATTATTATCCAGCATCCAGCATCCTGCACCCTACACTCCAATCATGTCCCCTGCCTCGCGACATAAGTTAAAGCCCAGTGTTATACTGTGGACACGCGTTGACAATCCACATTGAATCCTTCCGATCCACTCGGAGTCCATACAAAGGAGCGCGCAAGTCCACCCAAGAGCTCTTAATATTCACAAACATTTTGTGGTGCAAGCTGGGCGGCTACGCTGGTGTTGCATCTCCAGTCACGATACCAGGCACACATGCAGGCATTGCAGGAAAAAAGTGATCAAGAGACGCATCCTTGACGAGGAAATTCATCACCGGCGCGAGCATTCTCTTTGTCATTGGATGAGAGATGTGACATCGACCATTAACACGCCTCTATTATACCTGCGTCCCTGTTAGGTTTTCGTCTCGTCGGGATGAGCTTCGCGGTGGAGCCCACTTTTCGGAGGAATATCGGGCGAGGATTTTACAACTAGAATGTGAGGACCTGTGGAAACGACACCGAGAATGACTGCTACTGAGTCCATAACCCGCGGTATTTCCACCTGTGAAATCTATCAGCAAGCCCAGGACTCTGTTCAAAGCAGGAATTCTACCATTGAAGCTGTATTTACTACATCAAAAGAATAGGCTAGTGTCATACTGGGGAGTATGAAGTATCAAAGCGGGCATTTTGATAATACCAACTGGGCGATATGATGAATTTGTCGGGGCATACTGGGCAGTATGACCCTCAGGGTTTATAAGGGCATTCATTATCGCTGTTTCTAGCTTGCTCTTCGTACCTTATCGTTGACCATCATAAACATATCTTATTGAATGGCATTATCTCAGCAAAGAAAAAGAGAAGAATTAAAAACCGCCCACGCCATGCTAATCATATTCCGAGATCATAGAATTCAAATAACGAAAGGTTGAGAGAGAAATGGTCGTATTACCCTGTAGCTTCAGTCATCGGCCACTTGGTGTAGCATCCGTCACTTTCTCGTCAGCAGCCCTAGTCTTCACAGGCGATGGATTGGTGGAGGTCATTGGGGATTCTCTACCTCGATGCTCGATGCATATGACGACGGCGTTTGGGGCGGCAGAATCCACTCCAGAACGCGCTCTGGTACTGACACCGGTCTTATATCATCGTCATCACCCTCGAAGCGGAAATCTAGGTCATTGAGTAAGCCAGATGCACTCATGGAGATGATACGGGCAAGATGCCAGGCCATTTCAAGCAAATCAAAACTCGGTAATGGAAGTCGGACGGGATCAGACGTGGTAAGTCTAAAAATGCTCCCAGAAATCACCCTCTCCCCCGATTCTCGGAAGATAAAACACTCGTCGACTCTATCAATGTTTCTTGTTGACAAAGGCCGTTCAACAATAGAGATGGTTGTGTCATATGTATGGTCATATCGAGGCATCCAGTGGAATTCAAGGTCCATGGTCTTCTTATCATCGGAGAGGCTCATCGGACGTAAAGCGAATCGGCCTTGGGCCCATGCACGCTGCAAGTCAGGTCTTAAGCATAGCATATTGAAAACACCATCCTCGCCAGCAGTCTTGGTGAAATAGTCATGAAAGATAGTGTTCTTCCACTTTTCGACTTGTTCTCTAGGCCAGAACAGGAATAGAACTGACCAAATGGTAGGGATACATTTGTCTGAGGCTGTTGGTTTATTTTTGGGTTTGAGTAAATAGTGGGCGAAAATGTGCGCCACATCACAAGGTCCGCTCTTGGACAGGATGCAAATACCACCATCTCGCTCCCTTGTCAGTTCGGCAAGTCTTCTCGAGCGCCCGGATGAGCAAGAAGACGCATCACTCGATGAAACAGGGACATTATTAGGGAATTTGGGGGGTTTCTGAGCCCATAACCTGGGCACAACAAAGCAGCTTTGTATTGCAAATGGAGCGAGGTCCGGAGCGGCCGCGATTTGCCGCAGGAGATTTTCTAGGACATTGACATTGGCCAGTTGACAAAAGGCCCAGAAGGGCACTGGAACCTCAAGTTCGTCTAATATAACATGTAGTTTTCGTAGCACCGCAGTGCGTTGCGGGGAGCGCTCGCTGAAATTCTCATCGTAGGTGCTGGTTGGAATGGTGGTTCTGCGATTTGGGGAGTTGTCTGTTATAGGTGTATCTTCTTCCATCTCCAGGAATGGTTTGGTGTTAGTGTCCTTAATTATTTCTCCCTTGGATTCGGGCTGAGGAATGAGATGTAGAAGGAAAGGGATCTTTTCAACTGTGTAGCAGAGTATGTAGTGGGTACTTTCTCTGTTACACTTCTAAAGTCAGTCGATCAGTGGAGGTGACTCAGAGCGATGTGAAGTAAAGTTAGATCCAGAGTATATTCTGTCATTTTTGACCGCACTCTGTATTTAGTCGAGCGCAATCCTCGAGGTTCAACGTTCAGGAGAACGAAAAAAGAGGCTCGACTCATGGCGTTTGTTGTCGGAAGGAATAAGCTGCTTCAACGGTCGGAATTGACATCATGGAGATTGATCTCCAGAGGGTTCTCCGTGTTCATCTCCAGGGCTGGACGGGCGTTGGAGATAGAGGACTCTGGCGCCAAGCGGGCCAGGGCTTTCCCCACGCCTCCACTTTCCACAATCGAGAATTCGAGATTGGTCGTCGGCGAGCCCCACGCAACATCACAGGATGAAGGGCACAGAAGGCATCTTGATGCATATTAATGCTGGCGGAGCCCGAGAGAATCCTTTCTGCCTTGGCATCTCGAGTCTAAGTGCCATTGGCTTGCTCGGTACAACTTCGCTGCTTGCAAATCAACTCCCAAACAGACTTCCAATTTCTCAGCGCCCTCTCAAGGTCGATGTCCTCCGCAGTATCCGTACTCGTATTCAGATCCGACACTGTTCATCAACCTTGTCCCTAAGTCCCTTACCTCCCGCAAGCTTATCCGCCGTATAATCCTTGTCTGCGTTGCATCATCGCACATCCGCCACAGATCTCCAACTCCTCCAATTTTGCAGAAACCCCACTGAGTCAAGGGACATTTCGTCCTTGGATGAAACATCCATCTCAATTCCCGAAATGACAGACGTCACATCACGGCACGTAGAGAATGCTTACTCCGAAGCATTACCTTCAATGCGCGATAATTGACAGAGTTCGCCGACTTCTTACCTGCAGCGAGACGAGCCAATGCGCTGAGAACGACGATCGCGGAAGATCCATCCCGTTCTTCGCCTGATGCCGCCAGAACCTTGAAGTTTGAGCGAACAGACAGGTACTGCGGGGTATGTGATCCGTGGATTGGACAATTCCCGCACTCTCACAGTATACCTAGGCATCTGCTGGGCTCCTCGTCAATGCGGTAGTCAGTGATGACTCAATTCAGATTCGAATTGCGACTGCTCCAAGATCACTTAAGGATTCAAAATGAACTAAACTCATCATTGCAGATTCTTCAGACGCATGCGCTCAGTGAAGAAATCCTGGAACCTAGAGTTTGGGTGTAGACACAGACCTTCTGACGTACATTAGCTCTGTCCTCGACTGCACCGCGCGGCTGTTACTATACCACCGTGCACAGCACGAAGAATGACAGCTCGACGCTCACTTTCAATTGAGTTTTCGCTGATTGCTGGCTGATTATATGATGCGAGAGACCAAAGCGGGCCAATCGAGCTGACAGGCTAACAGGCTGACAGGCGTCCTACGAGCAACTTTCATTTCGAAAGGGACCAGCGCCGGAGAGCGATATAATCCAGAGGCGCCATGAACTTGCATAAGCCCCGAATTCTAACTAACTATATGGTACTACTTCGCATCCAGACTGCAGATGGTCTCTTCTCGGAGAATCTGCCGTCCGTTCCTAAATTGGCACATAGCTCGCGGAGGACATACAGAGGAAAGCCACACTGCGACCTCAGCTACCCGCCATGTATGACTCTGAGCAAGAAATACACAAGCATGAAATGGTCGACAATGACATTGGCTCGCAGGTACTAATCAGGATCTCCGGCTCCAGAAGAACAGGCTGCCGAGACTGGTGCGGCTGAAAAAAAGGAAGAACAATATTTCGTCACATATACCCCCGCCACAAAAGAAACGGTTGGCTAGGAACTGCCCCTGATTCATGTTCGCAGTATGTCAGCTTATCCTGTGCCACGCATCTTGGGGAGCGGCCGACGCCTAGGTTTAGATCAGGTCTGGCGGTGGCAAAGCCGTAAGGAGGGACATGCCTGTCACAAAATCTGGAGGCCTGAAAGGATCAAGAAGCATACTACCTAGTGGCTGTCGCTTACTGGCGGCGTCAGAGCTGCTTCGGTCAGCTAACTAGACATGCAGGTGCGGCTGTATAGGTAGCCTTTGTACTTGATCATGGCTGGAGTGAGGTATGACCCGCTGCAGTGCACCAATGTTTTCAAGTGCAAGGGAAACGACCTCTTCAAAGTATCTGTGTGGGAACTTGAAGAACGTCCCGAGTGCGTTTTTTTCCGACTACGCGCAAAGATGCAAGCGTGTAGCTTGCTGGGGCTTACCACATACTCCTCATCCAGACTCTCATATCGCCAGGAGATGACTGCGCTATTCCCAGCTCACCTCAACTCAACTTGAACCATCATCAGGCCAACAATCAACGACAACACCTCTATCGCTCACAGAAGCCACAACCGAACCTTCCCCTCTCAACGGATTCCCCTCCCAGACAACAAAGTCCCCTCTCTTGCCCTCGCTTCCAACACGCTGCAATCCCAGGATACTCTCCAGATTCGACGACACGAGCGCAATCGCCTCCTCCTCATCAAGGCCTGCATGCTTCCCCGCCCAGCGCGCCTCTCTTGCTAACCCATGGAGTTTTGAGTCTCCTTGGACAGCCAGTCCAAGTTGGACGCCGGCGTCGAGCAGGACCTTGGCGGGGATACCGCTTAGCGGAGGGCCAGGGAGTGAATTCTTCTTTTCCCATGTGTCTGGGGCGCCGCGGTTGCCGGTTAGGATTACCGGGATCTTTGCTTCTGCGAGGGGTTTTGCGACCTGGAAAAATGGGTATTTGTTAATAATTCTAGTAAGTCAAAAGACTTATATGGGTTGGAACCACTTACTAGCGCAGCGCCATGACCACCATAAATAACCAGGTTAATTGACGGAAAGTCCCTCTTGATGAGGATTAACTGGGCGATGTCATCCTGTAGAATGCTACTGTTAGCTGTATATTAGGCCGGGGTAAGATGATATCTACCTGATGCAAAGCTTGCACAACCACGGGAAGAGACCCATTTGCAGCGCGAGCATAGACACCACCACTCTTCGCTCCCTCTTTACTGCGGCCGTGCTCTAGTATCCGACGCACGACTTCGATGCCAGAGCCAACAGTCGGGGTATCGCCATCTGTCACGAAGCGTCATGGGTTATTTCACACTATCCCAGTGGGAATATATCGTCCAAGTATTGGGATTCTCACCCCTCGCCCCCTGCCCAACAACAAGATGGAGGGCAACCTCGTCTTTCCAAACCCCACCTTCCAGAATAGTCGCATCAGGAGCAGTGCTTATCCCGACACTGACACCCTGGACAACACCGCTTCCATGCGGCGGACTAATCGCCTTCGTGACCCCTCCGATCCTCGCTCTATCAAATGCCTTGCCGTGCAAGTGGGCGCTGTACTTGGCGAAATGCACGGTCTTAGCTTCGTTGAGTGCATCACCGTTTGTCCCCGCCGAGCCGTCGCCCGAAGAAGGCTCAGATGGGATGTCTTGGACCCCGAGGTTGTTGCCGAAGGCGATGAGGCCTGGTGTGATGTATCCGTTCTTGAGGGGAATTTCGGTGATGTTTGCTGATGAAGGATTGTAGTCTGTCAGACAGGTTGACTTTGTCCCTACGCAGGAATCGCCGTTGCGTCTGATTAGGTAGACCAGCGGCTCGGTATTCCCTTGACCGTTCTCGTCTGTCTCAATTCTCGGATGATCGACGAGTACCTTTTGAACCCCCGTGAAAAGAACAGGTCCTTGAGACTCTTGTACGCGGGAGCATAACTCAGCCCGCTCGCCGACTTCAGGGAATGGGCGGATTGCCGGTGCTGCGCTTACCCCGGATTCTCCATCAGATGAGCCACTCGCTACCTGGCTTACTGCGCTGTCCTGCCCCGGTAGGAGAGGACGGCCGTCAATGAAGACCTGCACAGGTGTCGCGCCTACCTGAAGCGGATGGTCGTTCCAGATGACAATATCGGCATCGTACCCGGGACGCACATATCCGATGCGGTGACCTTGGTAGATTGATTCAGCTGGTATGGAAGTCACTGCCTTGAGAGCCTCCACGGCCGGTAAGCCGAAGGAGTGAGATATTGAGGCTTGGTCGCTATGACTGAGTCAGTAAAGCGCCGCGCAGAAAATAAAAGAATAAAGGTGAATATCGGACGACTCACAGAAGGTATTTCGCGTATTGGCTCTCTCCAGTGTGGTCCTTGAGACGATCAGTGGTGCACATCAGGTAGTCAGTTATCTCATACCGATTTCAACGCAACCTTGATTCCATGGTCGTGGAGGATCTTCGGCCCTCGGAGATTCGCTCCGTAGGCCTCAGCCTTGTATAAGGCATTCTCCGCAAAGGTTGCGACGGTAATATTTCTAGACATTGAGTTCAGTGATTGCCATGAAACACAAATGGTCAGGGAGGAGATAAATGTACTTACCGCTCCGCCCTTTTCAACCATTCAGGAACCTGCCAGGCCTCCAATGCATGGTGGAACGCCTGCGGATGGATTCCAAACTCATGCAGCACCGAGAGCATGGTCTCTAGGTCCTCGGGAGTATAACAATGGACATTCAGATTAACCTCTCCACGAAGAAGAGCGACTAATGTCTCCAGCTTAAACGAATCCGGCCGTGGCCCGTGATTCTGGAGAAAGCTAGAAATATGCCGACTCTGCCTGAGTCTACTCCGTCCCTCAACCTCAAACGCGGCGCTACACCACTTAGCCTGTTGCTTCTGTATCTCCTGCGCTTCAGCGAGTTTCTCGCGCAACAGCCAGGCAAGACCAAGTCTGGTATAGCCATAATAGCGCCGTGGGTTCTCGCCGCATGCCATCTTGAGGTATCGCTGTCTCTGGGATTCTGGAATGCCATACTCCAGGAGAAGCTCCTCGATTACTGGCTCTCTATCCTGACCAGAAAATGGAAGGTTCTTCATTGGATACGCCTGACCACCAACAATATTGGTCGATCCAGGGAGGTTGAGGGAAGTCGTTACGCCGCCGGACGCAATAAGTTGAATTGCCGGGTCCGTAGGGGTAAATCCATCCAGTGCGCGAATGAAAGGTGTGATCGGTCCTAGTAGAGGGCGCTCGTTTATATCGGTGGTGCCAGATAGAGCTGGAAAGGGACTTTCTAGGTGATGGGAGTGCATATCAACCAGGCCCGGGGTTACGTGTTTCCCCTGAACATTAATGATATGGGCGTCATGTGGGAAAGCATCGCCTGACCCAGAGGGAACCACTGAACGAATCACGCCGGCATCGAAGATGATGTCCACAGAGTCGGGAAGAAATGTTGCTCCATCGAACAAGGATGCGTTCTGGATTACGACTGGGTTTGCTTGCCCGATGGCCGCATTCCATCGTGGATTTGGTCTGGCGCTCGATGGAACTGTTTCCCGTTGCCTGCCTTGGCCATCTGCATGGCATTGTTGGAGCCCCTCGAAGAAACTTTCTTGGACAGCTGAGCTCGTCTGAAGCGTCACATCTCCCGGCAAGTAGACCAGAAGCGCTATCGCAGCACAGATCCCCGCGCAGGTTGGTACTCGCCATCGTCGCAAGGCACGTCGGCACCGGTGTTCAAACTTGCCAGACAGGCCAATAAACAAGTCACCCTTTGCCGCCATTGCCGCAGTTACTGGGATCTTGTATTGTTGTAAAAGGTGTGCTCTGCTTGGAAAGTACGTAGGTAGGAAGTTGTGTTGTAACCGGCGGGCGACTCCAACTCCGACAGCCAGTGGGCACCCTATGCTTGCGTGCTACAAGCCGGGAAGGTGTCATTTTAGTATTATTTTCTTCACCGTTCAACTGTTGCAGTTCTCCAATAATCTGATGATCATGATAGCAGATTTGATGGAGCCGGGCTCGCTATGTACTGTGGAGTGATATATCTAGGTGTTCTTCGCAGAGGCAAGGTACAACCCGGAATCTATGACGATAATCAAAAGATGCTTCTCTCCTTCATACTAGGTAACAGAATAGCTATTCTTGAAATGGCTCTCACGGTTTCATCCTCCGCTTCGACTCCTCCACAAGAAACTGCCAGTCGTATCAACATCGCCAAAAGTGCTTCCTCCATCTTTCCCTCCAGATGATCAGGCTTGGTTCCTCAGTTCTTTGTAGCCAGATCAATAGCCTGCTTGCAAATCTTCTCGAGGAGCCCTATAATCTGTGACTTGTCCGTATCCCATGAGAGTTTCAAGGCTGAGTACTATCCAAATGTGGTCAGCATTCATTTTGAGAACAAGCTGCCGAGAAATCCTTGAGCTATCTTACCTCGCTGCCAGCACCAAGATGCAGAAAGTGCCATTCAAAGCTATTGGTATGGAGTCCATAGATCCCCGTGTTATCGCCGGGATTTTTTTTCTGGCGTTGAATCGTCCCTGTTTAAAAGAGTTTTAGCTCCTCGCTTAGCCCTGTTTAAACAAGCTGTGCCGTGGCTTTGACCTACCCATCGCCGTGAGAGCTTCCCAAGTCTTATCCTGCATGTCAAGCGAGTTCTCTTTGAGAATGACCAGGTTGACAGCCATCCTATTGCGCCGTCCATACACCAAGGTGTAGTCCACGGTTGTCCTCACATTCTCAGTCTTGCCCTCGTGCACAACATTAGCGAGGAGCCTCTGCTGGCCATACAGACGGGGGGGATGGTCGGCAGTCGATGTATCACTCTCCTCGGTGTTGAGATGTGCTCTCTTCATCTTAGCAAATGCCCCAAATAAGATCGAGGGTAGTCTGCGGTCAATCAACTTTTCGTCGCGGAGCCCGGTGTTGAGTGCTAGCTGGCAGTCTTCAAGGAGGGATTCTGCATGGCATGATTCAATGTCAATGTGTGAATGATACAGTGAACGGTGAGCGAAACGAACCCATATGCTCCAGTTGCGTCGGATCTCCGGCATTCTGATCAACTCGCCATACTTCTTTGTCTTCTGCAGCAGGGATCGGGGAGACGGAGACGCCTAGCTTGAGGAAGTTGTCGCGCGCGGTTTGGGAACGGGCGTCCAGTGGGGGTTGCATTTTGGAGCGGATGTGGATCGATGGACGTAGGTTGGGAAGGGAGAGTGATGGAATGATTGAGAAGCGAAGCCAATGTGAAAAAGCCTGTGGACACTCTTGAGCATTGAGCAAGGTAGCTGGGAGAATCAGGCGATACTGACGGTGGGCCAAGTTGAGAAAGACAAGCTTGGGAATTTATAGAGAGATAAGTAACACTGGGAGGAATTCACCCAATAACAAACCACATCCCATTCATTCTTTCTCTTTCTCTAACAACTGATTGTCCTTTACTGTTGTGTTATTGTTCTTCTTAAGTAAACCTATTCAATTCAGGGTCCCACTTTCAGGCTTCATGTGTCCACATTTTTTCTTCACTATTTCCTCAACAAGAGCCCATCACCTGTCCCTGATTGCAACTAGGCCCATGGGTTTGTGTACATAGTAGTGTACGATATACTTCTAAGGTCATTCACACGAGCTTGTTTACCATACTTTGCGAGCTTTTAGTCTTGGGTCCAACCTCTCTTGCCCGTCGCTGGAGATATATGCAGTATATTGCCATTGACTGCAGGGATTACGGCATTGAGACAATGTATAGTCACACGCCATTGACAGTATTGTCAGCTTACTAGTGGCTATTCTGTGGCACAATGTCAGAGATATGCCACGTTTGAGTTGCGAGCACTGGTGTTCGGCTCCAGGTATGTTCATGAGATTCAATTCTAACAAGGGCTAAAAGCAACAGGCATCTCTATAGGAAATGATCTAGCAGGGTGTTGTCTAAATCTCTATTAGCCCCTTTGCTACTAATCTTGTGGACGGGTTCATACTGGATATAGAGGTACCATCGCCTGCCAAATGTCAGCAACAATCACAATCTTCAATCTTCTCAGAGAGTACAAACCTCTATATTCTTCGGCTCAACAAACAACGCCCTCGCCTCAGCAACAAGCGTCCCCTCCTCTTCCTCACAACTCACCCCATCAGAAACAGCTACATCCCTTCGTGCCATCTCCTCCACGTTAAACGCCCTCAAGCACCTCATCTCCCCCTGCAACCAAACCTTCCTCCCCTGCCTTTCCACAATCCTCGTCCGATAAACATACACGCGATCCGGCACAGCAGGAGCCCGAAAATCAACGGACATACTCGCCGTCATAGCAGTGCGACTTTTCAGTATGGCGGCCGCACACCGCGCAAAGACGTCGTCGAAGAGGACGAATGAGAGACCGCCGTGGACGTACCCTGGGTGTCCGCAGAGGTCGCGACCGATGTAGCAGGTTGCTATTACATTACATAGAGAGTCTGAGGCTGAGACCGAGGCAGGGTGAGTTTGGATGAAAAAGATTGGATCCGTAGGGAGTTTGGTAGGGGACAGTAGCGAGGCGCTGACGAGGTGGGTTGTATGTGCTGCTGGGTGCATATCGCGGTAGGGGCGGGTTTCAGTGTATATGGGCTCTGACGATGATGATGAGGCGAGGGAACGGAGGTAGCGGGTTATCGGGAGGGATGAGATGAAGGCATCGGCTGTCTTTTGGGTCTGACTGTTGATGTCCTTGAACGGTAGTGAGGGTGCCGGCGTTGAGGAATGTCGGATCCCATGGCTGAGACGCTGTCTACCAAGGCCAGTCTGGATGTATTGGGATTTTCCGGCAGCATATTGTCTGATGCTATTGTAGCGATCTCCAATCGAACTGTAACCTGTCCACCTCCTTGGGCGGCAGAATTGCGAATATCCAGATAGGTATGTCGGCCATGGCGCAACTGTTCTAGATCTCATTTTGGTACCCTATAGATATTAACAGCCCATTGATCTCGGGTCGTTGTATATCGGTATAGTGAGGTAAACCCCAGAAGTGAGTCCGTAGAGAGGGGATGATTGATCGGCCCGAGGCACTGAGCGAGAGCGGGTATGGACAGGACGCTCGGCGGCGCTACGACACAGAGTCTCGAGAATTGGAAACGGCGTTTTATCCCACTGTGAATTGAGCACATAAAAGGAACATAGACCATTATTAGTTACCTCGTCGGGATATCACGTTGCCTTAGAACATCTAGCTCTTGTCGGCCCATGACACCGCATTTCTCACACTAACATCTTGTACACGCATCCCGCTCTACCGGCTCTATATCCGGAAGCATTCATTCCCAAGACTTTGTTCGTGTCATCTAATAGGACGCCCTTATGTGATCGAAGCTGACAACGTGGAATTGCAACAGCACATGCTTGGCCATCACTCAGGTTCTCTGGACACCGAGGCTGACCGACACTGGCGTTTACCCCGCTCGCTCTCCTTTTGTCCGCAAGAGACAGTATCAAGGTCATCAAGCTCGGTTTGAATGCTGGAATAAGACATGGAAATAACAGATGTGACGCCTCGATTAGATCGCTTTCCCCAGATATCCCGGCGATCGAGAAGGCTTGAAGTATATAATTGTGGGGACGAACCGAGTTAGCCAGGGGGCATGGGGATATCCGTCAACTCGTAGCCCTGAAAGGCTCGCTAATGTTATGAGGAGACTATATCCATTTCCCCGAGGATATGCAGTAAGAGGATAAAACATGAGCCAATTGCCGGTTACCGAATGAGGGGTATAATTTTGGTCAGGACCCCGTTGTTCCGACCAAGGGCATGTGCTCTGTCTGCGATCATCGCAACTTCCTTAGCATACCTTTAGACAATCAACCAGTCAAATTAGAACCATGAGCTCAAATACTTCTTCAAGTACCGACAACGAGCCTGACGCCGTCCAGGTATCCAAGACGCTCGAAGGGATAACCACAATCACCATAAACCGCCCGCACCGCCGCAACGCCATCGACGGCCCAACAGGCAAGAAGCTCACAGACGCATTCCTAGCTTTCGAAAACGACCCCAGCCAAAGGGTTTGCATATTCTATGGCGCAAGCGGCACATTCTGCGCTGGCTTCGACCTGCACGAGGTCGCCAAATTCGAAGAGCACAAGCCCGGATACGCAGGTCCTCGAATCGGGCAGACTGAGCGCGTCCAGGGTCGCAATATCGGGCCCATTGGGCCCTCGCGGATGCAAATTCAGAAGCCGGTTATCAGCGCTGTTTCCGGGTATGCGGTTGCGGGGGGTCTTGAGCTGAGTTTGCTTGGTGATATTCGTGTTGCGGAGGAGGATGCTGTCTTTGGCGTTTTCTGTCGGCGGTTTGGGGTACCTCTTGTCGATGGGGGGACTGTTCGTCTCCAGGCTATTGTTGGGCTTGGTCGCGCACTGGATATGATCCTGACGGGCCGTGGAGTGGGCGCGCAGGAGGCTCTCGCTATGGGTTTGGCGAACCGCGTAGTTCCCAAGGGCAAAGCACTCGAAGAGGCGACGAAGATTGCACGGCAGCTTGTGACATTCCCGCAGGGCTGTATGAATACGGATCGTGCATCGTGCTATTATGCTGCGTACAATGCGGGCTCGTTTGAGGATGCTCTGAGCTTCGAGTATGACAACGGGATCAAGGTAATCGACTCCGAGAGTGTGAAGGGGGCAGCGAGGTTCAGTGCTGGCGCTGGACGGCATGGGAAATTCGACTTTGAGGGGAATCTTTGATATAGTCCAGTGTGAACCTGTATTTTCTCGTTAACATTTACTGTCAATTCTCCACCCACCTTTAGGATCATCCCTCGTACCTTGCTATCTTGGAATCTTTACCCTCATTAGAGATAGAAGGACGACGGACAATAGACGCTATCAGTCGCACCTCGTAACGTAGTATAGTCATGGCCAAGACGAGAAGGTGCCATCGGGCCATCCTACAGGTCGCTCCTGCCTCTCTTGGGGCTCTATCCCTGCGCCTTCCTGATGTAGCGACTTGTATCACACACAAGGAAGGCGCGAAGGACGGGGCGTCAGTCGCACCTTCCTCGAGCTATGGAACGTTTCGCGCCTGAACGAGGGAGGTGCGATCGTTCAATCTCAATTGCTCCTGCCTGCTCTAGTGCACGCGCCTTCCTAAGTTGACTAACACCTTTGGCAAGGCAGATGCGCTCCATCGCTCCTTCCCGACGGACCATACTCATAGCCCTCCACGGGGAATGTGCGACCTACCACGGTCTCCATGCCAACCCCAGGTCGCTCCTTCCACGGTCTACTGTTATGATCGCTCCTTCCTGAAATAGTGACATGCCATTTGAGGAAGGTACGACCCAGCTCCTCGCTCCTTCCCAGTTTGCGAATATGTCCATATCTCCGTAAAGGAAAGAGCGACCATGGCTTCCTCAGTCGCTCCTTCCTGTTATATGGGCCGCGCCTTCCTAAAGTGTCAAGCATTATATAGGGAAGGTGCGATGAACCATGACTCCAGTCGCACCTTGCCGGCCATACAACTTCGGCTCTTATAGGGAAGGAGCGCCCCAGGTGCGCGGCGGATCGCTCCTTCCGTGTCCATGGTGGCGCCCGTCCCTTTCCTGAAATTAGAGTAATCGCAAGAAAGGTGCGATACCTTGCAAGTCTGGGCATCTTCGCGCTTCCCGATGATGTCTATATGATTAATGTGCGGTAGTAGAACGTATGAAGATCAACATGCCTCTAATTTCTGATGTCTATTCCCTGTATTTAGGGTTGTATATACATTATCTATCCACGCTCCCTTAGGCCTTCTTGTACAAATGGCCGGGCGAAGCCTATGTCAATGGAGTTAAAACTGTTCACTCTGTAAGAATAAGTCTGGTCGCAGCCTACCTGGTGACTGGGGAAGATAAGAGTATCGGCAATAACGACGTTTTCTCTCCGACCAGCGGCGAAAACAATGACTTCTGCGATATCTTCAGGTGTGAGTGGTTCGCAGTTCCTGCGGGTTCAGTTAGCACCGCGAGACAAGAATGAGGTCACGACAGTCCTACGCATAAACGGCATCGGCCTTTGACTTGTCTCCGTAGAAGCGGACAACTGAGAATTCCTGGAACGTGCCCTGTCAGTCTTGTTATGCTAAACGCATATAGGCGGCGCTTACAGTCTCAACTTGACCGGGGTCGACCTCAATGATGCGAATCCGGGTGGAGATGAGCTCCTTCCTCAGTGCCTCGGTGAAAGACTTGACAGCAGCCTTGGTGGAGCAGTAGATACTACCACCGGGGTAGGGCTCGCGACCAGCAATGCTTCCAATGTTGATGATATCTCCACGGCCACCGTCGCTGCGCTTCTTAAAGATGGGAAGGACGGCTTGGGTCAGGTTGATCAGACCAGTGACGTTGGTTGCAAACATAACATTGATGTCTTCGGGATCGATGTTCGGGGCCTGAGCCACACCCTTGACAAGACCACTGTAGCAGTTTAGACGAATACTTTTGTTTGTGGTTATGCCGCTGGTACTCACGCGTTGTTGACCAGGACATCAATATCCTGGAACTCAGCAGGAAGAGATGGGACAAAGTTCTTGACTTCCTCCGGGTTGCTAACGTCCAGCTTCACAGGGAGAGTCTGAACGCCGTCACCAACCTCCTCCTTGATTTCTTGAGCCAACTCCTGGAGGGCGTCAATGCGCCGCGCTGTCACGATAAGCTTCAGGTTCTTGGGAGACGTGCGGGCGAACTCCTTTGCTGTGCTTCGACCGATTCCCGATGAGGCACCGGTGATAACGATCGTCTTGCCCTCCAAGCGCTTAGCCATTGCGGAAGCCATTGTGCGTCTAAATGCGGATCCGATTATCGGAGACGTGCGAGGGAGCGGGGGAAATGCGGAGGTTAGGCCGAGGGAGGGAGAGGAGAGTTGACGAAAAGCTGCGATTGAGTAGCGAAAGGACCGGAAATGCTTCATAAAGAGACGTAGACGCGCCTGACTCACACGAGTAATAATTAGAGAAACAGAAACACGAGGAAAGATAAGGGAGCGACAGTATATATAGCTGGAGGGTGCGGGGACTTGAATGATTTCGCAATAGCGGGGCGGCTACGAGAAAGACCAACACGGTTAGTCCGGTTGAACTTTTGGCCGTGCTGCGCTCGGAAAAAACTCCGAGCATGCGGCGGCGATCCGGTGGCACAGCAGACCAACCACGTTGCTCCCACGTTTTCTATACTCCATCTTCAATGTCTGTGTTACTGAATGAATATTCTATATGAAGACTCGCGCACCTGGAGCTTCAAGACATCACAGAGGCCCTCATTCTGCATATTGCTGGATCTTGGATATGACGTCGTATCTCTGGTCACCTGGGCGAGTTTGGGACAGCTCTTCTCAACTCACGGCTCCGTATTATCCCTATGACCTCAGATGAGCCGAAAGCACTCTCGGATTGATGGCATGCCCTCTTCGTGCAGACCAGGCATTCTACACTAACGGAAAACGAAACTTTGCTAGTTCATGTTCCGAAAGTCACCTAAGTGGCGCCTAGCGCTGGAATGTCCCAAAACTAACAAAGTTTTTCAAGGATGCCATTCATGGTGGTGAGATCGATTATGACTTTTGCAGTCTACCGGACTGGCTGGGATTTGGCTCGAGGATGATGCTGGAATCTGGTCGTGTATTGCCCTCGTCTCTTCCGAGCCTGTCGTTGTAGGCTGTGGAAGTCAGTTCCGACAAGAGTCATACTCGACAAACTTAGACGAACCCAAAAGTATATTCCAGATGGTAGGCGTGGAATCAACGTATACAAACCTTCTCCTTTGTATTTGCCTCTTCTTCCTTTTTCCTTCTCTCCTCCTCTGGCTCTCATCGTCATCCTTGCAGATCTTCTACACCATTATATCTGTTTTTTATTCGTTCACCACCGATCATCATCTAAAATCTCATCATTCTAATACTAATATTCCTTTATTACGCTTCTCTCACTCCAGGTTTAGCCAAAGCACCATCAGGTGGTCGGTCTAAGCAGTCATCCGATTATTCGCTCACCGTGGGACTTGCCCCATACCTGGATCTTTAGTGGTTACACATACATCATGTCGGCCGGTAACGTAAGTAGTCTCCTTGAGTAATCGCATCTCAATACTAACTGGTACTCCTTCCCTAGGATTCTCTCGACTCCAGCTTCTTCACCTGGGCAGAAGAGATGGAGGCGCAAGAAGCCTGGGCAGAGGAAAGGGGTGCACCAGAAGCCAGCATCAAGAGTACAGCTCCTGCTGATACTGTACCCTCCACCAACGAGGATGATCCACAGGCCGAAGATAAACCGACAGCCAAAAAGAAGCAGACAGCGAGGGACAAGCTCCGCGAGTTCGAGTCCAAGGGCCATGGCACGGTCTCCTTCGTCGCTTCTCTCGTGGCAGTCCGTGAAGAGTTTGAGTACCGAAATGAACTCTTGGATTTGCCTGGCGGCCAAAACATTCACCATTTCAACTGGTTTGGAGAACCTGTCTGCCAAAGCAGCCTCACGCCTCCAGAGATCTCTCTCTGGTACATGACGACACGGCCCAGATTCGGCTTGATGTCGTCGTCCGACATAATTCGAAAGACAGCCACTAAAAACAACGCAGAGAAATGGGTAGATCCTATTGTCATCCGTGTGGATAACGGGGTGCGCTTGCCCCAAGACGCAGATGGCCTGCTTCGCTTTGCAAAGAGCCGGACGCAAAAGATGTACACTCCACACGGCCGGTGGCAGTCTGACAGGGAGGATAGGCAAACTTTCTGTGACGATGGCGAACCCTCGATTTACATGAAGACTGGGATGATGGTAGGAAATGGCTTTATTGAGGGCACGTCGATCCGTACCAGAGCCAACTGGCTTCGGTACGGACAGCTCTTGAATGCTGCTGAGCTAGAAGCCTTGAAAATAGCTGAGAAGGGAGAGGAAATACCTGCATGGTATCGTCGCGCACACGCGTCGGAGTTTAAGAGGCCCTCTCCGCTTAGCCGATCAATGACGCCGGAAGATCTCGAAGATGACTACAAAAATACTGATAACGCAGTCCAAGATGGAGATTCATCAACCTGGGTTGCAGCAGACGATGTCGAAACAGCTCCAGCCGAACCAACCTACCCCAGACGGTCTGCTTTGAGGCCGTCTATCTTTACGATTCCCATCACCCCTCCGGCCCACGACTGCGACAGCTTGAAACCTGGATGGTCCGCCATCAAACGTTAAGCTTTCACCCAGTATGACCTTAACAGATGAGACTTCTTCTATCAACATCTACCCCTAATACTGACTCAGTACAGCGCGATATAAACATCACTTAGAATTAATTAGGAGACCATACTTCGGCTGCATTCGTATCCCGTTGTGTCAACAAGCGCGATCATGACCTCGCCAACGGCTTGAGCAGTGATTCCGGACTTGCTCAAAGCTTTGCTTCTCCCCCAAGATGTGACCACTAACAACGATACCTTCTTTGTTCTTAAAGACATGGGTTGCTCTTCTCCTTTTGACCGCATACAACGAAACGAAACTCATACGTTTACATCTTTTCATAAAGTTCAAAATTCAGTCAACCCGATGTCTTCGCCTATATGGACTGTATCCTTTTTTGGAGCCCTTACACACAGAGATCTGTGATATATCTTGCACTCTCATCATACTTGAGACTTGGTGTATGGCGTCTGGTAATAGTAAGTTTGGAAGGTAGCTTAGAACTGTCTACGTATTGGTGTCTGCTTGCTTCTCAATGTTTATTCATCTCGTTTTTAATCACGTTCTTTTCTAGTCCTCCCCTTTTCCCTTTTTCTCTCTTATTGATCATAGACTCTCGTCTACGTCTTCTCTTATTACTTCTCTTATTACTTCTCTTATTACTTCTCTTATTACTTCTCTTATTACTTCTCTTATTACTTCTCTTATTACTTCTCTTATTACTTCTCTTATTACTTCTCTTATTACTTCTCTTATTACTTCTCTTATCTGGCAATGAAGCCTTTTTTTTTTTGAAAATCTTTGTGTCCTTTGATTTCACAATGAATAAATTACAGCATGAATGGCAAGAACCCGTTGTCCTGGTTTTGGCAGGGCGAGCATGCGACATGATTTTCGGCAAGGTATCTTCAACGCTGCCCCAAGCTCACCTGCCTCCTTCCTCCGTCTCTAGGTATCTCCCGCAAACCACCCCAAGAACAAGGAGCTTCCCCTCTTTTAATCGACGTTATCAGCTTGCTATTGTTTCTCACATGAACAGTTTCAATCGAATAGCCAATAGCAGCTGCCGATCATCTACTTGAGACGTCATTCCTGAGCACGTGTTGCAGCTCCGGACGAAGATCGCTCCACCAACTAGACTGTCCGTGCGTCTGCTGTCGTGCAAACCCTCTGAAGCGAGCTCCAAGACCCCAGAGATTCAGAACCCAGCCGTCTGAAATCGGTGTCAAGAATCTCGATTCTCTCCACCGTTCGCCATCCAAGATCTGGAACAATTCATTGACACGACGGGCGATAAACTGAAGAAGCCTAACACACCTTTGAACCTGTGAATGCGAATCTCAGATTACAACTTAAACACTTCACACAAGAATTCGTCGTTCTGAAGGCAGAGTGGGCTGCCAAGGCGCGCCACCATGCGCCAGCGCATGTTTATCAATCCTGGCTTTTAGGCTTACCATCCGGCTGGGATTGGCTTCCCCTCATCAGAATCGGAGCCTCAACGACAGCAGTAGACATCCAGAAATGATGGTGACACTTGGGTTCGTGCTAACTTAGGACTTCTTGCGTGGAACGTACAGTCCCCCCCCTTTGGGTAGGGTTCAGCACTTCAGGTTATGGTGCTTCACAAACCATTGCCGACCGTATCCGTCAATCCCCGTCGATCACGGCCATTGCTCCTGACATGGCAATCCTTCAAGCACCGAAAGTTTTCAAACCCGGGGATCGAAGATCCAACTGTTGGTGGATTATTAAGAGGCACACCCCGTGTTTTTAAAGGCTCTTATTTAGGTCCAGGGGATCCCACGTGTACAACCTGCAGGGGATTTCTTAACGTTTCGACTATGGATATCGGAGTCCCAAAGTGTAAAGGTTCTTCGTTCTACGGAGTATGCTTCCTTGAAACGAATAAGGCCTCCAGAAGTGTCACCACTTGCCTAAAATGGGCTGTGCAGACAGGTTCTCCACTTCGAGACGCTATTATTGTTTTGCCAACAACTCCTCCCTCGGAACTCACATGCATGAATTCGAACCTTGGTAGCAAGCGCGTGGCTTTGACTTTCGGCCGTTTGCAATCTATAGGTCGGAAATGCCCTGGAGGAGTGTAGCTTCTTGACTTGCAATTCAGCGCTGTATCATCCCTAGATATCATTCTCAATGCTATGGGCAGTCTATGTGGCGCTACAAATGCTGGTGGAGCGCAACGAGACAACCTCTGACAGGTTGATACGCGCTACCAGCTCTCGCACCATACCTAGTAGGGGAAGTAAAGAGGTTCTGAATGGGGCATTTCACCAAGGGTGAGGCATCGACGCCACTGATCTTTTCGTAATTATGTCTTGGCTAACGTGCTCCTGTGGAGAACATTCAGCTCCTAGATCATCGATCTTCGCAACCATTGATCACAGTGTCTCCGCAATGGAGCAGCCACCCATGCGACAGCATCCGGAACCATGGTTGGGCGGAAGTCATGGACGACAAGATCGCTTGTTGACATGAGCAAAATGTTCCAGCCAGACCCATGCTTTCAAATAGGGCAAGAGCCGCCCTTTTCATCGCGCTTTTAACTCCGCCTAGCCGCATCGCCTGTCGCAGGCCTCTGTCGGTGACACCTCCGGACTCGAACACGTCCGACTGGCACACATACTATACTAGTTGCGCCTGACAGGGTCAATGTCCGCAGTCCCTGGATCTCAGCGTTGTGACTCCTTTTCCCCCGATGACCATGAACGCGGCATTGGAGCATCCCCTGCTTCCCCGAAACGGCCATGGAGACTCATCTCGAGGCCAGCGAGCTCTGGTGGCGACAGCCGTGCTCACTGGAATTTCAATTGTGATCGTGGCGATGCGCCTATATACTAGGATTGGCTTAATAAAGCTAAGTGGTCGAGAAGATTGGACGATTCTGGCTTCTCTGGTATGTATGCAGGTTTGCTGTAGCATCGCATCTCACTAACACACGACTAATGCAGGCCTTTGCGATAACCTACCTTGGCCTGGTTATTGCCCGTAAGTGACTGATAACCTTGCACCAATTTCATCTGAGAATTGCTGCTAACTATATCCAGAGTATCACTTCGGTCTAGGAGTTCACTCGGACGAACTGCCAGCGGACACCCTACAAGAACAGCTGAAGGTTAGCCACCGAGGACTAAGCCCAGCGGTTCACGATTACTGATATCATGACCACCATACAGCGCCTATGGGTGGCAATCCCCATGTACAATGCAAGTCTAGCATTGACCAAGATCTCCATCCTATTCCAATACCTCCGCATCTTCCCCAGCTACCGCTTCCGCATCATCTGCTTTATCGTCATGGGCGTTGTGATCCTGTACTCAACATGGGCCATCGTCAGCGGCTTCGTCAACTGTGTGCCTGTCGCCAAATTCTGGGACCGGGAACTGCCTGGTACATGTCTCTCCTTCGAGGCCGTTTGGTTCTTCAACGCATCGATGAATATCACTACCGATCTTACCCTTCTTGTCCTGCCGATGCCGCTCATTTCGCAATTGCATCTTCCAAAACGGCAGAAGTTTGCCCTTCTTGCTGTTTTTGCTCTGGGTGGATTGTTAGTTTTATGCCTCAATATGTCTCTCCTCGGTCGACTAACTATTCATCAGAGTCGTGATAACGAGTATCCTCCGCCTCTCCAGCCTCCGCACCGTTGCCAAAAGCAACGACACATCCTGTAAGCCCTAACCCAGCCTCTTACCCACGCAGAGTCCCAAAAGTTCGCCACCACTAATCTCATAAATCAGGGAGCAACGTCGCAGCAGCCTACTGGACGGCCGCCGAATGCAACGTCGCCATAATATGCGCGTGCCTCCCCTTCCTCCGCCCGCTAATCAGCCGCATCTTCCCCCGATTCCTCTCGACGGGGAACGGCTACAACAAGTATACTCGGAATAATAACCCGACTCGTACGACTGCCGCACAGGCCTCGAATGTCGCTACTACGAGGGGAGGAGCGCTGTATTCGCAGGATCCGGAGTTCGGGCTGTTGACTATTGATGTTGATGGGAAGGGGGTGGAGGAGGATTCTACCGATTCGAGGAGACATTCAAGGGGACCACGGGTTGCTTCTCCTGTTTTTGGGGCTGGGATTGAGGTTTGTACGGAGGTTATTCAGGAGGTTTCGAAGTATACGCCTCACGGACCGGAAAGGTCGGCGAGTGTCAGAAGTAGTGGTTATAGATGACTGGTGATGTAGAGATAGACTAGATGGTCTTGCGTTGTTTTGTCGATTTTACAATACCCACATTGGTTTTCTGGTTCTTTGATCACTTTCTGTCTTCTGTCAAGGAATTTATACTAGATAGATAGAGGCCCATATTACTTGGAAGCACCGAGACAGGGTGGATTATAGTATTGTCTCAAATCGTTAAGCAAACAAACATCAGTCTATGCCTTCCTGTTTTCCGTTGTTGAACTCCATGCCTCCAGCCGGGTTTCCGAAGGTTTTGATAAAGACAATAAAACTGCGAATTGGATTGATAACCTCCGTTAAACAGTTTTCGCTGATAATCCCGCCAACGCTGGAAAAGAGGAAGATAAAAGTAGCATAAAATAAAGCCTGAAGAAAGGCAAGCCACTGACTCCGACAGCATAAACTCCGTGTAACCATAAACAATGGAACATGGTATCTCTTGGGAGGATCGGATTTGACGCCGGGTGAAGATTCAAATTGAAAGAGTAATCGACTTGAGACAAACTGTCAGTCGAATTGCGAGTGAAATGCAATTGTTATGGGTTGCCAAGCTCTGCAAGCTCCCGTTCTTTCGCGCGGAGCATTTCTCGCATTTCCTCTGCCTCCCGCTGGAGCTTCGCCCGACGGTCTTCCCTGAAGTTTTCCAAGTCGGACACGCTCGGTAGCGCTTGCGGAGGTTGAGAAGCGGGATGCGAAGACGGCTGCGGGTGCTGGGATTGAGGATGCTGCTGGCGGCCTAAAGCGGCAAGAGAGGAATCCAGACGGGCCTCATTACGCGCTCCCGCATGGTTAAGGATAGATGAGATTGAGCTAAGACGAGCGGGCGGTGGTGGGTTAGCTGATGTGACGATAGGCGGTAACTGATTAGATCCAGCTTCCAGCGAGTTCGGCACAACATCTGCACTTGCCCCGGTCTCGGCTAATGTTCGTTTCTTTGAATTTCCCGCCGCACTAGGCGAGATCGATCGTCGGCCGAATTGAGGGACCGGTGAATGGCCGGGCTCGAGCAATCTTGGAGGGGGGGGATGATGTGGCAGAGTTACGGCGCTTAGATTGAAGCCAGTGAAATCAACGGGTGGGGGCGCGAATCCGAACGGTCGAGTTACCGGAGATATCCGGTCAAAGGAATCTGAGCTGTAGTACCGGTGATAGCGGTCATCAAGTGGGTGTGAAAGGGCAGCTGGCGACGACGCTTCTGGTGAAGCAGAGGAGCCGTGGGAAGAATGCGTGGCAGCGGTGGGAGAATGTTCCCGCAAAGCCGGCACGACACGCTTTCGTCGCTTGATGATAGTCTTCTTCATCGTGGTAGGTCGGTAGCAACCATGGAGCTTATAGTATAGGCCTGTCGCGCGAATCAGTCAATATTAATCAGGGCGGGGCGGGGGAACGATTAGCAAACGTACCGCAAGCATTGCAAATGGGATGACCGTTCTCATCCCGACGCCAGAGCGGTGTCACAGTAGTCCCACAATTTTGGCAAGCAACCAGCATATTGTTGCCCTCTCCCTGAGTGTTGTTCCTGGTCTGCGCCTCGGGTTCTTGTGAAGGAGCAGCTGTCTCTGGTATTGCTGTCCTGTTCAACGCATGCGCTGGGACGTTCCCTCGTGCCGTTGATTTGTATACGCGATTATTGTAGGCTGGGCAGCCGTCGCATCCTTCCGCACCACCCGTACCGTTGCAGTTCCCTCCACCAGGGCAGGACCCCGTGGAGCCTCCGCAGCCTTCATTTCCACCAATGGCCGGATCGGTCTGAGAACCAACTGGATAATTCGGCGGGAGAGAGGCTTCGGGACTGGCTTGTGCTCGGTTTCTCTTTGTTGGTCTGGCAACGTTTCGCGCTTTTAGGTAAAGGCCGCATGCATTACAAATCATGGCTCCGGTTGGTGAACGCCGCCATAACGGAGTGCTTTTCGTACCGCAATTACTACAGAGCACAAGTAGAGTCAGTAACTGGAGTTGGTTGCTGTAAAACGAACAAAAACGAACCTGCAAGAATGCCCCAGAAATGAGGTGTCTTTTTGCGACTTGGGAGACGTTTTGTCTATGGGATAAAGCCCACTCCCGGGCTCTGAAGACTGCATCACAGGTCTTTCCACGTAGGTTTCCAACTCATATTGACTCGGAGTGGCCTTTGTGTCCGAAGTCCGAAGCCCCTCATTCATGTGTTGTCGATCTAAAGGATGTTCTCGGCCGGCCTGAGCGGAAGAAATGAGCTGCTGAGCGGCATCCAGGTCTTCGGCCGATGGGTGTCGCGTAACCATGTCCGGATTTCGAGGAATGGATCGCAGCGTGTCGGCGTGCGAGATAGATGCGAGCATATCTACCGTGATTCTGAGCCCAGGTGCCTGGTCGCCACGTTTCGAATATCCCGACGAGGAGAGTCGAGGAAGGAAGAAGATGGTCTTCCGGCGGGAAGAAGCTCGCTCTAGATTGACGGTCGAAATAAGGGGACGGCGGGTCGTGCGAAGGTATGCTGTACCACAGTCGGGCAAAATGTGAAAGTATTGTATGACGAAGTCAAAAGTCGGTCAAGATGACAGTGCAGGAAAAAGAAAAGAGAGGCCAAGGGCGTCTGGCAGGAATGGCAAATCGATCGGTGCTGCAACTAGTGAGAGTCCAAGCCAAACGAGGCGGAGCCTAGAACGGGTACGGAGATCCTCGAGGATGGCTTCGCGAGCTTTGAGTTTCGAATTCAAATGCTATACTTGAGGCGTAGACGATGATTATATGTTCCAGAACTGGAGGAAACTGCGGCAGCGGAGGCGCAAAAGGATGAGGTGGCAATATAGGGGAGAAAGGAGATTGTCGGAGATCGCGGAGGTCTGCTAGAACTAATAAATGAGAAGGAGGGCAAAGGGGAATTCTCGACTCGACAAGGGCAGTTCAAAAGTACGTGAGGACGAAATAAGAGTACAGCATAAGGTGCACAGGTCGAATTTGGGAAGAGCGTGAGATGGAGAAAGATCGGCGCAGAGGGAGATCAATCAAACAAGCGACAGTCGGATCAGATATGATGCAGAAGCTGACAGCAAGGAGGAGATATGATCTGATTCCGCAGCCAGCGGCAGGAGTGTGGCGATGATGAGGAGTCAAAAGAATCAATGGGGGTGAGACGACGGTGAAGCACTGAAAGGGGTGTAAGGCAGGCGACAAGACCCTGACAGATGCTTAGGGGGGGGTGTTGTCTGCGTACCTTGGCAACAGCACTCGGTGATGATGAGGGTCTTTGTCCCGCAGGCTCGACTGCCAGACTGGCAGCAGTTTTCGCGGCGTTTCGTGACGATTCCGGGATCCGACTGTGTGGTCTTATCAAGTCGTTAATCGTTATCGATCTCCCAGGGGGATCTACAGCTAACTGGGGTCCTTTTCCAGACCTCTTTCGTCCCCCTATTTGCTTTTTCTTTGCTGCAGTTAAAAGGGCTTTTTCCCGACCGGTTGGAAATGATAGGTTTTTAGTACGAGACGGTGTCCCGAGCGTCTGTTTCGAGAACGGCTCCCTGGTGCAAAAAAAGTGGTTCTGCACTCGCTCTTCGACGCTCTTTGCCTTCCTTCATCAGCGATTGCCTTCTTTCTCCCCCAGATCGAATCATCAGACTCCACCGCTGCCTAAACCGGTCTAGCCACTGGGTCCGACGAGCTGCCGCCTGCCTAAAATAGCAGCTAGCGTATCCGTCACCGAATAAGCCTGATTGTCGCGCTCGCCATTGGATCGAATTCTTCTCAGTCCACCAGTCAGCTTATTTTTGCCGCTCGTTATTGGGCCAGATCGACCTCGGGAAACATTTGCTGGGATTCTGCCAGTGCGAGCCACTGCAGTCTGCGAGGGACTCTGGACCCGGTCAACAAAAGTTCCAGCCAAGCACCCGTCCTTGGGCCTTGTCAATCACTCGAGCCGCCGGACTTGCGCTCGTTATCTCCCCGACGGAGCTGACGAGGACAAGTTTGATCTATCGCCCATTTGATTGGCCCATTGCAAGCCATTCTAGGCCCTAACATCTTCCGATTGGTGTTATGTGATCTTGACCGTCAACTCCGAACATCTCGGGGTTACGGCCAGGTAACCGTATTTCTTACATCTCGCTTGGCGAAGACTATCTCACTATTGGGGTGCCAATTGCTCGCTTGACACATTGAAAGATCCGATCTATCATCCACGGGGTCATCATTTACCCAATCTCGGACATCCCACCCCCTGCTTGGGTGGAGATTTTCGGGTCTGACAATTGTGGCGTGACTTCTATTGACGGGAGACAACATGACATGGCGAGGTTATCGCAGCGAAGCTATCACGAGTTGGCCAAAGAGAGCCATGATATCGATCTGTGATACGTGCGTTAATTTAACGCTGCGAGCCCGATCGGGAGAATACACACTGCCATCCCCCGGGTCCTGGCGAATCCTTGTCTGTACGAGACCAGAGCTACACCGTTATCTCCGCCAATACGACTACTTTGCGCCATCTAGCCCAATATAAATATCGCACGGAGTGCAGAAGCGCGATGGGTCCATGAGGTATATTTCCAGTTTTCCCCTTCTGGAGGTGAATCCTGGAGACGAGAATTCGAGATGGATCCCAACTCTGCTCGGAGTGTCCGTCTCGCCCGCTGTCAGGATCAAGGATCCCTTCCCTCCTTCTGCCCGTCTTTCTTCGATCCTGTCCCTGCCGACTTGATTTTCTGCTTGCAGCTTGGGGGCCAAGTCCAACAGATACGAACCTGGCGTGCTCACCCAATAACCTCCCGGATCAGCTAATTCTCCCACAGTTTACCCGACACGTGTTTCTATGTACTCCTGCCCGCGAAATCTGTTCTTTTAGGAGTTGGAACTGGGATTTTTGACGCCAGCCAAGCGGCATGGGCCAGATTTCAGCGGCTGGACTAGGTCTTCCGGGTCTTGACCCATATTCATGATTGGAAGTCGCCGAATCAGATTCGGTGGGCTGATTGATTGAGATCAGATAACCAACATCGCTTTTTCTTTGTTTCGCTGATGACGACATCACCATATTGAGATTGGCTGATCTTGCCAGGTTGGACTTGGTATAATCCTTGAGAAAAGCTCGTCACTGGTTCAAATAATGGCTCATCTACAAAAGATGTTTCATATAGTACACCGCCGTTGAGCACGCCAAAGACAAATCAATCATCCTTGCAGCTTATTGGACAGGAAAGCCCAACATGGCAGAAAAGCAGAAATAACAAAATTGGCTCAATAATATAAACCCCAGGAGAGAATGAAAAGTTCCACCACCCCTTAGGGAACAAAGCGTAAATAGGAATAGTGTATATCCGTGACCCATCGTCTCTTCCCACCAGAATCTTCCTTCAATCGTTTCAAAATCGTCATCAAACTCGTCGGACATCGTTCATCGCACTTGAGATTCACGAATGCGAGCCTTCATCTTGATCCTTGTGATGAATGCTCCAACGGCCTACGATCGGCCGTTCATCGATCGCACACGCTGCGGGGGGCACGGAAGAGGATTATGTCCTGTATCGCAGCCCTACTCCGGCAGACATATCATGGCAGTGTTTAGACTTGCTCAGCACCCCAGCTCTGGTCGGTCTCACGCATGTTGGAGGGAGGCTCGATGGAGGGGAAGAATTCGAGAGCAACATAAGCGATACCGAAGATGCCGATGACAGAACCAGCGATTATCCGCAAAACGTGGTCGTGCAGAAGGATGCTGCCAACGAAGATATAGACTGAAACACTGTCAACGCACGCCCGCAAAAAAACGAGGTTAAAGAATACTCACAAACACCACGGCCGAGGAAGGAAAAGAGGAAAGAACCATAGCGGTAAACATAGTCAGGGACCTGAGGCAGGAATTCCAAGCCAGCAACGACTGCACCGTTGTTAGCTTCTGTGCGCAAATTACACAGGCGAGCGCGCAGGTAAGTTCTTACTGAGTCCGAAAATAATCACGTATGCACCGAGGATAATACGTCCGAATTCCGCAGGGAAGAATTGAGAGATACCACCGAGGACCATAAGAACACCGATACCGATGTTGACAATGCGGCTACAGACAATCCATGCCGGTTAGCAATCAGTCCGCTAGACGTGCGACGCGAATGCGCTGGGGACCGCGTACAAGATGTTGGAGAGATCCATTGCGAATGTTGTTCAAAATCGAAGGCTGGGAGAAGCGGTGTGTCGAGGTTGAGCTGAGAAACGGCAAAGTCAGTGCGATTCAAAGGAGATGAAGCTGTACGACTGTGCGCACCGGAGAAGAAAGATGTTTGTTGCCTAGACCGAGCTCAAAGAACTACCACGTAGCTTGTTCGTCTGTCAGGGGGACTAGGTAACAATATTTCGCGAAGCGGGGGGTCGGCTGATTGCTGGCTAATCAAGCAAATAATCGCTGGCAAGACGAAAAAGAGTCTATGTTCGAGTAACCTTGGAGAGAGGGTGAGGGCTGAGGAAAACGGAGATGGAAGGTTGGGGAGATGAGCAGAGACCCAAGCGCACGGCGTTGCGATGTGAGGCGTAAGAAGCGGGTCTGCCAAGACCATTACAGAATTGGATGACTCAGCTTCGCCAGCCTCTTTCTGGCCAAAGAGTGATCGTCAACTGGCAAATGCTGGGAGCTTTTGGGTAGACTTGTTCTTCAAGCTTCTTTAAGATATGCCTTCGTCGCCTGATGGCCTACAGTTCGACTGACATCTAGATGATGAAACAGGGGGCGGTGATGTCCAGATGGCGGTCGCCGCCACCGGTCCAGACCCATGGCAACAGGAAGCTTGGACATGGTATCAATTGCCTTCCAGCTTCAACTTTGTAGCAATTCCTACAACGCCAAAGAAAATACTTGAGCAAGAACAGCAATCATATCCACCTCTCAAACATGAAACTTGTGGTTTAAGGTTTCAGATCGCCACAAGGTCTCCCACTCTTCTGTCCAGTCTTGCAGCTGAGAGAGCATTCGCTAATTTACACATCTTGACCGAGTCCTTCTCCAAATCAGCATAGATGGCATCCACATCTGTCCCAAACCCAGCTTTCTTCGCTGTCTGAAGGCTGCGAGAGTCGACAAACGGAGCGATTGAGGGCCAGACGCTCTGCACATTGTTGAAGAAGAGCTCCACACCCAGATCTCCAAGGCCCCTGACCTCGTGGACCAGCTCTTTTGTTTTCTGGCGGTCATAGTCGGCTTTCTTGATGAGATTGTTGAGATCGCCGTCTATTCTCGGGTCAGTGGACAAGGTAGTCAAGAAGACATGGTACTGGAGATATACACACCATACTTGTCATTCACAAACTCCACCAAGGCCCCCAGATTCGTGGAGCCTTGCTCCCTATACCGATTGTATCCCCCGTCCTTAAGCACCATAGCTCGCTCTTCCCATGTCGTATCTCCTAACTTATGGATATCATGGTAGCCCACATCGATGAGCTTGTGAATTGCCCGATCCGTGAGATTGTGGGACATAGGCTTAGACTTCAGCATGGCCTCGAAGAGCATGGCGAGAATCGTATCAGGCGATCCCGTGAGTGCTTTATTTTCGATAGCAGTCCCCTCAAGCGGACCACGTCCATACTTCTCAATCGTCCTCTGTAGCTTCTCTCCCCTCGGGGAGTTTCGAGCCACCTTTTTACTTGTCAACCCTCTGTCGTCTTCCTCTCCCTCTTCCTCTCCCTCTTCCTCTTCCTCTTCCTCTCCCTCTTCCTCTCCCTCTTCCTCTCCCTCTTCCTCTCCCTCTTCAGCTCCACCTTCCACCTGCTCCTCCTCCCCCTCACCAAATAGTTCATCATCTCCCACTTCACTCAGATCCTCATCAAACACTCCATTATCATCAAGGAACGCTAGGTCGTCATCCTGATCTTCTGATGCAGGAGCCTCGCTAGACTTGGCCGCCTTGCTCGGCGGTTGTGCATCAGCTTCGTCCGCACTTTTCGGCTCCATTGTTGGCGTCTCTCCGGTCTCCGGTCCTCTTTTGCGCTTGGATGTAGTGCTGGTCGCGTCGTCTGTGTCCTGGCCGTCTTCGACCTCCGGAGGTTTGTATTTCATTTTGCAGGTTTGTAGAGATATAAGTAGTTGTCGGCCGATTCAATAGAGTAGAATTGGTTCAGTTCGTGAGCTTTATCAATGGACTCTTTTTCAACTTCAATTGTCTGTGGATAGCTTGGAATAAGCTTGGGGCAGTTCTGGAGATCCGCGGATTAGTGGTGACGCAATGACGACGTCTACGGACTATAGTGCAAAGGAACATCCTTATGAAATCTGTCTCCGACGTCCTACAGTAATACGGTAATACAATTAGTACGTCCAACGATGTTTCGCACTGAAACGTCTTTCTGCAAAATCCGTACATGTTGTATCCTTCTATATGGTTCCGAGGATGAAAAGACACGGGGGGCCACACATCTATATTGACAAGTTTAGGGCTCATAGCTTCGCCTGTGCTTTCTTCTGCAACGTCTCCTTCACCAATCGTATAGCTTCAGCCGCACAGCCGTAGGAAGACTGGTATCCGAACCCGCCATGGCCGTAGTTATGCACCACGGCTACTCCATCTATCTTCTCTGCCTCGATGCGTGGCCCGCCATCCCGCAGAGGCCGAAGCCCAACGCCATGTCTAATAATATCTAACCCTTCAATTCCCTGGCCCTCAGCCACCAGCTCAGGGCATATCGCGATAGCCCGCTTCATGATCCGGACCGCCAGGTTGGGATCTGGTAGCGGATCCCAGACATGCTTTTGGTAGCAGCCACCCAGGATAGTTCCACCGCCTGCTGCGCGGGTCATCATGTAGAAGAGCTCTTCTTCTCCGTCGTCGGTACCGGAGATGCCGGCCATTCGACCCGGGTCGTTTCGCACTACGACAATCTGTCCGCGTGCTGGGTAGAGTTTCTGGTCAAGGACACCGCCCAAGGTCTTCGACGACAGGCCGGTGCAATTTAGGACCACGTCCGCAGCACGGCCAGAATGGTGGGCCTTGGCGGCATCCGCCACATGTTTGAATTGAGCTCGCTTGAAAACAGCGCCATTCTTGCGGCACTGGCCGACTAGCCAGGGAAGATATACTGCAGTGTTGATACAGACTGATGTGAACGTCTGAGCGTTATCAATCCCGGGAGCTAGCTGATCTTTTGGAAGGTTTTTGAACTGGAATAGTTATTAGTAACTTGGTTTCACCTCTAGCAGTGCGAAGAACACAACTGTGGTAGACGCACGTCAAGTACTATATCCCTGTACCATGGGTTCGCATCCATGAGGGACGAGAACCACTGGCCCGTTGCGGTTTCCTGGTCTTTCTTACGGTTGTAGATGATAGTGTCCTGAAAATGAATACCAGCCTCGGGATGCTTTTCGGTCAGCTCCTTCAGTGGCTGCCATGTTTGCTTTTCCCACTTTGCGTGGTCAGTGTCAGGCTGGCCCATTCTGCGCGCACGAGTCAGCAATCGTCGTACACAACAACGACGATAGTCAGCTTACGGAAGATAATTGGCACCGGCCCATGGCGAACAATACTCTATATCATAGTCTCCTGGCATATGTTTAGCCACTACAGTAATGGAATTGGCAGGATCCTGGGACAGAAGGTATGCTGTTGTAAGTCCAGACACCCCGGCCCTGTCAAGCATCGTTGTTAGCTGTGCACATTTGTTGGGAAGCCGATCTTACCCAAGTACCACAATGTTATTTATTGCCATTATCTCGCTCCTCTATCTGGCGCAGGGACTTGGTGTTCGGCCGCAATTGGGCTTGTGAAACAGTGAATGAGGGGGGTTGAGTCGCGCAGAATACAAAGAAAGAAAGGAGATGGAACCACTGCCAAGGGCAGCCATTGACAGCTACCCCAAGCCATCGTGGATTCTCATTATCAATCGGACTGATAGCGATTGATTCGCCGCAATTGGAGTCGGGGAAGTCGGGCAATGACGTGGGGCTCGCCTAAACTGGTCTTTGTTGTGCACTCTACTGATCATGACTCCAACAACCAGGTGTTGCAAGACCCTCTTTAGATGAAAGAAAGACGGCCATTCGCGCCCAAAGAAGACTCTCTCCGCGAGGGGTTTGACTTGCAGCGTCCTTTCCATTCAGGTACAATACAAGACACTGTTGATCGACTGGGTGGCCATTGTCCTTCTTCACCGCCTCATTCAACAACCAAAGACAATTCGGTGAATCGGAAATCCGCCTGTAGGAAGTCTAAGAGACAGAAGATCCGGTATGAAGTCGTGGATAGCTTCTAAAAGTCAAAGCTCCTTGGTGCACGAGATCAAGTTGGTTTGAGATCTCGAAGCAAGCGCGACGCGCCTCGAATATACCGCGTACTTAACCTGAATAGGAAGGAGACTGATAATACAATACAGGGCGATACATACAAAACGCGGAGGCAACAATTTGCAACTTTGCGAGGCCGAAAGTCTGTTGTGATTCATCGAGTCAAAGCTAGAGTGAAAAGAAGCTCATTCTGTGAATTGAGACTCGCAGGGAAGCCTGGCATCCTGGGAAGCTTTTTAGAAGATTCAGCCTCTGCTCAGAGGCTGCACTGCCTTGCAATTCCCGCCTTTCCAAGTTCCATTCCGAGTGAACCCTGGCTGGTACTATTTTTTAAGCTCCGTATTTCTTTTTCTCCTCTCCTCCGAATCCTCGCTCCACCTTGTCTTCTCCCTCCCCGTTTCGAGTCCTTTCCTTCCTTCACAATCTGGCTCGACGAGCTCTTTTATTTCCCTCCTCGATGAGGGTCCTTCGCGGGCAGACATTTTCCAATCATGGCAGATGTCCAGAAGGGCGGCAGAATCGTGCCTATAATTGCCCCTCATCATCATAGCCTCTCTGACGGGAGCCTGGTAAACGAAATCAAACCCGGGAAGCGGCAACCACAAGAGCTTCTCCAGGACTCCCGGCCTCGAGAGCCAAAGAATAGACGCGGCAGGGTAGACACAGAATGCTTGGAGCTTCCTTGTCTCAGTCAAATGGGGCTCTATGCTCTTCCCACTGAGGGCGATGGTAATGTCTCCCTGCCCTAGAAACTCCAGCTTTATCTGCGACTTTTCTTAATGCTCGATTGGTCCTTGTAGCGTTTCTAACTCTTATTCCGTAGGTAATTGCCTATATTATGCGCTGTCAGACCAATTGTACGGAGACTTCACCTATGCCGACCGCATCCGAACACAACTTGCAGACCACATCTCCGCCAACCGAGAATACTTCATGAGCTTCATAGCCGCCGCTGGTGGGGAGCGCAGAGCCCCTAGGCGGGCCGCGGCTGAAGCCGCCAGGAATTCTTACTGCTCTTCTTCGTCCGCCAGCCCTGCGCCAAACCCGTCAAGTAAAGATAAAGAACGAAGCTTTGATTCCAAAGTGGCCGAGTCACGAAAGAACGGTGTATGGGGAGGAGCGGAGGAAATACAGGCTTTCTGTCAGTCCTTCAAGAAGGATGTCAACGTCTACACTATGTATGGCATTCAGACTTTCCGTGACGTCCATGCACCAGCAGACGAGGAAAGAGAAATCGTACACATTGCCTTTCATGTAAGACCGGTTGCTGCTCATTGTGATTCCCTGACAGCTAACACCATCTTCCTCAAGGATTTCCACCACTATTCCTCAGTACGCCATTCTCATGGCCCGCATACGGGCCTCCCGTGTATCCCAAAACTCAACAAAGCAACACATATCAGCGAGACCTCATCTGACAGTCCGGTAGTCAGCATGGCTTCTCCGTGGAAGATATCAGTCATACAGGAAGGCTTTGGAGGCAAGTATGACAGGGAAACCATTGTAGGAGTGCTTGAAGAATGTCGAGGAAACATCGACAATGCATTCATGAACCTGCTTGGCGAGGATGCCAACGCTCAACCAGTCGAAGCTACAGCTTCCCGAGCTATTATGAAATCTCGGTTTCAGCCTTCCTCGCGTTCTTCGTCTCCCTTCAGCACCGGCAGCAAGCGCTCAGCAGATGACAGCGATGAGGAGGAGAATCCTCGACCAGCGTCGCGACGTGTCCGAGCACGTGAGCAAAAGCGACGTATACTCCCAGATGTCACCGTCGGAATAGCGTTCAGAGACGATCAGAATGACATGGTCTCCCTTCGTCTTCGGGTGAGCCCCGAGAAATGCGTTCCTACGCCTTCAGTAGAAGAAAGCAAAGATCTGTCAAAAACCAGCTCTTCCGAGGCCCATGAAACAAGCTCAATCCACCCAAAGAAGGGCAGAAGATTAAAGCTGAGAAGCAAGCAAATTGCAGAATCGAGTGAGACGTCTTCAAGCCAGCAGAGCGAATCCAGCCTGGCCGAGCAAAAATTACGCCGAAGTCAACGCTTTACACGGAGCCGTACTGGCTCGTGAGCCCTTTAATATCTATCACTTACACCTCGACCACCTCTCACCGCCTCACAAATTATCTCCTGCCGATTCTCATCTATCCTATATATTCCTTCTACTCCATTCAACGTCCTCGCTCCGAATTTCTCCACTGGTTTGCATGCAAGCGCGTTGGTGGCTCTGTTATTTCTGGTTGCTTTGTTCTAGAGCATATTTGTGTCAGCGACTTAGCGGCTGTTTTTGCAATTTTCCGATATCTGACAGCATTTGGAGCCTCCTTGTGTGACCCTGTCCACAGATGAATTTTCCTTCTCCTCCCCTTCCCCGTCTGCACCAGCATTCGCATACATACTATCATTCTTCATGGGGCGTTAGCCGATGGCATATGCAGAGAATGACCTTTCTTGCATTTTCCACGCTATTTTGGGCTTGCATCTGCGTGACCGGCGACCTTGGGTTGTGTTTTGAAGAGAGGCCTATCCTTCTCGTTCGCATCTATTCCCTTCTATCTTGTTTTTCTTCTCCCTGTCTGATTTATTTGCACACACAGACAGCTTCATGCGGTGGGTGGTTGGAGTTTGAATCGGCGCGGGTTGGTTTGGCTTGGCTTGATTTGATATTTTTGTTTTCATGGATCTAGGAGTTTTATTTTGGAGTTCTTGGCTTGGGAAAAGAAAGACATGGAAGTCCGCCCTGGCAAAACCGGCGGCACCTTTAGAATTTAGAAAGACTCTTGCTACCTTCTCACTTTCTCTTCTTGCTCTCACCGTAGTGGAGTTCATCCTAAAGGGCTATTGACTACGAATATCACGTCTACGGGAGAGAGAGTACGCAGTTCCTAAGAGTACGTAGGGCTTCTGTAATCTACGGACCCCAGGCTTCGTGCAACTTCAAGAATCCTAGTCACGCAGATGCCAATCAACCATAACTATCATTTATTACCCAGTCCCTGAATACTAGTGGTACAAGATAAGCATATTTCATTAAATCGCATTATATATTCCATTCCGCATCTTCCCATAATACGAACCCATGAGCCCTAACTTTCATATAACATCCTCAACGCCAACTCCACTAAGATAAGCCATCAAATGAAACGGCACGGTATATATCAACAAGGAGGAAAGGAAAAAAGGGTATCGAGGATTCTATAATGATTTGTGGCCCTTCTATCGTTGGAGCAAAGTGAGAGCGCCTTGAAGCTTCGGGTTGCGATGCTTTTTCGAAGGTAGGTTTGCGAACGAAAAGTGCAAAGAACGTAATCAATGAGTCCTCGTAGTTCTTTATTTGCAATGAGGTGGCAAGGTCTCAAAATAACTCGACAGGTACGTTTTCGAGGTGCATAACGCAAAGAGAGAAGTCTGTGTGTGTGTGTGTGGTTTGGGGGGGGGAGGGTGGGGAGCGAGAGAGAGAGAGCGCGCCAGGATAGAGCTAGAGAAAGGCGCGCGCAATGATTGCGAGAGCCACGGGCGGCTCTTTAGAATGCCGAATCTGGGCGTAAGCGCATCCCCGGGGCGTAACAAAGGTTATAGAGTTCGTCGACATAGGTCTGCGCAGCGGCATCACCAGCTTCCACAACAGTAATCGAAGTTTGTCTTCCCAGAGGGTTCTCGGTTGCCGCATCCGATAACTTGGCAACGTCGACTTTGACCTCCCGGCGAACAACAATGTCTCCCAAAGGCGTGCTGTTGGTGAGACTCTCCTGAGATACTGTTCGCATTCGATCACGTAGCCGTTTTCGCTGCGGCCATATCTTGAAAATGGACCGGGTCGAGGAAGCGAATTCGGAATCGGTAGCTGAACCCGATCGGATGTTTGAGTAGAGAAGACCTTGACTGAGTTCTTTTGCGAGACCGTCTGCATCAGTGACGCCGCCGTTCACCTGTTGTTGAATGCGGAATAGTCTTAGGGGCACAAAGGCATAATCTGGATTGTCGACGCGCGTGTTCAAAGACCCTACCGTACAGAAGGCGAGTAGCATGCAGGTCTTATTGTCAGAAATTCTTGTGCTGCGGCATGGTGCGCTCAAAGGTCGAGGCGAGAAACGAGACGCTGAATTAACATCCGGTGGGAGCGATGAAGCGAGGGCGGACATTGATTGGATCAAGTCTTCAATAAACATGCTTTGATCCTTGTGGGCTTGCATTTTTTCGGAACGTAGCCAGTCTAGGCATGTTGCTATAGGCCAGCCTTCCATATGTGAGAGAATCTCCAAATGAGGCATTAGAAGACGTTTCGTCTGCAGGGTCATCGACGGTAGTGGGTTCTTGGTGCCCTTGGCAGTCAGTACCTCAAATCGATCATGAACTGTAGGGCGAACAATGAAGGAAATAAGGTGAAGTCCAGGCTCAAAATTCCGGCCGAAGGCGGCAAAGTCTCTCATGTCTTTGAGGTGCACATCCAGAGTCCCCGATGCAATATTCATGCGGCGGGCGAGAAGGGTCGTGACATTGTCAATCGAGGTGAATCTGAAGCCTGATGCTGCCAGTCGGGAAGCGTCTTGTTTATTCAACTGGCGGACTGTGAACATCAATTGGCCTTTACCAGCACGTAGCCTAGAGTATCCAATTGCGCGGGAAAACGGAGATGAGGGCGTGGACGTGGTGAGAACATCATCGTACAGCATTCCGAGTTCCTCCAACGGCTGTCGAACTTCTCCAGCAAGGTCGTGAGCAGCGACGCAGAAGTGGCGCTTAAACTGGTCATCAAAGCCTGAAACCATCTCTGCCTCACGATCAGAGTCCACCCCTTTGGCCAAGTATTGCTCGCGCGTCGTGTCCTCTATTTCTATCCTGTCCCTCATATACGGGACAACCTCTTTCACAAGTTTCCAGTTTCTGCTCGCTCGAAAAGCCCAAAGAAATGCAGGGTGGGTTCGAGTAAGATCATCGTCGCTGAAGGTCTGCAGGACAACCGAATATGTAAGTCTAGTACATTGAAACAGCGATTGAAAAACAGAATGGGGCTCACCTTGCCAAGATAGCGATCCACGATTTTTCTTGTAGGAAGGAGGGCATGCGGTGTAACCATAACCCGACCTTCAGGGTCGAAAAATACCGAGGCCAGGACCAGCTGCTGTGCCTGTATTCTCGAACGCCTATATTCGCCACTAGCAGCTATAGCACAGGCTGACAAAACTCCACAGGCAACGCAAGCCTGAGTTCTGTAAGCATTTGATGAACGTTCAAGGCCACAGGTACTTACCAGAACAGAGCATATGATGACAGTTTGGGTTCGAGATAGTTGACCACCAAGGCTTGCGGACGGATCATGGCCACTGTAGCTCGTCCCAACAGCAGCAGTCCAATGCATGCCAGATACAGCCAGGCCGAGGAGGCAGCCGCAGACTCCGCGTCTCCACCAGCGATTCGTCCAAGAGGCTCTCCATCGAAAGAAGATTGCGAGAGCTGCGGTACTTGCGACTACAGCAATTATGGCTGCCCCAGCCACGTTTTCAGCTTTATATCTGCACGTGTAGTTGCTGATACCCAATTGCCCGACGTAGTGCATACCACAGACAGATCCACCTGTCAGCATTCCACCCGCCAATATGCGCAAGTACCCTGCCTTTTCGCCGGTTCCGGCCGCGTAGAAGGCCGTAAGCAAAACACATACGGGGAGGACAAAGGAGACTCCTGTGAACGACATGCTGTACATAACCTGGATGTGACTATCTCCATTTCCGAGGACGATGGCACGGTTTCCAATGAAATGCATGCACCAGATGCCAATGCCTCCCATGGAAATTGCAGATGTGAGTAGCAAATACCTAGGAGGAATATTGGTCAGTTCCAAAGCACGCTCAAGACACATTGCGCTCGAATGTATACCAATTATAGAAGCCAGCTGTGGATGTTCGCCGATGAAGGAGTTCTAAAGTGGTCGTGCATCCCATAACACTGACGACGTAGGATAAGAATATATAGCCCGGAAGGTACGAGACGGAGGCGCTGCCCCCGTTAGGAAGACTGTCTACACTCGACATGGCTGGACGTGGAAATAGCGCAGTGACGAGAAGGACAGGAAAGATATTCAATCGATGCAAAGTTGAAGCGTGCTCATGGTGCTAGTACTTGGACATGAGTACAGCTGGAGCCAAACGGCTTCCAAGAAACACAAAGGAGACGAAAATGAAACGAAAAAAAAAGTACCAAAGTTGTGGTGTGATACTGACCAGGTCGCCTCAGAGGCGAGTGCTGCTTGTTATAGTCGATCTGCGACTAATATTCTCCGCAGGGCCTTGCTCTTCCTGGTGGATTAGGTCCACGGCCCCTCAATTTCAAGGGAGCCAGGGTGCCGAAGACTACCAGGAATCAGGATTAGTATGGCTGAAGCGCCTGTCTGTATCCGTATGCGTTTCGCCTCGGCCTGGATCCATCTTTGGAACATGCATGTCAGTTTCTTGGTCGCACGAGGTGAAGAAACGTAATTTTGGAACCAGCACAAAACTTGGAGACTCATTGGTCTATCAGAGGAGTAGTCTTCCCCCATCTCAGGTTCTGAATCCTGATTGTGTCGCAATATCGTGGCGGGAAGAAAGTCGGGGCTAGAGCTTGGGTCGAGTCACAAGTGGCATGATGGGAACGATTGGGGCGCGCTAGGTCAGAGCCCACGATACAAAAAACTCCTCGGATTTTGAGACTCGACCAGCCAGAGAGCAGGCTTTCTCAACTCGGCCATTGAGGCTTGGGCTGCCTGGCTAGCGTAGCCATCCCCGGCTGGTTGCCCAAAAGGCCCGAACTTTGTTCTCGAAGGGACATTCAAAGCTGAAGTTGGCTTGCGTGAGGTAGATGAATGCAAATGATTCGCCCCTGCACATTGGCCCGTGGGATCGGAATCCATGCACTCTAGCATTGAACAGCAATATCAGGCTAGATTGGTCTCGGGCCTAGCCTCCGAGTCGAGCACCGTTTCCGCGCGTCGCGAACCGGGTTGTACAACCATGGAAGAATCACAGGCAAGGTTTGTGACTTGATTGAGCATACCCATGTGGAGCTGTTTTCAAAAAAGCAGAAGCACCTCGTGGACTCGTGGACCTCTGGTGGATCATGGACTGAATTTGGAGCGAGCTGGGGCCGCGACTCTGCGAGTCTCAAAAACAGGAGATCAAGCAACAGTTGTCAGAAATGGTTAGTTGAACTTAAACCTGAGTCAGTAGCCTGTCGCAGCAAACAGTGAGCATGCTTTCCAATCGCACCTCTGTTTCAAAGGGCGAAAAATCACAACATGGTCTAGCAGCTGCGAGATTGACCAAAGGCTAAATGAGTGCGAGATAATATAAGCGAGGTCAAGAAACAATTGGTTTGTTTCGCCCAAGTGGTTTTCTTCGAGGAAGCAAAAGACCCTCGGCATCAGCGGACGGAGGATCGGAGCTAGGCTGGGAGTGGGCTAGCGTCCCGGAACTTGCCTGACCTCCAGCACATGTCAAAGAATCGTGGATGGAACTCTTTTCCAGAAACGACTCACACGAGGCGATCGCAAATTCTAGTTCATGATGCATCATGTCGCTCTTTTGAGCTTCGCAGCCACCATATTCACCCGAAACGGCCTCAAATGCCTGGTACGTTTTTATTCTTTAAACCTAGTTTCGAGAACTCGGATTTGGATCAACGCCAGCTGATGGTGCCTCAGGGACCCACGACCTGACGACGCCCACACCTCCAACCACAAGCGAGCTTCTGTTGCAACAAGATATTGTAATTTTTTCAGGAACCGAGAGAATCGATTGAACAGCAAGCAAAGTTGTGTAAGTTATGATAGTGGATCGGACACTGTCTCCACGTCTGTTCGCTCGTGGTTCCACAAATCCACCAGAAGATCCGATCGATCTCCGATCCAGAAGCGATAGCAGTACTAGTAGTACTCAGTTTTGAGCTCTCGATCCTCCATACAGTACGTCAGAAGAAAACTTTGGGTATCATTTACTGTTTCTTATGTTGTTTCCCAACTGAAGATGTCTCCATGTCTGAGTCCAGGGTTCTTCTCTTATCTCTCGAAGGATTTTGAACGCCCGTTTGGCTGATTCGGCAACCGATTTCGATCGAGTGGCGTTCATAACCGAGCTGCGTACCTGACACTCCAGTCTCAGCCAGCCTTCGACACCGAACCCACGGCAGGGTTGATTAATTTATATTAAAAACAGGGCCCGCCATAACCTCTTTCCAAGCGAGTCAGAATTAAGATGTCGAGTATTGATATTTCCACGTGCAAAATCTAATGCATGACAGCCGGTGAATAATGCAGCCCTAGTGGAAACATTCGACATGCCGATTCCAAAAAATCTCCGAGCCTATCGTCACAAAAGGTGGCCGTTGCTTGACATACACCGATCAGCTGCACCCGAGTCTACACTTTGACTTATCATCGGCTCAATTTTAGAGCACTAAAATTTCGGACCGTTGAACGCCCTGGAGGCATCGGATGAATCACTCAATGCAGACACAAGTTCTTATTCTCATTCCTACGGGTATGACCACGTTCACGAGCACCATACATTGGTCAAATCAGGCTGCTCCCTCAAAGCCAACCCGCCATGTTTTCTGACTTATGGGACCTCAAAAATGATGTCAATTGCAGATACCACAATAAAGCCAGTTATACTTCGCCCTCCCCGCCGAGATCCAGGCCGCAGGATCTAAAAGGGCACGTTAGGCCTGTGCCCCTCCACGCCCAGCAAGCTTAGAAGGATCTATCGCTGGTGCTGCATGCTGTCAAGACTTCACATGGGCATATTGCCTAGATCCTGAAATTTCTTGGAACAATGCTCACCCACTATTTTTTGGAACTAACCTTCTCGCTGTATTGCTCTGCATCTTATGCTTCCTGCAAGGGAATACTCCGCCATCTGGCCGATACAACTGGGCTTTAGACACGATGTTTTTCAAGTGGTCGCTGAACATCGTGGCTTCCGATATCTCCTGAGGCCAGAGCCCTAAACTCGTCCATGGACTGCTCTAGTGCTGCATTGTTACATGCGTATTTAGAGCCTACAGGCTAGGAACGTAATGAATCCTATGGCAAATAAGCTATATACTATAACTTGCAAGTGAGAAAACAATTTACTGGCTTTTCTTATTGTCTGCTAGCGATATCCCAAAATATCATTCATATTTGGATCAAATGCCATCACTAAAGCACACAACCCGACCAACTCCTTGGGAACCCATATAAGACAAAATGTGGTGCTGTAGCAGTCTGGGGTTAGTACTCAAGTACGAAAGAAGCACCAGCCTAAGGATCAACATCCATGAATATTTCTTAACCATGGCCTTTGGCAAATCCCTCGCCATCTCCCTATACTTATCATCCCCCATCTATCGCCGAACAACGCCAAGCAGATCAACTCCGCCGAACCACCACGCAAATCGAATGTTACTTCTCCTCCCTCGGTCTCCTCAACTACACCCGGACATCTAGCAACCGCCCCTACGTCGCCATTTACCACCCCGTAAGGTCAGCCACCCGGTCGACATCCCGAGAGAAGAACCAACGAAAACACTCTGTCACGATGACCGAATCCTAGTATCCCGGATTCGAGATCTTTTCAGAGACTTCAGGCTTCGCCTCGTGAGTCCGGATGAGGAGTTGGTTGAGAGGATTATATCGGCTTGTCTTCAGTGGAAAACGCCGGCCTTCGACGCCAGGGGCCAGGGAGGGTGTAGCGTCGGGGAAGAACACAGTGAGGATTGTGGAATCCGCGATGTGATTAGTATCAATCCCACCATGCCCTCTGCCGATACTATTGATGTATTAAAAAGCCCCCCTCGCAATTGGGCGGAACATATACGCTGAATGCGCCATCTCTAAACCCCATATCACAACTGTCATCCAAGTGCCCCGTGACGCGATAACACCCTGCAATCGCCCACCCTCAGCTACCGAACAATGCTAATACACAGCTGCGACTGTAACGAGAGCGTTAGCGACATCCTGCAGCTGATCAACACGAACGACGAGCTCGACCTTGGATCACTCATGGAATTGGCGGCTCTGAGGGTGAGAGCGAGCCAGTCCCGGAGGGGGTTAAGGATTGAGTCACTGTTGAGAATTCGGACGAGGTTGATTGGTAGTATAGGTGGCTGCTTGCGGTGTGGAGAGGGCATGGGGGATATTTAGCGGTCTCTTTTAAGGCATCAGAAGGGAATCATGTGGGATTGAGGTATTCGACCGTCTGCTAGGGTGTGTATCAATGGATTAGCGAAAGTGGTGTATGTTGTAGACCAACACTCTGCCGTCAATGTTATCAGCGCGTAATAGTATCTGGAGTGGTTCGTCTCCAGAACTTAGGCTCATTATTCTGTCAATGAGTGATGGAGCGCCTAGGATTGTGTGGCGCGAGGAAGCTCCATGTCATAATGAGAGACCTCAGGAGTACAAAGTGAGGAGGATATGCCTGTTCTTCGAGCTTCGTAAGGTACGATTTTTTATTATTTATTTATTTTTTTTCGAGAAGCAATCATTGCGATCTGCAGTCTTCAGATAAGTTGTCCTTTGTATATCTCGGGGTGCAGGTCGCAAAATCCAACATGCTTGAAGGGATGACATGGCTCGATCGCCGTCGAGGATCTAACCATTAGTTGCAATTCAACCAGCCACAGGGTCAATATATCTGACAATCGTCAGTTACTGTAAGCTCTCCACTCTCAAATTAGCCAATTGACCTTATACAGACGGTATAGTATAAATCCGGTTGCAACTTCTCTCTCATTCTTCTAAGCCGGTGCGCATTGCGTTATACATGTCGGACCAATACATACAACACAGCAAAGGTCCATTTGCAGAAAACCAACCCGGAAGACAAAACAATGCTTTCATACAAGACAAACAAAAACGAAACAAAAGGAGACATCCCAATATCCTATTTATCTATGCGGAGAGAGACTCGACGGCAGCGCGGAGAGCAGGGGGGTTGGCGCCAACAACCTCGTTGACCTTCTCGCCATCCTTGAAGAAGATGAAGGTGGGCATGGCGCGGACACCAATCTCAGCGGCAACCTCTGAGAGCTCGTCGACGTCAATCTGGTAGAACTCAACGTTCTTGAAATCCTCGGCGAACTTGGCGACCTGGGGGGCGATGGCCTTGCAAGGGCCGCACCATTCGGCGTAGCAGTCGAGGACAATGGGGGCCTTGCTGTTGACGATCTTCTCAAGGTACTCCTCCTTGCTATATACACAAAACAGTTAGCTGCTGAGCTTGGGAACGGAGGATTTTGTTCTTGAAGAGGACATACGTCTTGATAGGCTTGACGAACTCGCTGGCACCCATTTTGGCTGTGGTAGATGTGAATTGAGGAGTAGGGGTCGTTGAAAAAGCTCGTCGGGTGACTGAAGCCAAGGGCTTGTTTGCGGTAGGACGCGGGAGGGCTGCGGGGCGCGAAAGACTCGAGGCGAGAGTAGAAGCTTTGGTCAGGCGTCTAGCAGAGATGGAGGAGAAGGAAGAAGAGAGACGAATTGTGGATGGTGGAAGACTATGTATGGAAAGGAAGTCGATTAGCTTGAAATGAGGGGCTGCAGAAAGGAGGGGCAGGATAATCGGGCTTTATAGTGGGCGAAATTGTTCCCGGAAAATGACGTTGCAGAGCCCGGTGGTGTGGGTGACTAATCGTGGTGGTTTGCAGGCAAAAGGGAACACAGTCGGAGGTCGTGGAGGGTTCTATCGATTGTGCTTACCAACGAGGACGCAAAGCCCGTAGCATATTAGATTGATTTGTCAAACCACGAGAGGCCATTTTTTCCGTTATTACAAGAGCAATGGTCAATTGGTTAGCTGGTGGTGCTGGGCTGGACCTGAATATGCGCAAAGCCTTTGGGTGCTCTCGCTCGAAATCGGCCGGAGAAAGGAGCGTTAAAGCGGCAAACACTGAAATGACGTGATTTGCCGCTTATAAAATGGAAGCGGTCTGGAGCTTGCTTACGAAGTGCTGCCTCAGGCAAAATCATTTTCGGTCTTGAAAACAACTTCAACTGACAGTTACACGACATGATCACTCATCACAGGTCTAGACATGAAATCGGAACGAGAGCCAATCGGCACATTTTGGATACCATGAGAGTATAATAATCAAAAACCCAGTGAGCAGGTATTATATTCAAACGGGGTATAGGGATAGCAAAAGCACCGCTAACCCTGGCAGAGTCATGTTTTAGATTACATATAGCTTTCGTAAGACAAGATCAGAGCAAGAAGACAATATGCTGCAAGTCTATCAAAAGCACTTCGCCAAAATACCAGATTGGGTTGTTAACCAAGGGATAACGCAACTCATTCAAAATCTCGCCGATGGGGGGTATCAACAAACTCAAAAACCAACACCGGAAGCACTAACAATGCTTTCGCTGCAATCAGGCCGTAAAAAATGCGACTCCGGATCGCGAGGCATATCCAGGTATAGCCGCAAAAGCACAAACGGACATAGGAAGTGACATAGGAAATAGGTAATGAGCGGCTAGGAGTGTAGACTCCAAAGGGAAGACAACGCAATGAAGCGGGGGATAAAAGGGCAGGGGGATTGGCGAGACTTTCATAAGTGGAAGCATTATAGCATCATTGCGAATGTGCCTGAGTTTTGTTGACCGAGTCGTGCGCCGGTGAGAAGAGAATCTCAGCCGAATGTTCTTCAATCGGACTGAACTCCTCCTCAGCCGAGATTGGGGACAGAGATTGAATATTATTAAGTAGCCCTTGCGTAGATTTGGGCCGCATCGTTGGATTCACAAGCACGGGTCGCTTCCCAATATCCTCATGCCAGGTCTCCTCCAGTTGCCCAGGCTGGTGAGGGGTAACGAGGTTCCCGTCTTGGTCGTTGGTAGGATTGGAGATTTCCCCGCTCGCTTCGACCGGGAGAGCCCCATAGGCGATGGATTGCGGGTCACTCAAGGTCTCATCAGTCTTGCTCAACTTTTCAAGACCGTCGTCTGTTTTGTACCGAGAAGAGTTTAAACTTTGTCGGGCGGAGTTGCTCGGCTTCTGGGAGATGCGGCGCAGAAATTGGCCAGACATCCATGACCCTTCAGAGTCTATTGATGCCAAAGACTGTGACAAAGGTAGGTTCTCCGGATCATCTTCAGAGCCTCCGGTCCAAGAGTCGTGTTTGTTGCTGCGACCATCTGTTCCAGCGCCGGGGATAGGGTAGTAAGATCGCGAATTGAGGTCCGGCACTTGGTCTTCGACCAATGCTTGGTCCTCGGGGATATCAGGAGACTGGAGACGTGAGTCGGGTGGTGAGAGGGGCTCGTCACCGAAGTGCTCGGTGAACTTGGATTGCGAACGCTTGAAGGAGCTTGGACCAAGCAAAACTTTCGGAGGAACATAGGGTGCCGGTGGCTGCGTGTGTGTGTTGACCTTGAAGAATGATTCATTTGAAACATTGTTCAATGGAGGGCTGCGATCTGGAAAACGTTCTCGGTAGCTACGCTTCAAACGCGAGCTGCCTCGACGGAATATGGATGTGATGGTGCTGACACGCCCACCGCTGGCGTCAGATAATCGTCGCTCGGAATCAACAGTCCGCGAAATATCAGAGGCCGACTCTCTGTTCATTCGGTAGAATTGGGAGGAGTCCTGGCTGCTCAGCCCGTGCCGGGAGGGCGAAAGGGAAGGGGACAGAGTGCTGCGTGACATGGCCATGTCTTGAGAAGGACCGAAGCTGAGTCGCTGGCTAGACTTAAGCTCCCGGATGGAGCTGTCATCGATGTTGCCAACGACATGCACACTTTCTGGAGTTTCACGCCCGTCTCTCTCAGGGCCCCTAGAGGTGTCTCGTAGCCAAGAACCTTCAGGCTCCCCTGATAAGAACGCCTCGGTCGCTCGGGGTGTGGGCTGTGTTTCGGATTGGTTCTGCGGGTCGGAGCGGCCTCGTTCGGCATCGTGGATGTTTTCAGTTTCGTCCTGGCCATCTTGTGCGGGAGTATCAGGTACTGCGACAGGCTTTGGCACTTTCTTAGCGTTGCGCTGCAGCTTGCGAACAAGTCTCTCGTGGTCTCGGATTTCCTTTCGTTCCCGACGTCGCCGGTCTCGCTCCATCAACTCTCTCAGCGCACCAGCGTCAAGATCGTCGGCCAGCTCATCAATCCGCTGCTTCGAACGCAGGTTTTCCTCAGACGGTTCTAAAGTTGGCGACTTCGTCCTCCGGTCGACGGACTCGGGTGTCCTTTGGTTGTTCCTGGAATTTGAGGTTCGAGGAGCTTCCACATAGCGAATGACGGGACGCGGCGTCCAAGCTGCAAAGCCATTGACCTTGAAGGTATAAGTCTCGGAGAAATCGGAGACGGACGAGTGCGGCGACTCTTGGATTGACAGGCTGATATCAGAACGGTGACGGTCTAAGCGACGACTCAGAGCGCTATTCGTTCGCCGGCCATCGAGCTGCATTGGATCGCCATATGCAGGCGTGGTAGAGCGACGGGGAATATCGATGGGCAGCGACGCCATCATTCGAATCTCGCGCTCCCGGGCGATTTCATAGGCTTTTCGTTTGCTGAGCCTTTTCTTCAGCACCGCAGGACCCTCGTTGCGCTGTGGTTTCCGAAGTGACGGTTTTCGGGCGATCGTTTGCGAGTCAAGGTTTGGAGCAGTATAGGAGTGTGGGATCGGTTTCACGGGTCGGTTCTTCTCGCTCTGCGCGGCAGAAGGCGTGTAATGGGTAGATGTAGGTGGTGGGGGAGAAGGAACGTCGCGCAGGTTGCTCGGGTAATCTCCCACGGGGAGTGACTGTCGATTCTTTCGTCGTTTGGATTGCTTGCGAGATGGTTTCCGGCTTATCTTTCCCTCGTCGAAGCTATGGCGAGTGTCGTGCGGCACGGCGACATCTCCGGCAGCTTCGGTATCCAGCTGCACGGTATGTCGCTTGCTCTTGCGACCAAACGGCCATATCGCCATCTTGTCTGGTATTGGAGCCCGCCTGGTCAAGCGCCGAGGCCCTATTGCCGAATAATCGAGCTTATAGCGACGATGGGAGTCATGTCAAGAGAGTAGAGGCACGCGATGAGACAGTGGAGGAGAGCTCGAGGGCGGACAGCCGAGGGTAAGCGATGGGAAGTAGGCACGAGGATGCAAGAGCGTTAGGTTCTTACGAGGAAATATGCCGAGATGATCGAATTCGTATAATGGATGGGGTTCGGAGAAAGCGAGGATGAGCTAAGAGGCTCAGTGAGTAGTAGATGGATGTCCAGGCAAGTATTCGTCAATGGAGGAGGCTATCGGGGTCAGCCTGGTCAGCGGAGCTGGTTTGTCGTACAAAGTCAAACGGTCGAGGAGTATGACTAGTACGTCAACGGCAGTGGCAGAGAGATCCGACGACCATTTGGGTGGCAAAGGTTCCCACGGCTACAAACCTCACACGCATTGCCTGCCCAAAACAAACAGAGAGCTGCGCGAGGGATGCAAAAGGTAACTGGAAGAAGGTTCAAAAGGAGGCAGAGAGGAAGAAAGGGAGAGAAAGACGATGGACAGAATGGGGTTGAGAGGGAAATGAGCCCAAAGAAAGTGAGACCCAGCGATGATGTACGAGGGATGACGGAGCTTGGTGGCCTCCTACGTCGACTCGGTAGGGTATGATTTTATTCTTATTTAGGCTTATTATTGTCATTACCGCCAGGCCGCACTAAATTTCGACGCTAGACCGAGTTCCTCTCGATTTCCAGGCCCAAAAAGACTCGTTTTGGACCCAGAAAGAGTCAAAGAGCGGTCTTTGGGACCGAGTTACACCGTTGACAGCGGGCCGGCGGAGGATGTTGTTTAATTACAGGTCAGGTCCAGAATGTTCACTGATCCTGGCTGCATCCACCCGATGTCTTAAATTATTTGCAATTGATGCCCGTTCTAGGTTCCTTTGTCTTACTTGGTTGCCCCGGGCGGCCAAGTTGTCTCAAAGAAAACGGCAGCATCGACTCAGCCAACAGACACGATGCAAATTGAGTCGAATCTCAACGATCGCCAACGGAGCGGGCATCCCATCTTTACAACAGTGTGCCCGGAGGGTGATCACGAAAATTTTCTTCATGGGTGGAGAGACTCTAGCCTTCCAAGGAGATTGAAGCCCAATCGAATGGCATTGTCGGTACCTGCCTTAGGGGCCGCCTGGCCATTGATTGACGATGATTATATCTGCCGTACTCCACCTTGTTGCTCTGTACTTAGAAACAATTTAATTTAGCCACATCCTGGAGCACCTCAGAAGCCGTATTACCATTTCATTACCAAAAGGCCCTCAATACAATAGCAGGCGCTCATATACCTGGCAGGTAGGCCGACGTGATTTGCGAAAAGCGTTGCTTGTGATTCGCTCCATCCCCAGCATCTCGAATCACATGGTCCAGTCAACTGCCCAGCGCACTGCCTTCTTTTGCGTTTTGTGGCGTTCGAGGAGTCAAAGACTCAAAAGGCTTTCTCTGGGGATCGACAGTGTTCAGACAGACAGCTTTTGCATGCTTGTATAGATGGAGGAGAGCACCGTCCAAGTTGAGCACGAGGACAGAAAGGTACATGTATCTACAGGGGTACCTACAGTTACGCCGTCCGTTCACGGTTCAGACGGTATTTGAATAGTTCAGCTAATAATAGGCTGAACTACTTTGTTGTCGATAAAATTTGATTCTCGCCTTCTTGACACACATATATATCCCGAGCACCCTCAGGTTCCATATTTGTATAACGCATATCTGAGCGCGATATAACCTCACAAATCCAAGAATAAAGTTATTATCTCTCAAGGAGCAGACCACCTTGCCTTGATGCAGAGCACCAATCGCCATCTTATAGTGCATTTATTGGTGGGGGATGTCCGGGTTCTGAAAAAGACCGCATCGAGGGTCCATGAGTGGTGCCGCCAATGGAACCAGCGGTAAAGTACCGAGCTGTACTGATGATACATGTCAGATTCCTCAAGTGTACCAAGATCTCTCCATTCCATCAGGAGTTAATCTCTCGTGGCTCGAACTAGACAGGGTTCTGCAGAGTTTCGATTCTACGAGTACCACTTGGCAGTCGGCCATTGCGAGAAGTCGAGGGCTCCTACCTCTACCCGATGTGTACTACCCTCGACAATGCATGAATTGTGAGGTGATAATCTGACTTGTCCGTGTAGCGAGGTACTTTTATTCCTGATGTTAGACTTGGGCGGTTGGTGTTTTCTTCACGCACTCCGCAGAGCAAGGGCAAGTTGTGATGCGATTTGCCAGGTGTGAGCTTGCAGATGCCCCAGGAATCGGTGTTGCGGTTGTAGGGCACCACGTCTGATTTGCGTTGGCAATTCTGCTCTGTGACTGGTATACTAGCACATCAAGGCTCCGCATGCTGCAGACGCCTTCACTTATTACTATATGCTCCCCTCTCGAGTTTTCTGCTTCGCACTGAGATGGCAGAATTTTCGAGTCGCAAACCGCGGTGACATTCTCTTCGTTTACAGGTCTCTAATGACGGAATGTCTGGCTTCGGGGTGGTCCTTTCGAGACGAAGCAAGCACACAACTCATCGTGAGGATGACACTAGCTAGCTGTCTACCACGCACGCTGGCATTTGATGAGTATGACAACGCCAAGTTGCAATGGGGGATTGCTCAACGCAACAAGTCACAATGTACAATTGACCCAAAGACTCTGCGCATGAAGAAAGTATGGGAGAAGACTTTGAGATGATGTGAATCAAATGAACCAGCCGCCATACCCAGAACAACTCTCGAAATGTAAATGCTGACACACAAAGTGAGCCTCTGGCGATAAGAGCAGGAAAACTGTCCAATAGGTCGACAGATGCATCAAAGAAGGACTTGCAGCCAGACTTCCAGCGTCCTCAGTCAAGTCACTCCTACTCCAAACCCGGCAGGAAGCCAGCCACACGTGGCGCCTTGGCCGGGCGATTAGGAAACGCCTAGCCGATGCCTCGAGAGGGAAAATAGATTGTACAGAGTTTATGGCAATAGTTTAACTGAACGAAATTCGAGCAAGACGGCTCAACTGCGATGGCAGGGTATTGTATGTCCTGTGCTATTGGGTCGAAGAGCGCTTCCGGAGTCTGTTCGGCTCTCGCTCAAGCACCCGATATCGCCGGCTCAGTCGGCGGCTTAGCAGCCTCTTTATAGACCAGGAACTGTGGTTCTCGGCGCGGTCTTTTTCTTCTGTTGCATGATTGCCGGCTGATTCTCGCCGGCCGCTGTAAGAGTGGTGGGATTGCAGATAGAATTCGGGCTGCTGTTCCGAGCGCAGCGCATCTATCAATGGTTCTGCGCCCATCGTTTGAGAATGGAATATAGTAGAAATGCGATCCACGCAAGGAGTCTCTATAGTCCAGATGCAGCTTCGGGAGAGAGTAATTTCGGAGAGTTTTCCGAATCAATTCTTGAAAATAGACTGGATTTGTCAGGATACCGCAGAGATTTTCTCGACGTGAGAAGAAATTGGTGGAGAAGAAAAGTCGTTGAAGTCGAGCGGGGTTCTGGATACGGCTTGCGTGTATAAGGCTCAAGGACGGGTGGGATGAGACTTGCGTGCGTAAAACGAAGAATCTCCCCTGTGATGCCGCACAGCGGGTTGGCAGCAGTGGCTTTCCTGTTATCGAAGGTTGATGACTACGAAAACTTGTCGTAAAGCTGAGAGTTGTCGGGCTCCATCAGCTGGCTCGTGAGTCGCCTCCATGCTCACCTGAGACAGGACAGTCAGGGCAGCGGGGAATGGTCTCCAAAGGTTCGATATGTCGCATGATTGGATGGCGGGTGATATCACGTGTAGGTATCAGGCAGACAACTACAGCTCTGAAAACAAAGAAAATACTAGCAGGCACGCGAGAAGAAGGACATGGTTGAAATTTGCGAGAAGCCTTGATTCAAACGGAGGGGTAAGCGGGGGATGCGATGCCAGCCCCTTCGGCGATCCTCACTTTCACCGCATTGTTTGATCTGATAAAACAGCCTCACCGCTGGATTCTCGATGCAAATGTCAACATGGGATGACAACAAGGGTTCCCGGGCGAGTGGAAGAATGACACAGGTTGAACAAAGGCCGTCACAAGACTTGGGTAAATCTGACTTTGCTGCTGACATTGGTTATGGTCACCAGGGACATCAAGTAAGCCTCTCACAGATTAAGACCCTGCAAGGTTCCCCTATCAAAGGGTGGTAGCTCGATGGACTCTAACAGTCAGGGCGAGGTCCTTTGCATGCGATTTTCGGTAAATAGATGATTAAGGATGACTCATTGGTCGTACCGGAGGAGCCTTTCGAAAATATATAACCGGTCAATAGCAACCTCATCTGCGCTACCCTCCCCCATCCTAGATTTTATCTTAGTTGCTCCTCTTGACGTATTAGGAAAGCTTGTTCCTTTACTGATTAGTGACTAATTACTTGAGCTACTCGCCTCCCTAGCCCGCCTGCAAGATAGCCCTTTCTTCTTCTAGGGTCAGGAGCAAAGTCGCGAGTCGCGTGTGGGGTGCGAATAGTTTATTCTTATACCCAAGTATTTACCGTCTGTATCAGCTCAAGTCTATGGGTGTGTATTTACAGTAAATATATCGTGGCCTTGCTAGAGATATCTAGAATCCAGGCAATCAACTCAAGATAGGGACATGAGCCAACTTTGGAACAAAGGTAGAGAATAAGCCCACTATCAGCTTGAAGCCTTGACCAAAATGGTTGAGACGATTCTTGAAGGATCTGTGCCCTCAAGGCTCTCTCTATTGCTTACTGAGTTGGTGCATGAAATGAAGGACAGGCAGAGTGAACGCCCTCATTGGGAAGGTTATGCAATATTTTGAGATATGTGTTCCTTCCGAAGTTGTGCCATATCCAGAAAATATAATGTATGGCGCATGGTTGATCGCTTGTATGGTTTAATATTCGGTACATAACTCGCGAGCGTTTAGTCCTTGCCTCCCCCGGTGTCACAATGGGCGTGATGGATGATAAGCAGGGCCTGATCGTATGTACCCTGGAAGCGCCTGTAGAACAATGCAAGAAGACCCAAAACCAAGGGAATCAATCAGATGACGCTGAGCAGTTGTACATGAAGGCTGCAAGTGGCCTCACAAGACATAAGTGGCGGTTCAAGTAGATCTCGGATATCGTTAAAACACGACTCAGCATTCGAAGGCTTTTTGCGGCTGGAAATGCCGGTGTCATTTAGAAACGACCTCTAACCAACGCCAGTAAACTCCCCTAATATCATGGCTTTTAACAAGAGAGCGTTTAGAACCAGATTTTGATCAGCTCTTCACTGACAGCACTTGGTGTCAAGACACCGCTGTCTGTGATCAAGGCCGAAATCAGATGAGGCGGTGTAAAATCTACCGCGTCAGGGTGGAACTCTGAGTTCAAGCCTTGTGCTGTACTGGAGGCATTTGCTGAGTTGTTCTGCTGCTGCTTGGCCGTATCGACGTCTTCTTGCGTCTTGAAGTCGATAACGTGCTGCTCAATGGGAAGGTCATACTGACCAAGCGGATAGACTCGGACAAACTTGTGGCTCTCAGCCACAACGTAGAAAGGTTTGCCCATAGCCTTTGCAAGAAGTCCGATCTGGTAGGTGCCCATTCGGGATACTATTCCACCGTTCTCCACGACACCCTCAGCACCCACGATAACGACGTCCGCCTTTCCTAGTGAATAGGCAACGGCGGACTCGGGGATCGTGGCAACCGGGACACCCAGGGCCCGGAGCGCACGTACTGTCTCCATTCCTTCTGGCTCTGCGGTTGGGCTCTCAATGTCACCCTTTGGTGATGAAAGAACGTATATCACATTGAATCGTACAGCCGATGGCCCGCCCTTTTCGTCGGCAGCCTGCTGCAACAACGAAGCGACAACTCTTGACCCCCCATTCGTCAACACGGTGCTGCCGTCACGAACGAAGCCTCTTCCAAAGGCGGCAATTTTATCTCGGCTCTCCTTTGCACGTCGAATGAACAAACGGCTGTTGGAAAGCAGATGGGCCCTTATAGCATTGAAATCGCCCGCTGGGCCTAGCTGACCCGGTCTTTGTAGTGTCGTAATCAGATATCGTTGGAAAAGATCCGTTCCGGCAGAAAGTCCAATAGGGTTTGGGATCGATTTCTTCAAGTGTGCTGTGGATTTTTCTAGAAGGTCGAGCGTTTCTGATATCGTGGAGGAAGGGGAGTGTGTAAGAAGTAGTACTAAAGCTTCGATAGCGGCGATTGGCATAGTTAAATCTGGGTCCGATCGAAGCAAGTCATTGTACGTTGCGACAATACTGGAAATGCAATATTAGTTTGGGAAGTTCAAGAAACACAATCGTTACGTACTCGAATGGCTCGGAAGCATTTGATGTTCGTGGGTCGGCAGTAGCCATAGTGTCTCTCAGTCGCCTGATAACCCTGAATAAGTGGAATATCTGGCGTCTTTGGATTAGACGTGCAGTTGCGTCAAGTAGTAAGTTCTTTTTTGAAATCGAGGCTTTGGAGTCATCATCAAAAAGAGCACCGCGGAGACTTTGCACTGTTTGCTTGTGAGCCCCTCCAGAACAACGCTAGTCCTGTTTAGCTTTAAAGGTTGCTGTGTAAACAATCGCTCGACCGCCCGACGTGGGACTGTCGCATTCTCTTCCCTGCACACAATTTATTCTCTATTCCTCATTTTATTACTTGGAAGACATAGACTGTCTTAGGATGGCGTACAATCATCGAATGAGCCAGCAATTTCATGGCTCCCAACAGCAAAACCGGGGAGGCCGCAAAAAAGAAGATGAAAATGATGCGATGATGCGCCTGGTGCGCCGACAACCCACCCTGACTTCGCTTTGAGCTCTTTGCTAACACTCAGAGGTAGCCCGATAAGGAAATCGCCGGCTGTATAAATGATATTGGCATTCCTTTCACCGCCGCCGATTTGATAAAACCCAACCCGCAACAGGTTCAGATGGTTCTAGAATGGTTTGCAGAGCTTCTTATGAACACAACCCGTGACACCGTGGAGCCGGCTATGCGTGCTGCAGCTGATGACATTTGCGGCGATTTTCCTGATATTGTGCCCACGGACACCCGGAACCTCATGGGCTTTTTCGCTAACCTGAGAAGATTGATGCTGGAAGTATGTGGTCAACATATTATCGGCAAGAAGTATATGCTAATGCTTGCTTTACATAGTGTGGCGTTAACGACTTCACCTTCACTGATCTCACAAAACCTACCCACGACCGTCTAGTTAAGATATTCTCGTACCTCATCAACTTTGTTCGTTTCCGCGAGTCGCAAACGCCTGTAATCGATGAGCACTTCAACAAGACGGAGAAGACTAAACAACGCATTGACACTCTCTACGCAGAAAATCAGGAAATGGAACAACGGCTTGAGGAAATGCGCCGGAATCTCAAGGCGAACGAGGCGGAAGTCAAGGCGAAAGTGCGAAGAAACGAAGAACTTAAGGATCGTCTACGATCACTGGGCAGTAGTCAAGAGAGGGTTGCCGAGACATTGGAGCGAGTCAAGGCGGATAAGGGACGGCGGCAGAATCAACTGAAAGAGAAAGTGGAGAGGACCGTGCGAAGTCGACAAGAAGTTGATAAACTCCGGCCATATGTGATGGAAAGTCCCGCAAGTCTTCAGTCGTCCCTTACTGAACTAGCAGAGAGTCTTATGCGAGAGAAGGCTCAGATTGATGCCATGGAGAAACGGGCTCGAGCACTGCAGACATCGTCGGACACCTTCACTGTTGTGAGCAACGATGTCCAGGCATGTGTTAAGCTCCTCGAGGATATTTCTGTGGAGTTACAGAAAGAGGAGGATGAGGAGTCCCGAGCCCGCAGGAACAAAGAAGCCATTTCCGAGAGGGGTAACAATGTGCGAGAAGTTGAGCAAACCGAGAAACTACTACAGCGACAGCTTGCGCGTTGGAACGAAAGAATTGAAGCTTTACGGAACAATGCCCGTGAGAAGTCAGAGGCTGCCCAGAAGCAAATGGAGGAGCTCCGGGCTGTGCAGTCACAACTTCGGGATGAGCGAGTAGAAAAGCAACGCGATATGGAGCGAAGACGAATCAGAATAGAACAAACAGAGAAAAAGGTAAGTTGTCTGACGGCTCGATCGAATTCATTTGCCAATGCTAATTCTCGTTTAGATGGCGGACCTGAAGGAGAACATTGAGAGTGAGATTCAAAGTGCTCACGACGAATATCTCAAGTTGGAGTCGCATATCAAGCTCTACATCACTGAGATGGAGAAGTGTCTGTAATCTGCGGGCATTTCGTCTAATTTTCTGGAGTTATGGCTAGTTGTGGATACCCGGATGGTTTTGCTCTTGATGAAGTTATTGGCATTTAGCATTTGATTATTTCCCGTTACTCATGAAGTCATGATATAGTCGTCTGGTCGTCTCAAACAGTCGAACCCTCAAATTGGAACCACCGTTCCACCACTCTTTTGACTGGCACGCTTCGTCCAGTCCAGTCGGCCCCATTATGCATAGAATTGCTGAGCAATGGCACATTTACGTACCATAAAGCTTCGCCACTTTCGGTATTGGCTGGATCCAGGGCATCTTGACATTCACAAAGGACAATGTCCAGATTTGCCCTGTAAGAGACCTCCACTGCGTTGGCCAGAGTCCTGGACAAGCCTTGGGCAGAGAACTCCAGAGTAGGGAGATGTAAGCTCAGAGGATTCAGTATCGCCAGCAAAGACCGCCGGTTTTGCTTTCCCTCAGCGCCTGGGGCTTCTGGTTGCACCCCGACTGATAGGTAGGCTCTCAGATGCTCCAAGGTCGGGCAGAATACGGTTTTAACCTTATGGGACCTAGAGAGCAGGCCTAGGGAGTTGGTGAGTAGACGATGATTCCCCGTAGCTTCGGCTGAGTGAAGCTGAACTGTAGCTGCAAGTTGTTCGAGGAACGAGTCTCGCGTCGCACAGACAATGATAGTTGAGGAGCTCCGGTTTTGGTCGAGGGTGTTTTGGAGGAAATCGGTAGCCCATTGAGCATTAGTTATACGTCGCACAGGCGCCATGAGCGCAATGGAACTGGAGTTTTGGTTGGTGTTGTGTATCGTATCATAATATTAAAGATTCTTCTGTCCTCGTCAGCTGAGTCGAGAGCTGGTGAGGGCGTGACGGAGGAGAGACAACTCCGAACGAATAGATGACGCGAGCGGGAGCTTTTCGTCACCGGCCGCCAACTTCCACCCACTGGTCTCTCCACATCACCAGCATAACCTCTTGTTTACGCCTTCTGCACGATTTCCTCCACGGAGGAACTGAGGACCGAGATGGAGACAATCTCCAGGATCTCCTCGATGCTGGAAACAGGTGCGACATCCAAACCCCCGCCTATAGCAACCTCAACCCAATGACTGACAGTCAACAACAGCTAGGGAGCTCACTCTCGAAGCGGCTCAGTCGGCCGCCGTGTCCAGAGGAACCGGAATTGGAACGTCGTCACGAAATATAAGTGTATCACATATTAAAAAGCTCCTCGACTCCCGCAACGATCGTGATGTTCTTGATGGCATGCGACGGATCCTCTCCGTAAGGCCCCTCCAACTCTAGAGTCTTGCGGACTTTAATCCATGATATAGCTGATGTACCGATCCGAACCCTCCCTACCTTTCTTTTCGGCAGTTGTGAAAAACGTGGCGAGCGCAAACCTCGAAATCAAAAAGCTGGTATATATCTACCTCGTTCACCATGCGGAGGCCGAACCCGACCTCGCTCTGCTGTCCATCAATGCAATCCAGAAATCGCTCACCGATCAGAATCCCCAGGCACGCGCCATGGCGCTGCGCACAATGGCGAGTATCAGAGTGCCAGTTATAAGCGCCATCGTGTCCTTGGCGGTCAAACGGGGTTGCGGCGACATGAGTCCTCATGTGCGGAAAGCAGCTGCGCTAGCTATTCCGAAGTGTTATAGACTTGATCCTAGCACTCAACCTCAGCTTATTGGATTTATTGAGACGCTCCTAGGAGATAGCCAGTACTTCGTTGCTGGTCCAGCTGTTTCCGCATTCCTAGAAGTCTGCCCTGATAGGATCGACTTGGTACACAAACACTATCGTGGCTTGGTTAAGAAGCTTGTGGATATGGATGAATGGGGCCAGCTGGCCACTATTCGTCTTCTTACTTTCTATTCCCGGCAATGTTTCCCTTTGAAGACTCGAAAAGTACAAAGGACTCAGGCTAAATCGCAAGGGTTCTACGATGATGAAGTCGACGATACCAATAATCAAGGCGACGGGGACACCTATGATGCCCTAGTTCTTGATCCTGACCTGGAGCTATTTTTGCGATCGTGCAAGTTACTTTTGCAAAGTCGGAATTCTGCTGTGCTTGTGGCCGTTGTTCGCTGTTTTCTTTACCTTGCGCCCCCGGAATATCTTGCTGCAGCTGTTGGTCCGCTGGTTGCTTTACTTCGGAGCCCTCAGGACATGCAACTGGTTGCTTTGTACAACATTGTTGTTGTCGCTTTACAATACCCCAAGCCCTTTACAAAGTACCTTTCACATTTTCTAGTTCATGCATCGGACCCGCCTCACATCTGGCGCTTGAAGCTTGAAGTCATCGCCATACTCTTTCCCCACTGTGGCGATCATTTCAAGGGCCTCATCATCAGCGAGCTCGAGCATTTCGCGCAGGGTGCAGACCCGGCTCTGGTACGAGAGAGCGTGCGCGCATTGGGACGGTGTGCGCAGGCAGACCCTAATACCTCCGACAAATGCCTACGTATCCTACTCCAGCAGATTACTAGTCTTGATGACAATCTCGTCGCAGAATCACTGACGGTTATTCGACATCTGATTCAACAAAACCCAACTTCGCATGAACGAACTGTTATCCAACTTGTGAAACATCTCGGGTTGACAACCAGTCCAGATGCGAGAGCTACCATTGTGTGGCTAGTTGGTGAGTATGCAGGAGTTGAACCGGATAGGAATTTTGCGCCGGATGTTTTACGGGTTCTAGTGCAGAACTATGCCGATGAACCAGAACCAGTAAAACAGCAAATCCTCTTACTGGGGGCTAAAGTCTACCTTCACCATATCTTATGCAACCCTCCGGCTGAAGAAAAGCCTCCGCTTCAACACGAGCCTCAGGCAGAGCCAAACAACGAGTGGGCCGATAGTCCTGACGCGGAGGCAAATGATATCAACGGCACTGATGAGAAGCAAGACGTGGCCGAAGGAGACGATGCAATTAGTCTTCTTTGGCGCTATATTCTGCTCCTTGCCAGGTACGACACGTCTTACGATCTTCGGGACCGTGCCCGCTTATACAAAGCTCTCCTTTCCTCTCCTTCATCAACTCAAATTGCGAATCTGCTTCTTCTCGCCCCGAAGCCGGTCCCACATGTTCCAAGCCCGTCTGAGACTAGGAAGGACTTGCTGATAGGGTCCGCGACCCTTGTTCTAGGCCCAGACGCTGGGGCCCATGGGCTACGAGGCTACGAGAATTTGCCAGACTGGGTTCAAGCGGGGCAGGAACCAGACCCTAGTCTTCGAGAGTCAGAGGTCAAAGTCGGGAAAACAGGAGCAGTGGCTCCCACTGCGGGTGAGCAGCTTGACAGAGCGCTCAAAGAGCACGAGATGAGCGTCGCCGCTTCAAACAAGGCTCAAGCGAGTCGCGTGAAGGAGGCAGCTTCCGCATCAAAGAGCAAGACTCTGGATCAATGGCTTGATGAGCGAGAGGCTGAATCAGAAGACGAATCCGAATATGAGGAAGTAACAGATTCAGAGGAAGAAGAGGGATCGACGGAATACGAAACCGACTCTGAAGAGGAGGAAGATGAAGAAGATGATGAAGAAGAAGACACGGACTCGGATGAGCACGAACAGGCACGGCAGCTTCTGGCCTAGAAGCATAGCCAGCTGCCGTGAGGGGTTGGTACTGAGCAATATAGAGCTATATACTCACTGCAAAAAAATGTAGACCTACAAGATATCCCTCTTGTTGCCAAAGCGAGGGCGGTGACCCTCAAGCGGCAGAATATGGGAAATGCATCTCTGGGGGTGTGAGCAACTTCGAAGTCGCGACTTCTTCTATTTCTTCGGACATGGGTTTCGCTTAGGCAACAGAAAGCTGATCTAGTTGATGAAAGCGGCCAACGCCCTTACAACTGCATTTTTTAGGTCTCCTACACTTGCTGCGTAATACGACCTCAGTTCCTCACGCATATCCACCCGCTTGGTCATGATGAGAGCTACTGCGGGAACTTTCCAGACAGACATATCTCCTTTCCAGCCAACCCGCATACAGTTTGTTTCCGAGTCTCTTCAGTCGAGCGTTTATTCTTGATTCTGTCTACCCACGTACCCCCGGCATTACACTTGCTCTTGTTCCCGAGCTTTTCGCATATCCAGCTGCCCGTTACCATTGTCTCCACGGCATTATTAGGCCCGCCTCTTCGCGATGCCTGGCCTACCGGGTGAGTAGCTACCACGCGCCTTTGCAGCTGCGATAAGCTTACCGCAGGAACTGATACCTCTGGCAGCTAGCATTGACCTCGATGAATGCATTGAGCGGCTGTATAGAAAGGAACTGTTGGCGGATTCAGTGATTGAGGCGATATGCGCCAAAGCGAAAGAACTATTGATGAAGGAGAGCAATGTAGTTCACATTGCGGCTCCCGTCACGGTAGTGGGAGATATACATGGGCAGTTCTTTGATATGATTGAGATCTTTAAGATTGGAGGCTTCTGCCCAAACACCAATTACTTGTTCCTCGGTTCGTATTCTGCCTGCTCCGGGAATGTTGCGGACCCCGCTAACTGGCGACTCCCTTCTATAGGAGACTACGTCGACCGAGGGTTATTCAGCGTCGAGACCATCTCTCTTCTCGTATGTTTAAAACTCAGATACCCGCAGCGCGTTCATCTCATCCGCGGGAATCACGAGTCACGCGGCGTGACCCAATCGTACGGCTTTTACACCGAATGCGCGCGAAAGTATGGCAACGCGAACGTATGGCACTACTTTACGGACATGTTCGACTTCCTCACATTGAGTGTTGTGATCAACGATCAAATATTTTGCGTACACGGTGGCCTTTCGCCTTCGATCCACTCAATAGACCAGATCAAAATCATCGACCGGTTCCGCGAAATCCCGCACGAAGGGCCTATGGCTGACCTGGTCTGGTCGGACCCGGACACTGAACGCGACGAATTCTCCTTGTCCCCTCGAGGCGCGGGCTATACGTTCGGAGCGCAGGTCGTTCGGAAGTTCCTCGAAGTCAATAGCATGTCGCATATCCTCCGGGCCCACCAGTTGTGTCAGGAGGGGTACCAGGTGCTCTACGACGACCGATTGAGTACCGTATGGAGTGCTCCAAACTACTGCTATCGATGCGGGAATCTTGCCAGTGTGCTGGAGGTCAGCGATACCGGCGAGCGGTTCTTCAATATATTTGATGCGGCTCCGGAGAATGATATCCATCGCGGGGAGCAGCAGGCGCAGCAGAACAAGGATGGGCAGAGTCCTGTGATCGACTACTTTCTGTGATACCCCTTCTTTTCTATATCAGATTTCATCTTTGCTGTTCTTCTTATTTGTCTATTATGTTCTCATGTGAGCGTTGCCTTTTGGAGTTTGGTAAAAAGATTCATTTATAGAGAGAGATGGTGTGGTATGTGTGGACACAGAATAAAGAGGGACAGTTATTCTTAGATCCATGGGCCAATTGAGTCTGAGTCAATCAGATACTCTGTTCACATTTACATGTGACACGCAATCCCGCAAACTTGTTCTTTTAGAGGCAAGTTGACACAGTTCCAAAGCCAGATAGGAGTCCAACGCTTGTAAATAGATAAAATATATGCTGTTCGTCATATGTACTCCGCCCAAAAAAGTCTACCAATCCTTCGCAATGGTGAATGACCACTCAAACTGGAGATGGGTCTTGTTGTCGTCGTCGACAAATTTGGAAACTGCGCTGTAACGGTCACGCGCCAGCATTCCTGAAGGCGCCTCTTCCTTCTGGACTGTGTAGGTAAAGAAAAGGGCATTAGCCACGCTCATCATACAATATCAACAAAGTCACAATCTTACACTTCTTTTCGTAGAAACGCTTGCCCGTTGTGTTAGGAGCGTAGCTTCCCTAAGGGCGAGTTAGCATACCAGCGTCTCCAATAGCAAGAAACACGATGGCGTACCAGCATCTCCTCATCCTTGCTTACTCGGATACCCCTGCGCTTGACGACCTGTAGGTATTTGAGTCCACTAAGCACATCATGGTGCACCTCGAATTGAACCTTGATCCGGAACGTCGCTCCCTCTTTGATGGTGAACGGCTTGTTCTTGAGGTTCTCGGCTGCACCAGGTGCAGAGACATCAATCACAACATCATCGCGGCCTTCAACTTCTAAGGCGAGAGACTTAATGATGCACCGTCTGGGGTCGTTGGGGTCTCCAATGGGTTCACCGGCGTTGAGCCCGAGGGAGGCCTTCCAGCGGTTCAGGGACTCGTCGTTCTTGTCTGGAGGGATCGCCGTATGATTAGTTCAATTGCAGAACGTCGAAGATACATGTTGCTCATAGTTGAAAAAAAGCAAGAGGAATCGAGGACTTTCACGTCCGATGGTAGGTAAGGGGGCTTCTACCCCACGAGGCAACTGCAGTCCAATCTGACAGATTGAAGACAAAGAGGCCCACATACCGAGTTCATTGTATTCAGCAATTGTCTTCTTCTCACCAAGCTTGAACCCCTCTGTCTTTGAGGCAACGAGATCTTCGTCGTGGTCGGCCATTGTGCTATGGTTTTGCGTACTGATATGGCGGGGTAGTTCGACACCGACAATTGGGGATGGGCGATAGCTTGGATAAGAGTCGCTAAAGATATGAGAGTGCTGCTGAGCTCGGGAGTTAGAATGGGTGACTGGAAAGATTGACAGAGATTGGCCATACCAGGGTAGAGTCCTAGATACAGGGTAAAGGTAGAAAGGACATCCAAGGGCTGAAGATGACTCCTCTTGAAGAGGAAGCCTTGTTGATGGAGCGGTGGACCTTAACTGAGGGGATTCCCGATCAGGCATAGCGTGCAAGCTCCTTTCCATGGGCTCATCGCGAATCCTCCTCAACGACGACCATTATTTTGGTTGGACATTTCCTTGAGAGTTCATTGAGAAAAGTGCTTGGAGAACATAACGTGTGTTGCATAGGAAGAGGGTAGTGCATGCTATGGCTCTTAGACTGATGTAGCAAGGGCTTGCTTGATAGATCGTTTTGTTCTTGAAGCAGGGATTATTATGGAATCCGGACGGGTTTCAAATAGCTCGAAACATGGAACCAAAACTCCAGCTTTGAACCAAATTCTCATTGGAGGTCTTGGGGGCGTTTGATTTGATCCTTGTCAGTCCTTGGGAACTCAGGATTCCTCGACCAGGATGGGTTAGGAGGTTGCTGCCCATTTGACCAGGCGACAAGGCACCAATACAGCCCGAAGGTAAAACCGGATACCGGGGCATGGATCCGCGATGGCTGATCTGGTCTCTTTTAAGGCAAGCGCCTCACAGATTTGCAATGATCCATTGGGTAATCGCGATGATAGTCGTTTTAGGGGGGATTAGTAAAATACGAGGGGTTGAAAGGTATGGTAACAGCACTCGAGACGAGAGTGCCCCGTCCTTATGAGGACTAATTGGTGTGGACTATTCATTCATTATTTTCCTCCCCTACTTTATCAAGTCCTGGATTGAATCTGGTCGTTTATCGGAGTTCGGTGTGTCGCAAACCAGTTCGTGTGCTCGCAGACTCTCCAAGCGATCGCGCTCCACTTAGTCGCGCTCTGGGTTGCTACTACACTTGGTGACGTCTTCAACAAACCTCGACCTATTCGGACAAAGACGCGCCTGCAACGTGGCCGACGTTCCGGCGTCGCAACCAACTTCAACCACCCCTCAAAGCGATAATACTCTTCCCCGCGAACATCTCCCTCGCCCCTCTGACATCGAACACGGTTATTCACCATGGTGCGATCGCTGCCGAAGAAGAACAACCCGCACGTCCTACCCGACGCGGCACCTGCCTGTAAGTCCCTGCTCTTCCCGGAGCGCGCCGCTCGAATCCTCGCACCTGCGATGGCCTTGCTTCGAGTATCTCGAGTATTTTGCGACTAATCAGCGATATAATTGATGTTTATTAGACGAGGAACTCCTCACGCGCCGCCGGCTGGGAAAGACGAACCTTTCAGTGAAACCCACACAGATTGGCACTTCCAATGCGACCAAGCCAGAAAACCTTGGCCCATTTGAATATGCCCATTTGCGCGCTCCTCTGCCCAAGGACTTGAAGGGGTCAGAGATCTTTCCGTCACACTCTCCCCAACAGCACCCCGAGACATACTTCCTGATGGTAAGTGGACCCGAAGTGAGCGGACGCCGAGCATCTTCTAATATAGAATGCCTTATCGCAATAGAGACGGAGCAAGGATGGTTTCGTTAGTGCGACTGGAATGTTCAAGATTGCTTTCCCGTGGGCCAAGCTGGACGAAGAACGGTCTGAACGCGAATACCTCAAGACACGCGAAGAAACGAGCGAAGACGAAATTGCTGGAAATGTTTGGATCTCTCCTGTACTAGGTGAGACCTTGTATGTGTCTTTGTGCTATTCTCGCCATTCTAACTGGAAGATTATAGCTCTTGAGCTCGCCGCGGAATACAAGATGTACGACTGGGTCCGCGCCCTGCTTGACCCCGCAGATATCATCCAGAGTCCATCCAGCGCGAAGAAGCACATTACACCCCCTCCCAGGTTTGATCTGCCGCCGATTCAAGCCCCCGAGGCGCTTGTACCTACATCCCGTGCCAGAAGCCGGCGATCCGCGTCACCTAGCAAGAAGGCGGGCACTCCGCGGAAGCCTAGACAAACGAGGGCGCAAAAGGAGGCATCTGCGGCTGCCACTAGCGCCGCCAACGCGACCCTTCAGAGCGCTTTGGACGACACAGTGTCCAGTGCAGATGGTGAAGTGAACGGAGATGTATTGCCCAGCGTGGAAGAAGAGAAGGAAGATGTCCAAGTCGAAGTCGCGTCTATCAAGGAAACGAAATTGACGCCAAGGGCTCGGAAGACCGCCGCCAGACTGGAGGGTTCCGATGACAAGGTCAAGATTGATATCAAGTCTGATGACACTGAAGGCAGCGGTGTCCAGACTGCGCAGACGACAATTTCCGTCGAGATGCCCATCGCGCTACCAGAAGCCCCATCTGCCGCGGAGACCCAGGAAATGATTGCCAAGGCAAAGGAAATGGTCAAGGAGGCCGTCAAGTTACAGCAGGACCCTGCGGAGTCATCGGTCGCCGCTAAGAAACGCAAGACTCAGGAGGCAGAGCTTAGTGATGAAGAGGACGAAGAGACCAAGACTCTGCGGACAAAGAGAGCCAAGGTCCTCGAAGAGAAGCTGAAACGCGAGCGTGTTCGCAACCGCGCCTTGGTCGGTGTGACTGCTGTTTTTGCGCTAGCGTAAGTGATCTGGGGTCCTTGGTTGCTCATGAGATTCTTCTAACTGTCTTTGCAGGGCTTCAATTCCTTACTTCTTTTAGATTCCCGACTCAAGCTTTTAGGACCTATCTGAGATAGCCATGCCGCCAGGCCGTGCCCAGCTTCCCAACCATGTTTCGGACACTTCTTATCTAACAACCCAATGAGCCTTTCCCCCTGATTCCCACATATCCTACGATTCAGTTTGGCCGCTTTGTTCTGGATTATTGCCCTCTTCATGAACCCCTCATCTCTTCCTCTGATGTCTGTGTTGAAAGCTTTGGCCCGTCTGATAACGCACCCTCCCCAGAAAGAATGATGTACTGTGTCGACCTTTTATCCCTTTATAATATCTCCTGCTTGGTGTCAGTGTCGCGCTTTTCGAGATAGTGGCTGCTGGCTGGATTGGAGGTTGAGGGATCTGAAGTATTTCGTTCTTTCCCACGTTCAATCTCTTGCCTCCTGTATTCCTGATATACATTTCTATAATCCCTTATCCTCTTTTACTTGATCCAATTCCCTTTCCCTTTTACCATTTAGCCGAAGAGACTCGTACCTATCAGAAGAAGATGTTATTGTTAGGGTTATTTAAGGACACTCAATACGAATCAGTTAAGATCAACTTGATCTAATTTGTCTTTACAAGCGAGGCTTACTTCAACAATTGCGCCGGTGGTGTACCGGTAACATAGTTGCCTTCCAAGCAACTGCACGGGGTTCGACTCCCCGTCGGCGCATACTCAAGTCTTTTTTTTTTTTTTACTCGTGTGGTCGACTTGTGGTTATGCCGCTTTTTGTTGACTCGATGCAAACATGCAAACAATCGTCATCGCCAAGCCTTTCCGATTGGCCTGGCCTGGAGCTCCAACGGCCTTTATTCCGTTCAACTTCCACCCGCGTAGCACTCATATCGTAGAAAGCGCCTCAGTTTCACGGCCTTTTGTTTGTTCTTGCTAGTAATGCAATGTCTCTTCCTGGCCTAGATCTCACCCAGCCTTCGGCAGAGAGGGAATTTGTCGCCGCACCACCATCGCAAATCAACCTCTCCCCAGGATCAGAATGGAGGTTTGAGGTCGCACACGGAACGACCGTTCGAGTCAAGGTGAGCTCCGCATGTCTTTCCTCTATCAAGATAATCATCGTCGTATTCTGCTTTGTGCCCGCTGAACAAGACTGATGCGAAAGGCGGACTGAATCCAGCTCCAAACCGGCACAGCAGAGCTTTTCGGCACAGAACTCGCTCCCTCACAAACGTATACATTCTCCGGGACAAAAGCCGCAATATACACATGGCACGGATGCACACTTGAAGTCAGCGCCGGCGATGCAGTCATCGGACTGGACGGGATGCCCGCGGCCACCGCCGCGCACGGCGGCTTCGGCGCAGGAGGCTGTCAAAGCGAATACGTGGCCGAGGAAACGCCGATGGTCGAATATGCGAATATACACTTTGCCCTCGAGGCGTTACGGAATGAGGCTAAGGCGACGGGGAAGGACGGCCCCCGTGTTCTGATTCTCGGCCCTGAAGATGCCGGCAAGACGAGCCTTTCGAAGATCCTGACCGCTTATGCGGTGAAAGTTGGGCGGCAGCCTATTGTTGTGAACTTGGATCCGACAGAGGGGATGCTCAGTGTTCCTGGGACGCTTACGGCTACGACGATTCGGGCGATGTTGGATGTTGAGGAGGGGTGGGGGAGCAGCCCGATGTCTGGGCCTAGTGCGGTGCCTGTCAAGCTGCCGCTGGTATACTTCTATCCGATGGTGAATCCGCTGGAGGCGGAGGGATCAGTGTATAGGCCGATTGTGTCGAGATTGGCGCTTTCGGTCATGGGTAGGATGGCGGAGGATGAGGATGCGAGGGAGACGGGAATTATTGTTGATACGCCGGGAATTTTGAGTCAAAGTCGGACTGGGGCTCTGGAGATGATTAACCATATTGTGACGGAATTCGCAAGTATGTTGATGTTACTGCTTTTGGAGGGTTCTATATGGATGCTGACAGGATCTAGTTACGACGATTTTGGTTATAGGTTCGGAGCGGCTGTACAGCCTTATGATGAAGAACTACGATAACAGGCCGTCGTCAAGCGCATCCGCTGTGGCATCGGACGAGCGAATTACGGTCGTGAAGCTATCAAAGTCCGGTGGGTGCGTCGATCGAGACGCATCGTTCATGAAAGCAGTGCGAGAGTCGCAGATCCGAACATACTTCTTTGGCAACCCGGTTCCCTCGACAGGGTCGTCGGCGCTATCATTATCCGCATCCACGAACGTTACACTATCGCCGCACGCGCAGCAGCTAGACTTCAACACCCTGAACCTCTATAACTACACTACGCAATCAGCCGAAGACGAGCAGGATGAGGATGACTATGACCCCGCGCAATTAACGACTGGGGACTCATTCCTGCCTGGGGGAGACAACGATGCCGAGTGGTCCACACAGCGGCAGAGCGAGAACGCATCCTCCTTGCTCCCCGGACTCAGCCCAGCCAATGAAACGAATCCCGTTACCGCGGCCGGCAACGCGCTCGTGCCGATGAAAAGGGTGCTACCCCCGGCTCCCTCCGCATTGGCGAACACGCTCCTCGCGATAACGCATTGCGCCCCGACCAGCAATCTTGCGGAGATCCGCGACGCGAGCACAATGGGGTTCCTGTACGTCGCTGACGTCGACGGCGAACGAGGCAAGATCAGGGTCCTGGCGCCAGTGGGGGGCCGCGTGCCATCAAGGGCGATCATCTGGGGCAAGAAATGGCCGGCGGAAGTCGTCGGCCTTGTTGGATAAGGATTTCTATGAACACATCCGGGATTCGGGAAACAGGGATGCAATATGTTTGTCAACTACGTAAGTTGTGACGAAGCAGCCTTAAATCTAAAATTAATCTATACCAATGAAGTGTCAGAGTGATTAAAGCGGAGCATAAGCCACTGGGACCGATGGGCCGATGGCGATGCTCTGGCGAACGAGCAGCTCCTTTAGGCTCCATGAACGGAGGTTTTAGAATTTAGTCTGGTTTAGCTTCAGGGGTGCAGAAAATCAAAAGCTGGAATTCAAAAAAAGATAACCAGAAAGTCTAACTCCGAACCTCCGATACTCCGCTACACTCTGTTGTCACTACAGGATTGTCTTCTTGTCCACGATCGACGCCCGATCAGACAATAACTCGATCCACCAGCTTTCTTTCCACTTTTCTTCACCCACACTTGCTCCTCCTTCTTCTCCAGCAGGTCTGACCATCATGACCCTTTTCCTCCCTCCTCATCCTCCTCCTACCTCGTCCCCTTACCTCCCCTCCTCACTCCTCAAACCTAAAGAGAACACCCCCCATACCTATCCTACAACCGGGGGATAGGGGGAGATAATAGGATCATGTTCTGCTACCGCTCCTACCGCCACACCCCTCGCCGCCGCCGCCAACGCCTCCTAACACTCGCCCTCCCCTTCCTCGCCTTCATCACCTTAACGCTCCCCTTCTACCTAATCTACAAACCACCGCACCTCCTGATTTCCTACCTCGCCCACAAATACCCAGACATCCTCTGGCACGTTCCACACCTAAAACCCGGCACGACGTCACCGATAATCGCTCTCACAATCGACGACGCCCCATCGGAATTCACACCTGAAATCCTCGACATCCTCAAAGAAAATGATGCGCACGCAACCTTCTTCCTAATCGGCGACCATATCCCTGGAAGGGAATGGGTTATGCGCGATGCGGTGAACCAGGGGAATGAGCTGGGGAACCATGCGATGTACGATGAGCCGAGTAAAGATCTTAGTGATGAGGAGCTGGCCGCGCAGATCCAGGCGGTGCAGAGTCGCATTCAGAGAATCTATGCCATGGCGGGGCACCAGGCTGAGGCGCACGATGAGGTGAAGGTCGGTGATGTTGAGCAGAATTCGCTGTTTGGTGCGGCGGTTGAGGCGGGGCCCGTGGTTGGGTTGAAGAATGTTGGCGGGGGGAGTATTACTGCTGCTGGGAATGGTGACTCTTCTGCGGAGGCAGAAACAACGACGGCGACGACAACTCTGGAACCGGGGAAGTATTTCCGGCCGGGGTCGGGGTTCTTTACGGATAGGATGAGGGCGCTTGTGCAGCGTGAGGGGTTCCGGCTTGTGCTGGGTAGTGTCTATCCGCATGATCCGCAGATCAGTGTGCCGTGGGTGAATGCGGCGCATGTGCTGAGTATGGTTCGTCCTGGGAGTATCATCATTGTGCATGATAGACGGCCGTGGACGGCGCCCATGCTGCGGATTGTACTACCAGAGCTGAAAAGGAGAGGGTATAGACTTGGGACGGTGTCAGACCTGTTGAAGGAGGGGGCTTCAGTATAGACTTTCTTTTCTACTTTCGTTGCATTTTTACTTCCGTGATATCCGTGTATTATTGTTATATTGTACAGGTCTTTCTGTGTATATAGAACGCTGGGATGCATGGTGTACACTACAGGACAGGACGGGGCAAGGGAATGACCAACCCAAATAGACTAATATGAATATATCAACCAAAACACCAGGCAATATTCCCGACCAAATCAGAACTCCTTAACATTAAAAGAGAGACAGCAAGATGCGTCAACCCCAAAATACCCAAAACTCCACACATGAAACAAAAGAACAATTCACTCGTATCGTTTCCAGTCCTCCAGGTTCTTCCGCAGGTCACCAGACCTGTCGTAGCCCCTGTCCTGATCTTCCAGCAGCTCGTCCTGACGGTCGCGGAACCGCTGCTCAGCATCGAACCGTGTCAGAGCCATCCACTTGATGAACTGCAGGTCGTCACGTCGCACTGCATCGTTGAACTTTGCCCGAATACGCGGCGAGTACAACTGGCAGCTGGCCTCACGGCTGCTTGATTTGTCACCCGGCAGCAGGCGTGGAACCGTTGAGAACTCGCGTGCTATTGGGTGCCGTGCCTTGCAGAGAGGCCAAACAATGTCGTCGTAGCAGTCCTCGCATACAGTGAACTCCGGAAGCTGCGGCATGTAGTGCCACGTGTTGAGGATTAGCCGGCTCCGGCGGCAATCCCGGAGGACCACCTTGCGTCGTGCATAAGCCAAGAATTCGCTTAGGTCGGGCGTTTTCCCCTCCTGCTCGGCCCTGTTTGCTGCGAAGTCCAGCGCATCAATGTAGCGGATGAACCGAGGACTGTCCACCACAAAGTCACATACGCGTTCCTGTGAGGAGGTGCAGCGCTCAAAAGTCTCACGATGCGCTGGCATGAGGAGTCGGATGTTTCGGACACACGCAGAGCAAACATTGAATTGAGGCAGATATGCACCGGTATCGGGATCAATGATGCGGTACCAATACTGGTCGCTGATAATCCGGCCAGTGCATGATTTCCCGCCAGGAGGCGACGCGGTGATGTCATCTAGAAGATCGAGATTGTCCAGCTTCTTCTTGAGTGTCTGCATCCATGCTAGGCGGGTCCAGGGCTCACTCATGGCGCAACGGATCGGCTCGTTGCGTGACTTGGGTGCGCTCAGCATAATGCGGTCACGAAAGATGGTTTTGCGCATCTGCTTGACACAGGATGGGCAGATGTCAAGGTGAGTCAAGCCGTCAATTGTGTGCCAGTCTTGATAACCCGCAACAGGCACTGATCTCGGACACGGCGCTAGAGTAAGACTAGCATTTGGTGACGATGATCGGCTTAATTCCGGAGACATATCCTGCTTTTGCACCTGTGTGAGCGCGGTTTCGTGGTCAACCTTCACCAGAGCCTGGGAGGGGAACTCTAGCGGCTCTTCTGCGAAAGACACAGTCCGTCGGCGAGCCGGCTGGGCAGGTGCGGGCTGATCTCGGTCTAGAGACTGGGATCTGAGTGCCGATTTCAGAGGCGCCGGTGCAGACTCCTGTGGCTTTGTTTGCCCAGTTGACGCTTCAAGGCTAGGAAACGGGGTAGTGCCAGAAGAGGCATCGGAAGGCGGGTCTGCAGGCCACGCACCAGGAGGCTGAGTTGAAGCGATCGGCTTCTCCGGGCTTCGAGAGCCTGAAGAATTCGAGGTATTGCGTGGAGAGGGATATTCATGGCCAGCAGCAGAATCGCGCTGCTCACGTCGAATCTTCAGCTTTTCCTCCAATCTTTCCGCGATGCTTAATCCCGGAGAAGGCGGCAAGTTGCTGTCAACCTGAGTTGGAGGACTGTCGTTCGAGGTAGCGCCGTGGGACAAGCGCATAGTGGCCGAGTCAGAGGCATACTCAGAGGTTGGGCGAAGCTCAACTGGTGAGGGCTTGTTAGAAGGGTCGTACTTGGTAGTGGCCTGCCGCTTTGTTGTGGAAGTAGAGGAAGTGCGCGGCCCTTGCGCTGGAGGGTTGGGCAAGGACTGAAGCGGAACGGTTTGACTCCTTCGAGGGACTTCCGGCACTGGATCTGTGGAAGCACCAGCAGGAGAAGCTTTTGGCGGCGCACTCCTTGGAGGGACAGGCGGATATTGAGGAGCTTGGCTTGTCTGGGGGAGGTCAGGCAGTGGCCTCGCGGGGATCTTGTCCACGCGGACGCCAGATTCTCGGACAACTATCTCTGGCTGGTAAGAAACAGTAGACGACCGGGTCCTGCGGTGTCCGGCTTCCTGCGAGGGTACTGGGGGGCGGGCAACAGACTGGCTTCGGTGTGTCGCATCGGGTACTCGCTTTGAAAGCTCAGGTCTTCTCGGATCCGTGTCCCGAACTGGCTCCGGCTGGTTGGGGATGGTAGACGGGTCTCTTTGCTGTTTCTCCGAAGGTATTGGTAGGGGGCGGGATGGAGGAGACGAGTTCTTCTGCGCTGCATTTGACACCTGCCTGGGCGGAAGCGTCTCGATTCGCACGTTGATATCCCGCGCATGCTCCGAGTGTGTTCTGGCATTCGAGCCAGCTGTCTGTTCCTTCTCCCGACGCAATGAAGGGGTGCGTGATGGAAGGGTAAGTACCTTGGGTGCTACATCTGGCATACGCTTGGGTGGAAGGCTTTCAGCCCGTACGTCAGTATCCCGAACGACCTCAGCTCTGGTAGGTGAACTAGACTTTTGCTCCCTTTCCCGACGCACGGAGGGTGTGCGGGATGGCAAGCTTTGACCCTTTTGTATCATCTGTGGCACTGGCCTTGGTAGAAGCACATTTTCTCGCACCGCAGTGTCCCGGGTGGGCTCGGGGCGAGGTCTAGTAGGTGAACCAGACTGTTGCTCCCTCCCTTGACGCATTGACGTAGTGCGTGATGGGACGCTTTGACTCTTTAAAGCCACATCAGGCACTAGCTTCGGGGGAGACATGTCCATCCGGACAGGAGCCCGATGAGAGGGTTCAGGCTGGCGGGAAATAGGTCTCTGGCTGGGACCGTAAGTGTTGGTATGAGGCACATGAATCTGATGCTGCGTGGGCTGCAACGGCTGCGGTGGTTGAGTCCTGGGTCGTACATCCTGTGGTTTGGTTGGGCTCCGTGAGCGTGGTTTTCCTGGTTCCTGAGACTGGCTCTCCCCGGCCGGGTGGCGCAATGGGTTCTGTTTTGGATCCTGCTGGTTATCCACTTTGGGGGCACGACGGCTTGCTTTGATTCCAGACAAATCATTTCTGGAAGATGACTTCTCTTCGACATTAGAAGAGGCTTTGGAAGGAAACAGTATCTCAACGTCCAGGATCATTGGGTACTGATTGACGGTTCCTCGGGCTTTGACACCTTCAATTCCAGGGAGTTCTCCACGGTGGGAAGATCCATTCAATTCCCTGGATAGGGACTCAACTTCATCCTCAACAAAAGGGACGGGGGGGCGCTGTGGCCGCTTGCGCCAGCGCAAGGGCATTCCGAGGGTCGCAGAAATATACATAGCAAGCAGAAAGAGTCAAGCAAGGCAATCCAAAGAAGAAGTCCTGGGTTCGGTCCGATTGTGATCTGGGGGGCAGATCCAAGTTACCCAGTAGCGGTGATAAAGTAAATTGCAGTCAGTTTCCAGGCAGTAAGCATGATAAGATTGTCGTGTTGTTTGAGAGTGAGTTGCTGAAACGCCGTGGGGCCAAAATATAGAAGTGGGAATCAACAAAGAACAGCGCGTAGAACAACAGGTCGAGGCCGTCGAGCTATATTAAGTGATAAAGAAGTAGTAATACAGGGGTATCGTGATATACAAATCTCAAAGAAAGAGAGAGCAAAAGGCAGCGAGAGGGTGATGAAGCCGGCATATAAAGCTCCAGGGGAGCGGACCTGTCGGGCAGCGTCATTGACGTTTTGGCCCTATGAGAGCTTCAGCCCACACGTTGGGCGGCAGAGGCAACGAATCAGTTCCGTAATTAATGAAACAGAACGACAGTGGCTGAGCTCTGAGCATTGCGAATGGTCGAAATTTCTGATCGAGGCAGACTTTTGAAACCCATTGTATGCACTCCGTACATGGGGCCTACGCCGAGTAAGAAAAAAGCGAACGATTGCCCTGAGTGTGCAGACAACAACAGAGAACAGCGTTGCGAATGGCCAGCAGATGGTGGAGAGGAAAAAGAAAACAAACACAGCCATTGCCACAATCTAAAGGGGGACCAATGCCAGAGGGACGTTGGCACAGCGCGGCCACTCAGCCTTCGTCGACGCCAATTCGTATCTATATTGGGCGCCCCGGCCCCATGAGTTCAGATTCCATTGGGATAGAGTGGCCTCATGGGATGGTTCAGCGATGCTGACGGTGAGTTGTCTGGTTGGTATTTCAATGTATCGCCGTCATTGACTCATTGGAGTGTCGAGCATCGTGATTGAGAGGGCGATCGACGAAGATCTTATTTGACAGATGACGATGGTGGATTGAAGGATTCAAGGATGCATGTCGGCGATATAGTTGGGCAGCAGTGTTGTCATGTCACATGTGCACAGCGAATTTGGTGCGAGTCATAAAATGGCTGACTACGCAATGCTCGAATCCCTCAGGGAGCGGAATTGCCGACGGGAATCGGAATGGTTCCGATCTATTCATCCGACGGAAGCGAGAAGCTTATGCCATTAGCATGAGAGAATTTGTAGACAATCATCATAAGCTAATAAATGAGATCTATTATTGACTGAGCGAGACAATCAGTCGATTAGTAGCCGTAGCCTGGAGAGGATGCGAATTCGCAATATGGAGGGGAGATTCCGGGGAATATCCCAACAAATGAAGTCATGGCGGGATGTCGAGCGAGGTACCTCCTGTGGAAGTTCGATGACAAATCCACAATCATAAAGCGCGAACCCCTCCCGGGCATATACATCGATGTAATTCTTCGTCTCATCAATGTATCGCCGAAGTCTAGTTCGGATAACCTCAGTGTCGCCTACCCCTCCCTCGAGTCGCATAGCTTCCCGCCTTTCCTCGCTGCAATCCCATTTCCAGCCGCTTCAATCCTATATCGCACCTCGAACCCCGCGCTCGTTTCCCCGCAGCATCAGCACCATGACCATCCCAAGCACCCAGAAAGCTATTGTCGTCGAGAAGACCGGCGGCCCCGAGGTCCTCGAGGTCCGATCGGACTACCCCGTCCCCACCCCAAAAGAAGGCCAACTCCTCGTGAAGAACCAAATCTGCGGCATCAACTACATCGATACCTACTTCCGGACAGGCCTCTACCCCTCCGAGAAGCCAGAAGTCCTAGGCCGTGAGGCCGTCGGCACCGTCGTCGCCCTCGGTCCCGGCGAGAACCCGTACAACTTCCAAGTTGGCGATCGTGTCGCCTGGATGGCTACCAGCGGGTATGCGGAGTATTCCGCCGTGCCCCAGCTGAAGACGGTGAAGGTACCCAAGGAGATCTCGGATGAGGACGTGATGGCTTCGTTCCTGAGCGGCTTGACGGTTCTGTCGTTTGTCAAGGAAACGTACCCCGTTCAAAAGGGTGACTGGGTCCTGCTTCATGCCGCTGCTGGTGGTGCTGGGTTCCTCATGACTCAAATCCTGAAGTCAATCGGGGCTACGGTTATTGGGACAGCTGGAGGCCCGGAGAAGGTTGAGCTGGTGAAGAGTTTGGGCGCGGACTATGTGATTGATTATCGCAGCGAAGAAGGAAAGGACTGGGTCAAGAAGGTGAAGGAGATTACCAATGGTAGGGGTGTGGATGTTGTGTATGACTCTGTTGGAAAGGATACATGGGAAGGCAGCTTGGAGGCCGTGAAGCGCAAGGGGACAATCGTCTGGTTTGGAAATGCCAGTGGTCCTGTCCCCCCTCTGCCCCTACCGTGAGTATCAATGATTTGAAATATTGCATTGGAAGTCGATGCTAATCTTAAAAACAGCAAACTTAGCCCTAAGTGTGTCAAGATCGCCCGACCGACTCTGTTCGGCTACATCGAGACTCGAGAAGAGTTCGAGTTCTATGTCAATGAGCTGTTCGGTCTTCTCAAGTCCGGTGAGCTGAAGGTCAAGGTTCACAAGGTTTATCCTCTGGATCAAGTCGCACAGGCGCATACTGATCTAGAGAGCCGAAAGACCACCGGAAAGCTGCTACTGAAGGCATAGATGACCGGGACCAATAGGCCGTCTAAATAAATGCTAACTGCAGCGAATCTCTAATGTATCAAGCCTGAATACCCACCAAAGCCCCATACCACAAGTTCTGGAAGGACCATGCTCCGTTACTCAGCTTCGGCTTCATCGTCATCCTGGTCTGCATCTTTGGCGGCCAACTCCCGAGGCTTCTTCCATCCTATCATGAGATCATTGGGAAGCGATGTGTAGATAGAAGAGTAAGCCCTGATAATGTCCTCGAAGTAGTGGAATCCGCAATTCAGTTCCCAAATACGGGCGATGATCTTCATTCCAGGGTAACAATGCTGAAGCAAGCTCTCCTCCAAGAAGAACGTAAACTCCTCCATAGGACGGTCCCCATTGATCCACTGCTCTTGCTCAGCCGGGGAGAGATCACGCCCGGGCATATCGGGATCGTAGTAGGTTTTTCCGTACAGCTTTCCGACAGGGTTAAGGTCAGGGGCATGGGTGGCATAGAACTCCCGCTCTTCGTCGCTGAGCAGACACATTTTCGTCACTTCGAAGCCGTCGAGATCGTCCAGCAGCGTTGCCTTTAGACTGCCTTGCGCGTTCATTTCCTTGAACGACGAGGCGAGCTCATCTGACCCGACAACTGCTAGCGCGAACCTCATCACCTTGTGCGCAATGTATTTGGTCATCTGTATCTTATCGTCCTTGGGGTTCTTCCACTCGTTGTTCTCGGTGTACACATCGTGCTCAAGACCGCCAAAAATAGTAGAGCAGGCCGTATTGAAATCTCCCGGTCCATTTGCAGTGAGCTGCTGGTTCTTCCACAACTCCTCCGTGGCGATATCGCACGATTTCCGAGCCGCATCGATGTTCTCTTTGTATTCTGGGCATACGTCGTGGTAGAGCAGATAGGACAAGAAGCTGCGGATTGTGACGGTGGCTAGTTTTATCATAGCCTCATCGTCGGGGTTGAAATAGAAGGGAAAGTAGGAGGTCCTATCGGGTCAGCCAATCGTAGCAAGTCTTGGTTAGCTCACTTATTCTTACAAGAAGCCTTTTACCACAGTATCAAAGTCAATAGCCAAATGTGAGTTCTCACGTTTGATTGCTGTCCTTGCTCTTGCTAGTAGGATCTGCTCGGAGTCCAGTTCCTTGAGGTCGCGGTCATCGGATCCTGCAAACATATTGGGGCCAACGTCGACTCCTCCATAGCTAAGATATTTGTGAAACACCTCCAAGCGGTCTGTCTCGATGCGACGATTCTTGTGGAATCTTAGCAGGGCGTCTTCGACTCGGCTATACTAGTGTTAGTATGTTTCGAAGCCATGGGAGGAGTGCAGCCTCTTACTGAATGATAGGTCGAGATCTTCGCAAGGGCTCGTCAGCAAATACTCATCATGTGCAAGGTAAACCAACTCACACATGGTATAGTTCCTGTTCAAGCTGGTGCTCTTCAGCTGTGATTGGCGCATCAACATAATACTCCTCGAACCCAGTCGGTTTGTTCTGCGGAGGTAAGTCACAAGCCATAAGAGTAGAGATGCCTGGTGACACCGTACCTTTCCCCTTTTGCTTTTGGGCCGTCTGTTCTTCTTCTTCTTCTTCTTCTTGGGAGGATCCTGGAGGGGAGGAGCCGCGATATCTCCGAGAACCTCTTCTGCAAGCATGGTGGGCTAGGCAAGCGGAGGATCAAAGAAGTGTTGGCCGTGTTGAGAAGAAGCTGTGATGACACGGATTACGAAGAGATTAAAAAAGAATGTGAGGGAAGGAAAGGTCAAACCCCTTGAGGTGATTTATAAAGAGGATCTGAGGAGGACTTGGGAGAGGGAGCAAACAGAAGGTTGCCCAGGTGCTGCATGTTCACTTTTCAACCGGGATGAATTCATTGTGAAATATTGTAAGATGACTCGCCTAGGTAAAGAAGTGAAGCAATCCAGAGCTGAAAAGCATCTACATGTATAATCACAACAAACTATGTCAGTATTAAGTGTAACAAGAGCGGGGATGGTGACCGAGGCCCTAGTGAGGCAATGGACCTTGCCCGGGTGAACGAGGGCAACAGGGCGAGAGAGGCCCGTGAGAGCTGAAATGCGGGACACAATGAATATGGAGACTGCCCAGGTGAATTTATAAAGCCCGACCACTGAGAACCCCATCAAGAAATCATAAGAAGAACAGCCGTACCTCGCTCTCAAGCTGAGAATCAGGAAAACATGGGTACCTAACCCCTTGTCATAAGTACCAGTCGAGAAAGCTGCGCGATCCCGTTTGCCTTTCGAGACACCGGCCGTTGCGAAGAACGTCTTTGTCCTCGCTAGGATTGCCGTCTCCTCCGCTTCATCTTCTCTTCATTCATATTATATCCAGCCCTCTTGCTTCTTTTTGGGCCGTTTTCCACTTCAATTTTTCCCTATTTCGTGTCATTGACTATCTTGTTCTCTCCCTTTTGCAGAGTTATCGTTTGTTCTGCGGCAGATGCGGGATGCCGTTTAGTGTTTGTGGAGCTTCTGACTGTTGATGAGCTGATTGAGCTACTGTATCGTTCTTCTGCTACCTCTCTCCTGTCTTTTAGCGACTCAAACACCTCGCATTCAGCCATGCCATCCTCATCGAGATCTGACAGCTTGAAAAACCAGAAGCTGGACAACGATAGCTTCGTTGCTTTCGATCACGCCGCAGCTGGGCAGTAAGTGCTTCCTGGATCCTGCCCCCTGCGACACAGCCCTGTGAAACGCGTCAGAAACCGTATTCCCTGGCTGCCAGTGGATGATTTGATCCTGGAATTCATGTCCCGCTCTGGCTTGCAGATTCGTTCTTTTGCGATCGATTTTCCCGGATCCTTGGAGCTCGTAAGGCTGACTTTCCTTTCTTTTTCTGCCGCAGCGACGGTGTCCGCTGCACCACCTCTGGTTCCTTTATCGCGAAGCCTTGCACCGCGCAAGAAATCGCTTTCTACGAGTCGACTGCTCTTCATCCTGCTTTTCGCGAATTTATCCCGACTTACGTCGGAACATTAACAACCGCCGACCAGGACCAACCAGCTATTTCGCTCGCTACCACGACAGCAGCTCAGCAGGGAGCTATCGTCCTTCCGGACTCGGATCCATCGTTGACCTCAGAAACCCCGATCACCAGCGCGACCGCCCAAACGATCGCATCGATCAGCTCAAGTACAGTTGACGCAACATGGACTCCCTCTGGTGGGAAGAAAATTGATACTGGGTTATCCATTGTATTAGAAAATGTCGCCTCCGGCTTCAAGCGGCCGAATGTTTTGGACGTGAAGCTCGGCGCGAGACTCTGGGCTGACGATGCCATTCCGGCAAAACGGGCGAAGCTGGATGCGGTAGCCAAGGAAACAACTAGCGGGTCGCTTGGGTTTCGAATCGCAGGTATGAAGGTTTGGACAGGTGTAAATGGAGAAGCCGAGGCGGGAAGCAAGACCAATCCCTACATCACCCGGCATGAGAAATCGGACGGCGAAAAAGGCGAGGTGACTGAACGTGATGGCTATAAACACTATGATAAGTGGTACGGGCGTTCTTTTACCACAGATAACGTCAAAGGTGGCTTAGAGACCTTCCTTGCGGGCGCAAAGACGGCCGGTGTCGACCGCTCCAAGTTGATAGCCAAGAGACTGGCGAACGGACTGAAGCGTGTGCAAGAAGTCCTGGAATCGGAGGAAAGCCGGATGTATTCCGGCAGCGTGCTTATCATCTACGAAGGGGACCCAGAGGCCATGGAGCTTGCTCTGGAGGAAGAGAAGAGGGCACAAGAAGCCCCCAAGCAAGAATTCGACGAAGAAGATGAGGATGAAGATGGCTTCGATGGTTTTGAGCTCAAGGAGGGTGTGCCATTCGACATAGCTGGTCTCCCAGCTGGGGAGAATGGGATATCCAACCAGACCATCAACATCACCATCGACCCTGAAACTGCTCAGCTGGGAGACTTGGAGGACGAAGAGGAAGAGGAAGATGGCCCGAAAGTACATGATCTTCGTCTGATCGACTTTGCGCACGCGAGCTGGACTCCCGGCCAGGGACCGGACGAGAACGTGCTCAAGGGAGTGCGCAATCTACTTCGCATTTTTGAGGAACTATCTACAGAGTAGATTCACTCATCTGCGACAAGCCATTCGTCGTCGCTGGCGGCTTCGAATGGAGACATCTATACCACATTCCTGCATTAGCCTAGCTTATACTTCGATAGCGGGTCATATTCCGGACAATTTCAACCTTGGCTTTGGAAATGACTTGATTAACCAATGCGAAATCTTAGCATCACATTTATCGTCTGTACAGTCAAGAATAACGATTAGTTACCCCAATTTTGATGATGTCATTCAGCCTTATGGGACAAGCTTTGGCTGATTTGCAACTCTTATTGTTCGGAAATATACTTCGGATACGAGGTCAAGTCACGAGCTACCCGTTCAACACCAGGCAACAGAAATCCTTAAATTTACTACTTTGCCTCCTCACCCACCTTTCTAACGCGCCACAGATCTGAAATCCCCGTTTCCCATGAAGATCGTCATCATCGGTGGAGGCATCTCCGGATGCACAGCATTCCTTCAGTTTCGCAAGAACCTACCAGGAGAACACGATATCACCATCTACGAAGCCTACGACACTCACATCGACACAACAAACGAAGACCGCGATGGAGAAATCCATTCATCTACTCTAGTCGTTGGCGGCGGGCTAGGCCTCTTTCCGAATGGTCTCAACGTCCTCAAGCGTTTGGATGAAGATATCCTCTGCGATATCATTCGTGGCGGGTACCCCATCGCGCACCAGGACTTGAGATCGAAGAATGGGACTTTACTTATGCGGATGGATCCCACAGCTGACCCTGAGCAGGACGGCAAGGGAATGCATCTTCTCGGAACTAGTCGTCACTCCCTGTGGAGGAACTTGCGGTCGCGCATTCCAGATTCTGATATCCAGACCAAGCGGGTGCTTAAAATCGTCGCGAACCCTGATGGGAGGAGCATAGTGTACTTCACAGATGATAGCCCACCTGATGAGGCTGATTTGGTCATTGGTGCGGATGGCATAAAGGGCATCACTAAGGAGGCTATCTTTCCGGACAGGGAGGACCTCTATACGCCGGAATATCAGTAAGTAGTAGAGCATTACGGCTCTCGCACTGGGATACCGCTGATTGTACAGGGGCCTCGTGGGAGTCGGGGGCTTTATTTCATCGGACGAGGTCAAAGATCTCGTCGATGATGGCTCGATGAACTTGGTCTTTGGGGGAAACGGATTCTTCGGATACTTCTTCTCGACCAGCGCGCCGTCTGCGCCCAACCGTGATTCTGTGTACCATGTCTCCAAGCCAGGCGAGTTCCTAGGGTGGTGGTCGACCTATGCGGTGGACGAATGCCCTGACCCAAAATCGCTTGACATGGAGGCGGTCGCGAAGCAACTACGAGAGAGACATGCGAGCTGGAGGAGTCCTGTGATACAGAAAATCCTGGCATCCCTTGAAGTGAAAAACATGTACCCCACATGGACCTCTCCTCAGCTTCCGACTTGGGAGCGTGACGGTATTGTTCTTGTCGGGGATGCAGCGCATGCCCTACCTTCTACTTCGGGGCAGGGATCCTCTCAGGCTCTCGAAGATGTTGAGGCATTCACAATGTTGCTTAGCCATGCTCTGCGTGGTGTCCCCCAGGAGTGTTCATCTGATCTCAAGCTGTACAAAACCGCTATCACGACAGCTGCCAGACAGTATATGGAGATTCGCCGACCGCGGGTTGAGGGCATCCTTAAGAACGCCCAGCGGATGCAAAACAGTAAGCGTGATATGAACGTCATTGCTGAGTATATGATGTATTCCGCGATGTGGATTGCTGGTATGTCTGAATCCCTGCTCTCTTTCGGTTTGTGGTCTCGCTCACAGGTATAGGATGTTTCCCGGGCATGATATCACGATCTTTGAAGAGTGTGATCAACTATAATATTGCCGATGAGGTAGCGGCTTTTATCGAGCAACAGAAGGAATAACTTGATCTCACTTGATGTTGCTTAGGATTGTACTATACATAATGGTTAATCAACTCCCCTCGCATTAATACCAAATTAAGGCATAAGGGTCAAGGTTGGTCTGGTCCACGAGGCTAAGCCTTGAGACAAGATTTACAAACGTTCTCCACTCCAGGCTGTCGGGCTTGACTACCATTCTCGGCCCATTCGGGCTTCGGGCGAAATATGAATCACTGACGGATCATCGAGGTTCTTCCGCTGACTCGAGAATCAAGATGAGGAAATCCCCTCCGTTCAGGCTACTTGAGGCTACATATGGCTGACAGAGTCCTACACGCTTATTGATCCATGATCGATGTCCTAGCAAAACTCTTTGAAGTCTTGCCGACAATGGCTCGGTGTCCAGGCCGAATGGACCCTTCGGGTCCTCATTGGCGGGCTCGTTTGTATCCGAACCACTCCACTCATGATCGGAGATAGGGAAGCGAGAGTGAATGATTAACAATCGACTAGCACATCCTAGATCTCCTAGTCTTGCTGTCCAGGTATGAAAACTCTTTCGTCCCTCCCAATTCTCGGCCACGGCCAAAGAAGCAGCAACTGATTCAACTATGCAGTCCTATCTTCAGTATCGCCGCATCGGGCAATCGGTGCGCAAGCAGTTTTCCGAGCATCCAGAATGGGCTGGTCGAAACATCGCGAGGAACGATGTCACTGCTGATAATGGCGAGAACAGCGACCCAGACCCAGAGAAACGATCAGCACTGCGGCCATTCTCTCTGCCCCCAGGAGTCTCACGGAGAGAGATTGCTGGGACTAATGGATCGACCGAGACTCTATTCATTGTTGGCTGGCAGCACGACAACGACCCAGCAAACCCACACAACTACAGCATGACGAGCCGAGTAACAGCCACACTGATCGTCTCGGTACTCGCTTTCGCAGTTGGCGCGGCGTCTTCTATTGAATCGGCCGTGCTACCACAGAATAGTGCAGCCTTCGGCGTCAGCGAAGTGGTCGCTTCACTTGCAACGGGAATTTACCTGCTCGGATTCGCCGCAGGTTCCCTCGTCTCTGGACCGTTGTCAGAGATCCTTGGCCGCAATGCCGTCTACATCGGATCTCTTACCCTTTTCATGATCTTTATCATGGCGAGCGGACTTGCTCCCAACATTGGCGCACAACTAGCCTTTCGGTTTCTTGCCGGTGTATTCGGTTGCCCTCCCCTTACGTGCGCTGGTGGCACGATCGCGGACCTCTGGAATCCCCTCGAGAAGACCATTTACTTTCCCTTGTACGCCATTCTGTCCTTCGGTGGCCCTGTCTTTGGCCCTGTGATATCATCCTATATGGGCCAAGGCACGCTTTCCTGGCGCTGGACGAACTGGATCATGCTCATCATGTCGGGTCTTACCATGGCCCTTGTCCTCCTCTTTCAACCAGAGACATATGGCCCAATTCTGCTAAAATGGAAGGCAGCGCACCTCCGAAAAGTTACCGGAGACAGGCGCTACAGGTCCGAAATGGATATGCAGAAGCTCGCGCTTTTCTCGCGCATCACTCAAGCATGCGTCAGACAATTCACGCTCACCGTCCACGAACCAATTATCTTGTTCATCTCGCTTTACATGACGGTCATCTACATCGTGCTGTTCACGTTCTTCGATGGGTATCCGTATATCTTCCAGGAGGTATATGAGATTAGTCAGGGGCTGACGAATATCATCTGGGTTGCTATGTATGTGGGAATTGCGCTTGCCTCGCTCTGGGTACCTGTTGTCTACATATGGACCAAGAAGGAATTCGCGGCAGCTTCCTCATATCCAGCCACGTCCTCGGCCGAGGCCGATCAAAACGAAGGCTCTAGCTCCGACGACGAAAGCCCTAAAAAGGCACATCCAACAAGACCCGAGAACAGACTTTGGTTCGCCATGCTCGGAGCACCTTTCATTCCAATTGCACTCTTTTGGATGGGATGGACCGACTACGTAAGTCGACTCTAGCAACTACTCCCTAGCCAAACCTATCGGTATACTAACGAAATCCAGCAATCAATCTCAATCTGGTCCCCCATCGTCGCTTCCGCTGTATTCGGCTTCGGAACAATCAACGTCTTCATCTCGAGCTACATGTACGTGATCGACTCGTACGACGCCTATGCTGCCTCGGCGCTCGGCTTCATGACTGTCTCGAGATATTGCGCGGCGGGGGGAATGACTGTTGTTGGGATACCGTTTTATTCGAACATGGGTGTGCACTACACGTTGACGATTCTGGGCTGCATTAGTGTGGTCATGACACCGCTGCCATATGTGTTTTGGAAGTATGGGCATATTATTCGGGGTTGGTCGAAGTTTGCTGTTAATGCTTAGGCCGGGTTTATAAAACTATAGACGAGGATAGAGGTAATGGATATAAGAAGCTAGATATAGATGAATAGATCGCATATAGAGCTAATCACCCCACTAATGATAAAATCGATGCACAAACAACAGGGCTCCTCTTGTTTAACCGGATAACTAAAATTTGAAAGGCAACAAAAAAAGCCTCTCAAGATGTACTGACAGCTCGATTCCTTGGGCCGTTGTGAGGACCAAGACCGGTCTATGAGGTTGAACGTAGGGCAGAATACGAAACATTTTATACACGTCCTTAGTCAGGGCAAAAGTGAACACACTCAAGCTTTAGTAACAAATCAAGACCATGTATATCGATATTTTTATCTATACCAAGCTCGATGTGCTCGTTCTTGAAAATCAGTCCATACTTCTATTGCGGCCTGAGGCAGGAATAAACGTATTACATAAGCATAAACTCCGCAACTTTTCCATCCCAACTCCGATACCAAGACAAAACCTCCGGCACTTCGAGAACCAACAGCCAGTCAAGATGCATGCTACACGAGTTTTACTTGGGCGCTCCGTGTGGAAGGGTATGTGTCCTGCGATCTCTTTAAATACGATTATGCGCTTTGCGATTCTCGTGGAGAGACGATAAGCTAACATTTCCCATCCAGGCCCGAACATCGTACCGTACGTTGCTCACTCCAAATAATCGAATCCCCATCCAGTCTTGGAAAACAGGCAGCTGGAAATCAAATGATACGATATTGAAGCATAAAGACTGACATCTCGTTTGCGAATCCAGCCTCCCTCTCCCCCGCACACTCCCCCCTCCGCCAGGCACACCCCCGATCAGAACGCAGAAGCGTGCGGCAACAATCCTCCCGAACTTCGTCGGTCTGCGATTCTCCGTGCACAATGGAAAGACGTACCAAGATATTCTGATCACCGAGGAGATGGTCGGGAATAAGCTGGGAGAATATGTTCCGTATGTATCACCGTCTGGACTTGTTTTACGTGACAGTTTTGAAGCCGGTGACTGACTCGAATTGTCTTCGTCACGTCTAGGACTCGAAAGAGGTTCACGTACAAGATGTCGAAGAACAAATAAGCGTGCATAGATGGGGGGAAGGAGGAGATACAATGGGTGTGGTGTCTGGTCTGGTTTCGTTGCGCATTTTCTCCAGCGGTTTCTTCTCTGTCTTTGTTCCCGGACAGGAGTGTATATGTATTTTTGGGATTGTACCAATATATGCTGATTATGATCGGAGCTCTCGATATGTGGTTTTGCTTGTCCTAAATTTTGTCTAGAGATACTATGTTGACTGATTATAGGGATGCGCCAGGTTGACCCATGGGGCTCGGTTCCCACAGACCGCATGAATGGTTACTAGAGAATCTTTGCAAAAGACTTGCTGATAAACTGTGATGGTTGGTGTCCGAAATTCGAGGAACATGGATTTCTATATAAAAACAAAGAAACAAACACGTTGACGCCATATTACTAAAGCCTTCACAGAGCAAGAACCAGCGAAAAGATTATCGTGACCTGCACAACCATCCAATGATCATAACTGATCCAATTTGCTCGAGATCACCTCCGATAGGACAGACAGACCTCCCTCGCAAACCCAGCTGCAACGGTGGCTGCATAGCCCTGCCACATATCGTTCTTATGCGAATCGCAATAATCCGAGACACCCCGAATTACAAGGCACGGCAGTTTTGTCGTTACCCCGGCCGCCTCCATCTCAAAGCATACAATCTCATGCTGCTGCGCCAACAGGTCTCTGTGCAGAGCGTTCTTCATCACTTTATCCCCAGACGCAATCTTCCCCCAGTGGATCACTGGATGAGCACCCTGGTCTCGAGGATCCTGAGGCCGTTGAAGGATCAAGTTGGGATTCTGCGGTTGGTAAAGCTTGTCGTTTGCAGGCTCTGGGTATCCGAATCCCTTCAGACGTGGGAGAGACTTGCTAACCCGGGCATAATTGGCCTTGATGGTGTTATACTGCACTGCCCGTTGCATGGCGATCTCCGCAGCCTCCAGCAACTCTGGTGGAGGAGGTGCGATGGAACCTGGACTCAGCCTCTCAGAACTGTCATAATGCACCACTGCCGACGAATGGTCATTGGATCTCCCAACAATGACATCGCCGAGACGAATATCGCCTGCGTCCGTCCGCAGCGGAAAGGGGACACCACCGCCGATTCCAACAAGGAGCGCGATTTGAACACTGGGAAACGATCGTCGCATATTGTTAATGAGAATCTGTGCGGGCCTATTTCCGGCACGGAGCGGATAGGCGATGACAATATTATGGTCGCCGATCTGGCCGAGGGTGTATACGACGGGGTCGTTGGGCTGGCTTGGGAGGCGCCCGTGTTCTCTGTCGAGCATGGAGATGGCGGCAACGAGTTCGACTTCTAGGATGCAGACCCAGCCGACCTTGTAGTCGGTATGGCGAAGCCTTGAACTTCCAGCGACAGACATTGTTTGCTGTTATGGGGTTTGCTTGGTATAAGGTAAGAGCTTGAATGAGAATGGAGAATTTGGTTGTTGTGTAGGACAATGGTAAAGTCGAACTGAGCCTTTTATAGACAAAACACCCCCTTCTTAGGAAGTGTTTCTATATCTGACTCTATCTTTTCTTCGCCCCCATGAGCCAATTGCTGATTCTAGGTGTGGGTGCTGGCGCTTACTGAGACCTATATCAGACAATAGTCGCAAAGCCAGCATATCGCTCGGCAGTTCCAGGGGTGAGGCTGCAATATCCTGGATCTAGGCCCAAGAGGCTGAATGTGATCGTTTCCAACTCTGATTTTCCACAAGGTATTGTTGGCTCACATTCGTCGGCGCCTACATACCATCCTGATAGTTCCCGATATATCAGGAGAGCGTATCGCCAACGAGCATGATCGTCAACTATCAGAACTTTTTATAGATGAGTTATGATGTGTTAGTCGTCTCTGCTTTATTGGTTGAGTTCAAGCCGGCGACTGAGAAACGCGGCATCTCCGCATCTTCTTACGCGCTCAACATCAACCAGCGGCGCTCTGAACCAATTATCCAGGCCTGGGCCGTCTTGCGAGACTGACTGGTTATTATTGGAAGATCGAGAGTTTAGGACCTTCAGCATGGAGCCCACCCTCACATCGGAGTGAGGATGTCGATCTCTGATACGTGAAGGCACAATACTACGCTACATTCTAGCAGCTTGTGGTGAAAGACCGACAAGAGCTGTTGATAGCTATTGTTATGATTGTCAGCCTTGATCACAGGTCTCATATTCTAGCTGTAAGAGAGTCCCGATTATTGTTATGTCCCAAAAGAAAAACGCCATGAGGACATCAGTCCAGTGTATCACCCTCAACGCCAAATCCAGACCCAAGCCAACCTACCAACCGGTCTCATTATCGTAGCAGAGCCCCAGTCCCTATCACAGACCCCATCGTCCGCATATCAACGTGCCAAAGTGCTCGTTCACCGATAGAACTCTCCGCGCTTAACACTAACCCCATACTCCGAAACTGCCATACCCAGATCCTCCATCGTAAGCACCGTCCTCCCCTGCCCCGAACCCCCAGACCCTCCGCCACCAAACCCAGCCCTCTGAATTCCCAAATGCGCTCCGCCCTTGTTAGCGCCGCCTCCCTTCCCTGCATCTCCTGCTCCACCGCCGCCAGCGGCTCCTCCGCCTGCACCTCCGGCACCGGGAACCCCGAGCCCAGAAGCGGCGTTCAGACTTCCCATTGGGTTACTTGCGGATGTGGAATTCGAGGCGCGGATGCGCGCGTACTGGTATGAGTCTGCGGCGATGTCGGCGATGAACTTTTGCGTTGCGAGGGCGAGGAGGCGTGCGAGGTGTGGTGGGGTCTGATTGGGGCCGTTGCCGGGTGGTGGGAGGCCCGCGAGAGTTAGGTAGTGGGATGTTACGGCGTCCGGGATCTGAGTTAGATTTGTTAGTGAGTGAATAAATCGTAGATATGATGGATGGATAAGTGAGAAAAACGCGATAAAGGAGAGAGGAGCTGGGAGCGAGGTAGGACGGAGAAAGAGGAAAGGAAAACGTACAATAGGCGCATATTCATCCATCTTCCCCAGAAACTCGCGGAGACTAGTTTCCTTCTTCGACGTCGCGGCCGTGTCCGAGGAGACAACAGCCTGCGCAGGGTTCTCGGCGGCGGCGTCCGCAGCTCCAGCTCCAGCCTCGGCGTTGGCAGCGGTGGTGTTATTCGCCATGTCGGCGGCGGGAGCGTCCAGCGCAGAAGGATCTGATGTTTCGGGCTCGAGTTTCGGAACGACTGGCGCTTCGGAGGATGACTGTGGAGGATCCGCCGATGAAGGTGGTTGTGGTGGTAGGGATGACGAGGGTGGTGGTTCGGACATGGTGAGTTGGCACCGGCGGTGTTGGCGGGTGGACAGACAAGGGGCGGGCAGGTAACGGTGCCAGTGCGCGCGAGCGATTTGTTGCGCGTCAATGAGAAGGGGGTCAGTTTGGGTTGACTGGAATTATTGCACTGAAAGTCAGATTGAGAGAATATATGAGGAACTTGAGGTTGAATTTCGCTGCTGGATTAAAGCTGGATCGGACCCACTTTTTTTCTACTCTAGAATCCGCTTCTACCTATCTTGTACTGGTGTCATATAAAGGCCGCTTCAATTGATATATTGTTACATGGAAAAATAATTTTACACCACTATACCTGCTGTTTCGCTCGCTTCGTCTTCACTCACTGCCCTAGATGCAGGTTCGGATCGGTATGGTGGTGCGGCTGGCCAAATTGCTCTCCGTGCACTTCCTTGCCCAGGGTCTGCATCAGGTTCTGCTCCGCTGTCTGATCAAACGTTGGATCAGGCGGCAGTGGCGACGCAGACATACTCTCGTGGCCGTGCGACACCTGCTGAGGATGAGCCCCCGCCAGCGCCATCATTCCCTTGATCCCCTCGACATGGGCCTTGTCCTCTTCACCCTGCTTCTTCTGCCGTTCCCGCGCCTCACGCTTTGCTGCTTGTGCAGGCGCACGCGTTTTAAGCTCTCCAGTCACAAACTTGAGGTAATAGGGAACTTCAATCCCGCTCTTGAGGAAGAAGAGTTTGAGATTACGAGCCTTATCCTTCAGCTGGACCTGATTGCGGTCCTTGAGCGCCTCGCTTATGGTTCCACCCGGCCCAAACATGGCGAGTATCTGACTCCAGTGGGGACCCTTGACGCGGTCCAGACCGGCCATTAGCGCATTCTCCTCTTCCGTTGTCCATGGCCGGCGCTGACTGGGTAGACCAGATTTGCGACTGCTAGGAGAGGATTTGGCCGATGCGGCCATGCGTGCACGCTCGTAGAGAACTTGCGTCGGTTGCGACTGGGAGTAGTGTGGTATGCCCGGCATGTAGCCGTGATTAGCAGACTGTGAGTTGGCTCGGCCTGGCATCGGTGATGGCGAAGGGTGGCTGTATTGTTGAAAGTTTGGCTGCATCGGACTTTGCTGGAAAGTGTAGGTGCTCGGCGACTGCTGGTAACCGGAGGGAGCAGGACTAGGTTGGTATGGCTGTTGTTGTGCAGGAGTATAGCCTTGTAGAATCTGGATGCCCTGCTGCGGTTGCGGCGGCGGCGGCTGTGGCTGTTGCTGCTGCTGCTGCTGATATTGTTGCACCTGCTGCTGCTGCTGTTGCTGGGCTTGTTGTTGTTGCTGTTGAGCCTGCTGCTGCGAGCGTCTCAGCCCGTGACCTTGCAGAGCAATCTGTGCTGCTCGTGCTGCCCTAGCAACGAGATCCCCGTGCATGTTCTTGTCAACAGGGACCTCTGGAGCCTGTGAAGCGACAGGGAACTGGCTCTGGAGAGGAGCACTGGGTGGTTCCGAGTCACCGTTTGATGAGGACGGTTGCCGCCCCTTTGTGATCTTCTTCGACTAATTTGTATCAGCGTCTGAGCTATAGCTTGTGCGAGTGAAAGGAGTCTAACCTGTTGATTATTGATCGTATCAAAATTCTTCGTAATATACGAACTCAGATCTCTGAGAAAATCTTCCCAATGATACTTGTCTGGCAAGGCTTTCATTGCTTCCTCGCTGTTAATATCGTTGAGCAAAATGTCGCGTCTTGATCCAGCTCGGTTCACGAAATCAGTTTCGCTTGGAGCCAGCTGACGAGTTCCAGGGCGTCTATCGAGCAGCTGTTGCTCGATGTTATCTGGGAAAAGAAGATATAGTAGTTCTGTGCGTGTGCGCTCGGTATTGTTCATTGATGCAATAAACGCTTGAGTCTTGAGCTCGAGGAAAAGTGCGCCCTGCTGCTTAAGGAGACGGCCGCCTTCCGGGACGAATACATCAAGAAAGTTGTCATTCAGCTCAGAGAACCCGATCTCTTGTGTCCCGAATATGCTCGAGACGAAAGAGGCTAGATTCGCCTTCCGGATGATGTCAACTTGAGCGGGTTCGGTGAGCTCCAGATCGGTCGGAGAGAGGAAGGACTTTTTGGACGAATACACTTTCTTAGTGTGATCAAAGAGAGAGCGCATTGTAGCGTATGCCTGTCCGTTCTCAGAGTCCGGCTCCGACACGAAAGAGGTGATATCTTGGTAGGTCGATTTGGCCAGCAGGGAGAGGATCTGCGTGGACTGAAAGGCCATTGAGTTAGCTGAGTCGAAGAAAGGCTAAGAACTGCCAACATACCAGATTATCAAGAATAGGCAGACTCTGAATCTTCAGATGCGAGTTGGCCTTGACAAAAACCATGCCTTTCGGCGCACCCTGACCCGAAAGATCAGGCAGTGTTTGCGGCCCCATATCGCAATGTTCCTCCACGCGCTCAGTGTGATCTAGAATGCTGGAGATCACCGTCGCCATGTCTGAGTTGACATTGGGAGTCTGTTCAGGCGCCACCGGGCTTTCGCCAGGTTGCACCGAAAGTTGGCCATTTTGGTTTGCGGGAGGTTCAACTGAGTGAACGATGCCTGCTCCAAGTGCGGATGCCAATTCCTCCTCTATTTGATCTCCGGGACCCGGAACGGGTTGTGGAAGGGCTAATGGTAGTCCATGCGGTTGGTCCTCGGTCATAGGGGGTTCTTCCGGCTGGGACTCGAGACGACGCTTCTTCGCTGCCCGAGGAGAGAGGGAGCCGTCCTCCTCGAGAGAGTGGGAGATTTTAGGGAGTTCTATGAAGCAATTAAGTTAGCTTCCAGAGTCATAGAGACAATGTCTTGGTTGAGTGTTCTGTCGAATCCGTTGGGCTAGGCAGCGAGGGGGTGTCTCACCATGGTGAGCCTCCTCCTTGAGCACCGGGGAGATGGGAAGGTCGGAAGTCTCTTGACCATCGACAGAGGGGTCTGCTCCCCTAGTGTTGACCATGATGGAAGCAAAAGCCGTTGGGATGCCAGGTGATGTTTCCAGGATCAGCAATGAGGGCTTAGGTTAGGGCGCGCTCGTAGGGCTTTTCTGGTTTGGAGGTGAAAAGAATGCTGTCACGTGGAGACATCCTTGCCTATCACGTGATTCGAGACGGGGTCCATGATCGACATTAAGTGGACCCAGTTTCCGCCATTGAACCTACTCCGTACTCTGTACTCCAGAGGACTAACTGTTGATCGGTTCCCTCTATTTTTACGGAGTACTCGTTCTTGTTGGGAGCAATCTTAGTCTATTTGGGGAATGCTGACTCATTTAGATTATCTGGCTTCCTTGAGTTTGCAAATGCTTTCCGAACTGGCCGTCTATCTAAAGGTAGTCAAGCTGCCAACCGATCTGTCGCACAAGCTCAACATCACTGTTCTTCCACTCGCTTATCATGCCCTTCAGGTTCTCTTCTAGAGAAAAGCGATCCATCATTGAGCTTGCCAGCTTTATCCTCGCACATATTGCGACTTGTGTATTATGTTCCTCGCGCTGAACAGACCTGAGACGGAGCATATAAGCCATGAAGCCTGCGTAATGCAACTCGTCCAAGACAGATTTGATAGAATCGAGCTTCAGCAACAATATCGGATCCCCGGAATACTGTGGATTAGATCAAAGACTTCTGTGGTGAAAATCTCAACCGCCGACTGCAAAACCGCGGCTCTTGGGTTATACTCTGGAGAAGGGAGCATGAGAACCTGGTAATCGAAGGTCGAGGGCAGAGTCACGGGATACCTGGAAGCTATTAACTTGGTTCACCGTCCTTCTTTCCGGACCTTTTCGAAAACATTAACCGCTCGCCTCATAGCGTCTGTCAGGTCGTTGTAAACCTGCACCTTTTGGTTGGCAATTTTCACAGCAGGAACGCATTGCACCCAGCACTTTCTGAGAGCTCGCAATGGTTCCAATGGGTATTCCGGATGCACAGTGTATGCTTTCAAAAGTCTGTGCAATTTGACTGGGTTTCGGGTGATTACTTCCGCACGGTAAGAGAATTCCTCAAGGATGTGCGCGATGCTCAATCCATTCGAAACTTTCGAGCCCTTTTTGACGATCGGAAAAAGGAGGCCTTTCAAATTGAAGAGGGCAGATCGAGCTATTAAAGAGGCGAAGAAGCCTTTCCAATGGTCCCGAACGCTGATATCCTTCAGTGGCCCGGCGATTGTCACTGAAAGCGCCTTGTCAATGCGACTGAAGGACTCGTATTGAAAGTGGCCCAGGGCCCAGGGGAGTTGGTACTCTTGTAGGTATGATCCTGGGACATACTCAATCCACTTGGATAGGATTTGGTCTGTTAGACCTGGGGTAAACGGCCCAATCTCATTCTCAGTGATTCACAGGCCGGACACGGAGAGCCCCAGTCTAGCACTCATTGCAGCCATCCATCGCGTATGCTGGCGAGTGGATTCCTGCAGTAGGGTTATTAGCACGTTTTGCACGTAGTCCGACCGCAGCCTGTCCGGGACTTTGGAAACGGCGGTGGAAACCACCAGCTCAATATAGGACGATCGGAAACTGGAGGAACATAGGGGAGCGGGCCCAGTCTCTGCTATCGCCCATTCCGCTTCGGTGGTTGTGGCCCGCTTGTTGGGCCCTGCGACCGAGGACGCTATCGTGGCAAAGACTCTGTATGGCTCAGCGTTGCTATCATCGCAAGTGTTGACAAGCTCCAAAAGCGCCGCGGCGATCTCTCTCCGAATATCAATGTGGTGAGCGGAATTGAACATCGTCTGCAGCGTCTCCCTTCGATCGGATTGTGAAAGAAAGTCTGCCTCGGCCAGCGCCTGCGCAAGCATCTTGGCCGTGGTTACTTTGATGAAAGCCTTTTTCTCCTTCTTTTCTTCTTTTGCCGGTTGCTGTTGTTGAGCTTGTAGCGACTCGCAGACATATCTGGTGAACCCTCTCATCATCTCCCTTCCCTGTTCCGGGGTTAGGACACGGCCAAGCTTCACGAGGCATATTTTGCGATGCAAAGAAGACTCGTTTGCAAAGTCTTGCCATACTCGAATAACAACATCAATCGCGAGCTGTGGCTTATCGGTTTGGAGCAGGATCTCAATCAGATCGAATGTGTGAAACAATAAAGATGAGTAGTTTGCGGCATTTGGCTCGGCTTTCAACGTGTCCAAAAATGACCAGATGAGCTCCCACAGGACCTGTGGAGGGATCCTCTTGGTAGACTCTCTCTCAGCGCATCTATTGGCATTTGAAGCGCCTCTGCGGCCCGCCTTTTGTTCCTGGGTCGATGAAACGTAATGAACTCATCCGCTAAGTATATGGGAGTATACCGCGGAAACTCGACATCAGGGAATTTTGTTCGTAAGATTCGAGGGCTCTTTGTGTAAGTGTCCAGGAACAAGAGGGCAGCCAAAACAACAGAGTCTTGGACACAGCGTGAAAGGTCCTGGGTGTCGGCCGCCAGTGTGCAATTCTTGGAGGACCAGATTGAAAGGCGCTGAGGTTCTGGGTGCGTCTTTCTTTCCACCAGGGGAGCCTTTGAGGGTATGCTTCCGCCCATCCGGCAGTTGAGAACTGTACAAGGTACTCTGCAGGGCTCTGGCTTCCTAGCCTCTTTCTCATCATCGACTGTTTTGGAAGACAGGGGATAATCGCCCTCGTGAGGATCCCATTCGATAATCTCGGATCCTGTAGGCACTCGGGATACCGTCGGTCTGATCTGCGAAGGAGACTGAAGCGGCGGACGAATGAAGTTGATGGCCTCGGCCATGTCGCCTATAGAGAGCATCCTGGTGACCAGCCAGTCCTGGAACAGACCGAGATAATCCGGATGCGGCTGCAACAATCGAGAATAATATTCCCACAGGCGCAAAGCATCGCGAGATCTATCCCTATCCCCATCTCCCAGAAAAGCACGGATGACAAAATCAAGATCGTCCACGAATCCATCAATAAGATCTTTTTCTTCATCCTTTACAGCAGCCATGACAGTGTTAGCCGCACCGAAAAGTACCTGGTTGGCTCTCGATGAGATGAACGGCACGTATTCCTCGTGCTTTATAGCGCAGTGTACGAAGGCTTGAGAGTGAACTAGACTTTGGATTGGGAGTCCTCGCGGCCAGCCGGCTCTTAGTTCCAGAACTCTTGGATCATTTCGAGCGCTGTGTTGCTGCCAAATCTCGTCTCGTACTTTTGCGAGCCGGTCAATGAAAGCCATTTCCCTAGGATTGGGAGTAGCAGGGAGATAGTACGAGACCGCCATTCCAGATGGACCGCTCCAGTCAACATCTGTCTGGCCCTCCATGTTGCCCTGCCGCTCGTACTCGAGGAGAATTGAGGCCATGGGCTGGACAAGTATTTCGAATACTTCGGAGTCGGTTACTGAGTCTCCACAGGGCAGCTTCCTTACCACGTTCATCCTCCCCCCGACGATCCTTGAAAGCATCCCCGGGACGCTTCGTGTTATTCTTGGTATCGATGGTCGAGCCCAGGGTTCGCGCAGTAGGAGTGAACTAGCTTGATGTATATCCTCCAAGATCTTGTGTCCAGTCTGCGCTTCTTGCAGTAGAACGGATTTTGAGACAGGTATGGTCACTCCGTTTAAATCGATGCGGCATGAAAGCAGGCCACCAGAGCTGTCGATTATCTCGCACATCAAATCAGGGAACACCAGCTATTATCTCAGTCAGTCACAAGAATCGCCACGAAGGGGTGGTGCATTTACTCACCGGGTCCCGTATATACCTCTTACTCCACTCTACTATATCGGCGAAGATCTCAACAGAGCTTGTTCGCGCGGCCAGTTTGATGGCCTGCTCCGCCCAACGCCGCCTCTCGGGAGGCTCTCGTGCCCGCACCGACTTTTGCTTCAGCTCATAAATGGCTGATTCGTGCGGTAGTAGAAAGTTTCAAGCTGCTGAAGAAGGGAAGGGAAGATTCTGCTTACCATTGCGAGTTATGCGGAACCCACTTCCCTTAGGGTCTAGAGATTCCCAACTCACCCAAAGCAGACACTACTTTTCCCATGATGGAACTTTCGAGCTTGAAGAGCTTGGAAGGAAGTCCTCGCAATTATGGATACAAGGACCGCTCGAAGAGGGACTTGGAGTCGGCTAGCGGCAGCTTGTTCAGAATATCAAGATGCCAATTCTGGCATTAGTTCCTGCTCCTTCTTCGATGGCGGCCAGCATGTAAGGTCAAAGCCTAGGCTCGGTGAGTACTTGCAAAGCATTTGAAGCAGCTCCAGTCTTCCCTTGCTGTCCACGAGGGAAATTAGGTTCCTAACCCTCACCATAAATTGCGGGCGGTCTTTCTGAGCATTGAAGCTCTGATCTTCTGCCTGCAACACCTTCTGGATCAAGCATTGCTCCAAAGCGACCTGGTGGGCCAAGAGACACTTCAATCGCCAGTTATTTCGATAGATGGCTACCACCCCTTTGGGAAAGCCTTCCACTCGCCCAAAGCGTGAAATCGTCCAAAACTGAACGACAACCTCTGAGAGGGGCCGGGAAAGCCAACCCGTGCCACTCCAACCAGTCTTGCCGATGCGGTAGCCAACAATGCAGATAGCCCGCGGTTAATAATCAGCAAGATGGATTTGAGAGGTAGCTTTCCACGTATCGCTGTTTTGAGCATCGCATCCACCCAAGCCTCGATTTCATAATAATCGTGGAGTGATGGCTCCTTCTCCACGACCATCAGGAGGTCGATGCCAAAGACTACCCCGGGGGACATTTCGAGATGCTCTTCCTTATCCTGGTCGAAATAGATCGGCTCGTATGCTTCCTTCGACTGAAGCATCGCGTCACGAGACCTTTGTAGGATTTTAAGCCGCACATCTTTGGGCATCTCCACCGCTCCAATACCGATCCGTCGCAGAAGAGGGGTATGAAGTCTAGGAAAATGATGGATGTTTGGGAAGCACATGACTGGCTGCGTTCGAAGAAGATGCTGGACCTTTTCAGCACTACAGTACGCAGCCAGGTGAGATACTTCTGGCAACAACGACCTCGAAGCCCATCGATCCGCATTCTCAACGAGGTCCAGAAACTCCTCGATGCACTTCGACAACGAGTCCCTTTCGTCGGAAGGGACTGCGTCGCAACGGTCGAAGACAACCTTGATCAGGCGCTGCACTTCTGCCAAAGGCAGCTCGTCAAGGATGTCTTTGACCCCTCGCGCACCACCCAGTATATCCCACCCACGCAGGCCGGGAGCTCTGGCCCAGTCACACCCCCGAAAAGACGGTGCCGGATAACTTGGGAAGCGGCTGTCCGGACACCGCGAGAAGTCGGATCGCGGAGTGCTTCCGTGGTGAAGGACTAATCTGGAGAGGTCAAGTCCGGGCATGTCCATGCTAACGACACATGCAGCCACACTTCGTATACGGAGTATGGGACTGCCTCGCTATGCACTCGGTCTAAGATGCATGTGTTGATACAGGTGAGATTCTCGCGAGATGAGTGGGCGACTAGGAGAGAGCGAAGATGAGCAGAAAGAGCTTTAGGGTGCGCGAGTAGCGCCGCGGGGAGCTCCTTCATGTTGGGTCTTGGTCCGAGGACAGGCAAGTGTCCTGATGGCGATTATTGCGATTTGGATTGTTTTCTTTGCTTGTGTTTAGGGATCAGGGCGTTAAGTACTTGGGATTTACATTAAGTGGGGCAGATACTCCCTGCCCCGGCCCCCCAGTTCCACGTCGGGTCTGTGACTCACTTGGGGTTCAAGGATGACTCTCACAGACGCATCTGAGCCTCACTGGCCTGAAAATCACGCTTCACGCAAGGATCTGGAGAAAGGTTACATCGCCGTAAGGACTAACTACTACTGGAAAGGTGAGTGGCTTTGTGTGTTTTTGCTTGACGGGAACTATATACTCAAGTGACGAGAACCTGATAAATACAAACCTCCTATTTTTCTACTTTTCTTGTAGTATTGTTTCTCTATTAGGCTCCCTTTGCTTACGACAAAGTAAATTATAGCACAAGCCTTGTTTAACCCCATAAAAAAAACCATGTAGTAATTGCGGGAAGAGCAAAGGGCCATGAGCCCCAAGTCCTTAGGGATCTTATATAGAAAATAAATCATTCGGACTTCACCTCTCCTTTAGAAATCATTATGCTTGACTTTATACCTGGGCTTGGTTGCTTAGTTATCTATCGTGATCACTCTATTTTCGAATTCTGCCTATTGAAAAAGCAGCCAGTACGAACCTAGAGATGGTAACAGCAGACCTAAGGCCACGCAATTCCAGCATCCCGCATCATCTCCGCCAACGGCAACTGGGGCGAATTCCCAGGAACGCCCGGCGGAAGCGCCCCCTCCTTCTTCAGCGTAGCATAAAGCAGCAGTTGAAACTCCCTCGCCGGAATCCCATCCCTTGTCCTCTTCGGGTATGTGAAATCTGCCGCCCGCTTCGCCCACTCGCGCCACGGCTGGGCCAGATCCGTCACGCGGAGATTCGGGTTCTTCTGTGCAATCTCATTCCACAAATAATCTAGCTCGACCTCCCAGTGCGCCGTGATCATCGCCTCGCCTGTATCCCGGAGCTCGAGGAGCATTAAGGCTTCGAGGTAGCGAGCGGGAACGGGCATTTTGACGGGATAGTCTTCTGGAGAGGCAGGGCCGGTATGTGGACCGCGTCGGACCTGTAGGATGCGTCGATCGCTGGTTAGCATGTAGTAAGGGTCATTGGGGGACGGGACACCGAGGGTTGGGTCTGGGAATTTCCAGAAGAGGCGTGACTTGCCGTAGAGGAAGACGCCGCGGGTCATTTTGGGGGCTGTGACTGGGTACCGTAGGTCTGTGTGCCAGTGGTAATCTGGGTAGGGGTGGTCGCGCTTGTGCCAGAATACTGTACAGGCATCGTGGCCTTGGGTGCATTGGGGGAATTTTGCCTTGTCGAGGGCCTCTGCTGCCTTTTCGATTAGATCGTCTGCGATGACGAACGCGTTGAACTGTATTCTTGTTAGCTAGCTGACAATCACGGATGGGATAAAGGGTGGTACTCACGGGAACAGCAGTGAGGATGCCAATGACGGAGAGGAATGGCTCCGCCCAGATGAAGTTTGGGATTCCCTCATCGTCAAGAAGTTTCGCCACAAAGGAGTTCATCTTGGAGACTCCTTGATGCTGATACGGAAATGTAAGACCGGGCACAGTGGATCTGATGATAGGGCCATCATAGTTCATGCCGGTCGAGTCCTCGGGGTCACTCTCTACGCTGTTAGCCTGGATCATCGTGTTAGACATTTTGAGGTTGACTAACAGGGATTGAGATTGGGTGTTGAGGGGAGAGTGAGGAGGCACTGACTTTGATGGCCGACATGAACTATTTATAGACAAAGCCGGACAGATGGCGTTGCTTTGATATCTAGAGGACAACTATGCTGGTATAATGGTCAAAGAGATTGTGTATCTCAAACAATAGCGAACAAGTTTTATACCATTGACCTTAAGGTTTCACCTAGCAATCTAACAAAGGCTTGAAGTGGGTTCTTTTGAGAGTTAAGGCTTTCGGAGTGCTCCCGTCAAAGGAGACACACCTCAAACAATGGAAACAATGAGCTTGGTTTACCATCCCTCGCTCAGTCACCCGGCAGCTGTTCGGTTAAGTCTTCTCCTTTTCCTCATTTTCCCTCTCCTCACCTTTCGCCTTCGCTGGCGGAAAGTCTGGAAATCCATCCACAACAACGCCATTATCAACCCACTGCGAGATCCACCCAATCGTCATCCTACCCCAGAGAAAGGAAACGACATTAGCCTCATTCTTCAGCCTAAGTAACCCCTACAACCTCCAACAAAGAGAAAAAGAGAAGGAGAGGGGGAACATACAAACTCCTCTTAACATCCGCAAAATTCTCATGATCACCAACAAGATGCTCCTTGTACCACGGATCGTCCTTGATGCGCTTGTAGTCCTCAACGCTGCGGAAGACTACCTGGCTGAAGCAGTCGTAGTCGGCGATGTTGACCATCTGGTGGTCCATTATTTGGTGCATTAGGTCGCGTGTGCGTTGGGGGTTGTGGATCTGTTTGATAATGAGAAAATAGTATTAGCCCTGCTGAATTATTCTCACTAGCGAAATGATATGAGAGGGCTGGGTAGATGGAGCGGTATGGGTGGAGGGATGGGACTTCAATTGTATGGGAGACTTAATGCTAAGAAAGGCAACGGGCCATACCTGAGTCCACCGCAAAATCCCATACTTCACCAAAAGATCCTTGGTCAGCAGCGCCGAGACCTCGGTCATATGTTTCCGGTAGGCTTCCTCGTCCATGCCGGCCTTGCGATAGCCCAAGACAGTCAGGCAGAGGAGTCTGTCCTCTGGGGCTAGGCCGTTCTGGGCTGGGGGGCCGGGGAGGGACATTTTGCTTGCTGGTTTGACGAGGAAGTTCGCTTGTGAGTTGTTTCAAGGATGAGTGTTGTGTGATGAAGACTACTGGTAGGGCGGTACTCACTATTAGTATGTGCTTGTAAATGATCCGAATCCAAGACCCCGGTCAGCGACTGTTTCATCGGACAGTTTCACCCATTCAGCCGATTTCAGCTCGTTGTGGAACCAACTGGACTGGCTAAGCTGGATGTTGGAAGGGGCTTATACGATACGCTGTATTCATTCTGCATTCTATAACTAGTATACTCAAATTCTAAACCGAACCAGAAAACAAGAACGCGCGACAGAACCCAGGTTACCCTAGCCCTGGGACATGACACTAGTCTAATTGTAGTATTCCAACAGCCAGCTTCTCAGGTCTCCAATGGTCGGATACTCGAGGAACAAACTCCCCGTAACAGTGACGCCCAGCTCTTCTCGGAATTTCTCTGAGATGACCAGACTCATCAGACTGTCGACGCCGAGGTTGGCGAAAGAGGCGTCGTCTGTCAGATCCGACAGCTCGAGCGCGGCCTCTTTGGCGATGAGGACGAGAGCTTTGGCGGCAACGCTGTTTGTCTCACCTGCATCTGCAGGAGCAGCTGATGTGCTGGTGGTGCTTTGCTCAATGGTTCCAGGAGCTGATGCAGGGATCGGGTTCGGAGCTGGGACCAGGGTAGGGGCTGGAGTTGACGCGGGGACCGAAGAAGCCACTGCAGGAATTGCCACGGGTGCAGGAGCTGCAGCCGCAGGCAGGAGCTGAAGCTGTGCTTTTGCTTTGGGTGCAGGCGTTGCAGACGCGGCAGCATGCGACACTGCTCCGGCCTCCTCAGGGGCAGTGAAGAAGCGGTTCAGCAGGATACGGGGGTAGCGGCGGAACTGGATACCACCGCACATGCCGATTATGACGCCGTCTTGCATAATGTAAACATCGCCGAAATAGACAGTAGGGTCTTCGTCGCTTTGGATCATCTTCACATAGGAACGGTATTTGGCGCCCGCAACGAGAGGTTTGGCCAACTGTAGGGATCTCCAGCCTGGGGTGACGCAGTAATTGGCCTTTGTATCTATTGCATCCGATACGTTCATGATGAATCCTGCCAGATGCGCAACACTGTCGATAAAGTAGGGCGGGATGGTCCAGGTACCGCTCTTCTCGGTTGTAAGCTTGATGTCGGCAAAGGCCTCCAGCTCGTGCAGTACGACGGACTGCATTCCACGGTATTTTTCCGCGTAGTCCACGAGATTGTTGGCAAAGAGAAGGTATGCCATGTTGTGGTTGAAGCGGTTCGCTATGCCCTTCTCAGCGAGGCTTTCGAGGGCTTCGATTCGGCCCTGGACCAAGTGCGTGCTGGGGATCCATGACTTGAGCCATTCGGACGAGTCACCATAATAGATGTTGGCACTTGCAAACGGCTCGTCTGCTGTGCCATCGTTGAGGACGTTCTGCCAAGTGAGCTCAGCCACATTTGTGTTGATGTCCGCCGTGGATATAGTGACCCGGATGTACTGCGGCTTTTTGGTGTTCTTTTGCGCAACGAGACCACGAAGAACCATGAGGTTGGCCATGTTCATGTCCGGCGATTTGCCGCCCTTCGCTAGGCTTTTGTAGAGATACCCTCCCAAAGTAAATCCAATGTCTCCATGGATAGACTACCCACGTCAGCCGTAAATTTCTATAGCAGGTCTTACATTACTTACCGAAGTAACAACACCACACCCGTTCATTTTGTGTCCATGCGCAGCAGCCAGAAAGTCGGGCTGCATCATGTCCGACTGCATTACCACCTTGCCGCTTGAGCCGTCGAAGCTTTCATTAATAATTTGCTGAACTGTCGATGTCCTCAAGCCAGAAGGAACCGAGGGAACTATTGCCTGGGACTGCTGGGCCTTGAGCAGTTTCTCAGCGTCATAGAAAGTGTTGCCCTTGGTGAGTGCCCAGTCCCCGTTGTACTGAATCCAGTACGTCTTGTCATTCCAGGCATATGTAGGTAGATCCAAGAGGCGTAGACCTTTCTCGAATGGGCGCTGATACTCGTTCCATTCAATTGGGACACCCGCGCAGTGCAGTGCGGAAAGACTGGTTGTCAGCGTCACATAGTTGTCTTCGCCTCTCTTCAAGGAAGGCACTGCCACGGTGACAGTGGGGAGAGTGGCGTTGACGAAGCCCATGCAGACGGGATGAGGTCCAATCTCGACCCAAGCAGTTTCCTCGTCCACGGTTGAGAGGTTCTGCGCCGCCTCTAATGCGGACAGGAAGTTGACCGTCTCGCGGGTAGCTCGCCGCATATATTTCGCATTAATGGTCTTGTCATCAAATATGACCTTCCCGAGTAATGGAGATATCACGGGCATGTTTGGTGGACGGAACAGTACTCCATTCTTAGCGGCCTCCTCGAAATCGTCAAGAATCGCGTCGGTTTGAGCTGAATGAAATGCAAACGCCACGTCAAGGCTGTAGCACCTAAATCCAGATGACTGAAGAGTCTCGGAGACAACCTCAATCTCCGCCCGAGACCCGCTTAGCACAGTCTCCTTCGGCCCGTTGATGCACGCGATTTCATAGCGCTTCCCTTGTAGGGATTCTTCAATATCCGCGAAAGGAGCACGCACAGCCAGCATTTTATGGCTGCCAACCTGGCACTTCTCTTCTAGAAGCTGCGCTCTGCGGCCCACAAGGAAGAGTGCATCACTCGCGGAGAGAACACCTGCCACATGAAAAGCCGCATACTCTCCAAGACTGTGGCCCACAACGGCATTGGGCTTTACTCCCAGTGAGATCCAATATTTCGCAAGCGCAATCTCAACCGAAACGAGGGCAAGCTGTGTCACCACTGGAGAGTGAGCGTGATCCTGCGGGTAGGTGCCATCTAGTGCGGAAATAAAGGATGGGAAGCCCTGTCCTCGTGCGAGTGCGTCTAGGTGAAAGATCTGAGATCTGAAGTATGGGGAGTTGTGGAACAACTCCAGGTTCATTGACTTGTGGGATGATCCCTGGCCTGTAAAGGCAAAGGCAAGCTGGGGTGGGCCAGTTGCAGGGATGGGCTTGTGAGAGTCGACGTTCTGCAGATAGGATCCAAGCTTTTTCCTCACCTGCGCAATATCTGTAGCAGCAACCGATGCGCGATGGTTGTGATGATAGCGTCGAGCGGTGGTTGTGTATGAGAGGTTGGGAAGCGAAGTGTCTGGGTTCGCTTCTAAATAAGCGATCAGGCGCTCGAGGTTCTTCTTGAAAGATACCTTGCTCTTCGCAGACACATTGACCACATGAGAGACGCGGGGGTCAGCAAAGTCAGCCTCTCTGAGGGGTGGTTCCTCCAAAGCAACAGTCGTGTTTCCGCCAGCTGCGCTGAAGTTATTCACCACTGCATAGCGTTTCTTTCCTTCCACACGCGGCCATGGAACCTTCTGGTATGGAATATGTAGATTACGTTTGTCGAGATCCTTGGGAAACATGGGGTTGAGGCTGTTTTTGATACCGACGTGAGGCGGGATTGCATTCTTTTGGTACATCAGAAGCACCTTGAGAAGAGCAGTCACGCCAGCAACCGCCTCTCCGTGTCCAACATTGGCCTTGACAGCACCAATGTGAAGTGGCTGCTGCGCGTTGCGTCGTTTGGTGATTGGGGCGAACACATCCGTGATGGATGTGATCTCAACGGAGTCTCCAGCCTGTGTGCCAGTTCCATGCATCTCGACGAAACTAACATCCAGAGGGTCAATACCAGCCGAGCTTAGAACTTGGCGAGAGAGATAAGCCTGAGCACCAGCATGCGGATGAGTGATTGATATGGCTTCAGCCGAGTGGTTGGTCGCGGCTGCACAAATGATGCCGAGTATATTGTCGTTATCCGCTTCAGCGTCCTCGAGACGTTTCATGACAATTGAGCCCATACCATCCGCACGACAATATCCGTCTGCATTGACGTCCCATGTTTTACAGGCACCAGGCGTTTTGGAAAGGAAGTGTCCATGGCTGAGCCCTGCAAAAGCGTCCGAGTTAGTAAGCACGTTCATGCCGCCGGCCACAACCATATCGGTATCCCCATTCCAAAGAGAGGTACAGGCAGCCTATTTAGAACATTTGTCAGTTATATTGCGTTTGGAATAGACGATCTTACACACACCTGAATGGTAGCCAAGCTAGATGAGCAAGCTGTATCGCAGCTGAAGCTCGGCCCGGAGAATTTGAAGAAGTAGTTGATCCTCCCAGGCCCAAAGGCACGACATCCCCCTGGGATAAAGTACGTGCTGATTTCCTGAGCTGTATTCACCTCGCGGTAGTCATCGCTTGCTTGCCCGTAAAATGTCCCGATACGATGAAGATTAGAGGCCGGTGTGCGATTAGCCACATATCCAGCTCGCTCCAGTGCCTCATACGCAGTGACGATAGCTAAGCGCTGCATCGGATCAGTCTGCTGGGCCTCACGAGGCGACATGTTGAAGAACGGGGCATCGAATAAGCCAGGCTCGTCAATAAAACACCCATATGGCGTGTGACTCGTGTTCGTCCTCTTCCCTGTGGGGTCAAAGTGCGAGTCGACATCAAACCTGTCAGTGGGAATTTTCCGGGCCACATCAAGCCCTTGCTCGAGCAGATCCCAGAACTTCTCAGTGTCAGTGGCTCCACCAGGCATACGACAGGACATGCCAATGATTGCGATCTTTGATTGCCTGGTTCCTCTGGGATCGGTCCCTTCGGGCGTTTCGTGTATCCATGGGACCAGCTCCTTCGTTGACGCCTCAAATTCTTGCAACTTGGATTTGAAAGCAGCCCGTAAATCATTTACTGGAAGAGAGTTATGGAATACCAAGATCTCACAGTCGATAGCTGAGATTGTGTAGGCTTGATCAACGAGGCTCTGGACAACTCTCTCCCACACTATAGGGCGAGTGAGCAGTTCCAGGGTTATCTGCTCCAAAAGGTCTCGTGCTGTTGAAGCGGCGAATTGATGACCTGTAGAAGTTTGAAAGATGGGAATCTCCGGCTTATATTTCCGATCAACGAAGCCGATAGACGAAGTTGCGGTGATATCACGGGCATCTTGTTCGGTGTACAAATGCTTGGCATGACAGAGACCACCATACACGGGCAAACCCACAACCTTGTGGCGACGGAAGAACTCGGACAGCCGTAGGACTCTCTTGAGACGCGATGGAGGGCCGCTTATGGTGACGGCTGACTCGCTCCATGAGCTGATGAAGATCTTGCTAGGCTCAGGAGTTCTCTATAATCCTGTTAGAACTGTTCCTCGTAGGTTTGATATGATATACTGAGGGGACTGACCTCTCTTGCGTGGATTGCGTCGAGTTCTGCTTGAACTTCTTCAAGTTTGGCACCTGGGACGACTGAAGCCCAAGTATCGGGAGAACCTGATGTATCTCGTGGTTCCAGGTTCTGGGAGACTTCATCGACGAGAGTTCCAAGACGGAAGGCTATACGAACGACCTCAGCGCCGGTTGCGGGAACGTCCGCCAATGTAGCGGCCAAGGCGACAGCGGCGCTGGCCAATAGCCCTATCCCTAGTCCGGCTACGTATGTAGATAGTGCGTGCAGGTCAAAGCCTTCAGGAGCAATCTCGTAGTGACTATACAAGTAAGCAAAGTGTGCTTCTTAGAGTTCGAGTATGAGGATATGTGCAGCTGCCGTACCCTATCAGAGCCGATATCTCAAGGACGCAGAGAAGGACGCCTTCCATAGATCCAGAAAAGGGCCCTTTGCGAAGGTCTGGGTGGTCCACAAGACTCAAGACCGTCTCAAACGGCGGCACAAGGGCTTTCAAGGCTGCTGGCAAGTGGCGAACCTCATCTCGAACAGCAAGTGTCGCCTCATCGATAAAGCGAGCAAGGATGGGATGCCGTCTGTGTTTGCTATGATTGTGGAGGCGGCGGAACAACACTTGAAGATCGTCCTTGGGGAACTCGTTGCTGAAGTATAAAACCCTCATCTTCGAGTATTCTGCTGGTGACTCGGATTGAGGCGTGTATACGGACATCCTCAGCGGCACCGAATTTCCGGAGCGAAAAAAAACGATAGAGCACAGTTTTGAACAGACCCCAGTAAAGATTGATGAAGATTGACGAAACGAATAAAACGGTTCCTAGGTGAAGAATGGCTGGACTCTGTTGCACCGAGTGAGATTTATTGCGATCAGGGAATGCACATATTCAACGCCAAGTGATAAAGCTCATACTCGGCCAATTTGGCCTGGGCGCCTTTCGGCGAAGACTACTCTGGACTCGTACTCGGAAAACAAGGTCCCGGGTCGGAGTCCACCCTGACGTGCGGCTGAGGTATGATTGAGAGTAATGCCGATGGGGGGTCGGACATGGCCAAAACTCTCTAATGTTTCAGCTCGGCTTGATATTTTGTAGCAGGACCCCTCCTCCAAAGAGCTGAATATCTCCTACAGCCCAACGTGCTCTAATTCGGATTGAACATACTGGCAACCATGTCCCAGCCCCAGCAACACAAAGGCGGTTACAAGCAAATCAACAAGGCGCTCAACATATGCGCTTTTGAGGACTATCTTTCCGCTCAGCTGAAACACCTTCCTCACTTGGAAGACGTAGAGCAATTGAGCCCGCGAGTCATCCGAGTTTTAGGGCAGAATGCCGGCAAGGTATGCTACCGCTGACACTCTATCCACCGTCCGGCTAACCATGGTTTTCACCAGTTCACACTGCAGGGGACGAACACCTACATCGTTGGAACCGGCTCCCAAAGACTGATTATCGACACCGCTCAAGGAATTCCCGAATGGGCAGACATCATTGAGTCCACTCTGGATGACCACTCCGTATCGCTATCACACGTCCTCCTTTCACACTGGCATGGTGACCACACCGGAGGGGTCCCCGATCTTCTGCGCCTCTACCCCGATCTTTCCGAAGCAATTTATAAGAATTCTCCCGGTAGTGACCAACAGCCTATCGATGATGGTCAGATATTTCGGGTTGAGGGTGCAACAATCCGAGCGGTGCATGCTCCAGGACATTCCCACGACCACATGTGCTTCATTCTTGAGGAAGAAAATGCCATGTTTACGGGCGACAACGTTTTGGGTCATGGAACTAGCGCAGTCGAAGAGCTGGGCCTCTATATGGAGATGCTGCGTACATTGCAATCACACAATTGCGCTGTTGGCTACCCAGCCCACGGTGACGTGATTCCCAATTTGCCGGCAAAAATAGCAGGCGAGCTGGCACAGAAAACGAGGCGCGAAAGACAAGTCCTCGTGACTTTGGATCGGCTCAAGAAAGAAATGCGACGTACAGGTCAAGGCAAAAGGGCAAGCGTCACAGTAAAAGAACTGGTGGTCTTAATACATGGGGAAGGAATCGACGAGGAAGTTCGCAAGATGGCTCTGGAACCGTTTATCGATGAGGTGCTGCGGAAGCTCGCTGAGGACGGCAAGGTAGCGTTTGAGATGCGAGGGGGCGTAAAACGATGGTTCGGCGTGGGAGCCTTATGAGTTCAAGTTGAAATGTGTTTGTCAATTCTGTTTGAAGTGTTGACGCCAAGACTGGGGTATTTCTTTTCTCACCAACACATCCATCCATCAGCTTTACACCACCTGGCGTTGATGTTGTTCTATAAACTGCTTTACTCTGCTGCCTATATTCTCTTCTATATGATTCTATATTGTTGCCTATCCTCATCCTTCCGATTTTGATCTCGCCCGTTGGCTGTGCTCAAAAACACTGCAGCTTTCCATGAAACTGGGTATGCAAGACCTCTGAATTGCTTCTGCCTAGTTACCCAAGACCTCTTAATGCATTTTTGGCCGGGGATTGCCGGATACTGATCTTCGGGCTCCGAAAAATGGGAGAGCAATAAGAACAAAATGGTCGCTGAGTTGAGTCCACTATTTCTGTAAGAGGACGCAAGTTGACCTGAATCAGAGGACTCTACTATAATCTTCTAGGCAATTGTCTACGACGAGAGGTTTCCCTCGTACTTCCTAGTCTACGTCTGAAATTGGCCTCCATCCATGGCACCCAACTCGAACCGAGGATTTCACGAATCAAGCGACCACTGGAAGATCTGACAACGCCCATGGTGGCTGAGACAATAGCGCCTGAGACGTTGATCTCTATCGCCATAGCTTGCAGCGCCCTTCAATATAGCCTGCCATAAGCCGTAACCCCTTGGAGGTCGTTGGGAATAGCTTTAGTCTTCGGTGCATTTCTTGATGGTCAACCAACCCACGAAGGACCGTTTCCCGTCATATTGCTCGAAAGTTACGCGCGCATAAACCCCCCTGAGACCAGAGGATCTATTGAGTGCCAACGACCGTTGTCTTGATCGGGGAGCGGCAAACGGGTCGGATTCCGGGGACGAGTTGGGAGCCGGTTTACCTGGGTCCAATACAAGCCCAGCAGCCTTTGTTGCACCTCTCCCTTCCAAGAAAATATCATTCTTATCTTGGATACGAGTTGGGGCCTAGAGCTTGGGTAAGTCTTGACCTTTTTCTCGCTCTACAGTAATCATGGGCCAGATAAGCCTAAACTAACAGCGAAAGGGGAGTTCACGGGCCTGCAGGTAAGACAACTTCAGTCTCAACTGCCTGATAACGGAAAGATCGATGGAGTTGAAAATAGACTTTGGCAATTGTCAGACTTACTGTTTCCTTGTTTACGAGGCATCTCACCTCCCCATCCGGCTGAATCCAAAGACAGCGGTCTCGGCCAGGTTACTGTTCCCCGGAGGCAGAACCCAGGCTAGGAATCAGCTCAGATCCAGGATACAGAGTGGTCTACACCAATCGTGTTGAGTCATAAGCTGACGCCCAGCGGCTGGTTTGACGTCCATACATGCCACTCATGCTCAGCTCTAGCCCTCGTAGCCAGCATTTGAATCCTTCATGCAGTCGTGCTTCGTCTTTTAAGCTTGAGAACCCTCAGCCCCTCGCACTGTAACTGTCCGATTGTCTTCCCCGTGCTCACCATGGCATCATTATCCAGCCCCGGTGTTGCCTCGATTCCCCAGACACCAACCATCAAGTTGCGTGGAAGCTGCCACGCATGTGCCCTTTCCAAGTTGAAATGCAGTCAGGACAAGCCCAGTTGTGCACGGTGTACTAAGAGAGGCACAACATGCCAGTATCTTGCCAGCAAGCGCGCCGGTCGTAAGCAGGGCAGTCGAACAGGCAGCAATAGAGACCCTACCAAGTCTGTCAATCAGCCCAAGCCTAGCGATGAAGGCGACGACCGAAAGAACTTTCTGGCAGCCTCTACGCAACTTATGCATTACGCTCTTCAGCAGGACCGGAGTCTTGACTCCTACCGAGGACATCCGCATCATCAGCGTACACCAAGCTATCCAGATAGTGTCCCGAGCCTTCTCTCGTCTGCCGGCCCCACGACGCCGCTCACGTTCAGTCACTCTGATTTCGAGAGTTTTCTGTCTTCGCCTGTTTCGTTGTCAATGCTGGACGTCCCCGAAGTTGACTACTTTGCCGGCGCTGAAATCAACTTCAGAGACCTCAATGACTTTCCTGACCCTGCCGCATTTCTTACCCCGGAGGACTCGTTACCAATGCCTGAAGATAACCTCTCAAAGTCTTCTCCGGTGCCAGAGTCTCAAACATTGTCAACCGATATGCCGTCCTCGCCCCCTCCAATAGACCTATATACTCCCGCGAGTATACTGCAGTGTTCATGCTTTTCTCGCTCTTTAGCTCTTCTCCGAGAATTATTTCCCAACCGTACGGCCTGCTGCGCCACTTCCAGTCGAAACAACGAGTACTCCACGAATCCTCCACCAACAATTCAGCAAGTGATTACCCAAAACGAGAAGACAGTCACAGAAATTGGCCAAATATTGGACTGCTACTGCTCCCAGGATGGTTACACGCTCACTATCATTACCCTTACAGTGTTGAAAGTCCTTGCCTGGTACGGTGCTGTTGCCCAAGAGTCACGCGCAGCCGGTGAACAGCAAATACACGCTGAACAAATAGACAGAACACCGGTGGTAATTGGCAGCTACCACCTCAACGGCGATGAGCAGAGTCGCATGGCCGCACAGCTGGTCCTCAGCGAACTGCATCGTGTGCAGCGGGTTGTGAACGCACTCTCCGAGCAGCTCCAAAGTCAAGGCCTACAAGAGAGCGTGGGAGGAAGGCCAGATAGTACTTGCTTAGACGGACATGAGTCTGTCTTACCTGTTCATCTCTTGGACCAGCTGGCAGCCGATCTCAGGGCTCGACTCCGCGGTTTGTCTGGTCAGATTGTTGATCGGTTACGTCGGACTTGACACTTTTCTCCTGCTTGCCTGTGTTTTGATTGCCGACAACGACCTGCATATCTTGGATCATCAGATGAGTTGCTGATACCAATAAGAATCTAACCTACGGACCGCTCAGGCAAGGGTCATCTTTTAGTTCCAAGTTAACTGATGTGCAACTCTCGTTTCCAATGCCCTGTCAAGAGATAGAACGAGTCGTTTTAGAACTTGACCGGTCTTGTATAAAATACTTGTATTCCTGGCCCGGCATTCCCTGCTTACCCTAGCCATGCAATTATAGCACTGCCATATTATTGGTCTGTCATACCCAGCTTATCCCAGTTTGATGGCCAACCACTGCCAAAAATTACCAATTCCTCAGCTCGCCCGGACCCCAATTTCGATGGCTTTCTACCCGGCGTCTTTCTTACATGCCGTTCCCCTGCATGTATTGCCTGCCCAAGCTCCTGGCTACCCAAGTCCGCTAGTTTCCATGATTCATTCCCATGAAATTCCTGTTCCTTGCGTCTTACGTTCAAAGCCACATTAGCTTTCACGTTGCTATGCTAGTGCGCTTAGACCATGCGATTAGAACCGTTTGTTGTTTATATATAAAGTGTATTATATGCCAATCATAACTTATCATCTCTCCTCTAGCCGATAAGCTCGATGTTTCTGATAGAGCAATACTCGTTTTGTGAGGGAGCCCCAGACAACGGAATTGTAGCGCCTCGGAGAACCTACAATAGAACTACAGTAGACAATGATAACTACCAAATTGTGCCTATTGCAGTGGATATCGTGTTGTCCATTCAGACATCGCTCTCGCTATCAATCCCTCGATTATAGAATTCCCGTACAGAATACGATTAGACCCATCAATATTTAACGCCCTCATTGTAGCAGTGCCACCACCTTTACACTAACAGTCCTCAAAGCAGTCCGATCGCTCATCACAAAATCGAAATATGTCCCACATAAAATTATCCTCGGTTTCACTTTACGCATTATCCTTATACATCGCAAAGGTAGGTAGATTAATCGGCGTAGTGCCCCCAGCCCACAGTCCCGCACAACCCGCCCAATCTATACCATCATGTCAGCTTCCAACTCCAAGACCCAAGCAAGATAAAGATTGCAACTCAGAAGGAAAAAGTGCAAGGGAACATACACGACAAAAACGCCGTAACAAGCATAATCGCATACCCCGCGGTAAGCACATCATCACTCTCCTCCATAAACCCGACAGCGAGTAGGAGGAACCCCAAACTCAGCACGGCCAGATCGACAAAGAGCACCCACGACGAGCGCACCGCCGCAATCACATACAGCGTGTTGAGGATGAACCATGCCCACAGGTAAATTGCAATGGCTTGGTTGAACTCGGGGCTTAGTGCGCAGGTTTCGGCGTCTGTGTAGGAGGCCAATATGCCTGTTCCGGGGATGTAGATCATTGCGTAGGAAAAGTTGAAGGCCGAGTAGGAGGCCCATAGGGTTGCGCCGAACTATGTAGAGAGAGGAGGGGGTGGGTTAGTTAGGGCTTGAGTTGGTTGTGGAGGGGAGGGGTGGGAAGGGTGAAGGCATACGGTGTTTCCAGTGAAGAACTCCATAACTGCGGCTGTAAATTGGCCGAGGCCACCAAAGAAAATAAGGACTCCTAAAAAGACATTAGGAGTCTGGACGCCTCGGGCGTGGAGGCCGAGTGTTGCAACGAGGAAGATGCCTATCTATAATCAGCACTTAGACCAAGATCATGGCAAACGGGAAAGCGATACCAGTTGCAAACGACAACAATCCCAGTGGCGATGGGTTAGCGAATGTGCGATGCACAACAGGCAACCCTGGCTGGGAGCTATCGTTGACATGGCCTCCGGCCGTATACACGCGATTCAGGTGAGCAAACGATGGCCCAGATGGGCAGCCCTTCTCGACTTGATCTGCATGGTCTGCGCATTGAGTATTTTCGGACATGATGAGGGCGGAAAAGCAAAGAGATGGCTGAGCTCGATGGGAAAAAGGCTCACTACGTAGAAAGGTATACTCACAGTCTTATATTCCTCACTGCTAGCCCTAACCCCGAGGAGACTCCTTCACCCCATGGTTCACTTCGCTGAATGTAGATCACAAACCATGGAGCACAAATAAACTCTCGTCAAATCGGCGTCTCGCTTCGGTAATATAGAATCGGAGCTGACCTTGTAGAACTATGAACTCAGTTTGATCTTGGCAGGGCCAAGGAGAGACGGACATGGTTTAGGGGCTCGGGCCCGAAGCCCGATGGTACTTCCGAGGACGAGTCAGGCTCCTGGCTACAGTCTGAAGCAAGCTTTGTATGCGGGGATTCGAAGGGGCGAATGATCTAAGTTTAGTGGAAACTCAAAATTTAGAGATGGGACTCTATGAAGCCGCAGGAAGACGCCTAGATGGCGCAAAGTACGGCAACACTCCGCACGATGCTGACGCCTCCCCGCATATGGGCCAGAAGTGCTATGGCGATCAACATGAGGCAAGCAATCAATTAGCCCTCAAACGCCGTGTCGAGTCATGTAGTAGAAAGCCACTTTTTTTATTTCTCGGGAGACCGGCAGAGCAAACAGGATCCTTGAAATACCGCAAATTTGATTGGCTCAACTATAAAGTATGCGACAAGAGCAAATAAAGCCCAATCTCAAGTAAACACCTTAGCCTGCTTCTGTAGCGCCAGGAATGTCTCCTTATCATGGCCAGGTATCATCTGACCCTTGGTAACCCGCATCAGCTGTTTCAATCGTTGGGTGCTCCTGAACCAAGCTGGATGGTCTCTTGCCAGCCATCCCTGGGGAATCCCATCTTTCCACTATATACTAATTAGCGAGAGGTTCACCTGGCCGGCAGATGCAAGGCAACTTACGTTCTCCATCACGTGGCAGTGGTCGCTAACAAAGAAAAACGTCCCTGTCACGGGCATGTTGATCTGCATCCCAATCAGGCCATCTGTGTGGCCCGGTAGATGTTGCAGGGTGATGCCTTGACAAAAGTCCATCGTCTGGTCGTTGAATGTTTTCCAGTTTCTGCTCCATTAGCAAACTCATGCAAATCCGGCTTGGGAGTCATACAATGAAAGCTTCAGATAGTGCTCCAGGTAAACCCCAGCGTCGGCTCCAGTCGCCACAGACCAAAAAGCCCCATTGAGCTCTCGCTCATGGACCCATATTTCGACATCCTTGTTGTCTAGGAACTCATCAAGGCCCCCTGCATGGTCGAGATGCAGATGTCCAATGATGATCTTCCTGATATCCTCAATCCTGTTGCCGGTGGCTTCTACAGCAGCGCGAAGCTCATGCTGCGGCTCGTATTTAATACGAGCAAAAATGTCAGAAACAACAGGGCCCCAAATCTCAGGGTAGTCTTTCCCGCAGCCAGTCTCCCAAAGTATCAAGCCCTCATGTGGGTGTTCAATCAAAATGCAGTACATGGGAAGCTCGCGTCGTTTGTTGACAAATGATTTGTTCTCGGTGCTTTTCAGACTTGAGTTGCTGCCTCTAACCACAAAACCTTCGTCGCACTCCAGCCAGCCGACTTCCAGGATGTGGAATTTGGTGCCTTTAGGGCAGACATTGGACACGGCGTTGGGGACGGCGCCTCGTTCAAGTTGGCTCTGAATTGCTGCCATGATGGGTACGTTACTTGGATGAAAAACACGTAATTCACCGAGTCGTTGCAAAGAAGAGAGAAGTGGTAAAAGTTGAGTAAATCCGAGGAGCTGAAATGACATGAAGTTGAAGAAATTGGTGAAGTTTCCTGAGGTATAAATGTTCTCTGGGGGAGCTATCCCCCCTCCATCCACGGCAGGTGCCAAAAGTCCCCGGGTTGAATTGCAGAACAATCGCCATCTATGGTCCACCCTAGTTCAGAGCTCCACGACTTACTCCACTTGTTGACGAGACAAGCGTTCGAGGCAAAGATAGTACCCCAATATCCACTTTTTTGGGGAAATTCGGTGCGCCACCCTAGATTCGGCCTGTGGGGTTTCAGGGCAGTGTGCACTGAGCTGAAGTGTTACCAACCAGCGGGGAGCTTGCGCTGTCTGCCTACTTTGAGTCGCCTACTCGGATTGGTAATCCTGCTTGATCCCCCTCACCGGTTACTTGCCTGGAGCGAGGCGTGCGCCTAGCTGTCTTAAGGATCGGCCGGACACAGAATACTCGCACAGTGTTACCCCCAGAAGAACGAGCACTTCTCAATTCTGAGATTCTTCTGTGTGTACTCCTGACTCTAAATTTCCAATGGCGTCCTCAAGCCTACCCCAGCTTAAGAGGAAAGACCTCTTTTCAGCAAAGGGTACATCGCAGAAAAATGGGTCGACTCCGCCAGCTCTGCCACGTTCGATGCCACCAACCCCGCGACGATCGAGACTATCGCCACGCTGCCAGAAATGACCGCCGCCGACACCGAAGTCGCAATCGCTGCCGCCCATGAAGCCTTCCAGACATACAAATAGGAGTTTCGTACAGGAGGGCATCTACGACAAGTTCGCAGCCGCCCTGGTCGACAGAATCAAAACATTGAAGATTGGTAACGGCATCGATAGTGGCGTAGCTATCGGCCCTCTTACGCATGATCGGGCGGTTGAAAAGGCTATCGGCCATATCAATGGTGCGTACATCCTTCGCTGAGCGACAGACAATAAGGTAATGGTTTCTACTTCTAGACGCAAAGGCGAATGGAGCCTCTATCCTCCTCGGAGGATCCGCATGCCAGCCTGACAATCTACGAGGATACTTTATCCAACCCACCGTTCTGAGCGGCATGTCGACAAAGTCCCTCACAACCCGCGAGGAAGTCTTCGCTCCCATCGTTGCTCTATACCCATTCAAAACTGAAGAGGAAGTGGTTACACAAGCTAACGACTGCGACGTCGGTCTGGGAAGCTTCATCGTGACGGAATCGATGCCTCGCATTTGGAGGGTTGCCGAAGGCCTCGAGGTTGGCATGGTTGGTGTAAACTTGGGAATTCTGAGTGCCTGCGAGAGTCCGTTTGGAGCTAAGATTTGTACCTGGTTGTTGTGATACATGACTGACGAGATCTAGGGGTCAAGGAGTCTGGGTATGGGCGAGAAGGCGGGAGACATGGAATTGACGAGTACCTTACGACTAAGAGTATTTTGATGAATGTTATGGGTTAAATTTTTGATATATGAGGGGCCATTTAGTTTTCAACCTTTCCCTTTCTCTGCTAGCACCGTACGTGGAAATACAATCTCAGGTTGACACGGTCATCCTCCTTATTGGAAATCCTACTTTGTGGTAGTCAAATCTCATCCACATCCCATAAAGCCGCAGCACACATCATAACCTCGTGGGCAATCTAGCCCACCCCCTCATAGCGAGTTATCGAGGGGAGTTACATTACACGATGCTAGCTCAATAGCGAACAGCCAACCTTGCCACCCATGCATTCTGATTATTGCCGCCTCACTACCCATCTATAGATCCCTATGATATAGTTCGTAGGCAAATGGTCAGAACCCTTGAGTCAAAACCTACATACCCCTCTCGCGCCCCGAGTCATCGTTATTCCCCCATAATCAACCAAATAATTGGCAATGAGTGGACCACTTGGAATCAGGGCGTATTAGGCGTCCACAGTACATCACATCACAGTAGGACGAGTGGTAGCTTTCCCCGCAGCCGGCGCCGGCGGGGGTGGGCGATTGCCCCGAAACTCTATTTTTGGGAAATACCAAAAAAAAAAAAAAAAAAAAAAAAAAACCTACAAATCAGATGTGATGGGAGGAAATGAGGCCTTTAACCCAAGTCGCCCGTTGCTGATATTATTACGGCAATCAGGCCTCGCTCGGTAAGTACTCTGTAACTATGGAGGAGTGGACGTTTGAGTCGGCCTATCCATTGTACAGCCGTTTAGTATACCCCGGGTTTATGGGCCGAGAGTGATGTTTGATGGAGAAGAAGAGAGGGGTCGAAGCGGGGGCCTGTCATACTGACCCTTTCTTCGTTGAGTTGCACGAGCTAGCAGGGAGATATTAAACTGGACACTCTTCTCTCCTTGTCTACCTAAGTCCAAAGTCCCCAACTTTATCTCTTCTTGCTCTGCTTATCGTTTTCGCTAGCTTAATTCTTAATCCACAATTTCTACTCCGGAGTAAGCCCTCCGCAAACATGCCTCCCGCTACGATGCGCGCCGTGGTCTTCAAGGCCCCTTATGAGGTGAGTGCCCCTCTCCTACTTGCGGGGTAACAGAGGAATTCGAGACTGACATCTTCAAGGTCGCAGTCGAAGACAGACCGTATCCCAAGCTCCAACACCCTACCGATGCTATTCTCAAGGTGTCATCGACCGCTCTGTGCGTGAGTCTCGCTCACGATTTCCTTGCTATTCGCATACGTACTAACACAACGCGTACATCCATCTAGGGCTCCGACCTACACTTTTACCGCGGCCACTTGAAGTGCCCTGGCAATTTTATCGCTGGACACGAGTTTGTCGGTACCATAATAGAGAAGGGTGACGCCGTGACGGAATTCCAGTTGGGGGAGCAGGTTGTTGTGCCGTTCTACACGGCCTGCCAGGAATGCTACTACTGTGTCCGCGGGCAGGCGAGCCGATGCGCCAAGGGCGAGCTCTTTGGAAACTCGGTGCCCGCGAATACAATTGATGGCGGGCAGGCGGAGTATGTTAGGGTTCCGTTGGCGCAGACTACATTGGTCCGGACGCCAAAGGGCACGTTTCCCCACCTCTGCATTTGGGTCAACAGTCGGTCAGAGAGTGTTAGCTGACCATGTTAAAGGCGTTCCCGAAGCCCTCCTTGTGCTCATGGCCGACATTTTCCCGACTGGCTTCTTCGCGGCCTCTCGCTTTCTCAAGGACCTTTCTCCCCGCGATCAAACGGAGTACACAACGGTCGTCATAGGTTGCGGGCCTGTTGGCCTCTGCACGATCGCCTCAGCACTCACTATGGTGAAAACTGTGTACGCGATTGACTCCGTCCCCGAGCGCCTAGCCGAGGCTGAGAAGCTCGGTGCCATCGCCATCAACCTGAACGACGATCCCGTGTCGAAAATCAAGGCTGCCTCAGGCGGCCGCGGCGCTGATGTCGTTATGGAAGTTGTCGGTCATGCGGATGCATTCATGCTAGCGTTCGATATGATCAGGCCGTGGGGACAAATTAGTTCAATTGGCGTGCATACCGAGCAAATACCGCTCAATGGGCTGATGTGCTATGGGAAGAATGTGACGATGGCATTTGGGAGATGTCCGGTACGCAGTGTGTTTGATGATGCATTGAAGTTGTTCCAGGAGGTGCATCCCAAGCTGGCGTTCTTGGGTGGTGAGGTTCGGTCGCTAGAGGATGCGCCGCAGGCGTATAAAGATTTTGAGTCGAGGAAGACGCATAAGGTTGTTTTCAAGTTTGATTCTTAGGGCTTGGTGTGGTTTGGTTCGGCTGGGGTTTCCGGGGTTATGAGTAACGTATCAAGTATGAAGCGTGAGATTTGAAAGCAGTTTTGATTCTGCAAGGCTCTTTTGCTCCTACTACAACTAATTACTAGCGCGGTATCCAGGATAGAAAGGAATCGTTTGTGGCATAACCACATACTCCGTGATACTTCGGACTTCGGGGCAACGGATGATCGCCGCTTGATCTACAGTGCTGCGGGGACTTTGGATCCACCAGGCCATCTCAAGACTGGGACTTGGGGTTGAATTCGGGGTTTCGGGGTCAACACGCGAGGTCAATTTCCTGGGACATTGTCTGATATGCGTAGATTGTCCGCAGGATAGCGATCTTAGGAAAGATAATATCTTGCAGGGTCGGCATAAATGGCTTCAGGACGGTAGATACTCCCTACCGGGTTGGCTGGGTGTTGGGATTTTGCCGCGATTGAGAGCGGTTGTAGTGGTCGAAAGTCGGGGTTCAAGGCTTAACCTTCTCGGAACAGACCAGGAGAAATGTAAATGTTGTCAAACTGGCTGATAGATGTATCGATGAGATCTAGAGGATATCGGCGATTTCGGTGTAAATAGTGAGCCTTTGGTGTAAAATGACGTCGGTAGGCTGCGGTATATTCTGGCGGTTTTGACGGTGACGAGTAAAAACAAGATCAACGCAAGTAAACCTGAGAGACTGGGACGGATTGTCGACGAACGAGTCAAATACATTGCTGGTTGGCTCTGTAGATTGCCATTGGAATAGCTTCACAATTGCCGAATCCGGCCGAAAAGTTTCCGGGACTAGCGCAGTAATGTATTGGACCTAGCCTCGGTATATTTTCGAACAACTAGGATCAGAATACAAGCATAACGCCCGCATCGGGTGATTAGGCTGTTGCAGCGCTTACTGTGCGTATTGCTTGCGCTCTCAGATGTCGGACTACAGCCCGATGTCGCTCGGGGTTGGAAGTAGGTCTAGTGAAACCGAGAGAGCTGTTTCTTCGAGTACCCCTCTCATTCGCAATAATAGAAGGCTGCATAATATAGCAGCAGACGCGGTCTCATTCGGCCACTCTGGGTCGCCCAGGAATATCCCGAGTAACCTGCAGGTTGAATACCGTTGAACTTTAAATAGATTTCATCTTACTTTAAAAAGGACGCTGGGCATTCATCTCGTAGTTGTGGTTTTATTGTCAACTTTATTACTGTCGCTGTTCGTTGATTGCTGAACTTGGCAGGCCACAATGTCGGACCTTTCAGACCTTAATAAAGACCTCACGGCTGCGCTGAAGATTCTTATCTCCCATAGTCAAAACATCACCCCCGGCACTCAACCATTGATCTCTGCTAACGCTCCACACAAAGTCCTTCGCGCACGATCGACAGCTCTCGCGGCCATTTCTAGAATCCAGACTCTCCTCGCAAGCCCCTCCGACTTCCTGCACCACCTCGCCGTCCAAAACCAACTGCTCGCTTGTCTGCAATGGCTCGGAGAATTCCAAGTCCTTGCATGCATCCCACTTCAGGGCAGCGTTCCCGTCAAAGATGTCGCCGACCTGGCTAGCGTTCCTGAGACGCACCTCTCCCGCGTCGTCCGAATGACAACCACCGCCGGGTTTTTGCAGGAACCTCAGTCAGGTCATGTCGCACATAGCGCACTCTCCTCTCCGTTCGTCACGAAGCCATCCTGTCTCGACGCCGCAATGTTTCTCGCTGGAACCGTTGCCCCAGCTGCGCTACAGTTACCCACAGCAACGCAGCGTTTTGGCTCGTCGTTGCGCACAAACGAGACGGCGTACAACCTCGCCTTCAACACCCCCAGCACCTTTCCCAGTATATGCGAGCAGAGACCCAAACTGCAGCGGCAATGGCCTGCGTTTCTCCGTTACGGCACCAACGACGTCGATGATCAAGTCACGGATCTTCTGTCCAGGCTAGACCAGTTTCGCGGAGGAACCATATCTGTCGTCGAGGTATCCTTCCGATCTGTTTCTTCAAAAAAAAAAAAAAAAAAAGGCATAACTAACGGCGGCTTAGGTGAGCGCTCGCTCCATCGACCGCGCAACATTCCTCGCAAATCTTTATCCAACCCTGCACATCATCGTCCAAAACCCAACAGCAACATCTGGCTCAGCCTTCGACGACATCCGCCAACTCACCACAAACATCAACGCAAACGCAGCTTCCAACATAACAATCCAGCACCGCGCTGTTACAGCCCCGCAACCAATCCTAGATGCCTCGATCTACATCCTACACCTCCCCCAGCCCTCCCCAATAACCCCCTTTGCGGCCCTCACGCCCCTTATAGCCGCCGAGCTCCGCGTCCACCTCGACGTCCTTCGCGCCAACCCCACCGCAACCCTCATCCTCACCCCTCGTCTTCTACCCGAGCCCGCATCTGTGGATCCAGATGTCGAGGCGACAGCACGACTGCGTGATCTTGCGCTGCTACAGCTGGCGAACGAGCGAGAGATCGGTCTGGAGGAGTGGATAAATATCCTCAATAGCGTGAGCGATAATATGGGCAGACTAGTGGTGGTTAACAAGATAAGGTCGAGGGAGAGTGTGGTTGTGCTACTGGAGGTTAGGTACCAGGCTTTCAATCGGTGAGGCCGGTAATACATTGGGGTACGTGTAAGTGAGGAGTTATTTGGCTAACTCTGGTTTTACAAGTACATCGTGGACCAAAGAGACTGCTACGAAAGCACACTTGAAACTATGCTTGGATTTCTATGCAAAGGAACGATTTGAGGGGGAACTTTATTTAGGGCACGGCCCCGTTAGCTCTTACGAATATGACTTTTGAGTCGAAAAGTATATAAACCCAGATAACCACTTGACCAAAGCATCTGGACTCGTTAGTAAGGTTGCATGTTATTCCATTCCATCATACGGCTATGCTTTTCTGTCGGGAAGGTGCTGAAAATCGCCTAATGATCTCCCTATAAAATCCGAACGCGCTTCGAAAGGCTGGGATTTATGCCTATTACTTTCGAACTTTAGTATATTCTTCTCCGAGAGTTGGAAGTCCAGATCTGCAACTAAGGTTGGAAACACCTATGGTAGGTCGCTGTGCTTCCCGTCCAGATCCGTCCCAAGGCGGGATGTAACCTACCTCGATCTACACGTCATGGAAGCTTAGCTGAACAACTTGGAACGGCCCATCAAGGCCCAGAATTTACATTCGACGTGCAAAAGTTCAATCATTTTAGCTCTTATGATTCCATTAATGAATCCACGGCGTCTGGTTTGTTGGTCTTGCGAGCGGAAACATATCCACCAGCCGGAACGGGCCAGCATACCACGGATCCTGTCATGATTGCAACTATACTTAATGTCGTCACGCTACCACAATCTAAAACTCAATCCTAAGTTCCCATACGTACATAGGCAGCCCGTTCGTCACTAACATGATGAAGGCTGGACTTTCTCTCAGGGCTCGAAGATCACCATCCAAAATGTCGGCGTGTCTTTTAATTGCACTCCTGGTCTTCAGCAGCTTCATTCCGGCCTTTGCCCAGGATCAAGGTCCCCGGATTTGGGCAGCCTTTGCATACAATGTCTACGGAGAGGTCATTCCCACGGCTTTTCCTCGCCCGAGAGCGTTGACGAGTCACGGGGCGAATCAGCTGCACGACGCCGGTGTTGCCTTTCGAAATCGATATGTCTCGCTCAATTCTACCGATCAAAATTTGAGGATTCAGAACCTTTCTCCTTATCTGCTTGACAATGATGATATCAAGGTGTCCTCGACACCGGATGTCGCGGCCTTAGCGTCTGCACAGGCATTCATGCAGGGCCTGTATCCTCCGCTTGATGTGTCGTTCAATGCTTCGTTCTTTGGACAAGACTCAAGATTAGCAGATGGATCAAGCTCCATAGCGCCAATGGGCGGGTATCAATACCCTCCAATTCTTACGTTTGGCTATCAAGATCCCCAGTCGCTCACTATTTCTGGTCAAGCGCTTTGCCCTGCACACGCCTATGCAAACGCCGAGTACATCGGCAGCAAGGAGTTTTGGGATACCTATGAAGAGTCAGCAGCATTTTACAACCGGCTTCAAAGCTTTGCCATATCCGGGGAGTTCGACATCACAGCGACCAGTTATGCGAATGCCACCTCCATCTCCGAGTTTCTCGATTATCAGGCGGTGCATAACGAATCCTTTTTGCAGAGCTTGAGCGCCGAGGATATTAAACGCGCACGGTGGTATGCGGGAAAGTATGTCTGGGCAACGAATGGCAATACTTCGAGATCAAACAGTGTTCAGGACACTAGCATCCGCACTATTGCTGGGGAAGGCGTCGCATCAAGCGTCTTAAACGCTTTCGAGACAAACGTCCAAGGCCGAGGCATCGATACCAAGATGACACTTCAGTTCGGTGGCTATCAGACAGCGGTATCGTTCACATCCCTGTTGCAGCTCGCGAAGTCTGAAGACTCCAGCTTTACTTCCCTTCCAACCCTAGGGTCCTCATTTATCCTAGAGTTGTTCAGCATCGAAAACGAGACCTACCCAACATATCCTGACCCGTCCAAGCTCTTCGTGCGGTTCCTCCTCCACAATGGAACAGATGCCGATTTCAGACCGTATCCGCTTTTTGGTTACAGCCCTAGCAATACAGCCATTCCCTTCCATGAGTTCGAGACGCGTATGCAGAGGCTCTCCTTAGGGTCGGTTACAGACTGGTGTCAGCGGTGCAACTCTTCTGCTGTATTCTGTTCTGGTGTTCTGAATGAGGGAGAGTCCAGAAACAACCAGGGTAGTAATGGAATCAGCCCAGCGGTTGGTGGGGTCATTGGAGCGGTTGTTACAATTGTTGTGCTCGCTTTGATTGGTGTCTTTGGTTTCCTGGCATACAGCTGGCGCACTAAACGCCTGCGTAAGCCCAGTTTGGGTGGCTTCAAAGGAAACCGCAAGTTGGCCAGTGATGCAGACCTCACTTTTAAAGACCCGCAATGGGAGAGTGACACGGTCAAGCCTCCTCAGGCCTCAGCTCGGGGATACGAGCGACACGGTAGCTGGGAGATGGGTAATCAGAAACTCCCCCCAAAGGTCACGGACCAGACCTCCAATATTGGATATTCTTTGGGGGACGAAATCGAGGAATGGCAGCTTCACAGTGCTGCAAAACCGGTGGGAGTGCACGAACATGTCTGAGACTAGTTAGAAATGAAGAATAGGGTGAGCTGTTAGTGCTGCCAATGGAGTTTCTGCCAGGATATCTTGGACGCTGCCAGGCAATCCTTCCGTAATTGCCTCGAACTGCCTCGTGGCTCTTTCCTTGTCAACAAAACATTGCTTCCCACCTCTTCCTCCCCAACCATTTCTCCCAAGTCGCCTTTCCTAACTCTCCTCATCGTCCTGCTAAAAGCCCTTCTCCTTTCTCCTCTGCAAAACGGCTGTTGCTGTGGCCAGAAACAACCCCCTTCATTCTTTCTACAAAAATCCGAAACGACAGCCCGTGAGGTATACATTCATTCATCTCAGTCCGCCATGACCAAATACGACCTCCAAACCCTCCTGGCAGTGAAGCCCAATGCCCACATCGGACTGGACAGGTTCAGCGACCAAGCCTTTACAAGTAAGTCATGCTTCTTTTCCTATATGATTATGAGCCATTGCTGATCCGTAGCGTGTAAGACAACTTGGTCCGCCCCAATGTCTTGTCTGAACAGTCCGTTAACCGGCCGAGGAACGTGTCAGGTCATTCGCGTCGTACCCCAATGGCAGGTTTGGCCATGAACACGCAGAATAACCCTCGACAGCCGAGTCAGTCCTCTCTGCCATCCAACTCCCAGTTTGATGATGCCTTTGTGCGATTCGTCGAGCAGCACACGTCACCCAAGCCACAACGTGTCACTGCCGGTGGACGTATTGTGCCTATGAATCCATGGGATTCTCCTCCAAAATGGAGCTTACCCATGAGTTCGAAGGGTGCAAGTGCTGCGAACAGCGAGACGTCAAAGACTGTTCCCACGGCTGCAAGGAGCGAGCCTAAATCGAGATCCGAAAACAGTGCAAAACAAGAGATCAATTTCTCTGAGGGCAAGGCTGTCAAGACGGCCCCATTGCCTGCAGGTACGCGCTCAGATTGTTCTTCTCATCTAACTGTCAACGTTAATTTGACCAACAACATTCAGAAGCGGCGAATGCTCCATGCTTCCAGCCCCTTGCAAACAGTCCTAGCCCTTTCCCGTATGCCAGAACGCCCATGGCCCGTCAACAGATCCAGGGATCCGGTCTACCTACATACCCTTCTTTCGGAATTGGTGGAGATAATTTCCTGGGCACCAACCCGTCCACAGCGATGGGCCAGGTCCCCACGTTCCCCTTCCAGCCACATGCGTCTCCCGCAGCGACTCCTAGCTTCTCAGGCTGGAATAGCATAAGTACGGCAACTGCTAGCACGCTTGGGCCGTACCAGGCGGGTTACTTGGCTGGGCCTCCGAGCATCGGTACTCAGTGGCCTCAGATCTCGCAGATGTCTCCGATGCCCCAGGTCCCTCAAGTACATCAAACTCCTCAGCTACCCCAGTTACCCACATTGCCCCAGTTGCCTCCGCTGCCTCCACTATCCCAGATACCTCAAGCCTCTCCGGCCATTAGCAACCAGGGGCCTGCAGTCAATCAGCAGTTTGTTCCTTCGTACTTCCAAGAGGCTATCTATCAGAAGTCTCTGGATGACGCTACAAAGCAATATGAAGCGCTCTCCGCACAACTTTCCCAGATCGACAGATTCACAGCGATGCATACTTGGGTCATAGAGCCAGAAACAAAGAAGCTTCTGGTTGAACAACGCAAGAGTTTGGTTCGAGAACTAGACACTGTGAGACTTTACAAGGAACACTTGCAAGTGCTTTTCGGGAAGCCCTTGATGAGTGCCACACCGGTACCCCAGAGAGATATTGCGGTTCCAGTGACGCCTTCGCAAAATGGAGCCTGGGAAACACCAACCAAGTCTAAGTCCAAGTCTCTATCACCGACCGTCCGAAACCTCTACCGTACTATCGAAGAGACTGACCAACGCGGAGAGCCTATCGACGGGCTTCTTCGCGCCCTATCAGGCGCGTCCAAAGGTCTAGCGAAGAGACTGAGCGAAGAACGCAAGAAAACACTTCGGGTTCCTACCAAGGACGTCGCAAGGGAGGTGCTCAACAACACCTTCGCCAGGGTGAACGAAGAGCCCCTACAGGAAGCACCCGCGAAAGCTGAGTATGCCCAGCCCGTGCAGGTGTCGAGGAGGCTTTGGCAGTCCGAACCCCATCCCCATTCTCCACTCTTATCGCAGTGCTTTAACAATAATTGGAGTCCAGTCTTGCAGAAGTCTGCTGCTCCGGCGGTCTCTCAAAATGTCACTGCCCACGCTTTCCTTCCCTCGTTTGATGGTGCTGGAAGGACATCCGACGATTTCGAATTAGTATGATCGGTGGTCCATGTGGCGAAGAGTGTCATCGCAAGAGGTAAAACTAACTTCGGGTCGAGACTGTTTGGGTTCCGAGGAAATGATTGTTTGGGGCGTTGGAGGACGTGTTTGCGTTGGCACTACGAGTTAAACTACAGACAGGATGGACGATGGATATCTGGCCTCGTGTAGGATTATTGCATCCTTAACATTGATTTGGTAGTTACGCATAATTTGACGTTCTCGCGCAAAAGTGGCTTGACTCGCGAGCATTAATAATGGTGGCCATTCCTGACTCAGCCCCGTCGAAGAATCTCCCAACTTTTAACTCCACTCCACCTCCTCATCCAACGCCTGCAATCAACGAGTCCGCCTCGCTTCATGGATTGACCATCCTTTTCGCGATCGCTTCATCTCTCCTCCGTTCTTTTCTCGCTCTGTTCCCCGTCTCTCTTTCCGGCTGTTGCTTCTCGTACAATTACACCGCTCCCCTTCCCTATGCGTCTGCAGCAGTGCTAGCTCCACGCCGCCTATTCCAAGGTTCACTCCCACCCCCGCGCTCTCTCGAAGCCCGTTACTGCGGCGGTCTGGCTACCTCGATCTCACCTCTAAATTCGCTCGCCCCCCTCGCCATTTTCCCCAAAGTCGAATACTCCCAATCACTCTGCCCGCGTTTTGTTTCGTGCTTGATTTTTGCTTATTGCGGGGATGACGCAGCTCTTCGCCTCCAATCCGTCGCCTACGACCAACGAGAAACGTGGAAATCTCCCCGGACTTTCCATGCCTCCCAAAAAACACTCCAACGATTCCAGCCATTTCCCAACGAAACTCAAGAACTTCTTCCGCATCAACAGCTCAAGTAGCACGTCCACACAATCTAGCCATCATGGGAACAGTTCCGATCGCGAACATGGTACATCGACCCCCGTCAAAAGTGAAACCAAATCCACATTCAGACAGTCTCGATTTCTCCCAATCATCGGTCGCAATCGCTCTGCCACAGTCGCCAGTGAAGGCAATCCGTTAGACGAAGGAATTTCTCCGACCGCAACCGCCAATCCGTACTTCGTCCACCAAGGGCAGCCCACTTTACAGCATCGAAACGAAGGTTCGGAACCCTCTTCACCGCCGGATACGCCAGAGTTACAAGTCGATGGTGTCTCGGCTGTGGAACAAGCAACCACGGCCAACAAGGAGGAGCTTGCGCGGAAATTGCGACGTGTCGCCTCAGCCCCCAATGCCCAGGGCCTGTTCAATGCCGGTGACAACGCTGGCCGTCCTCAGACTGCGGAGCTGGGTAAGGAACCCTTACTACAATCCGGAGCTGCTGGCTCTCAAGTGGCCCTGGTTGAGACGAGCGCGGATAGTGATGGAAATCTGTCTCTGCCGGTTCCTGGCTTCGATAGCAAAGTACGGACCTCTAGTGGTGGGTTCCGCCGAACGTACAGCTCGAATTCAATCAAGGTCCGCAACGTCGAGGTCGGGCCGGCTAGCTTCGATAAGATCAAGCTCATTGGCAAGGGCGATGTGGGCAAGGTCTATCTTGTAAGGGAAAAGAAGTCGAGCCGTCTGTACGCGATGAAGGGTGAGTCTCATACGGAGCAACGATTTAGGGCTGTTGACTGACCGTGTGCAGTTCTGAGTAAGAAGGAGATGATCAAAAGGAACAAGATCAAACGAGCATTGGCCGAGCAAGAGATCCTCGCAACCAGTAATCATCCGTTCATTGTTACGCTGTACCACTCTTTCCAGTCTGAGGACTATCTCTACCTGTGCATGGAATACTGCAGCGGCGGAGAATTCTTCAGAGGTATGGTGACTCAGGCATTCTGAGGTAATTTTCTGTTTACTGATGAATTACGCCGAATAGCTCTCCAAACTCGCCCAGGGAAATGCATCTCGGAAGATGCTGCTCGATTCTATGCAGCCGAGGTCACGGCTGCTCTCGAGTATCTCCACTTGATGGGATTCATTTACCGCGACCTGAAGCCAGAAAGTAAGTCGCATGACTGCGTTCCCTCAAGCAGTGCTAACCGGGCTTTAAGACATTCTCCTCCATCAATCGGGCCACATCATGCTTTCAGACTTCGATCTTTCAAAACAATCCGGGTCAGGTGGTGCACCTACTATGATTCCCGCCCGAAGCGGCAACTCTAGCACGGCCTTCCCTACAATCGACACCAAGTCCTGTATCGCGGACTTTAGGACAAATTCATTTGTCGGCACCGAAGAGTACATTGCCCCAGAAGTTATAAAAGGCTGTGGGCATACCAGTGCAGTAGATTGGTGGACTCTAGGTATCCTTATTTACGAAATGCTGTATGGGACAACGCCGTTCAAGGGCAAGAACAGAAACACCACGTTTGGCAACATTCTTCGGGACGAGGTTCCGTTCCCAGAGCAAGGTGGTGCACAGCAAATTTCTAAGTATGTTGACTCCTTTTTTCCTCTTTCGAAACTGGTGCTAACCAAGCAACAGCATCTGCAAGTCATTAATCCGCAAACTCCTGATCAAGGATGAGACTAAACGGCTCGGAGCTCGGGCTGGGGCGTCAGACGTCAAAACTCACCCCTTCTTCCGGCAAACGCAATGGGCTCTTATTCGCCATATGAAACCACCAATGATTCCTCACCAGAGTCGCGGAAACGAGACCGTCAACTTCCGCAACGTGAAAGAAAGCGCAAGCGTTGACATTGGCGAAAAGAACCCATCCAAGATGAAGGGTGTGCCACTGAACTCCGGTCTCGCAACTCCCAATGGCGAAATTTCGGATCCCTTCGAAGAGTTCAACAGCGTAACTCTCCATCACGACGGCGACTTCTAGCCAAACAGCGTCACGATACTGAACACTCCCGCCCTTTGCACGATAGATCTATCTAATCGCCCGAGCCTGCTTGTATTGCTAGGACCATTTCACGACCATGATGCATGAAAACAATTTGTATTCGAAAGCTTGTTATTTTTCGCGACTTTCACTCGGGAGTTCGGCGCGTCTAGAATGCTTTTTCCGGGGTATATTCCTCCGTCGATTTGCTGGAAATATTTTTTTGGGTGGACATCGACCGATTATCGATCTTCGAGTCCCTTCACGCATGGGTTATTTCTCGGCTCCTCTTAGTTGTACTGATTGCTGAGGTATAATTTTTGTCGTATCACTATCACACTCTTTGCTCCCTGGCAATCTGCTCTCTTGTTTTACTTTGCCTTGACCTGAATATCCTTATTGCAACCCGGCGTTGACGATCTCGAACTTCATCCTTCTGCACGTGATATTGGTGATGCACTCAAAGTTTGCGTATATGATGTCTGCGAGCTCAAGGCTCTTTTATCTCTCATTATTGCCTGCTTGTTCAGCCTAACCTTTAGGCCGTTCTATCTCTAATTACAAACTTCGATCCTCCTTTACGCAGCATACATATTTGGTCATAAAATTGGTTCTTTTGATATTATACATCCCTCCCTCTTTGATGAATAATATGATATTCCTAGCAATCAAGTCAATCTTCGTCTCTCTGCGTGATGATGCTGACGACCGAAGTACTCTTGAGGTAAGTGAGGTCTTTCTATTTGGTGGTTATTCCCAGTCCTTCCCATTTATCAGTATACCCAGTCATAACCTCTGCTGCCCACATGATCCGAGGCTCATGACCAGCATCTTTGCTTTCAAAGACTCGATCAGGCGTCTGTATAATTGTCAAGACATAGGCATGGATATTGAGTCGCTCCGTCTACAGCACACCTCTTTCGGTTTTGAGGTTGAAACAGACATTCTTACACACCCGTGGGATGATACACTGGATCTTTTCAAGGGAATAGATCCCGCATATTACGTGTATGTTGTTTTTCCGCCGGTCAATGATCCAGAGGAGGGTATCTACGAAAGCTTCGAAGCACTCCCAGAACTCCGTACCTTTTTCGATCTTCAAGATTTCAATGTAAAGCTGAATTCGTCACGCATTGGTCACCGAAAATCTACGGTTGGAAGGTATTTTTTCCAGTCGGACGTCGACGTCGATCCAATGGAAGAGATTGGGGTTGCGCCAGAGCCGAAGGTATTCCAATCCAAACAAGAACAGCAGCGGTACTACTCCGGCTTCGACGTCGATGAAGAGGAATAGCGCCGGAAGTGGCAGAAGCGATTACTGGCTAATCTGAGTTACAATGCCAAAGCGAAGCGGCGCGGTTGAAAATCAACACGCTCCCTGCTGAGCTGACGAACGGCCAGAAGACTTCGATCACAGCAGCGCAAGATCAGGTGCACAGGGCTGCCATCGAGGAGGAGGCGTTCATAAATAAAGTAAGTAGCCCCCAGAGCTAAGTGTTACCCTCTCTGATTAGGCTTTGTGCAGGAAGAGAAGCGAGTTTCGGAATCCGACTACTATGTCCTGCAACAGGCTTTCGCAGGAGGGGACAATCGATCCGGACCACCAGTCGACTTGTGTATGCGGCTCTTGCTAGCGACCCAACGTGAGGACGGTCTCTACAAGTCGCCATTGCTCGAGAAATTTGTCACATCTCATTTCTACCATTACCAGATCTCTGGCGCCGTTGGTATCATTCTTAAGTTGTACGGACAGATCGACGCCGAGGCCCTTCTTCTCGCAACAGATTATTTGCAACACCCACAAGCGAACATGGTCCGTGAAGCTGCGGCACAGCTAAAGGACATCTGTCTACACGGCGCAATACTTGCGGACGAGACCGGCTTCGGAAAGACAAAACAAACATTACTCGCGGCTGTTCTACACAGTATCCTGTATATGGAAAAGGACAAGGAGGGAAACGAATGCCATAAGCCAGTGCTACTGGTCGTTCCGCCTACATTAATTAGCCAGTGGCTGGTTGAGATTCACGATCACTGGCCGTGTCTTATACCAATATTGTCCTATGATGACTCTGCGTTTCGCATGACGGATTTGTCAGTCATACCAGCTGGTGCAATGAAGAAGTTCCCCAACGTTGAATTCTTACCTGAACGCCTCAGATATATCTTCGACAAGCATAACAAAAAGGCCCGCCAGGCTATCATCATAACTTCTTATGCCACTCATCGACAGCGTACAGGGCGCGTGGAGGAAAGCCAAGTTCCAGGAAAACCTTATGAAACGCGGACTGTCTGGACAACCCCTTTTAAACGCAAGTTTTCCCTTCTGCTAGCGGACGAGGCGCAGAAGGTCAAGAACCCTGAGACAAATACCTGGGCAGTCCTCAGAGTCCACGACTTTCCCAAGATCATACTTGCTACGGCATCTCCCATGTTCAACGCAGCCAAGGTGAGCAGTCGCCTAGAAAACCAACTTTGAACGGCGGATGGTGTGGACTTGAATCTTGATCCCCTTCCATCCTTCGTACTTTGGCTTTTCACTGACATTTATATTTAGGACTTGATCGGTCTAGTCGGCTTATTATGGCCAGCAGCCCGTAAGGCCCTACTATCGTACCTTGATAAGCATCCCGAAGACGTTGAGACGCACGAAGAAATACAGGACATTGGCACAGAGGATATGGCGACAGTCCTGCCTGATCTTGATCCAATAAGCCCTATTCGTATTGAGCTACTGAACGCGCAAACTCTGAAAGGAATGTTCAGGCGCCGTGAAAATAGTCTACATCTGCGAGTGGCTGCGCGGTTCCGAGATATGTTGGATGTGATTAGTATCCAGCGCTCCCAGGGGTCCACACTCCCCAATGCGTCAGGCGAGCCCATTAGCTTGAAGCCGCTTTTCAAAAAAGTCACTTACAAGACTGCGACCGTCAGTCTGCCCCCTATTGAAGAGCTGGAGTATCAAATATGGCATAGAGCTAGTGCAGAGTGTGTTTACCTTACCTCCCCCATAATTCTGTTTACTAATTTTCAACGAGACAGTGAGTTCGCTGCAGAGGTCAAGAAGCAGAAGGCACAGAAAAGGGGCGACGTACTTTCACCCGATGGCCCAGTCCCTGCGAACAACCAACATCCTACGCAGGCTCAGCGAAGCTTCATGGCTGCACCAGGCGCCCTACACAAGCTCGGCATTGCAAATTTCGCAACGAAGATGGCAAGACTAAACGCTGTAATGGAAAGCGTCAAGGGCGACACCTATGTGAGGTCCATCCGAGATTGGAGAGAGAGGGGACTCGATGCCCATTTTATTTATGATCTCACGCGGGGAGAGGGTGTACCGTCGGCGCAGACAGCAGATTCGCTTATCATTTACCTCACTCAGGGCTCTCCGGTCTTACGGCTGGTTTTTCAAGAGCTTCTTACCGTGAAGGCCTTGGACAGGGTCAATAAAGCTGCTTATGGCCATCATCAGAAGCTTATCGTCGGCGAAACAACGCCTGCCAATGCGTTTTATCTTCAACAGGTCTTGAGAGCATGCCTGATTGATGCACGAGTTTTTCACGCCGATCTCTCGCACCAGGCCAAGACTAAAATGGTAGACTTGTTCAATGACGAGTATAGCACACTTAGGGTGCTTATTATGCTATACGATGTCGGTGCAGTTGGCTTGAACTTGCACAAAGCATGCAATCGCGTGGTCATTGCGAGTCTTCCAAGAAGTCGGGCACAAGAGAGTCAGCTCGCTGGCCGTGCTCTCAGGGTAAGCGGTTGCCCTATATCGCGATCTCCGCCTGAATGAATTTGGCTGACGACGGCCCGGTCCACAGATCACGTCCGAGTTTCCTCTGACCGTTGTTAGAAGAGTTACTCCAAATTCGCACGATCAGTTTAGAGGTGTCAGGTATAGAATGGCCTTTTTACTCTTGCTGGTTTCTTGACTGATAACAGAATAATCAAACAGGCAAGCAGAAAAGGCAGCCTTACAACTTGCCGCCAACGCCCGTGAACCTTCTATTGCGCAGCTTCTGGTGAATCTGCTAAACGAGTTCCAGAAAGATGTCGATCAGTTCCACCTGTTGAGTGACTCGGAGAAAGTTCGGGTCACTGTACCCGTCGAAGACAAGCCAAAGTCGCCTTCCAAGGACAGGAACAAGAATACTACGCCTATCAAGAAGGAGGTGGCCTCTGCGTCTACTCCTACTAAGAACAAAAAGCCCAAGGTCTTTGAGCTTCAAGCCTCCCCCAACCCCTCTAAATCCAGGAATCTTCGAGACCGGACGCGAAAATCAGCCTACGATGAGAGTGGCGATGACGACGGCCTCTTCTTCAGAACTAAGGATCCAGAATATATCGATACAGGAGGAGAAAGTTCTGATGATGAATACGATCTTATGGAGGCAGGGCTTTCAGAGCCTGATGCCACCTCGGCTGAAGATGATGATTATCTCGAAGATGAGCAAGATGATGAAGATGAAGATGAGAAAGATGAGGAAGATGATGGAGACACCTCAAACGTCGATGTTTCCCTGTTAGACGACAAGCCAAACGACATTACAAGGCATAGACAAACCCTCCTTAAGCAAGCACCCGGAAAAGTGCGGACCGAAACGGACCTTGCGGAGGAAGACTCTCTGGTTCTCGGACTCCGGCTGCTGTACAACAAGATCAATGGGCTGGAGCTGCTGCATTTGGAAAAGTCCATCCATATCCATTACAAGCAGTTTCCGAAGAAAACAGTCGCCCGGGTTAAGAAGCTCAAACAGCCGAACGAAGAAAATCAGGCAAAGGCAAGGGAGAAAGGTCTTTGATTGAAAAATCTACACTTTGGTTTAGGGTTACTGGTGATCTATGTTTACACTTCTGTATTCTGGCATTTAGATAGCCAAGATCTTGGTCCCGCTTGAACCATCCATGTATTTCGCTGCCAGGTGGGTGCCAGTTTTGTGGTCATGTTGGGCTATGCAGTAGCTAGCTATGTACGGCTTCAGTGCCACATATTATCGACTTTGTGGATCTTGAAGTGCCCATGGCTTTGCTTTTTTTTCAACTCTGTCGGATTATACCTGGAATCACCCCAACTACTCTCACCATCCTTGCCGTATACTGGACTAGAATCATGGCACTTAAGCAAAGACTAGGATGAGGAGGAGGCTCTTTCACCTGCTTAATCTCTCGTCGAATTATCCTACACAAAACAAGAACACTAACATACGAGCAGCATGCGGCCGAGGGAGTGCCTTTTTCAGTTTTTGGAACGGACATATCTTTTCACTGAGCCCGACATTGTAATGAAATGCGCAACAGCGCTGATCACTGTATTTAGCTCTCATTCCCCAATGTAACTGGATAAGTTTTGAGTATGAGATTTCAAGTTGGAGTTCAGATAAAACCTCCACTAAGATGTATATATATTTGACCAAGAGGTGCTTTATTTGACGCAGTCTTGGAACCATATCATTTGCTTTGGTAGGACATGAGTGGCCAAAAAACAAATATATGATGGAAATTAAAGTCCTGTAGATAATACTAATACAGGCTCAAACCCAGGGCAGCAGAGCCGCAAGACACCAAGCAACAACCCTATGTTGAGGATCCCCACTTCGCCGCCCCGCATCACCAACCCAAAACAAACCTCCTCTCCTCAAAGCCCACGAAAGACCGCAAATTGCACCTTTTCACCGGCCTAAAACCCAACTCAAAATGGCAGATACAACACAAACCCCTTCCAGAAGCACAACGCCACCCTCAGAACCTCCAAATCCACTCCTCCGCCCCTCCCACCCATTCATCTCCGATCTTGAGCAGGAGGTTCTTGATGAATACGCGCGGTTATTGGGGAATGTTAATAAGGTACGCACTAGGCCCTTCCTTAATGCCCCACAGACTTCGAATCTGTTTTTGTATTAATCTTCTTCTTCTTCTTATTTGTGAGGATTTTTTTATGCCTCACAGCGCCGCTAACAATATACCGCAGCTCTCCACAAAACTCGCCGACCTCGCTGAATCCCCCTCATCCATGACCCTCGACGGCCTCCGCCAGCTCGAGCGAAAGACAGCGACCGTGTGTACACTGCTCAAAGCGAGTGTGTACAGTATCGTACTACAGCAGCAGATGATAAATGAGGGCGAGGAAGCGGCGCAGCAGCAGCATCACCTGCAAGAAGAAACGGGGTCTGTTCCTATGGGCGAGGAGGGGTATGATGTTGGGGATGTGAGTTATCAATATTGAAAAGGAGGTGCGAGACAAAGGAGTTATCTCGTTTGAATTGGGTTGATTGGTGGAGTTGGAGTTGGTTGGTGTTCGGCGTTGAGGCTGATTATTTTCTTTACTTTTGCGAGTGTTTGGGCAGGGATACGCAGGGATAGGCTGCGACGAATATACCCTTATTTAGACGATAACACGCACGTGGAAAAAAAAGAGTTGATTTGAAATGTATGATGGATGCGGGAGAGTACAAATACACGGTAGATGCTGGATGGAACACAGAATGAGAATTATATGCATCGTCAGAAGGGAACCAGTAATGTGTTCGTCAAATGATGCGCCATTATGGTACAATGGTACAGTTCAGGGCCTACTATGCCAGATTTTGGCGCTGAAAACGTGGTCCTGCGGCTCTCTGTACATCTCTGCCGGAGTAGTAGACCTTTCGCACGTCAATCAGCTTCTTTCCTCTAGCGCGGGCGATGTCCTCGGGAAGGCGTTGGCTCATAAGGGCCTCGTAGGCAGCTTTGACCGTGTTCATGTGGTTTCGAGACCGATCAACGCGGGCGGCAAGATCCTTGATACCGGCGGCGCGGCACATCTCGTAGATCAGACTCTGGCAGCGGAGACCAAAACCTGGATTTCTGTCAGCCTGTTGGTAAACTATTGGGAAATGATTTAGACTCACCAGGCGGGCGACTCATTAGTTTCAATTCCACCGCACCTTTTTTCCCCTTGACGTCGCCATAGATGGTGCGGTCCTCATATCGCGGAACGGGCTGCATATTCCTGATGGCACGAAGCCAGGCTTGAGCCTGTGCATTTGACGGCTCTTCTGATTTCCCTTCCCCAATACCCAGGAGACCCTTTCCATTCCCAGCGACAGCTAGGATGTACATGCTCTGGATCTTACCCAGACGAGTCTGGTTCACAACGCGGTGGCTCACGAGGGTCTTGACTTTCAGAGCAGAGATTTCTTTCATACTGTACCCCGTAGCCTTCAGTAGTGCCTTCATCTCGTCAGACGGTTCTTCATCCTGAGCCTTCGCTCCCTGCTCGCCGGCATCGTAGTACTTCGGTGGTTTATCGGTCGGCCCTTCCAAAGTCTCTCCCGCCCTGAACAAGGCTGGCACAAGCGAGCTGCTCGGATTCAATTCGTTCTCCTCTTTCCCGATGGTCATGCGATTCGTCTCCGCAAACCGTACCCAATCAGACATGGTAAAATTCTCGGGCAATTCGGCGAAAAACTTGGCAAAGTCATCGATAAAGTCTTCCTCGGTCTTCAGGGTTGCAGTGTAATCGGAATTGGATTCAGGGGCGCGGACATGCTTGTCAACGACGGGCTCAATCGTCGAAAAGTCATCGAGATACTTGAAGGCCAGAGGGTCTTCCCGGATACCGAATTGGGTTGCCAGATGCTCCGGATCAATTGCTGCCTCACCGGCTTCAATCGCAGCAATCTGCTCTGGTGTATAATGCTGGCTGAGCGCGGCCTTTTCTGCTTCTGTGTACTCCTTGAAGTGCTCCGGCTTCAAAGTTCGCGGGAGGTCCCGGAGACGAATCTGTACCTCACCCTTCGGCTCCGGCGCGGTCGATTGGCCTTCCTTACTTATCTCCAACGTCTTCTTCGGCTCCTCCTTGACAACTGGGGGTTTCGGCTTTTCGTCAGAGAATCGCGCGGCTGACAATTGAAACTGGCGACGGGGCACGCGAGGCCCGACGACCGACGCGGTGCGCGAGAAGCTGCAGATCAAACATTTAGCCGGACGGGCGAAACTCATGATGGCGAATTGATTTCCAGCCTCTTCACCCCGAAGAGAGCAGGAGAGTCGAGCTTGAGGGACGGGTGTTGACCGGGGATTCGGTGAATCGGTGGAGGAGTCGAGGACAACTTTTGCGGCCGGCGGAAGCCTGAAGGAGAGAATTTCTCAGCCGCCGTCCCGACCAATCAGCGCCCGCGTTTTTCTGCTTTCCAGATTTCTCTCTCCAGCTTCCTTTTTTTGGACCCTCCCCATTTTTTTTTCAACCCAGATCTATCTTGCGTCCCGGCATTATACATGTTTCGCTCTCTGCAGTTGTCTTTCTACCGGCCGCTCCAACGCCACATCCTTAACCCGACCCCAGTCCGCTATCAGCACACTCTTCAAATCCCTTCGCGGTTCCGTTATGGGAATCGGGCAGTCATAATGAACCACAGCAAGAAACAGAAGAAAAGCGGTTTTGAGCGGGACAAATCTACCGGTTTTGATGAGGTCCTGCAAGCCGACATTGACAAGCTTATCCAGAAGAAGGAGCCAGAAACCGACATTCCGTCCGGCGAAGTTTTAACTCCCACGAAACCTACCCTTCCCGAGCCCTTTACAGAAATCGAAGTCACAGTTTCGGAGATTTCTTCAACCGGCGATGGACTGGCACTTTCGGACAATGGTGATCATGTCTACGTTGTTCCCTTTACGGTTCCTGGTGACAAGGTGCTCGTGAAAGTGGTGCGACACTTCCCTGTCCTAAAATACACCATGGCGGACTTTATCAAGGTCATTGAGCCGGGCCAGCAAAGGAAAGACGAAATGATAGGATGCAAGTACTTTGGGGAATGCTCAGGATGCCAGCTGCAAATGCTATCTTACGAAGATCAGCTCGCGCACAAGAAGCGCATCGTGGAAAAGGCCTACGCCAACTTCTCCGGCTTGATTCCGGAGTTGATCCCTGCCATCGGAGACACATTCCCTTCCCCTCTGCAGTACGGATATAGAACAAAGCTCACGCCGCACTTTTCCGTCCCTGGCGGACGATCGAGAAAGCACAAGGAGTCTCAAGGCCTAACAGAAGTGCCGCCCATCGGCTACACCTACAAGAACCAACGCCGGGACTTGGATATTGAAGACTGCCCGCTCGGTACAGACGTGATCCGAGAAGGTCTCAAATCTGAGAGGAAGAAGGTCGCGCAGAACATCCACAAGTACAAGAAAGGCGCAACCATTCTCCTCCGCGAGACCACTGCCCGAATCCCAAAGGACGACCCAAACATCAACCCGGCGATTCCAGTCAACTACGATCTCCAGAACACGCCAGAACAAGAATCCGGCGACATCATCCGCGTCAAGCACGACAACTATACCGAGGAAAAGCGCTGCGTGACTGACCCCAACGCCGTCTCCGTCGAGTACGTAGACGACTACTTTTTCAGCAACAAAGCCGGCGCCTTCTTCCAAAACAACAACTCCATCCTCTCGGGATTCACAGAATACATCCGGCAGCGCGCCCTCGCACCTCCTTCCTCCTCTTCATCCTCTTCCACTTCTACCGCCGCCTCTCCCATCAAATACCTCTTAGACGCCTACTCCGGCTCCGGCCTCTTCACGATAACCCTCTCTCCCCTCTTTAAATCCAGCCTGGGCGTTGACGTCGCTGGCGACTCAATCGTCTCCGCGCGTCAAAACGCCCGCATAAACAGACTCCGCAACACCGGCTTCGCCGCCGCAGACGCAACAACCCTCTTCGCTGATGTCCCCTACCCGTCCGACCAGACACTGCTCGTCATCGACCCGCCGCGCAAGGGGTGCAGCGAGGACTTTTTGCGGCAGATGCTGGAGTATGGACCCCGAAGGGTGGTGTATGTCAGTTGTAATGTGCATACGCAGGCACGCGACGTGGCGGTTATGGTTCAGGGTAATGAGAAGCTGGGAGTCCGATATGACATCGAGAGTATTCGAGGCTTTGACTTCTTCCCACAGACAGGGCATGTTGAGGGCGTCGCCATTCTGAATAAGGTGACGATTCCTAAAGCAGTGGCGAAAGAGGAGAAGGCGTGAAGTGATATCACCGATATATAGTTTGATATCTTCATGGGCGTTCAGTGTGTTCGGTATGCATGTACAAAAGCTTTGGATATAGCGCGTGATTACTCGGAACGAGGGTTTTGATTGGCATGAATAGAATACTATGGACAAGATATCACGCACAGAACAACTCTAAGTACTACCAGGGCCACCGAGAAGGGCAAATCTCCGGACGATGCTAGGGCCAATCTCGTCGTATTCTGCCTTGGTGTGGCAGTAACTGCGGAACTCCGGAGTCTGTCCCAGCAGACTGCCTCCAAACCACGGGCCATGTCGCTGCCTCTTATGCGTCACGACAGCCACGTCCAGACCACCACTGCGTGCTCCACCGCTGCGTGCTTCGGATGCACGAATACGAGCATCAACCAGGTGTCGGATATCACGTTGCAAGCGTCGGCCGAAGTCTTTGTAGAGGGTGGAACCTCCGGACAACACAATGTTCTTGTAGAGGCCTCTTCGAACGTCGATCGGAGAGGATTGGATAACACCATCCACAACATTGGGAAGTGGAGTGAGGAAGTCGGAAGAGTAGATTTCGGGGTTGAAGAAAATCTCGGGGGCAAGGAATCGCTCATACCCAACGTCAATCGACACGCTGCGCCCGTTGGGTGAAGTCACGGTGTGCTTCAGGAACCGATCCGGCTCTCGGTCGTAGCGGGCGAATTCCTTTACAATGTCGGGACATACATAACAGTACTCCTCCTTGACCCTCTCGGCGGTCTTCAAGCTGCTATCCGGCTCACCTCGGTCTCGAAGCAGGCTCTGGACGAAATAGGTGATGTCTCGGCCGGCAATCGGGATGCTTTTGATGGAAGAACCAATGACGTAGCCTTCTGCGACGGGGATAACGTGCGTAACACCGTCACCAGAATCAATAACCGTCCCTGTCAAAGAACGATCGGTCACTTTGGAAGATGTCCAAGAAGCGGCCAGCGCAAGTACAGCTTGAACAGCAATGTAAAGACCGGCGCAGTTGAAGGATTCGAACATAATCTCAGCGGTGTTTTCACGGTTCTCCGGGGGGTTCAGAGGCTATTTACAGGACCCATGTCAGTGGCTTTCTTGAGCGATGGTAACAGCATAGTAAAAGCCTAGTAAATAGGTAGCAAGCTGGGACTCACAGGTTCCGTGAGTAGGAAGTAATGATCCTCGGGCTCGACGCGCAGATACTTGAAGATCGAGTTCGACCAGAACCGCTCCATCTGATCCCAATTCTCGATCTGACCATGGCGAATTGGGTAATTGATACCGTATCCAGGGCCGCTGGCAGCTGACAGAGCCTCATCGCCAATGAAGAAGTCCAAATCCTCCGTACCACGCTTCGCAGAGAGATGTGAGCTTCCACCACCCGAGGCCAAAAAAGAAGGTTTATTCGCGACAGCGGGGCGTGCACCACCTCCGGCGCTTCCAGCACCAGCTTTCGTAGCAATTGCAGTCGGGAAGACGAACGAGGGCGAGTCGTTACCGGCGAATCCTAGGGGTTGTCAGCTCCGGGAGTTCAGTGCGGGGGATTGTCCGGGTAAGGCGGAGGAAGACGGATTTACCAAGCTTTGAATACCCAGTTCCGCTAAATGATAGAAAATGTACAGTTAGCTGCAGTTCCCCGTGCTGTTTGTTTGTCTGTAGCTGCTGCAGGGAAATGACATACTTGTCCATGACAACGGCTGGGGTTTGGGAAGCCATGGCGGGCAATTTGGGGCGCACACACACTACCCCAGTCTACCAATTCGCGAGATAAATGACGAGGGAATAGGTCTGGATGAGAAGGCAGACCTGGAGGCTTGATAGAGAACAAAACAGAGAAATGAAAGGAAGTTGGGGTTGGGAGCGAGGAGGGGGCTCAGCCTGGAGGTAGACTATTGGAGGTGGGCAGGCAGGCAGATTAGCGCATCCGCCATAGCTGGGCAGGCGGTGGGGGACCCGTACGTAATCAGAAACGACTCCGTCTCGAGCATACGCCACAAGCTGTGGCTGGTGGCCAGGCTCTTCTAGTACATCTTTGTCACATTTTGTATACAACGCTTGTTGTTTGCAACACTGCTAGAATGGACAAATTTTCTCTTTATCAGACCTGTCCTCCCTGGACGGGGTACTAATACCAGCAACTTACCCAGTCTGATGGAGGGAATGACCGTAACCCATGTTCCTAAAAGAGGCAGCTACTTTCGCTATCCTGGAATCCAAGGAAGGAACTCGACACTCAACATCCAATACTTTCTGGCAAACCATTGCTCTATCGCCTCACACTCTCGTCTACTCCTAAGTGTTGCTCTGTTGTTTTCGCTTTCCCTTCGTCAGACATTCTTCCTGTGTGCCTTATTCTTACACCGCACCTAGGAACTTATTATTCCCTGGTCTTGTTATCATCTATAGCGGTTACCTATAATCATCTCCCTTCTGAGCTCAATCCCTCTCTTTCTGCGCCCTTTTAGTTTCACAGGTTTGCTGCTGGAGTGTTCTTTGTTTTGAGCCAACACCCTAGAATTGAGCGCATAAAAAATCTCCCCCATGAAGCTTGTTTAGTTGTTGTTGTGCAATGCGACAGTGAAAGTCAAGAGCCTCCGTCAAGAGCCTCCATCAAATTTCACCTCCCCTTCTTCGGAAATCTCCCACGCCGTTCGCAGTCCACGCAAGCCAGGTCGTCATGAATCGTTTCAAGAAAGGAAGACATGTCTCCGCCATCTTCGTCCATGCTGGCGCAGGCTACCACCGCCGAGACTTCGAGAAACCTCATATGAAAGTCTGCGAGGGGTTGGTGACCCCGTCCCGTTGCTCTGATCACCAGTAACAGTGGCTAATATCAAACAGTGCCGCAAAAGTGGCAATGTCCGTGCTCCGGAATGGCGGCTCCGCGGTTGATGCTGTTGAGGTCGCTATAATGTACTTGGAAGATGCGGAGATAACCAATGCAGGCTATGGTAGCAATACGACGATTGAAGGTACTGTTGAATGCGATGCCACTGTCGTTGACCATCTCGGACGCAGTGGAGCGGTTGGAGCCGTTGCGCGTAAGTATTCGTTACTTCGTTCTTTCGGATGCCAGATTTCCTGAGGCTGATTGCTTTCCCCAGAGGTAAAGAATCCTATCTCACTGGCACGTACTATTTTGGATGCCTCCAAAGAGCCTCTGACATTACACCGTGTTCCTCCAAACTTTCTTGTGGGACCGGGCGCCACGGACTATGCATACGAACAAGGCCTAGTAGTACTCCCCCATGACGGTCTTGTATCCAGCCCTGCAAGACAGAGATGGGTTCAGTGGCAACAAGAACTCAAAGAAGCGGACATTCGCCAAAGAGCTAGGTCTCAGGGCACGAATGATGTCGACAATCTCTATTATCGCCGTCCAGTGAAGTCTTATTACGCCCAATTCGAGGTGAGCCCTTCGAGCACACAGTCGGCATCATCTGCCCCAGTTGAGTCGTCTTCCATGGATAGAAGCAGCCCCGGGATGACCACTGTACAGAGCGCGCACCGAGACGTGCAAGACAGCGGGTGTTCGTCGGTATCTGAGCCTCACACTCCTCCGCACTCCAACAGATCGAAGGCTAAGAGTGATAATTTGGTGGATGAAACGCCATTCAAGAGACAGGCTTCCGGTGCCTTTACCAACACGATTTACCATCCCAATCCACTAAGACCCAACATGAACCCCGGCGTACTCATGGATATCGATGTGCCTTCAGCTTCATCCGGTGGCCGTGGTGACGGGCCCAAGCCGGATCTTTTCGGCGTCACGGAGGATCACATCAGCGATACCGTGGGGGCTATAGCTGTAGATAGCCTTGGCAACATTGCCGCAGGGTCTTCCTCTGGGGGAATCGGAATGAAACACAGGGGCAGAATTGGGCCCGCTGCCCTTAATGGCATTGGGACCTGCGTTATACCAATCGATCCTAATGACCCCGACAAAACATGCGTTGCCACTGTCACATCGGGTACCGGCGAGCACATTGCTACAACCTTGGCTGCTGAAACTTGTGCATCACGGATATATTACTCACATCGAAAACGCGCCGATGGTTCTTTCGAGGAGGTGACAGAAGACGAAGCTATGGCAGCGATGATTTCAACAGACTTCATGGGTATGTAACTCATCACCTGAGAACTGGACAAAAGGCGCTGACTTTTGTTTCAGGTCATCCTGGTGTCAGAGCCAGTCACTGCGAAGGATCGGTCGGTATCATGACAGTCAAGAAGACTGTAGACGGCGTTTATCTATACTTTGCTCACAACACAGATTCCTTCGTATGTTCTGGTGAACGGCCATTGCATTGATAGATTTCTAACCTTTCTGTGTCTTAGGTACTAGCCAATATGAGCAGTGAGGACAAGAAGCCTTCCTCGGTCATGTCTCGCAGTGCTGGACACGGCACCATTGCGCAAGGAGGGAAAGCGTTTCGTTCAAAGAAATATTGACGATTACGGAAGAGCTTATCCAATGCCCTCAACCTCAGCCCACCTGAGAGCTTCGTGACGCCATCGCCTGTGCTCCTGCTTGTTCAGAACTCTTATTCTTGCTCAAGGCTCCCTCGAAGATTCGATGACTTGCCCTAGGCACCGTCTAGCCTTTATTGCCTCTTAAGCCTCCTTCCTCATGCCCAATGCTCTTCCTCGCTTTTGTAACATAGCCCTTAATTTGGGCAACTTGAATAGGCGAGTCAGTCCGCGTTCGCCTGCTGTGCATACCCTAGCAATCGACATTGACGTTATTATTACTGTCCTGCGCTGTTTCTAATGATCGATCTTGTCTTTGAATAAATTCATTCAGTTTGTCCGGTATTGTGGGTACTATGTTGTTACAAAGTTTCTGTGGCTCCCTGTCGTAAGGAGACAGCCCTAGCTGTAAGCTCTCCTATGGAACCGGCCGCCTCCACCTGACAGCCAAGGCTATCAGGGCCTGTATGTGGCCCTCGAAGGAATTGATTGTAGGAAGATATGTGCAAATATGCTCCTCGCAAGTGTTGCACTCGTTGTGCCGGTTGGGTAAAAGGAGGCACTATATGTAGGTGTCTTTGCCGTGTAGTGATGTACTTGCTTTGAAAGCACTTTGAAATCGAGTCAATGCTTTCGGGGGCATTATTTACCTTCCCATTTTTGTGGAACGCTCACGGTGTGGTTCGCGGGAGGCGGGACACACCATGCTTGTCGGTACCATAACCTGACTTCAGATCGTTGCCTGAAGAGGTTGTTGTAGACAACGCGAAAACGTCTCACGGACCCGGCGTAGGAGTCGGTGTCGGCGTAGCCGAGACCCCATTCGCACGACCCTTTTTCTTTTTCTTCTTCCGAGCAATAAGTGCCGGCTTCGCGCCGTAGGCGCCCATATCCAGATGCGTCCCGCAAGTCAGGCAGTCGCCGTTCTCCGGCGGTTCGCAAAAGATACTGAGACAGATGGAGCAGACGAAGCCTACGTCGACAACGCGGCGGTGACAGAAGCAGGCTGCTCGAAAGTCGACGTCGACGCGGGTAGGGAGGACGAGGTGCTTTCTGGACCGTTGATCTGGAAGGAATGCCATCATTAGGTACTGTAGAAGGCCGCGGGGTTCGGAGAGGGACATGTAGATGCCCTTTGTTGCGTCGGAAGCCTGCTGGAGGAAGACGGCGTCGCCACTGAGTTTGCAGACGTCGATGGGGACGCGCAGGCGTTGGCAGGCGAAGATGCCGTTCATGAGCGGGATGTATTGGTGCGCGGAGCCTGTTGCGCTGCTGACGGAGATGATGAGGATGCGCGACTGTAGGCCCTCGGCGCCGCCCTCGTTTGTGGCGGTTGTCGTTGTGGAACGGCGCGCGAGCATCGAGGTTGCGCTGGTGTCTGGGTCGCTGGAGCGTGTGAGGGAGGATGTGTCGCCGCCGCCGTGGGCTTCGGCCCAGGCGATTGTCCGTCGGTTGATGTGGCTGAGGGCCAGTGTTAGCGCGCCGGCCATCATGGTCGAGCTGGTGTTGTTGATGTCATCACGACCAGTCGAGTCCATGAGCTGACGGAGGTTGGCCGTGACTTGTTCCTCCACGATGCGGAAAGGGCGGTATTTGTTCACTTGACTGCCGCTGTCGCCGTTGGCGTCAGTGTGGCCACTGCCGTCTGCAGTCATGGAGACGTCGCCATCTAAGTCTGTCGGTGTAGACTGCGATGCAGAAGGGTAGAGCCAGGCAGCTTTATGGCTGTGCGAGGCGACAACGGCGACTTCGTTCGCATAGTTGCAGGCGAGGTGGGCGTTGAGGAAGACGAGGATATTGGCGAGCGCCGTTGAAAGCGTGAGTGGATTCTTGTCGCTCTGTTCAAGAAGCGCCCAGGCGTGTGGGTTTGTGTCAAGAATGACCGTTAGGAGAGACGGTGCCGGATCTGGATTACATTTAATCATCAGCACTTCTTGTCCCTACATCGGAGCTGGTGAGTAGCAAAGTGAGCCTTACCGTGCGCACTCGTCTCATAGTGCTCTGTTGCATCTACGGCGTTCATTCTCACAGTCGAAGAAGATCCGAAGTATGATATTGTTGAAACGGTGTGGAGGTTGGCGAGTAGCAGTTAAGACCGCAAAGAGTGATCGAGCTTTGACTTGAAGGAGAGGAGCATTATGGAACAGCGGCTGAATCTCCCTCACAAAGGCAGATTCAGGAGTTCCTGCCTAACAGTTTCTTTGATGGGATTAACAAGATGATATGTCCCAGAAAATCTTGGTTCGGCTCCGAGTAATAGAAGAAAGAGCTCGGAGACCGTCTGTTACTGTCAATCAAAAGCTCAAGATCTCGAGCTCCGCATCGTGATCAAAAAGTGGCCATGGTTCCGCCGGCACGTGACATCGAATGAAGTCGCAGAGCATCGCGGCAGCGATAAATATAACACGCAATTTACTTTTCCAAGATTCTCAGTCCTAAATGAATATTTATGATACGACAAACAGTTTTATTAGTGCTCCGTACCATAGTGAAGGAGCGGTGTTATCTAAAATAGGCTGTCCCCAGTGGATCAGCATGCTAGTAATACCTCTTGTTATGGCTTCCAGATCATTTCAATGCAACGGGAAGCCTGACAGTATCAGACCACGTTATAAGCAGATCTAAAGCAATGCGTCTGGTTTGACATGCAGATGATCATCTTTCTGCTCCGTCTGGTTCAAGACAGGAATCTTGTATGCTTCCTTGAGAGCCGCGATAGTAGGCTGGCTCAACGGGCTAGCATTCGGAGTGATACGAGGTGTAGATCCGCCCTTGCCCTCATGCTCGGTGAGACCCTTTCGGATGGCGAGGACTGAATCGGCAATGACAGCGTCAATGCCTTCGGCGGCTTGAAGCTATAGAACGGCGTTAGACATTGTTGATGAGCCAAGTGTTTCTAGATGAAGCTTACCTTGACCTTGTGAGGGTCGTTATTCGATGTACCGTAGGATACGCAAACAAGACCGGACTCCTTGACAACGCGGATCAGGCGGGGACACAGCACGAGGCATTCCGCCTGGGTCACAACCCCGAGCAGGTTCCAACGCGAAGCAAACCGAATCGCCTCTTGCAAGCTGCTGGCGCGGATATCGCCAACAGGGCTAGAGCCAGAATCGGTTAGGAAAAGAACAGGGATGGACGGCTGCTTGAAGGACAGAAGCAGGCAGATATCGGGGTTGAAGCTGGAGAAGAGCATATTCCGGCCCTGGCCCATCTCGTACACCTTGTTCAGAACTGTATCGACGAAAGAGTTCAGTTCCACAGCGTAGGTGTCCATCTCCTCTTCTTCACTCTCGTATAGCATGGGGTATTCTAATAAGCTAGTTAGCTATCGGCCTATTAATGATGAAATTAGAACAGCTTACTCAACTCCATGTTGAACCCAACCGATTTGGGTAGTCTCTTGAACAACTCCTCCAATGTGGCAAAGGGCGCCTGAATATGGTTTCCTCGGCTGTTACCCTTGAAACCTTTCTTTTTGAAGTCACGAGTGTGCTTGATTCTTTCGTTCAACTCAAGGAGGTCGCTATCCGCGCCGCCAACGGACATTGACCGGAGACGTGGCGGAGGGTTGCTTGGGTCCCTCCCAACAGCACCCAATTTCGGAGAAGTAGGTGTCCGAGCCGAACCTCTATCTCCGAGCTGCAGGAATTGTTCCAGCGTAAGGGTATGGACAGGGGCATCGATTCCTGTTTCGCTGACGAGGAAGTCGTGGTAAATAACCGGAACGTGATCCTTTGTGAGCTGAATATCAAATTCAACATAGGAGGCTCCTAGGTTGGCTGCTGCGATGAAGGACTGGATGGTGTTCTCGCCAAGCTGCAGCGAGTTACGACTGGCGAAATTCTTGCCTAGGCCACGATGTCCAATGAGCATTGTTGAAGCGACACTTTTCCAGTAGGTCTGCTCTCGGTTGATGGACATGTTTGGGTGTTGAAAGGGCGTGATGACGAGAAAGTTGAATGTAATAGAGCCGATCACTTCCAGAGTGTTGGCCGCCACTATAGGGACGGTAGAGTCGCCTTGGAGGTTTATGCGGTGAGATCCCACAGTTGGTTTCACACTTGACAGCAAGGCAACACCACGTCCCACAATCTGATCCTTTGATCCAGCATAAGTAGGGACGAGATCAAATAGCAACCTGACTTTGCTTGGATCGGCGGTGTGGAAAACAATCGGCTCCGTCGAGATGTTCTCCTGCACGGGTAAATCGATAATTTCGGGTTCGCCATTCGCGCCGCTCGCGGAGACGACAATGGATAGAGCCGTGTCCAGTTGAGTGGCATGGGCATTTTCCATGGGAATTCGGTCAAGATTCACGGCGTCTACATGCTTCCGGTTGTCCATGGTACCTAGACTAACTAGAATCATGGCTTCGTCGGTGAGATACCGATGTCCGAATGACTTGACAGGCTCAGAACTCCGCGAGGGAGAACTCCCCGTCGAAGTCCCGCCATTGGACCGTTTTTCTAGAAGTGAAGACTGCGACTGGGATGATATCGGAGGTGTGGTAGGTGGCACAGCTGGAACGGTCAGAACGGGTTCTGCTTCGGTGATTTCAGGCGCAGGAGTGAGTTCCGCAAGCCGCCGGGCGATATCAAGATGACCTCTCAAGGCCGCGTGTTCCTTGGCCGTCCAGCCAGACGAATCGACGCGATTAAGGTCAGCCCCAGCTTCGATCAAAGCCTCGACGACACTTAAAGAGCCGTCGACAGACGCTATAAAGAGCGGAGTCCACGAGTAAGTGTGCTCTGCAAGTTCCGTGTCGGCTTTCTGGTCATCTTTACCCTTCAGCAGGATGCGAGCACATTGGTCATGACCAAACCGAGCAGCAACGTGTAGCGCAGTTTCACCCTGGTGATCCTGGTAGTTGATGTCAACTCTTGCATCAACCAAGAGCTGGACTATGTCGATGAAATTAGCCTTCACGGCCAGAGCGAGCACAGCACTCGAGCGCGAGACTTGCTTGCGAATCATCGCCTTATCTTGGAATTGCCCTTTCCAGTTTTCGGCCTTCAGCAAGGCCTGGGTCGTCAAAGGGTGCCCACCAACGACACTAAGATGCAACGGCGCCCAACCATCGTTATCTTGCCAGCGCGGCGCGTCGATTCCCTCGCTAACATTGAAAAGATCCCAGGCCTGTAGATGCTCAATAATGACCTCGCAAACAACCCGGAATCCGTACTGGGCAGCGTAATGCAGTGGCGTACGACCGGACAAATCCTTTGATAGGAGAGACTCTCGCTGATGAGGACGGAGACTGTCCAGTAGGTGCACGAGAACGGAAACGGCTGGGTCAGACCTGGTCAGATGCTGAGGTTGATTCGTTTCCTTCACCACCGAGCGAGGAGGCTGTAGCGTCGGAAGTGCAGCAGGGGTAATGTAATTCGATGTATCCAGCGGGAAATCCAGAACCATGGAGGCAGACTGCTCAGAATCTGTGGTGGCTTGTGCGCGGCCGATTGCAATCACTAGTCGATGAATGCAATTGCGCTTGTTAATATCGTCATCTTCCTCTAGTGACTCGATACGGCCCAGAACAGCGGAAATGCAGGCCTTGGAGCGATAGTAAATAGATCGCTGGATGAGACTTCGAAGAACCTTTGGGAAGAAGTTCTCGCCTGCTTCGTCAGCGGCCGCCTTGAGGTCTTCAAGCAATTCCAGGAGAACATGGGTATCATCCTTTCGCAACGCTTCGTCAATGGTAAGAAGCGTGTTTGCAGGAAGGTTCAAATTGGGACGAGACGGACCCCTCTTCAAGGAGAGAGAGGAGTGCGTCGAACTAGCATCATCAAATGTCTTCTGGTCGCCCAATACAGAGAGCCAGTCATTGATCTTCTTCAATGCCTCTGTAACTCTCGTGTTGGAAGCGAACGGCAGAGGCTCGACCTTTGTCTCAAGGTACTTTTGTTGTGCTTGCGCCCCAACCTTCTTATCCAGCTTCTTGGTGATCTTGTTGAAACCTCGACGGTTAACCTCACCATACCATTGTAGCTTGCGGAACTGTCCTCGCAACTCTAGCAATGCGGCCAACAAGTCTTCCACGTCCTCCGAATCCAAGTGACTTCCATCCAAGGGCTGGGCATATCGGTCCGCTAGGAGTTTCAAGCGACGCGAGAAATCGGCATACTTCTTGTTGTAAAAATGATCAACATCCTCAAGATTTCGGTCGAGGGAATAGAAGAAGCCTAGAATGTGTTAGGAGGGCCGCTGCGCGGGCCAAGATACGCAAATATCAGATGGCTCACCGGCAAGATCTGCCTCGTGACCCGCCTTCGCACTCTCCGCCACCGATTTGATGAGCTTCTTCAACGCCTTGTACCGAATATAGGAAGAGCTCCATTCCGGCACCACATTTCTAGGCAAGTTGCGTCCAAACTTCATCTTGTGGGAGTTTCCCAAATCCTTGCGCAAGTATAATTCAAACGAATAACACCAATACCACTCTGCAACCAAGTCGTCGCTTAAGATGAGAGGAAATAGGGTAGAGGGCGCTTTGTGATAGCTGTCAACAGCTATCTTTGTTCCAATGCGCGACCACAGATTCCAACAAAGGAATACAACAAAGAAATCCAGGTATTTGACGGATTATTAGATGATCGAGGTACGGCGAATGTAAGAGAGGGAGAAAAATTTGGTCTTTCGAGGAAAAGGCGCCATGTGTCAGTGCTCAGAGAAGACGAGAATGATTGTAGTAAATTTGGGAGGTGGAAGACCTAGACCTCCTCCACTGGGTACGTAAAGGCGGCAAACCCCTAGGATAAGAGGGAAGGTTGCGCAAGAGAAGATAGATAGAAAATTGCTATGATGAACGAGAGTCAGCACGTGGAAAGATTGGCGAAAGAATGAAGCAGTAAAAAGAGGATGCGGTCAACGGGCGCAGAAGGATTGCGATCAACGGAAGAGTGGACTGTGGAGCAGAGATTCTCGCCAGGACCACCATTGTCAGCAAGTCATCTTTGCGGTGCAGAGCACCAGATCAGATGAGTGGCGAAGACGGTGGGCATCTCCGAACAACCGAGGATTATGAATTGAGGATTCGTTGTGGGAAGAGGGGCGGAGGGCAGTTCAGATCCATGGGTGAGCGCAAGATGACTGAGCCTTAAACCCCCGGCCGCAACGAACCGATGCTCGGCGTGGGCAACGGACAAGATCTCATTTGCCATATTCTGCACAGAATAGCTGCAGTACACTGTACCTCGCCACAAGACATAAAAGTGAGAGAGAAATGCAAGGTACAGGGCAAATCAAATAAGAAAAAAGAAAGTCTCATACCTTACCGAAAACTCGGATACCAGCTTCAACACAGGTGTAGGAGCTCAGTTGTAGCGGTCATTTTGACAAAGGAGGGCAATTAGCATATAAAAAAAGGCCTAGTCAGGAACCAAACAGTGACTTCAGCATTAATAAGGTAGGAGTCATGCGGAAGGCGGCTTTTTATACTGATGCTCGACGGACTGCTCCGGAGCACAACCATAGCTTCAAGCTCCTCGCAGATTTTGTAGTATAGACCGCCATCTCGGTACTTTTCGTCATCCCCCACCTGCAACCTCCCCAACAAGGGCCTTGAAGCTCAGATTCACAAGGGAATCAGACGTGGGGAAACTTGCAAGCCCGTCCTCCCTTTCCCTCTCAACAAGTATCAGCTGATTCCTGTAAAATCGGTTCTTTTCTGCGATGGCACATTCTCGAGATTAACGTCCGGCTTTGCGCTGGGAGCAGAAAAAGAAAACATCTTGGGACTGGATGATAGCCTGTGGAACACCGAAGCTAGCAAGCTGACCCCCGGAGTTAGAGAACCTGCATATACGTATGCGCTCTGATCAACTTCTGGCATCATCTCTCCACCGTTTGTGACGTCGATCCAGCTCAGTTCTCCTTTCAAGTCCCAACAGACCGACAGACTAATGAGTACTATTTGCTTTTTCCTGGGGGCACTCCATATCTCCCGCGATGATTGAGTATCGGCATTCCATTCCATAATTCTATCCCGTGATTGTAAAGCCCTGTGGATAACAGCCTTCGAGTGGGTCACATGAAGGAGTCGCTGCTGCGTGATCTCCATTATTATGAGACTGTCCGCTTTGTTCTTTGGTTGCAAAAGTGACCATGCAATTTAATCATCGAAGTAAACTCATTAAAGATTTTCACAGAGACCACACCAAGTACGGAATGTAGACAGGTAGTCTGTAGAACGCCAAATCTGTAACCCCTGCCTGACACGCCGACATGGAATGTAACCAATCAACAAACGCTGTACCTCCATAAGTAAATAAACGTCAGGGAGAAGAAATCTTTCAGTGAAGGGGAAAAAAGAGGAAAAGAAAGAAAATGACAAAAATAGAAGGGAAAGGAAATTCGCGAGGGAAAAGCGTCTATGAAAATAAAGTATTGGCTTTCATCAAGTCGTCAAAGGCAGACCCATGTCGCTGCCCCGCCATCTATCCGACCAAGGGCTTCAGCGCTTCCACCCCGATTTGGAGCACTAGCTGATTTCGCGTCTTCTTGAGCATACTGCTGAGAATTTCGACCCCTCCCTCTTGCTTGACGGCTTCCAGCGCCCTTCGCCCAATATCGCCAGATGCGGCACATGTCAAATTACGCACGCAGGTCACTCCGCGGTGGACAAGGCCATCATCTTCTTCCTGGCAAAGATTGAGCAAAAGTTTCACCCCGCGGGGTCGATCGAGGATTCCGGCGATAACCGGATCGAACTCTGTCAGCATAGCCAGAGCGCCCCCAGCTGCCCGTCGAGTGGTAAGATCATCAGTGTCTGTGAGAGCAAGCAGGATGTGCAGACGCTGTGCCGCACGCTTGGTGCCGTCGGCCATCTTTATCACCCCAGACTCGCAAGTCATGAGGTTACAGACAAGCTCACAGGCGGCCCGTTGAATCAAAGGATTCTTGGAGAGCAGTAGATCTTCCAGTTGATCCCAGGCATGTCGGACGATAGCCTCTGCCGCTGCCGCATCCGGGTGGGTTGCTAGATTCGTAAGAGCAAGAAGGCTCTCAAAGACCGGCAACATATCCACTGTTTGGTCGGTAGATACACTCGTAAATTCCGGGGTTTGAATGAGCGCAACCAAAGGGCGTATGGCTGAAGTAACGTGGGGAACTCCTGACAGTGGAAAAACATGCGACGGATTGACAGAAATTAGGATGCGCGCAAGGGCGTGAGAGGTGTTGCGAATCGTTTTGTCTGAATTTGAGCCAGAGACATTTTGGCTTGTAGCCGCAAGACTGAGCAGGAGTTTAGCTGCACCTTGCTGTGCTAGGGCTCCCCGCGACTTGGGGTTACGCGACAAGGAGACCATTATTTGACCGATCAGGTCGTGAACCGAGAGCGCGTTGTTCCTGCCGCAAGCCACCAAGACAGGCACCACCCCTGCATCAACCACAGCGGTACAACGAGCCATGACATGCTTGTCATTCTCGAGGACACTGGGGCCTTTTTTCGCGTTTGGAGAAGCTTCGGCGTAAGCTTTTAGCTGAGAGATTTTCTTCTGCTCTTCGGATAAAGTGGGAAGGAATTGGGTAAGGTTCAGGATGATCATCAAACCCCCGTAGAGAATCGAAGTGTCATTGGACTTTTCATGCAAGATTTTGATCAAGCCACGCAAAAAGGTGGAATCTCCAGCAAGTTGTCCCTTGACCTCCGGTTTCACAGACGAGTAAGCCAAACCTTCAATGGCATTCGTGATATTTTCACCCTTGTGTTTCGAAATCAGTTCCTTGAATCGGTCAACTAGCTCAGTGACATGGCTGTCACCCTCCTGAGCCTTACCGTTTGAGGAGGTGGTAGTGTCCTTTCCAGTTGCCCGAATCTTGGCCAGGATAACGGCCGCAAGCTCAGAGCTTTGATCACTACCGTTTGTAAGAATGTGGGAGAGCCAGTCAGACAGATTCTTAGAAATGGCATCCCGGCTCAGGTTGTTGATGCACGCAGCATTCAGCAGTTCTAAAACACTTGTTTCCATTCTGCGACTCTTGGCGTCTCTCCCAGTCAGCGGCTTGAGAGCAGCCATAAAAGCATCAGAAAGGAAAAGGCTGGCCGCAACATCCGGAACAACGGGGAAGACGGCGGCCGTGGCAGAAAATGCTACCGTGAGATCATCGGTGCGCGACTTGTTCAGCTTGGCAGAGACAATTTTGGTGAATTGCTTTTCACCAATGTCTTGTGAGGATTCGAGGTATTTGGCTGTTGCCAAGGTAGCCTGACTCCTCCACTCAAGGGGAAGCCGATGATCCAAGGACGTGACAATCACATCAAGGCTCTCATCGTCGACCAAGTCGCGCAATAGATCCGCATCGACAGCTAGAAGGCGCGCAATACCCTTGAGAGACCGCCCGTCTAGGTCGTGACCGGATTCCATCAGCTTGGCGATAAAGAGCTGGAAGAGCTCGCGTTCGCAATGTAGGCGAGCATCCTCAGAGGGCCAAACGGCGTGATCCAAAACCACAGTATCTAGACACACTGCGGCGCCATCGCCTCTGTCGTACATGTCATCGAAAAAGGTGGTCACGGAAACTTGAAGCTTGCTCGAGAAATACTGGCGCACACTAGCATTCTGACGGACCAGGCCCGAAATAATATCATCCTGTACAGAAGATAGCGATCGAGCCTGGAATGAAAGAAGCAATTTCGCACAGTCCAGTGCTACACTCTCCGGAGGGACAAGGCCATCGGTCTGGAGATAGCGAGCGGCATCTTTCCCAGCTTTTTCGTCTTTCTGGGTGTACCGGCGGCAGAGGTCGATCAAGTGGTGACCGTTTCCTTCCTCTTGCTGGATCTTAAGCAAGGCATCCTTAACAGAGGAGTTATCGGGGGCTAGGGAGAGGGCTTCTCGAAGATTTCGGACAGCGGCCTAAATTACATCACGACACTATCAGCCACCCGCCGCGCGAGCAATGCAGCTGGAAAACAGCCAAGACCGCTTTAAGATAAATGGAAAAAGGGACGCGATTTGCAAAATAGGACACCTACCTCATGATGTCCAGCATCCCTCAGCTCAACAGCCTCTCGCGATAGGTGTACGGCGCGTTCCTCGCCCGTGGCGTGAACCATTTCAGCTTTGACTCAGGTACGTGTACTGTGGTGTGACACAAGTGTGTGGTAGATTTATCGCCAAGTTGGGATCAAGAAGTTGATTCAAACGCAAAGACGAGCCGTACGGTATGATCGAAAGGCCGTCCGAGGGCCGTCCTGAGGGCGCGGGTTGTGGAAGAGAAGAAATAGATAGGAAGTGGTCGCGGAGGGGTGAAGGGTGTGAAAGAAGTTTAACCCACACACTCCGAGACGGTGGATAGATAAAGGAAAGCAGTCATGGAGAGCAAGGTAGGAAGCTGGCGAAGATGCAGGTAAGCTGGCCTGGGAGGAAAAGGAGGACTAATGAAGTGGTGATTTAATTCGGATTGAGTGGGAGACTGAGAGATGCGCAGAAGTCGTCCGTCCGTTTGGGAAGCCGCACCCTTTTTTTTTTTTCTGCTGTTACCCAAACTATGGATCTTGTCAGCTGTGACTTTTGACGTGTTACAGCCCAGATCTCATCTTTCAGCGACAGGGATCTCAGAGGTATAAACTGAACTTGACCGAGTGGCAAACAGGGCGAAGATTCGACTTTCAATGCATCTACAGTTTTGATGATCCAATCCTTGGAGGCGATGGTGAAGCGCACGGAGCCTTCCGATACATACGCCCCTCACGCCTCCTCCGTATACCGGCACTTTCTGCCAGGCTTGGGAGTCTGAGATCTGGAATGCTGCAGACATTCTTCGGGCCTTAACTCCGGGGAATGCATCAGATAAGGTCGCCCTCCCTCAGCTTCTCTCATCGAATCATGTGGCACACGCTCTCGCCAGTTCTTTCTCCTTACAAACAAGCTTACCATTGTTATATGGTTTATCACACCATGTTATGCTATCCGCTTATTATGCTTTAAAAGCGGACAGGCCACCGATAACGAACCCGCGAAACACCAACACCACCAGGCCAACCACAGACAGCCTCCATCACACGTTGCTTTTCCTGTGCTGTCTGTTGAAGTCACCTCCCAAGAAAGCCAAGACTTTATTTGCTTCACAGTTCAAAGCCCAGGTCACACTATTGCGCCCCATTTCGCAGAAGTCGGCTTTGATGATCTGCAAGAAGATCCCAGAACTGCAACCCCCTGCTCCGAGCGACTCTCTCGGGAGAATGTACAGGTGTCCATCCGCAGTTTGGAAAGAGGACAACAGATGGTGAAGATTTAGAGTACCGTATGCAGGCAAGAAGTCCAGTTTCCAGATTGTACACGGAATAGCTTCCGACTGGAAGCCTCATCATCACCTGATATATATCCGTTGCACAACCTGTAGATTGCACACAGGAAGTCGCTTATACTCTCCCCACCTGGACCGACAGTCCGTCTTTCTCCCCACGCTTAGGCATGAAACACGAGCCTGGTGTTTCAACCGCCCTTATTGCGTCAACCTTACACTTACAGGGGGTTGAGCTTAACGACCTCGCAAAGGCTCGCTCGTTGTATTTTGCCTCGCATCGAGGGCAGGAATCTTGAATTCCATCTCCACTAGTACTATTGGAGCGACCATAGCCGCCAAGTCTGCGTTATCGGCTGTGAGCCTGTGATAGTATGCTGGTATCCTTGGCAGTCGTCCCAAACCAAGGCCACGCCAGAAATCCCTGAAACCAACGACCTCGCTGCTTATGCAGCCTCACCCACTTGGCACTAGCCAGCAGTGAGCCACAACTTCCACTCCGGACTCCGGAACGAGTTAAAGCACACTTCGCTACATGAGACATCCTTCCTTAATGCTTGAGTGTAGATCACTCATCCCCACCCTCACTCGCCTTGGCCCGCCTGCTCTTCGCTGCGGAGATGACGACTTAACGTCACTATTATTATTGTCCTGGTTCCTTGCGGCATCCGCGCCTGGTGATATAGTTCGGCCCCCGCTCATCATTGGAGGAGTGCGTCCTGGCTCTGAAGGAGTCTCCGGGGCGCCTTCAAGAGCAAAAACCTCCACCATCCATTCGTACCAGACTTTCCGATCGTCTGTTTGTCTATACATTGTGACGACGATCTCACCATTGTCTGGAACATTAAGAGGGGTCTAGAACATTGTCAGAAGAACTAGGCTTTCTTTCGTAAATGGAGGGGACAATGTTACCTTCAGCGGAAAGTAAATAGGGAACCAACTAATCATATTCGCGCTCTTGCTGTCCATTGTCACCGGGTTAATGGAAAGTTCCACATCGCGGTATAAGACGGTCTCGAAGTAACCCCCGAGACCATGGCAGACCCCACGGTTTGGAACTGGGAAGGCAAGACGGGTGCGGCGCACGTTGTGCGAATTGGAAATCATCGATGTAGAAGGCGGCTGGGGTGGTATATCCCGGTTAGGGTGAGAGAATGACCACGCGGTCTGAACGAATGGCGTAGGTGTTTCGGACGGGAGCGTTGCAACTGAGGATCGAGCGTTGTTCGCCCACCCGGCGTTCGTAGAGAGGTAGTCGATGGCATGTAACATAACGACGTAAGGAGTTTCGGGCGCTGCAGGGTTCGAGACCGTCTGATTTACAACATCTGCGTGCAGCTTCGGCGCGGAGATCGGAGTGAGGTGTGCCGTGTATGAGGCGGGAATTGAAATACCGTGCACGGGATTGATAAGGTGATTGATGCCGTCTAGACATTCTGGCGAAAGTTCGTTGTCACCAAAGGAGCCCAAGAGCTCCGACACCACGATGTCAATCTTGGTATACGCAATTCCAAGATTGTCTTCACTAAGGTCGATGGGTGCCTTCTGGTCGCCGGCCTGGCTGTGTAGGAGCTGATCCTCGATTCCAAGAGATTGCCCAACGGGTGCTGTCGGGAGGGAGGACACGTTCTTCTGTACCTGCACTCGTGGTCCCTTCCAGGCACGCATATCAGAATGGACCAGAGTAACTTTTCCGCCCCATTGGTTTTGGTTGTGGCGCTGGAGGAGAACAAACGCGTTCTGATTCTTCTCAACGGCCCACAAGTCGATTTCGACACCCGCCTGGGCACTTGCTTTGAGTGCTCGAGTCACCAACGGTCCTCTCCCTGCTCCAACCACGGCAACGACCACCCGACCATCCGGGTTGGAAGTCGGCTTCTTCTGTTCCGACCAATCACTCAGCGCCTTCGCAATAGCTCTTTCATACCACTCGTATTTGATAGGGTCCTTCTCGAAGACCTCATAGGTGATACTTTCCAGATTGACCGTCAGTGGCTGCAGCGGCGCCTGGAGATAGTCTTGGTACCCGACGCCGAATCTCTCAATAGCAGTGCGAGGAGGCTGACGTTGCTGAAGATTTCTCATATAGGACAGGTGTGGAGTCGGATCAAAATGCTTCTTGTGCGAGCCTGCGGCCTGCGCTAGGCTGGGATATTCAGAGCCGGGAAGATTATTGGGCGCTGAGGAGTCGGCCTCTACACCTGGAATAGGGCCGACGTCGCAGAGCAATATCCATGGGGCAGTTCGAAGACGCATAAATCGAGAAATCAGAGCCTGGTGCGTTTTGGATAGCACGGGGTAGCCCTTCTGGTTCTTGATGAATATTATGGGTTCAATAGTGAATAGATGCACTGGCTCCGAGTGCCACCTGGACTGAACGGACATCGGGGGGAGGTGTTTCGGCAGCGTGAGTGCTGTAAGATGATTTAGCAAGGTTTCTCAAAGAGGTCAGATCGATTCCTCTTACCTACGAAAAGTCTTGAATGATATTTACAGGATCTCCTGATGGCATCCCAGGCATCCCAAGTACCGAAGAGGTCTAGCTTGGGCGACTGATTTTCCAAGTCTTCGTAAAATACTTCCCGTGCCAGGGGTGCAAGATCGCCCATCTCATCTACTTCGAGATCTTGGCTGTCGACCATGTTCAGCCAGACATGAAACTGGATATAAGGACCAAGACCAATCGCGTCCTGAATCGCGCGTGCGTAGTATATCACTCCCTCCGAGTGCATCCCATTGTGGTGCAGTTTAGGTCCCGGAATCAGTAGATAACCAATACCACAGAAAGCAGCGTAGGCAACCTCTAGCATGAAGACCTGGCGGGATATGTCTGCAATCAATGGGTCCGGAGAACACATATCAATCCAGGAACTGGTAACTCCCACCAACTGCGACATGGCATCATTGGGGGTGAGGTGAGTATCGGACGGTCCTAATTGCGGTACAACGAGCGGCTGCACATTTTGTGTTGTCATCAACGTCCTAGGATCATCATGGGATACGGCTTGTATGTTCGCAAGGTGAGAGGAGAGTAGACTGAGCACACGCGAATGGAAGTGGGGGGTCGTGATAGGGGTGGTGAGCATATCATACTATGTTGAACATTAGTAGCTTTACTAACATTAGTTCGCCGGGTCTCATACGTTGCTTTCGTGAGCTAGTTGTACAACCTCCGAAGTAATTGGTCCTGCGCGCTTGCTCTCATGTTGGCCGATGCAGAAGCTCGGTGCTATCCCGTCAGAGGAGTCCATGGTGAGTTCGGAGGGTGAAGGTGAGAAGTCTAGTTGAGCGGATGCCTCTGAGACGCAGTAGGGTTGGGATTGACACTAAGACCAAATATATAGGAGACCGACTGGTGTCGACAATATTCCCAATATACAGTAGGTACGTGATGCTAGACCAACATTGCTGTATCCAAACAAAGGGTAGGGAATGAGCACGGCGAGCTCAGCAAAACCGCCAGACAAACTCGAAGAAGTACAGTCCGAGTGAGGCAACTTGGTGATAACCTTCAAACGACGGAATTCGCACGCCGGATGAAAAGAATCTAGGATATGCTGCAAATCCTCGAGTCACCATGTTTGTTCCTTTTTTTTTTGGCGGGGTTGACAAACCAGCGAAGGCGGTGAATTTCGGGGAGAAACTGTGGCGGGCGCCGGCCGACTTGCCTGATTTAAGCCGGAAATTCCAGACTGGTTGAAGCGGCGAGTGAATTTTTTGGCCGCCGCATCTCGACCGACTTCGACGCGCCCTGCAGCTCTACACAATCCTCCCCCATCGTCATGGTTGATCGACGCTCAGATTCAGAAGACGGCTCCCGCGCTAAACGTCAGAAGATGGATAAGTCTGGGACTGACCCCCGGGATAATCCTTATCTGGCTCATATGTACGCAGATACGTCCTCTAACGGCAACTCAAGCTCACAGGCTGATAACAAGAACTCAGCCTTCGCCAAGCTGCAACGACACAAGACGACCGCTGCTTTGGCGCAGAAGGTTGAAGATGACGACTTCAACCCGTACACAAACCGTCCGTTCTCGAGCAAATACTTCTCGATCTTGAAAACTCGCCGTGATCTCCCTGTCCATGCCCAGAGGTACGTCCTATAGTACAAGGCTCGAGTCGCAGTGAACTAACTATTTGTGCGACTTTAGAGATGAATTCCTCAGGCTTTACCAAGAGTCTCAGATCCTGGTATTCGTCGGTGAGACTGGTTCCGGAAAGACAACTCAGATTCCTCAATTCGTCCTGCTCGATGATCTCCCACAAACCCAACGGAAGATGGTTGCTTGTACCCAGCCCCGTCGTGTGGCCGCCATGTCCGTCGCCCAACGTGTGGCTGCTGAGTTGGATGTCACTCTAGGAGAGGAAGTTGGTTACAGCATTCGTTTCGAGGACATGACGAGCCAAAAGACAGTCTTGAAATACATGACGGATGGTATGCTTTTGCGAGAGGCTATGAACGACCATGACCTCAACCGCTACAGCACCATTATTCTTGACGAAGCTCACGAAAGAACCATGTCTACCGATGTTCTGATGGGTCTTCTCAAGGAAGTAGTGCTGCGCAGACCCGATTTGAAGATCATTATCATGTCTGCCACCTTAGATGCGCAAAAGTTCCAGCGCTATTTCAACGACGCCCCCCTCCTTGCTGTCCCCGGTCGCACCCACCCTGTCGAAATCTTCTATACTCCCGAACCCGAACAAGACTATGTTGAAGCCGCCATTCGCACTGTTCTACAAATTCATGCTACCGAGGATGAGGGTGATATCCTTCTGTTCTTGACTGGAGAGGAAGAGATCGAGGATGCGGCGCGCAAAATCTCTCTCGAGGCCGACGAAATGGTCAGAGAAGCTGATGCTGGCCCTTTGAAGACATACACGCTCTACGGTAGTCTTCCGCCGCACATGCAACAGCGCATTTTCGAACCAGCGCCCCCACCGCGCCGTCCTGGCGGCCGTCCTGGGCGGAAGGTCATCGTGTCTACCAATATCGCTGAAACATCTCTTACCATCGACGGTATCGTCTACGTTGTCGACCCTGGTTTCTCGAAGCAAAAGATTTACAACCCTCGTATCCGTGTCGAATCTCTCCTGGTTTCTCCCATTTCAAAAGCGTCAGCACAACAAAGAGCTGGTCGTGCAGGTCGTACGCGGCCCGGAAAGTGCTTCCGACTGTACACTGAGGGCGCTTTCAAGAAGGAATTGATCGATCAGACCTATCCCGAAATTTTAAGGTCAAATCTTTCATCTACTGTGCTCGAGTTGAAGAAGCTGGGTATTGACGATTTGGTGCATTTCGATTTGATGGACCCCCCCGCGCCCGAGACCCTCATGAGAGCTCTTGAGGAATTGAACTACCTTGCCTGTCTTGATGATGATGGCAACCTCACTCCTCTTGGCCGCCTTGCGTCGGAGTTCCCGCTAGACCCTGCTCTTGCGGTCATGCTTATCAGCTCGCCCGAGTTCTACTGCTCGAACGAACTCTTGTCCATCACAGCACTGCTCTCTGTACCGCAGATCTTTGTGAGACCCGCATCGCAACGGAAGCGTGCGGACGAAATGAAGAACTTGTTCGCCCACCCCGACGGTGATCACCTAACTCTGCTCAACGCCTACCACGCATTCAAGAGTCCGGAGGCGCAGGAGAACCCTAAGCAATGGTGCCACGACCACTTCCTCTCCCTTCGATCTCTCCAGTCCGCCGACAACGTGCGCATGCAGCTTCTTCGCATCATGGAACGCGAGGAACTAGAAATGATATCAACGCCGTTCGAGGACAAGAAATACTATGAGAACATTCGCCGCGCGCTGTGCGCTGGATTTTTCATGCAGGTCGCCAAGAAGGAAACTCAGGGCAAGAGCATGTATATGACCATCAAGGACCACCAGAACGTCCTCCTCCACCCTTCGACTGTCCTCGCCCATGATGCCGAATGGGTTCTGTACAATGAGTTTGTCCTCACCACGAAGAACTATATCAGAACGGTGACCGCCGTCAAACCAGAATGGCTTATTGTAAGTTACCACTCTCAGCGCCCGCTTTATTTCAACCGTCAGCATATCTAACAGGCATTCAACAGGACATCGCTCCTACTTACTACGACATCACGAGTTTCCCGAAGGGAGATATCCGGTCGTCCCTGCTGCGTGCCGCTGAGCGGCTCTCGCGTAAGGAGAAGATGCGTGCTGAGTCGGGGAAGAGGCGTTAAATAGATAGTATTGCCATTTACGAGCCAAGTGTATAGACTATGCGAGCAATTCTGATATTCTGTTGTTTCCATCTGAAAACTTTACTCTTTCCGACGACATTGATGAAGAGGTATCAACTCCATGTTCCGCCCATTGATGGGTTATGAGCTCTCGAAAGAAGTTCAGTGAGGGCCGTAGCTACATATAACTAAGCTTATGGCTTGCAAGCGAATAACAGATCCCTACTGACAGGTGAACTTGAAAATTGATTATAATGTCAAGTATAATTCCAGGCAATGCCCACCGCCCAGTCAATAGCTAGTAGTAGGTATCTTGGTCGTAATAATGTACAGATTCTATAAGTACCAGTCACCATCGAACGGGCCGTAAACATCCATCCAAAAAAAAAGTCGAGAATACACATTCGCTGAAGGGAACTATAGTTGCATGACGGATTCGGGACCAAGATCAGAGGTCAAAAAGGTCAGCTAGAAGCCGAAAAGGCCGAGATATTTAACGTATGGGGCTGTTGTGGCGCATCTTGTGTTGAGACGGTAGAGACGAGTCGTTTTTTGAGACTGATAGCGTCGTTACCAGTGGGTTCAGGTATGTTCTGGGCGGCTGTTGCCCGAGACAGATGGAAGACGATTCGCCTTAGCTGTGCAACTTCATGCTTCAGGGCCTCTAAATCCTGGTTTTTGGAAGTGACCGTAGACTCGGAAGTGGCTGATGAGCCATTTCCTTCAAATTCACCCGCCTGCGAAGGTTGAAGATGGCCGCTCTGTGCTGTGTGACCTCTGTCTTCAGTCTTCGACTGAACGGAAATGCCACTCATAATGGACGACAGAAGTTGTTTAGAATAAAGTCCAGCGTGCTTGTGTAATCGACTCGCAGAAGACTCCTCTTTTGATTCAGGAAGAGAATCCAAGTGCTCTTTAACACTCCTGACGAATGCATAGCAGATGTCTCGTCCCATGGATTCTATCTTCCCCGATGTCAATAATCGCGCGGCAGTTTGCCATCGGTGGAGGTCAGGATCAATGTTGGAAACAATGTCTGCCTGCTCCTCAGCAATGCGCCAGTCGAACCCGCTGTTGATTGCAGCCTCAATGATAACATCCGAAACATCGAGTTTCTCGCACTCATCGCTGAGATGTACCATCATCACAACGAGCCTCCCAACCTTGTCCAAGTCGTGCGCAGACGATGAGACAATGAAGGCTAAACATCTTTGCAACAGCTGAAGTCCTTTCTCCCAATCACGTCGGATGGTATAAAACTCCAAATACGCCATTAGTATAGCGAAGTCGTCCAAACAGCCATTTGCTCGGGCAGCTGAAAGGTAGGCGTCGGCTCTCTCGGGTTGATCAAAACGTAGGCACGCTTTGATGAGCACAGCATAGACGACTACATTCGCAGAGGGAGTTGGAGGTACCGTGATTTTCAGCCCATTGATTTCAATCTCCTTGTAGAAGGCAAGGTTGCCCATGTCAATGGGGTAGCCACCGCCACGTAACATCTGTAGAAATAGATCGAACCCTTTTAGATCCTTGCTCTTGCGGAAGTAGTTGAGTATGGTGGAAATGAGAGAGGCGTTTAGGGGGAACTTGTAAGGAAGTATTGTCTTGATGACGAGTTCAGCAAGGTCGTTTTGGCGGGTTTTGGTGAATGCCAGGATCATTAGTTTGTAAGCGTTGGTCTGATCGGGATCTTTGATTTGAAGGAGGTTGCTTGAAAGCCTCAATAGCAGTTCCTCGAGCGGCATTTGGTTATTCGAGTACAGTCCCGTGTCATGGCGGATAGTCTTCCCAACTTGTATACTTTCATGGACCGCATCTTTCAATCTAACAACGGCGATGTCTCCTATCAGATCATCTATCGGATGATTGGGGTCAGATTTCAATTGGTTTAACCTGCGCCGAGTTGAATCTAGTTCCTGAAGGAGTGATGCCACGTCAAGCTTCGGTAACGAATCCGAGCCGCTATAGTTTTGGAGCACACCCGCATAGCTGTGGGCGATCGCGGGGCGTAGCAAAAGCCGGATTGCGAGCTGTTTCAATGCGAGCCTCCTAATTGCCTTGCCACGGACGAGGCTGGTTTCAAGCCAAGCAGGTATGCGCTCTCCATCAAGCGCCATGTCAAATGTATCTGTATCGTCAGAAACCCGATCACTAATTTGCTGATCGAGCTCCGATATGACTGCACTCTCCATCTGCTCATTGAACTTTGATAGTTCCTTATCGGCAGTACCGACGTAGCGGGGTGGAAGTTTTCTGGTGGCCTGAATGTTACGGTTTCGTGGTTTGGACTGCGAAGAGTATGATCTTGCTTGGAGTGCTCTGCTGAAGGGATTGACAGTGCGAGTCGAAGCCCTTGAGGCCCGGGAGGCCAGGGCCTCTAGAAGACGTTGTTCCTCATTCACCAACTCATTGACCTCCTCTTTAACCGCCGCAATTTTCTCCTCCCATTCAAGCCGCCGTTTAACTTTTGTTCGCGCATCGACCCAGGCTGCGGCGGCGAATATGCTGGTGTAAAAAGCCGTGACCGAGTTCCCGAGGCGTAAGCGTCGTCTGCTTGCCGCTGATGTTGATCGGGATGCGACTCCCTCCGCGGCGGTGCTGAGGCAGGAAACGCAGTGGGAAGCCGGCCCAGCGGGAACGGTGCGGGACCAGATACCCTGCATCGTCAGGACATCTCGGGCCCGATTGGCCCTGGCAATAGTCCTCGTATAGTAAAAATGGCGATTGACGAACTAAGAAGATTCAATGGCCTGCGTAGAACGGAGGAAGCTGGGAGGGCTCGAAGACACACCGGGTGGTCTGATGAAAAACAGAGGTGCTTGGGAAAAGTTGGATTGCCGACCGGTGCAAACGCTGCAAACGTCCCGAGCCCCCATGTAACCAGCTGTCCAACCCCAGACGGAGCTCCCCTTTTATGTTGTTAAGCCGGGGGCCCAAGCTATCTATATTCTCATTTTTCCCCTTACATTCTACTACGCTCTTCGAGCTTGGCTCTGGCTAGTCGACCTAAAGCGAGTTGCAATCGCAGTTCACGATGTTACTCACACTCCCTGCGACATTGCTTGCCTTAAGCGGCACCCTCGTGAATGCCCACGGGTCGCATTCCAGCCCTGAGACCCCCTCTGCAGATTGGGCGACTCGGCACATGCAAGGTGGGACCCTGGGTACCCTGCAGGAAATATAGCTCAACCTGCTCACGTTTGATAACCGCAGAGGAACACCACATTGATTACTTCGACGCCTCGTCTTTCTTTGTACTCCACGACTACGATTCGTCCGGGGCCTGGACGCCCGATGAAGTGAAGAAAACATACGGGATGGAGGACGAGTCAAACGCGGCCCTGACCGAGGAGCAAAAACAAGAAGCCTTAAGAGAGGTTTTTTCTCTTTTCGACCCGGCGAATACTGGCTTCATCAGTCGTGATAACTGGATGCGCCTGATTGCTGATGGGGTGCGACTACCAGACTTTGGCTTTGGCCCGGGCCATCACGGAGACATGGAATATGAGTATGAGATACATCATTTCGAGCAGTTCCATGGAGAAGACGCGACAGAGGACGAACTCACGCACCCCGAAGATATCGAGCACTTCAGGAGACACGATGAAGAGGATGAGGCGCAAGAAAGGCTTGATCAGCTTGAGCGGATGTCGATCGTTGCAGCGAATATCCCGTCCAAGTTCCGCAAGCAAGTTTCTGGATAACCATAAGTAGATTTGTATTTATATGTGCATATATGTCTGAACTTCTTCATCCTGTGCTTTCGCTTACACTTCGTGGATATATCAGGATATATACACCATTGCCGGTCATATGAACTGTCAACAAGCCCTCTTTCCTCCAAGCTTGTTTCGTCATGGATTGTTGCTCTCTGCACGTTTGTGCTAGGATGATAATTTGACGTCAAACACACAGTGCATCACACCTGGAGCGTATGTTTTGACCTGTTCAATGTGCCGACACTCGGTGTTTGGCTGGTTGGTAGTATATTGAGAGATAGGCTCGGCCCACGATCTCCCAATGCCGGCGACAATTTCGTCCCGCTTTGCATCAATGCACTGAACATCTACATTCTCATGTACGTGGACCCAACCACCCTGGCGCTTGTCGATGATGTTGCAGGCGTTATCCCATGACAAGCTAGAAGTCGGCAGAAGGCCCAGGTTGACGTGCCGGATGCTGGTCCATTCCCGTCGCTCCTCCATGAAATTTTGTACTTCACTCATGATATCCGCCGCAAACCTGTTATCTCCATGGAACACAACGACCCGATCCGTATTACGAAGTGATTCCACCAGCTCAGAGATTGGAGTGCTTACCTTCCCATCCTCTGAGACTCTGAAAACTCTACACCCCCATCCATTCTCAACACAGCCCCTCCGTAACCCCTCGACAGACCATCCGTTGAGCTCCCACCCCCAAACTCTCTTCACCCCTCTCTTCAGGTACGAAAAGACAAAGTAACCAATCCCGGCATACATGTCAACGACTGCGACATCTCCAGCCTTTCCACCACCCAGCGTCCCCTCATCCAACCCCTCAAACACCGACCCGTGCCCCAAAATCCTCGCTTTCTCCTTGATATTTCCCCTCGAGAACATTGTATACAGGGGCGCCCAGATCTGCACGATATCATGGTTCTGTACAGTGCGGACCCAAAACGCCCGCTCGTAGTCTGCCGCAGATGGCTGCGCACTCTCGCCGTCCCCAATTACGGGGGCGCGGGCGCCGAAATCTCCATAGAGTGGGACGAGGCCGACAGGACTCCGCATTCTGTTCTCCTGTCCTTGCGAATGCAGAGGCACGATCGGCGCATTCATGGCGATGTGCGTGACGCCGAAACGGGTGAAGGCGTTTGCAATGCAGGCGTATAGTGCTTGTCGTTGATCATTGTCAAGGCTTGAGTAGAGGGAACCCCATGCTGGTGGATGTGTGAATGCATTCAATGGAAGCAGGAGCATAGGCTCGTAGATGGTGTACCTTTTTGGGAGTGGTGTTTCCGGATTTTCGAGGGAAAGCTCATGTTGCTCGAGGATGGATGGCGGGAGGTGTGTCGTTAGGAAGTTTGCTATGCCTCGTTGGAGTAGGTTGATGTTTTGCTTCCGCGGTCGTTTGGAGCCATTTCTGCGGTGTTTGGAGCGGGGCCCTTTAGAGATGATATCTGAAACATCTCCTTTCCAACTAGTTGCCATTGCAGGGCTTATATTTTGTGAGGGCTTGAGTGATATGGAGGAGCATGCACGAGATTAGTTGTCACAGTGATGGTATAAGCAAATCAACCATGGCTGACTGAATTCGAAACCTCAAAAAAAAATGTGTGTAGAGTAACAGATTAAGATGTAAAGTCCCTAGAAGTGGATTCATGTTGCTCTACTCCGCACTCTGTTTTGTAACCTGGAATCAATCATTGTGCTCTTTAATAATGGTGTCACGTGAGTTATCCAGATCTTCGTATTGTTGCCTTAGGCGCCAATTTCGTTCAACTTGAACCCTCAACACATCAAGGACAACTTTCTATGTAAGCATGCAAAAGTCTACATATTCAAAATGCTGCAGAAAAAAAGGTCCCGAAATATGACTCAACTCTCACACTGTTCAATCGCACTCTCGCTCGGCGGGCCTTCTTCTTCGTTGCCGCTGTTTTGTTAGGATATCCCAAAGCCCCATGGTGAATCTCCTGGAAACCATAAAGTCCTTTCGATCTGAACCATCAAAGTCAAAGAGGTTCATTCCAAGGAAGGTCTAAGCTCAATGTTAGCCGCGACCCTCGCTATTCTCGAAGGTACTCACGGAAACGAAGCTTGCTGGCAGATAAACTAGGGTAACCAAGGTGACAACAAATACGTTGACGTTATCTTCTACAGATGCATTTGTTAAATGAAGCATCCGTGTTTGGTTGTTTAGAGTCAACGTCGTGGCCAGCTTGCGGACAGTGGTCAGTTAGTGCGACCCTAGAGCCGTATGATCTGAGGTACGCACAAGATTTAAGATCACTTGCACTCTTCTCTCAAGCGCTTCTACACTCTTCAAGTTGCCTTCTAGGCTGGATATATAGTAGGCTGCTGCATTAGCAAGCCTCCGAGATTGAGTGGGCGACAATATTCCTTTCGACACGAATAGATTATTGATCTCTGCCAATTCCTGAACACTCGTTAAAGTGACGCCTAGTTGCGTTGACAGCGGTGCGAGCTTGATACCGAGACGTTGCGGCTGAAGCAGGGGATCAAGGCTATCGGTCTCAGCCATGATATTGACCGCGTGGGATAGGTCCGCGGTGAGAGCGATGTCGGCCTATGTATGCGTTTATATCAGCTTGCTCTTCTGAAAGTAGCAAACCGCCTCATCTCCGAGAGATCTGGCATCACTACGATTACCACAAATTATGCAGACTTTAAGTGACTTGGAATTCTGACAGTCTTATATATTCCACAATCTCTCGTTTCATACTCAACTTAGACGAGGCAGATATACGCCCGACAGACCCTCAGCCCGCTTTTTCTTCAAATACTGCCACATGAGAAGAAATCAGCATCATGCCACCACGCCTCAATACAACATAAGGCCGTGCAGGGACCATAGTCGGCTGGAAAAAGAACAAGTCGAGGTCATCAATTGACGCGGTATGACAGGCGGAGATCCCTATGCCCCTCCGTGTTAACTGGATCTGTTGCCCCCAAAAGCAATTTGATAGTGCTGGGCTAATCTTACGAAATCTGTCCCTAGTACAGACAAATCCGTTAGCAAGTTTGCGCCCCGCTGTTAATTGTTAGGTCTTGAGATTACCAGCGAGACCTATTTCGGGGCGTCAAAAACATAAACCCCGTCCTGATACTTTACCAGAGATCCATCCATTAGTGAACCAGAGTCAACAAGAAGCTATATGAGCAGGCAATCTCGCTTACCCGGACGCCGATTGGCCTATTGAAGATAGCAAAGAGGCGCTGCTCCAACTCTTCCAACAATATATACCCACTTAGTTCCGCGCTGATAGTGCTACGGACGAGAGCTGTCATGATTTAGTGAAGTGGATCGCCTGGTTGCCGGGCGCGGAAGACGAGGATGACAGAGGACTCCTAGTTTCGATCAGGGTCTCAAGGATTCTTAAGAGAGGGGGCTTTACTGGAACATGGGGTATTACCCTGTTGTGGAGGCTCATGGATTGCGGCCTAACACAGAGCCACTTACATTTCTCTGATTCTTCCTTGTTAGGGCCAATACACATGTGCAATGACTCAAGAGTGAGTATTCCTGGCGATATGCTACCTTTTCAACTACTTTCTCATATATGGGAACCCGTCCGTATCTTGAGACTACCTCTGACGTGTGCGCATTCTAAAGAGGAGCACCAACCCATTGAATGGACGATCTATTCATGACATATTACCCTTCGCCGACGATTTCTACAATGAATACCTTACGAGTGTGGTTGATAGAGAGGTGTTCTGTAGAGGAGCATGTCTCGCAGGGATCCGTATGATCCTGCTCGAGTTCCTGGCCTGACACCAGGAGAAAAAAGGGCGCTGAAAGATGAGCGTACCCTGAATCAACTTAAACAAAGCAAAGCTCTCAAAGTCGTTACATTGGTGACAGCATGCGCTGCAATTACACAGTTAGTTTTTGGAGACCCCCCAACTCGTCCACGATCTTACTGGGTTTCAAAAGGGGCTGGCAACAATCGTCCATTAATGCAAGTTTCCTCCGCTGGCAAGCTGAGATACGGGGAACGGACTACCGGATACAACATCGTATCCTGGCTGGACTGGTTGATGCTGCGCCATGGCTATCAGGGAGTCTTGTGTAAGTGCAAATCGGCGTGCCGCATGAATGAGTCTTAACATGATACTCTCCTGGAATCGCGCGTGGTTGAGTGACCCTTTCCAAGAGAGGCGTTTTGGAAGACGACCCGCACTATTTGCGTCGGGCATTCTTTGCACAGCATTTGTACTGGGTACGCCACTTCTTTCGATTTAAAACATACGACCTGCGCTTACTTGACTACTAGGAACCGCTAGATGCAACACCTTCGCCGAGCTTCTAATTTGTCGACTACTGCTCGGTCTTGGGGTAAGTTAACATTCCTCAAACTCCTGCTTTGAGTTATATCTCACGATCGCCTGGCTTAGATTGGTGCAAAGGCATCAGTGGCTCCTGTATACGCCGCCGAGGTCGCTGTGGACCATCTACATGGGCGGCTTCTGATGATGTGGCAGCTTTTCGATGCACTGTAGCTCCTCGTCGTCTTTCCTACTTATGGCCACTCTGTCTGTCTGGATCTAACTAATCTGAGCCAAAATGGTATCTTTGTTGGATTTGCCTGTGTCTTCGTGGTTGATATGCACTGGAGAGTCCTCCTCGGAACAGCAGCTGTCCCCTCTTCGATCTTGCTGTTCATAGTTTTCCTCTGTCCGGAGTCGCCTCGATTTCTTATCCGCAGAAGCGAATACAAGAAGGCGTTTCTGAGCCTTCGACAGCTGCGTGGCAGCGATATCCTTGCCTGCAGAGACTTGTATTACATCCACATCCATTTGCATACGAATCACAGCAAAGGCAGCAGCAGCAGCAGCAGCACCTACAAGAGAATGCATGGTTGGAACATAACATATACCAAACTGAACTTGAAACAATGAGGTTTCCTCAGCGAGTAAAGGCTCTCTGGTCCAATCCGCGCAATCGAAGAGCATGCCTTGCAGCATTTATCGTCATGGCATCCCAGCAACTCTGTGGTGTGAGTTGTCCTGAAATTGTAGTCTGGACAGGGATAACTTATATCTTCAATTCATGTCAATGTACTCGCCTTCTATTTATCTTTCTTTTACAGGGATGCAAGCTAGGTCGAGATAGAGCTTGACGAGCTGCCTAGCCATAGGGTGGGTTGGCTGAATTTTGGTAGAGCAGGGCCCCAGTCAGGACTGAGTTCTACTATTGATGCTAACGTTCTACAGGCTTTGGACTGGCCAACTTCGTATACACTATCCCAGCATACCTCTTCATTGACGGTTATCACAGGAGGGGTCGTCGAATACTGCTGCTTGTGTCGCTTGGAGGAATGTTCATTACTCTGGCTTGTATCAGCCTTCTCTTCTTCATCGACGATACGGATGCTCGGCTCGGCCTTGTCTCAGCTTTTACAATTGTCATTTTTCTTCTCTTCTACGGCATCGGGGCGGGGTGCGGAAGTATTCCCTCTGGCGCTTCGCGGTAAGAGACTCCATGTTGCTCAGGACGAGCCATGTCTCCTGGTAGTGGATAAAGAGCCGCTAATATAGTATTAAGAGGTTGGCATGAGCTTCAGCGTGATGGTGAACTTTCTTGGCCTTGGGCTTTTGGTCCTTTTTGTTCCTGCTATAACGCACGCTTTCGGTGATGATGGCAACACAATCCTTCTATTTATCTTCACGTGAGATCCTCGCCCCGAAGGTTCGAGTCATGGAGTTCTGGCTAACCGGACACAGTGGTCTTGACGCTATGGCATTTATCTTGGCGTTCCTCTTTGTAAGTATAAAGCTTTGGTTACAGCATCAGCTGCCATGCTAACACTATATCACCAAGGTGCCGAGCACTGGAGGGTTCTCACTTGAAGAAATGGATAAAATCTGTATGAACCTGTACCTGTCGATATCCTTTTATCTCAAGTTGGTATCCTAACCGTTGTGCAGTCAATCAACCTTTGCGTAGTCATGCCAAGAAACATCTTGCTGCTCTACCTGGTGTTGGAAAAAGCAACGGTGAATCCCAAAATGATACTGAGCTCTAGGAAGAGGGCCATGGCTATGTCAAGTACCTAGAAAGGTGTGTTTTGTAACCTGGTAGGAGTTCAGGATAGTAAGAGGATTAGAGAATAGATGAGCAGTCTCTGGGCCCTTCACCACAAGGCCAAGAATCATAGTGATTAAATGTAGTTATGAGTATATTTATGAGTATATTTACTAGTTAAGGTTATTAATTTTTGGATTGATTCAATAGGAAGCATATCTGTTTGTATAGTGACCTTCGGGGGTGTCCCGAGCGGGCCCCTACATTTAATCACTATGATTCTTGGCCTTGTGGTAAATGGTCCAGAGAGTAGCTGAGGCTGACAAAGAATCAACCTTGCAGGTGTCTCTGCAAGGCTTTGCTGGGCTGACCAGTTTAGTTGAGCTCATCCCGCGTGACTTGGGCTTTCCCTTCTCCATCAGCTCCTGCTCCAGCTTCTTGCATGTCGAACACCCGTGGACCCTCCAGTCTGCTACCATAAGCTTGTGACCATTAACAAACCAGTCTCTTCCATGGGACATACTTTTTCTCTTGCCTTGTTCTTTTCTCTTCAGCAGCTGCTCTTACGCTCGCAGTATCACTCATCATGAATCGCCCATTCACCTTCTTCTTGGGGCAACGCCCTGTCATTACTACTTCCATAAGCCAAGACAACGTGCCTAAATCCCGAAGAGGCAGCGATACCCTGGCCTCAAACATTCGAAATGAGTTTCAGCAGGCTATGCAACAAAGGAATCATGACTCAAAGCGCTTCGTCGCACGGGACAGCCTCGAGGATATCTGGACCGAGCAGCGTCTTCGAGAATTTGCGCAGCAGAACAAATGCTTCCACGATCAAGAAATTCCTCATATAAGGGCCTGTCTTCTGCAGACGATTTCAATCTTAGTCCAAATTAGTTGGGATGGCTGGCAGGACGTCCGATCCATATTTCTCGATTGCGATGGCCACACAGATAAACGCATCCGCACTTATGACCTGCAGATGCTGGAAGACGAGACATTCCTTGGAGACGCTGCCTGGGCCGGGTTGTTTCTAGACAACAGATACATTTTCTGCCCACTGGAAATTGAGGAGGATATGAATGGGAAATTCCCTGAGGGATGGAGGCTGCCCTTCCTGGACGGGGAATAACACCGGCGCTGCAGGGTCTTCAAGTTCCCCCCGAATCGGAAGAGGGTCGTCTGGACTTGTTACCAAAGAGACAATCGCCGTTCGACACCTTAGATTCAATAAGCATACAGTCTTTACAGTAAGTACTTCCCCCTGTGCTAGTCACAAACTTGGCTGTGGTATTGATAGGTGAGATTTATAGACGAATAACTGTTTCGCCTGCAAGCGAGTATTCAATCATGGCGATTTCCTCCACGAGAAAGAGAACCTTATGTGAATGAAGGACGAATCTCGCACTTCCCCGCATTGTAATATCATGTGGCTATTTGCAGCAATCACCATTGGCAGTGAGTTCAACCTTATTTTCGAGCTCGCCAAGATGAACCTGGAGGAGGTCTTAGAAGAATCAGCCGGTAGATTTACCCTCTGTGACTTGATTGGAGAACCATGCAATCTGGCTAGTGCCCTGGCCTTTCTGCATGAGGGCATGGACCCGCCATTGGTTGTTTGCTTTATGGACCTAAAGCCGGAAAACATTCTGGTAGTCTTCGAGGGGCCAAACATGACTGGTGTTGGGACGTGGAAGATCTCTGATTTCGGAGTCTCTATGGTGTCCATGCCACCCTCACCCCCGTTAGACGCACCTGTCAAATCCTTCTCCTTTCGGGAGCCTAGGAGGGGACAGGGACCATACCAGCCACCGGAGGCAAACAATGAAGGCAAAATGGGGCCAAAAAGTGATGTCTGGTCGCTAGGCTGTATTTTGGTCCGGCTCCTCGCATATGGCATCGCCGGTCCTTCTGGAATGAAGGAGTTGGACGCTAAGCGTGGTCAGTCAGACAATGGTATTGACCGCTATCAACATATTACTTCTATCGAGCTAAGCCTCTGAGACTAAACCCTCACGTTGTGACATGGATACAAGGCTTACCAAAACACCAGAATACGCAACTACCCTTGGAGGTGTGTGAAGCCTTCTGCAACTTGCTGTTAAGCCACATGATTCAGGTTGAGAGGTCCAAACGATTGACGGCCAAGCGAGTTTACCGCGAACTCTTGGATATAAACGACAAGCTGCGCAATCATTTGACGCCGGGCTCGGGTGATTGATTTGATTCAAGGACCGCGTCTACGGATAGACCTAGCTCCGCAGGGCTCGGGCATTCTATACCGACCTCCTTTTTTTGTGGATGTTATCTATGGAGGGGATTTGGATCTGCTGAAGAATTTGCTGAAAGGGAATGTTAATCTTGAACAGAATACCGGGGGTCAGGAAGAAAGACATCCTTCAGAGAGGCCCTTGATACATGCGATTCAGAAAACGATCTGCGGATGCTGTGGAGATTCTGCTGTGCTTTCGAAAAGCCCTGGAGAGAGAGAGCCCTGACAGTCATGATAATACTCCTCTATATTGCGCTATCGACGTAGGGAACGGAAAAATAGTCGAACGGTTGCTACAGGCACGTGTCAACGTAAATGCTCCCTTGACGGGTGGCATAACGCCACTTATGAAAGCGACAATCGAAGGACACATCGAGATCGTTCGTGCTCTGCTTGACAGGGAAGCAGATTATCAGACTCACTGTAGAGATGGCTATACCTGCGTACACTACGTTGCGTGGGCTCGCCAAGCAGGAGCAGAGCTGATCGAGGAGTTTCGAAGGCGACAGATTCCTCTGAACCTCAAACGACGAGAGCACGGCTAGACGGCGCCGGGAACTCTACTGAGACGTTACAACAGGACCGAACCGGAATGGAAGAGAAAGTTCTCTGCATTGATGAATCCGCCAGTGAACATCAACCAAGAGGATGGAAATGACATGAAGCCTCTATATCCCGCAGTTGTGATGAATCTCCATGATGTCGCATCCGAACTCTTGCAGCATGATGCGAGGATTGGTTCCGAACTTCATTGGAAGCAGCCTGGCTGGTGCCCTACGGACGAGATGAAGCGATTGATGTGGCATCATCCTCAACTGCAACCCCCACGCTTGGAACGATTTCTCTGGTAGTCATGGGGTTCAGACCTTGACGGGTGGTCTTGGATGTCGTATTGAAGCAATGCGTATGTATACTTTGGGAGGCCTTGAGTGAAGATGTATCTCCTATACGGAGAAAATATACTAGGGAATCTGCCATATATGTCATTGGGTTATACTCTCTAATATACTTAGATACTTTACCTTAACGCTGAGATTCCCTGATCCTGGAACAGTCTATCCTTGGTTGACATCTCTCGTTGCATTAACATTGTTTATTTTCGCGTGCGTAGATACCCTATACCTAAATCAAGGAAGTATCTCCAAACCGTTGTTCTGACATTCGTTTCGACTGGAATTTACTGGCACATTCCGTGAGTTCCGACCTCAAGAGCCCTTCACACCTTCCAGAAATAGCTGATGCTGCATCGATTCCAAAGAAGGAAGGCTCGATCGGACCCAGGGTCTGATGCAGAGTCGTTCTTTCCCTACTCTGCAAGGGAAATGTATCGCGCCTTCCCTGGGCTTCCCACCTTTCGTACCTTCCCTATAAGCGTGACTCCAAGCTCCGACGTGGATCGGGAAGATCCGACCCAGAACTGCGCCTTACAGCTTGGGCATGAGGCGAGGCCGCTCCTTCCATATTCGTTTCCAATACCATTTCGCACCTTCGATTTATAAGCCCAAACACATGACAACTTTGTTGAGAGGCGCGGAAACAGAGTCAGAAATTCGCGGTGGGCCTGGGTTAGCCAGCGCTTGGCCACTACCGTCTTGGCTCATGCAGGCAAGCAGCTGCAAGCTGTTGTGAAACCGGGACAGCGCAAAGATTGTTTGCGCAGTGCCAATAGGATTGGAGAGCAAAATGGTTAGAGAGGGGGGAATGAATTCCGGATGCAGGCCCATTCTCGAGTGCAGGCACCAACGCAGCATGTTAACCGCCAATACTGCGTCGTACTAGTAGTATACGTCATCAGGGCAAGCAAAGCGGGGATGGGGCCAGCTCAACCCGCCTTGGTTTTCCGCCGCGACAATGAAAGAAAACAAGTTGAATTTCCCCGCTCGAGCGAAAAAGGGAGACAAATAATGATGTTGCTGGTACCCATTTCAAAGTTAACTGGACAAGGCACCCGCCTTGAAGGCATCGCGTTACTCGAGATTATCGATGGCGATCGTGTGCTACCTCAGTATCTGTCCCATTGGACAGACACGAAGCCAGACTGGAGAGTTCAGTGAAAACTATCACAGTGTTTGCTGGAACCAAATGAGCCTAAAGCGGGAGCTCTAGACCCGAAACTGAATCCCCGCAATCCAAACTTTCAAAAAGCAGCTTCGAGCGATCAGGTCCTGTGTTAGGGCTGACTCCTCATTGCGAGGCTCTCATCGCACAAAGGCAACTGGTCGTAGTTGATTGGGTTCCAGTTTGAACCGCAGTCGCCTTCGAAGCGGAGTTGTTATCTTGTCTTCTCACGGTCCCAGTGGCCACCCGAGGATGAAGGAAGGGCGCATGACGCAGCGCAACCATGGATAGGGCGGATACACCAACCACTATCAAGAAAAAAACTCAGGTGCGAAGACGCTGAATCGGATTCGAATGCTGGAACATTTGGTTTGTGGAGGGCCCTGCATTATTCCAGCAGCAGAAGGGAGGGGGACGATCGCTTCACGCACACCCTTGTCTTTGTGGACGCTGCAAGTCAACGGTTCGACGGTCCAGAGCCAGAGCTCGAGCCAGACCGAGACGCCAGTGCCTCCAGCAGTCCCTATTGGACGCGCTAGACCAGCGCAGAGTGATTGGCGTCAAGACTCACTGGGGTTTTTGACAAGGTGGTGTGGAGCGAAAACAAGCCGAGATAGTGTGCATCGCAGAAATTCAGAGAGATGACATCGAGTCTTGCAGCCTATGAAGTCGGAGGAGCGCATTTCTCACAGGATTGTCCTTGACGGAAGGATTTGTTAGTGGTGCTTGCGGCGATAGCGACGATAGCCTCAAAGTTCAGTCAGAGCGCCTAGTTCAGTGAGGTCAGTGAGTAATACAAGCGCGGAAGCCGAGCTGGGATATAGACACGAGGCAGGATACAGGCAAGGGAAAACCAGATCTGTGAGAGTGGTTTCAAGGCGTGTTTAGCCAGAAAGTGAACTTGAAGCTGCTGCCCGCTCGCTCCTCGGTCTCTTATAGTACGGGAGACTAACGGAGCCACTAACGACTAGTAGGTTACCCCTCCCCACCCCCGGCCGGACACTCACTCTTCTTATTTCCCTCCGGTCGCTCGGCCAGCTCAATGTTCAGCCCTTTTGTCGCAACTAGACTCTCAGGTTGATCTGTACATATCTCCTCTTTGTCACTTCCTTCGCCGCTCTGTATTCTGTCCCCCTTTTACTCCTGTCAATTGCTTTCTTTTCCGCTCGTCGGCGTTGCTGGACGCTGGTATCATTGTGGGGTTGGGTCTTCCACTATCTCTGGGTGGGTACGCATCGCATTCCCAAGTTCCCACTCCCATCGCTACATTCACAAGCACCTCACCTCGCGACTCTGCCATGTCCTCGAGCTTCTCCTCTCATATCATTCTTTTGCTATACTGACATTTAAGTACTGGCATAGGTTGTTTAAAATTGGAGATTCTTGTAACAGTAAGTTATCACGCTCCCGCTCCTCCACGTGCTCCACCGTACGATCACCCAATGGCACGATACTCGCAAACTAACACAAGATCTCGCCATAGACATTTTTCAAAAATTGCCGGACCTTACCGTTGAACGCGCCCGAATATGCGGTCTTGATTTCGTTCGTCAGCCGCTCTTTACCAGTCTGGATTCCCTAGAATCTGGCCATTGGCATCTATATTGACCCCGCAACATCTTGCGCAACACCAAGCATGGCAACCGTAGTGGTGCAGCAGCAGCCGCTGCGCCACACCACTCCTCCGCCTGGATCAGTGTCTCCGGCACTGAGTCTCAATAGAACTTCTTCTCCTGTCCCGAACAAGCATATACCTGTATGCCCGCCTGGTCCCTCTCCTTTGCCTTCACGAACCAGTTCGCCGGTACCTAGGGAAGATGTCACTCTTGTGGCATCCTCGCCTCTCCACCCTCCCGATGCATTTCCCAAGATCTCGGCTCTGCCCCCGTTATATTCGATAGAAATTGAGATAATGGAAGCTGCCGTCAAGCACGCTGCCTCCCAGCCATTGCCCGATCCCAATCTGGTGTTTCCTTGGCTTCATGGGTTACATCCTGAGAACCATCTCCAAGTTGGATTCTTCACAAACCGGCGGCGCTCCTTGCGGCGCACTCCGAGATGTTGGAGAGGGCTCACTATCGTCAAAGTTGGCGGCGATCTGACCACATCGAGGCTAAAGGGAGCTGTTCCACCCGATGCCATCCTTGCGCCGTCGGGACTCGAGTTCCTTGCCGTTGACCCTCGAGAAGGATTCTCTGTGCGAAACTTTCAGATTCAGACGGCAAAGTTGGCGCCCTTATCCGACATTGTTGTGTATGGCGAGGATGGCGTCACCGCGGATCAGATTCTCGATGTTGCGAGCAGAATCACGGCCGCACAGCATCATTGGAGAGTTAAGCATGATTTGGAACAGGTCATGCCTTCATACAATACCTTTGTTGTCTCTTGTTAGTTTGGCGCCTATGTTTTTGAAGCCGTGAGGAGTGACTAAACCGATCATAGGCCCTTTCTCCGATATCGAACGAAGAGCTCCTAGCTTAGTTGCGATCAATTCTAGCGGGCAACTCACAAACCAGGTCGTGGATCTCTGTAAGTTCTCTGACTTTCCCAGCGGCATTCTCTAACAGCCCCGCAGTCCAATTAGAGCGGCTTGAGATGTGTACTATGTCGCGAGCGTCTGAATTCTCGAAAAACGTATGGCAAGGGCCAACTCCCGATTATCTTTTGCAGGCCGGCGCGTCTGGTACTCCGTCGGCCGAGTCATTCGACTTAATGATTGAAGCGAATGATCTCGCACACATCCCAGGCCCTCGGGCACTTGCGAATCTCGCCAAACGTCTTGAGAATGAGTCACAACGCCTAGAATTCCCCTCCTCGGGGTCCCTCCCACCTCCAACAGGAGAGAGTAGGGATGTTGACGACTTACTCAATACTCTCCGGTGGATCTACTATCTTGCGAATCCGGAGTCACCAGCAACAGTAACTGATGCCGAAGGAGATATTCCTATGACAGATATTCCGAAAAAGGCGCGGAAGATTCTAATTCACTGTCCTGACGGATACACCGAAAGTTCTCTGTTGGTTATCGCCTACACCATGTTTTCCGAAGGTATACCCGCAAGCGAAGCCTGGCTTAGACTCCATCGGGAGAAGAAGCGAAATTTCTTTGCTTATCCATCCGATGTTTCCTACTTGAGGAATGTCCAGGAGAGGATTCTCCGGGAGTCTCCCGCGAATCCTGAAAAGCTTCGTGCGGTCGATCCACAATGGTTCAGATACTGCGACGGTTCCCTTCCGAGTCGGATTCTACCATACATGTACCTCGGAAATCTATCTCACGCCAACAATCCGGAAATGCTCTGGGAGCTCGGTATTAGACGTGTTCTTAGTATTGGTGAATCTGTCTCATGGAGCGACTCGGATATGGAGAAAATGGGCTCTGAAAATTTGATGCACATTACAAAAGTCCAGGACAACGGGATTGATCCTTTGACGCAGGAGTTTGACCGGTGTCTAGAGTTTATCCGTGCGTTTCTAGATACTGTCCCTGTTCTCATTCATGGTCTCTTGCTAAGCATTTCCGCAGGAAAAGGAAAGTCTGATGGAGCAGCTACCTTGGTTCACTGTCGAGTTGGTGTCTCGCGCTCTGCAACGATATGTATCGCGGAGGTCATGGCGACTCTCAATCTGTCTTTTCCCAGGGCATAGTAGGTGCACTCTGGTGCGCATGTTCACCTGATTTACTGACTAGGTCTAGTTGCTACGTTCGAGCGAGGAGGCTTAATGTGATCATCCAGCCCCATCTACGATTTGTGTAGGTGGATTCGATCAACATGGGATACTTTCAACCACTAATGCTTTTCATTTCAGATACGAGCTCCTTAAGTGGGAAGAGCTCCTGCAGAAGAAACGCAATCAGCCTATAAAGCGAGAGCTCGAATGGGCAACCGTGGCTCGCGAGATCGCTCTCATGAACAAACCATACTCGAGATAGCTAGATGCGAGAAGTGGCTATATAATGGCTACGCAATTGTGGGACGAAGCGGACGAAGCGGACCTTCTACTGTTACGAACGACTACATAACGAACGACTCCTGGTTTCCGAATGATACATCACTCCAAGCGAGCAAGGACCGAAACGACCGGACGACGACCTAATGAATCATTTTCTTTTTCTCTTGATTCCAATTTGACATGATTTGATTTTGGCGTTAGACGGATTCGATTTTATACGGATATGTCATCTCCTTTTTTTTTATCTTCATTCTCTTTCATGCATACGGCTCATGACAAGTACTTCTTCCTGCTTATTTTAGGAGATGTTGTTTGCCTATTATGGGTTTTTTTCTTAGTCTTCATTTTTGTTTTCGCCTAGTGAACGTTAAATTGGCTTCATTCAACTCTCTTCATCGAACGTCTTCACTCAACGCATCAAAAAGACGCTCCTTCGGTTAAAGCTTCCTTACCCTCTTCTCCAAAGCACGAAGACACACTACTCTCCCAACCCAACTCTCCGATATGCTATACATAACCTACAATCTTGGAGTTAGAGTTTACCAAGCACCAACGCCGTTCCTTTGCTCGGACACACTTGACTAGCTTAGAGATGAGCTGCAGCTGTAATCCTCGGGGTTCGGCAGCGCTGGCGCAGCTGGGAGTCTCAGTTACACATATAGTAGTACCAATTGCTCCACCTCTTTCCCCTCGCTTAGTCTGGAACTTAGTTTAGCACCGTTCTACTATCAGCCAGCCTTATCTACACGACGCTGCACCCCACATCATATTTCTGCAAAGCGGCCGTTTGGAACCGCTACGTTCGGCATACTTACTTCACACTAGGCATTCCACGCGTCGCAATTATAGGGCCAGTGTCCATCGCGTCACTGCAACCGTCCCTCCTCATTTACACGGGTTGCGCCGTTTAGATTCGCACAAAGCTGGATTCAAAAGGCATGAAGGATGAGCGTCAACCTTCCAGGTTGCCCAAAGCTAACCAGGACGAAGCGATACCAGTTGGGCCTTGCTTTCCCCAACGATCATAGAGTTTACATACCTAGGGAGTAGCGAATGTACCTGGGCCAGTTGCCTATCGTAACCGGTCACGACGCGGTGGTCATCCTATCGGCAAAAAAAAATCGTGTAGGGCGCACCGGTTTAAACCCCTTCAGCAATGTCCTGCAGCTCCTTTGCGAGTCTTAGTAGGTAAAACCGTGCCACATCAGGCGGTAGTCCACTGAAAGACTTCCCCATTCTCTCAAGATTGTGCCGTGCCGTTTCGTATGCCTGGAGATCGCGATTCCCGTAGACATCTCGGCCAGCCGCATACCCCTGAGCCAGGTTGCGAAAAAAGACGTTAACAGCTACGCTGACGTCTCCTGTTGGAGCTGCGGTATGGAGCCACAGGGGTGGAATAAAGAGGATATCGCCGCTTTTGAGAAGAGCCTCGTAAGGCGACGTATGCGGGATTGAAGCTATTGACCCGACTGGACGGTCCTGAAAAATGTTGATGTTGGAACTTGAAGCGCCAGCGGGAACGTCCAGGTGTTGTACGTCGCTTGGTGGGAAAAGGATAAGCCTTTTTTCACCTCGGATTTGGCAAAGAACGTTTGCCATTACCTGAGTTTAGCGGCGCAAGATCAGCGAACTCTTCCATAATTCCTTGTTCTTGCCATTGTGAGATAACTTACATCGTAGTGAAGCCACAACGTGACTGGACCTGATATCCGTAGTGGCGAGCTGTGCGCATTTTCAACAACATGGGACAAGGCTTCTGGAAGACAAAAATCGCCATCTAAACTAGGGAAATCCACTGCAAGAGTAGCCGGTAGTTTGGTCGGCTGATCACTTGAAAGGCTTCGGAGATACTGTCGGCCACCAGCATGTACCTCATTCATGAAAGTTCCGAAATCTTTAGTTTTGTAGGTGAAATTTTTGATTTGAAAGCTCATATTTTCTGATTGAGCTTCGTGCACGACGACCTATCGATGGGTTTATTAGTCGACATACAACGAACTCCAGTCGGAGAGTAAGTAAATCCATACCTTGCGGTCAGCTCCAACTGCATTGATGAGATAATCTTTAGTCCAGAGCTCAGTACAGCGCCCAATATCGGATCCCTCGATGATTACCGGTTGGCTCTCGACCAGCACTTGCTGGAACTGAGCAGCACTCTGCACTCGCATGCGGGCGATCGAAGTCAACCCGGCCGCGGACGTGCAATGCTTTTCGGTGTGTTTTTCTGGCTTCTTATCTGCTGCTTTCGGGGGCTGCGCGCTTTCACGAACCAGCCTCCAGCCATTCTCCGCAGATGAGTCTGCACTTGTGAGAAGCCAGGTACCCTCTGACCAGATTGCCCCGAAGGGGAAACAAACGGCGCCACCGCCGAGCAGAAGAACCTCATTGTGACTAGTGGTAGTAGAAGTATGCCCTACTAGTAGAGGACGCAAGCCGCTGAAGGTAGAGCTCAGCCCTATTGTTGATAAAACTGGTGCATCTATCAGAGAATCGCTCTCGATGGATCTAAGCAGTATTTCCTTGTCGAGTAGAAGGATTTGGTAATTGATTGGCAGAACACGCCGGGGAATGATGCCCCCAGCAACCACTAGGCCCCAAGAAGTGGAATCAATTGTCGCTCCAAATCGCGTGACATACTCAAGACTGGTGGAGGCATTCATGGCTTCAGTTTGGTTTCCGAGGTGCAAGTAAAAAGATCCGTCCGGTCGTTGCCGTAACTTCCAGGTCCAAAAATCTTCCAAAATAGTACCATCAACCCCAATACCACCAGTGAGGATGCCGCAGGTGCCGTTGATATTTCCTAGAATGGCTCCAAACCGGGCTTTAGGTTTTGCGATTTGCTGCTCAGTCTCGAGGGTTTGCCACCCTTCATTGTCAAACCATAGCAGCCACGTATCCAGAATGGTCCCATCACTGCTCTTGCCACCGTAAACCATCACGCCATTCAAGCCGGTTGTGACTTTTGTCGCACTGTGCCGGAACAGAGGGGTTGGAAGAGGAGAGCTCACCCGCCAAACATTATCCTTGCGAATCCAGCAATCCTGGAGCGCAGCGGCGGGTGAAGTTCGTCCCCCAACAAGCAAGCAATCGCCATTATCATTGAGGCATGTAATGCTATGGCACATGCGGGCCAGGACATCGCGAGGAGGCACCGTGAGTTGGGCTCCTGTAGGATCTTTCGTTTTTGTGTACATGTCGGTATCCACGAGCCGTGTCTGTCGACCCAGTCCTGAGTGGTACCCAAGAATATTGCTATTTCCAGGCAATATAGCGCCATATCTTCGTTGGCCTGTAGGGGGGTTGCAGTTCGGGGTGACCTTGAATTGGCCTGAGATGTCCGTCAAATGGCCCGCTCTAGCCGCCGTGTACCCTGTCGACCCCTGTTGCATAGAAGCATGTAAGAGAAAATAGTGCCCCGAGAATAATGCGAGCTCTTCCCATTCATCGAATGGTTCAATGGCATCTAATGACGTTCTAAGAGCTCTGCTCACAAAAGCATCATCTGACCATAGGTCCCATAGACTGCGCGCATGCGCATATTTCCACCCAGCATCGGTGAACCTCCGCTCTTGGTCAACCAGGGACGGATAGTCATGGACTGAGTGGAGAGGAGCGCCAAGTTTGCTGTAGTGCTTGAGCACGGTCGATGCAAGGGGGTGGTCAGGGCCATCAGGGAGGAACTGTTCCAAGATAATAAACTCAGAGGCTATCAAAAACGGTTAGCTGCCTGTCAGATCCCACATCTAGCAAGTATAGCGTTTTCCGAACCATTATTGCTCAGCTTGGACGCCCAGTTGATCACGGCACTGGCTTTTTTCACGTCCATATAGGAGAGAGAAACTTCCGCGACGAAAAGGATGGCACATTCGGCTGGCAGTACTTGGGTTCTAAGAACATGATCAAGCTTCTCCAGGTTCCCCAAATCGCACCCAATGGCAATATAATCTCTGCTGCGAACTTGTATAGCACTTTCGTCCGTGCCGAACTCTACATTCCCGCCCAGAAGCTGCGTAATGCTTTCTGTCTTCTCGATAACTATCCGCTTGTTGACCATCAGTTTTTCATAGTCTATATCCACAAACGTCGTGTTGGATGGGCGGTCGTTGCTGAGCAGGCTAAACGGGAGAGGATCACTTCGAGAAAGTAACTCAGTATGCTGTCTGGATACTAGTGCTGCGCCTCGCCGGGTGCTCTCGTCTACGACTCACAATCCGCAGCCTAAGTTAAGGATAAACTTAGGTATGTCTGACGGTTCTCGCAGGAACCGGCGCACAGACTCCGCTATAGCGCGCATCCTAAGATAATATTCCCGGTTGATGAGTGGTGCTCTTCTCTGGGGCTTTTTCACAAACGGTCGAAAGAAATTTTGTTCTTCTGGATGATATAGCACCTGGACGCTTCGCTTGGATGCTATGCTGCTAGTATTTGTCTGGCTTAAAGTGAGCTTCTGAGCCATTTCAGGAAGCTTCACTTACCTCCATAACCGAGTGGGCGGCGCGTTCCTCCTTTGAAGGCAAAGTTGCCTTGGTAGGGTGTTTTGAAACAGGCATATTGATGAGCTGCTACCGATTGGTGGGGATGGAGATGGGTTATGAACAGAAAAGAGAGCAATTGGGCCTAGAGGTGGCCCGAGCGTCATGGGATCCTTTACCGCGTTTAGCGCCGCGGCAAAAAGAGGCACCGATCTGATCCCCGGACCCTCCGCAGCCACTCGATCTTGTTCTTGTCCATCATCTTCAGTACATCTCTGTTCGATCAAGTCTGCATGACACGCAGTTACAAACCAGCGGGTGTGCAAACAAACCTGCCAGTCTAAGATTGACAGTGGAGGCGTGGACCGTTCCTGACAAACCAGAGTCTTTGATGGGCGCAGCCGAACCCCTCCACCCTATGACATTATCTGGATGAGAGACTTCGGATCTACAGGCCTCCGAGTTCTCTTTGTCGCTTTTCATTTCGCGTCCTTTCTTTATATAATTACTACCCAATACGTCTTCAAGAGAAAACAACCTTCTGTAGAGTTCGACTAGAAGCAACCCGTGCCTGGAGCGCTGCCGAATCACCGTCAAAATGAACTTTGTGACGTTTAATCAGGACTATAGCTACCTGGCTGTAGGTAAGGTGTTACCCTTCATTTTCTTGCCGTGGAACAGTTCTTAACAATCACTAGCGACATCGAAGGGTTTCCGCATTTTTACAACTGACCCCTTCGCCAAAAGCTATGAGACTAAAGAGGGGAACATCGCCATCATTGAGATGCTCTTTTCGACCTCGTTAGTAGCGCTGATACTGTCGCCACGCCGTCTTCAGATCACCAATACCAAGGTTCGTAGGCTGTTTTCTAGCATGCTGTAGCTGTGTCTCGATAGCGAGCTCAATAGATTAACCGATGAACTACAGCGTCAATCCACGATATGCGAGTTGACTTTCCCAACCACCGTTCTGGCTGTCAAGTTGAACCGAAAGCGACTTGTCATTGTTCTGGAGGACCAGATTTACCTCTATGACATTCAAACCATGAAGTTGTTGTATACCATCGAGACCTCGCCGAACCCCAATGGTAAGCTCCTCAGCCCCCAGTCTACGCCCAGCTGACCCTTCTTAGCGATAAGTGCCCTGTCTCCGTCTTCTGACAACTGCTACCTGGCATATCCGCTTCCACAGAAGGCGTCGCCTTCTTCTTTCCCACCTCCTGCTCACGCTCCACCTGGAAGCACGCATGTCTCCCCAACGAGCGGCGAGGTCCTTATTTTCGACACCTTGAAGCTCGAAGCCATCAACGTCATCGAAGCACATCGCTCGCCTTTGGCGTGCATTACCCTCAACAGCGATGGCACCCTGATAGCCACTGCCTCTGACAAGGGAACAATCATTCGAGTCTTTTCCGTACCAGATGGCCACAAACTTTATCAGTTCCGACGAGGCTCAATACCGTCGAGGATCTTCAGCATGTCTTTCAACACCACATCCACTCTACTCTGTGTCTCATCGTCCACCGAAACCATTCACCTGTTCAAACTTTCTAGCCAATCCCAGTCGCAGGACGGTTCAGCCGCGCCTTCTTCGCCGCCAGGACGTCGGCGAAGCTTCAGCTCGCTCAGTCAATCAGCAGACGGAGATGGTGGCGACGAAGATCCTGCCTCCTCCGATCTTTCATCCAGAAAACACAACGGAACTTTGATGGGGATTCTCCGGCGCACTTCACAAAACGTTGGCGGTGCCTTTGCCGCCAAGGTTGGCGGGTACCTCCCAAAAGGTGTCAGCGAGATGTGGGAGCCAGCACGCGATTTTGCCTGGATAAAAATTCCCAAATCCAACCAGGGCGGAGGACCCAACGCGAACCCCGGGCCGTTGAGGAGCGTCGTGGCCATGAGCAGCAACACGCCCCAAGTAATGGTCGTCACCAGCGACGGCAACTTCTACGTTTTTAGCATTGATCTTTCCAAAGGCGGGGAAGGGACATTAACCAAGCAATACTCGTGAGTTGCTTCAACTCGATTCTTGATCAAGCAATCAAACAGCAATGCTGACTATGCTCCAGGGTCCTTGACTCAAATGAAAGGTTAGGTCACTCGGCGGCTGACTTCTAATTTGTTTGACTGTTGTATGTTCGGATACCACCGCACTGTTGATATGACTTGGCTCGACTTGACCTTCGTTCAAACTCCTCTTTCATCATCCTTATCACCGCGGTTCGCTCTATGTATTTTTGAAAGCGATCTTCACTGTTCCTTATCTACTCTGGCATATTCACTTTGGCGTTAGCAGTTGCGGTGGCTATATTTATTGACAGGTTCTGTTCGTGTGTACTCTCAACAATTCTCCTATTGATAATTATATCTTGCAAGATTTGCAACGACAATCACCATCATGACCATCTAGATCTAACCTGTCATAACCTAGGTAAATGCAGCATACATCATATACAGTACCTCAACCTCGTTATGGAACGTAGTGTGCATGTTTGGATCGAAAATCAACACCGCTCAAAGACCCGATACAACCCCTTCAGATCCGCTACTTCAACAACACCCTTCAACAACCCCGTCGTAGCAACAAGCCGAGCCCGCAAAGCAGGGAAAACCACATGTTCCAGCATGCGCACCATTTGCGCCCGTCGGGTCCGGATATACTCGACCTCCACATCTTCGGCATCCTGAATGTCGCCCTGGCCTTCGCCTTCCTGGACTTGCGACTTCACATTCTGCAGCGACGACACCTGCCTCGGCAGCTTCTCCGGCGCGTAAAACGCAGCGAGTTCGCGCAAAAACGTCCGGAAGCATTCTTGCTCGTCCTCCCAGTTGACGTACGGACCCAAGCGCATGAGGAACCGGGGTAGTTTGCCGAGACTCGGTAGATAGCCTTTTAGGAGGAGAGGGATTGTGAGTAGGTGTCCGTCGTCTGATATCTCGATGGAAAAGTACTCGCTGAGCATTTCTCGCCTATCTATCAAGGTTTGTGCGACTGTTTCGGGGGCTTTGGTGAAGACTTCGCGCTCCTCTTCGGCGGCTGCCGTGTTAATGGTTTGTGGTTGCATGTTCTCAACTGCGGCATCAGCTGCTATACGGATGATATCGACGAGCTTAGGCGCCGGATCGAGTTTAATAGTGCCAAAGTTCCCGAAATCGGTAAGACCGATCTGGTAGAAGAATTCGTTGCAGAACATGCCGTAATCTATCAGGTAGAGTTTGACGCCGGACTGGATGGCCGCTACGCGGCGTTGTTCGTCGACGAGCCCGACGTAGGTGTGACCAGCGATTGTCTCGGTGAGAGTGTTGTGCATTGAGTTACGGACGGTCGCGCGGAGGGCTTTTACAGATGTGAGTGTGATCTTGAGGGGTTCGCGGTCTGTGGCTTCGTATTGGAAGCCTTCGTCGAGGACGATTTGAGTGGCTGTGGCCTGCGCTGGTCCGTCGGCGTCCGTGGTTGTTATGGATGTGCGGTGCATGGTTGGAGTCAGCATTGAGGTTATTTTGCGGACGCGTGAGTCGGTTCGGACGAGGTTGTTCTCGTAGGGCTTTTTGGATGTTGCTGGGGTTTTAGGGGCAGAGGGGCCGGCCTCTGTATCTCTGTTTGGAGGAGCCAGGGTTTGAACGGACGGGAGGAGGGTCTGAGTTAGAAATGTTCGGCTAGAGTCGACTAGAGCGAGCTTGGATCTGATTTCGTCGCAAATTATCTCAATGATTTCGTCCTCATTGAGGAAGTTGACCTCCCGTTTCGTGGGATGGACGTTCACATCGAGCCGGTGGGGCTCGATTTCAATATCGAGATAGACAAATGGATGACCACCTTTGGGTAGGAAGGTAGAATACGTCTGTTCGACAGCGCGCTTGATCGCTGTAGACTCCACCGACCGGTGGTTGATGAAGAGAAGAATGGTCGTTCGTCTGACGTGATAATTTGCGTTGGTCGCGAGACCGGATGACGAGAACCCTAGCTTATCGTCCTTGACACTGAACTCGACGAGCTCGTTGGCGACTGCACTGCCGTGAATCTGGCGAATCCTATCCAGCCTGTTTGAAGCTGCTGTCGTTGAAATGCTGACGCCTGCATCACCATGTTTACGGCATGAGAAGGCAACTCCAGAACAATGTACTGCGTACCGGCCAACAACATCTAGGACCTTTGCGTATTCCTCGCTCGCAGATCGAAACGCCCTGCGCCTCGTTGGGACATTGTAGAACAAGTCCTCAACCTGCCCAGGTGAGCTGATATCCCAGAATGTGGTTTGATTTCCTTACTGTAATCTGTGTACCACCACGTCCCGCTGTAGCTTTGGGTTCAGCGCTTTGACCCGGCTTCGGAGGGACAAGTTTCCCATCACTGTAATGCGCTCTCCATGCGCAGCTCGAGTCGGCCGTCTTCGTGGTTACGGTAAGGTGAGCAATGTGGCTTATACTAGCCAGGGCTTCACCACGAAACCCATAGGTAGCTATAGATGTGAGATCCTCGAATTCCTTTAGTTTCGAGGTTGTGAATCTTTCACAAAGAATAGGAAGATCCTCTCGCTGCCAGATGTTTTAGTAGGAGGACTTTAGTCTCAGATACTTGACTTACTTCAATTCCGTGACCGTTATCAGTGATCTGAAGCAGTTTAAGACCACCCTCTTTGACAAGAATCTCAAGTGACGTAGCGCCAGCATCCACCGCATTCTCTATAAGCTCCTTTAGCGCATGCATGGGAGCCACTATAATCTCTCCGGCTGCAATTTTGTTCACGACATCAGGATCCAGGGCCTATTTACGATGTTAGTCATACAACGCACGGAATCTGTTGATTTGACTCACTCTGATTTTCCTTGGCTTACAAGAGGCCTCAGATTCCTCTATGGGCCTTTTGGTGCCTCGAGGCTCCATCATATCGACATCCATTTCGGCTCCGTGGCCGCCAGAGCAACCTCAGCTTTTTATCTCCTACAAGCTATCTGTTCATGTATGCCGCATAATAGTCACCATAGTAAGCATGAAGTTCGTCCTTGGTTAAAAAGATAACTCAGACATTAAGTCCAAGGCGACCGCGAGCTCGACAGAATGCTCCGAAGATAAAGCGGCGAGACAATTCGGAAAATTACCATGCCGAATCTCCGAGCTGTACTCCGGAGTACTTTGAACAAAATAAGCCCCAGAAGACTAACCTCGATGCTCTCGTGATCAGGGCCACATCCTACGATTAGCAACGTATAATGCCGTTTGAAATTCAATACTCGAGGATTTGGCCGCCGCGCTTCATTCAGCGGCCCAGTCCTGAAGACTTGGGAACTAGCGTGATCGGAGCGTTAATAGGCCGGATTCAAAAGGGTATGGATGCTCATACTCGGTCAAAATTGAGATCGCGTCCCGGTATTTTCGGCTTTAGATATGCCTCCATATTTGACCTTCATTCGTAGAAGTTGTTGTTGTCATTGTTGTGGTCTGGACTGCAAGACGAGCGGCTCACTATAAGAGTGGGCCTGCGGTGCCCAGGTGGAGACTGCGATGAGGCCGCCCGCCGTGGCGCCGAAAGCGTCTCCTCGGCATCAATCACCCCCATCGCTCCCCAACCTTCAATCTCCGGATATCCTCATAACAAATGCTGTTCGGCAGTTCTCAGCTCCCTGGGGGCTATAACGCTTATGTATGAATTATGTCGCCCTCCAAGAGGCCCCTTCTAGCCGATGAAGAGCTTGGAAAGAAAGATGACGACCACAGGCCGACGACATCATTAGAGCAGCAATGGCAACCAAAGTCATGGAAGCGTCCGCGGCGCCGGCGCATATTCCTTGCCCTTTTTATGCTGTACATGGTCTATCTATTTTTCAAAAACATGCCAACGGACCTTCCGTCTGCAAGAGAGCGCATGAAATCCAGATTACCTCCGTCACAACATGTTCTGCCTGGGGAAGCTCCTCCACCTGGAATGGCTTCAACCCACCCTCCTCCGAGGGGCGAGTCCGGCCTTGAGAATAAGGACGAATACTATTACGAGGGACAGATACAGTTTTACGAGCTGGGAAAGTCATTGAAGCTATTTCAACCATCTGCCCGCCCGACTACATCCAACAGTGTAATTTTCGCGGCTTCGAGTTTGGGGAGTGTTTCGGACCTTTTACCGCTTGCGTGTCGCATGGTGGAGGTTAAACTGAACAAAGTGCACTTTTTGCTGATGGGAAGGGATGATATTTCGATCGAGGACATTCAAAGGGTTAATGGCCTGGCGCATACACGCTGTCCGATCCACTGGCATGGTGAGTTTCACCAGATTACGTTTGGGAAACAGTTTAACCAACCATAGCATGTATCATCTAGATGCTCGCGTCGATTATGCCCGATGGTCCACCGATGCTCGTATGGAGGAGGCTGTGGCCGCCGTTCTGCCGTATATTCAGACATATCTCAAGCCACAAGTTCTCGTTACACAAGGAGATTCCTGGGAAGACTCGTACTTCTTGAGGGGACTTCAAAAAGCACGCAATCTTGGGGTACCACACATCAAACTCACTCATGCTGCAAGGGACCTAATGTGGCTAGCTTCTCTTGACAGTACTGCTCTTCGATGTAAGTCTCTCAGCACTATCCACAGTACTCTATATGCTGATCATGGCAAATCCAGCTTGGAATGATGTCCACGTCGAGTTTCTTATTCAGGCTCCGCGTAATTCTGCAGGATCGATTATCAAATTGATTCGGTCCTTAGAGCGTGCGGACTTCCTTGGATGTAGCCCGAGCCTAACTATTGAGCTTCCGTCTCAAGTAGATTCGGGACTCTTACACTTTCTTGAGAAACTCAAATGGCTTTCTGACACGCCTGGCAAGTTGACTCTTCGCCGACGGATTGGCCTGCACGAGATGACCCCTCATGAGGCAGCTTTACGCGCCGTTGAAGCCTTCTATCCGAGAAACCCTTTGCTATCGCATGTCCTTGTACTCTCGCCGGACATGGAGCTAGCCCCATGTTTTTTCCACTACTTGATGTATATCATCCTAAGCTACCGACATTCGACTCGCTCTCAGACGATACATTCAGACCTCTTTGGGGTCTCACTCGAGCTCCCATCGTTACAGCTTACCAATGATGAGCCTTTCGAGCAGCTCAATCTTGACAAGACTCAGTTTGCTAAGCAGAATATCCTAGGCTCACTGCCCCTATTCTTATGGCAGGCCCCGAATAGCAATGCCGCCCTATATTTCGGTGACAAATGGGCGGAGCTGCATTCGTTCCTTTCTCAGCGACTTGCAGCGAAAGATACAGCTGGAAAACCTCCAAAGCAGGAAAAGGTTATCTCAAGAAGATATCCTGCCTTCCTAGAGTTCATGCACGAGCTGCTCCGTGCCCGAGGATATTATCTACTCTACCCGGCGTTTCCCGTTAATGGACGACTTTCTATTGCAAAATTCCACGATGACCTATTCCAGATTCCTGAGGAATTTGCGAAGGATATCTCCGAGTCTCTCTCGAACGGCCGTCAGGTATTCGCGTCCTCCGAGAGATCCCTCAGCGAAGCTTCAACCCTGATGCCGCTTCTGGATACATTCTCGTTGGAGCCGCCTGATATCAGTCATTTACCGCTGCTCTCGGACCGAGGCAAAGAGATATCAGGGTCTGACTTCGCTCACGATACGGAGAACTATCTGAGAGGATTCCGAGTACGTTATGGAGGTTGTCCTGAGGACTTGCTTGCGGATAATATGAGCGCAGAGGAACTATTCTGCAAAGAATAATCCTGATGGAAGGCTACTATATATGAAAAACTAACGCCATACTTTTTTACTTACTATATACGAATCTATACCCATTGTTGAACGTACACTATGCTACATTCACGTGACCTTTATATACCACGTGACGTCAGTAAAGGTGCTTGGCAAGTGGGCTTACATAAGACACCGGAAGCTCCACTGGCGCAACGCCCAAGCGGCGACGAGAGGCAGAGCTCTCTGTTTCCATCAACAAGCTTATGAATCATTCCCTACGCGATCACTGACTGTGCAGAGGCTCTTCTTTCTACGTATCTCTGGGCCGCCTACTTTTATCCTCGTCTTTCCTACCAACTACTCTTTCCGTCACAGACCACACATCTTCGTCACCAGATAGCCGTCGAACATGGCGAAGGAAGGCGAGCGGTCAGCTCCGGCCGACAAGGGCAAGGGAAAGGTTGATGATATCAAGGACCTGGCTGGAGGAAAGAAGGATAAGCCTGAAGAGAAAACACAAGCCAGTGGCAAACAGAAGGATGACGAGCCGCAGGAAGGTACGCAGCTACTGTGTTCTCTTGACACACGTCACCCTCGGCCTCTCGACCGTTCACTAACCACATTGATTGCACAGAGGAGCTTAGTGAGGAGGATCAACAACTGAAGAGTGAACTAGAAATGCTTGTGGAGCGGTTAAAGGTATGGCTATTGCAGCCCGCTGTGTTGTTCTTGACTCCGCTGACGCCAGCCTGTATCCAACCTAGGAACCGGATACTTCGCTGTACGGACCTGCTCTAGATGCTATTAAAAACTTCATCAAAACTTCCACATCCTCTATGACAGCAGTCCCTAAACCTCTCAAGTTCCTACGACCACACTATGATGATCTCGCGGCTCTTTATGATAAGTGGTCGGACGGTGCAGTCAAGGTGGGTTGCGTCTGATTAGATCTACAATCCGGAAGCTGACAATAACTTTGCTGTAGGACTCCTTGGCCGATATGCTGTCTGTTCTGGGAATGACCTACGGAGATGAAGAGAAATTCGAAACCCTAAAGTACCGTCTTCTCACCAAGTCCGAAGACCTCGGTTCCTGGGGCCACGAATATGTCAGACATTTGGCGCTTGAAATTGGCCAGGAGTACCAGAACAGGTTGAACGCGGAGAAGGAAGTGAAGGACTTGATTGATCTCGCTTTATCCCTTGTTCCGTATTTCCTGGGCCACAACGCAGAAGCTGATGCTGTTGACCTCTTGAGTGAGCTTGAGATTATTGAGGAGATCTCTCGCTTTGTGGACGAAAACACATACTCGAGAGTTTGTCTGTACATGGTCAGCATGGTTAACCTGCTCACATATCCTGAAGAAAAAAAAAAACAAAAAACGGCAAACGAGATCTACGTTCGCTACAAAGAACTTACCAAGGCCATTGTGCTCGCCATCCGGCTGAACGACGTTGACCTTATTAAGAGCGATTTGAACGCGACATCCGATCAGTCCATCAAGAAGCAGATGGCCTTTCTAGTTTCCAGGCAACAAATCTGGCTGGACAACCTAGGCGAAGATGAGGAGGATCAGACTTTTATGGAATGCTTGAACAACACCTCGATTCCCAAGCATTTCAAGTCTCTTGGTAAAGAACTCAACATTCTTGATCCGATTATGCCCGAGGATATCTACAAAACACACCTTGAGAGCAGCCGAGGGGCGGGTCTCACGAATGTGGACTCGGCTAGACACAATCTTGCGAGCGCCTTCGTCAACTCGTTTGCGAACGCTGGATTTGGCAACGATAACATGATGATTGTTGAGGGTGATAAGGGGCCTTGGGTTTGGAAGACAAAGGACGATGGTATGCTGTCGACAACGGCCTCGATGGGCATGCTCTTACACCGGGATGTCGAAATTGGATTGGACAAGATCGACAAGTTCACATACGCCACGGAGGATCAGATTAAGGCTGGTGCTCTTCTATCTATCGGTATTCTGAACTCAGGTGTGCGAATTGACTCTGAGCCGGCCCTAGCTCTTCTGAGCGATTCGGAGACGCTCGGGACGAAGAACGTCCCGATGAGGGTCGCAGCAATTATGGGTCTTGGTCTAGCATACGCTGGTTCAAACAAGGAGGAGCTTCTTGAAGTTCTGCTACCTATTGTGGAGGATGGTTCTCTTGATATGCAGCTCTCTGCCATGGCTGCCGTCTCACTCGGTCTCATCTTTGTTGGTTCTTCAAATCATCAGGTTAGTGAAGCTATCGCAACGACTCTCATGGATGAGGAACGGCAGAAGCAGCTCAAGGACAAGTGGACCCGCTTCATGGCCCTTGGCCTTGCGCTTCTGTACTTTGGCCGCCAGGAGGAAGTGGACGTTATTCTTGATATTCTAAAGGCGGTTGATCACCCTATGGCGAAGCCCACATCCGTCCTCGCTTCTGTATGTGCTTGGGCAGGCACTGGAACTGTCCTTAAGCTGCAGGAGCTTCTTCACATCTGTAACGACGTCATTGAGGAAAGTGATGAGAAGAAGGGCGACGAGCTTGTCCAATCATATGCTGTATTGGGTCTGTCTCTGATCGCGATGGGAGAGGACGTCGGGCAAGATATGATTCTCAGGCAATTCGGCCACCTGATGCATTACGGCGCTAGCAACATTCGGAAGGCCGTCCCTCTCGCGATGGGTCTGATCAGTCCTAGCAACCCCCAGATGAAGGTGTACGATACACTGTCAAGATACAGCCACGACAACGATAATGACGTTGCTATCAACGCCATCTTCGCCATGGGGCTTTGTGGTGCCGGAACGAAGAACTCCCGTATAGCACAGCTCTTGAGGCAGCTGGCGAGCTACTATCACCGTGACCAAAACTCCCTCTTCATGGTGCGAATTGCTCAGGGTCTTCTGCACATGGGCAAGGGCACAATGACGCTGAATCCGTTCCACACCGATCGCCAAGTACTGAGCCGAGTTTCCGCCGCAGGTCTGCTCACAGTACTCGTGTCTTTGATTGACGCGAAACAATTCATCCTCGCCGAACACCATTACCTCCTTTACTTTCTCATCACTGCCATGTACCCTCGTTTCCTTGTTACGCTTGACGAGGACCTCCAGCCTCTTCCAGTCAACGTCCGTGTGGGACAGGCTGTTGACGTCGTTGGACAGGCCGGACGTCCTAAGACTATCACCGGCTGGCAGACGCAGAGTACTCCCGTCCTTCTCTCTCACGGTGAGCGAGCAGAACTGGAGGATGAGCAATATATTCCTCTCAGCAGCACCTTGGAGGGCTTGGTTATCTTGCGTAAGGTACGTTGTATTCCGACTTCCTAATTTTGACTGGAACTCCTACTAACCACTTCATAGAACCCTGACTGGGAGGAGAGCTCGACTTGAAGCAAGGATCATCCTTTCTGAATGGCATATTTGAGATAGATTCAGCGCGATCCTAGGCGCCCGTATACATTTTAACTCTTGTGTATTCAGAAAAGTCTGAAAGTATAGTAACTAAAGATTTCTAATGAACCTCGCAAGTTTAGGCTCAGTAGATCATCAACTTGACTTTTCCAGTAGCTACGTAAATGGACGCTGCTGAGCGGCGATAAGCCTGGAGAAGTCCTAAAATGGTATGTAGGGCATAGGGCACGTGAGATAAGAAATCCTAAATTTTGCGGCATCATTGAGCCCGACATCTTCGAGAAAGAGGCCGCAACTGCAGAAAGCGCTCATCGTCCAGTGATATTTTGTGTCCTTGCTAGCACTGAAAATGAAGCTCGACCCAAAAGCAATTCGCTACCTTACATCGGAGGATTTCCGTGTTCTCTCAGCAGTATGGCTTCATCTCCCCCCCCCCGCATTGTATTGGCTGTATCGCATCCATCTAACAGAAGCGCCCACTAGGTCGAGCAAGGAAGCAGGAACCATGAAGTTGTCCCAACTCCTCTAATCGCGCAAATTTCTGGCCTTCGCGGTGGGAGCGGAGTCAACCGGTCTATCTCGAACCTCGCAAAGACCAACCTTATCGCCAAGGTGAAGAATGCAAAGTGTATGCCCCCCGCTCTTTTATCCTTTGTCGCAACCGAAGTCTGATGCGTGCGCGCGCTGCGTAGATGATGGATATCGACTTACCTACGGTGGATTGGACTACTTGGCGCTCAACGCTCACCAGAAGCAAAAGTGCATCTACTCTGTCGGAAATCAGATTGGTGTCGGAAAGGAATCAGATATCATAGTCGTTGCCAACGATAAGGGAACACAACGGATTCTTAAAATTCACCGACTAGGCCGTATCTCGTTCCGAACCGTCAAGACGAACCGAGACTACTTGCGCAACCGAAGCACAGGCTCATGGATGTACATGTCGCGGTTGGCGGCGATGAAGGAATTCGCGTTCATGAAGGCGCTACGAGAGAACGGTTTTTCGGTGCCCGAACCGATTGCGCAGAACAGACACACCATTGTTATGAGCTTGATCGATGCGTTCCCGCTCCGGCAGATCTCAAATGTTCCGAACCCGGCGCTCTTATACTCCGAACTCATGGATATTATCATGCAATTGGCTCGATATGGATTAATCCACGGAGATTTCAACGAGTTCAATATTCTCATCAAAGAAGAGGAGGATCCAGAGGCGAAAGGAAAGGGACGCGAGGGCGACGAGGACGACGAGAACCTCAAGCTAACCCCGGTAATCATCGATTTTCCACAGATGGTGTCGATTGATCATGCAAATGCGGAGATGTATTTCGACCGCGATGTCAACTGCATCAAGCGCTATTTCCAGCGGAAATTCCACTTTGTCAGTGATGTTCCGGGACCTTTCTTTGCTGACGCCAAGAAGCAGCTGCGCCAGAATGCTGCGAAGAGACTCGATGTTGAAGTCGAAGCGTCCGGATTCTCGAGGAAGATGGCGCGTGATCTTGAGAACTATATGAAGGAAGTCGGTGTCGATGGTGATAATGGGGCTTCAAATGAGGACGGCTCTGACAGTGATGAAGAGGAGGAAGAGGACTCGCAAGCGTCGGGGTCAGAAGAAGAAGAAACAGCAGACCTGAGGGATTCAAAAACAGATACGCTTGATGAGAGTTCCCAAAGACTGAAGGAATTGCATGTTTCATGAACTCCCAAAGTTTTGAGCGGCGTGTGACCTGCGTAGTACAAAACCATAATTCTAATGACCGTCATGAGCGAAAAAATATAGAATTTTATTACAGTTACCATATCTTTTCTTCTCGTACATCACTTGTAATGGACCCAGTTGCATGGCCGGTTTATAGGAAATCAGTTACGGCACCGGACGCGGCCAACCACGCAATTCCAATTTCCGCTGCAAAAGTTCCGTCCAAAAGAACCACTGAACCCAGCGACAACTCCCAATCCACCGCACCACCCTCCCATCTCTCTTCTCTGCAATTCGGAAAACGAAGAGAAGATTTTAAAATGGTCCGCGCCAGAATTCCCAAGAAGCCCCGCGGCTGGGTGAGCCCATCCGCACCTCTTTCCATGCGCAAGCAGGTATACCTGTAAGTGAATTTTGTCCAGTCTCACGCCCTCCTCTCCCACTTCAACTCGTCAAATAACTGATCTGAACGGTCTACAGTCCCAATTTCACAATCGCCCTCATTCGTACCCCCTTCCTTCCCCCGCGCTTTGCCTCCTTCTACGTCCCCTTGAACTTCAACAAACTCGATCTTCGCGACTACCTGCAACGGCTATATGGGGTTGGTGTCCTGAGGATCCGTAGCTACGTCGAGCAAATGAAGGTCACCCGGATGAAGCGCAATGGAAATGGGTATGGTCAGCTTCGACGGCCGCAATCGAAGAAGAGGATGACGGTTGAGATGAAGGAGCCGTTTGTTTGGCCCGAGGCTCCGGAGGATATGGCGCCGTGAGTTTTACCTTTTTCATCCTTTTTTTCCTGCCGAGGCTTCGTGGTGGGATCTTTATTGGCAGGTTCACACATTTTCGGTTATCCATACGCTAACATCTCGATTGCGAATCACAGATGGGAGAAGGATCAGTTCTTCAAAGCCGCAGAATACCAAGACAACATCCAGAAGTCACAGCAATTCGAAAACAAAACAAAGCCCAATGAAGCAGAGCGTGAGGCCTTCGAGGCAGAAGCAAAGAAGCTGCTGGACGGCTCGAAACCGTGGAGGCCGACTTGGCAGGCTCTGGGGCTGAATTATAATCGCTCGGCTGTGGGGGATGCGAAGGACATTTTCCCGGGCAATGGGCGATCATAGTTGGGACCTTTGGTGATGGTGGTGACTTTCTAGTGTCCGACGGTACCTCTAATTGGGTTGGGTTTGGTTCTTTTTCTGGTTCTGTATTAACTGCTATGTCATGTCTGTATTATATATCTTAGGACTCTAAATGTAGATATTTTTCTGACTCTAGGTTGGCTATGTGCTTGTAGGAAAAGGTTAACAGTACACGGTATTCGCGATAAGATATGTCCGAACTTCTTATATTGAGGTATAACTGATATGACATTGCAGTATTAACGATACTATATGCTATGATGAGAATAGTCAACCAAGACAAGACGGTGTATAGACAAAAGCGATAGGCTAATCAGACAACGGGAATCAAGCTAGAGAGGTTATGGAGAACACAAAGCTACAGACGGCTTTCAACGAAGTTCATGTGGTGTTGGCCAGGCCAGTGAGCATCCGGCCACACGTGTCGGATGGCTTCCCAAATGTGCCTATAACCATGTTAGTGAGATGTTGATATAGATTAGAAAGCAACGGGTAAACATACTTAACATATATAATCTCAAGGCCATTGCTGACTTCGTCCGGGACATCCTTGACCTCCTTCCTGTTCTGGTGTGGCAAGAGGACGGTCGTGACTCCGGCTCGCAAAGCGCCGATGAGTTTCTCCTTGATACCGCCAACGGGCATCACGCGGCCGCGGAGGGAGACTTCACCGGTCATTGCAAGCTTGGGTGGAACAGCCTTGCCCGAGAAGAGAGAGATCAACCCGATAGTGTGTGCAAGGCCTGCAGAGGGGCCGTCCTTGGGGATGGCGCCTGAGGGGCAGTGGACGTGCAGACTTCGGCTCTTCATGATATCCTCGTTGGGATCAGATGTCAGGCCGAGTTCGAAGGAGTGAGCCTTGACCCAGGTGAGAGCCACCTCTACGCTTTCCTTGAGAACATCACCTAGCTTTCCAGTCAACTGGACGCGGCCGCTTCCAGGCATGTCTGCAACTTCAATGAATAGTATGCTTCCTTGGCCGCCGGTTGAATAGGCGACTAGACCGGTGACCACACCTGGGCGGCCGTGCTTTTCTGCGATCTCTTCATCGAAGCGCTCGATGCCAAGAATTTCTTCCAAGTCATCAACACTAACCACAGGGTTGTATGAATCAGCCTTGGCTGCATCCGAGGCATCTGCGAACTGGACAGCCTTGAAGCGGCAAATTGAGCCGAGCTCTCGTTCGAGGTTCCGTACTCCAGATTCTCTAGTGTAGGAAGTTGTAGTCTTGTCGATAACGTCATCCGAGAAAATAACTTGACCATCCTCAAGACCGTTTGCCCGTATCTGCTTAGGAATCAGATGCCTCTTTGCAATGTGCCGCTTCTCGACGGTTGTGTAGCCGGAAAGTTGGATTGTCTCCATTCGGTCGAGAAGAGGAGGGGGAATAGTGTCAAGTGAGTTGGCCGTTGCAATGAAAAGGACCTTGCTCAGATCAATGGGAATGTTGATATAGTGGTCAACAAAGGTATAATTCTGTTCAGGGTCCAGGACTTCAAGCATCGCCGCAGATGGGTCTCCCTGGAAATTGGGACCGCCTAGCTTATCGATTTCATCGAGCAAGAACACCGGGTTGGCAACACCAACTTTCTTGAGACCATTAACGATCAGACCCGGCATGGCAGCAACATAGGTTCTCCGGTGGCCTCTAATCTCAGCTTCATCCCTAACGCCACCGAGGGATATTCTGTGGAATTTGCGGCCAAGAGCAGTGGCAACAGATCGTGCCAGGCTGGTCTTTCCGGTTCCCGGAGGGCCGACAAGAAGGAGAATCGGAGATTTATCGACCATGCGCCTGGATGTCAACGAGTGTAGCTTTGACTCGATAGCAGCGCGGTCTGACTCTGGCAACGATGGGATATCCTTCTCGATATCGCCGCCGGAGTTGTCTAGCTCCTTTGTAAGGCTTGCAATTTGGCGCTCAATGCCCTGGTTTGTTGATTGTTTGAGCCTCAACACTGCGAGATACTCAAGAAGCCTCTTCTTGATCCTCTCTAGGCCGTAATGGTCATCATCCAACTGCTTCCGCGCCAGCTTTAAAGTCTCTGGGCCAAGCTTGTCTTCGGTCACTTTGGTCCAGGGAAGGTCCGCGATATTCTCCAAGTAGGTTCGTACCACGCCATACTCCTGGTTCATAGGCATCATCTTGCGAAGCCGCCGCAGCTCCTTGTCAGCAATCTTCTGAGCCTCAGGGCTGAGCTGAGCTTCTTTGAGCTTCTGTTGCAACTCATCGAGCTCATTGGATTCCTTCTCATCAGAGTCATTGTTACGCCCACCCATTCCAGCTGGGGCTTGTCCAGGGACACCAGGCATGCCTCGTTTAGATAGCAAGTCCCGAATACCAATGTCCAATAGAGATCCTGGAGGAATGCTATCCGTAGAGATGGTAGTGAATTTGACATTGCTGCGAATGCTTTGATTCTGCTTGCTGAGAATCTCGATAACTCTTTCCAGTCGTGTCTTTGTGTCCAGAGCAGAGAGCACACGAAGCTTTTCTTCAAGCGCCGATTCGGCGATATCGGCCATAACATCCGCCAGTCTCCCTGCCTGGGCGAGATCAGACTTGGTAATGATCAACTCGAATTTCCGGGCAATAATTGGTGACAAGCGGGGCCCTCCGCTAGCAGGTATCAACGAGGTGTATCGCAGAAGGGTAAGCAGTTCCTTCGAAAGTTGTCTCAACTGCTGGAACAACTCGACAGTTTCCGCGTCGGCCGGGGACGGCTCTATACGGTCAACCATTAGCTGCCGTGTCGCAAACACGAAGGGCTCCTTGGACAAACCTTTTTCATCATGAAGAATACACTCTGCCTCAAAGAATGGACGTTCTTTCAGTACGCGTCGAACAGTGAGACGTTGGACACCTTGAACCAAAAGGTGAGGTTCCGAATAGGCCCGGCGCTGGACACCGATGACTTTCCCGAGTGTACCATAACGATATAGATCCTCTTTTCTCGCTTGACCGGCATCGATAGCTTCATATTCCTCCCTCCTATCGCCATCAACAGCACCGTCATCAATTACGTGCTGGCCATCCTTGCTCAGAAAAGGTGAGCCGAGCGGAACGCAGGCGAACGTGATGGAGTTAGCATCTCGCTTGTTCGCTTGCGTTCGATTGAGCAATGAGGATAGAAGGTTTGCGAGATCGGGCCGGTTTGAAACTGGAATTCGTAACGTTGCCCCAGGGAGTAAGATGGAGCCTTTAGGGAGCGGAACCAACGCCAACTTCGTCGGTCTTCCCCCGTTGGAGCCCATCTTGGAATGGTCCGGTTTCGGGCAGCTCTATACGGTGAGTGGATGGCTGAGTCGATGAAGGTTGAAGATTAGGTTGGTGTTTTGGGTGTTTGTTTAAGACCGGGTATTGAAGGTCAGAACGCGGGCGAGTTAGGGGGCGGATAGGCCGGTTGTTTATAAGGTTGATGGCGAAAGGTTCCAGAACTCCGTGGATGAGTCGGCCGGGGGTTCTGGGGAATCGTGATGATCTGAAGATAAGCCACTGCTCCCCGAAGCCGAGGTTCACTACATCAGTTCCTTCTTCTCCGCAGACAACCCCAACCTTCCAGAGAATCAAGGTTAGTACAGTAAATATACTAGTATATGAACTATTTTTGACCTTTCATCTGGTATCCAGACAAGCGACAGTATTGCCAGCTTCTGAGCATGGGCACGAGGAGATAAGTTCACCAATAATCTCGGCATTTCCGCGGCGTAATTGCGCGGTATCACGTGGCATTTTGCCGCTTAAGGCTGGGTAATCTGCTGTCACGAAAGCACATGGTTCGTAATTTATCCAAGGAGCGGAACACAATCCGGAATTGCTGGTGCCGCCATTGAAGTCCATACAATTCAGTCGCCGAAGTTCAACTTCTTGCCTCCGGTGCTCGACGCTTTTTCTTCGTTTTTACGCTCTTGGACTTTTGCATCCCAAATAGCCGATATATCCATTGCATCAGCCTATACACACAAAATCCAAGCACCAATCCTCGAATCTTCAAGATGGCGACACAAGCCCCGCCCCCCTCCGCAAACCCCGCGTCGCAAAAGATCTTCACAATTGGCACGCGCAAGTCCAAGCTCGCTCTCCTCCAGACCGATCTTGTTTTGGCCGCACTTAAAGGGAGATACCCAGATTATGAGTTCAAGATCCATTCGCGTGAAACCGCCGGTGACCAAAACACAACCATTGCGCTCCGGGATTTTACCACCAAGAATTTATGGACACAGGAGCTAGAGGATCTTCTTGAGGCAGGACATGTTGATCTTATTGTGCACTCTCTAAAAGGTAACACAATAACCCGATTTTATTTGGTCGATGATTGACTTTTTGGGCCTTTGCAGATGTTCCAACCCTTTTGCCCTCGACCTGCAAACTCGGCCCCATGATGCCCCGTGAAGATTCACGAGATGTTCTAGTCATCAAGAAGGGTCTACCTAATATGAGCCTAGTGGAGATGCCAGCAGGCTCAGTTGTCGGAACCTCTTCCATTCGCCGTACCGCCCAGCTCGCGCAAAAATATCCCCATCTGAAGGTGATGGACGTTCGAGGAAACATTGGTACACGGCTCTCCAAACTAGATGCTGAAGATAGTCCATATACGTGTCTTATTCTAGCCGCTGCCGGATTATTAAGGTTGGGGCTTGAAGATCGTATTTTCCAGTACCTGGAATCAAAGAATGGTGGAATGTTGTATGCCGTTGGGCAGGGTGCATTGGGCATTGAAATCCGCAAGGATGACCAAGTTATGGAGGATATGTTACGAGGCATTGGTCACGACCAGACGACATTTGCTTGCTTGGCCGAGAGAAGCCTTCTACGGGTGCTAGAGGGTGGTTGCAGCGCGCCATTGGGTGTAGAAACGGAGTGGATTCAGGATACTGAAGGGTCATCGAAATTGAGGATGAGAGCGATCGTTGTCAGCGTGGATGGTCGTGAGAGCGCTGAAGTCGAGCTTGATGGAGCAGTGGGCTCGACTCAATCTGCAGAAGAGTTTGGTATAACAGTGGCCAAAGCATTGGTGGCTAAAGGCGCAGGGAAGATCCTTGAGGAGATTCAGCGGAACAAACAGCCCCAGCTGAAGATTCCTGTCGCTGAGTCGAGCTAGACAAGGGAGATGCTGGTCTCTCCTACACTGTTTATTATGTTCAATATTCGGCTCCCTTTAGCTCGTTGCAAAGCTGGCCCATACAATATTGATGTACATACAAAATAAATGTACCTATAACAAGCCCAGTTAGCCTCTATTCAAGGTATTGCCCGAACCTCTAGGGTTTGCTTCTTTGAATTCGTCCCACTCCCTGGCTTTCATTGTCTCTTCATCAGCCTTATCCAAATCATCTTCATCAATTTCTTCCCTTCGGCCTGACTCTTCTCCGCCCTTAAGCACGTTGCCCCGCCTATGCTCTTCCTCTATGTATTCATCAATGGTCATAGTGGGTAAATTATGCCCGGATCGAAAAACACCATCGCGGAGCTGTGTGCGCCGGTCAAGTAAAGTGAACGGCTGCATAGGCTTTCCTTCTTTACTCAAGAGCGGTCCAAATCTCCCGCCCTGCAGAAGTTGGGATATTGGCGGATCCAAGCGCTCTGAGTAATTTGCGTCATTGCCCCGGTTCCTTCTCCTCTGGTCATTCTCATCAGATGGTTCGGGTCGCGGAGGCATCTTCCGGATCATCGACAGCATGGACAGCTCTTGCGTTAGAAGGTCCAATGACTGGAAAGCTTGGTGGGTATACAGGTTTATTTCCGCAAGGTAAAGCTGCCGGACATCGTCTTCATCATTTTGGAGCTGGTGCTGGTTCTCGGAGAGGTACTTCATAGAAACGTAAGCGACGTCCAGAACTTTCAAGTGGCAGAAATTCAACCTCGAGTCTTTGTTTAAGTTCCTTCTCCTCCTTAAACCTTGTTATCTTCACATCCCGGCGTGTTGCGGCATCGTTCATTTGTGTCAGAGAGAAAGAGGCGGGGTTCGCTACGTATCGTTCGTAGAGCTTCTTATCTTTGGGATTGAGCAGTGCATAATCATCGAGACGTGCTAGGTACGTTTCAAAATGCCGGAGCACTCGCTGTAATGTAGTCTCCCGGTCCGCGTTGTAGGATCGTTGTAGGAGCTCGGCGATGAGGTAGTCGACTGTTAGGTATCTGTGGCAGAAACCGAGGGGTTAGGATCATAGGATCAGTACATTGAAGAGCTTGACAGATAGCTCACGGTAGGTCACTTGTAGATAGGTCCTCTAGCAACTCGTTCGAGCTAAACATGGAGAGCGTCCCAACCAGTCGCTGGCACTCCTCCAGCTTTGCTATCGTCGCGTTGACATCGCTGCGATATGAGTCGGTGTTGGTATCGGCGCGAGATTCTAGTGCGGTTTTCTCCCGTTTCGCATCGGTGAATAGAGAACGAAGCGTCTGAGGTTGCTCCATTGAGAGTTGCAAGATCTGTAAAGGTGTTGAAAGGAAGAAACCCAAGCCTCAATTTGGAATGTCGATCTTTTGGGGCGCGCGAGGCCAGAGTTTAATTTCTAAGGCTGCCCCGCACTCGCTCTACTTCCCCACTACATATAGATTCTCGACCACATCCACCTTTACCCTCTTCTCATATCTCTTCTGTTTTGAGCCTTCTCTCAAGTTCTTGTCGAAACAGATCATGATAAAACATGTAGGTTGACTCTGAATGAAAGGCTCTTTGTGAATAAATAAATATAAGCATAAGCTGCATCAGAAGCCCTTGACAAAAATATATATCCTAACTGCAAAACCGTTGCCAGGGGCCTGTTTGGTTTTTAAATTCGACCGTTTGCTCTTCAGTGTTTGCGCACTATGTCAATGTACTCAAGTAACCTGCCGACAATCGGCAGGAAAATATGCCATCTTCTGTTCTCACTTCATTCACTTAAACCAAAGTTCCTTCTTTCTTTTCCTTAATCGCTCCTTTCTAAGGTCCTAAACCCAACCCTTCTTTTCTGTTACTCGACTTCGATTCCTCCTACAATTCCATTCTTGATTGACGCTTAGTGATCTGCAGCCCAGTTCAACATCTGCGTCCGGACCGTTTGCGTATAGATTTCATCATGGGGGACGCATCGACCATCGTCTCTACTATTGTATCTGGTTCTTTGGTGAGTCTAGCTTCTAACACCTCACTCAAGGCTCGGTCCTTATTGAGCCCTTCTGCAGCCCTACTAACAGCTCACTGCAGGAAGGTTCCATTCAAGGAAGAGATCAATCCTCCTCGGATGAGTCCCGGATAGAAATCATCTCCCCTGCCCAAGAAGTCTCTCAGCGCCGACAGACCCAGAAAGCGAACTTCGAAGCACTGTTAGTAACAATAGCCTACGGTCCTCATAGCTGATTACATGGAGGACTAATGCATTGGCAGACTCGCTAAGCGCGCGGATACCTGTGATGAGAAAGTTGAGGGGCCACAAGTGGCTCAGGTCTCCACGGCTAAGCTGTTCGCCAAAGACCAAGAGCAAGGCACGCTGGACCCTCGAGAATACCAAATAGAGCTGTTTGAAAGGGCCAAAACTGAGAACACAATTGCGGTTCTGGCAACAGGTACACCCACCTCCTGAGGTTATGCACAGCTGGTTAATCATACACAGGTGCCGGAAAGACCTTGATAGCCGTCCTTCTACTAAAGTACACAATCGAAAAGGAGCTCAATGACCGTGCCGAAGGGAAACCACGAAGAATCTCATTCTTCTTGGTCTGTCATTGAAGCCGCGCTTGATGTTCATGAAGCTGACGAGAACAACAGGTTGACAGTGTCACTCTTTCCTACCAACAAGCAGGGGTTCTGAGGAACAATCTAGATTCCAACGTTGGCCACATTTTTGGAGCCCTTGGTACCGATTTTTGGAGCCAGGAGACATGGGATGAATGCCTCGAAAAGTACATGGTCATTGTTTGTACAGCGGAAATTCTGCATCTATGCCTGCTTCATGCCCACATCAAAATGGAACAGATCAATCTTCTGATCTTCGACGAGGCTCATCATACAAAGAAGCATCATGCTTATGCTAAGTGAGGAATTGACTCTAGGTCCGGATGTTTCTAATTGACATTTTCTTCCCTGTCTAGGATTATTAGAGACTCATATCACCAAGTGACACCTTCGAAACGGCCGAGGATTTTTGGAATGACCGCATCTCCAATTGACACAAAGGGCGACATTGTCGATGGCGCTATGTAGGGCATAGATGTACCATAACCTAACTTGGCATCAGCTGATTCTTCATAGGCAGCTGGAAGAGCTTTTGGACAGCAAAATCGCCACAGCCTCTGAACTGTCCCAGATACGCCGATTTATCCAACGCCCAAAAGAGGAGATGTGGATCCATAATAAACTTCCATCTCCTTTTGGAACAAAGCTGTGCAATCTTTTGGAGAGTAAATTTGGCGACATCGAGGACCTAAGGTCTGCATTCAGATTTGCCTGGCGTGCTAGCTCAGAGCTCGGTAGGTGGTGCTCAGATGGGATATGGAAGCAGGTCTTCTCAGCTAGCGTGCTTCCAAGGCTGGAGGGGAAATCGCAGGAGGAGATGTCGCGACTACAAGAAGCCAATGACATTGCCAGTACCCATATACTCAATGACCCAGATGAGCCAGGGGAGCTAAGCCCGAAGGTGCAGCTCCTACGGAAGAAACTCGCAGAACACTTTCAAGAAAATCCGGACACTAAGTGCATCGTCTTTACAGAAATGCGCTACACTGCCCTCATGCTGTTGGAGCTTTTTAACGTTCTAGGGGTACCTCGGATACGCCCTGGGCTGCTAATCGGAGCGCGGTCTGATGATGTGACTGGAGCAAATATCTCTTTTCGTCAGCAGTTCCTAGCCCTAGTCAAATTTCGAAGCGGGGAGATAAACTGCCTGGTAAGAGATGCGGCGGCAAATTGTGCGCACTTTCTGACTATCAGTAGTTTGCTACTTCGGTGGCTGAAGAAGGGCTTGACATTGCCGACTGTAACCTAGTCGTACGGTATGTTATCAAGGCACCAACCCTAGTTGACAGTGCTGACCCACTAGATTCAACCTGTTCAACACAATGATACAATACGTTCAAAGCCGGGGTCGTGCTCGGCAGTCAAACTCTACGGTATGTCCTTGGAGATACAAAGGTCTACGGGGCTGATGAATGGAAATCAGTATGCGAGTTTGATCGAGAGGTACAACCGTGAACAAGAGGACCGACTTCAACAAGTCCGAGATGCCGAAGTAAGCTCGCCCCAAGCCGACGCAACCTCGCTAAGCTAACTTGATAAAAAGAACATAATGAAACTGTTTTGCGAATCACTCCCAGAAGACCGAATATTGAAGGGCAACGACTGGGTCTCGAATTCATCACCCTCAGACGAAGTCGAAAGAGCGTATACCATCAAGAGCTCAGGCGCACGATTGACTTACCATTCTGCACTAGCTGTTCTAGCAAGGTATGCAAGTTCACTGGTAAGTATTATCTGGGATCTGGCTTCGCGTATAGGCCTAACCATCTACTACACAGCAATACGAAGGAGACCTGTCAGCTCAGGTTACGTATGTGGTACTTCCTGTCAATGATACGTTTGTTTGTGAGGTTATACTCCCGGAAAGATCTCCTGTCCGAGGCCTTACCGGCAGTCCAGCAATGAACAAGTCAACCGCAAAACGATCAGCGGCTTTCGATACCTGCATCATGCTTCGGAAGCATGAGCTTATTGATGACCATTTCAACTCCGCTTATCATAGGCGTCTGCCCGCTATGAGAAATGCTAAGCTCGCTATCACCTGCAAGAAGACTAATCAATACGACATGCTGCTGAAGCCATCCCTCTGGGCTTCTGGACGCGGCACGCTGGTGGAAACATTTCATGCAACTGTCATAACATTCAGGCCTACTCAGCCACTCGCCCGGGAGCTGGTGAACCTAGTCTTACTGTCTCGGGAGGAGTTAACCACCATGCCCCAGTTTCCCATATTCCTTGAGGAAGATGATATAGAGACTATGGTTCATTGCATCCCCTTGGAGAAGACCTGCGCAATCTCGGTCGAGCAAGTTGGCTCTCTCACTGAGTTTACATTGCGCGTCTTCCGTGATGTGTTCCAGAAAACCTACAGCTGCGAATCTGCGAATATGCCATATTGGCTCGCGCCAACAAATGTGCAAAGCGCTCCCGCAAGCGACATTGACTCGGCAGAATATATCGACTGGGATACTGTTCATCTAGTGAATAACAACGACGAGCTGGATTTCCCAGAGGATGTGGCACCGAGCACCCTGTGTGATCGGTTTGTGTTCGATCCGTGGGATGGGCGGTGTCGATTTTTCACTCTAGAAGTTGACCAGAGTCTGAAGCCTTCGGATCCTCCTCCTGATTTTGTGCCCCGTCGTCGATGTATGGACAGTATCATGAACTACTGTATCAGCTTATCCAAAAATTCGCGAGCTAAGTTTCTGGCCAAATGCAATTGGGACCAGCCAGTCTTGAGAGCAGAATTGGTCCGCTTGAGACGAAACATGCTGGATAAGATGACAGATCCGGAGAAAGAGATCGCAACAAAGTGCTATATCTGTCTAGAGCCGTTGAGGGTTTCGGCGGTAAGCCACTAAGGTGATAAATGCTGATATTGCGTGGGCTGACAAGATCACAGATCCCTTCATCAGTTGCCGCTTCCTGCCTTGCTTTTCCCGCTATTATTACAAGGATCGACGCCTATTTAATGACCATAGAAGCTTGCCGCGAACTTGAGCTGGTGGTGTCACCCGAGCTTGCTCTTGAAGCTTTTACGAAAGATTCAGATAATACCGAGGAGCATCGGGCCCAGCAAATTCACCTCCAAAGAGGGATGGGAAAGAACTACGAACGTCTTGAGTTCTTGGGTGACTGCTTCCTCAAGATGGCAACTTCAATCTCACTCTTTGCGCAGTACCCTGATGATGACGAATTCGACTACCACGTCAGGCGAATGTGTCTTATCTGCAACAAGAATCTGTTCAACACTGCGGTCAAAAAAGAGCTTTACAGGTACATCCGCAGTCAAGGATTCTCAAGGTACCGGCTCATTCTTCATGCTGTGTTGAGTGAAGTAACGCTGATTACTCTTCATAGACACACTTGGTACCCGGAAGGCCTTACTCAAATAAAAGGCAGAGATTTGTCCAAGAAACTTCTCGCTTCCGCTAAACACCACCTCGCGGAGAAGACAATTGCGGATGTTTGCGAAGCTCTGATCGGAGCGTCTGTACTCTCAGGTGGCGCTGAGCACCGTTTTGATATGGCTGTCAAAGCTGTGACCATCCTCGTCGACAACCAAGACCACGAAGCTTCAACTTGGAAAGATTACCTTTCGATCTATACTATGCCCAAATATCAGACTCAGAGCGTGACTGGGTCTGAGATAGAGCTTGCTCGACTAGTTGAAGAGAAAGTCGGTTACCGCTTCAATTACCCAAGGCTTCTTCATTCGGCTTTCACGCATCCTTCCTTCCCTGCGGCTTGGGCCACTGTACCATGCTATCAGAGGTTGGAATTCCTCGGAGATTCCTTGTTCGACATGGTTTGTGTGGAGGACTTATTCGCCCGATACCCGGACAGAGACCCCCAATGGCTTACAGAGCACAAGGCAGGACTCCTATGCTAGGGTTTTGTGAGTAGGGTTACTAAATGTCGCGCAGATGGCTATGGTCTCCAACAAGTTCCTCGGAGCTCTGGCAGTGAAACTCAAGCTCCACAAGCATCTCAGACATTTCAGCAACCCATTGCAGTCTCAGATATCCAACTATGTAGAAGAAATCGAGGCCGCCGAGCTGGAACACGAAACCGTGGTTAACTTCTGGACCGAGACCACTGATCCGCCGAAGGTACGCTTCGCATTTTATTGTGTCAATGTTTATGTTCCCTGACATCAGTAATCAGTGTCTGCCAGATATGGTAGAGGCATACCTCGGCGCAGTGTTTGTCGACTCGAATTTTGATTTCAACGTGGTCGAAGACTTCTACAAACGACACGTGAAGCCATACTTTGAGGACATGGCCATTTACGATACCTTTGCAAACAAACACCCGACGGTAAGCACCTGCCCAGAATATCTCGATGACACAACATCTAATCATGCCACAGACATTCCTACACAACCGACTGGCAAACGAGTTTGGCTGCACAGACTATTGCCTTAAGGCAGGCGAAATACCTGCTGTAGATGGAGAGCTCCCGCGTGTTCTAGCCGCCGTGATGATTCATGATACTGTTATCGCTGAGGGCCTTGCTTCATCTGGACGCTACGCCAAGATCAAAGCGAGTGAGAAGGCGCTGGCGATTTTGGGGGATATTGGCCAGGCCGAATTCCAGGACAAGTTTGACTGCAATTGTCGGGAAAAGGAGGATACCCAAGAAATCGATCCTGGAACAGCAATCTGAGATAGTATGATCTAGTATCATGATCCCGGAGGAGCTTACGGGTTTTGTACCAAGGTAAAGACAATACTGGATAAAATGTGAAAATGTTGGAATGTGGAAAGTCAGAGTGAGCTACGAAGTGAATCGGCGGAGAGACCCAAAGTAAAGCCAACGGTTTTGGTCACGTGGAAGCAGGAACCAAAGGACGTGGCCGGGCACTAGTCTAGGGCAGGACTAGCGCCATTTCCCCCCTGAAAGCAACCAAAAAAACACGCCTCTTGAGTCTGCCGCGTCTCCCAGTGCCATATCACCGCTTCGAACACAACGCAACCTCTGGACAGGTAGCACTTTGATAGACAGCCGGACGACTTGTCGGACGGACAATAATTATTTAATCTTTCTTTTCCGTTCTCCGCTTCTAACGCTTCAACATATTCGCCATATTCGTCGCCTGTTCGGAGCTACCACCGCCGCCTCTCTTATCCCACTCCGTATCGATTGTTGCGGTCTCAACAAGTTGTCGTCGCGAAGTGTTCCTTAGTTCGCTACCTACCATTTACCTTTATAGAACGCGCATAATACCTCCGGACTTGCCTATCGATGACATAGTCGGGTTACATTCCATAGATAATCGCGATGGAGGTCGCCTCTAACGGGGTACCTGACGGTGTACCCACCGCCATATCCCAAGGACCTTTGGTCGACCCAGAGACTGTCGTGCAGTACCTAGTCGATGTGCTGCAGGTGACGTTGGGCGCGCTGAAAAGCGAGCTTGAGAACACTGGCAGTCTTCTGTCGAAGTCTAAGTATAGCGAGACTGCGCAGAGGTGTATGCGGTTTGCGTCAGAGTCACAGGTCGCGCTCTATGTACAGAAAGACCTCGTCGCTTCGGAAGATGCGAACGGAACTGTGGATGGCGAGGGTACGTGAAAACTGCTTACTGTGTTTGCGCCGATAAAGAGAAAAGAACTGACATGGTGATGTATTCTCAGTGTCCGTCGCCCAGTATGTCTATACCCTATCGACCGAAATCTCGTCCTCGTCGACCACTGTCGCGTCGGTAGCTTTTATCAAACGGCCCACTGCAATCGATCCGTCACTGCCTATATCCTCCCAAATCCAGGTTATGAACCTTCCCGGTCCGGCATCCCTCAATAACACGCAGGCGCAGCAAGGCGCTGTGCTCTCGCCATTCGAGATCCTGCATTTGCTAGTTCACCACGGACTTAGCCCGTATTTCGAAGCCAATACTCGCAACCAAGAAGGCGCTACAAAGACGAAGATTGATACGGATGCTAAGACTGGAGTTCCCGGTACCAAGAAGAAATTCGCGGAGCTGGAACTTTTGCTTCTGCACGCTCAGCAGAATGTTGAGATTCCTGCGCTGAACCTGCCCGTTCATGAAGTGGTACAAAACGCTCTGATGGAAGCAGAGAAGCGGGGCGTTAAGCCTTCAGTGGATTTCATTGATTCTACGCTGTTAGAGAGCAGTGCCTTTATTAACAGTATCCAGAATAATGTGAACGCATGGATCAGATCCATTCAGACCATTACCAAAATGTCTCGTGACGCGGACAGCGGATCAGCGGCTCAGGAGATCAACTTTTGGCTGTCTATGGAGACTGCGCTCGAGGGTATCGAAGACCAGCTGCGCGGTGATGGGGTTGTGTTGACTATGGACATCCTCCGACACGCAAAACGTTACCAAGCTACCCTCAGTTTCGTTGCCGACACTGGTCTGCGCGAAGCAACTGATCTAGTTCAGAAGTATAACCAACTGATGCGTGATTTCCCCCTCGACGAACTCCTCTCTGCCCCTAACCTTCAGAAAGTCCGAGACTCTCTTACCCTAATCTTTAATCACCTGAACAAGAAATTGAAAATCTGCCCCTACCCCATCAAGCGTGCTCTTGCACTCGTGGAGGCCATCTCAGGCGATCTGGACGCGCGTATCCATTCCTTACTCAATGGCCGGACCATCTTGCACCTCGATTTCCGCGAATTCCGTACGTTAATCAAGATCACCGATACCATCTGGAAGACCTGGGACGAAAATCTCAAAGAGTTTACAAATGTTGCCCGTGAGTCCACTCGTCGACGAAATGAGAAGTTCATTCCTATCAAGATCAATGCTCGTCACGAGAAGACCCAAGAACGATTGAACTACATCAACACCTTCCGTGTCAACCACGAGCAACTTCAAAGGACCATCGCAAATGTCCTTGGCCCGAAGAGCACTTCTGCTGGAGATGCCGCAGCGGGAGCAGGAGCTGACGGTGCTGTGATTGTTGAGGAAATCGGTGATGTGGACGCCGTTGAAGAGGTCGTGCAAGCCTACGGTGCTCTGAAAAATATCGATGTGCTAGATGTCTCTCCAGTGGGAACACAGAACTGGATCCTAGAGGAGATTGCTTACAATGAGCGAACATCTCGAGTCGAAAACTCGATCATCGCTCGCCTACGTGACCGTCTGGCAACAGCAAAGAATGCGAATGAGATGTTTCGCGTTTTTTCCAAATTCAACGCCCTTCTAGTCCGACCCAAGATTCGCGGTGCCATTGCCGAATACCAGACCCAGCTCATTGATAACGTCAAGCAAGATATTTCTGCACTACACGAGCGGTTTAAGCAGCAGTATGGTCATTCAGAAGCCCATGCAATGGCTCAGTTGCGCGATCTTCCCCCTGTTTCGGGTGCCATCGTTTGGGCACGCCAGATTGAGCGTCAATTAGACGGGTACCTGAAAAAGGTCGCTGATGTACTGGGAGATGACTGGCACTTGCATTCTGAAGGCCAGAAACTTCAGGCAGAGGGTACGCTTTTCCGAAGGAAGTTGGATACCCGCCCAGTCTTTGAATCCTGGTTGCACGATGTGCAAAGACGGCATATCACGATCTCCGGTCGACTTTTCAACATCGTTCGCAACAGGGCCGCAGGAAACACCTTGGATCTCGCCGTCAACTTCGATGCTCAGATAATCGCACTCTTCAAAGAAGTTCGGAACCTCATCTGGCTCAATTTTCAGGTCCCTCATGCTGTCAGCAACATCTCGAAAGAGGCTAAGAGGGTGTACCCGTACGCTATCAGCTTGATGGAAAGTGTCCGTACCTTGCTTCAAACAAACCGTCTGATCTTGACAATGACGGATGTTGCGATCCTGTTGAATGGATACATCAATGATACACAAAGCATGATTGTGAAGGGAATCCCTCTCAGATGGGAATCATTCGTTCACTCATACGAGTTGCACGTGAAACAAGCGGGCTTGGCTAACGGCGCCATCGATTCGGTGATTCCTGGTAGAGGTGAAAGCAAGCATGTCCAGTTTGTACGAGAGTTCGCAGGCTCAGCTTCCGTTCTTCAGCATAAGACTGCGGTGCTGGTGTCTATCAATGATACCATTCAAAAAGCGGTTCTTGAACTCAAGACCTGCCCGTACGAGCTTTCCGCTTTTAAACAACGCCTCGACGCGATTCAGATTGCCGTCGACAAGCTGAACCTGGAGAACTACGTCAACCTAGGATACTGGGTGCACCATCTGAACCAGAAGATTGAGGCTATCCTCAGCGAGCGGCTGCACAAGGCGATTCGTGATTGGACCAACTCATTCCAGGAAGCGAGAAACGGCCAGCAGTATCTGCAACTGGCTAACGGAGCAAGCGACGGAGAGGCCCTCACAAACCGCATTGAATTCCCAGAGCTTACTCACGAAATCTCCATGCGCAATCAGCTACTTCATCTTGACCCGCCTCTCCAGTTTGCTCGTGCCACTTGGTTCTCTCACTTTGACGCTTGGCTCGGCGTAATCTGCAACCTGGAGAAAATCAAGGCTTCCCGTTACTCGATCTCTATTGAAGTGCAAAAGGTGCAACTGTCGGAGTCATGCTTCGCTGACCTTCCACAGCGTTGCACTGAGGAGCTGAAACTCGTTTACACTGCTATTGAGGCTAGACTCAAGGCGGTGTCCGAGTATGTGGACAAGTGGCTGCAATTTCAGTCCCTGTGGGATTTGCAGTCTGAGCAGGTCTATGACATACTAGGCGATGACTTATCTCAGTGGCTTCAGCTCCTGCAAGAAATTCGCAAGAGCCGAGCCACCTTTGACACATCAGAAGTCAGCCGGTCGTTTGGCAACATCAAGATCGACTACGAGCAAGTACAAACAAAGGTCAACGCAAAGTACGACCAATGGCAACACGAAATCCTGCTCAAGTTCGGTTCCAAGCTTGGGAACCGCATGAGAGAAGTCCACTCCGAAATTGCCACTGCTCGAAGAGATCTGGAAGGCCAGACGTTGGAAGCCGCTTCTACCGCCCACGCTGTCTCTTTTATCACAATTGTTCAACAGTGCAAGCGTAAGGCAAAGGTCTGGGAGCCTGAAGTCGATCTCTTTAGGCAAGGTCAGGCCACGCTTGTCCGCCAACGCTATCAATTCCCGAACGACTGGCTTCACGTTGAGAACGTCGATGGCGAATGGGCGGCTCTCAACGAACTTCTTGCTCGCAAGAGTAAGATTGTTCAGGATCAGACTGAAGGTCTACGAGCGAAGATCGTCGCCGAGGACAAGGTCATCAATGACAAGATCGCCGAAGTCATTGCGCAGTGGAATGAGGAAAAGCCTGTGTCCGGCACTATTCCACCGGAAGAGGCTTCTCGCTCTCTCAGCTCCTTCCAGGCACGTCTCGAATCCCTCCAGTCTGAATTTGAAATGGTATCCAAGGCAAAGGAGGCCCTTGATCTCCCTGCAAGTGCGGAATCTTCTCTTCCTGCAATTCTGGAGGAGGTGCAGGACTTTATGTCTGTGTGGGCGGCTCTTTCGACTATCTGGAAGAGTCTCAATGACCTTAGGGATACACTCTGGACTAGCGTCCAGCCAAGGAAACTCCGCCAGTCTATCGACAGTCTTATCAAGATGACCAAAGAGATGCCCAGTCGAATGCGCCAGTACGCTGCCTTTGAGCACATTCAGAATGTTCTTCGTCAGCTATTGAAGGTTAATCCTCTGCTCTCGGATATGAAATCGGAAGCTGTGCGCGAAAGACATTGGCTAAAGATCTACAAAGCCCTCAAACCAGGGCAGCGGTTTTCTCTGGTCTCTCTTACCCTAGGAGACGTTTGGGATCTGCAACTCGTGTCTAGCGAGACGATTATCCGGAATATCATCGCACAAGCCCAGGGCGAAATGGCGCTCGAAGAGTTCTTGAAGTCCGTTCGCGAGACCTGGCAAAATTATTCTCTCGACCTTGTCAACTACCAGAACAAGTGCCGTTTGATCCGCGGTTTCGACGATCTTTTTGCCAAGTGCAGCGAGAACCTGAACTCCCTGCAAGCCATGAGGCATTCACCTTATTACAAGGAATTTGAGGAGGATGCTTCCTCCTGGGAGGACAAGTTGAACCGCGTCCATGTCCTGTTCGATGTATGGATTGACGTCCAACGACAATGGGTTTATCTCGAAGGTGTCTTCACCGGCAATGCTGATATTAAACATCTCCTGCCCTTGGAATCCAGCCGTTTCCAGAACATCAATTCCGAGTTCTTCGCCGTGATGAAGAAGGTCTACAAGTCTCCGTTCGTGCTTGACGTTCTCTCTATCAATGGGGTTCAAAAGTCCCTGGAGCGACTGGCAGAATTGCTCAACAAGATCCAGAAGGCTCTTGGTGAATATTTGGAACGGGAACGTGTCTCTTTCCCCCGGTTCTACTTTGTCGGTGACGAGGATCTCCTCGAGATTATCGGTAACAGCAACGATATCTTCCGCGTCGCAAAGCACTTTAAGAAAATGTTTGCTGGTCTCTCAGGCGTTCTTATGGATGATAACAGCAACATTGTCGGTTTCACGTCCAAGGAGGGCGAAGAAGTTAGACTGAAGAAAGAAGTCAACCTTCTCAAGACCCCTAGGATTAATGACTGGCTAAGTGCTCTTGAAAGCAACATGAAGTCAACGCTCGCAGAGCTCCTCGGTGAAGCCGTTGAGCAGTTCGAGCCACTCTACAACTCATCGGAAGTCGACCGCACCGCCTTCGACGACTTCATCGCCAACTACCCTGCTCAGATTGTCGTTCTTGCTAGTCAAGTCGTGTGGACAAATGAAGTACAAAAGTCACTGGAGAACGGTGGCACTAACCTCCCTGCACTTTACGAGGCTCAGGTCAGGGTGCTTGAACTGCTAGCAGTCACTGTGTTGGGAGATTTGGATGCAATTGCCAGAAAGAAATGCGAGCATCTCATCACGGAGTTCGTCCATCAGCGCGATGTTATCTCCAAACTGATAGCCTCGAATGCCACATCTCCAGCACACTATCTCTGGCTGCTACAGATGCGCTACGTCTACCAAGCCGATGGCGACTTTCTGCAGCGCCTGTATGTGCACATGGCCAACGCGAAGCTGAACTATGGGTTCGAGTACCTGGGTGTTCCCGAACGCCTTGTCCGCACGCCCCTTACAGACCGTTGTTTCCTCACCCTTACCCAGGCTCTGTGTCAACGACTTGGTGGTTCTCCTTATGGGCCTGCAGGTACAGGAAAGACAGAATCCGTCAAGGCCCTGGGTCTTCAACTTGGTCGTTTTACTCTCGTCTTCTGCTGTGACGACACATTCGATTTCCAGGCCATGGGCCGTATTTTCCTCGGTATTTGTCAAGTTGGTGCTTGGGGTTGTTTCGACGAGTTCAACCGTCTTGAAGAGCGTATTCTTTCGGCAGTTTCTCAACAAATTCAGAACATTCAGATCGGTCTGAGGATCGGAGAAACCGATGACAAGAGTCAAATTGAGCTGGTGGGAAGGCGCTTGAGCGTCAACCCGAATACCGGTATCTTCATCACCATGAACCCTGGCTATGCTGGTCGATCCAACCTACCCGACAACTTGAAGAAGCTGTTCAGAAGCGTTGCAATGTCGAAGCCAGACAAGGAGCTGATTACCGAAGTCATGCTGTTCTCGCAAGGTTTCAAGCAAGCCAAGCGACTGTCACAACAGACGGTGCCATTCTTCGACCATTGCTCAACTCAGCTGTCAAAGCAAGCCCACTATGACTTTGGTCTGCGTGCCCTAAAGAGTGTGCTCGTTAGTTCAGGAGGTCTCAAGCGTGCCCGTATCGCCAATACAGACGGTGACCTTGGACCCGACGAGATTGTGGAGCCTCAGATCATTGTGCAGAGTCTTCGAGAGACCATTGCTCCCAAGTTGGTCCGCGAAGATGTAACCACCATGCTACAGATTCAGGAACAAGACTTTGCTGGTGTGGAATACGTCCCGGCCAACTATGAGAAGCTTACCGCTGCCATCAAAGAGATCGCCCGCGAGCAGCACTTTGTCGACAGTGAAATGTGGATTACAAAGGCTCTGCAGCTGTATCAAATTCAGAGCATCCACCACGGTGTCATGATGGTCGGCAAATCTGGATCTGGAAAGTCATCCGCTTGGAAGATCTTGCTCCAGGCTCTTCAGCGCGTTGAGGGTGTCGAAGGAGTTTCTCATATTATTGACTCCAAGGTCATGTCGAAGGAGGCACTGTACGGTAGCTTGGACAGCACTACACGAGAATGGACCGACGGTCTCTTCACTGGTATCTTGAGGAAGATCGTGGACAACCTCCGTGGTGAAGACACAAAACGGCACTGGATTGTGTTTGACGGCGATGTTGACCCGGAGTGGGTTGAAAACTTGAACAGTGTTCTCGACGACAACAAGCTACTGACTCTCCCGAATGGTGAACGTCTGAATTTGCCTTCCAATGTTCGCGTCATGTTCGAAGTCGAGAGTCTCAAGTACGCCACCTTGGCTACCGTCAGTCGTTGCGGTATGGTTTGGTTCAACGAAGATACCGTGACGCCCTCAATGGTCATTGAGAACTATGTTCAGTCCCTGAAGACGAAGACCTTCGAGGACTTGGATGATGATAGCGCGCCCGCAGGCCAAAGTGCCGTCAAGACTCAGGATTGCCAGAACATGCTATCAACCATACTTCAACAGCTCCTGCAGACTGATGAGCTTGTCCTCAAGTCTCTTGAAGAAGCCATGAAGTACAACCATATTATGGAGTTCACCGAAATACGCGCCCTCAACACCATGTTCAGTCTATTGAACAAGGCCTGCCGCAATGTCCTTGAATACAACATCCAGCATGTTGACTTCCCCCTTGAGTTCGAGCAGATTGAGTCCTATGTTTCCAAGAAGCTCCTGCTCGCTCTTGTCTGGTCTTTCACTGGAGACTGTCCTCTTGCCGACCGCAAGTCTTTCGGCGAATTCGTGTCTGGCCTAACCACGATTGACCTACCGCTTGAGAGCAACGCTTCTCTCATTGATTTCGATGTAACTCTTCCCAAAGCTGACTGGACAAGCTGGCAATCTCAAGTTCCGTCAATCGACATCAACACCCACTCCATCACGCAGACCGATGTGGTTATTCCCACAGTGGACACGGTCCGTCACGAGGATGTTCTCTACTCGTGGCTTGCAGAGCATAAACCATTGCTGCTTTGCGGCCCTCCAGGTTCCGGTAAAACCATGACGCTGTTCGCCGCTCTCCGCAAACTGCCAAATATGGAGGTTGTTGGTCTTAACTTCTCTAGCGCCACAACTCCAGACCTCCTCATCAAGACCTTCGAGCAGTACTGTGAGTACAAGAAGACACTGAACGGCGTCATCATGTCCCCCAGCCAGATTGGTCGGTGGTTGGTCATCTTCTGCGATGAAATCAACTTGCCTGCCCCCGATCGATACGGAACCCAGCGCGCGATTTCATTCCTGCGTCAACTTGTGGAGCAGAATGGATTCTGGAGAACCTCCGACAAGACCTGGGTTACCTTGGACCGTATCCAATTTGTCGGCGCCTGTAACCCTCCCACCGATGCAGGACGTACGCCTCTCGCTGAGCGTTTCCTCCGTCATTCTCCGTTGGTCATGGTTGACTATCCTGGTGAAATTTCGCTCAACCAAATCTACGGAACGTTCAATTCTGCGGTCCTCAAAATTCTCCCGTTGTTGCGTGGTTATTCCGAGTCTTTCACTAAGGCTATGGTGCAGTTCTACTTGGAGTCTCAAACACGCTTTACTCCTAAGATACAGCCTCACTATGTGTACTCTCCTCGTGAGCTTACGCGATGGGTCCGCGGTGTGTACGAAGCCATCAAACCGCTCGAAACCCTTAGCGTGGAAGGTCTGGTCCGTATCTGGGCACATGAAGCCCTTCGACTTTTCCAGGATCGTCTCGTTACCGAGGACGAAAGAGCATGGACCGCGGATGCTGTTCGCCGAATTGCACTTGAAAACTTCCCTACCATTGACCACGAACAGGCTCTGAAGGGACCAATCCTTTTCTCCAATTGGTTATCCAAGAACTACGTCCCAGTGGAGCAGGAGCAGCTCCGTGAATTCGTCAAGGCGCGTCTCAAGACTTTCTGCGAGGAAGAGGTGGATGTTCCTTTGGTCCTATTCAACGACGTCTTAGAACATGCGCTGCGCATTGATCGAGTCTTCCGTCAGCCTCAAGGTCACCTCATCCTGATTGGTGTAAGCGGAAGTGGTAAGACGACATTGTCCCGCTTTGTTGCCTGGATGAATGGCCTGAAGGTCTTCCAGATAAAGGTCCACGGCAAATATTCTTCTGAAGACTTCGACGATGACTTGAGAAATGTCCTCCGCCGTGCGGGTTGCAAGGGCGAGAAGATCTGCTTCATCATGGACGAGTCAAACGTTCTAGACTCTGGTTTCCTTGAACGCATGAACACCCTTCTAGCCAACGCCGAGGTTCCCGGTCTGTTCGAAGGCGATGAATTCTCCGCTCTGATGACCGCCTGTAAAGAGGGCGCCCAACGCCAGGGTCTTATCCTCGACAGCCAGGAAGAACTCTACAAGTGGTTCACCCAGCAAATCGTCAAGAACCTGCATGTTGTGTTCACCATGAATCCTCCCGAGGAAGGCCTGTCATCCAAGGCTGCAACCAGTCCCGCCTTGTTCAACCGTTGCGTGCTCAACTGGATGGGAGACTGGTCCGACCAGGCTCTTTTCCAGGTTGGCTCGGAACTCACACAGTCAGTCGACCTGGACAAAGCCAACTTTATTGCTCCTGATAGTATACCCGTGGCGTACCGCGAACTTACCTTACCGGCTTCCCACCGCGACACGGTCGTAAACTCCATGGTTTACATACATTATTCGCTGCAAAAATTCAACCAGCGCTTGCAGAAGCAACAAGGGAAGACAACGTACCTTACTCCTCGCCACTACTTAGATTTCGTCGCTCAATATGTCAAGCTCTTCAATGAGAAGCGAGAAGACCTAGAGGAGCAACAAAGGCACTTGAACGTCGGTCTTGAGAAGCTGAGAGACACTGTCGAGAAGGTCAGCGATCTTCGTGTCAGCCTTGCCCAGAAGAAGACGCAGCTGGAAAACAAGGACGCCGAAGCCAATGAAAAGCTGCAGCGCATGGTTGCAGACCAGCGCGAAGCAGAACAACGCAAGGCAGTCTCGCTAGAGGTACAGGCCGCTCTAGAGAAACAGGAAAAAGAGGTCGCTACCCGAAAAGAAGTCGTTCTTAGAGACCTCGCCAGAGCCGAGCCTGCCGTCGCGGAAGCTCAGAAGAGTGTGAGCAACATCAAACGTCAGCATCTCACTGAAGTCCGTTCCATGGGTAATCCGCCGGCCAGCGTTCGCCTTGCTCTGGAAGCTGTTTGTACTTTGCTTGGTCACAAGGTTGATAGCTGGAAGACAATTCAGGGTATCGTGCGAAAGGATGACTTTATCGCAAGCATCGTCAACTACGATAATGAGAAGCAGATGACGAGGAACCACAGACTGAAGATGCAGAAAGAATTCCTCTCCCAGGATGACTTTACATACGAGCGTGTCAACCGCGCCAGTAAGGCGTGTGGTCCTCTTGTTCAGTGGGTCGAAGCACAGGTCAACTACTCGGAGATCTTGGATCGGGTTGGACCTCTACGTGAGGAAGTCGACACGCTTGAGGAACAAGCCGAGCAGACGAAGGCCGAAGCGCAAGCTATCGAGAACACTATCAACGATCTTGAGAGCAGTATCGCCACTTATAAGACGGAGTATGCTGCACTCATTAGTGAAACTCAGGCAATCAAAACTGAGATGTCGAGAGTGCAGTTCAAGGTTGACAGGAGTGTACGTTTGCTCGACAGTCTGTCATCGGAACGCACCCGTTGGGAGGAAGGAAGCAAATCCTTCGAAACCCAAATCAGCACACTTGTCGGCGACGTTCTCATTGCTGCGGCTTTCCTTGCCTACGCTGGTTTCTACGATCAGCAATTCCGTAAGGCAATGGTTGACGACTGGGTTCAACAGCTGGTTCAGTCTGGAATTAGCTTCAAGCCACACAACCCGATCACTGAATACTTGTCCAACGCAGATGAACGTCTGGCTTGGCAAGAACACTCCCTGCCGGTCGATGATCTCTGCACTGAGAACGCTATTGTCCTGAAACGCTACAACAGATACCCGCTCATCATTGATCCCTCTGGCCGCGTCACCGAGTTCCTGCAGAAAGAGAGCGCAGACAGGAAACTTACAGTGACCAGCTTCTTGGACGATTCCTTCGTCAAGCAGCTTGAGAGTGCCCTGCGTTTTGGAAACCCTATCCTCATTCAGGATGCGGAGCATTTGGATCCGGTTCTTAACCACGTTCTCAATAAGGAATACCAGAAGACCGGTGGCCGTGTTCTTATCCAGCTCGGTAAGCAGGAGATTGATTTCTCGCCCTCATTCAAGCTCTTCCTCTCTACGAGAGACCCCTCTGCGTCCTTCCCACCGGATATCTGCAGTAGAACCACATTTGTCAACTTCACTGTTACGCAGAGCAGCTTGCAGATCCAGTCGCTTAACGATGTGCTGAAGCATGAACGTCCTGACGTCGACAAGCGACGCTCCGACCTTGTCAAGGCCCAAGGAGAGTTCAAGGTCCATCTGCGCAAGCTTGAGAAACGCCTGTTGCAGGCTCTAAACCAGTCTCGTGGCAACATCCTTGATGATGACCATGTTATTGAAACCCTTGAGACTCTCAAGAAAGAGGCTGCAGAGATCTCGAAGAAGATGGTTGAGACCGAAGGAGTCATGGCCGAGGTGGAGAATATCACTCTCAACTATAGCATCATCGCTCGCTCGTGCAGTGCCGTGTTCGCCGTGCTGGAGCAACTGCACCATATCAACCACTTCTATCAGTTCTCCCTGCAATACTTTGTGGACATCTTCAACTCGGTCCTGCGCGAAAACCCACGCCTCAATCAAGAGAAGGATCATGCCGCGCGTGTCCATATCATTCTTCGAGATCTGTTCGTTACTACCTATCAACGTACCTCTTTGGGTGTCATTCAAAAGGACCGCATTACCTTGGCCATGCTTCTAGCACAGGCGGCTCCCTATACAATGAACAAGAGCATTATCGATATCATCCTCGATGAGGCAACGAAGGGAACTGATCTATCGGCCGATCCTGAGGCCAAACAACAGGTAATGAACGGGCTCGCGAACATGTCACTCTTCAAGTCGCATCTCCCATCGGTCAGTGCTGAACAATGGGAGCAATTCCTGAATGAAGAGCTGGCTGAGAACTATGTGCCGGCTGTCTGGGACGAGGACACCTCGGAGTTCGACCGACTGCTACGATCACTGCTCCTCGTCAAGCTTTGCAGGATGGACAGGTTCGTGCCAGCTGCCGAGCGGTTTATTGTTGCCGTCTTTGGCCGTGAGCTGTACGAGGGGAGCACGGATCTGAAAGATATCGTCGATCAGGTCACGGCAACTGCACCTATTTCTCTTGCCTCAAGCCCTGGGTTTGACGCCAGTTACAAGGTTGATGCCCTCGTCGAGCGAATGCACGCAACCTGCGCGAACATCGCCATGGGTTCCAACGAAGGTCTTGAGAGTGCTGACAAAGCCATCAGCAACGCTGCTTCTGCCGGAACCTGGGTGCTGGTCAAGAACGTGCATCTGGCCCCCTCGTGGCTGCAAAGTCTGGAGAAGCGTCTCGAGTCGCTCAAGCCTCACAAGGACTTTAGGCTCTTCCTTTCCATGGAGTCTAGCCCTAAGATTCCAGTCAACCTCATCCGCGCCTCCCGTGTACTCATGTACGAGCAGCCTGCTGGTGTGCGCGCAAACATGAAGGATTCTCTATCCTCTTTGACTACGCGGGCCAGCAAAGCGCCTGTTGAGAAGGCTCGTGTTTACCTCCTGCTCTGCTTCCTTCACGCCGTTGTTCAAGAGAGGCTCCGCTACGCCCCAAGCCTGGGCTGGAAGGGCTTCTGGGAGTTCAACGATAGCGACGTAAGTACCATCTTCCTACTTACCAGTATTCTTCAACATAACTAACCTGCCTCAGTACGAATGCTCCGCCTATATCATCGACCACTGGGTCGACACGGTCGCCCAAGGCCGTTCTAACGTCGCACCCCAGAAGCTCCCGTGGGAAATGATCCGCACCCTTGTGACAGAAATGTACGGCGGCAAAGTTGACGACAGCGAAGACTTCCAGCAGCTTGAGCGCCTTGTGCACAACTTCTTGACTCCTGCCGCCTTCGAAGACGAATACAAGCTCGTCTCGGGCGTTGAAAACGATGAGTGCCTCACCCTACCAGGGGAAACTGGTATGCGCGACTTCGTCGCCTGGGTCAATCGCCTCCCAGAGCGCGAGCCTCCCACCTACCTGGGTCTTCCTGCGAACGCGGAGAAACTGCTCCTGGTGGGACATGGAAATAAGATGATTTCGGATCTCGCAAAGGTGACGTCGTTGTTGGATGAAGGGGAACAGTTGATGATCGATTCTTGAGCGGCAGCATGTTTACTTTCTTGTATTTTTGCTTCTTTTTGTTCCATTTTGCCTGTTCGAGTTGGGTTCGTACCGCTGGCGTTGAGCGGCTTTTTTTGTGTTCATGGTGCTTTTTTTGTAATATCCCCCATACATCGCATGTTCTTATCAAATTACATGTCCTGTTAGAGTATAGATTTCTTCATGAAACAGTTTCTAGCGCATTCTCAATTCCTCCCTACGTACGATGCTGTTCAATATGATGACTTGACTCGCACTGACAGCGGCCCTCTTAGAAATCTTGAGCCGCATGGTTTTATTAGGGCTAACATCCCTTCTAAAAGAAGAGCTACACAAGTCGTTCAAAGCACAACCAGCGGCCTCAGAAGTCAAGCTTTCATAACTCTTCCCACATATCGAGCTCGAAAGCGAGGAAGGAGCGGCCCTCGGCAGCGTGCGTAGTTTCCTATTCTGCTGCCATAAATGAGGAAGGAGCTACTCGGTGCACACAACTTCGGGTCCTCCTCAAAGGGTCAATATGGCAAGCACGACCGACCTCTGGTCTCCCTGGCATACCATCGCTCCTTCCCTTTCAGTGTACTCAAACGAGCAGGAACTACGCCCAGGGTCGTACCTTCCTCGTTGGACAAGTTGATAGGTGAGCGTACAGGGTAGGAGCTCTCCATCGTTCCTTCTAAACCCTGCATGACACTAGAATATATTCACTAGACACCTAGTAGATAACCTTACCCAAGACGACGCGGCGAGAAAGTTAATCGGAGTCCAGGCTTGCTTGGCTTGCCCAGAGTCGCTTCTTTAAGTCGAGGGAAGTTGGGGAGGTCAAATAGGGTTGTTTTGTTGTCTCAGATAGCTTGCAAAAGGACGCTACGATATGCGTCAGCGACGGATGGCGGTTGATGACGGTAGTAACAACATGATCTCCGGCTCTCAAGTCGCAGCTCTAGGCCCTTGCGGTAACTTTGGGGTAGCCAGGATACAAGAATTTCAAGTCTCCGGTTGTCTTCTCAGAGTAGTAGAGACATCCACCGACAAGATTAGAGAAAGAAGAACGCCGATACAGACCAAACCGCCCAGACACATAAAATAGACCCTAACCCACCTCCATACCCAAGCAGGCCAGCCGTTGCACCCAACTCCAGCCATTAAAGTAAACCTAGAACACCACATTCCCCATGAAAAACAAAATCGTAACTCCGATGACCGCACAGCGGACTTAATCTAGCGTTCCAATAAACACAACCGAACGATAGATAACCAAGTGGATAGACACTTCAGAACCCGTATATTGTGCTTCCCATCTGCATTTTAAAATATATCGTCAGCGTGTATTGCAGATAGAGCATATGGGAGGTAGGAGATGGATCGTACTTGGTTCAACGCGTAGCAAACCTATTTTCACGGAGGGAATGCATTAGCAGCTAGATTATAAAAGATTCCGGTTCGAGAATTTGTAATAGCTGTGCAAACTCTAGCACGAGCAGACCCCAATGGCCGGTAGATAGGAAAGATGGGCGGGCAATGAATAACTCACATCCTGCGTCGTGACCATCTAAATCCAAGAAAGAAATGTTAACCCTGCTCCAGCCTTGTTATCCAACACTAGACATAGACGCATACCTTCCTATCGACTCTCGGGGTCCGAGCCGAATCGAGTATGAGCACGATGTGTCTGAGGATCTGCCCAGTACGCGGTGTTAGTAAGATACTTGTATAGTTCAAAGAAGAAAAAACTGTGAACCATGCGAATAAGATAGAATAACTGAGAAATAGAGAGAATTCGGGAAAGGCGTGAGCATACCTCTGTTAGACGTTCTTTAATGACCTTGCGGATCTCGTTGTATATTTCTTTGCGAATTCGGTAAACGCCACCACGTCGGGCAAGGCGGCTGGTGATACTAAGTGTTAGTTAAAAATGACCTTATCATCCTAATGCGAAGGCCAGGGGATTCTAGGTCTTAAGAATTCGTCGTGTTATGTTGAAAAGCCACATACCGAATAGCAGGGCGTGCTGATATGTGTTAGTGCCTGATTTAGGAACTCTAGCGAGGCGGGAAAGACCTACTAACGCCCATAATATTGTCCTTCAGCTTGCTACAGACACAGTGGTTGTTAGCACACTTGTCTGGCGCTTTTGTGTGGCGGGGGACCGATTGAGTAGAGCCTGTTGTGTTGGGATCACGTACTGGTGCCGCTTATAGCGAGCTAGAGTCGCTAAGCCAGGCCGAGTGAGCGCCATATTTCGGGATATCAAGAGGGAAGTAGAAGCAGAAGTAGAATTTGGAGTTAGCAGAGGAACGGGGGCGAAGACGGCGTTGTATATATTCTTTCAGAGTGAAAAGCGGAGATGTAGTAGACCTGAGAGAGAGTCGGGAAGAAGAATGGAAGGAATGATAGATGCGTTTTTATAAGATGAAAATAGGATAACACTGGGCAGGGCATGTGGTCTAACACAAGGGGCCTAGACCGTTGGGGTTTGAGTCAGAGCGATATCTTGATATTGAGAGCCGGATTGAATGAGCAAGTTAAAAGTGATGGATAGCATGGCATTAAACTGGCATTATGCAGTATTAAACGACTTGGTTTATAAATATGTAATTCTCGTAGCACGTATAAGTAGTGAGTAGACACTCGAACGCCGGGGAGACCCAGGAAACATGGAATGCTATGTACGCGAAGCATTTAGGAGATGAAGGTGGCTTCGGAGAACATGGTTCCTTCTTCCGTGAACTCGTTTTCGCCGACCTTGAGCTTCAGGGTGAGTTTTTGTTGAGGGGAGTACTGCAAGTTGTTAGCCGGCGCAACTACTGTATAATAAAATGGGCTTACCTGGAAGATGTACGGCCGTGTACCGGCGACGCTGCCGGCAATAGTCTTGATGAAGCCTGGTACTTCGGCCATGACGTCGATGCGGTCTAGCTTAGGGCCGAGGGCGCCGTCAACCTCCGCTGTAACGGTCTTTCCGTCCTTGGTCTTGCCTTCCCACACCCACTTGATAGACTTGGGCTCTGGCCAGTCACTAGTCTCATCCTGCGTCGTTTCTGTGTGTGTTGCTGTGTTGGTGGTGCCCGCATAGATAATCTCTCCGTCCTTGACAATACCGCCAACATTAACACGAGTTGACCCATAAGACGGAGGGGTTGTGAATTCCATCATGATAGCGGAGAATGAGGGGGTCTGGAAGTTGATAAAGTTCCACCGCGAAGCTGTTCCTGTTAGCAACAGTCAATTCGTACAGGATCAGCGAACCTACCCGCATGGTGGGGCTTCATCCCCTGAAGTGCTTGGGAGAACATTCCCCGACCCTTCATATCGTAGGTCTTGTCCCCCGTCGTGATAGTTCCCTCCACATTGCATCGGGGCCAGAAGGCATGGCGTATGGAACCCCAGGGGTTCTCTGGGTCGGTTCCGAAGTAGGTGGTGCCGTCCTTGCCGATGGCGAAGCCGGGGGAGGCGCGGGTGAAGGTCAAGTTGACGAGACAGCCTTCGTTGACAGCAGACTTGAAATTGTAGGCATTTCCCTCCTCGTTCAGTTCCAGGGAGATGTTATCTCCGGCAAACGAAAGCATGCTCTCGTCGAACATGTAGTTGTAGATCGGGTCGGAGAACCAGATGTGGGGTCCATCGCCGGTGGTGTTGAAGATCTTGCAATTAAACTGAGCGGTAGTGTGGATGCCACTGGATCAACCTATGCGTTAGATAAGTGTGGTAACTAGCGGTTGACGGGACGGTTGCTGCTCACGCGATGTTGCTGTAGATGATCTGAACCATGACCAGGGTGCCATTGTCGGCCATGACATAGTATGTCTGGGTCTCTACATTGGTATACTGGTAGGCGCGCCACCGGAGATGGTCCTTGGTGAGCTCAGTATAAGGGGTATCTGCCGTCTGTTGCTGAGAAACAGGCTGAATGGCCTCGGGGCCATATATCGGTTCCTGCGTGCCCGCAACCGAGGCGAGACTACACGAAAGTTCGTTAGCAAATCAAGAAGTACAATGCAGTAGGCAATTGCAATCAAGGGGCAGATTAAGAGGCAATAAAGGGAGCACTTACGTGGACTTGAGCCAATTCATGATGGGCAGAAAGGAGGTTGTTGGGGGAAAGATGGAAAGGGTCCAGTGAGAAAGCTCATGACTGGGAAAATCGATAGCGCGGGGCCCAAAGGGGTTCCAAAGAATAATGGGAGCTCGCCATAGGGGATGGGCTGTAACTTCCGCGGCTAGAGAAGAAATGTGACCAGCAAATGTAATTGGTATAGTCTCTACAGGTAATCCTATGTGCTCTCTACTTCTATCCTGATTGTAACTCTTGCTGGACCCTGAATCCGCTTTGATGGTTTTCGAAGTTCGTGAAAAGCTCAGCTATGACGTTCAGCACTTTTGTTTCTTAGGCAGCTCTGAGGGGAAAGAAACTCCGCTCCGATTTACGCTCCGGAGCATTTCAAAAAACTTAGCCGCCAATATACGAAGGCGAAGGAGTCTAGGCGACGTCGACGAATTGATATCAATCAACCACTCCGGATTATAATAAATCATGGCGAAGAAGGCATTGGCAAAAGATCAGATTGTGAAGCTCATTGTGGGCGCTGGTCAGGCTAGTCCTAGTCCTCCTGTCGGTCCGGCTTTGGGTAGTAAAGGTGTGAAGAGTATGGATTTCTGCAAGGTACGGACACGCAATGCTCTTCGATGGTGTCGGGTCAATGATATACTAACCGATCCAGGAATTCAATGCTAGGACAGCCCACATCACCACCGGCGTACCGATTCCCGCCCGCGTTACCGTCCGCCCTGATCGCTCCTTCACATTCGACCTCCGCACTCCCACGACGACGTATTTGCTATTGGAGGCTGCCAAAGTCGAGCCGCGCAAGGGCCGCGTTCGTGGGGCTCAGAACCCCGGGCATGAGAGCGTTGGCACCGTTTCACTCAAGCACGTCTACGAAATCGCGAAAATCAAGCAGAGCGAGACACGGTTATCAGGATTGAGCCTGGAAGGGCTTTGCAAGAGCGTTATTGCTCAGGCCAAGTCTGCTGGGATCAAGGTTGTTCCTTGAAGGACTAGGAAACAAACGAGGAGACGCCCACTGAGAGAGGGGTGATGTTTGCATTGTACAGCAATTCTGGACTTATGATACTGGCGTTCTGGAGATGGGATTGTAACACGATGTACTATACTATAGGTATTGCATGCGATAGAAACCGCACCTTATTATTATCAAGAGACGCCTGCTCATGGGGATGGAGTACTCCGTAATTGTGCAACGACCACGGTGAGTGACGGTATGATCTGGTCAAGGGTCAAACTTAGCTCAGACGACGGTGATGACTATGAGAATCACTGCCATGGTGACGGAAGATCATGTCCATGTCCAACAGCTTGGCAGCAAACGCAGGAGCAACAAGGAGGACCCGAAAATATGTATGCCAATTCGTAATGATCGTATGCTTGGCGGATTCTCACTGGAGGGTCGGAAAGTCGGAGAGGAGAGTTTGGACTTTTGACTTGCTTTACTCTGAGGCTAAGATTGGCTCCAGTTTGAATCCCCCACAGTTTATGAGGTCTCGATCCTCGATCGGACGGAACACGCAACGTTGAACGGGGTGACGGAATTCGATATTCCTCAGATGCTCGAAAGTTGGGGTTGATATCATTTTTCCAGAAATGGAATAGAAATGATTGCCAATAGGATGAGCAGATTGGAGGCTGTACCCCGTATTCAGGCTGCTTCGGCATGCGTCCAGGGTGGCTGCACATTCCGCCCGCATTGGTCGCTTCTCCAGATCGGTGAGGTTTTCCAGAAGCAGCCGGGGTCCATTCCTCCTTGAACAAAGTTAAGCCGAGAATGGCATTATTGTCATTTATTATGCCTGGTTATTGCTTGCTTTCAAAGTAACGTAGGCTGAGGCAGCTGATTGTAGTCATCAAGGTTGTCAACGACCGTCTCCGCGAGTTTCCGGCTGCTTTGGAGTCATTCTTATGCTAGTTCTATATTAATCGGCTTGGCGGGACAATCTGCTTCAAGGGAAGAATCTTGATCGTTCCTTTCGTATTCGAACTCGTCATCGAGATCTCTTTATTTCCCCTTGTCTGCTCCTCCTCAAGTTCTTGATGCCTTCCGGATGGAAGATCGCAGTCTAAAATAGCCTCTGGTCCAGACGTGCAGAGGAAGTGGATTCTCGCCGCTATTGCCGCCGCTTGTTTTTTGCTCCAAACTCAGACACCGCCGCCGCTCCTGCTTTCTCTCTTGCCCTCCGAATCCCTGTTCTTGTTCTTGGTAGTCCTTTTGGTTCCATTGCCCTTTTCCCCTCTTCTTTCCTCCTCTTCACCTTCGCGGCGACAATCTCCCCTCCGTTCGCTCCTTTACTTCCACTGTTGCGAAGCTCAAGGCGAATCCGCTGCTGACCGAATTTGACCCGACTGTTCCCCTCCGGGACTGCGCGCCGCCTGCAAAGCTCCCGGACTGTTGTAACAGTACATACGAAAGATTCGCTCCGTCCACCACACGAAATCCTCCGCCCATCTGCACCTTGTTGCACCGAAACCTCGTTGCTCTCCGCCTGAAAACAGCAAATCTTGCATGGGACTTCATCGCAGGATAAAACTATTCATCCTTCTTTCGTCCATCGCGATTGCTGAGTATTCCGTCCTCGGAGGGGCATGAGTCCCGCCCGCCCCGTGATTCCAGCCAGTATGACGTCTGCAACTGCCGACTTTGCCGATAAGGCTCCTACGCAAAATGGTGAGCACAGCACCCATGATGCTTCCCCGGATTTCAAATGCACCTTTTTTGTAACCTGGATTCGCCTTTTCTGCAGGAAACCAGCAAACTCAAAACGCAGCCTCAATGTCCAACGAACAAGACCGTGATACCAACAACGATGCTCAAAAGCAGCAGCAGGGACAAGTTCGCTTTTCCTCGATAGCTGAGGAGATTGAGCCGTCACAATCCCATGCATCGAGCACAGCCCCCGCTTCTGGAATTGATCAAGGTCAGATTCAGGATAATGACTTGAGCTCTCTCGCTGCTTCACTCCAGAAGTCGCAGTTGCAAGAGTCCAGAATGTTTAATTTCTCATACGACCCTGTTTCTCTTCCGTCATCAAGGGTACGTATACACTGAATATGTCGACAACCTCGTCCAAACCTCCCCGCTCATTAAACGCTAATCTTCGACATTAGGTCGCATCTCACGAGTCAAGCGAACGTGGGCGCCGAGACGACAATGTATCCGACGCGCCGTCAGCTCATCATTCGCCTGCAGTGTCCGCGATGCAGTCACCTCCTCTCACGCCAGCAGCTACGCATTCTCGGGAAACGAAATCCAGCGACAATGCACCTGCGCAGACGACGGCAAAGCAGGCCCCTCCTCTTCCCCCTTCACAAGCGTCAGCAATCACCCCGTCCGCCTCACCTCCAACGAGCTCGCCTTCTAAAAACGCAGTCGCCCAGAGTCTGCCAAATTCGCGCCCTACCTCAACGGAGCAATTATCGAAACAGAGCGAAGTGACGCAGACATCTTCCCACCCCCTCCATTCGTCACATCGGGCACAGTTTTTCGTTGGTCCTGAAGCAAACTCCCATGAAGAGAGTCCACCGATGACACCGAGCGTTGGAGTAGACAGTTATACCCCTCCAGGAGCCATCACACCGATTGGCGAGCCGAATGACCCATATGCACGCAGCAAGCGACCCCCGCAGTCCAAAAACCTAGCCCAGCTTGATCAGCGCTTCATCTTCAACGGTCGTGACTTAAAGCGCAGAGGGGTTCAACACGCTCGCCCAGCAACGGCGCGATCGTCTAGCGCTTCGGATCTCAAGGCCAGCGAGAAGCGTGGCGGTCTTTTCGGCTCCAAGAAAGATTTGCGCCAACCAGAGCCAGAAGGCAAGCATCATGGCCATATGTCGGAACTTAAGAGATTTTTTAAGATGGGCCACAAGAAGCGGGGGGAATCGCCAACTTCAAAGAAATCGAGTCGCTCTTCTGGAAAATCCACACCGTATCAGATGGCACCTGACAACGTTCCATTCGCGGACGATCATGGTCTCAATTCCAAGTATGGGAAGCTTGGAAAGGTGCTCGGTTCAGGTGCCGGGGGTTCAGTTCGACTGCTTAAACGTAACAGCGACGGGGTTACGTTTGCTGTCAAGCAATTCAGGGACCGTCATTCTTGGGAGACGATGAAGGAATACTCCAAAAAGGTGACTGCTGAATTCTGCATCGGATCGACTCTTCATCACGGCAATATTATTGAAACATTGGATATCATTCAAGAAGGGACACATTGGTATGAGGTTATGGAATATGCGCCGTATGATCTGTTTGCGATTGTGATGACAGGGAAAATGTCGAAAGAAGAAGTTGCCTGTTCTTTCAAACAAATCCTCAGCGGTGTGGCCTATCTACATGGGATGGGCCTGGCTCATCGGGATCTGAAGCTTGATAACGTTGTGGTTAATGAGCACGGGATCATGAAACTCATTGATTTCGGCAGTGCGGTAGTTTTTCGATATCCGTTTGAAAACGACATCGTTCTTGCTTCTGGTAAGTTTTGAGAGTCTGACTTGGGTATGTAGTACTGACTGTTCTAGGAATCGTTGGTTCCGATCCATATCTAGCTCCAGAAGTTTACGATGAAAAGAAATATGACCCGCGCCCCACGGATGTTTGGTCGTTAGCAATCATCTTCTGCTGCATGAGCTTACGCAGATTTCCGTGGAAACAACCGCGAGTTAGCGACAACTCTTACAGACTCTTCGTATCAACACCAACACCCGGTACACCCGTGCCAGATGCTGATCCGAAACGGCATCGACCCGTCAAATCAGCACCGAATCTGACAATTGCTGCCCATGAGGAGCAATCTTCACACACGCCGCGGACTAGCGAGGGCCGCCCGACCATGGAGACGCCGCCGCGATCTCCGGTAAAGCCAGTTCACCAAGAGGAAAACCGGCCGCCGGACGGTCCGCAGGACAAGCCAGCAGCAACCAATTGCGACAACAAGCCAAATGGCGGCAACAAACCTACCCGCACCACAAGCAAGGAGGCTCCTCCGCTCCCACCAGGCTCGGCGCAACAGTCTGCTCAACGCCAAGAAGTCATCAAGGGGCCTTGGAGGCTCCTCCGGCTCCTCCCTCGCGAGAGTCGCTACATAATCGGTCGCATGCTCAAAGTTAGCGTCAAAGACCGAGCGAGCCTCGACGACGTGTTGACGGACGAATGGGTTCGGAACATCAAGGCGTGTCAACAGGAAGTCTCCGGAGTGGTGATTAGGGCCGAAGGTCACACACACGTCCTGGAGCCTCCTGCTCCCAGTGTACCGGTTGCCAGTAAGGCCAAATAAGTCAGCCAACAGCTTGTGTATAATGATCAACCCGAAAAAGCTCTGTCTCTCTATCTGTGCGCTCTCGATGCATGGCGTCTGTTCCTATAACGCCCCTTCCGTTATGATTCTTTACGGCTTTGCTAATTACAACTAGACTAATATGTCTTGCCCTGTTTTTCTATGCTGTCATTACCCTAATTCCTGTCTGATCTTTATTCCTCTCTATCCCGGCGTCGTGGTGATGTGGGGTGAAGTGGCAGCAGAGTGAGCTATTACGCTAGAATCATTTCTTATCATCTTCTGCTCTGCTGTGAGTGCCATTCTCACTGCTTTCTTTCTCATTTTTGGCTTTGCTGTAGTATCGGCCTCAAGACCGGCTTGTACATAGGTTGAGGTCCGGCTGCACTTTCTTTCTGCGTCTCTTATATTACCTGTCCTTAATAAATCTGCCACGAGAGAAGCTAGCGATAGATAAGAAATTAATACAACTGTCTGATCCTCTGGTCCACATCGGCCTAGTAAGTATAGATAGCTTGTAGCAAGTTAAACCGACATCGGCAGCGATAAGGAACCCTCCGCGGGTGGATTCCCGAGCCCGACAAAAGTTGTCATCCCCGGAACGCCGCACGCACCTCATCGTCTTTCCAACTCTTCAATTGTTGCATACCCGGTTTTGTTGTAATAAGCAACATGCTAAGCTGAAAATCACAATCTCCTAGCAACATTACCAACATCTTAGACTGCACACACCCACCATGACCGAGTCACAAGAGCAGGAGCCCTTGGTCTCCTCCCTCTGGACGAGATCACTAATCGTACGCTAAAGCCCCATGACAGTTTTAAACTTGCCAAACTAACCTCCCATCTCACCTCTAGTCCGGTGCAATAGCTGGCTTGACAGTTGACTGCTCCCTCTATCCCCTCGACACCATCAAAACTCGCCTCCAGAAAGCCCGACACCCCGGCTCCGCAGCCGCAGCAACACCCAACCTCTCTCTCCGCCAAACCATCCGCGGCATATACGCAGGCCTCCCATCCGTCCTCCTCGGCTCCGCCCCCTCCGCCGCATCCTTCTTCATCGTCTACGATGGCGTGAAACGCGCTCTTCTCTCCTCCCCTGATGCACACTCGCAGACCACTACCGCCGCCCCATCCCGCTCCCATATAATCCTCACGCAATCACTCGCATCGTCAATGGGTGAGATCGCCGCGTGCGCTGTGCGTGTCCCGACGGAGGTCGTCAAGCAGCGCGCGCAGGCGGGCCTATTCGGTGGATCGAGTCTTGCGGCGTTGAAGGATATTCTGGCGCTGCGGCATGCGGATCAGACTGCTGCTGCTAATGGTGCGAAGAGAGGGCATGGGCAGGTTGTGAGGGAGCTCTATAGAGGTGCCGGGATAACAATTGCGCGCGAGATCCCCTTTACCGTGTTGCAGTTTACCATATGGGAGGGCATGAAGGAGGCATATATGAAGCGGCGGCAGCATTCGCATGGTGGAACTATTACCACCGGTGAAGTTATTGCAGGCCAGGTTCCCGCGTCGACGAGCGCAATGTTTGGCAGTATTGCCGGAGCAATTTCGGCCGGGTTGACGACGCCCTTGGATGTTATCAAGACGCGGGTTATGCTTGCGAGGCGCGGAGATGGGGCCGCGGAGAGTGTGCGGATCCAGGCTATTGTGCAGGAGATTTCCGCTGAAGGGTTTGGTGCGTTCTGGAGAGGGGTTGGGCCCCGGGTTACATGGATTGGGATTGGAGGAGCGGTGTTCCTCGGAAGTTATCAGTGGGCTTCGAATACATTGGAGGGGAGGTCCAGGCGTGAGTAAGGTGGGTGTATAATATGCTGTATATATATGTGGTATAGACTGATACATTAGAGATAGAACGTATTAGGAAGATTAAGCCGTCCTAGCTGCGGCAACATCCCGCTTAAACACCTCACCCAGCTCCTCTCTAACAACACAGTTCTGCAGCGAAAAGGACACAGCCAGCTCCTCCAGCTCCTTCTCCGTCTTCCCTCTGAACAACTCTGCCAGTTCCCACCCAACATACTCACTCAGCAACATCTCGCGAATCACACGCTCAAATTGCCGCTCAAATGTCCACTGCTTCGGATACCGGCCCTTCTGGAATTTCTCGTCCACCATCCCCTTGAGCGCAGCGAAGAATTGTCCATACACACCCTTGACCGCGTCGCGGGGCACAATCGTCCAAAAGTCTAGTCCCAGCCGTTGCTTCTTCTCCAGGAATGGTTGGATCAACCTCAGATATGCCGAGTCCTTCTTCACGTACGTCAGTCCCTGATATCCGATGTCCTTATACAGCCAAATCGACCAGCTGATGCCTTCTTCCCGATACATGGCTAGCTGCTGCTCCAACAATGCATAGCGTCCTGCGTTTGCTGCGTTTGCGGCCTCGACGCCGTCCCGGTCGGGGTCTTGGTACACGGGTCCGAACTCGCCGTTCCAGATCGGGACACCTGCTGCCCGCATGAAGGTTATCTTGCGCTCAAACCCACGCCGCAGCTGCTCCTTCTGCGCCTCTGTGCCTGTGTATTGCTCCATCCCAGGAAATCCATACCAGCTGTAGTCGTGGATGGAGTATACCGTGTTGGGTAGTGGGGGTGTGTCCTCGAATGCCCTAAAGTCCATCGCGTATGTGTTACCATCCAGGAAGAGCATATGATCTGGGTCCACGGCGCGGATGGCCTTCTCTGCCCGGTCGTACCATGCCACTAGGCGGGCTCCGTGGTTTCCTTTCGCGTCGAGCGTTGGATCGGCCGGCTCATTGAGAGGGTTGTATCCAGCCACAACAGGGTTTCCGGCATACCGTGCAGCTAAGGCCTCCCATAGCTGTATGGCACGGTCTTGATGGTCCTTGAACTCCCAGAAGGTCGCCCTCGCAAGGCCAGAATCAGAATGCCAATCCTGGTTCTGTCCTCCAGGAACCGCATGCAGGTCAAGAATTACATAGATGTTATGCCGCCCACAGATTTCAATGCACCGATCGAGCAATGCAAAGCCCTCCGGCTTGATTTGCGAGGGGTCCAGATCATCGATGAAATGCCTATAGTTGAACGGTATCCGGATACAGTTGAGCCCGAAAGACGCAAATAGAGCAGCATCGGCGTCTGTGAAAAAGTGGTGTAGAAGTCTGTCGAAGAAGTACTGTGCCCGCTGCTCGCCGAGCACAGAGGCCATTTGGGCGCGGTGCTCATGCTCGTGGCCAGCGTAGCCGGTTATGAAGTTCTCCATGTTGAGCATGCCGCCAATGGCCGCACCCTTCAGGATGACGGTTTTGCCGGAGGGGTCGACGAGCTTGCTTCCACTTGTTCGGAGCATTGTGCAAGGTGGCAGAGTGCCGTTGGTTTAGTTGGCCATGGCTGTTTACAGTCAAGAATTGGACTGTTGAGGGGTATAATAAGGTATGTTAAGACAAATGGTGGTGTTATAGGTCCTCTCTTAAGACAATTTCTACACTGACTTATATACCTCAAACCCCGCTAGGCATTGCATTGTGGAGCACTCGAGGTGCGAGGTATATGTTGTAGTATTGAGCCTCTCGAGCGACACTCCCCGACAGGCAAACAACCAGCCAATCATGTCCACTTTGGGTAAATGATTGTTGAACTTGGCTAAAGAAACCATTTTGCCAAGATCTTTGCGTCATTGCAAAGAAGAAAAGCGGTCATTTCGATTGGCGGATGGATCATTAGGCATGCAGCCTTGTTGGAGAGAACCTTGGAGCGCTGAAGCATCGTTGCCTCCCTTTCCGGTAGCTGAACATCTCCCCCCAGGCAGGCATACTCTTCAAAGCTCGCGAGCATTTCCACATTCTGGAACCATGTGAGCGAGGCAACTCAAGACTCACCTTGATTTTGAAGCTCTACATGATACGCTCTTTCTACCTCTATCGATCCATCTAAACCCTCATCTCTACATGCTCTGTCATCTCGATCATGCCTACTCGCTAGATGCAAATGCTTAGGCGCAGTAGCTCTGCTGCTGGATAAAATGGTGGATAGGGTAAGAGAAAGAAAAAAGAATGCATGGTATATCCTTCAGTTGATTTCTACTAGATTGTGATCTGTCTCTCTGATCACTCATCCGGCCCATGAGGATTAGGAGATAGCAGTACCGACTGTCACTGGTTATGTCCTCTCCAGTCACTATGAGATCCCTCAAAGCATGAAGGTCCCCATCTTCCTTGGCTTAACTCCCCGGTGGAACAACTGATCAATCTCAGCCATAGGCCTTCCCTTGAGCTCTGGCACATAAAAGAAGCTCCAAACCGTCGCGAACAAACACAACCCGCCAAAGACGAAACCTACCTTTCCCTGCAAATTCCCCTCGTCTGGATTCACCATATAGGGGCACGCAAAGTTCATCGCCACACCGAGGACTGACTGCGTCGCCGCCGCAAGACCCGTGGTGCGTGCTCTCAGCGCGGCGCTACTGGCCTCCCCGAGGACTGTATATGCCATGGACCCGACGGTCGCGAAGTAGACAAAGTTATAGATGACCGTCAGGGCGGCCTGAACCCATTGAGCACCAGAAGTAGGGACTACGTCCATGATTCCAATGAGGAGCAGGACGGTTAGGAGCGAAACCATGCCGGTCAGGAAGACGGTGCGGCGGCCGAGAGAGTTCACGACGAACCAGCTGGCAATGTTGCCTGCTACTCCGCACGCCGTAACCCCGACACCCAGGTTGAAGCTCTTCGAGTCCCGCAGCCCTGCGAGCTGGAAAAAGTACGTCGAGTAGCCGAGCACGAAGATGATTCCAGAGGCATGTTGACAGACGAAGACACCCATGCTGATCATCGAGCGCTGCAAGTCTGTTCCGCGGAAGCACTGCGCCCATGAGGTGTCGGGAGAGTTCTCACGCTCAAAGATGACAGTTCGTTCTATGGCGGCCACTTCAGCTTCGATGTCGGCCCTGGGCCCGTAAAGTCGGCGCAAGGAGCGTGCTGCTTCCTCACGGCGTCCCTTGCGGACAAGATGCCAGGGCGTTTCAGGCGCGAAAGGGAGGCAACCGAGTAGGAAGACAACGAACACGAGTTGCACAGCAAAGGGTGCTCGGAAACCCCAGTTATCCTCGCGTTCACCGAAGCCCCTGATGACAGCACTTGAGAGGAGCTGTCCGATGGCGATGCCCAGATTCACGCCGGACGTGGCCAGGCCGCGGAGCGCAACTGGGGTGATTTCAGACGTCGCCAGCGGGGCCAGTGTGAGCATGAATCCGAGACCGCATCCAAGGAGTATCTTGACGGCCACAAAGCCGCCGTGGGAGAGGGTGAACATCTCGCCGAGGATGCCGCCGGTAAGGAGGAGTATGCCGATGAGCATGGCGCCCTTGCGGCCAATGCGATCACCCACCCAGGAGCAGATGAAGGCACTGAAAAAAGCGCCTACGCTGGGTACCGTGTTGAAAGCCGTCTGCCACTTGGCGGGGAGAATCGCTTCGCCGTTTTCTACATATCTACTCGTATTAGATCAGTGTCTTCTCAGAGAAGGGGAGAATAGTGCATACCCAAAAGCGCGGCGGAAAGATGGCACTGAGAGAACAGCTCCGTTGATCTGGGAGTCGAAGCCCCTGTCTCGGTCAGCGTTTATGCTTGAGGACTTTCGAGGTCTTCTCACCAGGCTACACCCGCCATGCCCCAGTAAAAAGCCCACCAGACCACAGCTGGGCTGTCGGTGACGAGTTGATGCAGTGACAGCTTGTCCCTGGCATTGCTCGCTGCAATTATGGTGGCATCTTCAATGCCAGTAGCAGCTGCTTCTAGCTTATCGTCGTCCGCTTTCTCGAGTGACGATCTGTGATCCATAGTGCTGCGCAGCTAAGAGGATGTATTTGAGATAGAGTGCTGAATGTGAAGTACAGATGAGTCAAGCAGCCGATGCGCTGGGTTATATAGAACTTGGGTCTTGGGTAGCTAGAGACTAGAGGTGTCGAGGACCTTGAAAATCTGGGGTAATTAGGCTGAATCCTTCTGTATGGGGTGCGTCGATTGCGTCTTTTGGAAGCGTGGACTGACGTTCTGGCCTGTTGTTCCTCACGACATGTTGAAAAGCGCAGATTGCCCACTCAATGAGGAGACTCGGCATCTCGATGTTCATGGCACCTCCCCAGATTCAGCTAATCCCGAAGATTTCCCGTGGCAAAATGCGACTCGCAATGTCTTGGGAGTGAGGGGTGCTGCTGCATGAATACCGTTCGAGCGACACTCCCCGACCCCAGATTTTCTCCAACTCTTTCAGCCGACATTCCGCGGCCTCCCCACACTTTCTCTCCTTCTACACCCAACCCTCGAGATACAGTGATCATGCCAGAGACTGCCGATAGATCCGGTAAAGAGCGCAAACGGCCGGCTCCTCGTGGCACTGCCTTTTACCCCCGCAAAAGAGCGAACACTGCGTGCCAGGTGTGCCGATCCCGGAAGACCAAATGCGACAATCGCAAGCCCAGCTGCTCGTACTGTCTCAGTGTCGGCGCTGTCTGCAATCAATCACCGGTGGACCTGTCGAGTTTTGACCCTGCTAGTCTCAAGATACTTGAGCGTCTCGATGAGCTAGAACAGGTTGTGCGGGAGCAGCACTTGGAGACGACTTGGAGGACGAGGGCAGCTGTCGTCACTGAGAACGCCAACAGTCTCGGGCAACCTGCTGCTTTACCACCAGGAGGAGAAGCCAAAGAAGCCCGGCTGCTGAGCATCTCGCCAGAGTCACCAGATCGGTTACTACGCCTGCCGGTATTCGGCCGCCGGTCCCTTCCAGAGGGGCCTTTGGCCGAGGGCCCGCCCAGAGAACTACCGGTTTCTCGGGAGCAACAGCGTCAATTTGTTGGGTTTGACACTTCTTTGCCCGGTGGCGTCAGTGCCCTGCTTGATAACTTCTTTGAATACGTCCATTGCAAAAATCCGGTATTGGAGGAGGCTTGGACAAGACGGCTTGTGTTGTCCGTTGCACTTGAAGGCGCAGACTCGTCAGCAAGCTCCTGTCTAGCACTACTCGTTTGTGCGCTGGGAAGGATCGCGGCGCCATTCGGAGTTGATACAGCAGCAACACAGGATACAGGTCCAGGTAGTGCTGCCTACGCCGAATCCCAGGCTCTCTTCCAAGCTGCGCAGCGTCGCGTTGGCGTCTTGATCGTGACCGCCAGAGAAGAGGATAGCCTTATAGCGCCGCAGTGTCTCCTTCTTTCCGGGCTTTACATGATGTGCGTATTTCAGCCATTCTCAGCTTGGCAGTTCTTCATGCAAGCTCTAGGCGCTAGTCAGAGGTTTACCTTTCTGCGGCGCATGTATGCCGGCTATGAGCACAATGGCATCGAGGCTGTCCATAGTGCCGCCACAGCTAGTCGTGGCTGGCAAGAACAGGCCGTCTATTGGTCGGCCTGGAAGTCAGAGCGCGAGCTGCGTCGCTTTCTCTGCCTACCCGACTTTCCAGCAGCCGGCGAGAATGGCCGTCTTTACCCACCAATGTTCCCAACGCCCCCAGCTGTTGTCTCAGACAATTCAGCCGATGAACAGCGCCAGCGCTCGTCGTGGCTTTTCTACTTAGCCGAGATCTCACTCCGGCGCTTGCTGAACAGGGTAAGTGGAGAGATCTCAGCTTTGTATAGTACGACTACCTTAGGGACCCAGGGCAGTGTGGAGCCGTCCTCTACAGGCGACGAGGTAAATCTCGCATTTCTTACACAGCTCGCTGCTCTCGTGCGAGAGTACGAAGAGCAGGGCCGTCAATGGGCGGCTAGTCTACCTGTTGAGCTCTCGTTGGACTCACCGGCCGAGTATGACAATGTGTGCCGCTTTGTGTTGCGTGGGCATTATGCGGAGTACCGCGAGATTCTCTACTGGCCTTTCCTGGCTTACTGCTTGGGCTGCTACTCTCCAGTTGCCGACCTCGTTCAGCTACCACCTCAATCCACTTCACCACTGTCGCAAGCTGCGAGTCCGGCGCAACACATGCCTTCGCCTAGTGCTACCCAGCAGACCTATATCAATCAACTCGCTGCCGAATGTCTAGAAATCCAGAGCTTACGCATACACATCAACAAGCCAGGTTTCCGCCATCGGCACCACGGCACTTTGTTCCTGATCTATGGCTGCGTACGCAGTGCTCTGACCCTTCTGGCTGCCGCACCGACGGGCCTTCAGATGCCTCGAGGGTGGCAGAACGATGTCGCATGTGTCCCTGGCGACTTACTCCCCTCCTGGCAGGTTGAAATGCCGTGGTTCGCATCATGGCAAAAATTTCTGTTTGAGATATTAGATCAATTGTGAGAAGCGTTTATCTACTCTTGTTGAACCTGTACAGCAGAGCGCAGCATGCATTGACCAAAAGACCCCCTATATGTATAGAACGCATCATGGCTCGTGATCTCGAAGCAGCCATGCCAACTCCCGGACCTTATCCTCAGTGAGAAGCTTCTCCATGTCTTCCGGAGTCAGGAAATCATGGTCTGCCACTTCAAACCCCGGCACGACAGTCTCGGTTATGAGCAAACCTGAAGGTTCACCTCCTTCTCCATCGCCATCCGGTAGGAGATAGCTCGCCTTATAGTCGCCTCCCTCGACAACCCACTGCAACCGCTCCCCGCGGTCAATACCCTGCCCGACAACAAACGACTCAATCGACGCTTTTCCTCCCTCACACGCTGCCCTATCAGCATGAATAACGACGTACCTCCCCCGACCGCGGTGCAGCGTGTGCACCGTGCGGCTGCGATTGCGATGAAATGCCCCCCGGGGCGAGCGGGGTGTGATCAAGTAGAAGATTGAAGTGCTTGCCGCTCGTGTTCTATCCTCATCGTCGCCGTCGCCCTTTTCCGGAGGATTGCTCTTGATTTCGGTATTTATGCCGAGGATACTGTCGTTGTGCTTGTTTATACTATGGACATTTTTGCTGTCATTATAGTACGGGTTTGCGATCCGGAGCGGGTTGCGATCGGTTTTTATGAAATACCCACCTTCAGGATGTGGGCTGAGGCCTAGTGTTGAGATGAGGTGTTGCGTTGACGACGACTCGGTGGAGGGGTTGCTAGGGCAGGGTATTGGGGTTGGGGGATAAATCGGTTTTATGCTTGGGAGGGGGGTATCAAGTGTCATTTTCCTGCAATAGTATGATAATCTTCTACATTGCTTGATAAGGGCAGTCTAGTATGTAGGTTTTTATACAGCCTCTCAAAAGCAGACTGCGTCAGTCATCGTCATTGTGCCATTGCAGTTAGATTATCCACTTTGACCCATCGTTTAACTGAATTAGGCCCCGTAGTTGCTGGGTCTGCTCGCGTGGTCAGTAGATAGATATCGCAGCTTCAACTGGAGTTCTATACACTGAAGTTCTTTTGAAGCGAAAGCAGCAGCGAAGAGATCGATTGACACTTGGGCTTATTACTGGGATGATGATGGCTTAGGAGCGGGAGGCCCAAGTAGATTAATAAATCCATCCACTGGGGAGGATGCCAGGAATCTTCCCACGCGCCTCCAAATCCCCGCTTCTCTCCTCAGCCTCCTTCTCCTTCTTCTCCTCCCCTCTGCGAAACAGTACGTGTTGCTGTCCTCGATTTTTGTTTCTCTTCTTGTTGCTGGAGTAGTTGTTGTTGGTGCTTTCGTTTGCAGCTTCAGATGGTTGTCTCCACCTGTCTTATCAGACGTTTGTGAGTGATCATCCTCACACCCTCCGCATCCTCCGCACTTTCTCTCCCGCACTCTTGAAGCCGTCGCCATTGCCTTTTGCGACGCATGGCACGCAAATTAAGCCATCAGAGGGTCACCTATGGTAAGTTTCTTCCCTTGAGATGTCTTTTCTTTGTGTTTCTTCATCCCACCATTTCCCCTCCAATCTCCCTTCTCCAGCATCGCAGCAATGCAGCAAACGAAGGAACTGGAATTGCATGACGCTTACAACAGCGTCTGCCTTTTTCCAGTGCTCCCTCCACCTGATGCCCCCGGTGGTCATCGACTAGGTGTCAATGGCTTAGCGATCGACTCGGCAAATTCCACCCTGTAAGTGTTCCAATTTCCTTCCCGCGCGACTTCACCCGGAAGGCAGAAGCGTTGCTGGTCGCGCGCATCGGTGTTACTCGGTCTTCTAACCACGATCTCTGGAAAAGGTACTCAGGCGGTCGCGATGGAGTCATCTGCTCGTGGGACCTCGATCTTCCCTCCCTTACCTCGCCTAACGCTCAGAAACCCGGTCCTACGAAGTTTCGGAACCAGATTCAAGCACACACCCATTGGATCAACGACATTGTGTTAGTCCAGAACAACTCCGCCCTCGTGTCTGCTTCGTCCGATACCACTGTGAGGCTATGGCGACCCTCTTCCGAATCTACAGATGTGCCCCAGTCGATCGGTAAACATACGGACTACGTCAAATGTCTTGCGTCTCCAAGCCCCCATTCCACCTGGGTTGCGTCCGGCGGCTTGGATCATAAAGTAAATCTGTGGGATCTTAATGGAAAGGGCCAGATCCTCAGCATTGATAACTGTGGTGGAACCAAGACGACAAAGGGCTCGGTTTACGCTTTGAGTGCTGTGCCTTCTATCGTCGCTAGTGGTGGTCCAGAGAAGCTCGTGAGAGTCTGGGACCCCAAGTCGGGAAAGGCGATCACAAAGTTCGTGGGACACACGAATGTGGTTCGGGATATCTTGATCAACCGTGATGGAGACACTATCATGACCGCCTCGTCTGACCAAACCGTCAAGATCTGGTCTCTGACGGCTGGTAGATGCATGCACACCCTGACTATGCACAACGACAGTGTCTGGTCGCTTTACTCAGACCACCCCCAGCTCTCCGTCTTCTATTCTAGCGATCGCTCTGGCCTGGTTGCCAAGACTGATACGCGCAATGTTTCTGATATTGAGCAGGGTATATGCGTGGCAGCTCTCCAGGAGCATGAAGGTGTGGTCAAAGTCGTGGCAGCGGGCGACCATATTTGGACTGCAACTCCTAAGTCCAGTATCAATCGCTGGAGCGACATTGATACGACTGCCGAAATCGATGCTCCGAAAGAGCGTAGCGCATCGTCAGAGTCTACCGAAACGAAATCGGACGATAAGTCAGCGCCAAAAGGAAGGCCTGGTAAGATACCGTATGAGTCGCTTCTACTACTCTCAACCACGTCTACTCTTCCTAGCTCGCGTCTACCCGAAAGCTTTGCTCGTTCTACCGCGGACGGTCTCCCCTCGTCGCCACGTCCAGACCTTGATGATGATTTGGGTCTCCCAATTCCGGCCTATGCCCTGCCCGAAGAGACAGTTGAGGGTCAGCATGGATTGATTAAACACTTCCTTCTAAATGATAGGAAGCGCACTCTGACTCAGGATTCTGCTGGCGAAGTCGTCTTGTGGGATCTACTTAAGGTAAATTTGTTCTCTAGATCTGGTGAACCAAGCTAACAGCGTCTAGTGCGTACCGATCAAGTCGTTTGGTAAACGCCATATGGACGATGTTGCATCAGAGGTCAACACTGTTGAGAGCGTTGCCCACTGGTGCTCAATCGATATTAGAACTGGAAGACTGTCGGTGATCCTCGAACCCGGCCGGTGCTTCGATGCAGAAATTTACGCAGATGAGGCCGACCTAGCAGACACTTCCGAGGTCCGCGAAGACCAACGCTGTAAGTTGCCTCTTTTCGTACGTGTAGGATGTGCACTAACACAAGGCAGTAAATCTGGGGAAGTGGATTCTACGTTGGCTCTTTGCTCCGTTGATTGATGAAGAGACTAAGCGTGATGCTGAATACCGCGCCGAGGCTATAGCCAAAGCTGAAGAACTGGCCAAACTGCACAGCGAAACTGCGCCGGTGGATATTCCTGGTAAATCGCTGACTCTTCCCATACCCTCAGACCCCGTACACGGACAATCCCTAGGTAGCCCTACTACACCTGGATATGGAATTGGCTTTGCGACAACTCCCGGTTCTTTGACATCGTCGGTCCTCAATCCTGCTGTTGGTAGCCATAACATGGGCACGTCTCCTGGAGAGTCGTCCGATTATTTGATGTCGCACCAGGGTGCCGATATGGCCAGAAGCTCGATGTCTGATAGATCGAGCGACTACTTTTCTTCGCCCAAGACACATGGCCCTGTGGACGCGGATAAGCCGTTGCCGACTCCCGGAGAGCAGACTCCCACACCTACACAGACATTCGGAGAACCTGACAAGGAAGAGCGCAAAAAGGGCGGCTCACTCTTTGGCAAGAAATTCCGCATGGATTTTCCCAAGAAACTGGGCCGCACCTCGTCCGAGGTCAAGCCGCAGATTCAGGAAGAGAAAGTAGAGGAGCCCGAACCCTCGTCGGTCAAGGAAGAGAAGGTGTTCGAGAGTAGCCTCAGTGGTCTGATCGAGCGCACTCGTCACGAGTATGAGGAGTTTCTCTCAACTCACCAGGGACAGGAACTTGCTTCGGCATTAACGCCTAGCCACCCTAGCGAGACGCCTGTGTTGGATATCCCGCCTCGCACAGTCGTCTTTATTCAGGAGGAGTCCGGTGATTCGGTTGTTGCTTCGGACCTTTACAGAGGACCCATTGAGAATATCAGCCAGGATATCGACAAACTTGAGAAGTCAGTTCCATTGTGGTTGGCTGATTTGCTTCTTAAGGTATGTGAAACAGAAATATGCCGCCAGTACGAGCTAACCTGTCTAGAACCAAATGCCCTTCAAAGAACCCGTCAAGCTTGCCTTCACTCTCAAGCCGTATGATGACTCGCTGCCTCCCGTCGTCAAACCAGACCCGTAAGTTCTGAGACATGATGAGCCAGGCTGCCTACTGAAACTATACAGAACTGGCATCAACGGCGCAAACAACTCCCGCTTGAATGCAAACCGGATGCTCCGGGCTAAGAAGATACTCGCCTATGTCTCGGAGCGTATCGAGGAAGCGACTGGTGATCCCATGCAGGATATGATGAAGCCGGAGGAGTATCTTGAGTTGTACTGTCAACACACTGTAAGCACTGCCCCCTAAAGTTGCAAATAGCATCCGCTAATCTAACTAGCTGATACCCTCCAACATGACCCTCGCCACCATCCGCGCGCATCTGTGGCGCACCGGAGGCGACATGGTCCTCCACTACAAATCGAACGGCAAGAAGGAGATTCGCCTGATCGGTTCTCAGAAAGACAGTGGCGACAACAGGCCCACTCCCGAAGCAACACCACAGCCTGAATCCGGTAGCGCTCCTCCCCCAACCGGCGAGGATGCAAGCGCTTCGCATGGCAGCACCGCTTCTGGTTCGGCTTCCGTGCATAACACTTAGGCGTTGTGACTCGATTCATTGCATAAGTGCATCTGTTTGAGTACTACTCGATACCTGTTTCTCTTTTTCTTTTCTTTTTTTCACCCGTCTAATGCACGTCTGAGACGTGGCTAGCACCACAATTCGGTCTCTCGGTTATGGCGCTGAGTTGCGATACCTCCCCATGTTTTGTTCTTTCCTTTTTTTTTAGCGGCGAGAACCTTCTCTGTGTCAAGAAGGTCTAAATCTGTAGTCTATGATGAATCAATGTCAATACTTGTTCAACGCCTACATAAACATACTATCTAATCCTCCGATCACACATCACGTGCCTGAGCCCTATAAAGCGGCAAGGCCTTGCAAACCTTGCCGCGACCAAACTCTACAGAAACCCACCCACCCCATGGACCGTACATGGCCGTAACAGTCTCTACTCTCCTGCGCTCATCAAGCACGGGTCCAATCACACTTTCACAATTCACCGATGTCCTGCAGCGAACATGGACCGAGTCGCGTCGATTTCGGCCGGGGATGGCGGCGGTGTTGCCAAGGAGATTAGGTATGTTTTGATCCTACGCTTTAACAACAAACATCATACTGATGAGCAAAAAGGCCTAGCTGTAAGCGGCGGGGCTGACTCAATGGCATTGGCGTATCTATGCCGGGAGTGGGAGAAACAACAACAGCGCAACAACCCCAGTGGAAACCCAGCCCCCAGAACAAATGGTGATGACGTGAGCGTAACAGCTTTCATAGTCGACCACAAAGCACGTCCCGAATCCACGACGGAGGCCCAAACCGTCTCCGCCTGGCTCCAGGCCTTGGGTCTAAAGACCTCCATCCTCCCACTAACCTGGCCGTCGAGCAGTCTCACAAGCTCGGCCTTTGAGACACATGCTCGAAGACTCCGGTACCGCGCTCTAGGCGAGGCGTGTCGAGAACACGGGATTGAGGCGTTACTCATGGGCCACCACCAGGACGACAATGTCGAAACGATGATTTGGCGCCTGGCCTCAGTTGCGAAGGGGGCGGCGGGGCTAACGGGGATCCCGGGGCTTGCGAGGATTCCCGAGTGTCATGGTCTTTGGGGGGTTTCGGAGAGTGGGAAGGGTGTTTCTGTTTCACCGGGGGACTTTGTTCCTGATCTTGCACCTGGGCAGGGACGGGAACAGAACCGGCACCAGCACCAGCAGGAAGGGACCAGGATCCAAGTAGCGACTGGCGGCATCCACATCGCACGCCCACTCCTCTCGTTCCGCAAATCTAGCCTTGTGGCTACATGTGTTGAGAACAGTGTTCCCTTTGTCGATGATCCGACGAATTTCGATCCGACATTGACGGCCCGGAATGCGATTCGGTCGATGCTCTCAAAGGGGTCTTTACCCCGTGCTCTGACGCATCCGTCTATCCTGAGTCTTGTTGAGAGGGCACAGGGGAGGGTGAGGGAGTCGTATCGGCTTTCGGATGAGACTCTGGCAAAGTCCTGTAGATTGCTTGATCTTAAGTTTAGGGCTGGAACGATGACGGTGCAGTTTTTGTCTTCGCCTTCAGCTTCGGAACATTCTTCAGAAGCCCAGAAACAGGCGCAGGAGATTTCGTCTCAACCTCGACCGCAAATCCAGGCTCTGACACTTCGCCGCATCACAGAGCTCATATCCCCATTTCCAGAGAACCACTGGCCATTATCGAGCTTCGCGGACTTTACGGATCGTGTCTTTCCCTCCGCTCCTCCTTCTTCACCATCTACTCTGGGGTCAGAATCACATTTGACACCTAATTCAGGATCAGATGCGAGACGGAAGGCATTCACCGTCGGCGGAGTCCTATTCCAACCACGTCCTTCCTCGCCGAAGTCAAAGTCAAAGACGACGGCCAATACTACTCTGACGGACAACGACACCAATAAGTGGCTTCTAGCCCGGCAACCCTACTTCCGCAACCGAGCTCCCACCTTACGTCTGGACGTCCCATTCCCAAAACCAACCGATACCAATAAAAACCTAATATATACCCCCTGGACTCTATGGGACAACCGCTTCTGGATCCGAGCTGCGGCAAGCCCGATTCCGGACCCTAACCCTCAGCTCACTTCAACTCCAACCCCGAACCATGGCCAGCAAACCGAGATCCCGATTATTATCCGCCCGCTCCAGCAGTCTGATCTCTCACTTGTTCGACGAATGGACGCTGTGCAGAAGCGAGCGGGGAAAGAACGTATTTTACGTCAAGATGAGATATCTGTTCCGCGAATATCTGAGGATAAGCGGGACAACGCAGAACTCGATGCACGTGCATTTTTCGCGAAATTAAGCTCAGAAGCACCTGGCCAGGCGCGGTTTACACTTCCTGTCCTTGCTCTCGATGATGGAGAGGGAAGGGGGTGTAGACCGCTGGCATTGCCCACAGTAGATTTACTGTTTCCGGGGTTTCCGGATCCAAGGCCCAACTCGAACCTGTGGACGATACGCTGGGAATGGAAGTATAAAATGGTTGATTTGGACTCGTTAAGATTAATGGGTTTGGTATAAGCTATGTACACAATCTACATGAGATATGAAAGTAGATAAGGAGGAAAGGAAGGAATCTGCTCCTGTGTCACTCAGACAAACCAAACCGACGAGAAGCACGGACTGACGTTGTGTTGTCCTTCTGGACATATGTACCCGATGACCAATCGACAAAAAAAGAAAAAAAACAAATAAAGAAAGCGTGATCTTCAAAAGAATGAGGCCAAATGGCCATTTCCTAAGCATATCCAAACCCTCGTAGACGCCGTCACCGGACCTTGGTAAGAAAATATCAAAACGCTCATTCGCCATATGCTCATATCCAGACCAAAGAGAACAGAAAAAGGCCCAGGGCATCCCAGCACCAGTCGTAATGAGTCTAATGATCTGAGCTTGCCCTGAGCAAGGCAACAGCTGCTTGCTGTGCGCGAAGTCCACCAACTTCTCTCTTGAGCCGGAGATTCTCCTTCTTCAGCCTTCCGATTTCGTCCATGGCGGAAGACAGCTGTGTCTGTAGAGCGCCCTCTCCGTCTCCAGTTTGGACCTCTCTCGCAAGTTTGCCTAGCTCGGAATTGAACCGATCATACAGTGCTTCGTTTTCTGCGCTAGCCTCGCGATATAACTCGTCCAGTTTTTTCGCTCGTTTCTCGCTGACAACAAGAGACGACTCCAAGTCCTTTTCCATGGTAGAGGTTCGGCTGGTTAGCTCACCTGATAGTGTTTCAAATGCCAGCTCTAGATTTCTGATGCGAGCTACCAGGGCTGCGGTGTTTATGCCAAAAGTGTCTTCCTCTGCAGCACCAGGAACAAGAGCTGTGTCCGTTTGTAGCCGCACTGGCGACGGTCTCGATCCTCGAAGTTCTAGGCCAATAAGCTCTAGCTCATCCTTTAATCCTAGCTGGGCAGTGGCCTGTGCTTTCTTTTCACCCTGAAGACGGTCTCGGAGCTATGCACAGATTAGCCATGTGTCAGAAAACCGGTTGGGATGTCTACTATATACCTTTTGAGGGCTCTGCAACCGTAACCTCTGCGATCTAGTCAAGGAAGAGGATGACAGCGGACGCTTAACCTCTGATCCGTTGGCTTGCACAGACCGCTCCTTAAGCCCAGGGGCCTTGGAGGAAGGTATACTAGGGGCACGAGACCGACGTTTAGGCTCTAGGGTAGGCGAGACGGATCCTTCCATCTTCTTTCTTGGAGATCTATCGGATGGCGTGTATATTGGGTCGATGTTCTCCTTCCGGCTGGGAGTAACCGGGCGGACTGGCGAGCGCCGACTAGGTGATCCTGGTCTTGGAGGCGAGCTGCCTTTGAGAGGCGACGTACTGCGTGCTGTAGATCCTGATCCATGACCGGTCTGAGGCCGGCCAGGTTTTGACGGGGTCGCGAGATCGGCTGGAAGATTACTCGAAGAAGACCCAGGAGTCGTAGGCCGCGGCCCTTGGCTAAGAGATACAGCAGACGTTTCTGAGGATGCCGTGTCCGGCCGTAGGTCGGACAACGAGCTTCGCCGCTTTCGGCGAACCCTGACCACCCCATTTGATGCGGCCTTGATCATAGATTGGGGGTCTTCCTGGGCACTGCCGGGCCGCCGAAGCGCTTCCTGTGATAATGACGGCCCAGTCCGATCACGAGATCCGGGGCGCAGGAGTGTACCCAAGCTGGTATCGATATCTATTGACCTTGAGCGAACAAGTAACGATCCTTTCGGCGTTCCTGCCTCCGAATCATTGGAGCCCTTGTTCTTGCTGAGGGTCCGGAGGATTGAAGCGACTTTGCTTTCTCCGGAGTTTTCCCGGTGGAGCCCAAACCCAAAGCGCTTGCGAAAAGACGACGCATTAGAGCTAACTGAGCCTGAGGTTTGCGGGGGCTTTGTCTGCTCGTTCGTCAAGATCCCTTCAAGTGACGAACCGCCCGGGACAAATTCCTCGAAAAGATTGTCAAAATCATCGACTAGTCTGTCCAAAAGAGAAATGTGTTGCATGGGGTCGCCTTCCGATGTTAGAACCTCTGCAAATGCAGCCGTCAGGGCGCCTCTGTCGCCATCACTTCCAGAGGCATCCAGAAGATCTGCGAGTAGGCGAATAAGCGAGGCAAGGGCCCGGCGGTTCTGCGGGCTCATATCGGCAAGAAATTTTCGAAAACATTCCTCAAATTCTCGAGGAAACATGGCATCGAACTGACTTTGTAACAGCTTTAGGCTTATAGGGTCGATGACCGGCCCCATGTGCTCCTTCCACGCATTTGCCATGAACGTTTCGAATGCCACAAATAGTGTATCAACCGCCACCTCCGCTGCTGCCTGAAGCTTTGCGGGATCTTCGAGCAACACGTTGTATAACTCGTTGACTCCTGAACGGTCGACGTTGTCCCTTGTCCGGAGAGTACGTCCAACAATATTCCCACTCCGTGACTGCAGCGCCAGGACGTAAGCGGCAAATGCTTGTTCGAGCACGGTAAAGGGACTATCCGCGACTTTCGAAGGTGTTGTGCCGACAACGGAAACTTTGACCGGGGTCTCCTCCTTACCGGGGAACGAAGAGGGCAAGGTATTAGACCGTGAGATATTAGCGCGTGGTGGAGGCATCTTTGGGAATTCGCCCAGTAGCGTAGCTGAGCCTGGTGCTTTAGAGCTTGAAGTGCTACTCTCCCTTGAATGACCACCGCCCAGCAGGTTTGCAATTAGTTTAGACGGCGATGGGGGACGGAAGCCACGGGGTGTCTTGAGCTGCGAGGCGAGATGGCCAGCAAGATATCGAAGTACCGCAAAATTGGATTGCACCAGTGACTCCGTCATATTGCTATTTCGGGTGTCATGCAGGGGCTGCAGGATGTTCAATACTACAACAGTCAGCAACCAATCAAGGAAGGTAGGAGGCCATCAGTAGCGACTACTCACAGCGCTTAGAGAGGACTGGCACGAAACTCTCGAACGTCACAACGTCCGACGAAGGGCTACCAACTATTGAGTCCATGTGCACACGATACTGGTCTTCGGCCATGACAGAGACGGAAATGATAACCTCGAGATCTGAACTGCCCAGTATCTTGCTACAAACTGTCCTTGGCGTGTCGAAAACGACTCTGATCTTCGAAGCAGCAGGCCGGTTCGCCTCTGCATTCTGCTCGCCTTCGAATACACAAGCTAAGATGCCGAGGTTGCCCACAGTTCCTGACGGACTCCGCAAAGTCCATTTCCCATTTTCTCGCTCACTCTCTGTGAATCGTCCCTCTATTTTTGCTTTGATGATTTCCTCAACTATTCGACCAGCGCGCCCTCCGTACATAGCGACAGGCTCCAATGCCAGAAGATCCACGGTGGTGTTTTGGGTAGGTCTTGAGGTCACTGACGCAGGAGCCAAGAACAGGATCCGGCCGCACGAGGATTGCATGCAACGAACGGTATGAAGATCATACACTTGTACGACGCGAATTTCTGTCGAAGAAGCACACACTGCAGAAACACCCTGGGCTGTCGATGACGCATTGTCGAGTTCAGCCATCAAGCCACGGGCGGTCAATCTACACTCCGGGGCTTTGGCCAATAGCACCAGGCAGTTCTTGTACAGTAACATAATTCCTGGCTCTGGATCGATATCCGGAGGGTCCAAGTGATATGGTGGCGATAGCTCGTTAAAGTCGACAGCGGTAATCAATCGGCCAGTGGGTAGGATGGTTGAAGGCCATTCATCAACCAACTCTTTCAAACGTTGGAAACCTTGATCGTGGTTCGTAGAAGAAGGGTCATCCAGGGAACAGATATCTTTGATGATATCTCGTGCTTTCAACAACGGCCGTACAGCAGGGTGTATCAGAGGAAGACTGCTCGTCATGGTGTCTATCAGCAGACTATAACGTGGGAGTCGTTGGACAGGCTCCATGAGTAGCGACCGCAGTTTTTGTTCCCCGGTTTCGTACACACGTTTCGAGAAGCTCGAATGCTTATCCCTCATGAATACATTCAGCGTTTGAGTAAAGGCGTTGTGAGCACGCATATAGTCCCCATAAGGTTGTGAGAACTTAGGAAACCACTCCAGAAGCGCATTGGCAAATGCGACAGCACCAATCGCATCTTTTTCATCCTCAAGGCTCCGTTGAGACGAAGAAGATGGCAGCTCCGTATCCTCTGTGATGTCGCCAATCGCGTCTCTTTCTGTATCTTCCAGCACATTTCGAATAACCTCCAAAAAGCCCATGTTGACGTCGTATATCTCGTTGAGACATGGTGGGAAAAGTGTGGCCAGGTCAGTCTCGCTAGGGCTGGTGCTGGAAAGCGGTTTCCCTTGAGCCCTCGCGCGGAACTCTTCTGCCACTTCGCACACGAGTGTATAAAGCTTGCTCACATATCTCTCTTCTGTATCCACTACCTCACACATGGTTAAGCGAAGAGACTGCTTTTGGCTCTTAGAAAAGAACTTGGACCTGCTGACATTGGTGGGTTGCGAAGGGGCTCTTTTTAGGCGAGAGGTTGGCAGGAACATGGGCGCACCCAGTGCTGATATAAGAGGCGTATACTTCCCGTACTGAACAGCAGCAGTATCTTCCGCGTCGATATTCTCCTCTGAAATTTGAGCGTCTGTATCAGCCGTCTCGGGTGGCTTGATAGTCCCCGCGGGGAGCACAACATCGATATCAACCCACGGGACTCTACGCTCTTGAAATGCGCCACGAATATCACGCACTATATCCGTTGTGTTATCCACCTTCAGCATGCGATTCGCCAAGTCCGCGGCATGCATCTCATCAAACATCTTCGGGATCTGGCCTCCAGGTTTCCCCGCACGAGCAAGAGCCTGCAGGCATTCCTTTGCAGGATCCGACAGCTCAGCAAAATATTTCAGCATGCTAACAGCCAGACCACGGGATATCTCATCGCCTTGTTTCTCTCGGGGTAAATGGTTGACAGCCGCGTATAGTGGTGCTGCGGGGGAGATAGTGATGCGCGGGTAGCTTTGAAAACCGGCCGGGGTCAATATATGCGCCTGGATGCGCGAACTGCTCACAGTTGCATTGGCGGTGGAGACAGGACCGTAGAAGACAAAGATGGTCGATAATAAAGGATCTGAGACATGGTATAGGCTGAGTTGGTCCAGAGGGAGGTGCGACGGCGATGAAGAAGAGGTCGCCATGGTGAATCAGGAAGGTTGGCTCAGCGCCGCGCGCGACGTCGGCGGAGCGTGCAGAAGGAGAGGAAGGAGCGAGAGTTCAAAGGGAAGTAGCTAAATTAGTAGACGTATAGGAAGAAAGAAGCAGGACCGAAAGAGAGAACTGGTAAAAAGGTCCAAGTTGCTGGAAGGTGCCCGGGGACAGGGACGGCCCCGAGGTCAGCTGTGGGGAGAGAGCGACGGTAACAGAACACCCATCCAAGATTAGAGTAAAGCCGACATGAGAAACTGGTTGAGTGACATGATAGAGAAGGACAGTGAGTATTAAGTTCGGCGGTTTTGGCGATAAAGAGACAAGCAAAAGAGCGAATAGAGGGTCGTCATGCGATGGAAGGAGAGAGAGAGCCCCTCCATCGAGGCTGGCTGGGGACGGTGGCGATGAGGAGAATGAGGAGAAAACGTAAACCGTCGCACAACTCGTCCTCCTCTCCGACAGAACCCTGGAAACAGACCCTGGAAGGGAGGCCAGATGAAAATTTTAAGTCGCAGATGTGTTGTGACGATGATTTGTTGTGGTTGGAGTTGTTGACCTGCAAGAGCGAGACTGCGGCTGCCGATGATTTGCGCCCACCCAGCGTTAGCTGATGCAGTGGAGGGCTCCCTCCAGCTTAAATAGATCTGTTTAACTACTTTGAGATCTGATCGATCTGTGCTGGGGATTCCATTCGAGACCGTAAAATCGTCCCCATCAACACGTGTACTGCTGCTGCTGGTGGTCACCCCAGTCAACAGAATTATCCGAGAATAACAAAATACAGGTCAACACCATGGAGCTTCTCTGCGGTTTGATGTTGTTTGATCCTATTTCCTGAAGCAAGGAGTCATCCTGTCATCTCCGCTTGCATAGCTTGGGATTTGTTTACAACTGTTCGACTTGGGTGGGGAACTTGAATGAAGCTCCATCCTCTTGTTTATCCTCACCGCCGAAGCACAACCATGGGTCGATCAACTAACTAGGGGGCTGTCTTTGATAGCGCTGGATAAGAGCTGCAAGCATGAGGTCTTGCCTTCCAGATTGTCGAGGGGTTGTCCGGATCTGGTATTTCTCCTTTATCGTAAAGATTATGATTCCTGACATTGTGGGAACACTTCCTGTCAAAAGTTCCTGAGAATCTCGAGGACAACGGGGTCGGAGGATCTCCTGCCCTACAAACCACACCGCCCGTGTAAGGCTAAGCCTCTTTGGGTAATTCAAGCGCTAATCCTGTTTAGGAAAGCTGCCTCTCCGCCTTCTGTAGCTGTTGCGAACTTGTCCACATCGTCGGCCGGCCGGTATACAACTCCGCTCTCAACCCTCAACTTCGATTTCCCAGGGCCATGATTTGAGTCTGCTCCTTGCTCGGGCAATCTCAACTTCCGCCGCTCGTTTCTGCCCGTCATGGCTTCCCCATCCTTGCCCATTGCTGTCGACCCAGTCGCTTTAGTAACGACAGAATGTATCACCGTCACCTCGGCCATGCGGAAACATGCCCGCTGGGCTCACTCTTCCGTTGCTGCCATACTCGGCGGCGGTGCTACTTCACGCGTCTATGACCGCGACACCTCAGCTCCCTCCAGTCCCCCCAACGGCATCACACCTACCCGTCCGAGATCGAGACAACACTCCGCAGAAGACGACCATGCCCTGGCGAATAGGTGGGGACTGAGGGGGAAGAAAGGCAAGAGCATGCAGGATAACCCCCTCATTTCCGCTTTTACTCGACTGCGGAGTGATCTCAAAGACTGCAAAGATATCAAGTCTTTCGATGCGCCCTCCTTGCTACATCCGTTCCTTCAAGTCATCCGGTCATCCTCGACCTCCGCCGCTATCACCTCTCTTGCCTTGCTTGCCTTGACAAAGTTCTTCGCTTACAAGATCATCGACCGTACATCCCCGAGAATCTCCATGGCCATGCAGCTGCTGTCAGCAGCCATAACCCACTGCCGATTCGAAGCCAGCGATTCGTCGGCCGATGAGATTGTCCTACTAAGGATTCTAAAACTGATGGAGGGCATGCTGTCGGGGCCGGAAGGTGAACTTCTGGGTGATGAGAGTGTCTGCGAGATGATGGAAACAGGTCTGAGTATGTGTTGTCAGGGCCGCCTCTCGGAAGTGCTCCGGAGGTCTGCTGAAATTGCAATGGTCAACATGTGCCAAGTCTTGTTCATGCGGCTATCAGTGTTGGATGCTACCTCCCAACCATCGGACCTTGATATTCAGAATGCAGCTCAATCAGGAGAGGGTCAGCAAGCAAACTTCAAGATGGACCCTTCCGTCGATGGAGACACGGTTGCTTCCCAACATCCTTCTGCCATGGGCTCGGACACCGGTGTCACAGATCGCGATCATGCCAGTTATGACAGTTCTTTTGACCAAACGCTCAATGGCAATGCACTTGCCGCGCTTCCTGAATCTGAGAACGAATTGGGAGGCGAAGTAAAACCCTATTCATTAGCTTCTATACGGGAACTGTTTCGCGTGCTCATTGATCTCTTGGATCCACACAACCGACAACATACTGATGCAATGAGAGTCATGGCTCTGAGGATCATCGATGTTGCCTTGGAAGTTGCTGGTCCCTCAATCGCCAGGCATCCCAGCTTAGCGTCCTTGGCGCAGAACGATCTGTGCCGTCATCTATTCCAACTCGTTCGATCTGAGAATTTAGCGATTCTTACTAGTTCTCTCAGAGTGGCTGGAACACTACTTCTAACTTGCCGCCCTGTCTTGAAGCTCCAGCAAGAGCTCTATCTATCGTACCTAGTTGCGTGTCTTCACCCGAAGGTAGACATACCGAGGGAGGCCGGTATTGACCCTGCTCTATACGAAGGAGTGCCGCAGGCGCCGAAACTCGTGAAGCCCCCTCCCTCACAGAATAGCAGTGGGCGGTCTACTCCGGTACCAGTGAAAGATCGACAAAAGCTGGGTCTAGAAGGAAGCTCTAGGAGGCCCGAGACCAGAGAAGCAATGGTTGAAAGTATTGGCGTGCTGGCACGCATTCCGAGCTTCATGGTCGAGCTCTTTGTCAACTATGACTGTGATGTCGATCGAGCTGATCTGTGCGAGGACATGGTCGGTTTACTCTCTCGAAGTGCCTTTCCCGATTCAGCCACATGGAGCACCACCAACGTGCCTCCGCTCTGCCTGGACGCCCTCTTGAGTTACATTCAGTCAATCTACGACAGGCTGGATGACTCGCCTGTTGTCGATGACTTTCCATCAAAGGAACGTCTAAGGGACCAACGCCAGACGAAGAAAATCATCGTTCAGGGGGCTCAAAAGTTCAACGAGGACCCCAAAGGCGGAATCGCCTATCTAGCTTCAAGAGGCATAATTGAGAATCCAGACGACCCCGTTCAGGTCGCTCGATTTTTGAAAGGAACCACCCGGTTGTCCAAGAAGATCCTTGGTGAATTCATCTCCAAAAAGTCCAACGGGGAACTTCTCGATGCTTTTGTCGACCTTTTCGACTTTTCGGGGAAAAGCGTAGTTGACGCCCTTCGAGACCTCTTAGGTGCCTTTCGACTTCCTGGCGAGTCTCCTTTGATTGAACGGATTGTCACTACTTTTAGTGACAAATTCATCGAGAAGGCTCAACCAGCAGGAATTGCCGACAAGGATTCCCTCTTTGTACTAACATATGCTATAATCATGCTTAACACTGAGCTCTACAACCCGAACGTGAAGTCTCAGAACCGTATGTCATGCAACGACTTTTCGAAAAATCTGCGGGGGGTGAATGCGGGTCAGGATTTCGCTCCTGAGTTTCTACAAGAGATATATGACTCCATCAAAGAGAATGAAATCATCCTGCCAGATGAGCACGATAACAAGCATGCCTTCGATTTTGCATGGAAGGAGTTGTTGGCAAAGTCAGCTTCCACTGGGGAGCTGGTTGTGGGTGAAACCAATATCTACGATGCAGACATGTTTGCGGCTACTTGGAAACCTGTCGTCGCAACCTTGTCCTACGTTTTCATGTCCGCTTCAGATGATGCGGTATACTCTCGCGTGGTAGTGGGATTTGACCAGTGCGCTCAAATTGCAGCCAGATACGGTTTGACTGACGCTTTTGACCGCATCATATTCTCACTTGCCTCAATCAGCACCCTTGCCACGAACAGCCCCCCTAGCACCGCTCTCAACACCGAGGTACAGGCTGGGAAAAAGAGCGTCATGGTTAGCGAGCTGGCCGTCAAGTTCGGACGAGACTTCCGAGCTCAATTAGCCACCGCTGTGCTTTTCCGCGTTCTAGCGAACAACGAGGGCTCGCTTCAACAGGGTTGGACCCATATCATTCAGATTCTTCGAAATCTTTTCCTTAATTCTCTTATTCCGGCGTTCGACTCTAACCTAAATTCTGATCTCGACATCCCCCCAATTCCTTTACAGACGCCATCGCAAGTCGTAGATCGCGATGGGCGAGGAAATGACACGGGTCTCCTGTCTGCTTTTACATCCTATCTCTCTAGCTATGCGGCCGACGATCCTCCGGAGCCCTCGGATGAAGAACTTGACAATACCCTCTGCACAGTGGACTGTGTAAGCGCATGTTCAATTGGAGATCTTCTGTCTAATATCAGGTGAGTCTTATTTCGCTTGTCTTATCTTTCATAGTTCGATATCTTATGGCGCTTTCTCCAACTAGGTCTCTCCCTATCGAATCTGTGACAGTGATTGTGGATGCTCTGCTGGCTCAGCTGCCTGAAGAAAGTGCACCAGCTGTTATCGTCGTGAAACCTGAGCGGCCTCTTCCGTCGTCGAGAGCGAATTCCAGAGCAGGCACCAGTACAAATCAATACGATCCTGGAATGATGTACCTGCTGGAGTTAGCCGCCATTCTCACTCTGCGTGATTCACAAACAATTCAGACCCTCGGTGAGGGGCTCTTGGCTTCTCTTCAAGGTTTCATTCGAGACGCCCAAAATCTTCACTCTCTAGCATTGTCTAGAGTGACGACTTACTTGCTGAACCTGCTCCGGCTTAGCCATGTATGTCCCAAATTTTCGAAGTCCCTACCTATGTACTAATAAGATTTCAGGATCAACCTTATATGCGCGTCCCCGTGATCCTTCATAGCATCTCCAGCTTCGATCAGGACACCTTGGAGAGTGTCGCCGTACCCACCGTCAAGGGACTTTCACGTTGTGTCTTCGATGGTAGTCTCTTGCGAAATGAGATTACAGTCTCTCCGGATTTCTGGTCTATCCTGCAACGACTTCACCAGCACAAAGAAGCTGCGCCCTTGGTGTTTAGCCTCTTAAAAACTGTCGTTGATTCGAGCCCACCGCTTGTAACAGCTGATAACTATGAAACGGCCGTTGGCCTTGCGAATGATTTCATCAGCGCCGGCAGCGTTGGCTACATTGAGGAGCGACAGAGGGACGCACTTGCTCGACGCTCCAAAGGCCACAAACAGCCCAAACCGAGGTCTGTCTTCATTCTCAGGCGCTTATCACCTTCGCATACAGTTGGAATAATGCTAATCTCACCATTGCAGTGAAAATGAACTTGTTTCACGTGCCGTGACCGCTATAGGCTTGATCTACCATCTTACTGGCCGGACCCCGTCTCTGATCAAGCAGTCACATCTCGAGGACGGCGAAGGTTTGTGCTACACTTCTCAATGACTATCCAATTAATTCAGCGGCTAACTCGATGCCTCCCAGCCTGGTCAGCATATTGGTCACCAATATTCCATTCTCTGACTACGCAATGTATCAACCCCTGCCGCGACATTAGACATCACGCAATTTCAACCCTACAGAGATGCCTTCTTTCCGTCGAGATCGGTGGGACTAAGGAGTGGACAGCAATTTTTGACCAGGTTCTCTTCCCGCTAATTCTGCGGCTCTTAAAGCCTGAGGTATACCATTCAGATCCAGTCGGGATGGGCGAGACACGTGTTCAGGCAGCGACTCTGGTTTGCAAGATTTTCCTGCGTTATCTCGACCAACAACCCAACGCCGAAGGCATGCTTGAGCTCTGGCTCAAGATCTTAGATATCCTTGACCGAATGATGAACAGCGGCCAAAGCGATAGCTTGGTAAGCTCTCCCACTATCTTCTTCCGTTTACGACAAGGACTGTCCATTTTTTCTCGGTTTCTAACATTCTTGACAGGAGGAAGCCATCCCGGAGAGCATCAAGAATATCATCCTGGTCATGGCAGATGGCGGCTATCTCGTCCCACCATCCCAAGACCCCAGCAAAGAGACTACCTGGGCTGAAACGAAGAAACGCCTAGACCGTTTCCTCCCGGATCTATTCAAGGAACTATTCCCTGACACGCCCAAGGACATTCCCGCCCCCTCTTCTCCGGCCGCGGGATCCCCGTCAATTACGGCTCCCCAAGAAACGCCCTCGGATGAGAAGAAGGAGGTTCCGACCGAAGGTGCTGAGGCCACTCCTGAAGTGCCCCCTACTAGGAACGATGAGAAGAAGGATTAATCTGTCTATTGCAACCTGCAATGGAAAGCGTGTGGGGATCTTGTCAAGTCACAATCTATTTACTGCTAATTCGTTGATTTACAATTGGGCATTTACAGCGTGGACAAAGCCTGCTCCTTTTTTTTTTTTTTTTCCCTAGATCCGAGAAATGTAAATATAGGTTGTTAGAAGACGCATGATATATAATGGGGCGCATTTGTGGCATAAATGTGTTCGATTCGTCCTGATTTTAAGAGTTACAAAGTCCAACTATATATAAGTACAGATCCTAGACCCTACGCGGACATTACTGGATACATAAAGATATACTACAGTTGATTTGAAGATATAAACATCCTCAATTTCAATCTCAATCTCGATCAGTCCATCTATACACACTAACGCCCTCACGTGAATAAAAATGGTAGGTATCGCAATGAATCATCAAGGAATGACTTGCATGATAGCATAGTAAGACAGACGACCAAGAAACCAGAAAAGGACATATGAGATAGCATGGATAGATATGAGTACAGAGACGGGCAAACACGAGAACAAGGCACACCGATGAGTGACCTAAGCTGAAGTAAATTGATGGGTCTATTGAGAAAGGCTCATGTGGGCTGATAACTCAAGGTGTGTCAAGTAGATAGAGGGATGGATAAGTGGTAAGATGGAGACAATCATTGGTGTGTTTGCGTTTCTGCCCGTGGGTAGGCTTGAGACTGAAAGTGAATGAGAAGGAGGGATGCAGGCATGTGGTACAAGATAGGAGGATAGATCTAGTCAGCATCCATATCGTCGTCGAGATCGATCGCGTCGGGGTTAACAGTGGCAGCGGCCGCAGAGGCTTGCTCCGCAGGAGGTGCCCGGTTGCCGCCTTCAGGACCGCTACTGGCTGCGACGAAGCCAATCGGGGCACGAGCTTGCCGTTCCAGGGCGGCCATGGCATCTGCTGTTGATGTATCCATTTCTTCTCCCTGTTCTGTTGGCTCCCCTGTGCCATTTTCTGGGGCCTTTTGTTGGCTGCGGGCGATAGCCTGGGAAGCAATGAAGTTGACATCAGTGCTATAGACTTGTTAGTTGCTGTCGTGTCTTCCAGTTGGGTTAAGATACGTACTTGTACTGGGCCTGAACACTTCGCTTAATGCGGAGCATTTCTTTAAAAGTATCCTCGTTTCCATGCTGGACTTCGAAGGCTTCCCATTTCTGCCAGAACGGAGCATTTGTGCGTGGGTCGCAGAATTGGGACGCATGTCCGTAGATAGCACGTGCACGATCGATTTCGCCCAGCCTCCTCTCCATTTCTGCGAATTTGAGGCACATTTCCTTTGCTTCCTGGTCAGGCAGAGCAGCAATAGCCCGCTCATAGATTGGCCGAGTAGATGTCAATCCGAAGTTGGACGCGGACTTGGTAATGTAGAACTCGAACATTTCGAAACGATCCTCATCAGAGACTGCTCGAGTGGCACGCTCGTAAATTCTCATGGCGTGGCGCGCCAGACCTCGCTCTTCTTCCAAGTTACCGTACATCAAATACAAGGGTTTGGCGAACTTTGGAGGACAGCCATCGACTGCCTGCTCAAACAAATCCCTGAGTCGTTCGATGCCGATCTTCCGGTCAACAGCCTTGGTCAGATAAAGGTTCCAAAGCTCAAAAGCAACTGGGTATGTGAAGAGATCCAGTCCTCGCTCGTAGACCTTGAAGGAGTCCTCAAAGTACTTGTGCTCTTCCAGGAGATTGGCGAAGTTGACAACTGTCTGAGGGGTGGCGATGCGTAATTCGAAGATTCTCTCGTACACCTTTTTCGTCTCTTCTATGGATGACACACTTTCTACCAAATCCACGTAGAAACTCCACAGCTTCCAACTCTTATGAACTCGCTGTTGAGGGGAGAGGGTCTCATCAAAATAGTCGACAGTCGACTTCTTTGGGGCCTGCGTTGCTTTGGCCATGATCTCAACCGCTTGATCAAAGTTTTCGCCGCGCAACTCCATCTCTGCAAATTCGCACCACGTTTCTGCAAGCTCTGCGACTGATTTGAAAGGAACCTTGACAGCTTTTTCAAAGATGACACGTGCGGTTCCCAAGTCTCCTCCGCGCTCATAGAACTTGGCGTAGTTCACCCAGAGTTCAGAAAACTTGCCAACTGCCTTCTTAGGATTGATGGCAGCAATAGCTGCCGTATATGTCTGGACAATTTCCACGTTGTTGTCTCCCCAAAGTGCCACTCGCTTCTCCCATTCAATGACATTATTGGGGTTTTGCCTGAGAAGCACATCATTGACTAGGAACGGTCGCCGGTCCATTAGCTGCTCGAACCTGAGCATGCGCAGATCAAGATCGAAATCGGCCTCTTCGTCGGCCTGGCCATTGTCGGTTCGAGCGGCCGCCGCTTCCATCAAATTGCCAATGATGGATTCTTCGAATTCGACGTAGGAATCGAAGACAAGTGTGAAATCACGCACTGTCATGACGGTCGTAATACCTTCCTCGAAGACGTCTCGCGCCTTCTCGAAATTGCCCTTCGTAATCCAGTAAGTCGCTAATCCAGCCCATAATTTGCCCCTTTGGTCGGCAAATCGATCAATACCGCTGCGGAGAATCGCGTCCACATCGATCCCGGTCTGCGGACCTGTCTCTATTTTCTTTGCTTTAGAGACAAGCAAGTCAACCATCTCAGTCCACAGCTGGAAGTTACTCTTCCCCTCTTTAGACTGGAACCTAGGGTTGTCGAGAATTTCCATGTATCGCTTCACAGCCTCCGTATACTGGCCCATCTCGACAAGCAAGTTAACATAATCTTCTGCGTTTTCGGGGTGTATTTGCATATAGCGAGCCCAGATTTTCACGGCCGTCTGACCTGAGGCGGATCGCGCGAAATTCTTGTATAATTTCCAGATCCGGTTATGTTGAGTAACTGGCAGTGCCCGTAGTGCTCGGTCAAATGTCCTCCTCGTTTGCGTAACGAGCGGTTGCTGAAGCATAAAGGAAAGATACATTTCCCATATTCGGGGCATCTTGTTGAGTAGAATCAAGGCACGCTCAAAGAGCGCATTGACCTTCTGGAACTCCGCTCGATATTTTGTCGCATTGCGATTTCGAAGATGAGTCGCCCGAAATTCCAGATACTATCATGAGTGGTTAGCACACCGAAAAGAAGTGCGGTAGGGGCGAGCAGAAATTTGATTACCATCTTCCAAAGCTTGTAGGATCGTGGGAGCTGTTTGCAAGCGCGCTCCATGACCTATAGAAGTTCAGTAAGGGATTGAATGGATAATGCTCAAGGCGACTCACGAAGGCCTGCTCATAAAGAGTTCCATTTTGCTGTTTGTATTCGATATATGCAAGCCATGGCTTGATGCTGCCGGGGTTTCGGAGGAGATCTTGCTCGTACACGGTATCCTGATCGGCCTTTTCCAGAGAGAAACACATTAGTATCAAATATCTTGTTCCAAGTGCCGTTTGACTTACAATCAGATACAAATCTGGCCGGGAAGCCGACGATCGATCCATCTGTGCGTGTTGCCGGTGGGATCTCGGGGGCAGGAGTGTCCCTGGCATTGCGCCACTCGCTCGAGCGGGACCAACTCACACGGTCAACACGTAGTCGCAATGAAACTGGGTTGCATGAACGTGAAGGGCTTTCTCGTCGCGTCGGGTTGAAACCATGAAGCGCTTCGGCGACGAAGTTGGCAGTCTCAATCACGTGAGGCCTATCATGCGGGCGGCGGCCACGAGTGGTCCAAGCTTCCGGCTCCGTTCGCAGTGATGTTATCGGCCATGTCGGCGTTGCTCTCCGCCTTTGTTCGACTATCGTGGCTTGAGCCTCCAGTTGAACGTCGTTTCTGGAATCTTTGACAATGTCCGGGGCAGTGGTGAGTTCTCATGCTATATTCATTCTGGCCCGATGGAATAGTTATTAATCTTGGTGTTCTAAACAGGGCCGTGAGGCGGTCTTCCCGACCCGCCAGTCGCTTGGGCTGATGAAGAGTAAACTGAAAGGTGCGGAGACTGGTCATAGTTTGTTGAAGAGAAAGAGTGAAGCTTTGACAAAGTATGTCTCACCCGTCGCAGTTATTACTGATTAGTACTAATGGTATCTGTAGACGTTTCCGCGGTATGCATATCCAGAGACCGACCCCTGCATCGCATGCAACTAACCCCGGACCTAGAGATTACACGGCGGATCGATGAGGCCAAGCAGAAGATGGGACGGGTCATGCAAATTGCTGCATTCTCGCTCGCAGAAGTGACATACGCTGTTGGTGGTGACATCGGTTACCAGGTCCAAGAGTCCGCGAAACAAGCCCGGTTTCGAGTGCGAACCAAGCAGGAGAACGTTTCTGGTGTCCTTTTACCTCACTTCGAGAGCTATACAGAAGATTCGATCAATGACTTTGGTCTCACTGGTCTCGGAAAGGGTGGTCAACAAGTGCAGCGGTGTCGCGAGACGTATGCTCGGGCGGTAGAGACGTTGGTAGAACTCGCAAGTCTCCAGGTACGGACATCATCGACGCACTGTATGCTGCTTGCTGACTGTGTGGAAGACTGCCTTTGTAATTCTAGACGAAGTCATCAAGGTTGTCAACCGAAGAGGTACGTTACCAGCCCGCCAATTGCTCCGTACATGCTAACTTCTGCCAGTGAATGCAATGTGAGGCCACACGTCATACGCCTATATATATCAGACAACTAACCCGCCAACTCAGTGAGCACGTCATCATTCCTCGAACAGAAAACACAATCAAATGTTCGTCTTTTCTGCACCCCCAGTTCATACTTCACTAATCATCCTAGACATCAACTCCGAGCTCGACGAACTCGACAGAGAGGAGTTCTACCGACTTAAGAAAGTCTCAGGCAAGAAGCAGCGTGACAACGCCGCGGCGGATGCCGAGATTCAAGCTCAACGCGAGAGAGAGGCTCAGAAACGACTAACCGCGGGTGAGGAGCCGGAGAAGGAGAAGGAGAAGGAAACCCCAGATGCGCCGGACGTCCTAGGGGAGCAAGAAGACGCGGACGTCATTTTCTAACTTGTTTATTCCCTCGTCGACCTTGTATGTAGTCTTCATTCCTATTAGCATATAAATGTTCCTTTCACCATATAACCATGCCTTTTCATTTCCTTACAGCCTACGGCTATGCTAGAATATCGCGGTGTCCCTTAGTCGTGATACAGTAAAACGGCTCAACAAAACCCAGCCCCAACGCCCAAAACAAGCAAGAGAAAAGCACAACCACCTCACTGCCTTTGGTACGTAACCCGGATCGCCTTCCCCTCGGGTCCCATTGCCATCCCTGACGTCGCCTCCTTCGCGCTGATAGCTCCGGACTCGCTCTCGTACTCCACGAACGCAATCCCCTTTCGCCCAGGCACAAGTCTGACCTCGCGGAACCCCTCGAAGCGCCCAAACATAGCGGTTAGTTGATCCTGGTCCGCCGTATCGGGGAGGTCCCGCAGGAACAGAATCTTGTTTGGTGGTAGGTACTCGTCGGGAATGACGGCTGCCGCGGCGCCGGACGTAGGCTTGAGGCCTGCCCCCTTGGCTGTCTTTGCTGGGCGACCGGGGGCCTCGGGAGCGCCGCCGGATGGACGCTTGAGCTTCTTCTGGGCTTCGAGGGCTTCGTGGGCTTGTCGGCGTTCTGATCGCGGGTGTGATTATTAGCAATCTCCTCCCTTGAACTTCCGCAAATAGAAGATCACGGTAGGAATAGGAGACACGTACCTTTTTCCGCCAATCTTCTCCTCTTATGCGCCTCGAGCTCATCTTCCCCGCCTTCTCTCAGGACCGTCGCATCGCTCCTTGTCTTCGCATAGTCAAGGACCATGGGCTTATCGAAAAGGTCGAAGCCATTGATCTCATCAATGGCGCGGGTCGCAGACTCGACGTCATCAAAGACGATAAATGCCTGTCCTTTTGCGCGAAGATTCGTCTTCGCAACGATTTCGAGGATGTTGCCGTATTCGGAGAAGATCTCGGAGAGGGCTTCTTTGAGCTCGTCGGGCTTGATACGTTCTTCAAGGTTGCGGACCTAGTGGGGTGTGAGATCGGACTTGCTTGGAAGAGAAAAGATGGAGGCTTGGGAGTGGACATACGTAGACTCTACATTGGTAACGGTGTTAGCTTGTCTGCATAAATGAAGCTATTATTGTTTCTTCGGTGAGGTTTGATGACGGGATGGGAGCTCACGTGGAATTGGGGGGGATACTCGTAGGAACAGGAACGGTGGCCATCTTTGCTACGGGATAAGGCGTCTCGTCGCAGGCCAAATTATCGTGCTTCCAATTGTTCGGCGTGTTATATTATTGCCGTCGGCCTCAGTCAATCGTTCGCCGCTTTAGCAGCGGGCTCCGGGGTCAGGTGATTGAGGTGTAGGAAGGAAGCTAAAAGGAATAATTTTTAAGAGCTCCATAATGCAGTATTTTGCCCACAATTGTATCAACTGGCATCATTGGTCTAGTGGTAGAATTCGTCGTTGCCATCGACGAGGCCCGTGTTCGATTCACGGATGATGCATTCGGATTTCTTTTTGTCTTTTTGCTTTTATCATCATCCATATTTGTGTCAGTATTGCAACTTCAGGGCTGCTGTCTCTTTTTTACTAACCGCTATGCAATCATTTACAAGCTAATAAGCCCCTGACCTCCTCAACCTTGTCCTTCAGTTCCTTCGGCTGCCTAGTCCAATCCTCTAGCTTCACCACATCAAGTTCCGTTTCCATGAACAAATACTCTGCTGTTGCAGCACGAACCTACTCCGAGTTAGCGACAATATATATGTTTGGGAGCCAGTACGTACTCTTGGAAATGGATGCAGCAACAACCCCGTCAGCTTCTTCAGCACCTCAGCCCGTACTTGCTCCAGTCTCGAGAGAGGTGCATAGGCCCGTATAGCCGCTTCAAGCCTGGCAATATTCGCCGTCTTGAAATGCGCCCTCTGGATAGCGACAAACCACTTTCTTAGACTGCACAAGATCAGTACAATACTTATCATGAAACCTTGCCTGAGAAACTAACCTTGGATCCCAGAATCCAGGTGCCGAGGCGATATATCCATCTAACAAAAAGGCCGATAGCTCTAAGATTGGTATAGCATACCGATCATCTGGAAGCTTCTCGTTCAGAATTAACTGGAAGTCTTGGAGAATCGAAGTCACTGTTTCGGACCGCTGTTCTGCTGCAAGGGTGTTTATGTTCTGCACCAAAGCTGAACGGGCCGATCGAATCAGTCCTTCAGACCCAGCAACAGCAGAGGTAGCAAGGCCCTGTAACAACGGAAGACGTAACCAGTCAACTGCCTGAAGTCCAAGCAGTTGCAGAAAGTAATCGGGGGAAGATACTTGGCTAAAGTGCTCATAGGGTCTACAATAGTCAGTATAAATTCTGCTAGCAGGACATTGAAATTCATACCTCTGCAACGGTGGGAAGTCGTGGGCAGATTCCCAGAATATTTGGAGGCAAAGCCAGGCCTCGAGACGGACCTTGTCCAGCTTTTCAGCTGCAAGACGACAGAGACAGCCGACTACGTTCTTGATATAGGACTGGCTTGCGACGCCCGCCTCCATCTGAATGACGACTCTAGCTGCCTGGATACCCTCTAATCGAACCAGTGATCCGATATCACCGCGCCTGTCTGTTGTATAGTCGTTCAGGAAGCCGATGAGACTATTTGCGATATCGTCGGTCACATCTACACTTGGTCAGTTCTGTTACCCGAAGACTTGAGGCATGTACAGACCGATATGCTGTAGAACACCGGTTGTCAAGCTCTTGACAGCGGCAACTCTTTTCTCAATTAGCTCTTCTTTCTCAGCACACCGTACAAGTTCCTCAACGATGGCTTGCCGAGAACCATCGCCAACATCAAGTTTGCTGAAAATGGAGCCCAGAACTGAAATATGACCTCGGCCCGTGGGCAAGTTTCGAGTCGTTCGAAGGTACGTAAACCAACCCTGTATAATCTCTTCCTGCTTTGAGGACGGCAGTAAGGGCCAGAGCTGTGAGATTGCCTTTGATGAGGACTCTATAGAGATATCGTCGCTCCTAGAAAGACAGAGCAGAAGAGTCTTGCAAGCATGGCCAAGTAACGTGTGCGACGGCAAGGAACCTCGGAGCTCTCGGACACAAGAGAAGGACTGAGACAGGGAGAATATAAGGCATGAAGATGCTTCAGCCGTGAGTTCTGGGCGGGAGGCCTGTAGCGTCAAATCGTCCTTACTCGGCCCAATGGGTAAGCCGAAGATGTCCCAAAAATCAGCTATCTGTTGGCCAACACTGCGTGCGTCATTACTGGCATCGCTCTCGGAAGGTCTCAAAGCGATAAACGCATCGATAACGGCAGACATTGCAAGAAGGCACCCATGCCTCGTCTCGACATCGCTGCGAGGGATGCTGTGAAGTTTGTTGTGTAGTTTGTTTAGTACCATACGCACAGTGTTGCACCCTTTTTGCGTACTCAGAACCCCAAGTGCTGTTGCCGCATGTCTCCTCGATTCCCGATCCGAAGAACCAATGCCTCTCCATTGCATCAGCGACTCGACCAGAGGTTCCCAGTATTGAGTGCTCAAATCAGCCGTAGCCTTTGCGACCTCAATCATTGCCCTTGACCGCCGTGCTACAGCATGGTAGTCTACCACCTGTACGAGAGGTATCCCCTCAACAATGGTATTAGGGTGACGACCAATAAGCTCTTGCAGTGCGGCAGAGGAGCCTCTCCGAATATTTCCTGACGGATCAACGCAGGCCGCACAAACGAGCTCAATGGCGAGCATTTGAAGAATGCTAGTCTCGGACTGATTTGTCGAGGTGTTGATGGCTTGTCCATTTATTGCGAGCAGCTCCTTGGTCGTATACTTGCGCGACAACGCCCATATACCAAAGCATGCGGCATCTCGAACACCAGTACCGACGGAACTCCCCGTAGAAGATCTCTGTTCGAAATCTAGCCCGGAAACAAGTGGCTGCAGTACATTGGGTAACTGATGAGTCGGAGGAGCACGACGAAACAAGAGGTGACCGAGGGTAAGGATCAAGCCTTGCCACCGTTGCGCGTCAACTGCACTAAGGTTTCGTTTCAGCGTGCCTGTTCCAATCCGCCTTGCCTCGGCTGGCGTGATAATCGTGCCATCCCTCTTCTCGAATAGAATATTGTCCTCCAAAGAGCCAGTGACTGCCTCAATGACCTCATTACCCATGTCTGGATTCAGCTTCAAGGTGACAATGCTCAGCGCTTTACTCGCGGCGAATCGTACAGGCGTGTCCTTGTCCGCAAGAGCCGTCAAGAAATGATCGATTGCCTCCTCTAATATGTAAGAGATGTGATCTTCTGAGAGTACACTGTTGCTTTTCTCGCTGAGGGACAAAGTCATTACAGTGATGGATCGAAGGAACTTTATGATAGTCTTTCGAGCCAGAGCAGATGACAAGATCACCCGAGAGACTGGTGTGGCGTGTTGAAAGAGACGCATAGTCTGCTTGAAAGCAGGAATTATAAGAGGGGAAAAGTCCTCAGCTTGACCAGATGCAGCCAAACGGGCAAGGAACGAGAGTATTCCGATGTACCCATAAGCGGCAGAAGGTTCAGTGCCAGCAGGAGGGTGGATAACTGCAAAAGCCCAGTCAGTCAGGATCTTCAAAATCCCTAGAGCCTGCATATCCCGGCGCAGGGCAAGTCGTGCAAGAAGCATTGTTGCGGCTTCACGCTCCTTTCCTGCGACATTGACATATGTCAGTGTCACCGAAAGCAGGGATCTCGCTACCGCGGGCGTCTGCGGCGACAGTAACTCAAGTGGCCCAATACCCTCGTGAGGTATGGGTATGTCGTCTGATGACAGAGAAGACAGATCAAACGGCGCCAGCAACAAGTGCGACAGCCAAATGAGCATCACATAACGCTCCTCCCAGATCAATCGCTTTGATATGTCTGCAGCGTGATCCTGAGAATGATCCGGCTGAGCTGTATCCCACTCAATAAATGCCCGCAGCATAGGGTCAAGGTACTTAGGTTCATTGTTCAAAAACCTGCTGATAACTTTGACCCCTCTAACCTTACAGAAGGTGTACAGCAGCCTGCAAACAGCCCTCGGCAGGGGATAAAGAGCCTTGTGCTCCTGACTAGATATTTTGCTCGCATACTTGTTTCGATGGGCTAGCAAGTATGCCAAAAAAGCATCAACAAGCGTGGGCAAAAGCGATTGCAGGTGTGGATCGAGCAACTGCGGCCACTCCTGAAACGGTTCCAGCTGTATGTCGCGGTTAGCGGTGTTTTCAACACGATAGCCACTGAAGAAACATCACAACCCACAAGATTGACGAGCCTTTCAGTTTTCGAGGCCAAGGTCCATCGCCGCGGGACTCGGGCACCTTCCGGGCTGGCTGGTGGCTTCCAGAGTAGCGAAGGCAATTTCTCCAGGAACTCTTTGACGAGGTCTCCTGAAGCCCGCTGGAGCTTGATTTCGCGATCATCGACTGCGTCCATACTGCAGCTGAGCACCTTTCCGGGAAAACCCACAAACCGTATCCAGTCAGCGAATGAATACAAGCAGCGGGGGTTTTCGCCAATCTTGAAATACTATCACGTGACGTATCTTCATCTATAAGGCTTTCTATTCAACAGATATGCTCGAAATGCAGGTAAAATTTCTACGGAACAAACCAAGGAGAACCAAAGAAACAAAGTTTATTAACAATAGCAAAATATACATGTACCTGAAAAGCCGCCGGCGGCCTAAAGATCCTTGTCTACTGCACCGCGCTTCGCAGTGTTCACGTAACCCCCGTAACCCTTTTCCGAGAGTCGAACCATTGTGTTTCGAATGTGCATAACGGCGATCGTCATTGACAGGGAGTTCCAGACATCTTGACCTCGCTCGGCAAGGTCAAACTGCGAGATGAATTTGCCATCAGCAGGCTGAGCACGTTTCAAGAGATCCAGGTCAAATGTCATTATAGCGACAACAGGACCGCAAATGATGAACCCAACGAGTAAAGGCAATTCCTTCTTTGAGATCGTCTTGGGGTTAGCAGGCTCGTCTTTCTTAGGCTTTTCGATGATGGTGAACGCCTCGTTCAGTGCCTTCTGGTGTCGTAAGGCTAGTCGCTGTAGGCTCTTGTTGACTCGCTCTAAGGCATGCAGAATAGACTCATTCTTTCCCTGGGCATGTACGACATGTACTGGTAGCGACCCAGGGCCAATTTCAAGGTTCGCATCGTACAACGCCCAACGGATATATCTCTTGATGGTGTCTTTGATCAAGCGTTCGGGTCGTTTTTCAACGATACTGCAGTCTCTCACACGCCCACTGAGGGAGAATAAATTCGCCAGTGATTTAATCGCTGCACATAGAATTAGTACAGGAGCGGAGTGAACTGTGTCAAGTAATGCTGAGGCTTACCATGAAAAGTAGTACTTCTGGATATCTTGATGATCGGCTCTGCCCTCTCCTTCCCTGGCTCTGGGAATAAAGAATCGGGTAGGGTGGGAAAGTCAAACTGCCAGTGCTTCGGGGCAAGAGGCTCGAATCCACGCATGGCGAGTTGCAAGAAGAGAGTTTTCTCCTTCTGGGTGTACAGGTTCTTGGGAAGCTTGACTGCACCTGCCATTCGCCTCTCTCGCTCACGATCGAAGTCAAACATCACCGTTGCTCTTTCGGCTCCGGGAATATGGTATGCCTCGTCGGCTGCATTCTCCCCATCTTCGTCGTCGCTGTTTGAGGCAACGTAATTCCGGTCGTCATCTCGCACATCTTTTTTGCGCATTCTCCGAGAAGTCGGCGACGGGGAACTCTCATCGCTAGACGATGCGAAACGGTCGTTGTAAGTTGCGGCTGTGGCTTTTGTGACTGTGACCGTCGGAGTTTCCTTCTGGACAGGCCTTGTGACAGCAGGCGCTGCAATCGGAGCACCTGGTTGCGTTTTGGGCGAAGTAGGTTTGTCGGCTATAAGACGGGCTCCGTTAGTTGTATTGCAGAAACTCTGAACCCGAAAGTCATACCTAGTTTGAGCTTCTTGAGCCCAGAGGCGGCATAAGTTGCAGAGCTCGCTGGTTGAGGTTTCGTAATCACTGGCTCGAGCTTCCTCTTCAGCGGAGAAGCCTTTGGCTTAGGCTTGCTCACATATACAGAATCATCATCGTTTGGTTGATAATCATCATCTGGGAGGATTCCTCCAGACTTGGCCTTGGGCTCTAAGTGAAACTTATCCTCCAAACTCATGATTGAGTCGTCGTCGTCACTACTAAAGTATGAAGGTGGTTCAAACTTCATCTTGTAGCGGATGTTGGTGTTGGTGTTAGGGTTCTTGGCCAACCGCGGAATGAGCTACCGCGAGGTCGTTCAAATCCTAGTAGAAGTGCTTCAATAAGTCGGTTTGTAGATGTATACACAATGTGCAAGAAGATTGTCTGGTTCAAGTTGATGGAAAGTCGAAATGTTTCTTGAAGACGAGACACGGGCGGGAGAAGGGCATATGACAGTTATGAAACCTACCGTGCCTTTGTTCTTGAGAGAATAAAGGTACTATTTTCATATGTGGTCTGCCGATGCCACTGGCTGGCCCTCTTTCTTGTGGTGGTGAAAGAAAGAGAACCTGAGGACAAAGGAGGTGCAGCTGGAAAGATTGGGGGATCGTGGAAGGAAGTGCCCAGACGGCGAGTTTCCCTTTGAAACGTGGGACATAACACTGTAATTTGACATATTGAAAGGTAGAAGAACTTGAACAAAGAGACAGATGGCGAAACAGGGGAAGGAGCTTTTCGAGCGCGGTGTTACTGAAGAAGAGTGGAGGGAAACCGAGGATTGAAGCTGAAAGAAGCGTCCGACTCCCCGACGTATGTAGGTAGATTTGCATAGGCCGGCACATCCGAAGCTTGACAGGTGAAAAACCAACAATTTTGCATCCATTCAGTCATACAGCATTATTAGATGGAGTATAAAATAACTTGACAGAAAGACAAATTGCATTCCTTGAACGGCCAAATTGAGCAAACCACCACAAGGACATAGCACGCGTACCTAAGAACAACAACAAAGTACAACCCCCCACCAGCTTTCCCCAATTTGCGCCCCCAAAAGTATTCACTTCGGCTCTCAAAACTCTTATGGGTATGTATGTGCAATGACTATGATTCCGGTGAAAAAGTACAGAAGACAACCGTCGAAGACCAAGAAGCAGGAAGATGGCATAAATCCAATCACGCATATTTCGAGGCCGGAGAACTGTGAACTAGGCAAAGTCCGCTGTGTAAGAGAACCCGCGGAACTCTTCCTGCATAGCCTGGGAGAGAACTACAGACGAAAGAATTTAGTATGAGTAGCAAAGCAAGTAACAAGTGTATACATACCAGATTGCACGGGAGTCAGAACAGGAGTAACGCTCGTGAACTCCTGGTCGAAGTTGCTAGTATCTGTCGGACTGTCGATTTTCGGCATAAATGGTGGTGGAACCCGCTTGTGGTAAATGTCATCCCAGTTTACGCTTCGGAAGAATGCGTGAGACATAACCTCTTGCGCATCTGTGGGCCCGGAACCCAATCGCAATTCAGGCTCGCGTGTCAACAGCTTCTGGAGAATGGAAACCGAGTCGCGCGGCATGTGGATCGGGTACAGAGGCTCATCTGCAAGAATAGCATCGTAAATTTCATCCTCATCTTCACCACGGAATGGAGATTGTTGGAGTAGCATCTGGTAGATAAGCACACCGAAAGCCCACCAATCAACTGCGCGGCCATATTTCTTATCCAGAAGAATCTATAGGAGCAGTCAATATGAGATACACCAGGAAGAAGCGAAGATGAGGAAATCATACTTCAGGCGCCATGAACTCTGGAGTACCACAGAAGGTGCTTGTGGTAGATCCGTACCACATGTTCTCCTTGCAAAGACCGTAATCACCAATCTTAATGTGACCATCTAGAGTGAGTAGAATGTTGTCGAGCTTTAGATCACGGTAAATAACACCATTTTCGTGGAAGTATTTGAGAGCTAGCAGTACTTCAGCGGCATAGAATCTGCAAAATGCGTTAATTATATCATGTTGACAGCGTTTTGTGGGGAACCATACTGCGCTCTCTTAAGGCCGAACTGGCCTCGCTGAATATGAAGCATCAGATCACCGCCACTGATATACTCCATGACGAAATATACTCGGGTTTCGGTTTGGAAACAGGCGTGCAAATTGAGAAGGAATGGGTGGCGTTCTTTGTTGGCGATCAAGAAGACGCGCTTCTCTGACTTCGTGCTCTCAACTTCATCGTTCTCAATGATGAATTCCTTCTTCAGCACCTTGATGGCATAAAGTTTCTTGGTTGATTTGGTCTCTGCCAGCATGACCTTACCAAAGTTACCCTTTCCGAGAACAGCAAGGAAGTTGAAATGATCGAGCCCGATCCGGATCTTTGATTGCTGAGGAATTTCGTCCTTTGCTGCAACTTGTTGCTGCTGCTGTTGCATGACCTGCATCGATTGCTGCTGCTGTTGATGCTGTGGCGGCGGGTGCATACCGTAAGGTGCTGGCGCATTAGGCTTCTGCGCCGGTGGGCCAGTCTGATAGGCCGGCTGGATGGGTTGTTGCTGATAGGAAGCATACGCCGCAGGATCGTAATGCGCATGAGGAGGGGGCTGGTTAGGTCGACCTGCATCTAATGATTGGTCTCAAGTCAGTTTTCGCTCAGCTTTGGATAACCAGGAAGGCTCGAATTCAAGTACTTAAACTTACCAGGCATCTGCTGAGGACGTAGCCCAGTCGCTACGGCGGCGGCGGTAGCGGCAGGACTTGATGATGAGGTTCGTGGTGGTAGCGGTTGGCGCTGGGAAGTAGGTGACTGTGGGGGAGCATACGAGGTTGTCGCGGCACTCAAAGCGTCGGCAGAGGGCGGCCGTTGAGCCCCATATGATGAGGTGTCCAAAGGCTTTGGGTACGCATGTGCGGTATCTTGAGGTGCACCAGCAGGCCGAAGCGTTTTCCCACTCAGGCCCGAGCTGACGGAGGGAGACTTGTTATGGTTCTTTGCCCGTATAATCGTTTCGAGGATTTGGTTTGCAGCTTCCATGGACATGCCGCAAAAGTCTGGCACCAAATGCGTGCAATGAGAATGGCAGGTAAGGCCACATTCTACAGAAGGTAGTTTCGTGTTAGACGGTCTTTATAGGAAGGTTTTGACGAATCCATACCTGAACAGCGCTTGGCATTTTTCCGTCCGAAAGGAAGCAGATACCCGCAATGGCAACACCAGTTGGCGGAAATATTGGTAAACTCCTCGAAACGATGCGGAATGCGATGATTGATCTTTTCCTCGTCGGGATCCGTCTCGTAATTCGCTTTGCTGATACACTTCGTGACGACTTTCGGATAGCATTTGCGATGGCAAGTGTATTTGCAATCAGCGCATTGCATCCCAGCAGCGTATTTCAAGAACTCGCCGCACAGAGCACAACGCATAATGTTGTAGAATTGCTGCGTGACGAATTTGTGGCCTTGCTTCTCGTGAATTTCTTCCTTTCTCTGGCGAACTGCACCCTGGCGGTTGAGACCAATGTCGAATGGTCTCTTGTCTTTCAGTTGTTTGGCTTGAAAGGGACTGTGTCAGTACATTATACAAGTAGCACGAATAGAGGTGCCACTCACCGAAGCTCATCGACAAATGAATCCTGCCCACTGGCTCTAAGGCAAACCAAGCGTCAATCGTCAACGGGCCACCACCAGGGCCCATCTGGCCCTGCGGCGCCGAAGGATTGCTGTATCCCCCAGCACCTTGAGATGAACCAACAGGGCCCGCAGGATCCATACGCCCAGGACCACCTGGGCGTTCCATCTTGTCTGCAGAAACCCAACCCGAAGTATTGATCTCGGTTTCGATTTTTTTTCGGCGCATTTCCTCGGCGATGTCGGAGATACGCAGCCACAGCATACCAATTGGTACCGGCCTATCACCAGCCTTATCGTAAACAGTGAGCTCGACTTCGTTTGCCTTGTCGATATCAAGGTTGAATGTCTCATCCTGCCACCTGTCGGACCTAGTCGCCCTTGTCCTAGCCTTTATGGTATCTTCAACTTTGACGATAACACTCGTCTCTGGACCTCTAGAAAATCTTGAGCTAGTGGCATGATCAACGTCTTGAACGGCTTGGATCCGCATTGTCAAAAGACCGGTCAACGGCTTGCGCAAATTCGGGGTGCTTAGACTCTCATCTGCAATAATGAGTGTTAGTTACCGAATTCTAGTCGAGAAACTGGCGGATAACTGTACCATCAGGAGCGTCTGACGATTCGATATCAACGTGAAGATCTTCGTATCTTTTGAGAGCTTGTTTCAGAAGCTGGATCTTCTGGTTGCTCTCAATGCGTCGATTCTCGGCGTCTTGACGGCTCTTTCTGTCGCCTTCGTCCTGGTAAAGACGAACCATCTTCTCGATACCCGCTTTGTACTGCTTTTCTACACTCAGCTTAAACTCGAGCTGCGATAACATGAGCTGGATCTTCGGTCCGAGATATTGAGTATCATATTTGATCAAGTCTAGGATTCGCATTACGGCGTTAGTTTCGTGTTCAACTTCTAGATACCGAGTATGTAATGTCTTAGGCGCAGCAGACTCACCAAGCTTTGTATAATTCGGGCGAGCCTTAGGCACAGGCGCAAATGGTCTGGGGTCTTTGAATGGAGCACCCGACGGCATCGAGCCGCCCCCAGGTTGCGGGTACTGTGCAGAGTCGCCATATGCACCAAAATCCTTTGGCGGAGGAGCTGGACCGTCAGCAGGATTTGGCGGGAGGCGTTTATCGGTAGGTGAGCCGCTGTCTCGCTCCATTTGACGTAGCTGTAGCTCCTTCATCTTCTCCTCCAGATAAGCGATATTCTTCCGACCATCCCGGATGTTGGCGTCGACTCTTTGTTGGACTAGGGGATTATCCGTCGACTGTCGCATATTCGTCGCCGCGGCGATGAGGGCTTTTTCCCGCTCGATCTTGCGGAAGACCGAGGCGATAAGATCGTCCCCTTCCATGATGAATGAGGTCTGGCTAACCTAGGGAACGAGCTCGAGGGTGGTGGCACGGGGGAATCGGTCGGGCAGGGGGAGGCGGTAGTACAGGAGAGAATAAAAAAAAAATAAACAAAAGGAGACGGTGGAAAGATTAGGTTTGGTGAGGTCAATACGGTAGGCACAAGGCAGATTGGGCGGGATTTGAGGGGAGGGCGTGTGGAGTTGCGAGGGCGAGGCAGAAGAAAGCTGGTCGCGGGGCTTTTGTTGACAGTTCCAGGGCAGACGAGGGAGGGGCTCAATAATAACGCTCGATAACCCTCAGGCCAGCTCTTCAGATCCTTGACACATGTGAGACAACCCCCATGAGTCGATGACGAAATGAGGCCTGATACTCGTGGCAAGACCAATAAATATCCACAGTTCACAGAGTCACTCGTAAGGGGCTGTGCGAGAGGGAGTGTTGAAGAGAAAGAGAAGGTGGTAAGGAAGAGACGAAGCAGGGCTTTGGGGAGAATCCAGACTTCCGCCCACCACAGAGTTAGGCAACGTACGCAGAATGTACCTATAATACTAGTAGATACTCTGACTGTATGCATGTAAGCCTCGATAAGTTTTCTTGGAGCTTGTAAATCAATACAGGCAGTGAATCCTTCAGGCTTCATACACCTCCAGATCTCATCGAATGGCGACTGACACCAACTACGTAGTTACTACCGGATCGACGGATCTTGACCCAACAATTCGGCCAGAGCCAAAAGCAATTTTGCGCAGTAGCTGGATTCTTGAGTCTGCTTTGACCCGGGAAGTATTCGTCACAGACCATGTCGTCTTGATTTCCTGCGCAGAGAGCTCCCGGTGCCGACGGTGGACATCGAACAGTCAAGGATCGTGAGACCGCTCAAGCACCCCTCATCCATTGGGCCTCGAACATGCTTGACAGCGCCCACTGACAGTTCCCAAGCATTGAAACAGCCAAACCTACTTGATCATGCTGGATTTTCTCGGAAGTCAAGGCGTACACTCGGCATCGCTGCCCCCTTACTCTATACTAGCGGGTTCTTGGGAATTTGAAAAAGGCATCCAAGGGTCATGTGCGGGCTGTGCACATCTCTAAAATCCTGCTGGGAAGAATCCTGGCCTAGTTGGGTGCTGACAGATGCTTTGCAGCACAAAAGTAATCATCATACGTTGTATGCTGCCTTTCTTATCCAGCAACATCTGCTGGAGTGAGTGACTGGGGAGAAAAGTCAATGCGACGGCCGAAAGTATGGGATGGTTCTCCAAAAGTTTTGGGAGGGGAAACGGGTCGCAGAGTCCACAAACTGCATCCGTACTAGGGCACACGTGATCGCAAATATCTCGAGACAGCGAGGAAAAGCAGCAGAACCATTATCATTCATACTGAATAAACGCTTAGCAGCTTTCGTTAAGAGACCCAGTACTTTGACGCCCCGAGGACCAATACACGCTCCTGACCCCTCTTGACATTTTACACGCCGCAATGCCGCCTCCACGACGTAAAGTGCTTGCAACAGCAGAAGACACACTGTTCCCTCCAGATGAGCTGTCACCGGGGCAGGAGATCGCACGAGTGATCAAGGCCACAGGAAACAACATCTACTCCATAGAATTGCCCTCGAAAGAAACGGCACTGGTGGAATTGCCGTCCAAGTTCCGGTCCACTATTTGGATGAAGCGGGGTTCCTTTGTGGTAATCGACACCAATGCCCTCGAGGGTCGCGACAATAAGCTTCGGGGAGAGATTGTGAATATCGTCCGGGATGAGAAGGCCTGGCGCAAAATGGCCTTTTGGTGAGTGAATGATGATTAGGCCATCAGGAGAAACCTTCTAATACGAGATAAAGGCCCAAAGAATTTGTGAGACAGCCCGTTATGGGATCCGACGACGAAGACGAATCGAACGTCGGCAAAATGCCATCTTCCGACGAATCTGACGGATATTGACACTTGAAGCTGACCATCGCGGGTCTGATGGATTCTCTGGCCACTCTCTTTCCCTGAACGGCCGCTGAAGCATGAAACATCTGGTACATCCGTTCAACTCCATTAATCACTGAACGTGCTCTTTCGTTCTGGGCGCCGGGGATATAGTTGGGAATGCATCGGCCCTATTTGCGAGTACGCCGAATACCTGGACGGCAAGCGAGAGGACGACAATGGCAGAGCTAATGTCGGTGCTAGGATAGGTATTCCATGCTATCTCTTGAAGCAACCAGATGGCACAGACAATAGCGGGGTGGTAGCTAGCGCGCCACAAGAGATATGGAGTCGCCCAACAAAGATAGGCGAAAAATTGGTAATGGAGCGACCTAGCACACAACAAGCCGATCGCGAGGGATGTCAACAGCACAGTTGTTATGAAGTTGGGGTGGAGAGGTATCCCTCGGTGCTGTCCTGTGCAAAACTTGCGAATAAAAACGATCAAGTTAGTCCCGGCCGGCCTGAGGAAGCCTGTGAGCCCAAATGCAAACAATATGAGCGCATGCAAGATTATCAAAGTCCGCCACCACTCGGCCGACAGAAATAAGTCTTCCGGTATAAACCTCCAGTTCACGGTCCACTTGTACATGAACTGTCTTCCAAATTCAAAAGCGCAGTTGAAATACCCTTGAGGGTTTGTGGGCAGGAAGGGCATTGCAAGCATAACCTAGCCACATCAGCATCGTCCCTAGTTAGTTTGGCCCTGTAATCGACAAACCTGAATACCCAACGCCAAAACTGCCAATCTGGCACACTGCCAAATACTCAAGCTCAGTGCAAGTAAGACTATAACTGCCGGCGCGAGCAGAATCAAGGTCATCTTGATGCCCAATCCAAGAGACCATGCAATAACTCCCGCAGTCCACTTGCGATTGATAAAAAAGCATATTGAAACCCACATCATAAGCGCGGCAAGACCATCATTGAACAGCCGCAGCATGTAAACACTATGCAACCGTTTTGAGAGCACAAGTAAAGGGAACAGATACGGTGGAGCCCCCACTCGCCTGTAACAAGCCATCACTATCGTAAGAGTTATGAGGTAGAGAAAGAGGAAAATGATCTGTCCAAACGCGATATCGCGCCCTTCATCGGTGATGTGGTAGAGGAGCGTGTAGCTGTAGACATGGGCGGCGGGGTAGACGAGGGGGCCGGTCGAGCCCTTAATTAAAGTATAGTCGCGCTCTCCATTGAGGAAAAGTTGGATTTGCTGCATGTACGTCGTCCAGTCAATCTCAGTGTCTATATAGAAGCGCGGTTAGTAGTCTACTTCGTCTAGTCTAGCCGGCGTGGAGAGCTCACATGGAATTTTCCAGATAATGAGGACACAAAGTAGGGCGTCGCCCACGTTGAGCAGAGGCGCAATCCATCGTGTATGCTTTGGATCAAAGCAGAGATCACCTATGAGCTGTTTCAACCCCATTGTTGGTGTTTGACGTGTAGGAGGTAGCTCCATCGCAATACTTCGCGGAGGTGGCCTTACGCCGAGGCGGGTCCAAGGACCAATAAGCTCTCTCCTTTTCTGGATTAGCGGCCAGTCGACTCTCACAACAGATTTTAAAGCACAGTTATACTTAGTTAGCAGGATTAAATCAAATCATCATGTCAAGTATCGTTGGAGCTTATACGTATGGTCTATCTAAGTACTCGCACATCCTTCTAATGGTACAATAATAGCCAGATAGTGGTAAACTGTACATGGGGTATATCGCTGGCTTCGCTCGCTTGATGGACGCCCAGTGCCTGAGATAATGGGTCCAATAATGGGAGCACCAATGGCTCAGTCATCAATGTTTCCTCCGATCCCTTTACTATTGTCACACTCCTCACACTCCTCATTGACTCCGTCGCCCCTCAGCATCCGGCTGTCGGCTCTCTGTCTGGGACGTTTGTGTAAAGGGTTGTTTCGAGAAGCCCAGCAGGTCACCCAACATGCCCGTCGGTTTTGGAACGGGACACTCTCTTCCGGGCTTCGATAGCAATGCAGCTTCCTCTTCTAACTGTAGAAACGTCGACACTTCCTCCTCACTCGCCAATGGTGTCCTAGCAGGCATGCCCTCGTCTTGTGCGGTTGCCTCGGCATCTTTCCGCCTCCTCCGTCGTACTCTCTGAATCTGTTGCCCATCGACGGTCATGGTCATCTCGGAATCGGCAAATGTGCGGCGCGGAGCAGGGCAAGGAAAGACGTGTGGGATCCCGACAACCATGAGAGAGGCCAGTAACGTGCCGGCGAATAGGCCAGTCGTCGACCGCGACCGCGGATGAAGGTGAGGAGGCATATTTGTAGAGCTCAAGCAATAAAATCCAAGGTAGAAAGTAGGAAGATTGAAGGGTTAGGTCGGCATTGGAGGGGTTCGACTCTGTATGGCATGATCCGTCAGTGAACTGCTCCCGCCAATCTCGACAAGGTCTCGCGCTTACAGTTAACAAAGTAGAGTTGTGTATAGGAAGTGAATGAGTCAAGACATTCCTCTGCGAGACAGAGCTCAGTCGATGGCAGTATGGAGATCAAGCAGGCCTAGGACCTGACCGGACGAAGCCGCAAATGAAGCCGGCGGAAGGGAGAGTTCGAACTAGCTTGGCGATCAGATCTAATCTTATCTGTAGCGCATGTGATTGGTTCGTCCCTCTTCCGCCCAGCAGAACGCGACTCTCTGCCTGAGCACCTGAGGCGCGCCAACACTCACTCCATCTTCGCCATCAGCAGAACTCACAGCGTCGCTTTCGCAGGTATCCCTTACCACTAAAACGAGAACATTCGCTTCAGCATTCTGATCGAGCGTGTGAATAAAATGATCGTGCTGCTTCCACAATCGTAGTGGACCATCTCTTTTGCATCCGGAGCCCAAGCACCTCCCCGCCGACTGCACGTCAAGAGCTCAGGTCCAACCCACAGCAGACGAAGGCCTTCCTTGCTCCTCCAACCTGAAATACTGTGGTAAACCCAGCTTGTAATTGCGCGAGGAGATACGATGAGCGATCTCGATAGGTATAATCGGATCATCCTCCGTTGAATTTCCCTTGCCAGACTGAGCTAACGCTTCCCTTCTCTAGGGCGATCGCCCAACTCCGCGCCTGTCGCTTAATTCCCGAAGCTCAAGTCCGCGAACTCTGCTACAAAGCGCGCGAACTGTTAATAGAAGAAGGAAACGTGGTTTGCGTAGATGCGCCGGTTACGATATGCGGGGATATTCATGGCCAATTCCATGATCTGATGGAGCTCTTCCGCGTGGGCGGGGATGTTCCTGACACAAACTACCTTTTCATGGGCGACTTTGTTGACCGCGGATTCTATTCTCTCGAGTCGTTCCTTTTACTTCTCTGTTTGAAAGTTCGCTACCCTGACCGCATAACCCTTATCCGAGGCAATCATGAGTCCCGACAGATTACCACCGTCTACGGATTTTATGACGAGTGCATTCGCAAATACGGAAGCGCCAATGTCTGGCGGTACTGCTGTGAAGTCTTCGACTACCTCGCGCTGGGTGCTCTAGTTCTCGGGGCAAGTGCGGAGCTGGAGCCGTCCGGGCCATCTTACAACGACACGACACAATCGACCATGTCGACAACCGATGACCGTGAACTTGAGACCGAGGTGTTGAATTCCAAGGGGGACGTCACTATGAGTACATATAGGCCGCGGCAGGGAAGCTTCTTGGACAATGGCGCAACTTCACCTACAAGGGATCCGGCACCCCTACGAACCGGCGCTCCTGGGACAGGTGCATCCAGCAGCGGGGCAGGCAGCTATAGCAGCCGGACAGGGGCAGTTCTCTGCGTCCACGGTGGCCTCTCACCTCTCATTGACACAGTCGACAAAATCCGCCTCATCGACAGGAAACAAGAAGTCCCCCACGAAGGCGCCATGTGCGACCTTCTCTGGTCAGACCCGGACGAAATCGACGGATGGGGCCTCAGCCCGCGTGGTGCCGGTTTCCTATTCGGCGCCGACATCGTAAAACAATTTAATTACAAGAACGACCTATCCTTGATTGCCCGTGCTCATCAGCTTGTCATGGAGGGCTACAAGGAGATGTTTGACGGCGGTATCGTCACCGTCTGGTCGGCTCCCAACTACTGCTACCGCTGCGGAAACGTCGCTGCTATTCTTGAGCTCGGCGAGGACACCAGCAGCGGAGGCACTGTAACAAGAAGTAACGGCGACATGGGCCGGAGTAACGGTATCCTAACCAGCGCCACGGAGAAAGCACCGCTGCGCAGCCCTGGGCGAAGATACAGAGTCTTTGAAGCCGCCGCGCAGGATACGAGGGGTATGCCCGCGAAGAAGCCCGTTGCTGATTATTTCCTGGTATGTTTGTCCCATGCCCATCCTTTGCATGCAAATCGTTCGTTTTCTCGCGCTAATCTCGACTATCGCAGTGATACCCTGCCGCTTATTCTCAATCTTCAAGTTCCATTATATATGCCGGCTTCTTCGTGTCTCATCTACTTTCTCTTCGCTTCCTTACTACCTCTACCTACCGCCCTCTCTCCACCCTGACCCAACATCCTTCTACGTATTTGTTTTTCTACATCTTATTCTGTGGATTCTGGTTTCCCTTCTCTCCAGCGGTTTCTTTGACTTGATTCGATTTGGTAACGACTTTATATATGTAAACTGGCTTCTCCTAACTCACTTAGCTTGTTCTTCTGAGGGACGAATTGAAATGAGATCTCGCGACGTGGTGAACCAGTTTTATCTAAACTTCAAAGTGCCCGAATATCAAGTAAGTTCTCTGTCAGAAACGCCGGTACGTAGTCATAAGAGTTGCCTAAGCATATAAGTACAATTGAACTATGTTGGCTGCCCTACGGTGGTTCAGGATAGGTATCAGCTACGCCAGGTATCAAATTAGCACATTGAAAGTCACTTATCATTGAGGAAGAACAGGATATCTGCTAGATACAGGATATTTAAGCTCATCGGTTCACCGCTACTTAGTAACTTCAACCGTTTGTAGAACCTTCTCGCTACTCCAGATCGCTACGGGAGGTCGACAAAGATAAGGATGGATAGGCATGCACATATATTTCACGAGCTATATGACACGAATGTCCAGTATTTTCAAGTCATGGGGATGTACACATATCTATATATATATCTGACACGGTAAGTAACAACCAAGAACCAAAGCTAAGATGGACGCCAATTCAGTCATGAGAGGTTACAACCAATATAGTGGTGTGAAGAAGAGTTATATATCGTTAAATAGACCTGCTATCGCTGATAATTGCCCGGGAAGACCATTGTGCCTGGCGTGCTGCTATCACGCGGAACATTTGGGTCGTGGTTTGAACCCGCGAGGTTGGGAGGGATCCCTGTCAGAATTCTGGCCGACTGTGGAGGCCTGAAATTCGAATCGGGCCTAGACGTGGAAGGGATATTGGGAACGTTGTTATCATAACGCCAATCAGGAGATGTGCTAGGGAGACTGTTGTTCCAGCCCTGCGCCCAGTCCTCGTTGCCGAGATTCAGCGAGCCAACATCGCGAGACCACCAGTCTTGACTCTCCTCAACGAGGTTCTCCGAGGCATCAAATGTGGTCATTGGAGAAGAGGTGGTTGTGGTAGAGACGTTGTGATTGGCACTATAAGCACGCATTTGCGCCTCGTTGGGATCGTACCATTGCTCGTGCGCTAAAGGTGTACCAGACGCAGCGGAACTGTAAGCGCTGGATACTGGTCGTAAGTATGTGGGCTCAGGCTGTCGTGTTTCCGTCCGAGCGAGCTGAGCACTAAAAGATCTCTGAGCTGAGCGCATAGCGGATATGGAAAGAGGGACTGGAGGCGTGGACGTGTAGGGGGCGCCCATTGGCCCCGCCAGGATTGGAGAATGAAGTGTGGGATTAGCCGCCGGTTTTCTGATAGCATTCCTTGTAGGCGGCGACATATTTGTAACGTTCGTCTCAGTGGGTGGAACGGTGACGTTTGGTGGTGACTCTTCAGAGGCTGAGGGGGATACCGCTTGATCCCATGGACCCCATGATCCCCACCGCGCATGCGTTTGTTCAAAGACAACAACAGCTTCTTTCGGGAGTTGAACTTGCCACTTACTTGCGGATATGTCAAGTATGCGTAGCGTACGTCGGGCACAGAGCCAGAACTCTCCCATTTCCTCAAGGTGTCTAAGGCCATGTATGACGTCTCTTTGGGCATTCCTCTCAGGTAGGTTGAGAAGGTGGATTGTCAAGGCCGTATGCGCAATATAGACTGCAATGTTGCATATTTGCTTGAAGCCATAGGTGCGCTTATAAAGTCGAAGGAGCTTTGAGATGGCGGCAGCAGCTTGTGTGCATAGTTTGCGAGGCGAAACATGTTGAGGTAGTGGGGACGTTGATTTTGAGTATTTCAAGAAGGGGCGATAAAGGTGGATCAGGAGGAGTTGATAGAACATGTGCATAAGTAGGGCCTGAGGAAGTTGACCCTCTCGTGGCTCGAGTTCTCTTGGCAACCCTTTCTTCCAAGCTTCTAGTCGAGTGTGAATCTCGCTGAGTTTCTTCAGCTCTAGTTGTTTGGACGTCGACTTCTCTTTCGGAGTGAGGTCATAGAAAAATGCGAGAAGATCGCCACTAATAGCACATAGCTTGGAAAGCTGAACTGCCACAGCTCTTGTTCGCGAAGGTTGCGTATATTCCCGACTTGGCCCGGTATCTGTGTAAGGAAACCACAAGGCAGATTCTTCATTTGGTAGGATATCCACATTCGCAACATTCGTATTTGCATTTGTGAATTGGGGTTGTCGACCAAGGTAGTTCGACCAGCACCTATTGTGGTTAGCGACCTTCAACCAATATGTCTTTATAGTGTCGTACTTATCAAAGAGAAAACAGCCCCAGAAAGTGATGCGCCGTGCGTCGGCTTCCTCCTCACTAAGATCGCGTGACCCTAAACCGTTGGACTCGAGGTTTAGTCCGAGGTCAAACGCCATCCGGAAGCTCATTCCGCTGTAAACCCAGCCCTTTCCCTCGCGTCCACACCCGGCCTCTCGCACGGACATAAGGGCCAAGGCTTGCACGGTGCAGAGCTTTGAGTTGACAAGTTCGTCATTCTCAAGGATGAGTCTTTTCGCCTCCTTGAAGAAGTGATCTCCAGCTGTCGCAGAGTTGTCGGGATCCCCACGTGCTCCAGGCCATGAGCTGAAGTGGCAGCCCAGAGCGAGCATTGTGTTGACTAATAACGAAGAGCAATACTGGCTGGACACCCCACGAACGTAGTCACGGTAGAAAAGCTCCTTAGAGAGTGTCGTGAAGAAGGGATAATGCCATGTGAAATACATGGTCATTAGGTGGCTAATGAGCTGTTCATCATTGGTGACCTTTGTCCATTGTGTGACGGAACCCCCCTCAGGGGCCCCATCAAACCGCTGACTATCAAGACCAGAATTGAACTCGTTGAGTTCTGACCCTGGAGGCAAGAAGATGAGATTTGATGTCCCGCCAATAAACTTGCGCGATCCGTCGAGGACAAGATTGCTCATTTTCCCCGCCAATTCAGACTCGAACTGGTCAGTTTGAGCAAGAGTGTCGTCCTCGGCCGAGGCAGGGTCCGTGGATAAAATTGAGGTTGTTTTATCTCGATTTAATAGTGATTGTGCCACATCCTCCAAGTTATCACAGGACCTTATTTGGCGGACCAAATCAAAGGCGTCTTCTTCCTCATAGTTGAGCAGTGCTTGGATTAAAGTAAGCAAAGTAGAGTTTTTTGTCCTCAGAGTATCTGTATCTTTCTTGTAGACTCCCTTACGGCGATGGTCGGAGTTTGGATCATAGACACCTAGCATCTATGTTAGCTGCAGGCCCAGTACAGCAAATCTTCCGGGGAATGGTAAAGTACATGTTGTATGATAGACAGAGGAACAAGCCGCGCAGCTCGGAAGGTTTCCATCGCACTTTGAGAGAGTCAGACATTAAGGTTGATGTGCACATATAAAAGACATGTTACCTTTGATTTTCGCCTACGGCAGGCGATGCATGCTGTGCTTACACAGCGCCGTTTGGACGAAGGAGTATTGTCCGTGCTTGTCCCTTGACCCTTTGACGACGCCTTTACTCGAGACCCGTCGGAAACGATTTCCGGATTCAGGTTTTCCCCCATGATAGTCACAGCCGGACAAGTGTGTAAGAAGACAACGTCGGAGGAGGAGAACGCATGCTTATCAAGAAAAGGACGACGGTTGAGGAGTGCCCTATCGAGGAGGGCGAGGGTAGAGGACGGAAAGTAGTAGCGGGAATTTCAGCGGAATTGAGACTCGAGAGGAGGCGCACACCATCGAAACTTGTTGGGAGGCTTGACAATGGGACGATCTAAAGCGCGATAGGCGGATATGTTAGATAGGCGCGTACAACCCCGAATTTCCAGAAAGATAGTGGAGGGGATGCGCAGAGCATAGCATATGGTGCGCTCTCAATCGGTCATATTCTCAAAAGAGGTCGACGCCTAGAATACTAACATGTTTCTTCAGCAGGGACGAATATCAATGATATCCCCACGGTTGTCATCCATGACCCGCAAGTGGAGGCGGGCAGTTGGGGAGGGGAAGAGCTGGAGGTGCGAGGAGTCAGACGGAGGCCGCGAAAACGGCCATCAGAGTCGGAGATTGGTTGGCAGGGTCAGAAGACTGTGAGACGACGCGGACTTATTGGATGCTGATTGCTATGCAAGATAACGGCTCAGGGAAAAAGCCTGATGGAATCATCAAGCAGCGTCCAGTGCTTCAATAATATTCTTGGATACACTGGTGATAAGACCTGCTGACTAAGGGCCACCCTCCCACTGCGAACCTTTGAACTATTAAACGTCTAGATCTCAGTCTTGGAATCTGATATTCATTCCGTATTCAAATGTGTCTACCGGCTTCTTGGAACCCAGCCGCTCTGTGAGAACTTTATACAAGGGAAAACCGTCCGATTCAGGACTCAGGAGCCCCAAGGCCGAGTCCCAAATTCAAGAAAGTCCTCAGATTTCAGCCTAGAGAAAGCCGAACGAGGCTTCAACAAGCCCTTGAACGGAGTGCAAGCTGTCCTTCTCCAGTACGCTGGCTTTGTCTTGGGACTTGAACTCTTGGTTGTTTGCCCGGAGCAGACTCCTCCTAAGCACACAGGGACAGTGGCTGGAATTGAAATGTATTGCTTTTTTTTCTTCCCAAGGCACTGGTTCACTTTGGGACTGAATAGTGTTAGACAATGGAGCGCCCAGCCAGGATCTTCCCAGCCGCTTGCCTCATCCCCTGTATTAGGAATGGTTAGACACCGGTTGACGGGGATAAATCGCCAACTCCCGATCAACAAATATCCTTGTATTTCCTCCGTGCACAAATTCAGAAGAGTGTCGGTGTCGGGTTGGGCAGGCATCAACAAGGCAGCGACACGCCCTAATGTAGTTAGGTCATGGTTGTGGAATTGTGCGCTAGAAAGAGGCGAGGAATGTTCTGCTGTTCTGCGTGGGGAGATTTGCTCCTTTTCTCCATCTTTTCCCACTCCTGAAGAAGTTAAGAACAGCATTATTTAATACCATCGTAAGGCCTGGCATATCTTTCGTCTCAGAAGGGAAAGGCTGTAAATTTCAGAGGAAATCATGCGTATCGTCCAATGAAAGACCTCTGAAAGGGAAGAAAGAAACTAACTTAAGTGGCCGTGAGTAATAATAGATAGGTACCCGAAGGACTGTACACCGTATTCATAACTCGAACGAACGGCCCACTATGCTGGATGCCGTCACTCCGCCCTCAATCTTCCTCTTATCTTTTGATCTCGTTATTATTCTTCTTCAACTCCCATCAACCATCGCACCTCTCTGTCATTCTCTCTTCGTACTTCTGCTTCTTCCATCCTTGCTTCCTCTCCAGGCCCATTTCTCCAGAGCCTCGAGTCCAACTGAGACACCTGCCTCGTCTCACCGATCTGCAAAGTCGCGTGCCTGCATCCTTCCGACGGGCCCGCATATTGGGCTCAAAACACTTTTGCCAACACAGCACGCACCGCTTGCAGCGGTGGACCCAATTTTTTATTGATCGGTGCTTCTCTCTCTCTCGCTTGGGGTGTCTGCATACATAATATCAGACACCTCTTTCTCTCTTGCTCCGCACTCCCTCATCATCTCCTCCCTGCTCTCACGAGATCAAGGAAGCCCGCTGCAGTCGCATCACCGGGCCGCTGGTTGACAGAGGCGAGACTACATACTCCATGTATCTCGCTCAGTTCCTCGACCAGAGCGCCTCATCAGGCTGAGAACGCACTCTCGGATGAACTTTGTGACTTGAAAGACTAAACATGATGGTCCCACGGAGTTTTCTTTATAGCTCCGTATCTTCTCCAAAACCACATGAGCCAGGCCGGAAACAGCATGGCCTCCCCTCCAAACCTTCGTTCGACGTCCTGTTAACACAAAACGATGACTCGGTGCTTCAACTGCCATTCGAACTGGGCCCACAAAGCATGCACACCAACCCCGTTGTTATCCCCCCAAAACGCGGTCATCGGGCGACACCGGCCACCACGGAGAACCCAAAGACCCCGAAAAGGAACCGGATGACTCGACAGTCGTCTTCAAGCACCTTGAATGATCGACTCGCTTCTATTTTACAAGCAACAGCCATCCCGGTTCCACGACGCGGCTGGGCTGCCCAGGAGTCCCGAAAGTTGCCTCGTATCGTGGAGGACTTCAGCAAGTTGCTTCTGGGCGAATTTGATGATAATACATCAGAAGGAACGGGCAATCCTACTCTTGACGATCTCCTAAGTCCGCAAACTGAAAAGTCATTTGCCTCGAGCGATTGCGACAGTGAGACCCTCTCGAGCTCTGTTCCCTCCATCTCAGTCAGCTCCGTGCCGTCCCTAGAGAACGACGTGGAGACCCCATCGAGCATCTCCATACCGTTTACTCCGTCAAGCCAACGAAGCCCCTCAGATAGGATCTTGCGGCGCCGGCACCCGTCCAACTGTGAAAATTGCGCATACAACCATCCTCTTTTGGACACAGAACCATCGGGTTCCGGAGACGAACATATTGTCACCAGTCAACAGTTATCGTCACCTCCATATAGTACTCCTTCCAAGGCGTTTATATCCTCACGGTCGTTCCCGCGTCTGGGGTCATTCAAGTCAAACTTGACCGCATCGCTACGCGCAATCAAATCAGCGGCGCAGAGCGTCTCAGCGTTCGCTTCGCCCTCAGTCCAACCTGACGACTTTCTCACTCGTTCGTTATTCACGATCACTCCGGAAATGACAGACGACCGCAGGCCTCTCCCAATGGATGACACCCCGTCTCCGGCACTACGACGATACTTGAACCCAATTATGGTTTCCCCGGCGGAGATGTATAGCTATCAAGACCAGCCACATGAATTGCTCGATTCACGCAAGTCCCCCATCTCAGTTCAAATGCAAACCTACCACCGCTCAGGAACCCGGGGTTCTCGGAAGCGCCGCTTTCGCTTTTCTAGCTCCAAAAACTCTGCCCGAACGTCTCTTTCTTTCGACCCCGAGGCACCAGTCCCGCTGTCGCGCCAACGAGAGCCCCGAGAGAACAGTGACTTTCTCCGCATGGTAGTTCTAGAGATGAACATGAGACGCCGAGGCAAGCTCCGCGATGACGTTCCTACACGTGCCCGGGTATGGTTACCGCCTCGCAAGGGCAGTCAAGTCAAAATCATCCCTTATGACTTTGGGGAAGAAGACGAAGAGGAGACTTTGATTCCAACCAGATGGATCGGAATCTCTGTAGAGTCATTTTGAACTCGCTTCTCATTCAATTTCCCCTCACATTTTTGTTTTCGATATTTTCCTTCTTTCACCTGTTTACGTTACGCACAGCGCCGGGCGTCATTTTCGGTTCGGGTCGGGCATGCATAGCTACATTGTTCGGTGTTTTGCATATTGGGTAACAACTCGCTTTGGAAGCGCGCAACAGAGTAAAGGACAAGGTGTTTTGGGATGCTTTAAGATCTCTACCCACATTCAACAGGGTTTTCTATCACTTCTATATACAAATGAGAAAACAAATGCTTGATAGTGTTGTTCATGGATTTCAAGGGCTACTCGTAGGCGCTTAGAGCAAAACTATGTACCTCGTTTATCGAGACAATCTACTATAGGCTAATTATTGAAGCTGATAAGGGAGCTGTTGTATTTACTTTTTCCCTATCTCGGCGCTTGGCCTTCTTATCGATGTGAGATGACGCAGGGGGTCTGGCTCTGAAGTCCCTCCCTTACGTAGACGCATATCCGAGGAGCAACACCCATTACATCAATCCTGTCTTCTCGACAGAACTCGCCCAATTATCTACACTGTAACGAAGGACGAGAAACGCATGCAGGAAACCACATTTGACCGTGGGATTCCGGAGACAGCGGACACCCGATCCTTGGAGGAGGCCCACGCTCAGACCAAGCGCAGTGCACCCTTATCTCTACCCAATTGAGAGCCCGCCCCAGCACCCTGGTTTACCAGTTTTGTCTGGCCTGGACTCCTGACCAAGCTGAGAAACAGTGCCAGTGCCGATTTTTCCTTCGGCAGGCTCGCGAGAGGGGAAATTTGTTGTGACGCATGGACGAGGGATTAGACGCTGATCCGTCGTAGAGTCAGGCCAGCGGTGGGGGGGAGGGGCTTATGGTGGTGAGGCGATTGCCAGTGGTTTTGGGTCTGGGACTTGGTGGGTTGCAACGTAGCAGACCTGCAGCTAGGCAACCTCAGGAAGGCAGACAGACAAGGCTAGGAGGATGGGTATATTTCATTGAACCCTGGGGGTAAACCAGGGCCATGTACGAACAAAGGATAGTAACAGAGGGGTATCTGAGCTGGTAATGTATACGCGTAAGATGTGGTATGGTTCTACTGAAGAAGACTTCAGCCAGAAAAGAGCAGGAAAGACACCCAGCGGATTCTCATGAGTGTCCTTTCATCAGGATCTGCTGGACGGTTGGAACCCTAACACACCTAATTAGCCTCTGATTGACATCTCAATGCGGAGAGATTGTAACTTACGCTCTTCATCCAGAATGGTCTTTTCCTTCCAGCTTTCTTCAATCCAGGCAATAGTGACAATGTGTGGAACCTTCTTCCGTGTCGACAACGTCTGACGGATGCTGGACAAGTCCGAGGCTGGGGTCTCCGGATTTACGACGACGTGAGTGATTGACGAGCTCTTTAGCGACTCTGTGACGACTGCACCTGCAAATCTCGCGACGTTTCTAGCAGCTTGAGTAGGGAACACTGAGCTCAATCCGCCATCGCCCTCCTTGACGAAGTGCAGAGTGAAGCCCTTGAATAGCCACCCGAGTGGCAGTGTCCATCCAGCATCGGTTCGCTCTTGGATGCTCTCTGTTAGCTTCTCAATGGCTTCATGATTAGCGGTTCTGTTGCCTTTGTGGCCCTTGCCCATCTGGGTGAGGAGCTTTGTTCTATTAGCCTGGCGTTTATATCACTGCTCTAGTGTAGCACTTACACCCTGCAGTTCTTCAACGGTGGTATCTCGTGCATAACTGTCATTGAACTGGTCAATGTTCCCCGCAACAACTTCCCCCTTGTCCTTGGTGGTGAAGAACATGTGCCTAGAGGATGTTAGAGAGACCGCCCTTTCGCATGTTTTGATTTCTGGTACCTGGGCTCAAACGGAAGAAGCAAGTCCGGAAGACCAGCGTCGATTTCATTTTGTCGGATACAATCAAGGACCCAGGACGGGCGGATGATGTCGGTGTTGCCAGCTTTCTGCAAAGAGGCTGCTTTCACCGTTCCTGCCCGCGGATCAGTTATCGAAATCTGATAGGAGTAATGCCGATGACTTACTTCTGTCTGCAATGCAAATCGTATGTGGAGCCGCGGTATTCGTCTGGTAGAATTTGCCACCGTTGGCTTTGACAAGGCTCTCCAATTCAGCCTTGGACTTCTTGACTGGAACATTCGCATCGGTAAGGACAACTATACCCCAGTCAGTTTATGATCTACCTGGAATAGTGAGAGCGGCAGGACTTACAAAAGTTGAGGCCATCAAATATATGCCCAGAGGGACCGGCGTATTTGACTTCTGCGTTCTCATCGTAGCCGGCTATCGCAAGCGGCTTTTTGGTTGTCCTCTTTACGCGCTTTTTGCGGAAGTTTTCCACGTTAAACTCTTTCTGTTGTTGTTCCTGCTCGACGCTGGACTTGAGATTCATGAACTCCTGCACGGATAGTGCGCTCTTCCAATCTTTGTCCATGCGTAGGCGCTTAAAACGTGGGAATCGGAGTGTTAAACCAATCTTGAACTGATCACTGGCCGACACAGAGGCGGCCTTGACGCACAGCACCACGGAGTCTTCGGGCTTAATCCACATATCCGGCCGCTCGTACTGGGCATCACCACCTGCAAGCTCCATATACGCCGTGGGTGGCTTTTTGGGGTTAAACTCAACCCACTTGCCGTCCGTGTGGTGTCGAATGTTCGCATAGTCCGCAGCAGTGAAGCCTCCGCCAACTTTGCAAAAAGAGTAGCACTTTGTTGGGTGTGACCCTTGCGAAGCTTGCCCCTCGTCAACCCTCAGACCACACAAAAAACTCGAAAGGTTGCCACCTCGATGCCCAGAACCATAGTAACCCCCAATCACAATGAGATCAAGAGACTCTCCAAACTCGGTCATGTATTCGGGTTTCACTTTCATCCAGTCGTCATGCCGTTCATTGAGTCGATACGGAGACCTAGGGTTCTTGAGAACTAAACCTTCAGAAGCTTCTGCGACGACTCTCCTAAGGGAAGCCTCAACCTCTGTCTTTGTTGTAGCCTCCTCGAACGAATGTATCTCAAAGCGTCGGTGTACAGGCTTTATAACTTTCTGCAAAGCATTCCGACGGTCACGGAGGGTGTACCTTGTCAAGTCCCTACCGTTGAGATAAAGTATGTCGAAGACACGAAGAAGCGGATGGATTCCTTGGGAGAAAGGGTTTCGTTGCTCAGATAGTGCAGCGGACTTGAGCGTACCAAATGGTTCGGGTGCGTCTTGCTCAGTATTCCACGTGATCATTTCACCATCTAAAATCAGGTTGTCGACGCCGTCGGCGAATGCTTCTTCGAGGTGCCTACTCAAGGAACCAGCCTCGTCATACACCCCATTCCCATATAGATATGTGTAGTCTTTGGCTTTGCGTGACCAGAACCGGAACTTCCTACCTCCTGGTACAGAAGCGTCGGACGTCATATGGAGCTGCATGCGCTCTCCGTCCAGCTTCTCCTCAATCCAGAAAACAGGGTCATCTTCCGTCGGCCTCATGCGGCCAATCATGCGGTCGAGCGACTGCATCTGGAACTGAGCCAGCTGCGGTTGGAAACACTGCATCAGTGAAACACCCCGTTCCTCCGCGTCAAGCCGAATGTTAGGATCGTGAAGCTCCCAGCAGACCCGACGGAGACTACTCGAGATACTGTAGAGACTCTCTGCATCAGGGTGCCAGACATCGAAGAACGTCCTCTCTGTCGCACCGACTTTCATTTGCCTGAGAATGATCCGAATCAGCCACATGAGTTCCTCGGGGTTCATGCGCCGGTAGAAGTCAGCGAGTATGGGTAACTGCTGTTCCTCCTTTGACGCAGTAGAGAGCTGATCGAGCTTCTCATTGACTTCCTCGATCAACATGCTTCCCACGTCTGTCCGCATGGGCCGTTTCGAAAGAACATCATAGCACCTTCCAGCGAAGTCACCCGCCATGCTCGAAGCAGCCGCCTGTCCAGGCAGCTTCCAGTTGAGCAAATTGAACCCATCTTCGGAGTTTTTGTCGATTTTCATGATTTTCACAAGCATTTTCCCTATCATTTTCTCCTTAATCCCATACATTGCCCGGTCGCGGTCTTTGTCTGGAAGAATCAGACGAAAGGCAGGGTATATGTCGTCGCCAACTTCTTTTCGCCATCGCGAAATAAAACGATCAATCACATCGCGCCGTCGTTCGAATGGATTGAGGTTCGCAGCCGATTGACCATGCGGTCCAGTTTTTCGACGGTTGCCAGGGGGTCCCGCGGGCTTCTTTTTTATCTCACTCAACGGACGGAAGAGTGTCTGGAATAGGTCGTGAAAGGGCAGCGTATCCGAATGATTACGTGGGCGATTGGGGTATCTACGTCCAAGCCGCAGTGTTAGCTCAGCCCAATCAAAGAGTGAAGATGTTAAGGGAACAAAAGGTTGCAGATAATTTACCTCTCTTCCAGGTCAGACTCCTGCCCATTATGCACCTCCAAGTCTGCATCCATTGCTTGATTCAGTACAAGGGTTGGAAATCCCCTTCAAGCATACGATTCTGCTTCGCCTTGTTCGCGGGGAAGTCCGGGCCATTGACCTTAATAGGAAGCTTCTGACACGGGGAGCCGTAGGCAACGTTCTAGGCTCCAACACTTATCGATAGCGATACTCCCCAAAACCATGTGACATGACATCACATATTTTGCTGTTGAATGGGCCAATTCTCCATATACGTACACAGGCATGCTATATACATAAATCATCAAGACTAATCATGACACCAGTTCGGAAAGTCTCATTAGAGTCACCATGGACTCTTTCGCGATTCCCCAAGCGTGAAGACTCCCAAGTGTTTCACATCCAACGCGGAGAATTTGCTCAGGACCATGCGGAGCACAGATATCCCCTGCATTAGTCAAGACGCCCCGCATCATCTGGCCTTCGCGCACGAAAGATTGCACTAGTTCGTCGGAACAAGGCTGATCCAAGGTTATAACTGCGGATTCGGACGGTTCGCCTGAGTTTATGCGGGCCGCTACATCCGGAAATGCTAGCTTATAGCACAACCCGTACGCCCATAGAGTGAGGATTGCAAGGTAAGTGGCGACTGGCTCATGAAATGCATTGGTAGAGTACTTGCGGACATGGTACAGGACCGATCCGGCATGGATGACTGCCAGGCGAGCCTTATATTGATCGTGTTTGATCCAGCGTAAAATATAATGCCACTCGATCACTCTCTGGCGATCCTCCCAGTTGACCTTTCGCGTCGCTAGTAGATGTACAAGGAGACGAATTTCGCGAAATGGCGCAAGGAGGATGATCCGCGCGGTATGTAGGTGCAAGATTGTGGGATGCTCGTGGCCGTTTGCTTTCGCTATTGTGCCATTTGCAGTCCAATGGAGGATATCCAAACAGTCGCACGCGCTGTTGCGCCATTTTGAGTATGAGGGGATTCCTGGCAGCCACACAGAACCCGAGGGTATTGCTAATTTTCGGGATTGCTTCTTTGCGGTCGGGTTCCAGAATGAGAGTGGACGGCGGAAATAGTCGCCTACCTCCCACATTCGGTGGTATAAAGCATGGATCAGGAGGACATGGCTGAACTCGCCTATGTCCGGTACAAGCCTTTTCTCAATATACAGCGTCAATACGGCATCATACAGAGACATTGTTTCTTGCTCTTCGACGCTCAGATCAGCCAAAAATGTTCTAAAATAGATCAAGGCAAGGCGTACCGGAACTTTCTTCACGAAGACCTTTCCAAAGTCGAGAGGAGCTGGCGTGCCAGATTTTGTCGTTACAGGGAAGCTGGGCCTGGCCGTCGTCCAGGGAGAAGTGCGGTTTCGTGTCAAATTGATATGCGGTTGTACAGTCCACAAGCTTGTCTCATCTTCAGTATACCTTCAATAGTCCTTGGTAATATGACTATACTTACCCATATCAAATATCCCGTCCGCCTTCGAGCCTCCTCTTCAACCCAGTGCAACCATTGTTGTTCGGAAGAGCCTTCCTCTGCGGACGGACCGGAATCTTCTGAGCGAGATAGCAGCTTCTCGCAGGCGCCAAGGTTGGTGAGATCACCAAGATCGCTGAGTGAGGAGAGCCTGCTTCGCTCGCTACTACCATGAAGTCTTCCAACGCAGTTCAGCAACATTGCCTGAAGAAGCCACAAATGTGGACGCTCAGACTGACTCTTTTCTCTCTAAAGTAGTCTTTTAATCAGTCACAAGAATTTGGAATATCGGAAACAGCCAGCTGATTTACCTCAAATAGTAAAGCCCTTCGAAGGAACTCATGGAACGCAGTGACAGTTCCATTTTGTTCACAGACTCCCGCACAATGACTGCCCATTGCAGCTAATGCTAAGGTGAGTATCCAATGGCATTTGTTCGGATTAAATGAAGGAACATGAAGCATGGGGTATAGAGGATGACAGAACTGGAAATAATGCTGAAGAAAGTTTGAAATCATTCGCGCGTCTGGGAAGCTGTCGGTTTCGAACTTGGGGTATAGAAAGTTGTCCTGACAGCACAGTCGCGCAAAAGCGTCATATAACTGGTCGTACAACGAAGGGTCAAGGTTGCAATTAGCTGAAGTACTAGGGAGGGGTCCTGCGTGTATTTCTTGAGAAGCCGGGAACGCGAAGTGCGGCTTCGCATTGCTGTTCTGAAACTTAAGAAAGATTTCGAGAGACTCCGTGGTCTGGCCCGACCAGGACGAGTGTTTGCGCCTCTGCTTGTGCAGTCGTTCAGTAGTTTCATCAGCATTGTAGTCTGTAGGGCGTTTTGATGGCCCCGGATGCGAGAGCGACTGCTGGCGTAACCCTCGAGTAAAGCGACCAGGACTTTCCATGTCACCAACTAGTGAAGTGGTACCTGACGGTGTTTGAGACAGACTCCCTGATAAGGAGGATGCATGCGGTTCAGTATTGATAACAGGAGGTAACCATGTGGTCTGGTTCAACGAGCCGTCAAAGACGCCTATTTGGAACGGGTGTGCAGCAGTTGCAGACGTTAAACTTTGATCAGGAGCCGATTCAAGGAACAAATCGTTGGAGAGCCAATTGATGGTAGGGACTGTAGCTTGACCCAGAACCGGCCGGGAGAATCCAAGTTGGGCATGGGTGTTACTAGGGTCGGATATCCCAGGACCAAGATTAGCAGGCCCAGAGTATTCAATTTGCCGGCTTTCAAATGGGTGGCTGGGCCGTCTTTGGTCGACTGGTAGAGAGGCCTGGATTTGGAACTGGGACACCTGAGAGTAATAGGGTGGGTTCGCGCCAGCAAATGAAGAGAACTGTTGCGGCACTTCCTCCGAGACCCTAGAAACATCGGACCGGACCAAAGAAGGGCTGGTTGCAGAATGCGACTCTCCCTTCCCCTCGGCTGAGTTTTGCGCAGGCCCACGAGTTCCATGGGTTCCAAGGCCGGCCATGGCGTCTGGTGAAGATGTGGAGGCATTGTGAGATCCTGGATTTTGCAGCTGGAACTGCCCCATTTGATATCCAGGTTGGAGAGCGGGAATACCATCATCCTCCTTCCGAGATCTTTCCGGGTCTTGATCAGAGAATATAGGAAATGAATGTGGAGGCAGCCCATTTTCTTTATGGTGGGTTAGAGACTGCAGCGGGTCTTTCTGGTTCTTCGCTTTGGAACGTCGCTCGGTCGGATACTGACAGTCAAGAGACCTATTCTCACAACGGGTGCATGGTATGCCGCCACTACACCGGACTCTCGCGAGCGCACACTTGAAGCATGCCCGAAAAGTTTTGACGGTGATCCTGTGCGTGCGGTCTTTCCCTCCATCCGTCCCTACGGTGTGATGGCTCAACTCGTGGCGATGGAGGGTGTCACTAAGCGATAGGTTAGTCGAAATGACGGCAAAGTCGACTGAAATGCTCTTGCGTAGAGTAAATTGAACAACGTAGAACATACGTCCTTGAGAAATGACGACCGCATTGCGTGCACTCAAAGGGCTTTTCTTTGGTGTGACTTCGAAAATGCCGCTTTAAATGTTCAGGCCTCCTAAAAGTAATTGAACAGATGGAACATTTGGTTTGACCAACGACAGCCAAGTTGTCCTCGCCTTCGCGATCATGATCATCGCCGTCATTGTTGGCCGTTGACTCGGGTTCGTGAAGGTCTGAAGGTTCTGTGGGCGCTCGTTATTTCCCATCTTCCGATATCAACTGGAATGCGGGGGAAATCTTCCAAAGAGGACTGGAGGTACCTTGACCTGTGTCAGTTTGTTCTGGGGACATTGTCTCATGGAGTTCTGCGCGCAACAGTCACTCAATATCGATACACGACTCTCATTGTAGCGCAAAGCACCAGGAAAGTAAAACATAGGAGAAGCCGAGGGTTTTGCATCACGACAGGAATGCCATTCTAGTCGTGTGAAAGTGGGCCGATCAGGCATTTTGACCTCTGAAGAACTCGGGCTATATTAACCCAGAATTAAGACAAGACTCGGGGGAAGAGGCGGGGAAAGCCTACTCCGTAGTTCTCGGGGGCACCTCGAAAGGGGAAACACGTCTGGGACGGTTAGATAGCTATTATTGTATCTCGGTTAAATCAGAGTCGAGGTCTGTGTTGTCACCTTCCAAACTGTCACTGTCGAACGCCTTTTTGTCTCCGCCTCTCCCCTATGTATCCAACCAGGCACTTTCTGAGCAGTGAGATGAAGGATGCTTGGCTAAGAAATTGGAAATTGAGGCTGAGGCCTGACTTAGACTTACACGAGCCTCATTAACATTTCGACCCAGTTCTCCTCTCTTCCAGTTTTCGACCAACTCTGCTGGTTTATTTTCCTCCGACTTTGCTGCATCTCGACCATGGTAGCCGCTTAGCCTGTCCCACGAATGGCCAACAGGTTAAGACCAACCCCCTCGCCGCGGGATCGCCGACCCTCTCCCCGCAATAATAATGGCTTCGCCCTGCAAGGAGCTCTCCAAGCCTTCAACGATGCAACGCCTGTCAAAGTCAACCAACGTCCGATAATGAATGTATCGGATACCCCAATCTCGCTCCTTGATTCCGATCCAGACCCTCCCCCAGAATTGCCGCAGCCTGGCTCGATTAAAGATAAAATTGCGAAATTCAGTGCAACCACAAACCCAGCTACACTCGCCCCCAATGACAGACCCAGAGCTGGTATCGCCCGAGAGAAAAGCCCGCAGCTGCTCGCTGCTGAAATTGCAGTTGGCAACTCACCTGCTCCCAGCACCAAGATAACAAATGTGGGCGTGCAACGAGTTGAATCGCAAAGAAATGCCCTCAATAGGGGCCTTCCATCCCCGGTCCCGATCCGGAGAACGACGGTGAATCATCGCTTGTTAGACCTGTCTTTAGATGATGATCGAGTAATCGCCTCCGCAAGTCCACCGTTTGAACAGAAACCCGCCTCGCGCGAGCCTTCGACATCACCCCGACCACCGCCCCAAATAACAAAGCCCCGACCCGTTCCGCCAGCACCTCGAAAACCAGGTTCAACCTCACATGGTGCTCAGCTTCAACAACGCAGAACCTTCAATGAGCCTCCTAATAGCTCTTCACCTCTTCGAACCAAGGCCTCCCAATCTAATCTATCTGAGGAGCCGGCTCCAGCACTTCCACCGCGGCGAGCAGCAACCGTGCCAACCAAAAATGCTCAAGTCTACCAGCTATCTCCGAACCGAGTCAAATCGCCGACGTGGCAATCGAATTCAAGTGTCGCTTCTTTTTACAGTCAGTCGCAGAACCCCAGTAGCTCAAGCATGCTTGACAGTCTTCCCGATGTGGGTAGAGACGGGGCTTCCGATGCAGTAGCAGCTTCATCATTGGCGTCGAGCCGAGCATTACAGTCGAGAAGGTCTCCTCCGCCTCCTCCACCAACACGCAGACGAAGATCACGCTCTCGTTCACTATTACAACTACAGCATCAGTCAAAAAAGGACCGAGGGCCTAATCCCAGTCCTGGAGGCCTTCGTGAGACGCTGCGGACACAGGCCAAATCAGACGACGAGGAAGAAAATGATCACCGGCATCGTCGCCGCATAATCCACAAGCATCCCCATAAACACCAGGAAGGGGACCGACGAAGGTGGAGAAGTGAAGTCACCGAAAAAGAGCGCAAGAGATATGAAGGCGTTTGGGCCGCTAACAAAGGCCTTCTTATACACCCCAGCCAAGTACTGGACGCAAAGATCCCACCGCAGGAATCCCCGTCAGACATGTATCCGCACGGTGCCCTGGAGATGGTTGTAAGTCTTGTGGTCCGGGATATATGGTCAAGAAGCCGCCTTCCGGACCATGTCCTAGAGCAAATATGGAATCTCGTGGACGGGCAGAAAATCGGCCTGCTCACCAAGGCTGAATTTGTCGTGGGATTGTGGTTGATCGATCAACAACTAAAAGGACATAAGCTTCCTGGAGCTGTTCCTGATAGTGTTTGGGCCAGCGTTGCCCGTACACCTGGCATATCCCTCGATGACTATCGCCCATGAATTGCAGAAGGATGGAACCGTTTACTAATACCAGCGCCGCATATGGGCATCGAATTCGATCATTGTACTAGTAGCACTCTCTTGGCATGGACTCCGGGCAGTGGTAACAAGGGCGGATAGTCCTGACCCGTAGAGCAATCCAACCTGGAATCTGTTGAGCACGCAACGCCTTGTCTACTCCGCCTAAAGTGGCCATACCCCGGATCGAACGTGCCGTAGAAAACCTTGAAGAGTGGGAAAGATCGTACCTTATCACGTGGCTCCCAAGGTCAGATGGGAGTGCAAAAGGCGGAAGGCGCGACTGCGCCTAACGGGTATTGACTTTTGCTTGGACAGCTGACACCAGCACCAACAGCGCCCTTGTGCACTTGAGCTTGGATTTAGTTTCCTTGTCTTCATACTAGTATCCCCAAGTCCTGCCAGGATGGATGATCTTCCTTATGGGGCTGCTTTGTGGTGACTGAGTCAACGCCACCGAACTTTGCTCTCAGGACCAAATCCCGAACCGTGGGCGTTCGGGATTTGGATCGGAAGCCAGCAAACCAACAATGGATGAATAAGCCCCCGTTTGGTCCCCCAGCGACTAACTAACGGGCGATCCACGCTCTATATCAGACCACTCTTCTGGGCCCTGGTTGTTTTTTAGTTCAGTTTCCCCGTGGCAGAGCTGAGGGGAGAGTCGATTATTGCCCGGTTTCCGCGCCCAGGAGCGATGCGCAGTCGAATCATTAGGTCGTGGACGACGGTAGCACGCTCTCCAAAGGCTGCATGACCGACCTGACGTCGAGTCCTGCCCACACGTACTCTTGTTCCATCTCAATCTGTTGACCGGGGCCTTGACCAGATTTCATCATGGTCTTGGAGCAATTTGAACACCAGATCAATCACAATGGTGCCTCAGCAGTTACACAATCTCTGGCGTCAAGGCCCACTGTGGTCCGCAAGAAATTTGCAAAGCCCCCAGTCAAGGTAGCTTGTTTAGCTTGGTAAGGAACGCCATGGCTGCTATAGTTATTGACCACCGGCTTATACCTCCAATGTCCGGGGGAAAGCTTGTTTTGAGCCCAAACTCACTTTGCTGGCCGACCTGATGAACCTCAACTAACTTGCCGATTATAGTCGTGCCTCGAGGACACGCTGTGATGGCCAGGATCCTTGCAATAACGTATGTTTCCTCCTATCCCTCTTTCATCACATCTCTCCATCTCATGATCGTGGACAACCCTTGAGATCTGTTCAAGTTGTATACTGAGATCATCCTCTATCCATCAAGTGTCTCAGCAAGAAAAGGAAATGCTCCTATCTGCCCAGCAAGCGCGGGGGCCCAAGGCAAAAGAAAAAGCCTCCTGTTCTCGCAGAAGACACCGTTCGACAGGATGGCGTGAATCATCAAGCCATCGCACCTATTTCCCCAGACTTTGATGATTGTATGTCGAGTCAATCATCTCCTCTAAATTCAGCTAACTCAAAGACAGCGGCGGCGATATTCGGTCAGATCGATGTGCTTTCCGCCCCAGGCGCTGGACTGAGAAGCCTTGATTTCTCGTCTGATGTACAATCCATGTTTGCCGGGCTATTTGTCCCAAATGATGATTCCAGCTCACACGCACAAATGGAACCAACTCCGTCATCATCCAGTACATCGTTACAGACAGTAGTAAGGACCTACGGCAGTGAGCACCAAATGTAAGTTACACTCTATATGGCCCCACCCAGACAGTATTGACTGTGTATCCAGATTGAATGCCTACTATGACTTTGTTCACGACTACTTTCCAATCCTTCCGCCAAGAACAGCCCCTCCAATCGTTGATTATCCTCTAGAGGGCGCTGGCTCCTTTACAGAATCTCCATCCGAAGAGCCGGTGCTTGTATATCGCCCTCGCTCTCCGCTCAGCCTGGCAATCTCCGCCGTCTTAGCATTAGTGCCCCATCCGAATGACCCAGAGCCCTTATCGCCGAGTTCGATTATTCGACGCCGGACATATGCACACACCTTCGCGCAACTAGCCACTTCAAGCATTGAATCCGACTGTGAGCTTCATGCTTCGTCAACGAAAGCCTCGGAGGCCTTGTCAAATGCTCGTCCGCTCATTGATCGAGAGTCGTTCCATCCACAAGCCCCTGTGGAGTTAGAGAGCATTCTTGCACTACTAGTTCTTGCAGTCTATGAATACACGCAACGTGGAAACCTTTTGAAAATGAGACTACGTGCGGACCAAGCGTTAGCGATAGCACTAGATATGTCTCTACAGTCTCTAGGCAATGAGTATGATGGATTCGCGGAAGCTCGAAGAAGAGCATGGTGGATGACGGTATGGCCATTTTACACCATGTTGCGTACACCCACTAACTAGCGATGCCCATATATAGTATTACTGCGTCCTACAGGTTTCGATTGTGAGCACGACGGTAAGTTTCTGGCACATGTACCCCTTAAGCTTTTTCCCGTTCTTCTGTTGACGCCTGATGATCGCCAGCCTCTTTCGATTATAGCAAACAACCCACAATTCACAACTCCATATCCACGATTTCCCGCTGACCCGGATGTAAGTCCAATCTCATTCTACACCCCGGCAAAATCACTGATAACTTCGTCGTGTCTCAGGGCTGGTCTGTCCTTATGCAATCACAACAAGTACTGGTCTCTGCAACTCAATATGTCATCGACCTTAAGGAATGCATTTCTACGAGGGCCGACATGAGCTACATCTACGAGCGCATGCAGCAGCTTGACGCCTGGGCTAGCAATGTGTTAGCACGGTCTAACGCACCGCCGCAACCTTCGCAACCTATTTTTAATGGGGCCATGACAGAGCGTACTACCGCCCAGGGAATCCGGGCTATATCGAGGATAAAACTATCGAGGTTAGCTACCCATAAAATTTCCAGACACCGCCATGCTAATGCTTTACCCAGCGCACAGATTAAAATTCATCGATTCCGGGCATTCTCAGATATTCCGATCTTCCTCAAAAAACATTGCGATTTGACTGTGGCCAATTCCATCAATTCGGTACCAAAAAGCGCTAGCAAGACCTCAGAGCGTTCCGAAGAGATTTCGAACATCGGCTGTTGCAGCAAGCTGGATCAGTTCCAGCAGCGTTCGCCGAGCGAGTACACACCGTCATCCACGTCTTCTTTGCCCTCAAAATATCAAGCCTTACCCCAGTACTCATTCGTCAACGAGTTCCCATACAGCTGCCCGCATTCGGCAAGGGCTTGTCTGAAAGCATCATTGGTGATCTCGCAGATGTTTCAGAACTTACCTATACCACAGCCGCTCACTGAGTCCGGCACTCCACCACAAGTACTGCAACTGTTACCGCAAAACCAATATCCTCGGACAATGCCATCTTTTGCATGTTGCTTGATGCAGGGTAGCTATGCTTTGTTGATGGTTTATCACAAAACGAGGGTAGACAATCTCGTACTGCCGGGTTTGGGAAGTGCCCAGGCCAGTCATCCATCCAATCAGTTCAATGAGGAGTTCCGACAAGCGCTGGAACGAATAATCGCCGCTGTAACCAACTATGCCGTTTCTTCAGAGGCATTAAATGGGATGAAAGGTGAGCCTTCCGTCTAATAAATGAGATCACGGCTAATGACAAACACAGAGGAGATCGAGGGAGCATATCAGACGACGTTTGAGCAACCTACATATCTATAAGGGAATCTTTTTTTTATCATTGATTTTTATTTATAAGCACATACTTCTCGGAGGGTCGGATGGAGCAAGGTAATGGGAGTTGAAAACTAAGTGGAAAGGGCCACTTGAACAATCAATTTCTTATATTGATGTTCGTTCCACGGCGATTATACCCACTTGACTACACACGATATATAATGACGGATGCACTTCATAATATTTATCTCCTCTCTCTTTCTCCTGAACTCACACAATTATATTTCAAGTCGCTACCCAGATAATCTATGCAGCTCCCTAAATTCATCCAGCTTGCACTGTTTCTCTATGTACGCTTAAGATGTACGCATATGAATAGAGAGGGAAAAAAAATAGATAACTCCCAAGGAAAGGCGCAGTGCGGTCTTAACTCGCGTGTGTGTGGTATATCAAAGCTTCGAACGTATGCCTTCTAATCGGAATTTCACGTCCTTGAGGACTTTGCTCGTTGGTTTCCAGTCGTCGAACTGTTTCAAGAGCTCTATGGTCTCATCGTATAGTTTGCGCCGCACGTGTTCTTCTTCTAAGAGGCCGCGCATTGCGAAAGGGAGGATGTATGGGTTAGCTGGTGGAGGTGGATGGATTCGTTTTAAATCAAGGGGGACATTGGAGACGGCAGATGTTTCGAGGGCGAATTCGATGGCGAGGCTGGATTTTCTGTCAGTTAGTGTAAATTTTCAGAGCATCTTCGGGAAGGACGTACCGGTACACAGAATCGTCGTCGTAAAGTCGTGAGTGGCCATCTCCCGTGTAGAGACTCCCGGCTAATGGAGAACTTAATTCTCGAATGAGGCCATGATCTGAAACACCGAGGTTCCGGAGCTTGAGTGCGAATCCAACTAGATGCGAGACGCTATTGAATAAAGCATGTTAACCAGCTGGTCTGACAGAGGTTCAAAAGTTGATATACTCGACTTACAAACTCGGTGCGTGTACTCTGCCATCAACGAAGACGGCTCGGTAGATATAAGGATGTGATACAGGAGAGAACAAGGACGACTAGGAAGTATGTAAGTCTGGTACTTAGCCGAGGAATATGGAAGAGATTACCTCTAAAGAAACGAGCTGATCATCGATGCTTCCGATATATGAGATGCGTACTCCAAAATCTATGCATGTCCTTAAAGCGGACTCGTAATCCTTTGAGACCTGGCTATAGGGCAAGGCGAATTCAAACAGTTCACCAGCAGAGCCACTGATCCATCGAGATCTGTAATCAGAGAAAGGTCCAAGATTCACTCCAGCCATTGCGCATATTCCGACTCGGTTGGCGTTGATACAGCCGAAGGCTATCAGTTTGGCGACTAGCATGACACCGACTGGTACGCCTTGGCTGTGGCATGCAAGCAGTATAAAATCGGCCTGGCGGATTTCTTCCATCCAGTTGAGGAGCAGTTTCCAAAGCAAGTCCACACGCTCTGCGATACGTCCTTCGCCTTCCAGGGCTATCTTCTCAATCTCGCAGGTATATCCGTGATCCCCAGTGTATTTATGGATGGCTTCCGCAGCCATATTCGAGAATCTGATTGAGGTACCAGTTGGTTGACCAAGCACTGTCCGTATTAGCGGAGCAGGAAAGTAGCCATGGACTCCTATTGCCAGCGCTTTCTTGATACGTTGAGTACAGGGCACCCTGTAGACATGCTGATTGCCGGGATCCTTGGTATAGTGCAAAAATCGACCAATCGACTGGAGTAATGTGGGACGGTCTTGTAGAGCAAAAGTATCTTCGAACCGAGGAAGGACTTGGTTGGGAATGATCTTCTGGAGTTGTTTTGAAGCAGTGGCTTCCACTGCAGCTGGAGGTGGAGCCTCAGGGCCATCTGCGAGTTTTGTTACGGCAGTATCTGGCACTGATGAACCGCTAGGAGGGGCTTTTATCTTCACGCTTCCTTTGTTGATGACTTCTGTTTTTCGCTCTGGCCTGTTTACCGGGCCAATTGGACGCTGCTCACTGGGAGAGTCCTCAGTTACAGTGGCTTGGGCAGCTTGGGCATTCTGCTCTCCACCACCTTCTGTAGCATCTTTGGGCGAGTCTCTATACCAAAAAGACCAAGCAGACGGTTTGGTGCTTGGGCCCGTGTTGGTAGGGATATCGCTCAACGTTGGTACTTCATTGTCCTCGCTTGCATTAGAGTGCGCGGCATCGGTGGAAGAAGCGGGCGGAGCTTGCTCCTCTGCGTTTGAGGGTTGCTCATCCTTGGGCTCGGGCCCTTTAGACGAGGATGATCCGTACCACATCTCAAGCCAAGACCGTTTCTGAGATGTCGAGCAAACTTCCGTTACCAATGAAGGCTTGTCTTGCTGATCGGGGACGGGTTCCGGCGATCTGGGCGAGTCGACGTGCTCCGATGGCCGCTCTACCGCAAGTGTCCCCGTTTCCGGCGGCTGATTTGGTTCTGAATTCGCAACTGGTTCGCTTGATACAGCCTTATCGCTCGTGAACGGTGCGTAAACCCATGAAAACCATCCACTAGGTTGTTGAGTTTCCACTGTAGATGGCTTGGTGTCAGAGTCCGCAAACTCGCCAGTCGCAATCGGCTGCGGATCCACCGAATTCTGCGTTTCTACCGCACCGCTGTCCTGGGGTATCTCTTTATCATCGGTCTCCCCTGGTGTAGGAGCAGGGTCCGGTTGAGGGTCCACTGCGGGGGTTGACGTGGAACCATCGGAAGCAATATTGATGCAGGTTGTTGTAGCGTCAGCGGGCAGTGATCTCGATGATGCGCCCGCTCTTTTCGTGAGTTGGAGGGAAGGATGTCGTTGTTGCTTGGGGGAATCTAGTTTTAGAGTAGATACAGTAGCGAAGTTGGATGGGCTGGGCTTGGTCATCGAAATGCTCTCACGGGCAACCTCGGTAACAGGGGCCGCTTTTGAAGGCCAAACACTAGTTGGGTACCACTTTACACAAGGCATTAGAATTGTTGGATTGATGACGCACAAGCATCGTTATAGCGACCTGGGGAATGAAAAAAAAGGCTACAAACTTACCAGGCTCCTCTGTGTGCTGGACCGTTGGTTTGGGGAAGAGATAGTTGATTCAGAATCTGGGCCTGGCGGGCTAGGCTTTACTCTCTTGCGAGAACCCGTAGACGCCATGGACGCTGGAATAAGAACATCACCAAGACGGGGCTGCAACAGGTGGGATAAAGAGGGTTTATGATAAGAAGTGAGACAGGAATCAGCGATAACAACTCAGCGACAAAGGCCGATTGCCAGGTCATTGTTGGGGTCTGGCCCAACGGCTGATATCACTCGACGTCACATGTTACGGGCACCTCTTACCTCACCGCCTTTAATGCCTGAGGCCTCAAATCAGCCACTGTGACTGAAAGGGAAAATTGTGGGGCACGAACTTTGAGCGGGATCCAGACACTGATAACTTTTTTTTCTCCGGCATAAACTTGGAGTCTGGCAAGACCCCGTCCCTGTCAACCCAACCTGTCGCCCCGGAGTATTGTCGAGTGTCTCTCGACTGTCGGTATAGAAAGATGGCGATCCAGAAAAAGGTATACTTATCTGGAAAAATCCTCTAATCTTGGCAAAAGCATTGGACTAACTTTTGTGTAGCACGGTAAAGGTCGTTTGGATAAATGGTATCGCCTGGCAAAGGAGAAGGGGTACCGAGCAAGAGCAGCATTCAAATTGGTCCAGCTGAATAAAAAGTATGGTTTTCTGGAAAAGAGTAAAGTTCTGTTGGATCTGTGCGCGGCACCAGGTGTAAGTACATTGGACGATTTTCGCTTCACTTGCAAAAGATGCTGACGGCTGGATAAGTCATGGTGTCAAGTTGCTGCAGAATGCATGCCCACACAAAGTCTTATTGTCGGCGTTGATCTTGCCCCGATAAAACCCATCCCCCGAGTGATTACCTTCCAACAAGATATTACGACTGAGAAATGCCGCGCCACGATAAGACAACATTTGAAGCACTGGAAAGCGGACACTGTTCTGCATGATGGAGCGCCTAACGTTGGTACTGCCTGGGTTCAGGATGCGTTCTCTCAAGCAGAACTGGTGCTGCAGTCCTTGAAGCTTGCCACGGAGTTTTTGACTGAAGGTGGTACTTTCGTGACAAAGGTTTTCCGATCCAAAGATTATAATCCTCTTCTCTGGGTTTTCAAGCAGCTGTTCTCGTCCGTCGAAGCCACGAAACCCCCCTCCTCCCGAAACGTCTCCGCCGAAATCTTCGTTGTCTGCCGCGGATTCAAAGCACCGAAGCGAATGGACCCCAAATTCCTCGATCCCAGGCACGTGTTTGCAGAACTTTCGGATCCTACTCCGAATAACGAAGCCAAAGTGTTCAACCCTGAGAAGAAGAAGCGTAAGAGAGAGGGTTACGAGGAAGGCGATTGGACACAGTTCAAGGAGGTACCGGTGACAGAGTTTATCAACACCACCGATCCGATCGCAATTCTCGGCTCGGTCAACAAACTGAGCTTTCAAGCACCACCTGGGGGAGATCTAGCTCTGGCCACGTTGGACCGATTGCCTGAAACCACAGCTGAAATCCGGAACTGCTGCGAGGATCTGAAAGTTTTGGGAAAGAAAGAGTTCAGAAATCTCCTCAAATGGCGTCTCAAGGTCCGGGAGAAGTTCGGTCTGGTCGTGAAGAAGGGACAATCCAAGACCGAAGAGGCTGAAGAGGTCGCCGAGATCGCGCCTATGGATGAAGAGCTTGCGATCCAGGAAGAGCTCCTCCGACTTAGGGACAAAGAAAGTGCAATCAAGAAGAAGGAAAGGCGGAAGGAGAACGAGAAGAAGCGCAAAGATATTGTTCGAATGCAGATGCACATGACGACGCCTATGGATATCGGAATGGAACAATTGGGCCCCAATGGAGACGAATCAACTTTTTCACTCAAGCGCATCGAGCGAGCTGGAGCAAAGGATGTCATTGCAGCAGGCAAGGAAGCAACGATCGAAAGCGAGACCGAAGAGTCGGAATCAGAGTGGGAAGACGCCGACAGTGACGAAGAAGATCGCCTGGAAAGAGAACTTGACTCCCTGTATGAGCAATATCAAGATCGCAGAGAAGAAAAGGACTCGAAATTGCGAGCGAAGAAGGCCCGCAAGGACTACGAAGCTGAGGAGTGGGAAGGATTCTCTGGATCGGATAAAGAAGAGAGCGACGAAGAGCTTGATGACGCCCAGCCCGGAGCATCGACCGTCCCCACCAACGGGGCCCTCTCCAACAATGCTGCGTTGTTCTTCGACCAGGACATCTTCCAGGGCCTAGAAGGCATCGACGACGAAGAGGATGAAGAGGGCACTCCTACGAAAGAGGAGCAAACTAGCAGCAAATCCGTTGCTAAAGAGCGCAAGTCCAAGGAAAAGAAAACCACCAAACCCTCTGAGGACTCTTCGGACGACGATTATGAAGAAACCGACGAACCGCGCAAAAAGAATGGACAGCTTGGTGAGTAACGTTCGAGGAATCCACATGGAAAGAGTCAATTACTGATATACTATCATAGACATCGATATTATTACTGCAGAAGCTATGGCTCTTGCCCAACAGATGGCTACTGGAGAGAAGAAATCGCATGACGTGGTTGATGACGGGTTCAACCGATATGCCTTCCGAGACGTTGACGGTCTCCCGGACTGGTTCCTGGACGATGAGGGCAAGCACAGTAAACCTCTACGGCCGATCACAAAGGAAGCCGCAGCTGCGATTCAGGAGAAATTACGCGCTATCAACGCTCGACCGATCAAGAAGGTAATGGAGGCCAAGGGTCGCAAGAAGTTCAAGGCAGCACAGAAGATAGAGAAACTCCGCAAGAAGTCGGCACTACTTGCCGACGACGAGAATCTGAGCGAGAGGGATAAGGCGCAGGCTATTGCAAGATTGATGAGCAGAGCCGCCAAGAAGAAGCCCAAGCAGAACGTGAAGGTTGTTGTTGCCAAGGGAGGCAATCGGGGCATCTCTGGTCGTCCCAAGGGAGTCAAGGGCAAGTACAAGATCGTGGATGCCAGGATGAAGAAGGACGTGCGGGCACAGAAGCGGCTGGCGAAAAAGAAGCAGAAATAATCTGTGTCATGTACATATAGACCGACGATACCCAAAATATAATGCCGGTAGACAGAACGATACAGACCCAGAGCCATGGGAGTGGATTATGACTAACCCGCAGTGGCGAAGACTTATTCGATCGTCGGCCGGCTGCTTCCTTCCTGACCCCATCGAATCTCACAGCGACCTGGCTTGGGTTTTTTGCAGCTGCTCACGCTCTCTTTTACCGTGTTCTCTCGTTTCTTTTGCGCCTTGTCGTACATATGATATTACTAGTATATTAGCTTTCCGAGTTGCCCCTCCTTTCTTTTCCATGTTTATATTTTCAACTTTCTTTTCTTTGTGATCTTTTATTCGCCGTTCCATCGTCTACTACACTATACCCAAACTCAAATCGCTACCCCTCCCCGATGGGATTCTTTGACCACCTCCAGAAAGGAGGAGGCTTTTCGCTCCAGGCAAAGAAACCCCAGATTCGCCAGGTAGTCCAGACGCGCCCCGCTCCTCCTTCACGATCATCATCGCAACCTTCAAACAGACCGACGCCGCGACCAGTCCCCGCCGAGTCACAGAGGAAGACTCGAGATTTCCTCAGCACATCCGCCTCGGGGGAGAGGGACTATTCGTCAAAGCGGCGGCTAACGCCGTTGCGAAATCGAAAGCGACCTACTCCTGAGCAACGGCTGTCCAGTGACGACGACGACGGAAGTGACACAGACACCTCTTTTGATATTCGCAAGCGCGCGAGGACAGGGGATAGCTCCGAACCTGATTATGGCAGGAGGCTGCGTTCACTGAAGGCGTTTTCAGGGGATGGAACCAGGGCACTTCCTATGGTGCACGCTGCGAAGCTCACTTCTGGCGACAAGGCGGCAAAGTTCAGCCCAGCATTCGGTAGTACAGGCCAGCGAGCAGAGATTCTCCTACAGTATCCCAGTGCGACGCCGAAGGAAAGGTGTGGCTGATCATATTCCTCCGTGACATCTAAATACCCGTGGCTAATTCAATACATTTTCTAGATACGAACTCGTGGTTCCCCGCGACAACGACGAATTCAAGCCCCTCGACGATATTGTGCAAGTAATAGAAACTGTTTGCCAACATTACGTATTCGAGGACAACGAAGAAGATATGAAGGAATTCAACGATGAATCTTCTGGAATCAAGCGAAAAGTACGACGGGCACTCATTCGCGGTTCCGAGACTGAGTTTCGCGAATCTGTCGCCGAATATAATGATGCCATTCAGCGCTTGCGGCGAAATGGCAGCATTGCGAAAAAACTGGATGCGACCCATAAGCTCAGTTTACCCCACGTGGAACGCATTTTGACGCAAATCTACTCCCGCACCGTATCGCCGCGAGTCGAGTCCCTTCGACAGTACGAGAATGGAACGGACAATGTCTACGGAGAACTTCTTCCTCGATTCATCAGTACCATCTTCAAGGAGACCGGGCTGAAATCTAACCATGTTTTTGTCGACCTCGGGTCCGGTGTCGGAAATGTAGTTCTGCAGGCAGCCTTGGAAATAGGCTGCGAGAGCTGGGGTTGTGAGATGATGGACAATGCCTGCGACCTCGCAGAGCTCCAACAAGCTGAATTCAGGGCAAGATGCCGGCTATGGGGCATCGCGCCCGGTAAAACGCAGCTAGTGCGCGGTGACTTTCTCAACGAACAGAGTATCATCGACGTTTTGAAACGGGCGGACGTGATCCTGATCAACAATCAAGCTTTTACCCCACAACTCAATAATGAGTTGATCAATCATTTTTTGGATATGAAGGAGGGTTGTCAGATCGTATCTCTCAAATCTTTTGTTCCTGCAGGTCACCAGATCCAGTCCCGAAATCTGAACTCGCCCATCAATCTTTTGAAGGTAAAGAAGAGGGAGTATTGGTCCAACAGCGTCAGCTGGACCGATGTTGGCGGTGACTATTTCATAGCGACGAAAGACAGCTCGAAACTCAAACGCTTTGTGGAAGACCAAGGTTTATCATAAACTTTGGAGCCCTCAAATACTATCTTGGACAGACACTTATTCGATTCTTGGCTGCCCCCATTTGGTACATATATTTGTCCTTCTGTACAAAGTTTCTTCGATTCTCTTTCTCAGGGCGGGGTTTTGGGTACGTTTTGACTGCATAAACAGATATCACTACTAGCACGCATATAGATATACCCTGTACTATTCTCCCATACTCGCAGGCGTTCCTATTCTACTCCGAAGTACAAGAAAACTTCCATGTACCACCTACTACACTACTATATACGACGGTGTCCGAAGAGTCCTGCAATACATGACCTGGCGTATGCCTCAGACATGGCATTTTTTTGAAGACCAGGCTCGACTACAAGGATTATGGGCGAGACAAGGGGTTAACATACACTTTGTCAAAGGTACAGATAGTTACGAGAACTTGGACGCATTATTCATGGCATCGGCCTCCTTGCCCATTCTAGCCATCCATCGATCGACCAGTTCCTGATTCTCCTTCTGCAGCCGGTCCGTCCGCGCTTCAGCCATGTTAAGTTGGAGATTCAATGTTGCCAGCTCGTCTTGGAAATCCTGCAGCCAGCAAGGCTGGTTAATGTCTGTACAGGCAAATGGCTGGCTGGCTAGTAAAGCGAATACGTTCACATACCTCCAGCAGCTTAGCCTTCCCTCGCAGTTCCTCCTCACGATCTTTTAATCGGAGTTGCAAGTGTGTAATTTCCCCTTCCATGGAAGTCATCTTCCTCCCATCATAGTTGCTTCGTTTCCGCAGCCTCTCCAGGTCCGTAGTCGCCCGCGCAAGTCGTTCTTGGAGCTCTGTACGTGACCGTTGCGCTTCGGCAAGGTCTGTTCGGGTTGAAGTCAAGAGGTCCTGCGGGGAAGGTCCAGACGTCAAGATTAATTGTTTCTTTGAGTCGGTGGTTGGAGTAGAGGGTGTGGATTTCTGGGTAGGGTTCTTGTTGTCAGGTGCGGTTGCTGCTGCTGTTCGATCAGCGAGCTTTGTGTCTGGCAAGGAGGCCGGTCAATGATAAATCACATATCACATATACACAGGATAAAATGGGATCAAGGGAGACGGAAAGAGGAAAGAGTCCGTACAAGCATTGTAGACAGCAGCATTTGCTTTCTCGCGGCGATCTCTCGCGGCTAAAGCTGCGGCGTACTCCTCCCTCCAGTGGGCCATCTGAGGGCAACGATAAGCGGGTCATCAGACACAGTGCGTATTCATAAATACATTGTACCACAAGGGATTTGGGATCGCGCAAGGATATCGGAGTATCTCAGCTACCTCTGAGGGGATGACCGCGTGCGACAGGACATGCTGTTTCCTGAGAGATGATGATGAGCAAACAATGCTTAGCTCTTGCCGCGGCGGCGCGGCCCCTCATTGATATCTGATACTACTACTCCGTAGACGGGCACGAGCGGCTCCGCGCACACCGCCCGTCACACGGGTCATGCATCATCGAAGTGCTGCGGAGCAAGTCCCAACTACTCCTCACCATCCGACTCCAACTCTTGATAGAGCTCTTCCATACATTGTCGCTCTCTATCATCTTCAAGGGACATTCCGGAGACTCTTATCTATACTCGAGCGCCGACCGATCCTCTTCTCATTCTCACTTGTACACATTCCTTCCCACTCCAGCCACAGCTACAGCCATGTCGTCACGGAAGAAGGTGATGCTCAAGGTACACCCCCGCCCTCCCCCATAGTGTTGTCTTTGACCATCGCTAACTCATGATCTGTCCAGATCATTATTCTAGGAGATAGTGGTGTCGGAAAAACCAGTTTAATGAACCAATATGTTCGTGGCCCTACTCGCCGCCAACCGGCTCTTTATTGTCACATCTCGTGCTAACGCCCGATTCCCGAATAGGTCAACAAGAAGTTCAGCGCAAGTTACAAGGCAACGATTGGTGCCGATTTTCTTACGAAGGAAGTCCTGGTTGATGACCGAGTCGTAACGATGCAGGCATGACCCCCCAAGAAGCAGCGTTGACGAGCACCAGTTGACCTCTTATCGATGTAGATTTGGGATACCGCCGGGCAAGAACGTTTCCAGTCTTTGGGCGTTGCTTTCTACCGGGGTGCTGACTGCTGTGTTCTTGTGTATGATGTGAACAATTCCAAAAGTTTTGAGGCACTTGACAGTTGGCGCGACGAGTTCCTCATCCAAGCTAGCCCTCGTGACCCGGAGAGCTTCCCATTTGTGAGTAGATGAAACATTTCCAGAACTGTTGTTAGCTTGGGCTAATTCTGCTCTTCAGGTCGTGATCGGCAACAAGATTGATGTGGAGGAGAGCAAGCGCATGATTTCTTCTAAACGAGCCATGACATTTTGCCAGTCCAAGGGGAACATCCCATACTTTGAAACCAGCGCAAAGGAGGCTGTCAATGTTGAACAGGCCTTTGAAGGTAAGATTTGCCGGCATATGGTATGCTAACAGAGGCTGACAAGGAAACCAGTCATTGCTCGGAGCGCTCTCGCCCAGGAAGAGTCGGAAGAATATGGCGGCGCTGACTACACAGACCCGATCAATATCCACGATAACAGCGAACGTGACGGATGCGCCTGCTGATACCGTATCTTGTCTGATGATAAATTGCTCGATTGCCCGAGTCTAACGGCCTCTCCTTTGTGTGTAGAGAATCGCGGTTTCAGTCCCCTCCGCAAGCTTAAAGGAAGACGCATTCCTATCCTTGAGCATTAATCTTATATATCCAACCTTGGGCGTTTCGCGTGTAACACATTCGCCTTTTGCTCATTTCTGCTGGTTCGCATCAAGATATCTTTTCTGATTTGCTTGTTGTTGTTTTACCTCCGCGGGCATACTTTGTGATTTTAGGAGTCTGGAATCTTATTGCTTCACCAACGAAATAAATATTCCTCTTGATGTTCCTAGGACCGAATATCTTCTGACCTGTCATGTTTTTGGATGGGGTGCTCGTCGTCGGCCTCGTGACCTCCGCGGGGATGTCAAGTGGAGCCTGGAGGCCGGAGATCTCACGCCTTGACTTCATTGCTTAACCTATCCCGATCTAGCCCTGGCTCAACCTGCTCAAGAGCTCAGCCGGCCTTAAACATCGATAGTATAACGCCTGCGATGTGCTCGACAGCTGGCTACTAGAATCGCCGATGGTATGCGCTTCAATCTGCGCTCATTGAATGGCCTCAAGGTCACTTGCACCATCCCAACCGATAACGCCATTCCCCCCACACTTACGCCAACACTCTATCTCAGCTCTCTGTCTGACACTTGAGGAAGCTCGAAACTGCCGGACACTCCAATGGAGGATTCGTCAAACAGACGGGGATCCATACTGGCTGGCGCCGCGAGGAGGACCCTAGGCATCTGCCTGCTGCTCATTGTAGTGATTCTGTGGACTGCGTCGAACTTCCTGGCCAGCGTATGCCCTTCCTTTTTCCTATCGTTCGCCTTCAAGTAACAGGAATGACCCTAATATCCTCCCCTAAACCAGACTATCTTTGCCGACGATACGTATTCCAAGCCATTCTTCGTGACATACCTCAACACGTCGCTTTTCATCCTTCCTTTCTTCACGATAGTCTTGAGCCGGCTCTGGGGTCTATTCCGTGCAGGGAAACTATACCAGGTCCAGTCCTTCGAGAGTTTGTTGCAGCAGCTTGACTCGCAATACTCGGATGCTGAGTCCGAGCGGATACTCGGCCATGGAGCGGATGGGCCTGAAAATGAAGGTCCAGAAAGATGGAGCACTGTCAGGTTACCAAAGGAGCATGAAAACCAGAAACTAGGTCTGAAGGCGACAGCGAAACTGAGTTTCCACTTTTGTTTGTTATGGGTGAGTTTCTGAATCAGGGCTTTTATGTTTCCTAGGCTTATTGAACTTGACTAACGTGGTTACAGTTTACCGTAAGTTGTTTAGATCGATTTCGGTCCAACACCACTGACGATGCGATAGGCAAACTATTTCTCAATGGCCTGTCTCCAGTTTACAACTGTAGGGAGCACAACCATATTGACGTCCACTAGTGGTACGTGACGATGTACCAGTTCTATAGCACGTTGAGTTGCTCATTTGTTTCCCAGGTGTATGGACCCTGATATTCGGCGCCATGATCGGAGTCGAAAGATTCACCGTCCGTAAACTTGTCGGCGTTATCGCGTCCTTAACAGGAATCTTCCTCATATCCCGCGTCGATTTGTCCTTGGCAGACAACACCTCTCTCCCATCAAGCGACGGAGGCGGCCGCACATTTCCTCCCAAAACTCCCGGCGAGATCGCCCTGGGAGATGCCATGGCCGCCTTCAGCGCCATCATGTACGGAGTCTACACAATTGTCCTCAAACGACAAGTCGGCGACGAGTCCCGCGTCAACATGCAGCTCTTCTTCGGCCTCGTGGGTTTCTTCAACATGTTCCTGCTCTGGCCGGGCTTCATTATTCTGCATCTTACCGGTGCTGAACCCTTTGCAATGCCTGACACCAGCCGTGTTTGGATCATTATCCTTGTATGTCCTACATATTCCACCTGCTCTCCTCCTTCATCCTGTTATCGTCGTTAACAAGCACCAGGTAAACGCACTCTCTTCCCTCTTATCAGACATCTGCTGGGCCTACGCAATGCTCCTAACCTCCCCACTCGTCGTAACAGTTGGCCTTAGCCTTACGATTCCACTATCCCTAGTCGGCCAAATCTTCCTACAGGGACAATACGCCACGCCGCTGTATTGGGTCGGGGCTACAGTTGTGTTCCTGTCGTTCGTGGTTGTCAATCATGAAAGCCAGGAGAATGGAAGTGAGGGTGCTGTCAGGCCGAGAGGGAGGTATGATGCTGTTGCTGGGGATGAGAGAGAGGATTAGATAAGATTATACTAGGTGATAGCATCTGCATCTGGCCTTTATTTTCTGTATGAGTCATGCTCGTTGTTTTCCTTCTCAACCGGGGTTCTTTCGAGTGGCGTTTTTGGAGAATTTGGAACTGTTTCAACATGGTTCCTTTTTAGAATATAGTTTATACTAAGGCATAGAAGCAAGATACCGGCGTCAATATTAAATGTGATCTTGAAACGATACAAGTATCATACAATGTAAGGTCCAAGAAAGCTTGATATAAAGTAGGTAGTCGTCGCTCAGGAGCATACCCGCCACTCTAGACGCCGGATATAAAGTATCGAAAAGAAAAAAAGAAAGAGGGTATAATACGCGCCAACAAAGAACGTGGGCATTATTATAAAATCAAGTAAGTAGTATAATGGTTACCTGTAACCATTATACTGTACTATACAATCCAAAGGTAGTCAGTGAATAAGAAGAAGAGGCCAAGTGGAGCATGTCGTGAAGAATGTCGGGGTATGTATATATCTGAGAGAAGAGAGAAGGAAAAGATGAAGGGGGTGAGAAGAAAGGGAGTATGGTATGTAGATGTCGTGGTCGAAAGATAGGAGATATGAGATAGAGAGTGAGGAGGGTGTAGGGAAAAAAGAAATGGGTGTGTCTGTGTGTGGTTAAGTTTCGGACTTTTGAGGGGAAGATTAGACCTGGAAATGGAGTTCTATGATGTCCCAGACGGGTTCTCCTTTTTCTTCCGCCCGACAAGGATGCTCTTTAGAGCACCGAGCCATTTTGTGAGAGACTCTTCATCGGAAGTGCATAATCGATATATCTTCTCTTCTGCAATGATCTGAAGACAAAATTTCTTAGAACGGGACACGGGATCTACCTCGGTGGCGTCGAAGATTTGCTCCATTGGGATGATTTTGACGGCCGAATATTCCTTGATTATGGTTAGAGTATATTCTAAGGATCAAGCAGTAAATAGGCAAGAACTGCTCAGCAATGACATACCTGTTCGTTCTTATAAAACGCAAGGCTCTTTGCCCGCAGCACAACCCATAATCGTTTCCAGTGCCGCACACCACCCTTGACTTTGAGACACTGGAGATAACCATTGCAAATGACCCTTTCCGGGTCGCGCAAGGCAGATAGTTCATGGTTCTTGCTTCCTTCCCGCGGAAGCGCAGATGGTTGACTCGCCGGCGCAGACGAAGAAAAGTCTTGGAACGAGGGCCTTGACCTGGAGTGAACGCTCGCATTGCTCCCAGGCCCATCTGACCATTCAGAATACGACGTAACGTCATTTGCAGAGTATTCCTGGGGAGCCATAAGCCGCCTTGATCGTACTGTAGAAGGCAGCTCCCGACCAAATTCAGGAGAGCTTGCCCTCTCCGGGCATTCATTATCTGAGTGATCTGTGGTTTCATAGATGCGCTGTTTATTTGGAACCGAGGTATCGCGCTTTTTAGAGAGTGCAAAAAGAGCCTCCTCATCTTCGTTTATGCGGCTCTCGGCGCGTATCCGCTCAATCCAATCTTCCATATCTTTGTCCGACAACGCTTGGAAACGGTAGTTCTTGGATCCCGTAAATATTGCGAAGACATTTTGCCGGGAGGATCGGTGGGATTTGATAGGAGCGACGGCAGTGACCTCGGAGAGTGATATGGACGCTCGAAGTCGAGTCGCTTCTTCATCCTTGTAGACTGATAATAGATTCGGGCGTAGAACGAGATATGCAGGCTTCCAAAAGGCTCTGAATACCTAAAATGAGCTTCATTAGTATGAACCTCAGGTGAAGCGCGAAACTTGGCGCAGGCAAGGAGACGAACATGTTTTGGCTTCACGCGGCGGTTTACTTTCTGGGACTTCAAGACTCGGTCGAACTCAAAACTTCCATTTTCATTGACAGGCGAAAAAGTATCTAAGTTGACGTGGCCATTGCGAAAAGCTGCAGGATGTTGAACTGGCGTAAGAAAGGGCTGCTGCACCGTCCCATCAGGGAGATGAATCGCGGGGGTATTGGCGTGCCCCTCGAAGGCCAAGGGGCCCGGCGCTGAAAGCGTTTGGCTCATGTTGTCGCCGAGCTGTACTGTGTTCTATACCGTCCTCAAGTTACAGAAAAAATTGCCCGACGTCCAGAAGACAAGGTGGGAGAAATCTGGCGCTAATAGATCCCCAGACTGTACAGGCGCGCATCTGGGCGAACAGGAAAGCATTGGAAGCTGACCTCCATATATAGCAGATGGCGACCTAGGCGACTCTGAGGGATTGGCAGGCAGATTCAACAAGAATGCTTCTGGCTAGCAAGTCAAGTCTGCAGGCAGGCACAGAGGCTGCGTCGGGGGAGAGTCCTGGGTGACAGACCACTCCTGATTCCTGGCGATGGGGTGTCGGCGCCTGCTTTTGCAGGTGTCGATCGTTGGCGGCCCATGTGCTGGCTCGACCGCATCCATTGTAAGTCCCCATCAAGAACCCACGGAAACGCTGCACGGCGAATCTTGGAGTAGAAGAAAGCTATCAGGAAAGCAATACACCTCTTCAGAACCTACCTAGCACAACAGGCTCACAATAATCAGGCCCAAGGCAAGCACTTTTTTGACGACCCTTCTTGCTGCCACGGTCAAGGTCTATACTCGATTGAATATAGTATGAATTAGCTCCCGGGGCTAGGCTATATCTGGTTCAGGCCTGCAAGCGCACGCGAGGGAAAGATTAATATGATTACCTCTTATGTATGTATGGACTCGCTCTGAAGGGTCAACTCGAAAAGGCACAAAATCCCTCTTCCTCCCACCATACAACCCTTTTCGAGGCCATCCATGTCGAACGTCATCAATAGGTTAGGACTTGGCTCTCTAGATAAACCATTGAGCCGCGAACTAAATCACCTTTATGCTTGTCTATCTGTTTCCAGTGTCAATACTGGTACAGTACTGCACCAGATAGATGTCACCAGCGCAGTTACATCTTCGTTAACTAGTAGGAGTACGTAGCAGAGATCAAGCTATAGACTGCGATCACCTGCCGTACTCCCCAGCGGCCGGTACCGAACGGGCTTCCTTAAGGTTTTCACTTTGCTCCCTCGAGGCACGTATGCACGAGGCGTGTGCATACATATTTCGAGTTACGTCCCCTGCCTGCAAGGTGTAAGTACTCTATTCCTAGAAGTTCGAGTACCAATACAACGCAATGAAGTCTCGAGCAAGTATTGAAGCACACAAAGGGCAAATATTACTCACACTACGCCCCAAGTGTAACCCTTTTTGCCACAGGCTATTGAAAGTCTTATCGTTGGCTAAATAGGAGCCAAATATACAACTAATCACGTGAACAGGCCCTTCGATTTCAGGGTTTCCTACTAGTAATCATCTCTCGATACAACTAGTATTGTACTACTTTCAAAAATGATCCTTGACAGTACCATACGAGAGTGCGATCCAAAGTCCCTGAGCCGAGTCCAGGCTCAAGAGTCAACAGCCAGCCGAAGACCTAAAATTAAATCTTGTTGATGCCAACAATGAAAAGGAGAAGTGTCCTCCAACCATGTTGCTGCAAAAAAAAAAAAAAAAAAAAAAAAAAAAGGACGTAATGTGGCTTTATATTGAATGGTTTTACTGATCTTGCCTCTGAATAAGAATGAAATTCCTAGTACATACCTATAATATCATGAGGCGTGTATCTACTCCGTTGACTCTAGATAGCGCAATGGTGTCAGTGTGTTCACTCCCACTGTCTGTGCCCATGATTGACACTACTGGGCTTGCAACGACCAAGACAAAGTAGACACGATCGAAACTTGAAATGAGCCAGTCAATCGACAAATAATACCACAATCTACAGAGACTGGACATTCATCAGGATGTCGGTGCCGAGCACAGATTTCGAGTTCTCTCGCTGTCATAGGATGTTCATCGACAAGTTCCAACTCAGAGCAAGTGAATTATTTGTTATCAACTATTGACAGAGGCGGGTCAGGGGAACGCTTTCTGGGTAGTTTGTTTGATGGCAACGTGTTGTTAAGCTTCAGGCCCCGAGGTCTTGGAAGGAAAGGATGTCAGGGATTTCGGGGCCACAAGCATAGAAAAACTTGAAGGGTATTGTCAATATGTCTGCTCCGTAGAAATGCGGATTATCAGGATCCTAATCTCAGGCCTACTACTTCTCTACTCAGTATGTAGGAGAGAACTTGCTTTCCATGGCGAATCGATCTTCCGGTAAGCCAGCCGTACCATACTTGGAGAGCCGCCTCTCCCGGTTAGTACTAGGAGTAAAATTAATAATTTACCAAATTACCAGACTGCTGACGCGCTCCTTACGCTTGGCGAAACCTACCACTCATCCCCATCCCCAAAATCATCCTTCTAGCCTTCATTTCATCGGATGTCTCCCGCCGCTTCTCGGTCTTTGACCTAGCCTGACCCTTTTTCTCATCCCGATTGATGATCTGGTCGGCATCTCTCCTTTCCTCGGCCTCTTTGCTAAGGACAACACCCTCCGGCGTTGCTCTCAACGCACCCTCCGTCCACCTCCGTCCGGTCGACTGAATTGCAGAGAAAGGAGGCTTGCCCTCCGGCCGCTCGTTAATCGCTCTCGCTCGCGCATACCTTTTTCACCCTATCTCTTCGTTAATAACCATACTCATCGTGTCTTCGTTGTCGCCGTCCAACCGACTCGCCTCCAATTCTCCCCGTTGCTCGCGTGCGGCCGGTTTTTGACTCGGGTGGGAATATTTCAAAAGACCTGCGAATTGACTGTGCAACGCTGCCGACTTTGGGCAGGTGCCCTTCTGTGTTGATTGGCTTTTATTGGTATTTCGGCCTCGCGTGAGCGGACGCAGCGTGGGCATTCTTGCACCCATGGGCCTTGTTCAACGAGTTGGAAAATGGTTGCCCTCAGCGCCGAGTCTTCCTATTGATGACTCGTCCTCGGAAAAAGGACGCAAATTTCCCAGATTTGCATTCTTCAGGCGCAGGATACGGTTGAAGGGCAACTCTTCCATTTCCATTCCCCTGGGTTTCGTTTTATTATTCCCATGCATTGTAATAGTTCTCATTTTGCTGCTATTTGTACGACATCCCGCCTCCCCTGGGGGCATCTTAATACCCGCGGGCACGCCGCCGTCTATAAGGTATGTGGTAGCTATTCACAACTTGAAGCATGTTATCGTTGACCCGCTTCATAGAAAAATAAGTGAGAGATATGACAAGGTATTTGCCACAGGCTGCCTACCCGTTGACAAGACGGATGGTCCTCGAGCAAATGCGGCTTTTGTTGTGCTGGCAAGAAACAAGGAGATTGACGGCGTTATCCAGTCGATCAAGTCGATCGAACGGCACTTCAACCGCTGGTATCATTACCCCTACGTGTTTTTGAACGACGCCGATTTCGATGATGCATTTATGGATACAGTCAAGAACTACACAAGCGCTCCTGTGGAGTTTGGGAAAATTGACGAGACGATGTGGGGGTTCCCTAGTTGGGTTGACCACGAGGTTGCCAAAGAAGGCATTCGGAAACAAGGAGACGCTGCGATCATGTATGGAGGCATGGAGAGTTACCATCACATGTGTCGATTCTATTCCGGGTATGGCTTACCCTGATCTCAGTGAAACTGTTGCTAACTACCTTTTAGATTCTTCTACAAGCATCCTCTCCTCTTGAAGTATGAGTGGTACTGGCGTCTGGAGCCCGAGATCAAGTACTTTTGTGACATCACCTAGTAAGCATTTCATTCCATTCAATATCTCGACCGGCTTGTACTCACCGATTACAGTGACCCCTTTATCAAAATGGCCGAAGCCAACAAGACCTATGGTTTTACAATCGCTGTCAAGGAACTCCGCGAAACCGTCCCCAATATCTTCCGCTATGCATCGGCCTACAAGCGGAAGAAGAATATCAAATCTCAAGGATTGTGGGAAATGTTCTTGGAACCCATCGAGGAAAAACCAGAAGAGCCTTCAGACAACCTTCCCGAGGAGATCCTCATCACCGAGCCAGGCGAGAAGAATGAAATTGACCCCGAGACCATGGAGGGTGAAAGCTACAATATGTGCCATTTCTGGAGTAACTTTGAGATTGCACGATTGGATTTCTTCCGGAGCAAGGAGTACGAGGATTTCTTTGAGATGATGGACAGAAGCGGCGGTTTCTGGATGGAGAGAGTGAGTGCCCTCCCATATTCTCCTCTTCATTTCTCTGATAACTGACAAAAACAATAGTGGGGTGATGCGCCCATCCATTCGCTCGCCGCTGGTATCCTTTTGTCTCCGAGCGACATCCATTATTTCCGCGATTTCGGTTACCGCCATACCACGATCCAACATTGCCCTGCCAATGCTCCCGCCCGACAACTACCGCGCATCCCGTACCTAGAAATGACGACCGAGGATGAGAAGGAGCGCATTGAAGAGGATGAATATTGGGCCACGCCAGACCCCGTCAAGGAGAATGGTGTTGGCTGCAGATGCAGATGTGACACAGACATTGTGGATGTTGAAGGCAAACAAGGCAGCTGTCTTGCAGAGTGGGTGGAAGTTGCTGGCGGCTGGGCATCTCCATAGACACAGCTTGCCCTTTTAATTCGTTGTATAATCTTCACGTCTTCGATTCCGTACGTACTTGTTCGACTATGAGCATCACTCGGGTCGTCCTTGGAGTTTATTCTTTTTGTTTTGCTTGAGCCTCCATGTTACGTTGGCTGTGGGGTTGTGGGCGGGCGTTTTACGGATCTGACGACTTCTTCTGTGGAAGATGGCGTGGCCATTATCATCAATATCGACACTCATCTAGCGTGCTTTGTATCTTTCATTTGGAGATTCCGACTGTCTCTTAGACCCCAAGCGCTGGAAATGGGATGTGGCGGGATAGAGAGTATAGTATAGTATCATACGAGCCTCAACATCTGGATATATGGGAAAGATACAGCGTATACCAAGTGTCCGCCAGGGGACGGGGGCCAATCACCCAAGAATAATAAATCGTCTGTACGTACGTACTACTACTGCTGCACTTTTCCCCAGCCTGCTCTGAATTGGAATTGGAACAAACCCGAAGGTTCATCTAGCATCAGCTTTTCTTGAGCTTCGGCCACCAGTCAACCACAGGCCTCTCGTCATGTGCCCCGCGCTGGGTAACCCGTGGACTCTCATCCGTGATCAGTAGTCTGCATGCATCATCCATCTCCTTATCTCTCCCCTTCTCTCTCAGTCAACATCTGTTGGTTTCAACTGAAAACAACAGGTTCGGAAGTACAGAACAAAGTTCACGAGGTCATCTCTCGAGAAACGACGTAAGTCACTCTTTCTCTTTCTCACTACTGCTGGCCCCAAAGCACCTGACTCCTGGCCTGACTCGCCTTCCGCCCGGGGCAGAACCTATCCTCCCCTCCCCCACTCCAGCAACGCCGCCTAGGCTGTCATCAGGCATCTGCCATTAGGCTGAGTTTGCCGAAAGAAAGCCACGAACGAAGCCCCGAGTTATAACTTTCTTCCGCTGGCCGTGTTTCTTTCTCAGCGTTTATCTTTGAGCAAAGTCGAATGTGCTTGACCTGAAGCTCTCCGCCCCGCTCTCCTCCATCTGGCCCGCTTTGATCTGCGTTCCATGGCATTTACTCTTCGGCGATATGGCTGACTCTTCAGAGCCTCCCTCCAGGGGTCCCCGTACAGCCTCAAGCACATCACATTTCCAGTATCCGACCCTGCCTCCCTTGAATGCGTCAGTCGAGGAGTGGTTATCTCGCTCAAGACCGATCAGTATGACGTCAACGTTCCCCATAGATCCTCCACAACGGTCTCTCAGTGAGAGCTGGGCAACACTGAGTGCATCTGATGTACACTCCGAAGACGAAGCTCCCTCTGAGCAGACTGATGTTGGATCCTTGATTGACACAAGCGGTCCGGAGGATGTCGCAAGCCTCGATGAACGGTATAGCAGTAACGATGACATGGATGGGAACTACGACGAGGGTCTTGATAATGAGGACTATGACTCTAGGAGCGACGTCTCCGAGGTTCGAGACCTACGACCCATGTTTCCTCAGTTGGGATGCTCCATCGATGACAGCAATCTCACCACTCAAACCGCCTTTCGCCAGTCCATCGAGTCCATCGAATTCGTCGAGCCCGACAACTGGCCTGAGATCGAAAGGGTGCAATTAAAGCATACGATCCGGTTGATTGATGGCCCAGAGATGGCTGAACTTATGGACAATTTTCCGTCCTACTTGGAAGACTCGACCTTGATGGCTACTGTTCAACAAACGATGACAAAGAAAAGCATAGACACAGATAAGCCGTTTCGTGTTCTATACATCGGAAGCTCCGAGTTCCGTGGAATAATACTCGACAAGCTCGGCGACGTCCTTGTCTCAAGCACATCCAGTGGTTTCGAAAGTAGTTCGACAGAATCGTCAAGATATCATGTGGTTCCCACCTCGTTCGGCGCAGGTGCTGTTCCTAATTTCGCAGAGCTTCTCCCGATCCATTTCCAACTCATCGTGGACGAATGCCTCGAGGCCACCTCAGAGTCCCACGTTGACAGACCCCGAACCATTAACTTGAAGTTCAAGAATCGTCCTTTATGCACATCTCTCTGGACAGGGACCGAATATGGTATCTCCTCCTCGGCAGATTGGGCACTACCCGATGTAGCCATTCTATTCCTGTCTACACTTGACACAACTACAGCTATGGATACCCAACGGCTGGCGCGTATGTTCATGGAGAGACATGGCGTACCAACAATGGTCATCTCCGAGAAACCTCTTTGGAAGATGTCCAGAGAGCCGATTCCTGTCAACCATCATAGTCTACACATGTGCCTGGAATCGCGCCATTCTCCTACTGGAAAAACTGCGGTTCTGAAGCGTTACCCTATCGATCTGAACACTTTTGAGAGCATATCTCCAAGCCAGCTCAATAAGAATCTGGCCTCGTTGACGAGGATTTATCCCCGAGAAAACTTTAGATCCACCACGGAAGCTTTCAAGGCATCCCAGAAGAAGCCGTTGCTGAGTCTCAAGGGCTATACAAAGAAGATTCTCCCTTTGCCTTGTTTACGGAATGATACCGAGCTAGCGTTTGTCTTGCGTCTCATTGTCATCGCTGTGTTGTCCATCAGTCTAGGACACATAGCCCTAGAGGCCACTGCAGTTTTCCTTTCAAGCTTCGTTGCCCGGTCAGTCGTCTCCAACCAGATATCCCCTGTTTCAAGCGCTCCTACTACCCATGTCACTCCAACGGCAGACTTGAAGCAGACTGCTCTGTCGGTATTGCCGTCAACGTCTAGTGATGTCCTGGCAGCCCACAGTTTATCGCAGCTTGGCAGTCTAATGGGCGGGGCACTTTCAAACTCTGAGGTGTCGAGGCCGACAGAAAGTTTCGAGATCCAGGTTGTCGGGGATTGCCATCTTGTCATCAAGCCTCCTAGCCAGCATATAGCTGCAGGGAGACAGCCGAAATTTAGTGTTCAAGTCAGTCGACGTGGCCAACCCCTCCAGTATGAGCTTTCCAAACTGTTTGAAGGAGTATACTCTCTCAAGCTTGACCGCGAAGAGTCCTACGGCTTGGTTAACGTTACCATCACCATTCTTTCCAAGCCTCAGACGGTACAGGTTGTGCCAGTAGATTTGGGTATACCGTGGCTGAAAATCGCAAACTGGAAACGTGCTGCGCATGCCATTTCAACGCATCTATCTCGCGACTTGGGTACCGCACAAACAGGATTATCGGAAGCGTACGGTCGGATAACTACTGATCTCCAGATCATTATGGGAGACGTAGTCAGACGAGCTCATTTGCTTCGGCAGGAAGCGAACCTGCTCAGGCGAAATCCGTTACAGCTTTCAATCGATACAGGGGAGGCCTTCATTTCAACCTCGAAACAAATTTCCGAAATTTTCAAGCGCTCCGCCGTGCAGTCCTTCATATCAGCTGCCTCCGTGCTCCAGTACCAGACCAAATCGGTGAACGACGAAGCTAGACATTTCGTAAGTGGCACATGGAACAAAATCAACGCCGGTGCGCAACGCCTTGACCCTGGGGCGATAATGGAGCACGTCCGAAACGCGCGAAAGTCCAAAACCCTAGACATAGCTCAGAAGAGAGCGAGACGCTTGATGAGAGGGAATTTATAAGAGCCCTGAAATGTTGGATAGAGCTATCAGCGGAAATGATACGCCCTTGTCCAGCGCGTGAACTTGAACGCCATGTCCCCTCCTCTATATCAATATGCCGACTTGCATGTTTGATCTTTCTCTCCGTTTCTTCTTCACTCGCTGTCGTCTCTGACTTTGCACGGTTTGGGTTGGCTTGGTCTCATATGGGTGGTTTCCTCTCTCATGGACGGATGCGTCGGGGGTTTCTTGCAGGATATGCTGCCTTATGTAACAATGAATAATGAAAGAACTTTTCCCACCAGCCATCTTCCCCATAGATATAAAGAAAAGAGTTTGTGGAGGAAGGCTTTCTGGATGGTGGCACTAGTGCTTGTGGCCTCAGGCTACGAACCTACCCACTTCCGACCAAAAACAACCCGCCCATAATTTTCCCCTCCTTGTCATTCTCCCCTCCTAGTGATATCCACTCGTAGAGCCCTCTTTTTTATAAATATCATCTTCAGGTACTTTCTGGCGCCCTTCTCATCTCCAGCGCTCCCCTCACTTATTGAAACTCGCAGAAATCAGAAGCCACCCCACCAATATGTCGGACGTTACTGAGACCAAGCCTGACCCCACCACCAGTGCTCCTGGGGAGACGACGAAGCCTGCAGAGATCACCACCCCCGAGACATCAAAGACAGAGGAAGTCAAGGCTGCTGCTGAGTCTGCTACTGAGACTGCTACTGAGACGGTGAAGGATGTGGCTGCTAAGACATCCGACAGCGTCTTCTCCATGTTCGGTGGCGGCCCCAAGAAGGAGAAGAAGGAGGATGAAGAAGAGGCAGATGAGCCTTCCGGCTCTTCCAAGGCCAAGAAGGCTGAAGATGAGGTTAGTCATACATACTAATGTCTTCATCTTTTTACGGCGTTCTAGTTTTCTTTGTTCTGTTTTGTTTTGGCCCAAATTTCCTTTTTCGTTTTGAGCCGCCCGGAGGCGAGTTTGATGGGTGAAGGAATGCTAATATCTTTAATAATCCGCACAGGATGAGGCCCCCGAGTCCCCCGATGTCCACTTTGAGCCTGTCATCCGCCTGACCGAGAAGGTCGAGACCAAGACCAACGAAGAGCTTGAAGAGCAAGTCTTCAAGATGCGCGCCAAGCTCTTCCGATTCGACCGTGACAGCAAGGAGTGGAAGGAGCGTGGTACCGGCGACGTTAGGTTGTTGAAGCACAAGGAGAATGGCAAGACCCGTCTGGTCATGCGCCGAGACAAGACCCTCAAGGTCTGCGCCAACCACTACAGTAAGTTGCCATCCTGAGCTGTCCAGCCGTATGCCCTGCATATGCTGATGAATCTTAGTTGTTCCCGACATGAAGTTGAGCCCCAACGTCGGCAGTGACCGTAGCTGGGTCTGGAACGCCGCTGCTGATGTCAGTGAGGGCGAGCCTGAGCCTTCGACCTTGGCCATCCGATTCGCCAACAGCGAGAGTATGTGCTCCTCAATCACGCTTTCCGTTTTAACGTTACTGACTTGACAATTCAGACGCAAACCTCTTCAAGGATGCCTTTGAGAAGGCTCGTGAGGAGAACGAGAAGCTCCTCCAGCAGTAAATCATCTGCACCCCCCATATTCAATGAACTTATTAGGAGGAATAACATGAGCCTGTGTTCCTACTACGCTTTACCCACATCGCTGCAACCTGAACGAATCACTTGTCGGTTCGCATTGCCCCTATTTTACCATGCACGATTCCCCATCGATTCTTTCGTCCTCCCCTTCCCCCCACACTTTCTGTACACCTGAACGAGAAAGCAGAACAGAGATTCTGCTCAATGGTTTCCCCAATGAGCCAATAATGGCATGACCTTGGCTTGATGTTTTGATCACCCGTTGAGGTTGGTCGTGCCCAGCCAGTTGGCAGTAGATAGACACCTATCCATCGAATATACAAATGAAAATATGCCCAAATATGCTACTAGTATACTCTCTGAAATATACAAGAAGCTATATGACTTGTTTCTGCCAGGAATGTTGATTGTCATGAACAATGAGCTTTGCATGGAGGAAACGGGAAACCTCAATCTGCCTACTCAAGCCAAAGTTAGGATATAGAAAATCAAGTGTCAATCGATATAGTAGGTACATAAAACTGATAGGACGGCTGCTTGGTTTGTTCCTGCGCTGTTGGAAAGCAAGCTTTGGATCCCCCACTCGACGGCCTCAAACCTCTCGGATGTTTCTCCTTTGCCCATTCATTCTCTCAACCCTCCCCTCACGCGCCTTGACTCCTCGCTTCTCCACGCCCCTTCTCAATTCCTTATTCAAATTCTATCTCTCTGTCGATCCACTCATTCTGAGTTGAATCGCGCTCTGTGCTCCTCCTTGGTCAGCTGCGTTTCCTTGAGTTTCGGCCGCGAGCTTTTGTCTCCGCCTGCGATACTTGACCTGGGAAAGCTCCTCGCTGCCCTTATTTTCGGAGAACAGCCAGCGACCCTAGGGCACTCCCAATTCCTTGTTCTTCTCTTAGATTTGTCAGTGCGCGTAGCATCAGTTCATCTACAACATGCCCGACGTGAGTCCTCTCTTTCTCCTTTCCATCTAGAACTCCGCCAGGTTGGCCGTCGCTACACGGCCGCCTGACGTGGTTACTCTCACTTTAGCCCTGATACTGTCGGTTTTGCATCCCGCCAGCTAACGCGCTTAAACTGTGACAGGTCAAAAGGAGCGTCAAGCTCGTCACAGAGCAACACGTCATGTGCGTTTCTTCCCACCCCGATCTGCCCTCAGACTGTATCGACGACAGCCACCAATTCCTAAATTGCTCTCCCATGTCCTCTCATCGCCCGCTCACATCTTCCTGGTCGTTCCAAGTCGCGTGCCAGATGGTGCTTGAGCGCCGCTGTTGTCGGGCCACGGCGCATTGCGATATGGCGAGCTTTGGGGCGACGGTCTGGTGGTCGTGATGGACAAAGGAAGAGACATCTTGCTGATTGATTACGTCTTGCGTGGCTACAGAAATAAGGATTCCGGCGTCGAAGGATTTCCCCTCCGATCGTGGTCTATTGAGGTATACCTAATCAATGACCACGGGGAGCAGGTATCGGCGAATGTCTTTGACAAGGTGACCTACAGGTTACATCCCAGTTTCGGAGATCGAGCAACTCAAGGTTCGTCCAGTCTGCTCTGGTTCGATCTGTTCTAAGAGCGAGCACGACACGAGCGTCACCTGCCTACTTTATGGTTACAACGGTAGCTGACTTAAGAACTACAGTATTCAAAAGACCTCCTTTCAGAATCCAGGAAGAGGGATGGGGTGAATTTGATATGCAGATTGGCCTCACTGCTGGAGACAAGGAACATGTTATTGGACACGATCTCAATTTCGCGTCGGCGCGCTATGAGTCTAAGCACCCCATTGTGAGTTTCACGTTGCGTGGCATATCCGTCACCAAAAATATGCTCACGTCCTCTACAGACATTCAAGAACCCCAAGCCTGCCCTGTTGGCGGCACTACGCGAATCCGGCCCAGTCCCGGGTGATGAGAATGGAGTCAAGTCAAAGCGTTCGGCGGGAGCAGACGAGGGATCAAAGAAGAAAAAGCGAACGGAAAAGAGCGTAAGTGATGCTTGGATGTGAATAGACGCAAAGAGTTGGATCCTGACATGCATTCATACCATATACAGGTTGACATGGACAAGTTAGCTGATGGTCTTCAACGACTCGGCGAAGATGATCTCCTTCAAGTAGTGCAGATGGTACACGACAACAAGGCCCCTGACTCCTACACCAAAAACGACGTTGAGCGTAAGTCCACCCAAACGAATCAGGCAAAGTCAGAGGGCCTCTTTTTTTTAACCTGCTTTCACAGAGGGAGAATTCCACGTCGACTTGTATACCCTCCCGGACGGCTTAATCAAAATGCTCTGGGAATTCACACAGGAGAAAGGTGCCCTGTGATCCAGTGTCCTTTTCTATTCGTTCTTCTACCCAATTCAACTCATGTCATGTTGACGTATCTATCTGCATTTTTCCGACCCTCTTTTATCTTATATTCTTGCCCCCTTGATGCTATCCATTATACGCCAGTCCTATTTCCCAGTTCACCTATCATCTCGGTGACTGCCGAACCTAAACTATCAGTATTTCTTGTTTTGAATCAAAAAGCGGGTGGCTCAAGGGCTTTGGTGGCTCTCTATCTTTTCTTGAAGAAGCTGTCGCAGGGTAGAAGGAGTGTTTCATGTCTCCCAGGTTGTGGTTTGCAACAATGATTTCAATGATAGGTCTTTGTCTCGTCTCGTCCAACCAGAGGTTTTATTCTATTCATATCTACCTATGGTATCCGCTTACTTCTGTCCACTCTGCTTAATACGGAATTATCCGAAGACCCAAAGGCAAGAATATCCATGATGAGGCGGTAATTCTACTGGGTCGGCGACTAGTTCTCGGGCATCAGGTAATAGTATTATTCTTGACTGGGACGAGGTTGAATGGGTAACCTGGAGGATAAAGAAAGATAATTTGGCTCGGTTTGTAGCTGCAGGGGTCGTCGCCAACGCTTTCACATAGACTCTTTTTTTTGTTTCCTGTTATGGTGCCAACATTAATGTAGTAGCAACTAGTAGGTCCATTTAGGCATATGTGCCTGATAATATGTTTTCGAATCCAGCAAACAAACAAACTTGATAATATACATAAAGAAAAAAAAAGGGAAGCCATGAAAGCGCAAAGCTTTGGATGGAACTCAGCAGAACTGGAAAAGTCAACTTAGAACGTTGTTGGATATCTTAGGCAGTAATATGCGCATCCCAACCAACCCAAACACCAAGACCAAATGAATAAACAAGAGAAATGATACGAAAAGTCTAGCAAGATCCAGAAACACCCTGTTCTGAGATAGCATGAGGTGACAAGGGAAAAGGGGGTGGGAAATGGGAGGGTGACTCTGTGGATGTTTACACGTGGTTGCAGTGACCCATCATTCCAACCATGTCAGATACGCTGTTGAAAAACTCTCAAATGATGCCCTCCTATGTCAGAGAGGGTTTCACAAACTCTCAAGAAGGCCAATAATCTGTGATATCAAGGAAAGAGACTAAAGCACTCGATGCCTGACAACAAAGGAAAGTATTAGCACACACTTCAAACACGTTTTCCGTACTCCGTAGTAGTCAGAATATTGGAGGGTGTAACAAAGAAACAAAAGCAAGGACTCACATCTTGAGAAGATCCTCGAGACTATCGGCGCTGCAGCTTCGGCCTTTCGGGATCTGCTGCGGAATGTCGACGAATGTCGCAAAAACGTCACCGTCGCGATATGCCAGTATCGCAGGGGGTTTGATGTGGTCCATTTCGGCAATCTCGTGGTGAAGCTTGATAAAGTGGATGGCTGGCTGGCGAGACGCAATTGTGTTCAGGCAGTCTTCGACTAGAGAGCTAGTGGTGGACTTACGGATCGTCAGTAAGTGTTTGATTGTAATCTTCAAAGTGATACCTACCTCGGGATCATATATGCAGACTACGACGACCTGGTCCGACGGAACCTTTTCAATGGCATCGAGATATCCCACGGCATCCACCGTGTCTACACTCATGTAGTGTTTTCGCCAGGGACTTGGCCGTCGAGTCTTCTGGCTCTGTAGTTCTTGCATGCGCGATTGGCGCCATTGCTGCATAAACGAGTCCTCGTCCTCTTCGGCGTCGCTGGCGGAGCCATCAGGCGGCGGTGAATTGTGGAGGAGTGTCGCGGCATCAGTGACGGATTTGGAGGAATAATGCGAGCGGTTGGCAACTGATGTTCCAGAAACAAATGACTTGCGGAAATTGCTTTTCCGGGCACGTTCGAATGCCTGAGCATCCGCAATGACACCCTTGGGCCCCGTATTGGCATCGAATCTTGTGTTGGGAATTGTGTAAGTAGAGGTCCGAGAGGTCATGGCGGGCATAGCGTTATCCGAGTCGGAATGGTGGACGGGGTCAAGGTCTTGTTCGTCAACGGAGGAATCGCCGTCAGATTGGTGGTCCCGGTCTTCAGGATGGGCGGAAGATCTCTCGCGATTGCTGAAGAGCTGGTTGAACTCGTCTTGGGCGGAAGACATTATGAACTGACGGGGAGGTGAGGAGGATTATAAGTAAAACCTGACAGCTCTTTTTTTAGAGATTGGGTCTCGACGCAGGAAAAACAAAACAAACCCAAAAGTATACTAGGGGACACTCGGACCTGTTGTTTCGTCGTATGAGGTCAATACTGCGTGGACAGAAGGAGAGCTGAGCCAAGGAGAGAGAGAAGTGGCGGCAGATGAAACAAAGTAGCCCCTCAAAACGGTCAGGACGGCGATCCCGTGGAAACGGGGTTAGTTTAGCGACAGCCACTTGTGAGTCGACCACCGCGGTCCATGGGATGATCGCCCCGAATTCATCCATCACTCGTGTCCTTTTAGTTTCAGACTCGCGGAAGTGGGGGGAGGTTATCGTCTCAGCCCGGCAAAAACGGGGCACCCACGAGGCTAGAAGGAGCGAAGAATGCGCAAGTCCTTTTAGTCTTCTTTGTTTCTTTTGCTTGACTGACAGAAGCAGGCAGCCACGTGGGTTTCTTCTTTCTTCTTGCATTCCTGACCGCAACTCCGCGTCAACTCTGTTCATGGTGGGCGAACCTCAGATCTCTACTACATAGACGCAGGATTTTGCAAAATACAGTGCAACTCAGGTGGAATCTCGACTGCCCACATGCAGCTTGCCCAAACAAACCAAGAGAAAGCTCGCTTCAAAACACTCGCCCTTGAAATCCTCGTACTTGGCACGTTCAAATGTAGGCTGATTATTAGAAGATATGAAATCGAAAATGCACACTAGGAAAACGTCAGGGCCTATCTGCAACCTGGAATCATTCCTCCCTCATCCTCCTCTCCAAAAAGTACATGCATAATCAAATGCGCAGAAAGAGGCGGCCAAAATAAGCAATCCAATAGTAGGTATAGCGAAAGGGGGATCGACGAAAAGAAAAACCGAAGAGAGAAGAGAAAATCATAAGAGACGAACAAAGGAAAAAGAGTCTGATGATCTCTGAAGCACACGAGCAAGAACCTCGGGGACTCTGCGTCACTCCAGACACCGAGCCGGAGCCCCTGCAACTATCCTTAAAGACAACATTAGTACAAACCACAGCATAAGTTTGCGTTTTTCTTTTTTCTTGAATCCTCCGGCATTCCACGCTCTTTCGGGTGAAGTGCTAGAATGCCTCTTGTTCCCAATAGATCGCTTCTTCCGTTTCACTGATTCGGTCTGCACCCGCAGCAGTCGATTAATGAGACAAAAAGGCGATAAAACTGTTTCTCGACAAACAAGTGTATCGTACAATGCGGACATTCGGCCTATCGATGGGCGGAAATAAAATTTAAGACGAGGACGTCGCAGATGACTGAGACTGGGTATCTTGGTCGTTGTTTTTTTAATCTTTTTAGGTTTACCAAGCCCAGACCTTGAGCTGTTATCGCGGTTACCAAATCAGTAATCTGTGTTTAACGACGAGAGATTTTGTAACTTACCAATGAGTCCCAAGACCCGGTACAGAGGCTGATACCGTCGTTGCTGACTCCGAGACAGCTGACACGGTTCTCGTGGCCACTTAAAGATCCGACCTTGTCCCCTCGAAGAACGTCCCAGACCTATCAAATGTAATCAGCGGTCTGTTCTTGCCAGATATTGCGACAGTCAAGAAATTGCGCACAACATACCTTGCATTCAAAGTCGTCGTATCCTGCGAAGAGCAGTCGTCCAGAAACGGAGAAAGCAACGGATGTGATGCCACACAATATTTGGTCGCTCTGAAAGATGATTAGTTTCATGCATGGTGATAGATGAGGAATATCCTACCTGGTAGATGTTAAGTGATCTATCTGCGCGAATATCGAAAAGACGGCAGGAGGTGTCGTCGGAACCAGTTCCAAAGGCGTTGCCATCGGGGAAGAATTGGATGGCGTTGATATCAGATTCGTGGCCAGCAAAAGTCTGGACAGCCTTGCCCGTACGAATATCCCAGAGCTTGGCAAAAGCATCGCAGGCACCGGAGACGAAGATGTTCTGGTTGGTGGGGTTGATGCTGATAGACATGACATCGCCGAGATGGTCCGCGAATTCAGTGACCTTACTGCCCGACTCGATATCCCATAGCATACAAGTCATATCGCCGGAGGAGGTAATGATGCGACGATCATTGATAAACCGGCAGCATGAGAGGTACCCCGAGTGTCCAGAAAGCTCGCGCGCAACACGGGTCGGGCCTTCTCGAGAAGAGAGATTGTAGATGGAGCAAATGTTGTCCAAACCACCGCAAGCGACGAAGTTTCCGCTCGGAGCATAGGCGCAGGTCATCACCCAGGAGGATCTAAGTGGAATGGCGTGGACCTTGTTCGTGGTATAAGCATCCCAGATAATGAGCTTTCCATCTTGAGAGGCCGAAACGAGATGACGACGGTCGGTCGACCAGTGCATGGCGTAAATCTTGGCTAAATGGCCTTTGAGTGTTCGCCGGGGCTTCATGCCAATACGAGGCAAGGGGTCGGTCTGATTCTGTGCAACTTCACGGACTGTTCCGTTCGCGAAATGTCAGTAACTTCCCAGAAGACAGTAGGTTGGCCAATGCGACAATGGAAGGTGCGGTTTCTCATCGTCGCGGGTTCATATGGAGCAAAGGGGAAAGGGGAATCCGTACGGGTTGTGTCGGCTAGGTCATCCTTTCGGCGTCTGATTTTATCCTTGAGGCCTTCAGCTTCGCGTCTAGCCGCAGTTATCTTCGCCTGCATCTGCTCGCCGCTCATATCCGCTGCCATATTGACTGATAGAACCCCTGGAGGCCGTGATGAGCCGTCAGCGGAGGCGGTAGACGGGATTGGGTGGGTTGAGGCGCGCCTTGAGATGCAGGGGAGACCGGTGAAGGGAGAGGGGAGGGCGAGGACGAGGGCGGTAGAAAAGAAAGAGAAGATGCTGCGAAAGGCAAATGGCGTCGTCGGCGTCGGTAGTAGAGTGTGAAATGAAAGGGAAAGGAGAAAGAAAGCCTAGAGGTCCTGGAAGGTTGTAGTAGGAGTGAGTGAGCACTGAGGGGAGGCCGATTGGGTGGAGCGAGCGGAAGCCACCGAGCGAAACAGGTCAAGGTCGCAGCGCAAAGATTACTCCGTATCAAGATGATTCCTGGTGAAAGGAAACAAAGCAACAATGAGGAAGTGAGAAACAGCCGGAGGGTTAAAGGATACGATGGCAGAAACAGCCAGAGCGTAAAGGCGTCAGGCAAAAGGAAAAGATGACAACTATTAAAGGAAGCCGTCGACGAAATGTTTCTCCATTACCCTTAATAATAATAACACTGTAACTACTTCAGGAGCTGCTGCAAGTGTGTATCTCCGCGAACAATTTGTCTATGATCTACCACACAAGGCTCGAGAGCGGACCTAGATATTAATCCCTGGCTATTGAGGCACAATCCAAGGCGCAGGCACATAACCGCATTATGCTGCTGGATATGTACAACAATTTCCTGATCATCCATCATAGTACAATGACAGGTTGGGCTGGCTTTCAAACTGGCAGGAGCACCGATCGTTCAGTTGGAAAAGGGACCGGCGACCAGGGATGGGGAAGCTACTGCTAGTTTTGGCACTATTGCCAGCTTTAACCTGGTTCGGCATGCTGTCCTTGTGAAGACTCTGCGCTCAACCTCACATCTGACAATTTAATCTCCTCGACTCAAGTCTTGAACGGTTGGAAAGTTGCAGAAGCTTTGCCGACTTCTTCGGTCCGGCACGTATCTACAAAATCCCTGCAAGTGTTTGGCGGGATTTCAGAAGGGTCCCTGCACCGCACAACCTGCCTGCAGAACTGTGCCAAAACACAAAGCCACTGGGGATAACTCCAACCTTATAAGAGACGAATGGACACTTAAAATATACTCGGTTCTCGGGACGGTACTTTTCTTGGCATAGCGCAAGGTGCTGAAATTATGAGAGCTTGGGTTTTGACGGACTCTGATGGCCTCTTGCAAATTCTTCCGTGCCATTGCCGATGGTATCCTCTGGACCGTCAATTGTTGGGCTTGGTGCTAAAGACTGGGAGAGACGGCCCTTCGCAGTGGGTCCGATGAGAATGGCTAGTACGGAGTAGACTCTAGTCAGGCACGATCCTCTTCACAGTGAGGGGGGCTGCTGGATAATTTTCATATGGATTTCTGGACGCAGCAAATTGCAGACTGCAATTCAGCTCCGAGTTCATTTCCCGGCGGGGTCTGCAGACTCGACGACCCACCATTGTGCACGAGTCAGAATGCCTTTCTGCTTTGCTCAATAATTCTGTCTTGATATCAGTGATACAAAGTCCAGATGGTCATGATGCTTCGGCTTTTCAGCACTCTTTAATCCAATTATCATTACTGATAGGCTGAGGAAGATGCTCGTCTTATCTACCAGAATAATAATGTTAGTTAGAATATTGTCGAAACTACTACCTCGGGGCTGCACGGGCATTGATCGTGGTCATGCTTATTTTATCTTGCACTCAAACGCCCGCTCTGCCAGTTGCTCGACGAAGGCGTACTCGAATCTGGGCACATCCAGTAAACAAACAGAGGCGCATCTTGAAACACCACGATCTCCCAACCTAAAAAGCGACTGGGCCACAAACATCCCAATACAAGTATAAATCACAAGGCTGGCTGCATCTTCGATCCTGGCGTCTACCCAGACATGCATGGAGTTCATAAGAATAGTTCCAAGGGCGGCTAAATATCGGGTCGCGCCTACGGATAGATTGGTGGGTTCTAATCATAGAACAAAACCCATCTCTCTGCTGATGCCTGTGCGGCTAGCAACACAACAAGTGACCAGGCTCGTTGTGTTGGCTCTGACAAGCTTTCCATTGGATATTCTCATCATAATTTTGAGCAAATGGTTGTGGTACCGTGTTGGCTGCTTGGTAATCGAGTAGATACAGGGGGGATGAGTAAGAGTATGAGATCAGGCTTGGGCAGCGCGAATGGATAAGCATTACAATCTCATCGAGGAAGCCTCGAGAATGTTATGTTGTCTAGAATTTGACAAAGCAGCCGGTAACAATCATAACCAAAGGAAACATTTAATGCCCAGCGTCCAGTGAGAGGAAGCCAAACACAAGTGGCGGCTGGAATCGCTGGACTGGATTATTCAAGGTTTCTGCCTGAGGCCCAGTGACCTCCTTTTGCGCCCCTCATAGACCGGATAGGAGAACAAGGTCTGGAGGACAGGAGTCATCCATCATCGCCTGCTTTTCCACATTTGCCATCGTAGCTGCTTCGTTCCCGCGCGATTTCCCTCATTTGTCTCTTTATCACGCCCTCTGCATCATCAAGGTCCCCCTACCGGCCACCGCCCTTGACGTCCACCGAACTCCGAACTCTCTGACGGATTGGTCCCTTGGCACTCTCGCCTCCTCCATCGTCCGACAAACATCCTTCCATCCCAAGGCGCTCAAGGATCTCTCCGGCCATCGCATTCTCGCCCAGGATACCCCATGTCTCTGCTATAATTTCTGTTTTCATATCGCCGTTTCGGATCATTGCCTTTGCCGCCATTACAGCGACGAGTTTTGCATCTCACTTTAGGGGCCGACAGCACACCGACACACCCAGGACGAGCGCTTTTCATCCATTCTTCTTTCGTCTGAAGTTCAAACTGTACAGCAACTCAGCGCATACACCGACTGTCCCTCTCTTGCCTATCCGCCCATCATGCGGGAGGTCAACTTCAGTATCCCCAATGTCAACAAGGCCTCCGTTAACATAACCACCACCCTCTATGACCGACGGGCCCTTGATTGTACATCGACCCTACCTCTGATTAACTCTCTCAACCATCTGGCTTACCTCACGACGTCCTCCGCTCGAATTCGTGATATCCTCACCGTGGATGGCGGCATTGAACGCCTAGTTTGCATCCTCAAACAGGGTCGCAGCAACAACCTGATGGAGATGTGGAAATGGAGCCTCGCTTTTCAATGTGTTGTCAACATTGGGGTACGCGGCTCAGAGTCTGTCAGAACTCGAGTGGTTGAGGCAGATATGGTGCCTGTTATTGCCACGATTCTAGATAACTATATCAAGGTATTTGACAAAGTTCGCGCTCGAACGGACTCGGAATCCCAGTGGCACAAGCACCATCATCATCATCACAAGACGATACAAACTACCAGTGAAGATCACTCTACCGAACAATCCTCCGCCGTTCAACGCCCTTCTCGCCGTCAACCTCCTCCTTCCCGCATTGAAATCCCACCCTTCTACCATGACGCCCGTACCGCAGACTCCAACACCATGGACATTACATCCCCTTCCCGTGTACCGATGACATCCCCGCCCGAGAGAAGCACGTTTGGTCATGAGGTGCACGCTCATAGATCTCATGCAACTCCCCGCCACAGAGCAATACAGCCCTTAGCCACAGCTATTCCTTCCATAGATACGACTGACGGATTTGGTTTGCGCCCAGTGCGTGATACTGAGAGACTCCCTAGCATGCTCCCTGCTATATTCAACGGTCTTGCATCTCAACCCGAATCTCCCACCACACCAAACGGAGCGGGGAACCATCGAAGCAGCACACAGACCATCATTGCGTCTCATCAGCGTCCGTCCCTTCGACAGCAACAGTCAGGCTCTGGCGAATCTGATGATGCAAACATTGACACGTTAGGGGATGATGATGCGACTACTGGTGCAGCTGAACCAATCGTCGATATACAGAGCCGAATGGAAATCGATGATGACGGCGACAGAATTGATACCGTTTCCAATGCGCATGATTTGACTGTAACCGACACTTTAGAAGGACAGGAGGCCGAAACATTCAACATAACCCATCGCTCTACTGTCAACAATACACCTCAGACCCACGGAGCGCTTGGTCTGTCGCCCGCTCAGGCTGTCAACAACGCCAACTCACCCGCCTTTGTGCCGAGCCCATATTACACATATCTCCGTGAGCGAACAAACGCCACTTCCCAAAACTTTATCAACACACTGCCGCGCGAAGAGGATGTACTAATGTCGCTGCAACTCTTGGCCTATGTCAGCAAGTACTGCGATCTCCGTTCCTACTTTCAGAATTCCCACCTGGTGCCCAAACTCAAGATCGATCGTGAGCTTCAAATGCTGGATGAAGGAGCCTCGCCAGTTGAGCCAGTTGACGTCGAAAAAGAGCAAGACGAATATCTGCTCCCTGACGATTTCAACATCTTCCCCTTGGTAGAGAGATTCACTGTTCGATACCACGCAAAGGACATGCAGTACTGGGCATCGGTCGTCATGCGAAACCTCTGCCGCAAAGATGAATCGAGAGGTGGCATCCGACAGTGCGCAAACTACAAGTGTGGCAAGTGGGAGGAATTCCAACGTCAATTCGCCAAGTGCCGACGCTGCCGTCGCACCAAATACTGTAGCAAGGATTGCCAAAAAACCGCGTGGGTCTATCACCGACACTGGTGCCATACCTCGCCATGACCGGGTGAAGTTTGTTGAATTCATGATGCATACCGGCTTGCATAGCGTCGTCCTCTAATCGCTCCCATTCTACTCGTTCTATGCATTTGTTTGTCTCCCGTGCATGGCACTTTCAGATCCTGGCGGTGCCCCTATTTACTTGAAAGATACCTTTTCTATGCCACGTCTTGCCGTCGCCTTGCTTTCAGTGTTCCTTTAGTTCCTTTACGCAACGTCCTCCCTCCACTTGTTCTGGGTTTTGGGCCCATCTCTTGCTCATACGAATCACCTCTAGCGGCCACGAACATGCAACGTCCTCTTCATGCAACGTCCTCTTCACCCAACGTCACACAGTGGCTTTTCCTTTTTGTCGCTGCTTTTTCGGTCATACCGGCTTCTAATCCCCGTCATCCTAATGTCGGACGATTTTTATATGTCAGATGTCATTGTCCATTTTTTACTATTAACCACATCATCCCTTCTTCGGACGTTCTCTTTTGGCTGGTTTTGTGTATTTTCGATATTGGCAATAGTTGGTTTCTCTCGCGTTCCTACGATTGCTATGTACCTATCGACAGACAGACTTGTCTATTGCATTGAATAGCTCCACGCGCATACATTTTGCTTATCAGGCACTCGCAAATCACATATACATTGTGGCTTATTGTCATTGGCATGCGTAGAAGACAGATGTGGAAGATAACCAGTCCTATACAGCAGCAGCAGCAGCCGCCTCCTGCCTAAAATCATACGTCGCATTCAACCGCAGGGCAAGATGCTCCGCGGCCGTCAGCGCCCGCTTTCCAGCCCCTAGATCCCCCGCTCCGCCCCCAAATCCCACTCTCTCTTGGGCCTGATTCCCCGTCCCCTTCTCCTCCCGGTACCGCTTGACAACCTCACTTGGTACAGGAATCAACTCCGTCTTATCCAGCGGATGGCAAAAGAACACAATACTATACCGGTCTTGCGAGCTATTCCCCGTCCGCTCCGCCATGGGAAACACAACCCGGTGCACAGTCGACTTTAGCAGCCCGTCCGTCCAATAACTTAGCAAGTCGCCGATGTTGACGAGGATAGGTGGGAAGGAGAATCCAGACTCCGAGGATGATGGCGAGCAGCCCTTTGGCTCAACGGGGACAGGCGCCCACGTACCCTCTGGTGTTAGGATCTCGAGTCCCGGCTGGCCTGGTCTCTGAAAGAGGAGCGTGATGCTTCCGTAATCGGAGTGTGCACCTGCGCGCACATCGACGGTGTGGTCGTAGGACGCTGTTGCCGGTGCTGAGATGGATGGGTAGTAGAGATAGCGTAGGATGCAGCCTGTTTCGCCCTGCGAGGGGTCGTGCCGGGCTGTGAAGAAGTCCGGAGAGATCTAGGTTTGGTTCTTAGTACACAGTGTACGGCGATGAGGGTTCAGACTTACCTGAAGTCCTAGGGCAAGTAGCTTCAGGATCCGGTTGCAGGTCTTGGTGCAAAGGTCGGCAAAGCGGCCGATCTCATCCTCGTGGGGGGCGAGGGCTTTGGGGAGGGGCTGTTGGGCTTTGCCAGAGGCGAATTCGCCAAAGTTGAAGGCTCTATGGTTCCCACGGTCAGTTGGCTAGCTATTTTGCGTATGTATGCTGAGGCCTTACTCCTTGAAATCGCCGGTCTACCTACAGTTAGTGGAGATCAATATCTAGAGTGAGTACACATAAAAGGTTGATTGGGTATACGAACGCGCTGATGCTCAGGGTCTAGAGTCTCCGAGTGCATGCCAGACCAGCCACGATTCTAGATAGTCGTTAACAAGTCTTTTGGAGCTCGGCCGATGAGATGTACAAACATTCGACTGAATCCGACAGGGCTCTTTTTCCTCCGCTGGTGACGCAAAGAAGGTTTTTGACTGTAGCAACTCATGTCAGCTTCGGTGTACCAGTATGATATTGTACATGGCATACCCGTTCAAACGCCTTTTCCACATCCTCGGCCCTGAAATCAGTCCCTTTGCTATCCACGTACAGGAAGCCGTATTTGGTGGCAGCGTCTAGGATAGCCTTACCAGCAGCTGGATCCTCGGGGTTGGAGATATCGAGAATGGGAAGCTCAATTGCGGGTCCGACGGGTGTTGATTCTGTCATTTTGAAGTTGTTGATGTCTGTTGAAAGCAAAGTCTAGTAACGATAGCCTACGGTTATACGCAACTTGAACGATGCATGCGGGAAGCTCCGACGTTATATATTTATTGGAGTCACGCCAGCACTTCTATCGAACCTTATCTATAGCCCCACCATCTCCCATATCGATATCATGAGATGTTGCTATTATTACAAGTTGATTGTTTTTGAACTGCAATTCATATTAGCACTGCCTCCGAAGCGTACACAAGGCTAGAAATCATTGCAACGGCAAGATAATCATAGCTTGACCTATAGGACGAAGATTGAGCCTCAGAGCAGGATTGCTCAAAAGTTCCTTGAACATTCAAGCTCAGAGCTGTCCTGTCATTGCCGGAGCGTGGTGTCGAGAAGAACACGAACATAATCGGCGGGGTTTGGCGGCGGCTGATTGAAGCTGCGCATGCCCTGGTTAAGGATTTCGGACATTTCAGCTGCGCAGCCTGATTATGCAGAGGAAAGCCGCTGGGTTCGATTCTTGAGAACTTCAAGGGGATCTTGCTTTATGAAAATTGAGAAAAGCTGGTGGATCCCGTGATTGATCCGCATGTCAAGCCATTGGAACTCCAAGTTGGGACCTTGATTGTTGTCGCATCCTTTTATTGAGCTCTGGATCGTTCTGCTCTGAGTTTGTCCCAATCTCTCCCCGGTGACTTTTCTGTTCTCAAGTGCCCTCTCTACTCCCCTTCCACCGCTCACCAGGTGAAGTCCCTTTTACCTCTTCCGCTCTTCATGCCTGATCGGCTTCCGCAACAAATAATCCGTGACCCAACTCCAGCTTGAAGAATGCCGAGTAAGTCTTCGCGAAGCTTCCCTACCTCCAGGTGGAACCAAGCTCACGCCGTTTGTCTCCAACAGTCCGCCCGTTGGACGATTGGGCCTCTGCCCGCACCTTGTCCCTCCCCCTCTCCGCTCTCAAAGGGGCCGTCGTCGGTATCGATGCGTCGCACTACATCTCGCAACACCTCTCCCACCCTTCCACCCGTGAACCGCTCCTGATCGCACTCGGAGGTTTCCCATTCGCGCTGAGAAGCAACATTGAGAAGGAGCTTCAGGTGTTCAAGGATCTGGGCGTGGCCGTCATCTTCGTCTTCAGCGGCTTGGACTTTGGAAAGAAGAACCAGCGACCTGCCATACAGCACGAGACCGTTCGGGCGTTTGAGAATGCTTGGGAACTGTATGACCAACAGCAGGCTGACCAGGTTGTCGAGGCATTCAGTAGCGTTGGTATGGTACTTGCCCATCAACTGCTGCAAGGTGCTGACGGGTACTTTCCGCCCTTATAGGTACTCCCCGACCAGAGTCTCTCTATCGGTTCCTGCAGCGTATCCTCGTCCAGAATGGCATAGACTACATGGTAGCGCCGTACAGCGCTGCGGCCCAGGTGAGTACGATGGCGAGATCTTCACCGGGTGGTGTGCTGACTTCGTCCCCGCATAGCTCGCTCATCTCAGCAGCGGCCCCAACCCAGTTATCGACGCTATATGGGGACCTTCAGAAGTCCTGCTATTTGACGTTGACAAGCTAGTCACGCGGATTGATATCGACCCGGCCCAGTTCTTCTGGATCAACAAGCAAACATGTCAGGAGGAGCTCGGCCGGCTAACGAATGATCAATTCCTGGATTTCGCCCTCTTACTCGGCTCTTCCTTCCTACCGATATTCCCACCCTTCGATAATCCGTCTTTTCCAGGCAAGAGCACCTCTATCCGTGATGCACTGAATATGTTCAACCAGTCTGGGCGAAGCGCCCTCCATCTTTGCGGACAGTTAGAGGAGCGCAATCAGGATTCTCAGTATACGGACAGCTATAAGCGTGCATTTATGAATGTCAAACACCACGTTGTCATGGATTTGGAGGGGCGTGTCGGCCCTTTGGATGCGGATAACAGCCCCACCGACATGCACGAGGTAATCGGCCAACGTCTTCCGGAGGAGCTCTACTTTTACATCTCAAAGGGAATACTTGGCCCTGATGTGCCAAACTATCTGACCTCTGGCGAGGTTTTGATTTCACTGCCCCTGGGCGTTGAAGACACAGAGATCTACCGCCAGGTTGCGGGCGAGAAGCTGGCTCCCCTGCGAGAACAGGCAATTGGATTGCTGTCAAATTCCCTCCATCGCTTCTACCAGGTCAAACCCATCCATGCACGCACTTGGTACGACGAAAACTCCGACTCTATCATTAACCTCAAGACTCTCCCCTCAGTAAAAGACTCTATTCGTGCCTGGAAGATCCCTAGTGATAGGTACACCGAGGGAGTCAAAAACCTACAGGTATATCTTACAACATCCTTTTGCTTCTAGGACTCTAACATTTGCAGGGGTCGACCGGCCTGTTTGGATTCGCTGTTCAGAGTCTGAAGGATTCTGAATTTGTGTCCAAGACATTTGCCTCCAAAGAGACTCCGGTAAGAGATATTTCACTTGACGAGTCAACACGAATTAACAGAACTAGGTTCTTTCATCAAAAGATGAGATACTTGCTAATGTTTACTGGCGATTTTTGCAACTCCGCGGCTATATTAATGAAAAGCATCAGCTCACACCTTGGGGACTGTGCCTGGAACAAGCCCTTTCGGTTCTTGACCCCGAAGACTCTCTAGAGGAGGCTACATTCGTGGCCATCGAGTTACTTCGATTCGGTGTTCTCAATGCTAAGCCATGGTTCTCTCACGTCTCTGGAGGCCCGATGAGGGGATTGGGTATGTTAGCTTTCGAACAGACAATAGAGCATCCAGCTGACGGCTTTTAGACGAGGATAAATCTTTCAACATGTTGGTTTCCCGCGTTGCCTGCGTTGGCAAGCTGGGACACAAGAACATTGGTTACTCTGGACCACTCAGCAGACAGCTCCTCTCATATCGTTCTTTGGTTTCAGAAGTCCGCTCCACTTTACGGAACTTGATCGAAATTGTACTTGTTGGACTTCTTCTTAGCGGCGACGCCAACCGCGAACGCAATGACTGGACCGAGTTGGGCATTAGTCTTCCGTTCATTGACGATAACGATTGCGGTTTGGGAATTGCCGTCCGGACATACCTTGATGACCTGCCTCTGCAGGAGGATGCAACCTCACCAGACGCCCGACAGGAGGTGAAGGCCAAGGGCAAGGAATGGTTCCAACACAGCGACAGCTTCACAGGGAATCTGGATAGGGCTTTCAAGCTCTGGGATGCGGTATGTATAACTCTTCCCGGCATTGGAATTGATTGACATTGATGATTGCAGGTCTACAAAGGCTCGCAGAGTGCAGGCAAAGAGTTCAAGGACGGAAAGATCTGGGCAAACGCGAACAAGTGGCTGTCTGAACGGCGGTGATTGTATCATGGTCATGACCAAACTTAGCAAGTACTGTAGGCAGGCCTGGAGTGGCTCAACAATATACTTCTCATATACCTACTTGTATTACTAGTAGTTGGTACAGTGGCGAAATGGAAGTTCAAATCTCAAAAGCGATATATGTAGCATGTTATGTAAAGATGATCCCCTCTAATAGTGGCAATATTTGGGTGACTTTTCGGAGACGACCGTCTAACTTGGGGTAAAAAAGCTCATAGTACAAAGAATGTAGTAGATAGAGATGAATCGACAGGGCTGATGACGTCCGGCGTCAGGGTCTTAGATTACAGGTGGCATCTTCCGCCGTAAATCCGCCGGGAGCTCCATGAACCCACAATTATTAATGCTCCCATTGCCTCCTTCCTCCTTTCTCCCTGACAGTTGGTCTGTCTTTCTGTACTTTCACCAGTTTACAAAGATTGTGAACTAAACATACATTCAAGATGGCTCGCCTGAGCATCCTCCTCCTGAGCTACCTGCTCACCCTCGCCGCCGCCGGATCCGCAGTCCTAGACCTCATCCCCAAAAACTTCGACAAAGTTGTCCTGCAGTCTGGCAAGCCCGCCCTCGTCGAATTCTTCGCCCCCTGGTGCGGCCACTGCAAGAACCTCGCCCCCGTCTATGAAGAGCTCGGCGCCGCCTTTGCGCACGCCGAGGACAAGGTTAGCATCGCCAAAGTTGATGCTGATGCCAACCGCGACTTGGGCAAGCGGTTCGGAATTCAGGGTTTCCCCACATTGAAATGGTTCGATGGTGTCTCGGACAAGCCCGAGGAGTACAAGGGTGGCAGAGATCTGGAAAGCTTGACTGCATTTGTGCAGCAGAAGACGGGGATTAAGCCCAAGGGCGCGAAGAAGGAGCCCTCTGCTGTGGAGATGTTGACCGATAAGAGCTTCAAGGAGATTGTTGGGTCGGACAAGGATGTGCTTGTTGCTTTTACCGCACCGTGGTGTGGACGTATGTCTTCCCGTTCTTTTGTTGGCCGTGTACTCATGATGTGACAGACTGCAAGAAGCTCGCTCCTACCTGGGAACTCCTCGCCACAGACTTTGCTCTCGAGCCTAATGTTGTCGTCGGCAAGGTCGACGCCGAGGCTGAGAACGCCAAAGCTACAGCTAAGGAACAGGGCGTGACTGGCTATCCCACCATCAAGTTCTTCGCCAAGGGCTCAACTGAGGGTGTGGTCTACACCGGCCCTCGCACGGAGGAGGCCTTTGTCGAATTCCTCAACACCAACGCTGGCACACACCGCGCCCCGGGTGGTGGGCTTGATGACAAGGCCGGCACCGTCCCCATCCTTGACAGCTTGATCGCCAAGTACGTCCCCACGCAGAACATCCAGGATCTCGTCGCCGAGGTCAAGAAGGCCGCAAAGGGTGTTGAGGGCAAGTACTCAGAGTACTACGTCAAGGTTGCCGAGAAGTTGAGCCAGAACCGGGAGTACGCCCTCAACGAGTTTAACCGCTTGAAGAAGATTCTTGCAAAGGGTGGCTCTGCTCCGGAGAAGGTCGACGACATCATTTCGCGTAGCAACATTCTGCGCAAGTTCTTGGGTCTTGAGGAGAAGGAGGAGAACAAGAAGGATGAATTGTAAACTGCTCATCCCGACTTGGAGCATGATGCCGGATTACTGTATGGCTAGTTTGTGAAAATGGTTGCTCGTTGCATATGATACGACTAGTAGTTACGGACATTGATATTATACGGATGTATAGAATGCCTAAATAAGAATGATGCGTTTTCTTCTTCATCTCTTCCTCTCGCTCAGTAGACTTAATCGCAGTAGAAGAATATTTATAGGGTATCTCAAATCACAAACAACCCCCTCAGGCTCGGCCTGTCTTGTATCTCACTTTGCAGCTGAAGTAGGCGCTGTCGGCGCCCCCGCTCCAGCTGCCTCATCTTCAGCGATACTCAACGAAGACTCCAACTCATCCAGCCGCCTCGCCATATCGTCAACTACAAGAGCAGGATACAGTCAGTTACGCCATTAAACAAGGTGCTTCCCAATTCCCGTCATCGACAAGAGTTGAGCCGAGTCCAGGGAAGAGACTGGATGGCCGAAGAAAGAGGGCGCAACTCACACTTCCCAAACATCTCCCTAGACACGGTATCGAACTTGTGCTGCAGCTGGTCGAGGAGGTCGTCTACGGCTGCGGTGAATTGGCCGTGGGCATCTGTGGACTATTCATACAAAAAGAAACAGATACGTTAGTCGGAGGTAATGCGATTTAGAAAGAAAACCGAAAAGCGAGTCTCAAACGGACCTGTTCCTGGCCAGTTGCGCCGGCGGTGGAAGGTGAGAGGCCCTCCGCGGGGAGCGATTTGTTGTTCGCGGACATCGTCGCACTCGCGGAAGGGTTGTGTTGGTGTGTGATTAGTGTGAGAGGGCGTTCTTGTGCAGATTGGATGTGGACGTAGGGCGATTTTTCGGATTGAGTTATGCGCAGTACCATGATACTGCTAGCACTGGTATGGATGCTCACTGGGCAGGAAAGCTATGGTACCTGACTCGACGGCGGACTATGCAACCACGCAGGGCGACGCGCGAGCGATAAGGCCCGGATCAATTGCCAGACCGGCTACTAACCATATCCAGCCTAGTGCGCTCTTATCAGTCCCCGCTAGCCGGATGGGCCTTAGCGCCCATTTCAAAAAAATTCCCATACAGATTGCTTTCCGGCCCTCCGTCCGAGTCGCAACTCGGTCAATTTCAGTTTCCTCCTTTCCTTTCCATTTTTTTTTAAATTTTTTTTTTGCAGTCTCGTTCTGAGATTCTCAAGACAAAAATGCCAAAGAGAAGTAAATTGCTCCAAGCTCTGGACGAGCACAAGGGGAGGGATTATGAGGCCGAGAAGCAAAAGAAGTTGGTCAAGGCTGCAAAGAAGAGAAAGGGTGTGAGTGGAGAGGAAGAGGTTCGTCATGCATCTTCCTGGTTTGCTTGCCGTGATATATCGCTAATTTGCAAAAGGAGGTTCCCAAGTCGAAAAAGAAGGAGGTTGAAGAGGAAGAGAACGATACAAGCGACTCCGAAGCCGAGAGCATAGACGAGGAGGAAGCCGCTGCCGAAGTATCGGAAAACGAAGATGATGAAGAGGAGGAGGAAGAGGAAGAGGACGACGGGGAAGACATTCCCCTTTCAGACCTTTCTGAAGCCGACATGGAAGACGTCGTCCCGCATCAACGCCTCACGATCAACAACACAGCGGCGCTGTCCACATCCACAAAACGGATCTCCTTCATCACACACCTGACCCCCTTCTCCGAACACAACTCGCTCGTCTCCGCCGAAGACATCGACGTCCCGGACGCCAACGACGATCTAAACCGCGAGCTCGCATTCTACAAGGTCGCTCAGTCGGCTGCGCTGCAGGCGCGCACTCTACTCAAGAAGGAAGGCGTAAATTTCACCCGGCCTGGTGACTATTTTGCCGAGATGGTCAAGACGGACGAGCATATGGGCAAGATTAAGAAGAAACTTTACGATGAGGCGGCTTCGAAGAAGGCGGCTGCTGAGGCGCGAAAGCAGAGGGATCTGAAGAAGTTCGGCAAGCAAGTGCAGGTTGCCAAGTTGCAGCAGAGGGCCAAGGAAAAGAGGGAGGCGCTCGAGAAGATTAATGCCTTGAAGAAGAGTACGTTTTTTTTTTTTTTGCGTTCTATTCAATCGGTGATTTACTGATGCTAACGATGATATAGAGCGCAAGGGTGACACATCCGCCTCTGCCGGCGGCGAAGCTGACGATCTCTTCGACGTCGCCGTTGAAGACGCAGTCTCCGAGAACCCCCGTAAGCGCGCCCGCGACGCAGACAGCGGCCCCAATATGAAGCGCCAGAAGAAGAACGAAAAGTACGGCTTTGGCGGAAAGAAGCGGTTCTCCAAGAGCGGTGACGCGATCTCGAGTGGTGATATGCGTTCGTATCCTGGTAGAAAGATGAAGGCCGGTGGTGGTGGTGGTGGAGCTAAGCGGCCTGGGAAGAGCAAGCGGGCTGCCGCTCGAGGCCGTGCTTAGTTTACCTTCTCGTTTAACTCTACTGCTTGTGGGCTACGTATGTATATTCAATCTGAGGGTTTTGTTCTGCTTGAGGATACCGGATGGTCCACTTGTTTGGTTGTTCAGACAATCAAGCGTCTCTATTAATAGCTAGACCAGGCTGAGGCTGGGATATGCCTTGGGATCCATATGGTACTGGAATCATCTGAGAATGTATTGCCGTGGCTAACGCTTCTGTTTGATACCCTGATTGAAGGTCAGGGTAAGCCTGTGAGGATCATCATTCGGTGGAGAGGAACGGCGGGATCTGACCAGGCGGTAGTGTGCCGGACAGTCTGGGTGACTCGGCCTTGGCCGGGTGAACCGCTCGTTGACGCGATGGTATGTAATCTGCGTAGTCCGTACGAACCGAACACATTTTCAATACGCTCATCGTTCTCTGATATTGAGTGGAGTCCCCAAGCGGCGCTTGCATTGCTCATGCTTGTGAGTGAAAGTGCGCTGGATCGCTTGGATGTATGTTGGAACGCCATGGTATCGTGGAGGCCAACCTAGGTACCGATCTCGTTATGTGCTCCATTCGTCTGCCCACCGAGGCCCGCGAACGCTCCATCCAGAGCTCCCATGTCTCGGATCCGACTGAGAAGGTTGTCAACACGAAGACCATAATTCAGCTTCTGCTCTGCAATGACAAGATCGACCTTGGCCTTGGTGTCGTCGGCATGAGCAAGAGAATGATCTTGAATCATCTCTTTGCCGCGTTTTGAAGTGCACTTGGGTACGGTCTTTCCGCAGCCTGGCACTTGGCATACCCACGTATCTACTGGATAATTGCTGTCATGCGAGGACCCAATATCGGGCATATGCTCTGCGGCAGCGACTGACGTATCTCGGCTCTGGAGTGTTTCTTGTAACGTGGTTCTTTCAATGATTGGGGTTGATTCTGAATCTGAGAGGATCGACCGAGTTCGGCGCTTGGCCCTGGTTGACAGGGGGTCACGCACGAGATCGTGGCCGCGGACCTTGCTGGGAGTCTCGAATTCGTCCATTGCATCCTGGTTATCGTCATCGGAAAGGTCATACTCCGCGGCCGCACTCCGAGTTCGCTTGCCGGTCCTCTTGGTGGCGATCTGACTCTTTGGTCGTAGCACTGACTTGCGATGACGAGGTCTACGTTGCCGTGGCTGTTCTCGATCACTTTCGTCATCGGACGAGATGTCTTCCTCTGTTATCCGTGGCCGCAAGGGAGTGAACGCCACGTTCTCTGATTTTCTTCTTTTGGACGCATTTTTCAGCTCACGGTAGATGACTTTCTTTGACCAGTCAAAGTTGTTTGTTTTCGCCTCATTCATGGCTTCAAGAATGGCGGCAGCGGTGGAAGTTATGAGGTTCTGCGCATACTCCTCGCTATCAATTTCGAAGCGCGTCATCAAGGTCGACGTGACAAGCTCGAGATTCAATTGCCGCTTGGCGAGATGCCCTGCTTCCTTCAGATCGAGGATTACCTGATATATAGACTCTGCCTGAGCCTTTGAGACTGTACTCGGGTCTGGCGTAGGAGCTCTAGCCTCCATTTCCTCATCCTCATCCTCATCCTCAGCTTCTTCCTCAATCTCATCATTGTCTTCTTCTTCGGTTTCGGCTTCTTGAGACTCTTTCTGAGCACGCAGCTCTTCGTAGTCCTCCTAGGCCACGTTAGACTCATCCAAGTTCAGATAGAAACAACAAGAGAGGGAGCGGACCCGTACCGGAAACTTCTCACAAAGATGGGCAAAAATACTCGTCTCTGTCCAGTTCACCTCCTCCTCTCCTTTCATCATCCGCGAAAGCAGAAAATTATGATGCTTATAAAAGACCTCTGCAGAGTCATCCCCATCCTCGCAAATCCCATGTGTATGTAAAACGTACTGACAAATGAGGCGCATTAGCTACCGTTCAACAAAACGAATACATAAAAAAGGTAAGTATATCCTGGACAATAGGAGCAACTCACCTCATCACACAAATATTCCAGACTCGGATTCCAATTCCTCTTCTTCCTCCGCTTGGGCTTATGTCGGTCCGTCAAGAAGTACAACAGATCAATCGCCTCGACGACCTCATTGAACATGGCCCGATACCCCCTCGCCGGCGAGATAGAGAACCAACCCGCCCGCCCGGCAACCCAAATCCCAACTTCGCCGTCATTATGCTGGCCATATGCAAAATGGCTCACATTATCGATAACAATCCGCTTCGTAAGGTAATCCTGGTCAAGAACTAAAAGGACGTGGCCCACACGTTAGCTTTTGCAGCTAAAAAACCGATAGAGAGTGGTGATAATGGGACGGTAACGTTGATGTAAGTGTAATACACACCCAGCTTCTCCTGCTCCTCTTCAACCTCATCCAGACACCCCGTTACCTGTACCGGATTCTCAGGCGTCGCAGTGAGCAGATTGGCATAGCGCGACTTTCCAGGTACCAGGATCCGGACCTCGGACAGGCTGAATTCTTCCCAGTCGTTCTCGTCCGTGAGAGACGGGTCTCTGGCGGCCAAAACACTATCTTCGCGGGACGTCATGTCTCGGGAGGTTGCATGGTGGCCTTCCTGGATTGGTGTAGGGGTGTGGTGGTCCCGAGGGGACCTGAGAAAGAATTGTGAATGAGGGAAATGACAATGGGAGATGAGTGAGGAGCGGTTGAACTGGAAAGGATGGGGAGAGGAGGGTGAATCTGATGACTGCGGGAGCCCGAAGTATGCGAATCCACTGCGATTCTGGTCTGGTGTCGGTATTTAGTGGTTAAAAACGGCGGCTCTGCCGGTCTGGTCTGGATCGCGTAATTTATCTTCTCTGATACTTGACTTTATCTCCGAGAGCTTTTTTTTTCCTTGTCTCATAAAGTTTCAATTCAGGAGCTTGAGCACTCTTTTTTTTTAATACCCACTGTCCCAGAGTCGTTCATCTTTTCTTCAGCCTGCTAGATATTTTGGACCCGACATATAGCTTTGATTTCACAAAGCCGATGTTCCTCCGTGGCGGCAAGAAGCTATTCCGCACCACCATGTCCGGCGAGAAGATTTACGAAGGCATCTTTGGTGCGTTCAACCGGTCTTGCTTCCTAATATATAAGCTGACAAAATCGCTCAGCTGTCCATAAACCCCAGGGCGTAACTTCCGCCGACGTTATCCGCAAGCTCCAACACCACTTCAACCCGTCCGACCTCTTCAGACCTTGGCTCGAGACTGAGCGCGCGCGCCGCAAGCGGGAGAGCAACAATCAGCGTCGCCGCCGTCGCACGCAGCAGCTAGATGTGAAGATTGGGCACGGAGGCACCCTCGACCCGCTCGCGACGGGCGTCCTCGTTACAGCTGTCGGCAAGGGAACGAAACAGCTCCAGGACTTCTTATTATGCACAAAGACTTACGAAACCGTTGTGCTCTTTGGGGCGGAGACAGATACCTATGATGTCGTGGGGAAGGTTGTCAAGCGCGCGCCGTACGAGCATGTCACACGGGAAGCCGTGGAGAAGGCACTCGAGCAGTTTCGGGGGAAGATCATGCAGCGCCCGCCTATTTTCTCAGCGCTCAAAGTTAATGGGAAGAAGCTGTATGAGTATGCTAGGGAAGGAAAGGAGCCGCCGATTGAGATCAAGGAGAGGCCCGTGGAGGTGACAGATTTGAGGATTTTGGAGTGGTATGAGCCTGGCACGCACGAGTATAAATGGCCCGAGGAGGCCCCGGCAGAGGAGAAGGCCGCCGCAGAGAAGCTGTTGGCAAAGGCCGATTCTCTGCCTGCTGCTTCCGCTGCTGGTGAGGCTGACCAGACTGTCTCGGTGAAGCGCAAATCGCCTCCAGCCGACAACGCTGACAGCGAGGATGCGACTGCAGAAGTAAAGAAACAAAAAGTGTCCGCAGAAGGTGACGCAGCACCAGCACCATCTGAGCAAACGGATGCCCCAGACGCCACCAAAACAACCTCCACCGAAACACAAAAAGATACCTCAGCACAGTCGCAACCCGAACCTCAATCTCAGCCGCCTGCGGTGAAAATCACCATGACCGTTTCCTCTGGATTCTATGTCCGCTCCCTGGCACATGACTTGGGCAAAGCGGTCGGTAGCTGTGGGCTAATGAGCTCGCTAATCAGATCACGCCAGGCAGACTTCAAGCTTGAACCAGGCCAGGTACTGGAATACGAGGATCTTGATGCTGGAGAGGAGGTGTGGGGTCCAAAGGTCAAGAAGTTCCTAGAGGAATGGGAAGCGAAGAGAGTGGCCAAAGACTCGGAATGATATTGTGCTACTAAAGTCTATCTTCGTGGAAAATTATATATTGAGCTAATCTAAAGTTGCATAATTATAGACATGGTCATTGCATCTTTTAAAAACGCCAATAGAAGTGACGCTAAAGGCAAATCCGCACAGTCCACAAAACCATTCATGCATGAGGCGATTAGCAGATTTTGACTCGTCCTGGATCTAGCGTGAGAAGCGCGTCGATCTCAATGCCAGCGAAAATAAGTATTGAGTAGTAATATATCATGAGCTCAGTTGTTGCCAACCACATTGCCGTGTATAGCTAGTGACCCCTACAGGGAGCGAGCCTGGCACGTAAAACATACATTTCGTGCAGAAATTTGAAAAGTGGAAAGAGAAATAAATTCGGAATAGTAATTGGCGCTTCGAATGCAGTTTCGAGAGTGAGGATAGGTCAACAGAGGGAAGTCGTTTTGAGGGTATACCGCTGAGAACATGCATGATAACAAAAAAGCAACAACAGAACACAGTTGAAAAGGGTGAAAAAAGGAAAACGGATACATGCATAGATGCAAATTTGAAAAAGAAAATATAAATGAATGTTATATGTATGTAGGGGGAGCTAGTTTGAGACGAGCTGTTGCTGGGTGTTGTGTGCATTGACAAGAGCTGGTCTGGGTTAGTCTTTGATATATGTGACATGGTTTAGGATTAAACGTACTTTGGAGGACAAAGGCCTGCCCCTGCCGTGATTCGCAGGCGCACTGCAGAGTGCTTCCATCAAGGAAGTCGAGTAAGATGCTATTAGGGAGCTCTTGCCGGTCTTCGTCGGGTAGACAAGGAGTTTTGAACTCGGTCAGGTGGTACCGTTTGATCATGCTGCGATTGCTCGAGTCAAGATTTCCCGGAGTCAAAACCAAGAAGCCTTTGCTGTCGACTCGAATGAAACGTCGTTTCCAGAGCAGAGTGTCGGGGAACTGGACATTGACTTCGCCGATATCCACTGCGGCAGGAAGCTCCACAGTACTATTCTTGGGGCCTTCCTCCACGGATGGCATGCTGTCTTCCCTGACAATTGGACTCCTGGAGCCAATAGTGCTTCTCCGAGAGCCTGATGTGATTGAGGACATGCGACGGAGAAGCCTGGAGGTGCGCGACTCCTTCTTCTCTTCCGGGGAAGACGCAGAAGTCTCACTTGGTGATCTGGAAAGGAAATAACCGTCATTTCTCGATGACACGGAGAGCCTACTCTCCGAGGGCGGTAGAGTGGAGACCGGCGGTTTGGCTGAGCCTGCAGAAGAGATCGACATGCTGCGTGGCTCCGGTTTACCAGGGGTAGAATCTGGTGTCGGGTCTGGAGATGCAGGTTCATCAGGGGTACCGCGCTCAACAGTCAATGGGCTGGCTTGAAGGTTGAGAGCGCGAGGCTCCGTGGGATCCATCTTTGAGTCGTTACTGGCAGCAGCACTCGGGTCGCGAATAATGCGTGCTGTGACAGAGACGGAGTTCGTGGGTTTTCCAGCACCAGTGCTAGCTCTCGAGTCGGGGCGTCTCAAGCTGGATGCCCGAGAAAATGGCTCGGGCGCATATGATGGATGTCTCGAGAGCGGAATATCTGAACTTCCACCTGTCATTGAAACAGAAGCGCGCTTTCGAAGTGTTTCGAAGGAAGCCGCGGTGGGAGTGGACATGCTCTGGGAAGGTACCCCCGCGGCATCGCGACTGCTTGAGAATTGCTCTAGGGCTTTGATGCGCTTGGAGATTCCAGAAGACACATTGATCTTCTTAGCTACCAACGGTGCTGCAGAGGTCTCAGGCGGAGGAAACGTGCTAGAAACGGATCTTCCTGTAGCAAAAGTAGGAGTACTGGGATACTGGTACCCAGTAGCACTCGGGTTTGAGACTGCGCGCGAATTTCTCCACGCATCAGACGCAACTTGAGGGCTTCCACGATTCGAGTAACCCGGAGAAAGCGGAGACTTCCCCACTGAGATGGGTTTGGCCTCTTCAACAGTGGCACTTTTCAATTCTTCCATGAAGGAATCGTCCGAGAGAAGATTGTCGTCATCAGAATAATCAGGAGTTGGAACCTGAATGGGCTCTAGAACGGGTTTACGTCTCTCCTTTCGTGTTGCGGTACTCTGCTGGTCTACGCTCACAGCTCCAGGCGACGGTGTATCTTCGACATCCACGTGATGGGAAGCGACTATTGTTGAGGAGTCGGCCACAGATTCTGGCTGCAGCTCAGACACCGGAGACTCAGGTAGAGGAACTGACTGAGGGGTGGGGGTAGGCTCAGTCGAGTCGGCGGCCGGGGTAGCCTCACTTTTTTCAGTAGAAGGAGAACAAGCTTCGGGTTGTGGAGGAGTTGTAGCAATTTCTTCTGGAACTGTTTGAAAGTTGCCTTCAGGTGGGACATTATTGACAACGGCGCTAGTTGAGCCGGTGCCGCACTTGATCTCGCTCTCGGTGGATCCAGCCAAGTCTCCTCGAATTTCGACTGTTTCAGGATTCGAGATAGGTTCTTGTGCTTCCTCTGTGTGCTGTTCGAGCTCAACCAGCTGGGTGGCCGGCACTGAATAGGTGGTACTAGGCAGCAGCTCGTCACTGACTGTGTCTGCAGCTGGTGGTGCATCATTGGAAGAGGCCGGAGGAGTAATCTCTGCATCCTGAGCAGGACTGGATTCGACAGTGGTGACGGACACTTGGGGTTCTTCTGCCTGTGACTCGACCGGCGGTTTCTCATTCTCCGATATGCTTGATAACCTTTGACGTCCCATGTCATACTTTGCCTTTTCAGGCACTTGCTCGATATTTTCCTTGTCGTCATCCGGGCTCTGGCTTGAAATGATCTTATCTGGAGTAGCGCCTTGATTGCGCTTCGCTTCTTGAGCTCTTTTTTGCATTTGCGACTTGCGTAGCTGAAGAGCTTTCATCAGCCTCTCCTTTTCATTGGAGGTCGTGGATGTGGATAACGCGCTTAGTGACTTCGCACCGGGTGAGAGCTGGGGTCTCGATATTGGCATTGAAGACGGGGGTACTAGAAGAGGAGGTACAGGCGGTATTCTGGCGGATGGAGCAGCGACAGGATTTCCTTGGGAACGAGGACGAGGTGGGTTGGGATTCGACTTGCGGAACGGAGAGGCTCGTACACCAGCAGGTAGAGAAGCAACGGGACGCTGCTCCACACTACGAGATGTGCTCCCCGAAGTGCGAGGCCGACCACATCCATCCACAGAAGGACGAGGACCTAGCTTCACCTTGGGCTTGTATCCTGTCGCACGTTCAATGTCTCGCAAAGAAGGCCTGGCAGACTGAGTAGACTGGCGGGATTCGGAAGGGGCCAGAGATAGATCGTCGCGGAAATTCCTTGAGGAAGTCGGTCGTTCGGAATACTGGTCCAAAGAGATGGACGGCGTCAGTCCATTGACATGGTGTTCATCGGGACTTGTAGGCACAGAAGAGTCGCCATTGGGCGGTTGGGGAGGAGTTGACACCACGGATGGAGGCACGACTGTGGCTTCCGAGACTTGGCTGAACGACCGTTGCCGGAGGTCCTGGACTGGCGCCTGGGTGTTGGCTGTGTCCTTGGGAGCCGGAGTTTCCTCTGCATCTTCCGCAATTTCCATCAGTCTCCGACGACGGAGGGAACTCGAAGAGGAGGTGATAGAACCTGAGGCGGTATGTAAAAGACATGCGGACGAAAGTGCGCTTTCAGTCAGCTCAGATGGTTTCGAGAGCGAAAAGACGGTATCATGGGGCGAGAATTTATCAAGCACGGATTGGAATTGAACGGTGGCACGAGCTATAAGGAGTTTGCGATCGTGTTAGCAGCATGCATATCTGGTGGCCGAACGACAAACAAACCTCGTACAAGTCGGGACAGATCCTCAGGGAGATAGCTGAGAATGACCTTTCTTCGACGATATTGTAGGAAACCATAGAGCGGGGAGCATTCTTCATAGTTCTCGATTGCGTTCCGGACGTCGGGAACGCCCCCTGTCCCCCGCTCATGGAGAGCTACTTCATCCCTTGAGACGTACCGCAGAAGAAACCTGAATGAAATGAAGCGACGATTAGAATCTTGGTGTTGAGAAGTGTTTTGAAATCAAATGACGGAACGTACCATCCTCCAGCCTCGGTGAGAGCGATCTGGTAGGCTTCAATGACTGTGGGATTATCTAACCCATTGAGAGACATGGCGGGAACCGCATCAGGCTGGCAAAACCCCAAATGCAGAACCTGTAAGGCTGTGTGGTTGTACAAAGAAAGAGGGGGAGGGGACCCGGTTCCTGGAAGGATTCGGGGATGTCAAGATTCAAATGGCAAAAACAGGAAGAGAAACGAGCGACAATGAGAAAGGGGAGAAAAAAAAAAAAACCAAGAGATTGTGATGCCACCACCAAGTCGGCACGAGCTCGAAGAATTGAGGTAGTGTTTCGAACCCAGGTCTCCTCGACGCTCGAAGAGAGAGGCCGACCTCAATGTCACGAACCTTCAGGAGTTCAGGGGCTCTGTTAGTGGCCGGTTCGCTGCCTCCACTTTTGGGCGAGTTCGAACTGGAGTTTGGTTGCTGAAATGCCCAAATTCTGAAACGAATTGGATGCAATTCTCGCTTTTCAGTGGTCCAAATTCTGGCCTTGGGGGAGAGACTCGATGGGTAGAGGGCTAAGATTCTCAACGGGACTGGGCTCGAGTCTCGTGCGGGCGACTCTAAAAAGAAGGAGCCACCCTGTATTGATCTCTGACGGTTTTTACTAGGTATACTACTTTTGAGCTTGGATATTTGTCCATGCAGCTCAGGGTACCCTCGACTCGAGTATGGACGGGGTGATGCATGGACCCAGCCGAGGTAGCTTGTCCAGTATACTCCATACTGTGCTTTCAGCTTTGTTTTCCTTCTCAATTTCTTAAACGCCTAGCAGGACTTTGACAGCAGATTTGGAGGTCAACAACACCACGCTAAAGTTTCATGTCTAGACAAATTCCCGATCCCCAGTCTTCCAGAACCCACAGGCTAATATTTTGAGCTCTTCCATCCCACGCTGTGATAAGCGTCCAGTTACTATTTTGCTTGGACTGAAATGACGATGAGCAGTGCTTAGTTGGAGGCATTTAAAACCCCTTTCGAGCATAGGGTAGGCGATACCTAGTAAGTCTCAATTTTATGACCGCTCGGCAGAAGCATATTGTTTGCCTCACCAACAATGCAATGGGTGCAACTAGTTTGCCAAAATAGGAGAAAGTGAAGCTTTCCCAAGGCTCCAGACGTGCATTGACTGGCGATCTGCATTCCAAGATCCTCACTGCGCAAGACTATTGATTCTAGCTCGGAAGCCCCTCCCTGCCAAATGTCTATGGAGCTCGTGACATTTTTCTAGAAGCCACTTAAGCTCGATCGCAATCCCTGGATCGCCAAGAATCAAATGCGCCTTATAGATCTTTCCGCAGGTTTGTATTGTTCGAAATGACTTCATTCCGCTGGAGGTCTCCGCCCCGCCCTGGAACTCGGAGAACCCCGATGCGGAGAGAAGAACGCATATATTTCATCGACTACACTTTTTTTTTGTACCGTATACTTGCCAAATATTCTGCGCAAGCTCTTAATATACCTCTGGTCACTGTCGTTCGGGCTCAACCCTTACCTCACAATGGCTTCACTTCCACCCTCATCCACAATAAAGGACTTGCCCCAAGAGCAACAATTCCGAACCCTCGACACGCTCTTTGAATCATCCCCAGAGCTCCACACCCTCATGGCACCGGTACTAGCCGGCCAATCCTTCTCATCATATCCCAGCCTTATCGATGCTGTGGGAGGCCGGATGTCAGCTCTCTCTGCCGCAAATTCACCGCCCGATCGAGATATCCTCGTGGGAATCCTTGGGTCTCACCCTCGCCTAGGCCAGCGGAAGTCAGCGGCCCCTGAACACCTGAGCGAATTGAGCAAGCAAGAACAGTCGCAACTGAATACAGGCGCGGAGGAGCAGGCCGAGAAACTGCGGCTACTGAACGCTGAATATGAAGACAAGTTCCCTGGGCTACGATTTGTGTATGCGATAAGAAGACCAGCGGTAACGAGATTTAGGCTGACTAGTGCTACGATTAGGACGTTTGTTAATGGACGAAGTAGAGATGTTATCATGGAAGAAATGCGGGCGAGAATTGATCGGGGAGACGGTGACCGGGAAGTCGAGGAGACGATTCAGGTGAGTCTGCTGACATTCCAAGCTGCGAAAGATGACATTCCTAATCGTGCTGCGAGGCCATGTGTGATATCGCAAAAGACCGGGCGCGGAAGTTGGGGCAAGAATGATAAGGACAATCGTGGATAGATGGCAATCAGAAGATTATGGATTTGTAGGCTGTCAGTGCTGACAAAGATGAATCTGACGGTCAGCCTCAAATTGGAGGAAAATCTCCGACCTTGCCCCTGAAAACTGAATTACAAGCGTCTGGAGGCATTTGAGCTGAAATAGAATTCCCAATGATGAAAGCAAATTCCAAACATGCGTTGCGTAGTAGGGAGTTTTTCGGACATCGTATTTCGTAGAAGTAGAAAAAGCGAGAATCCGGTGGCGATGAAATCATATCTCCGTATGTCTCCGTCACATCCGCAACAACCTGACAGGGTCCAGACCTGCGGCGTTCGCACCAAGATGAGACAAAGAGAGGCAAAGATCTGATTGAGCACGATTCGATACTAAACTAGTAGCACTACTGGAACTCCGAATTGAGATGAAAACCCTGCTTGACAGCCGCGGACAGAGGTAGTACCACCATTATGGCTCCTACGAACCACTAACAGTACGTACCACGAACTAAACACTGATCGTTCCGCGCTCCGTCCGCGTTCTTCCTTCGCTTTCCCTTTTCTCTCTCCCTGTTATTCCTTTCTCTATTCAACCTCCAGCCCATCGCGCATGCGATGAACAAGAGCCATGGCGGAGGCTCTGAGAGCAGATGGTCCAGGGTCTGCGGTGTCGGGGGCTTCCACGATCCCCGTCCCCGCGATCGTCACGAGCGACCCCTCGGGTTCAACCACCAACGACGCGCATAACAGCTTTGCGGACGAGTCCAGTCCCATCACGCCGGTGCGGTCTGGATTGCTCCGATCCTCTCAGTCGTTCCCAATTGGTATGCGCTCGTCACAAGACTGCGTCTCTGACCTGTCCAACCCTTCACATATTTCCTCGTGTCCCGATCTCCCCGGAACGCCCGGTGATCTTGCGCAACGAACTGCCATTCGCTAACGCCTGCTTGCTTTTTCTCTTGCATAGGTTCTGCGGCCTCCGATGTTGCCTCTGGTTCGAGTGGAAACCTACAGGATGCGAAGAAGCCTGTGCGACCAGGGCCTGTATATGGCTCGAGCTCTGGGCTCGTTGGCAGGAATTCCACTTCCTCGCCGACCGTCCTGGAGAGCGCCGACTCGAGCGCGATTGATCCATTGTCACAAGTAAGAGCGATGCTTCGGGCTTCCGGACTTTCTGCAACTCGTGAGCACTAGTGGCTGATTGCATCGTGTCAACCCATTCTAGCATATAATCAAGCGCACCAACACCCAGAAATCGATTCCGCTCAGGCTATTGGGGAGAGCATCTTATGAGGCTGAGGCTGGCGGGTCAGACAAGTACAGCCCGATCGAGCAGGGTCCGAGCCGCGACCTTTCGCTGCAGAAACCTCCCAAAGAGAAGAAGTACGTTGTTTGCGCGCGACGCTTGCCATAACTGCATACTCCCCCTCCCCTTTTGATGCACCCCGCTTTGCGTTTGTTTGCGCAGCCTCTCTTTGTTGAACATATCGGGACTGACCGCTGTGCAGAAAAGGAGTCTCTTTCCTGAGCCGGATAATCCCGGGGAAGAAGAAGGACATATTCTCCGATGAAGAGGACAATGTATCAGAAATGGGTAATGGCCGGAACGATGCCCAAGTCGTTGCGCAGCCGATAGGGTTTTTCCCGAAATTTCCGCCACCTCCAAAGTACATTCGAGTCAAAGCTCACTATAAGAAAGAGAAGACCTTCAATCGGCTTTTTCAAGCCCAAGAACTGGAAGGCGCCGATGGCGCGACATTGCCGGATGACGATGAACGCCCCGGAACGGACACCTCTCATGGCAGTAAATCTGCGGGCAAGGCAGTATGGGCATTGGTATTCTCCAAGGACGGCAAGTACCTCGCGGCCGCCGGTCAAGATCGAAAGGTTCGAGTTTGGTCAGTATTGGGTTCGCCGGAAGAACGAGACTCGAGTGAATCTGAAGGGGAAGAGGATGATGTCTCGCGATTGAAGGCGCCTGTATTCAAACAGAAACCGATCCAGGTGTACGATAGCCATACCGGAAGCATCCTTGATTTGAGCTGGAGCAAGGTAAGTCGCTCTCTTTCCAAGGTTTGACCAACCTAATAGAGTCAGAACAACTTCCTCCTCTCGTCGTCGATGGACAAGACCGTGCGGCTGTGGCACGTGAGCCGCCCCGAGTGCCTTTGCTGCTTCAAGCACAGCGATTTCGTGACGTCAATTCAATTCCACCCGCGCGACGACCGATTCTTCCTTGCTGGGTCTCTGGATATGAAGCTGAGGCTGTGGAGTATCCCGGACAAGAGTGTAGCGTTCACGGTGACAGTGCCGGATATGATCACATCCGTTTCCTTTACCCCGGATGGACGGTTTTCGTTGGCGGGTTGCCTCAACGGGATGTGCAACATTTACGAAACTGATGGGCTGAAATCTGCAGGAGGGATTCATGTTCGGTCAGCGCGCGGAAAGAACGCCAAGGGTAGCAAGATCACCGGTATTGATACAATGATCCTCCCGCAAGGTGATCCAAATGGCGACGTGAAGCTCCTGATTACAAGCAACGACTCTCGTATCCGACTCTACGATTTCCGAGACCGAGTCCTGGAAGCCAAATTCCGCGGAAATGAAAACACATGCAGTCAGATTCGAGCTACCTTTAGTGATGATGGGAAACATGTCATCTGTGGTAGTGAAGATCGCAGGGCATACATTTGGCCCATGGGTCCGGTGGAAAAGGATGCCGATAAACGAGCCTTTGAAGTTCTCGATACCCAGTCGGCGATGGTGACGGCGGCGGTCATGGCCCCGGACAAGACGAAGCAAGTGCTGGGGTTTTCAGAAGATCCGATTTACGACCTCTGCAACCCGCCTCCCGTGACCCTTGGGAGCCAACCGACTAAAGAGAATGGCCGGCAAAATCGCATCTCAACCGCTAGCAAAGCCGCACAAGAATCGCCTGGGTATCTTGCGCGCTCGACGCATCCCGACGGAAATATCATCATCATAGCCGACTACTCGGGGAAGATCAAGGTCTTCCGCCAGGATTGCGCGTACCAGAAGCGCCGGTATGATAGCTGGGATACCCATTCGACAATCTCACGGCGGCTTCTGCGGCGAACCAACTCAGCGCGGCAAAGTATCGCATCTTCAGTCGGCAAGGATTCTTCACACAAGACACCATCCGAACGCATCATCTCGTGGCGAAACTCAGTTGTTGGGCATGACAGCAACAACGCTCAAAACCAGCAGAGTTCGAGGACGAGGAGTCCGTCTCCACGCAAGGTTATGCAGGGTCTCTCTCGCAACTCGAGCCCTGGGCGTGGATCGTCAGGAGGGAAAGGTGAGTCACGGTCAATTTTCACCACTTCTCCGCCACCATCGGCGTACAAGTCGTCATTCGACAGCCCTCGAACGAGCTTTGCGGAAGCGCGGAAACGCAACGGCGCAACGTCAGAGGATCCTCGCCGTACTCCCGTGCCCTCATCAGCAGCTGCACTGATCAACAAGGGAGGCGATAAAGAGAACCCCTTGTGGCTGCAAGGCGACCATAGCTATGCGTTTTACAACAAAATCACTCAGGACGCGCTTGCTGCTCAGCGAAGCTCTCCGGGTTTGCTGAATCCAAACAGAAGACCAGCCGAACCCGAACGCAAAGTCAGCGTCCTAAGCAGCGAATACGCGTCGTCCAACGCCTCCGGTGACGACGGTGAAGTCATGCGCTGCGATGGGTGCTGGGCCACAAACTTCAAAGCAACCAAGGGCCGAAGCGGTAAGCAGCGCTTGATATGCGTGCGCTGCTCTCGGCCAATTCCATCGCCGTTCAATGAGTAGGCTTTCTTGTTTTCACTTTTGATAAATTTTGCGAACATCTTCTGGATATAGGCATTTCTATTTTGTAGATGCATTGGCGTCCTATGTAGCATGTTGGATGGATTGGATATAACCCACGAGTTTTTTTTGGCATTTAGCATATTGTATAGTAACGAATCTACACGAGACGAGAAGATTACGACTTGAAAGATCGGAGAAGAAACGCTTTCTCAAAATAACTGTTGCCTAACTGCCGATGATTCATTACTTGCATAACATAGCCTCCCAATCCCGTCGGTGCTGAGCCTGGAGCTGTAGTCGGGTTCGGGCTTGTCCCGCCAAGCCCCCGGAGCAACCAAACCTCCACAATCTCGATCCCACTCACCAAACGACAAACTCCGACGTCGAATTCAACCACCGCAAGGAAACATTATCTACCGAGTTATCACCCATCCACACCCCCATCAACTGTAGTCGGACAACCAGAACCAGGCAGCCGGAGAAATAGTACAGAAGCATTGAATCACACAACAGCGCAATCACAACCAAAATGCCCTCACCACCATACCTTCCCACCTCCGCCGCGTATCTCAAGGAATCTTCCCTCCTCTTGCAAGCATATCCAGACTCTGTACGTCAATCCATTGAGATCGCTATCCGCCTTGCTTTTGTTTTCGAGAGCATCAACTAACACGAAGTAAATCAACCAGACCTTAATAACAACAAAATACACCTTCCCCTCATCCAAACCCTCGTCGAAGTCCAGCAAACCCTCCACAAACCCCGACTCAACCTCAACAACAACATCGACAACCCCCCTCGCAACCCTTGTCCTAAAAACCTACAACCCCACCTCCGGGATATGCCTGAAATACTCCACGAACAAGGCGGCCGAAGTTGGGAGATTAATTACGGCGCTAGGGCTGTTGGCGGGAGGGGCGGATATTAATTTGCTGGATGGGGCTGTCCCTGCTGCTGGCGCTGGGGCTGTGGGTGGCGAGGAGGAGGGTGTGAGTGTGACACCAACGACGGGTGGTGCTGGGCCTGGTGCTGCTGCGAGTACGGGTGCCAATACGGGGGCTGGTGTTTCGAAGGGCAAGGGGAAGGGCAAAGGGAAGAAGGGAAAGAAATGAGAGATTGACCTGGGTTGAGGTTGTGTGACGTTGCAATGGACTGAGGTGTACGGAGTAATTGATGACTGGGTCTTGTGCGGGCTTGACATGGAGGCTCGTCTGTCCCAGCGTGCGCCGTCAACGACTGAAAGTGGACAATTTTTCGAACTTCGTCCTCGAGGCGACGGGTTGAATTCGAGACCAAAGAGCCTTCGCAGCCGAGGTTCTCGAGAAGGCTTCAACCCCCGCGGGGTTCCTACTCGAAGATCGTCTCTGTCCGATGTTCCAAACGTGCAGTTACGAGTAGAGAAAGATGTATCGTACAGTACAGTTGAGTCTAAATATCCAATGTACACTTGATATCCTAATCAATAAATACATGCCACGTCCCATGCCGTAAACGCACAGGACAAGGCAACCCGATAATTAAACAAAAGAAATGCCACCTACTCAAACGCCGAGCCCATGCGTATCCTTCAATAATCATAAATCAATGAACCGAGCAGAGAAAACCAGAAAGGGGAAGTGGAAATATCCCGGGTATAAAGTGTGCTGTCTAAAAGTCCTCGTCGAAGGACAGGCCGTTGCTGTTGCTGGACTTGTTCTCGTCTTGCTTGGTATCCTTCTTGGTGCTGGCCATGACACCAGCCTTCTGGTAGTCACCAACACGCTTCTCGAAGAAGTTGGTCTTACCGGCGAGAGAAATGGACTCCATGAAGTCAAAGGGGTTGGTGGCGTTGAAGTACTTCTTGTTGCCGAGAGCAACCAGCAGGCGGTCAGCGACGAACTCGATGTACTGGCACATGAGCTTAGAGTTCATGCCGAGGAGGGCGCAAGGGAGAGCATCCGTGAGGAACTCCTTTTCAATAGAGACGGCCTCAACGATGATGTCCTCGACAACCTTATTGGACGGGCGCCAGTTGAGGTGAGAGAATAGCAGGCAGGCGAAATCAGTGTGGAGACCCTCGTCACGGGAGATGAGCTCGTTGGAGAAGGTAAGACCGGGCATCAGACCACGCTTCTTCAGCCAGAAGATGGAGGCAAACGAGCCAGAGAAGAAGATACCCTCGACGGCAGCAAAGGCAACAAGGCGCTGAGCAAAGGTGGACTCCTGGTCCTGAATCCACTTGATGGCCCATTGAGCCTTCTTGTTAATGCATGGGACTATCTCGAGTCAGCACAGCAACACTCTACACGATTTTGGTTTGACGTACTGGTATCGATAGCATCAAAGAGGTAGGTGCGCTGCTTGGGCTCCTTGATGTATGTGTCAATGAGCAGAGAGTAAGTCTCGGCGTGAATGTTTTCGATCATGATCTGGAAACCGTAGAAGCAACGAGCCTCAGGGATCTGGACTTCTCCGCTGAAACGCTCAAGCAAGTTCTCGTTGACGATGCCATCAGATGCAGCGAAGAAGGCCAACACGCGGGAAATGAAGTAGCGCTCGTCGTCGTTCAGACGGTTGTTCCAGTCGTGAAGGTCCTTGGAGAGATCGATTTCTTCGGCGGTCCAGAAAGAGGCTTCGGCCTTCTTGTACATTTGCCAGATCTATGAATGCGAAGGGTGATGCGTCAGTGGATATTGTTCATCAGGGAGGTGGGGAAATTTTCCACTTTACGCGTGACGCGCGGGATGGCGTGTCGCACTCACCTCATGGTACTTGATGGGAAACAGGACGAAACGGTGGGGGTTCTCTTGAAGCAGAGGCTCGTTGGCCTCGATCTCTCGAGCATTGATAGCAGCCTTGGAGAGTTCAACGGGCTTCTCAGCGGCGGGCTTGGTGGTAGGCGCGTCGGCGACGGGGTAAGGAATGGCGGCGTTCTCCTTTCCTGAAGCTTCAAAGTTCAGCTTCTTGACCGGGGAATCGCTCATCTTGAGGTTCTCAAGCGAAGTAGCAGCCTATTCATAGCAATTGTCAGCAATTGTCAACTCTGGCGACGCGTCTCTACTCGACGAGACGCGATGGCGACGTACCTGCTTGGAGGGAGTGAGCTGCGCAGACATTGTGAAGGATATCTAATCGAAGACAAGATGACAGCGCTGAAGAGATGAATAACCAGACAAGCTGACTCCGTGTCGTGAGAGAATGGGATGAAGAGAAAACAGGTGCTGGGAGGGAGGAGAGGGCGACAAGAAATAGTTGCTTTGCAGCGAGACGTGATCACTAGCGCGACGGGCTAAGTCACGTCGCACGTGATTTAGCGCGACTTTTGGTGGCTGGCGGAGCTGCAATACCTCAGCCTCAGGCAGCCTCATGCATCGCGTTTTCCCACCACAAGAAGGTATGACGGAGGCGTCTCAGACCACTGCTCCTCAATTCAATCCGGCCGCAATATCCACTGTTCTCCGTATCCCCAAGATGATTCGCTCCTCAAATAAAAATGAAAGAACGAAATTGATACCTTGGTGGAGCTTCTAGGCAGGTTCTCGCGTCTGCCTGTACATACGGAGTACTCCGTATGTGGCCTAATCTTATCTGATGATCAGCTCCCATCTCTTGCTTCACGCGTGCTCTTGGAGAGCTCAAAGCCTCAAACAGGTTGCCCTGCAAGGCTCAAGCTCATACCTAAACATGTAGAAATTGCTTCCAGAGCTTGCACATTCTCTACTCTATGCATTGGCCATGAGATGAAAAGCCCTCAAAACTGTATCCAGTGCTTGTCGCCCACCATACGCGCTCATCCCACCCCGCCACGCGCTCCCTTGCTGAGTCGCAGACAAGGAATTACCCACCACTAACCCCCACACAAAAGCAAGGCTGATCCTTATGAATCACGCGGTAAGCTAACTTTCCTTCAAGCTCCGCGAAAATTCCTTGTTTATTCTCCCTTTGACGCGACATATCCACCAGCCATCGCGGACCTGCGACCTCCGCATCTCATTTGTAAGTTCACCATCTGGGCGTCAGACATCGGATTTACGGATGTGGAAACAAGAATAATTCGAGTTCTGGACTCTGGAGCAATCAAATTGGAGAAGTGCATACCAACCCGGAGTCTGTTAGCGCCGTTTGTACCTAGATACTATGTAATAATGAATGGGAGTGGAGTGGTTTCAGCTGGGCTCTTTGTGGGCTTTCCGATGTTTTTTTAAGACGCGTCCAAGTCCACCATTGAACCTCATAGCATGTCTTGTGCCGCCTTCTTAGAGTAGTTATGACATTATAAAACTGCTTTGTCACTTTAAGGTATCCCTAGATGCATTAATTAACCAATTGCTATCTACAATGATCTATAAGACGGCAATCCAACATGAACGCCCTATATACATCCCGATGCGCCAAAAACGCGAAACCCAATGGTCTACTTTTCAAAAGCTCGGGTCGGTATAGAATGCTACCCTCTCGATTTCTAGAGACGAGCCTTCAGGGAGTCTGAGAGGAACCTGTCCTCGGCCCTGCGCATAAGTTTGTTGGTTTGTTCAGCCAAGCTGAGGGTCAAGATCTGCGATTGTATTAGAGAGCTAATCATGAGTTCACGAAGCAGATTACTCACGGTATGAGGTAGGATACGGGCCAGATGGGCGAAGTATCCCTTATAAATTGCAAGGAAACCTTCAGTCCTGACCGTCTTCGCCAGGCAATCAAACACGCCCTTGTAAAGGTTACCGGTCTGGTTGTACATACGGGACATGATCGTATCTAAGACTGGGTTAGGTGCGATTCCAACTGGGCCATTGATGTCGGACCATACCAGGAGGATGCATGACGCAGCAGACAACGAACCCGGAGGCTGTACTGGAAGCTAGGTGAAGGGCAGGGCCGTCTTCCATCCCTAGGTGCTTGACCAAGCGTCTTTTCGCAAAGAAGTACGTGGGAAGCTGGACAGAGCTACCGAAACCGGTTCGCACCATGGCCGCACCAACCCCACGGTATAGACCACCAACTCCCTCGGACGCAAAGATCTTCCGCAGACCATCCAACGAATTCCGGTACTGATGTTGTGTGCCGACAGGAAGAAAGGGGGAGAAGGACTGGAGACGGGTCTTGACGAGGAAGAAGGGTGAGCCAGCAGCGGCTCCGATAATGCCGGACGTTGCGCCGGAGAAGACGTTGATACCGAGCGATTGCACTTGCGCGTCGTTATACACGGCGGTCGTCAGCCCCGTACGGATGGGCTCGTAGAAGCCTAGACGGCAGCCATTGAGAAGAACTTGATACACGTACTGGCCATTGTCAGCTTTGGGGTAATCGGTATACGTGTCAGATTAGGCACGCACTGCTGAGCCAATTCCGCGAAACAGTCCACGGGGACCTTCATTCTGGAGAATGACCTTCACTCCATGGAGCACACCCTTGTATTTCTTGACGGCTTCCGACTTGGCCTGCAGCTCTCCTTGCAATTGTAGTCTAGGCGAAAGCAAACATTAGGGCTCTGACCAAAAGACCACCGTGTACCACATATGGAGGCCGGCTTACCGAATCTTCACTGTCTCGAAACTGTGTGTAACGGTTACTGCGCCGCACGCTGCTATGCCGCCCGCAATAAATGCTCTAGAAAGCCAAGGAACTTGTGTTAGTGTCGCTGTCGCCAAGGGCCTCAGATCTCCATGGATGCAGCATACCCGGTCGTTGTAGACATCTTGCTGTCAGCTTATGGGCTCCGTAAACGGAGGCGGACCCGGGAAAGGTTTTTGGTGTCGCAGGCGAGATATAGGACCGGGATGAGGAAATTTCAAGTTCTTATGACATGCAGAGTGAGTGAAGAGTCTGTCCAAGTTATGAAGAGCGCAGGAATGATTATAGGAGGGTGGTGAGGATGAGTAAGGGTTTCTGAGACAGTTGGTAATAAATGTTCAGAAATGAGGCCCGCGATGTCGGTGATGAAGATGGGCCTCATCGTAATTGGCCCAATTGACAGTTCCTGGTCCGACTATCCGTCGTCGGCTAGACCTGGCTCCCCGGCTTGAGCGCCAATAAGCCTTTCTTCGCCGTCAGTAGCCGCGGGAAAGGAACAACCTTGATACCGAGTATTCCAAACGCGCGCCGAGGGAGGCTTTTCAAACACCAGCAACCTCGAAGCTCTGAGGAGCTTAGGAAACGCTGGTCTGGGCTCTTCTGAAATTTACGTGGCGCAGGATTTGGCTTAGCGTTATTTGCTTTCTTTTCAGTGCTGCTTTCTTTATCAAATTCCACTAAAAATGGCAGACGGCGGCCAGTCAACACCACAGCAGCTTCCCCAGCAGCAAGCTGGACTCCAGACGCAGAAAGTTTCCGATGTCATTCGTAGCTTTCGTCCCACGAAGGTCAGTAAGCTTCTTCATTCAACAAGGGATACAAAGCTAACCGCGATGTTTTTATACAGGTGTTTCGCCCTTCGAAGCAAGAGAATTTCGTGACCTCACTTGATTTCGATGATCACGGAGAGTTTGTAGTGACTTCCGGCGATGATGATATTATCCAGGTGTACGATGTGAAAGGAGGGAAGCCATCGAAATCGGTTCCTAGTAAAAAGTACGGAGCACACCTGGCGCGCTTCACTCACCATTCTCGACAAGTCCTCCATGCGAGCACAAAAGTCGACGGTACGTTGTGAATGGCGTCTGTTTCACTGCCAGTTGCTTACATTGGTTAGATTCGTTACGACTGCTTGACCTGCATACCGAGAGCTACGTGCGATATCTCTCAGGGCATACGGATAAAGTGACTTGCTTGGCTCTTTCTCCTGGGAGCGATGCAGTCATCTCATGTTCCAAGGACGACACTGTTGCGATTTGGGATACGGGATCAAGACATTTACAAGGAAAGCTCAAACTCTCGACTCCGTATCTTGTTGCGTTTGATCCTTCCGCCTCCGTGATTGCGATCGCCTCACAGTCGACCTCTTCTGTTCTTCTCTATGATTTCCGAAATTACGACAAAGCGCCGTTTGCGACATTCGACCTTGCAGCATACGAGGAAAGATATACCCCTTCGACCCGTGGAAGGGCGTGGACGCGCCTCGAGTTTTCCAACGATGGAAAGTTCCTGCTTGTCGGAACGGACTACCACGGCCATTTCATCCTGGACGCCTATGACGGTAGCCTGAAGGCTTTTCTGGTCGGCAGAAACGGGTCGCCTGGGAGGGCTGCTCCGGTCTCTACGACGGGTAAACCCCTCGGACAGGGAGATGCGTGCTTCTCGCCAGACGGCAGATACGTTATTGGTGGGTCGGGAGACCACCAGGACATGCTGGTGTGGGATTTGCAGCAAGCGCCGGACACCAATCACTTCTTGCAGCCCGCGGCCAAGCTGCCTCATCGCGGCCGGACCGCCATACTCGAGTACAATCCCAGGTTCAACATGATTGCGTCTGCGGATAAAGATGTCTTCTTTTGGCTCCCGGAAGAAGGTTCCAAGGCCGCATAGGAATGAGATCTCACGGGACCCCATACGGCAACAATGACGAATATTGTCGGTGACTAAGAACTTGGTTATAACTATCCAGCAGTGCTGGCGTTCAATTGATCCAAGATAAGCATCCCTTGCGGGCTATCTTCTCTCGGCTGTGGCCTTTCTTGGACGGATTTAATCCTTTCGGCCCTTTTCTTTTCCTATCAAACTCCTGGCTGTGTCGCACACCCACACTAACGGCCCTTCCAAATCTTCGGCGTCTCTCTGCAGCTCGATCGTCGTTTCGATTTGTTTCACGACCGTGCGGTTGCTTGTTATGGTCATGATTTTCGATACCCAACCATACATGAAGACACTGGTATTTATATCGGACAATATTTCTTCCACTTTTTGAGCAACAGGAGGTAGTTTTCCTTGCTGCTTTCCCAAGTTGATGGCGGGTTGAGCATCGACTATTCTGATCGGAATGTTCAGATGAACAGGTACTTGATAATTGGACAGTTTCTGAAGCTCTTCGATGAGGGATGCTGACTTCATTTCCTTGAAAGAATGATCACCCATAAGGATTGCCATTCGCATCCTCTCAGTGTCGGTGCCGATGGTATCCACAATCTCGCGCATCCTTTTTGCAGCCTCGCTTGTGCAGATCAGCTCACGGGATTCCATAGTCGGCCAAAGCTCTGTCGATAGCAGGGGTCGCTCCCGTTCAATCTCAATTTGCCGGTTGATAGCTTTGTGATGCTTTGGGGAAGGAGATATGCTCTGGTAATGGGACAAGTCCGAGATAATGGCGAGTAATAAGGTGCAATCAACATTGACCGTTGCCGTGAACCTCTTCAATCTGTTTGGAAGAAGCGGCCGGACCTCTTCCTCATTGGAAGCTGGTCCAGCTTCTGGATTTTCACTAGCATTGTGTTCGGAGGAAGATACATCCTCTCCACATTCAACTGTCACACCATATCCTCGGATTGCCTTGAGAAGGTCATCAATCTCCGGAGTTTGCCCTTCCTCAACCTTAGGAATCACAAACCGCAATCGAGGCTGCCTGTAGTTCACCCTCACTAAGCTTGCAGCTTTCCTCATGTCCCCGGCAAGCTTGATCAGCTCAATCGCATCATCGTCGTCATCGTCGTAGTCACTATCCTCCCCTCGACTATGATTCTGCAAAACAGTCCTCTTCTCACCATCCTCATCCTCCGAATCTGCCTCCCACCCCTTCTTCGCCATCTCAAACAATAACCTCGTCTCCGAGATTGTAGAAACCTTCACCCACTCCTCCCCATCATCCGCCACAATATCGACCAAGACACTTTTCCGTTTATCCTTATTCTTATTCCCGCTCCCATCATCCCTGTCCCAGTAAAACCTCTTTCCAAACGCAACAAGGCCCGTACACGTTGTCTTCGCAATGGTCCACACAGCCTCGTAAAAGGGTAAATTGGACGACCGCAGCGCATGCATCAGCTTGACTTCAGCCTCTTCGGCGTCAATCAGATCATTGTGAGTCTGACCGCCGTCCAGGCCACCTTCGTTGCCGTTCTGCTCTCGATTAATCCTCCCCCTGACCTCCTCCGTCACCGCAATCGCCGCATCAAGCTGCGCAGAGATCTTTTCGAGCGTCTTCAATTCCGCAAGTATATTTGAGCGCAGAGAGCGTACCTCGACAGTTTGCGGATTCCGTTGCGTTCGCGCTAGAAGGGCCTTGAAGGCATCGAGTTCGGCGAGGAGCGTGTGGCATCGCGTGAGCAGGGACTCGGCGAGGGATTTGCGGGGGTTCGAGGGCGCATTCGGGCCGTGGTGGAACTCTTCTGTGGAGTTTGAATATGGGTCTGGATTCGTGGGCGCGGGTTCTGCTTGAAACGGGGACTGGGCACCGTTGTCTGGTGAGCTGTCCCGCATGGTGGTCTGCTGTTTTGATATGCTTTTTTTTTTCTTTGGGTGGGATGCGGGGAGATTTGGGATTGCCTGTTTTAAGACTTCGCATGGTGGGGTGCAGTGGGGTGACTTATGTGTCAAATGCAGGCTCACTTGACTCAAATGAGTCTGTTTTTCTACATGAATCTTCAACCTTCGAACTGCGTTGAGTCATTGAGTTACTGCCTATACTAATGATTTGATTCGAACTAGAGGAGATACTGATGTTCTGGAGGCTTTGTATGCTAGGAAACCTCAACCCCAGATACCGGGACTTGTACAAGGTATAATTGCGGATATAGAATAGTTCATCCCTCATCAAATCACAGAAGATATTAAATAGCGGGTAAAGAGACATGTGAGATAAAAGCTGCAGGGGGGGGGAAAAAACCCAATCGATAACGCCGCCATATGCCTGCAATAGTCGAATACAGCCAAGATCCAAGAAGCCATTGCGTGATCTGTCTCGGCAGAATGGCTTGATGTACATCAGCCATCAGAGCCCTAATATCAATACAAAAGCCCATGCGACTGGTCGTCACGGTTCGTCGAAATCACCCCTCCAAGAAGGAAAGACCAGTGATCTAATCCGTATCCTTTGTGAGCGCCTTCCGTTCGCTTGAGTTGCGTGGAGAGTCATCTTCGTCGGACCACCTGTCGCCGTCTTCGCCAACGGCGAAGATGGTTTCACCATCTAGTGACTCACGAGTACGTGCCGCAGATGGGACAGGCTTAGGTGGTACCGGAGATAAGTCACGACGTGGCTCGTGCGGAGAGTGTTCGTCCAAGTCACCAAGGGCATCCTCTTCATCGAGAGCTCCTCCAAAAGAACGAATCTCGAATCCATCATCATCTTGGGCAAGCTATATATCGCATCAGTATTAGAGGCCAATTGTTTTATGAGTGCTTGACTCACTTCATCACTCATAGCGAATCGCCTGTTGTTGGCGGTTGGGCGCCATAGGTAGGCAATGAATGCCAAATCCATGAGATACACAATACTGAGCCATCCATCCAGGACAAACCATCGGGTCTTCCAATGCTCAGGGAGGAAGTCGGCTTCCGTGCGGCTAGCGAAGGCAAGCGCATTGATGAAGATAAAGCCGAAGAGAATGATGATGCTGCCTAGCAAGCACCACCAAAGCTTCTTGTACATCATAGCCTTGGTCTTTTGCTTCCTGTCGACGAGGTCTTTCATCGTGGCGTTCAGTGAGCTCAGAGTCCACACATAGAATGCAGTCAACGTAGCAGCAAGAGGCAGTTCAATGAACAAAATGAGTATGCCTGCAGCTTCAGGGGTAATAGACAAGCTGGCTACGGCATATATCACGGCAAAAACGAAGTGGGCGATGGCAAGGATCCGAACATATACCATAGTCCGACCAAGGGACGGCTTAACAACGCCATAACCCATGCAGACGATCAGAAGAAGGAAGAAGGAGAACGAGGTACGAGCTGCGTTGAGGACAGCTACAATTACCATCAGCACCTTTGCGCCGACATTCAATCCGTGTCGGTTTTGATAGTCTATCATAAGTCAGCAATCGCCGTCTGGGCGATATTTCGTATAGATCCAATCTTACCATAGAAACCCCAGGTCATCAATTGTTCCACAATCAAGAACACTAGAATTGCAGTAATGTAGTTCTGGACAGGTACTGTGCTTTGTTAGCAGAAGGACGGGTATCGGAGGAAAGGACGTACAAATGTCGTGACGGTTCTGGACGTAGAGAAATGCCCAGTACCTGTCATAGTCAGCTTAGTTCCACTTCTAGTACAAAAGGGCAGGATAAAGCGGAACGTACAGTCCAATCACTGCATAGACAATAGTCAAGCCTCCATAGAAAGGCAACTTCGGGATTTGAGCGGCTGGAAGCTCTCCATATGCATTCCGGAATTCCACCACAGCTTTATAATCCTGACCGGAGTAGGCATATGTGCTGACACAGTAGTAACCTGTCTTTTTCACGGGATAGTTGATCGCGTCAGGGCTTCTGAGGTTTACTGCTTTCGAAATGATTTGAAACTTGGAGGCATCAGTTGCGTTCGGCGCAAGAAGGAAAGAGCCGAGCTGGTCTTTCGTGCAGAGGTCAGCTTCGACACTGGCTTGATCGCAAATCGATTGGTATTTCTGCAAAAAAAAAAAGGGAAATGAGCAAGACGGTCTTTCCGGCAGGCAATGTACGAAGTGGCTTACATCGGGATCGTCGGAAACTTGTCTCCCTATCAGATTCTCGTCGGACCATTCGAATATCACTAGACTGACTAGGGGGTTGGCATCGTCGGGTGGTGTAACTTTGGCGAACTTGGTCAGGATGAAGGGGTCGACGTTTCCACCCCAAGCCTTGCGGCTATACATGCCGGAGCATTGCAAACGATGCGAGATATCTTGCGTCTGCACATTTCAGGTTAGAGATACATATGACCAACGATAACAAACGGTTGACTGTCATACCAATTCCGCTTCATTAGCAAGGGCTTGCCCTGCCAGTAAGGCAGACAACCCCAGGCCGCGAAGCCAGGCTCTCATCGTGAATTGGAGCTATAAGACGGAGCGCTCTCGCTCAACAGAAGACCCAGTTAGGACAAGGAATCCTAGAAAGAGGCGGCAATGGGATCATAGAAGTCGAGAGCTTGCAGACAGCCTCCAGTGCTTATTCTAGAATCAGCCTGCGATCGGTCGTGCGATAAACTGTGGCTTTAGTTTGGAGAAGCCGCGTGTTGACACTGGACGGCCCGCCAATGATCACTGCTTGAGCTCGAGAGAGGGTGGCGCATAGAAAGTCACGTGCTTTCACCGCCTCCTGTCACCAGCGCCACCTACATGAATTCTGCCACCCTAAAATTTCCCCTCATTACTTTCATCATTTCGTGCAAACCAGTAACGAAACTATAGAAATGCCTGGAAAAGAGTTGTCAAGTCCGTGTATGGACTGCCGGGATAATGAGTCTATCTTTCTGATTCGAAGTCGCCGCCTGTGCAGGTAAGTTCGCACTCTTTGGATCGTTTGCGCTCCTAGTAGTACATACTCACCTTTTTCCCTCTTTTAGAGATTGCTATACACGATTTGTTGGATACAAGGTTCTTCGCCGTACCGAACAGTATCGTCTTCGAAAAAGCGTACCAGGAGCCGCGCGGGGCAAGCTGCTTCTACCTTTGTCTTGCGGCCTTGCCTCGTCCGTCCTATTGCATATGATCCACACTCAGATGAAAGAACAGCGATCGAGGCCACACGCTCCCGATGGATTTGACCTGCACGTACTCACAATAGACCCGCAGAGTATCTCCTCGTCAAATCTACCGCTCGGCGAGGTGCTTGAGTCATTACAGCAGCGCTTCCCCCTCGCCTCGTTCACTCAACTTTCTCTCCATACCATTTGGGAACTTGTGCCGGACCTGCGAGATGTTTTCCCTGGATATGCCGGCGAAGACTTCAGGGATGATTCTTCGCTGTCGCCTAAAGAGCGTCTCGACGCCTTCCGCGCGTCTATCTCGTCGAATACCTCCGCTGCTGATGTAGACTCTGTCTTGTTGACTCGGCTTATTGTTGCTTTCGCGAAGAGTATAAATTGTTTTGGAATTATTTGGGGCGACTCCGACGACCGGCTTGCCGCGAAAACCCTAGCTAGTGTCGCTAAAGGCCGCGGATCCTCGTTAACGTGGCAGGTCTCTGATGGGATGACTCCGTTTGGTCTGGAGTTCAGCTTTCCTCTACGAGACTTGTTTACTGCCGAACTGCAAAACTATGCCGATTCATTCTCAGAACTCGCAGACATCATCATCCCTGATGCGCCATTCTCCGATAACATTCTCACCAAGAACCTATCCATCGATCAATTAATGCTGCGCTATGTATCGTCTCAAGGCGCGAAATATCCGGGTGTCATGTCCAATGTTACTAGGACTGCCAACAAATTGCAGGCGTCTCGAATGTCCACGAATGGCTCACGATGTGCTTTATGCGACACTTTCATCTGCAATTCAAAAGGGGTTTATAGTCAAACTCCTCGAACCGCCACCACCGACCCCAAATACAGCTCGTTGCCAGAGCTATGTTATGCATGTGATCGTTCTCGCCCTGGATTGAGTTGATTGTGCACTACGCAACTTGTTGCATGAAAACAAATAATCTAAGGGTTATGGCATATATTCATTCAAAATCTCTCCGACATATGAACATGGGACATCGAGCAAGAACCTTCTCATCAAATCATCCCCGGATATTACCGCTTTCAAGGTCACTTTCTCTCCGTGTTGACCTACCAAGTCGACTCTTCTGAGATTTCGACTTTTTCGGGATTTTTGCGGCTGCAGGCTGGGCTGGTTCGCTTGTGCTTTTGGTACGTGCGGGCCCATCGCGAGCATGATGCTCAACGGCCTCTGAATCATACCGGTCGAACTCGTCTGGAAGACTTGGATCAATACCAGCGTCATGCCGTCTTCCTCCATTAGAAGCTTCATTGGCTCCCTTGCTTCTCAAGTATTTCTCGAGAACAATGGCGTTTCGTGTGTTGCACTTATACGCTGCATCGGCAATGTCTCCCACAAATGGCACGAGGCCAATGACGAAGTCGAACAAAATGTTCATGATCATCTGCATTCGAAGGCGAGGGGGAAGCCCTCCGTCAATGCTCTCGCATGATTTCAGTACCATCATCGCTAGCGCGGCGTCGGCGGCATCACCGATGCTGGATTTCATTAGCATCAGTACGCCGTAACTCCATCAGATTTACCTTACAAAGGTATCAAACCAATTACACTACCCCAACCGAATCTGATCCCGCAGAGGCTGAAAAGGCAATAGTCCAGTCTATAGGCGCGTCGCTTGACGCGAGTGAGAACCTTCGTGTCGTTATCGGAGAGTCCGGGCGGGTTGGCTTTGCGCCGCTTCTGTGTCTTTTTGCCAAAGGCTCGTCCTATTCGTGACGCAGGTACTTCTTCAAAGTAGGGGTCCTTTGCGCATACCTGCTGTTAGCCTTGAGATATTTCAGTGAGAAAGTGCGACTTGCCTCTTGTCCGAAGTGATTTCGCGCAGATTCGGCGAGAATCTTCTTCCCAATGAAAGAAAACAGGAACGACATGGTTTCTGGTAGATGTATAGAGCCGAGATAGATATCTTAGCCTGACAATATATCCAAACCAAGCGCTAGTCTCCCTTTAGTAGATAGTTGTGTACCACAGGAAGACAGTATAGAATGGAACCCGAATTTGAGTCTCCCGTTGTCAACTATTTTAATCTTCCGGAGTACCTAGGACGTCATTCTCAGCTGTCGCCAGCGCATTCTTGTTTGGTGACATAATCGTCTGAGGCAGATCACCCTCCAGCCACAAAATGTATTGCCACTCCTGGCGCGGTGACAACTATTGGGCCATGACGCCACAGTTTGGGCGCTTCTGAATAAAGGTGTGGCTTAGCTGGTCAGTTGGTCCACCGACTCCGAGTCACCATCCGCTCTTCTCCCCGGGTCTTGTCAGCACTGACGTTCATTCCCTCGCCTACCTAGTCATTATCAACCGTGTCGGCGACCGGCTAATTTACTGCAAGCTCGCTATCGCCTGCGTTGTGTACCAAATACTTGTACGCTTCAGGGTTGGCGCTTTGCCAAGCTCCTTTCCTCGAGGCTGCACGATTGCGCTGTCCGCCTGCAGCAACCAGCAACTCTTCGACAACAGACCTTGCAATCCTACTCGGCCACAGTAGGCCGTGTTGAAATGCCAAAGCACGCCTTACACTATGACAGAACCGAAAATGCAACTGGAGGATTGTAAGTGACTTTATCATCGAGATGCCCCTCCCTTGGCTCATCAGCTAGGCACACGGCTGTGGGAGGCGCTAACAGCGATTGCGAACAGGGCTAGATGACTTGTGCGTCCGCTTCATTATAAACCTGCCTCGTGAAGAATTGGAATCGGTTGAGCGGATATGCTTCCAAGTTGAGGAGGCACAATGGTTCTACGAGGATTTTATCCGGCCTCTCGATCCGGCCTTGCCGTCGCTCTCCCTTAAGGCGTTCGCCTTGCGAATCTTTCAGCACTGTCCGCTCATGGCAAATTGGTCTCAATATCACCACATGACAGCGTTCTCCGAGTTCCTGGCCTACAAGACCCGGGTGCCTGTTCGTGGAGCTATCATGTTGAATCGTGAGATGGATCAAGTCGTCCTCGTCAAAGGCTGGAAGAAGGGCGCCAACTGGAGCTTTCCCCGTGGAAAAATCAACAAGGACGAGAAGGATCTCGACTGTGCCATCCGTGAAGTCTACGAGGAAACTGGCTACGATGTTCGTGAAGCCGGATTGGTCAAGAATGATGAGGAAGTCAAGTTCATCGAAATCACCATGCGCGAACAGCATATGAGGCTGTACGTTTTCAGAGGCGTACCTCAGGACGCTTACTTTGAACCCCGTACACGAAAGGAAATCAGCAAGATCGAATGGTGGAAGCTATCTGATCTGCCGACTTTGAAGAAAAGCAAGCAGTGTGAGGGGCAGGCAGCCCCCAATGCCAACAAGTTCTATATGGTTGCTCCTTTTCTGCACCCGCTCAAGAAATGGATTGCGCAGCAGAAGAAACTCGATCCCAAGGCACACCTCGACGTTAAGGAGATTCTGAACGATGGGGATGTTTCTATGGACGAGGGTCTTCAGACGTCGAACTTAGGGTATATGCCCAACCAAGTGCCTAAAGAGCTGGCTGTTCCAAGCGATTTGCCAGAAGTGGCAGTCCCCCACGATGCATCCACGCACCTTAAACGCCTTCTCAACATCAACAATGGCCTCCCTGCTCAGGAGCCTGTCAATTTGTTCAGTGCTGACCCTAACTCCTCAAAGTCTAATGCGCTTTTGGAACTCCTTAGAAGTGGTTCTTCCCCGAATCCTACTCCGCAGGCCGCTAGGGATGAACAAGGACCGCAACCATCTGGCTTCTTCCCGGGCTTTCCTCAGCAACATGTCGGACCCCCACGGCCCCCAGGAGCTTTACCGCAAGGTCCATCTCCATACCGGGGTCCTTCTCACGGCCCATTTCCTACAGGAAATCATCCTATACCGGGCCCACAACCCCTTCCCGGGTATCCGGGACCTCGCCACCAAGGCCCTTCCAATACTTACCCAGGCCCGCCCAACCTACCTCGGCAACACCCTTCTCAACCAAGGCCGTTACCACCAGTATTCCCCCCGCTTCATGGGCAAGGTCCTGTGCCGGCACCGTATCAACGAACAGGAGACCCCCAGTTCTCGCACTCAGCTCAACCGCCTCAAAGTCAAGCTGCTGTACCTCCTGCAAGCAAGCTGCCACCGCCGAAGCTTACCAGCCATTCTTTAGCATTACTGAGTGTCTTTAAAGATGACAAGAAGCAAACCCCCCAGATGTCGACTGCAAAATTGGCACCGCGACCGGAGCCGTCCCCAAGGAGTGAGCGCAAGCCGTCGGCCCATCAAGACCAATTGTTGAGTTTGCTGAAAGGGTCTCCGGCACCGAGTGGCTCACGACCGGCTGAGTTATCGGCGTACCCATCATCGCCTGCGCAGAAACAGATTCTGCAACGGCCTAATGTGGACTCAAATCCTCCTCAACCTCAACAAATAGTCAAAGGTGCTTGGACATCCGCAACAGTATCTGGTCCCCTAAATACTCCCCAGTTCGAAGCAATCCAAAAATCGTCGACTAGGAAGGCGCATGACTCAAGACGTCAAGTCAGCCGAGACAGCCGAGAACGACAGACGCAGCCTTTGGCTTCACCTATAACGATTTTGCCTAGACCGCAGGGTGCCCGGAGGGAACAACCGCCTGCTCCAGCGCCAGCGCCCCCTCCTCAACCTTCCATCAAGCCTCGGCCTGTCAAAGCGAAGTCTCCAGAGCCTCCCAAGACGTTTCAGCCACAGATTCTACGTCGCTCTGATAAAGCGGACATTCACAGCATATTACCTGTACGGACGAAAGACACAGAAGTTCCCAGCACGCCAGATGATATTACTGGACCTGATCTTAAGACTGCTCCATCTCCTCAACCTGAACCATTCCGGCGGCCAAGCCAGACGGCCGCACAAAGAGAGACGCTTCTATCCCTGTTCGGGAAACCTGTCACTTCTCCAAAAGCGCCGACCGCGGGGCAACTAAACCTGCAGACCGCCGTCCCTAAGCCTTCCGTTACACCGTCTGTCGTCAGTCCCCTCACACCACTCCACCACCATGCTGGGAATGAGATGTCGATGGAAGACGGATCGTCCAACACAAACCGGGTTGCAACCCCTGCTAATAAAGCATTCTTACTTGGCTTTTTGGAAGGAGTTGCTAAAGGCAGCAAATAAGGTGCTGCCGCTGGGTGTTTTTGAGCAATACAGTCTCTGCTGTATCTTAGCCTTAGCATGAATATAGTCAGATCCACCAGGCGCTTGGTTTATCATAGATCTGAATACTCTAGAAACAGATACTGGCTCGAGTAATGTTCAAAGAGACAATGTTCCGGCAGAGTATTAAATTCCTTTCAATGCCGTGCATAGATCATAGAAAGATGATATAGTAAGAACCATAGTAGAGACCATCGAGACCTCATTTGATCGCTTTGCGATACCCACAACCCAACCTTGAGATGATGCGAAATCGCCATAAAATCACACTGAATTCTTCGCGCTGCTGACTTTAGTGTCCGCGAAACAAAGTTGAGGAATTCTGAGGGATGGTGGAGGTGCCTTCATTTTCGCTAGAGTGATGTGTGTGAGCTAGCAGGAAACATCCAGTCAATCGAGAGCCTGCTGGTTCGCACCGACAAGCTCAGTGAACAAGGCAGGTATGCCTTCTCATCGAAGTCTGGACTTCCAGGTCTGTGCCTAGATTTAGCTAACAGGCTATGGTTACTCTTAACCAATGGGCTGGCCCTGCATAGTAGGCCCTGATAACGATATATCGGGGACGGGGGCGCGAAATTACTCGCATTTGCCCGAACTAATGGTATTGCGCGTCGATTTAGACTTCAGACGCATTAAGACAATTTGTAAACCGTCCTATTTGAGAGTAGTAAACATGTTTCGATGAATGTTAGTGAACAGAAGTATAATAGAGACGCGAGTCCATTGGAAGGAGCCAGGCCAGGGTAAGTATCATCATGGGCGGAGTTTACAAAGAAAATGCGGAGATACATCGGCCTTCCGATACTGCCATTGCACACCGCCATATTGTATGGACGATGTCATTGTTGGAATCGTAAACTTTGCGCAACTTCATCCACAGACCGAAAGAAGTGCACGCCAACATGATGCGCTCAAAGGCATCTCCGAGTACAGTATGCACTCGCTTCTCGCTTCAATGGAGGTCATTCTCAACAAGCCCGCAAGCTCGAGCCCAGAGCATTCCGCAGCCCCCGCCACAAGCCGGATATGCTCGACTCACGAACCGAGGATTGATCTCCATTACCGGTCTTGATAGTACAACGTTCCTTCAAGGCCTCATAACACAGAACATGTTTATCGCAAACGACCCGAACCGCCGAGTACGACACACGGGCTCCTATGCCGCGTTTCTAAATTCCACCGGCCGTATACTCAACGACGCATTTATTTACCCGCTTCCGCAATCCGAGGGCGCTTCGCCCGATGAACCGGCGTGGCTGGTGGAGGTCGATAAGAACGAAGTTCCAAGTCTCCTCAAGCATCTTAAGAAACATAAACTGCGCGCGAAATTGAAGCTTCGGGCTTTGGAGGAGGACGAGCGGACCGTGTGGGCGGCGTGGAAGAACCATTCCGAGCCGCGCTGGGCCGCGTATAATTTAGAGTCGTCGACGTCTTCACCGTTTCCTTCTTCACAGTCGGTTGTTGGTTGTGTGGACACACGCGCACCTGGTTTCGGGACCCGTCTTGTTACACCTGGTTCGGATGATTTGAGAACATATGTTCCTGACGAGGCGCAGGTTGCAGGTGACGAGGTTGGCTTGGACGGGTATGCCATTCGTCGTATGTTGCATGGTGTTGCAGAGGGGCAATCTGAGATTATTCGCGAATCGTCGCTGCCGCTCGAGTCCAACATGGATATGATGAAGGGTATTGATTTCCGCAAGGGCTGCTATGTTGGTCAAGAGTTGACGATTCGGACGCACCATACTGGTGTCGTAAGGAAGCGGATACTGCCTGTTCAGTTGTATGAAGGCGCTGCGGACGCTCTGCCCTCTTCGGATGGGCCGGTTTATGACCCGTCTGTCAAGCTCTCTCTTCCGCCGTCTGGCTCGAATATCTCCAAGGTCAGCGCACGAAGGGGCCGTAGCGCGGGTAAATTCCTCGGTGGTATTGGTAACATCGGACTTGCGCTGTGCCGCTTGGAGATGATGACTGATGTCACACTGACTGGTGAGGGCAGCCAGTTCACTCCAGACCAAGAGTTCAAGGTCTCGTGGAGTGGGCCTGAAGGAAGCGAAGGCCAGGACGGCGAGGTCAAGCTGAAGGCGATAGTGCCCTCCTGGACCAGAGAGTTTATCATGGCAGGTGGCGCCAAAAACAACAACAACCCTAACCGCGAGGGTCGCCGGGCGAAGGACTATCTTGAGCAGCTAGAGGGGGAAGAGGCTCAACGCTGAAATGAGGAATGACCTTCTATATAATATTGTACAAATATTTAGACTTGTATAACGCCACATCAATGCAAACCAATGTGCAAAGCTATGCATGGGTATCTTTTTAACCAAAACAGTAAGTAGTAAAGTCATGATCGAGGCATACCATCGGATTGTAGACCTCAAGTTCTCGCGGCAGCTTCTGCTGCGTCTGCGGCCGCGTCTTCTTTTTCTAGTTGTTCTTCAAGCGCTCTCCGCTCCTTTTCTCGTTGCGCGTTCTTTAGTCGCATTAGTGTGATCTCCTGGAAACTGGCGCTTGCACCGTTCGTCGACTCGGACGGTGTTGTTTTGGGGCCTCCTGTCGCTGCTGCGGAGGAGAAAGAACCGAAGGAAGGCGCTTTACCAGGCTGTCCACTGACCCCAGCGGATTTGAGTCCTGCAAAACTAAAGGCGGGCTTTGGAGCTGGCGCTGGAGCTGGTGTATGCTCCTTCGGAGAGGGAGCAGCCTGACCCTCACTTGGAGGAGAAGGTGAGCCAGCATGTCTCCCAGCTAAATCTGGTTGTTCTCCCAAAGCCCAAAAAACAGAGTCAATCACATTCCAGTCGCTCTGTGTTCGTGACAGACTCTCGTGCATGAACTTTTCACTGTCAAGCACAGCTGTATGCGCACTGACGATTGAAGCAAAGACAATCACTCCCGTCGCAACAGTCTTCTTCTCCTTCCTCCCCTCGAGCCGCTGCCGCCTATCCTTGAGAACAAGGACGCTCTCAATCTTCCCAAACGGGGCAAACAACGCCATCAGCCTGTCCTTGTCGATATCCACACCACGCCCCTCCCTCACCCAGCGTACCTTGACCGCGCGCTCTTGCTCAGGAACATTCGCGCCCCCCTCCCTGGACCGATCCACACGCTGCGAACTCCGATCCTGCATTCTCTGCTTCTCATCCTCCTCCTCCCGTATTCTCTTTTCATCCTCCTCAACCTCTTTTTTTAGCTTCTCCTCACGCTCTAACCTCCTTCGCCTCCCATCCTCTGCAATCCTCTCAATCTCCCTCTGTAGCCTCTCCTCGGCCTCGTCCTCCCCACCCCACGCCCTCTTCACCCCTCTAACTCCAGCAGCCCCCGCAGCGGCCGCATCCCTCATACCCTCCCTCTCCCTCCTCTCCAAATCCTCCCTCATCTTCCTCTTAACCCCATCCAGTAACTCAACCTCACGCTTCTTGCGCTCCCGCGCCTCCCGCGCATTATCATACAGCTGCCGGACGGCCGAGTCGGAGAGGACATCGTTTGCGATTTGAAGAAGGTGGAACTTGTCTATGTCGGCTTGTGTGGGGTTGGTGATCTTATCCGGGTGGTATTTTAGCGCTGTGCGGCGGTAGGCGCGACGGATTTCAGAGTCGGTTGCGCTGGGGGAGATGTCGAGGAGGGCGTAGAAGTCGTGAGACGCGGAGGTCGCGTGGGTTTTCAGGTCGTCGAGGGGCATTTCGCTGATATTTCTCTCTCTTAATAGACAGTCAATGAGTTCAAGCGACAGAAGTGGGTTTTGAAATGAGCGTGGAGAAATTTTGAGCAGGTAGTGAGGTGTTGTGAGCTTATTTTGACAGTAGAAAGTTCCTGGTTGGCGGTGGCGGACTCCCAAGGCCTTCGTCCTCAATGTTTTGCGACAAAACATCTGACACCACAAATTCAATTCAACCTCAGTTCACTCGATGGGACTTCTCTCGAATCATACACTCGTGTTTAGTAAGTCTATGTTACTGTTTTATCTGCGGAACGCGACATATCCCTTTTTCAGAAAGTCACTCGTCACTATATATTCTGGAGCACCTGCTACCATGCCAATACCGTCGAGACAAGAACCAACACCAGCCATCATGTTCTTCGGCAACCCTGGAACCAGCCGTTATGACTGCTCTGAATCAATCAGAGACTTGAGAGCTGATGGTCATACCCAGCCCGAATATCTAAGATGTCAAAGTTCAGAACGTCTTCAAGAAGGCGACTCCTCGGTTACTTGCTCGAGATCGGAGCTCCAACCATCTCGGCTATACACCGCGAGTAGCCGACACTCATCCAGCAGGTGCTATCTCCGCATGGAAGACTACTCCCGAGACAGAATCCCATTATATATAAGACGGGCCCAGCAACATAGCAGCCGAGCCTAGTTCAACATAGATTCGAAACTGCAATTGTTGAAGATGTTTGGTCGATTATCTCGGACCCAATGCATACCGTTGCCGACTATATCAGGTAGTATTCGGCACTTCTCATTATCTGCTGCGCGACGGAACCAAGGTCCCTTATCCGATATCACAGTTGTCAGTTTGGAGCAAGCAATTGCCGCCCCGTTTTGTACAAGACAACTGGCAGACCTAGGCGCACGCGTGATCAAAGTCGAACGACCCGGCGTAGGAGATTTCGCGCGCAACTATGATACCAGGGTCAACGGGCTCGCCTCGCACTTTGTTTGGACAAATCGGTCAAAGGAAAGCCTTGCGCTGGACGTGAAGAAGCCTTCAGACCATGCGGTATTGATGAAGCTACTCGGCAAGGCCGATGTGCTTGTGCAGAATCTTGCCCCCGGGGCGAGTTCTAGGTTAGGTCTCTCCTTTGACGACTTGAAAGAATCGCATCCGGGTCTCATCGTCTGCGATATCTCTGGATATGGACAGGATGGGCCATACCGAGACAAGAAGGCGTATGATCTTCTTGTGCAGAGTGAAGCGGGCATGCTCTCTGTTACCGGGACTGGCAACGAGCCTGCCAAAGTCGGGATTTCCATTGCAGATATCGCATCTGGCATGTACGCCTACAGCAACATCCTGGCAGCATTATTGCAGCGCTCCAAGACCGGCCGCGGAAGCCACATCGACATTTCTATGCTAGAGTCCATGGTCGAATGGATGGGATTCCCGATGTACTACGCCTACAACGGCGCTCCTGGCCCCGTGCCCGCGGGAGCCTCCCACGCCTCCATATACCCTTACGGCCCATTCGAAACGGGCGACGGACAATCAGTTATGCTGGGCATCCAGAACGAGAGAGAATGGGCGAACTTTTGCACGCTAGTCCTCTCACAACCCGACCTCGCGACGGATGCCAGATTCTCCACAAACTCTGTCCGCACACAGAATCGGGAAGCGCTGAAGGACATCATTCATAAGTCCTTTGCGGACCTCACCGCGGGGGAAGCTACGCGCCGGCTCGATGAGGCTTCTATCGCTAATGCAAATGTGAATGATATGCATGGAGTCTGGGAACATGCGCAGCTGCGCTCTCGCAATCGGTGGACTGAGGTGCAGACGCCTGAGGGCCCTGTGCCGGCTCTTCTCCCGCCTGGATTCGCACCCCTGAGTTCTGGAAACGAGGGTGTGCATGCACGAATGGACCCTGTCCCAAAGGTGGGCGAGCACAACGAATCGATTCTGGCGGAGTTGGGAATCACAACCAGCAACAAAGAATAGACAATTCAATAGAGATTTTTGCAAGTTCATCCGGTGTGCTTACTGCTGTAGTGGTGTGATCAGATCAATGGCCACTAATGAATGAGAGGCCTGATACGCTTTTCCCAATTGTTGTGTCTCTGTGCAGGGACTGCGGGTGCGGCAAGACACTCGAGGTAGAAATGAGACTGAGAACTGGCTTTGAAATTACCTGTTGTGGCTCGTGAGATCAGCTAGTCTCGCGTTGGCCTACAGCAATGTCCTACTAGACAGATTGGGTTCACGGATGGATTGAGATGCAGTGTCGCGTAAGCCGGACGAGCAGTCCCACCCAGCTCGACTTGAGTTTTGATCGTCAAATATGTTTCACTGGGATGTGGAATATGAGTCTCATCCCCAAAACCTCAAGGAGGTGCGCAACCGAACAAATATAAGAACCTTAGGAGTTGGAGAAAGCTGACAGGCACAGAATAGTCACTCTGGAAGATTATATAGCCTGCGCTATTCTTCCCATGATTGTCAAGTTGGGCGTACTCTAGGTCTTTATATTGCAAATGCTTTGGTCGGAAAAGGTGAAACAGATTCTATTCTCAAGGACTAGAACGAACGGTGCTAGATGTTGAAGAAGCACGTGTCCACCATGTCCTCTTTGGGCCAAGTCGAGCCTCCACCACTTCCCCAGTTCATCAACTTGCCATTCACCAGCTCAAGCTTTCAAGACCGAGGCTGTCTGTCATGGAAGCTGGTTACTGAGAATGGAGTCAATTCCTCCTCCACCTCCCGAACAATTAGCCCTAGCACTCGCTATTATCAAATCGAAGCCAGCGAATTTGGACGTCAGAGGTGCATCTCTCCATCATCAGCTAGCTTGAAGCCATCTAACCAATATCTTGATAGAGCACATCTTACAAGTCCGGCAATTCATCAAAACAAGGAGAGAACCAGAAGCATTTCGTTCTCCCGAGCAATTCTTCGACAGCGTTGCATTCTGGAAGCAAGCGCATGACAAGTCAGAGGCGGAACAAAACAAACTGCGAGATCGTGTGTATGAGCTTGAACAATGCAATGATATGCTGTTAGCTAGAGTACGGGCTCAAGGAAATGGGTCGGTTGAGGCTGCATTGCACGGGTTGACCAAGGATCGTGATGCTGGGAATCCAGCATTGCGGGCTAGAACGCAGCTATACCCTATTTTGAGCTTGCCTGCTGCAGGTACCCAAGTATCGAAAACTCTTGAGGATTGTGCGTGATTTCTACTACCGATCCAGTTGCACTCTACTTCACACTAATATCTTTTCCGGTCAGCCACTGTCCCATTTATGCGACAGTTCTATATCCTCCAGAAAGCTCTACAGAGACGGTCAACTAGCATCAATATCCTACGCCCGGCTGTTGACTTATGCAAAAGGTCTGCAGATGAGATCGAGGGCGCTGTTTCTCTGGAGTCGTTGAGCCCAAGCGAAGCCGGGTCCAAAAACGCAAACCTAACCCCTAACGGTTTGTCTCGCTTTAAAGCAGTTATACAGGCAGTCGAATCTGCTGCGGCTCTTCTATTCCAGGCACTGAAGAAGCTCTCAGCTTCTGAGCCTGCCAGGCGAGAGACAAATATTCTCATGTATAGCATTGTCGACTTATACGAGGCCATCATGGGTACCCTGGAACGACACTGCAAGATGTGGGCATCTACTAGGCCATCACCGCATTTCTCAAGACTTTCAACTGAAGGTCCCATGACAAGGTCAAAAACCAACGCGGGATGGCCAGCCCAGCTCGAGACCGAGAAAGAAGGAGCCATGCAGCTTGTTTCATTGCTTAGCCGTATGATAACAGCTCTCGACCCATCCCAAACTGAGCAGCAGAGCCTGATCGAAGGATTCCTGTGTATCCTGCTCAGCCGCGTTGGAAAGCTTCTGTGCATCTTCCATTTCCGAGATCTACAACTGCAGCCTGAGCTGCGAGCGGACTCTAGCATACTGCCCCTTCCTGCCGGACTGGTCGACGCCGAGCTCGACAACCAGTCCCTGGACGCCATGTGCACAGAAGCCAAGCATTTGGTTTGGCTTCTAGAAGGAGCGTTGGCCGTCTTCAATGCCTGTTCTCCTGCATCGAACCCGGAAGCCGAGGGCCAATCGTCTCGCACACGGTTCATATCTAGCATCAATGCAAGAATAGAGAGCACGCTTGTGCAAGCCGTCTTCGGTGCGGATTCTGACTCTTACGGGCCGCGTTTGCAGAGTCCTACCCTGCCCGAGAGTCTCAATGTAGACAGGCTCTTGAAGTCTCACGGGAGCGCTCAATTGTCGGTACCTGACTGGTATATGGGAGAGGTATGGCGACTTATGGGCTGGAACATGTTGACGAGCAAGCTCCCATGATGGCCAATGTTTCTTCTGTCTCAATGCGATATGTCACTCTGTGTTTCAACGATGCTATATCTATATACACGCAGCCGTGTCCGAGAGTTTTTGTTTTCCTAATTTGATTGTTTATGCATGCAAAGCTGGAGTATACTATACCCAGGCGCTGATCACTTCAGATTCAAAATTTGCGCAGCATTTCCGCCTAGAACATCTTTCACTGTATCAGATTTCCCCTCAAAAGTAGCATGGATCGCTTTATAGTTCGTCGTCACACTAGGCCAGTCGCTTTCCTTGTCATCCAACGGCGGGAAGAATGGATGGTCGGTTCCTATACGTTAACTTGTTAGCAATCTAGTTTAGGCTATGTAGCCAAGCAAAGTACATACCAAACATAAGACGATCCGACCCCGACGCCGCAATCGCCGCCTCCAGCCCTGGCTTCCCATAAACCACCGCATCAAGATAGATATTCGTCTTTAGCACGTCCCAAATGCTCCGCTGCGGCCCCTGCACATCACCACCTCCAGATATGAACTTTCGCTCATGCAGAATACAGCTCTCGATTCGGCCAGCGAGGAAGGGCAACGTGCCACCTGAATGCGCAAGAAGGATCTTCAACTTCGGGAACCGATCAAACACACCCGAGAGCAACATCCGCGTCACAGCAATCGTGGTCTCGAGCGGGAACCCTAATGCCAACGGCAGGACATGCCCATAGCGACCCGTCGCCTCAGTGCCTCCAAAAGCCTCGTCTGGCAGCCCATAATGCGGATGCAAGAACATCAAAGTATCCGACTCTTGAAGCGCCTCCCAGACGGGGTCCAGGGCCCTATCATCCAGCCCTTTACCCAACCCGGTCGTCCCCATAATAACCCCTCGTAAATGCGGGAGCGTCTTCAACCTTTTGATCTCACCCACAACAACCGATGCCTCCGGCGCACTAAGCGGCAACGCGCCCATCGCAAACAAGCTCTCCTTGTCCTCAAGTTTCAGGAGCCCCTCCGGATCCGCTTCCTTGTTAACTTTCGCACACGTCGCTTCGAGATCATCATTGATTCGCTCCGCCCACATCTGCGCCTCAGCGGGCTCAATGAAGTCCAGCCAGGGATTGGCGAGCGAGATCACGCTGACGTTTATCCCGTGCTGCCGCATGAAAGATAATTTCACGGATATATCCCAGTAGGAGGAGTCGACTGGGCGGCCGCGGTGCGAGAGAGGTATAGAGGGGTCATCATCTGAGGAGAGGATTATGAGGCGAGGGTCTGCGTTGGGGTTGTCGGATGGGTCGTGGACGTAGGGGACGGTTTTGCGGCCACGCAGCATGCGCATGTAGGCGGGCGGGTAGACGTGGGTGTGCACGTCGACGATGAGTGGCATTTTGATTGTTTGATTGAATAAGAGGAAGTAGATAGGAGGGGAATGAAGGTGGACGGGGATTGAAGGTCCTGGAGAGAGGGAAACCAGGGTAGACGCAGTGCTGCGGGGTTTATTGTGCAGGGCAGCCCAAGGTGACAACGTCTCTTTACTTATGTAGCCATCGTGACTCTGGGCAGGCCTATTTGCGATCTCCCTCTCTCGGCATTTGGAGCACAAGTGGTTATCTGTGATAACGTATCTACCGTATCTACCTTGCCCCTCTTTCGTCTCGACCTTATCTTTCCTTTATCTTCCCCGCAATATATTACTACGCATTGCCTGATTTCCTTTCGGGGCATTGAGATGATTGTGACTCCGGACCCTGGCCCTGCAGGTTATGATATAACCGCCGTCGATTGACTCCTGCCCCTCCTTGCAGTGTCTTGTCTCCCTTGCTGCCATCCTGCTTCCAGTGACTCCGTCACTCTCCCATTTTCCCATCTCTCCGGTTTGAGCCACTCAGGCTCTTATCGTCCGATCTCAGTGAGTGGTTTAGTTATTATCGCAACGGCATCTGCCATGGAAGGGAATATGCCCTCCCAGGCTTGCAAGCCTGTGACCGAGACTGTTTCGAAAGACGGCCTTGTCATCCCGGTAAGTTCATCTTCTTTTCTGCTATTTGTCGTTGTCGGGACGAAAGGAAATTGAGTTGAACCTAGATCATCGACTTCGCGCCCTTTCTCAACGGTACCCCCGCCGATAAGCACGCCGTCGCCATTTCCATCGTCGGCGCATTCAAAACATCGGGTTTCCTCTACCTAAAAGACCATGGCATTCCGCCCTCCATCGTCGCCCGAGTCTTCAAGTCCTCCGCGGCCTTCTTCGCCCGCCCGCAAGACCAAAAGGATACCCTGGGCTGGACAACCCCGCAGGCGAACCGTGGTTACGTCAGAACGGGACGGGAGAAGCTTAGCACGGTTGACGATCTCTCGGACCCTGAGGCCCGCCGCGCGATACCCGATATCAAAGAGAGTATGGAGATTGGTCGGGAAGGTGTCGAGGGGCTTCCGAACCACTGGCCCGATAGTATTGATGACGAGGGTAAGGAGTTCAAGGACGAGATGCAGTCATTTTTTGCCAGATGCAAGGACTTGCATATTAAGGTGATGCAGGCTATTGCGCTGGGAATGAATCTGCCCGTGCATTTCTTTGACGAGTATGTGGACCAGGGAGATAATACTCTGCGTCTGCTACATTATCCGGCTGTGCATAAAGACATCTTCAAGACGAACCCTGGACAAGTTCGGGCAGCTGAGCACAGCGACTATGGCTCAATTACTTTGCTTTTCCAAGATCGGAGGGGCGGGCTCCAGGCGCGCAGCCCGGAGGGTACGTTTGTCGACGTGACGCCTTTTCCTGATACCGTCGTCATCAACGCTGGTGATCTCCTAGCTCGGTGGTCGAATGATACTATCAAGAGTACACGGCACCGGGTGGTAGAGCCCCCAAAGGCGTATGGCGAAGAGGACGAGTCGGAAGTGTATCCGGACCGGTACAGCATTGCATATTTCTGCAACCCTAACCATGACAAGTTCATTGAAGCCATTCCGGGCACTTACGGGGAGGATATCAGCAATGCCAAGTATCCAGGGATTACAGCTGGAGAGTACCTGGTGCAGCGACTCGCCGCTACGTACTAGTCGCCGGCGTTCTATCCTATACATTTGTGCGCTTATATTTATATTTATATCTGTCTTGATTTCTTAGCGTCTCAGCGTTAATGTTTGAGATTTCGTCTATCTACCATTCTATGTCTTGCCCTTGCTCTAGCCCTAGCTAATAAGATGACTGGAGGACACTCAAGCGCCCACCGTCAGTAACCAGGATATTCCCGTTGATGTATCCTCCACTGGGCCCCGCCAACCAAAGCACCAGCCCCGCAATATCCTCCTCTCCCCCGGCCCTGGTCATCGGGATCAAGCTCGTCGGGAACGACCCATCTGAAACACCCTTATCTCCCTCGACGAAATTCGACCCAGCCGACATCTCCGAGTAGTACAGACCAGGCGCAATGCCGTTAACTCGAATGTTATAGTCCGTTAGGTTCGTCGATAAAACCTTTACCAGGTGATTGACACTCGCTTTGCTGAGGTTATACGCAAAGTCAAACGGCACTCTGCGCGAATATCCCGCAATACTCGACGTAATAACTATCTGCGCCAGTGGCGGCGAGAGAACATTCTTCTGCGGCGGCGCACGACGCTTATTCGCCGCGTCCAACAGAGGTAGGAATGCAATGGCCGTATAGTATGCTCCGCTTGTATTAACCTCAAAGACGCGCGTGAAGTCCTCCATGGGTATCGACCACAGATAATCCTTCAGCTCATTAATCGACGGCTTCGAGCCATCAGGCTTATCAATGATCTTCGCGGCAGGGCCGAGGATCCCCGAGTTCACAAGGAGGAGGTCAACGTGGTCTGTCTGGGACGAAATGGCGGCGTAGGCGGCTTCAAGGGAGGATTGCGAGGTCACGTCAGTAACGACGGGAACGATGGTGTTTGCTTCGGCGCCGGTGTCTTTTGTGGAGGGGTTGAGGTTGTGGAATTGCGAGATTGTTTCGTGCAGGGCGTCGGCGCGGCGGCCGAGGATGAAGACTTTTGACGCGCCGTTTGTCGCGAGGGTTAGGGCCATTGTGCGGCCGAGGCCTGGTTCTTGTTAGAAGGTGCTTGGTGGGAGGTATAGGAAGGAGGGAAAAGTACCGCTGCCGCCGCCTGTTATGACGGCGACGAGGCCCTTGATGTTATATAAATTTGCAGCTTGAAGGTGAGACATTGCGAATTGATAAGTGCAATCTTAGCTTGCCCCGATGAGATGGAAGAGAATGGGTAAATTGTAAGATGATTGGGGCACGTTACTCGGAGTTTATATACTCATCTCGGCGGGGTAATGGCATCATGGCCTACCGTAGATTACCAAGCCGATATCCGAGCTTCGGGGTTGCGCCGATTGTTGCCATGGGACGACAAGCATGGCGAACTTCAGAAGCCGAGGAGTATAGTATCTGCCTCTGATTATCCTGCACCAAGTTCCACTGTCAATTATATTGGATTGAATGGTGTTCTTATGGGTATGATGCCAGTCGCTTTATTTAGATTATGCAAGGATGCTCATCAACCTCCAATTCATCTATAGCAGGCATATTTCAAGGTACTGGAATAGAGTAAACAAACATTTTAGCTCGATCAGTAGAAAACGAGTGAAGAAGATTCAGATTTGCAGGGCGCCTGAACGACACGCGACATTACTGCCTGTAGTATAGCCTGGCTTAACCCCGCTTATGTCCGGGGGCTGCTGAAATTCAATCTGGCCCTTTCTCAAATCTGCCCACGCTCAACCTCATCGGCTTTTCACGACCAGCATCAACAAAGCATTCTTCAACGCTTCCGCAACATACAGTACAGCTCACAATGGAAGCTCCTCGAAACCGAAAACAACGACGGGCAGCTGCCTCATCGAAAGCCGAATCCGATACCTTCGATCCCTCCTCCATCCCCCTTGCCCGACCCCCATCGAACGACCACTCGAACGCAAAAACCCTGGTGGATATAATCGCGGAAAGGCAGGCTGAGCTAGGAAACCCGATCGGAAATACAGGCCCGATAAAAAGTCTCAAGACACAATACGTGACCATCGACCCGGCCACGGGCAAGATCTCTTCGCTGGATGGGTCGGACATCACGGGCCTCGAAGATCATGTCACCGCTGATGGGATTCAGGGTCCTCGAGTCATTGAAGTGGATGAAGAAAAGAAGGAGGAGGGTGGTGATGATGAACCGCCCATCCCGCCTGTCATTGACACTCTGCTGCTCTCTATACCCCTGACTGTCCTCCATCTGACACTGGGTTATCTGGCAGCTCATCAATACGCACAGAGTATTCAACTCAACGCCCTCTTCCGCAACTCCGGTTTCGTCGCCTTTCCAATGCTCACTCTGCTCATTCACCTTGCCCATGGACACATCATATCGTTCAGCCGGGGCGCGAAGGCGGAGACGCTCTCGCTCTTCCCGTGGCATGCAGAAAAGCTGTCATTCTCGTTTTTGCGCAAACTACTTTTCCCGCCGACGCTGAAGACAATGGTCTTCCTGCCTGGTGCAGTCTTGTTAGGAAGCAAGCTCATGGCTATGACGAATGAGGACACGTACTATGCTGTTATGAAGCAGGCTCCTGCTGTTGGTACACTCTGGGTATGGTGCATCCTCGAGGTGCCAGTAGGAGCCGCTGTCCTCGGCGCTCTGGGACCACTGGCGTGGGGTGTGTTTTGGAAGGGATATGGTATTCTTTAGGCTGAATCGCAACAGACTCGGCGGGCATTGAGTGACGTGAAAACGCAACGGGACCGAACTGTCCTTCCAGCCCGAGAGAACCTTGCTTACAGTATTTGTCACCTTTGCCGGCATCAGAAGATGCTCTTTGTCCTCAACTCTACTCATGGAAGGGGAGCAGCCAGTCTGTCAACAGGGAAGGACGCGCCTCCTCTACGCAGCTCGAGCAAGGTATCACAACATCACACAAGGAATTCGCAGGCTCTCTAGCCGTTGCACACGACGGACTTGTCCGAGCCCGAGGCGAACGACATACCAGAACCGTCTCTAGAGCTAGTGTCACAACATCACACCAGGCATTCGGATGCCCAAGCCGTGACATCTACGAGCAATTCAGTCGGGTCTAGATTAGCCCCGTTTACCTCTCTTTCTCAACAAGAACATCCTAGCGGGTGATGAGATGCGCCAACATACATGAACCAGGAATGCCCGTGAACTACCTAGTCTCAAATGTTCCGTCCTGCGTTTAGGCTCTGAACTTGTGTCATTAACAGGCTTCCTATCTCCAGATCATTTGGAAGACCTCTTAGCTGAACGACTCCGGAAATGGCATGATCCCCGAGAGGCGCCGCTATGCTGCAGTGCTGAACCAACCCTCTGGGTCTCCACAGTTCGTTGCCCGCAGTTAGAGTTTGCGCGCTCTAATCACCTAAGATCAATTGGAAGGTTGTTGCGAGGCTAATGCCCGTATCGTGTAGGTTCCCGACCAGGGATCCATCTCTTGGAGTACTCTGCGTGGCGCCGGAAAACCACTTCTGGCAATCTCTCCACAGGCCCGAGTCAACGGAACTACGATCGTCATGCGCCACCTGGCTCTCATCAAGAGTTAGAATTATCGATCTTGGAGTCTAGTGAACACCTCAATCGTCACACGACGTCCGCCTGCCTATGCGCGGTGTATGTTGCGGCCCGCTACCTTCGGGTGAGCGGGTAAACGCGTGATAATAACGCCCTGCTGTACAGCCATTTGACTTGATTCCAAGCTTTAACTTTTGGATCTGCAAATCCTTTGTTGTTGAACCATGGAAGATAGCGTCCCCACGGTTGCTGGATCTCGTTATCAAAGATCATCCATCCGCGTCGCACCGGCTATCCGTTGATCAATCTTGAGCCAGATCTTGCTCATCACTGGGTCTTGACAGCTGTCGGATGCGGCAATTCCTCGATGAGGAAGTAGGAGACGATCAGCGGTACTCTTTTGAGCAATTCATGAAGCACATCACTTCGTTCCCTCAGCAATAGCATGTGCTCTGCCATGACTCCATCCTTAGATAAACTTTAGTTAAGCGCAGTGGAGCAGATCCAACACTGGAAGGAGACGCTCCTCAACAAATCGCGCTCTCCAAGCGCAATTGACCGGAATTCGATCCCTCTAGTATTTCGCACTAATAGTTGGGTCAGTTTAGTCCGGGATCTGGACGCCAGCCGGACTAGATTCCACGAACTCGCCCGCTCAACTCCGCTCGCTTTCAGCTCAGGAAGACTAAGAGACAGGATTCAATATTTTTCTGAGCCCCCAAAGGAAACGAGATTGAGGATCGGATCGGATCGGCTGATCTACATGGCGTACTTTTGCACAGACCTCATCCTTGTCTTTGCTCTCGCACACCGTCCGCGATGCACTCCCGTCTCCGGTGCTAGTTTGTGGAGTTCCTTCCTTCGAACCTCCAATTCCAAGCTTCAGCTCCTCAACCTCCTCGGCTCAACTCCAAGTTCCTCAAATATCGATACTACGTATAGGCTACCTACAGACGAGGCTAGAATAGACGACTCCAATTCTCCCGGAAAGCTTTTGTTTCTGCCGGATATATAGGCCAAGACGGCGAAATAAAGCGGAGAGAAGAAAAAAAGCAAATATGATAGCCCAGAAGTCTGGGCCAGACGTATCCGTATTGGGATTTTTTCTTTTCGTCCTCGTCGACCTGGCTTTCGACTACTGACTCTTGACTCGGTTGTCGCAAGTAGCAAACAATGCCCAAGGCACACACGCAGAGGTCAACGTCAGTATGCATGCACCATTGCCTCATTACCGCCAACCTGCCCATCCATCCAACCCGATACATTCCACCCACAACCAACCGTACATCGTCCAACCCCGAAGCACGCATTAGGCAGTACATAAGAAAGTACCCTACAGCAGCCCACATGCGAACACCAACTCCACCTCGCGACCCCATTGGCCGGCCCCGTAACCGTAACCGTACATATATGCAATGCAAGGGAAATCAGTCACAAACAACACGCAAGGAAACCGAAAATCTTATTTTTCTTCACACGGTCAGCCACGAATTCTCGGCGGGGCATGATAATTCAATGTGTGTTGGTTGTTATATGGTGCTTACTGCGGGTTTTCTGTACCACTTAGTTGGCTATGAGTATTTGTCTTACTGCCTTGGCTGCCTAAACTACCGAGGCAGTGAGGCATTCGGTTGGTGGTTAAAGGGTTTGCGCTTACGTACTAGAGCTGCTTATATGCAGTGTATACTTTATAGTTGCCTTGATATTCTGGGTAGTGTCTATGTACTAGTAGTTCTGGGCGGGCTCATGCATGAGAAGTGCAGGACTAGTAGATAGACTATGACGATGGAGTAGTACTCGACAAAAGGTTCCCGGGTCTTCGAGTTTCAAGATCGAGTCATAAGGTGAATCACATATGCGTATATTGGTATCAAGGAACGCGCGCCCAGCCTTCAAGCCAGCCATATGGAATTAGAGCAATCAAAAAGCAAATGCACAATCATGATTGCGAGCGAAAGCTCGACAGACAAAACAGGTCAAGACAAGACAAGGTCGTAACAGCATCATGAGGATAGACGAGATTGCAGTATAGATGCTCACAAACCCAACCGACTTCCAAGTTCCGAATTCCTAGGGTCCGGTTCCAAACCAAACCAGCAACGCCTGAGAAAAAAAAAGCAAAAAATAACATCCCCAAGCAGCACCAAAGCAAACAAAGAAGCTGCGCCGATCGCAACGGAGAGTTTGACCGATCAATCGAAAGACTTCATACTGCCAACTTGGCGGAGGTACAGTGTGTGGCGCAACGCAGCGCAAAGCAAATCCATCCGGTGGACTTTATCGCGAACAAGGGAAGAAATGGCGAACTAGGTTCGGCCCAACCTAGATTTAGACGGTGATCCGGCCCCCATGCATGATCCCCACAGATTGTAGGCTGGCTCCGCGGAATCGCGCAAGGAGTGAAGAGACGATCTCGCGATAGGTGTTCATCTGCGTGAGCTTAAAGCGCTGGATCTTCCCGCTGGCCGTGCGCGGGATTTCCTCGACGAAGACGATCCCGCCATCGAGAGCTTTGTAAGACGCCAGTTGGCGGCGGCAAAAGAGGTAGACTTCTTCCGAGGTCAGGCGCGTGCCGGAGAGAGTCTTGGAGCGGACGACGAAGGCGCGTGGCACTTCTGTGCTGCCATCTTTCGAGGTAACTCCTGTTACGGCGGCGTCTTCAATGCCGGGGTGCTTGAGGAGAACGGATTCGAGTTCTGCGGGTGCGACTTGCCAGCTGCTTATCCGTTAGTAGACTCTTTTGAGCATACGAAGGTGGGGAAGGCATACCCTCGAACTTTGATGAGCTCTTTCGTGCGGCCGACGATAAAGTAAAGCCCGTTGTTGACATATGCGACGTCGCCTGTGCGGAACCACCCCTGACCGTCTTTGGCGTCTTCACGTCCTCGGTAGCACGTAAGCAGACCAGGACCTCGGACATAGAGCTCGCCTGGTTTGTTGTCGCCGGTTACTAGGTTACCATCGGCTCCAACTAGCCGCACTTCATATCCCGGTAAGAGGCTCCCGATGCTGCCGGCATTTCCCAGCTCACCATAACGGTTTTGGAACACAACCCCAACTTCGGTCATACCCCAGAGCTGCGAGGCATAAGCGTCCAAATGAAGAAGCTCTCGGAACTGTTGCATAGAAGCACCGTCGATTGGCGCGCCAGCGACACCAACGTAACGTAATGACGAAAGATAGTCGGAGACTGGTAGGGTGGACCTATTGAACGCATGGATCATCGCGGGGACCATGTAGGTCTCGGAAATTTGGTATTGGAACACGGCAGCAACAAACTGAGTGATCTCAAATCGAGGTAGCACAAAAAGAGGTTGACCATAGCGCACAGGAAAGATATGGGTCCATAAAGCTCCGAAGAGATGAAACATGGGCAGGGAGATGAGTCGAGTAACGGCGTAGGGCACATCGTACTGGATGGTGAGATGCTGTGAGACAATGGCATGGTGCGACAAAACTGCCGCCTTGGGCAGCCCCCCAGTCCCGCTGGTGGAGAACATCGCCGCGGGCGTCGATTTCGCGATCATCTCATCGTTGAATGTAATCCAGTCATTCTCACCGTATCCCAGCAAATTCGTGAAGTTTAGGTAGCTTTCGTCCCCACAGTCGGAAAGGTTGGGTGCTGGCCCAGCACTAAGCAGCTGTGCAATGTAATCCGGTGCTGATTCGTCCAGTAGGCAGACTTGGCTGGAGAGCATGCCTTTGCTTGTGGAGACATTGAGGACGGTCGGTAGGGCTTCGCGATTCGTGATGATCAGCTTGGGCTCCGCTAAGGTGAGCAGGTGTTCCAATTCCTGAGGTTGACTGCGGGCATTCGATCCCATGAAGACACCGCCAGCTCCGATAACACTGAAGAACAGTGCGGGGTATATGATCTACATTGGAAGATAGCATTAGTAACCCTGAAGAGGAAAAAGAGCCGGAAGTGCGCCGAAAAGGAAGGAAATAACTCCACTGCGAAGGAAAAAACTCGAGGAAAAAAAAGAGAAACGAATATGGTTAAACCTTGGAAACTGTTGGGCCGGAGTTGAAAGTCTTGTTCGGACAAACAGCCTCTCCATCGTGGCTGGGGATTTGCAACGATTTGTCCGAAGAGGGCAGGACGTAGTAGAACATTGTACTCACATTGTTTCCCAGGTGGACCAGCACACAATCGCCTCTCTGCACATGGTGCGCTTTCAATCCTGCAATAAGGGTACGCACAAGGGTTCTGAACTGCCGCGCGCTGAAGGATCGAGAGGGATTTTCCGCGTCAATGAACAATGGCCTGTTCTCGTCGTACGGGACAGGACCGCGGAAGCAAAAGGTCAACAAGTCGGTGTATACCTCATTGCCGGATTGGGGTCGTGCTAAGGACGACTCCCCAATACCCATTGTCATGAGTTTGGCTGGGAGATTTAGTCAGGATTAGGTGTGTCGGTCAAAGCAGAGGCTCAAAGGCAAAAAAGCACTTCGAAGTAGGGTTAGTATGTCGTAGGATGTAACTTGAAGTAAAACTCGAGGTGAGATGGGAGCAGAGGGGGACGAAGGGACCCCCCGGAGTGATAAATAATCTCGCATGCTGCAGTTTAGAAATCATTTTTGTCATGCTCTAGATGTGAAACGACAGGGACGATAGGCCCCTTTGCTGTGAGCAATTCCAGTTTGGACGTTTGATTTGATTTGGAATTTGGAATACTTCCGTAATCTGCTTGGGGCCTTTGCTTGGGCTCGTGGCGCACGCCGCACACAATTCGCTGAGTCGCTGCTGCCTCAGTTCGCTCACGCCAAGTCGCAGTCGCCGCTAAGACTGGGCTGCTGATCCTGTCCTGGTCCACCAGGAAGAGGCTTGCGTCTAACACGCCGAATGACAGTCCGTCACCGCTCCGGTTCCTATCCCAGCAGTGGGGTCCCCTAGCTGGAGCTAAATTGCTGGAAGGAAACGAGCGACCATAGCAACCATGCTCCAACCCCGGCCACCCCGGCCTCTTGTTGCCGGCGCTCGATTCTCGAACTCACCGGATCCCAGTGCTCTGGGCGGAAGACTATTCTACCGAGGCTTCGGTTTCTGCTCATTGGCTCGCCTTTGCTGCCCTCAAGGCTCAGATCGGTTTCTTCCCCTCCCGCTCCCTCCACTTTCCTTCCGCGACGTAGCTGAACCCACGACCACGAGCATCTCAGACCAGATCGGGCCCGGTGACAGAAAACGTAGCGACGATTAAAATCTTCAGCCTGTCACTGTCAATTCTATCAGAACTTCAAAAGCCTTCTGACAGCCGAGGGAAACCTTGGTGCGCCTGCATGCGCCATTTCCCAACGCACATGCACTCGCCCACACTACTACCGGCGCCCGCTGCTCGGCGGGAAGCACACTGCCAGGGCCCAGAGCGCTGAGCTGTTTAGCCCGAAAATTCCCAGGAATTGCTATGCAGGCGGCGCACATCGGTGCAGCTCGTTGTTAATCGGCCTGACGCAAATACCCCGCTCGACCAAAAAATGACCAGGAAGCAGGGCCGAACAATGCCATTGATCTGCGTTGATCCAAACACTTCGATGCCAACCATCTGGCTGACATCCACCCTGCTAACCCTAGTTTATCGAGGTTGGTAGTCCAGACTCCAGACGGACGAGTCTCCCCAGTGCTCCCCCGCCAATGACCAGCATTCGCTGAGGTAAAAAGCAAGAACGTGGTGGACACCGGACGAACCGCCTGCATATCGAATAGCGTATGTTGCGTTGCATCTCTAAACTCCCATGATTGTCGGGTTCCCCAACCATTTCAACCTTGCTCGAGTTCCGAAGGTCCAATTGCTGCTAGATTTTCGGCTTTTTTTTTTTTTTTTTTTTTTTTTCTTTTTTTTCTTGGTGCTTGGCCCGTAAATCGGTGGGGCACGAGAACGAACACCCTTTGACGATTCGGCGGCGAGCAGGCTTTGGAGTTTCTTCGTGCTGTTGCTTTTTGCGCTGTCGATCTTGAAGTCTTCCGGCTGGCTGGGTTCGCATGCATCGCGCGTCAACCGGATGGATCATGGAAAAGCTGTCTCGAATGCCCACGTCGTCACGGGCTGGGAATCAGGCCATGGAGCGGGTCGGAATCCTTCCCCTCCCCAAACTCGTCGAGATTCCCGTCAATTGGCTCTACAGCATACCGTATCTGGAGAAAGAGGAGTGAGGCAGAGCCGTACTATATTGTGTTGCGACCTCATTGGTAAGCGTCATGTATGACCTAGATTAGCGGGCAAGGGTCAAGCGGGATAATGCCATACTGGCAAACCCGCAAACGTCCGTCGACTGTGGCAGCAGGCAAACACTTCTTTTTTTTTCTCGTAGCGGCCAAAAAAAGGAGCAAAAATCGACATCCTTTTTTTCCCGTGTCTCTTCCTGGCTCCGGAGTGGGAAAAGGCGAGGCAAAGATAAGGGCGTGCCATGGTGGACCGTCTAAAGTGGGCCAGGCAAATGCTGAGAAAGAACGATGGGTCTGAGAGACGGCTCGGGTGTCCGACACAAGCCAACACTCTGGGATTCGATTCTGCGACTAAACCGAATGGCGTCATGCCAGGGCATTCAAAAGGCACATGCATCCGTCGGTGTGGAGGCGTCCCAGTGGTGGCTTGATTCTGGTCTTCAGTGTATGTAAGAGTGCATGCCGCTATAGCTTGTACCTGCCGACACTCACACACCTTACCAAATTCCTTTAAGCGTCCCTGCTCTACCTCACAATCCTGTCAAGAGCTTGCTCATAAACAAGATTGAAGCATCATGTCTCTTCCAGACGAGAAACATGAAGAGGTCATCGTGAGCAGGCCGCCAACTGCGGTCTGTCCACCGGAGCGTCCCAGCGATGCCAGCGCTGTGGACATTGAGAAGTGCATAATCAAGGACATTTCTGAGCTACAGCTCAAGATGACTGATGACAGTTCGTCCTTCGACCTCGAAGCGCAAGCCCACAGGAAGAGATGGCTTGCGCCAGTGCGGTACACGATCCTCAACATCTACCGCCGGCTTTTCACCTTGGTGTTTGTCGCCAACATTGGTGTCTTCATCTATGTGCTGGCTGCAGACCGAAAGCTCCTAGCACTGGTCAACGCCGCAGCAGCGAACCTGCTCGCATGCGGGCTGGCTCGACAGCCCTTGGTTGTGAACACGATCTTCGTCACGGTATGCTCAATACCACGAAGCGCTCCGCTGTGGCTCCGCCGGATTGCCTCCAAAGTGTACCACTATGGTGGTGTCCATAGTGGATGCGGAGTTGCTTCACTGGTTTGGTACCTGGGCTTCGTGGGCCAATTCTCGCGCGAATACTGGTTCCCTGCCGGGGGAGTTTCGCCTTTCTCTGTTGCGCCAGTTATCCTGATGTACCTTATTCTCGTTTTGTTGTTGGCCATTATCCTGGTCGCCCACCCAACATTCCGCATGAAGATGCACGACTACTTTGAGCTTACCCATCGGTTCTCCGGCTGGCTGGTGGTAGCTCTCTTCGTCATCCTCCTCATGGTCTTCGTCGACGAAGCCTCTGCTGCTGAAGGGACCCCAATGGGTCGCTTCCTCATCGAACTGCCTGCATTCTGGTTCCTGATGGTCGTCGTGGTAGCCATCGTGCATCCGTGGATCCTCCTCCGCAAAGTGAAAGTGACACCCGAGAAGCTCTCCCCGCACGCTGTGCGTCTCCACTTCACCCACGGAACAACCACCTTTGGCAAGGGTATTCAACTCGCCAAGCACCCACTGCAGGACTGGCACGGCTTTGCCACCTTCCCGAACCCCGACGGCAAGAGCTTCTCCTGCCTCATCTCCAAAGCCGGCGACTGGACCTCCGCCGCCATCAAGGACCAGCCAACATATATGTGGAAACGCGGCGTGCTCACTTACGGCTTCGCGTACGCGATGCGAGTGTACAAGCGCGTCGTAGTCGTCACAACCGGCTCTGGTATTGGGCCTTGTTTGTCATTCCTTGGAGACGAGAACCGCCCGAAACTCCGCGTCATCTGGCAAACGCGCGCCCCCAAGCGGACATACGGCAAAGAGGTCCTGAACTTAGTTGCGAAGATGGATCCAAACCCCATTATCATCGACACGAACTCGTCCGGCCGAATCGACATGGTCCCGTTTATTCGACAGGTCGCGAAGAACTTCGACGCGGAAGCGATCTGTGTTATCAGCAACCCAAACGTCACAAGGAGAGTGGTGTATGAGCTAGAGTCGACGGGCGTGCCGGCGTACGGTCCAATTTTTGACTCATGAGTGTGCTGTTGATTATGTTAATTGATGATTCCCCAATGTGTTGTCCTGTTGTCCTGCTTGGTTAGAAGAGATATGAGTGATCTAATAGTTGACGATTCCTAATGGATATGACACGGTATGATATGATCTGTATGTAGTGTTAGTCAAGTCCAAGCAAAAGTTCAAGTTCAAGCTGCATCGAAGCGAAAAAACTTTCCGCGGGGTGTTGTGCTATAAGAGAGATGAAATCACATCGAAGAAAACACGAGAGGGGCCGCAGCGAAAGCGAAAAGTAAAAGCGCCAGAAACAAGGCAAGAAAAGAACCGAGGCTGTCTTCGCACAATTATCCATTCTAGGTGGCATCCAGCGCCTTCCCGCATACACGGCTCGGAGTAAACTCAGCAAGCTGCAAGTCTTACACTGGCTGCACCGAGGTTGCGAGAGGACGTCATTGAACACCGAGTCCATTCCGACTCCGAAATTGAAGCAAGGCAGCACTGCACAGCAGTAGAACAGTGACAGGTACCTAAATAAATACTCGAGAGCCCGAGTTGCTCAACACTCCACAGGTCGGCCAGCGTCTCCAGCAGTACGACGATTAGTAGGTAGATACCGCGCACAACTAGTAGTAGATAAGTCAGAGGCACAGTAAGCTGCACCTGGACTCCGCTTGCATACTTAGGCGCCACAACGGCCATGCTATGGCCGTGCGCTTGGATTGATTCGATTGGCCTGGTCGCTTATACTGATTTTTTTTTCTGCAAGATTTTGCGGGTCATCGTGGGGAAGAATTTTGATGCCAAATGTTCGGCTTGATCATGGGAGTTTAATGATTTGGGTTACTATCGTCTGTCTTGCTTGAGTAACGAGATTTCACTTCTAGTTCCACCGTGGTAATCCATGTGTTACTGAAGTGGAGCTTATGGAGCGTTGACTTATACTGTACTGTACGAAGAGAAGAATGTATAAGATATAATATGTTCTTGATTGTTAGAGAACAATAAAGAGTATATCGTGAATCGCGGGCAAAAGCAAATCGCCCGTCAAATCGCCGAAGCCCCCAGTCTCGAGAGTGAGACGGAAGGGAAGATAGAACAGATGAGTCGGCGAGAGAGAAACATAAAATGAAAAGGTATGATTGATGGGTATCACGCAAAACAGTCTGTACCACCCAATGCAAATGTAGAAACGAATAGGATCGGAGAGGAGACAGGAGGATAAATGGAAAGTCCTCAAACACAGAAAAACGCCCAAAGCAGAAAGCCAGCCTAGATATAGAACTTTTTTTGTGGGTCGTGGTGTTGAAATTAGGGTATATCGGTTCGGTCCGTTGAAGAAGCGGAATATGGGATGATACCAAGTTTGAGCGGAACAAACGAAAAATCAAAGTAAGGTTGTAATGAACGAAGATGGCATTCTTTTGTTTTGTGTACCATGGTCATTGCGTTCGTGATAGTCGTAAGTCGTACCGTACCGGCCGAGGCCGTCGGAGATGATTAATTAGGTAGGGCAGTGGCACGTTTGGATATTTATGATGATCCTGAGTCTGCGGATGGAGCGCGGTTTTGGGTTGCAATTTCCGCTGGTTCAGTGATCAGATCATCAGTTGTTAGGCGAGCTCGTCCGCGGGCGGAGGAATGGGTGGATGAGTGGTCGAGTCGGAGAGAATCCATTCGCTCCAGCTCCTCGTACTCGGGTGTCGGGAGGGGAGACCCCTGATAGTCCTCCATGATGCTGCTTCCGTTGAGCAATGTGTAACCAGGAGGGCTGGCGGGAACGTCCTCATAAACCGGGGGCATCTCCTCGTCCCAGCTGATTCCCAGTCCGCTTCTCTCCGTGACGTGCAGGTTAAATTGCATGCGGAGAACACGTGCGGCTCCGGTGGGTGTGATGAGTTTGGTGTTGCGGTTGGGGCAGAACTCCTCTGCGACAATAAGTTCGATGACTAAATTGTGCTTCGACTCCAGTCCGTTGGAGGACTCAAGGTCGCACACTGGGTTGGCGGTAGGGTTGATGCTCGCTTCGAATTCCATGGTGATTTCGCCGCCAGCAGTATCAAAGTCGGTCTTCCAGCCGTCCTTCTCCTCGTTGTGTCCGATGATCCGGGTCTCCTGGTGCAAAACGCCCTTGCCCTCGCCACCGATCTTGTGTGCGTGTTTGGCGCACGCCGTGGAAACGATCTTCTGGTGCTCTTCGATCCGCCACATCATCTTGCGTAGCCGCCACCGGGTCTGAGTGTCCTCGCCCTTGTCCAACACTCCGCTCAAAGTCATCTGAACTGGGAAAGTGCCGATTGGGTGGACGACGGATGGAAGCACGATTCGGCCGGTCAAATTGGTCGGAGGGAAGATTCGGATGGAGGACTTGTCGTTGCTAGGAAGAATAGCGCGCTTGATGTGAAGCGGCATCTTGAAGTTGTAGTCCTCGCCGTTGACGTTGTGTGCGTGTGCCTGGAGGAAGTATTCAACCTGACCCAGAGATCCGTTGCATGATGCTGGCAGGTTACCCGGGAAGAGGTAGCTGAATGGGAAATCGTGGTCACCACCCTTGAGAGAACGTGGCTCAGTCAGGAAGTTCCAGTTTGTGAGCTCCTCGGTGCGGGAGGCGCAGTTGGGGCAGTCTCTCGAGACGGGCTTCTTTGTTGTCCTCTTGATCATCAAATGCATGTCGAACTTGTCCAGGGTGACCATGCCGGTCGTCTCGGGCACGCTGACTCTGAGGCGGCCAGAGAAAAGGGCACCGGTGGAATTTGCGGGGGTGCCATAGCAGACGAGCGGCGGGCTCTCGACAATGACGTCCAACTTAGCGGAGGCAGCTGCTGCGTCGACATGACCAGCACGCTCCTTTGAACGAGCCGAGCGTCCATGGTTGCGGCGCTTCTCTTTGTTGTGGTCCCGGTAGGTGTGAATAAAGTGGTCCATCGAAAACGAGAGGCGCCGCTCCGGGGACTGTGGTCTTTCATGAGAGTTCGCCGACGGCTTCTTAGAAGACACCTGGGTGTTTGATACCTCGTTGACAGACGAAGTTGAAGAGGAGTTGGAGTGAGGGAAGATCGAGTGGTGGTGGACAGAGGGGCGGACAAGGTTAGAAAGAAGTCGGCCCGGCATCTTGAGCGACGTGGGAGTTCGAGACTCTTCTGAACCGGCACCGGCTATGTGAAGTAATAACAGTAGTAGACAATTGACTGATGTCTTAGCAGTGAATTGGGCTATAGACGCTTCTTTGGTGGAGCAGTAGCTAGTGTCTGGTGTTGCTCAGGATTCGATGCAGTGTTGCTCAAGCTCTGGAGTGTAGCAGACAGACGCGCACATAATAATCCTTGGTGGCAGCTAGGTCTAGATTTGCGCGTTCCTAATGGCAGGCGCGGAGAGGGTGGAAAAGCAAAAATGTATAGCTCAGAAGTTGAGTGGTGAAGCGAGCTGAGGAAAGGAGGTTCGTCTGAACCAAAGAGTGGGCGACGGGGTTGCTTTTGAATAAGTTTCCAATCCGGCCAGGCTGAGCGCATTACGAGCACTGCTTGACTCCTCCTTCCTTCTTCTGAAATTTTCCCAGGCCATAGTTTTTCTAGGAGGTTCCCACATGTAACAGGTACGAATTTTTCTTGGTCTGGCCACCCCGAAGCGGACAATAAAAGTCAGTGGGGCAGCTGTAGGGAAGAGGGAAAAGTCGTCATTGTGGAGCTTACGTTGCCGTTACGCTGCCCTTTCCGTACGTGACAGTACGAATTTGGTCTTGGCATAGACTACTCTCCGAGGAGATTCTCGAGATTTCAACTTTCCCCGAGAGCTCGAGCTTGCGTAGACCACGCCTTCTATTCCTGAGCGCAGCTCACCTGCCATCCAGTGTTCGAGAATACGTGGTACTGCCCCAGGCGGTTAAACCATTGAAACTATCTTGATGTCATTGATGCCGACAACCCAATATATCGACCTGACCAGATGCACATTACAAGTGTGATTCATACTTAACGCTCATACGCGTCCTTTCTTTGATGAGCCGAAACCTTGGAGACGCTAGATCTGGCCTGAGGTGTCAAGCCCTCTTAGGCTCTCAGGCGCACCGCGTGTTCTCAGAAAGCGCATCTAGATACGCCCGAGCGTGCGCCATGACTCACAACGAACAGCACTGGGCTCCGCCGCTATTTCGGCGATGCAGGCCAGTCTCCAAGACTCCAACAAACAAGCGGCTTCGGTGATCTGCCTCAGGAGTCTCCTAATATTGCGTGATCCGGTCGGCATGAAGAGCCGCGAAGTCTCCAAAGAATGGCAAGAAAGTTTCGCATCTCGATGATGAACTCTTACTAAAGTCCCTTGGTTCGATTTCGAGTCCGTGCTGGGTGATCTTCGAATGGTGTCATATGCTTGCCATCCTTCCTGACGGCTCACAGGCAACTGATCTATGAGGCTAAGGAGAGGGCAAATCGCGCCGTCGACTTCTCGTCAGCTTCCATCGCGGTAGGTTACTCAGCGCGATTGGATAATTCTATAGTCACTCTTGACAAAACATCACCTGGGTCAGCTATTGCGGGAATGAGGCAATATCGCTTGTCAAGAACGCCTTTCTACCCTGACAAGGCGGGCTGGTTCTTTGTACTCACGGCCAGACAGATCTATAGACGCTGATCGCGTAATGAATATGTGGAGGTGCGCTGGCCTCTCCGCCTGACTCTTGCTGTCGCACCCATAATTCGCAGGTCAGCTGGCCGTCATTTCGCCATCACGTGGCGGGATCAGGTCCCTGAAGTGCTCTTCAACTTGACGCCTTCAGTCGGTCTGGCGTAATTTTAGCCTGTTCAGTCGGTGACCGGCACCGTTACACCCTCGTACCGTACAAAACCGCTAAGAATTTCCGCGCTAGTTGGAGATCCTCTGGAACTGGATGTCTGTGATCCATGAGGTGCCAGGAGGGGCATTGAAAAAAAAAAAAGAAAAGAATTTTCTGGCAGCACTCCAGATGCCATGCTTCTGCTCCAAACTGCTCTATCCAGAATTCTTCAAAAAAGACCCACACATCCAGAGCAAAATAAGAAGGTGAATGCGGGTTAAATCAGTCGATGGAAAAAAATTCCACAAGGTGTCTTGTCTAGTTTACTCCATAGCATGCCTCTTCCAAGGAATGGGACAACGGACGGAGTTCCGTCTCGTAATTTGCACCTTTCCAGGATGTGTTCCAGTCTCCTCCAAACTGCCTTGTTTGGTTAAGACGTGTCAAGAGACCCTGGGCTCAGTCATCGTGCTGGCGTCGCCCATCGCTCTTCTGCCATTCGAGCGCCAAATTTCCCCGCGCTGCAGGAATTTTAGCCCGTTGCGGGGGTATTGCATCATTTACCCTCGCTTGCACAGGGATTGCCGGGTCCGAGGCCATCTTCTGAAAAAGCAAAGAGAGGGGAAGAAGACATGGAGTTGAACATTCAAAACACCAATATGAAGGTATACATTGATACAGGGAACCAAGAAGATCTGATAAACCGAATTGTTCTAGACAGCAGCTGTCAACCAGTTTCAGTCCCTTTTTCTTGGAATTTTGGGGATTTCTGACGAATGAGGGGCTTGAGCCTCGTTCTCATTACTAACAGTTTGCTCTGCGATGCAACTCAATTGGAGGCGACAACAACAGAGCTCTGCGATGCGCGATGCACATGGGTCTGGGTACCTCGTAAGAACGTTATTTGTTCAGGCCACCAGGCCCTGCTGCCGTTCCGATCGGGAAGTTGTCGGAGAACTCAGCTCATCATGAAGATATCCGAGTCGCAACATCATGCCATCGCGGTATCGTCTCGGGTCGTCTACTCCGGTGGGGATGGCTAGGGAAGCCCGCGAAACCGTCAAGTACTTTTGTCTACTTAACTCCGCAATATGAGAATCCTACTGTATGCCATTATTTGGAGTGCTTATGGCGCGGGTTTGCGAACATCGACAACTATCTCCTGGAACATTCGGGTTGGTTCCTGAGGCACGCATTTCCTCCGGGCCGGTCATGAAGTTTGGGGCGGGTTTCGCCGTCCGCCTACAAAATTCTTCCCTCTTTAGCGATTTCCACGCTCCCCCGTCTCCAACGATGACTCGTCAGCGCTGCCGTGGATGGATCACCACACTCTTATTCTCTCGGAACTAAATCTCGACTCATCCACACCTCCCACAGTGGACCTGATTCTATGGAGAAGAGACCCGTTTTTCAGGGAACTGTTAGTAATAGTCATACAACGTTGACATTTCCCTTACATTTCCCGGCGATATGCGATGGGAGCCGCCGGGCATCTTCTTCTTGAGAAGTCAAGACCGAAGCAAGCTGCAATTGATGTCGCGTTTCATATGGAACGTGGACTCCGAGATATTGCGCCATAGCGGGCCGCGAGCATAAGCCGCTGAAGGCACAGCGCTTGCAGAAGACAAGCGCTCGATGGCGAGTTCGACTCTTATTGGCCTTTCCGCGGGAAACCCTGCCTAGTGCGGCGGTTTGCGACACACGATGACGATGCGCTCCGCTCTCCCAGAGGCGTTCCTGACAAGACAAGAATCCAGCGGCCACTCGCCATAGCCTATGGCCCGAGCTCGTGATGGACGACAGACACCGCACGTCTCAGTTGTGTTGCGGTCTGTCCGCCGGCTTACTCAGATAACATTTAGCCGGGCGCACTAGGCCAATCATCCGGTGTCCCATGACTTAAGGAGCTTTCTCGAAGCTGTGCTAGATGAGGAATTGGTCCAGATCGCCGCGAAAAGACCGCAATGCTACGTTGCGTTTAGCTCTTACTCTTAAGTCAATCAATTCGCTTCTCAACCGGAAATTGATGCGAGGTTGGAATTGTTGATGGGAACTCGGAAGGCGGTCCGGTCCCGGGTATCTTTGATTATGGAAGGGTGACTTTGTTCTAGAATACTTTTGAGGTACGTGTCTTCTTGTGAATTCATAAGGTGCTGTTTCTATAAATATTGCTATGAGGACATGTCTTGGTTGCGGCTATTTTTGGATTGTTCAGATTGGGTCTTGCCACCACAAAGATCTCTTTCCAGTATACTTTGGAGTCCTATGTATGTCCACAGTTTGCTTGAAGGTTGTATGCGTCATCTTGATGTGTCTTTGACAAGACCCATTAATTTTATATCGCCTTCCACCAATAATGCCAATCGCGAAGGGAGTATCGTCATGACGTGAAAATCATACATTGAGACCAGAAGTATAGCACCTCCAGGCTCCTGCTACAACATTTCGCTGCGGTATATGCATTCCTTCCAAGCAGCAGAGAATTTTTAAAGTGACTTTCTACATCGTTGTAGACCTATGTTTAAGCTTCAAGGTGGTCCTACCTCTTGGCGCCCGCGAGATTTGACTCTTGGCATCTTGGATTGAGGGGTTTGATCCGTGACATCAGTGTTTACTTTCCGAGAACAAACTATTATGCTTATTCTGTTAGTGACCATGAATACGAGGTATCTAGGACTGGGAAAGGTTTTGGAACCTACGTTGTGCTCTGAACAAAACTTTGATTGGGGATCTTATGACGAACAATCTTGATATATATCGTCTCCTCATTATTGCTCTCGCGTCTCATCTCAGGATGCCACCACACACAAGGCTTCTTATCATACCCTAGCATGACTCAGAGACACTGCATAATTCTCTCTACACTCATCAAAACGGGATTACAATTCGTGAAAGCCTCTGGATCCCCCGCATCTCGACCCATTGAGCACAAAGACACCGAGGCAGCACTGTGTTGTTAGCGTCAACGAACCGACTCATGGTAGCTTGGCTACCGTTCCGAGCACCTCAAAATCAGTCTGCTTCCATCTTAACAAGTACCCCATACCCTCCTTTTGCTGCATCACACCTCTTTGAACGTTACTGATAGACCATGTCGGCGAGAAAACAAACACACTCCTTCAAACGAAACAGACTCCTCATCGGAACCTTCCGCCGAAGAGCTAGCCGCACTTCGAGCATGGCTGCGCCCCACCGACTATCCTGGAGAATCGTCCGAATTCAAGAAACACCTCAACTCACACGTCCCTGGGACCGGCGAATGGCTTCAGCAAACTGAGCAGTATTAAACGATGGCACGACGAGGCCAAATATGACGCCCTCTGGGTGAAGGCGATCGCCGGCGCAGGAAAGAGCGTCGTGGCTGCCCGGTTGATTTCACATCTCCAAGATACCGAGGCAACACTCCAGTCCTTTTCTTCTTTTTTCGCCAGATTGTCGCTGCGAACCATGATGTTCAGTCCTTTGTGCGGGATTGGATGAGTCAGTTGGTCGGGTACTTGCCGCATTTGCGAACTCAGGTCCACACCTGGATCAAGCAGCACCGTGATGCGAGGACGTTCTCCTTTGATGAGTTGTGGCAGTGTGTTTTGGACTCGTTTGGCTTGCTTGACGGGGTCTACTGTGTTGTGGACGCGATTGATGAACTTAATTGCGAGCAGACTGATTTCCTTCTTCGTCGGCTTGTTGATCTGGGCCAAATGCGCCCTCAAGCTGTAAAGGTCGTCATGACGAGCAGGCCGTTACCTCAGATTCAAAAGGTGTTAAACACACCTTCAGTCCTTCAGTTGAGGCTTGAGGACCGACAGACTAACAGAGATATCTCCTTGTTTATTCAACACCGTTTACGTCAGGCTTCAGACATCAGCGATGTTACCAGGGAGACAATCAGGAAGTCGATAGAAGATCGTGTGCACCCCTCTTTTCTCTATGCAAGGCTGATGCTGAATGAGCTTTTGGACCAGCACAAGCAAGAGACCGTCGACAGAGCCTCCGTTGAGAATGCGCTTTTGCCTCTTCCTGCTAGCATGGAGACTATGTACTCGCAAATGCTACATGACCACTCGCAAGTAGCTGGTGTGCCGCAAGAGCGACAGCTATTGATCCTTCAGCTTGTGACCCATGCCTCTCGCCCATTGCGCCTACTAGAAATTGCCACGGTACTGGACTTTTTGAACAAGAATGAGGACAGGGCTCGACATGGCGATACCGAAAATATGACTCGGATGTCCTGCGGTCCCCTTTTGGAGATTCTGGAAGATGAGACGGTGTCTATCATACATCATTCCTTTGCCGAATTTTTGACTGATACTGAGCAGGTAGTTCGTGACGGCGTGTTTCCAGTAATTGATCCGCACGAAGCAAACGAGCTCATGACCATTATATGCGTCAGATATTTACTCTCTGGTCCTCTGTCTTCTTGGGGGTTTATTGATCCAGAATCGTTCGATGAGGAGGGTCCTCCGACAGACATATACCATAAGCTCGATATACAAGCCAAAGAAAGGCCCTTCAATTACAGTATCCTTTTCTGGCTTATGCTCTGCATGGGTGGTATTACCACGCCCGGAAACCGGCGGAGTTGAGCGAAGAAGTACTGACCACGTTGAAGTCGTTTATGAGGTCTGATAATCAGGCCTTCCTCGCCCGGATCGACGCGGTCAAACAGCCGCCTATTGCTCGCGAGTCACTATCTCCGTTTCACATTGCAGCCTGGGCTGGGATGACGAGCGCTTTGACTGCGATGCTGACCCCTGGGCAAGACCTGAACGGCTGGACTGGAGGGGGACAGAGTGCTCTCGTCATGGCCGCAACTGAAGGGCACGCTAATACTGTTGTCCGCCTGATGGAGTTTGGTGCATCCCCAGATGAGTCAGACGATAGGGGCCTCAATGCTCTACATCATGCCGCCAGGCGGGATCATCACGCCACAGTCCAGGTTCTGATAGATGCCGGAGTGAGCCCCATTACGCCTATGACAAAGAAACCTCCAAGTTTGAAGCACTTGAATGATGAATCACTAGCCGGTGGTACTTCTCTGGGCGAGGCATCTCGGAACGGGTGTGTTGAGTCTATTCGTGTGATGCTGCCGCATTTGACTGAGAATGACCGCAAGCGCTCTCTTCGTGCGGCAGTAAACTACGGCCGCAGAGCCCTTATCAGATATCATGTTGATGCTGCAGACCTTGATTTTAAGTCTGACTTTGGTAGAGATCTTATGTTGAGAGCAGCCTGCATGTTGAACTTGGAGACTATAGAACTGCTTATTAGCAAAGGCGCAGACCCCAACTTTTAATGAAAGCCTTCTAGTGATAAATCTGATTGAAATAATCCCTACACGGCAGATTGGTCAAACCCAGCTCCCTTCTTTTTGTGCTTTGCCTCGGAGCTAGATATCCGTCATGAAAATACCTGCCACCGGATACTGTTGATAAGGCTTTTGACTTGGCTTTTAAATCAGGCTGCGATATAAGTTCTAGGGATAAAAACCGCTGGACAGCACTACATTATTGCGTGTTGAACAGTATTTCCGTTGTTGAGAGCTTCTCAATCGTGGGGCAGGTGTGCATGCAAAAGACGGGAACGGAATTACGCCTTTACATCTTCACATATTTTTGACAGAAACAGAGCTAATATTGACTGCTACACTCAAGTATGGTACCACATGGGGGGCTGTTTGGTACTCAGACGGGCAGACGCCTCTTCACACCTGTTTGCCTTACTCGGATGAGATATATGAGATTGAAGCTGTTCTCCCTCTCCTGACACACTGGAATGTTCCCGACTCCAAAGAAAATACCGTGCTGCAACTCGGTGATTGAGGGCGGTAACTGGTCAAATGATCGTCTAAGGTTCTGTTGGAGTTTCTTAAGGAGAAATGGGTGGATATTAACAGCAGGAATCATGATGGCCAAATGCTACTATACCTTGTGAGCGATTCTAAAGCCCAAGACACTGAATGTATCTTTATTACAGCTGGGGCAGATATTGAAGCGAGAGACTATAAGGGCCGGACGTGGTGGCTACACGTGGTGATAGAGGGCACCGTGGACGAAACAGAGCTCTAAAGTGTACTGGATCTGGGCGCGAACCAGAACACAGTTGATGATGAAGGTAATAATGCTTTACACCTGGTATATGGCGACTACCCGCTTGAAGATGAAATGGTGGATTTTCTCTTAGATGTAGGAGTGGACCCCGCTCATGTTAATTGTTGTGGAGAGACCATATATCACCTCCTGATGAGAAATCTCTTTAGATAAACTTCCCTTGAAAGTAAATGAGCTCTTCAGCTTTTACTTGATAGAAAGACACCTATCACAGGGCAGGATCACCAGGGAAGAACGCTGCCGCATATTGCCTCCATGTATTGCTTTAAGATCTCAAGCTCCATTCCTTTACCCGAGGATTTTCTGAGTGTGTTTTCTGAACCGGAAATCAAGGCCATGATACATGTCGCAGACAACCAAGGCAAATATCCAGTCCATTTCGCCGCCATGTCGTCGGAGATCATGGTAGCTTGGTTGATGGAGAATGGAGCGGACATGCTGGGTCCAGACGCATAAAGGCAGGAGCCCACTGCACAAGGCTGCCCCTGCTAGGCAAATTGACGTGGTCGGCCTGTTACTAGAGGCATATCTTGAGACAGGCGCCTCCGCGGAAATCAACCGTCAGGACTATACCAGACGTACACCTCTCCATTATGCCCTGCCGATCTGGCCGCTTAGAAAGCATCAGGCTGCTGTTAGAAGCAGGTGCGGATATTCACACGGTCGATGACAATGTCTGCACGCCGCTGCATGCTTGTGGAGAGTTCAATATTTCTATACCACTCTAGCTCCTTGAAACCCTGAGCTTCCAATACCGCGCCGCGGACATCAAAGGACCACATATTGGTAACATTATTCATCTTCTCTGTCAACATGGAGCAGATGTCACTGGTGCAACAAGGCTGGAAAAACTCCATTGCAGGTAGCGCTGGACAATAGAGCAGATGAAATGGTTATCACACTCCTTAGCATGCTGAATGTCTCAGAACAGGAGCAACTTGGTGGGCCAGATATTGTGCTCGGCCCGTACGTGGAGTTTGTAGCTCGACACAGACCTGCCGTGTCCGTTGTGGATGAGATGATTGAGAAATGATTACTGGAGCATGACTTGCTCAAAATATGCAAGCAGCTCCACAAGGTCAGAGCTTATGATGTGTTAACTAGAGGAAATTGCTGATTAACGATATACTTTGGACAAGAAAGATAGATGGACCTCTAGGTTCTTGGATACCCTTGTGCGCCTGGAGTTTGTCTGCCTTTCCTAGAAGCAAGGTTGCAGCGGCGACAATACAGACCAGTCCAAAGAATCAGTCCTTATGCCTGACAAGCAGCCTCGTGATCCGTAGTCATTCAGGCTGACAGTGGCAGCGAGGAAGATACGCGGTATATACCTACCTTCTATACTTTGGACCTTCAATGCTAACTGAGCTAACTGAATATCTCCCGGCAGAATGCACTTCGGGCTCTCAAATAGGGCTTCATGACCTCGCACATGGCTCTCACTGGTGGCGGTCTGCAGTTATTAGATATCTGGCGCAACACGGAGCAGATGTGAATAAAATGAATGACCGGGGCACTCTGCTCCATGTTGCGGTGAGGGCAGATTACCGATACTTGGAAACAGTCCAGACATTGCTGGACCTGGGAGCAGACACTAATCTTCTGGACAATCATGGACATACACAGCTCAATCTCGCTATTGGAGATACCAGAATAACGCGGCTGCTGCTCCATCACGGTGCTGACTTTAGAGCTGGTAACCCCCCGGTCTACTATAGTGCCGTCTATAAGGGTGATGAGGATTTGGTGCGTGCAATCCTTGAGACAGATAGTTGACCCTAACAAGCCTCTCCGCGAGGATATATCGGCCATATATGATGATAAGGGAAACATGGTTCCTATATGGCGGAGTGGCATAACTTAGCAAAGCCTACGGTCCCCGCTGCTCTACTAAGCTGCGCTCAGTGGTGCATCCCTTGACAAAGATGACGAGCCTAAATCTGGAACTGACGGGGTGATCCAGGCTCTGCTTGAGTACAGCGCTGACCTGTTGATGTCTATTGATGGGAACATGACTATTATACACTACTGCCTTTGCCACCAAGCACATGTACATCCCCTCCTTGCTGTCCCGGGTCTTGACCTCGAGCACCGCGATGGATATGGCAGGACCATGCTTCTAGCTGCCTGCGCACACGGTGACTCAGACGAGCTGATCAACATCCGGCCTGTGAGATCGCGAATCCGTCTTGTCCGCAAGCTGTGTGACATGGGAGCCGACGTGTCCGCCTTGGACGGGGAGGGAAACACGGCAGCCCATCTGCTGATCCACCAGCATGACTCCTAGGCGCGCGAGCATATGGCTGACTTGATTATAATAATAATAATTGGAAAGTGCCCTACCATACTAATCCAGAAGAACTACGCGGGCTTCATACCATTCCACCTTGCAGTCCAATGCCAACCGACAGACCTGATCTAACGACTCCTAGCACTCTGCGCCAGCGCAACAGAACCAGACCCAGAAGGAAACATAATAGCACACTACGCCGCGGCAGCAATGTCCAAACTCGGAGAGGAGAATCTTAATCCTGCCCTTGCCCCAGGCCACACCATCAACGCAAGGAACAACGCCCGTGAAACCCCAGTCATGAAATACACCTCCCTGGGCAATCCCAAGGGGATCCAAATCTTCCAAAATATAGGCGCAGACCTCTTCACAACTAGCAACACTGGTGAAACCCCCCTGTATATCCTGGCTCGAGCCCCAACGGACGAGTACAAAAGCATCCCGCTTCCTTGGGGGCTATGTAGGACGGATGGAAAGAAGGTTGTTAAATGCTTCAAGTATCTTCTGGGATTGGGATTGGATCCGTCTTTGGAGGATCGGGGGTCGAGGACTGCTATGGTGAGTTTTGCTACTTTATTTACATCAGATATCAAATGGATTTGTGGTTTGCTGACTTCTGTGTCACCAAAACGCTCTTGGCCTGCTTAGGGTGTACATTCTAAGTACCCGAGTGACCTGGTATATCGAGCCACTTATAGTAAAGCCACACTTTATATATATTAGTAGCTTCTAGGCTAAAAGGCTCTAAATTACTGTGGTTACCACTCTTGAGAAGAATAATTCCCATATCGTGGCGTTCTTCATATCAATTTTAGAGGAAACAATCTGACCCCTAAATGGCTAGGGGCTGTAGCCACAAGCTATTAGTCGATTGGATAAAGATTCGTTGGATGCTTGAGATAGGAATGTCGAAATAGCTAAATCTATGTAGTATTATGTAAAGAAAGCAAGGGAAAGAAGTTTGTGCTATGTTTCGCCGATGAGGAGGAAAGAATAATCCACAGGAACATGTCATGATCCCTACTATTCTCAGTGATGGAGATGGACCCTTCCCAGGACAAACAAGCCATTCCTGGTGAGGCCCAGATGGATGTTAGGGATGATGCTCAATACCCAATTCTGCATGCTGATTGCGCTAGAGCAGGGGAAGAGATGTGGTAACCAACACGTTTCTATAGCCAAAACACAATGCATCTGCACTGATTCTGCAAAACTATTAGTTTCTTCAATTCCCTAATAAAATCTAGTCCATCGAAGGCTAATAGACTTTGGCGTATCCATCCACTCAAATCTAGGATTCCCCATATTATTGAACATCACATCACGGGCCCCGGTTACCCCACGTGGTTTCGAGCCGTCGAACAGCGTCCCGCTGAGGAAGGTGTGCGGGAACCCATGGTCAAAATCATACGCGGACTCAATCTCCGCCATATCCTCTTCACTCAGCCGGACATCCAGAGCGGAGATGTTCTTCTCAAGATGATCAACGACGCGAGCACCAATAATGGGGAAGACATAGGGCGATTTGTGGAGGACGTAGGCGAGCGCGATGTTGAATAGCGAGTGGCCTGTCTTCTTTGAGAGAGCTTCCAGCTTAGCAGAGACCTGCTTGTCTCGCTCGGAGAGGGGGATGAAGTTTCGGCCGGGGTTGTGTTTCTCGCGCTCCTTGTAGCCTTCGGCCGTTTGGAAGCGGCCTTGGTTGAGGACTCCGTAGGGACAGAGTCCCATGCCTTCGTCGAGGGCCATGGGGATGATGTCCCTCTCAAAGTCACGCATTGCGGCGTTCCACATCCCCTGGTAGACGACGAACTGGCGTAGACCATGGTCTCGAGCGTACTGGTTGGCCTTGGTCACGACCCAGACGGGGGCGTCGGAAATGCCGAGGTAGTTTACTTTGCCCGAAGAGACGAGATCATTAAGCGCGTGCATGAGTTCCGGGATAGAGGTGGTATAGTCCCAGTAGTGCACGTAGAACAAGTCAATGTATGAAGTCTGGAGGTTGGCGAGCGAGCGCTCGAGAGAGAGCCGCATGGACTTTGTGCCTGTGCCGACATAGTTGGCGCGGACCTCGTTCGGGTCCTTACTACCGCTTGATGAAGCATTGGTGTATTTGGTTGCGAGGACAATTTGGTCGCGGATCTTTCGCTTTGCCATCCATTCGCCGAGCCATTGCTCCGACTGGCCTTCGTGGTAGACGTTGGCCGTGTCGATGAAGTTGCCTCCGTTGTCGTAGTAGTGGTCCATAATGGCAAATGCGATCTCTTTCGTCATCTCGCCGTATCTCTCTTGGTGTGCGAGGCCGAATGTCATGGCGCCTAAGCACAGGTTCGACACTCTGACAGATGCCGAGGGCGCGAGTTGGCGATAGGTCGCCAGGCCCCGGTGGGGAGCCTGAGACTGCTGAGGGGTAGACATGGTGATGCTGATCAAGTATGCTTTCTGAGGGTTCAATCTGCATTCCGAATGCTGGTATATATAGACAACCCTGCGGTAGTAGTGACGCAACAGTCAACATAGATTCCGCTCAGGAAGACTGTGGCATAGACAAGAGTCCGGTGGGTCTTGACGGATTTAGAGTACGCGCTAAAGCGCTAGCGGTCAGCAATTAGTGCGAGAGACCACCTCCATGACGTTGATCCATTCGTCGCTTGTCGTTGGACGTTGGAAACCCCTTTGTCCAAATTCTTGGCCACTCTAAGCAGTTCCATGGAACCGCAACAAACTCCGCTAGCGGTCAGCATTTAATTCCGTCTAGGTCCATCTTTCCCTCACTTTCAGCTTCATCATCGCCCACCATGAGACCAGAACAAGTCCCGCAAGCAGCAGGTTCCGAAAGACCACCGGCAGATGACTGGTACGGTGTGTGGGATGCGAAGGAGCGACGAAGGCGTCAGAATCGGGTGAACCAAAGAGCCCACCGTAAGTCTTCTGTAGAGAACCCACAAGGCTTTTTGACGCCCGAAAGAGGTATTGTATTGACGTATTCGATTAGGCCTTCGGACACGGTATGCACAGGGCCATGCAGGTGTCGGCTCATACCTAGCGCAATGGTACTCGGCGCAGGTACAGCCTATGGCGGCTGTTCCTTCCTTGTTACTGGAGCCAACACATCAGCCTCAAAGGATCTCCGAGTCTCTACCGGAACAAGTTAAGAGGCTCGAATCAACGCTCGGCCTCCTTACCGAGTCACGTCACACTCTCTCTGCAGAGACCAATCAGTCCTCAGACGCCAATAAAGCAGCGCTATCCGCATTCATGGCCAGTCACTCTGCAAAAGTCAGCAGTCTATGCCTCAAGACCCACGACGCCGAAAAAAGAGCGATCTTGCTGCGCAAGGTAGCCCAATTCCACAACAGTTATCAGCTGAATTGCCCGAGCGCAGACCATCTCCTCTCCCTAACTAGAGTCAATGTCTATCGCGCGTTTGTCGCCCATATGGTCATTCTTGGAATCACTTGGGAATGGATGGAAGATGAGTCGATATCTCCATTCTTCGTGGCGGGTCCCCCACCGCCGCCACTAGGCTTCGAGCCTCCTGCGCTTCCAGAGAAATTGCAGCCAACACACCTCCAGCGTACCAGTATTCACCATACCTGGATTGACCTATTTCCATGCCCTGTAATGCGGGATAACCTGATTCGGCGGGGAAATGAATGGGACGACGAGGAGTTATGTGTTGACATCATGGGGTATTGGGACGGCAACTCGACGGGACCGCATGGGTTGATCGTTTGGGGTGAGCCTGCTGATCTAGCAAACTGGGAAGTGACCGAAGGGTTTTTATGCAAGTGGGGATGGCTTGTGCGAGGCTGCGTGGAGCTGATGCGGTCAACGAATCATTGGCGGGAAAGACGAGGACTGGGACCGTTATTTTCGAAGTCAGTTGCATATAGTCAGTAAGGCAAACGAGTACCCAGCCAAGATATTACCTCGTGTTAGATTATAGGAGTACCCATTGTTTTGTTCCATGTATAAACTGGCTCGATAATCCCGCTTGTAGACGGTTACGGAGTTTTCACTGTTCGTTGAATGGCATACCCATGCCTATTATCTGTGAATAACGCCGGTTGACCCTTCCCAACCAGTAACTGATTTTTGCCATTTGGACATCCGTAGGGAGTCCGGCGAGCTTCGCGTTGGGTCTGCATATGGGAATCAATGGCCATGATTATAGTCATTGCGATAAGGTTTGCCTGAAAGAGTGCTAGATACATGGAGCAAGAACGAGTTCCGGCTGTATCATGACGCACACAACCGCTGCACTGCAGAGAATGGTTATCATACTGCACGTCTCACAAATGGTTGAGAAGGGCGTCCAAACGCCCAGCGATGAGGGCCTGAGCAGCAGGAAGCAGTCCCGGAGACCCGTCGAGATCAGCCGGTTGAAGAAACCTGGGGTGGTGAGCGCGAAGTAAATCTGACGGTGTTGATTTCCGGTTATGCTGCTCGTGTTGCTGATCAACGCGTGTCTCCGCTCTCCGTACATCGATGTAGTAAATGTTCTGATCAGCGGAAGGAGGCGCCTCGAGAACGAATAAACACATGATACGAGACGATTGATAAATTGCGATAACGTCAGTGATACCTGGGAAGAATAATGTCGAGTGTTGGTGGAAGCAAAAAGGTCATCTAAAGCTAACCAGTAAGCTAACCGGACACGGGCAAGCGCAGAGGAAGCTGGAGCGAGTAGATACGCATCCATGACGGTCGCACATTTGCCCCTGGATGACTGCTAGCAGGTGTAAATTCTAAAAGGCTGTTGCCCGCCCTCCTGAAAGGTATTGACATGTCTCATAGAAGCCTACTTACCGTCGATCCTACGAGCCAGAGTCATCAAGCTGGCATGAATACTTGCACTAACCCACAAATGCTTCTAGCCGCCAAGAATGATGGAGGAGGAAGGGGAAGCGAATACGAGTTGGATTATTCCCACGGATGCGGCTTCTCTTCTCCTTCTTGGCTCATCTTTACCTCGGACACTCTGCATCTTAAGCAAAGATGCCACAAACCCTCTCGTCACTTCCTCTAGAGATCCTTATTGAGCTATGCGAGCATCTTCCTCTGCCAGACCTCACACGACTAGTCCGCACGTCGACAACCTTTGCTTGGGTCGGAACCCCGCGAATTTATGATACCCTGTTCTTCACCAATGCCATTTCTCCAACTCCACACCTCCGGGGCCGCATTCCACAATTGCAATCTCAATTCATTGCCGATTATTTTGGCAAGCGCGCGGACAAGCTTCTTGCGACACGACGCTACAATGGACGACATATACTTCACGAGCTGAGCCAGCATGGGAACACCTACCTGCTTGACATTCTTCTGGCCAAAGGCGTTGATGTCTCCGTAAGAGACTATGATGGCTTGACCCCACTTCATGTGGCTCTCCGCGAGAATCAAGAGGGTACTGCCACTAAACTCATCAATGCAGGAGCCGATATCCTCACTCCAACCAACGGGCGGCCCATACTAGCTTATGTTGTCAACAGCGCCTCGGAAGCTTTTATGAAGAAGCTAGTGGCGGCTATCCAGGCTGCTGGAGGAGATCTCTCTGAATGTGCACCGGATGGACATACGGCATTGCACTATGCGAGTCGCGCGGGAAATTTATGTTTAGTGGAAATCCTTGTTGCAAACGGGGCTGATGTATTGGCCACTAACAAGTACGGTAATATACCTCTCGTCCACAGTGTTATATACACACATGACGAGGCAAGCAAGGTCCTCTTGAATGCACTGAAATCGGATCCCCGTGGCTATGACATAAATGAGCCAATCGGCCCCCTCAACGAGGTTCCGGAATACTGGGTTCAGAGTGTATCCTTATACTCTGTGCCTGGGTACACAATACTGCATTACGCAATGTACACATGGAAGACATCAACCGTCGAGCTTCTACTCAATCATGGGGCGAACCCCATAGCACAAAGCCACCATAGTGACGATGCCAATAATACTACGCCGTTTGACATTGCTATTAGAGGCCGGTGCCCCAAGCTCGTGGCTGTTATCACTGGGATGAAAAACCCACCCGACTTTTGGTCATCGACATGGGCCATCCAGGACGGATTCGAAACATCTGTCCGTGAAGCCTACCTCGGGACTGTTCGCATTATTTGCGAGCTCTACAAGCAGGGAAAGGTCAGAATTGATCTCACTTCGGGATCAGAAATGATGATCGGATGCTGTGATTACTATGGCGCGCATCGACCTGATCAGGATATCAATGACACCGTCACCTGTGTTATCGACGCGGGCGGCGATGTCAACGCACAGGATCAAGATGGAGAAACGTGCCTACACAAGCTCTGCAACTGGGAGGATGAGCATGAAGAGGCTAGATTTGAACTAATCAAGTACCTCCTCAACCATGGTGCCGACTGGCGACTTCGAAATGCAAAAGGGAATAATGTGTTTCACAGAGCTGTAGGGGTAGATCAACTCGATAAATTTATCCAACTCATCGCGCACTCGCTTTCACCAGACCTTCCAACTCCAAGTTCAGACAACACCGGTCAAACCGCACTACATTCTTCGACGATGAAACTTCTTCACGATGCCGGCTTTGATCCAAACGCTGCTAATAATCGTGGACAAACCCTTGCCCACTTGGCAATAAATCCCTGCGTATCCGAAGAGTCCCTAACATATCTTGCTGAGCTTGGGGTCGATATGTCCCGTCCAGACAACGATGGGAAACCGCCGATTCATTATGCTGCTACTGAACGCTGGCTGCGTGAAGAGGCGCGGGAAGACGCCATAAAGTATCTCGTAAGAAGAGAGGAGAGTCTTCATCCTGGCTGTGACGAGTGCAAGGTTGCCATTGAAACAGTTTTCAAAGGAGGGAGCTTCCTCCTGTGAGGAGACGTTGGATTTACTTATAAAAGATGTCTCAAGTCCACATGCCCTAATAGCAGCACTCCACCTTTCCCCAGTCCGTTCTCTCACTCCCCAACTCAAACTCAGGGACCCCCCGTCCACAATATAATCTCCATGCTTAAAAGCCGATCTCCCTCCTAAACCTGGCCATCTTTCCTAGCACTCTTTACGAAAACCCCCTCATACCACCAGCTCAATTTTCCAAGCCCTGGCACAGTAGCTCAGTGACGGTTCAAAATGAACCTCAACGCAGCTTGGACTTCACTGGCGTGCTCGATGAGGTCGTAGGATTCTTTTTTCCCTTTGCCCCCGGTTGGGCTTGCTACCCATTGAGGACCGGGCCGCCACGACTCTATGCTGCCCGTCTGATCACGGTATCTAAAAAACCTCACTCGCCTTCCGATGGCTAGAATTCCATGAACCGGGCTTCGGTCCCTGGTCGCCCTTTCCCCGTGTTCCATCTCCAGGTACTCTTGGAGCTGTTGAGCCCCTTCTACCCAGGTCCCGTCCGCATTCTGGCTCGAAATCCTCTTGCATTGAGTAATCAAGAAGCAGCAACAGAAGCAGCAACGCCGCCCATCCACATGCCTCTGCTTGGTGTGGAAATCGGAGAAGCCCTTCTTGCCCGCAAACCCCGTGTGCTCGTCTTGGGGTGTGGCGGCATAACCCTCAACTGGGTCAAATACCCAATTGAGGATGCCATTCCACACCCTATTGACGTCTCCTTCTGGCTTCTTCTTCGTTGGCCCCGTGATTAGGTCTTGGATTGCTAGGGCAATTCCCGGGACGTCCATGTACTAATTCATTGTCAACATTGCATATACGGAGCTCGTCTGTGAGGGAATATGGCTGTCAACTTACAGTAGTTGGCGGAGTGCGTGGATCGGGGCGAGCTGCCATCTTGGTTTTGTTCTCGGAGGCAGTGATTCTGAGGATGGTTTCGCAGATGTTGTTTCTGATGCAATGCAATGACGGCCTAGAAGCTTGGAAATGGATATGAGGCTTCAGTTGTGCAGCTATTCTAGGTTTATAAACAGGGTGCCCTTGGTGTTACTCCTCTATAAAGTGTTACCCATCTTATTAGTTTTACTATGCCACGCCAACGGCTATATCACGTTATAACAGCAACTAGGAAAGGCTGACAGGATTAGATTAACATATTGGAGGTTCTACAGATCAGCTCAAGGTGAATAGGGGCTACTGCATAATGAATTCCGGCACTTTCCCAGACCAAATGTGACCTCTACCAATGCTATAGCTTAGACGTATAGACAGGAGAGTGTATATTATCCTCATTACCTATATTGTACAGGAATCATAAAAAGACAGGAAGCAATAACTTTCACGAAGCTATTCCATGGCAAAGCAATTGGTTAGAAGAAGTATAATGATTGTGAAGAGGAGAGTCTCATAAACATCCAAGGTCCTTATGGAGGTCATCGTATTCAGCAAGCAACGACTCCCATAAGACCTTTCAATCGATCCTGGACCTCTTTGAGCTCAACAACCATCTCTTATCTTTACTGTATGCATTACGGAGGCAGCCCATTGAATTTATCACCTTGTTTCTTTGAAGTCTTCTAAGGAGTATTTACATCGTCTGTATAAAGTTTAGTATGCTTTGGGTTTCTATTAAAGTATATAATCCCATGGTACATTGGCCAGCCTGCATCATGCCAGACAAAGTGACATCATGACAGACAGATATATTATCCGGGGCATTTTCAAATAAGGAGAAAATGAGGAATTTCTTGAGCAATTTCTCCTTTCATTCATTGACAGCCCACCATGCGACGATCCATCATCGGTAAAAGAGAGGACCCATTTCTCCACTGTACCATATGCGGATCTCAAGTACTACTGCGAGAGCCAGAAGTCATCAGCGAACGAGAGGACTGGATGGCGCTCTGCAGACACCGCGGCAAGGCCACGGCCAGGTCGAGAAGGCCGACCATCGTACCGTCTGCTGAAGTCGAAGAAACAGACTTCAAAAACCATGTTTTTGGCTGGATGCACTTTTATCGGGCGAGTAGGCTTCGTCCCGCTACTAAATGCACTCATGCCTTTTCTCTGACGCGGGCACGAACTAGTCCTCGACGAACCCGCGACAGGCCGTGTATACCTCTCCGGAATCGACCATGGCACTATGATTGACTACTACCCCGGCCCCGTACCGACGGACCCAGATCGTGCCCGCCTAAGAGGCTTCGTCAGGAACGAGAACCGCTGGAATGTAGATTTCCACATGGTTAACCTTTTCGAGCCGGACAGGCATCGTGAAGCAGGGAGACGGATTGGATTCCCGGCGCACCCCCACTGCTGGCTGCTTGTCGACCGGGTGATCGGGTTTGCAAAAGTGCTTCCGAACCTGCGAGCTTATACTGAGGCCGTAATGGCGTTTTGGCCCGCAAACAAGCGCGATTGGCGTCCCCCCACGCAGCATTTACCCGGTACAGACTCTTGCTTCGAGCAGGGAGCTTTCGGAAGGAGGGAGGGTGTAACTCCCCACTTCAATAGTGAGGATGAGGCAGAGAACTATTTTTATCGTCTAGACACGAAATCTATGCGGGATGAAGAGCTGTGGCATGCCCTTGGAAGTCCGTATCGGACTCCTGCTATCCAGGAGTTGATGAAGGTTGCAACACGCCCGCGTGCAAGAACGGAAAAGGTTGTTTCCCGATTACCTGTGGAGCTTGCTCTTATGACTGTAGACCTGATATACCGTGGTCGCCCACTGTGTCAGGAGAGAATAAATGACACACAGAACATACTCGAAGCGTTTCAGTGGACATTGCCAGACAGTTACTGGAAGAAGCGGTGTGAGCCCGAGCTTGTGTACGAAGTAGGGGATCTTGAGGCATCGGGAAAGCCGGTTGATTGGGCAGTGTTCTGTCTAGGGCTTGAGGAGCTCATAGTTGATCCGCATTGGTTTTGCGTCAGTGGTCTGCGGTTTCGTCAACGGATCTTGCGGGTGCTCAAGGGCATCAAGGAGCGGTTTGAGGAGATCGTGGCGAAGAACGAGAGTGACCTTGGTTGACATGAAATGAGGGAGTCCGATCAGCAGATGCCGATCTAGTACCACTGGGCAGTGTTATCGGGGGAGGAGAGCAATTCCGCGGTTTCTCTCAAGGCAATTTTGTTTCGATTCAAGTCAAGCAGTCGTGCGCAGAAGAGTTACATAGAAAAGTGCAAACATATGGCAAGGTCAGGTCTGCAACTATAGTTTGTGTGTTGCGCTTCAAGGAAGGCAGCAGGCGCGCAAATTAACCAATCCCGGTACTACTAGTAGTCTTTTATGTAGTAGTAGAACTATCTATATTATCCTTAGATTTACGGTGGGATCGTCCTCGCTACAATCATGGCGCTTATTGATTCATTGTATGCGTCGGGGAGTGTACAGCCTGACACAGGGGCTGCGCGGTGGGTGGTTATTGTCTCGGTTTACTTATTTGCAATCACGTATCATATCAGTACGTTTATGCCCATTCTCCCCCATTGACTAGTTGCAGGGTATGGTGTGATACGGCGTACTGACGTTTACAGCTTGGGCCCTCGGAACCAAAGTCTTCACGAGCGAAATCCAGCCTGTTCCCGCCAGAGCAACGGCCACGAGTATAGCGCAGAGTGCGAATTGTGTACATCATCCTTTCCCTTTTTTTTTAATCCCTTTTTAGCTAGCCTAACCCATCTCAACCTAACCCTACCGTGCTCTATCTCCCCTACTACCAAGTTCCAATCCCACCCAGCCCTACCCAGAAAACAAACTACATAACCTTAGCTAACGCATCGTGCAGATAACAAACTTTGCCGTAGCATATATAACCCCCGTCCTATTGCCAAGATCCTCTTTCAGTGTCTACTTCCTTTTCTGCGGCTGTACATTGCTAACTGTCGTGGCTTGCGCCGTGTGTATGCCCGAGACAAAGGGAAGGGCTTTGGAGAGTATCGCTGATATCTTCTATCGGCATCAGCCGGGTGGCCAGGCTCCTCTTCTGGGATTGGACTTAGGGCTTTGGCACGGAGACGGGGACGCTAGGGGAGATATGGGGATTCGAGAGGGTTGGGGGGCAGGTGGTTATAGCTATCTGGTCTCAGCCGTCTGTCTCTCCTTGATATACACTTGCAAACGCCATACGGAAATTATTTGACATTTCAACTACAAGATATCTGAAAGCTTCGTGATAGATACTTCTTGGAGGCGGAACCAAGCAGCTGTATGCTGTAACAAAGAGTATATATCTGGCCTCTACCCCACCAAGTGAGATCGCCTGATTTGGGGTTCGAAAGAGTCAAAGGGGAAGAAGGAAAATTGAAGTGGGGAAAAGCAGGGCCAAAAAGTAGAGTCCTTGGGGGACGCCGTATCGTCTGAAAGTACGAAAAGCCATCCCATCTATTGCATGCATCTACAAGGGTATGAACTCACAGCCACACCCCACGCCAACCCCTGCATATCACACGCGAGTTTTCAATCTGATTTCCACCCGCTAAACTGTGGCGTAGCCCCTCCATTTCTGCCTCAGTAACCCTCTAGTATAAATCCCAAACAAAGCTACCAATCACAGCTCTGCAACCTCCCAGATATCTCTCTAAATTCCAACCTCCTCTCCAGACTAAAAATGCAGTACAGTGGCTTTGAGGGGTAGACCCGTTGCCCTAGTTCACCCGGGATCCCAACTTAGGTTCTTCCAGAGGCGCGGAGAAGCAGGAGGTATATGCCATTCTGGTCAACTGAGGCGTGGTTGCCGGCAAGGCAGATACTAGGTGAAGTGGACTGAGCAGCGTGAGGGGGAAGATATGCAACTGATGCACTGTTTTTTAGTGGTGTGCCATGTAGGATGAACCATGGAAAGTATGTCTATCACCCCCGTATCCCTGCGAATTAACCCCAAGTAGGTACTCGGCGAGTCAGAGGCTGGTCAGCCTTCAAGTTCTCTGCTCGTTTGGGGAAGAACGCACTGGGAGAATCCAATGAATCAGAAGGGTTCCATAGCAGTACCTGTGCGGCCAGAGTTCCATGCTCAAAACTCACCATATGAAGCAGATTGCCAATCTCGACGATGATGGCCACTAAGATCACTAGCTAGTCGGTGTGCCCTCTGTGTATTTCTTATAGAGGTGTTCGCGTATGGTTTTCGCAGTGTTCAGGTGCCCAAGTCTTTGCGCCAGGGCAAGAGGTGTCAGTCCATCCCCGTCTCTGACAGCAGGCCTAACGCCCCGAAGCTCGAGAAGACGCTCCACCACCTTGGTATGACCGTTCATTGCTGCTAGGCCAAGGGGCGTCCGACCGACTCTCTCCACGGGATTTAGCTCAACGCCCTCTTGCTGAAGCAAAATTTCGACAGTGCTTAACCCGCCGTTCTCTGATGCCAGGGCCAGAGGTGTATTCCCATTAAAATCAGGAATATTCAGTTCCGCAGTTGATCGTCGAAGTAGCGAGTCGACAATGAAGGCATTATCGTTTTGTGCGGCCACTGCTAATAGGTTCCTTCCGTAGAGGTCTTGAATATCCGACAAAGCATCCGGTCCTTGAAGCCGTAGCAGCACCATTCCCCAATCGTGTGCGCCTGCTGCCAGAGCCAGAGGAGTCCTACCATCCCCAGCGGAGCTACTTATTTCAACATCTCGTCTCTAGAGCAGAAGCTCAACGACCTTCCGATCGCTCGCTCCTACCGCTGCTAGCAGAGATGATTGAGGCGGCGAAACAGTCCTTGCATTGGGATCGACGCACCCAGAATCCAGTAGCGCTTTCACTAACTCAGCGTCACCGACAAGCCTCCTATGACTCGGTCAGTTTTTGGCCTTCTTTAAACAATTAGGAAGTATATACCACACTCTCTATCCGGATTGCTGACAACGACATCTCCAAGCCGCAGGTCTTCGCAAGGATCGTTGCCAGGTGGACCGGGTGCGCCGCCGCCAACGCCGACCATCAACCCAAAGCGAATCTTAGGAAAAGTCCGTAGCATGTTCGCAGCTGCTGTAGCTGCCGGCGAAGTCCCCATAGTGCCAGAAGGCAGGCAAACGAGGACAACATTGTGGTCGCCCATCCGCCCGAGGGTGTATGTGTTTGTGTCGGTTTCATCCTGGACGAGACTCGGATGGAGCTCGTCGAACATGGTCCGCGAGCCGGCCATTTCGATGGGTAGAGCGCAAATCCATCCCACTGTATAATCAAAGTTTGTCAAACAGGGTGAGCTGGATCTCGCCTTGGAGCTTGTCGTTGCGGTCGCGGAGTTGCAAGAATCGGGCTCGAGCGGGGGTCGCTGCCCGGCGGCGCTTAGCAGGTCGCCCCTTCCCTTCGGCCATGGTGTCCCTCCTCTATCATCAACTTATTTAAGAACGACTTCAGGTTACCTGTCTCGAGTGGGTAGAGATTATGGATGTAATAAAGATGTTCGAGTTCCCCTGGAGTCCTTCTTGAAATCATCAGGTTTCGTCCCTGCAAGCATGGCCCGAACACGTGATGGGGCACAGCATCGCGGGCAGCCTTGTCAGCCTCGCGCGAAAGGTGGCCGCTTCCCAACTCCATCTTTTTCAGAGGACAAGGTTTGAGGGACAGGCATAAAACACCACCAAGCCTCGAATATAAATAAGTCGCTTACTGTGGCAGAGCATAACTCACTCAGTCACGTCACTTACTTCTCAGCCAGATATAAGCTGAATTTCGCTGTTATCGCTGAGACTTTGGCCACTTTGGGCGTGACATCCTCCATGGCAAGACCCAGTCTCGCTGGTTCCTATTTGTTTTCTTCTTTTTTTTTGCGCCGGTAATGCTTGATCGTGTCTTCAACAACAACAACACATGCGAACAACTGCATTCAAAACGCTATCTGGCTCCAAGAACGCTCGTATATTCCAACTCGACATTTACATGAACACCTCACATGGGAATCATCGCGATCTCTTCTTTACTCCAATACCGCCTCATATTCTCCGCCCCCAAGGTCTTAACCTCCTGATCCAGATGCGTCCAGAGGACCTCACGCCACCCCTCCATCTTTTCCCGCAGCACGTCAAGCCTCAACTCTTCCTCCCCAGATACACACTTCTCGAGATACTTTTCAAACCCCTCAAGCCCGTCGTGAATCTGCCGATGCTGCCGCAAAAGTTCCGCAGCGCGTTTCCCGCGCCCTTTCGCTTGAAATTCCGGCATGCGCCGCGCGAGGTACGGAAAAACGTGGTTCTCTTCTATACTGTGGTGCACCTCGAGATGCTGCGCAAATTGCAAGCCGACGTTGATGAATTGCTTTAGCGTCATGTTTGATGGGCGTTTCTTGGCTGTTGTTGCATCCCAGAGGATGTTCCACGAGTGTCGGAAATGGGCGTGCTGCTCAACGTTAGAACCACCCTTCGTTCTCGAACGGGATAGATATATAAAGCGATGCAGGGTGACTTACAAAGTACTCCATCTGCTCGGCTTTTTGGTTATACGCTCTGAAATCTTGGGGTGAGAGCGGGGGGAGCTTCTGCTCTTCCTCCTGCTTTGGTGCTGGCTCTTGCGGCTGTTCTTGACTCATCGTGGCGATAGGCGTAGCCTTCGTAGAAAGATGGTAGCGATGAGGTTTCAGGAGACCAGTGCTGGCGGGCGACAGAGGCGAGAATACGTTGTAGCGGGGTTTGAGAAACTGTTGAGCGCAGAGTGAGAGGTTAAAGCCGCACTTCATTTGTGGCCGAGATGTGGTTATTGTATACAATATCACGCGAAACGTCAACAGAAGCAGGCTGGCTTTTTGAGTTTTGATAAGATCGGGAATCCCCCGAGGCCCCTTGGACGGCGCTGAAAGGACAGGCCAACCATTTCTAAGCCTTATAAATCGGGCAGTGGATGAAGGATTTTACACATATGCTAGTATTAACCCGGTTAGCGCCGAGAATGGCGTAACCTAGAATGGCCTAGCGCTGAATCTCAGAGCACCTTGGCATCCCCAAATGGTCGATCATCGGCAGGTCCACAAACACCAAGCACCGTCGTCACCTTCGCTAAGAAAATGTTGTATCAGCTACCTTTGCAGCTCCTCGGCGAGGTGAGCTCTAAATTGGGCGCCGACCTAGCCTAGTATGCACTCATTAGCCGCCAGTGGCAAGCCGCGATTGAGCGGCAAACATTCGCCGAAATCAAGCTAAACACCTCTTGAGAGACTCGCGGAGTTCTATGAAATTGTCGCCCAGAGCAGATGGCTAAGGTCTTATCTTCGTAAGGTCCACGTCATTGTCCAGCTGGAAACATACTCGATTGAAGCGCGCGCCCACTTCCAGACTGCCGAGGAGCATGCAAGAAATAATCAAATCTTCATCCACTCGCTCCTGCTATCCTGGAAGCCCTGGCGTTATGGTCACCGGAGGATGGGGATAGAGGCAATGTCGAACTATGGATCAAAGTACATTCGCGGGTGATGTTGTTGACCGTCAGAGGTCGAAAGCTGCGCGAATGGAAGCAGGGATGGATCTTCTACACGCGAGATTTGGGCAATCTTCTCTGACCGAGCTGGAAGATGTACCGCCTGGTTAATAGTTAATTTTCTCTTGGTGGAAGGAAACACATGGCTGATCAGTCCTGCATCCAGCTCCTATCTATCGACCAAGCTGCCTCGGTTGCAGAGGGTGGACCTTAAGCTCTTCGATAATGAAAAGCCGGATTCCGAGTTACGGAAGCGCAATCGAGAATGTGAACCCCCTTTTTTCAAAAACATAATAAGCATAGTACATTTTGCTCTTTGAGAAATGGCAGAATTCACCAACTCAGTGCACCTCTGGCCAGCGTAAGTGCGGGAATTCCGGCTCAACGTTCCTCACACGCCACCACGAAATGAGCGACTCGTCCCCGAGAATATACTGAGTGGCGCAAGTTATGATATGTTTAGTGTCCATCTGCGAGACCTCTCACAGCAACTCACGACTCTCTACCTAAGTGCAATGATAGAACGGGAACTGTTCTGGCCTCTCGAGTCGGAGAACAGCACCAGTCTACCCTTCGCCCAGTCTAACAGAATATACGCTGGTCTTCAGCGGAACCACGCCAGCAGGAATATGGCTCTTTGAAGAAACCCCCTTGGAGAAAGATGAGGAGCCCTACACACTCACAGAGCGTTTGCACGATTTCCCAGAACATCTTCGGCCTCCCGTTGAAGGCCGACAAGCGATCTTCTTCCGCACAAAGGCAAGAACAGAGCTTGTCAGGGATCTGTACATCTCCACTGGGCAAGCCGCACGGAGGATGCCGCGACTGCAGCACATGCAGCTGAGATGCTACCCCAATCGCGCTCTGCATACATTTGATTATAGCTTCGAGGGCAATTCGGTATCGGCAACCTGGGGTGATACCGTTTTCTTAGAACCAGAGAAAGAAGTCTTACAAGCTTGGAGGAATGCTGCATTTCAACACACTGGTGTTGAGAATGCAGTAAAGCAGATCGGATAACTGCACAGAGCCCGAATGCGGAGGGTCAATACTCTCCTGCTCCGATTGAATTGGGTAGAGCGTTTATCCACCTCCCTACGAGTTTTGTTCACAGGTTTCCAGATTATAACCGGTCAAGGAACCCTAATTCAATGTGGCCATTCTCAGTGGACTTGCCAACATAGCAGTGGGTCTCATCTTGCAAGGCTGGAAGAGCACGAACCAACGGAACAACAACAGACTCAGCCAGCGTCAAAGTGTTCCTATATTAGAAGGGAGCATTGATGGATGCACTACGGTGAGTAATTCAGTTCTACTGCATTACTTACTACCACTACAAGAGGCTATGGGTATACTGGTGCTGATACGGAAGGTGCAAAGGACTGGCTCGAGCTCGGCCTGGGTGCTTCGTCCCTCACCGGCTTACCGAACCTCTCCAACTCCGAAAATCATCCTCCTTGTCATTGTTTATATCGAGAGGGCGACAGCTTTAATGCGCGTTATTACTCCGTCGACCTTTACTAGTATTCATCTGCAGTACTAACATGAGATTGCAAAACATTCAACCCTTGAATACACTAATTACAGAAGCCCCTCTCCCCCGCGTCTGCTTCCATCACCAAGTATCCTGATACTCCTCCCAGTCGAAATCATGGTCTCCATCTTCAAAACCCTCTTCCTTGCTCTCATGCATGCCACCGACTCTCACCTGCTCCAGAAAATGAATCGTCTTATCCCTCGAAGCACACGCCAGGAGATTTTTCACAGGCGAGAACTCGAGTGCGGTTATGTACAACCGACTCAGATACAGCTTTTGCACCACAGCCGAAGTCCTCAGATCCCAAATCCAAACTGATCCATGACTGTCCCCTGAGGCCAGGAAGTATCCATCGAAGGAGAAGGCGATCGCTGTGACGCTGGCGGGATGCCCCTTCAATGTCTGTACCGCCCCACCAAGACTCACGATCTTGATGGTCTGATCTGCAGATGCGGTGGCATAGAATTGACCGTCCGGGGAAAAGCGCAGCGCGTTAATCGTATCCGTGTGCAGCTGCGCACCTATGAGCTTGCCTCTGTCTCGGGAATATGCTATGGCCTTGCCTTTGTGTGTGCCGGCCCTGATATGTGAGCCTTCTGGAGCATATGCCATGCAGGTAATGGTCTTTTTTGTGTGCCAAACATCATCAATCGCGTGCCAAACAGGCTCGGTTCCTTTATACTGTGAGTAGGTTGTGATCGTGTCTCGAGTGGCGGCCGCTACCCACTGTAGATGTGGATCATATGCTATTGCCTTGACATTCTCATCTACCCTCGTTTCTCGCTTCATGTCTTCATCCAGGTTCGCCAACAGCGCATGGTGGATGCGGCGGCCGGCCACGCAGAACACCCGTAGCCCTTGCGGCGATACAACAATCTGTGTGGTCTTTCCAGGACGGAACTGACCATTTTCGATGCCCGTTGATGCATTCCACACCCTGAGCGAGCCGTCTTCAGAGCCCGAGAGAAGGAGCTCTCCGTTAGGCGTAAAGGCAAGAGCATTCACCCACCCGGTATGACCACGCAGGGGTGTGGTCCATGTCCAGACCGTCTCTCCTTTCGAGCCCGTGCTTCGAACCTTGGCCAGCAGCTGCGCGTGGTGCTGACTTTGCTCCTTGAGCCGCCTCTGCAGCTTGGCCTCGTACTCCCTCTTTAGGGTCTCAGCGAGGCTATCAAATTTGACCTGCAGGTTATTCTGGTCATTCTCCAATTTCTCCATCTTTGCCTTATACGCGTTGGCAGTCTCTTCAATCTCGCGCACCGCCTCCTCGTCGCGCAGTCGAAGCGCCTCCTTGAAATCCTCCTGCAACGCCTCAAGCTCGCGCTGGAACCTCGCTCGCTCGACCGCGAGAATCTCGTTCAACTGGACCCCTGCGCTCGTCTGCTCAAGCGTCTTGTGCCCATCAACCATTTCCTCTTGCAGTGACAGCACAACTGTCGGTTTAGCAACTTGCAGAAAGCCCTTGACGAGCGTAATTGCCGATTCACGCGTGTTGTCGTGCCGAAATGTCCTACTGCCCTTGCTGATCATATGCCCCCACCACTCCGGCTGCTCGATCAACTCCTTTTCGCGCTTGATAGCGACATCATGCGGCACATCGTCCCACATCGATGTGGCCAGCACCACATTTGGAAGCGCATTGTCACCGCATAATTTCTTGAACGTCAGGATATTCCGCTTGGCGCTCCCGGTCATGCGCACGTTGCTGATCCGGTGAAAGTAGATGATCCCCGCGAGGCGCACGTTCTGCGAGTACGTCGCGGTCAGCCAGCCCGCAAGCTCGCGAAGCACCTCGGTGTCGCTGCGGTTCGTGTCGTCAAATCCGGGCGTGTCTATCAGGTACAGATTGCGGTCTTTTAGGATGTAACTTTCGTACACACCGACTTCCTCGGTGCATGATTCCAGTGAATGCCCGATTGCCGGCTTCTGCTCAGTCAAGAGCGAGATGAAGGAGCTCTTTCCTGAGCCTGTTGCGCCCATGACGGCGATGTACATTGTTTCCGGCATCGTGCCTCCGCAGGCAGGTGAACGGTCGCAGGATTGACAAGAAGTTCGGTCGCAGGGGGCGCAGTCCTCAACATAAATGGCACGGCATTGCAAGGCTGGGAACCATTCAGCCCCCATTTAGCGCCCCTGGCGGTCCCACTACGGCGAGGCTGAAGCTGCCCAGGTGAAAGCCAAGGCCTGCTAATGCAATCCGGGCGCGAGGTAAGCGCCAAATAAATACGTACTGCAACCCCGTCGGTTCGATGGTATTTTCCCCTCTCGCGGGGTTATTCTGATGAATCTGAAATGACTGATCCACGGGTTTTCGAGGAGCAGGTGGGCAACATATTGAAATTCACGGGGGCGACGCGGCCAGAGTAAGTTATACTACTAGCTGATCCCATCCACCATGTGAGAAGGTATATTAACGAGTCGCCCAAGGCCCAACGCAGTCTTTATCCTCGTCTTGGGCGCGACGGGCAGCGGCAAAACCACTTTCGTCTCGAAATGCAGCGGCAAACCCCTCGAGCTTGGCCATGACCTTTTATCTTGTATGTACTCAGGTCTCCTCTTTGCTATTCTCTATCTATCACGGACTAATACAAACGCCAAAGGCACCTCCGCACTAATAATCACCTCCTTCGCTCACCCCTCCAGCCTCAAAACGATCTACCTCCTCGACACTCCCGGCTTCAATGACACGAATCACTCCGACTCGGAAACCCTAACCCACATCTCCCACTACCTCGCCGTCGCCTACGCAAATGGCATCTATATCTCGGGTATAATCCTCATTCATCGGATAATCGACCCACGACTCTCCGGTACTGCGCGACTAAACCTGAACATGTTTAAGCATATGCTAGGGGAGCCAGCGTATGAGAATGCCGCGATTGTAACGAGTATGTGGTCGAGCCCGCCGACTCAGCTGGAGGTGCAAAGAGAAAAGGAGTTGATAACGGAGGATGGGATACTCGCGGAAGTTCTGAAGGGTGGTGGGAGAGCGTTTCGCTACTCGGCGTCTGATCTCGAGGGTACAGGCGCAAGCCCTAGCGCTAATTCTCTCCCCATGTCTGTTATCAACCATATCCTCCACCAAGCCCGCGCCGGCCCCGTTACCCTTCAAATCCAGAGCGAGCTTGTCAACGACAACCGCGAATTGATTGATACCTCTGCGGGGCGCTTTCTAGCTGATAGGCAGGTGCTTGATCTGCGAAGGGAGTACGACGCTGCAATGCAGCAGATCCGAGATGGAATTTCTGGGAGTGCGCTGTTCAGCTCACAACCCGAGAACGGCCAAGCAGACATCTTCACCAGCCGACGAAAAGTGCAGGCACAAACCGACGGTGAGTTTTCTGACCTCGAGATGAAATTGCAGGATAAGCACGCGACACTGTCCAAGTCTCTCCTCCAAATACACCATGACGAAGAGCGGCGCCTGGAAGCGCAAATGGCGCGGGTTGAAGGAGATCTCCGTGCGAAGATCGACGAGAAACAGCAATATCTGGATACCCTGTCAAGCCAAGCCGCAAGCCCACCTTCAGCTTGGGTTCCAGTTTCAGCTCCCAACGTTCGCCCCAGTCCTGGCCCTAGACGTGCCGTCGTAACAGCCACACAGCTCGAGATTCTGCGTCTCCGCCATGAAATCCAAGAACTCCGCCACGAAATCGAGCAGAAGCAGGCAGCGAACAATTCTGTTCGGCGGGCGTTCCGCGACGGATTGCTATTTGATACTGTGACGAGGGTTATGGGCGGTGCGGTTGGTACAGGTATGTGTCGCCCTCCCAGTCGATCTACTGAGATAGCTTAGAGGGATACCGGATATATTGGGCTGCTAACGTCTTTGAAGCTGTTCCGGCTCTAGTGGCGGGGTCGTTGTGTGTTTTGATGTGATTGGGCTTGTCCGCTTTGCTTCTACTCGAGAATCGTGGATTAGAGGGACTCTGTGGGACATTGGATCGAATGCATGTATCCCGCGGGCTTCGGCGATGGTGCATGGAATGCCTTTTTATCTCTTTCCAGTTCTTTAAGCTCTTTTCACTTTGCTCTTCTCACTTTTGATGACTCTAATGTCTTACGCGAATCTAAAAGCAGAAGACATAAAGTGGTCTGATGTGATTGACGGCTTACTTCTCGTACGAGTCGCTCCTTCACAGCAGATGCGAGGAGCGTTTCGTCAAGTTGGTGTTATGGTGTCGTGAGCGATCGGGCCTCTCACACATTCCAGTTCTTGCTACCAAGTGACTGTGAGGGCCCACGATGCTAAAACCAGGTCGTGTCTGCTACCAGTCGTCCTACACACTGGTGCGTTTTATAGGGCGTGAATGCTAGAGGAACCACACTAGACACCTAAATACGCGGTCCGCGCGAGTTCGGGGGCTAGGCGCAATCACCGGCTACCCTAACTAGCTACTACTAGTCCACGTCTCCGAGTTCTATCCTACAGTCGCCTCATAGACAGGAATCAGGATTCGGCTAGTGTTCGATTAGTTCTCTCGGCGCTCTCCACAATTTGACTTGGTTGGGCCTATTTAAGGAGTGTTCACCGACTTTCAAGATCACTTTCAAGATCACTTTCAAGATCACTTTCAAGATCACTTTCAAGATCACTTTCAAGATCACTTTCAAGATCACTTTCAAGATCACTTTCAAGATCACTTTCAAGATCACTTTCAAGGTCTTCATTGTTATTGAATGCTCATTCCTTCCTCGCCAATCCAAGTCGCTCCAACCCAACGCCTACCCGCTCTACAACAACAAGGCAAAACATAACAAAATGTACACCCACACAACGCTTACCCTCCCCTCCGGTCCCATCGCCCACAACTGGAAACCCTCGGGCCCCTCGTCGCCACGCGCGATCCTCATACTGCAGCACGGCTTCGGCGAATATGCACAACGCTATGCGACCTCACATTCTAAATTCATCCCGCGACTTACTGATCGGGGGATCGAGGTCTGGGCGCTCGATCTACAGGGTCATGGGCAATCTCCTGGTGTTCGCGGGGTTGTGGATCTTCAAGCGGCTGTGAGAGATCATGTGTGGCTGGTTGGGTTTGCTGCTGGTGGTGGTGCTATATCCACGGGCGTTACGGCGGCGACGGCGTCAGTAGGCTCGACCTCCGATAATGCCAGAATCAACCCCGCAACTCCACCAATACTCCTCTTCGGCCACTCCCTTGGCGGCCTTGTTACAGCCGGGAGCGCTACAACCCTCCTCACAGCCTCGCATAAATCCAACAACCCGAATCCCACCCCAACGCCACGCATAACGGGCCTCCTCCTGACAAGCCCCGTCCTCCCCTTTCCCAGCCAAAACCAGACGCAAAGCCTCATATCCCACTTCGCATCTCTGCTCCTTCGCATTATCGCATTCTTCTTCCCGCACCGCGAAGTCCCCTCCTTACCAGGCTCAACCCCGCCACCACATGATACACTCCGCGGCGATCATGAGGCTGTGCGACTTGCGGAGGAAGATCAGATGCTTTTCCGCGGTGGGATCTCGTGGGTTGTTGCGGCGAGTGCGGTTGGGGTTGTTAGGGGAGTTTGGGGTGGTATTAGGGAGGGGTTGTGGGGGCAGAATGGAGGGGATGGGGATGGGGATGGGAGCGACACTGGGATGAACGTGCTTGTCCTGCATGGACGCTGGGATCCGTGGAGCGACTGGCGTGGGAGCTTGTCCTTTGTCGAGGGAATCCAGCGATTTCGAACTCAAGCCGCGTGCGCCAAGGGCGCGGGAATCGGAAAACAGGACGAAAGCGAGAGCGAAGTCTCCGGAACCAAGCTCGTTATTCTCGATACCCCATACCACGAGCTACTAAGCGCCGGAGGAAGCACAGGCGAGGAGGTTCTTAGGGTTATGCTGGAGTGGATCGAGGCTCGGATCGCCCAATGCCGGCGCTAGCCCTAATTCGGGGGCAGATTGCGAGCCGGGGCAATAGACGCTCCGAGTGTATGTTTTGCCTAGGTACGTCTAGTCTACTTGGCATACCCCTCTCACCTCGGAGGATGAGGATGGATCTGGTATAAATAATCAAATCCCATGCAGATAATATTCCGAGTCGACTCGGCCTGACTACAAAAGCACAAATGGCAGCAGCAATCCGCGACAGGGCTGCCAGGAATTCTGGCCTCGCTGCTTGCTCGGAGGCTGTTCTCGCAGTCGGATATCCCGCTCAGGGAAGATCTCCGGCGGTCTCTTTTACGAGGGTAGGATCAACAGATTCATTCTCATATCTGTACCCTGCCACCTATATCCTTCAAGTCCTAACGACACCACCAACCCACACAGCCTTTCAGCAGTCGTCCCCCTCGCCACAATAAAGCGCTACAACGCACCACCACGCAACAACACCCTGCTCAACTCCACGCGATTCTCTGAAATAAAACAGAACCTCTGCACGCCCGTCTCCACCGCTAAATTCACAGGAACCTGGATCTGCACCCCGTCTCCAGACAGAAACGACAGCGAAACCGCCTTCGTCCTCCTCTGGCTCCACGGCGGCGCATACTGCCTCGGCCACGCCCTCGGAAACTGCACAGCGCTCCTCCGGGTCTCCGAGCTCATCGCGGAAAAAACCCCCAATACCTCACTAGCCATCTTCTCGGTAGAGTACACGCTCGGTCCAGAAGCTAGATTCCCGACGCAGCAGCGCGAAGCCCTCGCCGCGTACCGGTATTTGTTAGACCGGGGAATCGCGCCAGAGAGGATTGTCGTTGGAGGGGTTTCGGCGGGTGGACACCTGGCGATTTCTTGTCTACTGGCGGTAGCAGAGGAGGGCCTCGCGAAGCCGCACGGCGCCTTCCTTCTCTGTCCGTGGGTCAATCTGCGGAACGCGTCGCCGTCGTTTCAGACCAATCGGCATAGGGATATTCTGAGCAAGGGGCTTCTGGATCGGTGTGTGGAGGCCGTGGCACCGGGTGCAGACTGCGAGCCCGACGTATCAAGCCTCATTGATTTCACGACACCAGGATCACATCTAGGCGACGGGTCAAAAACCTGGGAGGATATCCTCCCCGTGCGGACATGGGTCAACGTCGGTAGCCATGATGTGTTCCTATATGATATCCAGACGTTTGTTCAGAATGCATCGGCTGACGGGGCGAGTGTTGAGTTGCAGGTGAGTCCTGGGATGGCGCATGCGTGGCAGTTCAAGCTGGATCGGTCTACGGAGGCAGAGTACTGTGGTCTGGGGCCCGGAGAGCATGTACCGGCGGGAATCATGCGAGGGAGTGAGAATATTGCCCAGGGGCTTCTTAGGGTTTTGGGGTAGATGGTCTTATCTAGTGAGACATGTGGGCCAACCTGTGTGTATCTGCCTGAAAAGGGGAGTAAATAAGTTGTTAACGTGATGAAAGGTGCTCCTTCTCGAGTACTGTAACTCACCGCAGCCATAATAAGTGCCCAAGAGAAAGCAACTTCTCTCCTCCATTCTCCCCTATCGTCTCCACCCCATCAGACAAAGACCACAATCCAAGACCAAAACCAACTCACCACAATTATGCCCCAAACCACATCTGCGCCAGCCATACCGGCCTCCCGGCCCCAACGTCCGGATAAGGCCTCCATGACACGCCCAATCAACATCAAACACCGCGTCCGCCCGCTCGCGGTATACATCGATCATATTGCCCAGCGCAAGCCCGCCAACAATGACAACGAGAACCGACGACATGGCGAGCCACGTATCGGTTCCCAGTTCAAAGAAGTTTAACCCCTCTCTCGGGCGGCGCACGAGCTCGCGGGGCGATGCTCGGAACCAGTCATGGGGTCTGTCGACGAAGAGCTGGCCTACGGAGGTGAGGAGGGGCATGCCGGCGAAGGTTAAAAGGACAGACATGGAGGTAATGGCGCAGGCGTTTGCTATCGCCGTTGTTCCGTCGAAGGGGGCGTCGACGTAGAGCCCAGATTCTGTTGCTGCAGAGTTGATTCGCGGAGAAGCTTGTTGTCCCGGGGCCGCTGAGGACGCGCGCTCTGCCGCAGTCGTAGCTTGGGTTTGGGGCGTGTGTGCCGTAGCCGGAGATCCCTGGGTGGCTTCGCGCTTGGAGGGTTCGGCCAGGGTGTAGATCGTGGCGCTCCACTGACCAATTGTCAGCAGGTAGAGCCACGACCGGGCAGCTCTGATCCGTTGCGGGTGTTGGAACCGCGGACCTGTAGTTGCGGTTCCATCATGATGCTGATGCCGTCCTGGACGATGTTGGCGCGCAGCGCTGCTTCCATGTCTGCGCAGGTCGTTTCGGCGAAGATGGTCAGGTTTTTGTATCTTCTGAAAATCAAGTATTTTGTACAGTGCATACTCGAGGCTGTCTGCAGGAAACGCAGTCTCTGTTGACCACGAACCTGACCGTGTAGGCGATGGAATCGATGAGCAGGCAGGTTAGAGCTATCGTCAGGGCATATTGAACTGCCAGGAATAAATACTTAGTCCACTTTTGGGACATCCACCGCGGAAAACTTGGGAAATTTGCATTCGATGCGGGGAGGGGGGCTAAACAGGGTCAGACTGGAGAGGTTCAGGCCGTCTGGAGGTGGACCCACGTCCAGCTTCAAGTCGCTGGCTGGAAGTCTCCCATGGCTATACGGCCGTGGCTGGCCCGATATATGCACAAGTTGGGAAGATAACAACAGAGAATCTGAATCTGCGACTGCAAATATTGGTTGGGAAAAGTAGCGGGGCAGCCAAGTTCGCACTTCAGCCTTGCGCGGCACTTGGCGTGCCTTGGCCAATAGCGTGGAAAACAACGATTTGCACAATCATACCGGAGGGAAACACCTTGAGCAGGGTTAGCCACGACTAGCGGAATAATCGAAGACCGTGTGACGCTTTGCACCTGAATGGCTGCCTATGCAGTATTTTCTCGCTCTGGTGGATTGTATACCAAGACCTATTTGAGTGCGGCACATCTGATCAGACTGCGAAGAGAGAGGGAGACCAGTAGAGATTGGTGATCCTAAAGCAGTAGACTCTGTACAGCAGCAACACACACGGAGATTCATGTTGAGAGCAAATTTTTCTAGAGCGTCAGCTATAAGCTGAAGACCTGTCTGAGCCACCTAGAGTGAACTTCCCTCGGTGCAAAGGCAAGTATTTCAGAGCCCATAGTTTCCCTTATCTCTCCCCCTCATCCCCCTCTTACTCCAAGCCCAACTCGATAAAAGCCATATTACTCCCAACCGGCTGCCTGATTGCCCTAACCGCCAACCCGCCCTCAACCCTCGCAAATATCTGCCTCCAATCCTCCAATGCCCGCTCTCCGGCATTGAAATTCTGCAGCATTGTCAAATCCTGCGCCCGGAACAACCTTTCCTTAGCCAGCGGTACAGACCCCGGATCCGGCAACAGCGAGTCCATGACTATGATCCGGGAGTTCTCTTCGAGGGCTGGGACGAGGTGCGAGAGGATATTGACGGCGTCGTCCGTCGGCCAATCGTGCAGAATCATGCGGAGGAAGTAGACCGCAGCGCCGCGGATTGGTTGTGGGGTGAGGAAGCTGTGTGCCAGGTAGGTTATTCGGGAGGCTAGGGCTGTGCTGTCGGGGAGGGAGGCGAGGTGGGAAGGTGCGTTGTCGATAACCTCGGGAAGGTCTTGCACGATAAATTTCAATGAGGGGAATTCACGGGCAAGCGCAATGGAGACGTGCCCGGTTGAGCCGCCGACCTTGACAACAATCAGTGGGATGCATATGAAGAATCAGAGGGCGGGAACGTACATCGACGACTGTGGCCTCACCAAGACTAGCCCAGTCAAAGCCGGCAATGGTGTGCTTGAGGTCGTGTTTTTGCAAAGACGAAACGGCTTTCATGAGACCCTGGAAAAGCGCCTTCCGCTCGGGAAGTTGCGCCAGGTGGTCGAAGAATGGAAGCTCGGTATCATTCGCAAAGTTGTACGACGTGTGTATCCGACTCAGGCTCCGAGGCCATTTCGTCTGAGCAGCAACCATCGCCGCCGCTGCTGGCACAGAGACGTCGCAGACCCAGACGGCCCATGTCCGGTTGGGCTCGCTGTTGCGGATATAGAGAGAGGTAGCGGAGTGAGAGACTTGTTGCGGGGTGGGCTCTTCGAAGAGCCCCGCGGTTATCGCCATACGAATGATGCTCTTCGCATGGGCGACAGCGACGTTGGCTTTGCCAGCTAGCTCGAAGTAGCTAATGGAACCCTCGGCGGGGACTAGGTCGAAGATTTGAAAATGCCAGAGCCATTGGAGGGTTGCAATGTCTTCGTACTGCTACCAGTCAGCAAAGTATATCCTTTGAAGTTCGAAATCAAAACATACCGCAGTCCGCGCTTGGCTTATGTGATCGCTTGGCCCGGCAGCAAGACGGAAGAGGCGGAGGGCGGCGTCCATGATCTGCTCGCGAGCATTCTGGACCTCTAGCGGGGCGTCATACGGAAGAACAACCGGTGGGGTATTCTTATCAAAGGATGGATGTGGTAGCCCTGCGGTATCAAGGTAATCATGAAGGGCTCTGACGTCCTGAAGTAGCTTTGTGACAATGTCCTCCATTGTGGAGGCACCTTCGGTGATTGTCATCTTTGATCTGAATCGCTGCTTCCTTCCATCGGGGCAGGCCGAGCAATAAGTAAGCCCAAGGGCGGAAAATAACGGAAGGGCTAAGGGGAGTCAGGCTCCATTAGGCAAGCGATTGGCCTGTGCAGGGATGAGATATCGGATGCCGAAGTGTAGCATTCCTGGCAGCATTGTTGGGCCTCTCTGCGGGACAGAAAAAGCAAAGCCACCGGAGTCAGCTAGGCTATACCGAGCTGCGTCTTATTATTCCGAAGAGAAGTAGAGTGGCGTATCTTTCGGCGGATTCGCTGAAATGCCGCAGTTGGCTGAATACCACATGTTCACGATGTATATAGCATCGGCATAATCGGCCACAAGCTGGCCATGTAGGATCCGCTCTGGCGTTTCTATGCCTCACGCGAGATCAGGCCAAATAACCAAAGGCATGATAGTCTAACAAGTTGTCGAAGCTCGTGTCGAAATGCATACAGGCACTCTCAAAGTCTGTCTAAAAATAGTCGAGATTTTATCCAGGAGCGTGATTTGAAATTGACGCTCCCTCGGGTTCGTGGCCTTGGATGCTGATGGCAATTCCAGGAGAATCGTTGACGACCTCCGAGGATGGTCTCATGCCTCTGTTCTCAGGTCGTTCTCAGGTCGCTCTGGTCTTCCAGACTTGATAATTAACAACCTGTTGCAAGCTTGGCCACACTGCACGTGTTCGTCCAGTGCTGGCTGAGCCAGTCAAGTACAGTGCAGCAACGGCAAAGGTCACGATATGTGGCGTCTATATAGCGCGGCTCGTCTCGCCAATCACGGTATAACAATGTCGTTGACATGGACATCAAAAACGGTAGCAGAGGCAGTGGTGGCAGCCTTCTGGGTTCCTTGCGTGTGAATATGACGATGATACGATCTGCTGATAGAAGGCGTCGGGTGTACTGCACGCTGCTTGGGACGATGAGGCCAGTAAAATTGTTGGCTGCTGAAATCAGGGCGATGCATATTCCCCGCGGAAGGATATTGAGCGACAGTCACTTTACCATGGGCACGCGCTGCATATCCGATTTTCCTATCCTGACATCGGTTCTGCTTCTCCGATCCTCCGTGTTTCACCAACCGGGAATTGACAGTCAGAACCGGGAGGTACACGATGGCGGTCAGCCATTGCTACTGTGATATGTCAGTAGACACCCAGGACACTTACTGATAGGAGAGACAACTTACCTGGTTGCCCTGCAGGTTCGAGTCTTCAATAATCCCCATGATGGAAGCAAAGATAATGCGCCTTTATCCAAGACCCAGATCAGATATGCCACCATCACCACGACCAAGGCGCGCTTGTCGCTCATTCGTTTCAATCGCTTACTGGTAGCCTTGTCAACCTCAATAGCAGTGTAGGTGGCCGATTTTGCGACTTCCTTGTCAAAGGAGGCGTGGTCCGTCTGGGTAGGATGTGATGACTTTACCCACCATCCGAGGGTTACAGGCTAAGATATGCATCTGTAGTACGCACCCTAGACACAGCCCCCGCCGCCCTAAGTGACTAACGGAAACAAGTTCCCGTTGCTGCAGGTGTCGTGTAATGCATGGTGGAAGCTTACGTTCGTCGAGACCTACTTTTAGAGTATAAATATTGTAACCTCCTTTCCTCATCACCCACACAAGAGAGACCACTTCAGCCAAAGCTTTTACTTTGACCACGATGCCCCTCGACACAATTTACCTCGTCCGCCACGGCGTAAGTAGCTCTCTCTGCTACACACGCCACTCTGCTTTCTTTCTACTCTTTTCTGGGTCGCAATACTTATACTGACGCTCAACCCAGAACCGCAACAACTGGACCATCGACCTCGAGAACAACACCTACATCCCCGAACTCCCAACGCCAACAGGAAACCCTGCGGATCCGACCCTGAACGCGAGCGGGATCAAACAGTCGCATGAGCTTGCAGAGTATATCTCCGGTGAGGGGTTCGAGCCGAAGCCGTCCTTTGTGTACTCGAGTCCGTTTTATCGCTGCGTGCAGACGATTCAACCGGTTGTTGAGGCGCTTAATGCGAAGGGTGCGGAGGGGAGAGATTTGGACGTCAGGGTTGAAAATGGACTTGGGTATGTCATTGACTGTCCTTATTCTCCTTTCTTCCTTGCTGCTTGGGAGTGAGAGAATTGGTTACCACTGGTTAATCGCTTGCGCAGAGAATGGTTCGGCGGCATCCCCTTCACCCCACCAGCGCCCTCCACAGCATCTACCCTCCGTACACACTTCCCAACATGTCTCCGCGCAGATCCCGAAAAACACTATACATCCTTTGTAACCCCACCGGGCCGCGGCGAAACACTTACCCAACTCCACGACCGCGTCGCTACAGCTTTATCCGCCATAATCGCGTATGCGGACGCTGAAATCACCGCAATGGAAGACAAGCTCCCACCGGATACTCCACGCACGAGAAAAGCGATCCTGATCTCCTCACATGCGGCGCCGATGATTGCTATGGGTCGGGCATTGACGGGGCAGATGCCACAGGACTTCAGTGAGAAGGATTTCTTTGTTTTCACGGCGGGGTTGAGCACGTTTGTGCGGCGGGGATCAGGGCCGGGGTCGGCGTTTGAGGGAGGCAACGTGCCTGATTGGAAGGGTGGGAAGGGGGTTGGAGGCGGGTGGGACTGTGTCAAGAACGGTGACACAAGTTTTCTGAGTGAGGGGGCGGCGAGTGGATGGTGAGTTCTTCCGATTTGTTTCTCACTGGTGTAGCTCGGGGTTACTGTGCTGACTGATGGTTGCTGAATTCAGGCACTTTGACGGCGAGTCGTCATTTGATACGTCGACGACGATGGTGAAGGCGATCGATGTGGATGTGACGGCGACGGTTACGACGGTTGTTATCGTTTAGTATAGTTCTCTCCGTACTTCTCGGCCGCTAGGCAGACGAGTTTGGTTTCGGATAGTGGTTGAATGTAACCTGTGTAGTCTGGTATTTAGTTTCTCATTTTTAGGGGCAGATAGCTTGGGTTGGATTGGAGTAGCTGCCCGATGAAATGAAGACCAATCTCGAGCAGCAAACCCCGGCAATCATACGAGGGACAAGTGATACTCAGTTTCTTGGAGTAGATTAGCACATAAGCTACGCTAAGCCAACTAGTGGAATGCTTACCCCAATGATATCTCTTGGCCTGTTTCTCCCATGCTATCCGGCATTCCTTCTGCCTTCATCTCGCTTCCAGTCGCCAGTCGTGTGTCTCAATCCTCCAGCTAGTCTCCAAATGTGGCGTCTAGGCTGAGTCTCATATGCTCTGCCCTACGGAATCTTGTTTCCGAGTCGCCTTCTTCATTGCAGCATGCTGGCATATGAGCAGTTGCCGCTTGCAGAAAATCTGGGGACGTGGAGTATGGAGACACTCTCCAGATGAGGGAGCTGGGGTAGATAGAGTCTCCACTATAAAAGTCATCAAGTTCCCACGCAGCCTAGAAAGATAATCTGGGGTATTTCAGCAGTAGCACACACCACACACCGTATTACCTCCTACAAACCCCGACAATGACATCCCACCCCGGGCCAGACAATGCCACCGACATCGCCCCAGCCGAACGCCCCGCCGACCATGCCGTCGAGGACCTCGCAGCCGTAAAGCGTGACGCCGTGACGATAGCCAATGCGAAAAGAGCCACTGAGAACGAACACAACATGAGCGTTTTGGACTGCGTGAAGCTCTATCCCAAGGCCATTGGCTGGAGCGTTGTCATCTCCACATGCATCGTGATGGAGGCATACGACGTCAGCCTGCTCTCGAACTTTTACGCCTTTGCGCAGTTCAATGAGAAATATGGTCGAGAGCTCCCCGATGGGTCGTACCAGGTCTCTGCACCGTGGCAGGCGGCGTTGAGCAATGGGGTCAATGTTGGAGAGATCATAGGGTTATTGTTGAACGGGTTGATCTCCGAGCGTATCGGGTATAGGTACACCGTTATGATATTTTTGACCATGCTTATCGGGTTTATTGCAATATTCTTCACCGCGCCGAATGTCAAGGTTCTGCTTGTCGCGGAGATTTTATGTGGCATTCCCTGGGGTGTGTTTCAGACCCTAACGGTGAGCTATGCCGCAGAGGTATGCCCCGTCGCGCTGAGAGGGTACCTGACGACATATGTGAACTTCTGTTGGGGGCTCGGCCACACTGTTGCACTGGGAGTGATTCGGGGTATGCTGCATCGACACGATGAGTGGGCATATAGAATCCCGTACGCGTTGCAGTGGATGTGGCCCGTGCCCCTACTGGTTGCTATCGCATTTGCACCGGACTCACCATGGTGGCTGGTGCGAAAAGGAAGACTCGAGGAGGCAAAGAGAGCACTTCTCCGGCTTACACGGCAAGACCAACGGGAGCGCACAGGGTTCGACGCCGATGAGACCGTGTCCATGATGGTGCACACGAATGCGCTAGAGAACTCCATTACTCAGGGCGCGACATACCTCGATTGCTTTAGAGGCACAGACCGGCGCCGCACAGAGATCGTGTGTATGGTCTGGGCGATCCAGAATCTAAGCGGCAATTCGTTCTCAAATTACTCGACGTACTTCCTCGAACAAGCGGGCCTAGATGCGGACAACTCATACAATTTTGCTATCGGCCAGTACGGTATCAATATGGCCGGCGTGCTAGGCGCGTGGTTTCTCATGTCCCTCGGCGTTGGTCGGCGGACACTATACCTCTTCGGCCTATGCGGTCTCTTCACCATGCTCCTGATAATGGGATTCCTGGGCCTTGTGCCAGACACACACAAGCGCGAGGCATCTCTCGCTACAGGCAGTTTTATGCTAGGCTGGGCAGCCTGCTACCAACTCTCTGTGGGCACGGTTTGCTACTCACTAGTAGCAGAGCTCCCAACACGCAGACTGCAAATAAAAACGGTGGTTTTAGGTCGAGCACTCTTCATCACGGTCAATATCGTCTGCAGTGTACTCACGCCATACATGCTAAATCCGACAGCGTGGAACTGGCGCAATTTTGCAGGGTTTTTCTGGGCTGCGAGCTGTGGGTTGTGCATTGTGTACGTGTTCTTCAGAGTGCCGGAGCCGTCAGGGAGGACCTTTGCCGAGCTGGATGTTTTGTTTGAGCGAGGGGTTAGTGCAAGGAAGTTTGCAGCTACTGAGGTGGATGTTTTTGGTGATGGAAATGAGAGGCGTGGGGAAGATATAGGTCACGATGGGGAGAAGGAGGAAGTTGTTCACGAAGAGTTGATCGCGGCTTGATGTCCTGTGGCAAATGAGGATAGCTATGTATGTACCCACAAAGGTATAGGACTGAAACTAGGCAGGCGAAGACAACCGTACCTAGATTTTACCGTTTAACCATTGATCCTGGAGCAGCTCTTCCGCAGTCTTTCTATCTTCAGGTCGCCACTGAAGCATTCCCCTCATGAGCTCCATGAACATCTCCTTATTCCTTCCTTCCAGGAACTCCTCCGAGCTCTCAAGGCTTATATCTCTCGGTATCTCGAGGTCCTGCTTCCACTTTCCCGTAAATCTTGCTATAAGCAGTCTGATTCATATGGTAAATTTATCGGATCCAGATTGAGACATCTTCAGTAGAAAAATAAGGACTTCTCGTTCCCCGGCTGATTAAATCCAAAGGGGGTGGTCCGAGGATTCCGATCATCTCGGCCAAATGCGCGCGCGTGGTATACACCCTCCCATCCGGGGTCGTTGCCGTAGAAAAGGTGTCCATCTTTGAAAAAAGATCCCAGATCTGCGTTGAATTTTCCAAGCAAGTAGTAGTGGGAAGCGATGAGCGAGGGCGAAAGAAGCATCAAAAGCTTGGTAATAAGAGCAAACAAGCATACCATAACGCCGGCACTACATATGTCAACTGGGTAACTCCAATCCGCTTTCAACATCACTTCTGGTGATCTATAAACGTTTGGCTGCGCGTTGTGCTTTTGCTTCTCGTCGCCTCGTACAGCAGAACCGAAATCGCTCAAGATTGCGCGGCCAAAAGATTCGGGTACGTCAAACTGTCGAGATGCATATACTGGCGCGCCATCAATGAATTTCCGGGCCAAAGGGTACTCCAGCTCTGCCTCGGTAATGCTTTCAAGTTTGCTTTATTTGCAATCTCTGGGAGAACGTCGTCACCCTTAATGTCTAGAGGATGGAAATGAGTACTGCATTTGTACACAAGTCATCCTCATCTTACCTGTATGCACCAGCTTGCACTCAGTGTGAAGATAGTCCAATGCACCAAACACCTACTTAAGACCTGCCTTGAGGAGATCTTCGATAGAACGATGAGTTGGGTTTCTGTACTTTGATTCGCTGAAGCTTTCCCACATCGGTTTCTGGACAAGACACTGGTGGTCGCCGCCTGAACGAGAAATGGTGAACGTGTCGAGTGCTGTTCTCACATGCCAGGAGCCACGATGCCATGATTTCCGCTGACTCAGTTGCCTGTAGATCTTGAACTCTTCGTGATAATCTTCGTCGCGTGTATAGGCTTTCAATGTCACATATTGGTGGCCTTTAACTTTAGGTGATCGTTAAACATGTAGAGCCAGCATCACTTACTCAAGATCACGAGCAGGCCACGCTGTAGGGGTAACGCCAAATCCCAACTTACCAATGACCTGATACTTGGAGCTATAGACATCGCCAATGTTTACTGGATAATAGTGTCCCTTTCTGAATAATTCAAAGCGCTCTTCTTCGAGGATCTCGGACGCGCTAATAATTTTGAAGTTGGAGTTAGTAAACTTGAATGGGGTCAATGGAGGTCTTTTGAACGCGTTTCTGGCCCATTTTAGGAGAGTCATCACGGTGCCATATGGATGAGGTGCAGGCGTGAAGAGTACAGTGGAAAGCTGTTCTCGTGACTTAAAGTCAATTGATAGATATGATGAGCAATAGACGATAGATTGGTTGACAAAGCTTGCGTAGGCTCAAGTTAGAGAAAAATTGGCTCAGAGTGTTGAGAACACGACATTGCTGAATCTTTAATGTTTTGAGGAATATATAACAGAAATGTCACGTGGTTTATAGCTCCGGAGACTGAGAGGCTGCGAATAGCTTCAAGCCATCGCAACTCCACTCTATTCTCAGCTCGCCAGCACGAAAATCCTATCGCGGAAGTCCATTTCCACACCATAACTTTATCGCCATCGCGATCTTCAAAATCAAGCTTCGACCACGATAATTGGCCAAACAAGCCGGTTCCTTCTCCCCGCAATGACCCACGATCCCGAGCAACGCTAATCCATCCCACGATCCACTCTGGCGCGCATCACCAACGTCACCTCCTTTTCCGCTGCAGAAAAAGCAGAAAGCAACAACATCCCAACAAGCTGGATCCGACCCGAACCGACATGAACCCGCAAACCCTCATCTCAGTCGGCTTCGCAATCGCAGCCGTCTTCCTCTTCTGGACCCTCTCCTCCACCACGACGTCGCCGTTCGCCCGCGCATTCCCGCGAATCTCCAACAAGCGAATATGTCTCCTTATTGCGCACCCGGACGACGAGGCGATGTTTTTCGCGCCAACGCTCCTTGCGCTTACAAAGCCAGAGCTTGGGAATCATGTTAAGATTCTGTGTCTAAGTAGCGGTACGCCCTTTGGCATCCTTCTTCGGGCTGTGAACCAAAGCGACGAAGCTAATGGGTCAATTGGATAACACAGGTGACGCCGACGGCCTCGGCCACATCCGCAAAAACGAACTTACAAAGTCCGCACTACGCCTTGGGATCCGCGCGCCCTCCGACGTGCTTGTCCTCGACGAAGACCGGTTCCGCGACAGCATCACAACAGAGTGGGCGAGGAGCGACGTCGCGGCGCTCCTAGCCTCGACCTTCGCACCGGACTCCAAGACCAATACCACCAGCACGAAGCGAAACAAAGCAAGCAGCACTACTGGTCCCTCCGCAACAATCGATATCCTCCTCACCTTCGACGCCTCGGGAGTAAGCAACCACCCGAACCACCGCTCCCTCTACCACGGCGCTCTCCACTTCCTGCATAACCTCACAAAGGCACACCCCGGGTACGCATCGCCCGTCGCCCTCTACACGCTTACGACCACGAATCTGCTGCGGAAGTACATGGGGATCCTGGATGCGCCGGTGACGATGGTATCGGGGGTGTTTGAGGGGTTGTTTTCGACATCCAAAGGGAAGAAGGCTGGGGCTGGGGCCGGGAAGGATGGGTTTCCTGCGCGGTTGCTGTATGTTAGCTCGGTGGGGGAGTGGATGATGGCGCAGGCGGCTATGGTCAAGGCACATCAGAGCCAGATGGTGTGGTTTCGGTGGGGGTGGATTTCGATTGGTAGGTATATGGCTGTTAATGATTTGCGGAGGGAGGGGTGATATCTTGAAGTGTTGAATGGGCAATATGGGGATGTATAACATATAGATTGGTAGTATACATAGAGGCAGCGTTAACTTCAGATATGAAAGGGTCAATACTACAGATTCACGGAGTAGTGGTACACGATATCAAAAAATACTGGACATCCATAATTCGACACAAACAACGAGACTGAGATCTAACTCTAACAAATTCATCGCTAAGATCGCTAGTTGCATAACACGGTCACGCGATGGGTATCATCAAGCAGCATCAAACATACAATTGTCACATTTAACAAGACGTGTGGAGAACCGTAGCCCTGGTTGTGGCAAGAAAGAATGGGAGGACAATCATTCGTAGGCGAGTTCTGGCCGGTTGATATACCCAAATGCATGTTCGAACCAAATCTCCTTCCTCTCACGCGCTTCTAGTTCAGCCTTCGAAACTAGGTTTTTGAACTCCTCGTCATCACAGGGCTCTCTATATGTGGGCTTCACCTCAGACTCATCTTCAAAAATCACCTCTTGGCTGAGTTCCATTTGTTCGTATTCCTCTTCGAGTTCCATCTCTGAAGGATGGATGTCGTCAGAGAGGCGAACCGGCTGGATAAGGAGTTTGAGCAGCGAGTGATTTTGCTCCTCGGTAGACATGCGATCTCGGTATTTAGCCCAGATGAAATCATCGTCGACAGTATCCGAGCCAGGTGTAGGAGCTATGGCCTCTATAGGTCGGCGGACTTGAACCTTGTCGTGAGAGGCGAGTCGTGAATGCCGGCCAAAGCATGTATTTCCGCGTATTTTGACTGTGCCATCTGGGGTCTCATAAGTAAAGTACTCTGGGAGGAAGTCTCTCCATTCCTCGAGAATTCGCGGGGCCACGACGCGTGCCCAATACCAGGGATTTTCCGTTTTGTGATGGCGCGGTCGATGGCACAATCGAGCCAACCTTTCTATTATGGTTGTTTGCTGAACACAGCGCAGTCGAATTATGTCGTAGGCGCGGACGGCTTCAGCAAAACCTCGCGAGCGTAGAATATCAGGATTTATCCGCGCGTCGCTGGACTCGAGTGGTGGCAGATAAGATTCGACCACCTCCCTTGCATGCTTCCTCTTTCGTCTTGTTTCTTCAAGCATCTCGTATGCTAGCATCATGTGGGTCTTTAAATTTTGAAGATTACCCATATTCCAAGCCGATTTGGCGAAAAACCAATGCATGTCGAACGTGAGTTTGGCTTTGAACGGGCCCTTGGTGATTGTCTCGTAGATTGATCTGATGAAACCGTAGGAGACTGTGCCGAACCGCAGTGTTCTTCCAATGCGGCCGTGTCGGCGAACCGACAAGATATATGATCTCTTGAGCAGTTCGATCCAAACTGACTCTGGAATCTCAATGCCGTAAGAGTTCGAAACCTGGTCAAGAACCCTCAGGGCACCAGGAATATCATTGCTCGTGCCAAATGCGTGAGTTGCGGCCCACAGGAGACGACTCGTCGGGTACACTGGTGACGAACGATGGATTGGGACGATGGGCTTGCGGTCTCCATTCTCCAGTTCACGGACGTCGACATTCCAGACGTCGTACAAGAACTTCCACATGCCCGGGGCCCACCCCGTTCGAGAAACTGCTAGAAAGACGTTTATCATCGTCCTCTCATCAGGCTCAAGCCCTACCTCTAGCATCCTTTCACAAATGAGACGTATTTCCCTTTTCAAGCTTCGGGGTCCGGTTCCATAGTTGTTCCAGCCCTCATTACTAGCATCCCTACGTCTGTAATAGGCCCAGGACGTCATCCGCATACGGTATTGCTCTAGACCAGCGTGGCATCCATTCCAGATCTTAGATTCCATATAGTGGTTGTAACACGTGAGATCCGGGGAAACGCTGGCTTTGGACATGGAATGCCATATATATTCTGCCATCAGCCCATCACCAATAGATTGGGCGCAATCAAGAAGGTGGGTGTACTCGGCAAGGCTTGTTGGGTGACCTGCCAACTGTCGCATTCGTATGATGGTAGAAAGTTTTGTGGCAAACTCGTCGTAGATAACCTGAATTGCTGTGCATCGCTTGGTTCTGGCCACCCTGGGAGACAATAGTTCGTGAAGCTCTTTGTAGGGCTCAATAAAATACGAAGGGGAAAGCAGGCGAAAGGCCTCGACAAAGACGCCCTGTGGTAGCTGGGCGACTATTTCATGATAGTCAGGATTTAAGAAGGCCTCCATGACCAGATCGGGCTGAGCAGCCGCTAGAATAGAATGAAACTCTTGTTTGAGAGTAGCAGTCCGCGCGGGGTCGCTGTGGAATTCCTGGCGACGGACTCGAGGGCTTTCGATAGCTGCAGGCTTGCTGCCAGCAAGCGAACCTTTCGTTGTAATCCATCGCGCGAAACGGCGCGTAGAACCAGCGACCGGATGCAGCTGATGGAAGCGAGTATTGCTGACAGGGAGACACGAGGGGCTGAGAAGGTGAGAGGTAACACCCTCGCATCGACGTACAATGACCCGCATCGAGAATTACTTGCTAAAGACAGCAGAACGCTAGGGGGGAGAGAAAGAGAGGAAACAGAAGGAGACATGGTGAGGAGAAAGAAGAGGGGGAGCCGGGCATCCATGCTGCTTATTATACGGTATTAATGGCGACTGGACTGCACGCGGAGAAATATCAATTGGTAGCGCTTTGTCCTTCAATAATGTCACAGTGTTACTCTGCCTCTGAGTCTGGGGAAACCGAGGGGGTTTGCGCTAACGGTCTTGGCGGAGGATCCTTTTTTGCTCTGGCCTCGCTCCCTCAGTCCCTCACCAGTCGCCTCGTCATTGACATCCATTCCATTCCACGCTCTCCTTCGCAATGGCCGATACTGAGGATGCCGGTTCCGCGTCTGTCTCCGAACCTTTAGACCTTGTCCGCCTCTCCCTCGACGAGATTGTTTTTGTCAAGCTACGAGGTGATCGCGAGCTCAAGGGCCGTCTTCACGTGGGTCTCCCCTTGCAGCTAAGCTCTTGAAGCTGCTACAGAAAGACGATAAGTCACTAATCAATGTCTTCTTTACTCTCTAGGCTTACGATAGTCACTGCAACCTGGTGCTGGGCGACGTTGAGGAGACAATTTACGTGGTGGAGGATGACGAGAACGACCAGGAGACCATCCGAGTACGACCTCTTGATTCCACAACAAACATAGCTACCGCTAATCAGTCTTTACCTTCCAGACGATCAAAAAACAGGAGGAAATGCTCTTTGTTCGAGGTGCGCCGTCATGATACATAAAGTCGGGTTCATTGGCTAACACAGCGACGAAGGCGACTCGGTTGTTCTGATTTCCCCCCAAGCGTGACCGACTGGAAGTTAGATATGAAGGGATATGATATGCCTGGAACAAGCGCTGGCTATGCGGGGCTTGCTTTGCTGCAAGAGGACTCCGATTTCCACGAGCAATGATCATGGGACCACGAATCGTGATGACCACGCAAGGCGACGGGCCGCCGGACGCGATCGCCGGCGCCTCTAGACTCATTTGTTTTCATGTCGCGTTCTTGACCAAATCGGACTCGGGGACCTCCAGAGGCTTTGTCCGAGACGACCGCCGAATCAACTAGCAGAGGTTTCGTCCCAGCGGACTTAATCCATAGAGCTTAATGAATAGAATGTCAAGCTGGACCGATTGTAACTGCACAGCCTCTTTTGACTCACTTTTCAGGAGTGTGAAAGTGGTGCGTTGTGACAGCGCCTGGAGCCAGACGGGTATGACTCAAATACGCAATGACTCGGTTGCTATCGATAAAGCTTTCCCGACCCTCCTCCTCATCCTGCTCCCTATTTATCCTTCTACTCCGTCACTATTAGCTCTACAACTGCATTCAAATCACTTCCATTATATCTTTACTCAAATTATAGACAGTCACACTCCTGTCAGTGGAGAATGATCGTACGAATACGTGTCTGAACGCGCCACAGGCGACTTTCCTATCCGACCATCTTAGTTTAGCACCATCAACGCTCTTAGTGAATCACCATTACTCCGTACCTCGTCTGTTATCTCTACCAGATCCTACCAACGTCCCAGGAAGACCAGCGCGGATAATGAGAACGCCTGGCCCGAAATCAACCCCCGAGGACCGACGAAGAGGCGAGGTCGTGAGTCGCACTCCTTCTCCATTGCCCCTCATTCATCCTATCCCCGCCCTTCCGCTAACCACTGTATTGGCGCCAGGCGCTCAGCGAGTTTGCTGAATACGCAGACAAGCAGCAGTCGCGCCGCTCCGCCCACCCGGTGCCTCCCGAAAATGGCACAAGCGACAAATCCGCTGGCCATGAGGATCATGCGGAATTGGACATCCTTGACCAGCTGGGGCTCTCCGATGACCCGAAAACCGTGAAGTTGAAGGACCTCCTGCTTAGTCCCGAGGACAAAGTCGAAGAGAATACAAAGGTTCTGGCGGAAATCCTGCAAAATCGGATTGACGAAGGTCATGGAGAGACTGTCTTCGACCTTGGTCTGGAGGATGGTGGAGAGTCCATGTCCCTCTCTCTCGACGAGTGGAACAAGGCGCTCCAGCGGCTCCGTGATACGGCAGACACCCTCGCGGCGCATTGCCGTATTCTGCTTACCTACAATGTCGGAGGCCCCGACGAGTCGCGCGTCCCGAATGATCGAGTAAAGGGTGCGTGGGGTAAGGTCCTGGTTCGACAGCCTGCTGAGACGGTGGAGGAAATGGCTGAGATTCGTGTGGCCGTCGTGGGAAATGTTGATGCGGGAAAAAGTACCATGCTTGGTGTTCTCGTGAAAGGGGGCCTGGATGATGGTCGTGGAAAGGCTCGAGTGAATCTGTTCCGCCATAAACACGAAATTGAGAGCGGACGAACGAGCTCCGTCGGTATGGAAATCATGGGCTTTGATGGTCATGGTGAAGTCGTGAGCAGCTCTCAGGGCCGCAAACTATCCTGGGAGGAAATCGGTAAACGGTCCGCTAAGGTTATTTCCTTCTCCGATCTAGCCGGCCACGAGCGTTACCTGCGAACGACAGTCTTTGGAATGCTTAGCAGCAGCCCCAACTACTGCCTCCTCATGGTTGCAGCCAATAATGGGCTCATCGGCATGAGCAAAGAGCATCTGGGTATAGCTCTTGCTTTGAACGTGCCGGTGATGGTAATCATCACCAAGATAGACATCTGCCCTCCACAGATCTTGCAGGAGACAATTTCCCAGCTGACCAAGATTCTCAAGTCGCCTGGAGCGCGCAAGATACCTATATTCGTCAAGAATATGGAAGAGACCATCAACACTGCGGCGCAGTTTGTCTCTCAGCGGATATGCCCGATCTTCCAGGTTTCCAATGTCACTGGTGACAATCTCGAGCTGGTTCGCACGTTCTTGAATATTCTTCCCTATCGCGGCCAGTACAACCCCGATGCACCATTCGAGTTCTTGGTCAATGACACGTTCTCCGTGCCTCATGTCGGTACAGTCGTCTCGGGTGTGGCCAAGTCCGGGGTGATACATGCAGGCGACACAGTCTTGGTTGGGCCTGACTCCCTTGGCCAGTTCACAACGACGACTATCAAGTCCATTGAGCGCAAGCGTATTCAAGTGAATGCCTGCTTCGCTGGACAGTCTGGCTCGTTTGCGCTAAAGCGAGTGCGTCGGAAAGAAGTTCGCAAAGGCATGGTTGTTCTTAAGAAGCTTGAACAGCCTCCAAAGGTCTTCAAGGAGTTTGTCGCAGAGGGTATGATCCTATGTCTTTTTTTATAGATCCTTCCTAACTTATCTAGTTCTTATCCTGTCCCACGCGACAACCATTAAACCCAGGTATCAAGCGATGCTTCACGTCGGGGCAGTGAGCCAAACATGCTCCGTCATAGACATTGATCGCCCCTACATAAGGACTGGCGATCGTGCTCTTGTTGCTTTCCGATTCATGCAACGCCCTGAGTTCCTCGCTCCTGGAGATCGAGTACTTTTCCGGGAGGGCAAGACCAAGGGCTTGGGTATTGTCAAGAGTGTTGGATACGATCCGAGCAACCCATTGAACCCCGAAATGAAGAAAGAATTTGAGCGGAAAGAATAGGGTTGAACTCACTACCTTCTCTAGATCTCTTTCGTTTTTACGGCTTAGTTGGTTTCCCAAGCACAGCGTCACAGGGTCTGGAATCATGCGTTTCCTATATTTGCTGTCTTCGTTATATTCTTTCTTAGTTCCAAGAGTACTTTGGCTCAATCAAAGAAACTCAATTTGATCATACGAGTCTTCTGTATACTCCGTACTACATACAACATGGAAGCGGGGCGTGGCTGATACCCCCGCTATGTGGCGCAAACAGCCACTCCTGACTCATTCTGGAAAGAGAAAAAACTTTTTCCCGTGCAATTTGTCCAGTAGTGCCCCCCATTTTCGTGGCCATCTTTATTCATGCGGTTTTTCTGGGCCTCTTCAGTCAAGGCATTTTGCGATCCCCTCCCGTGCGCCCTTCGGAGAACCCCTATACGCGCTTCTTGGGAATTCTGGGCCACCAGCGTTCTTTACCACCCCTCTCGCTGCTTCACTTCCCAATTCCCACCCGACGAATCAATAGACATGGCGGCGAAAGAGGGGAAGTCAAATAAATTGAGCTTCCAGCTCAAGACGCCGAAGGGCACGAGAGACTGTACGTTGACCAGACCAGCACAACACCATACGGCATGACCACTTAACTGATACGTCTTTCTTCCTATGTAGGGATGGGCACTGATATGATCCTCCGGTAAACACCCCCGCCTTGCGAAACCGTGCCTTACTACCTTATCGCGTGCCCCTCCGCCGACTTACACTTTGCGTGCAGTGAACAGATCTTCAGCGCCATCACCGAAGTCTTTAAGCGCCACGGCGGAACTCAGCTCGATACCCCAGTCTTTGAACTCAAGGAAATCCTCGCCGGCAAATACGGCGAGGACTCTCGTCTTATCTATGACCTCGCCGACCAGGGCGGAGAGGACTGTGCCCTTCGATATGACCTGACGGTCCCGTTTGCCCGGTGGCTGGCTATGAACACGACCGTCCAGCACATCAAGCGTTTTCACATTGCCAAGGTGTACCGACGAGATCAGCCGGTGCGTACCCCTTCCTGTCTTTGCCATGCCATGCATGCGGGACTGATATGAATATGTCATAGGCTGTTGCCAAGGGCCGGATGCGAGAGTTCTACCAATGCGATTTCGATATTGCCGGTACATACGATGCGATGATTCCCGATGCGGAGGTCCTGCGGATAGTGGTGGAGGTGTTTGAGGCGCTGAAAATGCGTGACTATATTACGATTAAGCTCAACCACCGGAAGATCCTGGATGGATTGTTCGCGGCATGCGGCGTCCCTGAGGATAAGATTCGATCAATAAGTTCTGCGGTGGACAAGCTTGATAAGGTATTTTTGGGCTCTTTTCAATGTGAGAACTGAGCTAACGTGTTTAGCTCCCTTGGGACCAAGTCAAGCTCGAAATGGAAGAAAAAGGACTCGAGTCTGAGGTCGCTGATAAAGTTGGAGAATACGTGAAGCTCAGCGGTGGCCGTGAGATTCTGGAGACCATCAAAGCCGACGAGCTGCTCTCCGCCAACGAGCACATTCAGAAGGGTATCGCGGATATGGAGCTCCTCTTCAACTATCTCGAGGCATATGAGGTACTAGACAAGGTTTCCTTTGATCTTTCCCTCGCCCGTGGTCTGGATTACTACACAGGTCTCATCTACGAAGTCGTTACACCCCTCTCTACCCCCGAGGGATTCGCCCAGTCTCAGGATAAGAAGAAGTCCAAGTCGAACAAGTCCGACGATCCCAACGTCGGAGTCGGCAGTATCGCTGCAGGTGGGCGCTATGATGACTTGGTCAACATGTTCGCCAAGAAGCGTCAAATTCCTTGTGTCGGTATCTCATTCGGTGTGGATCGCATCTTCACAATTATGAAGCAACGGAATGAGAGGGAGGCTGAAGAAGGCAACTCTACCGTTCGCCCCAGCGAAGTCGACGTCTTCGTCATGGCATTCGGGGGAAAGGGATTCAACGGCCTGCTAGCTGAGCGTATGTCGGTAGCCAACCAGCTCTGGAACGCAGGCATCAAGACCGAGTTTGCTCCCTCAGTCAAGCCGAGACTGCCCCAGCAATTCAAGCTGGCCGAAGCCGGTAAGGTGCCACTCGCAGTGATTCTCGGAGAGGACGAATTAGCAGCCGGCAAAGTCAAGCTAAAGGAGCTCGGGCTGCCGGAAGGCCACCCCGAAAAAGAGGGGTACCTTGTGTCGAGGGATGATCTCGTCGAGGAGATCAAGAAGAAGCTAAACAAGACAGCCTTACCACTTCGCTAGGCAGCCTTACATCAATGGGGGTGACTCCGCAGACAGGGATTGGAGGAACACAGGGCAGCTGGCTATCCTGATAGGACAAAAGAAATAGACTAGATATCCAATCGTCATACCATGAACTCATCCTTTCTCCTTTCCCCTCTCCCAGTCTTTGTTTGCTCCCGTGCCCCCACGTGACCTGACGTCATACTTTATCAACTGCGAGGGACCAACAACAGCCAGACCATGAATCAAGCATCATCGCTTCCACGGCCCATGATGATGACGTCTCAATCCTGTTTCGGTTTATTCCATCACTGACGTCGAGGCCGCGTTGCTCGCTCCCACTCCTCCCCTCATGCCTCTATATAACCGCCGCCCTAGGATACCAAGCCCTTGGCCCCAAGAAAAGTGGCTATCTGCAATACTACAATAAATTGCAATCAACACATCGGAATCTTTCCCAGCTGAAGCTGATCCATTGCTCCACACGTTTTAGCACTTGGAGGCACACTTTACTTACGTTTCACCCCACCACACTACACTGAACACCTCTCAACCTAACAATCATGGAGACTCTCACCCACGCTGTGCAGAACGCATCCACTGCTGCTTCCAATGCGATTTGGGGCGAACAGCAGCCTCAGAGCCAGAGGACTGAGCAGATTGTTGCCGCGCGACACGGCGAGGAGCCGCTCTCTGGTGTCCAGGGCAAGGGCACAGCTGCTGACCCTTACGATGCTGGAAACAAGGATGGTGAGCACATCATATCCACGACCATTACAATTCTAATTGAGTGGTAAAGCTAACATGTATTGCCTCACTACAGAGCAACCAACTACCACACTGAGCCAGAAGACCGAGTCCATCGTTGCGGCCCGTCACAGCGACGAACCCGTCTCTGGTGTCCAGGGCAGGGGAACCGTGACTGACCCGTACGATGCGGGCAACAGGGATGGTAAGCACTCCATATACCAAAATCACCTCCGACAGCACAAGAATGATAAGAACTAACATTCTCAGAACAACCCGGCGCCCCTCGCTCGAAGGAAAACACCGCCGTCGTCACAGAGCCCCTCTCCTCCATCACCCCAGGCCTCGCCCCATCCCCCAAGGACACTACAGGCGTCACAGCCAAAGACTCCGGACCCACAGACGTCAAGCCCTCAACCGACCGCGCCTCCCTCGCAACCTCTCCCCTCGGCACCAAGAACCCTTCAATCACCCATCCCGAACCCGTCAACGCCCCTCAAAAGACCCCCTACACCCCCTCCAACGCCGCACCCACAACCGGTGCTCTCGGTGCCGGCGCCGGTGGTGTGCCTCTCGGCCAGCCCTCATCGACCGACCAAACCACAAACGCTCACACCAACACCAGCCTAGGCGGCTCGCCCTCCGATCTGCCGTCGCGCCCCTCCGAACAGCGTACCCAGGACACCTCCACCTCCAAGAAGGAAGACGAGGGCGAGTCCAGCGCGAACATCGTTGACGCCGCGGAACACAAACAGAAGGTTAGCAAGGAGGCTCTTCGCGGCCCTAGCGTCTCTGCTCCCCGTGACCGCTGGGAAAAAGAGGAGAAGGAGGAGGAGCGTATTCAGAAGCAGGATGAGCAGAGTGGTCAGCCCGGCCAGCCGAAGACTACCAAGGCTGGTAAGTTATTTCACGTTTGATGATATCTCTGCATACTGGGCTTCGGTACTAACTATACACAGAGGGCGGAAGCTCAAACGACAAGAACCACGGCAAGGACACCAAGGATACCAAGGACACCTCCAAGGGTGAAGAGCATCACCACAAGTCCATGAAGGAGAGACTTCATAACATCGTGCACCCTCGCCACCACTAATCTGTGAAGTTATTAGCTTTTCGGCTTCTTGTTCGTTTTCCCTGCCGCTTCCTTGGTTGGAATTGTATTTCGGGAATGATATCAGAACGCTTCGTTTCGGCTCGGATTGTATTCATCTGGGCTGAGTTATGATGATTATGTATTATATGCAGCGGGTAATAATTCGTGCTCTTGTATACTAATGAATGTTGATTTGAACATAAATGGATATGCATGTCTTATATCAAGTAGAATCGTCGAATGGTGTATAGATAACCCACCCACAGAACTATAACACCCTGAACTCCAACCCTAATCACCGAGCCAACCCTATATACTACAATGCCTTCTTTCCCACTCTGTTCCCTTCTGGATGAAAAATAAAACGTTTACTCAAACAACAACTTCAACTCCTCAAGCCTCTCCTTCCTCTTCCCCTCCTCACCGCCATCCCCACCCATGCCCAAACTCCCCGCGATACCCATCTTCCGCTCCTGAACCTTCAACATTCTGCCCTCAATCGACTCCTTCACGATAAACCGGACGACATTCACATCCCGCGTCTGCCCCATTCGGTGCACGCGGTCGATGGCCTGTGCTTCGATTGCAAACGACCACCAGGGGTCCATCATGAAGACGTTGTTCGCGCTCGTGAGGTTGAGTCCGACGCCGCCGGCGCGGAGCGAGATGAGGAGGACTGTTGGGGTTGGTGCGGTTTCGGTAGATGGTTTGGAGAGGTGAAGGCTTTTTGAGGATGAAGGAACGAGCGTGGTGGATGTAAGTGGAGTGGTCGATTCCGCCTCATCGAGTTCCTCCTGGGTGAATGTCTCGGTTCGGTTGAATTGAGCGAGGACCTCTGCGCGGGCTTTTTGTGGCATTGTGCCGTCGAGGCGGACGTGGTGTATGCCCGCTTTTGTGAGCTGGGGCGAAATGAGGTCGAGGAACGAGGTGAATTGGGAGAAAACGACGGATTTTGAGCCGCTAGGAATGCGCGCGAGGTGTGTTAGGAGGGCGTGTATTTTGGCGGAGGTATGTGCTGAGGGTGAGAGGGGGTTTATGCGGCGAAGGGAGATGCGTGGGGGTGGCTGGGAGCTACTACAGAGGTCATCGGATTCGTCGTCTAGGTTTGAGGATGGTGGTGGTTGTGATGAAATAGGAGGGGAGCTGTTGCTGTGGCGAATAACTTCGAAGATATCCTGTGCGCTGAGCGGGGAGCGGCAGGAGAAGCAGCGTGGCTGGACGTTCTTGTCTGTTTGGTGGCGGATGTAGTCTTCAAGACACTTTTTGCAGGCGCTGTGCCAGCAGCTTGTCACGGCGGGGTCGATCATTGGTTCCTCTGAGCAGATAGGACACTCACCACTGGATTCGGTCTGGATCTGACGGAGGGCGTGCGCGGTGAACTTCTTTAGGGGGTCTTGGTTTTCATTAGACTCCCCCGATTGATTCTCTGTAGCCTCGGTGAAGCGATCTATCAGTTCTTGCAGGTCCATGTCGTCCTTGAATAGCTCATTGCTCTGGTCTGCGGCCGCCGCGGCGTCTTCCTCGTCGGCGACGATGGCCTTGTTGCGTGTCAGTATTGGGTGGCAGCATGTTTGGCGGAGGCGCAGAAGTTGTGCGAAGATTGTCGAGTAGGACTTGAGGATTGTGCCGTTCTCGACACCGTTGTTAAACGTCTGTTTCGCCCGGGTGAAGATGTGGTTGTAGATATCCCGTTCCTGATCCGAGAGCTCGACCTCAGCAATCTGGACTGTCCGCGGGGGTAAGGGTACGAGTGGCTCTCCCTCGGGCGTCTTCATGGTCTTTGTGCGTCGCAGGACGAGAGGCTCGAGGACAGTCTGCACAACGCTGAGAGCACGGACAAACTCCTTCGATTCGAAGGGCGTGGTGATGAACGTCTTCCAGAAGGAAAAGTTGTTCCATGGCTCAACCTTGAGGAACCTCACCAAGCTAAACAAGTCTTCGAGACGGTTGACAATGGGTGTACCCGTAAGGACCCATCGGTGTGTCGCCTGCAGCTCGTAGCAAGCTCTTGCAGTCTTGGACCTCCGGTTCTTAATGATGTGTGCTTCGTCGAGAATGACACGGAAAAAGTCCACGGAAAACAAGTTTCGTTGTGTCCAGGCCCCCGACGCCAGTGCTGTTAGATGTTGACGATGCTCCGCAAGAACAGTCCCGTAACTTGTTACAATTACATTAGGCGCTTTCGAGTTGTTAGAAGAGCACAGCTCTCGTAGGTCCACGGCCTTTTCATTTCCGTAATACATTAGCACTCTCATTGATCCGGGAAGGGAGGCTTTCAAAGCCTCGCTCTCCCATTGTGCAAGTAGCGACGTTGGCGCAACAACAAGAGTTGTATACGGCGCTGGCACCACCCCGGAAGGTCTCATAAGATTACCGGGTGATGTATGGTTCGAATCCTGGCTTGGAGGTACATTCCTGTGAGAATGAACCAAGCTAAGCATCTCGATTGTCTTTCCCAGTCCCATCTCATCGGCCAGTATACCGCCAAGGCAGTGTTGTTCCTGCGCAGGGAAGTCAAGGCTAAGCTCTCCGGAATAAGGGTTGACGTAAAAATGTTCTATCCCTTCAACAATTGGTAGGTCTTTGTCGTCGACGTCTTTTAGCGGCCAAGTATATTGCTCCCAGAGAGGGTGCATGGAGACCTCCCGGCCGGATTTCTTGTCCTTCTCTTTTGCAAGCATCCAATGAAGAGCCTGCTTCTGGTACTTGCGGAGATCTAGAGCGAAAGTCGACGGTGGCTGGGCTTCCGGCATGTTGAAGTCGAAGGATTGTGCTTTCTTATATAGGGCATCAAGTTGATCTTCCTCTAACTCTGCAGGCTCCTCTTCTTCGGAGTCATTCCCGGACTTGCCCTTTTTGGCATCTTCGTCAGCCATTTCGGCTGCACGGAGCAGTCCTTCTTTCTTTTGCTTTTTAGTTGCGTCATCCTGCGACAACGGCGAGAGGCCAATCTCATCGAATAGCTTGACCAGAGCAACCTGGCGAAGACGCAGCTGCTTCTCTTCGGCGCTTTCCTGGTCTTCAAAGATTGTGGTGGCCCTGTTGTCATCCGCTGATAGAGACAAGATCCTCGGCTGAAACGCCTCGATGCGAAGGTAGCACCAGAGTTGCAGGTATATCGTATCATTCACCCTGAGTCTATCCGGTGCGAAGACACAGACACCTCGGAGCTCGCAGACCTTTTGATCGAGGAGTGTAGATACCCACTCCGCCGATTCGCGCGGCAGTCTCCCGATTTCCTGGCCGGCAGTATTGGTGAAACGGGTCAGAACATCGCCTTTGTTATTAACTCTTATTTTCCCGCCTCGGCCGCGAGTCGATAATGGTTGAGACCGTGCACGCTCGATGTTGACAGTATCACCGTGTTTGACCAAGCCGACGCCGCTTCTCGTCGCCCATGCGCTAACCCCGAATGCACCGATATATCTGCGTGAAGGCTGGGCCAGGGGACGGGGAGGCCCTCCATCAACTGGCCTAGCTATCTCAGGTAACGAAACAGGTTCCGGGACGGTATTTGGTGGCTTTGGCGTGGAAATTGGAGGGGCTCTCTCACGAGCCGTCAACGTTGTCTGGTTTGCCCGCGGTGCCTGGACACCGCCGGAAGTCTTCCACGAGCCATCGAAGTAGATATTGATTGCTCGTTCCAGATTCCCACTGGAGACATTTCGTATCTTGAGCAGCGTTTCGGGGGAGAGCTTTTCGCCTATGATACTGATAAACGTCGCCGTGTCGAATCCATCCATCTCAATCTGCTCTGGCAGTTGAACATTGTGCTCGACAACGGGAACGGCAGGGTTTGGTTGTTCGCTTTGTCCTCCATTTCCTACTACCTTGTCGTAGACCAGATGAGAACCATTCACGCCATTATTCCCGTCCACACGCGAAGAAGACGCGTCGAAACTCGATGTTGGGGCGGTAGGGTCAGTCGTGGCCGGGGTGGCATCGCTCGGGTCCTCGACAAAGAAGCGGCGTTTCTTGAATGGTCGTTCATGAACAGGGTCGTAGTCCATGGTGGACAATGTCCGTGTCGTGGTTGGGGGAGGGAGAGTTGGCGGACGAGACTGCCCGACATTTGATCGGCGGAAATTGAAGATCGGGAGACGCGCCGCATCCAAAAGACGCGAAAATTGATTAATTTCGGGCCGACGTCATTCGTCGAAGAAAAGTGCAGAGGAGCTTCGAATCTTGGGACGAACTTCGCTCAACGATACGTGTTCCTGATATCAAGCTGGTCTTTGCTTAAAAGTCCGCTGGTCTTCCTTATGACCCATCTATAAAGAGCTCTTTTAATTTTCTTTTCTCCTGCGATTGATAAAACTTCTCTGCTCCGGAAAGCTCTACTTTCCCGACCTCCGTCCGAGCTGCCAACAGCATCAAAGCAGCAAAATGTCGTTAATGAAAGAGATAAGCCGGCCATGCCGCTCAAACAGACAGATTAGACACATCTACCTTCTCAAACGCCATGCCTCTTCCTCGCGACCCATAACCGGCTCCTCAGAAGCAGAAGTCGCATCCGCACAGAAATACTGTCTTGACCTTCTAGCGTACGACCAACGCCCTCCTTCACCTCCATCCAAGAAACTCATACTCACCCTCTTTTTGCACTATTAGAAAATATGACCGCCCCTCCTACACACTAAGCACATTCATCCCCGCCCAAGCGCGAAGCACCTACATCGCCCTGCGCGCCCTAAACAGCACCCTCTCCCTCCTCCCCGACACCACAACCAGCCACACAATCGGCCTGATGCGCCTACAATTCTGGCGCGACGCCGTCAACCGCACGGCATCAGGGTCGCCACCCAAGGAACCAATCGCAATCCTCCTCGCACACGCAATGTCCGACCTCGACGCCCGCACGGGCGGTTCCGCGCGCCTGAGCAAGATCTGGCTCACGCGCATGATCTCCGCGCGCGAGGCAACTCTCACAAATGACCCCTACCCCACACTTGAAGCGCTCGAAAGCTACGCAGAGAATACGTACAGCACACTGCTGTATTTGACGCTTGCGGCGTTGCCGATGGCGAGTGTCACGGCGGACCATGTTGCGTCGCATGTCGGGAAAGCCGCGGGGATTGCGGCTGTGTTGAGGGGGCTACCAATTGTGGCGTTTCCGAGGGGGGGCAGGCAGGCTCCTGTTAGTGATCCGTCGGGGACGCAGGTTGGGGGTGGGGCGAGGCAGGGGGCTGTTATGTTGCCGTTGGATGTTATGGCGACGGCTGGGGTGAAGGAGGAAGAGGTTTTCAGGCAGGGCGCAGAGGCGCCAGGGTTACGCGATGCAGTGTTTGCGGTTGCGACGAGGGCGAGTGACCATTTGATTACGGTGCAGCAGATGTTGAGCAATCTGCGGGCTGGCAAGGATGTTGGCCATGAATTTGAGCATGAGGAGGAAGAGGAGCATCAGTATGCTGCGAGGGAGCACCAGTCGCCATTGGAAGAGGTCAACCGGGCCTTTGGAGTCTTTCTGCCTGCTGTCGCGACACGGTTGTGGTTGGACCGGTTGGAGAGTGTGGATTTCGATATATTCAGGCCGGAGTTGCTGCGGTCTGACTGGAAGCTTCCGTGGAAGGCTTATATGGCGTTTAATCGGAAGTCTCTCTAGCTATATACATTGAGCGAGTAGAATGTACAACATAACTGTATACAATGAACACTTGGTCTATACCGATTTCACAGTCTACCCATAAACAAGCCGTCTGACGAGAACGCTAATCCCGCTTCGTCCATTTCCGCCTTCGTTCTCGTCTCGAGCTATGGATGAGATACCTCTGAGCCTTCAGGGCCAGCCAGCGCTGGATCTTATCTCGCCTGCAATGGGTTAGCTTGAATCTAGTAAGACAGTGGGGTTGTCTCACATCAGAATAGCTATTGTCGCCAAAACAAATGGTGGCGCAATCATCCAAAAATACCTATATAGTTCAGCAATTGGTTGTATGTTTCAGGCTGGTTCAGCACTTACGCATCACTATTCTCTTGAACACCGGAGAACCTCTCAAAGTTCATCCCAAAATAACCCTATCGCAGTTAGTAGGTAATTATTTTTGTATACGCAACAGAACCAACCGTTAGGAATGTCAGAGGAAGATACAAGCAGGTGACAACTGTCAATTGCTTCATACTTTCGTTTTGATATGCACCTATAAACCGTCAATAACCCACATCAACAAATCGCAAGATACTCACCAATGGTATTGAAGATCAGGTCAATCATATTGTCTGCTGCCCGTCGCATCTGATCGTAGCCTTCGATGATGGTCAAACAGTGATCCAGGGCGTCGCCCAAGTACGTATGGCACATGGTGCTTATCGATACACTTGTGCCGCCAATGCTCATGAGATTCGGTGTAGAAACTTCGATCTGTGGTTGTGCGCCGGAGGACGGTGTTGTAAACCCCGGCGCTTTCAGAGCTCCTAGGCCAGGTGTGCTCATTGGCTCAGAACGATGGTCACGGAGAGCATTGATGATTGTCGCGATAGGTTGCATGACGCCGCGAAGTATGGCGATCTCAGAGGTCAAGATATATAAGCTCTTGGACTGATCGATTTCCGGGCTTGTCAAGACATCGAGCTCTAGATCGCCAATTGCGTCTTGATAAGCCGTAGTCACCGGTATCGCCAGGTCAATGATGGCGTCCAGAATAGCCTGGACGAGCATGCTGGCATCGCATGACTGGCGCAGCATTGTCTCTGGCTGGCTAAGACGCCTTGCTATTGGAGCCTCAATGTCCTCTGCACTTGCTTCGAAGAAGGATGTCACGGTGTTGTCAGCGTGAAGAAAGATCGAAACTTGTTCGAGAGTGACAGCCAGTCCCTTGGCCGCTAGGACAGCATGCTGCTCTAAGAAAGTAATCCGATCTTCGTTCGGTCCGCCCCGGTAACGCTGAATGCTGCGCGCCGTACTAACAACATCGGCAATCCTATCGAATTTCGGTGTTTTCGAGTGAGATCCGTGCATACCAGGCCCGGGCCCAGCTCCGTCAGTATTCATATTTTTGCTTTCATCTTTTTGTGTTCTTCGCCGGAAGAGGTCCTTCAAAGCGGCTAAAATGACTCTTCGCTTGGTCTGCCTCCTTACAGACATAGATTTCGAACTCGCGGTCGAATCTGTTCTCTCCGGCCTCCACGAGGCAGCGTCGTCCTCATCCTCTTCGTCTGAGTCGCTATCGTCTTCTCTCAGGTTGATCAGTTTTTGCAGCGTGAGAACGATATATGCATGATCAGAGTACCAATCCACCTTCGTACGGTTGGTTGCGTTAATCAAATCCTCAATCGCAAGTCTGTGCAGACCCTTCTGATTACCCAAGACTCGAATGACATCCCAGCTAAGGCCATTGACATTGATCCACCTGCATTGAACCCACGGCTCCCGCTCCCTCGCCAAGAACTGCTCGATAGTGTCATTGTCGAGGGCGTACTGTCGCATCTCATTCTGAGAAAAGTCTATTACTGTGATTTCACATCGTCGATGCAGGTTCGTTGAGATTGAGGCCAACCATTCTGCATTGTATGCTGGAAGAGGTCTGGTAGGGTCAATACCAGGTTCTGTTCCAGGTTGCCAGTTCGGATCATGGGTGACGGTATCCGGACGGTATGACCGCGCAGTATTTGCGCGACGCGCACGGTGCCTGACCGTCTCTTGTGAGTTTGCTCGCCCTGGGACAGTCACTGTGTCTGGGCAGGTGGATTCCCAGGCGTTCGGAGAGACCGCCCGGTGGGGTGAACGGGGATGCGCCTCAATATCTGGTACGGCTTGAGACCGTGGAGACGGGGTATCTGCGAAAGTCGCATGGTCATAGGTTTGGATAGACTCCATCATGTCCTAGCAAGTCTGGCCAGAGGGCTCAACCCTTTGTTCAAGTTTTGCGACGGTGGCTAACGATTCTTCGAGTTCTTGGGCTGAAAAACGCCCTTCATCCCAGATGCTGCATGTCGAGAATGACGTTTCAGGAGAGTGGGCTCTGCGCGGAACCCTGCATATAACAATCAGAAACTTAGCGAGGAAGATTATTGAGCAACGCAGCGGGGCTGAAGTTCAAAGATGTATTCAAGAAAGACAATATTCTTTCGTGAGAAACCTATATTTGAGACAAAGAAGCGTCATGTTTTGGGTAAGCTCTCTTTGACAGCTGGCTCGTTCTTGGCGCTTCTCAAATCCAACACAGTGAAGGGTCCAGCGCCCTTACTTGTTTTAGAAATTCATACGAAGGGCCCGAGGTGCGGGCAGCTGGAGCACTGACTATGCGGACTACTACTACCTACACGACTGTGAGCGCACTCTGTTTATTTGCTGGCTCTCCCAATACGGAGTAAAAATATTAGTAGTAGAGATCTTTGTATTTCATGTTGGGAATCTTGGATAGAATTGAAGTACTAAGCCACAAGCTATGTAGCCATACTGTACATGTCAGAAGGCAACGCTTGGCTCCTCCGAGGTCCAGTGGTCACTTTTCAGGATTGCAGTGGAGTTAATGATATTTGTCTACTCTGTCAGCCTGATTCGGCAATTGGTTTGATTCAAGGCTTTCGAGAGTGGGGCGGTGCAGGCGTGTAGCAGCTCGGATGTGTGTGACATGATGCATATTGCCATCGATGTATGGCACGCAAGGTTATAGCTTGTGACAGGTAGCTGGTATCGACGGCTTGATGGTGTAAATGTGTTCTGACCAGCGCCGTATGGGCTCGGCGAGATTTAACCATTCGCGCCGCGTAGTCGTGTGGACTCTCTAGGCAGGAGACCTCAAGGGGTCGCTGACAACGAGGGCAAGCCATTCAAAAAACCTCTTTCTGTGTTGATGCAGCAGATTTCTTCTTCGTAGTGAGACTTATTTTAAGAGGAACCAGAGATCTCTTCGGCCCGGGCGAATCTTGTCGTGCGAGCGGTTTGCGACATACAGGACAAGTACCTCGGGATTTTCCAGCCTGATCGGTTCGTTCTTCGCCAATCTTGAGAGCTTCGGTAATACATTGGTGGCAAAACAGATGTCCTAGCCCATATTAGCATATATCCTAAGCCTCAGAGTTCATAGGAAAAGGCATACCACAAACTGTAGTTGTGGCATCGGTGGGAGTGTCCATGCAGACAGGACACTTATAAGCCGTCAACTTGGTGCGTGCACTTCCGCTATCACTAGGCTGCTGTGCAGCAACAGCATCTTCTCTCTGTTTCGCTAAAACTTTCGCGATCGCTGAATTGCCGTCTACCTCGGTCAGATCTATCGATTCGATGGCGTCGTTAACGTTCTCGTGCTGAGATCCTGAAGACGAGACGGTCTGGTTCGTCAGTCGTCTACGCTTGCGAGGCCCAGAGGGTCCAGCCTGGGCATTCGACGGCCGTCGGCCGCGCGGCGGGGACGACGGTATCGAGATTGTAGATATGCGGCGGGAGGAAGCTTCCTGGTCCATAGTGGCTGACCTGCAGTCTGAATCAAGTTTGTGGTTCGCGTAAATTGCGACTGTGAAGCCTCTTGGGGATATCGGGGACAGTCATGGAGAGAACGTGGGTGAAGGCTCGTGTCTCACTTCATCAAATGGCCGCCACTTCATTGTTCGAAAGTTAATTCAGGCAGCTTGGCAATGCCGAACGGACCGATTCTGCCGCCTTATCACCTGATGATAAGTCGCTAACGTAGGCGGTAAGCTTATCCGGAGCAATGATTGTCCGGCCCCAGGTGCTGGGACACGATTCCGCGATAGGAAAGAGTCTCCACGCATCACGACTCATCGCGAGTTCCGCCCCTTGTTGCAATCTTTATCGCAGGACGCGGGCAACAAATCTTCACTATATCTACCATGGAACTGATGCGGATAATTCACTCTTCATGATAATATGCTTTGGAGACATTACTGCTCTCCCTGCGCGAAGGGTGTAGCTCGATCTCGTGCTCAGAAACTTCGCGGAGCTCGCCCATTTGTGCAGCACAATGTATTGCCACTCTTATCAAGACATCACAGCTCACAAGTTGAAGGCAATGAAGCTACACAGAGCTCTCTCTCAGGTATGCTGTGCCCGATTGCTATCTCAATTTGATAATGCTGACTTTTTAGTCCCCGCAAGGGCTAGGTTCAACGAGATCGGCGTCCAACAGCTGAGCGACCATGTGTATTCGCAAATATTCTTCAATAAGTCACAGCCGCCCGATCCGAACCTGGTCGCATTATCGAAAGACCATCTTGCGCGGCACGATTTATTAGGGAAAGCACAGGAGCATGCGGATCCCGTCGGCTTCGACTTACCTGCCCTTCAGGGGCAAACTCTCGATGAGCATTTCTTCAAGCTGGGAATGGACTCGTCGGAGCCGTACCTCACATATGCCAAAGAATATGCGGCCGTGCATTCGCCAAATATACCGCGCAAATGGGTCAGGCGGAGCGGCTGGACTAAATACAATGCCGATGGTACGTCGGAGGCCGTGGAGGCACCGAACGAGCCGATGATCACTTTTGACACGGAAGTGATGTACAAAGAACACCCTTTCGCTGTGATGGCATGCGCCGTGAGTCCGACGGCTTGGTACGCATGGATCTCGCCTTGGTTGCTCGGAGAGTCAACGAACGAAATTCAGCTCATTCCGCTAGGCGATCCAACTCAGTCTCGAATTATTGTTGGGCATAACATCGGTTATGATCGTGCCCGCGTTTTTGAGGAATACGACTTGAAACAAACCGCCAATTTCTTCCTCGACACAATGTCACTCCATGTGGCGGTTAATGGAATGTGCTCACAACAACGACCGACATGGATGCGCCACAAGAAGAACAGAGATTTGAGAGACAAGATTGCGAATGATAACAACTCTGTTGAACTCGCCGCTATAATCGAGAACAAGATGCTGCGGGAGGAAGAAGAGGAACTCTGGGTTGGGAGAAGTTCGGTCAACTCACTCCGAGATGTGGCCAAATTTCACTGCGACGTCACCATTGATAAATCCCAGAGAGATTACTTCGGCGAGCTCGATAGATCGCAGATATTGGCAAAACTTGATGAATTGCTTGATTACTGCGCTGCTGATGTCGCAATCACTCATCGGGTTTACAAGAAGGTCTTTCCGAACTTTCTGGAGGTCTGCCCCCATCCAGTCAGTTTCGGTGCCCTGAGGCATCTTTCATCCGTGATCCTGCCTGTCAACCATACATGGAAGGAATATCTTGACAGCGCCGAATCAACGTATCACAAAAGATTGGATGATGTTCAGCGAAGACTCGTCGAACTATGTGATGAAGCGTTGACTTTCAAGGATGACCCAGAGAAATATACAAATGACCCCTGGTTACGCCAGCTGGACTGGACCGGCCAAGAGGTCAAGATGGTCAAGGGCAAGAAGAAAGGCGACCCTCCCCGACCAGCTGCCAGGCAGAAAAAGCCAGGGATGCCCCAGTGGTATAAAGACTTGTTCACATCGAACACCGCTGACATCAATTTAACGGTCCGGACGCGAATATCGCCCATACTTCTGAAGCTATCGTGGGACGGCCATCCCTTAATTTGGTCGGATAAGCACGGCTGGACCTTCAAAGTGCCCCGTGACAAGGCCCACCAATACGAAAATCAGCCCGTTGTGGCCTGCGATGTGTCTGAGGAGAAGAACCTTGAGCTGCAAAATGACACAAAACACATATATTATAAGCTGCCTCACAAGGATGGGCCTCTAGCCCGCTGTGTAAGCCCGTTGGCTAAAGGTTATCTACAATATTTCGAACGCGGCACATTGTCTTCTCAGTACGCCCTGGCCAAGGAGGCTTTGGAGATGAATGCCTCTTGCTCTTATTGGATCAGTGCCCGAGATAGGATCATGGGCCAGGTTGTAGTCTACAAGGATGACCTTGCGAGAGCCAAAAAGGATGAAAAACAAGATCTCGGGTTTATTCTTCCTCAGATCATTCCAATGGGCACTATCACTCGACGGGCAGTCGAGAACACATGGCTTACGGCGAGTAACGCGAAAGGCAATCGTGTCGGCTCTGAACTCAAAGCGATGATCAAAGCTCCACCTGGCTACGCCTTCGTCGGTGCCGATGTCGATTCTCAGGAGCTATGGATTGCAAGTTTAATCGGCGATGCCCAGTTCCAACTTCATGGTGGAAACGCGATTGGATTCATGACTCTGGAAGGTTCCAAAGCCGCCGGAACCGATATGCATTCACGCACTGCCCAGATTTTGGGGATCTCGCGTAATGATGCTAAAGTGTTCAATTACGGCCGTATTTACGGTGCAGGGGTCAAGTTTGCGGCAACACTTCTACGCCAATTCAACCCGTCCATGACAGAAAAACAAACTCAGGAAGTGGCAACTAACCTTTACAAGGCTACAAAAGGTGCAAAGACGACCCGTCGCCAACTCTCCGATACTCCGTTCTGGCGGGGAGGTACTGAATCCTTCGTCTTCAACAAGCTAGAAGAGTTTGCGGATCAAGAACGGCCACGTACTCCTGTCCTTGGTGCTGGAATTACCGAAGCCCTAATGCGACGCTTTATCAACAAGGGCAGCTTCATGACATCCCGCATTAACTGGGCAATTCAGTCTTCTGGCGTTGATTATCTTCATCTTCTCATCATCGCCATGGACTATCTTATTCGCCGATTCAATCTCCAAGCTCGATTGGCAATCACCGTACACGACGAGATCAGATATCTTGTCAAGGAGGAGGACAAATACCGCGCTGTCCTGGCATTGCAAGTCGCCAATGTGTGGACTCGTGCTATGTTCTCGCAGCAAGTCGGCATCAACGATCTTCCCCAATCGTGTGCATACTTCTCACAAGTGGATATTGATCACGTCTTGCGAAAAGAAGTGGATATGGACTGCGTGACTCCTTCTCATCCTCAGAAGATTCCCCACGGCGAGAGTTTGGATATCGTTCAGCTGCTGAACAAGGGGAATGAAGCCCGCCTTGACCCTTCGATCATTCCAATTTCCCCTCCTTCCCCCGAAAAATACACCTATACACCCCGAGCAACCGTCATGTCCGCTCTCGAAACCTCCAGTAATCCCGCCCTCATTAAAGCACAAATCACGAAAGACGATAAGGAACTCCGGGAAATCATCAAAGACCTCACAAAATCGAACATACCCGCCAAACCAACAACTACACGATCCACTAACCGCACCAAAACAACGCCACCTGCAGCTGAGCCTCAGAAAGCCATACTGATGGACATCGGTTCTGGTCTATATGGCGGCGGTTTTCGAGACTTTGCCCAGGGGAGCAGGCCTCCTCCGGTCAATCTGCCCCGCCACTCCTGGAAACCACGGGCAACTGCAAGGGCATACTAATTCTTTCCACCTTCCCCCCTTCCACTTTAACTTTACCCTTACTTTCCTATGTGTATGTTTTGTGATCTGTTCAGATCTACCTATTATACTTGTATAACCCTTTATACTTTGCGGATGTATTATATGATTCATGAAGCATGCGGAGGCGTCTGTGGCGGCTGGTGGTCTAGGAGTCATTAGAGGGAATTACACTGGTTATCTTGATTTGGTGAGGCTTCATCCTTAGTCTTGATGTAGATCAAAAAATCAACAAATCTCTTACGAAACCTCGGTTCTTCTATATATAACTCTATCTACATCCTCAAACATTCTTCTTTCTAGCCTAAACCCCTCTCTTCCTTCCCGGATCCAGTGTATTCCGTCGACTCAACCCTTCCCCCCTCAGCATCGCATCCCCTTTCTTTCCCAGCACCATCTCAAGCGCCTGCGTCAACCCAGCGGCATCATACCTCATCCCCACTGGTACCTCGGTCCCATCGGGCAACGAGGAGACAATCTTCCTTCCGTATAGACGCAAACTCTCGATTCCCATCTCGGCTAGTCGGTCTTTGTCTACGCTTGGTGTCCCCGGGCCATCGAGGTGAAGGACGTGTGTCACATATAAGGTATATGGGAGCGACAGAGCAAGTCCGTTTACCTCTAACTGAAGGGGTGGAAAGGCGTTTTGACTGGGGTTCGTAGTAGTAGAAGGCGAAGTTGCCGAACCATTGGCAGGATCAATGAAATGGCGACCCCGACTCTCCTCTCCAGCACGAGTAATCGCCTCAATGAAATCTACCGCCGTGAAGGGATCACTTGGGGGTCCCGTCTCGCGATCTAGACTGCCGTTTAGGATCAGGATCTTATGGCGCGCGGGACTGGACACGATTGCCTGCCCGACGCCATGGAGTACGATACTCGGTATCAGCGATGTATACAGGGATCCGATGCTGTATATGATTGCCTGAGCGTCGCGAATGGATTCAAGGACGCGCGGGTTCGCGCGAGGCCGGATCTCTTGGCCGTAGGGGTTTATGTACCAGATTCGAGTAATCCGGGCGGGGAGGTCCTCGTTGTCTGATTTGGAAAAGGAGATGTTTTTATTTCGCAGATGTGGGAGGAAGCCTGGTGGTTGGTCGTCTTCGTAAAGGGCTGTGGAGAGGACATCTGAGGGCTCGGTGTAGTCGATTGCAGCAGCGGTGTCTCTCTGTTCAAGTGTGGTTTCGAGGGTATTTGTTGGGGATGTAGGCCGTGGCGGGAGACTAGGGTGCGAGATGCTGTTCTGGCCAACGATGACAGTGCCATTGGCGAGGGAGGCGGAGATGTGGTGGGAGAAGTTGGAGTTTATTGCTGGGATGACGCGGACGAGGTCCGAGGGGACGTCGCAGATGTTGGAGAGGAGGTAGATGGCGCTTTCGAAGGAGCCGCTAAAGAGGCGTGCGCCCGTCAGGAAGAGGTTCCCGACGCTTGCGGAGGAGAAGTCAAATGTTGATGCTGGGGGTCGAGCACGCTTGAGGATTTCGAGGTTGAGGAGGTTGAAGAAGGAGCGGATGAGTTCCTTCTTGGCGGGAGTAATTGATTTCCAGACGGTGGATGTGCCATCTACGATGGATAGCCATTCAGCATGGGCTGATGCGTCTGCAGGCAGTCTGTGGTTGAACAGAGACTTGATAGCTGCTCGCTCGGAGTTTGGTGGTGATGGTGGAATCAGGCGAACCAGTCGACCTGAATGGAGATTAGTTGTCTGGACAGAGATAGGAGCCAACATGGTACGTACTCCTTACATCGCCGATACCAGGGCCACCAAAAATTCGTATCAGCTCTGATGATGAGCCGCCATTGTCACTGATGGGGATGATATAGCTCAAGAAGCAGTCTTTGCTCTCGCGGAGTGCGCTAAAGACGTCCACGAGGTTATTTGCAGCACTTCCTCCGGAAAAGACCACGAGCCCCCGATTTGGGGTGGAGGGCGTGGTTGACATCGTCAAGGACGATGATTCTAAGTCGAGATCAATTGATAGAAATCGTATGCCTTAGATCTGGAATGTTCTAGTACCTGTTCAACGGTTTAGCGAGTGTTTCACAAAAGGAAGAAAAAGATATATCTTACTGAGCGCAGGGATAAGAGATCAAAAAGACCACGCAGTCCAAATGATTTGGTAGACCAAATCCGGTGGCGATATTTAAATGTATTTTAACACCTAATGGCGATAGTCTCATTGAAGTCAGGTCATGGATAAAGATAGATAAATAGAAGTGGACAAGTCGGGGGATTGGCTCAGTTGGGTAAAAGTGGGAGTGAGACAAACTTGGAGTGGGAGGCAAAAAGTGCGGGTGGTCACGCCTCAGTCAAGATAACCATCAAATTGCAAAACAGGATATTTTTTTAGCTAACTATTGATAAGAGGTAATTCTAGGTCTATGTAGTAATATATACGAGAATCAGGTCGCTATATAAACAGACGTAATATATTCACACCCCAGCTCTTCCCCACCATTTCTACACAACACCCGAAGTAGTATCAAAATCGAATAGTACTATCAAGCGTATGCGGCCCAGCCTAAAGTTACCATCGATTAGTTTCGTCATCAGAATGTCAAACTGGGTACAGACGGCTTACCGCAATACAAAACAGCAAGGTTCTTCTCATCCGTCGCTTGCTGAATCAACTCGTTCACAGTGGCCGTTACACTCAGCGTCTTACTCAACTTCTTCGCAACCACAGTCAAAGCCCGATCAGCTTCACTGGGCTCGTTCGTAGATCTGTTCTCCACAGTAGATCCAGGCAGCACAGGCGGCCCATCGCCCGCATCCTGCTCTTGCATTTTCTTCATTCGCAGCGGTGACACCGTCCAGCTGTACAAAGGATCATACCGGAGCACATCGAGAATCGTCATGATGCTATACGATTCCTGCCGAAGGGCTTCAAGAGTGAATTCGCAGCAGCGTCGGAAGACGCCCTCGGTTTTAGTGATACCCATGCCATCGACTAGATCGCGCGTCAGGCGGAAAGGGACGACTTCGGGAACGGGCAGGACACGACCCTGCTCAAAAGCTACACCCAGGTCAATGTGGACTACTTCGCCAGTCCGTTCGTCGAGGAGAATATTGTGACCGTGGCGATCTCCAAGTCCCAGGACGTGTCCTAGCATCGAGATTGCGGCGGTGCTTTGCGTGTACGATAGCCTCCTTCTGAACCAGTCGTCTGGGTTGTTGAACTTTTCCATGAAAAAGTATCGCAAGACTGGACGGAAATGCTCGGTCACCTGGCGGTATGCCCTCACTCGTTGCTCGAAAGATCGTGTTTGGACATCAGCGATGTATTTGCGGCAGGCGTTTGGTTTCATGTCCTTCGGGTTGTATCGTTGATGCGCGGGCATCAAGTATTCATTAAGCGGTATCGTATGGGGCACAAACTCGATGATTCCGGCATTCGAAGTCAAGGGAAGCACTTTGTAGGCTCTGATACCGAGGTTTCGCTGCCTGGTAGCCCGATGGTCCTTGAGAAGGCTGCTAACTTGTTCAAAGACTTGTTCCATGATAGCATCTTGCCGCAGGTCGTCATTCCCTCCTTTGAACTATGACAAGGTTAACTTAGGACTAGATCAGAAGGGTGTTCATCTTACAAGTTGCTTATACCGTTCACCGTTACTGGCCAGAGCTGTGACAATTTTGGGTGCGCTCACACCAGACGCGATGGTAAACTCAGGATAATACTTGGTTAGCTTTGGAACATCGCTATAGTCGCAGTCGACACGGATCTCAATCTTCATAGTCGGTGGCGGAAGCCTTTGGTTCGCGGCATCTTGTTCGAGCCGTGCACCAGTGGGCAACTTCTTCAGCGCAACCTTCGCCCCGTGCTTCATCTTGTCGTCTAGCCTCTCGACGGCGAATCGCACATAGTTGATGTTTGTATTGTGGACTGCCACCCACAATTGCCCAATATGCTTGTCGCTTCTGAGCGTCTCCGCCAACTTCGTAGCAGCTCGATTACGCGAGAGGGCAGACTGGTCTTTTCCTCCTCTTGACTTGCTGCTTGCAAAGATTTGGTACATTCCGTGGAATGGGTGTTCACAGCATATCCGGTAGATCAATGCAGAGAGCATACCCTGGAAGTTATCTGCGACATCCAGCAGACGAGACGTTAGCTGGTTCATCAGAGGAGCAAACTTTCGGCTTGGGACATCCGAAAGATATTTCGAGACTGCCTTGTTGGCGATTTCACTATGTGATTGAGCAAGCCATAGCGCACAGAAACGAAGAACATCGTTGTTGTATTTTTCGCTTTCCTTCAAGCAAATGAGGTAGTTCTCGAGACATTGCTGAAGGAAGGCTTCACGGCTGCGCTTGAGACGCTGGTACTCACGGTCATCGAGGTCGAACCATTGCTTCGTCTTAGATCGGTGGAACTTGAGGTTGTCTCTTTCTTTACCTTCTGCGGACTTGAGCATCTCGTCCAGAGCTAGCACCTCTTTCTCCTTGCGGTTACGGAGTTGTTCAACTCGTGAAAAGTCCTCCAGTCCATCCGGATTCTGCAATTGCTGGTCGCAGAACATTGCGAAACCGTGATAGACCCGCCCTGCTTCTTCTGCTTCCGAGCGGCCCTTTAGCTCTTTGACTGCCGGTGTCAGGTAATTTTGGATAATCGCTTCCGGCTTCTCCAAGCGTGCCTCCGCTATGTGATGGCCCTAGGCTGTGTTAGTTTCCCTTGATCTCATAGGTATTTAGGCTCCACCAACCAAGGTTACAAGCAGCTCCGCTCGACTGATGGGAATCGCTTGTTTAGGTAGGTCATTGCGGTCTCGTAGTTGCTGAAGGATCTGGATGGAAGCTGCCATTTCACCCTGATCCCATAACACATTAGCTAGATCGAACTTGGCTACGCCTTCAACATTAAGCCCTAGAGAGACGCATTGGTCTGACAGTTTTGACAGGTAGACAGCAGACTTCAATGATGCCTGCGCAATGCCATGGTTTCTAGCAATATCTAGAGACTGCCGGATAACTTTCACCTCGAGAAGTTGTGCGTCATAGTCGCTTAGGTTGAACGAGGACTTGAGATAGTCCTTCTGCTTGATTGATGAGAAAAGCGTCTCATGGGCGTTCAATATCTCGCTAACTTCATGGACACTTTATTTTGGTAAGAAATTAAGAAATACTAACCAGTCGAGAAGGGTGACTCACTCTGTTGTTTGTAGCCAGGAGGTCCTAGCTGCAATATTCTGCCACTGCTGGGAGACCTCTTCGATTGAGTTTGCTTGTAAGACGTCCTCAATCTCTGTCAAGATGCCGAGATTCCTCATCGCACTTCTCAAAGACATCGCTGAGCGGCGGTCGCTGTTCAAGGAGGCCAAGCTACTCGTCAAGGTTTCGTTGATACACGCAGAGACGTCTACTAACCAGGCAGACGTATGGAGACTCTGGAAGACCCTAAACATCGTCGCTGACGGTGATTTATTCAATGGCGAGATAGGTATGTCCCATTGGCGCAAATTCGTAGCAGCCTGCAGCATGCTGCCAAATGGAACCGAATTCTCACTTGAGCTTTTGAGCGCGCCAAGCATAGAGTTGGCGATTCCCTGGAGATTGGTCGAGTTCAATGCCTTCAAGACACCATAGGTGTTGCCGGAACCCGTCATCTGGACCTGGCTATCATACTGCGCGCTCTGGAATAAGAGGTTCTTGAAACCAGAGCTCTCGTGCTCAAGGGTCTCCATAACAGACTCAAGTGAGGAAGTCTGCTGGATCCCATAGAAGAAATCTGGGTCGTCTATGTTCTTGAAGATGTTATGTAGCAGGCCTGGTGGGGCTTCATATTTGACGACAGAAGACCGGCGGGAGTTCGATGTTGTGCGAGCTGCATGAATTTCGAGGAAAAGCAGGGCCGTCTTCGGCATTCGGCATATACTAGCTGCTGAAGACGCTTCCGCGTAATCAATATCCAGCCAGTCATCTCGGTCCACTATGGTAGGCTCATTTGGCCTTGGCTGGTTGCGAAGGTAGAGAATACAGTTGATAACTAGGCGCGCGTGGGGAATAGTGTCGTTCTCCACATTCTGCAAGGCTTTGTTAAAGATTTTAGAGATGGTCTCACGTACGTCGATGTCGCCTCGGAGATCTGCCAGTAGAGAATCATGCAGCAAATAGGGTAATAGCTGAGTAGCCAGATCCGGGATGAGATATAAGATACTACCCAATGGCCCAACAACTGGGTCTTCTGCTGCAGCGTTTGAAAGAAAGAACCCGACGTTCCGCGCCCAGTATGATGGTGACAGTTCCAGATCGTACCCTTGCACGGCATCCCGCTTCTTAACCTCCGAAGCGGTCAGCGATATTCCAGGGCATTGGTATGGCGTCCAAGTGAGAGCTTTCATGAGCGGATGAGGGACCTCCTCTACGGAGCTCTGAAAGTCTGGAAAGCTGTCCAGATTACTGACAATCAACTGCAGAGTGCGTTCCAGCGAGCCAGTCTGGCTACTACTCTGCAGCATGTCGCAGAGTATACGGAGGATATTTGCCTTGGATTGACAGTAAATGTCAATACCCGACTGAGGCGAATAGGTGTGAAAAAGAACGAGATCCTGTTCCCTCAATAGGGTGTCGTCTATTTTACCAGTAGTAGCAAATGCCCGTCCAATGACTCTAGCAGCCCAGGATCGGTACTCCGGGCCAGGATTGAATTCCTGAAGGGTCTGGCACACAGTGATAGCGTTTGAGACAGCGTCCCCATCTTGCTTGATGGGTTTAAGCTGATATTTGGTCTCTCCCTCGGGCGTAGCGCAAAGCAGGGAAATCACACGGTCAGAAATCGGTTTGCGAAGAAGGCTGTCCTTAGAATTGCGGTCCTTGAGAACTTCAAGCAGCAGGGCGCTCTCACTGACACCGACTGTATCAGTTTCCTGTTCACCCACGGCTGGTAGAGGTTCTATTAGCCGCTGGAAAGATTCGGCCGCTTCATCGTTCAGAACGGGTGACTCATAGGTGTCGAGATAATCTTCAAACCATTGGGTGAATCTCTGCAGGCTTTCCACGACAGTTTGTAACTGGCTATCCTGTCGCAAGTGTACTGGAGGGGCCGCGAGAAACCTTCTCAAAGAGAGCAGCGTTGAGACGGCAAGGCCGGCCATTAAACCCGGGTGCTCGACCAGATACGTCTTTCCGGTTTCTAGTAAGTACCAAAATATGGCCAGTGCATCTTCGGAGCAGAAGATATCCACCAAAAACGGTTGAAGGGCAGTAATCATCATCTCATATGGATAGTCACTCAGCATGACGGGTCCAGCCACACATACCAGAATCTTGAGTTTTCGTATCACCGAACAGGCATGTAGAGAGCCGAGGGCGGGATGGATTGATTCGAGAAGGGTTCTGCAAACATAGGATGCTAAGGCAGGGGTCCATATAGCTTCAAGCTCGTATCCACTTCGCTTGCACAGAAACTCGAGCTCATCGAGAAGATATCGCGCTCTGAATGACGGCTGTTGGTTTGCCGGCAAGACAACCTTGGAAAGACCCTTGTCAGTTATGCGTTTGTAAGTATCCAAAGCCTTCTTGAAGCTTTCTCTCCTAGTAAAGGCCTTTTCCACTTGTTCGTAGAAATCAAGCGCTGAGAAGAAGGTGGCCACTATTTGAGGAAACTGAGCCTCGATTAGATCAATGAGCTTGTCTGTCCCGAGGATTTTCTTTAGTCGGTATTCCACACCTTTCGGCTGGCTTCCTTGCCCAGGAGGGGTGCTTATATCGCGAGCTATTGTGTAAGCCTCCGCTTTGTAGAAGGATGCTGTCAGGAGCTCAACGAAAGGTCGGTTCATGAAGGTTGCGAGTTCGGTAGCATCCTTCTCGCTAGCACGCATCATGATTTGGCCAACAATCTCATCCTGCGCGTCGCTGAGCATGTCCATGAGACTACCATACCCGAATATACTAAAGGGCATAGACATCACCGACTCGGCTTCAGTCCAGGTGTATAGAATCTGAGAGGAAAAAAGCTGAAAGATCTCCTTTGCATCCTGGAGGCCGAGAGATTCCGAAACAGATTGTAGGCATTTTTCGGCATACCATAAAGAATGGCGCACCTGAGCAGAAGTCTCAAAGATATAATAGATACTTCTTCGGAGCAATGTGTGCCATCTAGAAGCAAGCTGAGCCAACAGGAATAGACGAACAGCAATCCCTTCTTCCCACTCAGGGTCTGCAGGAAGGTTTTCGAGAACATCCTCGAATATGGCATCATGATCCTTGAGGAGGAATTGTTCAAATAGCTGCGGTATCAAGCTACCTGCGTTGAACTTGACTAATACGTCACCGTCTTTAATGATCTTGAATAGCGTTGTCCTGGGAGACGGGCTAGACTGTCCGCTCGAATAAAAAGGGTTTACGCTCAAGATAGTTCCTAAAAGTTCGGCAAAAGCGACTAGTACTGATGGAGATGCTCTTCCTTTTCGTAAGAATACACCGGTGAACCAGGCGTAAATGTCAGAGGCCGAGTCGCTGAAGGTAACGCTATCCCCGTTGACCCATGACTTGCTAAAGCTGCTCATCATGTTGATACAAATGAGGTGTGAAGCCTCACAGCGCTCTAACTCGTATGTTTGAAGACATTTTTCGCCTAGATCTTCAAGTATACCGAGTAAAGAATCTTGGTCCATTCCAGCACAATATTGGTACACGTGAGGAAGAAGATTGCGCGCTGCCAGTATATCAACTTCGTCAAGGCTGACCAAGTAATCGTAGAGTTTCGTATCGTCCTGTTCTTGAGGGGCATACAGCTGAACATGTGCTTTTCGAAAAATCGAGAGAAGAACGGTCATATACCGCTGGAAGCTGGGAAGATCTTGAAATAAGGGTGAACCACTTCTATTTGCATATGCGATGGTAGACAACTCTTCGTCTTGGTCACTGGGCGCAAGTAGCGGATCGTCAAGGTCCATAATCTCCACATTGGCGGCAGAAAGTGTTTCTCTTTGGAGCTGTCTGCGACTCTCGAGGACCCGGCTCAATGGGACAACAAGACCATATATCGCCTCATGAATCGCGGATGGTGCAGCAGAGAGGCATGATTCAGGTGATAAAAAAGGGGGCAACAGTGTCACGCAGGCGAGCATGAACATTGGCTCGCGTGAGACCAGAAATGAGCAAATACTCTCCCACAAACTATGGCTATTCGAGTGCAAGGTCTGCAGTCGAGTTTCCGGTTGCTCTGGTAAGCAGGATATATAGATGGCCGTGGTTATACAAAAAGAAGTCAAAATCTGCACAATATCTGGTGTAACATGGCGTGACTTATCCTCAGTCAAGGATTGCCAGGAATGGAGAAAATGCTCCGATTTCGCTTGCAACAAGTCGAGGATTCCTAGGTCATTCGGATCAAGGTGTGTTGATTCATCGATAGAAACCGAATTTTGCGATTCCCAAATGTCATAGAAGTCCGGCAGATTCTGAAGGTCAAAAAGATAGGCCAATACTTTCTTGTTGCTATGATAAAAATGCCACACTCTCGCAATGAGACCAGTTGGCCCTGTGAAAGAAGTCCGAGGCAGGTGAAAAGGCCTATTAGTACAAGCCAACATCACGTTCAACAACTCCAGAGGACGAGCGAACGTAGCAACTTGTGACGTTTGTATTCGATCAGTTGCTGTCCCTATCAACCGTCAGCATTATGGTCCAGAGCATTATTGACGGGAACGACAAACCAACGATCCATGCCTCTCTTAACCAAGCACAGATTTGACTAGATGCTTTAGAGACAGAGCCTGGGTTTATTTGGGCCGTCATTCTAATTACTCTCGCCCAAAGCTCTAGAGAAGAATCGGACAGCGCTGAAGGGCCGTTCAGGTTGACGAATGTGAGCATCGAATTGATTGTCTCCGAGACTTCAGAGTAGTCCAACAGGCCGAACTCGAGGATACTGTTCTGCAAATTGCAAGCTGCTCTTGACGTGAATTGAGAGGTAGACGCACGAGACGTGAGGTCCCACACTTGCTGCCAGTATTTCGTGAGAGACGGTACATTCGCCCTAGGACTAGCAGCGATGCTACGGAGCTTGATTAATACCCGGTCCATGTTGATTTCTCGATGAGGTCTCACCTTGCAAGTGCGATCATTGTCCAGGACGCTATTGTCGGGTTATCGTCAAGTATATGTGGAATGAGTCGCTCCAATAAGGACATCTTGGGCTCGACTTGCGCATAATGTTGGAAAAGAAATGGAGTTAACTGCAGGGCGCAGACTCTGCGAATACCAAATGACCCCGTTGAATCACGAAACACATCATCTATCTTCGACGCAAGCCGTTGTTTTTTATTGGGGGCCTCGCCTTCAGCAGGCGAAGGCGATAATCGCGCAGCAAGTTCCTCTGACAACTCCAGTAGCCGGGCCATTGCCCATATTACTGTCCAATTATGCTCAGATCGGGTACTCTCCAGCCGTGGCCACAGATGGAACCGTCCGGACTCTGGTGAGGTTTTAGAGGAAAAGATTAAGTCGTCCACCTGGAGGATCTCTTTCTCGGCGCGTCTAGTGTACTCAGACTGTAGGGTGTTGGCAAGCCCCTCCACGGCAAGCATCAAGGATGCTGAGGGCGACTTGCGGATTGCGTCAGTGAGAATAGACACGACAAATATACTTGTGGCGAGTAATTCATCCTTCAGCCCCACGAGCTTAGTAGCCCAGTGCTGTCGGATCACTGGGACTAGTTCCATTAACGTCTCTCGAACGAGCTCTGAGCTGTCAAAGATTACTCTCATCACCACTGTGTTGATACTAGCAAAAGCTGCTTGGTGACCGCTTCCACCGACTGGGGAGGATGCGACATATCTGGTCAATCCACGAAGCATAGTTTCGGCATAATCTTTAATAGGTGCATTTGGAACTCCAGAAAGCATTTTTATGCATTGCAGGGCTTCCTCAAATGCACCAGTAGGTCCCTTGGGTTTTTCTCTGAATGCGAGAGAGGGTGTCATCCTAGACGGTGTCGAGCGACCCCCACTAGCTCCGAGGTAATCATCCAGGGTGGACGAATGTCGGCTCCATATGCTTTGTTGGCTTTCTTCATCATCTGAGACACCGACGATGCTCAAGCAGAAGTTCAAGGCCTTTTCCCATTCTTCAATGCCCAGATGCTCAACATGCGGGGGGTAATGTAAGATGGTGCTCAAGCACTTAGTGTAATCAACGCCCAAAAGCTCGAAGAGAGGAGATTCCCTATTGACCAAAGTATCGGTTATATGGTCAAGAACGGCGCGCACTGATTTCGTCCTCAGGTTACACAGTAGAGCATCAACAGCCGTGCGAATGACGGAGGCACACGCGGATAAACGAGCAGAGGCCGCTCCTTTGGAACTCGCCCGGTTATAGAGCGATTTCTCAGCAGAAACGAGGCGGAACAAAGACTCAAAGATATGGTGGCAACCCTTGTCGCTCATCGATTGTCTAGAAGAAGTTATGTTAATTGTACAGGGGCCGACTTCACTGGGAGGAAATGATCAGAGTCCCATACAGTTTAGAGCTCCGTTTATTCTGCTGAAGAACATGTTTCAAATCTAATGAGCGTCAGAGCAGATCGCACGACTATTCATGTGGTCAACGAACCAGCCAAGCCATCTGCGCGCTCCTTAATTTTGTCAGACGATATGAGCGCAAGTGCTCTGTCGAGCGTGATTTCTCCCCTCATGGTGGCGTGTTGACTTTCTATGGATGTACTTCTGGGCAGCGAAGATTGTTGCAGCAGCTTAACAGCTCAGCCCGGAGGATTCCTGTTCGCCATCGTCCGCACAACCGCGTTTTGTTTGGGATTTGCGATGATAAGACTTAATCTGCACTTCGCAGGCAAGCTAAAAATAACTTTTGCCTTGAAATACCAAGCTGAACGACTGTTTTGGAGCTGGTCTTGCGGTTGTTGGTGGGTACGGTGTAGCAACAGGAAAGCTCTCGCCGCCTTTTTAGACCGCCGGGATTTTGTCGCGTTCTCCAACCTTTTTTTGGCGCCAGACAAACAATTGATTCTTTGCACTACATCCCTCTGCGGCGCTTCTTGCACTCGCGAGTCACGCTCCCAGTATGGAGAGCGCGGAAAATCTGGTTGGCCTTCGCGGCCTTTTCCAGGATCTTTCTGCACTTCCTGACCACCCGTCGTTTGGGAACATTGACCGACTCCGCGTCGAGCTCGAGGCTCACATCCATGATTTTAGGGACCTTCTTGACAAACCCACGAAAAACAATGCAAGTCGGCAAACTGTCTTATCTGGTAGGGAGCTCCAAGAACCCGTTACTTCCAAGTTTTTATAGCGGCCAAAATCCTTGCGCAGCATCGCGCTGACTTGCTCCAACCCAATTACAGGGAAGATCACAATCGACGATGTGGAATACTCAGTCAACGAAGAATTCCGGCAGGGCGCGCTCCAACTCGCCGACGCACTCGATCTCGATGAAATGGTCGCTGCGCTCCTATTTTTCAAGGCCCAAGAGAATACCCAGATGCTGGACAGACCCCCAATAATTACAGCCATCATACAATTCCACGAACGCCGACTGTTTCTCCTAGAATCGCTACGATTGATCCTCCAAGAATCCTTTGAGGTTGAGAGAGAAGCCACACAGGAGCTGGCCCAAAACGCTTTGGCCCTTATTCTCGAGACAAATAACGGTCAGCTACGAAACGCAGGGCTCTTTACACGGAAATGCTTGAAGTCGATGGAGAATATCGAGAAGTGGCTTGTGCTCCTCGGAGAGCAGATTCAGAAAGCTTCCCTTGTGGGTGAAATAGATGATCAAGATGTTATGGAGGCGATCGAGTATCAGCGCCACAGCTTGCTTCAACAACATGAATCGCTTGGCGCAATTGTTTACTACTTGTTCAAAGGCCCATACACAAACTCTGAAGATCTTAGAATACTGGTGGCCCATCTCCGAAAACTCGACCGCTTTGATGGTGTTCTTGTTCACTACATCCCATCCATAGTTTCTTCCTTTGTTCAGCACGGATCCCCAGAACGAGCGGACTCATACAACGACGCTCGGAGCCTGAATACGGCTATTGTCTCCACAATGGATGGCCAGACTTGGGCGCATCAGCCTTTCCACGCAGCTGTTATAGCACTCTGGCTAGCGGTCTATAGCGGGTGGGACTTTGACGTCCCACCCGCGCTTCCCCCAGGTACTGACCTTGAGAAAGAAGCTGAGGAGCGCACGAAAACGTTCATGGCTGCTCTGGACGACGGCGGCTTGGATCTTTTGCTCGCCATTTGTTCAGCCATCAGCAGTGAGGACTGGAGCGATCCCGCGCGAAGTGAATTAGTGACGTTGTTATTGAGAGAAAGCGCGTCTACGATTAAGGAAAGCTCCTCTGCAGCTCTCGAAGCGGATTCATGCTCTGATTACTTGAAAGAGCTCTTAATGGAGAACTTTGAGGTTTTCACCGAATCTTGTGTTGCAAATATGCCAGACGCCGTCCGCAGACTAAAAGCAGACGAGGATTTGCAGAGATTGGACCAAATTACCGCTCTCAGGGACGGACTGACCTCTAACCTGCATCGCAGTGTTGTGGAAGCCCGAACGCACCTTGAGTCATTCCTGGTAATTATGTCTTTCGCATTCGAAGGTCGTCCAGACGCAGCACAAGAGATCTGGGCCGACCCGGATGGCAATCTCTACGGCTTCCTCCAATGGTCCTCGAAGCGACAGACCGTGCCTCGGGTTAGCGCCTTTTGCGAACTACTTTGCTCGATCTCCAGCGGGGAAGAGAATGCTGTTTCTGCACACAGGTTCCTTTTGGAGGAGGACAAGTTCATGACTTCGAAATTTAAGCGGTCCACATCCATGAACTGGGCACAGATGTTCGCTGAGCTCCAGATATATGCAACAAGAGTCACGGAGAAGCCCTCGCCTCAGACTTTGCACCGTGCCAGGAAATTCGAGCCAGCTGACATAAGTGAGCCAGAGAGCCCTGTCATGCTGTCATGTTACCTCCGTCTAGTCGGACACCTTTCTAGACAGAGCGCTACGGTCAGAGAGTGGATGCTCCACCATCCTTCGTTCAACATCGTCAGTACGCTCCTGACCCTCTGCAGCGGCCCATTACCGACACATCTGCGCGCAACAGTATTTCAAGCGCTGGGGGGTCTGATGACCGACAGAAGTGCCATCATTGGCAATGAAATGTGGCTCGCGCTCGACCAGTGGATTTCCAGCGGGTCTATGGGTGCCTCAGGCGCTAACAAAGTACCTCTCGTTTCAAATCCGCTCATTCTGCATGAGCAGCAGGCATTCCAGAAGATTGGCGAAAGTTTTGACCAGACCAACGCGTTCGTTGCTTTCTTGCACACCCTGGTTTCGCCCGCCACTGATTCGGCAGAGTATCATCTCTGGCTACCCTTCCCGGAATCTCTCGGTTCATCCTATCGTATGCCCGGCATCGAACCATACATAGACTTTGTGCTAGGCCACGCCTTGTCGAAGAAAGTCCCCGAACTCAACGAACGCCAAGCGCGCCTCCTTACTTTCAACTGTTTGGATTTCGTCCAAACATCCCTCAAATCCTTCAATGAAGCCCTAGTGACTGTGCTTAGCGCGCCGTCGGCATTGGCAGACTCTCCAGTCAAGACCTCAACACTCCACACTTACGTTCGCCTTCATCCTTTCGCGCGTGTGGCGGAATGGCTATACAATGAGGAGGTTGTAAAGGTTATCTTTGCAAATGCTCACCGGGATGTCAGTGAGATCTCAAAGGCTCCACATGACTCTATCATGGTACTGTCCTTGATTAGGAGCCTTCAGGTTATGGATACTATTCTCGATCTACAGTCAACCTATTTCAACATTGTGCGACCATTCATCAGATCCCAAGCTGGTAGCAGAGTTAATGTTTCAAACTCTTCGCTGGCCGCTTTTGAGGACTGCGTTTTGAACAACTTGAAAATTATCCCGTTATTGTGTTTGTATTGCAGTTCGGGGCATGAACTGCTTACCATCACGTCGTTGGGGCTGTTAGAAAAGCTGTCTAGCTCTCAGAGACTAAACAAACTTTCTACGCCCGAATTATCCAGGTGGCGCTCAGCCAACAAGATCGTCGAGGTTCTCACGACAGAGGTTGATGTTGACAATGTTGCTCGCCCATTTGTGTCTCAGATGCAGCCCGAGGCCAGGGAGCTTGAATTCGGCCCGAAGTGCTCGGGCTATGTCATTCGGGAAAGCATTCTGGGCCTCCTCAATAGCTGCCTAGGTATGATCCCGGATCGGCCAACACTGGCTCATATCCTACTTGGTTTCAGCAGTGTGGGGAACTTTCTCGATGTTCGTTCCGAAGGCTTGTTTGCTGATAAAATGTCCCTCCTACATGCCATCATCGGATTTCTGGAGACCTATCCGGATCAGTTGAATGGAAGCATCTTACCTTGGTTGGTGCACATGAAGCGCTTGGCTCTCGAGGTTTTGAGGCATTTATGGTCGTCGAGGATCTCTTCCTATTTCACGTTAGCGGAGATGCGTGGCAGTGGTTTTCTTCACAACCTGATAGCGAGCCAGCCTATAGTTGGGCCAACCACGCTATGGGATGGACTTCCAGTCGCCGCCGAACAATTCTGGGTGTGCGAATCAACGAGTGCCCTTGCGGAATTCCTCATGTTCAGGAGTTATCTCTTCGACTATGCAACCACGGAGATTCGCTCAGCGGCTAAAAGCGGCTCGCCAACACTTCAAGCGGCGATCCTTTCTACCTTGTTTGGTAGCTCCCCTTCAACAACCGGGGTCACGATTCCGATTCCAACTGTTTTCGATCTCTTTGACTTCGCAGACCTCGATATTACATTCCACGCCCAGCCACCAGAGGTAGACTTCCTCGGCGGGCTCAAGATCGAACTGTGTGCAAAGCCACAGGCAGAAGCGTCCCTTGTACTCTATGAAATTGGGGAAGTGGAGGAACTTATCCGTGCCAGAAGAGAGCAGCTCGTGTTAGATGGCGAACTTCGCCCACAGGACGAAGAAATATTTGCGGCAGAAGCTGACAGCTTGATCTTGTTCCTCCAAGCAACAAACAAGTCCCGACAGATTACTTGCAACCGACACATAGCTCTTCGGTCATGGGCTGAGTTACTGACCACAATACTCACATGCTCCGAACTCGACGGTGGCCGCAAGTTGACGTTCATCTTACACTCCATTGAATTGATCTTGCCAAAACTCGAGACTGCCATCGAGGAGAATCTGTCAGAAGGCCTCGAGTTGGCTCGATTGGCCGAGACACTTCTAGGGAAACTGGAGCAGTCTGCGACGAAATCGACCCATTACAGGCGCAATGGCGACATTGTGGATGAGAAACTCCATCAGTTGTTCCAAGTCTGTATTCGCGGCATTATTGTGGACACTGGAAATGTCGATTTGAAAGAGTCTCTCTACAATATCTGCTCGCTCTACATTGCCCGCATTATCTCTCCCGGGATTGAACATCAGAGCATGAGGCATCACAGCCAGCAAGTAGTCAAATCAGCGGGCCGGTCACTAATTGAGGCTATTTGCGATGATGCCTATAGCGGTCAGGAAACATGCCGAGTATCAGCTCTTTTGTTGCTTGACTTCCTAGCAACTTTGGATAGACACGCCGACTCCGTATTGGCTGAATCGATATCCGAGTCAAATTACCTGACATTATTCCTCGACAGCGTTCGAGTGTTGCCACTTGAATTGAGGAATGCGCAGGCAGTCGGTATGAAGTCTGAAACAGCCACGCCAAATGTCGCTAACCAACATCCTTCAGATACGCCTTTGCTTCTCTCATACTATGAGTCTTTGCTATCCCTCCTACAACAACTCTGCCAAACGAAATCTGGTGCAACTCATGTCATAAAGGCCGGTCTTTTCCAAGCAGTGCGCGATTCGCAGCTCATCTCTGCGGATCCGGACCTCGGTATCGGTATGTAGAGATGTAGTGCGAGTTCCGATTCACAGACAGCTAACAAAAGCAGACATTGATAACCCAGACGCTCTTCGGAAATACTATGGTCTCCTAGATTCGATATTACGAGTTATTGTCACTGCGGTATTCTCTCGCGGACTTCACAATGAGCAGATGATCGAGCAAACGCGGTCCTTCCTCACAGAGAACAGGCAAAGCATGGTCGGCATCTTTAAGCGATTCGCTAAGATTGGTGGAGCGGCCGCCCCGGAGCACCATGAGGCACTCACCAGTATTGCAAAATCATACACGGCCCTTGTTGCTGCGACAGACTTCCTAGAGGTTAGTGTTTCCAGCCTAGTTATCATGGTCCCAAACGCTAACATTTGCGTAATATAGGTTGAGGAAAGTGAAGTACAGGAACACATTGGACCGAAGCTATTTTCATGAGCCTGGTTTTGTTTAAGTGTGATGATAGCATTGGATGAATGAGGGTAGCGGTGTATTTATGGGATTAAGCATATGGGAATGGCTATTATGCAACAGTTTCAGGCTTCTAGACGACATATAAATCCAAAATAAGCATCAAAGAACTGAATAATGCCGAGTGACTTTCATCCTATACAAATGTAAGCAGATGACAGCTTATGTCATCGGGTATTATCTTATCTCCGAATTCAACGTCAGGCAAGCTGCGGAGTCCCTCACTTGTTCTCCCAGCTCTCTCCTCGCTTTTCTCTCCTTGCTTTTCCTCCACCTCAGCTGACCATCACTTTAATCCGCCGACTACTGACCGACTTGCAGGGTTGAGGAGTACATGCGATGCCCTTCATGGTTTGAACACCATTTGGATCGTTCCAGCTCTGAATGACCCGCGCTCGTCACCCTCTTCTGGGAGACAACCGGGTAGATGCAGCAGAACTCAAGAGGCGCCACCGAGCAGCGGAGTGGTAAGCGCAAGTCTGCTGGTAAGAGGAAGCACACCGAGCGTGAGGAATCATCACAGCAGCCCCAACAACAGCAAGCGACCCTTTCGACCCTGTTTAACAGGAACCAAGCACACGACGAATCCCCTAGCAAGCGTGCGCGAGTATCTCCTCCTCCTCTTCCGTCGCTCCCATCGAATCAACCTGGCTCCGGCGATATGTACAGTTTCTCGAGTACCGGATCGAAGCCGAGTGGTCCCGCCGGCGGGCGTCCGCTACACTCGAATCCGACCCTCCAAGCTCGCACTGGGAATGCATCGTCGCAGCAGAGCAATTTCACGCCGCATACCGGGGCTAAGAGGCTGGTTGTGAAGAATCTTCGGACGGGAAACCGCTTGAATCAAGATTCGTATTTTGATAAGGTTTGGGGCCAGTTGGATGCGGCGCTGTCGGCTATCTTCGGCGGTGGGAAGCCGGAGATTTCGATCGAGGAACTCTACAAAGGGGCGGAGAATGTCTGTCGCCAAGGTCGCGCTGCGGTGCTATCTAAGCGACTTCAAGGGCGATGTCGCGAGCACGTTGCTGGGAGCCTGCGCGAGGCCCTGGTCGAAAAAGCCCAGATCGGGTCAAATATTGACACACTGCGGGCTGTAGTTGATGCTTGGAAAGTCTGGCAGTCAATGCTGGTATGTTGGCTTTGTCTCGCGCGATTTTGACCCATATTGACAATCAGTAAATAGGTCACCGTTCGTTGGATCTTCTATTACCTCGATCAATCCTTCCTCCTCCATTCCAAGGAACATCCCGTGATTCGCGAAATGGGCTTAATACAGTTTAGACAGCACGTATACGCTGACTCTACATTGCAACCGAGGATTCTCCACGGTGCCTGTGATCTTGTTGCGGCCGACCGCAACCAGGAACACAGCAGCGTCGCGGACTCTAGTCTCCTCCGAAATGCCATTGAACTATTCCATGGTCTAGACGTTTATACATCTGGCTTCGAGCCCGGCCTTGTCACAGCTTCGAATGTTTTCTTCACATTATGGTCTCAGCAAGAGGCGTCTGGATACTTAGCGTCTTATGTTGATAATAGCCATCGCCTCATCGAGCGCGAGGTCAATCGATGTGAGCAGTTTTCGTTCAACCGGACCACAAAACAGAAACTGTCGGAACTGCTAGATCAGACCCTAGTAACAGACCAGGAGGATGTTTTGTTGAACCAAAAGGATGTCCTGGGTCTGCTGCGGACGGGAAACAAAGTCGCTTTAGGGCAGCTGTACACGCTTCTTGAGCGCAAGGAGCTCGGGGTCAAACTGAAAGGTGCCTTCAGCACATATATCGGAGAAGAAGGTTCAAATATCGTTTTTGACGAGGAGAAGGAGGCGGAAATGGTTGCCCGTCTACTGGATTTCAAGAAACAACTTGATGATATTTGGAACGAGTCATTTCATCGGAATGAGGATATCGGCCACGCCCTTCGCGAAGCCTTTGAAGGTTTCATGAACAAGGGCCGAAAATCCGAGTCTACAGGTGGTACCGACAATCCCAAGACTGGAGAGATGATCGCCAAATACGTTGACAGGCTTCTCCGGGGCGGATGGAGACTGGCACCCACGCGGGAGGCGGAGAATATGCCCCTCACCGACGAGGACGCGGAGATCAATCGACAACTAGATCAAGTATTGGACCTCTTCCGGTTTGTTCACGGTAAGGCGGTATTCGAAGCTTTCTACAAGAACGACCTCGCACGTCGTCTGTTAATGGGTAGAAGTGCAAGTGATGATGCAGAGAAGAGCATGCTGGCCAGGCTTAAGACAGGTACGTACGTCCCTTCTCTCGGTCCAAGGCATACTGGAAAACTAAGTCTTGGCAGAATGTGGATCAAGCTTCACACATAACCTCGAATCCATGTTCAAGGATATGGAAGTTGCTCGTGATGAAATGGGTGCATATAGTTCTATCCAGCGTGAACGACGGACCCCACTCCCCGTGGATCTCCACGTCAATGTCTTATCAGCATCTGCATGGCCTACATATCCTGACGTCCAAGTACGCATACCACAAGAGATCTCCATTGCGATTGACGACTTCCAAAAATTTTACGACACCAAGTATAATGGTCGAAAGCTCCAGTGGAAGCACCAACTAGCACACTGCCAAATTCGCGCGCGGTTCCCGAAGGGAGATAAGGAACTAGTCGTCAGTTCATTCCAGGCGATTGTCCTTCTCCTGTTCAACGATCTCCCGGAGGGCGGTTCTCTCAACTATCGCCAAATTCAGGATGCTACCAGTCTCTGTAAGCTCGCAACTTCCCTAGTACCATAAATTACCAATGCTAATACTCGCAATAATAAAAGCCGACAAAGAACTAAAACGAACCCTCCAATCCCTCGCCTGCGCCAAATACCGCGTCCTCACCAAGAAACCCAAGGGCCGCGACGTCAACGAGACCGACGAATTCGCATACAACCACACCTTCACCGACCAGAAGATGCGCATCAAGATCAACCAGATCCAGCTCAAGGAGACGAAGGAGGAGAACAAGACGACGCACGAGCGTGTTGCCGCAGATCGCCACTACGAGACGCAGGCGGCGATTGTGCGCATCATGAAGAGTCGCAAGACCATTAGCCACGCGGAACTTGTCTCGGAGGTTATCAGTGCGACGAAGAGTCGTGGGGAGCTTGATGTTACAGACATCAAAAAGAATATTGAGAAGTGCGTTTCTTCCTCTGCAATTTGGTTGTGCTTCTGTTGATGGGTTGCTAACTGGTTTTTGAATAGGCTAATTGAGAAGGACTATATGGAGCGCGAGGGGCAAACACGCTATGTATATGTCGCCTAAGTTCGTTTCACGCGCTTTGGAGATGGATATTGGTATGGGTACGGACTGTACTCTATGTATCACGAAACATGGGAGAACATAAGCTCAGACGACAAATCCTTTTTTAGATGCATCTATCATGGGCGTACAGTGGACTTATTTCACTCAGTTACTATTCCTGCTGCTTTGCTACATACATCCTTCCAGGCATTCATTCATCTAATCTCATTCTTCCAATACAGATGATAAATACTCCCTCTTCTACCTATCCAACCTTCGCACTCTAATCAAATTGAGGATAGACCCTTTCCCTGCTCCTCCTGCGGGAACCTCGCACCCCCTTGCCTCCTAATCTCATCCAGAATCTCCATCACCCGCACCGTCTCGCCATGCGACATAACAGCATTCTCCCTCTCGCCCCTCGCAATACTCTCCGCAACAGCATCAGCCTCGAAGTAGAACCCCATCCCCTCAACCTCGAAATCATACTTCTTCCCTTCCACCTTGCTCCCCTCCTTCTCAGCGGCGGGGTTCACCTTGGGATAGACGGAGAACGAGGCCGGGGATGAGGCGGCGGGACCCTCCACAAGGATATATCCCTCCGTCCCCTCAAGTCGGAGGAATGTTCTGGGTGTCCGGGCCTCGAGTGTTGATGTTAGGATCCCCTGTCGGCCCGTGGCTGGATATCTCAGGACGAATGACGAGGCGATGTCGACTCCGTCACGGAGAGTTTGTGTTGCGGTGATTTGGGGCTTCTCGGTTGAGGTTGACTCTGGCGACTCGAGAGTGAGGATCCCCCATGTTAGCGAGTAGATGCCCATGTCGAGTAAGCTACCCGCGCCCATCGAGAGTTTCTTTAATCTTGAAGATTCAGGGAGAGAGGAAATGTTCATGTCAAGACCAAAGTCGCAGAAGACGCGGCGGACGTCCCCGATAGCTTTCTCCTCGTATAGGACCTTGCGCAGTGAGGAAACGAGCGGGCGGAAGCGCAGCCACATGGCTTCCATGATGAAAACGTTCTTCTCGGCTGCGGCCGCGAGGACTTCACGGGCTTCGGCGGCGTTGAGGGTGAATGCTTTCTCGCAGAGAACATGTTTCCCTGCAGCGATTGCGTCGAGGCAATTTTGTTTGTGCAGTCCGTGCGGGGTGCCGATATATATGATGTCGACTGCGGGGTCATTGTAGACGCTAGGGTAATCCGGGTAGACAGTTGGAGCTGGGGAGAGAGTGGGCAAATTCTGGGAGACGAAGGCGTTGCCTTTTGAGAGAGAAGAGGATCCGATTGCCTGGATTATATGCGTTGCACGAGGGGTCTTGCGGGGGGCGGTTATGTCTTTGGTGAACCAGGAGGAGATAAGGCCAGTTCCTGGGCGCTGTTAGTAGGTTTCTTGGGTACAGGGGAGGTGTGCTCACCTATTATACCCCAACGGAGGGTAGGGAGAGTTTGATCGGAGGAGCCCATCTTATCTTTCTCAATCTACGAGCCTTCGTCTCCGCCAACATAGATACTCTAATTACGACAAGCATGGTGTAGGGCGCACCTTCCGCCGAACAAGGCTGTTTCACAGCCATAAAGGGAAGGAACGGCCATCGCACCTGCCTTGCGAAGCTACAAAAAGCATTCCCATCCTACTCGGGAAGTTACGACGGGAGCCCAGCTCCTTCCCGTGCTGCTTTCTTGCGTACCAGCGCTAAAAAAAGGAAAGAGCGACTTGCATCGTGCCTTCCTCGCGGAGCTGCGGGGGCCATAATTCTATCAAAGGAAGGTGCCATGGAGAACAAGTCAAGATAAGAAGGAGCGGCCAGCATCGCACCTGCCGTGCGAGGTCTCGACACATAGCTATCTTGAAAGGAAGGCGCGATGGAGGGCTTGGGTATGACAAAAAGGGAAGAAGCGGGGCAAGGTATCATCATGGATCAATCGTACCTGCCTCGTGCACATGTACGGGGTCCACCACTCTCGTCGAAACGCTGCGAGGGAACACCTTCAGAAGGAAAGGACGAACTGCATCGTGCCTTCCGCGCGAGCTTACTATAGGTAGTATCACCCATCGGGGAAGGTGCGATGGAGGCCCGGCTGTCATGAACGTCAATTTGGAAAGAACGGCCAGCAAACATGGGCCCCGTTGAGCCGCGCGTTCCTTGAAAAGCTTTGGGGATATTAATACTCCACATGGGAAGGTACAATAGATGGATTTTCTATAGATAGGAAGGGGCCATCAATCATCATCTCGGTCAGAGGGCCGGAGAAGCTCCGAGCCCACATCTACTGACGGGCACGGTAGAATTGCCGAGTTGCCAGAAGCCATCGACGCGGGGCTGGGGGCTCGGAGTGTTCCGTATAGGCTCGGTTCTCGGCGCTTTAGCCGTTAGGGCGGATTCCTGCCGATTGTTCATTATTCAGGAGTTTGGTATGCGACTATGGGGTGGCGGGTGATGGTAGGGCTTTCGGGCGAGGAGGGTCGAAGTCGGTACCAATATCAACTTTCACCTCTTCGGTGGGCTTGATAGACTCCGGTCATACCATTGTACCAGGTAATGTTTCACTTCAGATGACCCGAATAATTACGAAGTTTCTCGGTGGATTTGCTTGTACAGGTTGCCTGGTGCTGGTGTCATTGCTGTGACTCCGGGCGCAATATTAAGCTTACATAGGTTACTATTTAAAGCACAAATACATCAACTACGGTCCTATGGTCTAATGGTTATGACATCAGACTCTGATATCGAATTAGAGTCGCATCTGGTAATCCCGGTTCGATCCCGGGTAGGACCTCTTCTTCTTTTTTGTTAGAGTCTTTTTTTCACGGCCACTCTATGTGTGTGGTCTTGTCTCCTTTTGTAATGATTTTCCTACTGTCTGCATCTGCTTTCATACCTAGAGAGGGATCAAATGGGACTAGACAGTAGAAATTCTCTTGTTGGTGGTGCGTGCGCCACAGGCAAGCAATACTGTCCGTCGCTAGCTGCCGCCCCATTTCCCGTTGGCTGCGGGCCCTATCTTATAGATTTTTCCAACCTCCGCCGACTCAACAATTCAGGTTGTATGGTCTAATGGTTATGACATCAGACTCTGATACCACATTAGAGTCATATCTGGTGATCCCGGTTCGATCCCGGGTACGACCTTTTTTGCTTCGCGATAGAATCACTCGTATGCTCGTAGGTTGGTGAGTGGGTTGTGTGTGTTGATACCTAGGGCAAACTTATTTTTCGCGCTGGCCGGATTGTGTGTACTCGATGCCGAGTATCAGTCCGCTTCGAAATGTAAGAACTAGAGTATAAACAGCAGATCATCTGAGGACTATTGTCTAGCATTGTAGAGTGTCAGTCTGTGGTAGTATGCCTGCAGTATATAGATAGCTTCAAGCTTGACTGGGGTGTCTCCTCTTGGCTGAATGGGGCGGGGGGTTCTGTTGGTCACTCTGGATTCGCGGGCATGTCGTGCGCATTTGGATACGAGTCTTCCGGTTAATGCTATGTAGGGAAACAGAGTTGCAAGAGGTGTGGCTACTGTACGTTGGTGGTGCCACAAGATCGCGCTTAAGTAGACAGTCAGATACAGTTCCAGTCCACATGGCGACTCGGTTCGACCATCGACGTTTCACTAGTAGTACTACTGCTGGGCAGCTCCGCCTTTTTTACTAGCCTAAGGTACACCGGCGCTGGCTTTGGCGGGCCGGCGGGAATAATCTGCCATGGTCTTTATATCGCTGCGGATCTGCAAGCATGGCTTAGGCGTTTTTTGTATCGGCTTGGAAGCCTAGGCCCGTGTCTTTGGCAGTACTACAGTCTGGCTCTGGTGGGGCTAATATTGCGTTCTTGTGTATGTTCCTTTAGCTGCCAGTGCCGGCGTCTCATGCTTTATTCGATGGTGAGGTGTAGTCACAGTGGCAAGGCACGTCGTTTATACATAGGCCGAGATATATATCACGAAGGATCGTGAAGGTAGTTTTCACCATTAGTACAGTGAAGATAGATTATAGCTCAATTACCTACGCATTAAACAAGCTATAAAAGATTCTCTCGTAGTTCTCGCCTACATGTAGCAAGGATGTGCTGCCCAACCCGGACGGAGCATTAAGTTGTGATAGCATCCGAGAAAGAGAAATGCATGAAAAGACAATTTGAATTTATTGCAGGCTATTATAACAATAAAAGGTTGTGCTTTTCAACCAATCAGGTCCTATGGTCTAATGGTTATGACATCAGACTCTGATATCAAATTAGAGTCACATCTGGTAATCCCGGTTCGATCCCGGGTAGGACCTCACTCCGCTCCTTCTCTTTTTTTTGCTCCCTCACCCGCTCGCTCGCTCATCTCATCTTTCGACTACACTCGCCATCTCTCTCCCTCCCCCAGTATGATATTTTTTTTTTTTACCTGCGCCGGAAGATGAGCGACACCAATAAAACGTGCATTTGATTCAACATGTATCTACTCCAGACTCAGTATAACGGAGCCTCCCCTTACCTCCTGTCGCGAGGCAAGTCGGCCGAGAGCTAAAAAGCAAACAAAACCCCTGCGCAAACCCAATGGCACGCCCGCCCCTTGATCGCTCTGGATAGAACTCGGCTTCCAGGAAAGGAAATCCAGAAGGGTCATTTGCAATGGTCTGGGCTCTCAAGCGGCTCACGTGGAAGTCTGAGCTTTTCGATCCACCTTCTGGAACCGTGCTGGCTAGGCTAACAATAGATAGTCCGGCTGTGCGTCTGTGGATTCCGGCAAAGGTCCACGACGGCCGATGGAGCGATAATCGATTACTATACGATGATCCCCTTTCGAGATCCCATGACAAGTTCCTTGGGAATCACCTTATCCGGGACTTGTGTTTCATAAGTTCATACCCAGATTGTATGAACGTTGTACTCTGTCGCCACGGCCGTGAATCATGAGAGGTCCATGACGTCCAAGAGTGAGCATTATCTAAACATGACATTATGTGCCTGATCCCCAAGACTTGGATAAAGTTGGCTGTGCTGTCGATACCTCCCTTAACAGGCTGGAAGCTGGACCGAGAGTGTGGGGAATATCATGTCCCGTCAAAGTTAGGGCCTTGGAGGCGACAGCTGAGGAATGAAACCAGAGGAAAAGAAAGCGCAACTGTTGAGCCCAGGATTGGCATTTCTTAGAGCGTTGCACAGCTCCTCCCACTCCAGTCTCCGCGGCTGGTGTGTTTCGCCGGAGGACTACACCGTGCACACCGAGCTCTGCGGGATTGCCGCAGATGGTAATCCGAAGCGCTGGCAGTCGGTTCTCCTCCGATCGCTTACCAGATTCAGAACACCAGTTCCTGATGTATGGATGATGGATGGGGTCATGCATCCTCGACCTGTCCATGTGAGCAGGAAAAAAAAGAGCAAAAAAAAGGTACAGCATCTCTCAGCTATCTCCTTGCTTTTCGCCGGTTACGCCATTTGTACGCGGCTTGTTGGGTGTACCTTTGCGCGGTGCTTATAATTCCCTATTTATCCAACACCCCTCTTTCCAAGGTTCTTCACTGTACATTTCCCCTTTGCTCCGTCTGTCATACTACTAGCCCTGCATTTATTCTCGCCCCCTCCCGTGTTACGACGCCCGTTCGAATTGATTGTCTTCCACCTTCACCTTCACCTTCATCTTCACCTGCTTGCTATTCAGTCGCCTGCGAGACACGGTAAGTTTGCATTCACCAGAAAGACTAGATCTTCTCCCCTTGTTCTCAATCAACTATACAGCAACACAATGAATCAACACCGTACAACATCAATTGGAGTAGAGGCTGACTGAATAGACCGGCTCTATACGATCTCCACTTTCCCCGCCGGACTAGACACCGATTGCATCTGACAGCGTCGCAGTATTCCTGGAGAAACTGCGAATTGTCCCCGGAATCCTCAATTCACAATAATATCGCCCAGACCTTGTCTACCGAAGAGCCCGCGAACATATAAAGGAGAGCTTCCCAGCTCCTCCGGACGACAGTCTTCCACTTCCCCAGGTTGCCTGCGATAATCTGGTGCTACCCCACCAAATCTTAATCTCGACGTCATACTTTCTTTCCCCTGCCCTGCCGCTGATCTCCAGCTGTTTTTGCCATGCAAAGTATGTATTCTTTCCTGCATTCGCTGTTTCGAGATTTGGCCAATGCGCCCCTCCACCCTGCTGTCACCCCCACTCAGCCTTTCCCTGTGCCCCAGTCATTATGAAATCAAAATTGCTCCACCAAGTCCATCGAACAACGCGCTTACTTCTCTCAGCCAAGCACTTTTTCTCAGATCCGACCCATCTGGTCCAGACGGCACTGAACTCGCTCACTCTCACAAACCCTTCCCTCGCATTTGACCGCCAAAACAAGATCATCTTTCGCCGCCCGGAAGTTGTCAAGAAGTCAAAAGTCGCCATTGTGTCCGGTGGAGGTTCCGGCCATGAACCCGCTTTTGCTGGATATGTCGGCCAGGGTCTCCTAGATGCCTCTGCGGCGGGGACAATCTTTGCTTCCCCGTCCGCGGAACAAGTCCGCATTGCTGCGATGGACCGTGTCAACAATGAGCAGGGCGTGCTTATCATTCCCATGAACTACACCGGTGATGTTCTGAACTTCGGTATGGCTGCGGAGAAGGCTCGCGCAGCTGGTATAAAGACTGAGTTCTTTGCGATCAATGATGATGTCGGTGTTGGCAAAGAGAGAGGTGGCAAAGTTGGTCGCCGTGGTATCGGAGGTGGTATCTTTATTTTGAAGATTGTCGGGGCTCTAGCAGAGGCTGGGTAAGCCACATTTCTACTAAATCGCCAGAGTGAGACTAACAAGATTTAGTGCTTCCCTCGAGGAGGTATACAAGACTGCTCAGCTAGCAAACGACAACCTCGTCTCCGTCGGTTCTTCTTTAGAGCACGTCCACGTCCCTGGAAGAGATGTTTCAGAGGACTCTGTCCCCGAGGGCGAGGTCGAAGTCGGCATGGGTATCCACAACGAGCCCGGCTCTCACCGAGTAAAGGCCACCCTCGTCGAGCTAGTCAAGACCATGCTCCTCCAGTTACTAGACCACAACGACCCCGACCGAGCCTTCATCACCCGCAAGCCAGAGGACAAGTTCGTCCTGCTGATCAACAACCTCGGAGGCGTCAGCACTCTCGAGCTATCAGGCATCACCGACGAGGTCTACCGTCAGCTCGGCGCAGACTACAAGATCAAGCCCGAGCGCATTATCCAGGGTACATTCCTCACCAGTCTGAACGGTCTGGGCTTCAGCGTTTCGCTGCTGAAGCTGGTCGACACTGGGCTCGGCCCCGGAAAGTCCTTCCTTGAGCTCATTGATGCTCCCGCCGAGGCCGTCGGCTGGGCTGCACCCATCACCCCGGCTACCTGGGAACACCGTAACTCGCCCCCCGTTGAGCTGAAGCAAGTCAAGACCGGCGAGCAACCACCCAGCAACGTCAAACGTACGTCCCTCCCCATCCCAGTCCATATCCGTAAGCAAGCTAACAAGAATAACCAGTCGACATCTCCACAATCCGCACAGTCCTCGGCGCCGCCCTGGAACGGATCATCTCCGCCGAGCCCAAAATCACCCACTACGACACAATTGTCGGTGACGGCGACTGCGGCGTGGGCCTGAAGCGCGGCGCCGAAGCCGTCCTCTCCCTCCTCAACGACTCCTCCGCAAACCTCAACGACGACGTCATCAACACGGTCAACCGCATTGTTGGTGTCGTCGAAAACACCATGGACGGCACTTCGGGCGCCATCTACGCCATCTTCCTGAACGCGCTCGTCCACGGGCTCCGCGAGCAGGATAAGGGCTCCGAAACGCCTGCTAATGTCGATATCTGGGGAACCGCGCTGAAGTATTCACTCGCTGCGTTGGGGAAGTATACGCCTGCGAAGCCCGGTGATCGCACGATGATTGATGCGCTGGTTCCGTTCTGCGAGACGCTCGTTGAGAAGAGGGATGTGCATACTGCTGCCAAGGCGGCGGCGGAGGCAACTGAGGCGACAAAGCATATGAAGGCGAGCCTGGGGAGGACGGTGTATGTTGGTGGGGAGGACGAGTGGGTGGGGAAGATTCCCGATCCTGGTGCGTACGGCCTCAGCGTATTCTTTGAGGGGTTGGCGAGCGCTCTTTAGCTCTACGCAGAGGCTTGCACTTAAAACCTGAGTCACACTCAAGACTTTCGGCGTTCTTTCCGGTACATAGTATAATTTAGGTAGCTTATGGGTCTCCTCTTATTTCATTGCATAATTGATGATGATGACATGCCATGATATATCTATCCTCTCTTGTCTCTCATTCTCTTCAAACATTTTAGTAGCCCAAAATATCTTATATCCAATCAAATACACCCACACAGATAGTATCTCCAACTCGACCAGCTCTCAGCGGGATCAAGATAGGTTACACGGAGGTCCTCAACAAAGCCGTCGTCGCCCGTGCGTGTATCGTCTTCAGGGCTATCTCTGTACCTCATTTCCTGAACCCTCTTGCGAGTGGGCATCTTCTCGTTGAGAGCGCTCTCGGGAGTCTCGTCTCCTAGCTTGTATCCCATGCTTGTGTACCTCGGCTCGTCACGATACGGATATTCTTCCCCCTTTCGGTATGCGGCGACGGATTCGATGTAGAGGGAGAAGTCGCCTGATTGCTCTTTGAAGAAGCTGAACATGCTGTCAGTGATCGAGCGGAATCCACGTATATCATGGACTTGTGTGGTATAACACTAATGAGCGACACAACATACCTCCTAACCATAAAGCCAATCCTCTTTATCACCGCAATATCTAACCGTTTCCTCTCGTCGTCAGGGCAGTCCCGTCCACGATACGTCGCCCGGAAATCACTCCACTTGAAGTAGTGCCGGATCGTCGCGCCCTCCGAGTGTGCAGGCATCTCTGTTCGAAAATCGACCTCCCAAGAGACCGCACTCCGCTCCCTGCCATCCGGTCTCTTCTCTAGAATACTGTCTTTCAACAGGAGCGTATATTTCTTCACCTCACCCTCCCCAATAGCAGACCGCGCTCCACCACCAGGCCGGACTTTGAGCACGATCCCGTCATAGTCTGACAAGTCCCAGTGCAGATCCCCGTGTGTCTGCTGTGAGGCAAAGCCTGCGCCACCGAGGGTCGTCGTGTCGAGGGTTCCAGAGAAATGCGCGATGTTGCCGTCCTTGTGGCTGTCGCCAGTGTGCTTCGGACGGCGGGGTGCCAGGGTTGAGTGAGAGCAGCCACCACGAACTCTATCGTCAACTGCGTGGAAGGATTGGGTGTCCCAGGGGCTAATGAAGGGGTGATTTGTTTGTTAGTGGTTGTTTAGGTTTGTGTTTGTCGTTTGCAGCCAGGCTAGCTGCTGGTGGCGATGATTAAGTAGATATACGAACATTGGACCGCCAAAGAGGTATTTTTCGGATGTTGCTGACCACATTCCTGTTTCTCTTCCGTTCGTTTTCTCTGGGGATCTTGAGTTTCTGAGTTGGATTGAGGTTCAGGTTGAGTTGGATGAAGCTGGGCTTGGGTGGGTCTATAGATCGATCGATGGGCTCTGACGTAGGTCAGGGTTGTACCGTGGTCTAGACCTGATGGTCGCCTTTGGTTTTAATTGACTTTGTTTATCCTTTACCTAAAAACTGTGTTTCTAGATGTAAGACTTACAGCTAACATTTTGATAGGCATACATGATTTTATCTAATCTCTGTATTAGTACTAGATGTATCTCCCAGGTCTTCGAAGAACACTACCTAAGACGGTTAGTCTGAGGAGAAATCCACATGCAGTCTTGAGACCCCGCACACCGAGTTCCAACACAAAGGCAACGCCTAAACAACAAATTGGGGATCAAACGAAACAAGGCAAATGTATCCTAATGACTGATATATATGGACCCAGAGGTTAGACCATGGCAACAGCAAGAAGCCCCGCCAAGCTGAAACAACATCTTCTCTCCTCGTGGCGTACTCTCGGAAGACCATATCACTGGGCCACACGACGTTTCCGACTCTTGCTCCGGGCCGTTGGCCTAGGAATCCTTGCCATCGTCCGAGGCGACGAGCCTCCCAAGGTTCTCGTCTACAAATCTCGGAGAGCGGTCGTCTTCCGCTCGGCAGTCCATGTCCTCCCCGCGTGCGTCTCGTTGATCCTCATAGCACTCAATCTCCACGGCTACTTTATCGGGAGGGAGCTCCAGGGCTATTCAGGTACCGATGACGGCAAGCTGGGAGCTCTCCAGGTTGCCGCGAAGATACAGGTGATTTCGCCGTCAGCCGCCACAGCATACAAGATCAGTTGCTAACCACGTTCGATGACGGGTAGGAGCTGCTCATACTCGCGAGCGTAGCAGCCGTAATACTACATGTTCTACGCCTGAATCTTACATGCAAAGAAGGCGTGACACTCGGCCGGCTTGGCGTCGATATAAGCTTCACCCAAATCAGGCACGCACTTGACGTATAAAGCTCATAAATGGACCCCGTTAACCGCCTCCGCATCTAGCTTCTTCTGGTCCTTCGAGTTCTGGGGCGCCATTTTGTCCCACAACACCCGACACTGGCGGCAGAACTACCTCCTCGTTGGGCTTCTTGTATTTTCTGGACTCTTGGCTGCGCTTGCGGGTCCTTCCACGGCGGTGCTCATGATCTGAGGAAACTGGACTGGCCGGTCGGTGGTGGGGTTTTCTGGCTCAATGGTTGGTGTCTCGGTATTCTTTGCTTTCTGCAGCTTGACTGCTAAAGAAGAGCAGAAAGTGAATCCGAGCTGTGGCCGACGAACTTAGACGCAGGGTATCTTCAAGACTACACATGTTCGACCGAAGAGGCCCGTCATTCACGACTTTAGATGCCCTTCAGCAGGCTACCTCTCTATCTCTGCACAACTCTCCACATGGTGGAATTTTCCCAACGCACTGCATGAGGTCCAACTCCAGGACAGCAGGTTAGCGAGATATTTCTTCTTTTCCCAGCCATAAATATCTTGACAGGAAGAATGCATTCTACTTTCACACTGACGAACCTCACTGAAGCTGATACATCACAAAGCGATCACTGACTCAACCACCATGTTAGCATTCGCAAGATATTCTACATCGCCTCAAACATTCAGCGAATTAAAGATGCCTGGATATACACAACTCATGGCCATACGGCAAATATGCAAGATGCAGCGGTCAACTTCTACCGAAACGGTCTGCTGTACCTACGAACATACAGCAGAAACGAGCCGCCATACCCACTCTCTCTCGAGCTCGCTGAGAGCAAGAAGTTTGAGCGAGGATGAGAATACCCGACATCGAGCCTTCACTCGTCGTTGTCTTCCGCCGGCTAGACATATAATCTGCAACAGCACCGGCCAACGAGTCGTCCGCTCACCACCACCACACCTACCGTCTCAGAACGGGACCTCACATCTAGAACCCGAGCACTCCACAAACCTTCGCCCACATGCAATCCACCCCATCGACGCTCCACGAGGCCGAAATCCCCCTGAATCGGTATTGCCTCAAGCTCAGCGAAGCGGAGTCCACCACAAACTGGCAAACCTCTCCTCGCATCCTATAATGAAACGGGAAGGAGCATGAAGGACAGGAGCGGGTCGTTGCTTCCTCGTACATTAAGTTGAGCCACGAGGAAGGTGCGGCTCCGATGTACCTTCCTAAAGCAAGATAGGAAGGAGCGAACCCAAGGGGTCGGTCGTTGCTTCCTCGTTTACATATAGATTAAACGGGGAAGGCGCAACCAGGACTGGTACTTTCCTAAATCAGAACAGGAATGAGCGAACAGCCCAGCCACTGGTCGCTCCTTCTTTTCATACTCGGTTAGTCAGCCGAGGAAGGCGCGACCAGAGGTCACCTTCCTAGTATAGAACAGGAAGGGAGGGGTTGGTGGTCGGTGCCGTTGTATATGGCTGGACTCATCTCTCTGGCCCTTGATCTTTGATGGTAGTTCCAAGGTTTCATTCAACCTGCAAGGCTTCAAGCATTTAGGGATTCAAGTCCGTATAGCCTCGGGCTTGGCGGCTATGCCATGATTTAGTCATCCATGTTGCAACCTGGGACTGAACCTTAGGTCATGCTTATAAGTTAGGTCAATGCACGCTTCTACTGTACCCAAGCCGAAACCAGGATGCCGCTGCAGTAACCAAAGGAACCATCAAAACCATCTCGGATGGTGCAGTGGCCTACTTACCTACTATACGATACCTTCATGGGCGATTTGAATTAGAGAACATCAGGATAGGCTTCAGTTTGACCAAGGTCGATGCTTCATGTCACGTGAAGTACCACCGTCCAGAGAGGACCAGGCCGGGTGTAACAGGTACTACGGGTAGCCGACGAGATAGCATGGCGAGACCTTGCTGGCTTAGAGGGCTATGCTTCACCTGCGTCATAGTGGTGTCGGCATTTCTGGCCGATGCGTAGCAAATACGGGGCGAATTCAGCAGGTCTGTCCACTCGCCCAACTGGTTTTGATAGTGATGAAGTCAGGTACGTGAGACGCTTGAAAACTCGAAGATGCGACATGAGGAGTGCAGCGCCAAAGATATGGGATGAAAGACTGTTCTCTAGATGCTGTGCAAGAATGAGATGATGAAGACGACGAATGGATGATGAAGCAGTAGGTATTTGCTGGAGATATGGCTGGGCGCATCTGGTTGTCATGGATATAGATGGACCAAGCGCAAAGTAGATAGCATCCTGTGACATGGAAATGCGGGATAAAAGAGATGCGGAACGATGATGGTGATAAGCTTGATGGTCGGAAGCAGCCGGAGATGAAACAGACACGAAGGAGGCGAATTGGTTGTTCAGCATTCACTCCGGTTGTGGAAATCGATCGAGGTGAGGTTGAGAGCCCGGAGGTGGCCTCATGGGAGGACCGGAACAAGAGGAGTCATCTGACCCAGCATATCAGATGGAAGGAGGGGTAAGCCTCTCTATCTGCAGGCGTGGTCGAGTTGCTCGCTGGCATATAAGAAGGGAGATGGGACGCTGTTTCTCTTGACGACTGCAACCTCTTTTAAGAATCTCAAATTCACTTGTGAGCGCCTGGAGGCTCCGCGTCTTGGCAGTTACTGTCACGTGGCACGCGTACAAGCCGTGTTTGCCGTGTTTGCTGGGTCCAGGTTGTCGGGCTGTGATTGGCCAAAGCAAAGTCACGTCGCGTCAACACGCTTCCTGCCGGCGATCGGCCCAGAGCTTCACGTCTGCTTTTATGCAAGGTTCTTTCCCATTACCCATCCCTCCTTCCTCCCAACACCTCCCTCCGTCCCTGCTTCGCGAGCTGCAGCTCTCTCGACGTGTCGGATGAAGAAGAAAAGAAAAACCGGTTCTCCCTTCCTGGTTCCTTCACCGCATCATTGACCCTTCGCTCCTGCCGACCTTGTCCCGCGTTTGCATTCCAGAGAGACCTTGAATTCAACCTAGCTGCGTACCCACCCGAGACATACCTCTGCAACTCTCCGGCAACGATCAGTTCGACCAGAAACAGAGTTTAATCGATAAGGCATCTGCTGAATTGGCCATTGCTTTGTAGTCAACCGTCTTGCCCTCGCTTGTGGAATACATTCCTATCCGACACGCCCGGTCACTAATTCCTCCAACATCTCTCGTCTTTGGAGACATTAACACTCACTCATATATTACCTATTGGTTTAATCCTTCTCTAATACTGCTTATGCAAATATCTTTTCTCTGGGCGGGATGGAATCTCAGGACGGAATTTCCGTCCGCGCGATGAGGCGTAAGTTTAGGAGCTCCGTACCACCCAACACATGCTAACCTTCTACCTTGGCTCATAGTGAAGGTGCTTTACACATTCGACGACGCAAACAAGACGAATTGTTTAGCCCGATGGCCTCAGCTCCTCGACATCCAGACCGCTTTTCTGGACGAACAAACACAGATCGGAGTAATCGAGCTCAAGACCTGCATCCAAGCGATTGTCTCGGCCAGGTAAGTGTGACGCTTGCTAGTCCGATACGGTTCTAACTTGATCAACCAGTCCGGAATTGGTCGCCAAGTTGGGTCAGGATTACACCGTATACGCCTATGACTATTCCGAGTACGAAACACCCCTTGTCGGACAGGGGATGCTATCATGGGTTCTAGCGTCGTCGTCCCCGACTCCTAATGCGCCAGCCCATCAATCAAGGACAATGGTGACGGGCCGTGTCTGCAAGAACGTGCTAGGATTGTTCTCGAGGGGTGCCCAAGAAACGCTGGAGGTCAAACTTCGCTTGGTTCCCGTCCCGACCGCCATGCAAAGCGAATACCTGAACAGCATGCAGAAATACCGGGAATTGAGCAATGTCATCCCTCACGAGTTCGATGCTCAAGCCTGGACCGATTTTCTACGCCAAAACCCTGACTTAATGTCACCCACACCACAACCTGCAGCTCAGGCACCATCCCCAATGGATCATTCCGGCATTGAGAGATTCCACCAGCTTCTGAGCGAAGGTTCCACGCCAAGAGACATCTCAATGCCCAACCCGCCGTTTCGTTCCACCTCTCCCACACAGTCTGCTCTTAGCACAACAAGCAGGGTACAAACACCGGGCCAGTTCCAAGCTTATCAGCAAGAACAGCCCATACAACGTCCACAGCCGGAAAGAACACAAAGCGACGTCATCAGACCATCATCCAGCGCTTCCATGCGCGATGCAGACTTCCACAATTACGCTAGACCTATGAGCCGCAGGGGCTCGGTTCAATCCGGTTATGGGAGCTGCGAAGAGACATCGGAGCAGCAGCCGAGGAAAAGAGCGAAGCTATATCGAGCAGAGGCTCCTGGCAGGTCCGATCTGAACATCGAGAGACAGCCAAGCTCATTACGAGTTGCTGCTAGCACAGCAGCTTCAGTCCGCATTCATCGTCCGACTCCCATCAACCCCTCCATAACTGCCGCTCAGAATTCAAACGAAGAGCCAATTCGTCCTCCTACCCCGATATCAGGTCTAAACAGCTTACCCCGCCGAGCTCGTCCTCAACCAAGCCTCCTTCGTGAATCATCAGTCCAAAGCCTCCAAAGTCTCAACCAATACACTTCGCCATATCCGATGAGCGACGACCAACCTCCGATGGAGCCGAATGCACACTCTCCTGAGGAGTCTCGATACCAGGGTCTATTCGAGCCCTCCTTCACTATGCCCTCCTCGCCACCCGTCCTAGACTATGGGCTTCCCACAAGGTCCAGCCCGGTCCTCCCACCCATGGCAGCCGATCTTGATTCCGGATTCATGAGCGGCGGCATCGATGACCTCTTGGATGAGGAGCCTGGCCCTACCTCGGCCGCTCCAGTCGAGGACGCCACAGGGCCCTCGTCGAGAACTACTGCGAGCGCAAACCGTACTGTCCGTTCTGCGGCCCAAGCGAACTCGCCCGCCCCTGTTGCTGCAAACCCCGAGCCCCAGGTCGGACCCATTGTTATCAGCGACGAACCATCGGAAAAACAGCCGCAAGTTTCCAAGGAAGCACCCATTGCACCCGCCCGTGCCACCAAGACTGCTTCGCGCCCTGCCTCACGTGCCAGTAGTGTAAGACCGACAACACACAAGCCACTAGCTCCCGCTCCTATCTCTCAGAGTGAGTTGGAGCAGCTTCTCAATGCCATTCCGGCAAGCGATCCAGTTGCGCCAACGCCGGCGGGCGATTCTACCACTGCCGAGACTCCGGCATCCCAGCCTGCCAACAAAGATGGAAAAATCCGCAGCGGGGCGGGCGCCCGTCGAGTCAGACAAGTTCAAGCACGCCTCGAAAAGTGCATACAGGATGGGCAAGTACCACCTTACTGTGAAAATTGCGGCGCAATCGAAACTCCTACTTGGCGTAGAGCCCACTCCAAGGAAATTGCAGGAAGCGAGGAAGAAGCCAACGAGCTTACGAAAGACCCCGCGGCGCTCTTCTGGCAAACGGTTGAGCGGGACGAGAAAGAAAAGGTCATCAAGTTCAAGGTCTATAAGAAGACCTTGGCCGAGGCTGACCAAGGCTTTGACCTGGTCCTACTTTGCAACCGTAAGTGACGCAACATTCAGTCTTTTATCCCATCATACTAACCACGACAAGCTTGCGGACTCTGGCTACACAAGTTCAAAACCATGCGCCCTGAGAACCGATGGACAAAACCCAATGCCGCCAAGAAGAAGCGACCAAGGAGCGGCCGCAGACCAGGTGGCCCACTATCCACTAACGGTACTGCTAGGGGAGCCCGCAACAGAAGCGACTCGGCAAAGCCGGATGCCTCATCGCCAGGCGGCTCAGAAGCTTCAACTCCAGCAGCTGATGACGATGCAACTCCTCGTGCCGATGCTGAAATGAACACAAACGTACCAGCCGATGACGAGCGGGAGAAGGGCGACGATGCACAAGAGCCTTCGCCCAAGCGCCGCCGCGCCAACAGTGTCGAGCCTCGGAAGACGTCTGACATGGCCAAGAGCCGTTGGCATGAGGACGATGCAATGGAAGCTCTCCGGCGGGCTATTCAGTCTAGCCCAGCCAGGAATCTTGCAAACCGCGATGCTTCAGCGCCGGGTGAGAAAAATCTGACTCCCAAGCCAGTGAGGAGAGTATTGTTTCCTAATTCACAGAACGATGGGGGACCTTTGAAAGCATTAGGCCCGTCAGTTCTGAACAGTCCTAAGCGAAGCTCGCGCGCGTCCACCGGCCAAGGTGCGGATAAGCAACCAGGCGACAAAGAAAACACCACAAATGACCTTGACCGGCTGTTCGAGAGCCCCTCGTTTGAGTTTGACCTATGTGCCAGCCCCACTCCCAGGCGGCGAAACCAGCGTTCGAACCTTGGGGACAAGCGACACTCACTCCCCTCAATCTCTCCTGTTCCCAAAGCTCGAAAGGGGGCTGCTCCGGATACTACTCCCACCCGACTCTCCGCCCAACGTCTCCAGCGTGTTCAAAGCAGTCCTGGTTCTGTGTCTCGACTGAGCCTGACGCCCAGCCGATCCCGCTCTCGTTTTCCTGATCTTCCCCCCATGGCGGATGACGTCTTTGGCCCAGGCGCATTCCAGGGAATGGACGACATGATTGTCGATATTTTCTCTGAAGATGCAACTTCAGCAATCCATACGGACCCATTGTTTGCACTTGACTCTAGAGGCGCATCGCACACCGATTGGGCCAATTGGCTTCCGTCGGACTGTGTTTCTCCGTTGGGGTCGGACAAGAACCGAAACGATGAGAATTCTACCGATGTGATCAACGCACTGCTGTCCGACCCGGACATTCAAAAAGATCTTTTCCAGTACGCCGATGCGACTGCCCTAGACTCGGGCTTCTTTAGCCCGGATGCCCTACAGGGTGATGTGACGCTCGGCGAAAAAGCAGATGCCTCCACGAACCAGACCAGCAACACCGAGCAGGTTTAGTACATATACTCGATGTGTCACGAGTTTCTTTATCTTGTTTGTCTTTTTTTATTACCCTTTATAGCGATGGCGTTGGTGTGTCTTGATCACGGGTATTATTTTGTTTAGCCTCACGGGTGGCATCTTTCTTTCGTTAAGTCATACCACCATCACGGTTGGAAACGAATCTTATTAAAATGGTTAACCAGCTCTGTATACGAGTCGATGAATAGATTATCAAATAACTTCAACCATTACCAAAGGACCAGCTCTCAAATTCAGTTGGAGAGAAGGACGCGTAGAATTCATAAAATAAAGAAAGTCACGGTATCTTTGTACCGCCGCCGAGTCTCATGCTCAAGTAGACGAGTATTGGAACAAGTAGATATAGGACACCTTCATCCGGCTACTCCACTCAATCGGCCCCAAGCCCCAGCATTCTAGGTCCTTCCAGAAGAGGACACCTCCTATTCCGCCTAGAATTAGGGTATCAAATTGCATAAAACGAGCAACACCGGATGTCCACCGTGTGTTCATCCAGTAAATCCTCCCATACAACTTTGCGTAGTTCGACTTGTCTGATGCAAAACAGTGCCCGGACATATCAGGAACCCCAACTTATTTCGTTCACTCAACCGAGTCATAGAACAGTGGCTTCAGCTTATGCGTCACCTCCACAAGCTTCTCATAGATCTTGTAATCTGCCCAACTCAGTCAGTCATCAGTCAAGGTCTACCCTCCCCACAAAACCCCCAAACCCAAAAAAGAAAGATAAAAGATCACATACCGCAATCCGCCGGGTTCCCCCAATCCGTCGTAGCAAGCACCTTGATCCCCAACCCGCCCTCGGGGACCTCCGCAACCTTCCCGACAACCTCAACAAGCTTCCCCATCTGCAGATGCGAGTCTGGTTTCAGGATGAGCGTGACTTCGCCGTGTGAACCGCAAGATATCGATGCTGTGTCACCGCGAAGCGCGGTTACTGTTCCCAGGAGGCGCACAGGGGGTGGTGAGCGCGGGGATGTGGCGGAGGGGCTGAAGGCGTGGAGGTGGGAGGGGAGGACGCGGGGGGTTTGGAGGGACATTTTGTTTCGGGTTCTTTTCGAGGTTTTGGAGAGGGAAGAATAAGCGGTGTACAGGTGAGGTTTGGTGGTAAGAACTTGGATTCGTTGTAACAGAAGATTGAGTTGATAATGTCGAAGTTAGTATTGCTGCTGGGGTGGGGATGGGATTGGATAGAGTTGGATGAAAGCGCGTAAACGCGGTGACGCGCTATCACGTGACCATGATTTTGATTTAAGCTCCATTCACCGCCCGGCAGCGCTTGGCGGAATTATCAGATTTGAGGTTTGAGGTCCAAGGTCGATGGTACAAATAAGTCAAAGCTCCGCAATACCTAGCAGATAAGCTGTCGCTCTTGACTGTATACGCCGCGGATATATTCCTTCTTGTCGCGGACAGCTTGTGCTATCAAAACAGCCGAGTTCGAGAAGCCAGTGCACCACAATCGATGGCTGTTTAGTCCCGACCACCTACCGCACTCTACACATCGCCTCTCTCTCTACCTACCCAAGCTTCCTTCGCAACCTTCAAAGAAAACCACAAAAATGCCACCTCCATTCCCCTCCTCCCACCGGGGCATGACCGCCAACCCCCTCAAGCCCGTGCGCCGCTACAGACCCGGAAAGCCTGTCGCAGAAGAACCGTCATCGTCCGAAGAAGAGGAAGACGAGGAGGAGGCGCATCAGAATGAGGAGGAAGCTCGCGAGCAGGAGCGCAGGAGGAGGGCCGAAGAGCAGAGGAGGAGACAGGCGGCTGTGCCGAAGGCGAGTTCGTTTCCGGCTGGTGCGGCGCGGGGGATTACGAAAAGGGTGGAGGGGGTGAGAATTGAAAAGGATGATGAGGACGAGGACGAGGAGGGGTTTGTTACGGAAGAGGAGGATGAGGAGGAGGCACGGGGGGCTTTGCCTACTGCTGCGGCTGCGGCTGTGAGTGAGACGAGTGCGGCAGCGGTATCAAAGCCTAATGCGAAGGTACCAACGGTGGAGGAAGACGAGGAAGAGGAAGAGAGTGAGGAGGAAGAAAGTTCCGAAGAAGAAAGCAGTTCTGAAGATGAAGCACCACGGCGTGTGCTGTTACGACCGACATTCATCAAAAAAGAGAAGCGCGGGAACGGCGGACCAGAGGCACAGAATGGGCAGGGCACATCAGCAGATTCGCAAGCCGAAACAGAAGCACGAAAGGCACAGCGCCAGGAGAAAGCCGACGCACTTGTCCGCGAGCAGATCGAAAAAGACGCAATCGCACGAAGCGCAGCGAACCGAGCCTGGGACGACGACGAAGTCATGGCGAACGAAGAAGCCGAGATCGACGACACGGACAACAAGGACCCGGAAGCCGAATACGCGGCGTGGAAGCTGCGCGAGTTGAAGCGCATCAAGCGCGAGCGCGAAGCCATTGAAGCCACAGAAAAGGAACGCGAGGAGATCGAGCGCCGCCGCAACCTCACAGCCGAAGAGCGCGAGCGCGAAGACCAAGAATTCATTGCGAAGCAGAAGGAGGAGCGCGAAGCCTCTCGCGGCCAGACGGGCTTCATGCAGCGATACTTCCACAAGGGTGCGTTCTTCCGCCCTGATTTGGAGAAGGAAGGTCTGGACCAGCGGAATGTCATGGGCGCGCGATTCGCCGACGATGTCGCCCGGGAGACACTGCCGCAGTATATGCAGATTCGTGACATGACGAAGCTAGGAAAGAAGGGTCGAACACGATACAGGGATCTTCGCTCGGAGGATACGGGGCGGTTCGGTGATGGTTTCAGTAATCGGCGTCGGCAGGATGGACCGCCTATCGGTGTCACAGACGAGCGGTTCATGCCTGACCGCGACCGGGGAGATGATCGACCCCGGGGACCTACGGGTGCGAATGCGTCCGCGGTGCGGGAGAGACGCAGGTCCAGATCCAGGTCGAGGACACGCTCTCCCAGGCGGGATCGACGAGAGGACGAAAGGGATACATATCGGCCTGATTCTCGCGGCCGACGGAAACGGAGTCCCTCGCCGTATGAGGATAGAGAGAAGCGAAGGCGGATGAGAGGTGTTTCCTAGCGAACTCACTCGTGTAATATTCATGGCGTTGCGGTGTACATCTACAACTATAGCATGGGGACCTCGGGTTTGGCATGACATGACATATAAAGGCTTTTTTTTGATCCCGTTTATGCGGATTCTGTATGAGAAGCCCGAAATGGCTTCGATGGGTATCTCTTATTGATATTTAGAGCCAGATTTATTCACAGGCCTCACAGCCTGTTCTTCTTTCCTGCAAATATTGACCGGAGAACGCCGTGTGTGATCGTCGATATGGTAGCCTTTCCATCCCAGTATCCAACCGGCGCGTTCGAACCGAATAAGCTAGGCGCCGTGCGCCTCTATATTGCTCGCACATGCCGAATGCCCCAAGCTAAGCCTCCCAAAGTACCAGCCTGCCTCCGGATTCACATCCTCAAGCCGAATAGAGAGATCATTTTACCCCCGCTCTCTCAAGCACCTTCTCCCTCTCCATAACACTCTCCCCAAACCTCAGCAAGAAGATCGTCCGACTCGGCCACATCTCCGTGGGCTGGTTATGCGCGGTCACCTTAGCCTCAAACCCACACCCATCACAGACACCCTCAATAATCCCCGCTACAAACGCCGCGCAGTTCAGCTGGTTCATCTCCTTGGGGACGCTGATGTACGTGTTGACCAGCGGGTCGTTGTCCGTGATCATGTACTCGTTTGGCGTGTCGGGCGATACCGAGTGTTCGAGGGCGTCGGCGGGGCGGTTGAAGAGGAGGCGCCAGAGGGGGCCGTGGATTAGGTGGAGGAGGGGGAGGATGCGGAGGGGGCGGTTTGGGGGAGAGGCGGAGGTTGAGGAGCTGGTTAGGGTTGATGAGGAGGATGTGGAGATTGTGCGGTAGAAGAGGAGGTCGAGGAGGCGAAGGCCGAGGGGGTAGCCTTGTTCGTTTAGTCTGTTGGTTTCAAGTTAAAATCAGTCCAGTCCAGCACAGCACAGCCCAAGAGACACATCTATCTACAGTAGCTAGTCCTGCCAAAGGAAGAGGGGCAGGCTCACCGTCTCTCTAAATCCTGGATCCCCGTGACCCTCCGCTGAGCATACGTGACCATCTCCCCGAAGAGAAATGCGAAGCTCGCCCGGCTAAGCTCTGCATTCCGACTGCGATTCAAATGCCTATCGTAGATCGTTTTGCGGTTTGAGGGGACGCGGAGTCCCGGTGTTGATTGTGACGGAGTCTGAATCTGTGGTGTGGGCAGCTGCTTTTCCGGTTGTGGCGTAGCGGTCTGCACGCTATTGTTCATGGAGAGCATTGAGGAATGCCGCGCGGGGTGTGCCATGGCTGACTGGCTGCGTGGTTGTGGTTGTGGTTACAGTCTTGCTGTTGGAGTATGGGCTCCGCGGACTCACGGGGTTGCGGGATTGGAGATGGGGATTCAATGAGGCGAGTCATGCATGGTTCGTCAATTGGGTCGAGATGGGCGCAGGATTGCCTCAAGGTCTGAGATAACCTGTGAGTAACAGATCGCAAGTGTAATGATTCGACGGTGTTGTTGTCGGCGCATGGTGTCGGATTTGGGTTAGGCAGATCAGCTGGAGATCGATACGGCAGGCCACAGGTGCAGTTTGTGCAATGGGGGCCAAACTGAGAGTTTAAGGAGAAGACCAGGCGATGTTATGATTCATTTGATTTTCCTATGTACTATCTATCCTCCCAAGATCTAGCTCTCCAAGCTCTACAGAATATTCCGAGCAACCTCGTCGAACACGGCCGTTGCAGCCCCTAGCGAGCTTCTGTTCTCCGCCATCAATCTTTGGAATCTCGGAACCATCAACCAACGCAATCGCTTTGGAGATGGACTGGCTACGGCGCTTAGTTACCGGCAAATCACAGGAACAAATCGAAGAAGACAAGGCAAGGAGGCAACGAGCTCGGGACCGTCGGCGGCGCAGCCGAGAGCAGCGCGCACGTGAGGCAAATCCGATGTCGAAATGGACCAAGGGACGTCCCTTTATGGGAATTCCGGGACAGACGTGGAAGCCTTGAAGGGTTGAAGATCAGAGAGGGTATTCTATTGTTGTGCGGACGTCCACTGCGTGCTTAAGCCACGAGTTTAATGGCGAGATCTCTGGTGTCGGGGCATAAAAGGCAATATATGTTCACGAGAGATCGTCGAATCCGACACCGTCACGTCCGTTGCGGTCGAACTTGACCACGGATAGCCGGGTATCAAAGAGGACGAATGCCCAGGGTCTGTCGACTGGCATCCCAACCGAAGTGAACCAACGACACGCGGGCTTGATGGAAGATAATCAGGCAAGTGCCAGCCACCGAGCTTCGTACGAGGAACCATCAGGAGAGTTGGTCAGCGGATACAAGAACAACTCGTCGCATTGAAGCTCCGACGATGGGCCCGACAATGCCGTGTTACATACACAGGGAAATACGGATACGGATATGGATACACCAGCCCAGAAAACCGAGACGAGCGAAAAAACTTTCGAGGAACACGTTCAAACACATATAAACTCATTCAATCATTCTTCTGCATTCTTGCTATCAATGACTCTACAAGTCCTCGAACATCAAGCACGAAGTGCGCTACCGAGGCGGAGGTGAAGGTGAAGCACCGCGACCTTGCAGAAGCAACCTAAACCAAACTGAACAATCCCGTTAGCGAAAAGAACACCTTCACAGTTAAGCGATCATAAAAGTGTAGCGGGAAAGAGCAAGTCAGACATCCAAGGAAGTAATGCGCACAGAGCACGTCTATATGATGGGTTCATGGCGACGGCTAGCGTGGAAACTGCGAATGTGGAAAAGTTTTTCATCATAAGAACCCTTGGTCCCCCTTCCTCAAGATGAGAAGTAGAAAGGACACAAAGGCTGCTCGGGTTTGGTGAGGGGAAAGAGTGAGAGGAGAAGTTTTCTTACCTGTTAGCTGTCTTGAGGGTGAAATACTCTGTTGTTGGCGTTAGTTCGTGTCCTGCTGAGGAACTGTAGACTGGCGAAAAAAATGTTGCTGAAGCTGGAATCATCATCGAATTCCTTCAAGGTCCAGGACTTTTGCTGTGGTTGTGGAAAACCCAGTGTTGTGGTGCTAAGGAAGAGGAAGAGGGAAACGAAAAAAAAAAAATTAGCGGGAGGCTTTTATAGTTACAGATTCTGCCTCAGGCTGCCGGGGAAAACAAGAGACCCATCCAGAACGAAACTTCTAGAGTCGACTGCGAAATTTCTATACAGCTCTCCGGATGATATATTCCCTCAGAACAGATATGGTAGCAATGCTGTCTTCGCTTAAAATACTTAGAAAGGAAGACTCCAGGCGGCCTCTGCCTCCCATAGGTTGTAGTTGGACTGGCATCCATATATATATTTCTGGCGGACCTTAGTCTATGTTGTCTATGGAGTATGACATTCGTATAGACCAAGCGACCAGCTACACTACTATTGCATAGCCTTTTGCCGCTGCCTTGTATTCCAATTCAATGTCTTCGAAAGGCTGCGCATCCAATCGTCTCCTCCCTTCCCCTCAGGCAAAACATTCGCAAATGGATACCTCGAAGCCGAGACCGTCAGATAGTCACCCGGGAGTAACTCGACCCTATCAACACACGTCAGCATTTCTCTACCACACTACTTATAGCTAGTTTGAAAGACTAGCTGGGAAGGTGGAAATACCTCTGTCTCCCATCAAAGCTCGCCCAGGAACTCGTCCGTGCATCATACGGCACGCCCACACGTAGAACAATCGTATCAGGGAGGATAATTGGGCGGAAGGAGAGGGTGTGTGCACATATGGCGGTTATCAAAATGACCGGGTTATCGGGATGTGAGAGGGAGCCGCCGGCGGCCAAGTTGTAGGCTGTCGAACCCGTGGGGGTAGAGATGCAGACGCCGTCGGCCTGTAGGGTCGTAAAATGTTCATCGCCGCCGAAGAGTTCGGTGGAGGACATGGCTGGTATGATTAGCATATGCGCCTAGCCTGAAAGTGGAAAAGCGAAGTATACTCACTAGGGTTCGGTCCTCTATCGACGACGACGTCGTTGAGGATGTGTACAACTCCGTCGGGTCTATGGCTTAGCTTGCCGTCTGGCTCGTCGCCGATGAGTTCATCGACGAGATCCCTCTGCTTTTTGCTCGCGGGTGTTTCTCGCGAGTATGGGTTGCTTCTCATGATCGTGCACTCGAACCGTAATCTCAGACTGACGAGGACGCCGTCCGAGATGACGGAATTGAGGATGTTCTGATAGTTGTTAAAATCGAACTTCGTCAGGAACCCCAGTGAGCCCAAGGCAAAGGATAGCACTGGCGGTACGATATGCTGGAATATCCAGCTCGTGTACAAAACGGTCCCGTCGCCCCCCAACGTGAGCACCAAGTCGAACAGATGGGCCTCCTCACTCGCCAGTTTGGTATCCCAGAACTTCACCCGGTCCTCTACCGAGGGATCCTCCTTCAACAACCCTTTATAATCGAACTCTGGATCGACCTGCAGCCTGTTCTCGACGTAGATCATGTATTGCGTCCCCCGCTCCTTGGATAATAACCACCGAGCAAGCTTGCGCGTGGACCCAATTACAGATTCATCGCCGGCCTTGGTGACCAGGAAGATAGTCTTGACCTTTAGCTTGAGCCGTATGCTATCGAGTTTCTTCGACAGGTTGCGCACGTTCCACGCCATATCGGATAGTTGCTTTTTTGTCAGGTGCCGTGATTCCACCTCTCTTTGCGGCGACTTGGGCCGTTTATCTGTTTCCCCATCTTCCTCATCGTCAATGGCGATATCGATAGCGTCTGATCTGTTGACTATGTCTGCCTCAAGCTTCGTCCTCTCTTTTGATACTTGGATATTGGCGATCTTGGCTGGGGTGAGCCCTTCGCCTGCAATGAGAGAGTGCACGAAGCATGCTGTGGCCTCATCTGGTCCTTCTATCTGCTTGGCGTCGTCGGCCATTACGAGGGACGCTTTGCGACGGTGGCTGTAGGTTCTTGGGGGGAGCACGACCTAGCGATTGTGGCCGTCAGTTATTTGTCTAACAGATGTGATTGGTATAGGATATAGGATACCTCGAACTGATTATGGCCGTCTGGATTGTTCTCCTGTTGGTCGTGACCCTTTTCGCATGTCAGCTGTGAAAGCTATTGCGAGAAGACAACCATACATCTGTAGAGCGCCTCCGATCCATTGTATACGGCTGAGTCGGATAGGATATGCCCGTTGGACCAATTTGTGGATTTTATATTGTGGTAACAGGTTATTTGCACTTCTTTCAAGGTTCGTCGTGAGCTGTGTTCGGTGAGCGGTCGATGACGTCGCTCTACTTCGTCCAAACCCGAGGGGTCTTCATGTTGCATTGCTCAACAAAAGCGGCACTCGATAGTATGAGGACGCCGACGGACTGAGATTTGTCAAATTGTTGTACACCATTATAGCAGGAAAAATGTCATTCTGTAGATTAGGAACTGAGCTACGTCAAAAGCCAAGCTTCGCTGAGTGTTTCGGCCATTATCGTCTGGCAAGTTGGCCCAGGCAACAACCCCTCATGCTACGTCGCGGGTCATGGCATCGTGCCATCGATAAGACCAGCTGAGTGAACACTTATCGCCTACGCAATGGGTGAGCTGTTTGTTGGTCTGTCTATCACTGTTACGATATCCGAGACAACAAGGCGACCTGGCACAAGCGCAGAGGTCGATGATGAGTCTTGTCTTGATGATCCAGCATCCCGCTCAAGTATTATTAGCAGTCAAGTAAGACCGGCGGAGAAGGTCTGGACCCGGTGAAGATCAGTTGACGAGTACTCTGGAGAAGACACTCTGCTTGCGAATCTGATCCCGTTATCAAAGCGTCATCTTCTGGTGTCCATCTGCTTCGTATCGTGATGGCTCAAAGGACTATTGGGAGTCCGAGGCCGGGCAGGTGGGTAAGGATTCCAAGATCCTTGGCCCCAGAGACGAAAATGGACATGTCGCTGCCGTCGCTGTGATCTGATCGCCCGAGTTGCAGGACTATCAGTCTCATCACCCCTCATCACCCCTCCAAACTTCAAACATCAATAAGAGTCCCCTGATTCAGAACAAACTTTGCCCAAGCGATAGTCAAAAAGTAACCAACCCACTGCACCGAGCCGGCGCCTGTCCGACCGCAAATTCGAGCCTTCACGATTCACGACTCAGGACTGTGCTACTGGCTGAGGAACATCGAGAATTGGGCCGGTTTTAGGTTCAATAATAGATTAAATCTTGCCCCAGGCACGGTGAAAGCCACAGCGTCGAATTTTTGTTGGAGTTGATCAGCGCCTCCAAAACTTACAGAGTCCGCTCGCAAGTTGCAACGTGCCAGCCTCCGAGTCACCGACTCTTGGGTATCCACTACTGCTGGGCCGGCGAAGACACGAGCCTTTTTGGCCCCTCTGGAGATCGGACAACTTCCTTTCGGATGAAGATGGAGATGGAGGGTTTGGAGAATGGAGATAGTAATCCCGCTGAGACTCTGACGGCGAAATCCGGACAATGGGCGAAAGTCAGACCGACGGTCTACCCCAAGAACAGAGTACTAAACCTGGAACCTCCAGGGCACAACCTTCTGCAGCGACAAACTACGAGAACAAGCAAACCAGATTTGTTTGAACTTTCAACTCTTGAGGCCAAACCATGTGGCCTTCCGAGCCTTGGTCATGCTATCGGATCCATCCATACTTTCTCAAAACAAGAATCTGGATGAGGCGGGGATAATAATTGAATACAAATGAATTCCAGAATCCAGGATCCAGACGGATCGGTAGCTCACGGATCCTGAATCCTGGGCCTTTGACCGATTGTTTTACTTCTGATTTGATGACCCCACCAACGGGAGGTAGTCAATAATCTCTCGTCTCTCTTACCATATTGCTTCAGGAGCTATTTGATTGATGCCGATGCAAGCGAGAGAAATCCTAGCCGCGGAGACAACAGATGATCCGTGGGATCGCCCATGCAGACGACATCGGGACTCAGACGAGTCTGGAGGGTCATCCTTGTAAAATATTGTGCATGGTGCGAGTCACATACTCATGTACAGTATACTGGATGAGGATGGGATCGAAGAATGCGCGCATCGCGTTGCCCTTGAATAGCCGGTTTTGCGTGAGTGTTGCTTTTGCTGAGGACTGGGGCGACGGGAATTGACTTGACTCTGGGGTCGCTCCACTTGATCTGCCGTGGCCAATCAAGAGCTGCACCACGCTTTCTTCTTTGCCCGATCCTTCTGCTCCTTCCAGTTCTTGACTTCTTAACCTTCTTTCCTGATCGGAACTTGTCTCCTGGAGGAAAGACCGTCTGTGGACAGGGCTCACAAAGCATATTGCTGAGCGACCCAAGTTAGCTCGCGCAGAACATAGCAAATATCATTTCCTCAACCATCCGGAGCTTCTGTTGAATCAGTGCTGTACCCCATACTAAAGTTACAGCTTGATGGAGTCTGTGTTGGTCATGTGGCTTGACTTCTGGAGAAGTACCCGCATGGTCCCCTGTTATGTGTGCTTCAATTTTGCCACTCTCCCACTTACTCCGTGTGGATGTATAACCCAACCTGAGTGCGTGACGGCGAGAGTTGGAATTGGGCCATTAGATGCATAATCTATTCAATGTTTGAAGAGGCTGCACTTAACTTCGAAGGACGTGCTCCGCAGTGCTGTCGAATAAAGGCCTCTGAACGGAGTTGATGTTCGTGAGCGTATGGGCCTAGTTATTGATACGAGGATGTTTTGGCCCTGCTTGCAGTTGCCGTTGCCTTGAGGAGATTATTTGGTCAGCCTGGTAGGCTGGTCCGAAAGAAACACCTATCGCCTATCGCAGGGTTCGTCACAATGACTACTACTGGAATCTGTTTGGAGTTGAGCGGTGTCTGCAATGTTAGCGCCACACGCAGCTCCGGATCGAAACATGAAGCACTTGATCGGCCGACGAATCCTGGATGCAATGCAATGCAATGCCACCTGATGGCTCTGGGGGTCGACCCCTATAGGACCCGGAAGCTGGTTTAATTGCTGACCACAAGTGGTGGCTGGGCGACGGGCGACGGGATGAAAAGTCCATCACATAAGGTTCGATTTCTTTTGTTCTCCATCCAGCCAGGTGACGAGATGATGATTGTTCAAAGAGCCAGTGCATCTGCAGGTGGCCAAGAGTCAAATGGCATACATTGCATGGATGCAAGTATCCTGCATCAAGACCAACCTAGTATACGGTAGTCCCATCCCCATCCAATAAGATGGCCGAGTCCGAATGCCTAGGATCCTGCGTGTTATCGGCGGCGGCTACTCCATTGTAGGCTAAAGCCTAAAAGGCGCGACGAACTCAAGAGGTGCGTCTGCGGTGTCCGTGTCACATCGCCCTGTGCCCCGATCTTGGACGGAAGGAATGTCGAAGAAAGAGCGATGATGGCTCCCGCGATGGAGCTGGCAAGAATAATAATACCATAGGAGCAATCAGTATTGCGCCTTGGACAAGGCAAGCGTAGCATGTGATTGCTCGTCATAAGCGCTCAGTTATAATCCCACGCCCAGGCAGTTCTCATCAATACCAGTGATCCATCAAAGAAACCCAAAATAGGGACTGACATGCCACTAAGGTAAGCCAAATTGATTAGCGCAAGTTTTGTTTCTTCTTTGACTGATTTGAATTTTCCCTGATTGCTTTTTTTTTCCCGCAGGTTTCTTGAAGTTTGGGTGACGCTTGGGCCAAACCATGGTTTGATAAGCACTGCAGCCGGCACATCCATAGTAACAGTAGTCAACGGAGAGAAGTCTCACAGTGTTGCAGCTGAGGAACAACCTCCGAGATCATCAGTTGCCAACGGAGGGTTGGTGCTGCTACCTCTCTTTCGGATAGTGCGACAGCCAGATAATAATAACAGGCCTCGAAACACGAGCCTCCAGCAAAACAAGGACAAGTGTAAGATTGAACTGCCCAGGTTTTGAACCGCTGCGCTGAGGTGTTATCGATATTCTCAGTTTCAGATGGAGCTTACTCCATCCCGCAGCGCTTCTGGACCAGGCTGGAAATGTTGGTTGGAGCTTGGCGGAGGGTGGCTGTTGAAACTGACGTCTGTGGACATAAGGTGGACTAATGCTACCCTCCACTCCGAGGTTCCAGCCGCACAGGTCACAGCTTCGCAAAAATGGACGAATGAAATCGTCCGGACCAGCTTTCGGCTCGCCTGCGTTCGTTAAGGCTGTGCTTCAGGTAAGGATGAGAGCTGTTGCTCATTTGCGGGTTACGATCCTGGTTGGCTTGCTCAGACATCGATTCCCAATAATATTCATTAAGCGCCAGAGGCAACACTGGCTGACGACGGTTTGTTGTCCTAGGTTGCATGCAGGCCGGGTGATGATTCAAATGAAAACGATCGGCGTCGTATGGATAAAACCCAGGAGTCAGCAGAAAAAGGAATGTGCCTTCGAGGCATTGCTCCCTCGCCTCCTCGCGGCCTCGCTCACTAAACTTCTTCCAGGGAGGGGAGAATGATGAATCCCAAGGAGTCTCCAATGATGTTCCGTCACGCAGGCGACAAGACTCATGAGAAACCAGAGCCTTGGAAGATTATTGCAGGCTCCCTAATTCTTCCTTGTCCGACTTGTTGTCTCTTGGGAGATAGGAACGGGGAGACCCACATTCGTTGGCACTTCCTCTCCTGTCGCGACTCTTGACTCGACCCCTGAAGGCTTCTGGAATTTTGTTCTTCTTGCAGTGGTGGAGTTTAGCCCCGCATATGCCTTTCCAGCGGTTCACCTCCTGTAATCTGCGCCCTCTGATTTGTAGGACAGTCGGCGATGATCTCAAGAGTCAATTGTCCGATTAGTCGGTCGGCTAGTGTCGATTCCGTCGTGTCATGGTTACACGGAACCTTTCGAATTAAATTCTTATATTTTTTCCCATTTCTTCTTGGTCGCCTTGGAGTCGGGAGCGGTTGGGGAAACGTTCGTCTAACCGTTTTGATTATCACCGCTTACATACGCAAGAGGGGAGGCAAAGAACGTGGCATGCACTGCGCAGTGTTCGAAGAGATGCAAAGTACGATACTGCTGAGGTTTTCCGTCATCGGTGAGACGACGTGATGGACGCAGCATTGCAAATATGGTCACGAAATGATTGAGTCAGTGCTCTCTACGGCGTCCTCATGCTCCGTGGAATCTGCGTTGCCTGGAGCCCCTGGACGGTGGGCTGCGGGTATGGTATGCCTTCAGGTACCTGAGCGCACCTAAGGAGAGGGAGGCGCAGACTACGGAGTGCGTCTGTGAGGCGTAAGGAAGATTCCCTCTGCCGTTGCATTCATTTGAGCTGAGAAAGGGCCCACGGTAGGAGATGAGGAGCGCTTCAGAGCACTGTATTGTGTTGTTCTATTATTGCCTGGGAATGCATGCGATCCGCAAAGGTCACTCGTCCTACATTATTCGTGAGGGAGAGTCATGATTGTCTCGGCAACACGGAGTACATCTGCTGTCCTTTCCGTGATGCAGCTGGACTCGTCACAGGTACTCCGCAGTGGCACATTTCAGGTGCTGGCCACAAAATTTCTTCTTCAAGCACACCCCACTTGACGGGCATCGCCTTGCGAAATGGGCGTGTGCCATGGACCGTGGTGGTAGTCGTAGCCGAAGCTTCCGTCGCTTCATGCTTCACCGAATCATCTCGCGTGGGAGCATTCAAACTTCAGGACGACAATTTTTCGATATTTGCCCCAGTCTGCGCCTGGTGTCAAGGAAGAGAGACTGAGCATACGGAGTAGGCTTGGTTGAGCCGACAAGGAATGAGAGCAGCTGATTTGCCCAAGAGCCGTCGGAGTGGTGTGAAAAGTACGCTAACGGTGGTTCCTGCTCTCGTCTCCTTGGTTGAGAGCACTATCAGATGTGGGCTGGCCGGGTTTATCATCAAGAATGATGTGATCATTCTTTTCATGAAGATCGTTGCGACGGTTTTTTCCGGTTAGTCCATCCCGCGATGGGGATAGTCATCGGCCCATGATGCATTTAGATTAAAGCTAACCTTGTACCCTGAAAGTAAGAATAACAGCCTTTGTCCAATATCCCGTAACCGCGAATCGCTTCTCCGAGTGATAGCCACACCGGATAGAGACTTAGGTGGAAGATGTCTAACACAAGGTTCTTTTTCGTAACACTCCGTTCAAGGACGTCCGCGAGATAGAGCAGGAGCTGACAGGAGTCGGAACGGTCTATCCCTGCGTGTGAAAACCATGATGCAAAATACTTCGGAGTTGCAGTTGCAACCTCGCGTAGCGGCGGTTTGACGGGTTGGAAACGGTGAACTTGTGGGGACCAATGCCCGCGGTCAAAGGCCAAGGGGGGTGGAAGGGACAACGGGCTAAGATGGAGTACGTAATAATGAGATGGAATTGCACAGAAGGAAGGATTCTGGTCACGCAGACACTGTACGGCAAGGTCGGCGATCAGGCTGGCCATGCCAGCATTTGGAGTGCCACAGTGGGCGTCTGCGCCATCCGTCTGGTGGACGGAGAAAGTCGTTTTGATCTGTCCGCTGCAGGCTGGGCCCTGGGAATCCTTTCGGCTGAGCTAAGCTGGGCTGGTTCCATGCGGATTAAGGTACAGAATCTGCCAGCGCTAACCACGAACGGGATGGACGGCAACGAAAAAAGCCATGCTTCAACAGGTAACCTCGACTCAGGACGGGGGCTCACACGGGCCTACTCTAGTCTGCCAGTCTGACTCTGCGAGTGGGTGGGCGTAGTTTTAAATGCTCCATCCTTTTGTTTTGCCCAAATTCCCGTCCATCTTGCAACGCTGAATGGATCCGTGACTCTGATCGCCTCCACTCCGAGGTCTTAGTTCGGACCCTCCTTCGAGCCCAGAGTCCAGACAGGCGATTGCCGCTTTCAACCCGTGGCACTGGCATGGGCCTCTCCTAGGCTCCATCAGAGTGTGAATTATTCGCATTTTCTCTTTCCTTCCTTCGCTCCTTCCTTCCCGAGTTGTCCCAGCGCCTTGCTCAGGTCCATTCCTCGTCCGCCTAGCCCAGTTTCGTAGCCAACGTCGTGTCATCCCAACCAACATGTGCCTGCGCGGCAAGCAGGATGGGATCGTGGAGCTGGGGCGGATGGCAGATCAGGAATGTTCTCAACTGGGCAACCCACCAAGCCTCCTTCTGTTCCACTTGTCTCCTTTGGTCAAATATTTATTTCTTTTTTTCCTTTAATTTTTGCTCGCTGATGATCTGGCCCAATTACCGTTCTTCATACTTAACGGGGGCATGAGCTGCGCGCTCCTTGTATGGAACTGGCTTTCTCGTACCTTGCCTCAGCGCCTGCCTGACCCCCTGTGTCATCTTTGACGGTGAAGTCTTGAACCCCAGTTGAAGCTAGAGATCCTTTGCATATTGCTGCAGTCATCCAGGGATCCACTCCGTGTTTGATGTTACGATTTCATATATACCTCCTGCCGCTTCCTACCTTCAATATCTAACTCCCCTTCCAACCTTTCTCACAACAACCATGTCTGATTCCACCTCGCCTTCTCGACGCATCAACTGATCTGTACCATTTTCTCATCACACAACACTGGGATACTTTGACGCTCTATCTTCCCGCCTCCTATTTACACCTGCCAAACATCATGACCGACAGCTGGCAGCCAGCAGCCGTCTACGCGGGCTCGCAATGGGTTCAAGATGGTCAACCATACGCACCTCCTTCAACCTTCTCTGACTTCATCTATGCTTTCCCAAAACCAAGGCTCAGCGGCCGTGTCATCAAACCTCGTAGTGCTGGGAATAGCCCTTCCTCTGCTGGCAGACGGAGAACAAGCACGATGCCATATAGCTCGCCCATGCACCGCCAGCCTTCGAAACAGGATTACCAGGCTTCTCTGAATGCCGCACTCTTAGCATCAGCAATTCAATCTGGAAGACGATCTCGACCTATCAGCTGGCATCCAGCATCAAGACAGCTAGACTACACACAACTCTATGCAGCAAGCACGACAGTCGATTCCTACAACATGCCGGTCACACAAGCCTGCCCTCACCCACAGCAAATGATGGCTGGTGTTTATGACGATGAGAGCATGCTGAACTCTTATGCCCCATCAGAGGTGTCAATGCCCCAACAGAACTTGGATTTCTCAACAGCCGACATGAGCTTTCCGATTCAGGAACCAGCTTACCTCCAAGCCAGCAATCCTCACCTTGATGCTATCTCCTGGGACGGGACTTCACCAGCAATTCCGTCTTACCTCCAACCAACTCCAACTGAGTGGCCGTTTGACATGGTATCAATGAACCAGAGCATTCCCTCCGTCGGGGCCCCTGCCTCTATATACGGAAGTGTATCATCACCCGGCCGCTTGACCGAGCCAGCCACCCCCGACTTTCTTCCGATTCAACAATTTGGTGATGAGGCAGATTCGCAGGCAGTGCCCGCGCTAGGGAAGCCAGATGCCGACGACGAACTTGTCGGCATGGGTCTGTACAACAATCCTGAATCATCCGCCGAAGAGTCACTCTATGGACTGAATGGCAAGGGGTTGAAATTGGAAGAAACATTCACACCATCATCAGACAATGAGGTGGATGACAACGATGCGGAAGAAGACGAGCAACAAGAGCCAGAGGCTCAAAGCCGTACCGACATCAAAAGCCAGCCTCAGCAACAGCCAAACCAGCATATCGAAACAAGCAAACAAATTAGACCGGCTGAGAACATGATGCAGAAATCATTCTTTTTCGAAGACGACGTTGATTATCAACCGCGTGTTAGCACTGAGCCCCGATCCTCCTTTAACTTTGGAGGCACGTCTTGCATGAATTACGGATACGGATGGATTTGAGTTGATCTTGCATTTTTCTGTCTCATTTTTTCCCTTGATCGCATAGCGCGGAGTTTTGCATTTTACTGGGCAGCATTAGCATAGCATACAAGCAAGGGATACCCAGGGTAGTGAACTGAATGTGGTATCATTCAACCTGTATTAGAGAACCAGAACCAAAGAATCGAAATACCATCAATAACAAGTCACAATGTACCTGAACCTTGAGGCCAAGTCACCCACAACCCTGAGAAGGGTTTCGCGGCGGACGGAAAACCTCCGATAGTAGCCCCAAGACAAGATCGGAAAGGATACCGGATCGGAGAAATAAGTCCCCGCTCATAAAAATCCCATCGCCAGCGATATAGATATTCCAATCTCTCAACGCAAGAAAAGCATATAAAAACAATGGCAAAATTCATCTTCACCCCTTGGAAACACCACTCTGACCTCCTTACCGTGCGGAGCCAATTCTACCCAGACCCGGAATATGACGGGCCAGACATGCGCTCGGCGGCATGCGCTACAGTACGCATCAATACCATCTTATCCAATATATTAGTCTATTGAGGACCAATCTGATCTAAATGAACAAGGTTGGGGCATGGAAACTGCGCGGTACACTTCCACACCCCGTTGAAGCAACGGCCCTTCTAACAGACGCGATCCTGCACGACGACGCGCGGGAAAACTCTGTGTTTTCCATCAGGGCGACATACGCGGCTGCTTTTTGTCGGTATGTGAGATCTCTAACTCTGGCTTATCGGAGGCATTCCGGTCGACCTCTGTCCCTGGCCTTTGAAATGTGACGATGCTAACATGCTGTGCAGATTCGTGACCGGCCTCGTCGACTCAAAGCTCTACGCTGGCCAGCGCAAGACGATGTTCGCGCGTGCGATGGAACTGGGTCTACCAGCCTCATTTGTCGAGCTGCGTCATGAGGCAACGCATCGCGAATTGCCTAGTTTGACTGTGCTACGGAACTCAACGCAGAGGTCGTTGGAGTGGCTGTGGGGGTTCTATTGGGGGAGAGTTGATGCTGTTTCGGGGCCGATTTCTGGGGGTCCGGGTTTATTCGATTCGAGCCTAAGTGCAGAGGCTATTTATGATGGCGAGGACGCGCTCAGGGGATCATTGAAGGGGATCTTGGAGCAGGCCGCGGCCGTGATTGAGGTTGAAGCAGATGGTGACGAGCCGCCGAGGAAGCGGAGGAAGAAGGTGCAGACGAGATTGGTGGGGACTGCGGAGCAGGTTGTTTCTGTGCTCAAGCGGGTGACGGACGGATCGAGGATTCTTGCGGAGGTTTTGCTACAGGATAGGATTTTGATCCCGCGAGGGAGAAGGTGAGATTCCTGGATTTTGCTCCGGCGCCTGAGGGTTGATTCGAAGTGATACTAACTGGAAGATAGCCTCGACGACTCTCTAACAGAAACAATCACAAATTGGGAGCCGCTCTTACTGATGATCACAGAAGGACATCCCTCCTTCCTTACCACATTTACAGGGACAATGGCCGACGAACTGGCCTTTACGAGATCATCAGAACCCAAGAAAGATGCTTACTGCGATGCGACATTCAAATGGCTGGACCATATCCTTCGCTCGACGCAGTGGGAGTCAGCCAGGCGAACTATGTCAACTTCATACATCGCTACCGTTTGCGACGAGAGCTCGAATTATTGGACGGCTTTATTGAAAAAGAGTATTGGGACGAAAGACAATATTTCACCGAACATTACTCAGAGCGAGAATACCTCTACACATCGATCATCTGCAGGTGACTCGATACCGGATATAGATGAGGATTTGAAGATGTTGAGTCAACATGGCTGGGGAACGGCAGATACTTGGGATAGTCGGCAACCTATAGAGACAGCTTAGACTGATAATAATGATAACCCTTTTCTACTTGCACTCTGTAACCCTGATTATAATAGTTCATCCCAATCAACTCTAGAGCATCACGATATAGCATAAACCTAAAACGGCAAAGCGCTCACCCGCCACATGTGGCTGACCCCCTCATCTCATGTCCAACCTATGAGGTAATCTCCATTTGACAACTTGTGTTTGATGACGACTTAATCAACAGCTCACCTGGCATCGCCATCATATCCTGATAAGTTGCCCATGAGCTTCGCAAGAACAATACGGCCATTCTCCAAGGTCCTCACTACTTATCCGCCCCTGCGACTGCCACGTATCAGAGCTAGAGCCATGCATATCCAATCGCTTCCTATGTGTACGTGCCAAGACCAGACAACAAGGACATTCTGATTGAGGGATGCATATTTGGATGAAGGTCATAGTGGCTAATCGAGAATGTTTTTGTCCGCGCAGGGACGGGGAAGGGCAACAATTATGCCTATCTTGTAACCGATGAACCGACAAAGCAGTCGGTTATTATTGATCCTGCCAATCCGCCCGAGTAAGTGAGCAGTCGGATTCGAGTGACCTGGATATAACTAATCTGACTCGATTGCCAGGGTTGTCCCAGAGTTAGAATCCCAGACTAAGGCCGGAAAGATCCATCTCACAGCGATCGTAAACACACATCAGTATGCCCCGCCTCTCTTTGTTAAGCCAACAAGCATAGCATAACTAAACGCACCCCTCTATTAGCCACTGGGACCACGCCGGTGGAAACAAGGAAGTAGTAGGTACTATGCAGCCTTTCAAGCAAGAGACAGCTAACAGAAAGTGACAGCTCAAAACCTTCAAAGTCCCCGTAATCGGCGGCAAGCAATGTGAGTCCGTCTCGCGGACCCCCGCGCACGGCGAGGTATTCAAGATTGGAGACCGCATCTCCGTGACGGCCTTGCATACTCCTTGCCACACGCAAGATAGCATCTGCTATTTTATGCAGGATGGCGAGGACAAGGTAGTCTTTACGGGAGATACGCTTTTCATTGGTGGTATGTTTGACCAGTCTTCTGATTGGTGACTTTGCGAGGAAATGGCCAAGTTGAGGGTTTATGTGTATGCTGAGATGCTGATGTGATTTGTCTTGCAGGATGCGGTCGATTCTTCGAAGGTACAGCGCCGGAGATGCACAAGGCATTGAATGAGACCTTGGCTTCCTTGCCGGATGATACTAGGGTTTACGTATGTTTACGTTCTTCCTCTACACTGAAGTGTATGCGGCTAATAACCCTTACCAGCCTGGGCACGAATATACCAAGAGCAATGTGAAATTCTGCCTTTCTGTTTCGCAGGCTGAGCCGATCAAGAAGCTACAAGCGTTCGCAGAGGCGAATAAGGAGACGCAGGGCAAGTTTACTATTGGAGATGAAAAGGTATGTAGCGATGCCCATTGATGCCAGGGCACGAGACTGAATTTTCTAGCTTCATAATGTCTTCATGAGAGTCAACGTAAGTCATTCTATCAGCTGAACAGCATCAGCTATTCTTCAGATACTGATATCACATTCCAGGACCCCGAAATCCAGAAGAAGACTGGCAAGACAGACCCCGTCGAAGTGATGGCTGCTCTACGAGAGATGAAGAACGCCATGTAAATGGAAAATATAGCATGACAAATCAATCTACAGTTCTACACACGTCTATTAGGGACCAAACTATCTCTTCAGAAGGGAATCATATTCGTAAATAATAAACAAAATATAAACTACGATAGGTTTGTCTCCCGTCTTACCACCCAGCCTCCCATTCCCATAATTAAATGGGGTCCAAGCCGGGCTATCGTTCGGGGAATCTGACATCAAGTGCCAGATAAGTAGTGGTTCATCTTGCTTCACTGTCCACACTCACTCGCTCTGGTTTTGAATTTCGGCAGCGGTGAGCTCTAGCAATTTTAGAAGCTGGTCTACGGGTGGGATGTGATGTTGGAATGAATGCGAGGTCAAATGTAGGAGCGGGCATCCGCGACGAAGATGGATGTGAGAACACACAGCAAGTGCAACATTAAGCACTGTGAGTGTTCCAAACCCGTTCTTGAAATGCCAGTATACTCGGGCAAGATAACTGCAATCTCAATTGCAGTAGCAATTGCGCGTTGTTGAACCCCAGGAGAAACGTCTGTGATGCGAAAGAAAGAGAAAAAAATCCACCCGCAAAACCGTTTATAAACCTAGTGGGTCACGTGATGTACAATCAACCCACCAAGCTCTAGGTAAAGATCTCGCTCGACATCATACAGAAGGAAGAGCTCCACGAGCTCTGCTCAACTGCCCTCCGAATTATTGAATCGCTATATAATGTACCACAAACCTCAACGCCAAAAATGGACCACGCCTTCCGCACTCTCCTCCGCACTGCAACCCCCCGCTCCATTGCCGCGCTCGCCCGCGACGCCCTCGGCCTCTTCTGCGGCATAACCCTCCTCTGGGAGAACTATATTACGCTCGAACTCAGCTCGGGGCCATCAATGTATCCGACGATCAACACACGCGGCGACTACCTCCTCACACTAAAGAACTACAAGCACGGGCGCGGGATCGAAGTCGGAGATGTCATACGGTTCCACCATCCGTATTTTCTGGGATTGCATGGCGGGAAGAGGGTTTTGGGGTTGCCGGGGGATTTTGTGAGTAGGGAGGATCCGTTGGATGGTGGGGTTGGAGGGAGGGGGGAGGTTATTCGGGTGAGTCTGCTTACCCTCTGCTTTTGTGTTTTGGGAGTAATTGCGCAGATGGCTGATTATGGGCTGGCCGGGCAGGTTCCTGAGGGGCATGTCTATGTGGTTGGGGATAATTTGCCGTGGTCAAGGGATTCGAGGACGTTTGGGCCGTTGCCCATGGGGTTGATTAATGGGAAGATTGTGGCCAAGGTTACGCCGCCGTTTGGGGTGAAATGGATTGAGAATACGTTGAAGCCGATTGGGGAGAATATGGGATGACCGTGCTTATCCTGGAGGTTTCATTCTTTGTAATATGTATGGTTGGAGTTTGGAGTTTGGAATTGGGTTGAAGGTGACTATATTCATACATATGCTATGGTTGTACAATACATCTAGGAAAGAAATGTGATAGAACTATATCAAACACAGAGAAGCTGAGAAGGCTACCGGAAGGTAGAAGGATTCCTTCTCTTGTAGGGGAGAGGCTCGACCCTCTTGCGCCGGAGCTCCATGTCGGCTTCGGGGAAGCCAATTTGCTTCATGACTTCCAGGGTGGTCTCATCCCAAATAGATCGGAAGAGGTGCGCGCCAATCGCCTTCAGGTGATACCGCGCTTGTAACGTGCGCAGGAGGGTGTTGTCGCGGTCAGTCTCGCGGGCCTTGACGGCCGCAAAGTCCAGAGGCTTCGAGTCCTTCTGCTCAAGGATGAAGAGAGACAAGCGGTGGTAGGGACTTCCCTTCTGGGCGACAGGAGGCAACCATGGCAGGACCACCTGAGAGTCAGCTGATAGCTGGCTGAGATCGACCTTGGTGTTGAGGGCCGAGATCGGGATGTTGACGGCAAGGTAGTGCATCCTGTAGTCGAAGCTGTCGGTCTCGACGTTGGGAACATCTGAATCCACAACCGCAATTGTAACCAGTTTCTCTCCACCCTCGAACATCTGAATGTCTAGCTTAGGAGGCGTGCTGCTCACCGCGGCATTGACAAACTCTCCAGGCGGCACGGGCTTTCGTCCAAAGTATAGTTTCGTGTCCAGCACGGGGTCGCAGTGCGGGAGGACATCAGGAATGACTTTCATCTGCGTAATACGTTGGACGAGAATCTTCCGGCGGTATTCTCTCCATTGCCGATCGGCCAGGTAGCGGTAGATAGGTTTGCTCATATCACCTAGAAGATTAGCATATAGAAGATAATCTCAAGGAAAACTATATACCTTGTCCATCCTCAAACTTCTTCTTCACAAGAGGATCGTTGATATCTGCCTGAACCTTGAGGTGCTCGAGGTGGAGTTCCAACGCCTTGAGTCGGGCGACGTTTGATTGCTTTGATAGCTCCTCCTCAGATAGGGCCCGAATCCTAGCAATCTTTTCGCTTGTCGCTGTGATATCATTCAACTTCTCCTCCCGGTCCGCAAGCAGGACTTTCCGCGCCTCCTGGAAACATTGGTAGGGCAGCTGTTCGAAAGGCAGGTTGTCCGAGTTCTGCAGGGCGGCACGACGTCGGCGAGATCCCACCGGCAGGATACCCTGTCGCATCAATCTTCGTTCTAATCGAGGACTTGAAACGAGTGCTGGGTCTGGCGCTTTATAAAAGGCCTGAGTCTTGGCCTCCGTCTGGGCTTCGTCGCGGAGAATGGTCGTGGTCTGGAAGGCGCGCGTCGACTGCAGCTGGAGGCTGGAGATGCCTCTCATTGACGACTTCTGCAGGCATTGGATGAGAGGCCTGGAGGCCCGCTCACAATGGGCCATTGTTCCTGGGTAAAGAGCGATTGGGCGTGGAGGTGGAGGGAGAGACGGTCGAGGTTCGGGAGATGCTGAGGATCTCTGCTCGGGAACTTTTTTTTCCAGGTTTGCCAAGCCTCACCACTAGTGCCAAAACCACGCCTCGACTGAACTTTTGGCTGGCTTCAACCAGACTGAACTCGGCTCTGAGCTGCGAATCAACGGACTGTGTACCTCAATTCGCACTTTGGTCACAATGGCTGGGTTAAATGCTTTCAACTCCTTCAAATGGCTCTCTCGCAGCTCAAGAGGCCTCCTTTCTGGGAGTGAGGCTACAATGGTACTTTTGACTTGTCCAGCATTAAAGAGCGCGGAGATCTAACAACTTGATAGCAGCGATACCTTTCACGATCGATAAGCACAGAAACACCTGCTACTTCCGAGCAGTCCGCGCGCGAGGCCCTCCTTGCCAAATGGGCACCGAAACCCGTCCTGGCGACCACATATTCATTCCCGTCCATGGAGCCCGTGCGCTTCGTACAGTACACTGAAAACAAGCTCCTGATGCCTCTACGAAAAGATTTACTGCACCGCGCGGTTGTATACGAAGGAGACATGACCCGACAAGGTACAGCCAGCACCAAGTGGAGAGACGACGTTCGTGGAAGCCATAGGAAGTTGCGGGCACAGAAGGGATCAGGTCATGCCCGTGTTGGTGATAGACAGTCACCTATTCGAAGGGGTGGTGGTGTTGCCTTTGGGCCCCATCCACGGGACTTCTCGAGCGGCCTCCCGGCTAAGATGTACGACCAGGCCTGGCGCATTGCGCTCAGCTACCGGTTCAGGCGAGGCCAGCTCATCATCATCGACAATGAGATTGACATTCCCGAAGACGCCACACCGCACTTGATTGAGGAGATTTTCAAGGTGAACCGATGGGGGCGCGAGTATGGCCGGTCAACACTGATTACGACCCGAGAATCTCCTCGGCTGTTTGATGCGGTGAACGAAGTTGGAAAGCACGCGAAGATCCTCAGCAAGGATGATGTGGATGTTAAGGATCTGCTGGAGACGGGACGATTGATCATGGAGAAGAGGGCTCTGGACAGACTGCTCTCTGAACATTCCCGGGATATCAAGCCCAGGCTGGCAAAGGCAACCTAGAAGGAAGATTTCAGCATACTGGCTTGTTTTGATTGAGCTGTCTTTTTTACCGGTTGGTGGACCGGATGTACAAATAGATTTATTCCCTGATACTGTATGAATGATATTGAATTGCTTCTATGGATCGTGATGATCTTGAGCACATGCCGAAGCTGCTACGCGGCCGAGTAACGAAACAATGTCCAGACTCAATTACAATGAGCATTTGACAGAATGTGGACTTTCTATGAATAATGATCTCCAAATTGTAAAGGCTGCTCAGGAACAGTTATCCGAACTGATCTGCTCGACTCGGCCATTGTCGCTTTCGCTCGGCGGCGGAAGAAAGCAGGCAAAAAAACTTCCGAGGTGCAAACCTCCAACTTGCGGAGTTCGAGCCGACACTTTTCGTCACGACCCCAACTCTTGACTTATATCTCTCGTTCCCCTCGGTTCATCCTTTCCTTCCTTTCTCTCCACGTCAGACGTGGGTCTGCCTCCTCATGTTACTCCGGCACAGTCTTCCCCGGACCTCAACGCCGTCGAGCTGGTTCTCGCGGATATCCCCAGCAAGCACCATGCCTCTTCGCGCCAAGGTCACCAACCCGACATTCGTGGCGGCATCCAAGGTATATGATCTCTATTGCCACCTTTGTGCGCGATAACTAACTAAGTCATCCAAGATGTCGACCGCGTCAACATCAGGTATTCCCGGGCGACAAGCCGGCGACGAGCCCGACGACGTCCTCTTCAACTCTCTCTATGGAGTGCGACTAGTAGAATTGAACAGACCGAACAAGCTCAATTCGTTGAACGGATCGATGGTTCGAAAGATTCTCCCTCGTCTCAAGGTTAGAAAGAGCTTCTGAATTCTGGTTCGAGCTTTGTTGCTGAGACTATGTTCAATACAGGAATGGGAAAAATCTCAACTGGCCAACATTGTGATGCTCTCCGGAGCCGGTACCAAGGCCCTTTGTGCTGGCGGCGACGTGGCTGCTCTAGCATTACAAAATGAGAAAGGAGAAGAGGGACAAAAGGCATCCGCAGACTTCTTCGGCCTTGAATACAAGCTTGACCACCTCATCGCGACCTACTCGAAACCCTTCATTTCCGTGATGGACGGCATCACCATGGGTGGAGGTGTTGGCCTCAGTGTCCACGCGCCATTCCGTATCGCTACCGAGCGCACCGTTTTCGCTATGCCCGAGACAACCATTGGCTTCTTCCCCGACGTGGGCGGCTCCTTTTTTCTCCCTCGCCTCGATGGAGAGATTGGAACATATCTCGCCTTAACGTCAGAGCGATTGACGGGTGTCCAGAACCTCTATGCCGGCATTGCTACGCACTACTTCCACTCCAGCGCTCTCCGCAACTTGACGGCCCGTCTGTCTGAGCTTGTCTTTAGCGACCACGCCTCTCTTCGCGAGCGACTTGACCTTGTCAACTCGACAATGGCTGAGTACTCAACCGGCCTGCCTACCCTTGAAGAAGAGCCAATCAAGCTGGGAGGCAGCCTGCGCACTGCGATTGACCGATGCTTCAGCTACTCGACTGTCGAAGAAATTTTCGAGGCTCTTGAGAAGGAGACAACGCACAAGGCATGGGCTGAAAAGACGCTCGAAACTATGTCACAGCGTTCGCCTACATCGCTCAAGGTGACCTTGCGTCAGATGCGCCTCGGCAAATCATGGTCCATTTCTGAAGCATTCCAGCGTGAGCATCAGATTGCTGCTCACTTCATGCGCCACCCAGACTTTGTCGAGGGAGTCAAGGCACGTCTGATGTCGAAGCCACCTCGCCAGGCGAAATGGCAGCCTGCGACGCTGCAGGAAGTGACTACTGATCGTGTTGACCAATTCTTCAGTGTTCCTGAAGGCGAAGAGCTCCTGGATTTGCTGAGCGAAACCAACTACGAGTCATACCCCCATCAGTACGGGCTGCCCAGTGAGAAGGATATTCAAGACTTGGTACAAAGAATCCCCAACACCTCTCAAGAGGCGCAGGAGTTTGCGAACTTTGGCAAGAAGGAGGGTGCCAGAGAGAAGCTGGCTGAGGTGCTGGCCCGACGAACAGTTCTAACTGCTCAGGGCAGGAAGTGGAACTAGAAGGTGACTATAGGGGGAAATATTTGTAATGATTCCAGTTTTTAGACTGCTTGTATATTTACACTCTCTTATCAATTCAGAGGCATGCACTTTACTGCGGCGAATTCTATAGTATCACGAAGAATCGACAATGGCAAAAATGATCGGCTCCCCACTTCCTTGAACTGTGGTCTGATTTGTCCCCCAAGGTCCTTACCAAGCGACTCTTGTCTACAGTATTTTTCTCCTCAATCAGCAAGATCATAAGGTATGAAACCGCCATAACATCTCGCAGAGAAAGACGGAAGATGGAAACCGAACCCTTACTCCTCAGAGGGGAACTACGGCGGAATCCGTCATCTCTCCCCGCAAACCGCGTCCTGCTCCGTCTCTATACCTCACACTTCCTCTCAACATGGAACTCGCGCATGTTTGAGTTCGGCGCCGTAGTTTTCCTGGCATCTATATTTCCAGGGACATTGCTATATGCCTCCGTCTACGCCCTGGCGCGCTCCCTGTTCGCTGTGGTATTATCGTCATGGCTGGGAGCCGTGGTTGATCGGCTGGACCGATTATCGGCGATTCGACATTCTATTAGTGCGTTTGCACCGAAAATGAGCCGACTCTGAGAATTGATTGCTGACCAGTATGATGTTAGTCTGGCAACGGATCCCGGTTGCGGTGTCTTGTGTTTGCCTGGGCCTTCTCTTGACAGGCCCGTCTGTTCGGCTATCATGGGCTTTGTTTATCGCTTTGGTCCTGCTAGCGGGTGTTGAAAAGCTCGCTGCTACAGCTAATACGGTGTCTGTTGAAAGGGATTGGGTATGTTGACTCAATGCATGTCTCAATAGACCAACTAACTGTACTAGACTGTTGTCATTTCAGATGCATTGGGTTTTCCACGACAAGGTAAGGCAGGGTACACTATCGGTTCCATAGTCATGGCTGACGGATATCGAAGAATTGAATGCATCCATGAGACGGATTGACCTGTTCTGCAAACTCATTGCCCCTGTGGTCGTGTCTCTGATGGATGGCTTGCTCTCCACGAGAGTTGCGATTTGGGCGGTTCTGGGTATCAATGTCGCTGTTGTGCTCGTTGAATACTTTGCGATTGCTCACGTGAGGTTTTACTTTACATTGTTGACATCAAACACTAATGTCACAGGTTTATCAATCCGTTCCCCAGCTCGATCGAAGTTTAGATACACAAGACGCAGAGGGACAGACTACCGAGGACAATGACGAACCAAGCCGTGAGGAAAGGCAATACCTCATCACCAGATTCTCACAGTATATCGGAAGCACAGTCGCCCCCTGGCAAGAATACGTACGACAGCCCGTCTTCCTCGCCTCCTTCGCCCTGAGCCTCTCCTACCTCACCGTGCTCTCATTCGGCCCTACCATGGTGACTTTCCTGCTCCACTCAGGATTCAGCTCGCTCCAAGTCAGCGCCATGAGAATCGGCGCTGTTCTAGCCGAGCTATCAGGAACATGGGTAGCGCCCTTCCTCATGCAGCGGATCGGCCCGATTCGATCTGGCCTGTGGTTCCTGAATTGGCAGTTTGCAAGCTTAGCCGGCGCAGTGGCTGCATTTGCCTTTGCTAGTGACTCGCCTCGAGTCGTTGGCGGAAGTCTTATTGTTGGCGTTGCTCTGAGCCGGTTGGGTCTTTGGGGATTTGACCTGTCAGTGCAGTTTCTAGTACAAGAGGTAAGTTCAAATTAACTGACCAAGTCTATCTTCTATGCCTAATTAATTTTGTCTAGAGCATCGAAGCAGGAAACAGGGCCCGATTCTCCGCGACGGAGATGGCGCTGCAGAGCGTGTTTGAGATGATTTCGTTTGCGACTACGATTGTTTTCGAGGACCCGGACCAGTTCAAGTATCCGGTGTACATCAGCTATGGTGCTATTGCGGTAGCTGCGGCGTGTTTTGCTGCCTATGTGCGTAGAGAGAGGGGGCATTTGCTGCACACGTCCAAGTGTGTGGCTAGGTAAATATACTATAAATCTACAACTGCAATGTAGGTTCTTTGTGATGAAGTCTTCTAAATTTTTGGTCAAGCTGCAAAGGATTCTGTATAGTCTTCTCAAGAAGTTTGATGCCTCAATTCGTGCTCTACGCTGGCACGAACGAAAGCTGCGGAACCCAACACGCTATCATATAGCAGCGGTTGCGTGGTATAGTACTAAACACACAGTCAGTTTCATTCTGTTGGATTATTCCGCTCAAGCTCGTGGAATACATACCTCATAGCTAGCAGTAGAGTTCAGACTGCAGACGCTCACGGTTCCATTATAGCTCAGCGTCTGGTCCGGATTCTCCACGACGAATCTGTCCACAAGCGTGCTGTACGCCCGAGTAGCGACTTGCGTATAATTCCTACCCTGGACACTGGCATTTTCATCCTGCAAAAAGCCAAGACGCACCCCCTTGTACAGGGTATAAGTGAACATAGCCGACGCACTAGATTCAATATAATTCCCTTCCCGCCCAGGGGCCGAAATAACCTGCCACCAGCACCCAGAAGCCGGCTCGACAGCATCAACGATAGAATTGACGAGATCAACGAATCGCGCACGCCACGCCGCCACTTGGGAATCCATGAGATGGAGCTCGAGAACATCAACGAGCCCCATCATGAACCAGCCAAGGGCACGGCCCCAGACGTAGGGGCTTGCACCGGTCGATGGGTTCGCCCAGGAGGCTGTCTTAGTTGCGTCGTAGCCGTGGAAGAGGAGACCTGTCGAGTCATCGTGGCAATGCTCCCATAAGAGTTCGAGCTGGTGGAAGAGGTCCTTGTTCACCGAGGTTGTGTTGTCAATGTCGAGATGGGAGGTGTACAGCGGGTAGAATGAGAGCAGGGAGAACATCCCGTCTAGGTAGCTCCAGTATGGGTAGACGTAGTACCAGAGTCCGCCTGTGTTGGTGTCAGTAAATTCTCGAGTTATTCCTGCGGAGTTCATATTCAAGGACATTGATGATGGTCTGACGAGGGACTTACCGAATTTGTTTCGCGGCTGCAGGTCGATCGAGGTGCGCAACGCAGTCAATGTATCCCTGTAGATATTGCCTCCGGTATTCTCATACCTAAAGCCCCAATTCTGATGATTAGATGATCCGTATGCTTGCCCCTCGGGTGATCGCGATCACTGTACATACCGGTAAAACAACCCTTTCCCCACCGACAGACGATCAAGGGGATACCCCGTGTCCTTAGTTGCATTATTAACAACGCCAACAACACTATCAGTGCTGCGACTGAGGTAGCTCTCCCAGTCCTGTTCCATATACCGACCAGACGGCGACTCTACCAGGTCCAGGAGCGCAGTCTGGAAAGCCCCAACCTGCAACAGCGACGATGAATCAGCCTGGTTTTCGAGGACCGCCTGGCCGCGCAGAATAATGCTGTCGGCCATCCGAGCTGAGTAAGGGCGCGCGGTGGAGGCTCCATTGCTTGGTTGGGCTATGAGGGTCATGCCTAATGTGAAGAGGGAGGAGAGCAGTGGGCTTCGGAAACCCATTTTCGAACAAGTTGTCGCACAATTTTCACGCACAGTGGCAGGGTCCTCAGGATCGCTGTCAGATCTGAAAGATGCATTCTTCTCTCTTATAAGCATTGAAGATTTAACGCCTAAGGCAGGGGTATTTCTGTATTAGGGCAAGATCATCACATAGTTGCGTAGGTATATCTATACGAAGATACGCATACGCTCAACACCCACGTACCCATAGGATTCCATGCCCTTCTAGCTTGGTGCATAATCAAGCTGTTCTAGGCATCTTGTAGTAGACATACACCATCAGAGCAGCGCCCGCAAGCATACAACAGCCATTCAGACATTGGCTCTTCCAAAATACCCCATCCTCAATATCATTCAGCGCAGACGTAACCGGAAACCCTACCAAAGTCCCCAGAGCAGCAGCAGCAGACGATATGCCGATCCTCGTCCCGACAAGGTCTTTATTTGGCGATAAATGGGGCACAATGATCGGATACAACACGGCAAGCGGCCCCATGAATAATGCGATCAGCACCGCCCATACGATAGTAGACGCGACAGTACGAACACCAATCCAGCCAAATAGTAGGACACTGGACGCTAACGCAAAGCCAGCCATAGTACGCGCGGGTCCGAATCTGTTCGAAAGCGGCACGGCTATGTATCGACCCGGGATTGTCGCTGCGTTGCAGATGACCAGCACATAAAAGGCTAGATTTGAACTTGCACCAGCTTTGAACTGCGCGAAGGTGGGGAGGAGGAAGAAGGGGACCCAGTAGGCTATCCACATGAGGAATAGAGCGGCGCAGAAGGCCATGAATGCTGGGTCGCGGAACGCTGTTGGGTCCAAGAGGGAGCGCACGGTATGGGGACTCTTCTTTGTACACAGTAAGATGATTGCCAATGCTATTATCAATTCGCCGAGGGTCACAAAGCCGAGGATGCGTGTTGCCCATGCGAAGCCCAGTTTCGGCTGCAGAGAGGAGAATATAATCGGGTAGATTATTCCACCTGTATGTGTCAGTCCCTGACCGATACGATCTGGATGAGATGCTGACCTATTGCTGTCCCGGAAGTGGCTACGAACATGGCCAAGGGTCGACGGCGTTGGAACTTGGATGCGATGAGGCTTATGCTAGGCACATATAGGACCGCGCTTCCGACACCGACACAGATTCCTTGGGCCAGGAGGACTTGATAATATTCACGTGCCAGACTGAGCATCATGACGCCCAAGACAGTGATTATCGTGCCTATCACCAAAAGCTCTCGGATATATCCACGGTCGAAGATCGGCCCGGTTACGATTCCTCCTACTGTGGATAGGAGATCTCGATTAGGTTATGAGGTGTCTCCAGCAGTGTAGCGACTTACAAATGAGAATGACGCTTTCTAGCGTGCCAACCCATGCGATGCTGGTTGAGGGAGTAGAAGACAACATGGTTGTCTCATAGTACTTTTCGTACGAGCCATAGGCGCTCAACAGACCCCTAAGTTGTAAAATTTGAGCAATATCCTACACTCTCGGAGGTTCCATTTTACTCACCAGGTCGCTGTGTAAACAAGACAGGCACCTAGGGCCAGCAGCCAAGCGCCCAGTCCCTCATGCGACTCTTCAGTAGCATTTTGCGATCTGTGTTGGACATCATGATTTTGACTGGGTAGTTCTATATCAGACTTCATGAAAAGCTTGAGAATGGTCGGCCTTGAAGGGGGCCAGGGGAGTTGGAGGTATGTGTCAGGAGCAGAAAAACGTGCGTGCCAACTGTGGGAAAAGAGCGAGGAAAATCCAGTTCAACTAACTATAAGAGGAATAACCACAGATCCTTCTCATGTCAAATCACGGCTTCAGAATCATCTCAAAGTTCCGGTTTTTTTATGCTAAGGAGCAAGGATGGATACTATAGTTACATTTCCTGGTGGGGCTATATATTTACTTCCCTACCACTCTTGATACCATTATCATGGTTACTTATTTGGGACATTTTTGAATTCGATCTCCTCTTCAGCCTTATATTAACCTGATTGAAACTCTATATTAGTCTGAATTTTGAAATAAAGATTCTGTGGAAGCACGTAAGCTCCAGCTAGTGCGGGGATTCCTTCCCCCGCAATACTTGCTCCAACTGGCGCAATCGCAGCCACATGTCGCTTTTTCCTTTTCTGCTTCGTACCTACGGAGTAGTGATACAAGCACATGGAGGTACGCTTGGCTTCATCTGTGTCCACAGAAATTTGACTCTCCTGCCGCAGATGCCCCCCAAAGCCCGAGGCCCCGGCCGCTCAGGACCGCGCCGCCGGACGGGCTGTCTTACCTGCCGCTCGCGAAAAGTCCGCTGTGACGAAGCAAAACCGACCTGCGCCAATTGCATCCGGCTTAGACTGCATTGTGTCTATGGGAGCGTTATAGTCTCGGGAATAGGGGATAGGGAAAGGTCGACACAGTCAAGAACACGAGCACGGTCGTCAACGTCAAGTACGACGCAGGACGCAGAGGAGCTGGAGTCGCCCCGGTCAAATTTCGATGACAATGCAAACGCCAGACACCTACGCACGCTTGTGCGGCAAAATGAGCGCATCGGGACCGGATTTGAGACTGGCCAGCTTCACCGTGATATCCATTTACTACCTCAGCAACAGCAGCAGCAACACACTTTGAGCCCGGGCGTCCTTCCGGCCCAGGACTTCAGCATCCCATTTGACATGCTCGGATTTATAGGCGAGATTACGTCGGACTTCCAACAAAAGCATCTGGATCTTACAAAGCGGAGTGCTATTGGTCCGGCTATGGCCTCGCTTGATGGAGGAATATTCCAGGACGAGCGACAAATGGCGTGGCGTCCTGATGAAATGGTGGATATGGGTGCCCTACCGGAGACAGAAATGGGCTCTCCGCAACAAATTTTAAGTGGTGGAGGGATCTGGGAGGAGCAATTGCTTGAGTATTTCCGGGAGAGCGAACCTCCACCTACGATCTTCGGACCTGTCGATCTGGAATGGGGATACGTGAGGGATATAATGCTTGCGCAGTCGGATGACTGCCAGGCTTTATTGCTAGCAATTTACTGCTACTCGGATATGCACAAGTCATGGATCGATGAAACGCAATGGAAGTTCGGTCCGGGTTATCATGCCCAGGCCAGTGAGAAAATTCAGGCCTGTCTACTCGGGGAGATGGGCGAATCCTTGCTGAAGAGAGTGTTTGCAAGTGTTTTGCTGCTCATGCTAGCTGAGGTGCGTTTCCGGGACATTTCTTCTATGACCAGTGTATGCTGACGTCCAAATCAGCTCATTTCCCCTGAAGGTTGGCGCCCTGCAACACCCTTTCTACACACAGCATACCTACTCCTCCATCGTTTCCACCACCGCACAACCAGCTGGACTGGCTCCGCTCACCTGATCGCCTCCTGGGTCTCCCTTCTGGACATAAAAGCCCTAGTCGCCGGCCGCGATGGCGACCCTCTCGCTGAGATGGGCATGATCACGCCCAAATCATCCAAGGACACCGCCACCACGAACTTGCCCCAGCCAAACGAAGTCGAAGAAGTTCACAACGGAGATCCTGATCCTCTCCTCACAGTACCAACCTACCTAATAACTTCCTCAATAACCCTCCCCGCATTCACCTTCTTCCTACGAACCCAACAACTCACCCGCAGGATCGTCGTCATCGACCTCCATCACCGCACACGTGGCACAGTATCCGACGAATTCGAAGTTCTCCAAATCGCACATACCGTCTCCGCAGACCTTGAATCTCTTTGGAACTCCCGGCCCCCCATCCTGGACATTTACTCATCAACGGGTGCGGAGGGGAACAAGCTGCACGAGCTCCTCGCACCCAATGTAGCGATGAGCATCGTGCGCACATTCAGAACGTATGTGGCGAACTTCCTCGCTCTGTTCGTATACCTGCATCGAGTAGCATTTGCGATATACCCACGGACAGACCACGTATATCGCGCTGTGGATCAGATCATTTGGCTTGCGAAGGAGGAGGCCAATCGCCCACCAGGTGGTAATAACAATATCAATAATACTGGGGAAGTGGGTGCCGGCGGAACCGTCCCGATAGGGTTCGTCTGGCCGCTATTCATTGCTGCATTGGAAGGATCGATTGAGCAACGCAGTTGGATTATGGGTGCATTGCACAGGATGGCGGCTTCGACACCTCAACGTGAGCTGGGGGGCGGGACTGGGATGGGAATGGAAACTACTGGAGCAGGTCGGCATCCGAACGTGGGAAAGGCGCTGGTGTTGCTTGAGGAGATGATGAGAAGGCAGGATACGTCGAGGACGTGGGCGGATTCGAAGTGTGTGCGGCAGGAGCTTTTTGCGGACTTTTTTGTTATGATATGAGTGATGTTGCGATGTGAGATATATCTAAAATATTAATACGTAGACTGTACTCCAGAGAGAATCAAAGAATGATGCCGTAATTCGTTATTTGAGCACTTTCCTCTTTGCTACGGATATGCCTTTAGAGACATAAGGACTTCCGAGGTTTAGAACTGTTTGACTGTTCTCTGGAACCTCGGCGGACTGCGCATAAACTTCTCAGGCTCATCTCTAGCCCCCTTCTTCCAATAATCATACTCCATCCACGCGTTCTCTGGCATCTGCGCCTCCGTCGCCTCCAAGAACTCCCCAAGATCTGGATTCAACGGAATTACGCCCGTCTCAATAACATACTGATCCCAGAGCTTAAGCAGCTTCGCCAGCCGCTCCGGTTCCTTCTCAGCGAGATCATGCACCTCACCGGGGTCCTCGACCAGGTTATACAGCTGCCAGCGCTCGGGACCCTTGGGTTTAGGGATATACACGATCTTCCAGTCGCCGAAGCGGAGGGCTGCGCGGCCGCAGGTTTCCCAGCCCTGAATAAAGTCCTTTTCGTGGATGCGGTCTGCAGAGCCGGTCGCCCAGGCGTGGAAGGATTTCCCACGCATGGGGACGACTTCGCGGCCGTTGTAGTGCGGTGCTGGGTGGGTGACGCCGGCCATGGAGAGAATTGAGGGCGCGAGGTCCATAACTGTTGCAAACTGGTCGGTTATGGCGCCGCCTTGGGCGTTGGGCGATGTAGAGATTGAGGAGGGGAAGCGCGCGAGGAAGGGCACGCGGACGCCGCCTTCTGTTGTGTAGGCTTTGTAGAGGCGGGACGGGGCGGTAGCGGCCTGCGCCCAGCGTGGGCCGTACCAGATGAAGGAGTTGCCGTTTCCTAGATTCTCGTAGCTGTTGTCGTAGTATTTGAGGAGGTGGGGGAGGACGCCGCTTTGGACGAGCGGATAGGCCTCGTAGGCGGCGCCTTCCGCGCCGTTGTCGGACATGAAGCAGACGAAGGTGTTCTCGAGTTCGTCAATTGAGGAGAGATAGTCGACGACTTTGCCGACGTTGGCGTCGATGCATTCGACCATCCCGGCGAAGACTTCCATTGCACGGCAGGAGAGTTTCTTCTCGTTGGGGGTTAGGGTTTCCCAGGGCTTGCCTTCGCCTTCGTCGACGACGACGGGGTGGGCTTCGACGTCTTGTCGAATCATACCGAGGGCCTTTAGGCGTTCGAGGCGTTTCTGCCGTAGAGCGTCTGGACCGTCGTCGTATACACCGCGGTAGTGATTGATGTATTCACGGGGTGCCTGGAGGGGCCAATGTGGGGCAGTAAATGGGAGGTAGGCGAAGAACGGCTTGTCCTCGTCCGCCTGCTTGTTCTTATGCCAGTCTGACAGGTATTCGCGCAGCTTGTCACCGTATCCATCGGACGAATACCATCCCTCCGGCAATTTGCGGACGTACTTGTCATCCTCCATATGCAACGCGATATAGCTCGCCTCAAGGAATGTCGGGGTATCATCGTTGCCCTGGAGCTGCGGTTCAAAGGCGTAGTGATTCGAGCAGGCTGGAAGATGAGCAAGGGAGCGGTCGAACCCGCGCTTGTAAGGCGAACGCTCCGGCGTTAGGCCGAGATGCCATTTTCCAGACATCAGGGTATGGTAACCGGCGTCGCGCAGGATTTCGGGGAGGGCGACAACGCGTTCGTTCAGATATCCCTCGTATCCGGGCATACCCCGCTGGGGAGCCGTATCCGTGCTCGAGCCCTTGGGACCGTTTTGGCCTGAAATGTTGGTCCATTCGATCAGATTGCCTAGACCGGCGATATGGTGATCTGTTCCGGTCATAATCATGGCGCGCGTTGGACTGTGCACTGTTATTCATCTTCCCCTCCTTCTCACTCAATGGTCACAACGTACGAACAAGCAGCGGCGGCATGGAAATCCGTAAACCGCACGCCCTGCTGAGCTATCTTATCGATGTTCGGCGTGCGGATCTCGCTGCCGAAGCAGCCAATGTCGGAGAAGCCCAGATCATCGGCGACGATAACGAGGAAATTCGGTCGTTTACCCATTTTGTCTGTTCGACTTCTGTTCAAAGCTGGACGAGGCCATTTTAAGGCTCGACGATAGCTGTATATAGCTGATTGAGACGCACATCGTCTATCGGCTGTCGGCAGAATGCTTCAAGCTGCAGCGTTGCTCACCCCTCACTCTCAGTTTCCCCAGAAGGTGTCAAGCGAGCGTGGATGGTGGCATCTCGGCTGTCGGCTGTTTATCCGCTTTAGTTGACAGCTCTTATCGATAACACTGGAAGCATCATGTGACGTCATCTTGTACCCCTGGCACGTGGGTTGTTTGCGATACATACAGACAGCAAAATGGTTTAAGATAACCTCACTCTTACTCGATGAGGAACTCACTCAATGGATGAGCATGTCCTCTTACGCCCAGCTCCCTCAGGGCCTCCCTTATGTTGATCCCCAATCCAACCACAACCTACCCTCAAAACCCGCTGCATCCTCCCTTCGAATCTACTGGCTAGCAGCGACCGTCTGTTGCGGCGGCCTCTTATTCGGTTACGATTCCGGTGTCATTGGTACCACACCTATCAATCGATGCCTAAGATGACCTCACTAACCTCACACAGGCGGCGTACTGACATTCCCCTCGTTCCACAACTCCTTCCGCTACACGCCCCAAGACCAAACCCTCATCAGCTCCATCGCCGTCGGAATCCAGCAAGCCGGCGCCCTAGCAGGATGTTTCCTAATCTGGCCATTGACAAACCACTATGGCCGACGACCCTCGATGATACTATGTTCACTCATCTTCTGCATCGGCGTCCTCTTTGAAATCATAAACAGCCACTTGCTCCCCGTCTTCTACATCGGCCGCATCATCTGCGGACTCGGGATTGGGGGTTCGGCAACAGTAGCACCTATATACCTCGCTGAGATGAGCCCGGCGCATCTCAGAGGGAGATTGGGTAGCGGATACCAGTTCACTTTTACGATTGGGATCTTCACCTCGTATTGGATCGACTACGGCGTGCAATTCTGGGAGAAGGGCCCCAGGCAGTGGCAAGTTCCGCTGGCATTGCAACTCGTCCCCGGAATTGCAATGGGTATTGGTATGCTCCCTCTGAAAGAGAGCGTGCGCTGGCTTCTCGCGAATAGAGATACACGAGAAGCATGGGAAAGCCTCACCTGGATCCGCGATGCAGAAGGAGAAGACGATCCTGGTGTCCGTGACGAGTTCACAGAGATGAAACGCGCTGTCGATGCCGATACATCCGCAGCAGCAGACTTTCGCCCCCGGGAGCTCCTGCACCGGCCTAACCTCCGCCGTGTAACCCTCGCCGTGACCCTCTTCGTCGCGCAGCAGGCAACAGGCGCAACCGCCATGGCCTACTTCGGACCTCAATTCTTCTCGCTTCTTATTGGCGACCCCTCCTCCTCATCAACAGTCTCCTCCAGTACAACAGAAGCATCAACGGCACACTCCCTAACCCTATTATTGACTGGCATATTCGGTGCCCTAAAGGTCCTCAGCTGTCTCTTCTTCATCCTCTTCGTCGCAGACCGCTTCGGCCGGAAACCCCTCCTTGCCTTCGGCGCCCTGGGAATGGCACTCTGCATGATCTCTACTTCGATCTTCCTCCACTCATCCCCTGCATCTCCCCCTTCCGTATATACTTCCGCTAAGACATCTACAACCCCCCTCTCACCCCACCAACTCTCAACAATATCCCTAATCTATCTAACAATATCCCTCTACAACCTCTCCTGGGGCCCGCTCCCCTGGCCCCTTGTCGCAGAGCTATTCCCCACGCGCCTCCGCTCACCCGGTGTCGCACTTGCAGTTGCAAGCCAGTGGGCGTCGAACTTCATATGGTCATTTTCGACGCCGTATATCCTTAAGGGATTGGGCTGGGCGACGTTTTTGTTGTTTGGTGCGCTGGATTTGGGGATGGCGGGGTGGGTTGTGGTGTTTTTGCCGGAGACGAAGGGGAAGAGGTTGGAGGAGGCTGGGGGGTTGTTTGAGGGGTTAAGTGAGGGGCGGCATTCTGGTGGTGATGGGGAGAATGGGTACGAGGGGGAGAGGGAGGGGCTTGTGCGTGGATTTAATGAGAGGGATGAGGAGGATGAAGACAATGAGGATGGAAAGGGAGGGGTCACAATCCATGGCCATCGATCTTGACTACTCTTCAGTGTATATAGAATTAAATTAACTGTACAGATTGAATCTTTTATCTGTATCCGCTTCTGCTAGACATCGTTTGCTGGGTCTAGAGTATGAGTATGCAAGAGCAAAGTTTCCGCGCCCTGCCAATTGTAACAATGCGATCTAACCCTATAATCCACCGAAATAACATAAAGATTTCACCAGCGCCAAACATACACAGAAAAGCCGAAAATAAAAGTACAAGTATCAGCTCGTGGTATAGCCGCCCAAGAGCAATCATAACTCCGTCGCGAGTTTACTAGCCAACCGAACGCTAGCAAATCGTTTTTCGTAGAATCGCAACGCAAACGCTGTAACACCAAATAATATGGAAATCGTCAATCGGTGCCTCCGGGGTACCTCATCATACAGTCGCACAAAGTACAACATGAACCGGTTTACATCGTCGGTGGGAAACCATCAAACCCGAATTCCCAGGAGGAAGCTGAAGAGCCGGATGGTCGTTGTGCTGGTCTGACGGAAGGACCACTTCCAGAGCAGCCCTCCACAAGCCTTCCAAAGTTAGGGACTTCACCGACGCCCGCAGTGATTCTTTTCACCATGTTGTCTAAGTACGCCTTGATGCCCTCGTGGCCACACTCGGAGTGTGCAAGGAGCAAGTTTTTCTGTCTAACGACTTCGTCTCTCAACCTAGCAGCTTCACGGCTGAGCTCTTGCTTCCTAGCCTCTTGGTAGTTGCATTCGTTCTCGAGCTCCGTGTTGCGTGCCTTTTGCTTTTGGCGGCATTTGCTGGCGGCAACTCGGTTGCGTGCCCTGGTCTTCTCTTGTTTGTCGTCACCAGAAATGTATGGTTCAACCGAAGCAGAACCTCGCGAGGCTCCGCTGACACTACCGCCGCGGCTCTTGGTAGTTGTGCTACGGCGACGCTTCGTGGGGGGCTCAGGCTGGTCCTCAATGCTGGACTGGAGGATGGGGGGTTGAGAGTGCTGAAGCTTGCGAGGAAGAACTGAGAGAGAGGGATTGGAGAATGGTGACTCGTCAGAGGGTGGAGTGACTTGGCCGTATTGGACCCGGTAGCTTGCCGAGCCATCCTTTGTCCGTGCCAAGGGGGAGCGTTGAGTATTGGAAAGGAAGGGCTGCTGCAGGTCGTTGGGACCGCTTGTCACAGTCCAGGAAGGGTCAACAGAGGCGAGGGTAGTGAATGGCTCCCACATGTCTGCCTCAGTGGTAGGGAGACCAAAGGGATCCTGTCCCATATTCACAATATCGGACACATTGGGAGGGTAGTTCTGCAGACGCTGCATGTCGGATGCGGAGATGGTGTGGGACATGGTAGAGTTGTATTTATCTAGAGCAATGCAAGTACAGACATGGGATTGTATGTGAGAGCAAGCGATTGTGCAGGATGGACAGATTGGAGAATCGCAGAGGGGGGAAGAAGAAGAGGAGGGAGACGATGGCGAGCGGGATGGTGCCCAGTGGTGTAGATTCCAGTTGTTAAAGGCAGAGCAGCTCCTTCCACACGGGACTCAGGCTGCACCCGCCAATAACACTGCGAGAAGCAGAAAATCTACGTTGAAGTACGACGACTCCGGGCGTGGTGATATCATAGCGAGGAACAAACAAAGCAGAAACCCCGGAAGAATAAACCAGTGAGGAGAACATTTGAGAACAGTCGAGGAAGCTCTTGAGCATCGGCAGCGCTGAAACGTCATACGTTGGCGTCGATTGGCGGCAGCTGTTCCCTGGCAGGTGAGCTCCAGTTTCTCTCCGAGCCCGCCGGATCAAGCGCCCGACGACTAAACGCCTGCGGATCTGCGTTAGCCTGCGGCGTTTCCGGTTTTTGCTCATAATACGTGGGGCTATACCTGCCCTGAAACTTGGATTGCTGCCGTCGATTTCTTGATCTTGACGGCCCTCCACACCCCCGAATCAGTAACTGGCCTTCCTTCGCGGTGGTGACCACGTGCTTTTCCACGGATCTGAATCGCCCTGTCACATCCTCCAAGGTTCATCAGCGCGATGGTCAAGCGAAATGCGAGCAGCCCGAGCACAGGCCGCCCGCCAGGGTTCCTCGCATAAGGCTTGACTAGCGGCGATCCTTCCCCCCCGTTCGGTTCCAGTATCCGGCCACTTGGACCCCTGCGCCCGTACTCCGGAGTAGTCTAGACTGCATTTCAGATGCGTGCCAACGGACTTTTATTTGCCTCGATTGCATCAACTATTTACTGGCATCTGCAGCCTCGCGCCAACATATGACGCAAAGATGGGTACGTACACGCGACACTTTAATTTGACTGATACCACGGAGAAAATACCATCGGTACATCCGGATTCTGGTCAAAGCTTGACCTGCTTATGTCCCCTTTTCTTCAGCATTCTCGCTGCTTGCTGCCCGCGCCGGCGACACATGTACGCGTCCATCCAACCCACGCCGCTCCCAAATCCGCAGCTGTCGGCTAATGCTGCGCCAGTTTCCAATAAGCAAACCCACTACCCGCTGACTCTCAATCTCTTCTTGAATAGCATGAAACGTGTCTGGACCGCCCAATCGGCTCGTCTCGGTCAGGAGTGGTCCCAGTGTTGCTGCCAGTCGGTCCTTGCTTAGCCTCTCTGCAATACAGCCGCTAACACGGCGGCTTGAACGCCGACCCTGGCGGCGGTCGAGTTCCGATATCCGTTCTGCTTCATGAAGTAATAATGTGCAAAGCCCAAAGACACCGCAGATCAGATTCAGTTGCATTGAGCTCGTGAGAGCAAGGATGGCGAGACTGATGGCTCGAGCCTTGGCGTAGTCTTCAGGAGAAAGTCCCGCGAGGCAGCTGCCCGTTCGCTGTGCGGGTCCTTGCGAGACCCTTCCATAGCAGATGTTCACAAGGGCTCGATAAAGCTGTATGGAGCCTAATAGACCCCCAGGAAGACCTGCTAGTAAATGCTTGAAAGTGAATGCGACACTGAGAACCTGCATCGGGCTTCGTGCTTCCATGCCCGGCTGAAATCCTTCTTCAAGAAAGCTTGGCATCTTGCTGCTTCTCATCGTCATGTGGATCTTGCTCTTCTCCTTCTCAGCAGAAAGCACCTGGTTGGCAAAGTAATCGTATGTTTGCGTCGCGGTTTCGACATCACCTGGATCGACGAAGAGATGAGGCACTGGAGGAGCTACAAGTCAAATTAGTTGAGTCGAACCAGGCAGCAGACGAGCATACGCACCAAAGCATCTAAGATAAGTTATAACGGCCACAAAGCACACCGGCAAGCTCAAGGTTGTCGGTGCAAAATCGCCCGGAAGCGTCAAGAGGCCATATCCGCCTAACCTGGCTAGGGTTTCTAGCGGCTTGCCCCGTAGTGATGCCATAAGGCAAGGCTGATATGGCAGCGCACTAAATGTCTTCATCCGCCTTAGACTTCGAGCCCGGGTTAGGGTTGGCTCGGATCTGATCTGTATTGTTGATCGCATCGTCCGAATACGACCAATGAGCCTATCCCGTCGCCGCTGGAGCTTCTCGGCCGCAGCCAACGCCCTTTCCTCTGCGACTCTGTTAGGGCTTCTGGATGGACTTTGATGTTTCCAGTATCCGTTCCCTTCCGCCAGATTTTGAACGGAATTATCGCTATGAATGGCCAGAGGGTCCAAATACAGCTCGCTAACCAGCTTATTGAAGGAATCGGTAGCCAGTCGCCTATCGGCTGGTGTGGGCCAGCTGTTGAGTCCCGATATTGCTGGATAACACCAGCTCGAATGGGACGAGCTGCTACTCAGCTCGAAGATATGACCTGGGTATGAGGAAAAGGGGTTCTCAGAGCTACCAAATGTTGAGCTCGACTGTCTAGTTGTCTCGGTCATGCGCGAGTGCTCCGTGAACGGATTACTACCGGTTCTCTCCGAGTGTGAGCCTTCCAAAATATCGCCAAAGGGATTTGGGTGATTGCCTTCTCGATCCACGACAGTAATCGGCATCGACATGCGCTTTGATGGGCGCCGATGGACAGTGATACTGGTATTATTCGAGTTCACGGACTTGTCCGTCGTATCGCTAACCTTTCGAGCATTGATGTCGCTCACCAATTGAGATTTGGATGGGCTAGTCGGTGCTTTGTTTCCTTCCACGAACGAATCATCGCCGTTCTCGGGAGTCGGCGCCGGCCCAAGGGGTCGCTCAAACTCACAAGCATCGTCCGACTCCTCCTCTTTTGGGAGATCAATCTCGATCCTGCGTAGCCGGTATCTGCGCGGACGAAAGAGCGTTTTGATTCCCCCGAGCCGTCGTGAGGTGTATCCCGAGGTAGGCGTAGAATCCAGAGAAACCAAGACCTCGCTACCAGAAGATATCGGATGCGCATGTGGATTCGACTGCGGCAACAGAGGTAGAGCAGAACGCTGTTCACATTCCTCCGGCGATTCGCAAACCGTAAGATGCTGCTGGTTCGGGTTGCGACTCGGTTTGGACGGGTTCAGCTCATTCGACGGAATCTCCCTCAGTACAGCCGCGTTCCGCCGGGGATATTGAGCCGTCATCGATTGCGACCGGCTCAATAGCGTCCAAGCTCTGCCAATGTCGGACGACACGTTGCTATCTTTTCCCGACGACCTGGAGAAGATGCCACTAAGACGACCCATCCTGCTGCTCGATGAAGAAGTCGAAAAGGGGGATATAGTGCCAATGCTGGGAAATGCGAGACAATGCCGTTTGCTCGAGGTTCGACAGGTAAAAGGAGCTGAGGCTTGGTGAACACCGCTCGCACCTGCCTCACAAACGCATATGCCCAACAGAGAAAAGAGGAAGGCACGGACGACGGTAATAATCGAAGGGCACATTGGACTCATCAACTTCTCCAGCTGATAAAGCTCAAGTTTGAGTCATTCACTCTCAGTCGTACAAAGCATACACTGCCCATCTACCTCGTACAGGACAGAAATTCGAGGAGTTAAACCGTGGAATCAATACAAGGAAACAGTAGTAGATCGTCGTTGACGTCGTACAAATGATAGAAATCTATTGATGTCAAGCCAAACGCCGATGCTAGATTGCTCGACCGGCTAGAGCTCCATCGTCGAAGAGACTGGCCAACGAAATGAAGTAAAGACCTTCACTTCTTTGGGGAGCATGTCCAAAAAGATGTAAGAACAACGGGAAGAAGATTAAATAGGGGTCAGACACAGTTGGAACCAGCCATTCGTCCGTCGACAGGTCATGATGGGAGTCGTCGCATGGCTGATCCCGTAAAAACAATAAAACGCCGTTTGAATGCAAATTTGCGGCTCATGCAAGACCCGTGGGCCTTGTTTTTCAATCATAAAGTTTCGTCGCCTTCACCTTCTAGCAGGATATATTGCAAGATGTCGCTCAGTGTAAGCACGCCTTTTAGCCGGAAGGCCTCATCCACCACGACTAATCGATGAACGCGGGACTTGCGGATTGTATCAAAGATAGTGTCTAGACCGTCATTTAATGAGCAGGTATAAATGCCAGGGAAATCCTATGATAGTCAGTAACGATTTTCAAATAATGCGAAAAGTTCAGATCTTACTTGAGACCGCTTTTTCAATGCCTCCCCAACTGTAAGGCTCAAGTCATCATATACACCACCTTTGATTAACGTGATGACATCAACCGATTCGAAAACATTGTATACAACACCTATCAGCGAAAAACAGGTTAGCCAAAGATCCATACCCCAGATCGTGGATTTCCGACCTTCCGAATTCACAATGGGCACACTTGATATACTTCGCTCGACGAGGATATGAATCACATCAATGACGGGTGTGTCCATCGATGCGGTTGCGACATTGTCATAGGATCCTAGCCGAATCTCTCCTAGAGGTTTCCGTAATTTCTGCGTATCACTCACGTTGACAGCGACGAACTTGAGAATGCGGTACTGAGTAATGACGCTGAGAACGAGGTGTCGATCTGTTTGACTATCGTTCGTGACCAATGGAATTCTTCGCGCTCGGGACTCGAGCATGCGCCGACAAGCCTCGTATAGCGGTCGCTCCGGGTCGATAGATATCGTCTCAGGAGGCGCAACGCCCAGCGCCTTTTCCACCTCTGTGTCATCAATCAGTTGTCGTTCGTAATAATAAAAGTGACGATCACCACAGACCTCGCAGGCTATCCAGGCGGAATTGGTCTATCTGGTCCAAGGCCGCAGGGTTCTGGAAGTAGTACTGAATGACGTTGATGTAATCAGAGGTCGTCAGGAGACCAGCGAAGGTAGAGGATTTAGAGTCCCATAAGGGTGCGGAAACGATGCCTGCATGCGCCTAGTTAGCACCTGGCCCATTGACTTGGTCTAATCCGGACAAGGCTCGAGGAATGGGAGGCGGGGTACATGCCATTCTGAATGAGGATATTCAAGCTCTCTTTCACCGAAAGCGCCGTGTCGAAAACTATGAGACGGAAACTGAGAGGAAGGACATCATAACTGGTGCGGACCTTGAGGAAGTTGCGAATGGCACGCTAGAGGAGAATAAAACAATTCAATTAGTCTGTAGCTCAATTGAGTTGACGGTGACAGTCCGCGAATTTGTGGTCGGCGAGCGACAGCCAATGCGGGGACAAAGCGATGTCTCAAAAAGCCATAGATTTCTCCGGAGCAGGTCATCTGCTCATGTGGTGAAATGTGAAACATGGTATGACCGGCAGGTATCCAGAAAGATAAACCGGCAAACAAAACTCACCAGGCCCTGGCGCTCTTCCCGATCGATGGCCCTCTCAGGCTGGGATGGGGGCATTGGATATGAAGGACGTCGTGATCGGAGGTAGGAGGAGGGCTGGACAAAACCGCCCTCGTGACCACGGATGGGAATGGAAGGGAGAGGGGGGACACCGGCAGAAGAGGCCGACGGGATCGTGCTGAGGATGCGAAACGTGGGCGAGGGGATTGCAGCAGTGGTGGGAGGATCAACGGTGTTGGCCGCTGCGGTGGTCGTGTCGTCGGTCGGAGGCGGCAACCCGGAAGCGTTGATTATTCTGCCCGTGGGGTGAGGATGAGGTTGACCTTCGGCCTGCGAGTGCGAGCTCTCATCCGACACGAACGCCATCTCGAGCCTGCACCTGTACGCAGAGAGAGCCGCATCTGCTTTGGACCGAGCAGCTACAATCTAACTAGCTGAGCCTTGGAGGCTTCTTGAGGCGATAATTCGAAGAAAGCCACAAACTATATAGTGGGCCACAACTGCGTACAAAAAGAATGCACAGGCTTCACTGGAAAAGGGAGAAAAGAGGAAAGAGTCAAAGCGCATGCGACGAGAGATTAAATTAGTGGTGCAAAGATAGCAACAGAGTATAGCATTGATATCTATAGCACTGCGCCAGGCCGCTCGCCAATGACGCTGCACACGGCTAACGACTTAGCAGCAGAGAATAAGGAGGCGAAGCGAGGGGTACCCCGAGATGCATATTAATAGGATGGCCCTGGCTGGCATCCTATCCTGTTCCTGTTGATTTTCAGGGCCTTGGTCTTCGTCTTTGCCTCTCATCAATTAACGTCTGCTATCCACAAGATGATCCTGTATCTCATGCTCAACCAGAGCTGTCACTTTGTTTGCGGCCTCAGGCCTCTAAGCCCCAACCCCCCGCCATTTCCACACGTGATCCAGCGATGCGCAGACAATCCGACCCTCCTCCACCTTCGTACCTCTTGAATTCTCAGACGAAACGTTCACTCAGTCCATTCAAAGCACCTAGATCGTATACGTGACTTTTACAACTACCAGCGCCTGGAGCATCATCAGAAGAGAGAACATATACGCCAAAGCAAGCAACAATTTCAAAGCTCGGATCGGTGGGGACGCATCACAGTGGGCCTACAGAATGCACTGCAATTGGAAGAACCTCCAATGTATCTGTAGCAGCACAAATATAATCGAAATACATCGTAACCAGGCGCAATCACTGATACCCTTGGGTAGATGCCTTAGCTGCCTCGAGATGCTCGTATAGAGCGCTGACATAATTCTTCGTATCTCCAGACATAGTTACTAAAACTCGAAGCGGCCATTCAGTTCCATCATGGCATCGCAGACATCATCACTCTACCCATACTAATCCTACCCTGAAACTCTAGACCTGGTCCATCAGCAACCATGCGCAAACCAATGAGGAAGAAATCCCCGGCCATCCACAATGCCCTTCCCAAGAGCCTTCAAGATGCCAAAGACACCCAGCTTCTCAAAGCCCTCAGTAAACCCCAACGCAGCCCATGGCCAGAACGTAAGACAGATCCTTGGCCTCGGCCTCTTCGAATTACACCCAAAAGACGCTACAGAGCAGCCTCATCCAGTTTCTTCGATACACTTCCTCTCGAGCTCGTCGACATGATCCTGCTCCAACTCGACTACACCTCCTTAGCTCGTCTCAGCGCCACCAATACAAAAGCCGAACGCTTCCTCAAGACTCGACCGTACTACAAGCTCGTCGTTGAGAACTGCTACATATTCCTCGCCGAGTTGCGCAGGATACAGTTCCTGTCTGTCCCCAGGGCCGCATCTATCTACCATGCGCTCTGTAAGCCGACATGCTCTACTTCGGATTGCCAGAGGATCGCGGGGCGTTTCTTCCTTCTCACATGCCGACGGTACTGCTACCGATGTCTAGGGACGGCACCACAGAACACAGCTCTATGCACAATTATGGTTGAGGAGAAATACCATATATCCCGGGACGATATTCTCGGGAACCTACTTTATCTGCGGAGTTCCGAGCGGCCTAAGTCGTTATTTGTCCTTGAAGCAGATGTTCACAGTCTCGCGGCGCGTCTATTTGGCGAGGAGCGGCGTGTTCGTTGCCTTGATCGATGGTGGACGAGGGAACTGGCGAGCTCGCCGCTTCCGTTTGTTGATGAAGAGAGAAAGCAAGTTGAACAGGGGAGGCTTTGTAGGGCGTGTATCACCTCGTTCGAGGAATACTCGCGTCTTTGGCAGCAAATTGAAGTTAAGCCCACCAAAGATCAGTGGGATACCTGGCGAAAGGAACTGGAGAAGATGGAGGAGGCTGCGTACAAAGTGTACGGGACGAAGCAGCTTCTACAGCATATCCGGAGCGGCGAGTGTTCACATGCCCAGGAATTCTGGCTAGAAAAAACCCGAAACGGGTAAGTAAGGTCCATATTATCTAATTCATTATTCTTGGGTATAGTAAGCAAATTCAGATCTAGTTTTAAGGATTGGCAGTAGTTTCGGCAGCACCGTTGGTCTTACGCTCCCGCTGGGACAAGCTCGGGCTGGTGCCGGTCTTGAGATAGTTCTCGTACTCTCCAATGCGCTTTCCACCTTGGATCCAGCGTTCGCGGTACTCTGTGCGCTTGATCTCAGCGAGTTTGTTCAGCGCAGGCCAGTAGGCCGAGTGGTCGTATTTGAAGTCGACTTCGCCACCAACAGAGTTCAACAGCTGGTTGGGTGGGACGTGTTTCTTCAAGTCCTCGTTGAACTTGAGCTTTTCGCGAGTAACAGGGTCAAGGAAGGGTGTGATGATCTTGAAGAAGCCCAGGATGATAAAGGGCACTAGTACGCGTTAGAAACTACCATCGTAGCAAAAATCCCCGGAGAACTTACTATTGATGACCAAAGCCCTACCCAGCCTCTCAGGATAATGGTTCTGCAAGAAATGCACCGTCTCCCTCGCCTGACCGATACTAGCATTCTGCCCGGACTTGGTCTCACTGAAATTCACAATAAGAGCCAACGTCTCCTGATCGGCAGGCATGAGATCAATGCATCGCTCCAGCATAAACACCAGATGCTGAATCTGACGATCGCTCTTTTCCGTGTTCTGCCTCGATGGAAGAAGATACAAGCACGGCCGTCCGTGGATATCGAAGCCCAGCAGCACCTGCTTCCCTGTCTCGTTCTCAATGGAAATATGGTCGGGTGTCAATTTCTCGACCCCGTACTCCCGGCGCCAGGAGAGGGTGCGCTGCAAGCGAGCAACGGCTTCGGGGCCGTTCCATTTCGTGGCGCGCAGATATCGGAGGAGACACTCGCGGGTGAGGAACATACGCTCATCGTCTGTGATGGGGGCCGTGGGAGAGCCCTTGGCTGATGTGGTGGGGACTTCGGTCCATTCGGAAACGGACTTTAGGACGCTGTCGTATTTGGTTTGTTGATCTGCGGTCAATTCGGCAGGTGCTGGAGGTTTCGAAGTGTCGACGGGGCGGCTGAAGGGTTTCTGGATGAGGCCATCGGCGGCGGATAATGGGAGGTTCAAGCTCTCGATGGTCTCGCGAGCTGGAGCATCCACTGCGGTTTCGGTGGTGGGGGGTGCTTGTTCAGTAGGTTGTGCTGGAGCTGTAGTCTCGGCCTCAGCTGGCACTTGTGCCTTCTCAGTAATGACAGGCTCACCGTTCGTAGGAGCGGTCGCCGGAGCTGGAGTGTCTGATGGAACAGCGGACATGGTAGCGGGAGGTCAATTGAGTCCGAGACGATAACAATCAGTGAATCCGGGGAATAGAAAGGACGAGGCGGAGAATATTTATGAGCTTCAGCTGTCTCACGCAATGTTTTCCTTCGTGTCTCCGAGCCAACCTCCCAATTGTGATTGGCAGTCCCCTGAAAATGATGAGCAGCTATCACTAATAGTTCGGTAAATAGCCCGCGCACTCGCCCGCGGGCACCGCTGTTTCAGCCTTATTCGCAATTTGTGCAAAGTGCTTACTAATGACCGGACTTATCCAAGCTTTCGCAGGAGCTCCTCAATTGTATAGCATCAGCAACTAAACGTCAACATCAACTGAAAACTACCAAGAAACAAGATCTTTCAAAGTTGGTCCCCATACATCCATCAAAATGGTAATTGGCCTTGTTTTCCGTATCAGCACCCGCCACTAATCCATCACGCAGAGCAAAGACTCTTCCCCAACGCATATCCATATGCACCACCCGCGTCTTGCAGACTACTTCGAAGACTTCACACGCCCACACACAAGCCACACCGCAACACTCACATCCTCTTCATCCTCCTCACACATCTATCAGAACCACACAGTGACATACGGCTCGTCGTCACCCGCGCTCGTCCCCTCCTTCCTCCCTATCGAAGACATTTACGTGCCTCCGCAGTATCAGCCGCCGAACCCGGAGGACGAAGACGACGTTGTTCCGGACCAGCATGCGGCGTTTGGAATTACAAGGGCCATGGAAAGGAGGCGTGAGACTGTTTGGAGGGATCTGGGGCTTGAGGGGCTCGTTGCGTCGGGCGGTGCGAGTGGTGCCAAAGGGAAGGGTGGGAAGGTGAGGGTCAAGGACGCAGGGAGGTTGATGGGCGGGAAGAGAGTTGTTTGTTTGCGGTGATCCTCTTATATCTATCCATCGCAAATTGGCTTTGACGCGACTCTATACAGCGATTACGGTGGCGTTTTGTACTCATTGATACCCGGTTCTCAAAGGTCTATGCCTGAATTGCCAATGGTCATTATTATATCGTTAACACCTAAACGCCTCATGATACATTTCCCGAGTTGGCAGGACCTCTAGACCCGATTTATGTCCACCCGCGTCCGTTCGTATAGTTTGTGGCTTATGTGCTTCTGGTCTCGCTCATCGTCGGCAATTACACGCGGATGGATGGCTAGCTGTGCGTATGTTCCTGCTCCCCGTCGCTTGGAGATTGGGCCCGGGTTAATAACTACGATGCTGTCGACGACCTAATTTCGGTTAGTACTATTCTTCATCGGCTATCGCAGGAAAATCCTTACCTTGACGAACGGCGGCAGAAGACTCGGCACGATCAAGATGTCCGGCCGCACATTCCACCATTCACCGAGCTTGAGGTATCCCACATCCAAAGCAGCTCCTGTCGCCAATCCATCCTCAGTCCCAGGCTTCGGCAGCGAAGTCCGAGATGATGGTGGGAAGATGGGATTGAAATGTCGCTGCTCAATCAAATACTTCACCAGTCGAGGAAGCAGTCCGTCCTTGGGCGTTCCGAACCATGACTCTTCCTTACGCAGCTCCCATAGAACGTCATGAGAGCACATTCCAATGACCGTCTCGTTCATGGAAAACGTCACCGGGTTGGACACCATGCGGGCTTGCTTGGGCAGCCCGAGTTCCTTCTTTGGGAGCTGCTCTTGTGGCCATGAGACGTGTTTGCTAACGGCGTCTCGAACGGACGGGACGAGAACGATGTTGATGCTTGGGACTGCTGAGGCGAGTTTCTGGAGAGGTGCTGAGATGCAATGTCGGAAGACGGTTGTGAGCGTAGCTGTGTCCGGGTCGAAACCGTCGGTCTCGGGGAGATCGAAATCGCCTGATGCTATTAATGGGTGTTCGATATCAAGGAACGGGCCCAAGAGCACAACGGCGTCTGCGTAGCTTTCTGCTGCTTTTTGGCAGATTTCCCTCAATGGCTCAAAATCGAGATTGTCGTCTGCCGTGTACGGGCCAGATGCCACGATAACGTTCAGTGCTGAAACTCCTGATTCCTCTATGCGCTCGTTTATACTCTCAATGGTAGGAATGGAGGATACAGCAGGAGGCAGAAGCGGCGGCGGGAGAACTTCTTTAACTGAGAAATAGTTCCCTGAGGCGTTGATACCCAGTAGGGCAACAATCTGTCCAGGGAAAAAGTTCACCGTGGGGATCGAGTCCACATTTAGTGGCACCCTCCTACCCGCCCCAGTGCGCCTTGACGTCTCAAGCACGAGCGACGCCGGGTTGAGCTTCCCTTCCAAACTGTCCGAGGCAATACGTCCAACAGCGATAATCTCACTAGTGCTCTGCGTGGCCGCGTTCCCGAACGTCACATCCTCCTTCTCGTACCTTTTCTCGAAAATAGCCGTAAACTCGTCAATCCGGTCATCCAGAATCTCGGACGCTTCTGACAATCGCATCGCCATGGGCTTGTATCCGAACTTCTTCAAGTCTGTATTTGCGGCTGGGCGTATCCTCGCCTCTGGGAAGGGCGCCATGGGAACTTCGGGCAGTGAGAGGTGCTCGTTGATCGTTTCGGTCGTCTGGCCGGGGTTCTGACGTTCTGAGAATGGGACGGACCTATACCGAGTTAGCACCGGCCCTATGGAGCCCAGCACATTCTGCAGGAAATATCCAAAAGCGAGACATACTGTAACCCCTCAACAACACCCGTCGAAACCTTCGTCGCCTTGACACCAATCGGCGAATCTCCATTGGTCCCTCTACCGATCTTCCCACCCACCGGCGACGCAAACTCCGCCTTTCTCTTCGCTGAACCAGAAGCCCTCCCAGGCGTTAACCCATCGAGCCTATTGAGCGCGCATACATCAGCAACCGTACCGCAAAGGCACCCCTCCAGGAACCAAGCAGACCAAAACTTACATCCCAAAAACATCCCCCGCCCCAGCCCCAGCAGCAACATTTCTCGGCGTCCCCATTGCCCCCCTCCTATCCCCCCTCTCCCTGTCCCCACCCCGTCCCTGCCTCGCCTGCCGCTCCAGGTTCTCCTGCACATCGCGCTTGAACACTCTCACAGTCTCGAGATCCAATTTCGTCTCCTCGGACCCCATCCGGAGACAATATGACTCCCATCGGTAGAAGAGTTCCTGCGCGGTAATACTGTGCACGCGCATTATTGATTGTAGCTCCGTGAGGATGTCTGCGGGGAGGCCATCGGGGGTGGAGGGGGCGAAGAGCTCGTTTAGGTCGCCCGGGGACTCGTCGTCGGGGATTGGGGAGCCTGTTGAGCCCATTTTTGCTGAAGCTGTGTTAAGTGGTGTATGTAGGTTGTGGCCGGAATTGTGGACTTTGTTCAATGGTCGAGATGGTTCGTATACGCCGCCTGGTTGTCGTGTGGGACTTCTTGGAAATCTTAATCGATGGGGGACGCGTGAGACGCGTTGGCACGCGTTTTAGTTGGGCTACCGCTTGCTGGTTTTGAATAATTGAAATTGCACGTGATCGTGATGTAGAAGATAACGATAAAGCCAACTTGAAGGTAGGCAGATTATCTCTAAGGTACTGGATTAGAATTTAATATGACAAAGTCCTGTCCGGAGGGTATGTATCCGAGATCCATTTCAACTTTTATCTAATGTTCGCTACCCATACATAAAGCATAATCATAGTCAATATAACACGTTCCAGCAGAGCCCAAGAAATAGTGTAAACCCATTCCCACGACGAGAATAAGAAAGGCAGATGAGATAATCAAATAGCGCGTAGTCTAACTACAAGTTCGTGCTCATACGATGCACAATTGGGACTGCACTCGGCGGCAAACTGCCCATCTCAGTAACAACCATATCCACGTATTCCGCTGGCGTGACATCGTACATGATATTCAGCAACTGCAGATTGGGCGTGTCTCTCCAATCCGTAAGCGGGGATCCGTCCTTGTTCGACGCCGTGTTCGACTCGGTCGGGTTAGGGTTTGACGCAGCAGGTTTACCTCCCTTCTTCGGTTCGGGCTGGGCCGCAGCGGCAGGGTCTGGCAGGTCTGTGAGTTGGTGCGGGGGTTGGATAACGACAAGTTCGTCTGCGTCGGCGATTTCGTTGACGACGATACTATCGAGCGCGACGCGATCGGTAAATTTCACGGTCTCGCAGCAGACGATGACGGGGATTTCAACGCCGCCGCGCTCCTTGGCTGACATGGCGACCAGCGCTGTGCCGACGCGCGAGTACAGGCGGCCGTTACTTGTCATGGCGTGGGCGCCGAGGAAGACTTTTGTAGCATCCTTGATGGCGTGGCTGACGCCGTTCATTAAAGAGTATTGGACCTCCAGGCCGGCGTTGGCTAATGTTCTTGCCAGGTTCTTGCCCTCGAAGAGCGGACGGGAGTCGATGATGGATACGCGAAATTTCTTGCCCTGCTTGAATGCGGTGAGGAGAGTCTGCTTGACGATCGAGCTGCCTGCGAATGTAACGACTACATCGCCGTCTTTGATCTTTTGTGCTGCGCTTCCGGCAATGACCTGGTCGGCCACGGTGATCTTCTCGCTGATGAAGGTGTCAATGAACTCGCACAGCGTTGTCTTGGCCTCCGACTCGGGGACTGAAGGGTCGATGGAAGAGATGGCCAGCTTGAGAGCTCGGATAGCATTCCCCTGGCTGATAGAGAGGGGCCGGCATGTAGAGAGGTAGGTGATTTGGTGAGATAGATGTGTAGTCAAGTGGCGGGAAAGGGATGTGCCCATGGGTGTTGTATAAGCTTCAATCACCTATCCGGGGTCAGCAAGCGAGCCCTCAGCCATCACTCAGGCAAAAGAAGAGAAATAAACCAACCCTCTTGAACGCCAACAGCGTCGCAACACATCTCGCACTACTTCCGCAGACAACATAATCCCTCATCTGCAACCCCAGCGCCAGCACGGCCGGATGAACCTCCTTCCCAGCACCCGCAACCGTAGTCCTGCGCTGCTGTCCGTAGAGATGTCCAAAGACAGCAACGTTCTTATCCTCCTGCTTCTTCTTCAGCTCAGCAGCTGCGCTTTGCGGCACGTTCTGCGCAGAGCCTCTCCGCGGAAGCCCCTTCTGCCCCTTAGCAGAGGCAGCAGCCGCAGCTCCAGCATCCGGACCTTTCTTCCCAGCCGGTGTACCAGGGGCCTGTCCGCCTGCCGCACCACCAGCACCTCCTCCGGGTTGCTCGCGCTCAGCGCGTTCACGGGCTCGGCGGGCGGCCTTCTCGGCTTTGGCCTTTTTCTTCAGCTCGGCGGGGGATAGCTTGTCGCTTCCTGCTGCATCGGCGGGCGCGGCGGCGGTATTCTTGTCTTTGGGGGGTTGTTGTTGCTTGGCGGGTTTTGCGGGCTTCGGCGCCTTTTGGCCTTGAGGTTGAGGTTGGGACTGGGATTGTGGTTGATCCATCTTTGAGTTGGATTGCTTTGAGGCGGGCTCTGGGGCGGCAGGGGGTGAGGATACAGGGTTCAGCGCAGGGTCAGCAGTGTTTGCCATTTTGAAGGGACAGAGTCGAATGCGTTGGCGGCAATCAGGAGGGGCATTGGAGACTTTTTTCGGGTGGGTTGTGGGGATGGCAGAGCGCGATGGGTGGACGCCGGACTGACTCATGCGGCGGAAAAAGGGCGATCGCCGATGATGCCATAAGCAGTTAACTAACGCAGGAGCAGCCCTCGCGCAGCAAGTATACTTTAGAGATTCGAGACATGAAGAAGATGGTCCAGGAAACCACAATAATACAGAAAGTGTGATTCATTAATCCAACCGATCATGTCTCGTTCCGACATTCCATCGTCTCGTCATGCAAAGCTCTCAAAAGAATAAATCAAAGCTTCAAAATACCACCCAGAAACGCCTGCCAGGATATCATCGCTAATCTACGTGTATTTAATTCCCCATGATATCTCCAAGTGCTCGCCGTCGTTTGCGGCCCTCGCGCTGCCGACTGTTTTTGAAGCGCTCATGGTCGGTAGCCAGCTTGCGCTTGAACACATCGAGATCGACCAGGAGATCCTCCATGTTTGCCTGCATCTCCTGGGCTTCGAGCTGGCTCGCGTCGATCGATACGCCGTCGTCTTCCCAGATTGACTCGGGCTCAGACTCTACATCCATAGTGGGTGAGCCAGGGCGGTTTTCTTTGTCCTCCATCAGCAGGTCGTCATCTGGTTCATTCAAAGAAGCGACGTCGCTATGGCGTTTCTCAATCGTGACTGGCGGGATGGGGTTCTTCAAACTATCCAACGCCAGCTTCAAATGATTACGGAGGGCTTCGTTCTCCGTCTGCAGTTGTCTGATCTTGCATTCGCTGACCATCTTTGTCTCCTCCATTAACCGTTGGAGTTTCTCAACCTTTTGCTGGTACTCCTCCAGCCGTTCGTTCTGAATTTCGCTCTCCCTGCGATTCTGTGCCGCTTGACTGACACTGAGTTGTAGTGTGCGGATGGTCTCTGCCATTTCTTCAATTTGTCGGTCACGCTCAGCGGCAGACAGGTGATCTTGGTTGACTCTCGCACGTGTGCGAATGTGTTTCGCTTGGTCCGCGTAGCGCAGAGTAGATAGCGTCTCTTCATAATCGGTTGGCGAGATGCAGGCAATCATGGCTGTCTTCGAGTTTCCTCCGAGACTGTCTTTCAGCAGCCAGGTGAGAATCGAGTCGCGGTAGGGCACAACTTCCTTTCCCTTTCGTTTGCCGGGACGTCCTGCCTTCGGATCGGCCAATGCTGCAATAACTCGGCCAAGAGTCGTGAGAGACTTGTTAATGTTGGATCCTTCGCGCAGTCGCTGGCCGGTGGCTTCGGTGGACTTGGCTCGTTCAGATCCAGCAAGGTCGACTAGGCGAATGCGGGCTGTGCGCTCTGTTGTCTCGTCTGTGGATAGATCATGATGTATCTGTTTCAACGTAATCGTAAAGACAGCGTGCGACCGTGATGAGGTGTCGTTCATCTTGGTACTCGCAACCGTCCGAGACACATCTCCTTTACGCATGAATTTCATGATCTCGGCGTAGTTTCGTACCGTAACCTCAGTCAAGTCTTTCACGTACGGTCCCTCGGAAGGAGACTCTCGAATGCGCAGGTAATGGGGTGGCTCGGTCCGTGGCACCAGCAAATCGCGTACATGCTCGTTGTAGACTTCAAAATAGGAGACGCGAACGTTGAAGCTGACATCCGGTGACTGGGCGCTCTCTATACGCTGGAAAAGATCCTCGCACGTCCGCGGAATCAAACCTGGTTGCTCAGTCGTACCCATCATTGTATAACTCTTGCCAGAGCCAGTCTGGCCGTATGCGAAAATGCATGTATGATACCCCTCAAAGTTGTGATCGAGAAAATCCTCGCCGAGAGCATTATAGATATCCTCCTGGTGGGCGTAGTGGTCGTCCTCCTCGTCATGCGACCAGAATGAATTGTCGAAGATGAAGGCTTTATCCTCCAATACCTTTCCGCGGGCCTGCGACTTGGGTCTATTTTCGTCAAACGAGTGGGCTTGCGGGGCTCGTAGCTTGGTCATCTGAGTTTCGGGATTCATCGTAATCAGACATTGCGCCTTTCGCTCGATCTCTGAGTAGACATCTCTGTTAGCCGTCCATTCAGTCACTCCGCAAGTCTCACGGATGTAGTACCTCTAGGAAGGAACTTTCGCACTCGCACCACGACTCGGACATTACCCCCCGGAGAAGGACTAGCAATGCCATCTGCGCGACTAGCAGACACTGGCACGCCTTCTCTAGCTCGTAGCGACGGACTCGATGCGGTTGAGCGCAACGTAGCGGAGGAAGCTGTAAGTGAACCTATAGACGGGGTTGTGATGCCTGTGACCGACGATGCTCCGGACAAGGAAGCAGAGGACTGCGAACCAGACCCGACGCCATGGCCGATATGGTGGTAGAAGCGCGGATCGAGGGCCATCTCTTCACTATGATCCAACAAGAACTGCTCAAGCTCAGCGACGATTACACGTTGTCGGCGGACGAGGTAGTGGTACATACAGGCTCGGTGTACCAGCGAGGTGGGGAGCAACGTTCGATAGCAGGTGCGATGGACGTAGTTGCCGGCTCGTGTCTGGGACGGGGCAGCTCAGTAGAAGCGCAATTCAGCTTCGGTCATCAATCAAGAACTCAAAAGCAGGCAAAGCGAAAACAGCTTATTATCAATTGAGAACAGGTCTGCGTATGAAGTAAAAGAGCGAAAATGCAGCAGCGAAGTAAGGAAGTGGAAAGAGAAGACAGCCAGTCCTGCAGTGTTGACGTGCGAATCAGTCAATCGTCTTCGGTCACAGCATCGCAATGCCTTCACCTTCGCCTCTTTCTTTCGAAGCTCTATCAAAGTAACAGTCAAGAAGGAGACGACAACAACACCGACTGGAAGCTCACAGCTGGTTCGTTTTGGTTTTCCCAGATCGAGGATGGCGTGGCGCCTGAGGCCGGTTCAGGCCGATTTACGCCTATCGCGGCGCAGCTGGTTGCCATGGCAATCACCCCGGACCATGAGATGCTTCCACTGCAGCGAACACAAGATCAATGTGTTATTGACTTATCATTCAATGATATTTACTTGGATTGTGATGTTTTACATATATTTACACGCCAGAATGAGTGCACTGGCATGCAAGTAGGCCCGTCGCCTTGAACTCGATGAAGCCCAAACGACCGAAACACACAGCTACATCCTGAGGTTCTCAGTCTAGTACCGCATGCTGTTGATGGGTGGTTTAATCGAAGTCGTCCAGGGCGGCGGAAACCTCATCGGCCTCGTCGAACCCATGTTCGCCTTTGCTCATTCGAGCTCCGTCGATATACGAGATGGGATCAGGGACCGGATTGCCGTTCTCGTCCATGCCGGTTTCGAGCATCTCCTCGATGGTCCAGCCGGCGGTCGGATCTTTTTGAGACTTGCTTGCGCCCTTTGCGCTAGAAGCAGCCTTCTGGGATTGGCTTCCGGAAGCAGGCTTGTTTTGTGAGGACTGCATGGTTGACTGCCACAAGTATCTTAGCTTCTGCAGACCCGTTTCTGCACCCACGACAGATACAACATACCTTGTCAAGTGTGTTTCAAGTTTGATTCGATGATACTGTTGCATTCGATTGATCTGGAATACTCAATTGTCTGAGAGGCATCTTCCGGGTGATATATGAAGCTGGGGTGGCGTCAATGATGAGGTGATGACGCGGAGACTCAGCACGGTCGCCGGCGTTCTCCATATGGGAGTCAGCTGCCATCTGCTGCTTGCCCGAGTTCAGAAAGGACACGATTGATCGATGGGTGTGATGAGATCATCATAAGGTTGGTCTGGCTCTCGCCGTGGGCTTTGATGATATCGTCAATTCGCGGCCGCATACCTGATTCAGAAGCATTAAGGTTCACTAATTGCGGGGTACAAACAGACTCTGGATAGCTTCACGACGATCCATGCTTTTCCGGAGCGTGGCCATTGACAAAAGTGTGGTTGCGCAGCGTTGAATGGCTTCATTGTCTGAATTGCCACCTGTTGTTAGTCACGCCCTGACTTTCCTTAACTGGAAATTGGCTCGACAACGATGTACGAAGAGCAGTTTTACGTCAATACCTGACTAGATGGAGTCTTGCATGGTTCTAATGCCATAATATACTCAGCGTCAAGTTGAATTTGAGCGAGATAGATATAAGGGCGTTCTGGTTATATACAAAACCCGCGAACCTGCCAACGCCGGGATGTGCCGTGAAATTCGCCAGTCCCTCTCCACATTTTCGCAAACTGACACAAATTAAAATGCTTAACTGATCTCAAATCCAGGCTCCACGGAGAAGTTGAACAACATGACAGTTGCTTACAAGGCCACAATGAGTAAATTGATAAAATCGCAACATTCCACAATCTTCCAAATTCCAGCCATCTCTCTCAGCCTTACCAAAACCACGCCGAAATGGCGCAATCGCAAACAGCCCACTTAATCTCCCTCCAGTGGCCACCACGCGTCAGCTAAATCGCCCTTTTCTCAGACTATCGCCAGGCACCTACATTTCCAGGCCGAGCTCTCAGCCCTACGGGGACCAAATCGCGAGTCCCAGGACGGAGTCGCCCGAGTGCGAGCGACGATCTCGCCAAATCGGAGACCATCCGAGCCACTGCAAAATTTTTCTGCATCGTCCGGCGAACTTAAACATCGAAGGGGGATAAATACCCGTCGAGCCCGCATATTCGTGTTCTTCACCGACGAATTTGGGACGTTTCTCGCTCCGCATTTCCCTCGATAGACCATTGATAGAGCAGGACAGGGAAAGGGAAAATGGCTCCGACTTCGGCGACTGATATCGAAGCCAACCCTGGCACGACTTCGCATGTCAATGCGAGTGCAAATGCGGATGCGCCCTTGACAACAAATGGGACTGGCGAGAAGGAGAAGGAAATTGCGACAATGCTCCCTGAGTCAGAGGGGAAACCGTCTCCAGCACGACGCAGCATCTCCTCGCGCTGGTCGGAGGCTGTATCCCCAAAGCACGCCGACCTGATCTGTCTCGTGCTCTGCTTCATCACCGGCCTATGCGACAGCGCTGCCTACAATGCCTGGTCTTGCTTTTTGGCGATGCAAACTGGTATCTCCCCTCCTTACCTTCTACTCCACCTCAAAAGGAACGGATTCCTAACACACGAGAAAGGAAACACAATCTTCCTCGGCCTCGGCGCCTCCTCGCAACCCTCCGGAAAACCCTGGGGCTGGCTGAAATCCCTCCTCAGCATAACCTCCTTCTTTATCGGCTCCCTCCTCTTCTCCCTCTACGGCCGACACGTCGGCCCCCGCCGACGCAGCACCCTCTTCACCTCCTTCCTCTTCCAAGCGGCCCTGATTATTATCGCCGTCGCACTCATCGAAGCCGACCTAATTCCACACACAGAGGCCGAATCTCGCACCCTGACAGGCGGCCGCCTCTTCCTTGAACTGATTCCCATCGCACTACTCGCGTTCCAGTCTGCGGGAAGCATCACGAGCGCGCGCGCGCTGGGTTATAATGAAATTCCGACGGTGGTCCTGACGAGTGTGTACTTTGACGTTGCGAGTGATCCGAAGCTGGTGCAAGATGTTAGTGGGAATGTTAAGCGGAATCGGCGTGTGGGTGGAGTTGTGATGTTGCTTTTGGGGGCGATTGTTGGTGGGTGGTTGAGTAAGAGCTCGGGAGGGATGGAGAGCGCGCTTTGGCTTAGTGCTGGGTTGAAGGGGGTTATTGGTATTGGGTGGCTGGGGTGGGTTGCTGAGGTGAAATGAAGTCCTATATAGATCGATTGGCGATGATCTTGGAGTTGAGGTTGAGTGGTTAATAATATATACGATAGACACAGTGAGTCAGACATGGTCGGTGGTAGATAGAGATAGACACATAGTCACTAATAAGTACAAGTACACGTACAAATTAATACAAGGTACATCGTCTCTACAAGTACCAACCACTCAGCTACAGCATCGAGCCGTAACCCTCCAAACCCATAAATACCATACATTTCACAACAGCCTCAAACCCGCAGTGCAAACCCCAAAGGATGCGAATCCCACCCCTCCCTCAAACTCCGACAGGCCCGACGCACACCCTTCCACACTCCACCCCACAGCGTCGGTGCGTCATCGGAGAATTATCCCACGCCCAGCTCCAATACCTCGAAGCTCTGGAACCAATAACCCCGCGCCCTCTGGCGCCGCCGCGCCGCGAGCGGCGAGAACACGACCCCACCCACACCACACGCCTGGGCATTGGTGGCACACAGACACTATTATTGCACGTGGACAGGGCAATCATTGCGCTTGCGCCCACGCTCGCCTCATCACATCTGCTTTTGCTTTTGCTTTTCTAATCTTACCCTCCAACAGCCGGAGAGCGTGCGAGGGCACTGCAGGAGGCAGATGCCAGAACCAGATGCAGGATGTACATGGCGTGGCATGGCAAGCAAGCTTACTCCGGGATTCCGGAGACTGGATGGCTTGCTTACTGGCTCCCTGCCTGATTATCTGTGTGGGATTGGATTGGATGGGATGGGATGGGATTGGAGTAATCCTACCCACCCAAGATGGAGCCTGAGCAAGGACAACAGCCTGGCTTCCCTGCGGACATACATGTAAGAACAACAGAGCAGAGCAGACAGCAAGCAAGCAAGCCAGTGCCCAGCGCCCACTCACGTCAGCGCCTGTCAGACTCCGGCATGGAGCAGGTCAGCACTGCCAATTTGGATACCACGGATAGCGCAGGCTAGCCGCTAGCGGGACGCGAAGAATGTTCGTCGACGTTGCTCTTACTCACCACACGACTCGTCTAGGGTGTGTGATAGGTAGAATAAGCAGGGTAGTTTGCAAGGGCCGGAGTTGGAATGATTGGGTCGGTCGTTCATTGTTGCAGATTACCTACATTACAGATTACAGATTACACCAAGGTGGGGGTCGCTATGGGATTCCATACAAGGACAGTTAGAGAGGGTAGAGAGGATAATAATAGGGCAGGGAAGGCATGACAGGGTAATAGCCCTCAGAGAGGGGCTAGAGGCCACCAAGGCATGCCCATCGCGTCCGCGGCCATGCTGAGCGGACAACGACATCCATGACCCCAGGCTATCATCAGGATGATGCAGCCTCAATAGCGATCAGTCATCGAAACCTCACAAACGAACTCAAACTAATCCAGAATACTATCACGGCCCGTTGTCCGTCTTCCGCGAGGGGCCCAGCACTAGCAATATGAATTGAAATCAAAGACGAAGCAGAAGCGCTGGCAGATGAGGGGTAATAACGTTGCATGCAGTAGAGCGGAGATGTGATTCGCTGGCGGATGTGATGGGCAGCGAGCGGGCTTGGAGTCGTCACGGCCGGGGCTTTTTTCACCTGCGCTGGGGGCAGCATGGTGCCCGGGCGGGGCGAATGTCCGTTACCTGCGCTTTGCGCTTTGCGCTTTGGGGTTAAATTGCAAGGCTCTACGTACTACGTCAAGGGAAGGATGATTGAAAGTCAGTGGCTGGGAAGACGAGGGAGGCATATTGATCGGGATTTAGGAATGGGATGGGGATGGAATGAGAATCTACGGAGTATGGATGGACAGAGTGGGTTAGATCAATTCATTAGATTTCAAGATGATGTCAGTCTTTGGAGATAATTACGAGCAGTGTGATACTAGCTAGTGGCCGGTGTGTACAAGGTATTACAGATACGAAAAGACAGTCAAGATAATTTAATAGATTGATAATCGGTAAAACGCAGTCTATCAGAGGCAGTGGGTGTGAAAAGAACGAATCAGCCAGCCGAGACCAAGATGGGATCGCAGAATGGTATCATAAAAAGCAGAGATGCAAATGACTCCCACGAGCATGCACTCCCAAACGAAGCAAAAGAGCAAAATCCCGTCCCAATGCAAGAGACGGAGAAGAAAACTTGAAAGAAAAAGTTGATCTGCAACAAAGGAAATAACAAAGGAAAGGCTTTCGGTAAATAGACACCGATGATGGAATAGTAACTCAAGCAGATAAACTGTCAAATATCGCTTGCAAGATGAACTTGAAGATCAATCAGAACGCAACGAGCCAAAGCAATCCAGTCAGTGTAACCAGGCCAAACGCGCTCAAATGCAATCCGAGGACAATGAATAAACACTCTTCAATCGAGTGTGCTGTAGTGGTTCTTTAACCCGAGTGCAGATAAATAGGAGCACTCTTCTGTGGGCTCTTCGTTCTTCGTTTCTTTCGAAGTCGGTAGTTTCGTAGTAGTGGTTTTGTATGTGGTACCGCGCTCAGCCTAGGCAGTGCGCTTTCGCAAGATTTCGTCGCAGTTGGCGTCGAATCGCATGTTCCACACACGGATGCTGTTCATCAGCTTCTCCGTGTTCTCCAATTCGCGGTCGCGACCAAAGATCGACTCAACGAATTCACAGCCCGCGTTGCGGCCCATCGACACCGAGCCGCGTCCCTCGCGCTTAGCAGCCTTCCACATGAACTGCTCGCATGTTTTGAGCAGCTTGGCGAACCGCCTCCAGAGGCGCCGCCCGCTCTCCAAAAAGTCCTCGACGGTTTCTTGAGACTCACGATCCTTGATCCGGTCCACACAGTCGTCCGCCCGCTTCACCTTACCAGCAAGTTTGATCAGCAACAGCCAGAGTTCGCCCGCGACATCGGCCATTGGGGTTGAGGCGCCGTGGTGGAATATCGTCCAGTCGTAGATCCACTTGCCGAGAGAGTTGGCGTCAAACACACTTCCGAGCAGGATGATTGGCGCCTCCGTTGGGTCCCAGTTCTTGATCGAATAGCCTGGCGGGATTCCTGCGGCGGCGGCGTCCTCTTCGGTGGCCTTCGGTGGCGGCTTGGAGGCAGTGGCTGGCTTGGGTTTGGCGGGGTTCCGGGTGGATGTGGATTGACGGCGGGCGCGCGACCGTTTGGCAGCATCAGCGTCGTCATAGGCAGGGACCTGGGTAGAGGAAAAGAAAGGATCAGTGGCTGGCTTTGGCTTCCGGTGCGACGCCGACGGGCGTCGCCGGGATTTGTTCGGTTCCTCGCGCGAGGCGTATCGAGGCATATCATCGTATCCATCATCGACCACATCCACAAAGATAGATCGTTTCCGGGATGACTGCTGCGGTCGAGGACCAGCAGCACCATAGTCATAGATGCCGGTGTGAGCAGCTGCTGCAGCACCGGACATGGTTTTGCGACGCCGATAGGCTGACGGAATGCCATTGAAAAAGGCACTTACATTTTCGGGCTTTGACGGGGTGCCAAAATCGGGCATTGCGCCGTAGAAACCATGGCTGTATCCGGAGTGCCACGCTCCTGCATCTTTGCTGGGGGGAGCAGCGTAGCTGGCCTTGCGGGCGTGTCGCTTGGGGGTGCCTTGCGGGGTGCCGAAGGGGTTGGTGAACTGCGATGCGTAGTAGGCGTAGTGAGGCGAGGTAGGAGGCGAGTTCATGTAGTCGAAGGAGGACCACCCGGGAGGTGGACTAGAGTAGTGGTGATACATTATCGCGAGTCGAGCATGTGAGACGAGTCGTATGTAATATCAAATAAAACTGCGGAGAGAGAATCGACAACTTTTGAGAGCCCCAAAATTACCGATCAAGAAAAGATAACAGACAAAACAAAACAGCAAACGAGAAATCGCAACCCAGTATATTGTACAGGATATCGTCCAGAAAAACCCAGATCGAGACGCCGATCAAAAGGACAACGAAATCGAGATATCAACGACGAGGACCGTCACCGTGGCACGGCTTCTAGGGGAGAGGAGGGTTGAAATGCTGTGATGTGCGAAGCGTGCATTTGAACGACGTCGGAGATCCGAACGTTGGGTTAGTCGTCTGGTGAAGCTGGAGCGACTCTGGATCTCTGCTGTTGTCTAGCAGAGAGAACCTGGGCGAATGGTCGAGGATCTTCTCTCTGGAAGATCTGAAACTGACAAATCCTGGGGTGCTAAAATGGAACCCAGGAGAAGACGCGAGGCGTGGCGAGGAAGCAGTGTTTGTATCGAGTTGTTTTGACCCAGGAAGGGCGATGTCGTGTGTGTGCAGTTGACGAAGGGGGAAGCGAGAGCGCAGGAATAGTGGATTTCGACTGGTTTTGTAAGTCGTGAAGCGCTGAGCCTGTGGGCGCGAGGAGTGGACCCCAGGGTAAGCGGACGACGGGCGGGTGGGGCCAACCTGGATTTATTGAAAGCCGTAAATTTCACCAGCTCACGTTTGGGCCTCGTTCAGCTGGGGGATTTACCGTACGGTATGTTTCAGCCCGACTGGCAGCGTCTGCGCTGGATGAAGTCAGGCTGCAGAAGCTTGGTACAGTTGATGGAGCGACTCCATGTCCACAAGGGGCTTGCTACTTGTTATATACTCCTACGGCCTCAACTGCGACAGAGTCGTCTGAGTCACTCTTGGGCAGCGCTTTATCTGCCTTTTACTTCACAGCCAACGAGACTCCTTGCAAAGAGGCGAAAGTGTGCAAGATATAAGCCCTTCGCCCTCCCTCGAGCCGTTTCTTCATCCTTCTATCCCTGAGTTATACGACTCACTCTGCGTCATTGGTGCTATCGCCCTCCAGTGAAGCTCAACCTTCAGGCGGAGGAAGCGCCGTTCTCTGCCCGCGCGACCTGGTTGGTGTCCCTGGGAGCCGGTTTCGACTCATCAGCTGGACCACGCGGACATCCCGGCAATATGGGAGCCTACCAGAGAGAAATACGGCGTATAAGATGTTGAACAGTGACTCATACTTTTCTCATCGCCCCAGATGATGGCTGAGCAGTGAGCCGTGCAGGGGATATAAATAAAGACTTCTGTGAGACAAGGTTTCTTTGTGGTGCAGAAAAATCGGTTGATCTGCCGTCATCTGTGGCTGCCTATTCGCAGTCTGCAGTGGCGATGTGGCGGAAGAATACACTCGGGGAAACCCTCATCTGCTGAAATCAGCGCTGCAAGTTCGGCTATTGGTGCTCGGCTGGCGAATGCTAGAGACAGAAGAGAAATCGCAGGGATAAGCCACACATCCGCGCTGCATGTGCATCAGGTACCTCCAGATTGTGAGGTCATGTCCCGACAATACAGGCCCTGGCCTGTCCCATGGAAGAGTCGCGGGTGCATCCGCTGCATTCCGTGGATTTGAGCAGCTCCATCTTGGAACCAAACAAAATAAGCTCGGGAATCTCTCGTTTTTCCAAACCGTAAAAAAAAATATGGCATGCTGGATGCATGCTTCGCTTCGTAAACTCCGACTCCTGTTGGGCAAACATCTGCAGAAATGGGCTTTACCGCTGGTACTTGCTGGGCAGCCACCACACCATCACGACGAGGGCAGCGGGACACTGGGCCTTTGTTGGACAGACCGCAAGTTCAAAGAGCAATAATTATAAATCAAAGCGGCCGGCAGAGGGCGACAAGAAATTGGACCGAGTGCCCTCTTGATAGATCGCTCTGTCATCTCAGAATCTGTCCCAGGTGACACCGACTCGACTATTGGGCTGTTGCCTGCTCAGCGACAGGCCAGTCAGATAAAGTCTGGGATGAGGATTAATGCGAGTGGGAGAGCGCACAAGCAAAAGAAAAGTCGGCGCTCGTCTAACCAAGGAGGCGGGCTTTCCTCGGTGTAAAACTCGAAGCAATAATGGCCCCAAGTCGTGTAACCCCTGGCATTCCACATCGCACAGATAAGCAACAGTGCTTTTTCAGAGCCTTTTTGGAGGTGGAAAAGCGAAGGGCGCACATGGCGTTCTGGATGTGAGCCAATAGTGCGGAGGATTTTGATGGAAAAAAATAGAGTCCAGCTAGAAGTCTCGGATCGCAGGGTTATGGGGCCTCGTCTCCAGCGCGCCGGGAGGATGCTCGAATAAGCCGAGCCAGAGTCTGGATGCCAACGGTTCATCTGCATTCTGACCACCACCAGACGGCTTCGTTTTATTGTTTCTTTCAAGCATGTCGTTTAGATTCAGTGCCCATGCCGCGATGGTTGCGCAAATGCCAGACAATAACAATAGCAGTCTTGCAAGTGCCCGGCCAGTCGGTCTTGACTTTTTGATGTCTTTTGTTGTTGCGAAGTGAAAGAAACTAGTTGCTCCGCGGCCCACCAGCAGAGTTTTCACCCACCCCTTGCTCTGGATCTCTTTCATTTCTGCTTATTTTCCAACGCAATCAATGGGCTTGGATTTAATCTCGGTTTGATATTTATATTCCGCCCCATTTTACCTCCTTTTCCTGTACCGTACTGTACGTACCGAATTACATGGACCAGCAACCTAATCAGAACTTCTCACATACTCCGTCCCCCATATGGCATCCAATCTTGAATCCAGCCTTTGTCGACCAAGGCATGGCGAGCTAAATTCCCATGCCTTTTCGCGTCTGGTCGTGTGATTCGCTGACATTCCCTTGTTTTGTCTTGCTCTGGTCTTCTGGATTCCCACCACCCCCTTTTCCATACCCTCCTCGCCATTTCTCAGAGTCAGCATGTCTAGGAATAATTTGCGCGCATCCCGTCTTTTGGAAGGATTTTTCCTTCTCGACGCCGATCACGCGGCAGGATGAAATGAGCGCGAATAAAAAAAAAAGCAAGGAAAATTGCCAGGTTTCAACTCTTTGCACCCTTGCACAAGCCTGCAGGATTTGTGCGTATCAGCCTTCAGAGCCCTTGCCCTGAGCCCTACCTGCAGCTTTCAAAGGATCTTAGTCGGGTGGGTTGTCATGCTGCAGGGGACTTTTGTCCTGCACGTTTGAGACGACTCAGACAAGCGTCGCGCTCTGTGGAGGATCTGGTGGGCGGTTCGTCCGTTTGCTTGATCTGGCGCTGCACACTGCGCACTGCGAGTATTGGAGTCCCGACGACCAAGTTTTCAGCGACGAACGATGAGCTTACGCATGAACATGTTCTTACTTTGACTTTGGTCTCATGAAGCAGGCTGTTGCCAGGCTCTGGTAGACATTGAACATGAGCATGCAAGTCTACGCTGAGTTATTCAATGTCACGAGATCTTACCATCAGCCTTACATCCCCCTCCACCACAAGAATCCATAGTCATTCAAAAACGGAAAACCTGACTTCAAAGACCAGAAGTACAGAATCAAACCCACAAGCCAAGCCACCGCGACTCGCCAACTCACACATCACCCCAGAACCCTGGGAACCGCCCATGCTCCAAATGGGCCAGCGAGTCACGACACACCACTAACCATCTACCGACAGAAACCATCGCATCCTTCTGCACGCTGCATCATCACACTGCTGCAAGGCTGACCCCTCCCCTCCCACTGGACCGGCGCATCTGCAGTGGAAATACCTAAATTGCTGTCCAACGCAGTGGAGCCGGCTCTCCGCCGGGAAAATCCCCGCAAATGAGATCATGACACGCTCCAACGATTTGCGACGGTGGGCACTGCGTTGACATGATGCCGATGTCGATAAACGAGAAAAGCGGGTTTTTCTTTCGGGGATTTCTTTTCTGTGGGTTCTTTTCAAGCCTGATGAAACTGGTCGTGTGTCGAGATCTTGAAAACTACCTGCGTTGCCTGGACGATGCAAAGTGTAGAGGATCCATCTCCCTCCAAGAAGCGCCTACTCTGTCATGGATACTCGCTACGATGGAGCTCGCCAGACGTACGTATCTACCCAACCAAACCTACGTAATATGCCCCTCGTCCTCTCAGCCCAACCCATCAAGGCTGTGCTGTGCTGTGCTCGAGACCATGAAAGATTTCTTTTCAATCCAGAGCGAGGCGCGCAGACATGGTGGGGTGACCCCTCCTCGAAGGAGGGACAAAATTATGCGTTGTCAACCCTCGCCCCTCCTTCTGTTCAAACAATAAAGTACGAGCAAACGCAAGATCAGAAACAGGGCTTAACCGCCGAAGCAAGCTCGTGAAGCGAAGCGAGGACTAGCCTGGCTCTGGCCTCTTGCAGACCGCATTTCGATCGCATCGCATAACCCACAACAGAGCATAACATAAGCCACATGAAGGCCTAGCTAACTAATGGCTACTGGAGCAAGCGAGCCCTAGGCTGATGCATATATCTTCAGGGATTGACTTCGCATTCACGCAATAGATATGTACGAGATATGTACGATGTAAGGTCTCTTGATTCGCGGTACATACGTGCATGAATATGCTCGCGATCCCAACTCGCCTGCCTGCGCCTACCGACCTACCTCCTATGAATCTAGCGCCATGCGCCGCAGATCGCAATTGAGATCGAGATTCATTTCATCTCCGGAGTAAGGGCTTACTTACCGCTTCGCTTCGTGCTGCTGCTGCTGCTGCCTATACTTGCATTATGCACATCCAAAGACCAAGTTATACTTACTTGGCAGAGCAACTCACTCAAGCCTAAAGAATATGTATGGCTATGCTATCCCTAGCATATAAAACATTGTTAATGTTCGCAAGGTGCGCGAAGCGTACGGTGATAGAGCTTACCGCTTCATCAAATCTTTCCCACCAGAGTTGCGTCTTGACACCGCTATTCATACAGCGAGGCCGGATTAGACTTTGTTTGCGAAAGCCTGGTTGGTTTACCGGTACGGCTAATGGTAGTCGGTTGATCGGTTGAAGCTTAGCTAGCTATCTGCTCAACACTGGAAGTCTTGGGTAGTAGTCATTGTGGGCCCAAGGCCTTGCTTTGTCTCGGATGGACTGACCGGTTGTAGATCCCGGGGGTTAGGTCTAGACATACTAGGGTAGTTCTTGGTCTAGAACTACGTGAGCGTACGGTTGGCTCTGGAAGTATGTAAAGGTTCAAGTATTTATACTATGTACCGCGCTATGTACAAGATTTATTTCGGTGACTTTGTGGCAATCTTCGTTGCTGTGTTGTATCTGTCATACAACCATATACTCTCCCTCTGCTCGCTTCGCCTGCATGACCTGGTGCCAGCGGAAGCCCTGGCTTTTCGAGATAGTAGTCGGAATCATTGACACGGCCTCATCGAGCGCGGACCAAGCGTGCGGATATACAACGTGGCCACCGTCGTGCACTGGCGGATCGATCGGCGGATTCTCTTCCCAGATATGCTGGAGAAGCTCAAGGCAGGACAGGTTATTGCAGAACCCAGAGTCCTTCGAGATATCTTTGCAGCGCTCTTCAATAGCGACGCGTTGCTCGTGAAGCACGCATTCGGAGCCAGTAACGAAAAGCGGCCAAAGTAGGTAGACGTCGGATTTGACGGATAATATATGCACCATTGACCGCTGCACGATCTGTTGGATACGAGGGTGCGAGGACGGTAGGTCCGGATATGCGAGGCGTTCGCTATAGAGGAGAGCCGAGTGGCGGAAGGACTCGGAGATGTGAAAGACGTCTTCGACATTATGAGGGGCTACGCCGCACTGATATAGCGGCGATGAGGGTGGTGAGATGTACGCGTGTGCTGTCGAAGGATCTTGGCCAATGTCATAGCCAGACACAATGGGAAGACCGTGGCTAGGGCGCTCTTCCGGGAAGCGCCAGGCTTCAAGCTGCTGTCGAATGGAGTACCATTCGGCCCAGAATGTGGGAGACGACGGTTGCTTGATCCGATCACTAGACCGGGGTGGTGTGGGCAATGGGAATAGGTAAGGGTCGGCATGAGCTGGGAATTTTGAGAAACTCGAATTTGCATAGTAAGACATGGAAGGCGGAGGTGTTGTGGTGGGAATGAAGATGTGTGGTGAGGTTTCTGTCGTTTCTTGGTTCTGACTGAGAATGTTCAGCCGACCGAGGTGTGAGATGACCTTGAAAAGACGGCCGTCACATCCCGCCAGATTTTCCAAACCCCATTCATCGCCAGAAGCCGTGGTCAAGTCGATGTATCTACTATGTAGCTCAGTTTCGCGATCATTGGTGGTCGCAGTCATCGTGTCATACCACGTAAACATGCGGATGAACCATCTCAACTCATCGGACAGATACGGCATTGTACGCATCCGAATCGCTAGCAACTTGGTCACGCCAGCGAATTGGGTCTTGAACTGCGCAACCCCCGTGTCACAGACGTGAAATAGACACAGTATCAACAAAGTGGCAAGGACCGAGTCCGAGAGTCTCCTTTGCGGATCTGCCAATTCTTTGTTCAATTCCTGAACCGCCATGCGGCGGTGATACTGTTCTTCGAGTGGGTATCCTTCCGGAATAAACGGATCAGCGCACTCGTGCAGAGAATGGTCTGTTAAGGCCCTGTGGGCTAGGGAGGACATGCGGGAAGGCTCCGTGCGCCCTGTTGAGACAATTCCTCGCTCTCGCCTTTGCCGCAAATTGCTGGTGGACAATGTTGCAATAGCCTCTTGAAGTGACGTGCTATCCTGTGCCATTCGCACGATGGAGGTGCGAAAGGGGTTTGTCGGGCTGTCAAAAGCCACAATTACAGGGGCAATGACTTCAGCATAATAGCTGATTAGGTACCGCAGTCGCGGGGTTCGTCCAACGGAACGTGCTAGCAGCAGCTGGGAAAGTGATGGCGAGTGGCTACCCAAAAATGGATAAGCATGAGAGCTACGCCGCCTCTCGAGCTCGGAAACTGCTTCATCGGATTCGATGTCTTGAGAAGGGTATGGCCATGCCGTTGGCGATGACTGGAATGACGGAGACAAGGAACCCGTCCAGCTTCCAGGAGCCGACCCGGATTCAAAATCCGTTGCCAAATCTGTCAAGGGATTCGATGCCCCTGGAGCGTGCGGTGACGGGACATCCACCGGCGAGGCCCTCTCTCCCAGTGTATCTGAGGCCGGAGATGGCTGACCATGGGGTAATTGCGACTGCAAATGGTCTGATGGAGGAGTTGACCTCGGCTTCGCAGCGGCCGGTTGTGAGCCGCTCACTGGCAGAGACAGCCCACGAAACTTGCCTCGACTCGCAACGCCGACACCCCACGTTAACGTTGTCTTGTAACCCGGGCAATCGAGCCCCTGATCCAGGCATTGTGAACAGTACGGGCGACGTCTATCGCACGAGGAGCCGCTCTTGGCGCAGGTGAAGCAATCGTGGGCGGCACCAGTCACGACAGTCCGCTTTCTCCTTTTTCGAGGAGCAACGGCTGCAGATGAAGACTTGCGTGTTTTGGCTGGGGTATCCTGCGACATCCTTGACCGACAGTTGGGAACTCGGAACGGCGAGCAATTGCCGAGCGTTATACTGAATATTATCGGGGGTAGGAGACAATGCGGAGGCGATCCGCGCTGTGGGGTTCCATCGGTTGAGATTCTGCTGAGAGGACGGGGGAAGAAGAAGTGAGAAAAGAGGTGAAGAAGTAAAAGAGAGAGGAGGAAGAAGAGGGGAAGGAATCCGAAGGAATGGCGCCGTCGCCCGAGTCCATAATAAGGTTCATAATTCTCCGGGGCGTGAGGGGAGCCATTTGTTCAGCGTATCCAGAAAACCTCGCCTTTGGCTGGAAAGATGGCGATAAGGAACGGTTTGTCGGTTGCTTCCGCCACTCCGTTCAACCAGGCTGGTTAGTAGCCTCAGTATGGCTGGGTCCCCGAGGTATACCGAGTAGATATTCGGTATTCGGAGAATTTTGCAAGATCAGCATTTTGCAGATCCCAATGTTTGAAAAAATCACTCCTCCCAACTCTTGCTATCTTCAGAGCGCTGTGGCGTGTGTCTCAACTCTTGAACGGCAATGTGGATGCCAAGCTCTACCGACGCCCCAGCCGATGCATCGAAGAGTGGGTGACTAATCCAGTTGATCTGCGCTAGGCCTGCCGCTCTAGGCGCTGGTCCAGAATCTCAGGGGCTAAGTTCTGCCACCGCCTTCCCAATAAGCTCTTTCGGTCCAAAGCGTTCTGGAAAAGAATGCCCGTCCACTTCATAAACTCGTGGTTTTTGATAGAGATTTTCTGATTCCCAAAAGTGGTTTACGCTTATCGATTACGTTGCTGTGTGCCGCGGATCAAGGTGCGCGACCGGAACCTTGCTGGGACGAAACCCCGCTTCAGCGACCGAGTAACATGCAGGTTATGCAACGCATTCCAGCGCAAACACCATAGTCAATCGACGCAATGCCCGTCATTCGCCGTAGCCGGCTGAGGACGGTCCTCTCCACCATCGCCGCGATCTTCCTGATCGTTGCAGTCTTCAAAATCAATTGGGCCCCGACATCTGCCAATGTGGTTCCGCTCACAGCCTTCGAAGTCCCGCTTGTCGAACGCCAAAAAGACTTTTGGAAAGCATTCAAACCGATTCTCGAATCCCACAGTCCCAATTGTCCCTCGCCTACGCACGATGAAGATGCGGGTGCTATCCATTTCAACGCTACCACCACCGAGATGCGGCCGGATATGACTTTCATGGATGAGGCCAGTGTGCAACGGATGCAGGATGCGCATGCGCGCTTCGTGCAGGCTACGGTTGACACAAAACCCCTCCATCCGGTTCACGCTGTCGGTACTCGTGGCATAGTTTCGACCGCGGGAGGCCAGTACTTTCCTGTGTTTGTTGCGACTTTGCGGATGCTGCGGCGCACCGGATCGACGCTCCCGGTTGAGGTATATATGAAAGATGCTACCGAGTACGAGAAGAACATCTGCGAGGGCGTACTCCCAAAGTTGAATGCACGGTGCCTGATCCTTTCCGACGTCATGGGCAAAGAGTTCATAGAGCATTTTCAACTCAAGGTTTTCGCCGTGCTCCTGTCGTCCTTTGAGGAACTTATCTGGATGGATGCCGACTGCTTCCCTTTGCACGAACCCGAGCTATTGCTAGATTCCGAGATATTCAAATCAGCGGGCATGATCACTTGGCCCGATTTTTGGCAGTCATCAGCATCACCGCTGTACTTTAAGATATCCGGGCAACCAGAAGCCCCTATGAACGGGCGGCAGACGACAGAGGCCGGCGTTTTCCTCATCAACAAGAAGACTCATCTACGAACACTCCTACTCGCCGCCTATTACAACTATTACGGCCCTTCGCATTACTTCCGGCTGCTCTCTCAAGGCGGGCCAGGCGAAGGCGACAAGGAAACCTTCCTTCAAGCAGCATACGCGGTCAATGAACCATTCTACGCCGTGAGCGAGAGGGTACAAGCCATTGGTCATCCGGCACCAGACGGGATGTCTGGGTCCGCTATGGTTCAGTCGGATCCAATTGAAGACCACGCTTTAACTAGTCAAGGGTTATTACGAGTGCTTGACCCCAGTGTGGCCAAAGCGCCACAGACCTTCTTTATCCACGCCAACTACCCCAAGTTTAACCCCGGAGGCAATTTCTGGGGAGGGGATTTCGAAACCGCTCCTACCATTCGCCCTGATGGTTCAGACGGACGAGCATGGATTGTCCCTGAAGACGTGATCCGACGCTTCGGCTATGATGCCGAGAAAGTCTATTGGGAGGAGCTCAAATTTATAAGCTGCAACCAGGACATCAAGTTTCAGACATGGAGGTCCCCGGCAGAAATCTGCCAAAGGGTTGAGCAATATTGGGCGAATGTCTTTGCTGAACCGCACGAAGATGATCCTAAATTCTCTGACTGACACCAGAGCCCTTTGCAGACTTTACGATTCATGAAACTTTTACGAGCGACGACCGCTTACATCCATGCAGCTGTACATTATTCGCATAATTCTTTTCAGCTTGTACAGTATACTACAACTTAGAGCATAATAAATAGAATATATCATGCAATTCTCATTCTCATCATATCGTACAGTTCAAAAAAGATGTCGAACTATTTCTTGATTCCCTTCTCCCGTAGTCTCCGCTCGTCGTCCTCTTGAAGCTCCTTGTCGATCTTGGCCCCCTTTGATGGCTTGTTTCCGTGAAGCAGAGCCTGTACTCATTAGCATTCCATCGCACCGAGACCGCAATATCCAAGAGGGATGTAAGGAGGTATGGTACATACAGGCTTCAACGGATCCTGCTTGCTGAGCTCAGCCTCGAACTGGTTATCGGGGTGAAGGTGGTGGTGGTGCGATGAGCTACCGTGCTCCTGGGCAGCGAGTTTGTTTGCAATGGAGCGCTGGTCCTCTGCAGTGGGAACACATGTTAGCAATCTTAAATCTCACACCTTTGATGTGCCCTGCTCGACATAGGTAGGCATGCAGGTGAGGGCAAGGGAAGGAGACATACTGGAATCAATGTTCTTGTGGCTACCTTTTTCACCCTGCTCATATCTCTCACGCTCCTTGATGACAGACCTAGGCTCATGGCGCTGGTCGCCGTCCTCGTAGATGCTACGGTTTCCGACTTTGGATTGGAAGGAGCTGTGGCGGTTGGAGTTGGGGTGAGGCATTTTGGGGTGATGTGTGATGTGTTGTGTGTTGAGGAAACGGTTCGAAAGTAGAAACCCCGTTTATGGTTTAATTGTTGTAGAGTAGTTGAGTGAATTGAGAAGACACAGTACGCTTCGCCGCACGCATCGCCATATATAATGGTAAGACACTGGTTGCGTTGAGGTGACATCATCAATGGGTATACTATACTGGATCGCTGAGATCATACGTGGGGCGGGATCTTGCTCAGGTTGCTTCGGTGAAATAGGACAGCACATGTCATATACTCCGTAGTATGGGGCTAGAGCTGGGATCTTCAAGGCTCGGTGAGGTTCTGAAGCTCTTCTTTTGCGATGTTGGTTTGTTGCCCTGGCTAGTTGAGAGGGCTGGGGTACTATGACGTTGTGTCGCGTGCTGAGGAGCTCGACTTTGTGGATGCGATGCTCATCAGGGGAATGGAGTGGAAAGGTTTGAAATAGTACAACATAGAGCTTGATTGAGCTGAGGAAGCTATTGGTTTGTTTCGTCTAGCTCGTGGCCGGTGGTAGCTGAACCTACACCTAGTACAAGGATTGTGTTGCGGCCGAAAGACGTCTTACCCCGTCACAGAATATATACTTCGTCTCGGCGTCATAGTACAGGACATTTAACGCCGATAAGCTATAGACCTCTATCTCAAATTGGCTACCGAAGCTGCGATATATGTAGCGATGCGCCTAGAGAATATTATTTAATATTTTTTTTTTTCTTTTCTTTTTGGTTATTCCAATGTCTTCAGGCGACAAGCACAGCGGCCGCTGGCCACACCGAAACCGGAGTGATGAGACGCGCTCACCTAACCAAGTCATACTCTCATTTTGCAGAAGCCAATCGATAGGCTATGTATGGATATCGCGCAATAAATGCCTATTATCTCCTCGCAAGCCATAGGTAGGACGTGATCGATACCCGGATGGCCCAATTGCAATCGCAGTTTCTCCTATTGAAGCTCCATCTGCGTGCTCGACAACCCCTCACTGACAGCTTCTTCGCCTTGAACCTCTACCAAGCCCTGGGAAAATCATTATATGTGCCGAACATCCGATCGCGCCTACGCTGTTTATTGCCAGCATATAAACCGGCCTACACCCCCTCAAGACGAAGTTACACCACGTCCTCCCAAACGCCACACAAGATGTCTACTCCAGAGATACAACCCCGCTACCTCGACCTCTTCCAGAAGCTAGAAGCCAGCATCACTAACGCGGGCTCTATTCCCAACGACAAATGGGCTATTCTTGCAATAGCAACACTTGTCGCGGGCCCCGACCCTGAGCGCGCAGACCAATTATACCTGTACCTCACCTCACAATCCCGGTATGCAACATCCGAAAGCAGAAAGGAGCTCGTCCGGCGACTTCGCGAAGCGCTCTTCAAAGCCGTCATTATAGTCGGCGTCTGCAAGCCCATTGAAGCCATCCTAGCAATTTCAAAGGTTGAGAAGGACGAGGACAAGGACATCAGCCCGCCAACAAGAGAGAAGTGGACCAACGACGAATCGAACCACGAGCGCGGGGTTGGATGGTTCAGCAAGCTTTACGCAAGAAACGGAAATTCAACCCTGGATCTGTTCAATGCGCACAAGGACTTTTCATGGCTGAGTACGGAAATTACCTATGGGCTCTTCTTGAGTGACCGGCAGGTGCTGGATGACCTGGACACGCAGTTGGTTGTTTTGCCTGCGATAATGAGCCAGAACTTGCCGAATGAGACGAACTGGCATATCAGAGGGACGAGAAGGTTAGGGGTTCCCATTGAGGACGTGAAGACTATAACGGAGTGTGTTAAACTTGTTGCGGAGTTTTATGGTGTGACTCTGGACAAGGTGCCGTCGGTTGAAGATGTCGAGAAGGATGTATAGGCTTAAAAATCCTTGGATAAGTGTCGAATAGCATATATGCTTTGCGTCCTAGATAAACAACATAAGTAGATCTGAGCCTTGGAAATGCATGTTTTGATTCTTCACTCTATGGACGTGGATGGTCTGCAGATTGAACAATCAGACATCAAGAACAGACGCGTGAGAAAGTACGGAGTAGAGGCCACAAGAAGTTTTCAGAATCTGATGGTCTCAATATCTGCTCTGTGTTGTAGTTGTCGAGGAGCTGGGCCTGAACACTCTCGCGCCCGGATCATCACCCTTATTGGATTAGGCAAGCCCGCAATTTTTCCCGCCAAGTCCGTTCCCCTCCTCCGAGAACTTTTAGTTGAGCTACAACACCACAAGGTTGAGTTCTCCCACACCTCTCAAAAGCCACAATGGGAAAGCGCAAGCAAATCAAGGACGGCGACGTCGAAATGGGGGGCACTGACCCCAAAGTCGAAGGAGACGAGTCCTCGGACGAGGTACAAAAATCGAACCAGCTACTCCCCGAACTCCTCGATAATAGCTCCATAGCGCAAGGGACTAACAATGTGCGCAGGATATGGACATGGTCAACGTCGACTTTGAATGGTTTGACCCGCAAGAGATCGACTTTCACGGCCTCAAGAACCTCCTCCGCCAGCTCTTCGACGTCGACGCCCAGGACTTTGAGCTTTCCGCGATTGCAGACATGATAATCACACAGGGGTTATTGGGATCAACGGTCAAAGTCGACGGAAAGGACTCGGATCCATATGCTTTCTTGACGGTTCTGAATCTGCAAGAACATAATGTACGCCCCCAATCCTCGGTTTGAAATAGTGTTGCTGACCTGGATAGGATAAACCCGCCATTAAAACTTTGACGACATACCTGCAACGAAAAGCCAAGGCTAACCCATCCCTCGAACCCCTCGCCAACCTTCTCTCGCAAACTCCTATCCCGCCCATCGGTCTGATCCTTACCGAGCGTCTAATCAACATGCCCTCCGAAGTCGTTCCGCCGATGTATACCATGCTGCAGGAGGAGATCGCTTGGGCGATTGAAGAGAAGGAGCCGTACAACTTTACACACTATCTGATCGTCTCTAAGACATACGAGGAAATCGAGTCGAAACTGGATATGGAGGAGTCACGACCACAGAAGAAAAAGAAGAAGGCTGCGGGCGAGAAGGGAGAGCGGTTCTTCTTCCATCTCGAGGATGAAGTTCTCGAACGACATGCGCTATGCTCAGGCAGCTACGATTACACCCACAAGCACGATGACGGGCATTCCGACTCGAAACGCGCGTTCCAGGAGCTTGGTATCCGCACCGGTGGGAGCATGATCTTGATTGAGGCTGCCAAGTTCGAGGGTGCGGTCAAGGATATGGCAGCGTACCTGCAAGCCGCGTCATAATTGATGATCTGGTACGATTTATAGATTAATGTGGCCATGATAGAATAAAAAGTCATCTATTTTCCCGTCCATTTTATATTTACAAGTCGTCACGGCATAGCAGAGGGATTTCATCACTCCCATTGCGTGCCCTTCAAGCGCTGCATCAGATATTCTACCTCGACGACCTTGGTCAGAGGGATGACATATTCCTATCTCAATTAGCCAACATGGCCGAGCATGTTTGAAAGAAGGGAAGGTGAACGTACCTTGTACATAGCCTGGACAGCATGGACGTCAATCTTCGGCCCCGACTCATCAGGAAACCCAGGATCCGTCCCATACGTCTTCGCCTTGAGCGCCAACCGCTCAAGCACCTTCTGCTCAACCATCTTATTCGTAATGGCCTCGTCAATCCCCTCACGATCCCCTGCCTTGATAAGCTTCACAAACTTCTCCGTCTCCGTCTGGAACTTCGACTCGGCGACAAACTTCCCGAAATGAATCCGTCTCGACAGCGCCTGCAAACAACTCACGTCGCACGTCGCCGCAGACCCATAATTCTCCTGCGTCTCGCCGCGGTCCTCGCGCCCGCCGAACCGCGGACAGATTGCGGGGAGGATATCCTCGACGTACCGCTGCTTGATCGTCTCGTTGACATTGACGTCGTTGTCGTGCAGGATCTTGGGGTAGTTGAGCGGTTGCAGGATCGGTTCTTCGAGGGCGTCGGGGAAAAAGGGGTACTCGTCGGGGGATTGGAAGCGGCGCACACGCGATTGCAGACGTTCTTGTTCGCGGAGGAGGTAGTCCATTAGGCTGATGGTTTCGTTGGGGATTCTGACGCCGTTGGCTTGGTAGATTGTTTTGTTGAGTGGGAATTGTACGCGCTCGATTAGGTGGAAGGTTATTGTGTCTTCTAGGCGGCTGTTTTGTGTTCATTGTCAGTCAGTTCCCTTGTTTATTTCTTTTGGCGTTTGTTCGCTGGGAGGGATCTGATGCAGGGGTGCGTTGACTTCTGCGGGGTATAGAAAGCCATCTCCGATCTCGCTCGCGGACTCACATTAGTTGGAAGCGGATATTGGCCAGGTCCAGTGCCTTGGAGGCGTCAGAGAGATCAATTGCGGTGTCCATGGTGGATTGTGAAGCCAACTTCACCGAGTTCAAAGATGTTATGGAAAATTGGCGAGGATTGAGAAAGAGTCGGAGAGAAAGAATTGGGGACAAGCATCTCTGGCGGCGCTGCGGGGCGGATCTTGACCGACATAAATTCAGGAACGCTAAACCGAAATCCATTTATCCGCATACGCTGCTCCTGGGGATGCTGTGATGACAACCTTGGCATCCAATTAGAAAGCGACGTCGGCCTCCGGTTGGGAGAACTTGCAAGTCCTGCTTGAGTTTCTGCTTGGACTTCTTTTGGGCTCTGTTGTCTTCTCAGTGCGGGTTGAGTATACCATGGCCATACAGAGGCAAACCAGCGGAGTTATGAATGCAAACTGAGTTGTACTCTACTTAATGCTCTAAGCAGACTGCTTTGAAAGATGTCCTCCCTAGCTCTTGTGACACTTATGGGTTCTGTGCAACCCAGTCAGCGATGGCTGCACGACCCCGATCTCGAGTCCTTTGATACATACACTTACAGGGCCGCCAGACCTTTAGATCTCCAACTTGACCTACACTAAGACAAGCTTCAGATCAATATCTCCCCCGTTGACAATCGCCTGGGACCTGCCCAATTAATACTGATCACATTTTTAGGCCTACCATGACACGACACTAGTTCAGCCAAGACAGATGAGATGACTTTCCGCTTCCTCCTCACTTTTCGGGGGCAGCTGAGAGTTCCTCAGAAGTTTTCTGCTTTTCAAGCATGACACAGCTATTAAACTTGCCATTCGAGATAATACGACTCATAGTCGAGTGCCTACAGTCTAAACACGACATTAACGCGTTGATCCAAACCTGCCGCTTTCTCTATGACGCTTTTGACAGCCATCTGTATCAGTATGACATGAGATACGCCTCACGCTCGGCACTGAGATGGGCTGCCCGGTATGGCCACGATATTGTAGTGGCAAAGTCTCTGGCCGCAGGTCCGTATGTCGAGTTCACCGGCTTATTGAACGGGGCCACACCGTTGCTTCTGGCCACCAGATATGGCCATGCGGACATTGTCAAACGCTTACTGCTGCTGGCCGGCCGGATTGATCTAGAAGCCTGGGACACTTGGTCTGGCCGTACGGCCCTGGCAGAAGCGGCCGCGAGCGGCCAAGCAGAAATAGCCAAGCTACTACTGGAGAAGGGCGCCAATGTTGAAACCAAGGATCGGGATTCCTGCAGTCCTCTGTTGCTAGCCGTGGAGAACGGCCACTATGAGGTAGTGAGGATGTTACTCGACCACGGGGCGCCTGTGAACACCAGACACAAGCACTACCAAACGCCACTCTCACTGGCTGCTGAAAGGGGACACTTGAAGTGCGTTGATTTTCTGCTTCAGTATGGCGCAATGGTGGACTCCCAGGATGGGTATGGTAGGACTGGGCTGTTCCATGCGGCAAAGAACAGTTATGATGCGGTCGTTAAGCGATTGCTGGAGGCAGGCGCCGACCCTAATAAGCGGGCCAGCCGGGTTAATGGATGGACACCTTTGCATCAGGCGACCTGTAATTCGAATGTATCCGTGATCAGACTCTTGCTCGGGGCTGGGGCTGATCCGAGGGCCACTGACGAGCAGGGCCATATACCAGCGCACTTGGTGGACTCAAACGGGTCAGCTGGTTTTTCGCCATCTGAAAGTGAGGTCGTGCGTGACTTGCTCGTCAAGGCTGCTGCTGGAGAATGTTACCTGACGCTGTGAGCAAGGGCCTGATCGAGGAGATACTCCAGACATCATTATCGCAAAACGAGAACTTTGAGAAGGATTGTTATTGCTCTTTTCGAATTGTTTTGATCATGAAAGCGTTCTTGGGTGTTTAGAGTGTGGCTTCCGGGTACGCGCTGCGAACTCATATTTCGAAACACGATCCGATGCAAGAGATGCCTTTAATATCGATCGAAAATATTTTTCATCATTCTCTTGTAGGACAAGTTGAGGACAGATAAAACAGGAAATTGTAGCTGCGGGATGAGGCGGTAAAATCAGCGGCAAAACCAAGCAGCGAAGGAGGAATCCGGCGCCGCGGTAAATCGTCGCGTGCACCTCCAGAACTTCTCCCCAAGCAATCAGCTGCCAACAACCCCTTCCCTGTCGCCTCTCTCCCCGTATGGAACTTGAGAACTAGAGCTATCTCTGGTCGGTGCCATGGACAAGCACCCCCGCGATGAATCTCCATCCGGTCTATCAGATATTGTCGAGCGTGACGGCCTCTTGGGGACCGGCATCACCGTATTTCCCCTCTCCTCGCCACCGACTGCTCCAACCAAAGCTAACTGATGCATCGCGATAGACTCGTCATATCGAGGCCTTTGGGAGAAAAGTCACATCAACTGCTGGGCACTTGATGGGGCCGTCCGGCGATACAACCACAAACACCCACTATCACAACGCTATGGTGGACATCCACCGCGAGCTCCGGCGCCCCGATACACAGCGCAGAGTATTTGCCCTCACACAGACTACGCCGACCGACCTTGTTCGCTCCAAGCTGTCGACATCCGAAATCCAGTCGCGCGCCCTCTCGTCGCTTCCCGATGAGCTCCTTGCAAACATACCCGAAGACTCCAGCACCTACTCGCTGTTCCAGGGCTTCCAGGCTACCCAGGATGACCAAGAATACAGAAAGACCCATCGCCGGGGGAGGTCAAAGAGCAAGAAGCTGCTAAAAGAGAAGGGTGCCAGTGCCGAGCAGGCTCTTCCGTCCACGTCGAGCGACCTGAAGAAGGAGCGGGATCTGCTGAACCGGCGGATGGAGCTGATGGGGGTTCGCAAGAATATGTGCAGCTCGGAGATTCTTGACATTGACAATAAGATTGCGAATTTTCATCGGATGCGCCAGATTGTGTTGGATCGGCTGGCGGGCTTGGAGATGGAGGAGGCGGAGCTAGAACATGAGGGTGGGTACCTCGTTGTTATATTGTGATGTGTCGCTGATTGTGATAGTCACTGAGATCGAGAATAAATTGGAGGATATGCAAGAGGAAGAGGCGCAGAACCAACCTGTCGCCACACCAGGCTCGTCCGAGGCCAACGATGACTCTCTCGTTTCGGAAGACCCGGCTATGGATGCAAGCTTCATGTCGGAATCAATATATCAGAAGCTACCTTCACCGCGCAGCCTGAAGCATCGCTCGATACGTGCGTTGATCTTCTTGACATTTAGATTGACTAGCTAACCAGAAATAGGGAAACGGTCTATGCCGGTACTACATGAGCACTTTGCGCCCGGCTCGGAAATCAAGGAAATGCAGGCGCACAACGATGTCGTAACGGCGATCGACTTTGACTACCCGTTTGGAACCATGATCACAGCAGCTCTAGATGACACAGTCCGAGTTTGGGATCTTAATGTCGGCCGGTGTACAGGCTTCTTGGAGGGACACAACGCCTCTGTTCGGTGTCTCCAGATTGAAGATAATATCGTTGCGACAGGCTCTATGGATGCTTCGGTCAAGCTATGGGATTTGAGCCGTGCTAGATCGGGTCATAAAGATAACCGTCTCAACAAGGGAGAGGAGGACGATGCTGCCACCACGACTAGTCTGGAAGACTGCTTTGTTTTCTCCTTGGACGCCCACGTTGACGAGGTGACGGCACTTCATTTCAAGGGCGATACGTTGGTATCAGGGTCTGCCGACAAGACGCTGCGACAATGGGACTTAGTCAAAGGGCGCTGTGTACAAACCCTGGATGTGCTATGGGCAGCTGCGCAAGCATCATCGCTAGGGAGTGACTCGCAATGGCGACCGTCAGGACGCATGCCAGACGCTTCTGCAGACTTTGTTGGAGCCGTGCAGTGCTTTGATGCAGCTTTGGCGTGCGGTACCGCTGATGGTATGGTGCGACTATGGGATCTTCGTAGCGGTCAGGTTCATCGAAGCCTCGTGGGCCACACCGGTCCTGTGTCATGTCTGCAGTTTGACGACGTACATCTAGTAACGGGCAGTCTCGACCGCAGTGTCAGAGTACGTTACCACTCCCTTTCTTACCTATGATATAGCTAACTGGTGCAGATATGGGATCTCCGGATGGGCTCGATATACGACGCATATGGCTACGACAAGCCAATCACTAGCATGATGTTCGACACGAAGCGGATCGTCGCCGCGGCAGGAGAGAGCGTGGTCAAAGTCTACGACAAAGCCGACGGCAACCACTGGGACTGCGGTGCCGGAGTTGGTGCCGACGAGACAGGACCCGGCCCTGCTATTGTCGAGCGCGTGCGAATCAAGGACGGATTCCTCATCGAGGGTCGTAGGGATGGAGTGGTCGCGGCTTGGACCTGCTGAACCAAGCGTATATGAAGCCGACCGATGTCATGCAACTTCACAAGGTCGGTCACGTACATGTCGATTGTCTGCGCATCTGTATATTACATTTTATTTTTGGAGTACAATAGAAGGAAGGGTGGTTGTCCCTACGGTCGGACTGTCGTCGTTTCTCGAGTTATTTCCTGGGGGTGGAATAAGACAAAGATAAGTGTGATAAAGGTCGTCCAAAACCAGGAGTAAAGATTGTAAAAAGAGATGAAGGGATAAAGGGTTCAAGTTTCAAGGAAGAATCGCCGTCAATCGGAGACGGGCTCTTTGTATGTTTTATCCTCGATCTGAGACCCAAACTGTACCAAATTGCTTAGTGGTACCAGTCATCCATGATACCCTAGGGAATTTGCTCATTCTGCAGACTTGGCTATCCTCGTGGCTCCCAAGGCTTTTGATGCCGAGCCTCAGTCGCGCTTTTCCTAATCGGGTATACGTGTTTCCCCATACATTTCACTTTTATGATTTCATCATCTCCAATCGCGACCACGATATCAAATCCAGCACCCATCGACTTTGAATTACAGATCAACGCGTCTCCTCCGCTGCGCGATGAGGAGCTCTCCCTACTATCAGCTTTACGGTCGCTAATTGTATGCTGTTCTGGCCTGGCGCGTCGACCTCGCGCGTGCCGTGTCCATCCCACTTGCGACAAGAGACTCTTCTTTCACGGACCACACCACCAATTGGGTCGGCAATCTGTTCTATCCTTGGGTGACTGGGTTTGTTTCTCGACTTTTTGTTCTTCGATCGAAGAACAAAGCACCTGAAGTGGTGGCGGCTGCCTTGTCTGGCTTTGCGCTTCTTTCACGTCTTGTCCGCCATTGACATCGGTGTTACTCTTTACGCATAACTATTCGAATATCCTTCGACGCATCCCACTTTTATTCTCTAAACTTCGACACTTGATTCACACACCACTATTCACTCGAAAACTGCTTCTACTACATTGACCATTTCACGGTAGGTGACTTGCTGACAGTCTACCGCTTGCACTAACGCCGATGCAGATACATCAACATAAATGCCACCCAAAAGAGCTGCCACCCCAAAGCGGGCAAAAAGCTCGCCGCGGGCCGGCTCTGTAAAGCCTAGCCCAAACCTGGGAGTTGGTGCGCTCCCACATATCCCCACCAAGCACTCATTCGCCTATGGCTCCTCCGCGACGCCCATTCTCCCTCACATGCTGGCGCCGAAGCCGCTGATGAGCCTGGATGAAATGGCCAACAACATCGAAGATGCCGTGCAAACGGCCAAGGAGCGAGAGATTAACGAAATGAATGACAACATGAGTGTCAGCACACGCTCGCGCTCGCGCTCGCGTCTGCGCAACTCATCGGAATTTTCTACGCCGCCGCGAAGACTTCGACGGGAGCCGACGCCTGACGAGACACAGCTGCATCAGTCTCTCGAGCAGGCTTCTAGCATCTCGAGCCGGATGTCGTCGCTTACCCCTGTTCCTCCGTCACGCCACAGCTTCTCTTCGGTTTCGAGTGTAGAGGTGCCTCGAGGGCCCACCGCGAACGAACTCTATCCTGAGGCAATGCACCGACAGCAGACGCCTGAAATGCCCATGACTCCGAATAATCCCTTGGAGTCTTCTCTTGGTGACTCGTCTGCCATATCATATAACATCGAAAGGAACATTGTCGATGAGAACCTCACGCGGACGCGGACCAACATCACCGCCCCCCCTCGACGCTTGAAAAAGGGTCGAATGCCGTTTGCGCATATTGAGGAAGAAGACGAGTCCTCGCCATCGCCCGTTGCACCTTCTTCCGAATCAGGTTCGATATTCAGTGGGCCTATTCGAAACTTGATTCCTCACCGCTCGTTGATAAATTCGTCGCCACCTAGATCGAGCTCAGAGAAGAGTACTGAAACACGTGGCAAATGGCAGACATTGCTGTCATGGCTGCCACGAGACGGCATCTTTCCCTGGATTCTGCGAGCGCTCCTTTTCGTGTTGGTGCTCTCAGCGCTATACATGATTTCAGACTCCGATCGAAACACTCCAACAACGGGCCTTGTAGACAGCTCAGGCCTGAAATTGCTGTCCAAGCAGGTGAACAATTTAGGATCACAGGTGTCCTCGCTGTCCAAAGACTTGAGATCGATGAAGACGGAGGTCCGCAAGATCCCTGCGCCAACGACGATATACCAGTACCCCAAAGGCTATGGCGCTGGAAGTACAGACGTGGTCAAGTACTCCAAGACGAATTTCCTCTCAATCGGTGCCGGTGTGCTCATCGACCCGTACATGACCAGCCCCACGGCCGAACCCAAATACAATATCATACAAAAAGCCTATCTATACCTGACGAAGCACGAGCACTACCACCAGCAACCGCCGCGTGCGGCCTTGACTCCTTGGGAGGACTATGGCGACTGCTGGTGCAGCGCCCCGCGCCAGGGTATGTCGCAGCTTGCGGTCATCTTGAGTCGGCGCATCCTCCCCGAAGAAGTCGTCGTCGAGCACATGCCCAAGGCAGCGACTTTGCGACCCGAAGTGGCCCCACAGAACATGGAGCTCTGGGTGCGGTATCGCTACGTCGGCAAGGGCTCGCGTCCGTACAAATGGTCTGTCAGTTCGTTCCTGCGCGGTAATCCGAAGACCATTGCCGGACAGGACGCTCTCAAGTCGGACAGGAAGATCCTGCGCGGGCCCGTCCTGGACGCCCTGCGACTGGCATGGCGCGACGAGCCGGATAGTTCGTTTTCCGACGATCCGTACCTCGGTCCGGACTTTTACAAGGTCGGGACGTGGATGTACGATATCAACGACATGCAGCATATCCAGAGGTTCCCGCTGACCGCAATCATCGACTCGGACGACGTCCGCGTGGACAAGGTTGTGTTCCGCGTAAACTCGAACTGGGGAGGAAACGAGACTTGCATTTACCGGGTGAAGCTGCACGGAAGGCTGTAACCCATGTCGTCCTTTTGAATCGACCTTCTGACCAAGTGAGCCGCCGAGCAGCCAGGAGCATGCCACGGCCACGCGGTCCCGACAAGAAAAGTGCAGCGTCGCCCGGGCTAGACATGCACTTTAGCTAGCTCATACGGGCAGATGATGCGCAATCATTTTAGGAGTTTGCAGTTCACGCTTTGCAGTTTACAACTATGGTTCTGGCGGGAGTTGAGGGCGTTGCGGCGAACACGATATCCCGGATCTGATGGGTTGGTTTGGCCTTTGATCTGTGTCTTTTTGCATATGCTACGTACATAGTGTACATAGACTTGGTATTGCTTATTAGTGCATTGAACATTATATTCTACGCCATCTGTAAGAACTAAGAAAGCGTATATCCGAATTGAAACCCATATATATATAACCAAGGTATATTCCCAACCCACCGGTAAGCCCCCCCCATCAAATGAATAGAAACAAAAGAGAGTAAATAGAGAACGTCAAGCCGAATCAAACTCCGGATTCACCCACCCCGGCATCCCCCCTCGCGCCCTCAGCCTCGCCCCGAACTTCCAGAGCCCCGCAAACAGCGCCGTCCCCGCTACAAACACGATGAGCGCCTGGGCCGTGAACGTCCACGTCCACCCTGCGGAGGCTTGCCAGGGGGATATGAAGAACTACCCGCCACAAATTTTAGCCGTTGTTCCTACTCTGATATGTTTTTGGGAGATGGAGGAGCTGGGGATTATAGATGGGGAAACGAGGAAGGGAGGACGACATACCGGATTCACAAACGCAGACAGATTCAGGAACACCGCGTAGAAGATCACCACGGCTGTTGATTGGAGCGGGTAGCTGTCGATGATGTAGGAGCTCGTGACTGTGTTGCCGATTTGGATTCCTGCGCCGACTGTTGCACATATCATGTTAGCAAAGGCCACACTACACAGAACCCTGATGATGAGTAGTAAACTGAGAAAAGGTAGGTGAGGTAGGGAGAAGGACAGAGAAAAAAAGAAGTCAGGAAAGGGAGACATACACAGAAACAACCCCACCTGGCCCGTAACCCAATGCCAATTCCTCTGCACACTAACCCCCCAAACCACCAGCCCGACGCCGGTGAGTACAATCGCCGGAAACGCCAACGGCAGCCTCATCTCCGCAACGCGCACCCCGCCATTCCGTTTCGCAAGCCGCCTCACAATCGCATCACTCAGTCTCCCCGAACAAAACACCTCGCTGAGAATCGTCCCCAGGAATAATCCCAGGAATAACAGGCCTTGGATTAGGGGTGTGTAGCTTGGGTATGCGGCGGGGATCATGGTTATCACGGATAACACCCACCAGTACCACAGGAAGGAGTAGCCCAACACGGCGAGGGGGATTATTGGGAGGGTGAATGTTGAGACGAAGCGGGTTAGGGTTGTGTAGAGGGGTGCGTGGGAGAGGCCGGGGATTGGGGCCGTGTTGAAGAGAGGGAGGGATTTTGTGCGGGGAATCGAGGGGATATTGCTGGAATCTGCTTCTGCGGAGACTGAGGGAGAAGTGCTAGGAACTGGAGGTGTATGTGCCGACTTCTCAGTTTGCCCCTCGAGATCCGTACTCGACGGAGACGCCGCTGTAGACGTAGCACCCTTGGGCATCCGCGCAAGCATCAGCGTCCGCGGATACAGCGTCTCTGGCATGAAGAAGATCTCGAGGATGAGCAGGGAGCCGAAGAGGATGGCATTGAACCAGTTGATCCAGGCTGCGCTGACGAGGTTGAGGAAGCCGCCGACTGTCTCACTTGCATTAGCACATGCACGAGTCATTCAGGATGGTAGTTGGAAGACACTCGGGTTGGGAAACGTACAGGTTGGACCGAGAAGGAGACCTGAGTCAATAGCGAGAACCCATAGCCCCAGCTTCTCGCCGCGCTCGTAGTCGAAGAAGAGGTCGTTTACTGTTAGAGTAGGGTTAGCCACCGCCTACTCTCTAGATCTCACATATTCAGATCAACTCTAGGCAAAGAAAGAAGACTTACCGACCGCCATCCCAACACTACTCGCTGGCGCAACGCCAAACCCCTGAAAGAACCTCGCGGCCATATACCCAGCATACCCATCAGCAACAGCAGCACCGATGGTGGCAACGAGGGCGATGAGAGTTCCGACAAGGAAGACAATACGCCGTCCGTAGACATCGCTCAGCGAGGACCAGACGAGGGGTCCGACGGAGAGGCCCAGTGCCGGGATCGCGACGGTCCAGTTGACCTGCGAGTAGCTGATGCCGAATTGCGATTGGATCTCGGGGAAGGAGGGGACGGTTGTTGTTGTTAGGTAGGTGAAGAGGAAGTATCTAGGGTGCCTTGTTAGACATCTTTGCTCTTGTCAAAGATAGACGGAGAAGGTGGATGTGTGGTGGTGTTTGTGCTGTAGTAGATGCGTAGGTTAGGTTAGGGTAAAAGTATGAGGACATACTTGAACATGACAATCCCCAGAATCCCATTCTTCTGCAACCGTGACCAATTCAGCGGGTCCAGCGGATCAGAGGTTGGCTGGGGGTGTACGCGGATGCCATCCTGCTCAACAGGGTCAACGTTGATACCCGGTGGTTTTTCCTGGACGGTATTGTCCCTGTCCATGTCCATTAATTTTGGCTTCTTGTCTGATTTCTCCATGGCGAATGAACTCGACTGGGGATAAATATGAAATTATATAGGCAGGCATTTTGCGGCGTTGAAGGTAATCTAAAACAGAGACGTCGAATCGCGACGCAAGGCGATATCTCTTATCAAGGGCGAAAAGGAGCAGGATTCCTGAGCTGATCTGGGGTGCACAAGTTACTAGCAGCGCATAAAGAAGCAATTATTGGATGTGCAAGGAATAGATAAGATCGGGGTATTATTCATGTATTTATTAATGATATTTTCGGGGCAAGTATACAAGAAGGATATACTTCGTCAGTTCCATCGCATGTGCAGCACTCGACACTACTGCGGACAGCCATCGACATGCTCCTCCTCATCCTCTTCGCCCTCCTCAAAACCTCCGCGGCAAAACTGCTACTCACGCTGCTAATCACGTCAATTGCCATTATTCACCAGATGATAATGATTATCATCAACGAGGGCTGACTGGTACATATCTCTATCTCCGCCATTGTCCCATTCTCCTCGTTTTCGTCTGGTTTGCTCATACTTCGTTTCAGACTCGCAACCAGTCTATCCCCGTTCGGGTCAATAGATTGAGAACTGATAAGCATCGCCGATGGAGCGCCGATGAGACCTGCGGGGATCGCCCACTTGTCACTTGCCTAAACTGGTCACGGTCGTGCAGTCTGGACCCGCCACTAGTCATGCATGGAGATGGATCGCGGTGGGGACACGATGGTCGGAGGATCGAGGAGAATCGGGTCTGAACTGGAGGTGTTGGCAGTGGATTTGAATGTTAGGGCACGAATTACGAATGTATGCATGTTAGCGTTGCTGGCAGGTTGAGGACCTGCGTAGATAGAGTATATACTAGACATTCTGTCTCGCTTTTCATACTTCGTCTCAATTACAACCAGATCAACGAAATGCCCGTTTCCATCCCTCGCCGTGGCTCGCCCGAGCCCACCGAGTATACGTCTCTCCTCCCCAAGCCAGACATCGACGACCCTCCCGAGTTCATCGAACAAGATGAGCACGACAGCAGAAAGGCCATCCTCGCTGAATTCTGGCTCCTCCTCAAGAGTGCCATCCCAGTGATCCTGGCCTACACCCTCCAAAACAGCCTCCAGACAGCGACTGTCCTGATCGTCGGCCGAATCTCGCCAGAACATCTCGCCACCAGCGCCTTTTCGCTCATGTTTGCCATGATCACCGCGTGGATGATTGCCCTCGGCGGGACGACGGCCGTCGATACGCTGGCCTCGTCGTCTTTCACGGGCAGTGCGAATAAACATGACCTGGGGATTTTGTTACAGCGGGGATTCTTCGTCCTCGGCCTGTTCTATATCCCCGTTGCCATTCTCTGGGCCTGCGCCGAGCCGGTCTTTCTCTTCCTCGGACAGGATCCGCAGCTCTCACGAGACAGCGCGCGCTTTCTTACCTGTTTGATCCCCGGTGGATTGGGGTACATTTACTTTGAGCTCATGAAGAAATACCTCCAGGCCCAAGGTACCTCACCGCCACCCTACCCTTTGCGTCGTGCAACCGCTAATCGTGTAGGAATCATGCGCCCCGGCACATACGTCCTCCTACTCACCTCCCCCCTCAACGTAGCCCTCACGCACCTCTTCGTCCACACACTAGACCTCTCCCTCCTCGGCGCCCCCCTCGCCCTGGGAATCTCCTACTGGACCTCCTTCCTCCTTTTGGTCACCTACACACGCTTCATCGCCGGCTCCGCCTGCTGGGGCGGGTGGACTCGCGAATCCCTCACCAACCTACCCACGTTCGCCCGCCTCGCCCTAGCGGGAATCATCCACGTCGGCACCGAATGGTGGGCCTTTGAAATCGTCGCCCTCGCCGCCGGCCGCCTGGGAACCATCCCGCTCGCCGCGCAGAGCGTCATCATGACCGCCGACCAGGTCCTCAACACCATCCCCTTTGGAATTGGGGTTGCGACCTCTGCGCGTGTGGGGAATCTACTCGGGGCCCGTGACGCACGAGGTGCATCCCGCGCAGCAAATGTCGCTGCTGTACTAAGCATGGTCGCCGGCGGGGTCGTCCTTGCTGTGCTAATGGCCACCCGAGAGCACTTTGCGAAACTTTTCAACTCGGACCCGCGCGTCGTAACTCTAACAGCCGACGTCCTCCCCTTCGTCGCGCTCTTCCAGATCGCGGACGGACTCAATGGAAGCTGTGGGGGTAGTCTCCGTGGCATGGGCCGGCAGCATGTCGGTGCGCTGGTGAACCTGGTCAGCTACTACGGCGGGGCACTGCCGTTGGGGATCTGGATGGCGTTTCATGGGTGGGGGCTGAAGGGCCTGTGGGTGGGACAGTGTATTGCGCTGTATCTTGTGGGGGCACTCGAGTGGGTGATTGTGGCAAGGAGTGATTGGGGGAGGGAGGTTGAGAAGGCCTTTCTGAGGATGGATGAGGAGGAGAGGGTTGAGGAGGGGGGATTGCATTGATTGATTGCAAGAAGAGAAAAGTGTATGTATGGCGCCACGACAGCGAGACAGACTTCCATAGTATGGCGATGACGGAGAAGGAAGGCGAATGGAGAATGATGAGATGGAGATGGAGAATGTTCACACATGAATTTCCACGGTTTCGATTTGTACATACCCCGGACCTTATCGCATTTGCTCAAGATAAGCAAAATTCCACTCTAATTGGTGCGATAAGCAGGGATCGCTCGCAGGACCCGGCGTCTCGGCACCAGCTCAGCACTAAAATCAAGAGTAACACTAGCACTGCGTACATACTAAGTTAGGGAGAGAACAATTAAGGCTTCTCCTCCGGCCTTCCTCTTTCGTCCACATATACATTGAGCCCTCCCCAGACCTCAACGTCAATCATCAATACAGCCGTTATCTCTGCATAGTCGAGAGTGAGACTCCTCGGAGAATTATCCTGTGCCATACATACTCCATACTCCATACTCCATACTATCTGCCGTTGGATCCACGCGTTTCTCCCCTCATTGCTCTTATTTGGGTACTATGGCGAGAATCTAGAAGCCATGGGTCCTGTGGAGATGCAGCTGCCTCGGCGCCTCAGCGCGGATCATGCCAACTCTGATTATTGACTCGATGAAGAAGGTCGGAGGAGAAACCATGTTACTTGATGATGATGCCAGAGACAAGCAAGCTCAGACAAACCGTGGACAGTGATATCCGTCTGATAATGGGATTAGCCAACTACAGGTTCTGGCATGCTTGTCTGTAGAGATGACTTACATATAAACCCCTCACTCGCCTCTACGATAGCCCGTCTACCACTGCCTCTTGTCCATCCTGTCTCTGTCAGTCAGCATGTTCACCTCAACCGTCACCCTCCTCGCCCTCTCGGCGGTCGCCTCTGCCCACGGTAACCACCAGACCCCCCTCACCGGACCCCTCCAGAAGCTCTGGTACAACACTCTGCCCGGTGACGGCGGTACCCAGGTACACACACTCTCTCTCCCACTCTCTTTCCCTCCCCTCCCCATCTCATCACAATCCATCTCTAACAATTCTTCTCAAATAACAGGCAGACTCCGTCTTCTCGGGAATCTCCACCTTCGGCCGTCTCCCATACTACCCGTGCCTCGCCAGTGAAGACGAGAAATTCGACATCGCCTTCATCGGCGCCCCCTTTGACACGGGCACCTCGTACAGACCGGGTGCGCGGTTCGGGCCCAGTGGTATCAGGCAAGGTTCTCGCCGCCTTAATCTCTAGTACGTTGTTATACATATGTGTCTGAGGCTTACGAGAAGTTTGTGAATGGACGAAGGCTCACGGAAGTTGGGGTTTAGCGGTGGGTATAATGTGCCCCTCGAGGCGAATCCATTTTCGAGTGAACTGAGGGTGCTGGATTGTGGGGATATTCCAGTTACTTCGTATGTATACCCTACCTCCTATACTTGTCCTACTCGAGAGTTGGGCAGTGATACTAAAAAAAGGCGGCTAGCTACGACAACGCCTACGCAATCCAACAAATCGAGCATGGCCATAACGCCCTCCTAATGCGCCAACCCTACACATCCGCCTCTTCCCCCGGCCTCTCACGCGCAGGCAAAACCCTGCCCCGCGTAATAACCCTAGGCGGCGACCACACAATCACCCTCCCGCTCCTGCGCAGCATAAACAAAGCCTACGGCCCCGTCACAGTCATCCACTTCGACAGCCACCTGGACACATGGAAGCCCAAGGTATTCGGCGGCTCGCCGAGCGAGGTTGCGTCGGTGAACCATGGCACGTACTTTTACCATGCGGCTATGGAGGGACTCCTGCGGAATGATACGAATATCCATGCGGGCATTCGAACGACGCTTTCGGGGCCGAGTGATTATGAGAATGATGGATATGTCGGGTTTGAGATTGTGGAGGCGAGGGAGATTGATACGATTGGTATGTTGACCCCATATCTTGGTTGAAGAGATGTTGAACCGGACTGGGCATGGTACTGGGTATAGGGATGGTGATACTGACTGGGTATGTGTAGGAACGGAAGGAATAATCAAACGCATCCGCGAGCGCGTCGGCACTGAGAACCCCATCTACCTCTCCATCGACATCGACACCATCGATCCTGCCTGTGAGGCTCCTCCCTTACCCCAGTTCCCCCACCTCCACCCTCCCAAAATAGTTACTAACAATGGAAACGTTAGTCGCCCCTGCAACCGGAACCCCCGAAACAGGCGGGTGGTCGACCCGTGAAATCCGGACCATCATCCGCGGCCTGGACGGGCTGAACTTTATCGGCGCCGACATCGTCGAGGTTGCGCCTGCGTACGATACGAATGCGGAGCTGACGACCATGGCTGCTGCCGATGTCCTCTATGAGGTGTTGACTATTATGGTTAAGAATGGGCCGTTGACTGTTGAGGGTTCTCAGAGGGGGGATTTGTGAAAGGCTTCAAGGGGAATCATATTATATTTGTCTGAGGGTGATTGACTTGGAGAGGGAACTGGGGAGGTCATTACTGCTTTACCGCTAGGTTGATAGCTATGCTGATATATGATTTTTGCGTTGAATTCGTCCGTGATTCTATTATGTACCCCCCATAAGCCATCCATAAACTACCACACCTATATAAAAACATAAATAAAGAGAAGAACCGAGCGGGGAATCATATATAATTCTCCCCCGGCAACTCCGGAAGCCCAATCGTAATCGTGCTCTGCCTGCCACCAGTACTAGTAGTATTATCCGGCTGTCCAACCCTCCTCGTCGACCACATGCTCCGTTTCCCAGGCCCCGTCCCCTCGCCGAGTCCCGGCCCCCGTCTCCCTCGTTCCCGTTCGATACCTAGCCCCCGTGCGGCGGGGCGTGGGCGGGCGTTGGGTCTAGGAATTACGGTTATTGTTGTGTTTGCTCGCGTTACTCCATTCGTATTTCCAATTCCCATTCCTGAATTAGGATCAGGAGCTGAAGTAGGAGAGGTGGACTCCGGCGCAGCATCAACCTCCCACGGCGGGAGGACAACAGGCTTCGCGACCTTTTGCGAGAGCTCCGAGGGGACGGGGTTCCGAGACGGGATTTGCTCGGCTAGGCCCTGCCCCGGGTTCGAGTTTGGAGACACGGAGAATGGAGGCGGATAAAGTCCCAACCCCATGCCCTGATGAGGATGCGCATGGTGCGCTAAGCCCGGCATCGACAGCGACATTTCCGGAGGAGGAGGGATAGACGGATGATGTTGGTGATGCTGCTGCTGGGCGTGCTGAGATGAAGCGTATTTCCTCCTTGCGCTGCGAACTTGGAAGTATGCTAGTATTGCAAGGAGGGAGATTAACGGGGCGCCGATTCCGGCGCCGAGGCCCAGGGCGATTTTGCCGGTTGATGTTAAACTTGTTTCTGGGGTGTTTGTTGTTTCAGAGCGTTGGTCTGTGGAAGTTTCTTCGCTTGTTCCTGTATTTGTTTCTGTGTTGGGTTGTGTAGAGGCGGTAGTGGAAGAAGAGGAGATATTGAACATCCCCGAAACAAAGCCTGTACTGGGCCAATCTTCATAATCTAACTTGGAGTTAGAATTAGAATTCGAGCTGGCGACGGCGTCTGTGTATGCATCTATTGAGAGAAAAAATGTAGATGGCTTCTCGAGGTCAAGCGCGTAGGTCTGCACGATCCAGGAAATATTCGATAGCGTTGAAGTAGATGATGTTTTTGCTGTATCCTCAGTTCGTTAGTATGCGCCTTTGATTTTTGCACAGAGCTCCTAAGCTTCGACGAGAAACATGCGGACTGGGATAAGAGGGCGCGTACAGAAAATATTTCCCCCACTCCTGACCCCCGAGGTACCATTACCCCCTCGAGAGAGATCGCGCTGCCAGAGAGTAACATTGAATACATCGAGCGTCGTAATCCATGAGACCTCAACAACGTCGCCGACTTCGTATAACGTTGCTGAATCCGAGTCGGAGTCCGGGTTCGCGCTTCCAGGACTCGTAAAGTAGTTCTCGTCGCGCGAGAGTTTTATACTCGTATGTGTATTTGAACGGGCAATTGGGTCAAGGTCCGGATTTCCGAAAGCGACGGCGAATACACCCTGAATTGTGATGAGGATTGAAATCCAGATGGATATGATGGGTAGCATCTGGCATGTCGTTCAGGTGTGCATTGTTGAAAAAAGAGGGAGAGAGAGATTAAGCGCGGAAGCCATGTTATACAAGTACCTATTGAGAGACGCTAGATGCGATCATGTTTCAGACCAGGGGCGGACCATTGAGAGGGCTCTGCTAGGCGCTGTTGGTTGTAGAGCCCAAAAATGGCAGTTGTCGTGATGCTCGTGTTTCACTTAAGCGCTGTGTTGCCGCAGCCCTGAGTCTACGGCCAAGGTCTCGCCCCACTCCAAATTATATGGATGTCGCCGCCTTGAGTCGAATCGGTCGCTTTGCCATTTGCCGCGCTTCGATGTCACAGTGAGCAGTATTATACAATCAGGAACCACCTCACAATCAGCGCAATTGCAACTGAAAACAGTGCCGACAGCAGCCCAAGGAGAGTAAGTGCTTGCTGAAACCCGTCAAACGGCCGCCTCTCGCTGCTCAGCATATCGCCTATCTCTTCCTCTAGCTTTTCACCCATCGCTCGCAGAGAGAATTCGCTCTCGACTCGCTTACGGGCTAGCTCCGACATTCGTTTTAGGTCTTTCTCGCTCAATTGATAGAGCACCTTGTCCAGAACGGTCGTCCACTGCGAATCATCCGTGGCGTCGCGGAGCCAGCCGGTTTCGCCTTCGACGATCGTCTCGAGTGGACCACCAGTGTTTGATGCAAGGACCGGTATTCCTGCGCGCATGGCTTCGATGGGTACGATGCCGAAGTGTTCGTTTATAGGAGTGTAAAGGAGGAGGCGCGCTTGAGAGAGAAGGATATCGCGGAACGCGCTCGGCACGGACGGGAGGAAGAGGACGTCTATTGAGTCGGGAATGGAGAGGGCAGAGGGGACGGTTTTCGACGTGGCTGTTTCGAGCCCTAAGCTTGTCGCGAGGTTATCGAGTTCTCGGTGGTATTGAACGTTTTCCTGAACGCGATTGTCGTAGCCGCCTGATCTGTTAGCACAGTACGAAAGAATTATGGATGTACATACCGGCAATGACCAATCTCGTTCCTTGTCTCTTCGCCTCTCCGAGTCCGTGATACGCGCGAATCGCCAGGGCGAGATCCTTCTTTCGCTCAAACCGGTTCACGCTCAGCAAGATCTTTTTCCCGCCCCATAGATTTCCATCTGCTTCGCCAACTTTCTGCGTCGTGTCGACACACGGATAAACAACCTTTACATCTCCCAGCTTCTCTCCTCCAAAGGTATCCTTGACAACACCTCTTGTAAACTTCGAGTTCGCGACGACCCGGTCCGACGCACTCATAGCCCATCCTTCAAACCAGTCGAACGGATACCGGTATAACGTCTTCACTGTCGTAAGCAGACTCGAACCCTCATCTCGTCTCGCAAGCAGTTGGTCGGGGAAGTGGCAGTAAAAGAGAATCCTCTGCTTCCCATTCTCGTGGTGTTGCCGTGGCCCAAACACTTTCAAGAGAGGAACGCAGGCCGGAACCTGATCAACAATAAACACCTCCTCAGTGTCCCCTCCTTTTGTTTGCGCCAACTCGCCCAACAAACTCCAGGTCAAATGGACCTGCCTCAACACCGCGAACAAAACGTGGAACCGACCTCCAATATGCACAGGAAATATCGTATCTCCTCGCACCCTCACATCTAATGTTCCGTCCCTCGCCTCCTCGAAGCAATGCGACTTATCTCGGTGCGAGGTGTAGATGGTGACCTTGTGTCCGTTGCTCTGGAGGGCGAGCGCAAGATCGATGATTAGACGTTCCGCGCCGCCAATTCCCAGATCCGGGTGGATTATCGTCACGCTCGCAGGGTTCGCTAAGGGGTCCGGCATCGTGGGAAGGAGGACTGGTCAACTGCTAGTCGTGAGCAAGCTCTGGGTTGTGTCCGTGTGACACGGAGGAGCGAGCTTATCGGAAAGTTGTCCAGAGTAGCGGAGGTCATGTGACAGCTAGCCTTATCGCTAGCTCAGGTGGGGTACAACCAAGATTAGCATCCACGTGAGCCAAGCTTTATCTATTACAGCCAACGCCTTCCGAATACAAACTCTAAACTGGAGCTTTGCCGCTGCGTGCATACTTGATCCTGGACCAGGTCTTGGGCTTGATCCATGTGCCCCTGGCGAGATAGCCCTCTCGCGTCTCTCTTCCAAAGGAACAAAGCGGGAAGCGAGATCATGATCCATGGCTGTATCGGGAAAGGAGAAATCTTAATGACAAACATACAATGACTTGAGGTTATTAAGGCAGCCCCAGGATCAAGACATGGCGAGGGGATATTGCTGCTCAATGTTTTACTCTCCCCCTCTCTACTACTACGCAATCCAGCCGTCCAACGCGTCTGGTTAGAGCAAAACGCTATAGTCAGAGACAAAAGGCCTGCAGCTTCACTGACCTCTCAATGACCACCAACTCACAACTCAATCTCTGTCTTTGTGCTTTTCATTACACCAGCGATTTCAGACCAATCTCAGCTCCTTCTTGCTTTGCAGCCTCAATGCTAGCCAGATACTGATTCGTGAACCCACGAGCGAGAGATCACTAAAGTCTCACTTTTGTGCTTGTTATTACTCTATCTTTTGAGTGGATCCGAGAGCTCACTTTCTTCATTTACTCGGATACATTCACTTCACCCTCCTCGACCAACACCATCCTTCCAGCTTGGCTCTTCTTCATCTTCATCTTGATTACTCGAGTCCTCTTGTGTCATCATGCGTCCCTCATCTCACTCGAACAAGGCAACCTCAGACATCGGCTAGTAAAGTCCTTCAAGTTTTAGACTTTACCTCTTCTCATTTCGCTTCGAGCTTTGCATTTCATTTGAGTAACACAATCTCAGTCAACCTCTCCAACCAGAACCCTGGATTTCATTCCTCCCGTCTTTGATTTTATCTTACCTCCTTCTCTACTTGTCATCTACTGGTTGGCAATCTACTCAAGTCTCGGCACCATGGCAGCAGTAACTCATGAAGTCACGCCTGAGGGCAACGCCATCCTGGTGGTCAAAAACCCCAATGCACCATTCGCCCCTTGCCATACAAAGTCTGCAGCCCCTGGCGAGAGCGCCGACGCCATCGATAATAAAAATCCCAGCCAGGAAGTCCGCATTCGTGTCTCCTCTGCCCACCTGAAGCTCGCGTCTCCGGTCTTCAAGAAAGCGTTATCTGGAGAGTGGAAAGAAGCCGCAACTCTGAAAGACTCCGGGTCTGTGGCGATTGAAACCAGCGAATGGGATGTTGATGCGCTACTCTTGCTCATGCGCATTTTCCACTGCCAGCTTTCGGACTTGCCCAAGAAACTTGACATTGAACGACTCGCTAAACTTCTTGTCCTGGTGGATTATTATGAGTGCGATGACCTTCTCGGCTTCATCGGGGAGAGGTGGCATACGCCACTTTATACGTTTCAGAATATCCGAGTGACCACGATAAGGTTCTGGGTTGCTTGGACTCTTGCTCACGCCGAGGCGTTTAGTCATTACTCAACCATGCTTGTTAGGCATGCTGACGGCCCCATCATGTCCCTTGGCCTTCCAATCCCCAGCACCATCGTTGGTATGGAATTGCCCAAGACATATTCCACGTCAAAAGATGAGAGCTAACTTATTCATCGCCTTGTCTTAGATAACTTAAACGAGCGCCGCGAAGTTGCTTTATCTTCCAGTATTCAATCATCCAGAATCAGAAGAGCAAATGGAAAAGCCAAGATCGCTTATGCCACAAGCTCTGCAAGTACGTGTGCCATGGAGCACTGAAAGACTTTATCACCACAAAGAAACTATCGAAGGCAGACGCTCCATACCAAGGACTTAGTCTCCATGACCTACAGGCGGCGGTGGGGGAGCTCAAACCTCCCCAGTTCAGAGAGTGGACGAAAGACAAACCAGATCCCGATAGTCCGATCAAGCCACACGAATGCAAGCATACGAGGTTCTCCGAATTGCGAGCTGCTGTTGCTTCCAGGGACATCAAAGGTATTGAGCTCTCTGACTTCAAGTCTCTCTCCGGTAAAGTCAAGCCTGTTGTCGCGTCCAAGGGCTGATTTTTGATCGCTGCGGGCTCACATGGGCATGTGTTTGATACTTGCCCTCCACGTTCATGGCGTCGCTGGGTGGTATATGTTCTACAAGGGTTCGATCAGTTGGATGGGCTATGATTGATTTCCTGGTGGTTAGCAAAAGTTTCTATGCCGAGGTGCTTCTACCTTTGTCTCTATTTCGTTTGTCAATCATCCCATCTTCGGTTCGATGGCCTTGTCTTGTATAGGACCCACCTTGCCTTTCGATGGCTGAGATGGTCTTATGACTAACAACAGAGTGACCCAAGGTGAAATTTGCATGTCGTTGATTTAAGCTTCAGCATGGATAGTAGTACGCATGGACTGGAATATGTCACTAAATCCAATTGCAACTATCAAGTCCGCCAACTATATCTTCCTCATCATACTTATTAAATAGTATAGCACCACCTCTAAAAACGCTACTGGGATTAAGGTAACGAGTCTATGAAGTAGGATATTCCTGTGATGACTCTAACTACTGGTTGACCTAAGCCTGTGCCAGAATCCACTACTCGCGCGCCTAGAGGAGCGCTTCGAAACTTTAACCTATGAGTCAGTACCTTCTGGATGCAGATCACCCTGCTGCGGTATCCACGCCGTCTTCTATAGACCCAAAGCGGCTATTGTCGGTGCTGACCAATCAATTCAGCCCCAATTTCTTACATCCGGAGCTGCGAAGGGCGCAGCGAAGAGTGGGGGATGAGTTCTCGCTTATAGGTATCGAAAGGGCCCTTCCCATCCCAAGCATCATGCTCAGTCTATTCACAGCTCATCAGCATATCAACCCGGCATGGCTGTCGGATTCCTCGGTCTCGGCGTCATGGGCCTCCCCATGGCCTGTAACCTCGCCCGCCATTACCCACTTACAGTCTGGAACCGGAGCGCGTCGAAATATGCACTTCTCACCGACACAGAGAACATAACGGTAGCCGAGACGCCACTGCAGGTCATAGAGGCCTCGGACATCATCTTCATCATGCTCTTCGACGCCGACGCAATTGACGCCGTCCTCACCAACGAGGTCAAAAGCGCCCTGAGGGGTAAAACAGTCGTGAATTCCACCTCCGTCACCGTGGAATATAGCCAAAATCTCGGCGAAACAATCCACGACGTCTTCGGCGGCGACTTTCTCGAGATGCCCGTAAGCGGAAGCAAGATCCCCGCAGAGCAAGGCCATCTCGTCGGATTAATGGCCGGCGAAGTTGACGTCGCCGAGCGAGTCCGCCCATTCCTGCACCCACTCACCAGCGCAGCGATCTACTGCGGACCCTTGGGCTCTGGACTCAAGGCGAAGTACGCGGCGAATACCTTCGCGACGATACTCGCCGCCGGCGTCGCGGAGACGATGCAGTTTGCGCAGGCGCTGGGTCTCGAGCTGGAAGCGTTTGGGCGCGTGTTGAACGCGTCTCCGATGGCGTCGGCGTATTCGAGGGGGAAGGTTGCGAAGATTCAAGATGGGGACTGGGAGGCGCAGGCTTCGGTGGGTGTTTGCTGTTATAGTGCGCGGCTTATTGAGGCTGCTGCGGAGGAGGCGGGGGCAGGCCTGCCATTGATGAGGACGTGTAAGGGGTTGTATCAGGAGGCGATGGAGGATGGGCTTGGTGAGGAGGATATGGTTGCTGTTATCAAGACTATTGCGAAGCGGAAGAGTGGATAGAGGAGTATTTTTGTTTCTTGGGATTTAGTCAAAAGCAAAAGAGATGGCATAACGCAGCTGAGAAGTGTACTATGTACATATAATGATAGAGCTTGTATATCCAGGAGAGAGCGAATGTTTTGTATCCGTAGTTCACTATCCAACTTTTTTGACCTACCAGCCGTACCGCTATTGCTGAGTTACCGACAAGTGGCAAAGATACACCACTGTCCTCGCAGTCTTGAGCCGAGGGATATTTGCATGTGTCCTCGCCTATATCATCGATAGCGAAGACAGCACCTGCTGGCACAGATCAACACTTGCCATGCCTGGAGAACTCAAAAGCAAAGGCCGTTGAATTCGAGGGCGGAGAAACAGGGATCGTGAGCTAGCAACAGATAGACAAGAAGAATTAGCAGCTTTCCCACCCCTCAAGATACGCAGCAGTTGAGTGCACTCACCACATCACCAGAATATCCATACCGCGCGCAGCCGAGATCCACCGGACTCTCTACGGAGCCCTCGGGCCCATTCCAGTCAAACCGGTACGTGCGGACATGAACACTTCCCCGTCTCGAAAGCCCCAGGGATGAAACCCCCTCGACGCGAATATCATAGGGCGCCTGGACCGTTCTCGTTCCCGCAAGGAGTTTCACGCGGCCGCCGGAAACCGCTCCGAAGACATCGAACAGGAGGTCTGTGGACGCCGTCGTCTGGACCCGCTCCCCAGTCATCCCGGCGTAGTATCTGTAGAGCTGCCACTCGCCGTTGGGATAGTACGTGCCATCGTCGCCCTTATACAAGAGGTTCGCCATGAGATCATGCAACAACCCACCAGACCCCCAATTCGCGCGCAGCCCGCGGATATTATACCGCTCCAGTTGGGCAAGGTAGAAGGCCGAGTTGGCCGGGTTCTGCTCCGAGGGCCACGCATACTCGTTGACGTCTATGGGCCTTTCGGGGAGACCGTATGTGGCTAGTAGCGTGTTGAACTCCGGGATCGTTCTGTCGGGCTCTCGCTCCCAGGACCCGATCTGGTGCCATGAGTAGCGGTCTGGGATTGTGTTGTTCCCGGCTACGGTGCTCATCCAGGTGCGCCAGGTTGTGCTGTCCAGACTGGGTGAGTGGGCGCCTGAGGGGCCGGTTATGAGGGTTGTGGGGAGGAGTGTTCTGTAAATTGAAAAGAAAAGGAGAGTTAATCGTTAGCGAGCTGCCTCTGCCCAGAATAGACCAGGCCAAGCCAGAGTGGGCTGTGTATCGAACCCAACATAGATCATTAACTTACTTGAGAATCCGATGCGCCCTCACATAATACTCCAAAAACTGCTCCCAAGACCTCGGCCAGAAAATATCCAACTCCGGCTCATTCCAAATATCCAGCACAAGTCCGTCCAGCATCCCATTCGCCACGATATCCCCCGCAAGCTGGCTTAGGTACGCCTCCATTCCAGACCAATCCCCTCCATCCCCCGGGTAAACCGCCTCACCACCCTGGAGCCCACCATCCGCGCCCCAGATATCGTGAACCAGCAAGATAAAGTCTCCGCCGTAGCGGCGCGTCGATCGGTAGTTTGAGAGGGTCGAGTTGAAGCGCCCGATATACCCCTCGTAGCCGCCGGTGGCCCAACCCGGGGCAGGGATCTGGGCGCCCCCTGCGCGGCAGGCGTTGAATCTGATGTCCGTTGCGAAGTGGTCGGGGATGGATGTTTGTGCTTCGACGCCGTTGCCTGGCCAGCCGTAGATGAAGCCCGACCCGAGGAAGCTGGCTGGGCCGTGGGTTTTGGAGAGGTCGACCGTTGCGGTGGTGGTGGTTTGGCGGCGGGAGAGGCCGCGCCAGGGTAGCGAGCTGGCTGCAATTGCTTCTGCATACAACAGGGCCACCAGCAATGCTCCAGTGAGCTTCATTGTTGCGGGAAGAGAATTGCTCGCTTGAGAAAAAGGAAGAAGATTCTGGATCAATAGATATTGTTAATCTACGGCTCTCTTTGCGTTTATGTACCTCATTACCTTTTATATACATAAACCCCCTCCACCTGCATCAGATTCCTCTTCTCTTCTCTTCAGCGAGTCATCGGGTTCACCCCCACCGGGAGTTCCTAACATATCCGGTGGCGGGCAGAAAGACGTCAACCAGCCGACCACGAACGATTCGAATGAGCGCTAGGCTCGACAAACCTTGGAAGAGATGCGGGGAAATCCCTGCAGAGTCGCGCTGGCTTGGAGTATCCTTAGAATGTGCTCCAATGTCCTAAATGGCTAATTACCGGCGGAATTGTAAGACGTTTAGGCATAATGCGCATTTAGCCAGCTTTACTGAGGCCGAAACACATACGTATGTCGTTCGATTGAGATCGAGACTTATGGCCACTATTTAGCCGATGTCTGCTTATGGACCGGGGTATGTGTGGAGAGATCTGCGGGGGGTTTGGCTCGTACACGATGTGTGTGGGCTGCAGATTATATATTTGCAGGTAGATAGAAGATGATGTTAAGATGTAAGAAGACCAATCAAAATTGAAGGCTAAGGGAGGTGCAGGAAGAATATTAATCGTCAGTGCGGAGTAGCTTTCTGTCATATTCAAGCCGAGTACTGAAGGAAACTCTCTGGGTAAAAAATCTCTGAGTGGTCTATGTCCTAAACATGCTCGAATACAGGCATCCAGTGCAAAGGCGCGTCGATCTCAACCCACTGACCTCCTTCATAGCCCTCAATCTTCGCCTGGTCGCTCTCGAATGGAACCCACTTCCCATGAGACAGCGCAGGCAGGTATACCTTCGATACTCTGTCTCCTTCGTTCAGGACAGGACAGCAAAGGTACTTCCCTCCGTACATGTATTGCGTCCCAATCTTCCAGCACTGCGCATCCTCCGGGAATTGATAAAACAGCGTCCGCATGACAGGAGACCCCTTCTCATGTGCCTCCTTCATCAAGGAGCGCGTGTAGCTTCGGAGTCGCTCCCGGAGAAGCATGTATTTCTTACAAATCTCATACACCTCGGGCCCGTAGGACCAGACTTCGTTTGCGGCGCCACTCGCGCAGGATGCTCCCCCGTCTGTCCCTAGAGCGGCTTGCCTGGGCTCACGATCCCCGTGGAGCCGCATGACCGGACAGAAGGCGCCCCATTGGAACCAGCGGACGAACAGCTCGCGGAATTTGCTGTCAGAGGGGTCACCTCCGTGGAATCCCCCAATATCTGTAGTCCACCAGGGCAGTCCGCAGAGTCCCATATGCAAACCAGCGGACAGTTGGCTGCGAAAACTAAGCCATGAGGAAGCAATGTCTCCACTCCATATTAGAGCTCCATATCTCTGGCTGCCAGCCCATGCGCAGCGTACAAGGTTGACAATATTCTCCTGCCCTTCGCGCTGCATCCCCTCATAGAATGCCCGAGAATACTCGAGTGGGTAAATATTCCCGACTGCAGTGTTTGGGCCCTTGTAGTACCGAAAGTTATCAAAGTCATACTTTTTGTACTCTGGTTCTGCTTCGTCCAGCCAGAAAACGCGGATTCCGTGGTTATAGTAGTTGTCCCTGCACTTCTGCCACACGAACTTCCTGGCGCCCGGGTGCGTAGCATCAAAATGCACAGTGTCTCCCTGAAAGTCCATTGCCGTCCGAACGCCTCGATCGGTCCGAATCAAGTAGCCATTTTCCACCATCTCCCGGTAGTTTTCGCTCCGCTTATCGACAGTTGGCCAGACGCTGATCATCAACTCGATCTTCATCTCTCTCAGTTCCTGGACCATCGCATCAGGGTCCGGCCAGTAGACTGGGTCGAAGCGCCAGTCCCCTTGCATCGGCCAGTGGAAGAAGTCGATCACGATAAGGTCAATGGGCAGCTCACGGCGTTTGTATTCGCGAGCGACCTGAAGGAGTTCCTCTTGTGTCTGGTAGCGAAGCTTGCACTGCCAGAATCCCAGGCCGTATTCAGGCATCATGGGGACTCTTCCCACAGCCGTGGTATAGGCCTCAATGATTTCTGCAGGGGTATCTCCGGCAACGATCCAGTAGTCTAGGGTGGTGGTTGAAAGGGCCTCAAAGGACATGATATTGCGGCCTAGGAAGGCTCTTCCAATGGCAGGGTTATTCCAGAGGAACCCATATCCCAAGGAGGAGACTGTGAACGGTACGCTGGCTTGCGAATTGCGATGCGCTAGCTCAAGATCATGACCTTTGAGGTCTAGGAACGGCTGCTGGTACTGGCCCATGCCGAACAGCATCTCATCAGGACTGACGCTCTCGAACCGAGCAGTGAGGTGATAACTCTCGCTGTTTGGGATGGCTTTGAATTCGCGCGCCTGGACTTTGATGGCGCTGCATTTCGGGTCGAAGAGGTCCTTTCTGTTACGGGTGTATTCCTCAAGAAGAAGCTCGCCTTTGGAATTATGAACCTGGATCTTTCCAGTCCTTGAGATTGTCGCTCGGACATTGCCGTTCTGGAGGGACCCGGACCCGCTGGCGTCGATTTCGGTGACTGCTGGTGGTGTTGCTGGGGCAGGCGCGAGGAGAGCACAGTCCCTTTCGGGCATTTGCTGCGCACGAGTTGAGCGAATTCGTAGAGCGTTCAATCCCCAAGGCTCGATCCATAAAGTCTCGTCGTCGAACTTATAGATCAGTTTGTTTTCTTGCTGGTACAGCATGGTGGTTGGCTCCCGAATGTCGACCTCCAAAGAATATCGGTCCGACCAGACTTTGGCTGTCAAAATCGTGGCTGCTCATGGTATTTGTACTCCACCGTGACCTGCTAGACTTGTGGAGAAATCTAGAGACTCGAGGTCCCCCAGCTGCATGTGTTTCTCTCTCTGTCTTTTTCATAGACGCCGCCGGAGTCATCCCCACCGGAGTCCAGCGCCACCGGAATAACACAACACAAGGCAAGACAAGGCAAGGCAACACCACGCAAAGAGGCGAGAGAAGTGGATGCAAAGGATGCGACGATTGCTCGCTAGTCTGGTAATCAGCCCATTCTCATTCAAGTCATGTTGTGCTAGTGGTCTTTTGGCGCCAAGAGAAAGCTGCTTTTGCTGTTCGTCCCCCACATTCCACCCCCAGCATCTTCATCCCCACACTGCACGATGCGCCCTTCCTTGTCTCCAGATTCTATCGCCCAGGAGCATCGAAATTGTCCTCAGCTGCGTATTTCATCACGCCTGCAGAGTTTTATCTTTCTCCGATGACTCCTGGAGACCAAATTATCCAGTGCGACGTGTGCCAGGCAACCTTCACCCGGCACGAGCACCTCAACCGGCATGCCCGCAGCCACACCACAGAAAAACCGTTTCGTTGCTCAACGTGTGGAAAACGGTTTGCCCGTCTCGATGTACTTCACCGCCACAGTCAATCGCACGCCCCTAAAACAATTCCGAAGGTTGGCAGCTACAGGGCCTGCAAGGAGTGCGCCGTGAGCCGCGTCCGTTGCCCGAAAGGCCACCCCTGTGAGCGGTGTCAGCAAAGAGAGCTACAATGCGTGTATCCCATGGCGAGGAAGCGAAAGGTCGGCTCTGCTCCAACGGGCGCCGCTCCGCCGTCGCCGGTGACCGGCTTCTCGCCCGGACTGTCAAATCCGTCTCGCGAAGGTGAAACACAGATTTCTCATTCAGGACCAGAAGCGCAGGGCCTCGGGAATCTCTCGTCTACGTTAGACCATGTGGATGGTGCGGGGTGGTTTCCTCTAGATGCTCCGCTCGAGGCGCCCGCGCTGCTAGACGGCAATCCCGAAGTAATACCCGGAAACACGACACTGAACAATCAGACGCTTGATAAGGACTTCAGTGAGTGGGTTTGTAGTATGCCTTCAGTCAATTGGCTGTCTCCGCAAGGCCCTGATACGCTCTTTTCGAATGGTCTCTTCGATGGACTACTTGCCCCCAATAACAACCCCGTGGACATGGGAGTGACCCTGAACGGAGATGGATTGCACGTCGGGCTTGGTAGGCCGAGTTTTGGGACGAACCTGGACGCGAGCTTCCATCCCACGGGTATCTCGATGTTGCCGCTCCAAAATCCAGGGACCCAGCCTGCTTCTCGCACTCCTCCCTCAGAGTCCGCAGCGAGCACAATGGACTCTCTGGCATCGCAATCGGCGAAGGGCACTTATTATGTTGAAGGAAGTGTCGGCCGCGCACCGTTTCAAGGCCGATCAGGCTGGCGACTACGTGGAAGGCCGTTCTGGACGACCACCTCGAATGCCTCCTCCGGAGATCAGACACCGACCTTCGGAGGCTCACCAACCGTGCCACAAATCACATTCCTCTCAGAGACAGTATATGAGAATCTGCTTCAACTTCTGCGAGCAGAGTGCGTGGCCTCTACCCTCGGATTGGATCTAGCTCAGTTCCCCTCCTTAAGCGAGATGCAAGACCTAGTTCAGGTGTACTTTGAAGGTTTTCACGCGACGTACCCGTTCCTGCGAAAGCACCCCTCCCAGTTTACCTCTGAAGACAGCTGGATCTTGCTTTTGTCTGTTGCGGCTGCTGGTAGTCCATACACGCATACTGCCAAGTATCAGCGGATCGGGGCCTATCTGGCACATATAGTCGACGTCATATTGACCAATCGCATTGGTGCGGGCTTTTCTCACGGCGAAGATCAGCCATGGTCACCTGCTTCAAAGTCTCATATACCCTGGGACTTGGTGACTCTGCAGGCAGGGGTCTTAAACTGCCTATACTTACTTCACTCGGGGAAGCAAGGCTCTGTAAGACGGGCCATTGTCCGGAGATACAGCCTCATTGAGGCGAGTAATAATCTGAGACTTCTCTCAGCCACCGAGCCACTGGCATCAGAAGCAGGCGAAGAGTCGAGTCGAGCTGGACTCATCGAATGCTGGGTGAATCAGGAATCACGGCGTCGGGCGGGCTGGATGATCTGGGTAGGTAGATTGATGCGGATCTGCTCTATCGGCTATTAATGACTGCTAGTTACTGGATTCAATTGTCCAATACGAGTTCAATTGCTCACCTCTGATGCAAAATGGGGTTGTCGGTGCACTCCTACCTTGTAAAGAGGATATCTGGGACCAACCTACTGCGTCTCTTACTTCCTCCGATCAATTGAACAATTCAGGTCAGTAAGCTGCAGTCGGCTGAATAATTCGAAGTGCTAACAATGTCTGTTACTTCTTAGTAACTTTATTCGACGCACTCGAGATGCTGTATATGGAGAAGAGCTTACCGCCCAACTTGGGAGACCTCAGCACTAACGTGCTGATCTTCGCAATCTTGCAACGAACTCGGGAAGCCGCTGTTCAGCATCAGACTGAATTGACCTTCTGGTCCCCAAACTCGAAGAAACAGCCACGTCTGCAGTGTCGCACCCAAGCCGAGACGTCATGGCCACCAGCCATTCCAGCGCTATCCAAGTGGCGAAATAGCGCCTGTGACTGTTTCGATATACTGCACTGGAACGCGAACAGTATAGCAGCTCGTGCTGGGGGTTGGGAGCATCCGACTATTTTCCACCTCCATACTGCGCGACTGGTCCTGCTAGCTCCAATCCGCCACATCCAGCAGCTGGCGGCCGCACATGCGGCGAGCATGTCTCGGGAGGCCGAGTCCACAGGCTCTTCGACTGCCCGATATCATGTGTTTCAGTGGGCAATTCGGGACCAGTACAAGGCGAGACTGAGCGTAATCCATGCCGGAGCCCTCCTTTGGCATGTTCGAAGATACAGCAGCAATAGTTTTTTGGAGCCGTTTGCCGTGTATACCGCGACTCTGGTGATCTGGGCTTATAGTACCTCCGTCCAGCGTGTAAGTGGGAGACCTGGAGGAGACAATGTAGCCCTAGATGGTCTCCGTTCTGAGAATACAATAATGCGGCAAGGCCAGCAACGCCCCCTTGATGCCTCAGAAACTCTGGACAGTGATGAGTCTCAGGGCGAGACTGAGCCGACAGTCATACAGCTTGACCGGCCCTGTGATGATGAGATCGTCCAGGCGTATGTGTGTCTCGGCCACAAGATGTCTGCCCGCATGTCCAGAGTCGGCGACATTTTAGGCTCATCTGCTCCAAGCAGGATTCTCAAGCAAGGTATCCGGCTGATGACTAGAACACAACGTCAGTTTGTGGGAGTATCTTCTCCTAGCAGACGCACGCCTTCGAGCACAGGTGGGGACTCCGAAGCGGCTTTTCCAGGTTGGGGTGCGGAGCGGTCATTTGCGAACTCCCTCAGAGGTTTGGCCAGTGTGGTGGCAGGAGCAACTCCGGAGGGAAACTCAGGAAATCACCCCGAATAGCATCATACGTCCGCGGGGTCTCCAGTGCTCCACGCCACCGGAACAAGCCTCTGACGGTCTGACCCCCACTGGAGATTCCCCGCTCCTTTCAATCCTGGAGAAGCGGGTCACAATGGCGAATAAAAGGTCATACAGCGTGCGGAGTACATATAATGCTGATCATTCTCTCCAATAAATCCCTTGGTGCGCTCGTCCGTATACCGTGGTGTATCCTGTGGTTTGGGCATTCAGCCTTTTTTTCTTCGATCACGCATCTCAGCGTTGGTGGTCAATCATCATACCATAACGCCCACTATGGCATCCAAGATTGACGGTGAAGCGATACAGTCGACCTCCGCAGAGCACGAAAATGTTGCTCAGGATGACAATGCCAAAGACACGGCCGGCGCTCGGATGGCTGCGCAGCAAGAACACCATCTAGGGCTCTGGGAGGCTATACGTCGGTACCCCAAGGCTGTAATGTGGTCGGTATTGCTGTCGACTTCAATCATCATGGAGGGCTATGATATTGTCCTCATCTCGTCGTTCATCGCGCAGCCATCCTTTCGAAGCCGTTACGGCGAGTATGATGCAGGCACCGACAGCTACCAGATAACATCAGCCTGGCAGAATGGCCTCAGCAACGCTGTCAGCATTGGGACTATCATTGGCGCCTTTGCAAATGGATACTTTGTGCACAAGTTCGGCTACCGCAGGGTTCTACTTATCTCACTCGTTGCCATCTGCGCGTTTATCTTCATTTCATTCTTCTCGCCCAGCCTACCCGTTCTTCTGGTGGGCCAGCTTCTTTGCGGTATCCCCTGGGGCGTGTTTGCTACCATGGCCCCCGCGTATGCTTCCGAAGTGTGCCCATTGGCTTTGAGAGGATATCTCTCGGTATATGTCAATCTCTGCTGGGCATTTGGCCAGCTCATCTCCGCTGGCGTCCAGTCGGGCTTCTCGGACAATACCACTCAGTGGTCGTACCGGATCCCATTTGCCATACAATGGGCGTGGCCTGTATTCCTGTTCCCTATCCTTTGGTTTGCCCCCGAGTCGCCATGGCATTTCATCCGCATTGGCAAATACGACGAGGCCGAGGCTTCTGTTATCCGGTTGAGCTCCGGCATCCAGCACATGCACTCCAAAGAAACCATCGCGATGATGATCCACACCAATGAGATCGAAAAGTCCATTGACGAGGGAACCTCGTACATCGACTGCTTCCGTGGCGTCGATCTCCGCCGCACCGAGATCGCATGCATGGCCTTTGCCGCGCAACCATTCTGTGGCTCCGCAATGGGTGGCACACCGACCTTTTTCTTCGTCCAAGCCGGCCTCCCCGAGTCCATTTCGTTCAAAATGTCCGTTGGCGGTCTTGGGATTGCCTCCGTAGGAACTATTGTCTCCTGGTTCTTCCTCGCCTCCTTCGGCCGACGCACCCTCTACCTCTGGGGCCTTGGCCTCCTCTCCTCCATCTTGCTCGCAGTCGGCTTCACCAACGTCGGCGCTGGCCCAGACTCCACTGGGGGCAACTACGCACAAGCAGGCCTAATGCTCGGGTGGCTAGGAATCTACTACACAACCGTCGGACCAATCTGCTACGCGATCATCTCCGAAGTCTCCTCAACACGCCTACGCAACAAGAGCGTGTGCCTTAGCCGGATCGCGTACTATGTCGCGCAGATCGTGTCTAACAGCGTCAATGCGGAGATGCTCAACCCGACGGCGGGCAACTGGCGCGGCAAGACGGGGTTCTTCTGGGGCGGGTGCTCGCTTGTGCTTTTTGCTTGGTCGTTTTTTCGCCTTCCCGAGACGAGAGGGAGGACTTTTGAAGAGCTGGATATCTTGTTTGCGAAGAAGGTGCCGACGCGCAAGTTTAAGGGGTATGTGGTTGATGCTTATGAGGGTGAGGGTGAGGGGGCTAACATGACGCCTGAGAAGCGTGAATGAGGACTTGAATAGTGAGAGGGTTATTTAGAAGGGACTTTTAGAAGAGGCCCAAGGGAGAGAATTCTGGTTGTCTATTATAATGCGGATGGTGATGCACATGCACTTGATTGTTTCTCAAGTTACCACTGGTTGTAATACCTAGTGTATTCACTCATACTGCCTACTCCAATTCCCACTCTCTATATATAAGTCTTTTATACACTGATGTACTATACCACCCCCCAATGCCCCTCTACTAGGCATCAACCAGGAATCTTAAACCCCTTCACACCATCTCTAAACATCCCCCGCGGATCCACCTCCCTACTAACACTTCTCAACCTCTCCACACTCTCCCCCCCATAGCTCGCAATCGGATCCTGCCACTCGGCCGCATAGTTCAAGTACAGAAATGGCTCGTACGCGTCTAACGCCTTTGCATCACGCTCAATCCCCTCGACCAACGCACGCGCCACTCGCTCAACAGTCTCGTCGTCCTCCTCATTATCCCACGAGACGCTAAGCTGGGACACGACTAGCGACTCGCCGTCAGGTGTGTCCGGTAGACCCATTGAGTTGGTGTTTGCGTGGCGGGCGTAGATGGATGGTGGGAGTGGTTCGAGGGAGAGCGACCAGACGATTCCGGGGATGTGCTCGATGGATGCGAGGCTGGCGTTCCAGTTGTTGTAGGTTGCGTTGAGCATGGGTTTTGTGGAGGTGTGTGTGGTCACTGCGCTCAGCTGCCTAGTTTTTGTTAGCATCGCCTTCTACATACCCAGACAGAGCACCTGATATAGAGCGTATGATAGAATAGACAGAAAAAAGTAAAGAGAAATGGGTTTGGAATAGAAGGGAAGCATACCGCCTCCCATCCGGCGAGAAACTCCCCTGCTCCCTCGCAATCTCACCGAGCGACGCAACGCGCACCGTACTCGACAAACTCGGTAGTGCAAAGAACGGCTCGTACACAGCCGGATACTTTTCGTCCTTGGTGTAGACGACACTATTCACAACCGCACCACCAACACCAGCAGAGAACCCAAAACTCATAATCAGCGACGCATGCTCATCGTAGCTTTCGGCGGTATTGAATCCCTCAAACGCACTTAGCTGTTCTGGGATCGTGTCAAGGGTATAGTACACGAATCCACCCCAGATCATCCCCTGCGGAAACGTGGTAAGATTAACTCGGGTGACGATGCCGAAATTCGCTGGCCCACCTCCGCAAAGCGAAATCCATAGATCGCGGTTATAGCCTTGGGACGCACTAACGACCTCGCCGCCTGCAAGAACAACTTCGAATTCACTAACACTATCACACGTCCACCCGTACCGTGGCGAGAAATACGAGATCCCGCCGCCGAGTGTGAGTCCGCCAACCCCGACCTGTCCTGCGCGGCCGCCTGGGACGGAGATGTGTGCCGGGTCGAGGATGTCGTAGACGTCTCCCCATGTTGCGCCTGGGCCGACGGAGACCGTTTTCTGGTCTGCCGAGAGGGTTATAGAGTTTAGATTCGACAGATCGATTGTGGGTCCGGAGTTGATGTTGTTGAAGGCTGTGTTGTAGGCGTGTCCGCCGGAGCGGATGGCGAAGGGGCAGGCTGTGTTTGTGTTTGCGCTCGCGTGGGTGTGCGTTGGGTTTTGGTCTTGGCGAGGTGACGTTAGGAAGTCAAGTATGGTAGAAACGTCCGCGGTGTTAGAGGGCGTGACAATGCAGGACGGGTAGAGGTGTGCGTTCTGTTGCGTGAAGTAGCTGGCGAGCGAGGTGTTGTAGGCGGGTGTCTGTGGGAAGGAGACTGGGGGGCCGAGGAGGGCGAGCAGGCGTACGCACTTTTTTTTTTTTTTTTTTGCTTAGGAGAGGTCGAGGTAGATGAATGGGATTGATGGTCGACTTACGCAAGAACTGGTATTCGGATGCATTTAGTATGCTCCTATTCAGTAACGAACGAGTGTTCGTGTTACTGTTGCGGTTTGGGGAATGTACGTAGTAAAGTCTGGAGTGCGGAGAGATCTCAGATCGAGTCCGGTATGAAAAGCGGAGCTACTAATATATGTATAGGTGCCCATAGTACAAAAATGTTGTCAGCTGCAGAATGCAGATCGGTTAAAGCCATTCTCAGTCCTCAATCATCATTGGACTAAAGCATAAAAGTCTAAAGTGCCGACTGGGGCCCAAAATGCTTGTCTCCGGTATCTCCATAGGCTCTGAAAATCTGACATCATATATGAGAGGTGATTAAGAAGCGCGTGATGGGTCCGATTATGGTTAAAACCAGGTTCGCTTCTGCCGCTGCGTACTAAAGCTGCTGCGCTGTTGGAAACAAACCAGAGGTTGACCAGTGCCTCATGTGGATATATATTGTTGTTCGAAGGGAAACTGAAATAAGCCCTGGATGAATAACTCGAAGTAATTAAAATTATACTGTAGCATTATATATCTGTGTTTACAGAGTATTCAAGGGCCGCAAGCGATAGTAATGAGGTATTGATTGTGAGCTTGACATCTGCTTTCTCGTTGCCTACTACTTGCTGCTCAACCGGACAAGTTAGTCAAAGAACTGTTTCGCGGCTCACATGGGCAAGGGCAGCTGCGCATGGCATTAACCACGCTGATGAGCCGATCTCGCCAAACTACTAAATATCAATTGACTTTGCAGCTTTCGCATGGGTGATAAAGACCGTTTGCCTGACTGCGTGTACTCGACCGTAGTTGAGGGACGAGGATAAAGTCTTGTCGTTACCTTCTGAGTCTCAGGTCAATAATTGACGATCCCAGGCTCTCGGACTCACTCCAGGCTGCTGTGTAAGTTAATCTGTGTATTAGTGGAGAGTCCCAAGCAGATCATGTTCGGCTGTACTCCGGAGTAACCTCCAGATTCTGGACACTGGGGAATGGGGCGCTCTCGCATACACGTGTAACATCCCTGCAGAATGCAGGGCACTCGTCAGAAATCGATGCTTCCGCGTACTGTGGCGGCTCTCATGGCAACTCGAGTGTGGGAGCCGCTTCCAGCGTTCGTCTCCTAATCGACTGAGAGGCTGATGTCGCAAATATCTTGCAGTGAGTATACATACAAAATAGTACTGCAGCTCCCCAGCTCAGCAGATCCTCAGGCCCACGCATATCGCACGTGGCGGGTCTGTACAATGGTCTTGTCGATCAGCTATATCGTCAGGTGGAATCTCGTCTACCGTTTCGAGTCATTGAGTCAGCAAGGACTAGTCAAGGTATCGTTGAGAGAAACAAGACTATATAAATTTGATGATGATGCTTGCCAGATCTCAATGTGCGAGGATTGTAGCCATAGGAACTCGGAGGGGACAGTTGAGGGGACTCATGGCCATTCACTAGATAGACGTTGGAAATCTTCGATACCTCACCAAGCTCATGGAAGCCATGCGCCGAAACCTAAGTTGATCATTCCCGTGTGGGACGTTTACCTAATCCGGATGAGAGGGGTGCGACGTTTTGAGACCAGCCTTCTGTCGCGTGGGGTCGGTTCTTCTTTGGTTCAGGAGGAGGTTTAGTATCGCGATCGTCAAGCGATTGTCTGGACCTGAACGGAACGTCTTCACGACCTTGGGATGCTTTCACCCTGAAAGCTGCCTCCAAGCAAGGATGAAAGTTCAATCGAAACAGCGAAGCCGGTATGCTATGATCAAAGTAGAAGTCATAGCGAACTGACGATCAGAATTAAGCAGTGCAGATGTGGCGAGCTGACAGCCTGATCCATTCAAGGGATATTTCGATCTTCTGGTTGTGACCCGTGTGAGACTAGCCCGAGATGTCATCGCGTCTCGGCTCAACGGGTTTCCGTCTTCACGGACTCGAGGCCGGCCGGGGGTGCTTTACCGAATAAAGGTGGAGGAATTTGGCTCGCTCGATCCGTTCTCTTTTTGTGTTGCTTTTGCGGCTTTTGAGTTGTGGTCTCCGAATTCCGGCCAGTGCGATTCTCGGCGAACCGCTGCTTTGTTTAGATACTGAATACCAGATACTGCGGGATTAATATTGGAGACATGGGAATTCCAGCGCGGTGTGCGATGAGCGTGCGATTCCCCTTTTTGTTCTCCCGTCGATGCCTTGGGCGGCGATCGGCATGGTTTGACCATTTATCGCAAAAGGATTCGGCGAACATTTCCTGACCACCTTCTTCAGTTGGAAACTCGCAGCGGGCTATTGGGCTTTTGAGTGAATGCTTGTGGATTCCAGCGCTCGTGAAAGTCAACCTGTGCACTTCTGTTCGATGCTTGGATCGGGTGGCTGGCCGAGCTAAATAGAGGTGAGAATGGGATCCGGCGGACGGAGTCAATAAAGCAAAGTGAACCATTCAATCCAACCATGCGAATGAGCTTCGAGATCCGTTGAGAAATCAGAGGCTCAGAGCGAACTGACCAGTGTCAACGGAATGCATGATCCCTGAACCATGCCTGGTGGAACAGGTGAGGTTCGTGCTCAAAGACTCCGCTGCCCTCGATCGGGATCGCAGGATAATTGCTTTTGCAGAGTTCCACATCTTTAATTATCGTGAGCCAGTGGTGATGATGATCGCAGGTGAGGCTTCTCCAAGGAATGATTGCGAGTCACCGCTTGGAGTCTCCTGGACGCCTCGTTGGACCGCGAGTTTTCTGGAGTAAGCCGAAATGCCTGGACTCGTCGACTGGAGTTGAAATCTCGACTACTCGAACTTAGGATTGTGATGAATCGAACGAACGCAGCGTTCGTGTCGCGGCCCGCAAAACAGCCAAAAAGTGGCACGATCCCGAGTCAAGCATCAATATGAATTAATTTGCAGCGTGGGTTCGCACGCTGGGCACGGGAGTTGGGGTTGCTCCTCATTTCGCTTGTTTGTGTATTTGTAACGCGCCGTTCCTGTCAGTGTGCGAGTCTTGCCTTGTTCGTCGCCGTCCGAAATAGACGTGTTTCAGGTCGCTGTATCTGGCATAGTAGACAGCTCTCTTGACGGGATGCAGGTCAGTCAACTTGAAAGAAACTCCAGCGACAAATTATTGAGTCGCTGCAAAATAATTGGATATCAAGGGAGCGGGTGACCCTTGGTTCGTCTGATAAGCTGGCCGTTGGGCCCCAGTTCTCATCCCAGGAACCGTGGGACGGACGCCACGATTTGTATAGCAAAAACTGTCGATGTCATGAGAACAGACGATAGGATGGATGGCTTGTGATGAGTTTCGCAATATGAGACCCCTTGAACAATGTAGTGACATGGAGTAGAAACCTTGAAGTGTCTCAACTGCCTCATGAAGACAGCGGAGCAGCACATCCGAACCCCGTACGGTCGGGCCTAGACCTGCGTTGAGGTTCATGACATCGACATTCATCCATCCTTAAATTTCACCATCATCACAATGGGGGTGGCATTGCTCGAAGTGCCAGTATTTATACAGGCGTGCGTTCTTCAGAAAGCAGAGGCCGTGGACTGAACTGGGTTTCGGACAGCGCTACTCGCAGTTCGGCTGGAGCTAAGGTAATTAACTTTAGTGGTTCAGGAGTAGAATCCGTCAACTGGTCGATGGATCCCCAGACCTGTCAAGGTGTCGTCTGAAAGTCTGTCTTTCTTTCTCTCCATCCCTCCTTTTCTTCGCGCGCTTCTCCGACTCTTCGACGATTCTCCCAGCCTCATACTTCTCTTCGGTGCGTATTTCTCCCCGTGTTTTCTCCGGTCCAACGCGCACTGGCACAGATCGCGGCCACCGCCCAACTTTCTGTACCCCTGACCGTTTGAGGGGCCTGTGCAGCGTTCAAGATTTCCAAATTTTCTTTTCTTTTTCTTTTTTTTGTTCGATCCCGAGCTGAAGCGATTGCTCTGGGAAATCCTGAAAAACACTTCTAATCCATTGATCTTGCTCATTAGGTAGCTCACCGACAGCTGATTCGAGCTGTGTTCGATCCTGCCCTCCGCGTCGGAAGCGAGAATTGACAACACCGCAAATCGCGTCGCAGACCGTCGCCTCGCACGATCGCACGATCTCATGAAATTGGATCTCAACTGATAAAATTCTGCATCGACAAACGCTGCGACGGACCTCTTTTGAACAGCTAATCGTCGCTGATGACTCCCCTCCTTTCCGTTCCTGACCGATAACCGACCCACTCACACCGCATCGATCTCTTGAACACGTCAGTTTGCGAATCGCTATCCTATAAAGGTCATGACGGCCTCGCCGCCAGCCTCGCCCACGGGGGCGCCTCCGCGACCTTTCAGTGCACTCATGCGGACTCCACGGAGCAACAGTCGTATGAGCGTGAGCAGTAAACATGGGGGAAGCAGAGCATCGGACGAGGATGGGAAAACCGCGGTCAAAGTTGGTGCGTCGCCCGCCTGTCAAAACTCTCTCTGCGGAATGTTCTTCCACATGGGAGTTTCGGATTCTGGATCTCCCCGCACAGCAACATTCTCGGTCCTGTTACGTTACTGACCTAATTGCAGCTGTCCGTGTCCGCCCTCCGCTTAAACCGACCGACCCCGGTTACGAATTGATCCCGCAACGTTTCCAGCGTTCCATGGCTCATGTCACTTCGCCTACCAGCTTAGCCGTCGATGTGCCCCAAGGTCGCAAATTGTTTGTCTTTGATCGCGTGTTCCCCGAGACTGTCGACCAGGAAGGAATTTGGGATTACCTCAGCGACAGTGTCGGTTCTTTCTTGCAGGGTTACAATGTCTCCATCTTGGCATACGGCCAGTCGGGTGCTGGTAAATCGTACACAATGGGAACTTCTGGTCCCAGCGAGCAGAATGACACGCAGGCAATGGGTGAGTCGGGCTCTTCTCTCATTTGACGCGGATACTGATTTCTGCAGGCATTATCCCACGCGCCGCTCAGCTTCTTTTTGAGAAACTCGAGGGTCCCAAGCATGCCCGCACCAGCTCTACCGGGCTTCGCGCACCCGCCCGATACTCAATCAGCTCTACCTCTAGCTTTGGAAAGCAAAACGTTGATAGAAACTGGCAGCTGAAGGCTACCTATGTCGAGGTATGGGTATCGATTCGCGTTGTATGAGGTTTCTCTGACCGTTCTCAGATTTACAACGAACAATTGAGGGATCTGCTACTTCCCGACTCTGTGGCCTCTACAGACAGAAATTCCGTCACAATCCGTGAAGATACCAAAGGCCGCATTATTCTAACCGGTTTGCATCAAGTCAGTATCAACTCTTTCGAGGACCTGATTGGAGCTTTGAACTTTGGTTCATCCATCCGACAAACCGATTCGACCGCGATCAACGCCAAATCCTCGCGATCCCATGCAGTGTTTAGTTTGAACCTTGTTCAGCGGAAGTCCGCCAACGGAGTAACATCGCCAAAGGATAAGCGCATGTCCATGCCGGTGGAGATGCTTTCCGGTGCCGACCACTCTGTGACTATCGATAGTAAACTCCACTTTGTCGATCTGGCAGGAAGTGAACGTTTGAAGAACACCGGAGCGTCCGGCGAGCGTGCACGTGAGGGTATCTCGATCAATGCTGGTCTTGCCGCTCTGGGCAAAGTCATTTCGCAGCTGTCCTCTCGCCAGGCTGGTTCCCACGTCTCATACCGCGATTCTAAGCTCACACGGTTACTTCAAGACTCGCTCGGTGGCAATGCTTACACGTACATGATTGCTTGTGTTACACCGGCCGAGTTCCATCTTAGCGAGACCCTCAACACGGTTCAATATGCGCAAAGAGCCCGGGCAATTCAGAGCAAGCCCCGTATCCAGCAGGTCGCAGACGACAGCGACAAGCTTGCCGTTATCGAACGACTAAAAGCCGAGGTTGCATTTTTGCGACAACAACTCCGCAACGCCGAGGATAATGACCGGCGGGGTGCCGCTCCTCAGGACCGCTCTGAGCGGTCGAACGAGCGAGAGATCGATCTTCAAAACCAACTTCTCGATGTCCAGGAGAGCTACAATGCTCTGAGTCAGCGCCACGCTAAGCTGATTTCGGAACTTGCCAGGGACTCTGAGCAGACCGGTGAAGGAGAGGACGCTGCTGATACCGTAGGCAGCTCTATCGAGAGGCTCAAGCGGTCACACTCCTTCGCTGAGTCTGTTGAGCAGGTTGTTCTCGAGTACGAAAAGACAATTCAAAGTCTTGAGTCGTCACTGTCAAACACTCGCACCTCATTGTCCACCACAGAAAGCACTCTTCTAGAGCGGGAAACCAAGTGCGCGTATGTGGAGACGGTTAACTCTCAGCTCCAGGCACGCATCCAGAAACTCTTGGACAGAGAGGCCAGCACGGAAACTTATCTCCATGAGCTAGAGTCTAAAATCGACGGACAGTCCTCGGGCGAAGAGAAACAGGCTGCGATCGTGTCTGAGCTGCGCAAGGAGCTCAGCCGTGCCCGGGAGAGTGAGGCTAGCTGCGAAGACTACATTTCCACTCTGGAGGAGCGACTGGCTGAGGCTGATCAAGACATGGAGCTAATGCAGAGAGAGATTGACCGTCTAGAGCACGTCGTTGACCGACAGCGAAGCCTCGGCAAGCTTGATAGCCTTCTTTACGAGTTGGATCATGTTCAGCAGAACGGAACCAAGAAGGACGAGCCTCAACTTGAGACCGACGACAATTACATTCTTCCTTCGGGAGCGTACCAGCCTCGCAACCGAGCAAACACTCTGGACGTGCTCACCGAGGCCGTCGAGACTGCCATTCCCGAATCCGACGAGGATCTGGCTGAGCCCATCCCTGAAGTGGATGAGAATAAGGAGGCCGAGGAGTTGAAGTCGGAACACGACGACTCCGATCTCAAGGTCCTGGAGCGGGCGACCAGTCGCCTCGAAGTGTTGCAGAATGGCGAGGTCCCTCCTAGCCCGACCCAGATGCGAGTCGTCTCCGACAAGCTGGAAACCGTCAGCCAAGAGCTTCTGGATCTGCGTGAGCAGCACGAGAATACTGTCAACGACTACGAGCTCCTCGAAGCCAAGTACGAGGAAGCTCTCAGGGCCCTGGCAGAGCTCCAGCAGGATGCGGCGGACGAGGCGCGCCACCGTTCGTCCAACGTCCAGAACCTCATGTCCCCAGTCACCAACTCCCGCCCGGTTTCTTTTTTAGAGGATCCCAAGGCTCCCTCGAAAGCTGGAACACAACACTCGTTCTCGCAATCACTCTCATCGGAATTATCCTTGGCCGGGGAGCCTGTTACTTCGCACGATTCGTATAATGCGAACTCGGAGGCCACTCAAACTACGGTGGATCAGGACGAGCAGGATGTGGAGGAGATGCGCAAGCTGCTTTTGGATCACCAGGAAAACGTCACTACCATGACTCAAAAGTACACGGAGCTGCAGGCTGAGCATGAGGATACGCTGAGCTTGATTGAATCGCTCAAGGCTGAGCTGCAACGATCTAGGTCGACATCGCCGCCCACGACACCTGGCTTCAAAACTGTCATTCGCCGAAAGACTAGCCAGAGCTTGATTGGCAACGTTGACCGTGCCCACCGTTCGATCGGAGGGCTACGCAGCATCGCCGTGGAGGAGTTTGCCTCGCGCCCCGACACCATGCAGAACTTTGAACTCCACCTCGACGCCGCGATGCACGAGCTCCAGACCCGCATGGAGCGCATCCAACAACTCGAAGGGGAGAACCAGAGTGTCAAGAAGGAAATGGAGATGAAGTCCACTATCATCTCCGGCCTTACCCGGGAGCGATCTAGTTTACAGGGGGCCTCTCCCGTTGACAAGGGTCTTGTCGCTCAGCTGCGCGACCAGGTTGTGCAGCAGGAGAATGCTCTCAACCAGTTGAGGGAAGAGCATGAAGCTCGGGAGAAGGTTCTCCGCGAGGAGATTGAGGACCTGAAGGCTCTTCTGACGACACAGGAGGAGGCTGCCAAGGCCCAAGACGCCCATGTCGAGGAGCAGGAGCTGAGACTCAACCACCTCGAGAGTGAACTGACGGAATGGAAGGGCAAACACCAGAGCGCCATTGACTCGCTGCAGTCGTCCGAGAAGCAACTCAAGTCGACACTGGATGAGCTCAACACCGCTTTGGCCGCCATCGATACCATGCGTTCCGAAGGCACGACTATCGACGCCTATGAGAAGGAGGAGGCGGCTAAAGACGTTGAGATCGAGCGGGCCGAGCAAAGCCAGCTCGTTGAAGATCTCAAGCGCAAGATTGAACACCATGAAGCTACGTCCGCGACTCATCTCGAGAAGATTGCGTCACTCGAGAAGCTGCATGAGGCCCAGAAGCAAGCGGCCGGCCAAGCAACCACATCCGACGAGGTTGAAGTGCGCCAAGCTCGTATTGCCGAACTCGAACAGGAGATCGACAGCCAGAAGGCTCTTGTTGACTCTCACAAGAAGGACCTGGAGTCCTTGCAGGAGTCTCACAAGCAGGAGCTTAGCGAGTTGGAGGCGCGGACGAAGGCTGCTGCTCAAGCGGAGCATGAGTTGCGTCTCGCGGAACAGAATACCCAGCACGAGGAGGCTATGAAGTCTCTCCGGGCGGAGATTTCAGAGTCGCGCGACGAGCTGGTCAAGCTGCTCAAGATGGTCTCGAACCTGATCAAGTCGGATGTCACTGCCGAGAACTTGGCCGATCAGATTCAGGACATTCTGATGCAGAAGCAGCACTTCTCCGACAAGTATGCGGAGCTGATAGACACGAACGAGGATCTCCGCAAGCAGATCGAGGCCAGACAGGGAGATGACAGCCGTGTCGAAGAGCTCAACAAGGCCATCACCATCAAGGACGGCAAGGTCAACGAGCTTGCCCTGCTTGTTGCCACGCTAGAGGATACCCTTCTGCAGAGAGATGAGCAGATCAAGAAGAAGGAAGCGCTCGTCGCCGAAGCCCAGGCTGAAAAGGAAAAGAGCGCTCGCCTAGTTGAGGAGCTTGAAGACCAGATCACCAACAGCTTCGACCAGCACAACAACCGCCTCTCCGTTATCCAGCAAGAACGTGACCAGGCGTTGGTTGATGCCAAGGCCAAGATTGTCACATATGAACGTGATATCGAGACCTACCGTGTGCGCATTGAACAGCTTGAGGTGAGTACCTCTACTGACCGCAAGACGAATGCAGCTAACAACCACCAGCTCCAACTCAAGAACCAAGACAGCTCGCACGACCGCAGCAGCTCTCTCACATCCAACCTTCGCAAGAGCTCGTCGGCCGCCTCTCTCCCGTCGCCCCCGCCGGCCATTCCTCTTCCTCCCCTCCCTAGCATTGCTGCCGCCACCAATGGCACCTCTTCTCCTCCCAGCTCTCGGCACACTAGCAAAGAGCTGGTCGGCAGCCAGATCGTCGAGGAACAAGAGGCTCGCATCCGCACGATCGAGAAGCACCTCAACGCTGAGAAGCAGCTTACCGCAACTCTCGAGGAGGCTCTTGGCGACCTAGAAGCTCAAAGCAACAAGGTCAAGTCCGACTGCGAGGCGTGGAAGAAGAAGGCCTGGCAGCTGGAAGAGGAGCTGGGCACACTGCGCAAAGAGCGCAGCTCGCAGCGCCTGTCCCTGCAGGCCGTCGAGGAAGAGCGCAGCGCCCGCCGCAAGGCCGAAGCCGCGCAGGCACAGCTCGAGGAGCGCATGGCCGCCCTCAACAAGCAGAAAAAGAAGAAGAGCACGCTCAACTGCTTCTAGACGTTCGCTCCCTTCCTCCTATTTTACCGATTTCCCCCGATTTTGCTTTTTGCCCATGTTGACATGCGATTTCAGTCATTGCATCATGAACTCCACGTTGATTCCCCTGTATTTCAGATACCTTTTCCTCTTGCCTCTTTTTCACTTTTTTGACGCTTAATCTGCTACGCTGCTTGTACCCCTACTACTACTGACTCACTCTACCTCCCTGATCTGACCTCTATGCACATCACACGCTTCCATCTCCTTTGCCTTCGATTCTGGATTTTGTATCCCCCACTTACGACTTCTTTCTTACGAACCCCCTTTTCTATTTCCTCTTTTTAACCTTTTGAATTCGGGTGATTGGTAAAATCATGCTGATGTTTGTATATTTGTTACCTTTACTTTTGACCTACCGAGAATCAAAGACTACATACCTCTCATATATTCGTACATAGCTGTTGGTCATACATTGTCTTTTTTCAAAATCCACGAGGTATCTTTCGCAGATCGCAGTTATGCGCTACGTCAAACGTCCGGGGTTCGATATCGACGCGAGCGTACTTGGTAGGGGGCTGTCGGTTGTTTAGCCATACCCTGTATGATGCTAGAATTCCGCTATGCTGTCTGATGGGGTGACAGATTCCACACTCTTATCTCAAGGTATAGAATCGCATAGTATAGCCGTCCATAACTGCACACCCCTGCCGCTCGAGATGACTGGTTGTCTAGGTAAAGCCGCACCTTCCGAGTATAACAATAGCTATAAACGGCAGGCGCGATGGGGTTCAGTTCACCGACCTTCCCCGTAGTACACCAAGGCTACTCATACTCATAGTGTAGTGATGCCATTCGTCTAGTTTATACATCCATATATCGCGTGGTTGCTCTCTCTCCGTGCCAGGCTCGGCCTGGATTCTTTTTCTCGAAGAATTGTTCATTTGTGGTGCTGTCCTTCTCCCTGGAGCAGCTATATCTATAGATATGCGTATCATATCGCCAGAGCTCCGTTACCCGCTAGCGATGATGTTCCAAGAGAAGACGCGCAATCTACCAATTGTCAGATTGCGTAACAGCTGAACAACCCGCTCCTCCGATGAACTCCCTTGCTTGTTTTTCATTCTGCACAACCCGCGGCCGCTGCTGAGACGGTGAAAGGCTGCCCACATCCATCTGCAACACGCTGTTGGGATCAATCACCACGACAGTCTTGTCCTCCGCGAGCAGACGCTTTATGCTCTCGTGAATCACCCGGCGCGCAACCGGATTGAGCGAAAACGCGTCCCGAAGCGACACCACGACAGCACACGCATCCCGGTGCTCGCCAGACCCTGGATCGTTCGGATCCGGCTCGCCGAGCTCCCGCACAATGGCGCGCGTGAGGCGCTCCGAGCCCGCGAAGCGCACAGCGCCACGGAGCGCAAAGATGACGACGCGTTGGTCGCAGTTCGAGTGATGCGGTTCCTGTTTTCCCGCGACGATCTTCGCCACCGAGGTGCTCACGCTCGCTCGGGCAATCTGGCTGACGTCCATCATGTGGAACCCCATGTCGCGGGACAGGTGCTCGAAGAGCGCGACGGCCCGGACACTGTTCCCGCGCTCGTTGAGTTTGGGTGAGAAGGCGGCGATGCCGACTTGGCCCGGGAGGGCGCCGATGATTCCCCCCGCGACGCCACTTTTCGCTGGGATGCCGACGCGCGAGACCCAGGACCCCGCGGCATCGTACATGCCACATGTCGTCATGACGGAGAGTACCTGGCGCACACTGTCGGCGGGCATGATGGTTTCGCCCGTGACGGGGTTCACGCCCGCGTTGCAGAGCGTCGCGGCCATCATGGCCAGGTCGCGGACGTTGACGTTGATCGAGCACTGCCGGATATACCCCTGGACGACCTCGGCCGGCCGGCACGAGATGATGCCCGCGGCCTTGAGCATGTACCCGATCCCCATGTTGCGGTCGGCGTCCGCCAGCTCGGCCTCGTAGACCTCCTCGTCGACGTACAGCGTCCGCCCCGCGAGCCTCGACAGCGTCTTGAGGATGCGCTCCGTCCTCTCTTCCGCCGTCGCATTTGGATGCACGACAAGCGAATGCGCCGCAATCGCCCCAGCATTGATCATGGGGTTCATCGGCCGGTTGTTGTCCCTATGCAGCGACAGTTTGTTGAACGCATCTCCCGACGGCTCGACGCCGATCTTGTCTAGGACACGCTCCAGCCCGGCATCTTCGATTGCGATCGCATACACGAACGCCTTTGAGATGGACTGGATCGAAAACTCGACGTCGTCGTCCCCGGCCGAGTAGACATTCCCATCCACCATGACGAGCGCCACGCCAAGCTTGGACGGGTCTGCGTTGGCGAGTGTCTTGATGTACTGAGCCGGTTCGCCATCTTCAATTGGCCGGACCCGCTCCAGCACTGCGTTGAGATAGTCGGGGATCGGGGACTTCATATTTATGGAATGGACTGTTCTCAGTGCGACAAGAGGAATCGGCGGGGCAAATCAAAATAAACTTTGTTCAATCAACCAAAGCCCAGAGATGCCAATGCCAATGGTTTATGTAAGCACATGCCGAGCAATCCAAGATCCAACAGGCAGCTGCATTCTCTTTTGACTGCATGAAAACGCTTGGTATTCCTATCTAGTGGGAAGACCGAGCGGCGTCATCGAGGCGGTTGTGAGCCACGTGACCACTCGCTACGGCCGCTGAATGCCTGAGGCACCCATGTCGACATCTTTTCTTTGGAGAGAGAAAGGCGATGGGTTCGAAGTATCATTTTAGTGTATACCTGTGCAAAGACCACTTGGTGCCTGTAGAGAAGACTGAGAGCCCCTGAGCTCTGGTAAGGCGACACAATCTATGGGGAACCGGATGAGATGAGATGAGATGAGATGAGCGGTGCAGTACATTTGGAATGGAAGGATACGCGTACTAAGTACTAATCCCCTGGCGTAGCCCATGCTACAGGTATGATGAGGATAGATCTCAGCAGATGGTGCATGCGAGTGAATGGGTATACTTGGGCTGCGAGACACATACACATACAATTACTCTACCAATACCCCGAAAGTCCTATTCTCCCGGTACTTCGGATTTTGAATTCTAACTAGAGCTCTGTTTATCATTCTGCATCGTCGCTGTCTCCAAAATCCAGAACGGTACTCCCTAGACTAAACTCAGGGTCCTCTCGCTCTGGCAGCGCATCGATCACGGCACAGAGTCTCTTGTGATGCTCAGGAACCCACTCGTTATACAGCGCCATGACGAACTTGTACGAGGTCCAGCGCTCTTTGCCGCTTGGGTCCGTAAAGTCGAATTTGCGGAGGGTTTTGCGGTAGTAGGAGACCTCTGTCCGGGAGGATGACTCTGACTGGGAATCTCCCCTCGCTGCCTCAGTAAAGAAGGGATAATGCGCATGGATCCGGACGGAAGAATGATTAAACGCAATCGAGTACCCGAGTATCCGTCGATGAATGTCCTGTTTGCGGTTCGTGAGTTGGAACAGCCTGACGACGCCGCGGAGAGCAAGCGCCATGGCATGTGCGTTCTGGGCCTCTGCTTCTTCAATACGTCGATCGGGGTCCTTTGCTTCAGCCGTGAAGAATGGAAAGAGCATGTGGATGGCTCCTTTAAAGCATGATGTATCGAACAGACCCCCGAGTAAGGGCTGGAGCTTATCGCGTTGCGTCAGTGTGAATGCAGTAGAGTGAAATCCGACAGAGTAGTGTGGGCGCGGTATCCTGGCTCGAAAGAGGCGGGCAGCATATCCTTCGTCCTCCCCCTCTTCCATTCCCTCTCTTTGTCCCTCTTCTGCATCTAGAGCCAACGAACAGTCCCAGGCTGCATCTCTGCTATCAACCAACGGGATAGGGCGGGCGCTTCCGCCCCATAGCTCATCGGGGGCTGGGGGAATGAGCAACTTCGACACGAGCAGGACGAGTTCCCGTTTACTCCGGGTATGCAATTTGTCACTCAAGTAGTCGAAGATTCTGCTATTGTCAAAGATGGTGTCTTTGGGAGTCTCGCAGTCATGCTCAAACAGGCTCCGATAGACTGCAATGTCCTCTTCTACAACGCCGTCTGGATGTCCCCAGAGCCCGACCCCCCGAGCCTTGAGGAATGATTGGAAATGAGGGCTTCTGTGTGGGAAATTCTCGGTATTTTCTGTTGGCGTCGGAGTTGAAGTAACACCATCCTGCTCTGGAGGTGCCTGGCCCTCACCATCGTCCTCGGCATCCCCTTCTTCTCGGACACTGGACTGGCAAGGCTGGACTTCATTCTTTTCCGGCTCAATGGCCTCATCGGGCCAGCCGTCAGTCATGACCCAGTGGCGGACTGCTGCCCTCGGTTTGGTTTGTTTACGCTCTCCGATCCTTTTGCCGACTCGGTGGAGAAGCTGGTCTGGAGTCAGCTGTGGCGATTCAGGTTAGACGGCTCGCTCGTCGTGATATAGTGACAAGTATCACTCACCGGGACGTCCTGCTCAGAAGAGCTACGGGACTGGGCCTGTTGCGGCCCATCTTGTGGAGCGGCCGCGCCAGAAGGGATTTGCTGCACCCCGGATTCTGCTTCCAGGGCAGAGTTACTACTAGAATTGGCCTCCACCGCAGCGGGTTCAGGTTCAGGTTCCTCTGAAGATCGCTGTCGCTTTGCAACCGGTGCATTCTCTCTTTTCTCACTTCCCTGCCGCTGTCGTTGTCGTCCCCGCTCGCACGTCGCAGCTGCTCGTTGTCGCGCCTAGACCAGGAATCAGCGCAGCTCTCTCTCTCTTTGCGTTCAAGAAACTAAATCAAAAACAAATGTATGCGCAAGAATTCCAACCAGGCCATACTTTCACCTTCGCCACTTTCATCGCCCTAGCGCCCTTCTTTACCGCGACAGGAACACGTTTCTTCTGGTTGATCGGAGATCTCGCCTTCGCTTTCGCCTGCGCCTTCGCCTTTGAAGCATGCGTTGCGGGCGCCACGGTGCTTTTCACCCCCTGCACCATGCGGAGACGCCCTCCTCGCTCCCAGGATCCGTGGTTTTCCTCCATTTGTTCAATACAAAGGTAAATGCTGGAGTAGGCTAAGGGATACCGCGAAGTGGTACGGAATGACAAGACCCGGGATGGATATCATGGTTTCGCGAGCGCAAGCCAAGTCAGCCATGGAGAGGAGGGAGAGTGGGTGTCGGGCGTGGTTTGTTTGTTTGTAGCCCGTTTGGAGGGAAGGGAAGGAGCGATGCAGCGAGGACGCCTGCGGACGGGACCATGTCGCAGACACACACACACACAACCATGGCATTTGCCGCCCAACGACTAGAGATATCGGAGAATTTTATTCGTTTATCAATGTATGGAAAATCTGTTGCGTGGACGGAGTCCGAGCTGGACAACAAATGGTGCGGGTTCTGGGCAGAGTTGCCCTAACTTGCTCTCTCTCCGAGACGGCCGGGATGAATGATGCACCATATCGCCCAATCAAATTGTATAGCTTGCATAATATGAGTTAGGTAGGTCGGATCGATGAAATACCTCAATAAAAGCTTGACAGGACACCTCCTGCACGCCATCCCCGTCATCGGCCAGCCCTACTTTGTACTACCCTGACCATGACAGCTGCCTAGTGCCTACCTGCGTACCCGGCAGCATATGGCCCCATATCCCAGTCCCCCGGAACGCCTGAAATGCTTCAGTTGCTTAACCGACACAACGTTAGAGTGATGATCTCAGCACCGGGCCCATGATCTCCATGGATACGAACCCCACAGTCCGCACTCGTGAGATGGCGTCAGCAAGGTCTCGTTCGTTACTGCCAACCGAGAGAGCGCCATTGGCGGGATATCCTCCAGGCAGAAGGAAATCCGCGAACCGGCCTGTGCAGGGCTGTCCGTCAAGACACAAGCGTACGCTAGGGCGGATGCTTGGCATGCAAGAGAGTGGTCACTTGGGAGTGAGACTCTGAGAGATTAAACAGGATGGTCTCCCACGGAGAAACTCCCTCCTCGTATCCCTGCTTGCCGGTATCCGGGGGCCTCGAGTAAGCATCTTCAATCCTCTAGGCAGCCGTGTACAACCGGGAATGGGAGGTTGGGGGCTGCGGTGTTGCAGCGCGAAGCTACGTCATTGTTTCCCTGCATAAGACATTCGTGACCCCTGGGGTCCCTGCCGTTGAGCGACTTTGAGCCTGTTAGGCGGCCGATGCCGATTTACCCGAGAAGATCGTTGGTCGTGTCTTGGGGCAGTGGCGTTGCAGAGGCGAATACCAAGCTCAACACGGCATGCCGGACCCGTGGACCCCAACACTAGCGCTGCACAACGCAAGCATCGAAGCCATCGAAGCCAAAAAGAAGGTCGGCAAACAACGCTATACCGGATTCGCAGGATAAGGCTGACCGTGCGCTGATTGGTGCATCATCTGGCGCCCTGAAGGATCGCCCGTTGAGTCGAAGGTCAACAGCTCTAATCCGAATTAGGGGCGATCACAGTCGTTTTCCCTTGGAGCTGCCGGTCGGCGCCGGTGGGCCAGTCAGCGGCCCCTGCGCGGTTTCGTGATTTGTAGTCGTGAATCATCAGCACGCACATGGCTTGATCCGTCCTGATCTGGCCTGCGGATTGTGCGTGCGAGCGATGAGCGGGCTAACCACTTCGGGTCTTGTCATGATTATGTCTGCTTGGTTGCGTTGAAACACCCTGCGATGTTGCGGTTATTCGCGAGCCTAATTGTGGTAGGATATAAGAGGCTTGATTTCGCCGGCATAGTAATCGCATTTTCAGCCAGGACAACAGCCCACAGACAAGACAATCTCCTCTCTGCGCAATTAAATACTCCAACTTTGAGTTTCAAGTTTCGAACAACACAACACACCGCAAAACATCGCAATGGACTACTCATACTTCAACTCGCAGCACTCGAGCGTCGGGCTCCCGCCTCTCTACATCAAGAACAACAGCATGCCATTCGACAACCTCGTGAGTCGCTCACCTGCCTCATTTTCAATCACCCACCGACTAACAACTCATTGCAGAACGAATCTGGCATCTACCAAAGCCTCGACATCGACCCCAGCTACCCGGACCTGTCAACGGCGATGGACTTCAAGATCCCGCCGCTCAGCTCCATCGAGCCCGAGCTGTACCAGCCAGGCCCGCTCGACATCAACCTGGCCCCGCGCAGAACAGCCTCGTCCTCTTCCTCCGTCACCCCGACTGAATCCGACTCGGACTCGCTCCGCGAATTCCGGAGCTCCGTCTCACATGAAATCGATTCCGCCATGCAGGGCCACAAGACGAAGAATGTAAGCGCAGCCATTTCTTACGGTAATAAATTAATTCATGACATGTCTGACATAATGATCCCCGCAGGTAAAACGCCGCCAACAGAACCGCGACGCCCAGCGCCGCTACCGCGAGCGCCGCGACGAGCGCACAAAATCCCTCGAGCAGACCGTCCACGACCTCGAAGCCAAGCGCCAATGGCTCTCGAACAGCTTCTTCCAGAAATCGCAAGAAGTCAACCAGCTCTTCCGCGACAACGGCCTCCTCCAGAATGAAATCCAGGAGCTAAGGCAGCGCTGGCAGATGATGATTATGCTCCTTCAACGGCCCAAGGCGCTGCAGTCCCTTTCGACGCTCATGGCCGAGGACGTTGGACTTGGCGCGGCGGTGTTTGGGACGCCCGTTGAGCCGGCGAGGCTCGATGAGTTTTTGAGGTGTCTGGATGCGGTGCTTGTTCCGGATGCTGGTGCGACGAATTACCAGAGTGCGACTAATTAGTCGGCTCTTGGGTTTTTGTTCTAGTGGCTTTTTTTTTTGTTGTTTTCCTCTGCTCGATTTAGCCAGCCTTGTCTCTTTCTACCTAGATCTGGATTGATTCCAGCACTCTCTCTGTATTCTGGCCCACGCCCAAGACAACAGTTTGATCATGTCATGTATTTAATGAGGAGTTGGTGGTTTTCTCAAATATACGCCAAGCTACTAATCATCGGATTTGGATTTACTACATGATCCACGCCGCTACTACTGTCTATCTGATACTCGTGACACTCCCTTTCTTCTCTCCTGCAGATTGCGTTCTCAAAATAAAGGCACATCTCGACCTGGCGACCGGAGCGTCCCAAAGATATGCAGCGCAACTAGCTGCCGTGGCTTCTATAGCTTCTAGCTTTATACCCCAATCCGGAGTTTGGACGAAGCGACCTGATTGGCTGCTTTGCCGTTTCCAGCCTTCGGGAATCCATCTCCGCAGATCAGATTAATCACGCCGCTGAAAGTCTATAGAGATTATCGACTGAGACTACCTCCAACCCTCCATATCGGGAATCCATCGTTCGTCGGCTATCATTTCCCTCCTGCTTGAAGGTCAATCAATCAGACAAACGAGCCACAGGAATACCTAGGGATCTCTACCTCCGGACCGACATCTCCGCAGCGAAGATGGCATCCCATTCCCACGCCATGCGATGAGTTTCATGCACGTGCGCATCGTCCCGACGCCCCTCCATAACCCAAATCAGGAGTCTGGGCAAGGCACGACCATTGGTCCCCGGGCGGCTCTCGGAGCTGATCCGGAATCTCTTGAGTTTTTTAGTGTCTGCGCGCACACGCAGGGGCTCGCTCCCACAAGCCGTTTTTTTTCTATTTCTCGGGACTGCGAAACGTACTCGGATGGCTGTGGACTGGACTGTGCGCGCAGTTCGGTTCGTGCTGCGGCCTGGACCGCGCAGCTGAAGAAAGGAAAAAAAAAAAAAAAAAGGAAAAGGGTTTTATGATGTCAGCGAGGATAAATGTCACCTAATCCGACATCACATCACATGCGTGCTGCAACCATCCGGGCGTCGCGGCGATTTCTCGGACTCCCAAAGGTTCAAGATATACGGGGCCTCGCAAGAAAGCGGCCGAATACGTCGCGGAGGGGACGGAGTTGAGTTGCGCTGCTCGCTTGTTCCCATTATTTATCCCGGGTGTGTAATCTATCGCCCTCCTGTCCTTTCCTGTCCTGCCTCTGGACCCTGCATGCCATCCTTACACATTAAACAGGCGAGACCCGTATAGTAGTTGCAGGACAGAATAAGTCTGACACACCGGAAGTCCCTCCGGGAGGGTCCGGGGCCGGAAGAGGCGAGTCAGATAGATGCATTGCTGGAGAATAGTTCCGGGTTTGGGAGCTTGGTCCACGGCCGTTGAACCGTTGACGATCAAGTGGTTGGATGGATCTGCGCTAGGGATCTTGGACTGGAATCTGGAATAACGATGGATCTCGTTGAGAACTCTAGCCTTTTAGAGTGGTCTTTTGTTTCTCTTATGTATCATGACATAGGTGGGATGTAAGTCCACCTTGATTCTCCATCTCCATAACAAGCTCATGCACAAGAAGTTTAACAACTGACAAGAGAATAAAAAACGGAAGACTGTGGAGAGAAAGTGGGCTGATGATCTTAGTCATGGCTTGATAATATGTGGCTTGATTATAGCGCAGCCGGGGAGAGATATAATTAGGGAGTCGTTGGCCAACGGTCTCGAGTATAAAATGAGACTTTTGAGGTACATAGAGTGCACCCCCAGATGAGTCTTAAAGGAGTAGCATTGAGTACATACTAGCCTCAATGCCAGGTAGCAATGAGAATTGATGACCCTAAACAGCATGTCCAACCCTAAGATCATCTCGGTCGATGGTAACGCTTGGCATCTCCAACTTCGTATCTAGTACGGAGTATAGAGACCCTTCAATAGCCCAGCCATCCCAGCCCTCATTGGCCAAGCTGAATAAGCCCAACTATTCCATTTCAGGTCAGGTTTCCCCCCGATATTATTGGTCGAGTATCCTCGCACCCTCTCATTCCAACATGAAGTGCGAGAAGGGCGAGATTACTTAAGAGACCTGGTGCTCGCCAACTGAGAAACGTCTGACCATCTTGTCGCTGTCCCTTTATTGATATGCAGTATACACTATCTACAACTTACTCGGCATCATCATGAAGCCCTCACAATATACGGTCACCTCGTCCGCACTTCGCACTTCGCACTTTGTTCAGGTTCCTCCAAGTCTATCCTAACTGGTCACTTCAAGCCTCACACGCAAGCTAGGCCATATTTGGGCCACTCACACAACACTCAAATTGAGATTCAAGCCCAAACCGGAGCTCCTCCGGTTTCTCCCCTCAATCAATCAACGGTCCTGAGACCAACCCATCCTCCGATCCAATCTATCCTCCCCCGCGTCCCTCCGAGCAAAACTCGCCTCGAACTTCGAAAACGCCATTACCGCTCGCCGTATGATTCTGGTCTACGAGTGCAGAACTCACGCGAGATCCGCAAAATAATGACAGCCCTGCGTTGCATACGATTGGTCGAGTCGACGAAGGAATATGCAGTCAGCGCTTGGTCATCAAGCCACGGGCAGAAGCGAGATCGCCAAGCGGGTGGCGGGCGAGTCTAGAACGAATACGAGGGCGTTGAGTGGTCGAAGACGACGAAAGACCGAGTTTTGATTCGGATTCAAGTGCGAATGCATCTCTATCGATTTCAACAAGAGCCGACGCAAACTGTGGGAAGCAGCGATGCTCTTGCAGTATTTGCTGCCACTTGACCACCAACAACCACTGTGCGAGCCATGACCAAACAGCTCATCTCAAGGTCGGGACGACCAATGTGAGAACTTTATCCGCAGGATTCTTTCAGCGCGCAACATGTGCGCTGGTTGGTACGGTTCCAGATGCACCGATTCCTCCAACCTATCAAGCACATTCGAGGCGTCGTACGCCCCTCGGCTCTCAAATTAACCGGCATGTCGGTTTCGCATATGCATCCCAGAGCCAAAGCGACACTCTCCATGGAACCGGCCTGTGAGCAAGGTGCTAGATCTGCTCTCCAGAAAACTCTTCGAAATGCTTCAGGCCGAACATTCTCGTTCGCTTCAACAATCGCCATCTTGTATCTCCCACAACCATTTCCGTGCCATATGGCTTCTAGCCGGCTGGATCGCCTTCTCGCTGTCTTGGACTAAGTGGGCCGAACGATATCGGGCGGCAGAGGAGTGGCATTCCCGAAGCGCATCAAGAGGACGGCCCAGTGCACCACAAAACATGATTCGTTTCTCGTGAGATCCAAGGATGAATGCCTCTGGCTCCAGCTCCAATTACGGCTTGGTGGATCGAGTGACCAAGCGGCACGGTAACTCCAAACTATATTTGGACCGAGGGGAAGATTTCTGACGGTCGATGTTGAGGTTGAGGTTGACGTCGTCACCCGACGCCCCGCTCGCCTATCTATCTAGATCGTACCCCTCTAGAGTCAGAGCCGGAACGCACGCTTCAGCTCTTCGAAAACGCACCATCGTCGCTCGCTCTCCACAAACTAATCATGCCAGAATCAACTAGCAATACCAACTTGGACCTCACATCCACCGTCGCCCTCGTCACAGGCGGCTCAAACGGCATCGGCGCTGCCGTGGTCACACGGCTCAACAGCGCAGGCGCAACGGTGATAATCGTCGATCTGGAATCGACAAAATCAAGCGCAAAGACCCTCATTTCCTCACTACCGTCACCAAACAATGCAGTATTCATGCCGGCGAACATCGCAGACTGGGTGCAGTTACGAAGCGTATTCAGCGCCGCGCGGACACGGTTTGGCCGCCTGGATTTCGTCATTGCGAATGCGGGGACGATGGAGCATCAACCTGTTCTTGAGGATACCTTTGATGAGCAGGGGGAGCTGGAGGAGCCGCGGGATGCGTATCGGGTGATCGATGTGAATCTCAAGGGGAGTTTGAATAGTATGATATGCTGCCTCCCATCTCTCCTCTCCTCTCCTCTCCGCTACGCTATTAGGAGACTAACCGGACACTCCAAAATAGCCCTAAAACTCGCCCTCCACCACCTAAAATCCTCGTCACCCCTTCCCACCACATCCCCCCGCATATCCCGCTCAATAACCCTCCTCGCCTCCACAGCGGGCTACTTTGACGGCGCCGGCACAACAGCCTACACATCCTCGAAACACGGCGTCGTCGGCCTCCTGCGCTCCTCGCAATCCGAAGCCGCGAAACACCGCATCCGCGTCAATGCCATCGCCCCCTTCTTCACGACAACACATCTCACCAGTGGGATCGCCGAGAAGTGGGTTGCCGCGGGGCTCGAGGTGAATAGTCCCGCGGCGGTTGCGAAGATCATTGTGGATGTTGCGACGGATGAGAAGAGGAGTGGGGAGGGGGTGTTGGTTGCGGGGAGGTTTGTGCGGGAGTTGGAGAATTCGAGGATGGGTGTTTTGGGCGGGTGGGTTGGGGAGGATGTAAAGGAGTTTATGGGGAGGGCGGGGGCGTTCTTTGAGAAGATTGGAGGGTATGTGTTGCCTGGGCCGAGGTGAATTTTTTTTTTTCTTCTTTTGGGTCCGAGTGGTGGGGGGGATATAGAGTAGATAGTAGAGCCGACTCGAGAGGCATGGAGAGAAGAATACTACTGTGCTAGGTATGGCACTCAGCTGCAGTCGCAGAGTGAGCAGGGCTCCTGGTTATACGAAATGTCGCAAATATAATATTGAATGCATCTACCACGACTGGCATGCTGACACGGGTAGGTAGGTACCCTCGAGCGCCGCCTGCCTTGCTAGGGAGATAATATATTAGGAAGGAACCCGCGTTACATAGGCAGTCGTTCATGTAAAAAAGGCAGGAGAGGCTGGGACCTGCGACTGGCACGGGTCGCACCTTCCTCAAGGGCGATGAATATATCTCGCCCCGTCTTAGGAAAGTGCGATGGGAGGTCCAGCTCAATCGCGTTGAGATAGGAAGGAGTGTCTATCTCCATATTATGGGTAATTGGGACGGATGGATAGGTGTGTTTGACAACTTATACTATTCGGCGTCCAGCATGTAAGGATTATGGTTTGCTGAGATGATCGTTTTGCGTGTTTTGACCAATGGGAGCATATTCTATTGAGCTTCTCCTCTTTGCCTTCGGGTTGTCTCTATACGTTAGCACTATATGAACATCTCATCCACAGACGAGGGACGGGTCGAATAGAACCATAGGTACACCTTTTGAACAGAGAAAGGCCCGGGATACTTCCTACCTCTTAGGTTTACTATGATTTGATTGTCTGTCTTGGGGCGCTATGAATGACGGGCCCTTTACTGGCTGATTCGGTGGGCGTCTAACGGACTGTATTCTTATCCCTTGGCTACAGCCCATGTGCAGCAAACGTTGAATTGGTGGATACGACACGCGTGACTCGAGGTATAGAAGTGGCGGGTTTCTTCACCCATTTTCTTTTTTAAATGTCTCAAGCGCCCTTAAAGTGAGCCTGTAGAGACGCCAAGGGCCCTACCTTCATTGAGCACGAAGTTGGGGACTCGAACCAGAATGAATAGACCGGAACGCCTAGGCTTCGTGATCTAAGGACCTCAAATCGCCAAAGATCGTGTCGGTTATGACAGAGCATCCCATACCCAGGAACAGCACTAGACCTGAGTTCTGAGTCTCCCTTGTGGGTGGCGGTTTCTATGCACTCAACAACTCTCTTTTCTAGGATGTACTATTCCGCTATAGAGGCCGGATGAATGGTGAGCGTCTGGCAATTAATGAAATCATCCAAGCCCTCTTCCGGGCTTTCCACGACAATACCGGCTACTATGTGTGTGTAGGGCTCCAATCTGGAACTTCGACCACCCCACCACTCACATCTACTACGCCTGGCCCTGGAACTGCGGCTCCTGTTCCGACACAGGAGGGCATTCCCGCTAACTGCAATCAGTTTTGCACGGTTGGTCTATACTACTTATATTCACTTCGCTACTTGCAGGCGTTCTGGTTCCGGTAACAATACTGCGAGCCTAAGTATTTCTTGTAGACCTAGCCTAAATAAATTATATATAAATCTCGCCCTATTCTTAGAGGTACAAAAAAAAAAGGACAGGCAATAAATATAGACCAGGATGGTTGGCAAATCAGGTTAACCACAGGACCGGTGCCTCGGGCAACACACTGTGGGACCTACATAAAGGGTCTAAGACATGTCTTCTAATAGGCCAACCTAAACATCCTTCCTCTTTTGATATAAGTTAGAAGGATAAGGTATAGTGTTTTCCTGAGTTCACCTTGCAACCTTGCAGGCCGTGGTACTCCTTATACCCAATTGGAAGTCCTCTGTTCCTCCTCAATGATGAAATAACGACACTAAGCTGTATCAGGGAAAACCACGGATACCTTTTCCCGGTTTCCTTTTGCTGGAATTGTACAAGCTTGCTGGGCTACAGCGGAAATGTTTCATCATGGTGCAAACCAGTCAAATTCTGTGACCTTTCTGCACAAGGCCGCCTTGGAGCTGAGTACATGACTCACAGATCTTGATTATGCGATCTAGTGGTTATTCTGGTGAATCCTTGCTTACAACCATGGCTGAAAGTCACGATTTCATATTCGTCAACTATAACCAACCTAATCCCCGACCAACGCAGAGACAGCGCCAGACAGTCTCGGCCTTTATTGGGAAGCATTTTCGGAATCGTTCTGCGCCTGCACGGCGAGCACAACTGCCTGCCCAGGATGATAAGACGCCATTACCCCTTTTAGCAAGGAAGAGTAGTCCGCAGGTGCTCGTAGCCCTCAACGGGCGATCCAGATGGCCTCCACTAACAGAAGGGGGCAGCAGACTACCCCACCTTGAAGAGACAGACGCTGTATTAGAAGACTTGGCCACTTTAGAGCCACGTGCTAATAAGGATGATGAAACTCTACTGATCCGGCCAGTGGTAGAATGCTACGTCCCAGCCTACCCACCTGAACATCGACAAAAGGTTGTTCATATTCTTGATTTTGGTGAGTTCTGCCCCTCACCGGCACTTGCGCCCGTTGCCCCGCTCCCACGCATCATGGATCTGCATACCAGATTCCTAATCAGCATTATACTCCATGCTCCATGCTTTGTCCAGTTGAATCATCCCAAAGCTAAAAATAAACAGTTATCCACTGGCTCATCGAGCGCGCAACAAACTGGGGACAGGGTCCTACCCCCTCAATGCGCTCCTGGGTGCAGGTCATTTGTAGCGAAACAACCCTCTTCGATGCAGTAGCCGCCTTTTCATACGGCATCAGGGCCACAACGCTAGAAGATAAAGAAACACCCAGCCCCGCGATATTATGGCACAAGGCCAGGGCATTAAGGGGTCTGCAAGCCAAAATCTCCACAGAGGCGCCGGACAAACTGGCGACATGGACTGCGAATGAAACTATCCTGGTGACCTTTTATCTTATGGAGGGGGCGGCGAGGTTTGGGTATGAGGCGGAGTTTAGGGCTCATTGTCTGGGTCTTTTGCAGATGGTGCATTTGAGAGCCAAAGCGCAGACGCAGGCGCAGGCGCAATGTGCAAGTACCCGTCTGGACGCGAGTTCAACTACAGCTTCTCTGGAAGACCTGCATGTCATGCAAGCGGTTGGGCTGGTAGAGGGGACCGAAATCGCATCGCAGCTCAGACATGAAATTGCCCTCTACGGCTACCAGTCCTCCTCCGTCCCCTCAAGCATCAACATGGAGGCATTGGACCTGCGATACCCGGTACCCGGCAAGCAAACCAACCCAGAAATCCAATCCCTAATCGACAACTTACCCCTGGGCTTCCGCGACCTAGCAGAAACAGGAAACATGAGCGTCCAAGTTCTCCTCCTCCTAAAGGAACAGCTCCGCCTCCAACACTACCACGACATGGCAGAATTCGCGGAACGACAGACGGAGTGGATAAAGCACGCTCGCGCTTTGGCGAATTGGTCCAATAACCCCGTGGAAGAGCTGGCTTGCCTAGGCATGGTCGCATTCTTATCATGGGGTACGGCCCAGTTGAAATTCTTCCCAGAAGCATCGCTATTACATAGGGTGAAGAGCCTGGGCAGGCAGGCACAGTTATTTGATAATGCGGGGTTGTTTATCTGCTGTCGCAAACTACGGGCTTGGGTTGTTCTTGCAACGGCTGAGAATGCGATTACAGGGGGTGCGACGTTGAAGAGGCATGCTAATGGCTTAATGAGGGAGTTTCTGTCCGAGGAGCCTTTGATTGATAATGATTGGGGTAATATAGAAGACCTGGTTAAACGATTCTTATGGAATCGGAAGACTTTGGCTGCTTGGAAAAGGTACTGGATGAGCTACTATCAAGACGCGAGGGAGGCTTAATCGACGCTCAAGACACGGAAGCATGCGATGTTCCGTAGTGGGACTCGTTATTAAATGGAGTACTATACGCTTGACATGGCCCTACAACATAAGCCCCGCTAGGCCATCAAGTCTTCTTAAAATAACCACTTTAAACTTACAGTCTCGGGTGATCTAGTATGAATTGTGATAGCCATATCTGCGGAGTTGCGAGGCCTATGCTCGTTTGAAACATCGACTAGCGCCATCTAGCTCGCTAGGCTGGGACACCGCGCTGCAGGAGAGGCCACTCTTCTCATTTCTTGCTAAAGGCAGAACGGAGTTTTGCCTTGCAAAGGATGAGGTACTTGCACCGTTCTGAGTCAGATTGACATGCGCCTGAGTAGGAGAAAGCAAAAGGGCCGCTAACTATGAAGGTCTCGACCACACCCTAGCTCACAAGACAACAGTAAGCGGCGTCTTCTCAGTGTCTTGTGGAGTAGCCAAGGACCTGGCCGTTATCTTAGCAACCCATTTGCCCACATCTCGCATGTATTCCTCTGCCACGCCATCAGGCTCAGAATGGAGCTGGTGGAACGCGCCCTCGAATGACTTCCAGGTCTTCGCGTCTAGATCCGCCTCGTCGTGTGGTTCGAGTCGATTATAAAGCCGCTTCGAGATGATATAGGAGGTAATCATGTCCCCCGAGCCATGGGCCCAGAATACAGGGCACGGGAGGCGTGCACTGAGCCCTGAGGGAACACGCTGGTCCGACAAGGACAACGTGGTCAGGTCACTTTCGCGTTGGAGCCTATACGGAAGGAACGGTCTTTGTTTCAGTAATGTTCTGCGTGGGTCTTATACCAGTTACTTGGAATCACTTACAAGTCCTGCAGTCCCTCTAAAGTGCCAGTATTGTGGCATAACGGATCGCTGCGATACCTCTCGCGCACATCGCGGTCTCTAGTGATAAAGTCGCCGCTCAATGGCTGAGTAAACTTCAACTTGGGAAAGACACGCGCAACTTGCTTAGCGACGGCAACGACGACGCGATTGGGGTGGCTGGCCGGATCAAGTCCAATATACGGCGCCTCCAGGATCCAGCCTGTAATCGGGGGCCGATGTCCGTCCAGTTCTGGATTCAAAAGATACAAGGCAGATTCCTGCCCGCCCATGCTGTGACCCATGAGAAAAAGGGGGGTCTTCCTAATATCCGGTATAGTGGAAGCGATGTAGATCAAGGCCTCGTGGATCTCGGCAACGACTTGTGGTGTTTTTCCTGCGTCCCCCATTTGCGCTTTTGTTCTCACGGTCTTTCCCCAGCCTCGTCGGTCCCAGGCATGCACTTTGACGGGGTAGTTTGCAACGAGTAGCGAGAAGAAGGCGTCGTATTGATCACAGCGGTCACCGAAGCCGTGCAAAAAGGCGATGTGTGATTTGATGAGGGAGTCTCTGGGCTAAAATAAAATCGTGACTGCATCAGTTCTATCAAACCCGTGACAGACAGGGGAAGATAGCTCTGCTGAGCTGCTCTGCTTACTTCCCAAACCCTTGAGTAAACTTCCAGGCCATCGCTCAGGAAGAAGGAACCACTTGTACTGGCTGCCATGATAGCACTATATCAGTGTAGATTTAGCTGTCGGAACGATGAAGATTGTATCTTTAGACGTGGAAAGGATTTGCAGAGTGAACCAGGTTTTAGGCGGCCTTAAATATGCACTAGATGACAGAAGCAAAAGGCTTCAGCCCGCAAAGTGGATATTCCCTGTGACATTAAATCAACCCCAGAAAGTCTCACTTGAGGGTCACAGAATACACTATTTCTGCCACTCATGGCTATAGCCACAGCACCAATGTCCAAGTGTAATCAAGCATGATGAACTTCGAATTCCGCGATGCCAACCGCGCCCTCCTAAGACAACCGGTAATAATCGAAGATAGATAGCGGGTATTGTGTGGTGGTGATTCAAAAAGGGGTAGTGCTCTGGTTGAAGTTAGTCTGCTGCTCCAAGTTACAGAGAGCAAGATTTCTGAGTTCTAAAAAAGAAAAAGATAAACCAAGAACAGCTCCGCATTGGTGACTATGTCTTGAATAATGCGGAGCGTCCGCTAGCCAGCCAGCCACATTCCGCAATGACCTCCGCAAGGCCTACTTTTTGTACTTCAGGCCGCAGGAACAGGCCTTGGACCTGACACTGGCTCGCAGATCTTCCCCTGTTCACCGAAGATTGTCCTAACATAGAGCTACAGAATGCAAACGGCTCAAGTCAGACTCTATGATTTGCATGCATCCTATGTGCCTGGCTCAACAAGGAATCCTAATTAAATGCTAAATCCCAAGGCCCAAGAAACAATACTTGATGCAAAGTACAGCAAAATTGTTTAGCAACATCCCCCGCTGTTCTCAACGGCATGCGGCTTTTCGTTCTCAATGTCTACCCGATGGCGCTCTGCAACAGAAGTGCTGGCGGATTTGGCCTCGATTGCGCGTTTGGAGGTAATGCGATAAATGTATTTAAGAAGGTTAGCTATTAAGGCATTGTCAAACAAGGGCTGCAAGTAAGTCCCTACCCATAAGAAGCTCATGAAAGGCGACGTCCACATTACTGGACTCTAACGCTGAGGTCTCGATAAAAGAAAGGTTATTCTCGCCTGTTACACTTAGCCTTTTGGACACTTCCCCATGTTGTGGGAGAATAATGGAACTGGGAAGTAACATACTGACAAGCCTCTTCGCCTCCTCAGTCGAGACAGCCCTCAGGTGACCCAAATCACTTTTGTTACCCACTAGCATGGTAGCAATGTTGGAGCTCGAGCTATCCCGGAGCTCCTGCAACCACCGGCCAACATTCCTATATGTCTGCCGCTTGCTGATATCGTAAACGAGGAGTGCACCAACACCACCACGGTAGTAAGCCTTTGTAATTGCCCGATAGCGTTCTTGCCCAGCGGTATCCCAAATCTGAGCCTTGACCTTCACAGTATCAACTTGGATGGAGCGTGTTGCGAATTCAACGCCAATGGTTGTCTTCGAGTCGGACGTGAATTCATTTTGGGTGAACCGGCCTAAGAGGTTGGATTTGCCGACGCCAGAGTCTCCAATGAGCACCACTGTCGTAGAAGATACATCGCGCCATGTCAGTCGTGATACAAGTGAGGGTTCAGTGGAGGGTAGTTATATGGACCGGCTAAGTGCAGCAAGGTTACTGACATTTGAAGAGGAACTGCAAACCAGTCCAGTTAGAGAATGCTTGTCAGAATAACTATGAAAATATGGTCATAGAGCTTACGTCATACTCGTCTTCGGCCATGATGACTCTCTACGAGGAGAATTCGCAGAATGATCAGATCAGTCGATGTTGCCAAAGTCATAGGCAGCGGGAGAGAGGAGCTCAACTCGCGGGGGACAGACGCTCACTTTGAAAGGAAGAAGAAGAAGAAGGAGAAGAAGCAGATGCCTATAAAATGCAGTTTCGATGGTTTGAATGGTGATTATCACTGCCTGTCATCACACCACTTGCCACGAGGTTCGCCCGTCACTTCGAGGCAGCTAGGACTAGTAAGGTGAATGCATCATGTTTCCTAACTACGAGGAATGATCTCTTTTATTTTTAGTATAATAAGGGTAGAGTATGCAAAGATAAGAGGCCGTGATGATCTGGTTTTTTGGCACTGCAAGCAGGCAAATAATGTTGGGTAAGGATAATCTCTTAGCCAAAAGAAATAATATATTAGTAATACTTAGCGTCATAGTTAGGTCTTGGATGTGAGGCTTGCATAGTACCATGTGCAGCGTTATTATTGGGCAAAAGTGAAATCCTATTTGGGAAATTGGATTATGTACCTACACAGTAACCTGGAATCATGTTGCTTAATTTAAAGCTGGACTAGTATAAGGGGTACACCTTCTATGAATCTGACTGAGTACTGATAGGAGTGCCCTGGGCTTCTTCATTTCTTTGATAGTTTGCTGCCTAACTGCGGCGCAGCATCCACAGGACTTACCAGCGAAAGATCACACGCCCTATGGCATATGGAGGTCGTGGATGTTTGCCTCCTTACTCTCAGACCCAGTAACGGAGAGCTGGAAACTTGACAGGAAGGAGGCCCTCCCAATTGTCTACAAGCACCAGGAGCTGATCCCTGATATTGACGCCCACAAGGCCTACTGCGCAACGAAGCAACCAATTGCACCCGAGCAACTTCCTATCGTAAGTATAGACTAGTTGTGACCCAAGAAGCACTGCATTTGTACGGCTGTATCAACGCTATCCCATTTTCCAGCAACGAAGCAGTCTCTGGAGCATGTGAAACTCTTTCCATATCGTCTTCTTATCGGTCTTCTATGCATCATATTTTGGCCTTCTGCTCAGCTTCACCACCTTCCGGACCACCTTGATTGAGCTGGATCAGAGTGGCATGCTTGCTCACGGCTATCAGCTCGCCAACCGAATCCATGATAATAATCTCAGCATCGACCCTCCCATTCTTCAGCTGCTTCATTGTCGTTCTCATAAACAGCCACTCCAATCCCGCACTTGGTAATGCCTTTCTTATATCCAGGTTCAGACTCAGAGTTGCAAAAGAGAAAATTGTAAAGCTTGGCTCGACATAAAACACGTCGGCCACGTAGCCCAATGTCTCATTCGTAAAGCGCGCTCCAGTATCAGTGTCGGCCTCTCTCCAGCATACCCACTGGTCCACCATTCCTGTGAGATATTGGCCCCTGCTAGGAGTAAAAGTCCGCACATGACGATGCGACATTAGCCCTTGATAGGGCTCAACCCATCTGTCATCCTGTCCGTCCCTGAGTTTGGAGAGGTCCACGCCATAAGGCAACGGGTAGAGCTCCCATCCCGTATTGATGGATATCCCTCGCTCATTGTCAAAGTTCACGCGGGTGATATAGCCCAGAATTACCTCCTTTTCCTGTTGAACCAGGGATACATTGACAGCCGACAGACGCCTCCCGAGCTTGACATCCTTGATAACGACTCTGGCAGGGCCAATCTGAGCTCGTCTGGTGAACTCGACGTGGAGGGTCATGGTGTGTGGCTGGTCGCGCTTCAGTGTGTCCTCGAAGTGGGCAGTCACGGCTCTCATGAAGCAGGACACGATATAGCCCCCATGAGGCACTGATTTGTGTTAGCTGGCGAGCAAGCACGGGGGGCATTGTACAGCCATACCTGGACCATTACACCAGTCATCGTGTAGAACAACGCTGTAGGAGTGAGAGTCCAATCTCTCTAGAAATGTCGCTTGATGCCAGGTTGAGCCCATATCTAGAGCGATTGGCAAACGAAACAAGATGTGGAATGATAGTAGAAATTGAAGCTATCATGTATAAAAGATGTACGGTACGAGCGAGGACAGAAGGCTGCTTACTTTTCTATGTCCAGTCTTGCCCGTCGAATCATAAGAGGATCTCGGCGTAATCACCAGTTTGTTGCCGTGTGGAGATCCTACTCAGCTAAGCCTCTGAGGTATGCTCTGTGGCCGCAAGTGAGGCCGCCGTCTACGAGTTACGAATCTTTGACCACCACAGAGCTCCTCTGATGACCTTCATCAGGGGTTTCCTTGGACATAGGCTTTCCAGGATATAGTGGGCGCAGGCCAGGCCACAGGAACGCAATTACTCATAGTTATTTCATTAACTACTAATGAAGCATTAGAATGCACCTTTGCTCTCGCATAGGGAGGGATTCTGGTGCGCTACAACACTGAGCTTTGTCAGGTGAAAGATCGGTGATTCTGACAGCCTCGGCTATCCGACAACTGCTTCCCCCTTTGATTGGCAGATTTTGGCTATCATTACTCTAGTATAGATCACCTTTACTCTGTGTTTCCCCTTCTTCTTTCTTTCTGCCCATGCGAGAATCTATACTATTCTCCTCTATCACCAATGATACAATCCTAAGATTACGACCGATTTCAATACTGCAAGCTGGCCTGGGATTCCTCTTGACACGGGGCTTTCTTTCTTTAGGTCCTTAGTCTACGCAGCAATCAACATGTCGACATTAGTAATGCCGACTAAGGTTGATATAAAATGATGTGGCGCCTATTATTGATAGATTCGCCACTTTTATTTGCTGGGACTGTGTTCGGGCAACCGGGGTTTCTTCTTATTCAGGAAAATACTTCAGGAGGCGGGGCGGGTCCGGGGGTGAAGGTTCAGGGTTACGTCTTTCTAACCTGGAGGCTAGTTTAAACTGTTCTTTCCAAATCCAGAATAGTCGTTCAAGAGCTGCTCTCCATGTATTGGGCGCTTCCGATAGAAACCCGAAGCGTATCCTCAACCTCCAATGCCACGCCCTCTCCATGTAGAGGAGCTCACTGCAGGTACCTAGTACCTGGTGCCTGACTAACTATACTCCCCTCTACTCATGAAGAACTCCCAATGGTGTAGAGCATAATATATCACTACATACATTTTCTTGGGTTGTATTTGGCTTGACCATCAGGGTCTGAGCCTGTCCAATTACCAAGTATAGTAATACGGCCGGTTTCAGTTCCTCAAAGAGCTAAAAGGATTTGTCACAGCCACAAAATTGATTTTAATGCCGTGGCCTACATTAAGTACGTGAGATGCTATTCTAGAGAATCCACTAGTGCTCAAATGCCCATGCGTCTGGTATACTTTGCACCACAATGTCTAAGATGACTGAAGATGGCCTAAAAGAATCCCACGGCCCCTAGTAGTTGACAGGAGCTGTGTCATGCGTCCGCGTCATCTCCCCTCGCACACTGCCTCTTATAGCCATGGGTAACAGCTACTAAGTGGCATTTTCCAGATTGCTATTTTCCCTGTTACTGGTATATACCGTGCAGATGATCAGGTGCGGCAAAATGGAGATCATCCCAGTAGCATTGCCTGATCAACTGAAACCCATCAACATCATTCGAACACGAACCTGCTTTATCCTAGACAAACGCCTAGACGAAAATATCCTCAAGGATGCTCTCAACGAGCTAATCCGGACTCATGGAGGAAGTTAGGAGCTCGACTAAGAGCCCGGCCCAAAGACAAGCGACTGGAGTACCACCTCCCGGAAACCTTTGAGGAGCAATACGTCCTCTTTAGTTGGAGCTCGAAGGAAGATGAAAAGTCCTTCTGGGACATTGCCTCCTCGCTGGATGTGCACGATTGCAAAGGAGTCACCTTTCTACCCCCGGTCGATGCCATTGAAGACGCCTTTATACCATCCACCTGGCCTACAAGCCGGAAAGACGAGCCGCCCGATGCTCCTTTACTCTACGTCCATCTTACATTTGCTACCGACGCGACGGTTATCGCTACGAGCTTGCCACACACGGTGGCCGATCAATATGGACTTGGGAACGTCATGAAGGCCTGGCTTGGTTTAGTCGAGGGGGAAATTCCGCCGCCAATGGTTGGGCATAGCGATGATGCGCTCCCCAAGTCCAAACCATATAATGCATTCCCCAAGAACGTGGTCTTCAGGAAGGGGAGAATGAGGGTCCGACGAAGAATGGAGCATTTCTTTGTGATTCTGGGACTTATCCCAGACATTGTCAAATACAAGGAGGAGCCCGCCCACATTGTCTTTTTCCCGCGGCGACTTATCCGGTCGCTGCAGGAACGGCATCAACATGTGTTGAGGGACACCTATGGACCTGATACTACCATTAGTGAGGGGGACATACTCACCGCTATTATCACCAAGGTTTGGCACCCCTGACCAGAGTCTTTTATCTCGTGTGCTAACGGACCAGTTTTCGCGCATGTATGATAGGAAACCGCGAACAATAGCACTCTTCCAATCCATCAACTGTAACGCTCTCCCCTCGACCGCATCTTCATTATTGGCTCTGACTTGGACATACTCGATCCAGTGCGAGGCCGACACCCCGATCTTCCCATCGGCGAAAGCGACGGTTTCATCCACAACAGCCTGCACTACGCAACCGCGCGCTTCCGAATCAACGCATCCACCCCCGTCAGCGAGATCGCGTACTGGAACCGACAAGCCATCATCCAGGCCCTGAGGGAAGAGGACATCGACATCGGCATGTCCGTGACTCGAGAAATGGTACGCCGCGGACAACCAATCCATATCTGCGAACCCTTTGAGAGGTTCTACTCCATATCAAACTGGTGCGGTGCGTGGAAAGGGCTGGACTTTCGCGGCGCTGTTGCTGTTGAAGAGCACGGGCAGGAGGAGCGCACCTTGCTCGATGTCGATATGCTTGTTGTAGGACAGGGCAATAAGCGCGGCGCGCCGCGGAGATGTAAGTGTCTTAAGCGGGTCCCTCGACTACCTTTGTTGATGAATGATGGATCTGATGTGATGTTTATAGTCCGCACAAGCATCATGTGTAAGACCAGCGAGGGCTTCTACTGCGACTTTTCGGCTCCCCTAAGGGCATTGAGCTGATCCGCGCGTACTTGGAGAAGGATCCACTGCTCGAGCGCTTCTAGGGTCTTATGAGTGAAGTTGTAGCGGGACGTTGAAACTGGTGTAAGTAGCGGCACAGGTGCACTGTATTTATAATATTTGTTTTTTTTACAGTATAATTTCAGCTACTAGTTACCCGTATATCTTCTTTTTTTGCTCCCTCTTAGACCTTTATTTCACCTAATGACAACCGAGATTTCCATTGGCGTAGAACATCCGAGAATTCGCTTTAGGAGTATTAGAAAAATAGATACGCCAGGCAAGGGCCAAGCAGAGACTTGTCACAGTCTGGAGAACGCAGAAAGAGGTGCTGATTGATTCCTGGTGTCTTCGCCCTTGGCGCTAGGTGCTGAAAGAATGACAGTAGGATTTGGTTGGGTATTCAAGCATCTATCTATACCAGGCTAAATGATGGGCCTATGGACTCCTTCCGGCGTAACGTTTCCTGCTCCCTCGCCATCCGCGACGTCGCCCGTCGGATTTCCCCCGCCAGCGCTTCGCGGTCCGCCACAGCTTCACGACTGGTTTCTTCGTTGACCACCCCCTTGGGCTCAGCTACATCGATGCCCGTGCCTTGTTCCAATTTTGCTTCCCCCAGGGGCGGTAGTGTTCTGGTAAACTCTTCAATTGCCCTGTCGATTCTTTCCTGCCAGCTGCTTTCTTCCCGTTCGACCGCCACAACCGCATAGTGTGCTCGTCTGTAAACACCAAGCCCGCTCAGGATGCCGCTGCAGAGCTCATAGGCGAACAGAACTGGCAACGCATAGTTGAGATGGGGATTGCAGCCGCCAGACCAGATGTCAACAAGAATGTAGTAGCATGCGTGAGCTGGCAAGGCATTTCCCCACTTGTAGAATGCCGGGGATAGCTCGAGTGGTAGGAGGATTGAGGTCACGTTGAGCACCAAGTAAGTGGTAAGGCCCATTGGCAGAAACGCGGGTGGCAGCCAAACCGCGAAGACATCCAGGGTAAGGAAGTTGAGATGTCCAAAGAGCCAGAGTGTCAGCCAGGTTAGAGCCCATTGATTTCCATTGACTTTCCATCCGGCGCGGAAGGCCCAGATGGCTCCAGATGTACAGATAGCACCAGCCATGGCGTAGAGCGCGGAAATCAGGAAACGGAAGATAATAATCCGTCTTGCTTTGATGGTGCCGAAAAGCCCGAATTGGGCGTATAGACCATTAATGGTAGCAAGGAAGAAGAACTGTTGAATCAGGATCAAGATGACCACCAGCGTGTTGTAGATGAGACGCGATCCCTGGGTAGTCGGCTGAATATTAATGGAAGCAAGGTGCCAGGGATCCACGTAGACCGCGACCGAGTCGGTACTGCTCCTGTTCACGGTTTGGAATAGGTGAGAGCCGGCGTCATCAAACTTCATATATGCAATACGAGCATTCTCCGACAGGATTCCCATTTGCTGAGCTAGTGAGTCGGCGATCGAGGAATACCTGGCCTCGTTCCATATGAAGGTCAGCACGTCGGTGCGGTTGTATGATGAGGCAAACTCGCTGTCGGTTAGGGCGGCAGTCAAACGGTCAGAGGCGTTTGTCGAGATATAGAGAGCTCCCCAGTAGTCGGTGTTGCATATTGCCGCGCGTAGCATAGCAGGAGTGGGATATCGCGAAGGTGAGTATTCGATCAATGTTGGAAAGGCATCGTCACTCAGGTCACTGTACGCCTGGCGAACAGCAGATCCAATCCGCCCACCGTCATCGTAATCCACAAACGCAACGTTGAGATTGTGTGTGTGTCCCGCTTGTTGGTATAGCGACCCAAAGATGTATGAAAACAGTGATAGGAAGAGCAAAGTCAGGAGAAGCCCAAAGAGCGCTGCCGTGCGAAAAAACGCAAATCGCGACCTGAGGAGGCCGGGCTCGGAGAGGCTGAGGCGCCTCTCATTGTGCTTGGGATAGAGAGCCATGGAAGTCTGCTCTCTTTAATACAAGGCAGATTTATGCCCTTTAATATATTTGGGTTCGTATCAGGCGGTGCACCTTTACTAATTATTAGTAACTGGTGTTGCCGTACATGACTTGGCACACTGGCAGCTCTGAGTGAGGTGTCAAATCATAAAACGCAGATTCCAACAGAGATTTCTTGGCCTGCAGCACATTAAGCATTAGTAACGGGTCTTCCCAAACATTACTGGGTAAACTGGAAGCCCTAGAGTGAGCGTTAAATTACACAACACAGATTCCAAGAGAGATTTCTTGGGTTGCAGCACGCTAATCTACGTTAAGGCTGGCTAGGTGCTATTTAATGTTTCATTTAAGCTTCTGCGTGTTTTAGTTTTGAAATAGTTTCTTTCAACAAGGCTCCTGTCAGGCAAACCGCCCCAGTGTGTAATTTCTCGTCCAAAAAGATCCCATAACACAGCATCATGTTCATGCACAACCCGTGGTAGCCACCGAGGTCCAGTCTCTTGCTCCTAGCTACTGGATACTGGATGCTGGCATCGCGCATTTTGGAAGTATAAAACACGGACGAATGGGTAAGGCAGGGGCAATGATCCCCAGTGGCGGATTCTGCCCAATATGAGTCTCGTTCTTTTGCTAACAACGTATTATGCCTCAACCGGCTCATACCCAAGTTCTGCTACGGCACGAAAGGTCTCCTTCCGGCTCCATTTGCCGAGTATTAAGGATTGAGCGGATTTCCTGCAGGTTCGCCGGAGACAAAGGACTTCCAGACCTGCTACTGCACCCACCCGAGCTCCTAGTGTCGGGGTCAGTTTCCGCCCGAGGCCCTCGTCTTAGCGGGTATCAATTGCTGGTGACGACCCTGGAGCAGTTTCCTAATCAGCTTTCCTGTCCGGCAAAGCGAACATACATCACGATCCGCATTGGGCGAATCCCAATGCCCATCCAATTCACAGGTTGTAGCGAGCAAATGCCAGTCTCCTATCATATCTATCCGCGGACGGTAGAAAGTATGCTCACTAATCACTCCACTACCGTACTCAGGGAGGCGACTGCGTGTACTTTGTATATATTTGTCAGTTCCCTGGCGGTTGACGGACGTTGCCTGGTCTGAAGCCCTCCAGCAATTGTCTTCCTCCGCAAACCCAGCTTCTGAACGCTAAAACTGTCAGCCATGCTTTCTCTGCCCTTGGTCTTTTCGATTTTGAGCTTGCTCACAACGGTTAGTTCAGGCGTTGATAATAGATGGGCGCAAGTATGCAGTCACTGACATGGTCCTTGATCGATGCAGTTTGGCATTTGTCTATATCGCCTCTATTTCCACCCCCTCGCCCCATATCCTGGTCCTCTTTTCGCCAGGCTAACTGATTGGTATGCTGTTTACCACACATACATGGGAGACCTCCACATAGATATTTGGAGGTGTCACGAGCAATATGGCGAGGGCTCCCAACTCATGCTCCGGCTGCCCAAGGCTAATACTGGCGCTGATAATAGGGGATGTTGTACGATACGGCCCGAACAGGCTCGTCTTCAACACAGAGCCCGCTCTAAAGGGTACTCATTGCTCCTGCCCAACGTAACTTCTTCATGGTGGTGGTAAATAACACATATTCTTGGACAGGTATCTACGGACATGGCGCCAACGTGCTCAAGTCGAAGGGTTACGAGAAAGTCTCGCTTCTTTCCGGGGTCCATTCTAGTATCGCGACCCTCGATAACACGAAACACAAGGGCTTCCGACGGCTCCTCACCCAGGGTCTCTCCGATGCGTATATCCGGTCAATGGACTCTAAGATGACAAAGATTGCGGCATCCTTTGCCAGGATTGTCGAGGAGAAGCAGGACAGACACGTTACAGCAGCGGGCAAACAACCTGCCCTAGAGGCTGAGGAGGGTTGGAGTGTGCCCAAGAACATGACTCATTGGTGTAAGCTTTCCCCTGTACAAGTCTACTCCCTTGAGTTGATATGAGATGGGACTCGGCTCACGTTTGTGCGCAGGCGACTACTTCACCTTTGATATGATGTCAGAGCTTGTATTTGGCAGCTCGTACGACCTGCTGCAAGACTCGCAGAACCACTTTATTATCGACGGTATTACTGCCCAGATGCATCGGTTTGGATTTCTTCTCAATTTCCCCGGGCTTGAAACCATGGGGATGAATCATATACTGTTTCCGAGTGCAAGAGGGAAAGCCCTTCGGTTCTATGCCAAATCCAAACAAATTATGGAGGAGAGAAAGGCGAGAAAGGGGGAAATGAAGGACGACGTCCTCAGTAACCTTCTTACAGCAACGGATCCTGAAACAGGAGAGAGCTTCTCTAATCAACAGTTATGGATTGAGAGCAATTTATTGATTATTGCTGGTATGTATATGAACGCCTGAGGGAAGTCAGGAGTAGGGACTAACAGCTGACTACCGTCAATACAGGCTCCGATACTTCCTCAACTGCCATGGCTGCGTTGTTCTTCTACCTTTGTCGGAACCCCGCTGCCTACGACCGCGTAACTAAGGAAGTCCGCGGGGTTTTCCAGAGAGCCGATGAAATATCCCAAGGCCCCAAGCTCTCGTCATGCTCGTATCTTCGAGCATGCATCCAAGAGGCTCTCCGGCTTTGTCCTCCCGTCACCGGCCCTCTCTGGCGCCAGGTTCTCTCCGGCGGTCTTACTATCTCAGGACATACTATCCCAGCTGGGTACGAAGTTGGCACCGGGTTCTGGTCACTCAATCGCAGCGAGAAGTATTATACCGCGCCGCTTGAATTTCAACCAGAGCGATGGGTCTCAGAGTCTACAGGTGCAGACCAGCTCGGCTTGGCAAGGGCTGCCTTTGCATCGTTTTCAGTTGGGCCTCGGAACTGTGTCGGTAAGGGATTGGCCATCATGGAGCTTATGCTTGGTATGGCGGCCGTTATTGCTCAGTATGACTTTCGTCCGGCACGGGATACGAGATTAGCTCGGGTGGGTGAAGGGGAAGGGGCATCCAAGGGGCAGTTTCAGACATTCTGGGGGTTCACAAGCGCAAAAGACGGGCCCTACATCGAGTATCGCGCTGTGAGATGAAGCTGGGGTTGATAGGAAACACGAATGGGCATGGAAAGGACAGTTTGCTGCCTAGGAACAGACCTGGTGGGCTGAGCCCAGTTGGTTTGTCAGAAGATGGACACGATTCTCTCTCCCAGCGTCTTTTCTCTGGATCTCCTTTGTTGTCCAGGTTGATTTCCACCCAACGCCCGTGGAGGCCAGAAAAGCACCATTAGGTTGAGTATTTTGTCAACACCAAAGAACGCTAACCCTTACTCATCATACCGCTACAAATACTAGTAAATAAGGACCGATAATTGATGCATCTTAGTTGAACTTTATTGCTGACTGAAGGCTTGGCGCATTCCACACCGGGCCCTGGGGTGAATTCTTGTTCCAATTTTGAGAGAAGCAACATTGTACAAGGAGTCCAGTAATCAAGTGACATGGCGGTCGAGCCGTGCAGGTGGGTATAGTGGATGCCTTACTATTGATTACACATGCGCTGCTCTATAACTATGGATCTTGACCACACACTTATTGATGTAGCGAAGCGACGAAGAGACGGCAGAGAAAGCACGACCCAAGCCGGAATACGCCACTAAAGCCATTACTCAACATACACGTTGCGTTTGACACCTCAATTGCTCAGTGGCCCTCCGCCATCCTGCTTCTGCCCGCCCCGGGTGCCCGGGGCCGATAGAAGTAAACTCCTCTCTGGGAAAGTGGAGTTGGTGCCTGACCAGTAGACCACCCTCCCTGGGGCCAAGGTTCCTGTCAACCAGGCATTTGGCATGGCCCCGTCTGACAGCAGATACCAAGCTAGTGTGGAAATCGGACTCTTCGGACTAATAGGCAGACTATGAACCTTTACTGCCATTGCCGCTCTTTGATTGAGTACGAGGCCGCCACCGTACCCCTACACCTCCATTGCCCGTATTCTGACTCTGTGGACTTTGAAGTTGAGACATCCAGATGACTCCGACTCCAGAATCGCGCAGACGCTTTGGTTTTGGGTCCTTATCTGCAGCCCATGGAAAACTGCCTTGTTCGGCATTAAGCGGCCCATACATTCGGGGCGTCGTTGCTGATCGGCAGTTGGGGATAATCAAGATAGGCAAATAGGCTAGGCTACAAACCAGAATGGTGTTCAACAAGGGCAAAATATATTGCGCTTTAGATAGAATATCGGCAACCCAACTTGGGGAATTCCCGCTCTGCTTCTACCCGGACAATAAGAACTAATACTCAAACTACCCTGCAGGGTTACTGTGGCGAAAAAAAACTCTCATTTCTCTTCGTGACAGGGAATCTATGAACAAGGCGAAACTCCCTACAGCGCCTGTTTCAATTGGTAATCATCTACCATGGCAGGTTGTTCTGAGCTCAAGCCATAATTTCCCGAACCAGCTTCTCAAGGTCCTCTGTGCTCATTCCTGGAATCCCAAGAAGCTCATTGCTAACCTTGTCGCTAAAATCACCTCCATACCCTGCGCCCCAGCACGCCCGGGCAATGAATCCGAGCGCCGAGTTGGCCACCTCCGCAGGATCGCTGCTCTTGAGCATCTCGTAAGATTTTTGCTCAACGTCCGCGGTCGAAACAATGGTCGTTGACCACTCCTTGCCGTCGATGCGCTTTGAGATATCAACCAGCTGGTTCTGGGTGACGGCGACATCGTGGAAGTAGATGTGCTTATTTTGAGTGGCTTGCAGATTCTGGATGATTCCAACTACAGCCTGCCCGATCGTTGCGAGCCGAGTCGCGGAGAAGCGGACGTCACCACCATCGTAAAGGGTAGCGCTGTGGTCTTTGAGGTTGACCATGAAACCAATTTGAAGCTGCCAGTCGAGGAAGGAGTTGTTGTACGCGAATGTATAGCTGAATCCGGCATTCTGGGCAGCCTTTTCCTCCAAGTACTCCTGCGTCTTGATCTTGTCCACGTAGAGTGGCAGCTTTCGGACGAGTGGGTTTGCTGAATCGTTTCCGAACTCGGACGGAATGAAGCGGGTGACGTTTGCCTCCAGAGAGGCATCAATGAGCTTCTTCTGTATGTTGAACAGATCCGCGAAGCCGAGGGTTGATACAACCACGTCCACGGGCTTGAGGGCTGAAACCAGGGACTCGTGCGAGTTGTAGTCGACCTCTTGAACTTTCAATATTTTTTCGGAACCAGGTGGGATGGAGACCTTGTGGGCGCTTCCGACTCGTGTAAGGACTGTGGTTTCGAGCGAGGCTGCAACAAGGGCCTGCAGGATGGCTGGACCAAGGTTCCCGGTCGCGCCAACGAGAGCAACACGTAGTGAAGACATGACAGGCAGAGAGGTGGATTTTCTAGGAGCTGATGATTGAAGTGGTGATTTGATGCATCAGTGCTTTTGTCCATTGGGAAATGCAGCGTTTATATATATTGGCTGATGCAGTTTGTCTTACGATCATTGCGCTTCAGAACAATGACAAATCGCGCCAATAATGTCCTTGTCGTGAGCAGTAGTCTACATTCTCGCAGCAGCGGATCTTATAAATTAGGTAATGAAGATTTTGGATTAAAAATCGCGAGAAAGCCTCACCCGTGGATGCTGTAAGGCCAAATTTGGGATGGAATGACAGTGCCAGGGAGTGCTAGACTGAAAAGAGCACATTAGTTGGTCAGCTTGGCCACTTGTGCTCCTTAAACAGAGTCTACGGATCACTTGGATCATTTAGAATCTGACTGCACAACACGGTTGCTGACAGAAATTGGTCAATAGTTTTTCAGGCCGTAGACTCGACTCTTGACCATGAGAGGTGGGGACCTCAAGGATTAACCTCCAGACTTTGGGACGCAAGTGTCATGGACAGCATTTTATTGGCCAGAAGTAAGCTCCTGATTAGGAAGTGGAGCTATCGGCCCGCGGCGGGCTTGGGCCCGACTGGTTGACCAAGAGTTCTTCAACATGGAGGGGAATGTGCCGTCGGACTGCGAGAATTTCTAAAATTTCTCATATCTTGTCTGCGTATTTGGTAGCTTAGTAACGATTGAGCCAAGGATCTAGACTATCACTTCAGAAGACACCCCCCACTGGAGGAGTAAAGGCAGTAATATTACCTTGCAACACTGTGTACTTGAGTATGGAATTTTATAAAGTCTTCAATCCTCCTCCTTGTAGACGTATAGGCATACACCACGATCATACCTGCTTAAGCCCACTTCTCTTCCCATCATTCCGAGTTCATTCCGAGTTCATCCCGATTTCAACCACAAACAATGGTGTCCCGCTTCCCCTCCCCAGTCGAAGATGTTTCGCCTCTGGCGCAACCGCTTCGCTTCGAGTTCAGCCAACGAAGAGCCCCCAATCGGTTTTTGAAAGCTTCAATGACCGAAAAGCTGAGTTCCTGGGATCCCCAGAATAAAGAGGCTCGCGGAATTCCCTCAACGGCGATACACAACTTGTACCAGCGATGGGGCGAAGGCGAACTCGGCCACATCCTGACGGGCAATATCATGCTGGCATATGACCAGCTGGAAGCCGCGGGCAATCTCATCATCCCCACAGACGATCCCTTTGAGGGACCGCGTTTTGACGCCTTCGCCAAGCTCGCTTCCCTTGCAAAGGCTCACGGTAGCCTCATTACGGGCCAGGTCACGCATCCAGGACGACAGGTTGACCGCAGAATACAGCCCGATCCTGTCTCTGCGAGTGATGTTCAGCTCCAGGGCAAAGTTCTCGGCCTCGAATTCGCGAAACCCCATCCCGCCTCCCAGGAGGAAATAAACGAGATTGTGCGCAGTTTCACCTTTGCGGCACAGTATCTGCAGCGGGCGGGATTCGATGGGATTGAACTGCAAGGGGCACACGGGTATCTGCTTTCCCAATTTCTCTCACGCACCACCAATCTTCGCACCGATGCGTATGGTGGTAGTCTTCGAAACCGTGCCCGCCTAATCATGGAGATTGCGCAATGCATCCGCGCAAATACACCTTCGGACTTCATTCTCGGAATCAAAATCAACAGTGTGGAGTTCCAATCTGGCGGGCTAACGGTGGAGGAAGCACGAGAGCTCTGCCAAATGCTCGAAGAAGCGACCTTTGACTTTGTCGAACTGAGCGGCGGCACATATCAGGCCATGGCTTTCAAGCACGAGCGCGAGTCGACCAGAAAGCGGGAGGCGTTTTTCCTCGAGTTCGCGGACATGATTGTGCCTGCGCTGAGCAAGACAAAGACCTATATTACTGGAGGGTTCAGAACACTACGGGGGATGTTGGAAGCGCTGAAGACAGTTGATGGAGTTGGTCTTGGGCGGGTGGTCGCACAGGAGTTCAGTCTGGCCAAGGACATGCTGAATGGTACAATTACCGGCGCCATCGACCAAAAGGTCAACCAAAATGACTTTGCATTGACCAATATCATTGCGGGAAGTCAGATGCGACAGGTAGGTAAAGGACAGGAGCCGATTGATATGAGCCTGGAGCAGAATGTCCAAGTCTTTGTGAAGGCGATGACATTCTGGGCCCAACGGATGGCAGATGACGCAGAGACGATGAATCTGTTTGGCTATGTTGATCTGGACCTGTGAAAAGGGAGTGTTCCACTGTAGAATCGGTCAACATATCATCTAACCAGCTCTGAACTCTACTCTAATTTCCTGTAGCTCATCCAATGGCTCTTCCATGCAGTCAGAGTGCTTTCATCCCACAAGTGTCGCTTCGCTATCCTCTCCACATCTTCCCAGCCATCGATCCATCTCTCTTGGAGAAGTACGTCCCTCATTAGCTGACGGGCCCGCTGCTTCAGAGTAGCACCAGCGGTAATTGCCACCTCGGTACCAACAAGGGTCGCCCAGACCCTCAATTCACGGTAGCACGACTTGCCCCCTGCACTAAAGGCAGGCATCTGGCTTCCCATCAGCCCGAGCTTGTATATATAAGCTACCTCGGGGAACATCTGCATCTGAGCCGTGCGCCGCGTGAGAAACGCAACCATGCCAAGGCAGGCCAGTCGTTCGACTACATTTTGTGACCGAGTAAGCAATAGGCGCGCTCGTCTAATTCCCTTGGTTTGCCGCTCAGCTGCCTGTGTGTCGTCTTCGGACTCTTTAAGCTGCTCCCTGAGAAGCAGGATAAACTCAATGCTGAGATTTCCTAGCATCGCCAACTCGCGAAAACCCCCCGGTAGGGTGTTGATTGTCGATTTCAGCCATCCACTGAGCTGGGTGCCCGGCTGCAAGTCTGGGTATCGAAGCTCTGAGTGTGCCGTAACGGCCGTTCCAGGAAACTCCGCATCACTGGTTGACGTTTCATGGCGTGCTTCATTACTTTCATGTCGGATCGCAGACGCCATTTCCGTACCCTCGACTAGCCCAGCAGCCTGCAGCACAAAAAGATCCTTCAAGCATCCGCTCGCGACCCTCCCCCTCATCTGCATCATCCTCAGCAATCCCTGGCAATGCGCCTTGAACTCACTCTTGTAACCAAATCTGGCGGCGCCTTCCATCAAGTAAAAAGTCGACAGAATCGTCTCATTTGACGTCCAGGTTGCGACTTGGTCCTCTGATAGTGGCCCCGTCCCCGTCCCTGCGCCTGTTGCGATTTTGGCCTGCAGCGCCTTCAACGCCCGTGCCTTGTGCCATAACATGGTGGTGGTTGGTGTGACCTTGTCTTCCAGCGTTGTGATCCGCACCCCATGTGTAAACGCCGCAACGGCGTCAAAGAGCGCAACGTCTGCGCAGATCATTTGTACCCAGCAGCGTACAAATGGATTAGCCCCGGGGCCCCAGTGCGTCAAACGGGCCGCCAGGTAGTGGATGTCTGTCATGTGAGAGAAACTTAATATCAGATGTAGCTTGTTCAACTCTCGCATGGTAAAGGGAGTCAGGTGCGACTCACGCAAATCCAAAACATCAAAGACCTTCTCACGATGCTCGGGTGGATAGGCGGGCACAAAACATTCTATGATGGGCCGCAGTAGCAGAATTCCATTCTCCCTTTCAATGCCGGGTCTCGAGTACTGAGGGATTTGCGGCCAAGCGATTTCCTCCGCTTCCACGGTCTCTGGGTCATGGTTGGCCTCATAGCTCAAGACACGAGACGGCGATCCTCGAATGACAATCTGCGTTTGACGCTCTGGCAAAGGTGCCAGTGGCTGCAGGCGTGGCCGTGCCCTCTCCTGGTTGACGTTGGCGTCGGCGGCTTGCTGTGCTCGTTTCGCAGGGGCTGAACGGTTTCGATAGTGTTTTCCGATGTAGGCAGATACTTCGCGGCGCTGGGTCCGGTTTGGCCGGGGATTCGAGGGGTCATAGTTCACAAATGCGTGTTTTTGGCTTTCATCCATAACTTCCAACTAGTGGATTGGTACGAAGTAATTGCGGTTTTCAGGCAATGGAAATGATAAACTTAGGGCCACACTCACCATGTCAAGATACTCGGAGAAAATAAATAACAGCTACCATGAAACAGCCCTAGAGACCACTAGAACTCAGTCATTGAGTAATTGGACGCCAAGTATTTGTCATCAACCAAATTGCCGTGCCATCACCTTGCTCTTCCAACGTCTTCCATAACTCCATCGACGTCTAATGGGGGCAACTTTTGTAAATAGTTTGCAAAATCTTAGCTTGATTGTTAATGGAGATCCCTGAGGCAGCAAACATCCACGCCATTCTGCAGAATCTGACCGGAGAAGCGCTGACAAATTTTGCCTCCTCATGTTGATAGCTATTGTGACAGCTCTTTCCGAACTTCCTACCTGAGATTGATAGGTAGGGTAAGCTTCTAGGGAAGTCGATAGTTTTGACTGTAACCTGCGATCTCTTCCTGCGCCGCGGGCTTCTATATTTTCATGCTTAAAGAAGGGGAGTTGAGGGTGACATTGAATCATGCTCTCTCCCCCATTCATCAAATAAGAGGAATCATATCGAGATGGCCAAAGGCATGCATGCCAAGTATGATCGGGTAGGAGTCAAGCTGGCAACTAATCCTTGCCATACGTGCCTTTTTGGGCCTCTGCTGCGCAGCGTTCGAAGCGATATTGTTGGCCAGAAGATCATTACTGGCTGGTTCAGACAGCCAATCACTCGCAGTTCGTCTGCTGGTGGCGAACATCGCTAAGCACTTTTAAGGCGTCCAGCATGATTAGCTTGAAGCGGCACGGGCATTGGCTCGCGACCCTGGAGAAGTACTTCCCGTATCAGGAACGGAAGCCGGGGTATTATTAAGTGCAAAAAAAAAAAAAAAAAAAAAAAAAAAAAAAGACCACTTCTATAGAGTCGCTTTGAGCACTGTCATGCAGAAGATATTTTTCGTCTATTAAAGGGCTGTACTCATCCTTGTCGATTTGCCAATAGCCGATCTATACTGAACTGTGTCGGCAACCAGTAAGATCATATGCATCTGCTAGCTAGTCGTACGAGGAAAAAGAGAAGAAAATCGGTAGCAAACACAGTATAAGGACGAGGAAATGGAAACAGCAAAAGGTATTTAGAAATGACAGAGAAAAAAGTGGTACTTTCGCGAAGCTTACCGTTGCAGGCGGCCTTTTCCCGTGCTTGGTGCACTTTTCGCGCCAATTGTGTGTCCACACCTCGCCTTGGTAACTATGATAGGTGGTTGTTTTGCATTTCGCTTCACGTCCCTAGTGCTATTCCACTTTGGAAAGTTGGCGAGTAGACTCCTTGGGGCGCCTAGCGTGGCTTGTTCTTCAGACGTTGTCCTGGAATTAAAACACCAAGAACGAGAACAAACCTTGCAGTTCATATACCCTTAGCCTTCTCCTCACTCCTCGCCTTTGCTTTCTGCAACTTTTCTCTCTATCGCAATCATGACGGACGGCTTCGAGGACTGGCAGCCCTACTACTATGAACCGTCAATGGCGGCGGCTGTCATTTTTATCATCTTATTTGGCATTTTGACTGCTCTGCATACGTATCACCTTTATCAAACGCGAACATGGTTCTTTGTTCCCCTAACCCTCGGTGGCTACTGTTTGTTTCCTTGCAAATCCCTCGTGCGATGTTCCTCTTTCTCACCAGTACAGTCGAGGTCGTAGGATATATTGGTCGCGCGATCTCATCGTCAGAGTCTCCACACTGGGCACTTAGTCCTTATATTATGCAGAGCGTGCTATTGCCCGTTGCTCCTGCCTTGTATGCCGCAAGCATCTACATGTACCTCGGTCGGGTGATTGTGCTTGTACGCGGTGAGAAGTTCTCGCTGCTCCACGTCAGCTGGATGACCAAGATCTTTGTGGCTGGGGATGTCCTCAGCTTCATAATGCAATCATCTGGTATATTATTTCCCAGATTTACCCGCTCAACTATGCAATACAGTGCCATTTGCTGATCGTTTGGACTGGGCAGGAGCGGGTATTATTGCAAAAGGCGAATTGCGAACAGGAGAGGATATTATTGTCGGCGGTCTCTTTGTCCAGGTTATCTTCTTTGGATTTTTCGTCCTCTGCGCTGTTGTCTTTCAACGCCGGCTTGATGATAACCTCGCCAGGTTGGGAGTGACGAGCTCCATGCCTTGGAAGAAACACCTCTGGGCGTTGTATGCATCGAGCGCATTGATCCTTGTTCGGTCCGTTTTCCGCATCGTCGAGTATCTGCAGGGGTACTACGGTTCCTTGTTGCAGACTGAGGTGTATATATACATGTTTGATGCGGTTCTGATGTGGCTGGTTCTTGTGATCTTCATGATTGTTCACCCAAGTGAGGTTCACTGTCTTCTCGGTCGCGGGCGAGTCATGACAACCAAAGGAGGCCTAAGCATCACTGAAGTTCTACTGTGATGCTTCGTCCATGTATGTATTGAGGTTTCGACCCAAATAAGGCGTTTCAAGTTAACTTCAAGTTCCCGTTCTGGTGAACTGCCTCGGGAGAGCATTTGCTGCACCTTGGCTAAAATACCTGCAGTATTAGCTACTAATATCTTGAGAATACATTGTTCCAAAATCTCAGAACTCGATGATAACCTGCCGCAGTCGTTTATAGCCTGATTCAGTGGAGTTTGCGGGTCGGATCAAACAACTGGCAGCAGCAAATTTGTTAGCATGCTGATTCCCCCCAGCTGTCTTGAAAGAAGTACGATCTTTCCACAAAGTAAGAAGAGACACGGGTCTAAGGCATGAACAGGCTTTATTTTAGCTTGCATTGTTCGAATCTCAACGTGGGGGACGGTATGACTGATGGGAACCAAATGGTGTCTTGAGGACCAATGGGGCAGGGAGACCGTGACATCAGTTGGCTCTCGAGTCTCCAATTGTTGGGTATGGGTAAGGATTCTTAACCCCTGCAGTTCTTTCCTATCAACGAGATCCGATGGTATTCATCTTTCTAGCATCGCAGAGACTAGCAGGCTGTTGACACCCTGGCTCACACTGTCCAAAGATAGCGCGCATGTTGCGAAATTGACTGCCCAGTTCTCTGGCAACAGATATTCGGCCCTGCTTCGTTCTACAGGAGAACGAACCAGGTTCGTTGCGGTGGGGCTTGCTGCTGGTATCCCCGCCACGGCTATGTGTTCGCATATTTTCCGACGATGTAGCTGAATTCATTCTTGGATGGATAGGGAGTGTCGTGGGCTTTGCTAGAAGGACTTCTGCTGTTGTTTTGTCTGGGCCTCAGACGCATCCCCAGCCGGGTGTGTATTCGCTAACAGGCAGACTGATGCCATTTGATGCGGCCATTATGCTGCATTTGCACTGTAGTCTGCGAAGTGTATGATGTTAGTTGAGTATAGGAGCCCTCAGATTCGGCCAGATCGTGGGTGGACTCTAGGCTCGGCGGACAAAGGAAGATGCGAGCAAAGGTCCGAAAAGCACGAGGGTCTGTGCACTGCAAAAACTCATATCAGGGGCCTGGGTGAGACCCCGAGTGTAGCGGACTGCATTACCATGCTATTAGGTTGCTTGAAAAGTAGCGAGGTACGCCTCGAGTACCCAGCGTGACGATCTGCATCAGGTGGTCGTACAGGGCTCAAAAAAAACAAGTATCTTGTCACCAGTCCCGCTTACAAAGTCAGCCAGCCCAGATCCAGGCCCCCACCCCAACATGTGGTTCGAAATGGCATGTCATAAACCGACGCCGACCTGGTTACAGAATAAACAGAAGTTAAGTCAGCCGAAAATCTGAGCTATATTACAGCATCGGTCACTAGATTGGTGTTGTGGCACCTTTTTACTCGACTGGTGAAGTTGTTAACTTACCATCTCAATCAATATTGTCCTCTGATCAAATGGACCCAAGGCAAGGTCGGTATTTGATGTGTGATAGAACCTGGACGGTTGACGGCCTGTGAGCCTTGACTCTGCCTTGACTTTGCATATGCACCAGGCATGGATCGAGGATCCGCAGGACCTGGAGAGAACTCTTGTCCGAAAGGTCGATAAGATTCCCGTGTGACTACGCCAGGGTAATATGTCCCACCCAAGGTACTCCAACTAAAAAGTCCACAGCGACCTAGTACAATTGACGATAGCCTAGGGACAGAGGAACTGAGGGTTTTAGTACAGAAGTTTATTCTGGTGACCAAAAAAGAAGATAGGGGTTTCGGGTATAGCCAGCCAGTGGGAGGTAAGCCGGAGTTACAACGACTTTGCAACGATGAGAAGCATAAACCGGATTGCAGTTATGCGGGGGGTACCAGCCAAACGTCCGCTTGTTATATCTGGCATTCGCTGAGATTGTCATACCTCACGCTTCTCAACATTCATCTCAACCTCTTTCTCGTTACAGCAAGCAAAAAGAATAAAATAATCTTATGATGGTCGGCACCAGACTAACTATACGCCTCTTGCACGGGACCTTCCACTTATCATCAGCGTGGGACAAGGAAATGAGCCACCTCAGCAGAAAAGGATACTGTTGCGTCGCGCCACGACTCTGCTTTGTTGTTGTCGGAGGCCACGGCAAGGCCATGACCAATTGGCATCCCTGTGTGGGACAGGTGCAGCAGCTCCTCCCAGCTGAGACATCCGCAGGCCAAGACGTGGTGGTTGTGGACCACTCCCTGGATGGACCTGCCAGCTGTGGCTCGACAAAGGGGTATGCCGACGCTAAGCCATTTCAGCTTGATGAGGAATAAAGACGCGTGAGGGGTATCGTCCAGGTTACGGGCATGACGACCAGCAGGTGTTCAGCTTGATTCGCAAGTTCAGCATTCCGGACGCAGATGGATAGCAGGCTCCACTGTCTAGTGAGATGAGGCAAGACTCCTGACTTGATTTTGACCCCGCCGATGCAGGATAATGGGTTTCGCAGCTTATTCCAAATTTGGCTGTGCTCAGTCAAAGCGCCGAGAGGCTGTCCCCCTGGCTGCAACGACATTCCAGCTTAGTATCTCATCTGTGACGACGATTGGATGATCTCGAAACAACACCAGCGATCGTATGTAGCTGTGCTTCGGGAGGTCAATAGTCGTGTTACCACGAACCACATGAATCGTGGGCATAGTCCACTTCTAAAAGAGCCACTGGAAACGGCCGAGTATGTGCACAACGCTGTGGAGGATCATTACCGCTACGGTATAGGGGGCCAATATGTGGCGCGAAAAGCGAGTAGGGGAGGTTAGGTACCAAGGTAGTGGATAATTGCCGCAGGCTTCCAGCGCACACTTAACTAACTTATAGGATGGCTTGTGGAAAGGAGCTCTTTAGAGTTTCCTGAACTTTGGGCATGGACATCCTCTCTGGAGGTTCGTCGCCATCCAGAAAGTTTCAAGTGCCCATGGTCTTAGTATAGAAGGATGATAACAGCGTTAATTTAGTCTACCGGAAGTCTATGAAAATACCCGGTTCATCCCAAGCCAGTAGCCCATTATCCGTAAAACTCGAGTCCATGAGCCCGCTCTCAAGGGAGAAAAACATGTCTTCAGTGATCTGTGAGACTGATGGCTGCGTCTGAGCGTCGGTGTTGTTGAGGCTGAGGCTGGAATATAATCCCAACTGCCCAGCCAAAGCCATCTCATTCAAGGGGAATACACTGTCCCTGTAATGCACCGGGGGCGGTTCGGAATCGGCGGGTCGAGGCTGAGACTGGGTGCTTGAGGCCCTCGACATGTAGTCATCGTTTTTCACGCTAATGTACGGACCCTGTAGCCTGAACTCTGATTGAATTCGGAAAACAATGGCAGAGAGAAGGCGGGCCTGTGCATGAAGGGGGCATGATGGCAGGGATCTCGCAGGATGGAGCCTTTGGTAACAACTGCCAAGCGAGTCGGCCGCAGTGGCGTGTATGGCACTTGCCTCATTGAGGACTTTCAATCCTTCCTCAAGAGAGACACCGGGCACCCGCCCAGCTTGCTTCATGAGCTTGAGCAGCAACATTGCAGCGTAGGCTGTCATTAGATGTGCAGTGTCCCACAAATAATAAAGTACATCTAATTTGCCTAGTGAGATGCTCTGTCGAAGCACACTCAGGGCACTTGAATAGCAGACACGGATGGTCTCTACTGCGTCCTCGTGCAAAGTATTATTATCATTGGCAGCCAGAATCCGGTGCAAAAGCACCGAGTTGAAAGATAGACGCATGTAGTCTTGGAAGAAATATATCAAGGGGACTTGCCAGGGCTCAGAGCCTGGGACTTGCGGAAGATCAGACCAGATGCGGCACAGTGATTGATCGTGGACTTACACTTGGTAAAAACGGTCGGCCAGTACTCTCCCCACTCCGTCAGACCCTTGTTCAACTCCTTGATTGCTGATTTGAAGGCAACGTTGTCTGCAAGTTCGGACCCCGACCCTTGCTTACGGCTCTTCATCATAATATCATATGCAGGCTGAGCAATCCTGGTCAGCTCAGACCCTCCCACGGCTTTGCCATCACCTAGAGGGTACGTCCATTTGTCTAGAGTCAGCCAGGACCTAGACGCCGACCCCCCATCAATCGGTGCAAGAAATAGCGGTCGATCTGTAAAGTAGCTTGACCTAGATCCACACGACCGTAAGCCTCTAAACAGGGACCAGGTTGTTCTGACTCACGTCCGGTCTATGTTCCCTAGAGCAAGCCAGACCCGATCCCTATCCCTCTTCTGCCGCACCTCAAGTTCGGCTTCATGTGATTTGGATGCCTCACTCCCATCACAGGCGCAGCGCCGCCTCGGCATGTTCCATTCCGCAGAAACCGCCATGCGAAGCGCGAACCCCACCAGGGTATAGCCTCTCGTATCTCCAACATCCTTCCAGTGATACATGCATATAATCGACCATATGTTTTCAATAGCGGAGTCGCAAGCCAGCAAAGCCTTTCCAAGTAAGCTTTCAGAGTGTTCTCGCAGGATAGGGTATGATTCTGGCCGGAAGATCCGGGACGAAATAGTCAGTATCGAGGTGAATAATAAGCTTGATCTTTGCCGAGTGTATGAGAATGTATAAAGAGCTGGATCCAGCAACCCCACCAAGCAATTAAAGTGCTTGTAGAATCTGGTCACGTAGATGGTATCAGTGCAAATCGGAATATGCTCACACGATGAGGGGAAAGCATACCCTTCATATAAGAATTGTGCAGAAGGGCGACTGATCAAATTCAGGTCAATAGGATCGCCCGTTTCCGTACCCTGCGTGTTCTCTTGGACAACCGGGGAAGCATCACAGCTCTCGCCATCGCCGTCGCCAAGTATGATCCGGTTAGGGTCCAGAGCAGTATGCAAACATAGCCCTCGAGTATCTTGCGTGTGCATTATAGACGACTGGGGAGAGAAAGATTCATTGAATGGTGTATAGTCCCCTTGCGATCCCAACGCGGTATGCTCTTCATCAAGTAAGCATAGGGAGCCTGATGCCCCGTGGCCGCCCGAGGGTGTAGTGGAAGCCGAAGCCTGTAAGGGGTTAGACCAGTTTTCGGTTGCCAGTGGTGTCAGACTCCGTAGGCCTACCTGATGAAGACCGCCGTCTCTCTCTTGACCACTGGGTGCTACTGCGAGTAGCGGCACGGGCTGAACCAGCTTATCTGATCTAAGGCCTGACCGTAAGAACGAGGCGCTCCAGTAGTTTCAATCAAGGCATAACAGAGTTTACCTGGATGCATTCCTCTCCCGGCGCCACAGTCCTCGTCGATGTGACTCAAAGATGCAGTCTTTCTGCAACCTCGCACAGCGATCGCAGCGGTTTGGAACAGAGCCAGTAGTCACACATCTGATCTTGGCGCGGCGACAGGTCGTGCATGCTACGCCGTAGGGTCTGTCAATATTAAAAGTCAGCTATGTATGTTAACTTGTGCTGTGCGGTGGTATGATCAAGTAGTTGGTTTGCTACCCACCTTCGCTGGCTGTGAACTGGATCATTCATTGGGAAAAATAGTATGTAATTTGCTTTGGTGCTTATAGATTCAGTTGACTATGCCTCAGAGTAGGGTGGATATGAATATACCACAGGGTTACTAAGTATGGGGTTGCCTGTGGGTGGTCTCTCAGAAACTGAGACCTTGCATGTTGAATAGCCTGCCCTCACCCTGTGACAGCACAGCCTCGCTAGCGGATGATTTCATCATTCCAGCTATAGATGAAATCACGTCTGCCGGCGTGTGTGGATCTAATCTATTTAGACTCGGCTGAATCGACTCGCCAACTTTTGAGGATATAACCAGTGGGTCTCTTTCAGCGAAATAGGTATGATGATTGGCGGCTCAATAGTCCAGTTAAGCAAACTGCATGACCCGCCAATGCCTCCCAAAATGAGGTGGAGACGAGCTGAGGACGTCGCTAATGGACGCTGATGGCGAAGTGGAGTCTTGGAGTATTGGCTCAGGACTATCCAATCAGAGGCCGAAGAAGTAAATCCCCAGCTGGGAATAGCCTCTATTTCACCCGTGACCTTCGTCGCCCAGAGTTGTTCTGGACTTGCCAGGTGTCCAGCTAGCAGGAGAGCCCAACGATTGCCACGGTCCTAAATCCTGGCCAGGCAAGATACTATTTGAGATTTGAGTTTTAATGCCTACTCCATAAACCTTCTAAATCATCATCGGCCCGTGACAACGGATCGCAGCACATGCTTAAGCGAGGTGGCTGAGGAGAAGAAGTGAAGAGAGCATGCAAGAACCACCAACAGCAATGTCTCTAGAGAGCCTTCGTATCATGAGGATCATCATTACTTCATTTTGGTGACAAGCAGGGGCGACAGTGCTTATCCGCCACCGCCTGGCAGCACTATCTCTTGCATAATTTCGAGTGCCGAGAGCACCCTTCAAGAGGCCAAATTACAATCGTAGTAGAACACGTAATGTAACTTGAAAAAATCATCCCCATATCTCTTCCTTGAAAGGCCTCATTTTAGAAAAAGCAAGTACTGTATAGGCGCTGCCGCACAATCTCACGAGCACCATAATGACAATTTATTGAAAACCACAGGAAGAGAAGTCACACCCCAGGCAACTGTCGGGTTACACTGTTCATGATCTTTAGTAGTATATTATTCCACATCCTCTTGGTACACACCAACGGAAGGAAGCTGATTGACTACCTGGCAGATTGCCTCAAGTGCTCGGAGCAAGTACTTGGCTGATTCTCATTGGAAGCTCGCTCCTCGGAAAAGGTACTATAGGATGATTTGTGCAAGACTATGTGACACATGTACCATGTCCACCATCGCTGCCTTGATAGAACTAACCCTCTTTTGGCGAGCACTGCTCTCTGTATCTAGTGAGGCTGTCCGCCTTCTAGCCCTGTTACTGTGTCCAGGTGGCCTTGAGAGAATCCAAATACCCATCCATCACCCCAAATCCTCAATTAGTGAATGACAGGATCTCTCCTGGCGACTTCATTTTCCCTAACATTGGTAGTTTTGCTGTTCATGGCATCCTCCTCTTCCTTGGGAATCGCGATCGACCCTATCGCCTTGGCCATAACAGAATTCATCACTATTACGGCTGCGCTTCGAAAGCACTGCCCTCATTCTCTCTCTTTGGACCGGACTCCCTTGAAGAAAGTTGACACCATACGAGTTCAACATCTCAATGAATCTGCCTCCTACGGGGGTACGCCCTTCGCCTCCGGACCATCACCCTTCTACGAAGAGGACAACGATAAGCATGATGTAGGTAAGTGGTGGAGGACACATGGGATGAAGTGCTAGAACATTCAGCCGAAAAATGCTTCTTTGCTTACCTTTGTTTGTCAGCTAACAGACCGAGCTTAAGCAGTTCGAAGATATTCGATCTTTCGATTCCCCCATGTTACTGTATCCCTTCCTCCAGGTCCTCCGCTCCTCAGCCCCCGTCGCTATCACAACGCTAGCCCTGCTCGCTTTAACGAGATTGAGGAAACATTGAACTCTATCGTTGTTCACCCGAGATCAGAGAAGTTATGATCGAAGGGCTCTGCGTGCTGGTAGGCATCCCAAGCTTCATGGTGGAAGTCTTCATCAACTACTACAGTGGTGTTCGCCAAAGTGACCTGTGCGAGGATATAACCAGGATTCGATGCTGGGGTGTTCTCTCCGTCAACAATCAGTAGCATGTCTAGATGCCCTGCTCGACTACATCCAGTCTATGTACGATCGCCTTGGTGACCAAGCTCCAACTTAGGGTTTTCCCTCTGGTAACGATCTGAGGAAGCAGCGCAAGGCCAAGGCGCTGATTATGAAGGCGCCCAGATCTTCAATGAGAATCCCATTGACGGCATCGCCTTTCTATCATCTCACAACATGCTTAAAAATCCAGATGACGCTGTCCAGGTGGCGCAATCTTTGAAGACAACCTCTCGTCTTTCAAGAAGATTTTAGGGGAATTCATCTCAAATCGGACCAGCAGAGATATTCTGAACGCGTTTATTGATTTGCATGACTTCTCTGGCAGGTTTGTGGTTGACGCGCTTCGAGATTTGCTCAGTGTAGTCGGCTGCCTGGCGAGGCCCCTCTCATAGAGCGAATCCTGACGTCCTTCAGCAACAAGTATATAAAGGATCACGAACCAGACCTTCTGGACATCATGGACATAGATTGATTGTCTGTTTGTCCTCACCTACGCTATTGTCATGCTTAACACATCAGTGCATAATCCAAGCATAAAGGAAGTGGATCTCATGTCCTACGAAAATTTGACCAAGAATCTACGAGGTTTGAATGCAGGTAACCATTTGATATGTAGATGATGACTTGCTGTAGATGATGACTTGCTAGAGCCATCAAAGTAGGAAGTTGACAGCACTCGCTCTACTGTGGACTGTCTATGCGCATGCTCAGTTGACAGCCTTCTCTCAAGTATTCAGTAAGTCTGGTCATTGTCTTCGGATGTGAAAATCTCTTTGCTAACAATGCTCCCATTTACTCAGGTTTCTACCTCTTCATTATCTGGAAGTATTTGTCGACATGGTGTTGATTCAGCTGCGCGAGGAGAATCAATCCGCAGCCATGGCGGAACGACAGGGGCGTAACGATACTCAAGGAACCGGCAGAACTCAATATCATCCCAGTATGATATATTTGTTGGAGTCAGCGGTTATACTAACTCTTCGCGATAAGGAAACACTTAGTTATCTCAGCAAAAGTCTTCTAGGCACTTTACAGAATTACGTTAGAGATGCAAAGAACGTACACTCTGCCACCTTATCCAAAGTAACAACTTATTTGCTCAAGCTACTACAACTAGGCTACGTAGCTGTCTCTACATACTCGCGAACATCATGATGCTTTTACTAACAGTCTCTACTCAGGACCAACTATTCATACAGACTACTAGCATTATTCAAAACATCTCTGAACTTGACCAAGAAACGCTAGCAAGCGTTGCTGTTCCTGCAATCAAGGGACTTTCAGGTTTTCTATTCAAGTGCAACCCTCTGCAAGACAAAGTAATTGCATTGCTAGAGTTTTGGTCTATCCTACAACGCTTACACTACCATGATCAAGTCGCCATAATGATCCTAAAAATCCTCGAAAAAGTTATTACCTCGAGCCGTTTTATAGTTACGGCCGATAATTACATGTCTGTCATTAGTCTCGCAAATGATTTTAGTAGAGCTGCAAGCGTCACCTACTTGACGAAGCAGGAGGAGGCCACACATACAATGTATCTTCAGGCCACTGAACCACCAAATCTGAGGTGTGTTCTCTCCTTTCGGACTGTCTCGGAACACTAATGCTAATCTGCTGATTGCAAGCCAGATAAACGCTATTTCGCGGGGCATGACTGCCCTTGGCCTCGTTTTGGCTCTATCCCATCGAGTTTCAACTTTAAGGAAAGGGTCGGCCATTGCAAATGCACAAGGTTGGTCCATCATCCAACTCCCTTCAAGTTGGCAGTTCTAGTCATCGGCTAACACGGGGAAATGGAAGCATGGTCTGCATACTGGTCCCCTATCTTCAGCTGCCTGATGGCCCAGTGTATCAGCCCTTGTCGAGACATTCGCTACAATGCCATGGTGATATTGTAAAAGCTATTGCTATCAATAGACAACGGCTCGAATGAGCATTGGTGGCTTGACGTGTTTAATAAGGCGCTCTTCCCGTTGAACCTGCAGTTGTTGGAGCCGGATGTGATCCGCTTAGATTTGACTGGGATATGGAACAGTCATGTTCAAGTAGTGACCTTGACCTGCAGGGCGTTTCTGCGGTATTTGGAACAGCTTCAGCACCAGGAGCCCAAGGATTTGGTTGGGAATGGGGATGTGCCAAAATTATGGTTTCGCCTTCTTGACGTTTTCGAGCAGATGGCAGAAAGAGGTCAGGGGGACGTTATTGTGAGTATTTCTAATCTGTAGTAACTGTAATGGGATGTGAAGCTCTCATTCTAGCTCTTTGCTTTCCTCGTAGGGGGGGAAGTCATACGGGAAGGCATTAAGCACGTCAGTCTTTTATGGCAGATAGGGGCCTGCTGCTTCCGATTAACGAACGGATATGGATGGGAACGAACAGAATTCTAGATGGCTTTTTGCCGCGCTCATTTGAGATGTCATCTAATATTTCGTAGAAATCGATCTCCTCGGGTTTCGAACTCGAATCACTACTTCGATATGGCTGGTATCTTTGTACTAGATGCAACGCGCACTCTCACACTCTCTGAGCTACAAGATCTTGTACCTAGGCTCCAACCTTTCGAGCACATTTGAAAGATAAAAGCGCTATTCAGGTTTCAAGCAGTACATCCCTTGATAGGATGGTCGTTCGGGCGTTGAATACAGGTGAATATCCTGATATCTCTTTACATTCCTGTGCTTTTCACGGTTGACCATTCTTCTATGCAATAAAATGAAAGTACCTTGTTCATTGCCCTTGATCCAGTCTGATCAGAATCTCGCTTATCTGGGCGATATGCGTCGACTAGAAAGCGCACCTTGACGAAGCAGACCAGTATTGCGGACCCTCCATCATGAATCAGTGGCAACGAAGGCTTTAGATATAAATGTATTGCCTCCTGGTCATGACGCTCCAGTTGCTTCGATTCCTGACACCCTCCTGCAACCGCGCAAGTGAGCCGGAAATCTCCACACTATTGTAAGCTTGCATCAAAGTGGACGCCTTCAGATGCCTCAAGAGAGCAGGACGCCGACATTTTACTCGCAATTATAGGCTTTCCCATTAGTTTGTACAATCTTCGCTGCCTTGTAGGCACTGGCACGATTTAGGCCTCGGACCTTGGCCGGTGTTGGCGGCCGATAAATGGGATCGTAAATACCGCAGAAAAGGGTTGTTCTGGCTTTGTTTAGTTACCAAGGGGTCCGTACATTTTCCGTACATAGTACAGAGCAGGATTGACTGGTGGCAACGTGGGGCACGAGCCTTTGTGAGTTCCATAAAGCTGGAAATTGGCGATTTGGACAAATAAAACATTAAGAATAAGTTGTTCATGAATCATAATCTATTTCAACAATCACTTGGGGCTGAGAGGCTTGTCATTTAGGATTAATAACAACGCATCCAGACACCCCGTAATCGAAGTCTCATCGGCGGAACTGGCACTGGCACTGGCACTGGTTCTCTGCACGCCCGGAGATGCGCTCGGGGATGGCGGATTAATGCTCGCGGTCAAAAGCGTGGCTAGACTCGATAGAGATTGGAGAACTTTCAGCTGTTGCACAAGGTGGACGATGGTTTCCCGTAGCCTGCGCAGATGCTGGTTCTCAGACAGCAGTGCCTCCTTGTCCGTTTGGAGCTGAGCCACTTTGTCGGACTCTTGCTGGAACTCGGTTGACAGCTCTTGGCATTTGGATTCCAGGGCATTGATCTTCTGCTCGAGGTTTTTCTGGAGGTCTTCTTTGCGTTTGCGAAACCGGCGCTGGGCTTCCCGGTTCTGAGCGCGGCGCTGAACATGATCGCGTGAGTTTGAAGCTGAGACCAGCATGAGTGGACCAAAGGGGTACGTACATGATGCCGTTGGCATTGAGCCCCTGGCTGGGTGATTTGGAGCACGGAGCTTTGACTGCCTGACTGAGAAAGCGAATCGGGTTCAGGAGGCGACACTGGTGACGATATGGGCGTGGTTGGGAATGATGTCGCGCTCATGTTTATCTCCTGGTAGAATCCAAAATGCTCCTGAAAATGCAGTGGTAAGTGCCATGTCCATCAAGGGGTCGAGATAACGTGCGTACCATCCCATTCATCAGCTCCAACTGAAAGGTGGTATCTTTATCGAGACACGAGGAGACCGAGGTGATTGAGAACGCGCTGGGGCTCTGCAAGCACCATTGTGAATAATCCTCCATAATAATAAGATTGGAAATTGTGGATGTGAAGCGAGGAAATGGTCAGGTAGTGGCTGTTCTGAATAGATCTCTTACATCTGACTGTCCCACAAAGAGCGGGCCCTTTTATATCAAGGGTGCCCAGAAGATCAGGGACTTTGGAGCACGGCTAGGCACCGTGCGGAACTATGAAAACTTAATGGTTTTGCAAGTCATCCGGAACCTCCCAAAGAACTCGTGAGAATCTGGCCAGCAGAAAGTGGATTAATGGTCCTCAGGGTGTAGGCTCAAATCGGGTCGCAGATAAATTGACTGCACCGGCCGGTGCAAGGGAGGTTCGATGGTAATTAGCAGGGAGTGTGCTGAGCATGCCGGACCAGTAGATTGGCACACAGTGAGTAGGTACTATCTTTGGGGTCATCTGGACCACGCAAAACAGAATGTAACGTCGGCTGTATCCGATGGTATCTACTCCACCGGGTATTTCAAATTTCCCCATGTCCTTTATGTGAAAATACTCCTAGTACAGGTCTCCTCGGACCCTGAAATCAAATTCTTAGCGGCGGTCGGGAAACTTTTCCAGCCATGTCACCAATTACGGCCTCGTGTTGATTGGACGGCAAGACGCCGAAATGTCAACACGGGATTCGGTCTCTGATTAAAAGACCCCGAATGCCGACCTGTCATTAAACCGAAGCTTGGTACTGGAGCCCTGATTGGTTCTGTCTGTAGGTCAACTAGTCCATCGCTGGGCTCAGGTAGTAAACGGGTTAGCAGAAAGAGGCCCAGCGGTACATCGAGTCGGGCAGCAAATAAAGAGTTGTACATCCTTATCAACATACACTGCATCTGCGAAGGAAATGGATAGGCTCTCGTTTCTCGTCCGTATTGTTGGGCAGGGCCAGTGAGGCTCATTGAACCCTTCATTTAACAAGTGCAGTCCTCGAACAATGCGAACACCAGCTGAGACCGTGTAATAACGGGGAGACATTGGCGGGTTTGCGGAAGGGGCCGCTTCCTAGGGAAGTCGTCGAACAGATTGAGATGATCTGGGTGATGGTGGGAGATAGTGCGCCTGTTGACAACCTCAATCCCTTCAACGGTAGATAAAGAGATTTGGTCTGGGTGGGGGAGAGAGTCTCAGCTACCTGAACAACTTTTTCTCTATGCGTATAATTCTGATATGGAGCCAAGATCAAAACACGAGACATGTCAATTCTTACTGCACGACTAAAACAGACAATTGCGATATTATTGCTCAACTGCTTCCGGCCATCTCACGTCGGAGGATGAGGCTATGAGCCGCCGAGTCCAGTCATGTGCTCCACAACCTTTTGACGTAAGAGAGAGAAAAGACTGCTACATGCGCTGAGCAATTATTATGCGAAATAAATGAGCGTTAACATGTTTATTATCACCCCTGCTAGGAAGAGAATTGTTGCTGGTGATGGGAGAACGTTCAACAGTGGCTGAGTTGGAGTGGAGTTGGAGTGGAGCTGTTGCTTAGCTGGAGGAGGCAGTATCTACTATTGGTCAAAAGTAATTCCTCGATTAGGTTAGGGACCATGTGCTCCAGCCTCGGGCCCAGTCCGGCTTAGAGCCGCTGCGGGCCCATCAGGTCCACTTGTATCCATTTAGGTTGCCTTATCACATAGGTAGCTGGGGCCAGTGATAGCCTGCAGCTCTGGCCCGGGACTCTGGAGGACAGCCCGGGAGATGAGGTCAAGGTCTGGCTGTGATTTACTTGGTCTGAAAATTCTTGACCTGATTGGGAGCACTTGACGACGTACTGTATTGCAAATTACTAATCTGCTAGTTAGTCGCGGTTACTCTGCGAGGTTCGGTAAAGCAACTGCGTGGAGGAAATCAGAGGCCCATTGGGGGTCCAATCGAAAAGCAAGCGTCTGCCCGTCTGCGAGCAAAAGCTGAATTCGCCACGGGGACCAGGGATGGGATCTCCGCGCTGAGCAAGCAGTGTTGGAATGCTACTCGCTTAGGTAAATTCCGAGCGAAAGCCGAGCGATGCTTCGAACGGCGGGAAGGATGAATCAGACGGAGGGACTTACCATGGAAAAGACTTTGGGGCAGGGACTTTTATGAAAATTCCAGGGTGCAGTCCGGTCCACATCTGTTCCTCTGCATGGTCCTACACCTCTTATAGAAATCATCTTCTGGGTATCTGTATGCTCCAAGTTACCAGATTCCGTCGCCTCAATTGAGCCCTCGAATTTACTTCCCTGTCGGTCTTGTCGTCTATTAGGACATGTGCTGAGTCCATTTTCAACAGGAAGTCAGTAGAGCATATATTTCTTAGGAGCTTTGCCCGTTGGTACACTAATAGGTCAAGCCATTAGATACGGCAACAATAAAAGCAACAGCATTCTCCTAAACGGGAATGCGATCATCAGCTACAGCTGAAGTTGACCTATAACGTTAAGATACAGTAGTATTTCCTTAGCAATCTAGACACACTACAGTACAGAGCAAGGTCTATACTCTAACGTTGTGAGGAAATGATGATTGGCGAGATCTTAGTAGGTAACGCAGCCATAAAGGTCGACTGATAGATCAAGGTGTTTTACTCCCAGGCTCAAGCAGTTTAGTCGCAACCTTGAGGGATTAGTGGACATTGTTGAGGTTGCTAAGGCCGTTGCTGCTGTGGTTGCTGACCTTGTTGCTGAGGTTGTTGACTCTGCGCCGCACCGGCAGCAGCAGGCTGGGCTCCCTTCCGTTTCCGCCCCGATTTCCGCACCTATACAAAATGTAGAAAGATCAGCTGCTTAATCCTCTCTTCTTGCTGCAGTAGTAGCCCATCAACAAGCCTATCAGCAGACTCAACAACTGTAGCCACAACAAGAGGGAGAAGATGGAAGCCAGCCTGCGACAGAGAAACAGGCTGCTACCACCAACAACAACGCCTACGTCCAGGTATGTCATACATGCCACCGCTTGTTACTGGACTTGTTGCTGAAGTTTCTGTTGCTGTACAGACGTCAAACGCCAAATATCAGCCAGACCTATGACTGGTGGTAAGTAAATCCACGGCACAAGCATATCTCACTCACCGTCTTCTTGGGAGTTGGCGCCTGCGCCTGCGCCTCCGCTATCTGGGCTTGGTTATTATTATTGGTCTTTGGCGCGATGACCTTTCTGCCGCCAAGGGTGAGATTTTATTGCAATTTTAGTGTGTGTGTGTGTGTGTGTGTCTGTTTGTGAGTATACGGTGTTTCCTGGAGAGGCGATCAGAGACGGAGGTCCAATTCTTTGTACATAAACCCTTGCGAGAAGGAGACCGACTAGACTCATCCAAACAAAGGTCACTTTTTTTCAGATGCCACAATACCTGTAGCGAGATTATCCTCGCTTATTTATCCATCTGAGACATGAGATATCTCGACAATGGTTTCATCCAGTCAGCCAGTTATCCATTCATTTATTTAGTACTTAGTAGTAGTCCGCCCACGACAAGGACGTAGGGCAAGGAACTCGGCAGAATTTACCCTTCCTAGTTGGATGGCTTACCCTGTTTCACACGTCAAACAATGCCGCCGCATGATGGATATTGGAAGCTGAGTGATTCTTGGCGTACGCGAGCAAAAGTTATAGCTGATCGAGATATTCGACTCGTTCAACCCGCTATGGGACGGTCTACTATTATCGCCGATAACGGATTGGCCATCTACAGGCCCAGCCGGTAACTTGGAATGTATGCTTCGTTTTCCCTTGCTTAAAGATGGATATCTACCTAGGTAGTATGGTGGCCTAATCCTTCAGGGTTGATAGTAGATCTCGCCTCCTCGGCGTTGCTCTAATGGACTACGGGATGCAAGTGAGGTAGTATCGATCCTTGCTACTTAGTCCTTTTCTCTTGCTCTCTTCCAACCGCAATACACCCAAGATTTACTGGTAGCTGGGTGCTAAGAAGGTACAGGCCTGTAGATACTGCAGAAACATATTTCTCCCCTGCTTTGGCAGAGCTGTTGCAAGCAGACAGGCAGCCTTATCGAAATTGCCCCATCAACTAGTAGAGGTGTGAAGAAGGAGGATCTACATCTACCCTATTTTGATTGGAGACCAGGGTCTCGAGCTGATTTATCCCTGAATTAAGTCAGAGGTACCTTACAACCAAGGAACAATGTTCGAAGTCGAACTGTATCAGGGCTTGCCAGAGCCCGCTCGCTGGGCCCTGGGGCAACAGCCCTATTTCGTTCAAGACACATGTATAATCGCGTCCTGAATCTGCATATTGGACTACTAGAAGCCACCATGTTACATAGATTAGATAGTGTAGATGCATCCCACAAGAAAAAAGAAGAAAGAAAGAAAATGAGAAAAAAAGTTCAAACCCTGTCTCTCACGGCATCTTTACCTGCTCCCGCTCAAGCGACGCCACATCCTAAGTTCCCACCTAGGAGTTTTATGTACAGTGATATAAGGGAAAGAACAGATTACATGTCTGTTAACTCGTATATTTTTGCTACATATGGCCGGCTTACGTTACTTCACTAAGCAGTAGTAGCCACCGTGCTTTTCGTGTCCTTGGACGGACCTGCGTAGTAGACGGGGAGTATCAAAGAAGCCCGTTTTTATGTCTCCCCAAACAAACGCTGAAACAGACACTTCCCATTCAACATAAACCGACTTTTGGACATCCAACCATGTAACACATGCAGTGTCTGCAGCCGTTGTTATGTCCCAAACAAACAAACCACCTTTGTCCGTCCTAGGGTTATCTTTCATCTCTATATTCACTGATAGATGTACCAAATAGTTTGAATATGAGATATAACAACTTCTGCCTCCCGTTCCATTTCTGCTTTTGTAAATAATTCAAATCGCTCAAAACATACTTTGAATAGAAACGCGTCTATCCATCAGACGGGTAGAGGATATAAACGGATCCAGGCGATTCGCAGCACAACCACACACCCAGAAGAAACAACCAAACAAACCAGAGATGCCTCCTGGCAGAAGGCCCAGAGCCACCGGCACCGCCAATCAGGCCCAGGCACCCGTGCCACGGAGCACACGCGCGAGCAAGCCGCCACAGAGACTAGGGGCTGCAGTTCCGGCTCAGAACAATAATAATGCGGCGGGGCCTGCGAAGAGGGGTCGTGGGAGGCCAAAGAAAGGGCAGGAGAAGGTATGTCGTGCGTTCAGTGCAATGCGCTTCTGGTTTTTCTATGCTTTGGGTTGTAATTTGTGGTTTGGTATCATGAAGCTGACTCCTGTGAACGCACAGGGACGCAAGCGAAGACGCGCTGCTTCGTCTGACGATAAAGATGATGGCGACCAGGATGATGGCGATGGGCGACCTGCGAAGAGGCGACAGAAGGGCCCCATATTCAACGTTTACTTCAACGGCCTCAAGGTGCGTACTGCTTCTGCAACAGGTAGAGACATCGCACAAACTAACTGAAATCCACCTGACAGGGAAAGAGTGGACGGAGAACAGGCAAGGGCGACGCCGTCTACCACTGGGTCACAAAGCGGCGTTGGCCAAAGGGGATGGGCGGCGCCGCTGCAAGTAGTGACGACGATGGCGACGACGACGACGACGACGATTATGATGACGAGGCCGACGGAGGCGCTGGCGGACGAAACTCGCAGAGCTCCTCGCGGTCCAGATGGACCAACTTCCTGCAGGTCCAGAGCAGTTACGGGTACGAAGGCTGGAACGGAATCCACCAGGAAGACTTGAATCTCCTTACGGCGCTCGCTGCGCGCGACTGCGCGACTCCGCAAGGCACAGTCTTCGACGCGAATACGTTGAGGTATCTTGATCGGACGAAACAGTCTGGCACCCACACCGGCCTCGCCGCGCTGGTATTTCCGCTTATCGTCCCGTTTGCTGGTGTCGAGGTCCTGCGTGGCGCTGTCCCCTTCAACTATTTACTCGACCTGATTGACCAGACGTGGGATGCGTGCCCGCCGCTCGATCTCAATACACAGAGGTTCTGGAAGATCCCGGGGTCACGGCCTTATTATACCGCCGGGTTTTCACGACGCGTCGGGCTTAGCGATGCGCAGAGCACACTGCTTGAGCCGTATCTCAGCACCGACGCTAACACTTCAACATTCCAGGCTTCCTCCGACATTATCTTTCCATTCCTTACTGCAGAGGGAAAGGATTGTCACGGGTCCATCAAGGAAGCGGACAAGAAGACCCTCCACCACATGACCCGCGCGATGAAAGGCGTCGTTGACCTATTCAAAAAAGTGAAACGCGAAAAAGAGTTGGATTGCAGGATTCTGGGATTTTCGATCTCGTTTGATTATGAGACGGTGAAAATCCATGCTCACTACCCCGTGGTCACCGAAAAGAGTGATACAACGAAGGTAGATTATCACCGCCATGAGGTCAACAATTTCAGTTTCACCACCCAGAACGGCAGGGACAGATGGACTTGTTATAAGTTTGTCATGGCCATCTATAATGATTGGGTCCCCAAGCATTTCGAACGGCTATGTTCCGCAATCGACCAGTTGCCAGTGTTTGATGTGGATGCAGATGGATCAGGGTCGGGTGACGCTGCTGACGCTTCTGACACTGCTGGTGCTGCCGTTGCCTCTGGTGCTCTTGGTGGTGCTGGTCCTTCTGGTGCTGCCGGTCCTTCTGGTGCTGCTGCTCCTGTGGCCTCAGGTGCTCTTGGTGATGCTGGGCCCTCTGGCGCGGCAGCCTCGGGCAGCTAGACAATATCCCGCCACTGGAGCGAGGAAGGGAAGGAAACGGCAGTGCCAGTCGCTTTCGTGAGGGTTGAGTTGTATATATCATGTTAGAATTTTGTTCACTTGTTTTGTGTGTTTTCGTCACTGTCGCAGGCCGCAGTTTGTCATATGTTGGGAACCGAATTGGACGTCATGTCAAAATGATTGAGTTTGAGCGAAATGCATTGATTTTGTAGTGGGTTCTAGATGCAGGTCCGTGAGATACCTCAGCAATGGCTGCCAGCGGCAGAAGCTTCTCGCCAAGCAACTCAGAGACCTCAGAGTGATGCGTGGTCTTGGACGTACTCGTAGATACAGCAAAACGATCCGAAGATGGTCTCAAAGTCTAGGTACGAGCATGACTTCTAGCCAGAGAGTCGAAGTCTCTGTAAACTGAAGACCAAAGCGAAGGCCTCGATCCACCAGCGGCTGCAGGGATTGTTCTACCACGAGCGTCGGGGGATATCGGACGAGGAACGATCGCTGGTACGTTCCATAGCCGTGGCTGCCCGGCTTCATGATAAACTGGGTGAGGTTAGGGACCGATTCGAGCATCCCCGATAGGATTTGGAGAGAGCGGAGAGTAGTTGGGTCAAAGATAAGAAAGTGCTCTTGGCGGACGAGACGTCGTACCCGGGTGGATTCCAGGTCAATTTCCGGTTTGTCAGAGTGACATAGTTCGGTAGTCGTGATGGATAAACTGACGAGGGATGGTGGAAACCATGGCCTCTTACCGTCGAAGCCGTGTATTTCTGTGAGAAAGCTGCCTGAGATGCTGAGATGTTGGAGTTTCGTGAACGGAGTCAACCCCTTGGAACCAAACAACAAGCCGACAGTTTCGGGGCAATTGCCCGCGACGCGGTGGACGAAATCAAATTCAAGTTCCCGGACAGAGGCGGCAATGGGTGAAAGTGCGGAGTCCATTGTCATTGCAGGGGCTGACAATGCATGGTCATACCTGCCCGAGATACGAAGCGCGAACGCCTCAAGTCTGCGAGGGAACTGAAGGATGGCGTAAAGCAAGCGCAGGGGAAGACCGTCCCATTGAAAACCCAAAGTCCGGAGGGCAGTGTACTTGGTCCGAGTCTGGTTTAGTAGGAGATTCGAGATCTCGCGCATCCTCCTGTTCGGAAAGTCGTCATGGTAACGATGACAGTAAGACACCTGAAGATGTTTCATCACTGGCGCGGAAAACATTGCCTGCAGCATTTGTTCCTGAAGGTTGTTTGGTAGGTCAGATGCATATCTGCAGTCAAGGTCAATGTAAACTGTATGATGATCAGATTTCAAGCGCCATTTCCAATGGTGAGACTGAGCACGCACAGGATTTCAAAGACTGGAGTGTTCTGTCCGAGACCAGCCTTGGAAGCATAAATACCAGGGAACATGCACTGACTACTTCATCACATGGATGGAAAGCAAGGCTGCGTAGTAGAGGTAAGGATGTAATCGTGTCGATGTGGAAGTTGCAGGCTTCTGCACCAATACAGCAAACATCCCCCTCTAATATACATGTCCTGACGGAGTTGCGAAGACCCAGCTCGCGTGCCGCAGCGTCGGCAAAGTGGACTAGAGACCCCCGGCTTTTCAGCTCAACCACAGAGTAAAGAGACGGCCGTACAAGAGCATAAAGTTCCTTCGAAGCTAGTGAAAGGGCAAGCTTGTCGCGCTGGTTGAGGTAGGCCACAATTATATTGAATATTTCTAGCGGAAAGGATAGCAATCGCGCGGACGAGAAGAAGTATTCTTTCGTGGCGCCAAACTGGATCACTTGGCTACTGGGTTCGGCCGCGGTAACCAGTTGGGATGGGGGCCCAATCTTGTCGAGGATCCCAAATGATCGAATCACTTCCATCGAGGTTATGACGAGAACGCTGATTTTCCGTGATGTGAGCTACAGTCCAAACAGACCCGGACATTTGACGGACAGCTCACTTTGTCTCTTTGACTTTCACTGGCATACATCCCTTGAGGCGGCAGATACAACCTTTGACAAGCTCTCCATCATCAGCGAGGGGCCCAACAGATCGACTAAGCATGGCCTGGATCCAATATTTGCCGTCGCTGAAGACCGCCCTCCACCGCGTGACGCCATTGGAGCTGGCAAAGAGAGGCTTGACCTGCAAGCACTGCACGATTGGGGCTGGACACGACTCCTCGGCGTATTCGGGATCCTCAAGCATGAGCCTGGCAAAGGTTAGAGGGGAGGGGAGAGGCGAGAAGAGAAGCGTACTCGATAGACCCTGTGGAAAGAATGGAACTTCGCGAAATAAGCGCATATTGTGCCCTAGGATCCATGGTGCAAGATCTTTCTGAAAGATTGTTTACAAGAAAAGGAGCAGGAGAGAAATGACCAGAAAACGGGGCTGAGCGCTTGCAGGACTGGGCGCTGGAGGCGGCTCTCGAGGTATCATATTGGCCCCAGGAGAGAGGTTCCGAACACAACTAGCTGGCAAGCAGAATAACCAGGCTGTAAGCACCTCAATGATGGCTGTACAGGAAATTACAGGTGTGCCTCAAAACCGGTGTTGATAGGTTCCAACAGTTACTGTTGTTGATTCCATCTATGCCAGCTCACGTGAGTTCGCGCCTCCAGACGCGAGGAAGCCGCGCCACGTGAATCGCCGATAAGCGGCTCTGCACCAGCTCTCGCAATTCCTCGCCCCAGCAACCGTCAACAGAAGATGCCAGAGGTCATTAGTCTTCTTACTTCCACCCCGCCGCCGCCTGCAAATGTCGGCGAGCCGTCGTCTTTGGCCAGGTTCCATTCCAGCCCTCCTGCCCCCGCGCCCGCCGATCTACGAATCCTGTCCGACGAGGTTGGCCTTCCGGAATTCACAAACGACGATGAGGACGGGTTCAAACCACCTCCCAAGAGAAGGCGATTAACTCCGGAGCCGGACAGAATAGCGGACTCACCGAGCGATCACCATAATTCCCTACCATCGCGAAGTCAGAAGAACCTTTTTGTCTTCTCCGACGAACTTGCCCCCTCCTCCGGCGGTCCTAAAGCCGTCTCGAAAGCATCGGCTTTTACGCTAGACTCCGATCCCATCGTTTTTACCTCATCGGCGCCCGAACCGACACGCAAGAGTCCGTCTCCGAAGACGGATAGGAACAATAGATTAGCCACAAGGGATGCGGAGGATATCTTGAGTGATTACGGAACCACTGGCACCAATGTCCCTCGAGGTACTCTGGGCGCACCACGTGGGATAGGTCGGCGCGCCTATTCATGGAAAAAAAGCATAGAAGAGTTTAGTGATCCGATTCGTGTTCCAGATCCGAGTGAGCTTTTCGACTTTCAGGACGAGAGTGATTTCGTGGACTCTGGGATAGGTTCCGGACTCTCGAGCCGAACCGCAAGTCTGTTGGCTAATCTTGGAGGCCGTTCTGATAATACAGCTCGCGCGAACTCGAAACAACCTCGAGCGAATACTATTGATTTGGATGAAGATGACTCGGACTTGCTTCCCGAACCCCGGGGTCGCAAACCGAAGAAGACCGCGACGACGACGAAACGGACAATGGTAGATAAGGAAGCTAAAGCAAAAGATCGCGAGGCAGCTAAAGCGCAACGTGACCGCGAAAAGCAGCTAGAAAAGCAGTTGGAGAAGGAGCGGAAGCAGAAACTCAAGGAGGACAAGGCAAAGGAGAAGCAGCTCGCGTCTGACATCGCGCATGCCAATAAGCTGAAAGTCGACAAGAAAGATTCAACTCCTGAGATGATTATTGATCTTGCCTCTTCGTTCCAAGAGACCAGCATCGGCAATCAGACACTCGAGTATATGCGCCGTCTCGGGGTTGAGCATACCTTCTTTGACAGTCCAATCGCAAACGTCGTCAAGTGGCGACGGAAAATGAAAGCCAGGTTCAACGACACCCTTAGGCATTGGGAGCCCTGTGAGCTCCACATTCGCGATGAAGAGCATGTGCTGTGTCTCGTGACGGCACAGGAATTTGTCGACATGGTCAGCTCCGGCCTCGACTCAGATGCCCCCGACGCAACCAGTGAGCTGGAGATCCACGTTCTGCGTATGAAAAGCGCGCACCCCGACTGCACAATAATCTACCTCATCGAAGGCCTCTCAGCCTGGATGCGCAAAACCTCCAACGCCCGGAACAGAGCATACCAGGCCGAATTCCGCCGCCACCTCGACGAAGTGCAAGGCGCCTCCTCAACAGCTCCATCATCAGCCGCGAGTCGCCGCAAAAAGACAAATAAACCCGACAGCCCCCCTCCTGTAGATGACGACACAATTGAAGACGCCCTCCTCAACCTGCAGGTAACCCACCGCTGCCTCATCCACCAAACCGCCGCGGCGCCAGAATCCGCCGAGTGGATCAAGAACTTCACCGAGCACGTCTCGACCGTACCCTACCGCCGCCAAAAGCTCGAGGGAAATGACTCCGCGTTTTGCATGGATACTGGCCAGGTCAAGCCCGGCGAGAACAAATCCGATACCTTTGTGCGCATGCTGCAGGAGGTGAACCGTGTTACAGCATCAATGGCCTACGGCGTAATCAATGAGTATCCAAGTGTCCTTGAACTGGTTCAGGGCATGCGCGCCTCTGGCCCTACGATGTTGGAGGATGTCAGGGTAAGCACGCTCACCTTCCCCCCCCTTCAATACTCCGCCATCCATCTGCGTTCTCGATCGCACTACTAACAAATCTCTGTACAGAAATCCGCAAACAAAAACGGCGCCATTACAGACTCCCGTATCGGTCCCGCCGTTAGTCGGCGCCTATACAAAGTCTTCATGGGTCTCGACCCGAATTCAACGGACGTCTAGTTATGCTGTATATTTTCTTGGTCTATTGCTTTTGGCACTTGAACTACCCTTTGCTGTTGTCGGTGCTGGATACTTTGGACCCTTCGTTTTCTGACATGAACGACTGATTTACGTTGGGTCTGCTTTTCGCGTTGGCGCTTGGTGGTAGTTACTCTTTTTCTCTATACGTTACCTTGGTGTTTTTGCATTATGGTATTTGGCACCTGGGTGGGTTTATTGCTGGAAAGGTGCATCGATCATGATTGGGTGCTTGGAGCTATCTCAGGTTGTTTATTCATGTTTCGCATATCGCCGGCTCTGTATCCGGTTCATCCTAAATATTTCTTCCTGATTGTTTAAACAGACGGTGCTTGAAGTTGATATATATTTCATACCGGAGACACCGCCATGAACCCGGTGGACACAATTGGACACCCGAGATTCTTGGAGACGACATATTTCTGTCCCCGAGCAATGAGCTTAGCAAAGTAAAGTGAGCGACTCAAGACATCATTTTATCCCAAGCAGGCTATGCAACCTCTATATATCCCATCATTTAACTAATCCAAAAAAAGACCCACGACAACAACGAGTACTTGTACCAAGCGCTAAACGCCACATAAGAGGTAGCCAGCTAGCTCAACTAGCTTTGCAACCACCAAAGTTACAAAGATATAAGACAACTTTCCAAAAACCACGGAAAACCAAAACAACGGTACGGGTCAATCAAACAACAACCCCCCTCTTCCTCCAGGACCTCCAGGCAACAGACCAAACCCCAACAGCAACCCACACACTAGCTGTGCACCCCATAGCCCAGAACCCAAAGCAGCGCCAGCCATGGCACTGGCCATCGCCGCCGCCGGGGCCGCCGTTAGTAGCGTCCTGGTATCCGCGCGAATAGATAAGCCCCCACATCGCGGCCCCAACGGCGGGAAACATAGCGACGATCCCCCAATTCGTGCCGAAGTTCTCGACGCCCCAGACGACTGAAATGATGATGGGGGTGAGGGAGAATGCGCTACCGTAGCCGAGGCCGACGAGCGCCGTGGTGACGTGGGAGAGTTCGGGGTGTTGGGTTGGGAGCGGGGAGGCGAGGAGGAGGAAGCCGAGGGAGAGGAGGAGGGCGGAGGGGATGAGGAAGGCGAGGCGGGAGAGGGTTAGGCGGGGTTTGGATGTGTTGGCGATTGGGGTTGCGGTTTCGTGGTCGGTGAGGAAGTGGTAGTCTGCGGCGCGAGGAGCGAAGAGGTCGGAGAGGGAGCCTGTTAGGAGGCGGGCGATTGTGGAGGTTAGAGCTATCGTTGTGACGTGTGTGGAGGGGAGACCAGCGGGATGTGCGTCGATTATGGCGGCGGAGTCCGAGTTGAGGGTTTGGACGATTGTTCCGAGCTACATACTGTTAGTAAAAAGTCGGGATCTTTCAAGGGACTGAGCATACGTTGTTCAGATACGCCTCGCCCGGCCCAGTGACGAGGAAGAAGCCAACAGCAAGCCACCACATCGTATGGTCCGCGAGGAACTTCTTCGTTTCGTAGTTGAGCAACCAATTCTTCTTCCGGCGCTCCTCTTCTTCTCTCTCCTTCTCACGTCGCGCCGCTTCCCGCTGCTCTTCGGATAGTGTAACCGATTGACCGTCCGACCCATCATCATCTTCGTGGCGGGCAAAAGTGCCATATGCAGCAGCCACTTCGCTGCGCGGCTGGAAGAATTCACTTTCCGCCAACAGACCACTCCTTTCAAGCTCCTCAACCGCCTCGTCGATGTACTTGTCCTCTTCATCATCCACAATTCTCAGCGCGAAAGTGCCAATAACACCGATGGTCACAAGAAGGATAGCGAGGAACATAAAGTACTTGTAGACGTCGACATCACCGCAACTGCCGTCCTCAAGCCGCTCGCAGAGCAGATAGGTACCCACCTGGCTCTGCCACATCCCACTGAGACCGAACGCTGCGATGGGCACCGCGAGTATAATCCCCTTGTGCTTACCGCGGCCAAAGTTTTTAGCACATGTCGTCACCGCTGCCAGGTACATGCTGCAGGTTGCTACTCCAATGGCAATAAAGGCCACAACCATCACCCAAAACGGCCAACCGTCGCCGCCAGCGTCTGGAGGGGGACCGCTCTTGTATGCGAAAGCGGCGAGAAGGTAACCGAAGCCGAACGTGATGCCCGCGAACAGTGTCAAGGGAGATGGAGAGTATCGATCGCAAAGGTAGCCGGCAAGAGATACGGGGAGGTACATGGATATTCCCGCTGCGATGGATACTTCGTTGACCCGCAACTGTGTATAGTGCATCCGCGTCAGAAGTAGAGGGCCGTATAATGAGAACGCCGTGATACTTCCGGCACCGAGACTTGCGGCGCAACACAGATTAGTACATCCCTCATAATATCGCCAGACAAACAAGAGGAGTCTCACCAAGTAACTACTCCCCACGCAAAACTAAAAATGCGTACAACCTCTCTCGCCATCTTCCGACGATCTCGTTCCACCAATTCCTCAACAACATTTGTCAAAAGGCCATCATTATTGTCAATTATCCGATTACTCATCGATAGTCTCGAATCCGGCCGGGAGTGGAGCAACGCATCGTCTTCTTGCGCGTCGGATTCGTTCGAGGTGGATGCCCGGCGGTAGGTGTCAAAGTCGCGTTTGTCGATGACCGGTGATGACTGGCCATTGGAGCCGGTCATTGTACTGGTAATCGGGTGTAGGTAAGAATAGGCTTGTGGAGAGTAAACCCGTTATCGGCTCATCAATGCTGTGGTGATGAATGCTGAGAAGTGGTATCGTATTTGGGCTGGAGCGGAGTGCCTGGAATTGGAGAAGGCGCTGAAGCTCCGATAATCGGGCGTCGGTGATGTGTGAAGGTGGTGTAACTGTCTCAGTATCACACGGATGCAAGCCAAACGAGAAGGACTGTGCAAGCAATGAAGCCGAGCCAGCGACCACCAGGGCGAAGATGGCAGGCAAGAGGAATGGTGAGTGAGTCAGTGAGGAGGTGAGGAGGTTGGTCAACGCTCTGACGTCGTGGCTCCTTTGGAGAAGCACGCGTTATCGCAGCACATGTGACTTGCGCTTATCAACTCCGCATTCAAAGTGGAGAGCAAGGAGGAGTGTAAACCGGAATAGAAACGCAAAACGAATATTTTGTCTAATGCTACTACAATTTATGTACACAGACAAACTTCAAATGACGCGTCAACTGAGAAACAAGGCCCAGGAACTGACAAGGTTCCGGATGGTATATTCTAAGGGACAAGGAGCGCCAGAACAAAGACCGATTCATACATGCCATGAGAAGGAAACGAGACCCAAAGAACTAGTACCGCCATGCGCCAGGCATAGCTAGCAAGTCCCGGGTGCGAATAAATGTGCCATGATCAGTCGTCAATCGTTATCAACATGAGACATCAGACCGCTTGAGCAGGTACAATGCTTTTTTTTTGATACTGTGAACCTCGGAATTGAGGAGTCGTATGAACAAGTCGAACAGCAAAACCTCCAAGCCGTTACCATGCAATAGTGACGCCATATCCTTAAGCCCTGATTGAATTTTGAATGTATCAAGAAACTCCGGGTAGGAAAATATGGAAATGTAGAAGAAAAAGAGAATTAAAGAAAAGTCGAAAACTCTGGCAGTGCGGGGGTGAATCGAATAGAAAATGGAAAAGGAGTAGGATGTATGTTCAGAAGCTGACGTCTCCAGGATCGTCTTCCATGACGTTCTCATCCCAATATCGCTCGGAGGCGTGGTCGCTGCCAGGCAGCTGAGGATTGAGGGCCATGCCTTCACCTTCACCTCGCTCGATGTACTCGTCTTGATTGACTTCTTTCATGATGCGTTGAAAATACATCCGTAAAGTACGGAGGCCCCTGAGGTAGCCGCGATCAATATCATCTGGATGCTGAGGCGGGCAAGGGGCATCGGGAGAAATTTCGTCTTCGCCCGTGATACAGTTGGCGAAGTCGACAATCTTCAATTGAACGTCAATGTTATTGTGTCCATCATCAGACACACGGCGCTGTAGAGGTTTCCGTCCATTGGTGCTCGTGGGAGGCTCGAGCTGAGTATGCTTCTGTGCAGGGGTCTGTTCGCCGTCGTAGAGGATCAGGAGACTGCTCGCATAAAAACGGTAGCGCTTAAGTCTCCGGATCATGTGCTCTAATTTCGCCAGCTTCTCCAGGATAACAGGTATCTTCTTGGCAACACTCAAGTAGCTAATGCCATCATAAAGGAACCGAGTAAGTGCATCTTGGAATTCACGACCAGATTTGAGATCGCGACCAAAGTACTTGTCCTCGAAGGTGTACTCTTGCTTCTTCACGTTCCAGGTTTGCATACCGCAAAGGCGGACGCCTAGTTGTCGAGAAGTCGTGTTTTGACACTTGCGTCTCTGAGATTTTCTCTTCTTGTCATTGGCTTCGATGCCATACTGGCGGGTCCCCATCTTCAAATCTAACACGCACGGCTTGTTCATTCCTGCAGTCAGATCCTCCAGAAGCAAGAAAAATTGAACTCTTTCATCCTTTCTCGTCTGTGCTTCCTTTGGATTCGCCGGAGGTTCTGCGGAGGTGCTCGGGTTGAGTCCGGGGAAGAGGGCGCTTTTGTCAGGATCATGGTTGTGGCGATTGGATGTCCACCCATTTTCAGAAACAACGCCCGGCCCTTTCGAAGGTAGGGAGCTCGACAGCGCCGTCTCACGCGAAGTAGAGGATGACACGCCCGATGATGACACGACGGTGTCATCTTCCATCGCAAAGATCTCATCCTCCTTATCGCCGCCATATCCCTCATCCTCAAAGAACATCAGGTCTCCGCCACCACTGTTAGAATCCATGGTTCCCCGCCGCTGCAGGCCGCTTCCCGAGTGACGGCGCCGAACCCTTCGAGCATGGGATACGGAGCTGGCGCGGTGTGGAACACCTTCCGAACTCACCGACTCAAGACGCTTCTGGGTGGCTTCAAGGGCCGTTGATGCGGATGACGAGAGTCCGGGGCCTTCGCCTTCTTTCTTGACAATGTCAATGGCAGCGGCCCGCGGGGACTCGTTTTGCAGTGGTGTTGGGGGTTTGCTGAGGGCTCGTTCCTGCGGCAAGTTCACCAGTCGACGGTGGCCATCGGAAGATGTCCTTGGCAAAGTGAGGTGACCCCTAGCGTGGCGCCTGTGGTGGTGGATCGCGGGTGGGCTAAAGACCTCCCTGAGTACCTGTTCTTGAAGCTTTCGGTTCACGGTTGTGGCGCCCCAGGTCTTTTTCACGGGAGGCGGACTGAATCCCATCCCACTCGTTTGCGGGCTTTGTTCTCCGACGGCAAATGCAGGCTGATGTGAGAACATATGCCTCCTAGACGGGGGCGCGTCTGCAGAGCGGGGTCTTTGATGGCCAGAGAATAGATCCATCGGGATAATATGACGATTGTTCTCGAGGATTACTTTCGGTACTATGCCGGTAACTTGTTTCTGGCTAAAGATACGCTCCTTTTCGGCCGGTTGCGTAGCTTGGGACGCGTTATTGTCTGGCGCTGTGACGGCCCTCTTTTCACCATGGTGATCATCGGTAAAATAGTCCACATCTGTATGCTCTGCCTGGTTGTCCGACGGCTTCTTGGACCGCTTTTTCGAGAAAGTCACATTCAAAACGCCAATGTATCTGGAGAAATAATGAGTATATGACCTAAAGCCACCGCAGCGGCTAAGAAATCCTTTACGTACCTTGGTAAAAACATCAACATTTCTGGATGTCTGCGCTCGATCCGTTCGTAAAACTCGTTCTCCCGATTGTTGAGCTGCTTACACACTGCTCGCCGGGAAAATCGAAAAACGGTCGTATGTCCGCCCACTTGGTGTCGATATGGCTTCAGCTCCACGGCACCGACTGGTGTTACTTCGTCTTGGGTCCGGCGAGGACGGGGGACATGATGATGACGTTGCGTGGGGGTAGCTGTCGGCGTGACTTCGGCCTCGTCGGTCACGCTAGAATCTTCATCACGGACAGACGTTCCACTGTCATCTGCGGACAGTGGTTCAGAATCTTCGCCAGTTGAGTACTCAATATGGCGTTGGAACATGGAATCAATAGTCTTCTCATTTAGCTCTTCTAGTGGAGTCTTCCTGTCCTGAAGATCGCCGTGCAAGATTCTACTGTCATTTTTAGATCGAAGGGATATATCCACATGATTAGCCTCTTGCTCGGCAGCAGCTGCACGTCTCTCTGGCATTAGAACGCGGCTACTCTCTGCCGCCGATTCATCATATGACGGCAAAGCATGTGGCCCTTTATCAAAGGGTTGAACCTGGTCGACTTCTTCGGAAACTGCAACACGTTCATGTGGAAAGTACACCGCCGAAGAGATTTGCTCGTCCTCTTCTTCATCAAGCTGGGCCGAGCCGCGGCGGTGTTCCACAGAAGTGTCCGAGAGCGGGGAGTGGGTATGCACATAGCTACCCCTACCTCTTTCCGCATATTGGGTGGGGATACTCCTCGAGAACGAGGTACCGCGGGCGCCACCAGGTGTGAGGTGAAAGTTTCGGATCTCTTCAAGCAAGCTTCGTGGCAGCACCTTTGGCTGAACTTTCGGGGGAATGTCCTCGACCAGAGTGTCATAGTGTGATTCGCCACTCGCGGTCGGGGGGATTAAAGGAATGTTGGCGAGCTGGGGCATGCTCCTAAATCCACGCAGTTCTGAGAATTTTGAGACCTCGGCTTCGGTGTGATCGTGTTTGAGATGCGGCTGCTCTAGTTGCTCCTGATCGTGCATGTCCAGTGCGCCATCATGTCGAGGAACGCGGTCGTCTCTTCGCTTGCGGTCTGGAGAAGTAGCGGTATTCTCTTTGAATAAACCAAGATAGTGACTCGACTTACGGCTTCGAACATGGGCAGTTGGCTCTGCATTGGTGAGATTGGCTTCAATGGAGTGTTCCACCCTTCCCCGCCGACTTCGACTGGAGCTGCGCTCCAGCTTGTGTTCATGCGCTATATCCCTCGAGGGCGCCGCGTCCTTTTGGTGCGAGCTGCTCCCAGAACTCGCACCTGCAGATCGGTTATCGGACGGAGCTATCACAAAGTGTTGTGGCCTCGGAGAATCGTCGTTCAGCGGAGACGGATCAAGAGAACGATGGACGCCGCCGCGGGTGTAACTCGGAAGAGAACCCCGGTCGGATATTTCCAGACCTTCCCTGCCCAGTGTTACATCAAGATCGTCCGGTGGCAACGAAAATGGAGATCGGGAGGGAAGGAGAGGTGCGGGGTGTAATGGATGGGTTCTGTGTATGTCAACTTCCATGTGGGAGGCTTGGCCGACGCGATGGTGATTGGGTAGGATCTTGGAGGTAAACGAGGAGGAAGAGGATGGCGCCTTCTCGAGGTGAGGAGTCAACCTTGTTGAGGCGTCATGATGGGCATCCTCGACGGGTGGAAGTCGCGGCGAATTTGCAGCTTCGTTGTCGGACGGAAGATAATGTGTTGCGAAGATGCTGTCCCTCTCAGACAGCTGAGGGGGGCTGTTGTGACTTGTGTAAGAGCGACCGGGACGAGAAGAATGCTTTTCCTCGATGGGAGCAGTTGTGGCCCTTTTTAGAGCAAAGTTGGAGGAGGAAGGATTGGCCCACTGGCGAGCCGTGGGGGATTCTGCGCGGGATGGAGAGGGAGCTTGATGAGGATCGAGATGGGCGAGCTGGTCCCGAGCGTCGCGGTGGCGCCGCTGCTTGCCGTGAAGGGAGCCAGATGGTTCAGAGCAATCATGTTGGGCAGACGCAGCAGGTGTCACCGGGGGAGTCGACGGGGTAGTCTCAGATGCAGATGGATGCCTTGACATGGGGAGAACATTGGTCGGGCGTGCACGGTCAGAACAGGGATTACAGTGAACCAAGGAGGAAGAAAAGCGTGGAGGAGAGATGGCTGTGGTTGGGTGTTCCCGGTGGTGAAGGCGGAAAAAGGAAAGCTCAACTTTCAAGAGGGGATCTGGCGTCACTGCGTTAGCCAGGCAGGGAGCGGGCGAGGAGATCAGGGAAGTTCAGCCACGTTCCAGGGCAAGGCCTCCTTACAGGCTAGAGGGGGGCGATATTGAATTAAGGTATGATGATGGAATGGATGATGGACGAGTCAAGCCAGCCTCTTGGGGTCGTTGTGGCCTTTAGCGTCGGGTTAGTTTGAAGGGGAGGAAACCTTTGGCTAGACTGGGGAACAAATGACGCGGATCCCCGTCACCGCCCTCGACTCTGACCCAGCGATGCGCTTTCCACACGATGAGCTCGACAGTCGGCAGTGGAGCGACCGAAAAAGCAAAAACACACAAACCACTGCGCTGGAGATGGTCCAGCAGTTCTTCACGGCTTCTTCGATCTTCAAATTTACAGCTTTTTCCATGCACGATGTGAGATGAGCGATTAACAGGCCGACTAGCAGGAGAACCGCCCGCGAATTGGAGCCCGACAAGAATTCCCACCGCCCGAATCGCCGGAAGGAAGGGAGCAAAAATTGGATGAAATCACAGATTGAAGCTCAGGAGCTGGCGATCGCGGCCAATCACGGTGGAAGCTATGGCGAATGCGTCGGTCAAGGAACGAGGTGGAAGCTTCATCCACGCCAATATGACACCCTCCCGATACGCACCTCGACACTTCCGGTCAACGATAATTTCCCTGTCTTCGTATATCCTCAACATATCCTCAGAGCACCGTTGAATTCAGCACGACCATGGTCTATTGTATCTGATTGCACGCGGCACTTGAGTCAGGCCTCCGGGTCGCATGCTGTACAACCGCATACCGACAGACTTGGACAACCTGCGGATGCACAGGGAGGATTCAATCCATCGGAGTATGACCCAATGACTCTATATCTATTATTCAGACTATCGTCCTGTTCGATTCTCGCCCGACAGCGCCATTTGCGGAGACCCGGCTTCCGATCCCATTAGCACAAAGGACGCGGAGAAGATCTGGATAATACAACAATTCCCACTTTGGCTGGGACAGAGACAAGTCAGTTCTTGACATCGAATCCGCGAGAATACAATCGGTCGCAGATGGCGGGATTCGGACACAGAGGGCATTCCAAGGGAAACTGGGCTCTTCCCATCCCCACACCCGCATGACCCTGGTCAGCCACAATCTACCAATCATTGCGCAACGTGATCAACCTGCTGGCTCATATCTTCCAAACCTCAAATCCTCCTCCATATCCGGCCTCTCCCTCGACCTTGGTGCCTCCTTCTTTTGCTCTGCTGCCGTTTCTGTTAATCCCTTTCTCGAGTCTCTGATTCACCATGATGATCATCGTAGCTGACACGTTGCGCAGGTCCGCAAATCTCCCTGAAACGGACAGTCACATAGCAACCACGACATCAACGCTCCGGCAAACCTTCAACGCGGCCAAAACCGCTGCCACAACCCCAGAAGGAGGCTGTGCACCCCATTAGCGCGTTTCTCCGGAATCGAGCTCGGCTCTTTATCACCAAGACTAGCCCAATCCTTCCGTGATTCAGATTGAACCGTTGAGTCTCAACTTGGAGCACCCCGGTTTGGAGCCACGAAAAATGCCTCGTCCTCGGATCATTCGATGGTGAACCGCACGGTGGTGTCTCCTTGCTGCCCAGTGCTCAAGCCATGTCCTACCCATCTGGGCATTCTGCATAGGGAGAGAATGCGGTGCATCTGGTTGCAAGAGTCACCTACGTCAGCGGAAATCCGCATCGGCTCACATGCACTTACTGAGCATTTGTCACAGTCCGGACTGATCAGCTCCTGGACTGGCCAGTGAGTTTGTCTTGTTTGTTCTCGATGGCTCAGCAATCCTGAGATTGTAAATCTCAACTTTTACAACTCCTCCAGCGGATGCTCAATCCATACCTTCACGCTGCAATCAGCTATCTTCATTTACGTACAGATGTCGGACCCCACTGTTATCGGCGAGCTCTGATTGCGCAAAATGGCTGCTGCATGCCGAGAATGGATCCTCAGAAGATCATAATAAGGTCGGTAATCGCGCGCAGAGGTGAAAACCACGTATGAATCCCGCAGCAAGCGCCAAGTATAACAGAAGTTCCATCGATGCCACATACAGTCATTTTTTCAAGGCAAACTTGGACTAGATTCTCGCAGGAGCGGCTATTGCTGATATATATCTCTGTAACCGTCCTGGTGTGTGATCTCATCCTTGTGATGGTAGTGAAATTTCATAATGGCAAGATGCTCGCCTGCGTGTCTCAGTATGAGGGCCACCATAAATCGATGGTAAGATATCTCAAGTGACTCGCCGTGTCATGTCGTGTCATGTCCTGGATCATCAGAGCCATGAGGAATACTAGCATAGCAGATCGCCCAACCCAAAGCGGTGTTGCCTGTCAATATATAGCTTCGGACAAACGACCCTTTCTTTACCCTCTCAACACAATGCGTGCTCAACGCTTAGGTAGCTCTCATAGTCACCACTATACTTTAGTTGCAACCATTAGACTTCATTACCCTCGTACAATCCGTAGCACGGTGCACCCATACTCGGCACCCTCGGGAGTATAATTTACGGTGGGGTAACTCCAAAGCGATTCACATAGATATATATCCTGTACACAAATTCAGCACTTGTCAATCAAATATGTAGCTATAGAAATCAGATCTTGGCGCTGTTGAGTAAAGGGTTCCTAGTACGTCGATACCTTAATCTTGAGAAATATATTGTATACTGCTTGGACTAACTGCATTGGGACGGATGGACCAATGCATTTCCCCCTCGATCAACCAGAAAGGCAGTGGACAAAATATCCATGGATCACGAAAGAGCAGTAACTATACTAAAAGCTAAAATCCCACCCCTAGTCCCTATCCCATCCCACAAATGTTTACTGTCTATGGCCAGGACGTGAGAGCTATAACCAAAAGTCGCAAGACCTCTTTTCATCCATCGAGTCCTACATAGTCTGAGCCTCAAACGCTGTTTGTTCCCAGAACGGTTATACACCGGGTAGACGAATGTAGACGTAGCATGTAATATCTCATTAAATGTAAATCTGACGAGGCTATTGCATATGCCTCCAGTGTCTAGGGTGTACCTGCGGTTACGGTCCTCAGAGTTGTGGAACGGCCGAGGTTTAGGGGTATAATAGAGCCGGATGAGGCTATCTACGCCTTGTGTGTACTTGAAGTAGAATATATGCCGGGTGGGCACATTGCAAATGACACCAAAACTTCTCTTTACGTTGCCTCAAAGGAGGAAGTAGATCTGGACAGCCGTCCATCCCTGGGCTGCCCAAACAAGCCTGTAGCACCCATGGTTTCTTTTAATATCTATTAAGTTTCTTGTAGACATCTGCTAAATATCTTCTCCAGCCATTGAAATACACCATTTATGATGGATACCTTCTCTCCTGGTTCGCTCAGGTCCCTAGCAGTAGGAGGGTACTATCACAGTATTACTACCCAGGGGAGTCTAACAGATCACAAGCTTAGCCGGCACTCAATGGACCTGGCCGCATTTTATGCTGGGCTCGTGGATACTGTAGGGGGACTCAGAGTCGTGTGGTGCGTTTCTTGAGTTGATTATTGGTTGTTAGACCTCCTAAGAGACACACCCGGTACAGCAGAATAATGTGGCAGCATAGCTGTAAGTAGGGCTATTTGGGACGAAACCTACACTTTCAGCTTGAACCTAGACATATGCTATATATTTGGAAGAGACTGGGTATGTTGAAACCGGGCCGTAAAAGCTGCATTTACATATATCTCGGAGAAGTTACAGCATTCAAACTACCAACCTGTCAAGGCATGCATTGTTCTGCTTTGTGTGCGATGTTTCCGAGTACTAGCTGTGAACAATGTTTTGCTGAGGGCGCTAATTGGTCTTACATTGATCATGGTAAAGGGGAGGTGGATCTTTTGTCGTTCGAGTTGGTATATCGGGTTGCTAGTTGATATTTAGTACTTGTACGAGAATGTTTGATCCTAGCGAAGGTAGGTAAACCTGTAGAAACGACCTTATTAACAAAAGTCCAAGTACCCTAGTGCTAATCTAGCGCTCGGAGCACATGTACAGCTTCAAGGTATCACATCTGATATGCCTGACTAGAGTAAGAGGCAAAGCTCATGGGCAGCAATCGCTGGTACTTTGCGTTTTATAGAATGGATAGATTAGAGCCATATCCATGTTCGAAAGACTTAGATCTGTAACCTTGGAAACAGGCAAGGGTCATCCAAGCTATATGCTGGGTTCAACAAGCAAATCCCAGAAAAAACCGGCATCGTTGTTCAAAGTGCAGAGTCTCCCTGAATCTTTTCGAATTCTTGACCAGCGGTGTGAGTCGATAGAGAGTATAAGGCCTTGGATGTGGTTGCTTTGACTGCCGAGTTGCAGAGAATGGGTAGCGAGCTCAATTTCTAATGCATGCTGGTTGCTCTTTAGAACCTGCCACTGGCAGGACCTATCCTTCTCTTTATACTGTGGATGAGATGTCACATAGAAGCAGTGCGCCCCAGTCCCTAAAGCTGCAACTAGTGTTTTACGTTTCCAAGTTCGCGTAACCCCTGAATAGACTGTTTGAGCTGATCACCTAGAGTGGTTCTGTACGGGTGGTAGTAAAAGCAGCCTTGAGGGCAAAAAACAATGGACCCACCAGAATATTAATATACGGTCATTAGCCCTAATAGTAAGGTATAGTAGTCTGCCTGCATTTTAGGTCCTGCAGATAAATATGCAAGTCGCACCCGTTCCTCCTCGATAATGGGCTAAAGATATCGAATGGGCAACCATGTACCAGATAGAACAGTAATGGTGTGGCATACAATCTCGCATCGAAGACAGCGCGGCGCTATTGAAGTGAAATACTGGTAGCCCTAATATACATGACCTTGCTTCTTCTTATATGCTACAGGGCGCAGCAAGTACCTCGAAACAGGCCAGCATTTGAGTCTGAGATTGAAAGTTATTCCACAGTTATCATCTTTCCCCTGTGTGAATCGTAGGCAAATCAACATACCACTCTACGGTAGGTCCCAATAATGCCTATCATTAGACATAGAATTGAATGACCCTGTCTTTTAAGATTTGTGCATGGTGCCTACAGCGCCTATCTCATCCACTGTGCCCATGGTGCTGGCAGTATTTTAATATCTGAATACCAACCTTGCTTAGAGTCCTCCGGCAAACTTATATATGCAACGTCAGGAAGAACCGCCCCACAACAACCACAAGGCCTCCCATCTCGCTCCGAACCTCCTCTTCACCTTCAACCTCCTCCACATTCTTGCGGTGTCGATTACGGAGGGGGTTCATATAAATGTTACTACTTTAAGACCCTCGAAGTTTCCCTACTGTATCAACAGGCCCTGCATGGCGCTAATGGCTGTCCACAGGACCATAACTACCCGGTAAAGCTCCAAATGTTCAGCGTCAAAGTACTACAAACGCTAAAGCTATGGAACTCCCGGCTCCCTAGCGTGGCTTGACCTGATAACAACTTCTACAAAACCCCTTGGCATCAAATCCTTTGAATTCGTCTTTGACGCAGTCATGGAAGATCTACGAGACGCACCGAGATCCACAGTTACACACACAATCTGTGCGTTCCTCCAGCACATCACACAACTAGAAGATCTATCCCTGATGCTCCCCAAGGGTACAAACTACATTGCCATCGCGAGCACAGTCTCGTCGCACTTAAGCACCCGTAATCTTTGACGATTCGTGTCGCATTGCCTCCAGGATTAGCAGGGATATCAATCTTGTGATAATAATATACCTCTGACTCCCTTCTACAGCTACCATCAGCAATCGCCCCCTACCACCCACACGAACGGCCCGTCTGACCGAGTCCTTGAAACCAGGCCGTGCCAACCAAAACTCAAAAGACGAACACGCCTTTGCGGACTAGGCATTCGGTCCGGATGGAATACTATCCCTGCAGTTCCTTGTATTTGGGGACTTTGCACACAACGGGCGGTATGCTAAGTACAATGTACTTCTATGTCGTGTAGAAAGTACGGAGGGATATAAGCCGTCAACGCCGAAACACGTCTGATATTGGGATTTGGAGAGCATCATATGGACGTACTAGCGGCCTCTCCCCTGGAATCGTACCTAGGGCAGCGGTAGCAAGTTGACATATTCCATAACCTAGAATAACTGCCCGACAAAGCTAGTACCCATCCGTTTTTCTAAGAATAGAGGTGGATGCTTCAAGTCCGACACAGAGAGAGAAAGCGAGATGCCCGAGAAGTAACTAAGCAGCCGCATCCCTCGCCATGGCATCCTGGTTCCACTTCACCCCATACTGCGCCCTCTCATCCAACTCCTCTTCGGAAAGTTCATTCAGGGCAAGATAGACATGCGGCTTGGGCACGTTCCGTCCACGCTCGAAACCGGGCCGCGCGAGGAGCTTGTACAGCCAGCTCTTGATGGCGGGGAACTCGTCTATACTGGGGATTCCGGAGAATCCTACCAACACACAGGAATTAGTTCCATCCCGACTCCCCTCATACTATATCGCCAGGACGGAGGTGGTAAAAGGTGGGGCAGGGGAGACATACTGTACGCAGTAACCCACGGCCAAACCGCAATATCGGCAATGGTCACGCGGTCGCCGACGATGTAGCCGTGCGGGTTCTTGGCTAGCTGGGTGTCGAGGACGCGGTAGAGGCGGCGCGATTCGTGGACATAGCGGTTTAGTGCGTAGGGGTATTTTGCGCCGGCGAATCCTGGTAACGCACGAAAAGAGGGGATTTAGTGAGATATCATGGGCGAATGGAGTGGATACTGTCGGGAGGGAGGAAGAGAGGGGGTGGTGATATACGCACTTGCAAAGTGGTTCGCCTGCCCTTGCATAGGACCAACACCGCCCACCTGCCACATGAGCTACAGCACACATTACTTAGTCAAGCTCAAAACCTCAAAGGACCCAAATAGACGAAATAATATCCATACCCAACACGTAACCTCCCACGCCTCTTTCGACCCGACCGGATACGAAATCCGGTGCTCGGTATCATACCTCGCGACAAGGTACTGTAGTATCGCACCGCTCTCCCAGATCTTGATCTCCTGCCCATCCTCGTCGATGTCCGTTAGCGCGGGGATTCGGCCGTTGGGGTTTATCGCGAGGAACCAGGGTTCCTTTTGTTCGTTTTGCAGGAGGGCGATTTCGCGGGTCTGGACGGATTGTTAGTGGATGTTCTTATTGTGGATGTGATGAAGAGAGAAGAATGCGGAGGGAGGAACGTACGTTGTAGGAGAGGCCGAGCTCCTCGAGGGCGATGGAGATTTTGAGGCCGTTGGGGGTGCCTTCTGTGTAGAGCGTGATATTGGGTTGCGCGGGCATCTTGGAGAACTTTCTGGTTGTCCGCTGGATTGGTGATAGTCAATAAGATTGGGATGACTGTCAGTAGAATGGGAAGGAATCAAAACGGTTTAATCCTCGGCTTTTATAGGTATCGAAGTCGGGCAGTTTGTCGGCCTCGGTGCGATTATCATGACGGATAGCCAGATGAGAGATATCCTCGATTAGAAATTGACGATTTACTGACTGACAAATGCAACGGTCCATCAAGTAACTACAGAGATTTTATTGAGGACCTAATTTCTATATTGCTGGCACTGTGGGATGTAAAAAACTAGGCTTGCCATGTTGGAACACCTGATACCCGATTCGGCAAGCCTGGTGCTAAGGGGGTATAGTTGACTCCAATTGGCCTGTCTTTGTGCCTGGGGCTAAGGAGTCCTTAGTGTAGGGTGAGATGTTTTGTACGTTTTGTCTCTGAGATGAATGATATTTGAGATCAATGAACAAAGGCATCTCAATTTTCTGGACTGAAAGGTGTCTGAACTGTGTCTTGGACACTTTGTTGCCTGAATAAAACGCACAAAGGGTATATAAAACATACAATGCAGCCAAAAGCCTAGGGCCATATATAACCCCAAAATCCTTCAGAAGCTATAGTCCTGGCCTACAACACTATCAATTCGACTTTTTATCCGAAATGAAAACCACTAACAAAATGGCAAGCCGAAGCAAGACCCCAATCAAAGACGCCTGTGACAAGCTCACCGAGGCATACAAATCCCTCAAATTGGAAACGGGGAAGCGAAAAGACGACTCTCTATGCGCCATCTGGAAAAACCGAGTCGACCTTGGTATCTGTTTCCTCGAGGACTTTCGCGAAGACTTTGGCGTCTATCAGAAGGGAACAGGCTCCCTCGATGCACGAACTGCTAATGAGATCCCAGAGATTCTTGAAATCATGCTTGAGAGGCTAGAGAAGATACACAAGAGTGTCCAGGGCTGTAAGCATCCCCACTTCCCGTTTCACAACTCGCCTTTGACTAACCGTCCAGCCCACACCTTCATATCCGAATACTGCAAACAGCGCGAAGACCTCGACATCCGCGCCCTCGAAAAGGTAACCCTAATCTCACGCCAGTTCCGCGCAACCCAGAGTCTGTACGTCGGGATCTGTCCGATCGAGTACACCGTGAACAAGGGCCTGCTGGGGCGCCGGTACACGGCCTTTCTTGACCAGCTCGACGAGGACTTTCTCGCGTCGCTGGATATGATGCCGGAAACTCCGCCGGTCGGTGGGCGGTTTCGATCGTTTTGGCCGTTTGGTAGGGATTCTGGTTCACTCTAGGTAGGTACAGTCAAGGTGTATTCGGGCTGCGCTGGCTGCGCCCGTTCGTATGGATTGGATGGAGATCCCCTACTTTCCCGTATGTTAGTTTTAGTTTTGGAGAATGATTACTGATGATGATGATTCCATGCTCTCTGCTTCTCTTTCACTATCCATAACTTGTTTCTCAATTTCTACCCACGGCTCCGAAAGATCATGTGGAATACCAGTAGCCATGGTCGCATGCGGATTAGGGCTAAAGTAGACTAGTGACCTGCAAGACGCAGGGGACCTGCTACTCGATCAGGAATGGCGCAGCTTGGCCACAAGCCAACCTTAATTCCCAGCCAAAGTTGGAAGTCCGGGGTCAATCTGGGTTTGTCAGATGCGATTACCAATCAAGCATTATGGACAGGCACGACTAAGTCAATCATATCTGCCGACTCAAGTTGTCGGTTACTGAGAGCTTGCTCCTGTTTATCACGCATCTTCAGACCTTTACTGATTCCGCCGAGTTCGTTCGACCGATATTCGCAAGAGCTATCGATACACGGTCATGGCTCGCTCAACAAAACCCCTCCTCTTCGTGCACTCCAGCGGCCCCACACACGCCCACCAGCGCGACGAGGCCGTCAAGACGAAGATCCGGCAACATATCATGGCTGACATTGGGCGCGCGCGCAGAAAACGGCCACGGAATTCCAAGGTCGAAGTGGTGATGCAGCCGTGGTCTGAAGCGGATGTCGACCATCGCAAGCTCCCAAAGACAGGTCATAAACACAACGCCCAGGGCCCATGTACGAGGTGCCACTCCCAGCCGCCTGCCAATTCCAATGCCACTGCGTCGCCAGTCTTCCCATTCTGGTCCCAGAACCCGCTCGTTATCCTAGAGAGGCACTGGGGAATGGACATGTTTTCCGCGTACGGGATCGCATTTGTTATGAATGAAGGGGCGAACAGGAGGTTGAGGACGAGATCGAAATCCAAAGGTGCGACAGGTGGAGGGGGATTCTGGTTCCCATTCGCGTTTCGCGCTTCAGCCTTCCTCCGCCATTTTCGGCAGACAATCACAAGTCCCGAGGTGCTGGACTCTGTCGCCGACGTGCCGGGGAATACTTTCCAGGCGATTGCGCTCCAGCGCTCGACTGGGACTATAGCCTGTATTGAGGAGAAGCTGGCTGCTAGGGATGCAGGCGTAGCGACGTCTGATAGCGTGATCCGAGGGGTTTTGGCTTCGATTTGCTACAACGTACGCTTCGATGAGAGAGCGGGGAAGTTCATGTTTGGCAAGGGTTCACTAACAGCTGTTAGTTTGTTTCAATGGACTGTGATCAAGCCCGAATCCATATGAATGGCTTGACGCAACTCGTATCCGCGCGGGGTGGGACGGAGAGCCCGCTAGACGACGAAGAGCTGCGATTGATGATATTTTGGTAAGAACTCTGTTTCCGGGGCGCTTGGCTTGGTATATACAAGGTCGCAACGGCTGATGTGGTGGCAGGGTTGATATCACGGCATCGTTATTGTTCAGCTCAAAACCGCACTTCCCTGTCCCGGCCGACCTGATGCCCGCATCTCCACTCCCCACGCAGAGCGACATTTCCACCCTCCCACTCCGCTACCTACACCATCAACCCGGCTCTGTCACAGACGAATACACCACCACTATTCTATACTGTCTACGAGACTTATGGGGCGCCGCCGCATACATTCAGTCAAAGGGCACATTCCACGAAACCGAGCCATGGGTTGACGAAGAGTCCATCAGCCTACGCCTTAACCCCCTCGCACATCGTCTACTCTCGATATCCCCATCTACAGGATCTAGGTCAGCATCTTCACACGGCACAGCAATCGCACGAGCACTACAGCTCGGCCAGATTCTGTTCATCATCCTCGTCAAACGGGCTTATCGCTCATACCCCGGTTCTCCAGCAGTGTACGCCTTGAAGTTACTACGGCTTCTTTCGGATACACGGGTCTGGGCCGGTGACGCAGGGGTGCCGTCGGTTCGGCTGTGGCTGCTTGTTTTGTGTGGGATTGGCCTCTCTCGAGGCAAGGAAGAGAGCATGGTCGGGGATATGATTGGCGATGTGATGCGGAGATGGGATTTGGACTCCTGGGGCGATGTTACTGGGTATGTACGGCAAATGCCGTGGGTGAGTCTTTTTGATCCCCTGTGCGTCGAGCTAGAGCTTAGGTTACCATCTCATCCTGGGTACATGAGTATGTGAGTGGAGTATACTGAGATTGTATCTACTTTCACAAACATCAACCCCTTACCTAATGACCATACACCGGCTGTAAAAAGTAGTCAGGACGTACGTATTTCAAACGCTACTCGACACCATCCCAAATCCCCTGCAAATACCTCACCCTCGCCGCATCCACCTGAGTCTGCTGCATATACCCCATCGCGGTCTGCCCTATCGCCGCCCCCTCAACGCCCCAATGCGTCCTGAACATGCCCGGGACACCAGAGCCCGTATACCGGATCCCGCTGTCGTACATGCCCACCGTCGAGATGCCGTCCATGTTATTGTATGTCGAGGAAGTCGTGTTGTACATCTGTTGCATGGAGAGATTATGCTTTGCGCGTTCGACGAGGGCGCGCATTTCCGGGACAGTTTGGTGATAGACGTTCTTGCGGTGCGTTGTGAAGGAGAGGAAGGGGCTTGCGTCTTGCGCGGTGCAGGCGGTTTTGAACTTGCTGCGCATGCGAGGGGAGTACAGGTCACAGCATGTTTCCTCGTGGATGGTTACTGGTGTAGGCGGGAAGTAACTGGCCAGGTAGGTATCCCGGACGACTTCCTCATAGCACGCCGGACAGATCCGACAGGACTCATTGCCATACCACTGCCGCCCAGAGACCAGGTTGAGTTTCGGACAAGGCTCCGTCGGTGCTAGCCTCGCGGCAAAAGCAGCAAAAGTCGCAAACGTCGCCGTGACCATCGCCTCGTCGAGTTTCTTCGCGAACGCAGCAATTCGCGGGGTCCCCGCGTTCAGGTCACACGCGCACTGCCCGTAGACGGGACTCGGAGCCCGCTGGAAGAATCGGTCCAGGCCGAAGGGTTTCAGGAACCCGACGTAGCAGCTGTGGCAGACGTCAAAGTTCTCGACGCCGGGGAGCTGGTAGACGGGGTTCCCGCGTGCGATTTCAAGCGTGCACAGTGGGCCGCTGTTCATCTCGACCATGGTGCGTTCCCAGAGGGTAAAGTCGTGGAGGGCAAGTGCCTCGTCCCAGACGCTGCGCGACTGCCACAGGCCGAGCATGCATCTATGCTGCGCATTCGGTCGGGTAACCAGCTGAAAACTGTTTTCGAATTCGGTGTGTGCGGCGTACTCGCCGTAGCAGCGCTCGCAGATTGTAATCGAGCTTGAGCTGGAGCTGGGGTTCCGGGGCTGGAACCATTTCCGCGGGGGCCCGTCGGTGAGCGCGCCGTTCTTCTCACATTCTGGAAGGTGCAGATGCCGGATTGTCCCTGAGATGAATGCGGCCATGCTGTTTGTCCTCGTCGCTAGTTTTCGAACATATGGATTCGCGGCGTCGCAGATGAAGAGGGTCTCCTTTGCCTGAGGACCGGAGAAGAGTACGAATTCGTCGCGGAGGGAGCCGGACAAGAGGACATCCTCGTAGCACGCCTGACAGGCCAGGAACTCGGGGAATCGCTGCTTATCCCTGGGCTGGTACCACTTTATATTCTCCGTCACTGGAACCCCCCGCTGTCGTGGACAGTTGGGTATACTCATTCTCCGCGCAAAGAACCCCAAGAGCTCTGTCAAACCCCCAGAATGTACAGCACGAGGCCAGATATTGTCCTCGATACGCGGGCAGCTGAACAAACACTGCGGACTCGATCCGACGGGAGACGTCCAAGCGTAGAATTCACACTCCAATCGCGTCGACTGGATATGCTTCTCGTAGCAATATACACAGATCCGGAAGTCTGGGACTTGTGGATGGAAGTACCATTGGCCCTCGCCCGTGAACGTATACTCGGTGGAGGGGCATTGCCGGAGCGTGAACTTTGTTGGGGCGTTGTATTGGATTGGGGGTCTTGCGGGTGTCGTACTCCGTGTCTGGGCCGGAGGCTCTGTGGGTGGTTCGGCTCCTGGGCTGATGCGGGTATGTGACAGCGCCTCGGTAAGACTTTCCATCCTTGGTAGAGATCCTGAAGGGGGAGGAGGACCAGCGGGTGGTGGTGGATCTTGCGGCTGCTCGTATGATGGCGGAGGATAGTTCATAGAGGCCCCAGATTCAGGTTGATATGGTGATGGGGCCCGCGGCGGGGATGACACCACCGCGGCGCCAGCAGCATACCGGTCCGCGGTTCCATGCGGCTTGTTGGGGGCCTGTGGGCTGCTCGTACACAGCGGATTGTATGTAGCTGATGTAGCAGGCGGGGAATGGTGTGCAGACAGCTCTGCGAGATTCGGCTTCGGCTGACCTTGATCATACACCCCGCCACTGATGGGTGGTCTGTAGTCGGTATCCGGATGACTGGGCCGTGGAGGATATGGTGACGTTGCGGGAGTGGACACCGGTGGAGGCGGTTGATATGACGGAGGCTGCGTGGCTTGAAGCTGTGCCGTGAGGCGCCGCGTAGCGTTTGCAAAAGCCGCGGGTTGTGCGTTGTTATTGCCCTGCGGGTGTGGAGGGTATGTTGGCACAGCGGGATCAGACACCGGCGGGGGCGGCGGGTGGTATGATGGTAGTTGTGAGGCTTGAGCCTGTGTCGTGGCCTGTCGCGCAGAACATTCTTCAACAAGGGGTGCTCCGTAGCTTGCGCCCTGCGGATTTGTCGGCGGCGGAGGATACGCTGGTGCTGTAGGCGGGCGATATGAGGGCTGCGTAAATTCCTCGCGGGTTGCATACTGCGCGACAGCAGCAGATTTCCCGTAGTTCGGAACCTGGGGACTGGACGAGACCTGTGCGGTTGGGGGCGCGGGGGCGTAGGATGGTGGCTGAGCGCTTTGCAGGGGCGATTGCAACGGAGGATGTGATGGGGCCAGAGAAGGGGTATACTGGTATGCCTGCGCAGGTGGAGGGGGATATTGCCCCGGGTTGTAAGCCTGCTGATACTCGGGGGGTTGAGCCTCCTGTTGTACGTGCCGACGCGGCGGTGGCGGAAAGCTTTGAGGGGTTGAAGTTGGACGGGGTGGTAATGGCGGCCCTGGCCCATCACTCTACGGCACGATCAGCCAACCTAAATTATACTGACCAAACAAACAAACCCAGCAACATACCCTAGGACTGGTGACAGGCGACACACCCGGCCGCGGCGGAATGGGGGGCGGGGCACGCAGCGCGTATTTAGCCGGATTATACGGGTCCATTATCGCCGTATCGAACTACACACACAATCGTGGGGGGGTATCAAACTCAAAGTCAGTGTCAGATTCAGCGTCCAGACAGAGTCAAGAAAACACAAGACCGACAAGCCGTCAGCACTCAGCACAAGCTTAAGAGGCGCGGGGCGTTGAGCCTCCCTGCGTTCCTGTCAGACACATATCGGGCCACGAGTCAGAGGCAGAATCTCCATTCGTTGAGCATGCATTAGCGTCGATTGTGGCCCCATCCCTTGTACCTTGGCGCTTCCTGTCGGCTAAACTTGCTATTTCTGGCGGTGTTGGAGATGAGATGGGCTTTTGATCGTCTGGGAAGGCGGGCGGGGCGAGTAGACGGACTCTGTATAGGACGTGGGTTTGTAGAGTAAGCGTGAGAAAATCTATATACCTCGACAGTTCTAATTTTGCGGCCTATCTGTACTATGAGAGGAGCCGTTTGAGCTGAGGTTACGTCAAGCGGACACTGATATTTCATTGTAGGGACTTGTGTATCTAGACATTTACTATCTATTTGTAGAGGTAGTTATAATAATCAAGGCCCCCTCTGATGCCATATTATGCCCCTTCGCTGAGAGGTATCCACCCACCACTTTGGTCCGGCCATGTAGCCATGTCTACAGTAAGTCTCGGTAGGGATACTCTGTGCGACTCTGGTGCTGTGTAACACTTGGCACAGATACAAGCAAAGCCCTAAATCTGATCGCACGAAGCCGCTGGGAACCTCCGGCACGTGGAGAAGTATAGGCAGACCAGTGCATTCGGTGCTGAGACCATGTCTGTCTACTGGCGTTCTTGTGCATAGTCGCTCGCTCTGGTATCAAATCAAAGAGCCTGTCAGGTCTCTCTGAGACCCTACTCTTGCTAGCTATGATGGACGCGGTAAAATGATGAGCCCAGGCTCCGCCCTTTGCGCCTGCGCGAACAGATTGCCGACGAGGGTCCAGAAAGGCGCGGTATCCGGCACCGCAGTCTCGACCCACGCGAAGGATCCTAGAAGCCTCAATAACTTCTCCTTGGAGTCGATCTTCAGTGCCAAACACAGTCTAGCAGCGAAGCCCAGTAGCTGACCGGAAGGGGAATCGCCCGAGCTGACGATCGCGACAACCAGGCACCAGAGGACAAGCGACTCTGGCACTTGGTTGATTAGCCTGGTGAATTGAGGACGAAGCGCGGTGAGAAGCCGATCTCGTAGGCGTCTACTGTGAGGAATCGGGAATGACACGTGGATCGCGTAGAGGGTTACGCTTAGTCGGACGAGGAGGTATATCTCTTGCGATTGTGCGATCTGCGCCGCGGAGTGGCCCTGATAACACTCTAGAACCACGCGGAGGTCATCCTTCTCATCAGGGAGAGAGAAGACCCTATTATGCACCTGATTCCGGCTATCGCCCAGGAGGTCCAGAACCTCCGGGGTACATGCATCGGTGGAGTAATGCTGTATAACACGGGAATACTGTCCGATATCTGCAAAGATGTTGATAACCGCCTGGCTTATAGGCGGGGACAAGTCCCCCAGCGCCAGGAATCCGAGGCCAGCTTTCGACGGCGGCTCCATTGGAAACAGGCTGAGTGGAGGCTGCAGATCGAGCACCTGCCCATGAACGCCCAATGCTGGATAGACCGGCTTGTCCAGATTATTCACGGCGTTCATGAGGTCTGCGACGGAAAGCATAAACGCCAACGCGAACATGCGAAGCGACGCAACTCCACCAAAGCGGCGGACGATCTCGTGCAGAATCCGCCAGTGCATCGGATGAAACTGGCGGCTGCCATAGGCTTGCAGCGAGTGCAGGTTCCGAAAGGGAGGTGAAAACGAACTTGGGGCCCCGCCAGCCTTGATGGGCGGCGCTACGTTCATTGCGAGGAAGAGCGTGCTCAGGACGAGTCCATCCGGAGCGTTCACTGCATCAATGTTGGCAACTTCTTCGCGTAGATGCTGAATCGTAAGCGCCCAGAGATGTAGCTGCTCCCTCGAGTCAATTTCTTGACCAGGTGGGCCATGCACGAGACGCAGCATGTCGCGCTGGAAACATGCGGACCACAGCATACCGTACACCCGCAGTTTGTCCTCCCACATAAAAGTCCAGCCCCGGTAGCAATCAGCAGAGTAGTCTAGTGGCCGCATATTGGGCCAGATGTGGGTGGTCGCAAACTTTAGAATATGCTGCACTTTGATGCCGGCGAGGTTAGAGTCGAACGGTAGGAAGAGGTCGATATGGCTGGCCAGGAACGTATACAAGTGTAACTTGATGGCTGCAAGCCTCTCCCCGCAGGTTTGGCATAGGGCTGGGAGCATCCTGGTGGCCGGGCCTGTTCTTGGGCGGATCGGGCGGTAGTAGCGGGGTGGCCCCGAAGAACTCAGTCCCACGTGCGAGGCGCGACAGACGTCACATAAGAGATGGTCTGGCGGTCGTGAAGTAGACACTGCTTTCCCTTGGACATCACGACGTTCTCTGGTTCGATCGCTCAACGTGCGTCGGATCATAAGCGACCTGATGCCCCCTGTGCGGCCCTTGAGAGTTGTTCCGCCAACGAACTGATACCGCGGTGAAGCATCATCTGCTTTTGCCCGCGGCATCTCGGCCAGAACAAAGGAACCAACATATACCAAAGAATTATGGACGATGGAGGCCGTGGAGACGCCCCGGAGGATGTGCAAGATACTGGCAAAGGCAGGGATGACGGAGCAACTGCGGGGACAGGGATTATTTGCAATCACGTGGCCGCCCCCAATCTCTTACGGGGTTGAAACCCGCGTACTTTTGAAAGTTTGTTGGGACTCGCAGGTCCGAGACTTTAATTAAGTTCATCTCGAAGTCGGCCTCGTTTGATTGGTGGCCAAGGAAACCTTGCTCGACCTATCACTTCGCACTTCATCACCGACCAAAAGGGGTGGTATGCAGTGTAGAAGCCATTCTGTAGAAAAAGGACAAATGGTAGAGTATTAAACTGTACCTGTTCTCATCTGAAGGGCGATACGGATGGTGTTTGTGGTGAAGAAGAGGTTTGATACTGAGCGTAAGTAGTTCTTATCGAAGTCGCTGGCGCCGCAGCCCATCGCGCTTGCCCAAATGGTACTTGACCTCGACTATTGAACGTAGAAGAGCATTAAGATTACGATTCCCTAGCGGATTCTTCGCCTGTCAATGGAGTCGAAGCAAAGATAGCCGATAACGGGCCGCATCAGTCCCACGGGAGTGATGATGATATCCACACCAAGAATGGAGTGTAACTTGGTCATTCGGCGCACAGGCACAAAGATCATTCTCATGACGAATTGACAGAATGGAATCTTCAACGGTGCTCCATCTCGCCTGCGCGGTATACCCACCATCCTGTATCACTCTTTGACCGCAACCCGAGGGCCTCCGCATAATCTACCAGCAATGATATCCACATTAGGTGTTGAGAGGGCGCTCTGATGGGGCAAACAACGTTGAAATATATGAAGGCAAATCTCCTGATGAGTCCGGCGAGAGTAAGGTATTTGCAGGGGGTTGGGATGTTGTCGAGTAGCTCTTAGGGGTTATATCCGGTTCTTTGGTTGAGTTCTGCTTGACATATTTTGAGAGAGAGGAGCGGAGTGACGAGCAAGCAATAAGGGATAGAAGGCGGGGTTTATATCCCACTGAAGCTTTAGCTCACTGGTATCATTCCTTTTCCTGAACTATACTAGCATACCACCTTACTCGCGTTGGTACGAGCTGATAGCCATATACCCCGATATGGTGCCCGGAGCCAGATACAGCCTAGCCAAGCAAAGCAACAAAGTTATCGGCCTATGGCCAGCTTGTTGGGGGACCGACGCTAGTGGAGGATAATGGATCAGAGGGTGGGGATGTGCAGTTATTGTAGAACCTGTTGGTGACCGGCCATTCTCGATAGCCTTGAGCGGGAGAAGTAGAATTTATCCTGACAAGTGTTGTCGCCGTCCGGCCTGGGAAGTGCGCCATGGATATACCTTGGTCGTCCCCAGTCATAGCAGTGCAGAGTTCCTCTAGAGATGCACTCGGACAGACATGCATATATCACCCAGCCACGGCGTGTTCCAGTGCAAGGGTATCATCGCGAGTAGACCTGGGAAGCTGTGCCGAAATTTGCGGTGATATGCATAGTCTCGCTATCCTCGTGGCCTATAGAAGTGCGCTCGAGAGAGAGAGCCAAAGCTGGCCGTACGCCCAGTCTTCTAATGGCATCGAGTTGGCTACCACTCTTTTTGTCTTGTAGAACTTGAACATTGGTCCTGGATTAGCGCAAGGGATGTTCACCGAACGTGATTTGACACACGAGCCGGCCCTTGCCCAACCCGTAAACCAGGATGTCGACACCAATTTCTAGACAGGTTCATCGTTCCAACTGTGCGTGCGACGGCTGTTTAACCGTCTAAATATGTCTCTCCAGTAGCGCCTTCGCCGTTGCCGCAGCAGTCGCAGCAGCGAAATGCTGCCAGGTCTTGTTTTTATGACTGTCGGCATAGTCACAGACGCCCTTGACCACAATACAGGGGACTTGATCCCAGACACCGGCTCCCTCCATCTCAAAGGCTGCAAGACCATGGCGCTCTGCCAGCTTGTCCCGGTCCTTGCCGGACTTTATGACCGCATCTCCAGATCCGATACTTCCAATGTAGATTGCCGGAGCCTGGGCTTCTTTGCTGTGCCCCGCTATTTCCAGGTCGCGTTTCGCCTTGAGACGCTTTCGTACCACTAAATAGCTAGTACCACAGCCGAGTTCAGCACAGGATAGTGTGCGGGATTCCTCGCAAACGCGGCCAGGGTGGTCTTCGGTTCCGGCGTAGGAACATGGTGAGGAGCCATGGTGCTTATGCTGATAGTGCGCTTGGAAGAGCTTATCGTGTGACGCTCCTGGATATTTGTATCTCGCCGTGCGATGGTTTCGGCTAGTCCTTTCCGGAATTTGCTGAAGGTAGACAGCTGCCTTGCTCTCAAGGCGATCCCGAGCAAAGTCCGTCTCGAACACGCGGAGAAGGCTGCAGATGTGGTTCGCTGGCTTGCCAGGGCAATCTTCAACTGTGGTTGTTGTCAAGAACTCATCGGGGTATTGCTTGCCGAAGTCATACTGTATGATACGCTTGCTAATGACCACATCACCTAGCAGAAGCTCTTCCTTGCGCCCTATATAAGGCACGCCGCCACAAATGCCAGTAACCAAAGCAAGCCGCAAGCCAGGATAACTCGACCGGAGGTTTGAAGCAGCAGCGGCAGCATTAACATTGCCCATCCCTGCTAAAAGGACTAGAACGACATTGGACCTTCCAATACGCCCAGCCGTGTACATGTTGGTATCCCCGTCTGCCTTGCCATAGTAGTCACCATCTGCATCCCAAAACTCGTCGACTAGTGCAGACACCGCATTGAACTCCAATGGCAAGGCACATACTATTGCAACCTCAAATTCCTGATGGGTGGAAGGACGAGAAAACTCCTCAGTGGGAAGCATCACTGGTGGCTGTTGACTGACAGCGGTTGCCAGTGTGAGTTTCTTTGAGATTGGAAGATCAGACGCCGAATCACGTCTCTTTCGTTTCGATGTCTCGGGTTTCGCCATCAGCTCTAGATTCCGTACAACCTGCTCGTAAATTATTTTTCTTAGGATCTGATCGGTCACTGGGGCCCCTTCCTGATCGAGAAAGTTGGGAAGAGCCATGTGGAGATAAAGACATCCCTCCACAGCCTTCAGGTAATTCGCACTGCCCTCCCTTTCCGCTATGCTCACGAAATCGCACATTTCCGCCCATTTTGACAGGTTCGCTTTGCTTTCCGGCTGTATTTCAATCGGTATTGTATCGCCGCTGTCAATTTCAAGAAGTAATTTAGCAAAGGCGAGGAGAACAGGGTTGCCAGGGCTGACTCCACCAAGTGAAGCAGGTCTTTCGGCTCCCGGTTCTCTTGGCTTGAGTGAGATGTAAAGAGCGCGATTGCTAGTGGAGGTTCCTGAGGGGCGTAGAAAATATAAATATTCTGGCTTCCAGCTGTATAAACCAAGCTCAAGGTCTTGGTCAAAGAAGTCCATCAAACATCTCGCCAGAGAAAGGGCTAAGAGAGCTTTCTCTCGCGAGCTGAATTTTTTTTTCGCTGTCCCTGAGAGGTAGTCCCTCGCGGTGATCCTGGTAAGAACCTTTTGGTCGAAGAGTTGAGCAAGCGTCTCAACAGAGAGTTTATCGACAGACGACATGACTGCGGGCATTTGATCCGTGATATCATATAGTCCCTGTTCGTCAACGACGACGTGGAGTACTTTGCCATTCGCCTGAGCCTGCTGGATTGCAGAACACATCTTGTCTCTCTTTCTTGGATCAAATTCTACTCTAAGCATGGTCAATACGAAATCGAGCGAGAGTAGGAGGGGTCGCGTACTTGACCCGCCCACATTTGGACTCCTGCCAGACCATCTCGTTGCAGATGGATATAAACATGTCCAACGCTCCTTGGTGTGCACCGGACTGCTATTCATCTGACACTTTCATCTTTATTTCGTGAGATAGACCACAGTCGCTCTGTCGAAAGTTCTTGAATATGGCGCGAACCATGCCGCTGGGGGTAGTTGGGTGGTCTGCTTGTAGTACAAGGCTCTCCGGGGTGTCCTGTGGCTGGGCCGCTGGGAGATTGGTGTTTTTGAATTCCTTCGCCCGGAGAATGGTGCGTTCTAAAACCACCTTCCAAGCCAGGACCCGCTCAATCGCCAGTTTCCCGGCCGTGTTGTCGAGGAGCTTGAACATTGTCTGTGGGCCAGTAATCAAAGTGTACTCGCCAGAGGCGGATTCCAAGAAGGTGATCAGAGACCACAAGCGGGAAAACCTGTCAGCAATAATTGCCATTCCATTCTCCACAGGCCTTTCGGGCAATTTGACGGGTTGCCCATTCGGTCCGTGGGACGGTTTAACGAGGTCCTCATTGACGATGTCGTTGAGTGAAGACAAGAGATTCAGTGCAGCTTGATCGAGTTCGGTATAATCATAACCAGGAAGCTCGACTGGCGTCGCGTGGAAGATGTAGCGCAAGTCAGCATCGAGAAAGGCCGCCTCGTTGCGCCGTCCTCGCGAATCGACGGGGGTGCTGGCAGATGTGGTTCGGACAAATCTCGCTAGCCTACGAGAAATGCGCAACTTGAGGGCCAAAAGGCCGTTCCATCCTGGTGAGTCCGTAAGAAGCATGTCGGGTGGATGGATACAGGGTGGTTGACAGTGCGAGCAGCGGCGCGGCTGAAGCATCCCGGCCCAATTAGGAAGGTGGGGTAGATGACGGTCCCGTGACATAAACACCCCCATGCACTTCCTGCTGTGCATCGCGCTTGCTCATCCCATCATCCATCATCACCGAATCGAGCCTCAGAGTCAATGTCTGTTACGCTTGAAGGCGTCGATGGAGCTATCAAGGACCACGAGCCCATCTTCGGCCTCGCTACGGACTGCGAGACATTGTTCACAAACCGAATAAACACGCTGCAAAACAATGACGAACAAGATGGTGCCAAGCTACTCTCAGAGCTTCATCAGCGATTTGCTGCCTGGGCGAGCTTTCTGGGTGTTTTTGCCGAGTCGAATATCTGTCTCGATCGCAGGCTCCGACATCATATAGACATTCAGGACAATGTGTTTGCTCTGCTAGAGATCATGCATACAAATCTGACATGCTGTACATCTCTCTGCTACATGCTGGCTCTTATTCCTAACATGCGTCGCAGTATTTGAACGAGAGAGCCCATCTGTGCAGATGGATGTTGACTCGTCCCATCGGTTTTACATCAGTCTCTCCGCGTTGGATGCGATTTCCGGAGCGGTGGATCGTCTCAACCAACTTGCACTGGTGATTCGCAGGTCATCGGTTACAAGTGAGACCACAAAGGCTAGGAGGTTTGCTGAGAAGCTTGATCTCGCGTCTTTCGAGGTACTTGCACACGGGTCTCTCAGGGTGTTATATCCCGAGGCAAGTGAAGGTCTCCGAGAACAACTGGCCCGATCGATGACAGAAACATACGCTTTATATCTTCGTCGAAAATCTCGTCAGAAACATCTGCAAGCCCCTCGATCGGGACGCCAAGCATCACTTTTATCTGCTATCAGGGAAGAAGTTCATGATGCTGAAGCGGAGGCCCCTATGGAACTAGATTCACAAATACCACAGCCAGGCGAAGGGCTGAGTCCTGAGGTCTTCCGACTGCAACCATTAGTTACATTCCGTCAGGGACCGCTAACCGAACCTACGTCGATCGATAGTCACGAGGTCAGGGTCAAGGTGCGAAAGCTATTGAACCCCTCAAGGCGAAGTGGCACAAAGTCAATCCTGGTCCATCAAGCCGAGTACCCCTTACCAGCTGAAAGAGTTCTGCGCTGCCCTTGGTGCTTTGGGCCCCTTCCAACTAGCTCAATAACCAAAATTGAATGGCGGTATGGCACCGTCAGCCCTGCAGGATTGTCAAAAGCTGCCGACTGATTCTGACATTTTCTCAGGGAGCATATGAACCAGGACCACCTACCGTACGTTTGTATGTCTCAGGACTGTTCCGAGTCACTACCAAGGTTTGCAGGATCCGCAGAGTGGTTCCACCATATGCTGAGAATTCATGGGGAAAACTGGCACCAGCATGTGCACGCCCCCTGGTCGTGGGCTTGCCCCTTGTGCACCACCAGAGAAGCAATCTTTACTCATTCAAGTAAGCTTACTGCGCACTTCGACAGTATACACAAGGGTGACTTGACAGAGTCCCAGGCCCGTGCAATTGTGGGCCAGAGTCAATTTCAATTCCCTCGACCACGCCATATCTGCCCCCTATGTTGTTTCTCGGTTACAGACGAACAGGATCACACCATGCAGGCACCGAATAACGGCAATGCGGCCATTGAAGACCAACATGCGAATGAAGCACATCCAGAGTCGGGTGTTCACGCTAGGCCCTCTTCAAGCAAGCTAGCTAACGTCGAGGCTATAGCCACCCATGTAGCCGCGCACCTTCAGTCTCTCATGCTTCTAACACTGCGCCTGATATCCATCAATGACCTGACTGGGACGTCGTTTGATAATCAGAGTTTGTCATCAAACCCTGATGATCGCAGCTCCAACCTTGTGTCAGAATGTTGCGATCCAGATCTAGATGCTGAGAGGAGATACCCCAGTGCGCGATCAGAGTCTGCCATGTCCGAACACGACTTTGAGCATCTGCCAGGAAGTGAGATAGAGGACTCTGAGGATATCGACTGGGCTTATTTCTAGAACCCCATGTGCAACATGAGCAGCCCGGCGAAACCCCGGGTATGGATGCGGACATATCAGATACCAACGGTGAACCAGTTATAGTTGACTACCCAGAATGGCTACCATCGGTGCTTGATTTCCTTCTCGCCGCCCGTTTCGGTGGGCCAGTGGTTCAACCGCCTGAGCAGGACATCATAAATCTCTGTACCGAGGCTAAAAAGATGTTTCTAGCTCAGCCTATGGTATTGGAGCTGACGGGTGGAGTCAATGTACATTACTCTCTCAATGTTGCGAATAAGAGGGCTTGTGAAACTGACCCCAATAGGTCGTTAGTGATATTAATGGACAATACGCTGACCTGTTGCGAATCTTCAAACGCAGCGGTTATCCTGGACCGGCTGCAAATTACGTCTTTCTCGGCAACTATATCGGCTACGGAGCAGAGTCTATGGAAGTTCTATGCCTTGTTCTGGCTTACAAGATTCGATATCCTGAAAACTTTTTTCTTCTGCGCGGTAGCCACGAAACCGCGCAGATGAGCAGAAACGGCCGAATCTACGACCAGTGCAAACGATATGATACATACCTTTGGTCAACCTTCGTCGATCTATTCAACTGCATGCCTGTAGCAGCCAAAATTCAGGATAAAATATTCTGTGTGCATGGAGGATTAAGCCCTAATCTACTTTCGATGGAGCAAATTCTACGGCGCGCGCGGACAACAGATGCAAGCCACCCTTCCCATGTATTTAATGGTCAGTGCTTACATACTACTACCTGATAGAAATTTGGCACCGGTCTTCTGCGCGACTTGCTTTGGAACACCTTTGACCGTTGCACCGTCGAATGGAAACCACAGGACGAGGCGGGCGAGTTCGAGGTTGTCTCCCGGTTCCTACAGAAACATGATATGGAGTTTATTGTCCGAGGGCATGACATTGTAGATGCTGGATACGAATTCTCGGCGAGACGGCACGTTCTCACGCTCTGTAGCGCTGCCGACGTCGTGGCTGAAGACGGGAGCAAAGCCGCCAACACAGGCGCGATAGTCCGCGTTGACGAGAGCCTCCGATGTCACTTTGAGGTACGTTGACCGCTTATTCTTGAGTTGCAGCGCCGATGGACTTGTAGATAAGTCGGGGCCTGATGTCAAAAGTACTTATTTCTGGATCCCTCCGCAATTCTTTTTCGTCGGCGGCAGCGAAGCCCCAAGTATGTACTCAGAATAAGATCCCGAACTCTCGAATTCAGACACCGAGTCAAAAAATCCTTCGACTGGCCCCGCATGAAGGGGATTGGATGAGCTTCGTTGAATGCCATATTCCCAGTTACATCTCCCCTTGACAACTGAACCCACCCCAGACTATTCGCAACCGCAACCTGCCAGCGGTAGGTGACCAAGAACCCGTGACAGGATCCGCAAGCTATTCGAAAGGCCGTGAAACCTTGCTTACTTTCCTGTAAAGTATAATATAAGTCATGCAAGGGGGTGACGGGGGCTACCTGGTCGCCGTGCATACATGCCAATATGACTATAAAATATACATGTATCTGTACATAGGTTGACAAGTTTGAGTGTCAATCTTGAACGGATGTGTAAGCTAATTTGGCGAATGAGACATCTGAAGCCGTGGACGCTGCAGGCAGCTGGGCATTTCAACGGGATTGGAACCAAGTGATAGTTGTTGGACTTGGCTCCCTTGCGCACATCAAGAAAACGTATTATTAGGCCTTGTATCCCATACCATGTCATCAGGTGCCCACTACTGCTGCCGTATAATAAATCCTCCCCACACCAGATCAACATATCTCCATACTACTAATTACTACATAACCTGACCCGCCGTATCCGCAACGCCCACTAAACCCTGAACCCCCTTCGCACCCCCCTCCTCAACCCCCGCAAAAAGCCCCGCAAGCGTCTGCAGCACAATAAACGCCCTCGTCCGCCGAATCCCCTGCCTCCAGCACTCATTCGAACAACTCCCTGCCACAGCCTCAAGCACCTCCTCCGCAAGCTGCTCCCTCTGGTGAACCAGGCTCAACCCAGCCATCGAGTCCATCATCTCGCTCCGCCAGCGTCTCAGGATATCGGCTTCGGTCTGGAGTTGCTTTGTCCGCGCTTCGAGGGTGAGGTACTTCTCTCGCGTTTGATCCAGAAGCGCAGAGACGCGGTTATTTTCTGCTGAGAGCTTTTGTAACAGCGATAGGAGGTGATTGCGTTCTTGCTCGCGGCGTTCGCGGAAGCGGCGCTGTGCTTCGCGGTTTTGGGCTTGGCGTTTTGTTATCTTTTTCTGTTAGTTTTTGCTTTGCGGGTAAATGGATACAACAGTTGGAACGACGATACCTTGCTAGTATAGGCGTAGTCAGGACCTCCAGGAGATTCAGCCGCCTTGTCAAACGCACCCAGAATAGTTGCAGAAAACGACTCGGTTGGCGAGGACCGCGTATTCGAGGCCGACGCCGGCGAAAAGCACAAGAGGTCTTCAGTAGATTGCGACACACCCCGTGTATACAGCGATGAGAAGAAAAGGAGATCGTCATTACTGAAGTCGTCCATGGGATCCGGTAGGTCGAAGCCGGAAATGTTCTCCGGGTCTAGTCCGCTCCCATTGCCGGGTTGTTTGCCCGAAGAGCGTGAGCTTGGGCCCGGGGCTGGCAGGCGGCTAGTTAATAATGAAGTGGGACACTTGGTACCCGATGCTGATTCGGTGGGGAGCTGTTGGGTCATCTCAGGACTTTTACGTATTGTGCGCTTTGAGGTTGGGAAAGAGGTTGATCAAGCAGACTTGCTTGGTGTCAGGTCGTTTGGAAATTATCTAGAGGCTGAATAACTCGCCTCTCGATTCTTAACTACTTCATATCATCATCATTTATAGACGGAGTTTCTCATGATACTATCCCTAACGCGAAGCTTATAAATCCAAGCTTAACTACCAAAGGAAGTGAGCACTCGAGATCTGATTGGTTGATCGCCAGGACGCTAACAAAGACGAAATCTCAGGGCTGAAGAAGACTCCAACATGCTCTTCCCGAATCTTCGGACCCCCATTTCTGGTGGACCGCAGGATCCAGTGACTAAAGAATCTAGACGCAGCATGTGCTGTGTTTGATATCCGATGCGATGTCTGCAGGCCTTTTCAGCCAGTAATACCGAAACAAATATGAAGCCTTATCGGGTTAATTTAGGATCCTGCCCTTTGGTTTCTCACATTATCTGGATACAATGCGGGAAGGGGGGTCGATAAGTTGTAATGTATTGTTCCATTTTAGTTGGGGCCCGAGATTCGAAATATGCGCAGCGGAGGAGGCAGCCTGGCATCAACGTATCCCACTCCCAGAACTCGAGACACGACAGAGAAGACCAATCATGTTCGCTCATAGAGCCTAGCAGGATATATGTTCCAACTGGTTCCCGTTTCCGTGACAGGCTACTGGGGATCTGACTAGCTAGCTGCATGGAGAAGCTCTGACTTGCGATCACGGGAAATAGGTACGATCGTTTCTGCTTCCCTTTAGAAGCTAAACATGGGCTTGATCTACTTGCATGGTCCGGCCGGTCATGGATAAGGTGCTGCATGGATTGGTTATTCATCAGATCATGATGAGGATGGACGGGTTTAAAGTAGAATTTTTAGATATTTTTTATTTAATATCTATAATATTTGGAGTTTATACTTTAATAAATAGAAATCCTGTAGTATCTTCTACTGCGTGTGCGGACTTTTCCAGGAAAGGTCAAGTCGCAAGATTTAACTGCCTAATCTGGATTAGATCAGTGTGATTGGTAGCTAATTTTGCTTCATTGACACGGTACTATGGTACTTGGCAGTGGGATACAGAATATAATATCTCTCATTAAATTGTAGCATGCCAAATGTTTGAGACACGGGTGAGAGCGCGTTCAAGTGGGCAGATACCAATGAGGGCTAGATAGTTAAGGTCCGGTGCATGAATATCATATATATATCATTTAAAAACTATATCGAGAAAACAAGTACTAGCATTAAGGAAGCTCTCCTTATTGTCCCTTTCAATTCAAATCCCATTACGAGCCAAAAAGTCCAAGATCAACCCGCCAATCTCTTTAGTCTCAGTTTCGATGGCAAAGTGACCCGCGTCCAGGAGATGCACCTCTGCCTTGGGCAAGTCCTTCTCGAATGCTTCTGCTCCGGCAGGAATGAAGATCTGATCGTGCTTCCCCCACGCAGCCAGCAACGGGACCTGCGAAGATCGAAAGTATTCATGAAACTTGGGGTACAGCGTGAGGTTGTTCCGATAGTCCCAGAACAGGTCGAGTTGAATCTCCGCGTTTCCAGGTCGTTGAAGCAGCGCATAATCCAAGGAGTAAGACTCCGGTGCCACAAGGCCTGTCGTTCCTTCTTCGTACTGCCATTTTGTGGCCTCAAGGCTTAGTAGCCCGGCTGCTAGCTTTGACCTAACGGCTGGATCGTTGTTGCTGGTCCAGAGCTCCCGAATCTGGTCCCAGAATTCACCAAGGCCGGCTTCGTAGGCGTTGCCATTCTGCGTGATGATCGACTGTACAGCATCAGGGTTCTTAAGAGCTAGGCGCAAGCCAACCGGGGAGCCGTAGTCGAATATGAAAATAGAGTACTTCTTGATGGATAGTACCTCGAGGAACTCGGAAATGACACCAGCCAGTGCATCAAAAGTGTACTGAAAGCCTTCCGGAAGTTCGGTAAAACCAAAACCAGGAAGGTCTGGTGCAATGACCCTATACTTTGGAGCGAGGATCGGAATTAGGTTGCGATACTGGTGCGAGGACGAAGGGAAGCCGTGGAGAAGGAGGATGACCGGGGCTGACTCGGAGCCAGCCTCGCGGTAGAAGACATGCGCCTTGGATGCAGGCAGTTCCAGCTTCTTCACTTGAGTGGTAGACATGATGCAACAGTCTCGGAAGGAATCAATGAATGGATCAAGGTGCGAAGTGCGAAGGTGTGGATCGATCTCAAGTGGCAACTAAGCGCAGCACACAATATATATTCGCGTTTTGAGGCGTGCCTCGAATCTTCGACAGGGCGCGGGCTATTTGTCACCATATCGATCGGCATGTTTGTCATGGTCTTTGTCATATCTGAGGTCATCACTGCTTTCGCCGCGTTCGATCCGAGTATATGAAGCTGGTGGACGCTGCTGTCAGTGAAGATAGGCGATTCTAGCCTTCTTGGCGCATTTTCTAGCGGCGGGAGGGCAGACCAATCAGCACGAGGGGCATCTTACTCTTTTCGGCTGAGAAATGCCGACATCATCCCCTCACACATGGATGGCATCTCGCTACAACTTGGGCAATACAACGGATGATCAGAGAGGTATAGAAACGATAATGGAGTCCGAGAAGGGCGGAAGTCGGTCGTTGACCTTCATACATGGCCCGACAATACGTCGGGGTGCGAGCAATGCCTCGCTTATCCGCTCGCAGCTGATGCGCCAACGACGCTGGGAGAAGCAGGGCCAACTCAGGGGCGAACCAAAGAGTGTGATCAAGAGTGTCCAGGGGGGTAAAGGGAGTGGGCCCAGCCTACCCGTCTGTCGATGCGGCAGGAACATTTCGATGACCGCTCCTTCCACAACCCTACCTGGGGTGCCTTCGAGTCAGCCGACGCACCAGACTCTACCAGTGCTCCAACCGAAACGCGACTCCTCCCAACTTGGTCTCATTAGTGCCATGTGTCCTCGCTGCTCTCGTTTGCGCACAGAAGAACCGCCTTTTACTTTAGTCCACACGAGAGAGATTGCCAGTAGCCAAGTCGACCCATTCTTCTCTGATCGTAGCAAAGCGAGCAGCAACTTTGACCTTCTACTTCATCACTGTATGTGGCACCCTAGTGTGACCCCCTGCCGCTGACCTTACGCTAGGCGTGTACGTGCTCTGGCCGATGGCCCGCCCAACCGACTTCGCTGAGCGCAGCCTGCAGGCATACCTGCATCCGTCCAGGAGCCCGATGGTCATGCAGTCGCTCTTGTACTCTGCATCCCTGCATCGCGATGCTCTGCCAAGGATACGTGGCGCTACCGAGGGCGTTTCGTCCACTGCACAGCAGCTCCGGCTGAAAGGGTCTGTGATGAATCAGATCCGCGAGAAGTTGTCGACGGTCAACAGCGCAAATATCCACGAAAATTGGATAGATGATATCTTGATGAGTATTCTCTATCTTGCGGCAAATGAGAACATTGACCAAATCGGGCAGCCTGAAAGGAGCCCGTTCATACCTCCATTTCGGAGCCTTCAGTTGATGGAATTTTATGGTAGCTGCGAGTTTCACCCACTACACTGGCAGACTGTTCGCCATATTGTCCTTGAGCGAGGGGGACTTACTACGGTGAAGCTACACGGACTCGCGTGGCTTATAGCTATGTATGTCGAACTTCGTTCCTCGGGATCGTGCTAAACAAGGAACGCTTTAGATCCGGCCTAATCGTCGCAGTGAACACGAATTGCAAGCCCATATTCCCGTTAATATCCCCCGAGGGAAAGCTGTTTGTATATCGCGCTCCCCTGCTAGCTCTTTCTATCCGCATGCCTCCGCGCCATACCACCCTTCGCAATCATGGCTTTCAGCAACTGGCCCTTCTCTCGCCGCCTATAAAAGGCAACATCATTCGCGTATTCCTCGATCTGAGTGAGATATGCCAAGCAATTAACGCCCTTGCTGGTCAGCCATGCGGCTCAAGGCTCTTAACGCAGATCGGCGATGTGCGCGCCAGTGTACTGCACCGACTATGCAGCCTTCCCGACCAAAGCGATAGACCTAGTGCAATATTACACAAGCGGCAATGTACCTCAGCGGACCAAAGCTGTTCAATTGCGATATATCTTATATGCCGACGGACAGCCCTTCTTTACGCTGCAAACGTAGTCCTGCCACTTCCAAAAACATCCCAGTTACGCCATGAAATGACCGCCGGGATCTACGAGGATATGAAACGGTTGGAGGGGAGGGGACAAACAGAGGAGTCTGAATTACTATTATGGTGCTCTGTTATTGCGGGTATATGCTCAGATACAACACCTGACACAAGGGCTTGGTTTGTAGCGGAAGCGCGCCGATATTGTGAGACGCTGGGAATTGGGGTTTGGTCTGAGTTTCTAGAGTTGATGCAATCATTTTCCTGGCTTGACTCTGCGTCTGATGAGGCAGGCACAGCATTTTGGGACGAGATAAAGCTGACAAGAGGATAGTCTAGCCTGCATTATAACTGAGAATTATGTACCCTGTCCGTAATTGAGTAACCGAAATCGAAAGATCTAGACCCGCGCCTAACAGCGCCATATATTTAGCCCGCTTAGAGCACTGCATTTCCCTTGGTGGATGACGCTGTGGCACGCGTGCCAATGACAAATCACACTTTGGCCTGATAGCCCGGCATCCCGCGCTGTCCAGGAGCAACAGCAAGCGCAGGAATAGAGCGATCCAATAATAGCAGGCAAAACATCATCACGGTCTCTGAAAGAAACTATATTCCGCCCTAAAATCAACATGGCGCGAGATAACTGCTGGCCAACTGTATGCCTTGTCTGATGCGAGATTTGTAAGCATTTATCAACATCACCCTTCGCTGTACAATGCTTATATTCCCAACGATGAGACCTAGCAGATCGAAACCGACTCCAAAGTAATCCTATTCATCCTTTCGTTGGCACTTGCAGAGCCTGCAATCGCCCTTCCATACTACACATTGTTCCCCCACCAAGATCCTTCCTTTAACCAACCGACCCTCATTCCAGCGGCAAAATGGGCTCCACATCCCCAAACTCCACTTCCAACCCCCTCGCAACCCCCTACACCTCCCCCACGGGAACCCTCAATCTCTCCCACCGCATTGTCCTAGCCCCCATGACCCGCATGCGCGCCAGCGACAAAACCGGAACAATAAACCCCTCCGCAGCAACATACTACGCCGAGCGCACCCTCCCAGGAAGCCTCCTCATCTCCGAAGGAACAGTCATCCACCCGCGCGGCAAGGGCTTCCCGTGTACACCGGGCCTCTGGACCGAAGAACAGGCACGCGCCTGGAAGCCCGTCACGGATAGCGTGCATGCGCGCGGCGGAGTCTTCTTCGTGCAGCTTTGGCATGTCGGCCGGGTTTCTGTTCCGAAGATGATCGGCGGCGCGAGGCCGTTTAGTTCGACGAGCGCGCATCTACCGGGGAGCCATGTGCTTTTTGGGGGCGAGGGCGGGGTGGAGGAGTATGTTGATTCGCACGCGATGACAGTGCAGGACATCAACGATGTGATCGCGCAATTCGCACACGCGGCCAGGCTGGCGGTTGAAATCGCGGGCTTCGACGGCGTGGAAATCCACGGCGCGAATGGGTATTTGCTCGATTCGTTCGTGCACGATAACATCAACACGCGCGACGACATGTACGGCGGCAGTCTAGAGAATCGTCTACGATTCCCGCTTCAGGTCGTCGACGCGGTTGTTGACGCTGTCGGAGCCCATCGCACGGCGATCCGTCTTGCGCCGTTCCATGTTCTCCAGGAGACGAGGGATAGTAACCGGCTCGCGACCTTTGGGGGGTTTTGTGCGGAGCTGGAGAGGAGGGGGCTTGGGTATGTGCATGTTGTTGAGCCGCGGTATGATCAGGGGAGTGGGGAGGGGGCGTTTTCAGGGGACATCCACCGGGAGAATGTACCTGTTGATGGGAGTTCGTCCGCGTCAATTTGGCCCTTCAGGCGGATTCTGAAGAATACAACGGTTATTGGGGCTGGGGGATATGATGCGGTTTCCGCCGCGAAGGCGATTGAGGAGGGTGAGTTGAGCTTTCTTCTATGCGTTCTGTGGAGGAAGGGGGGTACGCATTGCTGACAATCGTTTGGTAGGCCGCATCGACCTCGCAGCCTTCGGACGATATTTCACCTCGAATCCTGATCTTCCCGAGCGGTTGTTCAAGGGTCTCCCGTTGACAAAGTATCATCGGCCGACGTTTTATACTCCGGGCGACGAGGGGTATCTGGGCTGGTCGCGGTGGGACGGGGCGTCTACGTGAAGATGACCATGATTAGATGGAGCTGATTGACATGCTTGGTGGAAGATGAATTGTTCCCGCGTGTTTAATTTGTTGATTTTGCTGAATTTCTAAAACCCCTCGGGGAGCGGATGAATAGCGGAGAAAGTCGCCGATAGGGCTGTGGCGAGGGCATCATAGATCCCATCTGGCCAACCACATCATTAATGCTTTGCTAAGATTTACAAGCGAATAACAGATATATAAATACTGTACTTTGGCCGAAGTATATTCCAAAGAGAATCTTTCCTATCACCGATTTCTTTGATATTCATCTACCCATCAGCAGCAATGCCCTCCAAAATCCTCGTCATCGGCGCCGGCGAACTCGGCACCCAAGTCCTACTCGCCCTCGCCTCACACCCAAACCGCAAGGATACAGACATCTCCGTCCTCCTGCGCCCCTCAAGCATATCCTCAACAGACCCAGCAAAACTCTCCGAGCTAGCCACACTCAGGAACAACTCCATCCCCCTCGTCCCAGGCGACATCGCAAGCGCAACCACTTCCGACCTCTCTTCCATATTCAAAAACTACGACACAATCATCAGCTGCACAGGCTTCGCCGCAGGCCCAGGAACCCAACTCAAACTCGCGCGCGCGGTCCTCGACGCCGGTGTAGCACGGTACATCCCCTGGCAATTCGGGGTCGATTACGATATCATCGGGCGCGGGTCCGCGCAGGAATTATTCGACGAGCAGCTCGATGTGCGCGATCTACTCCGTGGACAGAGCAGGACGAACTGGGTGATTGTTTCGACGGGGATGTTTACGAGTTTCCTGTTTGAGCCTGGGTTTGGTGTTGTGGATTTTGAGTCGAACACGGTTGTTGCTCTGGGGAGTTTGGAGAATCGCGTGACGGTTACGGCTGTTGAGGATATTGGGCGGTTCACGGCGGAGATTGTCCTTGGATCTCATTCTGAAGAGGTGTTTGAAAATAAGCCAGTGAGGGTTGCGGGGGATACGATTAGTTATGGTCAACTGGCGGATTTGGTCGAGAGGGTCACGGGGAGAAAGTTTAAGAGGAAGGTTAGAACTGTGCAGGCTGCGAGGGAGGATCTTAAGAAGGATCCGGGGAATGTCTTGTACAAGTATCAGGTTGTTTTTGGGGAGGGCAAGGGCGTTGCGTGGGATGTCGAGGGGACGTGGAATGTCAAGGTGGGGATGAAAGGGGTGACGGCTGAGGAGTGGGCGAGCAGAAACTTGAAAGTGTAATTGGTGCATTTCTTCATTTTGTATCAGCTTCGAGATTGGTTTCAGAATTTGCATATCGTGTGATTAAGTTGGCTCTCGCATTTTCTTTCCTAACAACTATATCTTTTCGAAACAACTACATCTTCTAGCCACGGACACTCACAAGATCCAGAATCTAAGCCTACCTTCTACCTGATAGGTCCACACACCCCGAAATCAGTGGGCATACTGCTTTAGAAAGCCATGAATGACCTCATACGCAGCGGAGGCATTATGATGCAGGTTCACGGCATGCCCCGTATTCGGCTGGATGTAAGCCGCAAAAGGCGACGCACTCGGAAAGACAAACGGAGAAAGTGATTCGGGCCCCTCAAGCACACCGGTACAGTCTCCGCCACAAAATGGTAGATCCGATTGTCCGGACAGCATCTAGAACATATCAGTACAATCTCAGCAGATGAAAAAGGCCATGAGACTTACAAGTACTGGCCCGGTAAACTTCGGAGCAGCCAATGGGACGCTCGCAAAGGAAAGAAGCTCTGAAATGGCAAAGGGGGCCTTGATACTCTCGGCTTCCTTGAGAACAGGCGTATCGAAGAAGGGATACGTGTAGAACGCGCATTGATTATCGTACTCGTTGCCCCAGGTAAGGTATCCTGACTCATAACGGTGGAAGCGAGTCGGGTTATTCGTGCGCGCGAGCTCGAATCCAAGACATAGTTCGAAAAGGGGCGTCCAGGAGGTATTGTGGCTGAATCCTGTCAGAACCACAGCATCCGATAGTGATGGGTTGGCTGCAATAAGGCCGTTTGTGATAAGGGACCCAAAACTGTGGCCGACATGGACTAGTTTCTTTGTTTTGGGAATTCGCTTGTTCAGTTTTCCGCTCTGAAGTAACCTGGATATTTCTGCGAGGAGAGCGACTTGGGTTGGGACTTGGATCTCGGAGTATGGATTGGCGTGCTCAGAAAGGCTGACGCCGAGGCGGTCGTAGGACAGTGTTGCGTAGCCATTGGTCGTTGCGGAGGTGATGTAGTTGTAGTTCTTGTCACCAAAGCTCCAGTACCTATTCAATGCGCTGTTAGCCGTTGGGGAAATTTGAGTAAAGATTATGAAACGCACGAATGATCAAACCCAACACCATGGGAGAGCACCTGGAGGACATCAGGTGCCCTTGTAGACTTCTCAGGCTCACAGTACTGGAAATGGATGTTAAAGCTCTGGTTAATTTGTGTCTCTCCAGTCACAAGCGAGCTGAGATTTGCGTTGCGAGAGACAGACGCAGTGAGGAATGCGGTTGATTCGTAGCTGTTGCTGAACTCTGGCACGTTGAATGTTGGAACAGTCAGAGATACATGGATTGGATGGTTGAATTCAAAGCAGCGCGGTTTGTTTGCGAATGCCACTGGGAGGAGAGCGAACAGAGAAAGCAGGATTGAGAACGCCATGGTGGTAACTCAGGCAAGGGCAAGGAAGGATACATGGTACTCATGATTACACTGATCTAAGGCTTCTTATGCAGGCACAGCCAGAGTGATTCCAAATACTGGCTTCATCAGCCTTTGCGAAGATTACCAAGCGACTCACTTAGCCTCAGGTCTGAGTATAGGCCCGGCGCATCCCATTGGTGGTTGTAGAATGACAAATCTTGCTCTGGCGCTGGATCTAGAGCCCTGCGCGCTGTCAGCGTAATCCCCACCGTGGCGTTTTTTAGTGCTTGGGAGGATGTCGAATCAGCGTCCCGCACACTTATTACCACTTTGGTCGCTTTGATTCCGTTCCGAGACGGAATATATTATTATATAAAAGCTGGCATTATCCTCTGTATATATAGGGAAAGCACTTTCGAGACCGTTTACTTGGGGAGAATGTGCCGCGCAAGAGAATGTAGATGGGTAACGTAAACGTGTTGGAGTTTCTGGGATGCTTTAGGGAACAGAGGAATGGATTACGGATCCTTGATATGGAGTAGGTGTTTTGAGAAAGCATGAGGATAAGTATTGTGAAGCTCTCTCAAAGTTTAACAGGGAAATGAGGTGCTGAGTTCTGCGAGTCATCAGGCAACGGCATAAAACAAGCCAAATATTACCCGCTGTACTGTAATATTAGGCAAGGCTGCTCCGTGAATTACAGCTACAGGTCTACCGTTCTCGAGAGGAATGTAAAAGAAAGGCGGGGATAGAAAAGAAGACCGTATTAGATGGCCATTTTCAGGATTGCTCTAACACACATACATGCTTTGACATATAGTTTGAGCAAGACTAAAAGGATGGGACAATACAGTCTGCTATGCTCCCTTGATAAAAGGAAGAAAGAAGGAGAACTATTTGTGTATAACGAGTGTCGACAGGATTTCCTACAGAAAAGAGTCAGCATAAATATCAGCATCTTGGGCGAATCTGGGGTTTAGCCACACCCACCATTTCTGGCCCAAGCAAAGTGATTACAGAAGCTCTTTAAAAACACTTGTGGGGTAGTGAGCTTGCATTCTCGCGTGCTGGCTAAGATTCAGTCCCAGGGTGATCTGCGCCCGAGGTAGAGACATCGTCGTCATTAGGGCGATCAACGGTCGGGATAGCGGTGGCGAGGCCGAATAGGAGAAGGATGGGAAGGAATCGCATTGTGAAAGGGATATTTGCCTTGTTAATAAGAGCTGCCGGTAGTAGAAAAGGGATGAAATAGAGATGAGAAAGTGCAGTGGCAGTGGCAGATGGCGAGTATTTATCACATTTATCAAGGAACCTCTACCCTCTTCTTGCCATGAGCTAATGACAATATATCGCTAGAATCCTTGTTTTTTGTTCAATGGCGAATAGGGCCATGTAATCAGCCGTTTCTAATCGAGAGTAGGCGAGCAGGCCAATCGTGTAGAGGTCGGGTATTCAAAAGGCTTGTCAGCTCTGATTATCTCCCTATTCCGCCCGAGTAGCCAGGATCAGCTGGACGTGAAAGCTCGGTCTATAGCCCTAGCACAACTCTCGACTCCAAGTAAATGGGGATTAGTGATCCGATCCTGGTGTCATGTCGATCAGTGCGACTAGACAGCCCAAGACTCCCCTTCCCAGTTTGCACCTTATGAGCTCCATCTGATTGACGCTTTCCTATTAATATACGGGGAGAGAAGCCCGACCAACAGTCCAGCCAAGTCCATATATTCGACCGGGTCTGCGTTTTGTGCACGCTCCCTGATGACTTGGAAGGCTCACAAACGTACAAAACTCTCCAATGGATGGGCTATCCCAAGTGACGCCACACAGCTGGAGAGGCGCGCGAGGGAAGCCTCGCTGGTGAGAGCCTGGGGCCTGGGTTGGCATTGGCGTTCACCAGGTACCAATGAGAGAATTTGATCTCAACGCAAAGGCCCCACGGGGGATTGTATGTACACGTTCTTCCTAATGGCAACATGAAACCTACACCATACAATTGAACATCTGGGATATCAGGGCTGGAATGGAAGTCCCTGTCAACGGCCGCCAAAGCCGGAGGCTTCATGTATTCTTAATCAAAGAACCCGCATTGGCCGCGTACCGCACCAATGCCAACCAGCAGAGTCAGATGAAGCCCAATTTCCCGAAGTCCCCTCTATGTGTGCGAAAGAAATCGACATCCTCATATCGCTAAATCCATTACAGCTACCCGGGCCTAGTGAATATCAAGATAGGAACCGCACCATGTGATATTATATTCTCTTTTGACAAATGGCTAGGACTGATGCCACAAGCCACACACAGATGTGGTTGGAAGCGACCAGCGGAGGGTACTGAGCCAAGGTGTACAATGTATTATTGTTGGGTGACAATTGAAAAAGGTCCAGATTCAGGGAGAGATATGATACTCTCTGAGCTTCATGGCCACCCATTCCTACTTCAAAGTCGCTTCCTCAAACTGACCTTGCAGCCATTCCAAAAACACAGCGTCAGCGCCAGCTTCTCCTCCCAGGGCCTCTCATCTCGGCTTTCCAGAACCAAGAACCGCTGCGCAAGACGCGCAGTGACATACGCTGCCTCCGTCAAGGCATATTGCTGACCGAGGCAGATCCGTGGGCCACCGTTGAAGGGGAGGTATTCCCAACCCGGCCGCAGAGCTTCCCAACGTTCGGGGCGGAACTCGTCCACCCCTGGACCAAACGAATCTTCAAGCCGATGCATTGCAAATGTGCTGTATATCACGAATGTACCCTTGCTTACATGGACAGGCGATCGACCGTCTGGCCCTCCCCCCGTTGGTAGGATCGTGTCTCGGGTGCAGGTTCGGCCGTTGAGGGGGACGACGGGGTGTAACCGCAGGGCTGAAGAGTGGATAGTTTCAGTTTGCTGGCACAGAGTGGAACATTCAAGGGCGGGTAGTTGGCAAACATACATTCATTGAGACAATACTTCAGGTACTTCAAATCCCGCAACTCTTCATAGGTAGGGACACGAGTGCCTACTGCAGCTATAATCTCTTGACGGAGCTTGGTCCAGACCCTGGGATGCCTTGCCAGCACGAAAAACAGGTTGCTCAAGAGGGAGGCGGTTGTGTCGCGGCCGGCCAAGAGGACATTCATCACCTCGTCTCGGATTTGCGTGCGGTCTCCCCCTGTTTGCTGCGCCAGGGTGCGGAGGAAGGAATACTTGGTCTTGTCCTCGCCGCTGGCGGTCTTGATTTGTTTGAGATTCTGATCGTGAACTTCTCGGAGTGCTTTGGAGACAAACTGCTCTACCATCTCATGGCAGGTGCGAACTGCCTCGGTCGCCTTGGGGTCGCGATTGAAGACCCGAAGCAGGCCCAGCCGAGTATTCGTGATGATGGCGTCCTGTGCGTAGTTGAAGGCCTCGGAAAAACGAGCATCATCCGCCGAGTTCCCAGCCAACAGCCTCTTTCGTAAGCTGTGAACATTATGCCCGAACAGAAATTCCGTGGCTGAATCCATCGTAAAGGCAAAGAAAAGCTCCTGAAGATCGACGGCATCATTACCATCATCACCAGAAGGAATCAGCGCAAAGAGGTCATCCAGCAGCTTTTCAAAGATATCCAAGTGCGCAATCTGTTCCTTTTTAAAGTTCGGCCGCAGCATCTGTCGCGAATGTGCCCACGAACTTCCATCCGAGTTGAAGATTCCCTGGCCCAGCAAGGCCGTAAATGCAGCATATCGATGCGAAACTCCCCAGTCCTCGAACTTGAGCGAGAGCATAGCCTTGACATTCTCGGGGTCCCGTGTGAAGATCACAGGGGTGCGCAGCCGCTTCGACCGGTATGTGTTTCCGTAGGTGCTGAAGTTTCCGAGCGTACTCTCGAGCAGCTTCCGGCTTTTGGCTTGTTTCAAGTGCGAAAAGATGAGGTCGAGCGAGAGCAGAGGGTCATAGCTTGGAAGACGGGGCGGTTGTTTGCAGCCATGCGCCTTTCTAAACTGATAATGAAGCCATTTTCGATATGCTATAGTAAAGACTTGCAAGAGCACAATGGCCGAAACAGCCAAAGAGATCGGTGGAAGGCCGTAAAAGCTTGGAATACCCATAGTTGCCTGGGAATCAGAAATGATGTTCACTAGGCAGAGACTGGTACAGCAGCATTGCCGGACCTATGAGACATTCCACCTACAGGCCTACTTATGTATCTCAGCTAGTCCCGCCGCATGGGAATCATGGTCAGTGGAGAGGTAGAAAAAGATCAACGCCAGACTGTCAGAGAAGCACCTCGTTCTACAGGGTTTTCAGCCGTGCATTAATTCTGACATGTCCGAATACCGCTGAGAGGCGCAAGTTTGGAGTAGACATTCTGCTTCCAAGTGAAAATCAGGAACCTGCAAGGCTCCTTCTGGTGATGATCTATGGCCCCGTTTCAAAAGTTTTAAGAATTAGGCGAACGGACCAGTTAGACGAGTTTTCAGGAGGAGAAGCTAAGACCTTTTAGCTCCACTGTAGATAGGGCTGGGCTGATGCAATTGTCGATTACTGATCAGCCAGCTAAGGCCTCTTCCTGTCATTCTCCTGTTTAGGGAAGCGGGAACAAGATTTGTCTCATCTGTGGATCAATTGGGACTGGATTCTGTTCTACCCCGATTTTGGACGTGATTGTAGCCAAATGCCAGCACGACTGGATGTCGCAAAAGTCGCCGGATTAGTCCAGTAGCGATTATCTATTGTACATGCTTAGACTCGCATATTGCTGGGGACCGCGACCTGAATTGTCGACACTGGTCGCTGAAATTTGTCCTTTTTTTTTTACGGGCGTTGATTACCAGCGTTGACCATTCTCAAGTGGTATGGCTATATTCTACTTATTAGATAGGACATAAGGGCCAACGCTTAAATCACCAGGATGGAATCACTGACCTGATGTTCAGCAAGTCTATTCTTCCATGATGGCCTCAGTTGATGAATAGCTACCAGAAGCGTCCACTTCCAAATCATCTAACATAACGTCCTACCAACTATACACAAACCCAGCAACCTCCCTCTCCGTCATAAGAATCGCCACAACAGTTTCTAATAACAGGTCCATGTCTGTCTAATATTGTACTGATTCTGATTCGTGCACAGCCAATTCTTCCGCTGGCAATGGGAGTTGAACGCGCCATCCGCATAATAAAGATCAATCGCCGAAGAGCCGCAATTCGTCTCATAGTAGGTGAACCCGTTCTCCAGCGTAAAGTGGACGCCGCACGGATTCTGTCCAGCCGCCGATATCGGCGTGTATTTGTCCTGATCCCTGCATGGGTTATCGCCTGCAATCCAGGCGACTTGTTTCTCGTTAGTTTTATGGACTCGGGGGCAGGGCGAGAGGGTGCTGAGAATATGAGAGCTTACTGTTAACAACGGGCTTTCCAGTGCCGGTTTCTAGCTGGCCGAGCTCAATGGTAGCGAGGACGCTGGAACTCATTGTAGCCAGTCCAAGGATCCAGGCACTTGGGAATCTCATTTTGCTGGCAGATATGCACTAGCCCGCTGGCGTTGACGTTCAAGATCTGCCCAGCTGCAAAAGTGAGGGGTGGCCGCAATACACTCGTTATATAGTGAGCAGATGGTTAATTAGTAAGGCAGTAGTTTGGGATTACACTAGATTTGTAGAACGATCAAGATTCCCATGCTGAATCATCCGCGAGACTTGTCCTCTCCGACGCTAGAGAGACCCGTCAGAAATATCATTGGGCTTGGTAGCCGTATTATTTGGCCTCATCATTCACGGACATATCTAGTGGTCGAAAGCAAAGGATCCGTTGTCCCCAGGGCTTTTATTTATTTTATTCCCCCGAATCGGGATAACCTGGATTAGAAGGAAAGAGTGTCCATGGGTGTTGTCACGGAAGGCCAGTTAACCTCCTACTAGTTAGCTAATTCCTGTCATGAATAAAGACGGCAGAACGTGTGCTTGGTCCTTTCAGCGAACCTATGGGAGATTAATAGTCTCAGCCAAAGCCAGTGAGTAATCATAATACTTGTATTTACCCCACCGCTTCCTGCTACACGCAAGCGACGGCCATTATCTGTATTTTAAATACCTAATAATAAAGGTCCACCAGGCCCTCTTTCTTAATCTCCCACATGCGTGCCTTATCCAGTCCGCCTTAGCATGGCGACCCCCACAGATCCCTAGGGTACTCTTCAACCCCTCCACTATCCAGGCCCAAAGAAGCATAAGTAAATTGTGACGGTAAATAAGGATCGACAGTCTTCTGTGAGTGCCATGGCGTGCTGTACACCGTGCCTTTGTGACGGGACCTGGGCGTAGATGATGGATGACAGGCACACGCTTGGATGGCGGGAATAGAGGAAAATGCTATGCTTGGAAAGACCATAAGGAGGGATTAGACCTGGGCTCCATGCGTAATGTCCGATGTAGCTGGGCAGGATGCCATATACGTAGTTACCACTAAATTCTGTAATGAGTTTCTGGTTCTGATACAGCCCGTCAGCCTGCTCCCATTTAGGTTACGGCTTTCCTGGCTAGACTCAAAAGAGGATATCAATTTCTTTTCGGATAGCTCATGCAAGGCTTCTCCCTAGACGACCATTTCGCTCTGATATTTGATGGGTCCATAAGGCTGACAGCTCCACAAAAACCTAGGCGAACCAGCCAATTGCACCAATAATTGTAAATCCAAGTCCTACTAGTGCAGCTCGTAAATTTAATTCTGCTAGAGGCCCACATGCAGCTGCTTGGGGGCCATTGTAGATAAACAGTGAGTAATCAAACGTATCTAGCATTATTTCGTTGGGGGCGGAAACTACTTTAACGGGTCATTATGAGTACCTAGTGTCTCTGTATAAAAACTCACAACGGGCTCCATGGAGATGGGTATCTGACTCACTATCTGTTTTCCACCAGCTTGCAGCAATGCACCCCTTACTCGCGGCCCTTCCTCTCCTCGCAGTGAGTCCTGTAGCGCTCGCCCAAGTGCCCAGCGTGCAGGACACATCTTTTGATCCTCGAAATGCACTTTCAGAACTCGGTATTGATACTTCGCTGATTCCTCAGACGAGCGGTGTCTGTCCTAGTCAGGGCGGCGCCCAATGCCGTGTAGCTGTAAGTTTCTCACAACGAACTGGTGTGTCGACAAGCGTCAAGGAGCACAGGCTGACTGCGTAATCCACCCGCACAGTGCAGCGCCCTGGCCCGTATTTTCGGCTCCGATCGAGTCATCACCCCAAACACAACCGCTTATGTCAACGCTACGAACGCCTATTGGTCCACACAGCAGGCGGAAGTGCAGCCGGCATGTATCTTCGTGCCAGCGGTTGATAAGCATGTCTCTGCCCTGGTCCTAATCTCGCAACTCACGAAATGCCCCTTTGCTGCTAAGAGTGGTGGCCATGCTGCCTTTACCGGAAGCTCCAACAGCGATGGTGGAATAACAGTCCTCTTCCGAGATCTCAACGAGGTAACGCTAAGCGAGGATCGCTCTGTCGCATCTATTGGGCCGGGCAATACATGGGGCGATGTTTATACTGCTTTGGAACCACATGGGTTGGCTGTTGTTGGCGGTAGGGTTTCTGATATAGGGGTGGGTGGTCTCACGACTGGCGGTGGTATCTCCTACCACTCGAATCTCTACGGCTGGGCTTTGGATAATGTCCAGAGTTTTGAGGTATAGTAGTTTCCTGGCGCTTGTGCCACACAGTATAACAAAGCAATTGCTGACGTCAACAACCAGGTCGTGACAGCAATCGGTGCCATTGTGACTGCTAGCAAGACAAAGCACGCTGATCTGTACTGGGCCCTCCGCGGAGGCGGCAACAACTTCGGCCTCGTTACCAAATTCAACCTCTACACAATTCCCAGCCCGCCGCTTTACGGCAGCACACGAGTGTATACCGAAGACATGTTCCCCTCTGTGGTCGACGCGTTTATAAACGCGGCCAACAATGCATCTCGCGATGGCAACGCGCAGCAATATGTAGCCTTTGGCCAGGCCCAAGGCATGAACATCGCCTCTGCAGAGCTCACGTACATTGGCAACATCAGCAATCCCGCCATCTTCCGCCAATATCGTTCCATACCTGCAGTCATGGACACATCGAGCTCCCGCACCCTCGCTGAGTACTGCGCCTACGTCAAGGCCCAGAACCCCGTTGGCCTGCGCGAAGTTTACTGGAACCACTCTTTCAAATTGAGCAGGGATTTCGCTACATGGGTGATTGAATATTTCTTCTCGATCGTTGATGAAATTGCGGATATACCAGGTATCATGCCCGTGTTGGTCTTTCAGGTGATTACGGAACCACAGATCAAAGCCATGTCTCGATTCGACGGGAACGCTCTCGGTGTCGACGAGCTCTCGGCCGGGGGACACCCTCTCCATCTCCCGCTCATTGCATGCAGCTGGCAGAATGGCCAAGATGACGACCGAGTCTACCAATTCATCAGCGCCTTCTATACCGCTTTATCGGCCAAGGCTGAAGCCATGGGGGTGCATAACGACTTCATCTATATGAACTACGCGAGCCAGTTCCAGGATGTCATTTCCAGCTATGGGGCGGCCAACAAGGCGCGTCTGCAAGAGATCGCATCCAAATATGACCCTCGTCACGTTTTTCAGGAGCTTCAACCTGGATACTTTAAACTTGCAGGAGCTCCGCTCCCTAATCCCTTTTAAGTCAGCTCTGGTCCTTAGGATTTTGTTTATGCTGGCTGCACTACTCTATTCTCACTCTAGTTATGTATAATTATCTTAGTCACAGTTCAGAATAAGGTCAGCTACGGCCAATGCACTGCGGAAGAGGCTGTCCCGGACCGACATTTTTACTGCTTTTCTTGATTCAGGCGTCTCTCGCGCCAGGTAATTAGGCTTCTCTGTTTAGAGCATCAATAATGCATACTATCGAAGACACGAAGGCAAGCCGGATACACATTGACTACCTCTCGCCGGGGAACTGTTGAGCTTGCCACTCGGAGCCAGACCGCACTTGAAGTAAAGAAGGCAAAAGTGAATCTGGTGTGTAGGCCGTTGCTGTCATTCTGGTCAAGCTGGCCCGACGCGATGGATAGTTATAAAGTCTTTTGGATGATGGGGTCCTGGTCCAAGAGAGTGCCGCAATGGGCTTTAGTCGTAGTGTGATCGGTAGCATTTAGTACCAAAATCTCTTAATGTTTTGGTTGATTAAGGGTTCTCCTTCCTAACTCTCAATTTGTGTTCTTCTTTTTTCTTTTGTTTTATATTATAGTTATTGCATCAATGAGGCAGGCAGGAGAATGTGTAGTGCGAATAAGCAATAAGCTCGGAAGGACTGCAAAGATTATTGCGACCAAAGTCAATGAGTCCCTAGCAAACTATGTTATTCCAAGCAGAAATGTGCCGAGACATGTTTTGCGTCCTATAACGAATGGCTGGCTGTAGTAGCCATAGGATCTATCGCTGGCCCACCACAATGCCAGCCCTACCAACTACATTTCCGAGGCGGCTGATATTTCATGCATAATAATGACTTTCCTTGAATACACTCTGGACTTTCTAAGAATATACGCGTTCAGCTTTCAAGGATAAGGCGTCCACGTGCTCTCGTGTTCGAGACGTCCCTCGTTGGACGCCCGGCGTGGCTGTGCTAAGACCTGCAGATGGAGTGAAACAGGCCACCATGATGAAAAACGCCAACCTCAGCACGAGCGTCATGTCCAAATAATGTACTCAAACTATTCTTTCTCTTCGACAAACAAATCTCCATGAACTCAGAACCAGAAGAAACCCTGCCGATCTCCATCGCAGCAGCGGCAGGTGACGCCAGAGCAGTCACAGCCCTGCTCGAGGCGGACCGAGGCATAGGTCAGCCTTACGGATACATGATAGACATGGCTCTTCTCTACGCATCAGGACACGGCCACCCAGCGCTCGTCAAGACTCTCCTCGAAAAGGGCGCGAAGGTCGTTCCCCGAAGGCCATTTCCCTCATCGCCTTCGGGTGGCGCGTGGAAAGCCCGATTCGAGGCACACCTTGCCGCGAGCACAACCACCGCTCTCCACCTCGCAGTCAAGAATAAACAGCGCGAGGTAGTCAAGGTGCTTCTACGGAGACAGCAGAGGTTCTCACTCGGCGGCACGTGGCGAATAGGGAAGAATGCGGGCAAGGGTGGGCTGTGGATGGCGGCGCTGCAGACGGCCGCTGCGGACAACGACCTCGACATGGCGCAGGTACTAATCAAGGGTGGAGTGCACGTGCAGTATGGATATCGGTGCGACAACTGCGCGCATCTGGCCGAGTTGGGCGGGTGTTCGGCCTGCGTTGATGTCGCGGGGAGGACGGCGCTCCATCTTGCGGCACAGCTTGGATACACGGAGATGGTGCAATTACTACTTCGATATGGCGCAAATCGTTCGTTCAAGTCTCAGTGGCGATGGCCGCCGTTGCATGTTGCGGCAGAGGGTGGGCACGATCAGGTCGTTTCGATGTTGTTGAAACATGGTTCGAGGGTAGACGAGCTGGATAAGGATGGCTTCTCGGCGCTATATGTGGCGGCGCGGAGTGGACAGGAGAAAGTCTTTCAGGTCCTTAGGGCGCAAGAGCCTGATCCAAAAGAAGCTGCAAGGAGGCTTCTAAAAGAGGTGGCGACAACAATGGAAGAGCCAGTCCTCAAGAAAAGCGACGCACTGAATATCCTCTTACCTGATCTCTTCACCCTTGCGTACGACGAAGTCAGGGACCACTTTTTTAGCGCAATATCCAATCGGAATGCCCTCCTCTTCTCTGCGCTCCTTCGGCATCCTGCAATCATACAGTCTATCGGGTTCATGCCCCGCAGCTACGAGTTCCGACTTATCACGAGCAGCGGATACGGCGACCTTGTCGAAGCCCTGATTGAGAACTGGCCGTGGCGAGCCGAGGCCAAGCTTGCAGCGCTGCCTGGAGTATTTTACGCGGGTGGCAGTGGCTCAATTCGGGCGGTCGAGGCGTTTCTCAACTGGCAGGGTAAAGACCAGGACCGTGATTTGTATCTCCTCTGTGGCCTCCTCGGCGCGGTGGATAGATCCAGATACGCAACTACAGAGTTCTTGGTGAAGAGCCGGGCCCCCATGAATCCGCTGGATGTGGAGAGTCTGTCCTTTCTGCGTAAGGAACTCGGCATCTTCTACCTGAATCCTCTCCACGTCGCTGTCGCGGGATCCTCGTACCGGATCTGTGAGATGCTGGTCAACAACGGGGCAGACGTCAACCAACGGCATATCCGAGGAACAACCAAAGCGGGCTCTTTGGACGCTAGTAGTACTGTGACTCCACTGCACCTCGCAGTAGAATCCAACCGCGTCAGCGTGTCCAACCTTCTTCTGAGGCACGGGGCACGAACGGAAGGTACCGACGTGGACGGGCGAACGGCCTTGCATATTGCCGCCCATAGAGATGCGAAGGGGATTGTTGAGATTCTTGTCCAGCACGGCGCGGATGCCGAGGCTAGAGATGCGAGAGGCATGACGCCGTTGCATGTTGCTGGTGCGGCCCTGTCGCGCGGGGCGTATGCCGAGTTGATACGCCTTGGAGCGGATATATCAGCCCGTGATGGGAGTGGGCTTTGTGCAGCGGAACTACAGGACTTGGCGAGGAGGAGGATTACTCGGGACATGTGAATTTCGAGATAGTAATACATTGAATCTGCCGTCGAGCTTGGCGTTGGGGGTAATACTAGTCTAAACGTAAAAAGTGGTAGTTACCTATTTATGGCCGTTGCACTCCATCCATACTTTGAGTGATGACTTCCCCCTTTGAAAAGTCTGGCTAGGGGAAACAGACACTCTGCATTGCCTCGACGGCGTGGGCTAGCCCTACGCTAAACGGTTACTAAGACATTTCTCATCCCCATCCTTGACAAGGCCCTCTCGTGCGCCAATGACTGGACCGTCTTACGAGTCATGTACAAACAGAGGCAGATTATGCTTCATGTGTCATTTTCGAACCTTACGGTTAGGACACTCACCAGCACTATTATCGGAACTGCTTACGGCCATTGGCGACGAGGCCCAATTTACGTTCTGACATTGACACTTGACGTTTAAGCGGGGTACCCTTGTCACTGACTCCACTGACTTTGGCATAATGTGACACCAACAAGCGCCTATACCCAGATCATCTAGTGGCTCCACTGGCTTCCGCTTGGAGCATCGTGCAGGTCCGCCCCCGACCGACCGTTGAAGTCCACCCGATCCAGAGAACGACTCTCGGTTGGCGTCACTTGGGAGTTGAGATTAGAAAGTGTGGCTTTGGGTTATTGACTCCCTTGAAAAGACCCGTACCCGAGGCTGGATGGCCCATTCCCGTGTCATGGAGGACCTGGTTCGTTCAGAACTCGAGAAAGAATTGAATAAATTCCCTCTGTTTGTCGAGTTCTCCGAGCTCTTCCTTCCATTGTATATCTCCAACCCGTCTCCATTGTGGTGAGTCCAGTGGGCCCTTGACCTTCGACAACGAGGCCTCGTCGACAGGAGCAGCCTTGCCTCCCGAGCAGTAGCCCCGCTTACAAATCCTATAGTAAGAGTTTACTTGGGGCAACTCTACTGGTCCGTTTACTCTACCGGCAGCAGCGGTCGTGTCGTTATACGCGGAAGGGGGAACTCGTTGCTAAGCAGAAAGAGGCATGGCACAAGTATATAAACCCCGTGCACCACACGGGCTCTTGGGCTTCCTTTTTCCTTCCTATCAGCCAGATTTATCGCCATAGCAGCACAAATGGGCTCAACCAAAACGGAAACTTCCAAGCCCCAGGGCGAAACCCTTGCTCTAAACAACTACTCCGGCGACCATGCCCCAACAACAGGGTTTCTATCCTATCTCCCCTTATCGTGGATCCCCTACATCCAACTCGCCCGCCTCTCCCCGCCGGCCGGCCTGTTCCTCATCTACTTCCCTCATGTATTCGGGTTTATGCACGCAGCACTACACCTATCAACTCCAGTCCCAGACATCCTCCGCGCAGGCGCCGTCCTCTTCGGTGGTTCCTTCTTCGTCTCCAACGCAATCCACATCTGGAATGATCTCATCGACGCGCCACTCGACGCCCTCGTAACAAGGACGAAAAACCGCCCCATCCCTCGGGGTGCGGTGTCTCCCACCGCCGCATTGATCTACACCGCTACCCAGGCCATCGGCGCAGCCCTATTCCTCCCCCTATTTCCACACTCCCATGCCTGGCTCTACGCCCTCCCCAGCATCCTCGGCTGGACCTACTACCCCTACGCAAAGCGTCACACAAACTACCCACAAGTCGTGCTTGGCCTGTGTCTAGCTTGGGGAGTTGTAATGGGCGAGCTCTCCCTGGGCGTCGAGGCTATCTCTTTCCCGACAGGCTTCAGCGTCGAAACTCTCCTCACCGGCGAACTCCATCTCAACCCCGCAATCCTCAGCCTCGTCGCCGCAAATACACTCTGGACGGTAATCTACGACACCGTCTACGCGCACCAGGACGTCGAAGACGACCTAAAGGCCGGAATCAAGAGCATCGCTGTGCTCTGGAGACAGCAGACCAAGGTCCTCCTTTGGGGGTCGTGGGTTGCGTTGGGGGTTTTGCTGAGTTATTGTGGGTATGTGAGTAACCTTGGGTTTCTGTACTATGGCATTGCCGTGTTGGGCGCGACGGGGAGCTTGGGAAGAATGATTGCGCAGGTGGATTTGGCGGATGAGCAGAGTTGTTGGTGGTGGTTTGGGAATGGGTTTTGGCTTGCGGGCGGTGCGATTACGGCGGGGTTTGCGGTGGAGTATGTACTGCAGAGCAGTGCTTAGGTCTTACTGGAAAGGCATTGTAGGATGTTGTGCTTAGCCTTACAGAATGTGATGGTTTTTGATTATCTGTTTTTGGCGTTGACAATTTATATATACATTGATTTCTATTTACTCGCCTGCTACTATTAGGCAAGGAGCGAAGGACCGTTTCCTGACCTTTAAGGGAGCCTCACCTCTTCTCAGACCTCCTTAACCTTTCCCATACTCCTTACCTTCGTCTATAGTACTATGGGATATCTTACTAAATGTTAGAACCTTCTATTTATCTTTACGTCGTCCTCTTCACTACTTCACTCCTCGTGGGGGTGGATATATACATGTATAGAGAGCCTGATAGACAGCCAGAACACTTGGCTTTAGATAAGAGAGGGGCGAGTACTTCGAGCCTAACTATTTCATTAGGTATTTAGCTGGTTCCAAGCAATATGCTATTGAATCTAAATAGTACAGCACCTCTAGGAGACTACAGTCAACAGAACTTCTGACCGCCTTAGCGAGAGCCAGGGCCTCTTCCGAGCCAGACGCGTTTAATCCAACTCGTTCAACCAACAACCTGCAAGACTAGGGAAACAAGAAACAAGCGGTAATAAAAAGCTTATACATAGGGTGAAACTGTGAACCAAAAATTGGACCCACGTGGGCGAAAATTTGCTTAAGACATCAACCCTATTTTCTCCACCAGGTGAGTTCAACACACTGAGATTTCAAACTTCAATCTCCAGTCAGCAAGCATGCAGGCACCTCTACCTTCCTGGGGCAACGGCGCAGCCCGCTTTGATGCTGAGTTGGGGCCGGAGGATATGGATCAGGACCTTGTTTCAGAGGGACGCGGACTGGCGCTGTTGATGAAGGCGTGTGTGGCTTTTTGGATATCTTACCTGGTGGATAATTGCTAATTTCCTTTTCCCTATAGGAGACATGGCAGCCAGCCCGTGATCTTGATTCAGAGCTGCCGGCTCGTCGATCACTGCTTGAAAGATCGGCAACAGCTGACTAGACCTTCGGTGACGTCAGGAACCAGTCCCGCAGCATAGAACGCCACTGCTGACCAGGTGTACGGAGCTATTTGGAGCGGGCGAGGCCACTCAGTCGCTTTATAGGCGCCCCGTCAACTCTCCAAGACCGGATACCTTTATAGCGGTTCGTCTGCGTGGCAGAGGTAGACAGGAACCTACGCCCAGACAACTACAAACGGCTCCTGAAGATCCTAATCTTATGCTACATGTCTCGCCATCTCACACCTCCCTTCACCCTCTTCGGGAACAAGTTGCGGGATGATCCGCATCTGCCTACCTTCCTCCCACTATCAGACCAGACAACATTGGACTGTGGTCTCTCAGCCGTCTTTCTCGAGAACGCAGACCTCCGAGCAATCGACGTAACTCGCACGGGAACTGACAATTGGGATCCTTCCAGAGGACGAGCGGCATCCCAAGGACAGTAGATATCGGCGGGATGTACCTAAAAGGTAGCGATCGCTGATTTGCTATCATTACATCGACGGGAACAAAAGAATTTGATGCGTGCACTTTTGTCTCACCTACACAGCAGATCTTGACGACGCGGGCGGTTGTTGAGGAATGGTGCCGTACAGGCTTGGGTACCAAGTTCCAAGAAAGATGTACCTTTTGAGGGTAATGCACCAGGTCTCATATAATAAATGACATGACGGGATGGGAGCTAAATGATATATCAGGATGGGAGCTTTCTTATGGAATATAATCTTATCACGGACCTGGTTTCTTAGGGAATATCCCTCAAGCCAACATAGGGCTCATCGATTGCGATCGCGATCTATGGACGATGACACAAGGTGGAGGATGTTGGGATACTGGAACAGCCAAGGTCCTATAGCAAGGTACGATTCTAGACGCATAGGGGATCCATTCTATTTTGATTAGTGGCCGTGGTCCTCATGATTCATCTCGGTATTTTGGACAAAAAAAAGTCGATCGCCGCTGATTGGTATAAACTATCCTAGCATTGGTACTTGACACGAAAAGAAGAACTGTACAACAAGGAAGCCAGATAGAGTCAATTGATAACTGCCATCAGTGCGGATGGTCCATCAGCGCGTTGATCCCTTTCACAGAGGCGAGGGCGTTGTCTTCCACTCTCGAGTCAACCCGTTTCCTCGAAACATTTGGCTCCGGGGTAGGACTTGTTGATAGGTCAGGTATACTTGAAATGAAAGTCTCTGTTTCCTCCCCAATTTCAGTGCTGTCGATGAGGTTTTGTATGCTTAGTCTGGCACAAGTGCTGCTTTCCTGTACCATTTGCGTGGAACCGGGAAGGAATTCATTGCTGCTGCTCATATCCCTGGCGTGACAGTCCGATGCCGCGCAGTCGATGGCCTTAAAAGCCACACCATCCGACGCAACAGTCTCCTCATCACTCTTGTCCGATGAAGAGCTCGCGTGCCCCACGAAGAGCCGGATCTCCTCTAGCGGCGCCTTGTTCCGGACCAAACATACAAGCTCCCTGACGTGAGCATCCAGGCCCCTCTCTCCCAGGGCTCCCACGAGGGCCTCGACCAGGTACAGCAGTATCTTGCGATCCTCCTCCAGCTCTCGGATCCGGCGCTTCTGGGCCATCTTCCGCCGCAGGTCATCCGCGACTTCCACGATACATTCGATTCGGCTCTGGAGGCATCGGTCGCACTGTGTTTCGCCGTCGCGGATGCTGCACTGGGTAAAGAGAGAGAGATTTTCAGTGAGGATAGGCGATAGACCAGGGTTTCATGCATGGATTATAGGGGAAAGAAACTGTGTTCCAAGACGAAATCATGGGAAAGCACAAACTTTGGACTTTTGTTTCCGGCACTCGTTGCAGGCGGTGGATGTCCTGTGCCGGTGAGGTTTTTGGGCAGGCATGTATGATGGAGCCTGTCGTGCTCCGAAGGCCATTGGGGCGATTGGGCGATACGGTTGCATCAAGGGTCCAGTCGAGGCAAAGTGTACAGCGAAGATCAGGCAAGGCAGACCCGGCAAAGTTGACGGGGGTAAAAGTGTGAGGAATTGAAAATGAGAGCAGGAACGGGGGGGGACGATAACCTGATCGCTGCCCCGGCCGAGTCCGAAAGAAGCCGCTCCAAGCGACAATGTGCTGTGGAGAGCCCCCACCGGAACTATTTTCCGGGCCGATTCAGGGCCGTCCGTCAGCTGTCGCGGACCGTTAACGGAAAACCTGGAAGCGGTCTCCATTGACCGTTTCCCAAGGGACTAATACCTGGTTGACTCCACAAATATGACGGCCTATTGTGTGGCGCCCTCGCCCTGGAACTAAGCTTATTTGTCCAGCCTGGCGGTCTTGGTCCATGTGCTTCGATCCAATTGTGCAGGGTGGGTGTGGTTCCCGGCTTCAGTGCTTTGCGGGATTTAACGGGCGCTACATTAGGTGAAGGGGTACCAGGCTCTAGAAAATTCCATGTGGGCGCCAGGCGGCTTTAAGCACGGATTAAGTTCTTTGACATTGTCCTTTACCATTTCCCTCTTAGTCTGATGCTTGTCTTGCCATATTCAGTTATGTACTCAAGAAAATACTAAAAACATCAAGCATCGCCCTTATGGCAACTAGGTGCGTGGTTTTCAGATGAAGCTATGTGCTGTACCATGGATACGCCTTGAACCTTGCAATTCTGCCACTCCCATGCGTTGGTCCGTCATGAATCACCAAGATCACTAATCGTGAATGCCACAAAGATTTAGTGTCGATGCAGAAGCATCGATCGTTCCGAGCCACCAATACCCAGGGAACGAATCCCATATTTTCCGAAGCTAGGGTATGACCACTACTCGGTACGCTCCCATAATCTCAGGTATGCATTTATAAGAAAGCCGTAGTCTTTATTAATACACCTTCTGCTAGTTATTAGTGGTTACAGTCATAAATTATACAAAAGACTTCGATATCTGAAGGCTGACACGTTTAGATGAAGCGTGGGACGAAAGGAAAACTGCCCTTGTGCGTCTGATTCAATGACGCAATTATATAACTTTGAAGGGGACGAGCTTTGGATTTGGATGCCATATCGGCAAGGCATGTTTCTGGATCCATGGTAACATTCACAACCATTTATTCTCTCATAATTAAGCAGACCACTAGTGATGGTGGAAGCCAAACTCCTGCTGCGGAAGCTGTTCCATTTCCACACTGGAACTTTTTCCAGCCTGGTCCAGAGCCGTCAGCTCCATGGTACTAGGGGACAACCGAACGTCTGATCAGACCCACAAATATAGCGTGTGTCGGCGAAAATAATCGCGCGTCACCCCATCTATAAAGGAAGTAACTAAAGGAGCAGGAGACTCAGGTCTAGAACTGAACGCTAGTTTAAACAACTCTCATTAAGCGTCCCGATTCCCGACTCTGGTGTGAGAGCTTTCTTTGCTTCAGACGGTATTGTTTGCTTTTTATCCAGCCTATGGTCTGATGCAAATCAGAGCCATACTATGCATAGTGGTTACCACAGCAGTTTCGGTATCTAGCACAACCATACTCTCCTGACTCATTAAGATTTCTCATTGGCAGCAACGGGAAGATAACACTTTTATATTGTACTAATCCGTCCTACTATAAATGCCAAACCCTTGTTTGCCTGTGAATTAGCTAAGAGACGAACCAAAGGTATGGTTAGCCTCGACCATCTCTCACCTGTGCACCGACTTGGGTCTTTTAAATCTGAGCATAGCCATTACTCCATTTTAAAGGGAGAATCCAGTGACCAACTCGCCCCTTGAAGGCTTCAATCACTATCCTACAAGCTTCACATCAAGTACGATCTATAGCAGTACTCGAAGCTCCCAAGTGCGAGATCATTCTCAAATCTAAACGATGAATCCTGCTCTTAAGATCGAATAAAAGCCTAAGAATAATCTCAAGATCTCAAAACGATACTTCAATTCCCGACCATAACCCAGCCACAGACCATAATCCAATCGTGCCTAGCAAGCTTGAAGCTAATCGAACCAACATAATTCTCAATCGAATCAATTAACCAAATTTTCATTAATGAGATGTCTTGTTCGCTTATAGGCCTAAATACTACATTAAAACATGTTAATACAACATACTTCACTCTGATTCCCTAAGAGCCTTAAGGTACCACGATCCTCTTCCTCTTTTCTTGATTTCCAAGCAAGTTTCATCCAGCATTAACCATGTACTGTTTATCTATCATTTCTTATTCTAATAATCAAAGTTTTTAAGTTCCTCTCGCTCTATATCCTACTACAGCTACTAATCCTTCCTTGCGCACCCCTACGGCTGATAGACATTGTTTATTTGCAGACTCATAGAACCCATCACCCTGAACCTGGGACTCCGTACTCCAGAAAAAGGGTGTGGCAGACCAAAATATATGGCTGCCTGCTACCGTCACTAGGCAAGATGGGGTTCTTTCTTATATTTAGAGCTGGAGACAATTGCAAGGTATAACTGGCTGAATAGCCTGGTTTGTGTCGGTGTCATGACCTGCAAGAATGACAAGATCATCTTTGAAGCCTACTAGTCGACAACCTTTGAGGAAATATTTCCCGACAATGTGTTGATAAAATAGTGAGCAGGCCGGTAGCATATCCCTTGCAGGTGCTGGAGTATGCTTTCTGCTTTCTCTATCTTAAACTCCACGATACCCCGTCTTTGGTTAAACTCACAAGAGCTTTATTTGCCACGGCGCTTCTCCGCTCCTGGTATTAGGCTGATTGCAGGGATCTGCGGATAGTCCGCCAGTTATAGAAGTCCCCCGCATGGTGATCAGCGCACTGCGGAATGCGGTCCGTAAGTGTGGGGAATCAATATAGCCTGAAGTTGGAGACCATTATTTAGAGAACAGAATCCCCCGAATTCCTGCATCGGTGTACTTTCCGAGGACACACCTGCTGCGCCATGCGTTGGTCTACTCTCTTTCTGCCATTTCTGGCCCTCGCGGCCGCTGAGGATGGCTCGAAGGGGTGGCTGCGATACGCCCCTGTCCCATGCAATCGCCATTGCCAGCGAAATTTGCCGTCGCACATTGTCACCTTTAATTCGCATAACTCGACTCGGAGTCCGATCGAGACTGCAGCGGAGGAGCTCCGACAGGGATTCCACTCGATTGTTGGGAAAGCGATACGCACCTCGCCCAACTGCAACCTCAAGAGTTCGATTCTGGTAGCAACCGTGGACGACTACCGTCTTTGCAAAAGCAGAATCCCTCGCAGCCTTCCCGGCCTAGACCAAGATGGCTTCTACATCCATTCCGAGGGGTCCTCAATCACCATTATCGGCCAGAGCGCCCGTGGCGCCCTGTACGGGGCATTCGAGTACCTCTCCCGCCTTGCACAGGGAGACTTTGCCTCCCTTTTAGATTTGAAGTACACATCGAACCCGCATGCGCCCATCCGCTGGGTCAACCAGTGGGACAACATGGATGGCAGCATTGAGCGCGGCTACGCCGGCCCCTCGATATTTTTCTCCGGCGGCAGCATCGTCGACGACCTCACCCGGGTCCGCGAATACGCACGCCTCCTCTCCTCTGTCCGCATCAACGCAGTCATCGTCAACAACGTCAACGCAAACGCAACCCTCCTTTCTCCCACAAACATGGACGGGCTGAAGCAGATTGCCGACGCGATGCGTCCGTACGGTGTGCAGATTGGAATCTCGCTAAACTTCGCCTCGCCGCAGGATTTCGGAGGGCTGGATACATACGACCCGCTCGATGAAGCGGTTATCGCCTGGTGGGAGGATATCACCGACCAGCTATACGCGCGGATCCCCGATCTGGCGGGGTATCTGGTCAAGGCCAGCTCGGAGGGCCAGCCGGGGCCTGATGCGTATAATCGCACCCTGGCCGAGGGCGCGAATCTCTTTGCGCGGGCATTGCAGCCCCACGGTGGAATCCTCATGTTCCGCGCCTTTGTGTACGACCACCATATCTCGGAAGAGAACTGGAAGAATGACCGCGCGAATGCAGCTGTTGAGTTCTTCAAGCCGCTCGATGGGGAATTCGAAGATAATGTTGTGATCCAGATCAAATATGGCCCGATTGACTTTCAGGTGCGCGAGCCTGTGTCTCCGCTTTTTGCCAATTTGCGCGACACGAATGTCGCGATCGAGTTGCAGGTCACGCAGGAATACCTGGGACAGCAGGATCATCTTGTTTATCTCCCGCCTTTGTGGAAGACAATCACGGATTTCGACCTGCGTGTTGACAACGCTTCTTCGCTGACGCGGGATATTGTTTCTGGACAGCACTTCAACCGTCCGCTTGGAGGATGGGCGGCGGTGGTGAATGTCGGAACGAATACCTCGTGGCTCGGTAGCCACCTGGCCATGTCGAATCTCTACGCATACGGGCGGATGGCGTGGGATCCAACGGTTGACGAAGTCGAGATACTCGAGGACTGGACGCGGCTGACCTTCGGAAGAGACAAGGAACTCCTCAACACCATCACCAACCTCTCCATGGCCTCGTGGCCCGCCTACGAGAACTACTCGGGTAATCTCGGCATCCAGACCCTGACTGATATTCTATACACACACTACGGCCCTAACCCCGCCTCGCAGGACGGAAACGGCTGGGGGCAGTGGACGCGCGCCGACCACGATACCATCGGCATGGACCGCACCGCCTGGAATGGTACAGGCTTTTCAGCACAGTATCCTCCGCAAGTCGCCGAGATGTACGAGGAGATCGAGACAACGCCGGATAACCTGCTGCTGTGGTTCCATCACGTCCCCTACACGCACCGCCTGCACAGCGGAAAGACGGTCATCCAGCATTTCTACGACGCGCATTACGCCGGTGCCGAGACCGTTGCTTCCTTCCCCAAGCAGTGGGACGCGGTCAAGCGTGTAATCGACGAGCGGCGCTTCAGCGAGGTTCGAAGGGAGCTCGTCTACCAAGCCGGCCACGCGGTTATCTGGCGTGATGCAATTACGAAATTCTACCATAACCTCTCGGGTATCTCGGATACCCGCGATCGCGTCGGCAACCACCCCTGGCGCATTGAGGCAGAGGATATGCAGCTGGATGGGTTCGTCCCGTACACAGTTAGTCCTCCCTCGACAGCAAGCGGGGGCATCGCCATTGTGACGGAGACCAACTCGACAGTCGGCGTCGCACACACAACACTTGATTTCCCGCAAGGGAAGTATGACCTCGCCGTCAACTACTATGATCTCTACGGCGGTCAAGCGACCTGGAAGGTCTACATCAACGACGCCTTGGTTGGGTCGTGGAAGGGTGTCATGGAAGATACATTAGGGCACACGCCGTCGATATATCTTGATGGGCATTCGGCGACGAGGGTCCGCTTTGCGGATGTGAGGATCAAGCCGGGTGATGTGTTGCGCGTTGTTGGGGAGGCTGATGGGGTTGAACCGGCGCCTGTGGACTATGTTGCTTTTCTCCCTGGTGGTGTAATTGATTAAGAGAATGCTTCTAGAACTGCACACTCTACAGCCTTGCTCTGTATATAACTAGCTACCGTGTCTTTCTTGACCAGCACGGAACTCGTTTGGTAGCTTCTGCCTGATAGCTAGGCCCTATAGTGATGCTTCAATAGCTTAGTTAACAGTGTCCTGAAATACGCGTAGATCCTTTAACCCTCAACCTTTTGTACTTGTACTTGTAGCGCTGAGATCATCAATCGTTTGGTTATCACAACTACAGCAGGAATACCAGTCCATGCGATGACTCGTCCGTAAGGAAGGTATCACTTCCCCAATCCGCCCATCAGTCCCGGCGCTCTCCAATGAAACGAGCGCAATATACGAAAAGTTCAGCGCGATGCGACCAGCTCCGTAAGCTAAGCCAGCATCCGGAATGATCAAATTATATCTTTCACTAGGTTAAATAAGTCCATATCCACAATTAACCCATCCTGCCGCTTTCACCACACTGCTCCTCATCCCAACTCGTCCCATACAATCACCATGAAAAATCAAGAGCTACTATAGGTACAGCTATTAGGGTCAGATATCTTCTCGACACGAGCGGCGACGCCAACACAGTTCTCGCTGCCCCCAGGCGTCTGGAACCCCTGCGCCGCCCAGATCCGGTACCCGTTGTCGATGGGGCAGGCCAGAAAGTCGCTGCCGGCGAATTGGAGGTGGTTGTCGGCGTTGATCGCCCAGCCCGTGCGCTCGCCGTTGCGGGGGCCTGTCTCGCCATCATTCGTATACCCGACTATGCCTTGGCCTGCACGGTTAATCAGTATTGAACCCCCATAATGCTTAAAAGCAATTTGGAGCAGGGACGCCCTTACCCATGCCTGAGCGGTCAACGAAAATCTGCTGGTTCGCCGGCCCGTAGAGGAACAGGGCGCCGTCTTTCAGGTAGAAGGTGGCGTATCCGCTGTCAGGACCGTCGTCGCAGTCGGCATTTTGGCCAGAGTATCCGGCGAAGAGACCCCTGCGAGCAGCATTGAATCCGGCGTAGTGGGCGGGGCCTCCGGAGTTGATGGCGACAAGGCCAAAGGTATCAGGGCCGGTGGGGGGAGGGGGGCACGTTCCGGCGGGCTGGGCGGCGACAGTGGTGAAGCCTATGGAGGCAGCAGCGGCGAGGAAGTTGAGCTTCATTGTCGTTGTAATTGCGCTTCTCTGGGTGGATGCTGTGGTTTGAGAGAGGGCATCGCGAGGTGGATTGGAGGGTTTATTTATGTCGAGCAACTTCCCAAAGTTCCTGGGTCAGCTGGGGTTGAGTTCGTTCTCCGCAGTTGTTGTGAGACATGGCAACCGTTCCGAGGAGGCCGTACAAGCTTATTGGCACAAGTCCCAGAAGCCAAGACACTAACAATAGAAAGTCTGCATGCGAATCAGGGATTGCCAAGAGAGTCCGGAGAGCGATTGGCTTACAATTGTTGCTGTGGCTCTTTCTTGGGATGTCTCACTAGAAGAACAAGTCATAATGCTTGCGCATGACTCCTCAAACTGTTTTACGTAGCTAATAGCTTAATACGAGCAGGACATGGATTGAATACGAGGATACGAGGTTCCTGTCTCAGTCAGCCAAACACTCGCCGAGGATACGATGAGCAAGGTGGTGCGATGCCCATGGTGCGTTATATTTCAGTGTTTGGGAATGCAAGGTACGGTCAATAGGTTATTTGATATATAGTGATGGCATCAGGCTGTCTAGTATATGCACTAGCCCATTTCCTATCACTATAGGGACGGCGAAGTTGTCCTATTCCTAGCTCGTAGTTGGATAACAAGATTAATAAGCACTTTTAGCTATCCTTCCTAGGGAACTTTCGCAATATAGACAGGTGCATCCAAGTCCGGGGGAGATATATGAGACGTGATAGAGTCATGAGCTAAAAAAGGGTTCTAATAAAGCCCAAGTTGAAGATACCTACCTTAAGAAAAGCTGACATGAGCCTAATGCAGTGATCAGCATCCTCCGATGAGCCGCTTCCACATCTAGATAGAGCTCTGTTACAATCCTACCCCAACCAAGGGTATAATAATAGGGGTAGAGTAGTCGATGATCGTTCTCTTGGACATGCAAAGGAGGACAAAGATCTTTGAGCATTTTCGGGTCATTTGGGTCTTCAAATCCCAACGGGCCAGCAACCAGCTTTGTAGGAGTCAGGGAAAAGAGGGCTGCGATATGTTCCAAGACATATTTTGGGAACCTATGAGCTGTATTTCTTTCCACACCTCGTGAGCTTGCGGATATGCAGTGCATCAAAACAACCCTACATCTTCTTCTCAATCTCTGTATCTATAAAATATCTGCTGCGAACACTGAATAATCCGCTCTGTGCGTATTGCTTTGTATTATTGTTATGTTGTCTCTCCCATGACGACGGGTTGATAGAGGCAGAGGAGGACGATTTTGGTTGCGGGGATATAAGTGAAATATTTGATATTTGACAGTCTGGAGTTTTCCCAGATCATTGGTAGTTATATATCTATGCGGAGGAGAGGCATGCTATAAAACTCCAAGTCAGAGTGGAGCATGGAATCAGGTGGGGATTCTGTGTCCTAGCACCAATAGACTGATTACCCCACAATCCGTTGGGTTCTCCAGGCTGCACATTCAGCTTCCCCAGAGGCTGTAGTGCAATAAACAGCTGCAGGGCTTGGCACCTATGACTGCGACCTCCAGGGTGGGTGGAGATTTAGAAAATGCCTAGATGTTTCCTTGTTCTTCAATGCCAGGCAACTGGCTGTGAACGCAAGTTAGTAACAGCCACCTTGTACCCACACGGTAGTTAGTTCGCGGAGATAGTGAGCTCATGTTACTACATTCCATATCTCCCAGGACTCACACAACCATTTTATCTTTAGTCGGGGATCGCCAAGGGTAGCTCACTGAGGTCCGATTGAATTTGTGTCACCCAACATGACATCTTCTACATTTCTGTATAAGAGGAGCCGCCGATTCCCATCTAGAACAAAGTTGAAGCTGCACTATCATGCTAACTCTGACAAAAGTACCAAGTTGTCCGATTCCTGAAGTGAATCGTACAGATTGGGGGAGGAATAAAGACAGGGATGGCTTTTATCCCTTCAAGATGTGTCTTTCGTCACAAATATTGATATCAAGCTGCTCAATTGAATTGAGTTTATGATTTCTAGGTAGGCTTACAACCCAAGCCTCATCAAACCAGGCTTCAACGAGCTAGGGGAGGTTTAAGGGGGATAGCTCAGTGTCTAGTTGGCCTAATCCAAATAGGCGGAATCAAATTCAAGCTTCCACGTTGCACAGCTCACCCGTCACACAGCGGGGTAGAGCAGGAGGCCACAAGCGCCCGGGCTACTTCATCAGAAAAGCTATTGATAAAGGAGAAATGTAGGCATGTTGATGTCTTCATATTCTTCATGTAGGCGAGCTCTAAATTCCTATACTGCATTCACCCATTGTATCATCAGTTTTACTGATGGCGCCCCTGGCCACTGCAGGACTGTTAGAGGTACCATTGGAACTGGAGCTTCAGATCACCAGTTACCTCGACTATCCCTCTCACTACGCTCTCTCGCAAACAAATCGATACTTTAGAGCTATGCTCAACGTCGAAAGGCCCACGACCGTGGAGCAAAAGCAGGCATATCTCTATGTTGCAGAGATGTGGAAACGGTAGTCTGGTATAGCCATAGCATGGCAATCCATTATAGACAGTAAAAGCTGACCTTCCCAGGTACGAGTCTGATTTTGCCTGCAGCCGCTGGCTAAAGCTCCGTCCTTGCGACGAGATTGCCGACGACCAAGCGGCCTATGATCGTTGCAAGCGCAAAGAAAGGGACCCTTTTATCACCGAATGTGCCTCCAGTGCGATGTCCTCGAGGGTTACCATCGGTTGGGTCAGACTGTCCTGGTTAATCGACAGAGCCACCTCTTGTGTAGTTTGTGCTGGAAGCTCTACGGGGCTGGATTGTATTGCACGGTTTGCCACAGTTGCAGCGACTGTCTCGAGCAGAAGATAGCGGAGACCACTCTTGCGCCAGCGAAGAAGAAACAACTTGGAGATAATGGTTGTCCGCGGTGCCTCAAAAAAAGTTCTAGTGGATCTGGAAAAACTATATCTAACAGCCGAGTCGGTACTCAATCTTCCAGTGTTGAGCAAGATGCTGGTGCTGTGGGATATTCTGCGTTATCTTGGGCATTAATAGTCAGTAGCTTCTTTCTTGTATAGCCAGGCCCTATTAGCCTATTCTTAGCTTTGTATTGAAAATATAGTCCACCAATCATCTCCTAGTCTTGTTACTAGAGGCTCTTTTACTACGTTTGTAAGTTTCAGGGTTATCGAATACCCGCCATGCCCTTCTCCTAACAGTGGCTCTAGTAGGGGATGGACGGACAACTTGGGATGGGCCAATGATGCGCCAGCATGGATTGTGGAGATGAAAGCGGAGATGCAGTTCCGACAAAGTCCGCTGTCAGCTCCGACAGTCCGACAGGAATGACATCCAGCTCACCATTTCCGTGTGCGCACTTACACCACGCATGTCTCATCCTTCCTGCTCGCCACTTTCACAGTCGAGACACGCTCGGTCCTTTTCTCGTCACCTGTTATCGCCCTCAATGTCGGCCGACGCCCAGCGGCCCCGCCCCAAGCACGCATGTGAGACCTGCAAGACTCGCAAGAAGAAGTGCAACAAGAGCGTCCCGGCATGTAGCTACTGTATACTGTGGGTCTCAATCCCTCCGTTACTGCCCCAAATAGTGCTTATACGTCACAGGAAAGATCTCGAATGCCGCTATGTTCCGCTTCGCCCGAGGCGGGTGTACGCGACCCCAGACACGAGCGATTTATCGCATACGGCAACATATCGCGAGGGAATCGGTGCAGATACTGTGTACGATCAGACACTGTCAGATCCCGCGGGGGCTCAGGTCGCAGCTTCAAGGCACACTGTATACCGTCCACGATTCGAAAGCCTGTAAACACCCGCCGCATCCCGTGCTCAAGCATCTAACACATGTCACGCTAACAGCAACAGCGACGACGTCCACATCGAGGTCCAAAGGATCATCCACTCAACGGCAGAGTTTGTAGACGACCTCACCTCTCTCTATTTCCGTACCTTGCACGTCCATCTCCCCATAATCTCCCGCTCGCGGTTCCAGCGCAGCATCCTCGCCACGGGATCGGCGCCTGCTCCTGATTTCTCCGTTCTTCTTCTCACCATCTGCCTAAACTCATACATACCAAGTCCCGGTCACCGCGTACAAGAGGGGGGAGTCGCTGGCATTACACGACGGCGTCTGTACCTATCCACCAAGGCTCTTCTAGCACAGGTCCAGGGATCCATGCAGCCTTCGGTGCCGCTGATACAAGCTAGCCTGCTGCTTGCCATGTATGAATACGCCAGTGGGAGGGCGGATGCTGCCTTGGCTACGGTTGCGGCGTGTGCGCGGATGGCATACGCTGCTGGTATCCATACTAGCCGACGGGATATTGTGGATGCCACGTCGAGACCGGAAGCTGCAGAGGCTTGGAATCTGTGGTGGGGTGTTGTGATTTGTGAACGGTATATTCGCACATCCAATTCATGAAAAAGCCCTGTCACTGACTGACATATCTAACTCATGACAGCACGTTCATGTGCGAGGCAGCCGCCCCTGAGCAGCCACTAACCACCACATTTCCAACCGACGACGCGTCCCTCCCAGTAGAGCGGCATGTGCTGGATCAGGGAGACCTTGTTGATCCGGGCTTGGTGCCTAATATGCCCCTCTTGTCCAGTCTAACAGAACCCAATGTTGGGGGGTTCGCCCGCGCAGCTCAAGCGTGTTGTCTCCTGGACCGGATATTCGAGGCGATGGGAATTGCAGAGATCAACACTCGGCTTCCTCGTCTTGAGAGTCTCGATAAAAGCCTACAGTCATTCTTATCCCTTATTCTAAGCCGTGGCCCAGCCAAGTCATGGCATCATTGCACGGCATTAGCCATGACGCTCAGGTAGGTGCAGTCGCGCAGGAGGGAATTCCTATCATGCTACACTTGGCAACATCAGGCGCTGACTACCCACGGCACCAAACACAGATCCCTCTTCATACTCCACGGCCATATCCTCAGTATCCCTCGTGAAATTAGATGCATCAGCTCCCGATCCCTCGACGAATGGAAGCAGAGCTCGCTAGCGGCACTCGATACCGCGACGACGATGGTCCTCGATATGGCCAACTGGCATTATGACGTCCTTCCGCCGGATCGGCCGAGTGATATCTCGCCAATGCAGATTTACGTAGTCCATGCGACGCTGCAGCACTTGCGTACTAGAGTGCATGGTGGAGACTCTGGCTCTGCGCCTGTCTGGCCCACCACTGCGGAGGAAGATCTTGGGAGGTATTTGGGGAGGATCCAGTTTCAGTGGGTTTCTTCATGAGCGTTTTCGAGATCTATGTATGTCTGCTCTTCGAATCCCGCATGACACATGCTCACCTAGATATTGAAATGGTCCCCCGAAAGGCTTTATAGTGGGATTCCTATAACTAGATGTCCCAGTGGTCCATGGTATACGTCCAACGTTCAGCCCCTGTTCATTCAGTCGCCAATTGTGCCCTCGTGCCCACCCACATCTATCTATCTAGCAATCAATCATTCCTTACAAATGAATATGCGTCTTAACCACACTCTCCCGGGCAATATACCTCCGCACAACCTCATTGACATGCTCCGGCACCAACCCCCGCTTAACCACATAATCAAGCGCCCGAATCTCCCCCCGCTCCAGAAACCCCGGCAGCCTCTCCCAAAACCCCCGCGCAAGCTCCGGATGCATATGGCTACTCCCAAAGACATCGCGGACCTCGAAGCCCGCTTCTTTGCCTAGCACACGCGATTCATCCACGGGTCCCGTAGGAAGCAATCGCGCGAGGGCGCCGCGCTTGCTACTGGAGAGCGCATTCAGCGCGAGGAGTTGGCCCTCGGGCGGCGAGACGGCGTCATATGCGTAGACGAGGTCATCGCCGACGACGGCGCGGATGTCCGAGAGGACTTTGTCGAATCCGCCGTGGCGATCGATGACGTGCGTCGCGCCGAGAGACTTGAGCTTCTTCTCGTCGCCGCCGACGACGACGATCGTGCCGATGTTGGCGAGCTTCGCGAGCTGCACGCCGAATGCGCCGCAGTTGGAGCCGCCGCCGATGACCAGGAGCGTGGTGTGTGAGTAGTCGAATGTGCTTGCTTCTGGGGTCCAGGGTGCGGGGATGGCGAGGGTGTCGAAGAGCGCGACGAGCGGGGCGATGATGTTCGTCGGGAGCGTCGCGGCCTCGTCGTCGGATATCCCAGAGGGGATCTTGGCTAGAGCACCAAGGTCTGCGAGGGCATATTCCTGCAGTCCGTTCTGCGTGGATCCAGGTGCGAAAGACGGCTGGTAGACGATGCGATCGCCAACGCTCAACCCACGCCCCTCGACGCCCGGCCCCAATTCTGTAATCACACCGACAACGTCGTTGGTGAGGATAAAGGGGAGATCGAGGTCACTCGTTTCCCCGCCCGCCGTTGCGCGCGAGAGATTCGGGTTGATGAAGAGGCCGTATTCGATGCTCTTCGCGTCGTGCCCGTTGATTCCGGCGACGGAGACTTTCACTTGCACTTGGTTTGGGCCGGGGGTTGGGATGGGGCGGTCGGTGATTAGGGTGACGGGCGCGCCGATGGCGGGGACGATTAGGGCTTTTTGGGTGCGTGCCATTGTAGTTGCCGTTGTAGGAGAGGAAGAGATGTCTCTATAGATGTGTGTGTCTGCTGGTGGAAATTGGATGGGATTGGTTTGGTTTCGTGATATAGTGTCAAGAGTGAGATTGAACCAGGAGTAAGAGGGGTATTTATGCAATTTAGAGCTACTAGTAGTAGCTGTAGAAGTACTACCTGGCTCGAGTGTGTATTGTCACTAGCAGAAGCAGGCGCTCACAAGCATGTTTCCGTCCTCTTATTGGCTGTCGGGGGCTGTCGGGCGATGTGTCTCTGTCGGGTCCGCCAGTCCGCCACTAACAAATCCCTACTCGCCTCGCGATCACATCATAATAGCCGATGATTCTGCTCGAACCTGGCATAGCTTATGAATTATATGCGTTGCATTATCAATCAAAAGCTTCCGCAATGTATAGGGCCAATTGTAGCGTAGCTCATTGCTAAGGGTACTTTGAAATATGCTGATGGAGACGGTTGCATCGTGAACGGGATGTTATTGTACGTGTATTCTCAAGTAAGAGCATGCATCACCTTGCTTGCTTGTCCAGCAAGTATATAACACATCTGATTTATAGGCCTTCACCAACGGCCCAGCTCTCGAACTGCAAGTCGTACGGGGTCTCACACCCTTCCCTAGACAGTAGCGCTCATACAAGAACGGCCATAGTCGATTCATACCAGTGACAAGACTCCCTGGTGGCAAAGGCATGAATATTCTATCTAGATAGAGGAGTTTTAAATGGCTAGTGCAGATATTTGGGGACAGGGGCTAATTAAGTGACATACAGGCCCATGCCCCCTTTACGGAGGCGGGATATCCCATTCAAAATCGCGCGGCATATCTCAGGAGATCATCAGTCAAAAGCGCAAAAAAGCATTATGTATAGCTATCTAGGCTTCTTCTCTACTTTCTCTATGATCACTGTTCTTGATATCCGATTCTTCGCGTGGTGTTGGACGGTCTATGTTCAACAACTCTGCAGACACATTAGCCACAATGTACATAAGAGGAAGATATGAGGAGCCAGGTGTAGATTACAGGTTGTTGACGTACCATTATTGTACCTGGTCAACTGCAGCAGTTGGAGCATCACAAGGTCGCCCCTCTATGAGCTCGGCTATATCCGATCTGCCCAGCGCCTGACACAATGCCAGGCCCATTTCGCGGTCAGGCTTGGAGAACTGCCAGCATGCGAGTAATAGCTTCACGATGGTAATATTTTCATGGATGATTGCCCACTGTAGAGGTGTCTGCGTAGGGAATGATTAGGAGAAGCTAGACGTAGGTGCACGAGTTTGACGCACATGTGTAGTGATGACTGGCTATAACCTCGTCAGCAACGACAAGAAGCAGTACATTACGAATTGCCCTGCCGGCCCAGATGCAATGGCATGGCGGCCTTGCGGGCAGACGTCCCAGCGTCCGCTGGTTACAAAGTAGGCGAGTGAGTCGCTCCTGTTAGGGCGCTCACTCATCCACGCGATGAGCATGGCCAAGAAAGATACTGAAGCTTCCAACTTACACTGTGTCCGCGCTGAGATACACCTCGCCTTGTTAATGGTTTCTCAGACCTTGCAGGTGTTGGGGACCTCCACGACTTACACGCCTTATCTAAGATGGAGGTGCCTTAGCAGTGACAGTGGGAGTAATAACGATGCAACACATACTCACTTGAGACTGGAATGGAAAGTCCACACTGGCCCCTTTGGCTAGGAGAACATCCACCACTGCACTCGATTTGCTGCTAATGGCCCATGTCAGCGCTCGGCCGCCACGACTATCCTGCTGTTCAATGTCAACGTCAGCGTCTAGCAAGAGCTTGACAGCTTCTACGTGGCCTCCTCGTGCAGCCACATGGAGTACTGTCAAGCCTCCTCTGTATGTCCGGCGTTTGTCGGCGCCGCTTTCCAGGAGATAGCTCAAGGCTCCTTGGAAGCCGTTCGCCGCGGCCATATATAGCGCGTTCCGTCTCCCACGGGCCAGTTTGTCCACTGCAGCCCCATTCCTAACGAGAGCCCTAAGTACGTCCGTATGCCCCTTCCTGGCAGCCAAATGCAGGGGGCATAGTCCTTGATCATTGGGTAGATTGACAGCAGCGCCGCCCTGTAGAAGCAGACTTACAGCAGACTCGTAGCCGATGTCTGACGCCCAGTAAAGTCCCTGTTGCCGGTCTGCTGCCTGCAGACCATCTCGCAGGATGTCGATTGAGGGCATCTTGGATACCTGTTCCAGCAAGGGGACCAGACACAAATATGCGTCAGATCTGGTGCCGAGACCACTGGATTCAACTATCGCCGCGATTTCTTCCAGTCGCTCATTCTCAAATATAAACGGGTTTTCATCACTGGCTTGCCTACGTAGTTCCGTAATGCCGCCGAGGCGATGAACTCTGCTCAGAGCACAAGAGATCAACGATGTAAAAATATCCTGGGCGCATAAGACTGGTATTGAATGGTCCGACGGAAACCAGAGGCACTCAGTAGAAGAGCGCGATTCAATTGCCTGGAGTGCGTGCATGCCAAAATATAGATACGCCCCCGATATGCCGAAGCGCGGAGGTGCTAACGAGCTGTCCGGGTCCCCGAAGCGCGGAGGTGCTAGCGAGCTGTCCGGGTCCACATCTCTCTGAATCCAGGAATCATAAACGGTCATCGCGGTCCCCGGGTGCATAACAATACCACGAACATGTTGGACGCTGTGTCCGGGGAGTTGATGCACGGCTTTGGTCCTCATCAGGGTCAACGTCCATATTCCAATAACCGCCTCCAGTTCGGCGGCATCGGCTATCCACAACGCGTTTCTTCCTTTTCGAACATGCAAACAGAATATCGATGGCTCAGCGCTCAAATTAGATCTAAGGGATATCGTCCAAAAGTAGTTGACCCGCTCGGGCTGGCCAATTTCCCAGTCGAGAGCGAGTACTTCCATTACGCGCTCGATGGCGGCCTTTAGCTGCAAGGCTATGACTCGAATGGCCAAGTCGCTCCAATCAATCCCGGCCTTCACGCTTGTGAGCCTGGCCAAGCGTATTCGAGCTTTTATGGCGCGTACACTTTCAGACAACACCACATCCGGCCGGACTATGGAGTTGCGTTAGCCTGCTCGAAGCCTGGGACATGGCTCAAATATACCTTTCGAGAGTTCCCCTGTTCCTGGTCGAACGACAACAAACAGGACGCCCTCGAATTTCATTGCAAGGAAGTCTAGCTCATGCCCCTGGGTATCACGGACTTTCTTTAGCATATTGGCTTCAGGTTTGATCCGCTGCGCCCGGAGCCCAGCCCTCGCAATGGCCATGATCAAGGTACTGCCAAGCTGGACTAGAATGACAGACGAGTGCATGGCGCGGAGGCCGAGAAACTGTACGATAAATCCAACTGTTGTCGAAATGACACCTCCCCAAAGCATTGCCGCTCGGTACGAGGCAGTGGTTTTCGCTCTGGACGACGTAATATATCGGTCGAACCTGGGGCCCTCTCCCACGGCGAGGAAGGACCCAAAAACCTGATCACCAATCTTTTGCCCGCCAGGTTGTATCCAGTACAAGCTGCTGTTTACCCGCTTGACTCGCTCATAGTGGACTTCATTCGTGCTTCTCTCGATGATATACGCGCACAGGAACATTCCAAGGCAAACAAGCAGAGTTCCGGTCACCATCATCGGGAATGAATATCGCTCCGCTGGGGCACCGTCTCTTAGGAATCGGTTGGGAAATCGATAAGCAGTGAGACCAGCAAATACCAGTACGCCTAGTGAAGAACTCAGACACTCGCTATAGAGGAGAGCTTTGTTAGGCAACTTACCGACCTGAAGACAAGAGCCCAGGACCGCAACACCATAGAGAAGCAGACGATGAGGCTTTTTGATGCCGATGTTTAGAGAAAGGTTCGGGCTCCGGTGCTCTGCTCGCTCCAGCGAGTCGGGATTGCCACTGACTCGTTTCCAGGTTTTATCAACGCCTTCTGCAAAAAGAAAAATGCCGGCGCTGTCCTCGTAGTCCGCTGGCTTGGGGTCAGTCAGTCGAACAATCTCCAGGATTTGCGGCTTTCCAAAAACGCGTGCAATCCCTCCATCATTCCACAGTTCTCCGGTGGTATCGGACGTGCACGACAGCAGCTCGATCTCAGCCGTCCCGGGACTCTCTTGCGCTCTGCCGACGAAGGCCTTCAGGCTGGGACTCCCACACACCCGAATCGCGGACACGACCGCCGTCAAAAGACCCATCGGCGCCATGGCAAAGATAATGTTGTCCCATATACTGAGTGACTCACTCAGGTACTGCTTCGTCACTTGTTCGCCGAACAGTGTGATTATCGGCGCCTACTGTGAGTTTAGATTGAATCGCGTTGACGATGAAAAGGCAAAGACACTTACCAGGTCCGTGGCGAGATTGTTGGTGAAGTCATCCCAGCCAAAGCCCGCGGCACCGGGCAGAAATGCACAGATAACTATTGCGAGTGAAGCCATGGGAGCGTTTCCGCATGTGTTATGAAGGAGCAGGGTGGACCATGAGGTGAGAAGCAGAAACGGACAGGATGAAGACTGAGTGTTTGCTAGGTTGTCACCGGAAAAAGCAATGTGGTTCCCATCGGGAGATTCGCTGTGAGTTGTCGGAGAGGAACCTTGGTAACTTGCTTTTCTGCTGTGCTTTGAGCTGGGCGCGAGCCTTCCTCGCGTCTCAGGTAAATGTACATGGCAGGCGCGACCATGGGATGTCAATGAAGCACTCGAGCTCAGCTCTTCCTCTCCAAGCACAAACACCTCCCCAATCGCAGCTGTGACGGGGTTGCTGTCTTGCGACTCTGAACGCCGACGTGGGTGATGATTATTGGAGTTCCTGCAAGTCGGGCTGCAGACGACAAGGATCCGACCTGTGATGGCGGAGATGCAGCAGCAAATCAGCAGCACCATCAAGGAAAGGCTCAGCCAGCCGTGTTCTCAACAAGCCGCACCCCTCATCATCTCATTGCCAGCGTTTGTCAGCTTTCGTTCAGCCGCATCAGCGCCTTGACCGACGCCGCCCCCTTTACCGGCTCCCTACGAACGCTTTTGGCCATCTATCTACAAGTGGAAAAGCCCGTTTGGGTCGTGGTGACTCTCTTATATATGCCCCTGCGGCTTTTCACCCTTTCGACCGTTGAACTCGTCCGTCGTTTGTGGTCCTAATGGTCCGCTTTCCGTCCCATTCCGGGAGGAAAGAGCGGAGAAAGGCATCCCATGCTAGGAATTATGGATTGCAAGTGATTTTCACGCCGGCAAATGGCGTTCATAGCATTAAGTTGGTGTCTTTACTGCCGTCCGCCCTGTTCACGAGTCTCACCAGAGCAGCATTATTGCCGTCCACGGGTGGCAAACATCGTCACCAAGGACATGGACATATCGCATGCTCGACAAGCGCGTCAACTGGCTAACTGACAAAGACATGTTGCCGGCTGTTCTCCCCCAAGCGCGGATATATGTGTTTGAATGGGACGCCGATTTCCCGATCGACAATCCCAAAGCAACATTGGTTTCCCAAGCGACACTCCTCGTCGATAGCATAAAAGCAGAGTTGGAATCGGATGCTGATCGTCCCATCGTGTTTATTGGGTCCGACTTTGGGGGCCTCATAATTGCTCAAGTGCGATTCAGTGCCCGCAACCATGCGGCTTTGCTAATCACATATAGGCTCTTGTTCGAGCGCATCAGGACGTAGCCAATTATGGCTGGATACTGCATTGTCTGGCTGGAGTCGTATTCTTAGGTACGCCATTTAGAGGCGTCCAGCTCATCAAGGTCAACCGTGCTCTGGCCGTCATTAGACGCGTGGCCACAGGGGGTGAAAGTCTCAAAGCCCTTCGGTTCTTACAACAACTGGCCGATGAACAGATCGGAGAGGAGACAACCCGGGAGTTCAGCCGGCTTACACGGATGGACTCACTGTGTATTGATACCCACTGCTTTGCCGAAGTCCTGCCCACGCGAATGCACAATCCCCGTCATAGATCTGAAATAGTCAGAGTGTTGCCTGGCTCATCGGTCAAATTTGTGCGTTGCCCTCAGAAAGTGGCCGGTCTGCGCTAACTGGACAAAGATTGTACCGAAAAGGTCAGCAGTTTTGGACACTGGCAACTGCACCTGCCTTGTAGCGTCTCACCACGAGATGAACAAGTTCCGAGGACCAGATTGTGCCAGATTCCAGCGAATCTCTGCTGCTGTGGCCGACTATGCGAACAATGCATCTGCAGTATTCGAGTTCCGCCAAACCTGTAAGCACACCGCACCATCTTCCAAGGTCCAAGCAGCTAACAGCGCAAGACCCTAAGAGCCGTCACTGGCTCGTCCCCTATGACAGAAATAACGATTTTATCGGGAGAGAGGGAGAATTATACGACCTCCTCAATGAGATCCGGCCCCGTGCTTGGCCTCACGCCTGCCAGCGAACAATCATCAGTGGAGCCTGTGGTGTGGGAAAGACCGAGCTTGCTTTGGAGGTCGCTTTTCGGTTTGCTGCCGACAACTCAGATTGCTCGGTTTTCTGGCTCTGCGCAAGGAATGCCACAAGCATTAGGAATAGCCTTCTTGAAGTTGCTAGAGTACTCGGAATCTCTGACACCAACCAAGATGGTTTAATGGAAAGTGTGGTTTATCATCTCAACCACGAGAATCTAGGAGCCTGGTTACTTATCATCGATGGCGCCGATGATCTACAGCACCTTCTAAAAACCAAGGGGAAAGGATTGGAAGGTTCGCTCCCTCGGTGCCCCATGGGCTCCATACTGATAACCGCCCGAGATCCTGTGATCAAGGCGCAGTTTGAGAATGCCGACTCTACCGTGCTTATTCATTTGGGAAATCCAGAACCACTTCAAGTCGCTACGTGGGCTAGAAAATGGTTCCTAGAGACTCCGCAGGCCATTCAACTAATGGTTGAGGGATTACCGTTGCGATCAGCCCGTGCAATAAAGGCTCTCATATTTCTCATCAGTCTGGGGGTCAGCCCTAACCGCAATTTACCCAGCCGACTTCGCCACGAGATTAATATGGACCACGTTCGCCGCCATGTCGATGCCGTACCTCACTCCGGGAATACAGGGGCTGACAGCGACGACGAAGACATAATCGCCCATATCACCAAACTGGCCAGGACCAGCCTTGCCGAGCTTCCTTGGACGTACCTGGCCTTCCTATCCCTTATGAGTGAGACCGAAGTCCCAAAGTCGTTTTTCCAGCGCAAGGGATCATTCGATAATATGGTAGTTGAGGTACTAAATGGAGCTTCCTTTATCAGGGCACGCCAAAACGACACATCATTCGACGTCGCACCAGAAGTCCGATTAGCAGTCCGGAAAGCCTGGGAGCCCCGGCGCATGCTGGACGCACCGGCCAGATCTATCATGGAACATTTAGTTAGCGTCCTGCCGCCGCCCACTGCCGAGAATAGGGATACGTGGCTCCAGTATCAGCCGCATGTACAGGAGGTGCTAAAGTTTCGAAAGCTTTCGGCCTGTCAGGACACCGTTGCCGTTCTGGCCACTCTCCTCGCGCAGAGTTATGTCGAGTTCGGAAGCTGAATGCTGAACCCCCGGGTCTCTGTCGAACCGGACTTGATTATTGATATGGCCTCCTCTGAGCGGCTGTGCGGCTGGTCTCGACACCGAGGGTCACTTTCCAGTTTGGATTGAACAGTCAGAATGATAGATTCTGAGATTGATATATTATGGTCTGAAGAGCGGCAGCTTCATTCTTTGCTTCTCTTTCCTCGGGTATTGGGGCTAAAGGCTCTGGTAGATTGAATCAGGACCATCCGATGTGGATTGGTGGAACTGTAGAAGGGTATTCGTTGCTAGTGAAGCACATTGCCAACGAGGCCATTGTCAACAAGTCAATGTTTGGTTCTTGTGGGAGGGCCCTAGACGTGCCGTCAACAGCTAGAAGTTACCATGCTGCAGCCCACGTCTCGTTATCGTTTTGCCTCGTTGATATAAAATACAGTATATCATTTGGTATCGTTTGGAAGCACTGCATACGGCACACTCCTGACTACCATCACAGGCAAAGTAACCCATACAGAGAAACCGGTGATATGTTACCTGGACTTGGGGTCCTATCGACTGAAATAGCAGTTAAAAAAGATACCTAACCAGCACTAAAACCAGGCATTCGCCCACACTACCTCTCAAGTCTTGGTTGCGATGCCCCAAGAACCCGTCGCAGCAAAATATACTAAATTATGATTTCGCAGTGCCCCATCATAGTACCATCTATTCAGCAATCTCAGATTCAGCAGTTGGCTACACGGCACTTGTTATAGATAGTAGCGGTACCCACACCCGTGGGCGTGTGTTTCTAGTCCGACTATTATTTCCTGTGCGATGGGTCGCTCCTGCCTATTTGGGCCGTCAATGTCATGCGTGCCTTTTTCGCGGGCAACAACCCTAACAGACTCAAGAATGGAACGAATGACCTTCAGTACGCTCCCACAAGAGGAAGGTGTGGAGTGACCAAATCTATACGCGCTTCACGCCGCTTTCAACACTAACAGTCGTACCAGCAATGTACGTGCTTCTGTTGATGACCGGATCTGGCGTGAGTCTACCGGCTTCACTATGTGCAGGCTCCAAGCCAAAGTATAGTAAAATGACGATGATATGCATGAGTACGGTGTTCAGTCTATTTCCGGCCAGTGCGATCTATCTCGCGAGCACCGGCGCAGGCAAAAATCGAATTGAAGTTATATTCTGGGCGCGGTGATTCTTGGCCCGTGCCAGGGGCGTGGGTAATCGCATGTGTGCTTGCAGATCAATCCCGACGGAGATATACTCCAGCTCGCTACGTCGGAAGGTAGTACGGGTATGGCAAAGCTGTACGACGCGTAGACACTTTGCTAAGGCAAGTTCTTCAATGGGTGCAGTACGCAGTTAAGGCTGGACGAAACTGAGAGCCCGTGCTCTCTGATAACTATCGCGGCCGACGAGACATTGCGGGTGTTTAATATGATACGGGTACTCTCTTCGCTGGAGCACGAGGGAGTCGTATGTGTAGACAGTATATTAATAGTATATGCGTTGGCGTCTATGGCAAGGGAAGCCCGATTTTAGGGCTTCGGCCCGGCTCAAAATGTTGTAGTGTTGTTTTTAAGGGTGGAGGGTTTCGGGGGAGAAGAATTCCAGGGAACACTACAACCGTACCGTATAGACTTTGGATAAATTTCTATCGATTTAGAGTCGCGTATGGACCATTATTGCCTGCGGAGCTATAGAAATAGGTACCTCTCTGCGATGAGTAGCCAAGTTGTCTATTACTATCTCTTGACTTGGCCACCACTTCACCATTAAAACTCGAAAAGAAAGCAGGAAACATATTGTGATTATAGTGCTCTTGGGGATTCCATTTCTTCTACTCACATCACAATCACCACATCCGACCGCTCATCCTTTTCGACTCCAAGTCTCCAACTCCAACCCCCAAAGGCTACGGAGCAGACAATCCCGCGCCCACTTTCTCTACCCCGCCAAAACCAAAAGAACGGCCAATTCCTCGACGAAATGAAGAAGAAAAAATCGAAATGTAAGTCCGCCAAGCACAAACCGCCTTTTTCACCGCAACCTCTTTTTTGAACGAGAAATCTCAGTACGTACTCTGCCGAAGAGACGGTGTAGAGTGTACGGACTACCGTTGGCCGATTTGGCTAAATTGGCGGTACCAAGTACACCGTGGTACCACCGACTGAGCTGAGAGGGGATGGAATGCATTTACCCGCGCGGTCCGGCTCAGATTTCAATATGAATCATCCGGGAGGAAGCGAAGTAAAGTTCGAGTTGTCCGCTGCAGTCTGCAGATCGAATCCTGGCGAAAGTTTGATTGATACGTCTATCGATTTCTGTTATCATTATCGATAGCGTTATCAAACATTGCACTCGTCATCATCAGATCCATGTATGTGCGTCGGGAGTGACTCGGGAAGTCGTCGAGTGCATCCGTAGCAGGTTTCGAGCTTGCTCGGCCGTTCAAGCTGCAGTAGTCTCCAGTAGATCAAGCCTCACGCTCGATTTCAGGTCTCCATGCTGCTGTTGCACAGGGGACGGACAAGGGTCAGGGTCAGGGTCAGGGTGCGTACATACATACAGGGCGCTTATGCATGCAGGGAGGGGCCGATTCACCGCTTGTTCGTTGGCTCTTCTTGCTTCTTGACTCTCGATTCTGTGTCGCAGGCGGTTTATGCCAGTGTCCGGAACTCACTTCCATGCAATGGATGTTTGTGGATTCCCTTTCCGGCGAGGGTTCGACTGGTCACATACCTAGCCGAGAGAGAGAACGTGGCGCGCGCTACACAGATACCTCAAGTCGAGACCTCAGGATAGAAAAAAGGAAGAATGAGCGCTGCTCACTCCGGAAGAAATTTTTCGTCTGCTTTTTTAGATTTTCATTTTACTTTTTTTTTTTTCGTCATGGAGGGGCCAGGAGGGGTCGAGCCTAGACCCAGCCCTAATTCCCGCGAGTCATGGCCAGGGTACCCCTCCAAGGACGGGTCTAGATTCCGGCCACAACCCGAGCTAATTGATTGCTCTTATTCTGGTTTCCTGCAGGTCAATTGGGTCAAGTTTTTGATTGTTGATCCCGGGTAGATGACGGGCAGGGATTGCAGGCTCAGTACCCAAAGTACCGAGTGAGGGGTCATCAGCCTTATCTTGATTTAATCGCTAAGATCGATGAGAAATCGGCAGCGATGGTGCAATAATAAACCTTTTATGCCAAGAGACCATTTGCATGCGAGCCCATCCTTCTATGTATGTTAGTTGTGTAGCAAAAGCCTAGCGTACTGTCTCGGGAGTGACCCTCGCCTTGAGCGTCGCTTCGAGCGACTATGTCTTCAGAGAGGCAAAACACTAGGGTATGTGTCTACATATGTTGTACAAAGCACAGCCCATGCGAATGTCTCAGCCGCAAAGGCCTCGCCTAATAATGCCTGCGCCGCAATATAGAATTGCAATGGGACATATTCGCATGCCATAATCACTCCCATTCAGGTGAGATGTTTTTCCAAAGACAGTCCGGTCTGAGATGTGTCTAGACGGCAGGAAATGAGGGCTATAAACGTTCCATTAGTATCATACTCGTGGAACTGAATGGAAAGAGTGCAGGGCTGCGCCTTGGGATTCTGAGGGCGCTATTGAACGCTTAGTGCCAGGTTTCGTCTCTTAATGCTAGGGTCAAGCAACACCCTTGTAGCTTGTTCATCACAATCGCTGTGATGGGGCTGCAACTATAGATCTAGTATTCCAATGCCTTTAGCTGTTGTGAAGTACTATTAAACATTATAAGGAAGGGGATCTCCCATACTCTTATTCTTACCTACACACATATATCAGAGATAGGCTTCTCTATGGGATATACACTCCTACGCCTTTTATTTAGAAGAAGCACCGTAGGAGCATCGTAGAAGAAATCAAGAAACAAGAAATCAAGCCCGGCCTAGTCTGTATATACCCGATATGACTCTAGCCAGTCAGTCCAGAAGTATATGATCTCGTACAGGCCCTCTCGCTACAAGGCTAAGAAAAAATACAACACATAGAACTCCATAAATGTCTTTAGGTCTCATCGTTTAGTTTAGGTATTGGTCGATGCGATTATTAGGCATTCGCCTGACTGTATCGCTGCTATATTGGAGAAGAAGACTTCCGGCACCGCTATAAGCGAGTGATTTAGACAGTCGAGAGAGAAAACTCACAGATATCTCCCGTTGCATGGATCAAGTACCGCGCGCACTATCTTCTGGCCTGGTATATTTTCCTCGACTAGCTTCAAATGTTGGTTCATTGTTAAATGGAAATGCGGACAGCGCAAGGAACTTTAAACTTGGGGAGGTTTGAATTATGGTCATCAATAAAAGTTACAGTCCCATCTTGACATATCTTGATATTCAAGACCTATAATTCACGTAGATTAGTGATTATTATATACTCGAGCTTCACCTTATACTGTCTTCCACCTTGTGGGACACTGATGGCCAGGCTATAGGATTCCAAACTTCAAGCTCTCGGTTGTGGAAAGTCCTAGAACGTCTTGGATACTCTAGAAGGCTGCCAACTCGAGGTCCCCATAGGTCTATAGACCTCGTTGTAGAAGTATCATTCGATTGTGAGGTTAAAGGATGAGCATGGTGGGCTCAGCAACCCGGGACTGTGGAGGTACGTACTAAACAGGCCGCTGTTCTCAATCAGTCAGAGAGAATCAGCAACGGTCCTAGAGTTAGGGATTCTCGGTACCACAGCCAGCTTTATGGAAAGCAGGGATCCACGAGATCAATAGACATGGCACTCCAGACACTATCTGGACCGAAGGCGCTTCGCATAGACGTAGCTTACCAGCGAATCTCCCAAGAAACTAAAGTCTAAGACAGCCCGGTTTTTACTCAGGTACGTGAGAGAGCTCATACATAGCAGCTTTCACCATACCCACTGTGCAGTTGGGCTCTGCATCCAAGGAATCTCTGGGTTAGTCTTTTACTAGTAGCCCTAACATTACAGATGGTCTTGGTGGTACGGATATTAATAACTTGAAAAGCCAGATCTTCCCCTTGATGATCAGTTAGTGACCAAGGTTGAAAAGAGATCTATGGGGAGCAAATTCTAATAAATTACTGACAGTCGATGTACATAACATACTATCCTGCCACACCGGCAAAGCCCTCTCATTAAACCAGCCTCAAATGCGGCCAAGAGTGAGTAGCACGGACCAGCACCATGGTTATTTGTGAGTAGGATAAAGCTAAGTCAGTTCCCAAACCGTTTCTTGCGTCTATACACCCTTAAAGCTAGATGACAGTGCTAATGGATCTTGGAGGTTATCTACTCTAGCTCTCCCACGGAAAAATTAGTGTTACTATGTGATTATAAGGCGTTTATTTATAATGCACCTGCTGGTATTATACTGATTTCAGCGCAAATGCTAGTGTTGGCTGGATTGTAAAAGAAAAGTGTTAGACATTGCACCGCGCCTTGATCTCAGACAGCCAAAGAAGACCTTGGGAGATGTATTCATGTCTACAATAGCAGTAGGGCTCATTGAACCACACCGGAATGCTGGTCTTGTAAAGCATATTTGATGTAGCCTGATATAGTTCCCGTGAGCATCCCCGAAAGCCCACACTTGGAAAAATAGATAAAGCACTAAGTCTTGCTATATAGCAGACATGGGCTGGGGTGATTGATACATGTTCTGGCCAAGCTCGCTGCTAATCCTAGCTCCAAGGCTTCGCATTTATGGACTGCATTATACCATGCGGGAGTGGTATGCCGATATAGTGACACTTTTATATCAGAGCTGGCGCTAGCTTAGCTTTTTTGTTGGAGAAAAATAAGCAGGAGGCAACCGTACATTGCCCCTGTGGGTACTAAGGGACCTCACGAGACTAGAGGTCGGTTCATTCTCGAGTAGTTTGACGCTACATTGGATGTATAGCCCAAGGTCTCTGGGCAACCTCGCTAAAGTTATAAGGCCATGGAACAAAGCCATGCTATCGCTAGACATGGGATATCATAACCTACAAACAAGACACTCTCTTCCAGCGACAACCACTCCCATGTCCTCAAGCTAATGAACATGGTGATCATGAAATGATTAGTCCCGCTACCGAGAGCGAGATACCATCATAAACAACAAGGCATAGTATGAGCACAGAACACAACTCCTACGCACATAACTCGTTCCGGGGCTACGTAGCATGCACAGGCTGGAACCATCAGGGCGTCGCTCATGCTTGGATTCGACATAGACAAGGCGATTCTGGACATTATGGAGGACAGGCACGGCACTCTGCCGCGCTGCTGATGGGGGTACGAGGCTGTAGTCCTCTCAGATTGCTACTGGCGAAAGATGGCTTAGGGGAGGTATACATGGCTGTCGAAGAAACACCACCTATACTTTAGTGCGTGGTCCGTTAAAACCATATAGTTTAGGACATACGAGACTCGAGACGACAATTTACTATGGTCTAGGGTACCGTGCTCTTCCAGTGAGTGGATAAGAGGAAAGAGCATGACAAGGAACGAGCATAAGCCACGATTAAACAAGAGTATAGACTTGCTAACTGGTCAATAAATGGTATCACAGCGAAGGTGTGAGCAGTACTTATATTCAAGCATAGCCCTAACTGGCCACTCCTTGACGGATGCGCAAGAACTCTAACTCTCAGCTGTGGCGAGCTCTTCAGGGGTATAAAGCACCATAATATAAAATATCATTCAAATATCTTTATATCAGGGCCAAAGCAGCGCTCTAGATGACCTACTATAACCCCCAACGCCACAACCCTCCCTTCCACATATCCTATCCTCGAGTACATAGGACAAAAGTAACCCACCCACGTGACACCAACGGCATGCTCCAACTGGCCCCTCAAAGCCCGCACCAAAGCGCTGACCAAACTCTCACCGAGCCAGTGAGATCCCCCATCATCAAGGCCACCGTGACTGTACTCCGTCTTCCAGTCATCCCGATCCGATTACCCCAATCAGACTCTATTCAAAGCGCACACGCCTCCCAGTTCAGCTGTTCAGCTTGTCTGGTCAACGGCGGGTATCCAATACTCTGTATCTGTCAAAGAGTTGCAACTTGCGATGGATGGGTGGGTGGTGTCTCGGTGTCTCAGACACAACACAGCCCGCGCTCGTATCGAGGTCGAGATGAGTCCAGAGCTCAGAGGCGACGCGTTTGTTTCGCCGGGCTCCGTCGCTGAGAATAGAAACATTAGGAGTTCAGTGCTCCGTACGGAGCACAGCGCTTTCGAACTTTGACGAACTTTGAAGAATCAGCCGTCATGATGAATCGACTGGTCGTGGGCTGTTATCAGTGGTGTCCTGTTAGAATCGATACAACCCTCGCCTCGCCTCATGGCCACTCCCACGCCCACGCCGTCGCCCATGCTCATCCACAGTGACAGTGACGGCAAAAGTCCCACAGATCCCTGTCGACAGTGGACACCCACGCCGCACCGAATCGCCGACCGCCGACCGACCGATTGCGCGATGGAATGATGGAACGTGCTACAGCTGTGTAGAAGGCTTCGAGAACATCGACATCCCGGTCGCGACGTCGCGTCTGATAACGGTGGGCGGGGCTCGCGCCTTGGAGGCCTTGGGACCAACGCAACGGGGATCCGCTTTTAATCTGGGTAAATGCGACTCTGGACTCAGATCCGTCCAGGATTGAGTCAGGGCTGGGCCGATGTTACATGGATAGATTATATCATATTGATTTTGATATTGGGGGTGAAATGAAATAGTAATATCGAATTGAAGTGAAATGAAGTGAAATGCATGGTTTGGTCAGCTGCTCACTGCCTCTCTGCCTGACTGATCAGTGATGACTGACGTGCTTCGATCTGCCTGGTCGCGATATGATGGCGAGAGCATGAGCGATGGAAGATCGCTATCTTGGATCGATCATCGAGTTGATACGTGGGGAGGCAGTCTGCAAGTGCTCAGGTGCAGTGGGGGATTCTTGTGACTCCGAGCGTGGTGGTGGTGGTGACCGGTGGCCGTCCGTGGACATTGGATGGAGGGGTAAAAATCAATAAGCGCGGCTACCTCTGCTGCCCCCGATAATCAAAACAAATCGAGAAATCATTCTTCTCCATCACACTGGGCTCCTGTCACACCATCTTCCAAGTTCTCGGTGACAAGATATCAACCTGCGGTGAAGAGATGCCTCGCTGGCAAGTCCTCCGACGTGGGTGGCTTACTCTCAAGGGTTATGGCTTCCACTTACGCGAGCTGGAATAAACAACCTGGGAGCCAAAACAAGATATTCCAGAAAAATAAAGATCAAGACCCTGTTGTTTCGAAAGCCACGTTATGCATGGTGTAGTCATTGCGCCATCGCTCGCTCTCGCTCTCGGAGCCCCGTATCGCGGACGAGTCTGGGCCTGGATTTTCGGGTCCCAAGTGGAAGCCGTTGACAGTGGACACCACCTTGGTGGGTTGTGTAGGGGTAGTTCTGTAGAAATCTGGAATCGAGGTAAATTTCCTCTTTGGGATATCATAAGCACTTCTGACTCACTTGAAATGCATCCTGTCAAGCGTCAACTCGAGTCCATGGGGCTCCAATAATGCCAGAGTCGCACTCACAGCCCTACCTACCCTCCTCATCCTGGCCAGTGAAGTGGGGTAAGCCATCTCCATGACAAGGTCGGTCGGTCGGCGATGGCAAGATTCGGCGACGCCCGAGCTGAGACGATGTTACGCTGAAGAATCTGTCGTGCTAACGCAGCGATGAAATCAACAGGTTGCCATCATGCCCTGTAATCGGTAATTGAGGCTCTACCCAAGCTCCCAAAGTCCTTAAGTCAAAGACTAACCAGGCCGGGTAATACCAGCCCAGCGCAGCACACCACCAAGTATATATCAGTCATGCTCACTGCATAGAAGATATATTTCTCCACGAACGGCCGCTGCTCCACGTTTTCCCGGGGATAAGGCTCGTAATGCGGTCATCATTATTCAGGTTTGACAGGTGATAGCGGGTTCGCAAGTCGCAAGTCGCAACACATGCGACGCTGTCCAATGCGATGCGCTGACTATGACACGCGACCAGATGACATGGTCTTCACATGTAAGCTTGAGATGGTGACAGAGCGCTGGCACGAGATGTGGCCAAACCTCAGCCGCGGATGTGCATAAACATGTGTAAGCCGAATAATGCATCTGCTGTATAAATTATGCCGGAGAGTTCAGCCCGCCCGACATCCTCCGAGGCACCGCAGCCCAAACACAAGCAAGACACGATCACGATCGCAGACTCGCGTAGTCATGTGCCCACCGCTAACACGCCGAGGAAGAACCGGGTGATTTCCGTCGGCAATAGACCGAAATAGTGCCAGGCGCCAATTCTGCACTGCCGATCATAGAGCCGGTGGCGAACGCGACGCGTCGTCCTAGCTCAGAGCTTGCAGAGGTACTGTCCGGGGTACTTTTCGACAGACGAAAAGAGAACGGAACTGGCGGTCGAAGACATTTGATCTCCGTGGCAGAGCCTAGAATCCTCTCCGATGTTTATCGTTTGCTGATCTTTAATGTTTGACCTGTGATGTTTGAATGAACTGAGAAAGCTGCGGAGACCCGAGAATTCTCGTTTCCGATGCGGAGGATATTTCCACTCTTTTTGAATTTCCCCATTTGGATGTTGCCTTGCTTCTGGCTTCACCGTCTCTTTTTCGCAAAAAGAGACGTTTCTGGGGAACCCCGGACAGGCGGAGTGCGGACGGAAGTTCTATGTCCGCCGGAAGAACTCCCGCTTTGCCGCCACCCACCAGTCAAATTGGAGAAGAGCAGAGGCGGGTTTCAATTGCCGGTCGCAAACTGTCCAACGCCAGCTGAGAGCTCCAAATCACCGTCACGGTCGGCTCAACTCGCCTCGGCTACTTAAATTTGCTCCAATCGAAGCCTCCAACTCGAGCTCAGCGACCGGCTCCATTGATCGATTACCCGTTTAGGTGTTTACGAAGAAAACGGAGGTGAAACTCTGGATCCGGGGGAATGCCCCATCATCCATGAAACCGGGGAAACCCTCCTGGAATACGGACGATGTTCCTGTCCTGAGTGGCGAGTCCAGACTCCTGACTCTCGCTGGATCGCTGCGCCTCGCGTTATGCCTCACTTTGGAAGAAATTCGCACCTCATCTCAAAGCGGAAACTGGAGTCTCCAAAAGTCCAAACCCCAGTTCAAACGCCGGAGAAGATCCGACGCTCTCCCCCCTCCCTTGCAACTCTGACCCAGGAAACCATTGCGGGGAGACGATTCCGCGGTGAGGAGTCAGATGTATCCAGCATCCTGTATCCTGTTTGATCCGTGCGTTTGGCATGCGATCGGATGAATTCGTTTTCTTCTTTAGGGAACAGACAGTATGTGGCGCTCTGGCGGTCGGGAGGATTCGTCATCTCATTCTCGCTCGGGATGTGGACGTCGCAGAAGAGGTATGTGGCGGGTAGCCCTGTAGCATCGTGCGTACTTGTGTAGACTCGGAACTTGGAAGGAGTGGCACTGTGTGCGAGTATCACGAGGAATCCGCTGTCGCTGTCGCTGTCGCTGTCTTTCTTTGGCGATCTACAGTACAGTATTCAGTCGCATCGACGTCGCCGTCACACCGGAAGGATAGCACGCGATACGCGCAACAGACTCTGTTTGTGATGGTGTAACCCGGTACAGGTACGACCCGAAGAGAACTCGAAAATCAGGGTCTTTGCCATGCCATGCTGTGCCATGCGAACATCTCCGGAGCTTGTCCTCTGTGTTAGCTCCTCGAAACATCGAGCATAGGAGCACGAACAAAAGAACCGAATCGATCGATCGCCCTTGAGAATGGACAATGTGGCTGGAGCTGGAGCTGGAAAACTCTCAACTCGAAGCACCGAGTCTGCAGTGTGCACCTCAACCCCCATATTCCACGGACAAAATCGTCCACTGTACATAGATACATACAGCAAAGTAGATATGGAGATGATCGCCATGATTCACACAACACCCCTCGCTGAAGATGGGGAAGCAGGGATTGTGACCTCGGGGATCAAAGCTCCCCCAGACCCCACTCGCCTCGCATGACGATTTCCTCTTCCATGGTTCTGCAGCTGCTCGTTCCAAGGTTCCGCGCAGCCCTTTTCCCGGGGAACCCCTTCATTGTTTCGATCAAGGACAAAAACAAAGTTGGAAGTCCAAAGCCCTTGTTTGGACTTTGGAGATCCGAGTCATAGGTGAGCCTCGAGTCGAGATTGGGCCTGCCTCGAGGGCTGGATCTTTGATCCGTACGATTGATCTGCGTCGCTTTGATACAACTGGGACTTAGATACCTCACTAGCTAGCGATCATCAGCAAGAAGCAAAAAGAGCATCGAGATTGTGACAGCGCAAAAAAGCGCGGCTCATCACCGGATATTGAGTCCGCGACCACTCGACGTCCACAGCGTCCAGCGTAGCAACACCGCTTACACAATATATATGTATCTTTGTAGTCACCGCCCCCAGAATCACAGACCGACCATCCATCCCACGACAATGTCTCCTCCATTCCCTGCTTTGAAGATTCACCGTGCAAGGACGCGCCACAAAGCCACTCGCCAAAGGGATGATAGTGATGCACGTACTTATTCTTCTGATCTCACACAGACACCGCCCATAGCACAGTCCTCGAGCCTCGCTCGAGACCCCTCCACAAATAATCATATGCAATTGTGGATAAGGTCTAATGCTGAAGAAGTGGCGGCGCCGGCTTGGTGGTCTGTGTACCCGCGAGCTGCAGCTAAGCTAAGCTGCGCTGGAGTTGAGCTGGAGCTCAAGCTTGGTTGGGACTTGGAATCCAGGATCGAGAACTGCAGAATGGGAATGGGGAATAATAGGGAATGGTACATCCGATCGATCGATCGAGCCAGTGGTATGTACATATGTACACTACCCCGTACATATGGGGTCCTATGCAGGTAGCTGAATTAGGTATTGAGCTTTGAACTCCAGCCTCTGAGCTCTGAGCGTGAAGGAAGTTACCTGTCGCATATCGTCATTTGGAATGCTGGAAAGTCCTGGAATGTACCGCGACGCGATCGAAGGGTGCGCCTCATGTATGCATGGTACTTTGCGGCCGTGGGGGTGAGTTATCGAGGGGTGAAAAGGGGAGGTTCCTTGGATATGTCGCATACATAGAAAGTACTCAAGGAGTATGTAGCTCACGGACCTTCAAAGGCAAGGTGAATGTGAGGGAGCCTCAGGAGGTGCTTTGGTGGTTGGTGCGGAGAATTATGCAGAGGGGTCATTAGTAACGCAGTATATTGCATTGAATTCTTCAGCATTGCCATGGTTTTGATGCATGCATGAGATATGTGCATCACCTGGACTGTCGGAGTATCTTTAATTTCTACACCGTAGAATCATAGCACGCGATTGGATGGCTATCTTGCGCAATCGACGAGACACCGAGACAGTTGAGACCTCAGCAGACCTCAAGCTCAAGCTCAAGCGGCGACTCAGCTATCTGATTCAGATCCAGTCCAGTCCAGTTGGGCCCTTGAGCCCTGCAGCCCAACCTGCAGAATGATGAATCCCCCCTGATAAGTGTACCTGATTTCTGGTACGGATCAGAGTTCCTTCCGCGGACCCAAAGTTCGAGGAGCTCTCCACATGAGCTCCGAAGCTAGGTATCTGACCAGCCTCTATGGTTCTTTTTCCACTTCTTCACAAGCTCAGTCAATAATCATCCACCGATCATCGGGCACATGCACCGACGGGCCGTCACGCGGCCCAAAGTCCGCTGCCCCAGCACTATGGAATAATCAATCCATAAGTACGAACGAATCCATCGCAAAATCCACACATCTCATCCGATAACAGATAACGATAGACAAGAAATGATAGATCTCCTTTGCAGCTGCAGCTCAGACGAGGACTAGCCGCTCGCGTTCCCAGGGGATTGGAAAAAAGTGGATTCATCAGAACCGAAAAAGGGGTTGTTCCGCCACCCCCGGCCACCCTACTAACCTCCAAGGGGCAATAACTGGGGCTTCGGGCTGCAGCCAATCCCCACTGCAACCCGACGATGGGGAACGCGGTTGGTGCGAATTTCGTTCCTCCCGCTCATTCCGCGGGCGTTCCCGTTCGTCGTGGGGAATTTACCTGGTCTTATTGGATGGCGTGACTGACCAGTCCAATCACGGATTCCGGGTTGTGGGATCTGAGTGGGTAAACAGGACGCGTCGTCCCGAGGGTTCTGGGACTTTGGTTGGGTTGGACTTTTTTGAGGGGAAGTACTTAGGACTACGAGGGTCATGATTTCTCCGAAGGTCCAAGGAAGAGGACAAAGGATGAGATGGCGCGGACCGGTCCTCTGGATTTGTGGACACTCGACAAATGATTTGAATGAGCTCCGGAGCTCCAGCGCGGATGGTGAATAGACATGGCGTGCCCCTTGGGCAACGATTCATCTCGACGAGCCGTTGACACTCGAGCAGTCGCCGACTCCTCGGCTCTGAGTCTCAGCCCCTCAGTCTGGAGTCTCACACAGTTGCACTGCCCAAAAGGGGGTGGTGGGGGAATCCGAGGCAGCGGTTCGATCGTCAAGATGAAAAAGGGAAAAAGCAAAACACTGCGAGTCTGCGACGGGGAAAAGAAGCAGTCCCGCGAGTGGCGCCGAAGCCGTTTGTATTGGACTTGAGCTCTCTGTGACAACCATTGCCATAGAACTATTGGGCGCTACCACTGTCATTTGACCATGTTTTGAGTCTTTGAGGACTCTGATCTGCTTGTAGATGCTTGAAGTCTTTTTCCTTTTGAGGAAATACTTGTTGCACCCGCGGTGGAGTTTTTAATGCTTTGCCGCGTGTGGCTCTGGATTTACTACTGTGGTGGATGTAGTGGATGCCATTGGGCAGCGAGCTGTCTTCAACATTTTGTACCTGCTTTGTCTCGCTCACCAGTCTCGAAATTGAGATGACAGGGACCACATTTTCGGTACAGAGTACGGATTGGGGGTGTTGCATTCGATTCAAGATAGCCGTACATGCAGCTGCGGAAGCAGGGGTAGTCTAAAAAGTTCCATCCGATCGGAAATCCATGGCTGACAGGAGGAGCGGACACTGAATGACGAATGTGACTGTCACAACTCACGACTCGCGACTCATTTCCGAGGCAGCAGGTTTCGCATCCTTCTCTTTGTTCGACAAACCCTGTCCTTTTGTTTCGAGCGACCGTTGACGGACCCCTGTCAGAGGAAGAACCTCGGCTCAGGGGCAGCTCTCCCATCCAGCCGGGTTGCGGGCGGAGGATCCAAACTTCAAAGAACTTCTCGTGGTGCAATCCGCCGAGTACCGAGCTGGAGCCGGAGTTTTCCCGCAAATTTAGCCAAATGAACTCATCATCATGGGCTCGACTCGAGCCGACTCGAATCCTGAAGGACCAAGGAGGAAATTCCATCCACCGACCGGCGAAAACCCGCACATCCGCGAGAGTCGACGACTCGTTTCTCTCATCTGGGTCACGGGCGGAGACGGTTGGAGTACGGGAGAATTTCCGGTGGGAGGCCGTTGGAAAATTAGTCTGTCGAATTTATGAAGGATCGTTGCGACTCCTTGCTCGTTTTGGTGGAGGGCGAGCCGGTTAATTACTGAGTCGGTGCTAGCCAGGTTGGTGCGACGACCAGTTGCGAGCTAGAAGGACTAGAACGCTTTCTTTGTCTTCTAAAGGCATTTCGGAGCGCAGTTTGGCGGAGCTGCGGCAGTTCGAATGCGACCGGGGTTGTCGGGGTTGTTGCCGTGGTTGACCCGTGGTTCAGGTTCGATCAATCTGGGTCAAATCGTGGGGTGAACCTATACAGACTGTTGATATTCAGAGTCGACACAGACACTCAGACTCGAGACGTCAGAAGAAGAAAACATCCATCACAATCAGATTAAGAGCCGAAACCCCGCGGGTACCGCGCTGGAGACGGAGCCTCCCGTAATCTTTGCGAGAATAGTCGCGAGTCGCGACCGAAACTCGCTCTGGTCCTGTGAAAATCCCACGAGAACGATCGGATATTTGCTTTTGGACATAAAGTACGGGGATCGTCTTGACTTTTGGCGGTCACTGAAACAGTCACACTCTGAGAACACGAAGAATACACCGAATGTCGCAGCTCTCAAACTCGCGGGCTTGTGTTTCTCGGTGTCTGGGTGTTTGCTGACCGCCAGACGCAGACAGTCGCTGCTGGGGATGGATGGGTTGGACAGCGTCAGAGGGCCTGAACCCTTATCTCAGTTGCATCTGGAATTCTCGCCAGGGTTCGAGCTGTAGGAGGATTATAATACATGCAGCCAACCTCGCACATCCGGCCGCAATCACGTAACGCGATTGCTTCGGAGCAGAGCTATACAACCAGCGGTGAGAAGACGCATTACAAGTCCAACCAACATGAAGCAGTTTGAGCGGTTGCGTTGGGTACAGGCAGGCTCCAAGCAGACAGCAAGCAGACAACAGAGCAGACCGACTTAAGCCACAGTTTTCATCTTCTCAACCTCGCGTAAACATTGATGAGACTCGGATTGCGAGAGCCAGATGATGAATGCTGAGACAGTTCAGTCAGACGGCTATTTCGATTTACTCAGCATCTGGGGAAGTGAATGTTCCGGGTTATTCAGCTTAAAGCGGATAATATTATTTGAAGAAAAATGAATTTATTTTATTTTATTTCTCCCCACGACCGCGACCCCAAATTCCATCCGATCTTCCCCGGCCCGCGGACCGACATGTAAATACTGTACAAAGAACTCGGCGCAAAGGAAACTGAAAGCGCTGCTCTTCAAAAACGATAGATCCGCGCCTCGCGACCGTTCAACTCTTTGAGACCTCTTGTACCTTTGACAGTATTTGCCTGGTTGGGTATCGATCTATCAATCAATCCGTCGGGTGGCTGCTCCTGTATCGCTGGACAGATCACTTTTTCTTGAATCTTCGCTCTGGCCCCAAGTCCGGCCAGACAAACACCAAATAATCCATTCTAATAATCCATCAGGACTGCATGTATCGTACAGCTGCCGGAACGCCTTCCGCCTGATCGCCGCGCTTGACTCGCAGATTGTCAGAGTCGCCAGTGGACGCCTCATTCGCCAGCATCATTTTCCAGGCTCTGGCATTTGGGGTCTTTTTTCCCTTTCGGTGGGGCCCCGATTTATTTTCTTTGATTTTTTTTTGTTTAATTCTTTTTGATTTATTTTTTTTATTTATTTTCGGGAAAATCCAAAATAAAAAGAAAATAAAAATACTCCCCCCGCGGCGCCTTATCTGCTTGGGACATGCAAGGGAGTCCAGAACCCCCGATCGATCTGGCCCTTTCCCTTTCACCTCCAAATCCTTATATATCCCATTCATCGCGCTCTCCGCCGTTTCTTGGTTCTGGTTCTCCTTGACACACACACACCATTCACCACACAGGCCTTTATTCAGGCTTCACCGGCTACTATATCAACACGACCACGTCGCCTTGTCAACCATCCAACTCACCATCACCACCCTCACCACCTGTTTACATCACCCACACATCACCGCCAGAATGGTCTACCCATTCCAGCCTTGGTCAAGAGACCAGTCGAGCGTCCGCTCCTCGCTCAGCGAGGCCAGCTCCAGCAATCACCATGCATACTACGATCTCAGCTACAGCACATACTCGCCCATGTCGAGCATGCCTCCGCCGCCGCCGCCACCGTCTCTCAACGACGACCTACTCGACATCAACCCGCGAAAGTGCTCCTTCTCATCCAACTCCATGAACAACGCCTGTGCATTCCCCTCATGGCCCAACCGCCCGTCTCTCATCAGCGCCTCCTCCGAGGGATCCTCAGCCAGCGCCTACCTTTCCGATGAGGACCTGTTCCCCGATGGCCCCATCACCCCAGAGCCGGTTGACGAGGAGTCGGCAGCCCACGACCCGCGCATGGGCTCGACCAGCCTGACCACCGAGCAGCAGATCCAGCTCCTCCGAGCCGCAGCTGAAGAGGAGGCCCAGCGCGCGCGCTTCCTCGCGCAGGTGCAAGCACATGCCAAAGCCCAGCAGGCCATCCGCGTTGCTCAACTTGCAGCCACCGAGAAGGAGTCGAGCAAGCGCACCAAGAAGCGCAAGCCGATCGTGGCTGAGAAGAAGCGTCGCACCACCTCCCACTCCAAGACCGTCGTCTACCGCGCGTAGATGGCTATTATTCCTTTTGTGTCTCCCCCTCATCACTTTTTGGTACTTGAGTACCCCCACGCCTCTTCAGACCCCCGCGCCGGCCGCAAGAATAGGGCTGTCCCCGAAACGATCACCGTCCATCGCCATCGCCTCACAGCGCCCCAGCATCACACGGGCGCACTGACGGCCTGACAGGCTTCAGCGACCCTGTCCCTGCGAGGCTGAGCACACGTGCACAGCGCACAACTGCACCACGGAGCTCCGGGGCCGGAATTCCCCAAAGCGACACGCTCACGCGGGGCCTGTGACTGTGATTTGGTGCCCGACCGGGATCAGCGCTTACATAATTTCTGCGTCGCAGCCGGCGCGTCTGCAGAAATTCCAGACACCTCGACACCTGATCACTCGCTTCCACCCTATCATCGCGCCTTTCTTCACCGCCAGATCTCGTCGTCGCTCTCGCTCTCCGACTCTTTCACCCACACTGCACCACATTGCGTGTGATAATCTTGCTTTTCGATTCTTTTTCGATTCTTATTGTCTAATTCCTGATCTGATCTTCCGGTCCGGCTCGATTTGATCTTCGCTTCTTCGTGTCGTCGTCAGTCTCCGAGAGCATGACTCACACCTCTTCTTCTTCTTACTACACTTACCTTTTACTCTATCTTTCTCTTGATACTTCCATTTCGGGAAATTGCGTCCTGTTTCCAATCATCCGTTTCTAGCGCAGCGCTCATCATTATTCATCATGTTCGATACCCCGTCTTGTACTCGTCCGTCCGATTTTCGCTTCATACCCCGAGCGTGGCCACAGCAGCTCATCATTATTATTCGTGTTGCATTTCGTCTTTATTTTTTATTTTTTTCCTAGCATAGCCCAGCGTCAATACCCGGATAAGCGATTTATCCCGACTCTTCTTCCAGACATACATAGTATTAGCATAGCATTTAGGTAGATACCCACAACCGATCGCATCGCATCGGAATCTGAATACGAGAGATGATTAATATCATACATACTTGTTTCCCATCCATAGACTCATACACATAATCTGGTCCTTATTCGTTCTCTCTCATCGTCTTTCCATTCGTGCGATAACTCCAAGACATAGTAGAGACGTGGTAAGAATGCCAGTTGTCCATCACTAGCTACAGAGTATGGTCAAGTGATACATCCCGATCACGATCAGGCGAGACAGAGCAGAGCAGAGCAACAGCAACAGCAACCATTCAAGCCGACTCCCTCTCAGCTCAGCCTGGGCCTGACTCCGGAGTCTGACTGACTGCGACTGCCCCAAACTCGGCTCTGGTCATACTCTGGGGCGCGGCCGAACGCGGACGCGGAGGCGGAGCGAGGCGAAGCGAAGCGAGGCGCCCGCCTGTCAGTCAGTCAGTCAGTCACTTGCCACTTGTCAACTTGTCAGTCCTGCCGTTGCTGTTCCTTTTGGTTCCCGTCACTCAGTTCGTTGTCAGTCACTACCACTAAAGGAGTTTCTTTGGTCTTGAGGCTCGTCTCGAGATGATGCCTAACGAGTGTTTGTTGGATCGTAACCTATCGTGTCACTCACTAACTACAAACCAATTAATCCGTCGCTACCTATCTACCTAACCCATAGATATGACAGTACTCCGTACTATTGACACCGACACCGACTGGGGTGACGTGACAGAGACTGAAATCACTTGGATGGGTAACATCTTTCCCCCAATAACAGCCGGTATATACGCGACAATGGCCTAGCCTAGGGTATCTAGCAGCCTCAAGCTTGAGTTTTGAGATTGGTGTACTATTGCGGTTTAGTCGAGGGGGACACTGAACTTTGGATCTGGAACGGTCGTGTCAAACTCAAAATTATATCCACACTGAAAGGGGCACTAACACTCGTACCCGGCGTCCAGAGGCCGGTTGGTGGCTTATGGCTTATGGACTCGAACAAAGGACTGAGGGGCGACGCCAACCACCGCCAACATCGATCATCATTGTCATTGATCAGATCAAATGGCAGATCACATCATGTACGCCCGTTGTTTCTTTGATCTTCAACTTGGGCTGCGGCGCTGCGGCTTAATATTAGGATTGACGAGGCGCGAGGTAGATCCTTCTGGCTTCGTTCTTTGATAATGAAGTTGATGAACGTTGTCGGTTTGAGTCTCTGATAGATGACTTGATCGACTTGTGCAGTTGATATTTGAGTTGAGGCGGCGAGACGGACAACGGACAATATACAAAGTACGGAACCCCTTCTTCTGTCCTGTCTCTTGTCTAAGATTCCCGTTTCGAGAAACAGAAAGAAGCGCATGATGAAAGACGAACGAGAGAAAGAAAGAAAGAAAGCCACCACTCTAACCACCCCCTCCAGTCCAGCCAACGGAGTCGAAACGGTAAATCTTTACAACCCCCTCTCCAACAACATCCCCACCTCTTTGACCAGCGCCCCCGAACTCTTCTCTACACCCTCAACACCAGCCTTCCCCTGCACAACCTCTTTCACACCCAGCGCACGACAAAGATCCAGGACCGCCCCGTCACTCGGCGCCTCGTACACAAGCAGGCCCAGCGCAAAGAGCAGCCCGTGCAGGGCCTCGGCGCTCGCTGACTCCTGGTTGATTGCTTCGGCCACCGAGGCTGTTAGCTCGACCTGTTCTTCTTCCGTGAGGGGCTCCGTGCCCGACCCGTCGAAGCGCGCGTTGTGGTTTAGGGCGGAGAGGTTGTATGCTAGTGAGGCGGCGACGACGCGCAGGTTGTTGTGCGTGTCTAGGAGGGATGGGGGTAGGAGGTGGAGGAGGGCTTTGAGGAGGGTGCTGCCGTTTGAGGAGAGGTGTTCTGTGTAGAGTGGTGTGCTGAAAAGGTTGCAGGCGAGTTGGAGGGTGACGATGCGGAGGTTGTAAGGGAGGGTTGTGTCGCCGTTGGATTCTGGTGTAAGAAGGGTGAGGAGGGATTTGTGAGTGCGGTCTTCGGCAAAGTAGCTGGCGACTCGAGGATCGATGAAGAGGAGGCGCGCCAGGTCGACGAGGGCAAAGCGATTCTCGAGTGGGATGGAGTGGTAGGTTTGTTCAAGGTAGGATGGGAAGGCGGGTAGTTCCTTGGGTAACGGTATGTCGGCAGCAACCTTGGAGTCGCTGCGACGCTTGATAAAGTCGATTATCGCGAGGAGGATAGCATCCTTATCATGCGGCTGGAGCTTCTGGACGAGCTTCTCCAAGGGAGGGGTCTTCTTGTACATGACGTAGTTGGTGAGGGTGCGCTGGAAGCTGGGGAGGTTCAGCTGGCGGTGCGGGTGCGTGGGATGGGCCATGTCGACGAGTAGTCGGACGTTTCCTCGTAGTTTTCCGGCGTCCGCGCCGCTCCACTGATCGAGCTTCTCGCCCCGTAGGAACGTCATGAACGTCGGCGTTGATCTAATTCTGTAGCGCATCCCTACGTCGCGGGCGATGCTGACATCGACTTTGATAAGGACGGCCCTAGGACCAGCCTCTTGCGCGAGCTCATCATACAGCGGATACATCATCTTGCAAGGCGGACACGTCGCCGATGTAAAGAAGATGACCGCACACGACTTTGCTGCCAAGGACATGCGTGCGTCGAGCTCGCTCAGGCTGGTCACTATATGGACCTTGTTCTGAGGAGGCTGAACGGCGGGCCGTACGGCAGACGGCTGTGTCAGTCCAGGGCCTGGGGCTTGTGTCACGCCACGCAAGGCACCCTCAATCTGGGGCTTCAACATCTGGCCAAAAGGCGTGTTGAGAAACGTCTGGGGTAGGTTCCGGATATGCTCCGGGATACTCTTTCCGAGCAGGAACATGGCGAGGTCCTGGGTGAAGTTGTTGCAGTTGTGCAGGAAGAGGTCGTAGGACTATACCGTTAGCTTGCTGACATTGCTCAATAACACAGGATCGTACCTCTGGCGTATAGATCGAGTTAAGCGACTGCAGATACTCCTCTATCACTTCGAATGGCAACTCGGTCTTCCCCATATGGATCTTCTCCATAGGCTGCCCATGATGTGTACTGCCAGGCCGGGCTGTCTGAATGCCTTGTCCAAAGTAGTATTCGACATTGTTGAACACTAGAGATGTGTGGTAGACGGCGTCCATCTGCGTGCCCGTCAAGGCCAGCGAGTACTACTACAGTTAGATGTGCCATCTCATTGATTGATTGCACATACCATCCGAGCCAGTCCCTGTACATAGGTTAGCAACAGCACATATGGGCTTATTAGCATAGACCACCCACCTGGGACAGGTCGTAAACATAAAGCTCCACATCCATTTTGAGGATACAGACGGGTCGTTGATAAGTTGGAAATCACAACAAATGCAATATCCAGCGCTCAGAATTCGGAACCAAATGACTGGGGAAAGGCACTGCAGGATAATGTTATTCGCCTTATAAGCGTTGTATCTGAAAAGTTCAGATGCGGCGATTTCACAAGGTAGACACAGCGACGCAAGCATAAAGTTACGTCAGCAATCACGAGGCTCAACGGAGCTTCCGTCATCTTCGACGAGATGCGACGAAACACAACAGGGTCAGATATCCAGTATACTCTATCAGCTACGACTCCTGCACCGTGATGGCATCCTAGAGCTCACAATAGCTGGAAAGCTCTCAACCTAGCCCAATGGGCGGCGCCCCGCCTCTCTTTGACCACCTGCACTTTCTTTGAGTCAATCGCAAACCACCAGCCTCCTCACACAGAGCATACAGCCATGGTAAGCTCAAACATCTACCCTCAGACGAATCGCACTCTGCGCCTCAATCCAAAAGCTAATGCATCATGCCCGCACAGCCTCCCAAGAAGCGCTCCGCGCCGAGCGCATCCTCCCCCGTACCGAAGAAAGCGCGACAATCCAAGCTCGCAAAGGAAAACGACATCTCGGGCGAAGAGGAGAAAGAGATAAAGGAGGTGTTCCACATCTTCTCCGAGCCGAATGAGGAGTTTCCGAAGGAGAAGGAGGGCGTTATTGAGAGGGAGGATGTGCGGAAGGCTCTTGTGTATGTCCTCCGATCTGAAGGTCCCCGGTCGTTTCGCCTGGAGGCTTTCAGCGACCGTGGATCGTGGTTAACATGCCTCAAACCTTTAGAGCACTCGGTCTGGCGCCAACTGACTCGAAAGAACTCCAATCCATCCTCTCCGCCGTCGACCCAACGGGGACCGGCTACGTCCCCTACGCACCGTTTCTAGCCGTCGCAGCCGCGAAGCTCCGATCACGAACCGACGAGGCCATGTCCGCGGAAGTCGATGCTGCGTTCCAGCTGTTCACACGGGGTACGGACGGTCCGATCACGTTAGGACACTTGAGGCGCATTGCGCGCGAGTTGAAGGAGGATAGTGTTGGGGATGCCTTGCTGAAGGATATGATCTTGGAGGCGAACGGGGGTGGGAGTATTGAGGCCGGTGTCACGTTGGAGCAGTTTCATGAGATTATGCTGAGGGCTGGTGTTTTTTGAGCTTGTATGGCTTGCACTGGGTTGTAGGTTCGGGCACGGGACGAACCCTATCGGCGTTGTTGGACTGGTTGATTGGCGTTGATATTTGGTTACTATGCTACAGGTACACTTGGGCAAAAGCGTTGAGATCAATGTCTTAGTAAGATATAGACGGATGCTATCTCCATGCGTCTAATAGTTGTGGTATTGATGCAGCAATTCCAGGTAAAGGTACATTCAAAAAGTATAGGCACGAACCAACACCAAGAACGCCTAATAATGCTATGTTCGGGTATCATAAGTTCACGCAGCAAGGATGCCGATGCAAAAGACGAGAAGGAAGATCTAAGACTGGGGCAGTGGGCTAATCGACATCTAAAGCCTTGCCGTTAGTCGGATCAGCTCCTTCGGCTGATACGCTCGTCGCGCGGGACGTGTCTGAAGCGGTTGACCGATCGGTCGTCGTCGATGTGATGGAGGACATGTCTTCCGGAGATGTGGTGTTGGAGTTAGACACTGGGTTGTCAATGCCGTTCGACTCAGAATCCAGGCTTCTAGGGCTGGGCGCCACTGCTTCGTAAAACAGCATGAATGCTCCTCCCTGCGAAAAGACATTCTCCTCGCTGACCATCTGTACGTCCTCGTCACTCAATCTGTACCACCGCTCGGACTTCTCCTTCTCACCGTCCGCTTCCAAAACTGCTTCTGGAACCTCAGCCGGGAAGGTGTCGACGGGATACTTCCTGTAGCATATATAATGTCCGTTCTCGTGACGGCCATAGTGTGTGACTACTGCACGCAGTTCATACCGGCGGCCGAACGTATCCCTCGCTGCGCCTGGCGGGGGGAGCATCGACACTCGGGGGTCAGTGCCCCAATTTTCAACCTTTTGCTCGACAGTATCCCGATAGCTGCCGCCGAGACACCACTCGCTAAGATCGAGATCCTTGGGAAACTTGACCGCCGCGTAGTTCTTCCTCAACATACCGGTGTGCTCATCAAAGACGCTGCGATTGATGTGAATGACCAAGCAGCTGGGGGCTCTTGCAATGACGGCTTGCCGCGACTTTGTCGTGGTAACTCTACTCTTCGAAGGAATGTGGCACTTTTTCGACAGGGTCTTCTCCGCAAAATCTGTATCCTCCAACGCTTCCTCGACAGCTCGAAGTCGTTCCTCGGCTGACGTCCTCAGAGCGTCCGAGATGTTTGATGAATCGGCTGTCTCTGAAAGTTTTTTATCAGCTGGAATTTGTTGCAGGATATTGCGCAGTTGAGTCTGGACCCGCAAAAGTGTGCACTTTGCACATTCCACGCCTTCAATCGGCTCGAGATTCATATAATGGTCCAAGCAATCGCGAACGTCGTATTCATAACTCGTCCCAAGAGGCACCGTCAAGCAGTTAAACGGAATCAGCGACAGACCCTCAGTCCATCCACATTGCATACAGCCCACCCTCTGTGCAAGAAGACCTTCCAAGGGATTGCGAAACAATTGATTTTCCGGTTGTCGCCCATCAACAGCCCCATCAAGGGACGATTGCTGCACCGAGGTAGCTCCAATAACATGTTCCTGCGGTCCCGCCATTTTCAGCCCAAGGTTTCGTGTCTGTCGCCTTGTACCTTGCTGCACTTCATGATCAATCTGATCTATCACCTTTGAAAAATATTCCTGCGCATCCTGCTGCTGCCAACTGCTCATCGATTTCAAGTCCGGCGGCGTCCATAGCCGTTGTCCATGGTTCTCTGCGCTGTTCAGTCGTTCGATAATCCCTTTGAGCGCTTCGTGAGTCGAGAGCGAGACTTTCGCGCTGAGTTGGCCGATGTTCCGGTCAAGAAAATCCGCAAACGAATGTAGCGATGCTAGACCCTGTATGATACTGTTCTGATAGCACGAGTTATCCCAGTTCCCGAGTCCTGGCGGTACAGTACCCCTACTCCCTAGAAGGGCGTTTCCGAAGCCAGAAAGCGACCGGGCGCGAGGAAAGAACGAGGACAGTGAGGTATTTTCTAGCCCAAGAATTCGTTGCATCGCCTCGCTTTTCGCTTGAAATGTCATCGAGTCGGCTCCGTCCTGTTTTATCCCCTTCGAATCCAGAGCAGCCACTACTCGAGAGGGCGTCAGGTACACGAGAATGTCCCACACTGCGCGAACGATCGGCGCCGACACGGAACGAAACTGGTTAAGGAGGAGAAGAACGGATATAGCTGCGACGAGAATATAAGTCAAGGTCTTATTGTCCTGCAGTTGCTGCCAAAAGGTGTCATTCTGGATTTGTGATCTCGCAGGGCGATAGGGACTCTGAGTGAGGAAATCAATCCCCTCTCTGCGAGCATTCATGGCTGACGATGGAAAATGAGACACGGCATAGAGACAGCGTTGCTAGAAGCATGGACAGCTGTGGGATGACAGAGGGAAAAAGTGCTCTCTATAAAGGAAGAGGCAACTTTGACCTGCATGCAGATCGGCTGCATGAAAGCCGCCCCGGTTGCGCTTTGGGTACTTGCCGCCAACCGGAACGAGCTTTTATCGATAGCGGCAGTCTCCACAAAAATATTCTACGAAAAACATCCTCGAAGCCAACACAGGCCAGAACATCAGATATGGCTAAAGCGAAGCGTAAGTCGCTCATTCTAATCCTTATTGAGGGTATACAGGGTCGCAATACATATGCTAACTTGAATTGCCGTCCAGCTCAGTCCAAACACTCCCGGGCTGCCAGGCGGGCAGCCTCACCGAGTGTTGACCTCGACAAGTCTCTGGCCTCCCTTCCCCGTGCCGAGAAGACCGAATTGCACCGCGAGTCCATCCTGTCCGACCGTGCTAATGCCGGTGTGTCGAAGAAGCAGTCAAAACCGAAGGCTAAGTCAAGAGCGCAGCGTCTAAGACAGCAGAAGGGTATGGAGAGAGCAGAGGCTGTTCTTGACCAGAAGGAGATCAAGTTGGCGAAGAGTAACAACCGAGCGAAGGTAGTGAAGAATCGAAGGGTATGGCTGATCTTCTCCAGAGTCCTAATTCGCAAGCTAATATATGTGGTATAGGCTGACTGGAGCGACCTTAACGGCAAAGCCGCCAAGTTTGACCTCCTAGCCTCCGTGGAGAACAACGACGATGATGATGCTATGGTCGATGCCTCCGCCGCTCCCGTAAAGAGCAAACGGGAAACGCCCTCCACACATGTGACCCAGACTCCCGTAGTCGATGAACATGCGCCAATCGACGAGGACGATGAGATCACCTGAACACGGATACCAGGCCCTGGGAAACGAGTGACGAACGGCGTGACTACTTCTTTGGCCGAAGCTGATTGATCATCCGACCAATCTCGACAGCCGCACCACCGGAAGCCTTGCCTTGGAGAAGCTCGAGGGCATTGAGATCTTTCGCCTTGAAGGCCTCCTCTCCAGCCTTGACGATAAGTCCGCATTTTACCCACATTTCAATCCTCTCCTCAGAAGTCAGGTTGGTGCATTTCGGAACGAATACCGAGGCCAGCTTTGTGTTTCCGGCGCCCAAAATCTCGTTATAGAAAGGCTTCACGTTTACTGTTAGCATATATAATGATACCACGATATGAATACCTCAATGGTGTACTCACCTCCCATCCTATTGGAGATTTCCTAGCCTTGCCGAGATCCTCCAACTCACCCCAGTCCCGCTTGGCCACTAAAGCTCTTAATCTCAGCCACCAATATGTTCGCTCCGGCATTTTAAAGTCACTCTGGATCTTCTGTGCACGCTTGCCGTAGCCTGATCTGACTAGTCTGTAGATTGTCTCATTCAGACTTAGGCCGACGTATTCGGATCGTTCGGCCAGGTCTTTATCCAACGCCTCTTGGACCTTTAGTAGTTGCGATGACTCCACCAGAAGCTTTTGATGGAGTACAAGCGTTGGATCTTTGGAATCTGCGAGCAGCCGAGAGGCTAGCTGTAGCTTCTCCTGCTTGCGCGGCAAATCCGCTTCCCGCAAAGCTTCTGAAAGTAGTACGTTGGAGCCATCGAGGGGCCTGTCGTCTTGATAGAAGAGGTCCTTGAGCAGCTCAGTGTCAGCTGTGCGAGCGGTTGTTTCCACAAGTGCCGATGCCATCGGACGCGTGTTTATCATCCTAAAGAAGCTCGCAAGCGGGAGTTTGCTTTTCAGTTGCATAAGCACGTAGTTGACTAGGTCGTCATCTCCACTCTGAATAGCCTTGTCCAGGGCAATCTCATCCTCCTCCATATTAAGCAGCAACGGAACCTGTTTCCCGGCCCGCGGTTCGTGGTTCAAAAGTTGCGTTGCAAGATGTGAGCGGCCCTCGTCATAGGCCGCCTGCGCGATCACCTCAAAGGATATACCCGGCTTTCCATCCAGCCTTTGCACAATCAGCTTGCAGACTGCTTCATCGTCGACGGTGGAAACCTTGACTTTCTGACTCGCCCAGTGGACGTAGATCTTATCCGCGGGCAGTTGGAGGTACTCGGAGATTCGGATTGCAAGCAGGTACTCACGCCTGCTCACTAGCCGTTCGACTAGCTTTTCCGGAGTCAAGCGCATGTACTGCTCATGTGAGACCGGGAGACCTATTTGAAAGTCTCGTACAGCGTGCAAGACCCGCAGTTTCTCTGTCATCTCGACAAACTCATCGCTGTTATACAGGTCCAAGACTGACTTTCCAAAAGAGGCTGCTTTTAGGAGCCGCTTTTGCCAATGGGCATCAAACTCCATTCCGGCAGCCTTGACACATGTATCCACGGCTTCTGGTAGGCTCGCCTTGATTCGCTGGATATTGTCGTCAGCCTTGGGAGACTTTTTGTCTAGGAGATCGATGGAGTCCAGAAGGACAGATGCCGGTGATGTAGATCCAAGGCGGAAAATAGCTTCGGTTACGTCTTCTCAAATAAGCATTGGAAAAACACAGAAGCAGACCCGATGTCTTACCTGAAACCTTATGCAGGAACTCATATGTATCATTTGTGATTAACCCGACACCGTCGAATTCCGGCAAAACATGAACAGCACCGTCATAATAGTACCTATTCAAGTTAGAAATCATACTGTAGGTTTGATGGCGCAGCCTACCTTGCAGCCGCACCGTTCGGCCCAATAAGATGAACTTCATCCTCCCAGGCGATAACAACCGCATCATCACCACACCACTCAACGGCACGGGGCGTAACTCGTGATTCTGGATCATATTCGCTGTATTTGCTTTGAAAGTCGCTGCTGACCACCCAAACCTTGCCTTCCGCGGTGATTAAAGCGACAAATCGCCCTGTGGGTGACACACTGGCGTGCTTGAACGGGCCATTCTGAAGCACCTTGTCCTCAGCTTCTGTAGGATCGACGAGATAGATCGTCTTGTCGACAGCTAATAAGACCTCAACAGAGCGAGAGAGCGTGTATGCCGGAGGAATCAACGACCATGAAGCGACCTCCCCTTCCGGGCACTGTGCTAGGAGTCGAGGCCGGGGCTCGTTGTAATTAGAGACGGCGATCAACTGGTTGTTGGCTAGTAAAGCCACAAAGCCAGAGTTCCAGAACCGGCATGCCCTCACTCCGTACTCTTCAGCGCCCTAAAAGTGTCAGTATAGACAGATTTTCAGTTCAGCACAAGGCATCCCTTACATTACCCAGTGAAAATGAGGTAAAGTCACCGTACAAGCCGAAATAGCGACGGACAGTGCCGTCTTCTGTGATGACCAGTAATTCCTCCTGGTCGGACCATCCAAGGCCTCTAATAGCGCCATGCTCCCACTGAAAACGGAGTTAGTCTTGCCTCACATATGAAAATAGTAGCGAACTCACATTAAGCCGGTTTATCAGCTTCCCTGACCGGGAGTAAATGTCAATGTTCGACTTTGACGTTTGAGCATCTCGGAATCTAAGAGGCTTGCTTTCATCACGATACAGAGCTGAGCCTGTCAGTGACTCAAATATTCCGAGTAGAGTAGGGAAGAAACACACCGATAGCACCTCCATACGGAGCTCCAACAACAATGTAGTTCTCTAACTCAACATCGTCATCAAAGACCGAGTAGTATGCCGGAACCTTCCTGTAGAAGCTCGTCCCTAGCCTTTCCCAATTAGCTAGCGGATTAGACGGCGCCATTGAAGTATGATTATCGCATGGAAGCGCGAGGCGTTGACAGGCCCATCGGCGTCTGGTGCTGTTCTGAAAGTCGCCTGTTGATGGTCGTTAGTTGGACGGAGCTCAAGCTGCCTGGCGCAAGATGGTTGGGAGGCGCTAAACCCAATTTGGTCGCGCATATCATCCTGAGGCCCCACACTTAAAGCTACCAACTACAAACAATCTTTCCATCTGCAACTCCCAGCGATTGATGCTTCACCATGAGCGTCGCTACGAGAACCAATGATGGGTGATACAGACATCATAGGCAGCCTCGCCCATGAGTTGTCGGACCTTGAACTCGCTCTACTCCTCTGTTTAGGCGGACAGGAACACTGCTTAATCGAGACTGATCATGACAGCATCAATGACGTTGCTGCAGAGCTAGCCTTGGTGCGTATTTACTCTCTAAACCCCTATATACAGCCAGAGACTAACTGTGAATAGATATGCTCTCACACATACGGCCTTGATTACACGGTAATCGAATGCTCACAGACCACCTCGCTAGAGGAATTCCGAGATCAAATATGCATCTCTGCGCTGCAAACGGATGAGCCTGGTATGGAGCCTAGATATCAGACCGTTGGCGCGGTCATCGCGAAGAACCTCGATCATGCGTCTCATGATATTCAGCTCGAGGCTCTAGAGGTCAGTCCCACGCCCACTCAGACACTCGATTCATTGCTAAAGCCTCCCTACAGTTAATGCGATCAAAGAGACTGGTGACAGGAACTGGCGTCCTCGAAGCCCCAGCTCATTTCCTGTTCGTACCAGTCATCACACGCGACGCGGACCAGGTTCGACCGAAACTCAATACCCACCTCGTGCGTCCTTTGAAACCATACCCTGATGGGGGATAATCTACTAACTCCAAGAAAGATCGACCATCTAATCATTTCGCACTACCACGACCCCGAGGACGGGTACGCATACCTCGAAGATGACGATGGCTGGCACTCTGATGGCCAGGGATCTCTGTCTTCTGTGGTACATAGAACCGGTACCCGCGAGAGTCTTCATCCAGGCGTTGATTTCCAGGTATATTCACCACTTCACTCTCCTCCAATATGAACAAGTCCTGACGTATCCAGCTCCTCGATAAACTCAACGCCGCCGGCGATGCCGTACGCGTAACGGCCGAGCTCACCCGTTACCAACAAGACATCGTCGTCTTCCTCCGCCTCAGCCGCGCAGTCGCGGGCGGTATATCTGCACGATCGAATGTGCATTTCACGAAACTAGCCAAGTATGCCTTTGCCCCAACACTTTTCTACCAAACTCTACCCTTCCACCCTTCCTGCTCGAGAAAAAGAAGAAGAAACTAACAATCCAGACTGCTCGCCGTAATCCACGGAATCAACTACCTCACCCCGTCGATTGTCGCGCTAGCAGCGAAAAAGGTCTTTCGACATCGGATTGTCGTCGCGAAGCCCGAGGATGATCGCAGCTTGCAATATGGAAGTGATTTGAAGGCTGTGGCGAAGGTGCTGGAGTATGCAACTCCCGATACAATCCTGGAGAGTGTGCTTACGCTTGAGGCGCCTCTTTGATTGCAGTCGCTTCCTCCGGGGAAGGAATTTGATGTCACTGGACTCAAGAGGGGCAAATGATTATATACTCATGCGCTGTTCAATATATACCCGGCCAATATAGTGATCCAGCGCTAAACAAGGAGCAAACGAGCAACGCATACAAGGCCAAGCTAGCTACATTCTACATATATATCGTCATATTTATCCAGTTCAAACGAACTTCAGACCACAGTTCCATCATTGTCCGCCCGCCGTCCTCGCCCTCTCCCGTATAAACATATCCGGCCTCGCAAACTCATCTGTATTACCATTACTCAAGCTCTCACCAGTACCTCCCTGGCTGTTCTCACCACCAAGAGAACCCTCAACGGACGCGACAACTTTCCTCCACTCCTGCAAGACAACGTCAATCTCCATCTTGGCATCACCCACCAGTGCATCCATGTTGATATCGTTCCTGTCGTACCCGAATGGATCTTCCAGCTGCGATCCAATCCCTTCGATACCGTATAGCGTGAAGATCACGAGGCTGACGATGGGGATAGTCCACCAGCCCATATCGTCGACCATTGCGAATGGGAGGACGCATCCGTATAGTGCGAGGACTTGTTTTTGGTGGATTCTAGCATAGAATATTAGCAGCCACCCAACCACAATTCCGAACAAGACCGGAATGGCACGAAAGGAGAGTAAGGGGAGCGGGAAGCATACAAATGCGCCACCGGGATCGGCGTCAACTTAATCGTCTCCATCTTCCCAAACGCATCAATCATTGTATTCAACTGCGCCTGCATCCCACTGGCCCCCGGCGCATGAAACCACCCCCTCTCAAATCCCCTCTTCACAAACGCATCCACAAAAAACGTCAACTGGAACGGCAACCCCAGCCCCTCGTCCTCATGCCCCACCAAATCCGCCGGTAACAGCCCCGCATACACGGGGTTATACACGGCCGTCCCGTCGCCCGCGACATCGCTGCCCAAAAGTGCCCAGGCGGCGCCCCATTCGGCGCGCAGGTGGTTCTTCAGGGCGAAAGGGATGGCCATGAGGATGCGGATTGTGCGTTCGATGTCGGCACGCTCGGCGGGCGTGAGTGGGGTCTTGGGGTTGTAGGCGTTTGTGGCGATTGTGCGGACGAGGTTGCGGATTGTGGTTGTTACTGTTGTCATGCCGTTGCGGCCGTCCCAGAAGCGGTTGTAGGAGGTTTGGTTGCGGAAGACGAGCATCAGACCGACGACGATGGAGAGGGAAGGGATCTATTGCGTTGTGGCCCCTATTTAGTACCACGACACCTATATTATCATCGAGCTGAGATTATGGAGAAAATCGTACGATCGAATTCGGTAGCCCGACAGTGTCAAAGACATAGCGATCAAGCCAGACAACGAATGCTGTGAACGCGGCATGGAAAACAACATGTACCAAAATCGCGCCGTGGATTGCGCCCTTTATGAAGCGGAAGACGAGAGGCCATCTGGGAAGACTAATGTAAACAATCGTCCAGTATTAATCAAGAGGAGCTCGATAACTCACCTTCTGGGCTTCCGCCGAGTGGAGAGGAGATGCGGATGGGTGCTCGCGCGAGAATGGTGTCGATCATGTCGAAGGATTGACGTATTCTGGCGACTTAATGTCGGGGTAGGCAGTTCGCTGAAGTTCAATCGCATCCCGACGGTGTTGGGAGTTGGAGTGTTTGTTGTTGTTGAAGGTAGAGGGGAAGGGGAAAGCAGCGGTCAAGGGAGTCGAGTCTCAAAAGTCGACTAACGAGTCGGCGCTTGGATTCGAGCTATCGCTGGATAATCGTCTTTTCCTTTATTGAGCTAGATAGGGTATACTAATCACGGCCGCGTACTACCTAGGTATTGAACCAAGTTGCTTTATTATTGGGGAACACAGCAGCAAATCACAGCGGAGGGTCACAGCGCAGCGCAGCCACGATGCATGGGGTGATTGTGCAATCACGAGCCACAGCTGACCGTGGGGTACACCTCCACACTTACAGGGTCGTCGATCAAGGATTCGAGGTGGACCGTGTCAACCCCTCAGTTGCTAGCGGTGTCTTATCAAGCGGGGTATGTACGAGAAGGTGACTATTCATTCATTTACCGTTTTGGATAAACAATTGGGACTTGAGAAGGATATAAGGGGTTAAGATTGGCCTGTACAAGGTCTAGGGCATGAATGCAGAATGCTTGGCTTGAAATCTGTATGGTGAGGGGACGTCTATCCTATACAGGAGTCTCCGGTACAGGAGTAGCCGAGGGAGTATCGGGTAAAGTATCATATTGACGTGAGGCTGTAAAGAACCTGAAATTTCCAATATCTTCATGCAAACGAATGTATGATCGCGAGAGGCTATGCAGGATTCCACCGTGGAACAACAGAGAATACTGGCGCGAGGATTGCTGAATGTGGACAGGCGGGAAGTAATTTGAGAGAAAAGCAAGGTTGCGAAGTGGGTATAGTCGAAATTAGGTGGAGATAAAAAAAGTATGGTGAGCTAGATGCAAAGAAATGCAGAACGTCGGCCGACACAATCAATGTGCGACAGCGCTATAGACGCCGTACATTCGATAAAGATTATGTGATACGAGGGCTTAAAGTGTTGAATGGCAAGGGCCTGGAAGATACAGAGGCAATGCTTGCAAAGCACGGCACCCTATGACATTCCAGCCCGACCGTCAAAGGCCAAAGGACCGGAATCATTTCGAGGAGTGAGAGGATTCTCGTCGGATGATTCAGAGCGCATAGGGGTGTCTACCCGTATTATCGCCTGGTGAGGAGGAAGTGGGACGGGCGACTGGGTCACGGACTGCCAGCCGGGGAGTCCGATACTGTAGATAGGAGCAGATGTTATGGAGGACTCGGAGTCATGACCTGACGGAGTAATGTCAGACAGGCGCATATTTTCAACGTTCGCGACAAGGCTGCTCTCGGTGGGCAATTCAGGGGTCTGGCGATCTTCGCTGGGGGGTAGACTACTCGAAGCACAACTCGGAGCTGGCTGTGGGGAGCATGTTGTAGATCGTATCTCGTCCGCAGGTTCCTGCTTGTCGTCCGCAGCCTGCTTGCTCGAACTTTCGGCATCATAATCGTTCGAGTCATCGACTTCCGCACTCAAGTCTGTGTATGCACGACAATTGGGGCATTGGAACATGGGATAATCTGGCGTATGAATCAGGCGGCTGACGCATTTATAGTGCCATACATGGGCACAGGCTGCCATGAATAGGCATTGGTAGGGTCTCTGGAATTCATATTAGTCCTGCCCCATTTCAAAAAAAAAAAAAAAAAAAAAAAAAAAAAAAAAAAAAAAAAAAGAAAAGAGGTTGGCCTACCAAGACCGATCCTAGGCAAATAGAGCATTCCCGGCAGCCATTATAATTGGCGGTTTCGCCCTTTCCCAAGTTCTTGATGAGGCTTTCAGTGTTTTTACTGCGCCATATGTTAGTTTCAAGCTGCAGCCAGAATTGAAAAATGGAGTCATACTTGAACTCGTTGGGCTTTTGCTGCCAGCCTCTGTTGCACTCGATCCTGAGGCGAACGCAACGAAAAATCATTTCTTCTCCACCGCGAAAGTCGATACCGAGTTGAACAATATCTCCATCCTTGATTGAATATAGCCGAGAAGGCATGTTTGGCTGGCTCAACCTCATGTGGTTGAGGAACGTTCCTGACGAGCTCCCAACATCCTTGATGTGCCACTTGCCATTTGAGTAGATAAATTCGCAGTGTTTCCGACTCACAACCTTCGACTTGAATCCCACCGGGGCGTCCGACGGTTCGCTTGGGTTCGGAGTGGGCAGGCCGTCTCGCTCAGAATACCGACCAACACGGATGCTGCTGGTGTCTGAGGGGAGGGTTCGCGATATAGGAATAAAAGGTAACGACGGCCGTGAACTTTGGCTCAAGTCTTGGTGCGGGAAGAAGCGTATTGTTGCTCCTTGTTTCGAGTTTGAAGAACTGGCGGAAGAACCATCGTTGGTGACTGGATCGGGAGAGTCGAGGGTTGCGGTTTGAATCGTGGAAAGGAGTGAGGCCGGCGCAGGGGCGCTTGAGGCTTGTTCGCCTCGGGATTCGTGATCGTTTCTGGATGAGGAGGATCTTAACCTAGCCATAGTCTCAAGTGTCGGTCGCGATAAAGATTCTGACGAGGACGGCGACTCCGAGGACTCGATAGGTTGTTGAGTATGCGGTCGCACGTCGATTTCGTAACCACGAGAACTCGGAAACAAAATTGCACTGTATCGATTTGGGGTGGAGCTCTCAGCACGCGGCTCGGGGCCTGGATTTGAGTCCGTGGCTGTCGGTTGAGCGGAGTCGGTGCGCGTCGTAGTGTGAGGGGAAAACCAAGACAGCCGGCGACCGCTAATGCTATGACGACGGGCAGGGCGTGGTTGGGCGCTGGGCGTCGAAGAGGGGGGAGAAGTGGATGAAGTCGAGGAGTTGTGGTGAGTAGAAAAATGAGTTTGGGTATAGGCACGCAGTTGGCTCAGTCGCCGGAAGGGACCCGAACGGTGGTCAGATGAAACGTCAAGGGGGTTGGAAATGGAGGTGGAGGCGGAAACAGAGGCCGCCATCATTGGGCGCTGGGCTTTTTTTCGCCTGAACCCTGGGGATTGCACCGAAAATACGGTAGAGAAGGGGGGAAAGGCGCTGAAAATCTGAATTGATGGCGAGAAAACTGGGGTTTATTCCAGTCTTTGAAGCTTTGTGGGAGGAAGTCAACGATCTAAGCTCTATACCTCGTGAGATCGGCGTAATAGCAGTCTATATATTCTGGGTCGCCTGATGCTTGTATCGCACGTTTCGGTCAGCGAAAGACCTGCAGCTTGAGATTATTGGAAAATGCGCTTGTGTAGTTGGCAGGATTATCGAGCTAACTGTGGAGGCTGGGAGGAAACTTTCAATGGATTGGAAGGTTCAGGCGCGGGATCACTGGCAAGGAGCTCGAGTACACTGAGGAAGAGAAACAAAGACAAAGCATGAGGGGACATGGGCTCATGTTATTATCCTGCATTCCTGACGGCGAACTGGCAGGTCTTCTCGCGAGTCAGATGGCGAGACGATCTTCAGAGGCCTGGGCAGTGGGGTCGAGTGGAATCACTGGAATGTGTGCATCTAGGATCGAGAGGCTCGAGTCTCCCAATGGGCATTGTTTCGAATATGAGCGGATTCCGAGCGGTTCAAGAAGATGGAATGTTGTGTCTGCCAGTGGAGCATCGCCGCACCCCAGTGTCGAACCATTTCTTCTCGAACAAGAGCAGAATCCAGTCAGCGACGACTCAGCGCTGGTTGTCTGATAGACAATGCCGGGCATCGAATTCCTCAGGGACCAGAGTTCGACACCAGGCATGGATGATGCATCCTGAGTGTCCCACAACTTAACAAATCTACGTTCAACGGCTACACTGCGCAGGTCTACGCTGTTTCGGCCTGCTCCATTGTGCTACATCAGTCCCTCCTGGCCCCTATGTTGAAGCCAAAGAGCCCTCGTCTCAGGTGGACAAAGACAAGCCAGCCCGAGAGATCTTGGACCGACGTTGCCACCTCGGCCGAGGATGGCAAGATGCATCTTGACCGGGACCTCCTGATGGGTGCACCCTCCGTTAGTGCTCTTTTTTAGTGTGCGGGGCGATGGGCTAAGGCTGGGGACCGAACTCTGGTGAACCTCTCAGCGTCCAGTCTGGCCTTGACGGACGCTGCAGAGATCCACGATGCGCTTCAATTGCTTCAAACCTCCAGGGTCATGAGTCCATCTCCTCCTCATGTGACGTTATTTCAAGTGGTGCAGTGGCAACCTAAATAGATTGTTGACAAAATATCTCAACATCATTCTCAGAGAACGATTGTGAATAGGCAAGCTGGTCTCGATATATATTTCTGCACCGCTCTATTCAATTTCTTACACCTTTCTTACGTACGACCACCCGAGGATGTCTGAGGTAGCATATCAGGTGTCTTGGATTTCATGTAAAACTCGTGAGCATCACGAAACAATCCAAGTCAATCTTCGTGATACTGGCTCGCCTCGTTGTACATGGTATGAAGCTCGCGCCCTTGCCAGCGCAACTTTCAAACGGTAGGTCGAACCGAGAGAGCACAGTCGCTAGCTGTTCAAGCTACCAAATATATAGTGCGGTTGAACCCTCACAGAACCTACTCGGGGTATGGCAGTCATTCGTCATCTGCTGACGAGTCGCCAATAATCACCCAGGCCAGGGAGTCAAGAAACGATATTCAACGCGATAAGGTGGAGGCTGATTTGATTCAGCGGTGGAACTTTAGATGCTTTCCGAAGCGGACCAGGGCGCATCAATGATCATGACGAAGATACCGTTTATCGTCAGCCCGGGTGATGTGCAAGAAAGCCGATCCTTCATAATGCTAGCGGAGGCCCGGTCATATTGAAGGGGCGATGAGGTCGGTGTTTTCGATATCTTTCATCTTGCGCCCACGAGGTTAAGACAGATGGCTGATAACGGTGTCACAAAAGACCGACATGCTGCGATATGATAAGGATCAACAAGTGGACTTCGAAAGCCGACCCAAAAGGTCGGCTTGCGTCTGTCTGTCAAAGACCAGGGTCGCCTGAAAATCGCGGCTTCAACACAGCAGCTGAATTAACATTCCAAGCGCGCGATAGACTTCTCCAGTTGTCTCGAAGATATGATGTAGTGTGGTTGCGCCGCCGTGACCTGCTTAGGATATGCGTGCCGTCATTCGCCCAATCCACGGGGCAGTCACCAGCCGCCAGCTTCTCTGGAGCAGAGCTGCTAGTCACCCATACTAAACCCGCTTGGTCATTCACCAACTCCATCTCTCCCTTCTCTTCCCCTCTTCCATCGTTGCCGTACAAACTTCGACAGCTCTGTCTCCAGAGTCAAATCGGCATTTCCTGGACAGACACGCAGCGGGGGCAGTTTAGCGGTTGGTTTTGCCCGGTCTTCCTTCTTTGCACCGCCCAGCGTTGCTTTGTTTTTCCCAAGCTTCAACTCCTATATGCAGAGCTTGGTTCCGTCCTACCTCGCATCTCCAACTCGTCTTTACCCTAGCATCTATTCCCTCCTTTCACCCCCGATACCATCGTCGTCCAGAACCCCTGCGGCAGCGATTACTCGGAACAGCGACCGGGAATCCAACGGGAAGGGAAAGAGAAACCCGCGGTTTATACCTTCCGTGTTCGCAGCGAGCGTCGTCAGGCCTTCTTTTCCCTCCTTGACTCTCGACACTTGCGGGGCCGAATCGTGGTCCTGCAGGTATCAACCTCGAAGCCATGGCTGGGATCGCAGACGCTTGCCTTTCCTGTCTGTCGACAGTTGACCGCTGGTGCCATATCACCGCTTGCCTCGGTCCTTTGGGCGGTCGCTCAAGAGAGGGAATCTACGAAACAACGCTGGCCGATAACGAACGCGAAGCCGTGTCTGATCTTCTGGGCTACCTCGAGAACGTACGTTCACACCTACTCCTCGCGCATACAACCTTCCATGCCATCTACCTGTTGCCAGCGATTGTTCGCTCTGCTAACATTCAGGGTGCATAGCGAGCCGAAACAGATTTCTTCTCCGGCGAACCTCTCCGAGCCCTTAGTACTTTGGTGTACTCTGATAACGTCGATCTCCAACGAAGTGCGAGCCTGACGTTTGCCGAGATTACAGAACGAGGTACGTGCCGGCCCGCTAGAAAAGATGGGCATGGCTAATGTCGAGTTCGATAACAGATGTGCGCGAAGTCGATCGGGACACCCTCGAGCCTATTCTGTTCTTGCTACAGAGCTCTGATATTGAGGTGCAACGAGCTGCGAGCGCAGCTCTTGGGAACCTTGCCGTAAATGGTCTGTCCGCCTTGCCTCACTTCTTGACAACTGCTGACAGGAAATAGCGGACAACAAGGTTTTGATAGTCGCCCTAGGAGGGCTTGCACCGCTGATAAAGCAGATGATGTCACCCAATGTCGAGGTCCAGTGCAATGCGGTCGGCTGCATTACGAATCTTGCTACGCATGAGGATAACAAAGCCAAAATCGCCCGGTCCGGTGCCCTGGGGCCGCTAATTCGCCTCGCAAAATCGAAGGACATGCGCGTCCAGCGCAATGCTACAGGGGCCTTACTAAATATGACGCATTCGGGTAAGCAATCCGGGTTTCGTCGGCGTCATCTTTTGGCCTTGCAATATTCTGACTGGTTCCCGTAGATGACAATAGGCAACAGCTTGTCAATGCCGGTGCGATCCCCGTCCTTGTTCATCTCCTGTCCTCCTCCGACGTCGACGTCCAGTATTATTGCACAACCGCCCTTAGCAACATCGCTGTGGATTCATCCAATCGCAAGAGACTCGCTCAGACGGAGTCGCGGCTGGTTCAATCCCTTGTGCACTTGATGGACTCATCAACACCAAAGGTTCAATGCCAGGCCGCCCTAGCCCTTCGCAACCTTGCCTCCGACGAGAAGTACCAGCTCGAAATCGTCCGCGCTAAGGGACTACCGCCGCTTCTCCGCCTTCTACAGTCAACTTATCTTCCCCTCATCCTCTCAGCCGTCGCCTGCATTCGCAATATCTCCATACACCCTCTGAACGAATCTCCTATCATCGATGCTGGGTTCCTCAAACCTCTGGTCGATCTTCTAGGCTCAACAGATAATGAAGAGATTCAATGCCACGCTATCTCCACCCTCCGAAATCTCGCCGCTAGTTCAGACCGCAATAAGGAGCTTGTCCTCCAGGCTGGTGCGGTCCAGAAGTGTAAAGATCTTGTTCTGCGGGTGCCAATTAGCGTTCAATCCGAAATGACCGCTGCCATTGCGGTCTTGGCCCTAAGCGATGACTTGAAGCCTCATCTTCTTAACCTCGGTGTCTTCGACGTACTGATCCCTCTGACGGAATCGGAGAGTATCGAGGTCCAAGGAAACAGTGCGGCCGCGCTGGGCAATCTTTCTTCTAAAGGTACGTCTTGTCAGATTCAATATGCATTCGTCCACAAGCTCACATATCACAGTCGGCGACTACTCTATCTTCGTTCGGGACTGGGCGGATCCTAATGGAGGCATTCATGGCTACTTGAAGCGGTTCCTTGCTAGCGGTGATCCCACTTTTCAGCACATTGCCATCTGGACGCTTCTTCAGCTCCTCGAGTCGGAGGACAAGCGCCTCATCGGTTACATTGCGCAATCAGAGGATATTGTCCATATGGTGAGGTCAATATCGGACAAGAACATCGAATCCGATGAAGAGGATACGGAAGACGGTGAAGCCGAAGTCATTGCACTGGCTCGGCGATGCCTCGAGTTTTTTGGAGGTGGGCCTAAACAGACTCTTGTGGAAGGCTAGTGTCTACCTCCCTCTCAGCCTCTTGTCTCTCCTGTTTTCTGAGCGACCTGTCTTCATTTGCGGGTTCCGTTTTCTTCTTCTCCGTGTTCTGTTTACCAGATGGTTTTCTGACCATTTTACTTTGCCATACATTTCTTTCATGTGTTACGGGCGTTAAGAGGCATCTGATTCGGGGGTTTCTCATTTTTTTCAGCGAGCATTCGGTGTGATAGGATGATCTATATCTTTTCCGTGGGCTTGTCGCTTTCTGTTCGGGTTGTTGCTGTGATACGCAGCTGTGTCTGCGCATAATGATGGTAGTCGTGGTCAGATGTGGATCTTCTTTAACTGCAAGTATACTTAGATATAGTGTATATCCATCCATAAATATTCGGCTCAAAATCATCCGTGCTTCTCATGGTTTCTACTGTTGACGTTCTACATATAGTACCGGACGCTCGGGTAAACTCCACGTCCGACCCGACCCACTCTAGGAAAAGAACTTTAGAGCTCACACTGCTTTCTCTTTTCAAACTCCCTCAGCCCGCTTCTCTTCTGCTGACCGGAGATGGCGAGCGCGCTACCGTCTTTAGCTATTCCAGGCCAGCGTCTGGGGCCAGTTGCGGCCTATGCTGCCGGCCCCGGAACGCATGTCCATCACTCCCACGTTTATGCATCGATTGCTGGGCCTGTGCTCGTTGATCCTGCGCAACCCAAGACTCAGACTAAGTCCACAATCACCGTGTCGAGGACGCCTAGGCCGACAGCGAACCCTCCGACGACTGCTGCACCCAGTTCCAAGCCCAAATACAACACATTGCCTGCGGTTGATGCCGTCGTCCTAGCACGAGTAACTCGCGTGCAAAAGCGACAAGCCACCGTCTCCATTCTCGTCGTCCTAGATGAATCAGCAGCCTCCAAAGCTCTCAACCCAACACAATCCGCCTCAGACAATGACAATATCGAGTCCATCCTCTCCTCGGCCGCGAATCCTGAGAACCACAGCAGCGCCGACGAACTTCGATTCCAAGCGCTGATTCGGAAGGAAGACGTTCGGGCCGTCGAGAAGGACCGGGTTGTTATGGATGAGATGTTCCGTGTCGGGGATATCGTTCGTGGGACGGTGATTTCTCTCGGTGATCAGAGCTTCTATTATATCACAACGGCCAGGAATGATCTCGGTGTCGTGATGGCGCGCAGCGAGGCGGGAAATATGATGTTCCCTGTTAGCTGGAAGGAGATGCGGGATCCTGTTACTGGGGTTGCGGAGCAGAGAAAGGTGGCAAGGCCTTTTTGATTTTTGAGCACAACCATCGAGTTTGTGTAACCGACATCGAGGTGACTATCATCATCCTCATTCAACTTTACAGGCCTGAGGCTTGCGTCTCGGCGATCTCTAGTTTGAGAACTCGGCGATGGCCATGAAGCCGACGGGACCTTCAATTCTTGCCATTGAGATCAGACCAATCTCAATTTTTCTATCATCGGAGCCTATGCTATCCGTCAGCACATCTAGGGCTGAGATTACCAGATTGCATCAACAATCCAGGACTACAACAACCGCGACAAAACAGCAGACAGGAGCCAACCACGACGGCTTTCGCCATTCTCGTCGATAACCTACGAGCATTACCCGCTTGAAATCTGACTTTATCGAGAAGCAGACAGATACATTAACATCAAGATACCCAATGAATTCTTTTCACACACAAGAGGACGAGTCGCCTCTTCTTCTTGTCTTCCTTCTCCTTTATCCTTCTCTTTTAGCAGATTATCCTCCTCAGTATCCATGGTCCTGGCCTGTCAGTGCTGGTCTGTGTTTGTCACTGGAGGAAGAAAAATGGTTTTTTTCGCGTGGAGACTCATCTCCACGACCCTTGTCTCGAATCTTTCGTTTTCCGTTCTTGTGGATTTGAGAGTTTAGTAGACTAGGGCACAAATCTGTTTGGGCTAGAGAGATGTTTTTATTATAGAAGCCGTATCCATATAAGTTTAGTATAGCAATTGGGAGACAGGAAGTCCCTGGTTGACTAGAGCAGAATCAGAAAACCGTTGAGTACAGGATATCTATCTCGAACCCTTGCCCGTTTGTCCTGATCGGGGGACTTTTAGTCCATGGTTAGAAACCCCGCCATGGGTGGTACAGACTAAACGGCGTGCCCATCCACGGCAGAGGCCTGCAGAAGGCCGGCAATATATAGGCAGGCATATATGTACCTGCTACCGGGTCTGCACGATTAAGTGAACCTTTCACATCAAGAAAATATATACACCAAGAGTAGATCGAACCCTGACCAAGCTATCCATACATATCTATGCAACCAAAACCTACTTTTCCCACCAACTCGACAAAAGATAACCAGCAAGGGCTTACACGCATACATAAACTATCTACTTCTTCAACGTCTTCTGCTTTTCCGCATCAATCAACTTGCGGCCCTGAACAAACAATCCTTTTCTCGCCCTCACAGCATCCATATACTGCTTCGCGACATTCTCGCGGTCCGCAAGCTCGCCTAGATCCTCTAGTTCCTCTTCCGTCGCGGGGACCCAGAAGGGGTCCTCGTCGAGGGCCTCGAAACCCGCGAAGATGAGCTGCGGCTGCGCGGCGCCGGAGGTGCGTTTGCGGATTTCCTCGGCGAAACCGAAGGATTCAGCGACGGGGAGGAGCGAGAGGATTGTGAAGAAGGGCGTTCCTTCTTTCATTGTTTCGGAGAGGATGCGGCCGCGGCGGCGGGTGATGACGCCGTAGACGCGGCCGAGGACTTCGGCTGTTGGGAGGAAGAAAAGGTTAGGATGAGCTTCTGGTGGGTTGAGAGAATGAAAGGGGAGGAAACGTACTAGAAGCTTGGATTTCACAACTGTACATAGCAAGCATGATCCTGGGGCTCCACTCTAGGAAACCCTGCGAGATGCTTTCGCGGACGAGGCGGATTGTTTCTCCTGTTAGGCGGCCAAGGTCGAGTTCGTCTTCGGCGTTGATCTGGATCTCCTCGAGGAATACGGCTGTTCCTTGGATAGGTTCTTGACACAGTGGACCTTGTGCTGTGGCGAGTTGGAAGGCGTAGGCGATCTTGTCGCAGAAATCGCGGACGATAAGGGCATCGCGGCTGGCGGTTTCTGGAAGGGCGCTCGGTTGTTGTCTGGGGTCATCGAGAAGGCTATTTCTATCGTCAGTGTTTGCTTCATGAAAGATTGTAGAGGTGCCACCTACAATTTCTCGCATGTGTTGACTGCGGTTGCGTCAACGAGGATGTTAGGGCCGATTCGTCGAGGGCCAAATGATATGACCCTCTCCACAACATCCTTCCATAGCTCAGTATCTTCCTTGACTTCATCTGCGAAGAGCTTGTTGAGCTCCTTCTTAAAATCCTCCAGTGAAAGTAGGGCACCCTCTCTAGCTTCAATTGCGGCGTCAGTCGCTTCATCCTGCTGCGTGCTGTCTGAAGGAAGGCTTCCATTTGCAGTCTCTGCTTTGGCGGTGCGTTTCTCTGACTGGAGCTTCTTGATAGTGCCGACGTGTTTTGTGAGAAATTCCGTTATTACTGATGGCAAAGGAACCACGCGTAGGCGAATTGTCAGCTGCTTCGATGCCGAAACGGTCAATACGCCTCCTCGTCCAAGCTCGGGGTTCTTCGGAGCCGCCATTTCTGGTGCATTGATGATGGTCTCTCGATATGGAACGATGGTCTCGCCGGTTTGAATATCGCATTTGGCAAATCGTTCACGGAGATCTTTGAGGCAGCGTTCGAGGTGCAGTTCACCTGCAGTCAAAATAACATGCTCACCATTCGGAAGCACTTCGTACAACGCGCATGGGTCACTTTGCTCGAGGAGACGCAAGCCTGTAACCATCTTACCGAGATCGGACGGATTTGCCGGCTCAAGCGCAACTCGCACAATCGGTGGTGTATCCAAAGAGACACCTGCCAAATTGATACCTCCCTCCAGTTGTGAGCAAAGAGTACCTGTCTTGAGAATGTGACCGGCAAGGCCTCCAATTCCAAAGACAACTCCTGCGGGCACAGACTGAAGAGGCTCGAGACTCCTTCCCATGAGCAGATAGAGATCTGTTACGATCACCCTTTTCGGCTCCGGGCTTGCGTGGGCGTTTTCTGGCGAGAACTTGGGCGGCAGAACATAAACAGAATCTCCTACAGAGAGAGTTCCAGAATAGAGACGTGCGAATCCAATCAGGTGTTCAGGATCTTCCTTCTGCTCATGGTCATCCTTGTCGGTGTCGTTCACTGAAACCTGTTCAAACGCCGATGTGATTCTTGAGAAATCGTCTTCCTGGTTGTTACTGGCCTCTGCCTGCATCTTGGCAATCTCTTCTCGCTTCTTCCGAGCAATTTCTCTAGCTTCGTCCGCAGACATAGTACCTCCGGATTTCTTCTTACTAGACAATAGTTCACTCTCCGGGATAGCGGCCATCTTGCTGACATAGGCGACCACTGGCTCACCCGAGCCGGTCTTGAACTCAACCATAGCGTCCTTCACCTTCGGATCCACGAACTTCGACCCAGGAGACTCTTCGATCATTGGTGGTAATCGAGAGGCCTGAGCTGCCTTCGGGCTGGGGAGGTACTCGATGACTGATACTAAAAGCGCGGTAGAAAGAGGCAACCATTGAGAGAATAATGTGGTCATGATGTTTTTGGGATCTCGTGAGCGTAGAATGTATGGTGGAATATTGATAGACAAAGACTTTGTAATCTTCTCTAGTAATGCAGGATCACTGTAGGAAAATTAGCATGGGAAACACTGGATTGTTGTCTGATCATACCCTTTTCCTTTGCCACCGCCGGTAGTTGCTTCGTAGGCAGCCCATATGCTGTCCAGCACCAACTGCACAAACATGGGCTTCAAGGCCCGTCCTTTGAGATGTTTTTGGCCGAGGACTCTTTTAGTTTTGGGATCAAGGTAGTAATCACCCCAGAGAACTTTCTCAAGGATAGCCCGCTTGATTCCGAGCTTCTTCTCGTAGATGGCGGCGAATTGCCGGATAGTAAATGCCCATCCGTCAACAGCACTGCAGAAGATGACATTATTCTTCTCGGGTGCGAAATAGAGATCCTCATCGTCCCTTTCCTCGTACTCTGCTCCGTCAACACTGGACTCGGCGTCACCATCATGTGCCTGTTTTTGCTGGGCAGCGGCATTGACGCGCTCTTCCATGCGCTCGCGCCACTGGAGGTCTTCTTCCATTCGCTCTCCTTGATAGAAACTACCGATGACAGCGTTCACCTGCTCTAGAAGCCTGCTAAGATGTGAGTAGGCTTCGGCAGGGCTCATTTGCAGCTCAGTAACCAGCCTGTCCATCTTGTTAATCACGAGAATTGGCTTCAGCTGCTCAACCCATGTTTGGCGAAGAACAGTGACCGTTTGACTGCAAACTCCCTCCACAGCATCAACAAGGACCACGGCACCATCACAGAGACGTGAAGCGGTTGATACTTCACTGCTGAAATCAATGTGACCAGGCGAGTCGATCAGGTTAATGAGGTACTCTTTTGGCTCCGGTTGAGCATCTGGAGCTGAGCGGCGCATCATAGAGAAGAAGAGTGAAATGGCAGAAGACTCCATAGTGATTCCGCGCAGCTGTTCATCTGGCCGCGAGTCCAGATAGCGGATCTTGCCCGCCAGCTTCGGTGAGATGATGCCATTAGTGGCGATGAGACTGTCTGTTAATGAAGTTTTTCCATGATCCTAAAGCGCCAAAATCTATTAGATGGGCCCGGGAGATAGCTCCAAGAATGATACCACGTACAACGTGTGCTAGGATGCAAATCTAAGACATGGTTAGTTGTTGGGGTTCGAGACGTCACTCGCTTTGGCATCGAAAAGTGGGATGAAGCGATAATGGAGGGGCAACGAACATTGCGAATATCGTCGGGCTTCCGTTGAAGACGGACGAGGTCCTCGACGCTGACAACGGGCATGTCTAGATAAAGATGGCGCTATTCAGCGGCCGGAGTTTAGTGAAGAACCAGTGGTTGAAAGAAGCTTGTCGCGTGAGGATTTTGTTCGTCCTGCGAATTTTGTTCCGCGGGTTGCGGACCTGCCCTGCCTGGAAAAACATTACTTATGATGGCTTATGCCTAAGCACCTAGTTAATATTAACTCTACTTTTACTACCACGATTTACATGATGACTTCTTTGCCTATGATTCAATATGAGTGTGAATGAGTCATATGCTTCATAGTTTACACCTGGCGAGTGGGGATGCATCTATACGGCTTGCGGCGGCGGTTGGCAGTGGTAGTATACGGGGTCTACGATGTAACTGTCGACTAATCACTCCTCAAAGGAGAGCTTTATTTTCTTCTTCTTCTTTTTCTCCTGCGCTGATTTTCGCGGCCCTGTATCCTTTGGCCGTGTATCCTCGCTTTCTCCTTCTTGGACTTCACCCGGGACAACCTTCGCTTGCTTTCGCTTCCGAGGTCCTCCTATCTCCGCCAGGTTCTGCTTTGATGTTGCGGCCGCCTTTTCCGTGTCTGATACACCGTCCCCTGTGGTAGCCTCGGCCGATTTATCGTCGTCCTTCCCCCCATTTCCCCCTGACTTATCATCTTCGCCCTTCACCATGGCCTCGTATTCCTCCTTTGATACCACCTCATTGCTTTCCGCATCAACGTATGTAGGGGCATCTTCGTCAGTATCGTCTCGTAGTCGGCGAGGGCGTTGAGACACTGGACGCTCTAAGCCGCCGGAGGAGCCTCCGTATTGGCCTCTCAGTCGCTGTAGGAACGCAGGCTCCTTCGCATCTGAACTTGCTGTTAGCGGGGTCGCATTGTGGCAGATGAGAGCAGATTACCATATGCGAGGTTCTTCGCACTGTGCGACATGCTGAGGAAAGACCTTTGCTGGTCAGCAGTAGAAAGCTACTGCAAAGCGCAGGATTGAGGGTGGAAGCGGCGAAGACAACCTGTTGTCATGCTTCAGCGCATAAGTAGTGATGGCGATGTTCTCATAGGACAATTCATGCACATATCAGCCAAGGTCATATGAGCCTGAACAGCTTAAGTAAATCATCGAAAATACATAAAGATCCGTTGAATTGTGAGTTGTTGCTTGGGAGGTGTCTGTCGCCAAGCAATGAGCGATCGTCCAGTCCGCGGCGGTGGCACTAGTCCAAATCCAGCTCCAGTCGAAAAGTCAAGGAGCCGCAGCTTCACGTTCTCTGGTTGTCTACCTATCAAACATCCAATTCACAAACCATGCTGTGCGCAAGTGAGTCAATATGGGCCCATACACCCCTCACAAAAAATACTAACGATAATCGCGGCAGTTTCGGGAGAGGCACCCCAAGTGCCTGTCGTCTCGCCCAAGAGCGGTAGGTCTGCAGAACCAGACGTTCATCAACTTCAATCTAATTGTTTACAGGCAGCGTCTTCGAGAAACGCCTCATCGAGGCTTATATCGCCGAGAATGGGAAGGATCCGGTCAACGGGGAGGAACTTTCCGCCGACGAGCTCATTGAGGTGAAGGCTCAGCGCGTCGTCCGACCCCGACCTCCCACACTTACCTCGATCCCTTCGTTACTCAGCGTGTTTCAAGAGGAATGGGACGCTCTAGCTTTGGAAACATATACACTACGTCAGACTCTCGCGCAGACGCGACAGGAGCTGAGTGCGGCACTATACCAGCACGATGCGGCCGTACGAGTTATCGCACGGTTGACTAAGGAAAGAGACGAGGCACGCGACGCGCTATCTAAAGTCACGGTTGGCGCCAGGGCTTCTGGAACTGGCGGTGATGCTATGCAGGTGGATTCGACTGGTCTGCCAGAGGACGTTCTGGCCAGAGTTGAGAATACCCAGGCATCGTAAGTTCACTCGCGATACTTGTCGCGTTGATACTTCGCAAAAATATCCTCTAACCCCGGACAGACTTTCTAAGACCCGACGCAAGCGTCCTATTCCCGAAGGATGGGCGACCGCAGAGGCAATTTCCGCATACAAACCGTCCGAAAGCACAGATCCCATCTTCCCCGGAGGCAAAACGTTATCCGTCAATTCAGCTGGTGACTCTGCGCTCGTCGAGACGGCCGAGGGAGTTGTTGGCGTTTTCTCGCTCTCTCAGAAGCAAGTCCTTCACAGCCTTCAGGCAAACGGCCCGGTTATTGATGCTATCTGGGCTGGAGAAAAGGCGGTTGTGGCCTCCGCTACCGGCGCCGTGAAAGTCTTCGAGGGCGGCAATGAAGTCGCAAGCTTCAACTCCCACGCCGGTGCCGCCACGGGGCTTGCGCTACACGCAACTGGCGATATTGTTGCATCTGTTGGTGCGGATAAGAGCTACGTGCTTTATGATCTGACAACCAACGCAGTCATCGGACAGAACTTTAGTGACGCATGTAAGCATACCCCATGACCCACGGCTGAACTCTTGCTAATATTACCTCTTTTCGTTCAGCCCTCCTTTCGGTGCAGTTCCATCCCGATGGTCACCTCCTTGCCGCTGGTGGTTCCGATGGACAAATTAAGATTTACGACGTCAAGACCGGTTCAGCGGCGGCTAACTTTCAGCTTGCGGGGCCCGTCAAGCAAGTGTTCTTCTCGGAGAACGGTACTTTCTTGGCCGCGGTGACAGAGAACTCAACTACGGTCTCCATCTGGGATCTGCGCAGCGCCAAAGAGGTCAAGGTTCTCGAAACCGGCAGCCAGGTTGATTCGATCTACTGGGACTACACGGGACAATTCATTCTTACGGGCGGCCCTAGTGGGCTGACTGTTCAGCAATACTCGAAGGCATCGAAGGCATGGTCAGAACCATTACGGAGCGCCGTGCCTGCTGTAGCCGTGGCCTGGGGCTCTGCTGCTCAGAGCATAGTGGCGCTCAATACTGATGGTGGACTGACAGTGTTGACGGCGCAGTAGTGGAATTGGTTGAGAACTTCATTGTCTGTTTGATTCGTGACGAATCTATTTATGTACTTCTACGGGGTTTTGCTAGGCGAATAACAGCAGATAAAGGAGAAAGATAAAAGAGCATTTCACATGGATAAGTAGCTGCATGTTTCAGCCAAACCTCATCGATTTTTCTCATATTGGCGAATGGATGATGATAACGAGGTGGATGATGCGGGCAGGGCGTTTACTTCCCCGCCCGATTAGCACTCTATCTGGTGATATAGACGGGGACCAAGAGCAAACCTCGGGAACTGGGAACCTAAAGGACGACATTGATATGGTCTCCCAAGGTACTGTGTTGCGCCGAAGGCGGACAGACGTGAACTCGGGTTCAAACGCTTCTTGACACCACAGCTGATAGTTATTATTGCGCTCATAACTAAGCAATTCGATAATGGCCTCCACCCTTACCACATTTTGAGGCGTCACTGCTCCGTACAACAATTCTCACCTCCCGTCCTTCCTTTATTCCTCTCTTTGTCCCGCCTCACACTTACGCAGTCTTTTGCTCTCTTCTACAATCTCCCCCTCTCTCTCTCTCGACACTTGGCCTCAACGCATCCTCAAGAATGAATCGCGACTCCGGAGTTCAGTTTCTCGCCGCTCGGCGAAGAAAGGTCAGTATCGCCTCCTCTCCACGGCCCATTCCGCCACAACCATTCACTTTCCGTCCTGAAAACTTTACTGAAGCAAATTTGTGTTGTAGCGGCCACGACGAGACCTTTCTTCAACTCCGCAAGCGCAGTCGTCCTCGGTCGCCACACCCCGCCCTACGCTCCCACCACTCGAACTGCCCGCCGCACGATACGCCGGCGATGGACTCGACTACCGCCGCCCGGTCACTGCATCTGTCTCTGTCCTGGAAGAAGAGGATGTTATCGATCTTACAAACGAACCAGATTCACCTGAGATTGTTCGGTCGCACACATTTGAAGGAGAGACCGCTTCTCGACGACCTCGGCCACCTAGGTTTGGCCGAGACATCATGGCGCCAGACGTGGTGGACTTGGAGGAGGAACAGAGTCTAGATCCTCCTAGCAGTCCAGAGGTGCAATTTCTTTCGTCAACTGTGCGACAGCAGCATCCACAACCTCGCCCCCCTCCACGAGCCCATGGCCTCATGAGCTCCAACTTTTGGCGCATGCTTCCGCTGCCGCAAGCGTTTAGTCTTAGACGAGAAGTACCATGGCATGCCGCCGCCCATCTCTCCCGCCCTGAGATAGATAGGCTCTATATTGGAGATACAACCGGGACTATGGACTTGACGATTGATCTGGGGATAGAGGATTGGGTAACTGCGACTGCACCTGAGACTGCCCGGCCACGGAGCTCATATAAGGCTCCGAGCCCAGCTCCTGAAGGGTTTACACGATCTGTTCAAGAAGACGATATTGCAATATGCCCTAATTGCGATGAAGAGCTTGGAACTGGGGACGACATAAAGCAGCAGATCTGGGTTGCTAAACAATGCGGACATGTGAGTATCACCACTTACACCTTCAACTACCCGGTATCTGACATTTGGCCAGGTATATTGCGGAGAGTGTGCAACGAACCGTTCTCTGACCAAGGCAAAGAAGACCACGTCCAAGACGAAACCCTTTGCCAAATGTCAAGTGGAAGACTGCGGCAAGCCGATTAGTGCCCCGAAGTCAATGTTCCAGGTCTACTTGTAATGGACACTGGAAGTTCTGTTTATATGCGGGTTGCATGGATTGGTGTTGGTTGGGCGCTTTCAGGTTTTTTCCAAGTTATCGATACCCTTATTGCATTTGCTGGTTCCACGGGCATGGATTTGGTGTAGATATTTCCCCTTCACAGCGGCGGAGGGGGTTTTTTTTTTGGTTATATCATGTTCTGGTTAGTATCTCACTCTAGTGAAGAATAATAGAACACGCATCTTAGATCTTATCCTGAATATCGATTCCAGATTGTGTATATGCATGTACAAGTATGATACAGATTGGTCATCAACCATATAAAGAGCCCATATAAGGACCGACACAGAACATTCAAGAACCCCTAGGATGCGAAACCAACAAGACACAAAAACACCGCTATAACAATGAACGTGGAAAGCAAAGTCCCTAGACACCCTTGAGACCTCCGTGATACGGAGACCAAATGCCACGGACACTCTCGTTGATACTCGTGACAGGCTTCTTGGTCCGCTTGTTCTTCTCGCCGCTGTTCTGCTTCAGGAGGTTCGCCTTCTGGAAGATTTGCTCGGGCTCGAGATTCCGCACGCAGACGGCCTTTTCGCGGCCGTTGATGAAGTGGCCTTTGATGACGGGGTGCTTGTGTGGTCGCGGGGATATGCGGATTTCGATCTGAGGGTTCTCTTTGGCGAAGGTTGTAAGATGGTTCTTCAGGAAGGACCTGAGAACGACCGAGTTAGTATCCTAGTATCGCAGTATCCGGCATTGAATAGTGGGTAGAAACGTACACCATCCCGCGAGAGCTACCTGCCCAGTCGCAGTAGTGGAAATCGAGACGCTTGCATTGCAAGATAAAGGCGCCAACGCCGTTCTAATTGCGGTTAGCCATGCTCAATGTGAGGACCGAAGACCGTATCAATAGCATACTCTGGCAGCAGTGACTGTTCGGATTGCTTGTACCGGCATTGTTGCGATAACCTGTTGACTGTTGCTCTCGCTCTCCGTTCCGCAAGGGGACTTTTTTTGACCACTTATCCGCGGGCAGCGTTCGTACCATTGGCCCGCGGCAACCCCGGCTACCGCGCTAGGCGGCTGGCCTGCCCAGAACGGGGAACGCGAAATTCGAAACATCCCCGGTCGTTGATTGACAAAGAGAGGGATCAGATCACATCGATTTTATCTCCCCCCATGTCTCATTTTCTCAGTTGGTTCTAACCGATCACCATCTCAACTGAGATACAATTGAGGCAAAATGACCGACAAGCTCCCCCCTCCACTCCTCGCCCTCTTCCAACCGCGTCCGCCCCTACGCTGGGTAACACCCATAGATCGCGCGCCGGAAGACGTCAAGAAGAGTAAAATCACCGGTGTCGCGCAGTACCTCGAGGAAGCCAAGAAGAACGCCGAGGAGACGGAGTATAACCCGACGGAAACGTGGTTGCAGCGCAAATGGCGGCAGAAGCTGGAGAAGAAGGAGAAGTTGAATAGGCATTTGACCGAGGGCCTTGCTGCGTGTATGATACTTGGATTGAGATTCGGACGTCGCCTGATTGATGCTAATGCCTTGCATAGATGATCCCAACAATGACCCGCAGGTCCGAGGCGATCCATTCAAGACGCTGTTTGTTTCTCGTCTTAGTTATGAAGTCACCGAGAGTGATCTAGAGCGAGAGTTCGGACGATTCGGTCCCATTGAAAGGGTAACATTATCGAATTTTGTTTGGGTGTCTATGAAGCTCACTCCATTAGATTCGCATCGTCAAAGACACAATTACCCCCAAGGGCGCGAAGAAGCCACATCGAGGCTACGCTTTCATCGTTTACGAGCGCGAGAAAGACATGAAAGGTATTACTGCAACTCTTCTATATGTTCCCGACGATACTAATCTAGGCCTTCCTTCCGTTTAATTCAGCCGCCTACAAGGAAACAGACAATATTCGAATCAGAGATCGGCGAGTCCTGGTGGACGTTGAGCGTGGTCGAACTGTCAAGGGGTGGAAACCTCGTCGGTTTGGCGGAGGTCTCGGAGGCCGAGGTTACACAAAGGCGCTACCTTCACGACCTATTGGTGGTGGAGGCTTCGGCCCTCCTTCCGGTCCTGGAGGATATGGTGGTGGGTTCCGCGGTGGCTTCGGTGGCAGAGGAGGATTTAAGGGCGGTTTCCGCGGTGATCGTGGATTCGGAGGACCCCGTGGCGGGATTGGCTACCAAGGAGGCCGCAGCGGCTTCGGTGGACAAGCGCCGCCAAATGCCCCTTCAGGCCCGGGAGGTGGCCGCAACGCTGGTTTCGGAGGTGGCAGACCTGACCGTGATCCACGAGGAGGTACAGGCAGCAACCGTGAACCCGTCCGGCCTAGGGACAGTTATGGCGATCGTGATAGGAGAGACCGTGATCGCGAGGGCGACCGCCGCGGAGACCGTGGCGGAGACCGTGACAGAGACAGCTATCGCCACCGTGACCGTGACCGAGAGCGTGACAGGTATGGCGGACGAGAGGACCAGGGACGGAAGAGATACCATGAAGACGACGCATACGATGACCCGCGTGCCAAGCGACGATACTAAACACCTACCCTTTGACCGATGGGATCTGATTCAATTCAATAGTTTTTGACGGTTTGTTGGTGGGTATTTCTGGTTGATCGTTTCTTCCCTTATCGTCCACCCCAACATGGCTATGGGTAAGACGACGCCAATGGTACTTCAAAATCCGGTACTTACAACAGTCAATGCGACTCACGAACATCACATACGTCATGGGTATCCAGTTATATCTGTCCATATCGAGGAATTCTCTTGTTCAGTTCCACTTCTGGAATCTGTTGCCCGTTCTCAGAAAGGTTACGTCTCTATTGGTGAGGAGAATGGTTTGAATGTTGCCCTTGCCAACGCCCTATATTCTTCCTTCTCTTTTGCTCGGTCTCGGTTACCCTTTTCTCATTCCTCTTCGTGTCATCATGTCTTTTCTCCTGTTCTAGCCTCTTAGGGCCTGTACCACTGCAGTTGCTTCAGGGGGTAAGTATGTATTTTAGTGAACCTTTTTCAGCAGGAATTGTCCGGAGGGTACCTTGGTTTCTCAGGTAAGAAGATAAGGTAAGGTTTCTCAACAGCGATAACCTATGCCAGATATCTTCGTACAGTTGTAACGCCGTGGGGGCGCGGGTAGTTTGCCAACTCAGCCTCTATAATACTAGTTATATCGTTTCGTAGCGTCCGATTGAGTTGATTGTTTGTTGGTCGTATTTCAGGCAATAGGTAGGATAATATTCTTTTGCTTGATGGTCTATATATTCGTCATACGCTCATAAGTATGCCGAAACCCTGGGACTCAAGACAAGAGAAACAAGGACCAAGTCGATAAGAAGAAGAGAACGCCAACCATAACGCCATGAGATGCCCCAAGGGTTTCATCATACAAAACAGCGAGTATCACTTTTGTGCATTAGAAAGCCCCAATCATTCCACCTCCATACCATTCTCATCCTTTTCGAGAATCTCAACCTCGGAAGTACTCCTGGTCCAGTGCGCCTTGAGCGCAATCTTGAACTCCGAGGTCACAACCCCAAACATCTTCAGCAGTGTCGTCTGCCTCGAATCCAACACATCACCCTGCTTGCAAACAGGGAAGCTCTCCTGCCCCTCCGTCAACTCGAGCATAACCTTTCCCTTGAACAGGCGTGTGGGAACACCGAGCTTACGGAGCTCGGGCTCAATCGTGTGGCTGATGGGTTCGTCCTCGGAGGCGGGTATCTCACCGGCGCGCGAGTACACCAGGCCTGCGGGGATGGCGAAAGAGCGAGTGGCTTCTGTGCCGGCGCGGGCAAAGTCGAGCGGGCGGAAGGAGTCGAAGTAGTCCGTTACAGAGGTGGGGTCCCGCGAGGTGAAGAGGAGACCGACGGCGCCGGTGAGGTAGGGGTGGAGGAGGTGGAGGTTTTCAGCGGCTTCGGTTTCGGCGTTGTGGCCGAGGGCGACGGCCATGACCTTTGTCTTGCCGAAGAAAAGACTGTTTCAAGTTAGCTTTGCGTTCGTTATATTATCATTGTTTTCGACCATCTGCCCAAATCGCAGAAATCAAGCGGTAAAGAAATGCGCGGACGAAGATAGTGATTGGACGTAAGGCACACTCACCGACTGTCAGCAAATTCCGCGCGCACATCCTTCAAGTATGTGTTGCGCATGTTGTCGACTGAGAAAACGAAGAGATGGTCATATTTCTCAACACAGTCGCGGATATTGGCATAGAGCCGTCTGGTCTGTTCCTTGTGGTCCTTTTTGGCGGTCTTGGACTCGTGGACGATTCTGGCACGCTTGGAACGAGGCATTGTGACGGTATATGTGTGCTCGAAAACTCAAAAGCGAGGCTGAAATTGAGGGATATGGAGCGCGGAAGTCGTTGTATCCAAGTGCGGAGAATATTGTCGAGTTGTAGTGGAATTATTTTTTTCTTCGCTGATAACAGCCGGATTAACTGTTGATGCGGGGCTTATCCGACTCGCCCAATCGGGAAATGAGCTGATGGCTCGGGGCCTCATCGTCACAGGAACCTCACTCTATTATTCTCATACTCAATCGCGGGGTTAATCATGCTCTGTACTGCTGACCTTGAGGACTCTTCTCGATAAGACACGCCCTTTTTCAGCTCACTCCCCTTCGCGGCTCGACAATGCTCGACTTCATGGACTATATACAACTCGCGTTCGCCGAGGGGACGCAATGGAACCGCGACAATTCATATTCGTCGCTTACAGCTACGGCGCAGTGTAAGTAGACCTATAAGTCTAATTAGACGAATCTACATTGAAAGAGCCCGTCTCTGACTTTTCGCAGCCCTCCTGGACTTCACAACCCCTGAGCGCATGCGCATCCACCTCTCGTCTCTCTCCACACCTAACTTCGCGACGAGCTATACACTCGGCACTGTCGGCTTAATTGAAGGCTCGGTATCTTATCTATATAGCAACATAGCCTTTGAAGATACACCGAGCAAGAGCGCTTTGATCCCGCTTCGAAAACTGTCCCCCGGTTATCGCCAAGTACAAGCACCTATTGCCCCTCCGGTTGAGTCCTGGGGGTGGGATTCTATACTTGACGGCGCAAAGAACAATGGCAACGGTTCAAGTACCAACGGACAGAAAGCGACACTGCTTCATGCTACGCTACACCTACCGCCACCAACAACCCTGAATGCGCTGTTTCTGCGCCGGATGTCCCCGACGATGCAGCTATCTCTGGCTGTCTCTTCAACAAGAGGCCCTCCACTATCCACGTCCGCGCCGCAAGCCACACTTCTCACGCAACTTTCCCACGACACAGGGAAATATAGCAACGAGTACCTATTCAGCACAGACAACTCCCTCTTCGGCTGGCGGGGACTCTGGAACTTCGGCCCCGATCCGCGATATCACAATGACGCGCCCCGGCTATCGCTCCTATCCGCTGGCGCGGAGGCGTACTACTCCCCTGTCTCCTCTTTGATCGGCATGTCAACAGGACTACGATTCAGCACGCTACCCGCAGCCACAGACCCCAAATCTTCCGCCACTACGACACCCATCTCAACCTTCCCATATACCCTAACCCTCACATTAACACCACTAACCGGCTCACTCTCAACCTCATACTCCCTTCGCGCATCGCCAAACCTCTCATTCAGCTCCCGATTCGGCTTCAACGTCTACAGTTGGGAAAGCGAGATGGTTGCGGGATGCGAGCTGTGGCGCAAATCCAAGAAGTCAAATCTGAACGGCGATGATGACGGTCTTGAGTGGGCCCGACGCAAGGCCCGCGCATGGGAGCCCGTCACTATTCCTCCCACACCTGAACTTCCCCAGGCTCGTGAGGAAGCCGAGAACCAAGAATCGGTCCTCAAGCTTCGGGTCGACCAGTCGTGGAATGCGCGACTTCTCTGGGAAGGTCGCGTCAAGGACCTTCTGGTTAGTGCTGGAGTTGGCCTGGGCCCTAGCTCTTTCTCGCCGTCATCGTATGCGAATGCGCAGTCTGCTTCTGGGGGGCAGAGTAGCGGTGGGGGGACTCCGGGCACGTCTTATTGGAGGGGTGTGGGAGTGTCGGTATCCTATTCTTCATGAGAGGCTCAAGTACCTCTTCCTTACTATATACAGAGGGTTTGTATTTAGATGTATATACAATGGAACGCTTTACGGTTTTTAATACCAAGAGATTCCTGGCGGCTGGTGTAACCTTTATGGATCGAGTGATATGCTGTAATTTTCGCTTTTTTATTATGTAGTATTTATGTAGGGATATCCCATTATAAATCGACGCAGATATCAATGGGCTTGTCCAAATATCAAACAGGCAAGCGCTAAAATCGTTTATAGCTTGTCATTCGAGCCGCCGATTTACAGGCGGGCGTTGACAATGTCGACGACTAGACGAGAAGTAAAGGTGGTTAGCGACAACATATCCCATAGCAGTGATGGTGGCCGATAGCAGGAAGGAGTGACATACAGGCAGGCTTCAGACTGGCACCACCAACGAGGAAGCCATCAACATCGGGCTCCTTGGCGAGCTCACGGCAGTTCTTCTCGCTCACGGAGCCACCGTAAATGATTCGGGTGTTCTCGGCGGTCTCGGCGGAGATGGCGTCCTTCAGCCACTTGCGAATGGCGGCGTGCACTTCTTGGGCCTGCTCGGTGGTAGCGACCTTACCCGTGCCGATGGCCCTATAACTCAGTTAGATCTCGTGCTCGTGCTCGTGCTCGTGAGCGTGTCCGCTCAGGGTGCGCGTGCGCCTTACCAGACGGGCTCGTAGGCGATGACGACCTTCTCCCACTGCTCCTTGGAGAGCTCCTTGGCCGCAGCGTTGAGCTGGCGGGTGACGACATCAATGGTCTTGTTGGCCTCACGCTCCTATAGATATAGTTAGTATGTGTAAGGAAGCTCAATTGGGTGCCGATCTAGTTCGAGGTGGGGTGGGGTAAGGGTAAAAACAAGCAAAAATGAAAAACGGAGCTTTACCTCGAGCGTCTCACCGATGCAGAAGATGACACTTAGGCCGCCCTCAATGGCAGCCTTTGTCTTACGAGCGATGAACTAAGACTCATTAGCATTCAGATCTGTGTCACCGGAGGGCAATTATATGCCCGGTCGCCCATACCTCGTCGGTCTCCTTGAGAATGACACGGCGCTCGCTGTGTCCGAGGATGGTCCAGTTGATCCCGGCCTCGCGGAGCTGCTGGACACTGATCTCACCGGTGAAGGCACCGTTGGGCTTGTCGAAGACGTTCTGGGCGGCGACGCTGAGCTTCTTCTTGTCGGCGATCTCGCTGGCGAGGAGGAGGTACAAGGTGGGAGGGGAGATGACGACCTCGGCGGAGGAGTCGAGATTGGCGGAGTTGAGGTTCTTGATGATGGAGGTAATGCTCTCAACATTACCGTTCCTGTAGAGGGGTTAGACGGGACGCAATCGTTAGCAATGCCCTCTCGCGTGGCTTTGGCGCGGGAGGGGTGTATCGGACGATGGTGGGCATATTGCGGGGTAGAGCGGTCTTACATCTTGAAGTTACCGCCGACGAAGAATTTGCGAGGCATCTTGATTGCTTGGGTGATTGGAGTGTGGGATTAGGGAAAAGAGGTATAGGAAGAGTGAGTAAATTGGAAGCTGGGGAGAGGAAGATTCAAGGAGGGAGAATGACGAAAATAAACGGGAAACAGCGGGACTACTAAACGCTGGGGGGAGAAAGTCTTCCCGGTGACTTAATGGAGGGGCTCTCTTATCGATAAGTGACTCGGCTTGTGTGCTGGCCGTGCGTCACTACTACCTGAGCTACTTGGTCACTGCTCCACTTCACTCGACCGCATCTTGGACGTTGCCCTCGAATTGAACATGCATTTATCTAATCATAACACCATAGAAGCACAACCGAAGTCAATTGCCTTAATACAAGCTAATTCTTGAATAAACCTAACTAATTTGGCCATTGTTCCTTTTCTCACCAAACACCAAACACCAATACGCGAACAATGTATCTCGGACAAATCCCGAAAAAGAAACAAATGAAATGAAGTGAAGAAGACGGTCAGGAACCGAGAAGAAGCTCAGCGAAGTTGCAGATAGCCATGAGGATAAGCGGTCAATGGCTGCCTCAAAGACCTCGAACGTCCCAGGTAGTTGTTGTCCTCATAGCGAGCAGCCATCTGCTGATGATACTTCAACATCTCCTCTCGCTCTGCGAGCTCTGACTCCCATTGATTCAGCATTCGACCTCGGGCAGCATGGTGCGCGTGCCCTCGGAGCTGGCCCATGAGAATATCCAGATCTTCTGCGCTGATCTCTTGCATGATCTTAGGTTGGCTTTCGTGCTGTCGGGCCGTTCCTCGGTAACCACTGTGCGTCCTGCCTAAGCGCCGTGATGAACGGCTGCTGGATGCTGGGATGATGTCGACAGCAGAGTCGTCTCGGTAATAACGTCCTGCTCGGTGATCACCAGCCCGCTGTGGGTCCTTCCGGTAGTGTTGACGGTGAGTATGGCGACGCTGTGAAGGTGCAACCCCACGGTAGAGACTACCTCGCCATGGCGCTGGCTTGGATGCGGTATCCCTCTCGGAAAACTCAGTTTCCCAGTCCTCACCATCAAAGCCAGGCGTCAGGATGTTGTCGTCATCGCTGCTCGTTGTGTCGTATACTAGCTCTGGTTCGGACCCGACGACATGTTTTGGCGACTTGTCGCGCTTCTTCCCACCCTTCGCCTGTTGTTTGGAAGAGACTCTGTGATGAGGGATCTCTTGTTGGTGATTTGGAGAATCGCCGCCCCTCGCAGCGCCTCTCGGACTTTGATCCTGTACCCCAGGTCGCGGACTATGTGCGGGCCCGGTATTTGGGTGATTGTGCACAATAGGTTGCTGCTGCTGCTGCTGTTGCGGATGCGGATGCGGATGCGATGTATACCCGGCGGGACCATTCTGTGCCCAATTGACCTGCTGTGGGTACTTTGGCTCTCCTGCTCGGTGTTGAGGTGGTGACTGAGCGTGAGGCGGTACTTGGACATGTGGCTGTGGCTGGACATGCGGTGGCTGCTGAGCTTGAGGTGGTCCTTGTTGCTGGAAATGTACAGAAGCTTGATGAGCGCCATGGCCGTATGGTTGCGGTTGCGGTTGCGGTTGCGCTTGCGCATGAGTTGGTGCTTGATGAGAGGGTCCTTGTTGCTGGAAGTGAACAGAGGCTTGGTGCGGGCCGTGGGCATGTGGGGGAATTGATCCTCTCCATGGCTCGGGATAGGCCGCTCTGGAAAAAGGTCGAGACTCGTCGCCTGAATGCTGAGGAGTGTGGAGAGGTCTTTGATCTCTGATATCCCTGTATTGGAAAGCGTCCCTGCTATCAACAGGACGAGCTCTGAACCCAGAAGGACTAAGCGCCTTTCCCTGGAGGATGATATCCATCGAACTCGTTTCATAAGAGTTGCGCGAGTAGCCTTTTCCCCGGACATTCCGCTCCTCCTCTTTGACATAGACGCATGTCCAATGGTACTGGGGATTATTTTCGCGAAGTTCGCTGATCAAGTCATCAACGTGGGTGCGTCTGATCAGTCTCAGACCCTGATATTGGTCGACCACCGACTTTCGCTTAGCCTTCTTCTTCACGAGGGCAGAAAGGCCATTCTGTCCGAGGTTCATCCTGGACTTTTCAACCTTAGTCCAGTTGGCGTTGTGGCCCGGGGCCGGTGGAGCCTTGAAGAAAGTATAGCCGACATAGACCAGGTCTGTATCCTCGTCGACCTCGGCGGAAGCATCGAAGCCTCTTGGCCTCGCTTCGTGGAGGCGGTCCTGGTGAATGTGAAGCTGGCTCAGCCGATCGGCTAGGCGATCAGGGTTACTGGATCCGGAAGGGTTATTGTATGCTGGGCGAGGCCCTTCGCCAGGGCGAATTGACGGGTGATGCTGGGGAGTGATGTGTGGATTCATGTTGACAAGCGTCATCCCCCGAGGATACTAGGCACCAAAGGATACGGCAGTGGATAGCTGGGCAGGATTGTGTGTCCACTATCTAAAGAGAAAAGGACGGCAATTGACGGATGAGATGAAATGATGGATGGGACGACAATCAGAGACGTTTGGACGAGGAGGGAGGCCATTGAAATACCCACAGTCTCCATACAAACATCCACCGCATAAGCATACTTTTTTTCATTCTGAAAGGATGGTCAGCGGCAAGTCAGTTTCTCTCCGATAATTGTTTTCCAACCTTTGTTACCGAAAACTATGCGTCGGCCAATGAGATGATGGTTGTGACACACTTGATGCCACACATTCTGGTCGATATCAGAACGCTCGATATCCGAAATACTACGGCGGGATAGCGAGTACCCCAAACACCCCCTCCTTGGGAGCAAGCTTCCATGCTCGAAAAATGCGGAGATAAGGTTGGCGAGAAGCCAGGGCAAAGGGCAAAGGGCACGGCTAGGTAGGTGGCAGGGAAATGGGCAAAACGGGGCAGTGAGCCCGGGCACAGGGAAAATGTGAGGCTTCTGACATGGATATCGATCCCACATCCCTCCATGTAAGTCCAGCTTTCGTCCCTCAACGCTTCCTTGAAGTTCAGGACGTACAAAGGTAGGGTCTAAGCCGCGATTTCCGGTAATCAATGAAGATACTGGATTATTGTGTCTGCAGGCAGCAGCGTTGATCGACAAGAGGCTTGTGTTGATTGCGAATCTTGCGTTGAGGCTCTTAATTATTCTGGAAGTGAGGCGAGAGAATCTAAGCCACTCGCATTGCTTTGCCAGCAAGGAGGGGTTGGCCGACTTCTCTTTCCCGGGTAGCATCCAGATCAAAGGTTCAGGCTCAACAACATGCATGCCCCAGCATGACAGCTTGCCAACAGCCCTTTGTGCCCTCTGCAGCTAAAGACAAGGTAGCTCCCACGATTGGCTGCAGAAGCTCAGAAAGCCTTTCGCTGAAACTTTAGCGCTGGGCAGTGTTGGTTTCGTCCAACAATAATGCCTCATACAATTCAGATGCCGTCCACTCCGCTTGCTTTTCTCCAGCTTTTCTCCAGAAAAGCAAGTTAACAAAGGGCTCAATGCATTCGGGTTGTTGCTGCATCTGCCCTCATTGACCCACAAGGCTCGCTCGCCTCTCCATGTTTGCTGCAAGAAACCCTCTCGTTTTCTCAAAGCTTTCGCTTACTTGCAGGCATTATAGGCCAATCCGCGAGCTATCCGCCCTCTGATCCTTTCGCCAGGGTTTGCTTAATCCCCAGCTTCCTCCTACCCTCCTTCTTTCCAATATTCCATCCGGGCAAAATGGGCGTGCGTCATCTGTCTCTTCTTTCCAAGTGGCTTATCTTGCGGCTGCATCAGACAAGTTGTTTCGCGAGAAGAGCGGGGTACTTTTTTATGCTTTGTTCGCAGTTGCTTCCATAGCAGAGCCTCTTCAAAAATTATTCCTTGCATTCGTTCCAGAAATCTTGGGCTCCGGGGCTCCTGAACTCCTGGCGTAGGCATTCGTCATACGGGAATCTATGACACATATTTTGCTGCAGGTGAGTTAAGAAAAGGTGTGAGCCCCATTAGCCAGCACAGCGGTCTCCTTTGCCTGTTGTTTGTGCTACACTAAGACGAGATTTGTAACCTGGCTAGGGCTCAGTCAAGGCATCTGCGAGATGTCGATGTGTACGACTATATCGTCTTAGATCATCTTGTCACATGGGGAAGGCTCCTTTTACGATCTGATAGCCTCATCTACAGGGATGATCGTGGCTATGTGTCCATACAACCCAGGTCGAAGCGGAATTTGCCGGCTCGGCTCGAACCTCATACTGGGAGCCGGAACTCTCTAGGATTAACGCTCATAATATTCGTAGTTGCTCCTGGCCAATATTATAGACATGATGTGGTGGTATAACGATCTGATAATAGAATAGTGAGGCAAAACCGGGCACATCACGGGTGACGCCCTGAAGTCTTCGAAAGGAAATAGTAGGAAATGTAGGGTAGCCGAGAGGTCGTTTCAGCGTGTTCCCGGGAAGCAAAGCATGTGGTTATCGTCGGAGACTGTCTAGCCTTGCTTGGAGATCGTCATCGGCGCCGCCAGGACCGCCGGCTCCAACTGCTTGAGCAACGCGAGTCTCGCTGACCGACTCTTTCTGTATTCCTGTCGGTGTCTCGCCAAGCTGTTCAAAGGTCGCGTTAGTAAAGCTGCGCCCCAGATGGAATACCGAAGTGATACGAACCGCCGAACTGAGGTCCACACCGATCTCATCTAGGACTTCCTTGACAATGTCTTCGCCCTCTTCTTCCTCACCCTCCATTCCTGTGGCCTCGTCGATTGCGTCGTCCATCATTTCTTGCCGCTCATCCATGATCTCGTTCTCTCGCTCAAATTCCATCGCGATTCGCTGCAGCGCGGGGAGGTTCATTTGCCGGTTCATGCTCCCCAGTAACATGGTAGCGCCCTTCATCGACTGCATCATTTGTTCGTTGCTTCGAACGGTCTATTCCATGCACACGTAAGCTTTACACTAATCGCATATGGTGGCGGGGTATCGTACTTGAATGCGCAGCGAAATGGCCTGTAGTTGTGTCCGCATTTGATAGAACTTCTGGATATACCTAGTGTCGCAGATACAATCAGCGGCTTTCACCAGGAAGGAGGAATGGACAACGCAAGGCTCTTCAAAGAGCAGCATACCTTCGTGTCCGGACCAGGTCCTTCGCCTGGATTTTGCAGGCCCCGATTTGCCCATTCTTTGCGCTCTTCTTGATATCCTGGATGAGTTTTTTTTCCTGGTTCTCCAACTTCATTCGCTCCCGGTCGAGTTCGCGTTGCGTTCTGTCGAGCGCCCGCTGGTGTTTGCGGAGACGCTCTGCGGGCGTCATGCGCTTTCCGAATGCCCACTCGACAATCTTTGAAGCATTATTAGCATTGAGTCCAGTGCGGGCTGCTTGTCGCAAGACTCACATTCATCTTGGAAGAGCAGCAAAGATCTAGGGAAGAAACAGAGGCAGTGAGATGCTAAAATGCAGCAGGTAGGCAGAAAGCCGGAAGCTGCGGTGACATCAGGCCTCGAGATACTAATCATGTATCAGCGATACCATCGTTGGTTACGCAGTCACATGTCCGCCACCAATCCCGTTTCGGACGCGATTTTTACCCGCGCCGAGATAAATCACCTTACCATCTCCTTGACACAATCCAGTCGCCGCATCGATTCATCCGAGCCTCGAGCTCCCATGCAACCCACGGTTTTTTCGCCATGAGTCAGGAGTATTTCCCCGGCAAAGGCGGCTCCTCAGCCGGAGAGGGGCCATCTAGACAGCCGCCAGACGAGCTTCCAGAGCAAAGCCCGTTCGCCCCCCGGCCCCCGCCCGCTTATATGACTGTTGGTAATGGTTCGACTTCGGAGAGTGCTACGGCTTTGATGTCTTCGTTACATACGGATTCGGGATATGGTGGAAGCGTTGCAGATGGAGCGTCAAGCGCGGATTGGAGATCTGATATGTTGGTGGACAGACCGACTCCCGCGCATACCCCAACACAACAGGGAGAATGGAATCCTGCTGCTGAGCATGAGAAGCAGGTTGTGGCTAGCCATGTTCATCAGCTACTATAGTACGACTGTTCACCTTGGTCATTCGTTATAGGCATGGGTTTATGGAGTACTAATGACGACATAGCAACTCGAATCGAACAAAGCTTGCGCGCGCGATCTCCCGGACTATCGAGACATTGAGGGAGCTCCAGGACATGAACCGACAATGGCCTGCCCACTACCCTTCCGTACAGAACTTTCCGGATTCCCCGTCGCAGCGGCCATCGCTACAGCAAAGCCAATCGTACTTCGGCGACGCCACCCACCCGGATGATCCACGACCTGGAAATCTAAGGCGTGCAGCAACAATGCCCTCGAAGGAAGACTTGGCAGAGTCAAGTATCACCGCAGAACGCCGGTCTCCACCGGAACCGAGATTGATGAGCCCTCAGATCGCGCAAGAGTTCTCCATCCTGAAGCTTGACTTGAAGCTAGGAGCCCTCTCGCAAGCTGAATTGGTGCACTCCTTGGAAAAGGCCTCGATTGCGTCGCTTCTGGATGGCAAGATTAGCCAGAGTGTTAAGCATCTCCTTTCGTTGCGGGATAGAATTGAGGACATTTCCAGCAAGGTTCTGATTACGGGGGACCTGAATGCCGGAAAGTCTACGTTTTGTAACGCCCTCTTGCGCCGCAAGGTTCTTCCAGAAGACCAGCAACCCTGCACTAGCATCTTTTGCGAGGTTCTTGATGCTCGCGAGAACGGTGGACTCGAGGAAGTGCACGCCGTGCATAAGGACCGACAGTATAACCGCAATGACGAAACCACATATGACGTCTATTCCCTGAATCAGCTGGAGGATATCGTTGTCGACAACTCGAAGTATATGCAGTGCAAGGTATACGTGAAGGACGTGCGAACTATTGACGAATCTCTGCTAAACAACGGTGTGGTCGATATTGCCTTGATTGATGCCCCAGGCCTCAATTCAGATTCCCTCAAAACTACAGCTGTTTTTGCTCGTCAGGAGGAGATTGATGTGGTCGTCTTTGTCGTTTCTGCTGCCAACCATTTTACACTCTCGGCTCAGGACTTTATCTGGAATGCAGCACATGAGAAGGCTTATATGTTTATCGTTGTCAATGGCTTCGACCAAATCCGTGATAAGCAACGATGCCAGCGGATGATTTTGGATCAGATCAAGAAACTCAGCCCCCGGACATACAAGGAAGCCGCCGAACTCGTCCACTTTGTTTCTAGTAACGCCGTACCTGTTGCGCCTCAGATTCCCGTCGGGGGCCCAGGAGGCGGAGGTGGCGGTGGTGGAGGTTCCGATCCAAACGGAAACGACTGGCCCGGTGCTGGAGACGACGACGATGGTAAGCCTGAGGACAAGGGCAAGGGTAAAGGCAAGGAGAAAGAGAAAATTCAAGATTTCGAGACTTTGGAGGGGTCGTTGCGCAGATTCGTTCTCGAGAAGCGATCTCGCTCGAAGCTCGCTCCCGCCAGGACCTACCTTCTCAACCTTCTCGCAGATATCAACGCTTTAGCATCTGTTAACCGTGAAGTTGCGGATGCTGAGCTCCAAAGTGTGGTGCAGGAGCTAGCAGAGCTGGAGCCAGCATACGAGAATGGCAAGAAAAAGAAGGTCGAGCTCCAGGAACAAGTTGACAAGTGCATTGACGACTCTTGCGATGACGTCTATAATCATACCCGTTCGACTTTGTCCTCCGCCATCTCGAACGTCTCGGAGGCCAACCTAGGCGTCGATTATCCTGGTATCTTCTCTGCCTTCCAGTACGCCGAGGATCTGAAGTTTGCTATGCTGGAACATATCTCTGCCTCTGTTACAACCTGCGAGGATTATGCTCGCGCAAAGACCGCTCAAGGTGTAGGATTCATCCAGAATATCGGTTTGCTACATATTGGAGAGGATAAGTTCACGCCTTTGAACTTCCGCGCCGATATGATGTTCCGTCGTGGTCGTCGTCATGCACTCGCGAGACAGGTCAACACGGAAGTTGAGTTGTTAGATTTCTTTGACATTGCCGGTATTTGGGAGCGGCAAGAGAAGATTGCCGGAACCGGTATGGCGATGACAGCTGTGACTATCCTTGGTGGCAGGGCGTTTGGTGGTATCAGCTGGGTCGACAGCATGTTCAGCGCGGCCAAGTTCCTCGGACCAAACAATCTGCGACGTCTGTTCCTCCCCGGAATTGTCGCGGCTGGTGAGTTCAACCCTAGCTCCAATCCTCATGTCCTCTGTGTGCAGTATCTAACCTAGTCAGCCGTTCTCACAACCGCCTATGTGCTCTCTACGATCCCCCAAACACTTCCTCCTCGGCTTTCCCGCAAGATCGCTGCTACGCTTTCAGAAATGGATTACGTCCATTCCAACTCGACTCGGATCTCAACTGAGGTCCGCCGTATCCTGCGCATGCCCGCCGGTAACCTGCAAAACTCCCTGGCCCAAGACATTGAGGATCTCGGTCGCCGTAAACAGGAGGTTAGCAAGACCAAGCAAGAGAGCGAAGTCGCCAGTAAGTACTTCGCAAACCTATACCGCGACAGCAGCGAGAACAGGAACTCCGTCGAGAACATCGACCTCGACGGCCCGCTGCCCGGTGGACTCGGCGCCTATGACGCCTAGATCTTCTCTTCTCGAACTCGAGACTATGTACAAAATCACGACACTTTACGATGTTTCCTACTCTCTCTGATGTTTGCAAAATATCCCCCTACTTGTACAATTTTCCATTCTTTTTACACCCTTACACCCTCTTCCTCTACTATTTTCTTTTCTTCATGACATTGCCACTACTGCTTTCCCCACTGGAATACTATTAGCCCGATTAGACCTCTGGCCTTTTGGGCTTTATCTCATGTATACATTGCAGGCGTCTATAACTTTGATAAACACGAAATAATTGAAACACTGATAAATTATCAACTGTACCAGGAAGCTCGTCCTTACCCTGACTGTCGACAAAGATTCCATTGCGTAACTGCGTAAGAGCTTCAGCCCCTGTCTAAGCCACTGCAGCAGCACTGTTTCACTGACGTGGAACCAATCAGTAAACGCGGCGAACTCTGGACAAGGCTGGGATGCGAGCTGGAAGACCAAACACCCCGTGTGCTCTTCCTCCTTGAGAACTCGTAGAACACCGCGAAAGATCTCATCTTGAATTTTATCTCGTCGTTTCTTGGTTCCGCATTTGGCTACAACAGAGGACACCATGACTGACCCGTTCTCCATCAGCGCCGGTGTTGTCGGCGTCGTATCCCTCGGCCTTACAGTCAGCCAGGGATTCATGTCCTTCTACGGACCGTGGAAGAGCTACGATGAAGAGATACAGGATTTCACAGGGAAGCTCGACGGCCTCCAAAATATTCTGAAGATCCTCGAAGGGTTTATTCTTGACGAGGATGACTTGGGCCTCGCATCAGACCAGTACAAGAAACTGGTGTTAGCCAACCTAGCCTCGTGCCAGACAGCGTGTCGACGGCTAGAAGAAATGTTGGAAAAGTGTAAGTCAACAGATTGCTCACCGTTTGTTCGGAAGCATGACTGGCTTCGCTCGAGGCGCGCAGGGTACCCGTTCAAGAAGGAGACGCTGGTCATACTTTGCCAGACGGTGTCAGGCCTCCAGGATAACTTGAGTCTGGCGCTTCAGTTGCTGAATAGGTTTGTTTCTTGCGAAGATCTGTTTGATACAGCGCTGACATGATGGAAGTGCCCTTATCAACCAGCAACAGAAGCAACTTCGGGATATTTTCTCACGCACCGTCTCCATCGACTCTCGGACGACGACGATACTCGATATTGTCAAGCAGGACAATACGACTTCTGACTCATTATCGCCCAGGCTAGGACAGGTATTTTTTACTCTTGTATTATTCGATAGTGCTGTGCCCAAGTCCTCTCTGACCAGATCCAGAAATGAGAGTACCCCAGTCACACAACCAGTCCGTCCTGGATCCAAGAACCATCCGCGACCTTTGCAACAGACAGGAACTGATCAATATTGGTTGGAAGCGACAACGAGCCACTTGAGAGGTGGCATTATTGACACAATCTCGAGGTACTGCAATTGCAGCCGCAGGCCCTTGGCTTCTTCTTGTATCTCTGTTTACGTCCTCGCATTCCATGAGCCTCGTTGTCCACTATGTGAGGCCGAGCAAGATAAAGTTGGCGTAGCAGCAAAGTTTACGTTCTGCAATCGACTGCTGGGAATGTCAGTATCTGTCATGATGACTTTGACAACAGGTGCAGGGGCTTTTGCTGTTAGCCGAGGTATTCAACTCCATGGAATTGTCGGCAGATGCTCACCAGCGTTTAAACTGCTCCGTCGCGTTGTCGAGGGTACCAGATGGGGGTGGGATGAGACGTCTGAAACAGTGGGTACAATTATTGTTGACCTGTTGAAGTTGTTTCGCGAGAAAAAGGCTGCTCCCACTGATCGTCTGGACGAAGACGGCAGTACAATTCTACACGTAAGTAGTGCCTCCCCCCAGCTTCGATACACTGTGGGAGGCTACATCCTGCTTTCCACCCTGTTCATTGATGATGGGAGGTTGATATAATTTTATTACCCAGTACATCGCACAAGATCTCTTCGGACGTAACTGGGAGTGGTCGCCCAGTGCAGATGATCTCCAAGCCATACACGGACTAATGGCTGCCATGATTGAAGCTGGGGTACCTGTGGATGAATGGACAGCCCAAGGTATGACCGTTTTCGATAGCTTCATACAGGCCACACCCTTGAATATCCACAAAATGCAAAATGAAACAAGGTCAGTGGGTCTAAACATGATACGAGACCTATTAAGCTCAGGAAGCTATATGAGATCATTTAACTTGGTTTTAGCACACCGTCGGCGTATTGTCCGCCGCCATCAAGGGGGAGGGACGTGGTATAGGTATTGGGACCGGGTGTACAATGCCACACAGATTGCAAGAGAGATTGTAATCAACGATCCCTTTGAGGGTCAGTATAGTGTCTACAGCTGTTCAAGAGCCAACCATTACTGATATTTTACTTCTAGATTTTGAACTTTCAAATATTGAAATGGCTATTATTACGAGATCTACGGAAGGTCTTCAATCATGTCTCTTGCTAAAGCAGGGTCTGGTGAGTACTGCAGACCTCGACGACTTCGAGTTTTGCACACTTCTCCTGATGTGCCTAGGTTGGGTTCCAGGAATTCTGCTCTTACTAAATTCCACTTTGCCTAGGCCAGCTTGGGTGATTGAACACTGCTTTCAAGGCGCATGTCAGTATCATGAATGCACATCCGCCTTGCTGCTTCTTGAATACATAGATGGAATATCCACACACCACCTAGCGGCTGTTGTTACATGCGGAGACATCAAAGTTCTCGAAACGGTCATCTATGAGCTTTCCACCCGCCGCTACCAGCTCCAGGAAGTGGCTCAGCAGCTGTCCGTCAACACTATTCTTTCCCTTGGGTTACCGACGGAAGGTCTCCTGGACACCAGAGCCTGTGCTGTTCAAGAGGTGCTAGAACAGCATGATATTAGCATCGAACCACGTTTGCATACTGATTGGGGCTCGCTGTATAGTGCCATTCCACGTTGGGGAACAACTGCCGCGAACATCCTATATACATCTGGGTTCACGGATCTAAACCAATGCGATACATATGACTTGCCTCCACTCGCATACTTAGGCCATGTGGATAGTTCTTTGAGTGCGGAGAGCACTTTAGAACAGTTCCTTGATTTAGCCTGTTGGATGATTGGCAGAGGGGCCAGCCTCCACCACCTCCAATCAGTGGAAGGGTGTGCTGCTATATTGCACTTTGCAGAGAACCTTGCGGACTGGATTCTAGAAGAGTATCTCAACCTACCATACCAAAGAGTACCATTCTTTGAACTTGCGCTCAAGTCTGAAGTTCAGTCACTAAATGTTGATAACGCACGTCCACTACAGGCCGTTCTCTCAGATAATACAAAAGACAATTGCTCATGCGCTTGTTCGGAAAAGGGGTGTTCCCCAGTAACACGGCTGCTAAGGCGATTTTGCGAACGCAGACGCGACAGCCCCATGTTTAGTGGTTTGTGTGGCTCGATATGTCTCAGACTGCAAGAATTCCTGAGCGAAAGATTCCTGGGGAACCCCAACCCGATCTTCATCTCTTCAGCCATTCGTTACCTGACATTCGACGTTATGGACTTGACGCACACCTGCCATGCGTCAAGGTACGATGACCCAATCGACCCCGAAGAAGCTCGCGAAATTCGCGAGGAAGAATCAGAATTGATCGATCAGCTTGAAGCCTTGGTGGTGGAGTTCAGTGAAAAGTATGACGAGCTTAGGGTCGGCATCCTGGACTTCTTCAAGGGCTACTGGAAAACACGCATGTCGGAGGTTCTGACACCTGCATGGCCCGATGAAGGTGTTCTCAGAAGGGCCCAAGAAATCGGTATTATTTCCTCAGAGGAGCCTGAAGCGAGCTTGGATCGGGTATTATACTGGGTGGCGGAATGGGAACTTCCGGGTGGGTTTTGATGAACAGCTCATGCCCGAATACTCTCAAGACAGGTACATGGATGGATAGTTATATTGCCGCAGCTGTTGGCCTGCACTTTGACCGAAATCCCTAATGTACGAAAGATATCAACGTATATCAATTCTGGGAATGAAGGATATTAGGAACTGAATTTATACAGTACTGGAGGACCTAACAGTACATATCATGACTCTCGATGCCCCCATCCAAGAAGACTAGAGGTCTAAACGCCACCCACGATGCACTATGCAGAACAAGGCTGAGAGAGAGCGATATTAGATCATCCGAGTATATCCACCAGCAAACCGACTAAGCAAGCACATTAAATAACACTTAGAAATCATCATCATCAAGATCAATAACCTTATTCGCATTCCTTGTCCTCCTCCCAGTCCCCCACCCACCTTCCTCTAGATCCCTAACCTCCCCAATAACAGCCGACTGCCTCGTCGCCGGCTTCTCAACGATCTTCCCCGCATGTCTCAGGAACTTCTCCCTCATAGCAACCGCATCCGCATCCTCGTAATCAAGCTGCGTCATCGGCGGCGTCTCCGTCTCTGCCTCGATCCCTGCATCCCGATCACCCTCCGGATACTCGAACTCGTAGCGCCCGCTGTTTGCTAGCGAGGGAATCCCGCCGTCTGTATGGAGACTCTCGACTACGCTGCCGCAGCCGTCGTCGTTGAGTGTATCGATTGAACTCGCGCGAGAAAAACTCTTTTGCTGTTCGGCTGTGCGAGCAGAGGAGTTCGATTGCGCGCGGCCGAGAAGTGGCCTCGGTCGTCGGGAGCGAATCCGGTCGTGTGAGTGTGAATCGCCGGCTGGGTCTGATGCGGAGCGGGATACTGTGGCGCGGGCTTGCTTTAGGAGGCCGTTGACCGCGGAGTCGAGGGCGGATTTTGTGGAGGATGCGGTGGGTGCAATGTGTGCTTGGTGGAGGGTTTTGCGCTTTGTGGATGGAGATGGGGATTTCGTTGTTGTTGCTGCGGGATCGCGGGGTGCTGGTCTTGTGGGTGATGTAGATTTTCGAGATGGTTCTGGGGGAGGAAATTTCTGTTTAGGTGCTTTTTGAGGGCTTTCTGCGATGGATTGTTTTGACTCTTGTTTGTGTGTAGAGTGGGTATCTGATGAGCTTAATTGACTAGGAACCTTGATAGATTGCAGTTGCGTGTTATCCTTGGTACCAGTATGTTGCGAGGGCCGTCTGGACTCGGGGCGAGAACCAGCTCGCACCTCGAGATCTCTACCGCTCTGTGTCAATTGTTTGCGGATAAGATATGGATCGAAGGATTGTTTCTCTTCGTTCCGGATCGAAGCCCATAGCCAGTCGGCCGTGACTGTTGGGACGCCCCATTCATGGGTATGGCGGAGCTTGTCGTGGTTGAGAGAGGCTGAATTGTTGCATATGAGGACGGATGCCGTTGGGGTTAGGTATTCATTATACGTTGCGCCTGAAAGGTTAGCGTTTTGATACCGCCAGAAATTGATAGAGCTGACTCTTACCAACTAGAGTGACAAGCTTTGATAGATGTAACAAGTCGATTCGTGAGAACCCCGTGGAACATATCTTCATTTCGGAAAGTCCTAGTTGATTAGAATATTGGCCGAGTTGGAAGGATGGGCGACTTACCTTTGATAGGAAAGGAGGGAATTGGGGTATTTGCCAGGTGGGATTCAGGAGACACCAAGGTTTTTGCGTCAAGGCATCTCTCTAACCACATGTCGGTCACGATATCGCACTCAAACGCTAGATCTTCTGTTGAAGGGGCGTGAGATCGAGGGGTCTTGTATGGGACAATGATGTAGAGGCCATCGCCTGTTTTTGGTATATCTGGTCGTGAGAATTCGCTCAAGGAATTTACTAATTGTGCCCCATTGAACGAAAGGTGGTCTCGTAAAACGGTGGTCTGGTAAAAGTTAGAAAACAGCGTGAAGTGTGGGAAGATCAGGGCATACCTGTTTGGAGGAAAAGCCATGTATCAGAAAGAAGCAACCATCCAAGAAACCTTTTCGATGACTGACTGACGGTTCTACAGTTCTCTCTCGAGGCTGAGAAGGAGCGCCAAATGCGGTCTGGCTCGCAAATGACCTGGCGACCTGGAGCACACTGACGTCCTTTGACCTTTTCTCGAAAGATGCTTGTCTCTCTTCCCTTGACGGCTTTGGTGCTGTAGTCTCAAACCCAATGCCGACTATGTCCCCCCAGATATTCTCGTTCTGGTCACCAAGTTTAGTACTCGCGATTCTCCGTAGTTTTCGTGGTCGAGGATTTGAGGAGTTTTCGGCCTCCGCTGGCCTTGTTCTGACTACGGAAACAGAACGATTCCAGGCGCCAGCACCTTGCTTTTCCGGCGGTAAAAGCGGGTGGTACAGTTCCTCTTCCAGGATCATTCCACGTTTGATACTGTCGGTAAACCATTTGAGCGTGACGACCTTGACATCCCATTGTGTTGCGAACTTGTACTTGTCGCCTTCTGCACTCAGCGCGACAAGGTGTGTGACTGTTTTGGTGAGATCCCGTCGAAATTCCGCGCCGTTGAGCTCGGCATTGGTGCGAAGGTAGTTTCGTAATCCCACTATACGGGTTATCAGTATGCGCACGAGGAGTCGACAATGTGACAGCACCTACTATCTTCAAAGCCCGTAATCGATATGGACAACCCAGAAAAGGTCGGGAACCTATAATGTTCCTCTAAAGCATGAATATCGGTGTCGCCACCCTTGATCCAAGACTGGCGAACAGCCTCTACCCATTCCGGTCTGAGAACCACCACGTCGGACCTCTCGCGTGCAACAAATTTGTACTTTGGGGTGTTGATCTCGCCGACGATTAGATGGGTGACGGTGGATGTGAGGTCGTAACTATGCTCCGCGCCCATTTGGCTTGCGACGGCAACTATTTCAGTCTATACCATAAGGTTAGCTAAAGCCGGTCTCTAAAAGCACTGCGCAACAAAGGACGGAAACTTGCCCGCTCCTCCGCAGCAATGGACGTGAAGCACAAGACCACCCCCGCAAGAGGGCGCTCTTTGTCTGCAAAGGAGTTAGTAGTGCATACTAGGACGAGGACAAGTAATCGACTAACTCGAGGCACCTGTCCCTGCCATGCTTCATGATTGACAATGCCGCGGGCTTATCGGAGGTTCTGTTGCGGAGAAGGCCGCTGTGTTTGTTCAGTTCCGCAGGACCGCAAGTGTACTCTATGCATTACACAGAGTCTGCAAAAAGGAAATATAGAAAGTTGCAGCCTCTCTTTGCAATAGAGCGCGAATTGACCGAGTTGAAGGGCGTTGTTTTGCTTCCCCACGACGCAGCACAGCGGAAAAGAGCCCTTATCGCGCGGTCACGTGCGATAGGAAGCGCGTTCGGTATCTCTGGAGACGCGATTTAGGGTCGCGGATCCTCTGGCAAGTCCAATCTTCTCGCTCGTTTGCCAAACCCCTCATTTCTTTTCTTGTTTATGTACACATCAACAGCTAGAGCCTGGAGACCAGCTGCTGCTCGCCAATTCCTCTCAAATGGTCCAGCTCTGAACCCGCAAATTGCCTCTCGATACGCGTCTTCTCGGCCACAGCTAGCCGCCGAACCCTCCGAGACGATGTTTAAAAAGGCAGTTAAGGACCACTCGACTGCGAATTCGAGGCCCCTCCAGTCGACACTTCTAGGCGCTCGTGGAAATGTCACCGCAGCAAAAATTCCTCCTCCCACACAATCCCTTGGTGTCAAACGGAAAATCGAGATGACGACCCCGAGCAAATCCGCGTTAGGATCGCTGCACAACGCCGCTGTTTACTTTGATGAGAACGACTTTGATGATGATGACGATTTGGACTTTTCTTCGCCAGACCCTTTCATTCCTTCGACCAGAATCGAGAACAGCTGTACCGAGCAGTCGTCATTCGAGTCTGCAAAGACCACTCTTTTCCTATCTCAGCCAGAGAATTCGCTACCGTCCATAACCTCAACCTACAAGTCCGACATAAAATATCCAGACTTACCACCCATTCCACCCGATGATCCCCCGGCGCCGACGAGCAGCATACAGTTACCTTGGTCCTCCTCCCCTCCTTCTCACTTCCAGAAGCCGACTGCCCCTCGCACTGTACCGTGGCAGAAACAAGAAAAAGAAAATGTTATTGTTATAGACGACGAACCGACTCCGAAGCCGAAGACACCCGCGCGTCCAGCCTCAACTGCCCCGTGGAACAAAACAGCTAGTGCGATTAAGGAGGAGCAGAAAGAGCTTCGCCGACAGTCGAAGAAACAATCTCAGAAAACAGCCGGTTCCACGGAGCATGCCGCCCGCCCTCAGGTCGCTCCCATATTCCTCAGTGATGAACAGCGACATGTTTTGAAAGCTGTTGTTGAGCAAAAGAAGAGTATTTTTTTCACAGGATCAGCGGGAACAGGCAAATCTGTTCTTATGAGGGAGATCATTAAACAGCTTCGGAACAAGTTTCGAAAGGAGCCAGATCGAATTGCAGTGACAGCATCTACTGGGCTTGCTGCGTGTAACATTGAAGGTGTTACTCTGCACAGTTTTGCAGGCATTGGCCTGGGCAAAGAGCCTGTGCAAGAGCTTGTGAAAAAGGTTCGTTCATACCGATCGACCATTGATTTTGATCACCTTGGGCTGACAATTAGCAGATCAAGAAGAACCAGAAGGCGAGGAACCGCTGGTTGCGGACAAAAGTGTTGATTATCGACGAAGTGTCTATGGTTGATGGGGACCTATTCGACAAGCTCGAAGAGATTGCTCGGTCAATACGAAACAATGGTCGACCTTTTGGAGGAATCCAGCTCGTCGTCACTGGCGACTTCTTCCAGTTACCCCCAGTTCCTGAAGGCCATAACCGCGAGGCAAAGTTTTCATTTGCAGCAGGCAGCTGGAATACCTCGATACAACACACAATCCTCCTTACGCACGTCTTTCGTCAACGCGATCCCGAATTCGCGGGAATGTTGAATGAAATGCGACTTGGGAAGCTTAGTCCTCAAACAACGCAAGCCTTCATGCAGCTTTCCCGTCCATTGGACTTCCACGACTCGCTTGAAGCTACCGAACTGTATGTATTCTGACTGGCCTCTGATATGATATGAACGCTAACCCTGAGATCTCTCGTGCAGATTCCCCACGCGCAATGAGGTAGACAACGCAAATGCAGCTAGAATGGGACGACTATCTGGTGAGACGATGACGTTTACTGCAGTCGACTCTGGAACCATTAAAGAGCCGCAGTTCCGTGAAAAACTACTCTCAAACTGCATGGCCCCTCCTGTAATACACCTCAAGAAGGGATCCCAAGTCATGCTCATCAAAAATATGGAGGAGTCTTTGGTAAATGGGTCGATCGGTCGAGTTGTCGCTTTTATGGATGAATCAACATTCGACATGTACATTGAAAACGAAGGTGACTTTACTGGTGGCAAATATGATGTGGATGATGAGGAGTTAGCTGCTGCCCGTGCGCGGAAGAAGCTGAAGGGATTGGCGCACAAGGAAGGTGCTGGTGGTGTTACGGCCACCAGGAAATGGCCTTTGGTATGTTTCATTCAGCCGGATGGATCAGAACGGCACCTCCTCTGCCAGCCGGAAACTTGGAAGATCGAGCTTCCAAGCGGCGAAGTCCAGGCCCAGCGACAACAGGTTCCGTTGATCCTCGCATGGGCTCTCTCCATCCACAAGGCCCAGGGTCAGACACTACAACGGGTCAAGGTAGATCTTGGCAAAGTCTTTGAGAAGGGACAGGCCTACGTTGCTCTCAGTCGAGCTACATCGAAAGATGGCCTTCAGGTTTTACGATTCGATCCGCGCAAGGTCATGGTGCACCCAAAAGTCATCGACTTTTACAAGAACCTAGTCGACGCAAGCGAGTTGATCAAATCGAAACAAGCCAGGTCACAGCCATCGGCCACAGGTGGTAGCAATGAGGATTTCGACCAGGATTATCTCGACGATCTGATTGCCGAAGCATCCGAATTTCGGTAGACACATAGAAGTGTTTCGATTTTCCACTTGCTGTTTTTTCTTCATGTCGCTTCTATTATGCTGGCTGACCGCGTTCTTCTACTTGCACATCATTGATATCCACAGAGCGGCGGCTACAATTGCGGTTATTTACGGAGTATACCTAGACAGAGTACCTACAGATAAGCTCACAGCAGGCGTACAATCGAGTCAAATGTTGATTTATATAATACAAATACGTACTATATTCTGCCATTTTACAAACCCAAGCGCTCGTTCCATAAAACACTAAACCACACTCCCACTCACACCCCCAAGAAGAAATGAGCCCTACACCAACAAAACCCTTTAGAACCCCGAATCATCAAACCCTCATCATGAAACAAAAATAAGAGAACGAGTGAGGCTCGAGCTCGGACTCGCTCACTGTGACCTATACTTCGACCCCGTCGTCCCCTTATGCTTCCCCGTCTTCGTGGAATTCGGCACCTCGGGCTTATTCGCCCTGCGTGCGGCAGCAACATTCGGCTCGTCCGCGAGCCGGTGGATATCCTGGCTCTCGCGATCCGCCACGGCGTTCTCGTAGTCGTCTAGTGGCGCGTCGTCGTCGACGAACCCGTGCACTTTCTTGGGGTGCGGCGGGGGTGGGGTGCTGGGGCCTTTTGGCATCTTTGCGGTTGAGATGAGATTGTATCAGATGGGAAGGCTGGTTCTTAGATAGAGGGGAGGAACGGAGATTGTCTCAATCAGTTTGTTCGATATAAATTGATTTATTTGAGGGTTAGGAGTCTGGGGTGGCTTGTTTATATGGGTCGGGAGTGAGCGCGGGATTGCATCATGGCGACGTGGAAAGTCGATGGATGTCATATTAACGCAGGGAACCCTGGAACGGGTGAATGCCCTGTTGATTTAATAGGCCATTTTCAAGCATGGATAAATCGAGGGACTTGGTGGAAATGTTCGGATCTGGGTGGTGACTTAGGGCTAGTACCAAATACTACTGGCGATGCCGTCGGCGATTACAGAAAGACGTTAATTTCAAAAAAGGGGAAGAGAACGGAAAAGAGAAAGATAGGAAGAAGAATTTGTAGCTATTATATAAATGCTTCAGAGGCCTGTAAACAGGGAGAAAGAGACAAACCCCGCAATCCTGAGAAGTGAAAACAACTAGCAAACATGGATTGAAACTGGTTGCAAAAGGTGATGGCGCTGGTCCAATTTATCCATATATTCTGGAATGCTTCTGCAAGCCAATGATTGGGAAATATTATGAGACATTCTATCTTGGTCTGAACCCTAGATTTGAGAGAAGTCAATAGTACCCTTCCAACCGTCAAAGCTGCCCAGGTCTGCATCCCGGTTGATCTCAGCGTCTGGCATGCTTTCATCATCATCATCTTCTTCTTCTTCCTCCTCCTCCTCAGACGCATTCAGAGGCTCAGGGCCGCCCAGGACGTCTTTGACTCGTCGTTTGATCTCTTGAGCTAGGAATGTTCTGAGATCCGGTTCTTTCAGATCTTTCCAGCGCTGAATCATACCGACCACCCCACTCAGTTTCAAGCAAGTCTCTTTGAGTCCCAACGCCGGGTCCAGAAGCTTTGGGAGTAGATAATCATGCTCTTCATTGCTGACTGAGTCGATATCAGGGACAGGCATATCGTCCTCGATTTCGCCTCCACCTTTCCACCGAATCAGGACAACTTCGGGAACACCAATTGTCTCAACAAGATATTTCCACCTAAGTGCGACGCAGATTGTCTTGTCAATGTTCCGAATCAAGTCGTCCTCATCTTGAACTTGATGCTGACTTCCTGGGGTTCTAGTCCCCTGTCCAATCTCAAGGATCATTTTTCGAGACGCAAATTCTCGCGAATTTGGTTCGTCCATGCCATATGATATGGCCTTTTGGAATAAATTGGTGTATTGTGCCCCAATCTCAACTGCGGCAAGGCGCATACTCAATGCGTGATAGAGTTGCCTAGCTTCATAAGTGTAAACCCACCTAAACATGCTTCCTATGTCGTTCGGGTTCGGTGCATCTGATATCGATTCATGGCTGCCGAAGCACGTCCAGTTGGCTTTCATCAGGCTGTGAAAATAGACTGCACACTTGGGCTTGATGAAAGACCCATCGTTCTGCTTTCCTGGTCGTATTTCGGACGATGATGGAGCTCCATTGAGTCCCATTAGAGCTTCAATTTGACCTTGATTTGACGGAACTGGTATCAAGGCACCACGGGTTCGAGGGTCCTGATGTGATTTCCTCTCTTGATTTGCCGTCATACTCGGTGAGCAAGCGTAATTGTACTTGGCACAGCGATCGCATTTTTGGCGAGGCCAAGTGCGATTGACAGGGAGACACTGCATTCATTTCCGTCAACTACATGACACCTCTTCCAGAATCAAGTCTCAAAAGAAAGAAAGATCAAGGTATGTGGCGAAGAAATCAGGGTCTGCACCTTCTTTTTGTCATGTCGACACCGGATGCACTTGGAATAATGCAATCGTTGAGGAACGGTCGCCCTGTGCGCCCGATCCATCGCAAGGACAGATATTCGGTGCCGATTTGATAGAGCTGAAAACGACAATAAAAGACTAGTCCGAGGACCTCTTAGATACGAGGGTTCAAAAGCTTCTGGGTGATCTAGCAAGATACTGAGGAGCTATGGATGACCCAAACCAAGTGGATTCGTGCCCGTTTTAAAGCAACCTGGTACCCCTGAAGCCTCCTTCAAAGTTCGTGTTCACTGGTCGCAGTTCTTCACAGAATATCCATGTTGGTTGAGGAATCCTTCGAAAGTTGCGATAGCGCGCAATCGCAATCGCAGTCGCAGTACTCTTTAATCGCAGCCTGCCGCAGCCGCCAACTATTTCCAGCCCCCACGACTCGACCAATAGTCGTATCACATCACCTGGGCTGTTGAGTTTCGATTTGTCTTTTCATGGGGGATCATACCAGTCTACGATCCTGTTGGCTCGCCAGTCCAGAGGCAGGTGCTGCTGCTTTTCCCAAAATGCCTTACAGTAATGTCCTGGAAACCCCCGACAGCAGCCTCCCCTTCCCTCCTAAACCGGAAACAATCGCGAAATCAACAAAATGTCGGGACCGAACACGACGCACCGGGTGAGCTCTTCCAAACACAGGGGGGTGAGGAAGGCGTGTGGTCTTTTCTTTCGAGGTGTAGGGAGAGCTGTCGCTGACATTGGTAGATTCTACCTGGGCAATATCTGGTCAGTCGCAACTATGGAGGGACCCAGGAAGAACTACTGAGACCTGCATTATCCAGACAGGGTACGCCGCGCGTGGGATTACTTCAGAAGTAGGTTTTCCGCCCGCCATTTCCCCTACCATAAAGCTTACAGATGTTACAGATATGGTCAGAACTTGGGCTTTGAATTTCTTATGACAGCGTTGTTCAAGCACCAGATCAACCGTCGACGATTGTGCTTTCCTTCCGCCTGCAACAACTAGACAAGCCCGATAAATCCGCCACAGTGCCAGACATACATAGGGCTTTCGGTAATACCAGGCTCCCACGAACGTGCAAACTGCCTGTATAACCTCCATCAATATCTTATTGAATTGCAGGATGCGTCGCGAACATTGATTTCGGAAAGTACGCCGACGGGGACGCTGCAGTTTACCCATGATGGACAGTTTGCAGTATTCAAGCCGGGATATCTGGTGTTAAGTCTGGCCATTGCCATTATCGCAAAGTGTCTAATATCTTCAAGGCCATGAACCAGCGAGGGCGTTGGATACCATTCATTGCCAACTCCATGAGCTCATGCTAAAAGCTGAGGAACAAGCATCTAGATGGTGGGATAGGAAACTTATCCACTAGCAATGAGATAAAAGCCCTGCTGGAGGGGAGCCTGTGGCGCATTGCCCAAAACCGGCTGTACATTACCCCGACACCTGCGAAACGACGACTCCTCCTCGAGACGAAACTACCCCAGATACAATACGAAGATGAGGATATGCTTCTGCTGGGTTGAGTGGAAAGCGATACGGAAAGCGATCAGGCTGCTACGCTCTAGGTACCTGCAAGCAAATGTCATCATATCATCTCTAACGCGGCCTGTGAGGTGGGAATAGGTTCGAGGTTCACATACAGCGAGGATTGGGAAACAGTTGAGAAACTGGAAATCTGCTCTGAATTCAATTATGAGGCACTGATGTCATAGATTGGTGAAGAATTGGGACTCGAGGTCCCACAATTCAATGCCACTGCCATGGAGTAGCTGCCGGCATTCCTATTCGAGGGAGTATGCGGAGGAGGAAAGCACGACCGCATTGCCTATGCAGGAAATAGTGAGAGATGATGAACGAAAGATCTGAAACGGTGGCTGCCAAATTGAGGTGTGCCACTGGGCGCAAGGCTGGCATCTTTATACATATCATGAGCGTTGATTTGGGTATCTTGGTGGCTAGTGAGGCCACCCTAGTGTCGAATTCGAGGCAGTATGCGCGATGGTCTTCCGGATAGGAAGCCTAGATTCCGCTGGTGTAGATACGCGAGACTGCGATACCAGTCAAGGCACTGCCTAGATCGAGTTGCAATTTTATGATTGAATTTAAACAATCCAGATCAACGTGTTTTTTCCAAACTTGGTCGTCCTTGGAAGAATAGATAGGGTGGTGTTCTTACGGGTCTAGGCTACAAAATCTATAGGCCCATGCGCACTATTGCTGGTCAGACTGCTTAGGTAGTACTCCGTCGAGTCACTATCGCCACCATCACACTAATGAAAGCGAGGCACCAGTAGCATGCAAGCGCAGTTTATTGAGAACCCGAAAAGGGTTTAGATTTCAAATCTGGTGCCAGATTTGAAATCTAAACCCTTTTCGTTGCTGAGAGGTTCCGAATGAGTTCTGAATGGAAGGAATCGAATCTTGTGTGATCAGTAAGATCAGTGATCGAGCTCGTTGCGTTATCCTGAATCCTGCGTTTCTAGGAAGTTGATTTTCCCCTCTCCGATATTGTTCGCCGCTTTGTTTGATAGCCACCGTTGATGTTGGCTGGTGGAGCTGTGAGAGGGGTTGGATTCTGTTCCAGAACCTCGCTGAGCCAGGAATCGATATCTTTTCGCTTCATTCAAGTCTCGTAAAAAGGGTGTCAAACAAAACGATAAAACCCGTTTGTTGTGCTGCATTATCCGGTTGTTGCGAGATCCAGGACTGGAATGGCGTGTGATTTAGTAAATTAGTCGGAGAGAGCCGCATGGCGAGTCTGGCGCGCTCTGGTCGTTGTCTCTGGCATCTTTACAGGTAGTCAAATAAACCAAAGACATAAAATTATGTTTACTACTCATTTAACCACAACCACTCACCTGTCAGCCTTGCTATCATCCTCCCTATCAGCCTCCAGATGAGTCCACCGCGGCACCTCACCACCCTCAACGCCCTTAACAGCAATAACCCTCTTATCCCCCGGCACAACATCAAACCCATTATCCTCGAACCAAAGGCCAGGCCTCTCTTCAAAGACAATGCCCTTAGTCGGCTTAGCTGCCGTAACGCTAATCGCGCTTTTCTCGGCGAGGTATTCCACGGTCACGCCTCGGTCTTTCAAGTCGAGGTACTTGAGAGGCTGCGGCCAGTCGATGTCCCGGCTTATGATTGAATTGTTGACGGTCAGTGTTGCGGAGATGACGATCGGGGTGGTGTATGGGGGTTCGGTGTAGTTTAGGTGTTCAGTGAGGATGTCCGTTGTTCCGTTGGGGTTTATTTCAACGTTGCGGAATATAGAAGGGGGTTTGACGTCTTTTCCTGTGGTAATTGAGATATATCGCACTTCTATACTAGCGGATACAGCTTCCAGTCTGTTACTGGCAACCCAGACGTCGAAACGCGAGGTGGTGGGTGGTCGGGCGTGTCCGGAGACCCATTCGTGATACGTGCGAGAGGCTCCAATGGCTAGGGACTGAGAGGCTCGTGCTATGGCGTAAAACGCGGGCTTCTTAATCAGGAAGTAGTCAACGACCGCCCAGGATATCGTGGGCCAGCAATCGTTCAACTGCCAGACGAGGATGCCGCCGCATCGACGGTTCTTCGTTTGGCCCCAGTCGCGTCGCCAGCTGCGGTAGGCAAAGGTCATAGTCTCGGATTGGGCGAGTTGAGAGAGATATAGGTAAGACTGTTCTAGTTAGATTCCGCACGCAGATTATATTCGATTCTAACATGGTCGGGAATACCTTGAAATCCTGCTTGATTCTAAAATTTTGCAGTATGTATGAGCCTAGTCGACGTTCATGATCTCGAGCTTTATTGCGAAAGTCCATTGTCAGCGACTGAAGGTACTTCTCGTCGAGGTTATCGAAGAAGGTGTCAATTGTATGCATATGTGGATACCCTTCCATGCCAAACTCGCTAACGAACCGGCCGCCCATCGAGGCAAGGTTCTGGTAGGGCTGCATAGTTCCGTGCCAGACTATAGACATTAGCAAAACCATTAAGATTAGAGAAGACAAATGCGTACCATCCCACTGATGTATATCTCCAATTGTCGGGTCGGTAGTATGCTTGCCACCTCCCCATGGGCTGCTTGGGTGATAAGGGAGCCCAGGGCATTCTTCTTCTACTACCTTGGGTAGAAGATACTCGTAGATATAGCGTGCCGGGAAGGATGACTTCAACCATGAGTTCGGATCCTTGTCGGTTTCGTAGTCGTAGGTCAGGTTGTATGTCTGCTGGATTTGATAGTCCTCGTTGTTGCCGGCGTATATAACGATAGAGGGATGGTGACGGAGTAGCCTGACATTAGCTCGAGCCTCCTGCTCAACTGATTCAAGATACTCGGGGTACGTTGGGTAAGAGGCGCAGGCAAAGAGGAAATCCTGCCACACCAAGATGCCGAGTTCGTCGCACGTCTCGTAGAATATCTCTGGCTCAAAGACACCGCCACCCCAGATGCTGCTAGATGTTAACTACCTATAACCGAGAACGATGCACGACGAACACACCGGATCATATTCTGGTTGCCCTCAACCATAAGCTTCAGCCAGTCCCGATACTTAGCGTCTGTTAGCCGAGGCAAGAAGCTCTCTCCAGGTATCCAGTTCGATCCGCTGCAAAATACGTCGACATTGTTGATTCGAAAGTAGAACGACTGGCCATGCTCATCCTTCTCCTGCACCAACTCAGCTCGACGAAAGCCCACTTTCTTCGACACTTTATGCAGTAGGGTCTGCCCCTTGAACAGCTTTGCCCCGAACTCATACCTCCTCTGCTCTCCGTATCCATGAGGATACCACAAAGCAGGATTATCAAGCTCAAATCTGGCTTCCGCTGTCCCATTGGGATTCACATCGACATCTGCCTCAAAAACGACAGTCTCTTGGTCTCGCAACTCAAATCGCACCCTTCCAGCCCCGGGATACTCGGTCCGCACATGAAGTGTCCCCGAGCACGATAAAAGGTCCTCTGCAACAGTGCTCTGCATCCACAAATCATCAATCCTATCCACGTATGTCTCCAGTCGAACAGGTCTCCACAGACCCGACGTCACCAGAATTGGGCCCCAATCCCAGCCCCAGTGATATGCCGCTTTCCGCGCGCCCAGACGGCCGACTTCTGTCTGATGCGCAATATACCGATGCTCGGGATGGCTCTTGACAACTTCCCGGCCGCGGCGAACGGGAGAATCGAAGACGATCTCCAAAACGTTCGATTCGTTCGGATCGCTTGATACCGCATCCGTGATATCAACTCGGTGCGGGATAAACATGTTATCAGATTGGAGAATCACACTGCCATTCAACCTCACCAACGCAAAGGTATCCAGGCCCTCAAAGACAAGACTGTGCCGCGTATCCAGGGAATGGCTCGAAGGTGTCGCAAACGTCGTGCGATAGACCCAATCTCGATAGCTGACCCATTCGACTTTCTGCTCATTGAGGCCGACGAACGGATCCGGAATGAGGCCGTTGTCGAGGAGGTCGAGGTGGACGACTGAGGGGACTTTGGACACGGGCAACCATGATTCTGGTTTGTCATCGCTTGCATCTTTGAACGTCCAGCCGTGGTCTAACAGTTTGGAATTGAGTATTTCGGGCATCATGAGTACCGACGTCTAGCGACTTAACAAAAGATGTTGAAAAGACAGAGAATGAAGAACTTGCGATCACTTGCAAGGATCTTGTGGCCTTCAACCGTGGACTCTGATCTAGTGAGCTGCCCCTCACCCCACACTGGATACACGCACAATAGCGCCGGTAGTTACACAGCTGTCCCACGTCATCAAATCGGATTATTGGAGTAAATCCATGTCCGACGCGGAGTTCCAGATGCGCCACGGGGAGTCTCCCCGATCCCCGCAAAAGAGTCGGAGATGGCGTTCTTGGCAAGGTCGGCATCTGAACATGAAGTATAAGAGTGCCAACTCCATGGAGAATGTTCTGGATGTCGTCTTTGTTATTTGTCTCTGCCTAGGTCAGGTTCCTCTCTTGCGCGCTTGCGTGTTAGTGAAGGTGTTATGGGTACCGTGTCTCCGCTATCTCCGACTGACGGTCGTTCTTTCCATTTCTGCGGTACTGGATACAAAAGAGTTATGAGGAAGGTACGATCGGCGGCCGTAAGAGGAAGGCGCTACTGAGTATATTTGGAAAGGGAAAGAAGCAAAAGATGGTTTAATCATCCCATGGGAGTGTTGGTGGAGTGGACGTTGAGTTCCAAGTTGTACTTGGGTGTTGGTATGTTTGCCTGAGGTGTCAGCGACAAATAAAAGATCAGGTGGCCCACAGCCTTGCGCTTTTCATCTCCGCTCGCTGTTTCCTCCTATCCATAGAAAAAAAGTCCAAGCGATTCTTCGTAAGGTGTCCAGAGGTGCGCTGCAAACGCCAGCACCTCGTAGAGGGAGGTCATGGCTGTCTCAGCTAGCCGTAGCTGCGCAGCTGGAAACTGTCGGAGCTGCATTCCGCAGATGCCAGCCAGATTCTGGGCTTGATAAACCCCGCCGAAGGTAAACGCTCAGATGCAGATGAGAGCGTGAACAATGCTCTAGGAAAGCCAGCCGTGTGATCTGAGAGCGATGCTTATGGAGGAGAATATGAGTGCATAGAGGACACCATGCTGGTGTGCCCGACTTAGGGCTATCTTTGGGTGCCAGTCGGTATTAGGGTTGAATCTGCTCTAGAACATGATCATACATATATGTGGAATTGAGATTGGCTTTTAGCGAGACATTGAAAAGCTATTTAGTTTATCTAGTATAGGCCGTTCCTGAGCATAGGCTATCGCAAAGTATAGGCTATCCGGAAGTACACGGTATTATCCCTGCTGGCGAGCTATTAAGAGCTCATGAATTCTAGAATTATTTGTATGATCCATTATAGTCCAACCTTACGATCACTCCATATTGGTAGGATGTCGCGGAGAAATCAAAATATATGAAGTTACGCTGTAATAAATTGAGCTGAAGGCTGTGATATACTCCTGGTAGCCTGAGAAACATCGTATCAACATCGTCAGACGAGTTTAGGAGCCGCCCTCCGCCGGTGAAATGGGGAATCTATATCAAGACACCCTCAGCCGGTGGGAAATTTTTTTTCAGGGGGACCTTGAGCCAAGGCATCACCACCAATGACCCCATCCATTCAGAACTTGTCCGCGCAAAAATGGCTTCCTGGACGAGCATTGCTTCTGTGCTAGCCATGGTGGTGACCATTCATCATGCTTCTTCTGACGGCTTGAGACGAACGAGCATGGGCAAGGTTGATCTCCATTCCCTCTATGTCCCTCCGTTTTGGAGAGAAGAGTCGATATTGGCAGGTTATGGCGAGCCAGATGGGATACCTGGAATCCCAGTAAGTTCCACTTGTCTTTCCCTCTACAAGTCACTGCACTGCATCCTCCTTGACTCACGTACGTTCTCCGTCGCCAGGCCTGGTCTGAAGAAGCCCATCTCGAGTTCATGTCCCAAGCAAACATCATAGATTCAATCCTCAGCATCACCTCGCCCGGCACACACCTCACACCCGGAAACAACACGCACGCCCGGCGCCTGTCCCGACAGTGCAACGAGTTCGCAGCAGACCTCAAGCGCCGACGCCCCGAGGAATTTGGATTCTGGGCAGCCCTCCCCTCCCGGACGTCGAGGTGAGTCTCGTCGAACTCGCATATGCACTCGATCACCTTGATGCCGACGGCGTAGCTGTCTTCACGAATGCTCATGGCGTTTCTACCTCGGCGATGAATCCCTGAGCCCGCTCTTTCAAGAGCTGGACCGCCAAAATGTAACCGTCTTCGTCCACCCGACTAGTCCCTGCATCCGCGGCGCGCACGGTAACAACCCACAGCCCGCATCGCCGCTAGCCGAGTTCTATCCAAACCCGATGTTCGAGTTCCTCTTCGAGGGCGCGCGCGCAGTGACAAACCTCTTCCTCTCAGGAACAGTCGACGTGTTCCCCCACGTCACATACATTATCTCCCACCAACAATCGAGCGCTTCACTCAGTTCGCGTCATCGATCCTGGGTCTCCCGCTGCAGATCAACTCCGACAGCGTCAAGGTAGCGTTTGCGCGCAGCTTCTATTTCGATCTTGCGGGGTTTGTGTTCCCCGATCAGATCTACGGACTATTGCGCTATGTTGGTGCGAGGAGTATTGTTTATGGTAGTGATTATCCGTATACACCGGGCCCGGGTATTGTGGTGCTTACGGAGACGATTAATGAGCATATGGACGAGGCGTTTCCGGACCCACGTGACGTAGAGGACATATTCGCTGGAATTGCGAAGCGCATCCTTGATCGGCTCTGAAAGGAGGGGAGATAAATTGTGGACACTACTGCATGGTGGGACGTGAGGATGGGCAAATGGCAGCTTGGAAAGATAAGGCAGGGGTAGCAAAACAGCCAATCTGATTGAAATTGTAGATAAATAGCAATGAAAGCATGCACAGGCCGGCTAGAGGGGGTATAAGCGCTTAAGACTCTCCTCCTCGTCTTCTTCCTGATACCTCTTAAAAAACCCGGTTGTGCCATGTAAAGGTATCGATTTGGTTGTGGGTTCTGGCCAGTAAGGAAGGCCGAACTGTTCATGATACCACACGTCAAGCTCGGTAGGGCATCGCGGCCACGGCTTGCCCCGGGCACACGCTTCATCGAGCATAACCAGCCGCCGTACGGTGAAGATCACAAAGTCACAGCCAAAGAAGTCCTGGGACCACGCGTACCAAATTTGGTCACGGGAATTCCAGGTGACAAGGCTTGCGTTCCTCGACTTCGTTGCCAAGAATGCAAAGACGCGGGACCTAAGGGCCGTCAAAACGCCCTTTTCGATGGCAGCTATCAGGTGGTGCATCCGGAGGAACGTGGGATTGTCGTTTGGTTGGCGAGAGATAATCGATAAGTTCGGCACCCTTTGTTGGTCCGTCAGGAGTTCCGTTATTCCGTTGCGACCTGTAGGGGGTTGCTGGAGCAGCATTCGTCTCCAGTTTGCTTCCGGACGAAGGTATGCTCTTTCCCGGAAGAAATTATGCTTTTTATGCTTCTTAGGAAGCCAATGCTTGCGGTGCTGTGCCTCTTTATAATTTTAGAGATTGGGCCAAATAAGATTCGACACGAGTGGATTTCTTTCACTTGGGTCGGAGGACGATATTTGCCTCTGCGACGCCTTTAGGAAGAGCGCTCTGTGGAGTGTATCAGATGCCTCGACTACGTCGCGCCACAGGCGGCAAACTCGTTGGCAGTTGGTAAGCGGACGCATTTCCAGACAGAGCAGAATCTCTTTGACGACGTCTGATGTGTATAAGCGACGGTGCGGTTTCGCTATTCTAGTCTTTTCGCCTTCTTCGGCTTTGTCGCCTTTTCCGCAACGAAAACTCGCGAGCCAAGGAGGAGACAGAGGAGGCATGATGTTATCGAGGGTCGTTTTGAGGGTGAGCAGGTGGCGAGACAAGCAAGAGAGAATGAAGAGGAAGTTGCAGATAAAGATCGAGAGAGAAAAAAGAACAGAGAGAGAAAAACTTCTGCTTGGTCAAGAGATCTGCTCACGAAAAAACCTTGTCGTCCCAGCGTTGGGTCGAGATCGATTTCCGCAAAGGTTACTTTCTTCAAAGTTCAGCCAGACTCTCCCACATGGTTTTTCCTGCGAGACAACCCTCCCGGACCGCCGTCCAGTGGTCTTCTGTAGCAACCTACCCATTTTAAACTCGACATAATCATCACATTTTACATACTCAACGAGACACGGTATCCCAATATGCTCCGTATTCAAGACACTGTGTGTTTTATATCGCTTTGGTTAGAGTGTTGGTCATAACATCTAGCGAGAGTCCCAAGGGCAAACTCACTCGAGGGGACGGTAGTTTGTGCTCCTCTCACCAAGAGTGGTCGGCCATACAGGTAGTAGAGGTGGTCGCAATAACGGTGGCTGAACACATGGGCTCCCGATGAGCTCGCCTGAAAGCGGCAGGAGCGTTCCAAAAACCCGAGATCATGAAACAGCTCGGTCAACCGTGGACGTTTCGTACAGAGCCTACTAGGCATCGAAAGACGCGCGGCAGCCTAGTCCCAAGAACTAAAGTCCCCAAATCCACCAGAACCCTTAAACTTCTTCCTCATCGGCTCCGGCTCCGGCTCGTCGTCCACGAACTCCACAATCTCGTCCTCTTCTTGCGCGGCGCGTTCGTTCAGCGCAGCTTTCAGGTATTTACCGACTCCAGCTGAACTTTCCTCCTTGCCCGATATCCCGGGTCCGCGAACTCTCTTCCCGGTCCAGGTTACTTGGTCGTCGTCAATGGTTCGGTTGCTTTGCTCTTCTTCTGCCGCGGCCTTGCCCTTGCCCTCGCCCTTTTGTGCGGATTGCTCTGTCTGCTTCGTTTTCAGGAACTCCTCGAATGGGTCGACGAAGATTGTCACGTCGATGATGCGGATGTCGGGTGTGGGTTTGTTGGATGTCGCGTTGACGGGATGAGTTTCTAGCTTGTTGAGTGTTGGTGCTGAGGGAGTCGGGTCGTCTATGACGTTTCCGAAGATCGTGTGCTTGTTGTTGAGATGGGGCAGGGCACGGTAAGCAATGAAGCTGGAGGATATTAGTATAACTTCCCGTCCGTGACTGATGAGAAACTTACAATTGGCTCGTGTTCGTGTTCTTGCCCTTGTTCGCCATACTGAGCGTTCCCCTAGCATCGTGCTTGAGCGGGCCATCAAACTCATCATTAAAGTATTTGCCCCAGACACTCTCACCACCTCTTCCAGTACCCGTCGGGTCTCCTCCCTGGATCATAAATCCCTTAATGTTGCGATGAAAGGTAACGTCCTTGTAGTACCCCTTCTTGGCCAACTTGATGAAGTTCCAAACGGCCTTTGGTGCATATTCCGTGTGCAGTTCCAGGTTGATATCTCCAGAAGTAGTCGAGATCCGAGCATATCCCTTTTGCTTTACCCGACCCCTCTTCAGCATATATTCTTCATCCGACAGCACTGCGAGTTCGGCCGACGTATGCGGCGTCATTCCCGTGCTAGTGAATGATGCAGCAGCCAATCCCGTTGTGTGTCTTGCAGCGTTGTATGGCACCGGCTTGCCAGCCTGGTAGGAAGCGGTCTTTTGGACAGATGCTTTTGCAGGCGCATTCGTCTTTGATAAGGCACTAGACGCCGCACCCGATCCATTCTTTTGCGCCCTCTCCGCCCGCGCCTTCGCAACAGCCTCCCTCGCCTTGAGAATCTTCGCCGAACTCCCTAACGCACTCGCATTCACATTCCGCGACGGATCCTCCCTCTCCGCAATCTGCTCATCACTCAACCCGCTCTCCCCTTCCTTGATATAATTAAACGAGCTCAGATTCCTCGACTCGATATTCTGCGGATCCTGCAGCGTGATAATATCCCTCCGCGAAAACTCCTCATCGGAAACCAGATCCCGCCACATCTTCCCCTTGATATTCAATCTCTCAACCGTATCCCACGCGAACACATTCCCCGTATTCCGCAGCGCAACCACATGCGTGTTATCCGTGAGCACCTTGAACGTGACGGGGTCAATGTACTCCCCCGCGTCGTTCTTCGCGATATTTAGCTTGATCAGGTCCGAGCCCTTGAGCGGCGTCCCGTCCACGGGGTTCGTCCCGTGCTTCTTGATCCAAGGGAGTATGTTGGTTAGGTCGAAGATTGTGCCGGACGCCGTGCACACGGGGTGCTCAAAGGGTTGCAGGGATAAAGAGCAGAATTTGAAAGGGAGGCGCTTGAACGAGGCGTCGCCCGTGCCGCGGCGCGCTTTACCGGCTCCTGCGCCGGCGCTGGCGCCGTAAGCATCTTCTGAAGCCCATTCTGAGTGTGTGATCTATCAACCGTTAGTTGGGAATCTTCCGGGGTAAAGGGAAGCGGCGCGTCGTACGTAAAGTTTGTCCGTTCCTGAAAGACAAGACGTTAGTTCAGAGCTCCAATGAGAAAGAATACAATTTGGGCATCACTGACCTTTTCCCATTCTTGCGGAAAGATAAAAAATTCGGGTGTATTGCTCACAATTTGTCGGTTGGGCCTGATTAGCTTGATGCTTGAAAGTTGCGCTCGCGATGATGTCGATTGAATTTAGTCTAACCGCCTTCGGTTAGGTAGATCGATACTCTGCCTCAGGCTATCGGCGCTCAGGTACACTCACTTTTCGCATGGGCATCCATAACGATCGCCCGCTACAAGCTTAGATATATGTCAGTCTCAGAGATTTGTAGATTACTAGAGAAACTCCATTGGAACTAGAGCAGAGCACAAGCTATAAAGAAACATTCACTCCGCTAAAAATAATGTCATAGCTCGACCCTTTTTGTCTATCAGAACGCCTCAATGCTTGTTCATGGTATAATCATTATACAGCCGGCCCACAACTGGTTCACATCCTTCAGATAGGCGGAGGCTGATAGCGTAAGGGCACAACCCATCGATTTCCAAAATCGATTCCATGCCGTCGGCGTGTACCGTACTTTCGCCATGTGATTTGCGGAATACCGATATCTGCCACAGAGAGGCTCCATGAAGATCCCTCCCCGGCAATCAAGGCATTGACCAATCCGGACTTTGGTGCTCCAAGGCAGACTACGGCTGTTGTGCTTATGCGCAGTTGCCCGCCTTCGACTAAAGTTACTTCCCCTATAATTTAACGTTAGTCAGTCACTTTTGTGATACAGAGTCATAAAAGAGCAAGAGACTCACCAGTCATAGCGGATAAACCAGACGGAACGTCAACAGACAGGACATCCAGATTGCTTCGGTTAACCCAGGATATTATCTCATACGCGGTCGCCTGGTCATCCGTCCGCAAGTCGTTGAAGGAGATATGGATACCAAACATGGCGTCCAGGACGAGGTCTGGTGCAAACTCAGCAGTCGAAAGCCGGGTCGAAAGCTCCTCCCACTTGAGGAATCTGCCACCAATCTTCTTGAAAATATCAAGTTGTTTGCGACAGTTGTCTAGCAACTCTGGCTCGTGTTCAATACCCAGCATGCAAACGGTAACCCGATGGCCTCTGTTCCGCAGATGGCGCGCGGAAGCGATCGCCCTTGCTCCGGTGCGATGATTGCCTGTCAATACCAGAATAGTAGGCGCCGCTGCCTCGTTGGAAAGCAGACCGACAGCAGCTTCAGCAATACTCCTTCCAGCATTTTCAGCGATTATGTCCTCAGTAAGGCCAGCCTCCCCAACAGCTAGCTGTTCGACTTCGAGAATCTGCAGAGGGCTAACAGTCGGGCAGCTTCTGTTCGTAGTGGCAAGCCGCAATGTAGCGCTTGGAATGCCGGGCCCGGTAATTGGCGAGGCGGAGACGGGACCTTTTGTTGGAAGCGGGCTGTTTGTGCGCGAATTGCTCAGCTGGCTGCGGCCAACGGTGTTGACCTGTGTAGGGACCAGAGGTTGCCCAAAGATCCCACTTCCTTTCCGAGAGCCCTGTCCGCGTGCTGATGGTCTAGATGCGTCACGTCCGGAGAATGTTCCACTGCTGAGCTTCGCATCGCTCGGTTCATGGTCGGTGGCTCCATTATCGCTCTCCGCAGGGCTGTCGAGGACATTCTCCGACCAATGCAAGTTCCGGCCCCCGTTCGTTCCTGGCTTGGGTCTCCTATTGAAACTAACCAAGCGGTCTTCATCGGCTGTGGTATCATCATTCCTGATCTCCTCGAACACTCTCCTTTTGTCAAACTTCGATAGGTTGCTCTCAAAATCAAACTCGCCTAGCTCTTGGATGTCCGTCGCGTCTTCTGTTGCCCATCCACTAATCTGTTCGGTATAGCCCCTGTTCTTCTTCTTTCGCCGTCGCCCGTTCAAAGTACCGGGCTCCCTATACGACTGTGGAGAATTCATAAAGCTTGGGCTAGAAGGTTCTACGAAAGCAGTTTGGCGCCACCCTTTGGTCTTAGGGTTCGTATTGAGCGCCCCGTTGTGCTCGTTATAGGCGTTCGCTCCCTTGTTGTTTCCTCCACGCCGGCCACGGGTAGGGTTAGGGCGGGTAGTCGCCTGGAGGACAGGCGTTTCTTCGTCTCTGGCGGGTGCTCCCTGAAGTTCTTTCGCGAGGTCGGGTTGCTGAGTTGATCGATCGTCCACGTTCAGCTCCAGATTACTAAACGGCTCGGAGAGAGTAGCGGGCGTTGCATGAGGGGTGCGACGAAGTGTGTTCTGCGACGCAGGAAACTGGTAGTTCCCGGCGCTTGAGCCATCAACCGAGCTCACTTGAGGTTGCACATCCGGGTAGACCTCGCTCGGAGTTTTTGAAAAGCTCAGGATGGCAGGGTCAACGAAGGGCTGCGGTGCTGGGTTTCTCGGATATTGGGGCGCTGCGCTTTGCGGTGTAGGGGGGATCTGCGCGCTTGTCGCATCCGATGGTCTTAAGGAAAGATCTGCGATGTCGGGGGCTTCGATGGAATAAGTTGGGAGAGGGTATCCGATCCATGAAAGGGAGACTGAGAACAGCTTGTTAGTCTTATGCAAAACCAGATAAAAAGCCAATAGCGTCCAATATTCGACCTGTTCATACCATCTCGAAGCATCAAGCGCTGGCCGATAACATCCGCCACCACCCCTTGCACTGTAGCGTCAGGTGGTGCCCGGAGGGTTACCAGCACATTGTACCCGATGAATTCGGCGGCCATAATTGTGAGCTTTTCTAGACTGTAATATTAGGCCAGGGACTAGAAAGAGCCCATATTCTCAAGTCGACGAGGGCGACTCCAGGAGATGTGAGAATAGGCAACGCTGCGCTTGAGGTGAAATTTGATGATGAGGTTGTAGATTGAGGTGCCATGCAACCTGCTCCTGCTCAAAGCTAATGGCCCGCAGTCACGTGTGCGATGCTTCTTATTGATAAGCCTCGACGATGCAACAACACTTTTGCTGGAGACGAGCACAATCTACTATTTGTCCTGAAAACTTCTGGTCGAGGTTTTTTTTGGCTATAGCTTCAAACTGTTATTGCTGCTCCTTCTGTTGCGAGTCAAGATATCTCCAAAATCTGAGATTCTGAGTCAACTGCTGGAACATTCTCGCAAATATATATTTCTCAGTAAACACAGGACTTTGATAACACAACAGGAAACAACAGGGTGATTCCCTCTATGATATAGGACACAATAAATGAAAGAACCATATACTATCAGTTCACCTCTGACCTTCTGACTAGCCTATCTATCTGCGGGCACCCCTTTATGCAACAACAGTTACTACTAACAGTGAGTGAATCGCAGTGATTAGAACAGCTATACCCTACCTCCCTGATTAACAGACTAGTCTAGATACGAATATCCTGAATTTTCGCAATCATTTAACACCAATCGCTCGTCAGCAGCGGACTCGCATCCCCACCACGGCCCCCAGAGTCTAGGACCCAATCCAACATAAATAAAGCCATTAGCCGGGGTTAAACTGCTGTGAACAATTGCCCAGGCTCCTTCCATTTCTAAACCATGGCTGGCCCTTGCTTTGCGAGCTATTACCAAGCTGCAATACGGATATCATACACAATAGCGTGGCTGCTGTTGAGGGTGACTGCATCACTCATGTTGGGAGTTGGTCATCTTTTACAGATAGGTTAATATATGTTCCAATTAAAGACATGAGGGGTGTCACGCTCATGCCTGGGCTTTTTAGTTACCATGTAAGTAAAGCAAGCGAGCAATAATTCTTCCTGGATTTCAAGAATATATATATTAACAACACCAAGTTCACCTCCAATTTTACACAACCGACAACGCAGGGGACACAGCAATCTCACTTTCCGGCGAAGCTCTGGTCTCGCTAATGGCTAAACACGAATCTACACTCTTCCACCCTGGCGTAACAACCGCCCGCGATCTCGGATCCAAGGGCCGAACGGCCATTCAGCTCTGCAAGGGAAACGTGTATACAACAACATGACACATACGACTAGATATCTGAGCCTCGTTTGTCCTTACAGTAGTACCGTTGCCTTTGGCTAGGTCATGAGTTTGGCCTGGTCAGTGTGCCCGGGCGACCCATTGCCGGGCGACCCCATTGCGGAATGAGAGAGTCGGCGTATGCGGATAGGCCGGATGAGTTCTGAGTTTTCTGTTTCATTCCGTCTTGGTGTGTGTCTGGTCAGGCTGGTCGGGCTGGTGCCGACGATGGGATATAGCGTGCCTGTTCGGGTTCGGCTTAATGTCCATGCGGGGACGCCTCATCGCGTTCTTGATGATTTTCCAGAAGATTTTTGTGACAGAAACAGTGGGGTGAAGATTTGATCAAGGGCGTGGGGTGGTGTGGCTGGTGGAGCAGATGGCAGATGATCTTTAGACTGAGTACAATGGTGTAAATACCCTGACTTCCGTGAGGACTTTGGGCCGTGCTTTACAGTCAATTGCTAGAGGAAGATTGAGGGTACAGGTACACTCCAGCCCACGAGTCCGGGTAACCCTAACTCCTTCCTGTTTTGGATTAGGAAATAACAACTCGAGGACCCTTTGAACTCAGTTGTGCCTTTCTTGTCAAGTTCATTTCATTATCTTGGGGAGAAAGGGCTACACTGAATCGCTTCTTACTGTCCCATTTATGTATCTCGAGATCACCTTGCACTACTAGTAGTACCCTTATGGTCTGCCAAAAGCAAATCACGAGATAGGATACTCGGTAATCAGGTGAAGTACAGAGTTCAGATAGCTAATATATCGGAGATGACAGTTACTCGACCTCGGGTAGAAGCTTAAGCAACAGTTGCATGCGCGGGCACGGAGACAAAATAACAGAAAGGCCAATGATGAAGTTGGCAAGACCACTCACTCACTATGATGTTGAATGGCACATGGACGCTTTCCCCAAAAAGGTGCGCTATTTACTTGATGCAATGATTATGTAATTACCCCACGATTAAGTGACAGGAAAGGCTTAGTGCCCTCTATTTCAGGAACCACGCTGTGTTAGTAATTTGTCAACGTCATATATCACGTGAAGACTACCAGTTGCCTGACAAGCGCCAGGGTCTCCAGTGCCAAGAAGCCGCAACAGCTTAAAGTAACTGGGATATTTGGATCATTTGATGCCTTGATTATTATGGGTGCAAACGGATATTACTGTAGCTCAAGTTTAAATGGCATTGTTTCGTTAACCGCAGTCAATTGCCGAAGACAAAGATCTGGCGATCTCGCCGGATGAGATGTTGCAGCGGCTGGGGCGAATTTGTTGAGAGCAATGGATCGGGCAATGATGCATTAGGTAGCGGTCATTGAGTTCCAGGCAGAAGACTATTGAGCCTCCAGTCGTGCTATATGTATACTGCTATATACGTTCTCTTGTCTTTCTGGAAACAAGCCACAACATAACGTCGCTCGTATCCTATCTCAGCTCTTGATCTGATCTCGGGGCTCCACCCGTTCACGGTCACGTTGTCGGCCCCCCATCTTAAGTCCGACCCTGCCGCCAAACTCACCAAACTGCAAGCGCAGAGCGTCCTATGCCTATCAGACTGCTATTAATAAATATCCTCCATTCCTCCTCCACCTGACTAGGTTTCCTCTCCTTCCGACTCTTCGGGCCGCTAAATAAACCTTCCATCGGCTGTGTCTGTCAATCAGCCCATATACTGCTTTCGTGAGTGCCTTTGATCCTTCCAGCTCCGCTGCCATCTGCGTTCGGCGTGTGATTTCGCTCCAAGCGCGCAGCAGCGGGGGTGGGCTAGAAATAGCACTCCATGCCCGACACAAACAAATCCGCCCGCTCAGTCTTGGTTGGACAAGGCACATGTGGCCACCGTCCTGAATCTCGTGTCTGGCCTCCATTAGCTACTGCTATTCGGCTCTCCGAGAGCAGGAGCTTGAGATGCGTGCTCTGCTGGCAACACGCATCATCCGACTGCAGTGCTAATTGAGCGTCATCAGAGCCTTCAGAATGGCCTCCTACTTGACCACCTTTTAGCCTCTGAAGCTGCTACAGTATCGCCCTGGTTGCTGACCTCTTCCTCCTTTCTAGCCCTATTCCTCCACTTCCGCCGCAGCCAACCCACCTACGTCAGCTCCCGCACCGTTGTACACCCCGATTACCGCCACCACTCTTCTCTGTTCATTAGACTCAGGCCATACACTCAGAATTAGACCGAAAAGACATTCAAGCTGGCAGGAAATAAGCGGAGAAGTTTTTCAAGTCAGGGTGGCTTGCTGAACAGAATGTTCAGTGGCTCCTCGAGCCCACCCAAAGAAAAGACAGATACCGTCCCGCGCTCTGGTGCCATCAACACCCCGTCTCTAAGCATCCAGACCGAAGACCCGAACGGATCTCAGAAGAAGTCGTCCCCGCCTGGTGGATTGTTTGCGCGCAGACCGAGCGAAGAGCAGAGCCCCGGAGGCGACAAGAAGCGCCGCAGCAGCACTGTCTCAAAGGCCGCGACATTCTTCGCCAACGCAAAGAACTCGCTCAGCCTTAGTAGTCCCCGGAACGAGAGCGCTTTCAGTAACCCCATCCTAGAGTCGCCTAGCAAGTACGGCAGCATGGACCCGGCCCTCAATGTCCCGCAGGGATCGCTGAACAATTCTGCGGGCGAGTCGGTACCAACTCCTCGGTCATCGTTTAGAGTTGGCGTCACAGAAGATCGGAATAAGAAATGTCGCCGGACGATGGAAGATACGCATGCCTATCTCTACAATTTCCTCGGAAGCCCTGTACCGCCAGCCCAGACCGATGACTCAAGTCAAAGCCTTAGCTCCGGAGACACGTCTACACCCGTCGTCGAGACAGATAATGGGTACTTTGCTATATTTGACGGACATGCAGGCACCTTTGCTGCGCAATTTTGCGGGAAAAAGCTGCATCTGATTCTGGAAGATGTGTTGCGCAAGAACCCCATTGCACCTATTCCTGAGCTGCTTGACCAAACGTTCACTGTTGTTGACCAGCAGTTGGAAAAGCTGCCCGTCAAGAACAGCGGTTGCACTGCGGTTGTCGCGCTGCTCAGATGGGAGGATCGAGTTCCTAGTCCACATTCCGTGACGGGTTCCTCTGCTCTCGGACCCGCAGCGACTGCTGCTGCTAAGAGCGAACCCGACGCTGAGGCCGCCGATACACCCACGCAGGAAGCAGCCACCGCAACACCTGTCGCCAGCATTCCGCCGAAGCTACGAGAAAAAGCGATCCGGCAACGTGTTCTCTACACAGCCAATGTTGGCGATGCTCGGGTTATCTTATGTCGAAACGGCAAAGCGCTTCGTCTGTCTTACGATCACAAAGGCAGTGATGAGAACGAGGGAAGGAGAATTGCCAATGCGGGTGGTTTGATACTGAACAACCGAGTGAATGGAGTTCTCGCTGTGACCAGAGCTCTTGGTGATGCGTATATCAAAGACCTTGTTACCGGACACCCGTACACAACAGAGACTGTCATTCAGCCGGATCTAGATGAATTCATCATCCTGGCCTGTGATGGGGTGAGTTAATATTCGACCCTTTATATTTGAAGTTTGCGGCTAATGCGATTAATTTATTTAGCTCTGGGACGTATGTAGTGATCAGGAAGCCGTTGATTTGATTCGAGATGTACAGGATTCGCAGGTGGCTTCGAAGATCCTAGTTGACCATGCCCTCGCCCGGTTCAGCACTGATAACCTTTCTTGCATGGTAATTCGTCTGGATGCAGAACGCCATCGCGATATTGTCACGCGAACAAACGACCCTCCCCTTACAGATGGCAACCATTCCACAAACCCCGGGCGTGGGATCAGCGAGGCCGACAAGATTGTCGAGGGAGCCAGGAAAAGCATGGCAAACGCCGAGCTCGCATTAGGTCCAAAGAAGATCCCCGAGGAGACGGAAAAGTCATCAGAAGAAGACCCTGCGCCGGACCCGTCCGTCTCGCCAAATAGCCCGGCAATCACGCTCAACCAACCGAGCAAGCCTACCAACAACCCAAGCAATGAGTCATGATCACCAACCATATAACCCGAGGACTTGAAACAGATCCAAGGCCATTTATACGCAGGAGGTAGAAATGCAACTGTGAAGGCCTGTCTGAAAGTTACATTTAACAAACAATGGCATCTACAAACAATGGATATATTTTGGCGGGCTTTCCCTTGGCCCATTTTTATGGATATCTTTCTTTTCTCCACGTGCATTGTCTTGTTTTTTTTCTTCTCTCGTGCCAACTAAGTTATTTACCTGTCCTAGTTTTCTTTTCCCCTCTTTCTTCTTGGCCTGGGTACTCTACGTGAACCCTATCCTCACCCTTGGCGTTGATCGCAAGCACTAGTACTTTTCCCCTCTGCCACCACACAGGAAATCGGACCCGTGGTCTTGATCCCTGCGTGCGCAAATCTGGTTCGTCCGAACTTCCTTCTGCTTGCTCTTCTTTTTGACTATTATATGCTGCATTCAACGCTCGTTGTCACAACCTGGAAGCTGAAATGGCCCGGCCGTGTTCTGAGTTTCCTACCTACCTCGAATTGGTGTACTTATATCACGGCGGAAGCAGATATTTTGGGATTTGAATAAACAGAGAGATTTCATTTTACTACGACGACTACTAGTAGGTATTTAGGACTTTAGGTCCCTAGAAACGCACGGCATACTTATGATTACTGTCTGTCTCTTGAACGCCATGCATTTCCAAGAGTTTGAGATCTAAAATACATCCAAGGCAACGAGTCGCCTCTAAGAACATGGAGGGAAGGAAATGGAGCAAGGAAAAATATCCACATGAAATCCATCACGATATAAAATACAGAGGACAGGAGATGATAGATATGCTTAGTTAGCAGAAACTTCCCTCTCCTTGAATCCATAGCTCGCAAGAACCTCCCCCTTGATGGGCTTCTGGCCCGCCATAACGTGGTCGCGGCTCAGATCCAACTCCCCATGGACGACCTTGATAGGCCAGCTCTGTGCGTGGCGGGCGTCGTGCATGTCGTTCCAGAGGATCTTGACGGTGTCGGCCTCGACCACGTCGGCGTTGTCGGTCTCCTTGGGATCCACGACCTTAAACTCGGCGATTGGCGAGCTGATGGCCTTTGTGAATTTGGCGATGCGCTCCGCGTGCTCGGCGGCCTTGGCTGCTTCCTTTCTGCGGGCGGCTGCGCGGCGCTTCCGTGCGTTGATGCTGATAGGGCCGCGGTTGTATTCGCCAAATCCGTCCTCGATTTCCTTCTCCTGGATTGCGATGACGGCCGCGATGTCGGCGACGCTGGTGGCCTTTTGGTCCATTACGGCGCGGGCCCTGTCCTTCTTCTCCATGAGCCAGCCGAGTTTGTCGGCGTATTTCTCGTCAAACTCCTTGGCCTTTGTCGGGTCCCGTGGTCGCTTCTGGTTCAGGTACTTTTCTGTGATTGTGATCATCTCCCGTGGCGGGTCGAGCTGGCGTTGCTTGGAGAATTCACGGAGGAGGTGGAAGGCGCGGAGGCCGACTTTGCTGTCTTGGAAGTGGACGGAGTAGTAGGGGGCCCACATGTCTTTTCGGAGGGTTGCTGGGACGGTCTTTTTGCCGTGGTAGATGAGCTGTTTGAGGACATTGTTTTTCTAGATGGAGCACGAATTCAATCAGTAACCGCTCACAATCCAGTACCGAAATGCCGGACTAACCTCCAGATACCGCGTCAACGAGTAAACCACCTGGTTCGTGCGAATATTGTGATAGACAAAGATGTTCTTGCCGTGTGTCACGGCACTCAGGGCCTTTTTTAAGCGCACACCTTCCTTCCACTGATGTGTCTTGAACGCATTCGAGTTCCGCGCACGAACCAACCCCTGGATCACGGCTCCTTTCTCGATAGGCGGACGACGGACAATCTGCCAGGTGCCCATCTTAGTGGGATCGAGGAGCGCCAGGGTGCGCTTATGCTGGGCAGCCGGGTTGGCGCCATCCCAAAACTGCCGCGCTGCGGTCGCTGCTTGTGTGGCCATTGCGGCGGAGAGGGCGGGCCTACGCCTCGCCTATATCTGTCAGAATCGGGCGGATGAGGAATAGAGCAAGGGACTCTATCGCATTTCGGGTCGAGAGGGGGTAATTGAGCGGGTTGGGAGAGTGGTGTTGTTGCAGCGGAGAGTTGGAGGTTGAAGGGAAGCGGATCATCAATTTTTCGACGATGGGCTGCGGGAGGCCGAACGGGGAAATCCGCCTTGATTGGACTAAGGCGGGAGCTTGCGGTACGCAGTAGGAGTGGACAACCTCAACAACATTGGACCACCGAGAACCACCAGCTTTCGTTTGCTTTGCTGCAATCACACCGTCTTCAGCTGCTACGATTATTGTTGAAGCCGACTTACTTTCATGACGGCTGGATGAAGACCGAGCGACGCTTACGCTTCGCTGACGGCTCGCAATGGCGACGGCCAACACTTCGGATGTGTTGAGCAGTGACGATGCTAGTGGTCGCCGCGAACGACCTCCTCTTTTTCCATCAGTGCGTGGCTTCATCTGCAAGGGGGCTCTAATTGACTCTCAAGCTGATCGACGGGTTGTTCTCTAGGGTCGAAAGCTACGGCATCTACAAGGCGTCACCATCCGCAACCTTGTCGTCAACCCCCCGACGAGGGCACGAGGCAAGACCATTGATGACGAGGATATCCCAAACTCCCTTCAATCGCCATCAAAGATTCTCGCAGAGGACACCAACCGAGCATTGCACCACTCGCGGTCGTTTACGAACCTCAAGTCGGCAGGCACACCTGACGATCGGCATGCCCATCAAGAGCGATTACCCTTGCGACAGGCCCGCCGGAAGAGCACACTACCCTGGAGTGGTCCGAACCCGCAGGTGAGGCAGGTGAAACTGGAGGACATCACGCGCAGCCGAATGGCAACAAGCTGGTTCTCGATTCATTGCGATGGTGTCGATGAGCCGGTATATGTCAGCGAGGTCGCGGAGAACGCGGTGAACCCCAACTTTCGCGCATTCGATCTCAATCCCTGCGGACCATTGGTATCCCGCAAGGATCACCTCACACTGAAGCTATGGGTGAAGACGGCGGCAATGGCCGACTATACGGAATTAGTAGAATTGAATCTACACCTGCAGTCGTTGCAGTTCTTGGGAGCATCGTTGGACAGCTTTCATCAGCCTCTGCCGGCGAATTCCATTCTCTTCCATTTTCCGGACGGAGTTTACACCAATCTGACTGATATTCCGCCTGTCTGGACACCATATCCCACACCGAGTTCCAAATCCAGTGATCCAGCGGCTCTGCCGACGTCATCGTACGACGCGCTGATGCGCCTGGCCAATTTAGACGAATGCATTCAGGATGCGTTGATCACAAGAGAAAAACTGGAGTCGCAAATCAACTCGATTCTTGCAAAGAATCAGCATGCCGTGCAGACGGCAAGCGACGCGTCACGGGCGCAGGACAAATTGGCTCTCACTAAATCGGCAGTCTCCGCCGAGCGCAAACAACTACGCTCGGCTACTAAGCGAAAGGAAGAGCTGATCGCCAGCATCAAGGCCAGAAAGGAGGCCATGGCCAATGGGACTCAAACTCGGGAGAAGGTGAGCAGCCATCTTCCGGACGCTCGACTCAAACTCGGCTCCAGCTGGAAGCTGTTGGACCAGAACACCGAGGAGATCAAGGGCCAGATCCGGCGCATCTCGGAGGACCTAAACGAGATCTACCCCATTGAGCCCATTGCCGACAAACTGTTAGCATTCACCATTGCTGGTTTGGCGCTTCCGAACTCTAAATTTACGGACATCGACCGCGATGCGGTGGCAGCTGCACTTGGATATACCGCTCATCTCGTTTACCTGCTTTCTTTTTACCTATCCATTCCCGTGCCATACCCGATCACCCCGTACTCTTCGACCTCGCTGATCCAGGACCCTATTTCTTCCTCTCTTCCGCAAAGAACATACCCTCTCTACCCGGTTAACGTCCAGTACCGGTTTGAATACGGAGTCTTCTTACTAAACAAGGATATTGAGTTTCTTTTGAACAAACAAGGGCTCCGAGTTCTCGACATCCGACATACCCTTCCGAATTTGAAATATTTGTTGTACGTTTTGACCGCGCGCTCGTCAGAAATCCCCGCACGGAAAGCTGGGGGAATTCGTGGACTTCTTCCGGGAAGATTGACGCCTAGCCTCTCCCGCCGTGGCAGCGAAGACAGCGTCGCGTATGGGGAAACTGTCAATCCCCATCGAGGAATGAGCCCAATGTCAAAACTAAAGAGCGAGATTGGTCCAGACAAGGGGAAGAAGCCGATGGCAGCCATTCCAAGTGCTTCGACCTCATTTCAGGTGGCGTAATGGCGCGGGCGACGGCGCGAATGTAACTGCACATCAACTAATGTATGATATGTGGGTGAGGGTAATTTTAGCATGAAGTTGTGCGTTTGATTGCAGCGTCTGCTGTCTTTTTGCTGTGTTTCTGCAGAAGACCTGAGGCGACGACACACGTTGTATATATAACGTCAGTATCGCCGACAACAAGGACAACTGTACATATCAAAAAAAAAAAGACCTTGGAATGGTCTTTGTAAACTGGATTCCAGAAGGTGGCCTAAAGAAAACCAACCCTTGGCCTAAATTAAAAGAACAGGGGTCGGAGTCTAATTGCGTATCCATTGATAACAGGGTCACGGGCACTGGATCACCACCTCAGATCGCAGCCCACTCGACGCAAGGGAACGTCGCTTGACTTGTTGAGCCCTTTTCTACCCCGCATCCGACCAATTGCCCCGGGATGGCTTATTGTATCTTCATCTCCATCTTTCTCTGATCGAGTCCTCGTTCTTCCCTCGATCTCACCGTGCAAAAGTAGCAGCAGCAGCGCAGCAAAAGTCCCCGAACGGCGGCTGATAAACGAAAGTCGAACAGCCGACAGCGTCTCCTCGCCGACCCCAACCTCGACTCCTCCCCCCCACCGCTTTCTGGCGGTCGTCCTCGCTTTGCATCGGCAATCCCCAGACACGTCTCCATCCACTTTGCTTGTGCCTGCACTAGGCCCATTCCCTTAGTGATGATGGCAACACACGACGCGCAGCAGGAGAACGGCCTTTATTCGCGCGAAGACTCCGCCCGGCGATCAGCGTCGCCTGCAAACACTCATCATCGCCGCGGCTACCAGGCCTGCGATCCGTGTCGCAAGCGCAAAGTGAAATGCGATCTTGGAAGTGAGTTTTATACTTTGTGCGGAGAAGCTGAAACTCGAGTCCAGCAATACCCGAGACAGCGGGCGCTCGGATGGCTGGCTGGCTGGATGGCTGACATGGTCTCATTTCTATTCTAGGTGTTGACAACCCCCGCCCTCCGCCATGCGTACGGTGCCGACGTGAGAGCAAACGCTGCGAGTTCTCCGCTACTCGTCGCAAACGCAAGCCTTCCGATGTCGATGGCTCCGTGGATGATATCCTCCGCCGTGATAAGCGGATGATGACTGGGGATACCAAAGTCGATGGTTCTCAGAGCGACAGGTCGCCATCTCATCCGCAGACGGAGCATCCTCCTTTTGATACAGTCAGTCGGTCACAACAAAAGTGGATTGATAAATCCCCTTCGAACGGTCATTTGCCGTTACCGGGTAATAATAGCCTCCCGTTTACTGCCAATCCTCCAACTACATCTGCGAACCAGTTCTCAGACATACGGAATACAAGACATCCTGTCTACAGCGTCGGGGAGAGGGCATCGATCTCGAGGTTTAGCCTCGAGGGTAACCAGCCCATGATGAATCGGACCGCCGTTGAGCTACTGTCGCCGGCGATCAGCAATAGCCACGATGCGCTACATCTCTTGTCTGAGGCGGCGGGACGGACAGAAGACCTTAACCGGCAAAGCCTCGAAAATCGTTACGCCGCGACACGGCGGTCTGTCTCGTCGTTCGCCTCGCCCATGTCCTCCATGACGAATGCAGGAACCCCACGAAGCGCCGGCGGTTCACTGTCACAGCAGCACAGGTCAGGAACAGCTCATAATGGGGGGTTTTATCAAGGAGCTGGACTGGCTTCGGGTGAGTCACACCCAGACGCTCGCGGCCGAACGAACTCTGCGGATCGTCCTTCGGACTCGGGCTACTTGGACGCTGTCAAGGCATGGTCGCGATTACGATTCGTCCGTGCAGGTTGGCTTTCTGTCGAAGAGTCAATGGCCTACGTAGCATAGTAAGCTATTGTTACCTTTACGACGCTCTATTACTAACTTTACAGCTACTATGAACACCTCGCTCCTTTGAGCCCTATCGTGATTCCAGACTTCTCACACCCCTCTACGCATCGCTCTCTTCTCACCGACGAACCGGTATTAGCGGTAACGATTCTGACAACTGCGTCAAGGCATATGAAACCAAACGGTGACGGCGCGCACTCTCGAGCCTTCTACATTCACGACCGCCTCTGGTCATACCTGCGCGGAATGATTGAGCGCCTGTTCTGGGGCCAGGAAAAGTTCGGCGGGAACGGCATCGGGATCAACAAACCTCGATCCTTCGATTTAGCGCCCACCGCAGCCAAGATCAGCCACAAAGGTAATTTGCGGTCTCTGGGAACGATCGAGGCGCTGCTGATTCTCACGGACTGGCATCCGCGAAATTTGCATTTCCCTCCTGGTGATGATGAGAATGCTTTGCTTGATCTTGACGCTCAGTCAGGCCGCTATGATAGGGACCTAGAAAATGATGTGGAGACGACCGTCAACCGGGGATCGAGCGGTGCTCCAGAGGGCCGAGTGGCTTTCCAGACTTGGCTCGAACCAGCCTGGCGGTCAGATCGGATGTCGTGGATGTTACTCAGTACTGCGCAAGCCTTAGCCTTTGAGCTGGGAGTTTTCGATCAAAAGAACGACGCAAAGTCTTTGGGCGAGTCGCCTGCAGAGCAGACACGGAAACGCCGCCTTCGTCGCCTTATCCTCGTATACATCACGCAGAGCAGTGGTCGCCTCGGCATCCCCTCCATGCTTCCGCTACCACAGTGGGCAGATGATATCCAGCCAACTCCGGTGACAGGGTCGAAGTCTAACGAGATTGACAAGATGCACGATTGTTGGCTCGGTATCTCGAAGATCATGTATCAGAGTAACCAGCTTCTGTTTGCATCCAACGAGCAGACCTCGGATCTGATCCGCAGTGGGCGCTATCGGGAGCAAATCGATCGTTTTCAGCCGTTTCTTCGCGAATGGCGGCAAAATATTGACTCGACGGAGTGTGAGTTATTTTGGCTTGCTGCTTGATTTATGCTAATGAGTCTAGTGCATCCTGCTATGAGACACATCTTGATGATTGAATACGAATATACCCGTAAGTCTACCACCATTCGAAGATTCAAACTCGACTAACGTATGTTCAGGATTGTATGTCAATTCTCTAGCTTTACAGGCGGTTGTGGACCGATGGACAACCATGTCGAATGAGGCGGCCCAGGCACAGGGCAAACCAGGTTCGGCTTCAGGAAGTGGCGGATCGTTCCACGTACTTATGGAACTGTATCGCGTCAATGAGCCTTTTATCCAGGAGGTCGTTGAGGCTTCACGCAAGATCTTGACAACCGTCCTCGAGGGCCTTGTTCCGGGTGACCATCTGAAACACGCACCTGTTCGAACCTGTTTCCGGATTCTGTCGGGCATGATCTTCATTCTCAAGGTATGTCACTCAATCTTCAGATCCCGAAAGTCATGTCTAACCGTGCCAGACATTCACCCTCGGCGCCAAAGAAGACGACGTGCGCGTATCCCTTGACCTTCAAGATCGCACTGTTGAAGCACTTCGAACATGCGTCGTCGACGATATCCATCTCAGCCACGCCATCGCCCGCCTCCTCGAACTCCTAACCTCCAACATTCGCACCCGCTTCCTCCGTTTCGCCCCTTTAGACCGCAGCGGCGACGGCGATGGCCAAGATCGCACCTCTGCTCCAACATCCCGCGCCCACTCACCTCGACCTTTAGGCCCTCCAACCCGCCGCGAAGCTATGAGCCACCACTCCTGGACCCCAAATCCCTCCTCAGCCCAACCCCTCGGCTATGCCGACACACACCCACCCACAACAACAATGACCTCCGTCCACGACCCGCTAGCCGGCATCCCCGCGCAACCAATCAACTCCTCAAACATCAACGTCAGCTTCATGCCACCCCCACCATCAGTCTACTACAACTTCTACGAGCCCCGCGCAACACCGCCCTCTGGCGACCTCGACGGCTCAAACGTCCCCACACACTCAGTGGGCGAGAACCACAGCCATAACCATGCGCAGCAGAACCCCGGCGTCTCGGATTGGTTTGCCCTCCCGCTTGATCAGTTCTTCAATAGCTCTACTGCTGTCGTGGACCAGGGCCTTGGTGGCACGGGACCTATGGTTGGGGAGTTTGATATGCTTGAGGTTTTGCTGAATGAGCAGTATGATGGGACGGGGGATGGGCTTGATGCGGCTGGTGGTCCCGGAGGGAATCTTCCGTCGCAGTTTATGCAGTCCTGAACTCTCTTCGCAGGAAAACGCGTGTTTCGTTTGATTCTTTATGTCCAAAATACCCTAATGAGCATATGATTATTCTAGTCCACCACTTACAAATCTGTATATTCGGAATATATGGCCCAATGTCCGTCTGTAGACTGCTTCGCAGGAACAGTCCAACCATTCATCTCAGACAACATCCACCCCTGATGAGCTCCAAATCTAGGCTTTAAATCTAGTAACTGCTTCCCGATTAGATACCCCCCCGCATGATACTAGCCAGAGCCCTATCCCTAGCTCGTGATTCTGCAGCATGTTGCTCGGCACTCCTAACCCAGAGGCGGCAGTTCCATCGCCATGTCGATGGCTATACCTTCGCCCCCGCCTCGCGGCCAAAGATGCCATAGAAAAATTAGAATGCAGGTTGTATTGATACGGGTGACTACTGATGCGATTGGGCTGGGCTTCCGCGATTAACGAGTCACTACTACCTTCTGACGGAGCCTGCTGGGATACCACGCTACCAGTTGATGTTGTCGGCTGGGTAGGCTGAGGATGATCTTGGGCGTGCGTGCCTTCGGCGCTGCCTTTAATGTTCCGGGGTTGCTGGGCGCTGTTATCCTCCTCTGCTGGCTTCTTGGACCTTGTGTTTCCGCTGCGTCGAAGGATTTGTGCACCGTTTTGGTTGCGCTCTAGAAGCTGCGGCATCAATGTTAATGGTAGTAGTAATACTCTTCCGGGGCTCAGCTTACGAAGAGCGTTTCCTGGGATGTCCATTTGAAGAGGTATCTTTGCGGGAGCGACGATGCTCAGACAATTGCGTAGGCAATGGCCCGGGTGGATGGTTTGGTTGTGTGGTGGGTGCTCTTAGAGTACGTGTCCGTCGGTTCCGTCTGCGTGAGCTCGACGGCGCCATCGCTGCCTGGGCTGGCAACCTTGACGGAGCCGAAGACGATCCAGGGTTCGAGGGTACATCACCAGTCACCCTCTGGATTTCGCGGACTTCCTTCCTGATGATCTTCTGCACCTCAACCAGGAGATTGTCATTTCCCTTCTTGTATACTATTATGTGGTCATGTCAAAGAAGGCCTCGCTGGGCTTTCATGAGGTTGGAGATTTTCCGCAACTCGTCCTTCAGCTCTCGCTGTAGATCATCCCTATAGATGATCGGATTAGTATTTGTTGTACGCCTTCTCTTCTGGGACAAATCGTTTCCAGTACTTACAGTTGAGCCCTCGTCGCAGCGGACTGGCTCAGTCTATATTGCCGCACGGAAATCCGGATTTGCACCAAAGCGAGAAAGCTCCTCATACGCACACCAAGCACAGCCAAGTCCATCTGGAGACCCTGTAACCGCTTCTGGCTGCTGAAGAAGCATCGAAGTCGAGCGAGGAGTTTGCTCCAGCCAGACACTCGTGTTTTTTTCGTGTATAGCGGGTGGAGCAAATCGAGGATGGAGTGGATTCTGGAAATGACTGCCCTTGCTTGACGTTCGATATCCATGTCGAGGTCTCGATAGTGTTTTACGTCTTCGCGAAACCCATCAACCAGCTTGACTTCCTCCATTGTTTTCGCGAAGATGTCCCATAATCCTTCTATGGTTTCGGTGCCATCCATTACATCCTGGACATCTTCTTTCGCATGTTTGATCACCTTATAGGCTCTTTCCAGTTTCTTGGAAATGGAGATAACTGTCCCTAAGAGCTGGTCGCAGGCTGCAACGGCCCCAAGGATTTCCATGCGTTTAGGGCGTGGGCGGGGTCAAAGACCAGATTATGGGGAATAAGGTAATGTTGCTCAGACATATGACAAGCGATGCGAGCGGATCAGACAGTCTCTCTATCTTTATCTCCGTAACTAAGAGAAGCAAGGCTTCTTTTCTCGGCTGTGCAAGGCTCCTCAGAAGAATCGATTTCCTTAATAGGAAGTGATAATGAGGCTCCAGGCTTGGCAGGATGTGCTGTTTCTGTTTGACCCCGCACAGGTAAGCCCCAGCATCTCACCGTGGGCTATCACCCAGTCGGTCGCAATTGGACTAGGCCTCGTGTGACCTGACGCCATGCTATATGCTACTGGCTCGATTAGTTGCCCACCTACTAGAACAAGAGCTGTTAGAGCTTGGCCCGTGAAGTGTGGGACAACACAAGCTTATCCGCGCTGAAGAGGAAATAGGCTGGAAAGCCTGGGTGAAAGGCGGCTTGACAAACTTGCGGAGATTGAACTCGGACGCTTCGACACGGACAATAGCACCAACGACGGCAACGGCGTTGTGGGTACCCAAGATGATCACATCGATGACCTGATTGCTTGCATGCTATGTTTGATCGCCCATAAATGTGTTTTGAGACGCCTTAGTTTCTGCAAGATGAACGACTGGTTGGTATAGTCTGGAATGTATTGGAACTGGCTGTTGGAGACGTTGGCCTTCCACCTCGATTGTGCGGACCATGTAATACTAGATCAGCCCCGGAGTATAACAGTAGCCCAGGTATATGCAGAGGGGCACATCCAGCATCAGTTTCTCTCATTTCTGCATCTTCACTGCCTTGGAAATTTAGGCTCTCACATCGATCGTGCAATCGAACCTTTGGGCTGACAGTGCCTTCTTGAATCGAGTTCCTGGCGTCTCCTGTCCCAGACTTGATTTTCAATGGTGGAAACCATTGTCGACAGGCAAGAGGGCTTTCTCAAGTTTTCGGAGGCTTCCCTTGCTTAGGATACATGTTGAAGAAGGTGTTTCTGGTCTCCTGATCGAGGGAAACGATATTCGCAGCAATTCATGGATATCGTTTCAACTCCAGCCCAACTAGCCGAGTAACGGCCCATCTGAACTCACTGCTGGAACACGGGCCCGTTCAACCACCATCACGATGTCCATACAAGGCATGAGGATACACCAAGGTCTTCTCATACCAACCGGCCAGTTTGCGGAAATGACACAGCGGGTGGACAGACTAGCTGATAGCTGAGCAAATACACGAAATCCCAAAGACAGAATATACATGGACGTTTGTTCTTCATACTCCGAGTCGCATTGGCGGAGCAGATTATCCTGGATTGGATCCGTGGGCATCCGGAACAGTCCCAGTAAATCTCGGCCTGAGCAGGCAATAACATGTCAGTCAGTTTCTTCCCCTTGGACATTGCGACAGACACAGGATACCTGCTGAAACGTCCGTGGCAGCTTAAAGGGGCACTGGAGTTGATTGAAACACCGGTCGCATCGCCGGATTCCATATGTGCAATCGGGGTCATGCATCCTCAGCCTAACGCAAGACTTGGGATGCCTTGAACAAGGCCAATTGTCCGCTTAACGTGTCATCCCAGTGTGTCAGATAGAGGACGCACGAAATGTTCGTCTTTTCATTGGATCGGTACCGGTATCGCTTCAATCTAGATCCTGTTCGGTGGAATCTGAATGGTTTGACGTGTTTCGCGTCAATTCCACCTTGATATGAAGCCGCCGAAGTCCGCGCGTGCTGCCACTCGGAAACACTATGTGGACTCTATGCTGGAAATGGAGTAGGTAGGGGTGGGAATGATCGGCAGGCCTAGACGCCTAGCGTTTCGCTAGAACATGCTTAGCTTGCTGACCAACAAACAAATCACGAACAGTTATCACATATGGCTCGGACAGACTTTGGGTACTTCATTTCTGGACCGACGTATCTTGTGCGAGAACTAGCTCTTGAAGGGCGAGGGGTAATTGGCGGTTTTGAGTCTCTCACACCAGTGATGGAATGGCATTGCGATGTGTCTGAGACAGCAGGAGTGGGTTGGGACTATCGCTCGTGATAGGGGACAATTATTAATTGCCAGCATGATTTGCAGTGTTGTCCATGGTCCCTGGTTACCGTCGTCTCTGGGAGTTTGGTTAGGCGAAGAGCACGAAGCAAATCGGACTGGGAAGCTGGTATTGACTACATCAGATTCAGCGGTGGAGGGTGAGTGTTGAAGTAACATCGTGAAGAAGCTTCTGGGCAGGATGAGACTGAATAGGAAGATGCAAAGGGCCTCAGGCTCATGTGACTTCCCGATAGGGCAAGGATGGCTCTCTCCGACTCTCTGGCATCCTTGCAGCCTGAAGTTTTCTCCTCAAAGTCCGTTTCATCCCCTGGTCGCTGCAATCTTGTCCGCATCCCTACTGGCTTGCGGCAGATCTGTGCTATTTTGCCCCTGAGTTCAGTCTATCCGTCGCGTCGCGCACAATTTGCCGGCCGGGCATTTTCTGAGCTCTCCACATCTCGCCGCAACCCCCACCACAAAACACGAGCTCCAGATGGCGATCTTCCAGCAGGGTCAAATAAGAGCCCCGCATGGACCTTCATCGGCAGTGGGCCCAACACTCCTAAAGCTTCCTTGGCCCCTTAAACAAGCACAACAAGCAATGTGCCTCGACTCCGCAGTCGCATCGTTGAAGCTTAGGCTTCGCTCCTCGTACCTGAACGAGCAAGGCTAACGCCGGGAAGACCGACAGATATCCCTGAGATGGGCCAATGTGAAGGGTGATGTGTTACTTCTCAAGCAGGTGTAACCTCGTTTGAGTCTGATTCAGATAACGTGCTCGACCTTGCGCAAGATCTTCGCCTACGCATTCCCAGAACGGTCGACTTCGTGGCTACTAGTCGCTAATCTGCTCGAACCCGATTGACGTGGGACCTCGTTCGTCCCATGCAGATTGCGATGTTCCATTCATTGCTTGTCCGTTCCCTCTGAGGGGAACACAATTATAAAGCCGCCCCGTCTGCTCGTGGCCAGAGCTAGTGTGTTAGTCTCGTTTTCAGTACTGTGATCAGGAAATCAACCGCTCTCCTCAGCTCTTCCCTTTCTGCTTTTGGTGGCCACGATCAGCATGGTTGTCTTCAGCAAGCTCGCGACAGCCGTCCTTGGCCTCGCTGCTGTCGCGAATGCGGCACCCACAGCCACTCCCCGCCAGGGCTTCACTGTCAACCAGCTCTCAAGACAGGCACCGAAGCGCAGCATTAACCTTCCGGGTATCTACGCCAATGCCTTGACCAAATACGGCGCCACCGTCCCTACCCATGTGCGCGATGCCGCAGTCCACGGCAGTGCTGTCACCACACCCGAGGCAGAGGACCTTGAGTATCTGACTCCTGTCAACGTCGGAGGAACAGTTTTGAATCTCGACTTTGACACTGGCTCTGCAGATCTGTAAGTTTTGTTCTCACTGAGACATGCGCAACACTAACATATTCAGATGGGTTTTCTCTGAAGAGCTCCCGTCGGCTCAACAGAGCGGCCACAGCGTCTACCATCCCTCCGATAACGCCACCAAGATGTCGGGATACAGCTGGTCGATCTCATATGGCGACGGTAGTAATGCTAGAGGAGATGTATACAGGGATACCGTTAGTATTGGTGGTATCACCGCGCGTAGTCAAGCAGTTGAAGCTGCACAACACATCAGCCGGCAATTCCTGCAAGATCAGAACAATGACGGTCTTCTGGGCCTTGCTTTTAGCTCCATCAACACTGGTAAGTCTGTCGATATCTGCCACCGAACTCTGTCTAACACTATCCAGTGTCTCCCAGAGCCCAGACCACCTGGTTCGATACTGTCAAGTCCCAGCTCGACGCTCCCCTGTTTGCGGTGACCCTGAAGCACCAGGCTCCTGGATCCTACGATTTCGGCTTTATCGACCAGTCCAAATTCAAGGGTGACCTGACCTACACCCGCATTGACAGCTCCGAGGGATTCTGGATGTTCCCCGCCACTGCTGGCACTGCTCAGTTCAACGCTATCGCTGGTACCTAACCCCCTTAGCTCACACTAAGCCCTAGCTGACCAGATCTAGACACCGGCACAACCCTTATCATGATTGACAGCACCATTGCCGAGACATACTACTCGCAAGTCGGCGGTGCACAGGAAAGCTACCTCTACGGTGGCTGGGTCTTTCCCTGCTCCGCTCACGTCCCGTCCTTTACCATCACAATCAATGGCTATGATGCTGTCGTCCCAGGCGACCACATCAACTACGCTCCCGTTGCCCAGGGCTCCAACACCTGCTTTGGTGGTATCCAGGGTAACCAGGGCCTGAGCTTTTCGATCCTGGGGGATGTCTTCCTCAAGAGCCAGTACATTGTTTTCGATTCTCATGGACCGCGCCTGGGAATCGCGCCTCAGGCTTGAGTTTTTGTGTCGGAGCGGGAACTCTAAATTGACCATGACTCTGGGAGTCGGTCAATTCAATTTGTCAATCTTTCTTATACTGGTCAGGCTTCTGACACGTCTTCTCGTAATTATCTGTCCCTACAAACTGTGGGAGTATCTTTTGTACCAAGTACCACGTACTGAGCATAGTAAGTCTGCAAATTGCAGTCCCTAATGATTTACACAAACATTCCTTCATCGTAAACTTCTCCCTACTGACTCAGCCTAACGTAGTGCCACTTTCTACACAAGGAGTGGCTCTATGTTGTATAGTCAGTACTTATGTGCATGGGGGAACTACTCAGTAAATACCAGAGATACATTTCGCAGTTATCGGACCAAGATGAACCCTGGGCGAGCTCTCCCCAGAATTCGCGATAGGGATAACAAGCATTTCAGGCCCCTAATGGGTCCATACTTGACCCAACCCAATCGACCCTACCAATACCCCTGTCCTCTACTGGAAAAATGCCCCTCCCCCACCATCAGGAAACAAGAAAGGTTCAAGTCTCAGCCCCATGCGCATGCTCCCGATGCCCACACGTACAAACCGCATACCCGTCACGATCCGCATACGAGTACTTGTAGTGGCAGCACGTGCACTGCGAGCCGTCGGCGTATCGCGCTGCGCACCGGTTCTTGTGGTCGCCGTTGCGGTGTAGGCGGGGTTCTGGAAGTGGTGTGGTGGTCATTTTGGGCGACTTGGGTAGGGCTGGATGGGATTGGAAGGCTTGAGGAGGGGTGAGAGAGAAGTTTGGTTTGGCTTTTGGGTCTTGGGTTAGTTTTTATGTATTGTTAGAGGTGGATGGACGAGTAGTCGTGGCTTACCCTGCAAGGGTTCTGGGTGAGAATGGCGCGGCGCACTTTCAATGCGGGGAAAGAGATGGAATTGCGGGGTGATAGACTACGGAGTAGAGGAGAAAGAGAGGAAGAACCATGAGAACAAGGAACGGCTGGTGCTTTATAGACTTTCGGGAATCAGCCTGATTCAGCCTGATTCAGCCTACGCAGCCTTGTCTTGGCGTGCATGAGGCTAAGGTGCGCAGTCTCGTTCTGCTCCGGACTCAGTAAGGATGAATTTGTCGGCGCTAATTTCTGGTATAAGAGTTGGCTTATGATTCATACCGGACTATCCTACAAGTATAGGTCTTCAAAGTGAGATTACACTGGCGGGGTTCTGCTACGGAAGGCGCGGAGGACCGCTCGTCAACCTCCATAGGATCCGCGACTCGCTTCATGAGTCCCTATTTCACCATCATCATCTTTACCATCGTGGTCTTGTTTACGGACGGGGTATTTCAATCTAACTTCATTTTGGTCCGCTCGTTCAAGTCTTCTTTACAGTGCTTGCCTATCTAACCCTCCACCAAAGCCTGAATCCCAACGATAATGGTATCAGGGTAAGTGACTTCCCTCCCATTACTATCCAAGAAGATCTTTAACCCGACTGCTTTCTGATCATTGCCATCGCAATCGCCATCATGATCATAATTCACCTCCCCGGAATCGAACCGAATCACAGCCGTCGCTGAACCATCGCATGTTCCCCAACGGGGACTTTCTTCGCCAGTGACTGAAACGAATTGGAGACCTCTAAGTGGACCACAGCTACTGCCGCCGTCAGCGCTGCCGTCCACCCAAATCCGGCACGCCTCCAGCATCGCACCACCCTCGAGAACCCACTCCTCTCCACTATGATAATGCGTTGTTTTCCCACGCTCAGCCTTATACTCCGAGCAACCCCCGTCCAGATGACACCAACACCATGGACCACTCTTATCACCTTCACTATCTGTCGGCGCGCTAAGCCTCGTCGGCCCGACACTCCCGATCGACCCATCCATATACTCGAAGACGAGACTTGCGACCGAAAACGGAAAATGCTGCGACGGGTGCGCGTAGTTCAGGCGGACTTTGTGCACGGGGAGCATCGTGCAGTCGAGCCATGCTGTGCACGCGTTCGGGGAGGGGTATGCGGTGCTTTGGCAGAGAGGGTGGGATGGTGGTTCGAAGGAGCCGTGGATGGGGCCTGCAGCAGCCCAGGTGCCTGGTGGTGGGGACGGTTCCCACCAGTGCGTGTGGCTGGGATTGGTTGCGTTTGTGTCTTGAGGCCCTGTCGGCGGTGGTAGCTCTGGTGGTGTTATGTTCGCTTCTAGGGGAGTTGAAAACATCCCAGCAAGGCACTCCAATCTAGCCTTTGGACTTCCGCGATCCGTCCAGTGGCAGTATATCCCACTGAGGGTCTTCTCTCCGGTAGAAGCATACACAGTCTCACCGGACTCATCAGGCCGACACGATCCCAGGACAAGTTGTCGGTTGTAGCTCGTAATGACACGAACACCAACCGTGATATGCGAGACAACGACAGCCACCGCCACAATCCGCTCCCCACCAGCGCCATCGATCGAAAGTGATTTCATCGTCAGCGGCCGCGGGCCAATCGACTTGGGCGGCTTGTTCGAGTAGCGGATCTCAAACGCGCCGAAGTGCACATCGCCGGCGAATTCCGTAATTTCGGACAGTTCGGCGTCGTCCCAGCCAAACAAGAGGGGTTCCATTGGCGCGAGGTCGAGTTTGAAGTCCGATGTCCAGTACCCGAATTTCTCCGGGGAGAGAGAGAGCCATGGTGGTGGGAGGGTGATACCTTTCCAGAGCCGCGAAGTAATCTCGGTATCGGCCTCTTGCGTGTACCCTTGGTTTTGCGCGAGTTCCAAGGCTAGTGGCGGGCTTTCCGGTACAAATGGCGATACTTGGAGTAGTGAAAGTCCTGAGATAACGCCGGCTTCAGGCAACCAATGCGCGAGCAGGCCGGCTAGCAGATGATTGCCCTCCACATGGATCAGCCTGAGATCTCCGTCCCCGGGGCTCTGACCAAGCTGAACGGGCTTTCCTTGCATGAAGAGAACCTGTAGTCCGACGACTTTTCTCTCAGAGTCTAGCGAAGTAGGGTCGCTGCGTGAGGTCACGACGAACCCCCTTATCCAGCCATTGCTGAGGATTTTGACCTCGTCGCGTTTCGCAAAGTGTTTACGGCTCCCGATGGTCTCTTCTGCTTCTATTTCCCCTTCTTTCTCTGGATTGTTAATGAATCGAAATCCAAAGCCAGACAAGGCACCCTCATTCGACCAATAGACAAGCAAAGCGGAAGCACGTTTGATATCTGACAGGTTTTTCAGTAGCGGAAGAACCGAAGACTCGCTTCCGGCTTGCATAGAGGTAAGCTGTCGCATTGGCGTAGACGCCGCATTCGCGAGTAAGGACCCTTTCGACCGCGCGCGATCCGCATTGATCGTCGCCTTCCTGGTCGCGTAGGGCTGGACAAACTCCTCGCAGACACCCCAGATTCGTCGGCGGTTGACTAGCCCGCGGATCTGGAGCGGGCTGCTGGGGTCGCTACGTTCGAGGAGGTCTGCGTAGCACTTGGCCCAATCGGGCTCTTCCGCTTGATTTTCGTCACAGTGAGCAGGGACAGGGTCAGGCAAGTCGAATAGCCAGGGCATGTCGCGGCGAATCTTGCGCTTCCAGAACCCATTACTCAGTTCGAGTCGCGCGACAGCCGAGCTCGCAACCTGGAGACACTTCATAGACGCCAGCGGTAATTGACCGACGATGGTGAGCAGCAGCTCTACGGGTAATCGGGCGAAGGGGTCTTGTTGCGTTTTGTTGGTAGCTCCACGGCTCTTACCTTTCTTGACTGTATCAGCATCTCTCAACAACGGCAGATGCTCATAATACGCCAGCAACAGCGGAATCTCCAGCGGATCCATGACAAAAGCCTCCTCGCCCCGTTTTGCCGCCCAGTACTGTTCATCGGTGTCAACCCCATACGGAAGGACGTCTCGACTGGCCAGACACTGGAAGGAACTCTGGTTTGCAAAGGTCATCCACGTAAGGTACAGGGCTTCTTCGTCAATGTAGTCTTCTCGCGCATTTGGCGGGATCTGGTTGTGGGGCGAGAGACTCGCCTCTAGGATGCGGTAGCATTTTGTGTGGAAAGGGATTGCGTATGGGTGCTCGTTGCCCCAGTCGTACCTGTCGAGACAGCGTCAGTCTCGCATGTTGGGTTTGGAAAATGTGCTACATACCCGCGCAAACTCAGTTGCCTATCATGGTGATTATCCAAACCCATCTGGTTCCCTGTCGGAAAATTAGGGTGGTCGCTCGGCTCGACGTCGAAGAATCCAGAGTCGTCATAACGAGCGGGACCGGTGATGAACACTCTGATGGACGCTTAGCAGAATCCCATGACCAGGTTATCTAGACTCAGTACTTACTTATTTATAGAAGTCGCCTCGTTATTCTCGCAGATGAGCCGCACATCATTCATCCAGAGGACATCCCTGACGCTGAGGATCGATCGGTCGTATTCGTATTCGTCGTCTTCTTCGGCTGCGTCGTCGTCGTTCTCGTCGTCTTCTTCGGCTGTGTTGTTGTCGTATTCGTCGTCTTCTTCGGCTGTGTTGTTGTCGTATTCGTCGTCTTCTTCGGCTGTGTTGTTGTCGTTCTCGTCATCTTCTTCTTCTGTGTTGTTGTCGTTCTCGTCATCTTCTTCGTCTGTGTTGTTGTCGTTCTCATCGTCTTCTTCGGCTGTGTTGTTGTTGTCTTCGTCGTCCCATATTGGTTGCGATACGGGGGTCCCGCAGATTGCACAGTAATTGTCGTGTCCTCCCATTGTGAGATGGTTCAATGTGTCCGTCCAATGTGTTCAGTATGAGGAGAGTTGAGACGAGGTACATATGGCGGATGGCGTGGAGGTCATCGAGTATAAGTAGGGGGCCGTCTCCAGGCTCCAGCTGGAGGCTGCAGGCCTCCAACTGACGGGTGGGGAGGGAGCCTGCTGTGTTGGAGATCATCCTACCTAATAATCAACACAGGATCACTATCCAGTACTCCTCCGTAGAGGCAAGAGAAGAAGAAAAAGAGGCCAGAGAAAGACGGAGGGGAATGTCCATATATGTACGCCGATCATTTGGAAATCTCGGACTGCTTCCGGTTTGTCTGGGGACTCACGAGTCGTCTACCATATGCACGCAAACAAGCACCCACGAGCAAACGGGCGTTGATACAAACTATAAAGTATAGTAAAATTAGACCAGGTCCTAAAATTAACCATGTCGTGACCCGAAGTGAAATCCTCCCCTAGGCAATCTACGTTGCTGCCAGACTGTGTAGTGGAGAATGTCTGTCATTGATTGACCCATGGGCATCACAACCCACACCTTTAGCGACCGAAAAAAAAGTCCAAATAAACCAATGGAAGTCCCGCTTATATACTATTACAAACTTCCCTATGTACCTACCAAAGAGGAAAAAAAGAAGAATATGGCCAATAAGAGGGTGACCCTTCGAAGCCCCTGTATATGCGCCCACGTCCTGCGTTGCACCTGCACCAGCTGCAGTCGATATGATAGCACAATAGCTTGCCAGACCGACCAAGCAATCAAGCAAGCGAAAAAAATCACCGAATGTTGCACCTGGCCTGCACCTTTTGGCTAATCGAAAGAGCAAAAGCGAGAGAAATGAGAGAACGGATATAATTCAAGCGCGGTATGAGGTGTCTTGTATGTTGCATATATGTATAGATATTTGATTCCATGTACGTTGTATGTATGCCGCTCTCGTGGAGACGAGGCGGGGACCGGGAATGTGAGATATGATGTGCAGAGAAGACCGATAAGGGATATGAGAGGAGAGAAGATGAGAAGATCAAATGTCGACAATGGGTATCTAAATCTGAGATGAAACGCGCAAAGATGCGTATACCGCGTATATGGCGTGCTGATATGTTCGTTGTGGAGTTGGGAGCCGCAGGACTAGCCTTGCCGTGCCCAGAGGCGAGTGCAACGAAAGAGAGTAGCGAATCCCCGCGAAGGCAAGCAGCTGTCTCAGGGTTACAGCTCCTGCGAATCCAACCCCCAAATCTCCCACCGTTTCAGCACATCCCACCCGGCCCGCTGAACTTTCCGCCGTAACGAGTGCTGCGACGGTCCACCCATCATACACTCGTCGAAAGTCTGCGCGGGCACAATAGCGACCTCCTCTCTCGTACGTTTTCCAAGTGACGAAGGCGGCACGGGGCCATTTGTGCTTCGTTTTGGTAGAGAGTGCGGTGGGAGTTGGTTCGGCGAGTTGGCCTGAGGATTGCAATTAAAAGGTCCAGGACCGGAGCCGGGACTCGGGAACGCGGTTGATATCCCGTTTGTAGTTTCGTGTTCGGAGTCGTGGTAGGTCTGCGGACTCTGGTCTTGGCTCGCGGCGCGAGACGCATCGGGCGTTTGGGACTGCACGCCGCCTTGTGTCGTGTTTGCATGCACGGGGACTGTGTAAAATTCGCCCAGGAGGAAGCCCTTGCGGCCGAAGCCGAGGACCTTGAGGCGGCGGAAGACCTGTTGGTCCGCGAGGGATTCGCCGAGTTTCTCCTGCAAGATTTCGTCATCGAGCTCGACCATTTCCGCGAGTGAGCGGACGCCGAGATCGTTGATCTTTGAAGGGGGCGGGGCTGGTTTCTTGTTCGGTCTTGTGCTGGGGTCGTCGGCGCCGGGGCTTACCGGTGCGGGGCCTGTTGGGATGAGGAGGCGGAGTGCTTGAAGATTGCGGAGGAAAGGGAGAAGAAGGCCGAGGGTATCCATTGAGGAAAATTCGGCGGCGAAGGCGAGTTGTTCGAGTTGGGGGCTTGCATGGACGAGGCGGGCGATGATTGTAGAGGAGAGGGGCCAGCGCGCGGGGAGGAGGAGGTGGCGGAGGGTTGCGGCGTGGTTAAGGATGATGCTGTTAAGGGAGGCTTCGCGGATTCGGGCTTGGAGACTGGGTGCGTTGGATGGTGAGTCGGTGGAAGTAGGTGTTGTGAGGTCCTGGCAGGTGCCTGACCCTGTATGGTCGGATGCTGGTGGTGTCAGGGTTGTAGGAGGTTGCGGTTCTCGGGGTGAGTTGATAAAATCGGTGGCGCTTGTGCTGCTGACCAGATATAGACGCTCGAGCCCGGTAAAGCTAGAAAAGAACTCGCTTTGCCGCTGGTTATACACATTCACTCTCATACTCTTGAGCCGCGGTATGTGAGTAGGCGTAACAGGCCAGCTGCTGTCGACAAAGGTATTGAGGGCGGCAGGATCCACCCGGTTCTCATTGAGCATCGTAATCTCCTCCACCGTGCTGATGTCAAACGCAATGTTGAAATCCTCGCTGTGTCGAGCGTACATATTCGCCATGCCGAACTTCTTGATCGTCAGGGGCTGCTTTGCCGTTATGCATTTGCGAAAGTAGTCGTGCAGCATCACACTGGGTTCCTGCATATTCCTCATCCGCGGCGACCAGTGCATCAGCAGCTCCCTCAGCTTCTTCGCCTTCCAGAGCAGCGTCGAAATATCATCCGGATAGCAAAGCGGGTCAATATCCGTAATCTTCAAGTATCGCAAATGCGGCATAGCCGGGATAACGGTTGTCGGACGCGGATGGCGACTCGATGGGAACCGGATCGTCAGCGCGGTCAGTTTGGGCAACTGCGCGAGGCCTAGGTACACCGTCTCGAGCATCTTGGTGCTCAGCTCCCACCGGAAGCTCTCAAGGTCCTGCATTCGATCCACAGCTGCCCGCACCGTGATATTCAGCATCATCGAGGAGTCGGGGACCCGTCCGACGCGCGCGTGCTCTTCGAGCTCCTGCTCCCGCCAGTCACCCCGCAAAGCCAGCGACCGGACTAACCCGGCGTACGGTCGCGTGATGACGGCATTTAGCCCCATTGTAAAGGGGCTGGCGCTGCCCATACCCTCGGGTTGGTCGCCGCGATACCGGATTTTATCGTAGGAGGTCAGGGTGAGGTTTCGGTAGAGTTGGGGGAGGGCCATGTAGTTGAGGACGCGGCATGTTCGGCAGAGGCGGGCGAGATCACCGGGTTCGTCCAGCTATAGAAAAAATGTCAGTTGCACTCATCTCTCGGAAATGGAAAAATTTCAGGTGCGAGAGTTCGAGAGAAGGCGTACGCAAGCGACAATCTGCGCGATCAGATTCAGCGGCAGGACCAGCATCGATGCACCCTGCGGCCGGTCAATGGCGATGCTGGCGTTGAACATGTTCGAATTTACGGCGGCCATGATGCGACGCCCAGCGACTATGGGGGAACAGCATCGACCAGAGAGGGGATATCGGGGGCGCGAGGAGGGACAGGCATCGATGGGATGACGAGGAGCCTGAAAGAAGTGTGGAGCGGCCTGAGGTGGAAGAAGCTGGAAGTTTGGGGGAGTTTTTTTGGTGGACGGAGCCCACAGCTTCCGAGCCTCGACTTATGACACCTGCACTTATGCCGCTTCGGGCCATTGGGGCGTTACACCAGCTGGATTTCACGAAGAAATAAATATGTATATATAGAATTATCGCGCTTATACTATGAGATCCATCTCCAGGGTATCTTGGTACATCAACACCGTCCGCTCCTCCCTCGCCCAGTAAATAGGAAAGTGTAGATCAAGCCAAGTCACAGATGTCGAGACCAGTGCTCGGTCCTTGAATCCGAAATTGCAAACGAAAGTCCAGACTCCCACTGCGCTGTAGGTGGAGAGCCGCCGTTACTCCCCGCTAAATCCAAACCGAATACAAGAAAGAAAAGAAAGAGGATAGTACTCGCCGCTATCGTTGAGACCGCCGTTCTTCGCTACCGGAGCCGGTCTCTGGCTCATTGTGTTGCCGCCCGTCTTGGCTCTCCGGGCGCACCTCCGGTAATGGCTGCAGTCCCGGGCCATCGTCCCCATGGTTGGATGAAGACGGACACATCGGGTTCTCGGGCTGTGTAGTCTGCCGGCTGGAGGAATTGCTCTCAGGGACAAGGGCTGCTGCTTCTGGGTCATAGCGTAACTCATAGTCCATAGAACTAAAAGAACCCTCTACATCAGCAGCAGTCCAAGGGGCTGCGCTTTGAACTTGTGGCGATATCACTCGCATCCGTGGGTCATGCGGTCGCGATGCAACCCTCCGACTAGAAGACCGATGGAGGAGACTAGAGTCTGTAAACCACTGCGGAGACCATGTATGTTGGCCGCGACGCCGAGCTGGGATGACAGTGACTGGCAATGGGTCGGTACCACTCTGTCTCCGAGATCCAGGATTTAGATGATGGAAAGAAAAGAAGTCTGTCCGCCGAGAGGCGTGCGGTGACTCCTCGCCATGTTCTCCTGGCGGCCCGTGTTGCTCAGGTGCAAGGTACCCTTCTTCCTCTGCCTGCGCCGAGGCGACTTCTCTGGGTAAAGCGGCGTGTCTTCGTTTAAATGGGTTCAGGATATTGCGCCATCGCGGGTCCACATTCACGATCTGAGGCGAATGCTCCCTGCCCGGGTCGTTGGGAGTATTGTGCATTGGCAGCCCGGGCTGTTGACTGTCGACCACATAGTCCTTCTCTTCATCGACATTCGAGGCTTCATCCTCTTCTTCCATGAATGGCATGGCAACCGGCGGGGTAGGACTTGAAACAGGGTAGTAATGCACATTGTAGACGGTACTGGCCGCGCTGGTCGTATCTGCTCGACTGACGGGAGTGACGGCTACTGGCGGTGGTGTCGGTCTCGCGGATATCCGCCGACGCGAGTTTGTAGCAGCCGCAGCGCTTTGGCCTTCACGTTGAGCTGGTGCGCCGCGACCGCCTCGCGGGCGCAAAGGCCTGTGCGCGAGACCCATCATTCCTCCCCAAGCTGAAGACATGCCAGTCCCTCCGCCGCGATCACCCCCGGGGAAGTGGTGGCGAGGCCAATCAACCTCTTCGGAAGGCGTGACCTCTAGCATTTCATCGCCGTCGAAAACTTCTCTTCCAAGAATTCCGTCTTTTCGTTCGTCCCGTTCCAGCGCCTCAATGCGTTCCACCCACTCCCAAACAACAACACTGGCGGCCGCCGAGCCTACCCACCTAATATATGTACCCCAGCCGGCTATTTCCGGTTTCGCAATATCCAAAACAAAGAAGACAACGGGTATAAGAACTGCACATAGCGATAAGAGTGCGACGAGGCAGATATTCCTCATCTTAGGGTGAAAGAAGGCGAATCGATGTTTCGACAAGGAGTAAAAGATGACCCATGCAGCGTAGAGGAGGTTGAGGGCGAGTTCAAATAAGTAACTGAGAGCAGGAATGGCATCTTCGTAAAGTCGTGGTCGCGTGGTGTTCGTCTTGACCAGGAATTTGTCTAGAATCGCAAAAATAGTATCGAGCACGATCAGGGCGAAGCCTGCCCATTTGATCATTATTTTCTCTTTATGCCGCGGAAATAAGCGAATCAGGGTCTGCACCTGAGCTAGCCATAAGAAGGTACTAGAGATGATCCGGACAACTTTGATCTCGGTGCCATCAATAACCTCCGATGTCAGCGCCTCGGCGTCGGAGTAGCCGTGATCATACTGCCTCTCAGCCACGCGGAAGGAATCAGCAGTCGCGATCGTAAGCGATATCGCGACCAGAAGCGCCGCAACCTTTTGCAGCCACGGACGACCGCCGACTCCGACAACGGAGGAATTGTTGCTGTACGACCCGCTGACCATCCCATGTCGACCCAAAAAGTTGGCACCGCCGCCGGGCCCACCGACATAAAATGTTCGCGGCGTGATGAGTAGGATAATGACGAGTAGATAGCTGACGACGGTGGCACAGCCCATGGCATATAATTGCGGAGTCACCGACGCGTAAAAGGGGTCGCGAATATCGAGCGCAGCACCGGCATGTTCTGTCGTCGTCGGCGTACTCGTGCACATGGGGTCAAAGACGGCATTTTCGTCGAGGGATATTGAGTAGGTACGATTGATATACACATAGCCTGTAGGCAGCCACCGAGTCAGTTAAAAGATTCTGGGATTGGGCAAGCTCGCGCCGCGCAACTAGCGGGGGAAATGAGGGTGATCGATTCGTCGAAAACGTACCATCACTAGGAAGTAAGAACGGAGTACAGCCTGGTACATATGTTCTGGTGGTCGTGCTTGTCGGTCGGGCCCATATTTGGCGGGGAGCAAGGCGGCCGTCATTCTCCATGGCGATACTGGAAACTCACGTCACGTCGCAACCAAAGCAGCTCAAACACACCAGGAGACAATCCGTGTTGAAGACATTAATGCTCCACGAGGCACCTGTTATACCATTTCCTTTAGACCACCATAACTGCACCAAGTCCGGTCGCGAGAGAAAGGAGCGGTCGGTCCAATCAGACGGTCGGGGCTGTCAATGGCGATGAGAGTCAGACACGGCGTCAGGATCGAGCGAGAGGATAAATGATGCGGAGATAAGCGATGGAATCGAAAATTCGGAACGAGGGTAATCGGAGGCGAGTTCGAGGCGTACAGGTTACATGCGCAGGAGTTGCCGTGGGTCAGAGTTGCGAGGGCAGGAGATCTGGTCTGGGGTTGAGGAGCGAAAGAAGCCTTTCTGGAGTCGCGCCACAGCAGGCCCAGAGTCTCGGCCTCACTTCACCGCCTGCCAGGGCGCTGGAATCTCGATCCATCTTCAACGACTCAGTTTCTCCTTGATTGCTTCTCGCGAGATGGAAAGCGGCATTTACTGTACAGGTTCTGAATTTCTAATGGAGTTACGCATGGCCGCGGTGGAAGTACAAGAATGTGGCCCTGACCACTCATTGGAATAAGTTCTTAAAAGCATCACACAGCACACACGGCCGCCCAGAATCAGCCGGAGAAGCGAGAAAAGAGATAAAATAATAGAGTTCGATGACAGCTCAAGCTCTAGGTTCGCATCAGGCATGTCGTAAAAGGCACGGGAGATACTCATGAGATCACTTCGCGAAAGATCAGGGAAAACTTCACAGAAAATGCAATCGAGTCAGGGGGGTATCCAGCATCATCATTAATCGCTCATCAGAAAGGGAAATGGTTCGTTATTCGTTGGCAGGCGCAAGAACTCGGCCGCCTTTGTTACCTCTGTAGTGGGCCGTACGACATTGGGACTGGTGCGAGGTACGGAGATACCAGCGCAGCTCCGGAGGCTCTAGCAGCCTTTGCGCGCTCTTCCTCTCGCTTCCTGATCTCCTTTTCATCTTGGATGAGGGTACAGCACGTGCAGCAGGTCGCTCGAACACAGTCTGACGCGATACTACCTTGGATGGCGTATGCTCTTCGAATCCGAGTGTGCTGGATGGTTGCCAAAAGCCCTGCGAGTATTAGTTTCTGAAGAAGATCTCTTGATGATGAGTGCTCACATTGACAGCCACATAACAGAGCCATAGCAGTGCAGGATCCATTACAGGTTTCATACCCGAGCATATTCGTCGGGTCTTCCTTTTTCGATCTCATCGATAGGCGATGCTGGGTCTTTCCATACAGAATACACGGGCACACAAGACCTAGACAGCAAGTTCCAATGCTCGAGGAACAATCACATAACCCATGGGTCCATCCCCCACCTCGTATTTCCTGGTTTGGATGTGATATTTGCCCCGGTCGATGATACGTTGCAAGGTCATTCCCTGTCGGCACTTGAGGCACAGGTGTGGTGGCTGGGGGAGGGAAGTACGGGATCTTTGGTGACTGTAGGGGATTCGCGTCGGGCACGATTGATAATTTATCCTGGCTATTCTCGTGGTCTTGAGCGCTGCCATGAGTGCTATAGTCTATCTTCGCTGGTAGAAGCTCCGGCGAGTTCGGAAGCCTTGTCGCAGGCTGCTGAGGCACTGGTTCGGCAAAGGGGGCATAGTTGGCAGGGTGTTGCTGCAGATCCGGGGCATAAACATTGCTCGGGTTTTGCGGAAGATGCTGTGCCTTTTCGATATCGATTGGAGGTGGGCGATGGGTTGACCAGGTACTCCTCGCGGTTGGAGGAGACGGCAGTCGGGATCCTGGTTGACTCGGAGGACTCAATTCAACTGGTGTCTGTACAAATGAGTATCGCTGGTTGACCCCAATACCAGAGGTATCTAAACGCAATCGTGGATTCATTTTGATCACAGCGCCAAACTCATGCGACCAGCACAAGAAATGGCAGTCTCCGACTCTCTTGGTGTAGTATGTCGATCAATATATACCTGGAGGCAGGATCTATATCGGAGCAGCGAAGACTGTCGTTGCAGTTGAGGAACAGGGGGAAAAGAGAGAAGAAAAGCCAACCTTCAAAAGTTGAACCCCAGCGACAGATAACTGTCAGAACCTCACTGCCATCCTGTGGGGGGCCGATCAGTGCTCGAATCCAAATCACATCGCACGGAGACTGAGTGTTTGTGGCTCGACCGTCGGAAGATCGTCGCTCTGGAACTAGCCTGCAGGATCGCGAGCGCATTTCACACAGCGGGCGATCGTGGTTGGTTTGGCGCCCGGTGAGAGGGCTGATAGTCTCGTTTCTCATCACATAGCACCGCCCTGTCACATCACACCCCAAGCGCCCAGAGCGCCCTTCTTCGTTCTGATCGGCCCGCTCTACGAACCGCTGGCGGCGGTGTTTGGTCTCTCGAAACGGGGCACTGCCACAGTCCAGAAATAGCTTGTTTCGCTTGACGATTTGGCGCTCGGCTTGGGTTTTGTTGTCTGGCGCTGGATGCTTCAGGCGCTGGGGGCAAAGTCGGGTGATGTAATTTGGGGTGAGTTCGAGGAGGGTAACCGCGGCATCACGGGCGTGTCAATAAGATCATCGATCCTTCTCAGTAAACCAGTTCTGCATCTTTTGATACTCCTGCATCGTTATATATTCCACTCAATACTATTCAGCAATGTAGATTGTTAAGGGGAAAGCCTCAGGGTAAAATTCTCTTGTATTCAGGATTTAGTCTCGCTACTTCAAGAACTTATATAGACCTCTATTCACAAACGGACGTCGTTTACATACAAACGTGAGCCGACAAGGATCATCGCTGTGTCCCCGCGTAGATGCCACCTCAAACGAGGTAGACGCGAATCTCTGAGACTATTCAAACGCGCGACAAAGGAACCTTGGGCTCATTGTCTGCGGAACAACCTCACCGTTCTTCAAAAACTTCGTCGACACCACTGATCATCTTCATATGATCAGCTGTATCGCCATAGGCTAGCCTATTGAAGGTCATTACTTCGTGTACCCTTATATTCCGCCAGCAGTACTTATACAGGTTTTCTAAAATCAGCTCATGTTGGCAAAGCTTTCATTCATAACGAATTCTTGTGGAAAACTTGCAAAACTCTCTTATTGGGTTCCAGCTTTCTATAGGTATGTAACAAGGATTATGTGCGAATAGAATCTTGATGAAACTGTTTGGGATTCAATAGATCTATCCCATTATGAAGCTATACGGAGTAGTTCGGCTTCCTGTCCTAGACACCAGATGAAAAAGCAAATGTCTTTGAGTAACCAAGCACACAACTCCGGGAAAAAAAAAAGCAAGTCGTCGCAGCCAGATCATAAACATGGTAAATCAAGTCACATAAATGTTGTCGTCACCGACCCTTTCACACCAAACGCCATCGTCAAAGGAAAACTCCTCAAGGGCCCCAAAGCTTTTCAATCTTTTGTCGAAGCTGCTTAATCTGCGGAGCCAGCGGGCTCACGTCGCTGGCGTTGATGCTGGCAGCGATTGCACCATTTCCCAGGCCACACGCGGTACCTAGAGCATTCTTGCTCGGTACCCAGACATAGGGTACGTCTTCGCCGATGCAGTAGTCGGGGGCGTCGGCCGCCAGCACGAGGGGATCGGTGTCGGCCGCCACCACAGCCAGCTGGGACTGGCCGTTTTTGACGGATTTTGTTGCTGGAGAAGACTTTGGTTAGCACGCGTTTATCTCATTGTTCTGTTGCGAGGGTATGTTGTTGAGTCGATCACCTACCCTCCTTGTATCCCTTTTTGACCAGTTTGAGGGCGGAGGCTTGCTTGAGGAGGTCGAGGATTTCCTGGGTAAGTGCCTCCTCGGCACGGGGAAAGACTGTACATAGTAAGTTGTCAGTTGTGCTATCCGTAAGCGCAGGGGGCGATCTTACTGAGATCTTCAGATGGAATTGCCATGTTGCAAGATAGATGATGATGATGGCTAAACGTTGGAGGATCTCCGCCAGAAGGAAGAGAGTCCCTCCCTTAAGAGGGAGCATTTAACTTTTTTTGTTGAAAACTTTAGATGGGCCGAAGGCAAGTCCGCACGCTCGCAAACGAAGAGCTTATGATCACGTGTGGAAGCTTTCCCCATGGGCCAAGACTTGTGATGGATGGCTCCGCGTTTTGGTTCCACGTTCCATCCACAGCTCTTTTGGAGAAGTACTTGCATCTTGCACTCCACTGTTATTATGGGAATCGTCATATTGCTATCCTTTTCCGAGATTACAACCATTTAGAGTAAGACAAACGATCGTCGCCGGTGTGTCTGCCATCAATATATATCCTAGGACTTCGTCCGTATCTGGCGAGCAACACACGCGTTGACACTGTCTCAAACAAGGTTTACTTGTATGAACCACTAGCGTGCACTCCGGTTGGCTGACCATACTGCCTAGGTACCGTTGCCTAATTCTTTGACTGTAGATTGTGGCGGTGCTAACTCGATAAAACAGTTCGCTACCCCAAAAACACCCCGCCGTTCCAAAAGCGATAATCCTCTTCCATGATGGGCGACGAAAACCGGCCGGGTATTATCGGGATCGACTTTGGTGGTATATCATCTTCAGCAGTCTTTGCCATCGACAATGGCCAAAATCCCAATCTGAAAGTTCTTGACCAGTGGCCAAAGGCTACACCACGGTTTCTCAAGCAAGTTCTAGGAAATGCCGAGATCGAGTCCATCGTGTACCGTGACCAAAGATTCAAGGTAGTTGGTTGGTCCGAGGACGAAAATGAAGTGATCACGCCAGAAGGCGGGATAAAGCCAGGCTTATATGTTTTCAGAGACTTCAAATCGGAGCTCTTTCCGCCGGAAGACTATCCTGAAGAACTCAAAGCAGCCATTAAAGTGCCTGGAACGACTGCAGAGGATATTTCCGTGGACTATCTAAGCCACCTTCGACGGAGCGTACTGCACCAGGTCCAAGGTCAACTCGAAAGGTCGGGGACGGCACAAGGCAACCTTCAGATCGTAATGACAACACCAAGCTTCTGGAACGACGAGGCGAAGGCAAGCTTCCGCGAAATTGCCACAAACGCTGGCTTCGCAGCGAAACCGGACGAAAAGTTTGATTTGATCTCTGGCCTTGAAGCTGCCATACGCCATGCCCAGTTCATGCAGCCCGCTGCATTTTCGGTGGGTGAAACATTCCTCGTTGTGGATTGCGGTGGACATTTTGTTGAAGCAGCCGTCTTTGAAGTCAAAGCAAAGAATCCAGTCAGATTTGAAAAACGAACCAAAGTTTCGGCATCTTCATGCGGATCCGCCGAGGTAACTCGCCGCTTCCTAAACCTTATGAATGACAAACTCGCCAGAACGGGCATTTCGCCCTTGAAAATACGGACAAAACGCGGAATGCGCCATCGGTGCAGAAAACAGTTCGAGAAAGAGGTGCTTCTCGGCTTGGGTAGTGTGACTTTCCAACCCCCTTCCGAAGACCTCAGCGGCTTTTGGGTGGCGGATCTAGGGGTGGAGATTGAGTGTCCCGAGGCAGACCTGACTGAAGGGTATATGAGCTTCGGCGAAGACGAGGTATATTCTTGTTTCGATTTCGCTATCGAGAGGACACTCGAGTTGGTAAAGGAGCAGATTGCCGCTGTTCAGGTACAGGGTCTACAGCTGCAAGGTTGCCTTCTGGTCGGAGGATTCAATAAATGCGTTTATTACTCTGACAGAGTTCAAACCGGTATCGCGGCCCTTGGCCTTAAGATGATTCGATCTGATCATGATCCTCTGGCTTTCGCAAAGGGCTCCGCTCTGGCTGGCCTCAACGATAGTTTTGGACACATTTGAGCGGCGCGCGACTAGATGGGTACTCCCCACACCACCCCTCATTCGATTCGCTATATTGAATCTGCCGAATCTCACCATGGTGGCGAGTTTGATGATTTCAACCATGCTCAGATCGATGGGAAGTTCGAGAGCGCATAGTCGGCGAGTTGCATCAAGAACCGTCATATTCGACGGGGTATCTGTAAATGCCTGCCTATGGAGGCAAGTTCCAAATAAAGTCTAAGTCTAAACAATCGGAATCAACACCCAGATCCATGGGTCCCCCATCCCATGTACCAAACGGCGCCATCAGCGGGTCCAACGGAAGCGACAACCAGTCGCCGAGATCCAGTTGACCTTCGCCGGACCAGTCTATCATATTTGAATCCCACGCAGTCTCGTTACTCGGAATCTGTCCATGCTCTTGAATGTTGTGTGACTCGTCCTGATTCGAAGAATTGCTCTGGAACTCTGTAGACACAGAGCTGGCGAATGTCTGCCGCAGACGAGAAACGTGCGTTTTCAGCAACTCAGCATACTGCGCCACAAAGTGAATATCATCAAGCGGGTTCGAGAGTAAAGCAGCGACAGCCGTGTCCAACAGGCGCAACGACGCCTGCAGTTTCGTCTTCCTCACACCGAGGGCGAGTGTTTTGAGGAGAAATATTGACGAACTGATCATGCGTGACAAGACACGCATCGGTAGACATCGCAGGTCTGCGAGAGAGATGATATGCGTAAGTATCACACAGGTGCCATCGATGACCTCTTCGATGAATTCGTACTCGTTTCTGCTCATGTTCAACTGCTGTGCCTGCGAGACGAAGGTTGCATCAATCGTTTCTTGCGGAGCTGTATTAGAGAGGACGCGCTCGACGATTCCTTGGACGCCGAGCGAGTTGGCGAATACTCTCAGGTATTGGTATTCGATGTGAAGGATATTGTCGTATTGAGAGCCTTCACAGTCAGTCGGTAGCTCTACTCTCTCGAAAAGATAACTTACTCTGGAACCCTTGATGGTGATCCTTCCACGCTGCAAGTTGCACCTTCCACTGCTCCAGCAACTCAAAATCGAAAAGCTCGCTGTGATTTGCTTGGCTTCCAATCAAGAATGTTTCGCGCAAAGCCAGCGTCAATCCCGTCAGATCGACCCAGGAGGTCATGAATCTGGCCCAATCTGGATCCACTGTCATTATCCTGTCGAGATTCGATTGTTTGGCATGGTCTCGCATAATGGAAGTACAACCAATCCTCGAGGAAAGAAGATTCGCAATTGTGAACAACAGGGACGGGAGTCGTAGGCGTCTCAGTTCCAGGTCACAGAGATAGCTCGCGACATCTGGACCCGTGATATGTTCTTGTTTCTTCGCGATACTACCATGGGTTCTTGAATCGAAGACGCCGAGCTCATGGGCAAGGGCTAGCGCAGAGTTGACAAGCATCCAGGACATGCGATCCGCGCGCCTTGTGGGCTCAACAACGTCTTCCCTCCATCGGTCTTTCATTGGATGCTCCTGCACGGTCATTGGCGGATCAGGCATCATGAGCGTCGTCAACATCCAATCCGAGTCCCACCCGTCGGTTTCGTGCGGAAAGTGTAGAGCCAGCGGGTACCACTCCGAGAGGAGTAAAAGAGCCTCAATGGTGGAAAGATGCCTCGTTTTTGCCTTCGACAACTTCTCTTGCCCAAGCATGATCCGTAAGATGAGGTGCTGGCAGTGTTGCCATAGTCTATTGTGGATGTAGAATCCTCGAGACGCTCCTGACGGCCCTGGAAGGGTATGGTAACGCGCGGCTATCATCAAGATCGTGCAACAGAGGACTGGCTCCTGGGTGACTAGCCAATAGTGCGAATTATGGGACGCAAAGAAATTAGTCAATATGGGCGTCGTCGCAGGGGTCATGTTGCGAAAGAACCTGCTTGCTATTAGACGAAAATCACTCGCTCTGGGACGACAACAAACCAGTCCGTGTATAGCAGCGCTTCCTCCGCGGTAAACCAACCCATCTTCACAAACCGACACCCCTCCCAGATTCTCACAACATTCTCCTCTGACCGAACATCGAACGGGGATGGTGCAGCCTCTGATATTGTCCCTCTACGCCGCCCGTCCGACCCTGAGTCTCTCGTCTGCGCCGCCGCATCAAACAGGATATCCAGCGCGTCATTTCCGCTCGCCACATGCTTTTGCAGGACTGTCGTCGAGATACATCCACCATCCTCTAGCCTCGACGAAGTCGACGGTGACGCGTCTGTATCGTTCGTCACCGCATTCGTAGCCATTGCATCCAACTGACGGCGACTCTGACTTTGACCCTTATTCCCACTCCCACTCCCGCTTGCACCTTCGCATCGACTGCGACTTTCCTGTTTCTCCCTGGACCAAGGCTGTTTTGCCGAGAATTGACATTCCAGCCCCAACTTCTGACACCGCTTGCACAACTCTTGAGAACCGGATATTGGTTCGCATTTCACTTTCCGCCGTCGACAGGGGATGCATGCTTTGTATGCGCGCTGGAAGTTGTAATCTGCCGAGGGTGCCCTTCTGCTTCGCGGTGGGCGATTCATTTTGTCTTTGCCTGATACACGAGCAGCAGCAGCCGCTATGAGATCCTTCAGACCTATTCGGGAGAACAGAACCGATCGGAAATCCGCCGAACTGGACTGCAGTCGGCCTGTAGTGTCGAACGTTGGAGTAAAGCCCGGAAATATCCGTCAACTAAGGCACGAATTTCGGGCGCGGGGAAGCAAAGGCTTTAAATGGGCTCTGATTTGCAGGATCTGGGCGTCCCGCAATTGGCCCTTGCTGAACATCGGGTACGTACAGGGTTGTGGGGTTGGAATGTGGAGCCCTCCCACTGAACGACGCCGACTCCGCAGAGCCATCTGAGCTATCCCGGGTGCCGCTGATGGGATTACAAACCTAACGCCCGGCGCACTATCAGTTCCAAGGACGCCCATGTCCATATCGCAGAGGCATATCTACGGTTATGCGACCAGGATAGCGTGCGTCATTACCGGTCTACTCCGGGATCGCATATTGAGGCATCATGGATTAGGGCTTCAGTCCACCAATCTCATTTATTCAATCTCATTTATTCTGCGCTTGGTCCCAAATGCCTCTCGTTACAAACTATCATGTCACCTCCAGTCCGGAAAAAGCGCCATCAGATGCGGACCAAAGCAGTTATCCCCTCGCTACATGAATACCACCACGCACAAGCCTCACCATCTCCGTGGCCCCATGTAACCCACTAAACCAGGTATCGGAAGCGAGGATTCGCATCCCCATCCTCCGTGACATCGACATGAACATTATCATCGACAGGTCCATAGAGCCGATCGCGCTTCTTGTTCTCGTGGTTGAGCTTGATGTACAGGCCCAGTGCCATGATGGCGATGCAGCCGGTCAAGGCACATCCGATGGCGCAGCCGCGGATGTAGATTGGCCTATTGCCGACAAGGTCAGTCAGCACATTTCAAGAGCAGTAAGATAGGAAAGCTCGATAGAGACGTGAGTCACATACCCCTCACTATCCGGAAAAGCTGTGCTGCTAACGAAACTAGAGCACTGTCCAAAGACAGCCAGCAGCGCCATACCAGCTCCCTTCTTTGAATCTCCACCCTGATTGTTCAGGAGCCAGGTGATGTTGATGCACAGGGCCGGGAATACTCCACACGTTGCAAGCCACACGCCTAGATACCGCGGCCCGACTTTATTCTCGTCTTGAACAGTCGCAAGAAGCAAGTATCCGATCATACCCACCGTCGAGAAGAACACGATAACGAGTCCGCGCCGACCATACCGATCCGAGAAAATCGCAGCGGCAACGCAGAAGAGGAAGGAGACGAAGTACGGTGGCGCCGAGAGACCCTGCGCGTTGATCGACGTGTATCCCATGTGCTGGATGATGGTGGGCAGGAAGTTCGAGAGACCCGCGAAGGAAAAGTTGCAGCAGAAGTGAATCAGGGTATGGACGTAGTTCTTGTAGTCGGAGAGACCTGCAACAACCTGGCGGCGGTCGAGGCGGTTCTTGGCGGTGCGGTCGACGGTCTGGAGGCGCTCGACTGCGGTTGTTTGTTCGGATTCGGTGAGGAATTTGGCGGTGCCAGGGGAGTCAGGGAGGAAGAAGAAGACGACTATCGCGAAGAGAACGGTGGGTGCGCCCTCTGTCCTTGTTAGCTGATTCTCAGGTTTGGGGAAGGGAGGGGAGAGTACCGATGATAAAGAGGAATCGCCAGGACTCGAGAGTGGAGTGCCTGATGTGCGTGATGCCATATGCAAGCGAACTTGCAAAGCAGTTGGCAACCGGCGACATTCCCAGGAGGATCGAGACGCGAAACCCTAGTTCTTGCCGCTGGTAGAAGAGCGAGAGGAAGTACGGAGCGCCAGCACCAAAGGCAGCTTCAAAGATGCCCAACAGACACCGACACACAATCAACTCGGCCATGTTGTTGACAGCCCCGGCGCACATGGCGGCCGCGCCCCAGCTGAGAACTGCTCAGCTTGTAACCAAAACGGCAGCTTGATTCCACACTTACCAGATGCACAATGCAGTCACATAGATGTGGGCTGGAAACAGCTTCCAGAATACCGTCGTCCACTCGAAAAGGACATAGCAGATGTAAAAGGCATTGAGCACCCAAGCCCATTGCGAGTCGCTGATTCCGAGATCGGTGTCGAGGCCGGCGGTTTTGGCGTTGCCGATGTTGCCTGGATGGTCAGCTTCGGAACAGCTGTGAAGGAGGTGGTATAAGTGTACCTCTATCCAGGTAAGAGAGCACGTAAAGGATGCAGACAATGGGCAGGACGCGGCGGTCGAACTAATGATTAGCTGCTGTTAGCTCTGACCGGGCGACCCTGGGGAAATATGGTGCCATACCTTCTTGCGTATAAAAGCCTCCTCGGTCGCGGATACTGCAATGGTCTGATCGTTCTTCTCAACATCCTGTGGCGACTTGACGTCCTCCAAATGGATCGAGGTTTCCTTGACGGCGGACATGGTTCAAGTTTTGCTGTGCTAAAATCAGATTGATGAAAGTAGAAGGCACGACCCTCTTCAGAGCACGACAAAGTCTTTATACCTCCCAATATCTGGGCAGAGTATTGGCTCTGGCAGTTCTGGCTGACATGCTCAACCACGAACTCAACACCAAGTGTCGTCTCCGCTCCCTAGAGCTCGTCCCCATGGGGTAGCAGGGGGTTGAGGAGGCAGGGTAATTGGCATTAGCCGCGGTGGACAAGAACCTTCTTATAACCGAGAACTCCTGATTGGAGACAAGAAGAAGTCGCTTCGAATTCAATTCTGCTGATTGGGAAAGAATAAGGTTCCTTCGTGTTCCCCACTTCTCGGTCGAAAGCTCGAGCTCCCCTGCGCGGCTAATGCCAAATATCCGCCCCCATTTTGGATGCGAATATCCGCTCTCCATCTCCACGTCCAGACAATATTTAACTACAACTTATCCTCAAATGTTGAGTGTCACAAGCATCAGCTCACCCCGCGAAACCCCGCAATCGATCAAAACAAACCTTTACTGCAAAATGTCTACCCCCTACCCCTTCAAGTTCACCACCCCCGAACAGCCCACCTCCGCTGGAGATGGCTCAGCAACCTCCCTAACCCTGACCCTCGAAAATGTCCGCGGACGCATCCCCTCTCCGCAAGCCTCGCGCCTCCGAACAATGATGCTCGAGGCACACAACAGCCCCGACAAGATCATCGCCCATGCCTGCTCCTACGATGGCCTGTCCTCGCGTCTTGTCGAAGAGGCCGGGTTCCCAATCGTCTTCCTGGCCGGGTACCCTGTTGCCAGTAGCTTCGGCCTCCCGGACACAGGATACATCGCCATGGAAGACCAGTGCAACAAGATCCAAGAGGTGGTGCGCATGGTGAATATCCCCGTTATGGCGGATGGAGATACAGGATATGGAAGTCCGATGAATGTGAAGCGGACGGTCGAGTGCTTTGCAAAGGCAGGCGCTGCTGGTGTTATGATTGAGGATCAGACGTGGCCGAAGCGTGGGTCCCCAGCTCTCCTACATTCAGGATTGAATCGCTAACGGGTGCAGGATGCGGCCACACAAAAGGCAAATCTGTCGTATCTCGCGGCGAAGCCTACGCCCGAATCCAAGCCGCCGTCGACGCCCGAAACGAAGGACAGGACATCTTCCTGCTCGCCCGCACAGACGCTCTAATCCACGGCTGGGATGAAGCCATAACGCGCGCCAAAGAATTCAAACGCATCGGCGTCGACGCCGTCTTCGTCGAGGCCCTACCGGACCGCGAAGCTATGCAGCGCTGTGTCGCTGAGGTGGGGATCCCGACCTTCGCGAATATTATCGAGGGAGGCAAGACGGAGAATCTTTCTGCATTGGATCTTGCTCGCCTAGGATTCTGCGCTGTTGCATATCCGTGGACGCTCGTTGCGGCGAAGCTGAAGAGTATTCGTGAAACGTTGGAGGCGCTTAAGAAGAGTATGACCGAGGGCGCGCCGCCGATGATTTTGAGTTATGCAGATGTGTGTGAGGGGGTTGGGTTCAATAAGTACTGGGTAAGTTGCTTTTCTATTTCCTGGGGCTATGGTATATGATGCTAACTGTTGCAGGACCGCGAGGTACGCTACGAGTTCAACCAGGACGGGCTGATTAATGTGCCAAAATAAACAGCAAGATAGACATGTATATAGAGCGCTCACTACACTCCAATACGAGATGTATATTCAACTTGACCGATTTATTGCCTTCGTAGTATCTCGCACTATGCAAGGGCGAAGCCGACATTGTAGGGCTAACACACGCTGATGATGATGTCATCACAATTTTGTAACTAACTATAGAAGTCGGAACGCACCAGCCTTGCATAACCACCAAATACTGTAGCACGACTCGCGAAGTGAGAATCTAACTAGCTCCGCGTCATAATAATAGGCCTCATAATATATGGCAAAGAGCACCTGACACAGCCACACGATGCCCCCTCGAGACCCTACGCCATATAGAAGATGGTATACTCGGCAGTTTAAGCGCAACCCCCACCGAAGCCATCGCAAAATAACCCCGACCTACCTCTGATAGGCCACTTTCAGAACATCCTCATCCAATAGAAATAGTTTTCCTTGCCATGCACTCAAAGCCGAACAATAAAATATCCCGCTTGGTCTCGGCCCACGAATCACCGGGGGTGCATCATATATGACGTCAGGCCCAGGAATAAGAGGGCGCTACGCCACCGACAGCATGCATCATACCCCAGTGAGACCCCGTCATCAGGAATCCTGCAATTCTGCAATCGAGGATCGCGATGTCATATCGGATGGCGTCAACGGTGATGCTCATGCTTGTGGTCGCTGTCGGAGTGGGGATTCTATTCTTGGCGGTAGGTGTATATAGTCACTGCAGTCCGTCCCTCTCCTTGCCAGACTAACTTGACCACCAGACTACGAACCGAGTACGAGCGAAACGACGCAAAACATACACCGCAACAAGAACTACAACAACAACAACTGACATCCGCGAAACAATGGACTCCGTGTCAAAACTGAACCCCTTCACCTCCCAAGAACAACCACAAGGCCAGAACGCCGCACAGGCTGGTTCCTCAACGCCCTCGCACACCGAAGAGCAAAAGCGCTACTTCTACGATAACCTCCCCGAATCCGAGAAAAAAGACAAGTCCTACACGGAGTGGGTCAAGGAGGCGTACAACGAGCAGTATGAGAAGTGGATGCCGTGGCTGGAGGACCAGTACCTCAAGTGGTTTGGGAAGGGGGATAACAAGGCTTCGTATGCGACGAAGGGTGGGTTATTCCTTTCCAGCGGTTTGAGGTCCTTGAAAGGTTGTGCTAACGTGGTCTTGTGATAGACACCCTCTCCAAAACCAAAGTCACCGGGATCGACAAGGTCGACCAGCTCCAGGACGATGTGAATAACCTCGTCGGGAACCAGGTTGGGGAGCGCGGGTTCCTGGCTCCTGTTGGAAACGTTGCATCCAAGGAGGGTGTCAACCGTGCTGAGCGGGGTGGGAAGGATGAGAATGGTTCATATGGCGGGCCGCTTGGGGGTGTGACGGATCCGATTGTCGACGGGGGAAGGAATGTCGGCCAAGGTATCAGCAGCGGTGCGCAGTCAGTTGGGAATAGTGTTGGGTCTCTCTTCGGTGGAGGGAGTAAGTAAGTGATGTGCAATTCTTTGTGGCAGAGATGTCTGTACCGGTTGTGCTTTCGGGTGCTGGGATTTGACTTACGTTCGATGTCATGTATAATCTGTGATACCTCTTTTGAGCAATAATACGCACTTTTGCCATTTCAAGTGCGACACCACAATCGGAGTATGTAGATATGACAGCCACCAAAACTCCCCGAGGCCGATCTGCGCTGTGTAAGCGTGAGACAGGGCTGATTAGGATCGAAGTGACCACTGAAAACGAGGCAATTTCTGTCATCCAGTGGCAATCTGAATTTAAAGATTTAGCTGCTATTTGTCAGGGAGCGGCTTTGTACGGAAAAGAAAAGCGGCGTCGTAGATTTGTATACACCACAGATGAGACTTAGAAACCTCTTGCAGCAACGTACTACCTACGCTTGGCTTCCTCCGTTGTTGCAGGTTTGTCGTATGCTTGAAGGATCCGCGAGGGCTTATAGTGGGTACTTCAATGATTCATTGATGATCTGGGCTTTCTAAATTGCATCTATCCTCTTCTACTCTTTCCTTCAGAGCTTGAAAGTCCGCCTCCTTTTCTTTGATCTCCAGTTCCATTGCCGCGCATTCCAGATTTTACTGCTTTAGCTCCTCCATTTTCTATTCACAAAGAATTCAATTTCAGCGCCGGGAACTGTCACGAGCTCATCGATAGAAGGTAGCAGCTGTCGAATAGCGACCCAAGCCCGGCTGTCGGGCGATTCAAAGCAAGCGTACAGTATCTCATGAAACCCGAATCTATCGCTCTCCATGGATTCGTGCATGAGGGCCGCCAGACTGGGCATTGAATGGTACCCTGCTCTTTTTTGCTGCTCCTCCTCTAGCACATTAACGAACATCCTGAGAAGTGAATTGTATTTGGAAACATCCCCATCCCAATCAAACGGTTTCTTCAGAAGTAGCCACCCTGGGGGTGAGTAAAGCATCCGGAATGGTGCTGCATACGCCCATTCCCAGTCCAGGACCGCGACGATATTCAAATCCTGTGCGCTGTTGACAAGTATGTTTCCAAACCGGAAATCGTCGCAGATTAACTTGAACGGACCATCGTCATACTTGCTGTCAACGAAACGGGGTATAATGACCGTAAATATCTTATTGTGGAGATATTTGCGACGAGCATCTTCCCTATTATCAACCGAATTAGGCTGGCCCAACAGGCGCTGCATGTCTTGTTCGGCAACATCTTGAAAGTAGCTTGTGGCTGAAGAGAATGTCTTGGAAACATCGTATATATCGTAGGAAGTGTCAGCTAGCATCCATATGATGACTGAAGGAAGGGGACGCAGACCACCAACACGAACGCCCCCGTGGCTCTATATTTCATTCATCTTCAGCGTCAAAGGCCTTGAACTGATGCCACCGCCGAAATCTGTGTTTCCGGATAGAGAGCCTATACGCGGAAAATCATGCGCTGAAAGTTCCAACAGAATATTCGCAATCTGGCGGTATATAATTTCCAATTCTCCATCACTGATGTCCGGTCGTAGGGAGTGAGCTTCCTCAGGGCCATTACCGTGCCGTAAGATCTGGTCTAAAGGTTCTCCCTCAATAAACTCCATGATGATGAACACCCCAAGGCCCAGCGGATTCTCCTGACTGAGACCCTATGCTATAATAGATGGTACAGGGATGTTCGTTTTCTCCTTGACAAACCGCATTGTGGCAGCCTCATGGCTGACTTTTGCATCACCATCCATGACTCTGCCGGACACTGCAAACCGCACCATCCACTGTACACCAACTCACCTTGCGATGGGAGGCCCGCGAGAGCTATTAAATCCCCTGGCCTAGGAAAGGGACTCATTGTAAGGAGCATATTCGGCGCGTTCGTCCCAGTCCATACTAGGAATCAATGAGAAAAGTAACGGATGTGACCCGAGTAGATGAATGAGCAAGAGGATGGGGTCGATGGATGAGGGCGAGCCTCCACTTATTGGGCGTAACAACGTCACCTGACATAGATTCCCCCCCCCCCTACCTCAAAAGGGCACCGAATATCTGAAATCTTAGCGCCCAAGGTTTGCATACTATTCCCCTCATTTACTGTAGCTGAATGGAGACTCGAGCTGATGACCCTTCGGAATAAGGTCTGCTCGTCAAGCCCATAAGATCAGATTGTTTAGCGCTGGCCCTGTGCTTGAATGAATGAATGTGTATATGTAGGACGAATTGAGCCAACCTTAAGGGGGGTAATAGCAAATCATTTATTGCCTAGTATGAGTCATTGATTAAATGTATGCCTTTCGAGACGGCCAGTGTACTACAAAGAGGATGCCCGGCTGATAGAAAGTTCACTTCTATAGGTGCCTCTTCTCGAACGACTGGCTGAAATTAGTCATCTGCAATGGGAACAACTTCGTCCTGGCTCAGGATATTCTGTGATTCACAAAGACTAATCGTCAACTATATCGTATCCTTGTCCCAATACTCTATAGATTCAATGTCCGACAACAAAACAGCAGCGCGCTACCTTGGCTAGCGGAGAGGGGAAAACATGAGACTGCCAAGACTTTTATTCGCGAGTATGAGGCAAATGTTAACGCAGTTCATGAACATGATACATCGCTGATATGGGCGGCCAAGGCATGGCTCTAGGTCCATCGTCAGCGTTCTTGTTAGAGCACGGGATATCAAGGCTAACTTTTGGAACTATAAAATGAAGACTGCGCTGCCATACCGCCGTTGTTGAGAAGGCAATAGCTAAATGGAGCATGGAAGTCACGGAAGCCATTTTAGAAGAATTAACCAGACCTAATTTATCGCCTGATTCTGACCCAAGCCATGGAGTTGCCAACTCGCTTTTTATTGCCGCCGGGAGGGGACGATCTAAGATTTCGACTATTACTCGAGCACGGATTTGAGTTAAACGCCAGAGACCGTACTGGGCAGACCCCATTACACGTGGCAGTGAGGACTGGACACTCGGGGGTGGTGATGGTACTCTTGGCTGTCAAGATATCGATGTCAACGCCCAGGATATTCATGGGATAACCCCCCTTCTCCACGCTGTTCACAGACGAAGCATCCCGATCATAGAGTCGCTTCTTGGGATGTGCCAACTTGATACAAATATCGCCGACCGTCGGGGGCGGACTCCGCTCATTTCGGCAGTCAACAACGGGGACCAAAATATCGTGGAATTGCTTCTCACCGGATACAAACCGCCTTCACGGGCAGCCGCCATGAGGAGCCTATGTGGACGGCATGTCTTCTTAGTCCTTATGAGGCTGCAAAGCAAAGAAGCTGGAAACTCTGTGGTACTCAGCCTAAGTTTATTGGGGCCGTTGGGCGGAAAGAGATGACGGGTAGAATATATATTTCACCAGATTTGCCAAATATAGATATCTAGATGGATCCATGTGCTCGAGAAACATTGGAACTATCAAGGACAGCCTACCCTAATAACCGCTTCGCGGCTGACCATAGCTGGGATCCTACGTAGTCGACTATCGTGAGGACAATTGCAAACGGGCGCCGGGAGGACGCAATGAATTAAGTATCCTCAGCATGATATTCAGTGGAACCAGGAGTCTCACTTGCCTACTTCGGTTGCATAGTATAGTCAACGCCACCTCGGAGTGACGAAAGAGATGGTACGCCCTCCTCCGTGCTGGATACGCGTATGGAGAATCTATCTTCACATGCTTCGTGAAGAGAAGGTACATACCGCATTGTCTAGGGTTCTCCTCTTCAATCTCCAAATCATGGACCTAAATCCACCCTACTATCTCCGAGAAATCTCTTCTAACCCAAGAACCCACACCGCATTGCCTCTCGACTTTGAAATCTCGCCCCTGAAAGGCTGCAACCTCGAAGATACCAAGCGTCGTCTAGCGACCCTTAATGCGAACACCACCCACAAGCCCCACAGCACCCCTGTAGTTGTAGTTGCAGTTTCAGACCTTGGGATTATGATTTCCAACCGCGACAGCATGTGCCATCTATCCACTGCTAGTCTATGCAGAATACACACACATTAGTATCCCGCCTCACACTTCCCTCTCCAATGCCAACCAATGCCCAGCCACGCCACCAGATTTCTCATCTTCAGGAAATCCGCCACGGACATTTGCCGAGAGCGTTGTTGCAGGATCTGGAATGGCAGCGGACGCTCCGAGCCGACGGGACTAAGCTACTTGTGGGATGGCAGGTGTCAGTGGACGGCCGTTTGTGGCTTACGGAGATCTGAGTAACTTGATTGTGTGGGGTTGCAGGATGATAAACAGCGAGATATGGGGTAGGGAGCGTTTTTGAGTTTGGTGCTCTAACGGTGACAGCGGGAGGGTATTTGGTCACTTGCTTGCTGAGATTACGACTGAATCTCTGCGGAATAGGACAATCGACGTCGGTGTGTTTTTCTACGATACCAAGAAGAAGATTGACAGCAAAACCACCACGAACCCTTCTCCCGTCCCTGCTTGGAATTCATGCACCAGATCCCGCCAAGTCATCTGGAGCCCTAGGCGCGGCAGATAGCGCGGGTGGCTTGGCCCAAGTGGAGCATTTGGCAGGTGACAGGTGACACTCTGATTGGCCGTTTAATTTCCCGGACCGCTTATGGCAGCGATTTATAAGACTTGTCAATCCCCCTCATTAGTAGTAGACCAGTATACTCCCGCTGCATGTCTCAACCTACGTTGGAGGTGCTGCTGCTTTGTAAGAATTGAGTCAAGATTGTGGAATGGTCTGCGACGGGGTTGTACGGGAGATACGGTCAGATTACGGTGTTACTCTCGTACGGCATGTTGGATAATGACCTAGTTTGCCGAGAGTTAATTTGCTTCCACACACAGTCGATGGCTATATTGATGTTTCTGGGCTCCTTGGGTGGAATAGACTCGTACATCGACTCCACATCTCAGTTGTATTGCAGTTGTATGCAAGACACTCTCAAGTAACCGTGTCACATTGGAAACATACCAAAGCACCCTCACAGCTTTCCACGGATACAGCCTTGTCGAAGGAGATTATAGACACAGGAAAAGGTATAAATACCTCGACGAAGACCAGCAATTCAAGAAATCATCAGCTCAGCCTCAAGCCTCCGAAGCACCAGCATTCGACTTGACCACTCTCTGTCCTGTTCACAGCTCAAGTTTTCTACCCTTAAAACCAGCAACATGCGTTTCATCCAAGCCCTCCAGGCCGGCCTCCTCCTGGCCGTGTCCACCTCCGTCAACGCATGGAACAGACTAGAGAAGGACAACGCTGCCCTCCTGATCGTCGACTTCCAGGTCGGTCTGTCGCAGGTCGTCCGCGACTACAGCACCAACGAGTTCCGCAACAACATGCTCGCCCACGCCGCCCTCGGCAAGGCCTTTGACATTCCTGTCGTCATGACTACTTCCTCTGACGAGGGCCCCAACGGCCAGATGCTCAAGGAGATCCTCGAGATGTACCCTAACGTCACTCTTGTCCGCCGCCAGGGTGAGGTCAACGCCTGGGATAACGAGCAGTTCCGCAATGCTGTCAAGGCTACTGGCCGTAAGCAGCTCATTGTTGGTGGTATTGTGACTGAAGTTTGTATGTCGCCCCCAACCTTCTTCAACCTTCTCTCCGCTTAATACTACCTCTGGACGCGAACTAATATGTTGGGAACAGGCACCGCCTTCCTCGCCCTCTCCCTCGCCGACGAGGGCTACGAAGTCTACGCCAACACCGAAGCCTCTGGAACCTTTGACAAGCGCCTCGCCGACGACGCCAACCGCCGCATGGAGAAGTCCGGCATCACCCTCATGGGCTTCTTCGCCATCGTCTGCGACCTCATGCGCGACTGGCGCAAGACCCCTGGCCTCAACGAGCTTCTGCCCTTCCTTGACCAGTACGTCCCACCTGGTGTCCAGTTCTCCCGCTAGTTGGGGGAGAGGGGGAATATATGATCTGATCGAGTGACTTGCTAATATCTGCGACAGGTACCAGTTCGCCTACGGCCTCGTTGCCCGCCACCACGGTGCTGCTATTGTCAATGGTACTCTTGCCCCCGTTGAGGAGCAGCTTATCGCGCACTAAATTAGGGAGCTGGAAGAGGGTGTTCTGGGAGTTGGATGCAACGGCACAACATTCCCAGGCGGCTGCTGCTTAATTCAGCAATGATATGATATGGAATGATTATGGAGGAAAAAATGAACTAGGGCAGTTTGAGAATGATGGAAATTGGAAATAGCAACTAGATCGATGAGCTCACGCTCGAGTTCGGCCTTGCTCGCTTGCAATATAGACAATGAAAGGCGCCCATTTTCTCATAATTCTCTTGTTGTTTCTTCTCTTGACGATAACTATAGGTTACACTGTTGGACGATCAGTTCTGGCCTTTTTCGGAAAGGAGTCTTGGATAACACTCACGGCGCTTCAATATATGTTGATCACGGAGACTCCTATGGAGAGGCGAGCGATATCCCGTATCCTTGATGATAGAGTTGCGATTTCTGGACAGTGGATCCAAGGATGCGAGCCACATACTCTGAACAGGTTCCTGATGAGCCACGGTAAGATATTACATCTCTAACCCACGAACATATAGAGCCCATAATAATCTTCGAACAAGTCATTAGCATTCTCCGTTTTACGCAGAAGCCATACAGCGATCAGGCTAGAGTTATCCTGGTGATTCCTTCAACGCTTCAAGCGCGGCCTAGCAGTTATTACCATACGGGACTGTCATGCAATCTGGGATTACAAGTCTGTGAAAATACATAGCTATGTAGAATTGAAATTATACCCGGAACAATTCCTGTCTGGGAGGATCAGGCTCTTCCTACAGATGAGACACGGGACCGGTGGACAGTGGCTCGGAATGTCGTCGCTACGAGTGCCTGCCCACTAGTGTCGATGAGTGTCTGGCGCAGATACCGCGCGCCGCCAGGCCAGCGCTTTTCTTCCTGGATACAGTACACATGTTGAAAACTAATCTTCTCGAACCCCGTCCTTGCGGCCTCGAAATACTCACTTACTTCCCTGACAAGCGGAATCTCGTCTATAGCCAACAGTGAGGCTAACGACTACAGGGAGCTAGGTATATTGTCTCACGGGTACTAATAGACGTATAGTAGGCGTGTCTGCAGTTCAATTCAATTGCCGGGATAATTGGCACTGCCCTCCGCTACTGAGAGATCATCTTTCGGTGCAGAAGTGCAGGACGCTGCGAGCAAGGTCCTACCCCCGGGTCTCAGATTACAGCTCGAGTGTTCTGCCATTAAACCTTAGGCGTAGATGTTCGTACAGCTGTTCCTTCGTCCAGCTTTTTGTCTTCACTGATTCAGATAGCTCGCTCGGGACCAACCGGATCCAGCTGACAAACTCGTATAGTGCGAGATAGGGAATGTACCGCCCATTAATCATTCCTAAAGGGCTTTTAAAGTTCAATCAAAAACATCAAGGCATATATTGTAGTTTAGTTTAGTACTTGACAGTGTTTAGTTCCCAAAACGATAACTAGCCGTCATGGCATACAATTTGGTCCTGATTAATATATGTGTTTCCAAGCCAACGAAATCAGAAAGCGCAGTACTTTTCCACCCATTACCACAACAACAACACTCCAGCATCAGATATTAATTGCTTCAAATAAGATTTGGGGCCCCGGGTCGATCATTTCAGATCTGGATTCAATTAGATCCAGGCCAGATAGGACCCGAATTCACTTCATCGGAACTACAACGAAGAGTCTGATCAGATACTCAGATACTCTTTCGTAGCAGCTGCCGTGAAAATAGGTGGGAGGATCAGCATTCTCGGACCGAGACATCTGCAGGATTTATCAACAAAGTCCTTGGTAATAGGGAGCTCAAAGAGAATAGAAGAACTTACAGCAGCCCTTGGGCTTATAGTCCTTGTGGACCCATCCTCCCGAGGTCTTATACCAGTCGCTGTTGGAAAAAGGTTAGCACAGATCTTCAGGGGTTGGACTTCTTCGTCAAAACGTACTGGTCCTTGCAGTGCGACTCAAAGTACGAGCCAACCTTAGCCTTGCCACTACGGTGGCTCGAGTGATTGGGTTGGTCATAGTACCAGAATGCGTCCGAGATCTCGCAGCCGTGGTCGCCATAGCCATGATTGCCATAGCCGGGATCGTAGTAGCCGTGGTCACCATAACCGTGATCGCCATAACCATGATCGCCATAGTTGGGATCGTAGTAGCCGTGATCGCCATAGCCGTAGTTGTCATCACCACGATTGTCATCACCACGATTGTCATCACCACGATTGTCATCACCACGATTGTCATCACCACGATTGTCATCACCACGGTTGTCATCACCACGGTTGCCATCACCACCACGGTTGCCATCACCACCATTGCCATCACCACCACCACGATTGCCATCACCACCACCACGATTGCCCTCACCACCACCACGGTTGCCATCACCACCACCACGATTGCCCTCACCACCATTGCCACCCTGGGGTTCAGGGGAACGACGAGTTCGAGTTGCAGAAGAAGCGGAAGCGGAAGCGGAGGACTTGGCCGCAGCATCAGCGACCTCCTTTCCACTCTTACCAGAAGAGGCCGCCGAGGAAGCCGCAGCAGCAGCAGCAACACTTCCGGAACCAGAGGCGGTAGCTACAGCCGTAGCAGCAGTGGCAACCTCCTGTCCGCTAGCACCAGCAGCAGCTACAGCAGCTGCGGCAGAGGCAGTAGCGACATCCCAGCCATTGCCTCCAGCGGACGCAGCAGCAGAGGCGGCAGCAGCGGCGGCACTATCTCCACCACTATCTCCACCACTCGCAGCAGCAGCGGCGGCGGCAGCAGCAGATGCGGCACCATGTCCATCAGAACCACCCGCGGCGGCGGCAGCGGCAGCGGCAGCAGCGGCGACATCCTTTCCACTTGCACCAGCAGCAGAGGCAGCTGCAGCAGCAGCGGCGGCGGCACTTGTTCCACCAGCAGAGGAGACTGCGGCAGAAGCAGCAGCGGCGGCAGCGCTTCCACTGCCTCCAGAAGAGGCGGCGGCGGCGGCTGCAGCACAGGCAGCGACATCGCTTGCACTTGCACCAGCGGAGGCGGCGGCAGAGGCGGCGGAGGCGGCAGCAGTGGCAGAAGCTGATCCACCAGACGAGGAGGCTGCAGAGGCTGCGGCGGCTGCGGCAGCCTGTCCACTACCGCCTGAGATGGCAATGGCAATGGCGGTGTTGACGACGGTGGTAGGGGGTCCAGGCGGGGTATTAGGGATAGGCTTCTCCAATACCTCTTTGGGCGGCCTAGAGGTCTCACCGCCGGTCTGAGGTCTGCTGACGTCGACGCTCTGAGGTCTGTTGCCGCCGCTTTCCGCAGTAGCCTCCGCACTAGCAGAGCTGGTTGAGCTAGAAGGACGAGGAGCAAAGGGGGCGCTGCCGGGACGACCTGGAGCAGTGGCGGACACACTAGCGCTACCACCAGAGCTAGCCACACCAGCAGTAGTGGGAGCAGCAGCCACATTGGCAGTAGTGGGATTGGCGGACACACTGGCCGTAGCAGGAGGGATAGCTGCTTGTCTCTTTTCCAGAGTGTCGGGGTCCAGGTTTGCAACCGGGGCAGCTGCGGCCAACTGCCCGGCAATCGGCAGCAGCGCACCGAGGATGTAGATAGAGGACTTCATGGTAAAGATAACTGAGTACTTGTCTTGTTTGTTGCGGTCTGAATTGCTCTAGGTCAAAGGGGGCTATCTGCGCACCTTTTATCTTCACAAGAGACGAGATATCCTGGCTCTCGACATGTCATAATGAATTAATGACCTGGATCGAACACGCCTAGATTGTGATCAGACAATCTCCGTCGAACGAGCCTAGAACCAAAGGTGGAGCTAGAAGGAAATGCTTCACACTCTTCAGTATAGTCCTGGCCTCAGGCACGACATCACGACATTCGGGAGGAGCTGGCCTGACTCGAACGAAGCACTCCCTCTCTACCCAGTTCGGCCTCCCGAGTGAGAATCATGACGACAGGAGCAGTAGCAGATGATACGCCGTGGGGGACTAGTAGTTGCCGAAAACAACCATGCGCTGTCAGCCAGAGGGACAGAACGAGCAGAGTCCCCCATGGATCGGAGGCCTTAGCTTCTGTGGACAGGCAGTCCAGTCGAGTTCCCAGTTGCGTGATCACCTGGTAGACCATACTGCGTCCAGACAAACGAGCTCGATTCCAGAAACGGCGAGCTTGCAGCCTCAGCAACAAAGAAATGGTCTCAATACGTGGAACGCCTTTGAGAACCGGGTCGGTTGTGTGGTGCGCACCAGACGTATAGGTCTAGCCTCATCGTTTCCCTGGTAAGGCTGACTTTTTTTTAGGATAGTGGGGGTATAGGTATAAGGATATAGCTAGATTGACCTGTTATAGGGCGCTGTTTTGATGAGGAATCCATAGATCGCAGATCGGATCTATCTTGTCCGCCTGGGCCAGCCCAAGAAGTTTCCCACCATTTACACAGGTATGTCCCTAGGTATTCCGGTCGACGTGTGCAGCGCCGGGTTACTCAATTTGGCATGTCTTGAAATGACGAACAAGTCACTGGAGCGTCTCCGAGCGGGTTGAACCACCGCACCACCGACGGGGCGCACCTTATGGACCAGGACTCGCCCTCAAGACCATTTGACGTATTGGACACCTTCTCCACGGAAAGCCCACTGACATTTTGGGTCGAATGAAGACAAATATCCGGTGGTGCATCTCGTTATCAGTTAATTCACCCATCGGGACCGATACCTTGAGAGTCCTGGGGTTCTACCAAGTATTAGATACTATCTTTGAACCCTCAGCGACTCACGAATAGGCAACACGGGCATGTGGGGGTACTCATAGAATAAATTGATGCCATTACCTCAACACCATGTTTGAGGAATCGAAGACGTCTATTAGAGCAGGCATCGCGGGGCGTATAGCCATGGATGTGTATTAAGAAGTACTACAAGCCTATAAGACAATTTTCAGGGGCCCCACCAGACAATCCTATCTTTTTATTGCACTTAGATGGCTATTATTACACCTATACCTACCAGTTCCAGTGCCATCTCGAGCTATAATACTATATGCTATGGGGTCGCCTTACCCTAATTCGTGGACAGAGCACTCTGCCACAAAATCGAAGACGTCAATTAGGGCAAGAATTGAAGGCTGCACAGTCATGGATGTGCTCTAAGAAGTATAAGCCTATAGGATGATCTTAAAAGCCGACATTAATGGGTATTATTATATCCGCGACAGTTGGAGCTATAGTACTATATAGTATAGGGCCGGTCGCTTTACCCCAATTCATGGTCGGTCCGAGACCTAGACTTTATTATAGATAACGTCAGTGGCTTTGCAGCCATCCAAAAGCCGATACGAATTAAAGTTGCAAGATCGTACAATGCTATTTTAGGCACCACATGGTTCTAGAGTCTAGACGCAGATACGGTTCGCATTGTGCAGATCCGGCCACGGAACCAAACTCGAAGAAGATCCGTACCGGTCCTCAACAGGCCATGAGTGGTTCTGTGTACCTTATTTCATCTTGACACAATCAACCCTTCTGGCTGGCGAGATGACCGGCGGATCGCCCAGCCGACATGGCGAGTCATTTGTCGGTTGGCAGCGGGTATGGAGACGCGGATCCACGGGATGCGCATCCACAAGACCGTAAGGCTGGGGTGTCCCCACGTCGACCCAGATCTATGTCGGATTCTAGAGCCGTGAGCTGGAAACTCTGTTTGGACCCCTAATGGCATGACCATCGGATAAACGATATAGCATTGTCAATTTCCGCAAACGCAAGATTTGACCTCACAGCTGGGTAATACACCTGCCATTTACGCAGCAGGGGAGAAAGCGAAAGAGGACAGAGCAGACAAACGGGATAATCAACCCCGGATCACTGGAATACACATCTTGAAGTCAGACGCAGCCACATGTATCATCGACTACGCGGAAACCAAACCCGGCGCATCCGACATGGAGAAGGAGCAGCGTGGGAAGCGGGAGACGGCCCTATGCTGCAGGGTCCTTGGTAAGGACGGGACAGGGACTTCGAATTTTAGCACTCTGAGTGCAAAAGAACATTCTAAGAAGACCCTACGCTCTGCAGTCTCGCCGCTATTTTCTTGAAACCCCCTGATAATGTGTGGTCCGACCGAGAAGCTCCATACCTGCACTGTTGCCAAATCACCTCTGTATGCCATGACGGCGATCCCTGAGCGCTTCAGCATGAATACTTTGGAATCTTTTAGAACCCTTATCAGCCGATAAATTAGAACTGTACCGTCTGGAATTACTAACCATTCTGCCCGGGCTTAGACCAATGCCACATCCGTGTCAACTACCTCTGTTACATCCCGCATACGCTCATCGCCAGCACATGATTCACGACGCATCTCCCTCTATATTTCAACACGTTGCGAGCCAAATAATTTGGCCAAAGCAATGAGACTGACTTCCACAATGACTAGTACCTCTCTAGCCGCAGATCGGATATATACCAAATCCTTCGAGAGGCCGAGTCACGGCCTCCTAGCCCAATTTTTCCAAAAAGCTCCAATGGTTGTCTTGAGTATGTTCAACGGTGGTTGATCCCTACCTCTTCCCGGCAAGACAGGCATAGATCGTTTCAGTATGCATCTCAACTCCCGATATATAAAGCACGACTGAGATACTAGCCGGCTTGTCTACCTGTTCTAGTTTGTCCTGATGCCAGTTCCCGAGGACCTCCGCCCACATGGGAATTAACAATCTCTCCCACCAGAAGACAAAGTTTCAAACAAACGAAACGACACTATTACACTATTCCCGCTCAGTCAAACATCTCATAATCAACGACACCTGCCTCTCTCAACTCCTTGAGTCCGGTCATGCATTTCTCATTAGTACGTGAATCGAGATTTATCCCAAGAAGGTGAACGGCGAGGGGTGATATACCGGCGCTGGGGCAAACGCAAATATATGGGGGATCCACGTCGTTGAGGGGACCAACGGCAGTGCTGCCGCGTGGGCTGGGCTCAGCATTTGATCTTCTTTGCCAGTGGCCTGAAGGCTGCTATGGAATGGTAGGTTTCCGGTCCACTGACACGTGTATATTTGATTGAAGGCTGCATGAGGCTACGGTTCAAGGGGCCCTGCGCACCTGCTGCAGGCACAAAAGGCATTTACTCTGCGAACTGGACTCAACCGTATTCCCCAAACCATTTCTTTTTCTCAACCCAAGATCTTTATCCTTCATATCGGAGCTCGGAAGGCTGACAATGCACGGTCCCCTCTCGACCATCCCTGCTTTCTAGGAGCTGTGATGGCGCAAATAATGCAGTCAAGTGAGCCTTGAGAAGGTATACAATTTCTGGCAGCCGCACGTTTGCATTATTGCACCAACCCTGTTAATAATTTCTGCCCTGGCTCCAAATCCAGAGCCAGAGCTAGGACCGGGGTTCGAGCCCTCGATTTGACAATTGGCAAGGCTACCAATAGTCCGGCCTCTGTACAATACTAGAGCTATAGGTCTGGAAACAGACACTTCTATGCTAACCCAAACGCTAGATCCCTGGCTAGTACGGGACACATGCCTAGAGTATTGATGGGTATGCTACCTCTTCGGGAGCCGTAATCGCCCTTGGCCCCGCACCCTAAGCCCTAGCCCGAGACTCGAGAAAGCTCTAGGACTTCCGTTTCAACAAAAAAACGTGCGGTTTATCGTTCGGTTGGTATGGTTACTTGCCAGTGCATTAGTTGATATTTCCAAAGGTGTTTGTTTATCCCATTTTGCGCCCCGATCTTGCGTCTGGCCTAACTATTTACTGGTATTCGATCAAGTATTTGCCTGACTGTCCTGCTCCCGATAGGTGGATGCTATGTTTAAAGAACCCACTGGGCACGTTTCCGCTGTTCGATGACCCGGTATAAGCCAATGCCACAGACACAACTGTAAGTATAACATTAATGACCAGGGTTAGTCCACCCATGTACGTAAACAGTAAAACACCCTTGATCCACTCCTCGCCGAGGCCGTAGCGCTTTTCAGCGAACGGGAGCGGGCTGTCATTCCAGTTTCCCAAGCTGCGTAGGCGCTCAATAAACCCTTTCCCCTTGGACAAACAGACATTGCGCATTTCAGAGGGTGCCACCTTGGGAACGAGTCCTCGTGAAGGCCTCGGAAACGGATTGGGACTTTCCTCGTCGCCATAGCCGGTCTTTGGTTCCGGCACTGCGTGCAGATACAAAATCGGTTCCTCGCCAACTTGGTCGGCTGCAGGCCTCTTCGCTGGTGTGAGAAAAGCAACGGTCAAAGGTCGCCGCCTCACAGAGTGGTTGAATACTGAGAAAAAATCGTTGCGGCCTCGCCTGGGCAGTGCACAGCCATGCGACGATCCGAATCTCCAACGCAATGTCGCAAGTCAAGTCAAAAACATGCATACTCTTCAAATCTATCCCAGATTGGTCAAACCGTTGATGGGTGGAGCTGGGATAACCCCTCCCATGTATCCCCGAGCGCGGCACAGCGCACGAACGATCCCTGAGCGCAAGGCGCTGAAAAGGTGACGAAACCCAAGGCCTCGCAAAAAGTAGCCAGAAGCTCTCAGGTACACTGACGTAATGTTCCTCGCAAAGCGGAATGAACCCTTGTCAAGAACTCAACGTGGCTGATGGCAATCAGGGCCAAGACGCCAACTGTGCTCGCCCATTGAGCGGATCATCCTGTGAACGCCCTGGCGTGCAGAAATGGCCCCCATTCCAGCCGCCGAGGGCCAGCCAGCGTACGGTGTTCCCACTTCGGTACGTTGCAGATGGATGGCCATGACGGAACAAACATGCCTGCCTTTCCAGTGGTCAGATGTGCAGAAACTTGCCCATCCCTACCCTGGTGAACCTTCTGAGCATGCCTCATTTTGTTACACTCATAGAGTAGTATCACCATCAGTGCGAGTGCAGTCGCAACTGAGACCTCGACCAAGCCTTTAGCCACGCCCACCAAAATAAGGGGAAGAGTTAAGAGGACGACCCCACAGGAATAAAGGCAGAGTTAGTAACCAGGATAGATAGTGTCGAGGCGCACGATAGCAGTGCTAGCGCTACTATGGTGATACTACTGGCGCTAATAGTGTTTGGAGGTGCTGTGCAGCCTGTTCCTTGACTTGAGTCCCCTGGTTTTCCGTCTCATTCGCAGGTGTACGGTGTGTGGTGAACCGTGGGCAGGGCTTCAATTCAAGGTTCAGGGTTCTCTTTTAGAGTAGGTCTTCTGAAGAGGACCAACATTTGCTCCCAGTATTCACTGTTGTTCAAAATGATGACGAGAACACGCTCCGGCTTTTGCTCCCCATTTGGATGTCTAGGCCCGTCAGTGCCATCAAACAAGTTATTATTGTTCAGAAACTCACCATCAACACCGTTAAGTTAAATCTCATGAATAATTGAGATTGAGTGACGCTGATGATGTTACTTTCTCCGGCTTTCAAGGCCTTCTTTGCACCCGGCAGGAGCGGGCTGGATCGAAAGGAGGCCATGACACCCGGAGACTAGTTCATCCCCTCCGCCATCAGCCATTTTGGCGCCGAGCTGAAACTCCTCCTGCAACATCCGAGGCCCGAACTCCACAACACAACACAACACCATGGAGTCGCCCAGGCTCAACAAGTCGTGCGACCAATGTCGGAATCGGAAGGTCCGCTGTATTGGTAAGCTATATTATACTCTTCTGCGCGTCAATCATGCCCCGCTCGGAGAAAATGAGTGCTCACTCGATGCAGTCCCGCCGAGCTCCGATGGGAGGGCTGTTGCGTGTACACACTGCATCGTAAGTGCGCAGTCTGTTAGTTTTGGGTATACTGACAAAATTAGAAACGGAACGAGACGTGTCAGTTTAGTAACCTGAAGCGAAGGCTGCGGTCCAGGGGTATTGCCTCACAGGAGGGACGGACAACAACAGCGCCATCAACTCCACAGAAAGGCTCAGGCAGCTTCAAGACTTTAAGCGATCTATTCATAGATCGACTCCTAAGTAGCCCGTCTGAAAGCCCTGTTCCCTATGATGAGTTCTCTGTGCTTAAAGTGTGTGCTGTCCACAATCCACCGATTCTCCGCTGACCGTTATAGGCGCACGATGACCGAGGTATACCGCCCATTACATCATATACTAGCAAGTGCTGACCCATTCAGTCCCGAGCTCTGGTATCGCATTTTTCTCACCAAAAAGAGTCGATTCGCTGGTGAAAAGGCTAGGGAATACACATCTCCGAGAACTGGTACACCAGATTGACAGGACCATTCGCACGCGCTTGCTCGCGAGGCCGGAGAAAGAGATCTCGCTGTATAGCTTGGCGAAGGTTCAGACAGAGCTGGAGATTGGCTCGGACGCGGACAGCCATATGCAGCGTATGTCTTTTTCGTCGGCCCCATATCTACACGAAATCCCTACTGACAAGTACAGGTTACTTCGAAGTGCTTCATCCCGTGTATCCGTTTCTCGACAAGCGGGCGTTTCAAGAAAAGGCGGCGTCCTCAAATCTTTTCCAAGTGCTAGAAACAGACTTTGCATTTTGCGGGCTCTACTATGCGGTACTTGCTCTCGGTTGCCAGTATAATGGGTTCGGTTCATTCATTCCGGACAATAACCGTCCATGGAAATTCTTCCAGATTGCTCTTAGCCGATTAGATTGGATACTCATGTCAACCGAGTCGCTAGCGAGTCTTCAGGTATGTCCTTTCCTAGTCATGCCGTTGCATCTCTAATCAATAAGAGAATACAGGCCATCACTGCAATGGTACGTCACCCAATATGTGCTTAAGCGTGTCTAATTGTCGAAGGCCATCTTCGCCACCAGTGCATTTGGCCACAGCCTCGACCAAACCCTCATAGCTGAGGCAAGCCGAATGGTTCTCGCACTGAGATACCACAAGTCTACCTTTGGCGAAGACTCCGCACTGTGCTACCGAACCTTCTGGGTAATATATCATTTGGAGAAGCGCTACTGCTTCCAAGCGAGGCAAAGCTCTGTACGTCTCTCCTCCGATTAACGAACAATTCTAACAACATAGGTAATTGCCGACTATGATATTGGGTGTCCAATCCCTCCAGCTCCCGATTCAATCATTGGAGAATACAATTGGCTTTTATCATCAGTTCGCTTCAGCCGTATCCTCTCAATAGCCTATGCCTCCCTCTTCTCGGTCTCAGCATCAACACAGTCAGATGACACACTATTAGCTTCCGTCGACCACGTCCATACGCTCCTTGAGGAATGGAGACAATGCATTCCACTCGACTTCCGACCAAAGGAGCATCTCCAGCGACGGCAGCTGAATGACGGCGCGTCGAAGGAAATTGCGCTGCGGACACATTATTACTATTACCATCTCACCATTGCACTCTCGCGACTAACCCTTCATGTCAGTCGTGACGTCGCAAAAAGCGAGAACGCAATGAGGACGCTACTTGATACCGCCAGGAGCATCATCGATCTGACGCGGTTTATTGACGTGGAGCCATATACACCGACTTTGTATGCTCTCAACTTTTCTTCATCAACCACCATTTTTATATTCGTGATTTCACACCAAAGTCAAACTGACAACAATGGACTACAGCATCCTCGCAATCCTCCCTCTTTCAGCCCTATTCATCCTCTTCGACTTTGCCATCCACCATCCGACCGATCCGGAAATCCGCAGCTACCTCACCCTCCTTGACATTGTCGCCGGCCACTTTAGCCAACTGGACCATGCGTCAAAGGGCGTGATACCTTCAAGCTATCTATCCGAGTTCTCCCACATGGCGAGACAGTATGTGCAGAGTGTACCGAAGCAGACGCCTACGACTGGTCCTACTTCAGATGATCCTGGGGCAGGGCCAGGGGCGGATGAAACTAATGGTGGTCACTCTGGAAGCACTTCTGTACCTATGCTTGCGACATCGACAGCAATAGCGGCAGATCCTTCGTTCACAGATACTGCTCTACAGAGTCCACAAACAGGAGAAACAGGTGATCCGACGCTCATGGAAGGACTGGACTACAATAGTCTCGATAGCTTGTATTTCCTCACCCCAGATAGCGACTTCTGGGCCGGAGGACGATCCTTCGATCAGTTTGACCCGAGGGAGTTTTACGGGGAGATATTCCTATGACGATTATCCAAATGCCCAAAAAGTCAAGTTCTGGGATGCCAATAGACCAGATATGCTGAGCAAGCCGCAAAACGTCGGAAGTCCGAGTTGCGATCGTCCTCGCTGCAGGTTTCTGTCTGTGCTGTGGGCTTGAGTAGATTGTGGGTCCTTGCTCGGGTCCGAGCATGATTGATAAGATTCGATTGGCTGTGTGGGAAAATCAATCTGCAGATCTATTAATCTGGTTGGCTACACAGCCCAGCCAGATCAGAATCTCGGTCCTCGGTGCTTGACGACGCCAAGCGTAAGGCTGCATAGCCCCAGCTCGGTGCTCGGAGCTTCCACCATACACCAAAACAACATCGACCCCTGCTTCTAGTAGTTATCTACTTATACCCCTCCTGACCTCGCTCAATCTCCATAATTCCACTTACCAACCCTACACCACTCAATACGAGCAATCATGCCCCTAACACCACACCAGTCCCTCTCCCTCACCCTCCTAATCCTCTACACACCGGCCCTATACCCAACATTGCTCCTTCTCCACCGACACAGCCTCGGCCACGCCTGGGGCTGGCTGTACCTCTTCATCTTCACCATCCTCCGAATCCTCGGCGCAGCACTGCAGTTCGCGTCCGGATATACACATGATGAAGATAGCGGACTGCGCGTTGCGGCGAGGATACTTGCTTCTATCGGCGTTATGACACTTCTACTGGGGATGTTGGAGGGGGTTGAGGTTTTGTATGTCCCCCTATCTTCGCCCTTATTATTGTCATTTCGCCGTATTGATTCATTCATGAAGTAGAAAGCAAATGGAGAGGAAATGCTAACTGGGTGTGAATAGGAAATCATCCCTCCCCAACGACCCCATCCCGCCACGCCTCTGGACACTCCTCCACCTATCGCAATACGAAGCATTCATACTGAGTATTATCTTTACGGCGACCGGACAGGAAGATCTCAGCTACGCGTCTGCGATTGTCGTCGCCTGTCTATTCGTTGTACTTGTGGGGATCGTGAGTGTTTTCTATTTCGAATTGCGGCGTGCCCCTGCAGTATCCACTCAGTCGAGCACAAGCTCAAGTGAACCTGAGGAAGACGATGACAACCCAACGATGAAAGAACCATCCACGGGCGAAGATACGCGCAAACCCCCACCTCCCATCTTGTCGAAACGAAAAACAACAACTTTACTGCACATCCTCCTCGTCTCAATCCCCTTCCTCGCCGTCCGAGTGATATACATGCTCCTCGCAACATTCACGCACGATAGCATGTTCACAGGCCGCGAACCCGACGACAATGAGACCACTGAATCTTGGACAACCGCCACGGAGATGGAAACGTATATCCTTCCCAACGTCTACCTCGTGGCATTCATGCAGTACGCGGTGGAGATTGTTGTTTTTGGGTTGTTTGTTGGTGCGGGGTTTGTTGTTCCTGCTTCAAGACGGGGGTAGAGAACAGGGCAGAAAGAGAGTAAGGAGCGGAGTGAGGAAGGGCACGGGGACTCGGATAGGGATGAGTTACAGGTTGTTGAGCTGGGAGATACTTCAAGTAGAAGGGAGTGTGAGGGAAATGCGGTCGGAGCGTATAGGTCCTCGAATTCGGGTTCGGCATAGAAATGCTTGTGCTTTGTGATGACCATTATATAACTACAGTACGTAGACTATATATACTTATTTGATACGAGCGCTTACGCATGCGTTTTTGAGGGTTTCGTTTAATTTGCGATTCTTGCAGTAGGAGACGCGGTATAGAGAGAGTAGTGGTAGGCAACAGGGGTGATATTTAGATCAGGCTCAACTGCGACCAAGCCTACCAAACAATGTATTATATCTCAGCTTACGACGAGAGATTGCAATGGAAACAAACGTCATAAGACAACATCAGTCATTCGCGCAACTACCTAGTAAGCCCTAGTGCTGGTAAGCTACGCTGCCGAGAACCATCCACCTTGCATCCATTACCCGCATCCACCAGCCCTACCCTCCAACATACCGGCCCTGTCACCCCCGCCTATACCATCTTCACTATACTATATAATGCGAGAGGAAACGAAAGTAGAATCCCAACCCAATCTACCCGACTCAAACCTTCTCCTCCGCACGCGCCTCGACATGCTCCGGCGCGGCCTTGCGGTCCGTAACCTTGAGGTTCCCCTCGGCGATATCGCGCTCGAGGTCTTCGAGGCGCGAAGTCTTCTTCAACCTCTTCCAGGCCGGGAGGCCAGAGTCAAAGACTTCGTCCATTTCCTCGAGGGTAAAGCCCTTTGTTTCGGGGGCGGTCAGGAACATGTGGATTGCGGCGACGGTGTTGAAGGCGGCGAACTGTACGTTTGTAGGTTAGTCAAGGGGTCTGGGAGAGTTAGGGGGGAGGGAGGGAGGCGACGTACAATCATGTACATCTTCCAGTTAATAGACCAAAGGAGCGGCGGGACGAAGAGAGCGAGGAGGCAGTTCCACGTCCAGTTCGACGCCGTGGCGAGAGAGACAGCCTTGGCGCGGACCTTGGCCGGGTAGATCTCGGCCGGGTACGTCCAGGAGGTGGGCCCGATGGTTGTCGCAAACGAGCAGACGAAGAGGTAGGACATTGCGATAATGGCGCGGCCGACGGCCGGGTGGTCGGCGACGGTCCACGAGATAGCCTGCAGCTCCTCGCCGTCCTCGGGGGTGATTGCGCGACCATATCCTGCCTGCAGGCCACCCTCGACGTACAGGAACATGGCCTGCATGGTGAATCCGATGAGGATTGCGGGGCGGCGGCCAAACTTGTCGAGGTAGAGGATGGCTGGAAGGGTGAGGGCTGTGTTGAGGATGTATTGGATGGAGGCTGTGAGGAGCGGGGATCCGGCGCCTGTGCTCTGCATGATGTAGACGATGTAGTACATCATGACGTTCATGCCGCAGAGCTGCGACCACATCTGCAGGGACATTCCGAGGAAGACGCGCTTGGCAATGCGCGGCTTGATGAGCTCCTGGTAGCTAGTGGAGGCCTGCTCGCGCTCGAGGGCGAGCGCGTCCTGGATCTCCTTGTACTGCGCGAGCACTTTCGGGTGGTTGATGTCGCCCTTGCCGTGGAGCTGGGCGAGAACATGGATGCACTCGTCCCAGCGGTCTTTGGAGGCGAGCCAGCGCGGGGACTTGGGGTAGAAGAAGAGACCGAAGAAGTAGATGACACCGGGGACGATCTGGATGCCCCAGGGGATGCGGAAGGCGGCGGTGCTCTGGCCCGGGTTGTTGGGGCCGCCGTCAATGTTACTCGCGCCGTACTGGATGAAGTACTGGATCAGGATGCCCCAGGTGATGGCCCACTGTTGCAGCGAGATCATGCGGCCTCGGATTTCCTTGGGACTGACTTCGGCAATGTACACGGGCACCATGGCCGAGGCGATACCGACACAGACTCCGGCGACTACACGACCGACCACCAGGAGTGGGATTCCGTTTGATGCGCATTGGAAGCTGGTGCGGTTAGTTGCGGAGATACCAGTAAAGGAAATGTCTGGCTTACATAGAACCTATGATCCAGAGAGTAGATGAGAACTGGATAGCTGTGACACGAGAGTATTTGTCGGCGAGGAAACTAGACGCGAGAGCTCCAACGAGCGATCCGAAGGGCATGGCACAGGTAATTCCCCCCTGCTGTGGTTAGCGAGCGCATTGACAAGTGAGAAGCGGCGACAGCGCAGTACCTGCTTGTAGTTACCTCCGCCGACCTGGAAGTAGTTGATGTAGGCCTGGGTACCGAGGACACCTGCGCGCGTGAGATGTTTGCGTGCTTCAGAGCTCCAAGACACTTACCACTCATCGACGAAATGTCGAAACCGAACAGAGCACCACCTGAGCTGTCAGTAAGCATCTACCGCAGAGACAGATGCCAAAGGGGAACCTACCCAGGGTCATGAACGCGCACAGGAAGTAAACATTGTAGGACTTCTTCATCTTGAAGGCTGGCGCAGGAGACTCTGGCGCCAACGCGAGCGATGAGATGGAAAAAGGGCGAGAAGGAACACCAGCAACCGGGATGAGGGGGTGCCCAGAGCCTTATATGAGGTCTTTTGAATTAACCCGAGTCGAGCTCGACCGGCCCCCTCACTCTGACTCGACAGTCGTCCATACTTGCAGGGAGGTTGAGTGCAGTGCAACGTAACATCCAGAGGCGCCCTAGAAGGATCGAGTTAACCCGTTCAGAGCGATTGGACGTTCACAAGACATTTAGTGGACGCCACGAAACCTCCGTGTTCTTGGTCGGCTCGTATAACTTCCAATCAGACCAGCTGAACCTTCCCCGCGCCCAGACCGGGGGAGCAACCTGAAAGACGCGTGACGAGCTTGGTTGAGCCATCGCCCAGCCATGTTGTCATGGTTTGCCGATGTGCCGGGGGATGCGACAGAGAAGAGCTGAACGGGGTGTTCCAAGCGGTCTTGGTGTGTTGCTGTGCAGGGTCTTTGTTTCAACACTGCAGTGGATAAAAAGTAAGCATAATCCACTGGAGACCGTCAGCTGTCAGAAAGAATCCGGAGATGGGGGATCAACCCCCACTGCCCACTGGTGACAGATTGTCCGGAGGCCGGAGGAGTGTTGACGGGCGAGGGGCGAATCTCGGTGTCTCTCTACGCGAAAGTCGTAACAGAGGCAGACAAAGGAACCTGACCTGCACGAACCGGACGAGTTATTGGTGGAAAGACCAACAGCTGTGCCCTTGGCAGCGACTGTTACACCACTGGCCACGAGTCGTGCCATTCTTCGGAGGTTATCACAACCTGATCGAGGTCCCTTGACCAGGATCAGACGGTCATAATTTGGGGGCCGTTTGTCAGTGGTTGTCGAGAAAACTGGTGATGAACATCGCGGTTCCATTGGTACAAGTGGATGATCATGCCCGAAAACATGCAAGCAGCTTATTACCCCAGAATTCAGGTGCTCCTGATGGCTGTGGGGACTGGAGAAGAATCACCTTTTCACCTGCTTGTTACGAGTCAGAGTCACCGTCATCTCGCACTAGGCCAACAACAGCTGCCTACTCCGGAGGTGCTCATTTCTCAGCGTAAGCAGGTGAGAAACCTCACAAGAAGCATGTGTCACACTGTGAAAAGTACAGCAGAGTAAGATGACTGCACAGGCCGACTCGCAATTAACCTATTAACCTGCTCGGCTGAAGGATCGAGCAATAAGCCCGACGCCTTCAGGGTCTATGACTCTACCGGGCAGCAATACGCCGAGTGCACTGTGCACTGTGCATTATCAACCGAGCCATTGTCCTCGGCTTCGGAGCCCCCAAAAAAAAAATAGGTTAAAGGCTTTTAGGTGCTTGGGCAGCTCGATAATGCCGCTCCTCAAACCGCTTCACGTAGATAGAAATCGTCTACATACAAACATCTAGCATCAGATCATGTCAGGCAGTCTTATCCTCCACACAATGATGTCTTCCAACCTTGTGTCTCGCTGCTGCGCTGAGTCTCCCCATGTCGGCACTGTCCACTCCAACACCCGGTGGCTGGACGGGGTATGGAAAGAGTTCATCTCAACCGCCACAGCCCTCACCTGATCGCAAAACCCCAACTCATGCAGCGACGAAGCTCGTCGAAGCAGGGCTTGCAGTCAACACGACCAACACCATCATGAGTCTGGACAAACGCCCGCAGGTTAATGCCAGTATAGGACGGGTCCTTGCAACCCAATCGTCCAAGTTCACGCAGCACTTGGAGAACTCGCACAGGCTCAGTCCTCGGCCTGCGCGGGTGTGCCGTCGCCGGAAACCGGTACCGGCTCGCCCTGGAGCCTCGCAAGGCGCTCCTCTTCCTTCCTTTCCTGTATGTTTTCGGTTTCCCGCCGCAGGGCAGCAAGGTTCCACGTGTCGTCCTCGTCGTCCGATTCCTCCTCGCTGTCTTCCGTTCGCCAGTTCCCACTTTCGAATAATGTCCTTCCCGTAGCTTCCTTGGCCTTCTGGGCTTGCTCTTCGGCGGCCTTTTTGTCGAGACGGTCCTTTTTCCACTTGGCGAAGGTCTCGGGTGTGACGGGTGTGAGCTCTCCAGTGAGCTTGTGTCTTTCGCTCTCGAGCCAGTCTTCTAGCGTCAGTGTGTTGAGCGGAGACTTGTCCATCAAGGCCTTTTCAGCTGCCCTCTGTTCTTTGGTCTTGAGAACGAATCTGTAGCGAATTAGCATCCTCAAAACGAACCCTTTCTTTGAGATCGGAAACTTACCCAGGTGGCAAACTGTGCTTGTACATGCACTTGTCACCTCCATTCGGACAAACCCAGAACCAACCGTACTTCTGGTTCTCAACCGCCTCAATAAAGTACTTGCAGACCTTATCAGTCGTCGTCCGCGGGTTCCCGTGCTTGCTGAGCACAACATTGCGAAGCTTCTCCTCATCCCACTGATCCATCGTATCGCCCTTCTTGGTCTCCTCCTCCGTCTCTCTCGAATCAGTGTACAGATCCTTCTTGGCCGACTTGCGCTCGATGCTCAGGTCGTGGCTGAACTTGCACTTGCGGCCCTTGTCGCAGTGACCCTGCTTGTAGAACATGCACAGCACCGTCTTCGGGTCGACACCGAAAGGAACCTTTTGCACCTGAACGGGCTTGAACAGCTCGGCGGCCTCCTTCTTCGCTAACTCCGCGGCCTTTTTCTCGGCCTCGCGGCGGGCCTTCTCAGCCTCTTTCCGCTTCTCGTCGGCATTCTTGCTGGATGCGGCTTGGGCTTGTAGTTGGGCAATCTGTTTCTTGGCGCTTCCACCTTTTTTCTGTTCCGAAGAAGAAATTTGTTAGTCCAGGCGCCGTTCAGGTCGTCGAAGGGATGGAGCGGAGGATGGAATGAAAGGGTCCAAGTGGCGGTACGTACGTTTTTCATGCCAAAGGTCTGTGCAGACGATGATCATTAGCAAGTGGTCTCGATGATAAGAGTCTTCGTGGTCGGGCGACATACCTTGTCATCGACCGTGGCCTTCTTCTTCTTGGGCGCGTCGGGCTTCTTGGGAGGCATTATGGGCGACTTTTATATAACCTCTCTAAACACTCTATAAAGTAGTAATGGAGATACTGATGAACCAGTGCTGAACACCCGGCCTAGTTGAGTCGAGGTTAGCGTCGTGGAGGGGCGGAACGCGGCTCGTGGGAGGAAAGGCGGGAGAGGCGAAAATATCTGAACGGGGCGTCGAAAGAGTCAAGAAGAGGTGGAACAAGGATCGTTACCGTCAGGGAAAAGTGAGAAAGGGACGCTGAGGCCTCGGCCTGACAGGGGAATCAACGATAGTGGTGGTGGCACAGATGGTTGTAAGTGTGCAAGTTCTCCTCCACATTCAGTGTGGGTTTGTCGCTCAGAGTCTGGGAACAGTGCGCAAGTGGCGGGCCAACTCACTTTGTTCCGCTCCGCCATGTCGACCAAGACAAGATCTTACCTCAGAACTGTCGACTAATTGCTGTAGCCTTTTTTTTGTATAGAACAAGAACTGGCTTTCTCCCAAGATCTAGTGAATATTCAATTTTACAGGTTCTGTGAGGCCTTACCGTGTTGAAAAGGCTTAAATCTACAACGCTACGAAGCATACCTCAACTCTTGAACCGAGAATCAAGGGCAAGAAAACTATTATGAATGTCATTGATGAGATAAGAGCAGCAGGTTACTCTACTAAGGGCAGTTTTGTCCAAGAGCGCGACTATTCGAAACAGCGACTCAGAGCTAGTGGGAGCATCGACAATATATATATTTAACCTTGTATAGCACCGAACGTGGGGCAACTTTGGTTGGGCGAGGTTCTCATGTTAAAAAATGAATTATTAACGGTCTCATAAGTTCGTACAGAGAGGACAAATGATGTTATTTTTTCTTTTTGAGACTTCCAAGGCATGCCACCTTGAGCCACCTAAGGCCGGCCGGGCGCAAATAAGCGCTGCCCATCAATCCGGATAGTGGATCTCAACAGGGTAATGCATGATCGTGATAAGCCGCTATGTTGTTCCATTATACTCATGAGCCTTCCAAATGTGATTCCGGCCCTTGTCCGTTTCCAACTCCAATGGTATTTCAACAGCTTCCAATGTTTACGAAACTTCCTGGATCTTGGAAGACTGGTCGGCGGGCTTGTCAGCATCTTCTAGCTCGGGCATATCGTCGTCCTGCGTTGTGATATTAGCTTCCGCATATTAAATAACGTGGGCTTGCGATAACATACCGATTCCTCGGCATCGGCGGGGAGGTCACCGCCACCGGGCAGGCCAGCACCGAGCTTGGAGAAGTCAATGTTTCCAAGACCGCCCTGGTCCATACCATCGAAGCCGCCGAAGTTGTTGGCATAGTCATCTTCCGGAGCCTCATCCTGCTCATCCTCATCGACCCACTACCAATAGGTCAGCGTACGTTCCATGCGTGTATCTGGATTGGGGTGTTCTACCTTATCGAAATCGGTCTTGAGGAAATGAATCTTCTGCTTGGTCTCGAGAAGGCGGGGCCAGAACTCCTCCTTCAGCTCCTTCTTGCGCAGGATGAGCTCAATCTCACGGTCGCTGTGGTTCACCTTGCTGTTCTCGGGTTCGATTTCGCCATACAGGTCGAGAGAGACCTGGTATCTTACGCCCTTCTTGGAATCTCCTGCAAACGTGACATTCTTGGGTGTGATGTCGAGCTTTGCATCGGCCTTGGATACATCAGCGGCCTTGATGTTCACGTAAAGGTAGTTACGCTCGGGATCAGTGGCAGATGAGCGCTGAGCCCATGTAACTGTACGCGAACGCGAATTAGCAATGAGGAAAGACGATAAGAGAAAATATCAAAGCTTGATAGGACTAGTCAAGGTAGATGACCAGGGGCATCAAGGGGGATGGAAGGCTGCACACAGCCGCGAAGCAGCAGAAGCGGGGAAAGGATGAGGGACTCCAGGGCATCGTACCTTCGGGGTGAACCTGAGGGAGATCGGGCATGGTGACGACGGGGTATAGGAGACTAAGGTTGGAGAAAAATGAGGATGTAGAGAATTGGATCTGGATTTAGCGGAGAAAACGTGGTCGGGCGAGACGGGTTTGGGAAGGGATGTTGCAGTGAGGAGCAGGAGCAGGAGCACTTTGAAATCCAGCCTCTCTTAGCTGAAGATCACCACACAAGTGCTAGAAAGTACTGGAACCTCGTCTGTTTGCCGTGTTTGCACTGCCCTTCCCCTCCTCCTCTCCGAGTCCAGCCCACGCAACGTCACGCTGGCCTTAGGCAGCGAGCAGGCATCAGTTGCGCCCGGGGATTCTTGGCGGTCGCCGACTTCTCCAGCAGATCGGTCACCATGAAGTCGCAACAGCAGCAATGATCCGAAGACGAATCTAAACAGAAAGCTTGACCTTTGACGCCCGTCATACCCCTTCTCTATTTACAGTGACACTTTCTCTGTCGACTTTCACTTGACCGCCCCTCGCTTTATACCCCGCTCCGCTTCCGGAAACCTAGGCTTGCCTCACAGCGCCCTCCGGCATTGAAGTCCCAGCTGCGGTCGTCGACGGCCAGTTTGGCCTATTTCCCGAACTACGCTTTCACTTGCAATTGGGATTCGGATATTCAACTTATACCCAGCTTTTGCCCGCCATGGAGACCCTCAAGGCGGTTTTCTTTGGGCCGGACCCTCAGACACAGGTATGTCTCTCAGAAGCAGCTTTTACGACTCCGCTAACTCCATGTGTCCGCAGATGAGAAAATGCAACCAGCTCATACGCTCAAATACCCGTCAGTTGGACCGTGACATTGCTCAGCTCAAGGCCCTCGACAACAAGACTCGACAGACGATCGTCACTGCCTCGAAGCGCGCTCAACGAAACCCCGCCCGCGCGAAGCAAGCCAACATTGAAGCCAAAATGCTTGCAAGAGAGCTGGTTCGGGTCCGGAAACAAGCTACTCGGCTCAGCACCAGTCGGGCTCAGTTACAGAGCGTACAGATGCAGGTGAACGAAGCGTTTTCGATGCGGAAGATCCAGGGTAGTCTGCAAAAGTCGACGGGCATAATGAAGGACGTCAATAACCTCATTCACCTCCCACAACTGTCTGCGAATATGCGGCAGCTTGCCACAGAGCTTGTGCGAGCAGGCATCATCGAAGAAATGGTCGACGACGCTTTGCCGAACAACGAGTTGTATGAGGATGAAGAGATAGAAGCCGACGAGGAAGTTGACAAGATCTTGCAAGAAATCCTGCAGGGCAAGCTGTCCCAGGTCGAAGACGTCAAGCCGGAGAGACCACTCGAGGAGCCCCAGCAGGCCGAAGAAGAGTTCGAAGACCAGGAGGCTGCTTTGGCCCAGATGCGAGGACGACTAGAAGCGCTCAAGAGCTGAGCTTGCTATTGCCTGGGAACATTACTTGTTTTGGATTATCGACTTGCTTGCCGATTCTGTGAAGGAGTTTGTGGTAGAGCGTCTGTGACTTGTTTGCTTTCTTCACGAAATTTCCTTGCATATCATCCTTTCGCGACTCTGTCTAAGAGCGGGCCTCGGATGCAGCGTCTTGAGGGATTGCTCCCTATCGTCTTACCTTTCTTCACGATTTTTACGAATGCAATTACCGTCCTGTTTCTCTATCCTGCTTGTTGGACTACGGTAGCTGTCAGCTATCCATTTTATCACGAATATACTAGAACAGTTTTTCATGGAACTCCTCAATGACACAACAATCCACCTGTGAATCGTCCTCCGCTGATAATGGACCTGTGAATGGCAGCTTGCACTTCACATAGACCTCCAATATTAGGCAGATATCTCGATCGAGGCTAGCGTAGGCTGCTGAGTCACCGGCTGCCACTCCGCCTTCCGCTTTTGACGGGTCCGACTTCCCTGCTGTCTTCCTCCCTTTCTTCCTTCCATCATCATCCTCGCTCCATCAGCTCACGGAGTCAACACATTTTCCTCCTTCTCAATCTTCTCGTTATTACATTTGACCCTCTGCGCTTGACATTTTTGCGCCTCACTGCACCAAATCGCGTCTCTTGCCCCTTTCCGAGATCAAAACACGAGAAACGCCACCAGCGTTTGCGCCCAACGTCCCGCGACTTCTCCTATCAAATCATCAAACTCACATTCCTCCGAGATCTCTATCAAACATGTCTACCAAGCTCGATAAGTCTCTCGACGAGATCCTTGTCAACCGCCGCCAGGGCGTGCGCAACCGCCGCCGTAACGCCAGATCCAAGGCTGCCAACGCTGCTGTTCCGGTTGGCGGAGTCAAGAAGACCACAAAGAGTGCTAAGCCTGCTGGAAAGGCTATCCAGAATGGACACCCCATCTCGACCGAAAGCAAAATCATGGTCAGCGGCTTGGTAAGATATCCTACCTCCACCAATGCTCAAGAGCGCGACTAACATTTTCAGCCTGCCGATGTGAATGAGGCCAATATCAAGGTATGTTGATTGAAAGGCCTTCGCCTTGGGTTTCATCGCCGTGTCTTTTGTGGAAGCCTCCGGGTCGCAACGGCTCCCATTCGCCTTCGACCCCTGTGTACCACTCTGATATTGTGGTTGTTTGGCGTCGCGCAGGCAGTTACTCCTTTGTTGACCGATCGCGCCCGTCACCGCTATGGCACAAGCGAATCGAGAGAAGTCGAGTTCTGCCGTAGTCCTGCACATGCGTACCCTACATCGGCGGATTTTACGAAAGTTTCTCCCGCTTGGATCGCTGCGGACTGCGCTTCAGTGGTTGTTGAGACGACACCACTGCTCTTGAGCCCATTGCTTCGTTCCCGCGTAAACTATCTCTCGGGTCGGTATCAGCGAGTGCATCAGCATACCAGCAGTGAACAGACAATTAGTCTACTTTCTTGAAACGCCGCATGATTTGGTTTATGGATTACTGGATTGGCGCGCCCTAGATGGCACCGTGAGCTTCAACATTTGTCCCATGCCTCGTCCCGGGAAGTGACACCTTCATGTCACAACCCGGCCTTTGCGCGGGTTAGTCATGCGCCACCGATCCTTTTCCTGTTATGCGTGCCGTGAGTGAGCGAAGTGACTGCAGGCGGTGGTCGCACCATTGTCACTATTTTGTCGTTGTTGAAGTTGGTTGGGTTGGGAACTCTGGCATATTGATGGGTCCGGGAAACATGATTATCGGGAGCTTGACATTCACGAACGCGCCGTAGATGGCCGGGGAAATACTTGAGGGAATTGCGTTCTGAGATTTGGCGCGTCGTGTTTGGTCGATTTTCGAGTCGCTCGCCTGCCATCTGCTAATAACCGCTGTGCGCTCGCTGATGCTCTACTGCGGAGTTGGGCGTCCCTGCGCTTTTGGGACGCTGAAACGACACCGTTGACGCTTTTCGCAAAACAACTTTCTTGCCGATGTACTAATTCGCTTTCCTGTTCCATAGGAATACTTCTCAAAATCCGCAGGTCCCGTCAAGCGTGTCATGCTCACCTACAACCAGAATGGCACAAGCCGCGGCATCGCCTCGATTGTTTTCAGTAAACGCGACACTGCCGCAAAAGCGGCCAAGGAGCTCAACGGTCTGCTCGTCGATGGGCGTCCCATGAAGGTAAGCATTCCCCTTTCCATTTATCTGTCAGAATCTCTAACCTTTGTAGATCGAGGTTGTTGTCGATGCCTCGCACGCCCCTGAAGTACCTGCCCCTAAGCCTCTTGGAGATCGCGTCGCGTAAGTATACTGCTAATCCGAAACTTTGTGAATGAAACTCACATCTTCTAGCCAGGGCAAGTCAAAGCCGAAGCCTGCGACCAACGCCAAGGCCGCCAACACTGCCGCCGGCAAGAAGGGTCGCGGCGGACGCCGACCAGGCGCTCGCACCAACCGTCCCAAGCCCAAGACTGCAGAGGAATTGGATGCGGAGATGGATGATTACTTCATTACTTCTGGCGATGTTGCGCCCGCCAATGTCCCTGCTGCCGCGAATGTTGCTCCTCAGCAGGCCGCCGGGGACGACGTTGGAATGGCTGAGATTTCGGTTGGTACACCTTTCCTTGCTGACTGAACGGCGGCTGATGCATACTCTAGTAAACAACCGTGATACCTTTTCTACCGGCCGCCTGTTGATTCGGCATTTCTGAGTCATGCGATGAGCTTTCGGACTTTTTCCTCTTCCCTATTCCGACATGATTACTTTTTCATCAATTGTTTCCTATTATCCTAACCTTACCTCCTTTATTTCATTGCTACTCGCAACTTCGCTACTATTTGGTCCACTGGGTTTTCAGGACTGCATGCATGTATGTAATAAGCCAATGAATTTCTCTGCATGATCCTGTTATCGTCATGAACGGGACTATCCACAAACTGTAGCCTTTAGGTTCTTCAACTAGGTGCCCCGAATGATTCTCTACTTCTTCTCAAAGACAAAGCTCTATCTGTTCGAATTCTAAGCACGACGCATCATCTTGTCCAGATCACTGTCCGTCATCGGATCAGATCGAGAAGACGTGAACTCGGTCCATTTACCCTGCAGCCACGATCCCCTCTTGGGCTTCTCACTGGGACTAGTCGGTATCGGCATAACGGGCTCGCTGAAAAAGTACGCAGCAAACGGGCCGAGAGTCGAGGCAGTTGTCTTTCTATCAACCCAGTTCGCCAGCTGCAGATACTGAATCGTCAACCTTTTCCCATCGTGATGCGCCTGAATGATTCTCGCCGGCTTGCATTTCGCATCGTCTCCCTCCCCACAGCTGACATACGACAACATTAGGACCTAAGCCGTCAGCAAGAGCCACAACGCCCAACTGAAACAAAGTGAGAACCAAATTAAGCAAAAGGGAAAGAAGGAGACCACCCACCGGAAAAGAAGAATGATGCGCGTACCGCCTTAGCTCCATCCGGTTCCTCATGAGCCGCAGCACAGCCTTGATCTCCGTCAAGGAAATCATCCTGCTATCCATCTGGTGCGTGGGGTTGAGGAACAGCTCGGCGACGCAGTGAGGGCGCTTGTACGTGTGGTCCTCGAGGATCTCGGTGATTTCCCACTGGCCATCTTCGTGGAGTTCGAGGTTGTGCATGTAGGGGTGTTTTGCTTTGGAGGTTAATCTGACAACGGAACAGAGGCTCTTGTTAGCCACGACACCTAAGCCCAGACCTTGGAATACGAAGCCACAAATAGGAATCCTGAGAAGAGAAGAAACGAAGCAAACTCACCCATCCTTCTCAAGCACACACTCCCCCCACCCTGGCAGCGCTGGCAGTCCACGTTCACACTCATTCATCTCAGCAACATGCTTCAGCACAGGCGGATAGACGGGCAGGCGACTCCCCTCGGGAAGCCAGGGCTCGGGCTCAAAGGTGCCAAATGAGAGCGAAGAGCAGGATGAGGAGGGTCTCGGTGGAGAGGAGGTCGACGGCCAGAGCGAAAACGAGCGGTGGGCACGCGTTGTGGATGTAGACGAGGGAGAAGAGGGCGAGGAGGCCGAGGCAGGCGCGGCACATTCTGCCTCCGAGTTTGTCGTTTGGGTTCGGGCTGCTTCGGTTGGGGGTTCCTTGGATTTGCGCTTTGTCTTGGAGTTCCTCTTCATCTCTTTCTCTTTTTCTTTCTCTTTCGCTTTCTGCTTCTGTTTACCCTTTCCAGTCTTCCGCCCCGCCTGCCGCGGCTGGAAGAGCGCTGGCTTGAAGGTCCCAAGCTGGTTGAGGAACAGGTCGTTGGGGACTTGGTAGATGGTCATTCCCTGGTTCCGGGCTGTGAGGGGGCTTTCGATTGTTTCGATTGCTTCGTGAAGGCGCACGATGTCGATGTAGATCTTGTGTCGGTCGGGCATTTTGGTAGGTGGCTGTGGTTGTGGTTTGGATGGTGGAAGGTTGGGAGGGAAGGTGCAATGGAGAGGTGGGAGAGGGGGAGGGAAGGAAGGTGAGAGATGGAAGATGCAAGATGCAGCTGGTAAGATAACCTGAATTGCCCCGCATGTAATGGACTTACAGAGACTCGGTGTCTAGGTATAGCTGCATAGTCGGGGAGATTTCCACTTATACTCTTCAAGACCATCTTTGGACGCAGCAGGCTCACCAGACTCGCTGGAAGCTTGTTTCGGTCTTATCTAGTGCAGCACGCATCTACAACAGCCATCTCTACACTTTGAATGAGAATTCCCTTGAAAATGGCAACAAAGGACCCAAACCTGTGAAAATAAGAATGAGATGCGCATATCACTTCACCCTATTCTCCTATGGCCAAGGTACGAAGCTGTATTTCTGCAAGTTTACAGCTGTGACAGACTCTCTAGGCAAGAGAGCACGTGCTACTGACTTGAGGCATTTTCACCAGCACCGGTCCAATGCACTGCAAACGAGGATGATGGCCCACTCCAGACACAAGGCCTGCTGCAGGTGCAGGTGAAGGTGCAGCGTCGGAGCCAGCCTTGAAGTTTCTCGTCGAAACTCGCAGCAACTGCAGACGGGAGAAGCCCATAAAAATGCTTTGATGAGGCTGAGAGGTACGGCCTATCCCACCGGCGCAACTGCCTGAAAATAGCCCCCAGTCTGCTCAGCGTGGAGGGGTAAAGTCGCTTGCTTCTCAGGTACCCCTCTAGGACTTGAATATTACGGAGGTCGTGTGTATGTCTGGATCACGCCCTTCGAGATAAATTGGAAGGGACCAAGAAGATGGCTGCTTCTGTAAATTACCTTGAACGAGGATGGGGTCTCTTGAGAAACGACGGCGAATTGTAGACTCCTTCATGCCATCGTTGCCCCATCTTCCTGCAATGCGATTAAATCCAGGCGAAGTGTTACAGGTACCTCTGACAGCAGACCACATCGCGTGACGTCAAGGCTGCAGTCGCGTGAACCTGTACCTGGGCAGAACCACTGTTTTTATGCTCAGCTATGCAGGCTGGATCACTGGTCTGTCCGGTTCCTCTGCTGCTGCTTCTCCGATTCCTCGGCCCATCAGCGAGCTCTCACGGCCTACGGTATCTTGGAAATTCGAGGAACTGTAATCATCGCCGGTTAAGAATTCGCGACCAACGCTCTGTCTTTCTCCTAAAACTGCTACGCTTCATTTGGGTATACGACTGTGTCTGCGTCTCAGCTCTACTTTTATACCTCCGACAAATCCGTCACGAACCCATCGGCCAAGTCCAGCAGCTCGAATGATTGCGTGTTCATTTCAATTGATTCAATTCAAGAAAATCCAGTCCCAAAGATGACGGGAGCGGAATCTACCGAGTCGTATACCCCCCATTCGCAAAGATAGTCTGGCCTGTAATCCACGCCCCCTCGGTACACAGGAACCGCACAAGAGGCGCAATGTCCTCGACGAGCGTCAGACGCCCGCCCATGCCGTTCGCCTTGTGGTATTCGACGGCTTCGGGGGATTCTTGTGGGTAGAAGAAGGCTGGCGTTCCGGATGGTTAGCTTGGCCTGATCTTTTGAAAATGGGAAGAGGGAAAGGAAGAAGGAAAGGGAGCGGAGGGGAGATGCGTACGCGTGTCCATTGGGCCTGGCGCGACGTTGTTTACGCTCACGCGGCGGGATTGGAGTTCTTTGCAGACGCCGCTGGGTATTTGTTAGCGAGGCGCTTCCTGGGTGGTGGGTGGAGGGGTTAGTTACCGAGTGAAGTGCTCGACGGGCGCCTTGCTGCCAGCGTAGGAGGTGTAATATCCAGTGAAAGCACCAAGCAGGGCAGTGACGATGGTGATGATCTTGCCGCCATCTTCAACATGCTTGGCTGCCTCCTTGAGGACGAAGAACGCGACCTTCGAATTGATCCTATCAACAGTCAGAACAGACGTCTCCCAAACAAGCAAATCACCGCGAAGGGATCAAGTCACATACGCAAACATATCATCGTACTCTTCTTCACTAATCTCCAGGATGGGCTTCTTCAGCACCTTCCCCACGGTATTAACCACCACATCCACCTTTCCAAAATCCCTCAGCGTCTCGTCAAACAGTTTCGTGACGGCCGCAGCAGCAGTCAAGTCGCCCTGGTAGATTGCGATTTTGATAGACGGGTACTTGTCCCTAAGCTCGGCTTCGAGCTTGCGCGCTTCGGGCTCGCTCGAGGCCGAGTTGTAGTGGATCGCGAGGTTTGCGCCGCAGGCTGCGAGCTCGCGCGCGATTTGGGCGCCGAGGTTCTTGGCCCCGCCGGTTATTAGAGCGGTTTTGGAGGTTAGGGACATGTCTATGTTGTTAAGTGGTTGGGATTGGTTGGTGTTGGATAGGAAGAGAAGGGTAGTGGTATGCTTCAAAGTTTGAGCGAGCTGGATTGATGGGAGTGAGGGAGAACCGGACGAAGCTGGTGCAGAGGGAGAGGGGGTATTTATCCCTCGCAGCCATCCGCTCCACAAGCTCAGTGTCGGAGATAGGGAGGGGAAAGTCGTCTCGTCGTCGGATTCCGCACCTTGACTCCTCCCTCAGAGCCTGTGGAATAAAGCAGTACTTGCAGTGGAGACGGATCTATTTCGATGGGGGGGGGGGATCGAGTTGTGATAACCGCATCGGGATTAGCCGCAGCGATCCCGCAGATGTGATAACCCTTTCGGGTTTGGTCTCAAGATCCCCATGTTGCATCGCCATGTCTCCGCCGTCCGATGGATGGTTCATCGGGTGCATGATTCGTCGCAGACAACAAAGGTTGCGAGTCCCTGACATCATCTCCGCTGTTATCGCGCACCTAGAAAATGCCCAGGATTCGGCCCCGGCAGCGGCTGGCCCGGCGCAAACGTCTCTCCCGGAAAATGCAGCGCAGACCCATTCAGGAAGGCTCCATTGCGATCAATCCAGATGACGATCCGTCGCAGGAGACCGCTTAGCCCCAGCTCGAGTAACCCCCCGCGCAACTCAATGACCCGTTCCAGACCGCGCATGTGGACAGCGTAATTGCCGACATCGCCATACATAGCCTCGTAGCTTGCCATCTTGGCGATTGCGCCGACAAGCGCGTCGCTTATGCAGCTGGGCTGGTGCTGCTGGAATTGAACCTCGAGCGCCTCGTTGACAGCTTGCACGGCTTCGCAGCGCAGAGCGAGGAGGTCGAGTTTCATATCGAGCGGCTGGCTTTGCACGGATGCGTAGTTTGATGCGGCGAGGAGGATGATTACCAGGAAGAGGGCGCGCTCGCTCATGACGAGTGGGAACCACGATGTGCGGAGGAGGCCGCGGTTGCCGGGCTGGTCGAGCTCGGGGATGTCGACGGCCATGCTCATGAGATCTAATCTAGTTAGCCAGATCATTACCGGAATGTGATACCTCCGCAGGGAAGACGTACAGTGATCCACAAATCGGGGCAAAGAGGGCCGCCATGCGACGGGGTACGAGCGAAACGGGTCGCCGCGCAGGCCGCCCAGGGGTCGAGGGATGTTGATGGCCCCATTCTGAATCCCGAACTCGATCTCCGGCGCGAGTCGGACTAGTTCGAGCTTGTTTCGACGGTCATCACTCTTATCCTTTGCTACTGTGCTGTCTTCTTGATTCTCGAATTCGTCGAGAACTTTCCCAACCGCATTTGCATTCGCGCGTCGAGCCCGCTGGTCCAACTGCTTCCACTGCTGCCGCGTGACGTGCGAGCGGACGCGCGAGGATTTGGCGAGCTTGAGGGCGTCTTTTGGCTTGCGGACGTGGATAAAGACAAAGTCGCTGCTCATTCTGCGGGTTGGATGTGGTGCGACGTGATGGGCTGCTTCTTGGCTGATTGTTGGCGCGAGTGTTGGAGTTGTCGAGAATCGAGATCGGGCAGATTTGGTGGGGATGGGATGCTGGTAGTTGTCACGCTTTTTATTTCCACGGCCGTGCTGTATGCTTAGTACTGCCATGGAGTTAGGGCTAAGTGCACGGCTTCATGTATAGAGGCACGCACTGCACATAACCCCAGAGCCACCAAAGGTGATTTTTTATTACATGCGCTGCCCTGTTAGTATTAGATGTCTCTACAAGTAGTTCCTACTGTTATAATAGGAAACCCAAGTCCACTGCAGCGCCACGCGAGCTGAAGTAGCTTCTGTAGTGTAGAAAGAGCGAAACGTCACCTGCAACAGACTGCTTGAATTCTCCATCGGCCTTCCAAAGGCTTCGCCTCGCCAACAAATGCCATGACCAATCTAGACACTTACATTGCTATTGTAGACGGAGGCTGTAGTAGCTCTCATCTCGAAGACATTATCATCCTGGTTCGTGAATCCCCCATTCACTACCCTTCAACACTGAGCCTCAAAAATCTCCACATCCCAGAGTAACACGAGAGGAGTAACCCCAGCTGGCCCTGTAGCGTCCCAAGCCTACTCTATGGTATTGCTGTTACTATTTCATCCAGTTGCCAAAGCTCCAAGACGGCCATGACGCCCTCGAGAGAAGTTGAGTGGATGCCGCTGGGGATTGACGCGAGAAAGAACACAACCCACCACTATTTCGAGCTGGGTCGTATGTGACGGACAGTCTGTAGAACCCGCTAGAAACTCTAATTTACTTGAACCGTTATGGTCTCTAGATACGCTGGAGTGGTCAGAATCCCGCCTTGCTGTGTCTCGGCATTTTCCTGACCTGCGTCCTGTTCCTGCAGAGTCTCAATTCACCGTCTGCGAACAAGAGGAGATGGACATCTACGTCTGCTACAATCAAATTCACTCTAATCATGTTGCCCATACTCAAATCATTGGGCGCTCACTTCCCGTTATCAACCGCCATATGCGGACCGCTGGATACTACAACTTTTCCCCTGTCTTCCATTGGTTTTGGCTTCGCTTCTCGATGATCATGAGCTTTGGTCTTCCCACAGAATGAATCTGTCGAGCGACTCTGCCTTTCCAAATCTTGCGTAGACGTCACTCGTAACCCAGAGCCCGCCACCTCTCACTGTCTCCCAGCTCCCCTGCATGACTCCCACCTGCAGTCTTCACCTGCATCTGCACGATGGTGCAGGGCAACTTGCAGTGTCCAGCACGTGTCAAAGCACCAGGCAGTTCCATTAGCTAACAAGAAATGCCACCCTTCACGTTCCTGCAGTTGAACAAACAGCCACGTCCCAAAGAGGCAATGCCCCACTCAACCGGACAGAAATCCGCGCACGCAGCCCTACCTCCCTTCACTGAAGCCTGGAGATCAGAGATCAGGATGCTGCAGGCAAATCACGCCATGCACTGAAGCTGAGCAGATTCGAGGCTGATCTCGCTTTGCCTCGCTTCGCACAGGTGGTTGATTTTGCTTGCTACCACACAGCTGGTCGATTTCATTTCCCAGATTCTGCACTCGAGAGGCCTAAATAGCGCCGTTTCTCCCAGCTGTCTGTCTCTTCTTTCTTTCTTTCTTTCTTCCCACCCTCTCCATTCCCTTCGACCTTGGTCTCTACTTCTTTCTTCTGATCTGAGCCATCAACCAATCCACCCTTTCGAGCAGCCTTCAACCATCCCTCTCAGCAAAGATGAAGTTTCTTCTGATTGCGACGTGGATGGCCATGGCCCTCGTCGCCGTCGCTGTAAGTCTTTACCCATCTGCCCATCATCTCAAGACTCACATTGCTCTGCTATAGCTTCCCACCGTGTCCGACGACTTCGACTTGGCCAATGTCACTGATGCTGTCGCCTGGACTGGCAACTCCGTTGAAGACCCGTAAGACAAACTCTGCTTGCAATCTGCTTCTTTGGCTAACGCTTTCCCCTCCTCCACTCAACAGCACCGTCCACACCCTCGAGAAGCGTCATACCGTAACCTGCGACACCGGTTTCCACACCAACGGCTTCCAGGTTTACTTGGGCATTAAGGAGCTGCGCAAAAGGAGAGGCAGTCCCTTCGGCGGACCCTATGCCTGCACCCGCGTGTACAACAAGCGTGGAACTCGCATCTATTGGTGCAACGACGTATGTTCCCTTTCCCTTGGTCGCCCATCTCGAGTCACATCATGCTAATTGCCAACAAAACAAAACAGGATTCCAAGGTCCGCTACTTGCCCTCCTAAAACAACATTGCCGACGCCATTCAGTCAGTCTTCGATGTGTGCGGCACCCCTGCAGGTTTCTCCGGCGAATGCAATCATCCCGACAAGTGGAGAGCTTTCCTCCAGCATGGTTGGAATATGGACGAGCGCTAGGAAGGCGAAGCTGTGGATGACGTCGAGTAGATACTTGTTTTCATTCTACGCTGTTGGGTTTCTGTCGCCTGTGTTTAGATGACGAGATGATGTGCACTGGCTACGCGAGATGAAGTTCCTGTTGACAACTGCCGATTCGGTGTCGGGCGTGTTGTGGCATCGGTTTTCTTCTTGTTTACATTAGGGAGATAAGTCAGTCAGCAATAATCATAGTGTTTTTACTCCCTCATGGTCTTTACAGATTTCATTCCTCATTCCTGCACCTCGTACTCCTGATCTCGACCTCCATCTTGGTCATTCACCACACGGCACAGACACCGAGGTCGCTCCATGTCGACGGAGAGCACAATAAGGCCCCAAGTCCGGACTCAATGAGATTTTCCCAAAAGTGTCACCGTCATTCTCAGATCGGCACGACTTTCGCCTCTCCAACTGAACCCCGCCTCCTCTCCAGACTTCGACCACCACGCTTGAGCGTTCGGGCGCAGACAGAACCTCTCGAGAGTGCATGCTGTACTATGAAACAAGATCGCCATAACCGTCTACGCCGAGCACACGAAACCGCATCCTCAACCCGAGACCTCAGGCCTGACACACAAACACGAATCCAACCATCGTCGACAATGCAGCGGCCCGAATACGCAAGGCCCTGTGGTATGCCACGGCACCTCAAGCGCGCAGAATGCGAACTGACGAGCGCGGGAATCCGAGACTTCACATGGGCTTTTAACTCATACCTGCCCTCGCCCGAGAGAAGCATCGAGCGTTGTTCAGAGCCTGGCTGGCGAGTCGGCTTGTCAAGTCGGGGTCATACCGGGATCCCTGCATACGCCGTTCTCGAATGGAAGGAAGGAATCTCGCTGCCTGAGGGGACTTTGCAGGGATGTGGCTGTGTATGTTGCTTTACACTGATACACGCCCGTGCGATATCATCCTAACTCGACTGTGCTACTTGGGATACGCACTCCAACAGACGGCTTACACTTGGCACTAACTGGATGTACACTCGGTTCGGCGGTCTGCGAGAAGGAACGGCTTGCTCTCCGAGTAGTCGAGCTTCGACTGCGAGGAGCATTTCCTCCAGTGCCAATGGACGTTCAAAGTCGGATCCTTCGTCCAGCAAGAGATTCTCCGCAATTATCAGTCGCGGACTGTTCGTGAGTGACGCGGAATCCAAGTTGTCGAAAGGACAGTCCGATTATATCGCTGGGACCGCCATTCCGATACGCCGTCAGAAGAGGGACTTGCGAGGGCTTTCGACTTTTCAGCCCGGAACAGGAACGCGGAGGCGTGTCCCCATATCATCTGTGTATTCTGGAGCATTTCCACTGGACTTGCCTTTGAGCCATGAGAGCGTTCATCCAGAAGGCACGGATTCACCACAACAAGAGCACCGAATATCTCGCCTCGAGTGAGTCGCATCGCCATCGAGTGTCGAGATCGATTGAGCTTTTGACTTGGCAGTGACCATGTTCACTTGCAGCGTAAGTCACAGAATAAAGACTCAATGTAATCATTCTTGGATGATGGATCAGTGGGACAGAGAATGGATTGCATCATCACCATTTCTTTCTCAGCGTCACTGCCCATTTGCAGGGCTAAAGTGATTGGGACTGGGATTTCTCCAAAGACGTCGTTGCCGAGACAGGGGCACATGGACCACCAGGGCAACCCTATCAGTTTCAAATCCCAAAGCAACCCGTATACAGCTCGTTACTACCCACCCAAATACCCAATACTATAGCGACGAAAAGCTCACAGGCAATGGCTTCGTACGCTATCATCAGTATCAGTCTCGTCTACAAGTCACCAGTCCCTGCGACTCCAAACAGCAAAACTACCAGCCACCGCCCTGAAACCCCCTCCCTATACGGATACCTCGACTCCTCCTCGGTGCATCTCCAACACGCAGCCTTCCCCCCCCAAACATCAAGCCGAAAAATACCTCTGAACAACCTCCCTCGCCCCAACTACCACATACTCCACATGCTCCACCCGATTCAACCCAGAGGCAAAATACGTCCTGTCCTCCCCCTGCAGACCATTAAACAAATCATACAGCCCACCGCGCAGCGCCTCGGCCTCGAAATGCGGGAAGTAGTCCGCGTGGTGCCGGAAGGCTTTGATGTCGCGCCCTGTCACGGGGGTCGTTCCTTCTTCCCCATTATCGGTATTATCTGCTGGATTGCCGTTTATGCGCGAGAGGGTTTGCAATATAATCTTTCCGACTTCTCCCACAGACTGCGCGTGCGAGGCGACGGCGTATAACAGCGAGATGTCGCTGGTGTTATACTGGCCCTCGACGTAGATGGGTTGGCCCATGAGGTCGGGGGAGGAGAAGGGAGTTTCCGTCGCGATTTGGAAGGACGATAACGGTGGGGTGTTGAGTCTGACCGCCGCGGAGAAGTAGTTTGTTGTGCGGACGTCGGAGAAGACGGCCTCTTCGGCGGGGGACAGGCTCAGTCCGGCGGTTGCGAGGGAGGAGAGGGTTGGGGGGAAGGCGAGGACTACTTCCGAGCAGGTTTGGTGGGCGGGGGTGTTTTGTGGCGAGGTGTAGTGGAGTGTGATGACTTCTTCGGAGCGGTCTAGGACGGGCCTGTTGGTTTGTTGCCTTGGCCTGACTGATGCATGCTGGGACTTGGTGTGGTACGTACCGATGCGTTCAACTGTACTTCGCAGACGGATCTCTGATCTGGCGAGTTGTCGAGACCACCGCTGGAATACCTCGTGGAAGTCTAAAAGAGACACGGATCAATCAAGCCGCCAGGTAAGTAAGTGAGATACTCGACAGAGGCTTACTTACCAACCCTCAGCCGAGTCCCTGTAAGAGCCGCAGGTGTAAAGATGCTAAGGGTATAAAACTAGCCAGGTCATTAGCTCAAGCGACCACAGGATATAGTTATCAGGATCAAGAAGAGACCCACAATCGGAAGCTCGTCGACATCCCCATACCCCCAAGCAATCAGGGACGGCATGAGCGTAGCATGCAATAGCGGATACTTGTGCTCCACAAACCACTCGGTCGTACCGACTGTAAGCTCGTCTGGCACGTTCTCCTTGAACCAACCCCGTCTCAGCAAATCCTCCACGTAAGGCGCAAGACGCAGGAAATCTGAATAGACAGGGGCTGAATACCGTAACCGCCCGCCCAGCAAACCGCCCATAAACGCTCTGCCACTGCTCCGTATACCTCTGCAGCTCCGCCAGGAACTCCGGCGGCGGCGTCTGTGGCGTCTCTGGCGCCGGCCACGTCTTGCCCGTCGTCCAGTTGAAGATCCAGCTCGATTCGGGGGTGTGCGTTGTCACGGGGACGTCGACGGCTTCGACGATCTTCATTGTCTCGGGGTGGCTCGGGTGAGGTATACTTCTCGTAATAATTCTGTGCGTTTCCGCCGACGGTCTCATTTGCTTCAAAGATCACGGTGCGCCTGCCGAGGGCTTCGAGTGTGTGGGCGGCGGAGAGGCCAGAGGCTCCTGCTCCGATGATGCATACTGGGAGGTCGGTGGATGTGGAGAGGACGATGTGGGACGATAGGAGCAGGAATAGATATCGGTACATGGCTTTGATGAGATGGAAGGGGACAACGCCTAGCTTACTATGAGAAGCAGGTCACGACAAGACACTGACAAAAGACAACGTGGACGGCAGAGAAAACGGCTCAAAAACGGAAAAGGTCTCATTAATAGTGCAGGAAGAAGGAGGAGAACGTGGTTTATGTTTCGGCAGCACCTAGAAAACGGCGAGTACATGATTCCCTCGCGCCATCAGCTCAACTTAAAAGCCCACTTGGTACTTCCCAAGGGAGGCCTCGGGTACAGTGACCTTGACCTATACCCCAGAGCCATAGTCTCAAAGGTACCGATACAGCGCTGGAGAAGATCCCCCCGCTACCGATAAGCAAGCGGAGAATCTATATACTCCGGAAGGTTTACGACGAGTAACATCCAAGCCACCTTTTCTTTTTCCGTGACATTACGGGCACCTTCACAGCTCGTCAGAGCTCAGTGTGGGTCATTGACAGTCGACTGCTCAATCAGGTACTCTCCTTGTTGGTCGGGGTCACCGAACCTGACACTTTTCGCCCGGGGTTATTCTCCGCGAAGAATGTGACCGCATTGGCGGTGGGGAATTTGGCCAGCCTGTAACGGTCGCTCAATCGTGCAGGACTCCTGAACAATTATTCTGAGCCTGGGTTTGAGGGTTTGCTTCGCCTTTGATCAACCCGTTCACGACAATTTATACACCCGCAATGGCTTCTAGCAGAGCCGAACTTAAGCTTTCTCCAGCCAAGATATCCCGGCTTCATTCTCGAAGCCACCAAGCTAAGTTGGCTCAAGCCGTCTCGAAGTGACCTGTCCTCGGACAAATCATACTCAATCTCATCCAGCTGGCGCTCGACTCGGGAGGAGGATGGGGGGTTGCAAATGAAGTTGATTCGATCGCTTCCAGTCACCCCCGATGTTTTTCGCTCAATCACAGAATAACATCAGGGACACTTGCGCCCAAGCACGCCTTAAATTACAAGAGACCTCTCATCCGCGTCATGAATTACGACGCCTTGGGCCGATGCGGTGTTATTGTCTCTAGAGAGGGATCGTTGGATTACCATTCTGCCAGCCAGCCACATTGCATATGATTTACAACACACGGCTATCGAACAGCCTAGGAGGAGAATAGAGCTTTCCAGTGCATGACATAAGCCTGCTCTCGAGCTGAAATACGATGTTTCCTGAACTATTATACAATTCATCGCTACATTGGTTGTCACAAGGATTTTGGCCGTATGGATACCCAGAGCCTGGGGAGGAGGAGGGGTGTTTTTATACCCTGATGGGCGGAGCGTAGAGCTGGACATACCTAGTAATGCCTATATACTCTAGAGGAAACAGCCAGGGATTTCCTCGGAACATGGACGTAGGTGGGGAGTGCCAGTGTGAGTGCGAATGCACATTCGGCTGCACTTGCGGATATCCCAAACGGGACTGTGACTTCGGTAGCGCGACGAGGCTTCTAGTTGCAAGCGGGTGGGCTGGTGTTGCAGTCTCGGTGCTTAGTTTCGTGTACTCCGTAGATGTGAGCATATTGTATGTGTACTGTAGTATAGTGCGCATCGCTCTAGTCATTTCCAATCTCCTATTTCACGTTGAGTCGCTGGTGGGGGTTGCATCGTGAGTGTATTCTTCCGTACTTTCCGTATTGTATGGGAAACCTGTAAGCTTACTTCAGTTCGCTTATATACCAAGCGCGTCACTTGCTCGAGTCACTCCAGTCGACTTCTGATTCGGGCTCTCGAATCTCGAGCCCTACCTTGCGCCACCAAGACCCTTTTGCCTAGCTTATAGCCTGCCATTGCGAAGATTCTTTTTATAATGACCGGCCGGGTGGCCTAATGGTAAGGCGTTTGATTTCGGTGGAATATTCCGCAAGGGAGAAGACCTCAAATCTCAAAAGATTGCGTGTTCGAGTCGCGCCTCGGTCGAATCTTTTTTTTTCTCTCTCTCGGCGGGAGCAAAACAAACACAATCTCAAGGCGAGTAAAGCAGGGGTGGCATCTTACGCTGATGGGTAGAGAGGTTCGCTCCATCCGTAGTTGGCTCGGCATTCGAACGCTTCAAAAACTGCTGTATCCACATCCCCCTCCGAAGCCACCTCCAGCCCTAAACGGTACTGTCAGACATTATCTTCTTTGCCTTGGATGCACTGCACGCAATTGTTTCCACCTACCAGACTGTCACAGACTCCTGCGTGTTTGATGTCCCCTCAATTACGTATGGAACCTGTTCGTATTCGAAACCTGTCCATTGATAATTGTAGCTTTGGCACTGCGAGTCGACAGTGTGGCAGATGGCTGTTTCTGTGGCTTGAGAAGGAAGGCCTGCCAGTAGCCATAATGACCGACGGTATACGCAGACGGAGCTGGCTGTCATCTCTGCTGCCCCAACGTACTTGGCGCGCACCTGGGAATAAAGCTCAGCAAATGACTATCGGGCCTCCAGCTCCTACTAGACTACCTAAAGGTAGAGACTAGGCGGAACTAATCATACAACCTCATATCAGCGGCGTAGCTATATTGTAATAGTCTTTAAAAATGGGAAAGGAAAAAAGTAGAACAAAAAAACGAACGAAAGAAAGAAAGAAAGAAAACAAAGCACAAGCTCCGGGCCCGTGAAGCAAAACTCGTCCTCCACCACACTCATCTATGCATAGGCCGGCAGCATATCCATGCCTCGACCACTATTCATCGACACCCTGCAGACGACCACTCCTCCGAGGGGGCGGGGGACTCCGTCTACTCTTGGACACTCCTCCCGACGGCTGGACCCGAGTTCGCGTTGCCGGCGTCTTCTTGGTTTGCTTGACAGTCTTTGCTTTCTTGGCCGGGGCAGCGGACTTGGGTTGGTCCTTGGCTTTCTTCGCGGTAGCCGACTTGGGTAGTTGCTTGATAGATTTGGCAGCCTTTGCCGCGTTGGAAGCAATGGCCGCCGCGGTCGTGCCAAATTTGGCAGGGGATCTCGCGAAGTCGGAAAACCCAGAAGGGCGACCGGCTGGTGCAGTGAACTGCCCCTGAAGCGAAGCAAGTGGCTTCAACAAAGATGGGTCCCCTGGGTCCTCGGGGATATACTTCACCCATGCCGAGCTCTCATCGTGAGCAATATAATCGTCTCCCATCTCCCCCTTGAGCCAGGCCTCCAGCGGGAGCTCATGGATCCAACTGGTGCCGGGCATGACCTTCCAGCCACTGTACCAAATGCCCCATGAGACCCAGAGATTCCTCAAGCTCGTGTACGCGTTGCTGTAAATTGTGTGCAAGATGGACCCGCTCAGCACAGAACTCCTGTCACGGAGGAGCTCGGCCAGCCTCCGGCATTCTACCTTGAGCTGGAACACGAACTGGTTAAATGGGCGGGAGGCGCTGCTACTGTCATGCAAGCTCTCGGGCATCAAATGTCCAGGCCGTAATTGCCCAGTGACTCCGGGTCGCACCTCATGCTTCCAGTACCACCGCTCATCCGCGAGTCTCGTGTCGTCCCAGGTGCTGTCCCAGATTCCTTGCTCGATCCACTGGTCTTTGATCGACTTCACGGCGGCGGCGGCATCTGATGCCTTGAAGTACAATCTTGCGGCGTGTTTGACTTGCTGCTTGAACAGCTGGTTGGGGGTCGAGCGTTTCGTTGGCGTCTGGCGATGAGCATGTTTCTCCTAAGGGTGCGCGAATTGATCCGATCTTCTTCTGTTGGCGACCCCGGAGGAAGTGTACGGTCTGAAGAAGGTATTGAAACTGATGAAGATGATGAAGGTGTTGGGGATACGAAGCGAAGCCTGAGCTTCGCTTTTTTCGTAGTTTTCTTATTCTGTTTGGGCGCCATGATACCGTTTCGCGTCAAAGGTGTTGTAGTTTTGAGGTATTGGTAGATTCTAATTGAGTAAAAGAGTTGGCTAATTCATGAGGGGAGAGAAGAAGAGGCTTCGAGGCGGGTCTGTATCGTTTCTTAAGAGCTAGCTGCGTTCTTTGTCCGAAGACGACCACGATTGCCTGTCAAAGGACGATTCGAAAGTCTAAAGGGCCACCTTTTCCAAGAATAGCGCCCGAGAGTGGCGTCCAAGGGTCCTTGTTTGCGGTCCCTCTCCGTTGAGCTCTCATTTATCGTCAAAGAGACTGGCAAGGCCAGAGCCAGGATAAAGCCCGGAAGCCTCATGGCTCTTTATTTCGGTTAACGGTGTCCCAAATTCTCCGTAGCAGATAGTGGAAAGGGGTAAACTAGCAAAGACTGTCTGCCAATATCAGCGTAACCCGTTATTATTCTTCCCCGGTTTCAATCTTATTACTCAAGCTACCTAGTTACTCGCTTCTAATAGTTCTTTGTTTTTTTATCTTGCTCAGCATCCAAGAAACCCAACTAAATGAACCACATCATGTTTCACCTGCAGATCCCTGAGACTCATACGACAAACAAATTTACTCTCAAGATCACGCGCATCCTGCAAAGCAATGTAGCCTTGAAAGACCAGTCGACCTACTAGGTGTAGAGAAACGTTCTATCCAGAAGAATCGATGGCTTGATAGGTACCGCCTTGTCCATTACTGCTCTGAAATCTCACCCACGCCCGCTTCACGTTCAGTCGGCTGCTCGCAACATAAGGTAATCTACAGAAACGGAATCTACGGAGATATCATTATGAAGTCGCTCCAAAAGGGCGAACGATATTCGATTAACCACTACCCTCTAAATCTATCCGTCTAGTCCAGCTCGCCTCACCACGCCGATGAGATAGCACGGTGCATCGAGATGTCGGCGGCAGCGGAGTCGGTCATGGGCAATGAACTCGGTGAGACAGGACATGCGAAGAGGTCACTGGATTCGATCGAGGGCGTGGGTGGTACCGGGCTCGGAAACACCGGCTAATTCGCCAACGGGGGGATTTGATGCCGAGGAGTGGACAACCCTTTGCCGTTGTAAACGGCGACCAGCATTTGGGCGGCAGACGCCCGCTGGTACGGGTCCTCCCTGGCCAACTGTTGTATCGTCGCGAGGAAGGGATCTCCCATGGAGAACATGACGTATCGGTGGATCTCGGTCCGGTGAGCCCCGGTCACCCCTTGGAAGCCGGAATGGTTTGTGGCCCAGAGGAGGGTCACGTATAGAGACCAACAATCCGACTTGCTGGTTGGAATAGCCCCTGTGAAGAGTTCGGGCGCTCTGTATGTCGTGGTCGCTCCGTAGTTGGGTGCCAGGCGGGCCAGGGCCGTCGACCCGAAATCCCCCAGCAGGAAGACAAAGTCCGTCTCCTGCCCGATGACCTTGCGGCGGAAGAGTATGTTCTGGGGTTTAACGTCCCCGTGCACGATTGATTTCGTTTCTAGGAAATCAAGAGCCGCCAGGATCTGTCGGCAGAGTCTAGGGGCAATGTACCCCTTTATCCATTGGCTCTCTGACCCTCGAACGAGGGTCGGTACATCCCCATCCATTAGATCCATCAAAATTTTCACTTTGGGTGGCACTCCATCCAGGGCGGATACAAACCCCCGGAGCTTGACGATGTGTGTCTGTGGGCAGGGGGTTAGCGTTAATCAACACATGGTTTACAGGAAGCGAAGGACTTACATGGTCAATACGGGCCAGAGCTTCAACCTCGCCCTTTGCGGCCTGGTAATGCAGGTCCTTTCCATCCGGTGGAAGGACAATCCTCTTGACAGCCACTAGTCGCGAGTGGTCGACATCGACGGCCTTGAACACCATACCGACACGCCCCTGTCCCAAGAATTCCAGCGCATGGTATCGAATTGTCTGCAGGGGAGCCACGTTGCTCATCCGCGTAGCGATGTAGCTGTTGGTGTGGATGGCAGAGATCCGGCTGGGTAGCCTCGTCTCCGCCCACTGTCCGTTGCCCACCGCCGAGATGGCTGGACGCGCAGAAAGCTTCCGGACGGTGTCTTGGAAGTTGTTCGCCCACTGTATCTCGAACACAAAAAGGTCAGAGTGCTCTCCCCCTAGGCCGAGCAGAGAGTTAACCCCAGGCATCACCACGATCTCCCGGCGATTGCCAGCGAAAGGGTAGGAGCAGTGTGGGTCGCTGTCTCCGACCCTGGTCGATCCGGAGCTGGAGACGTCCTTTAGCGTCACGATCATGTCCTGACGATTGACCGTAAAGATACAGTGCTTCTTCGAGATGCTCGGACTGCTGAGGACTATGTCGCCGTCGCGGCCGATCGTTGCAAGTGTTGCCGGGTCGTCGGTCCCCCGGGGAGGAATATGCCCCACGCCCAGGGCGCCAGATCCGTCTCCCGTCGGCACAAAGTGCACGCGGTTCTGAGGATCGTGGACCGCGGCCTGTGCGTGTTCGTTGCGGCCGATTAGCGCGAAGTACGGGGACGTTGGTAGCGGTCTAGACATTCTGGAAATGGGTTTATTTGTGACTTGGTAAGTCCAGGGGAGTAGTTAAGTGTCACGTTGAGGGAGATTTTGTACGTCTGGTAATAAGACCAGGAAGACAGCAGTTGCAAGGTAAAGAGGAGGAGTCTACGGCCACGAGATGAAGTCCTGGTCAAGTGGGCAAAAACTTTGCTCGTTTACTCTCCTTTCAGCGTTTGTTGCGGGAGGCCGGGCAAAGGGAGCAAGGAACAACTTCTTGGTCTGTCCACTTCGTTTCAACCGCTCTTTGATCTCTATCTCTTCGTTTTATGCCATCTTGGGTCTCTCTAACTGTGCTTTGACACATAAGGGGCATTGGATGAATGGTCCTCGAACAAAGAGAGCAGCCTGCATATACGAAGCGGTGCTCCTGGACTTAAAGCGTGTTTCGTTTCTTTCCACGCCGCCATTTTCCTATTTTTTTTATTTTATTTTATTTTTTATTTTTTTTTTATTTTTCAATTGCTACCTATACAATCTGCTAGCACAGCAATGTCTTATGCTACAACACCTGCCCGAGACCCTCACATCGATGCCTACCGGGAATGGCAAGAGTGTGAAGAGCTCGACCACAAGCTCAAAGACCTCGCCGAGTATCCAGAACGGCTTACATACAGCAGGGCTCGCTTCTGTTACTCTCCTCCTTTGCAATCCCCCACAACGGTCATAGGCTCGCCGACAAACGGCGAACGGATCAACTCGCGCTTAGACGAGAGGCGCCGACTTATCAACAGATACGAGCGTTCGTTGCCCAACAAGCAGTTCCAAGAGCAGGTCGACAAGGCCAAAAGAACTCGGGCCGGGGGAGAGGATGCGGTCGTGGGAGCCGTCAAAGCTGGGTGGGTAAAACAGGGTATCTGGAATAGTAGCTGGGATGAGACCCGGGTGGGTGACACTCGTTGGTATTGGCGGCATGAAGCGCGCCCGGGGCCTGATGGGAGGCAAGTACAGTCTGGCTTTGTGCAGGCACAGGGCCCCGAGGACAGCAACAGCATTTCCCGTCCATTCGCCCAGTTCATCTACCAGCTCCAGGAGGAACTCCAGAAACTTCACGACAGTCGTATCCAATCCTTGTCCCGCGGGGAAATTATACACGACATGTCCACCAAGGCCTATTACAAGGTGAGAAAGGACTGGGAAGAGCGGCAAATCTGGTACAACCGTTGGGGACTACTCCCTGGAGCAACCTGGATCCACGAGCTCCCTCGTGAAGCCTGGCTGAAAGAGGAGATGGGTGAAAACTATTTACGTCTCAACGAGGACGGGGAGTTCATGTACGATGTCCCACCGCGACCAGCACCCGCGACTGATGCGACATTTCACCCGAACCCCGCCGGATGGATTGGAGGACTGCTCAAATCAGCACCAGGGGGGGTGACTGGGTTCTCTCACTTCGCGGGATCCGGCGGCGGGCTCGGTTTTGCGAAGCTGTCCGATCAGAACATGCCGAGTTCTGCCCGTCCGGTGCCCCCTCCCGCTGTCACCGGCGGTCCGACTGCAGACGCGACTCCGGAGGGGTCAATGGGACAACGGGCTCGGCCGAGGATCGTGGAATCTGCAGAGGATCAGGGACATTCTAATGTTCCACGGCCAACAGCAAAGGTCACCAAGGTCTCAAAGAAGCGGTCGGCCCGGGAGCAGGAAGGAGCGTCCAGGGGGGAGCAGAGCCAGCGGCCCCTCCGGAGGAGTCTCCGGCTTCGACAGCTTGCGGCTAAGATGGGGAGGGAGTAGGGAGGATGTGGTGGGAAGTGTGGCCGGACCAACTTGGATCTACGAACGGAGAGGGAGTGGTAGTGGTTTTGGAGTTCGTTGCAATGTAATTAATTATAGAATCGATCACGATGCGGATCCATTCAGCATAGACTGTATAACACCCGCTGAGCTTTCCTTGCTCGTACTCCCACGACCATCCAGAGTATGCAACCGGTGTAGCAGCCAAAGCGATATCAAAGCGTAGGCGTAGACGTCTGTTAGGTCGGCTCCAAACAAGTGTAGTCCAGCTCGGCCGTCTTGGGGTCACCATATCTCCAATCACGCAGGCAAGTGCTCCGAGCTGATCCTACCACTGTCGAGTGCATGAGCCTTTGAATAGTATTTCGGGCAGAGATGGCGATCAAGAGCGATTCATACGAGAAATGAGAGAGGTCGGGGTGAGGAAGATGGTTCGCGGTCAGGTCTGGGGTCAGATTTGTTCGTTAGCATAGCACTCTCGAACCACTGAAGCTACTCACCCACAGTGTCCTCTTCAGACACACCCGCCAGTCGCCATATCATGCCGCTATCGTATCGAAAGCTTTTGTGTGCCTGGGAGAAAACTAGACTTGGAAGCTGGAGCCGGGAGCGGCGGATCCCACCTCCGGCCTCCCACCCTTTCCCAGCCTTCAGTCGCTCTGCAAGGAGAGGCGAGGAGGAGAGAAAACGAGAGGAAGCACGACTTTACTTGGTGGCAATCCGGCCAAGGCTCTGCATCGTTCCCGGGTGACCAGACGCAACCCCTGTTTCTGCCCAATCATTGGTCTCTGTCTGGGTCAAACTGCAGTATGCATGCTTGACAGGGATTGGGGACTGGACGAGAGATCAGAACGGTTTCCCATTTCCCATGAACCTCTGTTTGAGGCTCCATGCAGGCCATGTTTCCAAACTTGTCCCACAGAGGTAATTTCCATCCACACCGGCATCCTATTCGGCCTAACCTTTGCAAGTCTCCTGAACGCCAATGGCGCTTCGATGAGGCAAGACTCACTGGGAACTGTCCTGGCGCCTTTGATGGCAACGACCTGCACTGTTGGTGATCAGTTCCGCCCGTATCAAAATATGGCCCAAAAAAAGGGGGGAGACCTTTCCTCTTGCCTTGCTCATTGGCTTTAGTTTCCGCCCCGTTGACAGCCGTACATGAGCACTCGCTGGCCTCTGTGGTCTCCGCTGCCCATTGACTAGCACAGCGAATCACCTCTCTGTCGCCCCGTTGCGTCTGCTCCCTATCCCGAGCATCCCGTCTTCCGCTCTATCCGAGCACTGGCCAATGACAGGCGGATCTGCTTGTCGCTCTTGGGGCGGGTGACAGCGAAGAAGAATGTGACGCGGATAGCCAGCCCTATCAATCCAAATCCCACAAACAGTGTGGAAGCATACATGCGACGCTTCACCGACAGTTGGAGGTTTCCACCGACAAGATTCCGGCCCAAAGGTCTCATTCTCGATTCGCTTCATGGTCAGCACAATCTGGTCCGTCCGCCTCGCTCTCCGCCGTGTCATGATTATGGTGACTGATTCCTTGCACACAGCTTGCAACATTTGCGAATTGAGTACTGGTCCCTGGTTCACAATCTGCACGCTGACTCTGAGATTTCCTGACGCGAGCCTTGCGTGCCGATTGATCGAGTGAGTGTCTTTTTGGCGCCTTGCTTCGGTTCCTTTGCGACGTCAATCTCGATTCATTTCCCTTATCACCGTACGTCGACGAAGCCATACATGGCACGTCTGGCCTGCTACGATTTGAGGTTCAAGCCACCGCGTTGCCCGCTGTTTCCTCTGTGCCTCGAGGCTTTTACCGAGTGCGACCGTTGTCTGAAGCGTGGGTTAGAGAGATGCCTTCCGTGTGTGTCTTCTTTCGTATTCGATTCACATGCTAATACGTTTCCTTTACGCCTAGGAGCTCACCTTAGGAACATATCGCCATCCGTCCCGAATACGCCGTCTTCCTCGACCCAACGCAACACATACTGCCAATCGCTCACTGATACTATCTGGGAGGAGGGCCGATCAACCTGATTTGTGGTGTTCAGTATAAAGCCTGGCGAACTCATTGTGGGAACGAGAAATCGCATTCCTTCATTCTTGGACCTACGTACTCGGTACATGCTCACTATCGAACTTCCGAGCCGTATTGCAAATGCCAATTGCTGAAAACCTTCCTTGCACATTCCGAGCGCCAACCGGCAGGCGCTCGACTCCCCTGCGTCCATCATGCGTACATGCTCTTCCCTAATCAACCAAGCTCCGTCGCATCGTTTTTGCTATGGATGAGCTGGCCGTTTCGCCGCAAACTGTTTTATACTAAGCTTTCTCCGAAGCGGTGGCTGGGCGGTTGCGCTGCCTGATTTGCTTGGATGGCCTGGACTGGCTGGACCGGTTGACCTGCTTGGTTGCTTGCGTTGCTTGCGTTGCTTGCGTTGCTTGCGTTGCTTGCGTTGCTTGCGTTGCTTGGGCCGCTTGAGTTGACTGGATAGCACGAGTCTTCGCCCGCTCGGCTGGTGGTCTCACGCGTCCTCTGTCGGCTGCAGAAGCGAAGCGTGCTCGCTTCCTCGCATCCTTGATTGTGGCCGAGGGCGCTGAGGCTTCCTTGCTTGGTTGAATGGCATTCAACTGTCCACTGGAGCCGCTGCTGGCTGACGCGGCGGTTGTGGCACCCCGGTCGTGAGTCGTCGTCGACTGGCTACACACTGGTACGCCCTGGGTGGAAGAAGCCGCGTTGGGACGGTTGCGAAACACGATTCTAGTCGAGACTGTCTTCACGCAACGAGCCGTCCTGATTGACGTACGCCGCGAATGTGGCTTTTCAAGGCGTTGGGGATTTCCTGGGACGTGGTAGGAGGCGCTGCCACCCTCTTCCCGCGACTACTCTCTGTTTGGCAGCTGCTCCATCACCATCCTTGGCCCGATTGTCATCTTCAACCTCTTCTCCGTCACAGTCGACGTAGTCACCGCCCATCTGCCTTTGATCCATACCTCCCGGTCATCTCGTGGTTCCACCTCCGGCCCGGCATTATATCCCAATTCTCATTCCAATACCATGTCCTCTCCATCTTCCCTTCGCGATTTCATACACCTCTGTGTTGATGTCCAGGCCTGGCGGTATTTCCAGATCCCTGCAGTATTCCAAGACATTGTCGTGCTCAAGGCTGTGCCGGACCATGAACTAGGTGAAACGTCGCGAGGAGGCATCGTTTGCAGTTTTAAGGACGGCCCCAGTCAAGGGTCGCGAGGCTCCAAAGCCAGCCGCACGGAGGAAAATAAACGAACCGGCGGGCAACGAGGCGTTGTTAGGGTCATTCTGCGCACCCTGCGGAGCATCCTCGCTCTCACTGCCAGCAGTCGCCTCTTGCTGCCACAGCCCAAGAGGCCCGTTGTTCAAGGTCCCCTCGTTCTTCCAGATACCTTGATGCTCCCAGTGCAGCTGAAACGCCATGCGGATATCTTCCATTGGCCGGAGGGGATCCTTTATAAGTTGGGCGCTCAGCTGTCGCTTGGATTGGTACATGGGGAGCGAGGCTCCTCAGAAAGGGTAGTGGCGGAGTCTAGTGTAGATGGTGATTGTAGTTAGGGGCGGGCGAGCTATTGCTGTAGCGGGCCCTCAGCGAGGTCACGTCCTGGGCCAGGTTTGTTGGGTAGTGTACTGTTGAGTTGGACGCATTCATTCTCGAAGGGGCGTAATCGTTGTACATGTAGCTTGCCGGAATCGGATGTAAGACTCGACATCTTGTTGGGCTCTAGGACGGATGTTTGTAGTCAAGTTTCTGTTGATTAGATTGTAGTGGCTGGTTGGGGGTCTGCATTTGAGCTGGCTGGCAAGACTTTGGGTGTTGCGTTGCTTTGGTTGGTGTTTCCAAGAACAGCCTCAGTGTGGAGCGGACTGTGCCTTGGCTGTTAGGTCCCTTGGGTATGATTCTCAGATCAATTAGACTAGAAACGGCGACAGCATCCCAAGTGATACGCACGCAAACAACTCCTTGTCTCCATGGGCTCTCGTTAGACTGGGCACAGGGGAAGAAGAGGTTGCAATTATTGAAGAATACCAGAAGATTAGATGTGTGGCACCTCGAGGTTAAGGTTGGATGTGGACGGAACAGAGTATGTCTTGGAAGTAAAGCCCGCTCTGGGTCTTTCTTCCACGTGCCTTGAACGAAGAAATCACATGATTCGCCTACGTCGGGGGATAAATTAGAAAGTCAGGTAGCCCTTACATGGCCATTACTAGCAAAGGGGAAACACCCAGGGCCCCTGGTACATAAATTTAGATTCCCTGCTACAGTCGACCTTATTTCCTCGAGCATCAAGTTGGAATATGTAGACAATGTCTCCTACACATATTAGACAAGGGTTGCCAGCCATGAGCACAGGTGAGGGTTACTAATGCACCGAGAACACCCAGAAGATATGATTCAGCAGGCCTGAGTCAGACTAGGGTATGGGTTAGCATGTTGATTGGTTTCGCTATGCAGTGTCCCAAGGTCCAGGACAATATTGTGCATCAGACTAGGGCTGAGCAGCCTGATAGAAAGACCACCTCACTAGTCATGGGCGTCTCAATCTTGGTTGTGAATCGTTTCTTGCATGTATTGACCAATCAGGCGGCAAAGATAATCCGTTCCTCCCCCAGATGTACCCATAGATGGTGCCCGAAGACTCATGATTGGCCCTAAGTGAGCCGGATCAGTAATCGTGATTCTTCAGTTGCCCATTAGCAATCAAGCCCCTATATAAGCAAGAGACCCTTCGGCGGCCTGCGTCGCCTCAGAGATGCTGTTTGTGAGACTTTGACAAACACACTACGAATACAACGCATAGGACATCATGTCTCCACTGGATGCCCAACCGAAAGACAAGCGGCCGGCCCCCGAGGCGACAGATCACCCATATACTACAAAAAACGCTGAAACGGGGACGCAGGAACAAAATTCAAGTCAGCATCGACCAGAGCTCTTACCGTGGAAATGGCGTGGAAGTCTGTTCGCCATACTGCTGACGTGTTTAATTCATGGTATGTTTCGCCGGCTCTCCCCTTCTTAAAGCGCCGACCACCACTAACAAACATGGGCCTTTCCCAGGCTACGACGTTAGTAATGTCGCCAATATCCAGCCGCACCTCTACGAAGCGTTCGGAGACATCGAACTGCTACCCTGGATTGCTCTTTCCTACACGTTATCGGTCTTCGCTGTCCTCTCCCTCTCTCGCAAGGTTACGTACTGCTTCGACCTGCGTTCCATCTACATTGCATCTATCGTGATCTTTCTGGCGGGTGCTGCTGTTGGCGGATCCGCTTCCAGCATCTCAGCTGTTATCGTCGGGCGGGTCATTATGGGTGTTGGCGGTGCTATTGTATACCAAACGTACGTTCTCCCTTGGTACTGACTGATCGATGATATATGGATGGGCCAGAACTACGCGTCGGCCATGGAGCTGATACTGATAGCAGAAACCTCACATTCATATCCGTCTTCGCAAGCCCAGCCCAGAACCAACGCCTAATTGGTGCCCTGAGCGGAGCATGGGCTGCTGGTCTAATCGTCGGCGGACCGATCGGTGCTGCGCTTGCTGAGAATCCAGATACAACATGGCGCTGGGCGTTCTATCTCAACCTGCCATGGATGGGCTTAGCACTAGCTATCACTGTCTTCTGTTTTCCTCCAACATATCTAGGTCCCAGCATCCCCTTGACATCTCGAATCCTCCAAGTCGACCCGCTGGGCATCGCATTCAACATGGCAACCCCAGTCCTATTCTCCATCGTCCTAGTTTTCTCAGGTCCCATCTGGGCCTGGGACAGTGGCCCCTCGATAGCGATATGGGTCCTCTTTGGTGTTGTACTCTGCACCTGGATCCTTCAACAGTATCTGTGTATCCTCACAACACCCTCGCAACGTGCGATCCCCGTCCACCTCCTCCCGCGCCTCGACCTAATTCCGCTCTGGATATCCTCCGGCTGCGCGGCTGTAGCATACGCCATCCCGCTGTACTACATCCCGCTCTTCTTCGCTTTCGCGCGGGGGCACGATGCGATACAGCAGACGATCCGTACACTCCCGTTCATCCTCACATTCATCACGACCGTGGTCATCGTCGCCGGCGTCCTCCCAATGGTCGGTCGACGGTATAACCTGTTCTACATCTTCGCCGGCACACTGATAACATCCGGGTCTGCGGCGCTCGCAACAACACTTTCCCGCTCAACGCCCGATTCACACATCCTCGGGTTCTCAGCCCTAATCGGAATCGGTCTTGGCTTCTCGTTCCAGCACGGGATCGGGATCTCGAATACCCTCAATGCAAACGTCAAAGACCGCGTCGATAGCGCGACACTACTCCTCCTCGCGCAAATGGGGGCGATCGCAATTAGTCTCTCGATAGGCGGGTGTATACTCTCAAATGTCGGTGAGGCGAGGTTGGCTTCTGCACTTGAGGGCGTGGGCTTGTCGCGCGAGGAGATCCGGCAGGCGCTTGCGGGGGCGGCGTCGGTGTTAAGAGAGAGGCTGGTCCGTGAAGGCGAGGAGGAGGTTTTTGGAAGGGCCGTGGAAGCTGTTGCGGGGGTGCTGGCGTTGGAGTTTTGGCTTGTTGTTGCGGCGGGAGGGGTTTGTGTGCTTTGTGGGGTTGCGATGGGGCTGGAGAGGCGTAGGGTTCCAGGTGTCAAGGTCGGTGCTACCTGAGGATGCTCAGCTGGATTTGATAGATAGATATAGTCAGTATCTCCCGGAATTCTAGGCTCAATGGGACCGGGAACAGGGACCCGTCGCATCGGAGTGATTTGTCCCAAGTGGATTGATATTTCAAGTTTTATATCTGGGAGGGCATCAAGCCTAGTTCACAGTCGTTGTGTCTACATCTTGATCTCTATGTGTATTAACGACCATCTGCCCAAAACTGACATACAAAACCAGCTAAACTAGCCGAGCCTACCATGGCACCTATCTTGGTATTGTGATGTTAGACTACACTCATGGCCGCACTAAAGATCTTTTGTCCTTTTGCCCCAAGGTCGAATGATTGAGGCGCGAAAACCGCTAAGGCTTTGATGCTTTATGCATCTGACAAGGCCCTTGTGTACATATACAATGCAGTCCTTTCAAAAGGTTCTAAGCCGCACAAAGTACAAAGGGACACGCGGGAAAGAGCCATTGTCCTTTGCACCATAGAGATACAAAGGATGATATATACAGGAACCGCATGCGTTCAGAATATAAATAGGACATCGACGCCCGCTCATCTTAGACCCCATCACGCCTCTCCAGATCCCGCACTGCCAACCTCCTCAGCTCGTTCTGAGGATTCCCTGATCAGCACATCTCCACTCCTACTAACAGATCAAGAAACAGATTAACAAACACCAAAGATGCCTTCTGACCAAAGAGCCACCACCCCAAAGGGCAAGGCGAAACAAGACCGCGTGCCCGCGCTGAAAAACCCGTCCGTCGAATCCCGCCTGGGCGAATCCAGCACGGCGTCGAAGAACAAGCCCAAATGGTATCAAAAAGTCCTCGACTTCGCCAAACGCAAACCACCCGCCGACCGGCGCCCCGACGAAAACTGCACCCTGTACATCGGCAGACCAACGGAAAAGGCCCGCGTGGATTTCCGCCCCGGATTCGGGCCCTACGTCATCATCCTGCACGGCGAGGTCAGCAAGTGCTGCGAGTGGTGGTACCTGGCCGACCATGAGATCCCGCGTGATGAGGACCGCAAACGGTGCGATAAGATTCAGCTCCCTGAGCTGAAGATCGTGTACGAGTGGGGGAAGTCGGAGCAATTCACGTGCGGTAAGCGGATACATCTCATGATCTGCTGGTCCATGGCCGTATCCTTGATCTCTGTCATGCCGGCAAGTCACGCCAGTTCGATCATCGCAGTTATTCGGTTAGATGGAAGTTCTTCGCCAAGATTGAACTGGCCCAGGTATAGCCACTGAAGCAGGAATTCGAAGCCGCGGTTGGTAATCACTAGGGACGTCGCCCAGCTCCGCCGACTGCTCTTCAGCCTCTTTGAGCTTGCCCCGGAACATCGCACGGAAGCAAGGCGAATGGTGAGAGAGAATAGTCTTAGAGACATTGTATGTTTCGGCTCCGATGCGGATAATGACGACTGGGCTGGGATAAAGTGACATCTGACTGATTTGGAGACATAGTATTAGCCACGAACTCTGATGGAGATGGGAATATAAGCCCGCATACGTACCACTTTGCGAATTCTTCATACGACGCGTTGCGTACGTCGTCAGGCTTGTCTGGTTGACATCTCGGCATCCAGGAAGCAGAAGTCTCAGTAAGCGTATAATAGAACATGAGGAAGCCTGGCTGATAATGTTCAGAGTGTTGCTGGATCAGCTTCGTACGTTTGCGCCAAGAAGATCGTGGTGACAGCCCTGTGTTACTTGTACATCTGCAGTGGGGCGGAGGAGCAGACCCTGAGCGCCGTCTAGGATGGGTTGACTGGTTTGCACAGTCCTAATTATCTATCTTGTAGCCATAATTCATGTCTGGAGCTTTAGTCGTCGCCTGAGGCAACGAGGGATGTGAACGACTCTATGGTACGACGCGTCAAGCATACACGCAGGCCTTGAGAACTAAGCAAACCACCAGATCCCCGCTATATATACACGTGCTATAGCCAGAATCCAGCTAAAGCTTCGCCTTCTCGCTGCTTCCTTCCCCCGCCTCCAACACAAGCTTCACAACATCCCCCGCAACCCCCCACGAAAGCTCATACCCCCTCCCGGCCGCACCATACCCATGCACAATCCTCCTCCCCTTTTCTGCCCTCCCAGGACCCCCAACTGCAACATGCTCAACCTCAATCCTCATCCCGCCCTCCCTCGCCGGCCTCCGTCCAACAATATCCCTTACAACATCAAACTCCCCCTTACTTTCCTCAGTAAACGGGAACCATTTCTTTGCGTTGCGTAGGAGCGTCTCGCGGACGGCGAGAGAGGGGTTCGGGTCCCAGTCGTGCGGACCCTTTGTGCCCCCGATTATTGTTCCGCCGTCGAGCGGGCGCGGGATCGAGAAGGACCAGGTTCCGTCGGTGTTTTGGCGGGTCAATGTGGTGGTGGTGGGGTTGCGGACGAGACAGGTTTGGCCTGTTCACTTTATCAGAAACATTCCTGAGAAGGGAAAGGAGGAAGAGGGGCCGGAGGGAGGAAAGGAAGGATGGAAAGGAATGACAAACGCACCTCGAATGATGAAGCTTTTTTCATCCCCAAACCCCACCCCAGAACAATTAACAACAGTCCGCACATTCTCGCCGAGATAGAACGCCTCGCGCGGATCCGCAAGCGTATACTCCCTCGTCCGCCCACCAAGCAAGATGAACCTGCGCAGCAAATACGCCAGATAGACCGGCGAATTGACTACAAACGTCTCGTATCGAACCCCCCACACAACCCCCTCCGGCAACTCGCTCTTCTCCAGAAACCGAAACCCATCGAGGTGCCCGTAGTACGTCTCGATAGCCTTCTGGTCGCGATACTCCGCCGGTGGGTTCTCGAGATGTTCGATCCCCTCGACCTTTGCAATCCCGGAGGCGGGATCCTGGGAGGCGGTTTTGAAGTACGCGTATGTAGCCTGTGCCTGCGATTCTTCGCGGAGGGATTGGGCGGTTTTTCCGGGGACGGGGCGGTAGTGGGCGCCGGCCCAGGGGGAGGCGTAGTTGAGGGATGTGGTGGTGGGCCAGTCGCGGGCGACGAGGAGGATTGATTTGGTAGTGTTTTTCGGGAGGGATTGTTGGAGGCGCAGGGCTGTTGTGAGGCCGATTACGCCGGCGCTGGGTGGATGTTAGCTTGTGTATATTGGTTGTAAATGTGGGTGGGGGGCTTACCCGATGACGACGATGGCTTCCGTTTCTGGCATTTTGAAATCCTAAAATGTAATTGATATTGATATGGCGACTGTTGATGAACGTTGGTGCGTTGGAGTAGGTGAGGGGAACGCGGGCCTATTTTATTTCGTCCCCGCAAGGCAGATTAGATTAGCTGCCGAATCTCGGCCGTGACTCAGAGTTGGAGATGGATGCCGATAATGACGGGCGGCGGACAAGCTTTCAGGTTATCGGCTGTTTTGTCCGGAACACGAATGTAACCACCGACGCATCTGCCTCGTATTGTTGGAGATCGGCGGCAAGGCGTCATTCGAGATCGTATGATGTTGTTAATAGCTAGAATTGGAGAGGCTACGAAAGAAAGGTTCCCGAAGGACATTAAGTGGAGGATATTCATCAGAGTCTCATTATTGCGATTCGGTCCGGCCAGCGGACAGCCTTGTGAGCCTGCCTGGCTTCTGTGCGCCCGGCCATCGCTCAGCCACCACAACGCTGCGCCGACTACGACTGCCCAGCTATCTATCCTCTTGAGTCTGCCAGGCTAAGCAAAAACACTCTTGGCGAAACTCGGGCGCTGCCACAAAAAACGGGCGGTTTGTTTCATTCCGATTCGTCTCTGATGGGCCAGGCCGAACCAATCTGCAACCCATCCGATGACGGCAAAATCGCCATCGACCTGAACTGCGACGATCTGCAGGGGTGGGAGGCAACATCGGCGAGACGGCGCGGGATGCTGCGGGGAAAAATGTCATCGCGACGCCCATCGCTTAGTCCATCGCGTCGGGCAGTTTCTCAATCGTGAACTTCCCGCGGGCGACCTTCATGATCGGCACACCGGGGATCTTGCGGAGTCGGCGGCAGAGGTCTTTATCGTTTGTTCCGACGATGTAGATGCGGTGTTTGGAGACCTATTTCATTCCCGTTAGTCGGAGGTTCTTTCAGATTCGCGTCGGCTTGAGAAAGGGTGGACTTGACTTACCCTGTCGACGAGACAGTCATCGGCGTAGGTGCCCTTGTGGTCGCACTTGACACGCTCCCACCTCGGATCCTTTGCAACCCGCAACGCAAGCCGGTATTTATCGCCCAACTTTTCCAACTCGGCAATCGTGCAGTCCGTAAACGTGGGGATACACTTAGCATATAACCTGCATAGCACAGCAAGAAAGGCATCAGCGATCCATTCCTTCCAATTCCAATTCCTCAACTCAGAAACCAAGTTATCACTCACAAATCCATCATAGCAGGCAACAAATCGAGTTTCGCGCGGATAGCATGAGAGACAAAATTGGTATCGACAAGGACGCGGTATGGCGGACCGAGCGCGGTATTCGCAGCGAAGAACATGTTCGTCGGGGCAGCCTGGATGTGGCGTGTGATTTCCTCGTCGGGCTTTGGTTTGGGCTTCTCGGGGGCTTTCTTGAGGCGTTCGTCGCGGGCCTTGATTGTGCGCTTCATCTGTTGAGATCGGTGGTGTTAGTGCTGGCACTGGGAGTGGAGTTTGAGGAATGGAGGGAAGGGACGGGGGAAGACTGACCTGCGCGAACTTCTTGGTTTTCTTCGCGATACCCATTTCGGCGGTTTGATGGGTGATGAGGAGTGAGGTCTTGAGCTGAGCGTTGAGCGAAATGTTTTGGTGATAGGAGCAGTCTTGGATCAAAAAAATTGTCGGCCCGCGGATTCACCGCCGGAGGTTTAGTCACGTGGAAGGATGTGCACACAAATACATAAACCTAAATTGGGAAGGCAGAGCCATGCATAAACTGTATAACTCTGGCTTGCTCTTGACTTTGTCTTTCTGTCTTGACACATGCTTGATAAAATCCAACAATCCACCCAAGCATCTAGGTATCTCTCCGCGCCGCGAAACGAATTTAAAGACTCCCCTCCAGCTTCTTAATGACCAAATTCTCTCGAATCCTCTGCACATCCGCCTCGTCAAATCCCAGACTCTGTACGTATCCGACCGCCCCGCCATGATTCTCATCGAGCGCCTTCAGGAACCCCGTCATTCCCGCAGCATGCACGCCCCAGAGGACTAGGAGAACGGGATTATCCCACGCAGATTTCCCGTAAAGACTCTCCATCGCGGCGAGGAGTGCCGGCCGCCCGGGCTCGAGGCCGACGCGCGTCAGCGTAAAGTCGTGGATGATCGCTTCGTCGGAGCTCCCTGCGAGTCGGTGGATGAGGGCTGCAAGGACGCCTGTGCGGTCTTTTCCAGCTATAGCAACTGATTAGTTCGTGCGCCGCTGGGAGATCAGAAATGGGGACGTGGTCGACAAACCAGAGCAGTGAAACAAAAACCCCTTCTCGGGCTCATCGCGAATATGTTCAAAAACCGCCCTATACACCGGCGCATGCGAGACCAGATAACTCAAATACATATCAACGAGCCGCTCCGTCGAGCGCTCCGGATCTGGAACGGGCTCCGTCGCCGAAACAGGCGGCTTCCCCTCCAGCGTATCTGGGATCCAGATTACCTCGACGCCATCGATAACAGGACTCGGTTTCTTTGTCCGCTCATCGGGGCGGCGCAAATCGTAGATCTTTTTGATACCCAGCGTTGTGAGCGCTGTCGCGCCGCCGTCGGGGAGCTCGGAGAGCGGGGCAGCGGAGCGGTAGGCGAAGCCCGGCCGGAGGACGGGGGGAAAAGTTGAGGAGGGCGTTGTTGCGCTGCTAATGTCGCGGAGGTTGAAGATGCCGGGGACGGTGACGAAGGGGGCTTGCGAGACGATTTCGGCGACGATGTCTGCGGGGAGGGCAGCTTTGATGTCGGTTTCGACGAGGGTTTGCAGGTCGTAGGTGGCCATGTTGATGATACTTGGTTTCTGTGTCCGGCTGGATTAGGAGAGTGAGACTCGCTCGGTACTTGTACTAGCTGTGCGAAATGCAAACCCTGCGTCCGTTGCGCAGCGGCAGCGCATCTCGCAGCTCGCAGGACGCAGACGCAGTTAAATGCAGGGAAGATCAAGGCCTCGGCCTGGACAGCCAGGTGGGGTTCGGCCTCGTATCGCCCGTGCGTTGCGCCGCGTCGCACGGCGCTAGCTTCACATGGCTGCCTCCACAGCAGCAGCTCCTCCGCGGCGGCCACCCGGCGACTGGGCAACTGTAGATCGCCCGAAGAGGTAATCTCGTATAGGGCTGACAAATATAGTGTTATCTGAGACAGAGCGCGGGCCGATATCCATTATTACGATTGTGAGTGATGTCTTTGCGGGCTGATAGGTTTGGTTTCGTTGAAGTGGGCTTTGGGGTAGATTTGTAGAGGAGTTCGAGACGAGCTGTTCGGCCAAGCCTTCTTGGCTGCGATGGATATGCGTGGTAAGGCACGGATACGAGCGTTGGGGTGTTTCAGACTGAGTACTTTTGGCACTGCCGGCAGATGTCGCGTGGCCAGGGATGCGGCGAGTTCGGAGGAATAGGGCTCCGATTACCAGATACGAAGTACCATTTGCCCTTTGGAGAGTATGCTCCGGATATCGCGTTGGGTTAATTCTCCGGGCGATCTTGGCTCTTCTTTCCTCCGATGAGATTCTAGTAGCTTTTGCTCACTGAGCTGACGTTGAGGGGATGACTCAGACCCAGGCCCAGGTCACGGCCCCCAAGGCTGGGATACCTACTTCCATGCTTCTCCAGGGTGGAAGGAAGCCTATGCAGGGCCATACCAAAAGCGATTCAACAGGAGAAGAGAAATTTTATTCCCAGATCTGCCTCTGCTCAGACCACGCACACTGCGCAGCAGCTTTCTATCACCTGCCTCATATACCCCGCAGGTACATTTACTCCGTCTTCTTCCCAACCATCCCACCCCCCCTCAACCCACCCCAACTAACCAAACACACAACCCCCATAGCCGCAAACATCAACCAATACGCCGCGCGATAGCCCACCAGGATTCCCTCCTCCTGTGTCTTGGTATTCGAATGCTCCGTAACCGACGCCGCAATCGCCGCACTAACCGCCAACCCCACGGAATTGCCCACCTGCGAGACAGAGTTGAACACGGCGCCTGCGAGCGCTTGGTTCTGGCCTGGGTAGGCGCGCGATATTATTAGGTTGGACACTGTGAAGAGGACTACGCCCGCAATCTCTGTTAGTTTCTGCGCGTCTATCGTCTGTTCGCTTGAGGTGGAATGGGAAATGGGTAGTAGGGTGATAGAGAAGGAAAGGAAACGGACCATCCGCATGCACCGGACTAAGCGCCATAGCCACAAACGGCCCGCGCCAGTATCCCCAGTCGGGGTTGACAAGGGCCATTAGTAGCGGCGAGACCGTGCTGATGACCCCCGAGACGAAGACCAGTATCCCGACTGTGACTTTGTCGACCATGTACCCTGTGAAGATGTTGGTTGCCGCGCCCATTATCACCATGGGGATGAACATGAGCGAGGAGTGGAGGGCTGTGTTGTGTTGGATTTCTTGGAAGCTGATTCGCATTCTTTGTTAGCTGGCGGCGTAGGTAGGCAGGTTGGTGGGTAGGTAAAATCGCCCCAGGGAGGGTTGGACGTACTATAGACTCGTGAAATACTGCAACGCATTCAACTCGGCCCAAGCGAAGAAGACGATGATGCACGTTGCGCTGAAGACGGTATTCTTCCAAAGACTATTCGGGATGAGTGCGGGTCGTCCATGGCGCTCTTGGTATCCAACCCAGGCGACGAAGACGGGGAGGAGGATGAGTGCGATCGCCAGCAGGACGATAATGTATGTATCCCCGAGGCTGTGGTAGCTTTCTGTGATTTGCCTGGGATTGGTGTTAGCTGGTTGAGTTGATATAGGAGGGTGTGACAGGGAGGGGGGTGAGCGCACGCAAGAACAAACGATAGCAACGCCAGCGAAACACTGATAATCGGCGCCCCAACCCAGTCGATCTTCTTCAACCCGCTGGCCAACGACTCCCCAGCCGCCCTGGGCTTTTCCGCAGGCAAACTCCAAAACGCAAGAACAGACAGCGCCGCATTAATGATCGCACTGATATAATACCCAAACCGCCACCCAATCGAATCCGCAAAGAACCCCCCAAGAATCAAACCGACCGAATACCCGAGCGGCTGGCCCATGCCCATGGCCGCAAAGCCCAGATTCCGCTGCCGTCCCGGTGGAAACGTCCGTGTCATCAGACTCACCGCGCAGGGGAGACACATTGCGATTGAGATTCCGAGCAGTGTGCGGAACGCGATGAGCTGGTTCCCCGTACGCGCAAGACCACAGGCCAGCGTGAACACCGCGAAGAGGATGCTGCCAGTCAGCCACATGCGCTTGTCGCCGAGGACGTCGGCAATGGCTCCGAAGATTAGCAGCGTGCAGCCGGCGGCGAGGGCGTAGACGGCTGCGGGCCAGAGGATCAGATCGCGGCTAAGCCCGAGGTCCGCGGACATGGCGGGGAGGGCGACGGTCAAAATGCCGGAGCCCATTGTGTTGAGGAAGCTGACGCCCGTTAGGGCGATTACGGCTGTGATTGCTTGGGCATTGCTTAGGGAGTGTGGTTGGGTGGTGGTGGGTTCGGGGTCGGGATCTGAAATTGAGAGGGCATTTTTGGGAGGTGCTCTGCTGGTTTCGGCGCGTGTTTCGATCACGCTGGTCTGTGACATTGTTGTCGGTTGCCGGTTGTTGGTTGTGGGTTGGGGTCGGAGTTTGGGGTTTGAAGATGGAGGACCGGGGTATATAAATGGACGATGTCACTGACAAGGCGTATTCTCCAATGAGAGTTCGTCAGCAGCGGCGGAAGAGTTCCGCCGGCAAGAATGCAACGTCAAGAATCTTTGTTTGTCAGCTAGTAGCCCCCACCCCCCCTTAGCCCTCTATGCCAAGAACGGTAAAGTACGGAGTATGTATCCCTTTGTTCCACTATGTCAGCCCAATCGCTGACTGTCAAGGTGCAACACAATATTCTGGGACGATCCCACGAACGGATTGTTCTGTATCTTCAAATTACCATACACTTTGCTCGCCAATAGTAATCCGACAGCCTGATCAGATGCCCGGCCCGGCCCATTCGATGCGCAAAATCGCCGGCAATTGATACCTCCCACAGGCGGCGGCGATCCGTCTCTGGGCTTTATCTTGGCTTTCAGAAATTGGCGATCGCACGCTAGGAACCAATCCCAGTCACAATGATGTCCAGGGTATCAGTGTCATACCCCCGCCAATAACTCTTGCTGATATCTAAGTTTCGGGTTGTTGGTCAGGCCATTGTGCTGGTATGCTGACTCTCCGTCCAACGCACGAACCGGCAGCGAGACCTCATTGAGGTCCTTGAGCCGGGAATGTCCAATGCAGACGTGTATGGCTTTTGAAGCGACCCCATGCTCTTTGTACACTTAAGAAACAGAACACGCGAGGTGCGCAAGTTTTGATGAAGCTAGCAGTCGGTATAGAGCTGGAATAGGCTGGTGACCAGATTCTGTGAGAGTCGGGGCCGGTCATTCCAGCTGGGAAAGACCATCTCTGCACTGAGCTACGAAATGACCAGGCCATAGAGGCCCCAGCCAGCTTAGGCTCATCGTCTTGACATCAGGAACAAGTCGGTACCCTTCCAGGCAGCTGCTGAATAGATAACTGGCGCTCAGGTCTAGTCGGGCCCGGTGCTTCCATTTCGCAATGACCTCAATACGATCGTTCGAGATGCGCACAAGGCACGGATGTAAAGATGTCAAGTCACCCGAAACGGCGTGAACCGCAAGCCACTCGTGCATCCAAGCCACAGCTGCCAGATTCCATCTTCACGATGCTGCTTTATGGTCAGCCTCGTTGTATTAGCGCCCTCAGCAGCTGCCGGAACTTCTTCGAGTCACCGATTTCGTAGAAGGTACATTGGCCATCGGGACGAAGAGCGCACTGTCCGAACGTGAGCGGGTTGCCTGACGCACAGGCCCTGTCGCATAGCACTTACTAATGAGAACAAGCCCTAACTAACGGTCACCTGTACTTTGTGCTAGTCAGCCCATGAGGATGAAACGACACAGCCCTGCCCCTCCATGATTACGAAAACCAGAATAGGAAGGTGCAAGTGCGAGTCTGGAGTGTTGGTCGTGCCTTCCTTTTCTAGCATGTTGTGGCTGTCGTGGCCAAGGAAGGAACGACCGGGGACCGCACCTGCCTAATTGAAATAGGAAGGGACGACTAGGCCCGGCTGGGCTGTCGGGCTGCACCTTCCTTCTGAACTACATGGGGAGTACATCCGCCAAAGGGGGCTATCAACACACCCGGCCAGTGCTCATGCTCTACTTCAGTTCATACCAACCTCCGTCAAGAGTTTAGTCATCCTGATGATAGCATCACTCCTCATCAACGTATACGCGCCCCCTCACTGGATTGCCATACTTCGGACACGGCCTGCTTTGCGATTCAGCAATATTACTTCTGCTCTCTTCGATCCGGTGGTCCTAGTCCATGGACATGTCAACAGAAGATTGTCATATTCGTACTACTCAGATCTGAAGAGATCCTATCAGCGTTAGACGACACATATCACTGGTCCCACGATGATTCTTCATATGCAACGGCTCTGGAAAGTGATATCTCATTTTCTCTCGCCACCCACAAAGCTTGAGCTTACAATCGCCCCCTGAAACCGTCCTCTGCAATCTTCAACACCGGCCCGAGATTCTCCTCCTGCACCCTTTCCCACAGCGATCCCTTTCCAGCCTTCACCCCCCGCTGCTCCTCTTGTCGAAACCACTCCTCGACACTGCGAACCCGGCCCGGGTGGATCTTATCCAGCAAGGCATAATCCCGTCGTACAACCCCTTTGTTCCCACCAGAGTGTTTCCACAGATTCCAGAATCCAGTAAAGTTTTGCCGGTTCGTCATGGCAGCTGGATCCTTAGCATCGGCGTTGTATCCAGTGATTCTGTCGCCGCCTGGGGCTACACCCCGATTGCTTGACCAATAGGTATCGAGGTCCACATCAACGAAGCGTGCAGGATGACCCGTCACCTTTTCAAACGCACGTGCCAACTCTTCATAGCGGACATGCTCAATCGCGACCGCGAGATTCAGCCCATTCGCTTCCTGTGGGTTCTCAAAGAGCCACCGCACATACACGCCACAATCCTGCAGACACACGTGCGGTACGGCGCCTTGTCCAAGGGGAACAGCCCAAGTAACCACTCCATCCTTATCAACATACGGTGTCATAGGTGTCCGCTGTCCAATAACCATATCAATATACGGCCCCGTCGTGAACAGAGCAGCCCTCATCCTCCCCTGATTCTTCTGATTCTGGAAAAGAATCCACTCCCCAATCCTCCCCTTCCCATCATAATGCCCGCACCGGAACTTTGCGTCATACCCGCCGAGCTGATACCCAAAATCCAGATTCCCATAGACGAAGAACTTGATCCCTTCTTCGAGCGCAAGCTCGTATGCCCGGATCGCCCAGTACGTCTCCGTCTTCTCGCCGGTGTTGAACCCGTCGATGTTGACGAATGCGCCGTCGCAGCCGCGGAAGCCGTTGCGGAGGTCGGATTGGTTTGCAAACGTGCCCGAGACGAGCTCGACGTTCCCGAGGGCGAGGAGCTCTTGTGCGCGGGGGGAGCTGGTGTCTCGCGTTAGGATTCGGCAGTGGTATTTCTTGTCCGATACCAGGCTTTTCACGATGGGCATGCCTTGGGCGCCTGTGCCGCCGACGATGAAGATTTTCTGGGGCATTCTGAGTTGATTGAGGGATAAAGCGCTGGAGGGGGTGTAAAAGATAAAATGTTTATAACGGGTGTCTGGACTGCCGATGTAGGACTCGAGACGTGATCTCCCAGGGTTATTTATACCTTGGAACGGACCACTAAATAGCTAGAACGGACCCCCCGTTCTCAGATCTCCCCCCGTTATTTCTAACCCGCGGTGAATATCGTCAGCAGCCTCGGGCTGAGATAATTGATTTATAAACGACCGTCAAATACTGATGAGTCAACGACAATAACAGGTCGGTCGGTCGACGTGATTGGTCCCGACGCGGGAATTATTGATGAGTGAGCGGAAAACCACGACACCACCCGCCTATCCAAGGAATCCCGGGACAAGAGATCGCGCTGTTTATTCAAGAAAGAACGCCGCTAGTAAGAATCAGTAGGGGCTCTAGATTGCATGCGTGGGGATTTGTCGGGGACTTTATAAACGCAGTAGCGTTCGTCATATGATACTCTATCAACTAACGGCAGGCAACGGTCTCAGCTATCGTTGATGATAGCGCGGTAGCTTTTGAGGAGCTCCGGAGATATATTCCGCCGTCTCAACTGGTAGAGGGATCGATGCTGGACTGGACAAAACCATGTCAGTTACTATATGAGCTGCCACTGGTATGCGACAGGCGCGATCAAGTAGAGAGCTGGATCCAAAAATGATTGTCTTATTCTCCATTCGATGCTCCCGGATATAGGAACGGTTTTGTGATAGGAAAAGTAGTGACTATGTATATGCTGGTTCACTTATTCCATCCCACAATGATGCGGCGTGATTGGTTCCGACTACCTTCGTGCTTCACCAAATGCGGGGGTTTGCGTTCGGGCCTGACTGGGCCTTGTTCCTTGTATTCGCCCACCGGGGCCTCTGAGACGAGCGTGGACCTCGGCAATGTGGGCATAGAACGTGGTGAGAGCATCCACTTCTCCCGGTCATGCCTTGTTCTACTTCTGGATTCACGCCCGGTCGAAAGCAGAACTAGATAGTTAAGAATCATGGTAAGCGGGAGTGGGAATGGTGAAGAGGTTTGCACAACGTTGGGTTTGGGAATGACGTCCTTCGCTCACTCCGTCCCGACCCTAAGCCGAAGCCAAACCGAGCCGGCCGGATTGCCAGATTCCTAACCCTACGGAGATCGTACGTGTCGTTTCTGATAGTTCTCATGAACCCATGTGAAGATAGCACGGCATGATAGGGCCCAATGCTTTCTTCGCCGTGATCGAGCCCCTAGTTCGAACGGATTCCCAGACTTCGCATATCATTACTCCGAAAACGCCCCTCACTAACCCCTGGCCATGTGTCTTGTGCTTTACCTCGTTCTTACGACCATTAGTAGGCCTTTGGCATGTGTTGTCTAGTAACTAGTCCTGTTTCTGCCTGGCTGAATCTCCCTCCTACCCTCCAGCTTCTGCTAAGGGAGCACGCCCTTAGACTTATATATCCTGCTCGCTCCTTTCTACCTAGGTAGCGCGTCGTTTTCCCCCCCTCTACCCAAGAGTAGATAGCTTCTAGTATTGCGGACAGAAATTCAAGGTCGTTTTGGTGACCCACAATGAAGCGGAAGAATGTGTTAGGGTACCATGTCCGTCCGCTGCTCAATGCATGACTCTATGTATACCGTACGTTGTCCTCTCCTCGGGACTAGGGATGGTTTACGCCTCGTACACCACTGGAGAGACATCCACTGCAGTGGTTCAGGGTATCAGCTTTCTCTCCGTCGACTCCCTTAAGTATTCTATTGGTACAGTCCGAGCTGTCGAGGTGGAATTGTGGAAAGAGGCGCATGGATGCATCGCGTCGCAGCCCCGGTATACTCTGTACTTTAACCAAGATTATAGGACGGCCGTCATTAAGCAGTAACCCATATAAATATCTGTCGCAGCCAATAAAGCAAGGGCAGAGACAACAAGGCTTTTGGGCGGGACAGGGCGGCGATGCCGAGAGCATATTCCCTGTCGATCAACTCGTTTACCCTTGGTGACAGACAAAGAGTCGGAGGGTTTTACGCAATGTGTGAACGTGAGGTGAGGATATCGCCCCTAGCTGATAAAACCAGGAATTGCTTTGTCTCTCGTGTGAATCTGCGACATAAACGGTAGTTATGCTTGCCTGGAGAAAGGGCGAAGATGAAGCGGATCGAGCCGAAAGGCACGAATTCAGCCGACCTGACGATCACGTACGTCATCATGGGGGCCGGAGAGGAGGTGCAAAATCAGAATCACAGTGCAAAAGTCAAGCGGGAACTTGGGAGCCACTATCAATTCTTGTGGGGAATGCTTCAGTTCCAGTCAGTACAGGGGAACTGTGAATGTCAAGAGTTGGAGTCAAGTCCGGCCGCATAGACTGCGATCAGTAACATACCAGCAACGTTGGATGATGCAGACGGCTACAGATACAAGGGCAGGTCGTGACGAATCAACCGTGCTAATCAGGCCATGCGCCATTCATGATTTATTGTATTTGGTCGCCGCAGGATCCCTCAGTCGGTGTATCCGAAGGAGTTTCATCAGATGCTCCCGGCCATCATACCCCGTGTCCCGTACTGCGTACATTGACTCCTCAAACGCCGATCAAGCAACACCGCGCAACGCCCAGCCCAGCAAGCACCGGGGTCCCCGAAGCTCAGCCAGCGCCGACACAACCAAAGCCTTGCTACAAGCCTGCAACTGGCCGATGATCAACACGCACATGACAAGGCACAATTCATCAAGAGCAATGAAAGGGGATCGAGCATCTTGGCAGACGTCGGATGTTGGGGGCTGGATCGGAAATGGCCCCCATGGGGCGGCACATGCGGGATCCACTTCTCCAGCTCAAGCTTGAGGAATCGCGTCTGCAGGAGAGGATGGAGGATGCGACTCAGTATCCAGGTTGCATTCGGGGACGCGTTGACATCACAGTGGTGATCAGCTTTGGGAGTATCATGTTATCGACAACAACAGATGGGCCAGGGCATGTGGTCAAGAAAGATATAAAAGAGCCCTCAGACCTGGGTCTTGATCTTCTTTCATCACCTTCGCCCTCCAGCAATCAACTCCAGTCACAGTCCAATCTCAAATCAATTCCACTTCCACTTCCTCTTCCACTTCCATATCAACCGCAACCATGCGCTTCCAACAAACTCTCACCCTCCTCCCCTTCCTAGTCGCGCCCCTCGTCCGCGCCGACTGTCAACTCGGCAACGTGATAACGGACGACGAGAAGACCGTCGAATCCGAAGGGGCCCTCTGCAAGCCCCAAGGCGAAGGCTACTACACCTTCGCAATGCAAAACAGCCTCGTCGGAGTACCCACCTTCGACGGCGACAACGCCTTTGCCGGCGTAACGGGCTCGAGCGCATTCATCATCTACGACAACGCGTGCAACCGCGTCGGCGTGTATGGCCCCTCGAACGAGGACAACGATTGCGGGATCCCTTATGTTATTATGGAGAATTGGCTGCCGTATGTTCTTACGGTTACACAGGTAAATTTTGCAGTGGGAGGGGGGGATTTCACGTTTAGTTATGCGAATGGGGAGTATATGATTGGGGAGAATCAGGCGACGTGTGAGGATATTAGTGAGGGGCTGCGTGGGGTTGAGGCGTGCAAGACTGCCTTCCCGCTCAATGGGGAGCCGGAATAGACGAAGATTTGGATTGGGTTGGAGATGGGGATGAACTCGCTAAGGGTGGAAGTGGGTTGTATTTGAAGAGGGAATTACGCTGTGGCATGTACCTAGAAGTCCGCACCACCTGCTTTGCTTCATATTGTCTTGTAAGGTATTGTTTCTATCACAGTTTTCCATACCGCAAGTAAGGAGTTATAACAACCGTATTTCAGCTCGACAGTTTCAGCACAGGAAAATTCAAGGACTAACTATCTATACCTTGCCCAAAAGTCGCAGATTCAACACTCCTGATAACCCAGGGGCGAAGGGGATGGTGGTCGGAAGATGGTAAGACGTGTATAACTTAGAAGAAATTGGCGGTGACGTTGCCGTAATGAGCAAGATTAGTAGTATAACTAGTGTCTATAAAGTCTATCAAAAAGAATAATTTAGACGCCTACCACGTTCGTCCCCCCACAATGACGTTGATTCAAACCTCCTCTGCCAAATCCTCCGCCACAAGATGCGCCTCGCCCAGAACCCCCTTGACAACCAGAACCAGATCATCCACACTCCCAAGAAAGCGTATATACGCCGCAAGGGCCACACAGTACCCCCGATACTCCTCATCGCGAAGCATCTCCGTGCTGAGCAGGTATCCCGCCTGGTTCTTGTTCTGGAAACTCCGTCCGTAGTCGAGAGCTCGGCGGACGAGCGGGGTGGGCAGGATCTCCGGCGGCGCGTCGCCAGTCCGCAGGGACTGTTCGCAGATCCCGAGCACGGCCATTATCTCGCCGATACAGCGGTGGTCGAGGAAGCCGGTCATTTGTGCGAGGCGCGTGCGGTATTCTGGAGATAAGGTGGAGGAGGCGACCAGAAGCCGAGCGAGGGTGTTGTTTATTACATGGCAGATCCGCCTCACCTGTGCCAGGCTCGCCGAGTCGAAGCGCGAGCTCGAGAACTCGAAGCGAAGGTTGGAGATGGGATCCTCGAGGAGGTGGAGGATCTCGGTGAGTTCCATCCAGATTGGTTCGGCGAGCGCTCTGCCATCTGCGTCGGCGTGTGGGTGGTTCCAGCAGGAGAGCAGGAGCGCGTAGTGGTCTGATAAAGTGCGGAACGAGCGCGAGAGCGATTTGCAGATGTGCCGGGCGGCCGAGGGCGGGCGCGGGAAAATCTGCACGATTGTTGCCGCGCCGATGCCGATTAGGACGAGGAGGAGGCGCCGCCAGAAGACGTTGTAGCCTACGCCGGGGTCGCCGTAGGTGGGGGTGTGACTGGGATTGTTAGTTCGGACAAGTACGGTAAGAAACGAGTTTGAGTGGGGGACTCACGTATCAACATAGCTGTACGCGACTACGAGAAGGAACGTAGCGGCGGCTAGAATCCCGCCCTGAAGAAGGTTCGGAGGGAGGTACAGGCGGATCCAGAGGAAGATGACGAGCATAGCAGCCATGATAGCAGACAGGCCGTACGGATTGCCCGGTCCGCCGCCAGACCCAATATACCAGGCGAGTAGGCCAAACAGACCTCCAACAATTGTTCCAACTAACCGGGAGAAGACAGAAAAGGTAAAGTCGGCCATGTAGACCAAAAGACCCGTTTGGGCCATGATCAGACCCCAGAGACCGCGTTCGCGGTAGAAGAACCCAGCCGTGTTTGGGAGGACAGCGAGGATCGAGATTGCGAGGGTAACGACAACCATGCGCAGGGCGTACAGTCCGTTATCGCAGGTAAACCAGTGATAGACGCCCAGGATGGCCTTTCCAACAGGGTGACGGGCCTTCGGCCTGTACCCCCTATGCGCACCAAGTATCGGCTCCTTTTTTCCCTGTGCAGCCTTGGTAGCTTCCCCTACCTGGACTTCGTCGGGATTGTCTGTGGCTCCTGCTGCCATTGCAGGCGCCTTGTTGTTTTTGCCAATCGCCCAAGAGGCAGCGTACTTTAGGCTCGTGGGCCACCATATCCGAGTCCGTGAGGCGGCGGGGAAGTGATTGAAGATTTCCGTCAAGAGCGCTTCGGTCGTCTTGAGAGCGTTGATCATATGCTCCTGGAAGTTCATGCAGACGATGATCCCCGACAGATTCCTCTTCCGGTCACCCTGGCCCGACGAAAAGTTCTCCAAGACAGGGCCGTAAGCATCCACCAGTCCCTCGGTCATGTCACGCAAGAAGACCGTTCGGGTTTGCTGCAGATTTTCAATGACGGCACGAATACGTTGGGAGGCTTGCGCGTGCTGCTCCGAAGACGCTTTGCGGTACCAATGCTGCCGACCGACAAACTGGACCGACTCCTTGATAACAGTCAACCCTTCCAGACACCCTTCGATCGCGGTGAGGCCAGTCCCACGGAGCTTCGTCGCCACTTCCTCCGGGATCGAATAGTGCTCCTCATGCAGCGCGTTTACCAACTCGGCGAGTTGCGCCCGCTGATGGGCGCCAACCTCCTTGGTCTTCTTCTCGTCCGGCTCCCCGTCGCTACTGTGTATCAACCGCCCGCGCAACGTGTTGATCTGGATGTCGCCCTGGATGCTACTTTTGTGGAAATCCGACAAGGAAAGAATGGCCATGACAAGCTGCCGAATCGGATGCTGGAATGCTTTCACTGTATCGGCGCCCCAACACCCAATGGAGAAATCCAGGGGCAAAAAGGCGAATGACGGCTCGAGTTTCTGGTACATGCCGATTACCAGTGCTTGGCATTTTTCGAGATAGTCGACGTCTGGCTTGCCTAGACCTTTACTCGACGAAGCAAAGGAGAATTGTAGCGGGGCTTTGAGGTGTTCGACTACGTCTTCGATGCCTTCGAGGATGATGTCGGAGGTTGAGCGCGGGAAGAAGAGCACCGCGCATGCGAAGCCGATTCCGACGCCTGCAGCGGCGGGTTTGACGAGGGAGAGCGGGAGTGTGCCGTTGAAAGAAGGGAGGACTGGTCCATAGCAGAGGAAGATGTCTGTGATGATGATACCAAAGAGCGAAGTAAGTGCAGTCTTGGGGTTGGCTGCTCGCAGACGAGACTGCTAAAATTAGCACTTGGCTCTATAAAACTGGGTGATGAGACTACCATCAAATAGATAAACAGGCACAGCATGCAATACATGATGACTGTAACCCGGGCATCCAGCATCCACCCATCAAAAATCATGCGCTGCGCAATCAAACTCGCCGATGCGCCCGTCGTCCGTGCTTCAGCCCCTGCAGCCTGTTGCAGCGACGCAAGGCGCGCCTGCGTTTCGGCGTCAGGACGGGCAGCCAGAGCTGCCTTCATAGTAATGACGCCCCATGCCCATGCGAGGCAGATACCGATGAACAGCGTGAGAGACCCAAGGATGTAGACGAACAGGACGCCGGAGGGCGGGTTGATGAACAGGACCATACTTGGTATCTAAAGTCGGTAAATGATATTTGATATCAAGGTGAGTAACTCACCCCGCAAAGAATGTGGCCGCGCCAAAGTTGGACAGCACCGGCTGGATAAACATCAGGATAGACGCCACCCATACTGCCACCCAGCAGCGAAAGAAGATCTTGAGGTCGCGCGCATTGAAGTGGTCGAGGACTGAAGGCAGCCGCCGCCGCGGTTTTTCGATCTTTTCGGGCTCAGACATTGCAGAAAAGGAAAATAAACGAGAGACACGAAAAGGAAGAAGAGAGTGACGAAGTTGGAAAATGAGGGGAATGATGTAATCTGGCTCGCCTTGTCGACTCTCCAGTATTTATTGCCCCGTGGAGTGGATCCGGCACCGGAAATCTCGACCACCGCAGCGCCGGCGCCACGAGCACAATGAGCTTATGCACCTCAGGGGGGGAGATCGGCAAAGATTATCGATTTTTCACTGCTTGGCGACCAGCAGATGATTGATCGACACAAATCCGAGGGGTGTTTCGAGCTTCGATGAGCGAACGTCTGGAAAAAGAACTTCAGGGACTTCTTGAGCTGGTGCTCGGGCTGGCAGCCAACGGGGTCGGGATACAATACATATAAAAGAGCATCCTTCGATCAAACTGCAGATTCACCATCTCTTTGAGATCAGCAAGATTGAGGGGTTGGCCAGGCTAGCGGGCCGCCAAGACTGTCTTGGCACATCGTGACGAGACATTAGAGATCATGGTTGAAGCCTAGAAGGCCGAATCGTACTCGGTAACTGGAAACCTACGTACTGGGTACAAAGTAGTCGAAAAACAAAGAAGGGTTACGCACTTCTCTTGTTGATGAATCTCAACCCCGACCTTTGCCGACACCTCGACTCGAATATATATCACTCCAACCCACTCGAATTTTCCCATTCAGTACAATATAGCAAAGGATTCCTTGCCTTTATGGCTTCTAGTAAAGTGCAATTGGGGGGAAAAAAGGTGAAAAAGAGTATATTAGATCGTGGGAGGCTTTTGTTGCCGTGTGAGGAATCCAAGGTCTGTATTTCCGGAAGCTGCCCGACCCCGCTTGGACAGTCTGGTCCCAACACAGCTCTTGCCTACGAGACAACCAGCTTGACATATGAACCCAACATCCAAAGCATCTTCTATACTTTACTAGGCAAGCAACATGTCGGAACAATGCGGGTTCCCTGGGAATTCCGACCTCTACGGCCTTGGAATAAGACTCGGGATCTACCTCCAATGGTTGTCAGCCCAGACCGCTGCTTTCTTCTATCTAGCAGATACAAACACTTTGTTTTTCAATTATATCATCTTCACTGTTGCTATTATCATCGCGGTCATAGTCCTAACTTTCCAAGGGGAAACGCACGCAGTGGAAATGATCGTGATGATCTACATGTTCTTCGGCGGCCTATTCTGCGTCCAACAGAGAAAGAGCCAGTTCTTGCAGAATAGGACGATGGGATGGAGGGTCTTAACGAGAATCGCCACTGTCCTCGCTATGCTCATATACTCTTCGTGGTTCTGGGCCGCCGGCGTTTCTAGCGGGCGTTTCGCTGCGACCCCATGCGGGAATACCATATTCCTCTTTGCACGAATCGCACCGGTGCATTTCCACCAAGTGCGCTGGTTGTTTGTGGCCTTGTCAATCTCCCTGTGTGCTGGGTTCATCGTTTTTTACGTACACATTTACTCCAACAGCGTCCGTGGCCTCCTTGCCACAGCGAAACGAACCTGGCGGGTGAAAAAATCGTCGGGGGAGTCTCTAGAATCGCGGGCAGTGGTTATGCAACTGCTGAATGACCGTGTCACTTCTAGGGACTGGGATATGCTCTTACTCTACTACGGTTCGTTGTCGTTTGGCAGTACTATCAGCCCAATACGTGTAACGGAGGTCCACAAAACGCATCTTCTACTCAGAGCCAGCGACCACGACGGACCCCGCGTACTTGTTTTTGTTCCCCCGCTGTCCACGTTCGCAGAGGCAGAGTCACGCCTCTACCAGATGATGGCTCCCATCCACCGGGAATTATTCATGAACCCCGACGACGCATCTATGAACCTGTCCGTCTCTGGACGTATTCGGACGAGCGGGCGACACGTCCTGGCAGGCCTGGAGGCCTTCGGAGACCTATTTCGCTCGCAGGATAATTCTCCACAAACCCTTATATATCACGCTGCGGACATGCTACGGGAGCTTGATGCCACCGACGATGCGGAAACTAGCTTTCGGGGGGACCTGAGGTATTGTCCATCTATCCATCCCCTCCCCTCTGGCGGCCATGACATTTTGCAAGTGGCAAGCCATGTTAGAAGCAGAACAACATAAATTAAGCCGTAAGCATCTCCCAAACAGACCCTGGAGCATCGAATACATTCTCTTAACCATCGTGCCACGCGCGTCGTTTATATACTGCATTCTTGCAATAGAGCTCATGCTCCGGTGGAATCGTGTTACTGGTGTCTACACCGTGAGCTCTACAGGCCAGCTCAACCCCCTTGGTTACAGGCGTCGTGGGATTTTTGGACGTCTTGTTCAACGTCCGGGGGAAATACGAGGTACGTACTGTTGATTTTGTTTTCTTCGACTGCAAGGAGGGAAGGGGCAGGTTGCTGTTGCTAACATATGGCATGCATGGTGTTAGGATGTGAGGACAGGGCGTGCTCAAAAAGATGCGAGGGATGCGGATATTTCGGTGAATGTGCACGGGTTCGATCCGTCACTTCTAGGACGGACGAGGCCGGTATAAGCCGTGCCCTTGAGATAACAAAGGATTTAGAGGTAAGAGGTTTGGCCTACTATGTAGCTCTGAGGGTCACAGGTATGGTGAGGCTGTGCGTTTCGCCATATCCTATTGAGGAAAGAAGCCGGGGACTGCGTTGGTGTTCCACAGATGACGGATTTTCACCTAGTAGTCAGTCTCCTTCTTGCCACCCATAATCAACATAATCAACGGCCCATTGAAAATTGCCGGGCTTACCGTCTCTGTGTATGCGATCTAGACGTGTGTCTCTGGAATCCTGCTGGTAAACGGCCTAAAGCCCGTAGAACAAGCCTTGAGTCTGCTCCTTTTTGCAAGGCATTACGGGAAGGATGGCTGATGAGGCAATCGCCAAGGGCAGCGCCCACCACAGCTTATCACTGCGCTGCCCGTAGCAGCTCGTTGGAACACCAAGAGGTTTACTAAGGCTTCAGGGCTTTGCCCATTGGCACTTCTGGGCCCGGTCAATCCAATGTCTACCCGTACGAAGCCCAGAGTAAACTCATTATAAATTAGTAGATATCATGTTCAGTATCCCCTTTACAGAGGACTCTCAATAATACCTGCAATCTCCCCATAGCCGAATCTCCTGGCCCACTCAGCGGGCGTTGCACCCTCACTATTAAGCGCCGAAGTGTCCACTCCCCTGCGCAAGAGCGTCTTCACTACATCGGTGTACCCCTCGCTCGCAGCAATATGTAACGGCGACATCCCCTCAAATGTGTCGGTATGCTTTGCACCCGCATCCAGTAGCACCTCGACCGTTTCTGCATACCCCTCCGCAGCCGCCGCGTACAAGGCCGTTATGCCGCTGACTGAACGCGCGTGTATATCCACTCCGGCTTGTTTCACCAAGTATGTTACAATCTCCTTGCGACCGAGAGAAGCAGCCTTGTGGAGTGGTGTAAAGCCATTGTTGTCCGATACGGCTAGGTCCGCGCCGTTTTCGACCAATGCCTTTATGATATCCAGGTTCCCGCCCGTCGCTGCTTTGGCCGCTGCTGTCCATCCAGCGCTGTCTTGGCTATCGACTTCGGCACCGGCTTCAAGTAGAATCTTTACCACTTCGTAATGACCTCCGAAGCACGCGTCAATGAGCGGAGTAACGTCATTGACACCAGCAAGACTCGGGTCAGCACCATGGTCCAGCAAGATCCTGACAATCTGAGCGAGTCCCTTGGCTGCGGCAAGCTGAATCGGCGAGATATTATCTTCCTTGGCAAGAGACACATCAGCAGCGAGCTCTACAAGCTTCTTAACGGTTTCCGTGTGACCCTGATACACTGCCATGTATAGCGGAGTCTGTCCATGTACATCCGGTAAATCAACGTCCCCGCCATGACGGGCTAGGATCTCGACTGTGGCCGTTTGGCCCATCGCTGCGGCTAACAACAATGGCGTTCTTCTTTTGGCGGCATCCGTGCGTGTTAGAGTATTGGGGTCAACCCCGTGCTGAAGCAGGCCCGTCAAAACCTCTCTTCTGTCATGGACGGCGGCCAGGTGGATGGGGAAAGCCCCCTCATTGTTGGCTACCTGAGGGGCACCCCGATCTATCAGGAACATGACAATCTCTGCATGGCCCATGGCGGCAGCCTTGGTTAACGGAGTATCACCGCTGCTGTTCGGGATAGAGAGCTCTGCGGCTTTCTCCGCCACCAAATACCGGACGAGTTCGAAATTGCCCGTGCTGCAGGCGGCAAATAGTACGGTGTTTGCCGGGTCGGGGGATGTAGAGTTGACGTCGACTCCGCTGTCCAGAAGAAACCTGACCAGCGCGTCATGGCCTTTCAGCGTCGCTAGGAGAATAGGCAGTTGGCCCTGCGCAACCACAGAAGTATCTGCGCCGAGCTCGATGAGGACGCGAGCGAGCGCGATATTATTGAGCTCCGCTGCCACGTGAAGTAGGGTGAACCCTTCCGGTCCACGAGTATTTGGATTAATGCCCTGTTTGAGAGCAGTGAATACACCCTGCGGATCCCCCGAATATGATGCCTGAAAGACGTGTGTTCGCCAATGAGGGTCTGCAACCTCTGGCGTCGTCTGTGAAATGTCGGCGGCGGATGGGTGGGCGGTTCCAAGGTCGTGAAGCGTTGCGGTTGCCATGTCTAGGAGTGCCTTGTGCGGCCCGATTCCGTTAGATGGCTCCTCGGTAGATCTGCTCGATCTGCGCGCCGATGCAGAGGGCGCTTTGAATATTTCGATATATTTGCCGAGGGCAGCTATCGAGCACCCTATTACACGCGCGGTGGCTTCCTGCTCGACATCCAGCCATCTGAGCGCGTAAGACCAAGATCGCGAAAGGGCAGGGGCGAATAGAGGCGGGGACTCACAGGTTAAGGCAACAGAGGCAGACACTCAGACCATCTGCAAACGCTCTCAACTGCTCCGTGAATGTAACGAGCGTGCTGGCCTCCTTACCCATCCTGAGCGTCGCAGACACCCGTCGAAACAAGGAACCTTTCGCTGATATGCCCGGTGGATTTCTGGCCAGGTAGGTTTCGAGAGACTGTATCGTGTCTCCCGTAGCTTTCGCATACTCGTCTATGGCGGAAAGAGCATGAGGCCCAGCGAGTTTGCATTGTCTCAACAGTTGCTCGTTGTATTCGCGTGTTCGGCGTAGGTGCTGATCACCGAGCCAGACTCGTCGGACCTGAACTGCAAGGTCCTCTAGGGCTTTAGTTTGCGATCGCTTTAGGGACGGTTGATCTAGCTGCCAGGCAATACGCTCGAAGACCTGCTACCGTGTCAGTTCAATGACTCAATTCTTCAAGGGATGACTTACCAGTTGACAGCTGTCCCTGGGCGGCGCGAGGATAGAGTGCAGCCCGGAATGATCCATAATGAGGTACCGAGTAACCCTCGTGGATTATGATAGTTGATCCCTCGGACATGTTCAAGGGGACGTTGAAAGACGCACCATGTCCGTGGGTGCGGCTGAGCAATGCCCAGCGCGTGGCTTGACTCCGAATGCTAAAAATACGAGATGACAGCAGACATGGCCAATGGGTGGAATTGTGGCGCATGGAGTGCTCGGCTATGGTTGCCTCGAGAGTAGATTCGCAACCATGTCAAGGAAAGCGGTATGTATCGCCTGCACTCTACAGTTCACAAGAGGCTGAAGCTCAGTATTTGATACCGAGGAATCGAACGGCTAATATGAAGATCCATTCGAGATTGTCTCGAAGTGCACCTTTCCGGCATTGCAAAATGTTCAATTTCCTCCCAAACCAGCCTCGTGAACTGCTTAGTTAAACCACCTAGGCTCCCCACGGGCTTCGCCGCTTCAACATTTCCAGGGAGGCGAAAGCTGTAGTTCCAATTGTTTGAGGGCATTGATCAGTCGGTCGGTGACTCAGGGTACGAGGACAGGGAAGCAGAGTGACCTCCAATGCCACTGCAAATGTAAGAGTCTATCTCGACGATGACACTCTTTACTCATATACGACCGGATGGTGCTGAGTGAAGCGGTGGTATCATGGCTGACTCCGGAAGGTGAGACGTTGGGAAAAGCAGATGCTACGGGGTCGGGCCAACCGAGCTGGATATTCCGGATTCTTCCTGAAAAATCAAACGAGTAATCATTACCTGAAGCAGAAGACTATGAGGCACTAGGGCATCATTAGACAAGCATTTGCAAGGCCGATCGGTGGAGCTTGTGTGCTCGGATATTCCGACCCCGGCATTTCCACCCTTGATGACGAGCTTCCCTGTCCATTTCTCCAGATATCTGGGGGTCTGGGGTTTGCTTTTCTTTCACCACTCGTACCCCGGATCCTCACCTCTCTCACGACCCTATATCCCACAATGGCCGAGTCAAAGCCTTCTACCGACTACGTTGAGTCGATTGCCGACGAGCGTGTCGTGCCTTGCATAGATGAGCTGAAAGGCAGCGGGGATGCTGATCCCAACGATCCCCAGGTACGTCCTATGAGACCGCAGAAGACCTCTGAAGACCCCCGCTGATTCGAACAGAACTGGTCCAAAACAGCCAGACTAGCAACATACCTCACCATCTGCTTCTACACCTTTCTCGCAAACGTCAACAGCAGCAACTTCACCGTCGCCACAAAAGCAATAATCCAGGAATTCAACGTCACCCAAACACAGGCCGGCGAGCTCGTCTGCTTCAATGTCTTCCTCTTTGGACTCGGCAACATCTTCTGGGTACCCCTGATGCGGGTCGTCGGCAAGCGACCGGTATATCTGGTCTCGATGCTGGCGCTGTGCATGATGAATGTCTGGTCGAGTTATTCGTCGAGCTACGGGGAACTCCTTGCCTCGCGGATCCTCTCTGGCTTTGTTGCCGCAGCAGCCGATGCGACTGTTCCGGCCGTCGTGTCGGATATGGTTGCTCCGCAGGACCGAGGGCATTATCTCATGGTTTTCCACCTCGCTCTTACGAGCGGTCTGTTCATCGGGCCCCTGATCAACGCGTACCTCGTGCAGGAACAAGGTTGGCGGTGGATGTGCTATTTCCTCGCTGTTGCCGTTGGCGTCACGTTCGTTGTTGCCGTCTTTACCATTCGGGAGACGACATACCTGCAAGGCAGGCCGCGGGTGGCGAAGCGATCAGCGAGGCAGTGGATGTCGTTGAGGTTGGGGTATAATCCCAAAGCATCGTTTGTGCGGACTCTGCTTGATATCGTCTGCAACGTCGCATACCCTCAACTCCTCTGGGCCGCGTTCTCGATCGGGATCTCCGTCGGATGGTAAATGCCTCTGTCCACAACCACATCTTCAACAACTCTAACGAGAAACAGGAACATTGTCGTCCAACTCACAGCCTCACGAACCTTTACCGCACCCCCCTACAACTGGCCTGCCGGAAGCCTGGGCCTCCTCTCGCTAGCCGGATTCATCGGTTCTGTCCTGGCATTCTACCTCGGTGGTCGACTGATTGATATCATCTCCACCCGGTACACAAATCGGTACGGGCAGCGTTTGCCTGAATATCGACTACCGGCGATCATAATCCCCGGCGTGATTGGACCTGGCGGGATCCTGGTATTCGGTCTGTGCATCGCGAACCAAACGCACTGGATCGGCGCTGCAGTTGGGTATGCCATGCAGGCGTTTGGCGTGGCAGCAATCTCGAATGTCGCCGTGACATACTGTCTGGACTGCTACAAACCCGTTCGTCACCCCCCTCCCTCACCAAACAAACCCGTTTCTAACCACTGCATAGCTCACGGGCGAAGCCCTGGTCATCATCTTCGTCGTCCGCAACACAATCGGCATGCTGCTGTCCCTTTATGCCGCGGACTGGATCACCCGACAAGGCGAGGCCGCCGTCTTTGGTGAGATGACTGCGATTCAGGTGACTAGTATTCTTGTGGCGATCCCGCTGTTCGTTTGGGGTGCGCCGTTGCGCGCTTGGACGGCGCGATATGGGCCGATGAAGCGGTTTCAGGGGGCGGAGAACTAGTGGGACAATGTCAGGATAGTATCGGATTATATATGCTTGATAGAAATGCCCATCGGAGTGAAGGAGTGTTGTGCTGTATCTAAATTCATTGTATCATCATTCACTTCGTGATCATCTGGTCCGGCAAGCGATATATCCATCGGAGCACGTTCCGAATAGATTCTAGGCCTGATTTAACGCCGTCAAATGGATTTGGCTCAGGAATGGAGTGAAATTGCGGAGTAGAGGTACGACCCCCGCCTTCGGTAGCCGTCCCGGGGGGGGGGGCCAGATACCCCGGAGAATTCCCCATAAAATGAGAGCGGGGAAGCAGTGGCCCACAGATGGGGCTCCGGTAGTCGGCAAGTAGAGGGTAATGACCTCGATTCTGGTTCCAGTGCCAATGTGGGGATCTCGAGGAGAAGACGATATAAGGAGATGGAAATCCGGCCGCATACGGACAGTGTACCTAGTAGTTACTCTATACTCATCGTCAGGGAAGTGATAACCATGGCGCCAAAATCGCCATCCCGCGCGCTCCCACCAACCCCCCTCCTAAGCGACAACGTCCACAGCGGAATCCCCAAGAACCTCGAGGGGGACGCAAAGGTAGCTAAGGAGCGATTGTACTCTAACAAGACCGTCCCCGACAGTGTTCCCCGCGAACGCGACGTGCCGAGACTGCCGCCGAATACAACGAGGGCGAAGTTCGATGCAGCGATTGCAGAGCTCCGGCAGCGACTTGGGGATGAACATGTCCAGTTGAATGATAGGCCGTTGGTGGATGGGTGGTATATGGAGCATCCGTACTTGCACCCTTTGCCGCGATAGGATAGGAAGGTCAAGCGGTTAATGTGTCTAGGAATACACACGACGCCTTCCACATCGCCCAGCAAGAAGAACTCGTTTGCAGCGCAGTCGTGTACCCCTCGTCCACCGAGGAAGTGCAAGAAATCGTCCGTTGGGCAAATCGCCACACAATCCCCATCTACCCGATCTCCATGGGCCGCAACATCGGCTACGGCGGCGCAGCCCCCCGAGTGCCAGGCTCCGTCGTGGTCGACCTCGGGCGCCGTATGAATAAAGTCCTCAAGATAGACGGGAGCAGTGCGTCGTGCATGGTTGAGCCGGGCGTCTCGTATTACAAGCTCTACGAGGAGATTCAGAAATCCGGCCACCCGCTCTGGATTGATTGTCCCGATCTCGGTGGTGGTAGTGTCATGGGGAATGCGCTCGATCGGGGAGTTGGGTATACCCCCTACGGCGACCACTTTGCGAACCACTGCGGGATGGAAATCGTCCTCCCTACAGGCGAACTCCTACGGACAGGCATGGGGGCGTTACCGGGCAAGGACGGCGCAGATAACCCTGTGTGGGAATCCTTCCAGCCCGCATACGGGCCCTACTCGGATGGGATCTTCAGCCAGAGTAACTTTGGCATTGTGACCAAGATGGGATTTTGGCTTATGCCTGCGACGGGGAGCTTTTCGTACATGGTCACCTTCCCGCGCGACGATGACTTTGAGCAGATCATTGAAGTCATTCGACCCCTGGCTCAGAGAGGTGTGTTTGGGAACATCCCACAGCTCCGCCACGTCATCCAGGAACTGGCCGTTACTGGTAAACCGAAGAGTACCTGGTACAGTGGCAAAGGCCGGATGCCCCGGGACACAATCGCCGCCTGCGCAAAGACACAGCCCTGCGGAGATGTCTCGTGGGTCTTTTACGGGTGCCAATACGGCACAGACGCCGCGATAAAAGCACAGATGGATATAGTCCGCGAGGCATTCGGTACGATCCCTGGAAGCCGATTCCTGTACGCAGACGATCTCCCCAAAGAGCACTACCTGCACGACCGGGCCAAGGTCTTTGCGGGCGTGCCTGTCCTCCGCGAACTCGACTGGTTGAACTGGGTGCCCAACGCAGCGCACATCTTCTTCAGCCCGATTGTGCCGACACGTGGGAAAGATGCGAGAGTCGTCCATAATATCATTGAGAGGTTGCACGTGAAATGGGGCTTTGATCTCTTCCCCACACTTACGATCGCCGGCCGCGAGTCACACTACATCGGGAACATCGTGTACAACCGCTTCGACGCAGACGAGAAACGCCGCGCAACGGGACTCATGCGCGAGCTCATCGCCGAGTGTGCAGCCGAGGGGTACGGCGAGTACCGGACGCACCTGCTCTTCGCAGACCAGGTCGCTGCAACGTACGGGTGGAATAACCAGGCGCTGCGCCGGTTCAATGAGACTATCAAGGATGCACTTGATCCGAATGGGATTCTTGCCCCGGGTAGGAATGGGATCTGGCCGAGGGCGTATCGGGGGAAAGGGTGGGAGATTACGGCTGATCGGGATATCCAGGGGGGTGTTGTGCCTGTCAAAGCGGGTGAGAAGGCGAAACTTTGATTTACTCGTTAGTTACGACTTAATGAGATGCGCTGTTCTACGGTTACTCCCATTCTCCCCATCGCCAAGTAGTTCGGGTCCAGTGGGGCTGTAGGGGGTATGCTGGGGGTGGACCTGGGGCCCCGGGATTCCCCCAATACCCCGCTTTGGACGTCCACTTTGCAGTGGTAACCTCCTGTATATATGGAAGCTGGTTACTAAGAGGACCGGGGCCTGTTGCTTCGGGCACAAATTGCAGACTGAGTGAGCAGCGACCTAAACAACCGGAAAACTTCAGGGCGAAAGCGTCGTACGTACGACGTATATTGTCAAGATGAAAGGTTAGTTACCCCGGCAAGTTTTTCAGCAAGTATCGAAGGGCTGACTTCGTATTATAGTAATCATCGTCGGAGCAGGCCTAGGCGGCTGCGCCGCAGCTATGGCCATGCACTACCAAGGCTTCGAAGTCGAGATCTTCGAAAAAGTGCACGAATTCCTGCGGCTAGGTGACTCGCTCGGTCTCGGCGAGAACGCGCTCAGATTGTTGAAGCGATGGGGTCTGCACGATCAGCTCATCGCCCTCGGCAACAAGTCCGAGTTCATGCAAATCCGGCACTGGAAGACTGGACAGATCATGGCTCAGCAGCCGGCTATGGATATGGCGGGGTATATTGGACATCGCGGCGATTATCACAGGGCGTTCCTGGACCGAGTGGAGGAATTGGGAGTCAAGATTCATATGGGTTGCACGGTGAGACGCTACCAAGTGGGGATTTGGCAGATCTCGAACTAATGGGATTCCAAGGTTGTTTCCTACGATGAAAACGAGCCTTCTCTAACACTCGCAAATGGCCAAGTGCACAAGGCAGACGTCATCATTGCAGCTGATGGTGCGTTCACGCTTAATACCAACCCAATCTACCACTATTAATCAATCCAGGCATCAAATCCCTCGCCCGCGAACTCGTCCTTGGCTTTGAAGACAAACCCAAATCCTCCGGCTACGCCTGCTACCGCGCGTACTTCAAAGGCGCCCACCTGAAAGAAGACCCCCTCTGCCGCGAATTCGTCGACAAAGAATGCATTAACATCTGGATAGGCCCGGATGTACACCTCGTGCAGAACACCCTCCGCGACGGTGAAGAATTCAACTGGATCCTCACACACAAGGATACAGAGGATATCACAGAATCCTGGTTCCAGCCGGGGAACATGGATGACGTGCGCGATACCATTCGAGATCTCGATCCGCGGATTGCGGCGGCCGTCCGGAAGACGGAGGAGTGTCTGGATTGGAAGATCTGTTATCGCGATCCGATTCCGTCGTGGGTTAGTAGGAGCCATAAGATTGTTCTCCTCGGGGACTCGTGTCATCCGCATCTACCGACGAGTGCCCAGGGGGCGTCGCAGGCGACGGAGAGCGCGGCGGTGCTCGCGTTGTGTTTGAAGTTTGCGGGTCAGGGGAATGTTCCTCTTGCGGTATGTTGGAGATCGGATCTGTTAGAATACCTCTAATCTTGCTCTAGACTCGAGTGTACGAGAAACTGCGCTTCGATCGGGTCCGAAAATGCCAACGGAATGGCGAAGATGTACGAGACAGGTGGCACGGAGCGCTAAAGAAACTAGACGCTGGCGATACCATCAATCCGGAGGACGTTATGATGAGGGTGAGACTCACTATCCATGGTACTCGACGTCGAAAGACATGGCTAACCAAGGTTGAAACAGAACCGCTGGCTCTACCCCTTCGATGCCGAGGCCGACACGATCCAGAGATGGAAGGAGACAGCGGCCCTTGTGGAGGAGGAGCTGGAGAAAGGACAAATCACCCCTTTGTTTACCGTGTCTAGTGCCATTGCGGTTTGAGGGCCGTTGGGTCTTGTACTGGGTAGACTAATGCTCTCTCGACATCAATGAGCTTGTCCTCCTCCGAAGTACGTAGGCCCATCGAACTTGAAAGGAGTTCCGCCTCTCCGAAATAATGGATCGGTTTATGCATTTCTTGCGCGCATAGTCGTCGACTGTTTTTGCATGCTTTCCCGGGCAAAGAAGTCCTGTTGCGTCACAATATACCCATAAGCCTGTGAGAGTAGGAGATGAGAACAGATTTGCCGTATGCTATCGAGGATTCCGGTGTCGTTTGAACTGGGCTTCGTTGGCGACGGCATATTCCAATGCCACGGTATCAAACAAAGTAGGAAATCATGCCGATCACACCCAGTGTTTTAGAGGTCAGATTCGTCGTAGAATGCGATGCAGAATGAGCCGTCCTTGGCAACACTATAAGTTGCCCAAACCGAATCATAGCAGTCCAGAAGGCGGCGTCTACGAATATGCCACGTTCGGTCATCCTCTGGGCGAATTGCTTCCAGAGAAGGGAATACCGAATTCAACGAGGGCATCGAGAAGTCTAGATCGGTTAGTCGCATACTTGTGAAAGAAGAGCATTATTACAACGTACAGTCTGGTCGAACGTAGACCTTTAAGACTATCAGCTCTAGTATTTGTAATCCTTGGTCTAGCCCGACAGTATACATCATCAACAACCTGCTCTGTTAACGAAGTCCGCAAGATGGGAGCGAAAATCCCGCGCAATGGCTCTGACTCTGTGCAAGCTAAAGTCATCACTCACCGTTCTTGGACTTCGAACTCGACATGCTTGCGTTTGCTCATTGATATTTTCTCTAGCGGCCTAGGAGGTCTAGAACTCACCCTAAGATGCCACCTAGGGGTGAAGGTGTATGATCGCGAAAAGCCACCTCTGCAGGGAACCGAAGGACAGAGAATACTAGACGCAAAACCAGTAGCGTACTGGCATCCTCGCCTTTCGTCCGTCTCTACTACATCATCTCACCGATTACCTCTAGGACATAAAACTCCAAAGCCTTCAAGGGCGGTCTCGTTTGGGAAAATTGCAAGTCATCGGAGCGGTAGTTGTGCCAGTTCTCTGGGACCGATACAGGGCCAGCATCATAGTATCTTAAGCACCATGCAATGGACTATAATCAACACTCTAACGCGGTGAATTATCGGGAATTGTGAGGTCAATCTCGGTTTCTAGTCGGAGTAGGAGCTCGTAGATAGCCCCCGCTGATTCTGCTTCGTTTTCGTATTGCCTGTTGAACCTTTAGATTAATATACCTTACATTAACATATAGTGCCTGGCCAATTGTCTCTAGGACAATAATAGCCAGGCTAGCGACATGACTAAGGGTATTAGAATGATAAGAACATGATACAGAAGTCCAGTTGCAATCGACTGACGGGGGTTTATCCAATACCTTTGCCACGTAGCAATCCTTGCTTCCCTACTAAATATAATGTTATATTCCCGTCTCTTCAAATTGGGTTGAATTACACGAACCTTGGCAGCTCTCGCCACTTTCTTAGATAGGGAAGTACAAAAAAAAAATATTATGAGGACACGTCTGCGCGCACGGCTCCACGATCCTCCATTACAATCACACCACACAGAGGGCAGTCGTCCTGAAGAAGAGGAAAAAGCCACAATTTATCTCTGCAGTTACTGCAGGTAGTCGGAGTAAGTATGCGTGACGCAAAAGTGCCGTGCATGAGACTCAGGATGGGGTAAGTCATACGCTGCGCGAGAACGGTTTCGACGCGCCGCTCAGTAGATAGACTCTCTGCAACTAGCATACAGAAAAGATGCCATGAGGTCATTTGATCAACGGCAGTTTGCACAGATGGGGCCGAGGGTCCACGATTAGGCTGCTGGTTGGAGCATCAAGTTGATGCAACCAAACATGGGTATGAGCAAGGCAAATGGCGGAAAAAGAACCCAGCAGATAATATTCGCGCAGTTCGCCACCTGCACAACCCCCACGGGGCAGTTTGAAAGCGTGGCGCACGGGTAATGGGGATCTTGGTAGTTAGACCAACGAGGCCTACTGGCAGGGAGCGACCTGTAAGAGCTTCTGAGGACGGGAAGGGAAGGAAACAGGTTGGGAAACCCATACCATGAGCACCAATGGTAAGGGCGGATGACAACAGAATGCGGCTGAGAATGCCGTTTTGTTCGACTTGCGTCAGTCTGAATGATGAAATCGAGGTCGCAGATGCTTACAACCTCTGCTGACAGCGGATTGAGGATATCGATGGTGTGGGGAAACGGTCGGTCCGACATCGTCGCTGGAAGAGGCGCTAAGAGGATGTGCTGCAATTTGGCGGCGTCCTTTGGGGGAAACGGCAGGCACAGAGTTCACGCTAGCATTCTGGCCATCCCAGGGCAGGACAAGCCGGATGGTAGACGACACTTCCTCTCCTCAAGATCCGGGGTAGGCGACTTTTCCGTGGCTGACTGGGGAAAGAGACGGGCGACGTGCTCGATCAGCCAACCACTGCCCTGCGAGCGGCCTGTGCATCCTGTGGGGGCTGGAAACGCCAGTCTGCCTCCTCATCTCTACTCCCAGGCCCCGATTGGACGAAACTAGCCCCGCCGCGTGTTCGCACCGCATGTTGAATCCTGCCCCCTGAGTTTGCCTGATAAAACGCGGATGGTACCGTTTCCCCCACTAATTCGGAGCGTCAAGTGAATAAAGCAGGTAGTATGCAACATGTTCCCGTACGTACCGGCAAGCCCCCTGACGAGGAGGGCGGAGAATTATGCCTACTTGCGACAGCTCTGGGAGCTTCAGGAGGGCCACACTGAATTTAAGCAGGAGACACCAGAGCACACGGAACAGGAAACCTCGTCAAGCGCGGGAAGACCGGTATCTGAGCAGGCCAGCCTACGGCTCCATCACAGCGGAAGCGAAAGCGGATCGCAAGGCCGCAGGCAACAGTCGAAACTAGCCCGAATCTTCATCCCTGCCAGACTTCAGAAGACAAGGTCTCTGGGGGATGGAAGTGGTGATCATCATAACGGCCATTCCCCTTGCATCTCACCCCCGTTGCTCTCTTCACCAACCTCGACTGCTCCTGGGTCAGAAACAACAACGGATACTGCCTCAACAACGGCTAGTAGCGTCGCGGACCCGGCGAAGCATATCTTTCGCTCCTGTGCGGACGCCCTGGCGAACCCATTCTCCCGTCTTTTCGAGTTGAATCCTCTCCTCCTCAATATCCCCCACCCGCTGCTGTCCGAGGCTCACCCGGGGAATCGTAACCTCAGGGTCCTTGACTTTGGTGGCATTGAAGAGAGTATGCTGATACCTTCCTTCGCGTTTCATAGCTCCTGCTGATTCCCGCCAAAACAGACGTGTACACACAGGCGATCAGTCGACTACCACACGTTGAAGTATCTCACTTCACAGAGGCCCAATTGTTCACCAGTCATCCACCCTATCTACCCTTCGACTCAAATAACTTCGACGTGGTCACCACGCGGACGCTCTATAAACTACTGTCCAATCCTCTTCATTCTCAAAACCCCGAGCCAGCATCATGGGTTCGACAAGTTCACCGCGTGCTGAAAAAGGGCGGCAGCTTCGAGTTTCTCTTTTTTGACAGTCATCTTAAGCATGCGGGACCACTGACAAGAGAAATGGAGCCCTTTCTGTACGAGGAGCTGCCGCCATTCTGTACCTGTAGTAGCGCCCGGACAGAATCACCGTGCTCCTGCTCTTCTCTCGCGGGTCCAAGCAATACAGACACTATGACTGGAGCTCGCTTTCTCGAACTCCTTTCCCAAGAAGGGTTCGTGACGGAGAAGAGCACGACGCTGATGTTTCCACTAACTCTTCTTTCTTCAATTTTCACGCGAGATGGACAGCGTCTTAAAGACGATGCTCAGAGTCACCATGTCAGTATGACTCCGCTGCTTGTTTCACTCTTGAAGACTATCGATGAGGAGTGCAAAACATCGCAAACTGCTTGGCGGTGTATCATAGGATACGCGCGGAAACAATAGCGGGCAGGGGACCAGCATGAGGACAATGTATTCTACAGTCTGAAACGCGCTTAACGAATAATGAGGCCTTGTGAAGTCTAGGCTTAGGTACTCATCAGAAGAGCATGGGCTTTAAATCATTCTCAATACATGAAACCAGAAATTGAATCGCGAGGCCCATGAGACGGCAATTAGGAATGCCGAATGCAACTTGTACCGACATTCGCAATATTCCTCCCTCGCAGTACTACAGCAGGCGTTCCTTCTACCACAAATATTGGCATATGTATGTGTACTAGCCAACAGCCTGACTGTTCAAGGATACTAGCAGCGGATTCAAGCTACCATATCCTAATGATTTACAAAGCCCAAAGACTTCAAATCGCCTTCCCAACACCCGTCGCACTAGCCGGGTTCTGCCCCGTAATGAGGTCGCCCCCGAGCTCCTTAACCTTGTCCAATACACAAAACCATCGATCTGCCTTGATGTGTTGAAAGAGAACAATTTGTGGACAGGCTTGGCATCTTCTAGGAGACTATAATTTCGGAAAGTACCGAGCTTTTTTTTTAAAATCTTATGCTAGCATTGTACTGCGGGCAATGTGCCATCGCCAAGGTGTCATGTGTGCCGGCAACGCACTTGCGCCTCAGGCATCGGCATCCGCCACCGTAGAGCCTGAGGCATCACCTGCGGTCACCCCTCAGCGCAGTACATACAGGGTCTATCACCGCTGTACCACCTGGATATAAGCATGCAAAATATTTCTGTGGATAGTGATCTAAATATTAATGTGTATTATCGACTGGGCCTTCGTCTCTGCTGTGCTGCCTGCAATGCTTCTGGTCTGCCCCGGCGTCCCTTACCCTTGTGATGGCATACATTCCTCCCTTTTGGAGCCTTTGTTAATGGCTTTCTTACTAGAAAATGGTCTGATGCTTCTTCAGTGCAGAGTAAATAGTCGTTAACTCAGAGTATCAACGTTTCCAATGAGTGTCTTATTATAGCTTTACATGTACGGCTTAACCTGAGTCTCCGACCATTCCCAATATTTTCTCCCAAGCTCCGGGTCCAGGAGGTCCTTTCGAGCGGGCTCAATCTTACCAAACGGGGACACTAGTATGAGGAAATGCGACTTAGCAGTTACTAGTGACTGTAATTGCAAAGGATAGCAAACTCACCCCAACCTCCATTATTCTCCTCTGTAATCGAGGGGTGTAAGCCTGCAAAGAGCTCGGTGTATGCCCCGTTGATGGGCTCATGCGATATAAGTCTCTAAGTCCACGATTAGTATCTGACCTGCACGATCAAGATTAGATACGGATGGGTACTCCATACAAACATCGCTAGCTGCATCCTGGGCATATTTTGCTGCAGGTTCGTGACGAAATTCCCTGGGTTAAGCGCCTTGATAATAATCAATCACCTGGTTATACTAGAGTAGGAGTAAGTTGTGGTGCAAAGTTAAAACATACCACGCTAATAATACCCTCGCCAGCGGTTCTCCTTGCAAACTCTGCAGAGTGAAGGACATTTCCAGCCTTGCTCCGAGAGTACTTGGACCAAATCCCCTCCTCGACATGGTAGTCCATATTTGAAAAGTCAATCGCAGGCCGAGGAGCGCCATCCGCTGCGCTAGACGACACCCATACAACACGCACCGAGTTTTTCGGCGCAGTATTTGCTGTCGCAGCCAGGACAGGACGCAGAAACTGCGTGAATAGAAAATGTCCCAGGTTATTTGTTCCAATCTGCAGCTCGTACCCCTGAACGGTCTTAGACCCCTGCGGTGGAACCATCACCCCTGCGTTGTTCCAGAGCACATCCAAGCGGGTTTCCTTGGCTAAGAATTCACCTGCCGATTGCTTGATGGTCGTGAGATCGTCTAGCTGCAGGCGGAGGAAGATGAGCTCTCCCGTGGACGAGGGATGCGCGCGCTGAATCTCGCGGATCACCTCCCTGGTTTTGGCCTCCGATCGAGCGGCGACGTAGATCTTGGCGTTGTGTGAGTACAGGATGTTTACTAGCTCTTTTCCGAGACCTCCTGACCCTCCAGTCACTATAAAAACCTGTATAGAGGGTTATTCTATAGCTCATTTGGGAATGTGCTGCTGTCAACGCGTACCTTGCCATGTTGGTCGGGGAGGTTTTGTTCAGTTAAGACAGGCTTGTGAGGGAAGAATGTGCTTCGTCGCATTTGGAATTTGTTACAAGAAAGATGGGTCGAAAAAAGTGCCTTTTATCTGCAAAGGAGTTAATTGATTGATGGATGATATTAATTCCATCATGAAGCGTCCTGGCTTGTTCTTATAGACCTCACGACTTAGTCTGATCCATGGGACGAGACGATCATTTCTGTGCTAAACCTTTTCCGGACCAGTGCGCCCGCGTTCTCCGCATCAGGTTTTGCCTCCTCATCAGACTCCTTGCACTTCAATTCAACCTTCTTGGGCTTCTGTCATGGAGTCTCCTACGCAAAACGCGACCGCCCCTCAAGCATGCGGGGCGTGTAAAAAACACAAGCGGAAATGCGACAAATTGCTGCCTCAATGCAGCCTTTGCGTCCGCACCTGCCGCACCTGTGACTATAACGATGCTCCTAGACCCCCTCCAACGGCGGCCGAGGTCGCCGCCCTTCAAGCAAGACTGGCGGTACTGGAGCACCAAGTGCGCAGTACTTCCGTTCCCTCGGACTCTGTGTCCGCTACTCTCAGTGTCTCTGGGAACAGTGTGCTTCCCGCTGAATCTATCGCAACGACAGGGCCTAGCCAGGGACCAGCCGGCTTTCCGTCGGCTTTGTTCTTGGATTTTGATTGCTACCGATGGTCGAACATGCAACTGCCGAGACCGGATGTTGGCTTTCCGACGGTAGGGAAGGAGTGAATTCTCCATCATGCCGCGACTTCCTTTCAGCCAGCACCATGATCCATTCCCAAAAACCGTAGCTAACGGATGTCCAGGAAGTACTAGAAATCCTCAGCCAGGAAAACACTGTGCTGGAAATTTCGACCCTTTACTTTGGCACAATTCATCGCTGGCTGCCTATAGTCTCAAAAAAGCGCATGGAGCTTGGCATCTCGTTGCAGAGCAGCGGACCGGACCTCGCCATGCTTTTCCTCGCAATGAGACTGAACATTTCCCTTCCAACGGCTGGAACCAACTCACTGTATTCTATTTCTAAAAGCTTTCTGGCGACGCTCGAAGCAGGTGGTCTGGTATCCCTTGTCTATCTGCAAGCCATGATCCTAGTCGCCGTCTACGAATACAGCCACTCCATCTATCCGGCCGCATGGATGACTGTGGGAGCATGCGCCCGACTTGCGGAGCTAGTTGGGCTGTCATCGGGTACGGAGTCGATGAAAGTTATGAGTCGCGCGGTAAGTACAGATCGTCTTGACGAGTTGAGCGTGTACCATGACTGACCCTCTCGAGTAGACGACCTGGACAGAGGTGGAAGAAAAGCGACGGGTTTGGTGGGCCATATATATCCTAGACCGGGTTATATCCCTCGGCAGTCGCAGGAGATTCTCTTTTCCTGAGCCGCTAGATGGCCATGTCCTTCCTGCCAGCGATGAAGCTTGGGTAAATTGCCTACTCCCCCTGTTATTCACCGGGATAAAAAGGGAACCCTATCGGGTACTGATCAATATACACATCCTAGGATTCGGGCGATGTGACAAACATTATCCAATACTCAAACACAACCCCCTTCTCAACCCAAATATCGCCATTTGCTCGGCTCTGTCAGTCCGCCATGTTCATCAGTCGCGCCGCGGCATTCCGCAACAGTTCCCAGACGGCGCCCCGGAACCATATGATTGCACTTACTAGCCTGACTGAGGAACTTTGTACCTACAGCTTGATCCTCAGCGACGAAATCATCTCCTCCCCCCTGGATAGCTACTTTCGCCTCCTCGCGCCCCGCTGCCTGGCGTGGTCCGCCCTTTTCATGCTGCTTGATAACTACTGCTGCCCTGAGAAGCTCAGCGCCGAACCGGGTTTCACCCCATCCGGCGAAGTCAAGGGACCGGAGGAACTTGCTACTCAGCTACAGGCCACGCTCGTTGTGCGAAGTATCAGCGACCAGGCGCATGAGCAGACAAAGACCCTCATGGACATCTTATTTGGCCCGGCTTCAAGTATGGATAGTATGAATACAATAGGGAGTTTGAGTCCGCTCTCGCTAGACGCCCTGTATTGCTCCATGGTCACATTCCAGTGGATCTATCGCGAAGGGGGAGAGGAGCTGGCCAAGTCTCAACTAGAGGATATGGAGGCTTGGATGCGGAGAATGAGTGAGCGGTGGAGGCTTGCCTCTGAGTATCTGACTCTCTCTGAGATCTACCGTACTGCTGAACCCTCTTAGATGCAGTCTGAAAGCACTACTAAATGATACATTCTCCCTGTAACCTGCTCGCTGGTCAAACTTCAACTCGATGTGAAATGCATATGGAGCTCATCAGCCCTGAAAGCCGATCTGTCGGAGATCGCGGCGTACGTAATATTCGGTACACCACCAAAATATGAAGGTCTGATTCCTCGAATCTAGCAGCGAGGCCGCACTAAATACGGAAGAAATAGGGGTAACCTAATTAACTAAATTAGGCAGTAGGAACGATACGATGAATGACGGAGCGGGTGCTGGCTAACGGTAACTTCGGCGTTGACGCAGAATACTAGCGGTCACTAAAGGTCGACACGATCCTTTATCAAGGAGTGCATAAATTAGGTGCCTACCGAGATAACCCCTGTCCATACGTCCGCATTGCATGCTGCTCGACATGGTCGCGTTTCCGCCACAGTCCAACTTCACTTTGTGGAGGTCGGCCACACGTGCGGGGCTTGCGGCCGCTGGATTACGAGTACAGAAGGATAGCCACGTGACATCGGCGCCATTTCCGTACTATAACCCGACCAGTAATGTACGGTTATGGTTACGTCACAGCGGGTTGGTAAGTTCAATTTATACTAGACCTGATCAAGCAGAAGCATACTCTTTAAGGTTAGCGATTGAAAGGGGGAATTGACCGTCCGGTTACTACATTTGAGTTGCGGTTTCTGCGGCCGCAGTTATCCCCTCTGATTTTGAATTGTGTTTGGCGCAGACCGTGAAGGCTGGGCGCAGTGAAGCGGATTAGGGATGTGTGTCTTTGATTATAATTGATTAGTGTTCTGACCAAACACTTCCATTAATCCTTATATCATTCGTTTCTATGTTGTTTCTGGGATCTGACCCTAACGAGCGACCGGACCCGATTGAAGTCTAACAGAAGACAAGCCAAAGAGAAACATGGCAGACATGGTATCAGTGCATCAGAATAACGCGGCTTTAGATGAGTATGGGCCTGGTCTAGTTGCAGTCTTTGGTAAGTGCGTTCATGACTTACAACCTCGAGTGATCAATGCTTCTGTGCAGCCTGATCTCCGGAGGATGTCGAAGAAAGGCAAGGGCTAATTACCTGATTTGGAGTTGGATTGAAGTTGGAGGAACAAGTGGTATTGGTGAATCCACGGCTCAAGCTTTCGTTAGACATGCTCTAAACCCTCGCGTCTACCTCGTTGGACAGAATGCCGAGCAGGCAGCGAGGATAATTACAGAGATGCAGGAGTCCAATCCACGGGCGGAGGTGCGATTCTTGAAAAAAGATATATCTCTACTAGGTGATGTAGATGATGCATGCAGGGAAATCCAGGAAAGGGACAACGAGGTGAATATCTTGTTTATGAGTCCCGGGGTGTCCAAAGGAGGATACAGTACGTATAACCTTCATCCTCATTCCCTGTCAGTTGTATACACTGAAGGTGATCTAACTGTATTATCTTAGGCACGCAAGAAGGACTGGACAAAAAGTTAAGCCTTCATTACTACGCTCGCATGCGATTCGTGGTGAACTTGATGCCGCAGTTGACAATGGGGAGTAATCGTCTATCAAGAGTCATCTCCGTCCTCGGGGCTGGAGGAGAAGGCCCTCTGATCCTCGAGGATCTCGCTTTGAAGACGAATTACTCTCTACGCAACTGCGCAAACCACGCTATTACCATGACATCTCTGGCAATGAATGAGCTGTCTCAGGCTCACCCATCTATCTCGTTCATACACACATATCCCGGGGTGGTCAAAACTAATCTGACACGCGATATGGGCACTGTTGCTCACGCAGGAGCAAAAATGCTCCTCAACCTGGCAGCACCATGGATAGTGCCATTGAAGGAAAGCGGGGAGAGGCACTTGTATCTGGCCACCAATAAAATATTCGGGCGCTTGGCCACGAGGCGGGTTATAACTGCTCCGCCTGCAAACACTGAATTCACGATGCAAGCCTACCTGGTAGACTACCGTGGGCTTCCGCGTCAGAACCTGAAGCTTCTACAGAGGTATAATCGGGATGGTATCTCCAGGACCGTTTGGGCACATACATTGGATGTATTTAAGCAATGTGAGTGCAAGTGATTTGATATAAGACATAGTCCTTATGGTATCCTTCACTCCGATCAACCACTGAGGGTTGTTTCCAAGTGCATTGGCACTTAACTCTGAGTCCATCCTTAGGTTCATTTTCTACGTACTGGCCGATTTCTCTCCCCCACTAGGGTCAAATAAGTTTTTCAACTTCTGCACCTCGTGCCTCTCTTTTCTCTAACCCACTTTTGGGACGGATAATCACTGTCCTCTATATTATACTTCCCTGACGCGACACATTAGTCAGATTCCACTTCTTGTGTAGGTTTTCTTCTAGTAGCAATTCCTGAGGTCCTTGAGAAGTAAAATCGGTGCCCACCTTGCAATGAAGTAATCTCCTGATTGCGGAGCTTCCACTTCCACAGCTTAAAGTTGAAATGCCCTAAGGGCGATATATAAGATGCCCTTGAAGTATCCTTTGTCAAGTCCCGTACTGAGGTATATTGTTTGTACCAAGATCGACTATTTAGTGAGGAGCATAAACACATCTCTATCTTATATGGAAGGAAAACTACAGCTGCCCTGAAACGTATCTGCCTTCCAGGCCACTAGAGCTACGTAAAGGACACTAAGTGCTTCCCGGTTGGGCCGCATTCTCGGAGAAGGAAGCGGCTGGGTCCATATACACGCCCGAATGAATGTTTTTAATCTCTGTCACCTCCAGGACGATTGGAGCAGCCGTGCTCGTGGCCCGAGCAGCAAGGGCATTGCGCCCGTGAAAATACTATGTAAAAAATGTATATCGATAGTCATGGAGCAGCTGTTGATCTGTTTAGAGAGCTTGACCTGGAGGGGACCCTCTTTGCTGTTGGCGCTGCGGCCGCATTCTCCGCGTCTGTCCTATCGCAGTCTTGTGCACTATCAAAAAAAGCCTGTTATTAAGCATTCCCAATCCACTATTATCCGTTGAATAAATGCTCTGTGGGCTTCAAGCCATTTTTAATAAAATTAGTGCTGCGGCCGCAATGTCCGCGTTACCCACCCTATTGCAGTTTTCCGCATCCTAAAAAAGCTCATTATCCTTACCTAGAGGCGTTCTAGAACCACTATTATCCTCTAGTTCAAGTGCCCTGCGTGCTTCAAGCGTCAAACTCAAATATCATTTATTTTTTGCATAGATGTGTGACTAATTGGAATGGCTTGACGCTGTGTTCGTACAAGGGGCAGGGCTAGGCAAAGTGTAAACCTTGAAAGCGGGTAACGAATTCCCGGGATGACCGGACTCCCCGGGAATTACGGTACCCGCCGGTGACAGGTCAGCCGGGGTCAAAATTCGACGGATTTATCCGGTCCGGAATCGATTCCCTGCCACTGTTGCCTGGTCTCAAGTCTGCTAGTCTCATCCCTTCGAAATCAACCTGAATTTTCCTTCCTCTCTGGTGCGACCACAGCAACTCAGATTGTAGCTGCTTTCTCACTGAGAGGCCGACTGAAGCTCCACCTCGTAGATGGAACCCTTATATCAATCATGTATTCGAACCGCTAGGACTATAAGCTACCTGAAACACAGCCTTGTCAAGTAATTTTTCCAGTTCCCCATTGATTGAAGTGGCCAATCAGAATTAGACCACTCAGAGACAGCCCAAGCAATGGAGTCCAGCAGTAAGCTGGACTGAGAGATCCGCAAGTCACTCCACCACAATCATCTTGGCATGTTTCTGGTAAAGTCACTCTATACGAGGTTCTTTTGCACACTGAAGGCCATGCATCGCAGTGATGCAACGAACGTTTCAGCTGCGAGGAGACAAGAATCTGTCCGAGTCAATCAGGACACCAACTCGGCTTTCCAAACATATATAACGAGGAGTGATGCGCCTCTCAATAATGTGCCTGTGTGCCTATTTCATTCTTTCTATGAAGCTGTCTTTGCTGTCCGGGCTGGTTCCGATCTATTCATTCTCTACAAAAATACACGCTCTTCACTCGTTTGACTCATACATAGCCTTCTCAAATGAGGCTTTCACTTCTCGCTTCTGCGGCACTCGTGCCCTTCGTTTCCGCCCATTATTTCTTTGATGTCCTTATCATTGATGGCCTTGAGACTAAAAGCAACGAGTTTGTTCGTTCCAACACCCGCGAGGCCAAGTACAACCCAACCAAGTGGGAAAATATTCGCGATGAAATGACCCCCGATCTGTCCGACTTCCGCTGCAACAAGGGTGCCTTTACCTTTGCTGGCCAAACTGGCACCGCAGAGGTTCAGGCTGGGTCCAAGCTTGCCATGAAGCTCGCCGTTGGTGCTAACTTCCAGCACCCAGGACCGGCCTTGGTGTACATGTCCAAGGCTCCCACCACTGCCAGCACTTACGAGGGCGATGGCGATTGGTTCAAGATCCATGAGGAGAGTGTTTGCGACAGGAATGCCGATTTTACTGGCGCTGCTTGGTGCACTTGGGAGAAGGATCGTATTGAATTTACTATTCCAGCTGATCTTCCAGACGGAGAATATCTCATCCGTCCTGAGCATATTGGTAATATTTGTGAGACTAAATCGAGGCTGTGATGCTAATCGACGAAATAGGCGTCCATGGAGCTCATGTTGGTCAAGCTGAATTCTACAACACGTACGTTTACCTTCGCATATCTGATACTACTCCACGGCGGTACTAAAGATGTTCCAGTTGCGCTCAAGTCAAAGTTGTCGGCGGCGGCACCGGAACTCCTGGGCCCACGGTGAAGTTCCCCGGTGCCTATAAGAAAGACGACCCGTCTTTCAACTTCAGTATATATGGCGGGTACAAGGATTACCCTATGCCCGGCCCTGCTGTCTGGACAGGTGGCTCGAGCTCCAACACTGCAAATGAGACACTCCCTTCTGCTCCCTCTCAGGGAGTCACCGGTCCTTGCAACGGCAGCTACCGCCGTGAGCACGCCCGCCAATTCAAGCATTGAATGTGAGCTATACTTGACCCTATCGCGGTCCGCTTTATTTCCGTACCTTTGGAGCGCTTGGTTGCTTGCAACCATGAAACTTTATTTTCTTCTACTCTTTTGTCTTCTTTTTTTGAGAAACTGCTGTGTTACCATGCGAGAAAATTATTTCGCCTGGGATAGTTTTGGAAATTCTTCACAACACTGGCTTGTCTAGCGCGCTCTTTGATCTAACTTATCACGGTGCGGAATCGCTTGTAATGAGTTTGTGGAGATTAGGAAACACCTGCCTTGCTTGGACGATGTTGCATATTTGTGTCATATTAACTCATTATCCTTCGCCCAGCGAAACCTTCCCATACGATCTATCGTGACCAGTATTTGACGCGCTCCTCCCGGCAGAGGTACCGTACTTGTTCGCGCTCCAGCTGTTCACGGGGACACGCGGAGAACTCGAAGTTTTTGCCAGCGCCTTGATCAAACCAGTATAAGAACTTCTCCTTGCAGTCTGTCGTTTTCTAATACTCGTGGTATTTGCGTGGCTTGCTGCCATGCTGATGCTTGAGATCCACCATCTCCAGAAAGTATCATAAATCCATTGCTTTCCCGATCATCTCCGGCAGCGGCTCGCTCTGCCGGTGTTGCGATTTCGTAATGTGGCCATCGCCACGAGCGAGCTTCGCGACGTGAACGGCTTGGGACCAGTTGCGGTGGACTTGAATGGCGGGTACTAAACGCTCATGATATGAGCATTGTACATAGAGTGCTAGCCATGGTTCTCATTAGTCCGTAGGCTATTTGATCAGCTACATGTTTCCAATGCCCGTCATGGCAAAGCGAAGGGAGCGCGTCTCTATTGACAGGGAACATATCCATGTTAACAGGGCACTGAACCTAGTTTAGTGGGGATGTCCCTAACCTAGTGTTGGACCTGCCGGTGGCAAGGCGCCGGAGCACTAAAATTAATAACTACTGCTATTATAATAAATATAACATATATAGTAACTAGTATAGATTTTATAAAGATCTCCAGTTAATATATATTATATTTAGTTTAGTTGTTTTGTAAAGTTTTATATTATAAAAGTCCTTTTAGTTTTAGTTACTTAAAATACTAGTCCTATTTTATTAGAAATTCTTTTATATAAAGTTTCCCTTGATGCTTATACGTTTCTGGCCATTTATAACGAGGCAATCCCCGTTTCTAGACTAGTTGCGACAGGGCTACGCCTGTATTGTAGGATTCAACTAATACGAAGGATCCAACTGGAGGAGGCGCTCGAGAGTGACAAGCAATGCTGTGATTGGTATTCCACCCGTCTGGTTTCGGAAGAATGCCTAGATACTATTTTGCGATCCTCCAGCCGCTCCCCAACAAGTGAGGGAGAGCAGATGGGGTAATTAGCGGCGTTTAGCGTGGGTAGAGACCCCCTCTGTGTCTCAGTTCAGGGCCATGTACAGAATGATCCATCATGCCTTCGTTCAAGCTCAAGCATGCGACGCATGGCCAGCCCGCCGGATATCCACATGTTCGCTCCCGAGCGCCGCTTTCTCAGCCAGCTGCTCCACGTGCTGGTCCAGCCCGACGTCTGCCCTCGCCTGTTGAAGCATGATTTCATCTTCCTCGCCTATGTGGCTACGAAACGCCCTGTCAAGGATATACCCTTTGTTTTAGGAAGATAGAACCACGCCTAAATAATGCCTGTAGCCAAAAAGATGGTGAAAAAAATATAAGCTCCCCAGGTCCAGGCTTCGAATATTAGAGGGACAAAGAACGCAACCGCGAAGTTGTTGAGCTACGTTTGCATTAGACGGGAATCCAAGAATGTACACAGGGAGAACGTACCCAGTTACTTGACGCACCAAACGCCGCCCGTTAAAATCTCGGTTAGAGGTGTGTTACCTAGTAGAAGATTCTATGGTGAGCTAATTTAAAGCAATTCGTCAACAAAGTCTGAACGTAGTTTCTAATATCCTCTTCTACTATAACAAATGGATTTGTCACTTGCTCATCAACTGAATTAGACTTCCACATCTGAGGGCCTTCATAATCTCTATCACCGCCACATCGCGTGCTAACATTATACCAGATGTTATAGTGATAGTGCAGCGTAGCTCCAATGCCTGAGCTTGGAGACGGAAATAAGTACAATAGCTCCGAGCTGATGCCACGCCCTGTACATGACATGGTCCCCCTCACGGTTATTTCTCCTCGTTCACCTATATTGAGGCCTTTGACCGGCATATATGGTTTACCGTGAGCCTGTAATAGACCAGAATTTAGAAAGCAAACGCGGTAAATCGCGCGGAACAGCAGACTTCGAAGACTGGCCTGCAATTCAGCCCCCACCAGCACGACGGCCAACTCCGACAGGCAACCGGCCATCAGCGAGGAGAGCTTATCTACAATTTCGATCTTCTTGTCAACTACTCACCCTCACAGACTCATCCCTACCAAGATGGTGACATTTCGAGATACTGACCCCGAACTCATCAAGGCCCTGGAGCAGCCGTGGCATCGGGACACGCTGGCCCAGGTGCGAACGGGCAAAGTCGAGCCGACATTTTCCACTCGAGAGCCGTCAGCCATCTACAAACAGATCCGAACGGGGGCTGTAGCCGTGACTGTCCTCGGATGCGAAGGCGACGAACACGCGTTTGAACTCGGCGGCGGTCCCGAGAAGGCTTTGCTGCAGTACAGCACCCTCCATTACCAGCAATGGAAGAAAGAACTACCCCAGAGCGACGGGTTGTTCGTCCCTGGTGCCTTTGGCGAGAACCTCGTGGCGACCTATGCGAACGAGCGCAACATGTGTATCGGCGACGTGGTGCGGATTGGCGGACAAGTCATCGCGCAGGTCACGGGCCCGCGCCAGCCGTGCTACAAACTCAACCTTCGGTTCCAGGCCGAGCACATGCCGACTGGATCGCAAGAGCTGTTTCGCACGGGATGGTTCTACCGCATCCTAGAAGAAGGCACGATCCAAGCGGGCGACGAGATCGTCCTGCTCGAGAGGCCGAATCCGGAGTGGACCGTCGCTAGGATCCAATTCTATCTCTATCATGATATGCGTAACAAGGACATGATGCGGGAGATTTTGAGGATAAAAGAACTTGGCTCCGAATCGCGCGGCATCTTCAGAAACAGACTGAAGAAACAGTTGGAGAATCAAGCCAGCCGATTACTAGGCGCACCTGAGAAGGGTTTGACCACCTGGAACGACTACAAAGTTCTGGACAAGACCAGAGAGACGACGCGTATCTATTCGCTTGTCCTTGAAGCACTGGCTCCCTCAGAAGCGCCTACTGTGGTAGCACCTGGATGCCACGTCAGAGCGCGTCTCGGTGGAAAGCTCGTCCGCACTTACTCTGTTGTTATGGGAGATTCCAATCGCTTCCGACTGGCGATTGCACTGAGTGAAACAAGTAGAGGAGGGTCCAATTACGTTCACGACAAGTTACACCCTGGGGACGTTATTCAAATCGGCCCAATCACCGCGAGCTTCCCCCTGGCAGAGAGCGCTGACCATCACGTCTTCATTGCTGGCGGCATTGGAATAAGTGCATTGATCGCTTCAGCTCAGCACTGCCAGAGACTGGGCATTTTATACCACCTGCACTACCTCGTGAGAAGCGCAGATGATGTCGCTCTCAAGCCGCTTCTGGCCGAGTTTGGCTCGAATATGACCGTCTACGACAAATCCGCCGGCAAGCCCTTTGACACAGCGGCTATCCTAAATAAAATCAACGACCAGACCCATGTGTACTGCTGCGGACCCCAGCGACTACAGGATTCTGTTTCAACAACCGCAACTGAACTGGGAATCAACCCGAACAATCTGCATTTCGAAGCGTTCGAGGCTGCCACATCCGGAGACCCATTCACGGCGCAGCTAGCGGAGTCGAATATATCGGTAGACGTAGAGGAGAACCAAACACTGCTCGATGTCCTGCGTGAGACTGGGTTTGATATTCCATCCTCGTGCGAGGCTGGCAATTGTGGGACCTGTCGTGTGGGAGTCAAAGAGGGGCGAATCGATCATAGAGGGAAAGGGCTGCCGGAGGCAGAGAAGTGCTCTGCCATGTTGAGTTGTGTGTCTCGCGGTATCGGGACGATTGTATTGGAACTGTAGAAAGTGGGGTAGAAATTGTCGGTCTAGCCCGGGGTGTTGGACCAGGAACAGCATTTGTGGGAGATATCATTTTTAGACGCAGTAAATATGTGGATATTGAAGAATAGCGGTGTTGCTATACTGCAGGAGGTACAAGATACGATGCATGCCGTTAAAAGGCACTCTTTAGATAATACGATATAGTTACGACCCCCCTACGCGACGTTCCCACGCAGCTCCGCGCCTCGGATGCATGAATGGCTGGTGGTTCCCAGGGGTAAGCTGGCTTCCTAAGAATGCCACAAAGTCTTAGTCCACTCGACGTGGAGATGTGAGCCTACAAACTTATACACCCTACCAAGTGGTGCCTCGTAGTACTCTCCAAACGGTAATAGCCATGACAAATCGTGCGTAGCATGTACCGCCAATTCCAGCTGATCGAGATGGATCAGGCAGCAAGCCATGGCCTCCTTGTAGAAGTAACCGCTACCTCACCGGGAGTCTGTTACCCACGTCAAGCCTTTGCATGCCCGAAAATGAGCGTATTGATACCCTTACCAGGTCCATCGGCTGCCTCTTAATATCCCCCCCGGTCCAACCAGGCCGTCTAATATCTTTTCCGAGTTACGAAAGAGCAATGGGGCTCTCTAAATAGTTACTGATGAGATGACACTGCATGCTGAGCTCATTGGAGGAAAGCGGCGTCGGGGCTTTAACTGCGAGATAGCAGTAACCAGAATGCAGAATGGGGATATCTGCCTGGGTATAAAGAATGGGAATCCAAATGTATGTGCTTAAGGACAATAAAAGCTTTACAATTTCTTCCGCCAGCACAGTTACTATCTGTGCGGGCTAAATTTCAATCCTACAATGACCCTGATTGGATAAACTCCATTTCCGAGACAAACCTCTCAAGCACCGGACGATAGCTGACTAGCTAGATTAGATCCCTCTTTCCACCGTCCTTTGTTGCGATGGTCAACGATTCGGACGAAAACAAATCGCCCGTGTAGGTAAGTGGCTCCCGGAGCCAGAGGCTGTTTCGGGGTGGGGGAAGAGGATCAAGAAACCCTTTGCTCGAAGATTATATGGGCTATTCCCTCGGCCAGCCGACTTTGAAGCTGCATTATCTCCTATGTCCCTCCTGATAATGCGGTGAGTCCCGTCCATCAAAGTCTTCCTTTCACATCCCATATTGTTGGCTTTTAACCACTGGAATAACGGCTCTTTTGGCTCAATGACTAGGGCACTTGTTTTGATTCAATCTTTGATGTTCCTTCGAGGCTTTGAACTTCTATAAATAGGAAATAGAACGAATACAAGGACCAAGCGGGCACTGACTAATGGTAACTTCTGCATTGAAGCAGAATACTAGCAGTCACTGGAGGTTGACAACAAGACAAGCGTAAGTCACGCCCTCCAAAGTGAGATGGCTCAACCCTTGCAGCCCAAGTGCATTACTATTGGACAATTGGGTTACAACAGGGTGAGATGATTCCACAAAAACCTAATCATCCTCTTTGTCTGCCAGAACGCCTCCGCACCGCTTTTGTATACACTCCTCGATATGCCCTTGCTCGATCGCACCAATTATAACAAATTGATCATTCTCTACCTTAATGCTTGCTCCGCCTTACTCTGATCCTTCTTCCACCACTCAATCCTCATCTTAATAAAGTCCCAGAAGACATCGCCCCATGCCGACTCGTACTTGGGCAGAACTCTGCCTGTTGTGCCTGGAGCTGGTTCACCTGCAAGCTCGCGGAGCTGCTCAAAGTGTGTCTCAAAGTCAGGCATCAGGGTCCAGAATGGCCCTCCTTCTCCGCGCTCTTCGAGCCGATCCTGTTCCCATTTTTCCATTTCGTCACGGGATGGTAGCGATGCTCGTCCTGCGAGGACACGGGCTGCGGCAACGGCTTGCCATTCGAAGATGCGGATTCCGAAGCCTCCTGTTACCTGTTCTGAATTTAGTACGATTCCCAACACTATAGAGGTATGCCAGGTGCGTACCATGCCAATAAACGCGAGACTCGGGTTGTCAATCTTGAAGACGTGCTTGTACAGGCCCGCTACTCGCTTATGAACCGGTCCCAGATCTGGCAGGAATGGAAAGCTGAAGTCGTAGCCAGTCGCGAAGACAACGGCATCTACGTCGTGCGCAGTGGAACCGTCTGCGAAATGAATTGCGCCAGTTCCGGGGTCAAAGGACGATATTCCGGAGTGGTTTTCGATCTCCGGGTGCTTGAATGGTGTCTCCCCAAATATCGGCGAGTGATTGCGAAGTGATGATATGATGGGCAGCTTGGAGACTCGTCTGATATCGTGAAGAGCGTCGAATGCGGAGACCGATCCGCCGACAACAATGACTCGCTATACGGTCAAGTCAGAATCATTCTAGGGTTAATGGAACAGACATCTTACCTTGCCCTTGAACTCGTCCGACGTCTCGTAATGTTTACTGTGCTTGATTCTACCCGGATACCTCTCATCATATTCAACAATCCCTGGAATATTCGGGATGTTGGGCAGGTAGTAGTGGCCTGTTGCAACAACCACCGCGTCGAATCTCTCTTGCCACCAGTAATCCTTTTCCGCTCCCTCGAGAGATTTGCGCAGCGTAAGAACCCACTCCTGCCCCGTGTGCTGAGCCAGCTCAACGCTCGTTCCGAACTCGACCAGATGCTCATGATTCCCTCGCTTGAACACGGTCTCCACCCACTCGCGCATCACCTCGCGATGCCGGAATGGGGAGTCCGGACCGTACTGCGATAGCGTCCTCTCTGACAGGATCTTCGGAATTGGTTCCTGCGAGAAACACATTACGCTCGGCGGGAGGTTGCTGTGCAGGTGCTCGTGGGCTCCAGTGTCTGAGAACCGCTGCAGATATGAGCTTGTCTTCTCTGTTCTTTCCGTCTCACTCGGCAGACTGGGTGGGATTGAAATGGTCGTGTCGGCGCGATGCTCGACCAAGTCCTGCAACGAGGGTATGTGCGCATCTTTTCGAGGTGTGTGAACCCTACATTCGTTAGTTTGCATCGGCAGACTGGTATCCGAACGACAAACCATGTTCCACCTATCACATTCTGGCTTTCAAAGATACGGATTGTGTCGAATGCCTGCTCCTTGACGAGGGCGTCTGTTGCAATTGCACCCGCGGGGCCAGCGCCAATGACGGCCACGCGCCGAACATTCAGTACCGTCTTGGTCATGATTTCAACTTGGACAAGAAAATAGTATACGGTGGAAAAGGTTCCCAGAATGTGAGGATTAATTTCTCAGCAGAGAAATTCCCAGCCTCGGAGCTTTCCCGACATCGGGCGAATATGGCCTCACGCCAGGTACCCTTGCCTTCTGGTTCGTCAATAACCATGAGGAACAATCTCTCGTTATCGATGGCGTAGCGATAGTATGACTCGTTATGCGGGAAATAAATCCCGAAGAGGCTGTTCGGGGTTTGCTCTCGACAGGATGATTCGCTGGGCGATGGTGTCATATGTCGCCATCTTGGCGCCTCCACGCGCAACGCGATTCGGGCTTCCACGTGGAGTCGCTTCTCCAACTACACCGGCCTTTGCTCCAATGCACAGCTGCTTCAATAATACTGTCCAGAGTCAGGCAAAACCCTTTGGCTTCCAGCTACGTTCCAGTCCGTCCGCGAGTCGCAATGTCCTCCCGCCCAGTCATCGAGTACTACTTCTCCTTTATCTCGCTATGGTCCTACATTGGCAGCCGGCGCTTCCAGCGGCTCACCCAAGAAACGAACGCCAAAGTCATCCTCAAACCCATTGACCTCATGTACATATTCTCCATCTCTGGTGGCCTACCAGTGAAGCAGCGCTCGACGCAGCGCCAGGCCTATAGACTCATCGAGATGGAGCGCTGGCGCCGCATCCGCAACATACCCATTGTTCAACATCCCAAGTACTACCCCGCCGACCCATCACTGGCGCATCGTGTCCTCCTCGCCGCTATTGAAGAGTCGGGACACGATGATGCGTCTGTGCAGGAATATGCGCGACTCGGGCTGGAAGCTGTGTGGGCGCGCGAGCTCAACATTGCCGACCCGGAGACGATAGTTAGTCTAGCTAAGGAGGCTGGACTTGAGGGAGGGCGGCTGCTGGAGAGAGCAAAATCGGAGGCTTCTCTGGCTGAGCAGGAAGCTGCTTTGACCAAGGAGGCGGAGGCAAAGCAGTATTTTGGGGCGCCGCTGTATTCCCTACGGGGAGAGCCATTCTGGGGGCAGGATCGTATCGAGATGTTGGAGGACGTTATCAAGAGTGGGAGGGGGCCTATTATTATTAAAGAGACAGAATAGACATTGCCGTGTTGATAACAAAGTCTGGGCATCTCAACCTGCGTCTAACAATTCCACAATTATAAGGGCGATTACAATAAGAACACAAAATACATTCATAACTCTCATAAACTACATCAATAAGCTAATCATAGTATGTCACCTTAACCCCCTTCAGGATCTCCACATCATTAACCTCATTATCACCCTCCTTCGCCGTCGACTCTCCAAGATTCTTAATCACCCGCTGCTTAACCCACTCGCCGGCCTTCAGCGGCTGCCCATCACTCCCCACAATTTTGTTCTCAATCAATCCATGTTTCCGCAGAACAGGTGACTCCTGGATTGGAACAAGGTCACAATCGTCCTCGATGCGGACCATGTACAGCACACCCAGTCGGTCGATGTGCGCTTGGTCCTTTGGCGGGGCGACAACCCGGTGGATGCTCGATTTGAGGTAGCCGTCTATGCTACGTTAGTATGAGCAATGCAAGGAAGATCAGTGGGACATGCTCGTCATGAATTGAAGGGCATCGGCAATATTGACCGTAAGAGCATCCATCTGCGGTCGCACGTACTTCCACTCGCCGCTCTTGGTGAGAACCTGCAGCGCAGCAACCGGCTGACGAAAGAGGAGCGTGAGACTGCCCATGTCGGAGTGTCTACACTCGTCAGCAACACACCCCCTGAGGAACGGCTATTATGGAAAATACTCACCCCTTCAACCACACGCCCCCAAGCTTGTCATTTTCCTCCTGACTCCGCGCATAATATTTCATGTAGCGCAGATGATCGCCCGAGGTCTGCTCATACCGATGCTTATTAACAAGCCAGTGTTCATCCTCAAGCCCCAACGCAATTGCAAAGATCGTAAGTAACTTCTTGACAATCTGCTCATGAATATGTCTCGAGAATTTCTCGATGGCAACCCACTGCTCGCGGACAATATCCGGGTGCTTGCGATCCGCGTGCTCAGGCGTGAACTTCGGGATGTTGTAGATCTCAAAGTTATCCTTCACGCCGGGGACGAGGGTGCGGATCCCCGCGGGCTTCCAGCCATTATAGTCGCCCTGCTCCAGCGCCGCGCGGTATTTCTGTTTTTCCTCGGTGGGCAGGGAGAGGACGGATTTTGCGATTGCGAATTGCGTGTCGATGTCGGATTTGCTTAGCCCGTAGTTTGTTACGTAGAAGAAGCCTGTCCCAGCCAAATTAATGATCCTCATCGTAGGTAAGGTAAGGAAGGGCTGGGTAAGTGCAGCGCACCGACATCCTCGATGGCCTGCGTAAACTCAGCAGCCAACTCTTGTTTCCCGCCTGGTTGGTCGAATTTGCTGAGGTCGAGGGTTCGCAGGTCGGCCCAGTCGAGGTTCTCTGACGTTTCGGGAACCTGGACGTAGGAGAGCTGTGGAGCTTCGATGGTTGTTGTCGTGGACATTTTCAGCTGCAGTACAAGATAATCTATGAACAGAGAAGAGTAGAGTAATTGGGGATCGCAGAGTGTAGAGAGGATATGCGGATGCTACTCAAGTACAATCCAAGTCCAACGCTCTTAAACCAGCTCAGTCCCATACTCCCATCCCCGTCTCCACTCTGCATGACTAGCCCCGATTCCTCAATCCTCCTCACCCATCACACCATCAATCTACTCCATCGCGCCTTCCTCTCCTGTCCAATACCATTGCAAGAAGACTACATCAGTCGTTTGTTTATCTGAAAGCAAATCCCGGCCGTTGTATATCGCTCCACTTTCAAATCCCGCAAAGCCCGATGTATGTTGAGCCTCGTCGGGATTCGGATGTCATGGCCTTTGAAGTGAGGGTGGCGTTGTTAGATGGGTTGGTTTGGGGGAGATATGAGATGGCTCCTCATTGGCTGCTTTATACTTCGAACTGCAAGTTCTTTGTTGATTGTGTAACCTCGTCTTACATCTATGTAGACTTTGCCTATTATATATTTGGAAGCTGGTGGACGATTTCCTCCTGGCACTTGACGGCGTTAGAATGGTCGACATCTTCAGTCATACAAATATGTTCTAGCCGTTGAGGAGGGGATAGATTCCGCAAGCTGCACGTGGCAAATGGGAACACCCAATTCCCCTGGCACTCTGCGTTCCCCGAAGCCAAAGATAAAGTATGCTCATCTCTGGCGGGACTGATGTCATCCTCCGCTAACCCCATACGGAACAGTGGGGGGTCGTGTCATTGGCCCAACAAAGATGTCATTTAGAGTTTGGATCTAGTCCGATATCGCGCCAAGAGGAAAAATTCTCCTGCTGCAGGGATGCGACTATTTAAGCTTCACATTTCTTTTTGACTGCATGCATTGACAGCGAGACATCGATCGCAACTACGTATCAAGTATCATGGCTTCCTCCGACGGTGCGGAGGCCCCCGCCCCCCACACTGCAGCCCATAATGAGAAAACCGCCATCGCGGGCGGCATCGCAGCGCTGGGCGACGAGGCTCGCCCCATCGACCCCGAGATCGAGCGTCGCGTCCTGCGCAAAATCGACCTCTTCCTCATGCCAGCGATGGTCATCGGCTACGGGCTAGTCTACTACGACAAGGCGATTCTCGGCAGCGCCGCGCTCTTCGGTATGACTGCTGATCTGCAACTGTCTGTCACGGACACCTCGGTGACCCCGCCGCAGACGGATACGTCGCGACTGAGCTGGGCGACGTCCATCTTTTACTTTGGGCAGCTTGCGGGGTCGTATCCGATGACATATCTCCTCCAGTGTTTCAAGACCAGATATGTGCTTGGTCCGTCGGTTATGTTCTGGGCGGTGGTTTGTGCTGCGACGGCGGGGGTGACGAGTTGGAGGGGGTTGCTTGCGCAGCGATTCTTTTTAGGTATGCACGCTTTCCCCCGTATTGATATAATGTGTACTGACAGCGATAGGCTTCACCGAAGCGATCATCCCAACAGGCTTCATGGTAACCGTCAGCGGGTATTACACGCAGCGTGAGCAGTCGCTCCGACAGAGCTGGTGGTGGTCCGGGACGGGCTGGTTCACCATCATCGGCGGCGGGTTCAACTACGGGTTTGCGCAGATCGAAGGTGGTGCTCTGAAGCCGTGGCAGTATATCTATGTCTTTGCCGGTGTGCTGACGTTCCTCTTCGGAATCTGGTGCTTCTTCCTCCCGAATGATCCCCTGCATGCGTGGTTCCTTACACCTGAGGAGCGCATTGTTGCCGTCGAACGGCTACGGGCGAGTCAGTTGGGTGTTAAGAGCCACGAGTTGAAGAAGGGGCAGATTAAAGAGGCGCTGTTGGATGTGCGGATTTGGTTGATCGCGTTGACCATGGCTGCTGCGTACGCACCCCCAAAATCCTCTACTGTTCCTAAGCAACAACTAACCGTCGATAGATACACCGTCAACGGCGCCGTCTCGGGCTTCGGCCCCCTCATCGTCGCAACATTCGGCTACTCCTCTCTCCAAGCCATCCTCTTCCAATTCCCCCTCGGCGCAATCTCCGGCGTCGGAATCGTCCTCACGGGCTGGATCTGCTCGCGCGTCCGCAACATCCGCATCTTGTTACTCGTCCTCTGCTGCCTCCCCGTCCTCGCCGGCTTCGTGATGATCTGGAAGTCATCCTGGGGCCATAAACCCGTCACGCCTGTCGCCGGGTACTCGCTGATCGGGTTCTTCGGCCCCGTTGTGGGGTTGACAATTTCGCTCGGTGCGAGTAATATCGCGGGTCAGACGAAGAAGAGTTTCATGGCGAGTGCGATTTTCGTCGCATATTGCGTGGGCAATATTGTTGGCCCGCAGCTCATCAAGAGTCAGCAGAAGGCGGACCATTACCCCGAGCTGTGGACGGGTTTGATTATTTGGTAATCTCCCCCCCCCTTTTTTCTTTCCAATCCTGCTTTCAGTGGCCAAGAAGATTCTGACTATTATATTTAGTTACTGCATCACAATTGCTTCCGCATCCACGCTCGCTGTGCTCTGGTATCGCGAGAATAAGCGGCGCGAGGCGCTGGATCTGGATGAGAGCGAGCGCGACCGGTTGGCGTTCAAGGATCTGACCGATCGCGAGAATGTGCATTTCAGATATGTTTATTAGGCCATGTATCGAGCCGGAGTGGAATATCCTATCCTTTAGTTGGATTATTATCTTAATAGTTGACTGTTCCCTGCGCAAAGTTGTGAGGGTTGTCGAAATATATAGTGGCAGGCAACCAAAGGCACAAACGAATTCAAATCGAGGGGCACCGGAAGGCAAGCGGACCTATCCGAAAATCAAAACATAAAAATTCACAAGCACATCATTAAAATAGAAACAAGGTTCCTGCCTGGACTATAAAACCGTTGCTAAGCATCATCCCACATGGCGGATGAGCACGGATCAGGGCACATCTTCCCACCGGGTGGGCACCTACGTCACAGCACCGTAACCTGATAAATCCACAGCACAGACAGGGCAGAGCTTGCGTCGCTGATTTAATTCTCCGACGCGAGGGGCATTCTTGATTCTATTCTGCTCGAAAAAGAAAACGCAAAGAACGGCAAAGCAGGGGCAATGTCGAAATTCAAACATCTCCCGCGCGCCGCGCACGGGCCGATCAAGTGTCCCTACACCGTACGCCAGCCCAACCCAGACCACATCCTCACTGGGAGACAAAGTCTAACAGGCGCAGGGCGCCAACCTGCTGGGAAACAGCTACTACAACAAAGGCTCAGCCTTCCCCGCGGCCGAGCGCCAGAAATTCGGGCTCCACGGGCTCCTCCCGCCAAACATCCAGACCCTAGACGAACAAGTCGCGCGCGCATACGAGCAGTATGCCAGCCGGCCCGGCGACCTCGCGAAGAACACGTTTATGGCGAGCATGAAGGCGCAGAACCAGGTGCTCTTCTATCGCCTGCTCCAGACGCATCTCAAGGAGATGTTTGGGGTGATTTATACGCCGACCGAGGCGGATGCGATCCAGAATTACTCGAGGCTGTTCAGGAAGCCCGAGGGGTGTTTTTTGAATATCAATGATTCTGGCTTGGAGAGCATTGAGGCGAGTTTGGAGAATTTTGCGCCGCGCGACGGCGGGGAGGTTGATTATATTGTTGTTAGTGATGGGGAGCAGGTGTGTTTCTTTTTCTTCGCCTTCTCTGTTTATTGCCGACTGTTCCTCGGTAGTATACTCGGGGAAGATGTTGACTTGTGGGTTGTAGATCCTGGGTATCGGCGATCAAGGCGTCGGCGCGATCCTCATCTCCGTCGCCAAGCTCGTCATCACGACAGCATGCGCGGGGATCCATCCGTCAAGACAACTCCCCGTTGTCCTTGACTGCGGGACGAATGTAAGTATACCTTAAATTGAGAAAGGTGTCGACTGACGGCGCCGGCCAGAACCAAGACCTCCTCAACGACGAACTGTACCTCGGCCTCCGGCAGCCGCGCGCAACAGGGAAAGAATACGACGACTTTGTCGATCGATTTGTGCAGGCTGCGCGGAAGAAGTTTCCGAATGCTTATATCCACTTGTGAGTCTCCCTCCCACCCAACGCCCTCCCTCCGTTCGCAAGATAGATGCACGGCTAACGGTGGACAGTGAGGACTTTGGCCTGCAAAACGCCAAACGCCTCCTCGACAAATACCGCGGGGACATCCCGTGCTTCAACGACGACATCCAGGGAACCGGGTGCGTGACGCTTGCGGCGCTCATGGCCGGATTACACGTTAGCAAGGTTGCACTCAAGGACGTGCGCGTCGTGTGTTTCGGCGCGGGGTCAGCAGGGACGGGGATTGCGGATCAGATCAGCGATGCGATTGCGACGGAGAGCGGGAGAGAGAAGGCCGACGCGATGAAGCAGGTTTGGTGTATCGATAAACAGGGCCTCCTCCTCAAGTCGCAAGGGGATAGTCTCACGGAAACACAACGGTTCTTCGCCAAGGAGGACGGCGAGTGGCCTGAGGGTGAGGACATTGACCTTTTATCCGTGATCAAGCGGGTGAAACCGCACGTGCTTATCGGGACGTCGACGAAGCCCGGTGCATTCACCGAGAAAATCATCCGTGAGATGGCGAGACACGTCGAGCACCCGATTGTCTTCCCGTTGTCTAATCCAACGAGACTGCATGAGGCGCAGCCGCAGGACCTGGCGGAGTGGACGGATGGCAAAGCACTTGTTGCGACGGGGAGTCCGTTTCCGCCTGTTGAGTTTAATGGGGTTACGAAGGAGATTGGTATGCCCCTTCCTCTCACAGGTTTCCCCTGTCTCTATGTACTCCTGGTAAAGATAATCGGCGTGGACTGTGCTAATACATATACAGCCGAGTGCAACAACTCAACCGCCTTCCCCGGCATCGGGCTCGGCGCCGTCCTCAGTCGAACGCGCCGGGTATCAGAGAAAATGATCGTCGCCGCCTCGAAAGCACTCGCCGCGAAAGCACCCGCACTGGAGGATCCGAATAAACCGCTCCTTCCGGACGTCGAGGACGTGCGTGAACTCAGCCTGAATGTCGCCAAGGCTGTGATTCAGACGGCTGTTGAGGAGGGCCTTGCACAGGAGGAGGGGATTCCCGAAGATGAGGGGGATCTCGAGGAGTGGATTCGCGTGCAGATGTGGGAGGCGGAGTATCAGGAGCTTGAGAAGGTGTAAACTGGTAAATGGTGTAGCCATAGATATCCCTGGTAGTCATCAATGACAGGGTTGTGAGTCGAACAGATCTCAAGCACGTCTCATCTACACCCTACAAAGTCTAGGCTGGGACGTAGCGGCAGATTTCGCACCAATCTGCCAAGCGGTGGACATGTACGTTGTGAATTGACACTAGTGCTAAAAGTAATAACAAGGGAAGCCCTTTAAGCCTGCTTGCTCTGATAATCCGGCTCCCCGTTTCGATCTGAAGGGGATGGAGCAGGTACTGCAGTCACCGCGCCAATTTCCTCCACTTCGGCAGGCATGATTCCGTTTAGGAGCATTGCGACACTGCGAAACACTTGTTAGCCGGATATTCACGATTCAGATGGGAGGGAAAGAAGAAGGGGGAGGGGAGAACATACAAAGCAGTAACAGCAAACCCCGTCTCGAGCACAAGCTCAATCGCGTTCTCAAAGCCTTCCAGATCCCGATTCTCCGTGGGCGGGAACACATTCGCAAACCACGTCGGCACCAGCGTGGCACCGTATCCCAACGCCATCGACGCTGTCAGGATGAATCTGTTCCGTCGATTAAACGGCGCCTTGGAGACAATCGCCTGCCCACTAATCACCACGCTTGCAAACAGAAACGTCTTCATCCCACCCATGACGGGGTTCGGGATCGCCACAATCGCCGCGGCGAACTTTGCGAAGATCCCCGCCACAATCAGAATTATACAGCAGCAGTACCCCGCCGTGCGATTCGCGCAGCGCGTCAGCGCGATGACTCCGTTGTTCTGAGCAAACGTCGTCATGGGGGTCATTGTGGCCAGCGCGGCGATGACCGAGTTGATCCCGTCGGCGAGGACGGCGCCCTGGAGGCGCGATTCAAAAGTGCCGCCGCGGACTTCGAGGCGCGAGACGTCGCAGGTGGCAGTGACGTCGCCGATACATTCGCAGGCGCAGATGATGAAGACGGCGATGATGGGGAGGACCATGGGGCCGTAGACGGAGAGGGGGAAGGTTTTAACCCAGATGAAGGAGGCGACGGGGGCCTAAATGGTTAGTATGGGATGGGCAAGATGGGGATGATCGGAGGCAAGGGACGTACAGCGTCAATGTTTGTTCGGCTAAAGTACCCGCAAGCCGCAGCGACGATGCAGCCCATCAAAAGACCGACGACAACAGAGCAAGACTTCATAATGGGGGCACCGAATCGCTCGCAGAGGATAATCGTGACAAAGACCAGGAAACCCAGCCCGATGAATTCAGGACTTCCCCAAGGCAACGGTCGCGGCGCAGCCTCATTCGGACAGATCGCATCCATACAGCCGGACCCACCAGCCCAGTCCTTGAACCCGGTTCCGATCAGATTGATTCCAATCAGCATGACTGTCGGACCGGTGACGATGGGCGGGAAGATCTTCTGCATGATCTTTGGCGGGACAAAGGCAAGGACGATCTCGACCAGGGCGCAGCAGGCCGAGGTTCCGATCAATGCGCCGTAGGCTTCCGGACAGGGGAGCCTGTTTCCGTCTGCATCGACTTGGCAGAAGCCGTTGGAGTACATTTGGGTGAAGGCGCCGCTGGCGACCGAGATTATGGCGAAGGAGACGCCCATCACCGAGAGGACACCACTGCCGATGTAATACGGTGTCTTGTAGATGTGGAACCGTGTGATCTGGACCATCGAGAGCAGACCGCAGACGATGAGCGCTGTGGAAACGAGGTACTGCTGGAGGTCTGGGGAGAGGCTCAGGGAGCTGGAGAGGATAAGCGGGGGCGTGACGACACCGGCCAACATGGCCAGAGCATGCTGGAGACCGAGGATGAACGCAAGGAGGACGGGGATTTTCTCGTTGAGGCCGAAAAAAGGCGGGGGACGGGGATCCTTTGTCATAAAGGGAAGCTCGGGGCGGAACAGGTGGCCATAGTCGTAGTTGCCGATGAGGCCGTCGCGTGTGGTAAAGGCTCGTACGAGCGATCGCATGCGCTGGGCGACGGTCTTTTTGGGGTTGGAACCCGGGACGACCGAGTCGGGTCCATCAGTCGAGTGGATGGAGTTGTCCATGGCGATATCCAGCTATCCCGTCGAATACTAGATCGAGTGTGAAGCTGATGGATTCCGGATGAGAGAAAATCGAGGCCATGACGCCGGACACGAGGTCATTTTATCCTGCCAACTCCAACGATAAGATAACCGGATTGACGATGAAGCCAAGGCGCGCGAGTCTTCCCAAGGATGCCGAGAAAGCAGCGTCCGAGCGAGAGATAAGCAGCAGCACCACGAGCAGGCACTGGACTGCCATCAAGCCACACTCAGCCCTCCAGATGCTAAGCGAGCGACGCACTCGCGACCGTCCGATGCTCGGGAGGCGGCGATCGAGTAATAGCAGGCTGTCAAGGAGGTCTTATCTCGTTCTTGGTATCTGTGGCTGCGCCTGCTTATCACGCCTGGTCCCCACACCCGGCGGCCTCCGCCGCTCTATACGAGGTCGAGATGCGGAGAGATTGGGTCTGATTCATGGGTCAGAGATGTCAATTGCGTGCAGTTTCAAGACGTTGCTGACTTGCAGCGCCATTGTTTCGACATCTGTCCCTGGGTTCTCGGGTATCGCCCCAGAGTGGACAGCCCGACATTTCCCGGCCCAGTCCGGAAGCAGAAACTAGCGTGGCCAAGCTTAAATCGACCAGATCCATCCCCTCCAACTTCCAAGATCGCTAATCCTGCATCTATGCAGATTCGTACTCGACCTATCGAACTGATATTCTTGAGTATATACGGACTCGCCCGATCCCGCAGCGGACGTAGACAATGATGGAATGCGACAACCATCCCAGACGAAGTGCGCCAGCGCTTGAAGCGGATCAAAGAATATATGCTTTAACGGGAATGAATTGATAGTGGCGGATCCTGCTGTCAGCTCAAAGATGGGACCGACTCGGGCAGCTATACTGGGCCCAATTTGAACCTTTCTCGCTGTAGCGGGCCCAGATGATGTCAAGCAGATTGACCGTTGCAGTGATCCGTTGAAGACTGTTGTGGTGGCCCAGACTGTCATCATATTCCAGATCATCAGTCAACCGGAAGAATCTTCTGCCACACTCTGTAGTGAGAAGGTACTTGTCTCCAACCGTTCCCTGCTCGATAACCGGTCCACAGAGCACGCGGTCTTCCCGTGTCATCCACGTTTCATCCAGGTATCCCTGGTCAAGCGCAATCCGCCCCTGAACAGTGACCATCTGCTTCGCGTTGAAATAAATAACAAGCAGCTCGTCCGTTTCGGACATCTGCCTGTCCACAATGATGATCCACGATATTGAGGCTGTGTGTAGCAAGTACCTCACGGCACTGTCTCCCTTCTCGAGATCGACATTTGGATCCTCCGTCCAGGTCGGATTCTCTTCCTTTGCTAATGCGAGCGAGTTTTTGCAAGAAGCGTACCTCCGCGCTGCATTATCTCTGGATTAGTATGGCTGGGGAAATAATCAACACGTGGCCCTATTTGCACGATATTGTCTGGATCGCGAGCAGCGTATTTTGGAGTGTCATCCCTACAGCGCGCGATCTCAGGGGGAACATTGAAAATACGCCTCTAGTTGTCACCACAGCCGAAGAGCTCGCGGTCATTCAGAGCGAGGCAGTTCGCTACATCTGAGTACAAGTCCGACGTCTCTGCGTACTCCCCGAACTTCATATAACCCTCCTCGCTCTCACTGTTCTCATAATATGTTCGCAGCATGACGGGGAAGTATCGATCTTTCCCGCACCATATTTCCCACGCCCTTTTCCGCATATCGTCTGTTCGCCATGGTTTCAACCATGATCACGGGACTCTGGATCCGGTAGTAGAAGGGGTCCGAGCCGCCGAATCCGCCAATCCAGGAGAAGTACGTCTCGCGCAGATGAGCCTTGATCAACCGCAACTGCGCGGCGAGCGGACCCTCAGGCAAGAGAACCAGGAGGACTCGAGCGCCCTGATAAGGAGCTCTTGCGCTGCCGCTGGCATCTTTTCGCTCCACATTGCTGGGTAGATCTGCGCTGCGGTTTGGAGATCGGGGTGGAGGCTTTGCATGGAGGCCGTATCTCTTCTCGTCTGTGCAGTGGGTAACGCCGTTCAATGGGCCTGCGTCGATGATCTGGCTTGGTTACTAGCGGCTGGAGTCGAGGAACGCAACTCCGGGGACAGACATTGGGCTCGGCGCAATGAATATTGGGCCGCTAATCATCTGCCGTCTAAAGACGAAGATATTCAAGCAGTGGTGGTGGCCGTACAATCTAGAACCCCAAGACTCATCTACTGATGGTGTTCCGAAAGGGCGAACCTACCGCAATCAGTTAACTCGTTAGGAACTAGATCCCGGGAATAAGGCTCGACCGGATTTCTCACCGATAGCTATGGCGGTTCATGATCGCGTGCGCGTTCACCGACTCGCCCAGAAAATGGTTCATCTCCATTGCCGCAGTGAACTTTTCATAGCCCTTGTGACTCAGGCTGGACGCGAGGAGTGCGACGAAGCCTCCTCGGCAATGAGCATCTGGGAGCAGTGTGGGACAAGTTCATAGCCGACTAGATCTTTAGTTACTGGATTAATAACTAGCGCGTTGACAATCTTGAAGTGACGCCCTTTACTGTGATCAGATTGAAGGGGTTGTGATACAAATTGTATATATAAAAGAACAACTTCTACAGCTACCAGCACCTAGAAATACCAATATTGATAGCGAGAAGAGTTATTAAATAAAATCATCACGACCTCCGTCACAACATCAAATCTTACAGACTTTCCCGAGGATGCTTTGCACCATTGAATCCCCATTCTCGAAAATCTTACCTAGGGACGTAATCTCTCCGGCCTTCATCCCCTTCCTCCAGTTGGCCACCTCGCTCAGACCCTTTGCATTGCGGGATGCCTTGGCAATGCTTCCAACACCAAACAGCATACCCAACATGTTGACCACAGCCGAGGCTGGGTCCTTGACTGTATCATACGTAGCCAGGGCCGCGTTAGCCAGTTCACCAGCGATAGCGATGACGCGGGCCAAATTGGCCAGGCCCAGACCAGCGGCAATTCCTTCACCAACCATAGGGACGAACTGTTCATGTTTTGTTAGTCGCGTGGGCTAAAAACCAGGGAGGCAAGGAATAGATTGGGGGGAGGGGGACGGGGGGTGTTGAATGCTTACCATAAACACAACACTGATAATCAGCAAAATGAAATTCTCCTTCCTCTTCCTCTCTTCCTCTTCCTCCTCTTCTTCCTCCTCCTGGCCCAACTCCTTAGCCTGCGCCATACTATCAACCGCCTGCTGCAGCATAAACACCGCCGGCGCGTAAGCAAGCGCCGCATCTCTAGCATCACCACCCATCCATCCTCCCCCCATGATCTCCAATAAGGTAGTCTCCATATCAGACCGCATGCCTGGGATATTAGGTAAAGCCTTCGTGACGATATCCTTGGGATTCTGTACGACCATAGACTCATTCTTGATCGGCCACCCGGTAAAGCTTAGTGTCCAGTGGGCCGCGGGTAGGGTATTGTAATTGGTGCGTTGGATCTTGTAATCCCCAAAATCGACCCAGTCTTCGAGGAGGCCGGCGTTGGCGAGGGCTGTTGCGAACCCGTCTTTGTCGCTGAGGGTTAGGTCGGTCGCGTCGACGTACCTAAGAAGAGGGTCGAGGTTGTCTTCCCAGTTGGCGGCACAGGGGACAACTTCATCTTGTTCAGGGAACTGGCAGTCAAAGTCTAGCGAAGAAATCAAGTCAGTAAGTTCCTATACAGTCGTTTGTTGCGATTGAGTGACAACCGTACAATTGAACCCAGGACCAATCTCAGGAATGAGCTGATTGCTCCCTGTAATGCTCATATTCCACATAAAAGCATTCTCGAGGACGGACGGAACAACTTTCTCAATATACTTGACATAATAATCGAACATCTCATCGTAACCGTTGTTGACATCGGTGTAATTGTCATAGGCCGTATCCAGCATCCAGATCAGCGTGTCCAGCGTCATCTGCGCGACGCAGTAGTCCGGAATCGCGCCGGCTTCCTGTGCCGTCTGTAGCCCCTCGAGGTAGGGGAAAGTGATAGATGGACATGGCTCCCACGCGGGCCAGTCATCTCCGGAATCTTCGAGATCGCCTGTACCGTTGTTGCTGTAAGTTCGATTGAGGTCGACGGCCCAGTCGACGCTTCCTCCGAAGTGGAGGTCATCATACCACTGTTGACGGGCTTTGTAGCTGTCTGGGGTGAGCCAGGAGACCCATTGGTTGCCGTTATAGATCTGTGTGCGATTCCAGTCTTAGTTTATGTACTTTTTTTTGCCCGCTATTTTTCTGTTGAGGGTATGGAATACGTACCAGGATGTCGCCTTCATCCTCATACTGGGTGATGGTAACGTTGTCGGAGTTGTCTTCACTGTTAGCCTGGGAAATTAGGCCCCAGATTTCGATGTTGGAGAGGTAGCCGGCACTGCCGAAATGAGTAGGTCAACGTCAGTCTATTGAAATAAGAGGAAACAATAATGAACACGTACGTATCCGTGCAGGCTCCCTTGGTGGCGCCTGATTCCTTCCCAGTAAAAGTACACTCAGGTCCTTGACATGACGGGTCGGTCATCTCAAAGCTGCGGCCGTACAGCGCAAGACCAGGCACAACCTTGATAGATGGGATTCCGGCCTTGGTTATCATAGCCAGTGTGTATTCGGTCTCGGTCTTATTCACATGGCTCCTAAGGCAGTTGCCAAGTTCGCAACCAGGACTTTGGTGGTGTTAGTCTATGTCGAGGAAGGAGAAGACTGTCCATAGATATAGTTTCTTACTTGACAAATGTGTTATTATAGTCCCACTGGCCATGGAGATCGTATGTCATGTAGACGTAGTAGTCCTGTAGCAGGAATTAGCACTTATTTCCGTTTCGGGGCTTCGCAAGCAAAGTTACTGACGATGTAATCATCAAACTGAGTGAGCGGATCGAAGCCTTTCAGGTACCAGTATGACGCTGGCAGGGCCATGGACATGGACTTTTCGGATGGCAACTGGGAGCGAACAAGCTTCAGGAACTCAGCATAGTTCTCTCCCGAGTCAAGATTATCTGGATCGATTCCTGGAATATCTTGGGCCTGAGAGAGTCACCAAAATCAGCTAACCTTGTTTATCCGAAGTGGGAGGAAAACTTACGCCAGGATACTCCCAGTCAAAGTCCACACCATCAAGGCCATTATCAACAACAAACTCTACCACATTAGCAGCAAGAGTCTGTCTATTCCCGTCCCTTACTCCCGTCCGGAAGATATTGTGCGTGTAGGTATCAGTCGAGAACCCCCAGCCACCAAAGCTTATAATGCGCTGGATGTTCTCTAGCTTTAGCAGGCCGTCAAACTGTTCCTGGGAACCGCTCACGTCCACCTCCCAGCTTTCGGTGATGTTGCCAAAGGCCCAGTGCACGTGTGTGTAGTAGCCGTCCTCGGTCATCTTGGAGATATCCATGTTTGCGCATGGGCGGTTAAGGTTCCAGTTCTCAAAATAGCCGATGCGTAGAGGGAAGGGTCTATATACCTCCGTACTTATAATATCAGTGCCGCAGTTGGAAATGCACCCGTTTGTTTCGTTCCTGGCGGTACCTGGTGCTCTGTAGTTCTGTGTTAAAGCCTGAACTTCTAGTTGAATGGTGGTTACTACTCACCCGCCAGGCTCTGTAGTGTTGGTGCAGAATTCGGGAGTGATGCCGCATTGGCCCCAGATATCGCAGCAGGCGTTGAGGGGACACGGATTTAGCTCACCCCAGTCCCATGTGGAACCGTTATTTGGTTGCTTTGTTCCAGGTACCTACAAAATAATCAGTTATGACTATTCATGCCGGAGGCAAAGAGGGAGAGAAACTAACCTGTGGACCGCAGACATTCCCATCAACAGGCTCAGGGAATGGCGGCATGCCCTCGCTTAGACATATGGCTTGGTATTTCTGTAGCGCATTACAACCCATATATCCCCAAGTGAGACTATTATAGTCGTCGATCTTGTCGGATTCCATCTTATTCGCCTTGGCGATGTCATCGCATGTATCATCCGGCTGAATTATATAGACGTAGCAGTTGCCGTCATCGTCAGGCTTGGGCGAGAAGTCGGGAAGGGACCCTTCAGAACAGCAGACATACTGATCCACCTTCAGTGTGTTGCAGAAGTCGTCAATAGTGTTATACTGGGTGAGAGTGTCCTGGGAGATGCCGCAGCGGTCGGCAAGGGCCCAACACCCATCATCGGCCTGGACTTGGATGTATGAGCAAACGTCGCTCATTGTGTCAAAAAATGAGAAGAGCGAAGTTGTTGTTGCAGTGCGCTTAGGGAATACAGAGGGGGGTGTTGTGGAGATTTATAGTGGCGTTTCGAACTGCTAAGCTCAAATATTTCCGTCCGTTACTATCCAGCATCAATAAAAGCTTTGTTGGAATTAGGCATAGGCGAGGACCGCAGATAGACCGAGGCATAATGCCATGCTTTCTCGGAATTGACCTCCTATACTTGAGAGGATGAAGTGGCGATCCTGTTTAATTTCCGTAGCGAAGTCCAACAAGCTTAAGAAAAACCAACTATGTAACCCTACTCCGAAACCTGTCCGCGAATCTGCCTTGCGGGATTCAATTTAGCGACCCATGTCCCGGAACAAAGTCCCTTCTGGGACAGTTCCGTGGCAAAATCGGGTGTTGCATGCGTTGAAATTTGGAAGGAAAGTATCGCCGGTTGTTTTCTTACTTGGGGCTAAGAAATCCGCCCCCAACTTGGCAAGAGACGGCAGCTCAAGATACAGACCTAAGCTCTTGTTTAGTCGTGCTTGGCAGCGCTTAGCTTGGGTCCGTCACCTCTCCAAGAGCGAAAGCTGTTTCGGCTTTGGCCTTCTGACCAAACTAGCCCACCAGAATTCTCAACTGTCGGATTTTCACCCAATGAACTTCTGCACATGGTTGTTGGCTGCAAGAACTCGACGCTAATGCAGTCTTTTTTGCTCAGTCACTCATGCACTGGCCCCCGATATGCACGAAGCGAAATTACCCTGTATCCACATCATATCCGGGAGGAATCGAATTTCCGCAGATATTGTGTTGTATTCATATTATCTTTGTATACTACAGAGTACTATACTTGTCGGAAAAGGCTTTCTGCTACGGGGTTGATGAGAAAGTATCATGACTGGCGATGGAGAATTAATTTCCCTCTAATATCTTCTAGAGCCCACGCAGGCACGTTCAAAATTATTTCCATCTTCTTTTCCCCATCGCTCGTCTACACAAAGTTCTCTTTTGCTTTCAAGAGCCATACATGATGCTTCTTAGTTATCTACTGTTGCTTTCAGCCTTTCTGGCCCCTCATGTACTTGCCAGCAAGAAAGCCGGGCCTTACCAGGTAGGCATTTTCAGCTCCCTCACTTTACGATGGATCGATTCCATACTTGTCTTTGAAAAAAAATATCCCTTTTGACTTTCGCCCCTGTTTTAGGTAGTGTACATGTGGATGGCATACCGCATGGACATCCAAGCCTTCGGCGCAAGAGACGAGATGATCGCACCCAACTGCTTCGGTACCGTCCCTGACGGAACCTGCTACTTCGATGAATTCGTCGAATACATCCAAAAGGACAACAAAAAAATAACCTCCGGCCTCCCGACGTCGATTGGAAAGTACTTCTGGCCCGACGCCGTCACCGCAGCTCAGCAAATCGCCCAACTCAATGGTGGGGGCTTTACCCCGGATACGGACGCCCATAAGCTCTTTCAGGCTGGCACCTTTACCGTGGAAAACCCGCAGCTGAGTGTTATCCTGGATATGATGACGAATAAGATCCAGGCTGCGCGTATTGCGCTTGGTGATGAGGCTCTCTCCGACGGCCTGGAGGAAGCGCGCACGGCTATTACTGGAACGCATGAGGCCCGAATTGCTGAACAAGGGCAAGACTATATTGATGTCATCAATGATTACCTCAGGGACGAAAAGGGAACTTCGCTGACGGTGGAGACAAAGAATCCCACGGCGCTTGATGGTTCAACGTACCTTGACATCGACATCGAGGGTACAGTTGCCAAAGATTCTGCGTTTGCGGACTACTGGCGAGACTTCCAGACGTGGATGTCGCAGCAAGTCAGGACTAAGAAGACGACGTTAGGTAATGTTAAGATGCATTGGGATACCGTTCAAGGAGTCCAGAGGATCGAAGCTCGTGCTTGGGGGGATAGTTCGTGTTAGTGCTTTGGTTTTGTATATTGGTTTTGACTTTTTTCCCCTGCTCTATTTTGTACATATGGGACATATCCTTATGCTTTTCAAGCCATGACTATCTTTTAAGGTCCGTCAGTTAATTGCCCGCGCATAGACAGCAGCAGTATCCAGTATAATATATACACAAGGCATGAATAATGACTGTATACAAACCTCCTGCATCTTGTCCAGGACACCAGTATACTGTGTGATATGGCGGAGAACCAAAATCGCCATATGTGGTGAACCTATTTCTTCCTATTTGCAATAAAAAGGCTGGCATTCTGTTCCAGTGCAGAGCCGAAACATGACAACGGGACGCATCACAGGAGCCTTGTCCTCAGACCCAAAAAACCAACTAACTGCATCACGCAACTCCTCTTTGGCCAAAGCTAGCTCCTTTTTCCCCACCCGCGCCCCAATAGTAACATTACACGCCTCACCCAGTGCAACAAACTTGGCTACCCTTGCCTCGTCATCCGCATCAACAAGTTGCACGCGCGCGTCAGTCAGAAGACCAAATAAGCCCGCACCAGTCTTAGCGTTGGCATGGATTACAACAGGTGGTAAAACGACGACCGTCCAACTTGGCCGTGTGCGCATCAGGTCTGCAAGCTCAGCCCGCGTCCACCTGTATTGAGGATCAGGTTGATCGGGGTTTTTACGGCCTTGAAATGTTTGCAAAAGGCCTATCATGATAGAGTGTTCGCGGCACCTAGTCAGCGCCGCATACCACATGAGACAGCGAACTGGATCGCCCATCTCATATGTTCCCCAATCAATATCAACCCATGGCTCCCAGTTGAGGTGGACTATATCGCGTGCTGTATCAAGCCAAGGGTTTCGAGGCATGTATTTGCAGAAGTCGTCCGTATCCGGGACATTAGGGTCCGGGAGTAGTTGAGGGTGGCCGCGCTCGAATGCAACGGCTCTTGACTCTCGGCAAACGCGCGAAATCAGGGGAGGGCCCGCATTAATCGATGTTATTCTTCCGTTCCTTCGGCATTGAGGATCTTCGTCCCATATGATTTCTTCTTGTTGGTAGTCGAGCTCCATGACATGGGGGTAAGGGAGGCACTCGCGCCAGATCGCCAGACGGATCTCGGGTGGGAGTTTGGGAAATAGGTAGAAGGCTTCATTTGGAGCTGACATGCTACTTAGTTCTGACCTGATAAGTAATCTCGGTCTTCGGTATGGTTGTATAGCTTCGTGATTGACGGTGGATCAATGGGAGATGTAGAAAGATTCGGAGAAATGGATATGAAAGTTGTCATCGCCCTAAAAGGCATAAACGGAAGTCACATGATGTCTTCACTATATAAGCCGGCACATCATACTACACTTTTTGAAATACTGACTGCACACCGCAGACTTCTCTTCAATGCTATTCAAGAACGGAAGATGTATCATTCCAACACTGTCATGTAGACGATTCATTCAAGAATGTATCAGCTGGAACTGCGGAGCTGTTTAATTCGACCTGAACGGAACAATGACGGCCCGATGACCCCTGTATTCGAAGACAGCCTGATTTATATGTACAGGAGCTGCGTAACATCTGCCTCTTCAAGCTATTGCATCTCCTAGATATTTACTCAGTTTGTCAAGACTAAGTTAGAGTTCTTGTTTGATTGTTTAATTTTGCCTTCAAAAGGGACGCTGAATAATGCGCAGACCTACATCTAACCAAAAATGTAAACGAAAACAGGAAGAACAGGAGGAAGCCCAAGGACAATAAAGATGAATTGAAACCTGGCGATAATCATTTTAGCGACCCCCCTGCCCGCCTGGAAGTTCTTCTCGAGCAGCGAAAACAGAGCTTTCAAACAGCTCAATCACATTGGCCACCCTGGGATCACCAGGAGGGAGAATCTGCGTGCCCAACACACCACATAGATCAGCTTCTCTGTCAATGAACTGCGAGCGAAAGTGTTGTCAGTACTACACAAAAGAAACTGAATTTGTGTCCATCTTGACTTACCCAGAACTGATTTGGTGCTCCGCTCCAAAATAAGGACCGTTTTCGTCTGCCAGACTTTGCATCTTCCATACATAGCATCCCGCCCAGGCCCCAGTCGTACAACAGGGTGTTGTCGAAAATACCAACAAACAAAGAGCCGGGAGTGGATGCCCTGAGATGCCGCTGCAGCGATTCCCGACTCGCTTCCCCAAGCTGAGGCTGGAACATCATCGCTGTCGACTGACTGCTGAGAAGCCGCCCGTCATCAGCCAGGATTGAATGCAGCACCTTCAGAAAGTCTTCCATCGACGCGTACAGTCCCTGGCCCCCGAAACAATCCGTGACTCCCTCCGTAAAAAGAGGTCCCTCAAGCGAAACCGGCCACCCAGAAACAGGATCACGAACCGACATCCTAGGTCGCTTCTTGTCAACATCCGGAATACTCCCAGGCCAGAACGACATGCGCTTAATACCAAGGGGCTCCCAGATGTGCTTCTGCATGTATACCTCCAAGATCTGCCCCGTCCGGCGCTCAATGACCTGCCCGACCCAGTCCATGCCCGTGCCATACTCCCAGCCCGTGCCCGGTTCAAAGAGGAGAGGATACCCGAACCGTTCACCGACCGTGGCGCCGGAGTTCACCTCACGGCCCATGTACGCGGTGAACCGGGCAAGATCCGGATTGCTCATGTCGTAGCCGGCGCCACTACTGTGCGTGAGCAGATTGCGTAGCGTGATTTTATTCTTCCGTCTGTGCGTGCGCGGTCGCCCCCCTGCTGCCTCGTCCCAGCCATCTAACACCTCCTGGTCGGCGAGCGTCGGGACCCACTGCGTGACATGGTCATCAAGACCAATGAGCTTCTTCTCAACCAACTGCAGAGCAGCAATGGTAGTCAGGAGCTTGGTCATGGATGCAATCGCCATGATTGAATCCATCTCGAAGGGGTTGCCGTTAGAGTCGCACGTGTCCTTGCCAAAGGCTTTGGCGTAGTGAAAAGTGCCATTCACGTTGGTCGCCGCGACGACTGCCCCCGGCCAGGTTCCGTCTTCGATTGCGTTCAGGAACGCTTGCTCCAGGCGTTCGAATGCTTGTTCGGGGGTTGTGGTGCTGCCCATGGTGTTAATGCCTTTTCGAATTAGCGGGATGGCTTGGGATATGCAGCTGAGGCAAAAATGCAGTGGTCTTTATAGCTGGAACGGAATCGCAAAGAGTTGCTGATAAATCAGGAGTTGCGGCATCTCGCTCTAACCGAGAATACGAGCCCCGCGGAGGGAGGGTCTGGATAGCACAAATAAGCTACCTGTAGGTCCATGAGTGCAAGACAGGGCGTAGGGCGGATATTCTGGAAAACGTCGGAGGAAAATAGTGAAATTACTAATCAGACTCAGAATGATGCATGCAACTGACCAGATGCTGGACTAAAAGGAAGATGCTGGAACCTCTACACCTCCGCGTGAGGCGCTAAACCATTTCAGGAGATCAAGGATGCCAGTATTGCGTAAAGGAGTTCACAGGAGGAATGCTCATCCTTAGGATGATGGTATCAATAGTATCCAAAGACCCAAAATTGAGACCTTTTCGCCCGACTCGAAAGCTATTTTTGATGTTATGGGATCAACGCGGGGGTGTTTGAATGTTCTTCTTTGCTCAAGTGCAAGAGGTGCCGGTAGGTGGCGCAAGTTCTTGCGATCAGGTGCGTTAATTGGAACAGAAGCTACTGCCATGTGATGTTGTTTGTGTCTGCGTCTGTTAACTGCTGATGGTGTCAGGGACGTATGATGTGCCCCGCGCGGCTCATTTCTGGTTGCCCAATTACACTATTAAAGTCTCTTTTAGCATCTTTATACTTGCCTACTTGCCGTTTTGTTTGACGCTCCCCAACCTTATATGATAATGCTGCCGCTTGGTCTTCAAGGACTCTACCAAGAAAGGACGAGATCCATTGATATCCGCCAGGGATATTATTCAGAACCTCGAGCAGTGTAGCCCTTCCCGACACTTTTGGTAATGGGGCGGATCGAAGGCTTATTTGGTGCTTCACTCTGTGCTGCGGGGAATCGGAGGGTTGTGAGACTACAGCTGCCTTGCATGATTGTGATAATGCGTAGGCAATACTCATTTGTTACTCATTCTCACATGCTCCCCTCCAGCGTCGTGATATACTCCTCTGGTAAGGACAAGCGCGCCAATTACTAACTGGGGAACAGCAGCGGGACTTGATAACCTTGGTTTAGGAAACAAGTGGAGACGATTTCTATAGCCTTCTCGTGGCCAGTGCAGTCCCATTTTACCTCAGTACGAGCGTACCTCAACATGAGTTCTAATTCCACGTCCGTGTGGCATAAGTGTGAGAAAATACGTAGTGAACGGCGCGCTGGTCTAGGAAAATTGTGGAGTTGCCCGCTATGAGTGATAGCCCCAACGTAAATCGCAGAATACAAACGGCTTGATTAACCTCGTGGTTAACGGATCTATCTCCAGCGCGTTCAGCGGCCTAGCCCACCTAGAAGATCTCTCGCTTGTGCTTTACTCCCATAAGTGGGGTTTACTAAACCCGCAGGGTTTATGTCGATGAGCGAAGTGACGGGTATTGGTATTTATTAGAGTTTATTCTTCTGGCCTCGGATTCTCGGCGCTTTTTTAGAAGCAACGTCACTAGGAAGCGTGTCACCCCGTTTCCCTTATAGGGGTAGAGAGAAAACAAACCAAATATAAACCTTTGCCCATGGTGGTCTTACTGTATTCACGCTTCTCTTTCATCACCGCCGTTTGCGACTTTAGATAATTCTTTTAATACTGTATTGTACGTTAGACCATTCTATAACGATGCGGCTATATTTCTAAACGTTTCAGTACCAGCCCCATGTATCTTACATTCTTTGCTTTTTTCTCTCATATTTCACTCATCACTTTCAGCTACATTGCTGTCAAGGCCTGGCAACCTGTCGCTTTCATTAACCCAAAGCCAGCTAGCTGACCCTCCACCGCCTTATCTGTTTCATATGCTCTGGGTAACCGACCCATTGTGACCCAGGAGCTGAGAATTTTTCCACTCGCAAAATATATCTTCTTGGGAAGTCCATATCTCCCTTACCGCATCGACCGCTTGAGAATTGCTCCCCACTACAGCCGACCCCAGCTCAGCGTGTTGCAGCAATCTAAGAAAAATAAGGATCTAAATGAGTGATTGGCCGATATCGTTGTCTTTTGATTCCTTGTGTAGAGGCCGTCTTAGCGGGGTTATGCTGTCGTACTGCGACCACCTGCTGTAAGACGGTGATTATCTGCAGTTTTGCGGTTATTGTCCACGGACCTTTACTTCCTCTTCGCGCGAATCTCTACGTGAAGCCTCCTGTAGTTAATCCACTATAATAGAATCAATAGACAGCATGCTTCACATTGACTAATAAGAGGAAGATTGGTATTGAATATACCTACGAGATCTTTGGGGGTAGCTCTCATAGTCTCAATCAGCATAAACTTTACATCTTACGAAATAACAGCCGCAGCCAGCCTCCGAAGCCAAACGACATGCACCCACAGATCATCCAAGAAAGTAGAATCATCCACGGCAGTTAGAATCCTCAAGACAGCCGCCTGTCTGACCCAGAACCAAACGCGCACGCTGGTACTGCGCGCGACCGCCGCCCCGACCATGCATACCCAGCAGTACGCGATGGGGTTCGATTTCAGCCATGCGGTAGCGTCTACAAGGGAAAGGGCAGTCTTGAGCTGCCGAGTGCTTCGATCCAGCGTTTCTGCTACGGATTCTGCGGAGAGGATCTCGGCATCGACCTCGGAATGATAGTGGGCTTCCATTAACAGCCAGAATATAGACGCTGCCAGGACGCAGCAGCAGTGTATGGGGTCGTCGTCGCTGAGAAGGGATGCTGGGGGGTGTATTTCTTGGCGTCTCCCGCGCAATGCAAGCCTCCGAGCGTATGCGGTCGCGTTTCCGAGGCGGGAGATCTCAATCTTGAAGGCGTAGATCTCGCGGAAGAGGTTCATGGTGGAGTCGCTAAGTGTGGAGGACATTGGGGAGAGCCGCTCCGATGATTCTATGAGCCGGTATGGCAGGGCGCGGTACTCCATAACCCGGCACTCGAGGCCGAGTGGCGGCACGACGTGATATCCCTGCGGGAGGAGCGTGTCTGAATCTCCGGGCCCGAATATAATGCTCTGGACCACGTCGTTCCTGTAGGTTACGAAGTTAGTTTGCCTGGGTCCGGAGTGTGAGCGGGGAATTGGACCAGCTGAGCTAACATCTGGATCAAGGTCGCTAGCAGGCCATCGAGGCCTGCTTGTCCGTTGTGTCCCTGTTCCCCCTTGAGCCTAATCAACCTTCGGAGGCCGGCTGTATGAACCTGTGATGCAGCTTGATCGCTGCTGAGGCTCTACACTCAGGTTAGCAAGCCTCGCTCGATGGACCAGCCGCGCAAGGACGAATTCCGTACCGAAAACAGCGCCAGAAGAGCAACGGCTGCAACGGTACAGTCGTCGAGGGCCTCGACGGGATGCGAAAGCCGCTCATTGATAATGCGGATGACTTCATTTTGGTGGTGGAGTGTGATTGTGCTTGGCGTGTTCCCGGTTTTGATGTCGAAGTACGAGGATCCGATGTACAGCGTCACATGGAATAAGCACTGATCGTTTAGCGCGTGCTGGAACCAAACCGACTGTAGCTTGTACGCTGCGCTTTTACAGTTCGACTCCACCCTAGAACTTTCTATGCTCTCGTTGTCTGCTCCAGATTTGGTTCCCTGTTAGCAGGACATTGGATTTACTCCTTCAGAAACACATACAGTGTTTTAAGAGACGCGGCATATACCACCGGAAAGGGATCGGGCATCTGCTCTGCAGCCTAGGCGACAGGGTATTAACGCAGTCCGGTATCGTTCGATCAGGCTCCGATGACCAGTGGGCGAGCCTGGCAGGTACGCGTTGCAAATCGTAATAACAGACGCGGACAACTCTGCCAATCCCACAGTGAGAAGGAGCTGGACTCAGGTGGAAAAGAAAGAACAAGGGTCGGCGTACCGTGTGCAGCGACCACATGCAGGGATCACTCTGTCACATTTCCGCTTGCTGAATCGACAGGGCTCACAGGCCAAGTGCATAGTCTGCGTGGCCATGGGATATGCGGTGGGCAGAGCACAGAGATGCGGCTCATTTGGTGCAGAAATCGGTGGCTACCGAAGGAAGGTTCTTTCGAGGTGTAAGCCTTCGGTTTGCAGCGCCTCAATTCTTGGCTCCCGTCGTGTCAGCGTTTGTCAGCTGGCGCCAGACTCAACGCGAGTAGCCAATTGGTAAGATACGTGGTCTACTTCAATGCGGCTAGCGGAATTTAGTCCGCATGTGCGGATCGCATCTTTTGTAAGGGGTCGCATGAATTGGCAGCGGTGCTTCAACAAAGCCTACCATAGGTGCTATTTAACACCCTTGTATGCCCACTGGATTACTCCGGATACCAACTGCCCATTTGATACAATTCCCATCGCACAAAATGTCCACAAATCTAAAGCCAATAACCCTATACAGCCATCCCTGGCCCAACGGCTGGAAGGTAGCCATCATCCTCGAAGAGCTCAACATACCCTACGAGGCGAAACTCCTCTCCTTTGACGAGGTGAAGCAAAACCATATACATCAATCAACCCCAATGGCCGCGTCCCGGCAGTACAAACCCCCAACACGGGGATAACCCTCTGGGAGTCCGGCGCGATACTCGAATACCTCGTCGAAAAATACGACAAAAACAACACAGTCAGCTTTGCGGCAGGTACCACGGAGTACTTTGAGGCCAAGCAGTGGCTGCACTACCAGATGAGCGGCCAAGGCCCTTACTTCGGCCAGGCTGTTTGGTTCACGGTCTACCACCCATAACTCCTCCCCAGTGCGCGCGAGCGCTATCTCAACGAGGTCCGTCGCGTGTCCGGCGTCCTGGATGGCGTTCTTGCCCGGCGTCAGTATCTGGTGGGCGGGCGGTATAGCTTCGTTGATTCGGCGCTCTTGGCGTGGTTCAGCATTGTGCCGCAGTTTCTGGATGATGTCATTGATCTTGAGGCGGAGTTCCCGAGCGTCGGGGCCTGACTGGTGAGGCTCCATGCTAGGCCTGCGATAGCAAAGGTTGTCAAGGATAGAGCGGAAGCGATGGCCGTGGCAACTCCAAGCGTTTCCAACTGAATTAGACGCCATATGCCGAATGTTTTCCGTCAGAGTTTCGCAGATTGGTAATGTTAAGCTGGGTACATAGTATCACGAATCTGTTGATGGTACTGTTTCATCGGTAAAACCTATTCTGCAAGTTTCTCTCCCGTCTCTGCATCCATAATTAGGTGTGTTTATAGATACAACCAGCACTATCTGAATAAAAGCAGCGTCTTGATACTCGTCTGTAAACCTTTCATCACCTCTGTTAGGGTACCTAGGTACCTAAGATACCAAATCTCGCTCGCTCGCTCCTAGCAGGCCAGCTCAGAAACCACCCCCGCCAGGCAAGATGTCAACAAAGCCGTACCCGGTGTAATCGTCACCGGAAACTTCCACAGCGCCGGAGTAGAACGGATTGTCGAAGCCCTCTAGCACAAACTCCTGATCACGACGAACTGGCTTAATATGGAGGGCCGTTCCATCCGCCAATATGACCGTGTGCTGAAGACTGTATGTTTTGTTGGATGCCGGAGAATGGAAGGTGTCTACTGGCGTGAACCCGACCACGGAGATCACCGTATTTGTCCCGGATGGACCCTGGATTGTAGCGAACGACTTGTTCCCGTTAATCTCGTCTTTCCAGTTCCAGATCGATGCGTAGATTTGTTCGCGGCTTGCGAGGGGGGAGAATGACGGTGAAGATGAGGTCTTGGTGAGGTAGAGCCCGAACCATGTAAAGTGTGACACGAAAGTCGGTCCCCATTGCCGATCGTACCAGCCAACGGAGTTATCCGGATCAATGGTAAATACGGTGTCATTCAGGGTGAATGTACCGCTGAGGCGCCCCTCCGTAACAGAGACTTGGTGCTGTGTGCCACCGACCCAGCGCCAGGATCCCAGTCCCGCGTTCAGCACGGGCGGTCTCCCGGCCTGCTTCATATCGAGAGAGAAGTCGAAGGGTGCCTCCGGGACGCGACTGACGGTATCGATTCGAGGGAACCATTCATCAACGGGACCCGTGAACTTCATTTCGAAGACATCGCCCGGAATGGTAAGGTGGAAGGGCTCAACTGTACCGTTTGTGAACTCGTCCACTGCTCGGTAGTATTTTGTGACGTAGCTCTGGGGATCATCCAGCGAAAGCATTCCCCCGCGGTAGGTTGTCCTGTTGCCGTAGACTGCAGCGTGTGCGAGGACAATGTAATTCTCGTTGCTTGTTGTCCGGACGAAACCGCCTACCCAGTAGGAGTCGAAGCCATGCTCGGCCTTGACTAAGTGGAGATCGGAGGAATCAAAAAAGGTTGGCATGTTCTCCTAGTGAAGTAAGTATGGTTCATTCTTTGGTGAGCTGGAGGCTTTGCTCGGTATGTTGAATCAATAGTAAGACAGCATACAGTAAAGACATTGACATGCGGGGTTGTTGGCTTGGACAAGACTCCAGAGAGACAAACGCCGAGAAGCGAAGCCGGTAGTAGATAATGCATTTTTCAAAGCACGAAAAATGATACTATGCTATGAAGTTGTAGGGAAAGCAGGGTCTGATGTGCTCTTCTTGATCTTAGAAAATCCGTGGTACAAGATAGGTATTTTTAGGGTCGGGTGTCTGCACTGATTTTATATAGAACTAGTGACATGGCTTGTCATTGGATGAAGCCCGTGTGTGTAACGAGAATTCTATAAGCACTGAACATGTCATAATAGATTTCGGTCGGGTTATTAAGTAGTCCGTAAGCCGATCTACATGCATCCCGGATTTACTGCGCAAATGCAGCTTGGCCGCTCCCGCTCGCCGGCGCCTAGCGGACAAGTTGCAGGTGCCCAGGGAACTCTTCGGTATCCGTGTTCGCCCAACCAAGGGGTTAATACTTGTAGATTGTAAACTTGTAAGACTGTCCTCCAAGCAGCGTCCATTAACTTACACCCAGATGAGCCTGGGAAGATTACGTTTACGTAGCTATACGCTACAACACACACACTATAAAACCAAGGCACGCTTGTATTGGAGCTAAGAAAGCCTCCCATGATCGCTCGATCGATTCCCAGAAACAGATGTCTATCACCCATAGTTCATACTCGAGTCAGCAAGAGCAACAGAGTCGAGCCGGCTTACGTTAGTTGTTACCCCTGCTTACCACCCCAACCCCGACTGCACGAGTCAGTGCCTGTCGCCGAGAAAAAAGAAAACAAAGCAGTATCCAGGAGGCGACTGATGGATTCTCAAAGTCCTTCGCGAATAGCGAATCTACGGAATAGGTTGTTGTGCGATTCATGCGGTACGTATAGCCTGCCCTAGCCTTAGATTGCGTTCGAGGGTGAGCTTGTGAGCAGAAACATGCCAGCTGCTCGATGCCATCTTTCTTGATTACATATAGGTTCTAAAAACTTTGTGGCTGATTTCTAGATCAGGAACGTACGTTGTCCTCGTCTAGCGGGGACGTTCTATCCTTTCCATTCTTCGGAAAGGGCCATTTGCAGCAGAGATCATATGTATATATATCGCTGATTGTTGCCCTAAATCATTTAGGGGTGGAGGATTTAACTGATTTCTCTTACTTCATATCCCTTACAATTTGGGCCAACTGACGGAGTCTTGCTTACAGCAGAAGCTCCTTGACCCTGTGCCGCACTTCTGTTCTCCACCAGCGCCATTGGAGCTAGAGAAAACGAAGTCTGGAAGTCGGAAGCGCAATCATGAGGCTTCCCTGCTGAAGCGCACCCGGGGGACTCGCCAACCCACTTGCAGTTCCCATATGGCTCCGTCGATGGCGTGATCGTACTGCAGGCCGACTGATGACTGATATCGCAGTGCGGGCTCCCCAGCGTTCCGACTTCTACCTCCCCGTCCTCACACCAGGGGCAGCACCAGCCGCCAAGCGTTGGCATTCCACGCCCTCTACATGTGGGGAGCTCTACGTCCCCGGGACAGCAGAACTTGTTGGGGGCTACATCGTCACAGAAGGTCTCGTCCGTCATCTTCAGGCTGCTATCCTGTCGATCAATCAATTTCCACCCGGCAGGGCAGTCCTCGTTGCAGTTCGACCATCGACATACGTCGATATTTCGCTTGCTGGTGCTTCCCTCGGCTCTTTTTACCTTGGCAGTTGATCAGGAAGAGGTGGAAACAGGATAATCTGGGAGCTCCAGGCGCTTTCTGCCCAAGCCACTCCTAAGCGTGGCAGCCGACGTGCCATTACCATCGTCGTGACTGACCGCCCAAACCATCCCTCCGCCCAAGCACTGGGATTTTGCTGAGTCTCCGCGGGTCTTGAAGGTCTCCGCATCATCAAAAGATACCCACTGATCGCCGAATGCGACGAGGCTTGACCGCATCTTTTTCGTAGAACGCAGGCCTCAAACTGAGATCGTTTATGATTGTCTGGATCTCTGAATTGGGTAGAAACCCAATGGTCTCGCTGCAGACTCCGGAATTACCTGCTGGGCGATAGGTGCATCCCCGCTCCGCGCGAGCAGGAGACACAAGGGTGAAGCTGCCGCCGTAGAATGCCAGGCCCATAGTGACATTGTGAGGGTCAATATCATTGCGCCACAGGAGATCCATCGCATGCCTAATCTCGGTAAGATTGGTGTGTGGGTTGAGGTAAGGGGTCGTAGACGGTCATATCGAGCCAAACTCGGCCAGAAGCGGCTTAAGACCGACATCATCTGCGCTTCTCACGAGGTAGTGCAGGTTTCGTGAATCCCAGTGGGGTTGGAGAGGTTGAGGCGGACTCAACGGATCAGACGGATTCTGGATCTGGATCTGAGGAGTCGGAGGAGAAGGGGGCGGATAATGCGGCGATTGCGCCGAGATATGGAGCTGGCAATAGGAGTTCGTGGGGACAGATTCAGGGGCATTGGGGGTGTGTTGGCTGTTTCTGTTCTGGCGGGGGTGGCCATGGTTCTACCTTGGTAGAGAGGAGGGTTCGTGTGGAAGAATGTATTGTTCTAGAATACCGAAATGCAGCTAGCTTGGTTCACTACCTTCACGTTCCATACAATCTTCTCTCGATAATAGCTCAGCAACATCAACGCGGTACAACTCACCTAAACCATTGTCAACACCCCCGGCCGATACGGCAACAGATTGTACCCGGCACCGTCAGAATTCGGATCCCTCCCCTGATACAGCAACTGCAAGTTACAACTATCAACCAGATTCCTCTGGTCCGCATCAACGCGCACCAGATCCCCATGGCTAATATCCTTCGTCCACGCTGCGCCATTAAAGTTTACATTCGCCTTGCCCGCAAACGGGCTACTCTCGCTCCCTGCGCCCGCCAGGACACTCCACTGCCCTCCAAGGGAATCCGCGCCAAACGCGCGGAAATACCGCCCATTACCACCCATCGCCTCCACGATCATCAGATACCGCGTCGTCCCCGATGCATCGGCGTAGCTGTACACCTGCACGGCCTCAAAGAGGTTCTCACGGGTATCCTGCAGGATAACCTCGTACTGCGTCCCAAAGGACCCCGGGAATGAGTCGATGGGCATACTCGCGCGGTAGATCTTCCCGTTATCTCCCGCAAAGAAGAGGTACATATGCGTGTCATCGCCAATCACCGTCTGGTCGATGACGCCCGTGTCGGATTCACCGGCGGGGAGCGAGCCCTCGAAGAGGGGGAAGGCCCCGCTCCACCCATTTGCGTTGGTTGGATCGGACGAGGTCTTGTATGAAAAGGCCGTGGGGCCCCACTGGTACGCGAGGATCCAGATATTCTTCGGAGCAAAGTAGAAGAGCGTTGGCGCGACGGTGCCGCTGGACATGGTGTTCTGAGTTGCGGTGCTCATGTCGGCCCAGTTGCTGAATGGGGAGAAATTAAGGGAGCCGTAGTTGCCTTCAGCGGTCGCGTAGGAGGCATAGACGAGGTGTTGGTTGTTGTAGGGGACTGCGGTGAAATCCTTTAGGGAGACGAAGGAGTGTTGGGGGGTTGCGAGGGCGGGTGTTGAGGTCCAGCTGTAGGTTGCCGGGAGGTTGCATTGCGCCGAGGCGAGCAGGATGGGGGTGGATAAGAAGGTTATCACAGTGGTCTTTGGGAATCTCATCGTGGCGTTTCTTCGTTTGTGGCGTGGGAGTTCGAGTGAGGGACGCAGCTTGCAGCCAGAACATGTCGTAGGAAGTCCACTTTATATGCCTGCTCGGTTAATAGGTAGATTCGCCAGCTCCCTATTTTAGCGAGTGAAACTTTTACAGTGTCGGATAAAGGACTTAGGCTATAGACAACGTTCTGGATAAAACCACGATGAAACGTCGGGGTCCATCTATGCGTCTCGTGTACTCCACACGTCGGGGTTTTACCGTTTCAGCCACGGAAGGCGCTGATCGACATTGAATGATCGTCGCGGGGAGCAGGCCAAGACGTGGAGAGAGCTGTTCTGAAGAATGATCCTGCGACTAAGTGGCCAGCGATTTAGGCTGCCCGCCGGAACATGGCCTACAAGGCTGCAACAATCTTCATCGCTTGGATATATCCATACCGCTGAGAGGTCTTCAGAGCTGGAATGGCCACACGACGCCAACACCGAGGCGTTGCAATACAACCGAGGAGAATCAATTCCTGTGGAATGAACCTGACGCCTACCTATATCGATCGTCAACCAGGCAATCGTCTGGCCCGTCTATAGTACGTATAACGGGAGTCAATTAAGGTCAGACCACTTAGAAGCAAACATCAATAGGAGACCGTCCAAAACCTACTTACGAACCGTCCATTCATGACCACCGCCGCGATCAAATTCATCTTGGTGAGTACGGGTATTCTTCCTAGTGGGGATCTGACAGATGATGGATGCATCTGTGTGATAATAATGGAGCTATTACGCAGCGAGCAGGCCATAACAACCCAAGCCGAAGGGTCAAGTGGTGCAAGGCATACATACAACAGGGGCAGCGACCTCAACAGCATCTGAGCCTTTGGCCACAATACCAACCTGTTTAAAGACCGCTGGCCTTGTAGAGCAGAACTCGTAGCCTGCGAGACGACAAATCTGGAGTGGGTCGAGACAGTCAAGACAAGGTTGTTTGCACGAGTGAAGTCTAGAAAAGTAGCACGAGTCCCGCAGTCTGCACAATCCCATTGCATCTCTGCGCAGAACCGACCCGCCACATGTGCCACAATTTGCAGTCTCCACCAGGTTTCCGCCAAAGTCGCTTGCCGACGGTTTGTGTGACCCCAGATATGCACGGCAGCCTAAATGCAGCGACCAATCAACATCCAGTAACAACAAAAGCATGTTCCCGGCTCGAAAATCATGGACGCAGGCGTCTTCCCGAGCGCGAACAACCTAATTACAACGATATCTGGCGGTAGCTTGAACCGAGGCAGTCCAGGGGCCCAGGCAGCTTTAAGTACCAGGGAAGATGAGAGTCAAGAACTGTGGGGATTGTAAGCGATGGAAACGAATCGGAGCAACTCGCAAAGGCCTCCACATCGGGAAAACGTTTCGATGGCCGCAGCGCCCTCCCCACTTGTTCTAGCGTCTCGGCGAATTTCCAGGCACCGGGAATAATGCGACAATATATCGTCCGACACGCCCTTCCTCGGTTCTTGTCTTGTCTTGCACATCATCATTGTCATCAGTATGCCTGTAACTTCTTCCCCTGCGTTGTGGTGGCGGGCATGGAACGCGCTTCGAGGAACGAATCCCACGACTCTTACGGAAAAGGACGTTCCTGTCCCTGACCTCTCTGGGAAATGGATCATCATCACAGGCTCGAATAACGGTGTTGGCTTTGAGGCAGCCAAGAAGTTTGCAAAAGCCGGCGCCAACTTGATCCTCGCGTGTCGAGATCCCCCGCCAACAGAACAGCATCCAACGGCCGCAGTGGCGGAATGCCAACGTCTTGCGACCTCGTCCGGCCACGACTCGACAATCGCTTGGTGGGAAATCGACATGGCCGACCTGGCCAGCGTCGACACCTTTGCGCAGCGCTGGCTAGATACAAAGCGACCGCTCGATATTCTCTGCAACAACGCCGGGATGCAGCCGCCCGCCGCAGACGTGCGTACCAAGGACGGACTGGAGATTGTACACCAGGTGAATTTCCTCTCGCATGTTCTTCTCACATACCACCTCCTTCCATCCCTCGCGCAAGCGGCTGAACCGCGAATCATCTGCACGACATCGTGCCACCACTTCCTCGGCTTCTGCGACATAGCACACTTCAACTCCGAAGAAGGCATGGCCGGGGAACCCTACGGGAACAACAAACTCTACTACCAGATGTGGGTCGTCGAAATGTCGCGCCGCCTCCTGGCACATCCCTCATACAAGCACATCACCATCAACGGAATCCACCCGGGGTACGTCTACACGGGGATCTGGAACAATCCGCGCCCCGACGCAGGGAATAGCATCCGATTTCCCTTTTTCCGCTGGTTGGCGTCTTGGCTGGCGATTAGTCCCGAGCAGGGGAGTTTGGCGATTGTGTATGCGGCGACGAGTGATGAGTTTCGGGCGAATCGGGAGACTCAGGGGGTTGGGGTGCTTGGGGGGAAGGGTGGCGGGCATTACATTAATCGGATTTGGGAGGCGGAGCCGATGCCCTACTGTAGGGATGAAGCGGGGCGATTAGAAGTTTGGGGAAAGGTCAGCGACGAGTTGAAACTGGAAGACAGGGGGCTTGCAGATATTCTGTAGATTATGATCATTCATGCAGTTAATGATAATGTGGTCTCCTATTCAGCTTCTTAGGCACCAAAGGGACAGCGGGAGGTAGCTCCAACTCTATTCAACTCAGATCGATTATCACATTCTTCTCGGAACTTAAAACAAAACATACAACCCTTGCTACCTCGCTACTGCGCACTGCCATCTCCCTCGGAACTTATTCCTCATGAGCAGGCGATCTCGACCACCCCGCACGTCAGCACTCTAAGCGAGCAGGGACTCGCCCCAGGCCCTTGGCACTCGCTCTGTGCGTTAAACTCTGGCGCTACCGTCTTGGACAGCTATAACAACTGCAGTTTATTGGTCAATAAGGGGTCATATCGTAATACCGGGACACTTGATGGCAATAGCGGGTCACCTGCCACAGATCACCTTCCGCTTCCCCAGACTCGACCCCGCAAGCACATTAAACGAGGTATTTCCGCGCGAGGACAGTTATATACCACATACAATCCCGCCCTCTCAGGCCCCCAAACCCAAACATCTCGTCGGTTTCCCTCCCAAAATGTCCGACGAAAAAGTCTCAGCGCAGCACGTCGACTCCGCCGCCGAGTTCGTCGGCGACGACACCACCGTCCTCACCGAGGAGCAAGAGCGCCAATGCCTCCGCCGCGTCGACTTTGTCCTCATGCCCGTCATGTTCATCACCATGGCGCTGCAGTACATGGACAAGGCGTGTCTGACGGGAGCGGCCATGTTTGGTATCCTGACGGACCTTGATCTCCTGCAGATTAGTCGCTCGGGGCTCGATATGAAGCGCTATTCGTATGCGACGATGATTTTTTATTGGGGGTATCTGCTTGGGAGTGAGTTTTATCTATTGTCGTAGTTAGATGGCTCTAGGTGGCGTGAGCTGATGGGTACTAGCATTGCCTGCCGTCTACATGGTGCAGAAAGTGCCGCTGGCAAAGTATGTCAGTGTGATGATGACTATTTGGGGAGGCGTGACGGTCTGTACAGTCGCTGTGCATTCATACCAGGGCCTTCTCGTGCAGAGGTACGCCGCTCATACATACTCGCCTTCCTCTCCCTATCGATTTCTGACTAAAACAATGTAGATTCTTCCTCGGCTTCGCCGAAGCCAGTGTCTCCCCCGCCTTCAACCTCATAACCGCAATGTGGTACCGCCGGAAAGAACACCCGCTCCGCATCGCAATCTGGTACTCATCCACGGGCCTGGGCACGCTGGTGGGTGCAATGCTCCTGTATGCAATCGGCAAAATTGACGGCGCCCTTGCGGCCTGGCGGTATCAGTTCATGATCATCGGGTGCGTGACGAGCGTCTGGGGGATCGCAATCTGGTTTATTCTGCCTAGCAACCCCATGACTGCGCGGTTCTTGACCCCTGAGCTACGACGGGTCGCGATTCTCCGCATCGCGAGCGAGCAGATCGGTATCGAGAATAAGAAGGTCAAGAAGGAGCAGGTGCGCGAGGCGCTTGTGGACCCCAAGGCCTGGGCGTATGTCGCCATCACGTTCTTCATCATGCTCACCAACGGGGCGTTGACGGGGTTCGGAACAATCATCACGCAGAGCTTTGGGTTCTCCGAGATCAAGACTATCTTGCTCATTGGGGTTGTCGGGGCGGTTGGGTTTGTTGCTTTGCTGACTTTTGGGTATGTCCCCCTCCACCTACTTATCCTACCAGTCCTCCATTACCTTGTTGATTACCGTGGAGCTAACCGGACCCTGTAGCATCATCTCCGTCTTCATCCCTAACACGCGCATCTACATCGGCACATTCTCCTGCCTCCCCGTCATCGCCGGCGCAGCAATGGTCTGGCGCGCCCCCTGGTCCGCCGCAAAAATCGTCCCGCTCTGGGGCATGTACCTCATGGGGTTCTTCCCCGCGGTGTACGTAATGACCCTCTCCCTCGCAACAGCAAACACAGCCGGCCACACAAAGAAAGCCGTCACGGCGGGTATGATCTGGGCGTCGTACTGCATCTCGAACGGGGTGGCGCCGCTGCTTGTTTTTGCGAATGAGCGCGATGACCAGTACCCGACGACGTTTAAGATTGTTATTGCGGGGTCCACGGTCAGTGGGGCCGTGTTGATTGCGCTCAGGGGGTATCTTATGTGGGAGAACAAGAGGAGGGATCGGGTTCATCCTGTTGATGAGGGGGAGGTTCTGGCGACGGCGTTGATGGATCGGACGGATGGGGAGAATTTGAATTTCAGGTATCAGATGTAGACCGAAGATGCTTTTGGCCTCTGGGACGTCTTGAAGGGGGGATGAGCGCCGCGTGTAAGCTGGGTATTCTACCATAGGGTAGCAAGCGATGGACAGGACTTTTCACGACTGGAGCGGTATATGATCACCCATGGATATCCCGATCTTACAGTTCTTTACTTCTTCCTGGCTCCGTAATTTTGGATCTTCTCCAATATCATTCCGGGGTTACCCCAAACCTGCCACTAGGTCTCTTGGCGCACGTGACTTGTGAACTTATCGTCCTGCTCGACGGGTGAGATTTTCAATTCGCTCATGGTCTTCCAACGGATACCCTCTTTCTTCCAAGGTGAAATCTGACAAGGAAGTCATGTCCCATAAACCTGTTTCCAACCGTCGACTACGTCCCAAGGTCCCAAGACCCTTGCGCAAACGCATCGAACGTGCATGTACAAGATGTCGCGTGCGAAAGAGAAAGTGCCGCTTCAGCGATCAATATGACATATGCGACAACTGCCGGCGGGCTGGCCATTCCTGTGTCGTAGAACCCACTACTGATCCAGAACTGTCGTCGTAAACCCACACGTATCCGAACCCACACTTGTCTGTCTGGCTGATAAACTTGGCCCGAAAAACAGTGCTCCCCTTATGGATCCAGTCCTCAAAGATATTGAAAATGAATTTCGTTCGCAGCACCCAGATATCTCACTCCGGCCAGAACATTGGGAGACACTTGCCCGCATCTTTAGCCGTCGCTGGGATTCTGATAATAACTCTAATAAGATGTCTCTTAGTCATAAATTTGCAACCACCTCCAGTCAAGACCCCGACTTATTTCCACATATGGGGAAGTCCGTTTTTGCAGAGTCACCTAGTATGCATTCCGTCTCCCTGAATGATTTGTGATTAGACCCTTACTGTGCGAAAAGGACGTATCCACCAAAGACAGTCAAATTTCATCGGGTTTGGGGATTTTATTACTTCAGCTTCGAGCGTGCTTTCACAGGGTCGGTCTTTGGATCTTTTAGATGACCGTATGGGCTACGGGGTATAATATTGCTCACTCTTGCACCATTTCACCTTTCCTGTCTTATGCTCCCTTTCTCTTACCAACATAGCTTGCGTTAAACAAACAGTGGAATGCTAACGACTACCCCTCACAGTCTCCTCTAGACTACCTCTTTTTATACAATACAACCAAGGAGCAGTACTTGGTTCATATTCTGCCAAGTCTTCCGACACAAAGCGAAGCAGACTTTATTATCTCGACCTTTTTCCTATATGCCTCACCTAACTGGTACTGTTTGGATGAGACCTCATTTCGAGGACGAGTCACGTCCTTGTATGAAGACAATCTGGACATTTCATGCATAGATTGTGATTTTCTCTTTCTGGTTCTCACGGTCCTTGCCCTTGGAAGCCAATTCCTTGAGCTCCGACAAGTGCTGAAACCTCGAGACCCGGAAATATCGTTGGCCCCAGCCATAGACGCACCAGGCGTGTGTTTCATCCGATCTGCAACCAAATTACTCGCCATGGTACTAAGCATACCATCCATTGAGAGCTGCCAAGGCCTTTTCCTTGCAGGGCTGTATTACATCCCCGTGAGCCAATCCTCTACGTCTCACACATACATAGTGTTGGCAATGAGACTTGCCATGGCGCTCGCTCTCCATCGAGGCGAGACAAAGCCAAGCCTGGACAACATCCAGGTGGAGTATCGGCATCGAATCTTCTGGACACTGTATTGCATCGAAAGGTGAGCGACCCATCTTGGTGTACAAGTGTTTGCTAATCGTAGTAGACGGCTGGCTATTGCCATGGGCTATCCTGAAACTATCCTGGAGAAGGAGATTACGTGTCCTCTGCCCAAGTACTGTCGGGATCTCGACGGCAACAACCATCTGCAGGTCGAGCGGCACAAAGCACATGTAAATCTAACACTGGTTATCAACCGGCTCATACGAAGGTACGCACAACTGTTGTACTTCGGGTCTGTGTCTTGCTAATTAGATCAAAAGGGACCAAGACTCATGGTCTACTTACCTAGAGGAGGCTCGCTCAGCTATACTCTCGTGGTGGGAAGACATCCCAATGCAGCTGCGAGACTTGGACAATGTTCTTCTACAAGCTAATGCGCATCTGCATATTTATTACCATCAAGTCTAGATCTATGCTAGCCGAAAATGCCTAATTCATCTAGTCCAGGAACAGCTGAGGAACGGATTCCTTCCCACAGGCGAGGCACTGGGGGATCCGGCGATTGAGGCGCTGACCGAACACTGCATTGCAAGTGCCAACGAGACGATAAATTTCCTGGGCTTACTGCGAGCGCACAAGCAGCTTTCGCATTTTTCCTTTACTGATTTCCATTCATGCGTGTTCGCAATAATTGTTCTCCTCCTGGGAAGCATATTGCGCCCGTGTGCTGCTATAATGCATCAGGTCCAAGCGGCCATGGACACTTTGCGGTTCATGTCGGCAGGCAATGAAAATGCCAAGGGCGGCGTCCATCTGGTCGAGTCATTCTTGGCTATCGTCAATAGGAGCCTATCTTCATTATGCGCGCGCCAGCCTCCTGGATGCCTCTCGAATGATGGAGTTGACAAATTGGATGCGGTACGGGTGCAGCAGGATCACGATCGGTCTCCTGACTTTTCCAGCACCCAGCCTCGGTCTTCAATCCCCCTCTTCCCACCTGCGACTCAACAGGGGCTAAACCGCAGCCTGGGTACCGCACTCGGCGACAGTAGCGGATTCCCTGGGACTCGGTCTCCCGCTGGGGCGGATATGTCGCTTTATGATAAACTCCGCATCGCGGCCACCGAATGTTCCTCCCAGGAACTTCGCTTTTTGGGGATTACCGATCTATTCGATGAGGACAATGGACCGGTTGCTTCAAAGCTGAATTGATACAATCGTATGCTATGTGTACCTTCCAAAGTTCGACCACTGATCTTGTCTGGCCAGCTACCGACCCAGCAGTCGAAATGTCGGTTGCGTGCACAAGACGAGTTAATGAGAGCCGGGTTGAAGCTAGCTATATGTGATTCTTACTAATCGCAAGACTTTACAAACATTCTTAGTATCTGGACCATGTTCACCTATGAAGAGAGGCTCGACACAAAAAGTACAAGGTTGGAGACCTGAGTTTGTGTTTAAGCCAACTTGGCCGGCACGATTGCCTCAACATCCAACCGACTCCAGCGCGACCCGACGACTCGACCGTCTTTAATTGTCGCCAGCAGATGCTGATCAGGCCGGTCAAGAACACTAATATCCTCCAAAGGGTTCGCATTCAAGATGAGCAAGTCAGCAGCAAAACCAGGCGCGACTTGGCCCAAGAACCTCTCCTGCTTCAGCATTCGTGCTGGGTTAATAGTAGCACTCCGCAAAATCTCGAGCGGTGTCTGCACGGCACTGCGAATGAGAAACTCCTTGCTCTGCGCAAAGTGCAGTGGCCCCAGGAGGTCTGTCCCCAGACAAATGTCAACGCCAATCTTATTCGCAAGCTCGAGCGCCTCCAGGCCCTTGCCTAGGACCTCGCGTTTTTTCTCCCTGGAAGGTGCGGGGAGAAAGTTACGGAAGTCGCTACTGTCCATGGTAGCGTAGGTAACCAGCGTCGGGGTGAGAAAGACATTGCTTTCCTTCATCATAATTGCCGTCGGCTCGTCAAGGAGGTTCCCGTGTTCGATTCCCTTGACCCCTTGGCGGATCGCCTGCTGGATGGCCTGTGGGGTATACGCATGCGAGGTAACATAGGTACCTACATTCTCGGCGACGGTGACAATCGCTCGGATCTCCTCGTCGGAGAACTGCAGGTGCTGGATCTGATCTGCGGGGCTTGCCACGCCGCCACCGCCCATGATCTTGATGAAATCCGACCCCTGCCGCAGTTCTTCCCGCGCATATTTCAGACATTCCGCTACCCCGTCCACGATTCGTCCAATCCCGTTTACGTGGCCCGCGCAGCATTCGTTCTCGTCGTGCTGGTCACGCCGGTCCCCGTGCCCGCCTGTCTGCGACAGGGCGTGGCCGGCTATGAAGAGACGCGGGCCACGGATGACACCGCGTTGAATGGACTCCTTGAGGGCGAGGGTCGCGCCTCCACAGTCGCGCACGGTTGTAAAGCCGCGGTCGAGCATGGACTGGCAGAGGTTTGGTTGACGGAGGAGGCTGACGCTTGGTGTCAGGTTTTTCATCTCGAGGAGACTCGTTGCGCCGGGGACCGCGGCAAGGTGGACATGCGAGTCGATGAGGCCCGGGCAGACGTACTTGCCGTCTAGGTCGATTACTACGGCATTGCTGGGAGGATCGCTGGGGGTATCATCGCCTATCGACTTAACGTGGCCGGCTGCAATGTGGATTGTGGTGTTTTTGGTCACCTCTCCGGAGACAGGGTCGATGAGATTGGCGTTGCTGAGGATGAAGGTTCGATGCGGTTCGAGGCGCCATGGGGTGACTATGCGAGCAAGTTCGGGGGGTACAGCGGGCGTTGCCATTCTCGATGGTTTGTCCTTGATGTAGGTGCTTGGGAGATTGGAATAGATAAAATAGCCAGGAAAGGTCCGACCGTTTCTGTGTCAGGCACAGAGGGGCTCGGCATAGGTTACCTAGGTACGCTATATACTATTTGCCGAGCGGGGGATGCTCCTTCGAGTTACAGTAGATCATTGAGCCATGGCTGACCCTCGTCTGGTGGAGCAGCGGGTACATGTACCCGCCCCTTAAAAGCGCCAAAATAGGCAGGCCAACAGGCGGGTACATGCACCCGCCCTTTCTATCTACATTCCCGGTCACCCACCGGTTGGCGGCCCGGTTCTGGGTTATCATTGGGCCCGGATGCGCAAATACCGGATTCATCACTTACCACCAAGCTCCACAGGCGAAGTCTGCTGAGGGCTTCCTCACTGCGGTGGCCCGGCTTGCAGTGCTTCCCCCGAGCTGGGTCCCACATACGCTCTCTAGATCTGGGGAACCAACTAGCGACTTTGGCCTTATCAGCGCCTCGGTTGAGATCTGATTTGTACATTCTCAAACAAACCCAGGTTTAACTGCTGTCTGTGCAATAATCACTTACCGCGGCTGCGCGGAGAAAGCATATATAAGGATAGTCGAGTATCCGTCTAGACTGAGGTCTCAGATCCGACAGACAGCACTTGGCCATTGCGTTATTACATTTTCAGAGCACATCAAAATGTCGTTAAAGGGTGTCGACACGGAACATGCTTCACAGCCAGACAGAGCACCTTTTAGTCCTGACCAGGAGTGCCGGGTGAGACGCAAGATTGATTGTGTTGTACTTCCACTGGTGAGTACAACAAGCTCCTTATCCGGTGTGCTTCTTGCCCTGAAAACTAACATCTCTCAACGTAGATGTGCCTTGTTTTCTTTGCCCAGTGTGGGTTCCCCTGCTTTCATGCTATCACATTCATGCGGCATCGTATCAACTGACCGTCCCTTCAGACCTCGATAAACAAAGTCTAAGCTATGCTGGGGTTTTTGGCATGATAGAAGAGCTTGACCTCCATGGCACGCAGTTTTCCTGGCTAGGATCAATCTTCTACGTTGGACAACTTGTCGCCGAGTTCCCCGCCATTTATCTGATGAGCCGCCTCCCGCTTGCTAGATTTGTCGCTTGCACCGTGTACGTTGATTATTCCTAGTCTGTTCAAGTTGCTGATTCTTTTTCCTTGTCATTCTTACTACTTATTAGCCCTATTATTTCCTTTCTTTCAACCATCAGCTAACGTTTTCGCAGAGTCGTTTGGGGACGTGTGTGCATGGTGAGTGCCCTATCAGCAATCAGACGCGCATTTAAGCTTTCTAGCCCTAACAAGCAGCGACATCTGAGTAGTGTCTTGCAGCAGCAACAACATTTTCCTCGTTAATGGGGGTTCGGTTCGTCCTGGGGATCACCGAGGGTGCGGTTTCTCCAGCTTTTGTGACATTGACAAGTATTTGGTACAAGAAGCAGGAGCACCCTTTGCGTATAGGGTAACAGTGGCCCATCCGTAATTTGTTTCACTATGTTGCTTCTCTAACTCCGATAATAGTCTATGGATCAGCTGCAATGGGCTTGCTCAGGTCATTGGTGCCTTGATGATGTACGGTATTGGTCACCAAACAATGGCCGTCGCTCATTGGAGGGCGATGTTCCTAATCTATGGTGGCCTTACAGCACTTGTCGGCCTCCTATTCTTCTTCCTGATGCCTGCGGGCCCAGAGTCAGCGTGGTTCCTTATGAAAGATAAGCGGAGAATAGCAGTCCAGAGACTCCAAACCAAGACGGAAGGCGGCGATCAAACAAACTTCTCCATGCCACAGCTCAAAGAAACGGTCCGCGACATCAGGGCTTATATTAGTTTTCTTTTTGGCCTTTTGATCACACTGCCTGCTCCTGTCATTGCAGTAAATTCTGCCCTCGGCTCCAACGCTGTTTTTCTTCACTCTAATCCGACAACAGTTCGCTACTCTTATCATCAAGTTCCTCGGTTACTCAGCATTCGACACTATGCTATATACCTCTCCTTCAGGAGCAATCCAGATCGGGTTCGTCTGGCTCGGTATAGGTCTCTGTTATCTATGGCCGAACCGTCGATGCGCCATCGTCATCGGTCTCACCATAGTTCCCCTGACCGGGATAATCCTTCTGTTTACCCTCCCCTTATTAGCAGGGTGGGGCATGATAGCTGCTTCCTGGATAGTAAGTTAACATGGCCTCCGTCCCTGCCGAAGGCGCCCACAGGCACACTGACCGTCTCGGCCAATCCAGGCGTCTGTTATCTCAAATATCTTCTCCCTAACGCTCAGTCTAAACGCTTCCAACACCCGTGGTAATACCAAAAAGGCCATCGTTAACGCCCTGTTCTTCGTCGGGTATTCTGTCGCCGCCATCTGTGGGCCCTTGCTCTGGGACACCAAGAACGCCCCTCGCTACCAGAGCGGTCTTATCCTGGCGCTCGTGAGCTGGCTGGTCTTTATCCCTACTGTCGCGGTTTATTGGGCTTCCTACGTCTATGAGAATCGGCGGAGGCAGAACCAAGTGACGATCGAGTCGGTGGATATCAGCGAGCATCTGGCGGAGGTGGTGGGGAGGGATGTGACCGATAAGCAGGATAAGACGTTCCGTTATACGTTTTAGGTGAAGGACATCGAGAGTGTTTGGTTTTCCCCTCCCACATGAGCCCAGCCTGTGTCGGACTCAGAGGCGCAGTAAGGCGGGCTTATTTCGCTGCTCACTGTGACAAAAAAACTGAGATTCAGACTCTTAGATTCTGATATATTGTAGTGTCCCTTGCGCAACTAGAGAGTTCAATAACCAGCTTGACTGGACCATCTTCCAATTTCGCACAACCCCCCTACGGCTTCCCAGCACGTCACTATAAAGGCGAACACCAAAAAGAATGCGGCATGCGCTGTATAATAGTAGAAGAAGAAAGAAAGTTCGTGTTCCCATCTCTAATATTTAGTGAAGAATCTAATACTAATCAGCAACCATAGTAGGCATGAGTGTCCTGACAGAGTATAATGTCGGCTGCAGCGTACTATACCACAAGAGACTGTCAGATCTTAAGGTATTCTTAGGATAATAGAAATAAAAGGTGCTAACTCAGGATCAAAGATAGGAACGATAATGATGTCAGAGGTAGAGAGTAGCTTGGGTTCTAAAAATAACACATACTAGCTAAAACTAGATACGCTTGGTAACAAACAGTCCGACTGAAAAGCTACGCTGGGCCTTTCGGCAATTTCGACGTAATTGTAGCTGGAAATTATAATCTCGCTACATTGTTATCGCACCAGGTGTATTGTTTGAAATTCGCACTTCACCAATGTTCGAAATCTAGGGGCGCAGTGAGGTTTATAGCCTCCTAAAATGCCAGTCAACCATGCAGCATGCGACTATATATTTTGGGATAGCGGGTCGCGGTAGGAGATGCACTTCGTTGGCCGAGCACCACCTTCCGTTGGAATTTATCATCTACTAGAACCTTGTGGATATAGTACGAAAATAAGTGATCGACGGCCTAGCCAGCCCCATGGAAAATACCCCAGAGGTCCTTCAGCTCCTCAGATGCATCAAGGTTGGCCCCGCCACTGCCGCTAGTCCGCTCGACGGCGGAAATGCGGTTGACTGCAAACACAAACTGCTTCAGGAAAATACCACGACGGCCGTAAAAAACATATAAACCCCGAAATTCTCCAGCTCCTTGATAAACTGAGATTGTCTCTTCTTCATGATGTCTGCTAATCTCGCGATCAAGGCGCCCTTGTTGATCAGGAAGTCTGAGATGCACAATTCCAAATACGCGAGCCATAGGGCACAGCCACGATGTTTACTCCAAGATCACTCATGGTATCTGGGGCTGACAGCGCCCCCGACTGCGTTGCGTCTTCAGCTATAATACTTTGGATGGACGACTCTTGGATATGGCGGAAAGATTCAACTTTTTCTGAGCACCGACTAGAGCGAATCCAGTTAGCCGCTCGGCAATGGAATTCAGCTGCAACTGCGCGATGAATTGTGAGACAGCTCACGTCAGCAGCCTGTTCTCCTGACTGCCCCCAGCACCGTTCTAGAAGACTAGAGGACTCTTAGGGCTGACGGATATTACGTGTTGCGCCGGTTAATCTGTCCCCTTGACTCTTGGTCATGGCGATGCTCGTGGCCTGCGAGCCGTGTCGCCAGCGGAAGCGCAGATGCGATCGCGGGGTCCCAACCTGTGGGCTTTGCATCAAGTATGCTCAACGTTGAACCAATAAGAGGATAAGTGTGCTGACGGCCATTGCTAGACGCGGCCGAACCTGCTTCTACCCACCGCATCGCCTCGTCAAGAGCCAGGAGAGCGTGCCCGATCAGACCACTCCCTCGCCAACCGTTCAGGAATGCGACATGACTGCCCTGACTGCAAACCACATGTTCCAGGCATGGGTCATGCAGTCCCCCGACATCCCCATGTCATATCCAGTCCCATTCAGATGGTATATCCCGCGCCTGCTTAGAAACTGTTCGTCGCTCACCCACCCACCTCACTAAAGCCACTCTAACGCTTCGGCAGTCTCCGAGGGCCTCGGCGTATCGCGGCTGCCCGTCGACATGAACAGCACAGCGTACCACATCCAGACGGTCTGGATCCGCGGGGCCATGACTGATGCTGCGTTATTCCACGCGACACTGTACGCCGGCGCATCGCATTTCGATCTTTCTCGGGGGGAGCGCCAGAGCTCGATTACGCTGTATCACCAGGCGGAGGCGATAAGGCTGATCAATGAACGATTGTCGGACCCGGAGTTTGCGGTTGATGATCGGACGCTTATTGCTGTTACGCCGCTGGCGTTGTTTGCTGTAAGTACCCCTAGATTGACGTGGTGGATGTAGCTAATTGGTAGGATTTGAATGGCGATCGTGCTGCGGCGGATATTCACCGCGAGGGATTGCGAAAGATGGTCGAGATGCGAGGCGGACTGGACCGTCTCGGCTTTGAGGGCCTCACGTCCGCGCTGATCCAAATGTCAGCTCCCCTCCCAGTCTCATCTGACACCAACTGATCACAGTTGCAGGAACAACATAATCTACAACATCGCCTTCGACCTCTCGCCCGACAAACTCAGCTCACCCCCAGGCCCACCCCCGCTCGCCCTCGAAAAGCGCATCCTCCAAACCCCGTCGCACATCTCGACAGCCGTCCCCTCCCTCCCCGCCATCCTCGAAATCTTCCGCAACGTCCACACCTTTAAACTCGAATTCTGGATGCAGGAATTCACAGCCGCAAAAACACATACACATCCACACGCGCATATCCGCCCGCACGCCCACCTTGCCGGCTACACCTCCTCGATGCCGGAACTCGGTCTCGAGAATCCCGTCTACTACTGCTGCTACCTGGCCGTCACCTTATTCAAGACGATCGTCAGCGACCAAGTCCGAAACCCATCCTTCTCAAACGAAGTTGATGCCCTCGCAAGCGAGCTCCGCGCCGCACTGGCACTCACAGACCCCGAGATGTGGATCCGACGCATCCCCGCCGTCTTCTCGTGGGTGTGTCTGACCGGCGCCGCGGCGAGTAGTGACTCGCGGGCACGGATCTGGTTCTACTTTAAGCAGGCGTCTGCGGTGCGGGTTTTGAATGTGAGGAGTGAACCGCCGTACCTGGATGAGCTGTGGGAGCATTTCCGGTGGTTGAGGACGATGAGATTAAATCCCATACGATATATTTACGAGGAGGCTGTATGATCATCGCATACCATGGCCATGCCGTCCGAGTCCCCTCTTGCAATGTCTCATGTAATGAATAATTAACGCCTTGTATATATACCATGCATTATATAACCTAGCGATCACGATTTTATTCATTCCATCCTCTTGACCTTTTAATTTATGCATGTACGAACTCGTCACCCTCTGCTCAGGATGATTTATTCGGCGCAACTCATACTCGTCCCCCACCCCCGAATCAGCCCAACCAAATCCCCTGTATAGCTATGCTCCGCCTTGACATACCGCTTGTTTCCTTCTCCAAACGACCACGCAAGCGCCTTCATCTCGTCGGGATCATACGACGGACAAACCTCGAAGAACGTCTTGATCCGCCCACTAACCGCCGAAGCCGGAGGATTATTCTCCTCGAGACGGAGCGCATAAAACGCAACGCGCGAAATCCGCCCCGTGGTCATATCCATCGTCACCGCAAACGTCCCGCCGGCCCTCGGGAAGGGTGCGTGTATTTCTTCGAAAAGCGCATCGGGTAGGGGATCGGCCCCCGCGAGGGAAATGTATTCATCCATATCTCTCCTCGAAAGGTCAGGCGGTGTCCGGAAATACAGATTCATGGACCCTTTCTCGAGATCGACGGCTGTATGCCGCACGCCCGTGAGGTTTATGGTTTTAAACATGCCTCTGTAGCCGCGTATGCACTCCGGAACACCAGGGACATTCAATATCTCATCAAGCGGCCGTATCCCACCGAGAAAGACCCAGAATTTTACCAATCCTTTGGAAGAATCAAAGTCTGCTAGCTGGTGGCTTTCATTGCCGTATAAAGAGGACCAGGTCAGTACGAGCTTTCCCAATGACGAATCGCGAGGGAGGAGGCCGGCGTTTGTGGCGAGCGAAACCATATCGATGCTCTGCCGCTCGTAGACGCGATAGTTCAACGGTCCTTCGGGTTGATTGGTTGTGCGGAAGAGGACGGCGCCGCGGGTGAAGCTTTTCTCGAAGGTTTTAAGGATCTTCAGTGTGGTAGGTTCAGAGTAGGCCGTGTTGAGAGCTTTGCAGGCGCTTTCGAGTTCGGATAGGAAGCGGGATTGTGAGAAGGGCGTTGCGATTGGGACTGGGGCGGGGGGTTCAATGACTGTCATTTTGGCGGAATATGCTACCGGCGATAGGGGGGTTGTATGGGGGTGAGCAAAAGTTTCTGATGAGCTGAGCTCTGGTTTATGTAGCTAGCTATTTTCGTCATCGTAAGCCTACTGAGTGCCCCGGCTATCGAGCTGCGTTGGGATGGATAGGCTATTGACCATCCATGTCTGGAAAGCCGCTCAGCATCCCGCTAGTCGTGATGTACGAGGACCCTGCAGCAACCCATTCTCTATCCAATGATTATCACCCAGCAAATGCCGAACAGAGACCTTATTCCTCCCCAAAAACGGCGTTAATGACCCCCACTACCCGCTGAACAATCATCTCAATATCCTCCCGAGAAACATTATACGCCGGCGCAATCTGCACAATATCCCCATTCACCCCGTCTGCGACGCCAGACCCGGGAATCATGGAGATGCAATGTTCCTTCTCAAGACCGGTCCTGTGCACCTTTTGCGCGATGCCTTCTGCTGCTGGGAAGGGTTCTTTTGTTGTTTTGTCTTTGACGAATTCGAGCTGGGACTGTTAGCTTCTGCAATTTGCACATGTGAGCTGAAGCAGAGGGGGAGGCGAATGTCAACGTACAGCCCAGAAAAGTCCCCGTCCACGAATATCCCCAACATGCCTATGCCCACCCACCCTCTCCTTCAACAACGCCCCCAGATACTCTCCCCGCACACGCACATTCTCCAGCAGATTATCATCGCGGATAATCCTCTGCACCGCAACAGCCGCCGAACACGCAACCGGATGCCCTTGATACGTCTGACTATGCAAGAAGCTCCCCGTCCCCTTGGTCAGCGCGTCCACCACCCGCGACCCAACGAGCAGCGCTCCGATAGGCGCGTACCCTGCGCCCAGTCCTTTGGCAATGGTTTGGAGATCTGGAACGACGTCTTCCTGCTCCCATGCGTGGAGGGTCCCTGTGCGGCCCATCCCGGACATTACCTCGTCGAGGATAAGGAGGGCGCCGTGCCGGTCGCAGACGGCTTTTATGGCTTTGAAATAGCCAGGTACGGCGGGGACACAGCCGAGGGTCTGTCTGGGTTGTTAGCAAAGCAAAGCTCGGCTAGAGAAGCACGGGGAGTCATACCGTCCCCGACATGGTCTCCGCGACAAAAGCACAGACTGTTTCCGGCCCAACGCGCTGAAACTCTGCCTCGAGCTCTTCCGCAAGTCGCGTCACGTACGCTTCCTCAGTTTCGTCTTCCTTCATGTCGCGGTACGGATAGCACGGCGAGACGTGCGAGACGTTTGTCGCCAGGATCGGCTCATAGATTGCGCGACGCAGCTTGTGCCCGCCTGCCCCCAGAGATCCGAGGGTATTCCCGTGGTATGACTGCCTGCGCGCGATGAACCGGGTGCGCTGCCACTGCGGCTCAGAAAGTTCAGTGTAGTATTGTCGCGCCATTTTCAGCGCTGCCTCTATCGCTTCCGTTCCTATTCCTAATGTCAGTCCTCTCCCTTGAGCCCTAAGGAAACTGAAGAATTACCCGAACTAACAACAAAAACCCTCTCCATCTTCCCCCTCGTCGACTCCGTTAGGAAACTCGCAACCTCCTCCGCAGCTGGAACAGTAAAGAACGGCGAATACACATACGCCGTCTGGTTTAGCTGCGCTACGATCGCCTCCTTCACACGGGGATCATTATGCCCCAGACACGCGACTGCGGCGCCGCCGCTTGCGTCGAAGATACGTCGGCCGTCGGAGGTTGTGAGGTAGTTGCCCGAGCTGTGGATGATGCTGGGGGTTGGGGTGGTGATTTTGGGGTACAGGAGGGAGGGGGCCATTTTGGTTTCTGTGATTGCGCTTGGGGTTGATTGTTTAGGATGTATAAGTATAGTTGTGGTGGGTATGAAACTTGTGGGCGATGGAGGGAGGGGTGGGTGATATCAACGCAGCTATGATAAGACCTCTGCTAATGCAGAATCCTATCGCGACGTCGAGCCCGTTATCTATTTATCTATCCTTTGGTGGTGTAACGCCGAGCGCGCATCGTTGGAGTCGGCGGCGATACGAGCAAATCGGCGGCCGTTGCTATGAGCGGGGTATCGGCTGGGTCGCTTGGGCCGTCGGTTTACTATCATGGAGCCCCTCGCTTAGGTGCGATAGGGCGTTTCCATTCTAAATAGGGCTGTCGTTGGAAGGCGTCGGTGCTAAGAGGTGAGCTGGGCCTATCCATCATGTATAAGCTGTCAGCGATGGTGTCAGCGATGGCGAATACACATGTACGGATAGCTAGTGCGGAACCCGTAGTTCCAGATCTTGTTTTGGAAAAGCTGTCGCGTCGAGCACTATGGAGGATATAATGAGCCCATTTCTCTCCAGATTCAATGGCTTGCATGATTCGGAACATCGGCGGCGTATACTCTAGGTTGGGGTGGGTGAGCCCAATTATGAACCACCCATTTGGACGCCCCATCGTGCAGATTACTCGCAACTCGAGACGATTGCCTCGTAGTACCATGAACACAATCCTGATCTCTAATGCAGGTTCGCCGAGCTAGCCAGGGAGCTGTTGGGTGTAGAGAACTTTCCACACTACTCTGCCTGATGCACCCGCACAGTCTGTGGAGAGTGTTCAGCAGGAACCGTCCACGTTGAAGAGCCGCTTATGTACCAAGTGTAGTCAGACTATTTCCTCGGAGTGTTGGTAGATCGCCGGATAGCAAGTTCCCTGTGTAATGTTAACTAGGTTCGCCAGGAGTGTCGATGTATCCTGAAGGATCTGGTCTCGGTACCTCATGTGTTTGGAACTTGCAGATCACGTGCAGTAGAGAGCTTTTGAGCGTGTCAAGAATCGTCGGGGATAAGGAAAGGGTAAACATGCCCTGAGAAATCTCTCACCAGAAAGTGTATCCGAGAGTAGATTATCAAGGTCCCATCGTCCATCCACATATTGGTCCACCATTGATCACAGCTGCCCCAGACTGTCGATCATCGCGGAGCACATGTCAAAGATGGGGAGAAGGTGTACTCGTTCAGTGATCGGCGGGTTTCGATGTCGATCCATTGTGTCACCTTGATGATCATATCATGTAGCATGATTTGTTATCCGCAGAACAAAGTCGGCGGGTACACGGATATAAGGCAAGCGTGAGCTACCAAGGAAAGTGCAACCATCCGCGCGTAGTCAGGGCGACTCGCACATTCCTATTTTGGCAGTTCGTGGTGTGCGCTCACGATGGAAGGGGCGGAGGAACCTGGCTCGGTCGTAACTTCCATGTATACTGCTGAACTCTGAGCAGGCTATCCTGGTGGAGGTCCTTTGGTTCTATTTCCGGTCAGCCGACAATGACCAGCCACTGTGACACTGGGGATAGCGTGAACCAGCCACTTCTCATGCGTAGAGACGGCGAAACTCGACTGTGTTTGTGCCTCGCCGCCCTCCCGGGCGCGGCGTCGCCGCGGATTCCAAATAGGGCGGGCAGCGCTGCCGACGCAAGGGGCGATTGAAGCCACTTGATCCTCCCTTGATTCGCCATTTCAAGTTTTGCACGTTCTTACAAAGGTTCATAGTGCTGGCGAGACTGGTCTTGCCCTGGAGTAAGTGGCAATCACTGTGCATAGACTGCATAGGCAGGGTCATTTGCCCCTGTTTGCCAGGCCGGCACACCATACGATGTCGTCTTTGCAAAATACCCTCGAATCATTCCCTACCTGATTGCAAACTCGAACTATGCTCCGGATGGAAGTTTAAGCGTGCCTCACCTCGGCTGGCCACCAGTTCACTAGCAAGGTTTGTGCGACATTTGGGCAGAGAAGGCAGGCTCTGGAATGTAATCCGATCACGCCGGGAACGACCGAACCCCAACTCTGTCCGCGACAAGCTTTTTGAGTATTTTGTGATTCTCAACTCACCATAAACTACCTCGTTCTTAGTTGCTGATCACCGTCGATCACCCGTTGATGCCACATCGGGCCGATGTACGCCGCGCAGGGACCTTGGGAGGCAACTCGACAACCTTGGGGGATTCACGCCCTGCTCGGATTAAGAGACGAACTGTCCTGCAATGTGACACTGCGTGACCTCGTGAGTCTCTGGAGTCTAGGCCGACGAGGTAAGGAATGTGCGATCTAGAACATGCAGACTCCAGAAATTCCCTCTTCCGATTCTCCCGCCAGCTATATAATTTCTGATCTGGGGGAATCCCCAGCTGTCTCTCAGAGAGATTTTTCAAGACAAAGTACAATGGACGTCAAGGATGAGGTTGAAGCGTTGGAGCAGGATATCCCCCATGCGCCAGGTAAGCGACCTCGCTGACCCTCTTTAGACAGCCCACGTCTTACTCTGTCAGGAACCCAAGTATGGTTCTCCAACGCCAGACCACGGCACAGCTGGCTTCAGGCCGACGCCCAGCCGGACCAGGGAGCCGCTCCTGTTCAGCTCGACATCTCTCCCAACGACCCTCTCCAGTGGCCGGCATGGCGCAAGGATGCCGTTCTCCTAGTTGTCGGGTTCTACAGCTTTCTCTCCGCGGCTCTGAGCCCCATTCTCGCGACCGGCTTTCCTGATATCGCCGAGGCATTTGGTGCTACCCTGCAGCAGATCTCGTTCACCATCGGCATCTACATGCTTGGTCTAGGAGTCGGTGCACTGGTTTGGTGTCCCACTGCAACGCTCTACGGCCGGCGCCCAGTCTATCTCGTTGCGGCTCTTCTTCTCATGGCATCCTGCGCGTGGGCGGCTGCGAGTCCGTCGTACGCGAGTCTAATATTATCCCGCCTCCTACAGGGTCTGGCAGCTACCCCGGGCGAGCTGCTCGTGTCTGTGACTGTGTCGGAGATTTTCCTCCCTCAGGAACGCGGGTTCCGGCTGGGTATCTACATGTCGCTCATCGCCGCTGGAAAGAGCCTTTCGCCGTTGATTGGAGCGGGCGTCATACAAGGGCTCGGCTGGCGCTGGGTTATGTGGTACGTAAATATTTTCCCTACTCGATGATATCGGCTAATGCGCTGCAGGTTAGCGATGATTGCTTCCGGCATATGCTTTGTCTTTGTTGTTGTCTTTGCTCGCGAGACATACTGGGCGCGGTCTACAGTCAGTGTCAGCATCTATATCTTCCTCCAAGTCCACGGCTAACCATGACACAGCAGAGTCCCATATTGGCACCACGACAGCCCGGCGAAGTATACACGGACGATCTGCGTATCTCGCCTCCTCTTCGCTTCAGGCAAACCATGGTCATCTGGAATGGTCGGCTGCACGGGTCCTCCTGGCTGTCTCTCGCATCCCGCCCGTTTCACCTCCTCAAGTCACCCCCTCTTCTTTTCTCGGCTGTTGTATACGCCTTGTCTCTAGGTTGGATTGCAGTGCTGGCAGAAACAATCGCACATCTCTTCCAGAGTGTCAACGGCTACGGCTTTACACCAATTCAGACTGGACTTCTCTACATATCCCCGCTCATCGGCACCATCGTGGGCAGCGTCGTAGGCGGCAAGATCTCCGACCTGCTGGCCTGTGCTAAGGCCTACAGGAACGAGGGTATCTACGAACCGGAGTCACGTTTGATTATGCTGATACCCGCCGCCATCTCGACTGTCGTCGGTCTCGCCGGATATGGCTGGAGCATCGAGATCCTGGATCACTGGATCGTGCCGACGATATGCTTCGGCCTGATCTACCTTGGCTGCATCCTTGGCTGTACCGTCGCGGTGACGTACTGCCTCGATGTCCACAAGTCGTCGGCGATTGAGGCGCAAGTCGTGTTGAGTTTGTTCAAGAGTGAGTTCCTCTCTCAAGGTTTCCGTGTTTCGCTAACACTTCATAGATTGTGATGGTTTGGCGTTCTCCCTGTTTATCGTCGACTGGGTCAAGGTATCCGGCCCGCGCGTTACGTTCTTGACACTTGCAGGTCTCCATTTGGCATTCCTGTTGACGACCGTACCAATGTACATATACGGCAAGGGTATCCGAATCTGGATAAGCAAGCGGGAAAAGTCTATCGTATAATCTATCGGTCGGTTAGAGATCCACTGAATATAATATCACTCACTTCCCCGTCTTCTCCACTCTAAGAACCGCATCCCCCTGATCCCCCCTCCTCACCCGAATCTCATACTCTCCATCCATAAAATCTTTGAGCCGCAACTCGGTCGTCCTCCCCAACCCTTCCAGTTCATCCAGCCGTTCCAGCGTCGCCCCAAGGTGCTCCTCAAACCCGGGCTCATTACAAACAGTCCGGAAGGCATTTTGCATGGGCACAGAGTCTGCGCGAACGACGGCATCCGCGTCAATCGCAATGATATTCATCTCGTCCAGTCCTTTGATGAGATCTGCGCGCGTCATGAGCTCCTGTGCCTTGTGCAGCGGGATCCCGGGGAGGCCCGAGACGAACGATGACCGGTCCGCATTCTGCTCCATCTGAACGAGCGTTTTGCCTAGGAGCATTGCGCCAGACTATACAACAATCATTAGCCCGCAATCAGTTCAAAGAGGGATAACAGTCGTACAGAAAGATCCTGCTGGTCCTCCGCCTTATCATCCATATCGGCTCCGAGAATCCAACACTTGCAGAGCAACCACCTCTTCTCCTTCTCGCAGATGGATCGACACGTGCGTAGCATATCCTTCGAGCGCGCGACCTGGTCGAGGAAAATCAATCTTCCGCCGACGAGGCTATACACCTGTTCGAGGATACTCGGGGAAACGTCCTCGCGGAACGCCTGCTGCCGGAACACGCCCAGCGCACGTATCGCGTCGACCTTGGGGATATCTTGTACATTTAGCACCTGCAGCCGCGTCGCGTGTAAGCGCAGCATCTCCGTCGTGCGATACTGGTCGCTCGTGAAGACCAGTGTGACAAGACCACTGGCAGCCCACATCTCTGCGCGCTGCTGCAGCAGATCGACAAGGTGCTGCCCCTCGGTGTTATCCGGCAGATAATGCAGATTAGACACAATAAGAACAAGCGGCTGGTCGCGGATTTTCCTCCGTGCAAGCGCAACTTTCTCGAGTTTATTCAGCGCGCGCTCGATGTCCAGTAGAGGAGTCGAATCCCGCGGTCCGCGGATACTAAACATGCCCCCGATGTAATCCTCATGGTACTCGTAGTCAATCGCCTTGCCCAGCCGGAGGCGGAACACCTCGATGTCTCCGTGCGCCTCGAGCATTCCGACGCCGTCCCCGTGGATCTTTGACATGGCCTCGAGGAGCATGGATGTTTTCCCGGTCCCCTTTTCGCCGAAGAGCAGGTAGTAGTGCCCCTTGACCCGTCCGGAAACAATCCCGTCGATGAGACCCTGCTCCGGCCGTGTGATCCGGAATTTCTTCTCGTCGTCTATACTGTCGATCCCCTGATCGGGTGAGTATGTATACCCGTGCTGCGCAAGCGCGGCAAGCTCAAGCGATGAGAAACCGGGCGAAAATGCATTGTCGATTTTGCGGAGCACCAGGCTCTTGTAGAAGACGTGGTACGAGTACCCGCCTACGCCGACCATCAGCAGGGCGGCGATGGTTGTCGCGCCGTTTTCGAGGAATTTGCGGAGGATGCTAGGTTCCTCTTCTTCGGCAGGGCGTCCCCGTCGCGGATGTGTTCGCGGGACGCGTGCATTCGGGCGTGTGGGTTTGCCTTTGAAGAGGCGGAACCATGTTCCTGATTTCTCGTTAGCTGGAACTTTAAAGGTGTTTGGGAGACGCACCATATCTATCTATTCGTATCCGAGGCATATTATCATGTGCTGTGCATTGTGGCTGGATATTTCAAGGTGTCAACTGAGGAAAATGTGGGTGCCTGGTTTCCACCATGGTTGGTTTGCGGTTGAAAGCTTGGCGCCAAGGCTCAAGAGCGGGACCAGTCACGGAAAACTACATCGATGTATAGTCACAAGATGATGGATCGGATAAGTAAGCTGTATCAATCCTCAAGGTTGCTATTGGTGGACGGCTCTATCAAGGTATGCCCAGGAACGGATGCTGTCAGCAAGAACTGCACTCTTCCCCCAGATAACCTGGCCAATCATCGTTGAAGCGAGCTATATATGTGGTGCGCCGTGAGGAATTACCCGGGAACAGAGAGGAATCTAGTGTCAGACCAGTTACGTGGCTTATGGCAAAACGCCAGTCAGAGCAATCAGTCAATATTGCCAATATCAACAGCCTGCCTCTACGGGAAGGAGATGTCCGCCGTAGGAACTAGTTCTAATAGAATACTTAAGGAATCCAAGGAACTATCTCAGCGAGAGACTTCTGGTGAGTTGAAATACATAAAAATTTCGACTTTTAGTGGAGTTGTTAAGGATCCAATTACTGATCTATGTGCCAAGGTCATCTTCCGGGATATCTGACAAAATGACCAAGCGGGCTGACTAATGGTAAGTTGGGTCGTGAGTGGTCACAAGGGTTCAAAACCTTCCTCCTACTTTGTTCGTTTCAGTGTATTTCTTCACCCCAACATATGACCTTTAAGACACAAAATACACAGAATTAGACGTTTGGTAACCGTGACAATGGAATATTCTGGGGATCAGCTCTCTTGGCCCCGGGGCGAAGCGAAACAGACCGACGATCATCCCGCGGACGCCGCGGCCGAGGCCAGCCGGCAGCGCAGGAAGGTCCAGAACCGGAAGAACCAACGAGCACACCGTAAGTCCGCCCCTCACTCCTCCTACAGCTCTTCCTATACTCAGAACACCCTTACAGGACTACGGCTCAAGGGTCGAGACCCAGGGATTGTTCTGAGGTCGCGCCCATTCCAGGTCAGGCGCTGGCGCCTTGACGAGCCCGATGATTGTTCCTCCCAGGAAATCTCGCCGGCATCAGAGCGCGCAACCACGACGTCCTTCCCTCCCCAACCGCCTCACTCGTACACAGACATATCACCCTCCACAGCCAAGGGTACCGCCCTCCTAGGATCTCCGTCCACTGCCCACATCCACTCTCCCGTAGTCTTTGAACCCCAGCCCTTTACTTTTCCTCTCTCCTCGGACCACCTCCTCCATCTCATCCATTATAACGTTTTCCGCGCCTTAATAGCTAACAAGCGTACCCTTAACACCATTCCTGTCGACCCGACCCGCTGCATCCTTACCTCGCCCTGCCGCGATGACACGACCCTCTATCCCCTCAACCCCAACATGCCTCCCTCCCTCGTCCCGAGCACCTTCCAGCGAACTCGCTGCCACTCTACCTGGATTAACGTCTTCCCCTTCCCCCGCTTCCGCGACAACCTTATCAGATACGAAGGCTGCTTTGACCCCTGGGAGCTGATGCAGGATCTCGTTGGCGACTTCATACCCTGGACACCAGCCCCGCGGCGACAAGGGACCCCCGTTTCCGCCACCGTCCCCGAGGCCTTAACCATTTCATCAGAAAGTGATACCGACGAAGTCACCGGTGGGCGCAAGGGACTCATCGTCTGGGGTGAGCCGCACGAGATGAAGAGCTGGGAAGCCACCCCCGGGTTTCTCGCGAAATGGGCATGGGCCGTGGAAGGCTGTGAGGAGTTTGTGGAAATAAGCAACCACTGGAGGATGAAACGGGGGGAGGAACCTATGCGATTCGCGACGTTTAAGGGCATTCCACCACCGCCGCTCCCGCCCGCAGCGCCAGGTGGACGTTAGGTGTGTCAGTACTGGCAGAGTCAACATTTACATCTGGTTCGTCCGGCTTGCCAACTCTGATTCCATCGGTACGAAACACGGTAGGCATGATGCAACATGGTCTTTTCAAAGAACATGACAGTTCAAACTCGAATGGGCTATAGAGAAGTGGAAGAAACAATGGCCAGTTGGGTCAGGGGTCAGCCTTATGCAATTATCATTGACTGGACTGCGGCCCACAGGTTCACGTTAGCCCCGTCAGCTGTGGTTGATGATAGTTGATTGATTCCAAGTTTGGATATGGGCAGCGAAGTCCGCCAAACCGCCGAAGCGCCGAGGATGGCCCCCCGGTCCCACTTGAACAATCCACATCTCAAGATGCTGGCGAGTCAAGAAGGTATCGCTCGGAAGCTTGGAAGACTAGCGGGGATAAACAGCTTGAGGTCTTTCCCTTGACGACCATGGGGGTTTCGGAAGCGCCGGAAGAGGTTGACGTGAGAGACTACAATATCCTGATGGGTCTACCTAGATCCTGTCGGATTTGGGCTCTATTCTGTCCTAAGATGTATTAGGTTGCATAAAATCTGGAATGAATGTCCCCTGCCCTTAAAATATGGTGGGTATTGACAAGTGTTTGAGAGCCCTAACCCTTTGCCCATCTACTAGTAGTTCAGCTGTAGATCCCTTTCATAAGAATAAAAATTGATTCATCCAAGATGATCGTTTATAATGGAGTAGTCATTGTAAAACCCCTCTGGAATTAAATTGCACTTAATACTAGAACTAGTCATGGTCTAAACTTGAGATAGCTCAACAGTAGTGCAAGAGAAATAGAACGAATTGAACTTTATCAAACGTGCAGTTCATCAATAATGAACTTGCTAGCCTGTCTGAAGACATAGCCGGAACTGACAAAAGCAATCAGGTAGAAATCGTGATATAATGACCTCCTCATTCCCGGTATCTTTGTAAAAAATAGCCTACTGATCATCCGTCATTCCCACCATCTTCAAGGAATCTTTCCAGAGCCGAGCCTCTTTTTCGGGATCATAAGCATGCCCTGCGAATCCCAAACCACCAATCTCATGGTTGTCGTTTCCCCGGGTTGTCTTACCGCAGTCTGCGAGATATTCTCCACCCTTCTTCTCCCATTCTTCACCAATCGCAGCCCATACCGTCGTTGCAGCGCCCTGCTCTGGCGACTTCATAACTTTGTACACATTTTCATCCCCTTTGAACGCCTCAACTGTTGAAGGGTCCATATGCTGCATAAGCCCCGTTGCAATCATGCCAGGATGAACACTGGTAGCGTGAAGACCTCGCGACCCGTAGCGCCGCTCAATCTCATTTGCCATATAGATATTGGCGGACTTTGATTGTCCATATGAAACCCAGTCATTGTATTCAGACTGCTCAAAATTGTAGTTGCCTGATTCATTGATCGAGGCCACATGATGGGCAGAAGAAGAGACGTTGACGACTCGAGATGAGAATCCAGGGCCAGCGCTGGCGAGGAGAGCTGGCTTCAAGAGTTCGAAAAGCAGAAAATGGGCGAGGTGGTTGACTCCAAACTGCATTTCAAAACCGTCTTTCGTGTGCTCCAACTTGGGCAGAGCCATGATGCCGGCGTTGTTGACAAGGATGTTGACTTGATTGTTCGACTTTTGGAGAATGGCATTCGCGGCGGCACGCACACTGCTCAAGGAAGTGTTGTCCATCTCCACAAGTTCAACGCGTCCGGGTTCGAGGATTCCGTCCAAAGCAGACTCGGCTTTGCGCAGGTCGCGTGCCGTCAACAACAGCCTTCCTCCAGTCAAGGACAGGGCACGAGCTGTCTCGATCCCTATTCCAGACGAAGTGCCCGTGATGACAATAACCTTTCCGGCTAGCTTGCCCTCTACTCCTTCGTCCTTGATAACCTGGAGAGCTGTTGGACGAGCGTCACCGGGGCCAGCGGGATTCGAATGAGCTTCTGCGTATCGGGACATTGTTGTTGAATAGAAAACCTTGACAGTTTAGCAATTGGTAATGATATGAATAGAAATGACTTTGATGAGTTTGGGATTCGACTGTTGGGGGCGTTGGTGAACTATTTATCTTTTTGCGGCTTCAAACATCTCGCCCTGTGCTCTTAGAATGATGCTTTGCATTTCAAAGCAATCGGCTTTTCTCGATCCCTAAGTCCGGGACACCACGGAGAGTAAAACTCAGAGCGCCCTTGGATTTTGCATTTCAAAGCAACTGGACTTCTCAAGATCATCTCGGAGATACACAAAGTTCCATAATATGGACCCGCCACCTGAGTGGTGATGACTTTATTTCCGTTTCCGGCCTAGCTTCCCTGAGGAACCCACGTCTCCTGTAGTGTTGGACGACGGCCCACTCGATGACAATTTCTCCTCCTTTGGCATAGCTCGCTGGGCTAGGGTTTTTACACACAAGGTCACTGAGGGTAAGGCAGAACCAATAAGGCAAACCCCAAAATACAATGGCAGTGAAGAACTGGTGACGCACGCTATCCCATGCTGTGGCGCTGACACAAAACAAGTACGGAAAGTGAAGCGTAGTTGAGTGATGAAAGTCGAACGTTAGTTTTGATAGGGCATCGGAATAGTAAACCCATAGCTATACTCCTTCGCAACACGTTTCACGAGCGATGGATCAGATGGACCCACTTTAAGACGATCCGACGTCTCTGGTACTCTTCCAATACCAGACGGAAATCCTGACAACCTCCCGGTGGTGGCGGAGCCTCCACAGTTGTAGGCCATGCAGCATCGGCTGGAGAACCCTGACCAGGGGGAGCGTCATGGCCGGCTTGGGTGGGAATAACTACATGTTCCCGGTCCTCCACCTGGGCCTTTAGTTATCCTTCATGGCGAGAAGCTAGCAACAACTCTTGAGTAGGTCCCAGAATATCAGTCTGTACCTGGGCTCGGACGATTGGCTAAATTGTTGTTGTTCTCACAAGAGAGCTCTGCCGTTCTGGAAATCCAACTAACAAGTCCAGAGATCGTCGCTTATAGTTGGAGAGACTAAACTCGCTCTTAAGTTGCTCCTGTTTAACTCCTCCTCTAGCCTTTCCTGCTCTTCCTGAGCTCTTATTAGTTTGTCAATGTATGCGTCTAGACCTTGCTTCTGTCCTCCGGGGTTGACACGTAAAGGCTTCCCGTCCCCGTGTTCTGCAATTTTAATTCCATAGGATCCGGACTCCCTTCGTCCGTTGGCCGCCGGCCATGACTGCGCACGAGGACGCTCCACCTTTTTTTTTTATCATCCTCGGCTCCCTTTCTCTTCTCTAGCTACCTGCAGTCAGCATAGGGCATGTTGTTTGCCATTCTGTCGGGCGTGTAGTCCCCGCTGCTCCTGCGGTGGCGACTCTCTTGGCTTAGCCCGCATGCGAGGCGGATTCTTGATCACCAGAAGGAACATCCCCGCCAACAAACAACGGTGGCCGAGGTATATCCCCGTCAGATTATCCTCCGCCTTGGTTGTAGTCAGTGGGCCCCACGGCGGACAAAAAAGCTAGTAATACTGTCAGCAGCCTCAACATCAGCGTGTAGCTCTAAAAATCCTCCAGGCTCGTTCCGTAAGGCTAAATTGTCTGGAAGCGTGCAAATCGTCAACCACGGTCTTCCAAAGCAACAAGTGGTGTGAATAATTGCCGCGTATTGACTTTGTGGGTTGTAGGTTGCGGCAAACCGATACATAAATTGGAACTAAGCGGAGCCTAGAAACGATAGAACGTAGCGTAACGTGGCTTGGACAAAAGAGCTGACCAGGTGGCATTTCGTAGCGTTCCAGCTCTTAATTGTGGACGTGCGACTGGTGCAGGAAGAGTATCCGTAACGGGCATTTTGAGGAGCTTCCGAATCTGTTGAGATGTAAAGCGGCGAGGTAACCCCGGTAGTCTCGACTCTCATTAATTAGAAGCAATGCGATCGAGTCAACGTGGGCATTTCGTGAAGAATGCGGTTGCCAGGTCCAATTGATTGAACTCAGGGCTTCAGGGACTTCGGGTAAGTCGATGCCTGCTGCCACGGCAAACTCGAAGCTGCACAAACGAGAGTTTGCCAATATGGCACAGAGTTTGCGGGAGTGTTTCAGGTATTGCAGGATTCAGCGAATGGGGAAGGAGCCATCCGAGGCTGTGGAAGTGCTCTAACCTGGCTTGAGTCTCCTTGCAGAGGATGGGTTGGTCCAGTAATGGTGCTCATCAGGTTAAGCACGAGGGGCAGGGAGAGGGGTCATCAAGAAGGCCAGATACAGTTATTAAGGACTTGGGCCTTGGAATGGGGGAATGATCGACTTTGGAGCTAGAAGACGTGTCGGGGCGAGGGAGGATGGGAAGGTCAACGGCGAACACAGAGGGAAGGAGGGAAAAGATGGCACTTTGTATGGTGCCCGACTAGGCAACCCCAAATTGGAGGGGATCTGGAGGTAGCCGAAGAAGAATGCATATTCGGCGTCGATTTGGCTGCGGGTTGAACGGACAAAGAGTTCGCTGAAGTCCAGCGCCAACTAGTAGTTTATAATCTCATGCATGTCCTAGTTCTTATGGCCTTAGGGTCTTTAGGGTTCGCTATAATTACTAAAGGTTTAGGGTTAGTTACCTAACTAGGGAGGGGATTATTTAGGGTAAGATATAGTTTCTAGCGGTAGAATACAACGGTTATAAGGTCTTATACCTCTTGGCTAGTAAGATACTCTTTTTTAGTAGATAACTTTAAGTACTAGGGGCATAGATACTACTACCCACTGGCTCAATTTAGTGTATCTGGCATCTCTTTAACCTAACTATCATAGAGGTCAACCTTCAGATGGAACTTGGATTACAATTTGCAGCTTCCCCGCAAATCCGCCCCTTTTCCCCGCTCCATGGACCATAGCTTTCGGAATTAGGCTCGGGGATTCGATCAGGCGGGAGGATCCAGAACTCGTGCCAAGAGTCTGGATTACAGTGGTCGCCGCGAAATGGGAACGATGCAGGCTAGAGGGATCCTTTGATGCGGATCTTGCGAGAGTGTTTAGTAGAAACGAAAAAGTCCCTTCTTACTTTCGGCGTACACGTGGTTAGTTGCAATCAGGGAATGAATAGAGACACCAGATTCTCCATGCAGCGTACTCTGCGTTGGCCAGTACTGTACAATCCATGGCTGCATCAAGCATTAAATATGCCGGATGCTAAATAGTATACGCGACCCAATCCGCCGTGTAATACCACCCGCGCAGTCTTTATCTTCGTGGCTGGGGTTAGGAAATCATCTTCTATACCGCGAAGCTACCCCTTGACTTCAAAACTATCTGTTATATGAATTCCTAAACTCCAAAATCTCGTACATACGACCACAGGGTGTGGAGAACAGGGCTTCCCGTCCGCTCAGCCGTACTTAAGCCACACGCCGGTAGGTTAGTAGTATGGTGGGTGACCACATGCGAATCCCTACTGTTTTATGTTTTTATATTTTTTTTTCCTCCTCAACAGGAGCTCATCGCCGACTGTTGGGAAACGAATTGAGCAAGGATAGTTCAGTTCTCGCTCTGCTGGTCCCTCTGAACACGGCCATGTTAAGGTAAAGTACGAGTTATCCGATGTGATGAATGCGCATTACTGTTCGAGCTAGCTAGCTATCAACGTTTCGCCCCGCCAGCGATGCGTACCGCCCCAAAGCCATCATGGGAAAGTAGTGCTTGTAATAGAAATAATCAATGTAGAAATGATTCGGAAAGCCAACACCCGTGTATGGCTCCTCATCCCACGACCCAACCAACTTCCCATGCTTCGCCTGCTTCTGGACAAGAAAGTTGATCCCCCGCCGGACCGCCGGATCGCTCGGTGGAAGCCGAATCATCAGCCCCATGAGCGCCCACGCGGTCTGCGTCGCCGTGGAGGGGTCCTGGCCCGCGAGGCTCGTGTCCCGGTACGTCTGCAGGCACTCGCCCCAGCCGCCGTCGGGATTCTGCATCTGGCACAGCCACCGCACCCCATCTTCATCAGCGTCTGCACCGTATCGTTGGGCTCGCCGCGGTAATCCCGTTCAAAGTACGCCAGCCCGCACAGGACATTGCTTGTCCCGTAGATGTAGTTGACCCCCCAGCGGCCGTACCACCCGCCGAACGACTCCTCCTCTTGCTCGAGGTAGGTGATAGCATGGCTGGAGGCGCTCTTCATCGCGTCGACCAGGGCGCCGGGAACGCGATACTTCTCATTCGACCGACTTAGCCCCATGACGACGCCAAACGCCTCGAGGATGCGGCCCGTCACGTCCGCCGTCGACGGGTCGCACATGCTGTTCATGTCGCTGAAGGGGATCTTGTTGAAGAACTCCTTGTCGTTCTCCGAGTCGAACGCGCCCCACCCGCCATCGCTGTTCTGCATCCCCAGGATCCACTCGATCGCATTTGTGATCTTCGTCGAGTTGACCGAGCTCGGATCCTGCTTCGCAAATGCGAGGATCACCGCCGCGGTGTCGTCGACGTCCGGATACCATGTGTTGTGGTACTCGAACGCCCATCCGCCCGCCTTCGTCATGGGGTTGAGCACCCTCCAGTCCCCCTTGGGGCCTGAATGCTGGCGCTCGCGAATCCACTGGATCGGCTTGGCCAGCTTCACGGGGGCAACCCCTGAGTCGAGCATCCCGATCGTCATCAGCGCCGTGTCCCACACGGGCGACACGCACGACTGCATGCGCTTTCCGGCCTCGTCAGTCCAGGTGAACCGGCGCAGTGCGGCGAAGCCCCCCTGCACGGGGCCCGAGTCGATCGACTACCCTTCCAAGAGGAGCGCCAGGATGCCGAAGAACATGGGCGGGAAGATCCCCACCCAGTCGCCGGCGGGTTCCTGTCGGTCGAGGATCCAAGCGAGGCACCAGCGCCGCGCGATCCGGTTGACGCTGGACGTGCGTAAGCCATTGAGCTTGTGCAGGCCCCAGTCGACGACGACGCTGGCTTTTGTGACGAGGTCGGAGCGGAGCAGCGACCACATGCTCGGCACGTAGGGCACGTTCTTGTTGGCCACGTCGCACCAGAGCTCGTCTAGGTAGTGCGCGCCTGCTTTCTCCATCGCTGACGGGGTGTAGATTGGTCGGTGGTGCCTGACAATGGACAGCGGGACAATCGTGGACCGCGCCCAGGAGGACATGTTGTAGATGCTAAAGGGTGCCCAGGAGGGGAGCAAGATGAGCTCCGGCGGCAGCTCGGGAACGGCGCTCCAGGGGAACAGGCCAAAGAGGGCGAGATTAATGCGCGTGAAGATGCGCACCTTGGCGATGCCGCCGGAGGCGAGGATAAAGTATCGTGCCCGCTGCATGGCCTGGTGGTCTGGTGGCAGGCCAAGCAGTTTCAGGGCAAAGTACGCCTCAACGCTGGTGGAGATCTCGCCGGGCAGGCTGCCGGCGATGCCCCAGCCGCCGTCTCGCTTCTGCTGCGCAAGGAACCATTTGATCCAGGTGCTTGGGTCGGGGATCTCGAGGCCGAGCGCGCAGAGCAGGCTGATGTACTCGGCTGTCAGCGTTGCGTTGGCTTTGAGCTCGCCACACCAGTGGCCATCTTCGTGGGCTTCTTTGGTGGAGTAGCTGGCGGCGACATCTAATGCTTGGCGGACGGGTTCTAGGAGGTCTTCGGCGGAAGGAAGCTTTGTGGGGGAGGGGTAATACATGCTGTGCAGTTTGTCTGGTGGTGGAATGCTCGTGGGGTGGTTTTTCCCGGGTTATATAGATGGTCCATCGGACTTTGCCGGTGGTTGGTCTGTCGAGACAGTTGCTGTATACCACCTCTCTTGGACACCGAGATACTCCGCATGCTGAGCAGTTCGTCTAGACTATTGTCGACACGGCTGCAACAAACTCAGAGATTATGCTGTCACGGACGGATGCATTGGAGGTGGACGAGGTGTGGTTGCACAGGCGGTGATACAGTGCTAAATTACTCCGACCGAGACGCACGGCCCCTGTCCTCTTCCTCAAGAACCGCAGGGAATGGCTGGTCCAGCTCGCAGTATTTGTCTTCCTTGTTTCCATAGTTTTCTTTTTTCTTTTTCTGGTGCTTTCTAATCTTTCTTTTTTCTCTCTTACCCCTCGCACTCGGCCGGCTTGAGATCGGCTGCCAGTCCAATATGCAGACGAGACAACACCACGTCTTTGCAGAATGTTGCTTATCTTCCTGCAGCACACCAGCACACCTAGCACTCAGCTTGGTCGTATCTCTACATCTCCGGACTTTTCCGTACTCCGTGCTGAACCCAGGCCAGAGGCGCCGCGGCCTCGCCATTCTGCATCAGCTCAAAGGATATAAACTTCCAGAGGCCACCAGCATTCACCAGAATATTGTTGCCAAACCAAACAATCTAACAGGCACTGCAGCCATGGCCAGCACCACCACCATCACCTTCCCCACCGCGACCATGGACGCCCGCTTCCTCGTCGTCCTGGGCGTCGCATACCTCTTCTACGAAATCCTCTCCGGGCTGCGGCGGGCGCGAACCCTCCCGCCAGGCCCAACGCCTCTCCCACTAATCGGCAACCTCCACCAGCATCCGCTGCACGAGCCCTGGGTGCAATACAGCGCGTGGCACAAGCAGTTCGGCGACATGGTGACCATGAAGCTGGGCACGCGCACGGTCATCGTGCTGGGCAGCCACAAGGCGGTGCATGAGATCCTCACGCGCCGCGGCAAGATCTACTGCTCGCACCCGAAGCTGGTCTTCTTCCGCGACTGCATGACCAAGAGCGGGTTCCCCGCGCTGCTGCCTTACTCCGTGCAGCGCCGCGAGCTGCACAGGCTCATCGTCTCGGTTTTCACGCCCGTCGCGTGCAGGGCATATGCCGAGGTCCAGGAGCGTGAGAGTCTGCGCCTGATTCGGGAGATTCTACGCTCTCCTGGCAATCTCAGACATATCTGGGGGTACTCGGTGGGTGTGTCCTCGACGCTCATCTACGGCGAGCGCATGAGCCCCGCGCAGGAGGCCGAGGTCGGCGATATTCAAGAGATGTTCGAGGGGATCCAGGATGTTCTCTCCAAGGAAAACCTGGTTCTGGAGTTGTATCCGTTCCTGAATCTGCTTCCGGGCCCCGTGAACCGGTGGAAGAAGGCCGGCGAGAAGTTCCGGCAGCACATCATCGCGCTGTGGACGCGGCGCATCCAGCGCGGGCTAACCAACGCCAACTGGAACTGGACGCGGATCATGAACGACAACAAGCCCAAGGCGATGACGCCGGACCAGTTTCTCTTCCTCATCGCGGAGCTCGAGCTCGCGGCGTCGCTGTCGACCTCGACGCTAATCCGCATGTTCATCGCAACCGCGCTCAAGAACCCGGCCGCGACAAAGCGCGTGCAGGCTGAGATCGACGCCGTCGTCGGCGCTGACAGGCTCCCCACCTTCGCGGACCAGGACAGCCTCCCGCTGCTGCGCGGGTTCATCACGGAGATGATGCGCTGGAAGGCGATCCTGCCGCTGTCAATGCCGTACACGGGGCTCGAGGAGACCGAGTACAAGGGCTACCGGATCCCCACGGACGCATGCGTGATCGCCAACCAGTGGGCGCTGAACATGGACCCAGAGGTGTACGCAGATCCGGAGAGCTTCAGCCCCGAGCGCTGGGTGAAGGATCCGACGTTGCCGGAGCCGCCTGTGTTTGGGTTTGGGCGGCGGGTTTGTCCGGGCGAGACGTTTGGCAAGAACTCGATGTTTATTGCGTTTGCGCGCATGCTGTGGGGGTTCGACATTTGTCCGCCCGTTGAGGGGGAGAAAGGGTTGCCACCGGACCAGGCGCACACGGCGTTGGCGCTGATTGCGAACTGGAGTACGGATACTGTACGGTTTATCTCGCGCAGCGAGGATCGCGAGAAAATCATCGAGGGGAACTTTCGGACGCTGATGCAGGAGGACAAGGCTTTGCTGGAGAGCGCGCAGCGGAGTGTCAGGCTGCACTTGCGGGATTGATTGCTGGATTCGGTGCTAGAGAGGGTCGTACAAGTAGAGTAGTCGTGCGTTCAAATTTAGCTCCCGTATAATGCAGTCACTATTCGCTCATTCTTATCATCCTGGCTGAAAGATAGTCCGTGAGCACTCTATGAGGACTGGACATGGTGGCCGCTGTTCCTGCACAGGGGTCTGAGAGTGGCGGTTCATGCAGAGTACCTATGTCTGCCGGCCGAATCACTTACTCCGAGTCGTGGGAAACAAAGCAGTCACATTGATGGCACTGAGGAGCAGCAGCCGATGGCCGATCCGTTTCCTTCGGTCCTCGCTCAGTACTTGTGTGTCCACCGAACTCGCTGTCCAACTGCGTCTGCGTATATACTCATCTTACAGGCTTGCACCCTTCCATTACCTCTATAACACCACTGTTGGAAGAGGCTCAGTTGCGGTCACCATGAACACGGTGTCAAAAGCTGCCTATCTCGCCGTTCGACCCCGGGAAGGGAGATGGATTCTCCAGTGGTACTTCCGCCCCTCTATCTGACCTGAGAAGTTCTGGCTGATGCAAACCAGGAAGCCCTTGCACACGCCCGTCCACCGCCGCAGCACCGGAAACGAAACGCCAACACAGGCAAACTGCTTCCGGCTTCTCGAGGCCACAAGCCGAAGCTTCACTCTAGTGATCAAGGAGCTGCACCCAGAACTGCTCTTCCCGGTATGCATCTTCTACCTGGTCCTGCGGGGACTAGACACGATCGAGGACGACACATCAATACCGGTAAAGACCAAGGAGTCGCTGCTGCGCAAGTTCGAAAACTACATTGAAGAGGATGGCTGGATGTACTCCGGCATCCACGAGCGAGAAAAAGACCGCGACTTGCTTCTTCAATTCGACTCTGTCGTTGCCGAGTTCAGACGCATGAAGCCCGCCTACCAGACCATTGTCAAAGAGATCACGCGGAAAATGGGCAACGGGATGGCGGACTTTGCGTGCAAGGTGAATGATCTGCGGACTGTTGCGGACTACGACCTCTACTGTTACTATGTGGCCGGGCTGGTGGGCGAAGGACTGACCCGGCTTTTTGTCATATCTGCGCTGGGCAGTCCGGGGCTGTTACGCGACGCAAACCTTCACAGATCAATGGCACTTTTCTTGCAAAAGACGAATATCATCCGCGACGTCCACGAGGATCACGTTGACGGCCGGTACTTCTGGCCGCGGGAGATCTGGTCCAAGCATGTCAACAGTTTCGACGATCTGTTCAAGCTCGAATACCGCCAACAAGCGCTCGAGTGTAGCGAAGAAATGATCCTTAATGCGCTGAGCCACGTTGAGGACTGCCTGGTCTACCTCAGCTGCCTGAACGAGCAGAGCGTCTTTAATTTCTGCGCCATCCCGCAGACGATGGCCATTGCCACGCTCGAGCTGTGTTTTCAGAACCCTGCGATGTTCGAGGGAAATGTGAAGATCTCAAAGGGGGAGACTTGCCGGCTCATGTTGCAGTCGACGGGCGATCTTCGCGAGGTCAGCGCCGTGTTCAGGGTCTACGTTGGCCGAATCCAGAACAAGTGCTCGCCGGCCGATAGGCACTTTTTTGAAATTAGGACCGCGTGCGACAAGGTAAGGTACTTGTTCCTGTTCACTTTACCTGAAACTAAGCCGTGGCAGATTATCAGATTCATCGAGACCACGTTCAACTCCTCTGACACAAAAGCTGTCTCGGCTCCAGGAAAAGCCAAGCTCGAGCCGACTAACGACCGCCCGAGCTTCAACTCGGCGGGGTGGGCCGTTTCCAATGTCATTGCTATCGTCCTGTACTTGTTTCTGTTTATTGTTGATGCTTGACGGACGTCTGTGGTCATCTCGCTCGTCCTGATACGTGTCTCATCAGGTTGGACAGAGCAACAGCGAGTCGGTATTAGTGTGTGGGTACGGGGGTGGCTGAGCCATGGTTGCCTCGAACGAGAATCGGGCCGTAATGCAAAGGCGTAATAATATGTCCATGTTTGATTTGACAATTCAATTTTTGTTTTCTTTTTTTTTTGGTTCATGCCGGGTGTCGATCGCCGTGTTGAGTTGTCCGGTAAGCAACAAGCTATGACTCTTCCAGCGGCGGAGTCACACAGATGGACCTCGAAGAAGAAAGCCGTATGCGGCCGCGAACAATTTTCCAGAGGATTGAGGATGCCTGCAAGCCCCGAGGAGCTTCTCAACTCACAGACCATATGACCACCCACACCTTCCGCACGAATAAGCAAGTTCCGCGATATTGGTTCTCCATCAAGTGGAATCACACTGCTTATCTCGAGGGCCCTCTCCTTGATAGGACGGCACATCTGTCCATCCATGGTCAGCACGCCACAAGCTTTCAAGGCGCATACCAGCCCAGCCTCGCATGGCCCGCCCCTCTCGTAGGTTCCGGGCGATCCGAGCGTCTTAATTGGCCAGGTGCAAAGCTAAACGGGTCTTCTCGGAGTTATTTGCCGGCTTGAAGCTTTCTGTGAAACTCGATCAACCTTATTTGGACCCCCTCTTTCTTTGCTCACTGCCCAGGGCGCACCTCCGACCAGTCCCGCGGGGTATGATCTGCTCTCGGTCTCTTCAACATGGAGATCCCTGCCCTGCCCCTTCACACCAGCACGACAATGCCAAACACTAGATGCCGGTGCTTTTGTTGGGTTGTCTGTTTGCTCCAGTATGCAGCCGGCTCTGATAAAGCCTGCAGATCGGGACGAGCGGAGTATTCGACAGCAGGGTGTGTTTGGAATCAACCAAGCAACTGAGCTATGGTAGAGCGCGATGCTGGCGGCCAAGTGATGTTCTATCTTCCACTTTTCGACAAGACAAGGTTTACCCGGCCATACTATGATATGGGCCTCGTTGTTGCTTGGATCCGTGTAGCGTCCACCACGACATTGTGGGCAGGCTGATTGACTACCCCACTGAGTCTGTGCACCGGACATCGTATGTTTCTAGCCTTAGGTTATTTCGTTCCTTTCTTTTGGTTATCTCGGTCATGAAGATCCATCAAGCTCATAATCCGATAATGCGCGGGGCATGATATAGAGCCGATTTGAACAATATCCATCAGAGGACACGCGCCATAACCAAACCAATAATCGCACTCAATCTTTTGCTAGCACAAATGCACGCGGTCCTCCCTTTCCGCAATTATCTAGATCGACGGCCGCGTAATGTAGCCTACCCCATCGTGGTGTTTCTGACCCTCCGAACAGCAGCGACCCTTTGTGTTTCGAACCCACCCAGAGAGGCACTTCTGACACTGCATGAAGCCGGCTGCGGGTGTCATCGAGGCTGCCTAAGTGGATTGCAAGCCCATCCCGCGGCGCGCGCCGTCGCGAAGTCACAGATAATCCGGGGGGAGAGCCGAAAATCTTCTACTGGTTTCTGTAAACCGCCGGCAGAGGAAATGAGGAGATCAGCACGGAGGGCCCTTGCCGCCGTGTAGACGGAAAAGAAGGAAAAGGCAAGCACGGGCCTGTTTCCCGAGAAGATCCTCCAAGAGTTCCCGTATGTACGAAGTTGATTTACTTGGTATCCCTGCGCGGCCTTTGCTGCGGAGGGACCCGAGAAACTCCTTTTGGGGAGAAATGATAGGTGGATAATAGGTCAGGAAGGCTTGCGCGAGGCGAAGAGTAAGTGAAAGTTCCTTGACCCTACGCAACTAGATGGTTGGATCATGCAGTAGGAAGCGGAGTTTGGGGGAGCACAGGAATGGTGATTGGGTGGAGCGGCCAAAGTGCTCCAGCGGCCAAAGGACAATCAAGCTCGTACTTTGTGAGGAACGCCGGAGGGCTCTGACTGGGCTCTATGGACACACTACTCTGCTCTAGACACAGTACATACATGGCTCGTCTCAAGGATTGGTGATGATGCGAGTTGATGTGTTTATCTTGTGGGGAATCTATGCGGGTTGCTTTACTTTTGTGATTCTCATTGTATTGAGACTGATAATAATAGAGGTGGTACAAAGTCTGAACAAGCTTCAGATTACTGCTTCTTTCCTTAAAATAAACCCATCACCATGGCTGTCTCCTAAGGTGAACTTGAGGTACTAACTCGGGGGATTTCCCCTACAGACCAGCTACCTGCTGCTCGAGATCCTTGACATAGGCAACAGAATACATGCTCATGGGTTAATGCGTGGCAGGTATACATTCTACAGAGTATGAGTCAGTATCCACAGACCTCCCAGAGATTCTCTCGTAGGAGAAGGGACGCCAGGGAGTGTAGGTTTTTCCTTTCCCCCCCCACCCCCCTCCCCGGGCACCTTTTTTTTTTTTTTGTGCAGCTGTGATAGATTATAGTCTATAAATACTACTAACCAACTTGCGCCAAACGGCAGTTCCAACAAATACCGTAGCCCTGTCCTTCACACCGCTACTTCCTCGCTCTGCACCTCTAACATGCCTTTGCTTTCTTTAATCGGGTTCGTCCCTAGCCTCGCTGCGGGGACCGCGGGCCTGTTACCCTTGCTCCAGTTACATGGCAAGCCGCGGAGAGTTAACGATACTGGTGATCTAAATCACAATGGCCGCTCTATCCGAAACTGTTCACGTCCGAAGGAGCCAGGCAAATTATACGTCAGAGGGAGGGGCTGGTCTGAAGTATCCGAACTATCTGATGTGTCCGTCGAAATTCGGAGCTTTTCGGAGATGGGAGGGGCCGCCTCTATCTGGCTTAGAGACACTATTGCCACTATATTATTACATTTATAGCCATTACTGGGGGTTATAGATAGTAGACAGGCAGATAGTAGCCGGTTATTATGTATTAGTGTGAAGAATGGTCTCGGAATCTAGTAAAGAACATGCTAGCTTGGACGGCGTCGAGCTAGACCCACAAATATAAAGAGAAACATCTAACTATTATTTAATTTCCGACGCTAGTAGACTTAGATGGTTCCCCATGATATTACTTGCTCGCGGACCTGCTTGACCAACTTCTCGTTATATTCATCAGCTTCCTTATTGAACCCTTCCTAGAGGCTCTTAACATGCTCTGGGACCTCCCGAATGTTGATATAAGCGCTTTGAATTGGCTGTAGCATGTGCTCGACCACCGGTACGTAGCCTGCCCAGCACTTTGCCTGCACATGCGCGTTTTCGAGGTCGGCCCTGTCGTCCGCTGGCGGTCCAGCGCGGACCTTTACACTCCCACTCTTGACCCGCACCCGCAAAATCTGCGTCTGCACAAGCTCTGCAGTGGTTGGCGGACTGCGCACTTGATCCCATTGGCCTGGGATAAGCTTGTTGGTGATGAGCTTGAGCGCCCATAGCTTTTCTGCCTCATCCGCAACGATCGCTGCGTGCCCGAACAAGACCGCCGAACGGTAGTTCCATGAGTGCGTGAACGCCCTCAAAATCAGAACGAGGCCGTCGAATTTCGCGGTTGAGATGCGCACGGGTAAGCCAGGGAGCCCGTCTGGCTGAGCTTCAGGCCCACCACCGGCCGTGTGAGTCGACGAGGTGCCAATGTAGCTCCTGGTGGCGATGGGTATGTGCCGCCTATCTCTTACACTGAGATACACTAGCTCAAATGAAAACAAGGCTGACTGAAGCGTAGGATCATCGGATCTCACGGTCCCATGTCTACATCCAGGGATGGTCTCCTCTTGTTCATGGAAACATATCTAGCTCACGAACCCTGGACCAGAGAGCCGACCCTAGTTCCATTGCCATGGAGACAGATCAAACTGTCATCGAGACTGAAGGTTGGCATCATGTGGGATGACGGCGTCGTGGCACCGCATCCTCCGATTCGACGAGCTCTACGGCAAGTCAGCGCAGCACTCATGGAGTGCAGCGGTCGGTTTCAAGCCGTTGACTGGGCACCGGTAGATCATGACCGTTGTGGCCGGATCAGTATGTCTTTGTATTTTGAGGATGGGTGTCGTGCAATCAAACAAGTACTCGAGGAGGGCGGGGAGTCACCGCGACCTTTGACGTCGTGGATATTTCAATCCGAGGATGTCAAATACCGGACGATCGAGGAGGTTTGGGATGTAAGTGGGCGACGGCTCGTCGCCAATACGGACAGAATTGATTTAACTGACAATGTTGCAGCTGAAAGCTCAAAGGAACGCCTACCGCCAGGAGTACAATGACCACTGACTGCTAACGGGCGCAGAGGATGGCCACCCGGTTGATGCGATCATCTGTCCTGTTGGACCGGGGGCTGCTTCTCCGCACGAGACGAGCAAGTATTGGTGCTACACGTCGCAATGGAATTTATTGGAATACCCTGCTGTGTCGTTCCCAGTGACGAGTGTGGATCAAGCCTTGGATGCCAAGGATGTCGGTTACACACCACGCAACGATCAAGATAAGTTCAACTACGAGCTTTACGAACCTGGGCGGTACGAAGATGCGCCTGTCGGGCTACAGCTTGTGACCCGCAAGTTCGAGGATGAGAAGTGTTTGGCAATCCTGAAGGAAGTCGAAGAAGCCATGGGCAGGGCCCACTCTTTACCGAAGAAAAAGAGTCGATAGGTTAATTCGAGCGTCCTCGCGTGGCTTCGTATCGCAAGGAAGAAGGTGAAGTAAAGCGGGTGATAGGAGTCACGAAGCTTGTGCGCTGGCGAATTGGCCTATTTAGAAGACTAAATATGTTTATAATTGCCTCCCGCACCCTACCACCATTTATAAAAGAGAACAATTGCATAATGCATTTCTACAGGCTATCGGTCTGCTGAGAATTAATAGTGGAAACTTTTATAAAAAGAGTATACACATCCTCAAATAAAACTAGTTAATAAAGGATCTTACTATATCCTGCCATAAATTAGTTATCATCTGTCTATTCTCTAATAAAAGAGGTTTTAACAGTACTTTGAGAATGTGTCTATATATTGTCTTTACCTGGCCTTGTATTCCATCTGTGGTAACCTGTGTACTCGGAAAATGTCAAGGTTTAGTGGTGATCTATATGACACATCCTGTCTGTTACAATACAGTTCTTTCTGACAAGGCCCGATCTACCATACATATACTATGGCAAAGTGGGTAGGGACTGAGAAGACACTAATGCTGAGATAGTAGTAATTTACCCCATCTCAGGTCGACATATCATGACTCGATTAACTATTGGTTCGCCTAGACTAGAAGAGAACCTCTCGAATAGCCTGCTCCAGGTCGTCCTTTTCAAGCCCCAACTTCTTGTCCCACAACCCCCAAGGCCTTGAATCCCCCAGAGCTGCTTTGCCAAGCGCCCCACCCCCTACAAGATCTGTGGCACCCATGAAATCTCCCTCAGCCAACCTCTTTCTGCCTTGAGCGATTATTTCCTCGGAAGTGACGTGCTTCACCGTCCATCTCTGGCCATCCAATTTCTCCAGGACGTCCAGGATATCCCTCTGGCTTATATGGAAAGAAGACATATAGACGTATTGGTTCTTTGTCTCAGCGGCATGATCTAGCGTTGCCAGGTTGCTCTTGCAATGTTCGGCAGGGTTGAAGCAGTGAAAACAGTAGTGCCACCATCAATTAGAGTGGCCTCCTTGGACTTGATGTCAAAGCCAAACAGCCCGATCCTCATCGCCCAGTCAAAGAAAGCACCGGGAATGAGAGCAGACCAGGATATCTGAGATTCCTTTGACCGCAGGTAGTCAACCGTAGCCACCTTGGGTGGCAGCGCGGGATGCAGAGCAGCAAACTGCTCGTCACGCGAGGGAGGCCCGAACTCGCTGGGGAGGAACCTCTTCACGCCAGCGGCTATGGCCGCATCGACCAGTATCAGTTGGCAACTCGTTGCGAAGATGGCAACCATACTAATCACCACGTCCTGGCCTTCCATTGCAGATTTGAGCTAGTTTATGTCGGAATAGTCTGCTCTAAAGACAGGCACCCCTTCGGGGAACGTCGATGTCGATTCGTTGCGGGTCAGGATGCTGACTTTGTACGGAGAGTCCAAGAACGTTTTCAAGACCACAGCGCCGAGGTTCCCGCCCCCCTTTTATCACGCATTGGTTAATAATTCTAAGCCAGGCTGAGCGCACCCAGGGAGGGTAGACATACGCCAATTAGCAGGACGGTCTTAAATGAGCCCGTTCTCTAAAGAATCAATGGTCAAACGACGGCAGTTGATTGGTGGGGAAGTGAAGCGTACACAACGTCTAGGAATGGTGAATATTTATTTTTGATCTGAGCTTTATAAGCCTGCTCATCCCCGAACGCAAACGTAGCCAGATTGGTAAGCTCTGCTGGAATTTCAGATTAGTGAACATGAATTTAAATCATTCGCCAGGAGACGGTTTGATGCGGGTCTTTCTTAGAGCGTTGGCTAACCGCATAGGATGTCGGACTGTGTGGAGCTCTGTCCTGTCATATGTTGAATGTAGTAACGTGATTGTAGTATTTAACAAGATAGCTTGTCTGAACTACCGTAATTCCCAACCGAGCTGGCCGCCCATTTCAAGTAATCGTAGTGTAATAATCAATTATTGACAAAAAGGACTTGGGGCTTGCTGGATATGCCTCGACTATCCCAAAGCCCACCGTAGGAAGCGTCTGGTATCGATGGGGCTGGATGTTATAAGGTTAGACCCACCCACTGCAACGGGTAATCGCATTTAACTAGTTCACTAGAGCCTGGAATGTATAGTAATCCCTCCGATTGGACACGCCGCATAAGCTTCCGAGGATGGTTAAAATAACTTATCACGCCGTCAGGAGGTTCTTTAAACGGTGACTGATTGATCAGACTTTCCTTCCGCGACCGGGGAAGGATTCTCTGGCCGTTTTGCACCAAATATATGGTGCAACTTAGAATTGAGATCTAAATTGCCTTGGTCAGAAACCAATATAACAGGTATATTGCCACCAATTTCACCCCCTTTGGTTTGATGGACATTGACTTATTATCCGCAACTTGATAGATTCTTGAGCAGTTCACAAAGCGCACACCTTTACCACGTTCTGCCCTCAAACATGGCCTCTGGTGCATCAAGCATGAATGCAGAGTCCACAGTTTCCGAGGACAGTTTCAAGGCCCCGGATGTCAAGGAAGATACAGAAAATGCATCAATCTATTGTGCCGGAACGACATGGCATATGGCACCTGAATTGCGCTAGATGCAGGAACGAGATGAAGCCAGTGGAGAGAAGCCCAAAATGCTCGGTGTGGCCTGGGAGAATCTCACCGTCACAGGCGTTGGTGGTGATATCCCTTTAATTCTTTTATTATTATAAAGCATATCAAATTCTTATAATTTATTTATATAATTACTATATTTTGTACCCCGGAGATAGTATCTTTAATATTGCAAGCCTTTGATAATTAGAATTTCAGCCTATAAATGCTTTGAAGTACAGGTGTAATTGGGCTTGCATCTCTTGAAGATACAACTGTAGCATGAGATAAGTACACAGAGCAGGTCTACTCCGGACGTTGCCCCCAAACGACGCCGAGCGGGAAATAACCCCCCTTCGTGCGAAGCTCCTCCGCAAGCTGAGAAATACACATCTCCGGTTCATTACTCCTTTTTCGGCATTAGCTGTGTCATTGTGCCTATAAATGGATAGAATACATATTGCAGCGCACCGCCTCGGTTCGGTTAGACTTGTCTTATAGAGCGGATAGCTAGACGCTGTGACTGCACACTCGAACTTCACGTAATCCTACAGATAGCGCTTCAGAAAAGGAAGCTGTATCGACGGTTGGCGCTATTCCCGGTGAAAGTGGACTCTATGCTCGTCGAGGTTGAGGTCGTGGTTTCCAGCACGGCAGAGGAAGATGGTACAATAGACGCGGATTCGAGCGTTGAATCAGTGCTGGTGATGGAAGATGTCGAGCTGGTCGAAGTGGTCGAAGTGGTCGCACTCGATGCTGAATCCGAAACTGTAATGGTCGATTGCGTTGCAGTGCTCGTCGACGAGTCGGTCAAGCTAGACAGCCAGGCACTCGGCTCCCGGCCGCCCATCTCGTAGACGGACCAGGCGTCTTGGCCGCCACCTGTGGACGGCACGTATTAGCAAATACAATTGCTCAAGCGAATGGGCAACTCACAGACGTCACCGACGTAACCCGGACATTCGGTGTCGCACTTGTCGTCGGATACCACATCCTCTACAGATGGGAGCGACTTTCCGCACCAACAATCTTCTCCCTGCACAGCAGCATAGCGAGATCCATTTTCGGTGCAGGCGTTGGTGCAGTGGCCGATCGACTGGAAAACGTATGAGCCGATGTTTTGCAGGTCGCCCGGGTTCCTGAAGCAGCCCTGGGAAGATGAGGCCTGGGCAGAGACAGCGACAGAAAGGGCGAAGGGGAGAAGAGACAGGAGGAGAGTAGACGGGGCCATATTGATCGATGCGACAATGGAATAATACGGATTGAGGCTCGGCGAGGGTGCAGAAGATCGACTCTGAAAGATTCTTGGAAAAGGGGCAGACTCGGCAGAGCCGCAGTGAAAATAAAAGGGGAGCGAATCAGGTCATCCTCAGTGGGGCCGGCTTCGCGGTAAATCTGGCCAATCAGGCTCCTTACCTGGTGGAGCTCATCTCACGGCGCCTCCGGGCTTTCAACCCCCTGTCCCCAGGGCTCAGGCCTCCAATTTATACTTTTGGGGTCGACTAGCCGGCTTCCCATGGTGGCTGTCTCTAAAGAACATGCAGTCTTCCACTCAGCATTCAGTAGAGCCGTCGCCTGCGCTGCCTTACTGTACGGGACTGGCTCTTCCTCTTCCATCCGCTGGCGGGCAATTCTGTGGCAGATCTAGGAGATAGTATGTATGGTGTTTCTCGTATGTGTTTTTAGACGGGGTATCCTCTGAATCTCCTCTCATTGGCATCTTTCACCTGAAAACACATGGTTGCCCATTCAGCCATTCCTAACCGAGGTGCCCTAACTAGTGTGCGCCATATGTCCCCCCAGTAATTGAACTTTCGGGACGTCTTCTTCGATGGGGCTTAGATACCTAGTATAAATCGTCATTCGCATCGCAGACGTACCACCGGAGCGGAGGCGTTACCTAGTAGCTTGTGGCCGGATGCCCCAGGATTAAGTTCCTCAAACAATATATATACATGCATGACGGCAGACCCGCTTCGTCTCGCTGTCAATATACTTGTCCCAATTTGCTCCGGGATTAAACCTTCGGATCGAGCTCGTGATAAGTGAATCGCAATTGCAAATCGGCGGCACCGGAAGGCCGATCAAAAACCAGTAATAGGCGTCCAATCGTGGCTTTGCACATTGGAGCATCCTTTGATCATGCAGAGAGGATGTAGTACATTGTCCACGATAACCTGACTTAAAATACATAGCTGGTTGTGGCCAATCACTAGGGCATTATCAACATCCTACTGATATGTGGAAAATATAATCTATCTATCTACCATCTTGAATTAGTCTCGAGGTGTTGACTGAGTGCTCACCGTCGGAGGAGGAATTGGAGAATGCTTGCGTAATTAGGCCCCCACTTTATCTTCAGGCCGGGAGAAACCTTGAAACAACCTCAGCCAGGGAACGTCGTACCGCTTTCTAGAAGCAGGCTAGAGCTGGCGGGCCTGAAACTATTCAGGATTTAGTGACTTAGCCGCTAGGGTCCAAATCTGCACGCTAAAGTTAAAACCGCCTTATTCCTTGCAATTGATTTTCAATCTCCAATTGTTCCTCCTTATCTGCTCTCTGTCAGCAACCATGGATCTTGTCCTCAGGCAAATGCGCCCTGACACTACTCACGCTGGCTTGATTTGTCAATCGCATAAGAGAAAATGCGACAGAGGGCTACCTTCTTGTTCGCGGTGTCTCAAGTAAGATGTTAAAGCCGAATAGGGACCCCTGGGGCCTACAGTAGCTCACGGCCACCGCTCGCAGAAATAACCGGCCGTGTCATTAGGTATAGAGGGTATCTGTCTTTTAACTTGGGGTTCTTCGCCAATTAATATACTGGGCAGACTTCCCAAGACCGGTCGAACAAGACGGCCTGTCTAGAGTGTCATCCGTAAACGAGAACATGTGATGGACAGCGACCTAGTTGTTCTCGATGTCAGCTGTAATCGCGGCACTGCTCTTCGATCTATATCAAATAACCATGGTATGGCAGGGCCGGCTCAGTATCCAGCCCAATCAAACCAGAAAGAGTCTTCTGGCGTCTAAAGACCAAATGGATCACGTTTGCACTCACCGGCCCCGCAATATACCACGCGAATTTATATCTGGCATCGACCTTCCAAGACAGACTTCGGGCGCGGATCCAGCCAAGGCCAGGAATGGCGATTGAGTCTCGGGCGACGCTGTATCACCAAGCCCACGCGGCGCATTACATCAGTCAGAAGATTGCAAGGAGCCAGCGGATGATGCGCTTCTTGCGGCTATACAGGTTATGATTTTGCAAGCGGTATGTGTCGTACCAGCCTTGCTCTATTGGATGGAAGGAAGGAAAGACTAGTTGACTCTAGACTAAGCTCGCGACCTGAAGCGGTGGGTTGAAGTACCTAGGCACGGAACCCGGCTTGAGTATGGAAGCCGCGAGACCAGAACCACATTTCTTTTAGCAGTGCGGAGAAGGTTCGAGATGCATCCTACTTTTATCTGAGTTTCCACAAAGCCCGGGCCCAAAAAGCACTATAGGCTCACTACTACTGTCGTATGATCTCATTAACGAACAGGCCTCGTTTCCGGGAAACCCTGCTCGCAAGCCATCAAGAAAATCATTTGCGGGGAAGCAGGGATAGGCACAAGAATACAAATCCATTATCCACCTAACTTCGAAGGGGAGAAGTGAGACATAATATAAACCACCCCCGCCAAGCCGTGATTCCGCGGGCCGAGATACGTGACTTTGCTAGCGAAAGAGCGAACGATGACATGTGCTCTTCACCATTGAGTGCGCGCCAACGTGCGCTAGGACCTGATAGTAGCAAGGCCGCTATTTAACTCGGCCAGGCCCTGAAGCTTTGTCTATGGGATTTCGTTTCCGTAAATTCGAGTCAGTCTCTTCGAAGTCAGATCGCCAGAGTCATACACGCTCACGCTTCCCCGCTTTCCGACTCTCTCCACAGCATACCGCCACCCAATCTATTCTCCAGGGCCTGCATCGTTATTTCGAGCTCGACATTGGGCGACGCCCTCGTGCGCACTTGAAGCTTCCCCAAACCCGGTTGGACCTGCGCACAGGAACACGATCCATCACATGTAGCGCGACCCGCAAACCAGGGCACCCGCCGCAGGGCCGTAGGGCCGCAGGGTGGAGATGGGGCTATATCTTGGGGTCAAGCGCTGCTGCTGGCTGCGGGTGTTCTGACACGAAATCGTTCGTGCGCTGAAGGTCTCATTACTGCTCGGGTATCTGACCGGTGCATCCGCATTTCCGAACATAGCTTCTGCTACCTAGGCTTCGCAATGCGCTTCTCGAAATATGCTCCCGCCGTGCTGCTCCCCACGGCGGCCATCGCGTCGGCCAATCCCGATGTCCAGGATGGCGTCACGCTGATCGCTGTCGAGGGCGTGACGCAGGAGGATGTCCACCTCCTGGTCCGACGCCAGCTGGATCTCGGCGGGATCGTCGATGGGATCGGTGACCTTCTCGGTCCCCTGTTTGATTTGCTCTCTTCGGAGAGTCTGAAAAAGATCAATCTGATTATCACGAACCTCGCGTCCGTTCTTGGAGATCTAGATGTGCAGCAGACGAGGGATCTCCTTACTTTGCTCGACGAGCTTATCAACTCGGATGCGACGCAGGGTCTGATTGATACGCTTGGCTCTTTGCTTCCGGTATTGCCTTCACAGGATCTGACTTGACGCTTCGAGTAGTGCTGATCTTGACAGACTCTGCTTGACCTGCTCGACTCAGACCTCATCACGAAGCTCACCAACATCCTCAACAATGCCAGTATCCTGCTCACGCGCGATGTTGCAGAACAGCTCAACGATCTGATTACCAGCATCGGTCCGGTAGGTACTCACGTACTCACGTACCCACCCGAAAATTCTATGCACTAACCATCACAGCTCTTCAACTACATCGGCGAATTCATCGCCTTCTTCCTCGATCTGATCTTTGGCGGCGGCAGCGGAGGTGGTGGAGGTGGAGGTGGAGGCGGCGGCTCCAGCACGACAACACGCCCACCCACAGCGACAGATACCGATGGACCAAGCTCAACGGGTGACCGCGATGACCCAGACTACTCACTAACCCTGACTGGGGGTTCTGACTCACCTGAAGCAACCGAGACATCCGGCGTCGACTGGTGGGACTCCATGGGTCTGGGCTCCTCCAGCAATAGCAACGACGACGACACGGACTCGCCTTCGGCAACCGGTGACTCGGACTCGGATTCTGGTTTGGGCTGGGATTTGGGGTTCTCGAACTCGAGTGATGACGATGATTCCGAGACGGTAACTAGCGGTTCGGGCGAGGAGGAGGATTCAGCGGGGTCCTCGGATGATCCAGGGTTCACTGGTGCGGCGGGGAGATTGCAGCTGGGGGCGGGTGTTTCGGGAATTCTAGGCGTGTTAATTACCATATTATTGCTGTAGGCTCTAGACCCTATAATGGTGGCGTGGAGGGGCACAGTGGAAGGTCTGAGCGTGGATATCAGTTACGCCGTATTGTTTAATGCTATAATGAGAGAGTGCGAGACGACCACTCCCTATCGTGTCGGACACCCAGTTTAACATACCTTACTTCTACACTCCACAGCTTGTCCATGTAGGACCACATGTAGAAAACTGGGTATATTAAGCGCTAATTAATGGGGAACACTGTAGGATATTTCCAGGCTCACAATGCCTCCCTCACCCTAACAGATCGAGTCAAGGATGTCCCAGACTCCATCAGCACAACGTCCCTACTCCCTTCCTCGCCCCTATCCGCCCGCCTATCCTCAGACCCTGGATAGATCGGAGCATCGTCCAACGAGGTTTCGAGGAACGTCGTACGGATCGAGCGATGCTTTCGCGAACGCTCCTCATACGGCGGTGGGCCGTTGCTGCCATCTGGGGTCAGGTAGGGCGTGTACGTCGAGTTTCCCTTTCGGCCTTGGACGATGATTGCGCGGAGGCGTGGGACCGAGGCAGTTATGATCACGACCGTTCCTTCGGTTCTGATACGGTCAGCATGGATGCAATGATGTTAGGGTAGGAGGAACAAAGGAAATGGGAGTGGAGTGAGGTGAATTCAGCGTACAGAAACCAGATTGCCCATAGACCCATTGCGTCTGATTTGGTCGGTTAGTAATTTATGTTTCTGGTGTCGTCGCCCGGGAAGGACTACAACGTACGGCTGAAGTTGGCAGTGTTCATTCCGCGCAGCTGGACGGTTTTGAGAATAGCGGCAATCATGGCCCTGCTTTGGTTAGATCTGTGGAGGGATAAAGTGAACGTGGTACGGGGTAGCGTACAGAGAGCTTAGTGATAAGATGATGCACAGAACGATCTTGTTGGAGCGGCGCATTTTGAGTGATACAATCACTGCGAGGCCGGTGAGGATAAGAATCAAGTCGGTTAACGCATTGAAGGCTTGAAGAGTGAGCATTTGCACATTAGGGCGGAACAATACATATCTGGCACACCTCCTTGGAAGTATCCAAATCGCAGAACGACAATTGCTCCCTGACACCGAGCTATAAGTTGGAGCGGATTCCACAACGCCTCGACAGGATCGCATTGTGTGAATTGTAGGATGCACGGAACAATGTTGATGATCGTCTGAAGCACAATGAGCCCCCACAGCAGCTTGCGACGGAGCTTGTGGACAGTTATGACGGAGGTAAGGAGGAATAGTATAAACGAGATGCGGCCGAGGAGGGGAGCGATCACGCCAAAGGGCATAGAGATCATGGCGTATTTGAGCAAGTTGACGACCTGGTGATAATCGAGGTCTGTGACGCTTGATCCGAGGCCATAGGAGGTTGAGAGCGTACACAAGACCGATGCGACGCCTTGAATGATCTGACTTGTTAGCTTTAGAGGTACATGTGGTCTAGTTGGACACGAACATAGGCGCCGAGCATGACGATATCATCAGCAGCAAACTTGCGGAGCACAAAAGCTTGCGAGTATGCCCTCAGAGCCATGACGACTGTGCAGATTCCATATTCCACCCAGATCACTGTGTACAGCCCGCTCCGCGAGATGGAATCCAGTGCGTCCGCGCCCTCCATCACAACTACCGCTTGATCTCGGGATCGAGGTCGATTAACGTTGGGCGCTGAAACAAGCTCGTGTCACGACAGGCGAAGTGGCGACCGGTGACATGGGTTATATTCGCTCAGTGAACCAGGACAAGCTTTGAGGAGTTGACAGATCGAATCGCGAAAAACGGTCGAGGAGTCAAGGAGTCGGGGACAGTGTGGCTGATTTTTCAGAGCAATGCCGGCTGCAGCCCGAAATATGAATCAGCCTGGAAACTTCAGATGAGCTTCACGTCACACAGCCCCAGAGTTTGGGGATAAGATTGACGATTGACGGTCGGTGCAGTGGGTCGCAGGTTGGGACCTGATAGGGCTTGGGCAATCAAGAAGGAATGATCTGGGCGCTATTGACCGATCGGCTCGTGCGCGATCACACTTGTGGGATATCTCCATTCTTAGTATCGACCGATTTCCCGCATTGGCGTTTTTTCAAAGGGAACACGTCGAAGCTTGATAGTCAAGAGGTCCTTACTTGCGGAGCTCAACAGCCTTTTGCGACATCGTTTCCCGCGTAGGAAACCGCGGTGACCATTGATGACTGCCGCTCAGACAATCTCGCGCTGCAAACCAACGCCGGCATTTGAGGAGGTCTGCTTATTCGGCCATCGCAAACATGATGCTTGCTCTCATGCATCACCTGCCTCCTGCGTCCAATAGCCAAGGTCATGGTGTGTCCCAATCTAGCCCAGCATGGTTAGAGTTGCGATAAGATGCAGGAAAGCGATCAAGGAACCCAATAGTGTGACTTGGCGGGACCAATCAGGCTGCGAGGCGGCTGTGGAATCACAGACTCAAATATCAGCGAGGCACGAACTCATTCCCCCGGGCCAGATTAGAACCGCAAGTTCGAGCATGCGATCTGGCACAAAGAAAGCTTAAGCTCGTAAATTTATCCAAAGAGGAGCCGGCTGTCTGGCAGGAGAATTTCAAAAAGTGTCCGTGGTCCTTGGCAGCTGAGGATCCTCGCCTCCCTGAGTGTGGTCGCCGGTCCGCCATCGAACCGGCCGTGTCTTCGCGATGAGGGAGTCAATCCATTGCGGTGGCTCTGGATACAGAATACATTACAGTTGTGGATTGTTATTCTAATATTCAGAAGAGCAGTTGCTACAGACACGCAATTATCCAGATCGATCGAGTGCGCCTCTTCTGGCTATCAAAACGTGGATATTCTGGGCGACCTGCTCCATCTGACCTGCTGCCTCAATTGCCGTGTGCCCAGTTTCAGTCTCCAGACCATGCAGACCATGAAACAGCACAGCAATGAGAGAAGTCCTCCAGGGACGAAACTTCTGCCTGTGATTGACAAATATCGCCAAACCGAGGAAAACAGCTCCGAGCGCAACCAGCCCCCCAGGCAGTATGAGCCAGGGCCGGTCCACAGAAACCTTGACTTCAAACCACCTTGACGTCACCCACACGGTGTCCTTGCTTGCATCCAGTGCGACTTTGGTGAATGCGTCGGCGACCCTGCTCGTTACCGGTTCCAGTCCGTCGGCGAGGACCCTATCGGCGGTGTTTTCGGCCCGCTCTAGAGGCTGCAATTGTACTTTTGTCCACGCGTTGAGTTCCCCGTTCAATGATACATGGAGCATGGGTGGGGGTAGTAAAAGTAGTGGACTTAGTTCTAGATATACCTTAACATGGTAAATAAGTAGTGTATGGGCAAGGGGATCTATAATACATAGGTGTATAATAGCAAGTACTTCTAGTTAAAGACGTGCCATATAATTAGGGATTATCTACATTCTACGGGGAAGTTAGATATACTTAAAATAGTAGGGTATATCAAGTTAGTTAGGAATATGTATTCTGGGGTAAGAGAAGGATCACGATTACTGATCGGCCTGGGTTAAGGACACTTACAATTGCGTCAGCTGCTTATTGGATTAGGTACATGCTGTAAGGGTTAAGAGGTAGACGCCGCGCCCAGGCGAACTTTTGCCGGATACGTCAATCGTTATCCAGACACCGTTCAGAAAACTCCCAGTGGGCTACAGAATAAATGAATTCTCCCCAGTGGCCCGACGGGCAGGATGATACGGGGCACTTATTATCTTACTTCTGCCTGGGCAATTGCTCGAGTATCGACAGGGATCTCGATATAAATATATTGCAGAAACGTGAACCCAGCTACTGGTACTCGGAAGAAGAATGCGCCTCAACCGTGGCCTTCCACTCACCCGCCACCTGCTCGAACAGCGCATCATCGGTGAGAAGATCCCATACAGTAAGAGCCATGAGCGTTCCCGTCTTCAGGGCGCGACAGAATGCGTCTTCGGTCCCTGAGGCCTCTGTAAAGTCCTGATGGTGGGCGAAGACGTTCGGCGAGCACCCCAGCGCAAAGAAGAGGTGAAGTCCAGGACACTCGTAGCTTATATTACCTGCAGATAAAATTACTCATTATTCACGACTGTCCATCACAACGGATTATCAGTTAATGAGCGGCTTACCAAAGTCGGTGGAGCCGGTTTGCACTTCGGTGCTGAAGGCTTGAACCTGCTGGCCCTCGACGCTGTTGGCGATTTCCGCGTAGCGCCGGCACAGTGTTTCGTTGACGATGGTGTCGAGATACATATTCCCCCTATTGAGCTTCGTCAGTATCCAACAGACAAGGCAGAGTCGGAGAACCCCAAGGGGGCTGTCTTTATTCCTTACTCTGTAATCTCAACCGTACATCCGGTAGCAGTTCCCGCGGCCTCAAAGCACGCAAGGACGCGCTTGGACAGAGCCATCAATGTGCCCCGGCTGAGGCTGCGCGCAATCCAGACAGACTTTGTATAGTGCCCAATGGTATTCGGGACCTTGGGGCCCTCGAGCACGCACCCGTGGATACGCTCCTCGGAGAGTGTCTGTTGCCGTAGAAGCGCAATGTTATTATACGCAGCGACCGCAGCATCGAAGGCGTTGAGGCCCTTGTGCGGGTGGCCTGCAGCGTGCGACGCACGGCCGTGGTATTCGACGACCCACCGCTGCATGGCGAGCGTGGGGAAGCCCCCTACTGCGGTCACCTCGGGGCATCGTTTGTCGGGGCTATTGGGGTGGCTTTGAAATCATGAGTGTCTGTCTGTTTGTTTGTGTGGTATAAAACAGAGCAAAACTAGTGCGGGCACGAAGAAGAAAGAGCTTACGCCATTATGGCTGCGTCGACGCCCTTCAAAGCCCCATTCCTGACTAGCACGACCTTGCCCCCTTGGTTCTCTTCAGCTGGGCAACCGAGCAGCTGCACGCGGCCTGGAATCTTATGTTGCTTTAGGACGTAGTGAATCCCCAGGAACGCGGTGATACTGCTCGCTGCGATCAGGTGGTGGCCGCATCCATGGCCGATCCCAGGTAACGCGTCGTATTCTGCATCGATGCTGATCAGGCGGCCGCCCTCGCCCGTGCGGACTTCAAAGGCAGTTTCGACGCCATAGGCACCGCGGGTGACCTCGAATCCGAGACCCTCGAGGAAGGAGCAGAGAGTATCGTGGGCAATATATTCTTCGAATGCGAGCTCGGGGTTCTCGTAGACCTGTCGACCAGTCAGAGTAGTTATCGGGCGGGCAAACGAACACGGACATGTTTGATAGCCTGGCGCAAATCATCAACGTGGCTTGCGATTGCTGTTTCAATTGTTTTCTGGATGTCTTGAAGCCTCTCCAGGCCTACCAGGCGTTGTGTGTGGGTGAGGGTGGACATGTTGCGGTAACAATGTGAGATGCAATTTGCAGTGTCTGAAGTCTTGTTTCATTTTGTTATCTGCTCAGCATCTGGCGAAGTTTATATACACATTCTTGAACATATCACCTTTTACTCTCCAAGATGATCTCCTATCTCCAAGGCCTGGGGGACTTTTAAGCGAGGTCGCCTGTCACCCGCCAATCGGATTACCGCGGTGACTTATCTCTTGTCGCTAACAGAGCGGGATATAAATTCTCGGCAATAACCTGCACTCGAGTGAGTTCAGTTCATTCTGCGAGTTCTGACAGCCGACCTCGCTTCCTGCAATGCGGAGCCTCCACACACCACGCACCAAGACGGGTCCGTATCCATTCCTTCCATACATCCATCCTTTATGTATCTAATGTTATTCCTCTTCAGGGTGTTGGACCTGTCGGTATGCCAACTCTCCCGTGCATTAATCTTCACAAATAAACCATTCAACGATCCTCTAGCGCCCGTAAGATAAAATGCGACGAGACGAAGCCGCAATGCACAAATTGCCGGCCGCGAAACAGACTCTGTCAGTACGGACATCGCCCCCGATGCGCCAGGCGACACGGTCCAACTGCAGCGAGCGCTCTGCAGCGCCCTGCAATCGCACCCGCTGCCTCAAGACCAAGAAGTCCCACTGTAGCCCCAGTGCCAGCTCCGTCCGGGCAACACCTCCCGTACGGCCTACAGAGCACAGACTGGCCACTGCCTCTAAGCGAAACCGACAAGCAGGGTCTCCAGCACTACGCGGATTCAGTAGTTCCGCGAATGGTACTGAAATCGCCCCGGTGGTCCACATACTCCTACGTGCTTTTCATGTGCACCCGGCACCCGATGCTGGTTCACCTTCTACTCGCTTTTTCCATTCGAGATATGGCCGAGGGCAGTGGCGGGGATGGAACCACTGCCGCTCTCGAGCACTATCAGGACGCCCTGGCGCTGTTCATTTGGCATCTCGGGCACCCGGACGTGCAGTCGTGGGTCACGTTTCCAGCTCTTTGGCTGTTTATCCTCTACGAGCAGACCTACGGGGATGACCCGACAGTACTACAAGCGCACCTCCGCGGCCTTTGCGACATGATTCGCTGCGATGGGAGTAGCATTCTTTCGCTGTCGGAAGACAACCCTACTCGGAATACGCGCAATCGAGCACAGAATAACCATGGGGTTCCTCGCGAATTCCTCAATCGCATGGCACTCTGGACGGTCCACTATGATGCGAGGGCGTCAACATTCAGCCTCGATGGGGGCATCATTGACCTGCTTAATGACAAGTACCCCGGGTCAATCACCGCCATGTGCGAGGCCTCTAAGAATGCACTGAGGGTCGCGTGGGGCCCGGAGTATCCTGCCGCGGAAGATATTTGGGACTCCCAGATCGACCCGCTCTGGACACTGGATCATAGGAGTACCATGCTGCGATTCAAGCTGTCGAGGCTAGAGCGCGCAGGAGGAGGCGACAACTCGAGCGCTTTGCGGCAGTTTGGCGCGGAGCTGAAATCGTTGGAAATCGTCAGTATAGACAGACCCAAAACAGACTGTGTGATGGCTAGCAAAATCCGCTAATATTCAGCAGGACTTCTTGCCTTTCATCCCCCTTGCGAGCTCGCGAGCTCTCGAGCGAAGCACCCAGCTATCCAACACCTGCGCGGCCGTAGCCAATTTCCTCGCCCTCGTCGTCCTCTATGACCGGCTCATGTATGATATTCAGTCGCCAGCTGTCTCATCCGTTCTCTTGATCATCGCCAGTCTGCACGAGTACGAGGGCGATCCCTACTTATGGCACGTAGCCTGGGCCCTGTTCGTAGTGGCGTTCGAGACCAATGACCCGATCCACCAGGCGTGGATCCTCGAGCGGTTTACCAAAATGCAGAAGAATGGGCGACATATGGGGCGCGCGAGGTGGTTGCTGGAGAGTCTGTTCTGGGAGAAGCGGAGGAGCGGGGAAAGGGTGCGTTATTCAGACTGGATCCACGACGGGCGATTTCCACACTTTCTTATTTGATTCTGCGCTTGACTTTGGCTGCACCCCTGAAGTCGGTATCTGTACAATTTTTCACTAAAGAGTGGAGCCTCACAATTGCCGACCTCGCCTGTTTCGCTCCAATCAGATCCAATGCCAGCGCCATGAAGATAAGAAGATAAGTAAACAACGTTCGACATCATCTAGACGCTGTTCCTTCTTATCTCAATTGTTGCCCGCGGATGACCCCAGGGGATCATTGTTTTCCTATCTGTACGTTAGGGGTGTGCTCAGAATCTAGGATAAGCTGTGAGATAGTGTTAGAGATGTGGCTATATATAAGGTAGTATCTCCAGGTGTTCTTCCATAGACTAAGATAGCCGAAGCAGAACGCGTTTTAATCATGCAAAAGTCCATGAAAGCAGCAACTATTCTAGACAGCTCGTCGTGTGCGGATGAGGCGGCTGGGTTAGAATCGGTGTTGGCAACCAAGGGAATCCTCTGGAAAATCGACCTCAGGTAAGGCACGCTTAGAGCCCCCTGCCTCATACAAGCGCTGAACCATTCAACCAAGATTAATGCCCTTGCTTGGGGTCACCTACCTGCTCCAATTCCTGGACAAGATCTCTCTGGGTTACTCTGCGCTCCTAAATCTCCGAGCTGATCTGGTAGGTCACATAGCCTCGACATCCATCCATCTGTGCTAACCTCACTTCCTTTTCTCTACAGGGTCTCAAAGGATCCGAATACTCCTGGGCCACTGCGGTTTTCTACTTTGGCTACTTCTTTTGGACTTTCCCGACGTCGTGGCTGATTATACGGCTGCCACTTGGCAAGTATCTGGCGTCTGTTGTGTATGTGCTTCTATTTCTCTTCCTCTCTGCTCTAGAACCGTTGCTGTGATTAACGAGCTCAGCGTCGTTTGGGGGGCTGTCCTTGCGTGCCACGCAGCATGCACAGGGTTTGCGGGCCTCATGGTCACCCGGTTCATCTTGGGAATGCTCGAGGCATCAATCGCGCCCGGATTCAGCTACATCACTGGCATGTTCTATAAACGCGACGAACAACCCCTGCGGTAGGTATCCACGTTCACTGCCGACCGTTCAAGAGGATGAAGCTAATAGGTATAACAGTCATGGTATCTGGTACTTGGTATGTCAACCCGGCATTGGATGTTATTTTCTCAAAAAACACACATGGCTATGCTCACATCTCATAGGGAAACTCCGCCGCCGGTCTCTTCGGTGGCGTACTCGCATGGGGAATTGGCCATATACACGGAGCACTATGGCCCTGGCAGTACCTGTTCATCATATTTGGCTGCATCACTACGGCGTGGGGCCTTATTCTTCTATTCCTTCTCCCCGACGCACCAGGCTCAGCGCCATTTCTCACGCCCGACGAGCGCCTCCTCGCCATCGAGCGTACCAGCGAAACACGTCAAAAGGTCGATGGCAAGGAATTCAAGATGTACCAGGTCTTGGAAGCTCTGCGCGACCCGCAAGCTTGGCTTCTGTGCGTTAATATGCTCGGTTGCATGCTGGTAAATTCTGGGTTCTCGGCTGTATGTAGTAGAGTGCCCCATCTCCGCTCCTCGAGCAACACCCCAAACTCCTTCCCAGCCGGGTCGCAGCTTCTCAGATCTCTAACCAGCGGCTAACCTTCCTCCCCGCGGCAAACCTCAGTTTATAGGCATTATTATAGCCGGTTTTGGATACTCCGGGCTGCAAGCCCTTCTCTACCAGATGCCCGGGGCAGCCGTGCAGATCGGTCTTGTGGTCATCACCTCGCTATGCGGAAGCTATGTCAGAAACTCGCGGACGATCCTGCTCGCAGCATTGTCCCTTCTTAGGTAAGGATCAAGCTGAATGAAATGCCTTGATTCTGTCGAAACTGTGTGTCTCCATGACTAACCGGCTCGCTGGGGAAATAGTATTGTGGGAGTCGTCCTGGTCTACGTCCTGGACGACAGTCAAAGAGACGCAAAATTATTCGGCGCCTCCTTGATGGGCGCGTATGCATCCATCCTACCAATCAGCATGTCTATGGTATCTACCAACATTGTCGGCAACACGAAGAAAACCGTCGTCAGTGCTATGCTGTTTGTTGCCTATTGCGTTGGTAACATCGTCAGCCCTCAGGTGTTTCTCACGGCGGAGGAGCCAAGGTATCCGGTAAGGAGAGAAAGGCCTCCCCACCGCACGGTTTGATACAGGCTGTTGGCTTGGAGCACAAGACATGTATCGCCGTTTGGTTTCTATGGTGTAAAAAACTAACACTTTGAGCAGACAGGAATCAAAGTCTGCTTGGCTGGCTTGGCCCTAGGGTTCGTGTCGGCCACCCTTCTTAGGTTCTATCTTCAGTACTGCAACCGTCGCAATGAGCACGAGCGGAGTGCTTCGCAGTTTGACAATCCTCATGAGAATGACGAGGATAAGACGGACTGGGAGCTTAAGAATTTTACATACATGCTTTAAAGCCTCGAGGGGGCTTCGACGGAGCCTGCGTGAGGATGTGGAAGGAGTTGGGAGGCACGCGAGGGGGATTGTGGGTTCAACATCTTGCTGCGCGGCCCCCTCCCAGAGTAGCAGGGTCTGAAGAGAGGCTCAAGGAAATCAGGAACCGAGGAACGCATTTGAGGAGACTTTCAGTTTCTTTAGCCTCTAGTACAAATACTTTTATCTTACTTAGCTACACAGTTCATGAAATAGTTGTTGGAAGCCCCGCGTATCGCTCCTTCGTCTTCCAAGGTTCTAGCACACATGTCGTCTTTCATGTCATTCTTACTTTGTCGCCTTCGCCCTCCCACTCAGCGCGACCACATACTTCCTACGAGCTCTGGCACGCAGTTCGTGGGTGCAGGAAAAGAAGCAGAGAGAAGTGGCGAACGTCCGGAGGTACTATTCTGTGGCACGTGTGGGCAATAGAGCGATGTTCGCGTGGATCCTGCCGAGCCCGCTGGAAATTATCGGACTCCTCCTGTCAATCAGAATCTTCGCACCGATCCTGACAGGGCATTATTCCTTGACTCTCCTGGCGTTAGCAATCTCGCTCACGTGCATGCTGGTTCCCTCGCTGGCGGTGCTATGGACACGTGAGCTGGCTACGGGTCTCAAGATTGGGCTTACGTTTGCCATCATATTGTGCTCCGGGTGCGTCGTTCTCCTGGTGCTTCTAGCAGTACCCACTACTCGCGTGCGGATCAAGAGATTCTTCCCTCGCTGGTCGGCCCCTCGTGTCCACGAAAGTACCAGTTCGAATCAATCAATCAGCAGGGATTGACGAGAGCAATAACCCTGCATGTCTCATCATAGCTTTCCTGGTCAGTCTTTCGCAGCTATTTCTTGTTCTAAGGCCCGATGTGATCTTGAATGAAACCCAGCATTCGCACTATGTTACTTTACTTGCGGGTAGATATTTATAGGGTACTATCTAAACAGGGTGAATCGGATTTGGTGGCCGATGATCTTGTTGGCAGTGATGACTGACGTATGGATCTTGTAGCTTCTTTAACTGAGGTTCGTGGGCTTTTCTACATGATATCTATAACGGCGAGGTGATTTCCGGCAGGTCGATAAGCGTATCCGTCCTCGGTCATCTACGGCGCGCTGCCAAGCGCGGGGCAGGGGATTTAGAGCTGACAGCAAACGCTCCGGGCACGCTTGCACTGAGCTCCAGGACGAGCTGAAAGAGATTTGGACCCCAACGCAGACACAGCCGCCGCCTGACACACGGTAAGTCCAATCAGCTTTCAAAGTTCGACTCTAAAGTAGGGACGTTACCTGGTACTGGTCTAGTGCGCGCGACACAGATCATTTTTGCTTATGGATGACAGTTACCTGGGACGCCTTTCTTTCGTGGTGTCGGCTGCTTATCATTTCAGCTTATAAATAGCGAGCCTCCCCTTCACCCAGCTTCCCGGCTTTCTTACGCATTCTTCCTATCTCAACACCTCGACCAAAAATGGCATTACAGGAAGCAGATTACATCATCGTTGGCGGCGGCCTAACGGGCTGCGTCGTCGCATCACGCCTAAAACAAGCCGATCCCCATCTCGAGGTTCTAATCCTCGAAGCTGGCGCCGACGAGTCTGATAATGAAGCCACAAAGACTTTCGCCAGCCTCTTCTCCCTGCTAGATTCCGACCTCGACTGGTCGTACAAGATCACCCCGCAGAAGAATACAGCCGGTCGCGTACACCCCGTCCATGCGGGTAAGGCCCTCGGCGGCGGGAGTGTGACGAATTTCCAGGGCTGGAGTCGCGGAGATGCGAGGGACTACGACCAGTGGGCGAAGATGGTTGGAGACAAGCGATGGAGTTATGATGGGCTGCTGCCATATTTCCGGAAGAGCGAGACCTTCTTCGATCGGGATGCGGACCCTGCGCAGCACGGGTTCCATGGGCCGATCCATGTTACGGCAGTCTCTGAGGGTCCCTCTGGGCGCAAGTATCCGCTTCGTAAGCCGATTAGTGATGCGTGGTTGGAGGTTGGCGAGACGTTGAATCCGGATGGATGCTCGGGGAATTTAGCGGGTGTCTGCGAGTTCTACGAGTCGTGGCATAATGGACGGCGCCAGTCGGCCAATGAGGCGTATAGTCTCCAAGGCGTGGCGCGTGTCACGGAGGCGGTGGTGCATAGAGTTGAATTCACCAAGACGCATCGGGAGAGGATAGCCTCGGGCGTGGTGCTGGCAGACGGTCGACGTTTCAAAGCGCGAAAGGAGGTCATCCTCGCCGCTGGAGCCTTGCGGACACCGCAAGTCCTCATGTTATCTGGTATCGGACCTCATGACACCCTCGCGAAATTCGACATTCCCACCGTTGTTGATGTCCCCCAGGTGGGCAGGAACCTGACGGACCATTTCGCATTATACCAGTTGTACAAGCTTCGCAACCCCGAGCTCGGCCTTGCCCTGGGCAGCCCTGTCCTCTCGGATCCAAGTCTCCTACAGGGCTTTCCGTGCGACTGGGCCGTGAATCAGGCTGTACCTCGCGACATCCTTGCTCCCGCGCTACACAAGGACGAGCAAACTGGCCACACTACGGGTGACGAGTCCGTCCTCATACCTGGGCGACCCCTAGTTGAGACCTTGGCTGTCTACGCCTCCGGGGGCGTCCCTGGTGTACCGACCGATGGCAGCGTAATCATGACATCGGTTATGCTACTCGGAGCGACATCTAGGGGCATCATCAGTATCAACTCGGCCGACCCCACGGATCCTCCTCTCGTGGATGCGAACTATTTCGACACCGAAGTCGATAAAGTCACACTTATTCACGGAGTGCGACGCACCATGCAGGCGCTGCTCACCACGTCCGCACTGAGGGAGTACATCGAAACCGAGATGCCCCCTCCAGGAATGGCTGCGCTGTCTGCATCATCATCGGATGCTGAAATCGAGGCGAGGATTAGAGCGACTGGACTTGCTCACCACCATTCGTCTGGGACAGCTGGGATGGGCACTGTGGTTGATACTGACCTTCGGGTCAATGGAGTGAGAAATCTGAGGGTCGTGGACGCAAGCGTTTTGCCGATTAGTATCGGGGGACATCCGCAGGCGACGCTGTACGCGGTGGCGGAACAGGCGGCGGACATTATTATTCAGGAAACTAAATAGGCAACACCCACTTGTAGTTAATTCTGTATACAATTGTAAGCTCCGTGCGTATCGTACAAACAAGTGCGTCTTACTGCCACAAGCATAGCAAAGAAACCCACTTGTTGACAAGAAAGTAGTCACATGGTCCACACCAACTGATATGCTCCCGCAGATTTCAGCCTTCTCAGCTCCCTGCTAGGATTTCCAAATCTTGGACCCCGGAGTGTGCGCAACCCTACCCGTACAGCCATCCATACCACGTATCAGGACAGTCCGGCAGAGAAGAAATGCATCCATTCCGACGTAACGTGTTCCGGAAGGAAACTACTAGGGCAGTACTGCCTGCGGTGGACTGGATGTCACTCACATGGCACTGAGTAGATTGTGGTAAATATACTTGAGGGCACTTATATAGGAAACAAGAACCTCCTCGTTGTTACTTGAAGTCCTCTTTAGATCCCGTAGTAAATAGTTGTCCGTTTTGATTTCAAGACAAGATGCTACCCTAACTACACTGATGTAGGGGCTGCTGGCCTTACCTACGTCAGTGCAGTGATAGATTGGATAGATCCGAGAAAGGCGAGACTCTCTCTCTAGATGCTACTTGGTTATGGGCGAGCCTCAGTCATGGTCAATAATATCATTCGGCGCTCGGGGGGATACATACAGGCAATGATGTCGGTAAGTGCTGCGAGGCGAGACCAATGTACGGGGAAAGTACCCTTCTTTTTAGTGGTACCGAGGTAGCTCTCTGTTTTTATCTCGCTTCCAATAAAAGCCTCTTTAAGTGGCGGATGAGTTCACCAGGAAGTAGGAGGGACTATTCTCCCCTGACATCACAATCAACCCTCATCCGACGGGATCATCATGCACGACTGCCAAACCCTCAAAGATCTGGCCAGGGGCCACGGCGACGGTAGCCTGTATCCTGAGTATATGACCGTCGCGTCTGCGGTCATTGCCGTTTCAGCCTGTGCACGGAGTTGGACGCTGCGTGCGCCAGCGCCGCGGCGGCTTGGGCGGGACGCAGTTGGTGGTGATGACGATGCCGATGACGATGGTGATGATGATGATGATGATGCCGGTGCCGAAAATGACGAGGAAGTAAGAGATGATAGTGTGATACCTGCCCATAGCATACGTGCGCCTCTTGTGGGGATTTTGTAATGTAGCAGGATCTTTTTTAAATAGCTTCCGACAGTTTTCTATTGCTCTTGGTGTCCGGCGATTCTTTTTTCGTGCATGAACGCACTATCAGCCCCAATACACACCCGATCGAGTGGTCTGTATGGATCCTCCTCAGCCCCCGCTCTACAACACCGAAGAACCCTCCTGAGCTTGCTGGACTCTCCATCAGTCCAACGAACGCATCGTCTCGTGCGGATACACCATCCCACGCCCAACACCGTCGTCAGAAACCACGAGAACATGTTGGCCAGGCATACCCATAGCGCCACACGCATCCTCGTTGCAGACTCTGTAGCGCTCTCGTAGCCGGAGCTGGTCCCTGCAAAGAAGATCGTCCCAAAGCTCCAACCTACGCCAGCCATAGGATGAAAAGCACGCCGTCCAATGCGCACCATGCGACCCGTGTCACTGTAACAAGGAAGTGGGTCAGGCATGTTATTGCTGATAGAACCACAACGAACTCGGCGTAGATCCATTCTGACCGGGCGGGGGCCTTGATGCTGGTTGCATGGCTGAGGTCCACGCCGTAGAGGCCGGCAATGACGATGACGAAGATGAATTGGACGGCACGGAGGACAGCTCGGACGTTGAGACCGTATATTCCACCTCTGTGCTAGTACTGTTCAACTTGCTGAGTTGAAATCGGCGCGGCATTGTGGATGGTGCGCGTGCTGGAGGCGGCTATGGAGTAATCAGGAGGGCTTTCGTCCGAGACACGCACGCGCTCGGTAACTGGGGCAGAATCCATAGTGTAGTTCGAGTTGCGGATCGGTGAAGCTAAAGAATGATGATTTCAGCATACGTACATGTTGAGAGGACGGAGCGTTATATATGAAGGATATGGAGGAGGAACTATTTTTGCCTACTGACCCAGAAGGGGAACTTTGGCCGTACTCGTATTTAGAGATTTTCTTGGCTTTGCCACAATATCAATACGACAGCTGTGGGCCATTAATGGACACTGGTGCCGCAAGGAGCAGGTCGAGATCCATGGTAGTGCTGCCTCTGAAAAGACGCAAATAGTCCCAACAAGAAAGCATCTGGTTGATCATTGAATGTCAGTATTTTCCTCAAGACCCGGCACCAGTCGCCTTGACGAGGCCCGAATATTAGGGTTGAGCTTGGATTTAGCATGGAACGTGTTCGTGTCAAATTTATCCAAGACTCATGTCATCTGGTGGTTTTTGCAGCAGGTTTGCACTCTGATTTTCGGATTTTCGAAGTGCACAGACAGGATATACATCACAAAAACGGAGAATCATGGAGAAAAGGGAGAACTCTCCAGAACGGATTCGAGAATGTCTTTTAGGAATATTAAGTCTAATGACAATATAGCTTGGCCACCAATGCGCTAGTCATACCCTAGTTACTCTTGCAGAGACGCCCGGTATCAAGGTCATATTCCCACTCATCGCTTCCAACGCCAGACAGAACAAAAAGACTATAGCTCGGATCATACTTGGCCTTGATTTCCACAAGGCGATCGTAGTTCGATCCGTAGAAATCCTGCTTGAAACTGGCGGTGTATGGATTCGCTTCGTTCATGTAGGCTCCAGAGTTCGGCGACCACTCCCTCCACATCTCCTCCTTGGCATCGGTCCATCGAGCAGCCCTCTGCAGTGCTAGTTTAGGCGAGCCTGCTGCTTTCGAGTCGACAATTGCACCGTTGGAGATGAAATGGAGATACGCCGAGCGCCAGGCGGGAAGTATCGCGCCCCAGTCCTCCTCGCGTGTGTTGCGCACGCCTGGTCCACCCTGAAGCCCGATTGTCGCATATGTCCCAGCGGTGGTATTTTGCGCATGCATCGCCATCTTCAAGTACTCCTTTTGTTTCTGCGGAGGCGTATCAACAAGTTCAGCCAGTCCGAGCAGGCGGCTAGACACGAGGCTCCCACCCCCCGCCGCCTCGCTGCCAGAGATGACGCTGTAGAACGAAGAGTAGTTTCCGGAGTTTGATGCAGCGAATGTCACGCTGATACTGCCGCTTCCGCCAGATGCTCTGGTTATGTTGGCTAGCACTGGATTCACCAAAGCCTCCATGGCCGCGGGGGTCGAGTTGAATCACCAGAAGACCTGTGTAACAACCACTCCGGTGGTGGAGTAATTGAGGGATCCGAATGACATGGCTGTTTCACCAACGGCCACCATGGCAGCACCTGCCAGTCCGGCATCCATGAGGTCCGGGAGCGCAGAGAGATGGGCCACGGCGGCATCCCAGGACGCCTCTGCACTTCGATTGGTCCCATCATCCTTGGGCGCAATGAGAAGATTTCCCATGACCACATTTCGGGGGACTGGATGGTGTCTGATAACATATTCGGTGACCACACCGTACAAGCCAGGGCCACCGCCACGGAGCGCCCAAAACAGGTCTTGATTCTGGGCGTGGTTGGCCACCAGAATCTCGCCTCTCGTCGTGATAACTCTCATCTGGAGAACATGGCTCGCAGCAAGACCGTAGGTGCGGGCAACTGGACCATGGCCACCGCCCTGGATGTAGCCACCGAGCCCGACGCTCGGGTCTTGGCCGGTAGTCACGACTCTGCCCTGCTCGAGGGCCATGTCGAGAACGTTGCCCCATTGCTGGCCACTGCCAACAATGTACACGTCTTCAGAAGCGTTGGTACATGGGTTCCGCCAGGATGTGTGCCGTTCCAACTTGCGTAGGTTGTAAGTCCAAATAGACAAGGAAAAGGCGCCGCTCGACCTTGATGAATAGAATATCTTAGTTTAAGCGACGGCTTCTCTCGATAAGCTCGACGTACCTTCCGTTGAGATCGTGGCCCGTTCCTTTTATAACGACGCGGATATTCCGATCTGCCGCCCACATCAGCGCGGTCGCAATTTGGTCTTCACTAGTGGCATTCACGATATACTGTGGAAAGCCACCAATCGAGCATCCACGCCCAGCGACGTAAGCCGAGTCACTAGGAGGCAGGCAAGACTTGTTTGCGTAAACCGGGTAGTTGATAGCCTCAGGGAACCGGGATTGCCAGGCAGCGTTAGCCCAGTTCGACTGGACAGTGCTGCAGTTGACCGGCGAATCAAAAGGATTGCCGGCCCAGCAGGAGGAGGCCACTGGGATGGTGCTGAGGAGCTGACCATTGATGGAGCTGTTGAGGGATGCCCAGTCTGCATGAGATGGCCATTCTGCCTCGTATGGTGTTATCTTGCACAATGGGGAAGCATATGAAATAGTTGCAAGCAGCAGCGAAAGGATGATAGTCAGGGACATGGTGAAGAAATGTAATGGTATCTAGAGAGAAAACAAAGAGTCAGCATGGTGGCAGAAAGCCTTATATGCAGGGGAGAGAGAAAGCATCATGACAACAGGGGTCCACTGCCCTAGCGATACACAAAATCAATACATCCATGTAGGTGGAATGCGATTAATTACTTCTCTCAACCTTGCTAGGCAGATGTCCAATATGTTGAAAAGTGGACACTACGAACCAGTGAAGAGGATACAACCTAACCCATACGCTTGATTGATCTGCGCCGAGGCTTTGCCGCCCCACTCGTGTTCGTTTTTTGATTACCGGAACAAGAAGCACATGGAGAGAGTGGAGTGCAGTGCCAAGTTGCCAGCCAGATCTCCTGTTGAAGTACACACGCTTTACAACGGCCGTGTTGATCTAGTGCTCTCTAACCAGGCAGCATCCAAAAAAAAAATCGAACAAGCCATACCGGACAATTCAACCTTTGGTACCAAGGAGGGTCCTCGGAAGGCTCTTGACAGAGATCATGACACACTGGACGAAGAAAACTATGTTACTGGACTTTCTGTAACCTCGTCTTATTTCCAAGATGCATCCGCTGGTGTGTTATCAAGTTCTAACTCATCCCCTACCAGGACCAACATAATAAGGAACGCTATTGCACTTACACTTGCACCATAGTGTGGTAGAATAGACTCTATATACTTTCGACTGTCCAAGAAGTATCCTGCAAGTACCTCATCTATGGTCGCTCACCGTCTTTGTTCACAGCCTCCCACTCGTGGACATTCTTCAGACCCCTTATCCCCGAAACATCGCCCTTGTCCAAATACCCACATATCCTTCCAGCGGGATCCCATTTCCTCCGAATCTCCCTCAACCGCTGACCGTTACTCGGAGCCCAGTATCTTGTCTGCCTCTCCTGAAAGTCCGAGTCCCCAAGATAAGCACCCACAGAATGCCGCTCCACTCGCTGCATCACATCCTTAACCCAGCCCTGACACCGCGCATCATCTTCCTCATCTTCCCAGACGGCATAGATAGCAAAGTAGTGGTCCGAATGAACGCTGAGGGCCATATCCGACAAATCCCGGCGACTGCAAGGATCCATAGCGTACCAAAGCACAAAGGCCTTTCGATGCGGCAGTGTGGCGAATGCTTCTTCGAGCACTTTGGGCACATTGGCGTCGTTCTGAAGATAGGCGTTGTCGACGCAGTAGCGGTGGCCCTCGGGGTTAGCCTTCTTTTGTGATATGTATTGGCCCGCAAGACTGTCCTCCGTACAGACCCATTCGTGGATCGCACCCTCTGGTCTGGATTCATGGGCTGGGGCAAGGACTGCTTCTGCCTCTTCCGCGGTGTACTTTAGTGTGACGAATAGGATGAAGAGGCAGATCTCATCTCTATTCTCTGGATACAAGCCGACGGCGACAATCTCGGTATCCTTGTCGAATGTAGGGGTAATGCCAACAATCCAGTTAAATGCTTCGTGGTATTTGCTCAGAGGATACAAATATCCGGAGGATCGGAATCCGTGCTTAGGATACTGTATCAAGTCCAGGTGGTATTTTGTGACGACGGCAGGGAAACCTGTAGTGCCATGGGTTAGCTGCCACAGTCGCTCAATTTCAAGGAGATGTAAAGGAGCCATACCTGGCCCAGACCCGCGAGCCGCCCAGTATAAATCTTCATTTTGTTCTTGATTGCAGTGTAGCGCCTCCCCGTCGGCGGTCACCACATCGATCGCCTTGACTCTCTCGCACGCCCAACCCCATCCCTAGAAGATATTAGCTCGTTTGCGTGGATGCAGGAGACCAATATATCCAGCCTCATACCCGACAATTCCAGCCCATCCCACCCTGCAGTAGAAACCCGCCAAGCCCCACGTCTGGACAATGCCCACCAGGGAACATCAACCCATACTCCTCGACCAACATCCCGTTCAGTTCCCGGCCCGTAACACTAGGCGTCACCTGTGCGACTCGACTTTCGAAATCCACAGTCCACTGTTTGAAGTTGCCCAGATCAATCAAGATCGATTCATCGCGTACACTCCACGCCGCCCAGGAATGGCCGCCGGAGCGGACAGCGACGCGGCAGTTTCGTTCTTTAGCGAGGGTAACTGCTGCAATGATGTCCTCCACGCAGGTTGCTTTTACGACGGCGAGCGGGTAGCGCTTCGGTCGACGGTGGTTGAATACTCGGCCCACGCGGGCTTCTTCGTAGACGGCCGGGTCAGCCGAGTCGCGCCAGATGATTTGCATGTTTAATTGAAAGCTTTGATGTAAGGTCTGCAGGGTTGAGCATGTCGGTCTAGATGCGTCGTCCCTGAATGCAAGAGTTAAATACGATCATCTGCTCGTCTCCAACATGTCTAATTCCGAATTCCGAAGTGGAGCCGAGAGCAGAACCAGATCGCGGGGATATGGGCTGACTGGCAATTGGCCCTGCTCTATTAGAAGATGGTCATGGTCTAGGCTCACCCTGATGATGGGTCTGCCGAGGGGATTAGAGTTCAGTCGGAGCATGAGCGATACGTAATTTGTGTGAGGAGTGTGAGATGTGCCGGCGACCACGTTCGGGGCCCCAGCCCCTCCGGATCTATTCCGATCTACCGGTAATGCACTGGCGCTGTGCGGGGTATATGATTCTCACAAAATTCCCACAGCGACCAGAGAAGTAGCGACAGTTGCAACTCACACTATCCACCGCCGCCTTAGACAACATGGTCGAGCAAACACTTGCTGGCAAAGTAGCCATCGTCACCGGATCATCGTCTGGCATCGGCGCAGCCATTGTACGAGAACTCTCATCTCGGGGAGCCAACACGGTCGTCAGCTATCCATTCCCAAACCTAAAGGATGAGGCGGATGCCGTCGTCGCCTCGCTTCCATCTCCGGCGATTGCTGTGCTCGGCGACATGGCACAAATCGAGACACCACAGAAGCTAGTCGATGCCGCGTTAGCACAATGGAACCGCATCGATATTCTTGTCAACTCAGTGGGGTTGGCCGTCAACAAGCCATTTGAGGATCAAACATTGAAGGACTGGGACCTGCTTGTCAATGTCAATGGGCGAGGTACATTCCTCATGACGCAGACTGTTCTACCACATCTTACCAAGGGCACGGGGCGGATCGTCAATATCGCCAGTATATCGGCTCGAGGACCGCCGCCGAATCAGACGATATATGCAGGAACGAAAGGGATGGTCGACTCATTCACAAAGTGCTGGTAGGTTCGTCATCTCATTACTACGGCTACTCTACTAAGAAACATGCCAGGGCGAAGGAACTTCCACCAAAGTACGGCTGCACGGTCAACTCGGTCAGCCCAGGTCCAACTCGAACAGAAGGCTTTGCCGCCGCGGGCGAGGAGCAGATGAAGGTCCTCCAGCCGATTATCGACCAAACGCCCGTTGGACCGCGGATGGCGCAGCCGGATGAGATTGCTTACGCCGTAGCATTTCTGTGCGAGGAAAGGGCGCGATGGATCAATGGGGTGCATTTGATTGCATCGGGGGGGTTGTTTATTGACTAGAAAGTGGTAGTAGTGAGTGAATCAACATTATCTTGATCGATTATCATATTCTACTTAAGAAGTTTTATTCCCCGTAAACCAAAATTCATCTTCATTCCGGGAAGTCTACGCAAAGGTGCGTTGGCTGTCGGTGGATATTACTCGACGCGCCTTTGTGAGGATAAAACATATTGGGCTTAAAAACAATTACAAGGCGGTGCGAACGAGGGAGAATCTGAATCTTTTTCGGCACTCGCATAAGCGACCAGCATGGTTTGAATATATTCGCGGATCTACGAAGCTGCCCGGGCTAGGACGGTGGGTCAGAATGCAAAATACCGCGCCAGGTTTACTAGATGGACATGGCTATTCGGTTGTTTCATTTGATGAGCAGTCGATGACATGTACCGAGCTAGCTGGCCCACCTCTACGCCGGGACATAACTCAAGTATCGAGACCTCCGCCTACTCAATTGGCGCAGCCCCCGATACATCAGGAACCCCCGTCCCCTCAACAACTTTGGCCCCAACAATCTCAAAGACAGGAACCTCCGCCAACCTTGAAATAACATGATGGAGAGTCGGCAGCTGCTCCCAGTCCAGCGGATCAATCTGAATACTCGCCTTTTTCGTCGTGTACACCTTTTGCGGCCGCGGGGTTGGCACAGCCTTGGCGAACGCGTCGAAGATCGCATACTCCTCCGCGGCGACGTTTTTGTTCTCGCGGCCGGTCTTTGGGATGTATTTATATGCGAGGATTCCGGCGTCGGCTTCGCCGCTTAGTGCGCCGGTTGTGGTGGAGGGGTCGACTTCAACGAGGTCTTCTAGGAGGAAATTGCCCCATAGTGCGCCTTCCCATCCTGTGCGGATACGGTACGAGTGCGAGCGCCGATAAACGTCGACAGAGGTGTACAGCTTGGGCATACCGAGTTCCTCTCGGCCGGAGACAATGGGATCTGTCAGGGACTCGAACAGGATCGGCAGGTATGTGCCCTGGACAACGGACCCATCATCCTTGACATATTCAACACCGTGAACATACAGACCAATGTGCTTGTACCCGGATCCGCCAAGCCACTCCATTTTCCCCAGCGTGGTCTGCGAGAATGAAGCGTAAGCAACAGTCTCCGGCGAAGTAAATCGCCAACCCTTGCGACCAGGCGGGAACAGATTCTGCAGCACCGTTCGCGACGTCTTGAACTTGATTGAGGCGGTCGTGAAGGTAGAGTTTGTCCCGTCGCGTGGCACACCTAGATGCGTCTGGCGTGGGCCTGGCATGGGTCCGAATGGAATCGGCATCCGCCAGTACGGGTTGGGGATGCGGTTCCATGTCCACTCCCGCAGCCTTTGGGTCGAGTTATCGAACTCGTCGTGGCCGAAGTTGTAGTTTGCAAAGCCATACACTGTGGCTATAGCGTTAGCTTCTGTTCCCATCGCTATTCCAGATGCCTTCGTCACTTACTGTCCAGCTCGTTGTCCCCCGTACGATCTTCGCCAATCAGGCGCGAGAATCCCTGAATGCGAGTGGCGCGCTCATGGCGGATGTCGTGGTACAGCTTCAGACGCTCGTGTACCTCAGCAACTGGTGTGCCTTTGCCCAGCACAACAGAGAGAGAGATTGCATCTTCGATGGCGACACCTCCGCCCTGGCCCTGATGTGGCAGGAAAGGATGCGCCGCATCGCCCAGCAGCGCTAAGCGATGGTGATGCCACTGCGGAATGACATCCATGTCCAGGAGCCTCCACACCTTGACAGTCTGTGGACCGGCTTTGCCCAGGAGAGAAAGAATGGCCGGGTCGAATCCCTTAAAGATGTGCAGCATCTTGTCCAAGTTGCCCTGTTGCCCCCAAGTGTCGTCGCTCTCTGTCGCAGATTCGGCTTCGGGATGGATGGCAACGAAGTTTAGAACAGTGTTGTGCGAGGTGGGATACATGATAATACGTCGATCGCTGCTGTACCAGATGCTCAGCTGGCCCTGATGCTGGACAAGCCTCGCTGTGATCGGATCACTTAGGGCCGCGTCCTTGGAGACCAGAAATCGGAACGCGCTTTTGCCTCGACACGCTGCTTTCAACTGGCCACCGGGTATCGCATGTCGGGTCACCGAGTGCACACCATCTGCACCAACCACCACATCGCCTTGGACCTGGGTACCATCCTGAAGCGTGATTGTCGCAGTCTCGGCGTCCACACATGCAATCCGGGATCCTGTATGGAGTGCAACAGCCGGATAATGTTCTGTGGAAGTCGTGACAACACGCTTCAAGTGGTTATGCAGGTCGATGCGGTGCGCAAGAAGCCAGGGATGAAGCCATTTCTTATTTGACTCCGTCAGTTCCATCTCTCTTCGCAATTCACCAGTGGCACTATACTCGACAAGCTGGGATCCAATTAGCTAGTTGATCTACTTGCCGCCATTGGAGAATAGCTTACTCGTTCCATTGGATTCGCACCAAACTCCTCTGCGAAAATTCCCAGGCGCCGGAGAAGGCCATTGGCGTTAGGGGCGAGATGGATGGCTGCCCCTGTTTCTGTCGCAAGGTGCGACTGCTCAAAAATCTGAATGTCATGCCCCTGGTTGCGCAAAGCGATGGCTGCGGTCAATCCGCCAATGCCAGCGCCAACGATCAGGACCTTGAGAGGTCGGATTTCGGGATGAGCTCCGTTTGTGATAGTCATGGTAGAAGACAAGAATGGACGGTAAACAAGCACAGGAACAAAATCAGTACCATCCGGCTGTTTCAATAAATGTTAACCCCCAAAAGTGATGCATGGTCGTCTGTCCTCTTCATCGTGAGCCCGTCGGACAGTTCGGGGACCAAGTGGGGGATGTCGGGACCACATCGGGAGGCAAGCTCAACCTCGGTCAGACGTTCGGACAATACTAGTTTACGCACCAACTAGGATGTAGAGTATGCTGAGAATTATGTCTTGTGAGTATGTATGTAGAAGGTCGAGTATTTGAGGAAGTTCCCGGTGTCGGTCTTGATATATATTCCCTTAAGGGCGTGGTTCAAGCGATCGACTAGCGTCAGGTAGTCTTCCTACTATCAGCTACGTCAGGTATCAAATAGCATATTAAAAGCCACTGGTTATTAAGGAAGAACAGGATATCTGCTAGATACAGGATATTTAAGCTCATCGGTTCACCGCTACTTACCAACTTCAAGCATTTGTAGAACCTTCTCCTATCGACCTTACCCCGCGGTAGTGCACCCGTTCAAACGGAATGCTCAGCTACCTCCAGATCGCGACGGGAGGTCGACACGTACATGCTAGTAGATTGTGTCCAAGCAAATACTGGAATTACTAAAAGAGAGACAGCCCATGTATTTACCGACCCTCTAGGTACAGCATGAATGAATCTAATATCCCAATCCCTCAGTATCCTGAGAGGGGCTTTGTATGCCTAACTAGACGAACTTCATTTCGACGGCCTGACATCATCCATCCCACCCCCATAATCCTCCTCCAAATCCTTCCCATTGACCTGAATTGGCTTCGCCTCCTGCAAAACATACAGCATTCTTGCCCACGTCGTCTTACTCGGGTTTCTCCACGCGTGGTTTGTCCCCCGCTGCACAGCGATGTCCCCCCGCTTCAACAACCGCGTAGCACCCGAGTCCAGCACAAGCTCAACCTCTCCCTCGAGAACAACCCCGTAATCTAAACTGACCGTACGATGCATGGGAGAGATCGAGGCGGGGTTCATGTCGACGACGCGAAGGACCGTTCCGCCGGGGATCGTGATCCCAGGAAGGTCTTTGAGGTAGGATTGGTATACGTCGAGGTCCTTGTCATCGCTGAGTTCGACGGGGATCTCGTTTGTTGCGTAGCCTAGGGAGAAGCGTGCGCCGTTGGCGAGCTGTTGCCATTGGAGGGAGTCTGGTAGCTGCTCCTGAAACCCAGTTACGCCGTTGGCGTCGTGGGTGGTGATGTACCGGTTCAAGGGGCGGAGGCCGTTGTCTTCCATGTTTGAGGTGTAGTTGTTGCGTCCTTTGATGAGATAGAAGATTTAAATTGATAGTGGGTTGCAGATAAAACAAGCGTGCAGGTATTGGGCACTCGGTGAAATAAGCTGAGAGGGATAGAATGTGGAGCCGAAAGGGACTCCGAGCGTGCGGAGACGTCGGATGAAGAGGATATACAATGTATATCACTCCTTGCTACTCTCAATATCCCAAATCGAAGTAAACGATGAGCGTGCCCAAAGTCGCATTAATCACCGGAGCCTCGCGTGGCGTTGGCGCAGCTGTTGCAAGAGCCCTAGCCGCCCAAGGCGACACGCGCGTTGTCGTCAACTACCATAGCAATGCATCAGCTGCGAACCAGCTGCTCGATGAGCTCAATAAGATACAGGCTTCCTCGTGTAATCGGGCTTCCAGAGATCCGGGACCATGCTTCATCGCTATTCAGGCCGACACATCCAACCGCGAGCAAATGGCCAGTCTGGTCCAGCAAACAATCAATCAGATGGGCCGACTGGATATCGTCGTCTCAAACGTTGGCTGGACACGAATGACGGATTTCATGAACCTCGATGATGCGGACAGCGAGGCCGACTGGGATCGATGCTTCGATGTCAACGTCAAGAGCCATTTCCGTCTCTTCCGGGCCTGTCAACCTCATCTGGAAGCTAGTGAGGGAGTTTTCATCGCGACTGCAAGTGTAGCGGGGGTGAAGCCGAGTGGAAGCTCATTGGTATGTTTCCTCCCATTTTCCTACTCCAGTGCCAGTGCTAACACGCGAATAGCCCTACGCGGTGACCAAGGCGGCGCTTATCCACCTCGTCAAGAGTCTCGCGATCATTGCTGGTCCGAAAATCCGTGTAAATTCGGTGTCACCTGGTGTGCTAATGACAGTGAGTTTATCCATGGCGCCGAGGAATAAGCTAACAGAACAAAGGACTGGGGGCGAGGCTTCCCGACTGAAAAGATAAAGGCAGTGGAGGAGAAGAATGTGTTGAAGCGGCTTGCCACACCAGAGGTACGTTGTATACTGCCTTTTGTTGGCATCACTACTGACCGTGTGACAGGATGTGGCAGAGCAGGTCCGATTTCTGGCGACCTCTCGTTCGATTACTGGGACGAACACCGTCATTGATGCTGGGTTCAGTCTTTAGCTGAAAATAGAAATCAGGATTGTCTCGACGTAAAGTAAGGATCATATGAAGTAGATAATCTTCCATTTCGATTAGAGTGATTAAAGACACATTATGAAGCTATCGCCTGGCGCGACCAAGCGGTCACCTCGAGTAGTTTCTGCAGGGCATGTACAAGACATTCCACCAACGGAGGCTCACCTGCATCTGGACCACTATGGTTATCATGCATGAGTTGGATTGCCATTATCAAGACTGCCGTGGGATCCCACATGTCCACAAAGCCTCCCTCGGGCGACCATCCATGCAACATTGGCCTACCCCGTCCGACAGAGATAAAGCGCTGGATGTGGTCGGTTTCGTCGCCATCAATCCAGATTGATTCCTGTCCAGCTGAAAGAGTAATATAACTTCCTACTGCCATACCGTACGCCCACAGCGCTAGTGTTGCTTGGTAGAGAGCGACGGCAGCGAAATCCCGTAAAGATTGCGGGCGAAAACCTCGAACCTCGCGGACGATTTGTGCCGCGTGCCATACGGCAGTTCGACCATCTTTGCTCGCTGCCCATGCGGCTATTGGTTGTGGGATCTGTCCCAGCGTCTCTGGCTGTTCAAGCCCCGTGGCAAGGAGCCGGACCTCTTCAAGGGACGTGTGTAGGTGCATCAGAGTGCTATTCCAGTATAGCGACGTCTCGTTTCCGTATGCGACCTTGAAGTAGTCGAGCATCTCGGTGAGCTGCTGGTACCGGGTTGCCATAAGAAGCCCGGCGGACCATGACCGGGGAGGCGCGCTGGTATTTGCACTGCCGGTGAGCAGGCTCATCTGCCGGTATTCCCAGCTCATACCCCACAGAGCCTGGAGGACAGCCGTGCAGGAGAGATTCATGTCGATGATTGCGCGTTGACTCTCGAGGAGGTCCATGTTCATCACATATTCCGTCAGTGACCTTGGATGGGAACCAGGTTGAGCCTCGGACTCCTGGAGACAGAAGATATCCCGCCATTGTTCCGCGGTAGGTGCGTTCCACAGCGTCGAACAACTGGGAAGAGAAAGGGATAGCTCAGCATATGAGATGAGCGGACCCGTCAAAAGCACCGTCGAGCACTGAGTATCGTGCTGCCATAATCTATAAACAAGCCTCTTATTTGACTCGGCGCGTACCCAAAGCCTCCACTTGCTCTCCAGCCTCTGCCCTGAATCGCTGGGGTGCACGGTGATTCGCGGGTACCTGGCTGCGTCGAATAACCCCCGGCGTCGGATGATGGTAATCAGTGCGTGGCGCTCGCTCTCACACAACTCCATCTTGCGACTGTTGCCACTCCAGAGGCCAATCTCCAGATCGATGAGAAAGGCCTGCTGTAATTCGAGATCTTTAATCAGGGTGTTGTCTCCCTCGTACACAGCGGGCAGCTCATGGCGTAGGACCGCTTGCATCGCGTACCCTAGTTTGCGCAACGCCGGGTCGGGGGTGAGGACAGCTCCTGCGGCCGCCATTGCCAGTAATAGTTCTGGGCGACATGTTTTAGCTGAGAATGTGCCTTGATGGATCCACTGACGAGGGCTGGCGAAGGGCACTGTTAGGTAGTAGCGAATAAGGCGATCAAGGAGCTCGGGTGACGGGAAGGAAGCCGCATTTAGCAGAAATGGCTTTGGCATCTGGCTAAGGACCATGCTCAGAATCTTATCACGCGATGCCAGGTTGACACAATCGCCATGATGGGGGCCGACCTCCATGTTCAGGAGACTCTGCGGCGTGGCGTCATGGCCGTTCTGTCCGCTGAGCAGCAGGTTGGCGTGCTCAGCATACCCGTTATCCTGTGCAGCAGGCACGAAGCGCCATCGTATCCTCTGGAATGATCGCTCCTCTTTCGCTGCTGGATCCGGCTCAACGACCTCGCCTCCAATTGTTTCCCCTAACGGTTCGACTGTCGATACCGTAGCCGCTTCGTACTCAAAAGGAGCTCGCGCATTGTAAGACTCGAGGAAGCTCAAATCCAGTACGCTGAGGTCGAGGTTCGTCTCCAAGCCGAAGGTGACAAGCTCTCCTCGCGAGACAGGAAAGTCGTAATCCAGCGAATCAGTTACGTCCGAAACTACCATGTGATTATTTGGTCCCGTCTGTGGAATCGCCTCCGTGTCACCATGCTGCGCCAGTATTTGCGGAGATTGCAGGGAGGTCGTGGACGGCAAGCAACCAGCATCTCCAGACGGGTCTGTCTGTATCTGTTCATCCCCCGTCGCCACAGTGGTAATTGTCGCGATAGCCTCGCAGGATCTGCCCGGTAGGGTACAAGGAATCTCTCTCCTCTGACATCGACGACAGGGTTTCTCATCGTCACAGCGCAAATGATCCACGGCGCAGGCCTCGCAGGCCTTGGACGCTCGAGAGGGTGCAACATTGGCCCCACCGCGCCGTCGCCTCGCCGGGGTGGCCTCTCTCTGCGGGTTGTGGAGGGCAGAATGCCGTGACAATAAGTCACTATGTTTCTTAGCTGGAGATTCGGCTATATTGGAAGGGACCTCACACGCGACCGAATCGTTTGTTGCACACTGAGCAGCGGTAGGGCTTCTCTTGGGTATCTGCCGAGGTCAGTCAGCGGATCGGATGCGAGGGCCCGAAAATGAACATACGCGATCGAACGTGGCGTCCGAGGTGGTCGATGCGTGTAAACGACTGCGAGCAGGTCCCGCACTGGAAGAGGTTGGAACTGTTGCTAATGGTGCCCGATGGGGGGCTCGGGGATGCCATTTTGATCACCACGAAGAAACAGTGAGTGAACAAAATGAATTATAATCCCGACAGCGATTGATGACCTGCACTTCCCCGCCTTTCCGCTGCTGTCGGGATGTGGAGAGCCAGTCACAAGCGCTGGATGCACCATCGGAATTAACCAGCACGTGAACCGGAATTGTGATTTAAGCTCTCGTCCATAATTTGAAAGGAGGGGATCGAGTCCTTCTGGACCAATGCCCAATAGCCTGCGGGGGTTGCTGCAACGCCACCCGGGATTGTATGGATCGCTGCTAATTCCGAACCTGATGCTGCGTGTAAGCCTCTACGGCTCACGTCACGGGGAGTTCGAGCTCCACTTGCCACCTGCGAGCTGGGGAAACTGTGGGGGTATTAGCCCTGGTCCCTGCTTGAGAGTTGTTCACTGTCATGGCGCAAGTAGAGCGTAAGCTCGTCCACTACAAGCTTTCAGGTTGATCCAATTCGCACGGATCAACCCCGTACGCTATCTTATTGCCGTCGTATAGACGCCCCCGTTTTCAGAACTGTGCCGCTGCTGCAGCGTGGTCGGTGAGAAGGACCAATGTCTCTCAAGTTGCGGGCGCTTTGTCTAGCATTGAGTGCCTGAATAGCACTGGGCTTCTCCCAAGAAGGAGTATTTTCTCCGAGGTTATAATAAAAGTCAGAGAGGACTTTACCACCACATCAAGGTACACCTTAGCGTCCTGTGTATTATAGCAGTATGAGCATGCATCGTCGACGATGACTGGCCTGGGGAGTACCTGCGGAATGAATATAGTAAGACCTGACAAGTTGGCTAGCCACGCGTCCTTGGATATGATATCCTACCAGGGCAGTCGGGACCGCTATCTAAACCGCAGACTAAACTCAGAGTAGCTGCACGGGACAGCCCCCTATTACCCCGGATAGTCTCGTCGTATACAATTGTTAACGAAGTATATAAGGACGCTGGTGGAATACATCAGGACATTGCCACTACATTGGAAGCTGCACAGCAGGTTCATTACCAGCATGGCTTCGAAGTCTCTTGTCCTCCTCTCTGTCACCCGGCTTGTCTTGGGCTCGATATCCATCCTCGATCCCAGCGACTACGTCAACATGTCCTCAGATGTTGAGGACAATGGCCTCCTGGCAGATTATACGACTGACGGTGGTGGCCCGATGTATCTGATCGACGACATCGCCGGCCAGTACACCTACCGTGATACTGACGTTGAGCTGTACCACGAGACCCTGTCCGTCGATGCCAACGACACAAGTGTACTGCTCGTCACCGAGGGCAGCAATGTCAATTTGTCCCATGTCGATGTTGTCAAGCGAGGATACTCGACCTGGCTCAACCAGGCGAGCTTCTTCGGCACCAATGCAGCTCTGAATATTGCCAACGGGTCTACTTCTCATATCTCAAACACAAACATCACTACACACAATGGCGCAGCCGGAATCTTTGCGTATGGAACCGGTACGACCGTCCATGTGAGCAATACGGACTTTTACAGCTCGGGGCCCGTCTCCCACGCTCTGTACGCTGCGGGCAACGGGACCATCTACGCCTCGAACGTGCGCTCCTACGCTGGCGGAAACCGTTGTTCTACCTTTTCCGGCGACAGTCCAGCTGGATACATCTACGTCTCCGACTCGGTCTCCCACACGGCTGGAATTGGAAGCGCCACATTCTACGCCCTCGGTGAGATCCATGCTAGCAACGTCGTCGGACACTCTGAGAAGGCGCCCGGACTCTTCAGCGACGGGGCACAAAAGGCTGTTTTCGAAAACGTTGACCTCACTGCGGGCTTACTGGCTGGAACTGTCATGTTTTCGTCGTCGGTGCGGCGGACTGGAGCGTCCCTCTCCCTCACCAACTCTCGACTCACCACCTTGAAGGAGGATATGCCTGCCCTGTGGTTTGGCAACGTTGTTGCAGAGGCTAATTTAGTGGCAACAGAGTTGAACACCACTTCCGGCATCCTCCTCGTCGCAAATACCTCCCAGGTAACTCAGGCGTTTAACTACTTTGCTGGCGTGGAAGAGAACTCATCCATCCAGCCTGCCAAAGTCTCTGTTACTGTGGCCGAATCCACCTTCCAGGGAGACATCGTGGCATACAACGGCAGCTCAATCGCTTGGAACCTCACTGATCATTCAACGTGGATTGGCTCCGCCTACCTTAAGGGCAGTGGATCAGCTACCTTCAGCATTTCGGTCGACGACACCTCTACCTGGACCTTGACTCGGGATGTGACTGTGGACGAGTTCACCAACGACGATCCCAGAAACAAGAACATCCGCTCCAAAGGCTTCAATATTCACTACAACCCGTCTAGACCGAAGAATGCCTGGTTGAAGTCTAAGACGGTTACCTTGCCTGGTGGTGGGAAACTACGTCCCCGCGCTTAAATGTAGTATGATCAGAGGCAGGTCAGAGATAACTGGGAGATGGGGACGTGGTTAGCTAATGCCTGGGGATAGTGCTGTAGCTCAGGGGCCCGGGCGAGCAATGATAATTTCCACACTGGTAGCTAGATAAATGCAGTGAAATTGGGCTATGCCACATATCATTGAGGGCAATAACTTGCTGGTGCAGATCCGTATATACCACGTATACTGATTTATTTCCTATTCTCGCCTAGATCAAAGGAACTATGCATTCTTAGAGTCATGTCATACGCCACAAAACGCCTTATTTTGTCTCTTATTAAGGAGTATCGCACTCCGACCTGCACTAAGAACGGCCATGGTCTACCTCGACGCAGTAAATCTTTAGCGCGAGCTTAGAGCCTTCAGTTGTTTACCGCCGGAATTATGTCTTCGAGCGTCGTCCTAGGACCCTCCGGATTGGTCGTACTCGCCCCGGTTGCCGAAAAGTAGAAGCTCAACCAGCTGCCGATGACTCGGGCCTGCAGCCCAACCCCGCTTCCGAATGTCCCCCACGTCTCGGGACGATAGCACCAGATTCTGGCCCAGGATCCTGCCCCGGATTCTTCCCCACCTGGACGTCCCGTCCCAGTGGAGTATAGTTGAGGCTACTATGGACTAAGGTTGCTTGTGTACGTAGCCAGGAATATTGAGAGGGGTTGCGAGCCGTTTATCATATGGGGAAGAGTCCCTCTCGACTTCGCTCCTGTAAACCACTCCAATCTCCCAGTCACCGTTCCTCGCAAGCATCGGATCAACCTACCTTTTCGACGATGGACGATAAAAACATGGAGGACGTGGTCCATGTCGAGGACAGCCAGTCTCACAGTCGGATCCACTTGCACAACTTGGGCCACGTTCGTCTTCGCCATGAGCACACCAACGAGATCATCCTGACCCCGACTCCATCCCTGGACCCCAATGATCCCCTCCGCTGGTCTACCGGCTACAAGATCTACATCGCCATCCTCGTCTCGTTTGCCATGGTCATGTGCAACTTCATGGCCGCCGGCCCGACAGTCGCCATGGTTGAGATAGCGACTGATTTCAAGCAGGGGGGTGACACCACGCTGACGGACTGGATCAGTCGGGCTGCGTACTTCTTCAACAACAGTGCCTTGTTGCAGGGTGTTTCTTGCCTCTTCTGGGTCCCACTATTGAATAAATACGGTCGGAGGCCAGTCTATATCTCTGCATATATTCTCTATTTCTTCATGATCGTGGGAGCTGGGTTGGCCAAGACATACGCAGCAGAACTCACGACCCGCACTATTCTCGGTGTTGGCGCTGGGGCTGGAGAGTGCCTGGCTCCAATCACAATTGCTGATGTGTTCTACCTTCACCAAAGAGGATATGGCATGGCGTGAGTGTTCCCATTCCTCTCTCCTTTCTATGGACAATCCTACCAGTCAGGCAATACTAACGGCTCTTGAAAGTGTTTACAACGCTGCTCTAAGTGCAGGAGTCGCCTTTGGCATCATCATCTCGGGGCTCATCACCATCAACTATCACTGGCGCACCATCTACTGGGTCGGGGCCGCCATGGTCGGTGCCCTGATTGTGGTCGTCATCTTTTTCTTCCCTGAAACAGCCTACCGACGCGTTGGAAACCCCCTCGCCGAACGCTCCGCCGACATCCAGAAGGAACTGCCCGCCAACCATTTGGAATCTGCCTCGATCCCCCCAATCCCCGAGAAAGAAAGCTACATCCGCAGCCTACGCTTCTGGTCCGGTGAGACCTACACTGATGAATCCTTCTGGCGCATGTTCGTCCGTCCGTTCGGGCTTATCCTCATACCACCCATCTTCTGGGCGACGATTGTCATGTCCGTCACGATTGGATTTCTCGTCGCCGTCGTCTCCAACTTTGCCTCGGCGTTTAGCACAACGTACGGTTTTGAGGCATGGCAATCGGGCCTGTGCTTTATATCCGGCATGGTGGGCTGTTTTCTGGGAACATTTGCCGGAGGGCCATTCTCCGATTGGGTCGCTGACTACTTTACTAAACGCAACGGGGGTATCCGCGAGCCTGAGATGCGGCTTCCAGCGATTGCGCTGAGTGTTGTCTGTGCCCCCTTGTCGCTCGTGCTATACGGTTGTGGAATTGCCCACGGGTGGCACTGGATGGTGCCAACTCTTGGGCTAGGGCTTCGTAAGTTCAGAATCATTCATCTGGGTACGACATTCAGCTGATACATCCAGTTTCATTTTCCATCACCCAAGGAACAAACGTCTCCTTCGTTTACTGCATCGACTCTTTCCGCCCCGTCGCCGGCGAAGTAACCGTCACCCAGTTGGCCTTCAAATGTAAGTTGCCCTAATCCACCCTCGCCGGGCCCATCTACCTGAACCTGAGTTTCACGACTGACACTTGTAGCCTGCTTCGGCTTCCTCCTCTCGTTCTACACAAACCCCTGGATTGAAAAGTCCGGATACGCCGCTGCGTACGGGGCTATGGCAGGCATTTCTGGCGGCTGTCTGCTCTTCTTCATCCCGCTTTTTTTCTGGGGCAAGTCGATTCGACAAGCTGCTATGAAGTGGCCTATGGTTCAGTTTGTGTTTTGGAAGGATGATCGCGAGGTTGGAGAGTAGTTTTATTGCTGGAGCACTTCATTTGGGGGAAGACGGCCGAATGTGCTTGACGCGGGTACATGTATGTTTAGGGTCGCTAGGAAAGCAGTGATGGGGGTTTACACTCGTTGAACGCCCATAGGCTCCCATGAGGTCTCACAAGCGCTACAGACTTGTACTAATAGCGTTCCTGGCCACGTAGATAAGAGCCTTGATCAACGAGCGTCTGGCCGTCGACTTGAGGAAAAGCCACTGCCATCTGTTAACCGACAGTATGCCCTTGAAACACAGATATGGGCTCATTGACGAGACCGAGCTGTTGGCACGTTAATGTGGTCTATCACGATGTGCCCCCCGCAAACGCGGATTGAGAGTCCTTTGGCCCACGTCGTCTGCGGTACGCCAATTGACTTCCGACGAGGATTCAAGGCCAGCAAAATTGCCATAACTACCTCATAGAAGCCCTTGGCTAGCCCAGGTGTCCGAGGTGTATTTTGTTTTATTCCTAGCTTTGATCTATTAACGGTCACTGCAAGGGTGCCAAACAATAACGTCATAGACTCTTCGCCGAGCCGAACTTGCTGCCCCGACCTAGGACACGTTCTAGAATCTCTAGAAGCCATAATCTCTGCATCCCGATCATCCCGCTCATAAGATGCGTAAGCAACACTAAGCTCCGGAATTTGGTGCTTAAGTGCGAGGACGCCCGGCGACTACGCATGTGGCTGAAAAGCTTGGCCGCTAGTCCGCTCACCCTCCCGCTGCGCCCGGCGGAGTGAGTGAGCCTCGCGTCAGCCCGCGGACGGCGATGAGGCCTTTTCCACTCGTTATCTCCATCTGTAATGTTATCCCCAGTCGCAGTGTAGGCGAGTCGAGGAGTATATAATGCACCACGACAGTCTTCAATGGAGATCAAACCTCCTAACACTATCTGTACACTTCTCAATATATATCCAGCAACAGCCGATCGACAATCATCAACCATAGTACACAACATGTCCTTCGACAAGAACTCAGTTTGGTTCAGTGCGTTTAACCCCCTTTTCCACATGAATAGAGGCTAACATTTGTATCAAGTCACTGGGGCTTCGTCCGGCCTGGGAAAATCCATCACAAAGGCCGCATACGAATCAGGCTACCAAATCGCCGCAACAGCCCGCTCAGTCAGCGCACTCTCATATCTCCCCGACAAGCAGCGAGTGCTCAAGGTCAGCCTCGATGTCACCTCTGGCGAGCAAATCGAACAGGCCCTTGCCGCGGCCGTCGCCCACTTTGGCCGGGTAGACGTCGTGGTTAACAACGCGGGCTACGGCCAACGAGGGGATACCGAGGCCGTTAGCGACGAGGATGCACGGCTTCAAGTAGAGACGAACTTTTGGGGTCCTGTTAGGATTACTCGCGGTGCGCTCAGGATATTTCGGGAGGTGAACCCCGCTGGTCAAGGTGGCACCATCGTGCAGATCTCGTCTGTTGGCGGGTGGGTTGGTTTTCCGGGAAATGCGTATTATCATGCGAGGTAAGATACTAATTGCTGAATACCTTAGATATGTCTCTTTGAACTTACTGACGTGGCCGCGGGACAGTAAATTCGCTCTCGAAGGCTTCACCGAATCCGTCGCAAAAGAAATGGATCCATCGTGGAACATCAAGTTCCTCATCGCCGTGCCCGGCGGTGTGAAAACCAACTTTGCAGCCACCAGCCTCAAGACGATCCCACGCCATCCGGCCTACGATACGCCCTTGAGCCCGCTTACCCAGATCCTGCGGTACATCTCTCAACCTACGGCGCAGGACACATGGAGCGATCCGGATGTATGTGCCCAGCTGCTTGTCGACACCGTCGCGAACCAAAAGGACAGACCGCTGCCGGTCAGGCTGCTCATGGGTGCGGAGACGATTCCTCTGCTTGAGGGTGATATGGAGAAGACGAGGGCAGAGATGCAGGCGTGGAAGGCTGAGACGGAGAGGTGTTCGCCCGGAGGTGGCGCACAGATGAAGTTTGGTGACAGCAAGTGAATGTGAGAATGCTCACGGTACCCCATGATCAGAGATAGTTGGTTTGAGTTGTTTGGTAATATTGTACACTACTATCTTGTTGTAGGGTCATTCTGCGCTCAATATTTAGACCGACTTGTGTTATCAGCTCCCTATGCATGAACGTCTATCAAAGCCGAACGATACCTAGCATCTCGCTGCCTCAATGCTAAGCGAGTGGGGCTACAGGTGCTGAGCTCTCTACCTCTCCACCTCCAGGACCCGGACAGCCGCCATCTCCCCTCCTTTTCTTCGTGGACTCCCGACTCGCTTTGTCTATTATCACTCTTTTCTTTACCGCTCCCATATGTCACCATTAAAAACAAATAACAATGGCAGATGTCGAGATATATCGCAGTCCCTCTCCGGAGTGGCCCCCTGAACTAGATGACGGTAGCGACCTCCTCACAGCCATCAGGGAAAATGACCTCGACCAGCTCAACCGATACATCGCCTCGTTCCCACCTGACACTATCGTCGGCCGCAGGGAGACCTACTATGTGGACCCGTTCTTTGTAGCGGCCTTTGAAGCCAAGCCGGAGTGTCTCCGTATCCTCCTTGAAGTGTACGCATCTGCTGTGGTAGGGGTCGTGGGCGTGGTCGTGGGACCGAGCAAAGACCAGGAGAATGATTTATTGTGTTTAGGAGACCAGAAAGAGCTCAAACTTTGTTGAAGCTCAAGGGCGTGCGGAGCCTCTTTTAAACAGGGGTCTATGCAGGAACACACGTTTGCGAAGGCTCGCTGCAGTCATGGGGGATGTACAAGTACACGACCCGAGCCTATATTTGACTATTACTACTGGAAAGGAGATCGATAAACGAAAAATGAAGATATACCCATTGCAGAGTCCTATGAATCGCGTCAAGGACACGAATGTGGGCGAGCCTCTTCAGCTGTGACGAATAGACACAACGCGTGAATCGCTTCGTTATCATCGCTCTAGTCTATTATTTCCAGGGCGCATATATGCTATAAATGTCCTACACGGCAACACCTCCTAACGGCGTAGGCCCCAGAATGGACACTCCTATCTATACTCCGTCTCACCAGGAGGACTGCCCCTCCGGATCCAACGGCCGCATCTCATACTCGACAACAACCTGATCCGTCCGCTGGATTCCATTTCTGGGTAACCGCCCCACTCCCAGTCCCTTCCCTTGCTCATCCAACGGCAGTATGTTCTCCTGACTCCCATTCTTCGTCGTATTGATATTCGTCGTCATGAGGTCCCTATCCTTCTGTCCGCTAAAGGTATGTTTCCGAACGTGGCGATTGTGTGAAGACGAGTGGGGATTGTTCCCGCTGCTCTTGTAGTAGCGCTGATGTGAGCTCCAGGAGCGTTTGCCACGGGCCATTTCGTAGAGTGGGCCGAGGGTCGGGATGCAGGAGGCCATGATTATGATGTTTGATTCGATGCTAAAAGGAAGCGGACCCGTGAGCTTCCACTGGCGCTTGGAATTATTTCTGGGAAGGAAACGGGGTACCTGGTCCAGATCACAAGGTCGGCCGTTGCATCTACATTTGGATCAGCGCCATTGTTCAATTCCGGGGGGAAGGATAGCCTACATGTCGAGTCCGAGGTATCGTAGAGACTAGGCAATTGGAAGCATTTGACGATTGCCATAGCACACGCCCTAAGTCAGTTAGTACGCGAGTTCTGGGTACCAGGTCAGTCACATACACAGCACCCATTCCAAGCGCCGCGCATAATGCCAGTTTCTTCTTCAGTGTAATTTGTAACCGAGCCAGCACAATGGTGGGGTACACGGCGAGGTATAAGTCGACGAAGCCAGATATAGCTAGACAATCCGTCAAGTTGGGTGGAAAGCAGAGCGACGCCCGACATACCTCCTGTGAAGATTGCATAACCTACAAGGATCTTTTGTGGGCGACACGTCGCCTGCCCCGCAGATAGAAGATCTATTTGCCAAAGTGCCTTGGGTGGATCGCACATGGTGAACAGAACCACGATGCAAATGGTCGAGGATACAAACACCAGACTTGTCAGGAACCACAGCCACCATCGCTGAAACTTTCCCGGGTTCATAACGCGGTTCAAGAGTGCGGCGATTGCAAGCTTGGGCGTCGTAAACGACATGATTCCCAGCGCAAAGTCTGCGTAATTGACAATCAGGATCTTAACCAGCAAGTCCATGCCCCCGTCCTGCAGTATGACCGCGGTGTGCTTTCCGTACCCGAGACCGACGTTGACTGTGGAGACGACCGTGTAGCCTGTTAACATGACCTGAAAAGTTAGCATTCGATCGACTCATGGAGTCAACTTTGACGAAACACAAACCATGGACGCTGCAATAATGTAGTCATCCAGCCCAATGTTCTTCAGCCATCTCGCTCGAATGTAGAGTCGTGCCGAGACCATCAACAGGCTCACGGTGTAAAAGGCCCAGAAGGTTCCCAGGATCCTTGGTCCTTTCGTCTGGCTCGCAATGTGAGGCCGAATGTCCGCCATCCTCACAGTCTCGAGAGTCTGGAGAGGGGAATGACTTGCAACAGCGGCCCGGTCGGGGGACGTCAGGGACAAGGGAAAAGGAGAAACTTCCGATTGCAGATTCGCATCGGTCCGGTGGTGCCGACGACTTGATCGTCGTGGCCTGTCAGAAGGCTAAAGCCAACACGGCACGGAACGTTGCCTCCCGAGTCTGAGCGAATTTGGCATGGATGCTGCTTCAGTGATTGGGTCTCTGAGCATTTGAGACGCCAATATTGAGGGGTCCTTGTTCGCAGTGGGTCTGAGGGTGGGTAAAGCGAGGAGATTGTCGAACGACGGGGGTGGACATCAGACTAATTGCGGCCGAAGGATCGCATCCCCGGCTTTCAAGACATTTAGACTGGGAGCTTCCTAGTCTCCTTGCGGATGTGGATCAGCTCGATCGCTTTCACGGGTGAATTGGGCTCAGTGTAATCTACCTAGCATTGCCACTTCCTCAACAGGGAATGGTGTTGTCGCTGGCATGATTTGGCCCTGGTCAGGGGTGAGCCATTGCTTCTCAATCTCAAGTCCCCCTCGCTCTGGACACATCTCAGTTCAAACACAGTTAGGAACATCATGAGACACGAAGAACCCTCTTCAGGCGGCAGTGCCAATGGCTGGGAGAAGCAGATTGCCAACGGCAAACCGCCGACGATGGAAGAGCTCGCAGTGTCCCCAAATGTGCGGAGTCAGATCCCGAGTCTCCTTCAGAAGGTCGCTTCAGGCGGTTATGAGTATCTCGCGACAGGCGATCAAGCACGCTTGAAACTGCTTGAAGAGGCGCGGGCATTAGTGTATGCTCTCGAAACACCCCGAGAGGCAATTATACGCCACTGCTGGTCCGAGGTGCGTGGTTCCTGCTTTCCTTGTTCTCCCGGGCCGGATTTACCAACACACTATAGGCGACGAGTTACGCGGCACTCGAGACTGCCGTCGCCTTGCAACTATTCAATGCCTTGGGAACCGACGATCAACCAAAGTCGGTGGTGGAGCTCGCGAACGCGACAGGATCGGATCCGGCGTTGTTAGGTGTGTAGATCGTGGAGTAAGTCCGCTGTGGGTCGATCTAACGAGCGCGCTTCACAGGGCGTATCATGAAGCATCTCGCCGCAATGGGTGTCATCACTGAAACGGGCAGCGACGAATATCGCTCGACTGGGTTTTCGAAGGTCCTAACTGTCGACAAGTATAGCGATGCCTTTCCGCTCATGTAAGTTAGTCGACGCCTTAGGATGTATAGTGACTCATGCATGCAGGACATCGCGCTTTACGATGGGAATCCTCGCGCTTCCGGAATTCTTGGAGAAGACCAACTATCGTAATCCGACGAGCGCAACAGAGACAGCGTTTCAACTGGGCTACAAGACGGATATGGGGTTCTTCGGCCACCTCCAGCAGGAGCCACTTACGGCAAAGCGCTTCAACAACCACATGGGTGTCTACGCCCAAGGACGCGTCCGCTGGATGGACCCCGGATTCTATCCGGTTTACGAGCAGCTCATTGCTGGTACGGAGATGAGCGATAATGATGTTCTTCTAGTTGATGTCGGGGGGAGCTTTGGGCATGATCTCTTGGACTTTCGTCGCAAGTGGCCTGATGTCCCCGGGCGACTGGTCCTGCAGGACCTGCCCGAGGTTGTGGCGTCAGTCAAGGATCTGCATCCAACCATCGACGTGACGGCTCATGACTTCTTTACTGAGCAGCCAGTCAAGGGTACGTTCTCCCTCGCCTCCTGAGAAGATGCACTAACAATGCACAGGTGCCCGCGCATACTACATGCACTCGGTTCTCCACGACTGGCCCGACGAGCTCTGCGGCAAGATCCTGGCCAACCTCGTCGCAGCTATGAAGCCGGGATACAGCAAGATCCTCATCAACGAGAATGTCATCCCGGACACGGGGGCGTATTGGGAGACTACGAGTCTCGACTTGATCATGATGCAGATTGGTTCGGGTGAACGGACGGAGCGCAAGTGGCGGAAGCTGTTGGAATCGGCTGGATTGAAGGTTACCAATATCTGGACGGCACACCGGGGCGTGGAGAGTTTGATTCAGTGCGAGCTGGCTTGATCGTGGTGATCTCTTTTAACCGTGCAAACATCAATATATGTTTATGCATTATATCCGATCCCACACACATGGACCTGAGAATCTGTATTATTGGTTCTTCACCTCAGCCTTGGATGGAATAATATAAACCGCCCTCCATACAAGCAGTTCAGTAGTCAGCCATGACATACCGTCGGAAGCTGCTCAATAGACGAACTTTTCCTTCACAAGCTCCTCGCTCAAAGCCCACAATCGCTCCTCATTCTCAACCCCGGTGGAGTACCCAAACTGCTCCGGAATAGGTTTAATTTGGTTGTCGTCGTCAATGTGCGCGCCGCTGCGGTCTGATGTAGAGCGTGTCAGCCAAGTATGTGTACCCAAGGATGATAGGTGAATTACCTTTGATTGACGGGTCAAAAGCTGCAATGACCATATTCGCCGCACCCTGTTGAGCTGTCTTATATTCCATCGGAATGCCGGCTACTAAACAACATTGTTAGGGCTCGAGTGTACACTACTCTTGGCAAAACTTACACATGTCATAGTCCTCCTGCGTAAGGTGGCGCGCTAGGTTTGTGAAGATGGCTTGGTCGATATTAGCGATACTTGTGGCTTATTATTGTGGACCGTGCACATACTGCCAGGATGTACACTATACGACGTAATATGCCTATCCGCAAGTACTCGAGCGAGGGCGTTGCTGAACAGGATATTCGCCGCTTTTGACTGGGCGTACGCGTGCCATTTGTTATACGGCGTCGCTTTGAAACTGAGATCGTCCCATTGAATATTACCGAGCTGGTATCCCCGACTTGTCACATTCACAATCGTCGCGCTCTCGTTTAGTTGGGGGATGAGGAGGTTGGTGAAAAAAAAGGGTCCTGACATGCGTCAGCCGGCTGTACATTCGGCAATAGATTTCGACAGAGGCCGACCGATGTGATTTATCCCAAACTGCGACTCGATCCCTTCTTCTGTGAGAGCGTATGGAGGAGCCATGACTCCAGCTGAGTTTATGAGGACGTCAAATTTCACATTCAAGGCTTTCACCTGCGATACAGCTTTGCGAATAGTCTCCTGCTTTGAAAGGTCATAGGCAACCAGCTTGATATTGATGTCGGCGGTTTCCGTGAGAATCGCGTCCCTTGTTTGTTGCAATAGAGCTTCGCTTCGCGCCGTAAGAACCAAGAGGCCTGGTTTTCTCCCGGCAATTGATTTCGCCGCCTCGAACGCAAGCGATCCGGGGCTTGCCCCTGTTATAACCACTATCGAACATTCAGATCAGATGGGAATAGAGAAACACTACTTAGAGTGATGTTTTTTACCATTCTTTCCTTTGATGTGCTCGCTCAGCGCCGCGGCAACGTCATTGGCGGTGTTTTCGAACTTGAACGCAGACATGGTCGAGAAGGAGTTGCAAATCTGCCACTGGACAAGCCCTGTTGGGAAGAAGGGCCTTGTTTATAAACACATCCATTGAGCTCAAGCCTAAAGTACGCCACCTGAAGTTCGTTAGTTGCAGAGGGAATCGATAGCCTATTGCGGGTGGAATGCGGACACTCGTGCCCGCTAGGCCGCACTTAGGACATTGTTGAGTAATCTCCTCATTTCCTAACCTATGTAGGGGGAACTTACACGGAGTTAAGCTCACTATTTCTAGTGGATATGGTTAGATGATACCCTGTTATCACACGATCAACGGACCCTGAACCAAAAACACGAGACAACAGGGTCCATCTTGCGGGACCAGCAGTAACAGTAGATTATGTTGGTGGAACTAGCAAAGAATCAAATGATCGGGCACAAATGACTCCGTGCTTGTTGGACCACTACCTGGATACAGAGGATCATTGCCAGTCACCTCCAGGTTGCGGCAGAAAGGGCCTTCTCCATATCACTGCAACGGATGCCCGGACTCTGCCCAAGACAGACTCATCCACTGACTAAAGCTGGATGATGTCACATCTATATCGGAGAGATAAAGTGCAACACTCCCCTCCTAAAAAGATATTGCATTGACCATGAGCGATGAACCATCATATATTATATACATTATTATAATGTAGACAATACACCATAGCTCGGAATCTGAACTTTGGCCGCCAATGAACCATCTTTATCACAGTCGGTTGTTTCACAAATGAATAGATCGTAATGACTTTGAATAGTTTTCGACGCTGTGGAAAGATTCAAATCCGTGCTGGGGCCTTCCAGATTGGCAGACCCAAGGGGTGACGCACTGCTAGCACATAGCATCATTAAGATATCCGGGGCTCCAAAATAGTAGCCACAAACATTAGCCTGATCCATCTTAGCCACTCCCAGAAAACCTAACAGTTCCGTCTGTGAGAGGAGCACCGTTCTTTCATAGCCCAGTCCATCTGCGTCCGTGCTCATCGAGCGCTTGACAGGTTCGGCTTGTTCGTGATCAAGCAAAAACGACCGCGACCTGGGCGACTGCCTATACTGGCCACGGGGATGTAATGTCGAAGTGAACTCTGGTGGCCGGCATCCAGCCTGTTCTTCCGCAGACGCCCGCTTCCGCTTTCGTGTGCGAGGGTGGACTTCGCAAGTGTCAGCAAGTGGCATGTGGTCGATGCAGCACCTTCTACCACGATCCCACCGTTGACCAAATAGGCTTGGTGATGCTTTGTGGCAGGGATGGGATTTTTGGTTCATCCATAAGGGCGTATAGAGAACGGGGACTTTCAAAGATGATGTTTGCATGTAGGATGATTTTGAATTCGTATAAACAGGAAAAGCTTGAAACTCAGGATCTTTGGAGGATGAATTTATACCTAGCACTTGATTTAATGTGGGGGCGATAGTAGTTAATATAAGTGAAGGCTAGGCCATGTGACCGGGAAGGCAGGGACCATTCAACGCAGCGCTAATCCTGTTATTGGCGTGGCAAGCCGGGGTGCCGGCGTAGGCCATGGATCAAGCTTCACGGCCATGGCAGCTCGGGACGATCGTCTCTCCGGTTGGCCATGTGGACGAGCAGTATGCGACAGAATACCAGTGTATGCTATACCAAATGCAACTACTGCTGTATAGTGATTAAGCCATCCACATCAACAAGACCTTTTCCGTCACATAACATGTTCGGAGGCGAGCATTGCCTCTACGCATCGAGTTTGGCCAGGCTCATGGGCTACAGTACTATGGCTTCCGCGGATTCATTATTGGCATAAACGCAATGCGTGGAGAGATTGCTAAGAACAAAGATTTGTGGATATCGCGTGGGGCACCAGCAGATCGCGGGGTAACTAACTATCCGGCCTGCCACAAAGAATGCCGAGGCATATATTGTTGCACAATACTCGTCAATGACAGGGTACCTTGCCGAGATAATCCCTGTGATACCCTGTGCTGTACATACAAAGAGTAAATATTCGATTGTGCCGTTAGAATTTCACATTGTTGACCAAGGCCCGATGCCTGGGAGCTCTCAGCCTGAGGTATCAACAAGGGTCTCTTATTCCATGTAGCTTTGTAGGCACTACCCTTGTGTGCGGCAATTGGAACCTTCCTAGCCTCTTTAGCCCTTGATGAGAGATCAAGGACGTTGAACTAAGCCTGATTACCTTAGATCTCCCGATTTGATTGAGAGTTCGCTTTCAAGTGTGCCTTATATATTATTTTATCAAAGCAGACAATACATACGTCGCAGCCGGTTATCGTACTTTGAGTATCATATCTCGACTCGCTTTCTTCACAGTATCTACTTTACACAAGGGCCAAAAATAATCGACTTTTTGATTTTCATAACCGTGAGATCGGTCTTCGCCCACGGGAACTTCACTGCTGCCCTCCTAATGCATCCTCCTCCTATAACTCCCTTGCCTATTACTCGGGTTTCCACTTCTGCCAGTGGTCTGCCAATGTCCCTTCCAAATGACGATATGCCATCCCGAGCTCACTCAAACTCACTGTTGTCGATGCCAAACCCGATGCCCTGATTCAATCGAAGCCATTTCCGACCCAGGCCGATCATCGGCCCGAGCATACTGACAAGGAAGTGGGACGGGGAATTTGTCGAATTCCGTGAGGACTTGGGAAGAGAGTGTAGAATCCGCGCGAGCTCCAGGCGTCCTTTTGTACCCAGGAGGTGGAGCACATCTGCCATGGATACCCTAGCTCGTGGCCATTTGCTACCGTACAAATGGGAGTCAGGAACCTTCGATCATGCTGTGGCTTGCTAATCGGTATGAGACATGGTTAAGCTGCGACAGGGGAGCTCCGCCTGCTGAGATAAGGCTTCGAGAATATGGTTCGCCAGCCAATAGTATTAATTCTCTAGACATCATTTCTCCACCACTCCGGACCCTACATGCCGGACGGATAGATTATTCGTCCGACACCGACCCTTTTGCTCAGTTGCCGTGGGCCCGAGAATCTGGCGGAGGCATCCCGCTCCGGGCTTAAGTATCTTGCGAGCATGCCAGAGCTCTCCAGAGCCTGTGGTACCGTCGGCAACCACCAGAGTGTAATGCATACCCATTAGATTCCAATTTGCAGTTGCCAGTGCCTTCACCATGAAGAACCATGATCCCAGGATGAGACCTTGTGCTGAGTGAGTTCTGAGACCCAGGGCTGACGAAGCATCCCGCCCGACGCTGTGGCGAGTTTGGTCCAACCTGGTCCACATCAAACGCAGACCGAGGCATATATGAGGCGACCTCGGAAGCTGTTTCGCATCTAGTTAGCTCCCATCTACATGCTATCCCTAGCGTGCTCTCCTGATCCATAAGCCCAACCTTAAATAATCGGACGATGGCAATGTACTTGGGATCCTTGACTCGACAGCGAGGACTCGATAGTGGGCACTGTCTAACGAAAACCACTTCTTCAACATGGGTCACGACATCAACGAACCACTCAAGCTGAAATGCGGGCTAGTCCTGCCCAATCGCTTAGTGAAAGTAAGGCGACGCATTAAATCCACCTCTGCCTAGAATCGAAGTGGTAATGTCTCCCTAGGCTGCAATGGCGGAAGGACTGGCCGACAAAGGGCATTTGCCAGGCGAGCGGATTTCTCGAGTCTACAGCGAATGGGCCAAGGGCGGTTGGGGAGCCCTTCTTACAGGTAGGGAGATGACATACCGAATGAGCCTTCCCTTTCTATCGATGCTGCATCTAACGACGTGACAAAGGCAACATACAGGTTGATGTCCAACACCTAGGAGGCTACGGTGATCTCGCTACACGTTCATATCAAGCGGATGAACCCCAGTTCCTGGATCCTTGGAAGCAGTATGCAAATGCCTGTCAAAGCCATGGTACGCCTGCCATTGCGCAGATATGCCACCCTGGTCGCCAGTCCCCAAGGGGTGCAGGTGAACGGGGCCTCTTTGCGCAAACAATTGCGCCCAGTGCGATCCCGCTGAACATGGGGACTGGGGTGGCCGCAAGTATTGTCAGGAATATTGTTTTTGGGTCGCCCCGGGCGATGTCCAAGTCCGACATTGATCATGTTGTCGCTCAATTTGTAAACTGTGCTCGTGTGTTGGCGCAGTGCGGCTTCAGTGGTATTGAGATACATGCTGCGCACGGTTATCTTCTTTGTGAGCTCTCCATCTCCCATGCGATGCGTTGCCCTTAACTAACCCGCGGACACAGCACAATTTCTTTCCCCAGCGGTAAGCAGTATCCCTATACTAAGCCGGTGAAGGACTACTTTACTCATATAAAGGCAAATTGAATTTTCCAGAGCAATGACCGCCAGGACGAATATGGTGGCAGCGCCAAACGGCGAGCCCTCATTGTCATTGAAATCATCCAACAGATCCGCAAGGCTGTCCCTGCGAGCTTCTGCATCGGGATAAAGCTGAATTCCGCGGATCATAACGCATCGGACTTTGAAGATACCATGACGCAGATCCAGCTTTTCTCCGAGGCCGGTATTGACTTTCTCGAAATATCCGGCGGAAGTTATGAGGATCCGACGGTGCGTAATGGGTCTTGATCCTAAGGCGCTGACAATCATTGACACAGACAGATGATGGGCCGAGGAGTGCGCGACGAATCCAGCCCGGCCAAGAGTCAATCAACAGCAGCCAGAGAAGCCTTCTTCCTAGACTTTGCAGCGCAAACAAGGAAACAGTTTCCAGACATCACCCTCCTACTCACCGGAGGATTTCGAAGCCGGGAGGGGATTGAGGCAGCCCTGAAAGCTGGCGTATGCGACCTTGTTGGCATCGGCCGGCCGGCGGTTCTTCGCCCAGACTTCCCACGACTAATGATGGACCCTGCATACACCAACCAAGAAGCCAGCGTTGTGTTTTCCAAGGTCCCGGTACCATTTCTGGCAAGGCTCCTACAGATTAAAAGTCTGGGTGGCGGCGCGGAGACGGTGAGCTACCACATTACCCATTATAGGTCGTCTTGCAGAGCGAAATACTAACATGATGCATTAGGAATACTTTCGTGGCCAGATTCACCGCGTAGCCCGTGGACTTTGTGCATACGCGCCATAGGTGTCGGTCTTTTGGAGTAGCACAATGCAGGAACGTACTGACGGTAGCCGTTGCAGATGGATAATTTTTTGCCAGTTTAATGGCTAAAGCTCCTGGATGAAACTGAGCTGTATATTGTGCTTCCAGTCGGAACAAGTATGTATCTTATAGCATATTCTCACCGACAATATGTAGTAAGAAACAGCTTCAGTCACAGCACCACTGCTGTTTCAATATAGCACAACGCCACAGGAGAACGCCGACAAAGAAAGCCAAAGGAGCATCTGGTAGGGTAGGCGAACACTAGTAAGCAGTTCGCGGGCCCGTTCCCTACTCAATGGTCGACAACATTGATGCCAACCTTGCCAAGGGCACATCAACCACTATAAAAGGTCTAACCCGCGTTCTTTACAGCCATTGGTCTTCAAATAACACCATTCTCAGCTTGAAAATTCGACAAAATTCCCAAGCTCATCCAAATCTGTGCCAATTGATGGAAGAAACCTGTACAGGTATGAAACACCAAAGGGCCACACCTAGAACTTTCGAATACTGGTCTAAGAAGGGGAAGGGTCGGACATCGCTACATGTGGTGCTATATACGTCGCTTCTCTCACATGGCTTGAAAGGGAGTCAATGGAGCTGAGATCCACCACTATCTCAGCAGCGACACGGATTGACTAGATCACACAGACTCTGGGTAGTCGGCGCTTGTCGGCTGTCCTCTTGGTGGAAGGTAATGTCCTTCCGAATTCCGACAGAACTGCTGCGGCCTGCTGGCGTTTCCATCTCATGCATGATCTGGTCAATTCCCTCTGACTCCCTACGGCTCCGCCATATGCGGGTCTCGAACTGGCCCCGAAGCGAGCCCGCCGCGCTGCAGCTTTGGGAGCCGTCCCAGATGAAGCATGGGTGGTTTTCTATTGCTTGCGGTGAGGGGAGGCGCTCGTGGCGGTTGCGGTGGCGGTGACTTATGTATCTGCTAAGCGCGGGCAAACAAGTACAAATGAGACCAATTCCTCCTTCAGCATTACTAGAGTGCATGGGCAATTAGCGGGTAATCAGGCGAAAGCAGCAAAGAAATCGGAGAGGAAGGAAATACGTCATGACATACCCAGACAGCAAAACCTTCATAAAGACTATCGTCTGGTCTGGGGAATTCCGATGGGAAATGACAAGAACCAGGCGATAGAGGCTAAAGCCAACGGCCAACCCCCCGAGTCCCAAGAGGGCCATCACCTTTACCTTGAGCCTGACGGCCATCTGCAATGGCCATGTGAGCACGATCGGGAGCACCAGGATGGCAATATCGGATATGACACTGATGACCGAATCTGCGACAATCACTGCAAACCGATTCAGACATTGATCGCTTGGCTTGCCCAGACTAGTCCAGTATGCTGACGCTGGCACACAGACAAACGCTTTGACGAAGAGGATTATGGTGTAATATATAACATTCAGCGCGAGAATGGCGTGAATTGCTATACAACCGAGCCGACATGGTCCATAGATTTTTCCCAAGACGAGAAGAAGCGTCACCTTCACCGCAAGCGCCAAGGGTGCGTATATAAGGGTTGATGCATAGGATACCTCAAAAGGCATGTCAGTATACTGACTTGGTAGAGAAGGTAATATGAAAACGAACCTTGAAACTGTTTTCAATCTCGTCATCTGTCATATTAACTTCATGCTCGGCGCCACCAGATCTTCCATCTATTGCTCGTTTAGTAACAACCACTAGATGAGTATTGGAAACTTGTCGCATACATATGAGAGCACATGTGCAGTATCCCATGAATAAAAGCTAACCGAGTTAGCAAAAAAGGGGCCCCGAATATCTTCAGACGGTTGGCTCTTACCCAGGCTACGAAACAAGTCACTATCTCGTATATAAGCATTGCCTCTATTTGCGGTATTCACTGAAGCCTTACCATCGTCAACACGAAGAGGCTTCCCCAGTCTCTGTTGAAGAAACAGACGTAGAATCACAAAGAACGTCACCAGCGTGTAGCATAAAATTTGAGTACTGAAGTTGATTCGACGAAGTTGATTTTCACTAAGCCCTCTGAGGCCTTCTTCGTCGGGCATGGGAGGCGAAAGTCTGAGAGTTGAAAAAAGATGGATCGTGATTGAGAATGTGTTTCTCCTTGCCGGATGGTTCTTAACGAGCTGCACTGCGTGGCCGCTGCGGATGACCGAGTCTGTTTACTGGTCCCATCCAGACTTTCGGAATTGCTGTGGCTTGTGGCTTTGTGGCAAATCTCCAGTCGTAGCCATCTATCTCGACCATCGAGGTGAGTGGTGATATCAGTGGCTTAATCCATTGGCCTGCGGAGACGCGGGGTTGACGATCCACTCAGACTACGACCAACGATAGCCGATGGAAGTGTCAACCGACAGTCAAGCTCCTGAAGAACCTTATTCCATACGGCGCTCCCTATGCCCACGGCCGACTGTCGTTGCCTCTATATCATCCACAGCCCTGTCATGTATCTCTCATGTGACTTTGTTCGGATGCGGACTATAGAGAATGATCCCGAGATACAAACTGAGCAACCACAGCCCACCCGCCCGTTCCAACTACCACATATCGTAATCCGGGATATCCTCCTGATAATAGACCTCCTCCACCTTCTTAAACCCAACCTCCGGGCCATCAACAGGCCACGGCTGGCCATTCCCACTCGCAAAGAGTCCGAACATTGCCCCATCAAAGACGAACCAATTTGGCGGCGCAGTTGCCATCCATGATGATGGGAATGATGCGAGCCATGTCACTCCGGGTTTTGCGAGGTTGTATCCGAGGTGATATTCGAGGGGCTGTGCGCGTATGTGGAAGGTGAGTTTGTTGATTTTTGTCGTGTTGAGCGGGTATTCGACGTGCTAGATCCGGTCAGTATATTGCCTTTGAAGAGGAAGTGAGCAGGGCGTACCTCGGATGTTCCGTTGTTGATCAGTGCAGTATATAGGCATAGTCCTTGCTGCTCCGCACAGCCAGTGAGACCAATATCCTGATGCTGCAGCTCACTCAGATACGCGCTGATTCCGATGGTCTGCCGTGGGCCCAGGCCACCCTTAATGGGAAGCGTCGTGGCTGAGAAGGTCATATTGAGGGATGTCTGCTTGCGGAGTACAGCCGCTGGCACATCCCGCTCGCTTAGCGAGAAGACGTTTGGATGGAGAATCAAGCCCTTGTTTTTTCCACGAGGACTCACAGTGTACGTCTTGTCGTATGGAGTGCGCAACGTGTACCAAGACGGATCTAGCTGTGGCTTGCTGAAGGTATCGAGGAAAGGTGAAGGGATCGGCTTCGGCTCAGAGCCGTCGTTGAGAAGGATCGGCTCCCCGTTGTTGAAGATGGGCCAGTCGTCTTCCCACGCCACCGAACAGAGGAATGTTTCTCTGCCAAGAGGGGATGTCCCATTGATGTTGCGACGAGCGAGGAAGACAGCATACCAGTCACCCTCGCCGGTTTCAAACATGGTGGCATGTCCTGTCGACTGCACAGTCAGGTTCTGGAACCCGTACGCGCCGTTGTAGATGAGCGGGTTGTTCGGGTTCGCCTGCCATGGGCCTTCGACTGTCGCAGACCGCGCAATGCTTGCTCGATGCAGCTCATCGGTGCCACCTACATGGTGAGTAAGATACTTGAGGTGTCATGGCGAGTCAGGGCGTACCTTCGGCAATCAGCAAGTAGTACCAACGCCCACGCTTGAACATCTTCGGTCCCTCCGGTCGAGCATCTGACGTGTGCGGTAATGTCCCATTCCAGATCGAGCGGTATTGTCCGATACACCGACCAGTGTCCAGGTTGACCCGGCACTGCGAAATACCCCATAGTCGATCGACGTTGTTGTTCGGCGCCATGATGTTCAAGTATACATCCTTGGTCGCTGGATCTTGGAACAGCTCCGGGTCGATTCCCCAGGGGTCGCCCCAGACGGGATCCGACCAGTGTTTCAGGTCCGTGGAGGATATCCAGTATGCCCTCGGCCAGACTTTGGCGACGGGGTCATAGGTCCATCGGGTGACCGCAGTGATATAGAATTTGCCATTGATGAAGGTCATGGACGGGGCCCAAGCACCTGCATAGGTCAGAAATAATACAGAAAGTGCTTTATGGAGGTCATACCTGCGCTGGTGGGAGTCCCGTATAGCTGTAGCTGCTCCGGGCGAGTGAGGGCGTGAGAATACAGTTCCCATTCTTCCAGGTCCGTCGATCGATAGATCGGAATCCCTGGCCAGTACTCCATTGACGACGTCGCAATATAGTACTCATTCCCCACGCGGAGGATTGCAGGGTCCGGATTCCAACCAGGGATGATTGGGTTGTGGATTGCATGGCCGAGGCCAGCGCACAAAGCCACGGGAATCAAAGCGGCCAAGAACTGGGGGATCTTCATCGGGCCTTTGTAAGGTTCACCCTCTACATTTTCCCGGTACGTATTTGGGTTAAATATAAACCACAGGAATGTCCCCCCGGTGTATCGCCCGGTGACATTTCCCCACCAAGCCAAGGATGGCCCCAGACTGGTCCCCTGGGGAATCGTCCGGGGATTCGCCGGACATGCTCCGCGAAACGAAAGCTCGAAGATCTGCCCCTGAAAACCCAACCTTGCATGAAAGGTTACCAGGGCCTGACCAGTCTTTCGAGCTAGTGCTGACCTTTGTTTTCCTTCCAGATGCATTTGCCAAACAGTTGCAATTAAGCTGGCTGTGAGGCATTGGATACAAAATTACGCCCGGATACCGCTGTGAATTAGAGACTTTTTAGATTGGACTCGTATCACATACATCAAACAAGAAAAACAGGGTATCATGTGCTAGTCTGACTCTCCACCTCCGTACGCGACCGACTGGATCGGTCCTCGGGCACCATGATATGCTCCTGGCTAACATGCGCCGGGCCCTTATTATTCATATTCCCCATCATCACGTACGACGTCCGCGACCGACCGCGCCGCGTTGTATTTCTCGTGCCAGATGACGCCGTCCAGGTGTTCATCCGGCGCTGGCCCTGCGAGGTACTGTTGCTGCTGGGGAACAGGCGCGGCGCGATGCGGTTGATTAGTGCGGTGAGTGCGGTCGCTGACGCGGTAATAATCGCGACATTGACCTCGACGCTCGATATCGTGTGCCCGATGTTGTAAGTGCGGTCGGTTTTGTTCGGTTTGAAGCGGTCGTTGTAGATGACGAGCCGAGCAATGCCGATTACAGTGACGCTGTGGGACAAGGTGCCTGTCAGCAGAGTCACCTCGATCAGTGGTCGCTTCGTGGACTTACATGACGCCCATACTGAGTACACCGGCAATGGCAATCTTCTTCCGGCGGTTCATGTGCAAGTGCCAGACGACCATAGTCGGAATGCACAGTAGCCAGATATCCGTCAGGATGGTCATGCCCGCCGAGATGAGGAAGAAGTTGACTTGGTGGATGCACCTCCCTCCCTTGACCACCTTTCCATCGGCCATCCCATTCTCGTCCGCTCCAGCAGCCTCTTGTGCGACCAAGTCCATCCGTGGGTAGTCGTAGACGTAGTGGAGCGGAGTGCATTGGAAGAGATCGGCTAGGAAGATGGCGATCATGAGCCCCAGATTCACGGCGAACAGGATGTGGAGATTCCAGCGGACGACCGGTCGGCGGTCTTCGAGTCGGTAGATGAAGACGATGATGGATGCCTTGACGATGGCCAGGATGGGGTTATAGAGTAGTTGGTTGGCGAGGTTGTATCGCTGGGCTAGGATTTGTTCGTCAATGGTTTGCTCGGGTATGTCCCAGCTGTGGTATCCTTGATAGGACAGTTTGGTGTCTATTTGACAGACTCTGTCAGTACTGGAGCGGAATTGTTGGTCGGGACCATACATATCCACACTGTGTATGCCTGTCCGACGGCCAGTAGCTATGGTATAAATTAGTGTCAACGCTCCTCGGGAAACATTGGGCATGGACAAACCCAGGCGATCACGATCAAAATGTCATCTAGAGAGATAAGCACAATGCGATTGTTAGGGACATGCAGGGTCACTTACCCCAGCCAAATTGTCGAATGAGAAACCGAGAGTAGCACCTCAATATGATTACAACTGTGCTGAGAATGGGAAACAAGAGGATGATTGCCAGAGCCTCTGTTTGAATGTTGTCGCCCATGATCTGCGATAAATGGGGCTGCGAGGGCTATCGTCCGACCGTAAAGGGGGAGGCTCGTTTGCAAAACTATTCACCATCGAACCGATGGCCCTGGCTGTGGTGTCAAGAAGGGCAACGTGGATCGAGCATGCGAGGGTAGGTCAAAGGCACATATATCGCATTGGGCAGAACCTTTGTGCGAGACAAACTCAGTCGGCGTCCCGGAACAACGCTCATGGGCCATGGCGAAACGTAAATTGCGACTCTGGACACTATCTCGAAGTTTAATCTCAAATTATTCTTCGGAGACTCCGGAAGAATGGCCTGCATCACTGGGCAGCCAATCGTGGTTGGGCGCTAGTCTCCAACGAACTATCCCAAAGCTCCAACTTTTGCATTCTCTGAGGGGTACAGCCTGTGCTTGATAGGTGGATGAATCCCAGATCCAAGACAAGGGCGATCACCTACTGCAAGAAGTATCGTGGACCCGCATAATGGGGTTTTGGGGGCGGAAAAATAGCTGTTTTGTCCCGATTAACCGCTCCCCTTGCAATATCGCAGACCTCCCAGAGACCACGTTGGGATATTGTGCGAGGCTTCCTCGTATCTTGTACCGCTTCGAGAAATTGCCCGAGGTCCTCCAGCTTTCCTGGAACAGCTTGGAGTTTCCTGTGGATACATAAGTGACGTAAAGAAGGTCGTCGGTGGGCACCAACACACTAATCTTACTGATGCCGTGGCTTACAATGCCAACAAATGCTTCGTAAACTCGGACAATATCAGGTTTGATATGAAGGGGTTGTGGTAGATTGGGGGGTGGGGAGATCCGAAAAATACGCGGGCAGACGCCTCCCGAGTCTTGACATGCTTAGGGCACAGCTGTGCCACCTGTGGGGATCAAGGTTAAATAGGTTCCTCACACGCGACAGGCATTGGCCTGTGACCGAGTCCACACCGTACTGGCTCTCCGAGAAATTACGGCCGGCAATCTCGCTTCCCATCTCTGTTGGACGCGTTACGGCGTTGCGCAGCAAAGCAACAAAGTGACTGACTCGCGACCTTCCCCTTTTCATCGCGTTGCCCAACTTAAAATCGACGATCACCTCTCCCCCCTCTCCCAAATACCACGTTGCGGCCTCCGGCATCCCTGCTCTCCTCGTGGTTCCCCATTGTGTGTCGTCATGGGTGTGTTAACGCCACGAACTGTGCTCCTCTTGCTCGCGACGAGCGTCGCAGCCACTGCCAGCTCTCCTGGTCGTCTGGCTAGTACAGTCCCCGACAGTGGGAAGGACTACTTTGATTTCGAGGCTGTTCAGCTACTCCCAGCTGATCTGAAGACGCTCAATGAGTCCGATGCCGCTTTGTTCGACTTTGACTCTGCCGAAAGTCAATCGGACAATTCTGCGCGAACGCTCCGTCGCTGCAAGGTCTTTCCAGGAGATGCTCTCTGGCCCTCGAGAAGTATCTGGAGCTTGTTGGACACGGTAACCGGAGGCGCTCTGGTAAAGGGTGTTCCGCGGGCCTCGACATGCTACAGCGGGCCGGCGTATGATGCCGCCGACTGCGAGTACCTGACATCGCAATGGACCAACTCGTATTTCCAGTATGAACCTTTGTTCCTCTTTTGTGTATGGCTCCTAACGTGCCGTAGCTTGTCTGATCCCATTGAAATGCTGTCGCCTGTGTATCAGGGCCTCACCTGTCAGCCCACCACCGACCCCAGCGACAGCTGCACCATGGGTGGTTACCCACACTATGTCATCAATGCGACCGATGTTGCGCAGATCCAGCTGGGCATCAACTTTGCTCGCAACACGGGGGTCCGCTTAGTCGTCAAGAACACCGGTCACGACTTTTCCGGCAAGTCTGGTGGCGCTGGCTCTCTGAGTATCTGGACACACAACCTCAAGGGCCTCAAGTATATCGAGAGCTACGATGCTCCTGGCACCGACTGGACCGGCGCTGCCTTTAAGATGGGGGCCGGTATTCAGGCCTACGAGATCTACAAGGCTGCCAACGATCATGGTCTGATGGTCGTTGGAGGAGAAGGGCAGGTACGTTTCGTTCCGATAGTTTGACTATATGCCAAGCTAATCTGATTATTGTAGACTGTTGGTGTGGCAGGCGGATATATTATCGGCGGAGGCCACTCCCCGCTCAGCTCCATCCACGGCATGGCCGCCGACCAGGTCCTCTCAATGGAGGTTGTCACTCCGGATGGAAGGTTCTTGACAGCCTCGTTTGTGGAGAACCAGGAACTCTTTTGGGCTCTACGCGGAGGAGGCGGAAGCACCTTTGGCGTCGTCACGTCTGTCACCGTCAAGGCGTACCCGACAATCCCTGCAACAACGTCGACCTTTTCCTTCACTACCGGCGGAGATATTACCTACGACAACTTCTGGAAGGGAGTCAGAGCATACCTGGATTACTTTATCGAGCACTCCGATACGGGAGTGTACTCGTACTTCTTCATCCTGCCTTCAAACGGCCAATTTACCTTCTTAATGCAGCCTTTCGTCGCGCCCAACAAGACTCTCGAGGAAACCAATGCCCTTCTCTCACCCTGGTTTACTCAGCTGAATGAGCTGGGTATCAACTTTACGCCTAAGACCACTTACTATGATAATTTCTACGAGGCATGGCTCGGTTCATTCCCGCTCGAGGTCGTCGAGAAAACGCACGTTGCAACCGGCTCTCGCCTCTTCCCTCGCGCAAATTGGGAGGACGAATTGCTTCTTAACCAGACCTTTGACGCCATCAAGGCGTCATCCGATGCTGGTCTCGTCCTCATTGCCTTCAATATGGCCCCAACCCTTGAGCGCGGCGGAAACCCCGACAACGCCGTCAACCCTGCGTGGAGAAAGGCCGTCATGCACGCGCTTTCCAGCGTCAACTGGGCTGAGAACGCGACCGTGGCGGAGATCAAGGCCGCTCGTGAAGAGTTCACCTACACGCACATGCAGCGCTGGAGGGACGTCAGCCCTGGGGCGGGTTCTTACCTCGGGGAGTCGGATCGCATGGAGCCTGACTTCCAGCAATCGTTCTATGGATCGGCTTATCCCCGACTCCTGGCTTTGAAGCGGAAGCTGGATCCCCGCAATGTTTTCTATGCTGCGACGGCTGTCGGCAGCGAGGACTGGGAGGTTGTGACTGAGAATGGCCTGCCCACGGAGAATGGGAGATTATGTCGCGTGTTGTAGACCATGTGTACATCCTTATTGTAATACTACGATAGATAATAACAAGCCAGTCTTCAATATGATATCTATTGAATCACCTAAACCTGTTTTAAATGCTTTCTTCCACCCCAACACCGTTGCGTTGCGACTATATATTTCTCGGACATTATGACCGCAGGGGTCACTCGTGTCCACTTCTACGGTCGAGAAATACTACTAAATACCCATTGATCGCTGGATACACCAGGATACCATGTATGACAGCTTATATCATCTGTGACCGACCTTGTAACTGTCCACGGTCCTCTGGTGCTATGTCGTTTGTGGGCAGTGCGGGATCGGATGTGGGATGCCGCCTCAGGCATCAGGAAAGCACTGGGCGCCAAAGGACGATTACGTGATCAGGAGACGGCGGGTCACGGGATCTAAGGCTTCCCACTTTTTGCCTCGACGCGAATAGCCTCACAACACCTGGAAACGGAAACACAACAGACGCGTCATAAATTCGTCTACCTCGTAACAATCATAACTAAAAAAATGGTATCACTGTCTACTTCCGAGTCCTAATCCTCTACCGATTGCCACCATGCGCATCGCCCCTTCCGCACTTTCCGTGAGCAGTCGCTCCGTGTCGCGGATCGCCTCTTCGAGCGTCAATGGCCGCTGCAGAATGGACACGAACGCGTCAATACCGACCTCATAATTGACATTTGCATTCTTTCCGACAGTTCCAGCAAGGACAATGACCGGGATCCCACGCGCTTTGGCACGCAGAGCCACCTCCGCTGGGATCTTCCCGTGGGGTGTCTGCTCGTCTACTCCTCCCTCCGCCGTGATGACCAGGTCGCATCCGTCAAAGATGTCCTCGAGGTGAAAGTATTCCATCAGTGCGTCGTATCTCGGACGCAGCTTTGCTCCGACGAGCAGCAGGCCTGCCCCTAGTCCTCCGGACGCACCACTCCCCGGCGCGTCGTCAATCTTGATTCCGAGTGTGCGGTGGATCACCACCGCGTATGTTTCGAGAGCCGCTGCGAGGAGTTCAGTCTGTTCTCCCGTGGCGCCCTTCTGCGGTCCGTACACGCGTGCCACACCGGTTGGACCGCAGAGGACGTTTTTCCAGTTACAGACGGCCTCGATCGCAACAGATTTGAGTCTGGGATGCATCTTCGAAAAATCAATCCCAGCAAGCGAAACGAGGGTCTGGCCTCCTCCACCGAGAGGCAGGTCCTCGCCGTCACGCCCGACGAGTCGAGCGCCCAAGGCTTGCAGCATGCCAACACCGCCATCGCTGGTTCCAGAGTCGCCGCATCCGATGATGATCTTCTCCATTCCCTCGTCAAGGGCGGCAGCGATGAGCTGCCCGACTCCAAAAGTGGTAGTCAAGCAAGGATTGCGAGATGCCGGAGGGACCAAGCTGAGGCCTGCCGCGGCAGCCATCTCCACGACGGCTGTTTTGACGTGGGTGCCCCCAAGGATCCCATAGAACGAGTGAATGGGTCTCCCTATAGGGCCTACCACCTCCATATGGCGAATCCTCCCCGCCGTGGCAGCGACCAGAGCGTGGGCGAACCCCTCACCTCCGTCCGCCAGCGGTACCTTGCGGATGGTGGCCGTGGGTATGGCACGGAGAATGCCGGCCTCGATGCAGTCGGCTGCGGTGTCAGGGCTGACGCTACCCTTGAAGCCGGAGGGGCACACGAGAACCTTCATGATGATGAGAGGAGGTCTGAAGAACGAATGGAATGTGTTTGAGAGTGCTAACGAGCGAAAGTACTAAACGAATGCTTTGCTTTGGAATTGAGATATGATGGGAGAATGATCAACCCCAGCCTTGACCAGAAGGCCATTCTTATAGACATGCCAGGACCCATGATGCCAGCCTTTCGACTCCTTCCAATTCTGCTTCGCTTAGTCTCCCAGTCACTCGGTTTGCCCTCTTTCGCCTTGTCTCGCGAGGGCTGTAGCATGCTTCGCCCCAATCGTGTGCCAGATCAACTGCTACAAACGCCGGGAGACTCTGCGATGACCAGTACAGTGAAAGAGCCGTGTGTGGTTTCTAAAAATTGATATGTGGCTGCCTATAGTCTCGAGTGCTTGGCCTGCATGGGACGAGAGCCAGGGTCCTGCCCGGGCTCTGTGACGTCGGGCGACAGCTTGCAGCTCATCTCCCCACTCTTATCACCCTGTTGACCAGTGACACCATCGAAGGACATATTTAGGGTTGACTTCTTTCTCCACGAGCTCAGTTTCCGCTTGTGGCTTAGCCAGCAGCCGAGATATCAGTGTCTTTGACGAAGCGTTTCGATACATTGCTGCCTTGTAACTTGGCAAGCCACTTGTCACGGTCCCTGATTCTCGTGGCTCGATTGTAGACCTGCGCCGCAGCCAAGTAGCTGGACGTACCAAAATATCGACTGCGGCCGAGATGGGTCGGTTGTGGTGCGGATGTTGATGCGAGGTGCGCTGTCGCGAGGCTCGACGGAGGAGATTATAAGTCGAGACATGCCGTCGTGATGCTTTAGTTCCTCATCAAAAATTCATTCAATCATTCCAAGTATACGTTCGCTACGTTTGATTCGCAAATACATTCGCTTCACTTCAGATTCATCGCAATGACATACTCATTCTTGACCCCAAGTCGCGAAGACGTCCAGTCGCTACCGGACAGCGAGCAGCAGTCCATCGTCAATAGCGAGGGCAGCTTCCTCATCCCATTTACGACCGACAATGAGCCAAAACTTGTACGTATCTTCCTTTCCTTGCTACCTCATATAATCCGAATTGACAAAAGAGCGTTAGATCACCTGGACTGGCCCCAAAGACCCCGCAAACCCTCTGAACTGGAGCCACGCCCGGAAATGGTCCGCGACTCTTCTCGTCTCCTGCTTCACCTTCATTTCCCCCGTCTCGTCTACAATGGTTGCGCCCGCACTGCCTGAAATTGCCGACGAATTCAACATCAAGTCGCAGATCGAGCAGTACCTGGTCATGTCCATCTTCCTCCTGGCCTACGCGCTCGGTCCGTTTATTCTTGCTCCGTTGTCTGAGATGTACGGGAGGGTTGTTGTTTTGCAGTCGGCCAATATGGTGTACTTATTGTTTAACACCGTGTGCGGATTTGCGACTACGAAGGAACAGATGCTCGCGTTTCGATTTCTGAGTGGGCTGGGAGGGGCTGCGCCACAAGCGGTAGGTGAAGGTGAAGAGGAAGTGTGTGCGGAGGCTGATCGCGATTTAGATCGGTGGCGGCGTTCTCAGCGACTGCTGGAGAAAGCATGAACGAGGGAGAGCTAGCGCAGTGTACGGCGTCATGCCCTTTCTCGGTCCGGCCATTGGGCCCATTGGTAAGATCGTCTGCCTTCACCTTCACACAACCTCGAGTCTGACAACATCCAGCCGGCGGTTATCTTACCCAGTACATGTCTTGGAGATGGATCTTCTGGATCGTGTCTATGGCCGATGCCCTGGTTCAGGTCCTTGCCTTCCTATTTCTGCGCGAGACCTACGCCCCCAAGATCCTCGCGACAAAGAAGAAAATGCTGCAGCGCGAGACCGGAAATCCCTTGCTTTACACGGAGTACGATCAACCGGATCGCACACTTCCCCAGCTTCTCCGCAAGAATCTAGTCCGGCCGTTCCGAATGCTCTTCACCCAGCCAACCATCCAAGCCATCGCTTTGTACCGCGGTTACCAGTACGGGCTGATGTATCTTGTGTAAGCATCTCTTCCAAAACCCACCGCTTGTTGAACGCTCAGCTAACTTGTACAGTTTGGCTTCCTTCCCAAACGTCTGGGAGGGAGTCTATGAGATGAACAAAGGCGTAGCCAGTTTGAACTACCTCTCACTGGGCGTCGGGTTCATCATCGGGCTGCAGTTCTGCGGGCGGCTCATTGACATCGTAAGGCTTCTACTCGGTCCTGGCTCCATCCTGTCTAGTAACTGACCAATTTAGGTATATGTGCGCCTCTCCAAGTACTACGGCGACGACGGGCGGCCAGAGTATCGAATTCCCCTCATGATCCCGGGCGGCCTGATTGTGCCCATCGGCCTGTTTATCTATGGCTGGACGGCAGAGTACAAAGTGCACTGGATCGCACCCAACATTGGCGCCGCCCTCTTCGCGATCGGGCTGATCATTTGCTTCCAATGCTGCCAGGCGTATGTGATTGATTCCTACACACGATATGCTGCGTCTGCGACGGGGGTGACGGCGTTTGTGCGCACGATGGCGGGATTCAGCTTCCCGCTGTTTGCCGACAGTCTGTATCGCTCTCTGGGACTCGGCTGGGGGAATAGTCTTTTAGGATTCATTAGTTTGGGCATGGGGACCGTGGCTCCAGTGATGCTGTGGTTCTGGGGAGAGTGGATGCGGGCCAAGAGTCCGTACTGTGCCGGTGATGAGACCAGCCAGGTTTGAGGCCTTTTGGAATTGGGCAGAGGACTGGACCTTTGACCCTTGGATGAGTGATCGTCCCCAGATTGGGTGGAGGAAAGCGAGGTAACAATAACGGCCGATTGGTAGATTTCAGAGTTTTGTATCATAGACTTTTTAGCGATTATGTGATTGTTCTTTCTCCCGCAGACAATTCTAAATCTAGATTCTTAGCCAGGGCAGTGCAAACCTTGTGCACGGCTGGGCTTTACTTGGACGTCGAGCAAACCGAGCTTTGCCTAGAAAGCCGAGAGGCGCCGAGCTCCAGTTATCGGCACGCGAGCCCGTGGCCATGACTTGTGATATCTTGGGTCTCCTATCGCCGTCGCTGTCGCCAGGGTCCACTGAGTCATTCGTTTCCTTGTTCTGCGGGCTCCAGAGACGGATCACACCAGCCTCGCACCCGCCGAGGCAGGCAGCAAGATGAAGGTCGCCTTCGATGGGATGATCAAGCGGGAAGCGAAATGGACTTGGTCGAAACCAAGAGATGAATACGGGCACAGCCTTCGATCTTCGGCTTGGAGCGTCGAGGACCCTTGCTGGACCCTGTCTGAAGCACGGCTTAGACGTCCGTCTCCGGGGAGCAATGGCACTCAGCCCGGTGCAGGACTGTCCTGGTTTTCGCTGTCCGGTCATTTCCCCACATTCTACGATTGACTTCCAATGCCAACGCAAACCGACTACCTCAATTTGTCCTTCCAGTGTTGTGCTTGCCCAGAACGCTCAACGGCGCTGCCTCGTCGCTGATGATGCCCACCCGGCCGACATATTCCACATACTCGATGAGATCCTCATACTCGACGACTTGAAAGCCAGACGGTCCCTACGGTTCATGAGCTTCATAAAGGCCCCAAAGATGACACGTGTCAATGTCAATCTCAAGCGACCACATGTCCTTTCCTCTATCTCCGCTGCTCCTCCTCCTCCACCACAATGAGAACTCTCCGCCGGGACGGTCATCGAGAATAAACACCACAGCATCCCGGGTAATACCGATCCGCGCTCCTGGACTCTCGTAGAGATAGCGATACACGGGACCGAGTCTTCCCTCAAGGGTCTTCAGGTTGCATCCACATCCACATCCGTCCAACCGGATATGCATTGTTCCCAGTCGCGGAGGGGGACCGGAGACGAACATCCGCCGCCAGGACGCCTCAGGGCGCAAGAATACCCTCCTTCTCTCTTCTGATTGATACCACGCCTGTTTCCGTATCATCTAGTCGCCGGTGATCTCGTTTTTTCTGTCATCTCTTTCCGGGATATAGTCGTCGTTCATCGTGTTCAGTATGGCGAACGCAGGAAAGAACTGATTGATGAGAGGATTGATTTGGATCTGCGTGTTTTCTTGGGGCTGGAGACATATGCGCGTGGGCTGAAAAAAAAAATTTCCTCTGCAGAAGGGGCGAGTTTGTGAGGAGGCTGGCCCATTGCCGGTTGACTCGTTTCGTGGGCAGCAGATCGCCCTGGGTGAGGTCGCCCAGAATGAGCTCGAAGAGTTCCCGGAGCGGGAAGACTCTGCTTGCGCTCGAGGCCAACATTTTCGAGTCCTAAACATGAAATGTTCCCGTTGTGTGGGCAGCGAATTTTTATGTTTTGTCACGAATCAGGAGTGTGAGATCTCAGCCCACCCGGACTAACGAACCCGATCCATACCATCTGGACTCGTGAAGAACCCAGCGTCACCGTCAGTGCCATGGTCCGGTCAGGCACATCGTCAACGATGCTCAACCATTATGAAAGAAGGTCCTTCAAGCTTACCGGAATGTTGGGTGGAACCTAGCGGATTCAGCCCGCAGCGTCCGCAATGCGTCAGACAAGCCCGTGACTTGTGAACATCCGAGGATCCGCTATTGGGCGAGCGATGCGGGGTATAAAGACCCCTCCAACTCGTCTCTCATGCCTGCCTCATACAAGCAAATCTCCAGATCAACAACAAGAAGCATGGCTCCGAGAAACGTTGTGGTCATCATCGGAACTGGAGGCATGGGCCTCGCCGTCGCCCGTCGACTCGGCAGCGGCGCACATCTCGTCCTCGCCGACTTTTCGCAGGCACAGCTCGACAAGGCCGCCGAGACCCTTCGTGGAGAGGGTCATGCCGTCCATGCTATACAGACAGATGTCTCAAGTCTCGAATCGGTCCAGAACCTCGCGACAGAAGCGTCGCAGCTCGGGACGATCTGCGCGATCGCTCACACTGCCGGACTATCGCCTGTCCAGGCTCCTCCGGATAAGATCTACCAGGTCGACTTGCTGGGCACTGTCCATGTGATTGAGACATTCCTGACCGTCGCGTCGGCGGACACATCACTGGTGGTAATCGCAAGTCTCGCCGGGCACCAAGCGCAGGGCACACTCTCTACAGAGCTCGAGAAACATCTCGCAACAGCTCCTGCCGACAAGCTCCTCAGTCACCCAGAGCTGACTTCACCGCCGGATCTGCAAGAAAAGGCCCCAGGCCTCCGCGCATACGGTATCTCCAAGCGCGCCAACATAATCCGCGTCCAGGCCTCAGCGGCAGCGTGGGGAAAGAAGGGAGCGCGAATCAACTCGGTCAGTCCGGGAATCATATCGACAGCCATGGGACATCAAGAGTTCAACGGGCCACTGAAGGAGCAGTTGCGGGAGCTTGTGGACAAGAGTCCGGCGGCACGTGTAGGTACACCGAGCGATGTTGCAAACGTTGTTGCTTTTTTGTGCAGTCCCGAGGCGAATTTCATTGTCGGCGAGGATGTCTTGTTGGATGGAGGCTGGGCGAGTTCGAGGAAGTGGATTGAGTGAGGATAGTTTGTTTATGTCAGGGCTTGCATACATGTTCTCAGTCACTCTGACGATTCACGTGGCCGTCGAATGATCATTCATGTGCATTTTTAGTCGAGTCTCACTCAGTTGTAGGTGAGCATCGGTCGCTCTGAGCGGCCGCGATCCGCTTCTCGTCAGCATCACTCATATTGCTGACGAAACACTTCTTTCCAGAGGTAACGCCGACGTTTACCTCTGAGAAGCCCGCCCATCCCTGGACAGACGATGAAAATAGGTTTGAGAGAGAAGTCGAGTCGAAACGGGGCAGCAGCGGACCCCCGTAATCTGGGAAGGAGCCATGCCACGCCGCGATCTGCCCTCAAGCCACCCTTGTTGAGCCGATTTCCACTTTTCTCCGCTACAAGCATTTGCCATCTTGTTCTAGTCCGTAGTCTCGGTCTCGAGATGCTGTGTGGTGTGTATTTCGAGAATGCTGGTGCCTAGGCCCACTCCAACGCATGGTTCTGTCAATCATTGCAGCACTATTAGTCGACAAGTGGGGATAACCCGGAAATCGGCTCAGCCCTACGGAGAGGCCAGCATCCTCATCACAAAGAGGTCATCTTCTCGTCCTGTCCGCTGGTGTTGCCGTTTCCTCAAGGAAGATGGAGGGTCCAACCGATTCGGCTGCCAGCGACTCTCGAACGGTGGCTCTCTCAAAGAACAAACGAGGTCGCTATCGCTGTGTTTCGCATGCCTCCCTCAAGAACAACCTGTTGGCCGGTGTCGGCTATCTCGAACTCGCCAATGCCGGCGATTTCGCTGCGAACGTTTGGAATGAAATCCCCGTCCCTCGCCACGCCATGATCCTAATGGCAATTGGCGGTCCGATCGCCCTCTCAGTTTCGCTCGTCGCTGCTCGAGATTATTACCTCAGCTGGCAGAACGTAAAGCTCCTTCGGTCTGAGCGAAAAGCGCTGCAATCCGTTGGTTCTTGCACGGACACGACGACAATAGCGTCTCTGGGGGTCAACTCCCGCGAGCTCGGAACAGAACTCATCGATCGCATGTTTATGGATTTGCTTCTCGGCATCGGTGCCCTCCTTGTCGGAGCAGGAACAATCATGGCCATCTGGGGCGCCGACCACCGCGTCTTCGAGGCGAGCAACCTCATGTCCGGCTTCATCGGGAATGGCTTCGCGGCTTGCTTTGGAGTAGTCAATGCAGTTTGGTCCGGATACCTGGTGTATCGCTTCCAGATACGTTATTCTGCTTGTCTAGCTAGTCCATCGATTGCACCGATCCGGACTATGGTGCTACAGCGGTATAGACGTTTGCAATGGCACTCCGGTATCAACGGAGTCAACGGCCTGGTCGCGGGTATGGCATCCATGGTCACGGCGCGGATGTGGTGGGGGTACGTTGTCCTCATTCCCTGTGTCATTGTGATGATCGCGGGCAATCTATTCTGGAGGAGGAAGCTGGGGTATGACCGCCCGATACAGCTGGATGTCCCTGGCACCGTGACAGACGAAAAAATGAACGAAGACGACGCTTGCTGTGAGATCCTCGCCACAATGGCGTCGAATAGGGCAGCACAACATACCCTGCTAAGAATCGTCGAAACAGGGTCTTTGGAGACTATGATCGCCTTCATTCTCCTAAATCGGATATTTGAATCATTTTGCGAGTGGATGTCTCGCGAGTGGCCCGACCACCGCGAATTCGCAACCTCAGCGGACAACCTACACATCTCTCACTACGATATGCTGGGCGGGACTACAGAGGAGCATTCTCGAATGGTGACCGAATGTCGACGGTTCCTAGCCAAGGCCGGGGTCACCCTTCTCGACCATCGCCACCGATATTTGCTTGAGCTGGCCGGAGAAGTAGTCTGGAGAGGGAGAGAGCAAAGTGGAATACCCTAAGTGATGCGCTTAATTAAGTTAGATGCTTTGTATCTAAAAATAATGTACGTCACCGGCGCTGGACGCTGCGATTCGACACAAGAAGTATTTGTCCCCGTTCTTCATCCGGCTAAAACGCAACCCTCGCCACGTTTATGCTCCTACTGCATCAAATTAGATTTACTCAAACTGTTCCGCATGGTTAGCAGCCCTCTTAAGCCTTCAAACGACCATTGACCCACCTGTCCACGCCGATAGGGCGCATCGAAATAGAGAGATGATCCCGCCAGTCAGGATAAACAAGCCCAGCGGGCGGAGCAAGAACAGCCAGATGATTCTCCAGATTGTGGTACTGACCCGCCTGATGATTGTGAGTAATTAATATCGAGTCTCGACCAATGATCGGGGTTGTCTGACTTACACGATCATGCGGCGCATTGTGGCTTGCTCTTTGGTATCTGAGTAACTAGCACTCGGGACGCCGAGATGCGAGTGCGATTTATGACCTTGATCGTCCGAAAAAGACAAGTAGATCAGGACAGAGTGGAAGAATATTACCGCATGTGTGGCAACCAGTTGTTGTTATGCTGCTGCCTAGGATAACGCGATGCCGACAAATCCTGTGGGTCTCCCCAGTCCAGCGCATGGTTTTTGATGACGGAGGGGCTCAGAGGATAGAGCTAATGTCTCCACTTGTTCAGCCCTACGAGTTGGCCTGCGAGCCGATGAGGGGGGAGTCCCAGCCCCAGGGCACGGATTCTTTCGCTGTTGCCTTCTTCATTCTCTTCCCTTCTTCCCATCAATATTTGGGTTGGAAATAGCAACTCGCTTCACACTTACATGGCGGGAATGACGGACAATTTTCATAACCCGATGGTATTGACACCCTCAAAGCGCCACATGTTGCAGTCGATACCTACCCTGGAGCAAAGATGCGACCCGATACAATTCCCCGTTTCACACTTCTATCTTTGCATTCGAGAGAGTTGCAAAAGGCATCGTCCTGGGAAGAGATGGGGTCGATCGAATTCAATGGGGAGGAGCAAGCTAGGGGAGAGACGTGGTGGTTAGACGTTTGCGATGCTGCAGAGCAAGATGTCAATGCTGTTGCTCGGTCGCTATCGATACACCCTCTAACGGTTGAAGATGTTGTCATTCAGGAGCCGCGGCAGAAGATCGAGACGTTTCCCAGTTACTACTTGATATCGGTGCGAACTCTGTCGACGATTGCAGACAAGTACACAAAGGAGACAGCCGAATATACTGCTCAATCACCAACCCCAACTCACCCGTCGATGCTCTATATCCTTGTGTTCAGGTACGGTACGGTGACATTCTCCACAAGCGGCTGCGAGCATGTGTCTAGAGTTAGGAGCCGCATATCAAGACTGTACGACCCATCTGTTCTGTCCAGTGATTGGATCTGCTACGCACTCCTGTACGTCTCCTGCCCTCAATGTCGCACCAGACAGTCTAACATATAGTCTTGTCCAGGGACGACGTGATAGACAGCTTCCAGCCTCATATGCAATCCGCATCGCGCGAGTCCGAATCCATCCAGGATGAAATCTTCATCGCGCGAGACGACGATATGACGCCCCTAATGCTGCGCATCTACACCATCCGGAAGAGAATCAATCACCTCACGCACTCCCTGTCCGGCAAGTCTGATGTCCTCAACGGGTTCGTCAAGCGCTGCCAGACAAAGGCGTGGCACCCTGCGCTCCCTGAAGGGGATCTCATCGTCTACCTCAGTGACGTGCAAGACCACCTTATAACGATTCTTGGTGAGCTCGCACACCTGGACGAGATTACCAGTCGTCTGCAATCCAATTTCCTGGCCCAGACGAGCGTCAATAACATGCGTCTAAGTGTGAGACTCAACTCGGGGCTGAGCAAAGTGACTATTCTAGCGACGATCTTTGTGCCGCTGCACATGGTGACTGGACTATTCGGGATGAATGTTACGGTGCCCGGACAGGAGGTCGAGTCACTGGCCTGGTTCTTTGGAATAGTCGGTGTGTTTGTTGCGATAATATTAGCTGCCTGTTTAGTTTTTGTGCGCTTGAAACTCTTGTAGAAAGCATTTAATGACATTGCTTAGGCACCATTGACAGATTCTTTCATACCTGCAGCGAGTCTCTGACTCTCGCCCCGGATTATTTCGCTCTCAAGCTCGCCCGTCGGGGTAATCGACTGCTTCCCCGCTTTGTCGCAATGATCAGCAACAGGGATGCTGTCCAAGTTGTGGGGATCCTCATATCTCGCGGAGCCATGGGTCCAATGGATTGTGCGATGTGTATTGGCCGATCCTTGTTCAAATTAAGGATATTACAATGTTGAAAGCTGGAGCAGATGTGATGCGAGAAGTGATAAATTATTGTTTTAACCCAAAGCCGTCTGGCGCTAGAGCTTAAACAGAATAGCCGACTCTCTATTTTGGAACAGCAAAACGATGAAACAAGGCAGCGCTTCGCCGTCGAATCCGAGTTTCGGAAGATGTTGGGGTCCAACAGTGGCTCCAACAGGGCATCGTTATTTGCTGTTCAAAGACCGAACCCTGCAAGAGGATGAGTCTACATCTTACCCAAAGCGCCAAAGTGATCAAAGTGATAAAAACAGCCCCAACTGCCAAACGGGCCTCATGTCTTTCCGTATTGCCTTTCTCTGTTCTTTACATTTTCCTCCACCGGTTGGCCCATTCAATGGACAGCTGGATGCTATCGACTTGCAAGATGAGTCCGCACCGAGAATGGATACCGCCATCGCTGAGGCCGCTGGCGCTCGGTCCTGTGGCCGTCTTTGCCTTTGGGATGATCGCGGCCCTGGAAGTCTTGCACTACATCTCCGTCACACGCGTTCTGTCCGCGCAAAATCAAACCACCTTGAATCTTGTCCGATACCTGCCAACATTGGGCGTCCTCCTCATGGGCTATACGTTCAAAGGGATCGCCTCCGCCTTGAAAAAGATCACCCCCTGGGCGAATATGAGCGGTAATTGGGCTACAGGCAGCAATTCAGTCCTGCTTGACTACGTGAATGATCTCGAGATCGTGGCCGTCTTTACCGCGCTAAAGAAGAAGCACTGGGCAGTTGCAGTGGGGCTCATTGGTGCTTTTCTCTGCGGTGCATTGGTCCCTGTGGCAAACTCTCTGACCTACGTCGACCTGTTCTCTCCCAGGAATGAAACGGCAGCATTCACGCAGGTATCCGCTTTCAGCTTTGACCCCGATCCCCTAGCCATGGCCAATGGGTCATTGAAGATACCCTGGGACTCCACCGGAGCAAAGCCATATGCCCGTGCCATCTCACAGCAGCTTGGATATGGTCCAAGGGCAGTCTGGGCCACCGCCAACTATGCCTTCGACCAGTTTACATTTCCAAAGGTGCACAACGCCACTGTGGTGGCCGAGGTGGACGCGATATCCGCGACCATGGATTGCAAACGGCTCGGCTTCACCGTTAGACAGGATTTGGAGATGCAGTTTATCGCCAACAAGGATGACCTTGAGGCCGTGGGATGCACGCGTCCGTATACAGCACGCATGAGAATACCCGATGCCTCAAAATCGATCCAGTATCCCTTGGCGTGGCTGAATATCACGCAGTGTTCCGAAACGGACGACCGAGATGCTGTGCGAATCGTGGCCAATTACTTCACGCGGATTAAACAGGGGGACAATTTTACCGATTCGTCCATTGCCGGCTTTATCTGCGCGCCTCAATTCACCACTCAGCGAGTACGTTTATCGGTCAATGCCACAACCTCGGATATCATTGCATTTTCAGCCGTATCCGAGCCAAAGCCTCTGGCCTTGAAGACGAGCACAGAAGCCCTCTGGATCTACTTGCAGAATCCGTTAGACTCGGACACCCAGAACCTTTTTGGAAAATCGCAAGTAGCTGGAGGGCCGTACAACCCGACCACGCGACCTCTCGCCAATGTTGGCAACATAACAGCAGCAGCGAATGAACTTGCATATAATAGCGATGCAACGGCCGATCCTTTTATGCAGGTTGTGCTGGCTGGCCAGCCTGAGGGTGTTTCACTCGACCCCGATATTTTTGAAGCCAATATGGTCAGTTACGCCGGGAACGTATGGGCGTCGGTAATCAGCTTCCTCGCGCGAATCGAGGTTTCGAACGACCTGCCAGGCACGATAACAATCACAGAACAGAGAATCAGATTGCGGACACCTGTTCTGAGGACATTCGAAGCCTTATCAGCGCTTTTGGGCGTCCTAGCCTTTGTTTTTGCTCTTGGACTACGGCCAAAGACTCTGCTTAGAGGAGATCCAGGCCCCTTGGCTGCTGCAGGTATTATACTATCCGCCACTGACACAAACACCGAGAGAGAGATGGCGAACCAAGCACTATCCTCAGGGCAGACGATGATTGCTAGTTTTCACAATGCGCGGTTTACACTTCGGCAGCGCAAGGCCGACGAGGGATATGGAGTCGCAATGGACCGCGAACACGTGGAACTGGTGGACATGACGCACCAGAATCCGGACGACAAAGCATATCAGACCGTACTCAGGAACGGGAAGCCGCTTCCGCCAGCGCCGGCAGAGGATATCTCGCAAGGCTGGAGCCCAATCCCATTACGTGTCGTATCCAAAGTGGCTCTTCAAGTGGCAGTTGTTGTGATGACGGTTGCGCTGGGAGTCATGCTGTGGGCATCAAACAAATCCGATGGACTTTGTAAAAATACTCAAATATCCCTGACGGCTTTGACACTTGGTATTTCGACTGTTCTTGTGCTGCTAGGCTACTGTTTTGCAGGCGTGGACTCATCGGCGCAGTCACTGGCCGTGTTTAACATCCTGCAGAAAACACCCAACAGACACACCATCTTCACAGACGATCTAACCTTACTCGGCCGACTCTCTGGGCTGGGGTCCGGACGGATTAATCTCGCCTTGCTCGCTTCGGCGGCCTATATCCTCATCATTCCAGTTATGAAGCTCGTCGCCGCCGGTCTTTTCTCGTCAATTGATACACAGGTGGTAGATCGTGTGGCCATTGAGGTAGACACCAGCCTGACCTCCAACCTGGTAAAGACGTTTAATTATTCGCATCCTGAGCCGCTTGTCAAGAGGGCCTGCGACTTTGCGGAGTGGGAACGTCTTGGGAGCATCGACCTCCGTTCCAGGGCAGGAATCGTTGACAACCTCGTGTTGACAGACGTGATGGGTATTGAGGGCGAGAGGAATACCACATCAGACGGAATTATCGAGGCCCGTGTGAGCGCCATTGCCGTTGACGTCGCGTGCGACCCTCTGCCCAGTACACATTTCAACCTGTCGCTGGCGATTCAACCGGATGGCCGAAATATTACCTTTAGTTGGTACTGTGCAACAGAGCACTGCCGCCAAGTATTCGACACCGAGCTTTTGCATGTGCTTTCGACGGCTCAATATTCTCAAATACCATCCTATGTGGGACGGGTCATTTCCAATAGCGTTTATCAGAAAGCCTTCACCTTCGGTGAGAATATTCTGCGCCACGACAATGGATCCAGGTCCCCCGTACAGCTGCGTGACCCTGGATATTGGATGTGGCTGGTTGATTATACATCGCTTGGAGGGTCGAGGAATGCCTTCACGAACACGACCTCCATTGGAGAGAACGGCACCGAAGCATGGGCCACCCCCGGCTCACTCAATGTCCCATTGCCAACTATGATAGGCGCCAGTTGTAGGCGGAACCTCAGCGTCGTTACTGTCAACGGTACCTTCACCAGGTCGACACAGGCTACCGCCGACCAGGAAATAACCCTGCTTCCCTGGCGGCCCGTGTCCGTTGACCTCGTGTCTGTTGCGTATGAACAGGCATATCCGGAGATCCAGCCGTATTTCTTCCAACCGCCCATTGTCCAGACTAGTCAATACCGAACCAGCAATGAGGAGGACGGCATGTTGTGGAGTAACACACTCTGGCCGACGCGCGGAAGTAGCCAGAACTTCTTCGAGCTCCTTGCAGTGGACGCTCAATACAGAGTTCAGAATCTGTCTAGCCTGCTTAGTCCCACGGGCCTCGCAGACTCAGCCAAGCGCATGTACACCGCGTATTGCACTCAAATGTTCACAGAGCTCCGCACCATCGCTTCCGACGCATCCGTTTCCCCAGCAGCAAGCCAGCAAGAGGCCTCCTCGGCCATTCTGACTTACCGAGAGCCCCGAGTGCACCAAGACGCCGCGATAACGTACGTTCTTGTGGCCCTCCTCCTCGTCCTGGCCGGCTTTGCCCTTTTGGTGTTCTATCACTTCCCCAGCAAAGCGATCCTGCCCAAGGCCCCAGGGTCCATTGCGACTCGCTTCTCCCTTCTAGCCAACAGTACGTTTGTTAGCCAAATAAGGCAAGAGCGAGTGAAGGACCTGAAGCAGCTCAGGAAGTTACGGGACTCCGCTGCCCTGGGTTGGTGGCATACCTCATCGCCCACGTCTGCCTGGAGGTGGGGAGTCGACATTGGACAAGATGCCACGTTACGGAGCTGGATAGACCCTCCCCCTCCTCCTGAACCGCCCACATACACGGCTTCAAAGAGTGGATGGATATGAAGTACTTGGGGCAGATGGCAACAAGGCATGAAACTTGCAAGAGTCGCAGGTTCAATTGCTCATTTCAAATATATAAATCGTACATGATACCCGCATCAAAATAGATCGCTTTTATTGACTTTCCTCACTTCCGTTTGCCTGAATGCGTATTACTAGAGTAACCGTCTTCCGAGAGACCGCACTGCGCTGTTCGGGCAGCATGCAAAGGGACTCAGAACGCTGTCGTTGGAGGGCGCGCAACGGCTCCACCCCCGGCTGTCCTCCGAGGGCGCAGCAGACCATCTCTTATCGGATCTCGAGTGCTACATGAAGTTAAATACCAGCACTTCGACAGCAGAGTTCCCAACCCGTAAGTTGCGGATTATTTACCATACATATAAACAAACGCACTCCCTTGCATCGGAATCAGAAAAATGTCGTCACAATCCCTCCCCGTCCCGTCGTCCACAACGAAGAAATTCTACGCCACAAATTCGCCCTGGGAAGGCGTCTACGGCCATTACCGGGCCATTCGCGTCGGCCAACAAATCTACGTCTCCGGCACAACGGCCGCCGACCCCGCGAGCCCGCCCGAAGCACCTCGCGTGCTATGTCCCGGCGATGCGCGCGGACAGACGCGCGCAACATTAAAAGAAGTCATCAAAGCGATTCAGACCCTTGGCGGACGCGGCGCGGAGAGTATTGTGCGCACGCAGCTGTTCATTCAGAGACATGAGGATGCGCCGGAGGTTATGGCGGGGTTTACTGACGTTCTTGGGCGGCAACATGGCGGGGACATTGGGTCCACCGCGATCCTGCTCGTTGTCTCGAACTTTTCGGATCCGGAGATGTTGGTGGAGATCATGGTTGATGCGATCGCGGATGCGGAGGCCCAATGAGGGATGGCGGGACTTGTATGGAGGTTGGATTTATATATATGCGATGTGAACAATTTTCCAGTCTCGCAAGGCTTCAAGCTTCAACGTACGTTATAGCCTCATTTCACATTAAACGGGAGTAGATCGAGCGTCTTTACAACATCCTCCTATAATGACTATTCGGTGTAGTAGCCGGATTGCCACAATTGAAACTAGACAATGCACTTTCAGATATAGGTCCATGACACTGGGCAATATGTCCCGGGCATTGATGCGTACAGACGATGCGAAGAAGGATGTGCTTTCCTGGTTCCCCTCATCGCGGTTTTCCCATCCCCCTTTTCACCCCTGTGGAGACGTGATGTTGTTGGAGGGCGCCCCCGGAACCAGACACACTAAACCTTGAAAGCTATGTTTGAGGAGGGCGCGCGCTATCTCTGTTGATAAGACCTTGGTGTTGGGTCACCGTATGGGGTAAAGATAGAGGAAACTGCGGAGTAAGGACTCGGGACTTGTATCTTACCATCGGCCAGACGGATTCTTATGCTCGAAGCGGTTATAAATATCAGATTTTTCTCCTGCCCGCTGGTACTTCAGCTCCGTTCTCCATTCTTTCCTTTGTTTCGCCTCTAGACATCCTTGGACACGGCAGAACAAGCGATCTACCATCCTATCAAGCATGTCTGACCTCAAACATACCTCCAGTCAGGGATCGGCGGGCGATGCAAAGGATCCTGAAACTCAGGAAGCAAGTGTCGATCGTCCCCATTCAGGCGGACTGCATCGGCGCTTGAGTAACCGTCAAATTCAGCTCATCGCAGTGGGAGGGTCGATTGGAACGGGTCTTTTCATCGCCATCGGTGGCGCACTTCACAAGGGCGGACCGGCGGGCCTGCTTCTCGCCATCGGCATCCAGTGCATCATGGTCAGCATGCTCAACAACTGCCTGGCCGAGATGACCACCTACATGCCTGTTACAGGCGGCTTTATCGCCCTGGCTGGCAAATGGGTAGACGATGCCTGGGGCTTCCTCGCCGGATGGAACTTTTTTATCTTCGTTGCCCTTACGATCCCCTTTGAGATATCCGCTGTGAACGTGCTCCTCGGATTTTGGAGAGACGATATTCCTGCTTGGACCGTGTGTTTAGCCTGTATTGCTGTCTACGCGTAAGAGTGCTACTCACCCTTGAAGTTATCAAAGTCCATGCTAATCACGACGTGCTATGATAGGGCAATCAACTTTTTTACTGTCAAAGCATATGGCGAGGCTGAGTTCTGGCTCTCAGGAGGAAAGGTTATCCTGATATTCATACTCTTCTTCTTCACATTCATCACCATGGTCGGTGGCAATCCGAAGCATGATGCATATGGATTTCGGCATTGGAATACTCCGGGCCCCTTTGCAGAATACTCCTCGTCTGGTAATACTGGTCGGTTCGATGGCTTCCTCGGAGCACTCTGGACGGCAATCTTTATTGTCACGGGGCCAGAGTATATTTCCATGGCGTCTCCCGAGGCAAAGCACCCTCGAGTCTACCTGAAACAAGCGTTCAAGGTGCTCTATGGCCGATGCTTTGTCTTCTATGTTGGAGGTGCGATCTGCGTAGGGGTCATCCTTGCCTACAATGACCCTGCACTGAAAGCTGCCCAGGAGAGCGGCTCGTCTGGGGCAGCTGCATCGCCGTACATTATTGCAATGAACAATCTGTCCATCACCGGGCTACCCCACCTTACCACAGCGCTCATGCTGACATCCGTCTTGGCCGCCGGCAACACATATTGGTACTCTGCAATCCGCTCGCTCTATGGACTGGCAGTTGGTAGGCGGGCACCGCGTATCTTCCTCAAGACCAACAGCCGTGGCGTCCCAATTTATTGTTTTATGGTGGCAGCAGCATTCGGCTGTCTTTCCTTTATGCAAGTGTCCGGGGACTCTATGACCGTGCTGAACTGGCTCATCAGCCTGACCACTGCCAATGTCCTTATCAACTACATCATCATATCCGTCACATATATCTGTTTCTATCGGGCGTGCCAGGCTCAAGGGTTCGATCGTCGCAACAAACTGCCATACTACGGTCGATTCCAGCCGTACTGTGGATACATCGCCGCGGGCTGGATGCTGCTCATGCTGCTGTGTTTCGGATACCGTAGTCTGAGGCCATTTAGTGTTGAGGACTTTTTCCTGACGTATACCATGGTCATTCTTGCTCCGATTGTATTTGGATTCTGGAAGGTCTTCAAAAAGACGAGATGGTTGAGGCCATCGGAGGTCGACCTGCATTGGCAGGCGGACATTGTTGCGCTCTATGAAGCGGGCGAGACGGAGCAACCTGTCGGTTTTCTCAGAGACGTCTTCCACATGTTCAAATTTCGGAGAACACCAGTTGCCATGGCCTAGAAGCTGCTGAAGGTCGGATAAATATACACAATTTCCGAGTAGCAGAATAGTCTTGTACGCACACAGCGACCCCTTTGAGATCAGGAATGCTGTTCGTCTTTCCCATGTATTTTGTAAGCAATAACTACAAGTCACAGAACAACCTTACAACCTTATCTCAGCTGGCCACTGATAACGAAGAATCTCGGAAATCCCCCGAGGCGTGAAGAGGCACGTGATTTGGCTGTACCTTTCGCTCCGTTGATTTCGTCCTGAGCAAAGTCCGCATTGCTTTCCACTTTAGGTCTAGCGCCTTCACGTGCAGATCGCTTCATTGTCTCGATAGCTTCGAGCATCTTCGTTCTCTTCTTCTCCTCATCATCCAGTGAGATCAATGCATCGCTTCCAGCTTCATAGTCCTTTCGTCAAGATATCACAGCACCGTCCCAGGAGTAGCTCTAGGAAAGGCTCTGCCAATGATGGCACTCATGCGAGATTCATTCGCCACCTGAGACATTGGAGAGTCGAATTATCCGCAGAAACGAGGCCAACACGTGACTAAGCTTAACCGCCGCCGCTAATCTCCAACGACAGAGTCAGGCGAACCGACTGCTTGCATCTCCGATTACTCTGCAGGACTGTATCAGGTGTCAAATTCTCAATGGGCGAGATTGGTTTCTCGGCAGATGACCATGAGGACTGGTGGCGGGGTATGGAATGGTCTGCGTTGCACGACCCTGAATTTCCAGACCATACGACAAGTGATCGAAATCAAGCCAGCGATCTAGGCTGTATCCCGTTTAGTACAAATTCAGACGAGCCTCCACCTCCAACAGGTGAGCGCTCCGATGGACCATCGTTCGTGAACCTGTTGGACTGCGGCTTTCTGGGACCAGATATACCCTGGGATGATGATGAGTTCTTTCTTCCTTACGGCGCCTGGAGGCCCCCGGAGCCGTGTACGTACTGTCGTCGCATGCGCCTACAGTGCTTCTCACTCCAGACCACGGACGCCAATCCCAACCCGGTCAGGTCATGCTCGAGCTGCGTGGCGCTGTTTCGGCAATGCAGTCTTGCAGAACGACATAAGCGCCAGCCGCACCACTATGAAACATCTCGCCCGGTGATTGACCAGTTGCACGGCATTAGGGAGGATGATGCATATGTAGGTGAGGGCAGTGCGAATCCCAATGTTGCTGAAAGCGGCGGGCTCGATCCCAGCAGCAAAAGTGGCGCGTGCCCCCTTACGCTTCAACTGAGTCAGGCAAGCGAGCGAGCGAGCTCTTATTCACGCTCCGTCAAACGAACACGGCCCTTGAGAGAATGGCTTGCGTGTAATCTTGCGCATCCTTACCCAACAAAAGCGGAAAAAACCGATCTGGCCAAGCAAACTGGAATGACAAGGACGCAGATCAACAACTGGTTCTTGAATGCACGACGTCGCCAACGACACTCTGAGAATATGCGGGCTCAGCGGCGCTCGGGCCTACCACATGGCTCACCCATGCCTCCATCATCACCGTTAAGCATGATGACCCCGATAGATCGCTGGCGCTGCTCACCTCCAGAGGACGAGCCCATAACAATTTCTCCAGCCGTGCTGGAGAAAGCTCTGAATGACAGCTTTTACAACATCAACTCGCCACACGGGGAAGCAAGTACCAGCTTTAGTACGGGCTGCGCATCGTCATCCATTAGCGGAGATTCCTGGCTTCATAGTCAGCCACACTCATTATATGCATCCTCAACGCCAGATTCTACAATTAGCTTCTGTCATTCAAACAACAGTAGCTCCAATTTTGGCAGCCTGGATACCAAGAACGATGAGTTCGCACAGCCCCAAGAACAGAGCATTCAAGCTTCCGCTCTCGTATCGAAGCCGAAGTTTCAGTGCACATTTTGCTCGCGGGACTTCAAAAAGAAATTTGACTGGAAGCGCCATGAGCTGAGCGTTCATATGCCTAGTCTTAGCTCCTGGGTTTGCTCCACACCTCTAGCCCCTGAGCAATCCCGCCTAATCTGGCGCACTGGGCAGGAGGAGCCCGAGTGTATCTTCTGCGGGCATGCCTCCCCTTCCGAATCCCACTTCCGGTCACACGAGTTTGAGTATTGTGCTCAAGGACCCATCAGTGAGAGAACATTTAGTCGCAAGGACCATTTATGGCAGCACCTGTACAAATTCCACGGATGTCGTAAGTGGGATGGGTGGACGCCTGACCTGTCATCCCTTAGGATGAATTCTGATGCCGTGAACAGCCGCTGTGGATTCTGTGATGTGACTATGGATAGTTGGACCGAGAGGGAGCAACATATGATGGTGCACTTTCTACAGGGCATGACCATGGCCAGTTGGAGGGGAGGTGAGAATGGGGGAATTGAGTTAAGCATGCCGAACTAGTCTCTTGACTTTTTTTTTTGCGAACTAGAAAGAAGAGATTACCACCCTGAGATGGCCTGACGATCAAAATCTTCCCGCCCTTCAGACGCTCGTCATTACTATTTGACCGCAGTCCTCGGTATTTACTCTCTTATACAGACATGGTAGGGAGTGATCACGGTATCCCTTTCACCGTACAAACCCCGGTGGCGCTAGGCTGACGGCTATTTGATCATAAACCAATATTCGAACCTTAAACTAGGCGTTTGGTGAATGCCATCCGTAACGACGACAATGCCAGCAACAGAAGGATATTCTCATGGCCCCCGTGTTTCCAGCACGTTGTCAAAAAATGTTAGGGGATAATAAAGGCCAGGAGGCAAATCTGACAAGTCTTCCCGTTAGTTCCAGTCCGGATAACAGAGTGTGCTTCTCACATTGATTGTTGAACATTGTGCCAAATTCATTCAGATGACTGGCATCAAAATCCGCCAAAAGGTCGTAAGGAGCGGGCGCACTACAGTTCTCGACGGACGTTTCAGTGGTTCCAAGGACGATGCTCAGAGCTTTCGCTACTTTCCCAGCTTCTGCCGATGCCGTACTCATCTCACGCCAAATCTTGTGCGACATTGTTAGTCGTTGTCGAATCTCTTCTGCCCTAGGCGACCACGTTGTCTGTCCTGGAGTCTCAGGCCACTCAAACTTGTCGACGTCTTGAAGGTAGAGACAGAGCACGCTCGTTGCGAGGAGAACGTCTTGGTTGAAAATGTGGGTGACCTTCCATCTAAGCTGAGATAAACGACCAAAGGGCTGAGACTCTTCATGAAGCATCTGTTGGAATGATAGAATCTTCGAGGCGGAATCTAAACAAATTCGCACCGAATCCCTGTCCCGCACTTGAGATGGTCGCCCTGGGCAGCTTGTCAAAGCTCTCCGGTACAGCAGGATGCGTGATTTGTGGTAGGAGGTTTCTATACTTACCCGCTGTACCACGAGGTTTGGACTATCCGTGATGGGATGTGGCATAGTTCCCCAGAGCAGCACGGGCGGAATAGCACGATTGTGCACGTCTTCAAGAAGTGCGTCGACCCTGATGACCTGCTCGCACGAAGGGGGGTTAATGTCGCTGTTGATGTCGCAAATTAGGCCGAGGGCCGAGATCAGTCGCCCTTTTGCAATGAGAGGGAGCACCGGTGTCCATTCTGTTTCTGGCCTGGGCGGAGGCATCTCAGTCGTTTCCTCTTCAAAATCACAATCGCGAAGGTTGTGGGGCAGTTTTGTATCGGTCTGCGCGTTTGTACCACTTCGTGGAAGGCCCGTCTCCAAGGACAGAGCAATGTCTAATACAAGGATTGTCGTCCAGATGCGTCTACGCATCTCACCTTCGAAAGGGGATATTCCGGGAAAGTGATCTGGGTCCCGGTGATAGCCCATGCGAATTGCCAGGTGCAGAATCGTGTTTGTCGAAAGCCAGCCATCGGTAGCGCTGTCTTTTAGGAGTACAGATTCTCCAGTAAGGACCGTTATGAGGGTTTCAAGGATATACGGTCCTCCCGTTGTATACCTGGCGAGGACAAGACACTGAACGGCCTGCTCCCGGAAGGCATCCTTCATGGTAAGATATTCCACCTTGGACGATTCGGCTCGTCCGTCTATGGAGTCCAAAGCAAAGGTCTGCAACAGCGCAGCAATATATAGCATGGAGAACATGAGACCAATCCAAGCGATAGAAGTTGTAGACGGATCTTTCCAGAAGGCTTCATACTGGTCGAATGTCAGACTGCTTGTAATTGGCCAGGTTAGACAGAACCCACCTCTCGGAGAAACTTCTTGCGATGAATGAGAACTAAGTACAGTGTCAATGCCTATGGGAGCGGAAAGGATGCTTGTATGTACTGACACGGGGTGATGAGATAGGAATCAAAGTGAAGGGCCATGAGACGGTCAACAACTGTACGAGGGGGAACAGCGGCCAGTATTTCGTCACGCGTTGCACGGCGGTTCGGGCCATAGAACAAGTGTGAACCGAGCGGAGTCTTGCTATCAGCGATCAAGTCCTCCTTCAGTCCTCTGATTTTGGTAAGAATGGCCTCCCAATGGGAACTCTGGACGTAGCTGGTTACAGAATCGCGCAACTTTAGGGTGCCAGGGTCGGTCGCGGATGCAGTTTCATCTTGGGATCCCTGTGGTCTCTGGTTCTCAGGGAGCACATCTGCGAACGATAGCGAGCTCGGTCTCGGTGATTTTTGGGCGGGCGGAGTTGGGAGCGACTGGCCTTTCATGAGCGTTACAACAAGGCTCTCCAGCTCAGAGATTCTGCCATGGAGGCTGGTGGGCTGTCGCGGAGCAACGGGCCGCTGAACACCAGGCGTAGAAGGTGTCGTCGCATAACTGCAGGAGTTGGTAAGGCCACGCCTCGAGCAAGTCCCGCATGGGTGTTGTCGGTCGCACCTTAGCCTGGCAAAGTTAGGCGTGCACCACTTTGCGATGGCTATCGAGCACGTACTTTCGGTGTCTGCAAGGGTCGCAGGAAAGCTGGACTTTGTCTCGGCGTCGGTTCGGCGGCGGACGCGGACGTTGAGCATTGTCGGCCATGGTGTGATGATCTTGTCGAGAAAGAAGACGGCCATGCGCACAAAGTGAGAGGCGATGGAGATAGCAACGTCGTAAAGTCCGACCCTCCGACCCTCCGCGTCCACCGTCCGTGCGCCACTCCCCACCACATGCCGCTCATTCCATCTTCCATCTAGTTTAACTCCGCATTTGCCAAGCATGTTGCGGATTTAGTAACTGGCACAATTCCCCCTTGCCAAAGAACCATGGCTATACCGTCCGCGCGCCGTCTCCGTCAACAGAGCGGTAGTCCAGCCCCCTACCCTGCCTCCCTATCTATCTATATATATATATATATCAAGCAAGGCCTGGCAGCATTGAGCGAAACCACTCCAAGAACCCTGAGTGAAACTCCCCCCGACAGCAGATCATGGCGGTAGACTTGGAATCTGGCTCGAAAGACGGCCACCTTGACCGACTATCTAGCAAGCCCAACCAACAAACAAGTGATCAAGCGACAAAAAACAATGTCGTCGACTGGGATGGGCCTGAAGATCCCCAGAATCCGCTGAATTGGCCAGCATGGAAACGCATGACGCAAGTCGTCCTCGCCAGCGCTTTCTTGCTCACTGCGTAAGGCAGTTCCTGCGCTCCTTTCGCGAAGCAGATCCCGTACTGACCAATACATATACAGCAACCTCGCCGCGACAATGTTTGCACCTGGAGCTGCTTCGCTTGCTGAAGAGTTCCATATCACGAGTTCGACCATTGTCAGTCTCACCGTGTCTATTTACCTCTGCGGCTTTGCCGTTGGGCCAATGTTCATTGCGCCGCTATCCGAACTGTATGGACGCCTTGTCATCTACCACACCTGCAATGTCATTTACATTGGCTTCATCATCGGGTGTGCGCTGGGCAAAAGTACCGGCATGTTTCTCGTTTTTCGATTCCTGGCCGGGTGCGCTTCTTCGGGTCCGTTGGCAGTGGGCGGAGGAACCGTCGCTGATGTCGTCCCGCCAGCTCAGCGTGGGAGGGCAATGTCTTTGTTCTTCATGGGACCACTTCTGGGACCGGTAGGTGGCGTTACCTCACGCGGATCATCATGACACTGACAATCATTCAAGGTCTTGGGCCCAGTGATTGGTGGCTTTGTGTCCGAATCAATCGGCTGGCGATGGACGTTTTGGATCATTCTGATCCTAGTGAGCAGGGCATAACCCCTATTCTCTCCAGCCGCTGACAATTTCACCTAGGCAGGAGTATCATTTACCATATCAGTCTTCCTCCTCCGCGAGACCAATGCTGCCGTGCTCTTAGGATGGAAAGCCGCCCGCCTCCGGAAAGAAACTGGCAATGCTGCTCTAATTTCAAAAATGGATCGAGGCCTGGGTCCCCGCCAGCTATTCTTCCGTGCTATTATTCGACCAACCAAGTTCCTCATCCTGTCGCCAATCGTGCTACTCCTTTCCCTCCTGTGCGCGTTCGTCTTCGGGCTCCTCTTTTTGCTGTTTACCACGTTTCCTATGGTCTTTGAGGAACAATACCACTTCTCCGCCGGCATTTCTGGCTTGTCATATCTTGGTGTCGGAATTGGAATGGCCGTCTCTCTCGGAGCCTTTGCAACCGTAAGCGACAAACTACAAAAGGCAACTGGAGCTTCGCCCAAACCTGAAGAACGCCTGAAGCCTATGGCATGGGTCATGCCCGCCGTGCCCATCGGGATATTCTGGTATGGATGGGCAGCGGAGACGCAAACTCATTGGATCGTACCCATAATCGGCACCTTTCTTTTTGGATTTGGCATTCTCTGGGTTGTAATGCCAACTCAACTCTACATGGTGGATGCTTTTGGCCCTGAGGCTGCCGCCTCTGCGTTGGCTGCGAACGTGGTTGTCCGACTTCTTTTTGCTGCCTTTATTCCATTGGCAGGGCCCTCATTGTATGCAGACCTAGGGCTTGGGTGGGGAAATAGCGTCCTAGGCTTCATAGGCGTGGCTTTTCTTCCAGTGCCATTCTTGTTCAATCGTTACGGAGGGTGGCTTAGGGAGCGTTTTGCGGTGAAGCTATAGCATTTCATGTTGAGGTAGAGGTATTATTGATGTGATGTGCCATTCACAGCATTTTTCGCGAAGAGACTGCCTCGACTTTCTGCCATTTCGTCACTGGCTCTCCGGTGCCGGGCAGGTCCCGCGGTTGAGCTTCGTGAACCCCGCTGTCAAGGCAGCTACTGAGAACGGACTCCTTATAAAGTGCCTGTTTCCCATGTTTAACCCCTACATGTGCGGCGATATATACCCTGAAAAGCATAAATTGTTGGAAGCTGGCCGCAGAGAGACAACAGCAGCCCAGTGGCCGCACAAGGAGAGTTCATGCGAAATGCAGCAGTGACGTGTGAATTTGACATATTGGGGAACCAGCCTTAGGTTATTCTTGACTTGCCAGAGGCCCAAAAACATCAAACATCACAGGTCCCGATTATGAAACACCCAGAGCAGGTGATTTGCGGCAACTAGATATTCCTCCATGTCTTCTGGTCTCACGATTGCAGACACCATATAGCAACGTCCGATAAACCATGACTTTGAAGCGTCAGAAGTAGTCGCAGCAGCACCAGTCATGAGAACCCATCTCAGAACCTCGGGCCCGAATCGGAACCAGAAACTGGTGTCTGATTTAGAAAGCGCTACCTGGAGGTCACGGACGTCGTCTTGGTAGTCGGCCTTTCGACCAGCGCGTAGGACCGCTCTCCAATAGATCGAACCTGCAATATAGCAACACCGCAGTGCCACCTCTGCGTCCTGGTCTCTACCTGCTGGCCAATTCGGTCCATGGGATGTATTGAAGAAGTCAAATTCGGGCCACTCGCAACGCCCTGAGGGCTGGGTACATCTACTATTAAGCGATACCAAAAGCTCTAAGATAGAGCATGGCACCCTGAGGTCTGGCGGTCGCTTGAGCTGTCGGTATGTGGCAATAGCAAGAAGACTCGTGTATGACCCAATAACATGCTTAGGTCCCAACGTAGGCAAGGGCTGCAACGTATCTTTCCCGCTGAACAGGGAGTTCCAAAGGTTCCAACTTTATAGAAGCCGTCAGCAAAGATCGTCTGAACGGAAGCTGTTCCGTGAGCCGCTCCTTGGAACGAAGGAATTAAACGTACTGCGCAATACACCATCCTGGAATGGAATCCGCCGCTGGGGGATTCGCTGCCCGCATTTTGATCATGGCCAATACTCCATCATCGTGCGTTGTGCCTTCTCCGAGCTCCCCAGATAATTTCTGTTGTAATTAGCGCCTTTGTATGGATGTATTCATTGTTCGATACGGGACTTTACCGCAAAATACACCAAGTAGATTGCCGCAGTAATCACACTGTCAGACAAACCGTGGGATTGGCTCTTGAGAATACCGTCCTGAACAAGGCGACATACATTTTGCTTATGGTACAGAGTCACTGGATTGTCACGTCTGCCCTGCAGCAGGTCCATGAATGAGGAAGTTGCGAATATGGTTGCATGGAACAGACATGCATCGGATAGTACTGTCTGGTTCCACCGGGTGTGTAGGTTATGGGCGAATGTACCACGATATTGATCCACCACTGGAAGAAACGTTCCCCCTCCTGCGGTGCACTGTGAGAACCTGATTCTGAACACAATCCAGCCCTGTTTCTTTGCTGTCTTAGTGGGACTTACTTTGGAACAGGAGAGCGGGGAAGTACGGCTTCTTTGGAATTGGATAGCTGAAACCGCTATTTACTGGCCATTGAATGGCGTGGCCTGTGCGGTTGCGCGTCTGACGCGAGAGAATATAGCGTAAGTCCTGTGGATTCGACTCTGAATAGCTCGCCCCGTTTCGAGTGCCTTGATCACCCATAATTAGGCCCTTCTCATAGATCTGAGCACGATGGGCGGCCTGGTTGGGCCTGACGAGGATCCAGGATAATGTGCTGGGGTTCGTGGCATTGTCCGAGAAGTCAGTTTCGATATCGCAAATACCCCCTCCACCCACGTTCAGCTCACTGTTACTTGGCAGATCCGACCAATCCGAAACATGAAAACAATGCATTCCCCCAGCTGGGACCTTTGATCCTTTCTTGACATATCGGTACTCCTGGTGCCGACGCCGTGTGCCTCCGCTAGCGACCTTGACGGCCGTAATCGCCCTAGCCGCTGAGCCTCTTGTTTGCTTCTTCTTTGAAGAAGGCCCAGTGTACGGTATGAACATCGTGCACAGCGGTTATTGTAACAGAGTCTTCTCAAACCTCGGAGTTTTTCTCGTTTTCGGGTTTGGCCCGTCAGAATCAGCCCACAGCAAGAATGAGCCGCAAGCTGAATCAGCTAACGCGGGTCAGCTATAAATGATGAGTGCTTGTTCTCCTATATAGTTGAATCAGTAATCATCTTATGAATGATTACTGATCGCTCTCAGAGAGGAAGTCGCACTGCCGAGAATAGTATAGAGTTTCGCTCTAGGAGAGGAAGTCGCACTACCGAGCTTAGTAAAGTCTGTTCGTTCTCAGAGAGGAAGTCGCCCTGCCGAGCATAGTAACGTCCCTCGAGCCTTCTCTTGGCAATTAAACCAAACAGCCTCACATAGAGAACGGGAGGCCTGACGGAGTGACTAGCACGGAGCGGTGGGGGCCATCGTACAACACTGGCAGAGATGCTATCTCAATTTTAGGCCATCGACCACTTCCATATTTGCTTCACATAACTACCAACCCTAACAAACCGCGGGTTGGCTTCCGGTGTATCGGGAACCGATAATAACTTCTTCCACTTCCTAGTTGGAGTGTGATATAAACTATCTGAACCTGATAAGCTGCCAGCACCGGGACTCGAAAGTGAACAATAGAGGGAGCAAGGATAAGGCAGGATTAGGGTACCAATATCGCATGAATGTGACCCGGGTGGACAAGTGAGAATTGCGGTCAGTAATCTATGCCATTTAACTGAACCTGTTATTCCCAAACTCAGAATCGTGAGATGGTAAAGCAGAGCACGAAAAAGGCCGGGCAACTGATTGGAGTATTACGTGCGATAGTAAGGCTGGTAGTCGTGGCAGAGTCATTTTGCAGCCAAGGGTCACCCGTCCCTTGTGTCAACCAGATAGAGTAACACGCCAAGGGCCGTACCCTCCATTAGATGCTTGAACTGTATATTTCTCCCGTTCAACCTGATTAGTATTCTTGCTTGAGCTGCCTAGAATTACTGGTCAATCTTGCTCACTGTGGCTGAAATGATTAGTTATTCCTGCCCGGACTTGGTAATAGTACCTGAAGCTGGAAATCACGCAGGCCACCGACGATTTGTTGAATTATAACCAACAGGCGCTAGAAAAGCGCCAGCGCGCCAGTAACTGCAGGACTCATCAAACTTCAAACTCACAGATCGTGCCAACAGAAACTGCACACATAGCCTTTGATATCGCTGTCCCCAGTCCATGATGATATAGGCGAAAATCGCTCTGTCCTTCCAAGGATGCAAAATCATACGAGGAACAGAAGGCTTGAATGGATAGAAATCTAGCTCAGTCTCACTGGAAGTCACCTTGCAAAAGTCTTTCTCAACTTATCCGTGGCTTGGAGGAATCTGCTCGGAAATCTTCACTCGCTCCCAGCATGTCTGGCATCATGTGCCACGAAGGTCGCGGCGAAGAAATAGTGCATCTAAGCTTTCCAAACGCATAGAAAGAATAAATATTGGCACCTGTAATGTCGCTGCTATGGCAGTATTTCTGATCGCGTTGGAGACGGAACAAGGCGGCTTAAGCACCAACTGTCGTTTAGATTGCCAAATATAGTGCTGCAACTAATTTCCCAGGGCAACCCGGGGCTACGTTGACCTAAATGTTGGTTGATCACAAATCAATATCGCATTCTCGATGCGGCCACTCCCTGCAACAACTTGAATAGATACCAGAGTAGAATGCCACTTCTCCTGCAAGTAGCTAGAGACTCTTAGTCTTTGGAACTCTAAATAAGAACTAGGTATAGGGAATGCAGATTAATAAGCGAGGGCAAAACTGTGTAATATGAGGACTATACAATATCTCAATCTAGCCACATGTGTACAAACTTGGTCGAGGACTAAAGATGGTTAGTAAACTTGATCAAGGGGCACTAATAATAATATACCTAGAGGCTTCCCCAGAGTGTGTTCTACAGTACCTACTAGTCATTTCCTAGGATTGAAGCATGGCCCTTGCAGCTACCCACCGTTTAAAAAATGACCGTGCTGGCCTAGTCATGAAACTACGATTAAGACTCGATTGCGCTAGCGGGAACTAGTCCAGATTAAGCAGTCACGATGCCATTATTGACCATAGTTAGCCGCTTGGGGAGAGGGGAACAGCCTCATCTCTGGTTGGATTAGTTATCACCGCCTGTCGAGCACATCTTTATCCCTCGACGTTTTTAAGGATACAAACATCCGCCGACTCTACCATAGGAGACAAGATCATAGTCTACAATGTATTGCGAAACAGCCCACGGAACTTCTTCCTTCTATACAGGTGGGATTGCACTGCATATGTCGCCTGTCGATAGCGATCAGGCGGGGACTGCGCAGTGGGACCCAAGCTCGATGCCTCTCGTAGACGACATCCCCCTCCTGTCGCCCGATTCGCCAAACGGCCGAATCTCGGCACCGGATGACCTTTTGTCCTTTCCCTCCGCATCATTCAAGTTGGACTCTTCGCCGTCTGCGTCCGATCTCTCCGTTCAAGATCCCCACTCCGCCTCCGCCCTCACAGAAGTACATGACCTGCCCTGCAACGAGCCTCCTGCGAAGGTAATTATCACTCTACGTCTCCTCCGTATGTTACTAATAAAATAGGTCAAAGCGCGCCGCTCGCAAAACCGACAAGCCCAACGCCGGTTTCGTGAACGAAAGCAACAACAAGAGACCAGCCTCCTCACCCGCCTCCAAGAACTTCAGTCTAAGAATGATGAGTTATCCTTGTTAATAACCAGCCTCAAACAAGCGAACTGTGTTCTTGAGAGTGATAAAGCCCGCGTATATCAAGAAGTTGAGCTACTGCGCAAATGGCGTCGCAAACTCTTTGGCCTCATGTCTAAACTTGTGCAAGAGGATGAGATGGCAAATGACCAGTTAACAACAATTTCAAGGAGTTGCTCGAATACATGCTGGCGGAGAGGGAATGAGTATTTGCGGTTAATGGTTACAATGCAGACATTGCTTTCGTTGTTTGACGATTTGCAGCTCGCGTCCGGGGGAGGCTGACCTTTCTATTACTCCTTCTTTATTCTTTCCTTATAGGCAGTTGGACTTCAATGTTACAACAAGTCTTCTGATACCACATGATGGAAATAGCTCGCGCCATAAACTAGATTTAGAGTTGTCTAGGGGAACGAGCCTTATTAGAAAGACGCGGTGCTAGCTAGCAAGACGAGTTGCATGGTGCTGGTGGTCATGGCCTGCTAACATGAGTACTATCACAGCAGCATCAGCGCCCGATGCCCTGGTGGACTCTGCGACGGTGTCACTCCAGTCGTCCTTCCCACGCCACCTATTCAGCGAAAATAGGGGCAGCTGCAGACGAGGATGGCCAGAGTAAACTTGATACGAAAGTGAGATACATGCCAGCCGCGTCAGATATATGGCTGGCCTAATAAGGGGACCTTGTAGCTCCAACATGCCAGGCCAATCCGGTCCGAACCCTTCGGCTGATTCGTGAAAGCTGGTTTGTGTGTTCCCAACGCGAAAGTAGCACAGTACCTTGGAATTATTGAAATATGGGAAATTACCCCTTGATATGTGTTTTGTTGGCTATCATGACCGCAGGGTCAATACTGTATTGGCGACATTGGTTGATGGCTTCATAGAGCTATAGCAAGGCCTGCGATCGGGGCACGACTTGTGAGGCTAACTGTGCAATTACTCAACACGTTCCATAACATAACGGGAGACTGGTCTGCTTTTCCCTGGTTAGTTCCATCCTCCTCCTGGACACAGCGCCTTGTCGTCCTCCATGGGCGAAAGTCCCCTTAAGCAGAGCAGAGATATGCTCGGGGGAGGGGTTTCCTTTCGCGGATCTCCTCTCTGCCAAGCGTCGCCTTGATAACACCACCTTGATACTCTTCTAAAGAAAGTCCAGCTAGTTGTCTTGTCACACTATCTAAGAGAGAATTTATAGAAAAGCTGCCAGGCTCAAAAATAAGCGCTCGTACGTTCAAGAGACCTTTAAGGGCCAATTTTAAGGCACTGTACATCCCACAGCTGGCCGGGGCGTCGTGGCCAGTAATGCTGCTGATGTTCACGATTATGCTTCTGGTCCCGCCGAGGATTGTACAGCGCCCGCGGAGGGAAGGCAAGAAGGCGCGGATCAAGCGCAAGGGGCCAAAGAAGTTGGTCCCCAGATATCTGTCTCTAGCTGCGAGACGAGAAGCGTCGACGAGATCCAGAATTCAGAGTACTACTTGTTCTATTTCTCCAATCTTCTGGAAGCCTTACAAAGCTGTGTTTGTTTGACGTCTTATGCCGTAGCGACGCGCGTTTTACCGGAGGCGGCCATCAAGTGCCCTCCGTGCCTTTATACTAAGCAGGGTCCCGGTGTCTGCCTCTCGCCAGTCTTGTCAGCCTCTAGTCGACCTTCAGGCCGAGACGTAGCCACAAAGAATTGAAACGCCTTTAGTATTCACCTAAAAGCTCTCTTGATACGTTCAATTATAGCTACGATAGAAGTAAACGTTCACTTGAGGAAAACATTGGATTTCGCTGCTGGCACACCGGAGGATCAGACTCGCGGAGTCTTTAACCACAAAGGTAAGAAGAGAAAGGCCTTCTACGATAGTTTGACAGGCCTAGACCCGGGAATGTGAGTCTGTTCTGAACAACGTCTCCAGTGGAGCGGTTTTACCAAGATCGAATAGTCCTGCGCAGGAAGTGGAGAATGCTGCAGAGGATAGGCCGCGTTTAAGAACATAACACCACGGAATTAGATTTGACTAGCGAAGTTTCTCGCAGTAGTACAGAGAAGCCTTCGTATAAGCACTACAAAACGTAGGCACAGAATGACCCATATCTGTTTCGTCTTGTCAGAGACACCTACAATTGTATTTCGTAATTCTTTCCTACCTAGGTAGCTCCAAAAAGCTGAAAAATCGCGGAATACCTCAATATATCCTTGCCTAACAGCTTCAGCCGCTAGGAATGCTTCCAAAGACCTGCCAAATCAAACCTCATCTGTGTTCAAGCACGTCGATGGTCACGATGCATGTCATCAAAATATCCACTACAATCGCTAATCCAACCGTCTTGATCTAAGCTATTGTACATCACTGATTCGTATGCCTTACATAACGTTGCAGGTATGGATCAGCAAAAGTGCCTAGTACCGCCCAACCGCTGTTTGAAATCCAAAGAGCGAACAATCCCAGTACACTCATTGATCGGTCCCCAAGGGCGAACCAGCAAGCGCATCCGGCGTCGTCGAAACCGGCCACCCAGTCATCTTCGCCCATTTTTCGCTGTCTCCCTTGATTTCCTTCCGCTTCGCCGAGTCTTGCAGCCAAGGCCCACAGAAGGCGATTGGACCGAATGCATTTACCCATACAGCGGCGGAGTCACTGGAGATGGCCAAGGCGCAAACCTCGGTGGCGTGGTAGTCTAATCTGGAACGTAGGCTATTCATCTTGCTGGCGCGTTGGAAGCTATTCAGGGGTTCAGGCTGGGGCTCGGCAAGCCAGAGGATCGACATGGCTGTGTGGTAGTAATGGAGACTCGATACTGTAAAAGTCAGCAAGAACAAAAAAAAACAGGGGATCGGAAAGGGCGCCTAAGGAATTGAACGTTCGGAAGCAGGACCATTGAAGCAACGACAGTGGTGATAAACAGGAAGGTATGAACCGTAGAATGAGCGTACCATGCCAATCTCGAATAGTCCAAATTTGCGGAAACGCAACACCCTTTCTCAAGCCCGGCGTTCGTATCGGCTCGAACGATGGCGGAAGTGAGTTTTTCCAGTTGTTCAGCTCCGCTTTCATCACTTCCCACTCTTCGAATGTCAACGCAGGAGAGTCGACTGCCAGGCAGCGATTTATGACCTTGCCAAGGAGGAATGTAACACGGTTGGCGTGGTCTGCATCGTCTCCCTGACCTTCTTCGCCTGCATCTAGAGAGATTTGTTGCGATGAGAGATCAATCATAAGACTTCGGTGTTCAATGAGCGACGCGGTAATGTCTTCTCGCAGGTAGTTCCAGAACCCGGCGCTGAGCAGGTCTGTGGTGAGGTGGACGTGGCGATTCGCTAAAATGGAGTAGCATCCTTGAAGGTGGCTTTGGGAGCTGACGTTTTCTTGGGCAAATATTAGTATTTCTGAAAGCAAATGGTCGGTAGCGGTACTAACGGGTGATGATCTCGTAAGACCGGAGCAGGCATATCGCCGCAAGGGATTCTCCAATCGGTAGCTCATCCACATTCCGCGTGAGAGATATCAAGCGCCGGACGCTGTCGTAGTGATAGAACTCGGCGATCTCAAGATACTCGTCTTCACCGAGAGTCCGATGTTGATGAGCCGCAGCAAAGGCAAGAATAGCGCTCAGAAGAAGCGGATTGTATCGGGCACGGACCGGAACAACGTCAATGAAATGACGCCTGCTGTCGTTCAAGTCGTACCATCCCGCTAGTTTGTCCATGTAGTGGCGGAAGATCTTGGCGGCCAGAGGATCTTGTAAGGCAATCCCGGGATTCTGGGTCGAGGTGTAGTCAGTACCACGGTAGGAAGGTTGTGAAGGAGTGTGAGGAGGAGATGTTGATGAAGCCGCCTTGATCCAGTGACAGTCACGGCCACCTCGCTCACAACGTCCGCATCTCGGTCGTCGGCCGTCACACTTGACTCTGGCTGATCGGCACTTTTGACTTTGGAAATTAGTAATTGCGCGAAGGGAAGCGCTCTTTGAGGATAGATGTAACGTACCAGCCTGTCAGAGTTAGCTAAGCGCGTCCATAAGTATGAAATTGCTCGAGATCGAGCACTCACGGTTCAACTCGAGCGGGCGCGGCATTACAACTTGTCACGGAGCGCCGCTGCCTGAGCAGCCACGCAATTAGCGCATCGGGTGAAGTAGCTGTATCGTCGAGTCGGATCGCAGTAAAGGACTAGCTTAACGATGGTTGGATGGAAGACTGCGAAGCAAGAGTCGAGAACGATTTCGCGTGGTCGTCGCTTTTCAACTGAAGGCGCTTGCCCCGCAAAATCTTGACGCCGTGGACCAATCATAGCCCCACTTCATGCTCCAGCTCGTTCGGAACAAAGTCGGGCCAGCCGTCCCCACTGGGGCTGTGTGGTCTTGCTCCCTTCACCGTAAACAGCTCCCGATCTCTTCTGAAAGGTGGAGATTTCTGCACTTGGGGGATAATTCTTCATATGGGATCGCCCATACTGTGCTAGAGGGCAGTGTTTGTTATCAACATATCTCGAAGTCGCGACACAGCCATAATATCACCAACTAGTGACTTGTGAAGGTAGTGATATATATCCACGCTCAGCACAGGTTGTCATACTGAATACGATCATTTTGCGCTCAGTACAATAATGTTACGAGATACTTGTGTTTCGCAAATTGACTACTAATCGCTGATAGATTGCGATTTTTGTCAAACTATTTACATCCTCTCAAAAGCGTCCGATGAAACTTCCTTCACGCGCTTTGGTTGAAATCATACGCATTCCCGAACCCGCGATTCAAATACCTCTCCATAGCCTCCGACCGACTCACCCACTCGACCGGAACTTCGGCATCTTTCTGACCTTCAATCGTTTCTTTCAAGTCATCGGCAAACTCCAGCTTCATCGGGTTCCGATACCACGGCGCAAAATGAACTACAAACGATTAGGAACCTTGACGAATTCCGAAATAAGGGGAAAACCCACTCATTGCCAACATGACCCTGGGGATTTGAGCCTGGTTACCGATTCCAGCGTGCCACAGCCTTAAATCTCGAATAACAATCGATCCCTTCGGCACGACAGGTTGGCACGGCGCCCGAACCGCACGGCGCTTCTCAAGCTCCTCGGCCTTGATCCGCCCGCTCGCGCGCTCGCCATGAAGTCCCTCCTGCGCATGCAATCCCGTATCCGTGTGTGTACCAAGCCAGACCTCCGTAGAGCCGTTCTCAGGTGTCATTGTGATAAGGGGAACGTTGATCACGTACGCGAATGGATGAACGGGATGCGCAAAGTCGGCGTCTGAGTGCACCGGCTGAGACATAGGTGGACAGCTCTCAGTCGGAGGCATGGCAGTATTCCCGGAGCAAAAAGTCCATTTCGGCCTAGGGCCAAGTGCCGTGGAGGTGATTTGTGTTGCAATAGGGTCTTGATGAGTTAGAACGGGGAGTCTTGCAGCGTTCAAGATTGAAGCAACCTACTAAGGAAGATATTTTTATCGAAGAACTCTTTTACCGGCGGCGCATCTTGCTGGATATTTCCGGGATTGTAATTGTACGGGCTATCTCCGCCCTTTGCCTGGAGTGTGTACGCATCCTGAACCATTTTTATGTTCAGATGGTCGAGTGCACCATGCGGAACAACATCTTCGACAACGACTAGTCCATCCCGGTACAGACTTCGCATAGCAATTTCGATGTTCTGCGGCGATAGCCGTGCATTTTGGATCTCTGGTTTTGACGGACGAATCGATCGAGGATAACTTGTCAACCTGCGGATCTGGACCGATGAAGGTCCAGACCGGTTCGCGAGGAACTGGACTCTGGTGAGTGTTCGGCTCATTGTGGTTAATTTCAAGGCGATTTGAGTTTGGGCTTGTGCAGATGAGAAGATAGGATGGACTTTCTTGAATGTTAAAAAGTCTCCAACTACGTGCACTCACCAGGGTGCATTGTTGAAGGATTTATAGTTGCTTGCAGGCTGCGATTTGCCCCTTACACATGGGAAGCCCCGTTGGATTCGAGACTAGATTATGCGAAACTGTTACACCCGATGAGATTGAAAACAGTGGGGTGGTCTCGCCTTTCGCGCAATAGCGCCCATTCAAGAACAGGCCCATTGCTATACAGACAGGCCAGTTGCTTTGCCAGATCCACTTTGGTTCCTGTAAAAACAGGACAAGCTCCTGTCGCCACAACACCTCGCTTTTCGCATCGCATTATCGCCTTTCAGACTCGCATCACGTCGCAAAACGACCTCCTCATTCTTGGCCACATTTGCAACCTTCTCGGAGAAGCCACTAGTATTTGATAAAGTCCAACTGTGGCGACAGAACACTCTATATAATGTCGCCAAGTTTAGTCTCCAATCTATCCATCTCAGTTGCTAGACATCCTTCGACCGCAAGACGATAACAAGAGGTGAACGCAATGGAATTTGACCCGCAGATCCGTGAGTCTCCAACCCTAATAAATGCTGCCGACTCCGCCCGCTAACCTACCTTGATGAAGCTAGCTACCTTACCTCGGATCTCTCGAGCTTTGCTCACGTTTCTGTACGTGAGCGTTGGCCTGTTATTCTGGTGAGTCTCATGTGATAGCTCTTTTATCCGGAAAAACTGGCTTATATCGCCATATCCAGGATGGTATCATCAATGACCTTACGGAAAAGGTTAACGGCGTACTTGACGCGATTGCAGAGGCCGAGGGAAAACGGGTTATTGACGGAGTCGTTGCTTTGAAGGCAGATATTCTGTCGGATGCGAAATTGACGTTAAAACGTGAATGGCCTATGGGTGCATTCATTAGGCCAAGGAATGACTTTAGAACGCTCCTCGATGATAGATTCAACGACATTGCCGGGTATAGCAAGGAGTTAGCCAGAGAAATACCACATGGATAGACGTCTTCTGGCTGCACAGTGAATGCTACCTCTGTAAGTTTCATTTCGCTGGCAGCAGGCAAGTGACTAATGTAGTGGATAAATTCAGATCGCCGGTTAAACACTCTATTCACATTCACAGAGTATTGGAGAGACTGATGACGTCGACATTCAAGTCTTCAAGACCCGCGGTGCTCGATAGTGACAAAAAATAGAGAGCTTGTCAGTGGCGATACATACAGTCAAAGGGAGGACGCCGAGGTGCTGCTCTTCCATGAAATGTGCGAAGTTTGCCTCTGGGGAAACGCGACGGATATATCTGTCCTGACGTCCTTGACATATGGGGATCTTCAGAAACTCCAGGGTGCCGGAGCACGACAAGCGCAGCGAAAGAACATTTTTAACAATGACCTCCATGCGGCGTTTAAATTACTGAAAACTGCCCAGCAGTTTTGCAATGGGGCCGAAATTCGAGTTGACTTTGTCCTGGACTGTGCGGGGTTTGAGGTCTTCGCTGACCTTAAACTTGCTGGCTACCTACTCTCCACCAGACTTGCAACAAAAATCGTCCTGCACCCTAAGTGGACACTGTGGCTTGTCTCGGATGCCCTTGCTGTTGACTTTGCTAATGTCCTCACAGCCTTGCTGAACCCCCGTGCGTTCTTTGGAACCCAGGCAGAGCGGGTGCTATCTGAAGCTGAAGAACAATCTCTGAAATTCTTAATAACTTAGATTAAACTAGCATGAGACGCTAATGCCGCGTGCTCGTTGGTTACCTATCGCCCGGACACACTGACTCGTCAAGTCGCTCGCCACTCATTTCATTGCCCACTGAAGGAACACCCTGAATTCGCTCCCTTGTCCGAGTATGTCTTGAGCGAGGAACCTGGCCCTGAATACAGCGCTGAGAATCTTGGCGATTTCATGCGACACCAGCAGTTCCGCGCTATGCAGTCATTGGAAAGTTTGAATAGCGTTCTGAACTCGGCAGTGTCGCTGTTGGATAGAAGATAGCAGCGGGTAGGGATTGCGATATGATGGATATCGCGAAGTCATCAGAACGGAGGATAGACGGTGGGCAAACATATAATACGGAACCCGCAGAATGAGCAACCCTCGCGCCTTGGAGCCGGGATCCTCATGGTTAAGCGAAGACGGACGGGACGTGCCGTTTTCCGTTCCAAGTATGTGACTGGAGTACTCGGTCTGAATGGCATGACAAATTTTGCCCTGGTTTGGCCCCCACCTTTTGGAGAGGGGTATTATATTGTCCTTGGCATTTGCTTGCGGTGCTTATCCACGATGCCAATATTATCTTATTTGTCCAGGTAGTAAATGGCCTGGCCCCCGATTCAGGTGTTACCCATCGCTCCACAACCCTCCGGACGTTCGTTGCGCAGTTTGAATGTGCCCTGAGGCAGTAATAAGGAGTGGTGAGCCTCTCGCCACCCCTTATTGTAGAAGGACTCGTATCTCAGATCGGTTGTTGCGAGCAGCCAAAGGGAGGCAGCGTGCCCTCGTTTAGCCCCCATCAGCTAGCGAACATGGGTAAGCCACGCTGAGCCACCTGGAGACCGTAATGGCAGTCCAGGCTCTTAATCCATTACCCGCCGCGAGTGGGCCGATCACGGGGGCTAGGTCGCCACGGCAAGGCCATTAGATTAAGCTACTTTAGAGTCTTGCTTGGGGAGCTTGTCTTTACCGGCGAAGTCTAGAGATTAATATTGGCAAATCTCCCGTGCTGAAAAGGATCATTCCGAATCTCTTCGATGCGCACTATTACTAGGACATTGATCAATTTTGCCGTGTGCTTGATCAGCACAAAGCGCCCACGAAGGCTCAAACTCCATCAAAACGCGTCAAGATACGGCGTACTATAGTGAGTATAGAGATAACCCTAAGGACTGGTCAGGTCTAACGCCCCGACGACAGGAGCAGAAAATTGCAGAAAATCGCTCGAATGGGCCAAGGGCGACATTCAAACGACGGCCTTCCCCGGCCGACGAGGAGCTGTATCAAATTTATCAAGGGGCCGTGCTTGACCACTTGCAAATCCTCCTCGAGCCATCAGGCTGGGGATGCCCAGGAACGGTTCTGCCGGATGAGGACCACTCCAGAACCCGTACATTGCTACAGGATACCCTGGGAACATGTCTGCCGTGTTTTCCAGGCCTTCGCAGTGTTGGGCTAAGATGCTATGCCGACCATAGCGCGTCCACAATTACTGTGAGAGGGATCCAGCGGCTGGGAAGTCGACTTGGGTACAATCCCGTCGAGTCCTGGCCCCCTCACAACCGCCCCGATGTTGCACCATCCTCCTGGGGTAGATCCCTTAACGGGGATGTGTTTGATATGCCGGTCTTCGCGACTCTAACCGCCGGTATAGCAGAGGCGGGTATGGGAATTCAAATCGAGGAACTTGAAACTGGCCCTCTGATGGCAGACATGGGCGATCAACAAGAACTAGTATCCCTATCCCTCCAGCCGATTTTCAGCCACCTGCGCCGTTTGTCCGCGACAATTGCTTCCTCTCACATTGAAACAACAATGCGCGAAAAGCTTCAGCAAGACGAAGATAAACTGCTACCCTTGCCAAAGGGATACTCCGCGTGCAACGCAAGAACCGCCACAATTGACCAAAATAATGACCATCAGACTATTCGGCGACAAGAACAATAGCCAAAGATACTGCAAATACTTGCCGCCGCCGTACCAGTTCTGGAAGACTTGTCTCTCTCTCTCCCGATTACGTCAAGGTTGCCGGGCCACGACCACATGCACGCTCTTAGGAGCTGGATATCCGGGCTGGGTCTCACAGATTCACATTTCGCCTGGATGGCGCACAACTTTCAACTTGCAGCTCTACACACGCTCTGCCTGGACAATCTTGCGATCGCAGTCTCCGATTTCACCTCCTTCCTACAGACTGCCCAACCCACCTTGAGAAAGCTGAGTATTTGGCGCGTCCACTGAACCAAGGGGCGTGTGGTTGGGATGTCTCGCGCAGAGAAAGGCGAGATCATCAAAGAGGCGGAGAGCGTTTATCAGCTTATTTGTGAACATCTGCAAGATTGCTTTTCACTGGAATCCCTAGTCCTTGAGACATGGTACTACCAAGCGAGCCGCATTCTAGTGATTGATCCCGATCACTGGCGGGCTCGCGGTCCTTCTGCCCATTCCTGTACCACTTATACATCGCCGACGGTGAGGTATGGGAGAGAACGAACGATCAGCTTCAAGGCGTGGCTGGATCAGCTCATATTCATCGCTAGTGATCCCCGTGTGTCTGCAATGTTCCGATAATACGTTTTACGCACAAGAAGAACCGGCATCATAGACATGATTTGGCCTTTCCTCGTTAAGCGCTGTGGCGTCAATTTTGTGTTATTCCGGCGGCTTCCAGACGGAAGCACGGAGAACAGTCGAGTACATGTAAATAACTACTTGCGTCGGGTTTCAATATTTTTGAATATAATATTATGCTTTTATGGTATACCAGGATCGCTAGAACTAAACGGACCCTCCTGTGAGTCATGCGGCCAGTCAAGCGCTATAACCCCCGCCAATCGAGACTTCCTGCTCGCCAGTTCGCGCCCAACCGGCTCTCTCCGCCCCTGTTTCTGGAATAGGGGCTTCCACGTTGCTGCGGCTGTGCATATGATATTTATGGCCAACTCGGTCATCTCCCAGAACAGGGCGGCAAGGTTGTTTAACTTTAGGTTGGCACCGAGCCCTGTTGCGATGTACGGCATTCGGATAATCGTTGCAACTCCAGCTCTAAGACCGCGTCAGAGTGGCAACAGCTAATAGCAGAGGTAAATAAAAGTGGATACCCACATTGATCCCAGCCCGAGCAGAACATGGACCGAGATTTTTGTTCGCAGACTCATATTGCATCCCCGTAGTAAGATACAGGGGAGTACAAGGCCTAGTATCACATCCGCCGTCAAGACCCACGCCGCATGAACCAGGGCAGCGGTAGTCCGGGTCCACGCGGCCTGGCAGTCGCCGTGGCTACCTGATCCGGAAAGTTGTTCCCACAGAGAGTTGAGAGGTTGGCAGTAGAGGAGCCCCTGGATGATTGTTGACACGGTGACAATGGCCCCCGCCACTAGGGTCGCATAGAGGACGATGGTCTGACGGGGCGTTTGGACGATGCGGGTGAGGGTTCGGGCAAAGGACAGCTTCATGACAAAGGTACCGAGGAGATATAGCATGTCGGTGCTGAAGCTCAACTGGCCACAGAAGACTATTAGCAACCTATACTTTGATCTGTGCAGGCAGAAAACTCACCTTGATCCCCGTCATCTGCATCTCTAGGCTCAACCCATACTCGTCGGCAGAGAAATGGTTCCATGAATTGACCATGAACAAAACGGCAACAGCCGTAAAGATGATCTATAAAAGGGGTGGGAAGGCGATGTAAAGGGGTAATGTGCGGCATACAGTTCCAATAAAAGCCAGGACATCATCGAGCCAGGGCCCACTAAACAGGTGTATCCGCACATAAGCCCGGACTGCCATCGACAGCCAGGCCGTGACCGAGGTGCAAAGGCAGGCGATTAAGCACGACAGCGGGTCGTACCCCATTGTTAGGTAGGGCAGTGAGCCTCGAGGAATTCTGGAGCTGTTAACCATCATGAGGATTCCTACAGTCCATTCTCTCACACTGTCGATAGCAGCCGAGAGGGACATTATCGTCTTACCAGCTGGGGTGAGGATTCACACATCAGATGTGTCTGCGGTACTGCTAACCCAGGGGAGGGGGACGGAGGAGATCATATGGAAGCGTGCACAGAAAATTCTGGTCGGCCGATGGTTGCAGGGATATGGGGTAATAAGGATTCTGCGGAGCAGGAACCCTGGGTTTAGCCGAACTCTAAAGCTGGGGGCAGATTTTTTTAGTCTGAATCCTGGGAATCAATAGCTATTTCCTTATTCAAGCTCAATCTGCGATACCAAATCATGGCCCGTCCAATGGAAATCAGACCCCTATTTTGGCCGATGAGGGGGCTCGCTACAGATAGTAATCTCGGGCACTACGCCGGGGTCAAAGGCAGAACCAAAAAACTCGCAAATCCCCCACCGGTATGGACAACGTGCCGGCCGTGGTTCAGGTTCTTTAGGTTCCGGTGGAGGGGCGGATACTCGGGCAAGATGGGGTCGTGCCCTTTGACCTCGAGCCTCAGCGTCTCCCCCGCATCAAAGGCAATACCCCCCGCCCACAATGGGATCCGCAGCTCAACCACGTCGCCGGGTGCGACCTTCTCTTCCTTGTCGTGCGGGAAGAATAGCTCTGTTGGCTCGCGGTTGCCCTGCCGGTTCTCGGCGATATCTGGCTCCTCCGCAGTTGCTCGCTTGGACGCTCGCAGCCGCCCGTTGGGTCCCACGTACTTGTAGATGTTGACGTCAGGAATGTCCTTCTCCGTCACTCCGGCGGCTTGGTGTTCAAAAGGAATGTTGAAGTTCAACAGCGCGTTACCATCCTTGTCTAATTTGCGGAGAATTACGTAGACGTCCATGTCATCGAGGTCCTCGCACGACATGTAGAGGACTGCTTGGGACGACCCGATCAGCTCAGTGGGTTCATCAAAGGTCCAGTTGAAATGGGCACCGTCGTCGTCCCACGAGTCGGATTGGTATGAGACTTTAGTCTCCTGCGCGGGCTGATCGACGAGTAGCCTGCCGCTTGCTGCCTCCAGGTAGAATCTGCGGTATTGGACGCGAGACGGGGGGTAGGCGTCCTCCGCGCGGAAGCTGATCGGAGCCCGATTGTACCGCAACAGTGAGAGACGAACGCGAGGTGTATTTTCCCACCCGTTCTCCTTGCCAAGCAAGAAGTGGTCGAGGAACCGTTGCAGGTCATCATTGGCAAATGGCTGGTAGATGTCAAACCATTCCTGCGTCGGGTGAACACGCAACCTTGAACGTTGTCAGCGGCAGCCTTGACTTTAGTGGACAATCGTGCACAAACCATTTCTCGTTAGAGCCGGCATACTTCCACGCTCTGATCGACCCTTCTGTGTGGAGACCCGTGGAGTAGCTGGCCAGGATATACATTGGCACGTCAATATCATGCAAGCGAGGCCGTTTATCCTCCCAGTAGGCGTTCATCAGAGGGTATTTTTGGATCATCGCCGCAACATCTTCGCGAGACGTTTTCCCTACTCAAATTAGTGTCTGAACAAGTCTCAAGTGGTACCGGATTTACCATTGAACTCCTGCATCAACAGGTCCCAGAATGCGTAGTTTGGAATGCCGCCCCGGCAGATGCTTTCGCGGTAGAAGTCGCCGATTCCTTCCCAGGGCGCAATTGCTTTGAGGTGCGGCGGCTTCTCAGCAGCGATATACCTATTTCCTCGCTCAGCAGAAATACAACCAGAGCCCTGGGGGTGACCTTACCACTGGGTCATAGCAAGCCAGGAGTTGCCAACAAGAGCGACATTCCCGTCGCACCAGCTCTGTTCCGCCATCCATTCGATCGTATCGTGCCCATCGCGGCCCTCCTTGAAGCTAGTCAGATTCCAACTTACCACGCTCGCCGGAGGGGCTTACCTGTGAGCCGAGGATGAAGATATCGCCTTCAGAGTCAAAGACACCACGTGCGTCAACATTGACAACCACGTACCCACGAGGGCACCATTCGGCTGGGTCCGGGGCTTCGAACTTTTCCAACCCACTCAGATGCTCATGACGTACCCCGAGATACGTGAAGCTGGTGGTTTGATGGTGGCCTAGGCAACTGTCAGCGTAACAATCTCCCTCCAGCGACTCTGCGAGACTGACCACTTCCGGTCTTCCCATAGGGACTCCAGGGAAGAAGAGCGGGGAGCGGGACTCCGTCCTTGTCTGCAGGACGAAAGACGTCGCCCCGAAGGACAGTGCCGTCGCGCATGCTGATGGCCACATCTTTCTCCCAGATAATCGCCTCTCTCAGTGCCCGACGGCCAGGCTCCCGTTGCCATCCTTTGGGGAGAGTGATCTTGGAGGGCTTGAATTCGGTCCAGTAGTGATGATATCCCTGGTTCGTTGGGGTGAAAATGACCTCAATCCCACCAATCGTGTGAGACATGGTTGCGACAAACGGAGTTGCGATTCTGCTCAATTGCTGCCATCTTGCTGCATTCCGATGCCCTTATAACTCCCCGGAGTAGCCATCATCCCCACGCGGAAAAGTGGACGGCCACCGGAGGTAGACCGCGCGTGATGGTCCTGTAGATGCACGAGGGCGGGGTGTGTTTTTCCATGCGTGTCTCCCCGATCCGGTGGGGGACCCATGCTCCCTTCAACTCCCGACAAGACGACCCAATGGGGGATGCAGGTGGACGTAGTTGAGAGATGAACAAATTAAGTAATGACACAGTGTATATTTTGTCTAGACAAGGCTTCCCTCTCATGGAGATGTGTGCTGAATGTCTTGGGCATGAACGGACGAAACTCAATCAGAGCATCAAACAATGTGCAATTCTATCGTAAGATGTAATCTAACCACTGTAGCTACATGTTTAGATCTGGAAAGGCACCTCCGCCTTCAGCTGCTGCCCTTCAACCACTGGTGGTTCCGCAGCAATTAGAATGCACAGAAGCCTGGCCCAAGAGTCTGTCTCGTTGTCCCATCCATGCATTGTCGCCTGCTGCACCACCAATTCACCCTCCTTGACCAGAGTGCGCGATCCATCGTCCAGTGTAAGCACAATTTCTCCCTTGGTGACATAGATGTAGTCCAGTGTCATTGACCGGTGCACCATTCCTTTCGAGTTTGGGGGGAAATCCACGATCCTGCAAATAGTCCCGTTGTTCGACAACCCGGTTTCCGCAAGGCCCATATCACTTGTGGCATCTGCGCGCGGTGGTACCTTGTCGCTGGCCCAAAGACGGGTGATGTATGGCCCGTGGCCGGCCTGGCGTGCACTGATGAGGCCATCTCGCTGAATTACCGCTTGGATCTCGTTGTTGTGACCGGTCACAATGCGGCGAACCGTGGGGAGAGGCTGTTCGGTTGATTGGGTCATGGTTGATAGCAATAGGACGAGAGTAACGACAACGACCCAGTAAACAAGACGTAGGAAGAGATTTCGAGGTCTGCGGCGTGTTTGAAAGAAAAGGTGGCTGCTGGATCATGCGTCGCCTGCCAGGTACACAACAGAAATAAATATACTAATCAGCGCTGTACCACTCACCTCGTGCCCATCTCCCAATGAGACAGCCACGGACGGCGAGATACGGAGGTCTGGTCGGGTATCCTCCTCCGGTGGGGGATCGTAGTTGGGCATACGGCTGTTTCCACCCGGAATAATGATTGCGACAAAGAGTAGTAGTTCGGTTGTCGGCTCTACAGCCGAGGGGTCCAAAAGCAGACTATACCCATCGCACCAGCCGTTGGCCCTGTATCTGGCATTTACTGCATCGCGTTCTCTACCGCAAAATGGACGAAATCGGGCTTGCCGAACTCCGCGCGTTGGGCGAGCAGAAGGACGAGACAAGAGGAAAGTGGTACACTATTGCGGTAAGCCTGAACCAGTGGACAAGGGGCATGAGTCGGCTCGTTACTGACGCCGGGACAGGCTGTTGCCGTCGCTGCCGCAGGAGGAGGTGGCAATGTAGTCAATATTTACGAGATGGCAACGGCTGGATTGGGCGTCGAAGACGAGAAACAGGTCCAGCGACGTCTGAAAGAGGCGATCCTCAAGACAAGCATTCTCTATGGAATACCAAAGTCGCTGCAGGCACTTCTCCCGTTATTTGCGACCCTCGACGACGATCGAATTGACCATTACGGGCCTCGGTATTTCAAGAACCCAGTCACTTTGGGAGCAAACTACTCACTGCAGCGAATAAATAGGACGGAAAAAATGAATAGCAAGGAGCCTCTCTCTGTTCGGCAGGACCGTGCTCGAGCATACTTTGACACACTCTGGACTCCGGCTGCAGCACAGGCGAATCGAGAAAAAAACTTCAAGTACCAGCCCGACCTCTGTACGACTTCCCCCATCCATCCGGCGGAAAGTGGCTGACAGAGTATACAGACCTGCTGAACCTCGAGATGATATATGAGCTCTGGATCAGCGAGACAGACATTCTGGACCCAGTGGAAACGCAATGCTGTAATGCGGTCGCCTTGATCTGCTCTGGATCCCCGGTGCAGGCAATGTGGCACACAAGGGGAATCGTGCGCCATGGAGGGACGCTAGAGGTGGCAAAGTTTGCGCAGGGTATTGGCCTCGCAGTAGCCAAGGCGTACGGACTTGACACTCAGAATGTGGTCAAAGTTGATGATATCCCCTTTGATGACACAACACCACATTGATCCCCGTTGACAGGGTTAGATTTTGACACAGTTAAATTACAGATATGACCACATTTCATGCACTATAAGGAGAAGTCTTCAAGCCTTTACAGCTCCCCACCTGCCAAATGTAAACTGGCTGTTACACATATTGGTCAACTCCCAATCCTCTGCCCCCAATTCAACCGGTGTCCCTGCATCCTCGGGTGCCCCAACTAAGCCGACCACAAACATGGCACTCATAATATGGTCATCCGTGGCATGGGCATCGCGATACTTGGGTATCTTCATGAGCATCGTGACTGCCTTTCGAAGTTGCGGACCCGACGACTTCATCAGTGCATCTTCGAATTCCTGGCGGAAGTCGAGGGCCCAGTTTCCTGGAGGCGATTCCATGGCGAAATTATCTGCATACCGCAGCAGGGGACCCCAGACATTTCGGTAAAGATTGTGGACAGTGCCACCGGATCCGATAAAAAGCACTTTTTCGCGGCGAAGGTCACGTAGGGCAGCGCCGACTCGCATGTGGTAGTGTGGATCGAATCTCGCATTCATGCTGATGATTGTCGTGGGCGGGCAGCCGTTGGGGAAGGTGCGGATCAAGATCAGGTACACATCGTGAATCCAGGTGAAGGTCGGGTTTGCTTTGGCATTTAAGCCTGCCTGGCGCAGGGTCGAAATCACTCGCTCGCCCATTGGCAGATCAGGTACCAGCTCATAGTCGACGTACTTGCGCGGGTGGACGCCGCCAATGGGGGCTTTGGTGGGATGAGGGTTGGCCGCAATATGGATTTCGTCGCCGACTGCGGCCCAGTGCGCCCCCTATGTACAGGTTAGTCGACAAAATGATCTTGGTTGTAGCTGCAGACATACCATAATAATGACGTGCTCGATGCCATGAGTGAGGGCCGCATCGCCGCATCGCTTCCAGTAGTCGGCAGAATCTGATTCCTCGCCCAGCATGGCGGTCGATCCATGGGAGAAGAAATGGACTGGGGCTAGATCAGACATGATGGTTGCACTGCCACTGTGACTGCACGCACCGCGGGGCCCTTTAAGCTTGGGAACGCGTCACCGCCACTTATCCGGGCTTCCGGTGGGGGTCCAAGAAAAAGACCAGCGTGGACCCCAGAAATACCCCGCCAGGCTAAACGGACTCCTCCCCCATCTTTCCTTCCATCCTCCCCATGTCGCCCTCCCCAACCCCGGAGTCACCAGCTGGGCCGAAGCAGGGCCAGAACTGGTGCAGCGAGTGTCAGCGCTCGTTCGATCGCTCGGACCATTTTGCCCGCCACATCCAGTCACGTGAGTCCTCGCATTGTGAAATCCTGCATCCTGCAACTGACGCACCGCACCTTCAGACCAAGACCTGCGTCAGTTTCAGTGTCCCTGGTGCCCCAAATGCTTTAACCGGGGCGATCTCCTCCACCGGCACAAGCAGATCCACTCACGTCGCAGAGACGGGGTCCAGTACGCCGCCCGCGCCAGTCGGGCCTGCCGAAACTGCGTCCAGAGCAAAGCAAAATGTACCGATCACAAGCCGTGCAAGCGCTGCGCGAGCAAGGGTCTTACCTGCGAAACTGCCGTACGCTCGCGGAAGCGATCGCATTCTAATCCGCCGCAGGCCATCATTGCCACCCCCGAAGCTGCCCCCGACGTGCAGCCTCAGGACTTTGCCCAGGTGCACGCCACCCCCTCGGGCATCGAGCCTGGCAGCGTCGCTGACCCCGGTCCGGATCCTGTATTCCATTCTATGCGGGGATACTCGATTTTCGATTCATTCTTCCAGCCGTCCGACAGCTTCGAATTGGACGCGACCTGCTTTGACCTGGACCTCGAGACCCTCCAAGTGCTCACGCTACCTCCATCCCGCGATCTGGCCCAGGGCGATGTGCAGCTCCTGAACCAGCCCAGTCCGGCCTCTTCGCGGTTCGAATTCTTCAAGCGGTCTCCATGGCTCTGGACCCCTGTCCGCGTCGACCATGCCTACGCCGGTCAGCAGAACCTTGGGGTCAACGAGAGTGCCGTCGACTCTTCCTTTGGCCTGCAAGAACGCCTCTACTTCCAAAACAGTTTAACCAACAAGCCAGTGGACTCTGCCTGCCGCGACAGGATCTTGTATATGATCTTCCAAACCGCCAAATTCCCCTCCATCTCACTCCAGTCTTTTCCATCGGCCCATTTCCTTGATCGCATGGTCCAGGTGTATTTTGGCTGGAATGATCTGCAATCCGCGTCTTGGGTCCATTCCTCGTCGTTTGTTCCCACCGAATGCACTACCGAACTCTTGGGGCTCATCATCGCCGCCGGGTCGACCTCGATATCGATTCCCACAGTATGGAAGATGGGATACGCTCTTCAGGAGCGGTCGCGTTTATCCCTTTCTGCGTCTGTATGTTCCTTTACTCCGCCGGCACGTGCAACGGCTACTAATAAGCGCAACCGGACTAGATTGAAAGTGATAATAGTCGAGTGCGTGAGTTGCAGATAATGCAGGCATATCTGCTTTGGGTCTCAATGGGACTCTGGAGCGGCTTCAAACGGAATATGGAGATTTCCGAGAGCTTCCTCGGAGCGCCAATGACTGTCAGTATATATGGCGACTGTCAGTGGTCCCTTATTGACTCGGCTAACAGATGCTGCGACGATGTGGGAGCTTTGCACGCCATCCCTATGCGCAGACACCCCGACCATACGTGACTGACGACGACGAGATACTGCATGCAAAGTGGATAGCGTGGGTCCACCAGGAATCACTGAAGCGGTGGGACGAATCCTCCTTTATGGCTGTGACGGAACTTTACTGACCGCGAGGCCACTCGTAGTACGGCTGTATTTGCACTCATCACGGACCTTCGATGCTCGATGGCCTATCTACGACCCCCAACTTGCTCATTGACGGAGCTCTCATGCCCGCTGCCTGCCGCGCGCGATATCTGGTTGGCTCCCAGCGCAGTGGCCTGGAGGGACGCGATCCTCACCAAACCTCCAATGGGCGACAAGGAGGTACCATCCTGGGCTGCCATCATGGAAGATGGCTCACTCTTAGCCGGTCTCGAGACGCATTACGACACGGGGTTGATTTCACTCGCGATCGTCCATGGATTTTGGTCGCAGGTCTGGGGGTACCACGAATCTCTGCGGTTCTTCAGACACAAAAGCAGCCATGCAAGCCAGGCCCGGACTATGCTCTGGCTGTCCTGTCAGCAACAAGACCTCGCGCAATGCCTCGTCGCCTCACAACACGAGCTTTTCAAATACGCCCTGGACCCGGCCCAGTTTCAGATTATCTCCGAGTTCTGTCTCATGGCGTTGAATGTCTCTCCCCGCGAGCTACAGCTCTTTGCAGGACGCCTGGGGGAGGAGGAGGCAGAGACTACGCATCAGATCCTGCAGCAGTGGATGATTGGCCCCGAGTTTAGAGCAGCGGTATGGCACGCAGGACAGATTTTCCGTCTAGCACGGACTCTGCCCCTGACGCAGCTGCGAGAGTTCTGCGCTATCTGTCTGTATCAGGCCAGCTTAACGCTATGGGCATACGGATTGCTTTCAAAAGCGTCTCATACCCTGTCGACCTCTGCTCCCACGGTTGGAGACCAGATAGAGGAGCTACAAGTTCGCGTAGATGGACTCGAGAGCGCCGCGAGCACAGCGTTTGTCGCCTTGGGGCGAGGGATCGCCGGAATCTCCCTGGGTTTACACAAAGCCTTTTGTCCCCTTACCGATGTGGAGAATGTCATGAGGGGCGCTTGTGATATCTACCGCGACAACTTCGGGCTCGACACGGCATCTCTTCCGCCATTGCTGGAAAGCCTCATAACACTGATGACCGACTTGGGGAGCATTTCGTCGGATACCCTGACTACCGCTTTGTCTTTAAACGGATGAATGCCATAGTTTCAGTTTTATTCCCCGTATCAAATCAATAGATTCCGTTCTTCTCACCTTGTAACATGTTCAGCCCAGCCTGCGCCTAGTGTAGCGACGAACCAACACTCAAGTAAGCAACCAAGGGTCTGCCCTACTCTAGGTACCCTGCGATAACCTCTGATAATTTTTCACGGCCTTTGCTCACTGTTTAATCATACCGCCAAATTCCAAGAGGCAGCGACCCAGGAACCAGATTGAAATGTTCATAAAGTCCGGCGATGGCAGCGCAAACCCCTAGCTGTGCACCATCGAGGCAATGATGGTGCTTTGCTCCAGGTAGCTGATGTTGCGCCCAATACATCCGCGAGCCCCAGCGCTGATTGTGATAAAGTACGGCTGGGGTTTCTTGCCCTCCTCTTCCAACCAGCGCTTGGGGCGGACTGTCTCCGCGACGAGTTGCGAGAGGGCTACCAATTGGCTGTTGTCAGCCGGGCCGTCGATCTAGGTGGAGGATGTGGAAAAGTTGAGAGGTCTGACATTCTGAATAACTGGGGAAACGACACTATTTAAGCACAGGGATCGACTAAACTAAATAAGGAGACAGGGGCTATCCAATATTACTGCTCCAATCGCTGTATCTCGTGAGTCCTGAGAGGAATGTTCGATGGAATGGTGAGAGGAATGCTTGCGCGGGGTCCGGAGCTAGGGGCTCCGGCCGACAGCTGTGCTCGTCACGCCACTAATGGTATCCGAGGTTGTTAAATCATTGTCCTGGTCAAGGAACCCTAGGGGAAGCACTGAGCCCAATGTCGGCGATCCCGTCCATCATGACCAGGTTGGTCCACATTCGCCTCTGTTGCCGCTTCGCCACTGGGCGCACAGCACTGGTCAAACTTTTTGGCGAGTCTGCTAATCTTATTTGCAACCTTGAACTCCCATTCCTTTCGGTTCTTGACTGCGTAAGTACTTGTCGATGACATCGGCCAGGTAATAGAGGGATCCAGGGAGCAGGTTATACACATCATCGTTTGTGCACTTGGTAAGGTGGCCGTATATATCCTGCGTTTCCTGTTAGCTTCCCTTTTTCAAGAGATTGTTGTATACTTACTTTTAATTGCACGGGCGTTGCCGTACGATAGGCAGTTCGGTCCAATGCAAATAGCTGGATGCGTCTTGTGAAGTTCGGCCAGGCGCTTGGAGGGAAATCCGCGACCAGCTTCCAACAAGGGACCCATGTTGGGGTATTGTGCAGCCCTTGAGGTCCACAACGTACATGACAACTGGGTAAAGGAGGAAACGAATGGACAGCAGTAGTGGTACTACACAAAACACGAGAATTTCAAACATTGTTGCATGTAGTGGGTGATATCTTGGTCATTGCGTTCAATAATGGATCTTGGATTTCAGCCATCTTATAGTAGGGCGCAGCTTGAGAGCTCAGACTGCGTCATGTGTACGAGTGATTATCTTGTGGTATTGCCTCGTGATATTTCGCTCAGCAAGGGAAAAGGTCCCGAAATTGTGTAGCGTTGGTGGAGTTTTGGACAGGCCTGGCGCTTTGGTAACTGAATTCTGTCCCCTTCCCCAACTGTCCCCGCATCGAGTCTATTGGAGGCCTTGAAAGTAAACACAAACCGACCCTGAGGTGCGGGGAAAGATTCACCTCTATGAAACAAAAGTAACGTCCAAGATTGGAACGAGACTAACTCACAGCAGCTCCGACAAGTTACCGACTCTCTCAAGCTCAGCATTTATCCCGACCGTGCAACGGCTCCAACTTGCATTCTAATCCTCGTGCTGACGGTTCTTTTCTTGCTTGATTCCTCTTTATTCAACAAGGACCCATCAAGTACGTATGGCATGAATATCCTCAGAGTGAGAAGGGATAAGAGAAGATAATTCAGAGTAACAATGGGCAACTCCCTCGTGGATGAGGTGTCAGCCGGAGTTACATGCTATATACCTGAACTGCTGCATTAATTGTAGCCGAGGCTTTTTTAGTGCAGTGGTTTCGGCCCACATGAGGTGTGTTTGTTTTCGCTCCATCGAATTATGAGGCCTACTAATACTTGCTCACAGGGAAAGGACAGTATCATCTTTTACGGTTCGCGGTCGGGAAGAGCATACTAATTAGCACAGTACCTGAGCCGTGATATATCGAGACGGTTCTCCAAGGCTACTTACTCTCTGGTTGGGAACCTCCGTTTGGCAATGTTAGGCCTAGGAAACAGTAAGTACGAGTACTACAACAAATTTGCGTTGCGGGCTTCCAAAAACTCGAACACCTGGGAGCTGCCAGCTAGAGGGCCCTTGACGAGCTTGCTCAAAGTTACAAGGGTCCATGTTTGGCCCGGCGCATGACACTCGCCTCTGTGTTGCGCCATTGCGATCGTGCTCCCTCAGCATGGACAACTATAGCCCAATTCTTCCGGTTGGAAAATCTTCTTCCCTTTAAGCCACGGTACTACTCAATCACGTCAACTCCGGTTGTCACATCTCGGGCGATCTCATTCACAGTAGCTGTCGAGGACATCCATCTGACGCCTGGCGAGCAACTACTCGGTCTTGCCTCCGGCTCCCTACTAAGCGTCCACGATGGCCACGGTAGAGCCCCCAAGCCTTCGCGCGGGATCTGGTGCACCGTTCGAAAATCAAAGTTCAAGGCCCCCGTCTCACCAATGCATCCGTATAGCGAATGGGTCCGAGGAATGGGTTGGCTGTCTCAGCATCGGATGCACAGCATACTTGCGGCCAAGGAACACAGATTTGGCATTAACTGCATCGTAGTATCCCACACGGCCTCCGGAGTCTGATGCATCCCAACGGGCACTTGGTTTGTCTCCATTGCGATACCGGCATTGTTGACGAGTCTAGTTGGCGCACTCAATATTAGCCCTTTTTCTGACGATTGCAAGAGCCATACTCACATGTCTAGTCGACCGTATACCTTCACAGGTTCCTGCACCAGGTGTTCAAAGTCCTGAGGTGAGCTGACATCCGTTTCGACGAACAAAGTGTCTGCATCCTGGGCCGTTATCAGCTCGTCTGTGCAAGCTGCTTCTTGCAAAATCTCACTGCGAGCCTCCCTCTTGAGATCAGCGCATAGGACTTTGGCCCCTTCACGGGCGTAGCCAAGGGCTATAGCTCGTCCAACCCTGAAGATGATCCGGTGACAATAGCAACCTTGCCTTCGAGACTGGGTGTTATTTTATACTATTCAGTGTCGTCACTTGCTTATTTCGGGAAGGAGACGTGCGACTTTGATTGTATAAATTATGCACTAGTCATAAGGTGCTACATACAGAGAGAGTCGGGTTTTTTTATACGCATAGTCCATTGAGAAATATCATTGCTTTGATATACAACATCCTGAAAGACACCACTTGGCAGTAGTGACGTTTGGAAGAGTGTCGCCGGGGGCAGTTTCCAAAAAAAGGAAGCGAATTCCGCCCAAATGTCGGTCAGATCGTGCTGTGGATAGCATTAGAGAAAATTTATAATCAGGATATCCGGCTGTATTTGTAATCTAGTGTTGTCCCTGAGACATTAAATGAGATCGTCACCATGCTAACTACCGGTGGATATAAAGTCGTTGGAGTTGGACATCAGAACAGACCCTCTCAGCAATTTTTGACCACGGCTTCTACTCTACTACAATTGATCTCGCATCCACCGATCTCCCAATCATTTCTACAACAGCTATCGTCTGTACTAGCCTTGGCAATCCCCAAATTAAGCAGGTGCCTCTATCCAAGCTGCGGGATGACTATATCCACGTACGAGTCACAGCAGTTGGCCTGAATCCAACAGACTTGAAGCATATCGACTTCGGCATGGCAGACGTCGGAGCTCGAATTTGTTTGACTAGACCGGTATCGTTGTGGAGGGCGTCGGCAAAGTGAGAAAAGAGTTTAGAAAAGGTAATCACATATGCGGCGTTGTTCACGGAGAGTGAGATCCCAAGCAATCTTGACTGCAGTGGCACTTTGTCCTAACATCTGGCACACCAGGGACCGAAGTCAGCATGGAAATGGTGCGTTTGCCAACCATATAGTAGCCAAAGGGGATACTCAGATCAGAACCCCAAATGATATCAGCGACCACGAAGCGGCTACACTCGGCATATCCATCTCAACAGTGGTAGGTCCAGCTTTAATCCTAACAGTACTGCCAACTAACTCGAACAGGGCCTAGGCCTTTATCGAGCTCTTGAGTTGCCATCTCCTCATCTCTCTACGTCGGCATTCAGCAATCATTATCTACTTATCTATGGCGGAAGCACAGCAACCGGCATTTTCTGTATTCGATTTGCCAAGCTATCGGGGTATAAGGTCATTGCAACCCCTTCGCCAAAGAACTTCGAGTATCTCCAATCGCTTGGTGTTGAAGAGGTGTCCGACTATAGAAGCCCTGCAGTGGCAGATGAAATCCGAAAGTACACCAGCAACAGCCTGACGCTTGCCTGGGATTGTACCAGACATGGCGCAGCGATATGCGAGGGGCCTTTGAGTACAGGGGCAAATACGCATCGATTATTCCAGTTTCTCAAGACTCGCTCGTGGCTGCTAATCCCAAGGTTGACGGTCCCCCTGTGACTCTAATGTACTCAGTCTTCGACGAGCGCTTCAACAAAGGCGACACCGAAACGCCGCCAATTTCTGAAGAGCTTAATTTTGCAAATGAACTCTGGGAATATGGAGGCGGCTCTTGGAACAAGGCAAACTTAGGGCGCCGCGGATTACTTTTAACAAAGGCGGGGCTGGCTTGGAAAGAATCCTAAAGGGGCTGAATGAGCTGAGGGCCGACAGTATGAGCGGCGGAAAGCTGGTTTACACAATTTGATGGAAAGCTTATAGACGAGAAGCGGCAGTGAGTCTTAATATATGGGCCCAATTATAGGGCTGTACAAGGTATAACTTGACTGAACTACCGCACAATGTGGTACTGACGATGAAACTCGTGGGGCGCAGGCGTGGGCGTAAGAATTGTAATATAGCAGTACTTCATCTGGCACTGTTTGCTCTTCCATCCAGATAATTTTGATTTTCAGAATAGACCCTGCGCATAGTATCCATAGGGCTGGTCATTGGTTGAGTAGCCTGTTTTAATGCTATAAAGACACAGGTGGTAATTGATGGATGACATGGAAATTGCGGATACACTAAAGCATCAATTCAAGGCATGAAACATTGCCAAAACATGCTAGTAAAAACATCAAACGACTTTCTATCATTCAAAATACACTCCCCGGCGCAATTTACATTTCAACACAGAGGCCCAGCAAAGGGGCACGAGATATTGGCCGAGAGATCATCTACCCTGCTAAGAATCCCCCTCAATAGGCCTTCACACCTGCCAGCTTCAAGAGCTGATCGGTCAGCTCAGGTTTCTCCAGCGGCTCATCACGCTCCAGAGGATCGATCTCGCCATTCACTTTAGCCTTTCCATGGCCCCAGATGTTGCAATGGGGCCAGTGAGTTGTGGTCTCCCAGCGATGGAACAGTTCTGCCTTCCTCTTCAGGTCCTCCTCCTTGGCAAGGGACGCAGGGGTGTAGCAAGCATAAATAATAGTGCGGATTGTATCGCTCTTAGGAAACTCGGCATAATGCATGGAGCGCGAGTCCCACAAAATAAGGTCACCTGGTTCCGCGCACACCTTGATCAGCTTGCAGCCTTGCTCTTCATACCACTTCACGTGGTGCTCCTTGAAGGGGTAAAAGTCGTAGTGCTTCGCACCAATTCCCTGCGTGCGGTCTGGAGGGTTGAGGCCGAAAAACTTGTCGAAGAGGCGCGAAGAGCCCTCCATGAGGAGCAGGCCGCCATCGTCAGGGCCAGCTTCGGAGAGATTAATAATGCCTTGGACACAGGCCAAGCCCTTGCGCTCCGGGGCCTGGTCGACGTGCGGCCAGGGAGACCAGTCGACATCCTTGCGGCCGGGGAGGGTAATGTTGACTGTATCAAAGGAGACGAGGAGCTCATCCGTACCCCAGATTTTGGCAAAGGCATCGAGGACGCCCGGCTCACTTTACACTCGTTAGCAATTAGTCTGGACAGCTGGGGGAGTACTCTGAACTCACAGTCGCGCATCCCAGACATACTTCTCATGACCGGCGCAGTAGTTGAGATACATACCAGCCTTGAAGCTCTGAGGGAGGTTCCCGGAGGTCCAAGTGCTGCGATCGTTGATATCAAATTTGGTGGGGAAGGACGAGAGCCAGTCGAGCGCCTTCTGGCGGTACTTTAGGGCTCTGTCGCGAGGGATGACATTCTTCAGGACGACGTAGCCCTTGCTGTAGAACTCGTCGCGCCAGTCCCCATATGTGGTGCTGGCATTGGCATCGAGGGAGGGAGCCATTGTGCCTGATGAGTATACAATTTGAGTCTTGATTGATTGTCCTGTCCAAGAGAGTTCTTGATCTTGCTGTTGGATTTGAACACAACTGCTATGATCAGTCACTGCGTTTTATGGTCGCGTCGAAGCTCAAGCTTTACGTTGAGTAAGCTCGGGCTCGGTGTCGCTCGGCCGATGTAGAGTCATGAATAGGAAACGTTTATCCATCAGCTGGACACGCGGGGCCCCGCGTGGCAAAAAGAAAAGGAAGTTAAGTAAAACAACTGGCTTCTGACTGTGGCCACCCCCCTCCCCCTCATTTCCGAGCACCACCGCCACCGGAACAGAGGCCTTTCTTCCTGCTTCGGCGGGGTTCGAAACGGAGGACGCCCGATGGCGATGCTGCGAATGTCGACGCGAAAAAAAAAGGATGAAATAAATCGACAATGGCTGGTTATCGGCTCGTAAAGTGTTCCTCGATTCCTCCCAAAGGCCTTTCTCCCACTCGCCGCAATGCCTCCCCCAGTTCAAGTCGCGACTTTGGAAATCACTGCACCGACTGTTGGCCACAACGGTTATCAAGGATTCAACCCACGCAAAGAAGTCTTGCCCAAGGGTTGGAACGGGTTCAACTCACGCCCATTGGATGAGGACTTGATTGCCGAGCATGACGTTGGCATTCGCGTCCGAGACGGCTGCGTCCTCTACTGCGACATCTACCGACCCGTTACCGACGAACCTGTTCCTGCAATTGTCTGTTGGAGTCCGTTTGGCAAGAAGCACAATGGAATCAACATGATGAAGAAGGTGCGTTGGGGAGTCGGTGTCCCCGACGGGTGCCTCAGCGGTCTCGAACGCTTCGAGGGTCCAGATCCTGCGGCATACTGCCCTCGAGGGTTTGCGATCGTGAATGTCGATGCTCGTGGTGCTGGAGACTCAGATGGCTCCATCGTCATTATGGGAAAGCAGGAAGGGGAGGACGGTCATGATGTTATCGAGGGCCTAGCCAAGTTGCCCTGGTGCAATGGCAACCTCGGCCTGGCTGGAAACTCGCATCTGGGCATTGTGCAATGGTTTATTGCAGCTACGCAGCCTCCGTCTTTAAAGGCAATTGCGCCATGGGAGGCATGCGGAGACTTGTATCGCGAGCAATTTGTCCGAGGAGGAGCCTGGGATAACGGCCTGTTCGACCTCATCACTCGCGAATCCATTCGCGGCCGTCACGGCCTTGAGGACTTCAAAGAGATGTATCGCCGCTGCCAGACAATCAACCCTTATTGGGCGGACAAGCGCGCAGACATCGCCTCCATCATGATCCCGACCTATATTGTCGCCTCCTATTCCAGCTTCGTGCACACAATGGGATCCATTCGGGGATGGCTGCAGGTCAACACTGACCAGAAGTGGCTCCGTTGGGACCCCTATCAGGAATGGTATGACCTCTGGGTCGAGCAAGAGAGCAAGGACGAGCTTGCAGCATTCTTCTCCCACTTCCTCAAGGGCGATGACAATGGCTGGGAGAAGACGCCGAAACTGCGCATGGCGTCGTTGAACTTTGGCGACAAGGACCCCATCTACCCGATCGCAGCGAGCGACTTTCCCCTGCCCGAGACTGAATATCGACAGCTCTTCTTCACCGCAGACAACAAACTCGCCGATAGCCCCCCGTCCTTGGGCCGCGTTTTCGAATACAACTCGGAAAGCGGCACTGACCCGTGCGACTTTGTTGGCTTTACGCATACCTTCCAGCAGCCTACACGCTTAATGGGTCTACCCAAGGCAGTCCTGTACATGTCCTGCCCTGACCTGGATGACATGATCGTCTATGTTCTCATTCGCAAGCTTGATAAGAACGGCAACCCCATGATTAACATCAACATTCCTTGGAGTGCGGCCCCATACAAGAAGGCCGCTGAGATTCCCAAAGAGGAATACTCCAACCTGACTATCTACTATGGCCCGACTGGAATCCTCCGAGCCTCTCACCGGGCGATCGACCCTTCTCGATCAATCCACCCCCAGTATCCATTCCACCCGCACGACAAGGTCGAGAAAATCACACCAGGAACCGTGGTTAAGTTGGAAATTGGCCTGTGGGCAATGGGCACGGACTTTGAGGCTGGTGAATCGCTGCGCGTCCAGGTTTCCGGCGAGTATCCCTTGATCAAGGAGTACAAGGGGGCCAAGGTGGATCTCGAAGTTCGAAACCAGGGGACACATCGCGTGCACGTTGGAGGAGAGAACCCCAGTCATATCATATTGCCATTCGTATAGATAGTTCTTTGTGTGTGAAGTAAGGCATATGCTAAAGCAAAGATTTCCTCCCCTAACAGGCATCTGTAATTGTAAAATAGAGCAATCCCCGTACGTGTGGACTAAGCAAGGGCGGATATTTCCAACGCCAACTTTACAGGTATAGCCATTGCCTACTGCCGTCTCCATAAGCCGCTTTTAACGAAGAAACGAGGGGTTCTAATTACCAGACTGCAGCTGGGGTATCTTGATGGAATGTGCACTGGCAACCCAGGAGATTCTTGAGATACTGAGACAGCCTGCTCTCCACACATAGCGGCTTGTATCAAGGGCGAATGCAGTATGACCTGACCATCTCGAACTGAGTAACAGAAAAATTATCTTACGGAACAGATCATTGGATTATAGGCTACCTCAGAAACCGCTACTGTGCACCATTCCTAACACTGGTACTAACGACGTCAACCACCTCCGAAACCTCCAGCTTCTGGATCCTCCCGATAACATGCGCCAGTGCTGGATACTTGCCAGCTAACTCAGCCTCAATGAGCTTCGAGAAGAAGACCTGCGCGTCTTTCTTGATGGCCACCGTAACGATAATGCCGATAAAGATGTCTTCGCCACGTCCGACAGTGAGCAGGCGTTTATCGCCTAGATTGTATTCCCGAATTTCGGCGTAGCACACTGGTAGCCCTTGCTCGGTGCCGAAAGCGACCCTATCAATATCGTTGTCGAGGATTATGGGAGTGAAAGTCTCGATTTCCTTGCTGCTGGAACTGATGATGGCGTCGGGGATGGACAGGGCTAGACTGGTGTGCTTCGCACTGTGACGAGTCAAGACGAGCGACGCGGTGGCCCAACCTCCCATGGCTCTAATCGAAGACCCGGAGTTGGGGAGGAAAGTCTCCAAATAATTTCGGCGGGTCCGAAATGAGACCCTTAGTGACGGCAACCCTGACAGGGCAGAAGCGAGCGTGGGCAGTTGTGAGGGCCCGAAGACCGTCGTAAGAGGACCCCGATGAACCGCCCCAAATGCTGTAACCATCTCGAGTGTAAGCTGGCTATTTGCCACACGGAGGGGGCGTCAAGCTAATAACCCACCTCGTGACTTAAGCAAGACATTCTCTGCATAGTCGTATGCGTCATGTCCAAAATTGATGCGGGAAAATTCCAGGGCTAGTTATCGTCAGTTAAACCTGCATTGCGCCCTTGTGCAGTGAATTAAAAAAAAAAAAAAAACACCTACGATCGGTTGATGTACCGCCGACTTTGTCGTCAGGGCTTGTCTTGAACGCTGCGAGCCGCGAATAGTTCTGGACCATCGTCGCCCGATCATACCGGCACTTCATATAGAGCTCCAACCGAGACGGAACATCTCCTGGCTTTGTGCCGAGTGGGAATAGAGCACCGAGTGCCGCGCCCTGCGATCTGGTTAGGATGATTAAAGTAGAGCGTATACAGCAGGGCAAGACGTACATCTTCAATGGCCTGCGCACCTCCCTGTCCCTGGTCTATGTTTTACGTTAGATGCTTGGAGATAGAAGTTCAAGCGTCACATACGCGGTAGAAAAGGGTGAGCAGCATCGCCAATGAGACAGCTGCTTCCTGAAATCCAGGTTCCGAGCGCCTTTCGGTCGAGAAGCCTCCACAGCTTGATTTCCTCGGGGTTGACCATGCGCAGTAGGGCTTTCATGGGGGGGCAGAACTCATCGTAGACCTTGAGGACCTGCTCCAGGGAGGCGGCGTTATTCCACCCTACGTCACGTCAGCTGCTTCTCTAGCGCCGTTATCCGTAGTGACATACCCTCTTTGCTTCCCTCGCTTTCTTTGTCGGGATGGAGGCATACGAAGTTGAGCTCCGTATTATTGCTGCGCAAGTCAGCTCAGTTTGCGATGAGCTATTGCACAATCAACATACCGGCAAGGATAGATCACTAGTCTCCGGTAGGTCCCATCCCAGAGCTGCAGTTCGCCGGGGCGTGCAAGTAATTGTCGCGTTTCTGGGTTCTCTTCGACTTTGGAAATTGGAATCAGGAATCGGAACGCGCTCCCACCGGACGGTGTTGGGGCAATATCTTCCTGGGCCACGATCCGGCGCAGGGCGGACTAGACGCCGAGTAAGGGGATTGCATAGCAAAGGCTTTGTGACACAAAGATTAACTTACATGGACGCCATCTGCGCCGATTACAAGATCGCCGGTAATGGTTCGGCCGTCGTCGAGTTTCAACGAAGGCCCATTGCAGTCACATCCGACTACTCTGCTGCGTAGGTGAATAACAGCAGGCCTTCCAGGACCGTCCGGAGTCACAGCCGCGTGCTTCAAAGCCTCGTGCAAATCAATGCGATGACTTAGTTTCCACGGCTGAGACAGATTAGCTACCAGCTTGCACATATGCAATAACGTCCAACAAGTTTTGAACAGGTCACTTACATAAGGGTAGACATTTCGGAGATTCCTCACATCCTTGGTGCTGACAACGTTTCCCTGGGAGTCGTAGACAGTGACCTATATACGTACGAAGGTCAGTTTCAGCCTCGCTGCAGACGACTTCTGCAGCACGTACAAACTCGGCATCATTGCAGTTGAACTCTTCTGGGTTGATGCCAACACGGTGCAGCAGCCCATTGACGTTGGGGGGAAGATGGATGGCAGCACCCAGTTCGGTCGCAAACCGAGAAGACTCAAAGATCTATCATGGTCAGTGGAACAGAGATCCCTGGACAGAGTCAAGGCGGTGCAAACCTCAACATGATGCCCGGCATGCCGTAAAGAAATGGCGGCAAAGAGGCCTCCGATCCCAGCTCCAGCGATCAGGACACGGAGGGGCTTTGCGTCTGAAAAAACGGGCATGGTTGTTTGACGAATGATATGGGTGCCTTGGTAACAGGCCTCTGACTTCATGTCGCCCTGGTGCAGATGTCTTTGAAAGTGGTTAGATATAGCCCAATACGCATGATCTGAGGTGAAGCGCAAGATGCGGGTGTTGCTCCGGATTAAGTGGGGGTCCACGCCAGATGAGAAGTGGACGGAAGAGAGGGGGAGGGCTTCGGGGAGGTAAGCATGACTGCCGGGTCTTTATTGATCCCCCGGATTGGAATGGAATCTAGCTTACAAACAATTCCTATTAAACAAGACAATTTCCGGCGTCCTACAACCAATCATCCCAATCGCCGGTTTGAGCAATGGTGTCCGCATGCGTCCCCATAAAAGGATCGCCGGTCCAGGAGAAGAATCCTATACCAGACTCGCCATCTACAAATTGCGCGGCAGGACTGCCCGCTTGAGAGCTTGTGTAAAGATCCAAGTCGGCCACCTGTTCTGGGGCGTACGTCGGCGTCTTGCCGGACTCTGCCTGCTCCAAGATCATAACAAGGGTTTCTTTATCCATGCGGTCAGAGGGAATGCAGCGGGACTCCTGGATTAAAAGCGATTCTAGCAGATCTGCGCCGCGGGACAACAGACCGCGGGCATTCAGGTCCAGTAAGCGAACTGAAGCCGCGGCGAACTGGATCACTTGGCGGCGAGTCGCGATCTGGTCCTCCGAGAACGTATTCTTGAGGGCTAGGAGGTGCACCGCGAGAAAAACGCCAGCTGCGAGTGTTGCTGAAGATGTTATCCTACACACGGGTTATACTGAATCCCTTTTTTTTTTTTACCAAACAGTGGTGGGACTTACCAACTCCTTTGAACTATGAATGGCTTCGGGCTTTCAGATACTCGTAAGATTTCGAGCGCAGCACGAACGCCCTGGGCGATTGTCAGACCAGGTTGTCCCGGATCCTTCAGACATCGCACAAGGTTTGCTCGGGCCACGGTGATGCGCAGGAAATGGATTGTGTATAGGACCAAGAAGTGCTGACTCTGCAGCCAGGTGGGGGCGTCAGCTGCCAGATGTGTCGGCGCTTGTTGAGTAACCTGGTGGAGAATCTCCTGAACCTGCTCGACAGCACGGAGTAGCTTAGACAAGTCCAGGTCTCTTGGTGCTTTGATATTCGAGTAGACAACCATAGCGAGCCTAGAAATGACCTGGAGATGCCACAGAGGTGAATACCCCGAAGTGGCACTCCAGACAGTGTCTTGGAAGAGAAGCTCCGCGTCACTCGCCGACGGTGACAGACTGGTGTTGAAGCCTGTGAGCGATATTGATGACGGGCGTGACAGCTTACCCAGCCTTCTCCGAGTTAGAACAATTGTAGACCTAGATGCCGGTGGGGAGGGCCCGCTTACCAGTCACAGACAACGAGAGTCCACCAGAGCCGCCGGCCGAGGTGGCGGTCCTCTGCTGTGCGCCATTCTGGTCTCTGCCGGATATGTGGCGGGCAGCTGCCCTCGTTCGCCAGCAAGTGCATGTCCAAACAGCGCGCCGTGTGGATGGCGGTACCCAGCAAAAGGTACTGGCGCTCCATCTGTCCGAAACTGCCATGGCACAGGGTCAAGATGGCAAAAGTTTGGATCGTTCTTAGACTCGGGCGAGCAAGCGGTCGCGATGCATCCAGCTCGTCCATCGCGGCTTCAGACCAGATCTTCGCCAATGCCACGCCGGGATCCGCCTCATCCATGACTGGCAATGCGCCCGGCTGCAGGTGCAGCAGCTGTGGTAGCGGCGGGCGTTGGTCAGGACTGATGTACAGGCATGCGGCCTGCAGCAATGGTCCTCGTTAGCTCAAGGGGTTCGGAACGCGATGGTCAAGTGATTGTGAAGTACCCACCGCAAGAATACCCAAGTACAGGGCCATCCAGCTATGGTCTTTGAGTAGGTCCCTATGACCTCGCTCCATCATTTCCCAAAAGAGCTGGTGCTCCTCCCAGAACTGCCCGGTGCGGACGCCACAATGCAGCCATGACAGCTGGTTCAGCGCAAAGCGGACCAGGGTGTCACTGGCCCCGCGATCGGGAAGCAGCATCAGCATTACTTGCTGAATGGGCTGGTAGAGATGATAGAGGCCAGTCAGCTCGTTTGATTGCCTTTCGGCAGAGGCTCGGCCATGCGACAGCGACTCTAGGATGACCAGAAGGTCTTCCGGACTGTCCTGCGGCCCATGACTCGCCCGGAGCAATGGATCGGCTGCGTACGTCTCCATTAGCGACACGCGGTCTTGGACTAGCAGTCGCTCCTGATCAATCTCGTTTACTCTGCTGTGAGGTTTATCTGCAGAAACCGGAACTGAGCCGGTGCTCTCCGTCAGGACGCAGCTCTGTGCTCGTCCTCGGCGAACGCATGCCTCGCAGGGGTATCCGTTGCGGCATTTCACCTTTCGACGGGCGCATTCTGTACAGCTTCGCGCGGGTCGTCGCGGAGGCTTTGTGGTATTCATTGTGTAAGTGATTTGAGAGCAGTGACTCGGATGTGTTTCTGGTTTTTTTTTTCTGGTCAGGAAGGAAAGAATGGTTTAAGGGAGCCTTTTTTTTTTTGTCATTTTTTGCCATGTTTCGCTAGTTCCCCAGTTTCCCCCACACTTTGACTCTTTCCGGAGGTGGCGTTGGTTCCGAGTCCCGTGGGGGCGACACCCACCGGACCGACCGCTTCAGACTCTCAAGGAGTCTCAAGGAGTCTCAGGCGATATAAGGCCAACGCTCTGTCCACTTGGATAGACTCCTTGCATCGGAGTGCTCAACTGCGGACAATGGAGAGAACGACCGTCGACGACAAAACCAGCGTGGCCCTTGTGGAGAGCCTCAGCGAGGAAGCTGGCAAAGCGCCAGGTCAGGAGCCACGGATTATTGGAACCCTCAAGCTTGTCGAAGGCGATGACATTATTTTGGTTCCTGCGCCCACGCGCGATCCCCAAGGTCCGCTCCTTCCCCCTCATGGTGTGCACATTCTGCTGCTGACACGTCGGCGCTCAAGATCCACTGAATCTGCCCAACTGGCGCAAGTGGCTGATGCTTATTATTGTTGCTCTCTGTATGCTTCTCATCCCCGGCGCCGCGGTGGAAGCTGATCTGTGGTAGATGGCATGACGGGCAACTTGCTGGCCAGTGGGATCGGAGTTCTCGTGCCCCAGCTGCGAGAGTATTACCACGGTGACTCCCGCGTCAATGATCTTGTCACATACCCTGCTCTGTTCATGGGCATCGGCAACCTGATTGCCGTCCCATTCGCCGATGCCGTAGGTCGGCGCCCAGTCTACTTGTTGTCCAACGTTGTTCTTATCGCCGGCGGCATCTGGTGCAGTTACTCCACCAGCCTCGGGTCGCATATTGGTGGGCGCGACTTCATGGCTCTTGCAGCGGGACAGAGCGAGGCTTTGTGTGTCATGATTGCAGAAGAAACCTTCTTTCTGCACCAGCGCGGCAGCCGTATCGCGTGGTTCTGCTCTTTACAGACTCTGGGAACTGCCCTGTTCATCATCGCAAGCTCCTACCTGACTGAGTCCCTGGGCTGGCGGTGGTGGTATGGCATATTCACCATCATCAGTGCTGCCACCTTCGTCCTGAGTATTCTCTTTGTGGCGGAAACAAAGTATGATCGTCCTCTAGACAGTTACTGTACGTGTCTCCCGCTCTCATTCCTGCTACGCGCGTTTCCTAACGGCTACAGTTGGATTTGATCCCCAGGGCAACACCGTCAGGGAAAGCGAGTTCCATACCCGACGTCTCGACTACGACACGTATCCTGAACGCTCCTTCTGGCGCGACCTGCGGCCCTGGGGCCATGTCACGACCAAGTGGCACCAAGTCCCCAAATTCTGGCTCTCCCTGGCGCAATTGTCCCTCTTTCCCAGCGTCCTCTACTTTATCATTCTGAGTGGAGTGCTGCTGGGCACGTATATCGTCATGACTGCCGTCTTTGCCCAAGTTCTCATTTCGCCCCCGTACAGCTTCGACCCGCATAATCTCGGGTTCGTCATGGGCGGGCAGGCAGTCGTCGCCTTTGTGGTGCAGCCCCTGGCCGGATATCTGAGCGACTTCATTCTCAAGGTCTGGGCGAAGCACAACGATGGCTTCACAGAGGTACGTTGAATGGCCCTTGCATTAATTGCCCAAAGCTCACCGGTACGCAGCCCGAAAGCCGCCTCATCCCTGCGGTCATCCCTCTTGCAGTCGGAATCGCCTCCTGTGTGCTTTATGGCCAGGCCTGTCAGTTCCCCGAGGACTGGGCATGGCCCGGCGTCGTCGTCCCGCTCAATGCCCTTTTCTACAGCTTCGTGAGTATCGTCGTGCTCAGCTTTGTCTACACGATGGACTGCTACCCGCAACGTGGACACGTTGCCATGGTCGCTCTCTGCGCTGGTCGCGGCTTCATCAGCTTCGGAATCTCATTTGGCACGACAGCCTTCTTCCACAAACTCGGCTACGATGGCGCTTTGAACGTGTGTGCCATTGTCATTGGGGTTCTCTTCGGGCTCGGCATCGTGCTGTACTTTACGGGCAAGTATATCCGCCGCTTCACGCAGAAGTGGGCCACAGACAAAAACTGAATGGAACCTTTGTAGTTCCACACTGTTTGCAAATGATGGACATTGATGGAAGATTGTCTGGCAGTCGCTGGTTCTGGAGGGGGAGGGGTGGGTGGGTAGGAGGCAGGTGGTGGGTATTGGATGTGTGTAGATAGGAGCTTGTAAGCCCAATTAGTCTAGTCCAGTATCGAATATGAAGATGCTTTTACTCGTACATGTTATGATGTCTAGAGTTTGTATTGTCTTTGCCCGATAACTTTCGATATCACGAATGCAAGCACAAGGTTTCAATGGCCATCAAAGCCCATAGCAAGTCCAACAACGCACGCAGCCTGATGTGGATGACTGCGAATGCTATTCTGATGACGATGAAAAGACACGGATAGGCGAGAGATAACTGATGTACCACAGCTTAACTCTCTAATACCTAATCATACTGATACAGGCCGGTCCAAATGGAAATTGCGATTGTCACTGTTTGATAAATACATTGTGCAGCCCCTCCCAGCACCCCTTCCACCCCCTCTCTCAGTATCATCATTTCCAGGATAGGGCCGAACGAATTGTATACCAGCTCCCATAGCCAATAATTGAAATCACGGGAAGCACAATAAACACGGCTCCAACAAGGATACCTTGTTCGAAAAAGCCTATCGCGGTTCCGGGACCCTGGCCTGTAGGCCGCAAGGGCCGTGCGGCCTCGACCTGCAGGCGATCCAACGCCGCGCGATCCAACTCCTTCAGTTCTTGCACATTCATATTAGACTTGTTTGTTTCCCGTATGTACTCTGGCCGTGGCCGGGAGAGCATTTCCGTGCTATATCGCAGTATGGGAGATGGGGAGGGTTGGCCATGGTGAAACGGAATGGCAGGTCCAACTGTCTATATTAGCTCACAGCACTTCAGTCGTGATGATAACTAACTTAATAGCTCCGATGGGATATGGTTGGCAAGCGTCACTCGGCTGTTGATTTGCTGGCTGAGGAATTTTGCTGCGGCGGGCTCTGCGAAGTGGTACGCGACCAGGTATTCCGAGCTACAAGAAGGGAGCGTCAGCAAGATCCATCGCTTACCAGGGGGCTATTAAGTACTAACCCTTCTAATGCCACAACGGCGTCGACGAGACTTGTTACTGTGACAATTGGCAGGTACGACCCGCGTGATCTGGCTTTGACAACTGACGCACGCCTGTCAATTGGTCAGTTTGATGGGTAATTTGTTATGAGAATCCGATGCATATACGGACCGGTCTCGTATATCAACCAGCATCAGGCTCGTAGTCCCGATGACAGAAGCTTCTCCCGAGCGTTCAGCGTCAGTGACAGTTTGGCGCAACTTGTCATCTCCTGTAATACGTTCACGTCGCGAGTTATCAGGAGCTAGGCGAATACATGCGTCGACAAGCTTCTTCTTGACCCATTCATTGACAAGGATCAAGTCTGGTGCGTGGGGTGAAGCGCCCCGATATAAGACATGTGCTGCGACAATTGCGCTTGCAGCCTGCTCGACATTGGCAGTCCGGTCGACGACAGCGACCGAGCGTAATTGCGGATTTGACGACAGACATTTTGCTAAGGAAAGTTCTCCTGTCTGGTCTACCACGAGAGCTACCTGGCCCTTCTCCGCCTCGGTTGGCTGGCTGTCAATCAAGGCGTATGTCTCTGCGTCCAGGCACGTGAAGAGGATAGGGAGAAGACGATCAACCGCAAAGTTGCTGATCTGCAAACATGTCTAAAGTAAGTATCGTGACGTATAAAAGGATATCTCATCCAGGTCGTACCTCGATTGCAAACGTGTTGCCAGCAGCAATGGCAGCGGCGGCGGCGACGACGACGGAATACCAGCGCGTATGCTCAGCAGGACGAATCAAAACTACGCCAAATCCGACGCGACGGTCAGGTGAGTTCTGCCCCTCAGCAAGTTTGTATTCCTTCTTCAAGCATTGATCGAAGTCGATTGACTCGTAGTATTGCTTTACAGCAAGGGTCGTCGTTGCGCACTCGACCTCTGCTTCAGCAGCTGTCACCCTGCGGTCAGACAGAATGGCTTTGCTGGCCTCAGCCTGGAGCTGCTGCAGTTTCGCATGGAGAGCGATCAGTTGGCTCTGCTGGAATCGGACACTCGCTGTGCGCCCATCGAGGGCTGCGCCGTACACGCTGGACAAGCGGCTCAGTTGCAAAGACATTTCAGTGGTAGTGGCGCAATGACTTCTCTACGCTATAGGTTCAAGGAAGTTCTTCTTAATCCTTCAAGTGTCGCCCGATCCACCGTCCCAAGATTCCGCGGCGACGCCCCCACCGGAAGGGCTCCTCCCCCTCCCGGAAGACCATTGCGCCACTCCATCTGCTTCCTTGTCTCCAATAAAGGAGAACTGTGCTGGCGTGGATATTCCTTCCCCAGGTTCAGGACCGGGTACAGCCAACTTTCGTCTTCCCTCTACGCCGACGCGCAACAATGGCAACAACAACTGTCACCGCAACCACCTTGTCTGAGACTCTCCAGGATTATCACATCCATCTAACTGGCGCCGATGATCCTCCTCCTCCAGTGCAAGTAACAGCGCGACAGTCGCGAGCACAGAATCCACCAAACTGGCCCCAGAACTACCGCCGTGTGCCGCCATACCGTCCTATTAATCGGCATCTTGATCCCACTGAGCGACCGAACGGAGCAAGTACCGGCGAGTACATTTTCGTCAACGTGATGCTGAATGGAGTGCGCATCAACTCGGTAAGGCTAGCTTTCTGTTTCTCCTCTATCCTGTGCAGCAGCTCCTGATCTCGCTAAAACAAAAAAAACCACAGTTCTTGGTGACTACGTACGAAAAGTCGCTTGGGAAGATCTATCCTCGGCTGACGAGGTATGACATTGGAGGTGAATGGTAACTGGAATTGCTACAAAGGGGCCATCATATTCAAACAAGAACAATAATTGTACTTTTTGTTGCACTCTTATCCCAACAAGCGTAGTTGTACAAATGTCGCATGCACCGGAATGGAGCCCACCTCCACCGGAAAAGTCTCTGCAAAGCATCCGGAGGACACTCGGAAAGGAAAACGGTAAAATAATTAAGAAGCTGTCGTAATGTATAAGAATGATGAAAATGGCATATTCCCAGAGGTATCTTTACGTACAGCAGCCAACTCCAACCTTTGCACTTGACCATGCCCAACGCACTCCGTGATCTCACCGAGACTTTCGTGGATGAGGAAAACAGCCTCATTTTTGAGAAAAATGTCTCCATCCCTCTCAAAGCCGACGGGACCGTTATTCGGTGCAACGTTTACCGTCCCAAAGCCGAGGGCAAGTACCCTGTTCTGGTCACGTATGGGCCATATGGGAAGGACATTTACTATGGAGAGTACGCAATCCACTCCAATCTTCGCTGAGGTATCACCAATTCTTACTCACTGCTGCCAGCTTTCACCCCAAATCCTATTCCGAGGTAAATCCTGAGCATAAATCCAAATATGCCGCATGGGAAACGCCCGAGCCGGTCTTTTGGACTGCCCGCGGCTATGCGATTGTGAGAGCCGATGAGCGAGGCCTGGGCCAGTCCCCCGGCGTGTTGGACACCATGTCTGCAGGCACGGCAAACTGCTTCTTCCAGGTTGTCGAATGGGCCGCGGACCAGCAGTGGTCTTCCGGCAAGGTTGGCCTTCTGGGGGTCAGTTACTATGCGGGTATTTTCTCTCCTTCCCGCGAATTTACTTCATACGGACTAAATATTACGCAGGAAGCCAATGGCGAGTGGCAGCAAAGCGGCCGAAGGGCCTCGCATGTGTCATTCCCTGGGAGGGAATGTCCGACTATTACCGCGACCGTTGCCGCCACGGAGGTATCTTTTCGAACAACTTTATCAACTTCTGGTGGAACCGGCAGGTCATCACTAACCAGTACGGCCGACCTGGTAGAGCAGGTGCCAAGTGGGGGGAGGACACCATCGAGGGCGATCTATCATCTGAAGAGCTTCTGGCCAATGTGCGTGACCAGAATTTGGACAACGAGGCGAACAGGTTCCTTGATGATGAGTATTATGCGTCCAAGATCTTTCCGCCAGAGGATATTGAAGTGCCGCTTCTATCAGTGGCTAACTGGGGAGGCATCTCCCTTCACCTGCGAGGAAACGTTGAGGGCTACACGTACGCAGGGTCGAAATCCAAGTGGCTGCGCTTCATTGTTGGACGCCACGATCTCCCATTTTACTACAAAGAGGAGGTCGATGTGCAGGTGAGTTTCCTTGAGGCGTTCCTCAAAGACAACGACTACGCCGGATGGAAATCTGGCAAGGTTCCTCCCGTGAGTGTGTGCCTGCGCAAGGGCAACGTCGGGTTCAACAACCCCGAGGGTGAAAAGACGTTCCCCCGTCGCGAGGAGCAAGAATGGCCGATTGCGCGTACGGTCTATACAAAGTACTATCTCACCCCATCGCGCGTCCTCACCGAACTGCAACGACCGACGGTGAACCCAACAAAGCTCTCATACAAGGCGTTTGGCGCTCAGGCCGATTCCCACATGCTCCAGTTCAACACGGCACCTGCAACAGCCGAGTACGAGGTCACCGGCCATATTGTTGCGCACCTCAACGTGTCCGTGACGAGCGCCATCTCGCCGCCACCGGCCAACCTCGACCTAGATCTCTTTGTCACTTTGAGGCACCTTTCCGCCACCGGAACCGAGATTTACTACACCGGCTCATCCGGTGACGCGGTTCCGGTGACTAAAGGATGGTTGAGGCTCAGCATGCGGAAGGTGAACGAGGCAAGTCCCCGTCATCGGGAATACCTTCCCTGGAGGGAATACCGCTCGACCGATGTCCTCCCGGTAAAAAATGAGGAGATTTACACATGCGATGTGGAATTATGGCCCACAAACCTTGTCGTCCAGGAGGGCGAAACCCTCATGTTTGAAATTGCTTCAGAGGACACTCAAGGCGCTGGATTGTTCAAGCACAACTCTCCAATAGACAGGTAAGAAATTCCAAGAACGTGAATTTCTGTTTGGATACTGATGATAGCTACAGACCAAAGGAGAAGTTCGGCGGAGAAAATCACATCCATTTTGGTGAATCGCTCGAGAATTACCTTGTGCTTCCGATCATCCCAAAGGCTGCTTGAGATTTGCAGAGGCCTAGAATGATTCGGACGCTATAGTTGCCTTAGATAGCGTGGCCAACAGATGTAATCGCCAATGAATCAAAAGTATGACTGAAATGAGCGCCTTGCCTTTATCAAAAACAACTATTCCACTCATCACCGGCGGGCTGGGGTAACCATCCGCCACCCCCACCCCGGAACACTGCCTTGACAAGTGTGATGAATGAACCCTTACGTCGCCAATTTTGACCACAAATCCAACCCCCACACCATCCAACCCCGTATGTTAAAGTGCCCCAACAATGCGGGGGCGCGTAGATGATGGGGACCCTCCGCTGGGCCGGAACGCTGGGGGTACTCCTAGGAGGGCTGCTCTGCTTTAAATCTCTACTCAGCGCACAAGAGGCATGATGAAGCCGATTTATTCAAGAACATCGATCCGAATAGGCCACTTTCTTATTCAAAGACTCACACCTCAGGCAACACAATGGAGTTTCTGAATCCTGCGAGGGTGCGTTTATCTGCTACAGGGCCCCTGCTCAAGCTGGTCAATCACCTAATATGTTTTCCTTCCAGACTCTTCCTTTCTATAGGCGGGCGCTCGCGTTATTTAGTGTTAACGTATTCGTCTTTACAGGTAATATGTTTGCGGTATGTGCTGAGTATTCTGCAAAGGTATCTAGTCCTATTGATTAATCATTCTCTGCTATCTTAAGGCGGCGCCGGCCACAACATTTGGGAGTCTCGCCAAAGACTTTGGGGTTCCATTTTCACAATTAGCAGACTTGATCACGTATCCTGCCTTACTTCTTGGGCTTGCCAACCTGTTTTGGGTTCCTACCGCATTGTGCATTGGCAAGCGCTGGGCAATCATCTTTTCCATGATTATTGCTCTCGCTGGAGCCATCTGGGGCTGTGTTGCACCGACGTACGATCAGCTTCTTGCTTCGCGAATAGTGGCAAGTTTCGGTATCTCTTTTTCGCACCTGTGCAGCCTATTAAGCTGACTCTGGAGCAGGTGCAGGGTCTGTGGAATCCATTGGACCGAGCATTATCGCGGGTGAGTTGCTTCTCACGATGTCACCATGTCTCTATGACGCATGCTAAATCTTACCAACCACAGATCTCGTCTCGCCGCGATATTACGCCACAGCCATGGCCTTTTATGCCCTGTCCCTCTCTGGTGGGTCGCAGCTTGGTCCGCTCGTTGCAGGCTATGTGTCCGCAGCAAGGGGATGGAGATGGTTTTTCATCACTTGCGTTATTGTCATTGCTGTAGATCTGGTTGTCGTCTTCTTCCTACTTCCAGAAACGCTTTACGAAGCAGATCATCCTTCATCAAGGGCTGGAATGACCTTAACTGATGAGGATCCTACCAAGGGCACCACAATGAGAGTTGAAAATGCCACTGGGCTCGAGTCCTCCGTAGGCCAGGTTACACACGACGCTCAGCCATTCCAATCAGGCCTTTTTCAGCTGTCAATCTCTGAAAGGGCAAAGCAGACTGGGATCTGGAGATACTGGCTCCGCACGTTCTTCCAGCCCATCTCACTGGCTGGCAGGCCGGCAATCCTCTACAGCTCTATCACTTACGGGATCGTGCTCGGGAGGTTTGTCTATACACTTCTTCCATTGTCCTTAAGAACACAGCTGACAGAGACCGCAAAGCGTCATTGCCGTATCCACGCTGTCCCCGCAGCTTTTCTCGCCGCCTCCCTACCACTTCTCTGAAATCTCCCTCGGTCTCCACTCCAGTGCAAGTTTTATCGGCCTACTCCTGACCTTCCCAGTCGCTGGTCCTCTAACAGACAAGCTCGCCCACTTCCTCGACACCCGGAGCGGCGAGCACAAGCCGCGTCACCGACTTCCAGCACTTATCGCCCCATTCTTCATCTGCCCAGCTGGAATCATATGCTTCGGATGCTCCGTCGCCAGGCACCAGCATTATGCTCTCCCAGCCCTCGGCTCCGCGATGCTTTCGACAGGTTTGACGCTCGTGCCATCTGTGACAATGTCTTACGTGGCAGAGGTGTATGCGGAGTTCAACAGCCAGGCGTTCGTCACCATTAATGCGATGAAGAATGTGATTGGATTCGGGTTCGCAAAAGGAAGTTATCAGTGGATGGAACGAATGGGTGTCGAGAATATGTTCTTCACGATGGCTGGAATTGAGTGGGCGGCTTTGGGGCTGGGATTGTTCCTCTACTTTCCTCGCGTTTTATCTTGTCGTCGGACTTGACAGCCAAGTATATAAAGGGATGAGGGCAGGCTCTATTCTGTCTCCTGCGATCAGAAGCCTGCCCCAGAAATCCGCCTCTCGAACAATCCTTTCCAGATCGATGGGAAGGCCATCAGATTTCTCTCTCGATATTTTATTCTAGTCTGGATCAATGAAATACTTCAAAATGCCGTGCATGTTGTACTGTACCCGAACCCGTTAAAGCATTGAGCATTGTTTTTATTTTCCATACTCACAACGCAGAGTCTGAAGCCACCAAGATGGCCCGAGGGGTAACCTTCTTCAGATCAGAAGCGATCGCTTTGAAAGACAAACGACCAATATAACACCTGGTCTTGGCATGTACCTGACCAAATTGAGGGTGATTTTATTTTCAGCTGGCAAAACATGCGTGGCGGTGCTAACCGTGGTGTCTCCATTGCTGAGCACAATGGGATGCATCGTGGTGGATGTCATGATTTTATAATCGCAGCTCTCGCTGTAAATATATAGCGACACTGAAGGATCCGTTTTGCTCGGGGTGGTAGGCCTAGTACGACCAACTTTTCCCGAACTTACCCTGGCTGTGAAGTTATAACAGTATATATATCTACACCTAGCGACACGGCACAATCACCAGCAATGCGGTCAGCCAAAAGACAGCATCAATCCACACCTCAAGCCTTTAACATCATTACCGGCCGATCTCAAATTTAAATAGCCAGTGTCAGCGATCAACTTCGGTTTTAGGGAGGTCAAACGCCTGCTTCAACTGCTGGCTGGCGGATTCCATAACTGATAGCTCCGCCAAAATTCCGCTTACATCAGACCGAGTCCGCCTTGTCTCCGCCTTTTCTCCGCAAGCACACCCAAACCTCACAAGAATTCCACTTCGAGCCGACAATGAGCACTGCCAAACGAAAAAACGGCCTGGAAGATAGCGATAAGCCATCCGAAGGCGTCAAGAAGGAAATAACTCGCAATCGAGCAGTGCTTGCCTGCGAGGAATGTCGCGCGCGCAAGAGGCGGTGCGATGGGGCAATCCCAGCGTGTGGCGGATGCGTGAAGCGCATGTCCGCCTGTGTCTATGCCGCTGAGATCCACGCAAAGGTGTGGCGGGATAGGTGCATTATTCCCCTTCTCGAATCCTCCTCGTTGGTGTTGCTGGTCAAGGTGTAAAATCTAACGCGAAACTAGCATGATTCAGTCCCTACGTTCCCGCCTGAAGGAGCTTGAAAAAGGAGACGATCTGGGGGGAGAGCCGGAAAGACAGGCGTCTGATCATGAGGTCCCAATTACGGACTTGAACGCAGAAGCTCAACTGCACGGGGATGCTGCTGGCATGCAAGGTGAGGCGCCGTCTGAGCCGTCGCCGGCAGTGTCACCGGCTGCCATTCCGCCTCCTCCTCAGAACCGACGACCCCCAGCAACCGATATAATCCAAACCGGACGACAGACCCACGTTCGCCCAAACGCGATAGCGCAGAGCAGTTATTCACCAAGAGCCCTGGAGCCGTGTAGTGCAGAGAGGCTTATGAAATCTATCAATCAAGCTATTGACTCCAGGAGTGGACGATACGGTGTATCTGGCGACTCTACCTTGCTCACACATGCAGCACCTGCTGGCGCTGTTCAAGACGGACAAACCAATTGCTCTTGCGATCGCATTCTGGGTGCCTCGAAATGGCGTCTACCACTGCGAAGGCACGCAGATGATCTACTCGGATTATACTTCTCTCGTGTTCACCGCATGTATCCAATTCTCCACGAGCGGACGTTCCGAAGGCAATATGAGTCACTATGGCAGTCTCCGACAAGGCCGTCCACAGATCCCGCCATGAGCTGTCCCGGGTTATGCAAGCAAAAGAGCCAGGGCAAGACGTTCGCCGCGATGGTGCACGCCATCCTTGTTTTAGCGTCCTTGTTTGAGTCTGGAACATTGGAGCAAAACACTCTACAAGCGGACAACTACTTTAAATTGGCACAGGAAATTAACCTCCTGGAGATACTTGACTACGAAGTCGGAATTGAACTCGTGCAACTCGGCCTCCTGATGGGATTTTACCTCCAAAGTACAGAGAGATTTTCCAAGTGCCGGAATATTACCGGTTTGGCAATTCGAATGGCGCAGAATATGGGACTACAACTTGGGCTCGAGGAAGCCCGACGGAAAGGACTGTTCGCTCTGCATGCGACTCAGCTTGACTGCGAGATAAGGATCCGAGTGTGGTACGGATGCGTTCTACTGGACAGGTAAGGGATGCTCTCAAACACTACTGGATGCTTATAGTGATGACCCAGAGAAATATCCATGTCTTTTGGGCGGCCAATGATGATCAATTCTGGCGGTGAAAGTGTCAGGTTGCCTGAAGCAATTGATGACAATCGGCTCTCTGAAGACTTGGGCTCTCGGAACGTGCAGCCGGCGGGTTGTCCCAGCTTATTGGAGTCCTACATCCAAACGATCCAGCTGTACGATATTCTCAAGCAAGTGCTCCACCAAGAGGAAATCAGAGAAGCATCGACAGTTAGCCCAGATATTTGCTCGTTGCTGAGCCTGGATACCTCGATCATGGGGTGGCGGGACGCTCTGCCTTCTTACTTATAGTATGATCCTGCCTTCGATGCAACGAATCCAGGAAGTCGACATTCTGGCTTCTCCGGCCAGTCCAAGCGCCTCTACATAAGGTGAGTACTCTTTACTCCCTAGGGGTCGTTCCACCCAACCCTCGCCGGCTTTTCTCGCAACCTGATTGGTCCGTCGACTTTTGTGGTGTTGGTGTTACTGGCTAGCCCCGTGCGTGCTCCCGTCGCCCCCATGGTGCGTGTACTGTACTATACCGTACTATACCATGCTCCTCCCCGCGCTTTGCCCGCCTGCCTGCTGTGGTACAGGCGAGGTGCGTGCCTGTAAAGAACTATCCATGTCTTGCTTCGCTGGCCTGTGCCTGCCTCCACCTAGCATGATTAATAGATTACATACTAACCACGCGTCCATCCCCTCTATCTATCACGGCACATCCACGCGCTTATTACACGTACATAGCTTATAGAGACTAATCCTTCCTTTCCCCTTCTCTTTTTCTTCCCCTACTTCTTTCCCTACCCCTTCTCCTCCTTCTTCTAAATCTAGTGGTTATGATTAGGCATGGATCTCTTCCTCTATAACCCTACCTACTATCTCTAGATCTGCATGGCCTCCTACTACTAGTACGCGGTCCCACCCCAGGCCTTGCTTGCCTACCTGCGTGCCCACCATCCATCCCACGCCACGGCCAGCACCTATAACACCCACTAGGAGGCTCTTGCCTAGATACTTTAAAAGCCATGGACTAACCCAACCCACGAGCCAGGCTAGTTCCCACCCCTAGGGGGGCCTCCCATGCCCGGCCTACCAGTCTACCAGGGCCGTGGCTACCCGCACTACCCATATATTAGCCGTACTACTAAGACCATGGAGAAGCACCGTCTAGTGAATTATAAGGATAAAGATGGCTACTAGAGCCCTGGACGGCTCTCCCGCGCCCAGGCCCGCGCGCGGGCCTAGTAGTGCCTAGTAGACCACGTGGTCCACTACTAGTGGTTATACCACGCGGGCACTAGCAGCCACTTCTTCAAGGTTACCCTGCTAGTAGCTAGCAGCCGGCAGGCGCTCCCAGCCAGCCCGTGGATAACCACGGTAGAGCTAATCCACGCTCATGTGGACCAGGCGCTGCGCGTGGGGGAGGCGGCCGCGGAGGTAGAGGATGGCCAGGTCCTAGTCCTGGCCACCCACCTAACTAAGGTATCCCCGTGGCTGGAGCTCACCCGCTGGCCCGAGTACCTGCGGGGGCAGGACCTAACCATGGCGGCGCTGCTTGGGTGCCTACCTAACCAGGATATAGAGCCACTGCTAGTGCAGTTCGCCGCTAGCGTGTAGCGGCTGGTCAGCCAGGCCTACCACGCCATCTAGAGTGGCTAGATTAATAAGTTTGACTAGATCCATATTAACACCTTCCACTAAGAGCCCCGCGTGTGGAACCAGCCGATCTAGATCTACCTGCGGCCGAAGACGTACCGCTAGTACTACTAGGTATGGTAGCGCCTAGTCTACTTTGCCCACCATAGTAGCTAGCCAGATTAGCCTGTCTAGCTCCGCCACCAGCTTAACACCACCCAGCTGGCCGCCCTGGACCAGATGGAGGAGTATAGCCACGGGCTGCTTGCCCTTGCAGTGGAGGCAGAGGAGGCAAAGGCTATAGAGCTAGTCTAGCTAGTAGCAACGACCACCCCTCCACAGGCGCCGTGAATGGTGCCCTAGAAGAAGCAGGCAGCGCCTTAACCACCAGGACCACCACCTGCCCAGGCCCTAGTGGCTATAGCAGCCTTGCCACTACCACCCTAGCCACCTCAATGCCCCCGCGAGGCAGCGCTCTAGGCCTAGCTAGACCAGGCCACCCTAGACCTCTCTATTACGCTGCTAGACCATCCCCTGAAAGGGGACCTATTTGAGAGCACCCTGGTAGGATTCCTCACGGTGCTTGGGGTGGACGCCGCGCGCTAGACCCTCTAGGACCCGTATAGCTACACCAGCTACCTATCAGGGCTAGTGAAGATGGCGTAGATGCTAGTCGCCCTCCGCGCCGTCCACGAGGCCGAGGCGGGCTGGGTTAGCCACGCCGTGGACGCCCTAGATGAGATGCGCGAGCGCTTCCTGCTCTTTAGGGTGCGCGCCCCCTTTGGCTAGATCACGCGGCTACGCACGTATGGCAAGAAGATCTAGAATAGCACCACTAGCATGGGCTATATCTACTAGAGTGACAACGAGTAGACCCTGAGCTATAAGGACCTGCGCCTGAGCATGCGCGGGCTGCAGGAGTTCATTACAGGGCAGGTCTCGCGCGCCTAGGTAGAGCTCGCGGGCCTCTTCCTCCTACACAAGGAGGAGGCCCGCGAGGAGGTGGTGCCACGCCTAGCCCTACACGAGCTGTAGGATAACCTAACTAATAACACACGGGGGTGGAACTTCCTATAGGACTCACGCACCCGGAAGGCCCTCCCTACCCACGGGGACCACTGGCTGCTAGACCGCGTGCTTGGGGCGGACTAGCTACGCGAGGAGTTCCTAGAGGTCCGCTAGATCAGGCAGGTAGATAAGGTGCTCTAGCGGGAGGGCCCTGTGACATAGTACCTATAGTAGGTAGACGGGTTCCTACAGCACCTGCTCCTCCTCGTCCATATTACTAGTGGCCAGCCTGCGCGGGCCACCAAGCTACTAGGGCTGCGCCACTACAACACCCTGCAGGGCCGCCACTAGAACATCTTCATTAAGCATGGGTTGGTCAGCATGGTTACCACGTACTATAAGGGCTATTCTATTAGTAACACTACCAAGATCATCCACCGCTACCTGCCCAAGGCCATGAGCGAGCTAGTGGTCTACTACCTCTAGCTGATCCTCCCCTTCCGCGAGGCCCTAGAGCGGCTGGCCCGGGGCCACTACGGGCCCGCCTCGGCCTTCCTCTAGCCCGCGGCCGCGGGCGGAGGGGACCAGGGGGGGAGCTAGCCAAGCGAGCGCCTGCGGAAGGTCCTGCAGCAGGAGGCGCAGGCGCACCTATAGATAAAGCTGAACATCCTGTCCTACTACCACGCGGCCATCGCGATCTCGCGCGTGCACCTAAAGTGCGGTGGCTTCAAGCGGGACTACAATAGCATGAATAACGCCACCTTCAACGAGCAGGCCAGCCACGGGAGCTGGATCGCGGGCACCGTGTACGCGCGGGGGCTACAGGAGGCGCCTGGCCACGTGGAGGCGCGCCGGCGGCAGTACCAGGTGATTAGCCGCGAGTAGCATGGGTTCCTGGGCTTTGAGACGTACCTAGGGCCCCATAAGCGGGCGTGGTAGCAGGACCAGGACATGGGGCTAGCTAAGCGGCCGTGTATTACTATAGATATAGACCAGGATTAGGACTAGGACTAGGATAAAGTTATGTATAGGTTAGCAGGGGAAGGCGCGCGGGGAGGCTAAGCTTATATAGTTCTTTATTTAGGTTAGTAGCATGGTAGTAGGCATTCCTATTCAGCCCTAGATCCTATTAAATCCATATCTAATACCTAGATGGCTAGTAGAGCCTATCACCACCTATAGAGCAGGCCTAGCAGGCCGTGGACGCCATAGTAGCCATGGCGGAGCAGGCACGGGCGTAGGAGGTAGAGTAGGTAAGTAGGTAAGGTATTTAGATAGTATATACATATAGGATTTATACTAGCTAGTAGAGGCCCCTATAAAGGTAGAGGTAGTAGGAGGATTCCTAAGGTAGATCCTACTTTACTATCCTAAATGTGACGGCTGCTGCATCGATGCTCGGCGAACGGCCTTAGCAATCAGGCAGGAAATCAGGCAAGCAACCACCGCTCGCTGACTAAGCGCCGCACAACAAATGTTTCGTCAACCATCGTAATTAGTTTTATTTCTTCTTCATGCTTAGAATTCGATTAATTCTCGCCTGCAACTTTGCCTTGTAGCTTGGAGATACGATCGTAGCA